CATAAATATGAAAGTCCCCCCCCCAGCTGTAAGTTATTAGATAGAAAATATAATGTTGATCTCAATTTACTGTATTTTTCCCCTTTTTTTCTGTACTTTGTTCTTTTTTTTTACTTTGTCTGTTTTTTTTTTCTTTCCTCAATTCAAAATAAAAGTTCAAATGCTCATTCATTCATTTTGTTTTTTTTTTTTTTTTTAATTTTTTCATGAATTCTGCACTGAATTTGACGTCAAACACAAACACATTTTATCTTTAGTACTCGACTTGATATCATATAGAAAATGTTTGCACTTAAGAGATCGTCTAGTTTATTTTCAACTTTATACATATCATCAGCATCATCTTATGCTCCTACTGCAGCGATTGGTAGTAGTTTGATAACTGGTAGTCTTTATAATAGTCAATCAACATCAACAACAACAACATATAATAATATATTCAGATCGTATTGTAGTACTACTACTACTGCATCATTGGAAGCAACAACTCAATCCAACAACATTGAAAACACCATTCCAAAAAAGAAAAAGATCAAACAATACAAACTAAATACAGTATCACCACTTAAATATCCAATAGTGAATACAATCACCAACATCAACACTGTCAAAGCACTTGGAGGAACAGAAAATTTACCATTCCACTTTGAAAGAACTGATAGTGGTCGTTTAGGTGTTTATAGTGATATTATTAGAAGTAGAAACTGTCAAGAGACTGTTGTTCGCAAATTCTCTGGCAACGCCGACGAAATCATCTCTGAAATCAAAAATATAATTGGACAAGATGTCGATATTCAACAAAGAGAATCATCTATAGTCATAAAAGGAAATTATACTCAACCCATAGTTTTATGGTTAGTTGCTCTAGGTTTCTAAAATTCTAGAAATAAAAATAATAATAATAATCAAAATAATCAAAATAATAATTTTATGGTCATTTTCGATCAAATTATTTGGTAAATGTATTTAAATTAATTAATTTCCATACTGTTATCAATCATCAATTCTTCATCTTGCTCTATTATTGAAGAAATATTCTCTTCCATTTCGTCCTCTTCTTCTTCTTCTTCTTCTTCATCTTCAGAATGATTTTCCAAGTATCCAGCAAGTCTTGTCAATGATTGTTTCATTTTTGATGCAATATCTCCTAGTTCATCCAAGTTGAGATTAAATTTACTATTTTCGTTGTGTTGTTCTTTTTCTTTTCGTTCTGTCAGTTTTTTGATTTGGTAAAGATCCTTTTCCAACTGTTTCTTTTCAACGAGCAATTGTTGGCTCTTTGATGACTCTCCAGAAAATTTATCTTTAAATCTTTGAATTTGGTCCTTTAACTCTCGGATTTCATCTACCATCTTGCTGCTGTCGTCGTCATCCTCCTCCATGATACTAAGCGTATTTTCTGTAAAGTCCCCTGTTGTCAGGCTGTTTGACGCTCCCCCGCCACCACCACCACCACCACCACCACAACTTGATGATGTATCGACACTTCTTCGATCTCCTCTGAGCATAGTTTTGATCCTAGTGGATCCAATGACAAAAGGTGATGTGGCAGGTGTCCATCCACCATTACGAGATTGATATGGAGTTGTTGGTGTTGAAATGGCTTCACTAATATTATCACTGCTATCGCTTTTAATAATATTTGATTCAATGTTGTTGTAGTTGTTGTTATTGTTATTGTTGTTATTATTGTTGTTATTGTTGTTGTCTTGTTTCTTTTTTTTTAATAATTCCGGACTAACTGGGGCAGGTGTTGAAAATGATCTTGACCGAGTAATCATTGATGTTATCGATTGAGCAATTGATGATGGAGTTGTAGGATTATTTGTTGTAGTACTACTTGTTGGGTCCGTTTTCTTTTTAATGGCAACATATTTTTTCTTCAACTTTAGATACTTTTTTTCAAGATCCATTTTAATTTTCGATTCTCTTTCAAAATTTAATTTCATTTGTTTTAATTCCTCCTCTACTGTTAACTGGGTTGGTTTCAATGGAAAAGGTATTGGTGTCGATACATTATTGCCTAAGCTGTCTTTTCTCTTTGATTTAAGTGCAGAGAATGAAAACGATCTGTTTTTGGTTCCTCTTTCACTTGCAGGTGATGATGGTATTGCAAATGTATTGTTATTGTTATTATTATTATTATTATTATTATTACTGCTACTATTTATACTATGATCCAACGGTACAATGATTGTAGAGGATGTTGTTGAAAATTGATTGATTTCTTGTGATGATGATGACAACATTGGATTTGGGTTATTATTTACACTATTGTTGTTGTTGTTGTTGTTGTTGTTATTGTTGTTATTGTTATTATGATAAACATTAAGAGGAGAAAGTGGAGGAAGGAGTAATTCTGGTCTTGATTTTTTTAGAATTGATCGTATGGACTCAACCCATTCATCCATCTCTATCTGATTCCTACATCTAAATATATATTCTTTTTTTTCTCTATTATTTTGATTATTATTTTGATTATTTGAAAGTGGAGAATAATGAAATATTACAAAAGAATATTTCCTATTGATATCTCTATCAACATTGATAATATCAGAGAATGAAATAAAATCACTTGTGCCAGTGTCATTTTCGCTGGTTGTATGCACTAATCTTTGAGAATACAACCTAAGATACCTTGTATCCCATATGTTTGCAAGCGATGATAATTTTTGAACTTTTCCTTCTTTTAGACCTTTGATCGTCAAAAGTGTATTCTTTCTATTTTTAAATCCTGGTCTTCTTTTAATTTGAATGTTATCCTTTATATATATATAAAGAGATGAGGATAAGATATTGGATCATGTGTGCGTGTGTGTGTGTGATAATTGATTCTATTTCACTTACAGAACTATTTATAGAGTACAAAGATAATAATGAGTTATCATCTAACCATTGACCTCCTCCCCTACCTCCATGTTTTGGTTCATTGGAAGAAGAAGAGGAAGATGATGATTTTGAACAAAGGTAAAGACTATATCCAGGTTGAAGAGATCCTAATTGGGTAGCATACTGAATGACATCTGAAACCTTTTGATGGTTATGTATTAATAAGATCTTTGATATGATTGATGAGGTGGGTGGGAATAATAGTTTAACTAATATACCACTACTACTACTACTACTACTACTACCAACACTACCTCCTCCTGCTGCTGCTGCTGTTGTTGTGGTTGAGGTTGAGGTTGGCATGTTTGTTGTATTCATCATGATGCCTAGGCTTGTTGTTGTTGTTGTCAGATGTGAGATTTAAACATCAGATGTGAGCTTAGATTGAAGCATCAGCAAAACACACCAATGTTTTAAAATTGATTTAAAATCAAAAAAATATATAAAAAAAGAAAAAAGCGGGTAAAACTCTTTTCTGAGGGAATCGAGAGAGATGTCTGTCCCTAACAATCTTTTTAATCTCTCTCTCTCTTTAAAAATACACAAATTTTATTAGTATCAACTATAGTTGTTAGAGAGATTAAAAATGGATGAGAAAAGTAGGCTTTTAGATGGTCAGCCTAGAACAAGTAATATTCATCTTGACCAGCATGAAGATGAATACTTCATAGCATCCGATTTAAACAATACAATTGAAATGGTGGCTGATAGTATTCAATCTTCATCATCACACAATAATAATCACTACAAGAGATATAATAGCCAACAAACTTCTACATCAACAACTAATAATATTAATAATAATAATGTACCACTACACAATAGCAGCTTCGTTGATATGAACCCTCTTGGTGGTTCATTAGAAACAATGGAAAAGGGTAGTAATCTAGAATTGTAAGTTACCGTGCCTGTTATGATCGTCCTCCGTCATAAACATAATATTTATATTATCTCTCTCTCTCTCTCTCTCTCTCTATCTACCTAAACATCAATTAGTACCTATTGGTTAATGAAAAAAAGACAATGGTCAAGATTACATAGAGGTACATTCTCTAATGAAAAGAGAGGTTTCTCATTCTTTTGGTTTCTATTCTTTTTATCTGCCTATGGAATCTATCTATTTCTTCAAATATATCATTATAAAAGAGGTGCTGTAAGTATCATTGTCAATGGTTTAACCAAAAACCGAAAGATTCTAATCTATCTATCTCACTTTCTTTCTCTCTATCTCTCTTTTTCAGGGATATATTTTAGAATTTATTTTAATGGGATTTATATCAATATCACTTGGATTATTAGCACCAAGATTTTCATGGGTAGTCCGTGTCGTATTTCTTGAAGTTTATTCAACATTGTATTTATTTTTTATCCTCAATCTCTACTATGAAAAACAATATTATATTCCCTTGCTCACTGTGGCCAGTGGTGCATTGGTTGTCACTATTATCTGCTTCTTTGTCTATCCCTATATTATGAAATGTTACTTTTCAATTACTGGTGCCATTACAATGGCATCGGATAAGGATACCTGGGTCAAAGGTGAATCAAATAGATTCACAATCAAGCAAAGAAATTGTTTCAAAAAACCAACCACTTGTGTATATGAAGGACCTCTTCTCGATGGAAGACCTCACGGTATTGGAACTTGGATGGACACATCCTATCAAGGAGAATTATTGGCTGGATACTGGGAGAATGGTATACCACTTGGTCCATTTGAAAGTACCGAAAACGATACCAGAAGTTTACTTGTCAATCTTCGTATTGTCTATGGCACCAATGGAGGAGGTAAGAGCTGGCTCGATAGAATACCTCTTCACACTGGTGTTGCTGCTGTCGAATGTTGTGTCAGCGGTAACTTTTTCAAAGGATATCCAAAAGTTAGTATGATCAAAGGTCCCGATCATTGTAATTGCAATTACAAAAAGGCATGCACTTGTCTCAAATCACTTTTTGAAAATGGTTCCTATCGTCATATCGATGATGATAAAACTTTATCATCTGTAGTTGTTTCTGTAGATAGAAAATTAGATACATTATTAGTCTCTGGTCATAAACCTAAAAAACATGTAACCATAATCTATATATATATCTATAAAATAGATTTTAATATATATTAATTTTTTATCTTCTAGAAACAAAACACAGTTACAATTCAATTAGTAAAAAATAATCAAGTAAATGGATTGGCTTTGGATTCTCATTGGATTAGCAGTCAAAGTAATGAAGGTTTATTATTTATTCATGGTTATGATCATGATCTAAAGGATTCACTTAAAAGATTTGCACAGTTTCTTGCATTGGGACATTTCCCCAACTATCTCAAGCCATTTGTATTCAATTGGCCAAGTTCAACAAGTTCATTGTTGTACTGGTGTGCTCATTCAATTGCATCAGACAACGACAACCATAGAGATCTGCAAAGATTCATCGAGAGTCTTGGTCATGCAGGTATTAGAACTTTGCATGTTATGTGTCACAGTATGGGTACCAGATTTTTCCTTCGTTCCTTTTCAAAAGTTAAAAAGGCATTCAACAAGAGACAAGTATCACTTTCACCAAATTCATCCCTCGGCAGTATCCCAACAATCAATGAAACCAGAGCTCCCTATAATGATTCTAAAATTAATTTGGCAAATTTAATCTTTTTAAACCCAGATTATGAAATACAAACCTTTAAAAATGATTATGACGAATTAAGAAGTGTAAGTATAAAATTAATAATAATAATAATAACAATTTAAAAGTCATTTATCTCCTTTACTAAATTTATTATTTATCAACTTAGTATTGCCCACGTATAAGTATTTATGCTGATCATAGAGATGTTGCGATCAAGTTGGCATTCAAGATGTTACAAAAACAAAATCTTGGAAATAATATTCAACCAATCCTCAGTGATGACACTGGACAATCATTGGATGTTGACATTATCGATACAGGAGATTTAGATAGTAACATGTCTGAAAGACATCACTCTTTCTTTAATATCAATCGTCTCATGGTTGATGATCTACATGATCTCATTGTCACTGGTAAAAGAGCCGAAGAAAGAACTTCAAGATTAAAATCTGTTGGTGATGTTTATAGATTCTCTATTTTACCTTCATCAGTTGTAGTTGTCTAAATATTTAAATATCCATCATCATCATCATCATCATTATCACCATATCATTATTTGTGTAATAATTTCCAAACGATACTAATAATATAATAATAGTATAATCCTCCTTTTATAGCCAACCATCTCTCATTTCGCCGGCTAGTTTACTCACAAAATAAAATAATCTTTTTGGAAACATTATAAGTTTGCCTTTATTGTTCGATATCATGATCTTGTTGCTCTCCCATCTCCATGTCCCTGTCACGCGATTTTCTTTTCATTTTATATTCTTTCTTTTCTTGGCGTGGTATGACAGAATCACTAATATCACCCAAATATAACCAAGCTATCAACATAATAGTACATATTAATAGGAATATTGGATCGAAAAACCATAAACTATATATAGTAAAACAATTTAATTCAATATATTAATACAAAGATCTCTCTCTTTTTATGTTGCTGCCAAACTTTAAAACTTACATAACCGATAATGAACAATAAAAAGCACGAACACCCAAAGTATAATGATGAGAACCAGCCAACATTATATTATTACAGTAATCAAGACTACACTCTGGATGAAATGGAGCAACATTGATTAAATAGGCAAGATGTGTTTGATAACGTATGCAAGTGACCATACTGAGAAAGGAGAATAGATATATAAGGATTAGTACAAATGCTTTGTACACGAGTATCTCTGAATTACTGGCACCAACTATTCTCATTGAATCCAAAACCTTTGTCAAATTGCCAGAAACAATGATATTTAGAATGAGTACCACCAATGTAATCGATGCAGTTGCCAATAGAGTGGATGACATGACATGATTCCTAAGTGTCTGAATGGCAAGTATGTCTTTCTTTTGTTGTACCATAATCTCGAGCCATTGCTTTCTATGCCTATTATTTCTACCAATCGATGTCACCTCTGGCTCTTTTTTAACTTTTAGAAAAAGAAAGAAGTGATATCCTAAATATAAAACACCTGAAAGAGATAAAAAGATAATATCATATTTTAATCCTTCAATCATCTTTCTCTCTCTCTCTCTCTCTCTCTTTTTCTCCTATCTATTATGGAAATATATATGAATAAATAAAAAATAATAATCAACTACTAAAGTATCATAACATTTGTAAATATTATTTAACTATGAAGATTTTTGTATGTACTATAAAACACACTCGAAAATTTATATGTGTCCCATTTTTTAATGAAAATTCCTACTGTATCAGATCTAGACATTTTTGGATGGGATCTCTCATAAGCTCGACGCTATCAATCTCTCAACTGTAGTAGTTGCTCTGATTTGATAGAATATCTAGATAGGGGGGTGTAATATACAATGTCGGTCAGGCTTTTTCATATTTATTGCTATATAATATATATCGCTTCAAAATGTTCATTTTAATGTACTAAAAATTTTATCACAAGTTTGTCCGAAATCTTTAAACTTTATAATTATCTCTTCTGGCTTTGTCTAGATAGATAAATAGTGGAAAATGATTAGATTGCATTTAAATCTTTTGTTTGTTTTTCAAGTATATACCTGACATTTTTCTGGAAACTCGCTCATCTCATTGAGTAGTGGACGAAGAGATGCCAATTGTGATGCGTATTTGTTTGAAAATTCGGAAAGAATGGCCTGTAGGAATTCCTTTACCTCTTTTTCTTTGTCTGCCTGTTCATAAAATACAGATACTGTAAACTTGTCATTCTTTTCACATGATAATCTAATAGGTGGTGTCGTAGGAGCTGATTTGATCTATTATAATAAATGATGCATGAGATAAATATTTAATATAATAGCTATTATAAAAAGGGTGTGGGTGTAGGATAATGCCCCTACCAAATCTCAAACACATACTCTTTTTGCTGTTGATGAAGATCCAGTACTAGATGGCGTTCTGTGGTGGAAAGAGTGTCTAACATTTGTTGAACTGTTTCCAGCGGCAGCAGAAGGTGTTGTTGTTGTTGTTGTTGTAGATGATGTATTTGTCGTAGACGAGGTGGATGTAGATGAAGAAGATGATGTTGATGTCGATGAAGAGGACAATGCGTTTTGATTAGAGGCAGATAACGGGTTTGGGTGAGAGACTGTTGGTTGCTCAAATAGTACACTCTTTACGAGTCCAGTATCACCAATCTCGTTTGATAGTTTATGAAATGTCAACACCAATTTACAGATACCCTCTGCCACTGATGTACCACTCCACTTCCATATCTTTTCAAAAAAACATATTCCTGTTTGACTATCACAAACATTGACTCTTAATATTGATGCCTAGTGATGTATGGGTTGTAAGTATTGATACTAAAAGAATGTAAACTTTTAACTTTTTCCATACCATTAGTTAGTTCTTCTTCTTCTTCTTCTTTATCTCTAATTCTTCATTCACTAGAATTAATGTATAAAAGAGGGGGTGGGTGATATTTTGCTTTTTTTAATTTTTTGAAAAAAAAAAAAAAAAAAAAATGCACTTTGCGGGAAGTTTCTTCTTTTCCTTTAGTTTATTTGCAATAAAGTAGCAACACTTTGATATTTACTAGTCAACCACTACAACAAAAAACAACAACAAATACAATGCAAGGACAAAAAGACGAAAAAGTAAGTCAAGCTTGTATTGCATACTTGGAGGATTTACTGAAAACAGAGGAAAACAAACAATGTGCTGATTGTAATACTAAAGGTAAAGAAAGAGCAATCAACTTTTTATAAATCAATATTTATCGATTAACTGACACATATCTCCACTACTACGACTACTACTACTACTACAATATTGTTTAGCACCAAGATGGGCATCAACCAATTTAGGTATTTTTATTTGTATGAAATGTTCAGGTATTCATCGTTCATTGGGAGTACACATTTCAAAAGTTAGATCAGTGTCACTTGATAAATGGACACCTGAACTATTAGAGAATATGAAGTCAATGGGTAACAAGAAATCAAACTCTTACTATGAAGAATGTTTACCACCATCCTTTAGAAAACCAGACTCAAATGCCGATGCCTAGTAAGTACTACTACCAATACAAAGAAGAAGATGAAAACTTTAATATCCGTGGAGGGGAGGCAAAGCCAACCAGGCTTTCCAAAAAAAAAAAAAAAAAAAAAAAGAAAAAAAAAAAAATTCTAACTATTTTTTTTTTTCATAAAGTACACTTGAACAATTTATTAGAGGTAAATATGAAAGAAAGGAATTTGTTAGAAGAGAAGGTGGCGGCGGTTCAAACAATGGAAGATCTGCTGGTACTGGAATCCACTCTTTGCCAAGAAGAGGTGGAGGGTTTAGTGAAACAACCAAAAGATTTGAACAAAACGGTAGCCACAACAACAATTACAATGGTCGAAATGAATACAACGGAGGTGGTCGTAATGAATATGGTAGAAACGAGTACGAGGGTGATATGAACAATGGTCGCCATAATAACCGTAACGAGTACAATAATAATAATAATAACGGTCGTAACGATAATAATCACAATAATAATGGTCGTAATGAATACAACCGTGGAGATTATGGTCACTCCAACAATAACAGTGGCAACAACAACAATCATAATAATAATAATAATAATGCGGTAAGAAAACAAAACTTTAATCCAAATTCATTGCCAATGCCAGTGTCCCTACCATCACATATTGCAAACCCATCATCAAACGTTTCTAAAAATACAAACAACAATAGATTGTTGGACGAGGATATTCAATGGCACGAAGCCCCCTCATCAACATCGGCAAGCAACTCGAAACAATTGGTTGATTTTGGTAAGTAACTTTTTTGTTTAAATACCCTGCCACATAGATATATATATTAATTATCTTTTAGATTTCAATGCACCAGCTCAGCCACCAACTCAACCAAAACAAAGTTTTATTTTTGATCCACTCTCTGACCCAAACAATAATACTTTTAATAACAATAATAATAATAATAACTTTAATGGATTTAATAATACTACTATGCCAATCAACAATGGTATGGGAATGAACAACGGTGGTATGATGCCAATGAATAATGGTATGGGAATGAACAATGTTGGTATGATGCCAACAAACAATGGCATGGGAATGAACAATGGTATGATGCCATTGAATAATGGTATGGGAATGAACAATGGTGGTATGATGCCATTGAACAACAACGGAATGGGAATGAATGGAGGAATGATGCCAATGAACAACGGTATGGGAATGAATAATGGCATGGGAATGAACAACAGTGGTATGATGCCATTGAATAATGGTATGGGAATGAACAATGGTGGTATGGTGCCATTGAACAACAACGGAATGGGAATGAATGGAGGAATGATGCCAATGAACAATGGCGGTATGATGCCAATGAATAATAATTCAACTTTTAATGCATTTCTTCCACCAACTGGACAGCATGCTGTCCCCAAAAACATGGTCCACCCAAATACCAACCACCATATCAACAACAACAACAATATGAATAATAACAAACCATCACAATTCGCAACACTAGACAATATGATGTTTACCTCTCCAAACAAATCAACGATGAATCAACCATCTATTCACTCTCCAATAACTAACAGCAACAACCACAACCACAATCACAACAACAACAACAACAATAATAATAATAATAATGGTAGTTTTGGTAATGGATTTGGTGTCATGCCAAACAATACCCCATCAGGATTTGGTATGGTACCAACATCTAACAATTCTACTGGATTTTTTTAAAAGTTTTTGAATAAAAAGTTTGATAATATGAATTAAAATAATTAAAACTGAACAGCGGTGGCTTTATTTAATCTTTGGGCTCTATTGATCTTATTTTGTTTCATTTCTTCGCTCTTGAAAGCCTGTTTCAAATCCTTCTTTTGTTCTCTTGCAGCCTTTTTCAACTCCTTGACGGCCTTTTTTCTTTCTTTCTTGTCTTCTTTGGATTCGTCCTTTTCGATGGCTTCACCGTAATTGATTCTTTCCTCTTCTTCCTCGATTTCTCTTGTTCTTGTTGGGAGGACACCCAAAGGAATGCCAGTCTTTTTCGAGAGTTGGATCTTTTTGATACCCTCTTCTCTGATGGTGGATGGATGGTTATAGATATTGGTGTAGGTGGTGAGAATGGTTTCACAGTCCCATACCTCACGATCCTCTCCTTCGTCTTCATCCTCTGATGATGAACTTTCCCAATCTCTTTCAAGGATTTCTATTTTCTCTTGGGCAGTGAGCGCAATGGTTGGATCCTCTCTCTTTAATTGAATGAGTTGATCGATAAATGGTGTATGGTTCTTTTTGTATTCATCCATGAATTCATCAAATACTTGTTCATATTGATCGGTAGAGAATTGACCACGAGCAACGTCTCTGTCTAATTCTCCAATTTCGTCATCATCATACTCCTCGAGGGCAGCCTCAAAGTCAGCCTCCAACTCTTCATCTACATGTCTTCCGGCAATTCGGTCACCTTCATCTTGTTCGTCATCATCCAATAATTCCAAACTTTTTAATTTACGTCTTGCTTCTTTTACTTGTTCATCCAATCCATCGAGGTTTCCTCCGTTGGCTTGTAAAATAAAATCATCATCCAAATCTTCAAATTCTCCATCATCACTTCCCATTGCATCAATCAAATCACTATCAACAACTCCTGATAATTCCTTTTCTATAAAGGATTAGAAAAAAAATAAAATAAAAATATTAAAATCAAGGTAATCCCAAAGTAAGACTTCTTTTTTAACATACCATTTTTTACATAATGTTTACTAATTTCCTCTAGACCGTACATATAGGGAGTTGGTTCACTTTCTCTAATAAGACCTACAATTCCTCCCTTTACATTCTTTAAAGTGCTTAGGTCATAAACGGCTGGAATAAAAATACCACCACCAATTGGTTTCAAATGTTTTGAATAGTCGTACCCATCTTTTCTAAATCCAATCAAATGTAAATCGTCGTCTTCTTTTTTCTTTTTGCCATCTTCTTGGTCGTCGTCGTTCTCTTCTTGGTCATCTTCCTGATCATCGTCGTATTCTTCTTGGTCGTCGTCATAATATTCGTCGTCATCGTCGTCATAATATTCATCATCCTCATCATAATCTTCATCTCCTCCTGCTATTCTACGACTATTATTCTTATATAAATCAAAATAAATTAGAACGGGTTAGCCTTTTTCACAGACCTGTTATTGCCTCGGACTTTCCTTCCTCCTTGATGTCTACATACATTTTGTTTAGTACTTTTTTCTTGCTTTTGTTTTTGAACCAATTCATTGATAGATCTACCTTGTCTATCAACAGCACTGTTTCTATATAATGTATATGTAACTCTATCTTTTCTATCAACAAATGATTTTGACATTCTCTACGACTACTACTATCTATTATCTTTTCAAAAGTAATCAATAAGAGAACTCTTTCGATTAAAAAAAAAAAAAAAAAAGGATCGTTCGTTTTTTTTTTTTTTTTTTTATATTTAATTTTTATTAATTTTTTTTTAATTGTTTTAGCTAGCAATTGAAGATTCTCTTGGTTCAGCCACCAAAGACAATTTGAAACAATCAGATTCGGTTATAATCTTGTGATTATTTAACAAAGGTGCTGTTACCTCTGGTGCTGATTGTAAATTGTATGGTTGTTGTTGGTAGCGTTGAATTTCTTTGATTACCTCTGCGACCATTCTGCACTTGAAAAAGTTTGTAAAACCATTTTCCAATTTGTCTGGATTGCCTTCTTCGATGAATGTCAAATCACTGAGATGAACACCGAGGTAGGGGATGCATGGTGGATTTGCATTGTGAATCTCTTCACGATAGGCCGAGAATGAGAGATTGGGTGATGTCAAGGCAACAAACTCGTCAAATTGCTTTTGTTGTTGCTTTGAGAGTTCACTCCATGTCTTTTGGAGTCTATTGACAGAGGCCGATAACAAGGCAGATACGACAACAAAACAACAATTAAAGTTGTTGAGTTTACGAAGTTCTTCACAAAGCTTAATAAAACGTTTGAGATGTTGACCACGTTTCTTAACATTGTTTTCTCTGACCAATGTCACAACCACCCAATTACTGACTTCGTTGAATCGATAAATCATCTTTAAAAGATTTGGTGATCTCTTTTCCTTGTCACTCTTTTGCCACGATAGTGAAAGTAATTCTTTGGATGCAATCGATCGGAACAAATCAAATTCAATAATCGTCAATTGTCTTGCCAATTCAGTTGGATCTACATCGTCAAACGTGACAATTGGTACTTTTGGTATGATCAATGGTGGTGGTTTTGTACCAAATGTTGTTAATTTGGTAATATTTACTCCAGTAACCTAAAATAAATAAATAAAATAATAGAAAAAAAAGAAAGAAAAGGTTAGTTATTTTGTTTGTTTGTTTTTGTTTTTTTGTTTTTTGTTTTTGTTTTTACCTTTTTATCTAAAGCTCTTCTTAATAAATTATTTAACTTTTCATCTTTACAATTTGAAATAAAGGTATCATATTCTTGTAAGAGTTCAGTATCGAAATCGTGGAAAAAGAAATCGACCCATCTCTTTAAAAAGTTGCAAATTCTTAATCTTATTTTCTTCTTTCCAAGGTTTTCTTGTTCTACTTGGAATTGCTTCTCCGAGTCTGCTCCCTCTTCTGAAGTAGCAGTATTGTCATTATAGGTCTTTGTCAGACGTTCCAAGACATACTTGGAAGTTGTAAAAGATCTATAGGTTAAAAGGAATGTATCGACATAGTCGGATACAGATCCAATAATATTCTTGTTGTAGAGACGTTCGATGAGCTTCTCTGTGGTTCCACCCTTGATAATTTCCATCTTTCCATTAAGTTCACTGAATATGATACCTTCTTCTTCGATTTGATGCTTTTCACTTTTAGCTTTGGCTGCCAACATCTCATCGAATCTGGCTGTCAATGACTTTTTATCGACCATGAGAGAATCTACCATTTTTTGGTACTCTTCTACGCGAATTGCCAAAGCCTTGTTCTCCTCGACAATATTCAACACATTGTTGAGTGTAAAGATTTCAGACAACATTCTTCTTTCCTCTCGTTTGCATACTTCATATTGGTGTCTGGGAGTGAGTGCCATAAACGAGCTGTTTACAAAGGTTGGTGACTTGTCAAGCTCTAGTAGCTCGTCATACAACATGAATGATTTGTATTTCTCGGGATACGTAAAATTAATACGTTCCTTGATAATCTTTCTGTCCTTGTACAAGAATTCTACTTGTTTGATGACATTCATCAATTCTTCGTTTGTAAGCTCGTCGTCTCCTCCTCCTCCTTGGTATTCAACTTCGTCGCCGTATCCTCCACTGGCAGAAAGTGCAGATCCCTCTGCACCCCTATCTCCGCTGCTTGTCAGTTCACCGTTTTGACCTTCATAATCCTCATTGGACAAGAGATCTGGTGAGGAATTTGTTGGCTTGGAAATATACTTGATACTGGTCGAACCTTTGAGTTTTCCACTGCTTATACTGCCACTATTGTTGATGCTATTCATTGATGGCGATGATGTTGGTGACGATGGAGTACTTGAAGTCATATGTTTGGTGGATTTTGAGGTTAAAGAGGTCTTGCTAAAGAACTTGGCCAAACTATGCTTGGTGCTCGATCTAGGCTTCTTGACAACTGGTGCAGTATTTGAATTACCATAGGCGTCAATATACATTGGAGGTGATCCTGCTATCATTGTGCCATAATGATCCCTATCTCTATTAACTATTGGTGCAATTGGGATAGTATACGATGTTGAGTATCTGTTATTAACTTTTGTTGTTGTTGGGGTCGCATTAGAGACTGTTGATTGTGATACATTATTCTGATTATTATTATTATTAGTTTGAGATGTTGTCATATTATTTTGATTTGTTGGAGAATGACTATTAATACAATTGTTGTTTTCGACTTGTGTTGGTGGTGACGGTGTTGTTGTTGTTAAATTATTTTCATTTATAAGTGAAGGTGCAGATAATGATGTATGCAACAATTGTTGTCTAGGTGATGGATGGTTTTCTTGTTCTTGTTGTAGAGTTTGTGAAGATGTAGACGTAGGCAACTCTTCATAGTCACCACAGATACTTGGATCATTTTCAAAATCAATTGGATGTGAAAGAGTCATACCCTTTACTCTTGGGGGTGGAGCCGGTGGCTGAGGTTTGGGGTATCCAGTACTGGAATTTAATGGTGATGGTTCCGGTGTAGTTGATTTAACTTGTTGTTGTTCAACAACATCGTTGTTGTTATTATTAATCGTTGTTGTTGTTGGTGATAAGTTATTATTATTATTATTATTATTATTATTATTATTATTATTATTATTATTATTATTGTTGTTGTTGATACGATTAATGTGTGGCTCTAAAGAATCATAAGATTCTTGTTTGATCATCTTTCTTGCTGGAAGAGGAGGAACACCAAATGCAGTAGCTGTTGATGGCTTTAAAACAGGCATTGGAGGTGGATGTTGAGGAGGGGATGATGCAGTAGTGGTAGTGGTAGTGGTATTATTATTATTGGAATTGGATGCCTTGTATGATACATTCAAAGATGATGAAGATGTTGTAAAGGGTGGTGTTGTTGGTGTTGGTAGAGGTGCACGTTTTACGATAGCAGGTGATTTAGAAGGTGAGGTACTTGGTTGATGAGGTTCTTTCTTTATCGTGCTGCTAGGAGGAAGAGGAGGAGGAACACTGGTAGTAGATGTCAGTGCAGAAGCAGCTGTTGATGACGAAGATGCAGTCAATGACGATGATTGATGTTTCATTAGGGTATGCAAGTATTTAACGACCAAATGATCTTTATCCTCCAATATGAATTCATGTATCTTGGATGATCCTTCAATTAATCCCATCGATTCACATGCTTTTCCAAATGCAATTAAATTTTCCTATTATATCGAAAAAACAGCAGCAAAGTTAGTACATTTGATTCTCAAAGTTCCTAAAACAACAACAACAACAAACAACATACTCTTTGTGCAAATAAAGAATTTGTAGTATTTATCTTTTTTACACTATTTGCTTTGATATAATTTACAAGTCTAGATAGATAGATGGATGGAGTTGAAAAAGAGAAATGAGAAAAGAATTAATAAAACTACAAATTTCAATGTGTCTATATATTTATATATAAATATATTGTTTGGTCACTACTACTCACTTGCACAAGGCAACACCAGATTTCAATTGTTCACAGAATGGACCTCCCCCAACAACAAATAATACATTGTTTTGAGTGATTTGGCCTACCCATTCACAAACTTGTTTTTCTAAAAAGATAATAGAAAGTTGCTATTAATAGTCTTGTCTTCTTTTGATGTACATTATTGTTGTTTGGTCTAATATGTTTGCTTACCTTGATCACTCATTATTCATTCAAAGTAAGGGAAATATATATCTTTTTGATTTGTTAGTACTATGTGCTTCTTCTTCTTTTTCTTTTGTTGGTTTGGTTAATTATCGATTATTATACACTTGTTGTTGTTGTTGTTGTTGTTGTTGTTATTGCTGTCGTAACAAAAATAAATAAATAAATAAATAATAAATAGAGAAATATATATATACAAGTGTTTGGGGGTGGTGTTGGTGGGTTGATGTTGTTAGTGTTGGTGGCCTCGTTATTGATCTATTAATGTTTCTGTTTGCTCTTGTTGTTGTTGTTGTTGTTGCTGTTGTTGTTGTTGTTGTTGTTGTTGTTGTTGTTGTTGTTGTTGTTGTTGTTGTTGTTGTTGTTGTTGTTGTTGTTGTTGTTGTTGTTGTTTTTGTTATATGTGCTGATATAATAGAGAATGATCACCCTCCACTTTTAGTAAAGGAGGGACAAAAGTAAAAGTTAATAATAAAACAACACAACAAATACTAATAATATTCAAAGACAAACAAAGTTAGACCTTTTGGAGGCGACATTCTTAAAAAAAAAATAAAAAAAATTCACCCCAACTGGTGAAAAATCTTTTGGATCGATGTACCCCAATAATCTAGGATATCTTTTTTATTTTATAATTTATTTGGTTATAAAGTATCTATAAAAAATTTACTTTAATTTGGTAATTATCATTGCTCAAATCAATATTTGTAAATATTGATTTTTTTTTTAAAATAATTCTAAAAAATAAAAAATAAAAAAAAAATAAAATGGCTGTTCCCAAGTCAATTTAAATTTCAGGTGTCGGAATGTTCATCTGTTATTGCAATCAAATAATAATAATAATAATAATAATAATAATAATAATAATAATAATAATAATAATAATAATAATAATAATAATAATTTACCTTTTATGAATGCAGAGATTTATTTGCAGGTTAACAGCTTCTTGCTCTGCGGTAAAGTCTACTGTCGTTCCTTTATCAAAATTGACATGTCAATATAATAGTTCTACACTACTTTCATCTTCCTCTTCCTTTTTCTCTTCTTCTTATTCTTCTTCTTCTTCTTATTCTTCTTCTTCTTCTTCTTCTTCTTCTTTATTTTCTGCTGCTGCTGGAAACAAAACAACATTCGATAGATTACTATTAAATCCATTATCTACAGTACAAAATACCACGCATACATCTATTCATTCTTTTCTTTTATCAAATAATATTAATCATCAACAAAAGAGATTATTATCATCATCATCATCATCATCATCATCATCACTTAAGAATAGTAATAGTAATAATAAAAAAGAACAAGAAAATAGAGATGATGAAGGTGATCAAGGTACAACGGGAGCATTCCTGTTTGACATTCCAACAGGAATATTGGCACTAATTGGATTGACAGTTTTAACCAGTTCGATCTATTACAATATGATGAACGAAAAATATAAACAAACAGATCAATCATCGTCGTCGTCGTCATCGTCATCATCATCTGACCATCAACCAAGAGATGTTTTACTATCACCTCCATCTGTTGTGGGTATACTCTCACCAGTCTATCTAAGCCCAGAAGAGGCAATTAAAGAGTTGACAGAAGAACCAATAAGCATAAGAGAGACACTACTTCGAATTGTAAAGTTGGGCATCATTTTTATGCCCTCAATATTGACAAGTCCTCTCTTGTTGATACCAGGAGGAGATGGCCTTTGGTGGCGTCTCTTACTTTGTAGCATAGAGTTTAGTGGTACCTGTTGGATCAAATTTGGCCAATGGGTTAGTACAAGACCAGACTTGTTCCCCGTCTTGTTGTGTCAAAAATTTTCTTTATTGCACAATCAATGTCCATCACATTCTTTTGAATTTACAAAGGGTATGTTAACAATCACGAAAAGACAAAACACTACTACTACTACTTCTTAATTAACACTTTTTCTTTTAGAAACCATTGAAAGTAATTTCAATAGTGAATTAAAAGATTTATTTGTATATTTTGAAAAGGAACCAATGGCAAGTGGTGCTGTAGCACAGGTACATAAAGCAGTTATTAGCGATGGCTCTGTGGTTGTCGTAAAAGTGCTTCATCCAAATGTTAAATATTATATAAAGACAGACTTTACCATCATCTATACTGCGTTGTGGGCATTCAGCAAAATACCAGGAATGAAATGGCTTTCATTGCCAGAGTCTATTTTGGAGTTTGGAAAGTCAATGATGAAGCAGGCCAATCTCTGCCAAGAGGCATCACACTTGAACACCTTTATTGACAACTTTAAAAACAACAATGAAGTTGTGTTTCCTAGACCATGTTATCCATTGGTATCACGTGATGTTCTTGTAGAGACATTCGAGCCTGGTACTCCAATTATGCAATACATCTCTACCAAAAACCCATACAATCCTACCCTCGCCAGAATTGGTTTAGATGCTTACATGCAAATGATGCTTGTAGATAATTTTATACATGCAGATCTACACCCTGGAAATGTACTTGTAAGAGATTCAAGTATTCCAATAGATCATACCTTTTATCCAATATTCTCCAACAACAACTCACCTGCTGGAAACAATATTACTCAAAATAGAAAGTTTTTCCAACTTCATTCAATCGATCTTGTAGAACGCCAAAAAAATTCATTGCCAAAGTTAATTCTATTGGATGTTGGACTGGTTACAGAACTAGAGGACCAGGATAAATCGCACTTTAAGGAGCTTTTTGTCGAGGTTGTTAAAGGAAATGGTAGAGCAGGTGCAGAACTTATTATTAAATATGCTAGAGAAGCACAATGTTCAGAGGAAGAAATGTGTAAGTAACAACAAAAAAAAAAAATATATGACATTAACAAAAAAACTAACCAACTATCAAATTTTTTAAAATATAGACGAATTTAAAGAAAGAATGGGGCAAATATTTAATCATGTCCAAAGTAGTAAATTAAGTGAGGTTCATGTTGGACAGTTATTGGGAGAGATATTAAGTTTGGTTAGAGAATACCATGTAAAGTTGGAGAGCAATTTCGCAACCTTGGTTATGGGTACCATCATTTTAGAAGGACTTGGAAAACAATTGGACCCAAATCTTTCACTTTTAAAAGCAGCCGTACCGTTCCTATTCCATCGACAAACATCATATATTCTACCAGAATTTTTTAGATTCCTAGTTAGACCCAAGGCACCAATACCAGTACCAAAAGAACAACAACAACAACAAGATGGTAATCAACAAAACAACCCACCCCAAAACTCGTAATCGTAATTGGAAATCTGGTGATTATACCAATAAATTGGTAGTAAATATTTACTGTTTTATTGTTTCCTTGTGAGATCTTGTGTTGGTTTTCCAAAAAGAAGAATGTTACTTGCGTTTTTGATGGTCCAAGTGGGATTATTATTATCTATGGTGGATAAATCACTTTTTATCTTTGTACGAGTATTTTTAAATAGTAAATTTATAATAGTATTGAATGTACCTACACATAATTGGGTACTTGCCATTCGATTCCTATTTTATATCATGTTAATGAACACTACTTGTCTTTGAAGTGTAGCGTGGCAATAATGCTCTTTTTTCCTCCTATAAAATGATCAAAGGATGAATTTAGTATACTGTCTCTGTCAAATGAATCAAAAGCAATCCAAGATCTAAATTGAGTGAGAGTTTTATAGATAGAAGAAAGAGGTGAGAGTACTTACCATTGACACAAATTCATCATCATAAACGAGATGGGTTTCGATAGGTCCCGTTGGGTTTTGAACAACAACCGCTGCTGCTGCCTTTACTATACCGCCACTTGTAGCAACGGCCGTTGGTTGATTAGTTTGTTGTATAGGGGGAGGTGGTGGAGGAGGTTGTAGTAGTGGTAAGGAGGAATCCGATCCATTGGCGTGATACTCGAGTGTCGTTGATGTTGGAGGTGGAGGTGGTGGTGGCGGAGAAATCTTACTGTTGGAGAGTGGTGGAGGAGGTGGTGGTAGAATATTTGATGGAGAATTTGATGATGGTGGTGGTGGTGGTGGTGGCGGTTGCTGATGCTGATGTTGATGCTGTTGTTGAATATTATTTACATTTGCCATAGGATGGGGAGGGTACGGCATATTTGGTGGTGGTGGTCGGAAGTTTGGATTTGGAGGACCGCCATATGGTGGTTGCTTGTAAGGACCACCTCCATAGGGTGATGGTGGAAATTTATGATATGGTCCACCTGGTGGTGGTGGTGGAGGACCAGAGAAATTAAATCCAACTGGTCCACCTCCAAGTGCTGATGATGGGGGTGGAGGTGGCTGATAATTGTATGGATTATTATTCCAAGGACTTGGTCTAAAAATAAATAAAAGAGGAAACAATATTGGTTAGAGTACAGAGGAGGAGGAGGAGATTAAATATTAAATATACCTACACTACTGGTGGTGGATAACCAGGAATAAGTGATGGACGACCACCTCCATAAGGAGGTGGAGGAATAGCACCTGCTCCAAATGAAGGTGCAACACCATCTTGTTTTACTCTTTTTATATCACGATCTATTATATATTTAAATGATGAAATATTGTAAGTATATATATTGATTTCTTTGTAAACAACAAGATTATACATACCATCGATGCTTTCTGTTTCATCAGGAATACCCTCCATTCCATATATTTCATATTCTACAGAATCTCTTCCTGGTTTTGAATTTGGTACTCTAAATGTCATTAATATATAGAGAAAAGGTTAGTTTTATTAAAAATATATATCTCGCCCCCATCTCTATCTCTCCCATCTCTCTCTCTCTCTCTCTCTATCTATCTCTTTCTTATAATAATTACTTTGTTAAAACCTCTTTATGTACTGTTTGAACGTGCACTACCATTCCAGAAGCACTTGCTAGCTTTCTATTACAATGGGGACATTTAAAGTGTTTTGCTTTTTGGTGTTGTATTAGAATCTTTTCATCTTCAAAGGTTCTATCACAATACCAACAAAATGGTTTATCTGATGCTTTCTTCTTTCCCATTGTTTGTAATGGTATATATATAAATATATATCGAAATATGACACAATCATTTCACATGTGGATGAACACCTCGAAAAAAAAAAAAAAAAAAAAAAAAAAAAAAAAAGACGAAACAGTATTAATAATTAATTATTTTTTATTTATTTAATATTTATTTATAAAAGACTACGAGACATGTATGGACCATCTAATTCATAACCAAGTTTTCTATAATAATGACGAGTACCAACACCAGCAATGACAGCCAATTTAGTTGATCCATGTTCTTCTCTTGATATACGTTCTGCTTCTTCCATCAATAGTGTACCGTATCCTTGATGTTGGAATTTAGTTGGATCTCTATTGTGAATGGGTACAACACTACCATAGACATGAAGTTCTCTTACGATAGAACAGTTTTCTTTTAATTCTGGACGGAATGTTGCCTCTGAACACTTTCTTAGACGAAGAAGACCAATGAGAATATCTTGTTTTGGATCTTCATAAGAGAGGAATGTCTCCCAACCACCATTGGCCATGTAGTCACGACGAATCAATTCTACTTGATCTGGTTTGATCTTGTGATGCACCTCTTGAATACCAACCTCTCTTGTACGAACATCACGACACTTGGTACCAAAATCCTTCATACGTGCCAAACACAGCTCTCTAAGATTTCCATACTCTACACCTGAAGTGACGAGTGGCATTGGAATATCACGTTGAATACGATAAATACGTGTCCAAGGTGGTACGAGTGCCAAAATCTTTGCAATGAGATCTACAAGAGCATCGGGTGCATAGTTTTTGTAGGTACCAGTCTTCCAAAGTTCATAGAGACCTGTACCTCTAATGACAAGTGTTGGATAAATCTTGAGACCATCGGCACGGAAATCTGGGTTCTCGAAAAACTCCATGAATCCATAGATATCTCTCTCCATACCCATATTGGGAAGATCTGGCATCATGTGTGCTACCACTTTGAAACCACTATCTTTGGCCAATTGGAAACTTTCAAGTGTAGCTTTGACAGTATGTCCTCTATTAGTGTCACGTGCAATATCTTCATAGACTGATTGAACACCAATCTCTAGACGAGTACAACCATAGGTAAGCATATTGGAAAGATGAAGTTTGAGACAATGATCTGGACGTGTCTCTATAGTGATACCGACACACTTTATGTTACTCTGTTCAGAGTATTTTACAGCTTCAGCTACATTGTTTGATGTATGTCCACTGAGTGCATCATGAAGATTTCTAATAAAATAGTCTCTATAGTCTGCTGGAAGAGACATAAATGTACCACCCATAATAATAAATTCTACTTTTTCAACACTATGTCCCAAACGTTTCAATTGATCGATACGACTCTTTGTTTGCAAATATGGATTGTATCTTGCTCTAATTGCTCTCATTGATGTTGGTTCATAACCTGTATATGATTGTGTACTATATTCAAAATCTGAATCTGGTCCTCCTGGGCTATAAATATAAATAAATAAATAAATAAATAAATAAAAAAGTGTTGGGTTAGTAATCTGTGTGTTAGTGTTTGTGAGATGATTGCAGTCTCTACTTACCAATATATACAAATATTACCTGTCATTGCAATGTGTGGACATCTATGTGGTTTACACATAACAGCTACTACTGCAATCTATAATAGATAGATAGATAGATTAGAAAGAAAAAGAAACAAGAATGAATAAATGAAAATGAATGATCGACCGATAGAGATAACATACACCTGATGCAGTTCTAACAGGCTTTGCTTTTAATGCAGGTAATAAAGCAGCTTTGTAATCCTCTGGGATTGCAGAGATAATATCAACTGTTTTGGGTTGTTCTGATAAAGAGTTTCTTTGTGCAACCTCTGTCTTTAACTTTAATAGATTGACTTGTCTTCCATCTTTGTAGGCATTGATCAATGCATTTACAATCTCACCGATTGTCTTTGTAAATTGTGGTGTTCCTTTTCCGACTGTGTGTGGGTAGATAGATAGATATAGGTAGGTAGTTAGGTAGGTGGGCGATGGTACAGATAATGATTAGTTGTCTTGATGCCCGTTGTTGCTGTCTTTGTTTTTGTCTACTATCAAACACATACAAACAGGTTTAATATTCTTTGTTTGAGTAGCTGCTTGCTTTGCACCTCTAAAATCTCCAATGTGTGACATTTGAGCAATAAAGGTTAGATAGAGTACTGTCTATTGTGTTTTATATAACTTTAAAATCTCTACAAACTTTGATCGACTGCTATTGACAGAGGGCTTTTCTTTGGAATAGAATTTTTTTTTTTTTTAATAGTTGTGAAAAAAGAAAGATAATAATAAATTGTTTTTAATTTAATTTATAAATCCGTTGGACACACCCTAAATACTATTAATATTAATTTTATTATAGTTTGGATCCAAAGTAGTCAGTAAGTTCACAACCATAGTTGGAAGAACACCGAAACATGAGGAAGAGCTTTCGTTTTTTTTTTTTTAATTTTTTTTTTCGTCTTCCTCTGACCGGTCATCATCAAGCAAGCTTGATTGCTTGATTGAGGTTGGAAGAAACAATAAACAACAAATAGAAACAATGATTATATCAAAAAAGGTTGTATCATCATCAAACTTGTTAAAGAGATTTATTGTTAGTAGTACAAATAACTATGGCACCAATAATAATCAAATATATACAACCAACAACAACAGAAATATAATTTGCAAATACAATAGTAATATCCATTCGGTATCATCAAGATATTACTCAACCAACAACAACAAAAAAGAAGAACAAGAAGAAGAAGAAGAAGATGGAGTCGATGATGACGGTATCGATGTAAAACAAAGAGAAAGAATTAGAAGAGCAATGTTGGAAAAGGTAGCTGCCTCTCATAAAAAGTCAACTGAAACCTTACAAGCACACAACCTAAACAACAACGACAAAACTAATACTACTACTACTACTGCCAAAGGTAACACCACTACCACCAAACAAGATGAAATAGACCAAGACGAAAACAACACTGACCAAAAGGACAAGGAACAAGGACAAGCCGAAGGAGAAAAGAAAGAGGAAAAAGTGTACGACAGAGACAACTTTGCTCATTTCTCTCAAACGAAATTCATTTATACTATATTTGGTGCTAGTTTGCTTACGATGATTGGTTTTGCCATTCGTGGAGCTTTATCTGATGGAAGTTCATTCCAAATGCCATACGACAATAATCTCATTCTTCGTGACATCTTTGATGATTATCATAATCTCTATGAAGATTGTGAAGAGTTTAAAAAGATCATTCCACCACAATCAACTGCTATCGTTGATAAATTTGTATGTACCAACAACAATAACAATAACAACAACAACAACAACAACAACAACAACAACAACAACAACAACAACAACAACAACAACAACAACAACAACAATAACAAGGTTACTAATAATACTTTCTATCAATGTCTAATCTATAGATTCAAGTTGAAGTACAAAAAGATACATTATCATTTACTATTCCAATTCTTCAAAAAGCTACAATGTCACTTGTTGCTACCTACAATATCGATTTCTACAAGGAGGGAGATGTCTTTAAGTGTTCCAATCTCTACCTTGATGTAGTCAATGGTAAACACTTTGTCATCGATCATCCAAATCATGAATACAACACAACATCACCTAAATATACATTATCGATGCTCATGAACCAACATGAGAACCTAGAAAGACAAAAGAAATTAATGGAAGAAAAAGAAGCTGCTCATTAAATATATCCCTGACCAAAATATTAAATCAATAATAATAATTATAATAATAATAAATAATAACATCATCAAATATATATAAATAATTAAATATTTTTAAATTTTTTATATAGATTTAGGAAAAACATAAAAGTGAAACCTGATGCTACAGTTATCAAACTCCACTTGGTTAGAGGTGACAATTTTTGTGAAGAGGTTGATGAGTTGTCTGCAGATGCTTCGCTGGCCAATAACAATTTTGTTAATTGATTGTGTTTGGATTTTCTTGACTGATTGTTGATGATTTGTTTTTTAACCAATGGTTCCAATTGATGATTGGTTGGATAGAATGCATAATAAGATGACATTGCAAATGCATGCAAACATGTATCTAAATTTACTCGATATTCTTTCGTTGTAATTGAGTTTTCATCATCATTATCTTGATTATTATTATCGATTATAGTTGTTGTTGTTGTTGTTGTTGTCGTCGTTGTAGTTGTTGTTTGTTGTTGAAGTGATGAATCAGGCGATTGTTGTTGACGTTGTGAAGAGATAATTCTAAATGTCAAACAATTTGTTGATTCATTGTAATTTGTAACAGTAGCAAATACAATGTCATCTGTGACATCAAAACCATCATTGTGATCGATTTGAATGTTGTTTGATTCAAGTGTTGCCGTTGACGAATTTGATTTAAAGAATGAATAGAATTGATTTCTTTGTGGTTCTGTCATGTAAAAGATAGCCAACAGAGGTACATGATTAACTATCTTTTGTATATCTGATCTTTGAATACGCCAACACTTTAATTTTGTTTGTTGGTGTTCTTCATTGTTGTTGTTGTCGTGGTTGTTGGTTGAAGATAATCTTTGACAATAAGTTTGAAGATATCTATATATATTAATGATTGATATACCATTGTTGGCAATATCATTTAATATCTGTTGTTTGATTACATTTCTTTGTTCTTGTCTATCTTGAATGTTGAATTGATCTACCGATGCCAGTGATTGTTGAATCGTTGATAAAGATAGAGAATATAATGAATGATCTATCAATCTTGATAGATGATATGAAAATTGTTGATTGTTATTCTCCATCTTATGTATGAGAGAGAGAGAGAGAGATAGTGTGTAACTAGTTTGAATTTCGACGAAACGAAGAATCCTTTGAAGGACCAAATTTTTTGAATTTAATTTTCTTTTTTCATCAAACATTTATTATTTATTACTATTAATTATCACATTTGGATGGATATAAGATCTGTAATATTAGAGAATGATTTCGATAGTGCATCACCAGAAGAATTACAAAATTTCTTTGAATCTCTATTACTTTTACACTATGGCAAAGAAGTAGAAATGTTACTTGTTCATCAAGATACTTCAAAGTCTTATTCATTACCTGTAGAGTATGTTTGTTTATAAAGCTTTATATATATATATATATGTCTTTATCATCTATCTTATATATATATTCTTTCTTTTATTTATTTTAAAGATTTGCAATGATTGTCGAGGGTAGCGTTCCTGTTGGTACACTTCTTTTAGCAGACCCAAGTAGAATGTTGCCTATATTCAATGCATCATTATTATCTGCACAAGAAAAGTTAAGGGAACATTATGCAAGGAGATTTATGACAACTGGTATATGTATATTGGATAGATTCATTCAAAAACCTACTGGTCCATCCACAACAAAGAGACCCAATCAATCGAATCCTCCTTCTCAAAACTCACCATCACCTGCTCATCCACAACACAACTTTAAACAACCAAAGCCACCAATCTCTATTCAACTAGGTCAATTGGTTGTTAAAGAAAAGTGTGCTGTACGTGTTCACAGTCTACCAGATTATAGAGAGGCAAAGAGATCATCTCTTCCAAGGTCTTCAGATTATGGAATGTTTGTAGAGTTTAGAGGAACCGTTGTTAGAGCTGTTGCACCAAAAGTATTGGAAAAGACAAAGGAATTTGCATGTTTAAAATGTGGACATCGATTTGGTAAGTAACAAGCAAAAACCTTGGTTTATTTTTTTTGATAGCATACTTATACCTTTTTATACATTATAGATGCACAAATAGATTTCGAACAACAAAATAACTTTTCACTTCCAAAGAAATGTCCAAATCCTGATAAAAATTGTGTTGCATCATTCTTTAAACCATCAGAGGCACGTGGAGTACATTGTGATTATCAAGAGATTAAAATTCAAGAACAAATACATCATTTGGCAGCTGGTAGCATACCAAGGTCAATAGTAGTTTTACTACAAGACGATTTGGTAGATAGTTGTCAAGCTGGCGATGATCTAACAGTCAGTGGTGTGGTGGCAAGAAGATGGAGTCCAATTAGAAATAATGACAGACCAGACCTAGAGATGGTACTTGTAGCAAATCACATTCGTATCATGAACGAGCAAAAACATAATGAAGGTCTAACAGAAGAGCTTAGGAGCATATTTGAAGATTATTGGATGCGATACGACAATAGTCCACTCGAGGGTAGGGATAAAATAATTCGTCAGGTTTGTCAAGGTGTTTGTGGTATGTTTGTTGTTAAACTAGCATTACTTTTGGTTGTCATTGGAGGAGTTCCCGTTAGAGACAAGGTTAATGGTACAAATAGAAGAGGAGAATGTCATATGTTGTTGGTAGGAGAACCTGGAACTGGTAAAGTAAGTAGAAGTTTTTTTAAAAGGATCATAAAACATTACCAAAATTTTTAACTTTCTTTTTAATTTATGTTTTAGAGTCAATTTTTAAAATTTGCAACCAAAATTGCAAGTAGATCAGTTTTGACAACTGGTATTGGAACGACCAGTGCAGGTTTAACGGCAGCAGCAGTAAATGCAGGAGGTGGAGAAATGGCTTTGGAGGCAGGTGCATTGGTATTGGCCGATGGTGGAGTGTGTTGTATCGATGAGTTTAGTGGCATCAGTTCATCAGACAGTGCAACAATTCACGAAGCAATGGAACAACAGACAATATCGATAGCAAAAGCTTCCATTGTTACGACACTCCACACAAGAACTAGTATCATCGCTGCTACCAATGCCAAGGGAAAGTATGATCCCGAGCAGAGTTTAATGGTAAACACTAATTTGGGAACGGCTCTTCTCTCTCGTTTTGATATTATTATGATCATTACCGATGAAATAGATGATGAGTGGGACAGATATTTGTCAGATTTTATCCTCAATCAAGCAATGAATATCAACAATACCAATCCCAAAGTCCCTAAATTGGATGGCGACGAAGCTCTTTGGAACATTGAAACCATTCAATCTTATGTCCACTATGTCAAATCTGCTTTCCAACCAATGTTTTCTCAAGAAGCCAGACAATTGATCACATTGTACTATGAAAAGCAAAGAGGTTCTGCCGATCGTAACGAAGCTCGTGTCACAACAAGATTACTTGAATCATTGGTTCGACTTGCCCAGGCACATGCACGCCTCATGTTTAGAAATGTAGTCGAAGTTCAAGATTCTATTATGGCTATCTATTTGTTGGAGTGCTGTGCCGAGTCGGCATGTATTCTCACCAACCTCAATCCCCAAAAATCGGTGCACCCTGAAGATCCAGACGCCGCATATCGTTTGTTGGAGAATGCAATTAAACAAAATTTGGGCCTCTCTATAATCTCTACAACAACAAAACAGAAAAGACAAAAATCAAATCCAATAAGACCTACTCACACAACAAATTCAAATTGGGCAAATAATGATGATGACGATGATGATGATGATGATGATGATGAAGAACAAGAACAAGAAGAAGAGGTACAATATAATGATTCTGGATGGGAGGTAGAGGAAGAAGAAATGGAGTATGAAGAAATGGAACCTTTGATCCAAGAGGTCATGCAAGAGGAAATTCAGGTCGAGGAGGAGGAGGTTCCCAACAACTTTGCTCATATGGAAGATGAAATTTTCGAATCGTCACCACCCAAGCCACCAATTGTTGTAGATACAGTTAGATCAAATCATTCATCTCTCTTATCATCACATCTTGATAATAGTAGGACAAAAGCAACGGGAATAACAAATACAAACAACAAAAGGAATATGGAGTCACAAGAAAAGATTAGTTTTGAACAAGAATTTGACAAGTTTCAAGGTGATGATGCAACCGTCGCCGAAACATGGGAAGACGATGATGACAATATTGAATTCTCTCCGAATCAATCACAGATCAAACCAACAACAACGACAAATACTACAACAACAACAAAGCCTTCACTCATTTCTACTATCAGCTCAACCCAAAAACAACCAATATCTATGGCACCAAACATTGAACAAGATAATGATGAGGAACTAGATGATTTGGATTGGAATGATTAATAAAAGAAGAAATTAATTTATTAAAGGAAATTAAATTCATTTGAAAAATCGTTTACGTTTCTGTTGTTTACCATTGATACTAAATCCTCTCTTCCCATCAATCTAAAAACCATTGTTAAATTGTCCCAAATGTGTACAGCTTCGGGATGAATTGCCAATGCACCTAAAAATGTCGTTGCAGCCTCATTGTACATGTTGAGAGAGAGATAACTGATACCAAGATTAGATCTTGCACGAACATAGCTTGGTTTCTCTTCGAGTGCGTGGAAATAAGCACCAAGGGCCTCTTGACTTCTGTTGCTATTGGCCAAGGTAGCTCCAAGCTTATTCCACAATTGATAATCTCTTGGGTTGGATTGAAGCGCGGCTTGAAAACAATCAACCGCCTTGTCATACTCGTACGACATATTATACAATAGTCCGAGTGCTGTTTGGACCTCGTGATCGGGACTGTTTGGGCGTAATCTTGCTGCCTCTAAAAACATTTCACTAATCATGCTGTGTTTTCTCCAAGTGTCCATAAAATCTTGATCGACGTGTTCAACATTACTTGGTTGAATGTGCGAATAACCTGGATGTGACTTTAACCATTCCTCCAAAGTTGATAACGCTTTTTCTCTCTTTGAATCATTTGTATAACTTACTGCCAATGCAATCTAAAAAATAAATAAATAAAAAATAAGTGGCTATGGTCAAAAAAACGTCTTTCATTATTTACATACTCTAGCAGTTAAATTATTATTATCAACTTGGATTGCTTTTAATAAACATTGAATAGCTTGTTGGTCCTTGTCGTTTTCAGCGTGAGCAATACCAAGTTTCATCCAGGCTTGAGAGTTTTGAGGATTATTTTTGACTTGTGCTTCCAAATCGATGATTTCATTGTTCATTCCATCGGTGTCATTTTGGTTGAGTAAAAAGTTTTCATCGTCACCAAGGAATTGATACTCTCTAAGTCTATCTTGGTCTACAGTTTCATTGAACGCTTGATAATCATGAACCATGTCATATTCATCGTCATATACATCCTCTGATGTTTCATTGTGAACGACTTGGTTTCCAACGATCGAAGCTTCTCCAGTGTTTAGTTGTTTCATTAATTTCATAAAATTTGAATTCTTGAGCTTTGGGTCATTGATTCTAGTGATTGATTCTGTAATGTCTGATAATTTTTGTCTTGCTGTTTCGTCCCATGCAGCATCAACGTCATCACCATCACGCCATGCTTGCTCAAATGGGTTGAAATCCTCTTCCTCGTCCCATGCGTCGTCATATTCTTGTTCATAGGCGGCATTATCCCATGCATCGCCATAATTTTCTTCATCTTCATCGACCAAATCCTTTGGAATTCCAAGTTGTTCGTGTTCCCATGGTTCGTCTTGGTGGAAACGTTGAAATGTGGATGTTGTACTTGTTTGGTGTGGTCCATCGAATCTTGAATATTCATCTAACCAATCTCCATTGTCCATCTCTCCGGTGGGTGGAGCATTGATGATTTCGCTTTCAAATATGCCCAATGCATCAAACAATCGGTTGAGTTGATCAAATTCAAAATTTTGGTCCTTGTGTTCATTTAAATGTCTAAACATTACTTCACTTCTATTTTTGATCTTTGTCTTATCTCCTACACTCAATCCAAGGTCTCCCAATGGAATTGGTGGTAATAAATGCTACAAATGAAATGAACGAAATGATATTAACATAACTAAAGAGCCAAGTCGGTCATGTGAGAATACCTACATGATTTTGAGATGATAATAAAAAGTCTTTAAAGAATTGTTGTAGTTCTCCTTGACCAAAAGGGTGTTTGTGTTCAACTCCTGTTGTAAATAAAAAAACGTATGTTATTATTTCATTCAAAAAGACAAGTTATCTTTCTATAACATACCCTGTTGATGTAACATATGTTGGGGATGATCTCTCATTATATTTTTATCTATCATTCCGTTAAAGTCTTCAGTCTCATCGAATATCTGATCAAAGTGATTTTGATTAAAGTCATGTTGATGATTATCTAAATGTAGGTTTCGAAGTTGATTCTCTAGTCCATTAGCTTCCCATTTATCCTATAGTGTATGAAAAGAGATAGAGATAGAGATAGAGAGAGAGAGGAAGAAGAATAGATATATTACAAACAAGGGTTAACAATATATTATACCTACCTAGACTATATCTTACACTCGATATCATACGTGATACAATCCTGTCTTGTCAGTAGTGAATTGCTGAACAAACGAACCAACAGCATTAGGTGCCCCACAATCACCTTCCATCAAATCTCTAAACATTGAACCCATTTCTACTCTGCGATACTCTCTATTAATATTTCTATATATATATATATGTTTATATAAGTTTACAAAAAAAAAATGGGCTTTTTCCCTTCAAAATTTAATTTATTAAAATTCTTTTTTTCATTATCTTCTCCACCATTTTATCTATTATTTTATTTTATCAAAGTGTAACAATATCTCATTTTACTATTTATTCAAGTTATCTTCAGAGCAGTCTCTTGTAGCGCCACCAAAGTCGATGATAATCCATTCGAAAAGGGGGGGTCCTCTTCCATATCCAACGTATACTCAAACAAGGACGACACAAAACCCCCTCTCGATTCTGTAATGGGGAAGAAATGGAATAAACCCCAGAGTACATTTATTAAACACCTTGGACAATACAGCCGCCAGTACTATTCCATCTCCGCATCATGGTGCACAACTTACACACGTGACAATCATTTGCAACTCAAATGGTAAAGAGCTACTTCTTTCTTCTACTTGGGTTACTTTACATAACACGGCGTCAATTAATGCTTTCCCAATGGTTAGTGGTCCACTCAAACATTTGTTCAACAGAGATAGGAGTGCTGCAAAAAATATTCTCCTTTTGGGAATATTACACCAGACCAAAATTACCTTTCAAAAAAATTAGACACACTTTTTTCCTCATTTTAAAATAAAAGCTCAAATCCAATACGGTTTATAAATGGATTCTATGCCAATTATTATTACTATTATTATTATTATTTATTATTATTATACTATTATTATTATTAATATTATATTTGATTGCTAATATGATTAATATTATGATTATGATTATTATTATTATTATTATTATGAACATAATTACAGGATTTATATATATATTTATAGAAGATTTGATTTATATGACTAGGCTTTTTTTTTTTGTTTTAAAAAATCATTTTTGAAGTAGAGGTTTTATGATCACCATTGTAATCATTGTTTGGTTGCTGGTCAGCATTGTTGTCATCGGTGCAATTCATTTCGCTATCGCTGCTATGATGAACTATATCTTCTAGACTTCTGTGACTCGACAATGCTGCTATTGTTGATGGATCTACAGGCAACAATGATTTTCTTCTAATCATTGATGCCTTGGATGGTTGAGTTTGTGGTTGTTGTTGTTGCTGCATGTGTTGTTGCATTTGTTGTTGTAGTTGTTGTTGTTGTTGCATTTGTTGTTGCATGTGTTGTTGCATTTGTAGTTGTTGTTGTTGATGAGCAAGTCTTGCTCTTTGATCCTCCATGATGGATTGTTGTCTCTTCTTTGCCCTCTCTTCTTCCATAACTTTACATGATATACTATTAAATGTTTCAAGATCAATTTCCATAAATAATTTTAATGAATTAAAAGATAAGCTTCTTATTGTCCTAAAAATAAACAATTTAAAATTAGTGACGAGAAAGGTGGTAAATAATCGATTTGATTCGATTGCTTACTTGTTCCAATGATTATTTGCATTGTCATGTAGAATTTTATAAAAATAATTCAAAGCCAAAGGTACTGATCGTTTAGAAGAGAGCAAACCAACTATATGCTCATTACTCAACAAGAGTAGTGATCTTTCAGCGACTTGGAAATGTTCACTTTGAAAACAACGTGCCAATTGTTTAAATAATATTTGTTGTATTTCTGTAAATTGTTGTTCGTCTCGTATCGAACCCAACAAATCCTCAATCTCGTATAAAAATAGAACCTCCTTTTGACTATTTCCTATAGGCCATTGACGTAGAATACTTTTAAAGATTGTTAATGCCAACATTGGATCCTTTTCCAAAAATTGAGAAATACAATAACCAAGTTGCGAGCAATAGATGGAATATGACTTTGGTTTGTGTAGAGGCAAAAGTACTTTGGTGAGGAATTGCTTGTGTTCATCTTTTAGTGGAACTGCAAATCCATTAATAATACTTCCCAAAACCTCTAAAATCTCTGATACTCCATTGTGTTGCGATGATTCATATACAAATGTACAAAATAAGTCTCTTATAGCAGTCCTTATATAACCTCTCAAAGCTATAAATTTTCCATAGATTCTATGTAGTGTTGTTTTCAAATAATCTCTTTCTCTTGGATCTTCACTATCAAATAAATCTAATAACTATAGAAATAAAATAAATTAAATTAAATAAATGAGAAGCTATGAATTACTTTGTACGACTAGTTTACATACTTGTAAAACAAATTTTTGGTCAACATAATTCTTTGCAATATGAGTATTGAAATTGGTAGAATCTACAAATCTTAACAATAGTTCATATACTATTTGTATGTGCATCCATGCTGGTTCAAGGATAGGTTCATCTTCTTCTGGGTCATACATGACACCATAGGGGTTGATTCTTGGTGGTAATGGTCTAAAGAGATTAGATGCAACCATTTCAAAAACAGCTTCGTATATAGGTTCGCTAATAACCTCTTTGTTTGTTGAAAGGAATTCGACACATTGTAAGAGTGCTTCCAGTTTAATTGCTTTTGATGACTTGTCAGACTCTGTATCTGAAAAATCAAAAACATAACAACATTGCTTTAACTTTTTTATCAATAATGATTGTCTCTCTTCAGGTGGAACATCTATAAAATAATAATATTGTAAATAATTGGTAGGTAGGGAGAGTCAAACAAGTCCCAAAATCATTATCTTACCATGAAAACCAGGAATTTGTTGAAGCTCAACCTTTGACTTTTCATGGAATCTACTGCTAGCACTTCTTCGTAGGGATGTATTCTTGGTCAATGGTATTGCTTCTGATTTTGGTGTTTGTCCTAATAGTTTAGATGGTGATGTAGGTGCTTGTTGTTGCTGCTGTTGTACACCATTTCCTAGATACATATTTGGTGAAGATGGAGAAATTGGATCATCTGAACCCTGCTGTTGAATAAATAAATGCATTTAAACTATTATTAATAAAACATGTTGTTTTGTAATAATACACCTCCTCTTGTTGTTGGAGGTGTCAATAAAATAGATAGATCTATCTCTATATATCATGGTTGCAAACAATACCTTTGGTTTAATATGAGGACTTGTCATGTTGAAATTAGAGTAATGATATGATGATATATCCTCCTTTCTCTCCTCTTATTTATATATATATATATATATATGAGTATTCTATTTATCTATGTTTTATCTACCTATCTATCTATTATCTATATATATGCCTGTTTAAAGTTTATATTCATATATCGACCTTTTTATACAAAGTTGGAATATTATTATTAAATTGTTTGTTAACAAAAAAATACAGAGCTTTGTGTTTACTTTACTTTAGTGGTAGTGGTTTGTGTGTTTAAATGTTTTTGTTATTATAATTATTTTTGAATTCATAGAGACTCCATTTTTTTAAACTTTTCTCACACTTGTGTGATCTTCAATGCGCATTTCGATATTCCATCATTCATCAACGACGACAAGACGACGATGGATGTAAAGATAATAATAAAGCAAGCAAGAGATGCAATCGATAAAAAGGACTATAAGAAAGCATTAGAGATTTGTACAGATGGATTAGACTTTCACAATATGAACTTTAATCTTCATCTCTTTATAGGTCTTTGTAACTTTAATCTCAACAAATTCAAAGACAGTGAAGATGCTTATAAAAATGCTCAATCTATTACTCCTTCTTCTCCTTTTCCATTGAGAGTATGTTAACAACAACAACTATAACAACTATAACAAACAAATACAACTACTACAAACTTTATCTAGAGAATTTTCAACAAACTAATCATTCATTATGCTTTCAACTATTTTAGGGATTAATGGATTTATATCAAAAGAGCGGTGAAGGTGAAAAATATATCAAAGTAATCAAGGAATTGATACCTCACACTACAGATGCAATCAAAAAAAGAGAACTTCAATCTAAAATGGTTGATCATCATATTGCTAATCAACAATTCAAAGAACCTATAGAAATGTTGTTTGATATGTTGGCTTCTATTCAACAACAACAACAACAATCACTCGAAACTGATGCAGTCACGACCACCACCACCACCACCTCCTCCTCCTCCTCCTCCTCCTCCTCTATCAATAGTGAAAGATTAAAGATATTGATAAAGTTAGAGTCACTTGTTTATCAACAAAAACAACAACAAGTAAAGCTTTTATTCGAGAATGGAATGAAGGAAAAGAATATTCCAATTCTTAATCCAGCCAAGGCAAAAGTCATCGGTGCACCAACACATACACCTCAACAAGCTCAAGATAAAATATTAATTGAAAGAAATGCCTATTCAAAGGTTTTAGATTCTTATAATGTATGTCAAACAAAATAGACAACTTGTTAACAAGGTTATCTTACTCTTTTTATTTCTTTTATTTTTAATTTAGATTAAAATTTACAAAGAAATTATAGAATCTGAAGATTTATTATCATTGATTGAAATTAAACAAGTTGAAAAGGTTTACCAAAACTATATCGAATATTATATGCAAAAGAGATTTTCTGTTGTTGGTGATTCTTTGGAAGCGGATCAAAAAAGAGAGGAATTAAAAAGTATAATATACCAGGAATGCGTTAAAATGAATAGATTACTTCTCTATCCATTCTTTCCACTAGAAACAATGATATTGCTTTTAGAGGAAAACGGCAAAGCATCCACTGATACTAGTATTTTGGGAATTTCTCAATTGTTGACTAGAATGCACCCAGACAGAGGATTGGGTTGGATTGGTTTGGGCTACTACCAAGTATTCCATCAATACGATCAATCAGAAAATACTAGATCCATGTTGGAAATGGGTTTGGCGCAGACACCCAATTCAATACTTGGAAACGTTGCTCTTGGTAAAATATATCTTGAACAAAAGAATCACGATCGTCTCAAAGATGTTGTCAGAAAGGGATTAGACTCTTGTTCTGCCAAGGAAAAGGAAAATGGAAAATTCTATGATCGATACAACATTGATCTTCATCTCTACCTCGCCGAATCATTATTGATTACCTATGAAACGGAAAATGCTGTATTGGTTCTTGAACAAGTTCTAAAAAAACATCCAAACGACACTCAAACACTCTTTACATTGGCAAAATTATATTTTGATCATCAAAAGTTTGATCAATCACTTGGACTATTCCAAAAAATAATCGAACTGGAATCATCATCATCAACAAACAACAAACAGGTTCAAAACCTTTCAAAATCAATGGTCATTTGGATTAAACTACAACAACATGACACTGTCAAAATCGATCAAGATACCAAAGACCAAATTGTCACACTATTACAAAACGATGATGGATATCTTAATCATTTTTTGTTAGGATTATATTATCGTTTGGTCGGTGAAAATGATCAAGCCGTCCAAGAAATGTTAAAGAGTGCACAGAAAAATCCATCCTATGCATTGACCTTTTCGAATCTAGGTCTATTGTACAAGGATAAAAAAGATATGGAAAGATCAAAAAAATGTTTCCAAAAAGCCCTCTCACTCGATATTCTCAACTATGACGCTGGTATACAACTATCAAGTATTTATATTGCAAATGAACAATATACATTGGCGTCGTCACTCTACCAAGATATTACTGCACGTTGCTTGGAGAGTAGAAAACAACTAAATATCAACATTGCAAAATGTTCGTGGGCATTTTATAGACTTGGTCTCTATCAAATGGACATTGGACAGTTGGACAACTCTTGTTCAAACTTTTTGATGGCACTCAAAGGAAACCCAGATAATGAGCAATATTGGAGAGGTATTGGTGAATGCTATAGACGTCAAATCAAGTATATTGCATCACTAAAAGCTCTCAAGAGAGCTGAAGAACTCCTTGTTTCATCCAATGCAACGGCTCCAGATCTCAACTATCAAATTGCCTCTCTCAACATGACACTTGGAGAATACAAAGAAGCCATCATCGAGTTTGATTTGGTACTTGCCTCTCTACCAAACCATTTACCTTCTTTCAAAGGAAAGGCTGATTGTTACTTTCAATTGGCAACTGACCATCTCAAATCCAATTACCAAAGACTCGCTTATCTTTATTTGACATTGGCAGAGGAAAGTTGTCTTAAAGCCATCGACTCAAAACAAGGAGACTTTGAGAGTGTTTGGAAATTGTATGGTGATATATCAAGTCACTATCACTATTTGGCACCTAGCTCAAGAGAGGATGGAGGTGATATAGATTACATTGGCAAGTTGGAACAAGCCACAAAGTCTTACCTTAGATGTATCGAAATTCAACCACTCAACTTTAACTCGCTCTATGATTTGTCATTGTCAAATTATTATCAATACATTAGACTCTCCAACAAATACAATCAAGAACAAAAGGAAAAAGAAAAGGAAATTCTTTTACAACGATTAGACACGTTATTTAAATCATCGGTAAAGTGTATTACCCAAGCAATTAACCATTCACCAAGACAAGCAAGATACTGGAATTTATTGGGTGTCATTCTCATTGATAAATATCCAATGCAAAGTCAACATGCATTTATCAGATCAATTCAAATCGATCCAAGTAAATCAAACCCCTACAATAACCTTGCAATGTTGTATTTGCAAAATAACAAGATTGACCTATCCAACTCATCATTGTTTATCAGCAAATCCAATGATGCCACTTTTATTTCTTCATGGTCCATTCAAGCTTTGATTCATGAACTAAAGAATGATTCTAGTCAATCTTATTCTGAATATTCCCATATTGAAATTGCCTTGGAATCTGATCCCTCTGTATGTAAAAAAAAAAACAAAAACAATAGACCTAAAAAAATTTTAATATTAACAATAATTTTTTTCATTTAGGGTGAAGGATTATTAAGTAATGGTATTCTTTGTTATTATAATGGTAACATTGATCGTGCAGAATTGTTATTATCAAAATATGTACAACAATATGATTCTGCCGATGCACATAACCATCTTGGACTGGTTTATGAACAACTGGCCCAATACGACAGGGCACTACACCATTTCACTAGATCTCTAGAGGTGATGGGCAAAGAAAAAGATAAAAAGCTTAATCTCCAAAGCAATGATATTATTACTCTTGATTCATTGTCATTGTCGGATAATGAAATCATTAGCTACAGACAAGGAGGAGCAGAGGATGACCCCTCATTATCAATATCTGAACCAATTAAAAAGTTTATTTTGATAAATATTGCTAGGGTCCAATGCAAACTTGAATCTTACCAGCAAAGTCTAGTAACATTGGAGCCATACATTGGAGCTACAAAGGAGAAATCTTTGTCTTCAAGTCACATTTTGGAAATTGTAGGCTTGGCCAACCATCATCTCGGAAACAGTGACAAAGCCATTGAATATCTAAAACAGTCGGTCGCTGCCATCAAGCCAGACATTATCAATGACGATGGTGCATGCAAACTACGTAAAGTTCAATTATTATTGACAATGGCCACTATTTGTTTTAAAACAAATCGTTTAAAACAATGTGAACAAATCATTGAAAAGGTTATCGAATCGGATCCCAATTTAGAAAATGCCTATCATCTTTTGGCCTCGATCTATATCTTGTCGGAAGAATACAGAAAAGCAACGGATACCATCAAAAGGCTACACAACCAAACTCTTCATCCAACCCTACAAGGTCTCTTGATCCTTGCCAGATGCGCAATACTCGAACAAAAGTTTGAAAAGGCTAGAACTGTCCTCTTAAAGGCATGCCATTGCTTCCCCAACGAAATCTCAACATGGACTTGGTTGGCCCAGTTCCTCAACACCTACTCTTCAAAGGATGTTACATTATCAAATATTCGTCAAATATTGTACCAACAAATAGAAATCCAACAACAATCGCTCGAGAATATCAACAATGGCAATCTTGTCAAATACCAAGTCGAACACATCCAGCTGTTGGAACAACTATCCAAAACCTTCCTCTTTGAAATTTCACAACCCTACTCTGAAAATATTGACAATTCCATCAACACTACCAAGAAGATCATTCATATCAACCCCAACTACCTCGGTCCTTGGAAACAACTGTCCACATTGTACTATATCCGTGCACTACATAAATCTGACCAAGAGTCTTTTGAAAATGCCCTCATTTTGAATCAACTGGTCAGAAAGCTCGCATCTGAACAGTCCTATATCTTTACAGCCGAAGAAATGTTCCTTTTAGACTTTGGACTCGGTGATATCTACATTTATAATTCCAATCAAGAACTATTCAACAATCATCACTCCAAGTTAATGTCAACCCATAAAGATGACCCCATACTCACTTCACAATTGCAACGACAACTTGGTAGATTCGATCTATTGGTTCAAAAAGATCCTTTATCATCAATTGCAAATTATAAGAAATCTTTACAATCAAATCCTCTAAATCTTATTTCTTATCAAGTAAATTTAAACAATAGAGAAACAAAAACAAAAAATTATTTCTAACTATTATTTCTTTTAGGAACTATCATACATTTATGAAGAATTAAAATACTATGAAGCATCATATCATTGTTTAAACAGAGCATTGAGTATTATTCAACAACAAATCAAGGAATCGAATAACAACAAATACAGTAGCCAAGATAACCAAAACCAATATTTAATTTTGGTTTGCAGAATCGTTCGATATTTGATATTGACCAAACAAACAACTGTAGCATCCAAGACTTTGGAAGAGTATCTCCAATCCCAAAAACATCAACAAAACCAACAACACCCAGTCATCCTTTTGTTCAAGAGTATTATTGTGTTGATCAATTCACAGGACAAGAAACCATCAAAACAACTAGAGAATGAACTGAATGCCTCGTTGGCATCATTGTCCAACATTTGCTTGTCAATCAATCCCAAACTCCCTCTAGCCAATTATTATTGTCATCTCTTTACAACAAAATTAAAACCTCAACAACAGCAACAACAACAACAGACATCTCAGAAATCACCACCATTAAGTTCATCAACAGAGAGTGGCGCACAACAACAAATTGATCTCTCTAGATATATCAGACAAGAATTATCAATAACTCCAAAATTAGATATTCACCAATAAATTATCTAGTACATTGATTAATTTAATGTTTAATTTTATTTTTTAGAATGGTTTTGTTTCTTTTGATCTTTTTTCTTGTTCTCTAATCTCCATCATAAACATGATACCAGCAAACAACCATATATAGGAAAGTAAGAATGCTTGAAGACCACCCTCATTAAAGAAAGCCAATCTAATAAATAGAATACTATTTTCAAATCCGTGAAGAATGGCAAGATTGGCCACCATTAACAAGAAAACGTTGGCGGTACCAGAGAGAGCAACGATGTATCTCCAATACCACTTTTTACGAAGTGGGAGACGAGCTGGATGGTAGAAATAAAACATAATACCGATTTCGATGGTAAAGAAGACGCAATTGAGGAGTGCCCAAGCAACCCACGACCACCATAAATCGTGCCACAATCCAATAAAGAAGAATATCAACCAAATACTTAGATGCTTTGTCTTGTTGCCACCAAGTGGGATATAGAGATATCTCATTGTCCACTTGTTGAAAGATCCATGCCAACTTCTCCAAAAACCTGTAAATGTGTAGTTGTTATTGACACAACGGTTCATATTCTCTGGTGTGTCTATACCATCGTAAAGAGCAAACAATCTAAATACACGCCAAATGATTAAAAATTTGACATACATAAAGTTGAGTACCAAGTAACCAGTCAATGCAACTTCCTCACCACTAAAGCTCTTCCAAACATCGCTAGAGTCAAACGAGTAATAGTAGCTAAAGTGCAAGAAAATCTCCAATCCCAAAAAGACGATGAGAATCTTGATGCTCTGTCCAACAATGTATTTCAAAGTGTAGGTCTTTTGTGGCTGATAAACTTGTGCAATCCAAGCGTTGAAACTGCATATTGGTCCAGCAATGTACAATGGGATGTAAAAGATATAGGCAAAGAAATGTGAAAATGTATAGTGTTCGGTTGGTTGATGCTTCTCTGTGATGACAATGTATGTACTCTTTCCTTTGAGATCTGGAATTGGTCTCTTTGATCTCATCCAATAATAATCGCAATTATAACTAATGAATCTAAGGAATGATACTTTATAATAAGTCTCCCATCCTAAAAATCCTCTATAATGATTATCCTAAAAAAATAAATAAAATAAAATAGTTTAGTTTTTTTATGTATATTTGATTAATCAAAGCTACTATCTTTTTTAACTTACTAATATTGGACCCCAATCACCCAAAACATACAAGGATTGGAAACTATAACCTGAATATAAATATGAGGTCCATAGAATGATGATATTAAATATCCAAGTAACGGCAATCGTCCATTTTGATTTGTCTAGGATACGACTAATCGAAAAGTTGGCCACTGCAATAAGAATAACAATGATTGAACATGCACCATGTACAAATATTAAGAATCCAATCGATACCAAGTTATAGAATAAAATACGTTTTGATACTACATTCTAGAGATGGGAAGAGAGAGAGAGAGAAATAAAAGATAATGAATACGATGATCAATTTTGTCCAACTTTAAAGTGTTTATACATACAGGATAAAGAGACTTTACAAGATTACTAATTAATACAAATATAGCCAAACCGATTGACAAGAGAGGAAAGTTTTCTCTCCATACTCTGTACTGAAAGTCAGAAAGATCTTGCTTTCGATCCAAGAACCAACCTGGTACAATACCATAGTTTGTTTTTGAGCCACTGTTGTATTCTTGACCACGTCTGAGCATCATCTGAATGACAGCAAAATAGCCGACAACTACAACGATGGCATATATTAAATATTCTATTGTAAACCATCTAGATGGTTGTGGTGGATCATCTACATATACAACCTTTTTAACTGGTTCACCATCTTCTTGTTTAGATGAGGAAGAAGAGGAAGGTGCACTTCTTCTGGTTGATGGTGTTGACATTCTCTTTCCTTCTCTTTTTCTCTCTCTCTCTCTCTCTCTCTCTCTCTCTCTCTTTTAATTGTAGTTGAAAGATTGATGGATGAATGGGTACTAAAAAAGGGTCTCCTCACATAAATTTCATTAAAAATTTAAATTCAAAAAAAATTGGGGCAATGAAGATCAAAGATGATGCAATGAATGGACAAATTCAGACGGATGATGATGATGGATTCGCAAATAGTCGGACAAGCAGTATTTATTTATTTATAATTATTATTATTATTTACGATTAATATTAGAGTATTGATCCATTGAAAATGTGGAAAGTGATCTATTTTTAATCTCTTTATCGTTAAACATCTTTGGTAGCATGTCATTTGGATGCCATTTATCTTTTAATTGATTGATATCACCATTGTAACCTTGTTGATACTTTCCTTCATATGATGTTTCCTTTATCGTACCATCGGTATCAAAGAATACAATCTGTGCAATTCTACGTCCAACGATTAGTGGAATAGTATGATGTACAGAGTTGTTGGTAATCTCCATCGTCCAACGTGAATGATAACCAATCTCTCCCAAACTTGCACATTTACAAACTTCTATAAAATTTCGACCCAAACTACTACGGCAATGCATCATTGAATTTACTAGTAGAGTAGTAAGTAGTAGTAGTTAACAATAATAATAATAATAACAATATAAATAAATAGAATACTTTTTTTCTTTTTCTTTTTTTTACAAACCAGTTAAAGCTCCACCAATAAACTCATTGGTATGTGCTAGAATGGACTCACCAGCACGAACCCAAATGATCATATCGTCTAGATGAACATTGTCAAGTGTCATTCCATTTGATGATTTAAGCCACTCTGAATACTTTTCTGCCGTTTGATAGCTACCCCATATCTTTTTTACCATGCCTTCAGAATAAGGATTATAAATGGCTATAGAGGGATGAGAAGGCACACAAGGTAGAGGAGTAAGTTAACTATAGTTTGTTTGGTACATGTTTCTTAAAATACATACTTAAGCTCTTGGAATCTTGTTCACGGAAAAAAAATGGACCAAGAGTAACATCATAACTACAAGAAGATAAGAATTCTCTTTGAAATGGTGATATGATTACTGATCCTCTTTTCATGTGCTCCAATATTACTTTGTCACTTAGTAATCCTTTACTGTATTGATTTGAAAGGTCTGTACTAGTTTGTTGCTGTTGTTGCTGCTGTTGTTGTTGTTTAATTTCTTCCATTATTTATTTATTATTTATTTATTGTGACAATAAATATTAAGACTTGAATCAAAAATAATCATTAATTTCAATCAACACCAAATTCCCTCCTTTTTTTTTTTACCGAAACTGTTTAGGTTCCAGAGGATATTCCTTCAAGTAAAAGAAAGAAAGAGACAAGATTTGTTAGACAGACAAACACCTTCTTTTCTTTATTGATTTGGGAGGGGATTAAGGGTAGTAGATAATATAAATTTTTAATAATGATACAAATATTGAACTAGTTACAATTATGACATGGGTTTTAATGATAGTGGGTTGTTAGTATATATATATATATTGTTGTTGACGTGTATCCCGTGTTTTGTTATTTTTGTTATTAATGGTTTTAGTTGTCTTGTTATTATTTGATTGGGTGGTGTTTGTTGGTTTGGGAAATAAATAGAACTATTTATTCTTTCTTTTCTAATATTATTCGATGCTTTAGATTGGATCCTAAAAGGACAAAAAAAAAAAAGAATAGTAAATATATATATATATAAACTAATGTCGTATGCTGCAATATACTTACCAAATGATTCATCACATTTGCTATAAAGATTTGCGCTAAGATCTTTTTCATTGTTTCTGGGTTCTCTGATATTGCTAGCCAAGGATGCTTAAAAAAGTTAAATAAAAAAATGTAAATTAATAAATTGATAAATTCATATTATTTATGTTTTATAGACATACAGATAATAATTGTTGAGCAGTTGATCTCTTGGAAGGCTCAACCTCCAAACATAAAGATAAAAAGTTTCTAAAACCTTCTGACCATTTTTCTGGTCTATCCAATCCAGAACAACCTTGAGTTGCGATTGTAAACATTGCGTTTAAGGATGATTTACGATTAGGTGGTTCACCATTTGCCAACTCTAATAAACAAATTGCAAAACTCCATATATCAGACTAAAAATAAATTATAAAGATTGATTGGTTAATAATAATAATAATAATGAATTGATATCTATCTATCTATCTATCTATCTATCTATCTATCTATCTATCTATCTATCTATCTATCTATCTATCTATCTATCTATCTATCTATCTATCTATCTAACTTACAGGACAACTATAGCCTTCACCTCTGATCATTTCAGGAGACATCCAAAAAGGAGAACCTGCCATATGAGTCAATCTGCGTTGAGTGGTATCTACGCACAGACCAAAGTCTACTATTTTAATTTTACCGTCAATTGTCATCATAATGTTGCCCGATTTAATGTCACGATGAACCAAATCGTTTTCGTGAAGATAGATGAGTCCTTCCAACATTCCCTTGGCAACATAAGCTATACAACTTTCATTGAATGAATGATTGGAACAAGCCTCTGTCAATGTGCCTCCTTGCATATACTCCATTGCAATCCATACTTGGTCATCAACGAGATGACTACGAAGATAACGAACAATGTTTGGATGATTGCAATAATGTAAATATCCTATTTCATTGAGATTGGTTCTCTGTGCCTTTGGTGTTGCATGTGCAATCTTTTTAATGGCAATCTCGCACTTGTCCACCGTAGACTTTGCCAAATATACACTACCAAAGCCACCACTGCCTATTTGTTTGAGATTCTTGTACAATTTCTTTACATCTCCCTTTTCAAAAAGATCTGTTGTTCCCTTGGGTACAATTGATTGTTCCAAACGAGATCCGTCTCCATCTGAATCCTCTTGAAGATCATTATTTTGTCCAAGATTATATGATAATGAACCTCCTCTTCCACCACTCAATGATTTACGATGACCATTTTGTTCTAATCCTTGAGTTGTCGTTGTAGTTGTAGTTGTTGTTGTAGAGGTTGCAACTTCTGGTGAAATGGGTGAGGGTTGTACCTCTGCCAAGTTAGAAGTTGGCTTTGGTTTTGGTGTTGGGTTTGTAGATTTCAAATTAAAACCAGTTCTAAATCTGAGGATGGGCAAGAGTATTTCAAAATGTTCTCTTATCTTTTCATCGGGAATTCTACTCTTTCTAATCATCTTTATGCATTCTGGTGGCAACTCGTCAACATTTGAGACATAGATTGGCTTTTCTCGTGCACGAGCTCTCTTTTGTTCCTTTCGTTTTCTTCTATCTTCTTCATTCTTTTGCATTCTACTCATTCTAAGACTCTTTCGTTTGGTATCTTCTTTGAGTGTCGATGAAGAGGATGGCAATCCGCCACCACTACCTCCTCTAGGTGTTATATTTGCCACTGATGTGCTTGTTTTTAGATTACCAGATGATGTCTTGCTTGATGATTTAATGTGTGAAGATGTTGTTGTTGATGATGGCTGATTGGTTGTAGGTATCTTGAATAAAGGTAGTTGTTGTTGTTGTTGTTCTTCATGATTTGCATCAGTGTAGAAAAGGAATCCTTGTGGTCCAGGATGCTTATATCCCATACCACTATCAGTATTTTCTTCGTTTAAAAGTTGTTCCAATGACATGTCGTTTGGAATACCTCCACCCAATTGAGTTTGAATAAATGCCAATCTATGTTTTCTACACAATAATCTTTCTCCTTCTAATGTTATTGTTGTTGTTGTCGTCGTCGTCGTCGTCGTTGGAATAGTAGCACTAGATGAAGCCAGTGATGATATTGAAGATTCTTTGATCAAAAGTGGATGATCAATAATTGGTAGAGGTTGTTGTTGTTGTTGTTGTTGCTGGTTCTTCTTTAGCACTGCTGAAGCATCAGATGACGATGTTGATGATACTGATAAACGTAAATTGGTTGTGGTGGTTGTGGTTGTGGTTGTGGTCGATGGTCTAGTTAATGTGGTGGTGGTGGTGGTGGTGGTGCTATCGTCTTGGGCCAAGGTTGTACGTGGCGAAGATTGTTGTGCTTCTTCCTCTTGTTGGTTCAATAACGACTCGTCTCTATTGATATCTGATGTATTTGTTGCTGCAGTTGATGCAATTGTTGTTGATGTGCCTACAGTGCTTAATGGTTCTTCTACTGATGTTATTGTTACTTCTTCTTGTTCTTCTTCTTCTTCTTCTTCTTCTTCTGCTGTTATTATATTGGTTGTTGTTGTTGTTGTTGTTGTTATTATCTCATCGGCTGCGGCTATCATGATGATTCTAGAGTGCAGCTAGCTATAATAACATGAGAAAGGAGGAGGAGAAGGAGAAGAAGGAAGAGAAGGAATTAATACATGCACAAGCAAGCAACGACTATTTGAAATTGGGTTTTTTGATTCTTTTTTTTTTTTGCTCTCAAGATGTGTCACCTGATATCAGCAGCAACCAACTGCAACCTCCTTCTCCTCCTCAAAGCCAATAGTTTAGTTTGTGTATGGCTGTTTGTAAGAGAGAGAGATGTGTGGTGGTGGTGGTGGTGGTGGTAATGATGGTGGGTGGTTATGATGATGAGCGTGTGAAACTTACTCGCGAGTGAGCAGCTGCTTTCTCTTTTCACGGTGGTGACCAATCAGAATGACAGTGATGGATGATAGTGATGATTGGAACTTTTGATATTTTTAATAATAATAATAAAAGATAAATAGATATAGATAGATATAGATAGATAGAATATCCTAAAAATAAATAAAACCCAACAATACTAATAATAATAAGAATATGATGTTTTGGAAAAAGTAGTTTATGACCAAAAAAAAAAATCAAGAAAAAAAAAGTTGGCTCCATCCCGACCTCAACTTGCATAAAAATCTTTGGTTGGGCGGTCTCAAAAGCTCGCCAGATCGATCGTTTTTCAAGGTTTTGCTAAAGTATTTATAAATTATAAACTTTGTGGAGAACATATATATATATATCTCTTTTCACAACATTCAATATGATTAATGATCACATCATAATAATAAAAGAATTAAATTATTTGTTTTTTTTTAAAAAAAAAATTAAAAAAAAACCAGAAAAGGTTAGTTCACCTAAAAAATCAGACATATTTCAAACGGATAGATAGATAGATATAGAACAGATAGAGATAGATAGATATAAAATTAATTAACAGTAAAAATGGAAGATGAAGAGGCAGCAGTACAATCACCATATGATATGTTGGAGATGATCTTTCCAACCATCGGTAGAGAACACATTGCAAAGGAACTAGAAGCAAACTATTATGATTTGTTAAGAACACTTTATAAACTTTTACAGTCTGATGACTATGCTGAAGATGTTCAACCAGGACATATGATAAATGAACAATTTCCTAATAATCAAAATAACAACAATAATTATGATAATAATAATAATTACAATAATAATAATAATAATAATAATAATGAATTAGTAGTTGGACAATCAACAGAATTGGATACACAAATATTTCAAAAGAAGTTTATTCCAATACCAGTGGCATGTAGATTCTTTATGGAGGGTGCTTGTGTCAATGAAAACTGTCGTTTCATACACGATGACTCTGTAAAACCAAAGGTTACTACTGTTTGTAAGTACTTTCTCAATGGACAGTGTTTTGTAAAAGGTTGTCCATTCAAACATTCTCGTGAAACCGTTTTATGTAAATATTGGTTAAGAGGAACATGTTGTAAAAGAGATTGTATATTTTCACATCAAATCGATCAAACTGTACATACCTATACAATGACACAGGCAGATAAAAATGCAACCATTGGAAACACCTACAATGGAACTGCAGAGTCTACTGCCAAACAGCTATCATCAAACTTTGAAAAGAACTTTCCTACACTTGGTGGTGGTGGTGGTAGTGGAACTTCAAATAAGAATACAAAGAAATCATTTAATAATCAAAATAATAATAATAATCAAAATACTAATCAGAATAATAATAATAGTCAACAAGAATCTTTAACACAAATTACAACCGAAAATACTAATAATAATAATAATAATAATAATAATCAGAATCAGAATCAACAAAGAAAAACAATTCAACAAACAGATCAATTCCCAACTTTATCTATGGGAGGTCATCAAAGAAAGAATCGTAATAACTATAATAATAATAATAATAATAACTATAACCACTCGACATCTGTTGATTCGATTGATATGAATTACAAGATAAAGATTGGTCAATTGGAGAATATGTTTAAAAATATACAATTGGATACAATCATAAAGGAGTTGGAATGCAATGAAAATGATTTCGAAAAGACAAAGGATTCACTAAAGAGTCGTTATGGAGTAAGCTCTCCACAAAACATTTCAACTAAATCAACATCTAGTGTGGCCGATGATGATCGCAATTATTATGGTGATGCACCATTAAGCAATATAAAGGTTCAAGAAAATGTTGCATTTGGTAAAAGTTTTGTTTGGAGCGATACCGGTGAGTATGTCAGCTCACTATACATTCTTCATCGTGATGAAGCTATCAAACATGCTCGAGAAAGAAATCGTTTGTTTAGTTTGGCAGCAATGGCATTTAATAATGGTGATCATTCTACGGCTCGTCAACTCTCTCATCAAGGACACGACCACAATCGTCTCATGAGAGAACTACATGAAAAGGCCAAACAAGAGATCTTTAAACAAAGAAATGTAGGACATGGAAATGATATGATCGATTTGCACGGCCTACATGTAAGAGAGGCAATAGAAATATTAGAAAACTATTTAGGTGTATCCAGTCCACTCTATATCATTGTTGGAACAGGACATCATACAAACCAAGCACGTCTACCAAACAAGGTAAAAGAATTTATAACCAATCAAGGATATAAATATCAAGATTGTTCTACTGATGGTAGAGAAGGTATGATCATGGTTTATAGATAATAAGTTAATAATCTTTTAAAAAACTATAAATAATAATTAGTAATAATAAATAATAAATAATAAATAACTCACAATCAATGAAAGACACTCCATTTTGAGACGTAGAGTCTACCAAACTATAATGTCATTTTGCAAGTCGATGGGAATCGGTGTGTCTGTCCATTCGTTCACTATCGATTGCACACACAGTTGTGTCGATCTTGTGTGTTGTCACAAACCCCCCAACATGTTTTTTTTTATTTCAAAAAACTTTAAAATCTTTTTTGGGTGTGAATCAATCTTCACTGTGAGCCTCTTTAAAATTAAATTATTTATATTTATAATACCTATCTAATTAATCTTACTACTACTACTACTACTACTACTAGAGATACAACAACAATGGGAAATAAACAAGGAAAGGCTACGTCTTCATCATCGACTAGCAAAAAGTCTGATAAGAAATTCAGTATGTCATCCTATGATAGTGATAGTGATAATGTTATTATTGGATGGTCTATCACATGACCTTGTCACCTCAACATCAAAAAGAAGAGATAACTAACCTATCATTTTATATTTTTTATAGAGATGGATCCTGATACCATCAAAAAATTACAAGAGAACACCAACTGTATGTAGAGATCAAATACAACCCTCCTTCATCATCACGATCAATTAACTCTAAATTTTCTCCTCCTCCTCACATTTATCTACACCCCAAAGTTGACAAGGTGGAAGTTAGAAAATTATATGAAGTCTTTACCGAATTAAGTGATGGTGGCAAAAAGCCATTAAACAGAGATCAATTCAAACAAGGTTTAAACAAATTAGAACAAGCCGGTCTCAAGAATCTCGACAATACTCCATTCCCAGATCGTCTATTTGATCTTTTAGATATCAACAAGGACAACACTGTAGATCTTCAAGAGTTTGTAGGTGGTCTCTCTATGCTTTGCAAGGGTTCAATCGACGAAAAACTTGAACGTATGTTTAATTTAAAAATCAAATCATAACTTTTATGTTGTTTGTTAATTAACGCACATCTCTTTATTTTACTACCTATAGTTTCATTCAAGGCATACGATTTGGATGGTAATGGATATATTTCAAAGAGTGAATTATCATTAATGTTTAAGCAAGCATGGATCTCTGGATTCAAGGCACTATCTTACCAAACCAATGAAGATCTCAACCCAGAAGATCTTCAAAACTTTTCAGAGGATATGGCCCAAATCTTTGCTGAAGGTGCCTTTTCATCTTTAGATGTCAATGGTGACGGTAAACTTTCCTTTAACGAGTTTAAACAATTTGCCTTGTCTCATCCAAAGATTACTGCCACTCTCAATGGTTCAAAGAGAGATGTACCAATTACTTTTGACTAAATCTATTATTATTATATATAACAGAAAGTTTTCTTACTACAGCTAGCTTTTATTTGTTTTTTTTTTTTTCTATATATATTTATTTTTTGGACCAAACTAAAGAAAGGAGTATTCTTGATCAATTCCCTCTTGATACTGACCCATACCAACACATAATAATATTATCAAAAAAACATTGTAATAAATCAATCGATTCATCCAAAAATCAATAATAATGTAATGTGATCTTGTGTGGGGGAGGTTTCTTGTTTTTATTGTTATCTTTGCTTCTTTTATTTATTCGGTTTCTATTATCAACATTATTTATTATGATATTATCTTTTCATTGTATATATGTATATACTATATAGAAGAAGTAACAGCAACAGCAACAGCAACAGATGAGTAAGTGGGGGAACCTAAGTTTACCTGATATATCGGTGCTAGGTAAAGCACTAAAGACTGTTGAAAAGTCTATCGATAAAGTAATTGGTATACCTGGTATGTACATTCAAATGGTTACTCTCATCATTATTATTATTATTATCATATATTTGCTAATATGCGCATTGTTATTAATTATCTATCTAATAATAGATCAAGATGAACAGCTAAAACAACAACAACAAGGAGATGAAGAAGATTCCTCTCCTCCTGTTCCACTATCAACATCACCAACAACAACAACGACAAATTCATATTTTGGATATTCATTCTCATCAAACACTTCATCACCTTCTAGACCTAGAGTAACAAAAGGTACAAGTCAAATACCAACAAAGAAAACTATTCCACAATCATCGCCACCTGTCCTACCGACTATCCAACCACCACCGGTAGAACAAACACAACCCCAACAAGCAAGAACAGAGACTGTCAACAATTCAGCATTAAATGGTGATGATCAAACTTTATTGGTTGTGGATCAAGAGAATACTAGCATCATTGATAACAATACTAGTATCAATGTTGAATCATTGGTCAATGATAATTCATTACGAGTCGACAATATATCTCCTATAAAAGCACCTTCAAACTCTTCAAATACACCACCAACAAATATATCAACTGATCAAGAGGATGATATCATTGAATACAATAATGATGATGTTATAAAAAATGATAATATTGAACCAATAATTATACCTTTACAAGAACAACCAACCAACACTAAACCAGTTGTCGAACAACAACAACAACAACAACAACAACAACAACAACAACAACAACAACAACAACAACAACAAGATAATAATAATGATAAATTAAAATTAAAGATATTAGAATTGGAAGGTAAAATATCAGCATTGGTTATTGTTAATCAAGAAAAGGAAAGAGTTTTGGGTGATAGAGAGAAACAACTATCTAATCTATCTTTACATATTTCAAAGTTGGAAACAACCAATGATCAATTGATAAGTGATATCACTCGGTTAAATACTGCTCAAAAGAAAGAGGATATTGAAAATCTAAAGGAAGAATTTAGCAGGAGAATTGGTGAGGTGGAAAAGAGACTCAAGATTGTTTCCAAAGAGAGAGATTCATTAAAGTCTGGTCAAGCTGTATCGGAAAACACAACCAATTCACTAAAGGAAAAAGATGACCAAATTTCACAGCTCATGCAAGAGGGTACAGCATTGTCTCACAAGGTGTTGGCATTAGAATCGACAATCAAAAAACAAAGAACTCATATTAAAGAATCAGACGAACAGTTAAGGTTACTCAACGACAGAGTTTCAACTACCGATAATTTACTTCAATCAAAGGTCGATCGATTGAAAGAGTTGGAGGTGGCTGACAAAAAGTATCAAGATACTATTTCAACAATGAAAGATGTAACACAAGTAACAAACAAAAAGTTTGAAGAAGCTGATAAGGCCAGTAAACAGGCAGCTGAACTTCAATTGGCTCTAGACAAGGCATGGAAAGAAATATCTGATCTCAACAAACATCACCAAATGGAAGTTGATCGATACACTAGAGCCATCGACGAAACTAAACAACGAACAAGAGACGAGATGCAGATGCAATTCAACAATGACAAAAAAGAGCAAACCAGAAAAGAGGAATCACTTCAACACTCAGTGTCTGAGGTTCGTCTGGAAATGGACCGTCTCAATGAACGTCACGCCAGAAAGGAGGAGGAACTCAATAAACACATCCAGCATCTAAATCAACGATGTAGAGAGGCAGAACAAAGATCAGATCAATTGAGTTCATCCATTCCCGATACGACCCGTCCTCTTATCAAACAAATAGAATCTTTACAAAGTGCAAATGATGCTCGTCAGCAAGCATGGGACGCTTTGGAAAAAATATCACAACAACAATTAAAAGAATTAAAATTGGCTGCAGAGATTGCATCTCACAATGAACAAGAAGCTATTAATGAATTGGAGGAAATGGTAAATGTTAAAAATAATAATTATATAATTCCTTTGCAAATATGTTTTCTAACTTTTTTCTTTTTCACAGACAACGAAAATCAATATTTTACAAGTAGATTTTAAAAAAGAAAAGAACCAAAACAAAATATTACAAAATGATTTACAAAATGAAAAGAATAGATTGTTGGAAAAATCAAATATTTTGGATTCACATCAAGATCAAATCATTCAGTTGAAAGAAATGCAAAAACAAAAAGAAAATACCATTCAACAATTGGAGGAGAAATTGGAAAAATCATTTAAAGATTTCAAAGAGGCAGAGGAATTAAGACAAAGAGAAAAGGAATTGGAAAAAGAGAGACGTGAAAATGATTTGATTAGATCTTCTTCCTCAAATTCTTTATCTAATATTAATAATAATAATGGAGGAGGAACTTCATCATTGACAGGATCTTCTAGTATTTCATATGAAAACAAATTATATGGATTGAGGAGGAACAATAGTAATAATGATTTTTTACAACAACCACAACAACAACAACAACAATCTTCACCTCATTCTACACTCTCTGTTGAATTTTATCAATCGACACTTGGTCACAAAGAAAGAGAAATTGCAATGTTGAACTCTAAATGTCTATCATTTGAAAATTCAAAGAGTATTTATTTATCTGATCAACATTTTTATAATCAAAATCATTTTAATTAACAATACTTTTTTTTTGTTTTTTTAGAAAAACTTGAAGAAGAACTAATTAAATTAACAACATCAAATGAACAATTATTATTGGAATCAAAGGAATTAAAAAATACTAAAAATGAGGTCAAAGACATCAAACAAAGATATGGCACTGTATTGGAGCTCTTGGGTGAAAAGGAAGAAATGGTCAATGAATTAAAATTGGATATTGTAGATATGAAGGAACTATATAAATCGCAAATTAGTGAATTATTGGTACAGGTTGAAAAACTAAAAAAGTAATAATAAAACATTAATTTATATATATATATATATAGTTTGTAATAATATGACCCAAACCAATCAGGGTCATATCCTATCCAAAAACTCTCTCTTCAAATTACAAGGTTGATTCCAAAGCATACATTCTTTTTTGAGGGTTCTATTTCTAATTTAATAACCAAATTAGATGGTGGTCTAATACAAACTAAAAAAAAAAGAATCCTATCTTATTTGAATTAGAATCAGATCAACATTTAATATCCTACAATTGTTTGGACAAGTTGTTATCCTTTTTCCATTCCAAAGATGAGATTGTGTATTTTTTCCCTTATATATTAATAATACAATATATTATTTTGAAAAAAAGAGTGTGGTGTGGTCTTAATTAGTGTTTACAAGTAACCTGGGGGTGATTATAATACGTCGAAGAAAAAATAAATGTTATTTCCCAATCAAACATAAATCATTCTTTTTATTTCTATTCTTTCAACCAAACCAAATAAATAATAATAATTAAAAAATGTCAAGTCTTGGAGGAGTTGGAAAAGTTCAACCTGCTAATAAAGATATCATGACCATGGTATTAAAGGTTAAAACTCATGTAGAAACAAAACTTGGTCAACAATATCATTGTTTTAGGGCAATCTCTTTTAGACAACAAGTATGTTGGAATATTTGAACATTATAGATTAATCACAATCAAGATTTCAAGTTTTAATTTAATTTGTTTTATTTACAGTTGGTAAATGGAATCAACTATTTTGTAAAGGTTAAAGTAGGTGAAGGTGAATATGTACACCTTAGAATTTACCAAGATTTTAAAAAGACTATCACTCGTCTTGATGCAGTACAAGCTCATAAATCAGAAGATTCTACTATTGAGTTCTTTGACATTGATCCTTCTCTCTCTCATTAAAGCTTTGATTATTACTGGATATAGTGCTGTGCTAAACAATGTGCTTGCATCACTCACACACAATGGGATTATTAAAATAAAATTAAAAACACAATAATTATCTTTTTGAAAATCACAAACACAACAATTACTATATTTATATATATCTAAATTATTATTATTATTATTATTATTAAACCTTTGAAATAAAACAACGAGATGAACTCTGCTGGATCACTCGGATTAGTTAGACGTGTCGATGCAAATGTGATAGCATTGGTGCACAAAGTAAAAGAGCAAGCTGAAGCAAAACAAGGCAAACAATATAAACAGTTCGCTGCTGTTTCATATCGCGAACAAGTAAGGTTAACTTTCTTGCTTCTATATAAAATTAGTATTATTTATATCTATTTATACTAATTTTATATCCTCTTTTCTTCTTCTTCTTCTTCTTCTTCATTTTTAGATTGTAAATGGTATAAACTACTTTGTCAAGGTTAGAGTTGATCATGATGAGTTTATACATCTTAGAATTTATCAAGATTTTAGAAAGACTGTTCTCTTGTTGAATTCTGTTCAAGAGGGTCATACTCTTGACTCTGAGATTACCTATTTCTAGAAAACAATAAATAAATATTGATGACTTTTTTTTATTTATATAAATGGTCTTCTTTGTCCTTGATTAATTTGTTGAAGTTTATCAAGAAAATCATGTGATTCTGCCTTTTCATATCTTTTTTTCTTTTCTTCGTCTCTTATTGAATTGCCTGATGTTTTAAATTTATATCTATTATTATTATTAATACTATTATTATTATTATTATTATTATTATTACTATTATCAATATAAGTTTCTTCTGGTGTCATGGGCATATTATTATTATTATTATTATTATTATTATTATTATTATTATTATAATTATGATTATAATTATTATTATGATTTGAAATTAAATAAGTATCTTCTGGCTTTATAGATTTATATTCTTTTTGATGATATTGTTTTTTTGGTTGTTGTTGTTGGGCGGCTTGTTGATTTTGTTGATTTTGTTGTTGTTTGTTTGAAAAGGTAAAGCTTGTCAATTGGGATTTAGACCAATCATAAAATGAGACACAGTTGGTGGTTTCACCTTTTTGAACAAGATTTTCATATAGTTTGATGCCAATTTTAAGTCCCAACCATGCATCTACTGCCGCATAAGTGATAAATGACAAGTTCTTGATTCTTTCTTGTACCATCTTGGAGGGTGGGATTTTTTGGTCAGAGGTTCGTTTAGAGTAACCCAAAAGATCGATTGACATGTGATCAAGTGACATGTAGTCTCTTGTAAGTCCATTGTTACGAGCAACACTTGCAACATCCATTGAACCATTACAATGAGTATCTTTGAAACTATTCTTTAAATATTCGAAATCTTTTCCAACACCAACTCCACATTTCACAACCATACGACTGGAAAGAAAGACAGAGAGATCCTTTGGGAGGGTTCCATCTTTTGTGAATCTACACACACAAATGACAGCACAAACTGTCAATGTAGATAATTGAATAGTATAGACTGGATCCTGACCTTCAACATCGAAACCAATAACGATATTTGAGGCGACAAAAGCCATTTGTTGTTCTTCGGCTTGTTTCTTTTTACCAAATGAAACTATTTTTGGTTGTTGTGTTTCGACAATCTTATTTTCTTGATGATAGATTGATGATATGATTGATAAGAAACGTGATGTTTCCTTTTCATCGTATATGACAACAATGGTAGGAGTGTCATCGTTGTTTGACCAAATAACATGATTAAAATCTTTGACCAACTGCAACCATGGTTTCTTTTGAATGATTTCTTCAACATTTACTTGTTTACTATTACCAATAATTTTATCATTACTAATAGTATTTTCTTGTTGTTGTTGTTGTTGTTGTTGTTTTATATCTTTAGTTGATTTGTTATTATTATCATCACTATCATCATTATCATCATCATTCTTTAACTTTTTCTTCTTATGTTTGGTGTCTTTTTTTGATTCAGAGTCTTTCTTTTCCTTTCTTTCTTTCTTTCTTTCTTTCTTTAGTTGATCGTAGTCTTTTTCTTCATCTTTAGAAGAGGTCTTTTTATCCTTTTTCTCTTTCTTTTTTTCTTTCTTTAGTTCTTTTTCTTCTTTCTTTTTATCCTTTTTTATCTTATCTTTATGATCAATATCTTCTGTCTCTTTGTCATCATTTTTTCTTTTACTCATTATTTGTTATCGAGTGTCATCTGATAAATAACTAATAGAGGAGAAAAAAGAAGTTCTGTCTAACCACGAAAAAGTCAAAAAATAGTTTAAAAAATCAGGTGGTGAACAAAAGCTATGCTGTTTTAAAATTTAAAACTTTGTATAATTATCTTTAAACCTAGCATTATTGCAAAGAATAGAAGGAGAATAAGAGGAACATGACAAAGGGCAAAGTTCTTTCAGATTCTGATATAAAACGTAAGACTCGACTCAATACTTTTACATACAATTCTTCTTGTACATCTCTCTCTCTTTCGTCTTTATCATTAACTAATATAACTTTTATTATTATTATTATTATTATCATCATTACCTTTAGAGAGGATAGAATTATTAGAAAAGAGAAAAGAAAATAGAAAGAATGTTAAACTATTCTTTCATCCAATCAAGACTTTAAAGTATTTCTTTTATGTACTTCGTGACACATTTGTCAATGGCATACTTTTTGTACAAAAACAACCATTACTATTGTTCTTTGTAACACTTATTATAAGCACAGCATTGTTTGTTGTTTACGTTCCAGGACAACATCAAGAATATCTTGGAAAATATACTGACCTCATATCGATTTGTTTCTGGTGGGTAGGACTTGGTATCCTCTCTTCTGTTGGTTTGGGAACTGGTTTACATACATTTGTATTGTACCTTGGTCCACACATTGCAAAGGTTACTTTGGCTGCTACGGAATGGAGATCATTGGATTTCGAACAATACGGACCAAACAGTTTCATTAATCCAAACTTGGCCAATCCGTCATCATCGGTCGCTGATGCCTCTTTGGAGAATGTTTCATTTTGGAGTATTTTACAAGCTGTTCAGCTTGCAGCTCTCATGTGGGGTGCTGGTACTGCCATTGGTGAATTACCACCCTACTTTGTCGCTAGAACAGCAAGACTCAAAGGTTTAAAGCTCGAACAAGAAGAAGAAAAAAAGAAAAAGGAAAATGGAACCAAGAATCAAGCCAACGAAAAGGAGGAAAAGAAGGGATTATTGGAAAGATTAAGTTCTGCTGTTCCTGCTCTCATTGGAAATATGGGTTTCTTTGGTATTTTGGCTTTTGCTTCTGTAAGTCAAATGAATGAATGAATGAATGAATGAATCATTTATAATTGATAATTAATTTTTTCTCTCTCTCTTTTAGATTCCTAATCCATTATTTGATTTGGCAGGAATTACATGTGGACACTTTTTAGTACCATTTTGGAAGTTTTTCGGAGCAACATTGATTGGAAAGGCTGTTGTAAAAGCTCACATCCAAGCATGTTTTGTTATTTTGGCTTTCAACATGGAAACATTGACTTGGGTAATTGCCAAGATTGAAGAATATATTCCATGGTCAAAAGGAAAAGTACTTCCAATCCTCGAAAAGGAAAGAGAAAGATTAAACTCTTCGACCAACACTCAAAACGCTCCAAAGAGTTATTTGGGTGTTCTATGGGATTGTGTATTGGCAATGATGATCTTGTACTTTTTAATCTCAATCGTCGATTCATCCGTTCAGGAATATCTCATCGACAAGGATAACAAAAAGATTGAAACTCTCAAAGAAAAGCTTGTTGGAAAGGAATCTAAAAAGAATAAATAAAAAACCCCTCTTTTTCACTGGTGGCGCCAACTAAACTATTAAAGTTTAGTTGATATTATACTATTAACTAACTCTATAAATAACTTTGGCAGATGATGTAAAATTTTATTATTATCATTAAAATTAATTTCTTTGGTAAATTATTATTATTATTATTGTAGGTAGGTTTATAGATTATACACTTGGCGTTTAAGACTAGACCATTAATTAATTATCTCTTTCTCTTGACAATTGAGAAAGAGTTGAAAAGGGAATCACCATCCTGAATGGAATTGGTGTCTGGAAAAATATTACTATTGTCAATATTAATAAGACTATTGATGCTTGAACATTTGATATTATTATTATTATTATGAGTATTATTGGTGTGATTTTGATTATTATTAATCTTGTTAGTATTATTATTATTGTTGATTTGATGATAGATGGTATAGGATTCAATATCGCTACTATTTGTTGTATCATCAGACTCTTCATCCAATCCATTTTCTTGACTGGGTGTAGTAGATGTTGTTGCGTTTAAATTTAATGGTGGAATATTATTATTATTATTATTATTATTATTATTATTATTATTATTATTATTATTATTATTATTATTATTATTATTGTTACTATTATTATTATTTTTACTTTTGTTATCCATATTACTTTTAGTGGTGACAATGGTATTTGGGAAACCAGCATACTTTAAAGCACAAAGACTTTGTAGGCATGGGGAATCAGATGGCGATGAGACTTCTTCGGAATTCTTGATCCCCAGAAGATTCTTTGGAAGTATTGGTTGATATTGTGATAATCTCTTTTGTTGGTGTTCTAATTGAGCTAATTCTAGTTGATTTAATGTTTGCTTTTTAGTGTTGAAAATTAAAGAATCCTTTTTAACCATACCATTATTATTATTATTATTGTTGTTGATGTTGTTTAAAGTGGGTATCATTGATAATGGTGAAGTAATATCTTCTATTTTTCTTTTCTTTAAATTATTTTCATCATTATTATTTTGATTATTATTATTAGTCTTTTTGTTTGTAATTCTATCACTAATATTATGATAATAATAATAGTCATTTGCTTTGTAATCTAATCGAAGACAAATTTCACAATTTGGACTGCATTCAGTATGCATATTTCTATTCTTTTCATGGCTTGCCCTATTAGAGGTTGACAATTGCTTGTTGCATGGACCATCATGTCTGCAATGAACCTTTCTTGTGGCAGATCTTCTTCTAACGAGATCACATTGTTGGCATGCTTGGTCACATTCTTTTCCGTGATAACTTGTGTAATGGTTGGAACGTCCACTAGAATGGCTGTAAGAGTAGGTACAACCAATGTGTTTACAGACAAATTTGTTTTTGCCTCGGTCCGGAGAAATTGGAAACTGTGACTTGTTGTTGTTGTTTGGTCGATGGGCTTTTCTTCCAGTACTGTCATCTTCCCAGTCATCAGTATCTTCAAATTCTTCATCTTCATCATCGTGGTAACAATCTGGAGATCTCTCGTCATTGGAGGACATTTCCGAAGTTAATACATACGATGAGGAACAAACAAGGGAACCATTTTTCCCAAATGATGGAGAAATACTTTTACAAACACCAGTCATAGAAGATGAAGACAACGATGAAATTGGTGGGGATGTGGAAGTGGATGATGAAGGAGATGGAATAATAGGAGGAGGAGGAGGAGGATGGCCAACAATGACCAATCGATTCATTTTTTTTTCCTCAACAACTGTCACAGCATGCTGGTGGGATTGAGTTGCAGTGTAGTATCTGCTTTTCATGATGATTGAGTATGGAAAAAAAAGTATAAAGAGAAAGAGAAAAGATGATAGGACAGCTGGTGGGATTGACCAACTAGATTTAAAATAGTTTGGGAAAAAAAAAAAAGGTAGGAAATACAATAAATATTATAGTATGGCGGTATAACCAACAACAAATATTATTAGATGTTATAAAAGATGATGGACTATTTAAAATAATATATATGTTGTAATATTTGGATGGATGGATTGATTGATTGATGGATTGATTGATTGATCAAGATGTTGATGATCACACAATGACAAAGAGTACACCACACACACACTACACACCAAAACCAGCAACACAACTAATGCACCGGTGCAGCTGCCAAGAAGAGGATTAAAAAGATAATAATAATATGATGAAGTGATATATTGACAAGGTAATAGCAAGCTCTCTCTCTCTCTCTCTCTCTCTTTACCAATACTAGTGATAATAATAAATTCAATCTGTCACATTAAAAATGTAGCAGTTGCAGGAGGAGGTATTGTCTATCTATCTCTTGTGTCTGTGTGTTGTTGTTATTGTTGGTTTAATATTAAAATATAAAGTAGTATGTAGTAGTACTTTACATATATTACTATTGATCTATCCTTTGTACCATACACAACCACCACTTTTAAGTGCTAGAGAGAGAGAGAGCATCCCAGTACATTTGAACCATCGCTACTTTTATCTAAACCACACTACATATGTGTTGGAAAGCAAGCATTGAAGAGGAGAAGGAAAAAGAAGAGGGAGGAGGAAAAGACTGTTGATGTACAAATCGAGAAACACACTGACCATCCATATTGACATTGAAATCAACAACAACAACAACAACATAGAACACTTTGTGCTTTAAACCCACCCAAAAATGTTACTTTTCCAAGTTGATCGAGTTGCGCAATAGACACCATAGTGTTGGTTTAATTGATTGATCTGATTGATTTGATTGATTTGACTGATTAATTCAGTCATTCAATCAACCAAACAACAAGACACAAAATAGCCACTCTCTTGAGAGGATGGGTTTATTTTTGCAGACCGCCCCCTTTTCCCAACATCAAGAAAGACATACAGAGAGTGAGAGTCAAGAAGGGTTTTTTTGTAGTTGGGTTGTGTGTAGTGTGTGTCTGTTTATATTGTATATTACAACATGATGGTTTCTTTAACCACTGACCAATGACATGGTTTATGTGAATTGAACCCAGATAAAGGTGAGTAGAACAAAAAATGGATTTTTGATGTCTTAGGTCATTATTTTTTGATAGTCACAATACCAAGGTAAAACCCCCCCCCCCCCCTCTCACTGTTCATTACTTTTAAAACCACTTGCAATGGATATGTAATGAAAGGTTGTGTTTGATGGGGGTTTTAGATTTACAGGAATATATATACATATATTTTAATATTATCCAATATTGATTGATTGATTAATTTGATTCAAGACTGAATGGATTTAAATCGTCGATGACATTATCCATCCAATCGCTGAATTGTTAATGGTTTAACTTGTATAGATTCCAAAAATGAATGACCAACCCTTGTTGTAATATTTAACCAAGATTCTGGAAAAGGATCGAACCTATTAATAATTATAATTATGATCATTATTATTGTCTGATAGTTGTGGCAATATTGTTTTTGTTTTTTTTTTGATACCAAATCTATCAATTTCCTTTTTCAGAGATTTACATCATAGATCATTTATTTATTTTTTTGATCACCACTTTCCACTAATCAATATACTTTTATTTTATTGATATGATATAATTAATTAGATATGCCAAAATAAATCGATTAATAAAATTTAAAAAAAAAAAAACACAAACAAACAAATCACCAAAGTAGATCGGTGGTGACGCAGCGCTAAAATGGTTAATTATCTTCCATTCCATCACGATTGTCATGTCTTCTTCTTCTTCTTCTTCTTGATGATCGATCATCGCAATGCTAAAATCATCAACCATCTTTTTAATCATAATCCTAGTATCGACAAGTGTCTATAATCTTTATCATCAATTGAATGGAGAGACCAATAACAACAATAAGTCTTCACCACCAAACTATTTCATTGGTTTACCAATTGATGATAGTTTTACTAGAAATCAATTAGAATTGGCACAACAATTGATTGGTAGCAAGGTATGGGTCGATCAAAAGTGGCTAGCAACACCGACCAAGTTTCACATTACCCTGTTTGTAATGAATCTAGTAAATGATACACAAATAGATCTTGTTCAAACGAAATTATTGCCTTTATGCAAGCAATACATGTTTGATCTATTCAATAATACACCACCAACTGTTAGAATACAGTATGTATAAAAAGATTAATATCTAAAGTATTCAAAAGCATTACTAAATTGTGAACTATATAGTGGTACTGGAACATTCTCTGAATCCTTTATTTGGGCAGGTGTTAAACAAGATGAAATGAAATCAAAACTGGAACAATTCTACCAAATGTCATTTAAACTATTTAAAGATAACAATATAAATGTACACAAGGAACCAAAATGGATACCACATATTACATTACTCAAAGATAATCGATTACACAACAAACAATACTTTCAACAAGCTATTCAAATATCCAATGCTTTCAATTCTTCATACTTTGGTGATCAAACTTTTGGTAGATTGGATTTTATGAAAGTTGGTTCAAAAGATAGAAAGACTGGTTATTATGAAATCGTTGATTCAATTAAACTCGTTGATTCATAAAATAATAATAATAATAATAGAATAATAATAATAATATAATAATAGAGAGAATTTTATCATTTATTTATTTATTTTGTTTATTTTTAATTGACAAGATAATAAACATTATTATGTACCAACATAAATGTTATTGGAAATAATAATGCACTGAAATTACAAAACATTAATAGTTTAATGTTGTTTTTGAGTGATTGTAGAGGATGATTGAGAACAGAGAGTTGGAATTTTGATTGAAAGATGAAACGGATGACAAGGAACACCATAAAACTAAAGAATGATGAAAAGAATGCATAGATGATATACATGATATATACACTCCTGTGAATATCGACGTATGGATAGTGGGCGGCTGCAGTGCCTAGTCTGATGCAAACAGACAAGAGAATATAAAAGAATGGGACACCGCAGTAAGAGAGGCAAGTGAAAAAGAAACGATCGATCACTCTGGTTTGATGCTCTTCTCGCTCGATCGAGATGGGGAAGAAAAGACCTACGAACCCATAAAACACCTTGTCAAAGATATTGGTAGAATGGAACCAATTGTCTGATTTACACTTGTCCCATTGTGCCTTGACAGAACAACGCCATTGCCAATACTGTTCACAAAGAAAGATGGGATGTCGAACCAGGACCACCAATTTAATGAGTAGCAGCAAATAGAAATGCAATGATTCCACTCTGATAAACATAAAGCAAATGACCAGCTCTGATAGTGTCTCGACCCAGTAACAAATAATGTTATGGTTACCACGGTGAGTGTATTTACGTGTGATATAGATGACTCCTTGATTGATGAGGAACATGAGGAAATAGTAGGCTACACCAACTAGAATCTGATACTGTGGCGATGAGAATGCAATGACAAATCCCATAGAAAGGATGAGAGCCACCGTTGTCAAGAGCAAAAAGAGATAGTACCGTAAAAAGGATAGGGTATAGGACAACTTGAAGCGATCACTCGAACGGATATAAATGAAAATGGGTAGGATAACCAATGACTCTAGTGGAATCAATATGATTTGTAGTGGGATGGGATACTTGGTGTGATCGATAAACTGTGCAATCAGAGAATAGGTGAGTGACACCAAGACACAATGAAAGAATAGTACAGAGTATCCAGTCTTGGTCTTTAGAAATACAGATGCCCATCCAATGTGAAATACCGACGTCACTGCCGTTACCAGTGGAATATAGATGAGACAATACAACCAATTGGCAAGAAATCCAAAACTATCTCTACGTAGTGGGATGAGAGAGATTAAAAAGATAACAATCAATGGAATGACGATACCTTTTATAATCGATGAAAATGTATTGGTTGCATTGTGTATTACGATTTTAACTGGCTTTTCGGCTGGTAGAATAAATATGGTTGGTGCATAATCATAGTGAACATGTTTTACTCCTGGTGTTGATGCTGTTGATTCAGTTCCAACCCCAATAATACTTTCAGATGATTGAGATGTTGGTATTGATACATTATTATTAATATTACTATTATTACTACTATTATATGATTGGTTATATTGTGGTGGTGGTGGAGTATTTATTGGTATTCTAGTATTATTTATATTATTATCATTATTAAAACTATTATTTAATTGATTTATAGTTGTCATTATTTTAATTTATAATAAAATATTATTATTATTATTATTTTGATCTAATTATTTTGATCCAACTCGTAATATCCTATCTTTTAGCTTTATAAATAAATAAACGAAAAAAACAATAACAGGTTTTGGTGTATGATATATAATACTAGGTTGTTTTGTTGTTTGATGATGATGATGATGATGATGATGGTGATGATGTTGTTTGATGATAGATTATTAAATGTAGTGATTTGACAAGGGTTGACTAATATTGATAGGGGTGGTTAATATTATTATAATATTGACAAAGTTGAGTTCCAACCTGGTTAGTCTACTATTAATTATTGTAATAATAATGGAATATATACATATGTATTTCAATTATTAGATAGAGAGTGATTTGTTTGTGATGATGTTGATAGAGAGAGGAGGAGGAGGAGGAGGAGGAGAACAAGTGAGCTGATACAAGTAGTTCTTGATTTGTGGGAGGAGGAGGAGGAGGAGAATAAGATCTTTTGTTTGTGCTTGATAGATCTATCGACTTATTAAACGTATGTGGAAAGTATTGATCAATATTGTTTTCTTCTTGTTGTTTTCCTTTGCTACTAATAGGTGGTAATAATAACTAAAGTAACAATACCAAAGAGTACTCTAATATTCTTGTAATATATTGATCCAATCTTTTCAGTTGTATAGTAGTAGCAGTGCACTGCAGGTGCTGGTATTGTAAGATAACTTGCTCGAATTAGCAGTTCTTTAATATCACCAACAAACATCAACCACCACCATCCTAATTATCTGTCTATACATCTTCACCAACAACCGTAGAGAGGGAGAGAAGAGAGTTGTGATGATCAAAGAAGAACTTGTAATGATGATCAATCACACCTTTTCCAGGTTTAAAGTACATCATCATCGTCGATATATTGATTAACCAATTTCAACAGCAGCTGTCATCATTTAGAGGGTATATGGTTGGTACATGAATGAATTAATTTCGATATGATAACTAAAAAAAGGTGAAAGATGAAGTGGGTTGAAGAGGATATCGTGAGTTTTTTTTTTGTGTGTGTGTTTGAGATAGATAATCTTTTATCCAAAATCGTAACACAAACTAGTTTAAACAACACGACTAGTTTGATTTCTCCTCCCAACAACCAATTATCAATGTAAACTACAATATTTTTTAACCCCCCCTCCCATTAAACTTGACTTGTTGAAATGATCTGATTTATTGGTTGATCTAATCTATCATTATTTATTATTATTGGAGGTCAATGTTGTTCACCACTATTATTATTAATATTATTAATATTATATTGATGCAATTGTGATTGGAATGGTTTTTGAGTTTCAACATGACCACTGGTTTTATAGTTTAAAGAATATTGTGTTTTGTGTAAAGGAAGATATAAATAGTTGATCATAAGTCCAAAACTTTCTCGCATTCTTTGATTTGAAAGATCTCCCTTCCAATTTAATCTATAGATTGATGCTCCATTTTTTAGATGGAAATTACACACTGGATCCAATGTTTTAATCTTTCTTTTTTCTTTAATTAAATAACTATAGTTTTAAAAAAGAGTTGAGTTGGTATAACTTTTCTGACGGCTCATTATCTATTTATACATACTTTAGACAATGTGTTTCCAAGACATCTCTAAATTGATCTATATTATTATCATTGATATCAGTTTCTAATAATTGTTTAATGTCTTGATTGGTTTGTGCTTTTCCTAAAATATATTAATAAATGGTTTAATAATTAAAATCATCATTGCAACCTTTGAATATTTCCATTATTTCACATACTCTTTAAATAATTTTTAAAGTTTGGAATTGGAGAAAGTGTACAAAAGTTTTGAATGCCAGGATTGATCATGAGATATTCGGTTGCTTTGGAAATTAATATATGTCCAAGATCTACATGTTTTAATCCTCTATGTAGTGATGATATTGAATAAAACATGGCACTGTCAACTTGTAAAAGATCGATATTACTTTGATTTATATTCTAAAAAGGTGATTTATATATATATATATATTAGTTGGGATAAACAATTGTACTAAAATACATTCACAAAACCTACGTTCATATTGTCAGCAATTCCATTTGTCAATGCAATATAAAGAGACATTAAAGGTAAGTGAGGTAATTGTGGATGGAATAGTACCAAACACAATCTACCAGGTCTTATTCTATTGAATATTTCTCTTGGATTGCTTCTATCGTAGGGATGTACTTGTTCATTGTCAAGCATTTGTTGAATGACCGATGGATGTGTAAAAAGAGGGTCAATTGGTAGAGCAATCAATTGATTCTCTTTTAATGACTCTTTAAGTAATCGTTGTAGTACACTGTCAAAATTGATCAATTGTTCGGTAGGTGGTTGTTGTTGTTGTGTCTTGTCAAATTGATCCCTGACAGAAAGGAATAATTGTATAAAGCTCGTATCATTTTGAATAAGGTTTCTCAATGTCTTTTCAATGTGATCGAGTGATGGTGAATTTTGTATTGATTGATTCAACTCGTTTTGTTTTTCTTTTAATTCTTTATCTTGCTGTGGAGTAAGGAAGGAATAGAATATCAATATTAATGATTCTATAAAAAAAGTAAGACTGAATACATTACATTTGATGAATATTTATTCAAACAAGATTCAAGAAATAACTTTATATCATTTAATGATGCATCTTGATTGTTTCCCTCTGTTGACGACGACGACGTTGATGAAAATGAATGAACCTGATGACTATTATTATTCATTTCATTTAACAAATAATTGATACTAGTATTTCTATTACTATTATTACTACTATTATTAAAGATGTAACTCTTTTTATGATTATTAGTAGTGGTATTGTTGTTGTTGGTGGTAGTATTACAACATCTTTTTCTACTATTAATATATTGGGATTGACATTTGTTGTTGAGATTTAACGTAGAAAAGGTTGATGAGGAGGAGGAGGAAAAGGTGGGGGTTGGTGATTCTACGATGATATCATCTTGTCGACTCTTTATTATATTATTAAATAATCTTAATGTTAAAGATAGGTTTTGTCGATTATGTGTAATCATGTTTCAATGTATTTGATCGACTGAGTAGCTTGCTAAAAAATTAAAAAGCATGAAGTTCATTTATAACAACCAAACAAATCAATTTTAATTTAAATAATTTAAATTCGTTATTATTACTATTATTATTTTATTTGTTTGTTGTTATACACTTGTACAAGGATATATGGTTTATCATTGTTATTATTATTATTATTATTATTATTATCATTATTAATATTGTTGTTGTTAATAGGTGGGAGGGGCGTTTAATTAAATAAATAAGGTCGGTCGGAGAAAAGTTGTATTATTATTATTATTGTCAATCATCTTGACCCGCCGGCGGTATATCATCATCAATAGATGCTTGTGAACTATATGATGAAGTCAATGATGATGGAGTGTTGTTGGAAGTAGTGGTAGTGGTAGTAGTACTTCCATAAGGGTCTTCACCTGCAGCAATCATCATTTCCGATAGTTGAACAGATATCTCTTCATAACAAGTCTTACATATTCTTGCTTTCTTTCCTGGCATATATTGTGTAAAATCTGTCACTGGACAACAATCGTTACAAAATATCTTACCACATTTTCTACAATGATGCTAAATATTTTTAAAAATAATAAGATTAGTATGTCTAGTTATAACTCGGTTATTGTTATTGTCATATGTTTACATACTCTTCTTCTAGTTACAGTAAAACCAGCAGTACATAACATGCATTCTTTTGTCATTTTATCTTTGAGCCATAGTGACTTTTTACGTAGATCATTTTCATTCTCTTCGTTGGGTAACACTTGCATTGGATCCAATGCCTTTAATATTTCCTGTGGTGACATTGATCCACGTTTCTCGTATATCGAATCACGTTGATCTTTTGCATCTGGATTGGCATCGACCAGCTTGTTGATCACTTCATTCAATAACCTCATCCAACTTAATTTGTCTTCAGATGATGGTGCACATAAAAAGTAGGTTTTGTTATTTGATATAATTTGGAATAGATTTTGGAATCTATTGGTATCTGGAATATCTTTTACCCAACATGATTCTAATGGGAATGAATGCTAAAATAAAAAAGAAAAAAGAAAAAAGAAAAAGGTTAGGAATCATTTAATTCTATTTGTTTGTTTTCTACATTTTCTACTTTACCTTGTATCTATATTGATTTTTCTTTTCTTTTTGAGCATAAATTAAAAGATCATTAAATAAAAAGAAATGTCTAGTATTTACAACACGATCAGAAATCTTTTTAAGGTCACCTTCTTTGAGAAATACTCTAGTTGGTTTAACGATATCGTGATCCAAACCTTCCAATTGATTTTGAATATCCAATACTTTGTGTTTGATTTGGAATTGATTAAGACGTTCATCTAGTTCACAGGCAACAGATGAAATCACTGAAATTGCCTCTTTAATGTCTTGATAATCTATATGATCCTCTCTAGAGTTGGATAATAAATTCTCCAATAATAATTTGTATCTTGGAATTCTTTGAATTGGCATAATTAAATAGGCTGATAAATTTAATCCTTTTGATGCTGGTTTTAATAAACATTTCTAGAAATTGATAAAAGATATTGTTAATAAATAAATACTAGTTATTATCCTGATCTTTTTTTTGTTTTTGTTTTTTTTTTCTTTTTGTTTACATACAGCCAAAAAAGATTGAAAAGTAGGATTTGATTTAGTTAAAGCACTAAGTAATAGAATAGAGGAATTATATGAATTTGAATATACTGTATAGGCTCTTAAAAATGGAGCCATCTTTAAAAATACATCACCAATCTTTTGTTGATCGGTCCATTTTCCAATTCTTGTCTCAAAATCTGTTAAAAATGTCTTGTGAATGCCAAATATCGTATCAATATTCATAAATATACTATTGATTTCATCGGTTGATAATATCTTATCCTTTGCATTGGCTTTATCTCTAAGTGGTAATACAAATATCTAGATAAAAAGGTTAATTGTAAAGTCTATTAAAATCTTTTGTTTTTTTAAACTCCAACTTACAGTCATAATTCTATTTAAATTATTAATATATTTCTTTTCGGTTGATAACATTTCTTGTGCCAAATAATTTCTTTGTACCATTTTTGATTGTTCTTTTGTCATTGTCGTTGTACCTGTTGTTGTTGATGTCAATGATGGTGAAGGAGTTGTTGAAGAGGCACCTGAACCAACCGTTGAACTATTATTATTATTATTATTATTGTTATTATTGCTAATATTATTATTTTTACCAGCCATACCTGGACTACTTGCAGTAGATGAAGAAGAAGAAGCACCTCCACTGACAGAAGAAACAACTGGATTAGTTTTAGTAGATAGTGGTCTATCACCAACACCTGAAAAATCATCTTCATCACTGCTATTGTCATCGGCAGGTGTCTCTTGTATCACTTGTTTGAGGAATCTCTTGGCATTGATGGTAGTGTTGGCTGTCATTGGTTTGGGTAATGGTGCACCGATTGGTCTCAATTTTGGTATCATCATCTGACCGCCTTGTGTTGCATTCAACTCATTACGTGGTGGTAGTGCTGGTGGTGCTGGTCTCTTGGCTGTTGGTTTGGAGATGTTGTTGGTTGATGGTGGTCCCATTGTTGTTGGTTGTGGTGTCGTATTACCACTATTGCCATTGGAATTGGTCGAAACCAATGGAGGTGAGTTTGTAAATGTAACAGGTGTTCGTGGTGAATGGTTCGATGGTGATGAGGATACAGGTGTAAAAGATTGAACTGGTGATGAAAGGGGTGGTCTTTTGTTGGTTGGTGGTGGAGTTGGTGCTGGTGAAGAAGAAAGAGGGAATCTTTTGGCAATCATAGGTGATGATGGATGTGGAGATGTTCCTGTTGTACTATCTCCACTATTCGAGCCTCCTGTCAAATTGGGAGATGAAGGAGATGATACAAACTTTTTATATGAGGGTGATGGAGTTGGGAGAGGTCTCGTAGACGACGTAGGTGGTGGTGGGGTTGGTAATGATCTTTCTCCACTTAATGTCAATGGTGATGGTGATGAGTGGTGTGGTGGCTGTGGATGTTGGCTATTTGTTGGAGGCAATGGAGATGGCGTCGAATTGATTGACATCTTTCTTAGTTGTTTGGCTACACCAGAGGCTGACACTCCTCTTCCTACTGTTTGTGTTCCATTCATATTTGTTGTAGTAGTTGTAGTAGTAGTATTTGTTGGAGGTTGAAATGGCGAAGTTGAAGGAGATGAAGAAAGAATAGTTGGAGGTGAAGCAGATGTTTTTAATCTTAATGATGTTGGCGATGATGGAGGAGGTTGTGAGTTGTTGATGAACATACTTGTTCCTCCTGTTGTTGGTGGAGGTAATGGCCGTTTAAATACTCCATCTCCACTACTGTTCATTTTGTTATTAATAGAATGATTATTCATCATGTGGTTGGTTGGTTGGTTGGTTGGTTGATCACTCTCTTTTAAAAAGTGTTATTGTTTGCTTTGAGTGGCTGGGGGTGTTGATCTTTTTTTTTACTTTTACACTAGCTATCTGTGGCGATCGTCTCTTTTCTTCTTCTTGTTGATGATGACCAACAGTAGTGAAATCTAATATAAAGAGGTGGGTAGTTGTAAATAATAGTCTAGTTAATAATTATGATAAATATAGAAACATATAAATTGTGAAATGATGATAATGATGATAACAATACCACCAGGTTATTATAACTCTCTAGTTAGTTATTGCTATACTCTGGTTATGAGTTTGTGGAGATCGATCTCAAAAAGTTGTGATTAAAGTATAATAATTGGTGTTGTTAATTTAAGTAGCTGTGTTTGTTGTCACCCTCTTTTATTATTATGTCGTTGTTGTTGTTGTTGATGATGACTCTTTTTCTATCTTTCTTTCTCATCCCCTTAGTATAAATCTTTTTTTTGTGTTTAATTATCGTTGGATAGAGAGGCGGTACCCACCAACAAACAACTGTGGGTTTGATTGCAAACACCCAAACACAAGCTGCAGATGTTTTTAAGTTTATTTGTGTGTGTGTGAGTGTGTGCCATTCATAATGGTTCGTTGCAAATACAGCTGGTTGTTTGAAGCAAAGATATATTTAACCTACCTACCTATGAACTAATTAATGATTCCCCAACTATAAACTATCTACAATTCTCTAATATTACAATGTTGTCTTTTGGTGTATAATATGTACTATAACTCTGTTTGGTTTGATAAATAAATAAATAAATAAATAAATAAAATAAATACAGAAAAAAAAAGGGAACAATATTATTATTATTCGTCCCAATCAACAATTATAATGATACAGGTATTGGTAAAAATAAAAGTTTTCAACGGAATCAAGGTCTACCCTTTTTCAAAAAAGGAGCATTAATAGAATATAAAAAAAAAAAAAGGTCGACCTTTTTGAGCATCGCGGTGCCAAAGATGGGTCTGCTCAACATTGTTTGGCGTTGCTGAGCTGTGTTTTGATATTTTTGTGTTGTGATCGATGATCGATATCGACGATGGTTGTCATTCATTACGAATATCGAGACATTTATACTAACTATAACTCAAACTTTTGGTCACCAAAACTATTGTTACCAACTTTAACTATTATAGTATAATCAACTTAATTTGATATGAATAGAATAGTATTATTCTTCTAGAGGTCCAAACTAAAAACAAGATATTTAAAATAATAAATAAAGTCTCTATCTTTTTCTCTCTCTATCTAACTGGTTTGGAGTCTATAGAATTAGAAGGAAGAATAAATTCCATATCTATCTGGATAGAATAAAATGAACGATGTGTTATATTTAATTCTGTATTCGACCGAATACACAGAATCTATAGATTCGCATTCTCCAATGTAAAAAATCTAAAAAAATTAAATTTAATCAAAAGAAGGTGTTTTTCTCCTATGGTGATAAAAGCAAGACTCTTTGTTGAACCATTTCTTATCATCTTCGTCGCTATCTCTCTTCTTAAACAAGTAGATTAATAATAACAAGAATGTCTTCTCAACCAACTATTCAATTACCATCTGGTTCAAAGATCCCACAATTCGGTATGTTTATAAAAGATCTAATCTAATCTAAACACAACACAAACACTCCATACTTATACTTTATTTATTTATTTATTATTATTATTATTTATTAATAGGATTTGGAACATGGAAATCAGAAACCAATGTTGTAGGTGAAGCTGTAAAGACTGCCATCAAGACTGGTTATCGTCATATTGATTGTGCTGCCTGTTACAGAAATGAAAAGGAAGTTGGTCAAGCATTCAAGGAAGTATTTGATCAAGGTATTGTCAAGCGTGAAGATCTCTTTATCACCTCTAAGCTCTACAATACCTGTCACGAGAAGCACAATGTTCGTAAGCACTGTGAAATCACTCTTCGTGACCTCGGTCTCCAATACCTCGATCTCTATCTCATCCATTGGCCAGTTGCCTTCAAGTACACTGGTGAGGTTGTTGAAGATCCAGTTGGAGAAGATGGACAAATCGAATTCATCGATGTTCCACTCAGAGAGACCTGGGAGGAAATGGAAAAGTTGGTTCAAGATGGTCTCGTCAAGAACATTGGTGTCTCAAACTTTAACGTACAACTCTTGAACGATCTCTTGACCTTTGCCAAGATCAAGCCAGTCGTCAACCAAGTTGAACTCCACCCATACCTTGCTCAACCAAAGTTGAAATACTTTTGTGACAAGAAAAACATTCACTTGACTGCCTACTCTCCATTGGGCAGTGGTGTCCTCGTCAACGACGTCGCTGTTGGTGAGATTGCCAAGAAATACAAAGTAAGCATTCCAAACGTTCTCTGTCGTTGGGCCATCCAACAAGGTTTCTCTGTCATTCCAAAGAGCACCAACGAAGAAAGAATCAAGGATAACTTTAAGACTTTGGATTTCAAGATTGATGATGCCGACATGGAAATCTTATCAAAGCTTGACAAGGGTTCTCGTACTTGTGATCCATTCCACTTTTGGGGTATTCCAGTTTTCAACTAAACTAAAAAGAATGGTCTAATAAATAAATAAATCTCATTTTTTTGTAATAATAATTAATAATTTAAGAGAATCTATTTTTTTTTATTTATTTTTATTTAAAATAACTATTTGATTCAAAATTAAATTCTTGACCAAATATTCCTGGGTATTCTCTGTCAAGATGATTTGCTTGTAATAATATTTGATCATAGTCTTCCATTGTAAAAAGAATGTTGGGGTTTGATTGAAATGGTACTCTTTCTTTAAATTGTTGGTCAATAGATAGATCCAAGTCAAATAAAAACATCTCTACTTTTTGATTGGAATTGTATCTTTTCATTTGTTGTGAAAATTCATGTCTCGATATAACACCCTTTTTATAATTAATTAATAAACATGTTGATAGAATATTGATTTTATCTATTATTTCATTTTTAATTTCTATTATTCGAAATGGAATATTATTATTATTTAAATAAATACTGTTACTATTATTATTATTCATTTCCTTTTATTCTTAAAGTCAAATAAAATTGGTTTACTCTTTGTTATCGATCTCTTTGTTTTTTTTTTTTTAACCCAAAACCCAATGCCAAGACAAAACCATAGTACTATGGTGTGGTTTTTTTTTGATGATTGATCCGATCAATTGATATCAATTACAGTTTGAGTTGGCATTTGAGGAACTAGGTCACCAGAAAAAGTGACTGCAGGAGAGGGCAAAAATGACCCTTTGACAAATGGATACTCTTTAAAAATAGTGTCTAGATGGAAGATAACCATGTTTCCTTTATCTTTACCAAATCTTTGTTTATGATATTGCGTTTGGTCTTGTATTGCTCTAGAGTAAAAAAACATAGTAATTTAATTATTATATTAATAGGGGTTTTTAAAAAAGGTTATTCATTATTTATAGACTTACCCATCATAAGGAATCCAACCAATGGATTTAATATAGAATTGAGTTTTACCGTGTGCTCCATCAAATGTTATATCTGTATATTTTCTACCTGTCAGAGTTCTTGTTGGTATTCCATTGTAACGGAATATACCCGATACCAAATTACAATAGCTACTACAATTGGCACCACGACGTCTCACCACTTCCATTGGTCGAAGGTCACCATGATCTAGTTTATATGGTATATTTGAATGTATCCAAAGTGATACACGATAGGCAAAGCATAGTTCACTCTCTAATGATCCATCATCCAATGTCAATCGATACAGTCGTTCTTTTTCAATAAATTGTTTAAATTCTGGTATGTCATACACTACTTCACCTTCACTGGCCATTGCACGTCGATATTCGATACTATTCTCAACCAACTCTTCTGTCACGGTGACCACTTCGTCATTTCTTGCTTCTACCAATTCAACTGAATAACAATCTGCTTCAGCCGTATAGACAATATTAAAGTCTGATGGACATGGTGCACCATTTGGAATTTGTAGTTTGCAACTGTAGATTGATTGTCCTGATGCTGCTTCTATTACCTCGACAACACTATTGAGAGATGCTCCTGTTTTTGAGTCAACTATATCCAAAGAGGAGCCTCTTGGGTCTTGAATGTCAATGGCTGGTGGTACACCACCAAAGGAGAGTATATAGAGTAGACTTTTGACTTTTACTGGTGCAGTAACAACAACTCTAACAGATTTTTGATAGGTTCTGACAATCTTCCACTTTTTGTTGTCCCACATTAGTTTGTGTAGTCGGTGATCATTTGATAATTGTTCTATTCCTGGGTATGGTGGAAGTCCTTCTAATCCAGGTGTGTTGGATTTGGTCGTAGTTGTTGTTATGATTTGTTTTCTAATGACAACTGGTTGATTGATTGAATTTAGAAAATTTGAAAATGATCCATTATTCTTTTTGGTTTTAGTTTCTGTTATAACCACTGTTTGTTGAGGTGTTTGAGAAGAAGGAGAATGATGAGGAGGTGGTGGATATTGATTTGTATTTAAAATTGTTGGTGGTGGTGGTCGTTGTTGATTATAATTATTTTGTATTGTTGTTGGTCTTGTTTGTTGAGTTGAAGCATGAGGTGATGAATTTTGTTTTGATGTAAACGATGCCAAAGGTCTAGGTGGTATTTGTTGTTGTTGATTATTTTGATGTATTGGCTTTGGAGGAATACCTTGTTGGTGTTGTTGTTGTTGAGAAAAGGTTGGTTGTTGTGGTTGAATCGATCCTTGAGTCAATGATCTTGGTCTTATAGGTTGAATTATTTGTTTTGGTTGTTGTTGTTGTTGTTGTTGATCCTCTTGTTGTCTTGGTGATGGTCTTGGTGGTAATTGAAAGCCTAATCCTCTGGCTGCTGATCCATTATTATTATTATTATTATTATTATTATTATTATTATTATTATCAAAGGATTGAGGTGGGTTATCAAACTTTGATTGTCGTGGTGGGGGTGGTGGTGGAGCAGCAAACGATGTTGGTTGAGAAGGTATACCATTTGATAATACTCTTGAATGAGGAAGAGGAGGAGGTATTGCTTGATGTAATAGAGAAGATGATTGTATATGAATAGCAGTGATACATTGTAATAGACTATTAAATGACAGTTGTATATTGATCAATGGTATATCGAATTGGTTGACCTTTTCATTGAGCAACTGATCGATGATGCTACTATTCTGATTGGTATTGACCAACAAACCACCAAGTCTATCTACATATTGTTTAGCTTGATAAAAGTTTACTTGTTGATTACTCTTCCAATCACTAAATGCTTTATCCATCAAAGAAAGTAATTCAGTGCTATAGTTTTTTAAAGGATGATCATCTTGAAACATATCTATCGCATTTTGATAGAAACTGTTGTTATAGTATCCATCTATTAATCAAGATACAAAAAAAAAAAAAGAGTGTTAGTTTAGAATGACAATCAACTAATAATCATATGCATTGATTGATTGTTATGTTTACTCTTTAATATTTCACTGTATGAATGAGTGTTGTTGTATGCGTTCAAAAGATTTTGATAAGTGGTTTTCACTTGTTCTTCATCGATTGACATTTTACAAATAAATAAAAAGAAATAAAAATAAATATATAATTAAAAAGAATGACAACGATTGACCAAAGCGGACATAAGATTGATGGATTATTGACATCTTAAAAATAAAGTAGAAATTTCCAATCAATTTGCAGACGTGGCATATTCACTCCTTGGTAAATCTTTGTTTAAAACTGTTTCCATTCGGTAAATATATAGTTATAAAGGTACATTTATTTATAGATAAAGATAAATAAAGTTAATATCCGAATTTGGTAGTGTCCTAAAGATATTTTTAATTTTTTTTTTTTAGAAACGATCAACTCTTTGATCAATCTCCTTCCTCCGCTCCTCGAGGTGTGGGCTCACTCGATAAGCTATGAGATTTCACACATTGTTTTAGTAGTATATATATATATCAAACACACAAACACAATTGAATAAGATGTCATTATTTGACAATAATCAGAACAATCAAAATAATAATAATAATAACAGTAGAAATGTAAATGGTAATAGTACACACAATCCATTGAATTGGGAGATTGTAATAGTAATCAACAAACTTAAAGATAAATATGCAACATCAACGCTATCAAATACAACTGAATTATTGTCACTCAATAAATTAGTGACTCAAGTTCATATAGGTGAATTGGATCAAAATAATATATTCATATTGGTTGGTTCTTATGAATCAGAGTATGTTAAGAAATAATATAAATAGATTTACATCCACCAATTACTAATTTGATTGTTATAGTTTAAGACATTTTGCAAAATCATCATTGATTAGATCTGGTATTGGTATGATTCATGATCACACACTATTTACAGAGGCTGAAAGATTGCACATCATTGAAAATAGATTACAAGTTGATCAGCGATTAAAATATCTATATGACAATGACTCTATCGAAATGTTCCCTTATCATCAACCGGATCAATTAAAAATATTAAGAAAACAATGGTACAAAGGTAGAATATTCAATCTACCATCAAATATTGCAAATAGGTATTTTGGTGAAGAAATATCTTTTTATTTTCTATTCCTAAGTATGTAATCGAAAAGGTTTATTAAATAATTACGATTGTACACTTCTAATCTATTTATCTATTTATTTAGATTTCTATAATTTTGGATTATTTTTATTATCATTATTTGGTATTCCAGTATCAATCATTCAATATGTAACTGATCCATATATGATATCTGGTGCTTTATTTGCTGTTTTAATGTGTATATTTTGTATGTAACAAACTATCTAATTAAAACTATATAGAAATAATATTAATAATATTTTTAATTTTTTTTTTTTTAGCATCATTCTTTTTAGAAGTATGGAAAAGATTTCAATCAATTTATGCATGGAATTGGCATTCAAATGATTTTAGGGATGGTGAACAAGCATTACCTAGTTACAAGACAAGTCATAACAAGATTGGTGTCTATCACAGCGATATATTCCTAACAAAGAAGGATTTCACAGAGAATGAATTGGAATTGGTTGAACCATACATGACTGATATTCCATACATGTCAAAGAAGAGATCAAGAACAAAAAGTTTAAAAATGACATTTACATTTACCGTTGTAACGGTTTTAGTGTTGTTGGTTGCCATGTCAACGATCGCTATTTTCTCTCTTCGTATAGTATTAAAGGCTATTCAAGAACAATTGATTGGTACTTCGCTGGGCAGTGTTATCAGTGCATGCTTTATTCAACTTTTCAATTATGTCTATCGTATGCTGGCCTATTGGTTGACAAGATACGAAGGTCATAGAATACAAAGTACATTCAATCAATCACTCACAGTCAAATTATTCCTCTTTCAATTTGTAAATACCTTTTCTGGTCTATTTTATATTGGTTTCGTAAAGGATAATGTTGAATTATGGGGTGACAAGGGATTAGAAGATACCTGTAGTTATAGTAATAGATTACCTGGTCTATGGAAAGGTTGTGTCACCGATTTGGAATTTCAAATATTCTCAATCATCCTCGTCAATTTCTTTAGTGGTATATTTACTGAACTCATTTTACCGTACGATGAAACAACAACAAAAATTATACAATATTATAGACTAATTTAAACATTTATTTATAGAAAATTAATAGTTTATGTAAACAAGATAAAAGGACATACAAAGTTTTCAAAAAAATCCAGTCTACCATGTGAAGAACAATTCTATTTACCAAAGTTTGATACATTTGATGAATTTAATGAAATAATCATTCAATTTGCATTGATATCAATGTTTGCTGGTGTTCTTCCTTTTTCACCTCTTTTGGCATTGATTAATAATATCTTTGAAAATAAGATTGATGCTTATAAACTTTGTTATTCACATAGAAGAGTATGTCAATCAAATAGAGAATGTTAAATATCTAATTTATTAAATTATTTCTTTATTTATTTTTAGCCAACATATAAAGGATCAAATGGTATTGGACATTGGTATAGATTTTTAGTATTGATTGGAGTATTTTCAGTGATTACCAATTCATTATTTATTGGATTCTCATTCCCAACGTTATTGAAATTCACAAATGATCCATATACTATTCTATGGACTGTTGTCATATTGGAACATATGATATTAATGTTTAAATGGGTGGTATCTGCTCTCATCCCAGATCAAACACATCTAGTTAGAAAGATGAAATCGATTCATGGATTTGTAAAGATTGCCATCCTCGATAAATATCTATCAGATCATGGACTTGGCAATAGAAACTCACTCATCAATGTTCAAGCTGAAGGTTTTGAATTTAATAATCCTCATCACAGAGATGATCCAAATCATGAAGCAACAGGTAATATTATTGCTCAATTCTTTGATGCTAATCCTCCCGAGGAAAAGGAAAAGGATGATGATGATGATGATGAGAATATTTCACCAATTCATATTATAGCAACTACATTTGGAAAGATTGAAGGTGCATTGTAATAATAAATAGAATAATAATAATAATAAAGACGTATAATTTAGTTTAAAGGATTATAAATATTTATTTGTAAAAAAAAAATTTAACTTTTGTTGATTTGGTTATAGTTGTTGGATATAAGTGTCTATAATGTAGTTGTTATTATTGTTGTCGATGATCTATAAGCGATTAGGTTGTGTGTGTGTACATTGACTGTTGTTTGCGTTTTGATGAGTTGGAAAGAGTGTGTTGTAAAAAGGATTGATTAGAGTTGAGTTGGTATATTATTTGTTATTATTTGTTATATTATTTAATAAGAAGAACCACCACGACCACCACCGAAACCACCACCACGACCACCACCGAAACCACCTCTACCTCCAGAGGAGCCACCACGACCACCACCGAAACCACCACGGCCTCCACCACCGAAACCACCTCTACCACCACCTGGAGCACCACCACGACCACCACCAAAGCCACCACGGCCTCTTGGGGCACCACCACCACGACCACCACCGAAACCACCTCTACCACCGGCTGGCTTGGAACCTGGAACCTTTGGTACCTTGGCCTTTGGCTTTGGCTCTTCAGTGAACATTCTCTTTGGTAACAACGAACTGGTATCAATGAAAATGGCGTCACCAGACTTGAATGAAGTAGCTTGGACACCTGACTCTAATTTAACGCTAAAGAATGCCTTGGTAGTTGGACCAAAGATTTCATCGACAGATCCGATAGCTTGGTGTGACTTGTTGAATACCTTGTTGTTGAATTTTGGGATATCCTTGTGTGTAATGAGACAAACGATGGCATCTTCGCAGACATGTTGGAATGTACCAAGTTCTATATATTGAAAAATGAATTGAAATAATAATAGAATATAGTAATGTAATGTTGGTTGATGTATGTATATAAACAAAAAAAAAAAAAGAGTAAGTTAATCGAAAAAAAAAAAAACTATTATCAAAAGATAATATATTGGTATCAATCTATGTCTTTTAAGAGAGAGCAAAGGTGAGTAGTGATACATTACCAACGAGTTCACCAGAAGCTTGAGCACCATAACCACCACCACCAGAACCACCACCGAAACCACCACGGCCTCCACCACCGAAACCACCACGACTACCGCCACGGCCGCCTCCACCACCGAAACCACCACGACCACCACCTGGGGCACCACCTCTACCACCACCGAATCCACCACGATTTCCACCTCTGAATGACATTTTATCTAAATGTAGGTTTGTTGTTGTTTGTTATATAGTTATATATAGTACTAAAGGTACTGGTTGTTTGTCTGTTTTGTTTGATTGAAAAGATATAGATAGATAGAGAATCTAACAACACGGTCTAATTTAAAACTTGATTATCAATAATGATGAGTATTGAATCAAATTCACAAACTATATTTGTAGTGTTGTATCTTTTTAAAAGAGTGATAGAGTAGTAGTAATCGTCTGTAAAAGAAGAAGAGTGTCAAAAGAGTAATCAACTGATCCCAAACGTAAAGAGGTGGAGGAGGAGACTCATTCTTTTTTTTTTTTTTCGTTCGTTTTTTTTTTTTTTTTCATCAATCGATTTTATTTTATTTATTTTTTTTTGTCAAAGCTCCAGTACTTTTTGCAACCAAAATATATTGTATAAACAATTTAATATACATAACATCATATTTTAACATCACCATCTGGTGGGATCACCAAAGATAAACAGAATTAGCTGAGGTTGTACAAGCTTGATTATCTACAATTTTGAATCGGGAGTAGTAATTATACTATCGATTAATATGAAATTACCCTCTTGGAGAGTTAAAAGGTGTTGAAGATTAATTTAATCAATAAATCTTTATCCACATCAATTATCTGTCTGTACGTTTCCCATCAGTGACAGAATAATGATTGCGCAATGAACAATTTTTTGCCTCAAAAAAAAAAAAAAAGGACAACAAATTTTCTGTGAGCAGATCGTCAACATACTTCTTCTAAATTACATTTATTCAAAACAGAGAGAAAGATAAATGAACTTTAAGATAAACGTTAATCAATTACCAAAGTTCAAAGCACCAAAAGGTGGTTTAGGTGGTATTGGAGCACTACTTATTGGTGGTGTTGCTCTTGTTGGTGCCTACAACTCTTTATTGAATGGTATGTCATAGCTTATGCATAGTCATCAACATTCCTCTTTGACTACTACTACTACTACTACTACTAGTCATCATCACTTTTCTATTTCATATAAACTAACTCATTTCCTTCCTCTATGTGATCATCATTGTCGTCATCACATTTATATAATATTCAATAATATCTCTTCTATTCTAGTTGAAGGTGGTCATAGAGCCATTGTATTTAATAGATTTGTTGGTATTAAACAAAAAGTATATACTGAAGGTACACACTTTATCGTTCCATGGTTTGAAAGACCAGAGATATATGATGTTCGTGCTAAACCAAGAAATATTGCATCGTTGACTGGTAGCAAGGATCTTCAAATGGTAAACATTACTATTCGTGTCTTGTCAAAGCCATCGGTTGCTCATCTTCCAACTATCTACAGATCACTTGGAAAGGACTATGATGAACGTGTCCTCCCATCCATCGTCAATGAAGTACTCAAGAGTGTCGTAGCTCAATTCAATGCTTCTCAATTGATCACTCAAAGAGAACAAGTTAGTAGATTGATTTACAAACGTTTATCTGATCGTGCTAGAGATTTCCATATTGAATTGGATGATGTTTCAATTGTAAGAAGAAAACATTTAAAAATCAATATATACACACTTATATATATTGACACATATGATTCATATCTTTATTTTTTAGACACATTTGAACTTTGGTAAAGAATATGCTGCAGCAATTGAATCAAAACAAGTAGCACAACAAGATGCAGAGAGAGCAAGATTTATGGTTGAAAAGGCACAACAAGACAAGAGAAGTATTATTGTAAAGGCAGAGGGTGAGTCTCAATCAGCTAAATTGATTTCAGATTCTATCAAACAAAACCCAGCCTTTTTACAATTGAGAAAGATTGAAGCTGCAAGAGACATTGCTCAAGTCATCTCTAAATCACAAAACAAGGTCTTTGTTGACAGTGAAAATTTATTATTAAATTTAAACTTTTCTGATGAAGCTCCACCTGCCAAATAAATCTTCAATCCAAATATATAAATATATGATTGGGTACTAATTAAATTTAAAGAAAGAAAACACTATTTCTATTGTTGTTTTTGAAACATATATGTATACATTTAATTTATTATTATTATTGTAATGGTAATTTGTTGTGTAATGGTAATTCTAATTTAAAAAATTTACACTTTTTAGTTTTGTTGTTCTACTGTATTGTTATTATTATTATTGATGTTTTCCTGTTTTGTGAAATATGTGATTTGTTGTTGTTGTTGTTGTCCCCCTTTTGTTTTGCGTTTAAAAAAAAAAATAAATAGTTGGCTTTTTCTTTGTTGAATTATTTATCCCTATCCCACCCAGTTTTTGTTGTTGTTGTTATATTCGCCTATTGATTTGTTGTATGTAAAATTATTATTATTATTATTATTATTATTATTATTATTATTATTATTATTATTAACTATTCTATTGATTATTTTGATTTAATCAGTTGTACCAAATGCAGAAGTTAACATTGAATAATAATCATATAAAATAGATTCCATTGGATTTAAAAGGGATTCCTTGTCGATATCGATTTTGGTGTTGTGTCTTATCAACAAACATTCGTTGGCAGTGAGAGCCAAGTGGTTGAGGGCATCGATGAGGGCCAAAAGATAACGTTTGGAATCTGATTCCTCTTGGCCAGTGACTATACTCAATTGTCCCAAGATCTTGGTGAGACGACGAGCATTCTTTGAGAGGTCTTGGAGGTTTTCTGGACAACCAAGGATTTCGGCCAACGATTCCTTTTCGAGATCCAAATCGGATTCAATGTCGAGTGGTGAGTCGGTGAGAGCACCGAGTTGTGCAATATAGGCTGCAATCATGTTGTGGAGGATTGCTATACGGGTGTTTACTTCGTCGGGACGATCACGTTCCATAATGTTGGCAATGACCTCGCGGTACAATCCAATCGATTCCTTGAAACGATTCATATCCATCAAGGCATCGGCACGGATAGTTTTGGCAAATTCATTGTTTGGATCGACACGAAGAGCACTGTCGATTGTATCGATGGCTTTGAGTGGCTCTTTGTTGCGGAGATGGATAGAGGCACAGATGCTGTGTGCATAGACACTGCCTGGATGTATCTTGATGGCCGTGTTGATAGCTTCCAAAGCATTGTCAAATCGACCGTGTCTTTCGTGGATATTGGCCAGACAGATAGAGGCCGAGTAGATTGGGTTGTATTCTGCCGACTTTTTGAGACGCATCAAGTTGGTGTCTACGCCGGTGGCATAGTTGAGTGACTCTGCTTGCGAGGCACCCAAACGAACAACGCGTTGGTACAACTTGACGGCACTATCTGTGCTGCCTTGCTTCAAGGCAACGTGTCCAAGACCAAGTAGACCGTTGAGATTGTGTGGTTGCAACTCTACGACACGTTCATAGTACTTGAGAGCACGATCGAGTGTACCAGTCTTTACATGCAAATCACCCAACGATCCAAGAGCTGGGAGATAGTCCTTGTCAAGGGCAACAGCTTGCTCCAACAATTTCTTGGCAGTGGCATAGTCGTCGAGCGAAGCATAGCAATCGGCCAACGAAGAGAGTGCAGGGATACTCTCTGGTAGCAACTCTACCACCTTTCTATAGTCTGGTATGGCTTGTTGATATTGACGAGTGTGTTCGTAGAGATCGGCACGTAGACCATAGGCTCGTGGATCCGCTGGACACGATTCAATAGCCTCTGACAATAGACTAATCGACTCTTCAGTAGAACCTTGATCCACCAATGCACTAGCTTGATGCAATAGATCATCCAATTCCTTGGACGACAGTATAGTGGTAGAGTGTGAAACACTAGATGCAGCACTAACCTTTTTCTTTGAGATACTATCAAACAAATTTGAAGTATTCTTAAAGTAGTGTCTAGTTGAACCATTCTTTAAAGACATTAATGAACCACCATTTGAACCCAACTTTGACAATGATGCCGAACTTGTCAATCCATAACGCTCATGATTATTATTCTGCTGTTGAAATCCAACACTACCTGTTGGTGATAATCCAAAGAATTGACAATGGTATTTACCAACTGTATATAAACTTGATAATCTTTTCATGATTATAAAATGATGATTCTAATTGTAGTAGAGAGATGTAAAGTAATTGTTTTAAAAAAGTATTAGTAACTACTAGATAATGAATGAATGAATGAACGAATGATTGACTCGATTTCATAGATCAAGAGAGTGTGGGAGGGTGTTTGGTCATGATTATGTGGTGATTTTATGTTGTGTTGTAACTATAGTCGATCGATCATACCTCGTCTAAAATATATACTGTAAAGTAATGATATATAGACTATATATATATATATATATATGATGGTATGGTATAGTATAGTATATAACTATCTAGTTTTACTTATTCAAAACATCACCTTAACATTCGGAGCGTAGAGATGCAAGGGTCCTGGTTTGTCATAAAAAAAAAAAAAAAAACAAATTAAAAAAAAAAGCAAAGACAAGTCGGTTTCATCAACCAATATTCCGCAAAGATATCTCTATATATAAATATACATATATATATATATGATATATGAGAGATTTAAATAATTAAAGAATAGAACAATGACATTATACAAATTATTGTAGTTTTTTCAAACACACACACAAACATCGTCGATTGAAATGTTAAATTATGATAATACACATTCTTACAATAAACAGTCAATGAGAGAGAGATAGTTATGAAGTATTGTATAATCTAGAGCATCAGTATTCATTCACAGACCCCCAACTAATAATAACAATTAAAAGAGATAGTTGATTATAAATGTGATTGTTTAAACTTGTATATTTATATAATCATACAATACAAACTACTTTCTACTACACTACTAGACAACACAATATGTTTCATCAATCGACAATATCAATAACTATCATCATCATGATATTAATGATGATGATGGTACAATGTCAAAATGAATTGACATCGATGCCAGATTTTCCAATCGAACCTCAACCTGGATACTTGATTGCAGAGAGACTAGATCGTCCAGATACAAAAGAGATGACTTGTATGTTTAACAAATGTGGAGATCTAGGTGATCCTTGCGACGCCGATAGAAAGTATGTTGTTTGACTAAACACCACAGACACCACAACCATCATTATTTATCCATCAATAACTAATTAATTCCCTTTTTTCAATAGTTTATGTGGAGCAGCTACTTATTGTTCAAATGGTTCATGTGTACCATCTATATTACCTGGTCTACAATGTAACAATTGGAACGATTGTAATGAGTTGGAAGGCTATTTTTGTATTCCCTATCCAAATGGTACTAAAATATGTTCACCTTTTAATTATGCTTCCATTGGTGAGAATTGTACTTATGATCATGAATGGTATGTAAACTAATATATAAATATCATTGGATAAAAAATTAAATCTTTATTAATATATATATCTATCTCTCTCTTCTCTCTAGTTTATTTGAATTAAAATGTTTAAATGGTCATTGTGCTTTTGAAAAATATGATGATGTGGAATGTATATTTGATTCACAATGTCCACTCGGACAATATTGTGATGAACAAAAATGTAGAACCCTCCAATTAAAAGATGGAGAATGCGAAGTATTTAGCTTAAACTTTACAAAATGTTTTGATGGTGAAGGTATTTGTCGACCTAGTTCCAATCGTAGTAGAATTGGTACATGTGTAAGAAAAATTAATGCTGGTGAATTATGTCTTAGGTATCATTTAAATTGTGATATTTCTCATAATGAATTTGTATGTTTTAAATATATATATATATTTGAAATAATTTATTTATTATTTTTTTATTTAATTTAGTGCGTAAATGTTGATGGATCATTATTTGGAATATGTAAAAAAATAGAGAAAAGAAGTTATAAAACATGTTTCTTTCCAAAGGATTGTTTGGATTGGGAATATTGTAAATGTGATAGGTCGAGTTCTGTTGGATACTGTACGACAGTTTCAGAGAGCTTGGGAAGGCATTGTGTTCTCACATTACTACCACTTTTGGAATGCTACTTGAATAGTAGTTGTGATACAGTGTTTTCACTCAATCCACACTCTTGTCTACATCAACATTGCAGACAAGAGGTGAGATGTGTCTTGGCATTATGTATCGACCCTACTTTACCTAGGGATTCATGCAAAGGATATTCATGTGATTTGACACAATACATGGATTGGAATAATCTTAGACTAATCCCAGGTATACTTGGCAATCCAACCACTGCATTTAAACTACAACGATTAATGTCTCGAATCATATCACACAATTCACTTGTCGAGTCACACCTTACTTTATCACCAGAACAAAAACTCCAAACAAGATCAGCATTAGAATCATACGGTTCCGAATTAATTCAAGAGTTAAAGTTTATAAAATCAATCATTAATCAAACTTTGAAAAATAATAATAATAATATTCAACCTATAATAATTCTTAAAAAAAGTGGTTCAAATAGATTATTAATTTCAATTCAATTACAAATAATATTAATAATATTAATAATAATAATAATAATGGCGATTTAATTAAAAAAATATAAATATATTTATTATTTATTATACAATTATAATGACCAATTAATTTCAGTTGATCCATCAGCTTGAAGGAATTGGTTTGTTTTACTGAATGGTTTTGATCCAAGGAAATGTTTAACAGAGAGTGGGGAAGGATGACCACTTTCAATGACGTGATGCTTGTTCTTGTCGATACCCTTTGCTTTCTTGATGGCATATTGACCCCATAAAACAAATACTATTGGTTGTCCAACACGAGCATTTAGAATTTCTAAAACACGATCAGTAAACTTTTCCCAACCGACAACCTTGGCGTGAGAGTTGGCCTTTCCAGAAGTTACAGTTAAAACTGCATTGAGCATCAATACACCTTGTTGTGCCCATACCTCCAGATTGCCGTGATTGGGGATTTGAAATTTATCTTGTCCAAGATCACTAATTAATTCCTTGTAAATCTATTAAAACAGAGAGAGAGAGTCAATAAATATATATATGTGATATTGTTGTATTGCAATAATTGTAACTCTTACATTTTTGAGGGATGGTGGAGGTGGAGTTGGATGTAAAACACTAAAACTAAGACCATGTGCTTGATTTTCATTAAAGTATGGGTCTTGTCCGATGATGACTACTCGAACACGATCAAGTGGTGTCAAATTAAATGCAGTAAATGTATTACCAATCGATGGAAAGACAGTTTCACCATCATCTGTCACCATCTTGTTTAGTGTTTGTTGTAGTTGTTTGAAATGGGGCTTTTCAAACTCATCTTGTAATGCATCTCTCCATGATTGATCGTTCATATGATTTGATAATGTTAAATATGATGATGATTCCATTCGTTTTGTTTGTTTTAGATAGATAAATAAATAAATAGTAATAAAAAATAGATAAGATAGTATCTTATTGTTGTTGTTGTTGTTTAGTGAATGAATGAGGACAAACGAACAACCACCAGGACTGAGCGAGAATTTCTTATTTCCTCGAATTCTAGAATATCGGCTAGCCAATGATTATTATTGGAGTGGAGGAGAAACATTGTCAAAAGAAATAACCAGTTACATAGTTTTATCTGTTAATCTATCGATAGTCATAAAGAAAGAAAGAGACTACTACTGCTGACAATGAATGATGATGACAGCGAATTATTATTATTATTGTCCAATAGAATATATTTTTTAAAAGATTGATTGACGATGATCTGCATAACTCATATATTTGTTTGTTGGTCAAAGTGTTTATCTATAAATTGGTTATATTTTCAAAGTATCGAAAATGAGTAATAATATTAGTAATACAGTTATACCTTTACCACCGAAAACATGTAATTATACAGACTTGAAAGATTACTTGTCTTTTGCTCGAAAAGTAAATGGTATGTTTATTTAGTATCTATAGAAAAGATAGTACATGTAGTTTACTTACTTACTGATTGGTTCAAATATGATCTAGATCATTTCGCATATGAAGTAAATAAAATAAGAGAACCAGAGAGTGAATGTTCAAAAGTGTGGACACAATTAGAGAATGCATCGAATCATAGAAAACAACTTATCAACAACTGTATCATAGAGACTGAAAAACATTTAAACAACCAAAACAACAATCCAATCACAAATACTGTACTCAAGAGACAATTGGAACAACGATTAAATATGTTACGTCTAGAAGAAGACGTAGAGAATGTAATGACTGATGCTGCCCAAAAGATATTCCATAAAGTTTGTAAAGATGATTCTTATTCTATATAGAATAGAAAGTATATAGTATATAGTATAGTTCCATTTATCATAATCAATTAATTTAATCGTGGATGATCATGATGATGGACAGTCCACATTGATATACATTGTATATGTATGTGTTTTTTGGTTTCAATTATTATTATCATTATAATTATTATTGATTGGTTTATTAAGATATTGATCCAAATCAAAGAATAACTTGTCTAGATCATTAATTCTATGTTTAAATACGATCTTTGATCCAATCATTCCAACCGGTACATCATATTTCCACTTTTCATGATGTTGATGATGTTGTGGCAAGTCAATGTTGATTTCATCGATTACAATCTTTCTATTCAATGCTATGTTTTCCTTGTTTTCATTCACTTCATCTGCTATTGGATATAATATCTCTTTTGCATCTAAACATAATGAACATGTAGGTCTAGTATAAAATACTAAATGTACATCATTATTATTATTATTATGGTTGCTATTATTTGAACTTGTCCATCTTCTATTTGGTATATATGATAAAGACGATGATGATTGTCTTGTTGAAATGATAGTATTTGTTATACTTTTGATGATTCTATTGCTGCTGATCATGATTTGTTGTTGTAAAGTCTTTTTCGTGTAAATGAATGAAGATCACTTTTTTTTTTGACCAATGTTGGTGTAGTCAACAATCCAAAAAAAATAAATAAATCAAATTTTAATTTAATTTAATACATAAATACAAAAGGTTAGTTTTAATAATAATAATACATTTGATTTTGGAAATCAATCAATTCTTTGTTGTTTTTTTTAAAGATAGGTTCTCTTTCCTGAACGTGGGTCAACTACCAAACCTTTAGCTCTTGCTCCAGTTGAATAGGTGGTTGTAGTGACTGATGGTGCTTTGGCAGCACATACTCCACACATTAGTTGTGATTGAACTTGGACATAACCACCCTTTAAATCCTTTTTGCAACCAGAACATACCAAACATTGAGGATGATATTTATTATCTAATGCAACTGTAAAACTTGATGTAATTGGTTGATTGCAACTGAGAGAGAGAGAGAGAGAGAGAGAGAGAGAGAGAGAGAGAGAGAGAGAGAGAGAGAGAGAGAGAGAGAGAGAGAGAGAGAGAGAGAAATATTAATATATATTAAGTTATTATTATTATTATTATTATTACATACCCAAAACAAAGAGTTGAAGGAGATTTACCACATGGTTGACAATATGGTACACCGGATTTGTTGACAAATGATTGTCCACCAATTGGAATCTTACATTTGTTACATACAAAACAATCTTGATGGTATACGCGACCAGCAAATTGTACACCTTGATCAACCATTGTTTTGTGGCAGGTTGGACATTGTTCTTTTCCAGACTGTACATTTTGGGCCACTTCAACTTTTATTCTATTTCTCTCTTCTGCCTCTTTATTGGTGACAGTGATTGTAGCACCGCCAGAGTGATTCATAAACTTTGCCTTTTCTGGATCACTTAGATCACTATTGCATTTAAAGCAGTATGGACGACCTAACCTATCGACACTGGTAGTGTTGCTGAGTTGTGTGTCACAATAGGTGCAAGTAAAACATTTGTTATGATATTGTCTACCAGAAAAGACGGTCGATGCTCCAACGATGGGACATGAACAACGATGACAAGAGTGATCGACATTATAACATGCGGGATGATATTTTTTAGTACCATTCACCTGAGGAGTCTCCCCTCCCACGATACCTCTTGAACAACCCTCACAAACAGGACCAACCAATTTTTCATAATGTTGTCTACAATAGAATGTTGATTTATCCTTTGTATCTTGATAGGCATTAGAGCATTGTTCTCCACATTCTCCACAAAATTGTATATTCAACTTTCCACCAAACATACTATCATTTCCTAACATTCTATAGATTTGATATATATATATATATATATATATATATAGTACAGTACACTTGTGTTAACAGTTGATTATATTCTTCTTATTCTTCTTCTTCTTCTTCTTCTTCTTCTTCTTGTTCATCATTGATTTGAGATTACCTTGCAAGAGTATTTTCTATTCCATCTTTGTCATGAGCAGATGATATGAATCTGTTGCTAACGTTCTCGCGAGACATGTTTGATTGATCGATTGATTTAATTAGTTCTAACTACTTTTGTATTAGTTATCATAGAGATGTAACGTGGGGATAGATATCACATTGTGTAAAATTAATTAAACTGGAGAGGTTTTAATTAAATTTTCAAATAAATTTTTGAATATATTGGGCAGCTTCAAGTTCCCTCCAAAAATTAAAATTTTTTTTGTCGTTACAGATGACCTCTAACTTCCAGGTGTTCATATCCTTCACAATTTGTTTGTACATCATCTTTTTCACACAACAACAACAACAACAACAACAACAACAACAACAACAGATTAGACAGAATTCTTATATGGAGGATATTAGAGTCAGTCGAAAATATATATATATAATCTAGATTATGCAATAAAGAACAACAACAATAATAATAGACACTTCCAACAATCAATCAACCATTTTTATAAAGTACTAGTTTTTTTATATTTATATAAAGAGAGATAATTAATTTTAATCTCCTTTAATCAGCCTATCAATATTATTTATTTATTACCATTATTATTATTATTACGATGAAAAAGAGTAGTTTCAAACCATTTGATAATAATAATAATAATAATCACAACACAGCAACAATGTCACCTAAATCAAAGAAAAGAGATTTGTAAGTTAATCAATCAATCAATCAATCAATCAATCAATCAATCAATCAATCAATCAATCAATCAATCAATCAATCAATCAATCAATCAATCAATCAATCAATCAATCAATCAATCCATATATTAATATAGATCTATTTATTTATTATATTTATTAGTTCTATAGTATCAGCATCACCAATGCAACCTGCCACTCAAACACCATTGAGAGCATCGTCAACAGCTACAACCAAGACCAAGAAAAATATTTTGAATAACCATCAGAATCAAAATAATCAGAATCATCAACAGAATAATGGATCACCATCAACATCTATTAAATCACCAAGACCATCTGTAGTCAATAATAATAATCAAAGTAATTTAAATCAATCTACCAATTTGTTGCGTGACCAAAATAATAATCAAAAGTCATCAACCATTAAAAAACAACAATTATCTGGAATACTCACCGATCAACATCATCATGAAGTAATAGAACCAATGAAAGTGTATTTACGTATTCGTCCAATGTCATCGGATGAAACCAAATCCAAAGAAACCAATAGTTTTAGTGTCAACTCTAAATCAACTGTCACCATTAAATCTTTCAACAAAGATAAAATTGGTTCAAATGAATCTGAGGGTAAATTTGGTTTTACTCATGTATTCCCTGATAATACAACTCAATTATCTGTATTTAAGTAATTATCAAATATATAATATAATAATATAAATAATTAAATATTAACTTCTTTTATTATTTATTTTATTTTCATTTAGGAATGTTACATCACCATTAATTAAATCATTTCTACAAGGACATAATATATTATTATTGGCATATGGTGTAACCAATGCAGGTAAGACATATACTATATCTGGTACATCTAAACAACCAGGTATTGTACCACGTACCTTGGAAGAGGTATTTTTAAATATACCAAAACATTGTATCAAGAAAAATGAAGATGTTATGGATTCAAGTGATCAAGATGATGATCAAGATGATGAAGATTATGATGATAGTGACCAAGATGAAGAAGATGATGATGAATCTACATCTGATCAAGATGCAAGTGATCAAGATGAAGAAATGTCAAGTAGTGTCGAACAAGAGACAACAACCACCGACGCATCACTTGAAGATCATTCTTCTTCTTATGATTCAAGTTTAGAACAACAACAAAAGAAAAAGAAGAAAAAATCAACTGTCAACCAATCCAACAACAACCAATCCAACAATTCATCATTTAATAATTCCAATATGTTATCAGATAAATTTAAATATTCAGTTTGGGTATCATATTATGAAATCTATAAAGATCAAATTTATGATCTTTTAGATACCAAACCAACTAAACAGAAACCAGCATTGAAATTGGAGACAAATAATGGTGAGAGTACTGTTAAAGATCTTAAACAAATGTTGGCTGGTTCGTTGGAAGAAGCGATGGAAGTGGTTGAACAAGGACTGCAAGCTCGTCGTGTAGGAGATACCAAGCTCAATAGTGCTTCCAGTCGTAGTCACTCTGTATTGACTGTCAAGTTGGTTAGTTATCCAGGTGATCGTCCACGCTCTGAAGTACATCCATCGATGATCAAGTGTTCCCGTTTGACTATTATCGATTTGGCTGGTAGTGAACGATCAAAACGTACAGATGCCGCCGGTGAAAGATTCAAAGAGGCTACCAATATCAACTCTTCTCTTTTATCACTTGGTCGTTGTATGGAAGTGATCAGACAAAAGGGTGTACCTGCTTGGCGTGAATCTAAACTTACCCGTATCTGTCAAGAGTACTTTGTCAATAATGGTCGTGTCTCTATGATTGTCAATGTCAGTCCAACCTCTAGTGACTCTGAAGAAACATTACATGTACTCAAATTCTCTGCCACCGCCAAGGAAATCACTACTCAAAGTAAAGTTGATAGTGGTCGTAATCAACTTCCTCCACCATCCAACAACAACAACAACACAACATTAAATTCAACTCTTAAAAATAGTGGTAGTCATAATGTATTGTTAAATTCAACTAAAAAGAGAAAACAAGATGAAGAATTGACAGCAGCAGCATCTAATAATAATCAAAATAATCAAAATAATAATAATGTTTCATCCATTTCCATTAAAATAATTGAACAACAACAACAAAGAAGAAAGAAATTAAATGATCCACAAGTTATCAATGCACCAATTCGAGTGGATTATTTGTCAATGGAAAAGGATCAACTTTTAGATCAAATTACAAAGTATCATGCCAAACTACGTTCATCTGAATTAAAGACAGCAGAGACAGAGGCCAATACTAGAGAATCTATGACTAAAGAGGTTGCCCAAACAATGATGGAGATGGAGTTGGTATTTAAGAATCGTCTGGCCAATGAAGCTCGTTTAATGGAAGACCGTTTCCAACACAAATTGAATATCTTTAAGAGATTCCAAGAACAACAACAACAACACTATGAAACCAAGTTGGATAGTCTCCAACAAGAGAATGCCAACCTTTCAAAGAACCAACGATCGGGTGTCGACGAGAACGAATGGATCATACGTTTGGATCAAGTAAAGGTGGAACGAGACAATTACCAACAGAAAATCAATGAAATGTTGGAGCAGTTGGAGAAAAAGTCAAAGCAAGGTGATGAAGCCATTCATCAAATACTCCATCTCAGAGAGAAGCTTCGTGAAGTCGAGGAAGACAATAACCTGCTCATGGCAGAGATTCAAAGATTCTCTGAACAAGGAACTGCATTGGCTGCTCGTCGTGATGTTGAATTTGCCGAAATGAAGGTCTATATGGAACTAGAGTTGAAACAAAACAAAGAATCATCACGTCTAGAAATTGAAAGTCTCAATGCACAGTTGGCAAGTGAAAGAAGAGAAAAGTGCAAGTTACAAGAAGAGTTGATGATGTGGAAACAAAAGGCAGAGGAAAACACCTCATTCTTGAATGACTCTTTCCACAAGGAGCATAAAGAACATGGTCACAAAGACTCTCACATCAAACATAATCTTCAACACTTGTCACCCTTTAAAAATATTAAACTTGTCACACCTCACAAAACTAAAAACTATGGCAAGGTTGCTATCCTACAAGAGGGTACCGATGCAAATACCATCTACAAGGGTGATATTGAAAAGTCTGTCACTGGTCATGGTTTATCGGTTCGATTCACCGATACTGAAACATTACAACATAATCCAAATAATAATGTTGTTACTGTTTCAAGTGCTACTCTTGGTAATACTCCTCAACAACCACAACAACCATCTACCCCTCAACAAATGTCACACCATCCATCATTACAACAACAATATTCTACCTCTTCATTGGCAACTACACATAGTCGTGCATCAATGATATCATCATATTATGGTAGTGATAGTCCTGCTAGAACGGCTACTGCTGCAACTGCAACTGCTCCAGGAACACCAACTGCCAGTGTCAATGGATGGACACCTGAAAAGGGTCATAACCTCAATGACAGTACTATGGACGGTGGTGGTCTCCTCATGAAGGAACTCGATGGCGACGATATTGATGTCATGTTGGGTGGCCAAGACGACGACTTTGAAGATATTGATATGACCGATATGCGTGACAAGCATCATCACCACCAGGCCAACATGGCCAAGGAAAAGAAGGAAAAGCATCTCTCTGGTGTCTCCAAGAAATTAATCACAAAGACTAGAGATATGATTTCTCAGAGTAGTCTTCACATACCAACTGTCTCTTCTGCCAAGGACAAGGAACAAAAACTACGTGAACAAAAGGAAAAGGAACAAAAAGAGATGGAAAAGGAAAAGGAAAAGATGGTTGCCAAGGAAAAGGAAAGATTGGACAAGGAACGATTGGACAAGGAAAAGGAAAAGGAAAAGGCTGAAAAAGAAAGAGAAAAGGAAGTTAGAAAATCTGGTATCATCTCGGCCAAACAAGTCAAAGAGCTGGAAAAGATGAGAGAAAAGGAGAAATTGGACAAGGAAAAGGCTGAAAAGGAAAAGGAAAGACAAGCCAAAAAGAATCTTATTGCAAGAAAGACTGCTTTTCTCAATGCTCAACAAACACCACCAGTAGCCTCTGCTGCTACCACTCCCTCCAAACCAAAGGTTGGCACATCAGCCGCCACCAAATCATCTTGGATTGTTGAAACACCCAAAAAGATTGTATCCAATCTCATCAACAAGACACCATCCAAAGGTGCTGCTGCCTCCTCCTATTTACCTCAAACTCCAGCTCATATGATTCATCATCCAACTGCACCATGTCAATCCAACAGTTCTCCACAACTCTTATCACCACCTTCCCCAACAGCTACATCTTCATCACCTATAAGACACAACAATAACGGTAACAATGGAAACAGACAACACTATGTCGAACGTATTAATAGTAGTCCATCAAAGTTGGTAAAGACTACTACTACTACCACGACTACGACAACATCTACCGAGGTTATCAATCCAACCAAACGTAGATTGGCATCCAAACAATCATTGGCACCAATCATGTTGGAAGAACCATTTATTGATAATGATAATCAATCATCAAAAATTGATTCCATTACATCATCTTGCTCTTCACTTTCAAAACCAACATCATCTTCTTCTGCCAAAGCTGTCGCACCCCAAACTACTCAAGTCGTACAACAATATGGACTAAGAAGCAGAAATGATATTAAAAAGGTTATTAAAGGTTTACATAAATAACCACCTTTTTTTTTATATGTATATAATTAATATTTATCGATTGAATCTACCAAAAAATAAATTTATTTTCCAAAAAAATAATTACTTTTATTTATGTTTTTTTTCTAAGAGATTGGACAAAATAAAGCCTCTTCTTCACAATCACTACTACTAATTGATTGTTTAGTGGCAATTTCAGTGTTGAAGAATATATTTGGTGAATTGATAAATTTGGATTGTGAAAGTGAAACAATCATTTGACCAAGATCAGATGATAAATCACCAATGATTAATTCACAACGAGACAATGGGATGACAGTTGAAAAATATTCAATTGCTGTTGTACTGCTGTTGAAATTGATTTTGTTGACTGGAACGGCCATCATTTCACTTTGGTATGCCTTTTCAGCCAAAGCCTGTAAATTAACATCTCTTTCGTATCCTTTGATTGGGTCATTTGAAACCACAAATATATATTCTCTATTCTTGGTCAATTCATAATGAGCAATGAGTGATGAAACGTATTCAGCAAATTCCACCTCTTCTTCATTTAATCTATGAACAATGGTAATACATTTCTTTTTGTCTACTTTTTCATCAATTCTTCCTTCATACAATTCGATTTGTTTATCAATCATATGTTCTAAAAATTTTCTATTCTCTTTCATTAACTTAAATAAATATAAATAAATGGGTTAATAAATAAATTAAAGAAAATATTTAAATATTTTCTTACCCAATTTAAAACAACAGAATTTCTATTTACAATGGTTAAATCCCATACACCATTCAAGTATTCTGAAATTTCAGTTTCAAAACCTTCTTTTAATTTTAAAACTTGAGATTCACTTTCATGAATTTTATCAATACTATTGATTACTTCTAAATTACCAAGATCTAAATCTTTACAACTAAATATTAAATAAATGTTAATATTTTTTAAGGTGATTTAAACTTTTTTGTTTAATTGACATACTTGTTAAAATCTAAAAATATATTAAAATTTGTTAATTCTGGAATGAATAAAACTCTTCCAAGTGAAATGGCAAATAATTGTTGGAGGACGATAGAATTGAACCAGGTAAAATAATTATTGTTGATGAGGGCAGGTGAATAACCAACAAGAATGTTGGATAAAGGTGAACAGTGGAATTGGTCGATAGTAATGGTTTTGTAGAGATTGGCAGGCTTTGTATATGTTGTGGTCAATTGGTACTTTGATACAATAGAAGTGTCCAAAAAGACAACCAAATGTTTCTCTTGCATTCTTTGGTTGTCAGTATCCTTGTTTAATCTATTCATGACAGTGTTGTAGTAATAGGGAAGACCTTCAATAACGATATCTCTATTCATTTCAGAGGTTGAGTCTAGAGATGTTTGGAATTGTTGGTAATCGTGTGGATGACCTACGATGAGTAATTTGCATTTAGCCAACTTTGCACCAAAATCCAATTGCTTTTTGAGTGATTGTTTGGGGTTGTAGAGCATGGCTAGTGTGCCAAGTGTATTGACTCTGTCTTCGTACAATGCATTGATAGTTACCATTTGGTCGGTTACTGGCAACACATTATTGTCAATCTCTAATACATTGTTGTGCGAGTAGAGTACATAGTCTTCGATGGCTTCGTCGGTTCCACGGTCGTCCTTTTCATATCGATCGTCTTGATAAAAGAACAATGTAATCTTTGTACCATTGTTGTTATTGTCTCCAACGTATGAACATCTAGTGTTACTCAACAATGGTTGTCTCTTGTGCAAGAACATCTTGTCCATTGTCTCGTCCAAATCCAACATCTTTTCGTAATCGTCTGTTGTATCGATGATATCACGACGAGGACCTTTATGTCTTTTACCACCAACATCTGCTGCTGTCGTTGATGTCGTATCTATATCTTTTACCAATACATAATTTGAAAATACAAATATAACTACAAATGATATAAAGATATACTTTACATATTTACGTAATCTATTTACATCTCTTGCTTTAAATTTAAATGCCATCTCCGTCGTATACTACTCCTAACTACTACTTTAAACCATATGTGTGTGAATAGATAAAAGGATGAATGAGGCTTGAACTAATGAATGCATCGTCATTAAAAGATCTATCTTTTAACTTTTCTGACACCAACTCAATGAAAATTTTAAAAATAAATAAATAATTTATTCTCAAATTCTAGACTATGTAGTTTATTTCAAATTAACTAAGTTCAAACTTTGTTAATCAATCATGTCTTTAACAACAACATTTAATGATATTCAAATCGACATTTATCAGATCATTGATATTCAATCATGTTGATCAAATATTCAAAGTAGAGTATGATCATGCACGAAACAAAGAAGGTGGTGGTGATAGACAATATTTGGGAGTCAAAGGAAGAGATATCATCAAATTGCCTTATCTTGGAATGATATCAAGGTATGCAATGCCATTACAGTTCATTCTTCACTACCAACCAATGATTAGGATTGTGGAAATTTAGAGATTATAAAGGTATGTCATATCGACGAGATAAATGATGAATCAACTTTATATTAATCAACCTATATATTAATCAACCTATATATTAATAATACAATGTTTTCGATTGTTTGTCATAATAATAATAGTATCTTCATTACACTGTAGGTGCTGAGAAAATGGGATTCATCGATATTGTCAAGTTCCTTTATCTACATTGTAAAGAAGGCTGTACGACCAAGGCTCTATCTAAAGCAAGTAAAAATGGCCACATGGATATTGTATTATTCCTTCATCAACACAAAAGTGAGGCTGTGCAACAGATGCCATGGCCATCGCAGCTCAATATGGTCATTATGAGATTGTTAAGGTATGTATACAGCTGACTAGTCCTTAAGCGTTGTAACTTTCTAAACTATAATTAATCCTATGATCCAATTTATTTTTTAGTTTTTATTCAACAATAAAAAACAAGAAGAAGTAAATGTAGCAAATGCAATGGAATTATCGTGTTGCAATCAAAGAATTGAAATCGTTTCATTTTGGTAGATATTCTAGTCAAAGAACTGAAAGAGGAAAGGAGGACTGTTGACAGCACAACAAAAAGATCATATTGAAGAGGCAATCATTACAGCATCGGTTTGTGGTCACATTGCATATGTCAAGTACATTTTATCAACATTCAACATTACTACTCTTAGACAGGAAACAGTACTCGAGATCAAAAGTTTCTGTCAAGAAGCTTGGCACTATGAAATCATTGATTATTTTGAAAGTGAATCTCAATTGGGCCGATCGATTCAAATTGATTGACATGGATCGTATATTACCGCTAAGCATAAAATATTCTAAAATTATTAAAGGACAAGAAAGGCTATTAGGTTATTGAAAAAAAGTGGAACTACTTTTTAAAAGTAGGCAAGCTATTTAATTCTTCCAAACAATAATAATAAAAAAAGAACTCTTTAATTTGAAAGAGTTGGTCAAACCAAGACTATAGATAGATATATTATCTCTTTTTAATCTTATTGCTAGTATATAATAAATATTAAAAAGAGTTGAGAGTGTTTTTATTTACAAAAAATCAGTAATTGATTTCTTTGGTGGTGGACCTTTTGGTGTTTCTGGTTTCTTGGTCATCTCTTCAAACATTAAAATCTTTTGAAGGATTGAACTCTTCTTGCCAGTCATCATAACAAGAAAGTCTCTAAATGTGATGGTTTCACCGTTGCTAGATACTTCGGCCATCATCTTTTTGAGTTCCAAATGTGTCTTGGTTTGTCCAACTCTCTCCAACATCAACTTCAACTCCATCATGTCGATATCACCACTATTGTTGACATCGTAGGCCATAAATTGTTCTTTATACTTTTGAATCAATGCCTCCTCTACTTCAGGGAATTCAGCTGATATGGAATCCAAGTCATTCTCTTGTTGTTTCTTCAACTGACCAAATACTTTTCCACCTTGATGTGAATGTGTTGTCATTTTTCTCTACTCTTTAAAGTTTAAATAAATAAATAATATATGTTGCCTTTGAGCAATTTAAATAATAACTAACAACAAACTGGCAATCAAGCTATTCAAACAACAAAAATTTAACTGAACCACTGTTTTGGGGTTTGAAAAAAATATCTTTCCAAAATTCAAGTAAAAAACATTGGATGGGGTAGGCATTTATTTTCTATAGATTTTTAAATACATCTTTAAATCGGTTACTATTGGATGTACTCCATGCAGCAGTAATATATAAAAGTGATGCAAAAACATTGAAATAATTGGTCCATGGAAGGTATTGTGGGAAAAACGCTAGATATAGGGAATAGGTGGTGGAGGCTACCAAGGCTGCTTGTCTCTTCCAAGGTGTATTTCTAGATAAAAGAAAAGATGATAGGAAAAAGATCCAACTCTTTCTGGCAGCATTGGAAATGGCTTCGAGTAGTAATAGTACCACTCGTTTTCTACTCTCTGGCACGCCAATCGTAACAACGTGCAACAATTTCATTTTCTTTTGTTTGCTAATATACATGACCACTCTAGAGATTGATACCCAAATACCCAACAAAAAGTTGCTAGTAATTAAAACACGACGAGAATACTTTAATCCCCATTTCATTCTTCCTTGTTCTTCTTCCATCTCTTTGATCCTATCTTTTAATAATTCAACTTCTGCCAAAATTGCTTGTATTTGTGTTTCTAATCTATGTACAATTTCTATAGAAAATAATAAAAGTAATTAATTATTGACATTTACAAAAAATCTATGATACAATACCATCTTTTGTTTCATAATTATTATTATTATTATTATGTTGGTTAGAGGTTAATCTATAAAGATTATTGGTACTACCATTACTCTGTTGATATTTTGATGATAGGTATGGACTTGGAAGTGTATTATTACCATTATTACCATTATTATTAAAAGATGAAATGTTGAATGGTAAAAAGGAGGGTGATGGTTGTTGATAATTGGTTGTTGTAGTAGTTGTGGTTATAGTATTTACAGAAGGTTGTGACGAGATGTTTTGAATGTTGTTGATACTTGGACTGTTGCTTAGTCCATAGTTTGCTAGATTTGGATAACTTATTGCTGTTATGTTGTAATTGGTTTCACGTGGTGTGTGACGTGGTGTATATCCACCATTGGAGCTTTGTTGTTGTTGTGGTTGTTCATTGTTGTTGGAAGATGTAATAGATGGTGATTGAAGTAAAGGATTCTGATTCAAGAATGGTGTACTCTTACTTCTCTTCATATATGATTCTGAAGAATAGATGTTACTACTATTGAATCCTCCTCCAACTCCACCGGCACCGCTACTAAATGATGGAGACCTATATTTATTGTACATGTTGTTACTATTGTTATTGTAATTAGAACTAGTTGGTGGAACAGCCGAAGTAGGAGTAGGTATATCATCTGTTACAAATATAGGTAATAGTCCATTGATAGAGTTTATTACAGGTGAGTTGTTATGTGACGATGTTGTAGAATGATTGGTACTACTATTGTTACTACTATTATTATTACTACTTTCGTTTGAATAGAGAGTATCTAGAATACTAACTGATTTTGATGATTTCATAGCTCTCTCTTCTCTCTCTCTCTCTTCTCTCGATCTATCTATAAATTATATTAAAGAAACACACAGCTGAGAGACATTATTGGAAAGGGGCATGAGTTGAACCACAATGGATTTAAATTGCGAGGGAACGAAATTTTTGAGAAATCGAGATGACATCATTGGTCTGATATCTTATATGACCGTCATCTATCAAGAATAATAAATTCAATTTATATTTATCATTGGTTTGGTGATGTAGAAATTTATTTAAAATTTTAAATAATATTAAACATTTTTTAAAATTAGCTTCACGGCAAAGTTAACTCTTTTAACTTCATGCGAATTCTTCGTCTTCGTGTTCATACGATGATACGATGGGCAGAATTCTAAAGAGAGATTTGCAGAGCGTACTATAGTATAAACCAACACCCAAAATGCACACAACAATAGAAAGAATATGAATACATACACCCGGGTTGCCATCTAATCCACAAGTTCCTTGACACGTTGTTCTTGATACAAACAGTTCGAACGACACGCTTGCTTTGAATGGATCTCTTTGCGTAGGTGGTCAAATCAAAAGAAAGGCACTCTGCAATAACTCAAAACCTCGACCCAATCAACAGGTTTTGAACAACACCAGAAACTAGTTCAACGATCACCAACTCCAACCATTTGAAGTTTGATTCCCTTGCACCTTCAACCCCGATAATGTTTCAACAATCAACAACTCTAGCCTCGACTTGTGTGTGTGTGTGGGGGGAACCCTTGCACCGTTATCGTACCTATCAACTCGCGCTAGACTCTGATGACGCTTGTATGGTTGAAGGGGGTTCAATCTCTTACACAAGGGTGCACGGGCCCATCGGTGTTATGATAATGAAGATAAATTCTAAATATTTAGATCGTTATCAATCATTGTTCCCCTCTTCATCCCCAAGTTTAAAGGTAAGAAGACAAAAGGAAGGATCATTCATTCATAATTTAATATTTATATTCATATCTTTTTGTTGTAGTTTTAATCATAGTATCGATCAGGTTAGGTTCTAGGGATACCAAACAGTTTTAAAAATGCCTAGAAAAAAGTAAATATTATTTTCTTGTATATATGCTACACTGCAATATTAATTCTCTCTACTATTTTTATATTAGCCACAGTATCGATGGAGGGAAACTGATCCTCAGCAACTTTGAGGAATACATCGAAGAAATTACTTCTCTTCTGGCGCCAATGGGATTGCGAATGGTTTACAGAGCGACGTTCGATCCACTTCACTTTGTTGGCAAGACGATTCAAGATTTAAAACAAAACTGCGAACCATCTTACCATAGTCGTCTCGAAAAGTTGATCAAATTTGATTCAAAAACTGGAATGATTGATGCCGACAACCCAATACTTACTACCATTGGATATGTCGGTTCTACAAAGGACCCATACAAAAGATTTAATGCTCACGCCAGACGTACTAGCCAATGTTACCTCATCAATGCGTGCATCCGAACCTTTCGTTTTTTCACTGTCACAATCATTGACATTGGACCAGATTCAAAAGAAGGCTATGCGTTGGAAAAGTCTTATTTCACAAAACCAAGTCTCAACATTGCCGATATCAATGAAGACGATTTCGTCAAGATCAAGAAGATATTTTCTTTTCACCGTCCTCCTTGCAAACAAGAATATCTTCAATTCAAATTGTTCAACCAGTACATCCGAACCTTTTCAACGAATCATTTCACCGACCATTTCAATTATATGTACTCGTACCTCATGGAATCGTTTTACACTGGTCAATCCGTCGTCTTCAAGCTCCATTTTGGTGCCACTTCCGACATAGTCATCGCTCATCCACAATTGTTCATCGAAGAATATGGGTTGACAGACATTGCAATGGATCCTATCAAATTCAACATCCAGCCTATCTTGGAGACGTGTATCTATTTGAACCAAGTACTGGGAAGGGATTGCCAAAAAGCCAGCTTTATCGGGCCCGATGGATTACCATACGCGATGAGTTGTCCATTAGCTTCCCACGGAATGGAGGAAGACCCAATACTTGCCAGTCTCGACGTATCACTTAGACGTTCCATCACCTCTAACCATTTGGTCTACTTGCGTGGGGTCCATTTAACATATGGTCCATCCAGTGCCATAGAATGCATGTACCACCAACTGAGCTTTGCCCCCCTCTCTAGGGATCAAATTATCACTCTACTGCAATCCATCAGCCAACAACAACAAGTCCACAACTCGGCCATCGAAGGCCTCGAGATGTTACCTATCCAATTCATGGGCACTACCATTTGGATCGACGTCTCAGCATTGGCTATTGACAGAGATTTTGTCCCCATCATGAAAATGGATAAAAACTGTTGCCACAAATTCTTTGTCAAGGAAAAAAAGAATCTCGTCCACAGTGTATATTATACCGATGAAGAACAAATACATCTTTGTGAAAAGAAAGATGATTGCCCATTACATCGTTTTCCAAATACAATGACCAAAGCTCAAATAGCTCACTCTCTTCTCATACACTATTATCATCTTTATCAAATTGACCCCAACAAGGAATCGGTTAAAGATAAAGTCTGGAAAAAGTTTGTTACACCGTACGAGGAGTGTATCAAAGCATTTGGAAAGGAGCATTATTATGGCATCTACATTTTCAAAGATTGTATCAGCAACAAGAAAGGCGAGATCCCTGCAATCACCAAAACAGTCAATGACGATGGATTTTATCTCAACTTGAATACCAACATTCCACTAAAATACCACACAACTTTTAGCGATAAAGTATGGATACAACAACAATCAATGACTTCCACTGAAAGAGCAAATGAATTAATGTTAATTCACATGAAAGTTTTGGTGTCAATCTTGAATCAAATCATTCTCAAGTTTAGGGGTCCAACAATTCCCAAACCAAGTGATTTTGGTGACATCCCACATTTCAAACATTTTGAAAACTTTATCAAGAAGCTCATTTCATTGGCCAAGCTCAGCGAAGAAGATATCATCAAGATATGTACGATGCCAAAAGGTTGGGGTAACATTGTTCACTGTGGTCTTACCAGTGGTAGTGTTCCAAAGGACCATCCAATCATTAATACACAAGTTAACCTTGAACTCGATGGAAATGAACTATCTACTCCATCAAAGGAAAAGTTAAAGGAGTTCCACAATGCATTCCATCGTGTGGAAGCTTGTTTTCCCTCGACCACCACCGTATCATTCACAAGTACTCCATTGCACAAGTTTGCCTTGTCAAATAATGATGAACGTATGATATATATAAAAAAAAAAAAGTATCAATTAGATATATAAATATATTAACATATTTTCCCAAAGTATTACCAAACCTTCATCGTGGTAGGAGTGGTGTCGAAACCACTGATACTTATCAAGAGGTTTGGGATAACCTTGAGAATAGCCTGAATCTATTCTACAGTCATATGGGAGATCCTATGAAAAAGCAATCCATATTCGAGTTGGACAACAATCCCAATCACAACCATAATATGGAACAGGATGACCACTCTTCATCCACTTCTACTACTACTACTACAACTACTACTACGACCAGTACAATTCAATACCAAGATGACTCTGATGATGATGATTTAAATGGTGTTGATTCAAATGAACACTGGATCCAAAGAAAGAAACAAAGATTTGACCAACCTTTCCACAAGGAACAAGAAGAGGATTAAAAAAAACAATTCACAACTTAAAATAAATATATTAATAATAATAAAGTTTTTAGATTATAAATATATTGATATTTTATTAAATAAATAATTATTGTATTAAATTTAATTGATAAAAGAGTTTATGCTTTCAGATTTATAACCATCCTTGGAATAGGTGATTGGGAAGAAACTTTCTTCCATCTCTACAGAATTGTGTAACTTGTATCTACCATAGATGAATCCAACATCCTTTTCTTTGAATTTAGTCTTGTCTGGAATAAAACATAATGCATAGGCCATTCTCTCTGTTAAAAAAAAAATAGATCATTAATTTAACATTAACCATAATTGGAGTATGGTATATTTCCATCAAGGTTTACATACCATTCTTCATACTAGTATTTGAACCTGATCCATGCCAAGTCAAACCATGGTGAATACCACAACCACCTTTGGGGACTACAACTGGGACAACATCTGGTTTTTCAATACCTTCCTTTTGAGCAGCTTCGTTTAGGTTCTTGGTGTAAGATGGTGGAACATGGAAATTCTTGACCATACCAGAATGAGTGTTCCATTTATGACTTCCCTTTACATACTCTAAAGTACCATTCTCTGTAGAAACATCAGTCAATGCCAACCAAATAGTGACAACTGAAACTGGATTGAAAAAAGTTAAATATGGTTCATCTTGATGGAATTTGATTGGACCTCCACCAATTGGTTTCCACTAAAAGATATATGTTAGAAATTGTAAAAATTTAATAGAGATTTAAAATTATTTACAAATAAATCATCTTGAGCAAGACGAGCACCTTCCCAACCCATTAAATCGGCAGCAACCTTTCCCAACTTTTCACTCAATGCAACTCTAGCAAAACTAGGATCACACTTGAATGCATTGGCAAGTTCACGAGTAGTATCATTTCTTGATAAATTTGGTCTCCAATTTAATTCATCTAAAAAAAGAGAGAGAAGAAAAAAAAAACAAAATATTGAAAAAAAGAGTGAAAAAAAAAAAAATATTAATATAACATTATTTCTAAAATAGGGGAATATTATAAAAACCAAATTGATATATTTTTTATATATTTCATACCTGGAAGAATATTTTTTGGATAATCTTCATTGAATAAAGGTTCAACTCTACAAGCAATTGATTCAACTTCATCCTTTGTTAGGATCTCATCGATTAATAGGAAACCATTGTTTTTGAATTCGTCCTTTTGCTTGTCAGAGATGTTGAATTGTTGATCGTTGTTCATTTTATAATATTACTATTTATATTTCTATTTATTCTACTTTTGATAAATTAATATATTTTAAACTAAAAGAAATTTCAATTTTAAAATGAAAGCTAAAAGGAAAAATTAGTATTGGTAAAAACACAAAAATGGAAATTCTAAATATGTAAAATAGAGATAGCAAGGCTGCTACATACGTGGGCATTTATTTACGTGGCCCAATAATCCACTAAACACATGCCCACTCAAATTTAAATATCCCCCAGGGAGTATATTAAATAAAAAAATATATGAAGAGTGGGTTGGGTTAAGCGGGTTTAAATGGGTGGTAAAGTGATTTTATTTCTTTTTTTGGTTAAAAGATTTTGTTTTTTTTTTTGATTGAATAGTTGGGTGGAAATAATTAAAGGTGAGTAAGAGTAAATATTGGTCTATGACTCTCCTTTACTTTTGAAAAATAATGATATTATATAAAATTGGAAAGTTTATTTCTTAATACTTTGTTTTTGTTCTGATTCATCTTTCCATTCAGCTTCTCTTGTGTTGTCGTAAGCGTAATTTTTGACATGTGAGAATAGAGCCTTGTTGGCAACACCTGGAATTTGATTGGTGACAAGACTTCTCTTTTGGAAACTACGTAATCTATCTTTGAGTGGATGGAATGTTGGCTAAAAAAAAAAATTAAATAAATATTAAGATTATAATTATCTTTTTGTTTTGTTATTTACATTTGAAAGTTCAGATAAAGTAGAAGGTAATTCAGAAGGTAATAAAAATGCTTCAGTGATTGTATCGGCGACAGCGTTTGAAACTTTCTTTGTAGACTTTGCAGTTTCATCTCTAGTTTTGGCACGATCTGCTCTTTGTGCTTCTATTTGTTGTTCGTGTTGATCGATCTTTTTGACGATTTTTTCAATGTGATCAATGTCTTGAGCCATCTTGGCCTCCTTTTTTCTTCTAGAGACATCGCTTTGATGCTTGGCACGAGACATACTCTTTTTCTTTTCCTTCTTGGTCTTGATATCGTTGATGGAAAGCATTTGACCGAGTGACATGTTGACACCCTCCTTGGTCTTGATGACTGGCAATTGATCTCTTTCTTGTACCAACTTGATGTCTCTCTCCTTTTCGAGTTGGAGATCAACCTTGAGTTTCTTGACGATCTTTTCTGGCATCTCTTGGATGGTCAATCCTTGCTCGACTTGCTTTACATATCTTTCGGCCTTCTTTTCGATTTGAAGAGCCTTGTAGAGAGTTTGTTGATGCTCTTGTGGGACGGGACGATAAGACATACCGGCCGATGGCAATTCGACAGACTTGGAAGCCTTGACCAATTTGTTGTGAGTTGGACGGGGATGGTAGACGTCCTCTTCATTGGTATGTAGATAGCTGTTTTGGTCGATTTCCTGTTCATCCTCCCACAAGTCTTGTGTCTTTCTCTTGTTCTTTCCGGCCAACTCGTTCATCATGTGCTTTTTTTTGTTTGGTGTTGGTTTGTTCATGTCTTGGAGGTATTCGTTGCTGTATGGTTGCGACTTTTTCTTTTGTAGATTGTTGACGGTTCTTGTGAGTAAAATCTCTTCACTCGAAAGTACATTTGTGGTTACATTCTTATTCTTTGAGATCTCTTCTACATTGTCATTTGATGACAATATTTTCTCTGCTCTTGTCAATTTATTTTTTGCCAATTCTTTCTTTTGTTCTCTTTTATTTAATAGTTTTGGTGTTTCTTTAACTAAATCGATAGATAGAAAAAAGAAATATTAATATCATATTGATAAAAGATTCTCTCCATTTCTTTACTAACCTGTTTTACTAATAGTGAATAATTGTTTATCTGATTTCTCTTCAACTGGTTTACCAAACTTTAATTGATCTATAATCTCTTCATCTCTCTTTTCTGCGTACATCAAAGATACCTCTTTACGAGCTCTTTGATTCTTATTCTTTTTATGTTCGTGACCCATCTTTTTATATCTATATCTATATTTTATATAACTACTATCCCCTCTCTAAAACAACTAATAATAATAATAATAAAAAGAGACACAAAAAACCTTCATCAATTGTCCTCGTTCGGTTTTCTCACCAAACATTTAATTTTCGATTTTTCATTCTTTTTTTTTTTTTAATTATATAATCAGATTTATTATCATTGCAAGCATAGTATATTTCGTTGAACAAACATAAAGATAGATAAGAAAGATAAATGGCAAAACATGCACAACTTGTAATGGGTCCTGCTGGTAGTGGAAAGGTATAAAGAAGAAAGAAAGAAAGAAAGAATGAAAAGTTATCAAGAAATGAATGTTTGCTTATTTACCTACCTACCTACTTATCTACCTACCTACTTAAGTCAACCTATTGTGATGCAATGAGAAAATATTGTGAAGAAATTAAAAGAGTAGTACATGTAGTTAATTTAGATCCAGCAGCAGAGGTATTTGAATACCCAGTGTCGGTAGATATCAAGAATTTGATCACCGTAGACGAAGTAATGGAAGAATTGGAATATGGACCAAACGGAGGATTGGTCTATGCAATGGAATACTTGATCGAGAATATGGATTGGTTTACCGATGAGATTGGAGACTATGACGAAGACTATCTTATTATCGATTGTCCGGGTCAAATTGAATTGTACAGTCATATCCCAGTCATGCGTACACTCGTAGAAACACTCAAACAAAATGGTTACAATGTATGTGCAGTCTTTTTAGTAGACTCTCAATTCATTCTAGATAGTTGTAAATTTATCTCTGGATCTCTCATGTGTCTCTCTGCAATGATTCGTCTAGAAGTACCACATATCAACGTTTTAACCAAAGTTGATATTATCAAAAGATCTCAACAAATTAAAGATATTGAAAGGTAAATCATAAAAGACATATATATTATATTATATTGATTACATGACACTAATCTTTCTTTTTTTGTTTTTTTTAATAGTTTTCTTGAAATGGAAGTACCAGATATTGTAGAAAGATTAGATAGTGAAACACATAATAGATATCATAAATTAAATAGAGCAATTGGAAAACTTGTATGTTATATATATTATATTTTTTGAATGACATTAATATTAATATTTTTTTAGCTTGAAGATTATAGTTTAGTTAGTTTTTTACCTTTGGATATTACTGATCAAGAAAGTTTAAATGTTCTATTACAACATATAGATAATTCTATACAGTACGGTGAAGATGTGGAGCCACAGGACCCCAAAAATGATTTCCCAGATGAAGAAGATGAAGATGATTATGATATCTAAATATTATTAATAATAAAATAAATTAAATTATTTATTTGTGTAAATAAGAAAAAGAAAAAAACTATTACATTCTATGTATGTTTTATAATGTACATTTAATTTATTTAATTTTTTTTTTTTAAATATTTAAAATTGTTTTGATTGAATGATTTTTAGTATCATATCTATTTTCAAAGGTAGTACAATTATCTAAATATTTAAAAGGGTATTGTATTTGACATAGGTATTGAAGTGTAACGTATGCATTTTGTTGTATGATTTCTTTCATAAATTGATCCTGATCTATTTTAAATATTTGTTGAAGATTTAAATGTTGATGATTATCTTTGTTATCTCTATTGATTAACCAATCTAAAATATCCAATTGACCAAATCTAATAGAATCTAATATTAATTGTTTCCAATTTTGTTCAAATGTCAATGGTTTCTTTTCTTGAATATATTTTAAAATATTAATGTGACCGTGTGAGACTAGTTCTTGAAGATGGAATTGAGAATACCATCCCTTTTCGTGAATGTATTGCAAGAGTTGGAATGAGCCAGATATACTTGCACCCTTGGTTAATTCTTCAAAATTGATAAACTTGCTATTGTTAAATGATTCTCCTTCAAGACAAATATCGACAATGTCAATCAAGAATTGAATGCTACCGGTTTTACCAATTTCTTTCCATACCCATTTTGGTTGAGGAGTTGTAAGGTCGGGTGTTTTTAGAGATTTCTTGAATGCTTCCTTGTCACACTTTTCAATAATGGCTTTGACAGCTTGGAGACTACCCTTTGTGACGGCATATTCAATGACAGAGTGTTCTTGAGCCTCGGTGATCAATTCGAAAAAGTGAAGATTGTCTAGAATGGTTCCAACAGACTGGAGGTCATTATTCCAAATGGCTTGTTTGAGTTGTTCCATACCTTCGATTTCTCCGTCGTGGTCAGAGATGAATTGGAGCATTTCCAATGTATACCAATTCGCATCAATGACTCTATCCAAGTGTTCATAGTATTGATAGATGAATACCAACGATTCCATTGTACCAGGTTTGTAGGCACTATCATTGTTTGATAGCTTGGCACGTAGTCTGAGGTCATCTAAAATGTATTTTGCAATGACCAATCCTTCAGTGTCACGTCTTTCAAGTGCCAACCCTACTGCATTGTTGTGGAGGAGTGATGGGTTGCCTTGGATATAGTCAATGGCAGCCCTAACTTGATCCAAAGTACCATATTGACAGAAGAGTTGGAATGGTTTGCTGTTTGTGCTTTGGTCAATGATGAATGGTATAGTATCGACGAGTCCAAGCTTGACAAGATGTGGAATAAAGTATTTCATACGCATGTATGAGCTGTCAACATTGGATCCAGGTTCCAATCTCTTCATAATTTCCATTAAAACCAATTGGTCAAATGATTCTTGGTCAAGGGATTGACACCATTCGCCGCCGGCATTTGTGACAACATTTTGTATTTCAGTCAGGTCAATACCAACTGGATTCTCTTGATTGATTTTGTTTGCGATAAACATAATTATATCAATCTTTTGTTTGGTGGTATGCAACGCACTAGTGTGACCAAAGTAAAGGTACTCGACTGGAAGGAATGGTGAAGGAGCGTATGCAAACGAGTCGATGGTTTCGATACTACCAGTTTGAAGAGACCAATTACGAACAGTTTTGTAATAGGATGGGTGGTCTACATAGTCTTGTACAATCTCTGGGAAATGGTCTCTGATAAAATTGAATATTTGAGCGGTTTGGTGTTGCAATGAAAAATTGATAAAATTGAATACATTGATACCGGGAGTATCCAATCTCAATGCACCTTGGTCTGCTCCGTCTGTTGGCATTAAACATTGAGGATAACGATCGAAAAGGTACTCGAGTACGTGTAAGTGTCCATCACGAGCAGCAACTTCCCAAGCATTTTCGGTAGAGAGTATGATAGGTTCGGTTTGGTCTAGAAGGATCTCGAGTATTTCAATATTCCCATTGGAACAAGCACGACTAATAAGTTGAGGTGACAAAAACCAGTTTTTCATTCGGTCATAGACCAACCGAAAAGTGGCAACATTGGGTGCTTTTTGACAAAATAGTTCTATAGATTTGTTGGACCAAGTAAGGGGTAGACCACGTTCCAATTTTTCACACAACAATGTAAAATAACCATTGTGGATAATATCAAACGTGTCAGTCCATTGGCTATACTGTTTCTTTAGAATGTTTTTATCTACTCCACTGAATCTTTTTTTGAATTGGTTTGGTTCTGGTTGACTTGGAGTTTGACTCTCTATTATATATTTAAATAAATAGTGTGAATTAAATACTTTTTTAATTGTATTGATTTGTTTATTATTATTATTAGACATGTTTTGTTTAAATATTATTATTTAATTATATAACATTAAGTTTTTATGTGATAATTTATTATTATTATTATTATTATTATTGTGTAAATTTAATTATTGTGTGATTTATTAAACAAATGAAATGGCTGGTTGGTTGTGCAAGACAAGGTAGAATAGAATAGAATTGTTTTGATATTTACTTTTTTTTTTTTTTCCTCTGCTCTCTCTCTAGAGAGCGAGTTGTAGTCCGTTTTCGGTTATCAATCTTAGATTGGGATTGGGTAGGCCAATACCAAACCAAAATGATATTCTAAAAATAATTTTCGGACTGACCGTCTTTTTTTTTCGATTCTAACCGCTATATCGTATGACGTACCCCCTCCCAGGTTCGTAAGAGAACAGGAGGAAGAAGAAGAAGAAGAAGAAGAAGATATGTATGAATCTAATGATACCATCTTTCATCGTCCAATAATAAATAAAGGCAGACCGTCACGTGATATTTGTTTGTTTGAAATTGAATCTATAGGTACCCCCTCTTTTACGACCGTTACGAACGATCGATTGTATCACACTACAAATAACGGGGGTAAATAGATAATATTCAACTCGTTTTTTGGTAAGAGTAACATTGAGTTGATGATGGTAGACAGATAGAATCATTATCTATCTCAATCTACAACTACATAAATTTAGTGTTAATGATGTGAGTGTGTGTCGTGTGAAGAAACCATACTACCCTTTTTCATTTTTTGGTTCAACTATTTCTGTTTTTGTTTATACTATGGTAGGCTCTACAAATCTCTCTTATAGCGAAGTCCCCATCGGATTGCCATGAAGACCAAGAATTTAACTGCCATGAAGCTAATTTTAAAAAATCGTTTATTTTATTATACAATATAAAACAATCTATTTTCTGTTTAGATTGATTGACTATTATTGTGCATTTTTGGGTGTTTGTTTATACTATGGCAGGCTCTACAAATCTCTCTTATAGCGAAGTCCCCATCGGATTGCCATGAAGACTCCCGCTACGCCCATTAGACCACCAACGACGGCCATGACGACAACAGGAACAATCTTGAGGATCTTGAGTTGCTTGAGGGCACTCTTGAGATCATCGATGGTATCTTCGGATGGATCACCAGTTTGACCAATCTTCCACGATGGGAGGAAAGTAGTACCCTCAATGTTTGGGTAAAACGCACCGACGTTATCCCATTCGGTAATGTTTGGAATTTGGAAGTTCAATTGCAACTTGAGGTTATAGTAGAGGGCATTACCAGAGGTTGGTTCGAGGTCCAATGGAACGGCAGCGTTTTCATAGGTGGTGTTTTGACCGATGGTTTGGCTGAGAATTTCTTGTGGAACTTCCCACATGTCCCAGAGCGAGACAAAGGTTGGTACACCTCCGTTGAAAGAGGTGATGTTTCCGAGACCATCAATGTCACTATAGAAGGTGGCGTTGGCTGGGAACGAGTCGTTACGGAGGTAGTAACGACGACAGCTGATGCCTTGAACGTCGATATCTTCGACATAGTCGAGGTTGACTGGACGGTAGATGTTTTCTTCAAAGACGATGAGTTCTTCTGGCGAGTGGTCTGGAGCAAATTGACCAGATTCAGTGTAACCTTCGACTGGGATTGGAGAGGCCCATTGGATCTCGGTTTGGTTGTGCCAGCTGATGAGCCAGTTGGTCCATTCGAATCCACTTTGACCAGTGTAGACGGTGGTTGGGAGAGCAGTGGTAAAGTTCTTTTGGATGGCACAGCCGCCTGCGATTGGGGCATTCAAGTAGATGAGCAGTGGGTCATTGAAACCAGAACAGGTCCACAACCATTCACCGACAGTCTTTGTGGCAAACAAACCACTTTCAGTGTACAAGATATTGGTGAGAGTGCTTACGGTTTGACCTTGTAAGCCACCAAAGTAGCCCAACAAGGTTTGGGCTTGATTTTGGTTGATGACATTGTTCCAGACGTTTGGACCCGTTCCACTGGCATAGTTGGCCAATGCAGATACACCAGCAATGGAACCAAAACTACCAGCACCATAATCAGCCATGAGACCGAGGAATTGTGGGATAGTGAGATTGAGAAGAGTGCTGTTAATGATGAGACCCAATTCGACATTTTGGTTAAGGTCTGGGTAGAGCATATTGTATTGATCGATACTGGTACCGTTCAATGGAATGGCGGTCATGAATTGACACATGCCAATCATCTCTGGTTGAGGGGTTGGAGCAAGGAGACCACATTGTTGCATGATGTAACCGGCCGATTGAGAGGCAATGCTGCTTGGAATGGTTGCGTTAAAGTACCAAGAGATGGCGGCCATGGCGGCATTCAAGCTGGATGGTGGGATTTGAGCAGCGGTAAGGAGTACTCCGACAGCGGTTTGGTTACCTCCGATGGCTTGCATGTAGGTTTCGAGAGATGCAAGGTTGGTGAGAGCGTATGGGTTGGCAGAGTTCAAAAGCTTGTCAACTTGAGCTGGAGAGAGTCCTGAACCAGTTGGTGGGAGGGTCATTCCCAAGAATGGCAACATGTTGGCCCAGGCAGCAGCTGGACCGTCGGTTGGGACAGTGGTGCTGTTGGCCCAGGCGTTGTAAAAGTATGCCATTGGGTCGGGTACAGAGGCAGCGGTAAGAGCAGCCAACAATCCTTGAAGCTTTAAACCGTATACAACTCTAGAGTTGTAACCGATGGCCAAGGTGATGAATTGTTGGTTGTTGAAATAGGTGTTGGTCTTGCTCAACAAACGGGCAGTTTCTGGACCACCAGAAGCAACGATAAAATTAACGACATTTCCAGTCATTTGCATCAAACCAACAAAGGTTGGATTGATATTGGTAATCAAAGTGTTTTCATCAGAGACAGAGGTTTCATTTTCAAAAACGTACCATTTACGTTGAGAAAAGGTGGCAGTGTCACCACCATCACCAAAGCTAACATTCAAGTAGTCCCAATAGTAACGGTAGTTGAATGGTCCAACTTGAGTATAAGTTGGGATGGCTGAGGAATTGGTCATAACCTCTTCAAGATTGGTCTAAAAAAAGAAAAGAAAAAGAAAAGAAAAATTGATGGTTAAGAGACTTTGAACAAATAAAGGATAGTTTATAAATCCTATTTAACTTACAAGGTTATAAGCATAATAATATTGAGTATATGTGTTTTCAATTGAGCTTTGACCGGCCCATGAATCATAACGTTCACTAGACTCTGAAGTGACGACGATGTTCTTTTCGAGTGCATTCTTTTTAACATTTAATAAAGCGGGTGGGAGTGCTGCAAGAGCAATGATGAATGCTGCAATACCGATTACAGCCAAGATGATACCTGCTATCATCAATCCTTTTGGATTTGCCATTTTTCTATATTAATAATTATACAAATATCTAAATGTAAAAGTAAAGTATAAATAGATAAATAGATAGATAGATAGATAATAATAGTTTTTGTTAGTTTATTTGTTATTGTTGTTATTGTTGGTTGTAGATTGAAAAAGTATTGAAAAAATAATACTTTATATATAAAAGTCTTTGTAGGAAAGAAAAAGAAAGTGGAGATGATGATGCGAGAGAAAGAGAAAGAGAGAGAGAGAGAGAAGATCAAACACACCTAATAAAGTCAGCCAACTACTATCTTCTTTTGACAGTGGAGAGAGTCAGTTGTTAATGGTTTGTGTGTAAAAGTGGAAATGTCATCAAGATTCTCCAACCGCAGATATTGATTGTAATAGTCATCACAAAATAAGAGGTCGGTTATAAATAAAAAAAAATTATAAATAAATAAACCCTCACCCACACCCTTTGCTCGTCAATTTCGTGCAATGGGGGGTTGGCGCGTGAAATTTAAAAAAAATCGTCAGCTGCTGAACCTATGAACAACAAATAATAAATAAAATATATGTGTACATACATGTATAACAAATAAATAAATAATAATTGGAGGACAATGAGTGGATGTCAATGAAGATTATATAGATAGATGATAGATTTTGGATATTCCTTTTCTATTCTATTTTTTTTTTTTTTTTTTTTAGCCGATGATACAAAAAGAAAGAGACACAACAAAAAGGTTAATGGGCGACACGGTAAATCTTTTGGGGGATAAGAGATCACAAATAAAACCCGAAGCCCAACGATAAGAATTCATTCAATTGTGTGTTTGAAATAGATATTTTGTTGTTTTGTGTATTAGAGCCACCTTTAGGGGCGACGGGATTTGTCGGACATAGATGGAGATGATGTTGATGTGAGAGAGCCTTCCTTACCTTTTGATATAAAAAATTACTTGAAAAAATAAATATATTTTACAATTGAATTAGAGAAAGTAGGAAAGTAGTGAAACAAAACTCTTGAGAGAATTAGTTAGCTCACAGAGACACACAAAAAGATTAAAATAATAAATAAATATATACAAAGAAAGAGAAAGAAGATATTTTGTGACTAGAGGAGGAGAAGGGAGAAGCCACAGTTTTGTTGAATTTTTGTGTGTTTGCATCAACAAACCATTTAATTTAAAAAAAAAAGAAGAAATTTAAAAATATCTACAGGGTTTCCGGTGAGTTTTTTCACCCACATACCATCAAAACAGGGCAGGGCGTTTTCAACAAAAAAGAAAAAAAAAAGTTTTCAAAACTTGGGATTGACCCGTCAAATTCAATTGCACCGACTTTTTAGCGCGACGGAAACAAAGGCAGTTGAGGCAAAGGAGCCTATTTTTTTTGAAAACCTTCTATTTCTCTTTGAAATTTATAAATAAAGTTTTGGTTTTCACACCCGTGTCACAATGAAAAAAGATATTTACAACTGCAAACATGGCTTGCATGCACTGCAGGATGGGATAAGAGGGGAGATTTTAACAGCTCCTGTTGTGCTGTTTGACCTATGTTTATTAGGTCTATTCCTCACTCTCTGATTTGACGGTTGATAAACTATCGATTTAAAGATGTGTGCACAGAATTAAAAGAGGAATCTCGATACGGTCTTGACTGGTCACTCGCTGGGAAGATGGGCAGCGCATTTCCCAGATTGGATAAAACCTATGGACTAATTAAACCTCTCATCCCCGCTTACCTACTCGGTCTCATTGGAGCAACTTATTTATCTTCTTTAGACGAGGGGAATTGTTGTTGGAAGGTAGGTCTGAAACTATAATCCTCCTCCTCCTCCTCCTCTCTATCCACAACTTGTAACTCTATTTTTAAAAAAGGAGGGAGTTGGACAACAAGGGAAGAATACTTACCAGTTTTCAATTATTAATATAATACAATCCTTTATCTGAATGACCTAAAGGTTGTTTGTTTACTTGATTCGGATCTTGTCTTACCATCAGATTAGATTTTTTTGGGAATATTAAGGGGCTTTAAAAAAGTTGAGGTTTCAGTTTAAGCCTCCTCCCAGTACTCGCACACATTAATTTGAAACTATGATTCTTTCATTAATGTAAAGTGAGACATCTTATTTCAAATTGAAGTCATTCACTTCAATAACATACTACATACATACATGACCCTTTTAATCAATATTGAAATGATACATCTACAGAGGTGTGAGGCCTGATCGATCATCTCTTTGATAGAAACGTTACGTTGTATCTTGGTCTTGGATCAAACAGAGGAGCAACGTTACCTTGATGATCATGGGGGAGAGCCTCCAAGAATCGGTCAGTCATGAAAATTGACCGACTGACAGGATGTTTTGACAGCAACTCTGTGTGACAGCTCTCTATAAAATGGGTGCTCCTTTCAACAACAACAACTACTGCTACTACAAACAACTTACTAAAACAACAACAACAACAACTCTTTTAATTATAATTATCTCTTTTAAATATTTTATTAAAAAAAAAAAAAAGTAATGTGAACACTTTAAAAAAAATATCTATGTCGGTGAAGATCCCTTCCCCTCACTCGAAACTTCTTTTTTATTTTTATTTTATTTATTTTCTTCATCTGCTATAGTGTTATTTGACCTGTACTTTACTGATAATGAAGATGTATCTAGCGCTTGGGAGAGTAGTAGTAGTAGTCATGAGTCTAGAGGAGAGAAAGAACCCTCCCCATCCTTTGAGTGGTCTCTAAGTAATAATAATCATCGTGTTGTGCTTGACCAACCAGAGGACATTGATATTAGAGCCTTTTCCCTTTCACCTCCACCTCCACAGTACCCTGTACCTGCTGATATTAGACACCCCTCTTTCCTCTCCCCTACACCTCCACAGTACCCTGTACCTGCTGATTATCTCAAGGTCGCCGCCGCCGCTGCCCCTCCTATACTGCTACTCCAAGAAGAAGAAGAGCCACTAGAACTAGAGGAGCCACAAAGACAAGAACAACAACCTCAACAAGTAGTACCTCTGGAGCAAGAAAAGGTGACCAAAAGAAAAAGAGATGACCAACCATCCTCAGAACTCTCAGTAATACCAACAACGTCCTCATCCTCTTCTTCTTCATCTGCAATCATTGTATCAAATAATAATAATAATAATAACGACAATAACAACAATAATAATGATATTGTTGTTGAAAAGAAAAAGAAGAGAAAGATACGCATTCATACTAAAAGTAAGATGACAACGACCACTACTACAACCACTACAACCACTACAACCATTACCAACACAACAACCATCTTGAATGGTGGTGGTGAAAGTGGGGAAGAGAGTAGTGGTGGTGGTGGTAGTGATGATAGCAACAATAGATCAAGATCAAGATCAAGATCACCACAAAGATCATTGTTACTCGACAGAATCAACAATGATATTCAACGAGAACACGAGTTGCTTCATAAAAGAGATCATTTAAACAACATTAAGAAATCTACTACTTCTCCTGTTGCTGCACCTGCTGTTCCTGCTGACTTGTAATAATAGTACTACTTTATCCTCGCAATGACAACGAATGAATTGCGAATCACTAATGACATCTTTCAAACGACATTCCATCCTCTCTCGCTTCCCTCAAAAGGAAATTAAATTAAATAAATATTAATATTCAATTTTTTTGTCACCATCAACTTTCGAATGTTTGAGAGAATAGATAGATAAATTATAGGTATAGAACATTCTTTCTTTTTTGTCTCATACGACAACATTTTAGACATAATTAATCAATCAATCAATCATCAATCAATCACAACCATATTTATTTAGATATCCTTTTTAGTATAAGGAGGAGAGGAGAAGAGGAGAGCAGTGATTAATATATATATATATATATATATATAGTATTAAATAATCAATTACCACCAAATTAGTAATAATGTCTAGTAGTAGGACAATAAATCAATCTCGAGATAGAAGTTCGAGTATAAGTCAACAACACCAACAATTACAACAACAACAACAACAACAACAACAATCTGAAAAGATAGATTTAAAGATTGTAGATGAATTAAGAGAGGAATATGAAAGAAAGATATCTGCTATTGTTTATTGTTTGCAAGAAAAGAGTGAAGAGAATATAGATCTTCATGCACGTATTAAAAAGCAAAAGGATGAACTTGAAAAGAAAGAGAATGAACATCAAAAGGTGATCGATGGTATGCATGAAATCGTGTCACACAAGGATGAAGAGATTGGTCGCGAACGAAAGAAGTCGGCCGAACTCGAACGACGTACTCATTCCATGAGTGAGTTGTTTAACGAAATGGCAGAAGACAATTTAAAGTTGAAATCCATTCTTGAAGAGACACGCAACCGTATGATTCAAACTCAAAAAGAGGTCAACAAAGAGGTTGCAGCAGCTGTCAAACGAGGTCAAACTCAGTATCAACAACAAATACAACAACTTCAACAACAAGTACAACAACTCCAACAGCAACAAGGTGGTGCTGGTAACAAGTTGTTGACAGGATTAACTAAATTGGTCAATGTTGCCACTCCAAACAATTCTCCCAAGAAACCAAGTATCCTTCAACAACAAGCCAGCAATGGTAACGGAAATGGAAATAATAATAGCAACACATTACTTGCCACTCCACCAACAACAAATGGTGTCAATTCACCACATGGAGGTGATAGTAATGGTGGTAGTAGTAGTAGTAGTGGTGATCTCTCTCCAAGTCTTACATCTCAGTCGAGTGACAAGAATCTATTGTCTCATATCTTGACACCTGAACAAATCATGGTTTCTGCGTTGGAAGAGATTTGCAAGACTGAAGATTTGATTGGTCTCGATCATCTTTTGTTGACCGACGAAAGATGGGCTGCCAGATTCAAAGACAGCAAGGATATTCGTGCCATCTCCAAATCATTGCTCAACAAGATTATCGACAAGGTCGAGATGGACAAGAACCGTTCGTTAGAGGTAACTGAACGTCTACGTGCTTCATTGTTGAATCTCGAGGCTCGCAACGACGATCTAACACGTGACACTGAAATTAGTACAAACAAACTCAAAGATACCGAGGAAACTTGTTTCAAGGAGAAACAACGTGGTGATGCATTTAGAGATAGTGCCGTTGAATATGAAAAAAAGATAAAAGATATTGAAACTAGAATGTGGGATAATTTAAATAAGGTAAATAGATATATAATTATTATTTTAGAAAAATTATTTGATTTGATTTACTGATTTCCATTCATTTAAATATATTATATATAGGAGGGTAAAAGAAGACAAGATGCAGAATACAATGCAAAGAGATTAAAGAAAAAGGTTGAGGAATTAGAGTTTTTATTAGAGGAATTAAAGGAAGATGATTCTGATGATTCATCAACCATTTCAGATGTTAGTGATGATGATGACGACGACAATGGAGAAAAAAATCAAAAGGATCAAAATGATAATTCAGATGATTCAGATGATGATGATAATGAACAAGATAATGACGAATCAAAACAACATCAAGAAAATCAAGAAAATGAACAAAATATTAAACAACAACAACAAGAAAATGCAGAAAAACCACAAGAACAACAACAAATCAAACATGATAGTGACAGTGATTCTGATAAAGAAGAAGAAGAAGAAGAAGAAGAAGAAAAGGAAGAAGAGGAGGAGGAAAAAATAGTAAAAGAAGAGGAAAAAAAGGTAGATGATACTTTACCAAAAATAGAACCATCTTTGACATCATCACCGTTTATAGAAGATAATAATATAACTAGTACACATGAATATGAAACAAACAAGGATCATGGTAAAGAAGAAGAAACAAAAGTTTCTTTAAATAGCGACCAAGTCATCAATACAGAACCAAAACCAACAGTTATAGAGAATATGGCTGAAAGAAAGAATAGTTTTCATAAAGAAGTCGATCCATTAACTCCATCATCATCGTCATCGGTTGAAAACGAATCACCAATGTCATTTTCACCACCCCACAATAATAATAATAATAATAATAGTATAAATCAACAACCTCCCCAAAATGTATTACCACAACCTTCTTCTTCTTCTTCTACTACTACCACAATCGACACGACTCCAATAGAACCAACTCTGGAACCAACTCCAATAGAGCCAACTCCAATAGAACCAACTCCTTTGGAACCAACCCAACCAATTTCGCCACCAAGTCCATCTTCACCAGTAGTTTCATCATCTCCTACTTCTACTACTACCACTTTAAATAATAATTCATCAAAGACAGCTACAAGATCAACGTCATCGAGTAGATTGAGTATATCAGGTTTGAATAGTTTACTAAAAAAAGTAGGTGGATCAAAAGACCAAAAGGAAGATGATGAAAAAATCGATGCTACCACATCCCATTCGTCTTCATCGGCCAGTGAGGACAAGAATAGTAAAGAACGTAAACTAAAGGAAAAAGAAAAGGAAAAAGAGTTAAAGGAAAAAGAAAAAAGAGAAAAGGAGGAACGAAAAAAGAGGGAAAAGGAGGAACAAAAGGAAAGAGAAAAAAGAGAAAAGGAAGATAAAAAGAGAGATAAATCTAAAATCTAAAGAAAAAAAAAAAAGAAAAGAAAAGACTACTTGTTTGGAAGAATTCTAGATACCTAGAACTTTTTTTTTTTTTAATGTAATTTATTTAATAATAATAATAGTAATAATTAATTTAAATGATATGGATAATAAAATTCACATTAATTATTTAATCCCATATATATATATGACTACGATTCCGATCATTTAACATTAAACAAAGTACGATTGCCCAGTGAATGTAAAAATATCCAAATATTTTTTTGGAAAATCAGGTGATACTTGGGTAGGAATGTTTCGTGATCTTTGGTTGCTAAGCTTTGATGACAATGCAAACTCTTTTCATAAATAGCATTCATGAATCACTCTTGTACACCAACAACAACAACAACAACAATACAAATACAAATACAAATATAATTATATTTAATTTTTAATAGAATGGCACACGAAGACTCTACTACACCTACTACTTCTACTACGACTACTCCATCGTCGACATCAACATCATCTATAGTAGCACAACCACTACCACCAAACTATAATCCAATATTATATCAAAATATTGGTATTGATAAAGATGATGATGATATCAAACACCCAAACTCTTATATTTCAACAGAAACACAAACACCAAAATCACCTCAACAAGAATCATCAACAACTAGTACAACAAATAATAATAATAATAAGAATACCACTGTAAATAATAATACATCATCAAAAAGAGTTGGAACTTTAACCATTTTAAGATCTACACCATTAATTAGTGCAATCTTTGATCATCAATATGAAAAGGCTGAAGAGATGATAGCCACCAATCCACATATGATCAATATTGCTGAACCTAATCAAGGTTATACTCCTTTATTATTAGCTGGTATGTAAATAATTATGAAGATGAGTAGATCTATATATCAGCAGTTTAGTTGACAATATATTCACATTATTTATAGTTGAAAACAAAAACAAAGAGATTGCATTTAGAATCTCTAAATTGTTGATAGAAGCTGGTGCTATTATTAAAGTGATGACCAAAGGTGGACACACTCCATTTGGACAAGCTTGTTCATTTGGTAACCTAAAAATAGTACAATATATGGCATCACTAGATGGTTCACTTATTACAGAGATCTTACCAGTACCACCTATCCTGTTGGCTAGTGAGCAAGGTCATTTAGAGGTGGTACAATGGTTGACAGCCAGTGGTGCCTATATCTATGCACAATTGACAAAGGTCACCATTAAAAATAAGGGTGTCATGGCATTCCATCAAGCCGCATGTAAAGGTCATCTTCCAGTGGTTCAATTCTTTGTCGAGCGATGTGGTATGTTTATCGAAGACCGTTCAAACTTGTTGGGTGTGACAGCTCTCTATGTTGCCATTGAACAGAATCATTTAGATGTTACAAAATACCTCATTGAAAAGGGTGCAAACCCTAATGTGCCCCGTTCTGATGGTTACTTTGGTTTGTACATGGCTGCTCAAAAGGGATTGACAGAGATGACAAAGTTAATACTCGGCTATGGAGCCAATCCAAATCAACTTTCATTTACCGGCAATACTTCATTGGATATTGCAAGAACCAAAAAATTACCAGAGATTATTCAAATATTGACTCCAATAACTTCACCATCCCTTTGTAAAACATCTCCATCTGATGGTGTATCAACAACATCATCTTCATCTTCATCTGGTTGTATAATTATGTAATAAATAAATAAATAAATCGATTCTAAAAAAATTATTATTATTATTTTTATTATTTATTAATTATTTAAAAGGTTTATTCGAAAATCTTTTCAAAACTTAGAGGTGATCCAGAGATTGAAAAATATTGACCATTTGTTGTTCCAGATCCAACATACAATTTACATTTAATATCAATATGTTTCCATGTATGACGATCCAAGTTATTGATTGTAAACTGTTGAGAAAAGGATGGTTGTAGTTGGGCTTCATGGAATACTGCTTGTTGATCAAATCCAATTCCGCTGACTTGAAATGGTGTGGTGCTCAACAGACCACTCAAAGCTCTTCTTTCATAGTCTGTTGGTGACAAACGACATTTGATGGTAAAGGTAATAGAACCATTTAATGATGTGACAATGGCATCCAGGTAGAATTGACTCGCCAGTAGATGGTTGGCAATATTAGACAATTCACCCAAATTTGTTATACCATAAAAATCACTTGCTTCCTTGACTATTTCTTCCGTTCTCCAGTTTTCTTCATATTCATAGCCATTTTTAAATCTAGGGTTGATACGGTAGGGTAGTGTTTTTGAATTTGTTTCTTTCAAGTGTGTGTTGAAACTCTTCCATTGTGTTTTGCTCTCTGTAAAGGCATCAACTGTTTTATCTCCAACTGTAATAATATCATTTTGTTTTTGGGTTTGCGTGTTATTCCATTTACCAGTTGTAATGGTGATGAATAGATCGCATGGTCGTTGAAAGAGACGATCGGCCTCGTGGAGGGCAATATGACATGGAGAAAGTGCAAGACTCGATCCATCAGTGTACGTGATGCCATTGATGGTGTGAGAATCGATAAATCCGGGAGTGGCAGATGTGGCAAGAGCAGCATTAAATATAGAGGTGTTTAAAACATCATATTTGAGACATGCCTTTCTAGGGAGATGGTAAGAGCTAAACAGAGTGAGCTTGTTTGAACCATCAAAGTTGGTGGCCGCAGTAACTGCTACATGAGCAGAGCCTGGTGTAGAGGCTTGCACTTGAAGTAGGTATTTTTTGTTGTTTTCTGGTAGGTGTTTTGAGAGGACATTATTAAATGAATCACGTTTATAGATAGCTCTACAAATAAACTTTGTGACATTCTTGACAATTGGAACACCACCAAACGGATATATCTGGACTTTGTTCAAATCATTATAGAATTCAATCATTCTCGATGATTTGCCATCGCTACCTGATATTCCGAGGGCAACCAGACCTCCCGAACCACTACCAACAATAAGATCCACTAATCTACTGATTGGAATGTCGTACAGTAAATGCTCCAGGTGGTTTATGGCTATTGCTTGGGCAATTCCTCTTACTCCACCAATTCCTTCAATCGAGAGAACTCGGGTGTTTGCATATTTTGGTACCTGAGAATTGATCCATGGCGAGTCAGTGTCGCAAATCGGACATTTGATGGGGCTTTCCTCGCAGCAATCAGAACAAAACATATGGCCACACTTTCTTGGTTGAGTTGGATGGGCTAAAAGACAACCAAAACAGACATTATTGGATGGGGCCAAATCTTTGTTGAGGAGGAGCGGTCGTCTGTTTTGAGTGACCTGGTTGTCATCTAAAAGATATGTTGGTAGATTGTCGCTAGCGTATGCTGCCAGTGTTTTATAGTCTCCAAAAGGAACATGGCCAGAGCTATACCACTTTTCGTTTGTAAAAGAGATTGTCTCTCCAAGGTTGAACATGAGGAATCTTCGTTGCTTCTTTACAGTTTGAGTCGATTTGTGGTTGATCTCTTGGGTATGACACGATCTCACAGTTTCACATCTGAGATCTGAAATTTTTGGATGTACAGAGTCGCAAGGCATTGAGTCCATGATTTTATCATAGGCCTCTTGGAAAACCTTGTTGAGAGACTCTGGTAGTGTTTGACCTCTGACGGGGGAGAGAATTTGATTTCTCTTGCAATACAAGTATATAATGTCTCCTGTTCTTTCTTGAATGGCTTTATAGGCATTGTCAAAGGCTGAAACTGGTGTCATCTTTTTACAAATGTTTTGATTGTAGATGCATTTAAAAAATTCGTAAATAAAAGATGTCACTCCCTCCATGGATTTGGTCATATGGTAAATATCAATGGTTCCGAGTGCCTTTACATTGAGAATGTTGATGGCCTTTGACATGTAGCCCATCATATGGGATCTGTTATAGAGGGTTTTGTTGGTTTTGACAAGACAAGCTGATTCGAGCAGTCTATGGACTAGATACTTAAACTTGATCATTTGCTTTGAGAATTGGTCAAGGTCCTGAAACTGAACAACGTCGGTACCTGGATGGAAAGACTTGCCGGGAGGGATGAATATGGCATTGAGTGTCTTATAGTGTCCTCTGAGTTCGACGAGTTCCTTGTTGTCAGAGTCTGGTGGGAAGATCTTGTTGGAGGCCTCTGTAACGTCATAGCTTGTGATGTTTGTTGCCTTGTTGTATACAACAATCAAATGAGGTTTGGTAGGTTGATTGATAGTGGAAACTGAGCTATCCTCGGCATACGATAAGAGATGTGATATGACATCTACAGAATTCTGAGCAGATTGGTTGTAGACATAGATAAAGACATCACTAAAGAGGTAGAGTAGACGTGGATAACAGGTATCGATAAATCGACGACGATAACTTAGTTGATCAGGATCGATACACGACTGTGTATGTTTGATTGTTTGGTTGATAACTTCGGCTCCTTTACCCTCACTATCAAAGATGAGGAATTTGGAATTGTCCTTGGGCAATCTACCATTGTAGCAGTTAATGTCAGAGCTGGCAGCATCTGTCTGACTGTTTGACGACACTGGGATATGTTCTCCCTCGGCCAAGTAACGGACCAGCATACTTTTTCCTGCGCCAGTGGGTCCAGCAAAACTAGCAAGCAAGAAGGGGTCAGTCTCGGACAGACCAGTGTTGATCCATTTGAGACCCTTTTCCATCACCTGAGAGTGAGGACTGACAAAGAGGAGGTTGTTGCTCTTCCAATCTGTTAAAAACTCTGTTTGTTTGTCTGTTGTCGGTTTTGGTTGTTCATGATCAAGAGCCTTGGCTGATTCATTGAAATTTTCTATTATGATTCTAGCATGGCCTTCCAAACCTTCGATACTATGAACGAAATCACAATGATCATTGCAATAGAATGCTTGGCACGTGTCACAAAAAAACTCTACCTTGTGGGTACAACTAAACTTTAGTTCTTGTTGCTGGGCATCATGATCATTAGGATCTGATAGAGCAAACATACACCTTTTATATGTCACTTTTTTTTTAAAAAAAAAAATATTAATATTAAAAACTCTATTTCGCTTTGTCCTAATTTATTTTTGTTTCTTTTTCATACTTTTTAATAATTGTAGAGATAATAGTTTTAGAGATTGATTGATATAATAAAAATATTCTTGTGGATTTAGTATACATATGTACAAAACAAAGTACAGCCAACAACTCAACTTAAATTTTTGATTATAGCGTGGGTGATCAACTATTGCGCAAGGGGTATCATCTCTCACTCATTGCAATCAACCACCGACAAGATTTCTCTCATTGATCCAAGGTTAACCAGAACACACAAATGGTGGGGGAAGGGGAGGTGTTGTTTCAACTACAATTTTAAAATAAATATGCTGAAAGTTGATGATGATGATGATGATGTGCAATAATGATTAACATTACATCTATAATTTTTTTTACTATACCATAGTTTATCTTTGTAGGAGAATCAGAATATGGATCATCCAACCAACATCGATGAAAATAACGAGGCCATGTTGGCATCCTCACTAGAAAATGTCAATTTCGATGCAACTAAAAATAATGTTAATAACACGAAAAATAATAATAATGGTAGCGATAATAATAATGAACTAGTAATACCAAGATGTACAGCAAAGAATTGTAATGAAAAGATAACAGTATATTGTGAACAATGTAAAAGTTACTATTGTAACAAACACAATGCTAATCATTTGTATGTATTGGCAATGCGATCACACAACAGAGTAGACGCAACTGAAATCGTAAAGTTTATCTCCAAGTTGAAATGCAACGATCACTCTAAAGACGTACAGATCGATCACACGAGTAAATACATCTATGTCTGTCCAATTACTCTTCAATTAAAGTGGGGACCAAAGCTATGTGACGTGGCTAAACACTCTGATAAGCCATATCTTCAAGTTAGCTTTATTGGCCCTTGTGGCTGTGGAAAGGTATATATGCACACACTCACACACATATATATATATTTATTTATATATAAATACGGATGTGTCTTGTATTTGAATGTAATAATACTAATATATATGTTTTGTTTGTCTCCCAGAGTACAATGATTAGATTATTGGCAGATGATGATGATGGTGTATTGCCTATACCCGCTATCCAAGGAACTTTAGTTTCGACATCATCAGACATTAATGCCTATCATTCAAGAATAGATGATGAAAAGGATGCATTTATCTATGTGGATTGTGAAGGTACCGGAGGTGCAATGTCTAATCAAATGTTGTTAAACTCTATTGACCAATATAGTCAAAACATAGTTCAAGGAGATGATGGCAACCTGATCCCATCAGGAATGACAGAACAAGAGAAACAAAGTTTCTTTAGTGCTCGAACCCCATTTGTATCATACTCATTTCCTCGACTGTTGTATCTCTTTTCTGATGTATTGGTGTTTATGTTTGCTGGGGAGCCAAGGGAACGAGATACCGTCCTCAAGCAGCTCATCCTCTATGGATCATCTGCGTCTGCAGGCACTGTCAACCATATGTTTCGTCCACATTTGGTGATTGTGTTTAATCATTCTAAAACCCACGATGGCAACGACTTTGACGTTGACAAGGTCACTAAAAACTACTTGGAAAGTAATAGTGAACAAACCAACAAACTAAAGAGTCTCTACCAATCGATCAGTATTATCCATATACCCACTGCCAATGGAACCACCATGATGAAATCAATCGAGCAAGTTGGAAAATTGGGTGAAATCATCAAGGAGAAAGTAAGGATAAACAGAGAATATAAGTTAAACAACCCAGAATTTACGCGTTCCAAGGTTTTGAGCTATTTCAACCGTGCCATGCAAGACTTCAACATGGACCAAAATGCAAAGGTTGACTTTTTCAAACTCATATCTATGGAAAGTGAAACCAACTCAAATGCTTCTTTTATTTTCAAATATGTCAATCTAATTGCCGATTCAAAGTTGCTAAATTCATCGGCTTTTGATCATTTATCTTTTTTTCTTGGTATGAATTCAAAAAAAAAGAAAATAATTCTAATTTATTTATTCTAATTTATTAATTTAGCAACAACAATGATACAAATTGGAATTATTGCTGCATATAAAAAACATTGTTTAAGACACGGGCTAATCGATCAAAAGATTGGTACACCAGATGCAAAATTTACAAATCAATTTGAAGATATTATTAAACAAGTTGATCATTCAATGGTTGAATACATGCCATGCAATTCGCAGCATTACAGTGAACACTTGAAAAAGAAAGTATTTTGTGAAGTTAGAAAAAAGAATCATCTAGATAGCGACCACGAATGCACCGAGGTTGCAAAGTTGGAGCTTACCAAGGAACAAGCGTCCAAACTCAAAAGTATGGGACTTCAAGACGGCCAACCCATCAAAATCAAATGGGAAGGTCGATTTGAACAAGACCCCCTATACAAACCTCTGCTTGAAACTGCACAAGCAATTCTCCTATCGCCAAAAACCGAGAATTGGGAAAGCTCTCATATTTTAAAGGACATTCCATTCAAACTAGTTTGTAATGCCTGTCTTTTGGAATTCCCCAGTGAAGTCAGATCAGGATGTGGACACTATGTGTGTCGTCTCTGTTGCCAAGAGTCACCCGATTACTGTCCCATCTGCAAGGAAAAGAGCCTGTGGAAAGACAAGACCATCCCCGACAACTCTGCCCTCCGCATTCTATGTCTAGAGCCTGGAAATCTTCTTAAATCAACCACTCAATGCACAATTATCAATGAAATTGAACAGAGTCTCTATTCGATTCCCATTGCCCAATTGTTTGATGTCATCTCTGGTATTGGGTGTGGTGCAGTCATTGGCCTGTCATTTCCATGTGGTAACAAAAAGGCGACAGAGGTAATCAAAATGATTGAAGAGTTTTCTGGCCAAAGCAAAGGGGTGCATAATCTGGTGCTCATGTTTCATCAAAGTTTGGGTAATCCATTTATCGATAACCTAGCCCTTAAATTGATTGAAAAGATTTCATCTGAACTGACCAAATTCATTCCCAATACACCCACGCATTCAACACCGATGGACTGCAAAATACTTTGTTCATCGGTCGAATTCAATACCATCAATGCCGACTCTCCACAGGCTGCAAACTACAACGTTCCCTCCCAACACCTTCTTTCAAAAATCCTTCTTTGCGACTTGGTTACGTTTTTTTTACTCGAGACCGAGACTTGCAAAACAGAGCCTACCCACCACCCTATAGGTTTCACCATCAAAGAGTGTGACCGAAACTGGGGTATCTTTAGAGCAGGGAACAATCAACCAGAATATTTAAAACCAAAGAAAAAGGTTGACATTGTAGTATCACTTGGCAACGGATCGATTACTTTTGAAAATACATCAAATCCTGTAGTTGAAGAATGGAACAAACACAAGAAAGACCTTTGTCCAGACTCAATCAAAACCATGGTAAGAATCGACTCGGTCCTACCACCCACCTCTTTTGGTTACGACACTAAAAAAGAAATTCAAACATCCATGTCCAATGAAACATTGGCCTATCTTGCAACCAATGAAAAAGCAAAGCAGGACCTAAAGCAAGTTGTAAACACACTATTGGCACAATTATTTTATGTTGAACAACAAACTAGAATGGCCAATAGTCAAACTATACGTGCATCCATTCGTTCAAGACTTGCAGTTGCCCTTCCAAAGGAAATCATTGACCAAATTAAATCATCTCCATCTGATTGCTTCTCTATCGAATCACAACAAGGACTAACAGAAGGCCAATACCAATTCCATATTAATGAAATCCAATATGAACCAACCCTCATCATTCCATTTACCATTGAAAATATCGAAAATTTTGTACATTCCTTCTCTATTTCAATTAAATGTAATCTAAAATGTAATAATCTTCAAGAACCTTCAAATCAATTAATTTCAAATTGTCCAATTAAATTTTAACATAAACGTAAAAAAGTTACCAGTAACAAATATTATTAAATACTTTTAGTTTTATTATTTTCTCCAACAAAAGTATATTCGGTTTCAACTCTTGAATCGTCTTTAATAATATATTCTCTATCCAATTTCATAAATTCATCATCGTCAAGATTGGAAGGGATCATCATGAGTGGTTGAACTCCATTGTCTTTTGTACTAGACTCACGATCTTCTTGTTCTAAATTTGCCATTTCAACATCTTCATGTTCTCTCATTGTTTGACTAAGAGTTCTCTTTGTTACAATGGTAATTACTATAATAATTCCAACTGTAAATAATGTTGCCAATGTTATAAATATTAATTCTTGATGTGATTCTTCTGAATCTAAAGTAAATAAGAGAGTAGTAGGGAAATTAATAAATGTTTTATATTGTTTCAAATGTTGATTTATAATAGAATATGATTCATACCAGCCTTGTCAGAGAATATTTGTGTAAGATTATTAATTAAACTACCAAGATAGGTGTAAGCTACTGTACAAGGGATTAAACCCGCCGTAGTTGCCAACCAATACCGATAAAATGATATTTTAGTTGCTCCAAATAAATAATTACAAAGTCCTAAAAGAAACGGAAAGAATTAATAAACTTTTATCTTCTTTTGTAGATGTGTTTATATATATTGTTGACATACCAAATGGAATAACAGGAGATAAACGTAATAAAAAGATAATTAAAAATCCATTCTTTTCAACAGCCAAATCGATTTGACCATATTTCTTGTTGCTTTTCATTTTCTTTTCAGCCCATTCTCGAGTAAGAGATCTACCAATAAAGAATGCAAGGATGGCACCCAAATCGCATCCAACTACAGTGGCCACTGACCCCAAAAAAGGTCCAAATAAAAACCCAGCAGCCAAATTGATTGGTGTACCAGGGAAACAAAATACCAAAGATATTGCGTAAACGACACTGATAAATAGTGCCCCAACAAAAGGTTCCAATCCCTTGACCCAATTCATTAGACCAAGTGTAGTTTTTTGTACTGGTGAATCTGGTACCATCAACAAAATAAACAACAAAGTTATGCTTAACATTAACGTTATAATAGATCCAACCTTTAACCTTTGTTTGGCCCCATTACTTAGATTTAAATTGAATTTAACCATTTTTTTTCTTTATATAATTATTGTATAGTATTGTATTTCTTATTATTAAAAGAGTAGAAAAGAGAAAAGAGAGAGAGGAAATAGAAGAGTAATACGAGAGAAATAAAAAAAAAAAGAGAAACACTTTCTTCTTTTTTTAATTATAATGATCGATTACTTTCAAATATGTCACTGTCTTTCTCGTTGTACTACTACTTGTTATAAAAGAAGATAGAAGTTTGTTGTTGTTATTATTATTATTATTAACTATTCTTTTGAATGCTGTTTTGTTGTTTTATAAATCGTAAACTAAATTGAATGTTGATAAAAAAAGAGTAGTACTATTACAGTAGTGATACTAATATTACTTTTAATATATAATATAAACTATAGAAGAGAAATATAGAGAACAGATAAATAAAGAGGTATACCTTCAAAAAAAAGAATAAAAAATAAATAAAAACCACAGCAGTACTCACGTTGGACACTGTGGTATTTTATTAATTTATTTTTGACACTCATTTCATGACGAACTCGACCTTCCTTTTTTGGAACAACTACGAAAAAAGATGGTCGACTGCGCCCCAATGCCTAAGAAATTAACACCCTTTTGCAGGAGTGGTGTTAGTGCATTCATCCCATGCACGCAACAACATCTCATCACGCATGATGTTTCATGATGTTAGTTGTGTTTGTTTGTGTTTGTGACAACAAACCCTTCCTTCTCCCTTTAACCTAACCTAATATTTATTTATTATTTTTTGTTTATACAATAATCAATATTTATTATTATTATTATTTGTATTAAATATTTTAAATATTTGTACCAATATAAATAAATGTATCTTTATAGATTGTATGTTGTATCTCATAGTTGAATCGAGTTGGTAGGTTGGTATTGATAAAAAGGTATCTTAGAGAGTTGAATAGATTTACTTTTCCATCCCCTTCTTCTTCCTCTTCCACTTTGACAATGAGACGTTGTAGTGAATCGAGATTTGTTACCATGTAATCGGTAGTTTGTACAAGATTGTTTCGATTGGTGTATCCAGTTGATGACTTGGTGGTGGTACCCATTGAGGATCCTGTAATAGTCAACGTGTAAAGATTGGTAAAGGTTTTGAGAAGTGCTAGAATCGTATATCCATTGACTGAACTACCCGTAGTGTTGATATTTGTAATTGTCAAGTATCTAATGGAATCGTTGGTCACACCAGGGGATGCAAAGAATTCAAACATTTTATCATTGAATGATTTATCTATGGTCAATGTTGTAATACCACCATTTGAAATGATACTCTTTAATGCCCTTTTGTTGAAATTGGGTGTGTGGTTTGGGACACTGACAAGATCGTCACCTTTAAATATGAATTTACGTACTGCCTTATTTTCAATGATAAATTGTAATAAGTAACATCCCGACTCTTTAAATACACTTTTAGAGTGCATACCAATTGAAGTAATCTTGGTTTGTGTTGAAAAGAATTGAACCAATTGTTTAAAAATGACAAGACTATTGTCACTGTCTCTAACAATATCCAATGGTATGAATATTGATTCCAAGAGTGGGAGAGAGTTTAAAATGACCAGTAAACAATTAGCTCCAAGTGTATCTGAATGAATTCGAATCGATTGTAAATATTGAAATGATTGTGTAAATGTTCCATTAATTCTAAATACATTCTCCAGAAATTGTTGAGATTGTTCTGGTTGTTGTTGTTCTGTTGTCATTATAACCAATTTCCTAACACGTGTATCTTTAATAAATACTTGATATTCGTTTAATATATTCTCTACTATTATTAATTTATCAATTATACTACTACTACTACTGTCTTGATTGTCTTTCTTTTCTTTCCCATCCAAGTCTTGTAATAATTCATTGGCAGATAATATAGGGAACCCCAATAGAGTAAGATGTATTTGAATCTTTTTATCGGTACCAATAAACAAAGCAAGTTCACGTAAACTCTCTTGATTGTTTTCCAATTCTATTTTAACTTTGGTCAAATTTGGAAATAGATTGTGTATGGGTGCACGTGTTGCTTTGATAGCTTGCCAATTTTGCTTTGAATAGCAAGATGAATAAAATCCACTGGCGATCAGACTATCGGCCACATCTAAATTGTTCAAATGCAATGTCTCCACAGCATGTCCACTTTGACCAAGATCAAAACAATGATAGTTTTGGTTATGTTCCAGTGTCAGCGACAGGTCATGTTGCATTTGATTATTGATACTGTAGAATGGGTGATCAATATAAAGTACAGTCCTTAGTCTTTTAACAACATGACTAAACCAATACTTGTTGACCAATGCATACCGTAACCATATCATCATCATCATCTTTATCTGATCATCTTGATTATTATTATTATTACTATTATTACATGATCTAATGATTAGATTACATTGTTTTGTAATCTCTTTAATTATATTTAATTGTATTATATTTGGTAGTTGTTGTAATAATAATGATGATGATGATGATGATTGTATTATTATTTGTGATTGTTGTTCTTGCTCTTCTTTATCTCTATTAATAGTTGTTGATGTCATCTCGGACATTCATTAATCAAGCTTTTTTTCAATCACTGGTCATGCATGTTATAATTATAATCGTTGAGCAATATAATACTTTGAGTAAAAGACGACTACTGACTCGATCTAAAAAAAGAAAGAACAAACCGTTGATCAAAAAAAGTTCGTTGGTGCATGTTTTTTTAATTTTTTTTTGGTACTCTAAAAACAAAAAAAGAATCTAGATTTGATGGAGAGACTCTGAGCTGAGGAACCATCGCATCCTTTCTTACGTGCCATTAAACCTCACCGCATTACACAACATACATAACATACATCTATCTTATCTTATCTATCTTATATCTATAGAATCTCATTCAAAAGTAATAGTTTTTTTTTCACTTCAAAAGGGTAGGTTTCAAAAAACATAGATCTATAAAGAGATATATAGATAACAATAATCATCATCATCATCATAATCATTCCTATGAAAAAGTGGACGTGTGTGAATGAATGAATGAAACCGATCAAAAGATATACCGCTATTTAGTTGTTTGGGTATTAACCAACACATGTGTATATATATGTGTGGTTGTTGTGATCTTTGAATAATACAACAAACAAACAAACAACACCTACCCACCACCACCATCCCCAAAACAAACACTAAACCTACCACCCACCCCCCACACCTACTTTAAATATATATATATATAAATCAATCATTTTATTCACTATTATTGCTTTTTTTTTATATTTATATTTATTTCAAAAACATTATTTGTGTACTATACTATACTATATTTATTCTTATCCCTTTTCCCTTTCTTTTTTGTGTTTTTTATTGACAACAACAATGAATCTATCATCTCGAAAATAGTAGTAGTATTAGTCAGTATTTTAAACAAAAAAAAAGGTATTACAGCAAACAAGCAATCAATCGGTCATTGGAATCCAACAACAAACCGTTGCAGCACGAAAAGAAAGAGAGAGATATCTCTTTTTTTTTTTTTTTTTTTTTTCAAAGACTTTGTACACAATACACCTGCTTTTTTGTTGTTTGATTGTTTGATTGTTTGATTGATCATACCCTTTTGTATTTATTTTTATTTTCTTTCTATATCCTTCTCTCCCAATGACCAAAATACTTATAAAGTCACTTTCTTTTATATAAATCTAGATTATATCATTTAGTAGTAACAACATATCAGTAGTAACATTAGAATATATATATATATATAGATAGATTAAAAGAGAGAGAATGGCAAATCAAATTGATCCCACTTTAAATACAGTGTTGGGATACATTGTCGATGTATTATTGGCATTGTCAATTGCTGGTTCATTCTTTACAGTGTTGACATTTATGTTATTCCCCAAACTCAGAACCTATCCAATTAGATTGATTCTATATCTTTGCATGTCCATCTTTTTGGCACAACTCTTCTTTTACATCTCTTTTGAAGCCTATGACTCGATCATGTGTATTCCATCGGCACTCTTATTGCATTACTTTTTCCTTGCCGATTTCGTTTGGACATTTTGCGTTGCCTTTAACTTTTACCAAATGATTGTCAAGCGTAACAGAGATGCCGAATCATTTGAAAAGTATTATCACATGGCTTCATGGGGTCTTCCACTCATCTTTGTCATTTTCATTTCTGCCTTTAAGAAATATATTAATAGAGGTTATTTGTAAGTTTAAAACTAAAACAACAAAAATAATATATGTATATGCATATGTATCTAACTTACTTTTTATTTATTTGTTTCTAGCTGTTATATGGAAAATCAATTACCAATCTTTTTGGGATTCTTTGTACCAGGTTTATTGGTAGTTTGTGCAAATGCCGTCATCTTTTTCTTTATTGCCAGAGAAATTCACGATACTTTAAAGAACGCTCCACGTTCAGACAAGAAAGAGAAATCAAAGGAATTCAGAGTATACTTTTCCATTTTCGTATCGATTGGTCTCTCCTGGATCTTTGGTTTCATTATGACTTTCTTCAATGATGGTGTTACTGATGCTATTTTCTTGGTTCTTTTCTCTATTACCACTCCACTTCAAGTATGTCATATATATATATATATATATATATATATATATATATATTTAAACAAAAGAAAGAAAGAAAGAAAGAAAGTTTTATTAATCACTTTTTGTTTAATTATTTACTTCTTTTAGGGATTTTTAATCTTTATTTCATATTGCTTAAATGACAAGGTATTGAGTAACTATGCCAGACTCTTTGGTCGTGTTATTCCATTCTGTCGTAGATGGGAACACTTGGGATCTTCTACTCACATCTCTTCTACCACTGGTTCCAACACTGGTTCGAGCAACAGTTCAAGATCAGATCGTTCGGATCGTTCGGATATGTCTTCTTCCACCAATTCAATTTCAATGACTCCAATCAAATAATAATCAGTAGTAGACAAGAGAAAGAGAAATCACACAAAACACGTATTCATCATACATATAACTTCGAATTAATTAATCACCTTTTTTTTTTCCCCCTTCAACCCATCAAACAACTAACCACCCTATACAACTACAACAAATAACAACAACAACAACAACAACAACAACACATGTAATTATTATCTCTTCCACCACCTCTATTCTTCTTCCTTCTTATTCTTTTATTTTAAATGTTATAATATTATTAGATGTAATAATAAAAAAGTACGATTCCCCAACAACCAAATAACAACAACAACAACAACAATAAACAAATATAATAAACAATGTTATAATATATCATATTAATCAAATTCATTGCCATTGTTATTAATACTTTACACCCATTAGTTTTATTTTTTCTCTTCTATCTTTATGAATATTCATTTACAAAAGAATTTAGATAACATCCCAATTGTTCATATTTGTAACTCCCAATTGTAAAAATAAAGAAAAGAGTTGGTCCAACATTATGATCAAATGTAAATGAAATAAAATAATAGATAAACTTTTTGTTTAGTTTTATTTGTTTTTGATTTGATTTGTCAAGAACAATGGGTATTAAAAAAGTCTTCAGTAGAGGTCCTCTTTTTTTTAACTGGACTCCATTCACTGGTTGGCTTTTCCAATGCTGCTTTCTCTGGAGAGGTGGTGAGCAGACTACCACCAAATGCCAAACCTTGTTGTTCTGCTAAAAGGGCTGCTTGGATTCTCTCTTCAAAGTCCATCATACTCATCTCTAGTTTGGCTGGATTCACTCCTCTCTTGGCTGCCTCTCTCTTTCTAATGGTTGGTTTTGTTGTCAATGATGCTGGTAAAGATGGAGGTGGTGGTTTGACAATAGAGGTCGTAGTAGTCAAAGGAGGTGGTGGTTGAGGTGGTGTGGCGATGGTACTTGATATAGGTCTCTTTTTCATCGTCAATGGTTGTTCAACAACTGTTTTAACTTTTGTTAAAGATGATGATGAAGAAGAAGAAGGGAGGGGGTTGGTTGAAATCGGTTTGATGGATTTGTATTTGTTATCAATATCCATAGTCGGTTTAATCGTTGTGGTGGTGGTGGTGGTCGTTGTTGCCAAACTTGTTGTTGTTGTTGTTGTCGGTTTGGATTTATTCATAATCGTTGTGGTGGTGGTCGGTATCGTAGAGGTTGTGGTGGTTGGAAGTTTATGTACATTGTTTGGTTTGGTTGGTGTTGTGACAGATGGTGATGCTGCCTTTTTGTTGTTGGTCGTTGTAGTTGTAGTTGTCTTTGTAGTTGTTGAGGTTAGTGGAGAAATCAAAGTAGTTGACTTTAATGGGTTTTTGTTGTTGTTGTTGGTAGTTCCAGATAATTGTGATGATGATTTCTTTGTTGTTATTGTACTTTTGGATGGTGGAGACTTTTTGGTTGTTGAATAAATGTCGTTTGTATTTGTTTCACATTGTTTGATATCCTGTACTCTTTTGTTTGGACATTTCAATGATGATGATGATGATACTAGTTTGTTGGAGTTCGTACTACTAGTAGTTGACGGTGACGGCAAAGGTGATGGTTGTTTGGCAACTGGTTGAGGTTTGTTGTTTTTAGTCAACAATGATGATGTTTTTTGAGGTGACATTGACATTGGAGATATATATGATCCAGCATTTTGAAAGAGTATATCTTCATCATCGTCGTTGTCGTCATCGTCCAACAACAAAAAGTCATCATACTTGAAGCATGAAGACAAAGGTGAGGATGACAATGACGATGAAATACTACTACCATTGGATAATTTCAATTCGGATGATAATGACAACATGGCAGGTGTGGATGGCGATAAATTGTACAATGGCGATGATGATTTTAATTTCGAGGAGGAAGGAGTGGTGGTGGTGCTTCTAATAGTGGACACTCTCTTCTTCTTGATACTAGTTTTAATTGGTTGGTTATTATTATTACATGATAAAGATGGTGATAAGGATGAAGAAGAAGAGGAGGATAAAGAAAGTGGTGATGAAGATGTCGTCGATGATTTGATAGTATTATAAGATGGAGAAAAAGAAGAAGATGATGATATTGGTGAAGAAGATGTAACCAATTTTGAAGAATCAGATATCCATCCATTATTATTATTATTTTGATTATTATTATCAACTCCAATACATTTCTTTTTGGTATTATGATGTGTTATATTTGATAATACTTTGTGATTTGGCTATAATATAATAATATAAATATAAATATAAAATATAAATATAGTATTCTTTATATATTAAATATAAATATATAAATATACATACGCTACTAAAATGGTTTTCATTGTTGCAGTCAAAGTCTAAATCCAATTTGAAATCCTCTTTTCTAATTGTAAAGGATGATATAGATGATTGAATGTTACTGCTGCTGCTGTTATTGTTGTAGTTATAGTTATTAATGTCGTTGTTTATATTTGATAATGATCGTTTTCGTTGAATCATTCTTTTGGTTTTTAAGTGACGATAATGATGGATGACTGTCGTATAGATATAGATATTGTATATAGATATGTATATAGCTAGATTGATTTATGGTTGCTACTATGTGTGTGGTTGGTGGATTAATTTTAATATTTAATATAAATGAAATGGGTAATAAGTTTAACGAATCATTAACCAATTAATGATGATGTTCAAAATATTATTGATTGGGTCGACAATATATTTTTTGTGGATTCCCGCCCTTTTTTTGAATTTTGGGTTTTGCTGTTGTTTCTGATGTTCATTCATTGTGGCAGAGGATGAAGGTTGTGTGGTATTTATCTGAATAGGAATGGAATATGGTGTGGCGTTGGTTAGCTGCATGAAAAACTAGCTCTCTGTCGATGCTTAATTTGATTTCCCTCCTTTTCTTTGTCGTGATGTAGTAGACTGTCTGGCTGTCTGGCTTTTGGTTTGATCTCTATTGTTGTTATGTTGTTATTACTATACTAGTATATATATTAAAAAAGTAATTATTCTTTCTCTTTTCTTTTTAGTAGTGTAGTCTGTGTAGGTGTAATTAAGATATTTATTTCGAAAAAGAGATATATATATTTATATAGATATCTTTATAAAAGTTAAAGTAGTACAATAGCAATAGTAGTAGTAATAATAATATAGTAGTAGTAGTTTAAACACAAGTTACTTTTTTGTCTCCTATTTATATTGAATAGTATATTATTAAGATTATAATTTTAAAAAGGTATCATTCATTTCTATTTCTATTTCTATTTCTCTCTCTCTCTCTCTTGTCTACTCCTTTATACTCTTTGTTTATTTATTCATATTCACGTGTGTGTGCCCGTGCTATGCCTACACCTACTCTACCAAACCTCGGTGGTGCATACGCCATCCATCTATCCATTTCAATTTCCTCTCTCTCTATCATGAATAGAACAAAGAGAGACGACTTTATGTGTGTGTCGCGACTATTGCTGATTTTTAAAAGACGTTTATGTTGACAACAACATCGAGTTCACTTTAACCAAGCAACAGAGTAGCTATAGATTGTATGTCGACATTTTATAATCAGAGATATATAGCTGGAGAGAGCGACAAACAAAAGAGCGGAGAGTAGTGGCGTGATGGGATTGTGTCACAAAAAACCAACAAACCACTATCATCATCAAAATCGTCATCATCTTTTCCACCCCTAACCCTAACATAACACGCGACGTATTGTCACTCTATCCCGACCGACCAACCTCTCCTAACCAAGTAGTACACCAACAAAGTTTAATTAATTAAATAATTTAACAAATGTCACCCACCACCAATTAATTGGTGGTTGGTAAGAAGATTGGTGGGTGGGTGGTGGATATTGATTGTCATGGAGATGATGATAGTGATTGACAACATATGTATATCAGTATTTTATTTATTTTTGGCAATATTCATCCATCATCTACATGGGATATTTATTCCTCTTTCCCTTTCTCTCTCTCTCTCTCGATTGATTAGAATGGTAATTCATTCAATTCAATTATTGGTATCGGAACATGCATGACGGCAACAAAATATTTTGGCGTGTGATGGATAGACGTCATTTTAACAATTTTATCTATTGATTGTTTTTGTGGTGTTGACAACATTACACTTGGTTTGTTTCCAACAACAATAATTTGGAAATCCATTTCCATCCTCGAAAGAGATTTATTTTTTTTTGTTGACACCACCCATCTCTCGTCGTGTGACGTTTTGAGATGTTTCACTCTCATTCTTTCTCTTGCTTAATCTACCACCACACCCCAACAGAGAGATAAGATAAGAGTGAGTTGTAGTTATATATGATATTTTAATTGGTCGACTCAACCCAACCAACTACACATACATACTATAGTGTTTGTTTGCTGCCTTTGTGTTTGTTTGTTTGTTTTGTTTTTTGGATTGTTGTTTTTTTTACTTTTAAGAGTATTTGTAGAATTACTCTTGTTGCCATACTTGTACATATTTGATGGATGATGGAGATGGCAGTAGTACTGGCCAGCCGGCCCGCACCCACATTTTTTCCCTCTCTTTCTAATGTGAGAGAATGAGTGAGTGAGTGAGAAATTTGTTTGTTTGTTTATTAATTAATTAATATATGTTGTCTTTTGTGTCGACACATTACAATTTCCATTGATTCCATTCGTCATCATACATTTGCAAATTTCCTTGACGACTGCATGATATAGACAGTGTATTATATCATCATCAGCTAACATCATCATCATCATCATCAACAACCATTAAACAACATATGGTTTTGGATTGGATTGGAGGTTTATTTATTTTCTATTACCATAACAATAATAATACACATATCACAACATCAACAACATCAACAACAACGCATTGTCCCAAAAATACAACCATCATCATTTCCTAATAGCAGACAAGAAAATAATAGGCACCCAATCAAATCACAATCACTACTATAATACAAAGAGAGAGAGAGAGAGAGGCTGTAGCTTATAGAAAATAATGCTAAAAGAATTTGTACTTCCACCTCCACCACCTCCTCCACCTCCTTCCCTACCACAATCGACATCGATATCGTCGTCGTCGTCATCGTCGTCATCATCGACATCGACATCAACATCATCCTCATCGCTATCATTGTCAATACCCACCACTACCACAACATTATCAACCTCTATATCCATTTCCATTCCCATTTCGAATCCAACCAGTCCTACATGGACTCCTCCACTTCTCTCTCCAACTCGATTACGTAAGAAGAACAACAATAATATCATTCATCATCATCATCACTATCACTATCACTATCATTTAATTCCATCATGATGGATCATGTCAATCATCCAACTTGGAATAAATCAAGTTGGAATCCCAAAAATATTTATTTTATCCAAAAAGAGTAAAAAGATCTTGATCAAGTGATTATAGATGAACCAATTTAGATCAACTAATTTGATCAATCAATGTCCAACTGAAATGGTTCATTGATTGGTTGGTTTGTTGTTGGTTAGGTTAACTATAGAGTTTGTTAGTTTCATTTAATCTATCTTTTTTTTTTTTTTTTTTTGTCAGTACTTGTTGAAAATTAGAGATATTTTTGTTGAAGTGATTGGATGTGCGATTGCATAAAATTTACCCCCAATGATAATTATCATATCGTGATTGATGGGGGGTGATCATAAACACAGCACAGGCAGTTCAAAAAGAGAGGTAAAGATTTTTGCATTTGTTGTTTAAAAAAAAGAGGGTAGTAGGAGCCATCATCCATCGATCATTTCCCATTCATCCTACACACTAGTCGAAAGAAAAGTTTAGTTGTTTGTGTTTGCTCTGTCATTCATTCTTATTCATTCATCATTATAATCAACATCATCACCTTTCTTGCTTTTACAATAAATAAAAAGAGTGACAATCCAACCAACTATCCATATCCATATCCATTCCATTCCATCATTATATATATATAAAAACTAATACATAATCTATTTATATCTCAACTATAGAAGACAAAAAGGAAAACAATAACAATAACAACAATACTAATCAACAACAACAACATAATAATAATAAAGACAAAGATAATAATAGTAGTAATAATAATAAAACAACATTCAAGATATCAGCCATGTCAGTATTCAAGAGAAAAGATAAAGTTGAAAAAGATGATAAAAAGAAAAAGGATGAAGGTATGTCAATCAATCAATCAATCAGTCAATTATTCTGTTATATGTGTGAATGTGAGAGTGAGAGTGTGTGTCTGTTATATCACATTTATTTGATAGATTGGGTTAGATTTATAATCAATCCAATAACTTTGGAAAAACACACTACCAAACCAAACCAAAATACAAAAATAATATACCTTCCTACTACCAATCACTACGAGAGAGAGTGTGTTTGTTGGTGGGGTGAATTTATAAAACTCATCATCAATAATGATAATAAGGAGAATAGATGATGTATTGAATGGATGGTTATCCATCCACTTGGTATAGATATAACAATAATATTATTATTATTATGATTAACACTGCATATAAATAATAATAATAATAATAATAATAATAATAATAATAATCATAAATAATTCAAAACCAACAAGTCAAGTGATAGTGACAGACGCGCGACAAACAATAACCAACAAAGTCATTCGCGACTATTCTTTAAATTTATTCTCATAATTTATGATTATGCATGCTTAATCCTCTCCTCCTCATCCTCCTCCTCCTCCTCCTCCTTTTAAAGACAAATATTAAAAAAAAAACAAAGCAGTCAGTGACTATAGGAAAAATTCAGAGTCATCATTCGGATACGACATATAATAATAATAATAATAATAATAATACTTGATTGACTGCGATATATAGATCCTCCCCATCATAATTATAATTCAATGGAAATAACCACAACAATCATCATCGTCACCTGATTTATAGATTTTAAAATAATTATCAACATTTAAGAATATTATTAAACATAATAATAATCATCATCATCATCATCGAGAGACAAGGGATTATTTAGATCTAAACCAATTCCATTCGTCAGCAACTTTATATAAAGTTTGACCACTCCCACTCTCCCACCCCTTCCCCAATCATCATCATCATTCATCATCATCATCAACCATCAGATCAAATTTAAACATTGAATACAACACATATATGGTAATAGAGGAATAGTAATCCAAAATACCATTCCTATATATATTGTTTTAATTTAAACTCTTACCATATATATTCTTATATTCTTATATTCAACAATACAATAATACAATACTTTTGTTTTTTAATTTTCCCTCCCTCCAACCAACCATTACACAATTTCTTCAAAACTACAATCAAAAAAAAAAAAAAACAACCTTTTAGTATTTTTTTTTTTTTGTGTAGTGTTTATCAAGGATTTTATTTCTTAAATCTTTTTTCCAAGTCCAACCCCAATCCAATCCAATCATTATTATTATAATTTATCCATTGCCATTATCAAAATTTAATTCTAATTAATTTTTTTTCCAACCAAAAAATGATATCAAACGCACGTAAACTTTATATGCAACAATTAGCACAAGAAAAGAAATCATCAGAAGGTGCCAATCCAACAACAGCTACCACCACATCGACCACTCCACCACAATTTATTTCATCCACTCCAACCGCTCTCACCCCAACCAACTCTAACCATGCTCTCGTAGCCAACGGTGCCTCTGCTCCCACCTCCAACATTGTCGACGATGTCGATCAATTGCAACAACAAAAGCTCAAAGACGAAGAGGAGAAAAAGAAAAAGGAGGATTTGATCAACAAGCGTCAAGAAGATGAACGTCAACAAAAGCTCCGTGAAGCTCAAGACAAGAAACGTGAAGACGAAGAAAGAAAAAAGGTATACGCCAATGAAGAACTCAACGAAGAGATTGAAATCCAAAGTTTGGAACAAATGGGTAAAAACACTGGTATCTCCCAAGACATGTTTACCTTTTTCCCAGCAGAAGTTTATGGTGCCTATGATAAATTACAAAGTTTTTCAAGAGAGTAAGAAATGGAAATAGAAAAAGAAAAAGAAATATTAATCCTGGAAAATATTTATTAATTAATTTTAATTTCTATTTTAGTTTAAATACATCAATTTCACAACCAGAGATTGTATTTGTTGGACCAAGATCATCGGGAAAATCATCATTGATTGAATCGTTTATTGGTAGACCATTGAATATTGTTGCTGGACAATCGGGGGGAGCATGCAGCAAGAGAGCCGTGCACCTCCAATTCATGAACAACCCAGAGGTTGAAGGCACCAAGATCACGATCAAGCGTGACTCGTTTATCAAAGAGTTTGACCACGACATTGTAGTGCCACTCGAACAACTCAACGACAACCTTGCCCGTCGCTCCAACCAATTCCACGAGGAGCCAATCTACATTATCTTTGAGAGCAAGAGTACTCTCAACTTGACGCTCATCGATACACCGGGTCTCCTCTTTGACGGCCAACCCGAGCAATCCAAGATCGAAGCCATCGTCCAACAGGCCGTTCGTCCATCACACCGTCTCATCGTCGCTGTCGAGGCCTCTGGTGAGTGGGCCGAGATGACCATGTTGCCATTTGTTAAAAAGGTCGATCCCGAACTATCGCGTTCCACCTTTGTCTTTACCAAGTTTTTCAACATGATTCAAGACTTTAACTCGACACGTGGCGTCAACCGTTTCTTGGCCGGCACCATCAACGAGATCAAGACCTTCTTTGTCACCCTCCCCAACCACAAGATCCGTGCCCGTTACTCTGAGCCAGCCGCCTTCCAAGAGAAATTGACCCAAGCTTTTAGACGTGACATGCACTCACTCGAACAATTCCAATACGACAAGAGATACGAACGTACCATTGGTGTCCACCCATTCCGTCGTTACATGCTCAACATTGTCTGGAAGAGCTATCAAGATGCCATCCCACGCATCCTCAAGCATCTCCGTTCACGTTGTCAAAACGCTCAGTTGACACTCAACGAGCTGCAAAAGCAGTCGCTCTCACTCGACTCGACCAAGTTGCGTGCTGTCGCCTCCAACTACACTGTCACCTTTCTCCAAATCGTCGAGAAGCTCCTCTCGGGTACATCCGAGGGCAACCCATCGGTCAACGGCCAGACCTTGGAAGAGGAAAAGTCTCAACAAGGAGACGGCGGCGACTGGGTCGACCTCTACAACCGTCCCATCAAGTTTGACCCCGAAGAGTGGGGCATCTCGTACTGGAACAGCAAGCTGTATGGTGGTCAGCAATTTGAGCGTTTGATGGGCGAGTTCAAGGCCGTCTGCGACAATACCAAGATCACCGAGGTTACACTCGACGACGTTGCCACTGCCTCTGGCATCAACAAGCTCAACAATATTCCCAACTATGCCTGGGCTGCCTGCGACCTTGCCCAACAAAAGTCCCAAGACGCCTTGGTTCCATTGATTGAGCAGCTCTGTGAGCGTGCCATCTACATTATGAAGCGTTTGGCTGAAGTCACCGACAAGGTCGTTGACACGCGTAGAAAGAACCGTGGTGGTGCCAACCTCTCGGTCATTAGCCGTCAATCATCGTCGTCCAACTCGACGTTTGACCTCGAGAACATCGACCAATACCCATACTTTACTCACCACGTCCGTGACATCTTTTTCAAGTTTATTGAGCAGACTGCCAAGGTGTGCAAAGAAAAGTGTATGGATGAATTCTACTCGACCCGTACCATCTACTGGGAACTCACAGAGCATCCAGACCAAAACCTGCCATTCCTCAAGGCCGACCACCAAGACACCAAGTCGACCGTCGAGCACTTGACCACCCAGTTGTTTGACACGATCCGTAAACGTATCACCAAAAATGTACTCCTCAAATTCTACAACTTCTTCCTCGTGCCAATGCAAACCGATTTGTGGACTGAAATCCAAGGAAAGATTACCTGTCTCTCTTCAGAATCACTCGAACAAATATTTGAAGTCAATGCCACCAAGGAATTGCTCAAGGACGATGAAAAGAAACATCAAGGCATACTTGATAAATACTCTCAAAATGATGAGGCCTTTTTACGTGCTGCCTCGGCATTTTCACATCCTCTTTCAACTCCTTCACAATAATAATAATATAATATAATCTAATTAATAATTTATAAATTCTCAATAATAAAATAAAATAATATTTATTTGTAAAAAAAAAAAAATCACAATCAAAAAGCTAATCAGATAATAAAAAATGGAACAGATGCAGAGGGGTAGAATGTCAGGTATAAATGGCCTGATTTATAGTTTTGGATTTGTTGAACTGCATCTTGAGAGTACTCTACTTTTATCCATAGTAGAAAAGAGAATAGGTAAATTATGTATATAGGTTTTATGGGAAGTATTTTAGAAAACAAGGTTCCAATAAAAAGAAAACAGTTTTCTTTTTTTTGTTAGCTGCTTTTTCTTTTTTGATAATTAATCTAGAATATTATTACTATAATAAAATATTTGTGTAATTTATATATTTATATTTTTCTTTTTTTATTTAATGATTTAATCTATTGAATAGAAAAACATTGGTCTGTTGAATTTTGTTATTGATAATTGTTTGATTGCTCTAGAGACTGAAGATTCCTTGCTACCAACTATAATTTCACATTGAGCAGCGATTTGCATTTCAGTAAAGAATATAATAGCTTGTTCAGATAGTTGAGCATCTGTCATTGTTCCAGATGTCAAGTTTTCTAAATTACTTTTATCTCTGTTGTGGTCGAGTGCCGATAAAGAGTCAAATAGCTTCTCTCCCATTTTCTGTTTGTTTCCAGTGATTCGTTTGGTGACTCTGTCGATAATCGGAGCTATCTGTTTGAGAAATTCGATTCGATTGGTCATTACAAAGAGTACGGGAATATCTTTAAACTCATCCATTGATTTTACAACTTGTAATGCTTCCAATGTATCGTCAATAATCTTTGGCAATGAAACAAATTCAATGGTTTGTCCTGCAAGACCCTCATTGTCTGTACTCGAGTCTTGTTGATTAAGATTTTTAAACTTTACTTGTTTCTCTTTGATAAAAGAATTGGTTTTGTTGTCGATTGGAGAAAAGGTGGCATAGTGCAACGATACACATTGTGGTGGGTTCATGTATGCCTTTTTGCCTTGATAAAATTTGTATTGCAAAAGTGTCGATGCCAATCTTGCTTTTTCATTGAATCTAAAGAGCCAATTAAACACTGCTGCTTCATATTCAAAATAACTATTAAATCCAAATTGCATTGGATAATTTTCTGTCTTTTCATCATCAGGATTAAACATTAAATATTTCTTTCCCAAATCTTGATCTTCAATTCTATACACTTGAGAATTACTATTATTTATTGGATGATATGTATTTTCATCACATCTAAATAAATAAATTAAATAAAATAAATATTATTAATATTATTCGTTTGTTTTTCTTTTTGTTTTTTACATACAAAGTAGTTGGTAAAAAAGTATTTGACCATTGACCAAAAATAAAATGTTTACTATCAAGTAGTAGAGCTCGATTGAGAAGGATTGATTGGGTGACGGCAGATGTTAGGTAATTGACAATCGATCCAAACGATGCAGAGGCATCAAGAGTGTGGACTAGATATTTTCCTTGCTCGCATGTTGGAGGATGATTGGTTGGTGATGAGGCATGAGAATACATCCAATTTAATTCAGAATAACCCCAATTGATTCGATCCAATTGTTGGTACAATGCAAAGGTTGGTGATGACAATGGTACCTTTATGAGCTTTGCAATGAATGCATAGTCTGGTACACGATCCTTTTCAACTGGAACATAAAAGTTGTTCTTGTCAAGATCCCATGCCTTGTTTTCACGTAGAAACTGGTCCAATATCTTGTTGGGTTTGTCAAAGTTGGTGTTGTGTCCAACAATGATAATACTCTTTCTAATCTTGGGTGACATGGCAGCCAAGAATGATGTGAGAATATAGTCTGAACTATTCCCAACATATTCAAAGAGACCGTGATCAATCATTGGCAAAGAATCTCTTACTTTGGCAAGTTCTTGATAGTTGGCCAAATTAAATTCCCTTTTTGTTCTTTTTTCTAATTCCTCTTTATCTTTTTCGTGAATATCATCTTGATGTTGTGATATGGATGTCATAGTGGGTACTTGAATGTTTATGCGTAGTGGAATGGTTTTAAAGATTGGTTTTGGTTGGATAATGATACGACCAATATCCTCAACAATGTAAAACGGAATGTTTTCAAATGGTGACTTGAAGTTGTAGATGATTGGATACTCTTGACCATTCATAATCCTACGTTGGTCTTCGACATTGTAGTCATCTCTAATGAGATACTCGAGATGAGAAGAGTGTCCCAACACGTGACGATAGTTGGTCATGGTCTCTACAATCTCACTACGTGGCTTTGTCTTTAATCCCTCTTGTAGTCTTGACTCGCTGTGTAGCTGGTTGAACTTTGAGAGGTTTGAGAATATAGATGCACGGTATCGAAGTGATTGTTTGCCATTCTCTCCATGTGGGTCTTCTTCCTCTTTACCTCCTTGTACCACTGAACGGAATACCTTGGAGTATCTTAGTTGGTTACGGTCATTGTTGATATGTGATTCCTTGTAGTTTGCAATCACCTGTGTCTCTATATAAAGTGTTGTCGTGAATAATATTGCTGCCAATACTATCAACACTGTATATATAGCTCTCACAACTGTTCTTTTTTTATATAATCTATCTATCATCTTTTAAATATTTAAATATATATAAATTCTATCTTTTCTATCTATAGGCATATATATAAATATAGTAGTACTATTATTATGATTGTTGTTGTTGAGAATGATCATCCCCATCTCATTCATTGTTTGTATGTGGTACTCCATTTTTAAAAAGAATAATAACACACACAAACACACACCCCAAACACACTTGTATTAAGTATGTGTTGGATGTATGATTTGTCTGTATCGATTATTTGTTCATCTTCTGAATAAATTCTATAAACTGATCTTTCAAGAAGATATTGTAGAGGTGTGAGACAAGATGATGAAGTGAAGAGAGGTTCGCTTGGTTTTATTATTTTAATTTGTTTTTATTATTTTTATTTTTATAAACAAATAAGTTCAAGTGTCTGTCTTGTCATCATGACCGTCAATAACAGTATTAGTGACAATAATAATAATAGTAATAATAATAATAATAAATATGATAGTAGTTTAATAAATATAAATTGTTCAATACAATTAAAAGGATATGACCCATCATCTAAATATTTGAAATATCAATTTGCAGTGGGAGCAGAGGGATCGGAATTAAAGAGAACCATTCTAAAACAAATAGAGATACAACAACAAGGTCAACCATTGGTTTTAAAGAAAGATGAAACATTTATCATCTATCATAGAGAGGATAGACAAAAAGATGATAGATATAGATGGGTTGGTCCAGTCATCACAGACAATGAACCACTCGAGGACAATGAACATTATGTGGCTACTGTGACTCAAAAGTCAATGAACCTTGGTATAGATGTTCATATCATATATTCTAGTCCTGACTTGGATCCAAAAGACATTAGAAAGGTGGTCAAACGTGTCGATCTTCAACTAAGTGGTTACACAAAGTTTAGTGATATCTATCGTATCATTGAACCAATGACATTGGCAGAATACATCACATCTGTAACAAAATATCGTTTCCTTTTCGCTGGTCGTATGTTGGACTGTGAAACAATGATTTATAATGAATCTGGTATTGGTTCAAATCAACGTATTCCATTATTTGTTTATGTTTCAATTGACCCTACAAGTAAAACAACCAAATAAGACAGATAGACAGGTATTAATTAAAAAAAAAAAAAAAAAAAAAGATTATATACATGTATAAATATTTTTATTATAACTTTAGTTAGTTTTAATTGTATTATTATTATTACTTTATAAATACTCGTGATCTATTATTATTATTATTATTATTTATTAATTATTAATTATCCATTCCTCCAGGTTCAATATTATTATTATTATTATTATTATTTTGTTCAATGTCATTATTTAGTTCAACCTCTTCCAACTCTTCAATATCAATGTCTGTACTTATAGCTTCCATTGGTGGACTACTCATAACTTGTAAATTATTATTATTATTACTTGGAACCATGGTTGCATTGGATAGGATTGAAGGTGATGGAGGAGACTCTTTGGATGAACATGAACTGTTGTCATCATCTGATGCGTCGTTGGTTGCAGTGATGGTGGGTTGGGAGGTGGCTCGGCGGAAATTCATTTCTGATGGCTTGCGACTCATTTGTCCACGGGTATTACTAGATGAATTCCAAGAGGATGTGGCCAATGAAATGATATCTCTGAGATTAAAGAAACGATTGCAACATAGAGGTGAATTTAACCAAATGGTGGCGGTACGTTTGGTGATACCATAGATTAAAAATATTTGGATTGGTTGGAGAACTCTGATGGTGTTGGCAGCTGCATGTGGACCAAATGGGATGATACCAGATGGCGAACAGTGGTCTTCTCCATGGGCATAGACACATGTAACATATTCTTGCATCTTTTCAGATATGGTTTCATTACGCGATGTCGAATAGAAATTAAAGATAATTTCATAAAAGAATTCGACCATGAAAACCATCAACAAAATGAATGGTTTTAGATTAAAACGAATAAGACGGATTGACTTTGTTCTTCCATCGTCTGTACGAATAACCACTTTATAAACTTCTCTAAATATTAATCCAACAAATATCAATCCTGAAAATAATACAACACAATAGGGTACCCAAAAAGCACCTATTTGCCAGTCCTGGTCTCTTAGGAAACATTGTAGACTACCTCCTGAATATCCATATTGATTATCTGATAATGGAACCAACGCCAATGTCAATGCTACTACAAATACAATTGGTGTATAAAATTTTTCATAAGATTCTGTTGTATTTACTAAAATTGAACAAGAAAGTAAGTATTAATATTAATTATTTTTTTGTTTGGTTTGGTTTACATACAATTTCTTAAAACCATCCATAAATCAAAAGCAGCGGTACCCCACCATAAAATAATACCAAGACCACCAAATGTGAATAGGAAGCCTGTTGCAGGACATGCAGCATCCAAATGTTGACGTCTAAATCGAATACCACCATCACAGAGGAATTCAAATCCTTGGCTCAATAGAGCTAGATCTGTAAATGTCATCAACAATCCAAATATACACATGTATAGAATACAACGAGTATGACGGTCTTGGTGACGATCCAATATACCAAATGTAATAATCATAAACGAGCAACATATAAATCCAAATACACCAAAAGCGTTGGATATTTTAAAGATGGTGTTGAATTGGCTCTTGTCAAACACTGGATATGGACATGGGAATACACATGCTGTTCCAGTAAGATATTTGAATCCATCTTCTTCATTGGTAGTCGATCTATTTTTATAGGTAAATGGAGCAGCACATGTAAAATCGTATGGAGCACATAAAGGACATCCAACAATGATAGAATCGGTTACTGCACATTGAATCGAGTAAATGTCTGGTCCACGGAATTTTGATAGATTAAATGAATTACTCGATACTGGAAACATGTCAACAAGGAATTTGGGAACGACATCTTCACATGTAATATTACTTTTGGCAGTCATTCTAGGACAATCATTAAAAAATTGTATACAATCACTTCGACATGAGCTTTGAAAGAGTGCAATCTTTGTAATATTTCGACCTCCAAGTGGGATTGGATATGGTAGATCGACAGTTTGACAAGGTTGAAACAACATATTACAAACAACCTTTAAACTATGATCATTTGCACAACTGTCGCCCATAATTGTCATACTTGATAATACTTTTAACGCATTTTCTTCAAATTCTTCTTGTGTTTTGTTATATGGTATCCAAATTGAATCTAAAAAAATAGAGGTAGATGGAAAGAGTTGGTTAGGCAATGGAACTCATTTGTTGATTTTTGCTTAGATTAAAATATTACATACTTGGATCTTTTAAATATTTTTTACATATTGTTCCAGTATATGATTGACATGTTGCAAATGGATCAACAATTGGGTATGTAGTATTAGTAGAGGATGATGATTGGCCTTGTACCAATTTCAATGTAATAAATAAAATAAATAATAAATAATAGAGTTTCATTTTGTTTTTGAAAAATTAAAATTGGATTTAATTTAATGTGGAGTGTGTGTCTAAGTCTGATTAGTGAGTGAGATGAATAGCTATGAAAATGATGAGGATGACAGGATAAAAATATTAGTGGTGATCAACATTAAACTAAAAATAAACTTTGGAACTTTGGAAATTTAGAATAGATTGAAAACACAAGTTGTTGATCGATTGTTTGAAAGGTTTGACAATTGTAATTATAATAATTATTGATAATAATAATTGATAATTTGGATTGTTGTGTTTTAGCAGTTAAAATAAGAAAATGTAAAGGAAAGGGTTGTGGTGAAGAGAAGGGAAGGGGGTAAAGGATTGTTGTTTTAAGGAAATCGGTTCCCTATATAATACAAATTAAAAAAAAAAAAAGTAATAAAGTGTTTTTTATTAATATTATTTAAATTAAACCATAGGTGATTGATTGATCCCTACCCCATCACAAGTGGCTAGGGTAGGGTAGGGTAGGGTGGGTGATACGGGCTGTACGGAGAAAGAAAGAAAAAGCAAAGTGTGATTTGAGTTGAGAGTGGGAGAACTTTGGTTTCATTTCACTTCAAAGGTTTCGGTTTGTTTTTTGCCCACATGTTTCCTAATTCCTTGCTTTTGACTCACCCCCCACCCACCATTTATTTAAAAATGACATTGTGTTTGTGTGGGCGTATAATGATCACAGAAGTTGTTGTGTGTTGTGGTTGCATGACAATGGTGAAGAATGATGAGCGCTCGTTTGTCACTCTCAGATGTGAACAACAACAAAAACCATCATCTGATCAAAACAGACTGTGTACGCTATGCTAACTACCCTCTTGCTCGTACCTATTGACAATGAAAATGGAAAGTATGCTGCAAATCCTGTTTCAATCAACCGTAGATCTACATTTTCAAATAGCAGGGGAAATTATTTTTAGAGCTTTGGTTATCTTGACTTTGTACTTTAGCCCTCACGGGAATTCCCTAACCCTCAATCAATTAAATTTATTGTAAATTTGATTTCATGATTAACCCGTCTATCTATCCTCCTTCTCTCTTATTGTAATCGATTTGATTTAGCTTGACGGTAAGATTGAGGGTGATTAGGACAAAGAAAGAATCGAAAGATGTTGTTCACCCCATCCTATACCTTTAGCTATAAATAAATTATTAAATATAAATGAGTGGTGGTGGGTGAGTTGATAACCTATCCTCAAAAGAGGATCACTCTTTTATTTCCAAATTTGGTTCTTCTCTTTTAGATTCTTGATTATCTATAAATACATACTTGTAAATAAAACTATTATACTATAGTATATAATATAGCCTATTTGATTCTACTCCAATAGATGAGTTAAACAATGATGGGATAGGAGGTAGGGGTCGGTCACCTTGATATGGTATCAATCAATGTCGTTCTATAAATTTACGTTGATAAGTTGATGTGTAAAGGGTACCCTTTGTTGAACCACTTCTTTATTCCGAGAACTTTGAATATCTCTATGGATAAACTCTTCTCTTCTTGAATACCCATTCTTCTTTTACCTTGATGTTGTCTTGTGATTCAATTGATGCCAAGCAAGCTATGATGATTATCAGTTTGCAATCAACAGAGATGCCCTATATATAAATATCGCATTCAATTTAAATCTTTTTTTTGTTTCTTTGTATCAATTTTAGAATAAAAGAGAAAGAAAATATTTGATTGTAATTTTAAATATTAAATTTGGTTGTTCTTAAACTATTTTTTCTTAAAGGTGTCTATTTTTGATATTTTTGTTTCTGTAGAAATCACCATTAATTTATTTAAACTAAACTATGCAAATTAATTAATTTATATATCCCTACCCTACAGTCACCATATAAATTAATTTGCTAATCGATCTAATTAAATTTACCAGCTGTGACACTAAAGTATTATGAAATAGATGGATTTGTCAATAACCAATCATTTCACTTAATGTATTCAATTTAACTTACCTTGCCACCTTGCCAGTGACAATGATGCCATTGGAGCCAACAGGCAGCTGGATCCTTAAAATATGGACACCCCCAATCAGCACCAACTTGGTCTTGTTCCTTTGGCTCTGTAATCTCACGAGTTAATTCTTCTGGAATGTCTCCTTCTGGCATTGTTTCTTCTGATTTCTGTTCAGCATCTCTAATTGCATGACATTTGCCCGAATACCATGTGCTATTAAAAGATTTTAAAGAGAAGAGAGAGACAAGTATGAGTAACAAACATTTCAATTTCATTTGGATGATTTAAATTACCATAATTGAGAAAAGTAACATAACCATTGGTTTTTGATCAATGGGCATTCAGAAGCAGTGAGATGTTGCTCGGAGAAACGAGTGAGGATGTCATCAGCCATGATAGCATGGACAGAGAGTAAGAGGACGATAGTGAGTAATAATACAGATTTTGACATTCTATAAAAATGACTTGATTAAATATATTTGATGATACAGTTGAATTGAATTTACAACATTGTGATGAACGTATAAAAAGACAACGAGAGTAGAAGTCATTGCCAACGGCGTTTGCAGTGAAAAAAAAATCAAAATAATCTCGGGACCCGAGTCCGAATTGAAAATCAATTTTTCGTGGCCCTGGGTAACATTGAAATCTCTTCGGTGTAATCAGAGATATTTTTGATGGTATCGAACCAAACCAAATCATTTGAACCAACTTTAATCTTCTACCAGTGTTTTGTGCCTATACAAATATTGTGTCTACTTGATTTATTATGATTATTTAAATTTCATTTGCTTGAATTTTGAATCTAATATTCTCCATTATTCTAGCCATAGCTCTAAGATTATGTTGTGTTGCCAAGGTATAAAATATTTGTTCATTTGATTTATATAAATGGTGTATATATGCTGTTGAATAATTTTTACATCTATAAAAAAAAAAAGAAATAATTAATAACTGTATTTTGGATTTTAAATTATAATAATATATATTTACGTTGGACAATCACAAGATTTATCCAATGGAGTATCATATTGTGATTTATATTCTGATTTTGTAATCAAGAAACGATCATTTGATTGTGCTAAAAGAATGGAACCGTGACGAGCCGATCGTGTTGGATAAGATGAATCAAAGGTATCGATTCCCAATGGAACCGATCTGATGATACTCTCCAAGTCACCAATACCCAAAAGATGATTTGGTTTGTTTCTAGGGACAAGTGGCATTAAAAAGGAGAGTAGATCGTTCATTTCGTCACGATCCTTTCCAATACTACCTCCAATTGCCACTCCGTCGAATGGCAGTGATGTGAGATACTCTAAACTCTCTCTTCTCATCTCTTTGTTTACACCTCCGTGAATGACAGAGTACATTGCCTGCTGTCTTGGATCTTTTAAATGTTCGAGTAGCGACTGTCCCTCCCAATGATGTGTTCGATGCAACGACTCTCTCACCTTTTCTTCCGAAATGTGATAGGGAGGTAGTTCGTCAAATGGGATGATGATATCGGCACCCAACTTTTTCTGGTACTGAATCGATGATTGTGGTCCTAGTTCAATGATGGATGATGTTCGATAGGATCGGAATATGACACCGTCGTCTGTGATTGATTCGATACTGCCCGGATACTTTTTACCCGACATTCCTTTGAGTTCTCTCTTTGTCATTTCAATCGATTGTGACACGACAAGGTCATTTACGTCTGTCACTGAATCGTCTTGTTCGTTGATGGTATTGTGTCTTTCTGGATGACCCATTGAAAACACTTGGAAACCTCCACTATCGGTAATAATCGGTGCCTGATAATTTATAAAGTTGTGTAATCCACCAGCCTTTTCAATCGTATCCAAGTCTGCATTCACAATCATATGATAGGTATTGACAAACATTAATTGTGAATTTTGTTGTCTTGTTGTAACTGGATCAACAAATTTAATACTACCAATAGTTGCAACTGGTACAAAGTTTGGTGTTTCAATTCTTAAATAAATTAAAATAAAACATAAATATCAATAATCATATATTCTTTTTTCCTTTTTCTTCTTTCAACATACATTCCATGAGGTGTAGTTATTTTAGTGACACGAGCATTTGATTTTGATGATTGATGAACAACTTCAAATTGAAAGTAATCATTTATCTTTTCATTCTTTGGGAATGAATTGGCAGTTGGTAATGGTAAATTCTTTAAATGATTCTTATTCTTTGGGTATATTGATTGACTATTATTTGAACTACTACTATATTGACATTTACAACTACTATTATTAAAGGAGTTGATAAAACGAGTTGGTTTAATGATTTTAGATGTAAACCTATTCATTTATGAATCTTGACTACATTCGAATAACCTAATTCAAACAATCAAATGAGTCATGAGTAGCAGACGAAAGAGTAAAAAGACGAAAAAAAAATGAAAAAATAAAATATCAAGGTGATGGTGATCATTCGATGAGAAGTCCAATATTAAGAGATACTATATTATTGTCGATTATAAAAAGAGATAAATATATAAAGAGATAAAAGAAAGATGAAGGTATGCAAATGAACCTCAATGAATGATTTCTTTTTTTTACTTTACTTTAGTTCACACTCACACTCACACTCAAACTATTACCCTTTTTTATTATTAAATTTAAATTTAGTCATATTTGGTAGTTGGAGGATGTGGATTTCTTGGTAGATATATTGTTGAAGCATTATTAGCAAGAGGTGAAAAGAAAGTTCATATCTTTGATATTAGAAAGTCGTTTGAAGATGATCGTGTCACATTCCACATTGGTGATATTAGAAAGTTGGAGGATTTGGAGCGTGCTTGCAAGGGTATCGATACTGTCTTTCACACCGCTTCACCAACTCATGGTATGGGATACGACCTCTACTACTCTGTCAATGTAACCGGTACAGAGATGCTTGTCAAAGCCTGTCAGAATAGTGGTGTTGCTCAACTAGTCTACACATCGTCGTCTAGTGTCGTCTTTAACGGTGCCGATATCGTCAATGGTGATGAAACACTCCCATACGTAGGTCAACACTTGGACCCATACAACAAGACAAAGGAATTGGGTGAACGTGCCGTCCTCGATGTTGCCACCAACGATCCAAACTCTAAATTGGCTGTTTGTGCTATTCGTCCAGCCGGTATCTTTGGTCCAAGAGATGTTCAAGGTTGGCCACAATTCTTAATTGCTGCTAAAGAAGTAAGAAAGAAAAGAAATAGAGAAATAGAGAAATAGAAAGAAAGATATATTAATTATTTATTATTTTAATGTTTGATTAGGGAAAGAACAAATTTATGTTTGGAACTGGTAAGAATCTTTGTGATTGGACTTATATTGATAATGTTGTTCATGGACATTTGTTGGCAGCTGACAAGATGGTACCGGGTAGTAAGATTAACGGACAAGCCTATTTCATTACCAACGATGAACCAATTCCATTCTGGAATATGCCAATCTATGCCTACGAGGCATTTGGATATGAAAAGCCAAAGTTCAAGATCCCATTCGCCGTCATGTACTACATTGCATTGCTCATTGATTTCTTTGTCGCTCTCTTGAAGCCAATCAAGACTATTCACCCAACCATCACTCTCTTCCGTATGGTTTACACCAATGCCACTCGTTACTTTAATATCAACAAGGCTAAACGTGATCTTGGCTACAAACCAATCGTTTCAGTTCAAGAAGGTATGGATAGAACTAGAGATTGGTTCAAGATCAATTATTCTCAATTTATCAATAAGAAGTAAATCAAATTAAATGATAGATCTCTCTCTTTCACCGTGGTCATCCTCCTCTCTCTCTCTCTATCTACTCTTAATTAAACAAAAAGTATTTTAATAATAAATACTTTATACAAACCACCACTGTCTTGTTAAGGATGGTGATGATGATGATGATGATGATTTACAAATAAAATAATTATAATTGTTATTATTATTATTGTTTATGATTTTCCATTGTATCATGGACTGTGTGTTTTAAAGATATGGAGATAGATTATCTTGTGCAACCCATCATCTCTATCTATCTCTATCTCTATCTCTATCTCTTTTACACCATCCCAAAAAGAGATAGTTTGTGCAGTAGTATGTTTACTATTCATTATGCCAAAACGTAAAGATGATGGAATGAAAGAAAAGTGGGATGGCCATTGATTGATTAACTGTGTTTTCATTGCAATGCATTTAATCCAATACAAAACATCTTGAGATGATATCATTAACAACCCAATCGATAGCTTCTTCCAATCCTTCACCAGTGACAGCACTACAACTACAAATCTTCCAACTGTGAGTAGACAATGATTTCAATTCTAGATAATCAGCAATCTCTTCCTTTGTCTTTGACCCACTTAAATCTTGTTTATTTGCCAATATCAATAATGATGCACCAGCTAATTTCTAAACAAAATGAACAACATTATTATTATTATTATTAATGATTCAGTAACAAACAATATAAATATGATGTTGTTGTTGATTGGGATGTAGATTACATACCTCTTCTTCTAATAAAGTTTTTAATTCATTCTTGCAATCATCTAATCTTCTGATATCACTACTATCAATAACCCAAATGATAGCATCATTCTCTTCATAATAGTTACGCCAGTAACTTCGAAGTGTTCTTTGTCCACCGATATCCCAAATGTTTAGTTTATAATCTTTGTGCCACAACGTTTGAATATTGAAACCCAAAGTAGGACTAATACTACTGATATCCTCTCCATTAAACTTTTTAACTATAGTTGTCTTTCCTGCATTATCTAATCCTCTGTTTAAACCAACAACAAATCAAATAGAATTAGTTACTTTCCTCAATGATCTTCTCATTATTTACAAACTTACAACATCAATACTCTCAATTCCTTTTCTTTCTGCTTTAACTTTTTGAGTACTGTTAGTAGACCCATCCTTCTTCTCTATTGTATCTATCTTGTTCAGATATATATCACACTGAACTATTAATTAATATTAATAAACTTTGAATCTCTCTTCTTCCGCTTTTGGTTTTGTCAAGTTCATTTTATTAATTAATTATAATTCAATTATTAGTTTGTTTAGGGAATAGATAAAATGTGAGTGTTCATGAGTTCTACTACTCATTCATACCACGAATAAAATAAAATAATAAATAATTATAATAATAATAATAATTACTTTTTACTTCTGCTACGTTGCACTTTACTTTTCCCAATTTCCAAGAGTTTATTGATTTTAAACTATAGTCATCACAGAGAAGAGAGTGACAGATGATTGTTTAGTCATATAGATCATTGGTCATAAAGAGATATGGATACAACTGATTTAACAACATTACATCAAAACATTAGTTCACTTTATCAAGCTACAAATGATTATAGTGAAGTATTAAAGAGTATGTATAGAAATGATAGACATTGATAGATAGATAATAGTGTATGACTAACATTTGATTTACTTTTACTTTTACTTCTTTGTTTGCAGATGGATACTATAATAATAGTTTCTATCAGAATGCTGTCAATACATTCTCTGATAATCATCCTCTAAGTGATTACAGTCAAGAGTTGTTGTCATTGATGGACTCTGCATTCAGTGATTGGAGAAGTAACCAACAACCAAACTTTGATAGAGCCAAGCAATATGTAGATAGAGTAGCTATGGCATCCAAGAGTAGACATGGCACCACTGATGTCGGTCAACTTGTCAATGACAAGGTTGAACAATTCGACATCCCATTAATTAACATTCAACTATCATTTAATAGTTTATTACAATGTATTACAAATATTCATATAAATGCTTCTCAAAAGTTACATCAATCTATCCCTCCGACCCCTACTCCTTCTACTCCTTTGGTTAAACCATCATCATCATCGTCTCAAATTGGGTTTAATAAACCATCACCAATGTTACCTACTAGACAACCTCAACTACCCCAACAACTATCTCAACCAGCACCACCAATTAATAGAAAGTCATTACCACCAAACCAAGTAGGTCTCCAACAGCCACTACGACCACAATCACAAGCACCACAATTAACATCAAGAGCACCTCCACCAACACTGAATAATTCAATTGTTAGACCAAACGATCCCAATGCAACAACAACCAAAGGTGATTTAAAAAAGAAGGATGGACCTGGGTGTTGGAGTTTAAAAAAGCCTGGACAAGGTGATGATCTATCCAACAAACCATCAGTACCTCAATTAAACAATGATATCAGTAGACCACCACCACCTCGTCCTGCGCCATCAGCACCAACAACATCAAATGCCACTCCTCCTCCACGACCACCACCAAGTGTAAATAGATTATCAAACCAATTTAGTCAACAACAAATACAAGACAATAATGGTGGTGATGCACCAGCACCTCCACCACCAACAAGACAAAGATCTTACACTCAAGGTAATGTTGGTGGATCTTCTTCTTCTTCTTCTTCCTCTTCTCCATTTCAACTTCCTCCATCCCCACCTTCAAGAACAACACCTCCTCCATCAACCAATGATTCTTCACCACCACAACCACAACCACTATCATCAATGTCAAGACCAAGACCATTGTCATCTCAATTCTCACAACCTCCTGTACAACAACAACAACAACCACTCCAACCAAGACCTCAACCTTTACAACAACAACAACAACAAAATAATAATAATATTCCAATCAGAAATAACAACAATAGTGTGATAAGACCAAATATGACTTTAAAGTCATCTTCAACAGCATTACCAACTTATGTATCATTACAAGAATTACAAAATAATTTAGAAAAACATAGACAATGTAAGTAGAAAAACAAATAATTTAAATTTTAATATATTAATTATTTATTTATTTAATTTTTTTATTAGTATGGGATAATAGAAAATGGAAGATAGTTAGAAAATATGAAAAGAGTGTAAGAATGATTGCTGAAGAAGTTAAAACGATAGAACCTGGAAATTTAATGTTTAAACTTACCATGTCAGTACCAGCCACTACAATGATTCAAACGGTTAGATCTTCGTCGTACGAGTTGGTAGATGTAAACTCTAATTTACTATCAACAGCTAAAATCATTGAAACTGGTTCGGGTCATCAAGTCTATCGAATTGAATATCAACTTTCTCCCTCTATTACACATGTCAAAGCTGTTTATACAACAGAGGTGGACAATTATTCGCTAGATATGGTTGAAGATACTCAAAATGACCAATCTTATGTCCCCGAATCATTGGATCCCCAATCCTTGGAATACACCAATACATTGGAGAGTCGTGACCCAGTCATATTCGATACACCAGAATTCAAACAATTTATTGATCGAGAACAACTGAATCGCAAGCAATTGCAAGATGGATCATATGAAAGTGACCTATGTTTTATGTATCGTGTGTCATTGTGGATCTATGCCAATATTCAATACGATGCTTCGTTTAATGGTGCCAAACCTCTAGAGACTGTTGCTCGTGGTAGAGGTGATTGTGGATCACATACCAATCTATTTGCTGCTATTGCTCGGTATCATGGTATTCCAGCAAGAACGGTTGTATGTCGATCCAACACAAACAAGAGTACAGCTTGGGGAACCTATCATGTAAAAAATCAATTCTACCTTTCTGGAATTGGATGGATACCCTATGACGGTGCCTACAAGGATGGCAACCCATTTCACAAGAGAGCATTTGGCAAAGATTCTTGTGATTGGATGATTCTACATAATAATTATATTTACGGATACGAAGATTTACATGATCAAAAATCATCATTCTTTTGTCAACTTGCTTGGACAATATTTGGTGGTAATGGTACTTGGAAAGATTATAAATCAACACCATCTCATAGAATTGAACCAATTGATCCTCCTCCCAATACATCTTCACCTACTCCATCTAGATTTTTATCAACACCAACACCATCAACAACAATATCAAAACCATTTTCGTCTCAACCTTTAAAACCAAATGTTATTAATAATCAAAATAATAATAATAATGGTGGTGGTGGTGGTGGTGGAACAAAAATTAAGATTTCTCCTTTTGGTGGTATATCTGGAAATATTTTAAGAAATGTTGTTTCAAATTCAAATAATAATAATACTAACAGTAATAATAATAGTAGTAGTGGTAATTCATTATCAAAATATAAAACAAATTTACCACAATATATATCACTTGATGAACTAAGAAATAATCTAGAGAAACAAAGACAATGTAAGTAGATTCAATATATCCATGCATATGTCTTATATATCATTTATTAATCTCACTTTTTTTTTTTTTTTTTTTTCTAGTATGGGATAATAAGAGATGGAAGATTATAAGAAAATATGTAAAGAGTTGTAGAATTACAATGGAATATGGTAGATCATTTGCAAGTGGACAAGTTGGTAAATGGACATTCTATATGCCTGTACCAACATCATCGATGATTCAAACGGTCAGAGCAGCTTCGTATGACTTGGTAGATGAACATTCAAATATTATCGGATCGAGTGAGGTGGTAGAGGCAATCGAATCAAAACATCAAGTATACAAGGCCACCTATGAGCCAAGAGTCAATGAAAAGGCTGCTTCGGCCATCTCATCAATCTACACAATCGAAGTTGATTGCTATGAATTGGAGATTCAAGAGATTACAGATGCAAACGATCATTCCTACGTACCAGAACAACTGGATCCTCAAGAACGTGAAAACTCGCTACAAAGCCAAGGCAAGGTAATATTCGATACTGCAGAGTTTAACGAGTTTATCAATAATGAGAAACTGTATCGTATGACATTGCAAGACGGTACTCAAGAGAGTGACCATTGTCTAATGTATCGTGTTTCCCTTTGGGTATTTGCAAACATTACCTATGAATCTGGGTGTGGAGGACAAACCCCTCTAGAAACTTACAAGAACAAAAAAGGTGATTGTGGATCGCATTCCAACCTCTTTGCAGCGATTGGACGATACCACAGTATTCCAACTAGAATCTTGGTTTGTCGTTCAAACAGTAACCAACAAACAGATTGGGCTACACTACATATAAAGACACAGTTTTACTTACCATCTATAGGTTGGGTACCCTATGATGGTGCATACAAAGATAGAGGAGCATTCCACAAAAAAGCGTTTGGCAATGAAGAATCCAAATGGATCGCTTTCCACCACAACCCCATCAGAGGACATGCAGGCAAGTCAAACCAACAAGGAATTAGTTATCAAAGCTGTTCATTTGAATATAGTTATAGCAGCTCTCAAGGAGGCTCACGACCTACTGACGTTTCAAATTCAGTGTCTCACCACATTGAAGATATCACAGGCCCTATTTAAACTAAAACTCAATGATAAGTGAAATGTGTAACATCATCTTTTTTTTTGTCACGTGAAATAAAGTGTTAATTTGTATATTTACAGATAGATCTTAAGAGGGGAGGGAACCTCCCTTGCTTTTTTTTATTGCTTAGGTCTCGTTCCATTTCAAACTACCCGACTTTTTGCCCCCAAAATTGAAGGTGGGTGTGAAAAGAGGTGTCGTGGCTGGCGATTCTTTTCGTTGATCTCATTGGGTGAGGGTTGCATCATATGACAGAGACGACTCTTATTATGGAAGCATGGGGTTCGACAATAAAAATCAACAGTTGATTTTTCGAATCGATCAAAGATCAGCTGATTCAACCCTTTTTTTAACCCATCTGTCTGACTCTTTAAGAAAGACTCCAAAACCGTGATAGAGCCGTTCTTTTTTTTTGTTTTGCAGCATGAACTTGAAACCATCAACCTACAATTTCAACAAAGTAGTATCTATCTCTGCTGGTGCAGCCCCCCGCTATGCAACAAGATGTTGAGATGATGGATTATGACAATTAATTAATTAATAATATATGGGCATCCATCATAATGAAACTAGCCATCCATCCATCCCCGTTACAACCTTCCATCGCACTACCATTGGTGGTGAAATTAGCACTTACTTTTTCATTATGCTTCTCTAACCATTAACCTTTTGTTTTTGTTTTTGTTTGTTATTTTATTTTAATTTATTTATCTGTTTGATCAAACAATCAGCAAAGACCCTCCCTCCTGTACAGACCGAGTATATAATTCGTTTTATTGTTTATACTACACCCACTTACTCACTCACTCAACTTCACAATCTACTCTTTCCATTCTCCAAGAGTTCAACACACACACACATCTCACTCTCTCACTTTTACAAAGAAAGTATATTTTTGTTGCAGGGGCTAGCACCCACACCCACCAATCAAATCAAATTATATCAAGGTTAAATCACCATCATCAATCATCAATCACCGTTGTCTTGGCTATAAAATAAAAAAAGGTAAGATTTGAGTTATTATAAATAAGGATTGTGTTAGAGAATTGTTCAGACAGGCAGAAAAAGAATAGATAGACTCTCAACAGACGGTGATGGACAAAGAGTTTCAGTTATTGGGGTTCCATTATGTCACCTGTTTCCTACTACTGATGGTCACATCCGCCCGCCAGAATTAATTGATTTGTTTAAAACATTTGTTATTTATTTATTTATTAATTTATTTATTTGATTGTACCCCGTTTATATTATACTTTTAGGAAACCAATTTAGAAAAAAAGATGGTAGATAAAATAATAGGACACTATGGCATGATGACCCAAAAAATAGTAAAAATAATCATTGTATATTTAATAACTTTAACATTATATAGTAGTAGCAGTAATAATAATAATAATAATCATGGTTTCATGGTTCAGGCAGCATTCAATAACGACACCAACAACAATAATAATAATATAACATCACCATCACAGTACACATATCAAGACACTATTGTATATTTCAATTCTACTCAAACTGTAGGTATATATACGTCACCCTCTCTATTTACTCGTGTTTACGGAAAAAAAGAAAACCGTTACATCTTTATTATAATCGATGGGCGGATGGACAAGTCGTCTATTTTTGTCACACGGTTTCAGGTGACAGGAAAAAAAAAAAACAAAAACTCGACGACAAGTCAGAAAGAAATGAGATCAATGTTGGGTTCCAAAAATAACCTTGATCTTCCATCCTTTCCCTTTCATTATACCCTATCATCTCATCTTTAAATTTAAATATAATATCAATTATTAATATTTTAATATTTATTTTTAATTATTTTTTTGTAGATTTCAAATTCTATAACAATATTTAATTGTAGTGTATATATTAATGGAGGAACTATATTTGAAGATGGAGGATTTGTCCAGGTTGAATCATCAGTGGTATATGTTAGAACTTTTCCATTTTTCTTTTCACCTGATCAATGGAGTATGGTAGATTCTCCGATGGAGTTTGGTGTCGTTGGCAATGGTATCCTGGATCTACCCATCTTTGTGTTAAACAATGATTTTTTCAGTGTTGTTAAAAACGTACCATCCATCTCTGCCTCTAAAGCCACCTTTATACAAGTGTATGATGATATTGCACCTCATCTCTTGCAAGGTGTGTCGCTGACGATCAACGACAGGGCTAAATTACAATTCCTCCAAAGTGGAAGAAAACCAAAAAACTTGGTCATTTCCAACGCCACCATTCACATCAACTCGTCAACATCCGAGTTTAACATCGAGACCAACGTCTATTTCAAGTCGGGTTCAATTTATCTCGCTGATAATACAACTCTAGAAATATCACCAAATGGTCATTTATATTTACAAGACAATAGTTTGATACAAGGAAGTGGTTCAACCAATAATAATAATAATAATAATCGAGCAACCATACATTTATTAAAAGGAAAAATATCAAATTATAATAATTTATCAACAGAGTTGACAGCAACACCAGCATCAATAGTATCAAATATACATATAACTGGAAATGGTGTTATATCAGCTGGAACCAATCAATTAATTTTAAATAATACTATAGTTGGATCATTTGATAAACCATCAAACCTTACAATTGAAAGTGATTTACAACTTGAAAATAATTCAATCATTTATATTTTTATTTCAAATACAACCAATTCAATTTGTATGTTGACAATATCAAAATCAAAAGAATTTGTGAATAATTATTAATAATTCATAATTAATATTTAAATTTGTTTAGATAATATATCAAAAACATCAAGTATAACAACAAAAGATAATTCAATGATTAGGGTAAATGTAAATATAGAATCATTGACTGAAAAATATTCTGCCAATGTTATTCAATTTTATGGTGATGATGATCAAAATAATAATAATAATAATAATGGAAAACAAATAGATTTAGAAGGAGGAGATGAAATTAATTTTGATTTGGATAATGTTCAAGTTTACGATATATCAGATGGACAACAAAAACAATGTCTTTTTGACTTGGATATTACTTCAAACAATACACTTAGAGTTTCATATAGACACAACTCTTACAATTGTGAAAGTGATGGCGGTATTAGTACTGGATCTATCACGGCACTGGTCATTGGATGTGTAGTACTATTTGTATCGGTACTAGCCATTATCATATTCAAATACCGTCGGGCTAGAATTACAGTCATGTTTAGAAGTTCATCAATCGACGAGGAAAATGGTGGTATTGCCATGACCAGATCTGTCAGTACTCTAAGATTATTTATTGGTGGAAAATTAAAAGAAGTGGATGAATATTAAATATTAAATATTAAATATTAAATATTAAATATTAAATATTAAATAGAAAAGACAAAGAAATAATTAAATTAAATTAAATTAAATTATCCATATTTTATTTAGAAAACACGATCGATACACACACACATATATATATATATATCGATATAAATATACATTTATAAAACATATTTAGCGAAATTGTAATAATATTATAATAAATAAATAAATTAATAATATGATCATCTCAACTTGATCAAAAACTGATTATACTACAAAAAAAAATGATTATGATTATTAATTATTGTTGTTGTTTAGTTTTGAACCAAATAATTTAGTTAAAAAAGAGGTAGTTGATTTTGTTTGTTTTGGAGGATTGATTAAATCATTTAGATAATTTACAATTTGATCTTTGTTTGTTGCTACTTTTGCAAATTTAATGGCATCTTGTAAATCATCTGTTGTTAGTTCTGTATCATCATTATCGATAATACTGATCTTGAATTGTAAAAAAAAGTTGATTTGGTTTGATGATTATTATTATTGTTTTTATATTTGATGTTTCCAAATGGACCATTTGAATGTTCGATGATATATTTGACAACAGGTAAATGATTATTCATAATAGATAATCTTAATCCATTGCGACCACATTTACAATTCTTATTGGTTTCCAAGTATTCAATGATTTCCAAACTACCTGAAAAACATACTCTATCTATTATCTTTGTTCTGTATCGATATGAAAGCGAGTTAAAGTCAATGTGACTTGTCACCTTTAAAAATGTATCCATATTGGTATTGGTTTGAAGAAAGTTGGTGAATCCAATTGATATAAATTTCAGTGCCGATGGGAATGGTTGATAACAATTTGTTGCAAATTGTTGTCTATAACCAATAAGATTATAGTATCTATTTGATACCCAGAAATCAAAATAGTTACTATCCAATCGTAATGACATTAATCCTAACGTTTGATGAATTATTCTAACTTGATCAAATATATTATTCCTTATAACCATTGATCTAAATACTGTTAATATATTATTATTATTATTATTATTATTATTACTATCATTATTATTATTAATATTTTGATTATTTTGATTATTATTTTTTTGATTTTTAATATTTAAATTAAAATCAATAGTTGCAAATGTATCAAATATATGACCATCTCTTTGAATAAATGAATAATAATTTAATATATTATGTTCAAAAGCTTGAAGGTTTGGATCCAAGATTGAAGATGCCTCGAAATACTCTACACCAAGAGATTGAGCCAATTGGAGGGCCGTTTCAAGTGGTACAGCTCTTTTATCAACCAAGTCATTCTTTGTACCAACAACAACAAACAATGTCCTTTCACCAGAACAAGCCAACAATTCCAACTGTTCATGCCATGATCTCACAGATCCAAATGACTCTTTACTTGTAATATCATATACAAATGAATACCATTGTAGATCCTTTTACTATTCTTGAAGTTGTTTCTTTGGCTCCTACTGATGTATACTAAATAAAATCAAATCAATTATGTATTAATTAATAAGAATATGAGATGATATCATCTTTATTCTATCTTTCATCTTTCTTCTTTAGTACCTACCAACACTTCATTGATACATCTAACTAATATACCTATATTAATGTTATTTGGAGTATTATTTGATTTCAATTCAATTCTACCATGACCATTTACGTAGTCTTGACCTTGAGATACATCTAGTAGTGATCGGATGAGACTCTTCTTGCCTGCTTGTGGGTCACCTGCAAACAATATCTTGAGTGTTGATATTATCATAGCTCCTCTCTTTTTGTTGTTTTGTCTATCTATCTATCTATCTATCACTTTTATCTTTCTGCTCTCCTCTCTCTCTCTCTCTCAGAGGGACAAGATGTAATGATGTCTTTTGGTGAGTATAGATATATCTAGATATAGATTCATTCTAAAATGAGCAACCCAAAACCAAATTAATAATAATAATAATAATAAATATTTGTATTTATATCTTTCTCCTACAGCAGTATCTCAAAGTGATCAAAGATGATATTCAATTCAATGGTCGATTCATTGATGTTGCTCTTTCAGATGTATCCAATCACAGCCTTTTAGTTAGATTCAATAATAAAATTAAATTCATGATGGTCAACCAGTTCCATTTCATCTATAGATATATCTGTTCGGAATATCCGAATTTGTGTGCTTTGCGTTGGGGACTCAAGATATTTTTTGCGATAAGTATCTGATACAAAGTCTATAAATATTGTTGATGATGTTCATCATACCCAAGTTTATTTATCTAACTGTTATATTTTAATGAGAGAGAGATAGAGAGAGACATCAACATACAGATAGTTGCTTACATGGATCACTCATTCCATCCTATTTTAATATTACTAGCAGTAGTTTCATTACTATGTGGTACAACGTTATCACAAACATTGAACCAAGAAGAAGGTATGTACATTAAAAAACTTGAAGTTCATATATTGTGTGTGTATTAATATTTTTTTGTACTTTGGAACACTCAGCTGATTCTACCACACTAATCTCGCAGTATGTATGATGATATTTAGAGATAGATAGAATAAATAAATTGTTCTAACGATTACTACTATTACTATTCACTCTTGTACACGTATAATTATAAAGACAATATGGATTATTTGTACCACCAGCGACGATATGCCAATCACAGTACTATGTATGCTCCCTTAACGTGACAGATGGACAGTACCATCTTACTGAAATGTATGATATTATCATTAATGATATTCAGATCAACAACAACAACAGCAAGCAAGCACAAGCATCATGTTCATATTAATAATATATATATTATTTGTTTCTTTTCTTTCCTTTCTTATTCTTCTTCTTCTTTTTAGTACATTGGGGTTGAATTCGATTGATTATACTCCTGTTGGAATGCCCAATCAACTTTATTTAAATCTTCCCGAATTGACTTCATTTAGGCTTATTCAAAATGTTGGTCGAGAGGTAGCCAATGTTTCTCTCAATCTTTTAGAATCCCTCAAAACGCTTAAACAATTGCAAACGATAGTGATAGAGAACGACCCAACCATCAACTATGTGCCTCCAGACTTTACTGATTTCCCAAGGTTGTCCCTGTTCAGTTTGAGTTGTCCAGGCTTGACGTCTCTTCCCTCGAATCTTCTCAACAATTCGGCAGTGGCTACACTTGCCATTTTGAGACCAGTCCTATCGCTGGTCATTAGTCCCTCCCTCTACCTCCCCCAACTAGCTTCTTTTAGAATCTCTTTAAATTGCACTGGTCCATCACATTCCATCAATTTTACACCAAAATCATTTCCTCTGTTATCAACAGTGTAAGTGTCAATCAAACTATACAAGATAGAATGGCAATATTAATATTAACACACTTTGATATCCATATATATATTTTTATATATATAGTAATATTTTTACAGTTGAAAATGCAAACATTACAGTACATTTTAATTTAATTCGTCAATCCTCCATGTATGGTTATTAATCACCGGTCGTGTGCTGTTGTGGTTGCTTGTTTACTAATATATTTTTATTATTATTATTTTAGAACTTGTATGGGTGCCAGCCCATGGAACCAGGGTCAATGTCACTTACGTATTGGAAATGCATCTGTTATTACAAGTTTGTATGTAGAGTTATATTAATTAGCGATTGATCGATCAATCGATTACTAATTTATATATTATTTTATTATTCCTATGATAGAGGATTGGCAGGAACCAGTTCTTCATTTTGGCCTGCCCCTATTACAAGTACTACTTATCAATCACTATCATTCCTGGCGTTGGAGAATATGGGGTTAACCAATTTCCCAATTGTTGGACCTTATCCACCTTTATTGTCTATTTTGTAAGCATATATATATATTCCCTCTCAGCTGAACAAAACAAGAATATATTTTTTGACTAATATATATATATCTCTAATATTTAAAGAAACCTAAGATACAATCATCTTTTATCGATTCCATCGATACCACAAAGTTTGAGACAATTAGATTTGGATGGTAATAATTTAACAACATTGAATGTTACAATGGTTGGTGCTCACACTGGATTGGAAGTTTTGAGAGTTTCAAACAATACACAATTCATTGGTCCAATCACCGAGGACTATTGTGCACATCAACTCAATGTTCTTTATACTCTTGTCGAGTCATTACCAGATTGTTTTTGGTGCTACATCAATGCATCAAATGTCGGTCCTTATGTCCTGACCTCTTTAACATTCCCATCCAAGTTTTTTTGTAATGGTATGTAATATTTTTATATATTAAATTATTTATTTATTTTATTTGATTATTTTTTTACTATAGTTACAATTGAAAATGCTAATAATATTGTAACAAATAATGGAAAGTACACTTTGATAGGCAAAAACCTTGGTTGGGGTTATGAGGATGGGACTTTTGATTATTTACTTACAAAGGTGGTTGCAAATAGTAAACTAGATATTGCCTTTAGCGGTATATCAAACGTTCCCACCAATTTTACATTGAATTTGTTGCCATTTGACCCAGAGCCACAAACGCAGATTACAGTTGTAGAGGGTGGGGTTGGGATATCCTCTTTATCCCTCCAAACATTTATCAACGAAACCGGTTCTGAATCGTCCATTCTCTTAAAAGGCACTTTTAATAACTACTTTGTTCATTATGGAAGAGTTGGCTCTCGCAACTGCAGCTTTTTGGTGTTTAGCCCTCCAAACGAACAGATGTGCATCATGTTTGATCTGTCACCCGGTACTCATACCCTCACCTTTTACAACGATTATTACAGCACATCGGCGGTGTTTCAAGTGGCCTCTTTTCCAAAAATCGATTCAATCACACCATTGCCTGCCGCGATTGGATCAGTGATTACATTGTCTGGTAATTTTGGACCATCAGTAACACCCATCACCGTTAAATTTTACAGTGCAACAATATTCGTTTCAGATTGTCTAATTGTTTCATTTGCACCGTCGACCATTGCCTGTCAAGTAAATTCACCATTGGTAGACCAAATAGCAGTCGCAGTCTCGGACGGCACCAATACTGGTTCAATACTAGTCTCTAACCAACTTATTTGTCAACAATCAACCAACGATTGTTATGGAAACGGTATTTGTGGTGTTGACGGTATATGTGTTTGTAATAGCGATGGTTATTATAATAATTGTTCAAAACCATATCCAATCATATCATCTGCCAGTTACAACTCTACAACCAACAACATAATTAGTATCAATGGTGATTTTGGACCATCTATATCATCATTTGAAATTGTATCAGTCAAAATTAATAATACTTACGATTGTTCGGTCGACTATAAATCACAATCATTAATCATTTGTACCTTGACCAACCAACCAAATTATGGATTATCATCAGTTCAATTACAACTTGATTCATTGAATACTAGTGCAAGGAATATTTTATATCTTCGTAGGCCTGGAAATGGAGGTAATAATGGTACAACAACAACAACAACAACAACAGGAGGAGGAGGATCAACAACAGGTTCAACAACTTCCACCTCGGGTGGATCAACAGACACACCACAACAATTATGTATCCAACAAACATCGAATTGTTATGGTCATGGTAAATGTGATGTAAACGGAATATGTCAATGTGATAAGGATTACAATCCAGTTGATAATTGTTTTACAAAGTGTATGTTATCTAAAAAAAAAAAAAAAACAATTATTTAATTAAAAAGTAATATTAATTATTAATTTATTTTTATTTAATTTATTTAGTTATCAATACAACTATTACACCAAATACAACAGATCCAACGGTATCATTTGATATTGATGGAATTGATTTCCAATTTGAAGTTGTATCCATTCAAGAATTGGATTTTGATAGTAATGTTGTCAGAGAATTATTTATTTCAAATTATACTTGGATTGTCAATGCTGCAACTAATAATATGACAACAACTGTTGATTATCAATTAAATACAACTTTATCTTCTTCAATCCTATTCCGATTAGTCAATGTATTATCAACGATATCATTCTCGACACAAGCAAGAGATATTCAATTTGGAGATCAACAACTTCACATCAATCCAAATTCGATAAAGTTGGCAATCAATATTACAAATTGGCAATATTCATCAAATTTAGCAACACTCAGGGTTGTATTCAGAACAATCATCATCAACAATCAATCTGTAGAATTTGATTGCAATCAAAAAGAGATTGAGCCATTGTCCTATGATTCATTATCATCATTGCAGTATCTCAGAGTGATCAAAGATGATATTCAATTCAATGGTCGATTCATTGATGTTGCTCTTTCAGATGGCCGACCAACCTATTCACAAACACAACTCATTTCAATGACACAATCAACCGATATTCAGGAACAATCGATTGCACTGATTGGTATCAACTTGCCACAATGTCAATCATGTGTTCTCGATCCTGATTTCTCACCATTATTAATCGACAAGAGTAATGATAGTGGATGTGACGGCGGTAGCCAATCGAATAACTGGAGAATCATCGTTGGATGTGTTGTTGGTGGAGTTGGTGCTGTCGCTATTACAGCAGCTGCGATCATCGCCGTCAAAAAGACACAAGCCAAGATTAGATTCAACAAACAGATGCATATGAAACTTCAAGCAATGAATTAGGTTACAGCGTATCATCACAGATATTCCTTTTAAACGAATCCTGATTACAATTGAAATAAAAATAAAAGAAAGAATCATGTGACCTGAGCAAACAAACCCAAAATAATCATACTATTAATAAATATTTATATTTGTATTTATTATTATTTTAGGTGTGAAATGCGAAATGATCATCAACCTATTAAAGTCTTTGTTATAGGGTCTACTCTGTTTGACAAGTCATCCTTAATATCAAATATCTTTCTCCTACCCTACGTAACTCGTAAAGATGACGATGTGTTAACATTCTCAGATATAGCTCCTGAAAATGTATTGTATGATAAATCAATCGATCTGATCAATATCAAGTGCGTAGGTATATTATTAGTAGACTCTATATATATATATAGATGATATAGATAGCTGTTTACTAATATTTATAAATTGATTTTATAAATATATTTAGTATCTTCGAATGGTTCCAAAGTGTAATATAAAGGTGATTATATATGATGTATCAAACAAAGAATCATTTGAAAAAGTAAAAGAGTATAAAGAGATTATTGATGCTATGGAAGACATTGATAGTAAAGCATCGACTATATTGGTTGCAATGAACTGTCATCTAAACGACAGCAATGGTAGAGTTGTATCTTCTAGTACTGGTCGTGGATTGGCACAGTATCTCAATATTGCTTATTACGAACATGATACTGATACTGCTAAATCTATAAGAGAATCATTCAATGAAATTATTTACAAACAATTCAATATTACCTATATCAACAACAACAACAACAACAATCCACTCCCAAATTTTAAAACAATTAATTTAAATGTTATTAAACCTCTGGCCCTTTCTCTTCCTCTTCATATTCCTCCTCCCCAACCTCATCCTCTTCAACTTGATCAATCAATATTACAAAGAGTATTTAAATCAAAAGTAATAATGAAAGAAATATTTAATCAAGTACAAGAAATACACAAGAGAATAGGTAGATGTTCAAACAAACTAAGTTGTAATGATGAGGAGTTTTGGTGTTCATCTCCATATCTTGTACCATTGGTAGAGTATAGAGAGAGACATGGATTTAAACCTCTAATATTTAGAAGACATACATTTGGATTTGGAGTATTCCTTAGAAATCAATCATCCAATTTTGTTTTGGTACGTAATAGTTTTGTACCAATCTATACAATGACTGAAAGAGAGAAAAAAGAGACAATCAATGATGCCTGTATAGGTGGTAATGTTGCAGTGGTAGAATATCTTCACAAGAAACTTGGATATCATTGGTCAGTAAAGGGGTTCCTATTCTCGATAGCATTCAATCATTTAGAAGTCACCAAATACATTGTAGCAAATTCGATTAGAAAAAAGGAGTATATACCAACCTCCTCTTCTGCACCAATGGTGGAACAGCCCTTTACTTTGACAGATGCAATCATCAAGCTTGCATTACAAGCATGTGATGACTTTTCACCAGACCGACAACAACATTATCAGTTCATTACCAATTACTATAAAACCAAAGCCAACCTTTCATTTATGGATAGATTATCTCAAACTTTATTTTCAAGTGATCGTCCCAATTAATCACTATAAACTCTGTACATAGTTTGTATATATATATAAAATATAAAATATAATATTTAAAAATATATAATAATTAGATTTATTTAAAAAAATGATTTAATTTTATTAATTTAATATTACTTGTAGACTTAGTTAATAATAGTCCTTCTCATTCACTTAATCCTTGTAGAGAGAGCAACGTTCTCCTCATTTCTTCCACCTTTTTAGTTTCCTCTGGATGTTGAATGAGATAAGTGTCAAGAGCAGATTGCATAATGACTAGTTCTTCGGCAGTAGTGACATGATATTTTTCATTTGATGCCATTACAAACTTGTCACATGGATCACCATTGAACAACTTGTCAAAGAATTTGCCGATATCATGGAATACTGATTTAACCGATTCCCAAAACATCTTGACTACACCAATGATGATTAGAGCTGCCGTTAAAATAAGACATACTGGACCAGACCAAGAAGTAGCAGTCATAAATGTTAGGACAAGTACACCAAATTCAAGGGCAAATTCTACTACACTGACTGCTAGCATTCCCCAATCTTGGTTTTGTATGGCTGTTACCATGTCATAAACTGTAAAGGCCATACTGACTACGACTAAAACCGCTGTGACATATTTTACAATCCACCCAAGCTTGTAGTATTTGGCAAACTTGGAAGTTTTGCCAGTAGAGACTGCTTGACGAACTGGAGGGTATTGAGGGGTCATTAAACTTTTCACCTTTTGACCAATCCAAAGATAGGCATTGTATCCAGTTCTAGAGGCTTCAACAATCGATGTTATGGCATCGACACCTGATACAGCAGCGTTGACCCAAGCCATAACCTTTTCGGCTGTTGATGCCTTGTCGTATGATTTGAACCCAGCATAGATACTAGCAGCACTACAGAGAATGAATATACCACAGACTGCACGATACATTTTTTGGTCTTTCCAAAACTCTACAAAAGTAGGGTCGTTATCCAAAAAGATACCAGTTTTCTTTCGGATTTGAACCAAGAATCTAGCACTGTCAAATGTTAGAACGTGTTGAGCACTAATACCCGCTGGCGCCGTACCATCGAAATATAACCGATAAAGAGCTCTTGATATTTGAAGTGACATGGATGCAACGGTACCTTTGAACATATCTTTTGCCTTGGTCATAGTGGTGTACCATTCATGATCCTTGTTGGCCAATATCTTTTTAATGGATTTTTTGGTCACTTGAGTAAAGAGACGATGGACCTTTGGTGAATTCTTGATGGCGAGAGGACCGATAAGAGCGAATAGCAGCGAGTAGTATTCGTTGATGACGGTGGACGAAAGGTTGAATGAAGGATCGACGATATCCAACTTGGCTTTAAGTTCGGTAAACTTTTTATTGTCATCAAATTTGGTAGTATCATCCAATTTACCTTTGACCTGATCGAATAGACCTTCTACCCAAGTTGATTTGTAAGTGTCTGCCAAAAGATAGGTTTGGATCTTTGGAACCATCGTATCCGAGTTGAACATGTATGGAAGAAAACTTGGACATTTTACAGCAGTGGCTATAAACGTTAATCTCATCAGGATGTTTGTAATGGGTTTAGAGCATTGAAGTTGTTTAAATTCTTTTTCAACAATATCACCTTTGACTCTACTTGGTGTTTTGGTGTCTTTGTTTTGTTGAAAGATCGATGCGAGTAACCATAAGTTGGCGTACTTTGTGAGTTCGGCCGAATACCCAGTATCGACAAACGTTGCGAGAATGTCAGCACTAAGAGTTGGTTTGGTAGTGTCCAATGCCTTCAAACCTTTTTCATCGAGATGATACAAAATAATATTCATCAAATAAGAGTCTGCCTCTGCTTTGACAATATCATTTTTAGTGGTTACACTGGTTGTTGCATCTGTCGTAGATGTAACTGTTGTAAGAGCTATGAAAGCTTCAGCTGTCAATGTAGATACATCAGTTGTTGCATAGGTACTATATTTTGATGATATTTGTGTTTTTCTCCATGTTTTAAAATCATCAATGAATGATGTTGTTGTTGTTGTTGTTGTAGAAGGATCAACTGTTACTGGATCTGGTGTTGTAGTTGTTGACATTATTTTTTATACTATAATTTATTTAGAAATAAATACAAAAATAATAAATAATAAATACTCTTTCTAAATTTTTGAAACCAACCAAGGAAGGATATACTTAATTGCCTTTCTTGATTTGATCAAAATTAAAATATCTCTACCAAACCAATTGGAAGCCTTCCAGTTTTCGTTGACCCTTTTCAGAGTACCCCCCACTCAGTTGCTCACGAGGATCATTTGAGATTTTTACCAACTGCTTGACAATTAATGAATGCCCATCACTTGTACACGTGGGGTTAATTAATTGAACCGACAGACACACCGACCGATATTTATTTCATTGCTTTAAAACCATTGCTCGCACCATTTTGGTGCTATAGCTTGTAAAGTGGCACCCGACACTTTTCCCAAACCAACCGGTTTTTTTGCAACCTCTGAAAGATCGTCTTTGTTTCTAAATAAGGGAGGTTTAGATATCTTTGTACAACTTCAACTTGGCAAACGATAACAACATTGATGTCTCCTACTCACCTAAGGAAGAGCAATGAAGCTGCTGTTAAATCAAATACTAGTATTATCATCATACCATTTTATTTGTAAAGAAGAATAGTAAAGAAGAGAAGTCAACTTCATATTTATCACAATGGCAGCACCACACGAAATAGTAACAACATTCCAAAATTGGAGAAGGAATAAATTAACACAAGAACACCCAGAGTTTGCAACGATGGATAACAGTGTGTTGACAGTACCAAAGTTCTTGGCATTATCTACATTTGATCCAGATACGCAAATCGATATTGTAAAGACTAGAGCTGAACAATATTTTATCGATCTTGTCACCTATCATGTTGGCGACCTTGGTTTGAAAGCTCTCACAATGACCAAACCAACTTTGAATGCAGACTTGGTAGCACTTATTCAAGACCCAGCCATCACTCAATTCTTTACAGAGTATTCTCCACTTTGGTTATTACAGGCTATCTATCATCACGAGGTTGGACCTTACAAATCAGATATCAAAGGTGGATCGGTGGAAGATGAGATGTTTGCAATTAATCGTGGCAATATATTCATTCGTATCACTATGATGTTGTATCATATTGCACTCAAAGAATTGGTTCCCGAACTACTGCCATACATCTATTGGAGTGATCTCAATGTCTTTCAACAACGTGTCAGAGTCTATTTTAACAACGCAGACAATACTAGAAATTGGATGATCAAAGCTATTCAGTGTCAAGATGCTAGTGTCAGTAGAGAGCCACGGTTCTTTAATGCATACCTTTTCAACGAACTCAAAACCAAGCTAGACCTTTTACAACCAAATAATCGTCTTTCCAATGATTTACTTGGAGTGTACATGTACTCGTTGCTCTCTTACTATGCCACCAAGAATCTCATCAACTCTCCAGTCAATAGAAGAATCATTATTCGTTCAAATGAAATTATTCTACAAAGAATAACGTCTAATCCAGCCAACACGAATAACCCAACTATCGCAACTGCAATGTCTGCACTTGCATGTGACTTGCCAACATTTATCGGAAAAATGTCTACTCTTGTCGCAAAGATGTCTTTGGAAGTTCCTTTTGAACAAGTTGTTCCAACTGACAGTACCTTTCAATCTTCTGCAACACCATTTGACAAACAGTCCCTCGCCACCACTGAATTCTCAGCACTCCAAGATGATGCCGCCTTTATCAGGTTTGCCAACGCTATCTTTTGTGCTTGTCATGTTGGTGTGTTGGCCTATGGCATTCTCAATGGTCAAAACCAAGTCGATATCATCAAATATGATCCATCTCTAGTTTATGTAGGTGAAGGTTTATTCATCTATAAATATGCCGATGGTATTGACCAAGGACGTGTATTTACAGTGATGGGTGACTTTCTTAGAAAGTTAACCAATGAAATGGCCAAAGATGCCACCGATGTATTCTCTGCCTACCAAAACTTTATTCCAAACCTCGTCCTTAGAAAAACCAATCAACATATCATGCGTCTAGTTCCATCACTCTACATTCTCACTCGAGACCAACAGGCACATGTACTTTTTACAAAGTCGTCAGATGAAATATTGGATTGGTCCGAACTCGTCATTGACTTGCACATTATGGATGAAAATGAAATAGATAATTGTGTTCCAGGTCTATTTACAGTACTCAAAAAGGCGTCATGTGCCGGTCCATCAACTGCTCTCATTCTAGGTGTTGGTCTGTACGGTCTGTCTGTTTGCTCTAGAGTATTCCCACAATTGGAAATGACATTTAAACTCTACAAAAAGGCACTCTTGACCAACTCTACTGCACCCGATCCAATCGACCAGTTTATCGATTCAGTAGACGAAGACCTCAGAATCAATTATGACAATGACCAATTCGATCACAGTGGATGGGAGAGTTACCACGAATCATTAGACCCAATCATTCAAAAGGGATTAGACATCTTGATTGAAACTGAAAATGATCACCTCAATGACATGTTTAAATTACTTGGAGAGATGGAAAAGAGAGCCATTGAATTGGAATACAACAAGGTTAGAACTCAAATTGTAACGGTTGCCAATCACGTTAGTTCTGTCACTTCAGGAGCTTTTACCAGAATAGAAGGATCACAAACCAATGTGGTTGTTTCTAGACCAAGTAAAATCATTGCCATGGTTCAATTCTTTTCCGGTGTTTTGAACAATCCAAATGGTGGAGTTAGTGTTGATGTAACATCTGCACTCAACAATCAGATTATGACAAATGGTGGTATGAACAGTTATCCATGGCCTACTGGCACTTCAATTAGTCATTGTAGAGATTTAATGGATGGTTTTTCTATTACCCAAGAAATTGTTCAACCTGGAACCCATCAATATGAAATTAGAGCAAGAATAAGAGCTGGTGCTGGTACTGCCAATATTAATGCTCCAGGTGTAGTTTTATTCATTGTTCCATTGTAAAAATAAAATTAATTATTATAATACAAATGGAATTATTCCTTAGTTTAATATTTATTTTTTTTAATCATTTTTACTACCTCTCAATTTCTTTTAGGGCGGATGATCATTATGGTGTCACGTGTTATGAAACTGCCTTTTCATACCAGAAAATATCGGTTGCCAAAAATGGTTGCACGTGGAATCCAACCATGGTGCCTTTTGAAATAGAAGGGATCACCACCCCCCTTATCCATTTTGGAGATTTTTTTCGTTGACCATCAAAAATTGGGCAAGTTACAAAAACGTTGGCTGCAAAGGAATGGACGAAAAAATCTCTGTCCGATGAGCCATCATAACCATGGATAGTTATTATAGTAAATTAATTTGTTAGTTGCTTTGGTTGAACACACAAATAAAAGTAAAATAAATAATAATGGCAACATTAGTTTTTAATAGTAGAGTAGATGGTTATGAATTAAATTATAGAAGTGATGGTAATGTTACCTATACAAAGAATGGAGCATTATTATGGACTGTAAGTACTCTAAATAAACAGATTAATCAGCTGATTAATAAATACTAACTGCGATGATCATGTACATTCACTTATCTTATCTATCTTTTAGCAACAATGGATGTCTACTTGGTCAGATTATTTAATGTTTAAAACTAGTGATGGTAGAGTTTGTTTAGTATCTTATATGGATGCTAATGGCTTTATTAGTGGTGATATACTTACAGATACTGGATTTACTCCTTTACTTCGTTCATTGATTGATCAAAACTTGGACTTTCAATACTTTACAGAGTTTTCCAATAAGAAGGATGTGATCGTTGCCATGAATAAAAATGGTGGTCGTAAATACTACACCATAGATATTCAAGGTGCAACACTCACAGAATTTACTCCATGTTGTGGAACCACTTCAGAATTGTACAAAAAGTTTATGGATTTGGAAAAGAGACTTTCCAAGATTGAGACATCCAAAGTTACCACTCAAGTCGTCAAAGTCAATGCCCATGGCAATCCAGTCTCATCTGCAGATTGGCAACCAATTAATGGATCACAAGCCCAGATTGTCATTAGTCGTCCAAGTAAAGTGGTTGCCGTCGTTCAATATCACTCTAGTGTCAATTATAATTCCAATGGTACTGTTAGTATCGATGTAACGTCTGCCATCAATGGAAATATTATGACAAATGGTGGACTCAACAGTGAACAGTGGCCAGTTGGTGTATCAATGAGTCAATGCAGAGATTGGACCAATGGTGTCTCTGTCACCTCTGATACACTTCAACCAGGTTTCTATCAATACGACATTAGAGCTAGATTAAGATTCGCCGCTGGCAATGTGGGTTCATGTAATGGTCCAGCTGCTTTAATCTTTATTATGCCATTGTAAAATAAATAAATAATAATTATTTAATTAATCAATTTAAAACAAATATTATTTATTTATTTAAAGTTTTCTTGACATAAACGCACATTGTATTCTAACGTATGTTGGCAGTATAGGTCTTCTGGAGTGTTGGTGGCTATAAGGCATGCTTGAAAGTTTGACCTGGCTTGCTCTAAACATTGGCGTCGGGTAGTTGCATTGACATGCAGACAAATCATTGAAATGATTACCATTACAAAAAGGAGTGATAATAATTTGTTCATTTTGGATAATGTTGGTTGAATTGTTTGTTTGTAGTTTTTAATTCTTCTAGGGTTTCTCTCCGAGACTTGAATAACAACATATATGTTGGTTGTTGTTATTTGGTGTAATTGTATACTACTTTATATCTAGAACTCAGTATGAAAACTGCTTAGTTTTTAAAACCAACAAACACCAAACTAAAATCTAGTACTATCTTTCGATATCTATTACACGTGTAATAATGTTGGTTCATGTAATGTAATGGTCCAGTTGTTTTAATCTTTATATATATGGCCATTAAAGTAAAACAAATGATTTTAATTAATTTAATTTATACAAATATTATTTATTATTAATTTCTTTTTTTTTATACATTTATACATGCATGTTATGTTAATTTAAATTAGTTTAAATTTGAGGAGCAGGAGGTAAATATTTGGATAAAAGGGTAATTATTTTTGGAGCGTCTTCACCTTGTGCCATTGTTATTGCATCTCTTATATTGGTGACTGTAAATGTTTGTTGTTGGTTGTTATTATTATTTGATATTAGAAAAGATACAGTTGTGAAATGATTGTTTGCAGCAGCACCACAGAGAGCTATTGATGTACACCCTTCTGTACGACTATTGAATAGGTACTCTACTATATTTACAAATCCATTCCGGCTGGCTCCATCCACAGCTATAGTGGTACACCCTTCAGTTCTATTTCGATGTAAATAGTCAACTACACTGAGGTGACCATTAGATGCAGCCCAATCCATAGCAAACTGACTACACCCTTCACTTCTATTTGAATTTAGGTATTCTACAACCGATAGATACCCATTTTTTGAGGCGGCATCCAATGCTCTAATAGAGCATCCTTCAGTCCTGTGAGTATGTAAATACTCCACTACACTTAAATGACCATTAGCTGCAGCTCCATCCATCGCATCTTTTGTGCATCTACCACCTGCTCGATGCAATCTATCTACCACTGTGAGATGTCCATTTTCAGATGACTTGTTCATTGCTCTACGTGTAAATGTTTCTTTTCGATGTAGTAAATACTCTACCACTGATAGATGACCATGTTCCGATGCCAGATCAATAGCATCTGTTGAACATCCACCCTTTCTTCTTAGTCTTCCATACAGATATTTAACTACCTCTACGTACCCGTTACTTGCAGCTAGATCAATAGCATGTTTGCATGTCAAGTGAGGATACGTCTTTATGAGGAATTGAATAATATCCAAGTTTCCAACAGCCGCCACTTTATCGAGTATATCTACACTGTTATCGGCGGTGGATAACTTGAATTCTCGATGCCATCTAAGTAGATGTTTGAGTGTTGGTAGTGTTGCATTGGGATGATAACAGAATCGTTCTATATCCAAATCAGAACGATTTAAACTCTTTATATGTTGTTTGAGAAAGTCAAATGGCATAGCATAGTGAGCTATGAGACGATCTAATGGTAGAGTATTCCCTTTTCTCCATTTATCTGGTTGCAACCTATTCTCTCTACTACACAGATCATATATATGATTAAATATAATCCGTTGTAAATATTTAATTCTAAATATTATTATAAATGTTGTTGTTGTTGTTACTATTTTAACTTGTTGCATTCTTAAAGATGAACACACAAATAATAATAATGAAAAGATTGAAAGCACATTTAAAAACTGAGAAAATATTTATAAATCATATGTGGACAACATTAGAATTCTAATGTTTTAGTAAATGTAATAAATATAAACATAAATATAAAAACAATCAAATTATGTTTTATAAATAATAATTAAAGTTTATTTTGTTTTTGGAAATAATAAATAAATATATATTTGTGGTATTTATTATAAGTAAATAATTATTTAATAAATATTAATATTAATTGTTTGTTGTTGTTGTTGTTGTTGTTGTTGTTGTTGTTGTTGTTGTTGTGTGTTGTTGTTGTTGTTGTTTGACTATTAATATTACCACTGGTGTTAGACATCAACATTATTATTATTATTATTGTAATTTTAATTGTTTGTAATTCTTGAGCCAAATGATTCAAAGTTTTGTCTTAACCCTTCGAAATCGAATGGAATTGGGTGGACTACTTCTGTATTATTATTGGTATGAATATGTAAAGGACTCGATGGACCTTGTTTTTGTGGAGTAGAAGGACGTTGGTAGGGAGATGGGGGACGTTGATAGGGAGATTGAGATCGTCTATAATTTAAAAGACTAGACTGCTGTTGACTTTTCGAAGCTACATCTGGATGGATGTTACTTGTTGTTTCTGGTGAGAATTGGTGGTAGGTAGATGATGATGGTGATGATACCTTTTCACTTGCAAATAAATTCGGACTACCATGGGTAGATGAAGCATCTGACATAATTATAGTGTCTGGTGCTTGTTGGAAAAAAGATGATGATGATGATGATGGTTGTTGTTGTTGTTGGTGTTGTTGTTGTTGTTGTTGTTGGGTTGGTTGATAAATTGGTCTAGCGTTTGAGTTGTTATTCATTTGATTATGATGTTGATTATGAAACATCAATTGTTGTTGTTGTAGTTGATATTGGTAATTTTGGATTTGTTGGTTGTATTCTGCCGCTGATGAAGAAGAAATTTCATTAAATTGTGGGTATGGTTGAAATTGTGGTTGTAGTAATGGAGTGGGTGGATATGGAGGTGTAATTGATACTGATATTGGGGATGATGACGATGATTTGGGATTTCTTGGTTGTTGTTGTTGTTGAGGTTGTTGTTGTAATGATACTACAGCCACTTGAGTAGGTGACTTGTTTCTAGAAGATGATGATGTTTGTTTAATTATAAAACCATCATTTATATCATCATGATGTTTACGTCTGGAATGACCCTTGTCAGAGAGAAAGTGTCGGAGTATGATGGAACTGTCTTCAACATTTTGGTCATTCTCTGACGAGAGACTATACTCAAACATTCTCTTTTGGCTCTGTTCATTATGAAGTGTCATCATCTTTTTAAATCCAATTACATTTCCAGTTTGAGTCTTTAGAATTTTGATTTCTAAAAAAACAAAAAAAGAAAAAGTAAAACAAAAAAAAAAAAAAAGTAATTCATTAATCTCAATATTACTCTCTATGGAGGATCTTTAAATTATATATATAGTCTATTTACCATTTTGTTTCCATTCACCATCTTTTGTAGTACGAAATAACTTCTTTGATAGAAATGAGAATTCCAATGTTGCAATAATATGGATTTCTCCCTCTTCTTTTTGGGTGATTGATTTTGGATGGAAATAGTTAGTAAAAAAAATAATAATAATAATAATTGGTTGTTTCTTTTTTTTCTTTTTTTTAAATAATTATTTACCCACAACCTCATCAAGAAATGATCTTTCAGTGATGACTGGAATATTTAAAGAGTTAAACTGGATGGTTGTAGTAGAGTTTTTTGTGTTTTTAAACAACCGCAGAATTTCAATATATTCCAAATCTTTGAATCTTTTGGAAAGGGTGGCAACCATTTTGGACAACAGAAGAATCGATTCTCACCTAGGTGTTGTAGGGATATAGGTAGGTAGGTGTGACCACACAGCCACAACTTTAAAGTTTTTAAAAAATAATTTAAGATGATAGGTAGGTTGTTTGGTTTGGTTGGGTTTGGTTGATTGGTGATTGATTAAATATATAAAAAAAGCAAAAAGGCAACGACCAATCAATTAATTGCTTGGTTGTTGTTGGTTTATATATATTTATATATATATGTAAATAAGAGAATATATATATATATATTTATATTTAAATGATCGATCACTACCACTGATGATGGTGATGGATATAACCCATTCTCTGCTGCTGCTACTGCCAGCCAGCCAGACAGACAGACATTGTTAACTTCACCAACCAAAAATAACATATTGTTGGAACATTTTTAAATTTTGTTGTTTGGTTGGAGATGCGCTTGCATCAATTCAACTTTCATGTGGGTTGTAATGATCTTCGACAGTATCTGATGAATATAATGATTGATGAATGGTATGCACCATGTGGATTCACATCATCAAAATTCTTATACGGAATTGACCATCCAATTCAGTTCTAATTGACTTGTTGTTGGGTGCATGTTGCGGTTGTGGTATGATGATTGGTGTTGTTGTTGTTGTTGTGGAAAACTAACCTGATCAATCCCTTTGAGTGTGCGTGATGGTGATAGTAGGTGATTGAAGCAAAAACATGTTTTTGTTCTCCTATTCCTCCTATTACTCACCTTGTTGTTGGGTGTGTGTCTGCGTGGTTATGTGAATCATTATATTATGTTTGGTCATCTTCACCTTTATCATCATCATTTTCTTGTTCTTGTATGGGTTTTGCTAAAAATACCCTACCCCTCCCCTCCTCCTCCTTGAATATTTTGATTGGTTCCGCACCCACATTTTTGAATTAAATGATTTGGGTGAAGTGTTGAGTGTGAAAAGCATTTTCATGATCCCAATTTTTTTGATTGATTGATTGATTGGGAAACACCCTAATCAACAATCAACCCACCACTACCCAAAAGAAGTTGAAATGCATTAATGATACAAGCTCCTCCAAAAAGACATCCATCCATCAATAAATAACCTGAAAACACCTAATTTGTCCACACATTGATCCTTGTAGATCTATTCTTCTCTCCTCTCCAATGTTTTATAGATGGTTTAAAAAAAATCATTATTAGATTCTCTTCTTCTTCTCTTCCTCTTCTTCTTCTTGATGACAATGAGATTGATGATATTTGATGATGCAAATGATGATGCAAGAGAGGGGAGTGATGAAAGAAGAAGATGATGATAAATGTGAAGGTTTGGTTGAACAATCAGTTTGTTTCTCTATATTATCTTGATCATCTGATACGTGGCTAATTGTATCCCAAATTTAGCAGTGGTTCAACCTACCTACCTACTGGAATTACGATTATTATTAATATTCATTTTCAACAACAACTTTGAGAAAAAAAAAACCATGGTTTATCTTTCCATCATATGATAGGTTAACCCAGTGCCACTCACCATTATTATTATGGATGATGACAATATTGCCAGGAGCATTCAGCAGCACCATTCTGTGACATCCGTAATGCTTCTTCCTTGTTCCTGTTTCCTCTTCTTCTCTTTGTTCTGTGTTTTGTGGGGGGGGTGAAAAAGGAAAAGGTAAGGTTTGGGAAGGGTTCTTTCAACATGTTGGTGTGTTGATGGAGGTTTTCAATATTGATTCAATTATTAAAAATAATACGCCGTATAATAATAATAATAAATATTCATAATAATAATAATAATTTTGATTTTCCAAGATGAATATATCACAACTGTGTTGTTGAGTAATCTGATTTGTACAAATTCAGTCGCACTCTTGTTCCACTATAATTGTTATTATTATTATTATTATTATTACTCGTCGTGGTTGGTTGGTTATTTTAATATATGTATAATGTCAACACCACTTTTAAAAAATTGGATCTTGTAAATATTCTAATATTAATATCTATAGATAATATTCCACTTGTTTGTTTTAGAATAATCTGTGTTTGTGATGTTTGTCGATGAAAAAGTTTCCATTTATATATTATTTGTTTAAACGTAAAAGGTAACTACCAACTACCTTTTATCCAAATAAGGGTGAAGTAGTGAGCATTGCAATGTTGTTGGATGGTTAAATGATATCATCATCTTGCAAGATAACAATAATTACTACTAAAACTAACAAGTCAGTAGCATTAGGTTAGGTTACATTTAATACAAGCAACAATTGACATGATGATGATGATGAGGATGATCTTCTTCTCCAATCATGGATAGACTCGTCAAACTTGAAGGGGCAGTACTGGTTCTGCCTATCAATCTGTAATCATCATTCACAATCCAGAACAATGAATATTAGTTACCTACCTATCTACCTACCTACCTGACTATCTGTTTATTCATCTTCAATGAGTTTTAACTGAATATAGAAAGAAGAAGAAGAAGAAGAAGAAGAGTATGGAATAACAAACTATAAATACCGTAGTATTGCTTTCTTTATACCATCATCACAAAACTAAAACTAAAACTACTAACTACTAAAAAAAACTTAAAGTACTACCTCCTTCTCCTCCTCCTCCTCCTCCTCACCACCATTAAAATGTTATTCAGTAAGTATACAAATACAATACATTATATTCCATCTTTCTAATATTTGTTCTATTGTAGAATCTATGACACAACTATGTAACTTTCAACAAACTACTACTATGAATAATGACTTGTTGAATAGTTCCTCTACTACAACTGCTACTACATCACAACAAGGAGTGAATAATATTGCTTGGATGCGTTGGAGATCTAGATACTAATATAGTTATATTCACTCTCTGTCTCTCTCTCTCTCTCTTCACCAACTTTTGTCGATCATCTTTCGTACAATATATGCTAAAATTGAATTTCTTATTCTCTTCTATCTATCTATCTTTCTCTTTGTGTCATCATATATTATATCACTAGTATACAAATAAATACATCTTATTAATATTTAAATTCTATAAAATACACTTCGAAGCACTTATAAACTTGAAAAGCTCAAATATGGGATGGAGTAGGAGCAGGTGAGAAAAAAAAAAAAATAATATTAATCTGTTTTTTTAGACGAACGAGACTTTTGAAAACATCTCCCTCTCATGCTCTAATGAGACGAAAGTAATTACTTTACGCGACAAACAAACAAACGATCACACGTATTATTAATTAATAATATTATTCATACATATTCTTCTTACTCTTGTTATTATTACACACACACATATATATATATAATATCACAACACAAGAGAAGAGAAGAGAAGAAGATGGATAGTTTCTTTGCAAAACCAAAACCTTCGAGAGGAGGAGGAGGAAGAGGTGGCTCATCATCAAGAGGTGGGTCATCCTCTAGAGGAGGCTCATCATCAAGAGGTGGAGGAGCTGTCGCAAGAGGTGGAGGAAGAGGAGGTTCATCGAGAGGTGGTTCATCATCCAGAGGAGGTGCAGGAGGAGCCATGACAAGAGGTGGAAGGGGTGGTTCGTCGAGAGGTGGACCATCAAGAGGTGGTTCATCTAGAGGTGGTTCATCGTCAAGAGGAGGACCATCAAGAGGTGGTAGAGGTGGACGTGGAGGAAACAATAATAATAATAGTAAAAAGGATCAACCACAGAAACAACAACAACAAGAGGATGATGACGATGAAGATGAAGAAGAACAAGACAGCGACAATGAAAATACTCAAAATGGAAATGGAAAGAGATATAGAGATGATGATGATGAAGATAATGAAGATGAGGAAGATGAAGAAGATGAAGAAGAAAAACAAGAAAAACAACAACAACAACAACAACAAGAACAACAAGAAAGAATGATGAATCAACTTGTTGATGAAGAAGAAGAATCGGTCGATGAAAAACGTATTAGAATCGCCAAGGAATACTTGGCAAAGATTAGAGAAGCCAAGGGAGAGTTGGATATGGATAGTGCCATCAAAGACGATTTGCTCAAGCAACAAGGAAGACACGCCCGTCTTGTCAAAGACACTGTCCAAAAATTAAGTATCACCGACAAGAACATCACATTGCTCAGAGGTCACGATCAACCTGTCACCTGTATTGCCATCAGTGATGATTTGAAATATATATACAGTGCTTCAAGAGATTGTATTGTAAAATGTATGTATAAACTATATATAATCATTAAATCATTCTTTTCCGATTATTAATTCAATTGTTTGTTTGTTTGTTTCTTTTTTGTTTATTTTAGGGAACATGGAAACTCTATTAAAGGAAAAGAAAATACGTGCAATTTATACATCAAAGAAAAAGAAACGTGATGAAAGAGAGTCAATGAGAAAGAAGAAACAACAACAATACCAAAAACAACAAAAACAACAAGACAAGCCAGTCGTCCAAGACGAAAAAGATGACAAGGTTATTGGAAGTGACAAACCTGCTGTTTCCAATGGATCGGGAGAAGACAAACAATATACTGATAGTTATACTGGACGTATATTTGCAATGGCGTTGAGTGACGATGGTACATTGTTGGCAACTGGTGGAGAAGAACGTGTCATCAAGGTATGGGATACCGCCAACTTTAAGTTGTTGGAGACATTCCGTGGCCATCGTGATATTGTTAGTGCTTTGACCTTTAGAAAGGGGACACATACTTTGTATAGTGGGTCACACGACCGTACTCTCAAAGTATGGGATCTCGATCAATTGGCATTTGTCGATACTCGTTACGGCCATCAAAGTCCTATCCTCGCTATCGATGCATTGTCAAGAGAGAGATGTATCACTGCCGGTGAAGATAGATCCTGTCGTATTTGGAAGATCCCCGAAGAAACCCAACTCATCTATCGTTCCCATTCTCGTCCAATCGACTGTATCTCCCTTCTCGCCGAAGATCACTTTGTCTCTGGTAGTCAAGATGGTGCCATCTCGCTCTGGAACGTTAACAAAAAGTCACCCATCTATACCCAAAACAAAGCTCATCCAAACGGTCCCATGCATTGGATCTCTTCAGTTGCCTGTGTCAAGTTTGGCGATCTCGTCGCCTCTGGTTCATGTGATGGTCATATTAAACTTTGGGGTATTTTTGATACTAAATTAAGATTAGTTAATACTATTCCTTTGGTATGTATACTACAACACAACATAACATATAATATAACAACAAACATTTACTAACTTTGTATTATTATTATTTTTTGAAAATATTATATTTTTAGAATGGATTTATAAATGGAATGGAATTTTCAAAGGCAGGAGATATGTTGGTAGCAGCTATTGGACAAGAACATAAACTTGGAAGATGGGCAAAGATCAATACTGCCAAGAACGGTATTGCTATTGTTAGATTGGATGCATGTCAAGAAATGAAACCAATCCAAGAAGATGAAGTAGAACAACCTGAACAACCTGAACAAGACGACCAAGAAATGGAAAATCAATCTGATCAAGAAGAACAAGAACAAGAACAAGAAGAGGTTGAACCACAACAAGAAGAACCACAAGAAGAAGAAGAAGAAGAAGAGGAAATAGATGAGGAGGCATTAGAAAAGGAATTAAAACAAGATGACGATGAAGAAGAGGAAGAGGAAAATGACGATATTAAAAGACAAGTAGCCGACGAAGATAATACTTTATATATGGGTAATAGCAAGGGTAAAAAGTCAATGAAAGCACTTGGAGGCTTAAAGAAACAAAAATTAAATAATAATAATGGTGGTTTTAAATTATTATCGTCAAAGAAAAAAAAGTAAAATAAATAACTAAATAACATAAATAATAATAATAATAATTTGGCTGGATATATTACAATTTATTTATTTACAACTTTAATATTTATATTTATATTTTACTTGTCTCTTTCAATACTACAAAACTCGACACAATACTTTGAGAAAAAAAAAAAAGATGAATTGTTAATCAACCATTAATGGAATTAGGTAATTCCGATGAGAGGATGATGGATGATTGATTGATTGATTGATTGATACATACTCTATAATCAGTAGCAGATCTCGAAAAACATTTCAATAAAATAGCCATTCCCTGTCGATTGGAATAACATTCAGTTTTTGCATGTGTATAGTTTTGTGAACATAGATGAATACATGGTTGCAATGTTGCTGGATCATATGAAGATCTATGGTTATTATTATTATTATTATGATCATTTATAATATTGATTTTGGTATCTTCTTCAGAGGATGAGGATGATGATGGTGGTGGTGATAAGGAGGATACATCGACGATGACGGCAGGAGAGGTATTGGTGATAGATATAGATATTGGATCACATACTACAAATTGTAAAATGATAAAAACCATCAACAACAATCCTATTTTTAAAAGTCTTTTGTCTAGACTACTTTGAGTCTTAGTAATCTTTGTCGATTTCATATTTGTTTTTTTTTTTCCTAGGTATAGATAGAAAGAGTGTGATTAAATATTATAGAACCATAGAATAGATGAATATGTGTTGTTCAAAAGTAGAATTGAAGAGAATAAAAAAGAATATTAAATTTAAAATATTTATATCATTTTTGTAACTGACAGAGCCATCCCCCACAGTTAGACAACAACATCAAACACACCACCCTCCTCAAAACACATGCTCCTCACACCCCCTCTATGTGGCACAATGTGACCGAGTGAAGAGAAAAAGCCATCATACCCATGCCAATACATATATATATATTCGACAAAGTACTTCGTATATCATTTGTTAATCATTTTTAAAAAAATCTATATGTAAAAATAATAATAATAATTATTATAAGATGGTTTCCAAAAATAATAAATAGTACAACGAAAGGATGACAGTTACCAAAGCAAAAGTGAGTCGACTCTACACCAAAAATTATTTTTTGATCATCTGTCTGTCTCTCTGAAAAAGCAAGGATTTCATTGAATTTCTGATGTGTTGTAACTTGTGAGTTGAACCCTAAAATAGGCAAGCAAAGAGATGATGACATGTTGGATGCAGCCTTCTATATATGAACGACGACAAAACAGAACAACAAACAGCTATGAACATTTAAATAAGAGTGTTTAGTAGTGAGTGCAAACATGATCTTATCGTAAAATAGTTGTTACTTTAAAACGAAACCATCTTCTTTATAACCATCCATCATCATCATCATATTATTTATTATTTATTTGTTCACCAAGAGAGAGGTTTAATTAATTTTCGATAAGACACACTTCATTGAGTTTCCATCCCCCACTCGACACAGCTATCTACTCACCAGTTTTTATTAAATCATCATTAGCATCAGCATCAGATATATATTTATATTTATATATTTATACTTTTATATATTAGATTGTTAAGAGTAGGGTTTGGTCAAATTTAATTTAATTTAAAATTACATAACGCGATCGAGATCGGTCTTGCCTACCCTGTAACATTATTATTATATTATTATTATTATTATTATATTAGTCGAGTGTATCAACAGATAGAGATAGAGAAAGAGAAAGAGAGATAAGATAATCAAAAATGGTATTCTCAGCAGTCAAGAATTTTGTTGGTATGTTTTGTACAAGAGGACTATAAACACCTGTCTAGATAGATAGATAGATGGTCGATTGGCTATATTTAGAAATATGTAATATTAATGTGATGTTTGTTTGTTTGTTTGTTTGTTGATATGTATATGTCTTGTATAGAGAAGAACCAAGATTTGGATAAAAGAATTAGTAGTTTAAAAGGAAAGATTAAAGATAGTTTTCAAGTACAGATCAATACGAGTAGTGCATCGTTTGGTAGTTGGGGAGGTGGTAGTTCATCACCGGGTGGAAGTGGAGGAGGCAACAAGAAAACAAAGAGAGATCGTGCCTATCAACTCAATTTTGAACAATCACTACATCAATTCCTTCCTCCACCTCTACCAGTATTGGCACAAATACAAAAGGATGCCATCATGAAGCAGGTACCCGTTGTCACAGACTATGCAATCACACCATTTTCATTTTATTTTGAAGAGATTGAAGAAGCCTATCCAGTACCCAATGCTCTGGTAGATGAAGATGATCTACCTCAAATACCAGAACCGTCAGAGGGAATGCATCCATACGGGTTTGACACGGTTCAATACAATGCTCGAAAAACTTCCTCACCAGTCGAAGACGTCAAACCAAACTTTCTCAAAGGTAATCCTAATCCAATGAAAACATTCAATCAAACTGCAGAACTTGAACGTGTACTTTCTTATCAAGACCTCGTAACACGTCTCAATTTAAATAATGTAACTTATATTTGTATTGCCGATTATCCCCTAACAACTAAAACAAAGAAATTATTATGGAAAAAGGTAAAAAAAAAAACTATTAAAACAAACTATATATATATATATATATCTAATTACATTACTTACTAATTTACATTTATTTTTGTTTAGATTCAATTATGTCCATTAATTGAAACATTGATTTTAAAAAATGTTGGTATTGGAGGTGTACATAAACAAATTAGACTTCCAAATTTAAGATTCTGGTATGTTTATATTTTAAAACAAAAAAAAAAGAAAAAAAGTGACACTAATATTTTATTTCTATTTATTTTTATTTATATATTTTAGTGACTTATCACAAAATAGAATTAAAACATTAAGATCAATTAGAAAGATTACAAAATATTCAAAATTGTTGGAAGTATTTAATTTGACAGGAAATCCATTGGTTAGAGAGGGAAGTGATTATTTCCTTAGATTACATGCAGCTTTACCAGTGTTGGAAACCATCTCACAGAAACAAACACCTGTAGAGGACCGTATCAAGGCGATCACCTTTTATGGTGGGACAGTGGAACGTGGCAAAATCGAACATGTACGTTGGGCATTGAATTTGGACAATGTACCAGATATTCGAGCACTCAGACCTGTACATCCAGGTTGGTTGCCACAGAATTTGACACAACTCATCATGTCCAATTCACAGATTAGATACTTTTACGTTGGTAATATGGTGTCGTTGAGGCACTTGGATTTGAGTGGCAACCTCATCTATGAAATCACAACGGCCGGGTTTGAAAAATGTGATAATCTATCGGTACTCAACCTGTCCAACAATGTGTTGCTGCGTATGGAGATGCTCAATGTATTCGAGTTTACACCATCGTTGCGTAATATCAACTTGCAGGCCAACCCTCGCTTTGAAAACTATCGTATGAAACTCATTTATATTACGCGTAACATCAAGGGAACGAATCGTGCGACGGGTGTGGTGCAGATTGACGAGGTGCCAGTCACACGTGAGGAGCGTATTCGGGCAATCGAGCAGTTTGAGCCGGCCGCCAACGGCAGCGGCGGCTCCAACACGGCATCGATCTTTAGATGGCGGTTGCTGCTGATCGAGCGGTTCGGACACAAGCAGCTGCAGTCGATCCCCGACTATTTGACGCGTGTAAAGTGTGCGTCGTTCCCCAAGTCGGCGCTGTCGCTGTGCGACGTGTCGATCTTTACCAATGTGCAGATTGTCGACTTTTCAGGCAACCAACTGACCGCCTTTACGGGATTGGCGAATCTCGCCAAGTTGCGTATACTCTATCTGCACGACAACCCCAATCTCGAGACCAACTCGGTGCTCGTGCAACTGGCCAATCTCGAGCGTCTAGAGTCTGTCTCGTTCTTTGTCAACGACCCTTCGCACTCGCGATCTACACTCTCGAAAGAGTACCGTGCGCGACTCCTCACCACGGTCATTGCCAAGAACCGCAACCTCATGTTGATCGACAGCACACCCATCTCGTATCTCGAGCGTGTCGACGCATACACCAACGCCGGGTTCCCACGTGAAGTTGTTGAAAAGTATCGCTTCTTTTTGGCGTTGACGGTCAATTGCACGATGCACTTTAACCGAGAGATCCAACCCGACCAAGTCGAGATTGGCAAGCAGTACGACCCAGTTGAAATCACCGGTCTGCGTCGTCTGCGCGACTGGCACCTCACCAGCGAGGCATGCAACTTTTCCTACTTTTTCAACGTCACCGATATGGATCTCAGCAACAATCTGTTGGTCGATATTGCCAATATCGGCCTGCAGACACTCGTCAAGCTACAACGACTCTCTCTCATCAACAACCAGATCCAAACACCCATCCCCATCGTCGCACAGATTCTCGATCAACTCGTCAGTCTCGAGACATTTGCCATTCGTGCAAACCCCATCATGCAGTCTCCCACAGACCGTCTTGCGCTCATTGGCAGTATGGCCACCATGAAACAACTCGATCAAACCCTCAAAGTAATCGATACAGAGATTACCATCTTTGATAAAGTTGAAGGTTGGAAGGTTGCTGGTGGTTCAACAAGAGATGCTGAAACTTTTAAATTATCTTATATTACTTCTGTTAAACAATTAAATCTTTATGAAAATACTGTATGAAATAGAAAAAATAGAACAAAAAAGAAAAAAAGAAAGATATATTCTCTAACCTTTTTATTTATTTATTTTTAGTTGGTAACATTAGAATTAGCAGATTGTTCATTGGAATATTTGGATCTAACACCATTTATTAATTTAAAGGCATTGTTGTTACCAAACAATCGATTTTCAACAATGGATCAATTACAATCGTTAAAGACGTTAAAAGACCTGTTTGCACTCGATCTTAGATACAATGAATTAAAGTTTGTCGATGATATCAAAGACCATGTGTTGGCACTGCCGTCACTCCAAGTGGTTGGATTGATGGGTAACCCCTTCACGGCCAAGAACGACTTGTCCAAATACAGAGTTAAACTATTATCACATATCACGCCATTATTCCAAACTCATCGTTATCCACTTTGCATATTAGATACTACCGAAATACTTCCTGAAGAAATCACAGAGGCTGCTACCATTGCTGCCAAAAATAATAACAATAATCATCATCATCATCATATCACCACCAACACTGTTACGACAACATCAACAAATAGTTTAAATTCAAATGGATCATCAAGTGGAAATGGTATCATCAACAATAACAACAACAACAACAACAACAACATCGTTTCAGAAGACAAAAAAGAACTTTCATTCAATATTTCTATACTTCGTCGTGCTCTTTTCGTTTCTCCACCTGAATCACTCACTGAATTGGATCTTGGTAGTTGTGGACTTTCCCATTTATTCCTTCAAAGATTCCCAAATCTTGTTGTTTTAAATTTATCTGATAATTTAATCTCTGATAATAATCTTAAAGGTAAAAGAAAAAAAAAATAGAAATAATTTGTTATTTATATTAATATATGTATTTATTATTTTTAATTTAGAGAGTGGAATTAATGTATTACAATCATTAAAAGCATTGGATATTAGAAACAATAGATTAAAGGATTTGGGAAATCTTGGACGTGTCATTGATTTATTGAATCTAGAGATACTCTTTATCGAAGAGAATACATGTTATGACAAGGACAACGAAAAGGATAGAATTAGATTCTTTAAGAAACTAACAAACACCAAGATACTTGGTACAATGAAATTCTTGAATGGAACTGCCATTACAACTGTAGATGTTTCAAAGTTTGGTAAAACAAAAAGAAAATAATCAAATATTCAACAACTTTTGTACAAATAATAATAATTAATAATAATAATAAATACAAACAATATTACATAGCGTATATAATTTAAATAATCGTTTAATATTCCTATATTTATTTAATTAATTTCTTTAATTATTGCATTCTTGAACCCAAAGCAAAGAATTTAATTTGATTATCTAATACTTTGTAATGAATTGGTTGAATGATATCAAGTGAATGATTTGTTTGATTCTTTTGAAGGAATGATATTTGACCATCGATATCTTTAGAATAACCAGTTTGAAGTGAATTAACCATAATAGTAATATCTGATTCATATTGTAATAATTTAAAGAATGTATCATCATCATTACAATCTGAATGGAATAATACAACTATACTACAATTCTAAAAAAAAAAGAATTAAAAAAATACAAATATTAGTAACTAAACATAAACATGGAATCATTTGGATATAATATATATATATATTTAGTTTTACATACTTGATTATCATTTACATAACTATGAAGATATTGAATTAAATTTAATATATCTAAATTATAATTATTTCTATTATTATTATTATTATTTTGATTTTGTTGATTGTTATTTGATAAATTATTAAATGTATTTAAAATATTGATATTATCAATGATAAAAGTAGTTTGAGATAAAGGATTATAGTTTAGACGTTTTTGATGATCTTGTGTAAAGAGAGTATAGATATGTTGAAGGAATTGAGAGAATGTTGGTTGATTGTTGAGTAGACGAGTGATTGGGAATGGTTGAAAACCTTTAGAGATGTTATCGAGTGTTGGTTCCTCTTCTACACCTTCTTCTTCCATTTGTTGTGCGTGTAAACGATCTATCCAAGAGTATGGTGATGATGACATTCCATTGATAAAGCTAAACTTGTTCTTTGCGTTTTCATTCTGTAGGTTGTATCCCAACTTTCGACCGACACTATTGTAATGATAGAAACTTTGATTCAGTGCCAACAAACATACTCCACTATCTGATTGCTTTGAACTAGCTTGCAATAAATGATGAATGATGAATGATCCTTCAGCTTGAAGTGTATCTGTCAATACTATAAGCTTTCCTACTGGTATTGATGGTTTTGAATTGTTATCATCTTGTTGTTGTTGTTGTTGATTATTACTCTTATACCAATTTAAATGACTAAATAAATCCATCCTTATATAAATATATATATATAATCTTATATTCTTTATTATTATTTGATCAAATGAAGATAAGATGAATGAATTAGAAAGGGTGTTTGCAAAAAAGGCAAGAAAAATGTGTTTGAGAGGTAGACCTTACGTTTGTCGTGTCGCAAGTAGTCATTGTCATTATTAATACCCCACAGATACTACACATATAATACGTATAGATATATAGATAGATAGATCATGATAAGATTAAATCAATCTATCAATCTAACTAAAAGATTGATATCTTCATCATCAGTATCATCGTCAGTGTCAACAAAGTTTAGTGGAAGTGGTCTAAGTCAATCATATGTTAGAGACACAAACATTCAATATGAATATAATATAGATAATAGAATAGTAAAGAATAATAATAATAATAATAATAATAATAACATACTCAAATCAAATACACCATTATACATTGACAGAAATACAATTAAATCAACAACTAAATATAATTATTCTTCAAGTATGTGTTTGTTTGTTTGTTTGTTTGTTTACTTTACTTTACTTTAAAGTTATTAACTTTTTTGATTCTACTTTTATTTTCTAGAAAAGGGAGGACCTATAAATAAACAAGGAGTAGGTAATGAAAGAGTAGCATTATCATTGGTATCGGTACAAAAGAAATTAGAGGATGGTAGAGTATTGTTAAAGGAGACTTCATTGTCATTTTTCGATGGATCAAAGATTGGTTTATTGGGAAGTAACGGTAGTGGAAAGAGTACGTTGATGAAGATTCTGGCTGGTGAAGATACAGAGATTGATGGAGAGGTGTTGATTACCAAAGGACTGTCAATTGGCTATTTGGCACAGGAACCAGAGTTGGATCATGACAAGGACGTTGAAGGAAACATTTTTGATGGTCTATCAGAGGAAAAGGCAATCTTGGACGAATATGATGAAATCACTGATCGTTTGGATGAAGAAGAGTTGAGTGACGCCGAGAGAAAAAAGTTATTGGTCGACCACAAAAGATTACAAAACAAGATTGACAAGGAAAAGTTGTGGGATTTAAAGAGAAAGATTGCCATTTCGATCGATGCACTCAACTGTCCGCCAGGTGACAGCTCAGTCGATACATTGTCGGGTGGTGAGCGTCGTCGTGTCGCATTGGCACGTTTGTTGATTGCTAACCCCGATATCCTCTTGCTTGACGAACCAACGAATCATTTGGATGCTGAGAGTGTCGCATGGTTGGAGCGATTCCTCAAAGAGTATCGTGGAACCGTCGTTGCGATTACTCACGACCGTTACTTTTTGGATAATGTCGCTGGTTGGATTTTGGAGGTGGATCGCGGTAGTTTGATCCCGTTCAAGGGCAACTACTCGGCATGGTTGGCACAAAAAGAGTCGCGTCTGGTGGCCGAGACGAAAAAAGAAGAGGCACGTAAAAAGGCACTCAAACGTGAACTCGAGTATCTCAGACAGGGTGCCAAGGCACAGACTAAAAAGAATAACGCGCGTATCACAAAGTACAACGAGTTGGTGAGCTCTGCACCGGAAAAGTATCGTGAACCTGGACGTATTGCCATCCCCCCATGTCCGCGTCTCGGTAACTTGGTGATAGAGGCCAAGGGACTGACACACGAATTCGACGGACGCACATTGTTTGAAAACTTATCGTTCAACGTCCCACCTGGCTCAATCGTCGGTATTATCGGACCCAACGGTAGTGGAAAGTCTACACTATTCCGTCTGTTGACGGGTGACCTCAAGCCAGAGACAGGAACCATCAAGATTGGTGAGACTGTTCGAATGGGTCATGTTGCACAATCACGTGCATCGCTCGAAGACGGCCGCACCATCTTTGAGGAGGTGGCCGATGGCAGCGACTATATATCAATGGGTGGTTACCAAGTACACGTCCGTGAATACTTGTCACAATTCAACTTTAAGGGTGTCGAGCAAGACAAGTATATCGGATCGCTCTCTGGAGGTGAGAGAAACAGAGTTCACATTGCCAAGATGATCAAACGTGGTTGCAACGTACTATTGTTGGATGAACCAACCAATGATCTCGATGTAGACGTACTTCGTAACCTCGAGAACTCATTAGAGGATTTCCCAGGCTGCGCAGTCGTTATTAGTCACGACCGTTACTTTTTAGATCGTCTCTGTACGCATATCATCGCATTTGAAGGTGGTTCCAAAGTACATGTTTTCGAAGGTAATTACACTGAATACGATGAAGATCGTACTCGTCGTTATGGTAAAAGATCAGATGCTTCATCAAAGAAATTTAAAAGAATTCTTTAAAAACTAAAAATAAATCGACTGATTGTTCGCTACCAAGATGAACAAAGAGGAATGCTCAGAGAACGATAGGTATGGTGTAGGCTGCAGTCTTTCCACTACCAGTTCTAGCTTTTGCAAGTATATCTTTTCCTTGAAGTGATAGAGGTATAGATTTTGCTTGAATTAGCGTTGGATGTTCATAACCAATCTTTTTAACTGCTTTAATGATTCTCATACCGAGACACATCGATTCAAAAGTAGTCTCTCCATTGACGAGTGATTCACTAATATTTGAATTATTCGATTTCCCGGTAATTAATGTTTTACTTAGATCCATCTCTCTCTTTCTCGTTATCTCTCACTCTTTTTTTGTGTGGACGATAAAAGGATGAGGCGAAAAATTGATTCGTTCGTCTTTCAAAAGTTGCATCAAAATTAAAAAAAAATGAAACAAACAATATCATCTTTTCTATTTCATTATTTGTTTGTTTTATTTATTTAGTTTAATATTATGAAAGAGAATAATTATTATTTAGACTTTAGAGTAATAATACGTAGTTTTGTATTACGTAAACTTATATTTCAACATGTACAAAAGTTAAATAATAGATCGATTGAAGGTGATGCTCAAAGAGGAGTGACATTGTTAAGATGGGAAGAGTTGATGTGTAGACCAATACATTTACTCATTCAACACAAGTCAATTCAATTGGTTAAAGAGTCTATGAGACTGTATGCACCATATCACCGATTCTTGTTTGATTTGTTGCAGGTAGCAAACGCAAAGAGATTGGCTATGGGAAGAAACCCATCAAAGTTGATCGATCTTGCTGCATTACACAACTCGATGGAGCTTTTACTCTACTTTCACAACGAATTTGAATTGGATCTAATGTCTACAACTGCTGGTCACTCTCAGACTAAAGTATCATCGTGTATAACCGATACTTTGATTGGTGACTTTCCAAAATATGCAAGACAGTCGGCTATGAGAGCTGCATCTATTCGATTCGAAGTTGAACTAGAACATACTGGTGGTGACATTAAAGAACGATCGTTTGCTACAAAGCTTGCTGTTGCTCATGCCGTAAAGAACAATAATTTCGAAATGGTCAAGTTCCTCCTAGAGAATCGAAGTGAAGGGTTTGACATGACAGCTATTGACAATGCCACCAAACTAGGACCCTTTTCCAATTTGAAAATGATCAAATACATGCATGACAAGTGTCCTCTTGCATTTGGTGATGGAGTAGCAGGCTGTCTTGGACCATTTGTATCGGCTGTTAGAGGTGGATTTGTTCAAGTGGCCGAATGGTTTATTAAACACAAATATTATTTTGACCCAAACCGAACAAATTGGTTGTATATAGATTGGGCAGCCAATTCAAGGAGTTTGGAAATGGTTAAACTCATGTTTAAACATGGTCTAGTCAATACTAATTGGTACAATGCAGACTTGTACACAAAGATTAGTAATCGTGGTGATTTTGATATTCTAGAATATCTAGAAAAAAACCGTCCCCCAAATATACCATCAACAATCAATATAGAGGAAATTAAAAGAGTATCATCAAACCATATAGAGCAAATAGGACTATTTGAAAAGATCAAAAAGGGAGACATACAAGTATTCAAAAATGACCCATCTAAAATCAAACTATTGGATCTTGGCTACAGTTCGCACATCTTTAAATATTTGGGTGATTCTGGTGATGTTGATTTCTTTAAAATCCTACACCAACACAATACTCATCCCGGTATCTACAGTTCAACCGAGTTTTTCTATGGTTTGGTGGATCGTCTCTTGTATCTTCATTATTCAGGTTCGTTGGAGCCGGTGCGAGAAAATGGCTTTTTGGAATGTCTAGACTATCTCTTGGAAAACAAACTCATTAGCAGATTGAGTTTTGTCGAAGCTGCCACTGTACATTGGAGTGGTGATGATGACTTGCTTTCTCGGTTCCCTTGGATATCTCATTCGGTGGGTTTGATCCCTGAATACAAACTATTCAACATTATTCACAAAAATGCTCTCAAGCCAGCTGGATACAAGCGCATCATCCAAATGCATCTAGAACAACGAACCTTGGGTACCCCTTTATTTCAAGGATTCAGCTATGCATTCCAATTCGATGTCGATCTCATCAAGAGTATTTATCAATTGGATCAAAGTCCAAAGTTGTTTGCCGAATTTACTCTTGCAGGTGTCTTGGAGAAATGCAATAATCCAAAGGTTCTATCGTTCCTAGTTAAAAACAATGTCATACAATTTCCACCAGGTGACTCTATATCATCACTATTCCTCACTCAAACCATGCCAGTTCAAAATTTAATTCATCAATTTAACAAACATCAAGAATATCAACCAGAGGCCGAACGTACTACTAGTAGCAGTATATTCGATCAACATCCAAATCAAATATACCTTTCGTTGGTACATGCCATATCCAAGTACAATTTCAAGAGTATCAATTATATTCTAAAAAATTCTCCAATCCAACCTTTGGTCGTCATCAAAAGAACTCTTAGTCATTTAAACCCGTCTGATACACTCTTGTCTGGTAGAGAGCCTTCTGTTTGGACAAAATTCTATTCTATATACATTCTATTGTTATCTTATGGAATGGACTTACACGATTTTTATTATCTTTTAAAATTACCATTATCTGTTTATACTGCTAATGATATTTAAAAAATTTAAATAAATATTAAATTATTAAATTTTTAATTATCCTCGAGATCCGGGTAGTAAATAAATCTAAAAATAAATGGGAAATTATTAAATGAGTTGCTATAATGATTGTTGTTTCTTTGGCTTCTCCTAGGTCCTTCCTTCATAGCCACTGACACATTCATCCACGCCTGTCGGGAACCTTCAATAGGCCTGGTTCCTTTTCTAACTTACTTCTACCTTCATCTTAATTAATTGTCTAGATTGGTTTAAGGAACGAGTTGCTCATAAGATATCTTGATGCTACTGATAATATTGATGATGCCTAGACAATTCGATTGCGATCATACACTATTGCCTGAAGTTTTGTTTATTCACTCTTGAATCTACCAATGTTGTGACAACACACTTTGACTGTTTTTTTTTTTTTTTAAAGTTATTAATAATAAAAAATATAATACAATGGGTATATTTTTCTTGGACTATACCACTTTTCTTTCGATACATTGTTATAGATATTATTTGTTATTACAATAACTATTGTACACCAATGTATGTATATATCAATATTAGAAGAAAAGAGTATGTACTGACTATCTGTTCCTAAGATGGAAACCCTCAATTCCCACCACGAACCACCTAATTTAGATATCCAACACACCGATGAAGAGACATCATTAGAATGCACACACAATCACAAAAGACAGAGACCTATGTCAAACGATCAAATGATCGTTCAATCTTCCAATGTTGTCAACGGGTCGACTATTCAAAACCTTCAAGGAGTATCAGCCATCAATGCTGCCATCAATGCTGCCATCAATGATGCCATCAATGATGCCATCAATGCTGCCCTTTCCCCCCTCAAGAACAATATCCTTTCGATCGTTCACAACGAAAGGGCCAGAGCAAACAATGCTCGCGCCTTATTGGGAGGTAGTCCACTTACACCAATCCACAATATAGACAATATTGATCCATCATATTTTCCAGCCACCCGACATGATATGTGGACCTCTCTCTTGCTCAAGTTAGTAGCATTCTCGATCACTACGGTTTAAACCATGGTCTCCCACCCTCAGTTGAGGAAAAGATCTTAGTGTTGACAATCTTTATCAACATGGGATGAGCAATTCATCCATAAACTTCACTAGTATTGAAACTTCATAATTTTTACTTTTTGTAAATAAATAAATGTTCTTTCTTTGATCCAATTTGATTTATTTCTATTGTTATTGTTGTTGATGTTGTTGACCAACAATAACCTTTCGTTGATAAATATATTTCAAGTCTCTTGTTGAACCAATGAATTGAAATTGATCGTCTGGAGCATTGAATGTATAAGGAACTGATCTTTTATAAGAATGGTCATGACTGAGAATGATTTTTTGGAGTGTCTTTACGTCGTCTAAATTGTTGAGAGTTTCACCAGCACCATAGGGATCGACCGATTTAAATGGATATGAGGTGATATCGGGGAAATATCCAATATACACCTTCATTGTGTGAATGGTTGGATTGTCAATGAGAATCGATCGAAGAGGAACTCTATAAAAGGTTGCCAACTTTTGTAATCGTCCACGTGTGAATCGAATCGATGTGATAAAGTCAATGATATAGACCGACTTTAGATTAGGGAATAAATCAATATCTTCGGAATCCTTGAGTGTGATGGTAGTAATATTGCGTTTGACGCTATCTTGCAATTTCTTGATATTAAAAGTACGTGGTACAATTAATTTACGTAATTGTTGTGATTTGATAGATGATTCATCCAATCCTTTTAAATTTGCTTTTAATAAATCGATTGATGTAATATTTTTAAAAGTATTCATCCAAGACCAATCTATTGTTGAATTCTCTGATTCATTTTCCCAATATAATGAAACATGTGTTAATGGTGAATCGGAGGAGGAGGAGTCGGTCTCTGATTCGTTCACTTGATAATGATGAGCAAGACTATTGATGAATAATTGGGCACCTTGGAATCTAGTGAGATTGGTAAACATGGAAGTTGGGAGTGAGAATAGTTTGTAGGCATTGTCGTCTTCACAAAGTCGAGTGATTCCATTGTACTTGGACATTGTGAATTGACATGGTGACAAGTTAAAACTACCTCTGGACGAGTGACGATTGATGGTGAGTTGGTTCAACAAATGGTTGGTGACATAATGAAACATGGCACGATTGACCAATCCCAAAGACAACCGTTTGTTGTATTCCTTTGGCAAAGGGTAATCACAGATCCTGTACTCTGCATTATCGTCATACTGGGAATGTACCAAACACTCTTGTTTTTGTTTTCTATAATTCCATAATACCAGTGGGTTGTCCAACCCATAGTCATGAGGATACACAATATTCTCATCTACCTTGCAACTACACATATGATCTGTATATGATTCCCAACACATTCTTGTAATCATCTTTAATATATATGTTGGAAATATTGGTCTATCATTATTAATAACATTATTATTATGATTATTATTATTAATATTATTATTTGTTTGGAAATAATTAACTTTTAAAATTATTTTTTTGATGGTTGATTGTTGTTTGTAAATTGAACCGTGGTAATCATATCCATACAATTGAAAGAATTCTAATATTGCATCAGTTACATCTCTTTTATAATCCAATACAATTGTTTCCACTTGTCCATTATTTAAATCTTCAAAATTTGGTAAATCACAAATTACCAAACCACTCTCATCACTGTCTACTCCAAAATCACTATTAATATTTGTATTATTATTATTATTATTATTATTATTATTATTATTATTATTATAATGTTGTTTAATTCTAATTGATTGAATAGTTGAATGATTTCTTGTAATCTTTTTAATTCCTGGGTATAATCCATCGTTGGATTGTGTTATAGTTATCTTGTTGATATTATCAAATGGTAGCAAGTTGTCATTATAATTATTACTATTATTATTACAATTATTGTATCCAGTTAAATAAAGATGTTGTAACATTATAAATGATTTACCATCTATTTGTTGTTGATGTTGTTGAGATATCATATGATATGACATTTTGACTACCGATTGTTTAACAATTAATTGAAGATTATCGAGTAATTGAATATTGATAATACTATCATCTGAACGTGGTAAGAGTAATTTTCGAATGGGATGGTTTAGGGAGACTGCTAAATCATAAATCTCGCTATGATAATTCTTGTATTTGTAATTGGACAAGTCAAATGAGACGACTTGATGTGCAAATGGCATGACAAGGTTATGGAAAGATTCCTGGCATTTGAGAGATCCTCTTAACCTTATACTTGACAATCTCGGCATAAGAGGTGGGAGATTCTTTACATGGTCAAGACTATGTGATTGAAATCCATCATTATCATAGACACCAGTCTCGACCATTAACGATTCAATTTTATCCAATGGATTAAAAGTTGATTGTGGTAATGATCCAAAACCTCCAAATAAAGAGTCAAATGTATCTGCTGATGTGATAGAGACTGATCGAATCTTTTTCAATGGAGAGTATTGGTTTTCAATATGACCAATCACTTGATTGACTGCTGGAGTCTTGGGTACTCTAATATGATGGAACAAGGTATTGGCGACAAATGCAAATGATTGTTTACTGACCAATGCTAATTGTAGTCTCCAACGATACCTATCTGCACTTTGATGATAATAGTTTGATCCGTCGGGACTTGAAAACGGGTTGATTTTCATGCGAGTGTGGTGTGTTGGGTCGTATTGAATATCCCTCTGCATAAACAACTCTGTATAGATACTATGCATTGGACACGATGCATTGAATCGTCTCCAACGATCGACTAGTTGCAGCTTAGAGTACAGAGATTGAACATGACTCTGATTGGAATGATTGTTTCGAATCCTTTGAACCAATTGATTTTGACTGTCTGATTCAGAGATTGACGTGATACACATACACAAATCAACTCCTCTCCAAGCTTCTTGAAATATTTTACCAATTAACCACCATGGTAAATTTAATTGTTCATCAACATCATGAACTTGATTGAATGTATTGATTTTCATTATTCTCTAATACTACTATTTATACAAATGTATTTAATTATTAATAAATTGTCTAAATTAATTTATTATTATTAATATTATCAATATTTACCTCTTGTTTAATATTATATATTTTTGATGATTCTTTAAACAAAACAGTGTGTGTGTTTGCATTGGTGGGATATTGTAGACACGACTAGTATTTAGTGTCCATGATAGACACCAACCGAAACCTATCAAAATCGAAAAAAAAAACAAAACATCCCATTGGATGATTCGTTATGCGATATTCTTTGCCATTCTATCTGTCCACCAGTCAAAAAAAAACGAATCAAAATTTGATTTTCGACCAGATGTAGATATATTTAGATCTTTTGTACAGTACCCCAACTGAAAATTAAAAAAAAAAAAAAAAAAAAAAAAAAGGTTTCGATTATATTAGAATAATAGCTTAGATAGTAATGAGAAGAAAGGTAATAAATGTGATGTACCTACCTACCTACCCCATTAATGTGCATTTATACTAGTTGTTGAAATAAGAGAGAAGTATCATCTGTCTGTCTGTCTGTCTAATATCTTATATATTATATGTGTATGTTGGCTTCTACTTCTGATAGGGTTAAACCTTATCTCTTATAAATAAGGTTGTTATGTTGCATGTTAACACATTGTTATGCACATATAGATAAAATATATCTATGAATAATATAGAATTAGATAATGCGTGCAAAACAAATGATCAGCTGTCAGAGGATGAGGCATTTTATTTATTCACTTTTTTAATTAAAATGTTTTTAATTGTGAATAAATAAAGATCATGTGACTGACTTGAATGAATATATAGGTATACTATATATCTAAATCCAACTTTCAACGTATTTACGGTCTTTGTTCTTGGTGAGTATGTTTTTTTAGTTTTTCTCCCATAAGATATCAATTACTATAAAAAATGTGAAAACTAATCATCTGATACAATATATATCAATTCTTGAGGCTTTGCATGTGCAAATATGGGTGCTTGTTACTTCGAATTCTATCAAATATCATGAAATTTTTCCTTCTAGAAGAAAGAGTCTGTTAACAAAACATCAGTTTATGTGTAATCAACTACTGCGTATAACCTGAAATCACCTATGGAGTGGTGCCTGCGATAGGCTCCCTCTTGGGTGATTTCAACCCCAAGCCCCGCTGTCACAACAATCCTTATTATTATTATTATTAATATTTATTATTAATTATTTTCTTTTTTGTGTGAAAATAAATTTAGTTTGATAATTTGTACTTGCAAAGTACTTGTAGTGATGGGTGTCGATGATGCGTTCAATAGAGGTTGGTAATTGGTTGACTTGATTTTGGCGGGATTTGGAGATGATGATGGTTTGTAGAGTTGGTGGGATGGTATCTGGAATAGACAAGATTGTATTGGTGATGGTTAGAGATGAATTGATCTTTATAGTTGTAATGGATGGGTTGGCAAGTAATATCTTGTTGATAACCTCTGGAACAACCATAAAATGTGCAAAACACATTCTGACAATGGTCGGTGGGAATATTGGTGTGAGGATACTAGATCCAGCTATACGGTTGATTGTAATACTCTTTAGATTTGGGTATTGCTCTGCCATACCTTGTGACTCGTCAATTTGATCGGATGGTTTAAACGAGACTGCTTCAAGTTGTTGTTTGATGGTATTGGGTAGATGAACGAGCATTGGAGAATCTGCTAAATTGACAAACAACTTTTTGAGATGAATGAGATTTGCAAAGCTTTGCATATCTGTTTCTTTTAGTTTGAGTGATGTGTAGGAGCAGTCCAGAGACACTAGTGTACTGTGAGACAACATTTGTGTGAGCCAAACGGACCCATCTGAAAACAATTTGATGTGAGTCAGTTGCTTGGGGAGTGGGTCGAATGGAGGTAACTCGTATCCTTCATATCGTGTGATAGATGATGCCACACGATTATTATCTGCCAATGATTGATAAAACTCTTTCTTGTCACGGAAAAAGATGGTTTCCAATCGATTGACATTCTTTAACAGACAATAAGGATTATCAATATGATTTTCGAATCCATCTCTTGAAGCTAAATGATTCGACGTGAATAAATTATTACTGATATATTGAAACAAGTTCTTGTTGATAGTTGACAACTCTAATTGTCTTTTCTGTATTTTAATTGGTTCCAAAAACGTTGCAACTTGATGATACCGATGTAGTGGACATTGTTCAACCATTTGAAGGAATTTAGAAATGATCGATGAACTTCTTAATTCCTCCACCTTTAGACTCTCCCATCGATTTAAATCCCAACTACAAGTACAGCGACTATACCCATTCCAGCATTCTTTAATTATTTGATAAATGATTCTATTTGGTAATTTTTGATTATTAATTTGATTATTATTATTAATATTTTGATTATTTTGATTTTGATTAATTTTAATTATAACCTTTCTATTAAAAGATTTTTTTGAAGATATTAATGAAGCATAAAAGTTTAAACCTCGATTATTTAAATATTCTATATCATTTTGAAAAAGATCAGAATTGAAATTTAAAATAATGATTGTGTGAACATTTGCCAAATCCTCTGGAATTAATTTAATTAATTGTTCAAATGTTCCCAATTTATAAACTAATCGAACTACTTTGATTTGTGGATTGACAGTAAAAAATTGTGATGGTATGAATCCAACTCCACTAAATGTTACTCTTTTAATGGTTGATGATAGTTTAATGTTGTCAGATGTGATTGATTGATTGTCAAATTGTAATGGTGAAAGGGGTGGATAAATAATGATATGATTTAATTTGGTGAAATGTTGGGTTTCAGATGATAGATTAGAAGATATTCTAAAGCAAGTTGCCTCTAATGACTGTTTGACAATAGTTGGTAGATCAATTAATACCAAATGATCTACCATGTGAGGTGGTAACAAAAGCTTTTTAAATGGACGTCCTTGGTTGAGTGATGTTAACATGTCTTGTAACTTTGAATTACTGTCTGTAGCATTATTATCCAATTCTTTTAAAGTGACACGTTGAAAGTCAAATGAATCGACAAATTTAAATGACTTGACAAATAGGTCTAGACGGGAAGGCAACAACGAGTGTGATACTAGTTTAGTGACATTTGGCATAACCTCTGCCAATAGAGTATAGTCTGTTATTTTACCATACTCATTTTCAAGTTCTAATTTGGTGACTTTGTTAAACTTTAGATGGTATGGCGAAATGGTCGACTCCAAAGGTTGTACTAGGTCCATGAATCTTTGTAGACTGAATACACTTAGTTTAGTGTATCCATTACTACTACTAACCCATGACTTGTTGTAGGAGCTGAGGTCAAAGTCAAGAGAGACACTATTAAACAAATGACCTTTGATAAAACCAGCAACTTGTTTGGAGATGGTAGCAAGATTTAGACGCCATTTATACCTATCATTGTCATAGTAGGTGTTGAATAGATTGGAAGAAGTGACTGGTGAAGGTTTTTGGTTGTTGTTGTTGTTGTTGGAGTTGTTGGTGTTGTTGTTTATTTCATCCATTCCACCTTTATAATGGTAGATTGGATTATCAAAGTAGTTGGTTTGATTGTATAGCGAGTGAAGTGGACATGATGCATTGTATCTCTTCAAATAGCTCAAGTGCTGTAGATACTGTAATGGATGATAAGTCAACATTTTCTCTCTTATACTACTCTCGTACAATGTGTATCGAAACGGTCTAGTTGACTGATCATCAATAACACATGTACAATAATCTATACTCTTCCAAGCAATCTCTAGTATACGATTAATTATAAATGTTGGTAGCCTACCATCACTACCACTACCATCACTACTACTTGTACACATATCTATCTACTATTATAATATATAATATATATAAATATATATCTCTTTTTTTGACAAAGATGATAAGTTGGTAAACTAAAAAATAATCATGATTTTAGTTGATGGAGGACAGTTTGAGAAAGAAAAGTTTACTTTGTTTCTAAAAATGGGGTATGAGCTGATTCGACCATTGATCAAATTCGCTGAAGCTATTATTATTTTATTTTTTATTTTTATTGGATATTTTAAAGTTTGTATTTTCTCTAAACCGTCAAGTACTGCTAGTAGTTCTTTTTTTTTATTATTCAACAAAAGAGAGAGAGAGAGAATAGATGGATACAACATTCTATTCAATATTTAGAGTATTGACAATTAGATTAGTAATATTTAGAAATGTTACGGTTATACATCAAAGGATTAAAGATGCACATGCTGATGACAAGACTATAGGACTGAGATTGAGTAGTCCAAAAGTTAAAGTAAATAATGATTTGGAGATTAGAAAGGGAAAAGAGTTCCACACCTATATCAATCTATACGAATCGTTACGATTTGGAAGAACAGACTTGTTTTTCAAATACTACAACTCGATGATTGTAGACGGTGCTGATCAAGAATACCAAGACAATCAATTTAGAAATGATACAGAGTTGGCAATCGTCGAATCAAAAGACGGTAATGGAAAAGTCAAGACCTACAGTAAATTGGATGAAACAAACGGTGACATCCTACCATACCCAGTCAAACCACTGACACTCATTCAAAGATCGATGGTCTATTTTACAGTGGCACTGTATACCAATAATATACCTCTATTACATTATTTAATCGATAGACTTGGTCTGACGTCGAATTACTGTCAACATTGTCAAGATCATCATATGACTGGATTGTCAAGATGTGTTAGTCGCAAGGATAGGGATAAGGATATCCCATGTCACAACCATCAAATGATTACATTCTTTAATACTCACGAAGCACTTAGTTTAATGCCGGGTCCACAAAATGTGCATGTCGATACAGTTAAACTTCTTTTAGAAGAATATAATCTAACTGCTATTTTGGCAATACAACCATTGGTATCGGCAGTTTTAATCAAGTGTGTGGTTAAATGTGATGTTGAAGCATTGCAATTAGTCCATACAAAGGTATCAAACAAGCCTGCTGTGACGGCAGCAGAGTGGAATGGAGAGAGTGACGGAAGTGAATATAGCGGACATGGTAGCTCGTCTGCATCTGACCAATCATCATTCTACGGGTCACCTGCCAAGGGCGTGTTAAAGGCGTTTCATTTGTTTCTCGAGAAACGACCTGCATCCGAGATACTACCCATTCTCAAGTACTGGACAGAGAACCGTGTTGGCTCGGTCGAGTGGAGTCAGGTGTTTAGAAGTACGTGTAGTCAACGTGACCGCGATGGAAACAACTATGACTCGGTATTTGACTATATGCACGAGGAAGGAGTGATTACCAAGATGAAAGCAACCTATACCATCCCGAGTGGAGTGTGTACACAGTCGATGCATATCACCAAAATGCTATTCCAACATTATGGTCAAATGATGAATCGGTACGCTACCAACTTGTACGCCGGTGCAGTCTCTAGTGGTAATTGCGAGGTTGTCAAATACATCTATGACAATCACAACACCTACAATCTACCTCCAACTCTTTTAAACGATGCACTTGAAAGAGGTCATGTTGCAATGGCCTATACCCTCATACATGATATTTGGCCAATTAAAACTATACTAGATAGTAGTAGTGATAGTAGTGAAAGTAGTAGTGATGGTGGTAGTGATGGTGAAAGTCTTACAGAACATTCAAGCGAGGAGGAAGAGGAAGAAGAAGAAGAGGAGAGTGAAGGTAGTAATAGTAGTCGTCATAGTATAACAATCAAACAATCAAGAAAATACATTAGCAACAAACATCGTCGTCGATCAAAAGCAAAAAAAGTACCCAAAGAAGAAGTAATTGTTAAATGGTCAGCCAAAACAATTAAATCAAATAGTGTACATTTACAATTTGTCAATTCAATACTAGAACAACATGAACGTGTAAATTGTACATTTGAAAAGGTGTATGGCAAGGCAATCAAAGCTAAACAATTTGATGTAGTTGCTAGAATAGACCAGATTATGAGTCTGTGTCTAGCACCATGGTATCAAACCTTTAAAATTGACTATCACTATGCATTGGTACAAGCCGTCAAGATTGGACACATAGAATTGGTAGAGACAATCATTACAAGTCATCATCCAAAGTTTATCGTTTCACACAATAATTATCGACTATTTACAGAGACGGCGATTGGTTTGGAAATATTTAGAATCATTGCATCAAGATCGAATCCTGGTGATTTGTTTGTTGATTTTGGAAGTAATAGTAATTTTTGGTATCATCCAGAGATTCCAAGATTACTATTCAAATACAAACATTATCAATCCTACCTAGATGAACCAAATCAAATTAAAAGAAAACCAGTAAGAAGAGCACCTACAGACACTGAAAGCGAAAGCGAGAGTAGTTCAAGTGAATCTACTAGCTCAATGGAAGATTCCTATTCATCGAGTTCACCACAAAGAATTCCACCAATGATCAAACAAAGTAAATTATTTAAAATTGCTATCATTGGTAATGATATTGAAGCTGTTCAATTATTACAACCTACAAATCAATTTTTTGATATTAATGATATTATTGGTAAATAGAAAAAGAAAAAAGAAAAAAAGAATCATATTTATTAATTTAATTATTTATTTGATTTTTAGGAATTGGATGTGAAACTGGTAATTTAGAAATGATAAAATGTTTAATTAAATTGGGATACCCAGTAACCAAATTAGTTTCATTGATTGATAGTTGTGGTGAATGTAAAGATCGTGACAAGGCATTTGAAATGGTTTATTATTTTATCGATCATTTCAACTATCGTTTGAAAAGGGATGATATGTTGTCTGCTGTTACTCTATTTTCAGATCCACCATTTGAACAACACACTATTGGTTTATCAAGTATACTACAAAAATCACAACAACAACAACAAGACGATGTTACCTCTCCATCTAAAAGAAATTTTGGTGTATTTATAAAATATTTGATTGCAAAGTTGGACAAGGAATTCCAAGATACTAAATCAAAACCATATCAAGAACCAGTTGATGAGTTTGCTCCTCTACCTCCTCCTTCTTCTTCTTCTCATCATCTTCCTCCACCACTACAATTTAAAGTAATGCCTAAAAAAGAATATAATGCATCAAATTATATTCAAGAGTATTTTACAGAAGCTGATATGGTAAAGATACTACTATCTCGTGCATTTAATCGTAATAATGCTCATGTCATTGAATCAATCATTGAAATCATGAATATAGCATGTCAAGAAAAAATTGATCATCTCCAAGTAGTTAAAGATTTGGAAAAGAGCTTGGAAATTGGTAAATCTAAATCTTCATCATCACCATCAAAAAAGAAAAAGGTTTATTTAAAATCAAACTATAAACCACTTGTAAAAACTCTGGAATGTCCTAAAAACTATCATTTCGATGGATATCATAATCATGGTCAAGAATTATTACCTTGTTTAGATTTATTTTATTATAAATCACATATTAATATTCAAAATATTATTAAATATAATCAAAATAATAATATTAAAAATAATAATAATAATAATGATCAAGATAAACCAATAATAATATTTAAAACAAAACCAGTTAATCCTTCAACTTATAGAGATATGGTATATGCAGCTTATAAATATGGTTTAATAGATTTCATACAACAAAGACAAAGATACAAATCAGAATATCCAGATACCTATTTTGATTTTAAATATGTTGCAAAGAAAACAGCTCAACCTGCAATATCATCAAACAAATCAAAAAAGAAAAATTGTATAATACAATAGAGATAGACTGACCGATGGTTGATAAGGATTAATCCCTATCTTTTGTATATCTATAATCTGTAATAGTAATCACTCAATAAAATGATCAATCAAATAATATTATTGAAAATCAAATACATGCCCACCTAGTTGGGAATTCAATGAAACTTGCATTGTTGTAAAAGTTTGGTGAAACGTTGTCCGACCCAAGCAGTTAACAAAAATATTTTTTAAATGTGTTTCATCACATCATCAACACCATCATCTTTGCGCAGTGGACAACAGACCACCTATGTAACTTTGTAAATAGTTTCAGAGAGAGTTATAGTTTTAGACATTACATTACATTACAATTTATTAATTATATTTATTTATTTTTGTACTATTAATTTAATAAAATTTAGTGAGATAATATGAGTGGATCAGTTGTAAGTACTTTATTTAAAAATGAATCAACTTTAGATATTAATAAATAAATATATTTATATTTATATTTGTATTATAGAGATCAAATATATTTATACAACAACAACAACAACAACAACAACCTCCACCACCACCCAATAGAGGTAATAGACAACAACCTCAACCTCAAGCACCTACATCAAAAGCACCATCACTTCAATCAATAAACAATCAAAACTATAATAACAATGTAAACAACAATCATAATTATAATCAACAACAACAACAACAACAACAGAATTATAACTATAATCAAAGTTATAATCAGAATAATAATCAATATGTATCATCACCTCCTCAATCATCATCACCATATTATCAAGACAATAGTAGTAGTGGTAGTTACAATGATAATAATTATGTTGTATCATTAGAAAAACAATATCATCAATTATCTATTGATGGTGCAAATGAACCAACTACTGTACCTGTATCTTTACATAAACCATCCTATACAAGTAATACTACTGCTACAACTACAACTATTCCATATCAACAACATCAACAAAAAAAAGATAATAATAATATAATATTGAACAAGATAAATGATCAATCACATTCAAGAATTGCATTGGCATCAATTGGAGTATCAGCGGTTGGAGGAGCAAATGTATTGGCACATTTACCTGAAACACTATTATGTGATCGTAACTACATCTCAACGATTCAATACACTGAAGTGATATTAGAGATTAGAGAAGCATCGATCAAACCATTACAATATGGTGAAAAGTTTAAACCAATCTTTGAAAAGACTCCATTGGTCATTTACAAGACCATTGTAGAGGATGTAGTGATTATCCAAATTGGCAATGTATTCATATACACTAATATGCGAGAGAAACCATGTGTTAGAATATATGGATACCACTACCTATTGTCTGACAATTACAACAATTATTTCATTGTAAAGATTGACAAGGACAGTACACCACAAGAAGATTTGGATAAATTGGAAGTACTACTCATGTACTATACAACTTATTACCGTCTACCTATTAAAAAGACGTATACCGATGACACGGCTAAAAAGATGGAATCGGCATCTGGTGGTTTGGAAAAGGGTAGTTTGGTTGTTAGCAAAGGACTGGTTTCTGGAGGTCAGTACTTTGCAAAGGGAGCATCCAAGATTGGTGACTTGTACAAAAACAACTCTAAAAAATATGAAGGTCCGGAAATGACAGAAGAGCAACGTCGTGCTTTGGAAGACCCCAACCATGAAAGCAACAAGAGTGTTAGGGACGCGGAAAAGTTTGCCAGTGGAACGAGCTCGGTTAAAAAGGGAATTGTGGGAGCATTTGGATTCGCGGGGTCCAAGATATCGCAAGGTGTCCGAAGCACAGACTGGTACAAAGAACGCGAGGAAAAGAAGAAACAAGAGGAATCAGAGGACAAGGGAAAGAGCGAAAAGAAGTCGGCGGCCGGTGGAGTAGGGTCGGCAGGATTATCAGCATTTAAAAACGTTTGGGGTGGATTAGAGGAAGGTGTATTAATCTCGGCACGTGGTGTACGTGATGCTAGTGTCGATGCCAAACGTCATACCAACGGAGACTATGAAGCTGAAATATCAAAGAGAAAATGGAATTCTGCTGGTAACCTAACAGTCAGTGTTGTCAATGTAGTGTCGATCGTCTCTACTACTTGGATCAAAGGTGCATTGTATGCAGCTGCCGGCGCCATCTCTTATGACCCCGATGTGGTGCAACATCTTAGTGGAGCGTGGTGGCGAGCTGGTTGGTTAGCCTATCGCTCCGATCTACTCAGTGGTGTTGGATGGACACCTCGTTGGGTCGTCCTCAGAAACTCAACCATTGCCATCTACTCCTCACCACGTGATCCACCTGGCAAACCGCTCATGCACAGTTACTTGACCAAAGTAAAAGGAATCAAGAAATTAAAACCAGATCGTATTCAACGTGATCATGGATTTGAAGTAGTAACCACCTCAAAATCACTCTATTTCTCCACCTATACTCCCGAAGTTGATTACTCTCATGAACCAAAATACCAACAAATAGATTATGCTCAAGAACTATCCTATTGGGTCGACAGTTTATTAAATGTTCAAACTTTTGTTGGTACTTTATTAGATGATGAATCTAAATAAACAAAAATAAAACAATATATAATATATTTATTTTAAAGACAATTAGTTAGTTGTTTTGATTATTATTTAAAAAAAATATTTATATCTACAAGTTGTCCATTTATTTTAATAAGTTAATATTTTTGACCAAATTTATTCTATTATAAATATATCTTGGTTGGGGTGAGTAGACTGAATGTGATTAGTTAATGGTGGATGGATGGATGGATGGAATGGTGAATAATTATTTAATATTACAATTTATAATTAATAAAGAGGAGATTGGAAAATAACCATACTTTATAAAAAGTATAGTATTGTGTGTTGGGATGTTGGTTTTGTGTGAAGAAATTAAAGACCCATCTCTCTCATTGTAACTGATAACAATACATTCATTTTATCATCATAGAAAATGGGATTGATCATTTGATGGAATGATGGGAGTTGTACCATTGTAGCATGTTTGTTGTATTGTTGTTGTTGTTGTTGTTGTTGTTGTTGTTGTTGTTGTTGTTGTTGTTGTTGTTGTTGTTGTTGTTGTTGTTGTTGTTGTTGATGTTGATGTTGATGTTGTTGGGGTGGTGAATGATAGAGTTGTTGGATTGGAACAGATGAACGGTGGCTTGGACTACTACTGTTGCTGCTGTTATCATCTACATAAATACTATATACAGATGCCAATGTTTCAGCTGCAGAATGACAACCATGATCATAACTTGCATTGTTGTCAATTTCCATTTTATCGGCTGCACATTCCTCTTCCTCCTCTTTTTCCTCTTCCTCTTGTTCTTTCTTTACCTGAGAAGCATGACCGGGTGAATACATTAAAAGATCTTGTTGGATTGATACACCAATGGACTCTACTTGGCTATCTTCAACCGATGTTTCTTCATCATCATCTTCACTATAATCATCATCATCAGAATGATGGATTAAACGTGGTGATTGGTTCACTACAGAGTCGTATCTCTCTTCTTCATTGTCAGCATCTTGATCAGAGTCATGTGAATCCAAAGGAGTACTAGGACTACTAGCAACAGAAGATGAATTGGAAACCTCGGCATCAACTGATTTGGTAACAGGACGACAACGACGACGACTTTGGAAAGATCTCTTTGGTGGCATCGATCTTGTTTCAGGTTTAGCTTCCGCTTCGGATTCGGACTCGGACATTTGTTGTGGTTGTTGTTCTGGCTCTTGTACTGGCTCTTGTACTTGTTCTTGTACTGGTGCTTGTTCAGGTTCCTTCTCTGGTTCTTGTACTGGTTCTTGTTCAGGTTCCGACTCTTCAGACACTTGGTGTTCTGGAATCCACTTTTTCAATGTACAACTACGACGTGGTCTGTTGGCCATGATCCAGCGTGTTGGAGCTACTTGGGTTGGTGTCAGTCTCTTTGGGGTAGATGCAACGACCTCTTGTTTGACAGATACCACTGGCTTTGGAGTGGCTGGTTTCTTTAGAGTGACTGGTTTCTTGAGAGTGGCTGGTTTCTTCAGAGTGGCTGGCTTCTTTGGAGTAGGTTTACTCTTTGGTGGTGGTGTTGGTGTTGGCTTTACCTCTGGTTCAGGCTCTTCTTCAGATGATTCTTGCTCGGATTCAGATGACTCCTCTTCTTCTTCTTCTTCCTCTTCTTCTTCCTCAGATGACATCATTTGATCCAACTCTTCATCATCCTCATCGTCAGATGGTTCAGTTTCCTCAGATGAGCTTGGTACATTTCTTGCTTTCTGACTTCTTGTTATGATTCTTCTGGTGGTAAGAACAGCAGCTGGTTGACGTTTCACTCTAGGTACCGACGATGCAGTACGAGTAGTAGTAGTAGTAGTACTGGTACTAGATTCAACCTTGAGAGCCTTTTTAACAATAGGAACACGTGAATTAATCTTTTCGAGACGGTCTACAGCCCTTTGGAGTACTTGTTCAACTGAACATTTCTCTTCTGATTGCTATATAAATAAATAAGAGATATACATAAACAATATTAATATTAAATAGTTAGTTCTCTTTTTTGTTGTAAGCAAACAAACAAGTAAGCATAGCAAACATACACTAACCAATAGATCAGATAACTTGTCTAGTAAAGCCTTTCTCTTCTCTCTACCTCTTCTTTCACTATCATTGTGTGCTCTTCTTCTTTGTTCACTATAAATTAAATAACAAAACAAAACAAATAATAATAATAATGTTAGTTCACATGGTTGATTGAGCACATGATGTATAGTATATGGTGGTACATACAGTGTCTCACGAGCAGGTGATAGTCTTTTCTTGTTTGAGGTTCCTCTTCTACTGTTATTTGGACTATAGTATAGGCATAGGCACAGACAGACACAGAGCAGCAAGGTAAAGGCATCACACAGAGAGCAGGAGCAGCAATATCAGATGAGAGATTTAAAAAAAAAAAAAAAGAAAGTGCAAGTTCAAAAAAGTTAGTACCTACAGTGTCGACGTCGACACTTTTAGTGAGAGAGATATTTTTATCTCATTTATATATATATTATTATTTATTTGTATACATACTTTGCCATTTTAGAGTTTGTTGGTGAGAAGTTGTTAGTTGTTAGAAGAAGTACTAGTTGTTGTTGTTGGTTAGTTTAATGATAAGCATGTGACAAAGAGTGCCATTTTATAGAGAGGGGGTTGTGTGCTCTCTCCTCACTAATTCATGACTGACCGATGTCTCGCCCTCATTAAAAATCGGTCAGTCATAGTTGATAGGATCAAGCTAAATAGGATCAAGCTGTGCGCCCCAACAAGATCAACTATTAAAAAAAAAAAAAAAAACAAAAACCAAGATGAGAGAGAGACAGGTGTCTTTGAACTTGCTCGAGTTGTTCGATCGAACCAAACAAATAATTAACAAAATAAATAATAAATAATAAATAATAAATAATAAATAATATGGATAATGGTAAATAGATGTTAGATGATAGATGATGTGAGAGCAACGCAATGATTTAGGAATCTTGAAAAGAAAAGAAGATAAAGACCGATCTCATTAGAAACAAAGCGTTGATTTAATACTATAGTGTGATTAATCTTCTTTTGTTCATTCATTCATTTGTAACTATTACTATTACTATTATTACTATAGTGAATGAAGATGATGATACTAGTTTATTAGTGATCATTGTAGATTTAAATGCATATAGTTGGGGGAAACAAGTAGAGTTGGCAGAACAGAATATAGATAGTACAAGTGGTAGTCGGTTCATTACTCTATCTACCTTTTTTGAACATTTGGTTATCTTTATCAATGCCTATTTGTTGTTGAATCAAGAGAATCAAATAGCTGTTATATCATCAAATGTTGGTGAAAGGTAATTGTTATTATTATTATTATTATTCATCGTTCCCCTTCAAATCATTCATTCATTCATTTCCCTTACTTTTTACTAATAAACATTTACTTACTTTTGTTTAGTTCATTTATATATCCGTCAAATCATGTAGATACTAAAGATAAGAGTATATCATTCAAGATATCACAATCATTAAATAATATATCAAAACATTTAATTGAAGGTAAATAGAAAGAGAGAGATAGAGATAGATTATCTATTTACTTTAAAGATCATCCCTTAACATTTTTTAATCTTTATATACATAGAGATTCATTTAACATCTGAAGAGAATTCATCATCTTCATCATTTTCGGCAGCCATGTCACTTGCCCTATGTTGTAAGTTAAAGTCGAACCAAACAAATAGAATAGAATAGTAATAGTAATAGTATACTAACCTATCTACATGTAGATATAAATAGAATTAAAAAAGACAACTCAACGATTAGATCAAGAATATTGGTATTCAATATATCACCAGATGTTTCAACACAATACATTCCAGTGATGAATTGTATATTCTCGGCACAAAAACAGAGTATTCCAGTAGACTCTTGTATACTCACATCGACCGATTCCACTTTTCTACAACAGGCATCTCATCTTACAAATGGAATTTATCTTAGACCTCATCGTCAAGATCATCTTGGTCAATATTTATTGGTACGATATGAAACAAGTTTAATAGACTATAATAGACTTTATATTAACCAATCTTTTATATCTAGTCATCTTTTTTAATTGATAGTTATTCTCGAAAATTCTTAAACGTACCAACTTTAAAGACTGTAGATTACAGAGCATCTTGTTTTTGTCATAAAAAAATTGTTGATATTGGATTTGTTTGTTCTGTTTGCTTATCAAGTATGTTTTCACCAACAAAAAGACATCTTTATTTAATCTAATCTAATCACAACTCTTTCTATTTATTATAACTATAGTTTATTGTAAATACTCTTCATCATGTACAACTTGTGGAACTAAATTCACAATCAAATTTAATATTAATCAACTCAAGACCTCCTCCTCTTCTTCTTCTTCTCAAAGTGAAAACAAATAAATGAATGAATGAATGAAATGAAATGAAGGAATTAATTAATTCCTTTATCTGATCAGATTATCTTGCTTATCGTACCGATAACCGTATTATTATCATAATAACTGTCCCTAAACAACAGAGAGCGATATAAAATCATATGATTATATAGTTAATATTATTATTTATTTACTTTTAAATTAAACATTATTTTTAATAGTTTTATATATATGCTCCGTTCAACCAGGAGTGTTGTTGTAAGATTGGGATTAGGATTATGATGGAAAAACCTTTAATAGTTGGAATCTCTCGCCAGAAAGAATACTGGTTCTATCTTGGTTTGAGAGAGATTGTTTTGGTACAAGATGATGTTGATTAGGACTGTCCCATTTGACCATTAAGTTGTCTTCAATGTTTTCATAAACGCCATCTGTATTTGGAATTAATTCCTTTGTCATATAAAGATAATACTCACAAGAATTCAATTCTGTAAACGATCCAGTCTCGTTTGATAGCTGAGCATTATAGAAATCCAACTTTTCTTTTGAAAACTGTAACAAGCTTTTGTATGCTTCAACCAAGATTGTTCGACACTCTTCGTCGCATTGTGGTCCCAGCTCTTCAATATCCGTCCAATCTACCAGATCTTTAAGCAATGTATCACCTATATAATCTTTATATATTTTAAATCGATTGTGTTCCTGACACACCATTTCTTGATTGATCTATTGGATAGCTTTTTAACAAGTAAATATAGTATTGTGTTTTTGTGGAGGAGAATGATGAGATGATTCCCCAAATGTGAGTCACATTTGTTTTTTATTTCTTTTTGATCACCACACCCCACAAGTTCTTGGTGATCCTCTTGCAGGTGATGTTGTTTGTGATCCTCTTGTCATTGAGTTGATTATCATCATCTTTAAGAATGATTTGAATATCTTTGTTTTTTCAATCGAAGGGATTGATGAATCTATATTCGTAAAAGATATTTGAATTTTAGTTAGAAACAATTAATTGTTTTTAAAAAGTGAGTATAACATACCATTGTTTGAGTTTAAGCCTCTAAATATTCTTTGTACTGCTCGTGGCTCTCATTGTCCTTTGTTAATTGTATTGTATCAATAATACCAATAAATGGATTTGTAGTTATAGTTGTAGTTGTATTTTGATTGTTTGTTTGTTGAAGTTGTTGTTCCAATTGAGATGTAGAACTAATTAACTAAAAAAAATAAAAATTCCAAAAAGAGGAAAGGCGTGCCGTGCCAATTGTTGGTGTCAACATTCGTCATTTTGTATTAAAACTAATAAAAGGTACTCTCAATCATTTTTTCGAACAATAATAATAATAATCCTTTTAAAATCAAATAAAAAAATAATTAAATAAATATTGTTTCAAGAATAAATCTAACTTCTATAAAATATTGATTTGATTCATACACGTGAACAGATCCTTCATCAAACCAACCAACTAGTAGTTATATATAGTTATCATACTAATATTTTTTACTATTAGTAGTTTTTAACTGCAGTAAATTCCTTTATCTGATCAGATTATGTGATTATTAAAGGGGATTGCAACAATTGTGATGAAATATCTGATATCGGAGAAACACATGCAATAGACCGATTCGGACTTTGCCAAAACAATTTTATTTTTTTAAATTATTTCCATTTTGATGAAGATATTTTGTTATTTTCAAACACCCATCGATTGCCCACTACAACGGAAATTCAACAAAAAACGAAGGGATCAAAACAACACAATCTTGCTTATTGCACCGATAACCGTATTGTTATCATAATAACTGTCCCTAAACAACAACAAAGAGCGATAGATATCCTATCCCAACCCCCTATGGCTTTCTTTGTTTGTTTGTCCGCACATCTCTTCAAATCTACGTTTGGAGTCCGACAATGAAGACAAACTGACAACCAAACAAACCAACTTGTTGCAAACATACTAATAACATAGTAGAATAGATAGATAGATAGATAGATAGATAGATAGACAGATAGATAGAGATAATAGTAGTATACATAATGTCAACACCTAAAATAGTACCCTTTCGAATCGTTTTTGGTATGTTTATTGATCATCATATTTAAATCAAATATACTAACTTTACTCGGTTTTTTGTAATTAAGTGGGCGATGGAGGGAGTGGTAAAACAACATTAGTTCAAGGTTTGTTTGATGTCGAACCTGTACTTGAAAGAGAGTCATTTAATTATCCTTATTCTCCTGCTGAAAGATTCTATGATCAATCTGTATCTGCTTTAAATATTCAAATTGTATGTCGAGAATTCATATATTAAGAGTTGGAGTCAGAGTGAGTCATCATATGCTTACTTACTTACTTACTTTGTTTTTTTGATATAGTTCATTTATAGAGCACAAAGATTTGATAGACGTCAAAATCAAGCTTATGGTACTGCTAGATTGGCAGTGGTAGTGGTTGATGTTACCAATCAAGTGTCTATATCGAACATTGGCAATTGGTGTGGAGAGATTGAAAGATACAGTCATGATAATATACATGTACTGGTAGTTGGAATGAAATGTGATGTTGATGAAGAGGACAGAGTCATGTCCAAAGAAGAGATCAACGCAAAGATTAAAACATTCTCTAACCACCAATACATTGAAATGTGCCGAGACGATTTGCATAAGAAAAAGACAGAGTTTATGCATATTGTAAAGAATTGCTTCAACGGTGAAGTGATGTCTTGTTATTCAACGGTACAACCATTTTATAGTCGTACTGGTCAAGGTACCCCCGCACAGTTTGGTGCTGGATTGTATGGTGCATCTGCACGTTTACACTTGGATGCGATTCGATGTGATGATTCCCACCACCTACCATTTCAACTACCGGTTCGTAGAGTCACCTATACTATTGAAGCAGCTGCCAATAACAACTCTCAACCAATATGTGATCAATTATTCCAAAAGGTGGTGATGATTGGGACTGCACGTACCACCACACGTGATGCTGCAATCCCTTCGGTCTTTAAATCGGTGTATCTAGTCAGAAAGATATTTGGACAGGTCCGCGAGATTCACAGACAATTGGGACTGTGGACTGTACCATTGTCAAGCAATAACGCTGCTTTTTGGTGCTCCCATCCTCGTCTTGTTGGTATGCTACGATACAAGTTTGCTTGTGGACATGATCCCATCCAATTCGAGTTGGCTTCCCACAACCTACGAATATTCCTTCGAAATAATCGTGACTTGGATCTAATGAAACGTTGCTGTGATTTGAACAAAACACGTGTAGTTGGTACTATTGAATCGTGGTTTGTTGACGATGCATGTATATCTGGGTCACTAGAGATTGTACAATATTTACATAAAAAAGGGTATCAGTGGACTGTCCATGGATTCATGTACAGTGTTATTTTTGGTTACTTGGATATTACAAAATACATATCTCAAAATAGTACCATTGCAAGTCCAAAATTAATTAAAGCTTCTAGAAAAAAAGATAAATCAAACAATAATAATAATATTAATAATAATAATAATAATAATAGTGATTCCTCTATACTATCAACATTTAACCTTTCAGAACATCATATTAAAGAAGCCAGTCAATTGGCTCTAGTATACAAACGAGCGGAGCATTTAAAATTCTTTAAAAAGTTATTAAATGTTCCTTTTATTGAAAAGGTTCAATCTATATTTAAATAACAAGAATTCTCTTCATTTCCTTTTTAAATAAGAAAAATATATATTAGTTAGTATATTAATTAATATATTAATTGTAAACAATAAAACTAAACAAACAAATTATTTATTTTAATACAAACGTCATTTTCTAATGGGGCTCTTTCCATTTATTCCAACTCCATGCAGGGTAAAAGAATCTATAGTTTCAATAAAAGAATCCATTTGCAGGAGAATGATCATCTTTTCAATTGAAACTATAGACTCTGAGACCGATGAGGACGAATTATTAGAAACTTCTTGTTTTTTGGGTCTTTGAAGAAACCGACCATTGATATCCATTAAACTATAGATAAATAATAAAAGGTTGTTTCTCTTGAGTGTAAGGCTTTATGCCTTGGTACTTGATGTTTATCTTTTGCACAAGGTCGAGATAAAATCATCCGAGATCCAAGCAAGCTTGATAGAAAAGAGCACAATAATCGACTGCATCTTCTTGATTTGTTGTTTTTTATTTGACTATGTAATGTATAACTACACCAAACTAGTGTATACAACAAATATCCAAATAAGAAGAGTATTGAAAAAAAGGATAATCAGATTTTTTTAAGAATAATGATTAAAAAGAATTGACAGGTTTTGGGTCAGAGTGAACTGCTTTTTTTTTATTAATTTTAATATTTATTTATTTGTTTTTTGTACAATGACAACAACATTTCAAGATAATATAAGTGTAGCTAAATTTACGGTTGTTTTATTTGGTGACCCGAAATCTGGAAAGACTACTACCATCAATACTCTCAGTGGTCAGGCTCAAACAACTACTACTAATCCTTCAAGCTACACCTTTACAACTCCTCCTTGTACATTTTATTCTGATCAAAATATTTCAACTGTAATACTTCAATTTGTATGTACAAACTATGATATATTATATGATCACTCTCATTATTTGCTAACACTTTCATCTCTATTCTCTTTTAAAAACTATAGTATAAAATTGAAGAACAAAAATACTTTGAAAGAAAAGATTATGCATACTATAGAGCTTCAAAGTTGGCCATTGTAGTAATAGACCTAACTAGTCAATCATCATGGGATAATAGAAATCGTTGGTTGGCAGAGATTGAAAGATATTGTGCCTATGAGATTAAAGTTGTGGTCGTTGGAACCAAAGGCGATCTGACTATCAACAACAATAATCAGAGAATAGTATCTCAAGAGATGATTGATAGTTTTGTTGACCCATTGGAATTCACTTATATTGAACTAATCAAAGATGGTGGTGGTGGATTAGATCAACGTGATCAATTTCAACAAATAATGATTGATGCTGAAAACAAAAGATTCATCAAACAAATGATTAATACTTGTCAATTAACAATTAATTTTAAAAGAAATCAAATTAATAATAATAATAATAATAATTCAACAAATAATAATAATAATAATAATAATAATTTAACAAAAATATTTTATATGGTATTTAATAACAAGGTATTATTTAAAAATATAATGGGTCAAGTCAAAGAGATACATAATATCATGCGTGTCAAAGCATACAAATTAGATTATAGTCAACCACATTTTTGGGTATCACATCCATCTCTTGTCAATGCACTTTTATATCGACATAAATATGCTAAAAAGTATCTATTGTCACCATTGACACTACAATTTTTAGAACCATTCCTTTGGAACAATTCAAATTTTCAATTGTTTCATTCACTCTTTCCCATTTCCAACAAGTCTATACTCGATGGTGATGAAAGTAAGAAATTTGTAGATGCAAGTTGTATATCTGGATCTTTAGAGATTGTAAAGTACCTCTTTAAAAAATTGAACCTTCCATTTACTCTTAAAGGGTTCTTTTCATCAATCATTCTTGGATATACAGATATTACAAAATACCTTGTAGGTCAATCACAAGTTTTAAGGAAAAATCATGATCAGATCCAGATTACTCCATCAACCAAAATTATAATTACTAGAGATATTTTAATAGAAGGAATTAGATTGGCAAAAGCATATCATAGTAATAGAGATTCAACAATATTGGTTTATCTTGAACATGAATTGGATAATTTAGAAAATGGAAAACCAATTTTAAAAAAATTTACTTCTTTATTTAAAAAATAAATTAACCTTTTTTTTTTTTTATTTACATGTGTTAATTGTATAGAGATTATATTTATATGTTGTTTGAAAAAAAATATTATTTTGATAACAGATGGTATGGTAGTATTATAGTATTATTATTTGTTTAAAAGTGTATTTACAATTTGTTTTTTTTTTTTTCTATTATTATTATTCTTCTTCTTCTTCATCATCGTCATCATCTGTGATATCATCGAGTGCCTCTGGTTTAATAGTGGTAGGGGCTATAACCCTTTTTTGCCACTCTGATTTTTTCCTACAGAGAGGGCAAACCCCAACTGGATTCGTCTCTTCACAACAAGATGTACAGGCGTAATGCCCATTACAACTTGGTATCTCTTCAGAGGGGTATCGAAGAAAACAACAGTGGCAAACCCATCGGTAAAGAGAGGGGCTGTTTTCATCTGGCCAGACATTCCTACAATTTGATCGATTCATGGCCAATTCGATGTGAGGCTTTAAAGAGAGACCGTTCGGTCCCTCGTAATAGCCATCCCATTTGACGGCTTCTTGGCTTTTAGTTGGCGTGGCAGAGATTGAACCCGGAATGGTTTCTTTGTGACAAGAGATAGTCTTGAGACTTTGGTGGCAGTAGTGATTGGTATCGACCAGCTTACATTTTAGTTTGGAATCTTTCTCGGATTGACATGGGGCGATATGTAAGAGTCTGTTGTTTGCCTGTTTCAAAAACTCGGTAAACATTTCTCCAAAATCGTTGATATTCCAGTGGTATCTAGCTATCTTGTTTCTTTCACAGTATTTGGTAAAGGATACCACCACCAATGAAATGATTCTTTGTTGAAGTGCTTCAAACTTGTCGTGAATTTGCTCGTCTATCAATGATTCAAGATTCTTTTGATAATCTGCAACCAAGATATTCAACATTGTATTTAAATACCATTTACAATCATTGTTGATTGGGCTTCTATCCAAATCAACAATTGAATGGTAGTCACTTGAGAACTTGTCCATCGATTGTTTCATTGAAAAGAGTACCGTTTGAGAGTCCCGGCGGTTTTTGTGGTGGCGGCGGTTGTTGACACCCAAGTTGGTACGTATGATGTGATTGATGTGGTTTAGTGTCTCTGGTTGGTTACACATGGTCGATGGAACATAAACCACATTGACAGAGGCATACAAGTCAATTAAATTTGATTTCTTTGGATTTGGACAATCCAAAAGAAATAAACTTGGTTTCTTCTTTTGATGATCATTTGAGAAGAAATGGTCTCTTGCTTTGGCTGCATCAAGTAATGCGCTCGTTGGTACTGTATTGCGAGTATTCTTCAAGACCAAGAGTAGGTTGGGTTTGACGTCAGAGCCGGTGGCCATGTGAATGGCCCTATCCAAAAGAGACTCTATGTTTTGAATGTCCTCGGTCAAGACAATCACATTTGAGTATTGAAGCAATAACCTTGAATAGGAGTAGTACCTAAATATATCTTTCTTTTGATCGGTTGAGGTTGAATGGGTGGAAGGAGGCGGACGTACTAGTCCCCCACTAGTAGCAACAAGTACAACAGCATCACCAAAGCATGTAGTAATATATGAGTTTAGATTATAAGTAGTTGGTAGATTGTCGTTTGTAAATGTTTGATCGTTTACAAGCATTGCTTCCAACAGGGTTGACTAAAAAAAAATAAGTTGTTAAACATCATTCATCATCATCATCATCATAACAAATAGAATATATAACATACTTGTTCGGTTCCAGATTCTATGATTGAAACCTGTCGGTAAGTGTCATATATAGCTGCATTATGTATGAGATCTCTACCATTTGCTCCCCAAATTAGTTTGCATTCTCCATTTCTATGTTCTTTGATCTTGATAAACTTGCTGTTGCTGAAGCTGCTGCTGCTGTTTTGAGAACAATCTAGTGTGGATGGAGATACAGATGGTGTATTTTGATTTATATGTTTGGAAATTAATTATAATTTATATTATAATCTTCAAATTGCTCTTGACAAAATGTTGGTGTTTCTTTTTGCTCCGAATTTTTATTATTTTTATTATTTTTTTTATTTTTAATTTTATTTTCGCTATTATTTTCTTCTTGATTATTATTATTATTAGCAGAAGCGTCTACTAGCATTGGCTCCATGAAAATATATCTATAAAATATATAAATCTATAATTTAAATTTTTGTTTTTTTTTATATGAATGGTATTAGTAAAATTACTGGTCAGTCTGGTTCTGAATAATTTTATATTCCCCAATACAATCGTCTTTTCTTATCAAGCAACATGTATTATTTTTCATATGACATTCTTGACTTAAAAATTCGATCCAGATTGTGTTTGTTCAAATAATGTAAATTGGAGTGTTTTTAATATTATACACTGAATCAGTTGTGGGAATTCATAATATTTTTATGAATGTTTAATGTGTATGAATATGATCAGATTATTTTTAGCATCATTATGGATCTTTATTTGGTTAATAACCACAGAACAGGAGGATTTATTGATATCATAAGTCACTACTGATTCAAGGGTGGTGATTATACAACAAGAAATATTTCACTGATCAGAAGTAGATCCAATTGGTGGTAATGTTGACTGTAATTCCAATAGATAAAAATAATAATATGAATATATTATGATTATTATTAATATTATTAGTTCTCACACCTCATTTCAATAGCAGATTACAGTTTTTTTTTTTAAAAATAACAATAAAAGAAAGATATCTTCTATCCCCTCTACTCATAATAACAATAATCCTAATAATCATCTGTATGTAGGCAATATAGAAAGAACCAATTATTACACTACTCAACTAAGCAGTAATACGAAACCATTAGAAACCTTCTAGAATCGATCAGATCCTAAATGTTCTCATCCCTCCTGCCTCTTCTAACGAGGTGATAGAAGCTCGCAAACCTACGTTTAGACCTCGGTGTTGTTCGTCTCTCCACAAGATCGATGATAATTTGTGAAATCTAGATAGCTCATATTAAAATTTTAATTTAATTTGAGTTCTGCAGCAGTTGGTTGGGAACGCAGTCTACCAAAGATGTCTTTTGGCTTGATAAAGTGCCGAAACGTCAAACCTAGACGGATAAACTATGCCCTTTTCTCCCACCTATAGGGGGGTCTACGCAATGACGACATCTGTGGAGGGGAGGGAAGATGGATGAATGGATGGAGGCCAATTCATCGGGGTATATATTACACTGATGATCATTTGGTTTGTTCATACATTCATTATCCACACATACTAGTAAATATAAAAAAGTAGAGATAATATATGAATAGCAAGGCAGATCAACATTACAGAATCATCAACAACATCATTGTATCATCACCATTGTTACATAACAAGTAGTAATAATAATGAAGAATATAATGAATATCGTCATCATTGGTGACACCAAACTAAAGAAACCATTTGCAGAAACATTATTTAATCGTAAATTCACAGGCAACTCTGATATATTTCACTATCCTCTATTTGATCTTCAAGATGTTATAAAGGATTGTTATCTGAATTTACATTTTATGTTGTAAGTTTTAAAAACAAAACAAATCATAAAAAAAGAAATTGTATTTATTATAGTCTTTATTTATATTAATATCTTTTATTTATTTATTTAATTAATTTTAAAAAAAGACAATATCAGAGGAAGATATAGGTAAACCTATATCTAACCAAGTTTATCATCAGATGCCAGATTTTTATTTTGTCGTTTATGATGTAACCAATCAAAGTGTATGTAATCTAGTTCCCCAGTGGTTGGAAGAGTTTGAAAATAGAGTTGTGGTCAGGGTCAACATGATGTTATTGGTATGAATCCCGATCCCGATCCAAATCAATCTACTCTTCAAACCAAACCAAACAATTTCGTTCAAAAAGTATTCTCTGGACGCTACCATTACTTTGAATTTGAAAAAGGCCATTGTATCGATCGAGATATGTCGAACCACCAATCTTGTTTAAAAGACATTGCTTTGAAAGCGCAATATTCTATAGAAACAACACATACTTGAACCGATTCCTCAAAGCTTCTGACATGTTGTTGGCTGATGCAGAAAACTACAAGAAACTAACCATCAATGATAGGTATAACAGTCCACACCGAAAAATGATCGATTATTGCTGTGTTGCAGGATCATTAGAGATTGTTGATCATCTACACAAAAACTATCAATTGACATGGCTAGAGAATGGCTTCTTTATGAGTGCCATTTTCAATCACTTTGAATTAACAAAGTATATTGTTGATAACTATAAAAGATGTCGTAAAAGAAAAGGAAAGAATTCTCTCAATGAAAAGGGTCAATTTATTCTTGACATTAACATTATCAAAAAAGCTATAGAATATGCGATACTCTATCAACGTCTAGACCACCATAAATATCTAACCAATATTTTGGATAGATCCTCCACTATTAAACTTTCAATAGACATTTTTTATTTTAATTCATTTTTAACTTAATAATAATAATAATAATAATAATAATCATAATCATAAAAAAATAAAAGAAATTCTGTTTCCCAATTTACACAATAATAACTTTACTCACAATATCTTAAAACAACATTTGTAAAATGACTCAAAAAACCATCTCTACCATTGCTAAGTTACAATTTAAAACCTCTTCGGCTAATTTTGAATCTAATTATTTCGTTGTTCAAAAAGTGTTGTTTGGTCAATTTACAATTCCAAAAAGTATAAATAAAGGGGCCCCCTCATTTTAAAAATAATAGAATAGAAGTAATAAAAAATGGAATATATAGTTAGAGTTCCAATTGATACCTCTCTTGAAAAAATCGAATTTCAAGTAGACGACCCACTTCTTCCATTTAGATGGAGTTACTCGTGGTATATGGCAACTGGAAAGTGTACAATGGGCTATCTTTATAAAGATTCTGCACCATATGGAGCCTACGACATATACCATCAAATTATGAATGACTCCAAGGGAACCTCTGAAACAAAGCATACCAACAACACTCATACTGAAAAGGAAACCAAAGGAGCCATTCCCATCCACCAGTGGTATCTCTCACCAAACACTGGATGGCACGAAATGAAATTTAAAGTTAATTCATTGGTCTATGGAACTATCCCTTTCCATTAAAATGAAAAAATATACATTACCGCCTTTCCATTAAATAAAAAATATATGTTTGTATAAAAACTAAAAAATAAATAAATAAACATTGTGTTCAAAAATTAATTGAATAACCCCACCCCCTCATTAGAGATAATTCAACAATTTAGTATCATTGTTTTAACCCTCTTTTTTTTGATAGAGATAAACAATGAAAAGAAGAAAGAGAAGAACAAGATATACAGATTACAATGAACATTTGATAAATAGGTCATTATGAATAGGGATAATAGTTGAAAGAAAGGAAACAACATTGGTGCACCACACACTGCCACTTTGCTAATCATACTATACTCATGGTGTGTTTCTAGTTGATTCTAGCATGCTAGGAAGGAGGATGAGGAGGGTTCACAGTTGTAGTAGTAATGTTTGTTGCCCGACGACGACGACGACTAGTACACCACATCTAATTCCAAGAGATTGATTATCTGTATTCCACCCACACATATGCACATCACCACCCATCAAAAACAACTAGTCTAGAGTATAAATTCAACATTCCAGAGATTCTAGACAATTAATTACATTTGACTATTATTACACATTAATTGTATCACCAAAAATATGTTTTATACAGCAACACCAGTAAAGTTAAGATTGCTATTTGCATTTACAATGGCAGTATTCTGTCTCTTGATGCTATCGTGTATCATGCCAATGGCAATTGGAAGAAAACCAAAGTTGGATGGTCATCCAGACCATATTCATTTCCATCTATATCAAGCTTATTATCATTCTAAAAATGATGTTAAAGTATGTAAAACATGTAACATCAACAAACTAAATATACATATAAATATTAATTTGTTTTTTTAAGGAAATTAAATATTCTGGACCATTATTAAATACAACATTACCAACTCTATTATTTATGTTTATATCATTATTCGGTACTATTATTACATGGGCATTAATCCATTCCAACAAAGCTACCATGTCAAAAGCATTAAAGTGTTTAAAGATTGGTAATGTCGTAGCATTTATATCAATGGTGATTGCAGTAGCCAACTTTCAATCGTTTCATTACTTTATCAACCGTGATCACCAGTTTTGTCCATCTACCGGTGATTGGTGTCACCACCATCGTCTTGGATACGGTTACTTTTCAATCATTGGTGTATGTGTCTTGATGTTTATCAATTGTATTATTTCATTTACCTTGAAACCAGCAGTACTCGACCAAACCCAAAAGAAAAAGAAAGTTGACGAAATTAAATATCCAATCTATTATCCTGGATGTCCAGAAGGTATTTATTATGTCCAATCTCAAACTGTCACTCCACAAGAAGCTCCAGTTCAAGAAGATGGTGCAACCGAAATTACCAATAATAGTACTTTACAATCTGATGTAAATAATAATAATATTAACAACAATAATAGTATGAAAGATAGATTAGTTTAAATAAATAAATAAATATAAATAGTAATATATAAATATATAAATATATAAATATAGTATTTGTAGCTTTTTAAAGAAATGGGAGGAATGGGTTTTGAACTACTCTTGCTAAACCCAAATTAATATTGGGATTTAAAATATTAATAAAAATTTAATTTACTTTTTTTTTTTTGAAGGGAGAAGGGTCAAAAAGGGTTGATGATTAACTTGAGAAGGTATTCATATAGATTTTTCTATCTCTATATATATATATATATTTTAATATAAACTAGATTGTGTAAACTATTACAACTTGTTACATTTAATTTGATATAAAATAAGGGAGATTTAGAGTCTAGATCTGTTTTAGTTTATTTTCATTGATAATAAACACAAGTATAGTATCAATCTACAACACACATTTGTACATTCATAGCAAAACCATTTCAAAACAATTATTATTTAAACATTATTATTATTTAACCATCTGTAAACAATGAGCGAAAGAGGCGGAGGTAATAGAGGAAGAGGAGGTGAAGGAGGTAGAGGAAGAGGTAGAGGTGGAGGTGACGGAGGAGGAAGGGGAAGAGGTAGAGGCGGAGGTGACAGAGGTGGCCGCGGCGGAGGCAGAGGAAGAGGTGGTGAAGGTGGAAGGGGAAGAGGTGGTAGAGGTGGTAGAGGTGGATACCAACAATACCCACAACAACAACACGACACCAACCAACAATTCAATCAAGAAGAAGAAGACGAGGAAGAAGAGGAAGAGCAAGTTCAACAACAACAACAACAATATGTTGCTCCAGCTCCAGTTCAACGTGCTCCTTCAGCCAGTCCATCAACTCAAGGTATTTGGTCATCCAAGCCTCAAAACCGGTTCATGGGGGTGGAAAACCACCAGGATTATCAGTGGCTCCATCAACCCCCCCTCCACAACAACAACAAACACCAGTTGCTCAACCAACAACATCTACTACTAGTACTACTAGTACAACTAGTACTACAAGTACTGCTGCTGCTGCCACTGCAGGTACCATTATTACTGCAGGAGCTGAAAGACGTGGTCGTTTTAGAGAAGCTGATATTGATGTTACTGATCTTGCCACTAGAAAGAACCCTCCATCTAGAGCAGGAGCTATTACCAAGTTGGCTGTTAATCAATTCCAACTCAAGTTTACTACCCAACGTTTGTACCAATACGCCGTCGATTTTAATCCACACGTTGACAATCGTGCCACTAAATGGGAGATTCTCACCTCGTTCAAGGCTGAAATCGGCTTGTTCATGTATGATGGTGTTGGTGTCCTCTATGCCACCAAACAAAAGGCTACTACTACCTACACTTCCACCAATGGTACCAAAGTAACTCTTCAATTTGTCAAAGAGATTACTCAAGCTGATCCATCTGCCATTCATTTTTATAATATTTTATTTAAAAGAGTAAATATACATATATACAAAAGAAAAAAGAATTAATGAATTTATTAATTTATTAATTTAATTTAATTTATTATTTTTATAGTTTATGAGAGATATGGGATTTTCAATTATTGGTAGACAATACTTTAATAGTAGTAAGATTCATCGTATCGAAAATCATAACCTTGAAGTATGGCCAGGTTTCTTTACCTCTGTCAATCACATTGCTGTCGGTACCTCATTGTTGGCAGATGTAGCTCACAAGATTGTTAGAACCCAACACTTGTGGGATTTCATCAAGGAGCAAAGAGCCAACCGTGTCAATGACACTGATATCAACAACAAGCTTGCTGGTAGTATCATCATCACCAAGTACAACAACAAGACGTACAGAGTCTCGCTTATTGATTTCAAAAAGAGCGTCAAGGAATCTTTTGACAGTTCTTCTGGCAAGATCACTTATTTGGATTACTATCGTAAACAATATCCAAACTACAAGATCACTGACCCCAACCAACCACTTATTGGTTGTGATGTCAAACATCGTGGTGTTTTGGAACGTATCTATATTGTTCCAGAGTTGAGTTTCCTCACCGGTCTCTCTGAGGAAATCAGCTCCAATCGTAAGATCATGATGGATCTCTCTAATCACACCATCATTACACCCGAACAACGTCTCCGTACTCTTACAGGATTTGTTCAAGACCTTAGAACCAATCCAAAGGTTTCTACTACTGTTAAAGAGTGGGGATTTGAAATTGGTAATGCTCTTCCAGTCGATGGTTACAAATTACCTGATCCTCAAACCGACCAAACCATGAAGGTGTTAAAGGGTAACAAATGGGCTATTCTCGCTGGCAACAGAGATATGGGTAGCGGTGTCGCATTCTCGCACAAGTTTAACAAGTTGTCCGATATGGCTACCCCCGACCAAATCCTTGTTGGCGGCAACCCAATGAACCCCGCTAGTTGGGTCGCTGACTTGCGCAAGCTCACTGGCAAGGGATACCTCTTTGTATTGGCAATCATTCCAGCTGGTAAAAAGGACATTTACGACGCCATTAAAAAGGAGTCGTTAACTCGTCTCAGAATGATCACTCAATGTGCCATGGCACGTACACTTGAAAAAGAAGGTACGTCTGTCGCTGTCAAGATCACTCACCAGGTCATTGCCAAGCTCGGTCGTAGTCCATGGCACCTAAAGCAAGCACTACCATCAGCCATCCCCAAAAAGACCATGGTTGTCGGTATCGATGTTGGTCACAACTCTGATCAACGTGGCAAGTCTGTTGTAGGTTTTGTCAGCTCTGTCGATGAAAACTACACCCTCTTCCACACTACTGCTATCTGTCAATCGAAACCAGGCAAGGAGATTGTTGAATCGCTCAAACCGTCCATGGCGTCGGCATTAAAAGCTTACTATGACAGAAACAAGACATTGCCAGAGGTTGTCATTGTGTATCGTGATGGTGTAGGTGATGGTATGCTTGGCCTCGTCAGAAAGTTTGAAGTAGCTGCAATCAAGGAAGCATTTGCTGAAGCTCCTTCCATCTGGGGTATCAAACCCAAACTCTTGTACTGTGTTGTTAAAAAGAACACCAACACTAGATTCTTTGACACCAACAATCAGTATGGTAATCCTGCCCCTGGTACCATCGTTGACAAGGGTTGTACCCATACCAACTGGTACGATTTCTACCTCGTATCTCAACGTGCCATCAACAAGGGTTCGATCAATCCAACCCATTATCATGTTATCGTAGATGAAACAGAGATATCTGCTGAACATTTCCAAATCTTCACCTATCACATGTGCTTTGTAAGTTATAAATTATAATCTAGTTGGAGTAAATATAAATAATTATTAATATAATTGTTTTTTATATAAATATACATATACATATACATATACATATACATATACATATACATATACATATACATATACATATACATATACATATACATATACATATACATATACATATACATATACATATACATATACATATACATACATATATATATGATACACATATATACATATACATACCTATACATACCTATACATAATCCTTTCCAGATGTAAGTTCCAATATAATCAAGATGCAGGAATTAAAATCAAATATTATGAATATTAATTTTTTTTTTCTTTTTTTTTCTTTTTTTTTTTCTTTCTTTCTTTTATTTATTTCTTTTATCTTTGTTTATTAAATACTATTCAAAAACCAGGTACTATAATTTTGATAAGTCTGTTAGAGTACCGAGTGTAACGCAGTATGCTCATAAGTTGGCATTCTTAATAGGTAATTTTCTTTATAAATCTCAATATTTATCATAATACTTACACTTACTTACTCATTGTATATTTTTCCATATTAGGTCGCCACGTGCATTCCAATGTTGCCGAAGAATTGTCCCTTAATCTTTATTTCCTTTAAATTATTAAAGGAACATAAACCAAATCTGATCCCATCCCATCTATTTTAAATAAATACATTTTTTAAAATCAACAAATTCTATTTGTATGTATGTATTGTGTTTCTATTTCTTATTGGATGGGAGGCATGATTAAATATTGGACCGGTACTGGAAATGAAGGTATACCTTCATTTTTTTTACAAACATTTAATTAAATTACAAAAATACTCCTTATGTATGCTCTGTTCTAATAGTATTTTTAATGATTTTTATAGATTTTATGGAGATGATAGTATCGATCAAGAGAGTCAACTCGACACCCTCCACTAATTTGATCAATGTCCTCGTCAATCAAGACCCTCTTCTAAATATATCAATCAACAATCATTCTTATCGACACAATCACCAACAACACAACCATTTCAATGACTACAATCATTATCAATCAACAATCATTCTAATGACTACAATCATCATCAAAACAATTATTCCAATGATTATAATCATTACAACAATGAAATAATTGATCAAAATGGAAAGGACAACAATAATAGAAAGAGTGGAGAAGAACATCTAGAGAGTCAAAAGTATCAACTATCACTCGTCTTCCACCTATCAGTGTCTAGTGGTGTTGATATTGATCACCAAATCAACAATAATTGCACTCAAGAGACGACACCCATCGATCAACCAAAATACCATTACAACAATGAACCTTTTGTTGAAAACATTCAGTCCTAGAGCCACTACAGAGATATACAAGAGTCCAGATGGTTGGAGCCAGTGGTGCGTTGGAGTGTGGTCTGGTGGATGAAATGTACATATATGTCCGATTGGGAGAGAAACCTTAAATTTGATCTCTAGTAGTGGCCATTGGCACTCAATTGCATCTATTTAGTGTTCGGTGTACACACCTGTCACTGTTGCTACAACGACAATCGTACAACCAATATCGGCTACAATCAAGAGGATGGGTGGTACCAAAACGTCAATACATCCTCTACTGGGTCAACACTCTCAGCGCACCTGTCAAAAAAATCAAGAAACGGTAATTATCGCCAGTCAAAGGGCCCAAGCCAAGGTACCCAATACTACCTTCAAAAAGACAATGACTGTACTCAGTTACTACCCCCCAGAGGTTAAAAGAGCAATACCTTTATTTTATTTATTTCTTTTATCTTTGTTTATTAAATACTATTCAAAAACCAGGTACTATAATTTTGATAAAAGTTTTAAAAAAAATCCTGCATTCCTAGTGAGGCAGTATACTCATAAGTTGGCATTCTTAATAGGTAAACAATGAAATATGGATTTTATCCATATAAGTTGTACAAATAATAATAATCATCAACATTTTTTAATGTTTGTTTGGGATAGATTAATTTTAAATAAAATGCAAAAGATACTCATTTTTTGAATATAGTTTATGAAACCTGTTTGTATGTATGTATGTATGTATTGTGTTTGTTTGTTAGTAAACTATTTATTATTATTATTATTAATTAAGTTGAGTATTTAATTATTAATTATCATTATAACTATCCATTTCCATTTCATGAGCAACAGAGATACCAGCATTACTCATTCCAGCACCAGTAGCACCGGATTCAAAATTTGAATCATTTGGACCACCAGGAGTATTGGATGAATTGGATGACCCGAGAGCAGTGGTATTTGTGATTTGGTCGAGTTTGGCACTGATAATCTTGACAATTTTGTTGTTGAATACAATCGATTGTGACCAAATTTTTTTAGTTCTTGATGATAAACCATACAACAAGAAACTAAAGAATCCAAATATACGAATACAAAATACAAAGAAACCAACACCTGCCACTGATGGACCCAATACCAAACATTCTTGTTCTGGATCTGTAGTCTTTGGATTGGTCAAACAAGCAAAATACTGTGGAATCGATGCAAAATATTCGTGCTGTGCCGATACAATATATTGATCATACGCAAATAAATACAAAAGAATAGTATAATATGCTACCAAACTACCAATTGGTTTAACTTCCATCTTTAATATATTCCATCTTGATTGATCCATCTTTGAAATTTTAATTGATACAATCTAAAAAAAAAGTAAAAGTAAAAAGTAAAAAGTAAATCAAAATAGATATTAATATTAATATTAATCAATAAATAATAATATTATTATTTAATTAATTTGCTTGCTACACATACAATATAAATTTCTCTAATTAATAAAATTAAAAAGATTGTACCAGCAAATAAAAATACACCCAATGGTCCCCAAAAGAATATATTTCTATATTTTGATGACCAAATCCAACAACTAATTAAAAATAAATAAATAAATAAATATTAGTATATTTTATATCAAAGATATATTTTTGTATGTTATTACATACAAAACATTTCCGGGACCAGCATGATATTCTTTTGCAGAGATTGTAGCAATGGGGAAGATCCAAGAGATGAGAGAGGTACCGATACAATAGTATTTGAAAAACTCTCTTTTTTTGGCACCGACTGTTTTAATGGCAAACCAAACTTCGAAAGCCATGATACACCACCACGTGACAACGTAGAGTGCCGATACATGAAGAATGAATCCAGTGGTGAGACAGAGATCATCAATGGGGGATGCCGACCGACCTGGTTCGGGACACAACGAGTCTTGTGTTCCATTGATAGCTTGAATGACACCAGCCAGAGCAACACCACATGCAGCAGACATAACACATAGGTTAATCTTGTCAAACCGAGTAATCTTTGGATTCAATATACCATAGGTGATAATTAAGAATATAGTAGCAAAGAATGAAAGGAATGATAGAATATCACCCATTGTAAATATATTGGTCCATATTTGTGGTTTAAATAGTGGTGATGGACATGGTGCAACACATGAACTAATATTAGAGATGTAAATGTATCCTTCATAAGTTGATCTTTCTTGATCGTCTGTTGGATGTTCTACCAATGGGAATGGACATAGACCAAAGGTTGTATTTGAATTTATCAAATTTGGATTTTGACATGTCACCGAGTGATTAGTATCACCACCAAACGATGTTAGATTATAAAGTGCAGATTCCAATGGAAACAATGTAAAATTGTATCCACCACCAATCACTTTACTAGAACAATCCAATAAATTGGTTGGAATCTGACACAACTCTGTTGTATTATAACAATTGGCTGAACATGGAAACTTTGGGAATGCCAATACCGTCGATGTATTTGGTACTTGATATTCTATACATTCCATAAAAAACTATATAAAAAAAACAACAAAGTAAAAATAATTAGATTAAATATTTTAAAGTATTATATATAAATATATATATCTCTCTCTACTTACCAAAGCACATAGAGTTTTATATGTATTTTGTACTTTACATTGATCAGATCCACCAAAATCTAATATCAATTTAAATTGAAGTGCTTGTGTTTGCAAGTCTGATTGGCTTGCTGTTGAATTTACATATACAGAATCTAAAAGTATACATATATTTAAAAGTATATAAATAGTAAATATATATATAAATAAAAGTAAAATAGAGAGAGAGAGATAAAAAAATTAAAAACGTCGGCAATGAGAGCAAAAAAAAAATCTTTTGTTAGAGATAACATCGAGGGAGAGGGGGGTATGAAAACAGTGCTGAGGGGGTAATTACCTGCATTGGCTAATAAACCTTGACATAGGGGTGTATCTACAGGATCCCCAATATATTTTTCACATCTCCCTGTTGGATCAACAGGATGATAATCTTGTGCAAAAGTAAAAGTACTTGATTGTATAAATACAATAATATATAAAAAGAATAATAACCAGTTACAACTCATTCTATCTATCTCTCTATATATATTTTTAAAATAGTATAGATAAAATGATTTAAATGATTGATGAGGATTAAAAAAAAAAACAACCCTCATCTTAGGAAGGAGGAAGAAGGAGTTAACCAAACCAAATTAATTTAATGTAATTGTGTCAGTTTGGTGCTTGTTTTCTTTTATTCGTAGAGGAGAAGTGATGGGCTCATCACCATCCGTACTCAATTTTGGTGTTGGTAACCTCGTCAATACCGATCTTTTCAATGGAATCTAAAGAATGAGCGGTGGGGTGTTGGGTGAGTGTGGTGTCCATCCCACCATGGAAAAGATATTAATTACAAAATATCTTTTTCGAGGGCCGTCAGAAGTGTCAGTTAGGCAAAAAATCAGACGAAACCCTTTGCACTTTTGGGGGTTGTCTGTTTTTTTTTTTCAATTTTTCGGATATACCCCCTACCACCTTCTCTCCATCTGCCATCCCCATCTTTCCGATACCTTATATTTTATGTAACAATGTAAATTCCCCAAAGCCCTTCGAATAACCATGAACAAAAAGTCACACTCTTTTTTGAAATTGAATCAAACTCGGCTATTTTTGAAATTTACTCTTTACTTTAATTAATTTATTTTTATTTTTATTTTTAGAAAGAAGCAGTTGATTGATCTTTTGAATCATCAATCAAATCTTTTGCTTCTTCTTCAGGGGTCATTTTACCAGAGAGGTCTGAACCGTCGGCTTGGTAGGTGCCCCCAGTGTTGAGACCACCGTCATCCATATCTTCGATTTCAAATTGGTCTTCCCAAGCTTCATGTTGTTGGGCGTTTTGGAATTGTGGGACTTGGGCGGGATAGTTGCAACGAGCGTTGAGTAGGGCGTCTTGGAATCCACCGTTGAGGTTGATGCCGGCATGTGAGAGCCAACCCATTGGACTGACGGTAAGGTATCCTTGTCCGGGTGCGAATTGACAATTGACGTCGTACTGGACACCACCCATATGTACGGCATTGGTCAATGAACAAAACATAGACAACATGATTTGTTCGATCAAGTAGGCATCGGGGTTATTGTCTTGGTTTGGTAGTGGAAGCGTCTTGTAGCAGTAGAGACAGGTACCAGCCTTTCCAGGTTGAGTGGCGTCTGTACAAAATCCATCGACATTCTTTTTCTTTTGGATACGGTCATAGACACTTGAATAACTCGAGCCAATGTACATGAGTGGGTAGTCTATATCAATGTACGATCCAGTAATCGAGTTGATAGTCACTCTTTTTGGCACGGCACTAAACATAGTGTAAACTCCCGGTGCTTTGGAATCGGCACCTGGTAGTGTTGGCAATGTGTTACATGTCCAATCACTTGGTGTAGTCTGTTGATTATAAGATCCCCAATATCTAAGTGACCCTTCAACTCTGACGACAGAATTATTTAAAATAAATATTAAAAATAATAATATTGATATTGATAATGATATTTTAATCATTTTAGATGGTTGGTTTGTGAATAGTTATAAAGATGTAATAATAATAATTTTTTTAAAAAGATAGTAATAAATAAAGATATTTAATATTTTACAAGGTTGTGTGTGTGTGAATAAATATATTTTGGATTGATTGATTGATGATTAATAAAGAGACCCTCATCCTTTTAAAGAGACGGTTTTAAAAATATTAAATATTAAATCACAACGTTTGTGTTTGATGAACACGTGTGATTGAAAGCTTCGTTTAAATGTCAATCCTAAAGTAGGGTCTCACATGAAATGGGTTCTTTGTTGAACAATCGATTGATCAGTGCATCATACACCCATCTCATTGATTGAAGCCGATCGACACTGCTAATGGGTGTGGGTTTTGATTTCGATCGGAAACGAACTTTTTTTGTGTTTGACCTCTCTCCACAAACACGTGTTGCTTTGATGATTCTAAAAAGATTGTTTTTTAATAAGCTTAGTTATTCTGTCAACTATTATTATCTTTAATAAAATAGTGTACCGAAGATTACACATTTAACTGTATAAGTGTCATTTCAAAAGTTTTGAAGGAAGATGAAGATCGCAGATCGATGGACGAAAGATATTTTTAAGGCCTCCCCCCCCCTTACGTGTTAATAGGACATTTTTATTTAAATTTTTTTTTTTTGATGATCAAAAGTTAACAGATCAGCTTTCACAGCTCTTCTTCATTTTTTTTTTTCAAAAAGTTATCTCTCTCGCTCTCACTCTCTCTCTCTCACTCTCTCTATCTCTATCTAAAGAGAATGCCAACAGACGAGGAGAAACCAGCTCCCCCAGCATCGTGCATTAAATCAGAAACAGGCCAATACAAAGTATACAGCAAAAAGTTAGGTGAAGGAGGAGAGGCAAGCGTATGTTTGGGTTTTGATGAAAAGACAAAGACAGGTGTTGCTTTCAAGTGTTGGTTTCGAACTCATCATAAAAAAGAAAATGAACAAGATAATCAAGCCAGAGCCGCCCGCCAAGCCAAATACTATAGCGATCCAAAGATAGAGTATGAAAAAATTAAAGATCTCGATCATCCAAACATCCTCAAGTACATAGATTACATTTGCATTGATGATTGTGACCTTGAACCTGACATTCCAAGGAAACCAGGTCAAGAGAACAGCAGCAGCAGCAGTGGAAGAACAATACAATGGTGGCAGTTTATAGTTATGGAACTTGCCAATGAATCGGTGAGAGACTATATAAAAAAAACAAATCATTGGATCTGTTTCAAGTTAGAGACCTCTGGTACCAAATCCTCGACGGTTTAAGATATGTTCACAAGCGTCGTATTATTCATCGAGACATTAAACCAGACAACATTTTGATCAATTCAAATAGAGTTATTAAAATTTCAGGCATGTATTAGCTTGATTGATTGATTGATTAAATCAATATATTATACTAGTCTATAATAATTATAATTATTTATTAATCCCTTTTTTTTTTTTCTGTTCTTTTTTTCAGATTTTGGAATAAGTAAAGATTATGAATTGGATAATTCAGATACTTTCCTTGCAGGAACCGTGAATTTCTTTTCTCCTGAGCGAAGAAGAGAAGGATCAAGTTATGGATCAGACATCTGGGCTGTTGGATGTACATTTCTTTCCTTCTTTTTGGTAAGTTCCATCAATCAATTAAACTTTAATTTCTTTTCCAAAACAATTGTTGATGTTAACATTTTATTTTAGGGAGCTAATTTCAATTGGACTCTAGGTACATATTTAAATGAACTTTACCAGTATCGTAATTCGGAACCTATTTTAAAAGCTACCAATATTGACATTCCAAAGGTAAGTAAATCCAGACATAAATCAACAGTTGAATAATAGCTCTCTAATCATTTAAAAATTTTTTTTTTTTAAATTATAGCCATTCAATGATATCATAAATCTATGTTTCAAAGTTAACCCAAATATTGAGGACATCATATCTCATCCACTATTCGAATACAATAATATTTATAAATCAAGTTTAGATTCTTTTAAACTATCTAGTTTGGTTCGTACCCTACCAATTGTAAAGGATGATTCTCAAAAAAAAAATAATAATCAAAATAATAATAATAATAATAATAATAATAATAATAATAATAATAATAATAATAATAATAATAATAATAATAATAATAATAATATTAAAGCCAACAGTAACAATAGTGATGGTAGTAACAACTCGATTGCCAAAAACAAATCTAGAAAGAGCTTGAGCAGTAGTGGAAGTCTAAACAAATCAGTATTAAAAAACATAAATTCAAGGCTTTCTAAAAGTTATAATCGTAAAATCAATATAAATAATGAAAATAGTAATAATAGTAATGATGATGATGATGATGATGATAATAATAATGATGATGGCCAAAATAATAATAATAGTGAAATTAATAATCATAATAATAATAGTAATGAAAAGATAATAGTGACAAATATTAATAGTGATATTGATAATAATATTGATACTACTAGTAGTGTTAAAGAGGTTAAATGGTTAACAACAGAATCAGCCAAAATGATAAATATTGGTAATGATAATGTTTTAACAATCTTTGACACTGAAAATAATAGATGGCATAGATTCTTTGATTTGGTAAAGATCAATCAAGATGAAAATAATTTGGAATACCTAATCGATTATGTATTGCCAGTTAGAAGTGGTACTAGAAGTGATTTATTCATTTTTAAATCGAAAAAGGATAGCAATCCAACCAAAACTTTCATGTCAATCTTTTCAGTAAACACAATGACCCACGGAGAAACAGTATTGGAGTTTAATGGCAAGGTAAATGGTGCATGTTTTGATGGTTACAATACTATCTATTTATCCATCTTTTTAAAGACCACTCCATGTTTTTCATTCAAACGTCTCAAAGTTGGTTGTTATTATGATAATATTCAACAACTAGATGGTGCAGATACTATCACTACCACTACCTCTACCAAAAAGATTGATAAACCAACCATATCAACTGTAGTTTCAGAATACCATCCACCAATGTGTGCTAGTTGGAGATGGGAATCTATGAAACAAGTTTTACATTGGTTACCTACTAGTAACCTACTCCATGTAGCCTTTGACCATAATCTAGTGGTGTTTGACATGATCAATGGAAAGACTATTGGAGGGTTAGGGTTTGCGACTGGATTGCTAGGTAAATGTTTCCACCACAATGATATGTACTATGTCACCAAAGAGCCAACCCACCAATATGTACAACTCATCCGATTTGGATTGGTACCAGACCAATCATCCGGTACAACCAGTCATCAAATACTATCAGAAACCTATGCAGACTTGAATATTACTTCACCAAACGATATTAAATTATCGTACATTGACAATCACAATAGCATCTATCTACATAGCATGGGTGCGCAACGTTGTGATTTACAATATAAGCTCGACTCTAATAGTTGGAGCTTTTTACCTTCTCGTGTTACCGACGAGTACACTTTACAATTTTCAAATATTTCTACTTTGTAGATCAAAATATGGAATAAATTAAATTTAATTATATTTTAAAGAAATGTATTATTATTATTTATTATTATATTTATATTAATATTTAAAAATTATTAAAAACCATGTTGATTATTATCATTACCTGTATCCATTTCATCCTTCTTCTCTTCAAATTTAAAAAGTAAGGAGGTTGATGATGAGTCCTTCTTGGAGAGTCCATTTTTCAATTGTGTTTGGCGATCTCTTTGGGTTGATGTTCTTGGTGGTGGTGGTGGTGGTGGTGGCGGTATTGATGATTCTAAATTAATAATTTTAATTGGAGAATGATTATCGACCAAATTTTTCAAGGTTATATATGTTGCTTCAAAATGATTCATATAAATTTCTTCTGTACTCTTGCCCAAGAAAACCAAAGCTTTGGAGGCGATTTTCTTGTCTTTGACTGATACGATTTGAGGTAGAACTAAAAGATCTATAAATCCTTTCTCCAATATTTCTGCTGAAGGGAAAGAAATATGATTGTCTTTGTTGAATGCTTCAAAATGCTCATATGAATCATTGACAATCTCAACCGATGGTTGTGTCAATAAAATTCTCCAAGCATAATTGCAACAACCATCAATGAGCGACTTGAAGGCTATTTTGGCTTCTTGTTCTTTATTTGGATCGGCACTATAGAATAGAATGTACAAATAAAATCAATATTGAAAGTCAAATCTTTTAAAAAGTTTTTTTAATATTATTGTAGTTATACAACATACTTTGAGAATAATGATTGAATATAATCAAATTCTTGATAAGCTCTTTGATATGGTACTATGGTTTTTAAATCCTTTCCACCCATCATCTCAAAATAATTGTTTTCCATAATTTGTTTTTCTTGAGGTGTCATGTTTTGGATTAAAGCAATGAGAGGATCGATAAGAACTTGTTTACAAAATGTAAAACAGTCTTTAAAGATTTGTTGGACTATAAATGCTACTTTTCTATCGCTGATTGCAGTTGGGACGACATCAACAAACTGAGAAATACATTGGCGGATGAAAACGAGATAATTTTCATTGAAAATGCCCAACATTGGACGTTTAGTTGACAACATTGTAGCTTGACTATTGTTTTGACGAAATTCCTTAGCCAATTGTTCATTTTCTGTTGCTCTGAATGACAGAATTCTAGATTCCAAATATTGAATGGTTTTTAATTTCTCATCGATGATCTTTGAGTATTGTTCTGAAAGATTCTTGTAGCCATTGAGCTCTGTATTATGACTTTTGATGAGAGTTTGAATTTTTAGATTGTGTTGGTCAATTGAAATATAATGTTGATTGAGTTGATTAAATGATATATAATTTTGGTCGAGTTGAACAATTGATATATAATGTTGTTGGAGTTGACCAATTGATATAAAATTTATGTTAAAATCATCTTTTTCTTTGATCTTTTGGTCCAATTCAACAACTAAATCTTGGTGTTGTTTCTTTAGAAAAAGGCAATTCTGACAATCCCTATCGGAAGATACATCTTCTTCAATAATGGGTTGTTCTCTAGAGCTAAGAGGACCTTTTTGATTGCTAGGTCTCACATTTTTCATTCCTACAAAAAATTCCTTTATTCTCTTTACCAAAAAGTAAATTTCATCCATCTAATAATATTAATTGATTGATTGATAATATATATATATAGGAATGAAAGAACCATTGAATAACTATTCTTTTTCAAGTGTACACCCTCTAGAAAAAAAGTAGTTTATTAAATTTTCAAGACTATCTTGGATTTCCAACTTCCCCCACTTTTGGACTTGAATATTTAATCCTACTATTTATACCTTCCCTAAGGGTATTAAATTTTCAAGTTCATAGGTAACCCACCAAGATCGAAAGTATTAAAAAATTAAGTTGTTTGGTTGTTACTACTCTCAAAAATTCAATAGACCCTTTTTTTTAATTCATAATCACTATACAATAATTACCATCACAAGTAGTTTAATATTATTGAATATCTCTTAATTAACAACTATAATTATATAGGAATCTTTCATTCTCACTATACTTTTTTTGTTTATTTTTAAACACACAAAAATTAAAAAAAATTTTTATTTTGACAGAGGACGTTAATTAATGACATCTCCATCTTCTTCTTCTTCTTCTTCTTGTGTTCTTCCACTTAACAAAATAGTGGTAATATCACTTGACTTTGGTACTAGTCGTAGTGGCTATGCTTATTCCTTTCCTTCAGAAAAGCCAGATATCTATGCACATGACTCTTGGCCTGGAGGAGGAGGAGGAGGATCGAACACAAAGACATTGACTGTCGTATCTCTCTACGAGGATGGCAAGCTATCAAAGTTTGGGTATGATGCACGCGAAGATTATGACAATGCTATCTTTTCAAATTACAAGATGGTACTGTTTAGCTCGGCTTCGAGAGAAAAGACAATGGTCAAGGCTGACAATTGTGATCAGACTGCATCGGTTCAATCTCTCATCACAGAGACACTCAAGTACTTGAAACAAATTAGTTTGGACAAAGTCCGTCTTGGCTATACCAATAAAATAGAACCCAGTGACGTGCTATGGGTCATCACAGTACCGGCTATCTGGGATGATGCTGCAAAACAGATCATGCGTCAATGTGCTCTGGATGCTGGTTTATGTACTAAAGATGATGATAAAGGTATGTTTGTTTGTTTTGTTTTTTTTTTGTTCATAATTATTATTAATAATATCATCCATGTTTTATTTTTAAACCCAATAGGATCAATATTATTTGCGTATGAACCAGAGAGTGGAGCATTGGATTGTATTTTTGAAAAGACAAACTCTTATAGTATTAGAGAAGGTGAAACTCTTCTTGTTTTTGATCTTGGTGGTGGAACTGCTGACTTTACAGGTATGTATATGAAAAAGATAATTAAATAGAAACTCAGAGCGATCTTACAACAATTTTTTTTTTAATTTTATTATTATTTTAGGATATAAACAATTGGCAGGTGATAAGATTTCAAGTATTGTAACTCGATTTGGTGGAGATTATGGATCTAATGAATGCAATGAAAACTTTAAGAAATTCTTATTGCAATTACTTGGTGACGAATTCCCAAAGGACATGATTGAAGGTAATGATTTTATGCAGGTGATGGACAAGTTTGAAAGTGTCAAAACATCAATGAACGCTAGTTCCTACATCAATGACAGCAATCCAAGATCAATTCTATTTAATCCACGTACATTTGGTATGACTTTCGATTGGCTACTTGAACGAATTGAAAAATACAATACTGCCAACGCCTCCAAAATCGAATACAGGAGATCAGGTAGTCTTGTCATTCCCATGGAGACATTTATGACCTTTTTACAACCATTGTTCAAAAACATTGTAGATTGTGTCAAGAAAAAAATGCTAGAATGTCCCGCCATCAGCAACCCAAACTTTATCTTTATGATTGGTGGTTTCAGTGAAAACTACTTTCTTCAAGAATTGGTAAAGAAAGAGTTTGCATCGACTGGTGCTAAAATCATGATGCAAACACGACCATCATTGTCTGTTGTAAAGGGTGCATGTCGATTCGGTCTACGTCCATCTGTCGTTACCTCACGTCATGTGCCAAGATCATATGCTGTCGAAATCGTTGAAGAGATTGCACCGGAAAACGAACACCTTCATGCAGACAGAAAAGTTTTTTTTTCAAATGGTAAATTTTATGTCAAAAATGTCTGCAGCTCCTTTGTTCGCGCTGGACAGTCTGTTGGCATAGATGAAGTAGTCGTGCAAGCATACCAACCACTTTCCGCTACTGCGACCCAAGTCGCCATTGCAATATTCACTTCGCAATTGCCAGATATTAAATATACAACCGACCCTGGAATCTCGTTTGCCGCCGAAATTATAGTTCCTCTGCCACCAGGTGATACCATAGACGATAAATCAGTTCATGTCTTGATGAAATTTGGTAACACCGAAGTATTGGTATCTGCCGTTCAAATCAAATCTCGTGCTGTAATCGAGGCCAAAATAGACTTTGCAATGACTCAAGAAGAAGCTGAAAGAAGAAATCAAGAACGTCTTAATAAATAAATAAATAAATAAATAAATAAATAAATAAATAAATAAATAAATAAATAAAATCATAGTAAATAAAAAATAAGTTCAATCAAATCAATCTATCTAGTTATTAATCAATCATAATCATTCAATATTTTAATCTTGGATAAAAGATATCTTTTGTATTCAAGATCTCGACATACATAAGATTATTATACTTACATTAGCTCTTATTAACAAGTTGGTAGCCATGAATACTTAAATATCCAAGTTTGTATTGGGGGTTTAAAAGAGAACTTAAAATTTACTTTTTTGATAATGAACTAACCAAATACATAATATTTATATATATATTTATATATAATGAGAATCTCATCTTAACATTCATTATCTTTCTTTTTACTTTTAATTAATTTTCTAAAATAATTTAAATTTAATGATATCTTGTCAAAAAAAAGTAGTAGCATCAATTGATTTTGTTCTACTTTTAGTACCTATGCATATACATTTAAGGAAATGATGAAGTAGATATCTATTTAAACGACTTATGGCCTGGAAGAGGATCAACACCAAAGACATTGACTGTGATCTCACTAGATGCACATGGAAGACTCTCAAAATTTGGGTATGACGCACGCGAAGATTATGATAATGCTATCTTTTCAAATTACAAGATGCTGCTCTTTGACTCTGTCAAGAGAAAAGACAATGGTCAAGGCTGACAATTGTAATCAGACTGCATCGGTTCAATCTCTCATCACAGAGACACTCAAGTTCTTTAAACAAACTATTTTGGATAGGATCAACATCATCCATCAAAGTGATGTACTTTGGGTCATCACAGTACCAACTATCTGGGATGATGCTGCAAAGCAAATCATACGTCAATGTGCTATCGCTGCTGGTTTATGTACTATTGCTGATGATAAAGGTATGTTTGTTTGTTATTATTTCATTGTTCTTTTTCATTTTAATTAATTTCTTTTTTTTTTTTTTCTTTCTTTCTTTCTTTCTTTACACCTATTCTAGAATCAATATTACTTTCCTATGAAGCAGAGTGCGGAGCATTGGATTGTATTTTTGAAAAGAGAAACTCTTATCGTATTAGTGAAGGTCAAACTGTTCTTGTTTTTGATATTGGTGGAGCCACTGCTGACTTTACAGGTATGTATATGATAAAGGGAATTAAATAGTTATATATATATATATATATAGTTGGTGCCACAGAAATATTGGTCTCTGCTGTTCAAACTAAAACCCAAATAACGTCTGAGTTGATAAATTTACAAATTAATAAAACTATAGAACCTTATAAATTTAAGATTAAATTAATTAATTACAATGATACGATGGATATATTCCTATTTCTGAAGATGTTTTGTAATGAAAATGTCATCACTGGATCAGTTAAAGGAAAAGAGTGATGAAGAACTCAAAGAGATAATGATATCATTGTTTTATTGTGTATCATTTGGGATACCAATAAGGTAAAGCCAAAGCAACTATCTAGATTAGAGATGATCGATAGAATTACAAAGAGACAGAATCATATTACAACCTATAAAGATAGCTTGGAGTTTATTGATATTAATATCATATGATATGTTGTTTGTTTTATATTTTACTAAACCCTCTATCACTCGAATTAATATTTAGATACACTTTCAAACTATGCTCCAATGGTTGGTACTCGACTACCAGTGTTGGTGACCATCAATATCGTTAGATATGCATGGGAGATGGATACAATGAATGGTAGATACAGGTATAGGGTGTGCACCATTTGGTGAGGATGTACATCCTTGATGGTAGATACAAATGGGCACTGTCACCGGATCGGCATGCAAACGATTCTTTAATCTTGTCAAATCATCATTGTTTAAACATGTCAGAATCCATAGTTACTCAATCAGCGAGGAAAATAGAATCTTAATTACAATCTCAAAACTACTGTTTGAAACTGTTAATCAACTATGCGTATACCCTGTAACACGATCTCACACGTCTCGAGCAGGCCTATCAAACCACAAAGCTACTGGACAACGATTCATGAAGAATGATTCGTTTTTGAAAGCCAAAGCAGTCTATTCCTGTACACCTAAAAGTATAAAACGTACCATTATATATTTAAATTTTCCAAAAAGAATGGTGATTGCAGGGCTCGGGTGTAGGAAATCCCCAGAGAGAGCCCTAACGCAGGCTCGCTCACAGGAATTTCCCAGGGTATACGCATAGTTGATTAACAGTTTCAAACAGTAGTTTTGAGATTGTAATTAAGATTCTATTTTCCATAAAAAGACTTTAATTTGATTAAGTTTCGAAGTAACGAGCACCTTCGCACCAGTTCCAAAAGTGTAGTATTACTTAACATCAAACAAGTTTGGAAATTTTTCATGTAAAAAAACATTTATGGGATGAAAAAAAAAGGAAATGGTTTGGTTGGATTTCGTAGATTTATTGATTAAACATTAATAAAGAAATATTATTACTTTGTAGATAAATTTTATAATCAAAAGATTTGAAATCAATATGATTTAAATCTTCGCCATAATTGTTGTTTTGATAGTATTTTAAGATTATATATCCAACTACGAAATCTGGTACATCATTTCTTAATTTCAATGGTTCCATTTTGAATTGATCTTTCTCTGGACCATTATAATACCTACCATAATGATGTATGACTCTATCGATTGTGTTGGTGACTCGGTGTTGTTGTGATTTGAAGATTAATGGTGAAGAGTACAACATGCGAGAGACATTATCAAAGTTGGTGGTGATGGATTGGAACAGATCCCAAAAGTATACAAAGTCGAGGTCATCAACGATATGGTAAAGGGAGGATAGTATCAGCGAAAAGGCCAATTTGGAGGTGAAATATTTCGATGGTAGATAGGCCAAGGCAATGCATTTAGCAACTTGGATGTGATTGTTTTCAATAGCCTTTTGAAAGTACATTGCGCCAACATACAAAATGTCTGGCGTTGCAGAGATGATACAATCAACTACCTCTAGCAATCCATTGGCACATGCAATTTCCAATACTGCTCGAATGGTTGCAAAATGATATGTCACTTTTTCTTGAGATACTTCACGTTTCATTGAATCTTGTAACAGTTGTAAATTATCTTGTTGATGTGTAAACGATAGGTATATCATCCAAAGAGGTACGGTATCGATTGGTTGATGTTTTAGAATTAATTGTATGGCATCTGCTGACATGGTTGGCGATATAATGAATCCTTGATAATTCCATTTAATAGGATCATTAATTGCAAGAATGTAATTCTTTGCATAAAAACGTTCCAGCGGTATAGGCGATAAATGGTTGATATCTTTTTCATAGACATTGATTGGTATATCTTTACTCGGACAAAACTTGTCAAGTAATAAATCCATAATCTGGGGGTTGGTTGGGTGTCGAAGTGCATAAACGAGCAAGTCATCAACTTTGAATCCATACCGACCCGACACTGGAAGACGGGAAAGGATATATTCCAATGCATCTGGTATGTTGGCAACGATGGATGATTCAATGAGCACTTGATATTGTCTATCAATGCGAGGGGTCCCAATGATTCGTTTGACAAGATCCAACGACATGATTGATGGGTCGATCTTGAATGGGAGTGGCTTTAGACGAACTACCGGTCCTGTCTCTTCCTCCTTTTTGACAATTGATTGATGCAAAAAGATTTTTGCTTCAATGATAAAACGAGCACATTCCAAATGACCATTTTCCAATGCAGTGGATAGTTGCTGTCTTCTAATATTAGAGTCAAAATATGAAAAGTATTGGAGATGGTGAAATAGGAACAAAATGTAGTCCAAGTTTCCATATTTTTCTGCATTATAGGTGGTTTTTTGAGTACTCTTTGGCGGTACTTGGTAGTTGATTAATCGCAATGCCAAAGTCGATGCAAATCGTTCGATCAATTCATCGTAATGTTGGCACAATTGAACAAACTCTTGTGGATTACTGTCCGCATAGCTGTCTTTGATCCACTCTATAACATCTAGGTTGTCCAACTCTAAAGCATATCTAAACAGGTTTGCTCTGTGATCTAAATTCAGACCCATCAATTGTTTGACCATATTGAATAGAATCTCGTAACCTTGTCCTCTATCTTGCAACAACTTGATTGCATCCGAAAACAATAAATGTTGTTGCTTGAAATTAGAATTAATCTTTTCCGTTTCAACCAAGGCCTTGACATGTTGAAAGATTTGGTTAAACAACCGTACATCACACGATTCGATGGCTACTTGTATTAGATTCATTGAGAACTGATAGTAATACCTTGGATCATCATCATAGGTGGATAATGGTAGGTGGTAGTTGTGGTGAACGAGAATTTGAGTCATCTTGATGCAAGGTGGCTTTTTTATCATTGATCTTATTAGAGAACCTTCAAATATTGGTTGTATCCTTTTCAATAAATATTCAAATTCAATTGTTCGATCATATTTAAATATTAATTCAAGTATTTCTTTAAATGTATCATCCTAAATTTAAATTAAATTAAATTAAATTATTTTATAATATTGCTTGTATAATTTATACGGTGATCTTACTTACATCTTTTGAAATTGATTTAAAAGATTTATAAACTTGATTGAAATGTTTAATGAATAGATCAGTACGATTTAGTATGATACATTCATGTAAACTTGAAAACTGATGACCTTTTAAACATAATCGAAACTTATTATTAACGTCATTATCAATGATCCTTCTGTGTAGTTGTTCAACATGTTTAAATATCTTTGTTCTTAGATAAACATTATTTAAAATAATCTTTAGGTTTATACTAGTAGTAGTTGTATTAGTAGTGTTATTTTGTTCACTCATCATACTAATTGATAAAATGAAACGAATGCTCACATCAATGGACCTTTAGTTTCAATTATTTTTTAATTTTCTTTTTCCAAGTATAAATATGTATGTTTTATTTATTTATTTAATATTTATAAACAAAATGATGTATGGGGACGATTATCATTACCAGTATTACATTTAAAAGTGGAATATGTACATGGTGATTTTAAAAAAAAAAATAATAATAATTAATTTTTGGTTTATTCTTTTTCCAAGTTTACTCTCTCTTGTGTTTATATTGTTATTCTCTATTTTTTACTTTTTATCTTGCTCTTGTTGTTGTTGTTGTTGTTGTTGTTGATATTGATTTGCTAAATTATTATGTAAAAAGTGAGCAAAATGTTGAGTATCTAAAAGTTGAGAAACAAATTCCTTGTTGTGACCAGAGACTGTTGAAATAAACTTGGTTTTAAGGACTTGAATCTTGAGACTGTCTGCAAGAATCTCTTCGCTGAGAATAAAGCTGGCCTCTATCTTTTTGACCAACCACCAAATATACTGTTGGATCGTGTTAAAGATGCGATGAATGGCTTCGACTTGGGTCGGTGTATTTTTGATTGGGTTGTGGTTTTTTTCATTGAGCAGTATTTGTTGGTCACTGCTCAGGTTTCTTTGGAGCTTTCTAAACTCTGGAAGAAGAGGTGGTGTACTGATGCGGTTGTATTGCACCTTGTCGTTGGCAATGTCGACAATCAACCCTTCGCATGTTCTCTTTTTAAGTGTTTGGACACCTACTATATATGGTACAGGTGCTTCCAAATAATCACTAAGTGCTGTTGGTAATATTGGTACAAATAATCCTTGCCAAATAAATGGAAAAATAAAACTTGTCATTGAAAAACTAAATAGAAAAAAAAAGAATTAAATTAATCAAATCAATCAAATTAATAATATTATATTCTATTATTATTATTATATTTTTTTTGATAATTTACCATGCAGAAGATAATACAGATAAATTATCACAAACAAATACAACTCTTTGTTCAAGTAAAACGGCACCCAATACTTTAAGAATATTCTCCAAACTAAGATGCATAAATAATCCAATGACTGACCAATCTGCAACTGATTTTGAATTCATTTCATCAATATTTTTACCAGCCTACAAAATCAAAATATTAGAATACAATAATAATATTATTATTATTATTAGAATGTTTTTATCTACATACTGGAATTTGATAAGTTCTCTTAACTTCACCTGGAAGAGTGAAATCCAAGATATCACCACTTTTTGGTACTGGTACTTCGGAATAGTAGAAATGTAATATATCTAAAAGATTCTTTTTATCAACCAAATGTTTGTAATCCCGTTCCTTTAGGAAATCATCACTTTCATTTTTAACCATTTGTTGATCAACAACATTTGATGGTGATGATGATGTTGGTGTTGATAATGTTGATAATGTTTCTTGTGGTAATGATGATTGTTCTTCTTCTTCTTCTTGTTTGGTTATTATTATTGTTGTTGTTTCTTTTTCTTTTTCTTCAGAGGTTGCAGAAACTTCTGTAGTGGTAGTGGTAGTGGTAGGAGCTGTGATTGGTTCTAAAGATTCCAATGGTTTTTCATTAGTAATAGTTGTAGTAGTTGATGTTGATGTAAATGATGATGTTGATGTAATATTCTCAGGTTCTTTTTGTTGTGGTCTTGGTGGTAGTGGTGGTGGTACATTATTATTATTATTTGTTGAATTATTATTATTATTATTATTAATATTTTGATCTTCTTGATCTTCATCATGTCCACCTTCTAATTCAGTTGAACATAATTCTCTAGTAATGGTAATTAATCTATCTTGTGCCAATAAGTACAATAGTGCATCGAAATGAATATTAAATAATGGATATTTTGAAATAAAACAGTAACCTAACAAAGAACAATAGAAAATGATTAATAAATTATGATCATAACTAAAACTATAGTCATTATTTCAACATACTTCTTGAAGCAGTAATATAGGTTGGTTTTCTTTCAAGTGGTGATGGTTGTTCGGGAAAGAAGTTTGGAATGGTACTTAGTAATTCAGGCTTGGTAATACAGATACCGTAGAGTGGAGTCTCACCAGTCAAGACAAAGGTGTAAAAAAAGGTTGATGAATGAAGATAGGGTTGTCCATACAACACTTCATTCAAATTAGAGAATGATGGTGTTCTCTTTATCAAATAAGGTGAAATGCCATTAGGAAAACAGAATTCTTGTACTTTTGGTGGTACTCTAAAAACAAAGTTAACAAAAGGTAGTTAGTAAATGATGTGATTATATAATCTATAGTTTATATATTTCTATTTGTACATACGGTTTATCGGGAGGATAAGAAAACAATAATTCTGGACGATGAATAGTACCAATACGAGGAGGTGACTTGTTGTTGGCAGACAACCCAACGACGATAAAGTTTTCAAAGATGGTTTGTTTGGGAGGTGTCTTGATGGTTGGTGGAATCGTGATTTTCATCGATGCTAGATCCAAAGCTGAACTAGAGTTGGATGAGGAAATATCTGTAGTTTCTTCTTCATCTTCTTCATCCAACTCTGTTGTTGTTTCTTCTTGTTGTTGTTGTTGTTGTTGTTGTTTAGTACTTGTAGTAGTTGTAGTAGTGTTGTTGTTATTATCAATTGGTAAACCAAATTCATCTACCTCCTCTTCTTTTTCTGCAGATGACTCTACTGCAACACTAATATTATTGTTGACCAATACTGATTCTCCTCCTCCTTGTTGTTCCTCTTGCACCTCCTCGATGACAACAGTTGTTGTTGTTGTAGTCGGGGTTGCTTCAGTTGATGGTGTGTCAGCAGCAACAAGCGTCTGACTTGTTATTATTATCTCCTCTGTCTCTTTTGCAACAAGTCCGATATTATCAGATTCTTCTTCTTGATGAGTGTCAGTAACAGTGACATCATTACTTGAATTATCCATTATTATTACTATATTATTACTATTCTTTTTTTATTATTATTATTATTACTATTACACTTTTTATCTTTATCTTAAACAAACAAAATTAGAATAACAAGTCTGCGGTCTTTTGTTTCAACCCATGCTCTGTTGATTTTTTAAAAAATTGGTGGAGGAACCAATAAAATTGATTTTCTTCAACATACATCATTATTCATTATTATTGAAGATATATATATATATAGTAATAAATAATCATCTATCTATCTATCTTATCTAATCATGTCAAAACAACAACAAAGTAAATTATATTCATCTCAACATATAGCTTCTCATACAAAGTTAAAGACAAGGTATGTATAGAAATGAACTGAAATGAAATGAACTGAACATACTCTAGAGAGAGTCGTCAATCTAATCTAACATAATATTATTATTCTAGAGCTGATTTAAATCAAATAAAAGAATCAGAGGAGAGAAGAGAGAGAGACAGACATAGAGATAGAGACGACTATTATAATAGTCGTGATAGTGATCGATCAAGAGGAGGAGATGGAGATAGAGATTACCGATCGTCACGTGACGACGAAAGAAGAGATGGCGGTAGTGGTGGTGAAAGACACCAAGAAAAATATTATAGAAATGATGATCATCGTAACAACCATCATCAGGCAAAGAAACAAGAAGAGGAAAAACAAAGAGTAAAAGACGAAGAAAAAGAAGATGTTAAACAATCAACAACATCTACAACTTCAACAACAAGTAAAATTGTACAACCATTTGATAAGAATATTGATGCTGATGATACTGATAGTTCAGATGACGACGATGACGACGACGAAGAAGAATTAGATCAAGGCAATGAAAATGGTGATGGAAAGAATCATATTAAAAATATTAATGACACTGATGATGACGACGAAGAAGATGAAGACGATGAAGACGATGAAGAAGAGTTACTAAGAGAATTGGAAAAGATTAAAAAGGAGAAAGCTGAAAAACTAAAGAGAAAACAAATGGAGGATGAAGAAGATGAAAAGAGAACAAGACAACAAAGTTTATTATCAAGTAACCCATTATTAAATAATGACAATAATAATAATACAGGCGGAGATTATTCTATAAAGAAAAAGTATGTTGTTACAACAATCTATAATATATTATAACAAATATCCATCCAAAAACAAAACTAACAAAAAATAATATTTCCACAATTATTAGATGGTACGATGATTCTATATTTAAAAATCAAGCAAATGAAGAACCTTTAAAGAAAAGATTTGTAAATGATACAACTAGAAATGATTTTTCAAGAAAGTTTATGTCAAAATATATTCAATAATCAATCAACAATTTATTTATTATTTGGTTTGGTTTAATAAAAAAAAAAAATGATATTAATATTATTTTCTAATTTAATCTAATCTAATAGGTCTTCTTGACTAGGAGGAATAATATTATTATTATTATTATTATTATTATTATTTTTTTTAAATTTTGATAAATAATGTTTAACAGCTTTTCCACTTTTTGAAGGAGTACCATCCCAATCAACAATAAGTGAAGGGAACAGGCAATCTTTGGGAAACCATCCCCAAGCCGTCCAATGTATACCCTTTCGATCAGCATAATCTATAAATTCTTCAGTGTATACTGATTCACAAGTAAATTCTCCAAATTCTGTTGCAATAACTAAAAATTTAGTAAATAGTAAATTAAATTAGAATGTTTGATAGAATATATATATTATATATAAATATCTATATTATATTATATTTAATCTTTTTACATACTTGGGAATTTTTCAGATAAATCACCAAAATGATGATCCCAATATTTACTAGCTTTATCTGTGAAATTATAGGGATGTGTACCATACATTATATTATAACCATCCAACAAGAATGATTTAACATGGTATAGATCAAATCCCCATCTCATTCCATTGGCAATGACTACATTATTGGCACCAGTATTTCTGATGGTATCCAATAATTGTTGCATACCAACATATTTTTTACCTTTAAATAGACCTCCATTACGCCATATATACCAAGATTTAAACATTGGTTCATTGTACATTTCAAAGACTACATTGGTATCGTTTTTATACGTCTCGGCAAGTTCCTTCCAAAATTGGATAGAGTTTTGATCGGCCATTATCTTTTGTGATGGTGATCCTTGTAAATCACCATCATCACTCCAATGTAAATCGAGAATGACATACATCCCAAGTGACTTTATCATTTCAACCTGAGTGTTTATTGTATCCTTGTAATCAGCGTTGTAATGTTTCGATGTATTTAACCAATAATCTTGATTCAATGATAATCTAACTACATTTGATCCCCAATCTTTCATATTTTGGTAATCTTTCATTGATAATTTCTCTCCATATGGCCACCTAAAATCAAAAAATATAAATTAATAATTAAAATATTAAATAACTATTTCTTTTAATTATTTTATATTTACCATTCTAAAGAAGGTCTTGCAATTCCTCTTAATAATACTAAATCACCTTTATCAAATAAATATGGACCTTTAACATAAAGTGATCCATCAACAAAGCTTTGTAAGTTATTATTAATATTGATTAATCCTATAAATATTATTAAAATTCTAATATAAACTAAAGAATACATTCTTTTTAACAATGAATATATAATATATAATTAATTAATGATTATAAAAGTGATGAGACTGATCAGTCTATAGTATGATCAGAATCTGATGATGAAATCACCCACACATACATACACACTATGTTTTTGATTTCTTTTTAAAACCACCATCATCGATATGTTGGGGTTATTCATTCATTCTTCCTTTATTTCTTTCATTCTATTCTTTTTTTTTAACACCATAAATTTCTTTTATACAATAGAATGAATCTACTTGATCTATGCTTTGACTTCTTGAAAAACATTCTTTTTTTACCCATCTTGTCCAAATGTGAAATGATGGACTTGGGAATAGAGTGTTGATCCTTGCGTCCAAGAAATCTTTCATGTGTGATTCATACTCGTGAGGGTGACATCTAGGTTCATACTCTTTGTATACATGTTTGACCAAGAATGACTCGATATTTTTGTTTTCAGAGATGGATGATAAAATCATTTCCATGCCACTTTGAAATGATGAATATTTGACGGTTGGAAAGGATATCTCGAAATGTCTAACATATGATAATTGTTGAATGAATGGTACCAATGATTCTATTCGACCCAATGTATTAATATAGTGTGTCCAAATAACACACAGTCTTGTAGTATCAATACACTGTTGTATAAATTGAAAGTAGGTATCATAGAAATGACAACTAAATTCATTGACAATTGTCAATTCATTTGGACTAGTCATAATATTATTTGATAATCCTCCTCCTCCTCCTCCACCACCACCACGACTAATTATATTATAGTTTTGGAATGTAAATTGTTTTTCTGGTTCTATATAGCCTGACAACTCGGTTAGATTAGGACCAATTCTTTCAAGGTCGATTGGTGGACTGTTGTGAGGTGGGTATACCAATGACTTTAAATTGGTAAACTTGTCTTGAATTGGTTGGAAATACAGTTGAGTTGATTCCAAGTCATCTGAAAAGTCGGTGATTGTAAGTTGTTCCAATCCTCCATCTCGACTGAATTGGTAGCTCTCCTTGTACTCTATTGTCTTTACATTTCCAATCACTTTTAATTTTTGTAGTGATTCATATTTTGAATAGTCATCGTTGTCGTCGTAGTACAAGTTGGTGGTTGTTGTTGAAGTAGGGTCACTTCTTATTTTTGGTTTGTTGAATGATAACTTTAACCTTTGACAGCCAAGAGTATCCATCATCTCGTTTACATTTTGATGATTTAATGTTGTTGTTGTTGTTGTTGTTGTTAGTGTTGATGGCATACCAACCCTTAACTTTTCATAATCTATTGTAAAGTAATCATCATCTTCTTCTTCTTGATTATTATTAATATTTTGATTATTTTGATTATTATTATTATTTTGTGATTCTAATCGAATGATGATCAACGATTCATGAAACAATAGTTTTGAAATGGTTGGTGATTTCAAGAGTGAATAATGTTTGTGAATCTTAAAGGAAGAAGAAGATGAAGATGAAGAAGATGGTTGATTGAATGTTGTGTCTTGACCAGTTTTAACTCCATTCCAAACGATGATTTCTAGTTGAAGGGTGAAATGATCTCTAGCATACCGAAACCAATCTTTGCACACCAACGACAAATCTAATCTCCATCTTCCACAACTATACTTTGACAGTGTGAATGTGACCGTGTGCCATGCCGCTCTCAATATCACGTATTGTACGTATCTATTAGTTGATATCAATGAATCAATCATTTCATTGCAATGAGTGAATCTATACAAAAATAGATAGATAGATACATGTTATCACATGTAATTATAATTATCTCTTTGCAAAAACCAACTATGTGTGTACTGATTCACACAGTTTACAAATTCGGATTCCACTTTTATTCTATTAATACTATTATCAGGTACCTAATTGCATGCACTTTCCCAACCCATAGGTAGTGAAGATGATTTCTTAATGACTCGATCTTAAAAATTCAAATAATAAACTACATATATACATATCTATCTCTCTCTTGGTGTGTGTTAACTTGGGAAGTAAAAAACTATTACAAATTTGGGTTGCCCGCTATAGTTATCACAACTTTTATGATTAATATAAAGGGGTGCATTCAATTTCAGTCAACAGAGTAATAAAATTAATACCGCGCACACACAATTAGATTAAGAGACAACTCTTGTGAACAATAAAATTTTCGAAATACTTTTTCTCATCAGACGTGACGAAACTAGTTTGTTGAAGATAGAGAGACAGTCGCTGCAGTATACTCATTACTCTCTACTCTTTCTACCTTTATATAAATATATATAAACAACCCAAAGTCAATATTAATATTCATTAAATAGTACTCAATAATCATCGACATCATCAGCATCATCATTGACTGATTGATTGATTGATTGATCTATTATTGACTTTAAAGTGGTCGTCACAGCTAGTTAGTTAGTTAGTTATGTTCAAGTTGATAGAACAATTACTGTCTCCATCAAAGGGTAGTAATTGTAGAGACAAGGATAAAGATAGAGATAAAGATGAACCTCCTATACAATCACCTTTTCCAACTCCAAATAATACTTCATCACCATCTACTCCCTCTTCGTCATCAACACCTTCATCAGTAAACTATTCACCAACAACACCATCATCACCCAAACATACAGCTACTAGCAATAATAATACTAATAATAATAATAATAACTTTATTCTTAATGGAAATGGTATGTCATAACATATAGTATAAATGATTGTTGTGTGTGATAATTAATTAACATGTTCTTTAATTTCTCTGTCTCATTTATAGAATCATCACAAATTGATAGTAATGGAATATCACCATATGGACATAATATATTTCAGTATAGATGTGAAGTTCCAATTGATAATGTTATCAAAATATTGGTATTGGGAGGATTTCAAGTTGGTAAAACAAGTTTAATTAGAAGATATTTACAAGATATATTTACAAATCAGTATATTCAAACGATTGGAGTTGATTTGAATACAATGATTTTACAAGCTGTTAATCCACCTCCTTTGATTCCATCATCTGGATCATCTGTTCAATCCTCATCATCATCATCATCAACAACACCTCCAACATCTCAACAACAACAACAACAAGGCCAAGACCAAATTCAACAATACAATAATCAAATCAACTTTATCGTTCAGTTTTGGGATATTGCATATCCAGAGATCAAGGGAAAGAATCTGACACAATTGCTCAGTGGTACTAGTGGCGTTATTTTGGTATTTGATTCAACCAATGCATCTAGTATTGTCGCAATGGATGAATGTAGAGCCATCTTGAAAAAATATGGTATCAATAACAACAATAATAGCCATAATGGTCTACAACAAATTCCAATTGCCATCTTTGCAAACAAATCAGATTCTGGTGATCCTGTAATTAATATTCAAGATTTAGATAATGTAAATATATATCAAACAATATTTATTTATTTATATATTAATTATTTAATTTATTTATTTAGTATTGTAAATCAAGTGGATTTAATTTATGTAGATTTACATCAACTAGAAAAGATGTTGGAGTTAAAGATGGAATTGATAAAATATTGGAATTGGTATTAGATATAAAGAAACAAGAAATTGAAGAACAACAACGTCACAGAGCTAAAATCATTCTAAAACAACAGAATCCTCATCATAATCACAATCACCATCATCATAATCATAAACATAAATTAAAATCAAGAGAAAAGATAAACAACAATGGTAATGGTAATGGTCAACCAGTACCTATAATATCACAATCTTTACCAAACATGATAATTAATAATAATAATAATTCACCAAGAAAACCAATAGAGCAACAACAAAAGAATAATGAAAATAATAATAGTAATAGTAATAATAATGTAATTTTAACAATTGAAAAACAAGAAGAACAACAAAGAATAGATATATTAAAGATTAATGAATTACAAACATTTGCAACTGAAAACTATGTAAATCGATTTGGAAAATCATTGGAAGAGTTGTTGCAAAAGACGATTGGAGCAAGATACAATGATATATCAATGTTGGAGAAACAACGTAATCAAGAGTATATCAAGATATGCAATAGTCTAAAGAAACTCTTGCAATCTCCTCACCAACAACACATTAGATCACATGTAGGTGGTCTACGAATCATTGTCACTCGTGAAATGATTCAAAGTACTTTGGAAGAGAATGTCAAAAAGTGGACTAGACTAATTGATAATTTAATGTTGGAAATGTCTTTGGATCATCCTTCAACCACTACAACAACGAATACCAACAACACTACATCTAGTTCATCAAACAAACAATCATCGAGTAAATCAAATAGATCAACTATCAATTCAAGTACTGATAGTAATATCTCAACTTGTTCTTCAACATCATCATCTTCTTTATCAACCAACTCATCAGAAAAATCTACAACGACACCAACAATGTTATTTAATCACGACAATAATAATAATAGTAATAGTAATAATAATCCTGTATATAAATCAAATAATACATCCATTTCTTTATCTGTATCTTATCATCCTTCTTCGACCAATATGAATAATAACAGTAATAGTAGTAACAGTAATAGTAATAATCATAATCACCATAGTTCATCCAAACATCATCACCATCACCATCATCATCATAGTAATCGACATGGTGGTAATTGGAAGATGGGATTTGGATTTAGAAATAATGCCAAATCATCTGGTATTGCATTCAACAATGGAAATTATAGTTCTGTTGATACTGATAATCCAGTTTCATCATCATCTACTATATCTTCATCTTCTTCGTCATCTTCTCTCATGTCATCATCGTCTGCATCGTCCTCTCCCATTGCATCACCTTCGACCTCACCAATCAACCATCCCTCCCCATCCATACTTCCATCGTCTTACAATCTCACCTTTCATATTCCACCCAATGTACAATTATCTAGTCCTCCACTTATACTAACTCACCCAGATCTGATGCATCACTCCAGTCCAACAAACTAGTTCAAATAAATAAATAGAGTCATTTATTTATAATATAAAGGGATAAAAGAAAAGTTAAGTTAATTATAATCAAAACATTCTTCTATCTAGATTTCCTATGAATCGATTGGTTCGGAGCAAGACAATCTTCGCGTGCTGCGACGATGACCATTCCCCTTCCATTCGATCACTGAACGAAACCTTTTATTAGTTGAAGGATCTTTCAAAATATCTATTTTATTTTTTTTTAAAAAAAAATAATATCTTGATATCAACATAAATAAGTGATCTCACCTCTTCACACAATAGTTTCACAATCAAATCATAATCATCTTACAAATAATAATAGTTTAGTAATAATAATAATAATGAAGAGTTTAATATTATTATTAATTTCAATTTTATGCATTCTTGGTGTTGCATCATCTCAAAGAATCGTCAATACACATAAACCATCAACATCAGTTAAATTTTCACCAGTAGCAATATTTGTACCATCAGATTGCAAATATGGTTGTGATTACTTTGATAAGGAAAATTGGTTAGGAGCAGAGCTTCCAGAGTCTGGACAAACAATTTATATTGATTACTCCAATACTGAATTCCAAGGTCAACAATATATCTATGCCAAATCACAAATCTATGGTTTAACTCTTAACCTTACATCATCTCTAAAGACCAACTCGATTGTATTCCAATTGTCGGTATCATCAAAGATTGGTGCTCTCTTTTCAATTGGTTCGGATATTGAATTGTACCCAAACACTGTCTTGGTAGCCAATGATTACGTCTGGTTTGACCATGGTCAATTAAATATTGACAGTAATGCTGAATTGATTAGTTTTGGTAACACAATTTTTGGTCCAGATACTACTATCTTCCTCAATAGTACTGCTGCCCTATCAACCCATGCTCAAGCCGAGATATTTGGTAATGTAGTCGGTCCCCACGGCATGCTAGAATTCTTTGGTAACACTTCATTGGTTAGTTCTAGTTTCCAAGTTGGTGTCCTTACTTTTAACGATACCTTGCAAATTGCCCAAAAGTCAATTGGTAACATCGCCATCTTACAGTCTGACAATGGTGCCCTTTCCATTACATCGAGTACCGTCTTTGCTTTGACCGTTACGATTGCTGAAAATGTTACACTTGTCACGTCCAACTTTGAAATCGCGGGTGTCCAAACAACCAGTTTTGTCGGATACATTGAATCGGATATTTCTAGTATCCTCCAATCTAGCAATGGAGCATTGACCTCGTTTTACGACTTTGATTTGAACGGTCAGACATTTGTCGTCAATGCCACCGCCTTTTTCGGTAACGGTTTCATCTCCTATCTCAAGGTGTACAATACCAATCCCAACAACAACCTCCTTTTATCCAATGTCAATGTCGACCAATTCATCTCGCAACCAGGTGTGGCCAATGCCCTATTCGTACTCGAAATCCAAGGAACCACCAGTATTGCCCAATTCCATGGTCAAAACGTTCAAGTCTTTATCACTGGTGAAGGTATTCTCGATTTCTCCAATGCCAATGTCTTCCTTGGCACACAAGCCCAAATATCTGCCGTTGGCTCTGATACTGCCCTCATCTTTAACAATACCCAACTTTCTGGTGGTTATGTCATCTCTCTTGCTTCTGAAGCTGTTGGCATTATCGCCGACTCTACTTTGGCCATTCCAATTTACGTCACTGATCCACAGACCCAACTCCGTATCTCTGGTAATTACAGTGTCGTTACACAAATCGAAGTTGTCAATGGTGCCAACATGGTCATGTCAGATGGACAATTGTATCTTTCCAATTACCTTTATGTATGGGCTGCATCTGATTGTCTCCTCAATCTCACCACCCTTGTTTCCGACCAAACCAAGACACCCATCTTTGCTAAACAAGGTTTCAGATTCTCAAGAGATTCCAAATTAGCTGTTCAAAGTCAATCCAAGGGTATTGCTCTTGGCACAGATTATTATGCATTCGTTTCACCTGCAACCATTTCACTCACCGAATTTGACTATTATCCCTCCAATCCAAATGTTCCAGCCACAATGAAAATTGCCTATATCAACACAATTGAATATGTTGTTTTTAGTTTTAGTAGTAAATAAAATAAATTTAAATTAAATATATAAAACAAATAAATAAATGAACAAATACTATACAATATGTTAAAAAAATAATAATAATAAAAAAAAAAAAAGAGTCAAAGATGTAAGAAATAAATAAGACTTTTTTTTTATAATATTACGAGAATGAGCTGTGATCATTGGTTTTTATTTTTATTCACAAATTTTTAAAGTTATATCTACTATTATAATAATCTATGTCTAATGATTATGCACAGACACAACAAACAAAAATACAATAATGAATAATGATAATAATCAACAACAACAAGAGTTAGGGTTATTATTTTCAAGAATATTCAAAAATGTGATTATTCAAAGATGTATATTTTATCACTTGAAGGAAGTATGTAACATACACAACAAGAGCAACAACAACAACAACAAGATTGTTGATCAACAGAAAAGAACAAGTGAAAAAGAAAAGAATGTACCTTTAAAAGTGTATAGATGGAAAGAACTAAAAGATAATTTAGATCAGTTGTCAAGACATGGTTACATTGATCAGATTAAAAAGATTGTTGCTTATCAAGAACAAGTAGTCTGTTCAAAGTATCGTTGGACAAAACAAGGTGATGAACAGATACCTTACACACCTCATTATATGACTATCATCAATTACATAGTCAGAGACGGTCACTTTGATTATATTCAAGAGATTTGGAATAGGTTGGCTAGACATTTTCCAGAAATACCACACTCTATCATTTGGTATGCTGTATACTATAATCAAACTAAAATCTTCAAGTGGGCAATCGAGCAATCAAAAGAAGAAAAAGTCAATGATTATATTGATATGTCTCGATTTTTCGAACCCATTAAATATGGTATCAAAGTAGAGAAACAATTAAACAATCGTGATGAAATCATTGATTGTCTACCATTTGAATCGTTTTCAAATTTGGAAGAGAATTGGCCGACTGGTACCGTCACAATACAATCATCGGATCTAAGATATCGATTGTACCAATACCTCTCTTTAAATCTTGCCAAAAACACACAATTAAAAGAGACACTTTTATCAAGATTAATTGTCAATGCAATGCAACTAGGAGATAACGACCTTTTTAAAACTATTCAACAAAATCATTATAATTCTCATCGTGGTTTATTTAATTTTGAAGAATTGGTGTACTCGGCTGCTTCAACTGGTAACTTGGTGGCTCTAAAGTATTTAATAGGAACAAATATATCAGTAATGCAAAAAATCAAGGCTCTCGTTTTGGATAAAGGAGCTGTAAAGATATTTGAAAAAATCAGGTTTGGAGTATTGGATAAAGCAGTTTCAAACGGTCACCTTCATATTGCAAAGTACCTCAGAACTGAACATGTACCATATTGTACTGAAACTACTATTCAAATGGTATGTAGTCTATGATTGGTAGATAGTATAAACACATTTGAAACAAAAAGATATTAACCTTTTATTTTATTTTATTTTTTTAAATAGGCAATTGAAAATGGAAATATAGATATGGTAACCTATGTATTGGAAAATGCAAAAGAATTTTGCACATATCATACTGTTTACTATACAATTGATCATAATCGTACCGATTTATTCAAATTATTGGTTGATCACTGTTCAACATTTAACCGTCGATTCGATTTACATGCTATTGTCAGAAGATCATTGGACCATGGTAGATGGGAGGTATTGGAGATTATGAAGACTAGATTTGGTATTGGTTTACCAAAATCCCTAAAAAACTTCAAGTTTAGAAACAATGATATACTCAAATACGTATATCAAAACAGAAAGAAAGATGATAACAATAATAATAATAATGAAGAATCAACAGTAGAATATTTGTTGGTCGCAAATGCAATTCCAATGAACTTGATAGAGTCTATTGAAATGATCGATCAAGACTATACACATTTACTCAAAAACATGAAAGATGTCAAGATGGATGATCAAAAACCATCACTTGAAACAATTCAATTCTTGGTGGCTCGAATGGATCAACCAAACTATAATAATCTCTTTGAGAGTGCAATCCGTTTTGGTCGGTTGGATTTGGTAAATTACCTATTCCCTCTTATTCATTCGCAATGTATTCCATTGTCCAACTTGATAGAGTATACACGTGTAGATGATCATACTTGTCTCAAGACACTAGACTTTATGTACCAACGATTTGGAGAAACTGCCCTTTTACAAAGCAACAAGATTCAAAAAGTATTTAGAACGGCAGCGATCAATCGTGGTGTATCAGTACTTGAATATCTTTGGGATCGGTTTCAAAGTAAATTAACAGTGACTGCTCAAATGATCTCATTGGCAATCAAACCAAAACAAGATAACCTCATTTGGCTACTTTCACATGTGAACCAATTCTATTCTTCCCCATCCTCTTCCTCTTCCTCTTCCTCTTCCTCCTTATCCTCCTCTTACTTTTCAACAAAAACATTTGAATTGGATTTCAAAGAAATGGCAAGGTTGGGATATTTGTCAACTATTAAATGGATTGTCGAGAATGGGTATCATCGGTCCATCGCAAAGTTCCTAATACAAAGGACAACTGACCTTGGTAAAAAGTCGGTTATCGAAACCACTAGATATCTCTGGGAGAATGGTATCATTTTTGATAGTATTCCTCTAGAGGAAAAACCATTTTCAAAACATTTGGATCCAGACCTCATTCTACTCCTCATCGACATGGGAGTTTCTCTTTTACCTTTGATAAAATATTACAGATACTCGTTTGAACATTCAGGTATCCTTCGATTAATTTATTTTAATTATACAAACATTAATAATAGTGCCATCACTCGAAATGTCTATGACCCAGCCCTCATCAGTCTATTATCTACTAATATTCAAAACATAGCCAAAAGTATGGCTCTTAAAAATCAATTCCTCACCAAATTATTGTCAACATTTAAATAAATTAATTAATAGATAAATAATAATAATAATGATAGATCCGGGTATTATTATAATTAAAATAATTATTTATTATTTTTTTCAAAAAAAAGGATTTTGATTTTAATATTTACCAAATCTCATTCATTCATTCTTTTAAACATTTATAAACTTTGTTGGTTGAAAAAAAGAGAGAGAGATTGGTAAAAAAGTTAAAAAGAATGATGGGGTGGTAGGGTAGAGTTGTTGTTGTTGTTGTTGTTGGTTTAATACATTATTTGTTGTTATTATTATTAAGATGATGATTTAGTTGATATTATCAATATCATTGATCGTTTTGTGTTATTACTACTTTGTTATTAATATTATTTGGTTTTGTTTTGAGGATGGATTAAAAATTGATGATTTGTTTTGTTTGTTTATTTTCCACAACATCCACCTGTACTTTGATTTTGGTTTCCTGTATTTGTTGCATCTGCTTTTTGTGGTGCTCCCAATTTAATTCCAAATGTCTAAAAATAATAATATTATTATTATTAATATTAATATACCAATGCATTATAATATAAATTCCTTCATTTCCTTACCTCATTATTAATATCAAAATCACCAGTTTGAATCTTATTATAAATTTCCTTTGCAGTACGAATAAAAGCATCTTCTACATTGGCAGCAGTCTTGGCCGATGTTTCAAGGAAGATTAAACCATTTTCTCTTGCAAATTGTTCACCTTCTTCATAGGCAACAGCTCTCTTTTGTTCCAAATCCGACTTGTTTCCAATCAAGATAATTGTCATGTTTGGATTGGCAAATGATTTAGCATCCTTTAGCCAACATGTCAAATGATTAAATGTTTCACGTCTAAATAAATAAAAAAAAAGATTAGAATTAGATTTAAGAAACAATTAATTTAACAAAAAAATCTAAAAAAGATATCTCTCTTTTTTTTTTTTTTTTCGATTGGTCGCAAATGGTGATGCAATTGTGCGCCCAAAAATAAGAATCTCTTTAAAAGGAAGGAGATATAATTTCAAAAGACGAATCTCTTTCTCTCTCTCTTTCTCTCTCTCTCTCAAATTGTTGTTTGAATATTTGAGAATATAAAGAGAATCACTCTTTATCTATTGTCAACCTACCTAGTAATATCATATACCAATAAAGCACCAGCTGAACCTCTATAATATGATCTAGTAATACTTCTAAATGATTCTTGACCAGCCTAAATTAATAATAAGCAAAAAATTTGTTTAAGAATTGAGGTTTCATATGATCTACTTTTGTGTATATATATGTATATCTTCTATATATCAATGTCTATATCTAATCTATGTCTCTACATACTGTATCCCAAATTTGTAATTTAATTGGCTTATTATCTATAGTAATCATTCTAGCTCCAAATCTAAATACAAAAAGAAGAGAGTTAATCTCTCTACCTATAAATTATCGATGTGTCTTGTTCTGTTCTGTTCTGTGTTTAAGTTTGTTTGTTGTACATACTCTACACCAATAGTTAAATCATGAACTGGTTGAAATCTCTTGTCAGTGAATTGTAATAAAAGACATGATTTACCAACACCTGTAGTCAGTAGTAGTTGTAGTAGGGATTAGAGATATAAAAGTAAGTAAAGAGATACACTAAACAACAATCTCATCTTCATAATATTCCTTTTCCCTTCGCTATCAAAGATTCTGTCTGTCTGTTGTATACATAAACAAAACATACCTGTATCACCAATAATAATATATTTAAAAAGAAAAGAGTACATTGTTTAATTTTTACTACTACACTTTTATATATGTAAGATATGTATGTATAAATATTTATATAAAGTTATATATCTATCTCTTTGTTGAATATCACAATTTCTATGTGTATATATGTGATGACGTATAAAGGGGTATGAATGAATAATGTTATAGAAACTTAATTTAAATTAAAAAGTTTTTTTGAGAACAAAAGTTTCTCTTGTCCCACTTTTTTTGAATTTTTTTTTCAATTTTATAAGTGTTCTGGTTCAAGAACGCACCCTGTTCTGAGGAAACTTCAACTTCATCACTGACATCGGGGATAGACAGACTTTAACCATCGTTCGATTTAGATTTAAATATTTAGTAGTAGTAGTATTTTAGATAGATAGAATGTTCAACATTTCAAAGCAACTATTCCAACAATCTGCTAGATTCTATTCTACCTCTTCTTATGTATGATGGATGATGATGATGATGATCATTGATAATGAATTATGACTCGATAATGACACTATAGAAGATATTAATCAATCAAATATATATATATATCTATATGTAGATCAAGAATGTAGGTGTTATTGGAGCTGGACAAATGGGTAGTGGTATCGCTCAAGTCTTGTCACAAGTAGCCAAGAGAAACGTTATTGTGGTCGATCAAAACCAAGACATGTTGGACAAGTCACAAAAGCTCATTGGTTCATTGTTGACCAAGGCCGTTGAAAAGGGAAAGATTACAGAGGATGACAAAAAGTCGACCATCTCTCGTATTCAATACGCAAAGTCTATCGAATCGTTAAAGGATGCAGACTTTGTCATTGAAGCTATCGTTGAAAACACTGAAGTTAAATGCAAACTCTTTAACGATCTCTCCAAGATTGTCAAGACTGATACTATCTTGGCTTCAAATACTTCTTCCATCTCTATCACCAAGATTGCTTCTGCTGCTGCTTTACCTGAAAAGGTTATTGGAATGCATTTTGTATGATATGAATTGAAACACATAAATAAGAAAAAGAAAAAGAAAAAAAGAATTAAGATTGATTATTAACTATCTTATCTGATCTTATATGTTTATAGATGAATCCAGTACCAGTAATGCAATTAGTTGAAGTAATTTCAGGATTACAAACTTCAAAAGATACACATTCAATCACATTGGATTTGGCTAAAGAGATGGGTAAGACTACTACCAATGCCAAGGATATGCCGGGATTCATTGCCAATCGTTTGTTGATGCCATATATCAATGAAGCTGTACAAACACTCTATGAAGGTATTGGTACTGTCGAAGACATTGATACTACCATGAAGCTTGGTTGCAACATGCCAATGGGCCCACTTACACTCGGTGACTTTATCGGTCTTGACACTTGTCTCTCGATCATGAACGTTCTCCACTCTCAACTCGGTGACTCTAAATACAGACCTTCTCCATTACTCATCAAATACGTTGAAGCTGGTCGTCTTGGTAGAAAGAGTGGTCAAGGTTTCTATAATTACTCTAAATAAATTAAAATTAAATTAAAAATATTGCAAACCAGTTTTCAAAAAATGAAAGTTCATTGCATTGATTCCACGAATTCAACTCTAGGGATAGAGATAATTGATAGAGAGATAGAGAAATGGATATGTCAACAGAGTTGATCACATCAACAACAACACCAATCAATGTAAATAAATCAAGAATATTAAAGTCACCTATACTTGAAAAGTATAGGAATATAAAGAGTTCATTTTGTCTTTTACCTTCAACCTCGTCACCATCACCATCAACTTTATCCCCTCTTCCTTCATCTTCTCCATCAATTAATAATATTAATAATAATAATAATAATAATAATACTTTACCAACAAAGATAGAAAAGGTAAAGGTGGTGGTACAAGTCGATGATCAACATGTAAATAATAATAATAAGAAATTGGATGCCAGTAATAGTATCAAAAATGAAAAGAAGAATATTCTTCCTCATCCGGCTCCTGTAACTACTACTACTACTGTTACACCTGTAACTACATCTCCTATCAAAAAAGTTGTTTCTCTCAAGATATCACCTTTGGTAAAGTCAACATTAACAACCCCAAAGCAGAGTTCTTCCCCATCAAATTACAATATGGCTAAACCAAACAATAATAATAATAATAATAATAATATTAATGCTTCACAGGGATGTCATTGATCTAGATGATGATGATGATATCTTTTCAATATCAATGGCACGACCCAAACCCTAATAATAATAATAACAATAATAATAATAATATAAATAATAATAACAATAATAATAATAATATTAATAATAATAATAATAATAACTTTGCAAAACAAATGTTAATGAATCTTTATGATGAACCAACAGAACAATCCAAAAAGAAACCAACCTTATCATTTAAATCTGCAACATCGGCGTTGACCACTCCTACAACAACTACATCTACAACAACAAACAGAACAAACTTTTCATCTCCTTTTAAATTTAATAGTCGCAATGATGTTACAAAAATTAAATCACCTGCTAAAAAGAGATCTTTTGGAGGATATAGGAAGAAATCTTATTCTTCTTCATCTTCGTCAGCTGCTTCACCAAGGTTTGTATTTTGTAATATTATTATAGAGGAGAAACAAAACTAACAAAAAATCACAATTAAGAAAGCAGGTACCAAAGCAACAACCTTCAACACCAAAACAACAAATTCCAAAGATCAAAGTCAAGGCAGAAAGAAAATAATAATCGATCTCTGCCTCCTTCAACTCTTGTACATTCTGATCAACAACTATTTTTTGCCGAAGATTCTGCAAACTCTTTTAATTCTTATGAAGCAGATGGATGGGAATACTCTAATGGTGGATATACCTTGGAACCATCTTATTTTTAAAAATTAATCACCATATATATATTATTTATCATGATAGTTTGGTTGAATTGTATTCATTACCAAAATAAAACATAAATAATAATAATATTTATATCTTTGGTATCCTTTGAAAAAATATATTGTTCATCGTTCTTTGTTTAATAATCTGATGTGATCATTTTATTAAAGATGATTTTAATTTAAATAGAGATTCTTGATCCTTGATAGTATTGGAATTTAATAATTCCTGGATGATATTGGAAAGGGATTGTTTTTCCGATGATGTCAAGAATTGAATATTAATAGCAGATCTATTCATCTTGGTGAATTGATCCAATATACTGTAAATAAGTTGGTATTCCTTGTTTACCAAATAATGGTGTTCAAGGATATTGATGATCGATGTCATTAGAGTTGGTGATAAAACATCGTTGAGAAGAGGTGATAGTCTGGCTGGATCAATCAATTTAAAGTATTCATAAAATAGTTGGCTGTCATTCTGCAAAGAGTTGTAAACCTTTTCAAATTCAAATGAATTTCTTGGTGGTTGCTTAGGAACGACTGGTTTCATATTCGCTAATCTTGATAATCTATCTTGAAGTGAAGATGTTGATGATGTTGATGAAGGGGTAGTAGGTTTCTTTGTTGTTGAATCGATTGAGATTGTTGTTGTTGTTGATGATTTAGAGGTAGTAGTATCAGATACCAATTCAATTTTAGGTTGTTGTTGTTGTGGTTCTATCTTTTTATCGGTTTTGTTATTTACATCTTGTTTGATTTGTTGTTGGGTTGTTGTTGTTGTTGGTTCAATTTCCATCTTATTGTTTACGTCTTGTTTGATTTGTATTTTAGGTTGTACTGATTCTACTGGTTGTACTAGTTGTGTTGGTTGTATTGGAGTCTTTTCTGATTCTTGTTGTTGTGGTTGGGGTGGTTGTCTTTTAATCAATTCATACAACCCTTTGATTTCAGTTTGTGCTTCCTTGTTGGCTGGATCTTTTTTAGAGACTACTATAAAGTCATTCAATGACTCTCGATATCTCTTTTGTTCTTTGAGTGCCAATCCACGTCTATGATATGCTTTTACATTGGTTGAATCCAAGTTTATACTTCTATTACAATCTGCTTCTGCTTGATGAAAACTATCAGAGAGAGAGAGAGAGAGAGAGAGATGTTAGTGATCAAGTTTATAGTCTAATGATAGGAAAATAGTCACACAAACATACTTTTTTAATTTGATATATGCAATAGCTCTATTGGAAAAGAGAATAGAACTTGATGGATCAAGATCGATTGCAAGAGTATAGTATTCGACTGCATCCTTGTATTTTTGTTGTTGAAAGAATTTGTTACCAATATCTTTATACTTTAATGATTCTGATACATTATCAAACATTGGGTCCGATGATGATGGTGATAGTGAACTTGCAGTCGAAGAAGTAGTAGCAGGCTTACTCCCAATCATTGACGAGGCAGTTGTTGCATTCTTGTTTGATAGTTGCTGATCAATTTTATTGATATCTTGTTGCCATTTCTTTAGTTTTGTCAAGTATTCTTGTACTGGTTTCGAATTGAATGTATTGTTATTATCTTTATCCATTATCTCGAGACATATGTACAAGTAAAAGATAACAAGTAAAACTCAAAGAAGTTCAGCACCTCTTCATTTCCCTTTATTTTTTGTTTTTTTTTTTTTTGAATAAACTTCAAATTTAATTAAATTAAACTAGTTCTAATCATTTCTAATTAAGGAAAGTAATACACATAAATATACTACATTACAATGGTCCTCTAATTTGAGGACGTCATCATATCTTTGAAAACTAAAAAATCCCAACCATTGATTTCATTTCGAATCTCTTGACAATCATGATGGAAGCAATGACTACGACTGAAAACCAAGTCAACTATGTTCCATTTTGAAAACCGAATCAAATAAATGATTAAATAATAATTGTATGAATTTAATTATACGAGCTTGTATCTTTCCTTTGATATATCAATATCATAAAGTTGGTATTGAAATTTTAATCAAACATTATAAAATGGAGGGACTTTATTTTGTTTATTAGTGAAGTCATTATTCCCAACGGAAAATACCATACAAATATTTAATTAAAACATGCAATTCAAATCTTCATCAATAATATTATCACTAGTCATTTGTATTTTATCAATCATATCAATATGTCATGCCTCCTCAAATTTAGTAGTGTATGAATTTTCATATCCAGGTGCCATTTGTGATGGTGGTGTAGATGCTTCATTTAAATATCCTTCTGCTACCTGTATTCAATCAATCGACACAATCTTTTTCTGTGACCTACAATCAAATATTATCACATCAATGACATTCAATGGCACCAATTGTAGTGGCGCTTACACAATGGTAACTAATCCAATTGGACAATGTAATAATTTAGGTTGGAGATATTATTGTCAGGAACCTTAATTAAACAACTTACTTAAACCAAAATAATATTTATATCAATTTAAATAAAGTTTACAGTTTTTTTCTCTCTTTTGTATAAGTCACTACTATCATGTGTAATAACATAGTTTGACGTCACAAGTATCCTTATTTTTTAGCATAACAAACTAAAATTGAGAATTAAAGTAGAGCCTTTACTTAAATATAAGAAGATCAGACGAAAATTGAAAATATCTTGGGAAAGATTTTTATTGTTTTTGATCTTTTTTCTTTCTATAAATATCACTAAGCTAGCTTTCGAGTTTCATCATCATCGCTCGGTTCATTTTATTTCAACCCTCAAATTACAAAGATATCTATCTATATATATTATATCTCTAGAGAATTCAATATTAAACAAAGACAATGTACATTAAATCAATCATAACATTGGTAGTATTGGTCATGACGATGGCCATTATTGCAGTTTCAGGTCAAAAGCTTGTGGCCTATGAAACAAACTATTCAGATTTCCATTGTGATGCTGATGGTGAACCTGTTACTCTACCAACAGCTAGCTGCGTACAAGGATCGATCTACACATGTGACATGTCACTCAAACAACTCACAATCTTTACCTTTAACACTACCCAATGTAGTGGACAATATAGAATCGACACTTATGATTTTGGTCATTGTTATGGAGGTTGGACATTTGCTTGTAAACAACAAAAATAATTAAATAACAATAAAATATATATAATTAATAATAACCTAAAAATTGACTGATTGTGATGTTTTTGATATTTAATAAATAAATAAATATTTGATTATTTTAATTAATTTTATGAATTTCTCCTTTGATTAATATTATTATTGTTTTGATTTGTTGGAATATTGTTATTTTGATTATTATTATTATTGTTGTTATTTTGATTACTATTTGGATTTGGAGTAGTGTCAAGGAGATTATTAAAATTTGGTTCACTTTTATAAGGTTTTAAAACGGGTGATTCTCCGGGTGTATGAGTGTTGTTGTTGTCAGAGACACTAAAATCGGTGGATTGTGTGAGACGACGTTGTTTGAGTTCAAAAACTTGTTGGGTGGCAGAACGTGTAAAGAGGGGATCGATCTTTTCTTTGGGTTCGTAACCTTGTTCGTCGTCGGGATCGATTTGGTTGCGTTGATCGTATTGCATCTTCCACAACTTGACATCTTCGAGTCGTTTGATGAACCAATTGTCAAAGGCGAGTTGGTATCGCTTGGGTAGGAAATACTTGAGGGAGAAGAGGAAGATGATACCGAGGTAGACAGTGTACATGACAATGACGATGGAGAGGATGACCTCGATACCGATCGCGTCGTATTGGTAGGACGACTTGAGCGACGAGAGGATGAGCACACAAATATAGGCAAATAGGAGGACACTGTTACCAAGGAGTTCGGTAAAGTTGGAGATACGGTAGATGAATGGACGTGCCCATAACTGTGAGATGATGGAGCTGCCAATCACGAGCAATACGACAAACACTGAAAATGAACTCTTGGGGTTAATGAGTGCAAGGGAAACGGCCATGACAAAACGACGGGCCAGACCAACCAACTCGTACCACCACACCTTTTTACGGTAGTCTATGTAGATGGAGCCGACGACGATGAGTACGTTGGGGTCGTCCAACCGATTACGATTGTTGAATAGCAAGTAGGCAAAGAGCGCGGGGATACCGATGATGTAGAGCACGGTCATGGAGACGGTCACCTTGAAGATGTCTTGGTAGTTGGCATCGTGACTGCAAGAAATCCAGGGGAAGAAGGACATGTAACTCTGGTCGGTGTTTTCGTCATAGGTGCACGAGTAGTTTTGCAAGATGTAGATGCAGAGTGGCAGGTAGAGGAAATTGAGCATGACCAAGTTGACGCGAATCGACGACCTTACCCATCGCATATCAAACTTGTTCCACTTGATCTTGCTAATGACAAAGGTCAGCGCGACAAACAGACACGTCACAAAGAAGATACTGGGCGGGATAGAGATGATGACGAGGAAGAGGTTGGGCCATTTCGACATTTCACCAATACACAAAAATCCAAACGAGAAATTGATAAACGAAGACGACGAGTAGTAGAATGTGAAAAAGGATGGCCATGGCGACAACTTTGACAACATGAGATTAAGAAGTTGATAGTAAAAGACAATTGTCTTTCTAGTACTTGATGGGAGTGACCGTTGGGGATTCGTTACGACAAAGAATACTGCCAATACCAAAAAGAATAAAATGACAAATGCAAAGATGACAATTGATTCTGGCCCCTTTTGGACATTTTAGACATTCAGATCCACGCATATAATAACCTTCTTCACAACGTGCACACAGTCTGTCATGATAGCCAACTGAACAAGTGAAATTATCAGAATTGGATGGATTGCATGATGTAGTACCAAAATTAGATACGACACATCGAATCAGTGCCGATGGTTGTACAGTGTTTTCACTTGGATAGGGAAAGAATCCAGATGGAATTTTGATATGTGTGCCGTTACATATACCATTTTCAGGACACACACTACACGATCCATTATACCCTATATATCCTGGCAAACATAGACAATGAGAGTAATTGTAATAAGATGCATCCATTTCAATCGATATTTCACTATTCTTTCCAACAATTGTAGGGCATTCAAAATTATCATTTTCCAAAATTATAAAATCCCCAGATGGTTTCATAAATGATGGTAATTGTCCAATTGGACTTGATAAATTATTATTATTTAATCTAATATCACTAGATGTAGCGTAAAAATAAATTAAAATAGAAAAAGAAAAAGATAAATTAGAAATTATAAATATTATTTTTTGTTTGTTTAGTTTCTAACATACTCTAGATAATTTAAAACATCAGGGATTTCACCATTAAAATGGTTGTTTGAAAGATCCAATAAACTTAAACTAAGCATCCATGATAGGTAATCACTAAGTGGCCCAGAAATATTATTCTTTGCAAAGTTTACAATAAATACACTTGTCAATAATTCAGCTTCTGCATCTGAATCCCAAAACATATCTTCTGAAAATTCTCCTGTAATTTCATTATTATCTGCTTTAATTATACTCATCTAAATAAAAAGATAAAAATAAAAGATAAATTAATTAATTGTCTTTTTTGTTTGTTTCTTTTTTTTTTGTTTGTTTCTTACCAATTTTAATTTTTTAATTGGACTCATAAATTCAGATAAAGTACAATTAATTCTATTCTCTGATACATCAAATCTAGAAAGATTGACTAAATTTGAAATGGTTGATGGAACGGAACCAAACAATTTGTTTTGTCTAAGGTTGATGAATCTAAGACCTGTAAAATTACCAAATTCAATTGGGATGGTACCGTGTAGACCATTATTTGACATTACAAAATTAATTAATTGTGTAGGTGCTTTGTTTGAACAAACTGGTAATATTGAAAATGAATTATCTTCAATTAATAATTCTTGTAAATTTGATAGATTACAAATCCAATCTAAATTGCCTGTAAAATTATTTCCTCCAAATCTAATACTCTAAAAAAAACATAAATAAATATATTTGTATTCCTAAACTATATTTTGTTTTGTTTTGTTTTGCATTTACATACTCTTAGAGGAATAGTACTTGGAAACATATCAGATGGAATTTCACCAGACATTTGATTTCTAGTTAGTTCAATTACTTCTAGTTTTGTCATACTACCAATTTCAACTGGTATATTTCCTTCCAATTGATTATCATATGCCCAGAAATGTGTAAGATTATTCAAGTTGGCTATTTCTTTTGGTAGTTGACCCTACATACATAGATAGAATAAAATAATTAGAATAAAATAATATTATTTAAATTATTATTAATATTATTATTTTTTGACGCTTACAGTAATATTATTAAAACCAATATCAAATAAACGCATTGATGAATAAGTACCAACTTCAGGTGGTACTGTACCTGTGAGCTGATTTAATTCTAAAAAGGCAAGATCCAAAGATTGGTATTTGGCCCATCCAAGGGGTATGCTACCAGTGAATTCATTACCGGCTACCCAGAGTAAACTGATGGTGAGTGGAAGGTTATTGGTCCATGCAATGTCACCTGATAATTGGTTGTTTGGTATTTCGAGTATTTGGAGTGACTTCATAGACTGGAATACAGTTGGTGGAATATCTCCGTTGAGATTGTTGTTTTGTATGTTGAGATGAACCAATTCTGTTAGATCGGCAATATCACTAGTCAATCTACCAAATAGATTGTTTTCAGCTAGATCCAATGCAATGATATCACCCGTTGTTTCATTACATGTTATACCGTACCACATGTTGTTGCATGGGTCTCCTACCAACCAATTATCGGAATTATACCATTGATCACCAGACCACAAGTCATAGAGTTGTACTAATGCGTTGGCTTGTGATGTTGGTGTGGTTGCTGCCGATACAGCAGATACAGTATTTTGTAAATGAGATGATCCAACCAGGAAGCTACTTCCAACTCCAGAGTTGGGAGTTCCAAAAGATCGTTTCATTTGTTTGATTCGTTGACCTCTTGCTTGCTTCTTTATATGTATACTATCATATTTATGGTATTCTACTGAATTGGATGGGTTGTCGACATATATATAGTTGTTGTTGATTTTGTTGTTGTTGTTGCCACCATTCTTTTTGGAATTGATGGTTTTGCGTAATGTTGATTTGGCATCTGCCACAGATTGATGGGAAAAGGTATTGGTGTTGGTGTTGGTGTTGGGTATTGTCTTTGTCGTAGTCGTGGTGGTGGTGTCCAAATAATACCCATTATTGGCGTGGTTGGGTTTAGCATCGACGATGTGACCTCCACCAAGAATCACCAATATACACGACCATATGGTAACCACCAATATAAAACAGAATGAATAACTTGTATTACTACTACTTGAATTCATCTTTGTGTATGTCAAAAGAAAAAAAAAAAAATATAAATATTTATAGATTCCAAAATCTATTTATAGTTTAGTGCTGTTGGTTTGTGTTTTGTTGTTCTAGATTATAAATCTACATTAATTAGATATATATAAATAATAAATATGAATGAATATGTATGTTAATAATACAACCTCTAAATATATTTATGATGATGATAGACAATAATAATAATAATTATTAAAGAGGGTGGGTTGACTTTAGTAGTTGTTGTGATTTCATCCATTTACATCATCATCCTTTTCTTTTCTTTTCTCCTCCTCCTTGATGATGATGATCGACATGTCAGTAGTATTAACATCCATCCCATCCTTCTCCTCCATCAATGGCATTGACCAAGATGGATTGACCACCATCCACCCCCACCCTCTCCCTCTCCCAAAACAAATATATATATTTATATATTTTTAAAACTGATCACACCCCAATTGGTGTCTTTATTCGCTCATTCATTGGTTCAAAATTCGTTGTTAAGATTTACTTTGCTGTATTGATTTCATGAATTGTGTGTAAGAGAGTGTGTGTGTGTATGTGGGTGCAAAGTGCGTTGGTGGTGATCAGTGATCAATCAATCAATCAATCAAACACAATTCACACCATTTAAAAATAAATATATTTTTAAGCGATGAACTGACTAATGCGGTGGTGGTGATAAAGGAGTTGATTCGCAGTTAGTTGGCTTATCCCATCGATACCATGGTCAATGACAATGTTACTCTTCCCTCCTTGCCTCCCATTATATCCTCGAAGGAATGAATTGAATGAAAGATACACTTTTATCTTTTTCAGACCAATGGATAGATAGATCTATTTTGTGTGCGTGTGTGTGTGAATGTGATTTGTTGTTGCATTGATAGATTGAAACTTTGATTGATAGATGATAGATGACAATGACAATAATAATTACCAAAAAAAGTGTATACTATTGGGGGATCGACGGTTGACCAGTCAATTTTGAATGCACATTCAAAAAATATTATTTCTACTTTCTACTGTATCTGTATCTGTTTGCTACTGTATCTGTATCTGTATATAATATATATATATGGTACGCGGTGAGATGTGATGGAAAGGTAAGGTAAGGTATGATGATGGGTTTTGAAAGTTATCGTTGATGTTATCTCCAATAGATATTTGGGGGTACTAATGGAAAGTAGGTCGATGATGCAAAGAAAGAAAAAGTAAGCTTGCAAACAAAAAAAGAAAGATATAAATAAATGAAGACCTGCCTCTTGAAAAGACTCTGCACTACCAAGAACGCGTCAAACCACAACTTTTCGCTGTTCTCTCTCTTTTTAATCAAATCTTGAGGTCGGCTCCCCTTGATCGTGGGGTGCACGCTCCTCGGTGGGAAGCACACCTTCACACCCATCATAGAACAGGCAACCTTTGTTTAACCGAATAGGAAGATATTTATCTTTTTTCAAAGTCGCGCCAACCTTACCCTCCGTAATGTGGGGGCCCCCATCAAAAAAAGAAAAAAGTTTTTGGGGTTCGTGCCAGGTTTGAGAATAGTCCGATTTCGTGCAAATCGACGACAACAGATGAAATTCACCCGCCTTATTGTGTGGCGCCCGACCACGCAACGGAGTGATATAGGTAGATGAATCTGAGGCCGAGTGACAATGAGAAAAGTTATTCTTGCTTTGTGTGGTAATTATGAGATTTTGTCTATTTATATTTATCTTTTTTCTTTTTAATTATTATTAATTATTATTATTGATTATTATTCTTTTTTTGATTTAAATTTGTTAGAGGTTTGTGTGTTTGCTTCCAAACCCATTTTAAGAGCCTTTCTAACATGTGAATCATATGCTGCCTTTTTATGTTTCTTTATACCTCGTTTGGTTGCAAAGTAGGCCAATACTACCAATGGAGCAAGTAGGACGAGTAATGCCAACCATTGTAATCTTTTCTTTTTTGCTTTTTCATCAGCTTCTCTTTTTTCCTTTTCAAAATCATATGTTAAAAACCATGAATCTATTTGATTAGTTGGAATATAATATTTTCCAGATACCTAAAAAAATTTTAAATTAAAAATTTTATTAATCATTCCAAAAGGGGTACGGTGACTATATTTTTAGACTACTTACAAATGAATAGATTTTATAATTTGAAGATGATAATATAATTGGTGTTTGGAATTGTGTAAATGATGAAATTGAAATGATTCCACTACCATTATTATTATTATTATTATTATTACTATTAAATGATATTTTTGAATTATTTGTATCAGTATCACCCAACGAAAGTGTTGGTACTAGATAATAATAAATAAAACTATAATCCAAATCATAATCTAGAATTGATTTCATTAATATTATTTCTGCATTTGGATAATACATTGATTCCAAATATAAACTTGGAATTAATTCAACTCTTGGTGTAAATGTATAAACATCAACTAAAAATATAAAAAAGATAAGATAATGTTAATAATACTTTTCTACTTTTAATTTTTGTGTGTTTTTGTTTTACCAATAAAAGAAGCTTCAGAAGAATAGGTGAAATCATAAAGTTGAGTAGTTTGAATGACCGAGATTGCTTTGATGATAATTTTACCAACTACTTGTGGGGTGGAGGGATGGAATGCTGATTGATACTGATGGGCATATCCTTGTTGTCCGGCGGTTGATGGGATAGGTTCGATGGGGATGGGAGCAGAGTCGAGTGTTTGACCGGTTGGTTCATAGTATCTAAAGATGCTAAAATGGATGGAGCAAGTCTCACCGGTATATTGAATCGAGCATGTGAGTGTGACGGTTTGGTTGGGGAGCAGAGTGTTGGCGTTGACGAGGTGAATGATTGGTGGGGTGGGACGACGGTATCGGTCGATGGTGTAACGGGCGCCACGGGGTACACTCGCACCAAGGGTTGTGTGGAAACAAGCAGTTGAGAATTGGTAGGCCGATTGGTAGAGATCGACCGATTTCATCGACAATAGAATACCACTCGATGGGAAGAGTGTCGAGTTGATTGATGGCAACGATCCTTTAGACTCGTATCTCGGTACACATCCATCGGTACACACAGTACCAACTGAGACGTTGTAGATATAGTTACCGGCCATTGGAATGTAGGTTGGTGGTTGACACGTTTTAATCAGTGTAAACGAGACGGTTGTTGCATCACTACACATGAATCGGTCGAGTGGACAATCAATGACAGACAATACAAATTGTTGTACCATTGCCTGAGGTGACATGGTTACATTAAGTATTGTTTGTCCGACAGGTGTCATTGCAAATGAATTGTCGGGTGTTGCTATTCCATTGTTGAGTTGGAATTTGAATGATGGGATGTGTTCAAACTTGCTATTGTTTGGTTTGATTTCCAAGAGCAAGTAACCATTATTAACATAGTTTATAGGTTCAACATCAATGATTGGTGGGTCGATTGGCACAGTATACACAACCAACTTGCACGTCTGGTTACTACCAACTGCAAAGTTTGCACTACCAGATACCTTAAAGTTTCTTGCATAAATGTAATAGAATCCTTTTAATGTTAAATTAAATGAACCTGAATAAAGTGTACTGTCACTTTGTTCAACCATCGATACTGAACAATCAATATCACCATCCAAAACTTGATTATAAACCATTACATATCTAGTCTCAACTCCTTGAGTATCAGTATTTTTATCCATCTTGATTTCCATTACATCTTGTACTTTGTAATAATTATTTTCAATGATTGGTTTTAAATATCCAATATCAAATGTTATTTTAACTAAAATCAAATAAATAAAATTAATTTAATAAATATTATTATTATTTCTTTTCTTTTTGTTTTCTTTTTCTATTTTTTGACTTACAATATTTTTCAACAATATCAGAAATTAAATCATTCTTTTTACCAATTGAACGAATACGAATAAAACAAGAGGATGTTGGGATTGGACATGTTAGGTATTTTAGGGATGAGGGAGTATAGATGATTCCAGTTGTATCTGTTAACGCGGGTGGTTGAACGACTCCATTGGCAACGAGTTGATAGTAAATAGAATAGTTGGAATAGTATGTTGGGACAGTGGCAGTTTCATCAAGATAGGGTGGTGTAATGGTGATGGGTACTTGGTTGTAGAAATCATTTGATCCAAATGGTTGGAATTGTGGGGGAGGGAGTTTGGGAGTGAGTGTGTATTGGAATTGTTGGTATTGTTCAAAGAATCCACTAACATTGGCCAATACTCTGATATTGACTTGATTGATACCAACAATAGGATCGGGTACCAATGTAATACCATAGTTGTTATTGTATCGTAAACTGTATCCGGTAGGTTGACTATTATCAACCGTATAAAATATCCAATAGGCTGGTGAAGAGTCCATCGAAGGTAGAGTGACACATTGAATGAATACAGTGACTGATGCATTGTAGGATGTTGCATTGAGAGGTTGTGAAGTGCAAGTTATGGTACCGAGGAAATAAAACATTTGGTTGCTGACTGCACTCTCTATACGATTGACACCTTGGTAGGCACGAATCTTGATGTTTACCGTTTGAATTTGCGATGATGTGTAGGTATTGGTCGAGGGAAAGATAGACGATAACAAGGTGGGATCATCTCCATTGACAGTGTATCGAATTGTGATGGGTTCTTCAATGACTGGTAATGGTTGGTTTTGGATGTTGGAAACGAGTGAAAGTGGTTGGTTGATACCTAGACGATTACTACCAGATGAAGCAATCAGAGTTGGTGTGGGGAGTGGAGGTGCACATCCAAATCGTGGTGGGTAGAATGTCCATAAAGGATTATTCAGCGTGTTACTTGTTCTACTGTCAACATTCCCATTACACATGCACTGAGTGATAGATGTACGTGGCAAGTTGGATGATGGAGAGTAGAGGTATTGTGGTTGTCCGACATAATCGTAGAATGTCATGATAGTTGGACACGACTGACAAAAGGTAAGTGGTGATTGACTTGCACTCGCGATTGACTGGAAATCTGTGATTGGAATAGGGACGGATATCGAGTTGGACTGAAGTGGAATTGAGATTCTCGTGACAACTGCACCAAAGTAGGGAGAGGTTGGTGATGTACCGTTGACATAGACAACTACATCTTTCATGGTTTGGGAAGTAGTAAGAGGGTAGATGGAGATGGTTGAGATTTTGTTGCTCGAGGGTGGAAGGGTAAAGGTCACCCATGCATAGCCTGCACCCTGCGCACTCGTCCAATAGGTAGATGATTGCGCATCATAGAGAACGGCGCAGCTGGTGGTATCCTGACTACTCGATGTACACGATACTGGTGTGACAGCTACACCCTTTGCATCGTAAAACGCCACACCTTGCACACCGACAGTACGCAGGTTGTTGGATGGATAGTAGTTGGTTGGGTCGGACCCTCCAATCACCGCAGATGCAATAGTGACATAGGACGCACCGACCACCAAAAACTGACCGTCTCCACACCCGCACGCGAGTGATCCCGCACGTCTAATCATTCCAGTTGGACATGGATCAACACATCTGCCTCCCACATTGACCTTGCCAATTGGACATACACACTTGCAAGCTGATTTGTCCGAAACAAACCCTTTACCAGTGTCACATGTCATACACTTACCACTGTCACACTTGACATCCATCTTGGATACTAGACAGGAGCGTTTGTTGAGATCGTCCACCTGTTTGTATCCTAGCGACGACCAGTCTAGTGCACGGGTATGCACACGTACCTCATCAATGAGGATATTGGCGCGTTCTTCTTGTTTTCCACCAAGATAAAAGTAATTGGCAGTTGCAAAGGTTGATGGTTGGTAGATGCTTCTCCCAACAACCACTCCATTTAGGTAGATTCGTGCAAACGAGTTTTCAAGCACAAATGCAATATGATTCATCATTCCAATTTGTGTAGTTGTAAGGGTAAGGTTACTGTCGACGAGTATCCCACCTAATGCATCGGTTACTGCTAATCGACTAGTATTGGTGACTGGGTTGATTAAAAGGGATAGTTGCCAGACCGAGTGTACACCAACCAGTCCGATACGGTTGGTTGTTGAGGTTGTGGTTGGGATTGCTCCAACCGACACGTACAATTCGACCGTGCTAGTAGTTGACAATGAAACTAGTCTAGGTGTCTGGATCGAGCTGCTACCTGGGGTAACCACGATAGCTTGGTACCGCGCACCAACCATACAGTTGTCTGACGATGCCGATGACACGAACCCATAGTATGACTGTGGCGAATACGACGATGGCAGAGTACACGCGTACATGCTGTTGTTGAGTGCAGGCGACCAGTATCCAATAGGCACGGGCGCGCACACGTCTTGTGTTGGTTCTGGCGCAGCGATACGGTACCATCCACCCAACACACACACATACTTGCAGCCACTACGAAGGTCGCCGTAGGTCGGTCCGTCATAATAGGAATACTTTGGTTTCCAGTTGCAACGAAGACACCTCTCGTCAGGCTGAATATAAAGGCTTGGCACAAACTTGAGACACCCTTCAATAGGATTGCAACACGAATTGATGCACTCTGGAGCAGCTGCGCATTCAACACCCGTCGACTCGTTTGTTTGGGGTGTCCAGCCGGCATAGGGCAGTTCTTGGTAGTTGGCAGGTGGCAATACAACCTGTTGGTATAGATTCAATCCAAGTGTCCATGTGTTGGCCATAGACAGTCCCGCCACAGCACTAGTATTTGACTGTGCTAACATACTCGATGTCAATAACCAAGTATTGCTCGATACGTCCACCGTCCCAATATTGGCATTCGAGTATCCCGTCGACGAAGTAAACTGACGGTTACTATTAACAACCAACTCTACAGCCACCGATTGTTGACGTTGATACATGTCACGACATGTAGACAAATCACCAAACATGCTCAGTGTATTGGATATCACTGCAGCTGCAGGTTGTTGAGATATCACACCAACATAATCATTCAATGTACCAGTCAACGATGACACCTGAAGATATTGACAAATCAATGGATTCTGATTTACAAATGTCGAAGATGGATCATTTGGTTGATTCATATCAATTCCACTCTTTTGTATAAATAATTCGTTTATATCTTTTAATTGTATTTGAATCTAACAAAAAATATAAAAAGATAAGTGTTAATATAATATTTAATTAATTAAATATTATTATTATATTATTATAATATTATACCTTTGAAAAAACATCAATTAAATGATTGTTAAAAGATTGTTGATAAAAAGTAGTAGAGATTGATTGATTCAAAACATTATTCATTAGAATAAATTCATTTGAAATGGACATTAAAAGTAATGTACTAGTTGCATGTTCAATATAATTTTCTAATATCCTAAAGAAAGTTTTAAAAAAAATATTAATATTTATAATATTTAAAATATATGTATGTATGTATGTTTAGGGGAGGAATAATATTATCTTACAATTGAGAAGGATTGGATAAAGAATTAAAAGTATTACTATTAAAATTGGATAAAGTAATAAATTGAGAGACAATATTAAATTGATTGTCTAATTGATTATTTAATCTACTCATTTGATTTAAAATACTTGAAATCTAAAAAATAAAAAGAAAAAAGAATTAAATTAAATAATTTGATGGTTTGTTGTTTGCTTTACTTTACTTTACTTACCAAGGAAGAAGTTTGAGAGGAAAGAGCAGGATCATAAATATTGGATAATGAATTAACCAATAATTGAATTTGGAGAAGGATGTCATCACGAGTGGTGAGAGTGTCGATGGATTGAGTGATAATCGATTGTTGGGTGGTCGATGAGATGGCAGTGGATGGAACCGATGTAAAGGCAGCACGGATATCAGATCCACCATCGGAATAGGGTTGAAGCAATGGTGCAACGTTGGACAATAGGGATTTCAAGGCGTCAACAGATTGTTTCCAATAGCCATTCATTTGGTAGCCAATCATAGGATACGATTGCATAAAATCACGTCCCTTTAACATTTCTTGTTTCTGTGATTGATATGAAAACATTGATTTTTTAAAATTACTAAAATAAATAATACTTTGTTCAATATCAATTAAATCACTAAATATAAATAACAATCATTATTAGTACCTAAATCCAAATCTAAATATATATATACAATAAAATAATATTGGGGTTATATACTGACGGTGAACTATTTGGAGAATCGTTGTCTTGACATCTACCGATTCGTTTCATTGAGGTTGTCCAATCACCAAATGATGTTGGGAGACAATTAGACGGGAGAATGGGTGACGTAGATGAGGATTGAGATTCTACAAAACATCCTAATTGGTCTTCATAGTTGTACAATGACTCTGATTGAGTGTTATGTATCTTATAACTAAATTTCTATACAACAATACAAAGTAAAGAATAGTAATGATTAGTATTGATATGATATATGTCTGATTTAGATACAAACCATTAGAGTATTGTAAGAAGGTCTATTGAAAGACGTTGAGAATGATTCACATGGTATGTGATTACTAACATTGGTCATTACAAAGTATGGTGATCTAATACCACTACGAGGTACACGAAATGTAGATGATACAAGATCGACTTGTGCAGACATGATGTTGGTATCAAACTGTATCTGTGAATCTGTTAACCATGGGTCACTAGGTTGCTGTTGTTGTATTGTTAATCTACTATATAATAGTAATAGTATCACAATCTGACCGATCATCACTAATAATCTATGTTGTGACGATGATATTATCATTCTTTTTCTTTTTCTTTTTCTTTTTAAAAGAGATATACTAACACTATACACTCTTTACAAACAACTAACTAATGAATAGAAGAATCATGGTTGCTGTGATGGCTATAGCGTTGATCATAACGGTTGTAATTGTTTTAGAAAGTGAACTGTAAACTCAGCTATACACTTCATAGCAACTTCATATGCGCTATGAAAAAAAAAAATTTCTCTAACACACGACACCAACCTCAAACTTGGTATTTATTTTTTTTTTTGAAGAAGAGACATGAATAAAGCTACTACAAATACAAATGTTATAACATTACATAGTATTATTAGAGTACCTTTTATTAGATATGTGATATTTAATCAAGTGTATCTTTTATCTAGAGAGATAGAGAAAATAGGGACTAATACAACAACAACAACAACAATCAACAAGGTGACTACTACTACTACTACTTGTACTTCAATGCGAGGAGAGGATATTAGACAACTACGTGGACTTGGTATGATATCAAAGTATGCAATGCCATGGGATTATATCAAACATTATCTATCATCACCTGAAATGGATAAAGGAGGAATATTGTTTGAAAGAAGAATGCATACGATTACATCGTACTGTGGACACCCAAATGCAACGTTGGAGACACTAAAACATTTATTGGAGTGGTCACCAGACTACTATCCTTTTAAAGCTGGTCAAACTAAAGAAGATACACCATTATACTATCAAAACTTATTATCAAGTATTGCACGTGCCAAACATTCAGATATACTAGATTTGATGATCACTCGGTACCCAAACCAATACAATACCAAAGAAGCAATGGTTTATGCTACTAAAAATGGTTTATTATCAACCGTTCAACTTTTATTAAATCATACTACGATGGTAAAAGATGGTAATCTACCAGAAAAGGTCATTGATATTGCTGCCCTCTCTGGTCACCTTGGTATCGTTACATTATTACATAATTATTCTATAAAACATCAACAAGATCTTGTTAAAAAGATGGCTTCTAAAAATGCAATGAATTTTGCTTCAACTCATGGTTATTTGGATGTACTACAAGTATGTATCATCAATCAAATCCATAAATATATATATATACATATATATTTTAACTTATTAAAATATTCTAATCATTTATTAATTAATTAATTATTTATTAGTTTCTACATGAAAATAGAACAGAAGGTTGTTTAACATTAGCTATGGATGAAGCTGCAAAGAATGGTCATTTTGAAGTTGTCAAGGTATGTATGATATATCAAATATTATTATAAAATAGTACCAACTATTAATACTTGTTGTTATACTTAGTTTTTACATTATAATCGAACAGAAGGTTGTACAAGTTATGCTATTGATTTGGCAAAAACTTTGGAAATTGTTACATTCCTACATCAAAATCGTACAGAAGGTGCGACTGCTCGGGCAATGGATAATGCTGCGATGAATGGTGCATTGGATATATTGACATTTTTACATAATCATCGAACTGAAGGTGCAACAACCAGTGCTATCGATTTGGCATCTGAAAATGGTCATTTACATTGTATTAAAGTAAATATATAAATATAGATTGATTGATTTGATTGGTTGCGATACTGGTATTAACTAAATAGATTTATTTATTAGTTTTTAAAAGAAAATCGTAGTGAAGGATGTACACTGGATGCAATGGAAGTTTCAATTAGGAATAATCATAGTTTGGATATTACCAAATACATCTATGATAACCTAAACAAAGAAGTTACAGTAAGATCTTCAATATATGCAATAGAGCATGGTCGATTAGATGTCATCCAATTTCTTCACCAACGTTATGAACCAAATGAAATTTATAGACTCTATACAATGGATACATCATCTCATTATGGTAGATTTGATATCCTCAAAGTATGTAAAAATTAATATATATATATATTTAATTAATTAAATATTTAAAGACTATTTAATAACTTTAATAATTAATTAATTCTTTCTTTCTATTTAGTTCTTTCACGAAAATACAAAAGAGAGATGTACAACTAGATCGATGAATAATGCAGCTAGACTTGGCAGTTTAGATACAGTAAAATATTTACATTATAATAGAACTGAAGGGTGTACTTTTAATGCTTTGGATTATGCCTGCGAGGGGGGATTCATTGATATTGTTAAATTCTTACACGAGAATAGAACTGAAGGATGTAGTACCGATGCAATGAGTTTAGCATATAACCTGGAAATAATCAAGGTATGAACATATTTATATAGGATAAAAAAAAAAAAAAGAAAAGAATCTTTTTTGAAACTAATAGTTGTAATATTGGAATCAAAGTTTTTACATTATAATAGAACAGAAGGATGTACAACAGAAGCAATTGGATATGCATCGATATATGGTAGAATTGATATTGTTCAATTCTTACATGAGAATAGAACAGAGGGAACTACTTTTAGAGCTCTATTAGTAACTGATGATACCCCCAACCACTACCAATGTGTCGATTATTTATTAAAGAATAATATAGTCTCTAAACAAATGGTCATGGACAATGAAACGGAAATCACTCAATACCTCTCATTAAAAGGTTATTATGAAATGCTTGATTTAATTAATCGGTTCATCAAATCAACGTAATCATAAAATTTATAACCATCCTCCCCATTTCCAATTGTTGATAAATCTCAGCCTATAATAATAATAATAATAATAATAAGAATATTATTATCCCTACACTATTATTATTATTATTTATTCTTCAGAAGTGGTGGGATTCAAAAAAAATATCGTGATTTTTCCATATAGATCTATGGAAACGACCGACCGACTTACAGAACATTTATTATTATTATTATTATTCTTTAGGAGGGTTACAATCCATTCCATCTTCTTCTTCTTCGATATATATATATTTATACAAAATTAAGTGTAGAGAAATATTCGAGTATAGAAATCAAATCATTTTTAAATAAATTTAATTAATGTTTAATATTCGAGACATCATAATCTTGTTTATTGAAGATCGATAGATAGATGCATGGAAGAAAAAAATTGAATAATTAATTAAAAAAACAGAGAGGGTGGTAGTGATGAGGTGTCAGCGGGGATTACAAAATTTTGGGTTTGTTGTTTGTTTCAATGAGATATGTGATAGAAGATCTCACCCCCTTATATATAATTAAATTAGCATCGTTACATCCGACTAAAACAGAAAGATCAATACTAGTAGCTAGCATATGCAACGCACGCCGTCACAACAAGCAGCATTCACTCAATCGTTCAAAGAGGCATTCTTGTACTTTTCTCGGTATTTTCAGTCAGTTGACCAATAACCCTTATACCTCTCAGTCGTTTCATAGACATAGCCTGTACAGCTAGAATAAAAGGGGTGGTTCAAAAGACGACATTGCCGATGGTTTAATTAATTAACTATAACATTTCACATAACATACACATAATTCATTCAAATGATAAATAAGAATGGGAAAAGAAGATAATAATAGTAACAAAAGGAATACTGCTGCAGCAGCTGCTGCTGCATCAATCAATAATAGTGATAATCATAATTATGATCAAGATGAACCTCACCAATATCAACAAAAGGTTGGTAATATATATAAATATATATTATAATCAGATATGATATATATGATATATTACATTACTTTATATATATGTTTATTAAAACATGTACTTTTTGTATATTTGTATCTATATCTATCTTATTAAATAGGATAAAGTAGAAGAGGTACAAGTAGAAGATGAAAAGAAAAAAGATACCAATACCTATGCAACAATAGGTAATCCAGAGGAAACGAGTAATATATTTTCGATTATGACGATTGGTTTTATGACACGGTTGATGCGAGTTGGTCTAACGAAAACACTGACCTATGATGACGTCTATCCAATCAATAAACGTGATCGATCTGATATACTCTACAAACAATTCATCAAACATTGGGACAAGCAAGTAGAAAAGGATACTAAAAAGTTTCAACAAAAAGTGGAACAACAAAGAAAAAAAGGAAAAGATGTCCAACAAGGAGTAGACCTTGGAGACCTCACTGCAAAAAAGGCATCACTCATCAGTGTACTAAATTCAGTCTATGGAAGGTATTACCTAAGTTCATTAATTTATAAGTTTCTAGGTGATGCAAGTCAAATGGTTTATCCATTAATGATTTATTATTTGGTATGTATTAATATTTAATAATAATATTATTTAATAATAATATTATTTAATAATAATATTTAATACATATTAATTGTATTTATTTATATTTTGGGTTTAGACAAATTTTGTTCAAGATGAAAGTGAACCATATTATAATGGATTAATATATTCGGCTATTTTACTTGCATGTTATGTAGCAAATTCTTTTTTCATTTCTTATTGGGAGTATCGATGTAAAATTGTTGGTTTTCAAGTTAGATCAGCAATCATTACTGCTATTTATAAAAAATCGGTATGTCCAAAAAAAAAAACTCAATCAAATTTAAATTAAATATTAATTAATTAATTTATATTTCCTTCTTTTAGTTAAATATATCAAATTCAGTTAGAGAAAGTGAAAACAAAGGTAAAGGGAATACAATGAATTTAGTTTCAGTAGATGCTGATATGTTGATGGAGCTATTTGTTTATTTCCAATATATTATTGCTTCACCGATCCAATTGATCGTTTCCATATTTCTATTATTCAAATTGTTAAAATGGGCCGCTCTTATTGGTCTCGGATCACTCCTTGTATTTTTACCACTCAACTTTATTGCATCAATGAAAGAATCTAAAATCAATGAAGAAGTTATGAAACGTAAAGATATTCGTATTACTCAAATTACTGAATCAATTAATGTAAGAAAATCAAATTTAAATAATTATAAAATGAATATTAATTTAATTTATATTATTTATTTAGAATATTAGAGTATTAAAATTCTATGGATGGATTGATTTATTTTATAGAAAAATCATGAAATTACGTGATGATGAAGTTCGTGAGATTAAAAAGTTAAATGTAGTAATTGCTATCAATTATTTACTTTGGTTCCTTGTAAGTTCAATAGTTTTAAACAATCAATCAAACAAATCCAACCATTTTTAAAAAAAATATTAATATTAATTATTTTAATTTTAATTTTAATTTTAATTTTAATTTTAATTTAAATTTAGTTACCAGATACATTAACAGTAGCAACATTTTCATCATATGCATTATTGGGTAATAGTTTAGATGTTAGTACTATTATTACAGCACTATCTATTCTATTTATTGTTAAATTCCCAATTAGTTTACTACCTCATATTGTATCGGGTCTCTCATTGTCCTATGTCTCAATTAAAAGAATTGAAAAATTCCTTTTAAATGAAGAATTGGTTGAACCAGATGTCAATCTTGCCGGTACTGTAACCTATGGTAGCCTCGACCACCAAAGTGAATTTGATTCAAGTAATTTAGCAATTTCATTTTCAAATGCTTCATTTAAATGGTCTTGTATTAATATTGATGATGACGATCAAGAAAAAGAAGAAAAAGAAGAAAAAGAAGAAGAAGAAAAAGATGGATCAAAAAAAAAAGAAGAAGAATTTGTAATTGAAAAGAAAAATCCACCATCAAAAGAAAAAGAACAACAATCATCATCATCATCGGAAGAGATAATATTAAATGATATTAATTTAACATTTCCAATTGGAACGTTGAGTGTTATTATTGGTAATATTGGTAGTGGTAAATCAAGTATACTATCATCAATGCTTGGTGATATGAAATTGGTAAAGGGAAGTGTATCACATCGTGGATCAATTGCCTATGTTAGTCAGATATCTTGGATTATGAATGGATCGTTACGTGCCAATGTTACGTTTGGTCATCCATTTGACCAAGATCGATACGATGCTGTCATCAAGGTTTGTTGTCTGCTGCCAGACTTGGAGATTCTACCATCAAGAGATTTGACAGAGATTGGTGAAAAGGGTATTAATCTAAGTGGTGGACAAAAGCAACGTGTTGCATTGGCAAGAGCTCTTTATTCCAACGCCGATATTTACCTATTTGACGACCCACTCGCTGCATTGGATGCTGGCATTGCAACCGATATCTTTCAAAATGCTATTAGAAAACTCGTTCCCTCCAAGACTGTCGTACTCGTCACTCATCAAATGCATCCTTTGGAATTCTCTGATCAAATTATCGCAATGTCTCATGGTCATGTTGATTACATTACAACTTATGATCAGTTTGATAAGAGTCAAATTAGTGTTTATGAATTTGGTCATAAAGCAAAGGAAAATCAAGAACAAGATGAAGAGGAGGAAGAAGAAAAGAAATCTTCATCAGATGAACAATTAGATGAAGGGGATCAAGATGAAGAAGGAGCACTTGTAGGAGAGGAAGAAAGAAATGTTGGTCAAGTTAGTTTGGATAATTATATTCGATACTTTAAATCGATTGGTCCCATTTACATTATCATGTCAAACTTGTTTAGTTTGATTCCACCTGCGTCGAGTGTGTTTGGAAACTATTGGTTGAGTCGGTGGTCAGAGGAATGGCAGAACCAGAATCATCCCTCCCTTCCATACTATCTGGGTATTTACTTTGGTTCGGCTGTCGTCATGGCAATCAGTATCTTTTTAATGACTTTGATCAACTCGCTCGGTGGATTGTACTCGAGTCAACGCTACCACAAAATTGCACTCGACCGTGTATTGAATTCTCCCGTTCAATTTTACGATCAGAATTTGTCTGGTCGTATTATTAATCGATTCAGCAAGGATGTGTCGACTCTAGATACTACCTTGCCCTACTGCTTTGCAGAGTCGAGAGATGCTTTCCTCAATATTCTCGCAGTATTTGTTATGATTGCATGGGCTGCTCCCTATGTACTCGTCGTCTTTATCCCCGTTATTGCTGGTATGTGGGTCATCAAAAACTGGTATTTAAACAGTGCAAGAGAGATGCAACGTCTGCTCAGTGTCTCCTTGTCTCCCGTGCTAACACACTTTTCCGAGACCCTCTCTGGACAAGTCATCATCCGTGCCTTTAGCGCAAGAGATAGATTCGCCAATGACATGATGGACAGAGTCAACACCAACACTCGTATAGGTCTCTACGAATCATTTATTGGGTTATGGGCATTCCTTCGAATTGAAATGCTTTGTGCCATCTTTGTCGTTGCAACGTGTATCGCCGCTACATTCCTTCGTAGTCGTCTATCACCTGCTCTCATCGGTCTCGCCATCACCTACACCACTTCAATGTGTGGTGAACTCAACTGGGCATTTAGTATCATGACTCAAGTTGAAACATTAATGAACAGTGTCGAAAGATTAGAGTTCTATCGTGGACTCAAAGTTGAAAAGTCAACTGGTCTCTATCCTCCCAAAAAGATAATCAACAAGAAGAAATCAAACAAAGACAACAAAGACATTGAACAACAATCATTATTATTAGATCAAAAGGAAGAAGAACCAATTGAATTGATTGTACCACCAAAATCATGGCCATCACAAGGAAAGATTGTTTATAAAAACTATTCGATGAGATATCGTGAAGGATTGGAACCATCTCTAGTAGACATTAACCTTGTCATTGAACCAGCCACCAAAATTGGTATTTGTGGAAGAAGTGGTGCTGGAAAGTCAAGTTTCCTCCTTGCTCTGTTCCGTTTGGTCGAAGGATTCGAGGGATCCATTGAAATTGATGGTTATAATATTTCAAAGGTACCACTCAACCTATTACGTCAAAAGATTACATCGATCCCTCAAGAACCAAGTTTGTTCAAGAGTACTCTTAGATACAATCTGGATCCATTCGAGTCTTGCACCGATGCAGAAATCTACGAAGTATTGGATCGTGTTCATGTACGTGACAAGTTGATGCGTGGTAAAAAGAAAAAGGATCAAGGAGACCAACCAGGCGCCAAGTGTATTTTGGATATGGAAGTATCTGAAGACGGTGGTAACTTTAGTGTTGGGCAAAGACAATTGATTTGCATGGCAAGGGCATTGCTAAGAAAATCAAGAATCATTGTCATGGATGAAGCTACTGCCTCTGTTGATTTGGAAACCGATGAAATCATTCAAAAAACAATCAGAGAAGAATTTAAAGATAGTACAGTCATCACTATTGCTCATCGTCTCAATACGATTGCAGATTATGACGAGTTAGTTGTTATGGCTGCCGGTCAAATCAAACAAATTGGTAAGCCCTCTGAAATCATTCAACTTGTTGATGTTGATGAAAAAGAAAAGGTTCAATAAAACAAATTATCGGGCAACCATTTTCGCCAAACACATTTGAACAATATTTGGGTATATATTATTATTTTTTATCCTATATAACTTTTTACATTAACAGAGTTTATTAATTCCATCTTCTTTAGAGATTTAGGCATTTATATTATTACTCACAGTTTATATCATTCTTTATATTTTATTGCTATATTATTTTCGCATCTTCCCAACTTCTTTAATAGGTCAATATGCGGATCATCATAGATCCATTGACGATTAAATAGGATAAGAGTTTTATTCAAAAAGTTGAATTTAAATTACTTGCTGCATAAACTCTTATCCTATTTAATTTTGTCATCGATCAACTCTTTTCTTCAACTGGCCTCAAAAAAGCAATCAATGACCAGGAAATCAAATCAATCGTTGGACAAGACAATAAATATTTAATAAATAAACTTTCTATTATCTTTCATCGAGGTGAAATACAATTAATATGTTTTGGAGGAAGAAGAGAATGACAACTTATAAATATCGGGCAATCATTATTTCAACACATGAAAACAATATTATTATTTTTTATTTTTTTTTTGAGGCTTGTGTTGATCCAATCTTTTCAACCATCCTCTTTTTTGTTTTGATATCAAAACACATCATTTCTATTATTTTATAATATCCAATAGTTCTCATTCCTTTTCAACAGTTTTTTAACATATATTTCTGTGGAAACAAATGGCTCACCTCAATCTCTTTCTCAACTATCATTTTATCCTATATAGTATTTTAGAGTAATAGAGTTTATTATTTCTACATTCTTTAGTCTTAAGCCACATGCTGGATGGAGCCATCTTAAAAAGGTATTGATTAGATCCCCAGAGCTGGGTATTAAATTGTAGATTTTCATGTATGAAGGCATCCATATTACTAATCACAGTTTATATCATTATTTTTCTTTTATCGTGAACCTAATTTCGGGTCAACCCACTTTCTTGATATGCTCTTTTAGTTTACTATCATTGATCCATTGACGATTAAATAGGATAAGAGTTTTATTCAAATAGTTGAATTTAAATTACTTGCTGCATAAACTCTTATCCTATTTAATTTTTGTCATCGATACCAATCTACTCTTTTGTTCGGCTGGCCTCATAATTAATCAATCAATATCAAGGATCAAGAAATCAAATCAATTGACAAGACAATAAATATTTAATAAATAAATAAATAATACCAAATAAATATTACTAAATAAATAACTTTTTATTATCTATCCTCGAGGAGTAATACCATTAATATGTTTTGGTGGAAGCGGTGGAAGAGGAGGAGGAGGAGAATAATGTTTTTGGGAAGGTACTATTGGTAGAGGTGTGCATTGTGGTTGAGCTGTAGTTTTAGGAGGAGGAATGGATGGGAGGGGAACACCCTTCATTGGGTGTGGTCGGCTTGATCGAACATATGTTGGAGAGTGAGGTGTTGGAGTTTCTCGATCACTAGCACCATTTAAACTTGGTTGAATATTAAACTTTTGGCTCAATGATGCTGGTTTGACTGGTAATGGTGGATTTAGTTGGACTGACCCAGCTGGTGGAGCTGTTGGAATACTAGAGGATGGGTCATGTATAGCATGAGGTGCCCATGTTCTCCTATTCTCTCTGCTGGGTAGTGGAGGTGGTGTTGGTTTGTTGCTATTTGATGTATCGTTGATATTATTATTATTATCAATTTGAGGAAGAGGACGAGGTGGAGGAGGAGGAGGAAGAGAGTTGGTTGGAATTGGTAGATTTAATCTTTGAGATTGGTAAAATATATTTGCAATACATTGTAATAGATGATCGAATGATAGTTGAATGTTGGTCAGTGGTATATCAAATAGATGAATCTTTTCATTCACTAGTTGTTGGTTGGCAGTCACAATGATATCATTGTCAATCGTTGATGATTTTAATAATCGGTCTACATATTGTTTGGCAGTGTCAAAGTTTGCTTGTAATAATCTATTATATTCATCCGTAGCAATATACAATTTACTAATATTATCTTGAAATGTATCCAAAGTAAATTCATCACGAATAATCGGTGTCATGATCCAAACAACTTTAAAAAAATAAAAATAAATTTAATTAATTAATATTAAATATTATTATTTGTAATATATTATTTGTACATTACCGTTGATTTAATAATACTAGTATTCTTCTCTACTGCTACTGTCATTATATTATAATATAATATTATAATATAATTTTCGATTTGTTTTTAAATATATTTATAAATGTGTGTGGGTGGGTCAACCACTCTCGGTGTCATTCACCTTCAGCGAGAGAGAGAGAGTCAGAATAATAGCTAACCCACATCCACCGACTGAGATGGTTAATTAATTAATTAGTTTAAAAGGTCTCTCTCTCCAATTCTTGATAGATCAATCCATTTTAATAGGATTCCTTTCCTTTATATTTAAAAAGAGAAATTTATAAATACAATTTGATCAATGATTATAATGGTACATACCTTTGAACTGTGAGCATGGTAAGGAATCATCGTCATTGTTCAAACAACAGCAACAACAGCAACAACACCAATATCAGCTAGCAGAGTAAAAGGGGCTGATATTGATAGTGATGTTGCTGTTGTTGCCATGTTGATGAACGCGATATACTTTTGGTGTATTGGCATAGATAGAACTGTTTGATGTTGATAGTGATAGTTGATCTACTGCAAATGACATTGTAACTAGTGTTGATGATGGTACCTATAAAACTATCCTATAAAATATCAAAAGAAAGTAATATAAACAAGTATGTAGTGGTGGTCGGTTCGGTCAAGTTCATGAAATAAAAATCTATTTTTGGATTGAATCTCAGTTCAATCCAAAAATAATATCAATCTTTAAACCAATTAATAAAAATACCATTATCTATTTATAATTATAAATCCTCTTTTTGTCTTTTTGTTCTTTTGTCTTTTGTTTTTTATAAAGTCTTTGTCTTTTTATCCTTTTTTTTTTTTTTGATATTTACTCGAGTGTTACATCAGAAGATGAAGATGGTAATTTTTGAATTGAATCCTAAGATTCGATCAACTTTACTGAGATGCCAAGATACGGGACAGACCTCCAGTATGTACTTACTCGATTTCCTTTTTGTTAGCCAAGGCTAATTACTTTATAGGTATCAATCATTTACCTTTAAAGCTATCATGTAGATACTAAATAATAATATGTCGATAGAAGTTAGTTATCGGTTTCATCATAGCTTTTGAACTTTCTTTCATAATCGATAGTTATGTATTATTAATTTTCCATTATTCGTATTTGTATCTTGGTTTTTTTTAATCTAGTTGTACATATAATATAAAAGAAATATGTTAATGAAAAAACTTTTCCAGTAAGCAGTTCAAGAGGTTTTTAAAAAAATTACAATTTAAAATTAATCAAAATTTTATTTATACATGTTTTCTCTCATTTATATAATATTATATTATTACAACTAAATAAAAGTATGTTCCTTTTTAAAGAATAGACTGATTTGTTCAAAGAATGATCGTTTAAAAGGAGGTGGTTCATACTCTGGCATGATGGTTTGTTCGGGTGGTGCTGGAGCAATATGTATCGACTCGAGGTAAGATACCAAGTTATCATGTTGATAGTGTCTAGCAATGATGAGTGCATCTTTGATGACACCTTTTGGATTACTGTATTCTAATATTCTACAGTTATCAATCATATAGGTGACTAGATTGAAATGACCAAATGCAACGGCCAACATAAACTCTCGCTCGGTGACATCATAATCTTGTTCGATTAGAAAGTCTACAATCTCTACACTACCACCAATACATGCGTCGATAAGTATCGAGTTGTGATTCTTGATGGATGAGTTGGCGGAGAATGACATGTTGGTGAATCTCTGTATATCCTCTTGATAACATTGCTTAAACAAGTCAAAGTCATTGTTGGTATGTAGGAACGATTGAAACTCGAATGAGTTTTCTTTAATTGCAATACGAGGATACCCATGTTTAATCCTATACTTTATCATTGGTGCCAATTGTGGACTTGAAAACCATACTTGTGGATCTGGTATCCTCAACCTAGCCGATCGCAAACCCAAACATCTATGTATCTTTCTAACCATCCTAAAGATATGTTTGGCAATTATCTTGTATCCAAATACTCTTTTAAATAATGGTAAAAGAGAGATATCTTGAAGAGGTACATCTCCTCCGATTGTTGTAATTTCTCTACTTGACGACGTCGTAGTTGAAAAGAGTTCTGAGGAATCCTCTGTTGTTGTTGTCTCTATTCCTTCAAATAACGATGATGATGTTGTTGATGACAGTTCACCACCAAATAATGTTGTTGATGTTGTTATTGATGATGATGCACCACCAAATAATGATGTTGATAAATAGGATGGTGGTGGATTTGTTGATAAAGAATGACGTTTTATACAATTGATATTGAGTTTGTTGTAGTTGTGGATAGTGTGAAGACGATCTTTGTTGAATAGTTTAATGATGAGGTGAAAGATGGCATCTCGAGTGGCTGGTGGACATGTGCGATCAGAGATATCAAATTGTGAGTGATATCCAATAGTCGATGTCGTCAATGCCCTTCCTTCAAGTCTTGATACAACCCTTTTATCTTTAAGGTCACATTTCATACCAATAGCAATCAATGCAATTGGTTCATGTTCTTTAAATCCACTAGGTGCACCACTTAAATTAGTTTGACCAATCAACTTTGCACCTTCATATGATTCTCTATTAGTTACATCATACACAATAATATGTACTTTTGATTCTTTTGAGAATTCATTAATCTTTGTATTATCTATTCCTTCTCTTTTTATATACTATTGATTTAATTAACAGATGGATGAGTAAAGTTTGATTGATTATTAATTAATTATATGATTTACTTACAAAATTCAAATGTAAAGTATCGATGTGTTGATTTGAAATGTACAACTTTGAAGTAGCAAGTGGATGGTGCACAATTTGATCAAATGATGATATATTGTCTCTGTTGAGCAATGAGTTTAGAAATACTGTCTTGCCTGTACTAGCTGCTGTTGTTCCTTTGACTGTTATATGTGCAATGTTTTGACTGAGTATGTTGTTGTTGGACATGATCTGTTATTGATGATCAGATATATATCTGCAAATATTATATCTTTCTTTTACTTTCTATCTATTACTGTGTTCACACCCCATTGTTTCAGTGTGAAATTGGTAAAGATAAAAATAACATGTGTTTTGATTTAAGATATTTTTAAGATTGACCTTTATAAAAACATATAAAATAAAATCTCTCTTTAAAATCAAAGATACAAAAATAAGTCACCAATTAAATAAGATATCTTTTAAATTAATTTATTTATTTGTTTTTTTTTATACCAAAGATACTAAAATAAAAGAAATAAATAGGATTATAATAGACGAGGAAGAGAAGGAGAGAGAGAAAGCATTTGATTTGAAAAAGGATGGACAATAGGTCCTTTGGATCTCGTTGGAGCAATTTTGATCTTTCTGGCCTGGATAGATGTAGTTGTAGCATGATGTTAGATAGGAACACGCCTCTGTCGCGCATTTGGTTTGTTCACACGATCCCATTTTGTAGACGCCTCTGTATACGCAGTGGTTGTCCATGTCACACTTGAAGAGCGCCTGACTGTCTTTCTTGCACTTTGTCCTGTCTTCAAGAGAGACTACTGTGAATGGATGGCAAGTGCCCTTTGTAGTGGACGACCCATTGACGCAATAACACTTTTCAAAGGGATTGCATCCTAATCCAATACAGTTTACGGATTCATTGGTCGCAGATGACGGTATCTTTTCGCATTTTTTGGTGCCATTCCCATCGCAGTACAGTCCCAACTCGATATCACACAAATCAAATATTGTGATTCCTTCGGTCCATAAACATGGGTCGCCTTCTTTGAGACTAAAATATGCCACACATTTACCGTTCAAACATCTTGATCCCAGTCGACATTCACGGACCTGACTTTTCTGAGTACAATTGTCTCCAAGGGCCAACTCTGGAGTACACGAATGATTCTTCTCATTGCAATAATGGTCGTAGGGGCAGTCATTGCTATCCTTGCACGTGTTATTCTTGAGTGTACACTTTCCACCAGTACATTCCAAAGTGCCCAAACACTGATATGAATCTGTACATGCATCACCATTTTCTAGATACTGTTCTATTGTACTATAAAGATTAAATCATATCAATTCAAATAATTAGTTTTGATGTCTATGGTGGGTTGTTCCAAAAAATATAGACAGTTTTAAAACTGATTACGCTTACCATTTTTGATTTGCACATCCAAATAATGATCCACATTCTAGAGAGTTTCCTTCTTTGTCTTTTAATGTCGCGTTGCACTTTCCATTCAACTCTGTGTTTTTGACACATGTGCCATTGAAACAGTGAGTGCCATAGATACATCCTTCGTTTTCACACGGTTGTCCAGCCAGTTGACATTTAGCACCCGCATTGTACAGTTTGCATGGAGGGGATGGAGGTGGCTCACCATTTGACAATCTTATACTGCCAATCACCAATACTATTACTATTAATAGAATTGAATTAAATATTGTTTTCATCTTTTTCTTTTCGTCTCTTATTTTTAATATTAATAAATTGTTACTATTATTTACTATATCTATCTATTATATTTTTAACTATAAAGTTTTATAAAACATCCTATTTGAAATTATTATTAATCAAATCAATCAACAGAACTGAATGGATCCATCCATTTATCCCTTTTGACCCAACTCTAATTTAATCCCATTTAATTATCATCATCATCATCATCATACCTTACTGTTTGTTTTTTTTGTTAGTTGGGATGATTCAACGTTCTATTACAGATATGTATATATTTATACACTAGTGTTAAATTGATATCACGTTATCATAGTAACCCTAGTGGTTTCTATCAACAAACACTACTTTGATGTGTAATAAACAACAAAAAAAATCCCCCCACTAGTGTTGTTCAGGTTTCATTGATGGTGGTGTGATTTGATTTGATTTGATTTGATTTTTTGATGATAGGGATGAAAATGGATATACCACTAAGTATTGTTGTGTTATTATTACTATTAATACAACGGTGGTGTTGGTGTTGATGGTGATGTTGATGACACCAGATATAAAAGGAGCGCTCCTTCTATTCAAAGGAAAGATATTCACAGATGTAATCTATTCTATTATATCACAAACACACATAAATTGTGTATTGTAACACCCCTTGTTCATAATATGAAGATATAAAGCCAAGCCATCCAAGAGTGTGATTTTGATGTTGTGACTGATCAATCAATCTATCATCTCTTTTTGGATTATAATAAAGGTAGGTGTTCAGCCAGACTGGATAGTACCTAAATTCGTAGTAGCAAGAGTAGTCAGTAGAAAGTGTCAATATTATTAATTAATATTAAATGAATTTGTCCATCGTTGTAATATTACCAAAAATAAAAATATATCATCTTCATCTTATTATTTTTAATTATTATTATTTTTATAATTAATTATTTTAATTATTTTAATATTATTTTTAATTATTATTATTTTTAATGTTAATGATAATTATATGTAATAAAAGAATGATTTCTTTGAAATAATTGTAGGAATCTTTCTAAAAATGATCGAGGATGTTTTAAAGGTGATGGTTGGTATTTTGGTGGTGGTGGTAGTGATGGTTGATATTGGTTGGCTATATACTGCGCACTTTGTATCGACTCGAGGTAGGATACCAAGTCATCGTGTCGATAGTGTTTAGCAATGATGAGTGCATCTTGTATGACACCTATAGGGTTGCTATCTACAATTCTACAGTTATCAACCATATAGGCGACTAGATTATGATGACCAAATGCAACGGCCAACATAAACCCTCGCTCGGTGACATCATGTTCTTGTTCGATTAGAAAGTCTACAATCTCTACACTACCACCAATACATGCGTCGTTGATGACCAAGTTGTGATTCTTGATGGATGAGTTTAGCGAGAACGACATACTGTTGAATCTCTGTATATCCTCTTGATAACATTGCTTAAACAAGTCAAAGTCTTTGTTGGTATGTAGGAACGATTTAAACTCGAATGAGTTTTCTTTAATTGCAACCTGAGAGTACCCATGTTTAATCCTATACCTCACCATCGGTATTAATTGTGGACTTGAAAACCATACTTGTGGGTCTGGCATCCTCAACCTAGCTGATCGTAACCCCAAATCTCTATGTATCTTTCTAACCATCCTAAAGATATGTTTGGCAAGTACTTTGTATCCAAACACTCTTTTAAATAATGATTGAGGTATCATTCCTGATGAAGAAGAAGAAGATGAAGAAGATGGTTTTGATGATGGTGGATTTGTTGATAAAGAATGACGTTTTATACAATTGATATTGAGTTTGGTGTAGTTGTTGATAGTTTGAAGACGATCTTTGTTGAATAGTTTAATGATGAGGTGAAAGATGGCATCTCGAGTGGCTGGTGGACATGTGCGATCAGAGATATCAAATTGTGAGTGATATCCAATAGTCGATGTAGTCAATGCCCTTCCTTCAAGTCTTGATACAACCCTTTTATCTTTAAGGTCACATTTCATACCAATAGCAATCAGTGTCAATGTATTTCCTCCACCACTTAGATTAGTTTGACCAATCAACTTTGCACCTTCATATGATTCTCTATTAGTTACATCATACACAATAATATGTACTTTTGATTCTTTTGAGAATTCATTAATCTTTGTATTATCTATTCCTTCTCTTTTTATATACTATTGATTTAATTTAAAAAGATTGTTTGTTTGTTAGATTAATTATTTATTTGTATTATATAAATATATATATGATTTATAATAGACTTACAAAATTCAAATGTAAAGTATCAATATGTTGATTTGAAATATACAACTTTGAAGTAGATAATTGGTCGTGTACTATTTGATCTGATGATGTTATATTGTCTCTGTTGAGCAATGAGTTGAGAAATACTGTCTTGCCTGTACTAGCTGTTGTTGTTCCTTTGACTGTTATATGTGCAGTGTGTTGGTGGAAGAGTATTTCATTGTGGTTGGATAACATGATCTGTTGTTGTTATTACTATCTATTATTACTTTAACTTGTTTGAGTGATGACCCCATTGTTTCATCTGAGCATATTACTTCTTGACAGGTCAAAGAAGAACCACACTCAAATAATTAAGCCACTACAATAATTATTCATTTGCAGACTCAATTATTTGAAACTTTACTTTATTTTTTTATTTTTATTATTTTATTATCCGAAATTGGTAGATACAAACAAAAAGAGTGAATACTTTAAGTGTATACTAAATAGCAAGTATCTGAGAAGATATTCAAAGATGTAGAGATCATTCATAGCAAGTTGTACAGCGACACTGTGATTGATGCAGTGAAGTTACATCAGATATTCAAAGAGGAGTGTATAGATTAAAGTCACATGAGATCATTAGTTTACACGAATGTATTGTGACTAATCAAACTGATCTATTCATCAAACACTTTGATAGTTTCTATCAATCAATTGCAGTCTCACCATTAGTAGATTTAACATTTATCGATGTATGTTTAGAAATTATCAATATTATAAGTGTTGAATATTCAATCTATAGATTTACTAATTAGTCATTATTCTTATGATTTAAAAAGGAGAATAGTTTACACTGCTTTCATGATTTATTAACTACAAGCTTTAAATATGAAAATGAAACAGCTTTTGGTATGTTGGTAGAGATATCAAAGCAATCATTGGATCAACCCGGTTTTATCTACCAAATGTGTCTCGGTTGGAAACCAACAAGAAAGAGACTAGACATGTTGCTAAGACATATCGACTATTCACATCTTGAAAGATATATTCAATGGATGATCAATGTCCCAATATCAACTGGTGATTTGATCATGTTTGATAAATTATGTAAAGATATATTGGGTGATCCAACACACAAACAATCACAACACTCTATGAGTATAATGGACATACTGCTATACAAACAACTTTATCAAAAAGATCTTTCACACCTAAACAATCCATTTAAAGATTTAATCAACAAATTAAATAATAATCAAAATAATAATCAAAATAATAATCAAAATAATATTAATCAAAATATTAATAATGAATCAAAATATGAAATAATATATTATATGGTCAACAAATTAAAGGAGTATGGATTAGATTTAAGAAATCAACTTTTTGTTGCAGCCATGCAATGTGGAGATAATCATGAGATTTTGAAATGGTTCAAAGACAGTTTTACAGTAAAAGTGGAGTTGGATATACTCTGTCAAAGTCAATTCGATCAAATTCAACTCTTTGCATCAACTGAAACTTTAAATTTGATCAAATACCAACAAATGTTCGCATCAGACAATGCACCAATATTGCAGTACTCAAACTATATGTTCCTTGTGACCCTAAATTTTTGTCAACCACATCAACACGGATGAACCAAGCATTTGAACAAGGAAACTTGGAATTGGTCCATTTTTTGCTAACGGTTGATAAAAGATATGGAGGGACTAGATATAGTATCGTCAAGATAAATCCATCAATCATGTCAATGGATCTTGTCAATAGATTAAAGCAAAGTGTTTCTAAACAAGTAATGGCTCAATCAGCCATCTCTGCCAAACAAATAGATGTTTTACAATAATTCATCTTTTAAAAGATGCTGTAATATCAAATAGAAATCTTCCATCATCATATGGGATCACTAATATTAAAATACATTTATTAAAGCAAGTAAGAATGGATTGGTTAAAACTGTGGAATGTTTTGTATCGGATATTGACAGTTTTGTAGATTCATTTACTGAAGCTGTCAAAAACAATCAATTCAAAGTTGCCAATTATTTGGCAAAACAATGCTTTTCACTTGTCACTAATCATCAAGGTGATCAAGACTATAAAAAAGCTAACCTTTTAAATGCACTCTATTATATTAGAGATGGCATTCAATTTGAATCGCTTTGGAATGATTTTAAAGAAATCACAACCAACTCCAAGATGGTATCTAAATTATTAACACAGCCACCATTCTATCCAACATCTAATCGTCGTCATGTATCAAATGTCATTGATAGAATCATCCAAAACTATTCAAGATTTTATAATGGTCCTAAAAGAGATCAATATCAAATGGAACCACTACAATTGTCCAATCCAGACAACAACCACAATAACAACACTCCATCACATCCATTCACCTACCACATCATCTCTAAATATAGACATGATCCACAATTCAACCAAATAATTAATTTTAATGATTTTGATATCAACCAATTTTATTTTGATAATAGAAAGTTTGGATTGACTCCTTTTTAACCAAAATACTTTTAAAATTAACTAAATAAAAATTAAATAAATCAATAAACAAACAAAAAAAAAGAAAAGTATTTTTTAAAGATTATTATTTTCCTTTCAAGTCAACACACAAACATAATATCTCTTTCAAAAAGATATAAAAGAATGATGAATAATCAAAGTAATAATAGAAGCAGCAGTACAGATTATATTAAAATGAAAAGGAGTGAATACTTTAATAGTATACTCAATAGCAAGTATCTAAGAACAAAGATATTCAAAGATGTAGAGATCATTCATAACAAGTTGTATGGTGACACTGTGATTGGTGAAGTTACATCAGATATTCAAAGAGGAGTATACAGATTAAAGTCACACGAGATCATTAGTTTACAAGAATGTATTGTGACTAATAGAACTGATCTATTCATTAAACATTTTGATAGTGTTTATCAATCAATCATCACTTCATCATCTGTATGTATACATACAAAGTTAAAGTTAAACTATGAATCAATGTATTAATCATATCGTCTTTTTCTCAAAAGGATAATGGTTTTAAACACTTTCATGATTTATTAACTACAATCTTTAGATTTGAAAATGAAACTGCTTTTGGAATGTTGGTTGAGAGATTTAAGCAATCATTTGATCAATCTCGTTTTATGTACCGTGTGTGTCTTTGTCACACTTGGAAACCAACAAAAAAGAGACTAGACATGTTACTAAGACATGTAGACTATTCACATCATATCGGATACATTCGATGGGTGATCAACGTCCCTATATCAACTGGTGATTTGATCATGTTTGATCGAATATGTAAAGATATACTAGATCAAAAGCACAAACAACCAGAACCTACAACTAGTAGTAATCAAAACAACATTTTACTTCAAAATAATAATCCTTTTAAAGATTTAATCAACAAATTAAATAATAATCAAAATATTATAAATCAAAATAATAATAATAATAATAATAATAATAATAATAATAATAATAATAATAATCAATCAAAATATGAAATAATATATTATATGGTTAAGAAATTAAAAGAAAATGGATTAGATTTAAGGGATCAACTATTTGTTGCAGCTATGCAATGTGGGAATAATCAAGAGATTATAAAATGGATAAAAGATAGTTTTACAGATCAAGAAGAGTTTGATAAACTTTGTCAAAGTCAATTCGATCAAATGAAGCTCTATGCATCAACTGATACTCTAAATATACTCCAATACCAACTACATGTACTCTTTAGTCTAAGAGAATGTACCAACATTGCAATACTCAAAATGTATCTTCCTCAAAGTGGCTCTAAATTCTTATCAACCATATCAACACAGATGAACAAAGCATTGGAACAAGGAGACTTGGAGATGGTCCATTATTTGCTCACTATTGTATCTCCAAACAATCATGGTGGTACTTACACTATCAAAAAGATAAATCCATCAATCATGTCATTGGATCTTGTCGATAGATTAAATAGGAACGCCTATCTACTCGCATCGAGCCAGGTATTGGCTCTATCAGCAATCTATTCTAAACAATTAGATGTTTTACAACATATCATTGTAAATACATTTTCTGATCTAAATTCATTAGAAACTGATAGTTTGGTTGTCAGAGCTCTGTGTATTGATGATACAAGTATTATCGCATTTCTTTTGGATATATTCTATCAGGCCAATAGCGAAAAAAATGATGATGAAGATAAAAGAGCATTTAGAGTGACACCAAATGATCTATGTGATATGGTACCTCTATCACTCGAATATTTATATTCAAAGGGTCATGCACTAGAATTTTCATTTATAAATCATCCTCAATTTGGTTTTGGGTCTATCCAAATAATATCGTTGGGTAAAAAGGAATCTGACAAGTATATCGAAAGAGTACCATCACTTGAAATCATTCAAATGATTATCAATCTCCAACCAATCAACACTCAACAACCTGTTCATCCTTGGGTCATACTATCAAGATTCGTATATTTAGAGGATGATATTCATCTTTTAAAAGATGCTGTAAGATCAATTAGAAATCTTCCATCCTATCACCTCACCAAGATTAGAGATACATTAATTAAAGCAAGTCAAAATGGATTTGTTAAGGTTGTTGAATGTTTAGTCAACGATATTGAAAGTTTTGTAGATTCATTCACTGAAGCTGTCAAATACAATCAATTCAAAGTTGCTGATTATTTGGCCAAACAGTGCTTTGCAATGGTCACTAAACAACTAGATGATCAAGACACTAAAAAAGTTATCAATAATACAAATGTTAAACTTTTAAAATCATTTTATGTCAGTCGTGATGACAATCAATTTGAATCGCAATGGAATGATTTTAAAGAAATCACAACCAACCCCAAGATGGTATCTAAATTATTAACACAGCCACCATTCTATCCAACATCTAATCGTAGTCAAATATCAAATACGATTGATCGAATCATCCAAAACTATTCAAGATTTTATAATGGTCCTGAGAGAGATCAATATCAAATGCAACCTTTGCACTTGTCCAATCCAGACAACAACCACATTTCAACACTACCCGACCACTATCTACATCCATTCAACACCTACTATATCATCTCTAAATATAGACATGATCCACAAATCAATCAAATAATCAATTTTAATGATTTTGATATCAATCAATTTTATTTGAATAATAAGAGGTTTGGTTTGATTCCTTTTTTGGGTAACTAAAATTAAATAAATCAATTAATCTTATGAATTTTCGAACTTTTTTTTTTTTTATCATAACTTAAAAATTTGAGTGTCTGAGTTAGCAACACACAGCAATATTTCCTATTATTTAATAAATAGATATAGCAAGAATGGATAATCATAGTAGTATAGATAATAATGATAGTGATGATATCAGTAAATACATTAAAAGTATACTTAACAGCAAGTTCTTAAGAACAAAGATATTCTCATCAGTACAATCTATTCATCACATGTTGTATGGTGACATTGTGGTTGATGATAAAGGATCATATGTTAAACGAGGAGTATATAGATTAAAGTCACATGAGATCATTAGTTTACACGAATGTATTGTGACTAATCAAACTGATCTATTCATCAAACACTTTGATAGTTTCTATCAATCAATTGCAGTCTCACCATTAGTAGATTTAACATTTATCGATGTATGTTTAGAAATTATCAATATTATAAGTGTTGAATATTCAATCTATAGATTTACTAATTAGTCATTATTCTTATGATTTAAAAAGGAGAATGGTTTACACTGCTTTCATGATTTATTAGACACTATCTTTAGTTTTGAAAATGAAATTGCTTTTAATTTTATGGTAGAGAGATTAAAGCAATCATTGGATCGACCTGGTTTTATGTGCCGAATGTTTCATAGATGGAAACCAACAAGAAAGAGACTTGGTATGGTTCTAGTGCTCGATATAGGTAATTCACATCATGTTAAATACATTCAATGGATGATCAATGTCCCTATATCAACTGGTGATTTGATCATGTTTGATCAAATATGTAAAGATATTATGGATCAAAGACCACACCATTATGTAGATCTTCCACTTCTAAACAATCCTTTTAAAGATTTAATCAACAAATTAAATAATACTAATAATAATAATAATAATGAATCAAAATATGAAATAATATATTATATGGTCAACAAATTAAAGGAATATGGATTTGGATTTAAGAGATCAACTATTTGTGGCAGCTTTGCAATGTGGAAATAATCAAGAGATTATAAAATGGTTAAAAGATAGTTTTACAGATCTAGAGGAGTTGGATAAATTCTGTAAAAGTCATTATAATTATATTACAAAACATGCATCAACTGACACTATAAATTTGATCAAATTCAAATTAACCCACATCATTCACATCAAAGAACTTTGCAGCATGGCAATACTCAAACTATATCTTCCATTTTGTGGTCCTAGATTTTTACCAACTCTACAAAGGCATATGAACCAAGCATTGAGTGATGGAGATTTGGAATTTGTAGATTATTTGCTCACGGCTGAATCTGACAAAAAAGGTCTGCTGGCGAGTTATTATCCTATCACCGAGATAGATCCATCAATCATGTCAATGGATCTTGTCAATAGATTAAAGAAAAGTCGCAGTTTATGTGTTTCTAAACAAGCGATGACTCAATCAGCCATCTCTGCCAAACAATTGGATGTTTTACAATACATCATTGCCAACACGTCTTGGTCAACGGATCATGAAGATTCATTTAATACTGAAAGCTTGGTTGTCAGAGCTCTGTGTATTGATGATACAAGTATTATCGCATTTATTTTGGATAGATTCTATCATGTCAATGATGGTGGTGATGAACATAAAAAAGCATTTAAAGTGACACCGTATGATCTATGTAATATGGAACCTCGTACACTTGAATATTTATATTTAAAGGGTCACTTTTTAGAGTTTGAAATATCGTCTCAATCTCAAACTCAGTACACCTATCTTGGAATATTCCACAAAAATTATACCGACAGATAGCTGCCACTTGAAATCATTCAAATGATTATCAAGTACCAACTATTCAACACCCAACAACCTATTCATCCTTTGATCATACTCTCAAGATTTGGATATTGTGAAGATGAAATTCATCTTTTAAACGATAACTTGTTGGGATCAATTAGAAATCTTCCATCATACCCTATCACCAAGATTAAAGACACATTAATGGCAGCAAGTAAGAATGGATTGGTCAAGGTTGTGCAATGTTTGCCATCATTTGATTTTGGCGGTTTTGTAGATTCATTCACTGAAGCTGCCAAAAACAATCAATTCAAAGTGACAGATTATTTGGCAAGAGAATGCTTTTCAAAGAATACTAATATTCTTCAAGGTGCTCAAGATGACAAAAAAATTAAACTTTTAAATGCATTGTATTATGTCAGTAGTGATGAAACTCGATTTGAATCATATTGGAATGATTTTAAAGCACTCACAACCAACTCCAAGATGGTCTCTCAATTATTAACACTGCCACCATTCTACTCAACATTTAATCGTTGTCAAATATCCAATGTGATTGACTGGACCCTTAAAAACTACTCAAGATTTTATGATGGTCCTGAAAGAGATCAATATCAAATGCAACCATTACAATTGTCCAATCCAGACAACACCACCGACTACTATCTACATCCATTCAACACCTACTATATCATCTCTAAATATAAACATGATCCACAATTCAATCAAATAATCAATTTTAATGATTTTGATATCAATCAATTTTATTTTAATAATATTAGGTTTGGTTTGATTCCTCTCCACTAAACTATGAGTTAGTTTTACAAATAGATTTATAAATTAATAAATTAAATAATTTTTGTTTTAAGAAGATATTTTTTTTTTTCAAAGAGACAAAATAATGATGAAAAAAAAACAAGTGCACTTCATTTCACTTTTATTTATTTATACAAATAATGTATAGTAATAGTAATAATAGTGATAGTGATAAAAGAAGAAGTGAGTACTTTAATATGTGAAGAGTTGTTGGTATTCCCTATTTTGCATGATTGATTGAGGTTCAGATATGGTGATTGGTAAGTGTAGAATCAAATCAGTATAAATTCTATGGTTGGAATAGTCGTTAGCCGCATGGCTATATGATACACGTACGGCAATTGATACACTTGCAAGTAGAGATTGCAACACTAGCAGCACTGTAAACACATAGAGATATATATTCATTTTAAGTAATAGTAATAAATATAATATAATAGTGTTGTTGCTTGTATCTAAAGGAAAATTGAATATAGATATTTAACATAAAATTTGATGATGGTCAGACCATCATTCCGAAATGATTATGTTAAATATCTGTAGAAGGAGACCACAAATGCCCAGAGAGAATCAAAGATGATCATGGTCAATGTCAAGTAAAAAGTGTATACCTACACGACTACTAATAATTAAGAATAATAATAAATAAATAAATAAATAAGTTAAGACTTTGAATACAAATGATTTTCAAAATTGAAGAACACGCGCAATAATAATATTATTTTTTAATATTTGATTTGCAAAGGTGTAGAGTTCATTCATTCATTCAACAACAAAAGAGAAGATATAAAGTAAAAGAAAGAGGAATAATCATTCTCCTCCTCTTTGAAAGAATCATAGTTGGAGAGATGACCAGTCATCAACAGAGTAGTAGTAGTAACAACAGCAATAATAGCAATAGTAGCAGTATTAATAGTAATAATAATAAGAAACAAAAGATCTTTATGCTATGGGTACACGATCAACAGTTTAGTAAAGAAGAGTTAGTTGTCAACCCTGAACATTTCCCTAAACTAAAGGTTGGTGATATACTAGAGATATCACAACCCAGCAACCCATCAAAGAAACTATGTTTACGTGTAAAGACATTGGCTCCTGTTAAAGGTACATATTACATACACGCACATATATATATATACATACATATATAACTCTTTGATTGATTACATTTATTAACTGTTTGTTTGTATTTAGGACAACTTCAAATTAGTATAGCAAAGTATATAGCAAGTGTATTTGATTTTGTGTCAAGAAAAGAGGTAGTGGTCAATGTTATACCAGACAAGAGTGCAATCGTTGATTTTGTAGAGGTGTCTTTTAAAGATCAGTATATAGGTCGTTCAGACATGTGGCGTCTCAAACTCAGTCTACAGAATGAGTGTGTCTACGTGCTAAAGAAACTATCATTTGCACAGGTGCGTGCACAAGTCGAAGAGATGGTGAGCAAAGGTCAAAAAGTATCGAGTGGATTGATCGACGAATCGACAAAGTTTGTGTTTAGATCGCGGTCTGCCAAGTTTATCTTACTCATTCAAATGAGTAAAGAAATGTGGGACTTTGCAAGTGACGGTGACCTCTACTTTGAAAAGGCAGTCAATGGTTTCCTCAAATCTCTCTTTGCTAAATGGAAGTCTTTATCTGTCAATCATACAGTCACCATTGTATTATTCTCTAGAACTTATTATGAAAAGTAACTATATATATATACAAAGAAAGTATAATGATACAAATATTAATATATGTTTCTTTTTTTTTGTAGTTCAGAAATATTAGATGAAATACCAAATTTACCAAAGAACAAACAAGGAGTATTGTTTCAAGATTTCTACAAGGTGATAGTGAGTGAAGAGACGAGACAGGATTGGAACTCGGTCATTGTAAATTTAAAGCGAGAGTTTAGTAACTATCATCAAATGGTCAACTGGGACATTTATGGACGTAACAGTGCGTTGGGAAAGAACTCGACCGCTCAACAAGGCAATTTTTTAGAGGCGATCAATTTGGGTATGTCTTATTTTGACAAGCATTACATTGATCGTGATTTCACACGTACCGGTCAGATGATTGTCGTCGTGTCACCTGGCACCGGAATATTCGAGGTTGACCCAGACGTTAATCTCGTCACCAAACAACGTATGATTGACAATGGGTATGGGTGCGACCTTATCTGTCTAAACAAGCATCCCTTGCACATTGTACCACTTTTCAAATACTCTTCTCTTCCATCTCAACAACATCAACAACATCAATCATCTCAACAACAACAACAGCAGCAGAGTAGTTCGAATCAATATCGAAATAATGGATTATTGTCACCTGCAGTGACCAATAGAACTAAAGTAGCTATTAGCCAAGTGGCGGCAGCAACACAAAAACAACAGAGTCAATACAATGTTCCATACTGGTTGGCTATTTCATTTTACGATGAGAATTCAGTTGTCGACCCCAACCCAAATAACAAAGAAAATAACAATAATAATAATATTAATAATAGTAGTAATAGTGTTAATAATCCAGCCAATAATAATATTAATAATGTAGAAGAAAGATTTCAACCACAATTTAGGATGCCCGAACCGTCCATGTCACAGAGATACTATAACTTGACAGCTGAAAAGCCTAAAAAGTTTGATTTCTTTGTGCCAAAGGATCCAATGAAGATGGCTGCGTTAGCAAATCAGAAACCTCCCAACAAGTATACATCACATACGTTGGGTGTCAGTTCGTACGAAGACACGATATTCAATACGCTGCCAGACCGACTGAGTGGCGATTCAATGGTGTCGGCGTCAACGATGGATCAAGCCATTGTAGATGACTATGTTCCGAGTGAGCCGGGAACAGAATCAGAGATGAGTGATGGAGAGGTTGATAGCGGCCACCCATATGGTGGTAGCACCAGTAATCTCACACCGACATCATCGTACAACTATTTGGCACGAAAACGTAGTTCACTTGGTGCACCACTACAAATCGATCCGAGGGGATCACTCACCAAGAAAATACAGATATCCGACACCACTTCATCCTCTTCCTATGAACGACAACATCATCACCAACCACTAGCTAGAAAGACAAGTGTTCCAACTATAATAACTACTCCATTATCATCTTTAAATACTAGTAATAGTAATAATAATTCATCGTCATCAACGACACCTGCAGGTGCAAAGAAATCATCGGTTATTAATCCATTCACATACGATGATACGTCTTTTCATACGTCGAGTAATAGACGACGTTGGTCGCATTTATGGTTCTCTCCCAACACTTATATTTTCGGACAGACCAATGCCAATCCCAACCCATTCCTTCCCAATTGGAAGTCATTGTGTGAACCTGCCAGTTTGCCAATCACCACCGATTACTTTCCATCGCAAAAGGATCTAAACACAAAGTATGTGGAATACTCTACGTATTCGTTGGCACTCAACGATGAGAATGACTATCACAATGATACCGAATCATTACTCAAGGAATTGATTTCACAACGTCTTGCACAGGGTTATCAATTGATTATGGAACAGACATTACCATCACAACAAGCTGCAATGCAATCTACTTCATCCACTTCGGCGACACCAGGTGGAGTATCTGGAAAAGAGTCGTCGTCATCGGCTCCACCAACTAACCCTACCTCATCCTCTTCAGCATCTTCTACAACGACTACACCAACCAAAGTATTTACACTTAAATCATCACAAGTTAAAGGTAACAAGAGAGTGTATCAGTTGTCTTTGGGACATGATTTCCATGTCTTGTCATATGATCCTAGTAATCCAACCATTCAAATCAAGAGATATCAAAGACACACAGTACGAAACAAACCATCGTCGATCAAATACACATACTATCTTTGTACAGTGTACCACGATTCATTTATTCCTCGAGTGGTGACACTGTCGCATCAACAAACAGGTCAATATGCTTGGAATAATCTAGATAATTTGATTTGCAGTTGTGGTACACTCTCGACAATCAATCGAACACTCAAGTATTGGACCGTCCAATATGCAGTTGTTCCATTGTCATTGGTTAGTAATACTGGTACCAATAGCGAGTCTGATGGAGTGAATAGTCATGGTACCAATCATCATACTTCTTCTTCTTCTTCTTCTTCTTCTTCTTCAACTGCACCATCAGTGTCGGTTGGATTGGGGATTGCCAATTCCGGGAACAATCTCCCCACCACCTCCTCAACTACCACTTCCTCCACCACCACACCAATTCCAATCAAACAATTCAACCAATATCAGTGCACTATTGTCACCTCCACAGTCACCCAATGCATCATCAAACTCTATTCCACTGCCACCCTCAACATCACATTCATCGATTGCAACTTCTCAACCCATCCCACCACCACCACAATCCACCGTCCATCTCTTACAACCCCAACCACCCTCAACAACACACAACAGCAACCATCCACTACAACAAATACTGACGAGTAGTGTTAGTGCTCCTACTTCACCAGTCTCTTCACACAAGGCAAAACATCAGGCACCAGGATCAATGCAACATGGAGGTATCGTCAATACATCACAACTTAAATTGGCACAGTCTGCAACCACCTCCCCCAACACTAGTCAAGAGATTAGTAGTAGTAACAGTGAACCACCCACCATGAACAATTCAACCAACATTTTGAATATGAATCCAGCCATCTCCACACAAGGACAATTCTCAGAACAAACAGAAGAAGAGAGAATGGCATCATTTACTAAATTCAAAGAGTATATAAACTCGCTGATATCTAAAAACACCAATCAAAAGGAAGCTATAAAGATGGAAGTTAAAATGTTGAGTCATGGGCAATACCAATCATTGGAAAACGAAGATCTCTACAGTTTGTCTGGGATGGGAAATGTCTCAAACATTGGCCCATCGTTTTTAATCAAAGAACGTTTGAATCCTTCCAACTTACAATCAATCTTTACAAGAATGAATATGAACCCACCAATTGGTTTGAAACTATCCGATCGTAAACACAGACTTCGTAGTCATCGACGTTGTTTTGTTGGTTCAGAAGTGGTTGATTGGATTATTCAAAATGTTGACTTGTCGACCATCTCTTTGACACCACCTCTAATGTCATCTAGTCAACAACTATCATCTACATCATCATCTGCAACACAACCAAATCAACCACCTCTACAAACCTCTCAACCATTACCACCCACCTCCTCATCTTCCTCTTCCTCCTCTTCTCAATCTACCACTCAATCATCATCAGCTGCTTTTCAAACGACCAATAATAATAATGCAAATTTAAATTCCTATCAAAGGGATCAAGCAATTGCAGTTGCTCAACGTTTATTTGATGAAAAGTATTTTAAAACAATTGATAAAACTCAATTTGCCGATGGTTTACATTATTATCGTCTAAGAGAAGATGATCAAGGTAACCTATTACAACAACAACAACAACAACAACAACAAATATTACAACAACAACAACAACAACAACAAAATATTAAACGTAAAGAAAGTGGAGGTAATAGATCACTTTTGACCAATAGTGATGGTAATGATTCACAACAACAACAAAATACATCATTATCATTTGTAATTAATCAACAACAACAAAAAACATCAAATACTGAACCAAGTTCACCAAAAATTACTTCAACTACATCACCTGTATTAAATGAATATCAACAACAACAATTAACATCAGCTTTACAATCACCAACTCAATCACCAAAGATTGTAAATAATAATAATAATGGTGGTGGAGGCAGACAAGGTCTACAAATGTCTGCTAGTTTTTTGGAATCATCTTTTTCACCTTCTCACAATAACAATTACAATCAAAGTGAACAATCATCACTTAGAAATTCAATGGGAGTTACACCACCAATTTTGAATCATTTACACATGCTTTCACCGACCAACTTGACCAATCACTTTTTACAACATACAACAACTCAACCGACAACAACTTCTACCATCCTACCACAGCCAAACACAAATTCAAATGCAATAGAAACATATGAAAATCCAAATCGAAGTGATGAAGAAAAGATTGATATGGATAGTACAAAGACTGATAGATATGAATGGATTTTGGTCAAACATGATAAAACATTTACTCCATCACGTTACTTTCACTTTGAATTCAAGTGGATGGTGTGTACAGGTTGCGTAGTCGATGACTTTATTTCTAGTTGTATTAGAAGAGCCAAACAGTTTGGATTGACACTGATCCAAATCCCAATTGAAAAGAATTATTCACCATTTTATGCACCGATTCACATTAAGTTGGTACCCAAGCTTATGCAAACCAAAGTGATTGGTGTCATTTTGAAAAAGCTAAACTTTATTCCAGACCATATCAGTCGTCGCCCATCAAGTCTCATGACCAAGAACGATTTGTACATCTTTACCGAAGACGACTTTTTCGATACCGAGTATATTCATCGAACGGGAATGTTGTTTGTACGTATTGTAGAAGACGGCTTTTTATGTATCATCAACAATGCACCATCCAATAGAGCCTTTCTCCCAGCTGCGCTCCTCTGTCTAAAGGGGTTCCAAGATCTAGTTGCTCAACTCAATTCTACGATGCCCAGTATCATCTATTCGGCCGATCTATCATCACAATCATTCTATGATGACTCTGTATTTGGTGGTAGTGGTACTCAATCAGCTTCACCCCAAACCAGTTTACTTCGATCTTTGCCACCTGGTGAAGCCAACTTTTTATCACTTTTTACCAAAGGCTATACTGCATCCTCTCACAATAGTCATGATTATCTATCAGATGTAGATTTACCAAAAAGTGGTGGCAGTAGACAACCTTACAACAAAAATCAGAGAAGTGGTCTATTATCATCGAGTGAAGAAGCCATTTCATCATCAGAAGATGAATTATATTTCAATCAAAACAATAACAACTCTTCAGACACTCCATCATCGTCTTGGGAACGTCGTGATAGAATTGATAGAGATGAAATTTTATATTATAGTGTAATGTCTCGGTCACCAACTATTTAAAAAGTATGGTAGTAATAAATAATTAAATTTATTATTCATATTATATTAGAAAAGAAGAAGGATGGTTGTTACTGTAATATAAACTGGTAAAAATGATTGGTTAGTTGATTCTGATTTTTTAGAATCAGATGATGAAGTACTAATTATAGTATTATTACTTGGATTAATATTATTATTAATATCTGGATTATTATTATTAGTTGGGTTAATTTCATTAGAATTATTAGTTGGAACAGGAGTACTATTATTAGTTGTATTATTATTATTATTATTGTTATTATTAATATCTGTATTTAATTCATCATTAATCGATGATGACGACGATGAGGTTGTGTATTTTGCATAGTTGGGAGTTAATGGTGATGACGATGATGAAAGTTGAGAGGATGATTGTCCAGCAGGTTGCAGACAATTTGAAGTTATAAAATGATTATATTGGTTGTAACAATGGTTTGTGATACAATTGGTGATTGTTTTTGGTGTGCCGAGATGGATGTTTCCAGTTTCAACGCAGTGGTTGATTTTTAAACAATCCAAGTATTCATGATACATTATTTTGCATTGTGCAAGTGTCTCGATGGTGTTTGGACCGATTGATAGACATGTACCATTTCTGTCTAATTCTGATCCTGAGCCGTCACTGGTACCTCGCTGACAAAAACATTGTTCGTTATAATTGCAAGGTGACTCATCTGATTTGATATATTGGTCCATGCAATTGACAGAGTCGGGAGTTGGAGTTGGTAGAGTGTCGCATTGACCCGTACGTGTATTACAGATCAACGTGTCTTGACATATGTATCGATAGTGTCCACACTGGCGACCAAGGCCAATTGAAAACATCTCGACACATTTCTTGTCCAAACAATATGACCCTGTCTCACAATCGCTATCATATTCATTCTCCAAGTTACATGACTCTCCAATACGACTGACATTTTTGCATATCCCTCCTCCAGCTCCACTTTCTTCAATATTATTATTAATATTATTTTCCTCTTTTGAACTACAATATTGACCAAATGAACAATCTTGATTTGATCTACAAACCATATCGTCATCCAATGTACATTGATTATTGATACACTTTAAATTATCGGTATAACATTCAAAAGAGTGATTGCATTTGTCCCCATTTTGAACGTATTTTGATAATACACTAAACGAAAGAAAGAGTAAGAGTTAATATTAACAATCCAACTTTTGTTAACTTTGACGTTTAACTTTGACATACCATTGACCATTTTGACATGACAACGATAATGATGGAGAACACAATGATTCATCTGAGCAACTGTCACCTAGTGTTTTATATTCAGTACACGTTCCAACTGAACTGTCGATACTGCTGTAATTACAATATGATATTAAAGGTAAACATGTATCGCTTTTAGAACTAAAATGTATAGAGATATGATAGGAGATATGATAGGAGATATGTTAGTAGAGTAATGTGATGTGACCTATTTAAAATATCTTTTTAAAGATGTATACCATTTTTCTCCTATCAAGATATTGTTATTATTAGTAGTACTATGATATTGTTGACATATAGGCTTTGCAAAGGTGACCAATTGAATAAAAGCAAAGAAAAAGAACAACAATAGATAGGTTATTTGTGTCATTTCATATTACAAGATTTAAATAAATACGAAAGTTGCAAACAAAAAAGAATGCAATGATAAAAGGCGAATGCATTCTATGGTCTCACCCCAATCGACACACGACAAGGTTTTAAAAATAAAATTTTAAACCACCACACACAATCACTATGATCATTCAAAATTTTATTATTAGATGTCTTCAGACCAACTATATGGCCTTTATAAATATACCAAACTTATAATTATATTCTCCAAAAAAAAATATTATTTTATTCTTTAGAAAAAAGAATAACCCTCCTTAAATGAAAGGTATCATACATTATAATACTATTTTTAAATTTTACAAAGATCCTAATATTGTTAAAACTTTTTCAAAAAACACTATTATCAATATTATTATTATCATTATATATTTCTTTTTCTTTTTGTATTTTATCTTCATGAAATAAGTAAATAGTGTGAAATATATTTGTCAAACAATATACTTTACCAACACTTTATTTATTTAATTATTTAACCAATTCTATCTAATTTGTTTCTGTGAATTGCTCTTTTGATAACCTTTTTGTACAAAAAGAAGGAAGATGCTCCGACAAGGACTGCTCCACTTACACCAACAACTACACCAATGATGATGTTGGTAGAGTCTCTAGTGGTTGATGATCCCTTGTCATTCTCCTTCTCCTCTGAAGAAGAAGAATGTGAAGAGGAATCGATTGGTGGCGTGGCACAATCGGTAAAATTGGCATTGATGATATGGAATGATGGTCGTACCAAGAGTGACCGAGTAAATGAAGGTGTACTAGCTACAATTGTAGTTTGAGTAGAATTGGATGAAGCACTTGAAACTTGATAGGTAATATTCGATGGGATGGAATCTACCATTGCAGAGTTGAGTAATCTTCCTTGCAACAGTACTGAAGGTGATGGTGACGACGATGATGTTCCAATCAATAGACTAGAGGTGAGTTTGTTGGTGGTGGTGTTGAGTGTGGATTGTGTCAAAACAGAAGATAAACACAAGATTGGATGAGAGATGGTAGTGTGTACTTCAAATACATTTTCTGGTGACTGGAACTGCCATGCAGAAACAGTGATAGTGTATTGTAAAGTTGAATTGGGAGTGGTATAAGTTCGACCTGCAAATGATTCTTGTTGTTGAGAGTCTAGATCTTCAAACTCTACCACAACAGTCAATCCATTACTACCAGTGTAGGAAAAGGACATACCCTCGACCTCCCATGAATTAGAACCACCAGATAAAAGGCTAACCGTTTGTACAATCTCACCAGTACCAGTATTCCTCTCTACCAAACGAACTAAATGTACTTTGTATGTTACATTGTCATTGTAAACAACAGTGACAGATGGATTGGTTGTACTTGGTGTGACCATCTGTGTTGAAGCCATAGCAATCGTTTCATTCAATTTAATTTCACATGCAATACCATCCCAACCAAATGTACATTCACAACCTCCATATTTACATTCACCATTTCCACTACAATTATTTAAACATTTATTATCAATTTCTATTAAATAAATTAAATAAATAAATAAAAAGAATTAATAAATATATTATATAAATAAAATAAATAATTAAATTATATTATTTACCTTGATTTGTAGTACTTGAACCTTGATCATTTGTTGGGTTAAAGAAACTATTGGTTGCAGTCACCATATAATTATATGTTAAATTTTCAAGTAGATTTTCAAATAGACAATAGGTGTTGTTGGTTTGACACTTGATGACAATTGGGGCACCACCATATCGAATAGATGCTACATATGAATTTGCATTTGCAATACCTCCTTGTGGTACCGTCCATGTTAGGTTGATAGAGTTGGTACCGACAATAGAATCTATCATCGTTCCAGAGGGAAGGCTAAAAGTGGTGTAGGTTGTCACATTTTGGAGTGAGATACCATCGTTTGAAGCCTCTATTTTGATACTAAAGCTACGTTGATTGGGATATCCACTTGGATAATCATAGATACAAAATAAAGTGGTTTGTGGAGGACAAATGACTTGATTGTCGATAGAGACTGTATACAAAGTTGATTCACTCGGTACTCCATTGGAAGAAGAGTAGCTAACATTGAAATTGGTGAAACTGTCGATAACTTGGGTTCTAACCAAATTTGAAATAGACGGATAGGTTTGCACAGTTGAAGTAGGGAGGGAAAGAGTATTCCCATCATTTAAAAAGTTGACAGTGACCGTATACGTAGTATTGCCTGTCAATGACGAACAAAGGTTTAGTCCCAAACCGACGTATCCACATACCACACCACCATCTACCATTACCTGTGTTGTAACTGAACTAGTTCCACCCTTATAACTAGTCTCCACCATAAACGAGGTTGATTTAATACTTCTAATATTATCAACTCCATCGTAAACACGAGGAACAGTTGTAAAACTAAAGTCTTTACTAAAATCATTTCCATTGTTGGTAGCGGTAATGGTTACAGTGTAGGTTGTATTGTCAGTCAATCCAGGGATACTACAAGTACCTGTAAATAGTGTCGATGAGCAAACAACATTCCCTCCATACTTGACAGATATAATAACCGGGAATACCGAGTCACCTCCAAGTGTAGAATAACCAAATGTTATTACTTTAGTTGTTAAAGTTGAATTATCAATTATAATATCATTTACACCTATATTAAATATTAAATAAATAAATATTAATATGACATATTAATTAATTATATTATTTATATTATATATTATTATTTACCATCACCAGCATAAACAATTCTTGTAAAAGTGGAAGAGTAACCTTCACTGTATGAAATGATGGTCATGTTTACTTGAGAGTCAAAAGTGTAACCATGAGTTGTATCACAGACACATAGAGTAGAGGTGGTGTTGGTACATGATGGGTTGGCAGTTCCATTACACAAGACTGTAAAAGTTGGTGTAATGGAGGGAGCACCACCATTGGCAGCATAGGTCATAGTCATGTTGAGTGGGGATACTACATAACTTTGTAGTGTTGCTGGAGCAATGGCAGGGTAAAGAGTGACTACGTACGGACCAAATACTTGGGTAGAAACTGATTCAGTGACAGCCTGTACAGTGATCGAACTCGATGATCCTGGTACCAAGTTTGATATAGTACATTGGTTACCTGTTGGTGGACAAGTACTACTTGACACAACAACTCCACCAACATTGACAATAAAAGATGTCAAATTACCTTGTACTGGATTTTCAACGGTATATTCAATTGTAAACATAGTAGCTGTCTTTAAAACTACTGTTAATGCAATAACCTTTGGTGCTAAATTAAAAATTAAATTAAATTAATTAAATTAATAAAAAATAATTATAATTATAGTTATTATAATGTGTACATACGATTAGGTCTAGTGAGATGTACATAATAGAGATCAGGAGTAAAAGGGGAAATATAAAATAGATTTGGGTTAATGACTAGATCAAGTGCGTTGAGACCAGTTGGAAAGGAAAAGGTGCAACCTGTGGCAGGACAGTCTGGAACGAGTAGAATGTAGGAAGTCATGTCTGGCGAGTAGGATATCTTGTAACTGGGGATATAGACCAGCAGGCCAGTTATGGGTGATACCTGGAATAGTAACATTTTTAAAGTTGGTTGTAATGGGGGAAGAAGGACGGAGAGTCATTTTTGGAGCTTTCATTGCATAAGAGACATACCTGTCATTCCACGACGACGGTCCACAAGTAGTAGTATATGCAAAATCAGCACCCGGCAAACAAATGGGAGTAGAGTATTTCCCACTAATACCATTTCCAGTACCAGCCAAAGACATGAAATATTGGAACCCATCTTCACTTGCAATACATGAATAATCACCACGATAAATTGATCTTCCAAAATGTGTATCATTTGTACATGTCCTAATGGAAACAAATTTAAATAAAGATAAAATAAAATATAAAGAAAAGAGAAAGATAGGTATGTAAATAATCTTTGATTAATGGGAGTGGATGGATGGATGGATGGATGGATATAACATACGTTAAATGTCTTTCATAAAACAAAAAGTCGTAGAGTGGTGCCAATGGAAGATTGGATGTAGCTATTTTAAAGTATAGATCGGCAGGTAAATAAGGGTCTGTGCCCACATATACGCAATCATGTGGCAAACCATTTTCATCGACAGCGTGAAGTTGTGTCCCAGTACAAGTAGTTGTTGAATAAGAGTATATGGATGGTTCTCCCTGAACATTAAATGCATATTTGAAAGAGCTACTAGCTGATGTAGGGTAACATTGTCCTATCTCATATTGATACTATAATTAATTTAAATAAAAAGTGGTTAGTTTGGTTTAGACTCTGATGAAATAAAACATACAATTGCAGAAGGTCTACCAGTACATTGTAGGTTGTTGTGTAATTCAGCATGAATGTATTTGTCTTGAGCATTACACCCAATCAAAGTGGTAGTGATGATTAATAGTATCAATGCTGATTGCCAATAATAATGTTTACTACTGAGTATCATCATCATTATTTATAAATATATATATATAAATAGATATATAAATAGATTTAGATATATGAATAGATAGTGATGAATAGAATAGAATAGAAAACAAAAAGGAAGGGGATGCTTGAACAAGATGAGAGCTTTGTGTAACGACGGGGAATTTTTTTCTTCCTGGTTGTAAAGAAGAACATCTTGTTTGTGTAAGGGTCAGTGTGGAAAGGGTGCACCACCCTATCGATGAGGCGATCTTCCCCGAATCTCTCTCTCTCTCTGATCGAAAATAGATCTTCGTTTTGGGAAATATCGGGCACCCAATACGCACTTGGGTATGGGTTGTTGTTGTTCATACTGATCATAGATCTGATCTACGTAGTGTATATATACATAGATATTATTTGTTTGTATACAAATAAATAAATAAACAAACAAATGTTTGATGTGAATAATAATACATTCAATGATTTTCATAAGAAAGAAAAAAATAAAATAAAGAATAAACAAGAGTGGGAAGTTCACTTTTACAAAATCTTTGTATACTTTCGTGCATAGATAAATAAGATAGACAGAGAGAGATATATATATATAGAATGAACAACCATCATAAAAGAAAAGCAAATGATGGTGATGATGATGGTGTTAGCGATGATGACAATGTAACATTCAATGTTGTCTCTGATACTCCTTCACAACATATAGAAAAGAAGGTTAGGTTCAGAGTTGAAGAGGAGACATCTAATAATAATAGTGATAATAATAATAATAATAATAGTAATAATAATAAGATATTAGATGATGAATTTGAAAGGAAAATATTGGAGCAGATGAAAAAGGGAGATGAGAAACAAAAGAGGAGAGATGCAGAGGAAGCACAGAGAAAGAAGTTGTTCAGGTCGACTCAAGGTCTACGTGAAGCTGGTAAAGAGGTGGTCTCTGAAGATGGTGTCATTCGTAAAGTAGAAGGTGAAATAGATGATGATGACAATCAATATGACAATGACCAAGACCAAGACATGAATGGTAATGGTGAAAGACATATAAGCGATAAATTCTCCTCTGGTGTAGCAACTATACCAAGTGATTGGAATAGATCTTCATCAAAGACATCATCAAAAACATCATCATCAAAGAGAAATGAAGATAGTGATGATGATAATGATGGAGAGGAGGATGATGAAGATGAAAACGATAAAGATAGACAAGAAGTAAATGGAGAAGTTGAAATCATGCCATTCAATCTACACGAAGAAAGAGAAAGAGGACGGTTTAAAGAAGATGGTACCTATCAACGTGAAGATCAAGATCGAGAGGAAGACGCTTGGTTACGTGAATACGACAAGACCAACAAACTCCCAAAACTAAGTAAAAAGGAAATAGAAAAGAGTGAGATGCTTGGCATGGACGATGACGACGAAGATCAATGGGACAAGGAAGACAATGACCGAAAGAAACAATCTAGATCGGTTGAAGCACGTATTGCTAAAAAACAAGCACTCACTACTGTTTTGGATATATTGTTGGATGGAGAAACCGTCACTTCAGCAATCCGTAGATTAGGTTCTTCAACCAAGAAACCTATAATCAAGAAAAAGAACCAAAACCAAAAACAAACCACCAATGACACTACTAAGACAGCAATCGATGTTGAAAGAGAACAATTAAAACAAGAATCATTTTCAAAATTAACAACTGCAGTTGATTATTTATTATCAAATGGTTTTATTAGTATGTATCATCCAATATAAATATTATTATTATTTATTAACATTATTATTATTTAAATTATTAAAACTTTAGATATTTATCAAGACAAAAAAGAAAATGTACAAAATTATTATAATAGGGATTTTGGAGATACTACAACTACAACTAATACAACCACTTCAACTACCAATTCAACACAAAAATGGGAATACAAAGGATTAGATGGAAATATTTATGGACCATTTGGAAATGATGAAATGAGAGAATGGAAAGCAGGTGGATTCTTTACTGGACAAAATGTTATTTGTCGTATAGTAGGTGCCCCAGAAACTACTTTTAAATTAATAGATGATATTCAATTTTAATAATTGAATCAAATTCATTCCAAGATTATTATTATTTTTATAATATTATTATTTATATTATTATTTATTTATTTTTGTTGTTGTTGAGGTTGTTGTTTGTCCTTTTGTAAAGTTGTAATGTCGCCAAAAGAAATTTCACCTTCACCAACCTTTGGAAGATTATCCAAATGATTTAATTCTCTACGAACGTATTGAACGATCAGATCCAATTGTGCAGCAGTTGTGTTGTCTTCCATAGCCAACAAATTTCTCCAAAGTGCATCTGCCAATACAGCGTCATCGAACAATCCTTCATCATATGAAATGACACCACCCAAATAGTTTGTATAGAATTCCTTTAAATATTTATTTGCAAATCTATGATTAATCTAAATATAAATAGTTAGTAAATAAATAAATATAATAATAAATAAAGACTTAATACTTACACCACCTCTAACAATTCTCTTTTCCAAATCTTCCCAAAAACGATCATATAAATCTGTAGAAAGAGTATTAACATCCTTTTCCTTTCTTAAACGAACAAATACCATCCAAACGTGTAACAAAGTGGCTGCAAACCAACTTCTAACTGTCAATGGTAATCCCATTGCTAAAAAGATAATAATATTATTATATGTTAGTCATATGTTTGTTTGAGTCTATAGTTGTAGGTTGTATTTGTTTGTTGTTTGTGATTACTTTTATAAAGTGCAGGATTTGAAGTTTGAATTGCAATAGCATCATACAATGCAAAGGAAGTGTGAATTGAAAAGGCATCAGTCTTTGCATATGATACCAATGCAGCTAGCCAATTACCCTTGTCGTTGACCAACTCTCTAATTGCCTTTGGGTCACGGTTCGATGGTTCATACTTTATCAAATCCTCACTAACATTGACTCCTTTTCTATCAAGTAGTTCTTTTAATTCTTGACTTGTTGTTGAATTATCTTCATCCTTATTATTGTTATTTGATTTAGTATAATATCTTGATGATGAATAGGTTGACAAAGTAGATGATGAAGATGACAATGATGTCAATGTCGACGAGGATGAAGATGTAGATGTGGGGTTGACGACTCTACTAATAGCACTACCACTACGACTACTAATATTTAAACGTTGATACAACTTTACAGTTGATTGTAATAGTTGTACTCTTGATATCATTCTATCTATCTATCTATCTATCTATCTATCTATCTATCTATCTATCTTTCTTATCTAAATATAAGAATGAATGAATAATAATGACAAATGTGAAAGAAGTGAAATTAAAAGATAATGAAATTCACGAATCTTTTAATTATAATTGATAATGAACAAAGTACATGTTTCAAATATAACCTATTTTGTTTATTTGTTTTATTTGTTTGTTTATTATAAATATATATATAGTTGTGAAGTGTGGTGACACAAACTAACTATGCTAGTTAGTTTAGTTAAAAGTAGCAGTAAAGGTTTCATTTGAAAGACCGTAGTAAAAGAGCATGTTGGCTTGAACACTGACGAGAGCTTCAGAGTTGTCATAGAGAGCGGATAACTTGAATTGTTGTGATTGACGGAATGTCAAGACTGTGTTACTCATACATGGAGCCATGCTTTGCAAATGACCTGATTGATCGTACAATCCTACAGACTTGCAGTATACTTGGTTGGTATTGTAGTCGGCGAGAATAAGACTTTGGATACCTGGAGAGGCAACACCTTGAATCGACATGATAGCACTGTCTGCCCATTTCCAGTTAAACATGAATGTCTTGGTATAAAATCCACCGGTACCAGTAGTACTGAATCTACTGTTCTTTGGTGCGACGGAATAGTACAACGATAATGGGAAATAGTTTGGTTCGGTTGATGGTACAATACAATTCATATAGTATACCAATGAAACTTCTGTATCTTCAAGTAAATCTAAATTAATTACTAAATTAATTGGGTCTCTAAACAAACAAAGAAATGAAGAATAAGATAATTAATATATATCTCATCATTCTTATATTTAAATATATTTAATATTAATCTTAATCTATTATCATACCTAGCTTCAAGTAAATAACCAGATGGGAACCAATTTGGATTGACAAAGTTTGAAGTATCAAAGGTCATGATGGGGAGGACGAGATCTCCTTGTGTAAAGACTTGCAAGTTGGACATGATGACGGCATCTCTGTTGATTGGTTGTTGGCTAGTTTGGTTGATCAAGACAACATGCATAGCTTCAATCAAAAGAACTGGTGAAGATGTAGTGATTGGGTATGGAATGGCAATGTTTGCTAATTTGATCTTGACAAGTCCACCAGCATTGATTAAACCAAGATCAATAGTATTGTTCCATACTGATGCACCATAGTTGCTGTCAGCAAGCAATGTTGAAGAAGCACAAATACTTGCAAACAATACAACTAATAATGTTGATAATAGAATATTCATTGTACTTATTTATATTTAGAGATAAATATAGATAGGATATGTTTCTAAAAGATGATGATGTATTAAATTAAATTGCATTGGGGACAACGAAAAGGTGTATTTAAACAAAGTGCAGCCCAATGGTTAGGCAAAGGGGCTCGTAAAAACACTTGAAAATCGGTCGGCCCAGGTACCACTATCGCCTTTTGTCTCGACGAAAGTTCGTGGTTTCGATTTTTTGTTTCGAGCTCATTGTCAATTAAACGATCAGATGACAAGTACCTTTACGATCATACTAATTTCTCAGACTAGTTACTTGTATTCTGACGTTCGAATGGAATGTAGGTAGTAATCGAACGTTTAGATGGAATGTACATTTATTAATTGATTAGATTATTAATTGTATTCCGACATTCTAATAGAATGAAATGCTCGGATAGAATGTATATACCATTGTTTAAGATTGTTACTTGAATTCTGAACATTCGATGGAATGTAGGTAATACTTGAAAAGAGAGAATCAAAACTTAGTAACAAGATTTTTTTGTCAACCTTCAAAGATAGTAGTAGACTGTAGTGTACATGTTAGGTTTAGATGAGGTTATAAAGAGACAATCTATTGTGAACAAACACATGTAAGTATAAATGGAGTATTTTTTAATGTGGTTCTCCAACACAATATCAAACGTCTCTTGTTAGGGAGGGACGGAGAACCCTTGGGCTCAGAAAGTCCAATAAGGCCGAACGATCAATTTAAATTAAATTAAATGAATATTTCTATTCTCATAGTTGGTTGGCTCGTCAAGCTCCAAATATTGTAACATCAAGCAATCGAAATAATATCTGCCAAGGAAAAAATATCTTTTTGGAGTTCGACAGTATGAGGGATTTTCAATTGAATGCTCAAAAGTTGGTTCTGATCTTTGTTGGTAAGCCCTAATATAGATTAGAACTGACGTCAAGGTCACCTCCTCCTTGTCTAAAGATATTTATTTAAAGGATAATATTCATTTTAATTTGAGGTCTACCCAACATTTATAAACAGTTCCATCATCATCATCAGTATAAACTATCAAACACATATTCATACAACAATGAAATTATTATTATTATCTCTTGTCATTCTATTTTTAGTTGGTTTAGTTGTAAATATCTATTTGAAACCCATCAAAAAAAAAAAATCAAACCTCCTTAATGATGGTATCTCTAATTTTTTCTACTTTATCATTTTTTTCTATTCTTTTTGTTTATAGAAATGTCAACCAAGCACATTCCAATTCTTTAACGAGAAGGGAGGATATATTTACTATGGCGTCTATAATTTAGAAACTGGTAATGCCTCACTCAATCAGATAGACTCTGATCCCGATCTTTCAATCCTTGGCTTTTTACCAAAGAACTCATCAAGCAATGAAGTCATCGCTTTTGGTATAACTCAAACTACTCTACAAATCGATGGTTTAGATACGGATGTATGTATTGCACATTCACTGTGTGACTACTATTTTAAATTGTACAGCCCATATTAACTCTACTCTAGCAAAATTCTATTAGTCCAATCTTTACAATCAAACCATCCTATAAATACGATTATGCTGCACAACAATTTGTATTGAACAGATTTAATACTATATTGGTTCCAGGGTCAACTCTTTTAAATGGAAAGAACTATTTATCATTATTACAATTCAAATTTGGTAGTAACACGAGATTGTAAGTAAACTGAATCAATCCATCAATCAATCGATAATATTTATATATTGATACTCTTTTTCTATTTATCTCTATCTTTTGTTTTTAGACCACCAATTCCATTAGGTCAAGGTATTATTCCAACAGGAGGATCACCAATTTATCCACTCGGTGCTTATGATCCAATCCTACAAGATTATTATATTTACTATACTGTTGGTGGTCAGACTGCTATCATCAAGTACAATTTTATCATTAATTCCTATGCCATCCTACCACTCGATTTCGTACCAACCAAATTAAATGGAATCGATCAACTCTTTTTCTTCAAGGGTGACCTCTTTTACTGTCGTATTGATAAGGGTGTTGGTGTTACCATTGCTCTGATGTCATTGGGTGGCGAAGTCAACTATCTCTACAAAGACACCAACGCTGACAAGAAGTTCAGTGTTACCATTCAACCATTTGTATTTGATCAACCATCCGGAACAGTATCTATACTCAACCCAGTCGGTGATACTCTTTATCTAGATGTATTTGATCTCACATCTTACGAGGTTACATCATTCACAAAACCAAATAATATTCCAACTGGTACTTTTGTTATTTCTACATTATATCAATAAATATAATATAATTAAATAAATAAACAAATAAACAAATAAATATAATAAACAAATAAACAATATTAATTAATTAAACAAATAAGTTTAGTATAGTTTATTTATTTATTTTTTGAGGGAATGATTCTAAATTAATTAATTGTAGAATTAAAATAGAATAACAATTGCCATGAAGAAGAATGACAATGTTGAAATCATGGTCAATGAAGAACCAGTATTTGAGTCATCGTTTGGAGATGGCATATTATTATTATTTTTGAAGGTAGCAGTATTAATACTTTCATCTTCCAAGATTGTCAATTGACCACCTTCATTGGAACAAGTTAAACCACCAACACGACAAGTGACACTACCGGCAAGACATGTGATTTCATGTTGAGTTAGGCAAGCAGTGTATGAATAGTAAGAGAGACCTTGGCATTGGTATCCACCTGGGGAATAACATTCATTGATACCTTGGAAGGTACAGTTGATTGAAGAGTTGCCGGCATATTCGACGGTGAGTCTACCTTGTTTACTGAGTGTACAAGTGACTTCGGGTCCATCAGATGACGATGAGGTTTCAGATGAAGAGTTGGTCGAGTTGGAGACTGGTTCAAAATAGACGACGTAACGGTCAGAGAACAAGTAACCGATACTGGCATCTACATAGTAGTAACCACCATTGGATGGATAGGAGCTACCTAGATAACAACTTAATTCATTTGGACTAAAGTTGTAAAGGGTACATTTAACAGAGTTGTTGTAAGAGATCAACACTGAAATGTTGACAAGTGAATAGTCTTCGCCAAAGTATCCGTAGGCAGTCATAGTCAATGACGTAGAGTTGGGATAGAATGTGAAACCGTACGAAGTGTTTGGTTGTTGTGCTGGGAAATAGACGTAAAAGTTGTTGATATAGTAGTTCAACTCGAATGTTACATTGGTGTATCCAGCAACATAATTGGAGACGTAGCACTGGGTATTATTATTAGTGAACTTGGTAATACCACAATAATAGGTTCCATTCAATAAGATATAGGGAGCCGATGAATTAGTTACAAATTGACCATAGAAATCAATAAGTGATCCTGTCTCATTAACAACAATATTTGTAACTATAGTTGTATTATATGAAATTGCTAAAGTAAATAAATAAATTTAAATGAACAAATGGTAAGTATAATAATAATAATATATTAATTATATTAATTAAATGACATGACATAACCTACGGAAGAAATAATATTGAGACCAATTGAAACCAGGGAATGATACACTGAGTAAAAGATAAGTATTCCATTGAGGATAGAATTCCAAATCACATGCAATCATATAATAATTGGCATAAGTTACATTGCATTGGATCGAGCCGGCACTAACATAGGTTTGGTTGACTGTTGCATTTACAAAGTTACCGTAAATGTAAATGGTTCTACTTCCAGGTTGGATGTATACACTGCTGACATTTTGAGTGTTTACAAATGTCTGTGACAAGATGTAGTGGTCGATATCAACGTATACAGTGTTGTAACCAGCTGGTACGGTAGTTGATGCAAAACAAACGATTTGATAGGATCTAAATGAAAAGAGGTAACATGATGACCCTCCAATCCACACTGTTACATTATTTGGATTCTCTCCAAAGTATCCTGACAAGGCAAGAGTTTGACTTACTCCATCAAATGTTATATTTGAAATGGTATAATTTTCTGTATTTACTTGTTTGTCTATTTCTAAAAAGATTTAAGATTTATATATAAATGATATAAAGAATAGTGACAAAGTGGGGTGTAAGTACTTATATAGTAATAATAGAACAAAGAAAAAACCAAACCAACTTTAATGTTGTAATCTTAAAGATACATACCAAATTGAAGTGCATTTGAAAAGCAAAAGTAATTACTACTTAGAGTAATAAATAGTAATAATAGAGATACAAATGTTATCAATTTCATTGTTTAATAATATTGATGATGAATACAATTAATTAAAATCAAATTAAGAAGAGACTCTTTAATATCAAACGGGCCCCTTTGATTAAATTTAATTCAATTTAAATGCTACGTCGAAAACCTTTTTATTGGAACCCAGGTTGATCATGATTTTTTTCGAAGGTTCTATAAGAAATGTTATTGATGAAAATTTGACTGATTAAAAAGACTTTCTTTAAAAGTATCCTGAAGATATATTATTGTGAATGTATTGATGATCCTGTATATTGATTCCACTTTAATTTTAGTAATTGTACAATAGGATAGATTAATCGCTTTGTATCTATCTATTTTTCATATACCAATTGTATTATTTTATTATTATTATTATTATTATTATTAATTATTTGTATATTTTAATATAATAAAGAAAATGTACTATAGTATATATGAAACAAATAGAATAAATATAGAGTGATCGAATCTAGATTAAATTAATTAGAGATTGATAGGTATGGTATGTATGAATGATAGAGAGTTAAAATTAAATTAAATTAAAATGTAAATGACGGATAATAACGAAGAGAGGATGAAAAGAGTTGAGAATGATGCAGAGGAGGTATCATTGGTTTGTGAATTGGATTCTTGAGGATTTTCATTGTGATTGAAAGTGGCAGTTGTATCGGCTGTGATGGTTAATTGACCACCTTCAATGGAACAAGACATACCACCAACACGACATACAACAGATGATGATCCTTGACAAACAATTTCGTGTGGAGCTAAACATCTGGTCAAAGAGGAACTAGTGAGACCTTGGCATTGAAGTTGAACAACTGGTGAATTACATTGGCTGATACCTTGAGAGGTACAATTGATTAGAGTGTCTCCTGAATACTCTACCTTGAGTTGACCTGTTCTACTCAAAGAACATGTTACATCATAATATGACGATGATGATGACGATGATGAGTTGTTGTTGGAGCTTGACGATGATGACGATGAGTTGGTCGAGGACGAGGATGAAGACGAGGAGGAAGAGTTGGTTGGTTCAAAATAGACATTGGTACTATTATAGATTACATTGTCGATTGCACCGTTGACTTGATAGTATCCACCATTGACTGGATAGTTGTTACCAAGATTACACAACAAATAAGTTGATGAAAAGTAATAGATTGGACAACGGTTGACTTGACCACCATAGTTGATAGTAATATTAACACTAGTAGATGTATTACCAAAAGATCCACTCACTTCAAGTCCCAATGGATAAATAGTTGAACGGAATGAACTAAAGTAATAGTTTGGGTTTGGATTGGCTGATGCTAAATTAAATTAATAAATAAATAAATTAATGAATTAATATTAAATTGATAGATTTAAATTGATTGATTGATTGTGAGTTGTGTTTGTTTAGAATACATACGGATATAAACAGTGGAGTATAAATTTTGATTGTCAATATGGAGTAGGATATCATAAGTCTTATTGGTTTGTAAACGTTCGTTTAATTGACAATTGACAAATGAAGGACCGACAGAGGTGACGGCACAAAATGATTGTACCCATCCGTTGAAGGTGACATATACATGAGTGGCACCGACAGTGTTGTTGTCGAGGCTACCAACGATCATTAACGAGTTGTCAATGTCATTGTAAGAGACATACGAGATGAAATGATTGGTAACATTCTTGAAAAAGAGTACACCGTTTAATACAACACTACCGATTCTAATACTAACAGTCTTGGTACCAATTGGAACTGGATTGATGATACAACTGAGACTGGAGTTGGAGAAACTGACAAGTGGACATGGAGTGTATTGATCACCAACCCAAATTGAAACCAAAGATGAATCATCACCAAATGAACCAGTGGCAGTGATAGTTTGATTACCTCCAAATGTTAAACTTGAAAGTGTATAGTTTGATTGTGGTGGTTGTGGATTTGGATTGGAACCATCATCTATAAAAATTAAATAAATAAAAGGAGATAGAGAATGAGTATATTATATTATATATTAACTTGATATAAATATATATATATATATTATATAAATATTTATATTATTTATACATACCAATATAAACAGTAGAGTTTAAGTTGAAAAGAGGGGTTGATAAGGTAACTGGATAAGTTGTGTTGGTTGGTAACCGAAAGACTAATTGACAATCAACAAATCCAGTATCGACGGCGGTGACAACACAACCCACCAGAATCTATAGACAAAGGCAGTAGTGCTCAACACATTGATATTACTACCAAAACTACCAAGAATCTTGATTGTATTGTCGGTGTTGTTGTAGGCAACATGCGAGATGTAATAGTCAGTGGTGGCATTACTAAAAGAGAGTGATCCTTCTAAAACAGTTTGGTTACCATTATTGATTCCGATAAACACGTTCTTGGTACCAGATGGACGTGGATTGATGGTACAACTGATACTAGAATTGTAGAAACTAACAATTGGACATGGGGTGGTATTGTTTTGATCACCAACCCAAACTGAAACCAATGATGAATCATCACCAAATGAACCAATTGCAGTAATCGTTTGGTTACCATCAAATGTTAAACTTGATAGACCATAGTTTGATTGTACTAGATATTAATAGAAAGAGAAAAAAAAAAAAAAGAAAAGTTAATTATAATTTAAAATTAATTTCTAATTGTACTTACATTTAGCAACAACCAAATTACTACTACAGAATAATAACAAAAAGGTAGCAACCAATAATAATACAAATTGTGATTTGTACATAATATTAAATGAATGAAAAAGAAAAATAATAATTATATTTAATTAAGAGATATAAAGATGAAGATGAAGTTGTGAATATGAATGTGAATGAAATGAAATGAAAGTGCCTCGAGGATCTAAATGCTTTTATACTGCATTCACTATCTATTTGGTGCAAGAGGTTGTTTCGTGTTTCATTTCATATGCATATGAAACTGTTGGTGGATAGGGATGGGGATGAGTCCATGTAAGGTTGAGTTTTGTGTATGTTCCCTCCTCCATATGTCCAAAGGGTTTGGTTGAAGGTATGAACGAAATCATTCATCTGAAATTGAGAGAGAGAGAGATCCAATTTCGATTACATTTGTTGTTTGTGTATGTATGTTGAATAGAGAGACATAGACCCTTCACCTTTTGATAATATTTTTTTGTGATGGTCGGATGATCTTCAAAGGGGAGACAAAAGATTTTTTTGATTTTTTTTAATTTTTTTATGGACTATGCCCAAAGATGGGTACCGATTTCATTCATTTTTCGTGTCATGGTTGGTCTCTGTTTTCAAAAAACCCTCAAAAGCCACCCAGGAGGCGTTTGTGTATGCAGACGTAGTCAAAACCAACATGGACATCTGATCTTTTTTTTTTTGAAAATGACCATAGAACTGCTTGGACATCGATTTATTGGTGGCGGGGTTGAACATGAACATCAACATGTTGTCATCACAGTCAAGAGGGTGAGTGCAAGGTTGAACCAACAAACAATCCTTTGGTGTAAGGTTTATAAGATTGATTGAAACCTACACAAACAAACAAATAAAATATTAAAGTTCATGTTTATTTTATTTTTTGGAGATGGATGAAAGCGAAGTGCTATTCAGAGAAAGCCTTCAATTTTTGTTATTGGTGTAAATGATTTAATGGTCGGAAATGATGATGATGAATAATTATGAGAGGAGAATAATAAGAGTTGAGAATACTTGGGTGGGAGGGTGGGTAGAGGAAGAAGAAGACGAAGTAGATGATGATCGAATTAACTCAATCCACTGTAAGGTCGATACATATCTACATAACTATTGATGATAATGTTGTTGACTATGGTGTTGACTAGGTAGTCTTCATAGTTAATTAGAGGGATGTTGACGGGACGAGAACATAACAAATAGTTTGGTGAAAAGTAATAGATTGGACAATCAATATAAGAAATGCCACTTTTTCTGAAAAGAACCAATTCAACGCTGACATTGGCCGCATCAGAAGGACTCTCACCAAAATTTCCATCGATTCGAAGTCTCATTGGAGTAGCAAAGAAAGTATAATAGTAATAGCGATCGTTTGTACTCAATGCTAAAAAAAACAAAGTAAATAAATAATTAAATGACCAATTGATTGAAATTGTTTTAGGTATAATTATAAATAATACATACTGGTAATAGACTTTAGATCATTATTAAAGGAGGAACTTGAGATGGAGACATTACAGGGATACCGGGATGGAGAATACTCACTTAATCGGCAATCTACGAATCCAGTGTTGACAGCAGTGACTATACAACTATAAGTATAATCGGACCACGACGGACTCGGTTTGATTTGGATGGTAGTGTTTTCAACAGTCGTGTTGGCAAGATGACCAAATATCTTGAGTGTATTTTGAGTGTCATTGTATACAACCCGAGAGATATGATAGTTGGTATTGTCAATAAATACTGTACCATTTAAAATAGTAGTAGTAGTAGTGTCATTCATGTTGTCATTAATTCTAATAGCTATGTTTAATTCACTCGATGTTGGACGTGGATTGATGATACAATTGATATTGGTATCAGAAAAGCTGACAATTGGACATGGAGTGTATTCATCAATCCAAATTGAAACCTTTGATGAATCATTTCCAAAGAATCCACGAGCATTGATTATTTGAGCATCATCAAATGATACCCTTGTCAATGCATATACTTTTGGTGCTTTAAAAAGAAATGAAATAGGGAAAGGTTAATATGTATGTAAGATTAATTTTTTAATAAATTTAATACTAATCAATACATACTGATATAAATAGTAGAAGTGACATAATAGTCAATGTAAACGATATATGTTTCATTGACAGGTAACCTTTCGTTTAATTGACAGTTGATAATATGGTTTTGGAGAAAATTGACAAAACATGGAGCCGACTGCCATACAGCGCTGTTTCGATCGACATCAAAGTTTCTGGATTTGATATATACGGTTGAGCGTCGTCTATTTCCATCATATTCTTGGCTCAAATATCTAGAGCTACTAAAATTACCAAGAAGAGTGATGGAATTTTGGATATTGTCAAAGACAACATAAGAGATATAAGATTCGGGAATCGATATAAACGACTCTTTTAAAACAATATCATTGACTCTGATAGTGATATTTGTGAGACGGATACCAGTTGGACGTGGTAATAGGGTACATTTAATATTCGTGCTATTGAAATCGATGATTGAACATGGAGTGTTATCATTTCCAACTAAAACTGAAACCACTGTTGGATCAAATCCAAAGTATCCAATAGAATTAATCTCTGCTTTTACATTATCAAATTCTGAATATAAATGATAGTAATGAGGTGCTATATAATTATATAAATATATATATTATAAATAAAAGGGAGGGATGGTGAGAATGATGGATGGAGACTTTTAAAATATATTTTTTGTTGTAATCATTAACATACTAATATCAATAGTAGAGTTTAAAACGGTAACATAGGACCGATCGGTACCGCTGTAGAGATGGATGGATAATGGATAGGTTGCATTATAGGGTCGTAGATGTGATTTAAATTCGCAATCAACCGATTGGTTAGTGAAGGCACTAATATGGCATGGATACATAAATAGTTGGATTGGAAGTTTTTCACCATTGGTAAGGGGATAGTCGGTATAATCAACAGTCACAAAGACATATATGGCTCCACCAAAGTAGGTGTAGTAGTCAGCATAGGAATAGTAGTAGGAGTAGTTGGGAAATTGACCAGTGATATTGATAGAGTTGGTCATGTTGTTGTACCGAGCACTGGCAATATAAAAATTGGTTGTATTCTTGATTTCAAGTGAAGCGATTAAAGTAGCGCTATTGATACTAATACTAATGGTCATTATACCAGGTTCATTTGGATGAATGATAAAATTTAGATTTGAACTATTAAACTTTGTGATTCTACATGAAGTTTTTTGATCATCATAAACTGAAATAAACCCTCCATATTCTCCAAAGTATCCAGTTGCTGAAATGGTTTGTATATCTGCATCAAATGTTAAACTTGAAATATTGTAATCTTTGAGTTAGAAAAAAAAAGAAAAGAAAAGAGTATTAGTTAATTTAAATGAATGAATAAATATTAATTACAATGTAAAGAATATACATACTAAACAAAAGGGTAGATGTTAAATTGAATAGTTTACCCATGACAGAGATATCATAGGTCGTGTTGGGTTGCAATATTCTTTGTCGATAATTACCAAGTAATTGACAATAGATAGATGTAGTATTGATTGCAGTGACATTACATTCAACTCTGAGGTCAATGGTTTCAACAGTTACTAAGGTACTATTAACCGTATCATAATCAGTGTCGTCAAAATGACCACTTAGAATGATCGAGAGGTCACGATTATTATAAGCAACATTTGAGATATAATAATAATCAGTATTATTATTATTATTATTATTATTGTCATTGTCGTCAAGGAAGAGTGTACCATTCAATATAGTATCACCTACTTTAATGATGACGGTGACAGTTTTGTTACCATCATCTGATTGATGATGGTGTGGGTTGATCACATGACTAGTGGTACAGTTGAGACTGGTACTTGTAAATTGAGTTACTTGGCAACCAGCATATTGATCTACCAATATTGAAACCAATGATGATTCATCTCCAAAATACCCAGTTGCTGTAATAGTTTGGTTATAGTCAAATGAAAGACTTGAAAGAGTGTATGATGAAGGTTGTGCTAAAAAAAAAAAAGGTCAGCTTTAGCCTGTTGCTGTGTGTCAACTGAACTTATAACACATACTTTGAGCAATCACACTACTACTGCTATAGAATAACAAACAAGCAGCAACTAATAATAGAAACTGTGATTTGTACATTCTTTGTTTGTTGTAATTTAATTAAATTCTAATAGACATGATGATCATCTGACATCATATTGTTTTTTTCGAATTAATTTTTAGATCGTCTACTTTGTCCCGATAAAGACAAACAGTTGGTCATGTCCCCCACAAACAGAGAAAAGACAAAAATAGTTTGTTTTATATCATAGAATAGATGGTGATGAATAGTTTATTTTGAAGTAAGATACATCAAAGAAGAAATTGAATGACATGAATGATCATTCTCGAGATGAAATTATATTAAAATGGAGGCAATGATGGATAATAAGGAGAGGATAAAGAGAGTTGAGAATGAGACAGAGGATAAGGGGGAGGCATCATTGGTTTGGGAATTTGAATCAGATTGTGAATTGTCATTTGGTGGTAGAGCTGTATCTGCTTTAATACTTAATTGACCGCCTTCAATGGAACAAGACATACCACCAACACGACATACGATAGATGAAGCTTGACAAACAATTTCGTGTGGAGCTGAACATCTGGTTGATGAAGAACTAAGGAGACCGAGACATTGGAATCCACCTGGAACATTACATTCACTGATACCTTGAGAGGTACAGTTGATTGGAGCATTGCCTGGATACTCAACCTTGAGTTTACCTGATCTGCTCAATGTACATGTTACATCAGATGATGAGGATGACGATGATGGATCAACAGATGACGATGACCATGATGATGAGGAGGAGGATGTAGAATTACGTTGTTTAAAATAGACGTTGGTAGTGTTATAGATGACACCATTGAATCCACCGTTGACGGGGTAGAATCCTTCAATGGCTGGGTAGTTGTTGCCAAGTGAACACATCAAATAGGTTGATGAGAAGTAAGTGATGATACAATTAGATGTACGACCATTATAGTAACTTGTAATATTGACATTGTTAGAGTTATCACCAAAAGATCCAGTTGCTTTAAGTCCCAATGGATGTAGAATCGAAGTAAATGAACTAAAGTAAAGGTTTGGATTTGGTTTAATTTCAGGTGCTAAATAATTAAATAAATAAATTAAATTAAATTAGTTTGTTAGATGATGTTTGTGAATATTATGTATACTCTTTATAAATATATATATTATTATTATTATTATACATACTAATATAAACAGACGAGGTTAAAGAATAATGAGAACTTGTGAGGTAGACTGGATAAGTTGTATTGACAGGTAAACGTTGGTGTAATTGACAATTGACGAATCCAGTCCCGAAAGAAGTGACAGTCACACCGACATGATGGACTCCATTTTGGATGGCGACAGTGGTGTTGGTGTCTAGAAGATTACCAGTGATTCTGATTGTGTTTAGAGTGCTATTATAGGTCACACTATGGATTGAATAATTGGTTGGTCCATTACCAAAGTCGAGTGTACCATTCAATACAGTAGGAGTATATCCAATTTTGATAGTGATAGTCTTGGTACCTGTTGGACGTGGACTGACGGTACATTTGAGATTGGTACTGTTAAAGCTGACAAGTGGACATGCAGTGGATTGATTGCCACCAACCCAAACTGAAACCAATGATGAATTAGCTCCAAAGAACCCATTGGCGGAGATGGTTTGGTTACCATCAAATGACAGACTTGTCAAATTGTAAGGGTGATATGCTAAAAATTAAATTATAATAATAAATAATAATAATTAATAAATAATAATAAATAATAAATAATAAATAATTATTTTTGTACATACTAATATTGACAGTTGAATATAGAGTGTTATATTCATTTCTATAGACGATAGTATACGTATCGGTTGGTAAAAGCTGAGTTGGAAGCTGACAATCGACATGTGAAGAGCTGACAAAAGTGATAGCGCACTGATAGGTGGATGTGTTGCGTGAGATGTAGACGGATGTGTAATAGGTGTTTTCAGAGTCGACGAGAACACCAATGATTCTAATTGAGTTTAGATTGCTGTTGTAGGTGACACTATGGATTGAATAGACAATTTTGTTAAAGTAGAGTGTACCACTCAAAACAGCGTTACTGATTCTGATGCTGACAGTCTTGTTGCCCGATGTATTACCCTGCGTTCCGCCAAAAGTACATCTGATAACGGAACTATTGAAACTGACGAGTTTACATGGAGTGTATTGTTCAACCCAAACTGAAACCAATGATGAATCATTTCCAAAGTATCCACGAGCAATTATTTCATTGTTATTTTGTGACAGACTATGAATATCGTAATCTGGTATTGGTAAAGATGCTAATTTAAATTAAATAAATGGGAGTTGGGAATATTAGTGAATGGAACTCCATGTTTAAACCACGATATTATTATTATTATTATTATTATTAATACATACTAATATTAACAGTAGAGTATAAAATGTAATAGGGTGATTGAAGGGAGAGATCATAGACACCAATTGGTAAACGATCGTTTAATTGACAATTGATGAATCCAGTACCTAAAGAAGTGATGTTTAATCTTATCCATTGAGTACCGTTTTGGATCGTGACAGCGGTGTTGGTGTCTCGAAGATTACCGGTGATTCTGATTGTGTTTAGAGTGCTATTATAGGTAACACTCTGGATTGAATAATTGGTTGGACCATTATCAAAGTCGAGTGTACCATTCAATACAGTAGGAGTATATCCAATTTTGATAGTGACAGTCCTGGTACCTGTTGGACGTGGACTGATGGTACATCTGAGTTGGGTACTGTTGAAACTGACGAGTTTGCATGGAGTGTATTGTTCAACCAAAACTGAAACCAATGATGAATTATGTCCAAAGTATCCAGTAGCAGTGATGGTTTGGTTATAGTCAAATGAAAGACTTGTCAAATTGTAAGGTTGATATGCTACATTATTAAATAATTAAATAATAATTTAATTAATAAATAATTAATAAATAATATAATAAATATTTATAATTTATACATACTAATATTCACAGTTGAATATATAGAGGTAAATTCATTTCTATAGACGACAGTATACGTATCAATTGGTACACGCTCATTCAATTGACAATAGACAAGTGAAGAGCTTACAAAGGTGACAGTGCACAAAAACCAAGCGTAGTTGTCGCGTGTGATGTGGACGGATGTGTCATAGGTAACAGCGGTGTCGTTGAAAACACCAAGGATTACGATTGAGTTTAGAGTGCTGTTGTAGGTGACTCGGGAGATTGAATAAACATTGTTAAAGTAGACTGTACCTGTCAAAACAGTGGCGTTACCGATTCTGATATTGACAGTCTTGTTGCCCGATGTATTACCCATGGTATTGTTGATAGTACATCTGAGAACAGAACTATTAAAACTGACGAGGTGACATGGAGTGTCCTCATTACTACTAATCCAAACTGAAACCAATGATGAATTATCTCCAAAATATCCACTTGCAATTATTTCATTATTATCTTGTGACAGACTTGAAAGAGTGTAGTTTTGTTGGGGTTGTGGTGGAGATACTAAAATTTAATTAAATAAAAAAGGAAATTGATTAGTGAATGAATGAATAAATAATAATAATAAATAATTAGTGATGATGATGATGTATTTTTTAATATTTGAATATATATACATACGGATATAGACAGTAGGGTATAAAATAGTATATCCATTTCTAAAGAGGAAGGTATACGTATCGGTTGGGAACCGCCTATTCAATTGACAATTGACAAGTGATGAGCTTACAAAGGTGATAGTGCAAACGCTAGAGTTAAAATAGACGTCAGAGTCATAGATACCGCCAGTGTTGCTGAGATTACCATAGATTGAGATGGTGTTGGCAGTACCGTTGTAGGTTACATGAGAGACAACGGGAACTTGGTAAAAGACGAGTGAGCCATTCAAAGCAGTAGTATAGCCGATAAAGATAGTGACTGTCTTGTTACTCGATACATTAATTGCAGGGATACCTTCAAAGGTACATGTGAGACTGGTACTGTTGAAACTGATGATTGGACATTCAGTGTATCGATCAATCCAAACTGAAACAACCACCGATGATGATGAGTTGTCTCCAAAATATCCAAGAGCAATGATTTTGAAGTCATTTTGTGATAGACTTGAAAGAGTGTATGATGGTGCTAATTTAATGAATGAATTTAGTTAATGAACTATAGTTTTAATTTAATATTAATAATAATAATAATATAGTATGTACATACGAATAGTGTCAAAGAAGAGTGTACTATTCAAAAAGGTGTCACCTATTTTAATGCTAACAGTCTTGTTACCAAATACAAGTGATTTAACTGTACAGTTGAGACTGTAACTTGTGAATTGTGTCAGTTGACACGCATGCGTGTATTCATCAATCCATACAGATACAACTGATAAATCATCACCAAAGTATCCAGTTGCTGTAATACTACTACTACTCTTGTTGTTACTATTCAATGTTAGATTCGAAAGTGTGTACGAGGTAGCTACAAAAATAAAATAAAATAAAATAAAATATAAATAAATAAAAATGATCACGAGGATTATTATCATCTCGAACGAGCAAACATACATTGAGCTTCAACCCGACCAATATAACTACTACTACTACTACTACAGAATAACAACAAATAGACAGCAGCAGCCAATACTAAAATATTAAACTGTTTGTTGTGCATTCTAATCTCTATCTATTCTTTGTTCAATAATAGGCAAATAGTAGGTAGTCTTGTTAACACGACTTTTTGCTCTTTTCTTCTAGACGGGACGGACCCTCCCTTATTGATACTACGTCGGCACATGGCACAAAAACTTTCAAGTGAGGCCAGGGACACACCATAAATCTTAGCGAAGATGTTGATCTTTTGTTTCGCTTGGTACATATATATTATATTTAATTTATATATGCCTTAATCTTCACTTACATTGAGCATTTACAATACAATGATTACAGTTGAATAACAGAGACAACAAAGAATAATATAAATTTCAAACTTTTGTTGTACATCCTTACTATCTTTATAAAAAGCTATATATAATTATCTATATCTATCTTTTCAGACTCTTGTATCAATTGAAAAAGCCGAACGAGTGTTATTAATTGTCTTTTTAATTTTTTTTGATTTCCGCTTTGGGACTTATGCCTCTAGTCCAAATCCGGTCGTAGTCATCCATCATTTTTTCATTGATACAAGATACAGTGTTATTGGGTTTGGGGTGACCCTATGAGAAAAATCAATTTTCTTGAAATATTAAAATAAATAAGAATTGATTTTTTTTTTATTTTAATATTTTTTATTTATTTAAATAGTATACATATAGGTACCTTTTTTATTCCAAACTTTAACCAAACAAGTTCTGTTTGGTATGAGGGTGATTTGTTTGACTAGATCTTTGTCACGCTTTGAATTTAAATCCATGTCTAATAGTTTGAGTGTCCGATTTTGAGAAAGTGTCTTGTAGAGCAATTTGCAATGCTTTTCCTTTAGTTGTCTCCATTTTTCATAGGGCAAGGTGAGAGTCTCCAAAGTAGTGTTGGAGGCAAGCGACTCAAAGAAACGTTCGTCTAAAAAGTGTACATAGTCTAGCATGAGATGTTTCAATGTTTGGTTTTTTTGCAACAAAATTGCTAGACCGTCGGTCCAAACCGTGTCAATCGTGTCTTGGAGGTCACCGTCGCTGTCGTTGACACTAAAGTCACTCCATAGAGACAGATTGGTGAGTGTCGTGTTGGTGTGTAATCGGTCTACAAACTCTTGGAGTTTTGAAACGACCGATTCGTCGTCTTGAGCATCCTGGTATTTAAACCGTATATCTGTCTCAAGACTAGTGAGTGTTTTTGATTGTAGCGCTATAATCAAGTCAGAGTATGTGGTGTAGGCATAGTCAAGGACAACTTCTTTAAGCCCGGTAATGTTAAAGAGGTCAGTGCAACGAAGCGAGATTTCTAGACTGACCTGATCATCACCATCAAGGTCATCATCTAAAACACACATAACCTCGACCTTTGATGCACGCATCCATGTCGCAACCTTGCAATTAGCCGATATCTGTCGATTGCCACATATAAAGATAGCAGTCACTTCTTTAAAGGGGTAGCATGTTTCAGCCGCCATCACCTCGTCAAACGATTCATCCACATCGTTGATAGTCAGCTTACCAACCAATTTAATATCATTACCATGATCATTGTATTGGTGGAAATAGGCGTTGATCGAGTCGGTCACCTGTTGAAACCCATTGTCCAATCGGTCAATGTCCGCATACACCTCGACACACTCTAACGACTTCATCGACCTAACCACCTCGCCCAATAGGTCATGATCAATTGGCAAGTCACCAACCAGTGCAAGTGACCGAATGTGCTCCAAAGATATTACAGACCATTCAGGATAGCATACCGTCGTCGACACACCATCTGACTCGTTGTCATCTGACAAGTTGTCATTATCAAAATCGTATAGATCAACCATTCTTTCTATGACTTGTAGAGGTATACTTTTTACATTTGATTGCGACAAGATGACTCTCAGACTTTGAAACCAATGTTTGCATACCATCATCACACTTGATAGATTATAGAATGAGCATTCACCAGATTGATCATCAACATGTACAACCTTTAAAGGATCTTCAGATTCTTTGTCATACTGTGCATTGTATTTCTGTAATATATAACTTTGTAAATATAATGGCAGTGGTGGTGGTTGTTGTTGTTGTAACATATAATAATATTATCTCTTTAATGATCCGCACAGCGAGAGGCAAAGAAAAGTAAATAAAATTAAAAAAAAAAAAAAACAAAGAAGATCAAAGTGTAGTGAGCTAACAAGAAAATAGAGATAGATTCTTTTGGTTGCTTTTAACTAGATATTAATAATATATATATATATATATAAGAGAAAACGATCAGAATAGATAAGGACAAGTATTGTATATTATCTACATTCTAATCAGGAAGAATGACAAGAATTTGTAGAGTAGAGAAATCGACATCGACGGATGTCCGAGATTCTACTCAAAGATAATACATGTTAGCGAACGTTCATATTATCAATGACAATGCGCACAATTTGTTAATAGTTAAAATAGTAATTTACTATTAGAGAAATACTATGAACTTAACCATCCAGAGGCAAGCCATCAAAGGTTGACCACCAACACCCTAATCAGGTGTTGTATGTATTTTAAATTTATTGAATTGACTATCAAGATGTATATGACATGTTGTAAACCCTAATCTACATAATCAATTCAATAAATTTAAAATGGTCTGTAGTACTGTACAGATACAGTACAGTATAGTAGACTCGAATTTCAAGGTACGCGACAATCACAATAATTATAAATATTAATATTAATTTATTATATTGTTTTTTTCTATTCTTGACATTATAAGTCTAACAACAAAGACCAAAGACTATAAAAAAACCATTGTTGGTGTCTCCACTTTTTTGTTTCTTGTTTATGATTTGTATCTCTCTCTTATCTCTGCAACTTGTATGTCATACAAAAAAAAAAAAAAAGGGCATTATTATATTTATATTATTATTATTATTATTATATATATTACGATTACTTATTATTAATATTTATATTTATTTTTAGTATTTATAAATAAATAATCCGAATTAGTTATGAAGTTCAGTAATTAGATTTATTCCATCGAAATTTAACCGTCCGAGGAGCACCAAAAAATTACTCCTTTTTGGAGCCCAAAAGAGACAAGGGAAACCCCCCTCCCTTTTTGTTTTCGCTGAAATTTATTCTTTGGGTACCCTTTCAAACATGACAGGTTTTGCGAGAACTTTGAGGGTCTCCACCACAATAATGCAATGCAGCTCGGAGATTTATATATATTGAGTTTAGGCTCAAAAATTTAAAAATTTAGTGACAATCATCATAAAAAAATTAGATTTGATGAGATTGGTGTATTTATTTTTGTTTGTGTGAAACATAAAAAGCCATCAACTTGATGTTCATTGTGTACTATCGAAACATCACAAACATAAATAAATACATACATCAATCTCATCTTTAACATTATCACTTTGATTATTAATATATTATTATTATCATCCTAAAATTAAAAAATGTTTAATAATTTTAATAATATCGATGCTAGTCATCTACCTCAACAACAACAACAACAACATTTTCAGTTCCTACAACAACAAATACAGCTCCTAGAACAACAATTACAGCTCCCTCAACAACAACAACAACAACAACAACAACCAATAACAAATGTTTTGACACATGACCAACAACAATCGATCTCCCATTGTCTACTCAACAATCAACCAAACTGCTTTCAGTCTAAGAAACAGCGGTCTAATTAATCAATCAACATCTTCTCTTCCTCCACAACAACAACAACAACAACAACAACAAAAGTTTGATGTCGATCAACAATTTCCAAGTTCAGCAGATAATAATCTTGCTCAAATGGACTTTAGCTTTTCTGTGGATTTTGGGTCTTGGTCGCCATCGTCAGCCCAGTCTTCTCCTGGGGGCTCTTCCTCATCATCAGTCGCTTCCACGTCTCAAATGGTTGGTGCACCCCAAGCCGTTGTTGGCAGAAAGAGCAAGGATGTAACAAAAAAGGTTGTCTCTCCAAAGAAACTTCAACAACAACAAAAGAAACAAAAGAAACAACTTGCTGGTGCTGGTGCTGGTGCTGGTGTTGGTGTTGGTACCGCCACGGCTTCTTCTGCTTCTGCCTTTTCTGCCTCTGATGCTCTAACCCCTGGGATGAATATGGTACTGACATTAACCTCCGATTGTGTAGTAGAGAAAGGAATAACGGGTCCTTGGGGACTACAGTTGTCTGGTCATTTTGTTCGTGCCGATGATTCAATCACCAAGCGCCAACATATTGTTGTCATTGCATCGGTGCACTCTGAAGATAACGAGACTTACAACCTTGAAAACTATACCGGCAATTGTTTGGATGACGGTACTGTCTGCCTCAAAGGTATCAGAGTGACTAAGACCAAAGATAGTGACTCTACAGGAACTTTCAAGTTGCGCTTTATCGCCTATGACAAGTTCATTCATCCAAATGGAGAACTAGTTCCCATTCCCAACTGTAACGTTGAGTCTAATTTCATTACCTACTTGTCCGGCACCAAATGTATGTCGCCTGCTACCATCCTCAATGTCGAGAGAGTCGCTGCCGACCAGTTGCCAAGCGGTTTTATCACTGATGACTCTATCACTTACAAGCTTACAGGTGATAGATTCAAGTCTGGCAAATCCTACAACAGTATGTTTGGATACCAACATCCAAAAACCTTCGAGATTGTCTATTACGTCACAGAGACCGTTAAAACTCGCCTCGCTTTTTCCTTGAACAAAAAGGTATCTTGCTTTCTCTCTGTTCCAAATGAATACAAAGACTTTAACTTGGTTACTGGTTTTTATCATAATGAAAAACGTGCTAAAAATGTTCAGGGTCTTTATACTAAAGAGGATAAAAAGAATATAGCCTTCGTTTGGTCCACCAGTTCCTTTCAAATTCAAAAATAATAATAATTAATAAATTTCAACAAACAAACAAACAAATAAATAAATAAATAAATAAATAAATAATTAATTAATTAAATAAATATATATATATATATATATATATATATATATATATATATATATATAATTAAACATTCTATTTATCTTAAACTTTTATTTTAAATTATTTCAATATTTTTAATTGAATAGTCTATCTATCGATCGATCGATCGATCGATTTGGTTTGTTAAAATTGAACATCGTAGTACCCTGAATAGATATCTTTTTAATAAGATATCTATTCGAATCTGTGTCTTGAATGCTCTATTAATTACATTATCATTATTATCATTATCATTATTACTATTAATACTATTATTATCTGTTTGTTTGGATGGAAAACTTTGTGAAGCTGTCTTATCTTTTATAATTATTTCCATAAAGGGGGTTGTATTCTAGGATTGGATCTATGTGTAAGAGGTTTTAAATTCGCCACATTCTAGCCTTTATGAACTATCCAATCAGTAGTAATTACTTAGCTGTTACTTGTTAATCCATTGTAGGATTATTTAATTAACAGATAAAGTGTAAAGCTATTCCAAGCCAAAGTCCCAAGCCAATGGCAACCCCTATTATTACAATTCCTGATGGTGTTTTCCATTTATCATTATTATCAGCACCGGTGTCATCGCTGTTGTTGTTATCGCTGCTGCTGTGGCTGCCTGGACAAAACAAGGAAGAGGCAATTTCAAATGTTGTCTTTGTTGCGCAATAACCATACTGTGGCCATTGGGCTGCTTGATATGCAGCTCTTATATATGATTTTGCCTATAATAATAGACAATATGTATAAGACTTACATTTGGCTCACAATGTAAATAGATTTCAGAATAAGCCTCTTCACCTGCGCAGGTCCCACCTCCAAATCGGATGGTAAATTGCGAACCACCGGATGGATCCATGGGCGTAGCCTCTGTGTATGTACCTACTGGCTCCATTGTATTATAGTCGTCCAGGCTACAAGCAGAAAGGTCTGACCTTCTCGATTATGATAGATACAATCACTGTTGTACTGTCCATGACAAATGCATACTACATAAACCAAACAACATATCAAAATAGTAATAATCTGTTTATTATTACTCTCTTGCAATCAATCGCTACCATCATTGATTGATTCTATAGAGGTAGGTATGTTGTATATATCTTGTTTGTTTATCTTTATCTCTTTGCTATTGATGCTATGAAAAAATAATTAAGTATAATTTCAAACCCCAAGTGATGATGTTTATCCATCATTATTATTTATTATTATTATTTAAAAAATGAAGTTATATAATTTACAAATTGATTATTATTATTATTATTATTATTATTATTATTATTATTATTAGAATTAGTACATATAATATCTCTTAGATAATTAAAATGATCAACTCTTTTATAGATTGTTGCCAATTCAATTGCATTATTGATCATTTGATTGGTTAATATTAAACTACCGAAAGTGACGGTGACGGCGGCGGTGGTGGTGGTATCACTTTCAATTGATCTCCTACTACTATTATTTACAATGTATTTAGTTAATTCTAAATGATTAAATATGACAGACATGTAGAACCCAGTTTCACTCCAATTTAGTTGATACACCTTTTGTAAGTGTTGGATGATATCTATTGATCCTGCAACACAACAATCATCGACCATCTTGGAATCGATGAAATGATATTCTAACATGTATCTATTGGGTTGTCGTTCTTTACCAAATACCTTTAGAAACATATCGAGGTTGGTATTGTTGCGATTGAATATTCCACTTTCAAATGTCTGTTGAAAGAATGTAATGTTTGGATACCCATGTATCCTTCTATACTCGACCATTGGATAGAGGGTAGGATGAGAACACCAAACCGAGGCAAAAGATGTTGACAATTTAATTGATCTTAATCCCAGCATCTGATGTATCTCTCCTACCATTCTAAATATTTTCATTGCAATCATCTTGTATTTAAATACATTATTAATTACATTATTATTGTTACGGTTATTATTACAGTTATTATTAGAATTATTAATAATAGGATATTTGATAGCATTTAAATTAATCTTTTGTAATAGATGATGTGGAATATTTGAAATATTGTAACCAAGAGTACGATTATAAGATGATGCTAATCGTCTTGCTATCAATTGTCTAGTATTTGTGTCACAGTGATCTTTATACATTTCAAAGTATGAGTGGTATCCTAATATACCAAAGGTATTACTCACACGATCCGATGCGTCCTTTGTAGTCACAACTCTCTTGTTGGAGAGACGAGGATCACAATGCGTACCAACCACAATAACCAGTCGATGTGGGTCAATACAAAGTCTATCAATCTGCTTTCTCCATGTTTTAATATTATCGTATGTACTTTGATCAGTAACATTGTACACCAAAAAGAATACATTTGATAAGAATGTTGAATATGATGACATTGTTCTAACTATTGTCTAAATTTAAATATATAATTAAATAAATTATTATGATTAGGTCAAGTAAGAAGAAGAAGATACAATCATCTTTAGTTATATAAAGTAACGAGAATACTTACAACAGTTGCATTTAATTCATCAAGATAACATTCTGGTATATTTAATATCTTTGTTTGAATATTATCATTATCATTGTCCAACAGGTCAAATGGAGACGGACTAAAGAATGTCTCTACAAACGTTCTCTTGCCCACTTTTGAATCACCAAGTACGATTATTCTAAACTTATCCATCTTCAAAGAGAGAAAGAGAGACGGAGAAGTTATTCATTCTTTAATAATGAATATTTCGAAGCACACCAAAACAAAGTATCAAATTTAAAAAAAATCAAAAAATAAATAAATTAAAAAAAGAAAGAAAGAAAAGAAAAAGTAGCACAACATGTTTTAATTTACATAATTTACATAAATATAAATATTTGTATTTATTTATTTATTATTTATTATTTATTTATTATTTATTATTTGTAAAGATTGTTGATTTCATTTTAGATTCAAGAATCTTTTCGCGACGAATACAATAATATCTATTACTTTTAATGATAAAGAAAAGGACGATGGCAAGACATAAACCACCGACCACTCCAACCACGATACCAACAATCATCTTCCAATTATCATTTTTGGTATTGGAATCACAATAGCTTTTAGGATTAACCAACAGAGCACTGAAATCAGGATCCAATATAGATTGTTGTGATTGTGGTAGACTAATACCAATAGTTGCAATAGACTCTTCGGCATCCTTTTTAGTGACGTTTAATACCTGTGTCTTTGAATAGGTCCTTCTTCCATCAGAGACACTGTAATCCAAGAATCGTCCAAAGAATTGTGTTGTGTTTTTGACGACTCTGAGGTACTGCAACGAATCACCATTGGCAAAGTTTTCAAATGGATTGATACTGTTGGCCGAATCATCACACCCAATAATATTTTGTTGGTCGGTGTTGATAATGGTTGAAAATACCACTCTCAGGTGTGTCAGTACCGATACGAATGGCCAGTTTGTGATATTAACCGATATCTTGATCGACCCACTTGCCAGCTGAATATCCTGTCCACCAAATGAAACTGACCTTGATTGATTTGAAAATTCAAAGTATGTGGTAACATTGGTATTGAGGAAATCAGTTGCATTAACAGTAACCGATTGATTTTGGTGTGATGTCAATACATACACAATCGAAGAGTATGTCGAATACACAGATTCACTAGAATTCCAAGAGTTTGTATTTAATTCTCTAATCACTACATCATCCAAATCCAATTCTTGAATCGATAATATATTAAATGAAAATGAATAATCTTTAAATGAAAATGATGGACTTGATCTATTTGTTTCAACTATAATATTTGGATCTAAAAACAATATAATAATATAATATAAGTATAAATATTTAATTATTATTAATATATTAATATAAATAAATAATAATTAATTATTAATATATTAATATATTATTATTATTATATTAGTTTTTGTTTACAACATACCAGTTTGAAATTTACAATCATCATAATAACCTTGGTCACATACACATTGACCATTTATACATTGACCATGTCCATTACAATTATTTGTTCTATTTACACAATTATCATTTGGTGGTAGTGGATAGGGGATATAGACAAGACTATCTGATGTAAAGTTCCCATTATAAACGACTACACCCAGTGACATTTGTCCAGATGGTGGTTGTGATGTTAAGGTACATTCAATAATACTACTTTCAAATCTAGTAATATTACAAAGATAGTCTGTCTGATTTGATCTAATATACACATAATCTTGTGGTAGTTTTAAATTCCCAAAAAATCCATGTAGTTTTAAACTAGTTGGAGGGTATATAATTGGTTGTAATTCTACAGCTGTTACAAATGTATCTATAAATAATTAAATTAATAAATATTTAAATAAATATTTGTTTTTCTTTTCTTTTTTCTTTTTTTTTTACATACATTTAGTAAAAGATGATTTTGTTGAAAAGAATGAATTTGAAGCATAAATCATATTGGATGAATTTGGTAGGATAGTGGCAACACAATTAATTGTATTGTCAGAGTAAATTTGTTTCACTATGCATGGAGAAGTATCAACTAGGAGTGATGGTGTAATTTCAGGGTCTGTAATCGTTCCATCACTAAAGGTAACATTCAATTCAACAGAATTTGCATTTTGACTGATAGTAGTTCTAGTTCCAAATGTAAAAGTAGTTTCCTTGACTGAGAATACATAATTTGGAAGTGATTGTATCAATGAAATGGAAAAAGTTTGTTGGTATCCTAATGTAAGGTTCATAAAAAATCTAAAAAGAAAGAATAAAAATAAATAAACTTTAGAAAAAAAGAGAGAAGAAGAAGATATATATATAGTTACGATAAAAGTTTGTTTGGTATAGTATATGTGGTGCTGGGAGTAGGGGTTGTGATACCCTTTGCCCAACCTAGTAAACTACCAGTAATATTAAATACACCAAAATAAGAGTACAAATTAAAACTGTCGATACGTGGTACTAAAAATAGATAGATAGATAGATAGATAGATAAAAAATATATTTAGTTTTTAAATACATATATTTGTTTGTTTGTTTGTCTATCTATTACTACTTACTACATTGAATATTTGAAGGTTTGGTTAAAGTCGTGTCAATCATACCTGGATAACACCAAAAACAATCGGGAATGGTTGTAATGGATGTATTCAATATCGATAAGAAATTGACACTGCAATACGATTCTGTAATGGGACCTACTAGATTCTGATTACCAGAAAATGATATACCAGCCTTTGTCGGTACATTGTCTAAAAGGTTTGGAGGTAGTGTTCCAATTAACCCATTCTTGATCATAAAGGTTGTTATTAGTTTTGGTATAGGTATATTTGGAATAGTAGAAATATGTGATGGATCAATATTACTAAATTTAATATATTAAAAGTATAAGTTTAAGTATAACATCTAACTCTCTCTCTCTCTCTCCCTCTCACTTTACAGTGTAAAAAGATTTTTTGGATAACTTGTCAAAGGAAATGATGTTATTTGAGACCCGAAAATATGTCTAGACATTCGAATCAAAAAGGAAGAATAAGTAAGTAAAAGTTGGTGAAATTTAATAAATATTAATCCACCACAAACTAAACATACAATGATTTAAGATTTGTAAAAAGAGACATGTTGGGAGTGTTATATTGGGCCAAGTAACCTCCAAATGTATAGTATTCTACTTTTTCGGGATACAATAAATTTGTTTTAATGTAACCCATTGTCGAAGGTGAGGTTGGTTGATTCATAGTACCCACCGATCTCATCGGCATCAATATATCAACAATTACATTTTTGTTGCATATTGTACTTGAAATATATCTATAGATATATATATATATATAATTAACAACCCAAGGTTATTTGTTAGTTTTAAAGGGAAATGTTATAATATTTATAGATACATACAAATCTAAAAGAGCAGGGAATGAAGTATTGGTAATCACCCAATTTAGAGGATTGTCACATTGAATGGCAATCGTAAGAGTTTGTAATTTTGGATAATAAAACGATGTATCCAAAACAAGACTATTAATCTTACTCACAACAATATCTATAACTTCAATATTAGATCCATTAAATAGATTTGATGCTGACTCTAAATTTACTGATGCAATATATCTAAATTTAATCATTTAATTAAATTAATTAATTAATTAAATAATCCTATGGGGGTACTTAATTTAGAGTTATTTATGTGACATACATTTTGTTTAGGATAGGTTTATCAATCATGAAATCATTTGGAATGGTTGTAAAAGTGGTGTCATGAATAAATTGGGCTGTTTGTAAGAGTGGCATATTCTTTAATTTGCTCATAATATCGAGTGATGGATCAGTGACAACACTAGTGAATGGTTGAAGTACGATTGATGTTACTTGTGACAGATCAAGTGATACCAACGTGTTTGATGGTGTACCTGATGGCAGTAATGATCTAGGTTGTACATTACTTTATAGATAGAAAGTTAGATAGAGAATTAGTACATAGTGTATTGTTTATCTTTGATAAGTGTATACATACACTGCTAACAAGTGAAATGCTCCGTCAGTACCAGTACCACATTTAAAAAAGGAACTAATACAAATAGAGTTTGAGTCTTGTGCTACAGACAGTTGGTATTGTTGAACGATCCATTGTGCCGAGCTTACTAAATTAAGATACAGTGTACAAAATAAATGGTCAAGTAAGAGAAGATGATCATGTGATGATGATGATGATCAAGCTACTATAGCTAGCTAGTCATACATACACTCTGATGAAGATAATACTTGAGAGTTTACATGTTGAATGTCATGGTTGTTGGTAATACAAATACAAATAAATAATAATAATACAATGTTGAAAACAAATCTACTTAGGTTTAACACTCCTGATCGAGGTGAGGGTAGAATGATCATTTTAAACCCCCTCTATTTATTTACACCCTTTATCTCTATCTCTATCTATTTACTACAAACTGTTCTATTTCTATTAGGAGACTTTTCAAACCCTAAAGGAATGTCGGAATAAAGATCAAGATCTTCAAGATCAACCCAAAATATCTTAATCCAAAGGTTTCTCTGTCTTGGCAAAGAAAAACTTCGAACGTTTTTACCTCGTTTTTAGAGCTTCGTAGAAGGTTGGTGGTTGGGCACCCATGCATATGATCAATTGTTTTGCGTATGCATTTAAACTTCATAGACATTTCTCATATCTTAATATTATTATTATTATTACTTATATATATTTATTTATTTATTTATTTATTTTTACACACAGAGATAAAATGATGATGATGGACAGATCACCCCATCATCGTTTCATTTTCATTGTGGGTATCATTTTGTTTATATTTTCAATTAATACAATTAGTATTACAGAGGCACAACAACAACAATTACCAATAGATCAACGTAGGTTAAAACTTAACCAAGATGAGAGATGGAATAGAAGAGAGGAGAAGAAAGAAAGATTTAACATTGGTTGTTTCCCATATTGTACATTTATATTATAATATAGTCAACAGTTGTATATATTTAATTAGATATTATGGGTCTACTATACCTCAAGATGTAGCATCGATATGTAGTAGTGGTCAATTCACTTGTGGATCTCCTTTTGGTTCTGGTGGTTCATATCATGTTTTAGCAATGTATGTGTATTTAATAATAGTAGTATGTATTACTGTGGTGTAACATTGGTATTCTAATCAATTTGTTTTTTTTGTTTTTGTAGAAATATGTCACCTGTTGGATATACCAATGTAGGAGCACTTCCTTCTATTTCAACATTTTCCTTTCCAGAGTTGGTAACACTCTCCATTTCTTCATCTGGGTCTACTTGGGGTGACGGAGGAACCATCCCAATGTTTCAAGACTTACCTAAACTCACTTCATTTACAATGCAAACCGATAGCATTATAACAAATATTCCTTTAAATTTTTCAGTTGGTAAACCTCTTTTATCATCAGTGTAGGAATATGATAATAATAATAATAATAATCAATCAATCAATCATTATTTATTTATTATTTATTTATTTCATTTAATTTAGAGTATTTTCAGGATTACCATCATTGACAACACTGAATTTTGAATCATTTTCAAATAGTGCAATCCGAGACATTCTCATTTCCTCTAGTAAAATACAAACAATTTTAGGTACGGATACTGCTATTCTGCCAAAATTATTCTCCATGCAAATCATGCTCGAATGCAATGTAGCACAAACTATTACATTGAACGCCTTGAATTTCCCAATCTTGCAAGATGTCATTATGATTGGCACTAAAGGATCACAGGCTATTAAACTCATTTTAAATAGTCCTCAATTGCAGTATGTGACTTCCCTAATGGTCGATTCCGTTGCAACTGGATCAATCAATCCAACATTTATCTATCCACAAAGAATTGTTAGTTTGTATGTAGAAAATATTAAAAGCTCCCCCATTTTACTTTTTAATATTAATCATTTTTATTTATTTATTTTGTAGGGGATTAGGAGGTATTAATTATGCTTTTGAACCAACTGATTTATCAATATATACTTCAATGAAATCACTGTAAGTCTAAAAAAAAAAGAAATATGAAAGAAGGAAAGACAATTAATTTAATTTAATTTTTTTTTTAAAATATTTTAGTATCATTTCAAATACAATGGAACCACAATATCCTTATAGTTTTTATCCACCATTATTAGAGAATATTAGATATTCTTACTCTAAATTACAATCTTTTCCAAGTATTCCATTACCAAATAGAATTGTAACAGCGTATGTACATTCATTCAAATAATGTTTATTTCCTTTTTTTTTTCAAAGATTCATTACTAATTTGTATTTATTACTATTTAGTGACTTTAAAGGAAATTTGATTGCAGGTACTATTCCAGTTTCAATGTTATCAAACAAACCACCTCAATTAAATCTAGATGTCAGTTACAACCAAAATCTTGGAGGCGTGTTGCCAGAAGAATTTTGTGGTATAGCAAGTTTAACAATCATAAACACCAGTATCTCTGCCATCCCATCATGTTATTGGTGTTTTGCTTCCAATTCAGCAAGATTGATCACAAACCTTCTCCCTCCAGCTAATTTTCAATGTAATGTGACACTTGACAGTACCAATGTCTATTCAACTCAAGGATTATTTACAATCACGGGAAATAATTTAGGGTGGGGGGAAAATGTTAAAAATTTTGTTAGAGCTATTGAACCAAACAAACAATTAATGTATGTGAAATTAAAATTAATTAACTTTAAAAATAATATTAATAATTAATTTATATTTTTTTTATTTAGATTTAAAATGCAAGTAAATTTAGGACCACAACAAAATTTAACAATTAATCTTGTTGAGCCACCAAAACCAGGTTATTCTATTAAAGTAACAGTGTCTGAAAAGTCATTCCTTTTGACTTCATTTGGTGGTGGTGAATCAGAACTTGGAGTATACAAATTCCAAGTAGCTTTTGAATATTGGGCCTTGGATTATTTCCCAACAGTTGATTTAAATTTTGGTCAAGTACCTTGCACATTGACTAATATCAATTACAACACCAAAACAATTACTTGTTTTATCAATGATCCTCCACTTGGTATTCAAAATTTAACCATTTATAATCAATATACAAATTATTCAATGCCAATATCAATTGTTAAAAGTATGTTAAAAAATATAATATAATAATAGTAAATGTAATGAAAATTAATTAATTTATTTATTTTAGATATATTTATTTCATCATATTTATTGGAACCACCAACTTATCCACCAACACATGCACATTTATATGGATATTTTGGTAATTTTTCAATGACCGATCCAAAGAGTTATGTTATTGTCACTACCTCGGCTGGTATGATGTTTTGCAATTTTACTATTGCCAACCAAACCTATGTCAAGTGTAAATTTGAAAGACAACCTGCATCGGGACGTGGATCGATTGCTATTATGGTGCCGTTGGGGTCAGGTTCTTTTGATTTGTATTACCCCTTCCCACCTCCCACCAACGCCGAATGCCAATTGAAAACAAATAATTGCACTGGTCATGGAGAATGTGTAAATGGTCAATGCGTATGCGATACTGGGTACTTGGATTTTGATTGTAAATTAAAATCAGAAGGACCAGGCGTCGACTTTGTGGTTGACAAGGATCCGTCGGCTACCTTTAAGTTTTTAGACTACTCTTTCTCGTTTACCATGATGTCCATTCAAGAGGTTGATGTCAATGACAATGTAATCAAAGAATTACCGACAAATAATTGGACAACCATTCAACGTAAAAAGGATGACGTTGTGTCAGTCGATTATCACCTAACTAGCCACCAATATTCAAAAAATGCAACCGATTATTTCCAACTCAATGTTACATCGACCATTGAATTTTCAAATAATTCTAGAACCATTCAATTTGGTGGCGATGACTATAAATTGGCAAATGGGTCGATCAAGATATCGGTCAATGTAACAAAGTGGCCGTTTGATTCGGTATTCTCTTCTCTCCGTTTGGTTTTCATCACAACCATCAATAATGAACAGATCCTGGTTGGATGTGACGATTCCAAGACAGAGATTGAATCAATCGAGAATTTTGTTGGTGGAGATTCCATCCAATACCTCAGAGTTGTCAAAAACACTACACAATTCTTTGGACGATTTTTGGATTACAGTGTGACCGATGGCAGAAAGACCTATTCAAAGACACAAGTTATGAATGTCACTAAAAAGGATGCCGAGGAATCCTATGTCATGATTGGTGTCAATCTTCCCAATTGCAAAGAGTGTTTGATGGACCCAGACTTTTCTGCTCTTCTCATCAATCCAACTAGTAATTGTCCAGGTCAGAAAACCAACGACAGCTGGAAAATGATTGTTGGTATTGTCATTGGAGTAGTTGGTGCCATAACTCTTTCTATTATTTTAATTTATATTATTAAAAAGAATAGGTATGTTCAAAAAAACAAATAGAGAGATATAATTATATTAATTTCTTTATATTTTAGATTCTATTTTATTATAAAAAGAGTTGGAACTATGAAAGAAACTTTTAAATTAAAGACGATGAGGGATAAATCAATGTCTTAAATATTAATAATAATAATAATAATAATAATAATAATTTTTATACAATTCACACAAGAGGCAACTCCTATTGATATATACTTTATATTTATTTATTTATTCACAGATAGGTAACAACAACCCATGACTAAATAATTTATTTTGGTTGGCATGCTTTTTCAAATTAAAATGTTTGAAATTAATAAATTGGTTTACTTGATTGTCTTTTTTATACTTTGTAAGCAAGTAGCAAAGTGATAGAGGTTTAATTCTTTCTCTTTTGGTGTCAAAGTCCAATTCAAGTGGCTTCATTTGATATTGTTCTTTTTCGGGACCATTATAAAACTTGCCATAATGGGTGATGATTCGATCGATAGTATCAGTGATATAGTTTCGTCTAGACTCTCCAAGATAATGTGGTGATGGGTACCTAAGAACACTAGAGACAATCAAAGAGTTTGTAGTCCAAGGTTTGAATAGATTCCACATTGTTTCAAATTCTTGGCCGTTTGTAATATAGTAAAATGATTGAATCCATCCAGCACTTGTCACATCGTCAACCAATGTCGAAGAGATAGATTGTGAAAAAGATTGTGCAATAGTGTAGGCTATTTGATGGTGATTATGTTCAAGAGCATAGTGAAGTGGAAAATATCCATAGACCCAACTGTTTTTGACGAATTCTCCAACCAAACATGTGGCCACCTGAACAAAGCCTTTGGTGCAAACATTGTCGAAAATTTGTCTTCTTGTATCGACTATTGCATCAAAGCAAAAGTGATCCTTTGTAATTGGATGTACAACATACGATAAATTGTCACGTAACAATTCAATGTTGGAGTCTGATTGTGCAAGAGATGTTAGTAGGATTAAAGAAGGAATGCTCTGAATAGATTGGTATTTGGTAATCAGTTGAACAATATCTATTGAAAGAATAGCTGCACACCAATCTAGTCCCATTGTGTAGTTTCCAGGTAGCATCACTTTATGATCCTTTGATAGAAAACACTCGAGTGCAGTAACAGAGATGAGAGGTACGTTTTGGAATGGTATTCTAATGGTTATACTACTATTGATGAATGATTGTAGTATATATTCTAAAATCTTTTCATTGGATACACAGAGTGCAGAAACAATGATATCATTTACATTGAGATGACCAATGAGCTTTGATGGGCCACCATTTTGGGCTTCAATTGTAAAAAGATAAACTAGTGTCTCTAATTGGTTGGCTTTTATGATAGACTCTACCAATGGTTGGTATTCAATGCAAATGTATGGGTTTTCAACCAATTGTTTAACAAGGTCCAATGATATGATTGAAATATCTATGTCTCCATCTAGTCTATGGCTGCATCGACCAACTCCTTGTTTTGTTTTTAAAACATTATTGAAAAAGTATGCACATTGCAAATGGCCTTGCTTTAACGATGCATTTAAATGAGATGGTTCAAAATCATTGTAACCTAACGAATCACAAAGATATAGTAGGTAATCTAAATTACCTTTTCTTGCAGCTACTGTTGATACTTTACTGTCATTTGATGGCAACTGATAGTCTATCATTTTCAATGTATCGGTGGTAGCCCATTGTTGAATGGAACGATAGGAGTGATGATGGAAATCAACAAACTCTTGTGGGTTTTTGAAACTGTCCTTGATCCATTTTAATACCTCTTGATTGTTTGAGCACTCCAAAGCAGCAATCAACAATTCGTGTCTTAGATCCAGACCAGATTCCAATGATCTTGTGACCATATGGAAAATGATTTGATATCTTGATCCCTCTTTGAATTCCTTGACCAATTGTGTATTGACTAGGAAATCTTGTTGATCAAACTTAGAGGGAGGTTGTGATTTACTTCGATTATAGTACACTGGTCGGAGGACATCATCACATACTCGATCAAACATTTCTACATCACCATGAGTGACGCACAAATAAACCAGTGATTGAATGAATCTGTGATCTAAAATGGTGAGGTCTTCTTGTTTGTTAACCTTATTCACTAGATGATAGTTATTGTCAAATAGTATTTGTAACATTTCTTTTGAAAGTTTTTCAAAACCGATTCCCACCAAGGCTACTTTGATCGTTGTATAATCAAACACTCCTATTCTTTGCAGAATAAATCTAAATGCAACACTATTACTCCTTTTGAATATACTTGTTAATATATCTTTAAATATAGTATTCTATGATTGAGTGTGTTTGTTAGTAAATTGATTGATAGTAAGCTTTATACAAATATAGCTTACCGAAAAAGTATCTGATAATGATTTCATGTTCTGATATGCTTGATCAAAGTGTTTGATGAATAGATCTGTACGATGCAATAGAATGCATTCATTCAATGATATCATCTGATGTGACTTTAGTATCAACGAGTGACGACTAGCAATCATTCTATGTATACCCTCTACATGTTTAAATATCTTTGTACGGATATAATAATTGTTTATAATACTTTTAAAGTATCTATCTTTATCACTACTACTATTATTACTATTATTATTACTATTATTCATTGTTAGACAGATCTAAATGAAAAAAAAACATAAATAAAACTATTTTGAAGAGAGAAAGTTTTGAAAATATCTTTAAAATTATTTTTTTGTCCAAAAGGGATAAAGATCAAGATCCACACAAGTAACAACTACTGTTTATCCAACTTTATATTTATTTATTCACAGATAGGTAACAACAACCCATGACTAAATAATTTATTTTGGTTTGCATGTTTTTTCAAATTAAAATGTTTGAAATTAATAAATTGGTTTACTTGATTGTCTTTTTTATACTTTGTAAGCAAGTAGCAAAGTGATAGAGGTTTAATTCTTTCTCTTTTGGTTTCACAGTCCAATTCAAGTGGTTTCATTTGATATTGATCTTTTTCGGGACCATTATAAAATTTGCCATAATGGGTAATGATTCGATCGATAGTATCAGTGATATAGTTTCGTCGAGACTCTCCAAGATAATGTGGTGATGGGTACTTAAGAACTTTAGAGACAATCAAAAAGTTTGTTGTCCCAGGTTTGAATAGATTCCACATTGTTTCAAATTCTTGGTCGTCTTTAATAAAGTAAAATGATTGAATCCATTCTGCACTATCGTCAATATCTACCTTGGAAGAGATGATTGAGGGTGAAAAAGATTGTGCAATAGTATAGGCTATTTGAAAGTGATTGTGTTCTAGAGCATAGTGAAGTGGAAAACATCCATAGATCCAATTGTTGTTTTTGATGAATTCTCCAACCAAACATGTGGCCACCTGAACAAAGCCTTTGTTGATAGACTGTTCGAGAATTTGTCTTCTTGTATCGACTATTGTATCATAGTACAAGTGATCCTTTGCAATTGGATGTACAACATACGATAAATTGTCACGTAACAATTCAATGTTGGAGTCTGATTGTGCAAGAGATGTTAGTAGGATTAAAGAAGGAATGCTCTGAATCGATTGGTATTTGGTAATCAGTTGAACAATATCCATTGAAAGAATAGCTGCACACCAATCTAGTCCCATTGTGTAGTTTCCAGGTAGCATCACTTTATGATCCTTTGATAGAAAACACTCGAGTGCAGTAACAGAGATGAGAGGTACGTTTTGGAATGGTATTCTAATGGTTATACTACTATTGATGAATGATTGTAGTATATATTCTAAAATCTTTTCATTGGATACACAGAGTGCAGAAACGATGATATCATTTACATTGAGATGACCAATGAGCTTTGATGAACCACCATCTTGGGCTTCAATTGTAAAAAGATAAACTAGTGTCTCTAATTGGTTGGCTTTTATGATAGACTCTACCAATGGTTGGTATTCAATACAAATGTATCGGTTTTCGACCAATTTTTTGACAAGGTCCAATGATATGATTGAAATATCTATGTCTCCATCTAGTCTATGGCTGTATAATTGAAGACCAAATCCTTGTGTTGTGCCTAAAGCACTCATTAAAAAGTATGCACATTGCAAATGGCTTTGCTTTAACGATGCATTTAAATGAGATGGTTCAAAATCATTGTAACCTAACGAATCATAAAGATATAGTAGGTAACCCAAATTACCATTTCTTGCAGCTACTGTTGATACTTCTTCGCTGTCATTTGATGGCAACTGATAGTCTATCATTTTCAATGTATCGGTGGTAGCCCATTGTTGAATGGAACGATAGGATTGATGATGGAATTCAACAAAATCTTGTGGGTCTGTGAAACTGTCCTTGATCCATTCTACTATCTCTTGATCGTTTGAACATTCCAAAGCAGCAATCAACAATTCGTGTCTTAGATCCAGACCACATTCCAATGATCTTGTGACCATATGGAAAATGATTTGATACCTTGATGATCCCTCATCGACACAATCAACTCCGTACAATAGTTTCTTGACTAGGCTGGTAAATATACCTGGTCGATCGTACATCATAGATGGGGGTTGTGCTTTACCCGTTTGACCATTGTACAAAGGCCAGAGGACATCATCACATACTCGATCAAACATTTCCACATCACCATGAGTGATACACCAATAAACGAGTGATTGAATGAATCTGTGGTCCAAATATGTGAGATGGTCTTGACTGTTTACCTTATTCACTATATGATAGTTATTGTCAAACAGTATTTGTAGCATTTCTTTTGAAGGTGTTTCAAAAACGACTCCTAGCAATGCAGATCTTATCGTTGTATATTCAAACGAAGGTCCTATTCTATGTATCATAAATTTAAGTGCATCTATATTATTCCTTTTGAATATACTTGCTAATATATCTTTAAATATATCATTCTATAACGATAGTATTAAATTCTGTTAGTAAATTGATCCGTTAATTCATACCTCTAGAGGAATCCTCTTTTATATTTAGCTTACCGAAAAAGTATCTGATAATGATTTCATTGTCTGATAAACTTGATCAAAGTGTTTGATGAATAGATCTGTACGATGCAATAGAATGAATTCATTCAATGATATCATCTGATGTGACTTTAGTATCAACGAGTGACGACTAGCAATCATTCTATGTATACCCTCTACATGTTTAAATATCTTTGTACGGATATAATAATTGTTTATAATACTTTTAAAGTATCTATCTTTATCACTACTACTATTATTACTATTATTATTACTATTATTCATTGTTTTAACCTCAAATGAAAAAAAAAGATAATAAAACTATTTTCAAGTTAGAGAAAGTTTTAGCTTTTTGGAGTTGAATTATTATTTTTATTTTAATTTAGTTGGTACTTGGGAATTATTTATTTATTTCTTTGTGAATGGGATTATACCATCAGTTTGAATGTAATATTGATCTATATTGAAATCAGTGAAATCAATGACTGGACAATCTCTGTAATAATTAAATAGATGATGGATATTCAGTGGATCAATTTCCAACTCGTTGTTGAGAGCAAGTGGTGTCATATTATATTGATCTTTCTCTGGACCATTATAATATCGAGTATAGTGTTTGATGATTCTATCGATTGTGTTGGTGACTCGGTGTCTTTGTGAAAATGCGAAATTGGCACTTGATGAAATAGCCTTTGTTACAAATAAAGAGGGACTAGTCCAAGGTTGTATTACATCCCACATCATTTCAAAGTCTTGATCATTATCTATAAAGTAGAATGAGGCCAAGATTTGTGGTTTGAGATCATCCATTTTTTTGAATTGGGTGGCGATCATTTGACCAATGAATAGTGCCAGTTGAATATGTTTGTGTTGTAATGCTGTTCCAAAAAGTCTAACTCCACATTCCAAAAACAAGCCTTCAATACTTTCAAAACACTCTACCACTTGAACCAAACCTTTCTTGCATAATTCTGGTAATATGTCATATCGCAGTATACGTTTGAATAAACCTAAATCTTGTCGGTGGTGTTGATTGATGACTGATATTGTATCACGCAACAGCTTTGTGTTTTTAAAGTCTGGATGTTTTACCGATGAAAGGATTACCCAAGGTTGAATATTTCCACTTTCAATCGATAGACGATCGATTAATAATTGAATGGTTTGTGGTGAGGTTGGAATTTGATATCTTTTGGTTCTAACATTGGTTAGAGAATTGAATGGAGATATTTCAATAGTGTGACCTTTGTTGAAAAGTAAAAGTAGCGGACCATAACATATATTGTCGTCATTATAATCTACTATAAATGTTTGAGGTGGTCGACCCTCCGAGGAAGAGAAGAACTTGTCCAACAACATTTCAGTGATGATTGGGTTATTCACTCCAAGAGACATGGTCACAAACTTTTTGTAAATTGCATGTGTGTCTGTAACGCGTTGCAACAAGATAAACTCCAAAGTTTCAGGTTGATTTAATTTAATAGCCGATTCAATCAATCCATCAAAATCAGTAATTTTACATTGACTATCAACCAACCGTTTGACAAGATCCAGTGACATGATTAATGGATCTATCATTCTATATAGTAGTGGTACACCACCTTGTTTGGTAACCGTGATTAAAAAGTTGGCACATTCCAAATGTCCTCCTAGCAATGAGACCTGGAGTTGTGCACAGCTATCATGTTGAAATAGAGGTTTGAATTCTTTAATGTCATACATGTATGTTAGAAAATCCAAGTTTCCATGTAGAGATGCTCTATTTGACAATAATATTGGTGAATTAAGTAGTTGTAGTTTGAAATCTATTAATTCAAGTGTACTGGTTGTTGCATATCTTTCAATTGATTGAAAAACATTAGATTCTTGACATAGTTTTTTAAAACCTTCTTTTGAATCATCAAAACTATCTCTGATCCATTTTATAATCTCTTGATTATTATCACATTCCAATGCACCAATAAATAAGTTTGATCTTAAATCTAAACAACCAAATAGTATCAACTTTGATACCATTTCAAATATTATTTCATATTTTGATTCATTACTATTATTTTCATTATTATTTGTTGAATGTTGTTGTTGAGTAGTTAATTTGTTGATTAAATTTCCAAATGATTCCCATTGACTATAAAAACCACATTTGTTACTGATATCATCCAGATGATCTTTACAAATTCTATCAAACATCTCCAAATCACCATTCAAGACTACGTGTCTTGTAAGAATACCAACAAATGAATTGTGATCATTATTAGTATCTTCATCATCAACATCTTCATTTTCATCTAGTAAATGATAGTTGTGCTGAATTAAAATTCTACACAAACCAATAGGTGGTTTGATAGAGCTAGCTCCAAGCATCATTGAACCAAGCATGGTCTTATCAAATATTCCAACCCTTTTCAACATATATTCAAATGCAATATATCCATCGTATTGAATGATTGTTGTCAATATCTGCTTGATTGTGTGACTCTACATAGATTTGTTAATATACTTTACACTTTCATAAATAACAAATATTAACTTACTTGATCTTTAGAAACTGATTGATATACACTATCAAAGTGTTTAATGAATAGATCATTTCTATATACTTTGATGCATTCACATAGTGTAACTATCTGATTTGATTTGAGTGATCGTATGTGATGATTCTTGTAACTATCATTGATACTCTGATGTATGATCTCTACATGATTGAATATCTTTTTTCTGATATAACTACTTTGTAATAAACTTTTAAATAGATTATTTATATTTACTTCTTTGTTGTTCATTTGATACTTTGATTTAAATGAGTGAGGTGAGAGATACAAAGAAAACAAATATGAAGACACCTCTTGGGAAGTTCAAAATTTCATTTTTTGGATTTATTTATTTGTTGAATGGGATGACACCTAGTTCATTGTTTTGAATGTAATATTTGTCTACATTGAAATCAGAGAAGTCAATGACTGGACAATCTCTGTAATTGGTGTATAGATGATGGATATTAAATGGATCAAATGATTGATCTCTGTTGGTAATTCTAATTGGTGTCATTTTGAATTGATCTTTCTCTGGACTATTATAATATCGAGTATAATGTTTGATGAATCTATCTATTGTTTTGGTCTTTGAGGATCTTTTTGAAAATTTAAAGCGTGAGTATGTGATAGCTCTTGAGACATATGAAGAGTTACTCGTGAGAGGTTGTAATACATCCCAAATCATTTCAAAGTCTTGATCATCATCGATAAAGTAAAAATAATTCAAAATCAATTCTAGTCGGTTGGTATCCATTTCTTTGAAATGAGTGGTGATTGCTTGTCCCAAGAATAGTGCCATTTGAGTTTGTTTGTATTCCATTGCCGTTCTAAAAAGTGAGTCTCCAAATTTCCAAGCCCAGTCTCCAAAACATTCAACCACTTTAACCAACCCCATTCTACATGCTTCATTCAATACATCGTGTTGTAATTCTTGCATATCTTCTTCGGGGTATTGGTTGATGAGTGATAGTGTATCTTTCAACAACTTGTAGTCACCTTGGTCATTAAAATCTGGATGATTGACAGATACAAGTATCACCCATGGTGGTACTCTTTCAATCGATAGATGTTCAAGACATAATTGAACCACTTTTTGTGATACTATTGATGGATTAGAAGTATAATATTCCAATGGATTAAATTCGATAGAATGACCTTTGTTGAAAAGTGATAATAGTGGAGCATAACATATTTTTTTGTCAATGTATTCAACTGTAAATGTTTTGGGTGGTCGATCCTCGGAAGAGAAGAACCTGTCCAACAACATTTCAGTGATGACTGGGTCATCCAATGCAAGCGACATGATAACAAACTTTTCGTCGCTGTCAAAAAACTCCATATTTTCATCTTTCAACAGTGACAAGATAAACTCTAAAGTTTCAGGTTGATTTGATTTGATCGCTGATTCAATCAATCCACTAAAACTCATCATCTGGCATTGAATTTCGACCAATCGTTTGACAAGATCCAATGACATGATTGATGGATCAATAGACCAACATTGTAATTTTGTATAACCTTCTTTGACTGCTATTGTCATTAAAAAGTTGGCGCATTCCAAATGTGGACCTGACAGTGAATCATGAAGTTGTGTTTTTTCAAATAGATATTGGTATTGTTTCATGTCATACATGTATGATAGAAAATCCAAGTTTCCAAATTGAGCTGCTCTCGTTGACAATCGATTCGATGATGATACTAGTTGGTTGAATTCTATTAACTTAAGTGTATTGGTTGTTGCATATTTTTCAATTGGAAATAAAAGATAGTGTTGAAATAGTTGGTTAAAATCTTCTACTGTCCCATTACCTTGTTCTTTTGAATCAAAACTATCTCTGATCCATTTAATAATCTCTTGATTATTATCACATTCCAATGCATCAATAAATAATAGTGATCTTAGATCTACACCAAAACTTAATAGTTTCTTGACCATATAAAATATTACATAATACTTTGATTGATTATTATTATCACCATTATTATTATTATTGTTGTTGTTATTTGTTGTATGTTGTTGATTATTTAATTTGTTGATTAAACCTTTGAATGATCGCTTGTCGACATAAAAACTAAATTTGTCACTGTTATGATCAAAATAATCATTAAAAATTCTATCAAACATCTCCAATTCACCGTTAAAGACTGCCAGTCTTGTCAGAACGTCAACAAATATCGCATGATCAGTTTCATTATCATTCTTTTCAGGTAAATGATAATTGTGCTGAATGAGTAGTCTAAATACATTGATAGGTGGTTTGATAAAACCATCTCTAAGGACTGTCATTTTGATTCTTCCAAACCTTTGCAACAAATAATCTAATTCAACATGTCCATCATATTGAAATATAGTATTTAATATCTGTTTGAATGTTTTATTCTACATAGATAATGTTATTAGGAATCACTTTATTTCTTTATAATATTAAACATACATTAAAACTAAACTCCTTTTCATTAGAGTATGACAACATTGATTGATATACACTATCAAAGTGTTTGATGAATAGATCGCTTCTATTTACTTTGATACATTCACATAATGAAACTATCTGATTTGATTTTAGTACTAATAAGTCACTACTAATGATACGCTGATGAATAATCTCTACATGATTGAATATCTTTGTTCTAATATAACTACTATGTAATAAACTTTTAAATAGATTATTTATATCTGCTTTGTTGTTCATTTGTTTAAAGTGAGGTGAGAGATAAAGATAAAGATAAAGATAACTAACAAACTTTGAAGATAATACAAAAATGATAGTAGTTCAATCTTGGGGGTTTTTTCTTTTTCTGAATTATTTTCATCTTTTTTTTATTTATTTAATTGTTGAATGGGATGATACCTAGTTCAATATTTTGAATGTAATATTGATCTATATTGAAATCAGAGAAGTCAATGACTGGACAATCTCTGTAATTGGTGTATAGATGATTGATATTAAATGGATCTAATGGTAACCTCAAATTGCTGTAAATTTTAATTGGTATCATTTCAAATTCATCTTTCTCTGGACCATTATAATATCGAGTATAGTGTTTGATGATTCTATCGATTGTGTTGGTGATTCGGTGTCTTTGTGAGTTTTTATACGCTTTATAATTATATGTGGCGATAGAGACATGTGAAGCGTTACTTGTTATCGGTTTTAAGAGATTCCAAAACATTTCAAAGTCTTGTTCACCATGGATAAAGTGCAAAGAAGGCAATAGATCCATTAATGTCATATCATCGCAATGAGTAGCGATTGATTGCCCAATATAATATGCCAATTGAATATGTTTGTACTCCAATGCAGTTCTAAAGAGTGACACACCAAATTGCCAAACCCAGTCTCCAAGACACTCGACCACTTTAATCAACCCAATTCTGCATGTCAGGTTCATTATTTGTTGGTACATAATCAAATCTTCTTGAGTGTGTGGGTGGATGATTGAAATTGTATGTTTCAACAACTTGTAGTCACTTTGGTCATTAAAATCTGGATGATTGACAGATGCAAGTATCACCCATGGTGGTACTCTTTCAAGCGATAGACGATCGATTAATAATTGAACAACTTTTGGTAAAAATAAAAAACAGAGTATCAATGCTGTTTGTTTGGGTTGTTTAATTTCAATAGAATGACCTTTGTTGAAAAGTGATAAAAGTGGTGCATAACATATTTTGTTGTCATTGAATTGAATTTTAAATGTTTGAGGTTGTTGATCCTCGGAAGAGAAGAACTTGTCCAACAGCATTTCAGTGATTGTTTGATTATCTACTTTCAGAGACACCAATACAAATCTTGTACCAAGTTCCTTCAACTCTTGACTAGAGACCTCTTTTAGCAATGACAAGATAAACTCCAAAGTTTCAGGTTGATTTGATTTAATAGCTGATTCAATCAATCCAGTAAAATCCATCATTTGACATTGACTATCAACCAATCTTTTAACAAGATCCAAAGACATGATTGATGGATGAATAGTCCAAAATATATGGGTATAAGAATGTTCACTTTCTTTAACTTCTTTAGCTTTAATTTTCATTAAAAAATTAGCACATTCTAAATGTCCGTCAGATAATGACGCCGCCAGTTGAGCTCTATCAAATAGATACTTGTACTCTTTCATGTCATACATGTGCGATAGAAAGTCCAAGTTTCCAAATTTAGCTGCTACAGTTGACATGACTGGTGGTGATTGTAGTTTGAATTCTATTAATTCAAGTGTATGGGTTGTTGCATACATTTCAATTGAACTAATAACTCTTTTGTGTTGTTGACATAGTTTAATAAAATCATCTTTTGAATCATAACTATATCTGATCCATTTTATAATCTCTTGATTATTCTTATCACATTCCATTGCAATAATAAATAATTCTGATCTTAAATCTACTAAACTATATCCTATTAATTTCTTGACCATATAGAATAGTATATCATACTTTGATTGATTATTATTGAATAAATCTTTGCATGATCCCCATGAGTGCCAGTCATCATCCATTGTTCGCTCAAAATTTATATTGTTTTTGTTGTTGGTATGATCTAAATAATCATGACAAATTCTATCAAACAACTCCAAATCACCATTCATTACTACTTGTTTTGTAAGAATACCAACAAAGGCATAGTGATCATTATCATCATTTTCATCTAAATGATAGTTTTGTTGAATTAAAAGTCTACACACACCAATAGATATATAGTTCATAAATGTAGCTCCGAGAAATCTATGATTGAGAAGGACGGTCTTTTCAATTCTTTCAAACCTTTTCATCATATATTCTAATTCAATATGTCCATCGTATTGAAATATAGCTTTCAATATCTGTTGGAATTGTTGACTCTATACATAATTGTTGTTAGCTTTTAAACCCTCATGATTCATGTTGCTGTTAACATACATTTAAACTAAATTCCTTTTCATGAGATGACGACAACATTGATTGATATACACTATCAAAGTGTTTGATGAATAGATCACTTCTATGTACTTTGATACATTCACATAGTGTCATTATCTGATTTGATTTGAGTGCTAGTTTATCGTAACTGTAAATGATTCTCTGATGTATAATCTCTACATGATTGAATATCTTTTTTCTAATATAACTATTATGTAATAAACTTTTAAATAGATTATTTATATCTAGATTTATATCTACTACTTTGGTGTTCATTTGTATGATGATGCTTTGATTTAAATGAAATTACTTTACATATTTTTTTTATCTTTATCGAAAAAGAAAAACAACCTTTTATTTAAATTAATTTTAAAAATATATTATTTGCTGTTGAATGGGATGACACCATCATTCTTATCATTTCCAATGAAATCTTTTTCTTGGTGAGTTTGAATGTAATATTGATCTACATTGAAATCAGTGAAACAGGCTATAATATTAACCAAAAATTAAATTAAATCTAGCATTTAAACTCAAATACTATGAATCAAAATGGGAACAAGAATATATCGATCTTGCAAGAACTTTTATTGAAGAATCATACGAAGAGTATAAATCTTTAATTTCAGATAAACCAGATGAACCAATCAAGAAAAAGCAATCATTAATTGATATGTCTGATTTATTAATGTTTTGTGCTGGTACACCACCACAAGAAGAAGACGAACTTTCCAAGTATTTAAGAGAGGACATAATATTGAACCTGGATATCTCACCGCTCCAATGGTGGAGGGAGAGAGAACAAACCTATCCTGCTCTCTCGAAGATGGCCAGAGATATTCTCTCCATTCCAACAAGCTCTGTACAGATGGAAAGAATTTTCACAAGTGGTCCCGATATAGTAGTTGCAAAACGATCATCTTTGAAAAGAGAAACAATCAGAAAGCTATTTTGCTTGAAGAGTTGGATGGACTTTGATTTCGAAACAAATTAATTCATAAATAAAGATAAAAAGTTTTATTATTTAATATATATTTGTTGGAAATACTTGTGGCATGTCCCAAGGTATTGGAGCTAAAGAATGTGAGGGCTGACTAGGGCCGAGGCTGAGCAGCCTCAATTTGGAGGACACCCTAAAAGATGTCAGCCTCAGATTGGGTCTCAGACCCTGTCTGAGACCTCAGCTTGGAGCCTTAACTTCATCCATCCACTCAATAATCAATCGGATATAGATTCATTCTTCACGTCAAAAGGGGTCGATGATCGCTACTGAGGCCTGTTGCTGCAGTCTGAGATCTCACTCAGATCTTAGTTCATCAAGATATTTTATTTTATTTTATTTATTTAATATTGTGCCTTGTGTTGCTCTCTTCTCTTTGGTTATAATCATTATTAATAAACTATTCAATAATGATCATAGCACAAACGAGTGAGAGATCGGCAGATCGTCAGATCAACCCATTTGTAGTGTTTTATTTATTTTTTATTCTCAATACTCAATCTGAATATTTATTCTTTTAAATCATGAAAGTTTCAAACCTATTATTTATATTAATAAGTTGTTATTTATAAATAAAATGCCAAGATGGAACCTATTGCAATGGAACAAAATGTGTAAATGTAGTACCAGAGAATGGAGAATGTTGGGGAAACGAATTTGCAGCAGTTGAATGTGGATTCTTGGCTTGTTTGAAAATAGATGGTTTGTATCTTTCCCTTTTGACAAAAAAAAAAAGATTTAAAAACCAATTCCCTAACTTTATTATTATTTTTTCTTTGTTTGTTTTATTTTAATTTATTTCATAAAGTGTCAAAGGTTCATATGCACAATTAGGTGAATCATTTATGGGTGTGCCACTGGATCAAGAGTTTCAATTCAAAATGTCAACCATTTTTCAGTCTTGGTGAAGGCGAACGTTGTGACCGTTATACTGGTGCTGGTGACTATTTACAAACCTTTGATTTGTGTGATCAAGGCGCTGGTTTGTTCTGTTACAACTTTACCTGTCAAAAACAACCAGAAGCTACCCCAAAAACAATCAATTGCACCATTGGGGGCATTGTAACCCTATAGAGGATTGTTTTTGCACAACTACATCTAATGGAACCTGTATCAACCTAGAATTCAATACTGAGCAACCAAGTGTCCTGATGCTGTCAAGAACTTAGCCAAGTGTATGCTCGATGGTCAGTGCCACTTTACTGATTTTGATACACATACACCAACCTTTAAACCACTTGGGGAACTTGTCAACATAGAAAGTGTGCCATGGAAACATGTATTGCCGATGCTGCTTGTGAATTTCCTATCGACCATCCATTCAGTTATCCAGAAGTGTGTTCAATCAGATGGAAAAATGAATTTTGTCCAGGTTTCACATCAGGTATACCATCCATCTTCCCATCATCCATGTCAAAGTCATCTGTTCCATCTGGTTTATTTGCTTTCATTGTCATGGTATTAATATTGTTTATTATTAATCTTTAAAAAGGAAATAAATAATTTTGAATACGTCCTCTAAAATAATTGTTGGTGTTAAAATTCTTAAAATCCACAACCTTTTTTACATTTTCATCGTGTCTATATCGTTTGACAATATAGCAAACATTAAATGGGTGTTGGTCTCGATTTGTTTCCAATAGTAATGTTTTCATTTGATATTGATCTCTTTCAGGACCATTATAAAATCTTGAATAGTTTTGAATAATTCTATCAATCGTTAAGGTATTACGGTGTCGATGAGTTTGAGGTAATGGTGACGAACACATTATTTGAGAGACGATATCTGAGTTTGTTGTGAGTGGTTTAAAATCATTCCAAAATGATGCAAATCGTTGGTCATCGTCAATTTTAAAGAAAAATAACGATAATAGTTGAACCCTGGCTCGAGTAGCCCGATTATCAGTAATAGTAATAAAGAGTGCAATATGTTCTTTGATTAAATACTCTACAACATTGATTTGATGGTATTTCAATGCCGCAGTGAATGAATCCACAAAACTGTCAAAATCAGTGACCAAACATTTCAAGACATTGACCAATCCATTTTTACTTGCTGTTATTATTGTTTCTTTGACTGGACTTTCCCAACCATCCCAAGACAACCGTGGTAACACATCTGTTAACACTTGAATGTTGCTATCAAAATATCCAAATCGTGAAAGGATCACGCAAGGTTCGATAGTATTGATTGGTTGGCGACTGACAATCAACTCGAGTATTTGACTAAATGATAGAGGTATATCAATTGGTTGTTTTTTTGTTGTAGTTGTGATTAAAGTATGTTGAGTTGGGGGTACTTTAATATCGAGTGAATGAGTCTTTGAATATAAATATTCAAGTGATTGAGGAACCATTTTGTAAAGATTGTCTGTTGTCACTTGGAATGTTATTGAACCACTGCTGTTTGGGTATAATCTATTTAATAGATACTCTATGATACTTGTATTATCAACATACAAAGCACCAACAACAAAACTACTCTTGTCTTGATCTTTTAATATTACATCTTGTCCATTGCAAGATAGAATATGATTGAGAGTGTCTAATTGTTTGGCAGAGATTGCTGAAAGTGCCAATGCTTTAACTGTCAATCTTAAAAATGGATTAGCACCCAATAGTTTGACAAGATCCAATGACATGATTGATGGATGTATGCTATCAATGTAAAACAGATCGATACGACAGTATCCTTTATCGCCCAATTTATCGAATTTAAGAATAGCATCATTTAACAAATACACGCATTCCAATTGACCTTCCTTTAATGCTGTTTCTATTTGAGGATAGTGATACACATACTTGTAATTATGGGTGATTATGTATGAGATGAAACCTTTGTTACCATACATCGCAGCAGTTGTTGACATTGGGTAGAAAATTGGTGGAAATTCTAATAGTTTCAATGTCTCCAATGATGCATATCTTTCAATAATAGGAATAAGCACATAATTGCGTTTAAAGAAATCAAAGTTATCAATTGATTTACCACCAAAACTATCTTTTATCCATTTTATAATATCTTGATTATTATCACATTCCAATGCATCCACAAATAAATTAACTCTTAAATCCATTCCATATTCCAATAATTTCTTTACCATATAATATATTATTTGATATTTTGATTCATCATCATTATTATTATTGTCTTGTGGTTGTTGTTGTTGATTTAATTTGTTGATTAAATTCTTGAATTTGAGGTGATGACAATTGGCATAATATCGTTCTTTGTTGTCTGTACTATTATTTAGAATATCTTTACATATTCTATCAAACAATTCCAAATCACCACAAGAGATGGTATCCAAAAGAAAGAATGCAACGTTGTAAGCCAACCCTTTGCCCTTTATATGGGGAAGAAGAATTGACACAAACTTTTTGGTTGGGTCTCATTTCATCGGCTCACCACGTAGAATACTATATTCCATCGGCTTCCATTCATTACTAAGAAATTGAATAAAGTCGAGTGGCAGTCCACCTAATCTATCAACAACAAAATCAAATGCGACTCGATTTTCATTTCTTAAAATAATAAATAACAATGTATTAAAGTTTCTCTATAAATTAAAGTAATTGATAAAGTTAAAAGTATATATTAATATTAATACTTTGCAGAGAATAAGTATTTTTAAATGTGATAATGAATGAATGAATGAATGAATGTTGATGTCATCATACTCTGAAAAAAGGGTCTGCAGCAGGCGTTGGATGATCAATACACATCATTTGATAGACACTATCAAACTTTTGAATGAATAGATTGGTATGATTCAACAGAATACATTCATTCAATGATATGATATGATGATTAAAATGAGGGCAATGATGATGTGTTTCTCTCATTATCATTGTTCGTAGGTACTTGTTGTTGAATATACTTTTAAAGATTTCACTCTTTCTTTCATCTTGTTTGTTGTTGTTGCTATCGCTAACATTATCATTATTATCATTATTATTACTAGTTATACTATTCATTCTACTCTTGATATTTAATTAAATAATGACAACAACAAATGAAGCATAGCAATATGATCATCGCACTTTATTTTTATTTTTTTAATTTCCTTTTTTTTTTTTTTGAATGTATGTTGTAATTAATAATCACTAAAGTATTTGGCCAGTGATGATGTATCATTAAGTTGTTTTTTAATTGATGGTGCAAAGATTGAAGGGGATACTTTAACAAGTTGATGATTCTTTAAAGATAAATATTCGAGTGACTGAGGTGAAATGTTGTCAAAATTGTCAGATGACACTTGGAATGTTACCGGACTTGTACTACTACTGTTTGGGTAGAATCTATTCAATAGATACTCTATAATAGCTGTATTATCTGCAACATACAAAGCACCAACAACTAAATTATTCTTGTCTTGATCGCTTAATACACATTGACTTGTATTGCACTGTGATAGAATTTGATCGAGAGTGTCTAATTGTTTGGCAGAGATTGCTGAAAGTGCCAATGCTTGAACTGTCAATTTTAAAAATGGATTAGCACCCAATAGTTTGACAAGATCCAATGACATGATTGATGGATGTATACTGTCAATCAAGAATAGATCGATACGACAGTACCCTTTTTCACCCAATTCATCGAATTTAAGAATAGCATCATTTAACAAATACACGCAATCCAAATGTCCTTCTTTTAATGCTGTTTCTATTTGTGCATATTGATACAAGTACTTGTAGTTTTTGGTAGCCATGTATGATAGGAAATCTTTGTTACCATATTTAGCAGCATTGGTTGACATTGGAAAGAAGTTTGGTGGGAATTCTAACAGTTTCAATGTCTCCAATGATGCATATCTTTCAACGATAGGTGCCAAAAACAAATAATCACGGTCATAGAAATCAAACTTGTCAATCGAATTACCACCAAAACTATCTTTAATCCATTTCAGAATCTCTTGATTATTTTGACGGCTGCATTCCAATGCGTCAACAAATAAATTTCTTCTTAAATCCATATCATAATCATTTTTTAATTTGTTGACTATATAATATATTATTTCATATTTTGATTGATTATTATTATTATTATTATTATTTGGATTATTATTATTATTTTGATTATTATTATTATTTGTTGTATCGTTGTTGTAGATTAAATCTTTAAATGTAATATGATTTGAATTATAATAAAATCTTTCTTTTTGGTTTAGGTCTAGAATATCTTTACAAATTTGATTAAATAATTCTAAATCACCACAAGAGACAGGTACTAATAGGAATAGTACAGAGTATAGCATTGCAGATTTACATCCCTTAACATGAGGTAAAAGTATGGTTACACTCTTTTTGGTTGGTTCCCATTTAATCGGTTCAACACCAGGATGAATACCAAACCCAAATCCCATTGGTTTCCATTGATTACTAACAAACTGAACAAAATCGTGTGCTAGTCCACGTAATCTACCAACTACAAACTCAAATGCAACTTGATTCTCATATTTGAGAATATTAAATAACAATTGATTAAAGTTACTCTAAAACAAGGAGATGAGAGAAATGAAAAGTAGAGATTAATATATTATTGATTGATTGATTGAATAATTCTACTCTATAGTTTCATACTTTGAAGAAAGGGTTTTCATTCGTTGTATCAATACGCATGAATTGTTGAATGAATAGATCGGTTTGATTCAATACAATATATTCATTCAATGATTTTAAACTTGTTTGATCTTGCAAGTTGTTGTCATTAATACTAGTAATAGTTTCACTACTTATCATTCTCTTTAATGATTATTATTATACAATTATATAATTGTATTTATGATGAGCAGTACTTGTTAAGACAAGTAGAAAAGATAAAAATTAAATAAATATCTTAAAAAGATTTTAATTTTGGCGCGGGTAATAATGCTGTTGTTTATTTATTCTTTTTAATTGTATTATCAAATGGGATTAATCCAATTGATTGATTGTTGATGTAAAATTGATTGTTGATGTAAAATTGATTGATATCAAAATCATTAAAATTGATTATTTGATTGAATTGTGGATCATGTCTATATTTAGAGATGATATAGTAGGTGACAAATGTATTGTAGCTGGACAATCGCAAAGGTTCCATTTGATATTGATCTCTTTCAGGACCATTATAGAATCTTGAATAGTTTAGTATGATTCTATCAATTACACGAGATACATGACAACGATAATATCCTGTATCAAATGGTGGCTGTGTAAATAGTTGGGATACCAACTTTGAATTGGTCGTAGAGAATGATTTAAAATCATTCCAAAAAGATTCGAATGTTTGGTCGTCGGTAATATAGTAAAATGATGATAATATCTTGGCTTGATCTCTTTCCCATATCTCTTTATCAGATGGTTGACACATAAAGTCAAAGTCGTATGGGTCTGGTTCCACTTTTTCCTTTTCGTGAAACTGAACAAGAGACATGCATTCATTGGTCAAATACTTTGCAACTTTGAATTGTTTGTATTTAATTGCTGTTGTGAATGAATCTATAAAACTGTCAATATTCGATACCAAACATGCCACAGTTTTAACCAATCCATTCTTACTTGCTTTAATTAATGTTTTTTTAATCTTTTCATAAAATTGAAGAGATTTTAATGTTGGTAATACATCTTTTAAAAGATGAATATCATCATCACAATATCCAAATCGTTTGAGTATTACCCAAGGATGAATAGTGTTGATTGGTTGATACTTTATAATCAATTGAAGGATTTCAAGTGATGGTTCTTTTGGTACTTGTTTGATATGGTATGATATAGGGGATGGAGATATGCTAATCTCTAGTGAACAATGACCAAGTGAATATAAATATTCAAGTGGTTGATATTCCATATCACAAATATTGTCAGTTGTCACTTGAATGGATGATATAGTTGGTTCTTCCTCATCTTCGTTGTAGTATGTATTCAATAGATACTCTATCATAGTAGTATCCTCAATACATAATGCACCAACAATTAAACTGCCATAGTCTGTGAACCCTTGAGCCACAAGAGGAGAGAGTATGTGTTGTAAAATATCCAATTGATTAGTCTTGATGGTTGTAAGAGCCAGTTTGACTGAAAGGCGTATATATGGATTGAGGGCCAATTGCTCCACAAGATCCAATGATATGATTGATGGGTTGACCTTTAGGATGATAAGAGGGCGAACAATTATTCCTCTTGTTTCCTCTAGATACAACCCAGCATTTTGTATTTCTTTTAATAATATTTTAGAGTATTCCAAATGACCCTTGTCCAAAGCAATATGAAGTTGGTCTCCAAAATAATGGAAACCATTTTCAACAAAAGGGATTATATAATTGAGGAAATCTATGTTTCCATGTTCTGGTGAATCGATATTGCTAATTCTATCTTTTGAGTGTTGAAATTCAATCAACTCCAAAGTTTCAGTTGATGCATATCTTTGGATTTGCTCAAAATATCTACCACTGAAACCAAGAAACTCTTGTATTGTACCAAAACTATCTTTAATCCATTTTATAATCTCTTGATTATTATCACATTCCAATGCATCCATAAATAAATTACCTCTTAAATCTAATCCATGTCCTATTAATTTGTTGACCATATAATATATTATTTCATATTTTGATTGATTATTATTATTATTATTATTATTATTATTATTATTATTATTATTATTATTATTATTTTGATTATTATGATTATTATTATTGCCTTGTTGTTGATTATTTAATTTGTTGATTAGATTTTTAAATGATAATTTGACCTGCAGATCATATCTATATCGAATACTTTTTTGAGCTGGTTCTAGAATATCTTTACAAATTTGATCAAACATTTCCAAATCACCTGTTGTTAATGGACAATAGAGAAGCTCCATAGCAAACCCAGTTGATTGTTTAAATAGTGTGATGTGGTTCATGAGAATAGAAAGACTATTTTTTGTTGGTTGCCATATTTGAGAATACTGCCAAATGAAATCAGAAAATCCTCCCAATCTATCTACCATCATATCAAATGCTGTTTTGTTTTCATATTTCAACGCTGTGAATAATAATTCATTGAATTTACTAAACTGTAAGATTGAATTAATAACTGCATATTCTATATTTATCTCTCTCTCTGTCTCTCTCTTCTTTTTTTTATTGCAACATACAAAATAATCAGATTTTACATCTACACCAATCTTTTCATGAAAAGATTCAATTGATTGATATATTTGATCAAAATGTTTGATGAATAGATCAGTACGATGTACAATGATGCATTCTTTTAAACTAATGATCTCATGTGACTTTAATCTGTAGATCATCGGTTGACCAACATGTTGGTGTAACTTGTGATGAATGATCCCTACATGATTGAATATCTTTGTTCTTAGATACTTGTTGTTGAGTATACTTTTAAAGTACTCACTCTTTGTATTATCTGTGTTACTATCTAATATATTATTATTATTATTACTATCTCTATTCATTCTCTAACACAAACAAAATGACCACAACCCTGTTTTTTGTTTTTTTTTATTGAGTACTTGCAAAAAAAACAAAATATATTATAATAATTTATTTATTAAAGATAAATGGAATTAATCCAATTGATTGATTGTTGATGTAAAATTGATTGATATCAAAATCATTAAAATTGATGATTTGATTGAATTGTGGATCATGTCTGTATTTAGAGATGATGTGGTAGGTGACAAATGCATTTCGATTGTAACTAGACAATTGTAATGGTTGCATTTGATATTGGTCTCTTTCAGGACCATTATAGAATCTTGAATAGTTTAGTATGATCCGATCAATTAAATTTGATACATAGCGACGATAATATCCTGTATCAAATGGTGACTCTGCTAATAGTTCAGATACCATTGATGAGTTGGTTGTAGAGTATGATTTACAATCATTCCAAAATGATTTAAATAGTTGGTCGTCTTCAATATAGTAAAATGATGATAATATCTTGATATGTTCTCTTTCCCAAATCTTTTTATCAGATGGACCTCTGCGGACCGAATAGTCGTAAAATAGGCTGGGTCTAACCCGAGGAGAAATGTTTTCCTCTTCCTCTTCATTGTTTAAATGAACAAGTGATATGCATTCATTGATCAAATACTCGGCAACTTTGATTTGATTGTGTATGATTGCCGTCTTGAATGAATCTGCAAAACGATTAATATCCATGACCAAACATTCAACAGTTTTAATCAATCCATTCTTACTTGCTTTGATTAATGTATCTTGAATCTTGGATGATCGTTGGGTAGAGGGTACCAATCTTAGAGTTGATATTAAAAGATCGATACCTTCGTCACAATATCCAAATCGAGCAAGTATTACCCAAGGATGAATAGGTTGTTGAGTGTTGATTGGTTGATACTTTATAATCAATTCAAGTATTTCAAGTGATGGTTCTTTTGTTTGTTTGATTTGGTGCCAATTTGGAGATGGTGGTAATTTAATGTCGAGTGAATGACCAAGTGAATATAAATATTCAAGTGGTTGATGCATCATATCACCAATTATGTTTGTTTTCACTTGGAATGATGTTGTAGTCGTTCTGTCATCATCATCATCGTTGTTGTAGTATGTATTCAATAAATACTCTATTATAGTTGTATCATCAATACATAATGCACCAACGATGAGACTATTAGTGTTTAAATATTGTTGGTTTGTATATGGACTGAGTAAGTGTTGTAAACTATCCAATTGTTTGGCCTTGATGGCTGTAAGAGCAATATCCTCGACTAAAACTTTAATATATGGGTGTTGAGACAATCTTTGGACGAGATCCAATGACATGATCGATTCATGTACACTATTGACATAAATTTGTAAACGACCATATAATTCTTCATTTCTTTTCATGCCTTGGTCGTGTATTACTTGTAATACAATAAGTGAATACTCCAAATGACCATTATCCAAAGCTGTTTGGAGAGTATTGAAATCATATAAACTATTTGCCATAATGGGGAGTGTATAATTGAGGAAATCTATGTTTCCATAATCTGATGAAGTACAATTTTCATAGGATACACGTACATCTACTGGATTTAATTGAATCAACTTTAAAGTTTCAGTTGATGCATATTGTTTGATATGATAAATAAAATTGATTTGATTATAGAAACCAATAAACTCTGGCATTGAACCAAAACTATCTTTTATCCATTTAATAATCTCTTGATTATTATCACATTTCAATGCATCCATAAATAAATTACCTCTTAAATCCATATCATATTCCTTTAATTTGTTGACCATATAATATATTATTTCATATTTTGATTCATTATTATTATTATTATTATTATTATTATTATTATTATTATTATTATTATTATTATTATTGTCTTGTTGTTGTTGTTGTGTTGTGGTTGTTGATTTAATTTGTTGATTAGATATTTAAATGCAAATTTAAGGGGTTTATAAGAACCGTATAAATCATTTGTACCGTATGTAATATTCTTGATTCTGTCAGATTGAGTTGGTTCAAGAATATCTTTACATATTTGATCAAACATTTCCAAATCACCTGTTGATATTGGATGACAGAGAAGTAACCCAACATATTGCACTGGTTGCTGCTGATAGTGAGTGATGTGATTCATGAGAATAGAAAGACTATTTTTTGTTGGTCTCCATATATTGGAGTATCGATTAAGGAAATTATTGGGTAATTTACCTCCCAATCTATCTACCATCATATCAAATGCTGTTTTGTTTTCATATTTCAACGCTGTGTATAATAAATCATCAAATATACTAAACTATAAGGCGATTATTTATTGTTAAATATTTAAGTTAACTTTATAATAGTATCAATACTATGTTTTGCTTTTCTTTTCTAGATTACATACATCTCTGATAACTGATTTAAAAACTTGATCAAAATGTTTGATGAATAGATCAGTACGATGTACAATGATACATTCTTTCAAACTAATGATCTCGTGTGACTTGAATCTGTAGATCATCGGTTGACCTTGACCACCATCACCATACAACTTGTAGTGAATGATCCCTACATCTTTGAATATCTTTGTTCTTAGATACTTGCTATTGAGTATACTTTTAAAGTATTCTCTCTTTGTATCTGTATTACTACTATCTTCTCTATTCATTCCCTAACACAAACAAAACGATCATCAACTCTTTGTTTTTTTTTAGAGAGTCAAAGGCAAAAAAAACAAAAATTAACAATAACAAATTTTATATTATTTAATTACATTTATCTTTGAATAAATTTGTTGATAAAATAATTTAATTGAATGGAATTAATCCAATTGATTGATTTTTGTTGTAAAATTGATTGATATCAAAATCATTAAAATTGATTATTTGATTGAATTGTGGATCATGTCTATATTTAGATATGATATAATAAGTGACAAATGTATTGTAGCTGGACAATCGCAAAGGTTCCATTTGATATTGATCTCTTTCAGGACCATTATATGTTAGATCTAGATTGTTTAAAATCAATGATATCTCATTGAACTCAATATACTCAATCCTGGTTAGGACAAGTCAAAAATGTAAACTATTTTGGATAAAATACTAAAGACTAACCATCGTCAGTTAGTCGTGGATCAACAATTATAAAAAGGATTAGAATAATCCAATAAAGAGACATTCTATATTATATATTCTATATTCATTATTCATTATTACTATAATATTATTCATTCTATTTAATCATCTTTTATTATTATAATTAAATAATCATTTACAATCTAATCTAAAGACATTATCACTATCTATATATTCATATATCTATATATTATTATATACCTCTCAAACTAATTATATATTTACCAAGTATCTATATAGTTATTACATTAGGTACTTGCTATTGAGTATAAACTTAAAGTATTCACTTCTTCTTTTATCTGTATCTTTATTACTATTATTCATTGTCTGAAAGAACAAAATGATCATTTGTTTTTTTTTGATGAAGATCATGACCGACAATTATAATATTTATTTTATTAAATTCTTTTTTATTTTATAATGGGATAATACCAATTAAAAGATTATTATTTTTAATATAAAATTGATTGATATCAAAATCATTAAAATTGATTATTTGATTGAATTGTGGATCATGTCTATATTTAGAGATGATATAGTAGGTGTTGAATGGATGTGATGGATTGGGCAATTGTAATGGTTGCATTTGATATTGATCTCTTTCAGGACCATTATAAAATCTTGAATAGTTTAGTATGATCCGATCAATTGTATTGGATATTTGACGACGATAATATCTTGTATCAAATGGCGACTCTTCTAATAATTTAGAGACCACCGATGAGTTGGTTGTAGAGAATGATTTAAAATCATTCCAAAATGATTCAAATGTTTCGTCGTCTCCAATATAGTAAAATGATGGTAATATCCTGGCATGAATAGTTTCCCATATCTCTTTATTGGATTGACCTGAACCACCCAAAAATTCAGAAAATAGGTTGTTGTAAACCTCTTCTTCTGCTTCTGGTGTAATGATTTCATCCTCTTCTTCTTCTTCTTCAATAAAATGAACAAGAGAAATGCATTCATTGGTTAAATACTTTGCAACTTTAATTTGTTTGTATTTGATTGCTGATGAGAATGAATCCTCAAAACTATGAACATTCGATACCAAACATTCGACAGTTTTAACCAATCCATTCTTACTTGCTTTAATTAATGTGTCTCGTTTTATGTCATAGAATGCAATATCTGATACCAATGACAAAGCATCTTTTAAAAGATGAATATCATCATCACAATATCCAAATCTTGAGAGTATATCACTCGGATGAATAGTGGCGATTGGTTGATACTTTATAATCAATTGAAGTATTTCAAGTGATGGTACTTTTTTTTCTTGTTTTAATATTGCCAACACACTTTGAGATTGTTCCATTCTAATGTCTAGTGAATGACCAAGTGAATATAAATATTCAAGTGGTTGAGGCATCATATCACAAATATTGTCAGTTGTCACTTGGAATGATTTGGATCTTGTAGTTGGTTCTGCATCATCATCGTTGTTGTAATATCTATTCAATAGATACTCTATATTAGTTGTATCATCAATACACAATGCTCCAAAAATCAATCTATTCGTGTCCAAATATCCTTCTTGAGCCCTGTAAAGATTGAGTATGTGTTGTAAAATATCAAATTGTTTGGCCTTGATAGCTATCAGAGCCAATTCGGTGACTGAAACTTGTAGATATTGATTCGCAAACAATCTAGTGACAAGATTGAATGTCATAATAGATGGGTTGACGCTTTCGACTTTGATACGACCATAATAATGAATTCCGATTACTATACGTTCAATGGTTTGTATTAAAATATTAAAATATTCCAAATGGCCCTTGTCCAAAGCTGTTTGGACCATTATAGAGAAAGAATATGATTCTTGCTCTAAAATAGGGAGCACAAAGTTGAGGAAATCAATGTTTCCATCAGCTGAAACTATTTTCTCTGTTAGGTTTGAATTCAATCAACTTTAAAGTTTCAGTTGATGCATATTTTTGAATTTGTTTTAAATGTTGATATCTACCATACAAACCAATAAACCCTTCTTTTTTTTCATAACTATCTTTTATCCATTTAATAATCTCTTGATTATTATCACATTTCAATGCATCTACAAATAAATTACCTCTTATATCCATACCATATTCCTTTAATTTGTTGACCATATAATATATTATTTCATATTTTGATTCATTATTATTATTATTATTAGTTGTATGTTGTTGGTGTTGATTTAATTTGTTGATTACATGTTTAAATGAAAATGGGAGATGGTCACAATAACCATATGAAGGAAAGATCAGAGTTCCATTGGGAACAGGATCAAGAACGAGTTGGCATATATGATCAAACATTTCCAAATCACCTGTTGTTACAGGTAACCAAAGAACAAGATGAGCATAACCAGTTGGTTGAAAGTATGTGATGTGATTCATGAGAATAGAAAGACTACTTTTGGTTGGTCTCCATTGATTTCTTAAAATAGAATGGGGCAATTCTCCGGCTCTCTCTATCAACATATCAAATGCTGTTTTGTTTTCATACTTTAACGCTGTGATTAGTAAACTATTGAAGTTATCTTGCTATATTGATTAATTGAATATTAGCTAATTCACTTCAGTGTACGATATTGATGGGTGACTCTCTTTCTTTTAAAGTACATACATCTCTGTTAACTGATTTAAAAACTTGATCAAAATGTTTGATGAATAGATCAGTACGATTTACAATGATACATTCTTTCAAACTAATGATCTCATGTGACTTTAATCTATAGATAATCGGTTGACCTTGACGACAATACAACTTGTGATGAATGATCCCTACATCTTTGAATATCTTTGTTCTCAGGTACTTGCTATTGAGTATACTCTTAAAGTATTCACTTCTTCTTTGATCTGTATTACTACTATTATTATTACTATCTCTATTCATTCTCTAACACAAAATGATCATCACTTATTTTAATTTCAAAAGACTTTAACAGGTTGGGCAAAAAAAACAAAACAAAATAAACTAATAACAATATGCACTATTTATTTATTCAAAGATAAATGGAATTAATCCAATTGATTGATTTTTGTTGTAAAATTGATTGATATCAAAATCATTAAAATTGATTATTTGATTGAATTGTGGATCATGTCTATATTTAGAGATGATATAATAGGTGTTGAATGGATCTCGACTGGTGTGGATGTTGTTTGGATTGTACAATCGCAATGGTTGCATTTGATATTGATCTCTTTCAGGACCATTATAAAATCTTGAATAGTTTTGGATGACTCTATCAATAGTATTGGATATTTGACTACGATTAGATGTTGGATAGAATGGTGGCTGTGTTAATAATTAAAAAGATTTAATTTAAGATCAGTACGATGTACAATGATAAATTCTTCTAAACTAATGATCTCATGTGACTTTAATCTGTAGATCATCGGTTGACCTTGACCACCATCACATGAGTACAACATGTCATGAATAATCTCAACATCTTTAAATATCTTTGTTCTTGGATACTTATTGTTTAGTATACTTTTAAAGAATTCAGTTCTTCTTTTATCACTATGATTATTGATCTTATCACTATTATTACTATACATTATTTAGAAATAAAAAGTGAATACGGTTTTTTTTTTTCATCTTGTGCCTCTTTGCTACACAAAAATTATTTAATTTATTATTATTATTATTTTTATTTAATTGTTTTTTGTGAATGGGAAGATACCTTCTTTATGATTATCTTCAAGATATGAGTCTACATTGAAATCAGTGAAATCAATGACTGGACAATCTCTGTAATTGTTATAGAGATGGTTGAAATGAAGACATCCACCATGCTCATTGGTAATTTTGATTGGTGTCATTTTGAATTGACCTTTCTCTGCTGCTCCATTATAATATCGAGTATAATGTTTGATGACTCTATCGATTGTGTTGGTGACTCGGTGTCGTTGTGAATATACAAAATTGTTCACTGACATGATGGCATGAATCACATGAGAAGAGCTGGTTGTAAAAGGTTTTAATGCATCCCAAATCATTTCAAAGTCTTGATCATTATCTATATCGAGTAAAGAGTATAAGATACCTTCGTAATCATCAAGTTGTTGGAAGCGAGAACTGATTAATTGACTAATGTATAGTGCCATTTGAATTTGATTGTACTCCAATGCCGTTCTAAAAAGTGAGTCTCCAAATTCCCAAATCCAGTCTCCAAAACATTCAATAACTTTAATCAAACCATTTGAATATAAATATTGAAGTTTTTTATATTGGTACACCTCTTCTTCAGGGTATTGATTGATGAGTGATATTGTATCTTTCAACAACTTGTAGTCATTAAAATCTGGATGATGGATTGATGCAAGTATCACCCATGGTGGTACACTTTCAATCGATAGACGATCGATTAATAATTGAACAGCTTGTGGTGTGACTTTTGATAGTCTTTTTTTCCTTGAAAGAGGAAGTATTTCTATAGAATGACCTTTGTTGAAAAGTGATAATAGTGGACCATAACATAGATCATTCCCTTTGGAATTTAAATGAAAGGTTTGAGGAGGTTGATCAGAGAATAACTTGTCCAACAATATTTCAGTGATTTTTGGGTTATCTATTTTAAGAGACAACAAGACAAGTCTTGTATAAATAGAAAAATCTTCTCTCATCTGAGAGTCTACATTTTCCAACTGTGAAAAGATAAACTCTAAAGTTTCAGGTTGATTTGATTCGATAGCTGATTCAATCAATCCATCAAAATCCAACATTTGACATTGACTATCAACCAACCTTTTAACAAGATCCAATGACATGATTGATGGATGAATGTCTCCAAATTCTACTTCTGCACCTTCTTTGACTGCACATGTCACTAAAAAATTAGCACATTCCAAGTGTCCTTCAGTCAATGATGCCTCAAGTTGTCCATTTCCAAATAGATAATTGTACTCTTTCATGTCATACATGTATGTTAGAAAGTCCAAGTTTCCAAATTGAGCTGCGTCTATTGACAATAGTCGTGGTGATTCAAGTTTGAATTCTATTAATTCAAGTGTATTGGTTGTTGCATATCTTTCAATTAGAGTAAGAACTTGAGATTGTTGAAATAGTTTCACAAAACTTTCTTTTTCATCAAAACTATCTTTTATCCATTTTATAATCTCTTGATTATTACCACCTTCCAAAGCATCCACAAATAATGTTGATCTTAAATCTATACCGTATCCTATTAATTTGTTGACCATATAGAATATTTTAATATACTTTGATTGAATATTATTATTATCTTTGTTGTTGGTTGTGTGTAGTTGTTGTTGTTGATTATTTAATTTGTTGATTAAATCTTTGAATGATCCCCAATGGTGATAAAAAATAAGATTTTGGTTGATGATGGTATGATCAAAATAATCGTTACAAATTCTATCAAACATCTCCAAATCACCATTCATCATAACATGTTTTGTAAGATTACCAACAAAGGTAAAGACATCTTTATCATTCATATCGAGTTTTAAATGATAGTTTTGTTGAATTAAAAGCCGACACAAACCAATCGGTGGGATGACGAAACCAACTCGAAGCATCATCGATCTGAGTTTGGTCATCTCTATTCCTCCAAACCTTTTCAACAAATATTCTAATTCAACATGTCCATCGTATTCAAATATAGTTTTCAATATCTTTTCAAATACTTGACTCTACATATATAGACTTGTTGTTAGAATTGATTTATATTATGTATGATCATCATCATCATAAAATTACATACATTAAAACTAAACTCCTTTTCATTAGAGTATGACAACATTGATTGATATACACTATCAAAGTGTTTAATGAATAGATCACTTCTATTTACTTTGATACATTCACATAGTGTCATTATCTGATTTGATTTGAGTGCTAGTTTGTAATGATTCTTATCATCGTTATTAATGATTCTGTGATGAATGATCTCTACATGATTGAATATCTTTGTTCTTAGATACTTGTTGTTGAGTATACCTTTAAAGTACTCACTTCTTCTTTTATCACTATCACTATTATTACTATTACTATACATTATTTGTATAAATAAATAAAAGTGAAATGAAGTGCACTTGTTTTTTTTTCATCATTATTTTGTCTCTTTGAAAAAAAAAAATATCTTCTTAAAACAAAAATTATTTAATTTATTAATTTATAAATCTATTTGTAAAACTAACTCATAGTTTAGTGGAGAGGAATCAAACCAAACCTAATATTATTAAAATAAAATTGATTGATATCAAAATCATTAAAATTGATTATTTGATTGAATTGTGGATCATGTTTATATTTAGAGATGATATAGTAGGTGTTGAATGGATGTAGATAGTAGTCGGTGGTGTTGTCTGGATTGGACAATTGTAATGGTTGCATTTGATATTGATCTCTTTCAGGACCATCATAAAATCTTGAGTAGTTTTTAAGGGTCCAGTCAATCACATTGGATATTTGACAACGATTAAATGTTGAGTAGAATGGTGGCAGTGTTAATAATTGAGAGACCATCTTGGAGTTGGTTGTGAGTGCTTTAAAATCATTCCAATATGATTCAAATCGAGTTTCATCACTACTGACATAATACAATGCATTTAAAAGTTTAATTTTTTTGTCATCTTGAGCACCTTGAAGAATATTAGTATTCTTTGAAAAGCATTCTCTTGCCAAATAATCTGTCACTTTGAATTGATTGTTTTTGGCAGCTTCAGTGAATGAATCTACAAAACCGCCAAAATCAAATGATGGCAAACATTGCACAACCTTGACCAATCCATTCTTACTTGCTGCCATTAATGTGTCTTTAATCTTGGTGATAGGGTATGATGGAAGATTTCTAATTGATCCCAACAAGTTATCGTTTAAAAGATGAATTTCATCTTCACAATATCCAAATCTTGAGAGTATGATCAAAGGATGAATAGGTTGTTGGGTGTTGAATAGTTGGTACTTGATAATCATTTGAATGATTTCAAGTGATGGTACTTTTTTTTACAACAGATTCAGAGTATTATGCTCTCAACATATCGAGTGGAGATCTTATCAGCTCGCACCCCATCGATTTTTTCAATGGAGATTTGGTAGAATTGAATGGTGTTATTCAACCAACATCAACTAGTGATGAATTTCTACTGATTGGCGGTAATATTACAGATGTTGGTGAATCTTATATTCCAATCATTTGGTCGTATAATGTAGTCGTACGTATTATCATTATTGCCAACAACAATAATGATCAGAATAATAATAATACTCTCTCTATTTCTATATCTCTTCCTTTTGTCACATGTTTAGACCAATACTCTTGTCCAAAAGTCATTCATTGATATCAAGTTTCAACAAATGTATTACCAATGGGATGTTCAGATGGCAACATATGATTCAATCAACAATATAGTTTACTTGAATGCCGATTATAAAGGATATCCAGTATTGCTAAAATTTGATTATAATCAACAAAAAGAGTAACTATTTCCATATATTTCAACTTTTGTTAATTATTGTCTGCTATTATGTATATCTATCTTGTTGTCCAGCGGAAGATTAGAAATCTAATGAATGATTATTATTATTATTATTATTATTATTATTATTATTATTATTATTTAGAGATGTAATAAGTTTACCAGGTACAGGATGGTATATACAATCATCGTACAATGAAACAACCAATATGTTTTATCTTGGTGGTACAAGCCAAGTAGCAAATCAATTAAGTCAGATGGTAGTTGCCACCTACAACACGGTGACTGGAGATACATCGTCACACATCATTCAATTTGATATACCCAATACCTGTTACTACTCGATTGTGATGTATCAATACAACTCCAAGTTCTACGCTGGACTATATGCTGAAACTGGTTCTTGCCCATCATTTATATTTGAAGTAGATATTGTTGGAAACAATTCGACACTACTAGCCACCATCCCAAATGGCAACGCCGCTCCATTCGATGCCTATATATATTTTGTAATCGATAATATCAATGGATATCTAGCCATGTTTTCAACGAGTGTTGAAGATTATAAACTCCTTGAAATTTGTATGGTCAATCTGAATACCTATCAAGTTGAACAATATGCTATACCCAACGTACTTTACGAGATCAGTTCGAGTCTCCACGAGTTTTTAATGACTCTATCCTAATTTAAATAATAAACCAGTTAAATAAATACATTCCATTATTTTTTAAAGATTAATTCATTAATCGTATTCCCCATCCATGAGAAATATAAATATCATGAAATAAAAAAGAGCAAAGAGAAACATGTTGATTATGTAATTACATATATATATATATACATATTTATTCGTTTATAGTTTATATTTTATATTTGTTGTTGGGTACCAAAATGATAATGTTACTTTGCGTGTGTGTGGTTGGTGTGTATGTATGTATGTATTATTTATCTTTACAAGGAGTTATTAATTTGATCTTAAAATGAGACAAGTATAGGAACGAGCTATAGCAGATACCAATTCACTATTATTATTATTATTATTGGATGACTTTACAACATTATGTAATGTTTTCAAAAGTGATGCTAAAATCGATCTATTTTCATCTGTTATTTTAATAATCATTAATTTAATTGCATTTAATCTTTTATCTAATTCTTCAATTTCTGAAAAAGTAATAGAAAATAGAAATTAATAAATGAATAAATGAATTAAATTATCCCAACATTTTAATATTATTAATGTTTACATACTTTCAGCTAATAACCATTCTTGATAAGCTTGTTTTGTAATAAATGGATCATTTGATTCTCTAAAGAAATGTTTTAGCAATTCAGATGTCATGTAAACATCAACTTGATCTGCTTTCATTGCAGTTCCATTAACCTTTAATGAATCACTATAAAACTTTCCTTCAAATCCAGAGGCAATGTTTGCACTTTGAATCAAACCTTCTGCTGTCAACTCTGACAATGCATCCAAATAAGTGGCTGTCTTTGCCAATATAGGTGATGATGAACTACGTTGGCCAAATGGGAATAATACATCATACTTTTTAATCATTGTTTCCATTACCAATGATCCTTGTATTTGACCAGTATTTGAATTGTTGTCTGATGAAGAGGAAGAAGAAATATTCATATTTGATAATTGACTACGTTGTTTTGGTGATTGATCAATTGCTGATATTACAATAGGTGTTGGTGGTGCTTTTGATATAACTGGTGATGACTTGTTGTTATTACTATTACTATTAATATTATTGATTGATGGTGAATCTGGTTTAATTGATACTGGTTTAACCAATGGAGATGCTTGTTCGGGCTTCACAATCACATTGTTGTTATAATTGTTATAGTTGTCTTTTGGTGGAGATGGTTGATATTGGGTGTTGGTGTTGGTGTGTGGATTAGGTAGAGGTTTTGGAATTGATCCTGATCCTGATAATACTACCAGTCCAGTCTTGTACCCAGTTAGTGGTGGGGTATTGGTATTCATATTTGTCGGCTTGTTAACTGCTATACTTGTAAAACTATTGGGAGATGATTGATGCTGATGGTGCATGGATTGTTGTAGAGGAGATGATGCACGATCTCCACCACCAGTAGAGTTGGCCAAAATTGGAATTGGACTGGATGCTCTATGATGTTGAGTAACCGGACTCATTGGCTTGTTGTTGACCTGTTGTTGTTGTTGTTGTTCACGTAGATTATGAGATGATCCAGATGAAGAACTACTTCCAATAGAATTTGTCTTTTTTTCAGAGGTTGCGTGGAGTTGGTTAAATAGCATGGGAGGTGAGTGTTGAGGAGATGAAGAGTAGGTAGGTTGGTGTTGATGTTGTAGTTGCTCTAGGTTCTGAATACTCGTGTTATTGATAGAGTTGAATGTTTTGACAGTCTGCTGGTCATGCAGGGCGTGGTAGAGCATATGTACTTGATGCTCAAGTCCACGCACACGTGCAACGTCGACCATACGCTCATCGGTGATGAGGTCGGTGCCACACTCGAGAATCTGTGAGATACCCGACACATAAATCTCCGATGCGATACGCGACGCCTCTCTTCTAGCCAACTCACGTACCAAATCTTGTTTGACCCCTGCGTGATCTTTAATACGCGCCGAACACGACTGGAACACTGGATGCAACTTAAAGTAATCGGAAAAGATTCCGTCTTTTACTTTAAGATAGATACGTTCCAACTCTATATCCCATTTAGACAAGTCCCTTTCGATAGTGTTACAAGCTTCGTATAACCGTGTCACATCATTACACACCGATACGAAACGGTCTCTTAATTCACGAACACTACGTTTTTCAATCTTGAGGAATGAGATGGCACTTTCAATTTGACGGTGTTGGCGATCTAGCTCCATTACACGACGCGACTTTTCAGCCTTGGTCTTGAACGATAGTTTCTTCTTGTGTGCTTCTTCCAACTGGCTCTCTACACCTTGTTTCTGACGCTCCAATTCATTCATAAAGTTGGTGACCGTTGTCTTGATGGCATCGCAGTCTGCCACAATCGCTGCATTCTGACGCAGTTCGGCATTCACTTGACGCTTTGTCACACGACGTTCCAAGATCGAGTGTATTTCTGTCGACAGACTATGCAACGAGCTCGTCAACAACACACGGTTCTTAAACTGTACCCTCTCTATTCGGTACTTGGCAGTATTCAGTACCTCGATAATCTTTGTATTAATGTCATCTGTAATCACACCAGTCTGAGCAGTTTGCAATAAATTATTAATTGATGAGTTGAGTTGACTATCTCTTTTAAGTGGTTGTGGTTGAGATTGTTGTTGTGATTGAGATAGTGATGGTTGTTGTTGCAAAGGTTGATGTAAATTATTGGTAGATGTTGATATTGAGTGTGACTTCATTCTTCCAATCACTGGAGATATCTTTTTATCCAGTCCTTGTCCCTGACCAGCTGCTGTGGCAGCCGTATTAGCAGTCCTCTGGATCTGTTGTGGTTTAGTTGTTATAAACGTTTGTTGATATTGATCAATATCAACTGGTGCACCAGTACCTCCACTTGCTCCACCTCCACCTGCACCGGCACCTTTAAGTAATTGAATCTTCTTTTTCTTTAATTCCAAGTCACCCTTGACTTCATTTAATTGGTTGTCCATCTCTTGAATATGCGATGAATGGTCTTTAAGATTATCCTTTGTCTTTTTATACTCTTTCATTAGATTGATTAACTTTTCCTTTGTAATGGTTACTGTTGCCTCTGATGATGCAGATGCAGATGTAGTTGGTGTCGGCTTGGTTGGTGTAGAGATGATGGGTGCATTAGAAGCAGGCGAGGTAGATGAAATAGATTGATGGTCATGATGATCCAATGCAGCCAAATTATTTGCCAAATCTTCCAATAATGAATCATACACTATATCTTTGTTGTTGTTGTTGTTGTTGTAATGACTGCTACCATGTGCATCATCTACAATGTCAGCTGAAGATCCAGCATGAACACTATTCATCTTTTGTCTTTGTTGTTGTTGTTGTTGTTGTAATTGTAATTGTTGATGTCTTGATAATTTTGATAGTTTTTCTTGTTCTTCGGTAAAGTGAGTAAAGTCTTCAGAGGTCTCTATCATCTCTCTTGACAACGGTCCAATGACAGATCTTCGCAAGACGTCCCTCAAATCGGATATCTCATCAATCAATTGTCCACTCTTCTTGTCGTTCTTGTGCAATGTATTTGTATTGATCGTTCCACCAAAATCCCATCCAGTATCATCGTTTCTCTCCTTTTCCTTGTCAAAATCTACTATATTATTTGTTTCTTTCAAGTACTATAAAGTAAATTATAAATTATTTAAATAATATAATATAATAAATAAATAACAAGACAGGAATATAAGAAGAATTAATTGATCAGTTAATTAAATTTAATTTCGATTTAAATGTGAATCTATCAATCTGTACATACCTTTTTCCCATTATTATTATTATCATCCTTTAGTGATGATGATGATGTATGTGATACCAACTTGGTTGCCATCCTTTGGTATCTTGGTGTCTTTTGACTGAATAATTACTGTTGACTGTTGTTTAATAATTAAAAGAAATTAATTTACAAACAAACAAACAAACAATCGATTGTATGTTTGATGTGTTGTATATGTTTGTATACAACCTAGGAGGTGGTAGCTAGAATAATAGAGTAGGTAGGTACTAATAATAATAATAATAATATTAAAATAAATTAATATTTAATATTACTACTTCTTGAAATGGGTCGGGGAGTAAAGATGAGGGAGGGATAAGATAGAAATACTACTACTCTCTCTCTCTCTTTTATTATTCCTGTTCTCTTAATGATTGATTGATTGATTGATTGATATTTGTTGATATTTTGAACAAACAAATTTGAAAAAAGAGATAATTGATTTGATTGATTATGAGTTGATTGGACAGATAGGTAGGTAGGTAACTGCGCTATTCTATTCTTGTCTCTCTCTCTCTTTTAATGAATGAATGAACGAATGAACGGATGGATAGATACAGATATACATTATATATATATTCAATAATAATAATAATAATACCCATCATTCGTTCTTTGCTAGCCTACCCCCCCCCCACCCTCCATTATGTTCATCATCATGATTAAAGGAGAGGAGGGGGTGTGTCCGATATTTTTATAAAGGTGAGATGGAGTAGAGGGGTGTGTGTTGTGAAATTAAACATGTTTGTTTGTTTGTTTGTCTATATCATATATATATATACATATTTTATCTGTGTGTATATGTGCGCGTTCTTATATCTCTTTTTCTGTCTCTTTTTTTTATTTTAATTTGTTTTTTATTTTTTTATTTATTTTTTTATAAATACTTTTAATTAAATATTATAAGATATCTAGTTATCTCTTCTCTTTTATCTATTTATTTATTTGTTTGAATTTATCTCTTTTTTTTTTTTTTTCTGCGGGTATTGATTCTTTGTTATAATTATAATATTTACAATGACTGCTCTTTTGAAGAAGGATTGATTTTGTGTCACACAAGATCAATTAAGTGATTAACTGTCGGCAAGAAACGGAAGGAGGACTCCTTGCCGAACGGTGCACTCAACCCTCACTCCTTCTCATTCCTCTTGCCTGACTCCTTAAACAACCGTATCCTCTGCCTCATCGGAAATATATTAAAGATGGCATTGTCTTGGAGTGAGGGTTACATTGTTTGTTGTTGTTTTGGCTCCGATACTGGGTTCTATCAATTATTGATACGCGCGTATCAAAAAGACCCCAGATATTTATGTTTTTAGGGATTGATCCAAACAACACCTTTGAACAAAAAAGGTCAAAACAATCTCTCCCATCCCATCTATCTTGACATTAAATGAATGTGTCTCAAATAACATAAATAAAATAATAAAGAATACTTACTCCATCATCCAATTATAGATCAGTATAGATCTATACTAACTAAACCCAATCAAATCAAATCATATCAAAACAAAATTCAATCATTTTCCCCCTACAATGATTTCACCCCTTGGTCAAGCAAGCAAATAGATAAAGATTTACGCCGCACGCAAACCACCTGCTGTAGCTTACTCTACTTCCTTTAATATATCTCTCTCTGGTATTATTTTATTTTTTATTTCAATTAAACTTTTTAGAACCGTCTTCTCTTCTTGAATACAAAATTTAATGGAGACAAGCATTCGTGAGCAAGAATAGTAGTAGTAGTAATAGTAGTAATAATGGAGGTGTAGTATTATTGCAAGCATTACAACAACAACAACAACCAAATGTAGCACAAGCGACATCGTCGACGATATCAACAACAACATCAACTACAGCTCAAACACAAAATGTTGTACAACCATTGATTCCTTTTCCTCCTCAACAACAACAACAACAACCACAAAATATGATGCAAATCCAAAGACATTTAGGATCATCAAAGATAAAGTTTATTTTTGAAAAGAGATTGGATAATATTAAAGAGTTGGAGAAATCATATGATGGTCTCAAAATTGAAGCAAAAGGTGAAAGATTAGACATTGACATCGATGTTGATAAAGATGTACAAACAAACTAAAAGTTACTCAACAGGTAGTTGGAATGGTTGCTGAATGGAGCTTTGAAACAATCAATCTATACGATGTTTATAGAGAGGTGGCATCGACCATATCTACTCGTTTAAAGGCTCGTAGTTTAACCGATAAATGTTACATTTACAGTACATGTTGCAGATTCTATTGAATTTGAACATCTAAGAGATGTTACCATTCAATTCCACGGTATCACTCCTCATGTTAATAGGATCAAAGATCAAATCACTCGATCAATGGTACCTGTTAGTCACCCTCCTACTACAGCTACATACCAATCACTCTATGCATTGATATCATCTTCCCAAGGTGTCAAACTACACCAATCTATTAAAAACTCCAATGCCTTTCTTCAAGATAGAGTTGATTCTTTTATACTACACGCTCTCAACCAAACTGGTTGGACTGAAGCTGATAATATTATCAATGCATGGTTAAATGGAACAATTTCAATGACCTCTCCTATCCCCACCATCTCCATGACCACTTCCTCCATTTCTTCTTCCAATACTATCCGTTCTGTCTCCTTTGCTCCCCTTCCTTCCTCCATTTCCTCATCTGCTTCATCATCCTCTTCCTCTGTACCATCTTCTTCCACTTCTTCTACACTCTCTTCATCTTCTCCACCATTTACTCCATCATCATTGGTGGGAGGAGTAGGGAAATCTGTGCCAGGTATATTGGTTCTGCCAAATACCAAACCTAGCTCTGTTTTTGTCCCACAGCAACAACAATTACAACAACAAATACTACAAGAACAACAACAAAAACTACAAGAACAACAAAAACAACAACAACAAAAACAACAAAAGCAACAACAACAAAAGCAACAACAACAAAAGGAAACTACTGGAAGAAAACAACAAGTCAAGGCTACATTTAACAAACAATATTTGCCATACCTCAAGTTTGAATTTTTTAATCAACAAAGGTTATGGGTAGATGCAAGAGACAAACAACAACTAAAGGGTCGATTTGAAAACCCCACGAAAGATGGTACTATCACCATTTCAGGAGAACATTGTAAAGAGATTAAAAAGATTATTCAAGACCATATCAATGTCATTCACTCTAAATGTGTTGAAATCAAACTTCCCTTTTCCTATTCAATGTATAAGGATCATCTTATGGTTCGTGCTAGATCTAAAAAGGTAAGAGATTAAACATACATACAATACTAAAATAAGGTAACTAATAATTAATTTATTAATTTGTTTATTTTTATTTAATTATTTATTTAGATTCATGTTTGTTGGAATAATTTTTATAATCCACAAGAATGGAGAGGTGGAGATTATAATTTTTACCTACAACCTGATAAACAGAGACAAGGAGGTTTAACGAAAACTATATCTCAAAATATTGGTAGTGGTAGTGGTAGTAGTACAATCAAAGGAATGGATCAATACCAAAAACTTGATTTTTATATCACAGGTACCAATCTAGAAGATATTCAAGATACTGCTAGATACCTCATTTATCTTTCAAAATGTAAAACTACAATACCTCTAAGTGAGCAAGAGAAGGTATTTGTATTTACAGAATTTAAAAGTGATGAACATGTACTTTTGACGAGAACCAAGTCTGCAATCGTCATTGAAACATTAACTGAAAGTACTCTTAATGAAATGGAATCTAAAATTAAAAGTTATTTAGCTTCATTGAAAAAAGTATGTAGAATTATTATTATTATTATTATTAGTAAAGTTTTGACTGGTTTTATATAATAAGAATAATAATTAATACCTTATTTATTTATTTAAGGTAATGGAAAAAGAGAGAGAATTGATTGCCCCAGACGCCGCTGGTCAACATCAACTAAATTTAAAGCCAGTTGAAGTTGAGAAGTCCACCCTTTTGACCAGAGACGACAAGTTTTCTGAAAGATCAGAGGACTCCTACACATACGCCACAACCAACAACCTAAAACAAGATTACATCTCACATCCTCCTCCTCCCAACTTGGGAAGATGAAGATGAGGAAGAGGAAAAGCCAATCTAATCACCATCACTTTAAAAAAAAAATATATATTATGATTTTCCATACTTTTTAAATCAATGTAATGCATATATTTATAATATAATATTTGTTCTATTGCAAAATGTTGCAAACATCTCGTAAAATATCTAGAGGATCGCAATTACACCTATCGATCCCCCCTCCACTGATCAAAAATTATTGGGGAAATCACACCACCAAATCAGGATCAAAAAAAAAAGACAACAACAGTCTGTCAATCTCCCTGCTTAAAAGAGAATGAAGACTCATTTTGAAGATGAACATTATCCCCCCCAAATTTATTTGTATACTTTTATCTATTTCTATCTATCTATCTATATATCTTGTAAATATTATTATTATTATTATTATAACTTGTTAACATTAATTAAAAAAAAAAAAAAAGACAAAACTATGAGATCTGACGCTCCACCTTTTCAACCAAACAATCAGAACAACAGAGATTTACCTCTTCCACAACAACAACAAAATGTTTCTCTTCAACAACATCTAGGATCATCAAAGATAAAGTTTATCTTTGAAAAAAGAATAGATAGTATTAAAGAGTTGGAGAGATCGTATGATGGTCTCAAAATTGAAGCAAAAGGGGAAAGATTAGACATTACAGTTGCAGTTGGTGAAGATGAGACTATCAAACAACAGGTCACTCAACAAGTAGTTGGACTAGTTAGTGATTGGGGTTCTGAAACAATCCATCTTTACGATGTATACAAAGATGTGGCATTGGTCATAGCCAATCGTTTAGAGACTCGTAATGCTACCGATAAATATGTAACATTTATCGTAGAGGTTACCCATTCAATTGAATTTAATCAATTAAAGGATATCACCATCTCATTCCACGGTATCTCTTCTCACGTCACTAGAATCAAGGATCAAATCACTCGATCGATGGTACCTGTTAGTAACCCTCCTACAACATCGTACCAATCACTCTTGTCATTGATATCGTCTGGTGTAAAGGTTCAACAATCGATTGAAAACTCCAATGCCTTTCTTCAAGACAAAGTTAACTCTTTTACGCTCCATGCTCTAAACCAAACTGGTTGGACTGAAGCTGATAACATTATCACTGCATGGTTAAATGGTTCTCTATCTCCAGTACAGCCATCGACCTCTACCACTTCCCCATCCTCCTCTACCACCTCCACTACCTCCACCAACCCTGTTCCATCCTCAACCAACTCTGTTCCATCTTCCTCTACCACCACCCCTGCTCCATCTTCCTCTACCACCACCCCTGCTCCATCATCCTCTGTATCATCCCCCACCAACTCTGTTCAATCTTCCTCTAACACCTCCATCTCCACACCTCCATCATCCACAACCTCCACCAACCCTGTTCCATCCTCAACCAACTCTGTTCCATCATCCTCTACCGCCACCCCTGCCCCATCATCCTATGCTCCAACAGTGGTAGGAGGAAAATCCCCAGACTCATTGGTTCAACAAAAGGCTGACCCCAGCAGTGTTGTTGAAGCCTCAAAACAAAAAAAGAAAAAAGAGAAAAAACAACAAGTAAAGATCAACTATAACAAGCAACTTTGGGGATACCTCAAGTTTGAATTTTTTGGGCAACAACAAAGATGGGCTGATGCAATGGCCCAACAACAACTAAAGGGTCATATTGGAGAGCTTGTAAAAAAGGATGGTACTATCACCATTTCAGGAGAACATTGTAAAGAGATTAAAAAGATTGTTCAAGACCATATCAATACCATTCGCTCTGAATGTGTTGAAATCAAACTTCCATTCTCATCCGATCTTTATCGCGAACATATTATAACTCAAGCTAGATTCCACAAGGTAAGTAAGAGATGAGATTGATTATTATTATACTCATTACTTGTTTATTTATTTATTTATTTATTTTATTTATTTATTTTAGCTTCATGTTTGTTGGAATAGTTTTGATAATCCACATTGGAAAGGTGGAGATTATATTTATACTCAACAACAAAATGATAAAAAGAAATCAGATAATTTTGTTCAAAGTCCAATCAAAGAGGAACAACCAAAAGATAAACTTGATTTTTATATCACAAGTACCAATCCAAAAGATATTCAAGCTATGGTTCAATACCTCCATTATCTTTCACAATGTAAAACTACAGTACCTCTAAACGAAGATGAAAAGGGACCTGTCTTTACAGAATTTAAAAGTGACAAACAAGTTTACTTTCTGACTAGAACCAATGCTGCAATCATCATTGAAGCAGTCAATCAAACGGCACTAGCCGAAATGGAATCCAAAATTAAAAATTTTATATTAAAGATTAAAACTGTATGTAATATATATATATATATTGATATAAACTCTAATACAATCAAAGTTGTTGATTATTAATATTATTTATTATTTAATATTTAATAATTAGGTAATGAAAGAATATAAATTGGAACCATTTGAAGCAGACTATTTAAGTCAAAAGAAAATATTTGAAGATATTCAAATTAAATATCCAAGTATTAGAATGGAGCGTATTGCATCTGTGATAGACTCTGCGTCGACTGTATCCATTCAAGGGACCTCTGAAAAGGTAAATGAGGTACACCAATATTTAGACCAAACACTGGAGAATTTCAAAGCTGTTCCAATTGTACTACAAGATGATTTCAAGATAAAGGTGAAGTTGTTGGCTGCCAGAATCCAATCTATTATAAAGCGTATTGCTGATAATCAAGACTCGACTGTACAAGTATTACTCCACTACAAAAAGTTTGAAGAGTTTAAAATCAATTTCAAGACACTGGTTGCCTATGGAAACAAAGATGATGCTACCAATCTTGCACAAGAAATCAAGTCTTATAGTGACGCACTTGTTCAGATTGAATCAAGACCAGACAATATCAAGCAATTGACTAGAATGTTGATCATTGACAAGACAGGTTTAAAAGAACAAATTGAACAAGATTTCAATGCCAACATTATCAGTGACGTCGACGTAATTAGAATCACTGCCGAGTCAATTGAAGATGCCAAGTCTGTTGAAAAACAACTTCAAGACTTACTTTTAAATCAACCCAAGGATACAAAACGTATTGAATTTAAATGTATTATTTATAAAGTATGTAAAAACTAAATCAAAGTATAAAAAATGTAACAACTTTTAACATTTATAATCTATTTAGTTAATGGTAGCATCAAGAATTGTGTTTAGAGAAAGAGATGTTTCAGTCAAGTTTAATAATAATGATTATACAGCTACGGTGATGGGAGAGCCCAAAGGTGTGGCCAAGGTGTATCAAAGTATATTGGATGAAAAGAAAAAGATTGAAGCTTCAATGATATCAGAATCAATCACAATCGATCAAAACGAACATGATATTCTCTTTGATACCACTCAAAGACACAACTCTAATTTACAAAAGAAATGTGAAGTATCTATTGAACTTGTTGACACCGACACCATTACCAACCCCCAACAACAACAAGTCCGTGAAGCACCGATGAGTTTGACACTGTCAAACAAAAGAACACTTGTAATCAAATACGGACAAATTGAAAAAGAGCAAGTAGATGCTATTGTCAACCCTGCCAACTCTGATCTTCAACATGGTGGCGGTGCTGCAGCATCAATCGCAAAGGCTGCAGGTCCAGACCTAGAATCTTATTGTAACAAATACGTCAGTCGCCATGGTCTGGTGCGGGTTGGATCATCAATCCTTACCTCGCCATACAATATCCCCACATGTAAACATATCATCCATTGTGTAGGTCCAAACCTATCAATTCCAAGTGAAGCAGCCAAAAAAGAGTTGTTGCTAAAGAATACCATACATTCAGCCCTTCACCTAGCAGAGATGCATAGGGTCGAATCTGTTGCATTACCAGCCATTAGCTCAGGTATCTTTGGATACAATATCAAAGATTCTGCACCAATAATGATTGCAATCGCAATCGAATTCCTTGAAGGCTCGGCCAAAAATCTCAAAGAGATTAGATTTGTTGATATCAACAACGACACTCTCTCTACTCTAAAAAGTGCACTAGATGCACATCAAAAGCCAAAACCAGTTTTTGGTAGCCCGACTCAAATCAAGTCAATATCAAGGGAGAGCATTGATTATACTGTAAATAACGTGGTTGCTCAAACCCCTCTTCTATACACTTGGAAATGGCAAGAAAACAATGGAGAGATGATGCCATACGATAGAGATCAAGCAGAACAAATCGAAGCAGCTTATAATGCAAGAAAACCATCTCTCGAGGTTATTGGTGATCTGCATGGTATTAAGAATGGAACAAACTATTATGTACGATTCCCAGATTATAATAAGCCTACTTCATGGTATCAAGTTAGAACCAAAGATCCTTACACCCATCGTCTTGTAACTAGAACACAATTATCTAATCCTTCTACTACAACAACAACAACAACAACAACTACAACTGACAATAGATATTTCCCACAACAAATCAATCAACAAAACATTAATAATAATAATAATAATAATAATAATAATAATAATTCAACAACTAAATTGTTGAAAATTAAGGTTATTGGTAAATTGGAATCAATCAAGATGTTTAAAGAGGAATTTAAAAAGATTATTTTGGAGAATAGAAAGAGCATCAAAGTGGACAAGAACTTGGGAGCTGATGATGAAATGATGATTATGAGTACTGCCAAAGATTTGGGTGTGATCATGAAAAAGGTAGAGGTCATCAATGGTGGTAGCACTGGTGGATACACATTGGAAGGTCTACAAAACAAGGTATCTGAAATCCAAATCCTCATTCTAGAACATTCAACTCAATCACAAGCCATGCAATACCCCCCTCTATGGAACAAAGATCATAAAAAGTGTTATACCAATTTATCAAGAGGAACGGAATGGGATAGAATCCAAAAAAGAATGAATCTAACAATGCCAAACACTACCATTACAAACATTCAATTTATTCAAAATGAAGAAGTTTTTATCAAGTTTTATCAAAGACAAGAATTATTAAAATTAAAAAATGTATCACCTGTATGTAACTAATATATATATATATATAAGTATAATATATTTATTAATCAATTTATTTATTTATTTATTTATTTATTTATTTTTCAATTAGAATGAACTTGAACTATTCCATGGAACTAGAACTACAGATCCATCAATGATATGTCATAGTAGCGATGGATTTGATTTTAGATTCTCAAATGACCAATGTATGTGGGGAAATGGAAACTATTTTGCTGTCAATGCTTCCTATTCTCACAACTACTCATTTGCCAAAGCAAACCAAAGACAATTTATTCTTGCCTTGGTGTTGACCGGTAATTCGCTCCCATGTGCCGCAGAACGACTCAGAATCCCACCATACCTACCAAACTCGCAAAACGAGAGATACGATACTGTATCTGGTCATACAAACGGAAGTACTGTCTATATCTCTTATGATAATGCATTATCATATCCATATTATCTAATCACTTATCAATAATTTAAATTAAATTAAATTAAATTAAATAAATGCATCACATCACATCACTGCACTGTCAACAGTAAAAGATCTTATTTGTCTTATACACACGAATGAATGAACCCAACTACGAGAACCGACTTGCGTTTGTTTGTTTGTGTGTGTGTGTGTGTGTGTGAAGATCGATATCGACACGCACAATGAAGATGGTTAATAATAATCGTTGTCGTTCACGATCGAGAGATGTGTTTGTTTGAAGATCATCATATCGACTTTACGACAAAGAGATAGAGATGTTGAAAAGTGTTGTGTTGCGAGAGTGAGTAATCCAAAGTCAAGACAGTACGATCTAAGTTTGGTGAGGCACTCTGATCTGTGTGTGTGTGAGTGTCTGCACCCGACCAAGTTTGGTGTTTGTGTCAGACACAACCACCTCTGTTTTTGCTAAAACTTGGTTGGGTGCAAGGTTTTTTGGGTTTGGTTGGGGGTAAAGGGAAGATCCACCCTACCCTTTTTGAGTTTGGGTTTTTAAAGCACATATATAAATATATATAATCAATCACACTTCTTCTTTTATTTTCTTTAAATCAAAACATTTACATTTACATTGTTGTTGATTTAAATAGAATCACTTTTATTAGTACTATTACTATTACAATAACTAACTTATTACAAATCTAGATAGATAGATAGATAAGAGATCAACAAGATATATATATAAAGAAGATATATACATATAAAGAATGCCATTATCAGATTATGAATTACACAAAGAGTTGGGAAGGTATGTTATATCTATCTATGTATTATATATACAAATACAAACACTACTATAGTTGGTGATCTTGCAATTTGATCTATCTTTCGATCACATGAAAGATCAATCAAAAGTAGTACTTTGACTAATTTATACTTTTTTTTTCTTTTTTTTTTTTTTTTTTATAAATATATAGAGGAGCCTTTTCAATTGTTTATTTGGTTACAGAAAAGAAGACAAAGAAACAATGGGCTATGAAAGTAATTGATAGAAAGTCTTCATCAAAGGCTGCACTTCAAACTGAAATTGAAATCATGAAGAAAATTGATCATCCAAGTATGTTTTATTATGTTATGTTTGTTAATGTTACTATTGCTAACAATAACTTGTTGTTTGATAATTATCTATAGATATTGTTAAAATGTATGAATACTTTGAATCGACGGATAAGATTTATTTGGTGGTAGAGTTGGTGACTGGTGGTCCATTGTTTGACAAGATCATGGAAAAGAAATCATTCACAGAAAAGGAAGCAAGAACCATTGTCAAACAATTACTCGAATCTTTGCAATACCTACATAGCATGGGTATCGTACATCGTGATCTCAAACCAGAGAATCTCCTTTTGAAAAATGAAAGTGATCTAACTATTGCACTATCTGATTTTGGTCTCTCTAAAATCCTTGCCGATGATGTATTTATGAAAACTACTTGTGGTACTCCATCTTATGTTGGTATGTAAAGAAAAGGAAAAGAAAAGAAAAGGAAAAGAAAAAAGAAAAAGAAAAAGAAAAGAAAAAGATGGATGAATATTAATATTTATTTAATTTACTTTTTTTTTTTTAGCTCCAGAAGTATTAAATAATATTAGTAATGCACCAACTGCCTATTCGGAAGCAGTTGATATGTGGGCAGTTGGAGTGATTGCTTATATCTTGTTGTGTGGATTCCCACCATTTTACAGTGACGATATTAGAAAGTTGTTTGAGAGTATTTTGAATGCTAGTTATGATTTCCCAGACGACTATTGGAAGAATATATCAAAAGAAGCCAAACATTTTATTAATTGTTTCTTGACGGTCGACCCCTCCAAACGTTACTCTGCCAAGATGTCACTCGCCCATCCATGGATCACTCAAGCCCCACAATCACATCCACTGCCACACTGGAACGACCAAATCAAAAAATATGTGGTCATTCGTCGTAATGAATCTAAAAAGTTTGGTGCCGAGTTGGTCTTTACTCGACCCATTGTAACTCCTCAAACTGGTGCTGCTGGTACAACCACCACTACTACTTCTCCTTCATCTAAAAAATAATCATTCCAATCAAATCAAATCAAATCAATAACAATAACTTAATAATAATAATAACTTAATAATAATTGACAATCTTCATTTATTTTCAACCGTCCATCCATCCATACATCCATCGATCAATCACCTTTTTGAAAACAAAAAAGATGAAGTACGTCATCTTCTTCTTCTTCTCTCATATCCCACTCTACCCGCCATGTATATATATGTCCCCCCCACACATAAATCAACAACAATCAATCAATCAAACTTGGTATATCATATCATTGCCTTTCCCCCTTTATAATCACAACAACATACAATACACTAACAATAATAAAATTAAATAAATTATTTATTTAATACATACATTGCTTATTTTGACTTCAAGTCATTGTCAACTACAGACACCGTTGAGATAGATATTTGAAACACGTGATCACAAAGATCTCCTTTTCAGGGAGAAAGTTTGGATCTTTGTGGAACGGTACGGTTTTTTTGTTGTTTCAACCATCACGTGAAATTGAGTTCAAAAGTCAAGTGGAGACTTTTTGACAATACCATTTGTTTTACTACATACAGTTATATATAGATAGAGATAGAGAGATAGAGATAGATAGATAACTTATCTATTTTATTTATTTGTTAATTTTGAAAGACACAAGCCGACTTTGTAAACTTTTCAGCAAGGAAGGAAGCATCGAAGCACAGAAAGCGCAAGGAAGCAAACCCAAACAAAAAAACAAATTAATATCTTAATCTCACACCTGACTATCGTAATACAATATAATATATTATTTCATTCATTGAATTATTATTATTGTTAATATTAATTGTAAGAGACAGACACTAGAGAGAGAGAGACAGAAAGAAGAAGAAGAAAGATAGAGGGGTCTTTGATATTAATCATTATCTTTTTGTGAATATTAGATTATACTAGTAGTATAAAGAATAAAAGAAGAACTTCTCTCATAAGAATAATATAGTATAGTATAATTGATAATTATTAGAAGGACACAAGGAAGTTAGGAGTTAGGAGTCACACAGTTTATAGGATGACTATATGTCAACCAACTATATCAGGTAGTTGGTTATTCTGGACTAGTTTGCCATTGAGTTCTCTTGTCATTCAACAGTCTTCACCAACACCACCAACTACATCATCATCATCATCATCACTGTCAGTATCAACAGTAATAGATATACAACAACAACAACAACACCAGCAGCAAATACAACTATTAAATAATCTAAACAAGGTATTTCAAGTTCAAAGGTATTCTGGACCACTTTGGTGGAATGACAAGTATAGAATATTACTCCTGCTAGATGACGGCAACTCGAATGGATATATCATAGCATCGTCACCTACCAAAGAGGATGTTATTGCAAATTGGGAGATTTTAAAGGCTGTCTATATGGACAAGGTCGAGCAGAGTGGTCTGTCGACATTCTCTGCTTCGTTTCTCTTGCAACTGTACAAAAAATTGGCTAAAAAGATGGTAAAGATTGAAGGTGGTCTGTCAGCCTCTGTCTCTCCATTTGACTATAGTGCAACAGACTATACATTTAAAAACTCTCGTATATTGACACCAACAAAGTCTACTCCTCAAAAGGATAAAGATAACAACCATAACAACCATAATCGTGAACAAATGAAATCATCGGCTGGTTGGAGTGGTGGAGCTGTTCCATCACCTCAACCATCTCAACAACAACAACAAGGTAGTGGTCATCATGTTGGATCACCAAATAATAATAATAATAATAATAATTGTAATACTATAAATAATCAACAATCATTTACAACGTACAAGATATTGGAGGAATTTGGGTCAAGTACATCTGATGGTGGTTCAAAGATTGGTATTGGGAGACAGAGAAGAGTTGCCTTGTTGTTTAGGGTATTGTATTGTGAGAATTCTGTATCGATTCTTGACAAGACCTTTGCCAAGCAGTTCCCAGACAATGGATGGGTAGAGTGGATGGACGAGCGGACTGGTATGCGTCCGGTGCATGTGGCGGTCGAGCGACAAGATGTACCGCTCATCAAGTACTTGCTGGAGCGAAACAGCGACACGAGCAGTAAAGACACGCAGGGGTGGAGTCCACTACACTTTTCAGCGTTTGCTGGCAACTTGGATATCTGTCAACTGCTCATTGAGCAGGGTGCAGCGGTCATGTCCATCTCCAAGGACGGTACACTGCCACTACACTATCTAGCACGTCATACATTTGATAAACCACAGTCTATCAAATTCTTTGCTATCCTCGAACTACTTTTGGCCAAGGGTACACCGATCGACGCCAAGACGATTCGTGGTGAGACTGCTCTGCACCGTGCATGCTTTTTCGGGAGTATGCAGGTGGTTTCATTCCTCATTGATCACGGTGCACAGCTTAATATCCAAAACAAGCGTGGTGAGACACCACTGTTCTTTGCGGTGATTGGACGTCACCGTACTATCGTCACTACGTTGGTTGAAAATGGTGCCGACTGTGTACTTGGTGGTGCCACGGGCAATTCACTCGACGCCTCTAAAATGACCGAGCAGACAGACTTGTTTTATTTCTTGTGTGGCTTTGCTCAATCACTCGAATCATTCCAATACAATGAAGAGGATGATGAGGTTGAATCAGAGGATCCTCAAAATGTAGATAATAATCAAAATAATAATAATGTAAATAGTCATAAACATAAACATGGTCAAGATTGCCAACATGGTCACGATACAGATAACAACAACGATGATGATGATGATGATAATAATAATAATGAACAAAAGGAAGAACATAGTTCATTACAATACCAATTAATAGAAAAGAAATTAAAGGAAAAGAATGACAAACTTAAAATTCATCATCGTATGTATATAGTGAAGAAAAGACAATTAACATCCATGTCAACTAACAAATATTTCTTCTTTTGTTCAATATAGATAATTTTTATCCACATTTATTTGTATTGACTGATTTTAAAGGACCTACATGGTGTTCATTGTGTGGATACTTTTTATGGGGACTTCGTAAACAAGGATTCTCGTGTGAGGCTTGTGGTTACATTGCTCATCCAAAGTGTAAAAAGAGGGCAATCCTCCAAGAGAGTTGTATGATCCTCAAACAAAATCGTCCTCAAGATCTAACTTCATCGACCAATAGTAATGGCAGTAGTAGTACTTCATCAGAACAACAAAGAAGTTTAACAAGCTCAGTCAATGAATATTTATCTGCAAGTGGTCAACATCAACAACCTTTATTAAAACAATCAAGTATGAAATATATATATATTTATATTATAATATAATATTCATATTTATTTAATCAATATTTTTTATTTTTATTAGTTAATAGAAAAAGATTAGAAAGTTTATATAATCAATTTAATCAATTGGATAAAGAACAACAAGGATGTATTCATCAAAAGGAATTTGGTCAATGTTTGGGTTCACTTATTAGTGAATCAAAATTCTTTTATGAAGCTCTTTTCAATGCATTCGATTCCAATCATGATGGTAAAATGGATTTAAAGGACTTTTTACGTGGAGTATCAGTTTTACAAAATAGTTCATTTGATGAACAAATTCATTGTAAATATTTGTACAAATATAATATATACATTCACTTTATTAATTTTTAATTTATTTAATTTTAGTTGCATTTTCAATGTTGGATGTTAATCGTAGAGGATATATAACTCTTAGAGAATTTATTTATGTAGTGGAATCGATTCAAGTATCATTATCTGCTTTGAGTATTAAAATAATGTCACCCCAGAAAATAGCAGAGCGTGTATTCCCAGAGACTTTGATATTCAAATTTATCCCAACTGGATTTGTCAGATCAAAGGGACCGAATCGATCTGATTTACAACGATCCGATCAATCTATTCTCAGTCTACATCGAACATTGTCATTATCTTCATCATCCATTCCAGAGGAAGACCCAGCATCATCAACCAACTCTTCAACTTGTTCATCACCACTTTCACTTTCACCATCACCATCTATTGCTCTCAAAGCATCTTCTCTTCCCATTTTACCAAAGTCTTCTGTAACTGATAATAGTAGTATCACTTCTTCTCTACCAGAGGCTGAGTCTGATTCTATTAATATAGATGCAGCAACAACAACAACAATTACTGCTGCTGCATCATCATCAACATTGAATCGTAGTAATAGTACAAATAGTGTTTCGTCTGCGTCAATTGTTGCCAATGCATTGAATTCAATGGATAAAAAGTCAACTTCAACCTCCTCCTCTTCCTCTACAACAACTTTGACGAGTCAAGAATCGTCGTCATCATCATCACATTCCGCAATGTCACAATCCTTACCAGCCAATTTAAAGAGTTTAATGGCCAAGGAAAACATACCACGCCACCACCCACAAGAATATACCAAGCAATTGAACCTTGAGGCCAAGATTACATTTGAAGATTATAAACAAGCCATGATGTCACATTCATTTTTTATTCAAAGTATGGGTGTCATTGAAAGTGACACTAACAGCAATACCGCCGACTCGACGACCGTCAAGCAAAGTATTCGCGAAACCAATCTACTGAAAAAGTGGATGAGTTTTGAAGGAAAGGAAATTACATTGGGTCATGAAAGTTGGGAAACTATGCAATTTATTATGATTGGTATTAGAAGAGCCATTGGTGAAACGATTACTTTACCAAATAGACCATTAAAACAAAAAGATTTTGAATTAATTGTTGAATTTAAATAGTAAGAAAAAGAAAAAAAAGGAAAAAAGGAAAAAACTAAAACAAATAATTAATTAATTCTTTTTATTTAGTAATGGATGGACATTTAAAGATCATTCACCATTCCCATTTAAAAGAATTAGGGAGATTTTAGAAATTGATTCAAAATATTTTATGTTTTCATTGGGACCAGAAAAGATATTTGGTAATCTATTGTTGGGTAATCTTTCGAATCTATGTGAAGTTGTCAGTAGTGGAAGAAGTGGATCCAGTTTCTTTAGATCAAATGAAGGTCGTTATTTAATTAAAACCATACCTCAAAATGAAGAAACTGTCCTCAAGACAATCCTACCATCCTATCTACAACATTTAACAAAATATCCAAATAGTTTATTAGCTAAAACTCTTGGTTATTATAGGTATGAAGAAAATAGATAATAAGAATTATTATTATTCTTTTTTTTATTAATTTTTTTTAGTATGTTTGGAGCAAAGGATTATAGATTTTTAGTAATGAATAATTTATTCTATACACCTCTACCAATACATGAAAAGTATGATTTGAAGGGATCTACTGTTGGAAGACACGTTGAACAATCGGCAGCAGAGGATGACGGCAATTTAAATGCCGAGATGGCACTTAAAGATTTGGATTTTAAGAGAAAGATAACCATTGGACCAGGATTCAAGGCACCATTGATGGAACAGATCGAACACGATACAAAGCTGCTAGAATCTCACAATATTTGCGATTACAGTCTGTTGGTTGGTGTTCATCGTGTCGATGAATACTCACCCATTGCACTTGCCTCGGATGACCATCTTTCCAAGGACATCTTTACTGTTCTCGATGAAGGATTCTTTAAAAAGTCGGGTGGAACAGCCCCCATCTTTAATCAACACTATGGTGGCATATTGTCATCCGACAAGAAAGAAGTCTACTTTATTGCAATCATTGATATCTTTACAACTTATGATTTTAGAAAGAAATATGAAAATATGTTTAAATCTTTGGTTCATGATTCTGTATGTAAACAAACAAACAAAAAATAGAATAGAATATCGTTCTCCTCTATTCTATTTATTAATATTTTTTTTTTTTATTATAGAATAAAATATCAGCAATTGATCCTGCAAGATATAGAAAGAGATTCCAACAATTACTTCAACATATTGTAGAGTAGTTCAAACAACTTTAACAACATCAAACAACAACACACAGCAACAAACCTCATATATCGATTCGAATCGATAATAAATAATGTTTGCTTGTAAATTATTATTATTTTCAACACAAGAGATACTGTATACAAAACAATAATTTATTATTATTTTTTTTTATGGTTATGGAAAATGATTTTGAATAGATAGTAAAAGCTAGAGCCATCAAAATGGGTGGTTTGGGGATTTCTAGAAGAGAGGATATGATAGTAGACTATTAACCATTTAATCAAAGTCAATATCAATGTCAATGTCAATATCGATATCGATATCAACATTTCCTCTCCTCCACCTCCACCATGACCACCACCTCTTTTACCTCTTCTACCTCTTCCCCTTCTGGCAATAGTGTTTTCACTTTGGACTCCACCAGATACGGCGGTCACACAGGATGAACCCTTCATACCCTTTGATGGATTTGATAAATTGGTCAATGATTCTAATTTAATCAAAAGAATTAGTATAAACAATTTTTTTTGTTTTTGAATTTTGTTGTTGGTAATATTAATATTTACTGAATAACATGTTTGTTGTATTTTATATTTGATTGGTTGTATTTGTATATATTTAACTATCCCCAAAAATGACTATTTATATATTTTGGTCTATTCTCATTTCTGTCATTATTATAGATTTAATATATGTATCAATACTTTCTAAATCAGGAGAAAAAGTTATCGAGACTTTACCTTTTTAGAATTGCAATTCAGATGAATCTGATTATAGAAGTTTTTTCAGATAATTAAATAGAAAAGAGTATCAGGTTTTTTTATTTTTGAAAGGAAGGAACAAAACTCCCTAATTGTGTATGGTTCATACTGGTATGCAGCTGATAACTCGGTGCAATCATAGTTTGATATTCGTTTTCGATAAATCTAGATTCCCGGTTTATTAAAATTAGGATAGAGTCATTAAATACTTCTCTGCCTATTTCATCAACAAGTGCATTAGGTATAGCATACAGGTCAACTTCATAGGTATTGAGATTGACCAAACATATTTCGAGCTTTGTATAATCTAGAAAATTTGATGTAACCATAGCTACCCATTGACAGCATTGAATACAAAATTCATATAACCATTGATTTCAACATAGTCACCGTTTGGGATGGTGGCTAGTAATTTCGAATTGTTTCCAACAATATCCACTTCAAAGATGTATGATGGACAATTATACGGCGAACCTCTGGCATTTAGTCCAGCATAAAACTTGGAGTTAAATTGATACATCTCGGTTGAGTAGTAGCAAATATTGGGAACATCAAATGTAATGATCTTTGATGTCATATCTCCAGTCACTGAGTTATATATGACAAATACCATCTGTCCGTATTGATTTGCTACTTGGTTTGGTCCCCCCATATAACATGTATTTGTTGTTTCATTGTACGATGATTGAATGAATAATCCGTTACTTGTAACTGGTAAAGTTATTACATCTCTATAAATAATAATAATAATAATAATAATAATAACAATTAGATCTCTAATCTTTTGCAAAGATTAAAGGAAACAACAATAATTAACAAAGATGTCATGATATAGTTACTCTTTTTGTTGATTAAAATCAAATTTGAGCAATACAGAATCTCCATTTAATTCGGCGTTCAGGTAAACTATATTGTTAATTGAATCATATGATGCGACTTGATCATCCCATTGGTAATCAAATTGTGGAAACTTTATATCTATGAATGACTTTTGGACAAGATTCTTGGTCTGCGTACGAGTGAAAAACAGCAAAGAATATTTCTTGTTGAATTAATTTTTTATAATATAATTTTAGGTTTGGCAATAATAATACGTACGACTACATAGGACCAAATGATTGGAATATAAGATTCACCAACATCAGTAATATTACCTCCAATCAGTAGAAATTCATCGCTCGTTGACGATGGTTGAATAACACCATTCAATTCTACCAAATCTCCAGTGAAAAAATCAATGAGATCTTCTTGAAGTGATCTTCATTTTCTTTTGATATTAAATTATAAAGTAGTATCTAATATATAAAACTATATCATTTTATTATTTTTTATGTAATCTAATTGTACAATATTATTATTATTAAATGTTTATAAAATTTGTCTATGATTTCCACCTTTTTCTTGTTTCTCTGCCAATTTATCAGCATAGGCTTGAGCTTTGGCACTTAATTTCTTTTTACCTTTGACAGCTGTAGAGACACCTGATGGTGGAGGTGATGGAGGTGATTGTTTGAGAATTGATTTTTTGTTGTTTTGTTGTTTTGATTGATGGGATGACCCTTTTTTCTTTCTATAGTCATCTTCACTTTCATCTGAAGACAACATCTCACCTTCATAATCTGAATCGTGGTTGGCTAGTGCAGATGCCAATTGTTTGTTTCTTTTTGTTTTCTTGTCTTCTTTTCTTTCACTTCTTGTCTTTTCAACTCTCTCTATGTGGAGATTAACCTCTGGTCCTCCTCTCTCCTTGTCACGTTCTTGTTGAAGATAATCAGTATGTTTGACCGACATGATTTCCTGATATTTTTCCTTTGTAAAATCGGGTGGTGGCCATGAAATAACAATATTGCCATCGACGCAGTCTCTAAGCAACTCCAACCCAGCGCGATGTACATCCTCTCTACCACTCTTGGCAACAAAATAACCACGTTTTCTAGCAAGTGCCTGACAAATGGCGTAAGGAGACCATGGACCGGGTGGTTTACCCGGCTCATCCTCGATATCTGGGTGTTGAAGACCATAAACCTTCTCAATGGGAACACGATCTGCCAAATACCTAATAGCAGAGTATGGTTCACGTACTTGAGCGATTGGATACAACCCACACAACACTTGTAACGATTTGGGTCTATCCAAAGCTGGGAAAACCAAACCCGGACAATCACACAATACAATTCCCTTTGTTAAAAAGATGGTTTGGAAATGTTTGGTATGTCCTGGTGTTCTAGATGTTGAAACTACCTTTTTACCCATTAACCCATTAATTAATGATGATTTACCAACATTTGGATGCCCAACTGTTCCAATTGTTATACAATTTTCTAAATATAAAAAAAAAGAAATAGAAATTAATAAATTTAATATATTTAATATTTAATATATTTAATATAATTATTATATGTCTTGTTCTTCTTACCTTTTGGTTTATCTTCTTCTTTATCATCTTTTTCTTGTTGTAATTTTAATTGTTTTCTTTTTCTTTTTCATCTTCTGATTCTGATTCTGATTCTGAATCATCTTCAGAATCATCATCCTCTGAATAATCTTCATCTTCATCCTCATCCTCTGTATCATCTTTTTCATCTTGATTTTTCTTATTATTATTATTATTGGGATTGAATTATTTTCAATTTCAGTAATATCTAAACTTTTTTAACTATACCAAATGAAAGGATAGCATCAACCAATTGTTTCTTTCCACCAGCCAAACCATAATTTTTTCTTCCTCGTTTGAATTTTCGTCTCTTTGAAATGTCCATGTCGTCTTGATGAGCATTGTCGAGAGGTCTGAACGAAGAGAAACAGATGACTTTGACCCAACTATAATTGGTGTTGAAATAGTGTATCCAAGCATCGACAATACGTTTGTCGACCAAGTCGACCTTGTTTAAAACCATAAGCATTGGTTTTTTAAGTTCATATTTGATATAGTGATAGAGTGCAGGTGGGAAATGAAACAAGGGATAACGAGCATCGGTGACCAAAAGAATGATATCTGAACGTTCACATACTCTCCACAATTGACGCCACACTTCTAGATTATGTTCGAAATAGTTTAATCTAGACGTATCGTATTTGGCAGCGATACCATCCAACCATCTTTTAAACATGATTTGTTCTTGTCTCTTTTCCTCTTCCTTGCCCATTGTAAAATCCCATAGCGGACGTTTAGGTATATCAATATAGTTGCCGCTATCTTCTGCCTTGTCGTCGAATCGATGTTCATCGAGAATCTCCCAAGGACGTTCACGAAACTTTGTATCCAATGGCAACTTTCCAATATCCTTTCGTTTTTGAATATCATCTCTTGATTCTTTTTCAAAGATTGTCACCAAATTATTTCTTGTTCTTTGTTTTGTTTTACTATTATTATGTATCATATCTCTTTCTTTTAATTGTTGTGATAATATATCTATATTTTTATATGTTATTCTTTTTGATTCTTCCAATTGTTCTGATTCATAATCTTCCTCTGATTCATCATATTCATCATCTTCATCTTCATCTTCATCTTCATCATCGTCCTCATCATCTTCATCTTCATCTTCATCTTCATCGTCTTCATCTTCATCAGAGGTGGTTGATTTCTTTAATACACTTGTATGATGATGATGATTGATCTCTCTTGAATCATCACTAGTTGCTGTTTTACTTGTTCTTGTTCTTAATACTTTGGTTTTTGGTGTAGTTGTTACTGAAGTGGTTGATGTTGATGTTGAAGATCCTCCTGCAGCTAAACCACCTGCTCTTCTCTCTAATATCTTTTGAGCAAGCTTTCTCTTGTCACACAATGATATATTTCCATCCTTTTCAATCTCTATTGAATCCTCTATTCTCTTTCTATCTTTCTTTGCCTGTAATTGTGCTTTTTTTTGTTTCCCACTAAATGGTTTTGATCTTGTCATTCTTTTATCTATCTATCTATCTTGTAGTTGTATTATTATTATTATTACTATACATGTACAACTACAATCTGATTACTGAATGATTATTTAAATTCTCGAAACCTGATTGATGAATTTTCAAACCAAAAATGAATGTTCACAGAAAACTACATTAAAAATTAATTCCATTGTCTTCAAGTATGAAAACCGAGTGAGAGAGGATATTATACAAATAATAGAAAGTGAAGGGGTGGTACCTTTACATGTATATATTATTATTTTTTAAAAAATCTATTTATTTATTTACAAAAAAAAAACCACGTTTTTGGTTGGTTGGTTGGTTGGTTGGTTGGAGAAGGGGATACGGATGGATGGAAGGATAGATAAATAACACTAAGGGTACACAAAATGATTTGGATTTATAGTTTATAAACTATTTTCATCTTCCAACATGCTATCTTCATCTTCTTGTTGATCAATGAAATTTCTAAAATCCTTGGTGGCAAGCTCAATAGATGAGAAGAATTTTTGTTGTAACTCCGAGTACTTTGTTTTCTCTCTTCCCAATCTGATTCCAAATTGATATTCACGAGTACGATGTTCCTCTCTTGCAGCGGCATACTCTTCATCCAATTGTTGGTATTTGGCCTCACTTTTTTCCAAAGATACTTGAGCTTCTTCCTTGGCATTAAAAGTTGAAAGTAATTCTTTTCTCATTTCTGCAACCTCTTCCAATAATGATTCTTGTGATGCTTTAAATGATTCCAATTCTTTCTTTAACTAAATAAATATAAAAGGGATAGATATTAATAAATTGTTTGTTTTGTTTTCAAAAACTATTATTATTATTTTTGGTTTAAAACTTACTGATTCAATTTCTGAAGCTTGTTGAGCATTCTCTTCAACCAAATGAGATTGAGATTGTTGTTGTTGTTGTTGATTGTTAACAATGCCTGATGCAGAGTTTGACAATGATGGTGGATTACTCTTGTTTGCTTTCTCGAGTGGAGTATAGAAAGCAGCGTCAACAGGTCTATTTCCAAATCCAGAACTCGAAGAAGTTGATGAAAGTGAAGTAAATTCATCTTCATTCAATGGTGATTGAGTTGGTACATTTGGATAAATGACAGATGTACTTTGTTGTTGAGTTGATGAAATGGGAGTCAAAGGAGGGAAGTTATGAATATAACCAGCTGGTGATTTAGATACAGTTGGTGATAATGTAGAGATTTGTGGTCTATGGTATGGTGATGGTTGTTGTTGTTGTTGTTGTGGTGGTGAAGAAGATTGGTTTGGAATCACTGTAAATGGATCAGAGTATGGTGACGACTGATATTGTTGGTGTGGAGCCGAAAAGTTGGAGTATGGCGATTGTGGTTGTTGTTGTTGTTGTTGATGTTGATGTTGTTGTTGTTGTTGTTGAAGTTGTGATATTCTCTGATAATAATTATCAAATTGAGTTGGAGCTGGTTTAGGAACGGGAACAGTTGGAGTAGGTGTACTATGACTATTATTATTATTATAAGTTGAATAATGTTTGGCGACCGGATCATCAAATACCGATGGAGCAGAAGCAGCAGGTGGTGCAGTTGGTACTTGAGGTTGTGGACGGAATATATCAGGATACCCTATATTACTATTGTTATTGTTATTGTTGTGGTGATTACTTGTAACAAATGGAGGAGGAACTGATGATGGATGAGAATCGATTCCAGATTGATGTTGTTGCTGTTGTTGATGGATTTGCTTTTGAATGAGTTTCAGTTCCTCTTCTTCCTGTGCCTTTTTCTTCTTTTCCTCTTCACGCGACTTGGTTTGTGCGTCCGAGATGTTGAGCAAGTCATCGGTAGCATCAGAGATGTTAAACTTGTTTCTAGTCAACACATCCTTTACAGTCGACACATCAATGTCTTGAAACATATCGGCAAGCGACATGATGAATTGTTCTTGTTCTTTTACTGATAAATTAACTGCCATTTCTTAATCTATCTATATCTATCAATATGTCTATTGTCTATCTATCTTTATTAAATTCTATTTCTATTTACAAATATATATACAAATAATAATATTTATTTATTTATTGATACAATGAATGAATGAATGAAGTTGTGTGACTAGTAAATTAGATAACAAACAAATTCAACTAATAAAAAAAAGGATTCTTGGCAACCCACCACACAAGAGGATGAGAGTAGGGTTGTTTGAAAACTAAAATTAAATTAAATATAAATATTTTATAGTTCGTCGATTTTCAGGATTAGAAGTTGCTGACACGATCGGAGACAGTCGTGAATATTTAGAAACATCATACACATACACATAACATATCATATCATATTATATACTATCTATCTATCTTTTAAATTCATTTAATATATTTTGTTTATTGTTTTATTTGTTTGTTTTGTTTCGATTTGATTTAATTTATTTACATTAACAATGATACTAAAGATACAACTGAAAGTAAACCAAATAATGGGATTGAAATGGATGATGCATCTGAACTATCGGATGATGTTTCATTGCCAGCGACTGGTGTTTCGGATACTTGTGGATCTGGTGTATTATCAGATGATTCAGAGACTGCAAATGAGGAATCTTCAGTTGATGAGGTTGAAGTTGATGAAGAGGTGGTAGAATTGGAATCAGTTGAACCAGATGATTCAGATGATGGGTTATCACCTCCACCATTATCCTTTTCATTGTCAATGGTTTGGAAGACTAGTTGGGCACGACCAATTGCACTCTTTTCAGTGAATGGGTTGATGAGTACATAGAATTGTTGATCGGTGGTGTTGGTGGTGACGGTTGGCAAGACTGCACCTAATTGCATGGCTTCCTTGGAGTTGAACTTGAGTTTGGTGGTTCCATAGGCTTCCAATACATTGGCAGATGCCGAAGTGTTGGTAAAGGAAAGTGGAATTTTGAAACTATCTGATGACTGTCCAACCTTTGTTGGGCCATGTATAGTCACATCTCCATTGGCAACGGTTCTACCAGCCAAATTCTTTAGAGAGAAATTATAGTTGAATGTAAACTCTCCATCCAATTTAGTGATATTTAAATCAATCTTTCCAGATACTGGATTAGCAGCTGCTGGTGTAAGATATTGTCCTCCAAAATTACCACTAAACATATTTACTTCATCTAAATAATTAAGAACAAAAAAAAAAAAAGAAATGGATTAATTAATATTTTTTGAAAGGGTAGTTAATTATTAAGAGTCATTATGATAGTTAGTTACCTGAATAAACACATTTGAGAATGGTAAAAAGGATTAAAATGTATGTTGCAAATCTCATTTTTAGGGAAATTTTAAAATGTTAAGTATATTTGAATAAATATTTTTGATTGAATGAAAGTGAATGGAAGAAATCCAAGTTGAGTATTTATAGATATGTGATTAAATAAATATTATATAGAGAATAAATAAAATAAATGTAATTATATAATTTATGATAATGAACAATTCAATTGAAAAACAGCAGAGCAGAGTCTTTTATTAAGTAGTTTACGGTTTCGCCTATCGATAGAAGGAAGGAAGCCTACGGTGAGATAGATGGAAGTTAATGATTTTAATTTATTAAATTTAATATTTTCAAGGCAGAACCCTGATAATTCAAATGTGCACATTGTGACGTTAGAAGAGGCCAAAATGATATCATATTGTGAAAACCGAAAAAGATTGTGTACCATATTAGTCAACAGATCCACTATTGAAAAATCAAAACCTGGAAAACTATTTTTTTTAAACCGACAAACGGCTTTTGAACAAAAATATTCAAAGTTACTATTTACTTTTATTCAAAAGATGATGTAACCTGCTCCTCCCTTGATTTTGGTTAATATAGTAAATATGGTAATTTTTAAAAAAATCTCTTTAATCTTATCCTATTTGATGGAATGGAACTATGTGGTGAAAACTAAATGATTTAAAATTCACATAACCATTCCTTTGTTTATAAAAATGTTGACACTATGATAGTGATATCCTTGGACAATCAATCCTCAATGAATCTAGTCGACCCCTTTAAGCTTCAGATTGACCTACAATATAAATTTATGAAAGATATGAAGTTCAATTGAATTTATTGTTTTTGTCAAATTTGGAAAACCACCCTCTTCTGTGTAATTAGTTAATTGATCGATCCTATTGTCTTTTTCAAAAGGATTATTAATAACATACATTATTTATAGACACATCATCATGGCAAGAAGACCAAAACAAATACCTCCTCCTAGGGTGGTGGAGGAACGACAAGAAGAAGAGGAGGAAGAGGAAGAGGAAGAAGATGTTGAAGAGGAAATTGAAACAGATGACGAAGAGGAAGAAGAGGATGAGGAGATAACAAGCTCATTTGAAGAGAATAGTGAACAAGATAATGACGATGAATCATCTACAGAAGAGGATTATGACCATCGACATGCATCTATCTTACAACAACAACAACAACACGATCATACTACAAGTAGTAGTAGTAATAGTCATATAGCACCACGTAAAAGAAGAGGAATCAATCATACAACTGAAGAAGATCATGAATATGATTATGATCATGGTGATGAATATATAGATGGTGAAGACGAAGAAGATAATGACAATAATAATGATAATGGTATTGTTGATGTTAAAGAAGTCAATCAATTAGTTAAAAAGACACTAAAACTACAAAAGAATATAATCAGTCATTTGGATACCTATGACAAACTACGAAAACAACATTTGGAAGAAGATGGACATCATTATGCAACAACTTCAACCTCTTCTCCAACAACAAACCAAACCAAAACAACTAGTATTGAATCATCGTCACGCGACTCAATGGGTGATGCCATTCCCTATGCAATCGGATTATCAATATTCTTTTCAATCATCATTTATTCATGTGGTGATCTCTTCATTGCGGCATTTATTGGTCAATAACAACAATAAATAATATAATAATAATATAATAATAAGATAAATATGATAAATAAAACATCCACTGTAAATACTAATAAATAAAAAAGAAATTGAAAGAACAGATGTCGAGGGGTTTTTCAATTAAAAGTTTGAGTTTGAGGTTTGATTGCAGTACGACACCTTGAGAATGCTAAGTCTCTCTAACAGAGTTCAAAAGAAGAGAAGAAAAAGGTCAAATTTGACCTTATGGGAAGAATCCTCGAGAAAGATTATTTTTTTGTCTCCTCAAAAAAGAAACAAATAAAAAAGAATAAAAAAAAAAGATATTGGTTTTTTTTTTAAATTAAAGATTGTACAGTTTTATATTGTTATTTATTATTTTGGTAATAGGCGTTTGTTGTTGTCTGTCTGTGGGTGGTAGAATGATGATAAAAAAAAGGATCTTTTTTAGATCATCAAAGTTATTAGGGGGTTTTTGTTTGTTTGTTTTGTATATATTATTATTTTATAGTAATAGTGTTTTTAAAAAAAAGTGTATATATAGGTAATTGTTATGACACACACAGTTCTTTTTTAGAAGGAAGAGAGTGGGTAACCATTGGCAATCATTTCGATAAAAGATTGGAAGTTGACGGTACCGTCAGAGTTGGTTTCGACTTCCTTCATGACTTCTTCAACTTCGGCGGTGGTGAGATAGTCACCCAAAGTGGTGAGTAATTGTCTCAATTCAGCGTCACCAATGGTACCGTTGCCGTCCTTGTCGAGGGCCTTGAAGGCGTCGTTCATTTCCTTTACTTGTTCGGATGGAGACTTGATCTTTTTGGTGGTGTAGACAGACTTGAGGGTGGCAAAGTCAAAAGAGGCGGCGTTGAGCTCAGTCTTGATTGCTTCGAGTTCAGCGTTGGTTGGGTTCTTTCCGAGTGAACGCAAACAGCTGCCCAACTCTTCAATGGCAACCTTACCATCATTATCCTTGTCAAAGATTGAGAAACATTCTTGGATTTGATCGTTTGATGCGGACTATAAATATAAATATAAAGTAATATTAAAGTAATGAATTAGTATATCTTTGTCACGTTGTAGGTTGGTTGGTTGGTTGGTTTGTAGTAATGACGACGATGACTATAATATAATAATAGATTCTATTCTAATTTCTGTTGTTTAGAGAGTCTGTCTGTCTGTACAGTACCCTAATCTATATATATATATCTATTCTTTGATACATTCATGTCCAACATAACCACTAACTTTTTAGAAGATGAATGCTTTCATTCCTAAATCTAATCTATTATTGTCATCGTCGTAATACTAACTAACTAACAAACTAACTAGTTGTTGTTGTTGTTGTGATAATACCATTTTTAAAAGATTATTTTGATTTGTTTTTCGGTAAAGAAAATGAATACTATTACAACAGATAATAAATAAGGTAGGTAGAGAATAAAAGATACTAAAGAGAAGAAAATAATATTACAAACACTCACTCTAAAATCAAGCAGCAGAGCAATGCTTTTTCAAACAAAAAAAACATTTTTCTTTATTGATAAAAATGGGTGTTTGGTTGATGGAGTTGGAAGACGACCAACTCACACTCTGACCCACCCCCCCCTCCTTGCTCAATGTCACCATACATGTTTTGACAAAAAGCCAATTTTTGACACTTTTTTTTACTTAACGGTAATTTTTCTGTGAACACTTGAGACTGCATAGTACTAACTACCGTACCTACCAACAAAGAGACAAGTTTGTCATTCTCATTCTTCTTGTCTTGCAAGACAATTAAAACGAATAGATCTGTTGTCTTGTCTCAGAGTAGTTCGACTGACCGACCTACCGTCTTTATATTATATTCCATCGATCGCGTTTGATGTACACCACCCATTATGATTAAAGTTACTAAAAAAAGATATCTTGTCGGTGTGTCTGTGTGTATATATTATTTTAATGGGATAATGATAATAATAGCTACTTATTATTATTATTGTATTGCACTCACATCGCATAACAAAATGAAGGTTGATGAGACGGAAAATCGATCGATACGATTTTTTTCTGTTTCTCATGGGTGAGAAATTTAACTGATATTGTCATTTTACCTTTACCATTGCACTTGCTTGCCTAGTACTTAACAACTTAATTTTGCTTTTATTATTATTGTTGTATCGGCGTATATATATATATTTATATTTATATATATGTGATATGTAAAGATAGAAAAATTACATAAACCCCCTCAACAAACCCTCCCCTAACCCTAGCCCTAGCCTCCCACCACTCGACCAACCAACCAACCAACCAACCAACCCACAGTATAAGCATTCAAACTACTAAATAGTACTCCTCCTCGTCTCTTAGTCTTCGTAGTCTTCTTCTTTTAAATTTCTTAATTTCAGTCAGTCTAGTAGTAGTAGTTAGTAGTATTGTAGAAGGAAGATATATATGAATTTGTGTGATACACCATCAATCATTATCTCATCACCACCTATTATTCTTCAACAGCAACTATGCAACACCACAGCAAAACAAAATAGAAATGAACTAACTACTAGTTATTCATATCCACCTTCATCTCAACAACAACAACAACCATCTCAACCATCTCCGTCACTATTACAACAACAACAACAACAACAACCTACACTTATTGAAAAATCAAGTAAAGAGTATCATCTATGTGCACTCTTTTCCATTTTATATCCATTCAAATCGAATTTTGGTAATAGTCTTGGTGATATCCATTCAAATGTAAATGGAGGTCATCATCTTTTTAATAACAATAATAATAATGGTGGTGGTGGGTTAACTATCCCATTTGTACCTGTATTGGAAGACAATCAACCAATTAAATCATGGAGTGAAATTATGGATGATGAAGATCAAGAGATGGAAATGAACCAATTAAATGATGACACAACATCTTCTTATTCTGATATATCCTCATCAACAACAACAACATTTAATAATGAAACTGGAATGTTTGATATGGACGATGATAGTGATAATGAATCAATTAAAAAGAAAAAGAAACAACTAAAGAAAACAATAAATAATAATAATAATAATAATTCAACTCTACCATCATCATCATCATCAACTAATAAGACGAAAAAGAAGAATGGTAATGGTAATAATAAGAGTATGAAAAAGATATTTATTGGTGGAATTAAATTTGATGATTTAACAGATGAAGAAGAAAGACAAGTTCGTATACTTAAAATACTACATTTATTTCAATCTTTGGGAAAGATTGAATCGGTTGATGCACATTGGGAAAAGGGATATTGTTTCATTACCTATCTCCAACACGGTATTGCTCAACGAGTCGTCCAACAAATGTCAAATCACACCAAACGTTCTAAAATGCTCCAAAACATTAAATCTTCATTATCACGTGATAATTTAAATGTAAAGTGTACTCCTCTACCAACATTTTATGTTCGTTTACCTTCAAACAAATCGAATAACAATGGTAGTAATAATAAACCAAAATAATAATTGTAATATATATATTTATATTTTTTATAAAAGTCTTTGGTTTATTATTTTTTGGATTCATTTAATTTTTGGTATATATATTTGATGTATATTATTATTATTATTATTTGGTTTGGTTTTTAATCTAATCGAGTACAGGTGATACATTTAATAATATAGTGGGGTCGATTGTAAGTTGTAAATTTTGAACTGGACGATTCCAATTACTACGAGACATTGATAGGACACTTGAAGGGATTGGATCGGGAGAGAGTTGATCTGGTTTCCAAATTTCCAATAGACGTTTGATTTGGAGTACGTTTAGTGTAGTGAATGCTGATTGGATACTTTCAGTATCGGTAAAGATCGATTTGTCAATAACCATAAGATTGGCGGCATCGGCAATACCACCAAGGAAATCACGGCAATAATTGAGTAGATCACGTTCCTCACTAGATGCAACCCAATCTTCAATCTTTGACAATGAAAGTTTAATCTTGAATCCAGAACTTGGTGAACACGAATTGTTACTCGATCCACCTTCCAAAATCTCATTCAACAAACTATTACTAATATAGTAAAAGGTTTGTGAAAAGAATTGTTGAATGATTGAATCAAATACATATTTATCTTTCATCATTGTCATAAATTTGCTCAATACTTTACAAATCTTATTTAAATCATCGTTTGTATGATTTAATGTTGATGATAATCTATTATTTCTAAAATTAAAAACAAATATAAGTATATATATTCTTTTTGTTTGTATTTAAAATGTCTTACGATTTCTTATCCAAAATACAAGAAGCTTGATAAATATTTGAAATCTTTGATTTTAATTTCTTGTAGATGTTGTGAAGCAGGAGAGAGTAGGTTTCACGACACAGTGATTCCAATTGATAGTAGAAAGAGACGGATGGAGAACGACGCGAGTTGGTAGAGGGAGAGGTGATTTGTTGGTCGATCAAGATACCGTCGAGGAGGGGGTCACGATCATTGTCGAGATTATTGGGTCCGTCTTTGATGAGATGGATCAAGCCCGAGACATTAGAGATCCAGTAACATAGATCCCCAGAGTTTTCCATTGACTTTTCAACGGTTTGGGTCAACGATGAGATGACCTTGTTAAAGAGACGCGAGTTTTCTTGACTGAATGCGTTTTGGTCCAACAATTGGTGGTAGAGTGAATAGGCTGATGCGCCAACCCCATCTCTAAAAGTGAGGCTTTGAGTGTAAATGCATTGCTCGATGATTCTGTTTTCCTCTCTTTCTTGTAGATCGCTCTTGGCAACTGTGCTACTAGACATACTGCCAGTTGACATGGGTGAAGATGCTCCACTGCCATGGTGTGTACCACCAGACTCGAGTTGTGACTCTAATTGTCTAACACGATCTTTGAGTTCTTTAACTTCACGTTCAAGTTTCTTTACCTTTTCACGTTCTCTTCCTAGTTCTTGACGTTCCTTTTCCAAGTTGCGTTCTACTTGTTCGCGTTCCTGACGTTCCTTGTCGAGTTGTTTAGCAGCTTCTTTACTATTCTTGTCCGATGATGATGATGACTTGCTGCTGCTGCCAGACATGAGACTGAGGGAAGCAGCCGATGCAGTTTGATTGTTGAGTTTGGATTCTAGTTGGTCCTTGGCTTCCTCAAGATCACGAATACGTCTTGACAATCGGTCTTCCAACTCTTCCATATCCTCTGTCTTGTACGACAGCTGTTTCTCGGCGTGTTCGGCACGTTCTCTGTATTGACTAGTCTCATCCTTTGCAGCTGTCAATTTATCCTTTACATCAATCAACTCTTTCTTTAGCTCATCTGATGGTGGTGAGGATGAAGAGGATGATGGTTTTTTGGACATACTAGAATTCAAATCTTTGAGTTTTTCAATCTCTTGTTTTTGACTAGTAACAGTCTTGTTGAGTTCTTGTACTTGTTTCTCCATATTGGCCATTTGAATAGTTGATGGTGATGGTTGAGCCACTGGTGTTGGTGTACTTGATCCACCACCTCCACCACCAGCTTTAAGTTTACTGATTGTTTCATCCTTGTCTTTAATCTCACGATTCAAATCTTGAATCTTTCTCTTTAATTCAAGTGTACCTCCACCAACCAACGGTCCAGTTGCAGGTGACAACTGAGCAGCTGCTTCCAATTTTAATTGATGTATTTCTTTTCTTAATGATTCTACTTCTTCTTGATTACCATTATTATTATTATTACCATTTTGTTGAGGTTGTTGTTGAGGACGAGATTTCAAATCTGTATTATCACGTTCCAATTGACGATTCTTTGATGACAATTCACTATTTTCATATTCCTTTTGTTTGATTGCATCATCTTTTTTTCTAATTTGTTCGTCCTTTTGTTTAACTTGGTCTTGTAGATCAGCAATTAAACGTTGATCTTTAAGTGATGATGAAGAGATTGAAGGTGAGCTACTACCACTACCACTTCCGCCAGATGCCAATTTCTCTTCCAACTCTTTAACTCTATCTTCCAAATCTACATTTTCACCAGCCAACTCTTTAATTCTCTTTTTTAAATCACCCACTTCTTGTGTTGGTGCAGCAGCTGCAGTGGTTGTTGCTGGTTTCTTTTTTAGATCAGATACTTCTTTTTCAAGTTCACCAATTCTCTTTTTATAATCAGTTTCCTTTTTATCATCTTTTTCCTTGTCTTGTTTCTTTTCCATTAGTTTTGTAAATGGTGATAATGATGAACTTGGAGTTGAAATAGATGAACTTGATGGTGTCTTTACTAATTGTGGTGAAGTTGATGAATGTCCATTACTATGATCGTTGTTATTTGAATGAGAGTGACTAGTTGATGATGAAATATCACTTGTCGTATCATCATCTTGAGTGAAATCTTCAACATCTTCTTCCTACAAATAAACAAACATCCATATTAATATTAATATTAATTATCTTGTTCCAACAATTTAATATATATATTATATATATATTAAATAATATTTGGTCTTACATCATCAGATCCATCATTTGAATTTAAGTCGGTTTCAGTCATTGGTTCTTCATCTGGTCCAATTTGCATTTCAGTTGTTTTAACTCCCATCTATTGGACATAATACAATTATTATTATTAGTATCTATCTATCTATCTATCTCAACTATGTATAACTTTTATACTTTTAACTTTTACTTTTACTTTTACATACAACAAAATTTAAAGGAGTTTTACCCTTTTTTGGTTTGATAGAGATGATTTTTCTTTGTTCATCCTTTGCGTTTGTAAATTCGGCCAAATCGACAATAGTCTTGCCAATGGTGGTACCTTTCTTGCCTTTGTCTTCTTTGATAGAGATGGAGATGTTCTTGGACTCGAATGTCTTTTTGGGGGTTTTGAGTAGTGTAGTGATCATTTGAACGTTGTGATCAAAGACGACACGTTTGTCGACTATAGGCATTGACCGAGTCTTTCCATTGTTTGTTGATTTTGATCCACGCTTCCACGATACATACACCATACCAGAGGTGATGGCTAGATTCTCTACAAAGTAAATCTTAATGTCAAATTGGAATTTACCTTGTTCCTTTCCAGATGCCCCTCCTCCTCCAGTACTAGCTGTCTTTATCTTCATCAATCCTTCTTTTCCTTTACCAAGAATAGATTCTGATTGTTTTTTAAATCTATCCATCTCTCTCTTATATCTTATATCTTATATCTTATATCTATCTTATCTATATATTTCTATTTCTTTCTTTTTACTTTAGATAAATTAACTAATACTACAAACAACAAACAACAATATATATATTCTTTTCTTCTTTAAATTACACTATATATAATAAATAAATAACTATAAAGTTTAGTTAGTTAGATGATGATGATGATGATGATGAGATGAGTTTAACTCGTCCGACGGTAAGAATTCTTTTCAATTATGAATATCACGTATGATCAATACTTACAATTAAAAACACAGACAGTATGGTTCACTGTTGCAATGAGAATAAATGAATAATGTAATATTACTACTACTGTATATATTACTACAACTACCTCTGTCAAACTTGATTTACTGGTTGTAATGAGGATCAGAGAGACAATAGAGAATTGTGTGAAGGTTGGATTCCTTTAAAAAAAAAACCCATTTTTGTCCCTTGAAAACTTCAAACCCCCCCCTTTTTCACCAGAACGACTCTCATGCTTCAGCTGATGGTGCATGCCCATCTGATGTGAGGTAACACCTTTCATTAATTAAAATAATCAAGCAAGTAAAATGTGATAATTTAAAAGAGAGCAGGAATAATAGTAGTAATAATAAACATGATCTGATGGATGGACACCACTACTCTACTCGTCCATCATCATATGATATTTTAACAGACCACCCCTGAAAATAGATATTTGTAAATACAAATAATAATAATAATAATAATAGTATAATCTCTCCTATAGATCTCTCTCAGCCATCATCATATTTGTTTGATATTTGTTTGATATTTATTTGATAGTAATTATTATTAAATTAAATATATTGTGATGGATGGGAATAGAAGATTTATTGTTTGAATACTATTTCACTAATACACTATTACTATTACTATTATTACTATAACTATTATTATTTATTTGTATTAGACCAGTCGGTAGCAGATATTTTAGTTTGCTTATTTATTTAATAACTGATCAATCAACTAAATCAACTATTTGGTTGGTGTGTGCGTCAAAAGACATTCGTGCTTTGCAGCAAAGTTTTTTCATTCCATTATCGACAAACCTATATCTCAGTCCTCTGTCTATAGTGTACACTACTATCATCAGATATACGAATCTCAACAAACACACCCTCTCCTTCCCTCTGTATAACTCTTATATATATATACACTATTCACATACTATACTTTTCAATCTATCTATCTATTCAATGGAATCATCAGATGACAATCAAATAGAAAATAGAAATATGGATATAATAGAATCAACATTAGATAAATATATTAGAGAGATTGATGATCATTGCTTGGGATCAAGAATCAGAGCTGCTGCAGAGACTCTTGAAAAATTGGATTCATACATACAATCAATACGTGCCAACAATGTAAATGGTGGAGACAACAACACACCTGAACTTTCATCAATCGAATCAATCATTGATAGATTATACACAACAAATAAACGTATCAATAGACTACGTCAAGAATCAAAAGAAATTGATATGTTATTAAATGTATTACATGAAGATTTTAAATCTGGTATGGAAACATAAGAAACAATTAGAATTGAAACTGATGAGATGACTAACATACTATATATATATATATATATATTCTTTTGATTTAGTGGGATGGACAGAAATAAATAAAGTTGATGGGATACATACAATGTACAAGGAAAATGGTAGTGGAATGCATAGTATTAGAATAGATGGTATAGTGTCTAGTCCCATTTTCAATATATGTAGTGTGTTGTTGGAGGTTGATTTGTACAATACTTGGATTCCAAGATTGACAGAATGCAATTTATTGGCGAGTGATGATCGTTTTAGAAAGGTCATTTATTGTCGTGCAGAGTGTCCATGGCCAATTGCTGATCGTGACCTTTGTCTCTATGGGTATGGAGTCGATATGTTGGAAGACAAGGAACAAACGTTTGTAGTGGTGTCTAGAACCTATGAAGACGGCGACTTTGACCATAATGTAGTGATCCCACCTCCCACTGGTAAACCAAGTAGTGTGGTGCGGTCACACACCCAAATCTCTGGGTTCACCATCAAACCATTGTCTCCAACCGAGACCTATGTGCAGGTGGTGTCGTGTACCGACCCTCGAATGAAATTCGTTCCCTATTGGTTCCTCAATTTTATCACCAACCAATTTTCACACTACCTCTTTCAAATGCTTCGTCAACAAGCTCAAAAGGTAACAACATCACCAGAATTTCAAAAACGTATCGCTTCCAATCCAATATACTCTGTCATTAAAGAGAAAAGTGAATTATATTTTAAAAACAAAGAATTGGAAAAAGAAAAAGAAAATGAAAAGGAACAAAAAATAACTGCAACAGAAAATCACTTGAAAGATTACATGCATGGATAAACAAAGGATCAACAATAATAATAATAATCCTACTCCAACAAAATTAAATTATTATTAAATCCATGTACAAAAACAAAAACAAATGATGTGTAAATATTAAAGTATGATTATTATTATTTAATGTGTACAACCATGACACCAACTGACCGATTTATGATGCGATCTTTCTTTTGCATTGGATGGTACGATCATCATTTTCTTTCAAACTGTTTTGTTTCGGTCGGTCGGTTGTAGATATCCTACTAGCTAGTAGTACTCTACCTCCTGGAGATTAAATCTTTAGGGGTCAATGATATCGATGATTGGAAGACTTTGACCTTTACTATAAACCTCTAAAACTCTGTTTTTGGCAACCCGTGGTATGTCTTTATCAAGATTTAGATACTGCAAACACCTCTAAACTTCTTTATCTTGAAATTACATTTGCAGGTATGTATCCGTTCAGATAACTCGGTCAATGATTGGTTCTCTAAAGAATAAGACGATCATCTTTGTGGGGAAGGAGGGAGGGAGGTTGTTGATTAATTTAATTTCATTTCGTAGCTCATGCTATGGCTCAGCAAAGAAAGTTTCGGTTGGTTTCAGCGACTTTTTCAGATCAATCTGAACAGGATGAGATTTCGAGATATTGTTGTGTATTTGTGTGTTTATAGGCGCAGTAAAACCAGCCCAAGGTTATCGGGGTTCAAAGGTGGGTTGGGGCAATCTATCAATAAAAAAAATAACAAGAACAACAGTACAGAACTGCAGAGAGATTAATCTGGTCTCATTGACATCGTTGTTAATTTTAATAATTGGTGTTGTGTAACATGACATGCTTGCATCGCAATGATTCGGTCGATGATTGATGGTGAAGGGTAGGGGGGAGCAGTGTGGGAGTGCCCCCATCTTCAGACCGACCGACGGTCTATCAACATGCGCATCACCGTCATCCATCCTTTGATTGTTTTAAACGCAAACCATCATGCATGACAAATAACCATCCATCCATCTATCCATCTCTCTCACTCACTCTCAGAAATGTCGACTCATTGCTCAAGCATCTTTCATCTCTCATCTGCTCTACTGCTCTTTCTAGACATCGACCTAGAATAAAGTTAGATGAATCAGATGTTGGTTGCACAACTGTGTTGTTTATTTAGTTCGATGCAGTGGCGGGAGGGAGGGGTGGGTTGCAACACAAATTGAACCAACAAAGTTGACGATGATGATTGGCTTGTTCTTGCTCCTCCTCCTGCACCACGATTCATGTGATCAGACACAGCGATGTGGGGGTTGTGATGGTTGCGGGGGCTGCTCATTGATGCATCAACCGACCTATCCTACTTTGAAATGCACCTACTAATTTTATTCCCACTTTTTAAAAGAGAGAGCTCTCTCTCCTCTGTCACTAACTCACTCTAGCCAATGCTCACCAACTCTCTCTTTGCACGATCTTTTCTTTTCCTAGTAGGAGGGATGTGGTAGGAGGAGTCTAAATATGGTTGTCATAGGGGGTATACACAGTGATGTAATATGTGCCAACCACCCCACCCTCATGTCAATGTTCTTCCTGCAGATTTCACAAAGACGAAAACAAGACCCCATCAAACCAAACATATAAATGGACCCTGATCAGGACCTCTCAATTCAATTCATCAAACAAACAAACAATACATCATCTTCTAAATATTTGTAGATACATATAATAATCAACATATATATATTTGTAATAATACTATTTGTACCACATAATAATAATAATAATAATATTAATAATACTTTGTAAATAATAATCATATAATAATAATAATAATAATAATCCATTCATTCAAACTTTAATATACTATACTATACTATACAAGAATGATGTTCATTAAATTACTTGCAGTACTTTCAATTATACTTGGAATTGCTAATTCACAAGGTGCATATCCAGATGTATCCAATGCTTATCTCGGAGCTGGTGATACTGGTTTATCGTACTATCCATCATACCTTGGATTAAAGATGCATATTCGTTGCTACTCGAATGTGACAACTGCCAACCAAAACGGACCAACCGCTCTCTTTGATGCCGGTCTTCCATTCTTTTCGACTGCTTGGGTGTCTGTGATCCCATCTGTTCTCCAAAACATGCCAGCTTGGAACATTAGCAAGGCTTGTTTCATGGATCGTTATGGCTATGGCTGGTCCGACTCTGCTCCATACCCCATCACCACCCAAGACTATGTCTTCCGTCTCCACGGCTCACTCCAAGCTGCCAACTTGAAGGGCAAATACATCCTCGTCGGATGGTCATGGGGCTCTATCTTTACCCAAGTCTTCTCGCTCACCTACCCCAAGGAAGTAGCCGGTATTATGACTGTCGACGGAACTGACTCCAAGTGGGGATTCATCTCTGCCAATCAACAATCGATCATCACCTACACCAACACCTACATGAACTTTATGAGTATGAACAACATGGGTACTCTCCAATCCTATGCCAACGATGGTAATGTCGCTCTTGGTTTTGGTTTCTTCCCCAATGGATCGGTCGCTATGGGTTTCACTCCAAACTCTGTCTCTACCTCTCAACAAGTCTGGTTGACCAACAAGTATCTCAAGACTGCCGTACAAGAGTTCAACATCATGGTCATCTCTTCTGCCGTCCTCAACTTTACCTATGCCATCAAGGGTTCAAATCCACTCAAGGATCTTCCATACGTCAACATCTATGAAACCATCTTTGACCAAGACTGGATCGACCGTCAACTCTTTATGGCTTCACTCTCTACCAATTCTATTGCCGTTCCCTATGCAACTGATCACTTTTTCCCATGGTCTAATGGGGGTGCCATCGTCTCTGGTCTTACCGCTCTTACAAACAAGATTGCTACCAATCCAGCTGTAGTTTGGGGTGCCTAAAAAAAAAAAAAGTCTACCAACATTTTTGTAAAAAAAAAAACAATTCCAACATAATAATAATAATAATAATAATAATAATAATAATAATAATCATTCAACAAACAACAACAACAAAATGTCAACACTACCCTAATTGTAATACTAATATCCCCGTCGAAATTAATCACATGTTAATTATCCCCTTTAATTAACTACATGCTCGAACATCTACCAAAAAACCCCAAAATTAAAATAAATATTTCAAATCTTTATATTAATAAAACAAATCCAAAGTATTTGTATTTTTTTTGATCACTGGATTCACCATCAACTCTGTATGTCTTCATTCTCTACCAATTCTATTGCCGTTCCCTATGCAACTGATCACTTTTTTTTTTTTTTCTCAAAATAATAAGGTTGGTTGGTTGGTTGGTTGTAGGATTGTGTTCCCCATCAACATGGCCATGCATGTTATAACTATTAATTAATTAAATAAAATAAATATTTAATCCTAAATTAAATCAACAATCTTGTTTTCTTTTGTAAAATCTATTTTTGTATTTTTAAAATCTTTCAGCAACACGACTGGCAACTGTTCTCAATCTAGCATAAACCTTGCCTGGTGGTGAACCAATAATCAAATCACAAATAGCATCCTTGGCAACTCTAATATTAGCATATGAACCTAAAATATGAATACGTCTAAATAAATAAATAAATAAATATTAATATCATCAATCAAGTACAGTAGATTTAAATTAATTCCAAAAAATAATAATAATAAATAATCATGATGAAAACATACTTGTCAGCCAAAACAATTCTAGTCTTTGTAGTATTTTCAATTGTAAATTTAGTCTTTCCATCTTTACCAGCGATACGACCAATTGCACGAGCCAAGTTATCTCCCTTTAAAATTTTAACTATAAAATATAAATTGAAACACATAGGTTAGTTACATATACATATACATATATATATATATATATTCATTCTACAGTCATATCCAATGTTTAAACATACCATCCAAAACATCGAATGAATCTACATATAAATCATCTAATCTCAATAAAGCAATGGAATCTTGAGTTTCAAAACCTAAAGCAAAAGCATGTACATAATCAACTGCCTTTTGTAAAGCAGCTACATTATTGGTTGCACTTGATGTCTAAACAAAATAATTAATATCACTCTAATAATAATAATAATAATGATTGTTTGTTGTGATTAATAGGACATACTCTAATTTCAACTCTTTTAGTTTTAAGATTCATTCTAATTTGTAACTTTAAATGTGTAACGATAGGTTCGTATATTTCTCTCCAATGTTCTTTTAATGGTGTCATTCTATTTGGTGGAATCAATATTTTTCTAATATGTATGTCTCCCTAAATGATGTATAAAAGAATGATATGATATGATTGAATCAAAGTAAGTATAAGTATACAATATCCCGATCAGCTGTTCGATATTCTTCTATATTGCTCTACAAACCTGTTGTTCAACAGTGATTTGAGCAAAGGTTGGTTTCTTATTTGGTCCATCATCATCTATGATTTCATCTCCATTGTCAACTGCCATGTCTACATCATCTCTTCCACGTTTATTGTTCTTGACTGCTTTGTCTATTGAATCTACTGAAACAGTAGTAGTAGTAGTATCTTCTTCTGTATTTGACATTATTATTATTATTTATAATATAGTCGGAATAATAGAGAGTAGAGTGTATAGTAAATTTGTGTGAAACAAGTAAGTATAATAAAAAAAAAAAAACGAACGATTCAAAAACAAAATTTGATTTTTTTCGATTTTTTATTTCTTTTTTTAGTTTGTGCACACACAAAGAAATCAGAAACAAAACAAAGTATTTATATTATTTTAATATTTATATATATCAATAAAAGTGAATTTACTTTTTACTTTATGTTTTTTAAAGTTTTGAATTATAAGATTGTTGATCTTGTTGTAATCTTGATTGTAATTCTTTGGAACAACGGAGACCACTTTCCAAAGCACCTTCCATGTATCCGATCCATTGGGTAGCTGTTTCAGTACCGGCAAAATGCATTCTACCGACTGGTTCGCGGAGTGACTTGCCGCAGGCGGTGAGGGTGCCGGGTTGGGCAAAGGCAAGATAGGCACCTCTGGCAAACTCGTCGGTCTTCCAGTCCTTTTCGAGGTAGTACTTTGGTTTGAGGGCACGTGGACCAAACCAACGGGCATAGCATTCGAGGACAGCTTGTTTACGGACCTCTGGTGTCTTTTCACTCCACTCGCGTGCGTCTTGACCGGCGATAAAGCCGACGATGGCATTTGCCTTGTCGTCGTGCGACGAGTCGTCGTAGCAGATAAAGATGGGACCGTGCTCGGACAATGCTTCGGCCGAGAACCCGTCTCTACGCCAGAAAGGTTCGTCGTAGATGACAATGGTCTTGATAACCGATCCCATTGGCATACGTTGGGTGAGAGAATCACGCGAAGCTGGGAGAGCGGGTTTGTAGTCGATACGACCGGCCAAAGCAGGTGGGATCGTGTTGGCAACAAACTTGGCGCGGAAACGTTGGCCACCCTCGATCAACACGGTCACACCGGCATTGTCTTGGTGGATGCCGACGACCTTGCAGTTGAGCAAAAAGTTGCCGACACGCTCTCTCACCAATCGCTCTGAAATCTGTTGCGAACCACCAATCAAACGATCTTGTTGGGCGCCACCACGGATATCGGCCAACACGCCATACCCACCGGCAGCCTTGATGAAAAGCAAGTACCACAAGAAACTAATCTCTGTTGGCTCACCTGCCAAACATACCTTACAGAACCAATTCAAAATCTTAACTGCATCCGATCCCTTTACATTATCTCTGATCCAATTTGCCAATGTAATATTATCCCTAGAAAAGAGATTGAAACAACAATTGTCAGTCTATCATATCTTCATATATATTTATAAATCAATATATGTCTTTACCATTCTTTAGCTCTTGGATGATCATATGGTTTGGAAGCATCCAATTCTTCGGCCATCTTGTCAATGATTGCAATGGTGGATTCGAGACCTTCCAAGTTATAGTCAGTGTTCAAGGTGGAGATGTTTCCCTTGTAGAGGGTATGCTTGTTGTTTAATTCGAGTATATGGTTTCCTTCGTCGTATTGAGGGAATGATTCGATACGTAATTCATTACACACCTTTTTGAGAATGTTATGAGTACCTCCCATCCATTGTCCACCCAAATCAAACCAATAATCTTCTACCTTTATCGATTCTGTACGTCCACCAAATCTCTACAAATATTACATAACAAACTGTATTAATATAAAACTGTTGTCTTTATCTATCTATCTATCCTGATCAATCATATTCCCCCGTCACATAGCGCTCTCTCTACATATGTGTCGTGAATGATGAATGAATAAAAGTACTACATACATCTCTAGCTTCAATCAATAATACATTAACACCCTTTGATTTCAAATCAGCAGCACATTGAGCTCCTGATAAACCTCCTCCGATAACAATAACATCATATTGTGTGGCCATCTTTCTACTATTCTATCTCTCTATATATATTAATATTAACTGTACTCTACACTAAAAATTAATATAAAAATAGAAATAAATACAAATACAAATATAAATATAAATATTTATCTGTATATAACAATGACTACTATTAATAATGACACAAACGACAGTGCTGGTATAGAGTAGTGTGTAGTTATCAAAACCACACCAACAGAAAAATTAATGATAATTTATGGGTTGAGGGGAGCGAAGGGTGGTAATCAAGAAAAAGCGAGAGGCGAACATGAAATTTCATAATATCTTTCAAAAAACCCAGGAAAGGTCGTTTTTGTCAGATCGATTCATCCGACCTACCATCAATTATTTCCAAGCTTCTCTATTTATAGTACAGATAGAATAAATATTTCTATTTAATTTTTTGTTTATAAGAACTATTTAAATTAAATTTGGTGACTATAAAGTATCTTGTTGAAATCAAAAATTGAATTGCAAACATGTATGAATAGTAATATTGAAAACTATAGAAATCCCATTCAATTGATTGATACTATAATAAATGATGGATATATTAATATTAATTGAATTAAATTCATCAAAAATAATTAATTATACATACCCCTGGATAATTATTTGATGACCCAGATAGAGTCTGACAAAAATGTTGGAATTGACCATTACGGTCACTGCAAAGTAGTGATGATTGGAAATCATGTCTTAAAAATGGAATGAAAAGAGTTGACATGTATAAAATGATACCATAAAATATTAACACTGTATGTGATATCCAAGACCAACCAGCTTTGGTTGAATTAAAAGTATTATGATACTTTACATGATTAAATAAATCATAGAGTATTCCAACATGTCCTACTAGAATGAGATAATATAATACTTGAAGAGTAGAGTAGAGTAGAGTATAATATTAATAAATAATTGAATAGTAGTATTTTTGGTTTAACATACCAGTGTATGGAATCTTTAAAACATTTAAATTAAAGGTTGGAATTGATATTGATTCAGAATTTGATATTAAATGATGACTGTAACGTTGTTGGTATTGTTCTTGATTGTCAATATAGTTATTTGATAATCTTGATAATCCAAAATACAATGATTGACTATAGATTGGGAATTTATGAATGATGGACATTGGTACAGGTCTAATGATACGTATTTTTGATAATGGTGGAGGTGGGGGGTCTTGATAATAGTGTCTAATCAATTCATTGTAATCTAGTGCCGGAGGAGTGATCGATGGAAATGTTGGTGTAAACGATACACTACGATTGTTTAAAAGTAGATTCTGTTTGATGGTCTGCTTGATAGTTATACTCGGTTGATAATAATAAGGTACAACTACAAAATCAAATAGAATTTGAAAGAGTAGTATAGGTATTAAAACACATGTAGAGTAAAATCTAAAGGTGTGTTCATATTTCATCATGGTTGTAGAAATATAAATAGATCTAAATAGAATGTTTGATCATTATTAACATTAGAGAGGCAATCAACCCACATCAAATGGACTTTGGGGGGAATTTGATTTAAATTTATTTTTGATTGTTTTTTTTTTTTTGATTGAATGAACAACCTTTTTTCATGAACCAATCATTAATTATTTATTTAACTTTATTTATTTAAGTAATTTTGTACAAAAAACAATTAGAGCAACTATGATTATTAACAAGAATGCTCCAAGAATAATAGGTGCCAAGTAACCAGGAGGAAAGTAACTATCATCTGTTCTATCTTTCGATTCACTGATATCAGCAGTACTATTGTTTGTATCTGTTGAATAGTTGTGATTATTATCATAATCACTACTATCATCTTTTAAAGGTGGAATTAAAAGTAAAGATAATTGGTTGGTTGTAGTATTGTAAAGATGGAATAATTGAAGATTTGGTGAACTTGATTGACAGTTTAAAAGGAAGGTTTCAATATTACTCCATTTAAAATTTGTGTACATGGTTTGGTTTGAAAAGTAGAGATAGGGAAGACTGACATTGGAAGTGGTTGTATAACAATCAATGAATAATTGGATTCTAGAATGTTTCATAAAATCATTGGCAGTGATTCCGAACAGATAAACTTCTGAATTGGATTGGTTGGTAAAAAGAATACGAATGGTAATATTTCGAATTTGAATAGAATCTTGTTTTAAAATGATTGTTGATGTTGATTTTGATGATTCATTTATATTACCAATAATAGTGTCTGAAATGTTTACAGATTTTGAATCAGCCAATGTAAATGATCCCAACATTGTAGAATTTTGAATAATTAAAGGTAATGATTGGAAATGATTATTATCCATACTATCACCAAAATTAATTATACTTGATAATATAGACATTATAGATCCATCAACTACTTTAAAAATATTCCAACCATTTAATTCAATATATGAATTATTAAATACTATAGAATTCTTTCAAAATTGGAATCTATTAAATCAAGAAATATTAATATTTCTTTTTTAAAAAATAATGGAATTTTCTATTATACATACAAGAGTGATTTTATCGCTTTGGCTAGACCCAGAATATTTAAAATTAAATTCATTAAATATAATATTATTCAATTTAAAATGTGACGATTCATTCTTTTTTCGAAAACAAAAATATAGTATAAATATTATATTATTATATCTTTTTTCTTTGACACATACAGAAAATATTTCAAAATCATTACCATTTCCATTCATTATCAAAGAATCAATCATCAAGGTAGAATTGGACAAATTATATTTTGTTGATTGTATTTCGGTTGTTGGTGATTGACTTGATGTTGAAATTGAACTTTTATAAATATTTCTAGAATTACATCTTGTAAAATCATTGGTTACACCAGAGTAAATGGTTTGACCTTTAGTTGTAAAAAAAGAATAGATTTTAGTACTAATACTATCTACTATTTATTTTTCATCATCATCATCTCATTCTTTGATCAAGATACATACTAAAAAGATATTCGTCTCTCTTTGAAAATGGTTCAATGGTAAGAGAAGAGTTTATTAAAACCCATTCTCTAGTTCCCAAAGGGAAACTTTTATACAACAATATTGAATTGCTATACCATTTATCACGATCTTCTAACAGAGCAGGTCCATTTACAATAAAAGGACTCAACTTGATTTGATTGTCAAACATTGCTATGATGTGATTGTCAACTGTGTTTGGACCAGTAACATTTTGAATGTGTAATTCACATTTCTTTTCATCCAATTGGTACACATAACCAATATGGCCACCTTGATAATCTGTAGTCCAACTCATTGACATTGTCAACCATAAGAATTGTGATAAAAAGAAAATTGAATAAATAATAGATTTGTAGTTGTATATCTTCATCACTAAATATTGGTATGCTTATTATACAAAATAAAAAAAAAGATTTAATGATGAAAAGAGTAATCTGACACAAAGCTTTGTACATACCCCATTAGATTTTTTTTTTTTTAATATTGGGTATAACTACAAACCCAACCCAACGCAACCAAGAAATAGGATTTTAATTTTATTTTTTATTATTATTATTTTTAAAATAAAATGTAGTGTTAATCAAAAACCAAAAGGCAAGGGATAAATAAAAAAGTTAAAAGTAATTAGGTTTGGTTTTGGTGTGGTTTCTGATCAGAACGTATTTATTTCTAAATTATAAATTTAGTTTTTAGATTTAAATTTAAAATAAAAAGAACTATGGTTGGAGTTTAGGTTAAAATAGGGAAATCCCATTATGTATCTAGATAAATAAATAAATAAATTGTCTACAGATATATGCGAAATAAAAGGATTTAAAACTTTGGAAAATCCCATTCTACAGAATGATACTAGATTAATCAACAAACATTGATAGAGGTTATATTAATATTCTAATTTAATATTAATAATAATAATAATGATGATGATGATAATGATTATAACACCTTGAACATCTTTGAAAATCTAAAAAAAATTGAAAAAAATCTAAATCCTTTTTTGGGACATGAATGAGGATCCTATTTTGATTGCTTGCGAATATATAAATAAATTCATTTTAATTTTTCAAATAATCCAAAGATTGAATTAAATATAGAACTAAATCTTTTAAACTTTTTTTTATCATCTCTTTTTGAGCTATCTTCATTTCCACATGATTATTGTTTTTTGTTTGTGATGCCAATTTTCTTTGGTAGAATTACTTTATTATTTCGATTCCAGTGACCCTCAATTTAATTACGATATTTCTGTTCATATTTTTCTTTGTTTAGTATAATGATGGACCTGCTGTCTCAAAGAAAAAGAATAATTTTTGAGTGTATAAGGGGTCATTGTGAATTGGTTCAATAGGTGTTGATTGATTGATATTATTAAAGGTGTGGTGGGTCTTGGAAATAGTTTAGAATGAGGTCATCGTAATGTTGATGGAATCTTCTCTACTGGAAATAAAGTTGTAAACTTTACTGTTTGATTGTTAACTTGTAAGTTTTGTGATATCGTTTGTTGAATCACAATAGTTGGATCGTACAATGGTGCGCTACATAAAACAAGAATGATTTGAAAGAATATTAATGGACAAAGAATTTATCCAGAGGGTATTCTAAATGTTTCAATTTTATCATTATTCATCTTTAAATAAATAAAAAAGAGAGAGAGAGAAAGAGATAAAAGGATACAGTGAGGAGAGAGTTAGATAAAAATGAATAGTTAATAAAAACAACCAAATAGTTGTCTTCTTCTTCTGAATCAGACTCTTAATCTAAAAAAGTAATTTAAATTAAATGAAAGAGGGAGGAAGGTTGTTTTATACAATATTAATCTTGTTGCTATAATAGTCCTTGAATTTATTATTGTAAACTTAATTTGATAAATAAATAAATACATATTTTGGTTTAAAACATTGGAAATCCGCCTGGATAATCATTTGTTGAACCAGATAGAGTTTGACAAAAATTATAATATTCTCCATCACGGTAGCACAATGGTGACTCTTCAAAATCATGTCTGAGAAAAGTAAAATTTATCGTTATCCCTTTCAGATAATTCTAAACAAGATGTAAGCATAGCAATCGCATTGACCAATATTGCACTAAAATATAATACTATCGTAATAATAATAGGTTAATATATATTTATATATATATATATATATATGTATTGGTGGTGGGGGTAGTTGTTTACTATTTAAATATACAAACCTGTAGTTGCCAACTTTAAACTATTAAATGATAGGTTTGGTTTGACAGATTCAGAAGTTTCAACCAATTTTGAATTATATTTTTGTTCATACTTTTCCTCGTTTAACAAGTACGATGAGCTTACAGTTTCCATTACAAAGTATAATTTTTGAGTGTAAATTGGATCTTTGTGAACATATTCAATTGGCTCTGGTAGATCGATACTATAGTTTGCGGATCCAAGTAATAGTTTCGAATGAGATCATTGTAATCTATTGTTGATGGAATCTTCTCTACTGAAAATACAGGTGTAAAGTGTATAGTTTGATTGTTGACTTGAAGGTTTTGTGAAATCTTTTGTTGAATTACAATTGTTGGATCGTACAAACATAGCAAGAAAGAATTGAATGATTAATAATGGAAAAAGAATTAATCCAGAGACTACTCTAAATTGTTCAATTCTATCATTCATCTTTAAATATAATATATATATATAAATATAAAAGAGATAAAAGGGGAAGGATTAATAAAAGTGAAATGAGTAGCTTCAAAAACAACAAAATAATAGTTGTCTTCATCTTCATCTTACATTAAATTAAATTAATTTTAAAATATATGTCTTTGCGAAAAAAGGGGAAGAGTCTAAAAAAAGGTTGTTTGTACGATTAATCGGCTGTCTCTAATAATCTTGATTTATTTACATACAAGATAAATATTTATATCAAAGTGACTAGACTGCTTTCATCATTGGCAATCTTTAATTTCTTGTTGTTGTTGGTAGACGATCTTCTTTTTTTTCTGTTGTTTATACATAACCATATTTGAATGACATATAATCTAATCATGCAAATTGATTGAACCAAGAATATAATATAATAGTATGATCTAAACCTTCGAAAATCCCATTCTACTAAATGATACTAAAGAAGAAGAACAAGTTAAATTAATAATTTAATTTAAAAATGATGATGATTGATTATATTTGGACATACACCTGGATAATCATTTGTTGAACCAGATAGAGTTTGACAAAAATTATAATATTCTCCATCATGGTAACATAGTGATGACTCTTTAAAATCAATTCTTAGGTAGTCAATAAATAGAAATGTAATCCAATAAATAATGAAATAAAATGTGATTCCAAAAAACATTGCAATCGATGTTAGCACAAAAAACCCATTTTCATCAATCCTTTTAGTTGATAATTCAAAACAACATGTAAACAAAGCAATACCATTTACTAATAATGCCAAATAATGTGATACTATTAAAAAAATGAAAAATAATAATAATTGGTAAATAAATAAATAAATAATAATATTTATAATTTGTTTTCTTTTTAGATTTTAAAGTACAAACCTACCTGTAGTTACTACTCTTATACTATTAAATGATAGATTTGGTAATATATATTCAGAGGTTTCAACCAATTTTGAATTATATTTTTGTTCATACTTTTCTTTGTTTAATAAATACGTTGAACCCAAATACTCCATTCCAAAGTATAATTGTTGAGTGTATAATGGATCTATATGAGCATATTCAATAGGTTGTGGTAAATCGATATTATTAAAGTGTGGTGGGTCTTGATAATAATTTCGAATAAGGTCATCATAATCTATTGTTGGTTCAATCATCTCTACTGGAAATAAAGGTGTAAACTTTACTGTTTGATTGTTAACTTGTAAGTTTTGTGATATCTTTTGTTGAATAATAATAGTTGGATCAAACAATGGTGCAAATCCACCAAGCAAGATTTGAAAAACCAATAATGGAACTAGAATCAATCCAGACATTAATCTAAATGCTTCAATATTTTCCATTGATCTAATGATTTTTAAAATATATATATATATATATATCTATATATAAACAGAGAAAGAGAGAGATGATGATTAGAAAATATGAATATTTGTTTGTAGTTTTTCATATCAATACATTAACCCTTGAGTGCTGGCTGATCAGTCCTTGGCAGACTACCAAAACCAAAAATGCCGTGGGGGTGCTGAAAATTAACTTTCATTCATTTTGGGAGAGTGTTGATGGCAACAAAGAAAAAGGTAGTGGGTGGATAATGTGAGTAGAGAGAAAGGAGAAGATGGGAAGGGTTGTTGTTAGATTATACGATTGGCTGATTATTTCTCTCCCTTGCTTGAGATCTTGTTGTAGATTGTGATGATGATGATGATGATGGTTTACTTTGCAGTAAAATCATGATTACTATTGCCCCCAAACAGAGAATAAAACTTGTAAATAGACCAATTTAATATAAAAGCTTTTGGAAATCCTTCAAAATGTCATTCTACTTTTTGTATACTAAATAAATAAATAAATTAATTAAATAATTAAAATAGATAATATTTCCAATTCTATTTATATTTATTTACATACACCTGGATTATATACTTTAGTATGAAAGAGATAGAAGTCTGAAAGCGAATCAATAAAGTGTGATGATAGATAGATAGATAGCTACAGTATGCTTTGAGACATATATGAAAATATTGGACCAAAATGCTTGGTTGATTCTACGCGTATCTTTTCTTCATCGTGTCCAAAAAAAATCATTTCTTTCAAATATTATTAATCTATTATATATTTAAATAAATATAAAAGAAAGAGAGAGAGAGAGAGAGAGAGAGAAAGAAAGAAAGAAAGATTGTTAGAAAGGATTACTATAGTTTAGTTGTTTTTACATACGTAATGGTAGTTTGATGGTTGAACGAGTGAGTTGGTGCGCCTTGGTGTGGAGACTACTGACTCTAATCAGTTCATTGTGATCAAATGTCTTTGTGATCGATGGGAATGTAGGTGTAAACATCGAATAGTATTCGATCCATGGATTGTATTCAGGTGACACTATAACCAACCAACCAACCAACCAACCAAATGTATTGTTATCAATACCGTATCATCATCATCATCATCGAAATGTAATATCTAAATTTTTAACACTAGCACAATTCCTCATATCTCTATCTATATCTATAAATATAAAGAAAGTATCAAGTATAAAGTACAAGGTCGGCTGGATCATCTCCTAACAAACGACCAAGCAAAGACCGACCTTGAAAAACAAATCAGAACTTCCATGTTGTACTTGCTCACTAGAGTTGTTGACTTTGACTAGTGAAGTTCTCTGGTTGTTTAGTTCTTTGAAAGTCTATCCTCCGTCTCCGTCGTATCTTATCTTTTTAAACATTTTAAGAGTGTGATTCTCACATCGTTCCAGATCAGCTGAAAGTAAGGAAATTTGGAGGTCAAGGTAAAAAATTTTGGTTAAGAGTATTCCTTTTTTTTTCGCTATTTTGATATTAATATTAATTTCAAACAATGCACTTGGTGCCTATATAAACAGTCATTTGCATTATTTTAGTTTCATGATTTAATCATACAAACAAATTTCAACAAGTATGTAATAATAATAATAATAATAATAATATGAATAATAATAATAATAATATGAATGGTTAAATTGACTGTATCCTTTCTCTCTCTCTTTTTTTTTTGTTTCTAGCCTTTTAGTAAACTTTAATATTTAAAACTAGTTTGATTCTTTCGTGGTTTTAAAACTTGGAAAAGAAAAAAAGTAAATGTAGAGATAGTCTTCTATCTCGTAGCCACAACTTATCAATCCCTATCAATTAACATTTGTAACAAAAATTTACAAACTTAACAAACAATCCTTATAATCACTTTTAAATCAAATCAAAATCAAAATCAAAAACAAAACAACTTTTAAATCAATTCAAATTGTAAGTAAAATCATATTGAATCAAATGGAATGGAATATTGATTATTAATTTTGTTTGTTTGTTTTTCTCTACTTTTTTTTTTTTAGAACTCTTCTCTCAAAAAATGGTAAAATTTTCAATGGAAACAATTCATTCTGTAATGAAAGAACGGAACAAGATTAGGAACATTTCTGTCATTGCTCATGTGGATCATGGTAAAACAACTCTGAGTGATTCACTTGTGGCACGTGCTGGCATCATCCCTGAAAAGATGCAAGGAGATGTCCGATTCTTGTCTGCTCGAAAAGACGAGATTGCGCGTGGTATCACGATCAAGTCGAGTGGTGTGTCACTCTACTTTGAGCATGGACCCGACAAGTCGCCTCATCTGATCAATCTGATCGACTCGCCAGGTCACGTGGACTTCTCGTCCGAGGTGACTGCCGCACTGCGTGTGACTGACGGTGCGCTGGTGGTGGTCGACTCGGTGGAAGGCGTGTGTGTGCAGACCGAGACCGTTCTGCGCCAAGCCGTCGCCGAAAAGATCGTGCCCGTCTTTTTCATCAACAAGTTTGACCGATTCCTGATGGAGCTCAAGTCGGACCCCGAAGACATCTACGATGCCTTTAGACGGTCGATTGAAAGCGCCAACTCGATCATTGGAGCGTACCAAGAGGTTGTCGAAGGTTACCCTGCGATTGAACTGGACCCGGTTGTGGGCAACGTTGGTTTTGGAAGTGGCTATCAGGGCTGGGGATTCACGTTGGAGGCATTTGCGCGTCTCTACGAGGCCAAGCTTGGAATTTCTGCAGATAAATTGGTAGGAAAGTTGTGGGGCGAAAACTATTACGACCCCGCGCAACGCAAGTGGACCACATCCAAAGTAGACGACGAGGGCAAGCCTCTCAAGCGTGGATTCTGTCAGTTCATCATTGAACCCATCCAGCAAATCTTCAACGCTGCTCTAAGCAACGACAAGGACGCATTGAAAAAGATGGCCGCCCGTCTCTTTATCAATGTCACCAACACAGAGTTTGACAGCTTGCACGGCAAGGATTTGCTCAAGTTGGTGATGCGTCGTTTCTTGGGTGCCGACGAGTGTATCCTGTCGATGGTCGTCACGCATCTGCCATCGCCTATTGTAGCCCAACGCTACCGTTTTGCTCATCTCTACAAAGGTCCTCTCGACGATGAAGTCGCCACTGCCATCAAGAACTGCGACCCCAACGGCCCACTCATGATGTATGTCTCCAAGATGATCCCATCGGACGGCGGTCGTTTCATTGCCTTTGGTAGAGTGTTCTCTGGAACTGTGCGTCCCAACCAAAAGGTCCGTATCCTCGGACCCAACTATGAAAAGGGTAGTCTTGAAGACCTTTTCGTCAAACCCATCCAAAACACAGTCGTTATGATGGGTCGCAAGGTCGAGCCTATTGCAGACTGTCCTTGTGGCAACATCATCGGTGTCACTGGTATCGACCACTTCCTCGTCAAGACTGGTACACTCACAACCAGTGAAGACGCCCATGCTATGGCTGCTATGAAGTTTAGCGTCTCTCCAGTGGTCCGTGTGACAGTGACCGTCAAGCATGCCGAGAACTTGCCTCGTCTGATCGACGGTCTCAGTCGTCTTGCCAAGACTGACCCCGCCATCCAGGTCTACACTGAAGACACGGGTGAAAACATCTTGGCTACCGTCGGTGAGTTGCAGCTTGAGATTTGTCTCAACGACTTGCGCGAGTATGCCAACTGCGAGTTTACGACCAGCAACCCCATCGTCAGTTACCGTGAGACTATCATTGAAAAGTCGGCTGTCTGTTTGTCCAAGTCACCCAACAAGCACAACCGTATCTACATGTACGCCGAGCCACTCGGTCTCCCTCTCACTGAAGCACTCGAGAACAAGGTCATCGCACCCAACATGGACCTCCCACAACGTGTTGAAAAGTTTGCCGAGTTTGGATGGAGTGGCCAAGAAGTGCGTAACGTCTGGGCCTTTGGTCCAGCTGCCACTAGCAACACCAACAACATGCTCGTCAACGCTACCACCGGTGTCCAGTACCTCAATGAGATGAAAGACTATATCGTGTCGTCGTTCCAATGGACATCCAATCAAGGTGTGCTCTGTGAAGAACCCATGCGTGGTGTCAAGTTTGTTCTACACGATGTCACTACTATTGCCGACGCCGTCCATCGTGGAGGAGGTCAAATCATTCCAGCCTCTAGACGTTGCATGTTTGCTGCCGAGTTGTCTGCCCAACCTCGTCTTGTCGAACCCTACTATTTGGCCGATATCACCTGTCCCGAACAATCATTGGGTGGTGTCCATTCAGCCCTTGGAAGACGTCGTGGTACCATCATTGAAGAACAAATGGCCAATCGTGGTTTGTTCAATGTCAAGGCCTACCTTCCAGTCATGGAATCCTTTGGTTTCAACTCGTTCCTAGCCGTTGAAACGAGTGGTCGTGCTTTCCTTCAAATGAGCTTTGACCATTGGGAATTGGTCGACAGTGACCCTCTCCTCCCTTCCAGCAAGGGTCGTGACATTGTCAGATCTATTCGTGTTCGTAAAGGTCTCAAGGAAGATATCCCCATTGTATCTGAATACCTTGACAAGCTCTAAATCAAAAAAATATCTATTGTTTTCATCCCTAAATCTTATTATCGTTTAAACAAACCAACCCTTATTATTACAAATAAATTTATTGTGTAATAATCACTTGATATTTTTAAAAAAATATATAAATATAATTAATCGATTTATTTTTAATTTATTTAGGTTGTTGTTGATGTTGGAATTGTTTTACGGCAATATAATATGACTTCAAATATTTTATACTATCATCTATTGGTGGTTGAAATGATTTAAACATTTGCATGAATGGGTCTTGTTGCTTAGGATCTAAAACAATCTTTCCAAATTGTTGGGCAATGTTCATTAGTATGTGCAAGAAACTTTTTTGTTCAAAGGCATTCTTGATGAGATCCAATATGGGTTTAAAAGATTTAAATATCGCTGTTGCATGTGAGCATACATTCCAATTGTTTAGCATATCTGTAAGTTGTTTATTGTCATTATTCATATTATTATTGTTGTCATATTATTATTTAATTGTTGTTGATGTTGGCGGAATTGTAGGCACCATGTTTCCAAACTTTTTATATCCGTTGATGGGTCAAATTGATTTAAGCATTTCTAAGATTGGATCTGGTTGTTTGTCATCTATTACAATTGTTGCAAGTTTTTGGACAATGGCAGAGATTATGTTCCTGTAATATGGTGCAAGCTTTTCATACTTGATTGCATCAAATATCTGTTTAAACGATTGAACTATCTTTGTAACATGTGTGCATTGAGTCTTTTTGCTATTATGATTATTTTTAGAACAGTCTTGGCAAATAAGAGGTACATGTTGGACCAATTGTATCATGGCACTTGCCGAAAAGATGGGTTTGTTGAATGAGAGGCACTTGATGAGGTGAGCGTTATATTCTGTTCGAACAGTTGAACTGATCCAATAAATCATCATCTCTAGGCAGTAATTCAGTGCCTGGAGATTTGTTGAATAAATCAAACAGAGTGTTGTTGAGTGGAGCATCGGATATGTTGAATGATATGTTTGACGCATATATAAATGATCGATACATTGAGTAGGTGTCTTGAGTGATTAGTATATCGGCAGCATAGTTGAAGAAAATGACGAGATGTGCAGATAAACGATCTCTTTCTTTGCCGTTGGCCCATACACCCCAATTGTTTAGTGTATCTGTAAGGTGTTTGGTTTTGTTGGATAGACTATGATCTATTCGTATTGATGTCAAGTACATTTGATCGGCCTGTGATAGAGTCTTTAAATAGAATTTATCTTTATCACGTAGATCCCAAACAATGATTGGGCATCAACTCTTTTGATGGATTAAAATATTTACATCATCATATTCTCCAACTCCCACACCCAATGGTCTAATATTAATCAATGAAAAATCTTCATATCCATTTGAATCACCATGCACGTGCATTGCTCTTTGTTGTTGTTCTAATAATTAAATAAATAAATAATATAAATAAATAATAAATAAGATAATAATAGTAATAATAGTCTACACATACTCTGTATAATGAATAAATCCATGAGTAACAACAAGACAGTTTGTTGCAGTTGATACTTTGTTGATTAAATCATTGAAATTGGTTAACTCTTCATTGTACTGATGTTGAGCAACTTTACCTCGACGACAAGGTCTAGGTTGAGGGAGTACTATCGGACGTGTAAAAAAGTTATCACTATTATTGTGTTCTTTAATAATGAATGGTTGTTGTTGTTGATTATTATTAATCGATATCATTAATGAAAATTGCTTTTATTAATACTAGTTGATGAAGTTGAAGAGAATTGAACAAGCCCCAATAAAAGAATATATTATGAAAAAAGAAATGGGTGAACAACAGATTATTTTATTTTATTTATAAATAAAATAAGAATAAAAACAATAATTAAAAAAGTGAGACTAGTCTCAAAGATGTTCCCTTCCGTCCTCTCAGAGTTTCATTTAGTTTTATCTTTTGATGAAGAAGTATTTATTTATTTATTTGCTTTATAAGATAATAATTATATTAAAATTTTTTTCGGGGAAAAACCAATCAGTGGTTTGTCTCTTGATCAGTAGATAAATAATGCAAGAGATACCAAATCAAGAGTTTATAGATTTTGTAGTCACTTTAGCAAGTGAGGATCAAAAGAACAACAACAAAAGAAACAACAACAACAAAAATAATAAAAATAACAAAAACAATAACAACAATAAAGATATATTAAAAGCAAAGTATGATTGAAAAAAAGGCATCGTGGTTACTCTATTTAATAATTGACAATTCTTTTGATTTAAATGTATGATTTTCAATGTATAACCTATCAATTAATGTTTACTAATACCAATTTTTTTTTGTTAAACTAATAGATTAAAAAGAAAGCAGTACAATTATTTGATATATTATTAAAGGGAGAAGGACAAGCCACTATTAAAGATGAAACAAAGAGAAAAAAGATTGAATTCATCTTGATGTTGCGCAAGTTTTTTTATAATGTTGGTATCTCTCGAAAGGATAATATAGCACTTGTATCCAATGTACTATCAATGCTCTCAGATCCAGCAGATAAACGTGTTTATGAGAGACGACTCTTGGAGGAGATTATCAACCATTTGAAAAAGATTTTTCAAGAGAACCCATCATGGATGCAGAGTCTCTCGACTCAGTTCATTGATACAATGATTGCAGTATTGGACAACCACGACCGTGAAAAGGAACTAAATTTGGCAAATAGCACAAAAAGCAAGATATATAACTATTTGACAGCAATGGGACGAAACAACCCAACCCGATTTTCAAATGATCACCTAAATAGAATCGTTATCAATTTGAATGCATGGTTATTACAAGTCAAGGATTTATCGGTTGAAGAGTGCAACTTTTTAGCCTCAAACTATCACGATGATGAACTAGATTTAGCTAATCCAAAAACAAACAAAGACGATGACGAGAATGAATTGATTGTCTTTCCAGCCAATCTCAGACTTGATATACTATTACAAATATTTGGTCATCGCATGTCACAATATGTTTTATTTCATTCCCAAAACTTGGCACAATCTAAACTATGGAAAGAAAGACATGCTGCTATGGTTTGTTTAGCTACCTATTGGCAATTCAAGGATAGAGATTTTACAAAAAATCTTTCAATTATTTTGAGGTATGTAAATAAGTATAATTGGATTTATTTTTAAAAGTAATTCATATTTATATTTTTTTAAAAGATTATCATTAAAATTAGTAAATGATGAGAATATCAGAGTTAGATGGGCATCGCTGGCCACTTTAAATAGAATTTCTTTTCAATATACTACCCATGATTTGGTAGTCAAATCGAGAAAAGAAATATTCCAAGTTATTGACAAATCAATAAGAGACCCAAATGAACGTATCCAAAGTAGTTGTTGTCTGTTGATCTATGCAGAGATGAGAGAATTACCCAATCACAAGATTGATGGTAATCTTTTCAATCGAGTTTGTGATTGGCTTGAAAAACTACTTTTATCTCCAAAAATGCATCTAGTTGAAAATGCATTATTCGCATTGGTTTCAATAGCTGACAAAGAGAGATTTAAACCTGTAAGTAATATATATTTATCAACTGCTGGAATTTTAAAAAATAACATTATTAACTTTAATTACCACGATCATTAACGTTTTTAGTACAATGGAAAAATCATCGCAAATCTATTGTCATTATTGGAAAGACATCAATCAACAAGAGAGTCAAGATTATACGTTTTCGAGCAATCTTGATTATTTGTAACAAAACATTGGATGATGAAAAGAAATATTCAAAAGATATTTACAAGTTGTTTGCGTTGATTGGAAAGAATGGTGTAAAGTCTTTTGATTTGGTTGACCAACTTTTAAAAGAAGTGCCTAAATTCATGGAATTCTCAACATTTTCATTGTGCTTACCAATGATAATCAAGTTCTTTGTCAATATTCTTGAGAAACCATTACCTCAAGAAGAAGATGATGATCCATCATTGAACCAAAACAAGAAAAGAATAATTCCAACGCTCGAGACACTATTCAATATTTTAAGTACCGAGGATGGAAATGTTTTGAGAGCATTGGCACCGTTTGTACATCTATTGGTTGATCCACTTTGCAAATTGGCCATTTATCCACTCCACAACTGTATTCGATCCGAATCTCTTTCTTGTTTACCCTATTGTCTTGAACTATCCCAACTACACTCGGGTGCAAGTCAAGACAAGAAGACCATGAAGATGTTTAGCAAGATACTCAATGTATCTCTTAGTGATTCATATACCGACCTCGGCGTCATTTCTTCCCTTATTTCAGTTGTAAATAGTGTCATTTCAATGATGGGAGACGATGCAATGACACTGGATCAAGTCCAAATGACATTGAACACAATTGTAAAGATGGAGAAATGGTTATTTTATATGGCATATCAAATTTTGGATTTCAATGAAGATGTCATTGGCGACCAAGATCCAAGATTGATGATAGCTGCAATAGTTGACTCGATGTCTTGTCTCTATTCGAGTATGGCCGATATGATCAAGTACAACAGCACCATCACGGCACCACTAATCACCGCTGGTATCTTGGAAAATCTTTGCAAGATGATCAACGGCACTGCGATGACTCGGGTCAAGGTTGCTATGATGGACTTTATAACAGACTATTGCTATTATGGTGGTGAGTTTGCACTAAACTCGTTGCCACTATTCATACCAACCCTCATCAAGCATCTGAAACAAAGCAGAGACTATACAAGGATCAAGTCAGCCATGGTATTGGCAGCTGCAAAGGTAGCCAAAGAAAGATTATCACCTTGGTTAACACAACTGGTACAGGGTATGGACACCATGATCTCTCAAACATCATTCCCAGATCTGAACAAGGTTGAAACAGATGAGATCATCTATAGTACTGGACAAATAATTCTATTAGTCCCACCAACAGATTCCTCCAGAATCCTCAACACAATCATTCCAAAATGGTTAAATAATCTTCCCAGATCCATCATTGTCGACGATGCATTCGAAGAAGATTACAGGGACCACATCTCTAAAACCTTTTGTTCCGTTGTCAAAACCCACACCAACAAATGTCTCGGTCAACAGTACCAACATGTTGTCCAACTATACCAAATCATCACAGGATTTATGGAAATCTGTGCTCCACCAGAAATTGAACTTCTCACTGAAACTTGGTCATTGATCAAAGATACATATCTTGAAAGTTGGGATCAAGTACCATCATTGACAAGAAATGTATTATCAAAATTGAAATAATCACACTTTTGAATAGTGATCAATAAATTAATAAAAAAGTAATAGTATGATATTAAAGTGAAGGAATGAATGGTTATTAGTACAAGCAAAATATTTTATTTGTAATAATAGGGGAGGCCTAGTTGTTGTTTAGATTATACTAAGATTTTAAAAATGAAAACAATATAGATATATATTTTTTTTGATTGATTTTAGAGCTTGTCTTGGTATTCAGCTGCAGTGGGGATACCTCCCTTGAGACGTTTATAAATACGAATAGATCTGACAATCTCACCACTCGAGCTGGAAAGGTCGAGAGGGTCACTGTCGATCGATTCCCAATGGTCAAAGCTCAATTGAATGGAAGCAAGACCACGAGTTGCATCGGAGAGGAACAAGCTGAAACCAAAGGATTCCTTGACTGGAAGGTAGGCCTTGAAATTGAAGAAACCAGAAATGGTCGTTTTTTCTTCAATGATGGTACCACGACGTCTTGAAAGGGCCGATTGGACACCACCCAATGATTGTTCGGGACATGTGATATCGGCCAAATAGCAGGGTTCGACAAGACGAGGTTGAGCAGACAACTCGGAAGCATACATGCAACGTAAAGAGGTATGGATGATCTGGCCTGCTCCACGATGAATGGCGTCGGCCATAGTGGTGACGTCGTCTAGAACTTGACACCACTCAAGGGCTCTTCACATAGCGCACATTTTTTGCATGCCATTTGGAACGACGAGACAATATAGTCTTTCAATTCATTGACGTATTGGACACTGGTGGTAGCGTTGACAAGTATGTTATTATTGGTGGCATCCGGACCAAAAGCCCAGATATTACCCACTTCTTTTTCACTCCATCCAAACTCGGCAAACTTTTCGACAAGTTGAGGCAGGTCCATGTTGGGTGAGATGACCTTGTTCTCGAGTGCTTCAGCGAGAGGGAGACCGAGTGGCTCGGCATGCATGTAGATACGGTTGTGCTTGTTGGGTGACTTGGACATACAGACGGCCGAATTTTCACTGATAGTCTCACGGTAACTGACGGTGGACTCGCTCGTCGTGAAATCGCATTGAGCATACTGGCGCAAGTCGTTGAGACAACTGTTGAGATGCAACCAGCCGGCACCGGCCACGATGTTTTCACCAGTGTCTTCCGTGTAGACTTGGATGGCCTGGTCAGTCTTGGCAAGACGACTGAGACCGTCGATCAGACGAGGCAAGTCCTCTATTTTTTTGGGTGACGGTCACACGTATTACAGGCGTGACGTTCAACTTGACAACAGCCATAGCATGAGCGTCTTCACTCGTTGTGATTGTACCAGTCTTGAGGGTGTCTATTCCAGTGATACCGACGATGTTTCCACAAGGACAGTCTGCAATAGGCTCAACGCAGGGGCCCACAATAACGACCGTGCCTGGGATGGTTGTGACTGAAAGGTCTTCGGAACTACCCTTTTCATAGTTTGATCCGAGGATACGGACCTGTTGGTCAGTACTCAAAGTACCAGAAAACACTCTACCAAAAGAAACCAAACGTCCTCCATCGGATAGGATCATCTTGGAGACATACACCATTAGTGGGCCGTTGGGGTCGCAGTTTTTGATGGCAGTGGCGACTGCATCGTCGAGTGGACCTTTGTAGAGATGAGTATAACGGTAGCGTTGGGCTACAATAGGCGATGGCAGATGCGTGACGACCATCGACAGGATACACTCTTCGACGCCGAGGAAACGACGCATCACCAACTTGAGCAGATCATCGCCCTTGAAGCTGTCGAATTCAGTGTTGGTGACATTAATAGAGAACTGGGTAGCCATCTTTTTCAATGTGTCCCTGTCGTTGCTTAGAGCAGCGGTGAAGATTTGTTGGATGGGTTCAATGATGAACTGACAGAATCCACGCTTGAGAGGCTTGCCCTCGTCGTCTACTTTGGATGTGGTCCACTTGGATTGTGCGGGGTCATAATAATTTTCACCCCACAACTTTGCTGCAGAAATGCCAAGCTTGGCCTCGTAGAGACGCGCAAATGCCTCCAACGTGAATCCCCAGCCCTGAGAACTACACCCAAAACCAACGTTGCCTACGACAGGGTCCAGTTGAATCGCAGGGTAGCCCTCGACAACCTCTTGGTACGCTCCAATGATCGAGTTGGCGTTTTCAATCGACCGTCTAAAGGCATCGTAGATGTCCTCGGGTTCCGACTTTAGCTCCACCAGGAATCGGTCAAAATTGTTGATGAAAAAGACGGGTACGTTCTTTTCGGCGATGGCTTGGCGCAGCACTGCTCCGGTCTGAGAGCTCACGCCCTCTTTCACAGAGTCGGCCACCACCAGCGCACCGTCTGTCACACGCAGTGCGGCAGTCACCCCGGACGAAAATTCCACTTGACCTGGCGAGTCGAGCAGATTGATCAGATGAGGCGACTTGTCGGGTCCATGCTCAAAGTAGAGTGGCGTGCAACTTGACCTGATCGTCATACCACGTTCCCTATGGTCTTTTCGAGCAATATTTTCAGAGATGACACCTGCATGTGCCACAAGTGAATCACTTATTTTTGTATCGACATGAGAAATGACAGAAATGTTTCTAATCTTGTTCCTTTCTTTCATTACAGATTGAATTGTTTCCATTGAAAATTTTATCATTTTTGAAAAGATATGTTCTAAAAAAAAAATAATAATAATAATAATAATAATCAAAAAAAAAAAAAGTATTACTAATCAAATCCACAGTTGATATCAACCAGTACTATTACTATTATTATTATTATGGTATGACTTACAATTTGATTGAATTGATTTAAGTGTTTTAATTGAATTGATAGGGATCGTACAATAGGTTGTGACTACGAGAAAATGTTAAAACCCATTCATATTGTATTAATATAATGTCATAATATTGTATTATTTTGGTGTAAACATACATTGTTGAAAGTTGTTCTGTTACTCGAGTAATGATACTTAACAAAAGAATGAACCGATGAAAAAAATAGTAGTATGCTACTAAAAGTTTATAAATAAACACCCATAAGGGGGGATTTCACAGTTATAAAAAGATACCCAACCGCTTCCTTCGAAGTTCTGATTTGTTTTTTGTTGTTACAAATAGCTGAGGATCAGATACGTACTTGATCACATAATATATGTATATATATAGAGAGAGAGATAACTGACTGTAGTAGATAAATTTATTCTTATTATTAGAACTAATCGATATCGGTGTAGTACTCTCGTGACAAATTTGGTATGTTTGCTCTTGCTATGTGATTGTGTACTATAGTGTATACCAAATTAATTATATCTTTGAATAAAAATTGTTTTTTTTTTCTGAAGAAAGAGATGGAATAAATAATGAAATAATTATTTATATATTTATTTATTTATTTATTTATTTATTTATTTATTTATTTATTTATTTATTTATTAATTGTTATATTACAAGATCTGATTAGAGAATTGATTTTGTTATTTAAAATTGTTATTATTACTTGGATTATCAACGTTGTAAATAGTGTAATTATTTGGATTGATCGTCGCGAATAATAATGGATTAATGGATGGATAATCATCGATGGATGGATTATCAACATCAAAAACAATATTATTATTATTATTATTTGGAGTATTAGTAAATTGTTGATGATTGATTTGTTGTCGTTGTTGTTGTGGATTAACAAAATACTGATTATGAATAGTATTAGGTTGTTGTTGATGTTGGTTTATATTAGTAGTAGTAGTATTTGTTTGATTCATTAAATTTTGTTGTTGTTGTTTAAAATAAATATTATTATTATTATTTATGATATTTTGTTGTTGTTGGTGTTGTTGTTGAGTTTCATTATTTGGATTGGGTAGCATATTCTGATAGGCCATTAGGCTTTGGAGCCCTCTATAGTATCCTGATTGTCGTAGTCTCTCTGCTTCGACAAGATGGTTTGCTTTGGTGACGATGAGCCAGTATGGTGCTTTGAGACCTTCAGTTTTAAAAGTAAAGTATTTCTTTGCTTTTAATAGACCTTCCATATGACTTCGATTAGCTGCTGTTCCTTTGGTTGAAACCGACGTCAATGTAGGATCTACAATAAAACTATTCAATTGACTGCAAAATTTACAACAAATCGGTAGTTTAAACAATGAGTAGTCATTTGATCCAGGTGCAGGTAGTGGTGGTAGTGCTTTGATGGCTTGGATAGCTTCAAGACAAGCTTGGTTGGCAATAGTAGCAATGATTGTAGTAGTCGGTATGGTTGATTGTTGTTGTTGTGCACCACCTGCACCACCTGCTGTAAGTATTTGAAATAGTTTGGTAAAGAATGAGTTGTGGGATTGACCGACACTAGGATCATTACAAAGCGCAGTGATAATAACCAATGACAATGTTGGATAGACAGCCAACATCTTGAGAGTGTCAGCAACCAAATCGAGAAATTGTTTCTTTTGTAGTTCATTTGGTTCTTTTGGTGGTGGTTGTTTCGAGTAGCTATAATTATCTTTTGTAAAGGCAGATGCTTGTTTGACAATAAAGGGTGCCACAACAGTCGTCATAACTTGTTCTATTGAATCCATCGAAACAAGTTCACCAACCCCAACCTTGTCATTTGTCTCGTACAGTTTGATCAAAGTCTTGAACATTGGGATTGTGTTGGAATTATCATTGGTCATTTGTTTGAATTGGTTGTAGTAGGATGTTACCATAGTTTTGACAGACTCTTTACTGACCAACTCTGATCCATTTAGCCACAACTCGTACATCTCTATTGTCATGGTCGTTGTATTCCCCAATGCCTTTTTTAACAACTCGTCTGAAACAATTTCTTTCAATTCACTAATATACTCTTGCAAAGGTGTATGTCTTTTGAATATTTCCACTGCTCGAATATATCCCTTTGGTAATTCTCTGGCACAATGATGAGAGATGGTATGGTCGATGACAAGATTTGCAATTTGCTCTATTTTATCATCTTCTAGTGGTGTGTTGTCTGTGTCGAATAGGTGATCGATAAACTGTGAGTCAAAATTGAGCAGATCACCTCCCTCAATATCTGACAGTTCTTCCAAGTATGAAAAGTCGTGTGTTGCAATATGAATGAAAAAGGTAATCCATGGTTGTACAAAATCGTAGTTTTTCTTTCTTGTCTTTATCACAATTGGAATGAATTGTTCAAACATTGGTTTGGACTCTTCTGTGTAGGGAACCTCTTGAACAACAATGTCAATCAGTCCCGACAAAAAGTCTGGAGCATTCTCTTTGTTTTTACGCCATATATCCCAATTGTCCAAAATCTCTGTTATACTATTAATCGTGTTGGTTTGGCTCTTGTCAGCTTCCAATGAATCTTTTAACATTTTCTCTACTTGTGATATACTCTTCATATACCATTTTCCTTTTCCTCTTAAATCCCATAAAACTATTGCTGATCTATGATACTATATAAAAATTAAAATTAAAATTAAAATTAATTAATTAATGAAATATTAAATATATTATTTAATTAAAATAAGTATTGTATGTTATCTTACCAATCTAGAATAAGTTCCACCTTCATTTCCAGTAGCTTCTTTAATCTCTTCATCAAATGGTTTGGCTCCATCCATCGACCCGTCTGGAAATAGTTCCATGGTTGGTTCAATGATGACATCTTGTAAATCTCCATCATCTCCAACGATTCTTTTAAGATTAATTAATTTATATATGCATCTATCAAAATCATAATCTTCAGCAAATCCATAATTTTCATAAAATCCTTTTCTTTTTTTAAAAATATTAAATTAATAATTATTAATATATTTAATACTCTTTCTCTATTCTATGTATAGACATACTCTTTAATATGAATAAAACCAAGAGTTACAAGAACATTTGCTTGATTGGCAGCTTTGATGAAAAGGTTGGCAATTTATTCATCTTTACCTTTGAGTGACGCAAGTGAAAATGATGCAGTTGAATAGACATGATCAAGTGCATATGTGAGACGTGGAAGATTGTTTTTATAATGTGTTGTACTGACTTGTAGAGTTGTAAATGGGTCTGAAGTAAATGATGTAAATGATGTTGATGTTGTTGATGGTCTTTTGTTATTAAAGTTGATTGGTTCTTTAATCTCGTTGTATCGATCAAATACTTGACGAATGGTATTGGCAACATTATCAATAATTAATTGAGAATTTACATGTTGTGAATTTGAATGGACTAGTGATCCATCAGCCAACCTATTTCTACCATTTCTCATTAAATTGTACACCAAGCATACTCTGTTGCCTTGAGTGACTGGTTTAACCTCGTGTCTACAATCAGCATAGAATGCAACGTATTTACATTGTGACATAGTGTCATTCTCCAATGACACGGTTGTTGATTTACCGTGATGATCAATCACCAACTCTCCACCTCGATGTTGACATGGTAGTGATATGACAAGTGTTCCAAACATACCATCCACCTTTTCAGAGTCACGATGTGGTAAGAAGAAACCACCAGCTTCATAGACCAACATTTTATACAGTTCTGCTGTTACTATTGAGTCACCTAACCCAAGTTTCTTTCCAATCTCAACCAATGTATTGTTAAAGAAATGTGTGTATGATGCTGACTCTATCTCTATATCTGTCGAGGGTATTTGCCAAACCTTTCGAACTGACAGATCCACTAACGTCTCTGTACCCTTTCCATACGGTGCTCTAGTTGCCTTTTCAACCAATTGTCGAACTTGAGCAGGTTGAATGGGATACTTGAGTACGCCGTCGACACCCTCTATCGTTATGATAGGCATGTTGACCATATTCAATGAAGACCCAGTACAATAATAGTCTCCCAATACAACCGACGATGAACTGAGTATCAACTTCTCCAACTCTTTCAATTCACCATTGTATTGAAATGATGATTTCGTTTCCTTTTTCCTCTCTTCCTCTGAACTAGTTTCATCATAACTAGCCTTTTCAAAACTATCTTCTTCTTCATCACTATCCTCTTCTTCTTCATCACTATCCTTATCTTCTACTTCATCATAACTATCTTCATCATCAACATCTATTATTATTGTTGGTGGTGGTAGTGGTCGAGGAGGAGGAGGAAGACAAATGAATGGGTTGATTGCATCTATGAATGAAAGTGTACTACTACTACTATGACTATTATCATCATTTTTACTAATACTATTTGTATTAGTATTAGTATCTCCTTCCATTTAAAACTTACATCTAATGATTTTGAAAGAGGGTATGACGAAGTTGGTAATGGGGTGCTCACAAAAATATAGATTCGCATGTTTCATTGGGTTGTGCTGCATAATGGAATGAACTTGAGCAAAAAAAAAAAGGATTATAAAAAAAAAATGATTCATTGATGATATCACTCACACTTTAATAATGAACAGAGCAAGAACCAACATCTAGCTAGATAAGAAGTTGTTGTAAAAGGTAGGTTTTGACTTAAACCAAAAGGTTATCGATACATTCGTTGGGATGGATTTCTGTATTGGATCTTTAACCAACTCCTGGTCCTCCTCCCTCATCATCCTCCTCCTCTCCACCAACAAATATATTAAAATTAATCAACAACGCTCACATGCATTCATCATGAATCAAATGAACCAGCACGTGCTACACTCCTCCTCCTCCTCCTCTTATTAATTTAAAAATATAATAATTAATAATTAAACAAACAAAACACTTTTCAGTCAGACAACAACAATTGACAACAGTAAAGAGAGAATATTTATTTATTTATTGGATTCTTGTGAATGAATAAGTAGCAGTTGAATTGTTGGTGAAAGCGAATACGTATTCTGAACCAGGTGGAATGATTGGAGTAACTCCGTTCACTGGGGTGAGACGCCAGTGGATGGTACCATTTACAGTTGAGGGAGTGAGTCCCCATACACCAGCAACAGGCACGATATTTGGATTGGATTTAAACACTGGATTGACAATATCGACTGGTCCTTCGTTGGTGAGTGTACCAACTACATTGGTGTAGTTGTAACCTCCTGCAATCCAATGTCTGGTAATATTGAGCGAGATGGTTGGGTGTTGGAGTTCTTCAAGACCTGAATTCCAGCCACTACAGAAGGTTAGCAAATCAAAGGCAAAATATCTTCTGTGGTAATACATGACAGAGTCCATATTGTCAAATTGGGCCCATGGAACAGAGCTACCGGTGGAACAGTTGGGTTGCTCGGTCATTGGACATTCGTAGTATACAGGGAATTGATATTGATCGTCTGAATAGTCGTAAAGCCACACTTCAGTGCTGACATGGGAGTAGGTGGCATCCGATCCAAAGAGGGTGAAAGCGGGTAATGGGAGATGAGGAATGGTGTCCTCATAGTTGACCACTCTGTAACTAGTCTCAATATTGACAGTGGTATCAAAGAGCACCTCGAAATCTTCATTGCCAACTCTTGGGGATCCATAGGTATAAGTAGTAATGGGTCCATAATCATTTGAAAGGGCGAAATCTATTGATGCAAGAGCTAAAGAATGATAATTAAAAGAAAAGAAATCATAGTGTTATTAATAAATTACAATACATTTTTAAATAATCTCATTACGCATGATAATGATGATGATGACGATGATACATACTAGCCATAGCTCCACCAAAACTGTGACCGACAATGGTCAAACCAGAATTTGAATCAACACCAGCATAGGAAAGGGCATCCATAACAGGTTTACGAAGTTCATATATATATCTAGGTGGAGCTACAGTAAATCCTCCCTTCCAAGCACGATGGAAACCATTGGATACCTTTGCATTACCATTTGGATCTGGGAATGCTGTTTGGCCAGTAAAATCCAAATCTTCCATGTCATTTACAAAATTACTTGTTCCTCTGAATATTAAATAATCTGTATAATGATTAAAAATAATAAACAAAAATAATAATAATAAAATTATAAATAAATATTTGTTAGTCTTTTTTTATATCGGTTAATATATCTTTAAAGGTATAAATAAACTTACAGTTGCCATCACGTTGAGCAACGTAGAAGAGACTGTCTGAAACAGTTTCTTGGTATATGAAGTTAAAACCTGACGTGAAGAAATTACTTGACTGGGGATTACCGCAGGAATCATTTTCGTTTTCAGTTGGACAGGACCATGTGGAGGTAGGTTCGGGAAAGCAATAAGCTGAATAACTCATGACGAGTCCATTGAAGGCTAGTGTGGTATCAAATTCACTCTTGACAGTCGAGATTGATAAACCTAAAAAGCAAATAAATAATAATATATTTTTTGATAACAACATGTTGTTGCGGATATAAATAAATAAAAAAGTTTTGATTTGTTTGTTCTAACATTGGCACTTATATAATCTTTGGATACCCTTGAGGAATTAAAATAAAATAGAATTTTATCTTATTTTTGTTCAAGTTATGCCAGCATGGCAGTCCATTGATTGAACATCAGCAACCACAAATGTTGTGATCACAACAAAGAAAAAAGTTTGTTTTGCTGATGTGGTTTTCGACCAAACAAGGTACCAACAAAAAAAACCCCTCGACTGAGGCCATGGCCACATTGATGTTGTTTTGAATTGTTTTTAAAACGAGAGCTTTGTTTTGATTTTTGTTTGGATGTGGCCTTTTGCTCGGGTTCATCTATGGTGTTGGTCGTAGACGGTTTTCATCATTATTGTTCATTTTTTGATAGACAAAAACTGATGGCAAGGGGAATTTTGCAAAATACCCAAAAAAGGAAGCTCCCTCGGTTCTGATATTTCTGAGTGTTAAAAAAGAGTAAGATCTAGATTTTAAATGGTGTAGTTGCAGGTCGTCAACTGTGGTGGTTGGATAATGGCGCCTGAACATTGTTATGATTTAATATTGTTGCGCCCACCCATGCATGCATTATACATCTCTCAATTTACTACAAGAGTTACCTTTTACTTTTTAAAATGAAGATATCTTATCTCTATGTGTTTACAGTGCTGCTATTGTTGCAGTCTCTGTTTGCACATCTATCAATAGCCGTATGTGTTTTGTAATCATAAGTCATTGATTTAAACTAATTCTATCAAATCCAAATTTTTATGAACACCAATTGATCAAAGGGAGTACCAACAACTCTTCACATATTTGATATAAATCTAATGTATTATGCTCTCAACATATCGAGTGGAGATCTTATCGCTAAACAAAGCATACCTTTACCTGGAGGAGATTTGGTAGAATTGAATGGTGTCATTCAACCATCGTCAGTTAGCGATGAATTTCTACTGATTGGAGGTAATATTACAGATGTTGGTGAATCTTATATTCCAATCATTTGGTCTTATAATGTAGTCGTACGTATTATTATTCTATGCCATTTGTAATAACCTAAATAATAATACAAATTTTTCTCATTCTCTTTCACCTGCAGACCAATACTATTGTCCAAAAGTCATTCATAGATGTAAAGTTTCAACAAATGCATTACCAATGGAGTCCTCAGATGGCAACATATGATTCAATTAACAATATAGTTTACTTGAATGCTGATTTTAAAGGATATCCAGTGTTGCTCAAATTTGATTATAATCAACATAAAGAGTAACTATATCCCCATATTTGTTAATTATTGTCTCCTATATAGATATATATATATAATGAATACTTAAGATTAGCGATCTAAATATTAATTGTGAATTATTTTTAATTATTGATTATTATTATTTTAGAGATGTAGTTACATTACCAGGTACAGGATGGTATATACAATCATCGTACAATGAGACAACCAATATGTGTTATCTCGGTGGTACAAGCCAAGTAGCAAATCAATTTAGTCAGATGGTAGTTGCCACCTATAACACGGTGACTGGAGATACATCGTCACACATCATTCAATTTGATGTCCCCAATAGTTGTTACTACTCGATTGCAATGTATCAATACAACTCCAAGTTCTATGCTGGACTATATGCTGCCTCGGGGTCTTGTCCATCATACATATTTGAAGTGGATATTGTTGCAAACACTTCGACATTACTAGCTACCATCCCATATGACAATGCAGCTCCATTCGACTCCGATATATATTTTGTATTCGATAATATCAATGGATATCTAGCCATGATTGCAACGAATGCTGAAGATTATACAAAGCTCGAAATTTGTATGGTCAATCTCAATACCTATGAAGTTGACCAATATGCTTTACCCAACGTACTTAGCAAGCTAAATGCTGATGAAGACGAGTTTTTAATGACTCTATCCTAATTTAAATAATAAAACCATATAATATATATTATGAAGGAGATGGCCCGAATGTTCACACATACATACAAAGAATAATAACAACTATCAATACCCACAACTTGCATTTAAATTAATTAAAAAAAAATTAAAAAGGTGCAGTGAAAATGAACTGCAAGATTCGTTTATGATTTATTAATCTTACTTATGGAGTCAGAGAGCACAGTTGCTAAAACTAATACAACAACAACAACAACAACTACAAAAGAACATGATGATGGTACTCAACAACAACACCAACTTCCATATACAACAACAGATAATATAAAAGACAATCAAGCTACGAAAGATGACGAGGACGATGACGAGGAAGAGGAGGACGATGAAGATGAAGAAGAAGTGGATAGTAATGAATTCTTTGATATAGCTGATTATTTATATGATGATCAGTTTCAATATAACAATGAATTGGAGAGATTGGAAGAAATCATCAATACCTCGAAAGCTTCAAAAGGTGACTATTATTGTACTGGAACGTCACAAGAAATGTCATTGCCGAGTATCACGATTGAAGGAATAGAGGGTAAACTTTCATACCCCATTCAACCTGTTCAAGTTAGACAATTGGTTGAAAAGGCTACTAGAGCACCCTATGGAAAGGGTACAGAGACTATAATAGATTTGGCTGTTCGAAAGGTTTGGCAAATACCTGCAACCGATATCAAGATTGTATCAAAAAGATGGAATGTTTCTTTTACAGCTATACTCGGCTCTATCAGGTCTCAACTTGGGTTAGGTGATTCGACAGTTACAGCAGAGTTGTATAAAATGTTGGTTTATGAAGAAGGTGGATTCTTTCTACCACATCGTGACTCTGAAAAGACAGATGGTATGTTTGGTACACTTGTCATATCACTGCCATGCCGACATAAAGGTGGAGAGTTGGTGATTGATCATCGTGGTAAATCAACAACCGTGTCATTGGAGAATGACAGTACCACGTCACAATGTAAATATGTTGCATTCTATGCTGATTGTAGACACGAGGTTAAACCAGTCACTCAAGGTAATAGAGTATGTTTAGTGTACAATTTAATGAGAAATGGTAGAAATAGAATGACCGACGGGTCACTCATCCATTCTTATATCAGTGACTCACAAATCTCTAAAATGGCATCCACCCTTCGTCGTGTATTCAATCATTACAATGAAATTCGAGGTGAACCAATCAACGACAACAACAAACGAGCACGTCAAACACGTCAAGAAATCGCTCCAGGTTATACATCTGACGTTCCACGTCTTGTCTATGCACTTGATCATGTCTATTCACTTGCATCATTTTCACTTGCATCACTCAAAGGTAAAGATGAAGAAATTGCCAATCTTTTCATCAAATCTGCCAAAGATGCAAATGTCCTTATAACACTTGGTTTTATTCATATTAAAGAGTATGTATAAAAAGAGAGAGCAATGTAATATTTATTTATTTATTTATTTATTTATTTATTTTAATTTTTTTAATAGGACTGGAAATTACATGCCAGGATACAAATATAACAGGGTGTATCATAAACCTGAATATGAAAATGGAGAATTTTCATACAGTCTAACCAATCTTAGACCAGTTGTAGAGACAGGTCAATTTGAAGATGTTGCTTTTGACGCATCCAAGGAATTATTTCCAAATGGTGCATTAGATGGAGCTCAACCATTTAAAGATGAAGCTAAAGAAGCAACTGGAAATGCTGGTTCACTCTATGAAAGACTTGTAAGTATAATAATAAGAATTATTATTTATTTATTAATTTTTTTATTTTTTATTTTTTTATAGTATCATAGATCAGCAATTGTTATTTGGGATTTAAGAGAGAGAGGTAAATTTTATTTAATGACACTTGCACAAGTAAGAGTCAGTTACCAAAAATCAATTGAAGAGGATAATAGTCAAACCAACAAATTGAATGAACTGACAGAGATTTTACTTAATTGGAGTGCGTGGGACGCAAACAAACAAAAGAGTGGGTTACCCGATCTACTTGCCAATCTAATCAATGATATTATTGAAATACCAGTGACTGAAGAATCCAAACCAATGTTTAGATTATTCATCAAGGCATTAAAGATGACATTTGACCCTGCCATCTTTAAAAAACCACTCTTTACTTTTGTTACCAATTGTCAAGACTTGGTATTCTTGACAGAGTTGCTCAAAGATTGGTTTACATTGACAAATACTGTATTCAACACTCAATTTATCGATCATTTGTGTGCAACCAAACCACAACTTGGCGATGCTCTACCACAATTGATGGGCATTTTGGTGAGAACTGTACCTGTTCAATGTAGTGCCTGTCAAAACTCATTCATCTCCTTTGTATTCAGTCTTCGTAATAATAATAATATAGACCAATGCAGGCATTTGACTGAAATCTTGGTTCCTTTTAAACCATTGATTGGTATTGTACGCAAGTACGATATATTGCAACCACAACAACAGCAGATCAATGAATACGTGTCACATAAGATACAGGTCAAGGCTATAAAAGCGGGTGGAGACTCTGCCTTGGAAGTTTTCAAGATTTGGTCAGAGGGATCAACGCTCATCAACGACGGCACGATGATGACATTGTCAAAGGCATGGGTTGACGCATTCCCTCAGAGAGAAAAAAACACAGTCAACTTGGAAAGATTGAAACTGATCTTTATAATGCATCGTGCTGCTGACAAGCACGGCACAGGACTTGTCAGTGAGGAGGAAGTCACCACAGCCATCACCCAAACGCTGCCCAGTTGGATTAGTACCCAGGCACGTGTTTTCTGCACGCCCAAAAGTTACGAGTACAACTTTATAGCGCCCGCTGAACCATCACCTCAACAAAAATCAGCATTCATCACGTTTATAGTATCGCTTCTAACGTTATTGCACACGATTGATACGACTCGGATATTGTGTCAATCAGTCATTAATATTGCATTTGCCGATGAAACTGTCCAAAAGTCTCATCGTAATTTCCCAACAAATCTATTAAACCAACTTCGCACAACTGCACCACAAGTCATGACAATACCAGCCGTTGCCGATTTAATTATCAATAAGGGTCTAGCAGCTATTCAGCAAGTTATTACAAAGATGCGGGAATTACCGGAACCCTCTAGTTACAACTTTTCAATGTTTGCCATTCCAAAACCATGTTGTGCCAACTGCACCAAATTCAATACCTATCTTGCTTCTGGTACAGAGACATTGTTTTCACTCAAAGGAACTGGAGCCATTCGAGAGCACATTGAAAGATATGCAACTGCCAGGTCATACCTCGTTGCCAAAACAGAAGGTACTAGAGCACCCTATACTCTTACCGTCACCAAATCCCTCGCTCTTCTTGAAACCGAACGACAACGTCAAACTACCCTTCTTGCAATAAGAGATGATTTATTATCTTATCAAAAATCTCTTTTACAAAATAATGAATAAATAATAATAATTTAATTAAATAATTGTAAATAGTAATTAAAAATAAATAAATAAATAATAAATAAATTGTAAATAGTATTATTTGTACAAATAAGTATTGGACACATTATATATATGTTCTTGTTGCTGTATTAACTACGAAGTTTCATTGAAATTTTGATGGATCTACTAATACGATGTCTTGACTTGAAAAGATAAATGGAAAGGCCTACAATGATAGCAGCACCGACCACACCGACAACTACTCCAACTATAAGTTGCCAACTAGTTTTTGATTCATTGGATGGACTACATCCATCTTTACCATTGAAATTTGGTTGAACTAGTACTGATAGATCCTAGAATGGAATATAGAAAATAAATAAATTGTATTTTTGTATTATTTTTGTTTAACTTTTAACTTACAGGATCCAATTGAATAAAATCATTATGATATGGGGTTTGAGTAATTAAGTAGGTTTGACCATCTACAATATCAAAACGACTACGGATAGTTGTAAAGATGTTATCTACAATACCTCTATTGACAATATTACCAGTATACCGTGTACCAGTCGACCCAATACTAATCTGTGACAAGTTTTGTCCTTGAACAATCAAGGTATCATCCAATGATACCTCCCCGCATTGTAATTCCGATGTATTGAATAGACTAACAAATTCCAATGTATTGACTCGTTGATCAAATGCCCAACTATGTAAATCGATACTATATTTAATGGCTCCAATTGGAATATCCAACATGATTCCTGCAAATTGTCTTGGGAAACTAGAAGCACCTGTAGTACCTGTATTATTGTTGTCAACGATTGGTTTAATTTGAATAAATGAAATGGATAGATTTTTAAATGGTACAATGGCAGTAGTGTTTTCATAGATGGTGTAATTCCATTCATTTTGAATGTACAGTTGGTTGGTGACTGGATGTTGAATGGAAATATTGGTAGCTGTACTATATGACCATGGAAGAGTTGAGAAATTGGCTTGGTTGATGACCATCCCGTCCATGTCAACCTCTCGAATACCCGACAACTCAAAATTGAATGATTTGTTGCCTAGACCGAGTACAACGGTTGGTTTGGTAGTTGATGTGGTGACATTTGTGTTTTCAATTGGTATAGTCTCGTTTAAAACGATATTACATAATGGACCGGTATACCCAGTCACACAATCACAAGATCCACTCGTCATATTACACTTTCCAAAATCTCCACAATTTTGTGTACAAAGATTGGGTATTTGAACGGCACTTGTCCTGGCGTTAGTCACTATAGAAACACTTGGGAAATTACCATTGGTGGCAGCTATAACAATCCCATACAATGTGGATGGAATCAAAGATGAGAATGTTGCAGTGTTGGATGTGAAATCTTTCATTTGAAGTGCTGGATTACCCGGCACACCAAAATAAACTGAATACACTGTCTCTCCAGGTACTCCACCCAAACATTCCCATTGAATAGTAATATTGTCTTTTCCAAGGATCGTTGTTATTGATGGTAAAGTTAAATCTAAAATTAAAATAATTAAATTAATTAATTAAATGATAGATAAATTTTATATTTAAATTAAATTACTATTTATACATACTATCATACATTGTGATAGAAGATGATGGTGGATCGAAAACCCAACCAATGTGTGGTTGACCCAGTTCAATTTTAAGAGTAAATGTTTGGGATACCTCGCTATAGTCCAATGTGCATCCATCTGCACATCCATAAGCCAATATCTTTGGAGAGTCGCCAGAGATGTACGCTTTGATCTGATAGTCGAGTGGGTAGTTGTTACCCCACGTCGATACGATTGGACTCATCTCTATCTTTTGGTAGCCGATGGTATAGTTGTATCTCAACTCGAGTGTAGGTACATTGAACCCTCGATTGTACCCATACGTCGGATACGCCGAACAGTCATATGAAATGGGTAACACCTGAGCCAAGTTGCATCCAGCCGAATATGTCATACTACCCGATATGTTAAATTTGGTCATAGCAACACTCGACACTTTTGTAAATGTTTCTGTAATTTCATTGGTTAAACATGTATTTAATACATGTGATATTCTAACTGGACTATCATCTACATCCCCAGTTGGACAATTCCTAATAGAAATTAATATTAATATTAATATTTATTATAGACTATCTATACATACACTGAAGAGTATTTTTCATAATATGCCATTTGTGGAACTGGAAGAGGAGGAGTGGAGAGAGTCTGTACGTATATACCAAGACCGTCGTTACAACCATCGGTCAACTGTTTGTCGTGATCAAAGGTAATGCACTTGTCATCGAGGAAATAATTGTATTTGTAGGTGCCCATCAAATAGGTCATCGATGACGTAGCACTCAATGGGATACACTGGTTAATGGTTGCTGTCACCAGCTTGTACACGGTTCCAGAGCAATTAGTAACCGCCGGATAAAATACAAGGTTTATATAGGGCGTTACATCAACTCCATCGACCTCTACAATGTACCCATCCAACATCAACATCAACAACATTACTATCACCATTGTAGTAAAGAGTATCCTACACCCAGTGTATTCTCTGTCTCTTGATAATGATGATCTTGTCATGATGATAGTAATAACTTATTATTATTATTATTATTATTTGTTCACCTGACCTCCTAACTTGTTATCTTGGTCTTTATCTTTTATCTCTATATTTATCTTTTTTAATATTAGTTGTTAAAAAGATAAGATAAGATAAGATAAGATGACCAACACTTGTGGTTCGGGCAACCCATTGTTAACAAAAATATCTTTTTTGTTTAACAACAAAAATAGAGAGCATTTGAACCAGGTTATAAATACAAAGTATCTAGATATTATCACATAGATATAATAAAAAAAAATAACAACAAACAAAGAATACAATGTTTTGAAAACCTACTCTCCCCATATATGATCGCCGACCTCGGTTGGACAAAGTAATTAAACACCTTTTCTTTTTTTGGGGGTGGTGAAGTGCTATGGGCGGACTGCAAACACACGCACATAACTAATCTTACTCATGGAGTCAGAGAGCAACACAGTTGCTCAAACCACTAATACAACAACCACCGATGATGGTACTCAACAACAACAACAACCATCGACAACATCTACAACAACAGATATATAGGAAGATCAAGCAATGAAAGGGGAGGAGGAAGAAGAAGAAGTGGCTCCAACGACAACTGTCACTACTAGCGGCACAAACAACAAGGCAGATGTAATAAATGTTGATGAATTGGAAAGTGATAAAGATGAAGATGATGACGATGATGAAGAAGATGAAGAAGAGGAAGAAGATGAAGAAGAAGATAGTGATGAATTCTTTAATTCATGTGAAAATTATGATGATCAGTTTGAATATAACTGTCAATTGGAGAAATTGGAAGAAATCATCAATACTTCATCAGCAGGTGCATCCTCAAAAGGTGACTATTATTGTTCTGGATTGTCACAAGAAATGTCACTACCGAGAGTCAAGATTGAAGGAATGGAGGGTATATTGGCATACCCCATTCAACCTGTTCAAGTCAGACAATTGGTTGAAAAGGCTACTAGAGCACCCTATGGAAAGGGTACTGAGACTATAATAGATTTGGCGGTTCGAACAGCAGAACTGTACAAAATGTTGGTCTATGAAACTGGTGGTTTCTTCTTACCACATCGTGACTCTGAAAAGACCGATGGTATGTTTGGTACACTTGTCATATCACTGCCATGCGAACATAGAGGTGGAGAGTTGGTAATTGATCATCGTGACAAATCAACGACACTGTCATAGGAGAATGACACCATGACACAGATCAAACACGTTGCATTCTATGCAGACTGTAGACACGAGGTTAAACCAGTCGTCAGTGGTAACAGAGTATGTTTGGTGTACAATTTAATGAGAGGTGGTAGAAATAGAAATGAGGATGGATCACTCATCCACTCTTATATCCGTCGCTCTCAAGTCACTAAAATGGCAACCACCCTTCGTCGTGTATTCAATCATTACAATGAAATTCGAGCAGAACCAATCAACGACAACAACAAACGAGCACGTCAAACACGTTAAGAAATCGCTCCAGGGTATACATCCGACGTTCCACGTCTTGTCTATGCACTTGATCATGTCTATTCACTTGCATCATTTTCACTTGCATCACTCAAAGGTAAAGATGAAGAAATTGCCAATCTTTTCATCAAATCTGCCAAAGATGCAAATGTACTTATAACACTTGGTTTTATTCATATTCAAGAGTATGTCTATAGAGAGATACAATTATACATCATTTATTTATTTATTTATTTATTTATTTATTTTATTTATTTTTATTTAGAACTGGAGCATATTCTGAAAGTTATTATGGTGGCGGTGGTGAATATGATGATGGAGAATTTTCATACAGTCTAACCAATCTTAGAGCCATTGTTGGTAAAGGATAGTTTGAAGATGTGGATTTTGACGCATCCAAGGAATTATTTCCAAATGGTGCTTTGGATGGAGCTGAACCATTTAAAGACGAAGCAGAAGAAGCAACTGGAAATGAAGGTGGATCATATGAAAGACTTGTATGTACTACTAAATAATAGTAATAATTATAATTATAATCATAATATTAATTTATTTTAATTAATTTTTATTTTTATATATAGTATCATAGATCAGCAATTGTTATTTGGGATTTAAGAGGAAGAAGTAAATTCTATTTAAAGACATTGGAACAAGTGGGAGAAATGTACAAAGAATCGATTGCAAATGATAATAGTCAAGCCAACAAAATGAAGGAGTTGACCGATATCTTGGGTAATTGGAGTGCGTGGAACACAAAAAAACAAAAGAGTGGGCTGCCCGATCTACTCGCCAATCTAGTCGAAGGTATTATTGAAATACCAGTGACAGAAGAATCCAAACCAATGTTTAGATTATTCATCAAGGCATTAAAGATGACATTTGACTCGGCCATCTTTAAAAAACCACTCTTTACTTTTGTTGCCAATTGTCAAGACTTGGTATTCTTGACAGAGTTGCTCAAGGATTGGTTCTCATTGAATCATCCTGCATTCAACATGTTATTTATCGATCATTTGTGTGCAACTAAACCACAACTTGGAGACGAGTTGTCACGATTGATGGATGTTTTGGTCAAGAATATACCTATTCAATGCAGTGCGTGCCAATCCCGAAAACACTATTTCTACTCCTCTACCACTTGCACGCATGTGACTGATATGTTGACCCCTTTTAAACCATTGTTTGGTATTATTAGAAAGTATGACGTGTTGAAATCACAACAACCGCAGACGATACTATACGTGCAACAAAAGCTGCAGGACATGGCTCTAAAAATTGGTTCCGGCTGTACCATGGAAGTATTCAAGCTTTGGGTAGAGGGATCGCCACTCGTCAATGAAGGCACGGTCAAGGCACTGGTAAAGCTGTGGGTAACTGGATTCTCTCAGACACCAGTCACCTTGGAAAGATTGACAATGATCTATCAACTGTATCAAGCTGCTGGCAACAGGCCCAGCAAAACAGGTGTGCTTGTCAGTGCGAATGAGGTCACTTTGGCCATCACCAAAGCACTTCCTAGTTGGATCAGCAGCCAAGCACCTGTATACTGCACTCCCACAGGCTACTCTTACAGCTACAAAGCACCTGCTGAACCATCAGCTCAACAAAAAACAGCATTCATCACATTTATAGTATCGGTTCTAGATCATCTACAAAAGATTGACACGACTCAAACCATGTGCCAACATGTCATTAATATTGCATGTGCCGATGAAACTGTCCAAAGAGTTCATCGTAATTTCCCAACTAATCTATTAAACCAACTTCGCACAACTGCACCACAAGTCATGACAATACCAACCATTGCCGATGTGATTATCAATAAGGGTCTGTTGGCTATTCAAAACGTTATTACAAAGTTGCCTGTATTGCCACAACCCCAAAGCTACAACTTTTCAATGTTTGCCATTCCACAGCCATGTTGTGCCAACTGCATCAAATTCAATACCTTTCTTGCTTCTGGTACAGAGACATTGTTTTCACTCAAAGGAACCAAAGTCATTCGAGAGCACATTGAAAGATATGCAACTGCCAAGTCATACCTCGTTGCCAAAACAGAAGGTACTAGAGCACCTTATACTCTTACAGTTACCAAATCCCTTCCTCTTGTCGAAACAGAACGACAACGTCAAGCTGCCTTTCGTAAAGATAGAGATGATTTATTAAATTTTCAAAAATCCCTCCTTACAAAAAAATAAATTAAATAATTAAATAATTAAATAATAATTAAATAAATACTTGCCATGTATTGGACATGCATCATATGATGGTTAGGGTTATTATGTACATATTGTTCTTTAATATTAAAAATTGAATCTGATTAACAAATAATTATATATGATCATTTTTGTTGTTGTAGTTGTTGTTTGTGGGGTTGCAAAGTATATACTTTGATGATCATCATATATTTAATCAATCTTGATATCAATCTTTTTAGAATATGGATTAGTTGTAGTATTGTTATTCTGATTATTATTATTGTTATTGTTATCTTGTTGATTTGGTGGTAAAGAGTTATTGTTATTGTTGTTATTTGATTGAACCTTGTTGTTGATGATATCCAATGATTTATCAAAGATGAATTCACCAGAATTCAAGTAAACGACAGCTGCCTTCTTTACTGAATCATTTTTAATTAGGTTGGCTACTCTATGTCTGTTAGATGATGATGATGATAGGTTAATAAATGAATTAAATGAACAACATAGCTAAGTCTCACATGATCAACATACACAGAGAAACCTGTAAAGTGTCTTACAGCAGCCAATGAAGTAGTTATAAATGCAGCATCGGCTGTAATTGAAAGTGCTGTTGAAAAGAGTCCCATGATATCTATCTATCTATCTATATATCTATCTGATATCAGTATCTATCTCCCTCTTTGATGGTGGTATTGGAATGATGAAAGTGTAGTTCATTCTCATTCTCTCAAAAGTAGTAAAAACAAAAAATTAATTATTAATAATGACAATTCATTCGTTGTCAAGAAGTACTCATCAATGTCATTATTAGTTGTACTACTTCAACAACAACAAACTAATCAAACTCATATGTATATATAACCAATCTTGATAGGTTATGATTATGATGATTATAATTTACTTTCAATCAAAGGTTGTGAAGGTTTGACAGTTCCCTCCCTTTCCTTGTATTTTTTGAATAATTATGTAACTGTCAAAGTTGTTGAAGAGACAAGCCGAGTCTCTTTCTTTGGTTCATTATGATAATAATGATTGATTACGAGAATGATTAATTATTTGATTGTTCTTGAAGTTCAAGTTGGTGTTTCACTTTAACGGCGAAAAGGCGCCTAACAATTTTTGACCGTTACATTTCCATTTTTGGCAAGATAATATTCGTTCATTGGGTGAAACAGCACTGCCATCCATCAAAGCTGAGTACTCACCCATCATCCATCCATCACATGTTTAAATGTGCTGCAGCTGATTGGTGAAAGGATATTATTTTCTTTTATTGTTCACCCTACCCTACATACATACATTTAGCAGTAGTAGCATATATTTTATATAGCATTCATTCACTTTTATATACACACTTTTGTTGAACAGACAATACAATAAATAAATAACTAAATAAATAAACACTCACTCGTACATATTTTAAAGGTATATTATATAACATCACATGATGATGATGATGATTATTATTATTATTCTCTGAGAACAAATTATATTAATTTAACTAAATACTCTAGATAACATTTAATCTCAGAGAGATTCTATTCGTTTTTATTCATCTATAGATGGCTATATTATCTTGGCTGTATAGTGATACTAGTAGTAGTAAAACAGCAAAAGCTAAAGCTAAAGCATCATCATCATTATCTTCATCATCATCTGATCAGAATACAAAGAATGGAGATCATCTGAATCATTCAGATGACGACGACGACGACGACGACGATGATAATAATAGTTTAATATTTGATACAGATGATAATACAGATGTTGATTATAACAATCAACCAAGTAGTAGTAATAGTACTGCAACACCATCACTTCAATCATCATCTTTAAATGCTTTTTATCAACAACATCAACAACAGTCTAATAATAATAATAATAATAATAATAACAGTATCAACTTTAACACATTTAACAATGATATAACAAGATCATTAAAGAAATTAAATCATTTGTCATTGGAAAAGGATAGTAATACACCTTTGGAATGTGTATGTTCGTTTGATACAACTGGAAGAATGTACAAGTTTTTCGAAGAGTTTAGATCAAAGTCATCGACAACACTCGAATCATTGTTTCAAACGATTCCCCAACTCAAAATTGCATTTATCGTACATGGTGACTACTGTGACGATGTCAATCAGAAACAACAACAGTCAAGCAGCACCAACAACATACTAAATAGAGCCATTGCAATGCTTTCATTCACCAACGACAGAATGGAAATCATGAAATGGTTGGAACGAGTGCGTGGCACCAATGGAGGGGACGCACCTGAAAACTACGAGTTGGTACTACGAAAATCAAGAGAATTGCCTTGGTCTGAAAACTCCAAGAAAGCAGTCTTTATCTTTGGTGATGATGTCCCTCATCCACCAAGTTACACGAATCAACATTTCTATTGGAGAAATGAATTATATTTTTTATCAAAGTATGAAACAAGAAAAGAATAAGGGAAATAATATAATATCTATCATAATATATATATCAGCTGACTAATAACATTTATTTATTTTGTTTTAGGATCGGGGTTAAAGTTTATGGTATACAATGTCAAAATAATAAGCATGCACAATTGTTTTATGAAGAGTTGGCGGGGTTGTCGGGTGGTCGATACGTACACTTGAAAGAGGCAAAACACATTGCCCAATTGTTTATACTGCTGTGTTTAAAAGAGAATGGACAGTCGTTTTTAGATGGATACATTGAACAAGACGACGGAAACCAAATCTATCAATCAATGTTTGCTCAGTTGTGGCAACGAACGTTTATAAGAGAGCGGGAAACTGTCAACGTCCGATTTGCATGGTGGGACATTTCCAATGACATTGATCCCAACCCAAAGTATCTTTGGAATGATGATACATCTAGTTTTGAGACCAATACAAGTTTAAATTTTGTTATTCCTCCTCCTCAATTATCACCAACCCAACAGACACATACAAATGGGTTATCATCAATGATCAATGGAATTAAACAACGATCATCACCATCAGCCACCACCGCTACTTCCTCCTCAAAATTAACATCAACTAGTACAAATATTAATTATTATGCATCACCTATCAATTCATCATCTATTTATACATCACCCATCGCAGTCAATTATAATCAAGCTATAGTCACACCGCACCATAATTACTATGTCTCACCTTCGCCCGTCTCACCATCCTCCTCTTCATCCAACGTTTCATCTCTTTTTTCCCCAACCACCACAACCTTTTCCCCATTTAGTCTGGCGACTCATCTCCCAACTGCCTCTAGGTTAAACTTTGCAAACAAACAGGCAACCATTGGCGTCTCCCCCTCTCTCTACAACAAAAAGAGAAAATCAGTGACCAAAGAAGATGAAGATCAAAATATTACCAACCTTAAACATTTTGCTCATTATCATCCTTATTCTCGACAACCTATAAACTCAATCAACTCTTCATCCTCTTTACCTTCTCCGACCGCTGCTTCACCAACAACAAAAAAGAAATCATCAAAGGCTACAACAACAACAACCTGTCCTTCTGAAAAGGCAAAAAAACTAGATAAAAATGATTTAATGTGGTTAGAAAAACCTATGCCACCAAATCAAATACAAATACAAGAAGAAGAAGAAGAAGAAGAAGAAGAAGAAGAAGAAGAAGAAGGGAAACAAACAATAAGAGAACAACAACAACAACAACAACAACAACAAAAAAAGGAAAAGGAAAAGGAAAAAGAAAATGGAAATGAAAGAAAAACAAAAAGAAGAAGAAGAGAATAATATTTTAAAAAAGAATTTATTTCCAATATTAATTCAACAACAACAAGAACATGAAAAGAAACAACAAGAAACCATAACGACAGAGATTGCAAGTACAAGTAGTAGTGGTAAACTAGAAAATCAATTTCTTGTAGATATTATCGATTCAAATAGTGTACAGGTTCAAAGTTTTAAAAATAACAATGATATGGATATGGATATTGATCATCATTTGACATATCATCATCATCATCATCATGGTATCACTCTACCTCAACAATGATCACAAAAGAATAAAGTGATAAACCGCCTATCCCCCCATCCGAATTTTATTTATTTTTTACATATATGTATACAACCATTACCATTAGTAATCTTTTTTGTTAGTTTTATTAGTAATCTTCTTCATTATAAAAGTGATATTCGAATTTTGTAATAGTGGAGAATTGATTTAGAACATTTTCTTTAATGGCTTTTAATACATGATCATCTAGAATGTGGATGACAAGTGTTTGAAGTGATGGGAATAGGTGTGGTGTCAACCAAGATGATACCAATTCCACTGTCTTGATTTTTGTGATTTCTAGACTGGTCACAGCCGTGAATGCGTCTGATTTTGAAGGGTATAACTTCCTAGTACATCCTACCGTCATTGATCCAAGTTGAAAGTATGGGGTTAATGTATTCACCACTTCTTGAAATGCATTTAATTCTGATGTGGGTATGGAGGAGGTTGTGTGTAGAATGATAGGTGATTTACCCAATGCAACTCGTTGATTGAGTGTTGGTAGAAGATCTGTCAAATCGCTCATGAGTCTAGGAAGTATTGGATTTTGAATACTCTCCAATGACATTATAAATGATTGTGCCGCTTCTATTATTCGCGGTGACGACGATGATTTCATCATTGTAATCAGGTCTTTTTGGTAGGTAGAGTCGAATTCAATATGTTTGATTGCCTTCCAAACAGTGATAAGAGGTAGTGTTGATCGATGTGGTTTTGGATAAGGGGCATATCCTGATGCCATATCTGGTTTGTGATATAAACCGGTAAAGTGGTCTGTTGACACAAGACTATGTAAATATTTGGGACCTAGGTCAGAGTGGAGTAGACAATCGACAAGAGGTGCAGGTTGAGAGAAACACATGCGTGCACCTTTCCGAGAGGTGAATGACAATTGAAATGTGTCAGACACCCACTCTCCAATCCATTCTAGCCATTGTCTGCATACCAAATCATATGATAATTTATTCTTATTTGTATCAACCTAAATATTTATTCATCACCATTAGTTTTAGCAATGAATGATGAGATCATTATACTTATTTAACAATAATAAACAAACCATAATATTATGCGTACATACTTACTTTACAATCTAATAAATAATATACAATCTTTTGTTGAATTATTTTAAAAAGTACAGGTGTCTTTACATCTGATTGTAGGGTAGGTGAAGAAGAAGTCATACTCACTTATAGGTTTGCTGATTTATAAAATATATATATGATAGAGAGTTTGTTACACCCTCCAACAAACAGTAAGTATAATAATAGTTTGTGGAAAAAAAAAACCATAGTGATGTTATTGGGTATGGAATGTCTAGAATTGCCTAAGTATCCGATTTTGAGAGTAAAAAGTCAAAGAAAGTTCATTCGAAAGTTGGTTTGTCTGAGGTGCGTCATCTGCTCTGGATGAAAAGTTTTTAAAAAGGTTCTTGCTTTCAATTCAATCTTGTAATCTAATAACATATTTATATTTACATTACATATATATATATTAATAGAGATAGAGATAGATAATAGTAGCAAAGAATGAGATTCCATATTCTTTTATCAATCATTGTATGTCTTTTGGTTGCTTTCACAACTGCCTCGACGTATGTATCTAATATTGTCATATTTGGATATATGAACTTTGGTGGTCAAGTCACCCACCACCACCATCATCTAACAATACAAACATAGATTGTTATATTAATCATCCTTTCATTAATTTGTATACTATTAGAACTACTAAAGAAACACAATCAGTTGAAGATAGAATTCGTCAAGAATTAAAGGTATGGGAGAACAATTGGAGTGGTTTCCCAATCAACTGCAGACGTATGGTTGACACCTTGTCATCGGATGGTATCGTTGAATACCCAGCTGGCAAGCACGTTATTAGCGGTGGACACAAGAGAATCTTTTCGAGATGTGAAGGTTTCATCACTGAGAACTTTAGTCAAATCCAATCCTACATTACCGGCACCCCATTGATTGTTGGACACAACGTTGCCTTTGAACGTGCTACCCTTTTCATGACCAAGAACAACTGTCGTCTCTACAACCGTGGTATTGTCACCATCAAGTACGACAAGGACTTTAAGATCAAGGAGCTCAAGGACTACTTTGACCTCGATGAACTCGTCGAAAAGTACCAAGCCTGTCAATTCCCAGGTTCCCCACTTCCAGATGTCAACGCTGAAAAGAAGGCTGAAGAGTCTGCTGCCACCTTTACCACTGAAGATAAAAAGGTTACTGAAGATACTCCAAAGCAAAAGGATGAACTTTAAACAAACAAAATAAGATAAGATTAAAAATCAAAACAAATAATAATAATATTAAAAATAAAAACACAGAAATGTTACAAGTGTTGTAATATATATATATATAACAAATCGAAATTAATATTCCTAACCAATGATATATTTATAAATATACTTGTTGGTATTACAGTTATAATTGTATTATTGAAGCGATGCAATGAATGAAAAAGAGTTTTTTTAATTAATTTTTTTTTTTAAAAACGAATGATCATTCATAGCAAATATAGAGACAATTAATTGTCTTATCTATCTATCTATCATCTTTTTGTAAATATATATATTAAAAATGAACATTATCGTTAGAAGATCACAATTGGTTAGAAATACAGCATCTCTATTGAGAGCTGGTGAAAATTATAGATTAATGACAGGTCAAGAGAGAAGTGGCAATGCTGGTATGAATCAATCAACAAAAGACAACATAGATAGACAATAGAGAGATAGATAGATAGATGATTAACGCATTATATGTTTGATTGTATTGTAGCTGGACCACTTCATGATTTACCAGATTTTCACTTTGCTGATGGTAGACCAGCACCAGTTACACATACTCAGATGAAATGGCAACAATTTAGATCAAACACTGATAACATTTTAAATAGAATGATGGACGAGGTCAAAGTTGATCAAAGTCAAGTCACCTCTAGAATCGATAATATGCAAACTTATATTGATCAAAAGATCACTCAATCAAAAGAAAAGAGAGCACAAAAGAAGGTCGTTTTTGAAAAGACTGACAATTAAAATAACAACGCGAATAATAATAATAATAAATAACATTAACAGTAATAATATAATAATAACAAAACAAAAGACAATATATGGATAGATAGATGGATTGGATGGATTCAAATTTGTTATTTATTTAATTATTGGATTGGATCACCTGCAACTTTTGGACTACTTTTACGACTATTAGTATCGTTGTCATTGTCATCGTCATTGATAAAACTATTGATATTGTCATCACTGCTGCTGCTACTACTACTACTATTACAACTAGTAGTATCTTCAAATGAAGATGGATGATGGTGAGTATAAAGGTTATGGGGACGATAATGTCTCTTTAGTGCTGATAGATTCGATGAAGAGTAGCATGTGATACTATTGGTTTCTGGAGATGAAGTTAAAGATGATATACTACTACAAGGTGATACATCTATTACACTAGGTTTGACCACTGGCGGTAATGGTGATGATTTTACCTTTTTTTTCTTTTGATTTGTCGCCTTTTTGTCTTTGTTGCTGTTGTTGTTGATTTGGTGGTAACTTCTTGATAACTCGAACACCAAGATGAACCCAAATAAAATGTCTTAACAAGTTAAATGTTTTAACAAATGATTCGAGTGAATGCATTGTAGATCCCAATGATTCCAATTGAAAGAGTGAAATGTTTGTTTTATCTCTTTGACCTGCATTTTGATGGAAATAGATTTGGTATTGCATCTCGACCATTTCCAACATATCAATTGAATTATCCTCTGATGCCATTCTAGTTTGATGATCATATTCCATCAAACTTTTAATGGTTTGTGATGACCCTTCAATTTCTGAAATTAATAATTTTAATTGTTTTATAAGATTATGATTCTTTAATTCTTTTATAACATCACTAAAAATATAGAAATAGAAATAAATATTAATATTATTATTTTCTTTCTTTTTTTTTTAATCTTTCTTACTTACTGTGGAATTAAAGATTGAGCATATTCTAAACTAACAAGTTCAATAAATAATCTTTCATTTAAATGAAGAATATCTTTTAGTCGATGATATTTTTGAGGTTGAAAGAATAGTTCAAATTTGGAATGGAATAGTTTGTTTTGACTCTTTGTAATGAGGTAACCAATTTCTCTAATCTCTTTTTGAATCTTTGCCTTCATTTGTACCAGACCTATTTTCTGTCGTTTGTTGTCAATGTCGAGCGAGAAGAAGAGGAGATTGTGAAAAGAGGTGGTGACCAGGGTGGTGTTTCGGAGTAGGTCCTTTTCGAGAATCATGTACTCGTAGGTGGGAAAGATGAGCACTGAAAAGAGGAGGATAAACAGACACCCCATAACAATGTGAAACATACGAAGGAGTGACGTGATGATAGTGAGTGTGCCAGTTGCAAACATGGGAAATGAAATAGTGGCATAGGTGAGAATAAGGAAATTGACTACATTGTTGATTGATTTCTCTCGTACAAACAAAGTGATCGTGAAATAAATTAAAAAGGTGCAGATGGCAAAGATAAACCCATCGGCAACATTATTGGTCGATCGAGTAAAGAGGACTGCCACACCATATGCCATAGCCACACCAAAACATGTACCGACAATACGAAGTAAAGAGAAAAAGACGGAGCCGCCAACCGTCGGACCCATGACAAACGTAAAGGTAATGACTAGCCAGGTCAAATTCCTGAATAGGATAAAGTCACTGTGTTGAAGTATCTCATAGTATGCAACCGACAGTACAGAGACACCCAATGCAAACCGAAATGAAAACCTCCAATCTGATTTCATTCTCTTTAAAAAGTTGGTGCCAATCATGGTTGCCTTTTCTTTGAGCGTGTATGGTTGTAACTCGGCGATGAATGGTGGGAATGGATAGGTAAAATGTTTTTCCTCTTGTACTTCCTCTTTGTATCGTTTTCTATCTCGTTTGATGAAATGAATAGATAAATAGCGAATAAATTTAAACCAATAACATTGGATGAGTTTTAAACATTGGTATTGATCGTTTCTGGTGAGGGCGATTTGGTAGACGATCGAAGAGAGGACTTTTTGATCACTGGCAAATTTAAATATACCGGTAAAGAAGAAATGGAGTGTTGCAAGTTCATAGTCTACTCTTTGTTCGTCAAAATCGATACCATAGATTTGAGAGTCTTTGGTGAATAGTTGTTCAGACTGTTCCTTGAATGTTGTAATGATGTTTTCAATACATTCAAACGACTCGAGTATTTGGTATTGTGAGTAGTCTAGTGACATTTCCATTCTCGATACTTCTTGTGGTTTGTTGCTTTGACTGTGTCGTAGTGTCTCTTTAAGATTGAGTACACCCGTCTCGGCTGTATCACTTTGAATGTAATAGTTTGACAGTTGTTTGCTCATAATACCAAACATCTTTCCACTCTCTTCAACAATCGTATTCATACTTGGGATAAGAGGAAGTATATACTTGGCTCGTTTTTTCGAAACCTTTTCCAAAATCGATAAATGGATTGACAATAGCTCTTTGTGATTTCTTTCCAACAAGAATAACAAATCCTTGTAGAGTGGCATGATTGGGTAGTTCCACTGCTCCTTTTTCGATTCTTCATAGTATCTATCCATTCCCAACAACTTTTTTGAATATGATTTGTGGAGTGCCAAGATCTGCTTTTTCAACGACCCGTGATCATCCTCTTCTTGAAAGTGGTTGACGAGGAACTGAGGTAGATGACGTAGATGTTTTCTCCGTTTTTGTGCTGCTGCACCGTGCTTGATCGTCTCTTCAATGTCATAGTATCGCTGAATCGACTTGGTCGAGTAGGATGCCGGCAGATCCAGATTATAGATATCGATGGGGTAGAATGGGTTGGCGGCCAGCGTGCGTGTCGTGCTCTTTCTGTGCCGCGCGATCTGGTCCGAGACGGGTGTAGAATTGTGCTGGTCGGTTGGTGTGTGGTCGGGTGTCTCTTGATCAGCTAGTTTCCGCGATATCTCCTCCAAGTGCTTGCTCGCCAGCGTAAACATCTCTCGCGATTTGTCCAGCACCTTGGTGGCGTTCCACAAGAACAAAGTCGACGAAAAGTACGGGTTGAGTGCAAAGCAGCAGAAAAACACAACAGCTACCATACACAGCGACGTCAGGTAGAACTTGAGAAAGATGATAGGCGACCGATTCTCGCCGATCGAGTAGTAGTAGACGAGGAAGAAGTAGTTGAGGTAGAGCGACTTGCCCTGCTGGTAGGGGACGGTCTTGGAGCTGACAAAGATAGCACTCGACACAAACACCATGATAAACTGTACAAAGCAGACTGGCCACAACGTGTCGGCAAAGATAGCATAGCTAATGTACGCAAACAAGCAGCCTAGAAACGATGCCAACGACGTTCTCAATGCATTCTCGAGAAGGATGAGATACGAGTCTGACGATGATGCAACCGATGTTGTAAAGACTGTTATAAAGATAGTTCCATTCAGAGGAAAGAACTCTTGTGTCTTTTTAAATATGACAAAGATCAGAGACAGTGCAATATTAAAACTAATAAAAAATGAATAATAAACTCTTTTTTTATTTTTATGATGAAATGATATATAATTTCTAATAATAATAAAAACCAAAATTAATAAATATAAATATAAAATATATTTTTAAATCAATAATAATAATAATAATAATATAAGAACATACATAGCTGACTTGAAAAATTTCCTAATCCAAATCATTATAAATATATATTATATTATCCCTATCTCTACTCGACTCGTGTATGTATCTGTATAAATATATATATCTATATGATAATATCTATCTATTAATCTAATCTATAGTATCGCATCAATCTTAAGATTTAAAATGTATTAATGATGAATATGAAATTTGAACAAAGAGATAAAAAAAAACAAACACCCACACCTCGTTATTATTTGTATTATTTTTTCCATTCTACAACTTCTTACTTTCTTGGTGTTTATTATTATTATTATTATAATTATTTAGAGTACGCATATATAATGACTATAATATTTTCCTTTTGTTGCACACCCATCGGTTTTTTGATACAATGTCGATGAATAGATTAATTTCAATAGTATTGTGTCACAACATAGTGACTAGCAGACTGATATTCGATTATGTATGTCAGTTGAATAGACATCAAATAGATTGTATATATTATCCTCACTATAGATTAAATAACTATGACTTTCTGAAAGAAGAATTGGAATATGAACATATTAGTATTAAAAGTGCAATAGAAGTGCTATACAAAACACCATACAACATCAAACACATAGCATTAGAGAGAATAACAGCATCGAGTGCAAAGAATAGTATTCAATCGTATCGGTGGTTGGATGACATCAGAGATAATATCTATCTGCAAGCTAGATTCGGTTTCAAATCATCCCTTATCGATAGTTTGACTAGATTGGAACAACAATATAGTCATTATACATGGTTTGATGTAGTAAATAATAATGATCAACAAGACAGTCGTGATAGTAATAATCATGATAATGATCAACAACAAGACAGTCGTGATAGTAATAATGATATGAATAATCATGATAAAGTAGAGATTGGATTTGTACCAAATCTATTCAAGATAATAGAGAATGCATGTATTGGTGAAAAAGTAGATATCGTTGAATACATCTATCACAGATACCATCAACACCTTCCAGAGGTAGTAATGTATATCTACCAATCATCGATCATTCACGGACCATTACGATCATTCCTATTCATCTATCATCTCCATCCCGATCAATCATACATCCGAGAGATAACAAACTATGCAAGATTTATCGATCAAGATGTATTATTATATTGTTTATCCAATTTTGGTATTCCTTTTGTTGGTGATAAACATAAACATTCTAGACATGACCACCAACCTCCTAATTGGTATTATAAACCACCTAGTTATGAAAATGATAATATTACAATATCTGATATCATTAATAATAATAATAATAATAATAGTAATAATAATAATAATAATAATAATAATAATAATAATAATAATAATAATAATAATAATAATAATAATAATAATAATAATTATAATAATAATAATAATAGTAATAATAATAATAATAATAATAATAATAATAATAATAATAATAATAATAATAATAATAATAATAATTATACTCTAACATACAAAAACTCTTATAATAATAATAATATTAACAATTATAATAATCCAGTATACAACATTGACACATATCGAGTGGATGTCGTTCAATATTTAGAAAGCATTGGAAAGACAGGTTTTATAGTCGTCTCTGATGCAGCAGAACTAAATAACTTTGAAACACTCAAATACCTATATTCTGTTTATCAACCCATGATCTATGACAGCACAGACAAGATTTTTCCATTTATAACACTCGAGTGTTTTAAAATTGTATTGGAGCCCCATTTAATTCATAATTTCGGACATTTGGACATATTTACAAAGAATATAATATCAAGATCACGGATAGATCTATTAGAATATCTCATCAATCAATTTCCAACACTCCCATTTTATTTCTATCTTTGGCAATCAGTTCATGCTAAAGATCACTCAATGGAGATTGCGAAACTTTTACTCTCAAATATGGAGTATAATAATAATAATAATACTAATAATAAAAAAAATAATAAAAATAATAATAATAATAATAATAATAATTATAATAATTTTTGGTTCATTAAAGATTGGGTTAGGATTAACTTTAAAGATAACAACAAAGAAACAATGATCTATTTACTAAAGAAAGCATTAGAATACAAATCAATTGGAATATCAATATACAACCAAGAGGAAAAGGAAACCATCAATCTAAAAAGGAGCAATGTTGATATTGAAATGCTAGAATTAATTTATCAATTATTTCCTCCTCCAAAAACAACAATATATATTTCAACATGCATCAACTCTGTAGAAATATATCATTGGTTCAAGAGCCACGACACCTATTCCGAGTTGAACCTTGGAAGTTTGAAAAACCAATCACTTAGATCACACAACAAAGAGATGATTGGATTTTTATTTGCTCCAGGGACAGAAGTAGAATGTAATAGAGAAACTTCAAACCATTATTTTGGAGAGTTTGTCAGAGATAAGCAACCTGTATTGGACGATGTATCATTTTTCTATCAAACGCTTTTCAGATGCTATCAATACACCTATAATCCTCCTCCTCTTAAACCACCAAATCAACAACGAAAAGAATATGCAGACACTGCTGATCAAATAATAGCAAGATCAATCATTTCAAAAAGATGGATACAATATTTCTACAAACACTTTCAATACGATACTTTGAAATATCTTTTGGATCAACTACACACAATAGATAGATATTTCTATATAGACGGCATCATATGGCACCAGACATTATATGATCATCTATCATTGGTACCATATCTCATGGATGAGCACAGGAGCATGCCTTGGACACAAGAATATTTGGGTTATTATGATCATTTTGAGTCGATAGTTGGCCACGACATCTATCCTTTAACAAAATCTATTAGATGAAATGGATAGAGATCACCCAATCAAGAACTTTAATGCCAGCAGAACATCACTAATTGACAACAAATACAAAGATCAATTAGAGTTACTTCATAACCGTGAAATCAGACAAATCAAAACAGAATACTTTATCAAACCACATTGTATCAAGGATAATGATCACAAAGATATGTTGGATAGTATTATTTGGCAATTCGAGGGCGGATATCCTTTTGAAAACAGTCACAAACGATCACTTCAACTTGGATACATTGATATTGTTAGATTCTATCGATTCAACACAACTAACAACAACAACAACAACAACAACAGCATTTATAATCAAGATCATGATGAATATGAAATGACCAACGATCTTTTAAAGGGACTATTCTTTAAAAGCTTAGCCTATTCCAATCAAATATATAATTTATTGAGCGTTCCTAGGAAGCTATCATAAAACTTTCGAGATAATTATCTTCTATATACATGTAATAAAGATGATCATTGTTTGTGAAAAATAAATGCGTATTTATTATTTAAATATTTTATATTTTTTTTATAGTTTTTAACCTTGAAAACCAATTTGATATTCATTATTATTTAAAATGAGTGGTTTATCTTTTAGAATGATACCAATGATGATACCAACATTTTGACCACATCCATTGTATTGTTGGTCATTCCAATCAGAGATTGCATTTTGGAAGGCAGTTGTAATCACCTTGTGGTTACATAGAATATCGAGTACTTCCATCACAACAACTTCAAGAATACCGGTACCAGTAGCCAATTTACTACCAATAGCTTTGATTTCATTGACAAACGTTTGAATGTTACATTGTTCATAGGCAACTGGGACTTGCAAGAGACCCAATCCAAAATCTTTGAGTCCACTTTCAACCAAAGAGATTGACTTTGATTCGATACCTGATTGAATATCAGAGAATCCAGTCTCGAAATCATTAAATGTAGCTTGGACGTCGTTGAAGCATTCTTGAGTTGTCTTGTTGACTGAAATTTCGAGACCTTCTGCCAAACCAAGAAGGAATTCACCAATATCGGTAAGAGTACCTGGTCCTGAACCACCACTTGTACCTGTTGTTCCACTTCCTGTACCTCCACCACTACCACTTCCACTTCCACTACCTGCGCTACCTCCAGATGAAGATAAACCAGAGTTTGATGATCCTGAAGCTGAGCCAGAGTTTGATGAACCTGTTCCAGTTGTAGTGAATGATGATGATGATGAGGAACCAGAGTTGGATGATCCTGATCCAGTTCCTGAATTGGATCCTGAATTAGATGATCCAGAACCAGGGCCACCAGTAGTGGCAGATGTTCCAGATGATGGTGGAGCAGATGATGTTGCACTTGTTCCAGAGTTTGAACTTGAAGTGGTTCCTGATGATCCCGATCCTGAACCACCACTGGTAGCAGTTGTTCCTGATGATGGTGGAGCTGATGATGTAGCTGATCCAGAGCTAGAGCTTGCTGATGATGCAGATCCACCACTAGTAGCTGTTGTTCCTGATGATGGTGGTGCTGATGATGTTGCACTGGTTCCAGAGTTTGAACTTGTGGTGGTACCTGATGATCCTGAACCAGAACCACCACTAGTGGCAGTTGTTCCTGATGATGGTGGTGCTGATGATGTAGCTGATCCAGAGCTAGAACTTGCTGATGATGCTGAACCACCACTTGTAGCTGTTGTTCCTGATGATGGTGGAGCAGATGATGTAGCACTTGTTCCAGAGCTAGCACTTGCACTTCCACTACCACTTGCACTTGCACTTCCACTACTTCCACTTGAACCTAATTTAAAAGAATGCAAATGTATAAATAATTGTGAATAAATTAATTGATTGTGTGACCGACCACTTACTTGAGGCTACACTTCCTGCTGATGTTGAGTTGGATGATGATGATCCTGATCCTGATCCTGAACCAGAGCCAGAGCCAGAAGCAGTGGCTTTTCCGCTGGATAAACCAGAGCCACTCGTAAAGTCCTCCATATTTTGGTATCTAGAGTGTTCTTTTGCATTGACCATCAATGCACACAATAGTGTTAAAACTACTGCTATTAAAATTATTCTTTTCATCATGATTGATCAAATAATAATACTATATCTGTTTGTAAATTTAAAAAACTAAACTTGTTGTGATGCTAACCGTGTAGATGAGTGACCTCTCAAAAGGTCCTTTTGATGTTTTTTACGTTATCTGAAACTTCGGGTATACAAAAAAATCGGAATGAATCTTGAGTCTCGCGTCGGGAAATATCCTGAAAATATCTTCATCTTGACCTGGTTAAATAGTCTATTAATACACAATTATTTATTTAAATAATAATTTATTATTTGTGCCTATATTTTGACAAACATTTGATTTATTATAGATTAAAATGGGGGGATTGAAACAACCCTTTGTTGTAATTTGACTGAATTTTCATCTTGCTCTTCAGAGTCAGAGTCTGAACCATAAGATATTGATTTAATTGTTGATTCGAGATCGGTCTTTGCTGAGGGTGACTCGGTGTCCTTTTTAGATGCTTTAGAATCTGATGCCACCAATCCTGATGGGTTTGCAGCGGATCCCTCCCTTGAAGGTGCCTCTTTCGTGGATTTGGCAAGAATCTTGGAGTTGAAATAACCAAAGATTGGATTCCTTATAAATATAGATTTCCGCCAAATCGTTAAACATTTTTGATTAAATCCATAGATGAGCAGTCCGTACAACCCATAGACACGAAGAAAGAATATATATGCAACCATCATTCCAAAAGTAGGTCCACCCAATATACAATCTGTATTTCCCATTAATAGACATTCGACAAATCTCGGTATACCTTCTTCAGCAATTTTCTTTGTAATTACATGTTCTGAATAATAATTCCTAAATAAATAAATAAATGGTTAGAGTTTCAATGCAAATTAGATCAAAAATATTTATAAATATTTTTTGCATACCAAAAGACAGAATAAACAAATGAACAATAAAAAGAAAATACTAAAACCATTGGTTTAATTTCCAATTTAAATATACCACTTCGACCGGTTGCTTTAACAATGACATAGATTTGATACATAATCATAAATAGGAAAATAGTTGCAATTGATAAAAGAATACCTAAAGGTATCCAAAATAATGGAGCTGCATAATTACTTCCACTTATCATACACCTAAAATAAATAAATTGAGAAATGAACTTATTAATAATGATCTTTTTCTTTTGATTGATTATATTTTTTTTGTTTGTTTTATATATAACTTACATAAAATTACCTTGATTATAACCATAAGTTTGTAAACCAAGTGGAATAAAACTAAATAATGATGCCAAGAATAAAGTGGCAACAAAATAATATTTGAATAGTTCTAGTTTTCTGGTGAAATGGGTAATGGTATACCAAATCTCGAAACACATGATAACAAACCACAACGAGGCAGAAAATGCACCAAATTGAAAAAGGAAAGCGTTAAATACGCAGAATCTACTGTCACCCGTTATCGTTTGTCGTTCAGATTGACAAATGAAATCTCCAACTGAACCGCGACCGACCCAAGTGTTGAGGATACCCGAAATAGACATGATGGTAATATGAGTGAGGAATAGTGCCAGATTCCTTTCATTGTTGGTTTTGAATTTACTCAAGCCGACATAGGTGATGAATATAAAGACCGATCCGAAAAAGGAGAAATATGATACAACGTCGTAAAATACAAAAAGTTTGTGCCAGTCTCGTTCGGCGAATACTGGGATGGGACAACGAAGGACGCAATCACTATTATTACTAATAAAGAAATACCCCTTGTAATATCCAGCTGGATGGCCTGGATAATCGGCATAGACGAGTGGGTACGGACACTGGTTGGTTGCCTTGGCCAAGTTTGAGGCTGAAGTGTCAAGACATTGCACTGAAAAGTTGGATTGACCTCCAATGTCGGTGAGGTTGAATAGACTGGGACTGCCCGATGGTGGTAAAAATGGAAGAGGGGTCGATAAGTTGGTGTAGATGGGATCAGCCATCTCACAATCAAACATTGATTTATCAATTGCACATAGTTTTGTTGACTCTTTACAATTCTCTTGACAAGTTCGTCTTGGTACAATAACTGTATTGGTCGATGTACTATTTGTCTTTGAATTTAGTTCAATTTTTACACATTCCCTAAATACCTACAAAAAATTAAAAAAAAATAATAAGTATTAAATATATATTTTGTTTTCTATTTTAATTCTTACAAATGAACATAGATTTTTAAAAGTATTTGGATTATCTTTACATTCCTTTGATCCAAGAAGCATAATTAAACCAAAATATCCTTCAACCTTTGATCGCATTTCTACTTGATTTGTAGAAGATCCAACATAAATAGAATCTAGAAATTAAAATAGAATAGGAATATGTATATCAATTAATAATTATTTTTTAAGTGACCAGACGAGTGTCGTGTGTGTACATACCTGGAGTAGTCAATAATCCTTGACATAGATTGAAATTGAAATCTGTTCGATCTCCTATATAAGGTTCGCATTTTGCCCCATTATCAATTGGATAATAGATTGAATTTGTTGCTGCACTGTTTAAAGGCAACCATGCAAACAATACTACTACTATAAATATAAATATAAAAAATATTTTGGAATGATTCATTAAATTTGACCAAATGCAAAAAATAAACAACAACAACAACAACAACAATAGAAGAGACAATAAAAATGATCTATATTAAATGATAGGTAGGTAGGTGGGCTGTCTTGTTACCAATTTAAATATTTGCATCATTTAAATTTTGATACAATGATCAAAAAAAAAAAATTAAAATATTCCCCCACCGTGTGTGTGAGTGTGTGTGTGTGTGTATGTGTGCATATATATAAATGTGTTGTTGTTTCATTTGGTTTGATTGATTGATTGACAGGGAAAGGGAAACAAGTTAAAGTGTGTGGTTGGTGGATGGTTGCCAATTTTTAAGGATTGTGTGACACTCATCGATGCAAAGTTCGTGCGGTGGAGGGGGTGTGTATTGTGTTTTAAGACACCCGCCCATAATATTAATATTGGGTGTTAATAAGCCATTGAATCTTGGAAAATCCATTGCCAACAATATTGTTCGATGTAGCTTTGGAACGTTGGATCGACAACTAACAACTATCCTATCAAAGTAAGTAATTATATAGTAGTAGTAGTTTCCGACTCTGTGTCACGGGCCAAATCTAAAAGTGAATGTAATCTTTTGAGTAGGATTGATGGGTTGTAGGGAAAAGTATGGTTGTTGAAAGATGATTCAATGAACAATGTTAATCGTCTTAGACAGTTGTAAATTAATTGATGATTGTAATCATCCATTTCATCATCATCATAGTTATCTTGGTATTCCTTTTCTTCTTCTTTTTCTTCTTCTTTTTCTTGATCTATTAATTGTAATTTTTGTTCAATATATTTTTCAATATCTTCTATTTCATCCAATTCATCTTCATAATCATCATCATCCTCCACCTCCTCTTCATCATATGATGTATCTCCATTATTATCCATTTTTAAATAAAATGATTCTGGATTTTGAATTGAATAATTTAAATATCTATAAGAAGGAATTGAATTGAATTGAAAATTAATATAAATGTTATCGTCTTTAAATCTATTTATATTATACCTTAGAAAATAATCCAAAAATGAAGTAGATTCAGTTGAGATTAATAAATCGAGTATCATGTGATGATCATATAGACATTGTTTCTCGATGAAATAGTTAAATATTTTATGAGGTTCAATTGCATTGGTAACCATCAGTAACCTTAATCTATCATCTTCATTATTATTATCGTCTTCATCATCATCCATATTTTGTAATATCCTATAAAGATTAAACTAAACGGTTAATATTTCAATTTAATAAAGTTGAACTTAACTGAATGTTGTTTCATACCTGTCTAATAATAAATAAATGGACAGTAAAGTTTTCATAGTATCTATAGATTCAATATCCAATTGATCACCAAACAATCTACCTTGATTTTCAATGTTGAAATAAATATTTATGTTTTGTAAATCACACAACAAACATTCCAATACCAATGATATTCCTTTTTGACTGTCATCAAGTGATAAACATGATTGTATCAACTCTAACAATACAATATAAATTCTCGATGTGATGATTATGTCTGTTGACTGTCCCTTGATTAAAATATTTGATATCATATTGTTTGGAGTATCTTCTTCTTCTTTTCCATACCATTTTGATATAAATAGTTGTTGTTGATTATTATTAGAAGAAGATGAAGAGTTGAATTGAATTGATAAATGTTTAATAAATAGAATGATTGATTCTACGACTCTCCATTTTGCATTTTCTCCATCTCTATACCAATGAATAACAAGTACCACTATTTTAATTAACTTCATTATTATTATATAGTTGTGTACTTTACTACTACTACTGTGACTATCATCATCATCATCATCATTTAAACATTGTGATAATATATGATTATAAAAGTTAATATTATTATTATTATTATTGTTGATTAAAATAGTAATTATTCTTTTTGATATTTGTTGTTGCCTATTATTATTATCATTACTATTATTATTAATACAACTTGATATTTGTAATATTTTGTATAATATTGAATAATATAAATAGTATTGCTTTTGTTGTTGATGATCATTCTTTTCAAATGTTGAAAGTATTTGATCAAAGAATAGATTACTATTATTATTGCCGTTGTTGTTTAGAAGAAATGGGTATGTCTTTGATAGATCATTGTTTCTTCCTCTTTGGTATATGATCTTTAACAGTTTATGAAGAGTATCCAAATGTAATTGTTTGCGAGGTTGACCATTATCATCATCTATAAGTATCACAGACATGATCTGATTTTGAATGATTAAATGATCATCACCATTACCTTCATTATCATCACCTTTAAACAATTGTAATATCAATCTTTGATTTAAATGAATCTCCAATATTGAACAATCATTCCCACCGACATCAGCATTCTCCAATGATAATATATTATTAAACTATGTTTATCAACAAAGAGAAAGTTAGTCAATATGTTGTTTTAAATCTATTATTACATCATCATTCACAAATATTACAAGTGTATACATACACATTCTTTAACGTTTACATTATTGATGTTGGTATTCATATTCTCAATTAAATTAAAGAATATAGAAATGATAATGATGCAAATTTAATTGACTATTTTGAATAACTTATTTATTTTTATTGATGGATTATTATTATTAGACTGAATCATCGCCATCATCATCATCATTTTCTTGTTTGGGTTGAGGTAATAATGATTGATGAATAGTATGGTTATGATTTACTGGATTACTATGAAGAATGGCATTATTTTGTTGTTGTTGTTGTTGTTGATGTTGTTGTTGGTTTTGAAGAGGTGAGATTACCAATTGGTCCTCTCCATTTGATGGTCGGATATATTTTGCGGATTTTGTAAAGTAATCTTGATACATGTATCTACCCACAATGGCTGCACAGAATACAATGAATAGACCAACCATCAAAAAGAATAATGTTGAGTATACTGTGCTGGATGACTTGTGATTGTCTCGATCGGTGTCATGATTGCTTGAATTGGATCTTCCACTGTCAGTTACACGTGGATGAGAATAAGCCTTATTTGAAATGATTTGACCATTCTCATCATAGATGGCAGCACCCAACTCTGATTCCTTTAAAAAGTGATTGTATTGATTACTATTGTCACACTGAACAATCACTGAAAAGTATCCATATATATCTGGTGATTTGGTGATGGTTGGTCGTCCACTCTCCAAGAAATGACATTGGTTGACTGTAATGACAATTGTCAAATTGGTAGGTACCACCAAATAAGATTGGTTGTTGTTTATCGATTGCTTTGAGAAGCTGTCATCGATTACTTTGACCTTGCCAATAAGTGGAATGGATACGATTTCATTCTTGTTCTTCTTGTCGTTGTTGTCGTTTAATGTGGGTAGTGCTCCAACTACAGTCATTGGATCGATATAGTATTGTTTGTCTTCACTCTTTTTATTGCATCGATCCGATGCTTCTGCAAACCCTATTCGCTTGTTTCCTCTGTCAAAGTGAACATTGTGTCCTTGGAGAGCCACATCACCCAGAATCATGGCTTGCCCGCTGCCGAAACCCCCATACACGATTCCCCAGCACCAAAGCCCATTGTCTTGAACCAAATATGATCGAGGGCCAATTTCAATTCTAAAGTCGGGATCATTGCTACCTTCACCGGGCATGGTCAAAGAAATGGTTGGATAGTTGTCAATATAACTCTCATCATCTGAGTAGTCATAACAATAGCCACCCCAAAGGTAGGAACCTTCAGAGAATCCAGCCAAATCCTTATACTCTTTTTTTGATTTCAAATAACGTATTAAATCAAGGTATACCGAAACATCTAATATTAATAATGTTGAACCAGTATCAACTAGATTATAGTAATTAAAATAATAGATAAATCTTGGGTGTCAATATTAATCTTCATTTCTCTCTTTTTGTTGTTACTCAAGCGTAACTAACTTGGTTGAAACATACCAACAGACGGATTTTTTGATAAAATATCTTGTGATTGGGGAGAAATGACTGAACTATTATCAACCAATAAATCTAGTACACGAATACTATAATATAGTTCCTGTATAATTTTGGTGTACGTCATCTTTGTAGTATTCATAACAGGGTCTGCACCACCCATTACAAATACTCCACCATTTTGTGAACAACAAATAGAAAATGAATTATCGATACCATGTTTTTGGACCATTAATGAGAATATATCATCTCCTCCACTAAATAATATGTTAAAATAAATGGTTAGATATATGTATATATAGTATACTATATGTATATGTATATATATTATCACAATACATACGCTGGCTCAAGTGACTTGTATGCCAACCCCAAGATACCATCCATTTTATTAACCATTGAAACATTTGTTACAGGACAATCTTGTTGATTAAATCCTTCATTATATTGAGAGAGAGAGAGAGAGAAGTGTAAGAATAATGTATAATATTGATTATTAAATTAAATATTGAACATACTTAGAGATTGTTGTGTAATGGCACCAAATTTAGCTGTTACACTTAGACCAGCAAAGGAAACAGTATCTTTAACAAATGCACCCAAAAGAAAGGAGCCGTCAGCATATCCAGTGACAAACTGACACTTTTTGTCCGCTGTACAATGAAGTGTGTCTGGTATATATTCATTTTTTGGACACTCTTTGTTGTTGGAGCATTGCACAGATACAGCTGACGGACCGTATTCATATGGATTGGTAATAGACGATTGAGAACATGAACAATTAGTTGGTACTCCAACTTCATAGAATAACTTGCAATCTGCACTAGGAATAGCCAGAGTAGTACTACCAGTATCCAAATCAACCATAAACATTTGTTTATGTGCACCTTCACCTATCCAAACTGGAAAGAAGAAGGCGTGGAATCGCATACCTCCTTTCATCGTCTCTTCTGTTGTTGTCGTGGTGGTATTGTAACCCAAACGAGAATGTTGAAATGGTGATTTCTTTGATCTTGGTGGTTTCTCCTCTTTTGACATTTGGTCAACCAGCGTATCATATTTTGTAGCAGTTGATGGTGCAGGATGTTTGCTTCTCCTATATATTGGTATAGTTATTGGTTTTGGTTTTGGTTGTAGTTGTTGTTGTTGTTTTACATCACATTCTACAACTACAAAACAAAATATAAATAATATTACAAATACTAATAGAAAAATAGAAATGAATCTTGTGAACTTGATCATCATCTTTTGAGCTGACAAAAAAAAAAAATTAAAAGATAAAAAAAAAGATAATTATTATAAATTAATAAGTTAATAAATAGATCATGAAAGATTTAATATTGCTTTATGTATTACTCGAGTTATAATTGATAATATTATCTCATATCATCGTAAATCATTCAATAACCGTGTAATATATATATAAACCGTGTAATTCATTGGGTAGTTATCGTAGTATATATTTTATATCATCAAAAGTGGGTAGGTACGAGTACAAACCAATTCCATGGACTGACTGACTGAATGGATACTACTACTACTATTTTTTACATGTATTTACCCACGGTTCACGTGTTTGATTTTGTAGTGTATAATTAGATTCAAGCATCTTGGTATAACTCGCGATTGAGGATGGAATCCACAATCTATTCTTGGAACTGAACTGAGTTGTTATGAAATAATGAAATAATTAAATTATTTGTTGTATGAACACTAAATTATAAAATAATAATAAAAATGATGATTCTATTCTTTAGTCGATGGTTGTACCAATCATCATAGACATAATTTCATTGTCCAATGAATATAAATAAAAATGAGTTAAAAGTTACCTTCTTGTCTGAATACCTTTCTTTTCGAACAAGAAGTAGGGAGCAGTGAGTGCCTTTCATAGTTAACTTTTCTTTTTTGATGTCTGAATCTATTATTATAATCCCAATATTTAATACACCTTTTATTACCTTTTATTACATTTTATAATTAAAAGGTATTGGAATGTGATTGTTGTTGGTTGGTTGGTTGACTATTGACTATAGTGTTAACCAATAAAGAAAAGGTATTTAAACTCTAAAGAACATGTATATTACATCATTCATTAATCTACAATATTATATATTATAAAGATAGAGATAATTCCATTATGTTATTCAGTATGTATAATCATAATAATAATAAGATGCAATAATTACTAACTACTTTACTTTCCTTCTTTCTTTTCTTTTCTTTTCTTTTCTTTTCTTTTCTTTTCTTTTCTTTTCATTCCGCCAGAATCATTAGCAAACTTGTCAAGTCCATCCAAGCAGTTTAGTGCATCAAGCTATACCACTACAGTAGCTGGTGGAGTATCTAGCCAATCTCAAAACAACTTGGCTTGGAGAGGAAGAGGAAGAGGAAGAGGAAACAGAAATAACAACGGTACGGTTGTGTATTATAATATTATATAATATATATTTCTCCACCCAATCCAACTTTTGATACTAATCTATTATCTTTCTTTCTTTCTTTCAAATCCTTTTTCTTTTTCTTTTCTAGTTGATATTGACATTGATATTGATATTGATATCAACAACTAGATCGTCTTTTCCTTCATATCTTTTCAAAATGAGTATACCAGTCAATCCAAAACATTCTTCTTTGTTGTACTTTTACTTGTACAACAACAATTATATATAATTATATTCCATCACACATCAAAAGATAAATAAAAAATGATATTGTACATCTCTATCTATGTATCTATCTTTTTTAAGTGTTACAAAGAAAGAATTGAACAATAACACTGAAACTTTGAGAGAATTTCGTTTGTCTTGTGAAACCAAGAAGGAGGTGGTTTGTCAAAAATCTCTTTAATTTAATTTACAAACTCTACCGTATAGTCCTATTATTATTAATGTTGTCATAGTTATTATTATTACTCTATTTATACATATTCAATATACATTACTATTACTATTTAAATAGTCTCTAACATACGTACACAAGAAAGAAAATGAATTTCTTTAAAGGAGGAAACGATGAACAAGATACAAAGAGTAAATCAACAAAAGACGACGACGACTATTCATACAAGTATACTAACTAATCTACTACTACTATTTAGAGGGATTAAAAGAGAGTAAAAGAGATTTAAACAAATCACAAAGAGATTTGGATCGACAGATATTCCAATTAGATCAACAAGAAAAGAATGCGATTATACAGGCCAAGCAACTGGCCAAGAAAGGACAAGAACAAAACGCGAGAACCATAGCCAAGGAGGTTGTAAGAATAAGAGCACAAAAGGAGAAACTACGAGCAATGAAAACGACAATGTCGGCAGTCTCTACAAAGACCACCGTCATGAGCACAAACAATTCAATGATGAAAGCAATGGGTAATGCCTCCAAAGCAATGGCTGCTGCCAATAGTCAATACAACGTTGCTGAATTACAAAAGACAATGATGGAATTTCAAAAACAAGTTCATCATGCCGATGTTACAGATGAGTATGTAAACAGAGAGAGAGAGAGTCGATAGATTGGATATTTATTAACGTTTCTTTAATTCTTTATAGTATGTTACAAGATATGTTTGAAGATGATGAAGTCGATGAAGAAGCTGATAGTGTATTAACAAAGATTGTCGATGAGATTTCATTGGATAACTATTCGAAAATGCCAGGTGTCAGTAGTGAAAGATTGGCATCTACTGAACGATCATCATCTCGTGCTGAAGATGATGAGATTAATAAGATTTTACAAGGTTTATAATAATTAAAAATTGGGTATATATAGGGCAAAATGGAAATGTAGATAAAGAAGAAGAAGTAATAAACCAACCTACAACAAATGTAATGTATTTGTAAATAATAATAATAATTTTTTCAAAACAAAACCAACAAACATAATGGAGATATGAATGAAATGGTATGGACATACTGGTATTTATTTTTTAATTAATTTGGTGATACATTAATTTGAAATTTTGGAATATAGAGACATGGATCAGACCAAGAATAATTGGTTGAATAGTTTTGTTGGAATGATGGAGATACAATGTTTGTTTGAGAATTGCAGCCATCTGTTTGTAGACATTGAAGTTTTCCAGTGTAATACGATCCTTGACCAAAATACAAACTAAATGATACCGATTGATCACATAGAGAATAGAGACAATTCAATCCACATTCAACACCATATTTGTAGTTTAGTAGTTTGAATCCGATACTACCACTGGTTTGTATTGTGTATTGAGCTGGATATGTATAGGGATCAGAAGAGATTGTATACTCATCTTGACTCCATAAAACAATGACACCGCTATTATATGAAAAATTAATTTCATAACATCTTGCAACAGTGATAATTACAACAATCAAAAATAAAATTGATTGGATAATACTATTATATTCTTTTTAAAAAAAAGAAAAGAAATAGTTTAGAAAAGAGATAAATAAATAATTATTAGAGATAATTGATACAAACTCATTTTTATAAATAATAATAAAGATGATGGAGACAAGACCTTTGTCTTTGATGGTGATGATGAAGACCAGCTAAAAAAAATATCAAGATTGTCCAAAAGATATTTTTTCCATTTCCGGTATTTGAGACTTTTAAATATATCCAGATTATTATTATTATTATTATTATTTAGCCGACAATTAATATATTATTATTATTATTATACTAGTTAAATATATCTGTGAAATGTATATTATATTTATATTTAATATTCTACCAAAACATCTTATCCTTTTGGCAGTTGATGACTGTTGTAAAATTAATGATTGGGATTACTTTTTCTTTCCTCTTTTTGCTTTTGGTTTGCTTTGCTTTTTAGTTGTTTCTGTTGTAGTAGTTGTTGTTGATAAAGATGCTGGAGGAGTACAAGGAAGAGGTGAAGATGGTGAAAGTAAATGTTCGTGATCCTTTTGAGGATGATCATGAATAGTAGGAGAATCAGATTGAAATTGATAGCAAGAGATGGTTACATTATCACTTGCTTTACCAGCTGCCCGTACTGCAATACGACAAAGCTCAGCCGACATTTTTTGTGGATGATTTGAAGAGGATGAAGAGCTGATGAGATTGGGAAGTGTTTGGTAGTTGACGGCATTGGTCAACCCGTCAGACGCAACAATGAGATAGTCACCATTATGCAGTGTGGCAGTGGCAAACGAGGGGATAGCCGACACCCCATACCTGCTCAATATATAGTGACCGAGTGATCGCGACGTGTTGAGTGCCAACCGCTTGCGCACAAGCTCTTCCTCGGTGAAATCATTTTGCTTTGGTACTATACGCCAACTATTATACTTGAATGTCAGTCTGCCTGTACACTTTTCGATTCTATCACGCTCCTCTGCCATCTCTGGTCGATGATCGTGTGTCAGTGCTTCAACCTGATCCCAAAAACTAGCTTGTTCGTTGTATCGTACAATCAACGCCATCGAATCACCCGACCAACCCACCATACACTTTCCAGTCGTTTCGTCCACCACTGCCACCGTCGCAGTCGTTCCATTATCAATACCATTCACTTGTCCATACTCTATTAATTTCTTATTAGCCATTTCAAAAGAATCTATTATACATTTTTGTAATCCTAAAAAAACAAATCAAAATAAATTAATAATTGGAAATATATTATTATATTCATATTTACAACATACCATTGTCATCTTGTTTAGTATTATTATTATTTAAATTTAAATGAAGGTAATTTGAAATAATACTCTTTGCCATGACAGACACTACTTCACCTTTATCTCCATGTCCATCCAACACTCCAAATATACGTGTATTATTATTATTATTATTATTATTATTATTTTTGTTTTTGTTATTATTATTATTTTGACCATTATTGATGATTTGTTTATGAAATGCACAATCTTGATTCTCTGGTCTTGCACCTAATAATGAAGTAGATCCAAATGATTTAGGTTGTTTTTTTGTTGCTGCTGCTTTCTTGTTCAATTTCGCTTGCAAAATAAGTTTGTTTACAATCCTTACAGCCTTTTCATCGGCTTCATCGTCATCACTACTATTATTAAAATCTTCATCTGAATCATCATCATCCTCCACCTCTTCAGTGGATGGGAAATCAATATCCAAATCACTATCATCAAATGATTCATTCTTGAAATTGACACTATAACTCTTTTGTTCCACCAATCCACCATTCTTTTGATCCATAGTAGTATTAGTTGTAGCACAACTATCAACATCTTTCATTTCAAGATCATTGTCTTGTTGTTGTTCTGTCACCGCAGACCGGTTGAGATGACTATACATTAACAATTGTCTTTTACGTATATAATCATCATCGTCCTCATCGTCATCATCATCATCATCGCTACTCTCTGAGAGTAATGGAGATCTTTTTTGTTTCTTGTTGTTGAGAGGTTTTGATTTAGGGGTAGTAATGCCAGATACAATCGGTGTAGTAGTAGTCGCCGTAGTAGTCGTTGTTGTGGTTGCCAATCTAGATGAAACCGTTGATGATCTAGTCTTTTTAGCAACAACCGTTGGTATTGTCTTTGTTATCTTTTTCTTGATCTCTTTTGTTGTTGTTGTTGTTGTAGCGGGAGCAGCTGCAATAGTAGTGTCATTCTTTGACGCAATAGTTGATAACTTTTTCGGTGACACTATTGCTCTGATTGTTGTTGTCTTTGTTGGAGGTTTCTTCTTGACCGTTGTACTCTTCTTCTTCTTTTTACTTGTTATCGATGCAGCGTTATTATTATTGGCCATTGTATTTGTATTTATATTTGTATTTGTATTTGTATTTATAGATTGATCAGCAGCACCAAAGGTTCTATCTTCTTCTTTTTCGTCGTCTGCTTCGTCACTACTGCTACTTTGTGACAACAATATATCTACTAGTTCTTCCTCTTCCTCAAAGTCTTGTTGAATATTATTATTATTATTATTATCTGTATTTTCTTGTTGAAACTTTAAAAAGATTGTCATTCGGTTTGATGAATTATTATTATTCAAACAAGACTTTGTGTCGTCGCCGGAAGAGGCAGCAGTCATTTTCTTCATTGTCGTCATGGTAGCAGTACTATTAATAGTTTGAATAATCTCTCGATTAATATCCGTCCAACAATACATATGTTACAATTATTCTATCTATCTCTCTATTCTATCTCTATTCTATTTATTTATATCTATCTATAAACCAAGATACATAAATAAATATATAAACACAAATATTAATAATAATTAACAAAAAATATTATTATTTGATTGTCTTCTCTCTTTTTTGCAACTATTATTACTACTACTATCTATCTATCTATCTATCTCGATAATTGATTTTAAAATCAAAAAAAGTATTTAGTGCAATACTTGAGTTCTGCCAAACCAAACAAACAGGTAAAATCATCTTTTTCTTGGAATTTGGCAGATGGAGCATCTGTTGTTCAGTCGTTGATTCATTCTGCTAGCCCATTAATTAAATAATCAGCAGAGAGAGTAGTGGATGACTTACACTCGCACTATTTATGGGTAGACCACACTCGATAAGCGAGGAGGAGGAACTGCAGCAGATTCATTCTGCTGAAGGGTCGCCTGACTGTCATCTGATTAGAAGGTACGGTACCCCCATTAATTATGTTATTAAAAATAAATATAATACTGGGTGGTTCAAACAACCTCACTTTCTTTCACAAACACATAAACACACCTCCGAATCAATCATGTGAGAGGGAGGGGGGTAGCTCTCTCTCTCTCTCTCTCTCTCTTCTTCTTTGTTTATAGAAATAATAATAATAATAATACATCTATCTCTCAAGTTTGTTGAAATTTAAAACAGATACAACCAGCAATATATATATATACTTCCTCATCCTCATCCTCCTCCCATGACTTGAACAAGTACTACCACTACACTCTTTCAATCAATCAATCAAATATCGATCATTATGATTAATATTGATACTCATGGTGATACCTTTGACAACAACAACAACAACAAGAACCAACAAGACCTTTATCCTCCCTCCCACCTATCATCATATACGACAACAACCTTTATCAACAACAGGACAAATCAAAGTCGAACCAGCAATAGTATTGATACTGATATAGATTTAGATATAGACTGTTTGGTTAATATGAAAGATAAACCAGATGTAGCTGGTGCAATGGCCGAAGAGAGAAAAGGTGATGGTTCAAAATCATCGTCATTGGTAGAAAAGGATAAAGACAAAGACAAAGACAAGGATAATACAAAGAGTTTGGATGATTCTAATAATAATAATAATGGTCAAGATATAGATGATATAAAGATTCATTCATATATATTACATATACCACAATTGAAATCATGGTATAATAAGATTATCAATATCTGTTCATCGAGTAGGACAAAACCTATAGTGGCTGTTGTTTTATATGGAACCGTCAGTCTATGTCAAACTATATTTAACAAAAAGGTGATGAGCACCTTTAGATTTGATGCACCCAACATTATGTTGTTTTGTCAAATGTTACTATCTCTATTTGTATTGCAAACATTAAAATATACAAATACCATCAAATTGGATACGACTTTAAATATTAATATTATTAAAAAAGTATGGATGAACAAAAAAAAAAACGGAAAAAGGAGTGTATTGGATAAATATTAATATTAGTTAATTTAAATTTATAGTTGATGCCATTATCAATATGTTATGTATTAAATGTATTATTGGGATTAGATTCAATGAAATCATTAAATATTCCAATGTATAGTGCATTAAAGAGATTGGTGGCAGTGGTGATACTGCTGATGGAATATTTTATACTTGGTAAAACATCGCCACCCAAGATTATCATGTCGGTGTTTGTAATGGTGATTGGAGCGATTGTGGCGGGTTTATCAGACCTCACTTTTAATGCAGTTGGGTATTCACTGGTACTACTCAGTTGTTTTTTCCAGGCATCTTATTTGGTGTATGTTAAAAAGACGGCACGTGATCTATCCATGTTTGACATGCTCTACTATAATAGTGCACTGTCACTCCCGTTTGTAGCGGTATTGATGCTACTCAAGCAAGAGATCACCTATGTTGTCACATACGAGTATTTGTACGATCGATCATTTCAATCTTACTTTGTACTCTCCGTGGTCATTGGCTTCCTACTCAACTTTTGTATCTTTTTTTGTACTTCTGTCAACTCGCCACTGACCACCTCGATCACTGGACAAGTCAAAAACATCGCTTCTACCATCCTCGGTACCATCATCTTTAACGATCTCGTCATCCATCCTTACAATGTCCTCGGATTAGTAATCAATATGATTGGTAGTATTTGGTATTCTCTTTTAAAGTTATAACCCTAACACAAACACCCCTATATATACACACACAACACACACAGATACATTTATATACAATCCATAAACCAACAGAATAACATAAATCAAATAAAACAAACAGATAATAAACAAACAGATAATAATGTATACATTATGATCGGGCGATAATTTCTGAATGGTGGACAAGTTAAGTGAAGTTCACCTCGACACACGATTGTAATGAAAATTCATTTTAATTTTTTTAATTTTCTTTTTTTTTTTCGGTTTCTCTCTCTCGCTCAGTCTGTTGAAAAAGTTTAGAATCATTTTGAAAGCTTTGTACATCAACAAGAATTGCTTCGAAGTATACAAATGGATCGCTGTTGAAAGCGATAGTGTGAACGTCGGTGCACACACGATCCAGCATACCATCCCAAACCACTGCAACCTCTGTAACAGCTGCTTGGCAGAGAAAGAGAAGAACGACGTCGACGGCCAAGTTGTGGTGGGGTATCAGTTGGACGCACCGAGCACATCAATATTCTCACTTTGGGGAAAGTCCCCGGACCCTAGGATAGAAAGTATCGCCTGTCAAAAGGTACGAACGGACCAACGTGTAGACCTGGCTGAGAAGACATCCCTGATCGGTTTGTTGGAGCTCCTGCACAGTCTGATTCCTCTGGTCGAAGCTTAGGTAGATGCAATTAGTATCATCCACTCGATGGTATACGACCTTAATGGGGCTCACTCCTTGATGTACCAACCCCAACTCCCCAATCTCCCCAACTCCCCTCAAATAAACTCCCAAACCCCTTTTAACAAAACAAAACAATCATTGTCTTTACTTATTCTTATTCTTTGTATTACATAATATATTATTTATTTGTTTATTTATTTATTTATTTAGAGTTTACCAAGCATTGGCTAAATTGGCACTATCACATTTACAAGGTGGATCGGTTGGATTGATTTGTAGTCGAGTATGGATAGCATCGCAGAAAGGGACGGATGCAGTGTACCGACAACCGCATAGTAACCAGAGAGTCTGTTCCTTTTCAACTTTGAAAGGGATAGGTTCGAAATCAGTGTCTTTACAAGACAGCTGATCACAGAATGGTTGGCGGTCTTTGGTTAAACCACAAGTACAATAATGATAGGTAACATCTTTTTGTAGACCACGTACAGTGTATGGTCCGTACATTGGTATCTTTCTAGGAACCAATTTACTACGATTACATTTTGAACAATTAGAGGTAGATTGTGACTTGTTGTTATTTACTGTGTTGCTAGCATCATCTTTGTTGTGTGTACTACTATCATCATCACATTTACATGATTCTCTAGGTTGTTTATCATCTTGTTTATCTTTTTCCTCCTCTTCTTCTTCTATAACAACTTTCTTTTTAAAGTCATTTTCTATATCATCTGTAGTTACTGTGGTTGTTTCTTTATTCATCTCTATCTCTCATTTGTTACTTATGCTATTATAGTTGAATGAATGAATGAATGAATGCGTACATAAACTAAATAGATAGAAGAATAAATAGAGAGAAAGGTAATTATATGACACATGACATCCCGATGAACAACAACGTCCTTTAATTAAATTAAATTAAAATATTTGATTTTGTGTTCGGTAGGTAGATAGACAAACAAACACATGCATTACGGGTGGGAGTATCGCATGCACCACCCCCTTTAGTTGACATTCATCTACTCTTAGATTTAATATATATATATATATTCAAAGGTAATGGGTTGTTGTTGTTTATGTAGATAGTATGGTATAGCATAGAATAGTAGTCTTATGTTGATTTGTTTGTTTGTTTGTTTGCTTGCTGACAACTAATTGTGATGAGTTGTTTCTCTCTTAATCAAGAGAAGATTCTCTCCTTTGGTTAGGGTAACATGGTGACTATTACCAAATTTGTAGTAAAGTGAGAGAGAGAGATTCTTGATCAAATTCAAAGAAGAACATTCAACAATGAAAAATGACTGTACTGTAATAAATAATAATAATAATAGTATTGATTGTTGTCCATCTTCGTAATGATTATTCTACAAACTTGATCTGCGATGTATTCGATTTTAAAATGCTTTTTTTTTATAGTCTTTTGCTTGTTTTCAGTGGTTTTATCTCATTTCATTGTTTGTCTACCCAAGTTTCAAGTATCTCTTATTATAAACATAAACAAATCACAAGACAAAGAAAGAGAGATAGAGATAGAGAGAAAGAGAAAGAGAGAAAGAGGTCAATTGATAGCTAATATTTTTAATTAAATTCATTAGTCTATATATATCAACCACAAGACAAGCAAATTAACTAAGTATATAAGTCATTTATATATATATAATCTATATATAATGTCAGAACCAACTACGACGATTAGACATCGTGCAATCAATAGTAGTGCACAAGAGGCATATAGAGAAAATGACCCTGACAAGTCAAGAGTAGCACATCAACTAGTTCAAGAACAAAGAAAGATTGATGATGAACCTCATAAAAGGTATGAACCATCTGTTAAGACTGCTATAATACATATTCATTAACATTCATTCATTCATTCAAATCAATATATATATATTATATATTTTGAAGTAACTCATTTAAAAAGGGATCAATTAAATATTTAAGATCATGTATTACATTTGGATCATATGGTATATTGTTTTGTATAGCCGTTGTCATTGGATTAGAGGCATTCTTTCATAAATTTGGTAATATATCTGGGTTTACCATTGTAAGGAATCATCATCATGACCGAGGAGATAGAGGTGGTGGTGGTGGGACAACGACAAGTGCGTCACAAGACGAATACGATTGGAATCTAGTGGTGGTATACATTACGACGGTAATCGTGACTGGCACTGGGTTGGCATTGGCATGGATAGAATCAACCAACAAAAAGACAGAGATTGATTTCTATCACTCTGAAAAGAAACGTGAAATGTGGGAATACGACAACTACATTGAAGGAGAGATTAAAGAGATGGTAGAACTCTATTGCAAAAAGGGTATGCCCGAACCAGATGCAGAAATCGTAGTTAATCTATTATCAAAATATAGAGATTTGTTTGTAGATATTATGATGGCCGAAGAATTAAATTTATTACCTGTAGAATTACATCTTTCACCAATGGAAACTGGTAAGAAAGAAAATATAATAATAATAATAATAATAATAACAATAATAATGATTATTAATTTATTAATTATTTTTTTCTAGGACTTTCAACATTATTTTCATTTATAACATTTGGATTGATTCCATTGTTACCATTTATTTTCTCACATATCATGTTTACAAAGTTACATCGAAACATTGTATTCCCATTATTTATTTTAATCGTTGAATCTATACTATTTATTTTTGGTGCCTTGAAGAGTAAATACTTTACTGGGTCATTGTGGAAAGAAGGAATTATAGCATCAATGAATGGTATCATTTCCATTTTAGGCTCACTTTGTGTTGGATATTATTTAGGTTATTTATTATCCTAAAGGATAGTATAGTATAGTATAGGATAGGATAAAAGTACAAAGTATACAACTTTTCAAATCAAATTCAAAAGAAAAAAAAAAAAAAGATAATAAAGAAAATGGAAAAAGGGTGTGACTGATTATATATATTGTCAATCACAAGTATAATTAATACTATACATTAATATTAATTTATTGATGATCTAAAAAATACAAAATTAAATCATCGATTGTTAGAGATTCATAATTTTCAAGATGAAGACAGTTGTAAGTAATATTAATATGTTGAGCAAGTTTAAAAGTACCATGGAATAAATTAGTTTGCATTACATTTACATAATCAATTATATTATCGAGATCACTCTCTTCTCCATTTGTGCTTGAATGGATAGTTTTAATGCAACGAACCAATGTTTCAAACAATATGACTGAACCTATTTTAGCTACACTCTCCCATATACATAAAATAGAATAGTTTGGTTTGATAAACCCTTTGACAAAAAGCCATTCTATAATATCCAATGCTTCGCATCTAATTGCCAAGTCTAGGTGATTTGTAACGATATATTCCTTGTTGAATGATGGTTGTGAGATTATATGGTTGAGATGATTTAAATCATTTGTAATGATGGCACTTGCTATTTCTAATCTTGGTACAATGTGGGCATGTGATGAGCCAGGCTCGGGGGGTTTGATATGCTTCTCGACAAGTTGATAGTTTCGTATCATTGAATGTGGGAACACTTTCAATTGGTCACGGCAGTCACCGGGACCACTGATAATCTTTGAACACTTGTCGAGCAAGATTCTAGCTTCTTTTGATTTGTCTTGTAGTAATAGACTATAAAACAACCCTCTCCATAATAGAGGTCGTTCTTTTTTGTTTTGGGTGGCATCCCAAAGAATAGTTTCAATTGATTCAATGGGAAGAGTTGCCATATCCCAACACCATTTATCTGTATCAATTGATGATCGATTATGAGTTGCTTTGAGCCTTAGGATAGGGTGCTGAACTGATCCTGATATATGGTACAACTCAACGACATTGTATTGGTCCATGACATACTTGATTTGTTCGAGTGACCCCATCCCAAATACCTTTGCCGCTATATCCTTTAGAATAATTGTATCACCACCCTTTAGTTCGACCTGGTAGGCAAGTTCAACTAATTGCGCTTTGCCACTCGCAACCAAAACTTCGTATATCCATGTAAGTAACTTGTATCCATAGAATCCAGCAGGTGTATATGGTTTCAACCTTTTGAATACCAAGTATCCAATACTATTATTATAGTCTTCTTCCGATGTTGATGATGATGACGTCTGTTGTTGTTGTTGTATTCCATATCCTTTTAATTCATTTATAATGACAGAGTACTCTGCTTTGAAAGCAGCTAATCCTATCTTTTGAAATAATAAGAATTTAACAAAAGTAGTTCCGCCGGCATGACCCAAATACCTATCCAAGCATTTGTCAAAGATAGTTCCACTAATCACACTTTGTGGACAGTCCTTGGTCGTGACTTGGAAGCAGTCTAAAGATAGACAGTATACCTCTGGTGGTACAACCACTGGATAGTGTGGAGCAAAGAGTTGATGAACTTGCTCGTCATCACATAGCAGAGCACTAATAGTTTCGTCAAATGTAAATCTAAATCCTTTTGGTATTTCATTATTTTCTTTGGCCCATTTCCAAAGTGGGATACATGATTTGGTAGGTATATGTTTTGCACCTAGTGACAATTGAATGGTCTCAAGACCATACCCTTTACCGTATTTAGATACGTATTGTTCGTCTTGATTAAGACTCGTTTGTATTAATTTATACCATGTAAAGTTATCGTGTTTTAAACTCCATCCCAACATATCTCTTATCCTTTCATAGTTTTTAGATTTGATTGCCCATTTATGCATCATTCCAACAATCAACTTTATCAATTCCAAATTATTATTATTATTATTATTATTATTTTGATTATTTTGATTTTGATTATTATTTTGATTATTAATGTCTTCTTCTTCTACTGTTACTTTCAAATGCATTGGTAACAAGTGATCATCATTTTGTGTCCAACTTAGATGAGTACCACGTGCGAGCAGGTCACCGAGCAGATGATAGTAACCACTCCTTAGCAACCATTGCATATCATATGTTTGGTGGTACTTGCGTAACCCATTGAACGGTAATGGGTCATACAAGTTGTTGTAATAAGCATCACCCAAATAAAGTGTCAAATGAATACCATGTACTTGTTTGAATATATATTTCATCAAATAACCATTTCTAAATAAATAAAAGAATGTATTTTCATCCATCTACTAATACAGATACAATTCAATATATACAGATATAAAGTATGTGTGTATTTAGTATAAATAAGATGATGATAATCATTTTCCTCCCACTTTGCTATTTTCTTTTTTTTTTTTGCAGAAGACAAGACGATCTTCACAACAACAAAACAAGCTAAAGGGGGGTCGACTGCACACTTCCCAACTTTTTTGTACATAATAATCATATAATAATCATAATAATAATAGTAGTAGTACTCTTTTGAATCTGTTTATAGATATTTAATTCAAAGTTAGTATATTTATTCAAGACTACTATAGTCATCATAATCATCATCTTGCAACAACAAAAGTAGATAGATAGTTACTAAAAAGAAAGAAGAAAGATAGATATATAGAGAGAGATTGAGAGAGATATCGAAATGGTCGATGTTGATCATTCTTCTACAACACAGACACCATCAACAACACAAGATGATTGCAGTGTGAGGGTTGCACTGCGTGTTAGACCGCTGAGTACCAAGGAGATAAATGAACGGTGCGAGGAGGTGGTGAGATATGTGGATCGCAGCCCGCAAGTGATTGTTGGTAAAGACCAGACATTCTCGTTTGACTATGTGTTTAGTTCCAAGTCGCGTCAACAAGAGATCTACGAGGCATGTGTGGCACCGCTTGTGCAGAGTCTGTTCCAAGGCTACAACTCGACGATTCTGGCATACGGCCAAACGGGCGCGGGCAAGACATTCACGATGGGTACCGAGTCGACGGTCGGCATCGAGCTAGAGATGCGGGGCGTGGTGCCGCGTGTCGTCGACCACGTCTTTTCGCTCGTAGAACACGAGATCAAGAACAACAACAAGTCTATAGTGCTCAAAGTATCGTTTCTCGAGCTGTACAACGAAGAGATTCGCGATATGCTGTCGCCAATGGTCGAGACGGGCGACGGAGGGCTGGCTATCCGCGAGACGGCCAGTGGCGAGGTATGCATCCCGGGCTTGTTTGAAGAGGTCGTGCGCACGCGGCGCCAGATGGAGGATGCGCTGACAAAAGGATCGTTGTCGCGTACTACCGGTTCGACACTCATGAACAACTCGTCGAGTCGGTCACACGCCATTTTCACCATCATTGTCGAGCAGCGCGACTTGCATCCCGACGAGCTACTAGCTGCCGATGGCGACGGCATCGAGCCGTCCATCCCCGACGAGCTCATTGCCGAGGGTGCCGGCGTCATCCGCTCCAAATTCCATTTTGTCGATTTGGCCGGCTCCGAACGTGTCAAGAAAACAAAGGCAGAGGGTCAGCGTCTCAAAGAGGGTATCAACATCAACAGCGGTCTCTTGGCACTCGGCAATGTCATCAGTGCACTCGGAGACACACGTCGTACCACCAAACCCAAACACGTCCCCTATCGTGACTCCAAATTAACCCGTATGCTACAATCCTCACTCGGTGGTAATAGTCGTACTCTTATGATTGCTTGTATTAGTCCTGCTGATTCAAATTTTGAAGAAACTCTCAATGTAAATAGATAGAAATAGAAATGATGAATATATTTAATATTTAATATGATTTATTTTACTTTTTAGACATTAAAATATGCATATAGAGCAAGAAATATTATGAACAAACCAGTTGTAAATGTTGATCCAATGACCAAACAAATCAACTTTTACAAAAGTCAAATACAAATATTAAAAGATGAATTGGTTAAAAAGAATAATTATAAAGAACAGGATGTTGAATCTTTAATTGGTGACTTGGAACCAAGTCAATTCTCAACATTGATTACTTCTCCAATTAAATCAATTCCAAAACCAAATTTATTTGACAATAATAATAATCAAAATAATAATAATAATCAATCATCATCAAATAATAATAATAATAACCAATCTTCTATGGCATCTACTTCATCTACTTCTACATCTGAAATTATAAATAATATAATGATGTCACCAACTCATTTAAATAATGTAAAGTTTCAAGAGAATATGAGAGTGTCACAATTAGAGTTTGAAAACAATATGTTGCAAGAGATATCGAATCGTGTCACATCAAAGTATAAATTATTATTGACTAAATACAAGGGTATGGAGGAAGCAGCCTATGGGTTTATCAATGGCTATACACCAACTAAAGATCCCAACAACGAATATTTGGATTTGTTTAATAGTTTTGATTCGATTCTAAACAGTGAACATCACCAAAAACAAATGACACAGGATGGTGGTGGTGGTGGATCTGATACAGAACCAGAGGATACATCCCCAACATCAACAACATTTACATATCCACTAGCGTCAGAGTCATTTGATAATGATACAGACCAGTTACTCAACGAAAATGAGCAGCTATCAGATCTCAACCAATACATTGTACAAAAGGAAGAGGAACTAGAACTCATTAGCAAGACACAGGCTCAGTACCAACAAATGAAGGAAAAGTACGACTCGCGATTAAAAGAACTAGAAGTACAACTCATTGAAATGAAGGAAGAACGAGAAAGAGAGTTGAAAACATTGGAAACTAAAAAGAAGGGTGATAATCCTAGTGCTGCCACACCCAACTCACCAGAATACGACTCGGAGAAACAACGGTTGGTACAGTTATACGAAAAGAAGTTGTCAGAGTTAAAGAATCAATTAGAGAACCATATGAAGTCGAGAAAAGAGCATCAACGATTACTCGAACTCAAGAACAAGTCGGATGAAAAGATTGAATTGCTCAATAATGACATTCGAGACATGAAACGACAAAAGAGCGAAATGATCAAGCGTATGCGTGACGAAATGAAAAAGAAAGATGAAGCCAAACAAGTACAACAAAAGGAATTGGAAGCTCTCAAAAAGGAACAGAAAAAGAGTGAAATCTTGATTGATCAACTTAAAAACCAATCGAAAAAGAAAGATCTATTATTACAGAAAAAGATTGATGAAAGCGAAGTCATCAAAAAGAAATTAAAAAATTTGGAATCAAAACCTTCAAAGTCAACAACTTCTACAATAAGTAAACCACCTGCTGCTCCTATTAAAAGTAATAATAATAGTTCATTTAAATCAAAAACTACTTCCTCTTCAACAACGACCAAACCTTCCACTGCAACAACTTCAAGTAAAACAGTTTCTACTTTATCACAAAAACAACAACAAACAACAAATTGGAGAGAATGGTTACAAAGTCAAGTTAATAGAACATTGGCAAAGAATGAATTGACTGATCAGTTGGATCGATACTTGTCGGCCAAGGACATGTATGTCAAAGAGTCGAACCGATTGAAACAACAGTATTCGTCGGCTGGCAATAAGATGACCCGTCCAGAATACAACGAACAGTGGCAATTCATAGAGTCCAACATCAAGACGCAAAACGAAAAGATTTCACGTGTCCAAAAGGATTTGGCAATCATATCGGATGACTGTCTCGACTCTGCCGAGATTATGAGAAAGATTTCAACTACACCCTATGAAAAGTTGCCTTCTCTTATTCAAGCTTCGTTTGAACTTTGTGTTGAATATGCAGAAACCAACAAACAACCACAGATTAGTCCTCCTCAACCAACACAATCAGCAATGTCAAATGTTATGGTTGCTGCTGGTAGTGGTAAAATTAAACCTTCTCCATCAAATGATAATATGTTGGAAATGCGTGTAGCATCTTCAACACTTATCCAAGGTATCAAGGATGCCAAAAAACAAGAAGAGGAACGTGAAAAGCAACAACAAATGATATTAGAGTCAAAGTTGATCAATGAAATCAACCAAGATAAAAAATTAAACAATCAAATGCAACTACATCTTCCAGAGACTATGGCCGACTTGTCTCCTCCTGTTCCTTCACTCCCAACTTTTACTCCTTCTCCTCCGAGTACAACAACAACAACAACCTCATCCAACGATATTGATTTCCTTAAAGAAATTGAAGAATTACAACAAAAAATTAGGCAATCATCTTTATCTTTTCCCGATGATCAATTATTGGAACAAAAACAACAACCCAACAACCATAATCCTATTACTTCACAATCCAATTTAATATCACCAACTAGTACAACTAGTACAACTACACCTTTAACTTCCTCATCCTCTACTACTACGACGACTACATCAAAAACAACAGAATCAAAAGTAGATCAACTTTTAGATGAATTAAAATCTGCCAAAGAGAGATCACAAAATCGTCATCAACTTCGACGAAATAATAGTAGTAATCTTTCAAGTACCAATTTAACTAGTATATCTGTTACACCTTCACCTCCTTCTGCTTCCACTCTGCCATCACCAATGATGAGTCAAAGTTTACCAAGTAATCTTGGTGGTATTGGTGATGATGAAAATATTGTATTCGATCAAAATATTCTCGATGTCGATATGGATTCTAAAAAGATATCAAATTCTCCCAAGTCATTGTCTTCTACTACAATGATGAGTGGACAAAGAAAAGGTATTGGATTATCGGCAGACAATATTCCAGTCTTGTTAAATAGTCCAACTTCTGCACAAGAGAATGATGTGTTTGCTAGATTGTCTGCACCACGACCCGACAGCAGACTCAAGAAATATCGTGATAAACTCAAAGGCGATGTCTACCGCCAATCAATATCCACCAAGAAACAAGACTCTACAGACAACTTTTTGCGATCCAATTGGAGTTTTACTGGCCATGACGGCAGTGTGCTCTGTCTGGTCTACCATAATGGCGGACAAGACGAAGGCAGTGGATCGTCTGGAATATTGTATAGTGGAGGACAAGACAAGATCATCAAATTGTGGGATCTGAATAGCGGCGATTGTATTGGTGATTTGCAAGGTCATAGCGGACCCGTCCGATCAATGACTGTGCATACAGCCAGTGGACTGTTGTTCTCTGGTGGGTCAGACCGCGTCGTCAAAATCTGGGACACTAGAATGAATAACAATAGCAGCAGTAGCAGTAGCAGCAATAGTAGTAGTACAACAGCAGCAATCGCACCTCTAAAAATACCAAATGAACTATTATGTATGGTTTCGTATGGAAACTATGTGTTTGGTGGTATGGAGAATTGTTCGGTCAAGGTATGGGATGTGCGGTCTATGCGGTCACTCAAGACACCTCTCTCACGACGCGACACTAACAACTCGGCAACAAGCAGTGTCTTTTCAATGTGTACGACGTCCAAGTATCTGGCATGTGGTTCACGAGACCACACCATTACACTGTACCACCGCGACTCTCTCGAAATGGTGCAACGTCTGCAGCCCCATCATTTGGACGGTGTCAACAGCCTTTGCGTGGTGGGTGACGAGGCTATCATCAGTGGCTCTCGTGACAAGACTATCAAACGTTGGGATGCCGTCCAATCACCCCCGTCCCCTCCTCCCAACTACCAACAAACTAAAATTGCGAGCAATTCACACCAGGATTGGGTTACATCTTTGGCGTATCACAATGGACAGCTCTACTCGAGTGGTCGAGACTCAACTATAAAAGGTTGGGATCCATCAACTCTGCTGGCGAGCACCTCCAACCATCTGCTCCTTGGTCACGAATCGGCCATCAATTGTATCATAAGTCAAGGCTCAAACTGTTTGTTATCAGGTTCATCTGATAAATCTATTAAATTATGGAAAGTTTAAAGAGGAACAAGAACAAGAAGAAGAAGAAGAATCCAAAATTAAATTGGATATCCCACTCCTTTGGAATTAATAAAACCCAAAGGGATTATTAATAATCCAAATTATATTATTTATATTTATGTATATATTTCATCGAATCAAGATGAAGATGGGGTGGGGATACAATTTTTTTCAAAAAATACAGCCTTTAACATTTCAAACTATCACACTTCACCTTTATCAATTAATTAAATAATTATTAATTTAAATAACAAAGAAAAAAAGTAGAGGAATACACTCTCCTACTCAAAATTACTGCAAAAGATATTTTGTACAACAACAAAAATAATAATAATAATAATAATAATAATAATAATAATAATATTTAATGACAATTTATTTATCACAATATTTACAAAAATATATTATTAATATTTATATTTTGACAGAATCAAATCAACATGAAGAAAAGGATACATTTACAGGAAGAGAATACTGGTATTATATGTTTAATGGAGAGAAGAGGGGAAAGATGGATCCACTACCAAGTACTACTCGGATGGTTGATATTGCATTGGTATCAAAGTGGTGGTTAAAAGTGGTCAGACAGAGATCATCGATAAATACAGAGATACTTCAATCAATTCATTCAAAACAATATTCAAACTCTTAAATGGTCATTAAAAGAACCCAATCATTCTCATCAATTAACATTCAATTATACAAATCAATTGGTGCAATTTCTACCTCAACTACAAACCATCAACCTTCGATGTGATGACAATGCGAATATCCCTGTTTTGATGTCCCTGAAATCAATTAGACAACATATACTTCCTCACCTCGAAATCAACATTGAATTTCATCTCAATGCAAAAAGAACATATGGAGATATCATGTGGCCTATAAATTCGTTTAGTAGAGGGTTGGGAGTGAACACAGTGGCGTTGGGAATTCTTTTCTATTCAATCGACTTTATCCCAATGGTCAGAGATCTACACCCACAATCTCTCAATCTTTACAATGGATCCTTGGAGGAAGGATTTCCTCATCTCCCATACTCTAAATTATTCAGTCATCTAACTGGATCAATCAAACATCTCAACATTGGCTACGATTTTGTAGAGTTGTCTGAATTAAGATTTTTGGTTGATGACAATCAATTTATGCACTTGGAATCACTCAAGGTCAATTTAATGACCTATACTTTGTATGAACTAAAATCAACTTTCTTACCCGAATTACCATTCGAATTGCCTTTCGAACCAAATGTTCAATATGAATCTTCAATGACAGACTGGATCGAATTTTGTTCCAATCTATACCAAAATACAACTCTCAAAAGATTGTATCTTTGCGATCGCCCAGGCAATCAATCCTCTCGCACCAAATTACAGACTTTTCAACTGGCATTTGAATCAATCAGGAGTGGTCCTAGCGGTGGAGGTAACTGTAAGATAGACTATCTTGCTTTGAAATGTATGCCAAATGTCATGTCTGTCAACTTTTGGAATACACTATGTCATGTCAATGGAATTACCAAACTATTATTGACCAATGGAACAGTCACTGATGATATGATTCCATATCTTGCCAATCTAGTTTCTACCAACACAACTATTACAGTTCTATCAATTAGAGGTAATGAGTTGGATTTTAACAATGAATTGGAACAAGCATTCAAACAAAACAAAACAATCACAGTATTGGATATTGGCAGAAATTTTTGTCAAGATGATGATAATCATTTTGATGAACCATCCTCCTTTTTCAATGCTTTGTTGTACAGTGATACAATACTTGTTCTTGGAAGTTGAAACCAACAGTGAATTACTTCAAGTTAAGTATCCATACTTTACACAATCCACATCATTAAAGGAGTTTTTTTTAGAACAAAGTAGTGAACCTTACTTTAACAATAGTTTATTTAAATAGAAAGTGTCAATAAAATAAATACGTTGACTACATTTGTTTTTAAATTGTCACATGTCATCTCTCAAGATAAGCCGCTTGAGGATCATTCGTTCATTCATATTTTTACAATATAGATAAATAATGACAGCAGTAGAATTATCACTATTTATACAAAGTTGTATCATTAGATTGTTGATCGATCAACAATCAAATTTACATGAAGACAAAGATACGTATAAAGGAACTGAGTATTGGTACATAGTGTTTAATGGAGAAAAGAGAAGACAACAACCAATCAAAGCAATAAATGTGATAGACATTGCATTGGTTTCAAAGTCGTGGTTACAAGTGGTTAGACAGAGATCATCAATCTTTTTAAAGGGTCATTTGGACAGTAAATTGAACTCTTTAATACTCAAATCAATACAATCAAGTAGTCATTCAATCTACTCTTCGAAAAGTATACAAACACTAAAATGGTCATTAAATGAAATAGATATCTATCTTGAATCAACATTTGACTATTCAAATCAATTAATGCAACTATTACCTAGTCTACAAACCATCAACCTTAGATGTTTTGGCCTTGTGAATGTACAAGTTATGAAAGCATTGAAATCAGTACAACAACAACATCCTCATCTTGTAATCAACATAGAGTTTGATCTCAATGGAGGATACCACCAAGACCAAGATATCGAGTGGCCATCATCATTGGAAGGGTTTACACCCAACACTGTGTCTTTGGGAACTAGAGATTTCAAAAAACGGATCATTTTTGGTGACCTTCCACGCTATCCTAGCCAATGTATCAATATGATCAAAGATCTTCAACTGCAATCACTCAATTTGTACACTGTCTATAATGAAGATGGAGTAAGACATATTCAATACACGGACCTATTCAAACACCTCAAATCAATCAAACATCTCGGCATTGGCTATGATTTTGTAGAGTTGGCAGAATTAAAACATTTGGTTGATGTTAATCAATACATTCAATTGGAATCTCTAAAGGTGGATATATTGCCCTGTATTTTGTATGGCCAACACCCACACAGAGAAGGCAATCACATAGAGTTTCATTACGACCATTCAATGAACGACTGGACCGAATTTTGTCAAAACATTGCCAATAATACAACTCTCAAAAGATTACATCTAGGTAACAGTGGTTGTGACAACCATCGTCAACCAATTGACCACGAGAAATTAAATACATTTCAATTGGCATTTGAATCAATCTGGAGTGGTGGTGGTGGTGTTGGTTATAGTAGTGGAAAGATTCCAAACATTGACTATCTGGCTTTGAGATCTATGCCAAATCTAATGACTGACAATATGTGGAATACATTATGTCATGCTAATTGCCGTCACATCACCAAATTACTATTGAACTATGGAACAGTGACCAATGATATGGTTCCATCTCTCTCGAATCTAATTGCAACCAACAAAACGATTACAGTTCTATCAATTAGAGGTAATGAGTTGGATTTTAACAATGGCTTGGAACAAGCATTCAAACAAAACAAAACAATCACTCTCTTGGATATTGGTTACAATTTTTGCAATGACTACCATGATGGTCATGACACCTCATTTTTCAACGCCTTGTTGTACAGTGACACTGTCCAATTTTTATTCTTTGTTGTTCGCAGATGTAAATCCAAACAACTGCTTCAAGAAAAATATGCATACTTTAGTGAATCAAAATCATTAATAGAATTTCATTTCGATTTAATTTCATCTGATAGTTCTCCCTACTTTAACAATAGTTTATTTAAATAGAAAGAAGACTGTCAATAAAATAAATACAACTACATTTGTTTTTTTGTCTATATGATGAGATTCATCTCTCAAGTCCGCTTGAAGATCATTCGTTCGTTCGTTCATTCATTTTACAAATAGATAAATGACAGCAGTACAATTATCACTATTTATACAAAGTTGTATCATTAGATTGTTGATCGACCAACAATCAAACCTACATGAAGACAAGGATACGTATAAAGGAAATGAGTATTGGTACATAGTGTTTAATGGAGAAAAGAGAAGACAACAACCAATCAAAGCAATAAATGTGATAGACATTGCATTGGTATCAAAATGGTGGCTACAAGTGGTTAGACAGAGATCATCTGTGTATTTCAAAGGTCATTTAGATACCGTGATACTCAAATCAATACATTCAAGTAATCATTCAATCTATTCATCAAACAGTATACAAACACTAAAATGGGCACTTCAAGGATTAGATCATTACACCAAATCAACATTTAACTATGAAAAGCAATTAATGCAACTACTACCTCACCTGCAATCTATCAACCTCTTATGCAAAGGCAATGTTAACATACAAGTTTTGGAAGCACTCAGAGCAATACAAAAACAACAATATCCTCATATAGTTATCAACACCGAGTTTGATCTAAATGGAATAGACAGCATAGATCACAGTTTCATCGAGTGGCCAGCATCATTGGAAGGGTTTACACCCAACACCGTGTCTTTGGGAACATGTGATTTCAATCCATGGGGATTTTTTCATGAAAACTCTTATCAAGACAACTTTATCGATATGATCAAAGATCTTCAACCACGGTCACTAAATCTGTACACGAATAGTGGTCAGAATGTTGGTGTTCCACATATTAAATACTCCGACCTATTCAAACATCTCACATCAATCAAGCATCTAAACATTGGCTACGATTTCGTAGAGTTTGCAGAACTAAAACATTTAGTTGATGTTAATCATTACATGCAATTGGAATCGCTAAAGGTGGATATAGTATCAAGGGTTTTGCTTGTTCATCCTTTCTCCGACTCGAGTTATCACTATAACACTTCGATGGACGATTGGATCGAATTTTGTAATAACCTATCCAAAAATACAACCTTGAAACGATTACATCTAGGTGACTACCAACAAGACAGTTTCTATTTTGAACCCGTCAAATTAAATACATTTCAATTGGCATTTGAATCTATTTGGAGTGGTGGTGATAGTAAGATTGACTATCTTGCTTTGGAATGTATGCCAAATGTAATGACAGACAATATGTGGAATATTCTTGGCAATTGTCAGAGTATCACCAAATTACTATTGACTCATGAAACCGTGACCAATGAAATGGTTCCATCTCTCGCCAATCTTTTATCAACCAACACAACTATTACAGTTCTATCAATTAGAGGTAACGAGTTGAGTTGGAGCAATGACCTGGCAGAAGCATTCAAACAAAACAAAACAATCACAGTCTTGGATATTGGCAAGAATTTTTGTAAGGATTATGATGATGTTGATGATACATACTCGTTTTTAAATGCCTTGTTGTACAGTGATACTGTCCAATACTTATTCCTCCATTCTCAGTCTCAGGATAGACTTGAGATCATCAAGGGATCTCCATACTATATTCAATCAAAATCATTAAAAGAATTTAATTTAGATTTTATTTCTGTCAATGATTCACCCTACTTTAATAATAGTTTATTTCAAGAGTGCCAATAAATCAAAATGGCTAGTTATTATATTTATAACAGTTACTACAAAGAATCAAAGATAAAACAATTACAGCCAACAACAATATAATATATATAGTTCATCATGATTGAAGATGTTGGAATTTAAAAGAAACAATTCAAATATCTTGAAAATATTCTTTTCGGTCCAGATTTTTGATGAGAGGTTTTTTTAATGAGTTCATTGATATGATCATCTCTTGTACAAATAATATAAATGTCTGACATTCAATTATCACAATATATACAAAGTTGTATTATAGAAAGATGGTTTGGATCAAACTTGCATGGTGACAAGGACACCTTTCAAGGTAGGGTGTATTGGTTTATGATGTATAATGGAGAGAAGAGAAGATCTGTAGAACCAATCGCCACAACTCGGATAATAGACGTCGCATTGGTTTCAAAGTGGTGGTTAAAGGTTGTTAGACAGAGATCATCAGTCTATTTTAGAGGTCAATTGGACGCTTTAATACTCGAATCAATACATTCAAGTAGTCATTCAATCTACTCTTCAAACAATATTCATACACTAAAATGGTCACTTAAAGGACTAGAGAACTTTCGAGGATCAACTCTCAACTATTCAAATCAATTAATGCAACTACTACCTCACCTACAAACCATCAACCTTAGATGTGATGGTAAGGTGAATGTACCAGTAATGGAAGCACTCAAATCAATTCAACAGCAACATCCTCATATAGTTATCAACATTGAGTTTGCTCTCAATGGAGGTACTCACAACTTGGACGAAAATATCGAGTGGCCGCCATCGTTGTATGGGTTTACTCCCAACTCAGTGGCATTGGGGACAAGCGATTTCAATCCATATATATTTTTTGATGGCAGTGACTATCCGAGTGAATGTATCAATATGTTCAAAGATCTTCAACCACAATCACTCAATTTGTACACTGACGGCGTTACCTCTAAACATATCAAATACTCAAATGTTTTCAAGCACCTCACATCAATCAAACATCTCAACATTGGTTACGATTTTGTAGAGTTGTCAGAATTGAAACATTTGGTTGATGGCAAACAATACATGCACTTGGAATCGTTAAAGGTCGATTTAATCACTAATATTTTGTATGGTCACCTGCCACATCGCGATTACTCACACTTACGGTTTCATTACAACGATTCACTAGACGATTGGATAGGATTTTGTAATAACCTCTTGAACAATACAACTTTAAAACGATTACATCTCTCTGACAGTGATGATAACCCCGATCATCCATTAGATCCGAATAGATTAAACGCATTTCAATCGGCATTTGAATCAATCTGGAGTGGTGGAGGTAACAGTAAGATTGACTATCTTGCTTTGATATACATGCCAAATGTCATGTCTGCCAACCTATGGAATAAACTATGTCATGTCAATTGTCGTATCACCAAATTACTATTAAACAATGGAACAGTGACCAATGAAATGGTTCCATCACTCGCCAATCTAATTGCTACCAACACCACTATTACAGTTCTATCAATTAGAGGTAACAAGTTAAGACAATTGAACAATGAATTGGCTGAAGCATTCAAACAAAACAAAACAATCACCGTATTGGATATTGGTTACAATTTTTGCAATGATTATCAAGAGGCCTCATCTTTTTTCAATGCCTTGTTGTGCAGTGATACTGTCCAATATTTTTTCCTCAACAGTTTATTTAAAAAGAAACATCCCTCTGAAAAATTTCTTTATTTTAGTCAATCAAAATCATTAAAAGAATTTATGTATGACAGTAGTGATGATCCTCCACACTTTAACAATAGTTTATTTTCAAGTTAAATAAATATTAACTCTCAACTTCAAATAAATTGGATAGTATCTTTAAACAAAAACAAATTATTATCTATTCCTTTCTTTTGGTTGTTAGCTGTGTGGTCTTGAGTAGATAATCCAAGAAATATTTTTCCAGCAAGTCTGGACAATGCAAGAGCTTTTCTGGCAAATGGAATGTTTCCTAATTGGTAACTGAAATGAGCAATATGTAGATATAGATCAACACATAAATAGTCAAGTGGTACAAGAGGAGTTGGAATACTAATGGTAATTGGATCAAATGAAATCTTTGAATTCTTCTTTTTGTTGTTGTTGTTGTTGTTATGTGATCGGAGATCTGATTGATCTAATTTGAGACCAAGAATATTGAGACATTCTAAATGAGCTTTAAATGCTTTTTCAGATGAAGAAATTGAGTACAAGAGTGCAAGTGCAGAGGTTGGATGGAATAATTCAAAGGCAAGAGAACGTTGATCTTCATTTTTGTAGGTTCTCTTTAGAGCTTGGATATGCTTTTCAATGACTGGAATCACTGTCTTGTCAAATTGATGAACTCGGCGAGAGTAATTATCTTGAAAGAATTGATAAAGACGTTGTCTTTCGTTTATACTTTGAGGTGCTTCCAGACGATCCAACTCACACAGCTGGCAATGACAATTGGTGATGCCAAACGATTCCAATGTTTTTTTTCTTTCTGGGTACGAGTTGACATTTGGAACATAAGAGATAAAAATCTCTTGGTTTGCTTTGAGGTTGGTTGCAGAATACATAAACATCATGTCACCAATAAAGAATCGTGAAACACTATCCAGGCAGTTGTGATTTATGAGCGATGGTAATGGCCACAACCCACTTCTCTTTGGTTTCTTGTCATCGCCAAATGCATTGTGTTTGATGATACCTCTTATACGATCTACGGAAAGAGGTGCCATTGGATTTGACAAGTCTTCCATCTTTACTTTGAAATCGTCTAGGGTTATTTCCTCTTTAATTGGCACCTCAACTGGACCACTATAGAGTTTGACTATTTGTCTTGTAATAAAAGGATTGTTTTTGGCTGCTTGACTTGTCAAACCAATCGATTTGACAGCGTTCATGTCATTGAATGTTTGTCCACGAAGATCAATATCCATGAGCTGGTCCTTTTCATTGTCAATGATTACACCAACACCTTTTGACACAAGTAGCAAGGTTCCAACAGGTACATCTCTAGTGACAGCGATGCCACGACCCATCTTTTCAGTTGAAATTATTTTGATTGGTCCAATATATTCACTGCAATCTGCTTCAAGGGTCTTGTTGAATTGTTCACGAATGGCTTTAAAGTTGTATTGACCATTGCCTCTTTCAACTATACGTTCTTTAGCATTTTTCACATAGTTGATTGCTTCTTGATTCTTTGGTGATAGTGTCAATAGTTGTTGGTAGTATTCCAAGGCCTGTTCATAGAGACCGAGACTGTAATACGACTTGGCCATTCTAGCATAGACCTTTAGTTCATTGGGTATCTTTGACAAGAGCAAATGACCGAGTGGAATACATTCATGGTATCTCTTGAGTGCCAATAATGCTGCAAGTTTGTTGAGCAGCATAATATTATGGTCTGGGTCGATTTGAAGAGCTGAACCATAACATCCAAGAGCACGTTCATAGTTTTGTTTGTTATAATAATCGTTTCCTCTGACACGCCATCCTTCAATATCCTTTGGTATACTAGCAATCAGCGGATCTTTCCATTTTTGGCTGTAGAGATGAGGATAATTAGGGTCCTCAATAATCTCTACATCACTTGGATTATCAACACGAACAGCCAAGTTACCAGCTACAGTAACCTTGAAATAGGGTTCCTTGATAGCTAATACCACTCCAACTGGAAAGGCTGCGTTGATTTGGGCCTTAATTGATCCGTTGTTTCCCTGCAATACAAAGTTGTAAAGGGAGACTTGTAATGCCGATGAATCTGGTTGATAGGTATGGGCGTCCTGGTCTTCTACGAGTAGATGAATTGCATTCATCTTGTACGACTCTACTACACTTTTGACTATCAACACTCTACCAGTGTGAGTATGTTCGACCAATAGATCGCGAATCAAGATTGGTTCCAATGTCGATGATTGCATGGTCGATGGCTCCTTGGTCAAGCTACTCTTTGTGGTTGAGGTTGTTAGCATGTGTTTTTTATCCTTATTCTGTAATTCAAGATTATTCCAGGCATCTTTGTGTATCTTGATGAATTGTGATCTACTTGTGTGATTCAAAGGGTTTCTCGTTCCCTTTAATCTTTGTTGTATTTCATCAACTTGTCCGCTTTGTGCTCTTTGAATCATGTATGGGTTCGGATCCATGCCTTTCATTAATGACATCATTTTGTAGATGTCTTGTTCATTGTACTCCATATTATCTATATATATATACAATCTGTATGTCTGTCTAATATTATAAGTAAAAAGTATTGAATGACAAAAAAGTATGATCCAAAAATTTTAATTCATAGCTAACCCCTTTGCTAACTCTCAGAGTCTCCATACTTTAACAATAGTCTATTCAACAAATAAAATAAATAAATTATTTATTAATTAATAATTGATGTTGGATCCTTTTGTGATTATATATATGATATGAGGAGGGTTTGAATATGAATTATATTATTATTTATAAATATAGGGAGCGGTTGATTTTTTATTATTATTATTATTAATATTATTAATTTGATTTTTTATTATTTATTATTATTATTATTATTAATATTATTAATATGATTATTTATGAATGACACAAAATGAAGAAATTACAATTTCTAAATCCTTCAATAATGAGTCTTTTTCTTCTTGATTCTCTGTGAAAAACATTAATACTTGATCTCCGTGACCTCTTAATTCAAAAGCATTCTTGGACACTGTACCATAAGTTCCTAAGTTAAAAAGAATTAAATAAATAAATTAATATTTATACATCTATTATCTATTTTTTTTTACATACTTTGTCCATCAGCAATATTTCTAATTTTAATATTATTTAAATACATGATATTTTTGAGTTGTAATTTCTTTTTACTTTCCTTGGCAATGAGGATCAAATCATTGAAAAGATAATAGATTCTTTCCTTTCGTTTCTCTTCCTCTGGATCGTATTGTGAGATTTTACCCTCACGGATGAGGAAACGGTCGTGTGAAACCAAATTAAACTCCTTTGGTTTTGGTTCGATACGATTGTAGATATTGGTCAGTGTTTGGATACGAATCTTTTCCTTCTCTTCCTTTCTTTGGTTTTCGTTGACATCAGTGCAGATGTCTTGGATTTCAAAGAGTGATATACATAGACTATCGTAGTCTGGGTGTGATGGTTTGGTGTATCGGATAATTTCCTTTAATAGTAATAAATAACGAGTGATTCTTTGTACAGGTGTAATGAGAAGAGCTTGGAGATTGGTACCGGTTGCACTGCCATTGGTCCATAAACTTTTCTCGGCATTTTTCAAGTAAAGTTTAAATTGACTCTTTGAGTTTGACAACTTCTCAATTGTGGATAAAATATCTTGGAAAGATAATGTAAAATTATTATAAATGGTTTTAAATTCTTCTTGTGTTACCTAAAAAAAATTAAAAATTAAAAATAAAAAAGAAAAGAAAAAGAAAATAAATATATTATTCTCATCTCATCCTTTTTTGTTTAGTTTTACTTACAACATCAATTAATACATCTCCAATTTTTTGAACTGAATTCCATTTGGCAATACGTTCAACTAATCTTCTACATAATAAACTATTAAAACTAAGAATGATTTCGTGTTTTCCAAAAATGGTTTCAATATCGTCTTCTGAGATGAGTGGCTTCTCGGCAGAGCAAAGACCCTTGAGTGGGAATGCAAATTGCTCAACCAACTTTTCGAGACCGTCGACATAGGTGTGTTCAGTGTAGACGAGTTCTTTGACAGCCTTGGTACGGAGAATCTCACGCTTGTACTCTTTACGACACTTCCAACGACGGACATACTTTTGGAGTATAACAGCAGCTTCGTCTTGGGTGAGAACACGCTTGGGTGGGATAAATACACTTTCAAACGATGCTGACAGGTCAGTCGAGTCGGATCGTGGTTTGAGGTGGGTGGTGGTAGTAGTAGAGTGGTGACTACTGCTTGTCGACGAACTGTGACTCGAGGTGGAGCTAGTTGTCACAAATGCCTGTGTCTTTTGCTTGAGTTCATTCAATTCAAACGAGACTGACTTTTTATCCTTGGTCACTGGTGTTGGTGCCGACACTGTCTTGGCACGTGTCTTGGTGCTGGCTGCAGCAGGCACAGAGTTGGTGTTCTTTTGGTCTTGTTGTTGTTGGATCTTGGTAGCTGCAAGCTTGTCGATAATATCGCCCTTGATAACTGGCGACGATGAATGCCATTCGTCAATATGATCGGAAATCGATCTTTCATTGGGGAACTTTTGTTGACAAATAGGACATGACATGGTTGTATCGCTACCAGCAGTCTTGGCAGTTGCAGTCGAGCTAGTTGCCTTGGCAGGTGGTTTGGCGCTAGTATGAATATTTTTCAATTCATTCTCAAGACGACGTTTCTCTGCGGGGTTGGTAGTTGGATTACGCGATATATTTGGTGATACATTTGAAGTACTAGTGGTGGTTTGTTGTTGCTGTTGTTGCGACGATGACGACGACGAGGTGGTTGTAGTTGTCGTGGCAAACCCATCAAACAAATCGGTGAGAAAGGCATTGTTTGAGTTTGGTGATGTGACGTTGGTGGTCGTGGTCGAACTGTTGGCAGTGCTGGTGCTAGTGCTAGTATTGACAAGTGGAGTGGGTGGAATGTGAGATGTCTTTTTGACGGTTGGGGGTGGTGGATTCAAAAGATTCTGTTGTTGCTTTCTGGCTTGTTGAGCCTGTCTCTCCTTTTCAATTCTCTCTTCAAACTCGCGACGCAACTTTTCTTCAACCTCTTTTCTAATCTTTTCCTCTACCTTTTTGTACTCTTCCTCTGAGAATCCAGTAGGTGGTGACGAAATGAATGGCTGTGCGGGTGCTGCATCCCTTGGTGATAAAATAGATGTTGCCGTTGAAGATGCTACCAATGCATCGATGGATTGGTAAGTGTTTCTCTTTGGTTCAATAATAAATTGTTCAAATGTAAATTGATTTGGATTTTGTTGTTGTTGTGGTTGAACCATAGTTGATGATGATGAATTTACACTAGTATTTGTAAATGAACTACTACTAGTAAATTGTTGTTGTTGTAATAATTGTTGTTGTTGTTGTTGCAATTGTTGTTGTTGGAACTGTTGTTGTTGTTGTTGTAATTGCTGTTGTTGTTGTAACAATTGTTGTTGTTGCATTTGTTGTTGTTGTTGTTGCATTTGTTGCTGTTGTTGTGATGTCTGTTGTGGTTGTTGTTGTTGAGGTTGAATGATTGAAGATAAAGCAGCACCGGAAGCATGTTTGTTTGGATTGGCAAATGCAGAACTTTGAAGATGTGATGGAATGGGTGGAATAGCACCACCAGACATGGTTGTACCAGGAGCTCCGGCCGACAAGGCAGTAAGTGGGACGTTGGCACCACCAGAGTTGATCATCGATGGGTTTGGCTTTGGAGCAGATGTGTTTGGCAAACTACCAGTCAATGAAACGGGATGAGACATTAAACCACCATTATTTGCACCTAAACTCGAGGTTGGTGAGACGAGGTTACCTTGCTTTTGAGGTGAAATGGATGATTGTGGAGAACCACCCATTCCCGACACAAATGGTATGTTGGATGGAGGCATACCAATAATCTGTGCCACACCACCTCCTGCTACTGGGACAAATTGTCCCTGTTGTTGAATAGTGTTATTATTACTACCTTGAGATCCAACTCCACTTGGCATCTGTCTTTGTGTGGTTGGTTGAGGTGGTGGTGATAGAATGGCTGTAGTGATTTGTTGTTGTGACGACGAAGAAGATGATGAGGTTTGTTGCATCATTCCTCCTCCACCATTACCAACATTTCCCATTTGTACAGTATTCTGTTGCTGAATGGCCATCAAAAACTGTTGTTGTTGGTGTGGGTTCATCATCATAAACTGTTGTTGTTGTTGTGGGTTGAGCATGATCATTTGCTGTTGTTGTGGATTCATCATCATCATTTGTTGCTGCTGTTGTTGTTGTTGTTGTTGGAACTGTTGTTGTTGTTGGGGAGACATTGCCAAGAGGTCTAGTTGAGAGGGTGTGGTTGGCATGTTGGGCATGGTCGAGACCATCTGGTTGCCCATCATATTGTGCTGAGGATGCATGTTTGGCATGGTGTTTATGTTGCCGGGGTGGTATATGTGTTGTGGCACCAACGTGGGTGAATGAAGACTATTGACAATCTCTCTGTATTTAGAGTCGTCGGACCAGTTGGCAGACTTGTATTGTGGTCGCACCTTTTCTTGCTCGAGCGAGTGGAATGGATCGTTGTCGTTTGTTGGGAACCATCTATTCTTGGTGTCCTGTCCACCACTATTCATCATCATTTGTTGTTGTTGTTGTTGTTGTTTTCCACCACTATTTATGAGTGAGCTATTGACGCCGCCGCCACTAGCCGTACCATTTCCACCACTATTGATCATGTTTCCGTTGCCGTTGCCGTTGCCGTTGCCATTTCCACCACCACTGCCGCCCGCTGTTATAGGATGGCTGCATCATCATATTTTGGCCGTTGCCACCCGATCCAACCATCTGCTGTTGGTTGTTGTAGCCACCTCCTCCTACCATCTGCTGTTGGTTCATTCCACCCATTCCACCCATTTGATTCATTTGGTTCATTTGATTCATTTGACCCATTTGGCCCATTTGCTGTTGTTGTGGATTCATTCCGCCACCGACCATCATGTTGGATGGCTGGGGAGTGAGAGCAGGTGGCAATGTATTCTGTTGTATAAATCCATTGTTGTAGTATACTTGTTGGTGCGTTTGCGAAAATGATTGATTCATGAAATATTGTTGATTTTGATACTGATTGACTACAACACAAATAATACAAATAGAATAATAAATATAAATATTTCTTCTTCTACTCTTTTGTCATAATATTATAGCTTACCATTATTCTGACCCTGCATCGCGAAGAGAGAGAAATAATAAATCTATCTGCTTTTTGTTGTTGTTGTACTACTTGTGTATATAAATATAAATATTGTCAAGAATAGTGTTCAAGGTTATCCTATTAATATTGTTCCGCTATTGTTGTAGTTGTAGTTGTTGTTGTTACTCTTAAAAATACAATAAATAAATAAAAAATAATATATATATATATATAAATTGTAAACCTAGATGATGGAGAACTAATAATCGTTGAATGTTAATATATATTATACATATAGCGCTATATTTTAAATAATGATGTATAAAATGTAAACACAACCAACAATATAAATAGATGAATGAAAACAAATAACACAAATATAATGTGAAAGAAGAAGAAGGAGAAAAGAGATTAGATTATTTGTTTACCACAAAAAAACAAAACAATAAACAAATATTTGCTACACTAAAAGACAAACAAAAAAAAATCAATTTTAAAATAAATAAAAGTGATTGTATAAATTATTATAATAATGATGATAATAATGATTGTATTGTGGTTGGTGGTATTGGTATTGGGGTTTCTATTTCTATTTCTATCTCTCTATTGTTCTCTATTACTTTTAATCAAACTGTAAACGGAATAGTAAATCTTCTTCTTTTCAATACTGAAATATATTAAAAATGAACTCTCTTGAATTTAATTAATTAATCAATCAATCAATCAAACAAACAAATCATGCGTTTAACCATGAATAGTAATAGTAGCAGCAGACGGCTCTATTCAATAATAAGGCGACGTTTGAAGAGAGAGCTAGCTACATCATCAAATTGACAATCTACACCTTTTTGTTGTTGTAGTAATATGCGCGCACAAACGAATGAACTAACTAACTAACCTTTTGATGATACAAGAAGAAGAAGATAATGAATTGAATGTAAACTATTTGACCTGCAAATGCAAAAAATGGAGAAGAAGAAGAAGATGCTATCTATCTATCTATCTATCTACTATCAATCTATCTTTCTACAGCTGTCTATCTGTCTATCTGTCTATCTAATTATTATTATTATTATTGGTACTGGTTATATTGTTGTTGTTGTTGTTGTTATTATTATTATTATTATAAGTTTTGAGTAAATAATGAATGATGTCAAAAAGTATGTAGTTGGATGGTGCTACCTACTACTATGCATCTTCCGCGGTCACTGTGACTGACTGACTGGGTGTGTGTATGTCTATTCTACTAAACTATCCTATCCTATCCTATCCTCCTTGTACTTTTTTATTATTACTCACTCGTTGTTGTGTAGTCCCCCAAACCAAACTGAATTATTATTTGTTGATGTTGGTATTGTCGATGTTTACTAATCTCTCTTCTCTCTCTCGAACAACAACACGCTATACTCCTATTACTACTACTACCTCGTTGTGTGAATGAGAGTGAGTGGGGTGGGTGAGTGGAGAATTTAAAATAATGGACCACCCAAACTGTGTATTATGTGAAGATGAGATGAACAACAATATTATCTTTTAAAAGATAATATTTGTATATGTATATATAACAGATAGATCAGGGATGGGGAGGGTAGAGTATAGGGGCTGTGGTTGGTATTTATAGGATCCTATATATTAACATCCTTACATTACACTTATAGCTTGTTGATTATATGTTGGTTATTGAAAACTATTAACACCTATAACTTCTCTCTTTCTCTCTCTCTATTTAGTTTTAGAAACACAACAAAAACACAAGCTGATGATGATGATGATGATAATATTATTATGAATTGAAGTTCTTCAATTCTCTTTCTGTTATTACTTTTGTTGGTGTAAATAATAATAATAATATCAGGTTATTATCAAAGACAAAGTAAGTTGTTTGTTGTTTTGTTGTTGGGTGGTTGTAATGTCTGTATTTACTTGTTGTTGTTGATGATGTTGATATCGATATCGTCTCTCTTTGTTGTTGATGATGTTAGGTGATATATAAGTAGCTAGCTAATTTCTTCTCTTTGTCTTCCGTTCAAAGGAAAATTGAAAAACAAAACAATTGGAAATAATTATATTAAAATTATATAAGAGGCGAGGACATCAAAGATCACTCTCAACACTACTTTCATAACAAACATATACGACGAGTAGTAGCGTTACTCCCTTTGGGATGAATTGATTGATTCATGGTGGTTGTTTTAAACCAAACCCACCCGCTCGAAATTATCATAATATGACAATTATGATTTGGTGTTCTTTGGCTCGCAGCAGCACACAACATTGATTGCACGGGTATGTATGTTATTTTAGATAACTACTTACTCTTACTTGTGTTGTTCTATTACACTCTAATAATAATAATAATAATAATAATAATAATTCTTTTTTTTTTTTTCTGGTTGTGATGAATGTTTTTCTGACTTGTAGTTTGATAATATTGATACTACGAATTCGTATAGGTACCAAGTCAATCAACTAATTATTGTTGTAATCAAAAAGGGGGGAGCTCCGGACAAAGAACCGAACAATCAAACTTTTCTAATTTTTTTTCTTTTACTTGAACATTAAGACCAGGGCCCCAACATTTATTTTTGTCGCAAGGTGTTTTGTACAAGCCCAACCAGCAGCGTTGTTCAAACGAAAATAGTTTACGCGTAAAATGTGTTTATGTTTTTTTTTCAAAGATCATTTGTTGATGTCGTAATCAATCTACCCATAGTAGTAGTGATGCGACAATGTCGACTACTACATTATCACCATTTATACAAGCAATCATCGTTCAAGAGTACATTAAATCAATTCAATCATCTAAAAGATTTTTAGATAAAAGATCAAGAGACAAGGCAACACGTAATACTGAGCTAAAAGAAAGAGAAAAGAGAAAACGTTGCTCTGCGGACAAGAGAAAGCGACCGATATCCGGTCCAAAGCTATGGTATTTGTTGGAGAGAGGTAAACCTTACCCAAAGCTTAGACCTTATATTGACCACCGAGAACTGATCAACCTTGCGTTGGTTTGTAGATGGTGGTTGCAAGTGGTACGACAAACAAGAACAAAGATCAATATACTCGGTTTCTTGGAAGATGGTCTATTTCGAGCATTCTCGTCATCATACTCTGTCTATGATTCAAGTCTGGTTGAAACGTTAAATTGGAAAGTGTTAGATGATCATGAACAAGTACTTGGCATCTACCATGACAACTTTAACTATAAACAATTAGTACAACTGCTTCCACAACTAAAGACATTAAACTTGGTATGCAAGGGAGTTTATTCATGCATCTTTAAAGGAGTTCACCAGATTGTCAACGACTACCCACACATCACTGTCAACTTTGAGCTGCAGTTGGATGAAATGGGACCGTTTGATTGGCCAATCGACGCAAAGATTCGTAGCAACACGTGTGTAGTCAAGGTTGGCAAATACAGTTATATATACGATTTGTTTGGCGACAACGATGGGTTGGCTACCGATGCTTTTCTAGATTTTCTAGAGGATATCAAGCCGCAATACCTCAACATGCATTTTGGCGAGAAACATGCGCACATCTCGTACCCAGAAATATTCAAACGAATCAAAGATACTTGGCACCTCAATATTGGATCCGATTTTGTGGAACCGGCCAAATTTAAACAGTTGCTAGCCCACCCATACAAACTAGAGTCTTTACGACTTGAAATACCAGTATGTTGTTTTGGCGACGAGTTGTGTGATATTCACGATTCCTCAGACACCATTATTCAAGAAAAGGATTGGAATGAATTTTGTCACAACCTATCAAATAATACAACTCTGAAAAGATTGAATCTTGTAAACCAATGTCTCGACCACGATACCAATTATATAGAATCTTTTAATCGACTCGATACTATTTGGAATGACAATCCACACGAAAATGAAAGCAAGATTGAATTCCTAGAGTTGGAAAGATTCGCGTCATACATTTCATCACAAATGTTTGATGTTCTCTGTCACAACCAATACATCACCACTTTAATGTTGACAGAGGGCACTTTGACAGAATCATTCTTACCATCATTCTCCAACATGGTGTCGATCAACACCACCATCAAAACTCTTTCAATCTCTGGTAATTTATTAAAATCAACACAAGATTTATCAGTGGCGCTCAAGACAAACAAATCAATCACAGTACTGGACATTACCCAAAACGAGTTTGAAAACAGTGCAGCCGAGTTGTACGATGCTCTGCTGGTCAATGATAAAATAGAATATTTGGTGGTTTGTCAAGCAAAGTTAAAAGAACCTTACCATCCATACTTTACTCTTTCAAAATCTCTAAAACAATATTTTTATAGAAATTTTAATTCTTTTCCTCCATACTTTTCTACCATCAATTGATAGAATAAAATCGGTTCCTAGAATAAATATTTTGATCAATCACTTAAAAAAAAACAAATCGACTGCAGTATTGTTATTAATAACTCGTCTCTCGTGGAGATAAATTATAGATTATTGTTTATTTGTAGTACTATAGTTTAGAGTATCTTTGTATTTATTCCTTTCAGTGATGCTCAAGCATCTAATCTTCCCAATTGTCAATTCCAAGGAATAGATTTCTCTGGCTTCTCAAAGTATGTATCTTTATCATAGTCAAAGCCTTGCACTCTAAATTTACACTTGTTAACAATAATTCTATTTATAATATAGTAAGTCATATACATACAAGTTTGTATCATATCATTCATTATATAATATTATCAACGAACCAAAGTCGATTAATACTAACCACTCTTTTTTTAATCATCAGTGTTGGAGGTAATCGGGTGAAACAATAATATGAATATATATTTGTTGATGACTATGACTAACTAATAGAATTGTTTTTATAATTATAATGTAGGTACAAATTATATTTGGTCTGTTTGTCAGACCAATCTAATTTGTAACAAGTTGATTGGTGAATCGTATGATACAGCCGATATAGTATCCTGTACAAAACCAGAATAGGTCTGAAATCAATGGAACAGCAGTTGTCACTTATAGTTCTGGGACTCCACCTTGCAAGTCAAGTGGTAGAGTCAGACAAATCAATATGTATTTACAATGTGAGGAAGCAGGACCACCAATGGTCATCTCTGCAGATGAACCAACTCCATGTTTATATGAAGTATTTTTATCTGGTCCATCTACATGCCCAGTAGGTTCCTCATCATCAGGATCATCAAAGAATGACTCATATGACTCTTTGGTTATATTATCTGTCACTAGTGACAATACTCCTATCACCCTATAAGTCATGGCTCTATATCGGGAAAAATATAAAATAAATCCGATCATTCGATCTTCAAACCATGATCCCTCCTTTTCCGTGGCCTTCAAAAAAAAAAACAATGGTATGGGTATCTTGGAGGGATTTGATTCGAAACATGAAAGAGCTTCACTCAATATCGTTATTATTAAATAGATCGTATATTTGTAGATAAGAGATGGAGAACAGATTATTTGTTTATATTTTTATTGTTTGTGTCTTTGTATTTCCATTGTGCATCGATGCACAACATATGGTCTGTCGATACCAAGGGATAGATTACAGTTCCTTGTATGTACTCGTAGTATAAGCTCAACTGTTTATGTCCACAACTAACAACTATATCATTCTTTTCAACATTTTATTATTATACAACTCTCTATACTATAGTGAGGATACATATTCCTTTAAGTTTGTATTGAGAATGAAGATGCCCACCCTGCTAGCTCCCTATTTATATATTAACCTACCCTTTTTCTTTTAAAATTTTACTACTTTCTCTCTCTCTATCTCACTTTAGTGTTGATGGTAAATTTATCTTTCCGCGGATTAAAGAGCTAAATTATTTTTAGATTTACTAATTAATATTTTGTATGTTGTTGTTTCGCTATTTAAACACTATAGGGGTCACATATTCATGGACAGTGTGTCAACCAAATTATGATTGCCCCGCCGTAGGTATGTTTGCATCAGCTTCTTGTTCAATCCAAGAATCTAACCCCAAGAAACGAAGCCTTGGAATGGCCGGATTGGGTTCATTTTCTACCGCCGATGATGGTCGTACAGTTCTTTCTTATGCATCGAAAACTAGCCCTATAACCAGAACAACTCCTTGCGCCAATGGATTGATGCCACAAACCAATATCTATTTTGATTGTGGTACAGAAAACATTGTCATCTCTGCAAGTGAAGATACAACCAATTGTTATTACAATTTCGAAATGGCTGGTCCTGCAGCCTGTGCACAACCATCTTTTACAGCAGATTCAACATCCTCTTCACCAAATCATCATAAATCAGATTCATCATCGCTACTTAAAACGACATCATTCTCTTTGTGGTTACAAGTGTCTCTTTCAGTACTACTTGTTCTATCGGTTATTGGCCACCTATAGGTAATAGTTGGTTTCTATCTATCCATCTATTGTAATAATAATAAATTAATTATTCATTTAATTAATAGTTTATATTCCTTGTTCCAAAAAAAAAAAAAAAACAACTGTTTAATTATTTTCTTCTTCTTACGAGTACTCTCTTATGAGTCAGTCTTATTTCTACCTTATCAATGGCCCCCTAGTTGATTGGTTGGATGGATTTTTAAATATCCAAATCCATTGTTGGAAAAGTTGAGAAATAGTAGTGAAATAAACATCATGATGTGACATTCATGCGATCTATCACATCTCTTTCCCATAACAATTGAAACATTGATGATGCAGCCTCTCTTTGTACATGGCAATAGTACTAGCTTCGTAAGACCTTGGCCAGCAAATGACTAATTTTTGAGGTGTAGCATAGGAGGGAGCAGCAATGCAATTATGAAATACCTCCCCTTTATTCTTACGGAGCGAAATATCACTCCTAAGGTCTGTCATCTTTTTTTTTTCATTACGACTACACTAAGCATATAGTAGTTATAGTATTTGTATTGTTTGTTGTGAGGTTGTGAATAAAATAATAGAACTCTCCACAAGTCATCTTACCCTTGTCTCAAACTCATTCAAAAAAATAAATAAAAAAAAAACCATCCCTGCACTTTGCAGAGTTCATTCCCCCTTTCCCACTCCATTCATATCAATAGTGTCTTCGTTTATTATTCGATATTTGTTGTTTGTTTATCTTCACATTATATATTATCTTTTTTTACAGTTGTAATCATCTTTTTTTTATACCACTCCACTGTCTATCTCTATCTTATAGATCATATGAATGAGTAGTAGTGTCTCTGATAAAAGATAGATAGGATTCATTCATACTTTGTATATTTATTTATTTATTTATTTGTTTATTAGTCATCACTCATCACTGTATCAAGAGATTGAAAGCAGTATAGTTAGTGTCTCAACTACCTGTGACTGGTAGATAGATAGAAAGGATCATCATCATGATGTTTAGAAAGATGAAAGACCTGTTAAAGGATCTCCCTAATCAATTGACTGGGGATTCACCTCCACCTCCATCCATTCCTCAGCACCCTCCAAACCAACAACAGCAACAGTCGGGATCAGGGTCATCGTCTCCATCACATACACCCTCACCACCCATACGAAACTACTCTGGCAATGAGCTGTACAATCAACAACAACAACAACAACAACAACAACACCAACAACAACAACAACAACTATTATTACAATCTTTACCACCTGCACCACAAGTGAATGCATGGCAACTGTTTCCAGGTAATGAAGTGACATCTCTGCAACCCAAACCACTACAAGCAGCACGACTCAAGACATTCTGGGCAGAGTTCTTATCATCCAAATCCGACAAGGATAAAGTCGCCCGTTTGAACCGTCTCCTCCCCTATTTCCTCGGGTTGCATGAGGAGCGACGTATCGATGTGCGTAACATGACCGATGTGTTTGGTACCAACGCCAAGTCATTTGCATTTGCCGTGTCGAGACGTCTGGTCAAAGATTTACAGGAGCTGTCCAAGACAATGACCGCTCAGCCACGCGATGCGCATGCGCGTGAACTCTACAAGTACCTGGCAACGAGTGGCAGCAATGTCTGTGGGTTTGACCTGCTCTACACACTCGAGATACTCTCTGAAGCAGCTATCAGCTGCGAAGCCATGTCTGAGGCATCTGTCCCCTCGACATTGGCACGTTCTCTACAACTACTCTTCCTCGTACCCTCCAATATCCTCGACCAAACACGCGGTATTGTCGAAGACAAGATCATCCGTACACTGTGTCACCTCGCACGTCAACGACACGCAATCGAGGAACTTCAAAAGTCCGACACACTCTCCATCATCTTTTCGCTAATGACTGCCGAGTGTCCACCCACTCACCGTCTCTTCCGTTCCAAAGTAATCTCCTTTGGTGCTGACCTAAGCGATCTCTTATCACCAACAATCACCTATTTAAATTCAAAAGTAAGTTATAACTTACAACAAACAATTTAATTATTATTATTTACTTATAATATATATTCTTTTACTTTTTATTTGTAGAAAATAATAATACATTTAATTCAAGATATATCTAATAATTTTAATAATATGGGGTATAGTAAAGAGATGATTATATCAATCATCCAGATGATTTTCAAAATATTATCAGAGTCTGCGAAAAAGTCTGCGATTCTATTAGAGGATTTCCAACGAAACGATGGATACAACTTCCTCTTGACGGCACTCACAAATCTCGAACCTTCTTGTAAAGAGAAACCACATCTTTTCGACCAACTGCTCGACAGTATCACTTCTCTTGTTTATGTTGGATATGGAACTATCACCCTTCCAGATAGTTCACCAGTTCCCTATCAATCTTCAATTACTCAAAGTTTAAAAGAAATTTCAAGTATGTCAAAAAATTAAATCGAAAGAAAAATAGTGAAATATTAATCATCATTTCTACTTTATTGTTTTTAGGTCAAAATTCAATTGTAAAGAATGAATCAATATTAACATTATTTGAACAATACTTTTTAAATTCAAAAATGGAAGAGAATAGATTAAAAGTATTGGATAAAATCCTATCAATCTATTCTTCCAATCCCGCCAATTTTATATTACTTCAACATTTAAAAACTTTAACCAATTTTATTCAATCTTTTGAAAAATTAAGTTATAATTTAAAGGTAAATAATTTTAATAATTTATTAAAAGGATTATACAAACAATGTATCTAATTAATTTGTTTATTTTTCTTTTTATTTTCTATTTTAGTATCATGTAATGAAAATAGTATGTTTTGTAGTTACAGTATTAAATGTTGTACCATTCCAAGAACTGAATACATTTAGTTTATTGGTTCATGAAAATCCATCAGTCAATACATTAGAGATGATCTATCAATTGATAACGACATTGGTCAACTTTGAATTCAGATACAAACATATATTTAGAGAAGCTGGACTACTCGATATCTTGATCAAAGTAATTGGTCTATTGTCAACCGAAACAATCGATCGTTTTAAATTATTACAAAAACAACTAGGAAACAAGAGTCCTCAACAACATCAACAACTACACGAACAACATGAACAACAAGACCAAGATATTTCAACTCAAACATTCCCAATTTTATTAGATTCAATTTATTTATTGATTTCTGAACATCCAGATAATATTAATATAGTTAGAAAATAGTATGTAATTGATAAATAGAGAAATAGAATGTACGTTTGTATTAATTAATTTATTATCTTTTTATAGTGGATTTTTTGATACATTATTATCAATAATACCATTTTCATTTGTTAGATTAAAATCATTAAGAATATTACAACAATTAATTAAATATGACAATGATACAACGCAAAGAGAATTTGATGGATTGGTTAAAATGTTGACATCGACATCAAAGGAAGCATTTTGTGTCAAGACTGATATTTTCAACTCGATCAAAAAACTATTCACCATTTCAAAATTCTCTCGTGATTCATTCCGTGAACATGGTGGTTTTGTTTCAATCATTTCAGTATTGATTGGAATGGAATCTAGTTTTAAAACTTGGGATCAAGAAAAAATACAAAGAAAACAAATCAAACAAGAAGAAAATGATGAAGAGGAAAATGAAACAAATATGATTCAGGAAGAAGAAAAGAATGATAAACAAATAATTATAAATGGAAAAGAGAAGATTCAAGATGAAAGATTACATCTTTTAGAGGCGATTTGTAGGACTACAACATCGGCGTTGTGTGGCAACCAACAAAACCGAGCATCGTTTGAACAACAGATTGGATACTCGACATTTGCAACTGGACTTGTCATGACGGGTGTACTCAACACGAGCAAGGCGTTGCGTGTGGTTGATTTTATCTTTGACATGGTGACCGAGAATTTGAACGGCAGCGATGCTCTGTCCAACAGGATGATCATTAATAATGTGGAGGCATTCCATGTTATACTCGATATTATCCCACATATTGACAACCAAAATGACGTGCTTGACATTGTACGTCGTCTCAATATGATGGCAGAGTACGGACGTTACAATCAAGAGGCGTTGAGCAAGCTGGCTATTCCCGACTGGATTCTAACCAAGTTTCCAACGTCGTTGTCCAATGTCGACGATCCGCTGCAGCCACATTTGCTGACGCTGATCCAGACAGTCGGCGCCAACTGCTTGTCGGGTAGTGAGCTGCGTCGCTTTGTGCGTCTGCTGCAGCCTGACCATTCGCCAGAGGTGCTCCTCAAGATCCTGTGCTCGATGGCACAGTCACCTGCCGCACCACCCTATTTTGAATTTAATTTGTCAAAGATCCCATATGGGTACGTGCATCTGCCGATTGGAAGCACACGCAACTGGCCGCCAACCAACGGCTACTCGATGTTGTTTTGGCTGTACATTGAGCGTGGTGCGACCGGCGCGCAGCAGATCGACCTCGTCAACGTCTACTCGGACGACCGCAAGTCGCAGCTGGCCATCTTTATCAAGGGCGGTCGTCTGACCATCCACATTTACAACAACAGCAAGTACGTGATCGAGTATGGTGCATTTGCATTTGAAGAGGGGAGATGGTACCATATTGGTATCGTGCACGCACGTCGTCTGCTCAGTGGCACAGACTTTAAAATCTTTATCGATGGGTTCCTGCGGTACACGGCTGCCAAAGCACAGTACCCCGCGCAAGCGTCGACTTTGACGGTCGACTTGGGCGCCAGCAACCCGTCGCGGTTCCCAGCCGACCAGATATGGCGTATCGGCCCATTCTACCTGATGGAGGAAGCACTGAGCAGCAAGCATATCAACACAATCTACTTTTTGGGACCCAACTACTGTTCCAACTTCCGCGGTCGGTTCTCGCCCTACCAAACGTACGAGATTATCAATAACCAGAATTTGACGGCTATCCGCGAGCTTGACTATGGCGACCAGCTCGGCCCGCTCAATCTTGCCAAGGTGTCGATGCAGATAGACGAGTCGCGCATTATCGCCGGTTTGTGCGCCAACAACCGTCGCGAGGTGCGTATCAAGGACCGCGACCACGTCAGCGCCGGCTTGCCACCCCATATTGACAACATCATTGCCACCAGCAACGCCAACAAGGATGCGTCCGCATCGTCGTCCTCGTACGGCAACCATTCCATGGGTAGCGGTAAAGACGGTGAGATCCGCATTGAAATTGTCAATCAAGCCGACCCAAGTGGTAAAACACGCGGTCAGCTCGTCGCCAGCGTCGAAGCATTCCGTCGCAACAAAGTAGCTGATGGTATACGAAAAATCGGTGGTATGCCAATCGCCCTGTTACTCTTGGACAAGGCCGATGAAGAAGAAGCACTGTTTGACGCGGTTGGACTGCTCGTCGGGTTGATTCAAAATCATCCAACCAACACACACGAGATGAGTATCATTAATGGGTATGAATTGGTTGCTTGGGTATTAAAGAGCAAGAATGCATTCATCTCTAAGCGTATCGTCGACCTTATCTTTAATTTGGTCGGTATCAATGGGAATATTAGTCAAAAGCAAGGTGACCTCAAGCGACAACCCAATCGAAAGGAGGGTACAGTCGCCAACTGGAATGCATGTAAATACATCATGATGCAGTACGACTTGTGGAAAAACACACCTATTGATCTGCAACGATACGTGTTACAGGGATTCAACGATCTCATCGTCGACAATTATCAAAAGGAATTCAATTGTGACTCGTTGCGAAAGGTGCATATTGTACAAGAGATGTTTGACATTTTGATAGACGAGACTGTTTCAGAGGACATTGTGCCGGCGGTCGTTGGAGTATTATTCAACGTGTTTAGTGTGAGACTAGTGGAAGATGATATCAGACTAGTCAGCGCATTTTTGATTGCCGGTCTAAACAGTCATCAACGTCGATCGAGTCGTCAGTCGCGTCATGGAACATCCCGTCTGGCTGCCAGTCGGTCGGTTGACACGCGTATCTCGCGTACATGTAATCGCATCTTTCAAATGTTCTTGCATGTGGTGTGTACCACCCACGACACGGCCGTCATCTACAAACGTGTGTCGTCGTTTTGGTCGTTCTTTTTCATTGCAGAGCAGTATCCTCCTCTGTCGGTATCGTTGGCACTCAAAGTATCGAGCAGCTTCTTTTTGATTCGTTACGAGTATTGCCAGGCATTTATTAAAAAGAGTGGGTTCCGTCTACTTGAAAAGATACTCTCGTCGCTATGTGCATACCAAGAGATCTACGTCACACTGTTCCATCTGCTTCTGGGTAGCAATCCCCAAGCTCTCACTGCACCCGCGTGCGGACCAGTCGACGACCAATCACAGGCACAGTCACAGGACAAGAACGCTATTTGCACACTCGAGTTTCACGAACTACTCAATATATTCAAGACGGTTGAGCGTAACGTATACTGCGTCGAAGCAGCACAGCTCATCTTGTCAATGGTCAAGAAATCGTACGAGGAGAACTTCCAGCTGCTAGCATCGTACCGTGAGCAACAGCAACAGCAACATGCTGCCAACGCTGATATTGTCGACAACCCCGAGTCAGTGTCGATCTTTTCGCCTGTCCTCGTGCCTGGCTCAGCGTTACCTCACGCATCGCCCAACTCGTCGTCGTCGGCGTCGCCTAGTGTCGCCAACACGTCCCCACTGTCCATCTCGCAGACTCTCAACCCACCCTCCAAGCCAAACGAGCTCAACAGCAGCACAGGCAGCGCCGGCAGTTCCGCCAGCAGCAGCAACCCGTCCACCTCGTCGTCGGCACCCAATGCCAACCCATCCTCCAACCAGTCCACCCCTACCACGGCCACCAACAACATGCTGAGCAGAGTAGGCAGCTTCTTTAGCAAGGTCGAGGAAAAGACCATGGAACTAGTCGAGTTGTCAAGCGAGGGAGTGCAATCTGGCAAGAAGAAACGTGCAAGTATCTCAACCAGTCCCGCACACCTAGCATCTGCATTCAAGCAAATGTCATCGGCATCTGGTACAACTCCAACCTCTGGAGGAGCAGTAAACTCTAGCACTGGTGGTACAAACCTTACTTATACTCAGAGTGATCATTCTAATTTGTCATCATCAACAGCTTCAGGAGTATCTACTGTCTCGTCAATGATGGAGCCGTCTCAACTTACCGCGTCATCGTTATTAGTGTCATCCAATGAAGTGGGATTGGTTGCTCAACTCACTCCCATTCAGTCACCTGAAGGAGCATCGAATCTACAACACACTATTCTCAACTACTTTATGTATTTGTTCCATGAGAACCCACAGTTCCAACAAGAGTGGTATGCAACTGGTATGATTGAGTATTTAATAAGTATTCTCTTCCCCAATGATCATATTCACCTTCCAAACGTGTCTATGAACACATTGCACGAATCGTCGACTATCCGCGACCAACAACCACCCCAACAACACGCCACCAACACTGCCATTGTCAAGAGAGACCGTGTGTTGGATTTGGTGTTGAAGTTCCTCTGCCAGATTGTACTGAGTGCGTTGAGAAAGTCGCACAAGGCAATCACCATTACCGAGTATGTGTTGGATGGCGTGCCATTATCGGTGCCCGATGACGAGTACCTGACCTACCACACACACATCCTCGCCGACTTGCTCTACACCTTGGAGACCAACATTACAAAGTCGGAATTCTTTGACAGCGAGCGTATCCATAGTACTCTAGTCAAGTTTACTGCCATGCTAGTGGATCGTCTACATGTAGATGTGTTTAGACCATCGCTTCAGCGTCGTGTCCTATTGTTCCTCGTCAAGATGCTTGAGAAGCTGGAAGCAGACCGTCCCGGACTCAAGCATGTATCGCCACTCTACCGCCAGCTGAACCGTGTCATTTTACTGATTGTCAACAACGCCCATTCCGAGCAACAAGAGTTTATCTACCTCGTCGGACATATACTCAATCATCAACGTATCGTCTTTTCAGAGAACAACAGCGATACCGAGTTCTTTGCATCGTTGTGTTTCCCACTGTTCAAGTTGTCGGTGGTACAACCACATATGGAGTCGATGAATATTGGCCAAGACGTGTCTGACACGGCAGCCAAGTTATTCAAGTTGCTCATGTCTACACGTATCCCAAGCGAGGCGATCAACCCACTACTCGTGTACCGTCCATCCGGCAGTACCAAGACTGAGCTGGCCGACCTCCGTCCCGGCTTTGAACTCTTGGCACGCGGTAGTATCCAAGGCGACTTTAAACCATGGATTCAAGAGAACTTGCTTATCGTCAACATGGTGTTTGAGGAAGGTCCTAAACGTGCACATCAGACACATTTGGCAGCCGAGCGAAAGAATGCTGCCGAGACATTACAGTCGATCAAGTTGCGTCGCAAGGACCGTATTGCACGCAATGAAAAGACCGAGCGCAAGACAACTGCCCACGACGAAGAGCGTGTTGGACACACCACCAAAAAGATCCAATACTTTGTGCGAAGTGAAGCAGAGCGTAAGAAAAAGATCAAGAGTCTCGAGGTTGACAAGCAGCGTTTCAACGCCAAGCAATTTGAACAGATTCGCGAGCAAGTCACTAGAGAACGTGCCGTGTGGGGTCCCGCCGCCCCATCAACACTCGACAAGTGGAAACTCGACTCGACCGAGGGTCCATACCGTATGCGTAAAAAGACTGAAAAGAACTATGACTTTTACAAAAACTATCCATACGTCCCACCTTCGTTTGACGAGCTTGGTGGCAACAATCTGCTTCCACTACCATCCAGCGGTGACAGTGAAGCGTTTATAAAGTCACTCTCGGAAAACAGTGATGTTGCCAATAGTTTGGAACCTGCATACTGGAAATTTACAAGTACTACCGATGGTTCAACTATTGGTGGTAATTATATTAATGAACAACAGTCAAATAATAATAATAATAATAGTAACAATAATAATAATAATAATAATAATAATGTAAACTCGACGACTGCAGTAACTGGATCAACTGCATCTTCATCAACGACTGGGAATAGAGTTAGATCATCTTCAATGACAGTTAGTACAACAACAGCCAAGATATCTACACCTGTCAAGGCAATGGACGATAATAGTAGTACGGGTGGCAGTCCATCGATTTTGAATCGATCTTCATCGACTGATATTACACCACCTGCATCTCCTTTACATTCGTCTGCCGAGGATTCAATGTCAGTGTTACAAGTACATGACCAATCGATGGATCAGTCAATGGATCAATCGATGGATCAATCAATGGATCAATCAGATTTGAACAACAACAACAATGGCAATAGTAACAACTCGACATCAATCTTTTCGTTGAATGAAGAAAAAGAGTCATCGTCAACTGGTGTATCAACACCGATTATGCAAGGTTTAAAGACATCGAATGAAATCGATGAAGATTCACCTGCAGTTGACGAGAATGAAGAACGTGGCGAAGAAGAGAATCATGCGTATACACGTCTCCTCGATCCATACGACCAGAGCTATCTCAGGGAGGAAATGCGTCGCAACTATCGTTTGACAACTGTCATTTACAATTGTGGTAGTGTCGATGGTATGGACAAGACCGAAGGTATCTTGATGTTTTGTCCAATCAACATGTACATTTTTGACGGCTACCAAAAGGATGACAACTCTGGTGACATCTCTGAAGTTGAAGAAAAGATTAATACTGACTGGTTGACAGAAGGACAGGTTGTACAAAAGAAGATGGTCTCTCACAATTGCCTCAAATGGGGGTACGAAGAAGTACGTGAGGTTCTCAAACGTCGTTATCTCTTGCGTCCCGTTGCCATCGAGTTGTTCTCGACCGATGGTCGTAACACACTGATCACGTTCAAGGACGAAACCACTCGTGACGAAGTGTACAGCAAGATCATCACCAACGTATCCAACAACTCGATTGGTGACATTTCAGGTATTTCGGGTGGACAGACTGGTGTTGAAGAAGAGTATGGTCGCGACGTGGGTGTCAAGGAAAAGTTCACTTCCATGTGGAGAAAATCACCGCTCACACTCAAGTGGCAACAAGGACAGATCTCCAACTTCCAGTACTTGATGCATCTCAACACATTGGCCGGACGTTCATACAATGATTTGACACAATACCCAGTGTTCCCATGGATTCTCAAGGACTTTACCAGCGAAGAGTTGGATTTGGACGACTCGAGTGTGTACCGTGACTTGTCGCGTCCAATGGGTGCGTTGGAAGAGACACGTGCACAAAAGTTCCGCGACCGTTTCGAGAATTGGGACGACAATGAACCCAACGAGCACGGTCACCGCGTACCCAAGTTCCATTACGGTACGCATTACTCGTCGGCTGCTATTGTGTTGTATTATCTCATCCGTCTAGAACCATTCACACAACACTTCCTCAAGTTGCAGGGTGGACGTTGGGACCAGCCCGACCGTCTGTTTAGCTCGGTCTCAGAGACTTGGGTAAGCTCGTCGTGTGGAAGTACCGGCTCGATCATGGAGTTGATCCCCGAGTTTTACTACTTGCCCGAGTTTTTAGAGAACTCGAATAAATTCAATTTCGGAGAGAAGCAGGGTGGCGAAGCTATCAGCGACGTCGTGCTACCACCATGGGCCAAGGGTTCAGCGCAAGAATTTATCCGTCTGCATAGACGTGCGCTCGAGTCTGACTATGTGTCGGAACATTTGCACGAGTGGATCGACCTTATCTTTGGTTACAAGCAACAAGGCAAGCCTGCCGAGGACGCGCTCAACGTCTACTACTACCTGACGTACGAAGGAGCGGTCAATATTGACGCCATCACCGACCCGGTTGAAAAAGCCGCCACGATTGCACAAATCAACAACTTTGGACAGACTCCCAAGCAGCTGTTTGACAAGCCACACCCCAAGAGAAATGCAGCACTCAGCTCGTTCCCCTTTTACGCCAAGTCACTCGCCGGCAACTTTATCAAGGATATTAACGAGCCAGTCGGCCAGATGCGACTCATCAACGACCGTTGCACCGCCGTACCGTTCAACAAGCACCTTTTAGCACCGTCCTTTACAAAATACATTTTATGGGGTCTGCCAGACGGCTCCATCCGTTACCACAACGGTGACAAGATGAAAGCACTCGAAGATCACCACGATGGCCCGCTCACTGTCCTCACTTCAACCGATGACGGACTGATTTGTGTCAGTGGTGGTGTCGACTCGATGGTCTGTGTATTTAACTTGAAGCGATTCTCACTTACCAAGCGTCTCTGTGGCCACACGGGTATCGTCACTGCCTTGGCTGCATCACGTCCCTACTCTGTGATTGTGTCGGGTTCAGAAGACCACACTGCCATCATTTGGGATCTCAACCGCATGCGTTATGTGCGTACACTTCAAGGACACGACGGCGCCATCTCATGTATTGCCGTCCACGACACCACTGGTGACATTGTCACTTGTTCGGGCACCACCATCAATGTCTACACGATCAATGGTGAAATGCTACTTACACTCAAGACATCACAAATCATCTATGACCAAATCACCACTTGCTATTGGTCTAAAGGTGCCGAATGGCTTGGCGAGAATGTACTCATCACAGGTCATCGCGATGGAAAAATCAAGGTTTGGGGTTTGGAGAGCCGTCTCCTTCCCTCCATCGACAGTGAACCACTCTCAACTCTTGTCTTTAAAAATGTATTAATACTTCGTTCAACTTTTTATAATCTTCAATCTCATAATACTGCAATCACTTCAATTTATTTAACAAAGTAAGTCAAAAATAGAAATAGAAATAGAAATAATAATTCATGTTATTAACCGTTTTTGTTATCTTTTTGATTATAGTGACCAACAAAAATTATATACAGGTGATATTGAAGGTAAAATTTGTTTATGGTCAGACTCTGATTCATCACAAATTAAACAACGTGGTTGGACTTTAAATCCGACAGATTTAAGAACAATGTTACCAACAAATGTTGGAACAGGAACTAAACATGGATTATTCTAAAATAATATTAATTAATAATAATAATTAATAATAATAATAATAATAATAATAATCTTTTTCAATAATAAATAACAAAATATATATAATTTCAATCAACAATACAAATTTTGTAAAAGATTTAGAAACATCAACAAAATAATTGTGTAGTATTGACAGTGCGATGAAAATATATATAATTTATTATTGTTTATTGTATTGTTATTTTGGGCAATAACAACGGGTAATTTTTTGCTGTCATTCACTCTCTGCCACCACTCACTCTACTCTACTAGTACCACTGCAACTATAGTTTGATGGTTGTTGTAATCAAACAAAGAGAAGTGACTGATCAAACACACACATCCCCAGTGATATCAGGGGGGTTTGGAATGGAAATTTTTGTGTGGGTGTTTTGTTTCCAAATTGGATGCATTAAATTAAACAAATATAATATCCATCCATGCTGGGTAGAAGATAGATGAAAAGAGACTATATAAACAGTTGTTGTTTTATCTACCAAACTGCTAATCGGTTCTCTCTCAAAAGACATCATTTTGAAATTCATTGTTTGTTGTTGTAGTTGTTAATTCAAGATTACGATGGATTGTTTTAGTAATTATATATTTTTAATAGTATTTTTTCTTGGTGTATCATTTCAGTCGACAGATTCAGTTTGGGGATTTAGAATTGATCCATCAACAGAATTAGTATTTCAAGGCCCACCCATCTCTTTTACAGAAATCCCCATCACATTTAAGGTAGCGAGTATTCCAACTGATTTTCAAGGGAATCCAAATGTCACCTTTCGCGTCAACCCAGCTATTTATGGCACAAACGTTCCCATCCCATCAGAGTCAATAGACGATCCTACGCTATTGGCATTTTTCACTGGTCACAAAACAGGTGGATACGGTCGTATCTTGGTGCATCACACGTGCAAGTGTCAACCAGAATCTTGTATGGACCTAAAGTTTACATCACCAATCAAAGACATGTGTCTGATGATCGGAGGCATGGACGGATACGACCATGTATCGATCGAGCTGTCGGCAAATGGAGTGCCCGTCGTATCAAACACCTCACTTTGGACATCGATTGCCAACGGACCCTTTTCAGAACAACACTCTGACTGTCCGCCAACCATTGCAAAGAGTCGTGGTAACGCACTAAACATCACCAGTTTTGAAGATCTCTGCACATCCAATCCCAACTACAACATTTTCATGACCAACCAAATGTTTGACAATATTAAATTGTGCTACAGTTCCCACCTGTCGCAAAGTGTCTTTTATTCACTAACTCCATGTTCAAGGCAGCAAATCATTGCATCGACACCACCACCTGAACTATTCTATGCAGTTGCAGGTATGGCCTATTTCGATGCAAACGCCAATGGAAGATACGACTATGGAACTGACCGTCCACTCTCCAACATCAACGTCACTTTGATCAACTTTTTTACACAGCAACCTGCTACTTCAACCACAACATCCAAACCAATCGAAGATTTTGTCACTGATAGTTCTGGTGTCTTTGTATTGTATCCTGTACGTGCAGGATTCTTTGAGGTCAAGTTCAAGTATGACCCCAAAATCTATAGCGCTGTCATGCCACAAGACATCATCCAAGGTAATTCAAAAACCTCCAAAATCGATCAACACTTTAAATCTATCAGAGTTCGTATCACTCAACGTGATCCTGGTGTACGTAAAGTAGATGAAGATGATCATGTCTCTAAATATGTTGGTTACATCTTACCAACAGTTTATGGTGGTGTTGTAAATTATAATGGTGAATCTAATAGTAGTCAAGATACTTTTAGTAGTAATAGTAATAGTGATAATAGTAACGATAGTAATAGTAATAGTAATAATAATAGTAATAGTAGTACAAAATAATAAATAAATAATATTGCAAACTTTAATTTAAAATAAAATGTTAAAACAAACAAAAAACCTAGGTTTTTTTAATTTTATATCTTTGTATATCTAAATCTATCTATAATATATAATAAATGTTATATAATTATGAAATTAAAGAAAAAGAGAAATGGTAATTGAAAATAAAAGTAAAGATAAAAGACCACCAAATGATGATGATTTGAAAATGGAACTTGCAGAAGATCTAGAGCATTTGTAGATATAGTGAATGGATGAATAACAGGATGGATTTGGATTGACATTGACAGGTCCTTCATAATGACCACAACTTGAAATGTAGGAGCAGAGTTCATTACCACAATTGGCTACTTCACAACTACCAATATACTTGACGTCAGGAGAACTGACACATCTGTTGATAGTCATACAGTTCATATAGTCTTGGAAATCATCCTTGCATTGGGAAAGGATTTCGACAGTATTTGGCATGACAGAGAAGCAAGTTCCCTTTTGAGTAACATTTTTTCCACTCTCGCAAAAACATTGCTCCAATTGATTACAACCCGATGAGAAGCAATTGACCAAAGGATTGGTCGATGGTGGTAATGGACCACATGTATTACTTGCTTTCTCACAAATCAATCCTTGTTTGTAATCACAAAAGTCAATCTTTGATTTACTATCACATTGTGCTCCTTTTCCCAAAGAGTAATAATTTACACATTTCTTTTGATTACATCCTGATCCCATTCCACATGCACTATCAACTTAAAAAAAATTATTAAAATTAAAATTAATTAATTTAAATTAAACTATTCTATTGTTTTTTTTTATACATACCATTGCATTCTCCTCCTTGAGGTGTAACCGAAACACATTTTCCACCTTTACAATATTGACCCTAAATAAATAAATTAATAAATTAATTAATTAAATAATAATTTAATTTAATCAATGGAATACTTACAAATGAACATGAAATATATGTATCACATGAATTATCCATTGATGAACAAATACCAGCAATACATTGAAGCATTCCAAAACATTCACCATCATATGTACAATTACTTCCTTGTTGAACAAAAGCTGTTCTAATACTTAAAAGAAAAGAAGAAGGAATGTTAATAAAATCATTTAATAATTTAATCAATCCATTGGTTGGATATAATAATAATAATAATTAAAATTACCAAATATTCTTTTGACATGTAAGACCTGGAATACACAAGGTTTGTTCTGTACAAGTTTGACCTAATCCAGATGCCTTTGCACAAATTCCATTGTTACAGAAAAAGTCATTATTACATTTGATTGATGCATTACTATAAATATTAATTAATTAATTTGTTAGTTATAAACATTTAAAATTTATATTTATATTTATATTTACCAAGACATTCCATCACCTACACAATCACGTTGAATAGGATCATATTCTGTACAGTCTCCTCTCACTGTAGCAATATTGATTAAAGTAATGAAAATTAATAATAAAAGTAATAATGATAAAAATGATTTCATTGTATCTGTATGTGTATGTATAGTAGGTAATAACTTTATAACTAATTAAAATGATTATGACAAGACAACCAACTAGTCTAGACATTTTATAGTCTACTGGATACTACAGTACTGTCTGACAATATACATTTTTATTATTATATCAATAAAATTACTAATCTCTAGAGTAATAAGAAAATAATAAAAAGATAAAAGATAAAAGATAAATCTGCTGATCAAATATTTCAAAAGCAAGTTTGAAAACCATTCTTTCTTTTTTAATTCTGCTAATTCAAGAGAATCTTGATAATTATGATTGATTGTAATGGCAGTTGATTATTATTATTATTATTATTGTTAAAGCGTAAAGAGACAGAGATAGAGATAGAGAAGAGAGGGAGAGATGAATATAGATAATAATAATAGTAATAATAGAAGTACTTTAGTAATACTACAAGTATTTCGTAATAACTTTTTATTAAAGGAAATATTTGGTAGAGTTAGAAAAGATGAGATTAGATTGTTTGGTGCAAGAGTACCTGTTTGCAAGGTAGTCAATCGTAGTGGTATTGAATGTTTACCAAAGAGATATACTCAATTAGTCAATGACTTGAAATGGGTCATTGAGAATAGATACTATGCTCTGCTACTAGATATATTTCAAACCACCGTCAATACTACTGGCACAATGACACCCGATCAAATGGCTGCTACCTCTGCAATAGAGGATATCGCCGTGATGGAGTTGTTACTAGTCAAATACAAACACCACTTTATCAACTACTTTTTCGCAGAGTCGTCATTCTCATCGTCACCATTGATCGAACGGATCATTGCGTATTTGGATGGAATAGTACGGTCTCAGAGTAAAGGTGAAGAAATATGGAATTTGGTGCTGGGATTTATCGATCGACATTATGGAGAGGGTATGTCGTTTTGGGGTAAAGCACAATCTTTGGTGTCATCAGGCCGAAGTAATCCGTCAGTTCTTCAAAGTAAACTGTTGCTCGACCACACATCGACAAACAATACAAATGACATTTACAATGTATTTAAAAGAGCAATATTCCATAACAAAAAGGGTGTATTGGTAGATATACTGGAAAAGGTTGGTGTCAAGACACTTACAACATATTTACAAACTCATCGTCCATGGAATATCGATCCAGACATATCACCGTCGGCATTGGAATACTTGTATCGCAATTTTCAAATGTCCTCTTCCTCCTCCTCGACTAAATTACCCTTTATATTTATATTTGCACATCCAACCATTGCATGTTATCTGACACACAACATTGATATTATCAACCACCACAACCAACAAGAGAAAAAGGAACAGGGTATCCTCACCAGTGATTTCTACCGATACATCAAAGCCGCTGTTTCAATTGGAAAAAGTCCTACATTGGAACCTGCCTATGAACAAATACACGATTGTTGTCATTCATTACTTGCAACCAAAAAGTATCCATTCGATGCCGACGTGATTGGTCAGACTATCGAATCACTACTTCCAGTCTCAGAGGAAGTGAACAAATCGATTAAATACTATAAACTTTGGGTATATGAAATGTATCATCTACTCTACACTCATTTGGGATATATTGCTAGAAACGCTGTCTCTTCTAAAAATATGATTACACTACTCCAAGACAACAATAACGACCGTGTCTACCAATACCTCTTGTCACGTGCAGGTTTTGGCTATGTGTGCAGCTATGGAACATTGGAGCAGGTACAGGGGTGTCATCTACTTCAAAACGATAGTATCGCGCCAGGTGCACTAGACAAATCCATCAATTTAAAGTCATTTGATTTACAGGTCATCAAATACCTCTTTCCAATCATTAGACAACACCAAAAATCCAACTCTATATTCTTTATAGAGCTTGAAACGACCGAGCAGGCAATCAGTAACGCTATCTTTGTCGAGCGTTGGGATATTATCGAATATCTAATCATAGAAGAGAATGCCCCCTATATGAAGCACGCCAATTTGGTCTTTTCAGCTCTCGTTGCAGGTCGGTTTGAATTGGCCAACTTCTTGGTTGCAAGGAATAGTAATATTGATGATCACGTATCTCATATTCCAGTAAACTCTAAAGAGATGATATCATACTATCCACGAGACGCTTACTTTAAACCTACACTTGGTACAAACAAAGAGAAAAACTATACTCTTGTTCGATGCATTATGGAACGATACAATGCACGGGTAGTAGACGATCAACATTTACAGGTTACCTCGAAATCTATTTACTTTTCAGAATATTCACCTCTACCTAATTGCTATAGTATATTACTAGATGAAGCTGTATTACAAGGTGATTTCGATATATTCATCTATCTATACGATCTATTTAACAAATCGTACATTGTCAATATGGATAGTCTAATTGAAAAATATAAGTTTGGTTTCATTGCACAATTGCTTGAAAGAGGTGACATCCCATTTAACATCTGCCGTCTCGACTGTTATGCCATTCTAGGAACATTTGCATCGGTAGAGTGGATCGAGAATATTCTAAACTCTCCTAATCTACAACCATTAAAATCGGGTACCCAACAACACCTACAAGCTTTCAAAATGAGTGCAACCACCAAAAATATTGATAATCATCATAAACAATCATTTATAAAATATTATCAACAAATTAAATAATAAATAAATAATAAATAATAAATAAATAAATAATGTTTTTTTTGTAATGTACAAATTGTTTTTTTTTAATTTCTCTAAAGATATTTTTAGAAACATCCATTCTTTAATACTTTTACCATATCTTTACCCTTGACACTAATATTATTATTATTATTATTATTTGTTTTTAAAAAAAAAAGGTTAGAAATTAAATTAAAGTTATTTTGGATAGAATAACATACAAAAGATAGACTACTACAAAGATTAACCATGGAGCTAATAGACCACCACAAACACCACCAACAATAGAATATTTCTTTTTGAGGAACGCACCTAGATCAAAGAATACAAAATCAATGTCATCCTTGTCATAGTAACAGGTAGTGTATTCATTCAATGGATATTTATCTTCCATGTCATCTGGACAATCCGAGCCAGCACAATATTGAACCATTTCATTTCGCATCACTGTTCCATTTTCCAATGTATAACGTACATCCATAATTAAATTATAAGTTCTCTTGTAAAGATATTCGTAACTAATAAAAAATAATAATAAATAAATCAATTCAATTCAATTTGATTCGATTAATGAATGTCATGTCATGTCATGTCATGTAATGTCAGCTCTCTAGGTATACATACTCGTGAGATAAAACATAACATTGTGTTTTAACTTGAGTAATATTCTTCATTGGTTGTACAAATAGTATCCATAACAAAGTGAGTAATACAGCCCATAAGATGATATAGACAATGGTAGCAATGACCATATAGTTGTTTTGACGTTCACAATAGTTCCAACTGTCACACCACCATTTATAAAATGTCACTTTCTCCTTGACTGCTTTGTGTGGTGGAGGTGGATTAATATCCTCTTCTCTCATTACTCCTTTATGACGTTCAATCAATGCTGTCCATGAACTAAATAGATCGCAAAAAAAATAATAAGTAAATAATATTACAACAAAGATTACATATTTTATATATGTATTGTATGTATTACATACTTGAACATTTCTTGAGAAGGTAATTCAAAAGTGTAGGTAGCCTTTCCTCTTGTTTTAATTCTGAGGTTGTAGGGTTGAGCACCTGGTTCATCGGCTTGTTCACAATACACGATATCATGGAGATATAAAAGACCACGTCTGATCGTATCCTCAGCTGACTCTTTAAACTCCATTCCTCCCTCTGATAAATCTACATATTTACTTATCCTAAATACATATATTATATATAAATATATAAATATATATAAATATTTTTGATTAGTTTTATTTAAATATATAAATAGATAATTCGATCGTTTTGAGTATCGATATTCGATAGGGTTGGTTGGGTTTATTTTTATCTTTTTTTTTTGATCATATTTGATAGATTTATAAAGAGATACATACCATCCTTTATCTATACCATCACTATTAATATAATGAGTATTAACAGTTACTTGACAAGTGTAAGCATTTATATTTTCCATCTCCATTCTATATATACCTATGCTTGTTTATTTGAATAGATATCTATCTATCTTTATCTGTAGTTTCTTTGTATCGAGAGAGAGAGAGGAGTGTATCTGAAATGAGTGGAGTGACTAGTCAGAAAATAAGGACATAAATAGACAGCTCTATAGGTCTCTGCTCGCACGAAGATGTGAGCGCTAGAGAAAAACTGTAGAGGACCGTCACAACCGTTTGGTTCAAGCAGGTGGGGCAACTTTGAAAAAATTTCGCGGCTTTTGGTCGCTGTGTGTTTGATGAGGATTATGATCGAGGGGGTCGTTTCCTATCCATCTTGCATTCATCCACAAAACACAAAGATATTTTGGTAAAAAGATATCTCTTTTAATCTTTAAATAATATTTAATACATTATTTTTGTATTATCAAGAAACAAAAATATTAATATTTTAATTATTTTTAATTCTTTTCGGTTGTTTGATCAGAATGATGGCAATTCAGTTAGTTAAATATGACAACAGTAACAAACAATATCAAGAGAGATAGAGAGAGAGAGAGGAGACAACATTATTATTGATGACACTGCCAGCGTGTACACATGATACTCTCTAGTCATAGAGTAGGGTATGAGAGAGAGAGAAGAGATGATCAATTATTATTATTATCTCTACCCTACTCTTGTGCTCTGCTCAGCTGCTTTTCTTGATTTTAAACCAGTTGGCATCCATATCCATATATAGAGTGAAATACCAATAGTTAGGAGTTATAGATACTAGTGTGTAAACTGCTCCTTCCTCTCCTGCTAATCCTAACGCAAGAGGGAGAGGGAGAGAGAGAGAGAGGTACGACGATTGACCATATTGAATAGGTATGTTTGCACGTTGATAGAGAAAAGGATGTATATCTACATACAATGACATATTAATAATGGGGATTCCCATCCTACCCACCATTAAATAAACCCCACCACTTTAAATTGATTCACCCATTACCCACCAACCTCCTTCACATAATATTTTGATCATCTTCGTCGACGACAACCCCATCATCAATTAAATATGTTTCAACTGTTGATCATAGCACATCATCACAATTTTGATGATATAGATATATATCATATCAATCAAATCAAACAATCCAACAACATCATGGAACAATATTGTTTAAATTGATAAGATGTGTTTATTTATTATTATTATTATTATCATGTCGGGTGGGTACGTACAATCATAAGGGGGTATCATTCAGGTACTTGTTTGATTTTTTGGTGATCAGTCAAGAACAAACAAACAAACAAACAAACTAATCACACACTGAATATATAATATTAAAATGAACACATCACATATTAGTTTGTTTGTTCCAAAATGGTAATAATGACTATCAAGTTAGGATTCCAACAACAACCAAAACAATTAACATTTATATTTTAAAAAGAAATAAATTGGGATCAATTAATTTAGCTAGCTCTGTGTTTTTCCATATCCATCCATCCATCCATCTATTTTTAATACCATACCATATCATACCATATACCATATACCATTTCCATCCATCAATCCAATACAATCCATTCCAAACCATTCCACTCATCCATCCATCCATTCATAATTATCTCTTGTTAATCTATTAATTTAATTCAAATCAAATAATTATTATATCTTTTAATTTTACATATATCTGTTAAATCAATTCAAATCAATCATGTTTAATTCTCATAGAAATAATATTGGTTTCTATTTTCATTTAATTATATTATCTATATTTTTGTTGTTTATTTCTCGATCGACGACACAAGGACAACCAAGTTCATGTACACAGTATCAAATTGGACAAACTCAATGCCAAAGAGAAGCTGAAAGTTGTACCGAAAATTCTGATTGCATGTATGGCACCTATTGTAAAACATTTGATGATGAACATGGTACGTCTCGTTGTGTCAGAATTTCCAACTTTAATGGCTATTGTTCTGGTCTTGACGCTGGCACACTCGAATGTGGAACATTATATTCTTGTATTGATCATAAATGGTATGTCCATAATATATTATATATATTAGATATACAATGACAAATGACAAATGGTTTGTTTAAATATTGAATATTAAATATTAATATTTTAAAATATTTATTTTAAAAATAGTGTAAGAGAAAAATACATTGAAGTAGATCAACCATGTGAAGAATCATATGAGTGTATGGGAACATTATTGTGTACTGATGGAACATGTCAATCAAATAATAACACTTGTAATGAAACAAGTCTCGATCAAGACTGTCCATTCACTCATAGTTGTGTCCAAGGAACATGTGTCAAACGTGCCATGTTGGGAGGTGAATGTAGTGATAAAAAGGCTGGATGTCCACTTGGAACCCTATGCTTTAACTTTACATGTCACGAATTATTCACTCTGAAAGAAGGTGAGGACTGTATAAGTAGCGGGTTCATGGATCTATGTGACTATGAAATGGGATTCTATTGTAACCCCAAATCTAAATGTGCAAAGATTCCAAGACCTTCTCCTATGGGTGCTAATTGTACAGCTCAAAATACCAATACCAATACCTCAACAACCACCACCACATGTAACCAATTTGAAGAATGTTTTTGTGATCATGGTTCAAACAACAACAACAACATCAACAATAATTCTTCATCATATGGTGGAACTTGTTATCCAAAGAGAATTAGTACTATTGATAAATTGGGAACTTGTAAAAGAGCCATTTCATCCATGTTTGACTGTGCCAATGAAAATCAATGTGTCTTTTCAGATGTACCTCGAATGGGATCTTGTCTACAAGAAAAGTGTTCGGTAGAGATGTGCGCCTATTACCTAGACTGCACAGATTATACAAACCCAGTAACCATATCTCGTGACTGTGTCTTACCAATGTACCAAGAATATTGTCCCAATTATTTTACTGGAGTCATCGATTCAAATGCATCTCATTTAACATGGTATTATAGTACTTTACCAATATCAATCTTATTATTATTCTTTTCAATATTTTAATAATAATAGAATAATAATAGAATAATAATAATAAATAAATAAATAATAGAATGTTGTAAATATAACTAATTTAAGTTAAATACCTAGATTTACTGCTTAGACGGGGGAGGGATGGTAAAGGGCAGAGGCTTCAGAATTCGAAGTTTTGTGGAAGGTTAAAATCGGTCGGTAGGTGGCGGGTCGAACCCTGCTTGAGCGATTTTCGAACCAAGAGGGGACAAGTCCTTAATAGGTGCAATAGCGAGCTCCCCCATTGTTGATCTCAAAATCATTGGCAGCTACGCAACAAACCTCGATCGATTCAAGTTTTTCCCAAACAAAGGCCGAGTCCCTTGAAAAAAACATAAACGAACAACCATCGATCTGCAAACATTAGACTGTTCTATCATCCTATTGGTTGGCTCTGCTAGCAGATACTTCTTGTTTCAACCCAATCACCACATAAAAAGTGTGGAGGGGGTTGATCACCTTTACTATCCTTCCTATATCCTTTTAAAGATTAGTCTAGTGTTGTTGTATCAGTCAACCCCCTCTCACTGCCTACATGGTTTAATGTTGTGTGGGTTGTCGTGTTGAGATTTTCGGGCAGCTATCTTTCTCTTATCATGAAAGATGTGATACACTACAATACAAACTATTACAATTCCTTTCAAGCAAGTTGTTGTTGGTTTGCTTGGCATGCTAACTTTTCTTAATGATGATGGTGTCGTGATACAAAGCAATGAGGAGATGACGGAAGACAGTTCATTCATTTGGTATCTCGCTTATAGATAAAAATATTAATATTTAGTATAGTATAGCATCAACAAAACTACTATCATCATCATCAATCATGTTTAAATCAACCTTTTCATCACTTGCTCTCATCTTTATTGTTGTCGTCACTTTAAACCTCGGTGTATCTTTTACCGATGGCAAGTGTTCTACTTATTACCCAAATACTGATGAATGTGCCTCTGCAGGCGAAGTCTGGTAAGTCCTCGGACTCTTACAACAACTCTATTATTGATAGTATCAAACTAACACGTTGATCTTTCTTTCTGTCTCTCTCTCTCTTTTAAAAGCAACTCTACTGTTAGATGTAATCCTGATTTTTACTGTCAAGACGGATCATGTTTGAAATATGCTAATCTTGGTGAAGACTGTCCATTGGGTACTGAATGTAACGCAGTGTATTCTTGTCAAAACGGAGTATGGTACGACGATTCAAACAAACAATATAACAACAACAACAACAACGACATAGACATAGTCCATTCATTCTAGAAACTAACCTATTCTTTCTTTTTTTTTCTTTTTTTTAGTCTACATTCTAAAACTCAACAACTTGGTGAGAATTGTACTGGAACCTATCAATGTTTGGGATCATTGGTTTGCCAGAATGATGTTTGTTCATTAAACAATGGTACTTGTGTCAGTTATATGGACTGTCTCTACAATCAAACTTGTATTTCAGGTGTATGTGTTACAAAGACAACTGGAGATGAGTGTACAAGAACCAACTCGTATACCAACTTGGATTGTGCATTTGGTAGTTCTTGTGTCGACGGAGTTTGTACCAAGTACTATTCGTTGGGTCTAGGTGACGCTTGTTACAAATCAGCCTTTCTCGACACTTGTGATTATTCTCAAGGTCTTACTTGTGACCCCAAGCTCAGTGTTTGTGTTGCTCAACCACAGCTTACCAACTCATCGGTCAACTGTATGACTGCAGGTTGCCAAGTCAACGAAGTTTGCTACTGTGATAATGGAGTCTCCAACACTACCGGCCAATGCTATGGAACCTTTGCAAACAACAGATCAATGGAATTGTGTGGAAGTTATGCAATCAGTTTCGTTCAATGTATGATCCAGAATGAATGTGTATTTACTCCACAAACTATTCCAGGTATGTTAAATCAAAAAAAAAAACAAAGATTTTTAATAAATCAACACATACTAATAATCTTTTTTTTTTGTTGGTTGGTGTAAACAGGTAGTTGTATGATTGATAACTGTGGTCAACCTCTCTGTGGTTTTACTGAATACTGTGTCAACAAACAGCCAACCGCTACTCCTGTCAACCCAACTTGTACCGCCAAAATGGGATACACCTGTTTCAAAGGTGATGATTCATCCTCCTCGGCCGTGATTGGTCAACAATCATCTATCATGGTTACTCTATTTGTTGCCATTATTTTTACAATCTTTTTCTAAAAATCTAGATCATATATAGCTGCTCTCTATCTTTCTATATCTTTTTAGGAAATTATACATACATTTATATTTCTATATATATTTATTATTACCAAACCTTTACTCCACCAATTTAAATTGGTTATACACGATGGTATAGCCAGAAAAAAAAACAATAATCCACATCTATTTCTACAGAGAAATAAAATTCATTCATTACACAATGATCTGTAAAATGGTCTAAAACAATTAAATAATATATTATTATTTCAATAATATTACATTGTTTCTTCTTTAAATTAATGAACGTGTGTTTATTCATCGTCATCGATTTCTTGATCAGAGGAGGGACTATCTTCATCCATTATTGAATCAGAATTATCGGTCAAAAAATCATCAGTATCATCTTCATCTGTCAAATCATCTGGTTGATCGCAATAGGTGTAAATGGGAGAAGATTTACTGATGGTGGGTAGATAAGAGTTATTTTTGTTTTTGAAATTGATGTACAACTTTGCATTGTCTGCAATGTTGACCACTCCACCAAACAATGATTGACTCTGTCCAAGATTAAAACATGATCGTTATCCAATTTTCTGATGGTTCCTCTAAATACCCCATCACCATAACAATAGATATCAAACTCTTCCACATTACCATGAACAAATTGACCAATTTCAACACTAAATGGATGACGATTTTGATAACTATTAGATATTTTGATATTAATTGATTTTGGTAAAATATTATTATTATTATTATTATTATTATTATTATTATTATTATTATTATTATTATTATTATTATTATTTGTTGTTGTATTATTTTGATTATTTTGATTATTTTGATTATTAATGATTGTAATATTTGAAGGAATAGTAAAAACAGAGTAGAGTCTAGTTGATTCTGTTGATGGACCAGACCGAATAGGTTCACAGTGAATAGATAGTGATTCGATTGAAGATGGTATTGTCAAATCGTTTGGGAAACTAGTTCTTAATTGGCTATAGTCTAAAGACTTTAAACTAGGTGGAAATAGTTTTGGAAGGGTTGGTACACGTATGATGGAACTGCATTCAAATGATTCTAGTTGATTTGGAAACACTGTGAACTCATTAAATACACAAGCATATCGGAATAGAGTGAGAGCTTTAACCGAATTTGGGATGAATTGGGGATTGATCAGTCCAGTGTAGTTGTCTAAATCCAATGTATGAACAGACTCTGGTATGGCACCCTCTGACAATTTTCCATCACGACTGAATCTGATTTCCAATTCCTTGACATTCATCGGAATGAACCCTGGTGGCAACAATCTCGAGCATTGACGAAGCGAGAGGTTGGTTATATTCGAGGGTAGTGCATTTGGCTCGATACGAGTAAAGCGTTGGAGACTCATATCGAGTGCCGTGAGAGAGGTTGGGAGGAATGTCTTGGGAATATCGGTTGGCAAGTCGAACGATAGATCTTTTAGCGTTGAAGGCAAGATAAAGTCGGTGGTGGCGATATCGGGATGTGGAGTGGCAAATATATAGAGTTGGTCGAGCGATACAAGGTTGTCAAGACGTAGAGTGTAGGAAGAGGTTTGAGAGATATTGACTCTAAGTGTTTTTAATGTTGTTGGGAAGAGGTGGAGGTCTGTAGGAACACGAGTAATAGATATTGTCAAAGAGGTGAGTGAAGAAGGTGTTGATAGTATGTTGCACAAGACTGATCCTTCCATTTTACCATAGATTTGCAACTTTGATAACAAAGGAAGGGATACTAGAGCGTTTGCATTGGCAAATACAAAGTTTGCAGGTTCAAAGATAACAGTCTCCAAAGAGGGTGGTAACGACCCCTTTGCAATCTTGTCTGGGTATCCATACCGAAGATACTTGAGAGTATGAGGTAAATACCCATTTCCAATTTGACTATTACTTTTCGTTACATCCAATTCTTCGAGTAGAGGTGGTAGATGTAGTGGAAGATCGGCTCCTTCAGGTACATACAATGTTGTAGTTGTATTTGGTAAAAGGGTCTCTTTATCACCACCATAATTCTTTCCTGCTGGATATCCTATTAATGCAATCTTTACATCAATTAAAGAAGAAGTAGATGAAGTAGATGATGAAGAGGATGAAGATGAGGAGGATGAAGGTAAAATAACTAGTTGATTTGATATAGATCGATCAAATAAAGATTTAAATGGTTTCAAGTTGAATGTTGAGGATACCAGATGATGATGAACAAGAGTATTGTAGTACAACTCTGAAGCCTCATCGATATAATGAATATCTCTAAACTGAAGCAGACTTGTGAAATCATTTTTGAAAGCATAGTAATACTTTTTGCAAGTGATCAACAAACAGATGAGATCTACATTATCACGAATATCTTCAATGATCTTTAACAGTAGTATATTTGATATACCTCCATATATAAAATAACATTTGTCATTAATGTCCATCGATATTGATCGTGATTGTCGTAGTCTTTGCAAACGAAAGAAATCGAAAAAAAAAATGAATATTTATTTTCTTTGGGGGTTTTGAAAATTTTTGGTCTTCTTTATTTTTAATTATTCTTTTACCAATCGATAGATCTTTTCTTTATCAATCAAATGGTTGATAAAAAAATTTGCGAGAGGTTCACCCTGCTAAAAAGTACTTTCCGTAAAGTCGCCTTTAGCCATGGGCTAACATGAGGTCTAGAAAGCATTGTTTGGAAAAACAAATGATATAAACAGAAAGAGCACAAAAAGTTGTATCTATTGGTGATATTGGATCGTCGTTTCAAAGATTATTCAAATAAAAAAAATGCTATTCTTCAAAGACTATCTCATAGTACTATTGTGCGGGCCAACCATATAAAACTATATGCTACATGGATCGATACCTTTTGGATCACGATTAATCAAATAAAAAGACAAGCACCAACACAAGAGGTGTAGGTGCCTTGAATCTTCAACATTATATGCACTGGTGTCGGCAGTGTTCAATGCATGCCACATCCAGCAACGCTAGACAAGATGGTTAGTATATTTGGAATGGATCAATAATCAAATAATTCAGAAGTGGTCAATCTCAAAACAATTGTGAATGCTCAAGAGTATTGGTAGCTTAATCTCATATATCGATATCATGGTTATTTATTTGGTACATACTAGTATTATTGTAATTGGCTCTTTTAAAACCCATCAAGGCTAGTGGTCACATGACAATTTCGCATTCGATCTATCAAAACCATCCATTCTAAAAGATAATAAATAAGTAATAATTAGTAAACAGTATTTATGACAGTAATTTTACAAGATACATATCTTTACAGTTTTTAAAAATGGACCAACTCGTCTCTAATCAATTGATTCTATATTTAAAGTATAATATATATGGCATGAATATGATTAGTTGAGGGTTTGATAGTTGTATTGTGATGAATTTACTTAACTTTGTATTCTAATTCAGGTGGGTAGAGTTGATGACCAAACAACCACCTTTGTTGCTATAATACAAGACTACCAGCTATAGTATGAACCGATTTGTTGACTAGTCTCATTAAACAGATATCTGATAGATTGGAATTGTTAGTTTAGTTTTGAAATTAATTTATGTTATGAATACATAACTTTAATAGATCGGCGGTTGATTAAGAAGAAGATCAATCGGTTCTAAAAATAGTAAGGATGACCTATGTTAAAAATATGTATTAGTAATTGAGTGGTGGTTGTAGTATATATACTACTACTATGTTGAAGTCTACATGATACTTAAACTTTATCATTTATGGATAGGTACCATATATGGATGGATGTATTGTTTGATTAAATATTGAACTATAAAGCTGTAAGGGATAAATAAAAAGAGGAAAAGAAATATGAGTAGAATCAATAGAGCTACCATTACTCTTGTCTCAATCACAATGTTTCTCATTCTAAAAAAAAACACCAACAATATATAGATAATAAAATATTAGTATCCAGACCCAAGCCTGGAGCTGCAAGCAAATGCCCATTGTGAACCAAATGACAAGTTGAACTCCGTTGGCTATACCGTAGAGTAGTCCTTTTGAGTCAAATGAACAATGTACTTGCAGCTCCCAATTCTGAAATGATTTAAAATAGGGGAAAATTGTATATATATAGAGGGGGGGGGAAAGAGGGATAGAGGGTAGAATTCATAAGTTTCCCACGCCGAAGCATGACCATTTGGAAGACACTAGAACATCCTCCCACCAACCAAAAGGAGTTGTAGTGTCTTTTTAAATAATAATAATAATATAACCACAAGTGTAATCTATAATTATAAAAAAGAGGTTTATTTCTATTGTCTTTAAACAATAGAATAATGGTTAGTGATGTATAATATTTCATAGTAGTGTATAGTCTTACTTTAATTTATATTATATATTTATAAAAGATTTTGGTTCTTTGTCAAAGGATCCTTGAATAAAGACAGAGTGATTGTTGGTCTACGTCATGTCCTCTAAAGGCGTCATTCCCATTGTTGATTGACTGATTGATGATTGTTTAAAATATCTTGATGAATCTAATCGATCGATGGTTATTGTTGTTGGTGTCATGATGAAAATTCTCCCTCCAAAATTAATTACTTCTCTTCATGACATGATAGTGCTGTGCTGTACTGTGTTCTCGCGCAGTACAAGACAAGTAGTAAATATAAATACATCTAGATTTATGAATTCATAACCCATCCTAAAGTTGAATTCATTCATTCATTCATTCGAGACAGACATCCATCAAATGACGATGATGATTGAGATTTAATTTAACTTGTTACCCTATACTACTTGTGTTGATGATCAATATTCACATCATCATCATCAACATGATCATCATCATGACTTTTATATCTCTAAGTATTGTATTGTAATTGTATTGTTCTTATTCTTATGACTCTGTGATGATCATGATGTTTGTTGGCGTTTGTGAATGCTCCATTTGCAAATTTGAACCCAAAATCTCTTAGTTGCTTACTAGTATGAAAAGGTGACACTGATGATAATATTCTTTTGAAGAAAGGAATTAGTATACATCAACAACTACTACTAGTTAATTTCTTATATGCAACTTATTGTGTAGAATTATTATAATAATTCTTTTTTCCATCTTTTGCTTCCTTGTGCATCTTTCTAATGATGTTGATACAACTAAAATCTCTTGGTGACATAAAAACTGTACCATCTTCGTTGATCTTTTCTCCTTTGGGGTCGAGAGTTGTCTTGATACCTCTTCCATGTTTAGACATGCTCAAACTTCTTAGAACCTCTGCTTGTAGTACTTCGTCGCCATTTGTATGTCTTCTCAACAGGAATGACGTTTTATTTCTAATGCGTTGCACTTGTCTTAATGAGAATGTTGGTTTAAAACGGTCGCCAATTAATCGTTGGTAGACTGTTGGAGGTGTCGTTGTTGTTGTTGTTGCTGCTGCTGGTGATGCAGAGATTGTTGTTATTGGTACTAATGCTACTGATACTGATGATGCTGCTGATGCAGTGATAGTTTGGGCTGCTGTACTCATGATTAATATGCTTAAAATAAAGATAAAAATATATCTATAATATTGATAATTCATTAAATAAAGATATTATCAATTTAATTAAATAATTAATTGTTTGTTTCAATTGATTCTACACTTTTTTTTTTTTTTTTTTTTAAATTTTTTTTTCTCATGAGATAGTGCGATCTTTATGCGTGCCATAGGTGACTGACCTGATACATTTGCGAGGTTTGAACATTTGTTTCAAAACAACAACAGCAAATAGCCCCTCTCTCTCATTAATAAATGGATCCTATCAAAAAGAAGAAACAACAATAGAATCATACGCTGATTTGGTATCATACACCCCCCCTCTCCCTCCTCCTCTTCTCTTACATTTTAGATCTTGGTTCATATAATGAGCCTAATCCGCACCCCCATCCCCCTCCTTATCCGCCTCACTCATATAGTGAATCAACACGCCCATAATCTGACGGGTTACATCAAAGAATGATCGTGCTGTGGCTCACCTAGGCATCATATCCAACCATGACTACCACCCCCTATCCTCCTCCTTATCCCCCTCACTCATATAGTGAATCAACACGCCCATAATCTGACGGGTTACATCAAAGAATGATCGTGCTGCTGTGGCTCACCTAGGCATCATGAATGCCCCCATTAAACGGTGGTGATGACACAGTTCGGGTATTAAGAAACCACCATACGATTATGATATCATTGGGACAACCCCATCTGTATATGTATCACCCCTCACTTTTTGTTGATAATCAACAAAGACAAGAAAACATTTGTTTAAAATAAAATATTATTCATCAAGCTCCAATGTTCTCTATTTAAAGTGTTCTTTTTCTCATCACATCATTATTCATTTTATCTATCTTTTCTTCAATTCATTATCTTTCTGCTATATTGTATTACCTTTATATATTTTTTATATAGGAAGCTTCTAATTGAGGTTCACTATCGCACAGTGGTCATCATGAATGGCCCACTTCCATCCGCAACAGAGACAAGAACAACTCAATACCCTCTCGATCGTCTCATGGGTAAGAAGTGGAATAACGAACAAAACTTGTTTGTGACACATCTCGGCCAATATGCAAGATACTATCACTCTGTTAAGAGGTTAGTAGGCCAATTTTTTTTAATATTTGTATACGACTTTAATAACAGTAAGATATCATCAACCTTTTTTTTTTTTTTGAACATGAATCATTCAGATAAGTTCATGAACTAATTGATCGATTTCATGTATTTTACTATTTTTAGTGTTTAGTTTGTCCCGACAAGAACTCGAAAAAGTAATACCAAAGTATTACGACATGAGTGTTCTTTCAAAGAACAAAACAAATGAATTATATGAAAAAATGGAAAATCGGTTGACTTTGCCGATTCGATGGGATTCTCTAATTGTGGAGGCCATCATCTCAAAGGTGATGGACATAGACACACGCAAAAGCAGTAATAGTCCAAGAGATTATGTATGTATAACAGTCTGTGACAGTTATGATGTGTAATAATAAATTAATTTTTATTTTATTCTTTGTTTACTCTTTACAGAATTCTGCACAAGATGTCCAAGCAAAAGAGAAAATCGTCAACAAAATGCTATCGAGAACATTTGCCAAACTCAAGGTAGACGAGATGGTTGCAAAATATCAAATCCTCCGATATGCACTCCTTGACCCAGATCTGAATCCAATTGGCTGTTGCCACTCTTATAAAACCGCCTTTGCCAACTCCATTTGCAATAGTTACTCGGCCGAGGTGGCCGAGACCTGCAAAAGGATGGTGGAGAGTGCTTTAGACCGTCAAGATGACCGAAACATATTCCACCACGAGTCCAAGTTGGTGTCGGATCTTCTGGAGGATATACTTGCCAAAATAGATGATGGTGAGATCGGTGAAGGGTACCAAGCTCTCAAACTAATATTTTCATCTCAACCATTAAAAGGTATGTCATTGATATTAACACCATCACAGGTTTTTTTTAAATATCTTCTTGCGTCGGTTCATGTAACTCTATCTCTCATTTTGTTTATCTTTTGCTCATACACGTCAAAAGGGGTCGATGACCGCTACTGAGAGGATGGTGGGCAGTTTGCGGAGTGTCGATCAGATTTTTTTTTTTAATATTTATTTTCATTTTTTTTTTTCATCTCGAACAACTCACAGAAACCAAATTTAGAGAATGTATATTAAACTATTAAATAACATCTCACACTCAACACAACATTATCAATAGATAGAATACAGCGAGTATTGTTTATAGTTACACTTTTAGTGTAAGAACCCACACATCACTATCATTACTCCTCTTTTACACCATTTCTTTTTGATTATCTTTTGTTTTCATTGGTTTACCAATCAATGCACCACCCATCTCTTTCCTTTTAACTACTCATTGTTGGCCAAGTTCATCTTTACATATCATTGACCTCTTGTGTTCACTCATAAATTATATAATCCTTTTTGATCCAAATCAAGTACCAATCTACCACTCTTTATCGCTCTGCATCCTTTTTGTTGTTCGTTTGATCCACTCTCCTATCCGACAAACTTTCTTTACCACTTAACTTTCCATCAGATACTGCAATCAATCACTACCATTGCTCCTCTTTTACCCTTTCTTGTTTTGATTATATTTGTTTTTATTAACGAGATGCACCACCCATCTAACCACTCGCCTCATTGTTGGTCCCAGTCTTTCCATCAGATCGATAATGCAAAACATTACAATCATTGCTTTTACACCATTTCTTTTTTGTTTTCATTATCCAATCAACGCATCACCTATCTCTTTTGCCTCATTGTGGAGAGAGAGATAGAATTTATAGAGTATAATTGTAATACAGCGCGTATTAATTATTGCAGAGATTAGAGTGATCTTTGATACCTCCATTGATAGCAAGAAGCTCTCTCTATGCAGTGACAGGCCTGTCAAACCTTTTTTTTTTTTTAATTTTAAACCTCTCTAACATTTATTACATTTATCATTATAGATCATAATTTGGAATGCGAAAAGAAAAGGTCAAAATTAAAAGAGGAAAGAGAGGCCAAGCAAAATCAAGAGCCAGCCATTCCCAAGGAAAAAAAAAAGAAGAAACAGTTTTTGGGTGACAAAAGGCCTGAAAACTTTGATGAAATCAATTTTGATGGAACTGTTTATTCAATATCAAATTTGGCCACAGATTTAGAGATTGATAGCAAAAATGTAAAGAAATTAAAGGTTGAAGAACATATATCTGGTGATTATTTACAATCTGAACTCTCATCAAAGTTGGAAGCGTTGATCCAATCATCAACATCAATAAGTGCCTGGAGTGGGTTAAATACCCTCCAATTGAATAGATTGAAAATGCTAAATTTGGAAAATATAATTAATCCGTAACTATTATTATTATTATATCTTTTGTTATTTTTTATTATTTTCATTATAATTAACTAATCAAATGCTTTTTTTGTAATCTTATTTTTTTTTCTATAGAGAGGACAATTCAATCGATTTTTCAAAGTTGACAAAAGATCAATATCCATCTTTAATGGATTTTTGTGAATCAAATGGATACAAGTTTCCAAAAGGATATGACCCTACAGGATTGAAATCCCTCATGACGTCCGATTTGGAGACGATAAAAACTACTCCTTTCGCATTGAATAGCTTTGCACCACAAGCAAAGTATGTATAAAACAATTGACCAATATCTTTTTTTTTATATTTTTAAAACTAATCCTCTTTTTTATCTATAGATTCAACAGTACTTTTATCCCATTCTCGATAGAGTTGTTTGTCAGTATAATCGTCAACTCTGGAATAGATATGTCCCTTGGTTTGACCGACAAACACAAAATATTAAGGTATATTTCAAAAATATTACCTAATTTGGAAAAAGAAATTGGTCATCCATTGGAAAGTGGCTATCCATTGGATAGATTTAAGTTTTTCGACAAGGAAATTGAGATCCTCAAAGCTTCGCACTTGGCTTCTTTTCCTTCATCGTCAGATGTAACAATATCACCATCCTCTTCGTCTGATGTAACAACATCACCATCCTCTTTGTCTGATGTAACAATATCACCATCCTCTTCGTCTGATACAACAACATCACCATCCTCTTCGTCTGATACAACTACATCTCCATCCTCATCATCAAAAAAAAAAAGAGGTAGAACTCGTAGTGAGATTGTGGATATAAAGTTAGAAAAATTCCCTGATTTTAAAGATTTTAAATTGGAGGATCTTAATCGACAATTGGAACTTAGAGATATCGAATCCCCAAACATTGATACACAAGTCCAAGAAGAGGAAAATATTAAAAGATTGAAATTGGTTTTATGGCAAGACATGGTAAAACGCTTGCAAATAGATTTTATAGAAGACTTTGACTACAGCAAATCCAGTCAAGTTAGCATTTTAAAATGGTTATCTTTACCTACTAGCACTATTAAAATCGAATATGATTGGTACTGCTGTTCATTGCCAACACTGAAAGCAACTCTCAAGAAACTATTCAATGACAGCCCAAAGGTGAAGAGAAATGGGCCAAGGAAATGGATGCCAAAGTCTCTTGCTTCAACAAAAAAATCGTTTCTTTTTCGTTACTATACGATTGGATTTGTTGGAAAATCAGTCCTCTGCGATTATTTGCAATCACCGTATGTAAAAGACAACCCATTCGATTTCAACGGGTCAACAAAAACAATTCACCCCAACTTTAATGATTACGAAAGAGACAATATTGGTTACATTTATAACCAAAAAATGTCGGTCCTAATCAATCAAAGGGCGATGATGGTGACAACCAACGTTCCCAGCCATATCTGGTTCCAAACAAAAAGTAAATGTCATTGTTTTAAAGCATTATTATCTTTTACGACCCATTCATTTTACTAATATTTAATTTTAATCTTTATATAGGTGCAAATGAAAAAGTAGTTTCTGATGTGCAAATATCCATGAATTGCCGTCTCTTGCCATACCATTTGAAAAAGAGACAAAAACTAGAAGAATCTTTTCCAGAGCAAAGTTTGGTCTCTCAAAAAAACGGTCAAGATGGCACACCCATGGATGATTCCGATGATGATGATGATGAATCATGGAAATGTAAACAAGTAGAAGAAATGGAAAAGAACCATTCATATTCATACAACCATCCCCACTATGCTTGTTTTGTGGCAAAACAAGTTGGGTTGAAACCAAACATTCCCAAAGTCAAGGATAGAGATATTATCTGTGCCAATTGTTTGTCATCCCACTCACTTAAAGATTTGCCTATGGTGTGCGAACAATGTGATGCGACCATTCCTATTCTATCGGAACATGAAAAAAGATTGGATTTATGTGGTGACCTGATGGATCTGTACTCGGTTGATATTCAACTAAAAAGGAATGCATTTGAAAAAATGCCACCCTTTGATTCAAAGGATGATCAATTCCCTCCACCAGTACCATTAATTGCCGAAATCAATCATCGACTCGTCAAATTTGACCAACCTGAGTCACCCCACGTGGAGATTTTTCTACACGAGGCTCTCAACACCACCTCGATAGCACTCAACAGTAACAGGTCAGGAATTGCACCCTCCATGCGGAACCTATTCAATCTTATTAAAACTACATCCGATCCCTCGATGCAATTTAGAATTCGTGATGCATATCCCTTTGTCCACGACTCGTCTACTGGCGGATTTGAAAATGAAATCAAACATGAAATCATGGTGAAGGAATTAATGAAGCATTTTTCAATGACAACGTCCAAGCTCATTATTGTTTGTGGACAATTCCCTTGCAAGGCAGCCAAAGAGGCTTTTAATGCCAATCCTTTGGATTACGAAATGGTTGACTATAGTCAAGAATCTTATCACACCATTTTAGATAAAGCCAAAGGCACAACCGAGGACAAAGAGGTGGATGTAAGTAGGATAATTCCTAAAAGGCTCATTGCTATCGCCCCGCATCCATCAGTCATGTTTGCGTTGCACATAACAGCAGCCTATATTTTGATTGCTCATGATATCTACAAAATGGCTCCAAAGGTATCTCAATTTGACCCAGTTCAAACATTTAAATCGAATTCCCCCTCGTCTGCCTCGTCCTCCTTCTCCTCCACGTCCTTATCATCCACGTCATCTTCATCATCTGCCTCGTCATCTTCATCATCTGCCTCGTCTTCCTCGTCTGCCTTGTCCCCGTCCTCCTCGTCCTCCTCCACGTCCTTATCATCCACGTCATCCTCATCATCTGCCTCGTCTTCCTCGTCGTCCTTATCATCCACCTCCTCTTCATCATCCTCCCCTTCGTCCTCCAATCAAAATACCACCAAACGCCCAAATCTAAGTAACAAAACAAAAGATTTTCCTAAACTTAAACAATGGACGTTGGAACATCTAGTTGAAGAGGCCACATCCCGTAAAATCGACGTAGAGAATATCAAAGAAGATCGTCTTCAAGTGGAATGTGTTTTGTTGAAATCGGTCCTTGGGGTTCAAATATGGTCAGAACAAAAAATTGAACAGTTTGATCTAGAGAAATCAAACTCGAAAAAAGATATACTGACCTATGCGAGAGAAAAAAATATCCCTTTGACAGACTATTGGTTCTTCATGACGTTGGAAACCCTCAAAAAAGCCGTGCAAAGGTGTCTCGCTTCCACCTCGTCCCCATCTCCGTCCTACTTGCCCACCCCTTCCTCACCCTTGACCGATATCTCACTCCCCTCTTCCCCATCCTTGACCGATGCCCCACCCACTTCATCCTCATCCGATACCTCAACTCCACCCTCTTCCACCGATACCTCATCCTTGACCGATACCTCAACCACCTCATCCGATACCTCAACTCCACCCTCTTCCACCGATACCTCATCCTTGACCTATACCTCACTCCCCTCACACTCATTCTCCTACTCCTCCTACTCTAAACCTTTTGTAAAAAATGAAAAGTGCGTTTACAAAGATGAAGAGAAACATATAAGAGCAAAGAGAGATTTTTATCACTCTGGAATGTGTAGAAGGCGCCGAAGCAAATGGAAAGTTATGAGGGAAAACAACTGTGGCAATTATCTTTATATCGGAATTGATCCTGGAAGGTCAAAATGTACGATTGTAGACTCTATGAATCGTGCTCGAGTGGTTTCAGTGGCATCTTATTACAACCTCATGGGCACTGACCGTCTTCTGGCAAGACAACAAAACTACAAAAAGAACCCGGTCCTGTCCAAATTTGAAAGTGAATTGCCACCCTATAATACCTTTGGTAAGTGTTATTTTAAATATGCATTGTCTATACCACCTATATATTATAATATTAATATTTATAAACTAACTTTTTTTTTAATTCCTAGATACTTTATTCAATGTAGAATCTGTATTGAGACGAATAGAGTATGAAAGAATTACCCATAGGGATCAATGTCGTCTTTATTCCCATGTAGTGACGTCCTATACGTTTCAGACCATGGACAAGAACAGGAACATTGACAAGAAGCGCGCCCAATATGCCTATGCAAAGAGCTTTGTACCACCAACAACAATCCCGAAAAATAGAATAGTGATTTGTATGTTTTTTTTATTTCTTCAAACCATTTATTATTATTTGTTATTAATCTTCTTTCTTTTTATAGATATTGGAGGGTCTGATTTTTTCCGTGGATCCCGAGGTGGTGGTAGAACTGGTTGTACATCAAAGACACTACTCAGACTGTTTTTGAATATGGGTTACAAGGCACGTCTTGTCAATGAATTTAATACCTCCAAAGTATGTGTGTTTTAATAATTGAATTTTTAGATCAACCCTCGAAATGGCCATTCATTAATATTTTTTTTTCCAAGATTCATAATGCATGTGCCTCCAAAATTCATTCTACCAACAACAACAAGTTCCTAGAAAAAGCTAAACACCAAAAGGTTAAAAATGTGTTGCCAGAATCTTTTGAAAAGACCCATGTTGTTGGTGCACCCATATCCTCCACGTTTTCAGACAATGGTGTTCGTTGGCAAGGAAAGGATTCCAAGTTATGTGATGGTTGCAAATTGACTGATTACAATTGTCAATGCTCCAAGGCTCAATTGGCGGACAAAGAGAATGATTCAACTCTGAAAGTGTCTCAATTGGCAGATGATATGAATGAAACTCTAAAAGTATTCATATCACTTGAAAATACTTCACCTTCTCCAACTATGCTATTGGAATCCCTTTTCTCTTTAAGCAAAAAGACTGTCAAGGAGTTGATAGAGTTTTGCAATCTAAACTCTATCAAATACAATCAACAAGAAGAGCCAACCAAAGGGAAAAACAAAAGAGGTTCTCACAAGGATAGTAAGGGTGGTGCTACCAACAGCAAAAAGGACCAACTTATCAACGCTATCATCAAGTTTAATTTTGAAAAACAAAAAAGGGATGCTAGCAAAAATAAGAAAAAGAGGTCAAAATCGTCATCAACTACTAATGATCGTTGTAAGGACCAAGATCAAAGCAATAGTCAAAAGGATGGGAACAAGTCTACAAGCAACTCTGTTTCGACCCACGATTATGGTTTTGGTAAGTCTCTTTGTGATAGTCAGATCAAAGATCTCTGGAAGTCAATGAACCCAAATGCGACAGAAATGCCATTTAAAACTAAATGGCAATGGCTATATTGTCCAGTTTGTGATCATTTCTTCAACAGAGACACGAGCGCTGCAAAGAATATTCTCTTATTGGGAATCTTACACCAAACCGCAGATTACAGGCCATGGATTTATCGTCCTTTACCTGCCGATATCGTGCATATTGGGAGGGTAGACACGACCTAGTTAACCTTAACAGGGCCTTCCTGCATAAATATGAAAGTCCCCCCCTCAGCTGTAAGTTATTAGATAGAAAATATAATGTTGATCTCAATTTACTGATTTTCCTCTTTTTTTTCTGTTCTTTGTCTTTTTTTTTACTTTGTCTGTTTTTTTTTCTTTCCTCAATTCAAAATAAAAGTTCAAATGTAAACTACACAACACGTTGCTTTTAAAAAAAGATCTGAATAATAAAATTAATTAATATTTTTAATTTAATATCTTTTAAATAAGATAGGTAGATATATAGATATTATGAATATTAATCCTTTAGTTTTGAGAATACATTATCATGTATTAGGTCATTGTGAAACTAAATCTGTCATACCACCAATCTTAAGTTTCATTTTCTAAATTACTAGATCTATATGAAGATATAAATATAAGAATATTTATGATTATAAAGTATTTCATCAACTAATTCTGATTGTATTACCGTGGTGTAGAACCGATCCTTTGATCTGAGAGGATGGAGATATTTTTTTTTGTCCCATGCACGAATTTTGTTCAAGGCAACTCAAAGCAAAGGGCATGGATGGGTATAGTGATCCAAAAAGTTCAACAATTCAACGCAACAACATTGTCATTCTTCTTCTTTTTCTTTTATTCAACTAAACCAATAATTAACTTACAATGAAATTATTATTATATGTATCATTGGTGATTGTAGCAATCATTGTAATTAGTTTTACAAGCTTTGCACGTGCAGATCAGTGCAAGGAATACGTCCCAATTGCCAAATGTGTTGGTGAGGGTGATCAATGGTAAGTTGTACATATACTATCTATCTATCTAGATTTAGAAAAATAATTAGTAGTATTAATTTTGATTTGTTTTTAAAGTTCTCAAGATGTTCCATGTCAAGGGTTATTATATTGTGACAATGAAGGAAATAGTATACATAATGGTACTTGTGTAAAATACGCTGAATTGGATGAAGATTGTTCCAAGGTACAGTGTAATCCAATCTATACTTGTTTGGCAGATACTTGTGTCATTGCCAACTATGCTCAGAGAAATGAGTCATGTCAACACGACTATGAATGTATGGGTGATATGACATGTGTCGAATCGGTCTGCTCATTGATTGGTTCATGCAAACAAAATATCGAGTGTCCATTTGGAACCTCTTGTGATAATAATGGTCTCTGTACAGATAATATCAAGGCTGGTGAATTGCTGCCTAAAAAGGGTGACCAATACTGTGCTATTGGTACAAAGGCAACTTCTCAAGGCTACTGTGTCTCTCTTTATAGTTTGGCCGTTGATCAAGATTGTGATGATGATACATTCTGTGATGACCAATTGGTTTGTAGCGGAGGTAAATGTTCCGCACTTCCAAAGGCCACTCCAACATCAGTCAATTGTCTATCAAGTCCATGCACATCCTACGAAGAATGTGTGTGTCAGGGAGGTGACGCTAGTGCAACCAACGCCACCTGTTATTCAAAGGGTTTGTTTGGCAGTGCCCTCGAACAACAAAAAACTACATACCTCGAGTTTTTAAACTGTATCACTATCTACAAGTGTGTTATCGAGTCAAACACTGACAGCCCAATTTACAATAGTTGTGCAGAAAAAAATTGTGTACCACAATATTGTACTTTTCTCAACTCCTCCCAAATTACCCAAGTATACAACCCACTTCCAGAGTCGTGTCACAGTCAATCCCCAATCTGTCTTGCTGAAGCAAACTCTTCATCCAGTATCCAAGTTAACTATATCTCTTTAATTCTTATCTTGTCCATCTTTATCCTTTTCACTTTCTTTTAAATTATCCAACCTTTTATCTTGTAATAATAAATCCCACAACTATATATATATATATTATTTATATAAATATTATTATTGTTTACATTATTATTGTTATTATTATTTTGGTATGTACGTGTTTTATTATTATTATTATTATTATATTGTTATTATTTGTTATTGATAAATGACCTTTGGCTTTTCAGATTTGTTTGAAGATGATTGGATGGTTCCAATTTGGTAGACAGTTTCGTTGTGGTGTTGGAGGAGGGAGGTGATTTGTTCGACCTTTTCCTTTTCGACAATCAGGACCATACCGATACCGCAATTAAAGGTACGGAGGAGTTCGAGACTGTCCATCTTGCCAATTTCATTGAGCCATTGGAAGACGGGGAGGATGTTCCATGAACCAATGTCAACGTGAGCGTTCATGCCGTCGGGGAGGACACGTGGGAGATTCTCGGTGATACCACCACCAGTGATGTGTGCAAGACCGTTGACACCGCCATTCTTGATGGCAGCCAAGCAGGAGAGGACGTAGAGTTTGGTGGGGGTGAGTAGTGTCTCGCCGAGTGTCTTGGTTGGCTCAAAGGGAGCCTTTTGCAGGTAGACCGAGTTGCTGCTGTCGCCTTCTTTGACGAGCCCGCTCTTCTTCTCTATGAGGTATCGTACCAACGAGTACCCGTTCGAGTGGACACCCGAGCTGGCGAGACCGAGGAGTATGTTGCCTGGACGGATGTTGCGTGGTAGCATTTGGTCGCGTTCAACGGCACCCACGGCAAACCCAGCCAAGTCGTACTCGCCGTCACGGTACATACCGGGCATCTCGGCCGTCTCACCACCAATCAGTGCGCAACCAGACTCTTTACATCCACGTGCAATACCGCCAATCACCTGTGTAGCAACATCTACATGGATACGACCGGTTGCAAAGTAGTCGAGGAAAAAGAGTGGTTCGGCACCTTGAACCAACACATCATTCACACACATTGCAACGAGATCAATACCAATGTCTTGATGACGGTTAACTTCTTGTGCAATCTTGAGTTTTGTTCCAACACCATCTGTTCCACTGACCAATATTGGATCTTTGAATCCAGCTGCTTTGACATCAAACAACGCACCAAAACCACCTAGATCGCTGACACAACCACTTCGGTTGGTGGTCTTGGCCATTGGTGCAATATTGTCGACTACGGCATCACCACGTTCAATATCGACTCCACTCTCGCTGTATGATACTCCACTGGTACCTGTCTCGGCACTACGTTTATTGGCCAAGTATGTGATGGCACGGTGTCCAATATCCTTTCTAAACTGCATACCCTCAAAAGAGACGGCAGCGACACCTACATAGGCAGCACGGATGGCAGCTTCTAGATCGGCGGCTAGTGCAGTGGTCGATAGCACACGACCACCGCTAGTGACGAGACGGCTGGTATGATCGGGTGCTTGGACGACAGTCGTGCCGGCTTGGAAGAGCATGAGACTGTCCGACTGGGGGAACCGCTCGACACCGACAATCTCGCGACCTTTGGCGTATGCATCTGGGTATCCCTGAGCAGCCGACACGACCGTCACGGCGTATCCGTCGCGCCACTTGACGTCGACGCTGTCCAAACGTGTCTCTATGCATGCAGCGAATATCTCGTACAGGTCACTCTCTAGTAATGGCAGTACTACCTGCGTCTCGGGGTCTCCCAGACGACAGTTATACTCGAGCACATAATTTTGCTGTGTCACCTTGTCGATGATCAAGCCGGCAAACAACACACCTACAAACGGACGTCCTTCACGTCGCATACCGTTGATGGTTGGTTTGAGCACAGTCTCGACGATCGCGTCGATACGCGGACCGAATCCCGACGCTGATGCACCTGCTCTACGGTCGGTCACGAATGGTGCGGGCGAGTATGCACCCATTCCACCGGTATTTGCACCCTTGTCACCGTCGAGTGCACGTTTATGGTCTTGTGCAGGTGGCATGACGGTCACTGTGTACCCGTCCGAGAAGCACATCACCGACACCTCATCACCGTCGATAAACTGCTCCACCACCACCTCGTCACCGGCACTGCCAAACTCCTTGTCGACCATCACACGCTTCAACGCAGCAATCGCCTCTTTTTTGTCTGCTGGAATGAGCACACCCTTTCCGGCGGCACATCCCGATGCCTTGATGACCACATTATGGCCAACCGACTCGACATAGCCAACAGCATCCTCATACTTTGTAAACGACTGGAATGCGGCAGTTGGGATACCGTGACGGTGCATAAACGCCTTGGAGAAGCATTTGGAGCCTTCAATCTCGGCAGCAGCCCGCGATGGACCAAAGCATGGCACACCCTTTCTCTTCAAATCGTCTGCCAAGCCATCCACCAGCGGTACCTCTGGTCCGACGACCACCATCGATGCATTCACCTCTTTACTGAAATTGGCAATTGACTCGGCATTGATCGCTACATTTGGTGCATTATTGATTCTTCCATTTGATGTTGTTATCGATCCATTTCCAGGTACCATATATATTTTATTTACTTTTTTTGATTTTAATAGTTTCCTAAAAGTATTAAAAAAAAAAGAAAATATAAGAAAAAAGTAAAAGTAAGTATCAACCTTGATTTGATTGTTCTCGCAACTTGTAGTTATATAACTTTAACATACCATGCAATAGCATGTTCTCTTGATCCTGAACCAATTACTATTATATTATCTAACATTTCTCTATTCTATTTATATTTATATTTATATGCCTATGTTTATATCTTTTTTTTGTTGTTTTGTTGAACTTATTTACAATATTTGATGTATCTATCTAATGTATTTTGAATGTATATATATATATATATCTATAGATTATAAATATATATTTGAATGAATTTGAAAAAAAATAACTATCTAATATCTATATAGTTATTTATGAATGTTTATCTCTTGAGAAGATTTGATTTGATGAACAACAACGAAAAAATGAAGTTGAAGTTGCAAATGTGTGTATGTTTATTTTGTGTGTGTTGTGCGAGTAAGTATAACTAAAGTATTTTATTCAAAGGGTGAGGACAAAGAGGAAGACATACCCAAGGAAAAGACGTCACCATCTAAATTTAATTTAATTTAAATACGCACCTCGGTCGGTTCATTGTTCGCTTGTTGGGAACTTCTTTTTTTTTTTTTGTGTAAAACGCTCTTTTGCTGCAAAGATCTGCACGGTTTCAAAATATCGGACCGAAGAACCTCTTCATTTTGCGACGACCCAATTAATACAGATAATTATAATTATACACATAGAGATAATTAAATGTGACATTGTTAATATATATAGAGAGAGAGAGAGGATGATGTCTCTTTTTGAGTGAGATAAATAAATAAATAAATGGAGGTTTATTTCCAAAGGTGGGTAGGTAGGTAGGTATCATGATGAATGTGATAGATACAGAATCTATCTGTCTGTCTATCTACTATAAAAGACAAGAACGATCATTTGATACAGTGAATTGAGAGTAATCTACATATTGGTCGGTTGGCGATGCCCATGAAGTATCGGATCCTCCAAAGAAAGACTGCATCATGAGTCCGTTGATTAGCTTGTCTTTAACACCAATCCATTTCATTTGGTTGTATGATTGCTTGACTCCATTGATTTGAACGGCGAGGTAACCGTCATAGTTGGCAGTACCATTGGCGGCAAAGGTGTTCATGGCAACTGATAGGGTGATATTATTCCATTCAGTACCTGTAACATATTGGAATGACCCTCTCCAGACGCTATCACCCGTATCACCAGTATCGACGTATCCAGGCAGCTGATAGAACGCTGGTAGTTGGTCAGAGGGTACGTAGAGATAGACTTCTGAAGAACCAACAGCACGCCACATAATACGTACACTCGACCCATCGTCAATATGTGTTCCACCATTGGCACCAGTCTCTCCAATCCACAGTCCAGGTAATTTACCACCTTTAACATAATTGAAACCAGTTGGAAACCTTACACGAAATGAAAAGCATGATACGTTGCTTGCAAACACTGATTCTGGTGAAGAGTACCATCCAAAACCACCACGTGGTGTAGCCGATGGTTTATAACTACCAGCTGGGTACTTGGCACGGAATGCAGTATCATTGTCAACCAATGTGATGAGGTCTTTACCATAAGTCATATGTACAATATTCCATGATTTACTCATCTCCCATTGTTCTACTAATTCCTTTACACTTAGATTGATCGATGTTATATTTGTAGCAGGTGGGATGTTTGGGGTGTCCCCACTACTACTACTACTACTATTACTATTATTATCTTTACTCTTCTTTCTTCCAACGACCACTCCAACAGTCACAGCAACGACAATGACAGCCACCACTAAACTAACAATCAATATTTTGATGAATAGTTTCTTGAGTGTGCTATTTATTTTTGTGTGCATCTCTCTCCTTCTCTCTAAATAAATAAATAAATAAATAACAAATAGAAATATAAAACTATGTACAATCGTCAGAATGCGTGCATGGTATCAACCTCTTCTTAAAACAATCGAAAATCTAGATATTTTTCATCATCAAAGACAGGCCAGGAATTACGATAAAATCTGCAAATGCTTCGAGTGGATGGTATCTTCATCTTTGCTTCTTCTTGTTTTTTAGAGAGGATGAAATAGTATGGCTATCTATCTATCAACTTCGCGATCCTTCACTACAAGACAAGAAAGGTGATTATAATCATTAAATTCAAATAATTGGAGATATCTAAAAAGAAGGAGGAGGAGGGTGTAGGTATATACTACAACCCAACCGCCACAAAGATTTAAATTATTATTAATCGATTCACCTCCATCATGATAAATAATAATTATTGGTATGATCATATCAACCACAATGGTGTTAAACTGTTTCAATGGTTGGTTGATGAATCGCGATGGTTTGGTTTAAAATTTTTGGTGACACCAAAAGTGTGATAGATATGGTGGTGTATGTTGATGATACATGAATTCTATCGATTTAAAAGGTGGGGTATGGTCCTCCCTACTTCTACTTTCAAGTTTGATAGAGATCTGGGTGGAATGATGGTTTGTTTTAATGTATGGATAGTCATCACTATCATCACTATAACTATCCATTATTTTTTTTTAAAATTGGTACTTTTTATATCCAGAGAAATTGTGTAACGATGATGATGATGATGATGATGGTGGAACCATTTAAATTTAAAATTATAATACACTAGACACCTAGTTGACTAAACACAAACATTCCATAGACAACATAAACAACAGATATATATATATAAATTATACATATATATAAATTATACATATATATAAATACATATATATATTTATCTATTAATATTATTTTATAAGTATGGATGGATAGAAAGGAAGGATAGAATTTCGAAAATGGATATTAATATTATTATTATTATTCTTCTTCTTCTTCTTCTATGTTCAATAGATCAATTATACGAAAGGGTTAAATTGAATTCAACCCTATTTGTCCATTTGGCTACCCATTGAAATACTTTTACGTATATACCTGTTTCTGTTTTTTTAAAAAAGTTCTAAATATAAATAGTACCTACCACACTTTGGTTTGAACATATAATAATTCAATAGAATATTAAAATGAAAATCCAAGGAAAAACATTTGTAGTTACTGGTATGTATAAATATAGCATTACCCACTACAATGAATGAACTTTAATAATATATATATATATATTTTAAAATAGGCGGAGCATCTGGACTAGGTGAAGCAACAGTTAGAAAATTATATAATAGCGGTGCCAATATTGTGATACTTGATCTAAATGAAAGTTTGGCATGCAAGGTGATCAAAGATTTGACAGGTTGTGATGATTGTCCTCAAATATTATACCAATATGCAGATGTCACCGATGAAAAGAGTACATCTTTGGCTTTCAAAAAAACAATTGAAAGATTTAAAAGATTAGATGGTCTCATTAATTGTGCTGGTGTCATTGAATTGGGTCCTGTTTGTATTAAACATAATTTTATATATTAAATTGAATTTGATTCTAATATTCTATTTTCTACTCTATCAAAATTAATATTTTTAGACAACCGAAAAAGAAAACTATGAAAAATTCTTAAAGGTGATTAGTGTCAATTTATCTGGAACTTATAATGCTACTAGACTTGCATTTGATGTTATGAAAGATCAAGAAATACTAGATGAAGATAGAGGTGTCATTATCATGACTTCATCAATTGCTGCATTTGATGGACTTAAAAACCTTAGTGCCTATAGTGCTTCAAAGGCTGCTATTGCTGGTATGACTCTTCCTCTTGCCAGAGAGTTCTCTGTCAGTGGTGTAAGAGTTATGAGTGTTGCTCCTGGTCCAATTGGTATGAAATAGAAATAGACGACTATTCCATTTTTCCAACTCTCCTAATTTCTCCCATTGTTTTTTTTTGTTTTTTGTTATCTTTAGAAACTCCATTACTTATGCAAGTTCCCAAAGTGATTAGAGATGGATTATCATCTGTTGTTCCATACCCACCACGTTGTGGTTTAACTAGCGAATTTGCTCAACTTTGTGCCCATATTATTGAAAATGCCTATCTCAATGGAGAAACGATTAGAATGGATGGTGGACTTCGTATGCCACTTTAAAAAATAATAATAATAATAATAATAATTGAGTGTTGTAGGTTCTCTACACTTTTTTTTTTAAATAAAATAATCAAACCTAAATATTTTCCTATTCCTATTTACTCTAATCTTGTACAAGGTAAAAGTTAAATTGAAATATTAATTGCAATTTAATTTGTTTGTATATATTTAAATTGATTGAATTCCAGACCAATGATGATAGAGTCTCGATAATAAATGTATACATCCTTCAGTGATGGTTACAGATCGAGAGAGTGAAAGATTCAATTCATAGAGTTGTAAAATTAAATCCTTTTGACCTTGTTTGTTAAATACCTTTTTGCTGTCGAGTGGGCAGCCTTGGACTTCCATTAGTTGGATTTCCTGTCGTATTGATTGTTCCAACTGTTTGATTAAATTTTTATACCAACGATTACCAAATGACAATATGATTTTAAATGATGATGATGATGGTTGTTGATCTTTTAATGCATTTGAAATCAATCCAATTACATTTTGAATCACCGATGTTTGAAATGATGATATTTTCATTAATCCAAAACCACTATTATTATTATCAATAAATTCTAATTTAAATGGTAAATATCCTTCAATATTATTAAATTCATATGACAGATTCTAGAACAAATTAATTAATAAATTATTTAAATAATTTTCATTTTAATGGTACTTACATTAATTTCTTTAAATTGACTAAATGAATCTTTAATTAATTTTGGTATAGTATTTTGATAAAATGTTTTAATCATATTTGTATCCTTTTCCATTGATAATATTATAAATTCAAATTCAATTGGATCTAAAAAAAAAAATAGATAAATAATTAATTAAATAATTAATTAAATAATTTGTTTGTTGATTCTTTTTTTTTTGTTTCAACATACATAAAATAGGTGATTCAATTTGATGAGATTTAAAAGTATTATTTAAAATATGATTGATTGGAAGTGAATTTGAAATAAATGAAATGACACTACTACTATCTGATTGATCAATCAAGGTACCACTAATATGTTTTCTCCATTGAATACCAACATCAATAAATTGTTGTTGTTGTTTTTGTAAAAGTAATGATTGTAGTTGACTCTGCTGCAATTGAATTTCCATGTAAATTCTACATTGATGATTCTCATCAAAACTACTATCACTATTTCCATCGTGCAATGAAATCCATCTACATTGTAACGGTGTTTGATTGGATTTCAATATTATAAAAAGTGATTCTATAATAATATTAGAGGTTATTGTTGTTGTTGGACATTTTAAATTCCACAAACAATAAATAATATTATTTTTAAACCATAAATCATATGATTCTAATATTGGTGAATTTTGTTCTTGTTCTTCTTCTTTTTGTTGTTGTCTTTGTTGAATATTTATATTATTATTAGGATTTAATAAACTTTTTAAATTAGAGTTATTCCAAATTGGTTCATTTTTAAGTTGTGCTGATCTTTGTTGATTGTAGTAACCATTGGTACCTAATGAATCCAATACTTTGATAGAATGATTTAATAGTTGTTGTTTGTTTGCTAGAATTGCTTGTTGATCTTTAAGTTCATCCTTGGCTTGCTCACAACGAGTCTTTAAAGATTCGGTGACCAATTCTATTGAAACTGGTTGTTTAGATCCACTTGACAGTGATGTATTGTTGTCTGTACCGCCGTTGCTACTTGGGATAGTAACTGATCTATGTTTGTGCAGTGGTATGATTGCCAACATAGTATATTGTTTCTGAGCTTTGACAATCATTCTGAGCAACACTTGTTCTCTTCCAGTACCAATAAAATCATCAATAAATAGATCTGTGAATCCTGTTGCTTCGGCCATCAACTTTTTCGACCCAATACTGTACACCCTCAAATTATGTTTTGATACTATAATAACACATCCTTTACTCCATTCATCATCATCATAGTCCTCATCATCAGAATCATTATCGTCACCAATAAATGAAGTAAATGATGTATTTACAAATGAACTATAAATATAAATATAAATCAAAACAAATGTTAGTTAGTCATTTTCTTTTCTTTTCATTAGTATCTATTCATTCATTTATACATACACTAGATTAGGTACCATTGATAAAGGTAATGACCAAACCATCTCCATTAAAGAGTTGTTATCTTTGTTTGTGTACACTGATACCTGACTATCAGTTGCCACAAAATATAGATTTGATTGTGTATCATTGTTGTCTTGACCACTATAATAAGTTTCCAAATGATTAAATAATAGTATTGGTTTTACAGCAGCAACTGCATGATCATTAATAATGACCAATTGTTTCTTGACAGAGATAGTTGTATCCAACTCGATTGAATAGATTATTTGTTTTAAAGTATGGATGTTTACATCTAATAGAATGATGATTGGTTTGACAATTCCATTCTTGTCTTGTCCAATTATATTTAATACATATAACTTATAATCTTGTTCTTTTTCCATTTCTTCATCCTTTTGATCTTTTTGAAAGTCTCTACTTTCTTGTCTAAGTTGATTAATTGATTCAGTTAAATCAATCTCTGTAAAACAAGGGGCAGTTGGATCACTCCAACAACACACTCTGATTATATTACTGTCTAATTGATGTTTGACAGGGTTGGATGATGGGTATGAGAGTGTGAGAACTTGTGAAGGTTGTGGAGACGATGTGACATAACCGACGACGGTGGGTCCCGTAATGAGGGTATACTTGAATTTCAGAGTGGAGGATGAAGATGTCAACAACATTGATTTGTTGCCACCTGGGAATGGCTTTGCAACAATATCACCCTTTTCTTCCATTGATCGTGTCGACATGTCTAGTAGCAACAACTTGATTGTTCTATTGGCAGACTCTAATACCATGACATTATGTATTTGATTGTCAAAGTCACAGACCACTCTATTTACAGTCAACAATGCAGTATAATCAATAGAGCTAGAGCTAGAGTTTGTAGTACCACAATTCTTTTTCAAGTCTACAACCTCTCCCTTTTCAAAGACTGCACTTTCATATACAAATGGTTGTTGTTGTTCGGTCTCTACCATATAATTCTTTAATAGTTCAAGACGTGATTTCTCTACACCACCTTCAAATTCAACCATCGTATCTTGTCCTCCCAATTTAATACCAATCTCCATAATATCAACTTCTTCATGATCTTGTTGTTGTTGTACTTGTACTTGTTGTACTGGTTGTACTTGTTGTTGCAATGAAGATGGTGATGATGTAATTGAAACCTTTGTATTCTTGAGAGGTGGTGGAGAAGTCACAGTAGTTGTAGTTGATGCTACTACCGCTACTTTCTTCTTTTTAGTTGTGATTCTAATCAATCTCTTTTCAACTACACAATAATGATTAGTTGACATGATTGATTACTACTAACTGTACTGTATATATATCTACATCAAATATACATATTCTAGTATCGCTCTGTTAATTAACAATAATAATAATAATATTCACTGACATTGATTTTCTTCAAAATATTTTGTTTTTTTTTGATGTTCAAAAACCTTGCATCTGATTTCCCAATATTATTTATTTTTAATTTTTAAGTATTATTATTATTATTTGTTATGTTTATATAATATTTCTTTCTTTCCTTCATTCATTCATTCATTCTTTTCTTTCCTTTTCTCTCCTCTACTTTTTCTAATCATCACCAAAATCAATTCTCATATCAATGTTTACATTATCTAAACCATCATCAGAACTCCATGAACCACCTCCAACTATAACCTTTGAAACTTGATTATACGATTGGGTGCCTCTGGAAGATAGACCTGTCATTGATTTAGCTGATCTACCTTGATTTTGACCGCTATACGAATTTAATGATAACTTTTTAAATGAATCTAAATATTTAATGAGAAGAGAATAATTATGATTAGGGGTTAACACTACACTCATAAATAGATACAAATAAAGTAATTAAGATATAATATAATAATATTATTATTATTATGATGACTTTGAGATTTTTTGTTAAATGCATTTAACGAGGACGAAACCCTCATATTCGCCAAATGACGAAAAAACTTCGATTCTTTGAGCAGATCGACCTTTTTTTAAAAATGGTGCACCCTTCGACAGTCGTGCAACCTTCTAATGTTTTATGATATTTTTTTGACTTTACGTAGATTTCTTTGGCACAACGTAATCATCCCAACCTCTGCGCATCATCAGGTAACTAGTAATAATAATAGAATTATACATGTATAAGTTGATTGATATTTACCTAAAATCATTTTGTTTTTTTTATTTATATTCTATATTTCTGATTTTATTTTATTTATAACTAAACTATGATTAACTATATATATTTTTTGTACTTCTAGTAGCAGTAGTAGTAGCAGTAACAGTAATAGTCTAATATACTAGAAAATAAAAAAAAATCCCAAAAGATTCATTAAATTAAATATTAAATTAAAAGTACAGATTTATTCATTCAAGTTTAGAAAAAGGGAGGACAACTACTACTATCTATAGGGTGGTACATTATTATTATTTGAAATGGGCAACTACCATCCTACTATATTTGTTCATTTAATTTTAAATTTAAATATTCATCTCTACAACCAAGAGGAGGAATACTTCCAATTCCATTTATATATTTATATATATTAATATTTTTAGGTCTAATGTTTTACAGGTGTATTACAATTTATTGTGAAATTTTTGAATAAAAGCAACAATAATAGTAATCTCTTAAAATATATATTATTATAAATTAAATTCTATTATTATTATTATTATTGTATATTATTATTACTATTGTTACTTTGATTGGATGATCAATCTCTTTAAAATGAGATAATGTGTTAATTATTATTAGTTGTTGGTTAGTTGTGGCTGGGAATCAACCTATATAATGATTCCAATAAAAATAAATGGAGTTGTGGTGGAGGTGGAGGTGGAGGTGGAGGAGGTGGTGGGTGATGGTAGATTGGTATGTCTGGTTGGTTAGTTGGTGACTGATTGGTATGTCTGTGGTTGGTGTGTCTGGTTGGTTAGTTGGTTGGACCAGTTCTTTTAACCCAATCTAGTATCATGCTTTGATTCCCAAACTGGATAACGATTACGATTACAATCATAAAACCATGGGAGGATAGCAACATCATTCTTAAAATGAGCATCCATTGTATCAAGAGGGACAACTCTTGGTCTGTCATTGGCTGGAGTTTGTATAAGTCTCGATTCCAACTCTTTGACTCGATAATTTGATTTTGAAAGATCATTTGAAAATACTGTTACTTGACTCTCTGATTTAACTCCACATTCTGAACATGATAATACTTTTACCTAAAATAAATAAATAAATATATTAGTTTCATTTTTCTATTTCTTTTTCTATTTCTTTTTTTCTTTTTTAAATATGTATTTATACATTACCATTTGGAAAGGTAAATAACCATAATGAGACATATGCATACCACCCAACATAAAGTGTCCTGATTGTCCACGATTTCTGGTTGGATGGTTGTTACTTGGACGATTCTTGGCTGCACCAACTGTAAAGTAGGAGGGATCCCCTAGTGTATATGGATTGTATGGGACTGCCCAATCAGGTCTGAAAGCTTGGTTGATTGGACCGAATGGGAACCAAATACCAATATCGACAATACCAACATTTGGCTTTAATTGGCAATGCTTGAGTTGATGGATATTCTCACGACGACTGATTTCGTCGGTATCGCCAAACCCGATAATGTCGTCGTCTTGGAACAGGTTGCCCTTGTTGTTGTTCCAATCGACAAACTTTTGCCAACGACGGATCTCTTGATGGGTCTCTGCACTAAACATATCGTTGGCAACTCTCTCATCGGCATCGTCTAGGATAAAATGAACAATCTTGTCGTGGAACTTGATGAAACGGTCTTGGAACTTGACTTGCTCCCACATGAGTGGTTTCTTGATCTTGTGGTAGTGGGTACGTGTCGACTCGATGATGAAAAAGTAGTCGACGACATCGTACAATTCATTGAGATGGATCTCGAGGATATCAACGTCGAACCCAAATTGCACCATGTGGCCTACTCGAGCTGTCTTGTTTCTCTTGCCACTAAACACCTCTGGATAGTAGGTACAGTACTTGTCAGTGATGTCGTTGTCACTTGGGAGTGGCTTTGGATGGCACTTTTCATTGATTGGCTCTAAAGGTGGTTCAACCAGGTATGGCACCAATCGAGAGATGAGCATCTGTGAGTAACGGTCTGTGTTGTCTGAGCTACCGGAACGTGCTGCAGACCGGTATTCTTCCCATGGGAATGACTCCATATCACTTTGGAAACTTAATCCTGTTACTAATTCTTCTTCCTCCTCCTCCTCAGATTCTGACTCTGATTGCTCTTTTGACTTTGAAGATGGGTATGGTGTTGAGGGTGAGTGAGTTGGAGTGGGAGTATGAGTGGAAGTTGGAGATGGGGTGGTCAATGGGACATCCTCCTCATTCTCACCCTCTGATGATGATGTATATGTACTACTACCAAGACTGTTCTTGTGTGGCATGGCAGCTGTGGATGATGTGGGTGATGGATTAGATCCAATCATGTATAGTGTTAGAGTTACCACCGTCACACATATACAAATCAATAACCATTTACGTTGTATCATTATTATTTATATTTATATATATATATTTGTATTTACTATTCTATATTGTGTATTATATTTATATTTATATTATATATTTATATGTATATGTTTTTTTAAATAATTATTATTTCTATATATCTATAAATTATTATTTATTTGTTGTTGAATGGGGGAAATCCAAAGAGTCTTTACTCTACTCTACTGATAACGGCCAAAACATTGATGTAACCTTGGATTTGAGATTTGAATGGAATCGCACTTGAGGAGGAGGAGGTGTGCACCAAAATTAAACTTTTTTTTAACCTGAAAAATGGTTTGGATGGCACTTTCAAATCAAACCCGTCATAGCCGCCATCAAAGAACATGAAAGAATAAAGAATAAAGAACCTCATTGTCTATCTATCTATCTATCTATATTTTAATTATTTATTTATATTATTTTCAATACCAAATTTATTTAAAAGAGAGAGAAAGATAATAGAGAGATATCAAGTATATTTTAATTTTAAGTAATTATTACCCCCCATCGTCCATATAATCATCTATTTGTAGTACCTAGTTTAATTTGTCCAACGGCCACCACCACCTCCTTTATATTGGATACTCTGTCTCTTTGTTTAGTTTTTTATTTTTTCCTTGTGCTCAGTTGGGCGAAACTATATCTTTTTTTTATGAATTTTGTGCATGTCATTTGAATTGGTGGCCGTTGAGGGTATGAAAAGGAGGGATATTTTTGCCTTGAGTTCCAATTCAAGTTTATGTTCAAACGAGCGACAGAACAATGAGCATGCAGTGCCATACACCAGCAACGCCTCATCTCCTCCCAATTTATCTTCAAATCAAATCTTTTTTGGTGAAAAAGAAAAAGAAAAAGAAAAAACGAAAGTAAAAAAGAATAGAAAGTAATTAAAATGACTTCGATAAAAGTACCAAAGTATACTTTGATAGATCTAAAGTATTTTATAGTTTGTTCCACCAATGTTGTACTATCTATCCATATCTGTTTAACGAAATATTTTTGGATGCACATGCAACGTTGTACGAACCATATCTGCTGATTCAAAGATTTTTCGTGAATATTTTTTGTTTTTGCTGAAAACCCCTTCCTTTTGTCTCCTACTAGTTTTTTGGACTATTTATTTATTTATTTGTTGTTCAAAAAGGATGTTTTTCTATCTCATAATTAATCATCATAATTAATAGTTAGTACAACCATATTTTCATTGTTGATGGAGTAAAATTTTAAAAACAAACCAAATCCCTCTTCTTTTAATTTTAAGCTCTAAACATTTCCAACAACAAAGATAAAGAAGCAGATCGAGAAGAGGGTGTGTGAGGAGTTCAACAACTATTTTAGGATAGGTTGTGACGGATGATTTGGATCAGATATTAATTTTAAAAAAAAGGTGGAGGAGGTTCTATGTGCTCAACCCTTCACGACGACTCAAGGACTTTAAAAAAAAAGTTTATCGAAAGATTGGTGTATCCCAACAATCACAATTGGAAACATGTTCAAATTCATGTTCCACGTCATCAAAGTATACTTTGTATTTAAAAAAAAAAAGATAGATAGATAGAGCAGAGATAAATATACAAATTAGATGATTAAAATATTAATTAAAGCACAAAGAGAATGGAAAAGGAAATATCTAAATATACCAAGGAAATATATAGGTGCAGGTTTATTTTTATTATTATTCTATTTTATATTTAGAAATAGTTTTGATCAAATTGATTTTAATACTAGTTATAATCAAAATAATAATAATCAAAATAATAATAATAATAGAAATAATAATAATATAATAAGATATCAAGATAAAAATGATAAACATTATGATCAAGTATTGGATTTTACAGAAAAGAGGTTTGCCTATGCATTTTATATAACACAGGAACCATATTTATGTTGTGCGTCAATTACAGCGCACAGACTTAGACAATGGACAGATTATGATATTGTATTGATCATTACCGAAAGTTATAGTCCAAACCCTACAATGATGGAACGTCTCAACGATATTCCCAACTTGGTCATTAAAATAGTCCCCAATATCCAAGCTCAACACGATGACCAAGACCATTACTTTTGGGAGTCACTCAACAAATTCCATGTTTTCAAGCTGGAAGAATACGATCGAATCATCTTTCTCGATGCCGATACCTTTGTCATGAAGAATCTAGATCATCTATTTGCATTACCAGATGTCACGCTGGCAGCACCAATGGCTTATTGGCTAGGTACTCGTCCATTCCTCACCAATATTCTGATGGTCCTCAAACCAAGTGTCCAAACATTTGACAAGATTGTCAATGCTTCCATGAATCATCCAGGTTGGGATATGGATGTAATCAACGATCTCTATGTTACCAGTGACGAGTTTCTCTTGCTTCCATCAATCTATGGAATGTTAAATGTTGAATTTTCGACCTCGGAAAAACATTATTTTGGTGATGACCTCGCCAATACATTTTACAACAAAACATTCCTATTTCATTATACAGGTTTCAAACCATGGTTAGATACAAGTGAATGTTATGATGTATCTGGTCATGGTGATCTATATGCTAAAACTTGGTTCATTTGGGTTGAAGAAGCTTATAAATATTGTATTTAAATTAAAATAAAATAATAAATAATTATATTGTAAATAAATATTTTGTTTTTGAATAAATAAATAAATAACTAAATATTTATTCAAAAATTATAATACTTGCAGGATCAAGTAAGGATGGAGGGAAGGGGAGGGAAAGGGAAAGGGAAAGGGTATGTTTGTTGTTTTACAATTTTTTAAAGTTGATATTTTTTAATTTTGAACTTGGAAAAGAAATTATTTTGATGTATACTGGAATAGAATGGAATGTTTTTCTTTTTGGTTGTTTGTTAATAGTATTATGATAGAATGTTGGATGATGATGATGATTGAATGATGGTTTGTGTGTGTGTTTAATTTATATTATTTAATTAATCCTTTAAATCAGATTGTTTTGAATTGTTTTTATATTCTGATTTAATTTCATAATAGTTTCTATGTGGTCCTCTCTTGTTTAATATACAAATTCTTTCCAAAACTTGTTTTAACCATGCCTAAAATTAATTTAAAGATAGGTTAGTTACTAAAATGAACATTCTGTCTGTCTATATCTTTTAATTTTACATACTTGAGGTTGTTCAGTACGACTAATTAAACTCTTTAAATCCCAATAAGTTTTCTCTTCAAAGAGATGGAACAAGAGATCGACCAGTTCATCCTCGGCCATACGTTCTCTCTTGTCTTCTTGTTTCTTGGTTTTCATTACAGCGGCCAACGTGGACACTGTCGGTTTGATGGGGTTGTGATTCTTAAAGATCGATGTTTGATGACCCTCTAATGTTTTACTCTGACGTGTCTTTGTGTTGTACGATTCTGAACGTCCTCTACAGAGTTCACGATAACCCTTTGAATCGACATTCATTCTAATATCACATTTCAATCCAACACTTCCTTCAAGAGCCAACGCATTCTCCTTGTCCTCTGAAAAGATCTTGAGAGGATTCGATTCTATCACTGGTGTAGTTGCCAATTGAAACTCTTCATTTTCATTGGTTGTACCAGAGATTGTCAATGATAACTAAATGAGAAACAAATCAACCAGTGTTAGTAACAAAAAACAACTATATTATAAATGATATGTGTTTCATACATTTGAACTCTTAAAGTAGAGTTTGCCAATCTCAGCGTCTGCACCTCTACTCATCCAATGATCGACAAGAAACTTTGGTACTTTGACCAACCAAGCTTGGTTCTCTGCATTATCTGTGTTTAATTCATCTACCAATGCATCGTTGCTATCTTCGCTCATTATATAATATAATATAATAGTAGTGTATGAATGTATGTATGTATGTAGAAGTGGTAGTAGTAGATAGATGGGATGTGTCTCAATAATGGAGGAGATAGGTCAGTTGGTCGTCAGAGTCTATTTAGTAGTAGTCAACTGATTTGATCACACTTGTCGTTTGTTTTGTTTGTTTAGTAGATTAATATAATAATATATGAAATTAGATATTATTTAAATTATCTCTATATATATATTAAACAAACTAATGACGATAATGAACTTGCACCACTTAATTTTATGTTCTCAGTTTTCAAGAGAGAAAAAAAGAAATTTATTAATAATTAATTCGTTACTTTTTAAAACAACAAATACGTATATACATATATGTATATAGATAGATTAGATAGATAGATAGTAAGAGATGATACAGGGAACAGCTAGACGATTCATATCTAGATCAGTATCATCATCGACGACATCATCATCATCATGTAGCAATAGATTATTACTATCTATTTCAAATCATGATAGTAGCATACCCCTTCGATCAACCACTTGTACCAACTCAAATAATATAACATATACTACAACAACAACAACAACAACAACAACAACAACAACAACAAAACAATGTACACATTTATTACTTGATAGTAATAATACTAAAATGATAACAACAAAGAGACAGTATGGTATCATGTCACGGCTGACTAGACTATTCTCAAGTGAGATTGATATCATCTTTCAAACTCTTACAGAAGATTTTGAAAAGGGTGCTCCTATGTAAGTGAATGATAATATATATTAGATAGATCGATAAAATACGGTATTGTATTGTATTAATGATTTGATTTTAGGTTTAAACAATATATATATGACTTGGAGTCAACTGAAAAACACTCAGAGATTAATTCAATGTTGGTCAAGGTCGCACAGATGGATCTGTCGATGGAGCAAAAGGGGGTGTTGTATCGGACGGGTCTCGAGTATTATAGGGACTTTGGACAAGACCCGCTGATGACCATCATGATCAAGCGATACGATTTCCAAGGTATCGACCTGGACGAAGCGTCAATGGAGATTATATACGCGTTTCATATGCGACGTGGACCGCGGTCGTGGAGCACCGAGACGATTGTCGATTACCAGAATATTGGTTTGTTGCAATACTGTCTCGAGAAAAAGGCAGAGGAGGGTGTCGTGCACATGCAGGCGTTTCTCAAGAGTGTGTTTGCGTGCAAGGATTCGAGACACTGGGTTTCACGGTTATGTGTGGTGAATCAGTTGTTGGTGGGTGGCGATAACCCCGTCAACAAACTGATATTTAACGAGTTGTTGGCGATGATTAAAGCGGCTGAAAAGGACACGCAGCGTTCGTTGGTCGGTCGTATGACACGTGTGTACACCAAGTTGGAGCGTGTGGAGTTGGCCATGTGGTGGTTGTCGCAGGCACCACTAGAGTACAAGATAAGGGCGCAGTATGCGTTGCGCGATATGGAGGCGTACTGCCAAGAGAAGCTGCAGGCGACGCCGGCATCGGACGTGCATGGACAGCGGTTCTACCAAGTGCTGTATTTGATTTGGCAGCGACTGCGTCACAACTCGGGCCTGCATCGTCAGCCGACTCCCAAGACACCCGTCGACCCGTATTTGGAGGAGCTGTCGGAACGCGTGATGCAGCGCGATCTTGCGGCGGCGCCGGCGTCCGAGCGGGAGGACCCGCACCCATACCCGCTGCGCGGGTACCGATCGTGCTCGGCGTCGGCGGGGACCGTGTCGGACGTGTTGACGGGGTTGAAGCGCAAGCAGACGCGTATGGCGGCGGTCGACAGCACGCTGCGTCACCTGCTCGTCGAGCACGGCGGGTTCCCGACGCTCGAGGTGCTGTTTATGCTAGCCAACCAGCCGTCCACCCACCTCGACGAGATGCTGACGGTGATGCCCGACTACGTCACCGCGTTTATGGCGACCCCCTCGCCGTTCTTCCAGACCGTGCTCGAGCTCAACCTCAACGCGGCGACGATGGTGTTGGGCAAGCACCCGGCCATCGCCGACAGCCTGCTCGACGAGAATCTGCTCGAGTATGTGACGCCCGGCGTGCTCAAGCTCAACTCGATCGACCTCATCACCAAGTTTGTGCAGGCGACCGTCGCGAGCGGGCAGCTGCGCAGCGATGTCGCGTGCACCCAAATTGTCAGCGCGCTGGCCCGGTTCTCGCGTAATGAGATCGAGCCTGCGCTGCAGGTGATCAAGTCGCATGCCCGCGTTGCCAGCCACCCCATCTTTGAGCAGCTGTTCCGCGTGCTCGAGGGCGCCACCTCGGTCACACTCCCGCACTCCACGCCCGTGCCGGCCGTCGCCATCCTCTCGGCACTCGCATACCTCAACCAAGTCGAGAGCAGCTGGACGCTCAGCCACTCGCTCGCCAACACGCGCAGCTATGTGACCCAAGCAACCGAATCCCGCATAATCATCACTCCTGCCAAGATCGACTACTACGTGTTGCTCGCCGCACGATTCCACCAATCCAAAAAAGAGCAGCTCATCTTTGAGCAATATATCGACCACATCATGTCACTACAACCTCGGTCCGGCGAAGCACAGATGTTGTCGTCAACATTCCACACCCTACTCGTCGTCACACCCGACCCACTCCGCAAGATGGAAATATTTACCTCTCTTGCACCCATCATCACCAGCCCGTTCCACCCCAACACCATCATCCATCTCGGACTTCACTGTCAACTCGAAAATGCGCCACCCTCTTTTTCACATCTCCTCAAACGCATCAAGCTCGACCCTTCCCCCATCTTCCCACCACCTGTCTGTGATCGCGAGTACGAGATCAATCGTCCAACCCCTGAAACCATCCGATTCCTCGACCGTGTCCTAGCCTCTTCACAAGCCGACTTCAAAACTCCCTACAATCCCAACAACTCTGAACACTCATCAGCACTCCGACAACATCAAGTTGATGATTAAAAGAAGAAGAATAAATCATCAATGAATTTAATTAAATCCAGTCCATCCCAATCCATCCATTCATCCCATCCATATTTTCCAAACGACACTCAGAGTTCAAAGTTCAAACTATAGTTTTTTTTTTTTTTTCAAAAAAAAAGGGCGGGAACAACAAGTAAGTTTGTTCATGAAAAACGAGTCGTTCACTTATCATACTTATCTTCTCTGTATACATCTCTTATAGTTTTATCAAAGCAAGATAAATAATCTTCTATTATTTATATTTATATTTATATTATTTATATTTTAAACTGATTCATTCATAAGAGAATAGAGTAGTATATTATAGACAGAACCAAAGAAAGGTAGATAGATAGATAGACAAATAATACATAGGAAGAATGACAGAATACGAAGTAGCACAAATGGCATCGACCAACGGCACTCACGATACATCAGATGTAGAAATGAAAGATAATGATCAAGGTATGTCTACACACACAGAAGATATGATATATATATATAAAGTATGGTTGGACTAACATTACACTTGTGTGTCTGTTTGTTGCAGATGGTGATGATAATCAACAAAATAGCATCGTTGAGAATGCTGAAAATAACAATAACAGCGGCAGTGATGATGATGATGAAGGAGGAGCCAATTATAATTCGATGGATTACTATATCATTGACGATGATGGTAGTTATGACACCAAGGCACCGTCGACACCAAAGAATAAGGAAGGCGGCGGATTCTTCTCGTCGATCCTGACCAGCCTCAAAAAGATGGTTGGCATGACCCCCAAGCGCGAGGGTGACAATGACATTGAAGAACAAGACGTCGACCAAGAAGTGGAGGAACAACAACAAGAAGAAGACGACTATATTGGCCAAAACGGATTCAATAATGCACTTGCTGCAGCTCAACAAGAAGAACAAGAAAATAATAATAATAATAATAATCAACAAGTATTATTAAATGGACATAATAAGAATAAGAACCAAGAAGAAGAGGAACAAGATGAAGAGATGGAAGAAGAGGAGGGGAAACACTCTTCACAACCAGTCAAGAGAAGACCATCATATTCACCAAGAAAGCAAGAATTCAAAAAGTTGGGAGAAGTCAAAGAAGGAAAATCATTGTATCCATGTAGACACGAACAATGCTACCACCGATTTGGAGTGCCTGGTAGAGTACTGTCCGATAACATTGCCGTGCTCGTCAGACATGAGACGACTAGTGCTCACCCCAACTGCGACGAAACCAAGTGTTCATTGGTCCACGCCCCATGCAACAAAGAGACCCGTATCCCATGTCCACACCAGCAATGCTCCGGTCTCATGTCGCGTGGCAAGCGTACCGAGCATCTCAAGATGATCGATGCCAAGCACCACCCACTCTGTCTCGAGTCCCCCGAAAATTGCAACTTTTGCTCCGACGGCCTATCTGGCAGACGACTATACACTAAAAAGGAAGTTGATCAAACCGATGATCAAGTACAAGTACGAGTTCCAAAGAAACAAGTTGTTGTCCCAAGAAAGAGTAAAACTGCCGCCGCTGCTGCCACCAAATCAACCGATCAAGACCAAAACAATGAGAAAGCACTAGTTACTACTACTACCACTACTACTAGTACAGAGACTCCCGCTGCTGTTGCCGCCGCACCCGAAAAGAAAAAGAGAGCTACTGCCACAGCCGCCGTCAAAAAGGTTGCATCTGTTAAAAAGGTTACAGCTACTAAAAAACAAGAAAAAGAAGAGGAACAAGAAGAGGAACCAAAGATAACAAAAAAGGTACCAAAGGTTGCTGCAGCTAAAAAGGTAGCAGCTGTTAAAAAGGTTTCTGCCAAGAAGGCTAAAAAAGAAGAAGAAGGAGAAGAAAAGGAACAAGATGAGCCAATGGCAATTGATCAAAAAGAAGAAGATGAAAAATTAAAGACACCAACTCCAACTCCAACAACTCAACCAATCATTGTAAAGAAACCTGTTAAAAAGGTTGCTGCCAAGAAACAATCAACTAAAGATACAACAACCTCCACCCCATCCACTACTACTACTTCTACAACTACACCGGCTTCCACTACTTTAGTCAGTAATGGCACTGTCACAACCAATAATGAAGTAGCAAAAATAACCACATTGGACAAGGAAGATAGTCCACCAGTTTCAAAGACCACCACCAAGAAATCATCATCTTCTAAAACTATAACCTCAACATCTCGCAGCAAGACTACTACCACTAAAAAGACAGATACATCTGCCAATGGAACAGATGAACCAATCAAAAAGGTTAAAAAGACTGTATCTAAAGCTGCCGCTGCTATCAAGGCTCCAAAGAGCAGCGCTGTTACCAAAAAGAAAGCAGAAGAAAAGACACGTGTACCATCATCATCGACCACCACCAAAAAAATAAGCTCAAAGAAAACTCTAAAGGTTGTTGCAAGCGAAGAATAAAAAAATATATGAATGGGAATAATAATAATAATAATAATTAATAATATTGTAATAATATTATTATTACAATTAAAGAAGAATAATACGAAACGAATAACAAATTTAACAATTAATAAACATTAATGATAATAGTAAAATGATCATTTTTTAGAATAATAATAATAATCTCTATAGAGGTCTAGTTTCAAATTATATTTATATATTTATATAAATATATAATAACAACAGTTTAAGTTTACATACCTTTTCACTGGTTGGTGATCAATGTTTCTACATGATTGATTGATGAGGGATGGATTTATGAATATGATTGATCAATCAGTCCTCAAAAGGGGTTTACTGAACAAACATATTCATAAATCCATCCCAATATGAACCCTTCCAAGTTCCTGATCGAATTGTTTAGGTAGCTTGCTTGATCTTTGGTTCTAAATCCAAGTAAAGGGTGGCTAGATTTGAAACATACTCTTGGCTAACCTCTGTTGTGCGAGGTATAGTTGGGCTGTACTCTCCGGTCTGCTATCCGATCCGAGTATCAAGCAACTGCAGCTTTTTTGGACCTGTGATAATATTGATTACAGACTCTGCTGTCGTCCTGGCAGTTGTAATATTCGTGGTGTTGTATGTGACATCCGATGTATGTTGTAGTGGTTATGGTTGTGAGTGTGAGAGAATAATGTTGTACAAGTTCTACTTTGCTACATAATTTAAAAAAAAATTGATTAAAAAAAAATGAACTTCTTTTGGGCAAAATTCCAAGTGATCTTTATCAAGTTGTCATTATCTATCTATCCATACATCTTTATATCTGTCTTATCTCCCTATCTATCTATGTATATATAATAGCAATCGATCGATCAACCAATCAATCAACAGAGAAAGTAAAAGAAAGAGAAAGAAAGAAAGATAGGACAATGAGAATTATAAAACCATCTTGGGTAAATCATAATGGTACGTTTATTATTATTATTATTATGTTGAATGATCATTATCATCTCTTTGTGATTATTTTTGTTGTTGTTGTTGTTGTTGTTGTTCGATTGCATACTTTGCTAATCTTCTTTCTGTCTGTCTTTATTTCTTTCTATCTTTCTTTATAGGGTTTCCAATTCTATCGATTGATGTACACCCAGATGGTAGTAGATTTGCAACAGGAGGAGGAGACAATAAGGTAAAGATATGGAGTGTGGCACCGATCGTTGTCAAAGAAGCAGAAGACGATGAGAAGATTCCTAAACTACTTAAAGACTTGGACAGCCATTACAACCCGGTCAATAGTGTCAATTGGAGTCACGATGGAAAGTACTTGGCGTCGGGAGGCGACGATCGTCTCGTGATTATTTGGGGTATGAGCAAGTTTGGCGGTTTGATCCCTGCCAAAGCATCGTCGAGTCAATCGGTAGCATCTTCGAATCCATTGGACCCCAAGTCGGTCGAGAATTGGATATCAGTAGCTACATTGCGTGGACACGACGCAGACATTAGCGGCGTGGCATTTTCACAAGACAGCAAGTTATTGGCGTCGTGCTCGATCGACGGTGCCATCATCATTTGGGACTGTACCAAAGAATTCAAACAAATCACTCAACTCAAAGGACACAATGGATTCGTCAAAGGTATATGTTGGGATCCCATAGGCAGATACCTAGCATCTCAATCAGACGACAAAACCGTCATTGTCTGGAGAACAACAGATTGGCAAATTGAAACAAGATACAATCAAAATTTAGAAAATCCTGGTTCATTCTTTCTTCGTCCAAGGTAATACAATACAATAGAATAGAATATAAAATAGAATGTAAAATATATATATATAGAGTTGTTGATATTAATATTTATTTATGTTTGTGTGTAGTTGGTCACCAGATGGAGAATCATTATGTTTGACAGCATCGATTAATAATATGGCACATACGGCGACTATATTGGACCGATCAAATAAATGGAAGACGGGTATTGATTTTGTGGGTCACCAAAAGGCTGTGATTGTAGCGAGTTACAGTCCGGTCATTTACAAGGACACCAAGAGCAAGAAACAGGGGTTCTACAATGCAGTGGTACTCGGCGACCAAGACAACACCATCACTGTGTGGATTACACCACATGCACGTCCATTAACTGTTATTCGCCAGATGTTTGCACAGTCGATCCAAGATGTAACCTGGTGTCCCGATGGTATGTCCTTTTTTACGTGTTCGACCGAGGGCACAGTCTGCTTCACTTCATTCACGGCCGAAGAGTTTGGTGAGCGTGTTCCTCTCTCGATTGACGACAAAACAACACTGATGCGAAGAAACTATGGCGAGGCTGTCAAAGTCATGTCTGACGGTACCGTCGTCGTAATGGACTATGGTAGTAGAGGTGGTGGCGGTGGGGGACCAGACATTGGCATCTCATCGTCCATGTTTGCAGAGAACCCTGATCAACTCACTATGGAGGATATCAATACTACATTGGGTGGTGACTCTAATAATGGTGGTGGTGACTCGACTAGTACTGACGCATCACAAACATTTGCACCACAAATAGAGATCCAACCAACCGAAGTTGCATTACAACAACAAAAACAAACTATTGTCAATGGACGTCGAAGAATCACCCCTCTCAACCTTGGTGGTGCGAGTATTGGTACACAGTCAATCACCAAACCACAGCCCGTATCACTCCCCTCTCATTTACAATCATCACTTTCGAATTTAGGGTCACCCTTGATGTCCTCTTCTTCCATCCCTCCATTGGATAACGACGCAATGAATATCGATAAACAACAACAACCGACCTCTAATGGAGATCATAGTAGTAGTCGTGGAAATAGTAGTAGCTCAACACCTAATGTACCTACTTCTTTGACGGATCGAATGCTTACCCCTGACAAACAAAAAACCACCACTCCATCACCCTCATCAAAAGAAAAGGAAAAAGAAAGAGACGATAGAAGGGAACGTGACCGCGAAAGGGAAAGGGAAAGAGAAAAAAGAAAGGATCGAGAAAACATTGCAACCACCATTCCAGAGATGGAAAAGATATTATCTAAACGAAGAACTACTGATGATCCACATCAACATCAACAACATCATCATCATCACTCAAGTAGTAATAGTAGTAGTACTAAAAAACAGAAATCATCATCTTCTTCATCTTCAACGTCATCATCAACTACATCAAAATCATCAAATCAACAATCATCGAATAATAATAATAATAATAATAATAACGTATCAACAGCTCAAGATAAATCATCATCATCACAAAATTCTCATCATCATCAAGCTGCATTAAATCAACATTCATCATCCTCTTCATTTTTGTATATACCTCTACCACAAACCACCAATCACATCATGAAGCATCTTACACCAATGTCTACCGATTCAAATGCTTCATCATCACTTGCAAACACTCCACCATTGATGTCTACAACTACCAACACATCGTCCTCTTCCTCTTCCTCGTCATCATCGTCATCTTCTAATATTTATTTAGATGTTGTAGTTAGTGAACATGAACTTCCAGACAAAACCATTGAATACTTTTCAACCATTCGATCAATCAGCAATGCCTCTTTGGTATGGGAAAACAAGATCAATGGAAAGGTTTCTCTTGTAACAGGAAACAAAAATTGGAGTGCTGTTGCTACATTGGAACCTATTCTTTATGTTTTTAATCATATTGGTAAATTTGTAAGTGTAAACAAAACAAAAAGATAGAGATAAAGATAATAGTATGATTAATATTTATTAATTATTATTTTAATTTAGATATTGGCAAATATTAGTTTAAGAAATAATTTAGCATTTTTAGAAAGTAACAAATCTGATCATTTATTATTTGTTACTTGTGATGGTCGTGTTAGTGTTTGGAATATTCCAAAAGAAAAATTGGAATTATCATACACTGAATTACCTCTTATCATTAGAAAGGAAAAACAAACAACTATTAGTATGTTTGAAACACATAATAACATAATAATAATTGGAATATTTATTTATTAATTTATTTATTATTTTAGAACATGCATTTATAACAGATGAAGGTAAACCAATTATAACATCATCAAAAGGAGATAGTTTTGTATACTCTTTTAGTTTTGGGGAATGGATTAAAATTACCGATAGATTAGGTTCGCTTTCGGAATTTAATAATACAACCACTACTGCATCACTTTCAACCACGTCTTCTTTGTCATCGTCGGCCGCATCATCAGCAGCCGCACAATCAACAGGTATTTTGTCGAGACTACAAAAACAAACGACACCAATGACCATGACATCGATACTGCAACTACACAACACCGAACAATCCAACCAACCACAAAACAATACTGCCTTTTTAGAGAAACAGTTGTTGTTGGCAACGATACTCGAGAGTCCCAAAGAATACAAACACTGGCTCGGGCTCTACTCCAAGTCGCTCACCAACAGCGAAAACATTGTCAAACTACAAGACCTTTGTAACAGTCTACTCGGTCCATCTGCCAACCCTGGCCCCGAATCAAACTGGCAGCCCCAAATCATGGGACTCTCCAAACGAGACCTTCTCAGAGAAGTGGTCCTTCAAACAATGTCTACCAACAGATCCCTTCAACGTTTAGTTGGTCAATTTAAAGAATCACTTAAAGTATTTTCTGAATCTAGAGATACATTTGATTTATTATTTAATATTAGATAAATAAATAAAAAGAAAATGAAAAAGATAATAAATTCAAATCAAATCAAATCAAAATATGTATAGTTTGAGAAAATCAACTTTTATAATTGGTTGTTTTAGTTTTAGTTTATGGATGGTGGTAAGGGTGGTTGGGTGGAATATATGTTCCTCTTCTTATTCTTTTTCTTCTTTTTTTTTATATACAAAGTTTAATACCAAATTCAGGTTTCTTGTCTTGAATGATTGTACTAATATTTAATTTAGCGTTACCATGAGAGAATTCAATGTTGGCACCGTGAGCTAAGCGGTTGGATGTACGGAAATTGACAACGACTGGGAAGTTGCGTTTGGCAAAGTTAATGTCGTAGGCCATCGATAGACCAACCTCACAGTTACTCTCGAGACTGTTGGTGTTGAGACGGAAACGAGTGGCCACGCCAATCGACTCGGACAAGAGGAGAGTGTGGAAGGAGAGTGCCAAGTCACCCATCAAATTGTATGTTCCACAGACTTGGAACTTTTGGTTGTAGATGGGGCGACCAATGTAACGTACAGCCAACGAAGCACCGCCACTCTTTTGTACGTTCTTGTAGTAAGCCTCGAGACCAGCCGACCAATGGTGATCAATGTTACGCAAAAATGAGAAGCCGATCAACCCATCATTCTTGTTGGTAGCCTTGGCCTCGGCCGAGTATTTACCGCATCGTCGGCTGATATTACCAATGATCGTGGGCAATGCACCGCTCTGGAGACGGTTGGTTGCCGTGTTTACATAGATCTTGGCATTGACGTCTTTGAAGGGTGGCACCAAGCTGTTGATCTCAAGATCGAGTTGTTGTTCATTCGACACTGATATCTTGACCTTGCTGTTGCTATTGGGTAGAAGTACAGTCTCTAAACTACCACGTACATAGGTTGGTGATGGTGAAAATTCAATCTCTGGTCTAAAACCTTTGATTTGATGTGATAGCTTTACATATAATCCTCTTTCAAAATCATCAAGAAAGTCAATTGTCTCTAAATTAAAAAGAAAGTATTAATATATATCTCTATCTATCTATCTATCTATCTATGTATAATAGTTATCTATCATACTCTTGATTGGTTGATCAATTTCATTATAATTATCTGCAACGATTGGATTTAAACCTGATGAAGACATGATGTCTTTAACTCCTTCTCTAGCTTTAGTATAATAATCCACTTTTTAAATGTTATATTAAACTGGTTATTAAATGTAATGATAGTATAAATAAATATTAAAAATGAACAAATAAGCAAAGCAAAGCAAACAAATAAATGAAACAAACACGGATGAATATTAATAATTTGATTTTTGGGGTGAAGTTCACACCCGCATACAAAATTTTGACCATCTCGATGACAGAAGTATTATTATTATTATTATTATTTAAATAAAATAAAAATATAGATAAAAATAATTTGAATGTCTCATTAGAGAGGACAATGAATAAACCAAAACTTTTACTAAAATAAAATCATAGAACCTTTTGACCAGAAAAGGAAATTGCCAATTTAAATTTTAATCACCAAAAAATGGGAAAACCACAACTTTTGATGAATGAATGTTTATTAATAATAAAAATCCCAACCTCTCTCATAACACCTCAAAGTGTTGTTCTCATTCAATCATTCATTACAATCTTCTTTATCTTTTGATTTATTATCTTTGCAAATAACACTATAGTATCTATCTCTCTCTCACCATCATTTATATTTCATTTCAGATCACAATCAGTTATTTATTACCCTCTTCGACATATCACAATGACAAATCAATTGGTTATTAAACAAATTGAAACTAAACCATTTGAAGGACAGAAACCAGGTACAAGTGGTTTAAGAAAAAGAGTAGTAGAGTTTGAAAAGGGATTGTATCTACATAACTTTGTACAATCAATCTTTAATGTACTAGGAAGCGACAAGTTGAAAGGATCGACTTTGGTAGTCGGTGGTGACGGACGTTACTTTAACTCGCAAGCATTGCAGATTATCTTTGCTATTGCTGCTGCCAATGGCGTCGGTAAGATACTTGTCGGACAAGACGGCTTGCTATCGACACCTGCTCTGTCGGCGGTTGTTCGCGCCCGCAAGGCATTGGGTGCGATCATCTTGACTGCATCTCATAACCCTGGTGGCAAGCACGGTGACTTTGGTATCAAATACAACGTTTCGAATGGTGGACCTGCACCAGAGGCATTCACCAACAAGATCTTTGACGAGACCAAGAAGATCAGTGTCATTCATATGGCTGACAATGTACGTGTGGCCGATCTCTCCAAGTTGGGTACGACCGAGTGGACTGGATTCCAAGTAGAGGTAATCGACTCTGTCGAAGAGTACTGGCAGCTGATGCAAACCGTCTTTGACATGAAACAGATCAAGGAACTAGTTGCACGCAAGGGATTCGTGTTCAACTTTGATGCCATGTCAGGTGTCACTGGTGTATACGCACAACGTATCTTTGAAAAGGAGTTGGGTGTTGCCAAAGACTGTCTTATCAACTGTGTGCCATCCGAAGACTTTAATGGTGGCCATCCCGACCCAAACCTCACATATGCACCCGAGCTCGTCAAAAAGATGAATGCCGGCTTGTTTGACGTTGGCTGCGCATCCGATGGTGATGGTGACCGTAACATGGTGCTTGGCAAGCGTTTCTTTGTCAACCCATCCGACTCTGTGGCCGTTATTGCCGCCAACTGGGATGCCATCCCTTACTTTAGAGCTGCTGGTGGTCTCAAAGGTCTCGCCCGTAGCATGCCAACTAGTGCTGCCCTAGACCTGGTCGCCACACGTGCCATGGTACCCTTTTTCGAGGTGCCAACTGGCTGGAAGTTCTTTGGCAACCTCATGGACACAGACCAGTTGTCCATCTGTGGTGAAGAGAGTTTTGGCACGGGATCAGACCACATCCGTGAAAAGGACGGTATCTGGGCTATACTCTGCTGGTTACAAATCCTCGCACACCACAACAAAGACACAACCAAGGAATTAGTATCGATTGAATCGATTGTACATAACCACTGGCGTAAATATGGTCGTAACTACTACTCGAGATACGATTATGAAGAGGTGGATACCAAACTCGGTGACGAGGTTATGAAACAGATTGCCGATACTATTGCCACCAAGAGTTTGGTAGGACGCAAGTTTACTGGCTCGGATGGCGTCGAATATGAAATCGCCTCTGTAGACGACTTTGAATACAAGGATCCAGTCGATCATAGTGTTTCATCTCATCAAGGTCTTCGTATCCGTTTCAAGGATGGATCAAGAATCATCTTCCGTCTCTCTGGTACTGGTTCCACCGGTGCCACTATTCGTCTCTACTTTGATAAATATGAACAACGTGAATCTCATCTCTTTGACGACACCCAAAAGCATCTTTCAACTCTTATCAATATCGCCTTAGAATTATCAAATCTTCAAAAGATTACTGGTCGTAATGAACCAAATGTTATCACATAAATACAAATAAATAATATATATTTTTTTAAAAAAGAAATTACAAATATTTTATTTTGATTTGGCAGAGTTGGTGAATAATAAAGTTGATTAATTTAATCCGAATCATAACTAGTATTACAATGATTATTGTTTCCACGATAATTACTAAATCCAATGTTGATATGAATAAAATAAACAATGAGAAAAAATATGCAATTGTTTTTATTGGATGATTATTCAAGGTGAACATATTCATTATGATTGAAAATCAGTTGTGGTGAATAATAAAATCTGACCACCATATTTTGAATCTGTATGGTTAGCTTGTAGCAATATAATTTCACCTTTTTATTGATTCTTTGTAAATAAATTATTGTTAAAGTATAGCCTATCTTGATATCCGAAAAACCTTTCTTTTAGAGATTTGGATTGAGTAAAATAAGGATGTTTGACATATTGAAACCCGTTGTCAAGGAACAAGTATTGGACAGTGTCACTGTACAACAAGGCACTGAAAAGAGTGAGAGCATCATTACCAAGGGAAAAATTGCCACCAATATCCAATACGGTGATTGTTTTGTTTTGTTTGAATGCTTGTACCAATTCATTGTTCAAATTCAACTCGTTTCCATTGATTGATAGGACTGTAATCGTTGAGGTCGTAGCAATAAGATGTGAGAGTGATAGAACCATTTCATTGGTCACTGTTCCATTGGTCAATAGTAATTTTGTGATGTTTTGACAATTAACATGTCCAAGTGTATCCCACATGTTGGTAGACATTAAACATTGCAGATCGTTCAAAGCAAGATAGTCAATGTTTGGTATCTCGCTTCCACTACTCCAGATAGATTCAAATGCCGATTGAAATGTTGTTAATTTCTCTTGTATTATGGGTAGTTTTTCTGCCCCATCGTAATCACATAGATGAAGTCGCTTGAGAGTTGTACAATTGGAGATATTATTGCAAAATTCTATCCAATCATCTAATGAATCTTGATAATGAAACTCCAAATACGAGTAACTCGACGTAGATTGAGAGTTTTCTTCAATTTCAAAATCGCTTACCAAAATACTGGACAATATATTAACCTTGAGTGATTCCAAGGGATGACCAGCAACCAATTCTTTCAACTCGGTACACTCGACAAAATCATAGTAAATGTTGAGGTGTTTGATTGATGTGAGTTGCTTGAATAACTGTGAGTATTCAATATGTGTTATAGCGTCTTCTTTACCACTGTCAGTGTACAGATTGAGAGATTGTGGTTGAAGATCTTTAATCATTTGGATAAAGTCGTCATTATAGGTGCTGCCATTTGAAAAGCAGACTTCGGGATGAAAATTGCGAGTACCCAAAGAGACTGTGTTGGGAGTAAACCCTTCCAATGATGTAGGCCATTGTGAATAGCCGTATTCGAATCGTTTTCCATTGATATCAATCTCAATGTTGATAACAATGTGTGGATGTTGTTTTTGTATCGACTTTAATGCTTTGAAAACCTGATCGTTCACATTGCCTTTGCATTGGAGGTTGATAGTTTGAAGAAGAGGTAATAGCTTCATCAATTGATTTGCATAGTTAAATGATGATAGATCACTGTGTTCTTTTTCGTTCAACATCCATTTTAGTGTTTGTATACTGTCTGATGAGAACAATGAATGACGATTTGAATGTATTGATTTGAGTATGACACTGTCCAAGTGACCCTCAAAATACATCGATGATCTCTGTCTAACCACTTGCAACCACCATTTTGAAACCAATGCAATGTCTATCATCTCTGTTGTGATTGGATGTTCTATATCTCTTCTCTTTTCTCCATTAAACAGTATATACCAATAGTCACCTCCTTGATAAGTGTCCTTGTCTTCATGACGATTTGATCCAATCAACAATCTTATAACATAACTTTGAATGATTTGTGATAATTGAGTTGTCATTCTTATTACTTGTTAGTACTAAGATTATCTGTTGCAATGATGATCACCAGATGCAAACGATCGACTCGATAGTATTTTTTCTTTTCTTTATAATTATTTTTTTGAAATCATTTTATTTATTTTTAATGATTTTCCTGAAATAAACTATTACTAAAGAATACTTGACCTCCATAATATTTTTCCAAAACAAACTCTTTTAATGATTTTGATTGACTAAAATAGGGATATTTAGATTGAAAATAATTTGCTGGTTTTTCTTGTTGATATTGTGTCACTAAACAACAATGCATCGAAAAGGGATGGAAGATCATCATCATCATTACAAAAATTGCCACCAATACCCAAAACTTTGATTGCTTTGTTTTTTTTGAATGCTTGTTCCAAGTCCTTACACAATCTCAACTTGTTTCCATTGATTGATAGAACTGTAATCGTTGTGTTGGTGGAATTAGACGTGAGAGAGATGGAACCATATCCTTTGGAACTGTTCCATTTGTCAATAATAGTTTGGTGATGTTGTGACAATTGACTTGGCAAAGTGTATTCCACATATTGGAAGACATCAAGTTGGGCATATGTTCCAATGCCAGATATTCAATGTTTGATGAATGAATCTCTTTTCGACTCCAGATAGATTCAAATGCCATCTGAAATAAGCTTTTTTTTCCTTGTAATATTGTAGGTACGACCACCTTTTTTGCCCCAGAGTATTCACATAGATGTAATCGTTTGAGTGTTGGAGTGTCAGCAATGTTTTCACAAAATTCAATCCAATCAACAAAATTTGAACCAGTTCCAACCAAAGCAGTTGACAATAAATCGAGTTTAAGTGATTCCAATCGGGTAGAACATGAGAATAAATATTTCAAGTGACCCAAATCGACATCATCCTCACCAATATTGACATGCTTGACCATTTTGAGATGATTGAATATTTTACCATAATTGTAATGTTGATATTCATCGTCACGGTTAATATACATATTGAGTGATTCTGGTTGAAGATCATTGATTTTATTGATAAATTTGTCAGAGTAATAACTAAATTCATCTGGATTCAATTTGATGATTGATAAAGAGACTGTGTTGGGGGTGAACCCATCTAAATAAAATGGCCACTCCATTTTACTGTCTCCATCATAGTATTCTCCATTGGTATCAAATTCAATGTTGATCACAATGTCTTGACGATGTTTTTGAATTGACTTTAATGCTCTCAAAACTTGATTGTTCACAGTACCATCGAATAAAAGGTTAATTGTTTGTAGTTGAGGTAGTAGTTGTAGTAATTGTTCCTTATAGTCCAATTCTGAATCATTACAAAGATATTTATTATTCAATGTCCATTTTAGTGTTTGTATATTTTTTGATGAATAGATTGAGTGATTTCTAGAATGATGAATTGATTTGAGTATCTGCTTTTTTAAATGACCTCTCATAAATATGGATGATGTATTCTGTTTAACCACTTTAAACCACCACTTTGAAACCAATGCAATGTCTACCATACTAAATGTGATTGGTGTCTGTATTCTCTTTTCTCCATTAAAAATGATATACCAATATTCACTTCCTTTATAAGTGTCTTTGTATTCATGTTGGTTTGATAAGGTCACAAATCTAATAATACTACTTTGTAAATATAAAGATAAATATGGTGTCATTATTATTATATTGTATGACTCTTCTATTTATCTATCTCTTTATAAACAACAACAATAATGAATATTATTTTGGCAAAACTTCAAGTCATCCTTTCAAAAAAAAAAAATGGATTAATAGTTTGGTGGGAGGGTTGAGGGTTGAGGGAACCCTAACCCTATTATAAATTTATTCTTTAAATAAACTATTGTTAAAGAATAATTCAAAATCATGTAGGTTTTCAATTATTGAATACTCTTTTAATGATTTTGAATGACTAAAATAATTATAATTGGAAGATTGTATTTTGTTTGTCAAAAAACGATCGAGGAATAGATATTGTACCGTATCACTGCACATCAAGGCATTGAACAAAGTAGCACGTTGATCATTATCATCTCCAGCATTTCTCCAGCAAAAATTGCCACCAACATCCAAGACTGTGATTGTTTTGCTTTTTTTAAATGCTTCTGCCAAGTCTGTACTTAAATACAAATTGTTGTCTCTAATTGATAGAACTGTAATCGTTGTGGTGGTGGCAATTAGACGTGATAGAGATGAAACCATGTCAAAGGTCACTGTTCCATCGGTCAATAATAATTTGGTGATATTGTGACATGTACAATTAACATTGTAAAGTGTTTTCCACATGTTGTTAGTCATCAATTCTGGCAATTCATCCAATGCAAGATAGTCAATCTTGGTTGGTTTCTTTCCACTACTCCAGATAGATTCAAATGCCAACTTGAATGTTGTGAATTGATCTGATTGTATTGCTCGTTTTTGAGATTCCGAGTATTCACAAAGATGTAATCGTTTGAGAGTCTTGTGGTTGGCTATACCATCACAAAATCCAACCCAATCTTTAATTGAAGAGTTTGAATCCAAATCTGAATCTGAAGGGGTTCCAACCAAACAAGTGGTGGATATTATATCGACTTTGAGTGATTCCAATTGGGTAGCAGTTGCAATAAAATCTTTTAAATGGTTCAACTCGACATAGTCTTGACCAATGTTGATATGCTTGATTGATGGTAGGTATTTAAATATATAACTATAATTGATATGTTGGTTTACATCTTCAAGGTTAGCATACAAATTGAGTGATTCTGGTTTAAGCATCCTGACTATATCGATAAAATCGTTGTGATAGGTATGATGAGTAAATGTTTCTGGTTCAAAGTCTCTGATTGACAATGATACAGTGTCAGGTGTAAACCCTTCCCAAGATGAGTTTGGCCATTTTATCATAGATTGTTCTTTATGTTCTCCATTGAGATCAAAGTCAGTGTTGATCTGAATGTTGTAGTGTTTATGTATCGACTTTAATGCTTTCAAAACCAGTAGGTTCACATTTCCATCGAATCTGATGTTGATTGTTTGTAGTTGAGGTAATAGTGGTATCAATCTAGTTTCATAATTAAATTTTGGTTGATCAGAGAGATCAACATTGATTATATCTTTTAATGACCATTTTAAAGTACGTATACTATTTGATGAAAAGATAGAGTATCTATTTGAATGTTGTATTGATTCGAGTATCGCATCGTTCAAATGACCACTAATAAACATTGATCTTCTTTCTCGAACCACTTTTAACCACCACTTTGAAACCAATGCAATGTCGATCACATTCATTTTGATTGTCATTGGTTGTTGTCTTCTCTTTTCTCCATTAAACACTATGTACCAAAACTCGCCTCCTTTATAAGTGTCTTTGTCTTCATTTAGGTTAGAATCAATCAACAATCTAATAACATATGTTTGAATATATAGTGATAATTGAATGACTGACATTATTATTATTATTATTATTATCTATTTGTTTTTTTGTGATATGTGATATGTGATATGTGATATGTGCAACACAAATTAAATGATGATACCGATCTATCATGTATTAAACCTACAAAAGGCAAATATCTTGACACTTTTTTTTTTTTCTAAATTTATAATTATTTATTTATTTTTTTTCTTTTTAATCATTCCCATCATTAAATACACTATTATTAAAGTATACATCACCGTGATATTCTGCTAAAAAAAACTCTTTTAACGATTTTGATTGACTAAAATATGGATATTTGATTTGAAAAAATTGGACAGGTTTTTCTCGGACAAATGGGTTGCCAAAGAACAGGTATTGTACGGTATCACTAAACAACAAAGCATTGAAAAAGGGATGGTGCTTCATAAACATCATCATTGTAAAAAATTTTGCCAATATCCAAGACTGTAATTGTTTTGTTTTGTTTGAATGCTTCTTCCAGGACATTGCTCCAACTCAACTCGTTACCTCTAATTGATAGAACTGTAATAGTTGTGTTGGTGGCTATTAGATTGGCTAGAGATGGAACCATTTCATTGGTCACTGTTCCATTGGTCAATAATAATTTAGTGATATTATTGTGACAATCGACATTGCAGAGTATATTCCACAGGTTGGGAGACATGATATGAGGCATGTATTCCAAAGCCAGATAGTCAATGTCTGGTACTTCGTTTCCTTTACCATCATCCTCAACCCAGATAGATTCAAATGCCCATTAGAATATCTTTAATTCCTAGGGTTTTAACTCCATTTGATCAATCTCGATGTAGTCACTTAGATGCAATCGTATGAGAGTTCCAAATTCACCAATAATTTGGATCCAATCGTCTAATGAGTTGCGATCCATATCATTAGAATAATTGGAAGACACAATATTGACTTTAAACGACTCCAAATGGTATGCATCCAAGACCAACTCTTTTAAATCATACAACTCGATTTAATCCTCTGATAATGGAGATGATCAGAGAAATCCTCGAGACCATGATAAAAATTGAGAGATTTTGGTTGAATAGTCTTGGTCATTTCGATAAAGTGTCTTTGTCGCGTTCCAAATACAATGTATATCGAACCCACTGACAGACAACGAGACAGTGTCAGGAGTAAACCATACCAAGAGCTTGGCCACTTGATCTTTTCCTCTCGATAGCCATGTATAAAAAACCAAGAACAAGCATTGATGATCTCTGTCTAACCACTTTTAACCACCACTTTGAAACCAATGCAATGTCTATCATATTTATTGCGTTGATTGGTTGTCTTCTCTTTTCTCCATTAAACACTACAAACCAATAGTCACTACCTTTATAAGTGTCTTTGTCTTCATTGGTATTAGATCCAATCAACAACAATCTAATAATAAATGTTTGAATATATTGTGATAATTGAATAACTGACATTACATGTTATTTGTGATTATTGAATAGAATATAATAATATATGAATGGTCAAAACTTCAATCACACCCTTTTTTTTCTGATTATAATTTTTTGTATTTATATTTATTTGGGGAAAAGATTAATTGTAGTATCCTATATCGATGTCATTTTACTTTCTTTCTTTCTTTTTTTTTATAATTTATATAATATTGAAATCGTTGTTGTCTTTGTTATATATGTTGTATGTATATATGTATATATGTATGTATGTATGTAATTTAATGTAAAAAGTTTCTATTGCCAGTGAAAACCATTGGAATACCAAACTTGTCGGCAGCGTCAATGACCTCTTGATCACGGATACTGCCACCTGGTTGGACGATGCAACCGATGCCAGCCTCTTGAGCGGCATCGATACTGTCGGCGAATGGGAAGAAGGCATCGGAAGCAAGTACACTACCTGCAACCTTGTCGCCACCCACACGGCGGCAGATGTTGAGTGATTGGATACGGTTGGGTTGACCGGCACCGATGGCTACGATTTGTTGGTCCTTGGAGACGACGATGGCGTTGGACTTGACATGCTTGGATACACGCCAGGCAAAGAGGAGATCGGCCATTTGCTCCTTGGTAGGGGCGATCTTGGTGACGACCTTCCACGACTTGGTGGCCTCGTCGACACTGCCGAGGATGATGGGGTTGGGTTGTTGGAGGAGCAGACCACCGCCGATGGTACGGATGTCTGGTGTGTCAAATGCCTGTTGTGTGCCAGCTTCGGGCACTTTGAGGACACGGAGCTTCTCCTTGGCACGCAAGATCTTGAGTGCTCCCTCCTCATAGTCTGGAGCGATGATCAACTCGTAGAATACACCCTTTAAAGCGAGTGCAGCAGCTTCGGTGAGCGTGCGGTTGAATCCGAGGATACCGCCGTATGCACTCTTGCTGTCGCCGGCAAATGCGCGACGGTATGCTTCAGCTTGGTCGCTGTGAACGGCCAGACCGCAGGGATTGGTGTGTTTAATGACACAGCAGGCAGTGTCGCCAAACTCACGGATCACACGCAGCGCAGCGTCACCGTCGAGCAAATTGTTGTACGAGAGGTCTGGTCCATGCAACTTTTCACCGCTGGCAACACCGCCCATCTTGCTACCGACCATTTGGTATAGTGCAGCCTTTTGATGTGGGTTCTCTCCGTATCGCAAACTCTGCTTCTTTTCAAACACTGGATGCAGAACCTCTGGGAATTGCGTTGTCTCGACTCCAGCTGGGGTCGACCCAAACTCCAAGTAATTAGCAACAGCCGAGTCGTATGCACAAGCATGCTTGAATGCTTTGAGTGCCAATTTCTTACGTTCTCCCAGAGTGATGCTCTCGAGTCCTCCACCACCTTCGAGACGTTGTGCAATCCATTGGTAGTCGGTTGGGTCGACCACAATAACAACGTGTTCAAAGTTTTTGGATGCGGCACGGATCAAAGTATGTCCACCAATATCAATATTCTCCAATGCCTCTTCCAACGTTGTGTCGGCACGTGACACGGTCTCTACAAATGGATACAAGTTGACAGCAACCAAACCAATACGAGCAATCTGGTGACGAGTCAAGTCTTCAACGTGCGATGGTTGGTCTGGACGAGCTAGCAACGCACCGTGAATGCTTGGATGCAACGTCTTGACACGACCACCTAGAATCTCTGGAAACTTGGTAACATCTTGCACGGCAGTCACCTTCATACCACTCTCTTGCAAACTCTTGAATGTTCCTCCTGTCGAAATAACATTGAATCCTTTAGATGCTAATACCTTGGCAAATTCAACCACTCCTTTCTTATCAAATACACTAATCAATGCTTGCATCTCTAATCTATCTATCTATATATAATCTATATTTGATAGCTAATATTACTACTATTATTATTATTGGATGAAAAGTTGAAGCAAAGTGAAGTGAACAAACAAACGTGTGTGAGTAAAATCGAAGTTGCTATGATGTTGATGTGTGTGGTTCTTTACAAAAGAAAATAAATATAAATAATACCTTGTTTGGGCGACAAAGACAAAGCGAACAGCCGGCTATACAAATATAATATTATTATTAATTTTGGGAAGTTGCTTTGTCGGTCGTTTCAGGAGCCTCCTTTACAAGTTCACGCGTGTTGTCGTTTTACTCTTTTCTCGAGTCAGATCTTTGATAATCGATTTTTGTTTGGTATAAAAAATGAGAGAGAGGAAGGAGCCGTAAACAAAACATCCTCTCCTTTTCAAAAGATGAGTTTATTATTATTGTTGTGTTGTTCGGCTATTGGTATTAGTATTATTTCTTTTCCGAATATACTACAATATCCAAGTCGCATTGTTAACATGTTGAATCATAATGACATTATTGTTGTTTGACTGTTTCGTTGTCATGAATGATAGCTAACGGAACGATGTAAAAGTGTTATTTAAGAAGAGGAGGAAGAAGGACTGGACTATTGTGATTGTATATTATTGTATATTGTATGATTTATAAATTACTACATTTGATTTGAGTTATCTATCTTATCTTCTATTCTTCTTATCCATCTCTTTTTTAAATTCTTCTCCAAATATCTCCATAAAAGACTTTTGTTTAACTTGTTGATTGTTATTGTTGTTATTAGTATTGTTTTGTTGTTGTTGTTGATTGTTAGTATTATATCTGTTATTGTTGTATTGAGAGTTGTTATTATTATTATTATTATAATATTGGTTGTTATTGTTATAACCGTTGTATTGATTGTTGTTGTTGTTTCTATTATTGTATTGATTGTTATTATGATTGTTGTATTGATTAGTATTGTTGTTATTGTTGTTTTTATTAGATGGTTTATCATCAAACATCTCTCTGGTCTTGTCTCTGAACAATAGAGCCAAGTATTGGAATCTTCTGCTATTCGATAGTTTATCGACCAGAGTCTCCTCCAATTGCTTGAATACCACTCCTCTTAATAAATTGTTAAACAAGTTGTTCATTGTTGTATCTATCTATATTATGTATATCTATCTTTATGTTCTACTTGTTTGCATAAAGTTAAACTATAGTATCAAAAAAGGGAAGACAACACAAGACAATAAAAAAAAAATCAGTTGGTCAAAAAACGAGAAGGGAAGACTGGTATTTAGTTATACTTTTGGATAAATTTATTTAAATAAATATATGATAAACTTTGTGGATACATCAATAAGATTACAAAGTGGTGATACAATATAATAATAATAATCAAATTGATGTATCCACAAAGTAATAAATAGATTGTTTACGGTACTTGGGTTCCCATGAAAATGAATGAGATGAGAGGCCAATATACCATAGGATTTTGAATGTAGACGTTGCCTATTGACTTAGCCTCAATATATTTGGAGCAATCGGTCCTTTTTCAAAGTAGAAAGAAATACCTATATTAATTGTTTTGGTATCTGTAAATTAATTTGGAGAAAAGTCATTGACAGCAGAATATAATATTATTATATGCAATGTTGTGATTTTGATTGGTACTTGCCGTTATTTAGAGCAAAGATTATTACAACTACAACTACTATTACTATTACTATTATTTATTAATAAATAAATTCTCTGTTCTAGAAAATGACGAAGTGTCTTGCAAGTTGAGTATGATTGGCTCAAGACACACCTTTTAAAATTAAATTAATTTAATTTATTAAAAATTTCATTCAGGGTTATTGGGTTTGGTCTTTGAAGAGCAACGTGACTTATTCGACCAAGTGCAGATGAATCATACATATGTATACCATATATCAATCGCATCATTATCATTAGTAGTTATAGATAGATAGATAGATAGAGATAGATAGAGAGTGAAGAAGTTCGTTCATAGTTTTTAAATATTCATTCAACTTTGAAAACTAAGCTTACTATAGTACTAGTTAGTTCATTTTAAATTATAAAATTAGTAGAAGAAAGGTATACCAATCAAACTTATCATCACAATCATCATCAGATTCACAAACCTTTTCAACATCAACATCAACATCAACATCATCATCATCGTCGTCGATTTATATATCTTCGCCAGTACCTTTGAAAATAGATTCTACTTCTCATAATAGACATATACCCAAATATACTAGGATGTAAGAATCATATTAATAATAATAATAATAATAATAATAAACAACTCTCATATTAACATTACTTTTTAAACTTGATGATTGTTAGGATATCTAGTAAACATGGGTATAAAAAGAGTAGACTAAGATCTGCACCGTCGGATGCAGACTTGTTTAACCTCGTCATGCCCAAGTCTGAAACAGTTGGATTCAAGAGTAAACAAGGTGGTATATCGAAACAAGCTATCAAATGGTCAAAGTTTACACGTCTCAACAATTTCTACATTTGGTTATTCTTGGCCGTTGTTGGTTTAATGGCTTCTATATTACTCGTTACTATTGATCTTATATTTAAATATGTTGTTTTTGCAGGTATGTAAATTAATATATAACAGGTTCTCTTTCTATCTCCTCTCATTCTAATATTATTATTATTTCTTGTTGCTTTTTAGGAAGAGATAGATTTATGGATTTAACAGAGAATTATTTCTTACAATATATTAGTTTTATATTTTGGACATGTTTATTGGCAGTATCATCATCATTGGTCATCAAAAAGATATGTTATGCTGCTGCGGGTAGTGGTGTACCCGATTTGAAATCAATCTTTTCAGGCTTTTGGAATCCGACCGTTGTCAAACCATCGGTATTGGTGTGGAAGACTATTGGATTGCTATTGTCCTATGGATCGGGACTGTCGATTGGCAAGGAAGGTCCCTATATTCACATTTCTGCCATTTTGACAAACACACTACTCTACCTCAAACCCTTTAAAAATATCGCCATCAACGAAACACAAAGAAGTCAAATGCTTGCTTCATGTTGTGCACTTGGTGTCGCCGCCACCTTTGGGTCGCCCATTGGAGGTGTATTGTTCAGTATCGAGGTTACTGGCACCTATTATTTGATTTCAAATTATTGGCGTGCCTTTTTTGCTTCAACTGTCGGTGCTGTAGGAATTAAAATTTTACTTTCAACTCCTTCAAATGGTTTGTACAATGACTTGACTCTATATTATATATTCAACAGACAATATATTAATATTATTCTTTTATTTTATATTTTTTAGACTTGTTGGAATCATATCGTACAAATTTTGAATCAGTTAATCTTGCAAGTGTTCAATTATTGGCATTGATTATAACTGGTGTATTATGCGGGTTGCTAGGATCACTATTTATTTACATGTATACTAAAATATATAATTGGAAGAAAAATAATCAAGATTTGATTCAAAAATTAACGTATGTAAAAATTATATTAATATAAACAAAAAATGTTAAATATATATTAATATTTATTTATATTATTTATTTGTATTTAGACCATATGGAGAAGTATTGGTAGTAGCAGCAGTGACGGCAGTACTTAGTTTTCCATTAAAATTTTTAAGATTGGATCATGCAAGTGCCGTTCATACGATGTTTACAGCACACGATGATGTCAATTCAGAAGAGTTAAAGGTGTGGACTGAAAGCATGCCATTTGACAATGGTATTATTTTGGCATGTTTTCTATATATCTTGGTCAAGTTGGTGTTGACGGCCGTGTCGATTACACTACCTATTCCGTATGGTATCTATATCCCATTGTTTGCAATTGGTGCTGCTGTCGGTCGTTTTGTGGGTGAGATCACCAAGTTGATCTTTCCCAACATTAAAGATATCTATCCTACGGGGTATGCGGTGGTTGGAGCAGCTGCGTTGTGTGGAGGTGCCACGAGAACCGTGTCGAGTGCGATGATTATCCTCGAACTGACAAACGATCTCACTTACATGGTGCCGGTACTAGTTGGAGTGGTGTTGTCGTGCGGTATTGGTAATTTACTCAACCACAGTATCTACGACTGCTTCTTGCGTAACAAGGGATTGCCCTACCTGCCATTTGTCCGCGTCAAGACCGACTCGATGCTCGCCAAGGACGTGATGAAGCGCGACCTCTACTATGTGACACGCAAGACCACCCTGCAGGCAATCGAGCTTGTGCTAGACCGCGTCAACGACGCTGCCATCCCGGTCGTCGAGAGTCAGGACAACCACCATCTCATCGGCACCATCTCTCGTACCACCCTCGAGGAGGTGCTCGCCTACCACGAACGTCTACACTCGTATTCGGCCAAATCACCCCTCATTGCCACATCCGACTCGATTCTCAATATCAACGACGGTGGTGAAACACCGACCTTTGACGACGACTACTTTATGGAACGTGCATTACTAGGTGAGAGTGAGATGAAGGTTTTCTCAGACCAATCCTCATCTACTACCATTTTACATAATATTAATAATAATAATAATAATCATCATGATATTGACAGAGATAATAATAATAATAATATGGGTAATATTAATATTACAAATTCTATCAATACAATCCTCGCCAATACTCCTTCCACTACTTCACCAGATCCAACTCCAAGACAACAACAACAACAAGAATCACAAAACTATAATGATAATCAAGATATGAATCAAATACAAAGTGATATGAATAATAATAATAATAACAATGATAATGGTGGAGAAGGATCATCGATGAATCAACAACAACAACAACCATTACCAATCGATTTGGTACAAATGGAATTACAAAACCCATGGGTAGTTATTGATAATTCACCATTCCAAATTGGTGAGAGTATGCCAGTTAGAAAGATTGTTTTCATGTTTATGATGTTGGGTGGCAACGTTATCTATGTATTACAAAGTGGGAAATTGGTTGGTCTCATTACAAAGACTGATCTTGTAAAAAAGGCCGGACAAAAATAATAATATTAATCTTTTCCCCAAACAACTTTGTTGTATAATTAAATAAATGTGACCCCGAGTATTATACTTTGTTTTTCTTACATTTTAATTTAAATATAACTATTTATTTATTTTCAACATTATTATTATTATTTAGTTGAAAATAAAATTGTGTGATGTTACTTAGTATCTTTTCTTTTTTAGTTAATTATTATTATTTTAATTAAAAATATATTTTAATAAATGTAAAAATCATGATACAAAAATGGGTGTGTTGATGTCATTCGCTCTTTCATTCATTCATTCAACAATAATAATAATATTTAAATAAATAACATAGATGATATTATATTATTATAGTTAGACAAAGGTTAAACAAGTAGTAGTAGCAATAATAATAATTAGTAACAGTTATTATTGTTGTTTTTATTATTCCTTCTTTCTGCAGTAGATAAAAGAGAAAAGAGAAAAGAGAAAGAGAAAGAAAGAGAAAAAGAATATGTTTAATCATCAAAAAGATAGTAGTAGTAGAACGACAAAAGAAGAGGATGACGATGAAGATGAATGCAATATAGATGATACTGTAGTCATTGAACATTCACCTCAAATATCTACGTTGGAGTTTGACCATTCTGCATCGTACCTAGCAGTGGGTTATTCAAACGGTTCGATATCGATTATGCGTGTAGCCACTACAAACCTAAACTATATGAATACTCTCGACTTGGACGCTGCTTCAATATCATCGTCGTCGTCATCATCATCATCGTATAGTCTAATTGACGGCGAGACGACAGAGATTGAAGATGAAAACAACGACGACGACGATATGTTTATGATGGACGACGACTACATTGGAACAAAAAAGAAATTTAAAATAGATTCTTTTAATAATAGTATACCATCACCACCACAACAATATTATAAAAAACAACAACATCAACAACATCAACAACAACAACAATTTAAAAATAGTAATATTAATAGTAATAATAGTAATAATATTGGTTCAACTACATTATCATATGAATTGGTATTTTGTTTTCAAGCTCATGAATCAGATGTAATACAAATAAAATGGTGGAAGGGAACATGCTCGACATTGTTGTTCCTTTCAAGTAGTGTCAGTTCGACCAAGTTGTGGAGATTCAATGATTTGTCGTCCATGATGAATTCTCGAGAGAGTCCCACTTTGGTATCATCGTCTTCAACCTCTTCATTGGTTGGAAAGAAAAAGAGATGGAGTCAATACGATGGGTTGGATTCAAACAACTCTTCCTCCAACAACACCAACAATATACCATTTACAGATCTTTCCAAAAAGTTGAGGTTCACTCTTAAACGAACCTATGAAAATGAAGAAATATTCAATATCAATTCCATCAGTATCAATAGTGATTGTCAAACCTTTATTTCTTCAGATGAACTAAGAGTTTATCTTTGGGATTTAAATGTTAATCAACAATGTTTTAGTATGTATATACAAAAAAAAGAAAATAGATTATTATTTATTTATTTATTTTCTTTCTTTCTTTTAGATATTATAAATTTAAAACCAACCAATATTCAATTATTAAATGAAGTGATTAGAGTAACTGAATTTCATCCACAACATTGTAATCAATTGGTGTATGGAACGAGTAGAGGGTCGGTCAAGTTGTGCGATCTTAGGACATCGGCGCTATGTAATGATTTTTCAAAGGTTTATGTGCCACAACAAATCAATGAATCAACCTTTTCCGATTATTTAAATTCAATACTCGATCTTAGGTTCAGTCCCGACGGGAGATACTTTGCGACTAGAAACCTAGAATCATTATCGATTTGGGACATGAATATGGAAAATCAACCCATCGCAACCTACAACCTATACAATCAAAATTATCTACATTCCAAACTTTATGATATGTACGAATCATCTACTTTTGTTGGTAAATTTCCTTGCTGTTTTATTAATCAAGAGTATGTAAAAAGAAAAAGAAAGAAAAAAGAAAAAGAATATAGAATTATAAATATTAATATATCATTTTAAAAATATAAATTTATAGACAAGTAATAACAGGATCATATGATAATAAAAGTTTGGTTTGGAATCCATTTAGTTCTGATAGTTTTATCATTGATAATAATAATAATGCTGGAAATGGAAATTATGTAAATAATAATAATAATGGTATGGTCGATGAACACGATACCATCATTCCATCAGATTTTAATTGTCAATTATTAAAAGATGGTGAAGGCGACGATCTTTCAACAACAACATCTTCTTCTTCTTCCTCATCAAAATATAATAATACACCACCTTTAAATTCTTCTTCTACTTCTTCTTCTTCTTCATCCTCTTCAACAAATACATTCACAACACAATCATCAGTCTCGGCAGTGACCAATAACCCTGTAGATACAAATCAACGCGTAATAGTTAAACCTTGGTCCATTTATAATGCCTCTTCTCCATCCTCATCACCTGTAAATAGTCAACAACAACTCAATCACAAGCTCTCTATTAAAAAGTTTAATGAAGAGTCTATCAGATCCATACACTCTATGAACAATCTTATTGCCATGAGTGATCAAAACCAAATTTATATTTATTCAACTCTCAATGTTGCCAATGATTCAATTCATAAAGGAGCATAAAGAGAGTGAGAGAAAAGAAATAAATAATAATAATAATAATAATAATAATAATAATAATAATAATAATTATGGAAATATATATATTTATATTTATATATAAATCTCAAGATTATTTCCAAATTCAAATTTATTTGTAAAACTAGAAATGGAAATTGAATTCAAAACATCAACAATGACAAGTTACCTTGTCATTAAAAATATTATTATTATAATATGTTTTAAAAGAAGTAACAATTGCAAATGTATTTATATATAAATATAAATATTTTTAGGATAAATACTAATAATAATACTTTTTAGAAATATTAATTAATTAATATTTAATTAAAAAATTGGATAGAGTAGAAAAAATATTAACTATTATTTATTTTCTATTGGTTCTAAAACTATTGAACCATACCAACAAGATTGTGCTTCCTGTATATCAATGAAAATGACTTACTTTTTTAATAAAAAGAGTATGTATATACAAAATGACAGACATACATAAAATATTTATTTATTAACCAAATTATACCTTTTTTAGAAAAGAATATATTTAATAAATTAAGAAATCAATTTACACTTCAAGGGATACCATATTCTGTTGAAAGTTTAAAATTCTTGACAGAGAGTTTATGCAACAAGGCATCTGATGCACCGAGTATTATCATTGTCTGGGATTACCATGCTCTTGGAATGAGAATTCGAGAGATTAGTCCCGACCTTGTTAGCACTAATAAAATGATCCATGAAGTGGTCATGCGATTTGGAATGGGTCATGGAACAGTTCATGACAATACAATCTTTTCATTCCCATCTCACAAGGACTTGATGCATCGTTGCAAGAACCTCTCCCAAACCCTTCCATGGTGTCTCTCCTATTCCAATGTTCCTCGAATCGCAACAGTCTACTGGGTATCAAAGATGGATAGCAAGTTGCCTAAAATGTATGAATACTTTCAACATCCATTCTATTTACCTTCACATTTGGAACCTTATAATCCTGCCTAGAATATATTCTTTCTCTCAACTCTGTTTAAATAAATAAATAAATAAATAAATACTTTATTTTTGTATATATTTAGTATTTAATATTTAATATTTAATATTTGTTTGTTTGGTTATTTATTATATTAGGGAGAGACTGTTGTTTTAGTCCAATGCTCTTGAATCCATTGATCATTAATAACAACAGACTGGGCAAGATCTACCAATCCCGCGACCTCCGTTGTATTGTCAAATTTAATCTCTTGTTCTAAAATAGGGTTGAATCTATGGTATCTATCGGACAATAGGGTACCTGTTAGTTGGTGAACAAGTTCAGTACTTGAGTCAATGTACATATCTGCCAATGAACTTTGCCAACCTGAGAGTGGCATGTTATGATCTTTGACTTCAGGTTTTGTGTCCATCGCTCTCGGGAATAAACCTGATCCAAAAGACAGACAGACAATTCTGTCGGTACCAACCCGTTTAAAGTTTGACGCTAGTGAAACGGCTGCCATTGATGGGTTATTACAAAATATTCCACCATCAATGTACCCTTGGTGACTTGGAAATGCACCTGGAACGGACAATGTTCTTAACAATAGGTCCGATACTTTGAGTTTGGTGGTGCCGTCGGGCAATTCAAGACTTGGAGAGCATGTTGGCGTATCCGTACATTTGAGAGGTTCATCTTGAGAAGAGGTTGGATTCATATTATGGAATAATCGGGGTACCCATCTTACTATTGTATTGTCTTTAAAGGCAAGTTGTAAGGCAGGGACAACTAGTGAGCGATTAAGATCGGTGAGTTTGGTATCCCCAAGGAAGAGATAGAAAACGGCTTGGATGAGATCATTGGAATAGGTGGCAGAAGAGGTGCTTTCCATTCCTTGTTTTGGCTGACCAAATATATTTGAGCATACCATACTCATAATATTGACAACATCACGTGGTAGATATCCGAGTATAAATAGAGTTGCAACCAAAGCACCGGCACTGCTACCAGCAAACACATCTACTTGATCCAGAAAATTGTGATATTTCTCAACAATATCGGCCATGATCACACATTGAAGGATCGTTCTTATTCCTCCACCGTCAAAGCTGATAACACGACACGGTCCATTTGTCTTCTGGTCTCTCTTTTGAAGTGGTTTGCATTTTCCATCCATTTCTTTCTTATGAACCACTAATCCGACCAACGATTGAATCTCCTTTTCGTTTAGTTTGCTCAATAATTCAAGAGGAAAGAGTTCTAACCATTTTGGTACTTGACGGGTTGTGCTTTTATCTCCAAGAATAGAGTTATTGTTGTTGTTGTTGTTGGGGTCATTGCCACTACTATTTGTTTCTTTAGATAAATAAATAATAATAAATAAATAGTAGAAAAGTGTTATTAAATAAATCTAACATATTAATATAAATATATAAATGTGTATGTTACCTGAAGAAGAAGACATAATTCTATATATATATTTGTATTGCAATATAACAATGACTCATGAACCCGCGTTTAACCCATTTATAGCTATAGTGGTCGGACCATCCGACAGCATCAGCTGGTGACTAGTTGTCATTGAAATTCCACAGAAGGAGAACACATCTTCTTGGAATGAATTGCCCAGGGCGGCAATCACTCCTCGAGTATCAACCAAAATTAAAAACCTTGATGACCATTTAATTATTCATTGTGGTAGCTGTACATAATATACTACAAAGAGGAAAGAGTGAGAGAGTTAGAGATAATCAATAAATGTTTAACAAAGCAAATAGAGAAAGAAAGAGAGAGAGAGAGAGAGAGAGAGAGGTTAAGACTTTCTCTTTGCTTGCTTTTTAGAGTTGATCTTATGAAAGACACTTACATAGATAGAAGAAGCGATAACGAACAGTTTGATTAAAGTGCTATCAACAAACCGATTGATTGATGAATCGTTGATTGATTGACACAAATCGGGAAAGGTGCACATGCCTTAGAACAAGATCGCAGATCAATGGTTGCAAACACACTGTCGTGTAAAATGATAGCACAGTAAAAAAAAAAGATATTTAATTATTTAACTAAATTAGGTTGGGTTGTAATAATCATAATAATAATAATAATATTACTAGTATTTATTATATATATATATATATTGATAAAATAGATATAATTAATTTATTTATTTAGATTAAAAAAAAAAATGAAAGTAGGATTAGAGCAACAACATTTAACAATTTTAAAAGCATCAACCTTTTTCAATGATATTTGTTGTGATGCTGAAAGATTTTATTTGGTTACCAATATCGATGGCAAGTTATTCGACACTTATATCTTTCTAGGTAGATCTGATGAATACTTGAAGCAAGTCGTCAAAGATTTTAAACATCAAAATCAATCATCACCACAACTATTACTAGAACAACCACAACAGCAACAACAACAAAAGGAACCTAAAAAGTCATGGAAATTGGTTGGAAAGACAAACCAAATAGTTGAATTGATGGAAAAGTATCCTCCAACACATTACATCTTTGGATCGACATACAACTCTAAAAACATTGAAGAGCTGGTGTTACATACTTGGAATAAGGGACTGCGTCTCTTCTTCAAAGCACCTTATTTGATGGGTGACCGAACCGACAGATTTCAGTGGGGAGTTGCTGGTTGGTTTCACGGTTTGGAAGACATGCAAGACAAGAACAAATGGATTCAATTCCACCAATCACTTGATGCCAATGGCCACATGGTTAGAATTGCTGGTAATCAGGAGCAATACGGTGACCTTTATGTAAAATTAATTTAATCCCTCTGTTTTAATAAATCTTTTAATAGTAATCAATGTTGATTGATCAGAAACGATTGGTGGTGTTGTTGTTGTAGGTTGATGTAATAATGAATGCTACAGATCAACCATATATTAATTCGTTAAACATTAACCCCCTTTGATCGATCACCCTTACGTGTGTGGGTGAACTTCACTCCTCTATTTCAAGTAATATTTTTTCAACTTTTATTAATTTTTTTTAATTAAAATTTTTTTTTTCGATTTGTTTTTTTTTTTTTTCCTAGAAAGGTCCCCTTTTTCATTTTTTTCGACTCAAAAATTTGATTCTAATTGATTGGTACAGACAAAAATCAATCCTTTTATCTATTTTTTTATTTATTGTAAATAAATACTAGAGTAAATAAATATAATCTAAATAATAGATGGGTAAGTGTATTAATATAAATATTTATAACTTGATTTTCTTTTATTTTTGCCATAAAGGTAAAATGACTAATCTCCTTCTTCTTCTTTTAAAATCTAGATGCAGATCAACAACCACTATTGGATGATATAAATAATAATAATAATAATAATAATGATAAACCAAATGATGATGCAATCAGTATTTAAAAATCAAAATCAAAATCATAATAATAATAATAATAATAATAATAATAATAATAATAATAATAATAATAATGTAAAGATCAAGAAAATGAAATTTAGGTATGTTTAAAAGAGCAAACTAGAAAATTTACTGATTGTAATTGTAAAATGGATCTATCTTCTATTTAAAGAAAACAAGTATTTTTAGCTCAATCCACAGCTGTAATGATTATGTTTATTGTCATGGGACTCATGGTATTGAGCTACCAAAAAAAAATGGATCAAAACCTTCAACAGTTGACAAATCAAATCTCGGAACTCACCCAAAAACCGAAAGGGTGGCAACTGGTAGGAAAGATAAATAATATTGAAAGAGTCATGGAAGAATACCCACCCACATTGTACGAGTATGGGGCAACTTACAATACACTAACTATTCATCAATTGGTGGTCTCTAATTGGACCCAAGGATTACGGGTTACATTTGTCGACGACTACCTAATGGGCGACAATCCAAAAGAGTTTTCAATGGGTAGATCAGCATGGTTAAAAGGACTAGAGGATCAAAGCCCAAATGATATATTTTACCAATCATATCTGGTTCTGAATCAAGATGGGAAATACAGATTATTGACATCAGATGGCCAAAGCTACGGGGACCTATATATTCGAGAAATTTGAAAAACAATACTGAATTGTTTTTCAAATAAAAAGAATTGTAATAATAAAAATTAATCTATCTTGTTGGTGCTATCAATTGAGCCTCGTCACTCAAATCATGGCTATTATTAAATTTATAAGTTAAGATGAATTTGATGGCTTTTTTAAAATATTCTTTTCTGACTTTAGATACCTATTTAAATATTCATAATCATCATCATTTATTACATCAATCAATATTCAATATTTTTAGATTCAAGAGGTTAAGTTACAATGGGTAGGTATATTTAAATCAAACATCTATAGATCTACATCGAATATTTACAATTATTTTAAAAATCATCTATCCTACAGTAGACATCAAGTTATTAAACAATAATAATAGTGTCCAATATATTGCTTCAAATCAAGAAAGAAAGATCAAAAAGTATGTTCTTGAGGGTTGATATTTTTAATCATTTAGGGTTGAAATCAATCTAAAACTATTTTGATATGATTTAAATATCCACCTACTTTGTATGAATATGGTGGGACATTCAACACTCAAACAATTCAACCAATGGCCTTTTCTCGACATAAGTGGAATAAACAAGAAGTGAATAGATTATATTTTGTAAATGATCTCCCCATAGGAAAACCTCCAGATGGAAAAATCTTTTATTATGGAAGAGCTGTCTGGACTAGAGATATTTCAAAATCTGAAACCAAATATACCCATTCCTACCAGGTACTAAGAGCAGATGGAAAATATGAAGACGATGTTTGGATATCCACAAACCCAGAGTTTAGGGGAACATTATATGTTAAAGAAGTATATTGATCGACCAATCAATAAACCAATCAATTAAATAAACCAAATCTTTGGACTAAATTAAATAAAACAAAGTCTCTATCAAAAAAAAAGGAGGCACTAGTACCATTTTTTATTTTTAATAACAACCACATCAAATTAAACAAAAATTAGTACAGTTAGAGATGGGTATGTAAAATTTATGTTGAGTGTTATACTCATATCATTCATTCTTTTATTTTCTTTATTTTCTATTGGAGGTGTCAAATTGGAACCATCAAATAAGAGTTTCATTTGTTGACGGTTATTAGGTGGCAATTCTACAGAGTTTTCAATGGAGATATCAGTATGGTTAAAAGGACCTCAAGGAGAAACTCCAACCGACAAATATTATAGATCTATGAAAAGGTTGTCGTGTATGGAATATCTGTATGGCATACGGATCCGAAAGAAGGCTCAAAGTACACCCATTTCTACCATATCCTTGGAGCAGATAGAAGATACAATATAGATGTATTGGTATCAAATAGTGAAGACTAGTCTGGAAGTTTGTATGTTCAAGAATTGTAATCCAATCAATAAATAAAAACCATTTGAAAAATCAAGTAGAAAATAAATATTTATTTAATACAAAGTATCATTTTTTTAAGAATTCTTACACCCCATCTCAATAAAAGGAGTCATGTGACCATTATTTATTATTAAATATTTGTAGAGATAAATAAATAATAGAGAGATATGGGTATGTTCAATAAATATATATATATATGTGTGCGTTGATTGTTATACTTATACTTAAATCATTCATTCTTTATTTCTTTTTATTTCTTTGATAGCAGTAGCATTGGACCAACAACATTTATGTGCCTTAAAAGCATCAGATTTCTTTAACAACTCTTGTACACTCGAACAACGACACCATATCATGACGACGATGGATATCAAACTCTACGAGAGCTATATCTTTCTTGGCAAACCAGACGATTACCTAAGAATCCTTGTTGCTCCCCTTCCTCCACAACCAACAGCAGAGAGATGCTACCAACTCGTTGGTAATACCAATGAAATAGATGAAGTTATGGTAAAGTATCCACCGACACATTACACCTATGGTTGCTCGTACAACTCAAAGACCATTCACGAGTTGGTCTATAGTAATTGGAACCAAGGTGCACGACTCTACTTTCTTCATCCATACATGATGGGTGACAACAGCTCTGCATTTGAATGGGGTTATGCTGCATGGTGTAAAGGTCTATTAGACCAACCCGACAAAGATAAATGGGTTCACGGATACTACAAACTAGAGAATGGTAGAATGGTCAGATATGGTAGTAATGATCAAAGTTGGGGTCGTCTCTATATTAAACCTATTTGTTAAATTTAAAAGAATAAATAAATAATTGTAAATGTATACTGTACTGTACTATATATATATATATATATATAGCTAGCTGTTGTATAATAAGGGAAGGGAGGGTGGTCGGTCACAGTGTGATGAATTGAGAGATCGCGATTAGCAAATCGATCGTTCATTTGCAAGATTCGGATGATCGGGTCGGTTGTTGTTGTTTGTGGTGCATCATCATCATCATAGTCAATACCGAATGAACGAATGATGATCATCGTCATCAATGATAACACGCATGCATGCATTCAGAAGAGAGGCTGCAAAGAAAAAGGTTGAAGCAGTGCAAACTCGAGAGAGGATACACACGACCTTTTTGAAATGATTTTTATGAAACAAGTGTGAAGAACCGCCCAGACCAGAGTCTGAATGAATCTACTATCGCAAAAAACACACACATTAACAACAAACAAACATAGTTTATGTACCACTACGAATCGTAATAATAATAATAATATTATAAATCAGAACAACACAACAACAACAAACGAACATACCATTACTTTGACAGATAGATAGATAGAGAAGGAGAGAGAGAGTGATCATGTGGTGAAGAGAAAGAGATATTTAATCATAATCAATAATATATAACTAGTAGTAGAATAGAGGATAAAGAGGTAGACAAAGGTTAGAGTAGAGTAGATATATATATTGAAACCAGACAAGGACAATACAAAGAAGAAAGTAGAAAATTAAATCAGTTACAACAATGTCATACAAACAAAAGGGTGTCAAGACACTTTGGCCAAAGAAGGAGCGCGACTTGTCTCATCACAAAGATCACTATACTTCAATGTTTGATGTTATCAAAGTGAACAACTATGGTAAAAGACAGCAACGGTAAGATATGATAAGAAGATGATGAAAGTAAAGTTAATTAATTATTAATTGTATTTTTGGTTGAAATTTAGAACGATTGCAGTGAGTTCATTGGGAGTATCAAATTTGAATGGACAGTCGTGTCAATGGTTTGTAAAGAACTCGGATGTGTACTCGATCGATTTGGATACGAATGACTCACAGACATTTACGTTGACGTTGTTACACAAGTATCGGTTTGAATCAGAGAGCATCGAGCATGCCAAATCGATCGTGTCAGAGTTTAAGAGGATGGGTGTGGGGTGTCGCGGAGGCGCTGCGTCTGGCATGCAGGGTGACGTCGATGGCGCGTTGCCGATTGGCAGCACGGAGAACTCACCCAAGCATATCCATCCACACCACCACTACCGCAACGACAACTCGCTCGGCAGCAGTAGCAGCGGGAGCAGTCTGCCGTCATCGCCAGTCATGTCACCCAACATCTCTCCACAACTCATCTCACACAATGCAGCGGCACAAATAGCCAACACCAACAACAACCAACCGTCATCACTGTACCTGTCCAACGCCAGTATCAGCAGTAACAGCAGTAACGGAAGCCAAAGCAAAAAGGACAAAAAGAAGGAAAAGGAACGCGAAAAGGAACGTGAAAAAGAACGTGAAAAGGAACGTGAAAGAGAAAAGGAACGTGAAAAGGAACAAAAGAAACAACAACAACAAGTATTACAACAACAACCGTCATCACCACCATTATTAAGTCAATCCCAACAACCACCACCAAAACAACCACTTTATCAGTCTCAACAACCGACAACAACATCATTGAATCAATCAACCAATATTAGAATAGATAGAAGAAATGTAGCCGCTGAAGAGACGGTTGGATTATCTCCACTCACTCCATCTAGTTATGTTTTACATTCATCAAATACTCCTCAAGCAACTATTCCAAATACACCAAATGCATTCTCAAGTGAAGGAGCAAGGGTTTGGAAAATTCGTGCAGAGGAATTAAAGAGACAATTACTTTCAAAAAAAGATATCCCAAATACTAATTTATTAAAAAGTTTAAATGAAACTGATCAACAACAACATCCACAAGCAATTACGATCATTTCTCCTCCATCTACATCTACATCAACAACTTCAACAACCACCAATAATAATAATGTAATATTACCGCCAACTACTACCACTACAACAACTACTACTACTACAACTACTGAACAAATAGATTTTGAATATCCACCTTTAAAAGAAAAAGAAAAAAAGAAAAAGAAAAAATTGACAATTGATGATTTTGATTTACTCAAGGTTTTGGGAGTTGGTAGTTTTGGTAGAGTCTTTTTGGTTAGAAAAAAGGATACAAAGGCACTCTATGCAATGAAGGTATTAAACAAACGAGACATGATGAAAAAGAAACAAATTGCACATACCAATACCGAAAAGATGGTACTCAGTACAATGGACCACCCATTCATCGTACAACTTCACTTTGCCTTTCAAAATGAAGAATTTTTATTCATGTGTATGGATTATATTCCCGGTGGTGAATTATTCCATCATCTTCAAAAGGCTGGTAGATTCCCAGAGGAATTGGCTAAATTTTATATAGCAGAGGTGATCACCTCTTTGGATTATTTACATTCAAATGATATCATCTATCGTGACATCAAACCTGAAAATATTTTATTAGATGCTGAAGGTCATATTAAATTAACTGGTATGAAAAACAAACAAATACATATAAACAAAAAAGAATCTAATTTATTTATTCTATTTTCTTTTTATATTTTAGACTTTGGATTATCTAAAAGTGGAATTACAAGTGTAGTTGGTAAATGTGGAGAAGGACAATTTGCAACTACGTTTTGTGGTACACCAGAATATTTGGCACCAGAGATTATTACTGGTAGTGGACATGGAAAGGCAGCTGATTGGTGGAGTTGCGGTATTTTATTGTTTGAAATGTTGACGGGACGATCCCCGTTTTTGGCATCCAACCGAAACGACATGTACAAAGCAATGATACAGGGTAATCTCAGACTACCCATCTTTTTGTCGGGCGAGGCACAAGACCTACTCGAAAAGCTGTTGGTACCCGACCCAAAGAAACGTTTGGGGTCTGGACCAACGGGTGTGCAGGAAATCCAAAGTCATCCATTCTTTGAGCTGATCCCTTGGAGAATGCTCGAATCAAAGATGATCACACCACCATTTAAACCAACCATCAAGGAAATCAACTATGCCGCCTCACAGCAGGACCCCGATCTCAACCCTGCCATCACATTCCAACGAAGACGATCTTCATCCACACTCATATACGACTCGCCATTTAAAAACTTTAGTTGGAACAAGGAAGAAGATACTATATTGTTGAATGAGAGAGCATCAATTTCATCAACCTCGGCTTCCCCAACCTCACCTTCACCTTCCTCCCCTACTCATCCCTCTCCACTCAATCGTGAAAGGAAAAGTACTCTAAGAAATTCATTCACTAGAAAAGGAAGTGTATAAAATTAAAAGGAAAGAAAGAAAGAAAGAAAGATTCACAATCCAATAATTAATAATTAATAATAATAACTAACATAACAAAACAAATACACAACAATTATTTAAATAATTTATTAAATTTTAAATTAATAATAATAATTATTTTTACCCTCCCCCAACCATCCTACTTTATAAATAATAATAATAATATAATATAATATAATGAAATAATAATCATTTTTTTCCCCACAAACAAAATATATAATACAACAACAACAAAAAGATTTTTAATAATGTGTAGAATAATATATATATAAATAACTTTAATCCCCTTTAGAAATCAAAACATACTTGTATTTATTATTATCTAAAAAAAAAAAAAGAAATAAAATATTAAAAAAAAAAATTAAAATATAATTAATGTATGTTTGGAAAAGAATGAATATCGATTCAATTATGATATTTATTTAATCAAATTGAATAAGAAGGTAAAATAACATCGACAAGTTTCCATATCGATCAAATATTAATATATATATTATATATTATTATTTTTTGATCAATGTTTTGTGAAAACTTTCAGGGGGAAAAGGTTTAGGCTATTATTAATTATTAATTAATTATTGTGGGAATGGCTTAACCATGCATTCAGCACCAGCACATGTTTCGAATGGGAAGGTGTATGGGGCATAGAAGAATTCAGTGGTGTACTTTTGTTCACCAAATGGAGAGTCGTAGGTCAATTCTACGAAAGCACCACGCCATCCACCAGCTGGTGGAGCAGAGATGACGGTCTTGAAGACGTTGGAATCAGAGTATGGAGAGAGTGGAGTGATGGCCCAGGTGATGTTTTGTGGGACATTTGGAGCGAGGAGTTGTCTCCAGTCACGCTTGGTGGTCGAGATGGTGTCGGCAGTGTAGAGGAGTACGCTGGATGGACAGTCACGCTTGTCAGTGACGATGGTGATGGCAGTGGTGTTGGATACAATGTCTGGGATGACGGACCACTCAAAGTCGGGGAGTGATTGACGGTTGATGACCATGTTGTAGTAGGTGGTGACTTCTTGGATGAATTGACTCCAACGTTGGAGGAGAGAGTGGTCGGCACCGGGGTGGATACGTTGATGCTTGGCACCGAGAAGCTTGTGGAAAAAGAAGGCAGACGAGTCTGGGATAAAGAACTGGTCACCGACGGCAGTGACGATGTACTTGGGCACCAAGAGTTGGTCGACCCAGTTGATGGGGTCGATCTCCTTGGCCATGGCGTCGAATTGGGGGGTACCCATGTAGGCCATGACACCCTCACCATAGTAGTTGTAGTAGGCGTACGACCAACCTCCGTATGCCTTGTAGTGGTTCTCGCAGTTCTTGACGAGATCGAGGATTGGCATGACGACGGGGATCACAGCCTTGACACGTGGGTCGACGGCAGCAGCGAGCCACGAGGCCCAACCACGCTTGGAGGCACCCGAGACGACAAAGGACTTGACCTTTGGGAACCAGGGTGGGAACGAGTCCTTCATAAACTTGGAAATGCAGTCAAAGGCACGGACGGTGGCCTTGGTCTCTGGGAATTGACCCAACCAGTCATAGTCGGTGGTGTTTTCCAAAAACTTCTTCCAGGTGTAGCCGATGATGGCGTCTTCCGAACGACTCTTGTTGTCATTGTCGAGGATGAGTGGTTGGTTTGGGTTTTGGGCCAAATGAGATACAACGGAACGCGAAGCAAGGCAGACCGATTGGATCAATGGATGCAAAACTGTTGGTGGAGCAGAAGCATAGTTACCATTGTCGACATAGAGGAAACCAGTGTTTGAAGTGACAAATGTTGGCACACAAACAGTAAGGAAATGCCACCATCTTGGTTTATTGGTTTTTGGGAATTCCAACCAATTTAAGGAAGCTAAATTTAAAAATTAAAAAGGAATAGGAGAGGATTGTTAGAAAGGTATAACCATTATGATGATTCGTGTTTTAGCATGGTGGGAGAGGGTGTTGTTGTTGTTGTTGTTGATGGGTTGTTTAAACAACCACCCTTGTTTTAGGATGGTGTGTGTTTGTTTGTTTGTAAAGAGTAAGATATCATATCTCACCCCGAACAACCAATCAAAATGTACCTAACCCACTACCCACTTCTTTCCCTTTCTTTGCTTATTTGTCTATACTTTATACATACTAAAATTTAAAACATAAGCAGTGTATCCAGGACCACTGAATTGTGATTGAAGAACGTACGACCATCTTGATTATTTCATTTGTTAAAGTATCATTACATCATTACAATATATATATATATAATATATAATATTATTTGTTTTAGACCAATTAAAAAAAAAAGGTAATAGAAAAAAAAGGAGATAAAAAAAAATAATGTAAAGCAAAGGAAAAGTATTTGTATTTGTTAGTTAATTTTAAATTGATTATCTTTAATTATTAATTGTTTTTTTATAATAGATATTACATACCCTTCATCTTGACGGTAGACAAAATCTTCAAGTGGAGTGTTGATAGACTGTACAGATGCGCAACTGGCCAATAAGACAAGAGCAGCAAAGAGTAAATTATACTTATACATGGTGGTAATACTATAAAACTAAATTAATTGCCTTTTAAAGAAATGAAAAAAAAGTATAAGAATAAGTACGCTTTGACTACAATAGGATATGTGTGTAGTGTATGACAAGTAAGTATATGTTATTCGTACAATTATATATATTTATAACTACAACAATTATGAATGAAATGAAATGGTTTATGACCGCAATGGTTCATGTTGTTAAATAGCTAGCTCATCGTCGTTAATCTTGAAGTTACACTTCCACCAAAACAGTATAACACCACATTCCTTTCTTTGCGCATTCCTTCCGCATTACATCTCACATCTGATGAGAGAGAAGAGAGCGCAGTACAAACATATTACAGTAGTAGTAGCAGTCCCTGTCTGCAGCAGCAGTGCAACGAGCGATACCTTGATGAGATTAAAGTTTTAAACCTTCTCTTCTGCTGGTTGGTTGGATCAAACCCATGAGCCCAATCAATTAACTGATTAGGCTCTGCCTTTTGTGTAATCTATCACCTTTTTTTCAAATGGGGCATGTTTCCCTCGCTCGCCAAACCGTCAATTGCATCGAGCACCCAATGACCATCATCTTTCTTAAATGGGTTTGAGCAGAATTTCCCCTTCGTCACTTTTTTTTGGTCCTTTCGACCCATCCCCTTCACCTTGCGTAGATGACTTTTCGATTGTAAACCAACATATGATTGATTATGATGATACCATCGTTGTGGGCCATGGACAATGTGGTGGTGGGAGGTTGATAATATCGATCAAACATTGTAAAATATTTCAAACTACACAGATATCGTCACTAGGACCACACTCTTCTTCTCTGTAGATGGAGTGACGATATAAGGTTCTAGATACCAAACTATGAAATTAGGGGTGTTTAATTGGAGGACAAAAGATTGGGCAACCAACAAAACAAGTGTCACCACTTCACACTATTTAGGGGATTGTTTTAAAAAACCAACAAATATCTTGTCAGACAAAAAAGAGAATAGTATCTACAAACAACCTGCAAACATACTTTGAGGATGAACCCTTTTCAATGAAACCAAATGTGATCGCATTCATCTCAACCACCAAAAATCTGATGACAATATTTAAGTATATGTATGGTGAGGTGGTTGTTTAGTTAGATTGTGATCCTTGAAAGGACTTGGACAAAAAGATGAATGAATGAACAAATCAATTATATAATCGAAGAAGATGGAAGGAATATTATTATTTCTTTTAAAAAACAAATATTTTGACTTACGCACAACAGCACACATATATATATATAATATTAATATAAAGATTAATGGAAAGTGGATCAATAAAATAGAGAGAATGAAATTGAAACAGTGGTGGTTAGAGGTACTCTTTTCTTTAATTGTATCTTTTTAAAACTTGTTTCTTTTGTGTTTATTAAGTTGAACAATTGAATGTATGTTGTTGGTTGTTGTGTGTGTGTGGTTGTGTTGGAGGTGGAGGTGGAAGAAGTGGAGGTGGAGGTGGGGAATATATTTTAAATACACTATTAGTTCTCTTCCTCTTCTAGCTAGTACTGCTACGAATGGCAAAATAACGATATCCTTGGCCGGATGGACAGGCAGTTCATATATAGCAGGGGATGGTGAAAGTTTTCTCGCGACAAGGGGCATCGTTCTCTTCTCTCACGCGACAACAACATACATAAATCTCAACCTTACTCACTACACATCTGAGGAGTTGGAACTCTTGACAATACGATAAGAGACGGTACCATAAACGCAGAGGGAGGGGGTAGTGGTGGTGTGGTCAACAACGTTGTTGATAGTGGGGTGGGTGTGTTTGTGGTGGTACTGATTAAAGGAGGGGTTGAGGTTTGGGTAAGGGTTGACGATTCTGATGATGAGGTGGAGTAAAAGTCTGCAGGAGTAGGAGGAGGAGGAGGAGGGGTAGCTGTATGGGAGAATGATATTGATGATGATGGCGGGCAAAAAAAAGAAGAGGATGGATGAATAATATTTTCTATTCTAAATTTGGTCCGTGACAATAGATTTCTCCATTCACGTTCATTTCTTTCTCTTCCATTCACCAACTGCATCATAACTATGGAATTTCAATCAAAATTTGAATTAATAATAGTGTTCACACATTTTTTTGTAAATATTATGTGTGTGTGCGTGTATAATTATATGTATGTTTTTGTGTGTGTGTGTGTACTGTATACATTTGCAATGGTAAATTTATAAATTACATGTATAAATTAATTTGGCAATGAGTGTCGTTGATTCACCTGTCGAATAGATAATAATAATAATAAAAATGGTTTGGTGATTGTTGTGGGCATTTTTTGAATTTCTTTTTTTGGATTGTGATGATGATGATCATTCATTCCACCTCAGCCAAGTGAAGTGTGTCTGTGCTGTGCGATATATATATACATACAAATATCATAAAACGCAATCCTAGCATTTTGATTTTTTAGCTGGCTACAATTGATGTAATCATATATCAATATTTTACCTCCATTCTTTAGACTTTTCGAGAGGGTGGATATGATTTCAATTGCTTTGGTGTCGTCCTGGTTGTGCAATACATTCTTGAGGATGTAGCAATCGGCGATAGGAACCTTTTTAAAAAAATCACCTGCTACACATTCAAATCTCTTGTCCTCCACCATTGTATGTTGTAGTTTTTGATTCACTCTATTTATAACATTGGGTAAATCAAAATTAATCCCCTTTTTCAATATTGTTGTAATATTTGTTGTAATATTTGTTGTTGTTGTTGTTATTGTTGTTGGGTATCGTTGTAATATTTGTTTAATTAAGCTAAAAATGAATCCATTAATAATTAATATTGTTTTGATTTTTTGATTATATTTAAATTTTGTTTTTTTGTGTATTTTTGATTTGATTTTCCTTTTAACTGAATTATAATATTACCTTCCTTCAGAACCACCAACATCAACTATTGTTTCAAAATTCTTGAAATCATACATATCAATTAAAAAGGGACAAACATTTTTTGTAATGTTGGACATTGTCTGGCTAAAGTCCATGTTTTCTTGAAGGTTTTTGGGGTCTTCCAAATACTCCCAATAGGTTGGGTAACCAAGAGATTCGGTGTGGTCTGAATGACCAGTCTTGATGGTTTCGGATAGTGTGTCCCACGAGCGATACTGTCCATTCGATGCACGACACTTAACCATCGATGAAACATTTGGGTCACACAAGGCAAAAGAAAGGGTTGTGTGTGAAAACAGACCATCTACAACTTCATCCTCGTGGAAAAATCCCAGGTAGGTCAGTGCACGCATAAATCGGTACAATATGTTTCTATCAATCCTACACCTCTGTGCCAGCGTTGCAATGTCACACTTTTCATTCTTTTCAATCAGATTGGCCAATCCAATCTCAACGGCTACCAATATACATTTGGTTGTACAATAACCATCAATTAAACTTCGGATTTCTTGCATTTGTTAAGTTAGCTAAAAGTAATTGTACTTATAAAATTTAATATATTTTTAAAATTAGTCACGTGGATTAAATGATATTATTATTATTATTGTTGTTGTTTTTATGGATATATATAATGGGTATATGCGTAACTAGAAATACGGATTACACGTGCATGTAGTATATATACCATCTTTTTTTCCAAAACTTGTATAGATTTACTTTTTGTAACAATGGGCGTCTAATATAATTTAAAATGTAGTTCTTTGAATTACCAATGGTGATGAAAGATATAATATCTCAAAGAGGTGGTAATAATTTAAATACTTTGAGGTTTATGGGGAGAATAGAATTTATGCACTATCCAATATTAAAAAGGAAATATATCCAACCTCGGGCAATTGACCTCTTTATAGGGTAGGGTGTTTGGAAAGGGGTGTGTTAACCGCCGACTGCCAGTCCTATAAATAAAGAAGTGACAGATAGATAGATAGATATTGGAGAGATGGCAATGACGATGGGGGGACTGGGATTAGGTGAGGAGGCAGATTCAATATAAATGGATCTATCTGTCGGTGTCAACTATTGCATATAATTTTAAAAACTATAGTATAATTTGCAAAAATTGAAATTGAAATTACAACCAATCCTTGATATTCTCTCTCTTTTCTATTCCATTTCCAAAAGGGATTCTAGATATTTATATATTTATATAAATATAAATCATTGGTGAAGTGAAATATATTTCGTTGGATATTATGATTGGTTGGATTATAAATGATATTTATATTTTTGATGATGGTGTGATATCACACCTCGCCACTCACTACTTGGTTAGTCTGTCTTTTTAAAAATAATAATAATAATAATAATAAATAATATTGAAATATCCTATCCCATATCATATCATATCATATGATATATATGAGGAGTGAAGTTGATTAAAAAATTATTAGTTTACCAACTAGAGTGTTACCAATTGGTGTAAAAGTATTGTTGTGTAGTTCTGTCGTAGTAGTGGTTATATATAAGGTTCCAATTAGTTTCCAACGAAAACTATTGGTATCTCTATCTATCTATCTATCTATCTGTCTATCTACCTACCCCATTGTACAATTATACATCTTTTCGATAAGTCTCTATTCCAAGTACTTTTAATGACGAATCGATAGATCTAAAATGACTGACCCGTCCGTACAGACCTTCCTTTTTGTAATTCACAATGGTAGAGTGAATATTAAAAGGACATCCATTGTTTAAAAAATGAATGAATGAATGAATATAATATATTATAATACATTGTTATTATTTAAAAGATAATTATTGTAAACCTAATAGATTGTTTTCTAAATAGATCTATCAACTCATTACCATAAATCTATCATTCATTCGTTTCGTTGCCTTTTGATCTCTTTAAAGTGTAATTGAATGGGATAGAGAGAGAGAGAGAGACAATAAGAATCTTATCTATCGCTACTACTACTAAGTAATGAATGAATGTTGAACCATCTTGTTAACACTTTGAATGAGCAAAATGACATAATATGAAACACAAGTACACTTTCGAGTATGGTGGGACATCTTTCTTTTTTTTTTATCCTTTTATTTCTCTTTTTCCAAAACTATTAATAGTTAGATACATATATTTCCATTACTTTTGTTGGCGTCAATTAATTAAATTTAACTATAATTCTGTGTTGTGTGAATTGGGAATGGAAAATAAAATAAAAATCTACAACTATATTGCTATTTGTGCTATTTGCTACTATTATTACTAATTTAAACTTTCTTTCTTTCTTTCTTTTTGAACACCATGAATTGGTTTTGATTTATATCAAGAAGTACCAAAAATGATTATTCTCTCTATTTTTTCTTATCTATATTTGTTTTTTTTCTTTCTTTTTTTTTCTACATTAATGTTTTCTACAACATATGATATTCTGATTCGAAATCGATTTCCTCTGATGTTTCATCTTCTTCATCAAAAGAGATGTCATCTTTTTGATAGTTGGGTGCTTTCTCTTGTATGTTGTATAATGGGAACTCACTAGATGATTCCAGTTTTTTTGATCTTTCCAAAAAATCAAGAAATGATTCTTTTGTACTGCAAAAGAATGGGATTACCAACGAAGGATCAACTTCTGATATATTTGCTTTCTTTGGTATATTACAAAAATAAGACTAAATATAGAGAAAGAAAGAGAGAGAGAATGATTATTATTATTATTTGTTTTGTTTGTTGTCTTGGTCTTTTTTTTTTTGTTTTTGTTTGTCCAACAACATACTGATAAAGAAAAATCTGAATCAGATTCAATTGAATTTTGAACTGTATGAGGATCCAAATAGAAAAGGTTATCATCTTGAGAGGCTATAAAGTAGAGTGAAGCACGAGGCTTGCCACCTACAATTCCCAAGTTTTGAGGGAACGTGTAAATATCCAAAAGAGGACGATAATATATCTCATTGATAGTGTCTATTCCCAATTTAGTTGGAATTAAAATGAGAAGAGGCATCCAACTACCATCACTCCTAAGAGCAATCTCCAACAATTGGTCTATATACAATGATCCATCATCTGAAACATATACAGATAGGTTACATTGATTATCTCCCTTTTTCTTCTTTCCTTCTTTCTCCTCATCGCTGCTATCCTCTTCACTAGTACCATTTAAATGATTATCATATTTATAAACCAATGCTCTAAATAAATAAATAAAAAAGAAAAATATTAATAATCCCTTTTGACCAAATAAATATATATCTTTCTTTTTACCTTATAGCATTTGAAATATTTGAAGGTGCAAACCATTCACCGATACTCTTTCCAAGATGATTTCGGCCATGTAAAGCAATATTATGAATTGAAAAGGGTGCAGATGGTCTATCCAAAAATAATCTTACAACCTTGTAAAAGTCTTCTGGGTATTCTCCATTTTGTGGTTTCTTCCAATCTAAATTAATAAATTAGTATTTGTCGTTGGTTGATTTGAGTTGTGTTGATGTATGTACATACCCTTTCCAATTGGACTATTTAACAACAATACATTTGCCAACAACATTTGGCCTGATCTCAACATACATCCCCATCCACAATCATTCTCGAATAAAGAGTCTCCAATACATTCAAACCCCTGTCTATAGGAGCACCAAAGTTTGTTTGAAAAGTCCTCTAAAAATTCTTCAATAAATTGATTATGATTCTGACTATTGTTATTATTATTATTATTACTATTACTATTTACACTACTATTACTATTATTATCATCATTTACAATACTATTACTATTATTACCACTACTCTCTGATGCCATTTCAGATGCATCATCCTGTTGTTCATCTTTTGGTATATCTGGTGGTTTATACTCCTTGCCATACATCCGTATTGGAGAGTTTGAGAATTGAGGTAATGAATCTATAATAATATCATAGAATAGGAATAGAACAGAATAGGGATAGGAGAGGAAGGGAAGTATTATTAGTTTCTATTGATCTATCAATATAAATAACAACTATTATGTGCGTTGGTTGGTTGGTTGTTAACTTACTTCCACTACCTCTGAATATGTATAGACAGTTCATTATAAAATTAGATAGAGATGATATGATGGAAACTAAATTCTAAGGTGTTGTCCCGACAGTCGACCAACACCACTCCTTTCCAAACTCTGCAAAGCAACAATAAACTAACCTCCAAATATAAATACTAATAATGCTTCTTCTCTCTCTCTCTCTCTCTCTCACCCAACTAACTCTATCTATCTGTTTGCAATATGATAATACTCCAACCAACCTCTATACCCAATGTTACAATTGTTGTTGTTGTTGTTGTTAATTAATCAAATCCAATCAACATATATATATATATATCTATCTGTTTTTAAATCTATCTTTTCTTCTTCTTCTTCTTTGTAGAATAAGAATATTATTATCTTTATATTTATATATTATTAGTAGTAATAGCGTAAGTAGAAGTAGTGTATGTTGTAGTGTTTGTTTTACCCATTTCTTTGGTTCTCAATTTTTTGAAAATTAATTTAAATAAATAAAATCAAATAATTTATAATTTGAATACAACTCAACACAGAGAGTGATGAAGAAGAGTAGTTAGTAGGATAACCAACTACAAACAAATATATTTTAATGAATGTGTTATCTGATCAGATATTGATAGACAACTATCTTTGCACCCTGATGATGATCATTAATCATTGCTTTATTCAAAGGATGGGATGACGGTTTGATGTGGTGGACTTTTTCACAAAGCAAGATCATCGAAAAGTTCAATTTAAAAGACATTACCTGATTCACTCATTCATTCATTTGAAATCATTCATTCATATTTATATCTATATATATATTATATTGTACATACATACATACAAGTCAAGACACCATGATGCTAACTAGGAGATTAATGATAGCACCAAGATCTATCTTGGCAAACTATAGCTCTGTAAAATATAATAATAATAATCATCATTCAACAACTTCATTTCAATATAATAATAAGAATCAACAACATAATAATATATCATACTATGCAACTAGTACTAGTACTAGTACAACAACAAAGAAAGATGGAATGTTTGAAAACTTGGACTCTAAACAATCGATGATTAAAGAGGTAGAGAACCCTTCAGAGGGAGACTTGTACAATTTGCGATTCCAAAACATCTTGCACTTTATGGAAAAGGTGTCGGCCGGTATGACAGAGGAAGAGATCAAGACGGTGTTTCCCGAGTTTACAATGAAGCAGAGCAAGGTGTTGTCGCAGCCACAACCACTCGATTGGCTGTCGGACGAGTTGCAAAGTGCCATCACGAACCGTGACTATGCCAAACTCAACCCCTACCACTACATATGGCCCGCATCATCAATCTTGACCAAACTGCGAGTACGATGGTCAACATGGCGTGAGATCATAGCATTGGATCGCTCCAAACTCGAAAAGAAACTGATTGCAGAGTTTCACAAATTCTGGTCGACCGTAGAGAACTGTGATCAGGCCAAACTCGAAGAGTATAGAAAGAACGGTACACAATTCCCAATTGAAAAGTTTAGAGACCTCTTTCACACTTTTAAAAAGGAGGGTATTGACTATGAGTTTGTCTATGAGGATGTACAAGTCATCTTTTCAGAGAACCGTGTCACTATCCCCTATGTCACTGTCAAGGCACATTATTTTGTCAAGGCGTCGTTCCGTGTACCCGGTGGTGGTGTTGGTATGGACAAGTCTATCCCCGTCAACTTTTACGTACCCATTCATTGGGGTGCTATCCTTCCCGCCTATGAGTCGCCCGAAAGCGCACCCGAAGAAATCGACTTTGACAAAGTACTCGAATGGAAACCAATGAAACTACCAATGGTCGGTAAAATCGATGAACTAGCAGCCGAGAAACGTCAACTCTTCCAAGACTACACCGAACAGTATTTTGAACAAGTTCGTTCCAATCTCGATATTTATCTTGCCAAAAAGTATGATCCCAAAACAACATCAACAACAGATCAACCACAACAACAACAAGATAAAGATAAATCATCATCTAAATCAAAAAAGTAAATAATAATATAAACAAACACATAAATAATAGTAATCAAAACAAATAGTTATACTATAGTGCAGGCCATTATTCAGTCGTGTTTTGCAAAGATGGTTTTGAAGTTTTCATTATTTCGAATTTTTTGAATTTTTTTTTTTTTGGGTTGTCTGCTGGCTCGCTGAGCAACCACAAAACCGATTCATGCTCATCTGATGACGTTTATCCTTTGATCTGTATGTGTATACATATTACCCCCTTTTATCTCTATCTCTCTATCTCTATATCTACTCACCACAAACATGATCTAACATCTTTTATACAATATATGTACTTCTTTACATTTACTACAAATTAGACTAAATATCTTTAAATCGAAAGTACCTAAAACACAAGATGTCCGGGGGAGCTAGTAAGAGAAAATCCAACTTTATGGAAAAAGCCACCAAGCTTTTCTCCACCTACAACAAGATGATCATTGCTCACGCTGATTTTGTCGGATCCAACCAACTCCAAAAGATCCGTGTTGCTCTCCGTGGCAAGGGTGCCATGTTGATGGGTAAGAAGACCCTCGTCCGTAAGTGTGTCAAGTCTGTCATGGAATCCAAGCCAGAGCTCGAATCTTTGATCCCACATCTCAAGTCCAACACTGCCGTCATCTTTGCCAAGGACTCCCTCAGTGAAATCAAGGAGATCATCAAGAAGATCCGTGTCGGTGCCCCAGCCAAGGCTGGTGTTATCGCCCCACAAGACGTCCACGTCCCAAAGGGTCCAACCGGTCTCGAACCAACCCAAGTCAACTTCTTGCAAGAGCTCAAGATCGCCACCAAGATCAACAGAGGTCAAATCGATATTGAATCTGACATCCATCTCATCAAGACTGGTCAAAAGGTCGGTGCCTCCGAAGCCACCCTCCTCCAAAAGCTCAACATCAAGCCATTCACCTACGGTCTTGAGCCATTGATCGTCTACGACGAAGGAGCCTGTTACTCCCCATCCATCTCTGAAGAGGATCTCATCACCAAGTTCAAGTCTGGTGTTGCCAACATTGCCGGTATCTCCCTCGCCATCGGATACCCAACCGTTGCCTCTGTCCCACACTCTGTCATGGACGCCTACAAGTCGCTCCTTGCTATTGCTCTCACCACCGAGATCACCTTCCCAGCTGCCGACAAGTTCAAGGCTGCTCTCTCTGCCGCCCCAGTTGCTGCCGCTCCAGTCGCTGCTGCCCCAGCCGCCGCCTCTGCCCCAGCCGCCAAGGTCAAGGAAGAACCAAAGGAAGAGTCTGATGACGATATGGGTATGGGTCTCTTTGACTAAACCAATCAAAAATGATATACATTTAAAATAAAAAGTTTAAAATAATATCAAAATCAAAAACAAACCAAGTATTTATATCTTTATTTGGGATTTACTTTTTAATTAACTTTTTAATTTACAAAACTTTGAATTTGACTTGTGTCATTTTAAAATCGCTCATCATTTTTCATTTGCATTTTGTTTGTTTGTTTGTATTATATATGTATATATAGTTGTGTATATGTATGTAATATATAAAGAATGCAAACACAAACAACATTTAGAAGATTTGGTGTTGAAGTATATATAGAAAAGAAGAAAAGGATTGGTTATGAAGATGGTTTAACTACAACAACAACAGATGGTGATGATAGTACAACTGCTACTTTAGATGGTGGTTCGAGTGATCCTCAGTCATCAGTTGAACAAGAACCTGGTACAGTGATTGTTAATACAAAAGGGTTTAGATTATCGGTGAACCCATTCTTCTTTAAGAATAGAGTTGATTTCCAACAACTGACAAGTCCAAAGGTTATATCAGCTGCCAATACAACAAATACTGCTACCTCATCGACTCCACAAACATTTATATTGACTGAAGATGCTGGTATACCTAAACCTCTCAATGATACAATATTTGATATCTTTTCAAGAGCTCAACATCTATCTTCACTACAACATGAAAACTTGTGTCAATTTATTACTGCTCAACCTTCTCAAAAACATCATGGTATGTAACTAACTATACATTCATTAAATATATTCTTTACTAATTACATTATATACATCACGTTTAGATCAAATGTTGGTAGTATCAGAGGATTATCAAAATTCTTTAAAATCTGTAATAGATAATTGTATAAAGTATGTTTGTATATATATATACAATCAAAATGATTAAAAAAGTATAGTTTTACTTATTTACATTCTTTTCAAATTGAAAGAGAGAAAAAATATATAGAATCAAATCAATTGGGATTGTATTGTTATCAAATATTAAAAGCATTAAGTTATTTACATAGTAATAGAATTACTCATCGTAATCTATCAATTGAAAATATTAAATTAAATCAAGAGGTAAATATGATCTATTACTTGTCTTGCCTTGGTTATTAACATTTCTCTTTTATTTTCTTTTAGAACCATGTTAAACTTGTAAATTATGGATTATATCATTTATCAAAAGAAGGAGAGAATGTATCATTTCCAATTGGTAATCTTTTGAATCTATCACCAGAGTCGATTCTACAAGCCGATATTATTAAAGGATCGAGTAATCCAAAATGTGATGTGTGGGCATTAGGATGTGTAATGTTGGAAGCATCACTTAAAAGTTGTTTATGGAATGATCGTGACCCATCACAATCTTTAAATAGAATATTATATATTTCAAATTTACCTTCAAATCAACAATTTAATTTTACAACTTTAAACTTTGAATCATCTTCTTCATCCTCTTCATCTATTTCATCATCATATAAATTATTACCACAAATTGAAAAAGAATTACAACAAATGGAAAATAACAATAACAATGATTCGTCGTCGTCAAATAATAATGATACAAATAGATTATTTAATATTTTTGGGATATTAGAGGAATTGGAAAAGAATCAAGATAATGGATTTGGACGTTTAGATCAAGGTTTGAGAGATGTCATCAAATATTGTTTAAATCCATCACTTTTATTTAGACCTTTTTCAAAGGATTTATTGGATCATCCCTACTTTAATTCGTTCAAGTCAAATGATCCATTCAAGTTGGAGTGGGTTGAGAAACCTTGTGTCAAATCATCTTTATTGCCAGACGACCTTTTTTCAACACTCGAGAGCGAACAATCTCTGGAAAAGAGACAAGAAGAGTTTGTAATAGAGAGAGAACACTACGATATTTATTCACCGCTAGAGATATTCTATCTTTGGAAGTTGTCAGGTGGCGATTTGGACAAGGAGTTGGTGACACAGGGTCTAGCGACACCGTCACCGTCGGTGCATAAGCTGCCTCTATTCGTGCCACTACTCAACACGACGATATCAGGTGACAATGTACAAGAGATGATGAGGTTGGACAAGGAGAGTAATGGTCTCGTTGCAACCAACCAGCGTGCCGGTGTGAATGGCATCATTCACTCACGTACGACAAGTGTATTGTATAACTCGGACAGTTGTTCCATCTCGATTGACGGACTGGTTCCGCGCTTTAAAAAGGCGTATCAGACGAGTGACTGGTTATTGCGTGCCGAGCAGGCAGCTGGTGTCGAGTCGGGTTACTTGTTTTCGGGTACGATCAAGACAAAGAAACGCAGAAAACTCGAGAGCAACATAGAGTACCAGATCGTCAGATTGCGAGAGTTTCACAGCAGTTTGTACAAGTACCAGTATGGTGACCCGACACAGGCACAGCCGCTGATTGTGCGTCTTGCCAAGTTTGGCATCCCGAGTATATTGCGTGGCGACATTTGGGCGGCGATCCTAGGTGTCAACGACGCCGAGACAAATGCCGTCTTTAGAGCAATCAATCTCGATCAAAAAGGTCCGAATGACAAGCAGTTTGAGGTGGATATTCCGCGTTGCCACCAGTACCATCCGCTGCTGTCGAGCAAGAGTGGTCACCACCAATTGTTCCGTGTGCTCAAGGGGTGGTCGCTCCTCAATATCGATCGTGGGTGTTATTGGCAGGGTATGGATAATGTGGCGTCACCATTTGTCGTGCATAACTTTAGAAATGATGCGCGTGCATTTGGCTGTCTAAAGTCGTTTGTTGACAAGTACCTCAAGATCCTGTACGTGCCCAATAACTTTGTTGCGCTCAATGAAATGATGCTTATCTACCAGCAGTTGTTGTCATACCATGATCCAGAGCTATCTGTGCATTTGCACAATGTACAGCTTGAACCCAACCTCTACGCCATCCCCTGGTTCATCACGGTGTTTTCTCATTTGTTGCCAATCGATAAGATCGATGCTCTGTGGGACACTATCCTACTCGGTCCATCTTCGTTGCCATACTTTTTCGCTGTCTCGATCATGACACAATTCCGGTCGATTCTGATTGGTGGTAATTTAGAGACATGTATCAAGTCATTATCACGTATCCCCGCCTGCGACATTGACCGCTGTGTTGACGACGCACTCGATCGATTCAACAACACACCTCTCTCAACCACCATCACAAAGTATGTAGCTGGTGCAGACTCTGATCTGTGGTGGATGCAAGAGGTGCAATTGGACGATCGAAAAAACGAGATGTTTCCACGTATCAATATCCACGATCTCATCAACATGCACAGTGATCATTTAGCAGCTGCTGAAGCTGCCAAAGCAGAAGATAAAAACAAAAAGAATAATAATAATAAGAATAATATGACAACAGCAGAAAAGAATAAGAATAAGAATAATAATAGTATAAAGAAGACTGTTAAAGTATTGGATATTAGACCAGCACAACAATTCCAACAATGTCATTTCCCACAATCGATCAATATCAACATTTCAATTGTTTTACAACCACAAGCTTCATCCAACAAGACAAAGATACTACAACAATTGGAGCAGTGTAAGGGTAGTCCCATCGTAGTCATCTCTGCCAAAACACAAAAGGATGAAGAATTAGAGTTTTGTAATACATTGGTCAAGAACAAGTTCCCATATGTCACCTTGTTGAATGGTGGTATCGATGCTCTTGAACATGGTGCTCAATCTATTTTAATCATTACTAGTCTTCCTCCATCTTCCAATAACAACAACAACAGCAATAATAATACCAATAGTCGTAGTGATCGATCTGATGATCGTAGTCTAAGTGATAGAAGTTTTAGAGGTGATTAAAAATAAATAAATAAACAATAATAATAATAATAATTTTTTATTAAATTGAAGTTGAAGTTGAAGTAGAAGTTGATGATGTAGAAGTTGAAGCAGTTGATACAGTTTGTTGTAAAACAAGACTCTTTCTTTTTGATTCAGGTCGCATGAAACCTAATCTTACAAATTGGTGTCTCCAAATCTCCAAAAACTTTGAGTTTAGTGAATACAAGAGACAAAGTAATCCATAAATGTAAACAGAGAATACAAAGAATCCATAGTTTCCTAGAGACGGGCCTTGAGTGACAACACAATCATCTGGATTACTACCATTCTTTTCAGCGTACAAGATACAATTAAAGTATTCAACCAATGCATCAGACTCTGGTGGAGTAGTTTCAAATTTCATCACTCTATTATTAATTAAATTGTATAAAAAGATGGCATAGAATACTAAATTATAGTAAAGTGGTGCTGCTTGAGAATAAACTACTTTTCTAATTATACTTTCTTGTACATTTGCTTGTTTTGTTAACTAAATAAATAATATATAAAATATTAAATATTATATAAACTATTTTAGATTATATTTGTTTTACAAAATTATACATACTTTTACAATACCATAAATAGTCCAAACAATCATAATAGTTGCCAATCCAATACAAACTCCTATTGGTCCCCAAAATAATCCATCAACTACTCCATCAACTGATGGCCAACATCTATAGATTAAGAAAATAAAAAGATAGAGGAGAAATAATAAAAAAGAAAGAAAAAAGGAACATAAATGATAAAAATACATACATAACATTATCATTTTGAGAAATATATATTTACCTTTAACTGTAATAATTACAGTCATTATAATTGTTAAAATAGTTGATCCAATTACAAAATGTAATATTTTTAGTTGTCTAACTATAAAAATTAAATAAATATATGTTTGATTGAAATATTAATATAATATGAATAATATATATATATATATTTCTAGAATGAATTACAAACTTTTCATTAATACACATAAAAGATCAAATAATAAAAATAACCACCAGAATACAGTGTTGATGGTAAAGGCATAATATATTATACCAGATGCCATACAAGTTGGATCGTGATAAGTTGCATATCTACCAGGTTCAGGACACATGTTTTCTCTTGACCCACCACCAAATGTTATGAGGACACCAGCTAGAGACCTAAGAAAAATACTGTTAAATTGACCACAGAGAATTGTTTCATAGTTTGTTCGATTTGGATTTAAAATACCATAAGTAATGAGCATGAATAGACTAGCCAAGGCTGATATAACAGAAACAGAGTCTAATAGATTGTAAAATGTGGTCCACTGACTTTGTTTAAATATAGGTCCTGGGCATCCAATGAGACAATCTGATATGTTGGTTATATAGGCATAACCTCGATTAAGATCATCACTTCTACTAGTAAGAGATGAGTTTCTGTAGACTAGAGGGTGTGGACAAAATGTATTTAAATTGTCAACTGGTGGCAAATCAATATTGAGTGATGGGTCTGTAGAGTCATAACACTCAAGTTGAAAGGATGAAATACCACCAAATTCTATCAAGTTATAGTTGGATACAGAGTTATTAGGTGGGTAGGTTGGCAACGTAGACGTCTGATTCAAATTTTGAGCACAATCATAATAAGTTGAAGCACCACACATATTTATACTTTGTTGACAACTTTCTCTACATGTTCTTTTTGGGATTGATATTGAATACATGGAGAAAAAAACTAATCAATAAAATAAAAAATAAAAAGTTAATAATATAATTATTTTTTCGATGTGTTTGTACATACAAATGAACAAAGAGTTCTAAATGATTCTTGAGTTTTACAAGAATCACCTCCAATGGTTGATAGGATGTCATAATAGTATGAGGCATTTTGAAGCATTTCTTGTTGATTGCTGGTTGATGGTACATAGACTGATCTGTTGTAATGGGTGATATAGGGTGCACAAATGGTTAGGCCTACCAGATCGCCTATATACACTTGACATTGTGCACCTGGGTCTACTGAATAATCATAAAATGGTTGACTTTGAATCAAAGGAATGATTGATACAATTAAAATAAAAAGGAGGGATATCGTAGGTGGTGGAGGTACCATCTCTCTCTCTCTCTCTCGGTCTTCTCTTTTTATTTTTTTTTCGATACAAGGTTGGAGGTTGATGTGATGAATGATTGGATTACATTTCCACAAAGCTTGTAATAGCTTCTTCCAAAGCAGTACTGCAAAAAAATAAAAATAAACAAGATATTTGAGGTGGATCGAAAAAAGGTGCCAGCATTGCATCAGGCAACCTCCTCTTGGATATTGGCCAACAAGATATCTTGTTTCATGCAGGTGAAACTATGGCACTTTGAGATGAGAGAGCAAAACAGCGGTCTCTTGATAATAATGTCGCAACTCGGCCTGGTGCATGACCATTGTGCCATAGTTTGGATAGCATTGTTGCCTTCTTTGGACAAGACCTGTCTTATCAATAAATGAAACACTATTAACACAGTTTATATATTTCTTCTCTATATATGTATGATTACTTATATCTTTGAATCGATGATGAACTTCATCAACACACTCCAAGAGTTTTTTAGTTTAATTTATTTTATTTTTTCAAGATAAAAAGTAATTAGTAAATTATTTCTTTTTTAATCACAGTACTTAAATGACACCACTCTCTGAACTTCAACTTGAAGATGCACCAACAGTTAAAAGATTCTATGGTATTCTAGAGATGGTATCATCCCCACTTGCCAGACCACTTTGCTTCACACTTCGATCAAATGGTAACACTAGAATAACAACTCAAGACCCTTCATCCATAGAATGTATACGACAACGAGCCGATCAAGTCATACTAGACATTACTTATAAACTATGTAATTTGGAGCGTAATACTGCTGCTCCAGATGATGATGATGATCTTGTATGTATTATATTGTATATATTGAGAGTTGAATCACAGTTGTAGTTGGAATTAAGAGTTGATACTTATACTCTTGATTGTTTATATTATAGATATACGATAAAGATAATACTCATCCTTCAACAGCATTGATTCAATTACTTTTGATCAAATCGCCTAATGGTACTGATAATGACAAGTGTCTGTTTCATCATCTATCATATGAAACAAAGAAACATATGCACCAACTTGTACTCAATCATATCAAACAATTAAAGAAATTTGTAAACTATGAAATGGGTTTAATTCAATTAATGCTATCAAACCATTGTATGTTTATATAAATATTATGATGATAGATATCATTTGATTACATTGATAGACTAACTGACCTTTTACAAAGCAGATAATAATGATGAAGATATTTATTTATTTATTATTCAAACATTTAAATGGTTCAATGTTTGGTTTAATGAAAAGAGGGTCAATGATTGGAACAACAATGAACAATCTTTATATGGCCCATTGATTCTAATCATTTTACATGGTATCTTAAAAATGAATCATTATGATGCACACATTAGAGATAAATATTCGAATGTGATATACAATACTCTGGATACTGTATTTCGTGCATATAACCATCGCCATATATCCACAAGTGTTTGTAAGGACAAACCTATTTATATGTTTGTATTGGTGCTCAAACAATATAGTTTTCAAGATCATAGAGGTAAAGATTTAAAAAGGTCGATTTTACAGACCGCATCCCGTAGACTTTCATTGAGTGAATGGGATAGTCCGACTGGCTGTGAAATTTTCAAGGAGTATATTAAAATGATATTCTTGGATGCCCACAATGATGATTATTTCATACCACCACAACTACCTAGTGACCATATGAATGTGAAAAAATGGAAAAAGGATCCTCAAGAAAGAGAAATCATTACCAATCAAATTCGGTCATTTACAGTGACTCACCATCAACAAGTATTATCCATTCTATTCGAACATTTCAAGCAATACCTAACACAAACATCATGGAAGGATAAATTAATAGTTCTCAAATTATTAAATATGTTTAATTACAATAATATGGATTATAAAAAAGGAGAGGATTGTAAATGGAAAACATATTTTAGTATTGATTTTTTAAAAACGTATGAATATAATGTAAATCAATCAATATAAAAGACGATGATCATATTTCTAACAAACCACTGTTATTATTATCATTTTTAAAATTTAGAGTTATATCAGAAACATTAAAAGAGGATAATGTACTTGTTCAATGTGAATTGGTCGAATTTATTAAACAATTCTGTTCGATCCCTTACTATCTTGATATGATTGTCGATAGTATAGAGTTTAGAGATATTATCAAAGAAGCTTTTAATCACATCATCATCAATCAAGCTTCCCCATATCCTCGTTTGTTATACTTTCTCATCAAGGCTTGCGATCCTTGTAATTATCGTTTGGGACAACAGATTAAACGAATATTTAAAACTGAACCATTTTGGCAAGAATATATTGTCAATCTTGTTTTAAAGTCGGTTCAATCAAATCACAAGGTTGTGATCAATGATGCTCTAAGCTTCATTACAGAATATCCCATTCCCCAGTTTACAGTAGGTTATATATTATATCAACCAACATTGACACCTCCCCATTCTATTTATTAATCATCAATACAATATTCTATTCTATTTATTTTTTTAGAGTTTAAAAGCATTATCAACAACAATCATTACATTATTGGATCGTTTTAAAAATGATAAAGACATTTTAGATCATGTAATTAGATTTTTTAATCATACTCACCGACTTGGGCTCAAAGAGATCAATCAATTAATTCAACGAATATTATTTTCAAAACAACAACAATATCAACCAGATCAAATCAATCGATTTGTGAATGTATATCTTATTGAATGGATATGTAGAGTTGAAAAGAAATTTTCAATCTATTTACCATCAGTCATGAAAAGAATAATAATTGATCAACCAATCACAATCGATTTTTGGATAGACGGTCTTTTAAGCTTGTACCAACAATCAAGTAAAGTAACAAACAGATACATTCAACATTTAATTACACCTATTATCCAACTGTACACCAACACACCAACAACATATGACAAAAAAATAACAATGATTGCACAGTTATTGAATATCCTATTCAAAAGAACAGTGGAATACAAAGGAATACATCACCAAGGATGCACACAATTCCTTCAACAACTATTCGATACTTATACAGGACCACCACAATTCAGAACCCACTTGGGAGTGATTACTGAAATGGTCCAACAAATTATAGATGCAGGAGGAAACATTACAACCGATCAAATATCGCAAATCATCGATTTGATCGTACAAACAGCGAACCAAAAGGATCGTGATTACTATTCAGAGATTGGCCAGTTGATAAAGATATTAGTTTCAATGGACGATCAATGGAACACCATTGCAATGATATCATCCCGTGTGATTGATATGGTTGTAGATTGGATCAATCAAAATATGGAGCTAGGGAACGAATCATTTCATTCAGCTGCTGAGTTGGTCGTAGATTTCTATGATCAAATCAATATTATACCACCAAGCATAACAATATCACCAACAACAGAAAAGATATCATATTCTGAATGGATTGATAGATTGATATTGGTGTTTCATAGTTATTACCATAGAGATATCATCAAGAAATTAAAACAATTAAAAAAAAAGAAAATAAATTAAAAGAGAAAATAAAGTAATTAATTAACTGTACCAGTTATACCGGTAATTAGATATTTTTATTTATCATTTGTTTGTTTTCACCAGTGAATCAATCTTTGGTAATATTTATTTATTTATTTATTTTTATTAATTTTTCTTTTATTTGTTTTAATTCCTTGGTGAGATCTCTTGGGCTATAACTCGTGTTCTTTTCAAGTGCCACCATCAATCTATCAATCCATTCAGAATATGATATCTCCTCTGTTGGTGACATTGTAATGCTTAATGGAAAAATATTTAGTTCATCATAGAAATCAATGACCAACTCGACTTTTGAAGGCAGTCGCTTTTTGTTGATCCCATATTTTGATTGATCCAATCGATAACCCTATCAATCACATGGAATGATATCATTTCAATTGTGTTCCATTGGTCGTCCATTGAAACTAGTGTCTTTACCAAAATGTCAATCTCTGGTAATTCATCCCAGCTCCTGCGAAATTCAAGATATGTGCTAATAGTATAATGTTGTGCTTGTACTATCAAATCGATGATTTGTAATATTTGATCGGTTGTAATGTTTCCTCGTCTAAGTATTATTTGTTCGACCATTTTAGTGGCCGCAGCCAAATGGTATCTGAGAAGCTCTAGTACATCTGGATCAGTTCGAGATAGATCATAGGGTATTGCTTCAGCCAATGAATCGAGTATTTGTTGAAATAGTAGAGTAGATTCTTGGTGGTGTATTCCTTTGTATTCAACTGTTCTTGTGAATAGGAGGCTCAATAATTTTGAGGCCTTTGCCTTTTCTGTTGTGTGGGTATATGTTGTTGGGCTGGCGTGTAGTTGGATCATGGGTGTGATTAAATGTTGAATGTATTGATTTGTTGTTTTATGTGGTTGTTTGTACATTTTTACAAGACTGTCGATACAAAAATATCTATCGATTGGTTGATCAAGAAGTAATATTTTCATGGCTGATGGTAAATAGATTGACAAGTTATTTACTGATTTACCTATCCACTGAATAAGATATACACTCACAAAGTTATCGATTTGATCTGGTTGATATTGTTTTGAAAATAATATTCGTTGAACTAATTGATTGATCTCTTTGAATCCAAGTTGAACGATAATACGATCAAAAAATTCAAGGACATGCTCTAAAATATTATCGTCATTTTGAAAACGATCCAATAACCCAATGATCGCTGTTGATAATGCTTTTAAACTCTAAATTAAAATAAATAAAATATTGATGATTAATAAATAGAAATAAAGGGGAACCACTTCACTTATATTGTACCTACTGTAAATTGAGGAATGTGATGGTATGTGAATGTGTATACAAAAGATATAGCAGAATCTATAACCTCCCAATGATTTGATTGAACCGACTTTAGAGTGAGGTTGACAATACATTCTTGCCAAAGAAGCTCTGTAGGAAATAATTTTTTCAACATTTCGGATGCAAATTGATTGTGATTACGACGATCTTCACAGACCTTGATTAGAGAGGATAATAAACGAGGATATGGGGAAGCTTGATTGATGATGTGATTAAAAACCTCTTTGATGATATCTGGAAACTCTATATTATTGACAAACATTTTAATGTAGTAGGGCATATTACAGAATTGGTAAATAAATTCCAATAATTCACATTGAACAAGTTCATTATCCTCTTTTAAAGATTCTGATATAACTCTATTTTTAAAATAATAATAATTATTGTTGTTAGAATAGATCAGTCTGTATATTCGTTGATTTACATACGTTTTGAGAAGATCAATACTAAAATATGTTTTCCAATCCTTATATACGTGATCAAACATATTTAATAATTTGAGAACTATTAATTTATCCTTCCATGATGTTTGTGTTAGGCATCGGTTGAAATGTTCAAATAGAATAGATAATACTTGATGCTGAGTCGCTTTAAAAGATCGAATTTTCTTGGCGATTATTGGCTTTTCATACTCGATGTCACTATACTCTTCCGAGTCAAAGACATTGTCGTAAAAGAGTGGGTTATTCCAGTCTTCCGCATCCATATAGTCATTGGGTTGTTGTGGTATGAAATAACCATCATTGTGAGCATCCAAGAATATCGTTTTAATATACTCTTTAAAAAGTCACAAGAAATTTGATTGGTCCATTCAGTATCGGAAAGTTCAAGGAATACTGTCTGTGAAATCATCCTTTTTAATTCTTTACCTCTTTGATCTTGAAAACTATACTCTTTGAGCACCAATAAAAACATATAAACGGGTTTGTCTCTACAAACACTTTTGGATATATTGGGGTCCTTATAGACACCAAATATAGTATCCAAAGTATCATATATGACATCCAAATATTTGTCTCTAATGTGTGCATCATAGTTATTCATTCTAATAATACCATCTAAAATGAATGGAATCATTGCACCGTAATTCCTTTTTTCATCAAACAAAGTATTAAACCAATTAAATGTTTGAATAATAAATAAATAAATATCTTCATCATTATCTGTTGTTAGAAGAGGTCAGTCAATATTTTTGTCAAATCAATGATACATCATCATATTTATATAAACATACATTGGTTTGATAGCATTAATTGAATTAATTCCATTTCGTGGTGAACAAACTCCTTTAATTGTTTGATATGCTCGAGTATGATTTCATGCATATGTTTCTTTGTTTCATATGATAGATGATGAAACAGACACTTGTCATTCTCAGTGCCATCGGGTAATTGAATAAATAGCAAATAAATCAATGCTAGTGAAGGATGTAGGCTTTGCTTTTGATCGTATATCTGTAAATAAACAAACAAGGTGTATGAGTATACATAATAATAATAATGAATAATTTGCAATACATACGAGATCATCACCATCATCTGAAGCAATATTACACTCCAAATTGCATACTCTATAAACAATGTCGAGTATGACTTGATCGGCTCGTTGTTGCAGATGCTTCATAACTGAGAGGTCTCGACAAGATAATGTCACATTGGTATTCGATCCAAGTGAGAAGACGAATGGCCCATTTAACAACTTCTGTATAGAATCAGTAAATTCAACAGTCTTTGATTCAAGGAGTTCATTAGAAGATGCTGTCATGTTTTGAACAAGTTGTGTGAATAGTGGAGTAAGAGACACCCAAATGGATTAACTTTTTGAACATCCATATTCCCGCTCATTTTCATCATGTATTCCACACCTTTTTTAAGCTTTTGAACGTTCATCTTAAATATTTAATGACAAACAAAGAAGAGTTATTTAGAAAGATCATTGGATCAGTGACACTAAGAACGACGATATTCAATCATGTGAGAGAGATTAGAAAGATACCAACAACATTCTAATCGTCGAACTTGGTCAACTCAATGAAGATCACCAATTCATCATAAGAAAGTATGCATTGTGGTATCCACTTTTTTTTAACAACCATACAAGACCACATACATTAACGTTGGGTGCATTGGATACAATCAATAGTTTGTTACAAAACTCTGTATCCAAGTTGGTCAAACGTTCAATACAACTCATGTCTTTGGGGAATGCTTGCCGAATTACCTATCCACCCAACAAGATATACATTCACAAATCGATTGATTTGATATTGTTGTTGTTGTTTTGAAAATAATATTCGTTGAATATCTTTTTGAAAAATTAAATTAATTTAAAAAAAAAAAAAAGGTTTCTGTAAAATAGTAGGATATTCGAACTTGTGAAGAAAATCCGTTATTATCTAGTCATACAGAATGTAATACATTCTATGTGGGCATGTAAAGAATCGAGATAGTGTTTGGAGTGGGTTGCGACAGATTGTAGAATCTGTTGAACACGTCCCAAGACGTCCATCTGCCTAGTTTCATAACGTGTGGTACTGGAACGCCTGCTCTGACCAGTGCAGATGCTGCAGCGTGACGAATCGAATGGGCTTTAAAGATTGAAGTGTCGACACCAGCTTTGCTCATCACGTCGAGAGAGATGCTTGATATCCTTTGTGATGACAATTGGCACCATAGACCGGTGGCATTCTTGTATGCAAGTAAGAATTTGGAAGAGTTATGACCAAGATTGTTGTTGGATAGATTCAGGTACGATCTTAGACAGTTTACAGGGCACAGGGATGTGTCGTCGAGGCAATATAATAGGATATTGACAATCTTTCCTCTAGACTTTAGATTTGGCAAGTTGTATTTGTAATGCGTGACCGGACGTGGTGTAAATGGTGTTCAAGGATGACGGAGTGAGCATCTCTGCCAGATCGTCAGAACGAGCGGCAAGAGAGATCTTCAACAGGACGATCAGCTTTGCACGTAGGGTTGGAAGGTCCAGATGCTCGTTGGAGGGATGGGTAGTCTTTATCCAGTCTGTTAGCACTTTTACGTCGTATATTGTCGAGTACTTGGCCGACGAGAGATTGGCATTTGGGTTCCTGCCGGACAGCAGGTTGGTAATAGGAGCAGGTTCCTCGATTGGTCTTCCACAGAGTTTGAATGTGGCACGAATCACGTTCCAAAAGCTCTTTACAATGTTCATCCTTCAATAGCATTAACAATTACTATTTATTCAATTACCCGATGGTACTGATAACGACAAGTGTCTGTTTCATCATCTATCATATGAAACAAAGAAACATATGCATGAACTCTTGCTCAATCATATCAAACAATCAAAGGAGGAGTTTGTTCACCACGAAATGGAATTAATTCAATTAATGCTATCAAACCAATGTATGTTTATATAAATATTATGATGGATATCATTGATTACACTAGACAATAGACTGATCAATCTCTATTATTATTATCATAACAACAATAGATAATAATGATGAAGATATTTATTTATACATTTAATTCGTTTAATAATTAAAAGTTGGTCACAAACCAATATGGCCCATTGATTCTAATCATGATACATGGTATACTAAAATTGAATCACAAAATTATTGAGCATCCTATACACAAGAACAGTGGAATACAAAGGAATACATCATCAAGAATGCGCTCAACTATTTCAAAAACTACTCGATACTTTTACTGCACCACCACCCTCTGATCTATCTCTAGCTGGTTACGCTTTAATAGCGCTTCTCCAAACTTACTTGGTTGCCTTCACTGAAATAGTTCAACAAATAATAGTTACAAAAGGAAACATTACAACCCATCAAATATTACAAGAGAGAAATAATCATTAAATTACAACAAATAAATTAAAAGAGAAAATAAATTAAATAATTATCATGAATAGACTTATAAATTATAATTTGGTAAGTTTGTTTTCACCAGTGAATCAATCTTTGGTGATCAACTTTAATATTTATTTATTTATTTTTATTTATTTTTTCTTTTATTTGTTTTAATTCCTTGGTGAGTCTCGTGTTCTTTTCAAGTGCCACCATCAATCTATCAATCCATTCAGAATATGATATCTCCTCTGTTGGTGATATTGTAATGCTTGGTGGAACAATATTTAGTTGATCATAGAAATCAATGACCAACTCGACTTTTGAAGACAAGTCACTTTTTGTTGATCCCATATTTTGATTGATCCAATCGACAACCATATCAATCACACTGGATGCTATCATTTCAATTGTGTTCCATTGGTCGTCCATTGAAACTAGTATCTTTACCAAAATGTCAATCTCTGGCAATTCATCCCAGCTCCTGCGAAATTCACTATATGTGTTAATAGTATAATGTTGTGCTTGTACTATCAAATCGATGATTTGTAATATTTGATCGGTTGTAATGTTTCCTTCTCTAAGTATTATTTGTTTGACCATTTTAGTGGCTGCAGCCAAATGGTATCTGAGAAGCTCTAGTGCATCTGGATCAGTTCGAGATAGATCAGAGGGCATTGCTTCAGCCAATGAATCGAGTATTTGTTGAAATAGTAGAGTAGATTCTTGGTGGTGTATTCCTTTGTATTCCGCTGTTCTTGTGTATAGGATGCTCAATAATTGTGAGGCCTTTGCCTTTTCTGTTGTGTTGGAATATGTTGTTGGACTGGCGTGTAGTTGGAACATGGGTGTGATTAAATGTTGAATGTATCTGTTTGTTGTTTTATGTGGTTGTTTGTACATGATTACAAGACGGTCGATACTATATCTATCGATTGGTTGATGAAGAAGTATTATTTTCATGGCTGATGGTAAATAGATTGACAAGTTATTTACTGATTTACCTATCCACTGAATAAGATACCTTCTCACAAATGTATTGATTTGATTTTGTTTATATTGTTTTGAAAATAATATTCGTTGAACTAATTGATTGATCTCTTTGGGTCCAAGCCGAACGATAATACGACCAAACAATTCAATTACATGCTCTAAAATTTTATCGTCATTTTGAAAACGATCCAATAACCCAATGATCGCTGTTGATAATGCTTTTAAACTCTAAATTAAAATAAATAGAATATTGATGATTAATAAATAGAAATAAAGGGGAACCACTTCACTTATATTGTACCTACTGTAAATTGAGGAATGTGATGGTATGTGAATGTGTATACAAAAGATATAGCAGAATCTATAACCTCCCTATGATTTGATTGAACCGACTTTAGAGCGAGGTTGACAATACATTCTTGCCAAAGAGGCTCTGTAGGAAATAATTTTTTCAACATTAGGGATGCAAATTGATTCTTATTATGACAATCTTGATCACAGACCTTGATTAGAGAGGATAATAAACGAGAATATGGGGGAGCTTGATTGATGATGTGATTAAAAACATCATTGATGATATCTCGAAACTCTATACTATTGATAAGCATATCAATATAGTAAGGCATATTACAGAATTGGTAAATAAATTCCAATAATTCACATTGAACAAGTTCATTATCCTCTTTTAAAGATTCTGATATAACTCTATTTTTAAAATAATAATAATAATTGTTGTGGTTAGAATAGATCGGTCTGTATATTCGTTGATTTACATACGTTTTGAGAAGATCAATACTAAAATATGTTTTCCATTCAATACTCTTGTGATTAAACATATTCCATAATTTGAGAACTATTAATTTATCCTTCCCTGATGTTTGTGTTAGGCATCGGTTGAAATGTTCGAATAGAATAGATAATACTTGATGCTGAGTCGCTTTAAAAGATTGAATTTTCTTGGCAAGCATTGGCTTTTCATACTTGATGTCACTATACTTTTTCGAGTCAAAGACATTGGCGTAAAAGAGTGGGTTATTCCAGTCTTCCGCATCCATATAGTCATTGGGTTGTTGTGGTACGAAATAACCATCATTGTGAGCATCCAAGAATATCGTTTTAATATACTCTTTTAAAAAGTCACAAGAAATTTGATTGGTCCATTCAGTATCGGAAAGTTCAAGGAATACTGTTTGTGAAATCATCCTTTTTAATTCTTTACCTCTTTGATCTTGAAAACTATACTCTTTGAGCACCAATAAAAACATATAAACGGGTTTGTCTCTACAAACACTTTTGGATATATTGGGGTCCTTATAGACACCAAATATAGTATCCAAAGTATCATATATGACATCCAAATATTTGTCTCTAATGTGTGCATCATAGTTATTCATTCTAATAATACCATCTAAAATGAATGGAATCATTGCGCCGTAATTCCTTTTTTCATCAAACAAAGTATTAAACCAATTAAATGTTTGAATAATAAATAAATAAATATCTTCATCATTATTATCTGTTGTTAGAAGAGGTCAGTCAATCTTTTTGTCCAATCAATGATACATCATCATATTTATATAAACATACATTGGTTTGATAGCATTAATTGAATTAATTCCTTCTCGTGGTGAATAAACTCCTTTGATTGTTTGATATGATTGAGTAAGAGTTCATGCATATGTTTCTTTGTTTCATATGATAGATGATGAAACAGACACTTGTCATTCTCAGTGCCATCGGGTAATTGAATAAATAGCAAATAAATCAATGCTAGTGAAGGATGTGGGCTTTGCTTTTGATCATATATCTGTAAATAAACAAGGTGTATGAGCATACATAATAATAATAAAGGATAATCAATACTTTGCAATACATACGAGATCATCATCATCATCTGAAGCAATATTATACTCCAAATTGCATACTCTATAAGCAATGTCGAGTATGACTTGATCGGCTCGTTGTTGCAGATCCTTCATAACTGAGAGGTCTCGACAAGATAATGTCACATTGGTATTAGATCCAAGTGAGAAGATTAATGGCCCATTTAACAACTTCTGGTGTAAATCAGTAAATCTAACAGTCCTTGATTCAAGGAGTCCGTTAGAAGATGCTGTCATGTTTTGAACAAGTTGTTGTGCTCCTGAATAGTGGAGTATGATCCCCAAAAAGAATTAACTTTTTGAGCATCCATTTTCTCTCTTATTTTGATGATCATCAAAATAATTAATAATTAATTTATTTAATTTTTAGAATGAAATATCATAAATAGAATTATAAATTATAATTTGGTTGTTTGTTTTCAAGAAAAGAAATTGAGAATGAAAATACATTTAAATGTTCTAATTAATCAAAGTTAATTTTATTTTATAAATATTTATTTATCATAATGTATTATTTTTATAAAATAAAAATAGGAGGGGCGCACTGATCTAGATGATTTCTATTTCACCAATCATCTTCACTATCTTCTTCTTCTTCTTCTTCTTCTTGTTCGTAATCATCGTCACTATTATCATCATCTTCGTCACTGTCGTTGCTTTCAAAGTCTGACATCTCGTCAAGTTCCTTTGGATCTCCAAATTCTTTGAATGCTTGTACTGGAGTTTTGAACCAAACATCATGATACCCGTCATTTTCGCACATACATTCATACCATTCAGATATTTGAAATAGATTAGCCTTACTGTATTGTGATGCATCGACATCTCCATCATCTTCATACATTTTAAAAATCATATTCTTTGATTTCAATTGTTTGATTTCATTCATAATCTCTGGTAATAGTAGTTGGAGTAGTCGGATTAATAGTTGTTAATAGTTGTAAATAATAACTATCTTTTATACTATACATACTCTTTTGAATTAGATTTTTTTTATCCAAACATGTTTGAATATCGACAGCCAACATTTTGGCTATTTTACAAAGATTCTCGATTGGAAGTTCGCCCACCAACTCTCCAAAGTCTGGTCGGGTGTTGTCATCATCATCGTCGTCGTTGTCGTCGTCGTCGTCGTTTTCTTCATCTTCGTCCTTTGGATTGTTAATGCTATCAATAGCTTCATTAAGATCCTCAGTGTATAGCTGATCGGTCTCTTTGATTTTCTCCAACAACTTTATTGAATCTTGACCAAGAGTAGCAGAGGCTTGTGGAGGCTCTAATTCATCTCTAAAAAAGAACCCAAAAGTAGAGTTATCTGCTTTTAATATTTCCTTGACTTCTTGAGAGCTGATTGGGATCTTGGTAGTTGACTTACCAGTCTTCTATAGAGTTTCAAAGAGATTACAGTGTTAATCAATTGTTGTTATTTACAAAGATCGATATCATCATACACGATGATGTCCTGTTTAATACATACTCTTTCTTTCTTTGTCCTGGCAATTGTATTTGTGATCATATTAAGTATGTACTCTATGATCTGATGGAGAAAGACGACAGTTGTTGTGTATAGATTGGTACTACCGGCAGCAGACTTGAACATCTCGATAATATGTGATACTCGGTACACATAGAATACGCTAGGTTCTTCATTGTAGTATTTATCTACAGCTTCACAAGCATCCTCCACACAATAACCGGCTGCTTCTTGATCAGTATAGAGCTCCATTATACTCAAGGCAATGTGTCTGCATCGAAGTCCTCCACCACCAGAACCAGAAGCAGAAGCACCATCATTTGCATTCTCCAAAGACATGAGTTGTATTGAACGTTTGACCAACTTGGATACAGAGTTTTGTAGCAAACCAGTGATTGTATCCAATGCACCCAACGTAAATGTATGTGGTCTTGTATGGTTAAAAAAAAGTGGATACCACAATGCATACTTTCTTATGATGAATTGGTGATCTTCAATGATTCGACCAAGTTCGACGGTGTACTTTGTTCCTGGTATCTTGTACAATGTTGCATCCAACATTCTAATCTCTCTCACATGATTGAATATCGTTGTTCTTAGTGTCACTGATCCAATGATCTTTTTAAATAACTCTTCTTTGTTTATCATTCTAAAATGAATTGATAAATGAAAAGAAATAATTATTAAAAAAAAGTGAGGGAAAGCAACGTAGCTTCAGCCATCGTTAAAGCATGTTCTAATAATTAAAAATGTTTTGGTTTTTTCGACATTTTTAACATTTTTTTTCGGGATGATTATGAACCTCGACTTGAAAATACTTTAACATTTAAAAGATTCTATGGTATTCTCGAGAAGCTATCATCCCCACTTGCCAGACCTCTTTGCTTCAGACTTCGATCAAATGGCAATACTAGAATATCAACTCAAGAGGCTACATCGATGGAATGTATACGACGACGATCCGATCAAGTAATATTAGACATTACTTATAAACTATGTAATATAAAGTGTAATACTCAAGATGATGATGATCTCGTAAGTATTGTCAAGTTGTTGGATATAAATTGAAAATAGTAGTTGATAATATTAGACCTAACACCACCCATGTTTATATTTATAGATATACGATAAAGATAATATTCATCATGTAACAGGATTGATTCAATTACTTTTGATCAAATCGCCTAATGGTACTGATAATGACAAGTGTCTGTTTCCTCAACTATCATATGAAACAAAGAAACATATGCATGAACTCTTACTCAATCATTTCAAACAATTAAGGAGGTTTAATAATCACGAAATGGAATTAATTCAATTAATGCTATCTAATCACTGTATGTATGTTAATATAATATGATATTATTAAACAAATAGACTGACCTTAAATGATAATAATAATAATAATAATAATAACAGATAATAATGATAAAGATATTTATTTATTTATCATTCAAACATTTAATTGGTTCAATGTTTGGTTGAGCAAAAAAGTTAAGTATCGGAACAAAGACCAATATGGATCATTGAGTCTAATAATGATACATGGTATTATTAGAATGAATAACTATGACGCACATATTAGAGACAAATATTTGGATGTTATATACGACACTTTGGATACTATATTTCGCGTCTACGGGGATGGAGAAATATTCTCAAGTATAATTCATGGTCCTATTTATATGTTTTTATTGGTGCTCAAAGAGTATAGTTTTCAAGATCAAAGAGGTAGAGAATTAAAAAGGAGGATTTCAAACATTGTATTTAATGACCTTTCAAAACGCCTCTTTTCCTTTGATGAATGGGATAGTCAGATTGGTTGTGACTTTTTCAAGGATTATATTACAATAGTATTCTTGGATGCTCATAATGACCAATATTTCATACCACCAGAGCAATCCAATGACTATATGGATGTGGAAGACTGGAAAAAGGATAATCGCACCAGGGTTGAAGAAAGAGAATTACTCTGCAAACAAATTCGATCATTTTCAACAGACTATCATCCAATAGTATTATCTATTCTATTTGAACATTTCAAGAAATGTCTAACACAAACATCATGGAAGGATAAATTAATCGTTCTCAAATTATTAAATATGTTTGATTACAATAATATGGATTATAAAAAAGGAAAGGAATGTAAATGGAAAACATATTTTAGTTTTGATTTTCTTAAAACGTATGAATATAATCAATATCGCAGACTGATCATATTTCTAACAAACCATTATTATATCATTTTAAAATTATTTTTAAATAAATAGAGTTATATCAGAAACATTAAAAGAGGATAATGTACTTGTTCAATGTGAATTGGTTGAATTTATTCGGCTATTCTGTTATATCCCATACTATCGTTGGATGGTTGTCGATAGTATAGAGTTTCGAGATATCATCAAAGAAGCTTTTATTTACATCATCGATCAGGCTTCATCACCACATCCTCGTTTAATATACTTTCTCATCGAGGCTTGTGATCCTCGGGCTTATGGTAGACTTGGGCGACAGATTAAAGAAATCTTCTACACAGACCCTTTTTGGCAAGAATGTATTGTCAACCTCGTTTTAAAGTCGGTTCAATCAAATCACAAGGTTTTGATCAATAGTGCTCTAGGCTTGTCTACCAGATATCCTATTCCGCAATTTTCGGTAGGTGTGATATTACTTTAACATTGACACCCCTCTCAATTTCTGTTTATTAATCAATGTTCTATTTTTTAGAGTTTAAAAGCATTATCAACAACAATCATTGCATTATTGGATAGTTTTCAAAAAGATAAAGACATTTTAGATCATGTCATTGGGTTTTTTAATCATACTCACCAACTTGGATTCAAAGAGACAAATCAATTAATTCAACGAATATTATTTTCAAAACAACAACAACAATATCAACCAGATCAAATCAATCGGTTTGTGAATGTATATCTTGTTGGGTGGATAGGTAATTCGGCAAGCAACTTGTCAATTTATTTACCATTGGTCATGAAAAGAATACTTGGTCAACCAATCGATCAAGATTGTATCCGTAGCCTTTTAATCCTCTACAAACAATCACATAAATCAACGAATCAATACATTCAATATTTAATTACACCTATTATCCAACTATACACCAACACTAAAATAGATAATGTCAACGAAAAAACAAATGTTGCAGAATTATTGAGCCTCCTATTCACAAGAACAGTGGAATACAAAGGAATACACCACCAAGAATCTACTCGACTATTTCAACAAATACTCGATACTTTTACTGCACCACCAACTCCCTCTTCCCTATATCCCTTCAATATAATATATCATAACATAAAGAGATTATGTGTAATTACCGACATAGTTCAACAAATAATAGTTACAAGAGGAAACATTACAACCGATCAAATATTACAAATCATCGATTTGATCGTACAAACACTACAACTAATTCACTCTAATGATAATAATAGGGAACACTTATCAGAGATTGGCCAATTGATACAGATATTAGTTTCAATGGACTACCAATGGAACACCATTGCAATGATATCATCCCGTGTGATTGATATGGTCGTAGATTGGATCAATCAAAATATGGAGCTCGGGCACAAGTCATTTCATTCAACAGTCGAGTTGGTCGTAGATTTCTATGATCAAATCAATATTATACCACCAAGCATTACAATATCACCAACAACAGAGAAGATATCATATTCCGAATGGATTGATAGATTGATATTGGTAGAAACGGGTTATGGTCATAGTTATGACGTGGTCACCACTAAATTAATACAATTAAAAATTAATTAAATTAAAAGAGACAACACATTAATATAATATTATCATCAAGCTGCATTGGAGGTGTTAATTAATTGTTTATTTTAAGTATTGTATTCCCTTACAAATATCTTTCATTAAACCAAAAACAGAAAAATCTTCCATTGGCAAGTACAGTCCATTTAATTATTCGTTCTTTAAAATTAGATAAAATGTCTAGTAAAGAAGAAGAGTTGTTTAGAAAGATCATTGGATCAGTGACACTAAGAACGACGATATTCAATCATGTAAGAGAGATTAGAATGTTGTTGGGTACAACATTCTACAAGATACCAGGAACAAAGTACACTGTCGAACTTTGTCCGATCATTGAAGATCACCAATTCATCATAAGAAAATATGCTATGCGGTACCAATATTATTTTTACAACAATACCAAAGCACATACATTTACGTTGGGTGCATTGGATACAATCACTGGTTTGCTACAAAACTCTGTATCCAAGTTGGTTAAACGTTCAATACAACTCATGTCTTTGGAGAATGTAAATGATGGTGGTTCTGCTTTTGGCTCTGGTGGAGGACTTCGATGCAAACATCTTGCCTTGAGTTTAATGGAGCTCTTTACTCATCAAGAAGCAGCCGACTATGGTATCGAGATGGCTTGTGAAGCTGTTGACAAATACCACATTGGAGAGTCTTGTAAAGAACCTTACATGCTTTATGTGTATCAAGTATCACATATTATCGAGAAGTTCAAGTCTGCTGCAGCGGGTGGCAATGCCAACTTTGGCAATCTTTACACAACAACCGTGGTCTTTTTCCACAGGATCATAGAATACATACTTCATATGATCGCAAATCCCATTGCCTGCATAAAGAAAAGGAGAGTAAGTATTAAACAAAACATCATCGTGTGTCATGATATCGATCTTTGTAAAGACAACAAACAATAATTGGTTAACAGTGCATTGTAATTTCTATGAAACTCTATAGAATTCAACTACCATGATCAGCTCTCAAGAAGTCAAGGAAATATTAAAAGGAGAGGAATTTACTTCAGGATTCTTTTTTAGAGATGAATTAGAGCCTCCACAAGCCTCAGCTACTCTTGGTCTAGACTCAATAAAGTTTTTGGAGAAAATCAAAGAGACCGATCAGCTATACACCGAGGATCCCAATGAAGCTATTAATACTATTTACACTTTTAACAATCCAAACGACGACGACAATGATGATGATGATGATGAAGGCTACAATCAACCAGACTTTGGACAGTTGGTGGTTGAACTTCCAATCGAGAATCTCCGAACCATTGCCAAAATGTTGTCTGTCGATATCCAAGAATGTTTGGATAAAAAAAATGTAATTAAAAAGAGTATGTATATATGTATGAGATAGTAAAATATTTTTACAAACACTATTGTTAACTATTACTCCTATTACTACCACTACTATTACCAGAGATTATGAATGAAATCAAACAATTGACATCAAAGAAAATGATTTTCAAAATGTATGAAGATGATGGAGATGTTGATGCATCACAATACAGCGAGACTGATCTAATCAAAATATGTCGATGGTATGAATGTATGTGCGACAATGACGGGTATCACGATGTTTGGTTTATGACTCCAGTACAAGCATTCAAAGAATTTGGAGATCCAAAGGAACTTAAAGTGTCAGTGAAAGCGAAGAAGGTGAAACCAGTTAGATGGGTACAATTGAAAAAAAAAAAAAATTAATATTAATTATTTTACTTTAATAAATAAATGAACACCAGACCAAAAGATTAATTATTTATTTATTTTTTCTCACTCTGTTGGCATTGTGATTATTAAAGTTGTTGAATTGGTTGTATAATTAAATCAATAGTTTATTTCTTTCATTTAAAGTAATGGTCTTGAATTTCAACATAACGGGTCTTAAAGCACCCAACCAACTGGAACTTAGTAATCACATTTTCAATAATTCACGTTGAACAAGTTCATTATCCTCTTTTAATGTTTCTGATATAACTCTATTTTTAGAATAATAATAATAATTGTTGTTGTTAGAATAGATCGGTCTGTATATATTCGTTGATTAACATTTAAAAATTGTATTCATACGAAATAACCATCATTGTAAGCATCCAAGAATATCATTTTAATATACTCTTGTAAAAAGTCAAGAAATTTGATTGGTCCATTCAGTATCGAAAAGTTGTACATTATATCACGACATCTAGATCTAGGTGACATTCTTTGCTATCAGGCAGTTGGTTTAAAACAATAGTGCTCGTTATTAATATTAAAAAATGAAGGCTGTTATATAAAGGTGCACCATGCATGGTCACCTGAAGATAAACACGATTTCTATTTCAACAATCATCTCAATTCAGGAACAACGGTTAATTGGTCTCATACTAATATTCTGACTTGCTCTCATACCAATATATCGATATGTTGAATTTTGATTCAAAATGAGTTTATTTGTTCAGCTCACCTAGGGACTTATATTGGGTCCGACTATTTTGGTTCTATTTAAATTGCTCCTGCATTGTTATCTTCACCATTATCATCGTCATCTTTGTAAGCATTTTCACCATCCTCATCGTCAATTGTTTGATCTCATTCATAATCTCTGGTGGTGATAAGTGGAAGTATTAGTAATTGTGAACGTTTGTTGAAATATTATTTACCATCCAAATGGATTTATACATACTCTTTTGGATTACATCTTTTTTATCGAAACATTCTTGGGTATCGACTGCCAACATTTTAGCGATGGTTTGGAGACTCTCGATTGGAAGTTCTGCCACCAACTGTCCAAAGCCTTGATTGTCGCCTTCATCATCATCATTATTGACGCAGAGGCTTGTGGAGGCTCTAATTCATCTCTAAAAAAGAATCCTGAAACAAAATCCCATCCTGCTTTTAATATTTCCTTGACTTCTTGAGAGCTGATTGGGATCTTGGTAGTTGACCTGCCAGTCTTCGATAGAGTTTCAAAGAGATTACAGTGTTAATCAATTGTTGTTATTTACAAATATTGTTTTGTTTAATACAGGCAATTGTACTTGTGATCATATTAAGTATGTAATCTATGATATGATGGAGAAAGACGACAGTTGTTGTGTATAGATTGCCAAAGTTGGTACTACCGGCAGCAGACTTGAACATCTCGATAATATGTGATATTCGATACACATAGAGTGCGACAGGCTCTTCATTGTGGTATTTATCTACAGCTTCACAAGCAGCTTCCACACAATAGTCAGCTGACTCTTGATCAGTATAGAGCTCCATTATACTCAAGGCAAGGTGTCTGCATCGAAGTCCTCCTCCACCAGAGCCAGAAGTAGAACCACCATCATTTACATTCTCCAAAGACATGAGTTGTATTGAACGTTTGACCAACTTGGATACAGAGTTTTGTAACAAACTATTGATTGTATCCAATGCACCCAACCTAAATGCATGCGGTTTTTAAACACGGCCGAAATAAAGTGGATACCACAATGCATACTTTCTTTCGATGAATCTGTGATGTTGATTGAGTTGGCCAAGATCGACGGTGTACTTTGTTCCTGGTATCTTGTACAGAGTTGTACCCAACAACATTCTAATCTCTCTCACATGATTGAATATTATCGTTCTTAGAACTACTGATCGAATGATCTTTCTAAATAACTCTTCTTCTTTGTTAGGAGACATTCTTTACATCAAATAAATACATAAAAAAAATTTTCCTGAAAAAAAGGAGGGGAATTATTCATCAAATTATTATTTTTTTTAAGGAGGAATCAAAACAATTGGAAAAGATAGATATCAATCGTTGGTCATCAACTTTAAATATTTATTTATTTTTATTTTTTTTTTATTTGTTTTAATTCCTTGGTGAGATCTCTTGGGCTATATCTCGTGTTCTTTTCAAGTGCCACTATCAATAGATCAATCCATTCAGAATATGATATCTCCTCTGTTGGTGACATTGTAATGCTTAGTGGAAAAATATTTAGTTCATCATAGAAATCAATGACCAACTCGACTTTTGAAGACAAGTCACTTTTTGTTGATCCCATATTTTGATTGATCCAATCGATAACCCTACCAATCACATAGAATGATATCATTTCAATGGTGTTCAATTGACCGTCCATTGAAACTAGTGTCTTTACCAAAATGTCAATCTCTGGCAATTCATCCCAGCTCCAGCGAAATAGACGATATGTGCTAATAGTATAATGTTGTGCTTGTACTATCAAATCGATGATTTGTAATATTTGATCGGTTGTAATGTTTCCTTCTCCAAGTATTATTTGTTCGACCATTTTAGTGGCTGCAGCCAAATGGTATCTGAGAAGCTCTAGTACATCTGGATTTGCTTGAGATAGATCATAGGGCATTGCCTCAGCCAATGAATCGAGTATTTGTTGAAATAGTAGAGTAGATTCTTGGTGGTGTATTCCTTTGTATTCCACTGTTCTTGTGTATAGGAGGCTCAATAATTTTGAGGCCTTTGCTTTTTCTGTTGTGTGGGTATATGGTGATTGGCTGGAGTGTAGTTGGATCAAGGGTGTGATTAAATGTTGAATGTATTGATTTGTTGTTGCTTTATGTGGGCGTTTAAACAAGTATGAAAGAGTGGATACCCAACTATTGATTGGTTGACCAATTATTATTATTTTCATAGCTCTTGGTAAATAGATTGACAAGTTCATTTCAGATCTGGCGATCCATTTAACAAGATATCTTCCCACAAAGTTATCGATTTGATGGTGTTTATATTGTTTTGAAAATAATATTCGTTGAATAAATTGATTGATCTCTTTGAATCCAAGTTGAACGATAGTAAGATGAAACAATTCAGAGGCTCTATATAAAATGTCATCGTCATTTTGAAAACGATCCAATAATGCAATGGTTGCTTTTGATAATGCTTTTAAGCTCTAAAAAAATAAATAAATTTTGGTGATTAATAATTAAAGGATGGCAAAAGTTAACAGATCGCTTGTACCTACTGGAAATTGAGGAATGTGATAGTCTGAGAACGAGCGTACCAAGGATATAGCAGAAACTAAGACCTTCCTATGATTTGATTGAATCGACTTTAAAACGAGGTTGACAATACATTCTTGCCAAAGAGGTTCTGTAGGAAATATTCTTTCCAAAATTAGGGATGCAAATTGATTCCTATTACGACGATCTTGATCACAGACCTTGACAAGAGAGGATAATAAATGAGAATATGGTGAAGCTTGATTGATGATGTGATTAAAAGTTTCTTTGATGATATCTCGAAACTCTATACTATCGACAAACATATCAAGATAGTAAGGCATATTGCAGAACTGTTTAATAAATTTCAATAATTCGCGTTGAACAAGTTCATTATCCTCTTTTAATGTTTCTGATATGACTCTATTTTTAAAATAATAATTGTTGTTGTTAGAATAGATCGGTATATATATCGCTTGATTAAAATATTATATTCATACGTTTTGAGAAGATCAATACTAAAATATGTTTTCCAATCCTCATTTACGTGATCAAACATATTTAATAATTTGAGAGAACTATTAATTTATCCTTCCATGTTTGTGTTAGGCATCGGTTGAAATGTTCGAATAGAATAGATAATACTTGATGCTGAGTCGCTTTAAAAGATCGAATTTTCTTGGCAATTATTGGCTCTTCATACTTGATGTCGTTAAAATCTTCTGTATCAAACACATTCATATATTCAATAAGTTGTGGTACGAAATAACCATCATTGTGAGCATCCAAGAATATAGTTTTAATACTCTTTTAAAAAGTCACAAGAAATTTGATTGGTCCATTCAGTATCGGAATGTTCAAGGAATACTGTCTGTGAAATCATCCTTTTTAATTCTTTACCTCTTTGATCTTAAAAACTATACTCTTTGAGCACCAATAAAAACATATAAACGGGTTTGTCTCTACAAACACTTTTGGATATATTGGGGTCCTTATAGACACGAAATATAGTATCCAAAGTATCATATATGACATCCAAATATTTGTCTCTAATGTGTGCATCATAGTTATGCAATCTAATAATACCATCTAAAATGAATGGAATCATTGTGCTATAATGTCTTTTTTGTTTCTCTACCCAATCATTGACCAACTTATCATCAAACAAAGTATTAAACCAATTAAATGTTTGAATAATAAATAAATATCTTCATCATTGTTATCTGTTGTTATGACAATAATAGAGATTGATCAGTCTACTTGTCTAATCAATGATATCTATCATAATATCTATATAAACATACATTGGTTTGATATCATTAATTGAATTAATTCCATTTCATGGTGAACAAACTCCTTTGATTGTTTGATATGCTCGAGTATGATTTCATGCATATGTTTCTTTGTTTCATATGATAGATGATGAAACAGACACTTGTCATTATCAGTGCCATAGGGTAATTGAATAAAAAGTAATTGAATCAATGCTGTTGAAGGATGGATATTATCTTTATCGTATATCTGTAAATATAAACAACAAAGAGTGTGAGTATCTTATTACCTTATTCCTACTGTGATCATTCAACCCCTCATATTTGTATCCAACTACAATACATACGAGATCATCATCTTTATGTGGATCAGCAATATTACATAGTTTATAAGTAATGTCTAGTATGACTTGATCAGCTCGTCGTCGTACACATTCATCTTTTGGTACCATGATAGAAATTATAATTATAATTATAATTTTTTTTTATCGATTTATTTATCTCCATAAAGCACGGTATTATTAATTTTAGGCTGCATTTGCTAAAATTTCTTGACCGAGGTTGTTCAAAGCAAGTGATACTACATATCTTTTATAGTGCTTGCAATTTAAAGTATAATGAAAGATAATGTTTGACTATCTTGTATGTATTAAATTCGTGTTTAAATTGAAAACTACTAGTAGTGATACTCATACATACACCTCTTTGTTGTTTATATTTATTTATAGATATACGATTGAGATAAATGCTTTATGCCTGCACTAGCATTACATTATTTACTTTTTATTCAATTACCTGATGGTACTGATAATGATAAGTGTCTTTTACATCACTATCATATGAAACAAAGAAACATATCCGTGAACTCTTTCTCAAACAATTAAAGGAGTTTATTCGATTTCAAGAGGAATTAATTCAATTAGTGTATGTTAATTAACATAAAAGATTTTAATTATTTTACAATATAGGGTTAAGTTTTAATACAAAAATATAGAGCTGGGTGTTTGTTTTCAAGAAAAGAAATTGAGAATGAAAATACATTTAAATGTTCTAATTAATCAAAGTTAATTTTATTTATTTATAAAGCATTTAATCAATAAAGACGATTTCTATTTCAACAATCATCATCGCTGTCGTCTTTGTAGTCATCATCTTGATCTTCGTCATCTTTACCAATCATCTTCGTCATCACCACGATCATCATCGATCCGTTCAAGTTGATCTTCATCGGCACCCAGTTCTATGAATGCTTGTACTGGAGTCATGTACCAAACATCGTCATACATCGTGGTCACACATAAACTCATACCAATCAAGTATTTTCAATCTTTGTGACTCGCTGTACTGTGATGCATCAACATCTCCATCGTCTTCATACACTTTGAAAACCATTTTCTTTGATTCCAATTGTTTGATTGCTAAACTCTTGTTGTTATTAATTTAATTTTATAAATAATATTTCTATAAATATCTCTTTATATAAACTTTATACATACTCTTTTCAATTACATTTTTTTTTATCCAAACATGCTTGAATATCGACAGACAACATTTTGGCAATGGTTTGGAGATGTTTGATTGGAAGTATGGGCAACAACTGTTTAAAGTCTTCCTTGGGTTTGTCTCCTTCGCCGTATTGACAGTCGTCGATGAACCAATGTACGTAGACTCTTCTATCGGGGTGAGCATCGTCATTGCTTTCATCAAAGTCGGGGAATACACCGACTTTTTCCTTGTTGATGTTATCAATGGTTTCATTGAGATCCTCGGTGTATAGCTGGTCGGTCTCTTTGATATTTTCCAACAACCCTTTTATTGAATCACCACGTCTTGGATCCTTGGAGGTGCTAAGATTTCCTTTACCTCTCGAGATCTTACTATAGTCTTGGGCATTATCCTGCTAATCTCCTATATATATATAGAACAAAACAGTTAATCATCTCTTGTCACTTCTTTTTACATTCAACTGAACTCAATGTTGTCTTGTTGTTGTTGTTGTTGCTGGTACTTACTTCCTTTGTCTTTGAAATGACACTTGCCATTGCGATTGAGGCCATAAAAAGGAAATACTCGATGATACTTTGGAGAAAGACCACAGTTGTTATGTATAGATTGCCATAGTTGGAACTACCCGCAGCATACTTGAACATCTCGATAATATGTGATATTGGGTACACATAGAATACGCCAGCTTTGCCTTTGTGGTATTTATCCACAGCTTCACAGCCTACCTCCACACATACCTCGTTTGCGTCTTGATCGGGATAGATCTCTGTGACACACGAGACAATGTGTCTGATTCGAAGACCTTCAGAAGCACCACCATTTGTATTTGCATTCTCCAAGGACATGATTTCAATTGAACGCTTGACCAACCTGGACAGTGTACTTTGTTTTGAAGCAAACCAGTGATTGTTTCCAATGCACCCAACATCAATATATATGGGTCTTTATACCCATGTCTATCAATATCGTGGTAGCGATGATATTTTTTGCTGATGTATTGGTGATCTTGAACGAGTTGACCAAGTTCGACGGTGTACTTTGTTCCTGGTATCTTGTACAATGATCTTTCTAAACAACTCTTCTTTGTTTGTCATTAAATATTTAAGATGAACGTTCAAAAGATTAAAAAAGGTGTGGGGGGAATACAAGATGAAAATGAGCGGGAAATGGATGTTCAAAAAGTGAATTAATTAACTTTCGTGTTGTTTAATCCATATGGGTGTCTCATACTCCACTATTCATTATCACAACTTGTTCAAAACATGACAGCATCTTCTAATGAACTCCTTGAATCAAGGACTGTTAGATTTACTGATTCCATCAAGAAGTTGTTAAATGGGCCATTCGTCTTCTCACTTGGATCTAATACCAATGTGACATTATCTTGTCGAGACCTCTCAGTTATGAAAGATCTTCAACAACGAGCCGATCAAGTCATACTCGACATTGTTTATCGAGTATGCAATTTGGAGTGTAATATTGCTTCAGATGATGGTGATGATCTCGTATGTATTGCAAATTATCCTTTATTATTATTATGTATACTCATACACCTTGTTTGTTTATTTACAGATATATGATCAAAAGCAAAGCCCACATCCTTCACTAGCATTGATTTATTTGCTATTTATTCAATTACCCGATGGTACTGATAATGACAAGTGTCTGTTTCATCATCTATCATATGAAACAAAGAAACATATGCATGAACTCTTGCTCAATCATATCAAACAATCAAAGGAGTTTGTTCACCACGAGAAGGAATTAATTCAATTAATTCTATCAAACCAATGTATGTTTATATAAATATGATGATGTATCATTGATTGGACAAAAATATTGACTGACCTCTTCTAACAACAGATAATAATGATGAAGATATTTATTTATTTATTATTCAAACATTTAATTGGTTTAATACTTTGTTTGATGAAAAAAGGAATTACGGCGCAATGATTCCATTCATTTTAGATGGTATTATTAGAATGAATAACTATGATGCACACATTAGAGACAAATATTTGGATGTCATATATGATACTTTGGATACTATATTTCGTGTCTATAAGGACCCCAATATATCCAAAAGTGTTTGTAGAGACAAACCCGTTTATATGTTTTTATTGGTGCTCAAAGAGTATAGTTTTCAAGATCAAAGAGGTAAAGAATTAAAAAGGATGATTTCACAAACAGTATTCCTTGAACTTTCCGATACTGAATGGACCAATCAAATTTCTTGTGACTTTTTAAAAGAGTATATTAAAACTATATTCTTGGATGCTTACAATGATGGTTATTTCGTACCACAACAACCCAATGACTATATGGATGCGGAAGACTGGAATAACCCACTCTTTTACGCCAATGTCTTTGACTCGAAAAAGTATAGTGACATCAAGTATGAAAAGCCAATAATTGCCAAGAAAATTGAATCTTTTAAAATGACTCAGCATCAAGTATTATCTATTCTATTTGAACATTTCAACCGATGCCTAACACAAACATCGTGGAAGGATAAATTAATAGCTCTCAAATTATTAAATATGTTTGATCACGTACATAAGGATTGGAAAACATATTTTAGTATTGATCTTCTCAAAACGTATGTAAATCAACGAATATACAGACTGATCTATTCTAACAACAATAATTATTATTATTTCAAAAATAGAGTTATATCAGAATCTTTAAAAGAGGATAATGAACTTGTTCAATGTGAATTATTGGAATTTATTTACCAATTCTGTAATATGCCTTACTATATTGATATGCTTATCAATAGTATAGAGTTTCGAGATATCATCAAAGATGTTATTAATCACATCATCAATCAAGCTTCACCATATCCTCGTTTATTATCCTCTCTAATCAAGGTCTGTGATCAAGATTGTTATAATCACAATCAATTTGCATCCGAAATGTTGAAAAAATTATTTCCTACAGAGCCTCTTTGGCAAGAATGTATTGTCAACCTCGCTCTAAAGTCGGTTCAATCAAATCATAGGGAGGTTATAGATTCTGCTATATCTTTTGTATACACATTCACATACCATCACATTCCTCAATTTACAGTAGGTACAATATAAGTGAAGTGGTTCCCCTTTATTTCTATTTATTAATCATCAATATTCTATTTATTTTATTTAGAGTTTAAAAGCATTATCAACAGCGATCATTGGGTTATTGGATTGTTTTCAAAATGACGATAAAATTTTAAGGTATGTAATTGAATTGTTTGGTCGTATTATCGTTCGGCTTGGACCCAAAGAGATCAATCAATTAGTTCAACGAATATTATTTTCAAAACAATATAAACAAGGTCAAATCAATCGATTTGTGAGTGTATATCTTATTCAGTGGATAGGTAAATCAGTAAATAACTTGTCAATCTATTTACCATCAGCCATGAAAATATTACTTCTTCATCAACCAACCTATAGATATAGTATCGACAGTCTTGTAATCATGTACCAACACTCACATAAAGCAACAAACAGATACATTCAACATTTAATCACACCCATGATCCAACTACACGCCAGTCCAACAACATATTCCAACACAACAGAAAAGGCAAAGGCTTCAAAATTATTGAGCCTCCTATTTACAAGAACAGTGGAATACAAAGGAATACACCACCAAGAATCTACTCTACTATTTCAACAAATACTCGATTCATTGGCTAAGGCAATGCCCTCTAATCTATCTCGAACTAATCCAGATGTACTAGAGCTTCTCAGATACCATTTGGCTGCGGCCACTAAAATGGTCGAACAAATAATACTTGGAGAAGGAAACATTACAACCGATCAAATATTACAAATCATCGATTTGATAGTACAAGCACAACATTATACTATTAACACATATAGTGAATTTCGCTGGAGCTGGGATGAATTGCCAGAGATTGATATTTTGGTAAAGACACTAGTTTCAATGGACGATCAATGGAACACAATTGAAATGATATCATTCCATGTGATTGATATGGTTGTCGATTGGATCAATCGATATCTGAGATCAACAAAAAGTGACTTGCCTTCAAAAGTCGAGTTGGTCATTGATTTCTATGATCAACTAAATATTGTTCCACCAAGCATTACAATATCACCAAGAAAGAAGATATCATATTCTGAATGGATTGATAGATTGATAGTGGCACTTGAAAAGAACACGAGTTATAGCCCAAGAGATCTCACCGAGGAATTAAAACAAATAAAAGAAAAAATAAATAAAAATAAATAAATATTACCAATGATTGATTCACTGGTGAAAACAAACTTTATCAAATTATAATTTATAATTCTATTCATGATAATTATTTAATTTATTTTCTCTTTTATGTATCTTTAAAGACAACGCATCTCTAGCTGATTTGAAAGCAATTAGGCACAGAGTAGCAAAACGAAAAGAACTGCTTAAAATAAAACAAATATATATATATACTTTAGATAATTATCTATAATCCTTTGCGTAGAAAAGAATAAAAACAAATAAAAAAATCGATTTTTCTGCATTTTTTTTATTTTTACGTGTATCCCCCATGAACCTTTTCGCTTCAAAAGAACTATCTCAAGAACTTTTTTTTATTTTAATTTTTTCTTTTTTTGAACGTGACCATTTTTTGAAGCTTTTTCTCGATTCATTTAAGGTATTTATTCTATACCGATCATCAATGAATAGGTACTACTTGATTGTGCTTTCTCCTTTTCATGTATTTACTCCAATTCTTTAATTTTTTATTTAATTCTACCCATAGAAAATGGATATTGGCTACAACCTAAGAATGATAGAATCTCCTTTAGGGGCAACCATGAATCAATTCAATATGGAAAACAATCCAAATGAGGAATTTGTCTTTCTTGCCTACAACGACCACGCACTTCGTACCAATAAAAAAAATGTCCAGTATGTAGACAGAAGTTTCTATAACTACGGGGCTCATGAAAAGGGAGTCATGGGATGGGCAATGGATCCAAATAATCCTGACGAAAGGAGTAAGTATATAATATTCATACAATTGTGCTTAATTATTAACAATCATCATCTCTAATATTAAAGAGGGCATAATAATCCAGCACACACTGCCAAAATGGCCAGTCCAGTCAACTCCTGGAGGAACATTTAATCCTCCATATTCAACCTTTTCTGAAGACTTTAAAAGGTTGGAGACTGCTGATGACAGTTACATAAATAGGCTATCCCCTTCCTTTGGTTGGACGAATTCATTCTTTGGACCAAATCTCATGTCCTATGTTTAATACACTAGGTTGTCCACTTACTCTGTTGTATGCAATCAATCTATTTAGAGAATCACAAAGTATGCAACTGTTATATAAACCCCCATTCATCTATTTTCCGGGACGGCAATAGTTGGAAAAATGGTGTACATTTCAATGAAATACATGTCGACAACAAGTTGGTCCTCATATCTTCCTCAATATGCACCTGTACTACAAAAAGATGGACGTCCGGAAGAAATCATACGTGTCCGAGAGTTTATCTCGTATGCCAACAACTTTAATCCACAGGCAGCACTCTTTGGTAACAAAAAGCCCACTTAGTATAGAGTTTCAAGATATCATCAAAGAAACTTTTAATCACATCATCATCATCAATCAAGCTTCATCAGATATACCACTACATCCTCGTTTATTATACTTTCTCATCAGGGCCTGTGAGCATTATGGTTTTGATTTATTGGGAAAGCATATTAGTCAACGTTTTCCCAAAGACTCTTTTTGGCAATACCATATTTCCAATCTCGTTTTAAAGTCGATTCAATCAAATCACAAAATTTTGATCAATTATGCTCTAAGCTTGTCTAAAAGATATCCCATTCCTCAATTTACAACAGTAGGTTTGTTATAAATCACTTTAATAATGACACCCATCTCCCTATTTTCATTTATTAATCATCAATACAATATTCTATTCTATTTATTTATTTTTTTAGAATTTAAAAGCATTATCAACATCAGTCCTTGGATTATTGGATCGTTTTCAAAATGATAAAGACATTTACGAGTCTGTCTTTGAGTTTTTCAATCATATCAATCAACTTGGAATTGGATTCAAAGAGACCAATCAATTAATTCAACGAATATTATTTTCAAAACAACAACAATATCAACCAGATCAAATCAATCACTTTGTGAAACAATATCTTATTAAATGGATACCCAACTATTCAATCTATTTACCAGCAGTTATGAAAAGAATCATAGTCCTTGATCAACCAATCACAATCGATTTTTGGATAGACAGTCTTTTCATCTTGTTGGGACGATCACATATAGCAACAACAAATCAATACATTCAACATTTAATCACACCTATTATCCAACTATACACCAACACAACAACAACAAAAATGACAAAAAAGTTCAAGCAACCAAATTAGTGAGTATCCTATTCATAAGAACAGTTGAATACAAAGGAATACACCATCAAGAATGTACTGTACTATTTCAACAACTACTCGATACTTTTACTTTTATTTTTACCACACCACTTTCCTCCTCTGATTACCATTTACGATTTCTCGCAGACCAATTATATGCCATTACAGAAATAGTTCGACAAATAATACTTTCGGGAGGAAACATTACAACCGATCAAATAGTACAAATCATCGATTTGATCGTACAAACACAACAACTCATTCTCTCGAATGCTATTATGTTTCAATATCCATGTGTGGGCCAGTTGATAAAGACACTAGTTTCAATGGACTCTCAATGGAACACCATTGAAATGATATCATCACGTGTGATTGATAGGGTCGTCGATTGGATCAATCAAAATATGAAATTAAAATACCGGTTATTAAACCACCAGTCATCTCATTTAATAGTCGAGTTGGTCATAGATTTCTATAATCAAGCCAAGATTATACCTACAACAGAAAAGATACCAACCTCTGAATGGATTGATATTGGTATTTAAAAGAGGATGTAAGAAATCATATGACCAGAAAGAAATGATCATCACCAAATTAAAGCAATTAAAAGAGAAAATAAATAATAATAATAAAGATATTTTGGTTTAACATTGGCTTATTTCTAAAATAATTAATATTAATAACATTCAGATATTTTGGTTTATCGTTGGGTTATTTCTAAAAGTTGCAATATTATTTAATCAGTTAATCAAAAATGACATCAACATCATCTTCATCTTCCTTACCACCCTCTGTACTCCGACTTGAAAATACACCTACAGTCGAAAGATTCTACCATATTCTCGAGAAGCTATCATGCCCACTTGCCAGCCCATTAAGCTTCACACTTTGTTCAAATGGCAACAAGATAATATCAATCCAAGAGGCTACATCAATGGAATGTATACGACGACGAGCAGATCAAGTCATACCAGACATTACTTATAAACTATGTAATTTAGAGTGTAATATTACAGTAGATGTATCGTATGTATCGCTTATATAGAATATTGATGATTAATAAATAGAATAGGGAGGTGTCAATGAAGTTAAAGTGATGTGGAGGATGGAAAAAGTTAATTGATCACTTGTACCTACTGGAAATTGAGGAATGGGATCAAACCAGTATACCAAGTATTTAGCAGAATCGATAACGTCCATATCATTTGATTGGAAAGACTTTAAAGCGAGGTTTACAATATATTCTTGCCAAATAGGGTCTGTTGGAAAGATGTGCTCCCAAATGTCGCATGCTAATTGATCGTTATTATCAAGATCACAGAACTTGATTAGAGAGGATAATAACCTAGGATGTGGTGAATCTGAAGCTTGGATGATGTGGTTAAAAGTTTCTTTGATGATATCTCGAAACTCTATACTATCGACAATCATATTACGATAGTAAATCATATGACAGAATTGATTAATAAATTCGACCAATTCACATTGAACAAGTTCATTATCCTCTTTTAAAGTTTCTGATTTAACTCTAAATTTTAAAATAATAATAATAATAATGGTTTGTTAGAAATATGATAACCATATTGATTGATTTAAAGTGAATTCATACGTTTTGAGAAGATCAATACTAAAATATGTTTTCCATTCAATACTCTTGTGATCAAACATATTTAATAATTTGAGAACTATTAATTTATCCTCCCATGTTTGTGTTAGACATCGGTTGAAATGTTCGAATAGAATGGATAATACTTGTTGATGTTGAGCCACTTTAAAAGATCGAATTTTCTTGGCGATTATTGGCTCTTCATACTTGATGTCGTTAAACTCTTCCGTATCAAACACATTCATATATTCAATAGGTTGTGGTATGAAATAACCATCATTGTGAGCATCCAAGAATATCGTTTTAATATACTCTTGTAAAAAGTCACAAGAAATTTGATTGGTCCATTCAGTATCGGAAAGTTCAAGGAATACTGTCTGTGAAATCATCCTTTTGGGTGGATAAGAGAGAGAGAGAGAACACTAGATGGATTTTTGTGGGTAAAAGATGATGATGGAAATATTATTTGTTCACATATAGTATATATGTCGATATGATTAAATATATACAAAATGTAATATATTTTATATAATCAATTGTGTCGTATTGGTGTTATCATGAATAGTTTGTATGAACGCAGACGGATGAGTGTGTCATTAAATTTTCCCCAACGAGACTCTCGAGACACATGTGGGCAAATATGATATCTACTATGGTTGGTTTGATTGATGAAGGAACTGTTCATGTGTGGTAATCATCTTTTGTGTTGATTCTATTTATTTTATTTTTAGGTAGGTAGGTCGAATACCTGGGTGTCTTGAAATGATTGTTTGAGGGGTGAGTTATGTTACCCAAAGCGATTACACCATAGTTGCATTACCATCACCTTTCCAAAAACTATCATGCACCATCAAGTATAAAGAGTTGGTGTGATTTAATTGGTGTTCAACATCTTGTTGTTACCATCACATCTAAAACATTATTGCATATGATACCACCAACGTTCCACTACCTGCTCAGAGGAGTTGATGAAAGATTAACGATATACACATCTCTCCCACCCTTATTTGTTGGATTTTAAATTTACTTCACAGATAGGAATGTTTAACAGTAGTATTAAATGATTTGGAAGATTCAATTAAAGATGTTGCCGCTTGACAATTTATTGAAGCAGTGATTATTAATAATAGATTATTAAATAATTGGAATGATCGTAATATTTATTTATTTATTTATTTTTTCTTTTATTTGTTTTAATTTCTTGGTGAGTCTCGTGTTCTTTTCAAGTGCCACTATCAATCTATCAATCCATTCAGAATATGATATCTCCTTTGTTGGTGATATTGTAATGCTTGGTGGAACAATATTTAGTTGATCATAGAAATCAATGACCAACTCGACTTTTGAAGACAAGTCACTTTTTGTTGATCCCATATTTTGATTGATCCAATCGACAACCATATCAATCACACTGGATGCTATCATTTCAATTGTGTTCCATTGATCGTCCATTGAAACTAGTGTCTTTACCAAAATATCAATCTCTGGCAATTCATCCCAGCTCCTGCGAAATTCACGATATGTGCTAATGGTATAATGTTGTGCTTGTACTATCAAATCGATGATTTGTAATATTTGATCGGTTGTAATGTTTCCTTCTCTAAGTATTATTTGTTTGACCATTTTAGTGGCCGCAGCCAAATGGTATCTGAGAAGCTCTAGTACATCTGGATTAGTTCGAGATAGATTAGAGGGCATTGCTTCAGCCAATGAATCGAGTATTTGTTGAAATAGTAGAGTAGATTCTTGGTGGTGTATTCCTTTGTATTCCACTGTTCTTGTGAATAGGATGCTCAATAATTGTGAGGCCTTTGCCTTTTCTGTTCTGTTGGAATATGTTGTTGGACTGGCGTGTAGTTGGATCAAGGGTGTGATTAAATGTTGAATGTATCTGTTTGTTGTTTTATGTGGTTGTTTGTACATGATTACAAGACTGTCGATACTATATCTATCGATTGGTTGATGAAGAAGTATTATTTTCATGGCTGATGGTAAATAGATTGACAAGTTATTTACTGATTTATCTATCCACTGAATAAGATACACTCTCGCAAAGATATTGATTTGATTTTGTTTATATTGTTTTGAAAATAATATTCGTTGAACTAATTGATTGATCTCTTTGGGTCCAAGCCGAATGATAATACGATCAAACAATTCAATTACATGCTCTAAAATTTTATCGTCATTTTGAAAACGATCCAATAACCCAATGATCGCTGTTGATAATGCTTTTAAACTCTAAAATAAAATAAATAGAATATTGATGGTTAATAAATAGAAATAAAGGGGAACCACTTCACTTATATTGTACCTACTGTAAATTGAGGAATGTGATGATATGTGAATGTGTATACAAAAGATATAGCAGAATCTATAACCTCCCTATGATTTGATTGAACCGACTTTAGAGCGAGGTTGACAATACATTCTTGCCAAAGAGGCTCTGTAGGAAATAATTTTTTCAACATTTGGGATGCAAATTGATTCTTATTATGACAATCTTGATCACAGACCTTGATTAGAGAGGATAATAAACGAGGATATGGGGAAGCTTGATTGATGATGTGATTAATAACCTCTTTGATGATATCTCGAAACTCTATACTATCGATAAGCATATCAATATAGTAAGGCATATTACAGAATTGGTAAATAAATTCCAATAATTCACATTGAACAAGTTCATTATCCTCTTTTAACGCTTCTGATATAACTCTATTTTTAAAATAATAATAATAATGGGTTTTTGGTTAGAATAGATCGGTCTGTATATTCGTTGATTTACATACGTTTTGAGAAGATCAATACTAAAATATGTTTTCCAATCCTTATTTACGTGATCGAACATATTTAATAATTTGAGAGCTATTAATTTATCCTTCCATGATGTTTGTGTTAGGCATCGGTTGAAATGTTCAAATAGAATAGATAATACTTGATGCTGAGTCACTTTAAAAGATTCAATTTTCTTGGCAATTATTGGCTTTTCATACTTGATGTCACTATACTTTTTCGAGTCAAAGACATTGGCGTAAAAGAGTGGGTTATTCCAGTCTTCCGCATCCATATAGTCATTGGGTTGTTGTGGTACGAAATAACCATCATTGTAAGCATCCAAGAATATCGTTTTAATATACTCTTTTAAAAAGTCACAAGAAATTTGATTGGTCCATTCAGTATCGGAAAGTTCAAGGAATACTGTTTGTGAAATCATCCTTTTTAATTCTTTACCTCTTTGATCTTGAAAACTATACTCTTTGAGCACCAATAAAAACATATAAACGGGGTTGTCTCTACAAACACTTTTGGATATATTGGGGTCCTTATAGACACGAAATATAGTATCCAAAGTATCGTATATGACATCCAAATATTTGTCTCTAATGTGTGCATCATAGTTATTCATTCTAATAATACCATCTAAAATGAATGGAATCATTGCGCCGTAATTCCTTTTTTCGTCAAAAAAAGTATTAAACCAATTAAATGTTTGAATGATAAATAAATAAATATCTTCATCATTGTTATCTGTTGTTGTTATTAGAAGAGGTCAGTCAATCTTTTTGTCCAATCAATGATACATCATCATATTTATATAAACATACATTGGTTTGATAGCATTAATTGAATTAATTCCATTTCGTGGTGAACAAACTCCTTTGATTGTTTGATATGATCGAGTATGATTTCATGCATATGTTTCTTTGTTTCATATGATAGATGATGAAACAGACACTTGTCATTCTCAGTACCATCGGGTAATTGAATAAATAGCAAATAAATCAATGCTAGTGAAGGATGTAGGCTTTGCTTTTGATCGTATATCTGTCAATAAACAAGGTGTATGAGTATACATAATAATAATAATGAATACTTTGCAATACATACGAGATCATCACCATCATCTGAAGCAATATTACACTCCAAATTGCATACTCTATAAACAATGTCGAGTATGACTTGATCGGCTCGTTGTTGCAGATGCTTCATAACTGAGAGGTCTCGACAAGATAATGTCACATTGGTATTCGATCGAAGTGAGAAGATTAATGGCCCATTTAACAACTTCTGTATAGAATCAGTAAATCTAACAGTCCTTGATTCAAGGAGTTCATTAGAATGTTGTGAAGAAGATGCTGTCATGTTTTGTTGGGTTAATGAATAGTGGAATCTGAAACAAGAAAGAATTAAACAACAAGAAAAAGAAAGTTAATTAACCTTTTAAACATCCATTTTCGCTTTTTTTGATGAGGAAAGGATGAATAAAAGAATTATTACCCGCAGCATATTATCATGGTTGTAAATAACATTAAAATAGTATTAAATAAACCCATTCTTTTCAATCCAATATCTGAAAAGAATCTGAGTGGATTGATAGATTGATAGTGGAATTTGAAACAACCATTGGGTGGTGTGTTCATATTATATGTTTATTTATTTTATAGTTTATAATAATGATTATAACCAAAGAGAAGAGAGCAACACAAGAGACACAATATTAATAATTAAAATAAATTAAAATAGCTTGATGAACTAAGATCTGAGTGAGATCTCAGCAACAGGTCTCAGCGGTCGTCGACCCCTTTTGACGTGTTTCCTTTACCTCTCGAGATCTTACTATAGTCTTGGGCATTATGTTAAAAGGTGTACGACTTTATTTAACGAGGAAAGGTTGGTGTTTTTTTTCTTTTTTGTGATTGGTCTTGTTGTTGTTGTTCTTGTAGTATTATTTGTTGTGGAGCATCATATGATTGATGATAGATTGATGGAAGTTGTTTTCCTTGCTTAGCTTTAATTATTTTGTCCAACTTTTGTTTGTAACTCTCGATCAGCTTTGGGATATCGTTATAGCACAGTTTATTTTCGCATCTGATCATTTTAGAGATTAGATCGCTTATCATGTGTTTTAATACTTTATCTTCTTGTTGTAGGGAATCCAGTATCGATGCTGATGTCACTCTAACTCTCATGGGAGAGACATTGAAACTTGATTCACTGACAAAATTTGCTGTAACAGATTTCGTTTGATCAAGCTTTTTTGAAGACGAGTCGACACCAACCACTACTTTCTTCTCAAATGTGTGTTTTCCAGTTTTGACGAGCAAAGGGATAAGCTCTTCCACGGCTTCATGTATATCGTCCGAAAATAATTTCATTTGGCCGGAGAGGTCTTTGATCTCTTTATCCATCGTTTCATCTTTCTCCTTGGGTAGTTCCATCTTAGACATAGAAGATAGTACATTTCGAAGGTTAGGTGCTGAAAAGCACATCTAAATATCGAGTGGGTAGAAGAAATAGGCAAATGTTATAAATTTCCAAATTAAATCAATCATTCACTATTATATGCATAATCATTTAAACAACTTACAATAATTGAACCATGGACATTGGATTTAGTTGCATAGTATAGGTTGCCTCCAGACACACATACATCCCATTCGCTATTGGTGGCTTTATCCATTTTGAATCCAATCTTGGAGTGCTCCTTCATTGAGAAGCCACGCCACGAGACTCGGCCTTTGACTTCTCCAAAGCGAATTTCTGGACTGGTGAATGTGTTGAAGGGTACGATATTGGGTCGGTCAAGCGATTGGGGAAGACCTTTCTCTTGTTTTTGTGGGTCTCCATTGTAGGAGCTCCAAGTCGAAACGACCATCTTCTCTGTGGGGCCCAGTGATTTGTCCAACGTTCTCCAAACATCCTTTTCTCCTAGTCGGTTTCTCGAAGCAAAGACCTCGAATGAATTAGTCATTGGAATTCCCTTTCCAACCATGCTGGCGTCTGTTCCTGGGTTAGAGTTATCGTCATTATCTTCTTTAATGTCATCATTTTCGATGTCTTCTGTGACGATATCTTTTGAGAGTGGCTCATTGCCAGACAGGTTTTTGACATATGTGTTGACAAGACCATCATTGTGATCGTTGTGCAGGATGTAGGCCAACAGTTTTTCATTCTCTTTATCGCCCTCTTTGTTAAGTGTCGACAATAATTTCAAAATGCTTTCAATCGAGGCAGTACTATCAATGTTTGAACAAAAGATATGTTGTGTAGGCTTAAAGGTTCCAAAGAGTGCTGCCTCTGGGTTAAAGTTGGAGTCGTACGACAGCAACTTTGGGAGAAGTTTGAGTTCTAGTTGACGATCCTTGGATACCAAAGGTGCATAATTACTATCATATTTGATTATCATCGTGTTGGGTTGATATTCTAAACTGTACACCTCCTATTGCCATTCAGGTCAAAAATTTATGGTTAATATAATTATCTAAATCTAACTTCTCTCATGAAATATATTGATGACATACATCTGATTTTTCATTACCTTTCTTTTCTCGAGGCACATAAGACATGAGATTCGGTCCAAAGAATGAATTCCAACCAAAGTAAGGGGATAGCCTTCGGTCTGCCGATTCTGGAATGTTAGATGAAGCAGGGCTATAAACTTTCTCCAAATCTTTGGTATAGGTTGAATATGGAGGATAAAATGTTCCTCCATGAGATGTTTGGACTGGCCATTTTGGCAAAGAGTGCTGGATTATTATACCCTCTTTTATTTTTATATGAGAGATGAGAGATGAGTGTTAATGGGTTATGAATTGGTATGAATATCATATACTTACTCCTTTGATTATTACCATCATTTTTCCATCCCAAGATTCCCTTTTCATGAGCCCCATGTGAATAAAAACTTTTGTCTACGTACAGTCTTTCGTTTCCTTTTGTGTTTTTGAAACGAAGTGCGTGGTCGTTGTAGGCAAGAAAGACAAATTCCTTCTTATTTGAGTCTTGATCTTCTCTGAATTGATCCATAGTTGCTCCTAAAGGAGAGCTTGTCATTCTTAGGTCGTAGAATAGATCCATATCCTAGGAATTGAAATATAAAATAAGGAAAGAAGAGTAAATAGGAATGGGAATAAATGAAGTAGTATACTTACTTTCTTTATACCCTTCTCCATTACTGAATCGTAGTACAGATAGACATCAGTAAATCCGTTGACCTTGAAAATCAACCACCAGTCAACCTGAACACCTGAACTCTTCAGACACCGAGGCTGTGCACTTACTGCTGTCAACAGAACCAGAAAAATAATGAGGGATGATCTATTCATTCTTATTCGTACTAGTGAAATATGAAATGTGATCGATTTCAATTGATTGAAAAAAGGAGGCTCTTTTAGGCCACGATTCGTGGGTCAAAAAAAATTGTTTTTTTTATTCTCCTTCTCTTTCTTTCTAGAAACCGCGGTAGAATTTAGTGTGCTACAGTAAATTAGCATATGTTGTTCATCATAAAAGAAGAGCAACATCATATCACTTAAATAATAATCTGTAAGATCTCGTTTTAAGTCGGTTCACTCAAATCACAAGATATAGTGTCGCACGCGTTGATGCAATAGAATTGCCATTCATCAATTTTCAGGTATAGTCTATCCACCAACCATTCATATCACTTTAACATTGACACCTCCTCATTTCTATTTATTAATCATCAATATTCTATTACCATTACATTATTGGATAGTTTTCAAAATGATCAGACATTTTAGAGCATGCCATTGGGGTTTTTAACCATATCCACCAACTTTGATTTAAGAGATCAATCAATTAATTCAACAAATATTATTTTCACAACAACAATATCAACCAAATCAAATCAATCACTTTGTGAAACGATATCTTGTTAGATGGATAGGTAAATCGACCACCGGTGGTGAGAAGAATAATGGTTGACCAACAAATCACAATCGATCATAATTGTGTAGGCGTTCTTTTATTCATGTATAAACAATCACATAAAACAACAAACAGATACATTCAATATTTAATCACAAGATGACAAAATTATTGAGCCTCCTATTCACAAGAACAGTGGAATACAAAAATGACATCAATATCATCTTCATCCTCTAACAACTTGAAAATAGTTCAAGATTCTATCATATTCTCCAGAAGCTATCATCTCCACATGTCAAACCACTTTGCTTCACACTTTGATCAAATGGCAACACTAGAAGACCAACTCAAGACCCTTCATCGATGGAATGTATACGACGACGAGCCGATCAAGTCATACTAGACATTACTTATAAACTATGTAATATAAAACTCCACATGATGATCTTGTATGTATTGTAGTTGGATATAAATTTTAATAGTTGATATACTTATGCATACTCTTTGTTGTTTATATTTATAGATACGATAAAGATAATACTCATCCTGTCACAGCATTGATTCAATTACTTTTTACCAAATCACCTGATGGCACTGAGAATGACAAGTGTCTGTTTCATCATCTATCATATGAAACAAAGAAACACATTCATGAACTCTTGCTCAATCATATTAAACAATTAAGGAAATTTAATAATCACGAAATAGAATTAATTCAATTAATGTTATAAACCAATGTATGTATAATATAAATATAGATATCAAGATAGACCGACTAACTAACCTCCTCTTATTTCATAACAACAGATAATAATGAAGAAGATATTTATTTGTTTATCATTCAAACATTTAATTGTGGCCTGAGTTTGTGTGAATATACACATTGTAATCAATGTAGCACCATCATCCACTACAATACCCCCACCTTCCCAACAATTGCCAAAGAATTGATGGATAATAGTAATAGTATTATTATTATTATCAACACTCCACTACTATTAGTATAGCTAGTATTAGTATTTTCTGGCCAACGTACTATGGTGCCAATCAACGTGTACTCCAATACGACGGGTCGCCAGCCTCTGCAGCTGCACTGCGTTCTGTTGTGGAGACAATGTCTGTTCTTCGTTTGAGCCACTCTACTGCTCCGCAGACTGTTCAAACATGTTTACCGGACAAGCTCCAGGATTCCTCATGTCTACCTATCTTTCGCTGACCTGTCGCTCGGCGAGTTGGCCATCCCCGACTTTATCGGCTCGTACCCAGGTGGATATGCCACCATCTTTGCCTACTTTAGAGTACCGTCCTCCAAGACCTACAAGTTCTCCGTCTCATCCAGCTCGGTATCATCCATCATTGAAATTGACAATGCCCAAGTATACCTTGTATCACGCCACCAACAAGATGACAAGATCAAGTTTGAAAGATATCTCGAGGACAATCCAGTCCACAGTATCAAGATAACACTCCTTGCCAAATCATTTAGTAAATCACGTTCATTTAAATTAAAATCTCATCAATCAATTAATTATTTCTATTCAAAGCAAGGTAAATATATATAAAAAAAAAAAAGAAAACAAAAAAGATAACAAATAATAATAATTATTTATTTATTTAATTTTAGTTTGTAGAGATGGAGTAAAAGATAGGTGAGAGTTGATAAGCAGATTTAAATGGACGGACATCACACCAACATGTGGAGATGGAATTTGTAATGAAGTAAACATTGAATCTTGTTTTATTGATTGTCATGCTCAATTTACAAAGACATGTGTTGCAACATCGGTTCCAGATGATCATATTGAAGGAGCTCTACCAGTCTTTTACTTTGACTATTGTGCCAAAAAGGAAAAGAATCTTTTACAAGATGTTTATCGTCAATCAATTTATATGTTACCAAATGTATGCTATTCAAATAGGAAAGAGTCCCAATAGGGTTGTGAATAGTTACTAATATTATATAATATATTTATTGTTTGTTATTTATTTTAGGAATTATCTGGAGGTGCCCAAACACTAGTGTTAATACAATTAGATCAACTAAATCAACCACTTCATGTATTTATTATATACTTATAATTCAAATTTCTTGAAAGAACATTTATAAACTAATATTAATATTTGTTTGTTTGATTTATTTTAAAGTATTTTCAATTGATGGTTGGAGGAGGATATAGTGCTCAGGCAGATGCAGAAAAATCTATTGAACAGGCCCAGAGTCTATTGACAAGCTGGAACGACGCTCATTACCACTAGTTTGGTGTGTACTACTTCGTCGGTCGAGATGATAGACTATACATTCCATCCAAGCTTTTTAAAGGCAATGTCAAGTGTAACTAGTTCCATTGATATGGACATGGTTGTCAGAAGATACGGTACACATTTCTACCAATCTGCAGTGCTCGGTGGATCGTTGAAACGGATTACATCGATTGAAAACGCATCCTATGCAAAGGAATCAACAAAGGCTTGGTCGGAAAGGGCATCTCGTTCGTTTAACGGCGCCGTCTCTACACCATACTTTTCTGCTAATGCCGTGTACGCCAATTCTTGTGACACGAGTGTATCTGGTGAAAAGCAAGAATCGATGGAAATACAATCGACTAGATCAAGTGTGTTGGTGTTGGGTGGTGAGCCAGGTTCCTACTCGCCAGGTTCAACGAACCAAGGAAACAGGTTGAGGGAAAGTGCCGAACTCAAGTACTACAAAGAAAACGCATTCAAGGAATCATTCGCGGGTAAAATATCAGCATCCGTCTTTATCACGGTCAATGATCCCAATGAAGATATGGTTGCACCAGCCATGGACCAACCTGCACACATCACAGTTGAGTGGACCAGTGGTAAAACAAGTAAAATCGAAATCAAGGGTATCTTTAAAAATACCTCTCTTGTTTCCTTTCCCACCACCCTTTCGTCAAAGTCAGGCTGCTGCAGACTCGTATCAATGGAGTGAGACTGCTTTCCAAAATATCACAGGGATGTTGTGGTGGAAAGCTGGTATTGCCAAGTAGTACCATCTCCCAACCTACCGAAACTCGCTTCGATTCCCTTACTGCTTCGACTTTGATGTCTCGATGAATCTCGATTTTTTCAGAAGCTCGGTTGTGCCAACCATCACATTCAACCTGCCAACACTACCAACCAACAAAAAGTACCAATTCTATTTCGTGGATTGGAAAAAAAGATATGGTTTTAAATATGACCGAGCTACCGGTGGCGTTGTAACTACTAACACCAAGGATTTGTACATGTCGTATCGGGAGACGTTGGGAACACTACCTTCCATCATTATGGGCCCTACCCCCTATGTCTCGATGCACCATCTGTCGGCACCACTGGCCAACCTTTTTTGGACTTCTAGGCCACATGTCTTGGATTAACACAAAGAGCTGACAAACTGACACTCTACCGTAGTACATCTGCCATCAGCTCTGTCACCTAAAACATTGATGGCGCCACTAAAAATGCCATCGAGACAATGTATGGAGAGACACCAAGATACACTGGAACCGAGGCAATTGTAACAGCCAAAGCACAAGACTATTTCGGACACCAGTACTGTGTCAGATAGATTATGTGAGAAACATAGTAACAACAACCACTGGTGGCTGGCTCACATCAGTTAAAGGACATGGCAACCCAAGAGCTGTTGGATGTAAACTCGAGGCTCCTCGTGACAACATCCCCTGTACCACATGGTCAACCGCATGTTACACCGCTGACAAAAATGAGTTTAAATTTAAGGAGTATCCTTTGACCGACATTTCTACTCTTTCACCTGGTGCATCATCATCTGTAAATAGTAGTAATAATGTCAAATATAATAGTTTTAAACTGACTGCTGACAGTATCAGCAATAACAAAAATAACGATAATAATAATAATAATAATAATAATAATAATAATAATAACGATGGTACAAATAGTAATAATAATAATATTAAATTGAATAGTTTAAATCAACTTAGTTCACAAAATATAAATAGTTTTATAGATAGTTTAAATAGTGTATCAAACGAAAGAAAACAAAAGTTTAACCAACTTGGAGGAAATTCAGAGATATTCCAATTCGATGAAGAATACGAAGAGGAATTACAAGAGATTGAAGATAAGAAACAAGTAGCTCTACCAGTTCAACAACAAGCTGGAACCTGACAATGGATCATCGGGAGTAGAGGCACTTTCTTCATCAACATTGTCTGATGAAGATGACCAGCCATCTGCACCAAGTAGTAGAGCTCAACGCGATGCCAACCGATCACGTAGTGACCATTTGAAATTGGGTACTTCATTGCCCGTTTAAATCCCTTCTCGAATGGCTCAAGCCTTGAAACAACAACAACAATCGGTTCAAAACCAAAATCAACTCTGTCTTCAACATTATCATCAACTTCGACAATGCAATTATCTAGTACATGTAATAATAGTAACAATAATAATAATAATAATAATAATGGTAGAGTAATCGATCCTAAAAACACTCTTGGTAATATGGATTTCAATTATCAATCTGAAAATGAGAAAAAGAAATATGTTACACCAAGACAAAATTAAAAATGTTATCCATTGTAAGATAGAAAGAAAGATTGAATTTGTAGTTTGGATGATTTTGATTTTTTTGCCACTATCTAAGATCAAAGACTAAACATCTGTTTCAATTAAAAACCAATGTTCTTTTTGTATTTCAATAATAGGATTATTTAGTTTAATTTATTTATTAGGTTATTATAAATTAAATAGCGAAATCAGTACCTTCGACACTTGTTGATGAACGATCAAGCTATCCTTTCAACAACATCATCAGACTCTGTATCCAACCCAACATATATCAACTGTAAGGGAAGTATGGGGTGGAAGGTATGTGGATAGGATTAGAATAGCACTAGAAACAATATAACTAATGTGTTTGATTTAAAGTCACCTAAAGTATCAAATGTGGTAAAAGATTATTTAAATTCAACAATGACCTTTAATAGACTATCTACAAATTTAGGTACCGAATTAAAAGAAATGGCAAAGGATCAAAGAATTAGTGTCATTGATTTAATTGTATCATTTGCTCAAGATTTAAAAAGAAAACAAAAGATTGGTAGTGGAAGATCAAACAAAGTTCTTTATGATAGCGAGATTGAAAGAATAATGAAACCATATCATAGAAAGGGATTTGAAAGAGTAATAGCAAGTGATCAATTAAATTTTATTGGAACCAAAAGACAAGATGTCATTTATAATGAATTTGGATCCACACAACAAACCAGGAAGTCATTGGGTTGCAGTATACATTGATGCGGATAAAGACAAATCAGTAGAGTATTATGATTCATTTGGTCATGAACCAACAAATGATTTTATGAAACAAAGATTTAATTGATGAAATCACCAGATTATTATTTAAAATTCAAGGTAAATAAAGTATTTGATCAAGCATCAAATAGTACAACATGCAATTAAATTTTTATTAAATAGATACAATGGTATACCATTTAAAGAATCAAGTGGTTGGAGTGATATATCAAAAGAGGAAAAGCTTAAGGCACAACTTATTTGTTGTATTCATACTTGCCTTCCAAATCTTGTATTCTTGTCTTCTCTTTCCTCCTTTGCTTCAAACAACATTGAATCACCATGAACCCTTGTAATCTCTTTTTTTTTATCTATAGAGTGATGAGCTTTTGTTAGTTTGATTCTAATTTCTTTTGTAGCATTTTTCTCTTTTTATGTATGCTCTCAATTTCATGAATCTAGGGATTCCAAAGGAAGATCCGTTCTATTCAAACCAATAGTATCTGTACTGTAAATTTATTTAGTGGTATTGATATAGCAATTGTAAAAGAATTGGTATGGTGAACAAGAATCACCTTGGCAAAGGTTTCCTATCTTTTTTTATCATTCAAAAAAAGAGATAATAAAAAGCAAGGTTCATGGTGATTCAATGTTATAGTTGTGATCTTTTACTTTTTCGCTTTCTAATCGATTCATATTATCTCTATGAATCTTTCTTTTTAAATGTTTATATTTATTTACTCTTGATGTCATAACGATTTATGTTTATGATCTTGATAGTATTCTTTATATGTTTCAACCATTTTTTTATTTCTATATTTATATAAATTATTATCTTTAAAAAGAAACAAATAACAACAAGAGATATTACAAGACCTTTGAATTAGAAAAAGCAGATAAAGAGTATTTATCAAAACAAGAATTGTATAATTTATACAAGACACCTAAAAGGGATTCATTTATTAATATGCCTCATATTCAAGAATATACAACTTTAAACATCAAGCAGATTTGTTATTTTACCAAATGATAATGGATTCAAGTATGCATTGGTAGTTGTAGATTTAGCAAGTAGATTGACAGATGCAGAACCATTACAAAATAAAACAGCAAAAGAGGTAAGAGATGCATTTATCAAGATTTATAAAAGAGGAATACTAAAACCAAATATTATTCAAATGGATCCAGGCACAGAGTTTAAAGGTGCGACAAAGCAATTTGAAAGGTGACCAAGATTTAAAAGAATGGGTAGAAGATTTACCTGTTATTATTCAAGCGATGAATAATAAATTCAAGAAATTAAAAAAAGATAGGAAACCTTTGTCAAGGTGATTCTTGTGAATTATTGGATTTAGGAACAAAGGTACGTGTAAAGTTGGATGAACCGAGATTAATTGAAACCATCCTTCCTCCTCTTTATAAAGTCAATGTTTCAGATATATGGTACACCAAAAATCAATTACAAGTTGTAGATTAGAAAAGAGTATAATGTCGAGGATCAAGAGAATGGCAATTAGATCTTGCTACAGTTGAAAAGCACAGTACCAACAATTTAAATCAAAAATCAAGGCTAAGATCTTTAAAAGGTCAGTGAAAAAATTATAGTTTTTATTATTATTATTGTTCCTATTAATAATAATTTCTCTTCGGTCAAAGATTGTACAATAAAAAAAAACCGTTGATCGTTTCTATGCGTGCACCAGATTTTTTTTTATTTTTCGTCATCAATTTTTTAAAGAAGGAAAAGGTTTTGTTGATCTTCACATGGGTCCTCACGCTTTGATGCACAAACCACAATGTTTAAATTATTTGTTTCAATATTTATTTTAGTTCAGATTGGGTTTGTTTACTCACAACCCACCACCTCTCTCTGTCATTTGGAAGGATTCAATTTCACAGCATACAAGTAAATATTTCGACAAGTAATCAATAATAGTGAAGATCCTTCTAACACCCTCTTAGTCAAGAGTACAATTTCAATACAACATCATTTGCTTATTATTTCAATCCTTGCCAAGCTTCACAGAAATGTGCCCAAATTAACGCTAGACTTACCAACACCTTGGCATGCCAATATAGTATATCTTCAAAAGAGTCATTTCCTTTGGCAATGACAAACATGACGTATAGCAACTTTATTGTTGAAAATGAAAGTAAATACATAAATAATTTTTTATCATCAGATCTCAAGTATAACTAACCAATTGATTTCCTAGAAACTAGAGTTTATAGAGATTTTACCACTTCGTCAGGATGTTTAACTATCAAAAGAGCCGCTAGTGTACATTTTGTTTTTGATGGTGCATCCTCAATTGTAAAGGTAGAAGAGCCTTCTTCTTGCATTTACACTATTACTATAAACATGGGTCCCGAGCCATGGGGCAAAACCACTGGTGTTACGACTGGCAATTGTGGTTATAACAACTCTCTTCTGCCACTGTCAAAGTATGTATTTTAAACTTTAAGTACCTTTTTCTAACTTTACAATTAACAATAATGATTGGCAATCATATAAATATATAGCACTGTATATATGAGTGCATCTATAGATGCAGATTCTGGGACTCGGGTATGTTAAAAACAGTTTACACCATCTATATTTCAGTATTAATTTTCATTATTAATTTTCTTTTCATTATTTTTAATTTAGTCGGTCACTTATTTTGGAGTTTGTTCATCTCCTCAAATTTGCCAACGTCCAGAGTTTGGAAACAAATTACCTCAGTCTTGCACCTTTTCCAATGATGGAAGTGGTTGGGTGTCAGGAGGATTGATTACGAGCGACCCAAATTCTTGGGTACCAGTTGGTGGTAAATATTTTCAAAATCATAATAATTATTATTTAAATTAATCTTTATTTTCCATCACCAGATAATATAATGCAAACCACTTATTCAGTCAACAAGTGCTCTTACCCTTCGATGTACAATACTATCCTCAAAGCTCATTGTTATAGACAACAACCCATACCAATAGCTATGATCGAAAAAGGAAATCCTTCGAAAGGAACCTCACAATGCTCAAAAACTATCAATTTTTACACCCCTTTAATTTGCAAGAGTGATCCATCATGCATTGTGACGTCGCCCTACCAAAACAGTCAAAAAGTTGATTTGAGTGGCTTTTCTCAAAAAGTATTTACTTTTTACCAATTAGAAGTCCAAAATCAAAGGGTATGCAAATATATTTATATTACAACAACTGGTTGCCTTTTGGACTAACTCATTTCTTATTATTATTATAGTATACTTACTTTCTCCATCCCTGCCCAGTACCATTTAGTCGATATATCGGTGGCACTGATAACACCTTATGTTTTGCAGTTAGGGTGAGGGCCCTAACCGCACCTGTTTATGAATGCTTCGACGGTTGGTCGTCATTTGGGGTTGATCCTTTCGTAGGCTTTAAAAACAAGACCTCATCGTTGGTGATTTATTCAGGGTACACTCAGATGTATCTGTACAATATTCCCTCCAGTGCTATTGTCTCTCGTGTGAAACCGCAAACCTTACCTGTATCGGACCCCAACATGGCCTTTGATTTGTACACTACAAGTGGGGACTTCTATTTAGTTAGCCAATAATTGCAGCCTGGTTTACTAAACAAGAAATGTGTTCAAATAAATAAAATTATAAAGAATAAACAATATTTTATTGATTGGTATTATTAGTTGCAAATCTCTTTGACGAATTGTCCAGAAAAATATTCGCACTGACGAGCAGCTCTTGGTATGGTCATGATAATTTCTGAACATTCATAGTTCTGATAATAGGATAAGAGGATCTCTGAATTGGCACACGATTTCGAGTTGTAGGCTGCGCAAAGATGGTTAGATTGGTACTCGATCTTTGTTTGTTTGATACCATCAATGCACTCTTGTAATGTGTCATAATAATGAGTTTGGATGCCTTCTTTTGGTGGGAGCGAGGCTACACATGATGTTTGTATTTGGTTAGCACAACTTTCCTGTTGCACCATTCGAGTAGGATCTCCTTCACATCCCAGGTTATCATAAACAGATAAAACGGGTGACCCATCATAGCACCTGTAAGCTGTGTTTCCTTGGCAACTGCTACTTGGGTAATAAACTTCGAATTGAGATAAACCTTGACATGAAATGGAATCGTGTCTCGAAAGTTTGACGTAGGTGACGACGGTTGGAGGTTCTGTAGTGGTTGTGTTTTGTGAAGAAACAATGTAAAAAAATAAATATAAGAAGGGTAAAAGGATCTTCATTGTTTTAAATTAGATTGAAAGAAAAGCGAGGGTTAAGATATTAGTATCAGAAGTCGATTTCTTTTTTTCTTTTTTTTTCGTACGTAAAATATATTTCATTCTTTACAGATGAGAGTTAAAGTTAATAATATAAACTTTTCTTTTTGGATCCTTTTATGTGCATTTAGCACCACGATTGTTTCAAACACAATAATAAAAGAAGGATACTTTTTTCTTGGCGGATAGATGAGTTCTTAAGTTGTAATATTATTTATTTTTATTTTATTTAAAAAGTTCAAAGAATCGAATGGCAATGGAAAGTTTTATAAGGGATCTACATCGTTACTGCTCGGTCCTGGTTCTGTAGAAGTAGGTTTGTCAAAATTGAAAACCATGATCGAGTCTTGGTTTGCCAATAGCCTATGGGTTGCTCCTACATATATATTAACATACCCAAGAGAAGAGGGCTCTGTGTTGCAAAGTTGTGAAATAGGGTCATCAGGATCATTTGGGCAATTCCACAATATGATCACTGGGTCTGAGAAATTGTATATTTGGATTGGAGGCAAAGACTGGGAAATAGAGGAGTGATAATCAATCCCTTGATTGACCGAAGTGCTTTGGTCTTGAGTTTCCAAGAGATACGGGTTTTGTCTAACTTGAAAACCGTAGACCTTCCCAACAAAGAAATCCAGTTTGTGTTTGGTCTTTTTGATGGTGTATCCTTGTTCTGTCATAGTTTCAACATCTGGGGATGGAATGGAGAAAGCTCCGTGGCTTCCTGAAATTGTTGAGCAGACTTCTTTGCTGAAAAGTTTTGTGTTGTTGGATGGTCCAGAGTAGGTGTGGTAGACGGTGTAACGGTTTCCAAATTCATACGAGGCTCTAATAGGTTGGAGAGTTTTGGCATTTGATGTCATGGTGTAGGGCATGTCGAAAGTTTGGAGTCCTAAAATGTCAGCTACAAACAATTTTGGGGTACGACCGGGGAAAATGGGTGCCGTCACATTATACCCACTGGCAGAGCTATATTGGAGACAGGTGACTAGTCCTCCTGTGATTTGGTCTTCAATAAACGAGATCGTTGCTTGGCAATTAGAGATTGATTCAGGAATACCAACAGGGAGATACCTTACTTGTCCTTGTTTTGTTCCAGTGGAGAGAGGATGGAAAAGGTATCCACGGGTTTTACCATCAATGTCTGTTTTGACAATGAGTTCATCCACATAATTATTGAACCCGTCAAATAGATTCGAGTTTGAACCGTTGACCACGGTGACGTATGCCAACTCCCAAGTGGAGTTGATTTTGAATATGAACTCTGTCATGCATCCGTCTTTGGTACAGCCAACTGATGGAAGACTGACCATAAACATCTCCGAGGTTTTGTTGTCTGGGCTGTAAAAGGTGATGGTCAAATTGCTCAAGGCAATTCTATCACTTTGAGTCAAAGTGATGTTGAGTTTGCTTTGCTCCACCGAGTACATAAAAAACATTGTAAGGGTTCCTGATGATGGTTCAAGGCCAAGGTAGTATTGATAACCTTGGAACCATAGATTCTTCATAGTCTTTGAGGTGTTTCTCTCTTTGGTCAACCAAGTCTCTGGGATGATGTCTCCGATGAGACCAAGAGTATAATCGATTGGCACTGGACTGAGATCTACACTCTGAGACCAATCTCCTACAAATAGAAATAATATTAATAAATGTAAAAATCTAACACATTGATCTATATATATATATTGTTATGATACATACCAAAATTATTTGGGGTTGAGTAATCTGGACCAAAGCTACCAACACGTCCTCCTTTTACAATGACATGGCTGGATGTGGAAGAATCGCTAAACTCTTTTTGTGATTCTTCGGTTACCGAAGAGTCCATTGACTTTGAATAATCTGCAGACACTTGTCCGATGGGGGCGGATATACTACCAGAGAATGAGATTTCGGCACTCTTTTCGATTGTTCCAGAGTTTCCAGAGGCCAGCTTGGAGGTTTTTACATTGATAATCGTTTCAAGGGACCCTCCCAGGACAGCAGATTTATAATAAAATACACCGTATTTTTCAATAAATTTTGCCATAACATCTGGGCTGATAATATCAGAGATGTCAAACACAAAATCTTTGTGGAACCGAACCGAGTTTCTTGAGACTGTTGAGGTGATGCAGTTTGACTTGGTAGAGACAGTCTTTCCTCCCTTCATGCTTTCCATATTCTTGGCAATACTGACAGACTCACTCTGACTGTAAGCTGCCGAAAAAGATGCAGAAATATACGAGTATTTTCCAGATACTGTGGCAGAGACACTGATCTCGGATTGACTTGTTTTATCTTCCTTGTAAGCCTTGGAGGATTCAAAAACTCTGGATGTAAGGTCAAAGGAGCACTCTGGACTGATTTCGGCGTTGTATTCTGGTGGAATGGAGTGGACTCGTAGTCTGTACATATTTTGTATTAAAACAAAAGTGTTGTTGTCACAATAGCCATTGTCAAATACGTAACTTGGCAACTCTTCTCCAGTCAGTAAATCCAATCCATGGGCAAGATGGTTTAAACCTGGTAAAGAAAACAGTCTTTGGTTATTGAGAAGATAACCAACGGTGTCCTTTTGTGGCACTGGAGTTGGAACGGGAGGAAGCTGAGCGTCGCACATTGTACCAATGACGTTGTAGCAATCGATCAAGCAAGATTCTTTGGGCTCGTTACATGTTCCATCACCACAGACAGGGAAGTCTTTTTTAATTCCTCCAATGTCACATTTCTTTTCATTTGGATCATTAATTCCGTCTCCACAAACTAGATAAAATGAAATAATCATATTATTAATAATGTGAAATTATTATTTTAAATATGTATTCTTACCATTTTGAGAAAAGAAAGGTTTTAATATGTTTTTTCCGTTTTCGAAAAGGGAAATGGTTAAATTAGAATGGGAGTCGGTGCTTGAAGTATAAAAAACAACTTTTAAAACATTGATTACATTGGCTTGGACTCGAACTTGAAAGGTTTGGTTGAATGAGGTTTGAAGAAAACTTGATTGGATGACATCAATGTGGTTTAAAAAAACGTTCACACCTAAATTGGACCCAATAGCTTCTAGTACATATTGAGAGCTTTGCTCTACCTTAAAGAAACCCATTATAGTACCTGTTTGTTTTTTTGATGTATACAAGTGATGTAATTCTAATAAATAAATAAATAAATAAATAAATAAATAAATAAATAAATAAATAAATAAATAAATAATAAATACCATTTCAAGGTTATTGTATATTATAAATATTTAATAGGTTACTTACTGAATTGATTTAAAGATATTGGATAGGTAGGTTCAATGGTACAAATACCACTACCACAATCAAGAAGGTCGAATCTGGTTCCAGAAAAACTGCAACTTGGGCAATCTTGAGGACAACCTAAACAGTTTTCATTTCCTTGGCAGGTGCCATCGTTGTTGCATTGTTGCAAAACAGCTTTTTCGTTCCATGAGAAGGTATCTCCTTGGGAAAAATCACAGGCAGAGTTCTGGGAGCATAGACTGGTCATTGTTCCAGCTTGGACGACGGACGAGTCACCAGTGCAAAGAAAGGCGGCAGAGCTAATGGTAGCGTTTTTGAACAAGATATCAGATGATACGGCCTGGACATCGACAGCAGTTGATGCAGAGTTACATTTGATGGTAGAGCTAGAGATGATGGCATTGGAGTTCTCCATGTAAATGGCACCTCCCCCGCTGATTGGATGGTTTCCTGAAAAGTAGCACCCATGGCACATGAGATAGCTTCTCTGGGTGTTTGGAGTGGGTGGATTCGAGGTCATATAAATGGCAGCACCGAGATGGGCTTTTCCTTGGTAAAAGCTTGTTTGGGTCAAACTTAGATAGGAATGTCTAGAAAAGATGGCTGCTCCGAAAATACCATAACAATTGTTAAAAACAAAAGAGGACATTCTCAGAGTCGAGTTTTGAACATCAAATCCAAAAGATACAGTTTGGCAATCTACCTCGATCAATTGTTCGTCTCCTTGGTTCCTGTGTAAAAAAAAAAAAAAAAAAAAATTAATTAATATATATTACCCATATCGCGTCTGTATGTAGTTTAGGATCTTCATACCTAATCTCCAAATCTACAAAATTTAAAATGGTGACTTCTCTGTTTGAAGGGCCGTCATAGACGCCAGGGCTAACGATGATTGTGTTTGGTACTTGGTTGTTGAGTTGTGATATTCCATCTTTGATTGATGGGCACGGGTTGAGTTTCTCTCCACACGGTGATCCTGTTCCAATAATCGAACTCTTATCAACATATAAGATTGAAGAACTAGACAAGACCACAAAACATGTGATAATACTAAATAGTACTAAAATAAAACTCTTACTAGCTCTTGATAACATGTTGCTTACTTTTTATCGAATTAAATTGGCACCACACAAATTTAAACCGTAACAACACTGCATAGACAGAGGAGAGCACAATAGATTGAGAAAAAAAAAAATTAAAAAAAAAAACATAGATATTTCCAAAAGTCCATATGTCTGATCGATTGTTTATGATGTTCATCTGTTCAAAAATCTAATTTTTTTTCGGTCTTTGGATTGCTGTATAGTTGGGTGTCTTGTTGTGATACAATCATTACTTACTACACACAAGACATGATGTTCTTACCAAACAAATATTTAACCGTTCTATTTCTACTCCTTATTGTTCAACAGAGTATCGCGGTTGACATTATTGTTGACGTGAATTCATCTTGTTCACCAAGCTGTGATGGATCAGCACTCAAACCTTTCAACAACATTCGAGATGCAATAAACGCAGCTTTACCGTCAAGAATAAACTACATCAACATGCTAAACGGAACCTACAAAGGATTAAACAACAAAAATCTAGTCATTTCCTCCTCGACCATCATCCTCGGGTAACTAACAAGAAATAGATAACAGATATATTTAGAGATCAAATAATTAATATTTTTTATTTCAAGTGCTACCAAAGGCAACCAAGTGACGATTGACTGTGAACAGCTAGGTTCAGTATTTAGGATCGAAAAGCAAGGTACCGTAACATTGAATGGAATCAAAATCCAACACTGCTCTGGCTCTTCTGGCTCGTCTATTTCCATCTATGATCTCTCCACCGTCATGCTGGAGAATGTTACCATATCTTCGTCGAAAAGTGATTTGGGGTCCATCTATGTGTCTCAGTCCAATCTGATCATCAACAACGCCACCTTTAGTTCCAACATTGCTATGGTTTCAGGTGGTGCCATTTATGCTTGTCAAGACTCCAAGGTCACAATTTCTGGTTCCTTTTTTTCCGAAAATAAGCAACGACTAGTCGTAAACGAGCAAGATACTCTTATCTACTCTGACCTTGCCGTCGATTCATCCTTTGCCTCTGTGGATCAACTCGGCTCGATTAAAGTCTTTTGTCTCTCGCCAAACTCGATCGCCACAAACAAAAACACAACCAAGTCTATTTGCACCTCTGCTAATACAGCACCTGCCGATACCAGTCAGGACAACTTTTTTGTGTGTTCTGCCAACTCCAACACCAACTGCTCAACCTCTTTCAAAGGGTTTTACAAACAAGAGTACTTTTGTACAGCCGCCAATTATACGAACTGCTCAGTCTACCAATTCACCTACCAATCGACCCCTTCGTTCACCATCATGGACTATAGGGATGGACCACTCAAAGGTCAACTCGTTGGCTATTTTGTCGTTCCATTTAGTACCCAAGTCTACTTTCGTTTCACCTTTGACAATGTCGGCTTGAAATTAAGTGTCAATAACAAATCCTTGTTATCCTATGACAACTCGATCCAAAATCTCTCCCAAGAGCCATCGTCCATCGTCGAATCCAATGTCTATTTGGTTCCATCGTCTGTCCACAAGATGGTCCTAGAGTACAAGTCCAACAAACAATTCATCGAAGGCCAAAGATATTTGAACATGGAATACCGATTCTCGACAACAGATTCATTTTCTCCATTGACCGATCTCGTTTTCTTTTCTCAAAACAGATGTGGCGATGGCATATACGATCCAACCGAGGTTTGTGATAAGCCATTGGTCAGCAATTCTACGTGCGGAAACGGTGTGTGTGACGAGGAGCCAAATAGCTGTGTCCAGGACTGCCACCAATATTTCACACAAACATGTCCGCCAATCACAACAAGAAGAGGTCGAACCATCCCCATGTTTGTCTCGTTTGACACTGTGGGCGAATTATTGCTCAATACCTTTGATTGGAAGCTCCCAGGTTACCAACACCTCAGTTTTGGTGTGGATATTGTATCTGGCAAACCACAGATGAATCCAATTTTCCTCTTTGATTTTTGTAGTCAAGCCGAATCCAGAATCATCGAAGATTCCTACCGAAAGGCCCACTACCAAGTCCCAATGGAGATGGACGTCGTTTTCCTTCCCATGTGTACGTTCAGCCAAACAAACAAGGTCTGGAACAACTCAGAAGAAATCAGAAAGGCTTCCTCATCGCAATCCGAAGTTTCCTATGGCGCCCAGGCAGGTGGAGGATTTAAAAAAATATCGGTTCAAGCTAGTGTGGAGTTTTCCAAGAGCCAATCTGTGGAAAAAAGCTCAAAGTTAAAGAAATCCTCCTCTGGAAGTATAATTGAATCTGGGGTTGTGTGTCGGGTGTCTAAAATTGCTTTAAACTCTTTCCCTCTTCATCCAAACTTTATTTTTGAATTGTCACAAATCAATTCCACAACCCAAGCTTTTGCAATGATTCAAAAATATGGAACCCATTACTACGTATCCGCCACTCTTGGTGGTCAACTCAAACAGTTTACTTCGACCACGATGACTGTTACTGAAAGCGAAGCCAACTCCCAGTACTCCCAGTCCTTGTCAACCACTTTTGGTGCCTCTGTTTCCTCTCCTGCCTTTAGTATCTCTGCCGACTATGCATCCAGCGACCAAACCGAAGGACAGCAAGAACAAACTTCAAAATTCCTAAGTCAAACCGAAAGGTCCACTCTTTTAATGTATGTTGATCTGTCAAAACAATTTTTAATCATTATTTTAACCTTTTTTTTTTTTTTTTAATTTTTTTAGATCAGGAGGAGGACCTGGTATTTTTGCACCTGGTGCAACAGCTGATTATGGTTTTTGGTCACAATCCGTTGACGTGTTGCCAGTTCCAATAGATTTCAAGTTGGCTCCCATCAGAAGTCTTATTCCATCAAAGTGGAAATCGATTGGAAACGAGCATATTCGAGATTTGTGGATCAACGCCGAGGAACGATACTACATGCTTGTCAAGACCAACCAGCTGTCTAACCTTCTGGAGGGCGAAAGAGTTGAATACAATCTCTTGTATTTGTTTATTCATACCTATCACGATTTAGGTGGTTCAAACTTGCAGTTTTCCACCAAGATCTTCCGTAATCCTCGAAACTATCTTGGAAATCAGTATTTCGATTCGGTTATTGACTTTGATGCCTTGCCAGACGATGATGGTTCGTTGGCAGACTATTACGGTTGCACCGGATCCAATGTCTCATCATGCTTTTACCAGGAATTCGAAGTATCCCCACTCTTCAAAACTCATCTGGACCCATCTAGTGATAAAATTCTAATCCAAACGACAAGATATGATGGGGGATCCATTGTTCATAACACCATTGTTGTTCCCCTCCAAGGAGGTGCTCACACCAGCTTTCCGTGCGGTGAAGTCTCCATTTCCGGCATGGCAAAAAATTTCCTAGTTGAAAATGTTGCCATCAGCTCATCACAAACAATTATGCTTCCAGCGAACTTTTTGTGGGAAATTGGATACTGTACCGATCTTCAAACCACACACGTTTGGATGTTCAACCATATCCAAGCAAATCTTTTGGTACCAAACAATACTTTCAATGGCTACCTTCGAATTCCTGCTCAACCTATTGACTATGACCAGTTGACAATTCACATTTTTATTGGTGAAAAAACCATCATTAGATACAGTCTTGAGGGAATCGGAACAACATATGCTGGAAAAACAAGACTATTAGCTCTCAACACAACCATCATCTCCCAATTGTTAGTTTCCACTTCTGTGGATTTCTCTCCAATGTGGAAAACGGCTATATCTATATTTACTTCTCCAATGGATTGCCTGGGATTTTGTAAACCTGTCCAACACAATTACAAAGAGCTTGGAGTTGCGTATTGCGACGACCACACATTTTCTTATTACTTTCCAAACACTGAACAGGGTGTTATGTTTCTCAAAGGAGGAGATGGATCCAAATACATCAGTATTGCGTTTACAAGGTCCATTGATCAAGTAAACGCTGATGTCTCTGATTTTGTAGAATATACCCACACCCTCACTCGAGACATTGATTACCAGCAATTCTATCTTGCAAACACCAATCCAGATGCGTTCTATCAACATACAATCTGGAGCCAATTCATTAGCCAGATCCCCTCCCCAACTTTCTTCCCTCAGACAATGATAGACGATTGTAAGAATGATGCTACGCCGCTTTACAAGGACAAAAGCTGCGGAAACTTCGTTTTCAGGGATAAACGTCTTTGTGTGGATCCGTAATATTATAAAGTTCTATATGGAATAAACTTTCTGACTTTTTAATAAATCAAATTGTGAATAGTCCATTCTTTTTTGATCGATTCTTTGATTAATAATCAGCATTGATACAAAATGGATGGCAGACCTACATGATCTTTTCCTCTTGAATCCATCCAGCTCACAACGTCATCTGTTTGTATACAATTTAAGAAAAGTATGTTCTGTAAATAAATTAACTGTTTAATCACAATACTATGGATAATAGAGAACATTATTTATTTACCTTTTAACAGGCTTTTTTATCACTGAAGATGATTTATATTTCAACAATCATCTTCCTCTTCTTCATCATTATCATCACCGTTAACGTCGTTCAAACTGGCGGTGATGATAATGTTGAAGAAGATGAAGATGATTGGAAGTTCAACCACCAACTGTCCAAAGTCTGGTTGATTGTCATCGTCGTTTGGATTGTTATCATCAAAAGTAAATGATATCAATAGCTTCATTGAGATTCTCGGTGTATAGGTGATCAGTCTCTTTGATTTTCTCCAACAACTTGATTGAATCTTGACCAAGAATAGCTGAGGCTTGTGGAGGCTCTAATTCATCTCTAAAAAAGAATCCTGTCTCCTTTTAAGATTTCCTTGACTTCTTGAGAGTTGATCATGGTAGTTGAATTCTATAGAGTTCAAACAATTATTGATTGTTGTCTTTACAAAGATAACATCACGACGATGATGTTTTGTTTAATACTGCAGGCAATTGTACTTGTTATCATATAAAGTATTCTAATTTATTTTCTTTTTTAATTGTTTTTATTTCAAATACCAATATTAATAGATCAATCCATTCAGAGGTTGGTATCTTCTCTGTTGGTGATATTACAATTGCTGTATAACAATCTTGATTTGGTTTTAGAAATCTACGACAAATCGACTATAGACTTGGAAGGGTCGCCCGTATCAATCACATGGGATGATATCATTTCAATGGTGTTCCATTGATCGTCCATTGAAACTAGTACCTTTATCAAATCTTCAACCTCCTGAAAGTTGTTCGACCATTTTAGTGGCTGCAGTCAAATGGTATCTGAGAAGCTCTAGTGCATCTGGATCAGTTCGAGATAGATTAGAGGGCATTGTTTCAGCCAATGAATCGAGTGTTTGTTGAAATAGTAGAGTAGATTCTTGGTGTATTCCACCGTTCTTGTGAAAAGGAGGCTCAATAATTCTGAGGCCTTTGCCTTATCTGTTGTGTTGGAATATGCTGTTGGACTGGTGTGTAGTTGGATCATGGGTGTGATTAAATGTTGAATGTATTGATGATCATTGTTGCTTTATGTGGTTGTTTGTACATGATTACAAGACTGTCGATACAATAACTACTGATTGGTTGATCAAGAAGTATTATTTTCATGGCTGATGGTAAATAGATTGACAAGTTATTTACTGATTTACCTATCCATTGAATAAGTTTATTCCCACAAATCGATTGATTCGATCTTGTTTATATTGTTGAAAATAATATTCGTTGAATTAATTGATTGATCTCTTTGAATCCTAGTTGATCGATAATAAGATGAAACAATTCAAGGACATCACTTAAAATGTCATTATCATTTGGAAAACGATCCAATAATGTAATTATTGTTGTTGATACTGCTTTTAAACTCTAAAATAAAAAATAGATAGAATATTGATGATTAATAAATAGAAATAAAGGGGAACCACTTCACTTATATTGTACCTACTGTAAATTGAGGAATGTGATGGTATGTGAATGTGTATACAAAAGATATAGCAGAATCTATAACCTCCCAATGATTTGATTGAACCGACTTTAGAGTGAGGTTGACAATACATTCTTGCCAAAGAGGCTCTGTAGGAAATACTTTTTTCAACATTGGGATGCAAATTGATTCTTATTATGACGATCTTGATCACAGACCTTGATTAGAGAGGATAATAAACGAGGATATGGCGAAGCTTGATTGATGATGTGATTAATAACGTCTTTGGTGATATCTCGAAACTCTATACTATTGATAAGCATATCTAATAATGATGCATGGTATTATTAGAATGAATAACTATGACGCACATATTAGAGACAAATATTCAGATTTTTTAAAAGCATTATCAACAACAATCATTACATTATTGGATAGTTTTCAAAAAGATAAAGACATTTTAGATCATGTCATTGGGTTTTTTAATCATACTCACCAACTTGGATTCAAAGAGACTAATCAATTAGTTCAACGAATATTATTTTCAAAACAACAACAACAACAATATCAACCAGATCAAATCAATCGATTTGTGAATGTATATCTTGTTGGGTGGATAGGTAATTCGGCAAGCAACTTGTCAATTTATTTACCATTGGTCATGAAAAGACTTCTCGGTCAACCAATCGATCATGATTGTATCCGTAGCCTTTTAATCCTCTACAAACAATCACATAAATCCACGAATCAATAATTCAATATTTAATCACACCTATTATCCAACTATACACCAACACTAAAATAGATAATGTCAACGAAAAAACAAATGCTGCAGAATTATTTAGCCTCCTATTCACAAGAACAGTGGAATACAAAGGAATACACCACCAAGAATCTACTCTACTATTTCAACAAATACTCGATGCGCCTACTCCCTCCTCCCTATATCCTTCCAATATAATAAATCATAACATAAAGAGATTATGTGTGATTACCGACATAGTTCAACAAATAATAGTTACAAGAGGAAACATTACAACTGATCAAATATTACAAATCATCGATTTGATCGTACAAACACTACAACTAATTCACTCTAATAATGATAATAGGGAACACTTATCAGAGATTGGCCAATTGAATCTAATATCTGTACAAGATACCTGTAGAAGAGGATTATTGTATTATTTCTTTAATTAAAATATTATCTTTGGGATAATTAAAATAAATATAAATAAAAGAAAGTCTAAAAAAATATATATATATAATTTAGAATAAACTTAAAGTTTAATATCCTAGATCGTTCATTAGGATTGAATTTATTTATTCATTTAGAATAAGAGAGCGAAGGCAGCAACCAAGACGAACATGATGGAGGCTTGGATGGCAGAGGCAGATGAGGAGGAACAGGTGTAGGTGTTGACGGCTTCAGTGGCATCACAGGTAGTGATTTCGATTTCACTGGCGATATAACAGGCAGATGTAATGTCACATTCTTGAGATGAACACTTTTCGGTACAGGCGTTGTTGTTGTTTGAACCAACATCGACACACTTGTTTTCAGTCATACAGGAGAAGTAGGCGAGGACGGCGTCCTTGCATTCACCCATGGTTTCGTTGGTGTGAGCGAAGGATTGTTGGCAGACTTCCTTGGCACCATCGCAGACACAGGTTTCGAAGTTAGCAACACAACCAGTGTTGACACCAGAGCAGGTAGTTCCTTCAGCGGATGGGGTTGGGATTGGTGCACAGGTACCATCGTGACAGTAGAGTCCAGCAGCGGCATCACAAGCTTGAGCAATGACACCGAGAGGGGTGGTGGCATCGGAACAGTTAGCACCGTTGGCGAGAGAGTAGAGGGCAATGCAAGAGTAGTTGGTTTCGTTGAACTTGTTACAGGTGTTTCCGTAACCGCAAACTCCGGAACCAACATTGGCGGTACAGTCAGCACCGAGGGCAATGGTAGCGTTACAGTTGGTTCCGTTGAGGAATTGACCGAATGGGCATTGGTTGCCGGCTGGGATTGGGTTAACAGCTGGGATGGAGCAAACCTTGGAGGTACAGACTAAAGAAGCACCACATTGGAAGTCAGATTCACAGGCGTCACCATTTTGACCGTAACCCTAAATAAAACAAAAATAATATTAGTATGGTTGGAAACGTTGAAAAGACATGAATTATTGTTAACTGAACTTCTTACAAATTGTTGACACTTGTCAGATTGACATGAGGTACCTGGGATACAGAGAACATTTCCGGGGGTGGCATTGCAAACTTGGTTTTCTTCAATGAAGGCGGTACAGGTACCGTTACCAGTGGAGGTAGCGTTAACATAACAGTATGATTCAACACATGCAACCTTAGCGGGGGAGCCTACGGTGTCAGCAGGGTTACTAAAAAATTGTGTTATAGAATATTGGTGGTGAGTATTTGAATTTGGAACCAAACAAAATAGAAGAATTGTATTAATACTATTTCTAAACATACCATGACTCTCCGAGGGAAAGACATTGTGGGCCGTTTGGGATGGTACAGGTACCAGCAGAGGCCAAAGTGGCGAAAAGAGCGACGAAAGCGACTAATAAAATAACCTTGAACATTTTAGTATGTATATATATAAAGCTAAGTATAAAGTATAGTAGTGAAGTGGTAGTGTCTTGAAGACGGTCTATTTATTAATAATCTCTAGTGAGGGCAAGTTTGAAAAATAACAAAAAAATTATTATTTAATGTGTTGTATCTTGATTCTGCCAGTTGGTGACGCAGTGACCCCCCTCGCCCTCACCGTCGCCCGCCCAACCAACCCACTGCCCAATTTTCAAGAAAAAAAAATGAATAGCGCCCTGCGTTCGTTTCCCTCCTCTGCAAGATATTTTCATCTCCACACAGCGTGTCGCTTGAAAAAACATGTTTTTGTAAGGAAATTTGATGGATAAAAATATCAACTCCCACGATGAGGTCAAAACAAAAAAAAAAACAAAAAAATCTGGACACTCTGACAGTGAGAGTGAGGGGTGATAGATACAGACACAGGCAAAAACCCGACCGAGACTCAAAGACGATACCCCTGCAATTAACGACAGGGCTATCTTCACGTAACAAAACTGTGACTCTAAATTTAATCAAAATATCTTTTTGTAGGTTGATGAGGCAACTCGATCAGCTGTACCGCTCTCTCCACTCCCTACAATGCATCAAAATCGATTGTGCTTGCTCTCCTCTTTCTACTGCCCTGCACCATCTCTAATCCTTGATCGAGATATTTTTACCACATTGTACCAAACGCAACCCCCCAATATTTCGGTGACCTGCACCCATCATTGATGAGCTCACCCATCCAAACCAAGAGATTCCCGACTGTTTATGATACAGCTCAGAAATGCCGACAGATATATTTCAACAATTTGATGATCAAGTCGACGATCAACCCATTTAATTTATTTTTGTTTCAATCAATCATAGCAAACTACTATAGACAGAGAGAGAGTTGGCGCCAATCATCCAACCAATCATAATAATAAACAAATAATTAAATAATTAAAAAAAAAAAATAAGAGAGACAGAAAAAAAAACATCATTATTTTCAATTAGTTTGATACTTTACACACAAATACAAAAGCAGAAAAGGGAAGGGTCAACACAGCCATAACCCAGTTTACTGAGACCTGTAGTTTCAAGAACAAAAATAGAAAGATCAGGGGTTGTGCTTGACAAGAGAATATCTCACGAAACTTTCCTGTTTTTCAAAGCCTCTAAGATTAGATTTACCTTTATATCACAGCATTGTGTGTTTTGTTTGGATTGAGGTTGTGTTTGTGTTTTGTATTAATAATAAGTAGTCGTCGTTTAACTTACCTCATTTTACATGTCATCCACATTCACAGCTATCCAACAACAACAACAGCAACAGCAAGAACCTGTTGTCACCAATCAACATCATCATAATTCACTAGTAATCAAATCAGTTTTAAAAAATCGATATCTATTGCGTAACATTACAAAACACTTTTATCTCTACGATCATCTTGATCAAAAGAATAATTTTGATTGTTTTCTTTCAACTCTCAATAATAATAATAATAATAATAATAATAATACAGATACACCATTATCATCAACAAGACAACAACAACAATCATCTTTTTCATCTTTATCAACATCATCATCATCGTCATTGATATGTCGTGACACACAAATATTCAAGTATGGGGACATTACCGATTTAAATTGGGTATGTCAAAATCGATACTTTTCACTACTCATCTACAAACTTGAGGAATTACACAAGAGCAAGAGTAAGAGGTCAGGATCACAGTCTGCCAAGTCAAAAGAGATTGTTATTAAAGATGAATCTATTGCATTGGTATGCCAATATCTGTCTGATCTTTCAATGATCCAAAAGATAGCTGGTCTACTCTCATTTAGAATGTTTACACGGGATGCTTATATTGCTGCCGCCAGTAATGAGAATACTCTAGTCTTTCAATTTATTGAAAAGAGTTGGATCCAGTATGCCCAGAACCTCAACATTCGCAGAGACACTGTCAGTCTTGCACTATGTGGTGCACTCGAACGACCCAACCTTGAAACCGTCCGTCACATCGTCTCCAAACACTCTCTTTTATTGGAAGGTTCGCTCAACAACCAATACATCAATGCTCAACTACTCCATCCAGACCTTGACCAATACAAATCATTTTTAAATCATCAAGAGCAAGAGAAAGACATTGAGCCAGAGTCATCAACATTGAAACAATATTTTAAAAGCAAATATACAACATTTATACAGTTGATGACAATTGACTCTTTCAAAGTACTAGCCAACAACCAATTACTGGATAATATTAAAGAGAGATATCAATTCCATGATATCTTGATTCAATATTCAGAATTATTAATTAATCATTTATATAATCATTTAATTATCAACAATAATAATAATAATAATCAACAACAAAAAATAATAATGCACTCTGATATTACAATATTACATTATATATATTTTAAAAATTATGATCAACAACAACTCATTGATCATCCATCACAATTTAATTTGGATCAAATCATTAATTATATTCATACTGGTGTTACTGTAGAGCTGACTGAAACACAAGAGATAGTAGCTCTTTTGGCAGAGGTTATATCAAGAATACCGGGATTGTATGGATACAGATATATAAAAAAGGATATTGAACAATTCCAAGTCGATCTACCTGAAAAGATGGTAATCCTAATGTTGGCAGCTGGTAGTAACCATTTAATCGATTTGTTACTTGAAAATACATTGGTCTATCCTGCCAAGAGTACTATTGGTAATCGTAGTGAAACGACTCTTAGACAAGGGGTGGAACAGTTTATTATTGGAAAAGCTATCCAGTATGCCAAACCTGAACAGATGGAATACTTGCAACAACAAAGATTCTCAACGTTTTTCACTGCCATTGGACCTAGCAGTCAACCATTCTCATCGCTCTTATCATTGGCATGCGACCATTACAATCTTGGTCTAGTGTCAGTTTTACTGTCTAAAGCTGGGTTGGAACCAATTGCCAATTTCAATCTATCCAATATAGTCATTAAACTAATCGAATACAATGTTCATCTACTTGTCATATTTCGGTTAGTTGAAAGACTTTATTTTGCAACATTTGTTAATAATAATAATAATTGTCCACCCATTGCAACAAATATAAGATCATCTTTAAAACATGTTGTTTCATATTTACAAGAAAAGGTTAATAGTGAGACTATCATGACACGTCAAAGCTACCAACACTACCTAACTACCCTAATGCATAATATTATGGCTATGGCATGTTATTTTGGTCGTTTAGAGGTAGTTCAATTTATACATAGTATCCATCCAGACCCTTTTACCAGTACAACAACAAACACAAATGGTATGGTAATGAATTGCTTGGTACGTGGTGGTGTGTATCGTGTAGATGAAATATTAGAGTTTTTCAAACAGTCCAATCGATACGACCCAGTAACTCAACCAACTTACCGATTGTTGGGTCAAATTGGAAAAGTCGATTTGTTAAAATCAATCATCGAGCATGTCAAGAACCCATCGTCGCTCATTCTCTCTGCCACCTTTGAAGAGGCCATTATCCATGGTCGAATCGATATCGTCCGATTCATCCATGAATCCTATCCCACCCACTATGTCAATAATGTCGCACTGGCCATTACACACGGACACTTGGATATTGTCCAATTCATGGTTGAAGATGGTTACAAAAACGATAGACTCGGTATTAAACTACATAAAATTGAAGAGTTGGCAATCAAACATTCAAGAATGGAGATTTATGAATATGCCATTCAAAAAGGTTTACAAAAAAAAGAAATTAATCAAAAAAAAGATATTAATCAAAATAATAATCAGAATCAAAATAAGAAGAACAATAATAATAATAATAATAAGAAGAATAATGATAAAAAGAAAAAGAATAAGAATAAGAAATAATTGGTATTTGTAAATATAATAAATAGAATGATTTTCCAAGTTTTGGCGCCAAAGTTTAACTTTATATGTACTTAAAAATATAATGTTTTGTTTTGTTGTATATATGGGTTGATTATGTAAATTTAGGAGGTGTAAGAGGAGGTGTTGATATGGTACTATTACTACCATTAATATTACTATTTTGTGGAGATGATGTTGTTGATGAAGTGGGAGAGGAAGAAGGTGATCGTCTTTGTTGAGGTGATCCATATTTTACACTTGTCTGAGCAATCAGTGTAGTTGCACGATTACTAAAACATATTTTACTTGTAATAGTTGCATTTAAATTATATTCTATATTATTATGATCATTCTTATTATTATTTCCATTATCATTTTCATCTACCATTTCATTATCTTGGTCTTCTTCATCTTGAAATTGTTTCTTTAATATAACCAAAGGATTTTTTAATTTAATTTCTTTACCTTCTAATATTTGATTACCAAATTGAAGTGAGTATATATCCTATATGTAACAATAACAATATTATAAGTTAAATGATCATGTCTATCTATCCTTATCTATCTATCTATCTATCTATCTATTCTAACCTTTTCAACATGAGTTAATTCACCCAATGTTTCACCTTGCAATAGAGTATCACTTTCAAATTGACCTTGAAACTCTAATATACAGTATTGATCGTCATCTTGTAAACATGATTGTTTTGGTTTCTTTATGATTACATTCATTGTCTCTCTATCTATCTCTACCTCTTTCTTCTGATATTATTTATTATCTTCTGATACAGATACTATGAAGGGGGTTGAGTGTTTGAAGTCACTTGCAAGCAATCGCGCGATTTCTTTCTTTTTTGGCTATTTTCTATTTTAATTAAAGTATTTTACTTACTTTTCTGTCAAGCTTGACATTGACACCCTTCTATTTTGTTAATACTAAAAGATAGATAGATAGATAGATAGAGATATACAATAAGATAGATAAGTGTAATATACATACATACTACTACTACTACTATGGATGCAAAAACATTAGGTAGAATAGAGTCTGTTGGTGGTCATTTACTTGCAACTCCACCACATTCATCTGACAATACTAGTAATAACAGTAATAAGACTACTACTACTACTACTATTACAAATACAAATAATAATATTAAACAAATAAGAGTAGAAGGAGGAAAGAAAGTTTGGGAAACAATGGATAATACAGACATGATATTAGAGAGACAAGAGAACCATTGTACCGTCATTTCATTGAATCGACCAAAACAACTCAATGTCTTGTGTACCGATATATTTGTTGGTTTGAATAGAAAGTTATTAAACTATGTTCACAATGATAATCTACATCTTTTAATTCTAAAAGGAAGTGGTAACAAAGCTTATTGTGCTGGTGGTGATATTAAAGGTAAAAAAGTAGCATGTTAAAGTAATCATTATATTATATATTAATATCTATCTTTTTCTTTTTCTTTTTCTTTATCAATAGAATTAACATCAAATACAAGAAAATTAAGTTATTCATTCCCAAAATATTTCTTTACACATGAATATAATATGGATTATACAGCTGCGACATTACGTAAACCAAGTATTGTGTTTTGGGATGGTATTGCAATGGGTGGTGGATTGGGTGTTAGTTGTCACTCTACCTTTAGAATCGTCACTGAAAGAACCGTTTGGGCAATGCCAGAGGTATCGATTGGACTCTTCCCAGATGTTGGTGGTTCCTACTTTTTATCACGTCTACCAGACTCACTTGGTAATTATTTAGGTTTAACTGGTAAAAGTATTACTGGTGCTGATTGTTTGTATGTAAAACAAAATATTAAACATCAAATATGTTTTAATTATTAATTACTATTTATTTGTTTTTAAAGACAATTTGGTATAGCAACACATTATATATTATCAGAAAGATTACCAGACTTGGAAAGAAAATTGGTTGGATTGGTCAATAGTCAAGATAGAAATCAAATTGAATCTATTATTATGGAATTTGCATCAACTCCAAAGACACCATCACCACTTTTACAAGAATGGCAATTGATACAAAAACATTTTGCCAACAAGTTTAAATCGGTAGAGGAGATTCTCAAATCACTAGAATCAAGTGGTACTAAATGGGGAACTGACATGGTTGCTTTGATTCGTAAGAAATCACCAACCAGTGTAAAGATTGCATTTAGACAGGTAAAGGTTGGATCATCGATGACACTTGAACAAGTTTTCACAATGGAGTATCGTATTGCCATTAGATGTCTTGAATCACCAGACTTTTTCGAAGGTGTTCGTGCCGTCGTAGTCGACAAGGACCATAAACCAAAATGGAATCCTTCCACTTTGGAACAAGTCACTGATGATCAAATCGATCGTTATTTTTCTCCATTACCTTTAGGTCAAGAATTACAATTAGGTAGTAATTTTTATGTTACTGGTCTTCATCAATAAAATTAAAAATAAATCAAAGTTAAATTAAATTAAATAATATTATTCTTTATTGAAGTTCATCAAATAAAGCAGATGCGTTGATCGTTGTATCATTGACACCACGATAATGTTGTGATCTTTTCATTGGAGACTTTGGTGGTGGTGTCATTGGAGTTTGGGAATTATTAAATTTGTTCTTGATAGGTGATAATGAAGGTGTGGGATTGAAAGAGGTAGAATTAGAGGTCGGTTTAAATCTTTTTCTAACAACATAATTGGAACCTCCAGATGGAGCTTTAAAACTACTATTACTATTATTATTATTGTTGTTATTGTTGGTACTACTATTTACAAGATAATTATCATCACTTGTCAATAAATCAAGTGATGGCATTGAATTTTGTGTCATTGAATAATGTTGTTGTTGTTGATTTTTTCTTTTAACTGGTGTATTTTGTTGGTATTGTTGTTGTTGTTTACTCTTTGGTGAAATGGATAAAGAAGAAGAAGAATCTTGTTGTTGACTTGATGGAGATGACGGAGGTGATTGAGACAATACCATCAATTTACCAGATTGTTTTTTTGGTGATAATGATTGAACACTTTTTAATTTTGTTTGAAGTGAATTCATTTCTCTTTGTTGTTGTTTTAATTGATTTGTCAATTCTTTAATTTTATGTTTCTTTTCGTTCAATATAATGACAAACTTTCCAAATAAATCCAATTCCATTGATTGTTTCTCACTGGTTAGTTGTTTAATGATATCTATAGATTCGTTGAACTGGGTTTGAAGTGAATCATTTTGTTTGTTTAATTGTAGGTTGTGGTCACTCAACGAGTCCACCTTTCCAATCAACCAATTAAAGTAATCTTCCAGGTTGGCAGTTGAATGATTTGTCACTTTTGATAATATCAAACTACTCTTTAATGATAATTCACTATTATCTAATTTAATATTAATTGTAAACTAAACAAATATAATGTTAATATACCATATAGATATCTATCCAATCTATTCTTTGTTATTATTATATCTTACCTCTAAATTATTTGGTTTAGAATTTGATTGTCTCAAACGATAAGTAAATTGTGTGCCACTTTGATCTTGAGTAATAAGAGCCTTTTTAATTAATGATACATAGTGATCAGTCTTCATTCCATCAGGTTTCAATATATTCTCAATATAATTAATTGATACTAAATATCAAATACAAAAGTTAGGTTCAAACATTAATTATTGTTGTTTAAATTGTTAACTCTACATACTATGACCATTCCAAATTGATTTAGTGTCAGTCAATAATATATCAAATGAACCATTATTATTCCATTTACATTTAATATAATATGAAGAGAGTAAAGGTGTAGCATAAGATACATCAATCTTATTATGTTGTTGTTTTTGTTGTTCAGATGATATAAATGTTAAATTAAATCTTGATATTGATTCTTGAATCGATGATGTCGATGCTGAAGCATTGTCAATCGATGAGGAGGAATTGTCTTGAAATACATCTCCTCCAACTTTGGTATTATTATTATTATTACTATTGTTGTTGTTTATCAATGTGTCATTATAATCACTACTACCACTGAAACTGTATCTACTAAACATGTTGGAGGAATGATAATGCAAGAGATTAATTATGACACCTATACAATTAATCAAGTTTGAAAACAAAAAAAAAGGAGGGAAAATAGAGCACACCAAACATAAGGAATAAAGGTTGATGCGATTCTAAGAACAAACTACGACATTGCTAAGAGATAATTGACATAGTATAGTATAGTAAATTACTATAGTAATTATCTTTAGCTGTGTTTTGTTATGATTATTACATGTTGCCAAAATAGGTTGAAATTTCATGTTTGAGTATAATTTATTTATTGACAAGTAGTCGATCGATGATTAATTTAGTTCTGTACGATTATTAATTAAAAGAGAGTGCATTTGACTGCCATAGAATGCTATTGTTGAACCCTGACTTCTAATAAGCATATGCTCAACGAATTCTCCAATGGGTTCAGTCCTGTTGTGATAGAGAAAGTCGACCACTTCTTTATGTCCTTTAAGAGCAGCTTGTAAAACAGTACCGCCACTACATCCTTCTGTTCTGTGTTGATGAAGGAACTTTACAATTTCAATGTCTCCTTTAAGAGCCGCCTCTGTCATTGCCTTTTCACTGCACGATTCCGGGTCTACTCTGTTTAAATATTCTACTGTTTCAAGACTACCTGATTTTGCAGCCAGGTCAATAGAAAGCCCGCAGACTTTATGAGAACGGAGGACTTTGATTGGAGATATATGTTCGTTGATAAATACCACTATGTCATAAAATCCATTACATAGAGGACCTGTGACGTCAATATAGAGATCTTTGGAATGTTGACTGATTGGATCGACAGAGTCGAGGTACTTTAGTACTTCCAACTGTTTGTTGTCCATTGCGTTTTGAAGTATAGATGACAAATACAAATGAATATCACTTGAAATAGTCTTGAGATATTTGATGATTTCAATGTTTCCAACCTGAGCGGCATGAGAGGCGCCCAATGCGTAGTCTTTGGTGGCAAAGGTATCTTTTCCAACATTGCATATATATTTCACCATATCAAGATTCATTGGTAGATAACTTGACGTAAAAGCAAGAGCGAGTGCAAGACTAGAAGTGAAAAATGGGCTGAGGTACACATCCATATGAAATCGGTTGAGATTGTCAATCACATGTTTGAGTGCCTTAAACTGTCCTTTTAAAGCTGTATTTGCCGTAACTCTATCAAAGAAAGAGTATGCCTTCAACTTGTTATTTATCTTTACCAACTCATTTACTTGTTGCAAACAAAACTCCAACATGTCAATATCTCCCTTGTTTGCAGCACAATTTATAATTTCTTTGATACAATCTGCTTTGGTAGTCTTTGCCTTTTTTAACAGTAGTTTTTTAACACTTTCAAAATAACCATACTTTGATAGTAGTATGATCTTTGTCTGTAGTTGTTTCCAACTGAACACACAACAATGTCTTGGTCGGCCGTCCCACTCGAAATAGGGTCTGACCATTTCAGTAGTGAGATCTTTAACATGATTGAATATGCCTCTTCGAAGTGTTAATGATCCAAAGATCTTGCTGAATAACTCTTCTTTACTACTGATATTACTATTATTATTAATAGACATTTTAGTGAAGTTGGTAGTTAAAAAAATTTAAATGGTTATCTTCGCTCTACAATTTTTTTCACTGTTATGAATTGATGAAGTTGAAGAGAAAGAGATAAAACAACCTTTAAATAGTATTAAAGAATCAGATATTATAAAGAATAAAATGATAATGAAATTTTAATATAATTATATTGTAAGATTAAAAAAAGATAAAAGGAGACGACACATACAACATGGAGTAGAGTTTACATTAGATCAAAAAAGAATGATAAAAAGTTGATTAGAAAGTTAGAAGTATTAGAGGATGAGAGGAAACAACAACAACAACTCTCTAAAGAAAGCAGCCCTGTATTGGCTTGATCAAATCCAAATGAAGTTACCATGATCAAATCAATACAGGATGCCAACTTTAGAGAGTCTGTACTCAAGAATCAACAAGAATTGGACAAAGAAACAAAGAAAAAGATCATTGATCTTACCAATGAAATGAAAGAAAAGAATCTTTTGGAATAGAGTTAGCAAGTAGATTGACAGATGCAGAACCATTACAAAATAAAACAGCAAAAGAGGTAAGAGATGCATTTATCAGGATTTATAAAAGAGGAATACTAAAACAACCCAAATATTATTCAAATGGATCCAGAGGTGCAACAAAGCAATACTTGAACAAAATGATGTATGTTATAATTAGATATGGAGTGGTTGGTAGACATCGTAATCAAGCATTGGTAGAATCAAGAAACAAGACATTGGGTAGTACATTACATAAAAGAATGATGGCACAAGAAATATTAACTCCATCATCAACAATCAAAAGAATGGCCTAGTAGAAGATTTACCTGTTATTATTCAAAAAAATAAAATTTAAATAAAATTGTAAATTAAACGAACGAAAGTTGGTTGGTGGTTCATTCACATCTCACCGTGAGTTGTTTCTTGTTTATTATTATTATCTTTTTTTATTTAGTTTATATAGTTTTATCATAATGATAGTACCAAGATTTTCAATAGAACAAAATGAAGAGTTTATCATTGTGATTGCTCGAACACCTTATATAAAAGCAAAGGAAGCAGACTTTTATATCATGGGCACCGAGTTTAAGTTTTATTGTAAACCTTACTTTTTGCGTCTTACATTTGCTCATTCACTCGTAGAGAATGGTAAAGAACGTGCTTCGTACAACATTGACACTCAACAATTCACATTCTATCTACCAAAGGCTGTCAACGGACAAGTGTTTGACGATTTGGATATGATTACAAAACTATTGGACAAGAAGAAAAAGACACCAACCGTTGCTGGTATTCAAGTTGAAACTAATTCATCAACCAACCCTGATGAACAAAACTTGGAAGGAGATGAAGATGAAGAAGAAGAAGAAGAAGAAGAAAGTGAAAGTGAAGATGAAGAATGGGAATTTGAACAAACTTTACCAAATAATCAACAATATTCTGTAAGTTATTATAAAAATTATTATTATTATTAAAAGTTTGATTATTTATTTATATTTCGATTATTTTATTCTTTTGTTTAAATTGATAGTTGGATGATATAAAGAATCAACCACATTATGGATTTGATAATAATTTTGTAGCATTCTTTAATGATCTTCAAGGAGAGGTTGAAGAGATTATCGATATTCCAATGATCGATGAAATATCAAAGGAAGAGAGAACTGCTGTTAGAATTGGTTTTGAAAATTTGAAATTTGATGAAGATAGATATATGTATGTGAGAAATCAAAACAAATCAAAGATACAAACAAAAAAATTATTAATCTATTTATTTATTTTATTGATTTAATTAAATTTAGGGAAAATTATATATTCCCAGAATATATTGATGAATTATTACATTATAAAGCATTTTGGGAAACTGCAATGGAACAAAAATTAAAATCAAAGTTGGATAAAAATAATAATAATAATAATAGCGAACCAATTCAACCAATTGAAACTCCAAAGGTTGAATCATCATCAACAAATCAAGATATTAAAGAATTAAATCCATCCAATTTAGAGGATTTTGATGAATTGGTTAATGAAACTGAAATGAATAGTGATACCATCCCAACAGATATTGTAAATCAAATTAATTCGGCATTATCTAAAAAGGTTGTCATTTCATCAACTTTTACTACCAGTTCTCAAACTATTGAACCTTCATCATCTTCAAACAAGGTAATTACATTTACTGATGAAGAAAGAGATATTATGAAAAATTTACCAAACAAAGAATGTATGTTATAATTCAATTATAATATAATATAATTTATTGTATTATTAAAATTATTTAATTATTTAATTATTAATACTCTTTTTGTTTTAGATAATGTAAAAAATGAAAAACAATTATTATTAGGATTAATTGATATTGTATTTTCATATTGTTATAATGTTAGATCTACATATGGAGAAGATACTATTGAAAGTGCTTGGAACATTTGCAAGGTATCATCTACCTTGTCATGTATGGAAACCTTTTCTACTTTGAAATCGGTGATTGTTGCTAGTTTTAGACGTAGTATTACATTCCCATTGTTCCGTAGTTGGAAACTTGCTAGTCGTGTATTGGAAGACACTAGAACTATATTTAAATTGGGCAAACGTTGCATCTTGAAATGTTTGTTACATATTCGTAAATGTTTGGAGGGACATGACTACAAGTACTATCTCAACAGATTATATATTGACGATTATTGTGTTTGGTTACAATACGCCAGCAAAAAGAAACTTAAATCACTCACTGCCAAACTCAACGAAGTTGTCATTGAAAAGATGGATGTTGAATGGCCACTAGAAGCTTATGAAAAATTGGTACAAGAAGAAGGAATGGTATTTGGTCAAGACGAAGAAGAAGATGAAGATGAAGAAAATGAATTGGAGCAAATGAATAATAGTAGCGATGAAGAATAAATAAATAATTGGTAATTATTTATTTCTATTTAATTCTTTTTATTTAATTCTTTTTATAAATTCCATTTAATCTTTTTAATTTGTCTATGATTCTAGGGATACAATAATAATATTTGAGTTTGGTCGTTTCAAATGACAATATCAATTGATCGATCCATTCAGAATATGATACCTTGTTAATGGTTGGTGGTATAATCTTGGAATAATCATAGAAATCCAAGACCAACTCTACCAAAAAAGGTGATCCTGGGTGATTTGATAGTTCCTTGTTTTGATTGATCCAATCGACAGTCTTGTCAATCACACGTGATGATATCATTTCAATGGTGTTATATTGATCGTCGTTCATTTCGACAAGTGTTGCTATCAAATCGGCAATTTGTGGATAGTGACACTCATACTGTTGATATTTATCGCTACGAGAATAAATGAGTTGTTGAGCTTGTACAATCAAATCGATGATTTGTACTATTTGATCGGTTGTAATGTTTCCTCCTTGATCTATTATTTGTTCGACGATTTCAGTGACCACAGTCAAATGGGTTGTGAGATACTCTTTTAATTGAAATTCAGACAGAGATTGATCAGAGGGAGCTGGTGCAGTAAAAGTATCGAGTATTTGTTGAAATAGTCGAGTAGATTCTTGGTGGTGTATTCCTTTGTATTCCACTGTTCTTGTGAATAGGAGTTTCAATAATTCTGCAATACTAATTTGAACCTTGCCAAATTTGATATGTGTGTTGGTGTACAGTTGGATAATGGGTGTGACAAAATGTTTAACATATCGATTTGTTTCTTGATGAGATCGTTTAAAAATGGAGGATACCCATTTAAAATCGATTGTTGGTTGGTCAAGCATTATTTTCATGACCGTTGGTAAATAAATTGAAAAGTTATTTGCCCTTTTACCCATCCATACAATAAGATTTTCATCTACAAATTGATTGATTTGATCTGGTTCAAATTGTTTTGAAAACAATATTCTTTGAATTAATTGATTGGTCTCTTTGAATCCAAGTTTATGGATACTATTAAAAAACATAATGACATGCTCTAAAATTACATCGTCATCTTGATAACTATCCAATAATCCAATGACTGCTCTTGATAATTGTTTTAAACTCTAAAAAAATAAAAAAGAATAGAATATTTATAATTAATAAATAGAAATGGGAAGGGATCGTATTTTTGTATACATACTGAAAATCTTGATTCAAAATTGGGGTCTCTTAAAAGAAAGCCTAGAGCATCAGTGATTAAAACCTCCTGATCTGATTCAATGGACTTTAAAACGAGTTTAATAATATATTCTTGCCAAAGAGGTTCAGCTTCAAAGATTTGTTTAATCTGTTTTGCCAAAAAATTGGAACCACGGGCTTCAGTGTCACAAACCACAATGAGAAACATTAATAACCGAGGATGTGGTGATGGTGAAGCTTGGTCGATAATGTTATTAAAAGCTTCTTTGATAAGATCTCTAAACTCTATACTATCGACAAACATTTTACGATAGTAAGGGATATCACAAAATCTTCGAATAAATTCAACCAATTCACATTGAACAAGTATATTATCCTCTTTTAATGTTTCTGATATAACTCTATATATATTTTAAAATAATAATAATAATAATAATGGTTTGTTAGAAATATAGATTGATGTATATATATTTTTTTTATAATCATACTTTTTTAGAAAATCAATACTAAAATATCTACTCCATTTACATTCCTGTCCTTTTTGATCGGGCATATTGGAAGGATCAAACATATTTAATAATTTGATCACTATTAATTTATCCTTCCATGTTTGTGTTAGACATTGGCTGAAATGTTCAAATAGAATAGATAATATATTTTGGTGACGGTTTGCTGAAAAAAATCGAATACGAGAGGCAATTAATAGTCTTTGTTGAGTTCTGGTTTGATAATATATTTTCCACTCTTCCACATTCATATAGTCATTGGGTTTTTGTGGTATGAAATAGTCGTCTTTGTAAGCATCCAAGAATAATGTTGTAATATACTCTTTGAAAAAGTCACATGCAATCTGACCATTCCAGTCTGTTTTCGAAAATAAATCAAATACAGCACCTGAAATACTCCTTTTTAGTTGTTTACCTCTTTGATCTTGAAAACCATATTGTTTGAGCACCAATAAAAACATATGGACATAATTATCACAAATACTTTTTGGTATATCTCTATATGAATGGCTATAGGCACGATATACAGTATCCAAAGTATCGTATATAACATCCAAATATTTTTCTCTAATGTGCGCATCATAATGATTCATTTTCAAGATACCGTATAAAATGTATGTAATGATTGAGCCATAATGCTCTTGTTGATTTTTGCTCCAAAGTTTAACCAACTTTTCTTTGCTAAACAAAGTATTAAACCAATTAAATGTTTGAATAATAAATAAATAAATATCTTCATCATTATTATCTATTGTTATTGAGTGATGTGAGGTTAATTAGTCAGTCTTGTCTTATCAATTTATATTTATATAAACATACATTGATTGAATAACATTAATTGAATTAATTCCATATCGTTTTGAACAAACTCCTTTAATTGTTTAATATGATTGAGCAAGAGTTCATGAATATGTTTTTTTGTTTCATATGATAGATAAGGTAGCAGACACTTATCATTATCAGTACCATCAGGTGATTTGATCAAAAGTAAATAATGTAATGCTTGTGCAGGTCTAATGCATTTATCTTGATTGTATATCTATAAATAAATAACCAAGTTGTATTAGTATGATACTCGAGTATCGCTACACCAACTTCAATCTAAGCAACAACAATACATACAAGATCACCATTATCTTTTTCATTATCCTTTAAATTGCAAGCATTATAAAAGATATGTAGTATGACTTGATCGGCTCGTTGTCGTATACATTCCATTGATGAAGAGTCTTGACAAGATAGTCTAGTGTTGACATTTGATCGTAGTGAAAAGAATAATGGAGAGCCAAGACTGGCTTTGAACAACGCATCTAGATATTCAGCAAATGTAACTACAATTGAAATCGATTCAAGCGAGAGTACTTTATTCGATGATGAATCTGAAGAGGATGAAGATGATGTTATCATTTTAAACAAAGTTGTATTAGTCTTTCATAAGAATAATATAATCTAGTTGGTTGTTAGAGTATAATATTCTTTTCCAAAATTTAAAAAAATATCTAATCTAATTTATTATTATTTTCTCTTTTAATTGTTTTAATTTAGCAATTATTTCTTTGAGGTATTTGTTTTTTTTCCTCTTTTCATAAGGTAATATCAATCTATCAATCCATTCAGATGATGATATCTTCTTCTCTGTTGGTGATATTGTAATGATTTGTGGAAGCTTGGCTTGATCATAGAAATCAACGACCAACTCGACTATTGGAGGCAATGCCTTGTTCTCTAATTCCTCGGTTTGATTGATCCAATCGACAGCCACATCAATCACATTGGATGATATCATTGCAATGGTGTTACATTGATTGTCGCCCATTGAAACTAATAACTTTATCAAATCACCAACCTCTGAAAAGTAATATCCAAGCGAGTAAATGAGTTGTTGTGCTCGTACAATCAAATCGATTATTTGTAATATTTGATCGCTTGTAATATTTCCTTCTCCTCTTGTATCTATTATTTGTTGAATCATTTCCGTAATGACAACCAAGTAAGTTCTGAGAAGACTACGTAAAGAGTAATTAAATTCTGGCGCAGTAAAAATATCGAGTAGATGTTGGAAGAGTTCCAAGTGATCTATTCCTTTTCGTCTTGTGAATAGGAGGCTCAATAATCTTGCAGTCTTTAATTTATGGTTGATATCAACTGACGTTGTGTGTGATTGGATAGTCGGTGCTATGAAATGTTGAACATATCGATTTGCTAATTGTTGTGATTTTTCAAACAAGTTGAAGAGACTGTCAATCCAATAATTATATCTATCGATTGGTTGACCAAGTATTCTTTTCATGACCGTTGGTAAATAAATTGAAAAGTTATTTGTTGTTGAGTTTACTATCCATCCAACAAGATATATTCTCACAAATCTATCGATTTGATCTGGTTGATATTGTTGTTGTTGTTGTGAAAATAATATTCGTTGAATTAATTGATTGATCTCTTTGAATCCAAGTTTTCCAAGAGTATGATTAAAAAAGCGAATCACCCCAGATAAAATGTCATCGTCAATTTGAAAACGATCCAATAATGCATAGGTTGTTGTTGATAATGCTTTTAAACTCTAAAATAGAATAGAATATTGTATTGATGATTAATAAATGAAAATAGGGAGATGTCTATGAAGTTTTTGAAATATCGATTCAATGTTATGTGATATACTTACTATAAATTGAGGATTATCATCGTATAAAAATAAGTTTATTCCATCAACAATAACAACCTTTTGATTTGATTGAACCGACTTTAAAGTGATGTTGACAATGTATTCTTGCCAAAAAGGACCGGTGGGAATGATCCGTATAAGCTGGGGTCCAGGTCTACTACAATATTTAGGTTTCAAAGCCTTGATGAGAAAGTATAATAAACGAGGATGTGGTGATGATGAATCTGAAGATTTGTTGATGATGTGATTAAAAGCTTCTTGGATGATATCTCGAAACCTTATACTATCGACAATATTCCAACAATAGTAAGGCATATCATAGAATTGGTTAATAAATTCCAATAATTCACATTGAACAAGTAGATTATCCTCTTTTAATGTTTCTGATATAACTCTATATTTTTAAAAAAATAATAATGGTTTGTTAGAAATATGATTGGTATACGATATTGATTGATTGATTTACATTATATTCATACGTTTTGAGAAAATCAATACTAAAATATGTTTTCCATTTACATTCCTCTCCTTCTTTATAATCCATATTAATGTAATCAAACATATTTAATAATTTGAGAACTATTAATTTATCTTTCCATGTTTGTGCTAAACATCGGTTGAAATGTTCAAATAGAACAAGTAATATTTTTGGGTGATGGTATGCTGAAAATGATCGAATTTGTTCTTTTACATCAACCCTAGTGTAAATATCCTTTTCCCAGTCTTTTGCATCCATATAGTCACTAGGTTGTTGTGGTATGAAATAATGGTCATTGTGAGCATCCAAGAATACCTTTGTAATATAATCCTTGAAAAAGTCACACCCAATCTGACTATTCCATATGGACCCTTTGTCATCCGAAAGTCCACTGAATATTTTCTCCGAAATCCTCCTTTTTAAATCTTTACCTCTTTGATCTTGAAAACTATATTGTTTGAGCAATAACAAGAAAATATAAATAGGATCAGATGTAAAATCGGCCCAAAATATTTTACGATGTTCATAGACACGAAATACAGTATCCAAAGTATCATATATAACATCCAAATATTTGTCGCTAATGTGTGCGTCATAATAATGATGATCATTCAATTTTAAAATACCAATCATCATTATTTGAATCATTGGGTATTGCGCATAGATGGCCCAACCATTATCCAACATTTCATTAAACCAAACATTGAACCAATTAAATGTCTGAATAATAAATAAATAAATATCTTTATCATTATTATCTGTTGTTATGATTATTATTATAAGATGTTAGTCTATCAATGTAATCAATAATGCTATCATCATTATTTATATTTTTTAATAATATTTATATAAACATACATTGGTTTGATATAATTAATTGAATTAATTCCATTTCGTAATTTGTATATTCTACTTGTTTTAATTGTTTAATATGATTGAGCAAGAGTTCATGAATATGTTTCTTTGTTTCATGTGATAGATAAGGTAGCAGACACATGTCATTATCAGTACCATCAGGTGATTTAATCAAAAGTAAATAATGTAATGCTTGTGAAGGTCTACAACATTTATCTTTATCGTATATCTATAAATAAACAACAAGTATGAGTATCACTTCACTTGTGATTAAAATTGATTGACTGAAAGACTGTCAATTTATATCAACGACAATACATACGAGATCATCATCATCATCATCACCATTATCATCATTTGAAGCATTATACTTTAAATTGCAAGCACTATAAGAGATATGTAGTATGACTTGATCGGCTCGTCTTTGTATACATTCCATCGATGAATCCTCTTGACAAGATATTCTAGTGTTGCCATTTGATCGTAGTGAAAAGTATAATGGTGAGTCAAGACTTGCTTTGAACAACGCATCTAGATATTCAGCAAATGTAACTACAATAGAAATCGATTCAACTGAGAGTAGGACTTGACGATCATGTGTTGTTGAATGTTGAAAAGATGTTGTCATTTTTGAACAAAGTTGTACTTGATCTTCTCCCAATTAATAGTAGTATAATTGATATATTTGTACATGTAAGAGTAAGTAGTGATAATCAATACTTGAAATAGAAACCACAATAATAATAATGATATTAACATATTTTCTGATTCATCTGAGAAGAATGAATCTAGTTTCGTGGAATCTTGTTTTTTATTAATATTATTAAAAAATCAACAGACCACAAGTCATGACCTCAGCTTAGTTCTCCTTTATTCATTGACATATACAGATAGATAGATAGATAGATAGACGAGAGTTACAATGGCTCATTCCGACGTAGATTCCCCTGTAGATACATTAGTATGTTGACTAGTCAAATATATGATGAATAGAGAGATAGAGAGTGAGTGAGTATTTACTTACTATTTTGGTTGATATATATAATCTACTTTACTTTTCTAATCTTTAGGATTTAAAGATACCTCAATTAATCCATCAAATCGATTCAACAGATATAAATGTACTTAGAGAATCAGTGTCATCAGTTAGAAAGGCATTGTCGATTGAGAAGAACCCACCCATAGACTATGTTATCAAATATGGGTTTGTACCAAGACTGATTCAACTGCTTCACTTTGATGACCCAGTCATCCAAGAAGAGGCTGCATGGGCATTGACCAACATTGCATCGGGCAGTCAACAAAATACATACAGTGTTGTCAATCTCAACATCATCCCTACTCTAGCCTCGCTCTTGTCGAGTCCCCACCCACGTATTGTCGATCAAAGTATCTGGGGTCTTGGTAACATTGCAGGTGACAGTGTTGCCCTACGTAACCTCGTACTTGAACAAGACGTCTTACCAGCTCTCCTTGGAATCTTTGAGAAACATTCACGAAACACCAATATCCTCAGAAATGCATGTTGGGCATTATCCAATCTATTCAGAGGTAAACCTTTATCTGATTCTCACTATGTATGTAAACTAAAGATAAGATCAATAGAAATATATAGATATATATATAGATATATTTATTGTATATTGAATATTGAATATTAATTTGATTTAATTTTTAGGCAGAATTAGCGTTACCAACAATAGCAAGATTATTATATTTACAAGATCAAGATGCATTGTGTGATGTGTTGTGGTGTATTTCGTATGTATCAGATACTACAAATGAAAGAATGCAAAAGGTGTTGGATTGCAATGTTGTAGGTGTTTTGATTGGCATTCTCACCAAGGCTGAGCGTCCATTGGTCAGTCCTGCCCTACGTACACTCGGCAATTTCTTGACCGGTGACGATATCCAGACACAGACCGTGTTGAATCACGGAGCATTGGCAGTGTTGGCCAAGTTGCTCGCCAACCCCAAAGCAGAGATTCGAAAGGAGGTTTGTTGGTGCATCTCCAACATCACCTCTGGCAACAGAGCTCAAATTCAACAAGTCATAGACTCTGGTATCCTCCCAACTGTCGTCGAACATTTATTAACTGATACTGCTGCAGTTAAAAAGGAAGCTATTTGGGCAATTAGGTAAATTTAGATAGATAGATAGATAGATAAATATAAAAGATAAAGATAAAGATATTTATATTAACAACAATATTCTTTACTTTTTATTTGTAGTAATGCATGTTGTGGATCATCAGCTGAGCAGATTAAATATTTGGTTGAAATTGGATCAATCCCTGCACTGGTAGCAGGATCAAAATTGGCAGACGACATTACAAAGGTTGCATTGGAAGGATTACATTATATCGCAAAGGCAGGTGATGTTCCCAGCTCATCGTCGTCATCATTGACACCATCTGAAAACGCCTACAAATCAATCTTTAAGGATTCACTTAGATCACTTCAACAAGCACTTATCCCCCATGAATCGAGACATCTCTTCCACAGTATCTTGAGTATGATGGGTGAGAACATTGAAGAGTACGACCTTTCTGATGCATCAGACGAAGAGTTTGAAATGTATGATGATGTTGATGTCGAAGTTCTCAGTCCTGCTCTAGTTCTAGATGAAGACGAAGATGAAGTTACAGATTACTCTATTTCTGGTGGTGAAGATGAAGATGACGAGGAAGACGAAGATGAAGATGAGGATGAAGAAGATGTAAATGAAGAAGATGTTGCCGGTCTAGATGAACTCGTTGATGATTTTACCAATACCGTTGTTATTAAAACAAAACAAATTAATCAAAATAATAATAATCATTAGCTAATTAATTAACCTTTAATAAATTGTAATTTCTTTAAACTTTGTATTTTTTCAATAATAATAATAATAATAACTTCCCCAGTAAACAATTATTAAATTAATTATTTATCATATCAAAGAACACCTGTCATGTGAGTCATTTGCTAGTCATAAAGGAAGGGGTAGGTACAATGCAATTTTCAACTAGATTTAAATAAATCGGTCAGTCGGTCGGTTGGTTGTAGAAACAGAAATAAGATAAAGGTCAGAGTTTCTCGAATATTCCCAACTTTGTCGTTTCTCTTTAGAACTAATTTAGTGAGTTTGTTTCTGTGATTCGATTGATGTCACTAAGAGAGGATAAAAAAAAAATAAAAAAGAATTAAAAAAATAATAATTGGGTAATTTGAAAGCAAGCAAGTTCATGAGAGCACCTTTGTTTTTTATTCATTATTAATTAACTATTTATATATAACTATAACAATCAATACGTATTCGTTGTAAATAGTAGATAGATAGATAGATAGATAGTTTAATTATTCATTGTAATAGATAGATATATATAAATATAATATAAACAAAACAGATATAGATAGTAGAAGAGAAAGATAGATATGAACAACAAGATGGAAGTTGAACAAAAGATTGATGATGCTTTGTACAGTAGACAATTATATGCACTCTCACATGAGGCCATGCAAAAGATTTCATCGACATCTGTCCTTGTGATTGGTCTCGATGGTTTGGGTATCGAAATCGTCAAAGATGTAGTATTGGCAGGTGTCAAGTCTGTCACCTTGTATGATAATGATCCCGTTCAACTTAAAGATATGTCTTCTCAAGTATGTACATAATATATAATTAATATACAACAACATTGGATACAAGTACACAAGTAATACAAACAAAACAGAGTTTGAGAAAAGATCAAGAAGGAAGATAGAAGTTGATCTTCACTTTGATCTATATCTCTCCTCTCCTCTCAAAGCTTTGAAATTTTGAAAAAAAAAAAAAGAAAAGAAGATTTTTTACTACACAGTACTATAATATCTATCTAATCAAACTATATATATATACATATATCTAACTTTAATATAAATATTTTTTTTATATTCTCTTCTTTGTTTAGTTTTATTTTACAGAATCACAAATTGGAACTAAAAGATCAGAAGCATGTGTACAAAAAGTAGTAGATTTAAATAGCTATGTTCGTGTCAGTGCCTATTATGGCGACTTGACCGAATCATTCTTGAAGGACTTTAACGTTGTTGTGTTGGCCAACCAACCATTGACCTTGCAAACCAAGCTCAACGACATTTGCCATCGTAACAACATTCACTTTATTGCTTCCGAGTCACGTGGTGTGTTTGGCAGCATCTTTACCGACTATGGAGACAAGTTTACCATTGTCGATACCAACGGTGAAAACCCAGCCTCTTATATGATCAGTGCCGTCTCTCAAGAGAACCCAGGTGTCGTCACCCTTGTCGACGAGCAAAAATTACAGCTTCAAGACGGCGACACTGTCTCTTTTAAGGAAATCAATGGCATGTCGCAACTCAACGACCTCCCACCACAAAAAATTAAAGTCATCTCTCCATTTACCTTTTCCATTGGTGATACCACTTCCTTTGGTCAATATACTTCTGGTGGTTATGTAACTGAAGTTAAACAACCAAAGATTATTGAATTTGTAAGAAATATATTAAAACAAAAGAAATTAAATTAAATATATCATATATATATATTAACTTATTATTTTTTTTTGTTCTTTTATTTAGAAACCATTAGAAAAAATTTTAGAAAAGGGAGAGAATCTATTTTTTACAGACGATTCTAAATTTGATCATCCAAGCAGTTTGTTGGCTGGATTCCAAGCAATTCACCGATTCAATCAAGAAAAGGGACATTTCCCACGTCCACACAACAAGGCTGATGCCGACCAAGTGGTTGCTGCTGCCACCGAGATTGCCAAGAAATACGAGATTGAACTCAAAGAGTCTCTAGTTACATCACTCTCTTTTGTCGCACAAGGAGACATTGTAGCCATGGCTGCTATTATTGGTGGTGTTACTGGTCAAGAGGTGCTCAAGGCTGCCTCGGGCAAGTTCTCGCCCATCCACCAATACGCCTTTTTCGACGCCATTGAAGCCCTCCCCAACGACTTTAACACACTCGCCGAAGAAGAATTCCAACCAATCGGATCACGTTACGACGGTCAAATCATCACCTTTGGCAAGACCATCCAAAAGCAAATTGAAAACCTCAACTACTTTTTGGTTGGTGCCGGTGCCATTGGCTGTGAGATGATGAAGAACTTTGCCATGATGGGTTTGGCGTCGGGGCTTGAGAAGGGTCTCCTCCATGTCACCGATATGGACACCATTGAAAAGTCCAATCTCAACCGTCAATTCCTTTTCCGTAGCTCCGATATCCAACAACTCAAGTCAGAGACTGCCGCCCGTGCCGTCAAGGGCATGAACCCCGCCATCAACATCAAGGCCTACTCTACTCGTGTCGGTCCAGACACTGAAAACTTTTACAAGGAAGAGTTTTACAACTCACTCGACGGTGTTTGCAATGCCCTCGACAACATTGACGCCCGTATGTACATGGACTCTCAATGCGTCTTTTACAACCTCTCGTTGCTCGAGTCTGGTACCCTCGGTACCAAGGCCAACACTCAAGTTGTCGTACCACGTCTCACCGAATCCTACTCTTCATCTCGTGATCCACCCGAAAAGAGTATCCCAATGTGTACCCTTCACAACTTCCCCAATCAAATTGAACATACCATTCAATGGGCTCGTGATTTATTCGAAGGTTTATACAAAAATGCTTCAGACAATGTAAATTCTTATCTTACTAATCCAAATTATATTGATGTATGTAAAAAAGAAAAAAAAGAAAAAAGAAAATATATTAATAATCTTTTATTTTTCTAGGGATTAAATAAATTAAATTCAAATGTTAGATTGGAAACATTATCAAGTATTAGATCATCATTATTGGATAAACCAATGAATTTCCAACAATGTGTTATTTGGGCTAGATTAAAGTTTGAAGAATTGTACAACAACAATATCGAACAATTATTGTACAACTTCCCACGTGACATGTTGACCACCACTGGCAACCCATTCTGGTCTGGACCAAAGCGTGCACCAACTCCACTCAAGTTTGACCCAACCAACTCACTCCACATGGACTTTGTCACTGCTGCTGCCAACCTCCGTGCATTCAACTATGGTCTCAAGGGTGAGACTACTGTCGACTCGATCCGCAAGTGGGCCACCGACGTCATTGTCCCAGAGTTTACTCCAAAGAAGGTCAAGATCCAAGTCAACGAAAACGAACAACCAGCTGCCAACTCCAACTCTGCCGAAGGTGATGACGACCAAAGTGGAAAGATCTTGAGAGAACTCCCACAACCATCCGATCTCGCCGGATACAAGATCAACCCAATCTCTTTTGAAAAGGATGATGATTCAAACTTCCACATTGATTTTATCACTGCCACCTCCAACTTGAGAGCTACCAACTACAACATCACCAACGCCGATCGTCACAAGACCAAGGGTATTGCCGGTAAGATTATCCCCGCTCTCGTCACCACCACTGCTCTCGTCTCTGGTTTTGTTTGTCTCGAATTATACAAGGTTCATCAAAAGAAACCATTAGAAGCTTATAAGAATACGTAAGTAGAGAATAATAATAATATTATTATTAATAATAACAATGGATACAATTTTACTAACCTTTTCTTAATTTTTTATAGTTTCCTTAATTTAGCAATTCCATTCTTTGCTTTTATTGAACCAATTGCTGCACCAAAGAATAAGATTCGTGATGGATTTGAATGGACTCTTTGGGATCGTTTCGATGTTCAAGGTGATATTACTCTTGGTGAATTCCTCAAGCACTTTGAAGAAAAGCATCGTTTGGAAGTTTCCATGATTTCATGTCAAGTCACATTGCTCTATGCCATGTTCTTGGACAAGAAGAGCAAGGACGAAAGATTAAAGACCAAGATGAGCACATTGTATGAAACTTTAAGCAAGAAGCCATTGCCTGACAAAAAATACTTGGTTTTCGAAATCTGTTGTACCGATATGGATACCGATGAAGATGTTGATACTCCATGTGTTAGATACACTTTCAGAGAATAAACGACATCGTTTTCATCCCAACTTACCAAAAACAAAAACAATCTATCTATATATTTAATAAAAAAAATCAATAATTATTGTTTAAAAAAAAAAAACATATTTATCAACCAAAATTGTATTGTTGTCATATGGATGGATGGATGGATTGATGATGTGGATATGAGGGTTGGACAACACATCATCCAAAAAGTAGATAAAAATTGGAATGGGAAGCTTCCATATTAAATATATATGTAGAGAGGTCATGATTGTTCCATTGAGAATTGTTTAGTCACAAAGAGGTTAAATGGTTTATTGTCAATTGACTAACCTACTCATACTAGATGGTGTTGTCTCTTTTAAACCCATTTTTAAGCAAGAGATATTGAAAAATAGTAAGGAATGATCAAATTATCCCCCTTGAATACTGGAATTGACTCATACATCGTGCAAAGAGATTAGAAACCACATTTTTCATTAAAACCCCACAAAACACATAATTTATTCTATACTATTATTCTCAATCACAGTGTTGTTTACATGACACAAAGTTCTAGTTCTATGGTTGAACAAGACACATTCCTTTCCTATCGAAATGAATGAGTGGGTGTGGAAAGACAAATGTCGTTATGATCATTGTATCGGATATCTGACATCACTATCGCTGAAAAAATGTAGAGAATAATGAATGATGATTGCGATAGTTGATCTTTTTAGGGATGGTTAGAATAACAACTAATGGTGTTAATTGAACTTATTGTTTTAATCACCATCTGTTCCACTCTAAACATCAAAATGTGTCGTTTGGAATAAATGTATAAATACCAATGTTATCAATGTATAATTAAATCAAATAATTTTATTCAAATCCAAATTAATTTATCAAATAATTCTAAATAGAATCACTACTCTACTACTACTACTTCAACTATCAATACCATTAAATCAATCGAAATTTAATATTCCATAGTTTAAAACAAAAAAACAAACAAGTCCCAATCTTAAATATAAATATTCCCATCAAATAAAAATAATATACAAAAAATCTAAAAATGTTGTACAGTAAGTAAAATCAAATACAATTCAATAATAGTATCCAAGTTATAATATTCTAATTTATTTATTTCTTTTCTATTTAGAATCAATTATAAATTTGGGATCAAATAAACAATCTGAATACATAAATTCAACAACACATAATACTCAATTTAATACAATTAATAATAATTATAATAATAGTACTCAAGGTGTATCTGTAGTCACCTTTATTCGTCCTCGTTGGGCAAATTGGTAGATCCATAATAATATTAATATTTTTCGATACTACCTTCCATATGTCTATTTATTTCTTTTTATGATCGATCCGAAATACCAAATTATTTGTCTATTTATTTTATTTATTTATATTTGTATTTTAATAAATTAACCTACCTCTCTGTAATCTTAATAAACCATAATATAATTATATATTATATTAAAATTATCATTATTCATATTTATTTCTAAGGTTTTTATTTAAATTTAAATTTTATTTAATGTTACTTGTAAAAAAAAATATTTGATATCATTTTAATCTTTTTGATTAATTTTAATCTTCCTTTCTTGTTCTTAATCTGCACCAAATGGATTATTTCCACCGAAATTTTTCATCATATCACCCATTCCTTTCATGTTCATATTTTTAAGTTGACCTAGCATTGATTGGATACCACCCATGCCACCCATTTGTTTCATCATTTGTGGTGGTACCATGCCGGCTAGTTGTTGTAAGTTCTTTGGGTTTGGCATTTGGCCGCCCTTGCCACCACCAGCCATATTGGCGAGATTGCTAAGACCTCCACCCTTTTTGAACATCTTTTCAAACATTTTCTTTTGTTCTGTCAATTCGCCAACCTCTCTTGGGTGTCTACCACTACCACGTGCAATTCTGAGCATTCTCGATGGATTCATTTGTTTCTTTCCATCCAATTCATCGTCTGTCATACTATCCAAAATAGTCATATATGCTTTAAGTTTCAAATTACCTTCACCTCCTTGTAACATTGGCATATTACTCATACCTGGGAACATTTGTACAACTAAAAATAGAAATTAAAAAGTAAATTAATTAATATTATTAATTTCTTTTTTGTTTTTTTTTTTGTTTTGTCTTTTCTCTTTTTACTTTTTTCAATTGGACCCATATTCATGATTTGTTGGAATTGTTGTTTCATATTTCTAAATGTAAAGTTTCCTTCAGACATTTCCTTCCATGCGTTGGGATCAGGTGGTACAACATCTTGAATCATTTCAACCATACCATTGACATCACCAAGACCTAGTAATTTACTAACAAATGAAGTTGGATTGAATATTTCCAAATCTGGAATATGTTCACCAGAACCAATGAAAATAATTGGACTTTGAGTTGCTGCAACACTAAACATATTAAATAATTAATTAAATAATTAATATATATATATGTACTTTTCTATTTTTCTTCTTTTTTGACACGTACGCAGAAATAGCACCTCCACCCTTTGAATTACCATCCATCTTTGTGATAATGACAGAACCAACTTTAACTGAAGTCTTGAATGCCATAGCTTGATCGTAAGCAGCTTGACCAATAGAACTGTCCATTACGAAAATAACGTTATCTGGTTGAATGACAGTTTCAATTTCACTCATTTCCTTGAACAACTCTGATTCTTGTTTGTGTCTACCCGAAGTATCGACAATGATGATCTCTGCACCCTCCTTTCTGAAAATCTCCACACCCTTTTTGGCGGCTGCTACTGGATCCTTTTCAGACTCGCTGCCATAGAATGGAATCTTTGCCTTGGTGGCATTATGTTGCAACTGTGCAAAAGCACCAGCTCTGAATGTATCGGCACATACCATCGCAGTATTCCATCCCTTTCTCTTATAAAAATGTGCCAATTTAGTTACACTTGTTGTTTTACCAGCACCCTAAAGTATTTAAAAGTAATAAGTAACCAATATGTAAGATATATATATATATATATATATATATATATATATTGAATCCAACAACATACCTGTAGACCAACAAACATAATAATATTTGATTTTCCTTTGGTTGGTTTCCATGGTGTAACACCTGGATCAAGTAATTTAATAAGTTCATCAAATACTACCTATTATCATATGAATATTCAATGTATTAGTCTAATTTAATTGTATTTGTATATTATATTATTATTATATCTATTTCAAACCTTTCTGATGATTCTTCTCTTGTTTAGACCAGCAGCCATTTGGTCGAGTTTGATTTGAGCTTGAATATTCTTTCTCATCTTGATGATTAAACTCATCGATACATCAGCTCTGCTCAAGGCATTGCCGACCTCTTTAAGGAGATGATTGATAGTCTCCTCATTGATGATAGTTGAGTTACTCATGGCTGCAAGAGCCGATGAGATTTGGTTTCCCCAATCTGCTAATACCATCTTGTCGTCTTTATTCTACTTCAATACTAGTATTACTGCTATTATTAGAAGATTGATATTTTAACAACTATAGAGAGAGATAATAAATAATATAATATATATATATAATATATAATGTAAAGTCGTCTAGTTTTAATAAGTAAGTGTGAACACAGTTTCAACCAATATAAAAAACAAAGCAATTTTTTGATTTTTTTTCAATTATTTTTGGACACCTCCTGAGAAGAGTCAAACTCGGTCAACTCATTTTACGACCAAGTTAGTTTATTATGATGAGTATCGAATGAATCATTGCACTTGTCATCCAAAAGTATTTCTCAACTTTTAACACAAACAATATTAAAATATTATTATTGAATCAAGTCGATTTATAATTTATATATCAGAAAAAGATAGACTAGACTGTCAAGCCGACTAGTTTAGTAAACAACCTTTTGAAAAAAAAAAAAGAGGATAAGATGAGTGAAATTTAATCAATCATAAATATAATATAATAATAATTTAAACATATATATTAATAAAAATTAACTCACTGATAGGTACCTGTTTGTTTGATAAATAAATAAAATTTTAATTTCTTTTTTGTTTTTTTTAGAATTTTTCCGTGTTGGTTGTCTAATGTTTGAAGTAATTATTATTCTTTTCTTTCTTTCTTTCTTTCTTTTGTTATAAATATAAAAATATAAATATATTAAATTAATAATAATAATAATAATAATAATTATACACTATCAAATAATATTAAATAATAATAATAATTTAATTCTTTTTTGTATCTATTTATAATTTATTCTTAATTTTTTAATATAGTCGGATTGAATCAATTCGTTCTTATACTATTTAAAAGATTTTGTTTAATAATCACAAAAGATTGATTTCATTAGATTAATCTAATCATATTTATATTTACTTACTCTCAATTTTTAATCTATTCATTGACAAATAATACTAGTCGTTGTTGTGGTTTTGTTTGGACTGCAACGATTAATTATTAATTTTTTTTTTTTTTTTTTTTTTCGAGATAAGATATTACTTGTTTTTATCTATTCATCAAATCTATTATTTTTTAATAACCATTTGTTAGTAAATATATTTATATAAATATATATATATATATAATAATTAAATAATAATTAGAAATAATAATATTATTAAATTATTTTTCTAAACAGAGAGATGGAATGTAAAATTCATTGTGATAATGTATGCACACATTTTTGTTCAAATTGCAATGTATTGATCTGTCCCTCTTGTAGTATCGAAGAGCACCAAGACAATAGCCACCATTCATTGCTCGAGTTTAACCTCAAAGACCTATCAAAGGTGGCCAACAACAAAAGAATCGTCGATGAAATCTCTAGATACATTGTTCTGACACAAGACTACAAAAAGTGTAATGACCAAGTCATCTCCTTTTTCCAAGACCTCATTCAACATTTAAGTGCTGATCAATCAAGAATCATTCAATCTATCAACAGGGAAAGGGAAAATGTTGAAAGATGTATCATTTATTTATATCAAAAATTAAATCCAAATATTAATAATAATAATAATAATAATAAGATCTTTAATTATAATAATAATAATAATAATAATATAAATGGTAATAATAATAATCACAGTCAAAATAATAATAATATATTTGAAAATAATATAAATGTAAATAATAATAATAATAATAATCATAGTAATGGTAATAATCATCATTTAAATGGTCATAGTAATGGTTATACTACTTCAACTACTACAACTACAACTACAAATACAAATACAACAATAGTTGAAAGTAGAGAAAGTAGTGAAGGAGAGGAGAATGAAGATCAAATGCCAGTTCAACTAGGTAGTGGGAATGAGGATGAAATGGTACCTGATGAAGAGAATGATGTTATGGATGAACCAACTGGTACTACACCATTTGCAACACCAACACTTGCACCTCTAAAGAGACCAAGAGGAAGACCTAAAAGGGGATCTACACCCCCCGCACCAAACGCAGAAGCAAAGAGAAAGAGAGGAAGACCAAAAAAAACTGGTGATGGATCATCATCATCAGTCCAACCATCTCCACAACTCAACTCATATGGAGGAAATATCAGTCTTGACTCTAGTAATGGTGGAATTAAAAGAACTAAAAGAGAAGATAGAGATTATAGTCTTAATGGTAGTGGATCATCATCTTCATCATCATCTGATGAATACCCATTATTACCAACTAGTAGAAGAAACTCATTGACTATTAATAATAATACAATCAAACCAGACCAACATTTAGAAGAATCTGGTGACAATATATTACTGTTGGGAGCAAGTGGTGATTCTTCTTCAATGACATCGATTGCTGAAGAAGAGTTGGAGAGTAGATTCGCACCGTCTACAATTGATGTAGTACAGATTGACTTTAAAGTGGTGACAGAGTATTTGGAAAAGTTCAAAAATGCAGTCAACCAGTTACACGGTGTCGATGTATCGATCCACAGCTCGTTTAAAGAGTATGAGTTGGCCAAGAACACAACCATATCTTCCATCTATAGTTTTAGTGCAATGGAAAGTGATCTCGAGCAATCGTACGAGGTCTATGACATCATCATTGACCAATGGACAAAGAATATGGGACGATCGTTTAACAAGGCACGTGACTTTGCTAGAGAGTCGATTGTGCTGGCTGGCAACCACAACTTGTATGCGTTTGGCGGTGCCAAGTCTCCGTTGACTCTAGAATGCTTCAACATGCATTCTGGGCAGTCTGTCGAGAGTCCTCTGAACCAGCTGCGTGGTATGGGTATATCGGCGTGCTATGACGGCGAGCGTTACATCTACTTGGCGGGTGGACACTACTACAACAATAACAATGCCAAGGATATTGTCTCGTACGACCTCGTCGAGCAGTACGACACGCACACTAACCGGTTCACAACCTTTCGCGCACATTTGGAGCGACCTGTTAGCCGCTCTCTGTCAATCTACCACAACCGCACCATCTATCTACTCGGTTGCACGTCTGTTACCTCCCAACAAGTTGGACATTTACGGTCGGTCCTAGAAATCAACATTACGAGTGGCGAGTGCCGTTCCTATCCACTCATGACCAAAGAACACTCTTCTTTTGCCAATATTGACGCGTGTTGTTTTGACGGCACACAATACATTTACATGATATCGTCCAAAGTGTTTTGTCGGTACGATATCGTCCGCAAGACGACCAAGTCTCTTGCATTCCCAGTCATCTCAGAGTATATCCTCGAGAGCCCCTCACTCATCTATGGTTTTGCAAAAGGTGGCTATAAAATACATCTAATCACAACCTATTCTAATTTCTGTTTCGATTTGTCCAATCTTACTTGGTCATCTATTAAATCCAAATCAACCTTTTTTAAACGTCAAACTTCTATTTCCCTTTAACTGTAAAAGTAATAAATAAATATTTTGGAAATAAAGAAATCAATTAATTATTCTAATTTACTTAATCCTTTACCAGGGAAGAGGATATAATATGATTCATATGAATCTATAGATATTTTGACATCATTGGTTACCATCGATTCTTCAATACCATCATACTTCTACAACAAGGGAAAACGCTTCTTGAAATTGCGTCATTCAAGTTCAGAATCTCTTCAATTTCAATTTTGGGGTTATATTAATTTTAATTTAATCATTGAAAATATCTTGGGACAAATCAGTATTTAATCACTAATTAGTGTTGTGAGTCATTCATCTTTTCATTGTTTAAACAACATCTTCAACAACACTATTAATTAAACAATTACAACAACAATTTAAAAGATGTCAGAATTTCAAAACTTATTATCAAAACAACCGGTTAGATTAGCTAATAGAAATGAACATCCATATCACATGTATGATATGATAGTGTCGACACCAGACTCTATCGATAGATTCTGGAAAGAGGAAAGAGATACTCTTGCAAAGGTTGCCAAAACCATCGCAACAACCGCCACTAGAGTCATCTTTGTTGGTATTGGTACATCGTATCACTGTGCACTCAATGCCAAGTATTTCTTTGAACAAGTGGCTCAACTTGATCGATCCAAGGTCTCTATTGACGCAATCGACAGTTTCGATTTCACCCAACGTACTCCATACCTTGATGCCACAACTGCCGTAATCATCTTTTCTCATAGAGGTATTAAAAAGTTTAGTTTTGATTCTTATATGGTACGAAATAGAAATAGAAATAGATAAATAACATTTACAATACTAACCAACTTGATTATTTTATTTAGAAATCAAAACAAGCAGGTAGTTTAACTGTATTATTTACATCGATTGAATCACCAGTTGTTGATGGATTGACAGTTGTTAGAACTAGTCATGGTGAACAATCGAGTGCATTTACAGTTAGCCATACTACATCATCGTTTGGAGCATTGTGTTTGGCTAATGAAGTTGCCAAGGTACTTGGAAACAATGTGTCTGCATTGGAGAGTGAATTGGCTGCATTTAGCAACACTGTCAAATCGATTCTTTCCAATCAAGATTCACACAAACTTTGGGCATCTAGATTCAAGAATGTTCCATGGCTCCCATTCACTGGATACTCTGGCAACGTCAGTAATGCACATGAAGTAGCTCTCAAGATCAAAGAAGCTTGTTGGAAATTAGCCGAAGGTAGTCAAGTTGAACAATTTATTCACGGACCATTTGTTGCATGTGGAAACAATACAGTTCTTACCACCCTTATTTCAACTGATGATAAATTGGATGTTGGTCGTCAAAGATCAATTTGTCTTTTAGTATGTAAAATAGAATAATATAATGAGTATATAAATTATTAATTAATTATATTTCTTTTATATTTGTAGAGAGCAGTAAAACTAGTTGGAGGACAAGCAGCAGCTATTATTCAAGATAGTGAAAACCAAGAATCAATTAAAGAAGTTGAAACTGCAGTTGGACAAGATGGTGTTGTCATCAAGGTACCAAAATCTTCAGAACCTATCAATGTATTGACCAGTCTTTTGTCTCTCCAATTGATTACCTATCATATCTCACTTGAAGTTGGAACCAATCCAGATGTATTTAGAAAGGATCAACCTGAGCACTCATCAGCTTTCCTCAATTCTGGTATTGTTTTATAAAACAAAACAAAACAAAACAAAAAAAAAAGAGAATAAAATAAACAACATTTATGATTATATTATATTATTATTTTGATTTATTTTAATCTATCAATATCATGACGAATAGATTGAATAGTTTCGGAATAATCTTTTACTTTGGATTGTGATAGATTTAATCTCTTATTTTCAATATTGACATAACTACTAAATGGACTGATTCCATCTTTCATCTTTTGAATGCCAGATTCCAATTCTGCTTCAAAATGAACTCTCATCACATTTGATAAATTAAATCTAAGATCAGCAATCTAAAAATAAATAAAGATGTAAATTAATATTAATATTCAATTACTTCCATTCATTATATTTTCTATCTATTTTTATATTTACTTTAGAATGTACAGATTTTTTTAAACTATTTTTTTTAATTGGAAGTAAAGCTAAACCACCAAGAGCAAGAGCTCCAATACCAATACCAGAAAGATCAAGGAGTGAGGCAGTAATGATTGTACCAAGACCGACAGCACCAACTTCAATGGCTGCTGTTTTGAAAATAGTGTTTCTAATTTCTGAACTAATCTTGGTAGCTTCGTCTTCGCGATTGTATGATTGGAGTGTGCTAGATGTACTGGCACTGACTTGTTCGAGTAGGTTCTTACGACTGTTTAAAAAGTCGCCACTTCTATTGACTGTGCCAATGAGTTGTTCGAGACGTGATGATGAGCGGGCATCTACATAGCTCATAATGTCACGCCACTGCTTGGAGTTCTTTTCAACGAGCCAGTCGATCAGAGAAGATATATGCGAGTCAATCTCGTGAGTGGTGGTGCCAATCACCTCCTTTTCAAACTTGAGCTTGACCATCTCGCTCTTGAGTAGGTTGAGAATGTTGGTAAACTGGATTTGGTCGTCGAGGAATGCATCGGCGCGGGTCTCCATCTTGAGCAATACATTGTCGATACGTTGTAGGTGAAACTCTAGGTCTTTTTGCATCTCTATGCGGAACTGCTCGAGCTGTGCTTCGACATATTGCAGTGTCTTGAGGTCGGTCGACAAGACACGTGCGCGTGTGTCAATCTCCCCTGAAAGTCCGCCGAGCACGTGCGACGCGACTCCAAGTGGATTGAGCAGCTTTAATCGTGTACGTTCACCGCTGTCGAGTGTCTTCATGATGAAATTCTCTAGATCGGCGAAACGCGACTGTTTCCAGCCAACATCGCGCTTTAACTCGGCGTCATAGGTATCTGAACCGACATGTTGTTGGCCACCAGTCTCTTTGGCGACACGCAACTTGGCTTTGAGTGCGAGCTTGGAGCTGACTGGAAAGATGGTGGGTGCGACACCGACGGTATTCTTAAAGTTCTCTTGCACAAACTGTTCCACTTCGCATAGGTCGGCGGCCGGGTTGGCCGACATGGGGTTGCTTTCAACGAGATCGGCCTTGCTCAAGACGACCACGATCTTTTTACCCCATCGTTTGATTGACTCGAGGAACTTGCGTTCACTCTCTGAGAATGCGCGGTCCACGCTCGTCACAAACAACACCATATCAGAGCGCGGCACAAAGTGCTCGGTAATCTCTTGATGCGATCGCACAATAGCGTTGGTGCCTGGTGTGTCGACCAACCCAATATCAGCCAACCATTGCACAGGCAACCCGATATTCTCCTGCTCAGAGTTACGGCCTGGTGCAACGGCCTGCTTGTCTCCATACGTAATGATATTGATCTTGGAGGTAGTTGGGGTGATACCCTCCTTTAGATAAGTGTCACCAAGCAATGCATTGAGAAAAGAGCTCTTGCCACTATTAAACTCACCAACAATCACCAACAAGAATAACGAGTCGTCCAACTGCTCCAATGCCTCTTTAATCTGTTGTGCCAACGATGCATCGGTTGCATTAAAGTCTTGTAATTCTCCCAATATCTCTCCCAACACTTTAATATTTTGATTAAATATTTCTTGTTGTTCTTTTGTTAATATCTTTTTCATTACATTGTTGCTAGTAGTTGTTTGTTGTTGATTTTGGTAAAGTACAGGTGTTGTATGTTTAAATGTATGAAATTGTCTAATTTGATTAGATTGATTGTTGTTAATTATATTTGTTGTTGTTGAATGTATACATTGTTTATTATTATTACTATTATTATACAATAATGTTGGTGAAGTTGAGGTTGAATATGATAAAGATGAGGATGAAGATGAGGATGCTGAACTATAGCTGCTGACGACAGTTGATTTCATCAACTTTGAAGATGATAGATATTGATGATTAGATATTAATTTGACTCCATGTTTAGATAATTGCATCATTTTTAATAATAATAATAATAATAATAATAATACAATAATAGAATATATATATATCAATATATCTATCTATATATTTTAATATATGAATGAAGGTGACTAATAAACTACAACTTTGTGTGTGATCTTCATGTTCACAGTACATCACAATGATGACATCAGCCATCCCATCTTTTTTTTTTTTTTTTTTTAATTAATAATAGGGAAGTACTTGTGAAGTTCCAATATTAATTTATTATATAATATGGTATAGATTGGATATAGATTGGTACCACTCTAACATCCCCAAAGGGGGCACATACATATATAATAAATAATAACCTGGTGGGTTTCCATAAATGTTGGGACTTGGCAGCAATGAACTTGACGACAATAGTTGATTTCAACTTTGAAGATGGTGAAGATAGATATATATTAATTCATTTAACTCATTGTATATAGATAATTGCATCATTTTTAAATAATAATAATTATAGATGTCTATATCTATATTATCTATTTTTAAATGTAAGTATTGTGAAACAATGACCTAATTAGATTTTTATTGGTTGACCGATTAAAAAAAATCAGATTTCTCAACAAGTATCAATATTACTTATCTGCTGCTCTATCAACCTGGTAGTGCACTTGTGCGTTTGATCCAACATTTGCTTCAATTACTGATTTTGGGATGTTAAACTCTATGTTTTCTCCTTCCGCCTTGGTTTGCACCGTTGTTTCGTTGTCAGATTGTAGATATTTGGAATCGTTGTTTGTCAGTTAAATTTCTAGATTTTAACCTTGAAATAATCAAAAAACTAAACTAATAATAATAATATCTTCTATTTTACATGTGAGCGTGATTTATAAACTATAACTTATGTACATCGCCATGATCATGATGTCATCAAGTAATTTAGATTTAGATTTATTTATTTTAAAGTTTTTATTTTTGTTTTAGGAATAAATGACAGTAGAGATTAAATCAATTTCCATTCTTCTTGCAAGTACAAGATCATCTGAATCTGTTGGAAGTGGTGGGTATAGATCACTGCAATGAGCACCGGTACTAATTGTAATGGTGTACACCGAGCTAGAGGTGGTGTTCATTACACCGAGTACGTGCCATGGATCGACGAGACCGTTGGGGAAGATGGTTTGAGAGGTTTGGATGTTCTTGCCTCCGTATTCATTGATGATCCAATCAATGTTTGGTTGATACGTGTAACCTGGTGGTCCAAACGTATCGGTACATTGTTGAATGAAATAGTCCAATGTGAGGGTATCACTAAATGGTTGGAGTGCACTTTGTCCCGTCTGGAAATAAGCATACTCGGTACAACACTGCCATGTCCAAAGACGAGTGGCTGCATTTGGGCCGTTCACCTGTGTCTCTTGCATCTGACCAATCATCTTTTCATACGACGATGTAGTACAATTGTCTCCATTAAAATCATTGTACTTGTTATTCAAATCTGCAAATGCCTGTAATTGGTTGTTTCCCTTTGACAACATATCACACATCTAAAAATAACAAAAACAACAAGAGTGTGTTAGTATTATGTTAACATATGTATGTATGTATGGTATATTTCATACAGTTGTGATATTGGCAAATGAATAATTGTTATTGTCATTGTTGTATTGGACGATTTCAGAGACTGCAGAAGTAAGACTTTCCATAAATGTTGCAATATCCAACTCTGAAGAGATTGGGTCACATGTGTTAAAGAGTGATTCAACCTGTGACGTCTGTCCATTGGCAATCATTTGGGTGACAATCTGTGTTACATTCTTGACAATGGCCGAGCATGCTGGTCCGATCGATGCACTGACAACCTCGAGATATTGGGTAAAGTCGAGTTGGGCCTCGACGGGTGCAGATGTTGCAATGGCACCATCAATCAATTGTGGGTACTTTAGACGCAACCATGCAGACAATGATCCAGAATACGATCCACCAAATGAAATCCACTTGCTCGAGCCAGTATTGTACTTGGCGGCAATGAATTGACGAAAGTTGGCATAGTCAGCCAACGCTTGCTCCGTTGTCAACAAATGTAAATGTTTGGTATCAAGTGTTGGATGTGGTGAACTGTAACCATAGAATCTATGTTCACATGCTACAATCAATGCATCTACATAAATATATATATACAAACAATATTAAAGGTTAGTTGGTTGTGTTGGATATATATAGAGAGATGACTTCTACTTCTACTTATACTTATACATACCAAACAATTGGGCATAAGTGTTGACGACGAAATGACCATTTACATAACCTGGAGAAATAGGGCCTTCACCACCCAACACAAAAAAGACTGGGCCTCCTGGTCTCCAGTAGGTATCTATAGAAAGAAAGAAAGAAAGAGAGTAGATAGAGTTAATATATATATATTATATTGTTCACAGACTTTGCAAAGTGTTAATATTTTAAATTACCATTGATAAAATATTGTTGTTTAAAAGTGTCTTGGTTGAGTGGGTCAAAATGATCGACTTGTTGATCAAACCATAGAGCCAATGGTGATGGTGATCTTCTTTGCTCAATCATCACGTTACGATGTCTGAGTCCACGAACCAATGACTGCTCATTTCTGAGTGGCATTGACTCTACTGCAAGAAATGCACTGCTGCAGATCACCACCGCTAAAATGAAAAGTAATCGCATCGTCTTTACTAATTCTATATATATATATCAGTTTAAACAGCGGTTGTGTATTGTATCTGTTTAAATGATCTTTTGAATAGATATCTATTTAAATTGATTTTATTGAACCTTTTGCAGAGAATGTGCAAAAATCGAGCTGAGCATAATGTGTCATTCTTTTTCACCACTCTGTTCATTAATATTACCACCCAGGTATATCGATCAACACAATGATTCTATCATAGCTATCTCGCGAAACAGCGTTTAGAGGAGAAGATATATAAATATAGATATCTTATCATTGCACAACAACAACAATCAAATATGATAGAATGAATGATTGAATAAATGGTAATTCTTTAACAATCAAGAAGTTGATCGATCGAGTCAATAGTTTATTCAAATAAGTTAAAGTAAGTAGTAATAATATGTTTAGTTTCTTTTAATCATCATCATCATCATCAAAAGTTATACAATAATGTTGCAACATTGGTTGGGTGTTGGGTGTTGGATGTCCAATCCAATCAAGATCTTTCCAATCAATTCTACTTGCTCCTCCTCTTTCTTTCATCTATGCACTCATTACTTTTTTACTATATTTGGGTATCATCGAAAATGGAAAGAATTCTTTTTGGATACCTTGACAAAGGTGCATCCACCTGTCTTTACATTTTAATTTAATCTATCAACCAACGATCATGTATGCAACCAACACAACACACCCTATGCTTGTTTTTGTTTGATAGATCAAATCATGGAAAATATAACATTTCTCATTAGCCATTACCAGAATTAATTATTATTTGCTTGGTTTGACATTGATGATGACTACTTGTCGATCAGTCTGTCAGTCAGTCAGTTGATTGAATACAATCAGATTCACAATCTTGACAAAAGGAGTGAATTGTAATCCAGACATGGATCCAAAAATACAATAGATCACATCCAAAACACAACCTTTTGGCAACCAAAAAAAAACAAAAGGGGATGGTTAGGATGGTTATTAGGAAAGATCATCATCACGATCATGATTTATGCATGGATGGATACTTTGATGCATGGCATGGATACTCTACTCTATTATAATATTTCAATATTATTATTATATAAATCTTTGTTCAAGAATAGGTGGGTGGGTGGTGAGGGGGTTGCTGCAATCGATTTTTATAATGATGGAAATAAATGTGTTTGTTCCAATTTAGATTCATCAATTTCCACACCCCCATGCACAATTGTGTTTGGTTGTATTACACCGTATGTTGTGTGGGTGTGGATATTACGAAGCAGCGTTGCATGCATCTTGGCGAGCAAGTGTGTATCACATTTATTTATGTGTATGGGGTGGTGTTCTATTTTCACAAAACTACTTGATCCAAAACGACAACCAGCTCTGCTCTGCTCTACTCTACTCTAGTCATTGGATGTTGGGTGCGATGCGACAAGAGAGGAGAGAGGTGCTGCTTTAAAGCATTGGGAGGTGGGTGCTGCTAGCTAGCTAGTCTGACTGCCTGCCTGCATGCCTGCCTGCCCGCCTGGCTGGCTGGCTGCGGTACATATTCTAGAATCAGTACCAACCTACCACCCCCACCATACATATCATCATCATCATCATTCATTCTAGTGTACTTACTTTTACTTTGCTTGGAGAACACTGTTTAATAGCACCACCACTACTACTACCACTCACTCCCTACTATACTACTACTACTTACCTACAAATAATAATATTTCCAGTCTGCCAGGTGTGGAACAATTAATCAACAATTACCGCCTACTCCTCTGCTTGGTTGCTTGCTTTACTGCATCCAAGCAAGATAGCTAGCTTTGTTGTTGGTAATTACCATAATGACCTGCGTGCTGCTTGCTTCTTCCTTCTTGTGTTCTGAATTGCATTCAGGTTTAATGACACCTCACCAAAGGGTAATTAATTGACCTACCGCATATTGACCATAGAACAAACACCCACCAGCAAGCATCCCATCTAACAAACACCCACCACTCCATCTCCAACAACAAACACCATCAACAACAAACAACAACATCCAAACCAAACCAAAAAAAGACACAAGTGGTGTTCCCTAGGTTAGTAGTGATGCTACTGTTGCTGCTGCTGCTGCTGCTGAAATAATATATTTTTATTGCTTCTGCTGCTCTGCTCCAATCTTCTTGTCGCTACTCTTATTCCTTCCTCCTCCCTAGTATATATATATATTTAAAAAAAAATCCAGACATCTAGGCAAGCAAGCGCACAACAACAACAACAACAAGGACAGGAACGCAACGCACCAAAAATCCTCCTCTTCCTTCCGTTTATTCATTCATCATCAAATCAATTTTTATTTAATCTTTTTTTTTTTTTATTTCAATCTCTTCAAAGGGTAATAACTAAACATAGATCAATCATCACTCTATTATAATTTTAAATCAGATCAACACCCACAACATCCATCCATCCATCCATCCAATCCCAGACTATACAATTACCAGACAGACTAATAATAATAATAATAGTATAATTATTATTATATAATAATATTAGTAATCCAATCCATCCTGTTAGCCAAAAAAAAAAAAAAAAAGTAATTATCCCCTACCTACCTATTCCTTGCCACAACGCAACACCATCAACATCCTATCCATCCCCCTTGTTATACTATTATTAAACTCATTTGCATTTACATTCAAACACAAATCAAACACTCAAGGCTCCTCTCCTTTCCTTTCCTTTCCAACTTTTTAAATTTTAAAGAAATCCCTTCTTTCTTTTCTCATCAAAGACATAGGTAACTTTCTCATCAAAGACATAGGTAACTTTCTTTCTTTCTAAAAACCCTATACTATTTATTTTTATCTCTCTCACTCTTTGTGATCGTGTGGTGATGGTGCTTGTTGATGTTGTTGTTCCCAATTCCATTCCATTCAATCAATTAGTATTTGCATCATTGTTGCTTTGCTTCAATTCCCACAAACAAAATCACGATACCGATATCGGTGCTCACCACTCATCATCATCATCATCATCATCTTTGCAATGGGGTACAAAAGTACTTGCCAACCAACCAACCAACCAACCAACCAAGCGAATTCTGATTGTTCTGATGATGATGATGGTGATTGATCATAGTGTCATGTTGCCAATATCGCAATTGGAATGAATCATGTATCCACACCAAAACAAACCAAAAAACCATCATCATCAACATCATCATCACCAACAACGGTTAACATTGATGATGGTGGTGGTATAGGTAGTATAATATGTTCCTATACTACATTATATTCCAATTGGAATAAGAAAGAAAGAAAAGAATAGGGAACCGCTTCTATCGCATTTCTAAATGGAAATGAAAACAGAACTAGAGCGCGTGTGGGTGGTGTTTATATATATATATATGTTGTCGCATGGTTGGTTACCTATACCTACCGACCTACCGACCTACCCACCCACTCACTCACGATGAATCGCATAGAGGGTGGTGTTTTTTTGTTAAATCTATGTGTGTACGTGTGTGGGGTTTGAATGTAGTACTTTTTTTAATACAACATATCATATGTGTGTATGTATGTTGCTACAATTGATTGGGAGGTAAAAAGAAAAGAAATCCTGTGTGTTTGGGTGGGTGTAATATATTATACACAATTCAACCCGCCGGCACATCAATGCCATTCCAATTCATCCCTTTTTATTGCTTGCCAAGCAACAACAACAACAGCAGCAACAAACAATAGCTCTCTTCTCAAAAAAAGAGAGAGAGAGAGAGAGAGAGAGAGCAGATGGCAGGCAAGCAAGCCGATGTTCTAAAAATATGTGGGTTGTTGGGATTCCCATATACAATTGTGTATCTGTATCGTAGTACCATACTTGGAGGAGGAGGAGGAGTTGGGTTTAATTTATAAATTTGTTTGTGCTCCTCCCTCCCTACCTACTAGTAGCGTACCATGTGCATCGCATCCTTCACGATTTATCTTGTTTGTTCAACACCAAAGTGAAAATAGAATAGATAGAAGGGCGTGGTGGTGGTTTAGTTTGGTTTAGTAGACTCATCCCTCATCCCTCATCCTTCATCCTTCTTGTTGTTGCTTTGCTGCTTGAGCATTTCCTCCCTCATCCTTTTCCTATTCCTATTCCTTTTTTTTTTTTGTTGAATTCCATTTTACTTTATTCTCTCTTTTCCTCAAACATTAATTTTAAAGTGAGTGTTCCTGTATATAGACAAACAGTAAAATATATATTCTAAAAAAGGACCAACCTAGGGTACCAATTAATAATAATAATAATAATAATAATTTTTTTTTTTTGTCAGTCACACCCATTATAATCATCATCATCATCAGGATCACCATTGTGACCCTAAAAAGTCATAGCATCTACCTTTTTCCTTACGTGATATCAATCCCATCAGAGAGAGCTCACATGTATATTCAAATTGAATATACCCAACCAAAAAACCAACAAACAGGGAGGAAGGAGTTGGTTGGGATCACCCTCCCCGCCATATGCATATTACATATTTCAACCCCCCTCCCCACTACCATCGTCAACATCACCCACACTCACCCAAAAGAGCACTGTTCATGAGCAGCAGCAGCAGTAGAAGTAGAGCACCGTAAAAAAACATCGAGGGGTCACTTTGTTTGCTGCTCTGCTTGTTTTCAAGGGCAACCATCAGCCTTTTAGAACGTGCTCTGCTCCATCATCCCAACATTTTAATGAAACATTATAGTTTGTTATCATCCATCCATACATAAATATAACAATACGTATTATTTATTATTTATTATTTATTATAAATCAATCAGTGAGAAAATATAGCCGTAGCCTCACAAAGTATTATTATTATTATTATTATTATTATTATTATTATTATTATTATTATTATTATTATTATTATTATTATTATTATTATTATTATTATTATTATTATTATTATTATTATTATTATTATTATATTATTTTCCAAGCATTGCAATTAAATTTAGATCTTTGCTTTATTATTATCCATCAATCAATTTGGTTTGGAATCAATATCATATCATATCATACCATTTCATTTCATGTTTGTTATTAACCAGCCTATTCTTTGGAAAGGCTTCCATCCATAATATTATTTTTTAAAAAAAACTGGCCAGACGCCAACGACCTACTTTTTGCACACCCCACCAGAAATTCAATGGAGTGTCTGCTGAAAATAGCTGGCTAGCGTGTGGTGGTGGTGGTGGTGGCAAGGGTTGACGCTTCAGTCGAGGCAGAACCCTTTGGTCATGTGGGCAAAAGGTTTGTTGTTTGCCCCCCACTACTGAATAATAATCAGAGTCTGATCGAATCCGATTCATCATCCATTTGTTGAATTTATTTGAATTCCTTTCCTTTCCTTCCTCCTAATCATCATCATCATCACAACCACTCACTAAACCACCCATCCAGCCAACTGTGGTACTTACAGACTAACAACAATCGATAACTTTGTGCACAATCGAAGGTCTCTCCTTTTCTGCCATCATCATCTTTCGACCCATCATTTTATCTTCACTTTCAATATTTATTTATTTATTTATTAATGAATTCCTCTTTGTCTTTGTCCTTATTTAATTATTATTATTATAGTCTCCTAGTCCCGATTAATATTTAAGCATATAGCATATATATATATATATATATATATTCCTATCCTTTCCTTCTCTTGGTACACACATACATACATATCATCAAATCAAAAGGTACGTTTCTTTAATATTATTTCATTACACACACCTCTCTTTCTCATTGATCGGTCAATCAAAATCAAAATCAAAATCAAATTGATAGAAGAGGGATCACCATCGTCGGTAGAAGGCTTAAAATGGGGTGGAGTCCACTAATGGGGGTGTGGCCCCCTACAGCTTTTTTTGCTCTTTTGGTAAACCCCCCAAAGAAAAAAAATAATAATAATAATAATAATAATAATTGCAGGATCAGATCAGAAGGGGGCCAAAACCCCCAGATAAAGAGGTTTTGCCATCATATATAATAGACTCTGTGTTCTCTCTCTATCAATTCAATCATTCAATCAAAATCAACCGTCATCTCAAAGTCACCCCTTTCCCCCCCTCGTCTGCTGCTTTTTTTTAATCTTTTGATAACTCTCCCATCTCTCCCATCTCTCCCATCTCTCTTTTCAAACAAACACACACACACCACACACGACGCTATCTAGCAACACCCACTCACTCACTCTCACTCAGCGACACCCACTGCAGCAGGTCATCATCCATCAGCGTCGCATTTTATAAGCCAAGGGTTGGAGGCAAGTGCACACAACAAGCAGCAGGCACACTTTAGTTTCGTTGGAGAGCATGGGTGTTGTGCTCAGCAAGGCTCTTTCTTTTTTTTAATTTATTTTTTAATTTACACAATCAAAAAAACCTTCCCTTTTTCTTTTTTTATTTATTTATTTATTACAAATACTTTCTATATTTATAGTACTTCGATCGAAAGTAGTCAACATACACATAGTGATTCCTATACACATACAATACATAACATAGTAATAGTTTAAACAAACAAAACAAGCATTCAACAACAAGGCCTTATCTGCAGAGTAAGTCTTTCATTAATTTATTCATTCATTTTTCAGTCGCATGACACCAATCCAAATCATTTAGTACTTTCCTCTTCCTCGTCATTATCCCTCTTCATCACACACATGTTTATTAATCCATTGGGTCTTGTGAATAACTATTACTATTATTCCCTTATCATTCCTTACTATTGTTAAGAAGAGAGGAGAGTCCTTTTTTGTTATATAGTGCAAGGCTAGTTAGTAGGGCTGGCCCTTCTCCTACTACTACTTCACTACGAGGTTGACTTTGGCGGTTGGATGACCAACCCACAGAACACCCCATTTTTTTTTTTTTGAGTTTTCCATTTGTGGATTTTCACCCCCCTCCCCATTATCCATCAAAAGCTCCTCCTCGAGAGAGAATCGACCCTTTTAACCTTTTTTGTTTTCAACAACACATTTAATTAATTGGTTCATTTCCCATTTTTAGTATAAAGTAGTAGAGTAGTATTAGTTTATTTCATTTTAGGGTGAATTTTATAAATTAGGTGATTTTGATTGAAATAGGGCATTCAGTTCCGCTTACGCAACCCCTCACCGTGTCTACCCCCCCCCCCCCCCCCCCCCTTTAAACCCATCAACCCAACAATCAGCCATCTCAACCAAGCATACATATTAGTTTTATAGTATAGTATACTCACTGACCTTTATCACTATCACTATCACATATAGTATACAACAAATAATAATAATATATAATAATAATATACCATCCCTTTAGAATATTTAATAATAATATTTAATAATAATAATATAGATATAGAGTAGTAATAGTAACAGAGAGAGAGAACAAGAATGATGACATCAATCCAAGCTATTACAGTCTCGGATAGAGCCGTGATTGAAAAGCCAGCTTGTTGCTCATCGGCCCAACGTGGTCATTGTACAGGGCATTGTCCGAGAATAGAAGATGTGTTTTATTCCCAACGTAAAGGTAAAACAAATAAAGGAGCTCAAAGATGGCGTTGTAAAGCTTGTGGAACTAAATGGACTGTATGTATACAACAATATATTATAATATTATAATTAATTAATATTTGTTGATATTTGATATTTGATGACTTATATACTTTTTTTCTTTTTTTCTTTCTTTTTTAGTCAAAAGGAATTATACAACCACCAGTTGTACCAGATACATTGGTTAGTTCGATTGGATATGGATCGGGACCTGAGGAGGGGTCACTGGATCTGAGTCAAAGACGAATCAAGAGAACCAAGTTGTCGGATGGTCTCATGAATACACCACCTCCATACGGTTTGTTTACTTCAAACACTTCACCTACGGGATCACCCATGTCCTCGCCACCCTCCCCCACATCCTCGCTCGTTGTCCCGTCGTCTACACCATCAACACGATCTCTGTTGGCGTCGACGTCGCAATCGAATAACCAATCATTTGTACCTATCCTTCCCACGAGCTCCACGCCTACCGGTAGTAGCATGCGTGCATCTGGAGGATCGATTCCTACCACTTCTTCATCTTCCAATTCAAACAATGGATCTAAAGCACTGTCACTACCCGGGTCATCGAGTAACCCGTCTCTTATGGGTCTTGGCAACAGTTCCAATCTTTTGGGTAATAGTAGTAGCGGCGGTCCCACTAAACCTGTTTTAGTCGGTGGATCAAACAATAACAATAATAATAATAATAATAATAATAGTAACAATAGTAATGGTAATAATCAACCACCATCGACTGCAACGAGAAGTAATAGTATGGGGTACCTTCAACAGCAGCAACAACAACAACAACAACAATACCAACTACCCAATCGATTTGGATCAAGGTCACCATCTGGAACATCATCACCTATCAATATACAATCACAACCACTACCTCCTCAACAACAGCAACAACAACAACAACTATCACCAAAATCAGGTAAATCAAAAATTGGAATGCCACCTGGAAAACAACAACAATCATCATCGTCAACAGGGTTCCTTTCAAGTACACCGTATACTCAAACTAGACCTGGTATCAACTCTATTCCAAATGGACGACAATATCAACACCAACAACAACAACAACAACAACATCATCAACAACATCAACAACATCAACAATCATCAACCAATCGTAGACACCTTTTTGATAACAATCAATCACCAAACAACCCAACAACAATGTACAATAATAATAACAATAATAATAATAATAATATAGATTATTCACGTGTAAATATAGGAGATTCAAGTCAATTCTCTCCATTTGGTATTGATGATAATGTTGCAAGTACAAGTCTTGGTGGAGGTGTACCGTCGACAACTATTCATAGTCAGTTGCAGTCATATGTACCATCATCGTCGATTATAGAGTCGTTGCGCAAGTTGCTCTTGTCGGTGGTCGTGTTTAATAATGAGTATGCGGTAGAGCACCGTCTGCGTCTAAACAACTTCCTCTCTATCTTTTCATTGCCGTCGAGTGAGGCCATCTACAATACAACGTCGACCAAGATCCTGTTACAACAAATTGACGGGAATATCTTTTACGTGTCCAAACACTACCAGTGCTTGTATCGGACCATTTCGCATCACCACTCTATCATGGAAGACACGTATGCACCACTGCTAGACGTCTACTTTGACGAACAAGAGATTGCTAGATTCCTCGTGTTTGCCGAACAACACGCTGCCATTGAAGACGCGTACGAAGCTATTTTACACGAGATTGTTCAGCATCGTGAAGAACTCAATGCCAAAAAGGAGTCAATCGAGTCGTATATCAACGAGGGTGCGTTGCATGCGACGATTAGTAATGCGACCCGAGGTGGAAGTGATAGAGAGAATGGCGGGTCTCCCGTGAGCGGGCTGGAACAGGCCAAGCAAGACACCACACGTCTACTCGACTCGCTGGCACCGTTTGAAACAACATTGGCGACGATCGAGGGTAAGCTGCGAGCCATCCAAAAAGAGTCTGGGTTTATTCAAAAGGTGTATCAGTTGATTGAACTGTTGTACCATATCCACGTGCAGGCGTATCGACAGATTGTAGAGAAACATAGTCGCGCCATCCAACAGTATCTCATCGACGTGGTGCAACAGACTCTGTGCAACGCTGATGCCATGGCCGCGTCGTATACTCGTTTGAGACAGGCTTTTTCACTCAGTCCTCCCGAGAGCGCGTTTGACGAGGCCATGGTTGACGCAGCCTCCCAGAACCCATTCACCACACGCCTGGCAACACTGCTCAACCGCTACGAAATGTCCAAGGGTGCGGCTGGTGTGGGATCGACGGGAACGGCCAACTCGGGTGCGGCGGGTAACTTGGTGCCACGCGACCGCCGTCTGCTGGCCATCTACCACACCACGTGCATGGAGCATGCTGTGCCGGACGACCACCCCGAGAACCCCAAGCGTCTGACAGCGGTCATTCGCGCGATTAGTGATGTCGCCAAGCAGTCGGACCGCATCGTCGTCAAGAACGACCCCGAGGAAGCCGCCGACAAGTGGATCCTGACGTGTCACTCACCCGAGTACCTGCGTCGTCTCGAAGAGATCACTGCCAAGCTCGATGTTGGTGACATCCGTCCATTGCACAACCCCAACGGCAACAGCTCGGGTGACGGCGCACAGACACACTTTGCAGAGGGTGAAGACGGCGACACGTTCATTTCCAAGATGTCGCTGCGTGCTGCACGTCGCTCGGTTGGCGCGTCGCTGCATGCGGTTGACCAAGTCATGCGCGGCAACTATTCCAGCTCGTTTGTGGCGGCTCGTCCACCCGGCCATCACGCCGGTCGCGATGGTATGACCTCTGGCACGTCATCGCAGGGGTTCTGTATATTAAACAATGTCTGTATCGCCGCCAAGTACGCACAGCTACGATACAATGTCGAGCGTGTCGCTGTCATTGACTATGACGTCCACCACGGTAACGGCAGCGAAGAGATTCTCGCCGGTGACCAGGGATTCCTCTTCCTCTCCATTCACATGTACGAAGAAGGGTTCTACCCAGGCAGCGGTGGGTGTACTGCCCAAGGTGCATTCCATCCACTCTCTGCATTACCCGATGTCGTCCAACTCTCGGAAAAGGACCAAGAACCCCTCCCACCCAACATTATCAATGTGCCCATGAACCCAAAGAGTTCGGCTGTCTCCTTCCTCAAGGCATTTGGCGCACTCATTGACAAACTCAATGAATACCAGCCCGAACTCATCCTCATCAGCTGTGGATTCGATGCCCACATTGACGACAGTTTAGCATCTCTCTGTCTCATGGAAGAACATTATGTAGAGATGACTAAAAGCTTGAAAAAAGTGGCCGATCGTTGGAGCAAAGGAAGAATCATTTCCATCCTTGAAGGTGGTTATAATATAAATGCTTTAAAACAATGTACAATTGCTCATTTGGTTGCATTAACTGATGATGATTAAAATCACAAAATCAAACAAATAATATATAAATTTAGAATAATAATAATAATAATAATAATAATAGAACTAACACAAACCAAACAGATTTTTAAAAACAAAAACATGTATATATATAATATTTGTATACAAAAAAAACAACAAACAAAGATGAAATCCAGAAACATACCAATTGTAAATAATAATAAATAACAAATATTTTCCACAATACTAGTATACTCTTTTTAAAATTAATTTTAATTAATTTCCAATTTTGGTTATAATATTTAATATGTCGATTATAATTATATATTATAATATATACATTCTACTACCAATTTTGTGTGTTTTTATTATTAATAATATTATTAGTCTTGCATACCTTCACGCCAAATACAGGTTGGAGGTAGACATCCATATTCTTCAACCCAATTCTCTTTGATTGACTTTGTAATACGATGAAGTGATTGATAATGAGATTGTTTCTCAGTTTCAGAGGTTGGTATTGTTAGACGACTGAAAATCATTGCAATCACCTTGTCCAATACATTCATGGCTGGTTCTGGTGGTTTTTCGTCGTCACTATCATCTTGTTGACGTTTCTTCTTTTCCTCTTCATCTTGTTTCTTTTGTTTCTCTTTTTCTTCCAATTCTCTAACCACTCTTGTTTCCTCTTCCAATTCCTTTATCTCTTTTTCCAATATTTCCAAGTCCTCTTGTTCTTGACGCTTATTTAAATTGAAAAATCCTAATCCTCCAAGTGAAATACCGCCGCCACCACCAGTCAATGATCTTGAACCACCATAGTCTTCTTCCTCTTCATCATAATTATAATTTGATGAATCTGTGATATAACCAAATGGTCTAATTTCTTGTATATCTGTTGGTTGTTTCCATCCACTTGTTTCTTCTTCATCTTCATTATCTGCTTCATCTAAATATTCTTCACTTGGTCCATCACTAAAAGTACTATTACTGACAGTCTCTAATTTCAACAATTCCTTTTTCTTTTTGTATTCATAATTTAATGGTTGTACCTTTAAATCTGCCAATGTTGGTTCTGGTTCTTCTTCATCATAATATTCTTCTTCACCATCTTCTTCATTATATTCTCCGTCATAATCTTCATCATATTCTTCGTCTTCTGGATAATCTCCTTCCTCTTCATTATATTCACCGTCTTCACCATTATATTCACCATCTTCACCATTATATTGTTGTTGATCATTATCACCATTTTCTTCATCGTATTCTTCTTCTTGATGATCTCCATCTTCTTCATTATATTCATCATTATATTCACCATCATCTTCTTCTCCATTATATTGTTCTTGACCATCATCATTTTCATTTTCTTCTTCCTTTTTCTTTTCAAAACCAATTTCAAGACCCTCCAATTCTTTAATTGATTGTTGTAATTTAAGAATAATGTCACGATTGATTTCAGTTTCATATTTCTTTTGCATTCTCTTTTCAAATTCATCCATTCGTTTTTGGTCGTCTTGTAACTCCTCGTTGAGCAATAGTTTGGCGGTTGAGCCCAACAGTTGTTGTTCGATTGCCATAAACTCAATTGCCAATGCCATGTTGTGTTTATAGACGAGGTCATGATTACTCTTTGCCAAATAGACACATTTGAGAATGTTGACAGCCTTGGACTCTGTTCTTTCCTTTATCTTTTTCCACATTTCATCGACCAAGTAACCATCAAGTGTCACTGGATACGATACAGTGGTGATAAAATCGGTTGGCGGGAATGACTTTTCGATATTCTTAATGTCATTGCTCCACATCTTTGAAGTGGTGTGAAATGCCAAATCTTGTGCAAAGAGACCACCAGTTATTCTTTTAAACGTTGTTTCATCTCTCATTGCCTTGACAATCATATCAAATGTATCTTTTGCCTCTATATGACCATTCTTTAAATGTATTAATCCATTTGTCAGTTTTGTGAAATTAACCAATACCAATGGTTCCTCTTCTTCCTCTTCAACATTAGCTTGTGTATTTTTCATTACTATTGATTGTTGTAATGGTGTAACAGATGATGTTGATATAGATGTTGATGTAGTTGATTTATCCTTCTTTTCATTATTATCAATATTATTATTATTATTATTAGGTTGTTGTTTCTTTAATTGTTCCAATTCTTTAAAACTAATAACCTTTTTACTTTTATCTACAAATATAGTTGCACCTTGAATTGGTGTTGTCTTTGGTGCTGCTGTGTGAATGTTGGTGTTTAACTTTCTTTTTCTCTTCCTCTTCTTTTTGTTGTTGTTGTTGTTGTTGTTGTTGTTGTTGTTGTTGTTGTTGTTGTTGTTGTTGTTTAAGTCTTAATAGCTCATCTTTAATTGCAGATGATGAAGATGAAGAAGATAAAGTTGGGGATGACAAAGCAGGTGACACCGCAACTGTTCCCACAGATTTGGTTGGTGCCGATTCATAGTATTTTGTCGTCTGTTCTGAATCATCATCCCATGAATCTGGTACATCTATCTTTTCCATTGATCGATATTGATATATAGAGAGAGATAATAGAGTTATTAATATCTATGTCTCTTATTGCTTCTATTCTAGTTGATAGCATCAATTAAACAATGAGAGTCGTTCGAGTTTTTTTTAATGTCTTTTTTTACGAAGTTCTTTTGAATCTGTAGCTTTCGTTCTTTGATCATTGCCCAAAAGTTGCATATTTTGTTTATAGTTTCTATTTTATATTATATAATATATATATATATATATATCAAATCAATAAGATGAATTTAACAAAGAGTTTAAGAGCTCTCACCTTTTTAAATTGCAGTACTCAAACTACTACTGCTGCTTCAACATATACTCCAATCTTTGTTAGGTATGATCGTGACAGATAGTATATCATCAGCAGACAGACATACAGACAGAGATATTGCAAACGAATGATGTATATGGAGAGAGAGAGAGAGAGAGATATCTATCTTCATACACCATGCATAGTGCAATAAGAACAAAAGGACACAAATGATGATGATGATGATGATGATAGTAGAGATTAGATTTGGAGAATGTAATATTAATCTAGTCTCTTTTTCTATAAATGTAGATCATACGCAAGAGTAGTTGAATCAGTTGAAGTACCAGAAGAACTATTAAAGAAATACCCAAAGCCACATAGAGATCAACCAACACACGCAAGAAAACTACGAGTTAGAAGAGAGGTACAAGTTAGACGTAACCTCAAACTCAAAGAACACCAAAAACCAATCCAAGACTGGCGTCTTGCACCTGTACATCATCTTCCAAGATTTGACGCATCGATCGTCAAACCAAAAGTAGACTACAAGAACAGAGTCGATCAATTTGAAGACAAGCCATTTGGTTATTTGAGACGTAAAGAAGAGAAACAAAGACAATTAAAGGCAGAGGAAGAGGAAATCATAAATCAATTGAGAATCAAGAGAGAACAAAAGAAAGAAGAAGAACAAAGATTAAAAGAAGCAAAGACAGAGGCATTAAAAGCAAGACAACAAGAAATTGTTCAATAATATAATAAATAATAATAACAACAATAACCTAAAACTAATTTAAATCAATATTGATTGACCAACTACGAGAGGAATATTTATTTATTTATTTATTTATTAATTATTGATTTGTTTGGATTCAATTGTACAAGAATATGGAATATCCAGTCTTGGATGAATATGACAATACTTCCGCGGTCGATAAGGATTGTCACATAATGGGCAATTAAAATGGAGTTTGGTCAATTCTATGGATGGGATGGTAACAATCACTATTGCTACCATGTCAAACAGGAGGTGACCGCAATCAGTCACTATTATTATAGTTATTTGTTGTTAAAATGAAGATTATAACTGTTGTATGTTGTTGGATCTGACACATGAGTATTGGTTATGTCTTGATTTTCTTTGTTGTTTGAAGTTTCTCTTCGATGAGATGTCTAAATGATTCAGATGGTAATTCGAAACCATTAATCTCTTCGTCGTCAATGACACTATCATCGAAACCATCCAAGTCATAGTACTCTGCAATCTCTTTTTCGACGATATCCGTTGTGATGATATAGTTTGGTAGTTGTTGTTGAAGTATTCTTGTACAATTGATAATTGCAAACTGTCTATTGACTCCAACTGGTAGGTATTTACTTATTGCTTGTAGCAACAAACACTTTGTCTTGTAGTCCCATTCGATCGCTATCTTTTCTAGGTTGGTTATTGTTGGTGATACTTGTCCACTTGTATTATTACTACCTTCACTACTACTACCGCTACCACTGCCACTATTACTACCATCACTCATATCTATATTCTCTGCATCACTACTATTATTTGTCATTCTTATCGATAATTGTTAATTGATGAAACTTCGATTATGATGATCTAAAGTTAAACTTCACTCAAACTAAAATTGAGTTTTGAGGAGGCGATTTCATTGTTTACTTTATTATTTATATTTATTATTACTCTCTTTCAGTACATATATATAATGACAACATTAAAGTCAGGTAGACTCCCACCAGAAGTAAATAGAATATTGTTTGTAAAGTAAGTAAAAGTGAATGAAAGAATGAAAAAAGATAGTAATTGAACAAGTTATACTTATACTTTTACTTTTACCTATCTCTCTCTATCTCTACTCTTGCCTTATCGAAGAAACTTACCATTTAAAATCACATCAAATGAAATATACGAGTTGTTTGGGTCTTATGGAAGTATAAGACAAGTTAGATTGTAAGTGTGCTATGCAATAATAACATATACATATGATGTAATGTAATGTAATCTTTACTAACATCTCTTTCTTCTTCTTGACAGGGGTAATGTAAGCGAAACAATGGGTACAGCATTTGTTGTTTACGATGATATATACGATGCAAAAACAGCATGTGATCATTTATCTGGATACAATTTAGGTGGTCGTTATCTAGTGGTTCTCTATCATCAACCACAAAAGCAAGCAAAGAAATTAGATTTATTAAAAAAGAAACAAGAGATGGAGTTGATGAAACAAAAGTTTGGAATAGAGTAATTGAATCAACATCGTATCAACTGACCGACCGAAAAATAACAATAACAACAACGAGGGCAATATTTATAAATGGAATCTTTACAAAGTTTGGATGGATATCTGTTCTTTTGGGGAGCCACAGACATATATACATTCGGATAAAATATGGCGTGGCTATATAGCGTAAATCACACTGTTAACTTGTAAATATTCATATACACTTACTTTTTAAAACAATAATAAACAACTCCAATATATTTATAAAACCAATACATATTTATGACAGGTCCAGGTTCTTGGCGCCAACAAACAACCTGAAAGTACATAATCTTTCCAAGTTTAAGATATTTGCCTCATATTTAATAGATAACACCTTGTTATTCCTCATTCCGAAATTTTATACGATGCAAATCAATTTTTTGAAAAATCAATACCTTTTGAACGAGGTGGGTTAAAAAAAAAAAAAAAAAACAAAGTTAGATGAAGATCACCAATTCATCTTATGAAAATATGAATATATTAAGAATAATAAAGAAACATAGAGTATTAAACAAAACATGTAATGATATCTTTGTAGAGATTACATACAACAATTGATTAACACTGTAATTTCTTTCCGTTTTATAATCAAGTCGTAGTGGGAGGTCTTCCATTAGAGGATGAAGATGTTATTTTTTTGTTAATTATTTTATTTATTTTAATTTATTTTCTTTTAATAGTTTTAATTTCTTGATGATATCTTTATGATAACTATGATCATAACTCTTTTTAAATACCAATATCAATCTATCAATCCATTCAAAATATGATATCTTTTCTGTTGTTGGTGATATTGTAATGATTGGTGGTACAATAGGATTGGCTAGATTATAGAAATCTACTACCAACTCGACTCCAGACTTGGAAAGGTGCTCTGATTCCATATTTTGATTGATACAATCGACGACCCTATCAATCACACGTGATGATATCATTTCAATAGTATTCCATTGATCGTCCATTGAAACTAGTATCTTTATCAAATCACCAACCTCTGTATGTCCATCCCCATAACCACCAGATTGTAGTTGTGTTTGTACAATCAAATCGATGATTTGTAATATTTGATCGGTTGTAATGTTTCCTCCTGTAACTATTATTTGTCGGATCATTTCAGTAATCGCCCCCAAGATCGCTAGTAAATAGTAGTAGAGATGATAGGGGGAGGAGGAGGGAGGTGGTGCATTAAAAATATCGAGTATTTGTTGAAATAGTAGAGCGCATTCTTGGTGGTGTATACCTTTGTATTCCACTGTTCTTGTGAATAGAATACTCAATAGCTCGGCAATCTTTGTTTTTTCAATGACATCTGATGTGTTCAGTTGGATGGCAATTGTGATTAAATGTTGAATGTATTGATTTGTTGCTTGATGTGGTTGTTTGTACATGATCAAAAAACTGTCTATACAAAAATACTCGATTTGTTGATCAATTATTCTTTTCATGATTGTTGGTAAATAGATTGACAAGTTATTTGCCGAATCACCTATCCATTTAATCAGAGATCGTTCCACAAAGTGATTGATTTGAATTGGTTCATATTGTTGTGAAAATAATATTCGTTGAATTAATTGATTGGTCTCTTTGAATCCAAGTTGGTGAGTATGATTAAAAAAGCGAATCACCCCAGATAAAATGTCATCGTCAATTTGAAAACGATCCAATAATGCAATGACTGTTGTTGATAATGCTTTTAAATTCTAAAAAAAATAAAGAATAGAATATTGATGATTAATAAATGAATTAATATTTGTGAGGGATTGATGTTGTTGTTGTTGAGGTTGATTGTTAACTGATCACTTGTCAACACCTACTGTTGTAAATTGAGGAACGGGATATCTTGTAATCAAGGCTAGAGCACGACTGATCACAACCTTTTGATTTGATTGAACCGACTTTAAAACGAGGTTGACAATATATTCTTGCCAAAATGGTTCAGTGGAAAAGATTTGTTTAATCTGGATTCCAGGACTATCAGAACTATCATCACAAGCATTGATGAGAGAGTATAATAAACGAGGATGTGGTGGTGAAGCTTGATTGATAATGATGTGATTAAAAGCTTCTTTGATGATATCTCGAAACTCTATACTTTTGATAATCATCTTACGTTTCCAATAGTAAGGGACAATACCGAATTGTTTAATAAATTCCAATAATTCACATTGAACAAGTATATTATCTTCTTTTAATGTTTCTGATATAACTCTATTTTTTTAAAATAATAATAATAACAGTGGTTTGTTAGAAATATGATATATATATATTGATTGATTTACAATGTGTATTCATACGTTTTAAGAAAATCAATACTAAAATATTTAATCCATTTCTTTGCTCTATGATCAGGCAACGACCAAGTTTCAAGCATATTTAATAAATTGAGAACTATTAATTTATCTTTCCATGTTTGTGTTAGACATTGCTTGAAATGTTGGAATAGAATAGATAATATTTTTGGGTGGTGGTATGCTGAAAATACTCGCAATTGATCGGCAATTAATTCTCTTTCTTCCTTTTTCCACCCATTCCAGTATTGCACATTAATTAAGTCATTGGGTTGTTCTGGAGGTATGAAATAATCGTAGTTGTGAGCATCCATGAATATTGTTGTAATGTATTCCTTGAAGAAGTCACAACTAACCTGACTATCCCATTGATCGTTTGATTCATCAACCCAAAGTTCCTTGCGTATAGTCTGTGAAATCACCTTTTTTAATTCTTTACCTCTTTGATCTTGAAAACTATATTGTTTGAACACCAATACAAACATATAAACATAATTGTCTTTACAAATACCTTTGAATATTTTTTGATGTTTATAGACACGAAATATAGTATCCAAAGTATCGTATATAACATCCAAATATTTGTCTCTAATGTTTGTGTAGTTATTCATTTTTAATATACCATCGATCATGATTAGAATCATTGGGCCATATTGATCTTTGTCCCAATCATCGACCATCTTTTCATCAAACAAAGTATTAACCCAATTAAATGTTTGAATAATAAATAAATAAATATCTTCATCATTATTATCTGTTGTTGTTATGATAAGAGATAAGAGGTTAGTCAATCTATTAGTCTAATTAATGATACATCATCATATTTATTTAAACATACATTGGTTTGATATAATTAATTGAATTAATTCCATTTCGTGGTGAACAAACTCCTTTAATTGTTTGATATGCTCGAGTATGATTTCATGCATATGTTTCTTTGTTTCATATGATAGATGATGAAACAGACACTTGTCATTATCAGTACCATCGGGTGATTTGGTAAAAAGTAATTGAATCAATGCTGTTGAAGGATGGATATTATCTTTATCGTATATCTGTAAATAAGCAACAAAGAGTATAAGTAAATCAACTATCAACTATTTATATCCAACTACGATACATACGATATCATCATCTGAAGTAGTATTACACTCCAAATTACAGAGTTTATAAGTAATGTCTAGTATGACTTGATCGGCTCGTCGTCGTATACATTCCATCGATGAATCCTCTTGGGTTGATATTCTCGTGTCTCTATTTGATCGAAGTGTGAAGCTTAATGGGTGGAATTAAAAAAATTATAATAAAAAAATATTATAATTAATTATATTATATTGCAATTATAATAATATATAATTATATTGCAATGGCAACATCAGTTCAAGAAGCAAGATATATAGTAAAGAATTTATATAAACAGGTATCATCGCAGACACACTGATTGATCAACGACACTCAATGGATTAGGAGTCTTATATATACATCTTTTATCAATCTATCTAATCTGATAGTTATTATATTTAGGTAGGATATCATTCCTTGGTGTTGACTATGTCAGAGATAGAGCTAAACCTCAATTCTTGGCTAATAAAGATCTAACTGTATGCACCCATCCATTCTATTGTCCCAATAAGGATATCTTTGACTAATCATATTATATAGGATTTAGAAGAAATCAACAAATGTATAAATAGAACGAAATACGTAGTTGGAGAGGTAGAGGCTATGCACAAGTTTCACAAATACAGAACACTAAAGAAGGCATATGATCGAGAATTTCAATTGGTCAATGATCAATTCAATGTAGAGACATTTAATTTAAAAGACAATAATGATAATATGAATCAAAAGTCTTGATCTCATCGTCAGATTAGATCAGATCTGATAATAGTCAGATAGTCTCTTAGTAAATAAATCTCTCTATTTACTAGTAGGAAAATAACAATAATAAATCAGAGTACGTAGGAGAAAGGCGGAGCAAAAGTAACATAATAATATAATTTAAAAGAGGCAATTTTCCTTTTTTGGTAATCAAATATATTAATGAATGAAATATTTAAACAACTTTAAACTCTCGAGTTGCAACATCAATATTATAATATAATGAATTTTAATAAATTGTTGTTAATAAAGTTTATTCCCATGCAATATTAAAAAGACAATGAAACAACAAGTTGTTTGTGGATATCTATCTAGAACACACATCGCCATTTTCTCAGATTTCATTTACACATGTGACGATTTAATTAAGTCGTAATAAACTTTAAATAGCAATGTCAAACAATAATCACAATAACAATAACAATAAGAGTAACGATAACAACGATAGTAATAGCAGTAGGAGTATACTCACGAGTATACAAAATACGATGAATAATAATAATAATACGGTTCAAGAGATAAAACCAGATGACCCAGACCCAGTAGCTGGCTTTGCCGCTGGAGTAGCTAGATTCTTAGCAAAGTATATACATACCCAGAAACGATCTATCATGATTCAAGAGTAACTAACTCTTTACTTTTTGCCTCTCTCTTTTAGTATATCTAGAAAAGGAATTGCAGGAACTTTATCAGGAAGTAAGATTCATATATGATTGTCAAGAGGATCAAGATCTTGTTGTAAAATTTGTTTATTAATATATATGTCTTTTAGTTGTTGAAGAAACAGCAATTTATCCAATTGATTTGGTTAAAACTAGAGTTCAAGTACATCCAAACCCAAATGTTGGGTTCATGTCAATGATGAAAGAGGTTTACAAGGCTGAAGGTTTCAAAGGAATGTTTAGAGGATTAAGTTCACCTTTGGTAGCATCGGCAATGGTCAGCGCCATTCAATTTAGTACATTTGAAAAGTCGAATCAAGAGCTAGAAGAGCATAGATTGTTTAAAGATTCACCAGAAACACTACGATATTTTGTTGCTGGTGGGTCGGCTGGTATACTACAATCATTTATAATCTGTCCGGTCGATGTGATCAAGAGTAGAATGCAAATTAGCGGACATGGACATAGTGGATCGACTGTTGATATGGCAAAGTCAATCTATCGAGCAAATGGACTCAAGGGGTTTTATACTGGATTCTCTGCAACTTTACTTCGCGATGTTCCAGGTCTAGGCATATATTTTTCAACATACGAATCATTGAAACATGTATTCAACGTTCATGGTCACCATGATCTCAGTGGAGGAGGATTTATCAAAGTATTACTTGCTGGAGGGTTAGCAGGTAGCGTTTATAATGCTAGTACTCATTGTTTTGATATTGTAAGTAGACTCTAGGTTTAACCATACCAAAAATAGATTACTAATATCTTTTCAGGCAAAAACATTAATACAAACACAAACTACGGAACCAAAATACAAAGGAACATTTGATTGTTTGAATCAAGTTGTCCAAAAGCAAGGAGTAAAAGGATTATTTAAAGGATTTGTCCCTACCGTCATTAGGGCAATCCCTTCACATGGAATAGCTCTTTTTGTATACGAATTAACTCAAGCCATCTAATTATAATAATAATTAGTACTTTTCTTCAAGACAAGCAGGAAAACATTCACAAACCATAATTATCTAATCAAGATATTGTAAATATATGGAATATACACTAATCAAATCGAATTGCAATAATGTAAAGGGATTGCAAATCAAAATAAACGACCGAATTAAATTATTAATATCATAATGATATTTTATTATAAATTATTATGGATTCATATTCTTTATCGTATGCTTATTATTATTATTATTATTATTATTATTATTATTATTATTTGTTTGGAAAGTAATAACCATATCACCTTTAAATTTCAAAAGATAAAAATACATCCCAAGTTTGGAATCTATTACAAGCATCAATTAAATCGCTGACTAGTACCTTGAATCTATGAGGATTTGAAATACCAATAATTAATCTTGCAATTCTATCTCTTTCTTCCTTTGAAACTTCTGTCGGTATCCAATTGGCATTTGAAAATATTTCTCTTATAATTGATGGCGTTGGTTCTTCTTTATATTTATCGACTATAGAATATAAAATATAATTAGAATAGGTATTTTTTGTTTGATTATTATTTTTTTGTTTCCTTACTCCACTGTCTTAATAAATTTGCAAAATAGGCAGTCATATGTTTAAAACGATCTTGAACGATGGCTTGTAGGATATTTTTTAGAATGTGTGAAGCGTATTGTTTGGAAAGGGTTTCTTGAACACTATTGGATTGGATGAAAAGTAGATTTAAAAATTCCATTACCCTCATGACTGAATCCTTTTCAGTGTTTGTGATTGCCACAATTGCCAATTCGACAATATTAACAACCTGGGGTATATTATAAAATATCTGTGGATTATATTGTAAAACATTTGCCATTATACTATAAAATCTTGATATTACTGTCATACTATCATTATTTTCTAGAAACAAATTAGAATTTGTTAGCATATACTTTTAATATTGACAATATATATTTTCTATACATACGAAGTGAAATAAGTGGAAGTGATTTTAAAGATAATTGATTGACAAGACTGGTAAAATGATTTTGGTACTTTTGATTGGACGAGAAATTTTTTGTTAAAAGATTAATCGTTTCTACACAAGAATGACTAATGGTTGAAAGGGTAGAGATGTCTTGTAGAATAAATCCAAATATTTGTTCAAGGTTAAATTCTTCATTGCCCATCTCTTTCATTATCTTCCATAAAACCTTCCACAATGCCTCTGAAACATTGGAATCATGGTGTTCTTTTGAATATTGGTGTGCACCAACACACAATGGCCATATATTATTTACATAATCTTTAAATATTGACATATAATCATCTGGGATCCTAAAAAAGAAATTAAATTATTAATACATGTGTATTCAAATTATTATATTATATTCTCCATTTTACATACTTTAGAGATGATTGTAATAATGATAATCTTTCAATAATTAATACACTTTTTTGAAGTGGTGGAGCATTAAAAGCAAGTGCATTTTTGAGTTGAACGATAACAGGTGTAAGAGTCTTTTGGAGAATAGTTGGTATTTTATCTTCGGTAGTGTATGAAGATAGGAATAGAATCGATTCAATGAAATCTTTTTGTTCGTCAATTGAAAAAGAGGTAAGATTATTCTCCCATATTGTCATTGAATTGTCAATATTTTGGTAAAGTCTATCACCATAAGCTTGACTATAAATACGTAATGTTTTTACTATAGTAATAAATAAATTTTAATAAATATATAGGTATAATTATAAATATATATATATATATTTTGTTTTATACATACAAGCAACAACTCTAACATCATTATTTGGAATTAAAGATAATATGTAGGAAAATGCAGGATTTAAAAGATCTTCACTCTTGTAAATATAATCGCCATATTCTTGGATCATTAACAAAATAGAGATACTGAGAGTTGGATGAGCTGGTAAAGTCAAGATATGAGATATAATATTTGCTGCACCTTGATCATCTTCATAAACCTCTGAATGAACACATCTAAATAAATAAATTACCTAGGAAAATAAAATAAAATAATTATTTTGTTAGATCTTTTTCAAACAGTTTTACTTTTCTTTTTTTTTAAAACTTACAACTTCAAATGATTGCCAATTATTACAATTATTTTTTAAAATGTTTTCAATGTAAATGAAAAATACTTGAGGTTGAATGATTTCGAAACAACTAAGGACAATGTCACCTGCATTGGCACGATATGCTGAGATATCGGTAGCAAGTTCACTGTTAAAGTCAACCTTTTCAACATTTGTGGGGAATGATGATTTTTGGAGAATCTTTGTCAACAAGTGAGCATAAAGATTCTGGTAGGAATCTGAAATTGCATCTGGATCCATCGAAACAATATGCTCGCCCATATAGATCCAGGCATCAAATGTAAGCTCAGAAAGTTCCTTTTCCTTGTGAGAACAAATTTCCATTAAAAATTCAATCACCATCTGTACCTCTTTTCTATCTACTTGTAACATTATAGGTGTATAACACTCTACAATTTGTGAAAATATTTCTGCAAATGATCTACATATAACTATATTATCATCTAACCAAAAAAAAAAAAAAAAAAGAAAATCATAATTAACAACTAAAATGATCATTTCCTAAAATACGGTTTGATTACTTACTTTTTTCAGATCTAACATATAAATCTTTTTTAGAGACTAATTTGTTGATGATTGGTATGATTAATTTTCTAAAATTAAGTTCATCACTTGAATGAATGTTGGTGGCATTGGCAGGTTCCTTTTCGGAAAATGGTGAACGATAGGTATGGAAATTGATCATATCATTAAGCAAACTAATTCCTTCTGGGAATAACTCATCATCTTCAATTGCTTGAAATATATTATTTAATACATTTCCTGTTTCAACAACCCTAAAAAAAAACAAACATAATGAGTTATGAGTTATGAGTTATTACTCTGATGATGTTGTTTGATTTACATACTTTGAATTTGTATAATCGATCCAATAAGAAATACACTTTAGAATTAATAGTTTGGTTGGTCTATCTGAATGTTCAAGTGAACTTGATAATAGATAGATGACAGGTTCAGATCGTTGTATAAAGTATTCCTTGACAGCCAGACATCTGGCATTGGACAATACAACATTGCCAAACTCTTGTGGCAACACGGTTAGAATGTCAATAGCTCCCTTTTTAACACGTTCACTCGTTTGGTTTGATCCCAATAATGCAACCAAATCACCTATTGGATGTTCCCATAGTTTTGGTATACTATGAATCACTATTGATTTGTAAAAGTGTAAAGGGAGTGAGAGTTAGTTGAAAGTCCATCCAATCTTATCTATCTCTTGTCTATCTCTTATCTCTCTACATACTAATTGCAGCAATACATAAACAAATCTTGGAATAGATCAATTGATTAAGGTTATTGTCATCAGTCAAAAACTTGGAGAATAGGATGGTTCTAACCTGTGACCTAAACTCTTCATTCCATCTAGACTCCCAATCCTGATGTATCTTTGAGTGTAGTGTCTGAATACCATAGATCTGTGAATAGTATGATCTATCGTTCTTTATCAAATCAAGACACACCATGGCTATGTGTGGGTGTGACTGTAATTCCAACAACCATCGATTCGCTTCATTCTGCAAGTTGGCATCTCCACTCGTAAACAATGTATCTAAAACATGTTGGATTTGTTCTAATGGTGGTAATGGTTGATCTTGTATTGTTTGACTCATCTCTCTTCTACTCTTCTCTCCTCTCCTCTCTAACTCAAGGATATGTATGTATGTTTATAAAGATAAATAAATAAATAAATAAATAAAATAAATAAGGTTGTACTCTATCTTGTCAACCTGTCTATCTACTTTTGATAAAAGATGATAGAGGGATAGTTGTATGTATCTCGAGAATGACTGCTCTCTTTGTTGTAAGAGTTTGATTGCTGGTTTGTGATCATCAGAGGGGGTGTTGGTTTTCAAAAGTTTAATTATTTTTAGTGTGTCTGACCAATTTTCGACAAACTAAGACAAGTTCATTCATAGTAGTTTTAATATTACAGATATTAATATACATATATCATTATATAATAATCATGTCCAAACATCGTATGTACACAATATTTGATCCCTATAGGGTAAAGAAAATGACATTGATACTAACAATCCTAATCACTCTTTTGATCAAACTTTGTAGACCCCGATCTTATTATGTGCAAGAAGCAACCAGGCATTGCTATTGGTCGTGTATGTGAAAAATGTTTGTATACAATAGAGAATATATTAGAGTATAATAGAATAGAATAGAATAGTAGATACTAACTTGTAAGATTCTTCTTCTAGGTGATGGAAAATGTGTTATATGCGATTCATACGTTAAACCTCAAACATTGGTAAGAGTATGTGATGAATGTAATTATGGTTCATATCAAGGTCGTTGTGTCATTTGTGGTGGTGTTGGTATCTCTGATGCATACTATTGTAAAGAATGTACTATACAAGAAAAAGATGTATGTATTGAATGAATAGATCAGGTGACACACCTATGATGATCATAACTAATCACACTCATTTTTCATTACTTTGTAGAGAGATGGATGTCCTAAAATTGTTAATCTTGGTAGTTCAAAGACTGATCTATTCTATGAAAGAAAGAAATATGGATTTAAAAAGAGATAGATAGTCTACCTACCTACCTACCTACAACAAAAAAGAAAAGAATATATTATAGACTATATATTGTTATTTATTTTACACAATCAAAAAATCGACGCGAATCATCTTTATCATATCATCATAGACCGACCAAATATATACTATATATAATATGTATATTGACCAATTAATCGATCTACAACAACAAAAAATATTACATTTAAATTCCAACTATCATTATTTTCAAAAAGTTGGTACAACATCCCCTCTGTTCACATCCAATAATAATTATCATGCAAAGACGTGATAAAAACTCCCTCTTAATAAAATTGTACATAAAATTAATCAAATACAATATTAAACAACTACTATACAAAGTTGTTGTTGATTATTTGTTTTGTATTACAAAAAAAAAAAACTGTAAAATAAATAATTTATTTTATATATGGGTCCAGGAAACAGGGTCTTGGTTATATTTTAAATTAAAAAATATATGGGAATTATTATGATTATATTATTATTATTATTATTATTGGTTATTAAAATTGATTGATTTGATTGATTGATTGATTTAAGATTGACCATCACAAACCATTGATACATCACTCATTTCCTTGTCGTTAAAATTTTCGGTATTTTTCGTGTTGTTATTACTATTATTGTTATTATTATTGTGTTGGGTATTTTTGATGACTAGACTTATCCAAAATTGATCACCAAAATAGAAACCGTCACCTGTACATAGACGCCAATATTCACCGACAATCAATTCGCTATAGGATGAAGGGATAATGGGGATGGCGATGGGAACCGACACTGTAAATGTTTGGCCGGCTGGTGCTGCTGGAACTGGGACGGATATCTTTTGGGCGAGCTTGGTGTTTCCACAAACACGCACCAATAGACAGTCCTTGGGGAGTTGCGAGCCAACGTTGTGTAGTCGCCATGTCTTGATGAGTTGTTGTCCGGGTTCGGTCGCCAATCCAAATGGCAACGTGACATCGGCCACAAACTTTACATTAAATGTGCATTTAAACTTTTTACGGTTGTATGGACAACCACGTTTTGGTGAGTTATTTACAAGTGAAAGAGAGGATGAGGATGAAGTGGAATGTTGTTGTTGAAGTTGTGTTTGTTGTTGTGGTAATTGTTGTTGTTGTTGAGAAGAGGTAAGATTGCATGATTTCATTGCTTTGGTAACTGCAATGATTCGGTGGAGTGGGTGGTGAATATTGTTGGATTGGTCGATAGTGGATTGATTTGCCTTTGGACATTCGTGGATAGATTGTTGGGCACGACAAGAATCACAAAATGTGAATCCCGTGCACACAGAGCAATAGTAGAATGTGCCAATAATAGGTGATTGTGTGCATACTGTACAGGTGGTGCCTCTGTGGACGGTTGGACCTTCAAACTTTAAATTCTTCATCATACACTTTGATGAATCCATTTGCATCTTGTGTGTCGTTACGCCATTACTATTATTATTATTATTGTGATGATTATTATTGTTGTCTTGCATTTCACTTTGGTGTTGTTTAAATGTGTTGATTTGTTGTTGGTACTTTTCACCACCACAAACCATCGACTCGAGCTTGGACTGTAACTGCAAATGTGAATGAAGTTGTGCGAGGGGGACTTCAGCCGACACACGGTAGATACAGGCCTGTTGCTCAGCAATCTTGGCACGATCGACCAGTGGAGACTGGGCAGTTGGAGAGGGAGGTGGTGTGTTGGGTGGCACGGGCACATCCGACACTTGACATGTATCCGAGGCAAACTGAGACAACTGTGGGAAGATGTTGAGGATCCATGGCATTGTGACTCGGGCAGTTTGGATCATCTCACAGATTCGTCCCTTGATCTCACGCTTCTCACGGAAATCGTTGGTTAGACGCAACCCTTCGAAATTCTTTTTGATCTGCATGATAAACTCCATCACCTCTTTGGACTGTGCGGGGTTAGCGTCGGCACTAGAAGTCAACTTTTGCATGAGTGGACACATTGCGTTTGGCAACTTTGGAATGGCTGGTTCTGATGATGCGACGACATCAACGACACTCTTGACCGAATCAGTTGACTTGTCAAGTGAAGGCGAATACGACGAGACGGACGAAGTCGACTCGTTGTCCTCGTCTGCCAAAAACTCAAATGATTGGTTTCTATTGATTTGAGTTTTATCTTGGTCTTTAATCGACTGGATCGTTGGAGATACTGGTGTGGTGGTAGCGGTAGTGTTTGGAGCCACTACAGTTTGTGAAGAAATGACAGTTGATGAAAGAGTTGGCTGTGTTGGTTGTGATGGAGACACCAATGAACCATAACCACCCAAATGATTATTATGTTGGTTTTGCTTTAAAAGTTCCTTCAACTTGACTCCCGAACTGATGGGTGAAGACATTAGATTGTTTGGCGAGTTTCTCTTTTGTGGAGTTGGAATATTGGTTGGTATTGACATTGATGGTGATGTTGCAATGGTTTGTTGTGGTTGTGACTTTGTTGTTGGTTGTTGATTTTGATTTTGTTGTTGTTGTTGAAGTGAAAGTGAAGAAAAAGTGGATGATAAACCAGACATTGATTTTTGTTGTTGTAAAAGAGGAGTATGTGAAATGGATGACCCTCTAAACATTGGTGAAACATGTGTCAAACTATTATGGTGAACACCAAGATGATAACCACCACTATTATGATGATGGAAATGGTTCAAGTGACCATGATTGTTATGTTGTATATGATGGCTATTATTATGATTATTATGATTGTTATTGTGATGATTATTGTTGTGAAGTGGTTGTAGATGAGAATCAAGCATTACAGACGATTGATCATTACTATTGGATTTAAAAAAATTGGGTGCATCTTGGACGATGGTTGGTGCAGCCAGATTCGATTGCATCGAAACAAAACTGGATCCAACCTCTACCGCCGTTGAATGATGATGGTTATTGGTATGATGATGATTGTTGTAGCCTAAAAGTGCACCGGTTAATAAACTGGCTCCACCACCACCACCGCCGATATGTGAAGGTGTTGTTGTTGGTGCGATGGATATCGGTGTTGAATTATTATTATTATTAATATTACTAGTACTGGTTGAAGGAGTATTAGCAGTGGTGGTAGTGGTTATGTTAGTATTATTATTATTATTATTATTATGTATAGTAGGTATAGTATTATTATTATGATTATTATTATTATTATTATTGGTATCAGGACAATTGAATCCAAAGAATGAAAATAATGAATTCTTGCATGCTTGGTGTGGTGTAATCTCTGTGTAATAGAAAATAATAAGTTAATATATCAAAGAATAATAATAATCATTTCATTCATTCATTCATTTATGTTTAACATACCTTTTACAACTAATCTAAGTTCTTCTTGATTCTTTCTATATGCTTTTTTGAGATGACAATCAGATGCTACGTTAAACATGTCACCTTCTTGATTCTCACATTTGATGTTTAGAACCGATTTGGAGTTTAATCCAAATGTCTCTTTGATGCAATTTGACAACTCTTTGTAACAAGTCGACTTTGGTACATTGAGAGTCTTGCATTCGGTTCCCATATTGATTTGCAATGTTGTTGTTTCTGGTAATATTTGTTGCTGTTGTTCATTTGTAGTAGTGCTGTTGCTGATGTTGCTTGACGACATGGTCGTCATTTGATGATTTACATTGCCATTTGCTGTATTACCTTGGAAAAATTGTCTACAATGGATAGATAGATGAGGAAGAGTAGGAATAAAAGGGATCTTTCAATATCTCATGATGAAGGAACTTTTCACTGTGTTGTATAATGTATCGTCGTCACAGGTTCTTATTGACCCGAGTCGACAGTGGTGTAATACATACCTAATTTTACATGCGTATGGATTGTCTCCCATTTTTTTTATCTTTCTCTCTCTCTTTAAGAGGAATATCTCCTCCTCTTTTTAATACAAAAGAAAGAGGAGATTGTAGTATTGTCTATATTGGTATTGGTAGTTAAGTTGTTGTTGTTTGCTCTTTCTTTTTACAAAGTAGTATATTGTCTGTCGTCTGATACTGTTACTGTGTTGTTTTTGTTGTATTTTAATGATTCTACTCTTTTTATGTTTACAATAGCATTCTCAATAACTCTCTCCTTTTCTCTATATTATATTATATAATATACAATATTGAATATATCTTATTATTATTATTACTATCTTTCAATATATTATGACTTGTGTATGTTCAACTGTGATTTATTATTCTACTATTACTATTTATTGAATTTTATTATTGTCTTGTTTGTTGTTGTTGTTGTTTTTGTAGTTGCTGCTGCTGTTGTATGTGTATGTTGAATGTTGTATCTATTTAATTATTATTTATTATTATTTGATATTTGAGAGAGACAGTAGGAAAGGAAGAAGAGGAAGGAGAAAAAGTTTAATGTAAAAACTATGTGTCATATAAAAACAAAAGTGCACCACCTAAAAATTTCGAGTTGGTGGATGATGACCAAAACATTTGTCACTTTTTATTTCATTCCGGCGGTCAGCTCTATGAAGACAGCTTGATTGCGCAACCACCTCACCATGCAAAGTTTCATTTACTTTCCTTTTTTTTTTTTTTGAAGACGAATCTATTACCATCATCTGTAGGGATCCTCTTCCACCAATTGATGATCTAGACTAGACCACCTCTATCTCTCGTCAGTCAAATCAAGAAACCCCCCAAACCCAACTCAACCAATATATTTTATATTATTATTATTATTTTTTAAAAATAGATTTCCCAAACCTCAAACATGTCATTATTACATATACTATAATTTATTTTATTATCCTTGCTTGACCAACAAATTGTTTGTTGTTGCTGCTCTGACATATTTTCGCAGAGTATGGATTTTCCGCCACCCAAATTGAGTATTGCGCGTTTTCGTCTCTTTGACACGAATCGATTCCGAATCTTTTTCGAAAAAAAAAGTGAAAGGAAGATCTTCCAGCTCCTCCACAATACAATTGCAAAACGGAATAAATCCGTTGTAGTAGTGTTTCCTTTTCTCATCAAAGATGGCCGCCGACCTGACTATATCAGGACGAGTGACGATAGCAACACCATTATATTATAGAATGAACATGGAAAGGAAAGGAAGGGAAGCGCACTTCAGATGTGCATTCGATCGAATGCGAAAAGTGCAACTTTATCTCTCTCTCTCTCTATCTCTCTCTTTGTCTACTACTGTCCATGTAAATCCTTCGGCACATAACATTGTAATCTTGCAATATTGTACATACATACATCATACATACCCTTCTTCCTCTTATCTATTTATATTATTATAATTATAATTGTGTTAATTGAGCAATGTACAACTTAAACATTAAGAGAGAGAGATAGAGGTGAAGAGAAGTCGAGAGAAATCTCGAAAAGTCGTTTCATGATAAAATAAGGAGAGGATAGTTATTGATATAAACCTTAATGTTCTCTCCTCCTCCTTGCTACACATAACTAACTATCTAACTGATAGTACTATAGTAAATTATCTTAAAGGTTTTTGTTGCACGAGAATTGACTCATGTGATAGGAAAATTACATCTTTTCTGAGTGAATCAATGAAAGCAAGGTCGTTCATTCATTATGAGACAACGACTTTTGTGCCAAAAAACCATTATCAGAATTTGGCTTGACCCTTTTTTGTTTTTGTTTTTTTTTATGAAAAGTTTAAACTCCACACCCCCCAACAACAACAAAGAAAGAAAAGCAGGACAGCAGGTAGACAGAAGAAGAGTAAGAGTGCAAGAGAGAAAGAGAGAGAAGTAACAACAACAACAACAACAACAACAATAACAAAAGAGAATAGAATAACATAGACTACTACTACTACTTGGACTGACCTGATTAAAGTAAGAGAGTGAAGAAGAAGAACTACATTAAATATCATCAATCAATCAATCAATCAATCAATCAATCAAGTAAACATATATCAGATATATATATAAACAACAAGCCCACACTTACAAAGCAAAGAAGAGGAATGTGATTGATCATATGATAATGAAGAGTAAACAGAAAGAGAGAGAAAGATGGATTGATTGATTGATTGATTGATTGGTGATCAGTGATTGATTGGTTGATTGATTGATCTCAAGATGGAAAACAGTTTTGTGTGATACCAACCATCATCATCATCATAAACAACAACAATAATATAGTATTCTGTGATTATTAAATACTGACTTGTTATTCATCATTGTTATTTATTACAATTATCTAGTTATTATTTATTTTTAGATACTTTGTATTATATATAATTTGTAATAGCATCAACAACAACAACAACAACAACAACAACAACAACAACAATAATAATATCCATCTTATTACGAGCAATTAGACAGACAGAAATTGATTGATCGATTGATTGATAGAGGATATATAATTTAAAACCCACCGATTAATTTGTATTGTAAGTGTCAAAAGAGAGATAACAAAACAAAGCAAAGCAAGGCAAAGCAATCAATTGAGTATTTGATGACTGATACCTTTCTATTATATCATACTATACCATAGTTATATAGTGTTTTACCATATTTTGAAAAGACAGAGAATCATTACCTCCCCAACCCCACTCTTTTAAAGATCAATTCTACTCAAACTTTAGTGAGTATCTACCCATTCATTACACCCCAAACAACAATATTATTATTATATAGTACATACATACACACACATTTATATATTTATATACTCGCGATGAATGAATGATGTATAAAAAAAGCAATAGCAATAGCAACAATAGGTGGGGATTTAAAAATAGATAGATTTTATTTGTTGCATTGTGGTTTGGACAAACAAAATATCTCCATTTTCTCCACAAAAAATATATAAGGAGAGCGAACGAGTAATAATAATAATATAATACTACTATTGAAGAGAAAAGAGAATTTACAATTGATAGAATGAATCATTCATTCATTCTATCTATCATATCATATCATATGAAATGAAAATGAACCATCCATTCCATTCCATTTATTATTTCTTTATTTATTTATTTATTTATTTATTATCCATATATAATTATATTATTATTATAATTTTAATTTCATATATATATATGGATATTATAGTATTAACATATTTTCTATTTAATCCAATAAAGATCATGGCAGAGGTAACAGAGGGATTTTCCGCGTTATCTTTTTGGAAGAATGTAGAAAAGAAAAATATATCGACGAGCTTTAAGGAGTCGCCTGGACGGTCGGCGCCCAAGAAGCTCAATTTCCCGCTTCTCAAACCACCCGCACCCGAAGACGAGGCATCGACATCGGTGCTTGTCAAGAGCGAGTGGGACGACCAAAACGTCACGGGCGCATTTGATTTCTGGAAGAAAAAGGCCATCGAGGTCAAAGAGGAGACGGAACGCTACAACACACGTCGCAGCTACAGAAACACTGTCGACTTGACCAACATCTTGGCCAAATCTTCGAGCGATCAGAATCTGTCCGAGAAGGGTGGTGACTCGCCCAAATCATTGGACAGTTTGTCCAGTGGTGGTGGTGGTAGTGGCAGCAGCAGCGGTAGCAGCTTGTCACCTCTGATCACAGTGTCACCCACGTCAAATATCAATATCAATGCGTCACCCGAGACGTCGCCTATTGGCGATGCCGAGCAACGCACGGGTGCAGTGAGTGACCAACTGGTCGTCGACGACACCAACATGGTACGTAGTTTTAGACGGTCGAGATCGATCAGTTGTGAAGCTATCCCACAGGTGGCAACCAGCACTACTAGCACTAGCACTACTAGTACTGTTGTTCAACCAACCGCATCGACCGACAAACAAGAACAAGATGTTGAAGAGTCATCGTCATCGGATGAAGAGTCTGATCTCAGCAGCGAAGAGTCGTATGACGAGTCGAGTGACGATGAGATGGACAAGTTGCATGAACATGAGCCAGCCACACCACCCAATGCCGATAGTTCTTCGTCGCCAGTACTAACGTCTACGCCAGCCGACCATCACGACCATCTCTCGTCGATCCAATCGATTTCACAAGTCCAAGAGGAATCGACGTACAAGTTGGACGTGCAGTCTGCAGCTGTCAGCCATCCCCACCATGACACTGCCACCCCCAGTCAACCATCATCGACTGTCCACACAACTACGACCGCCACGACACCAATGAATATTCCCGATCAAGCCACCCAACAAAAGCAACAGACCTCATCATCATCAGCAGCCTATCTCACACCACACTCGGGTAGTGGAAACAACAGTCTGTCATCATCACCACTCTCATCGTCGCCACTTGGCAAGGATGGAAGACCTAAAAAGGATGCTGGCAAACGTTCAATCGGTGCCACTCTAACGAGAACCATGACCAAAACCTTTGGCAAGGATGCCAATGGCAAACCAACCACATCGTCAGGATCAGGATCGTCACCCAACAGCAGTTTAAACAATGTACAACAGGTTTTACAACAACAACAACAACAACCATCCAACACACCCAAAAAGGAAAAGGTCAAGTTGGACAAACAAGAAAAAGAACGTCGTAAACAAGAAAAGAGAGAATTAAAGAAAAAGGAACGTGAACAAAAGAAACAATCAAAGAAAAAGAATTTAACAAAATCACTTTCTCTAACTGATATGTCAAAGAAAGCAATTACTGTTCCAGAATCTTCAAGTAAATAGAACAAATAGAAAAAGAAAAAAAAAGGATAATAATATTAATTAATTAATTTCTATATTTTAGGTGTATTTAAAGTAAGATTAACCAAATTGGTAGCAAATAATAATGGTAATTTACCACCATTTATTACTTCTGCTATTACATTCTTGAGTAATTCAGAGAATGTAGATGTATCATATATATTTATGGATGCTCATAATGATCCAACCGTTAAATCTCTTAGAGTTAAAGCTGAAAAAGGTATGAAACAAATGAAAATGAAAATGGAAATATATACAAATATTAATATTTATTTACTTTTTAAAGAGGAAATTGATTTTTCAACTATACCAAATCCAAGAATTGTTGGAGGTTTATTAAGAACATTTTTCGGAGATTTACCACAACCATTGTTCAACACCAAGTTTTATGATGACTTGATGGAGATTCAAGACATTACCAAACCAGAGGTCAAGTTGCACGATCTTCGTTCACTTATCTGGACCCTTTCACATCTTCGTCGCAATTTGTTGTTGCTCTTGGTCACCTTTTTGATGCAAAAGTATGTCAACTCGTCGCCCACCAAGCAGGCCACCGTTGGCATTTTGGCATCGACATTTGGCCCCGTGCTCTTTAGATCGGCCGACCCCAAGACTGCGTCGATCAACCAGATCCAGCGTGAAGAGACAATGCGTCTCATCCTCGAAAACAACGAGTTCCTCTTTGACCAGGTGGAAAAGAGCGATTTGGTCTATGCCAACCACGAGGGCAAGATGATTGTGGCCGAGGCATCTGTGGACTCTTTGGTCGACCGTGCCACCGACGTCTACTACCATTTTGCCGACAAGTACTTTATGTTGACGTTCTTTATGACACACCACTACTTTATCCAGCCAAATGACCTCGCCGACAAATTGATCCAGTTGCACCGCGAGAGTAACCGCGCCGAAAGCAAAAAGAAATGGAAAAAGAACCGTGGAGGCAAGCGTGCCGAAAAGATCAACGAGGCGGTCAAGCTGTGGGTCGACTACTGCTATCGTGAGTTGCGCGAGGACAAGAAGCTAGCTCAAAAGATTTTAAAGGGGTTCCCACATTTAGAGGCTCAACTCAGCTCGCGTCTGACGCAGTCTAGATTCGCATTTTCCGATATTCTCAAGGTACCCAAGTTCCACACCCGTACACGTAGTGCGTCCGTGTCGGATTCGCTGTTGTTTAGCGGTGCCATGAGCAAGGATCCATCGCTTGTGGCTATGGAGATTGCCGAGCAGGCGACCGTCGCAGACTATGACCTCTTTGTCAATGTGCGTTTGTCGGACTGGGTGCGTCTGTTGCAGGGGTCAGTTGACCCCACTCAATGCCCATACTTGGCCAATGCACTCAAAAAGTCGACTACTTGGTGTCAATGGGCCATGGGTGAGATCATGCAGGTCGAAGACAAAGGTCAACGTGTGCAAGTCATCTGTTTGCTCGTTGAGATTGCCGTCTACTGCCGCGAACTGTCCAACTACAACACATGCATCTCAATCTTGAACGCGTTTAATAACCACCACATCAAACGTCTCACTCAGACATGGGAGGCTGTGCCCGCCGAGACACGTGCCAAGATTACAAGGTTGTCGCAGGCTTTGGCCGTGTGGACTGCCAACACCACGAGCGCGAGTGGCGGTGCCACCCAATTTGCACAGATTTGCGCACAAATCTCGTCTGCGTGTGTGCCACACTTTGGCACGTTGCGTGCTGTGCTCCAGAGCTTTGATCAGTCGATGCCAACAAAGTCATCCGACGGACTACGTGTCAACGTCGACAAGTTGCGTCATGTCTTTAGTGCCGTCGTCGACTTGCAGCGTCTGCAACAACGTCAGTACACACTCAAGCCATCCAAGTTGTCGATCCATTTGCAAGACTTGCAAGCACCGACTATGGAGGAGTTGGCCGAGATGTCACTCGTATGTGAACCACCCACCACCACGAAAAAGTACACTGCACCCGTGGATGCGAGCGTTGCTGTGCCAGACTGGCGTGAGCAAATTGCCAAGTCGTACGCCAAGCCTGTCGCACAGACTGCCGTCGGCATTGATTTGCCACGTCTCGCCTGTTTCTTTACTATTGGCGGACGTCCAACCGTCACTGGTGCCGGCAAGGTCGCCGACATCCAAGCCAACATTGCCGCTCTATCGCGTCTTGTCTTGGGTGACGCTGCTGCCGCCGAAGCCAACTTTGAGAGTAAAATGTCCGACACGCTACCTCTGACCACTCCACCCGACTCGGACATTAAGCGCGAGCTTGTCAAGTATCTCGATGAGACTGTCGGTGCCGACCACCCCATCGTCAGCCTACTCAAGTGCTGCAACCAAGCCATCATTGCACCCGCCGTCATCGAGCTCACTCTCAACATTGCCAAGGGTATCCAATTTATGGATGCTGCAGGTTCATGGAGAATTGAAATTAATAGTAATATTATTAAAAAGGAAAACAATTCATCATCAGATGAAACCAACAACAATGAAAATAATAACGAAAATAGTAGTAATAGTAATAATGACCAAACAACAACATATATAGTTCGTCATATTAAGCGTCAAAAATCACGTTCGACAGAAGCAAAGGATCATTTTGAATTTGAATGGTCTCTTACCCTTACACTCGATTCATCCTGTAAAACCATCCAATCCTTTTCAATCAATATCATTTCCATCAACTTCTACTCTGACACTAATCCGCAACTTAAAGAACAAATCACTCAAACCCTTACCCCTTATTTATTAACTACTGATTGTATTAAAGAAATTAGTCAAGCTGTCCCAGCTGCTGCACCACCTTCCTCCTCAGATGTTTAAACATCCATCCATCCATCGTCATCATCATTCATAATAATAATCATGTCGATCATCCCTCCTATCTATATATTAATAATATTAATTAAATAGAAGAGTATTATACTTACGTAATAATCGACCGACAAATCAAAACACAACATTTATTATTAAAAAATAAAACCATTACCTATAATATTATTTATAAATGTGCAAAGTTCAAGGTTATATCATCTGCGACGACGGAGGGGAGTGGGATGGGATGTACAGATAAGGTGATCGATTTCTTTGGGAAAATTTCATCAAAGACATGCCATCATAAAAGCCCTCATTTGATTGGTAGGCGAGCCCCAATCACTTGATATTTAGATGAATCTACTAATGAATCCAGTGTGAATTGCGTAATAGTTAGCAAGATTTTTCAAAAGTAGATTCCAAGTTCAATGTAAAATAAGCATGTTCCGAAAAAGATATATCGCTGGAATTCGGAGATATTTTTTAGGGATGAAAATACATAGGCCATCCCACTGCCAGTTCTCCGTCGGTGATGAGAAATCTTCTATTTTTCTTTTTTACATACCAGTAAAAAATATTAAGATTAAGATTATTATTATTGTACAGTATATATATTTATTATAGAACACATCGATACATAGATGAAAATGAAAGCTTATTCCCACACCTGTCTATTCATCATAGTGTTGGTGTTGTTCATTTCCAACACACTCTCTCAAAATCTCAGTCCCCAAGAGTGTATGTATTATTTTTAAATATTTTTTATGTACCAACCAACAAACCATTCATTTGGTTTTACATTTGTACATATATTTATACTTATAATTATTTTATATATATATATACATATGTAGTGAATTCAGCAATATGGATCATCAAACAGTACAAAGTGGATGCTCCGATGGATCAAAGTCTATGTAATGGCCCGGTGTTTACTTGTGTTTCAGATCATGTAACTCAAATGTATGTAGTAGTACTATAGAACAACAACATGTTGTTGTTATATTGTTGCGGACATTTCTTTTAATTAAATCATTATTAATAATTCCTATCTTTCATATTCAATTCAATTATTGATTAATCTAGAATTTTACCAATTTCAAATACACAAGACAACGGAATGCCAGATGCAAACTTACAACTCTCATTCCCAGAGTTGGTAGAAGTATATATAAAAGATTCAACTGGTATATCAAGTGTAGCAGACCCACTATTATCTCTTTATGATCAAATGCCAACATGTTGTCCAAAGATAGAGGAGCTTCAGTATGTTTACTTAAAGACCAATATTTACTTCAAAGCTAATATATATATTTATTTTTTATTTTACTTTTTTCTAAAAATAGGTTTGGAGGAGACCCAACTTTAACCAATTTCCCAAATAATTTTTCATCCATCTCTACAACTCTGAAAAGATTTGTAGCTTCCCTTATTGGAAAACAAACAGTTAAATTCCCGAGTCATCCATCACTTGCTCAATTGGAACTTTTTGGAGATGAAACTACTACCGAGATTGTTATCGATGACAATGTTTTGCTACCCAATCTCAATGAGACTGTCTTTGGTGTTGTTGTCAATGAAAACCATCTTCAAACTATTAGCAATTTTACTGCAAAGTCATTCCCAGCTCTCAGATTATTGTATGTATCCTACTCTATAGTACCTTTTCCAAAATACTAATTTATTTAATTAATTAACTTTTGTGTATCTTAAATATATATATATATATAGATATCTACTACTTCCATTTTCTATTCCTCCAATCCACCTAAATTTAGATCTTCCAAGTCTCTATTCATTGTTTGTTCCACAAACTGACCTCACCACTCAAAACACCATTATTCACTTTAATGATACAAAGGGTCCTGTCGTGTTGTAAGTGTATAATAATAATATCATATTATATTATTTCAAATATATTCTAATATTTTTCGATCTTTGAATGTGAAATAGGTACTATTTAGGAAGTAGGGTTACATTTGATCCTAGTCTTGACAAACTAACAAGTCTAAAAAATGTGTATGTAAATTATAATATAATTAGATTATACTTTATCTTACTCTTTCATTCTTCTCTCCCTTCTATCGATATTTATTTAGTACTGGTGTAGAATATGATTCAACTGTCTATCCATTCTTGAATGGGTATCCACCCAATGTTGAATATATTGATTTCAGAATGACATCGATCAATAATATTCCTCCAGTTGTCATTCCTTCATCTGCCACCTCTATGTATGTAGTAATAATCTGCACGTCTATTTGTTAATCGTTCTTATATTTATTTTTGTTTAAAAGTAATTTAACAGGTTGTCCAATTACATTACCAATTGATTTCAATACAGTATTACAAAACACTACTGGAAATTTGGAATTAATATTTTTTGGAAATGGAAGCAATCCTTCACTTGTTGGACCACTGTCCCAAGAAACTGCATTGTGTAGGTTAAAAGGATTACAGTTGGAGGGTACTGGCGTCACTTCGATTCCAGATTGTTTTTGGTGTTATCAAAATGAACCAACTGTTAGATTTGCTGTTCCTGCCTCTGTTGTCTTCCCAGTTGGATTTACATGTCCAATAACATTTACCTCAACCAATCTAGTCACTGTATTCAAAAAGGCTATTATCAAGGGTAAAAACCTGGGTTGGGGTGCAAATGTCGGTGGAAATACTCTGGTTCCAATTGTTCCAAATGAGCAATTACAGGCTACCATCAATGGAGTTGCAACCGACGGACCACCTCAAAATATTAGTATTCAGTTTAGTAATGACTATCCAGCTTATACCTATCCATTTAAAGTGATGGAGGCTGGATTCAATGTAACAACTACTACTGCTACTCAAGAACCAAACCATATTACCATCACAATTACATTCTCTACTGTAAATACCAATATCCTTCATTTCGTATCGATTAATGGAAAATTTGCAACGATCGCCGTCATTAATAATGTTCCCGGTGCCTCTCAATTTGGATTCACTCCTACCCTTTCAACTGGTACTTATAATGTTACTATTTTCAATGCCTATTATTCAGTCACTGTTCCAAATGTTCAATATATACAATGTATGTTGCTAAAAATATGAATCAATTTAAATTTAAAGATTTTGACCAACACAAATAATTTCTAATTTTTAGCATACCCAATTGTCAATAATATCATATCTGATTCAATTATTTTAAATGGTTCAATCATTCAATTGGAGGGTAATTTTGGAACATATCTTGTCAGTTCATCAATCACCATTCAAAATAGTAAACAGTCAATACAACTACTCGGTATGTTCAATTACCGAGTTTACAACAACTAGAATATCGTGTAAGGTAGAGTCACCAATTTCAAGTGGTCTTGCTACTTTTAATATCACTGTCGATGGATACTCTATTCTCAAACAATACACTATTCAATCAGCTCAACAACAATGTGAGAGTGAAACTAATCATTGTGCCAATAATGGTGTTTGTACTCCAGATGGTATTTGTGATTGTAATGCCAATCAAGGTGGCTATTATAATAATTGTTCAAAACGTATGCACATTATTGTATTAATTACTATTTTTAAATTATGTATTTATTAATTATTTATTTTATTAAATTCCCAGCCTACCCATTTGCAACGAGTGGACAAGTGAACGATCAAAATACAACACAACGATCGATTAGTTTATTTGGTGACTTTGGACCCAATGCACTGACCAACTCATCGGTTAGAATCAACAACACAATGAATTGTATTATCAATCAATTAGAATCAACTCAATTCACCATTCAATGTCAACTTGAATCATCACCAACCATCTATGGTCCTGCTTCTGTTCAATTGAATGTTGATGGATTGTTGTTTGACAGTAAAACATATCTTATAAGATTCATTAAACCTTCGACTGGTGGAAAAATGGATAAAGAAATATGTGAAGAATCCACTCAATATTGTTTTGGACATGGAACATGTGATGACAATGGAATATGTCAATGTCAAAGTGGCTTTAATCCTGTTGATAATTGTTTGACTAAATTTGTCGATAATTCATCATACATCCCCAACCCAGAATCACCATCAACAAATATCAGCGTGGATGGAGTTGAATTTGGATTTGATATACTTGCCATTCAAGAAATAGGATTGGACAATGAAATTGTCAAGGAACTATTGACCAATAGTTGGATATCAAATATCACAACCAACAGTACATTTACAGATGCAGTCTATCAACTAGTAATCTCCAACACAAGTATCTTAGCAGACACACAAGTAACAGTCAACATAACATTCTCAACACAATCTCGAAGCATCACATTTGGCAACCAACAACTATTGATCAATCCCAATTCAATCAAATTGGCAGTATCTATCAATGGTTGGGAGTACTCATCGAATGTAGCAACACTCAGAGTAGTATTAAAGACAACAACCAACAACCAACAATCAATCGAATACGATTGCAAAGAGACCAACGTAGATTCATTCTCATACGATGATTATGGAACACTTCAATACCTCAGAGTACTCAAAGACAATGTTCAATTCAATGGTAGATTCATTGATTTTGCATTAGCAGATGGTCGAACAACCTACTCACAAACACTACTCATCAATCAAACATCAATCAACGATGAAGAGTTGGTTGCAATGATAGGTATCACACTACCACAATGTCAATCATGTGTACTCGATCCAGATTTCACACCATTGCTTGTTGTCAACGATAAAGATGGTGACTGTTCATCAACCGATAACAACAAATGGAAGATTATTGTTGGCAGTGTAGTTGGGGGTATTATTCTAGTATCGATAATCACAACAACTACAGTTTACATTAAAAAGAAGATAGTCTTTAAGAAACACAACAAAAAGTTGGAGATGAAATTAAACCTCCAAAGACTTTAGCCCCTTAATCAGTGGGTCGATCATCAAACAAAACTCAACCAAGCAAGTTTCGCTAGCCCTACTTTTCCTACAATAAATATAAAAGATCTCGATCTATTTTTCAACCACAAACACTCGATTCTCACAGATCCTCATTGGAACTCATCGAGTTGATTTTTTTGATTGCAGGAGTCGCGACTCTATTATTGGAAATTTGGGCTCACCATTGAAATAATTATTTATAATATCATCTAACTTAGTAAATGTCAGAATCGAAATTTAAGTCACTCACTTGCCTGGGACAACTCAATGATGCTCGCAAATCTCACTGAAAATATCTGGTTTCAGATCGCTATTCAATTTCGGTTTTTCGTTTCCAACGGGTGTTTCTGGTAAAAGGACCTGAAGCCAATCATTCGTTTTTATTGATAAAAAAGGTTACTTATAATCATCATTTGCATATTACACAGATAGATAAAAGAATGAACAACCACAGATATTCGTTTGTTCAAGCGATACGAATCATCGTAGTGTTTGTGTTATTTATTTCAAACACACTCTCACAAGATTTAAATCAAGCAGAGTGTATGTCATATGAAACAGTTGGTGTGGCGCAATTTTACAAAAGACAATGACTAATTTAAAATATCTTTTGTTTGACTCAATTTGTTTTCTTATTTTTTTATTTATGTATCTATCAATCTATCTACAATAGTGGATTCAGCAATATGGATTATCCAACAGTACAAATTACCATTACCGATGGATCAAACTCTATGTAATTCCAACCCCTATATTCAATGCTCTGGTGGTCACATCACTACTATGTAAATATATTTATATATTCTACTCTTTCTTAATCATTAATTAATTCATTTTTGTTTTTGTTTTTTTTGATACTTTAGATTTGTTTCAAACGAGCAATCGCAGACCAATGGTATGCCTGATAAGAATCTACAACTGACATTCCCACAATTGGATAGAATTAAGATAAGCGGGTCTGCTAGTTATTCAGTTGTAGCCGATCTGACCTTATCTTTATTTGACCAACTTCCTACATGTTGTCCACTGATCTATGATATTGAGTATGTTTTCATATCTTCGATCACTATCATATGATATGATAGTTTTTAACTTTGTTTTTGTTATTTAGGTTTGAAGGTGACCCTACTTTAAAGAATTTCCCAAATGGTTTTGGGTCGATCTCAACGACACTGCAAAGGTGTGCAATCTACTTTGTTGGTAAACAATCGATTAAATTTCCAAGTCATCCGACAGTAAGCGAATTGCAATTGTTAGGCGATGAAACCACGACAGAGTTTATTATTGAAGACACTGTTTTACTACCTGATTTAATGACGCTAGGATTTGGTCTGTCAAGTGGAAACGCTCTCCAATCAATTGGCAACATTACCGAAAAGTCATTCCCAGTTCTCACAATCATGTAGGTATCTCTGTTGCCGAAAATTAATTTCTAAATGATTGACCTTTTCCTTATTAATAATATACAATCCCCTAGATATACATACCTCCCATTTACTACACAACAGATTCATCTCAATATCAATCTCACAGGTCTCAGTCATTTGTATTGTGCACAAGTTGACGGACAAACATATCCAAACACCAATATTCATTTCAGAAATAGCCAAGGGTCAACGGCATTGTATGTATTTATGTTTTATATTTTAAAAACCCCATTTATAAAAATGACTAACTTCCTATATCTGTGTTTCTTTGAAAAGGGTTATGATAGGTAGTACTATATCCTTTGATCCAAGTCTTGATAAACTCACACGTCTAAAAACTATGTATGTATAAAATAACTATAGTTCTAGTGTTCTTAATTTATTGACTCTAATTTGATTCTTTATATAGAACAGGAAATGATTACGCCTCCACTCAATACCCATTCTCGCAAGCGTATCCACCAAACATTGTAAATGTGAATTACAGAACTGCATTATTCACTACGATTCCTCCTGTTACCCTTCCTTCAACTGCTGCCAACTTGTATGTATAAAATATTTCCTAGTTTTAAAATAACCAATCATTATTTTATTAACCTCTACTTCTACTGCTTCTACTATCTTTTACAGAGATATAAGTGATAATCTAATTGAATTGCCAATTGATTTTAATACAATATTGAAAAACTCTACTGGCAATTTGATTTTAAATCTTCAAAATAATGATAAACTTGTTGGACCACTCGATCAAGAAACTGCATTATGTAGATTGAAGACATTGAATTTGGCAGGTACTGGTGTCACTTCGCTGCCAGATTGTTTTTGGTGTTATCAAAATGAACCGATTTTTAGATTAGGTGCTCCCATTCCAATCCCTATTCCATTCACTTGTTCGATCACTTTTGATGATACCAATCTAGCCACTGTATTCGGAAAGACCATTATCAAGGGTAAAAATCTGGGTTGGGGTGCAAATGTCGGTGGTAATACTCTTGTTGCAATCGTTCCAAATGAACAATTACAGGCTACCCTCTCTGGACTTGTCACCGATTCACCACCACAACCAATCGATATTCAGTTTAGTAATGACTATCCAGAATACAAATACCAATTCAAAGTGGTAGAGGCTGGATTCACTGTATCAACTACTACATCTAGTCAACAACCAAATCATTTGACAATCGTCACAGTTACATTCTTGACAGTAAATACCTACCTCAGTCATACTGCATCGATAAATGGAGTATTGGCAACAACAATATCAAATGTTGGTATTACCTATCAATTTGGTTTCACAAATCAGCTTTCAACTGGTACTTATAATGTTAATATTTCAAATGACTATTATTCGTTCATTGTTCCTAATGTTCAATATACACAATGTATGTTATAGATTGAATTATTAAAATGTATTTAATTAATTATCAGACTAACCATCATTCTATTTTTTAATTTCTAATATTTAGCATACCCAATTGTCGATAATTTTATATCCGATGCAATTGTTAAATCTGGATCGACCATTCAATTGGAGGGTAATTTTGGAACATATCTTGTCAGCTCATCAGTCACCATTCAAAATAGTAACAGTCAATACAACTACTCGGTATGTTCAATTACCGAGTTTACAACAACTAGAATATCGTGTAAGGTAGAGTCACCAATTTCAAGTGGTCTTGCTACTTTTAATATCACTGTCGATGGATACTCTATTCTCAAACAATATACTATTCAATCAGCTCAACAACAATGTGAGAGTGAAACTAATCATTGTGCCAATAATGGTGCTTGTACTCCAGATGGTATTTGTGTTTGTAATATCAATCAAGGCGGCTATTATAATAATTGTTCAAAACGTATGTATAATAATGATAATTAATTTAAAAATATTTTATCAATTAATTAATATTAATTTTAATCCACCATTAGCATACCCATTTGCAACGAGTGGACAAGTGAACGATCAAAATACAACACAACGGTCGATTAGTTTATTTGGTGACTTTGGACCCAACGCACTGACCAACTCATCGGTTAGAATCAACAACACAATGAATTGTATTATCAATCAATTAGAATCAACTCAATTCACCATTCAATGTCAACTTGAATCATCACCAACCATCTATGGTCCTGCTTCTGTTCAATTGAATGTTGATGGATTGTTGTTTGATAGTAAAACATATCTTATCAGATTCATTAAACCATCGACTGGTGGTTCAACTACTTCATCAACAACTTCAGTTCCAACTACCTCTACAAGTACAACAGGAGGAGAAACACCCAAAACACCCAAAGAAATATGTTCAGATACCACACAATATTGTTTTGGACATGGAACATGTGATGACAATGGAATATGTCAATGTCAAAGTGGCTTTAATCCTGTTGATAATTGTTTGACTAAATTTGCAGACAATACAACCTATATTCCCAATCCAGAATCACCATCAACAAATATCAGTGTAGATGGAGTTGAATTTGGATTTGATATAGTTGCCATTCAAGAAATAGGATTGGACAATGAAATTGTCAAGGAACTATTGACCAATAGTTGGTTGTCAAATATCACCACCAACAGTACATTTACAGATGCAGTCTACCAACTAGTAATCTCCAACACAAGTATCTTAGCAGACACACAAGTAACAGTCAACATAACATTCTCAACACAATCTCGAAGCATCACATTTGGCAACCAACAACTATTGATCAATCCCAATTCAATCAAATTGGCAGTATCTATCAATGGTTGGGAGTATTCATCGAATGTAGCAACACTCAGAGTAGTATTAAAGACAACAACCAACAACCAACAATCAATCGAATACGATTGCAAAGAGACAGACATCTCATCATTTTCATACGATGACTATGGAACACTTCAATACCTCAGAGTACTCAAAGACAATGTTCAATTCAATGGTAGATTCATTGACTTTGCATTAGCAGATGGTCGAAAAACCTACTCACAAACACTACTCATCAATCAAACATCGATCAGTGATGAAGAGTCAGTTTCAATGATAGGTATCACACTACCACAATGTCAATCATGTGTACTCGATCCAGATTTCACACCATTACTTGTTGTCAACGATAAAGATGGTCACTGTTCATCAACCGACCAAAAGTGGAAGATTATCGTTGGATGTGTCGTTGGTGGTATTGGTTTGGTTGCCATCGCTGTTGGATCAGTCATCTATTATCGAAAGAATATGCGTACAAAGAGATATGACGCAAAGATGGCGGCTAAATTAAAGTCATTCAGTTAGATACATCAATGAATCAATCGATCGATCAAGTGTCTTCAAAAACAAAGCAAGGCGGCTTTCGGTTCAAATAAAATATCGGCATTGCAACAATAAAAGATAAAATTGATTTTTGACACGCCGGATTTCTCACAAACCCAACGAGAAACTTCAACAACACCCACATTGTCTTTGTGATTGAAAGGATAGATAGACTCAATTGTGGAGGAGTAGAGAAAGAGAGAAAGAGAAATGAGTATCTCTTATTATCTATTTTTAATTTTATGGAATAGTCTTCAAACTTGTATTTTCCAAAATCTAACACTTAAAACATTGTAAGTTAAAATGAATTCATAAATATAATATAATAATTTATTAACATTAATTTTAAATTATCATTTTATATAGATTCTTATTTGGAGATGGTAATGTTTTTATCCCATCACTTGATAATTTCCCTGTTTTGAATGGAATGTATGTTATTTATTTAATATTCTTTTTAATTGATCATTTATGACTAATATCTCTCTCTCTCTTTATTTATTTATTTATTATTCCTAGTCAATCTGAAAACGCAACAAGTTATCCTTTAACAAAGTTCCCGCCTAAACTAAACTATTTGAGAAATGTTAATTCATTTTTGAATACCATTACAAATATACCTGTATCACCATTCCTATCTGAATTGTATGTATAAAAGAGAGAAGAGAAAGAGAAAGAAACCTTGTAGGATATTCTCTCTAACAATTATATTTTTTTTTTTAATTATTTTTTACAAATTTTTAAAGGAGAATAGATTCTAATAATATAATGAATCAAGGTATTGATTATAATAATATTTTAAAAGATTCAGTTGGAAATTTAAAATTGGTGGTTGTGAATAATCCCCTTGTATTTGGAGGACCTCTTGCTCAAGAGACCTCACTCTGTTCACTCAGTACATTGACAATGACGACAACTGCTATTACGTCGATTCCCGATTGCTACTGGTGCTATTTAACACCTAAAAAGTATTCTGTTCCAACAGCGGTCACTATACCAGCCAATTTTATATGTGACTATGCAATCGATCAGACGGGGTTGATCTTGGTGTTTGGATCGACCATTATGACTGGCCGAAATTTGGGTTGGACGGTTGCCTCGAGCAACAACACTGTAGTGACAACATTGGTGCCAAATAGAAAGATGCAGGTGACTGTCAACCAGGTTATTACAGGTGCACCACAACCATTCTCGATCACTCTCAACGCTGCCTTGGGCTATGTCCTCGATACCACCGTTGCAGAGGCGGGCTTCAATGTCACCAATATCAAAATTCAACAGTATAATGGAGCACGTGCATTGTTGGTCGTTACCTTTTCCAACCTAAACGATTATTTCTCACCTACTGCCCATTTGGACAATTTCACACCAGATACACAAATGATCAATACTGCCGACAAAACTATTAGTTATATTTTTAGTGGCATTCCACTGTACCAATTATACAATGTCACCGTTCTAAATCAATATCATCTGCTCAATCAAATATTTATTTTGATCAAGGTATGCCTAATCAAATCAAATCAAATTAATTTAATTTAATATTCTTGTTAATTAATATTGTTTTTTTTATTATTATTTAGTTTACCCTTTGATTACTAATTTATCATCGGAAGATGAGTATCTTGGAACAGGATCGATTGTTAAGGTTTCTGGTCAGTTTGGAGTTGGATACACAACTCTGACTGTTGTATTTCAAGAGGGAGATTTACCCTATACCAATTGCGTACCAATTGTAAACAACTTAACATCGACAGAGTTTTATTGTGTATTAGATTCAGTTCCAGGGACTCTTGATGGTGCCACTACTACTGTTAATGTTACAGAGGATGGTTTTTGGCAAACGTTTACAACACAAATCAAAACACTCCAAACTCAATGTAATGAACAAACTAATTTCTGTCATGGGCATGGTGAATGCAACAGAAGTTCAGTTTGTATTTGTAATATCAATCAAGGTTCTTATTATAATAATTGTTCCAAACGTATGTATATTTTTTTTTTAATTAAATCAAAAAAGAAAAAAATTAAATTATTAATTAATTCACTTTTTATTAGCATATCCATTTGCAACGAGTGGACAAGTGAACGATCAAAATACAACGATCGATTAGTTTATTTGGTGATTTTGGACGCAATGCACTGACCAACTCATCGGTTAGAATCAACAACACAATGAATTGTATTATCGATCAATTAGAATCAACTCAATTCACCATTCAATGTCAACTTGAATCATCACCAACCATCTATGGTCCTGCTTCTGTTCAATTGAATGTCGATGGGTTGTTGTTTGATAGTAAAACATATCTCATTAGATTCATTAAACCATCGACTGGTGGTTCAACTACAACCACCACTACTGCAACCTCCTCCACGACCACAACTACAACTACCTCTACAACAACAGGAGGTATCACACCCAAGTCACCCAAAGAAATATGTTCAGAGACCACTCAATATTGTTTTGGACATGGAACATGTGATGACAATGGAATATGTCAATGTCAAAGTGGATTTAATCCTGTTGATAATTGTTTGACTAAATTTGTCGATAATTCATCATACATCCCCAACCCAGAATCACCATCAACAAATATCAGTGTAGATGGAGTTGAATTTGGGTTCGATATAGTTGCCATTCAAGAAATAGGATTGGACAACGAAATTGTCAAGGAACTGCTGACCAATAGTTGGATATCAAATATCACAACCAACAATACATTTACAGATGCAGTCTACCAACTAGTAATCTCCAACACAAGTATCTTGGCAGACACACAAGTAACAGTCAACATAACATTCTCAACACAATCTCGAAGCATCACATTTGGCAACCAACAACTATTGATCAATCCCAATTCAATCAAATTGGCAGTATCTATCAATGGTTGGGAGTACTCATCGAATGTAGCAACACTCAGAGTAGTATTAAAGACAACAACCAACAACCAACAATCAATCGAATACGACTGCAAAGAGACCAACGTAGATTCATTCTCATACGATGACTATGGAACACTTCAATACCTCAGAGTACTCAAAGACAATGTTCAATTCAACGGTAGATTCATTGACTTTGCATTGGCAGATGGTCGAACAACCTATTCACAAACACTACTCATCAATCAAACATCGATCAGTGATGAAGAGTCAGTTTCAATGATAGGTATCACACTACCACAATGTCAATCATGCGTACTCGATCCCGATTTCACACCATTACTAGTTGTCAACGATAAAGATGGCGTATGTTCGCCATCAGATGACAACAAATGGAAGATTATTGTTGGATGTGTTGTTGGTGGTATTGGTATAGTAGCTATCGTCACTGCAAGTGTAATCTATGGAAAAAAGAAAATGCGTATAAAGAAATTCAACAAACGGATGGAAATGAAATTTCGAAATTCCAATGCTTTTTAATGGTTGGAATAAAATATCTTGCCCGCTGATCGGGGCCGACTATTTAATTTTTTTTCTGCATAATATCCCCATTCCTATTAGATATTTTCGATCATCGACGGGCGATCGTTTAAAAAGAGAGGCTTACTTGGTTTCAAATCTCTTTTGATCATTTATTATAACAAAGAAAGACACTATTATTATTATAATTATATGATATAGTACTATAGATAAACGAAAATGAAATATTCACACAATAATCCATTCTTTCATCAAACCCTTTTCATAGTGATGCTTGTGGGTGTGTTGTTTATTTCGAGCACGGCCACAGTCGCACAAGATTTAAGTCAAGCAGAGTGTATGTGTCTTGCAATCTTCCCATTTTTTCTTGTCATCAAACTAATTTTTTCTTCTTTCGAACACAAACTCTATCTCTTTATTTTGTAAATATATATATATATATATATGCAGTGAATTCAGCAATATGGATCATTCAACAATACAAAATGAATGTTCCGATGGACCAAACTCTATGCGCAGCTAACTTTGTGTTTTTATGTGTTGGAGGTCATGTCAATCAATTGTAAATAGAATACTAGTTGTCACCTCTATATCTAATCTATCCAATCTATCTATCTATCTATTTATTGAATGAAATGATTTACTTTTTTTCCTCTTCATTACTTTTGTAGCAGGATAGAATATCAAGGAACCCAGGTGAATAATGGGATGCCAGATGCAAACCTACAACTCACATTCCCACAACTGACCAAAATAGAGATAAATGGTACCTCTTCGGCGGGTGAAATACTTGTTGTAGCCAATCCCGCTCTATCACTTTACGACCAACTGCCAACATGTTGTCCAAGGATACAGGGAATTCAGTATGTATTAAAGACCTTTATTTATTTCTTATCTATAGAGACACACAGCAACTAACTCTTATCAAATTGTTTATTAATTAATTTAGGGTCGTAAAAGACTCTACTTTTGGTAATTTCCCAAATAATTTTGAGCTCATCTCGACAACGCTCAATTCTTTTGGCATGATCCTTTTTGGCCACAGTCAATCTATGAAATTCCCGAGTCACCCGACACTTAATAAGTTGGAACTGTATGGTGACGGAACGACGACAGAGGTCATTATCGATGAAACTGTTTTACTACCCAATCTCACAGAGCTTGGCTTTGGTATAACCTATGGAAATGCAATTCAATCAATTGGTAACTTTACTGCAAAGACCTTTCCATTCCTATCAGAATTGTATGTATCTCTACTACTCTGATAAGTACGCGTATGTTTGTTTACTCATTACATTAACTTTTTCTCATTCCTAGAACTCTCTACCTTCCATATACCACACCGCCTGTACGGCTCAATCTCGATCTTCCCAGTCTCAATGAATTGATTTGTGGCAGATCTTACGAAATATTTGGACCTGCAAACACCATTATTCACTTTAATAATACTCGAGTACCTACCGTATTGTAAGTGTACTTAATAGAGATGATTCTAAGATTTAATTCTCTTCTAAAGGGCACCAACTAATTATTATTATTTTTTATTAACTTTTATTAAAAAGGTCGCTTTCGGAGAGTGGTTTAACATTTGATCCAAGTCTTGATAAATTCACAAATCTAAAAACTGTGTATGTAAAAAAGAAAGAGTCAACACGAAAATATACTCATTCATTCTTCTATTATTTAGTACCGGAGATAGGTACAATTCCAGTCAATATCCATTACAAGCTTATCCACCAAACATCAACCAAATCACTTTCCCTTCTTCACCAATCAATACTATCCCAGCTATTCCCATACCTTCAAGTGCCACACTTTTGTATGTATTCTTCTTCGAGAAACTTGTATCTAAATTAGCCGATAATGCATTATACTCATCACGATATATTTATATCAATATTTTTTAAAAAGAGATCTGTCTGGAACTCTGATTCCCATGCCAATTGATTTTAATACAATATTGAAAAATATGACTGGGAATTTGGTTTTGAATCTTCAAAATAATGCTGCACTCATTGGACACCTTGCACAAGAAACTGCATTATGCAGATTAAAAGCTTTACAGTTGGGAGGTACTGGTGTAGCATCTATTCCAGATTGTTTTTGGTGTTATCAAAATGAACCGACTGCTAGAATTGCTCTTCCAGCTTCGGTTGTCATACCAGGTGGTTTTACATGTCCAATCACATTTGATAGTACCAATATAGCCACGATATTCGGGCAAGTTATCATCAAGGGTAAAAATCTGGGTTGGGGTGCAAATGTCGGTGGAAATATTCTGGTTCCCATCGTTCCAAATGAACAATTACTGGCTACTATCTCTGGAATTGCAAACACTGGACCATCACAACCAATCAATATTCAGTTTAGTAATAATTATCTAGAATATACCTATACATTCAATATAATAGAGGCTGGATTCAATGTATCAGCTACTACTGCCGATCAACGACCAAATCATTTGACAACTGTCATTGTAACATTCTCGGCGATAAATACCTACCTCAATCATTATGCATCGATTAATGGAGTATTGGCAACAACAAAATTAAACACTTCCAATACCTATCAATTTGCATTCACAGGACTTTCATTTGGATTAAATAATGTTTTAATTTCCAATGACTATTTTTCGATATTTGTTCCAGTTCAATATACACAATGTATGTTTATAGATTTTGGCTAAATGTTTTTTTATTAAAGACTAACACCCTATTATTTTTTAATTCGATTTAGCATACCCAATTGTCAATAATTTCATATCCGATGCAATTGTTAAATCTGGATCGACCATTCAATTGGAGGGTAATTTTGGAACATATCTTGTCAGTTCATCAGTCACCATTCAAAATAGTAACAGTCAATACAACTACTCTGTTTGTTTAATTTCCGAGTTTACAACAACTAGAATATCGTGTAAGGTAGAGTCACCAATTTCAAGTGGTCTTGCTACTTTTAATATCACTGTCGATGGATACTCTATTCTCAAACAATATACTATTCAATCAGCTCAACAACAATGTGAGAGTGAAACTAATCATTGTGCCAATAATGGTGTTTGTACTCCAAATGGTATTTGTATTTGTAATGTCAATCAAGGTGCTTATTATAATAATTGTTCAAAACGTATGTATTCTATTTTTAAATTAATTAATCTCAAATAATTAATTAATATTTTTATTTGTTCCTCCTTTAGCATACCCATTTGCAACGAGTGGACAAGTGAACGATCAAAATACAACACAACGATCGATTAGTTTATTTGGTGATTTTGGACCCAATGCACTGACCAACTCATCGGTTAGAATCAACAACACAATGAATTGTATTATCAATCAATCACAATCAACTCAATTCACGATTCAATGTCAACTTGAATCATCACCAACCATCTATGGTCCTGCTTCTGTTCAATTGAATGTCGATGGATATTTATTTGATAGTAAAACATATCTTATCAGATTCATTAAACCATCTTCATCTGGTTCTACAACTACAACCACTACGACTACTACCTCAACTACTACAACCACCTCTACAACATCAGGAGGAGAAACACCCAAAACACTCAAAGAAATATGTTCAGAGACCACTCAATATTGTTTTGGACATGGAACATGTGATGACAATGGAATATGTCAATGTCAAAGTGGCTTTAATCCTGTTGATAATTGTTTGACTAAATTTGCAGACAATACAACATTTACACCAAACGCAACAGCACCGTCAACCAATATTAGTGTAGATGGAGTTGAATTTGGATTTGATATAGTTGCCATCCAAGAAATAGGATTAGACAATGAAATTGTCAAGGAACTATTGACCAATAGTTGGATATCAAATATCACAATCAACAGTACATTTACAGATGCAGTCTACCAACTAGTAATCTCCAACACAAGTATCTTAGCAGACACACAAGTAACAGTCAACATAACATTCTCAACACAATCACGAAGCATCACATTTGGCAACCAACAACTATTGATCAATCCCAATTCAATCAAATTGGCAGTATCTATCAATGGTTGGGAGTATTCATCGAATGTAGCAACACTCAGAGTAGTATTAAAGACAACAACCAACAACCAACAATCAATCGAATACGATTGCAAAGAGACAGACATCTCATCATTCTCATACGATGATTATGGAACACTTCAATACCTCAGAGTACTCAAAGACAATGTTCAATTCAATGGTAGATTCATTGATTTTGCATTGGCAGATGGTCGAACAACCTATTCACAAACACTACTCATCAACCAAACATCGATCAGTTCCAATCAATCAACAGCAATGATAGGTATCACACTACCACAATGTCAATCATGTGTACTCGATCCCGATTTCACACCATTACTTGTTGTCAACGATAAAGATGGTGACTGTTCATCGACCGACCAAAAGTGGAAGATTATTGTTGGATGTGTTGTTGGTGGTATTGGTTTTGTTGCTATCGCCGTTGGATCAACTATTTACATTAAAAAGACACTGATAACAAAGAAACGCAACAAAAAGATGGAGATGAAATTACGAAATTCGAGAACTCTATAGCGAGTCATATACGTGATACCTAATATTGTTTGCAAGAAATAAAGAGGCCAACTACCAAATTGAGTTGTTACTACATTTATCAATCATCCTATTACATGTTATGTAAAAAAAATAAATTAATAAAATATTAAAACAAATCAAAAGATCTTAATAGAACGAAGGTTTTTTTTTTAAAAAGTTGATGGTTGGTGTTTGAATCTAGAGCTAAAAAGATCACTTTATAAATACTATAGTTACAGTATTATACAACAGATAAAAAGAGAGAGAGAGAGAAAAGAGAGATAATTGAATCAATTGATCTGCAAAGAATGATAGGGCTGAACATATGCAACCACAGCAATTCATTTTTTCAACGAGCTCTTCTATTCATCGTAGTAGTGTTTGTGTTGTTCATTTCAAACACACTCTCGCAACCTTTAAGTCAAGCAGAGTGTATGTAATAATAATAATTATTAGAAGTCGTAATGAGTAGTTATAATTTGACTACTCTTTTTTTTAAAAAGATTTTATTCTTCAGAATTTAACACTTTGAATAGAGGGTGTGTCAAGTCGATGGCAGTGCGTAGTGGGTGCTAGGTGCGTCGTTCAGCAGCTATCCCAATTGGGTCGTAAAAAAATAAAAAAAAAATGAATTTCCATTTTAGGAATTGTCGGTTGGCAGACTTTAGAGCACCAACCAAGCCACAGTAAGTTTATTATGAGTCAATAAAAGAGATAAAGTATAAGATAAATGAAGAGATAGAACATAGTATAGTTAGAACATATAGTATATAGTTATATATATAGATATATCATTGTATTTTGTGGCTCGTTAGTGCCAAATGCACAAGAAAGGATAAGGAATAAGAGTTCACAATATTGTCAAGTACTGAATCAACACCAAGTCTATTGCTGTTATAACATTCACGAGTTACTTGTACTTATTTGCTCCTCCAATCCACTCTTGATGCAGAGAGATACAGAGCTGCTCAAGTAAATTATCATTGTTTAAAGATATTGCCGCAGTTGCGTCTTTGTATGTTTAAATCTGCCACGATTATCGATCATAGCATTGGTCCATTTACACTCAACTACCTGACCTGTGTCTCTTATCGCACTAGCTAGTTGCATGTTACTATAGTATAGAACTACCTACCTTTTTTTTATCTTCTTTTTTGGTTTTATTTATAACTATTTATTGGTGAATGGATGAATGGATGGATGGATGGAATGAACGGAGTTATCCTTGTCGTTGTTGTTGATGTTGATGTACTATTGCCGATAGAAGCAGTTTGTTTTCTGGGAGATGTGCTATAAGATAGCATTCATCGTGAAAGTTAACTTTACATTGGCAACAAGTCTTGGTGGTTCTTGTTCTACGCTTTACATCAAGGACTTTGCAATACTGACAAGGATTTAGATCACCTTGAACCAATGCGTGGACTACAGTTTGAGGAGCAGCAGCAGAAGTGGGAGCATATTGGCCTCCATTTCCACTGGTTACGTATGTGGATTGTGTAGCCAATTCTTGTTCCAGTTGTTTAATCCTATCTCTTTGATCCTGGAATACTTTTGATGTAATTGGATTCAAGTGTTCCAATTGTTTTTGAATAGGCTCCTGCAAGCCAAGCTTATCTCTTACCACGTTTTGAGTGAAATCACAAAATCGGTATGTGCTATTGCCTTCAAGGGATTTGAAGATGCAATATGCATTCACTATTGCACGATCCAACTGCGCAAATATGTTAACATGTGTGTATTTGCTTTTTCGATGGGGATATGACCGACAATTTGATGATAGTTGTCCTGACAGATCGACTCCGTGGGTAGTTGCATTGTATTGAGTCTGCACATCGAGCTTTGTGAGTTTTCCTTCTTTTAATGTATATGGATTACAGGCATTTGATAAAAAATATGTTACTTTGCTGTCATTGATGGCGGTGGCACAAATGTCCTGGGGAATACCAGAGTCTTCTTTTGGAAATGCTATAGCAGCCAACTTTTTCTTGTTGTCCTTTTGTACCATGCGTCCTAAACCATCTTTGAAAAGGTACGTTGGTCTAATGGACCTTACAGTCATTACATAATGAATCTTATTGTTGGGATTGTTATCGTCGTTGTTGGAATTGATGTTTTGACTAAAGTTTGATAATACAGTGGCAACTTGTAATGATGTGTAATAGTTATCCATTGCAAACAAATAGTGACTCAATGGTCTATCATCTGTAGCTACTTTTTGTCTGACCCACTCTGCAAATTCGATTGGGATTTTAAGAGGACTATTTGGTGGAAAAGAACTAACCACAGATGGATCTAAATAAGACAATAATAATGATTAGACATATGATGATAATGATGATATTTGTAAATTGTTATAAAACAACATACCTATTGTTACAGATTTTGTTGTAGATTCATCACTACCTCTGTAAAGCCATTGGGTCAATATAAAACCATTTGAGTCAGATAAAACGAAATACTTTAATCCAAATTTGTGTGGTTTATCTGGTTCATACTGCTTGAACCTTACCAAGCCTTTATAAGGGGCCATATATTCATCGATTGATAAACGTAATGATGGGATATAGTGGTTGTTTGAATTTTTTTCAATCATTTGAATGACGGAATCTTCGTCATAGTGAAGGAATTTGAGGATGGACTTAAATCTTTTTCTTGACATTAATGGGCGGATAACAGATGGAGGATGGAAAGGGCTCTTTCTATTCCAATGGTCTTCCGCCCGTGGGAGTTTGACAAGACCCATAAAAAAGGCAATATAAAAGAAATTCTCCAATTGTTTATAGGTAAACAACTTGGTGTTGTCAACCAACTGTATTTCCTCTTGTTCTAACTGTTCTTGAATAAAGCTAAGCCTATCTTGTGGAGATAATCCTTGTGGCATTGTTGATAGAAACCCACGCTTCCAAGTCTCAAAATCAACCATTCTTCCAACAATTTGATTGGTACTCAGTTTCTACTGCATTGGTTTGATTTGAGGTAGATGTGGTAGATGTTGTCGATGATGATGATGATGATGATGATGATGATGATGATGATGATGATGATGATGATGATGATGATGATGATGATGATGATGATGATGATGATGATGTGGTCGATGTTTGCGAGTGGGAGGGTGTGAACAAACGAAGCAGACTGGATCCAAAGCTTGAAGAGGAAGTGGTGGCGGTGGTGGGAGTTGTTGATGAAGATGTATTAGAAAGAATAGCTGTAGACAATAAAACAACAACAACAACAACATTGTCTCAACCCTGTCTCAATGTTACTTCAGAACCAACAACGATCATGATGATACCAACCAAGGTGGCAGATTCACAGGTCACGCCACCAGCAGCAGCATCAGCAGCAACAGAAGCAGCACCTGAACCAGATCTTAAAACAAAACAATCATTGGATCTTCTTCAAAGCGTTAGATCGAGGTTCGGAGATCAAAGTCCTATATTCTACGAGTTTATTAGACTCTTGCAAGGTTTTCACTCTAATTCGTAAGTATATAGTATTGTATAATATTACTCTTTTAACGATTGTTATATTAATTGATTATTTCATCTCATCTAGTCATACACCTGAATTCATTGTAAACAATATAAGAACTTTATTTAAAGATCATCAAGATTTATTAATTGGATTTGATCTTGTTGTTGGTGCTCCAATTACTACTTCTATTTCTACTCCACCAACTATTGTACAACATTCAACTGCTACCACCGCCACTACAACTATAACTAAACCACCTCCATCTCTTCCAATCCCTGCGTCACTTGAAACTAAACCTCTGGTTCCTGTTGTGGCGACACCATCTAAATCACCAACCTCCTTCTTCCCAAAGACTGACGAGCTGCTATCAAACAGCGTCATTGAAACAAGCTGTACAGAGATACCAGATATAACAAATGAAACTGGATTAAAACGACATACAACCGATGAGACATTGCATAGATTACTCAACAAACTAGAGATTCAACCAATTGATGAATCGACTGGTATCATCAACAACAACAGTCACTTGCCACTCACAACTGATGATCTTCTCACACCCGAACCCAGATCACCACGTGGTGGACCACAACAACAAGTAGCAGCAGAGGAAGAATCAACAGACGACGATGAAGAATCAGAGTCAGATGACGAGGAGGAAGAAGAAGAAGAAGAGCCAGCAACAACAAACAAGGCTGGATACCAACAAGACGAGGTCGCATTATCAGATGAAGGTGAACAAATAGAGGATCCAGATCCAGTCGACTTTAACCCCGACGATTTAAACGATCAAAAGAGAATGACAGAGATTCACGAGCTCATAAGACAAAGAAACACAAGACAACGATACCAAAGAGAACAAAAACTCAACGATATGTTTGATCGAATCACCAAGGGTGCTCCTCCACCATACATCACACCAACAAAGTTTGAAAAACGTAGAAAGAAAAAGTATCCAGAGGACCAAGACGAGGAAGAGGAGGTGGAAGTGTCAGAATCAGATACAAGCCTTTCATCAAGTCTAAATGATTCAGTCAACCTTTTATCTTTAAATCCTTTGGCTCCAATTTTAGAAGGTCAAATTTTAAATCCATCAACAACAACAACAACAACATCATCATCATTTGTAACACCAAGAAAATCAGAAAAGAGAAAAGATCCACCACCACAATCTCCATTTGCACTACCACCACCATCTTTAACCAAATCCTCTTTAGAATCTCTTTCCATTTCAAATGGCAGTATTGGAGAAACAGTTCTTTTCAAAAAATTGTTTTCAAACTCTAGCTCAATTCACAAGAAAATGAGAGAGAAAATGACGGCTGTCGCCATTTTAAATGCAAAGGAATTATTAAAACATGACAAAGAATCAAACATTAATATCATTCTCATTTCATTAATGAGATTATCTTTATTTGCATCGTCCATTGAATCTAATGCTCCCAAAGGTAATGAAACAAAAAATTGAAACAATTATAAATATAGTGGATATAAACTAATAATATTATTTATTTAATTATAGGTACTGAAAAAGATAAATTTCAACAATTATTAAATTCAGAAAATGGATTATCAAATCAATTTTTAAAGTGGAAAGCTACAGATGTCATTAAATCCTATCAATCAGTTAGCACTGATCAATGGTTGTCGGCGACTTCACATACCAAGAAAAAATTGGTTCATGTACATTTGATGAATCAAATCATTGTACCATTGTTTGGAGTGCCAACTAAAATTCTTGCTGCATTGGCTGATATTCCTAGCAGTTTCACCAGTCAAGCTACTGGAATAGATACTTTGGAAAAGATTATCACCTACATGACAGAGCAAAAGAAACTGTCAACGCCAGAAGAAACCCAACTCTTCAAGTCTACACTTGTCAAAGTGTACAGTATCCTTTCAGCTCCTCCTCCACCAAATCATCTACTTGCTCGATTCACTTCATCAGAAATCCAATCAATTATTAATAATCGTTCAGAAATCTCTGGTAAACTTAAAACAATTGTCAAAAATCATGATCCTCCAAAACAACCTCAACCTCAGCCTCAACAAACACAGCAATCTCAACCACCTCAACTTCAACAACCAGTCATTGTTCAACCTATTGTCAATTCCCAACCACAACCTATTGTTCTTCCTCAAAAAACAGCTACTGCTACCACTACTGTAGCACAGCCCGTTGAACAACCTCAACAAAAGGCAATGACTAGACCAGACACAGCAGCTTTCCAACAACCAGCTACAAACACAACACAACAACCAGTCGTTATTCCTCAAAGTCAACCTCCTCCCCCTGCTCCTATTCAACCCCAAGTTCAACCTATTATTCCACCCCAAACAACCACTACTACAGGACAACAACAACAACCAAATAACAAAAAATCAACTACCAGTTCTATAAATACAAATGAATTTATGCAATCAACAGAAAAATCACTTCAAGAATTGACGACTGATCAAGCAAAGATTCAATATCTTTTGCAACTAGTCTCAAAACAACAAGCACAAATCCAATTGACACAAAACGAAAATCAAAAGCTTTCAACCCAAAACCAAATGCTCTATGACAATATCGATAGATTTGCAGTGTGGCAAAGAAATGTTAAAACCCAATATGAACAATATGCATCATTCATGTCCCATTCTATGATGTTTTCTCTCAACAACCCAAAAAAATAATTATAATTCATTTAATTAACGGCCTCGCAAAGGACATACTTATCAAAATTAAAAATTTGAAAGGATCAATGGCCTCAAATCCAAACAACCATTATTTTGATTTACCAACTGTCACCAACAGATTGGCTATTATTTTTATTTGTTTCTATTGTTAAAAGAATTCCTCAAAAGTTTGGTTGGAGGAATTTATTAAGGATAAGAAATTATTATTTATTTTTTAAAGACAACAATCATACTATTTATTTTTTTTTATGTTTGTGGAGTGTAAAGTGGCATGTTTTCATATCTGGAATATTGACCAGTGAAATCGTTGAATGATACGATGGTGTTGGGTGCTGCTGATAGGACATTGTCAACTGGCTTGCAACCGTGGCAGAGTACATCAAAATAACCATCTGGCTTAAGGCCCTTGGTGAATCCAAAGTTGCATTGGCCTGGCAAATTATTCTTGTTGTAATAATAACCCAACATTTGTACAGTAGGATCATTATCACTTTCGAAAACATTAAAGGCACAGATAGCAGCACCTGCATAGAAACTATTTAAAAGAAAAACAAATCGTCAGTCCACAATCAACATGTTAATTCCACCATATCAAAAAAAAATACATAGTATTAACTTACTCGGCAGTGACTTGTGAATCAGTGGCAAGGACAGCACCGTGGTTATTGTTGCAGAGATCCACAGGTACGGTAGTATCACCATTGGCCTTGACACTGAAAGTTTCATTTAACATATGACCATTGGCAATATAGTGGATGTTCCAATAACATCTGTTTCTTTCTAAAAAAGTGAATTAAAATATTCAGAGTTAGTAGATAATAATAATAATAATAATAATAATAATAATAATAATATGTAAACAATAATAAAACATACTTGGGATACCGAGGAATCCTTGGGGTGGCTTGTATCCAAAGCAAAGGAATCCTACTGATTGAGCAGGGGTTGAGAAACTAACAGTTTGGAGATCATTGTCCATTGGTCTGGCAAGAAGATAGTTACCAGTTGAGGAACTATCATCATACAAATAACCATAATATTCTAGAAAGTAAGATGGTAAGTATCATGCAGGCTGGCAATTGAAAAATTTTAAACTACATACTCCATTCGTAGAGGTTTGGAAACTGATCGCCAACTTGAGCCGCAAATTCATTGAAATTTGCCCTTCTGGCACCAACTTGGGAACATACCTCTTGAGCATAGGCACCATTATCATTGGCAATTGGAGCATTGGACAAGAACTTGGCATTTGGCATATACAAGAAAAATTCGGCACCTAGGTATTTGAAAAAAAAAGAATATAGTTGATTAATATTGTTGAGTTTATTATTCATGTAATATCCAACGTACCTAGTTGAGCATAAGCTGATTGGAAAGCCAAACAGACAAATACAATAAGAGCAAGTAAAAATCTCATTGTTGTGAATTGTGAAAATAACAATTAATTTGTTGTTGTGTTGAGTTGGAAAGGTAAAGGAAGGTAGGGTGTATTGGTTGATTGAAATAATAATACTGAAATCAACAAACAAAAACATACCACTTTAAATAGGTAACTGATGAGTTTGAAATTATGATTTATTTTAATTTCTAAAATCATCGTTCACAAGACGTGGTTCAGGTTCCCTCCTCTTGCCAAACGAGAGAGGAGTGGAAGTAGTTGGGGAGATTAAAAGATAGATATTGCATACGTAGACTATTGCAAAGATTATGGTTGATGGATTTATTTTAATTTCTTTTGCTGGTGGTCTCAATAGATACATATGCAAGTCAAAAGGGGGTCTAGATTGAAAAAAAATCAAAAGGGTCCACAAGACGAGAAATGACAGAGGCCATTGGCTGGTTGTTCATCAAGTAAATTTAGAACTTCAAGGATAGCTTTGAATTAGGTGTAAACAGCAAAGCATTTACCACGTCTGTCAGACTACTCTGTCATCGATTGACAAATCAAAAAAAAAGGTAACTTCCGATGATGTTCCCAAAAGAGCTCAGACGATCAGATTTTAATTGAAACAAAAAAAAAGAAAGTTATTATCTTCTCATGGTAGTCTTTCATTGGTCAGATTTTTCGATACTACGTCAGCACCCCCTTTTGCTCACTGTTCTTCTTAAAATCAATCGACCAACACCACCATTGGTTCCTTATCTTTTTATGGGGATAGTGAGGTCGACCGACAGAAATGTCAGCACGCTAATCTCCCCAAAAATAATAATCCCTACAACCTGAACCACGTCTTTTGAACGATGATTTTAGAAAATTAAAATAAATCATAATTTCAAACTCATCAGTTACCTATTTAAAGTGGTATGTTTTTGTTTGTTGATTTCAGTATTATTATTTCGAATCAACCAATACACCCTACCTTCCTTTACCTTTCCAACTCAACACAACAACAATTAATTGTTATTTTCACAATTCACAACAATGAGATTTTTAACTGCTCTTATTGTATTTGTCTGTTTGACTTTCCAATCAGCTTATGCTCAAGGTAAAGTTTAATTTCATTTTCTTCATCATCAAAATGTAATTTATTTTATTCTAATTCTTTTTTCTTTTCTTTTTTTTCTATACCAGAATACTTTTACTACCAACCAAATGGTAATTTCACATCTCCATATCCACCAAACAACATTGCCGATATTCATTTGAAGGTTTGTACTCTTGTAGGAGCAGCTCCAGCTATATTGGCTGCCTTTTCTGCTGCAGTTTCTGCTGCTGGAACCTCGGCTTCCAACAAGTATGAATGGTCTCTCTATGGTTGGATCAATGATGAAAGCACCTCCACCTACAAGTTGGTCAGACCAATGACCCAAGCCGTCCAAACTTTCCCAAACACTAATATTGTCAAGGTTGGTTTCATCTGTCTTGGTACCAAGCCAATTTTGGGATACCAAGGTGTATTAAAGTATGTTGATATATTTTCTAAAAAAAACCTACACTTTGTATTTATTGACAAAATTTATTGTTATTTCATTATGATTTAGGCGTAATGCAGGATATTGGACCCCAAGTGGTGTCGTCCTCAAGGAAGCTTACGCCATTTCTGCACCAGGTGGTTATGCTAATCTCAACGATCTCCAAGCCGATTGTGCCAATGCTCTTACTGGTTCGAGTGTTGCCGTGGTCAACCAAATCTATGAAACCTTTTACCAAAACTCGTCCATCTGTGTCAATGCCTTGTTCAAGGATAACGTTGATAATGCTCCAAGAAAAGGTTATTACTATGGTATTCCAGGCCAAGCCGGATGTACCTTTGGTTTCAATTACGGTGCCTATACTCCTGGATCCCCTGCTCTTGCTGGTATGTAATCATCATTGAATGTATTGTGATTTTCTTTTATTTGTTAATCTAATATTTTTTGTTTCTTTCAAGCCGGTATCTGTTTTGGTCCAAAGCCAGTTACCAGTTCTTACTACACCAGTGCCACTAGAGTCGTCAGTGTGTACAACTTCAACATAATTGGTAAATACTCTAGATTCGAGTCCATTGCAAACTACCCTATCCAAAGCTTGTAATTAAATTGATAAATAAACATTACACTAAAGTTTAAAATTATGTTTGGGATGATAAAAATAGATATATAAATATCTGTCAAAATTATTAAATTAATTGTTTTTTTTTTTATCTTCACAAGAAATATGTTCAATCATGTGCAATTGTATCGAGGAGATACTGCTAGAATTCTCCCTTATATTGATTATTTTAAACCGAAATAATAATGACATCATAGCAGTATCTCTGAAAGTCATTTAGAAAACCTTGGTATGCACAGATATTTTGGCTTAACAAACCATCGAGAAAATATTTTTCCATTACGGGTACTGTACCAAAGAGTATTAATATTTTCATCGATTGATCGGCAGATCTTGTTCCTTTTACTTTCTAATTTATAATATAACTAAATACTTTACAACTAATCGATTAATAGATTTTTGTACTTTCTCACCCGATGAGTTACAATAATACTTGATTTTCAAATCATGATTCTTTTCAATTTAAAAATCTTGGGGCAACTATCAACAAATATCACTATAAAAATCTTTAAATATTAGATAACGATCATTCAAATTCAAAAACCAATGTTGTTCTTTACGAAGAGGACTTGCCCTTACTCTGGGGTTGGACCTTTATATCAAACCAATCATTCGTCATCTTTACTTTTATTTATTTATGTGTATTTATTATCTATCTAAAAAGTAAAGAGATAGAATTAATTTATTATTTATTAAATTGTTATAAAAAATGAATAAAAGATATAGACAGCAGCAATACTTTATTACAACAACAGTATTATTACAGATATTATATTTATTATGTTGTAACTATGGCCATCAAGGAGGAGTGACGGTTTCAAATGCACAAACACAAAGTCCAAGTCAGGGTTTAATGAAATACACCACCATTGTGACATATGACCAAGGAGAATGTAGCTCTGGCCAAATACCAACCAATCCCCCCGAAAAGATAGTATCGTTTACGCCAGAAGAATGTTACAGGTATCCAACTCGTAGTATATTGACTCGATGGAATTCACCAACCTCTGTTCAGCTCCAAATTTTCAACACGATGACCTGCCAAGGAATGATTCTGACCGACATGACTATCGACACTTCCATTGCAGGTTGCCAGAATCCATTCGGTCTTCCCAAATGGTTTATCATTCTATTTGGAAAACCACAAGCTCCAATCATCGGATCGTTACCATATTTATACTATGAAAAAACTTCACTCAGTTTGTATGATTGCGATCATCCAAATTTATCATTTATTTATTTGCTAACATATATGTAATCAATCTTATATAATGTAAAGCTTTTGTTATCCAGGTGTAGACAGATATTACAGTGCTAGAACCTACTTGATGCCTGGTAGATGCACATTTAGTGATTATATGGGTATTGCTGAAAGAGGTGTTGATGGTACAGACACATCGATACAGACTATCAACGATGCTGTCAATTGTGCAGGTGCAACTACCACCTATGACTATGATTGTCCTGCAGTCATCAATCCCTACAGAATAGGCTTGGCATTCAAAACAAAACCATACACTCGAGTCACAGGCACTGTCACTGTTCTATCGTACACTGCCATCAGAGTACTCGGGCTAGACCTTGGTTTCGATCAAAAAGCAAATGCCTTTACAACGGTGATGCTCAACCAATTATCAACAAGCACACCTTACAAAGATGGCTATTCATTCCAAGCTTCTACAAATATGACCTTTACAAGTTTAACTGCTGGCTTTTCAGGTACCATATCATTTTACGTTGATGGTTTTGATTATGTTAATAATATTGAAGTTGCTCCCTTAACAACTCAACCTTTTACAATTCCTTCTTGTATGTATAATCAATCTAGAATGATAATATCATTGATTATTTATTCATACAATTTTCTTTTTAAAGACCCAACGATGACAACTATTACACCAGTAACTGTTACTACCAATTCTATTACTATTACGTATGGATCTACTGGTGGATTTGTAACCAATGGAAATACGTATGCTGTAAGTGCTACCATTTTACCATCGACTACACTTTTGTTCCCACAATGCTCGGCTATTACAACATGTCAATTGGTCGGACTGCCACCAGGCGCTCTCGTCAACGTCTCTGTCACCGTCTCCAACAGTGGTTCATCAAGCACCCAATTTATAATGCAACAACTTGTAAAACCGATAAGCAACCTTGATTTTGCATTCCAAACGGCCTATTCGACCGGCAACATCACCTTTTCGTATAGTGACACAGGATACGGAGAGACAAACTTTATTACAAGTGTAATGGATCAAACTACATTGGCCAATACTACGTACAACACCAAAAATATGTTTCAACTATTTGCAGTAGCACCAAGTATACCAACCAATTACAGAGTCAACGTTACTGCCCTCAACGATGGAAACATGTTACAAGTTATAAAAACATTTAATTGGTTAGGAAGTAGGTAAAAAAAAAACAAATCAAATAGTTAATAATGTACTAATAATTATTTACATTATTTTAAAAGATATTCTACTTAGTAATATAACTATAACAGATATTACATCAATTTCAGCAAATTTTTGGTGTAATATTGATAATTTGGCTACTGGAAATTACCAGATCCCCATTACTTCAGCAACTGGTTCTTTAGTGTCAATTGGAATCAGTTCAAAAGGACCTATAAAACTATCCCTTACTCCAAACACTCAATACACCTTTTCAGCCACTGTTATTGAAGCAACGACATTCCGTAAATCCCAAACACTCCCATTCGTCTTTAGTTCCGTTTCAACCATTCAAATCACTGCTGTTGAAACGATCCAAAAAATGAACGCTTTAAACCAAACCTATTTACAAATAAGACCAACGATACAAGGTGGATCTCCCACTATTCCTACTATTTTCCAATCAGTCTCTACCAATTTCACAAATGGAGTCACATTTAATACCTCTACAAACTCATTTACAGCTCCAAACCTTGCAGTTCCAAGTGGTCCATTTAATTTAAATATTAGAGCATCTCAACTTGATGATCAAGTAACAAGTATTTTTACTTTTAGAATTTATAAATGTAAGTAAAAAAAAATATTAATTTATTATTACAAAAATTAATTGACCATTATTTTATTATAGTCCCATCAGTTGATCAAATCAATGTAACAAGTGGATATGAATCTGCAAACGTTTCATGGACAAGTAGTGGTGGAGTACCTGGAACCATTAGTTACGAAGTGACCATTTATAATCCGAGTAGTACACATCCAACCCCTGTTTCTGTATGCTCTGGTGTTGCCACTAGTTGTTTGATTACCAAACTAACTTCCAATACTCCCTATGCCGTAGATATCATTGTCTCTTCTTCTCAATTTGATGATTATGTTAAAACATCTTCAATTCAAACTTTAAGATGTATGTTACTAGATATTATAAATAGTTTGATCTTTTTTTTTTAATTCTTTTTCTTTTTTTTTTTTATAGATCCAAATAATTTAACTTGTTTTGATAATAATGGAAATAATACAATTGATTGTAATGGATTTGGACAATGTTTAAATGGAACTTGTTTATGTGACACTAATAGGATGTTGGAATTGTTCGTTATCTTCATCAATTATTGTAACTGGCTGGCTCTTTCTTTGATTTTTCTTTTGTTTCTTTTTTCTCCTTGGTGTATCAGCCTCTTTTTCTTCATCATTATCATCATCTTCTTCTTCATTGTATCTTCTTCTAGAAGTTGAATATGTAGTTGTTGTTGTTGATGATGATGATGGAGGCGGCTGTGATTCCTTTGACTTATTCGTGAGAAAAAGTCTTATTTGTTGGTAATGTTGCTTGATGTATTTATAATCCCTTGCATATTTGCTTCGATGGATGAGATACAAATTCGATTCCTCGAGTATGTGGTTGATGACTGATTCGTCGATTATCAAGCTTATTACTTGACTAGGAGTTAATGGTTGATCGATGTTTTTGCTACGTGCTGATGCATTGCTGCTATCCATTTCATAGGTTATTCGATTCGACAATTCTTCTGAGTTTGTATTATTTAAAATAGTCCATTTCTCTTTGAATAGATCCCCTATAAATGTGATAATTGTTCTAATTTGTTAGCAAGTTGTTGGTGAATCATCTATCTATCTATTTATATACATACGACATGGGCATTTACATTGAGAAGTACAACCATTATTATATAACTTGCATTTGCAAGCAGTACAATTCCCCTTGTTAGCGCATTTACATTCAAAAATGGTTGTGTCTTGAACAAAATAGTAAGACTTGGATGCACGTTTGTCCAAGTCCGTTAGGTTATTGAATAATGGGATACGACCGACACTTTCTGGTTGTTTTTTCTTCTTGTTATTCAACTTGTGGACATAAATCAATCTTGTTTGAAGAAATCTATTGAACTTCTGGTGGATTTCCAACTCTTCAGGTGATTCAATGGCTTCAATAGATTCTTTTGCTTCAAACTTCTTGAATAACTCCATGTGGGCATCGAAAGTCTCTTTGAACCATTCAAATTCCTCTTGTAAATCATCTTCTTTGTAGTTGGTACGTGGTTTTAGTGGTGGTTGTTGTTGTTGTTGTGAATACTCTACTTCTTTTTCTGGTACAGGTGTATGTGATCTTTGATATTCTGGTTCAACAAATGCATCATCTTCTAGATCTTCATCGTCAAGTATAGCATTACCATCAAGTAAAGGATTATCATCAAGTAGATGATTGTCATCAAGTTGATTATTATCATCATACTCGGCTTCGATCCCTCCTTTGTATATGCTTCGAAACAATGCTACACCTTTCTTCAAACTTTCAAACATAGTTGTTGCTGCTGCTGATGCTGCTGATGCTGTTGATGATTTATCTGTAAATACTCGTATTTTTGCAATAAAGAAACATATAATAGATAAATAATGTTGAGCGTACACATATTATATGAAGATATGTTAAAATATAAATAGATAAAAAAAATTAAAATATTATGTTATTTCTACCACCCGCTACTATAGATCGCTGAGCTATTACCAAATGCGGAATTGTTTTTTATTTTTTTTTGACTTTGATCTGAAACTGATTTTGGCATTCAAAGTGTTAATACTAATTTTTTTTGATTGATTTAATCAATTCAAATATTTATATTATTATTATTATTTTTGTTATAGTGGATTCAGCAATATGGATCATCCAACAAAACAAAGTGAATGTTCCGATGGATCAGACTCTATGTAATATGCCAAGTCCGAATGATTATTTTGTTTGCTCTGCAGGTCATATAACCGACATGTAAATAGAATGATAGTAGCTGTAGTAGTAGTTGTATTATTATTATTATTTGATCACTATTTTAACATTCTTTTCTTTTGATTAGACGAAATATAGCAATCACACAAATCCAAACCAATGGAATGCCAAACGCTAACCTACCACTCGTATTCCCAGAATTGAAGACTTTTCTCATCAATCAAATTAATTTTACAGTAGCCGATCCCGCCCAATCTTTCTACGACCAACTGCCAACATGTTGTCCAAAAATCGAGAGGTTGCAGTATGTTATGTTATATGAAATGGTTTTCCATTCAAAACTAAACTATATTAATCATGTTTATTTTATTTTATTTTATTTTATAGGATAATGGGAGACCCAAGTATGACCAATTTCCCAAACAACTTTGATTTAATAGCGCCTACCACTCTTCAAACTGTGACGGTTTCCTTGCCCTATCATCAATCGATCAAGTTACCTAGTCACCCATTAGTTTCAATTTTGGAAGTATATGGCAGCGACACTGCAACAGAATTTGTGATCGATGATACAGTATTACTACCCAAACTCACGTTGCTTGGTTTTGGTATACCAAATGGCGGCAATAATCTTCAATCAATTGGTAACTTTACTGCCAAGTCATTCCCAGCCCTCACATCATTGTAAGTACTATCATTATCCATCCACACAAACCCAAGTCCACGTATCTAACATATGTTGAGGGAGGAATCTAATTGATTGATTTACTTTTTTAACATGTTTTTTTTTTATTTATTTTAAAGATACCCATCCCTTTTATTTTCTACGCCTCCCATTCAATTAAATATCGATGTTCCCTCCCTCGCCACTCTAGTATTTCAAGATGGCGGTCAAGTACCACCCAATACCATTGTTCATTTCAACAGTACTCAATGGTTGACTGATTTAACTTATTTTGGAACTGATATAACATTTAACCCAGGTCTTACTACTTTTCAGAATTTAAAAGCAGTGTATGTACTATAATATAGGTCTATAGATTTATAACTTATATAGATACACAGTTTATCCCCTCTAATCACCCCCTCTCTTCTTATTTATTTATTTTTACATACAGTACCGTTGCTAAATACACTTCCCCTCTCTACCCATTCTCACAAGGGTATCCCCCAAACATTGGAATTATGAACCTACCAGGGTCATCCATCAGTACTATAACACCTACTCCCATTCCTTCATCTGCTACTATTTTGTATGTATCAATCACATAAATCAAAAACCAATTGATTAATTTTAATTTCATTAATTATTATTTTTATTATTATTATTTATTATATTATTATTTATTAATATATATTAAATATAGAGATTTAACTGGATGCCAAGTTTCAATGCCAATTGATTTCAATAGAGTATTACAAAACACAACTGGAAATTTAGTTTTAAATCTTCAAAATAATGTTCCATTTTTAGGACCACTCGATCAAGAAAAAGCATTGTGCAAGTTAAAGTATTTGAACTTGGGTGGAACCGGTGTCACTTCGATTCCAGATTGTTTTTGGTGTTATAAAAATGAACCAACTACAAGATTTATAGTTCCTGCTTTAGTTGTCATTCCAGCTGGTTTCTCATGCCAAATCACACTTGACAGTTTGAATCTCGTCACTATTTTCAAACAGACTATTATCAAGGGTAGAAACCTAGGTTGGGGCTCAAGTGTAGGTGGAAATATTCTTGTTCCAATCGTTCCAAATGAAAAATTACAGGCTAATATCTCTGGAATTGCAATGAATGGACCACCACAACCAATCAGTATTCAGTTTAGTAATAATCATCCAGAAAATACCTATCAATTCAATGTTGTAGAAGCTGGTTTTATTGTATCAACTACAACCGCCGATCAATTGCCAAACCGTGTAATGAAGGCCACAGTTACATTCTCTACAGTAAACACCTTTATTAATCATTATGCATCGATTAATGGAGTATTGTCAACAACATCAAATGTTCCTGGTACCTATCAATTTCGGTTCTTGGGTCTTCCATTTGGTACTTATAATGTTAATATTTCAAATGACTATTATTCAATCATTGTTCCAAATGTTCAATATACTCAATGTATGTAAAAGATTCTGGCACAACCATATGGTTTTTTATTAAAGACTTACTCCCTATTATTTTTCTATTTTAGCATACCCAATTGTCAATAATATTGTACCCGATGCAATTGTTGTATCTGGTTCAATCATTCAATTGGAGGGTAATTTTGGAACATATCTTGTCAGTTCATCAGTCACCATTCAAAATAGTAACAGTCAATACAACTACTCGGTGTGTTTAATTACCGAGTTTACAACAACCAGAATATCGTGTAAGGTAGAGTCACCAATTTCAAGTGGTCTTGCTACTTTTAATATCACTGTCGATGGATACTCTATTCTCGAGCAATTCACTATTCAATCAGCTCAACAACAATGTGAGAGTGAAACTAATCATTGTGCCAATAATGGTGTTTGTACTCCAGATGGTGTTTGTGTTTGTAATATCAATCAAGGTGCATATTATAATAATTGTTCAAAACGTATGTATAATTATCGAAAAATTAATAATAATTATTCAAAGACAATTAATAAATTAACATATTATTTATTTTTAATCCTTCTTTTGTATTTCTCTAGCATACCCATTTGCAACGAGTGGACAAGTGAATGATCAAAATACAACACAACGATTGATTAGTTTATTTGGTGATTTTGGACCCAACGCACTGACCAACTCATCGGTTAGAATCAACAACACAATGAATTGTATTATCGATCAATTAGAATCAACTCAATTCACCATTCAATGTCAACTTGAATCATCACCAACCATCTATGGTCCTGCTTCTGTTCAATTGAATGTCGATGGATATTTATTTGACAGTAAAACATATCTTATCAGATTCATTAAACCTTCGACTGGTGGTTCAACCACTACCTCTACAGCCACGTCAGGAGGTGTCACACCCAAAACACCCAAAGAAATATGTTCAGAGACCACTCAATATTGTTTTGGACATGGAACATGTGATGACAATGGAATATGTCAATGTCAAAGTGGCTTTAATCCTGTTGATAATTGTTTGACTAAATTTGTTGATCATACAACATTTACATCAAACGCAACAGCACCATCAACGTCCATTCAAGTGGATGGAGCTGAATTTGGGTTCGATATAGTTGCCATTCAAGAAATAGGATTGGACAATGAAATTGTCAAGGAACTGCTGACCAATAGTTGGATATCAAATATCACAATCAACAATACATTTACAGATGCAGTCTATCAACTAGTAATCTCCAACACAAGTATCTTAGCAGACACACAAGTAACAGTCAACATAACATTCTCAACACAATCTCGAAGCATCACATTTGGCAACCAACAACTATTGATCAATCCCAACTCAATCAAATTGGCAGTATCTATCAATGGTTGGGAGTACTCATCGAATGTAGCAACACTCAGAGTAGTATTAAAGACAACAACCAACAACCAACAATCAATCGAATATGATTGCAAAGAGACAGACATCTCATCATTCTCATACGATGATTATGGAACACTTCAATACCTCAGAGTACTCAAAGACAATGTTCAATTCAACGGGAGATTCATTGATTTTGCATTAGTAGATGGTCGAACAACCTATTCACAAACACTACTCATCAATCAAACATCAATCAGTTCCAATCAATCAACAGCAATGATAGGTATCACACTACCACAATGTCAATCATGTGTACTCGATCCAGACTTTACACCATTACTAGTTGTCAACGATAAAGATTCTGATTGTTCATCAAAGTCAGAAGACCAAAAGTGGAAGATAATCGTTGGATGTGTTGTTGGTGGTATTGGCTTTGTTGCTATTGCTGTTGGATCAACCATCTATTATAGAAAGACTATGCGTACAAAGAAATACAACCAACAAATGGAGGCGAAATTACGATCGCTAAGTTAAAAGAACAAACTCGATCGCTGACCTGCAACTAACAGGTCAAACATATTCATATGCACCATGGTATAGGGATCTTGTCCGAAAAATAAAATAAAATCAAAGGTCAAGGTGACTTTTTGTTCAAGTCATTCCGACCATCTTCATTGATCATTTAATTTTTCAACATAAACATAATTGTACAGGTCATCAGATATCTGTACATTTTTTTTAACAATCTTTTAAATAAAGAATCAACGCTTACGTGGTGTTGATGAACCTCAAACGATCCCAAGTAGGGTCGACAATTCCGTCCCAATCGAATATTGACGCACAACTATAAAACGAATAAAAAAATAGTTGCTTTTTTTACATACTCTGCAACTAACAACATACTCCGATTCGTTTTGCAAATTGGGTCCTTTCCGACCATCTTAGGACGATATTTTGATCGACTGGTCGTTAAAAATATCATAGCTCACAACGAGTTGTTTAGGTAGGTGTTTTAATCAAGAGCTTTAAAAAATAACACTCTTTTAGTATTGTAACAACAGATAAAAAGAGAGAGAGAAAAAAAGAGATAAATTTGAATCATCAGTGATTAAAAAAAAGAATGATGAGCACATTTTTTCAACGAGCTATTCTATTCATCGTAGTAGTGTTTGCACTGTTTATTTCAAACACACAATCACAACCTTTAAGTCAAGCAGAGTGTAAGTATTAATAGTGGTAGTGGTAGTGAGTGGCAATGAGTAGTTTTATATTTTATAATATGACTTGACCTTGACTACTATTATCTTTTTTCACTGTATAATTAATTATTTATGTATTTTAAATTAATTTTATTATTATCAAATAGTGGATTCGGTGATATGGATCATCCAACAGTACAAAGTGAATGCTCCGATGGATCAAACCCTATGTAATATGCCAAGTTGGAAAGATTATTTTGTTTGCTCTGGAGGTCATTTAACCGATTTGTAAGTACAATAGAACTACGACAAGCAGTAGTGTAGTGCATGGTACTAATAATAATAATTTAATTTGATCACTATTTTAACATTCTTTTTTTGATTCAAGACGAAATTTACCGGGCACACAAATCGAAACCAATGGAATGCCAAATGCAAACCTTGTACAACTCACATTGCCAGAATTGAAGACTATACTCATCAATCAAGTTAATTTTACAGTAGCCGATCCCGCCCAATCTTTATACGACAAACTACCAACTAGTTGTCCAAAACTAGAGATGATTCAGTATGTTATATTATGTTTGTAACACATTTGAAAGAGGGATCCTGGATCTTCGATTCAAAACTAAACTATATTAATCATTTTTTTTTTGTTTTTTTTATAGGTTAATGGGAGACCCAAGTATGACCAATTTCCCAAACAACTTTGATTTAATAGCGCCTACCACTCTTCAAACTGTGACGATTTCCTTGCCCTATCATCAATCGATCAAATTGCCTAGTCATCCATTAGTTTCAATTTTGGAAGTATATGGCAGCGACAATGCAACAGAATTTGTGATCGATGATACAGTATTACTACCCAAAGCCACGCTGCTTGGTTTTGGTATACCAAATGGCGGCATTAATAATAATAATCTTCAATCAATTGGTAACTTTACCGCCAAGTCATTCCCAGCTCTCACAGCATTGTAAGTATCTCTACTGTCCATATATCCTTGCCAAAGGATCGATCTAATTATTAACACATATTTTATTTCAAAAGATATCCATCCCTTTTATTTTCCACACCTCCCGTTCAATTAAATATTGATGTGCCTACCCTCACCACTCTAGTATTTCAAGATGGTGGTCAAGTACCACCCAATACCATTGTCCATTTCAACAGTACTCAATGGTTGACTGATTTAACTTATTTTGGAACTGATACTACATTTAACCCAGGTCTTACTACTTTTCAGAATCTAAAATCAGTGTATGTATTCTATATATATATATATATATATATTTATATACATACAAAGATTATCCACTCCCCTCTCTAATTTCTTCTTATTTATTTATTTTTACAATCACAGTACTGTTGGCAAATACACTTCCCCTCTCTACCCATTCTCACAAGGGTATCCCCCAAACATTGTAAGTGTGAATTTGCCACTGTCATCCATCAGTACCATAACACCTACTCCCATTCCTTCATCTGCTACTAGTTTGTATGTATCAATATATCATATCATATCATATCAATCAAAGATTAATTATTAATTTAAATTGATATTTTTTTTTTAAAAAATAGAGATTTAACTGGAAGTCAAGTTGCAATGCCAATTGATTTCAATACAATATTACAAAACACTACTGGAAACTTAGTTTTAAATCTTCAAAATAATGTTCCATTGTCAGGACCACTCGATCTAGAGACTTCATTGTGCAAGTTGAAACTATTGAATTTGGGTGGGACTGGTGTCACAAAGATTCCAGATTGTTTTTGGTGTTATAAAAATGAACCAACTACAAGATTTGTAGTACCAGCTTTAGTTGTCATCCCAGGTGGATTTAACTGTCCAATCACATTTGAAAGTACCAATATAGCAACTATATTCAAAAAGGCTATTATCAAGGGTAAAAATCTTGGTTGGGGTGCAAGTGTTGGTGGAAATACTCTGGTTGCAATCGTTCCAAATGAACAAATAGAGGCTACCCTCCCTGGAGTTGTAACTGATGGTATACCTCAAACAATCGATATTCAGTTTAGTAATGATTATCCAACATATAAATTCCCATTTAATGTTGTAGAGGCTGGTTTCATTATTTCAACCACAACTGCCAATCAATCACCAGACCGTGTAATGATGATCACAGTTACATTCTCTACAGTCAACACCTTTATTAATCATTATGCATCTATAAATGGTGTATTGTCAACAACAAATTCAAATGTTGGCAGTACTTATCAATTTGGTTTCTTGGATCTTCCATTTGGTACTTACAATGTTAATATTTCAAATGATTATTATTCAATCATTGCTCCAAATGTTGAATGTACACAATGTATGTAAACTAGTTAGCAATCTTAAATAATTTAAATTGAGAAAAAAAAATAATAATAATAATATTTCTATTTAATATGCAGCATACCCAATTGTCAATACTATTGTACCCGATCCTGTTATTAAATCTGGATCGAACATTCAATTCAATGGTATATTTGGAACATATCTCACCAGCTCATCAGTCACCATTCAAAATAGTAACAGTCAATACAACTACTCGGTGTGTTCAATTACCGAGTTTACAACAACCAGAATATCGTGTAAGGTAGAGTCACCAATTTCAAGTGGTCTTGCTACTTTTAATATCACTGTCGATGGATACTCTATTCTCGAGCAATTCACTATTCAATCAGCTCAACAACAATGTGAGAGTATCACTAATCATTGTGCCAATAATGGTGTTTGTACTCCAGATGGTGTTTGTGTTTGTAATGTCAATCAAGGTGGCTATTATAATAATTGTTCAAAACGTATGTACAATATTTTGTTGTCAAAATATTAAAAGATAATTAATATTAATTATTTTTTTATTTCAATAGCATACCCATTTGCAACGAGTGGACAAGTGAACGATCAAAATACAACACAACGATCGATTAGTTTATTTGGTGATTTTGGACCCAATGCACTGACCAACTCATCGGTTAGAATCAACAACACAATGAATTGTATTATCGATCAATTAGAATCAACTCAATTCACCATTCAATGTCAACTTGAATCATCACCAACCATCTATGGTCCTGCTTCTGTTCAATTGAATGTTGATGGATATTTATTTGATAGCAAAACATATCTTATTAGATTCATTAAACCTTCGACTGGTGGTTCAACTACTTCATTAACAACTTCAGTTCCAACAACATCTGGAGGAGAAACACCCAAGTCACCCAAAGAAATATGTTCAGAGACCACTCAATATTGTTTTGGACATGGAACATGTGATGACAATGGAATATGTCAATGTCAAAGTGGCTTTAATCCTGTTGATAATTGTTTGACTAAATTTGCAGACAATACAACCTATGTTCCCAATCCAGAATCACCATCAACAAATATCAGTGTAGATGGAGTTGAATTTGGATTCGATATAGTTGCCATTCAAGAAATAGGATTAGACAATGAAATTGTCAAGGAACTATTGACCAATAGTTGGATATCAAATATCACCACCAACAATACATTTACAGATGCAGTCTACCAACTAGTAATCTCCAACACAAGTATCTTGGCAGACACACAAGTAACAGTCAACATAACATTCTCAACACAATCTCGAAGCATCACATTTGGCAACCAACAACTATTGATCAATCCCAATTCAATCAAATTGGCAGTATCTATCAACGGTTGGGAGTACTCATCGAATGTAGCAACACTCAGAGTAGTATTAAAGACAACAACCAACAACCAACAATCAATCGAATATGATTGCAAAGAGACAGACATCTCATCATTCTCATACGATGACTATGGAACACTTCAATACCTCAGAGTACTCAAAGACAATGTTCAATTCAACGGGAGATTCATTGATTTTGCATTAGCAGATGGTCGAACAACCTATTCACAAACACTACTCATCAACCAAACCCAAATCAATTCCAATCAATCGTCAACAATGATAGGTATCACACTACCACAATGTCAATCATGTGTACTCGATCCCGATTTCACACCATTATTAGTTGTCAACGATAAAGATGGTGGTGATTGTTCATCATCGGATGACCAAAAGTGGAAGATAATCGTTGGATGTGTTGTTGGTGGTATTGGGTGCGTTGCCATCGCCGTTGGATCAACAATCTATTATAAAAAGGCAATGCGTACAAAGAAATACAACAAACAGATGGAGGCTAAATTACGATCACTTTAAAGTCCGACAATAGCCGATTGGTCCAATCGGTTTAGTTGCCATCACAAGTGTATGGTTATACCAGAAAGATAATCAGTAAAGAGACAAAACAAGAAAATGGAATCAAAATTAAGACAATTCAATTAAAATAATAACATTAATATACGATTGAATATTTATAATTTTGGTATGTACTTTTTTTTATTCATTAATAGTACTTTACAAATATCTCAATGTAGTATTTTATTTAAATGTGTATAGATTTTTATTTCGGTTTTTTTGTTTTGTGGTGTACATATTAATATTAATATTGTTTTGGTAGTATTTTTTACTTATATAAATAGAAATGTTTTTTTTTATAGCTTGGCAATAATAGATGGTTGGTCATGTTTTAATCTTTCTTGTAATTCTTTAGAGCATCTGAAACCACTTTCCAAGGCACCTTCCATGTATCCAATCCATTGGGTGGCTGTCTCAGTACCGGCAAAATGCATTCTTCCAACTGGCTCACGTAGAGCCTTGCCGCAGGCGGTGAGGGTTCCGGGTGGAGCAAATGCTAGGTAGGCACCTCTGGCAAACTCGTCGTTCTTCCAGTCCTTTTCGAGGTAGTTCTTGGGGCTGAGAGCTTGTGGGCCAAACCAACGACCGTAGCATTCGATGACGTCTTTTTTGCCGGCTTCTAGTGACTTTTCGCCCCACTCGCGAGCGTCTTGACCAGCGATGAAACCGACAATAGCATTGGATTTGCCGTCATTGGACGAGTAGTCAAAGCATGATACGATGGGACCGTGTTCGGAAGTAGCCTCTGCAGAGAAGCCGTCTCTGCGCCAGAAGGGTTCGTCGTAGATGACGATAGTCTTGAGGATCGAGCCCATTGGCATACGTTGAGTGAGCGAGTCACGCGATGCTGGTAGAGCGGGCTTGTAATCTATGCGACCTGCCAAAGCAGGTGGAATGGTGTTGGCGACATACTTGGCGCGTAGGCGCTGGCCACCCTCGATCAACACGGTCACGCCGGCATTGTCTTGATGGATACCGACAACCTTGCAGTTGAGCTTAAACTGGCCGACTCTTTCACGGGCCAACTTTTCCGATATTTGTTGTGTACCGCCAATCAGACGGTCTTGTTGGGCGCCACCACGGACACCGGCCAACAAGTCAAAGCCACCGGCTGACTTGATGAAAGCCAAGTACCACAGGAAACTAATCTCTGTTGGCTCGGCTGCCAAACAAACCTTGCAAAACCAGGCTAAAATCTTGATGATATCGGCTCCTTTGACATTATCATTGACCCAATTGGACAATGTAATATTGTCCCATTCCTTGGCTCTGGGATGATCGTATGGTTTGGCAGGGTCCAATTCCTCGGACATCTTGTCAATGATGGCAATGGTGTTTTCCAAATTACCGTCCAAGTTTAGTGTCGATACATTCCCCTTGTAGCAGTTATGTTTGTTGTTCAATTCGAGAATATGGTTTCCTTCATTGTACTGAGAGATTGGTTGTATATTTAAATCGTTACACACACTCTTGAGTATATTGTGGGTGCCTCCCATCCACTGACCGCCCAAATCATACCAAAAATCATCTACCTTTATGGACTCTGTACGTCCACCAAATCTCTATATTTAATTAAAAAATGTATGTATTAATATTTAAATTCTGATTGAGATATTTTTTTTAAAATGATTATAGTGTATAAAGCGGTATACCAATCTGATTGTTTGGCCAGCCAGTCCCTGGAAATGGAATTTCTGATTGTTTGTTGACTGGCAGCCGGACATTCAATGGTATGCTGCCTTTCAATTGACATGCATTCATACATTTCTAGCCTCGATTAATAGTACGTTGACACCATTTGCCTTTAAATCGGCTGCACATTGCGAACCTGATAATCCTCCCCCAATAACTATAACATCATATATTGACGACATCTTTCTTTTTTTGAAATTAGTAATAATTTAATTCGTTGTGACTTTAGTAAACTAAAAATGTTAAAATCATATGTATTGGTTATCGTCACCATGCTCAAGACATATATGTAGGAAAACGCTATACCTCACAATAAAATATAAAGCCGTGGGAGATAGACGAGTACCTTTTCGTCTAGTCCCTTGCTCGGCCTTTATTTCCATTGGAGGACCCAAGTCATAATAGTTTGTGATATCCCCCACCATTTTATTTGGATGCTTTAGCCAGATCCCATACACCACCATATGGATTAGAAAAACACTTCAACTTGCTTCTTCTTCTTCTCTTCTTCTTTACTACAAGATGAATTATAATATAATAATATCAGTAGTTATCTTTAGTTTAAATTATTACTATACTACCAATAAACAAATACTCTGTTTGTTTTTTTAATAGGGACAGATCCAAGGGAATTAGAAATAACGTAAGACGGATTTTTAGTTCAACTATTAAGGATTTTCACAAGGATTTGAAAAGAAATGTAGAATCTATTATAAAAATTCAAACAGAAATATTTTTTTCGTCAAACAGAGATAATTTTATTATCTATACTTTATAACCATAGATTTGAGCTGAAGAAATTAACAAGAAAAGTTGATTCATTCAACAATTTATTTTCCAACCGTTGGACTATAGTTTTTTGAACAGATTAATAGTTCTTTTTATTTATCTCCTCTCAATTGAACGGGTTTCATGTACAAACTACGGATAATGAATGATTACATTATTTATTGGAGGAATAATTATGAACATTAATTTTTAAAAACTTTCTTGAAGAAATAATTTTAATTCCATTCATGGGATTTTGAACAAAGGTGGAACTAAATATATTTTTATTTAAATCTGGTCTATATCTCTATACTTTTAAAGACCATTATGATTTAAAAAAACAAAAAAAGAGAATGATTTCTTAATTATATTTTTAATTTATATTTTCTTCTATTATTTTATTTCAAGTAGTTTCAAAGGTTAGGGCTAACGTCATTAGGATATAAAATATTATTTATATATTTATTATTTAATTCAAGATCAACAAAAATGTTAAAAATTTATTAATTAAAAAATTTCACGATCAAAAAATTTAAACGGGTGTTATCTGTTGTGAGTCACCTGCAATATCTTTTTTTATTGACATCAGCAAAAGAAGAAGAATTTAAGAGCAACACAGTATAGGAGCGGTATCAGTATCAGTATCAGTATCATATCTGTTGCAATCGATCACATTGTTGTCGTTCATACATATATATATATCATTGTTGCAGGTGCTCGAGTATCAACAATTCATATTACCTCCACCTCCAGTCATTTATTCATACCCTTCCTTCAATACAAATAACTTTATATATATAAATATATAAATATATCATTTCACAAAAGAGAGAGATAAAAGAACAAAGGGAAGGAAGGAAGGAAAGAGACTATAAATAGTTTGATGAAAAGCAAAGATTAATTTTACAACAGAAGAAGAAGAAGAGAAGAAGATAGAAGTATCGAGGGATAGATAGAAAGTAGAGGATAGCAAAGGAAACTTATAAGCTTGATACTTTGCTTTCAAAGAACTACTACTATATAGAAAAGAATGAATCTATTCTCCTCGTTAATGAGACCAAAGAACAAGTATTCTTTAGAGAATCTAAAGTATGTTGTTTGTACTTTACTCTTATACTACACATAAACCTAAATATTAATCAATCATGACTACTACTACTACTACTATACCTTTTAGATACTTACATAGTACTTTGGTCAAGAACTCAACTATCACCAATCAGAACTCTGGTGTAGTGGTCGAAACGTTGAGACAGATTGCAGAGGTAATGATTTGGGGAGACCAAAACAATAATACCTTATTTGAGTAAGTCTAGATAGAAAGAAAAATTACACAAACAACAACCATAACTAACACCTTGATATTGTTATGATTTATCTAGTTTCTTTCTTGAAAAGAATTTGTTAGGATTTTTCATTAATATACTTGAACAAAAGACGTCATCAGATGTCATTATACAATTATTACAAACTCTCAGTATCTTGGTCGAGAATCTTAGAAATAGGAACTCAATTTGTAAGTAAATGATGATGTTATGAGGTGATGATGATGATACTTATACCCTTTGAATAATGCTACTAGTCGCTTTATTTTCAAATAATGTAATCAATGAAATTATCATTCACAAGTTTGATTTTTCAAATGAAGAGGTATTGGCATACTATGTATCATTCTTGAAAGCATTATCTCTAAAATTGGATCAAAACACAATCAACTTCTTTTTCAATGGTCAAGAAAGGGATTTCCCACTCTATACAGAAGCCATCAAATTTGTTAATCACAAGGAAACAATGTTAAAAATTGCTGTACGAACTTTAACTTTAAATGTTTTTAAAGGTATGAATGTGATTTAGAAAGTTCTTGAGAGACATTGGTTGTATAAATATATTAATTTCCTTTTATTTTTTTAGTTGAAGATGAAGTAATGAGAACTTATATTATCAATTCGACAGCGGTACCATATTTTTCAAATATAGTTTGGTTTATTAGACAGCAGTGTTCGACACTCAATACAGTTTTGGAGAAATCGAGCCATGACAAGGCAGCAATATTAAATAATTATCTCGAAGATTTGGCCGATCAGTTCTACTATCTACACGATATATTTAATCTTGGGTTTGACTCGATGAGCTTGGTGTTGGCAGAGCAGTTTGTACAGTATTTGATCTTCCCACAGTTGATTGGCAGTTTGCTCGACCCGTCACGCAACCCCGAACTAGAGGACCGAATCACGCCGGCGCTGGCTCTGTTCCTCATTTCACAGATCTTTTACATCTTCACCTACAAGCCGCTGCTCGACACGGTCGCCTCTGCGCTCGTGTCGCCCACCCCTTCACAGAGCCTGATCATCTCGTCGTCGGTCACTGCACCGCCCCCTCTGACAATCTTGTCGAGTCAGCGCACTCACTACAACAGCTTTCGCAGAATATCCTCATTCCCCAACCTCGCTGGTGAGGGAAGTGGCAGCGAACACAATTCACCAAAAAAGGTCAAGAAGCAGTCATCAACAGCAGCATCAACAACAAAGAGTAACACCAACAGTATAAATATTGGTGGAAACAACCAGCAGCAACAACAACCACACGTGTTTAATACTGCAAACAACACCAACAACACTGCCAACAGCACAAACAATAGTACTAGCAGTCCCAACATTGGCAGTGTCGGCAGTGCCACCAACAACAACACGCCACCCAGCGGCACTCAGTTTGGTGACTTGACCCAAAGCGGGGGTAGTGTGCAACACATCAAGATTGTCAGCGACGATGAAGACAACTACATCTACAACAACGACTTGGGATCGAATCTGTCGTCTCCTCCATCATCACCTCGAGGTAAACAACAACATAATAATGGTTCAACTCATCAACTACCCAACAGCAGCAACAATGGTCCACACCACCCTACCAATCCACAAATCAAACGTTTGTCTGCCAATCTACAAACCAAATTGGCAAAATCAGAACTATCCAGCTCTTTGGACAGTGGAAGCACCAACATGAGCTTTGACTCTCAAAACGATACTCAAAGCATTGGAAAGCGAAATAGTCTAAAGAGTGCAGCCAAGAGCCACAAACCAAAGAATGAATACAAAGATATGTTGCTCTTGCTACTAAACAAGGACAGGGAGACGTTTGGTGTTGTTTGCATGCTTTACAGTCTCTTGAAAAACTCATATATCGACAGTAAGATTCTAGAGATTGGTGGAGTGTTGCCATACCGTTTGGCCAAGGCCAAGAAATTGTTACAGGGACTTTTATCACCAGAATCGCGACCATCCAACACAATGTCCTCTTCGTTACCAGCCAACCTCACTTCGAGTCATCATCGAAGCAAGTCAGAGTCATATGCTCTTTCAACACAACAAACCGGTCCATCAACCAAGGTCAGTCATGATGGTATCAGCAGCAGCAGGAATCCTGGAAGATCAAGTCCATCTTTATTTAATGATTTGGATAGTAATAACAACAATAATAATAATAATAATATAAATCATAGTTTACCAACATCACCAATAATGCAAACACCTCTATCTAAAATATCAGCCTCACTCACATCTTCAACACTTAGTGCCCAGGCGTCTGGAGGACCTATCCTAAGAATATTCAAATCAAAGGAACAAATTGATAGTGAAGATCAAGAACAGAGAGAGTTGGAGAGACTGCGTATCATTGAAAAAGAAGAAGAGGACGAAGAATTTATTCCAGTGCCCGACAGCTACCAAAAAGAGTTTACAAGAGACCTCATTGAAAGAATATTTTATGTACTGATGAACAGTAATCAATTCCGGCTCGTCACTCTTCAAATGACCTATCTAGTACTCAAAGAATTGGTTTATTCGTCAGAATCACCAAGCAAGCTGACCGAGAACCAATTTGAAATGCTCGAAGAAGCCTATTTGGTGGTAACCAACAATCTCAAGGACTGTCTGTCTGGTAGTACGGCACCCATCTTTTTAGAGTTGTTTGAGGACGAGATGGGTTCATACAAGCAGATTAAATTCGAAATGTTGCTCAAAGAGGCAGCACTCATCTTGCCTGTCCCTGAGCGTCCTATTTCGCGGCTCTCATTGGCACGTAGACTGCCATCGGGTGAGGTAGAAAAGACACAAAAGGCTATCCAGCAATTCCTTGTGCTTCGTGAAATGAAGTATACGTTGTTGCGAAAGCGAGAAAAGCTTCTACCCATCAAACAACCACAATACCCAATGGTCAGAGAAAAGGAGCATTTCCGAATCGATATGTCCATGTTTGACACGATCGACTATGTCGCCATCAGCAAGAAGCCTCTGTCCACGCCGGCACAGGCTTCTCCGGGTAGCAGTGCACCTGGCAGTGGTGCCACCACTGGCCCACCCCTTCCCTACTCGTTTGTGCTCTACCACAATCTCTTGTTGAATTTGGACCGAAACAATATACAACCTCCTCCAAATGCACCCAAGCAGACCAAGGACGACCACCAACAATACGGTATCATCACCCATATTGCGCCACTACAGAGAATCGAGATTGAGGTGAGTCACCTCGACCCGTGCGTGCTCCGTGTCTTTTCGCATCCAACCACATGGGGTGTCGACATGATCTTTGATGAAGAGAAAAAGTGTCTGTCGGCCAAATCACTGTTGGAGCGTGCGCGTGACGACTTTAGAGCCAGCAAGATGCGTCAAATCTACGCTCTGCTCGGTGAACGTGACCCAGACGACGATGACGTCGACAATGATGGAGCAGAGTCTAATAGCCCTCTACATGGACCTGGAAGAAAGAAATCGCTCTCTAAAATATTCCAGCCAGTCGACGCATCCAACTCACACCCATTGTCATTTAGTGGCACCGATTTTGTCATGACTACAAGAAAGATGAGTGGTGGAAACAAACAAATACCATTGTCAACTAGTACAACGACCACCCCTACTAAAAATGCTGTATTGTCTCGGTTAATCGACGATGACGACCAATCATCAAAATCAACAAAAAGATTTTCAAAGGAAAATATTTTCATGTCATTCCTCAACGATACAGACGATACATTTTTAAAGGAACAAGATGAAAATATAATGGAAAGTAGTAGTAGTAATAATAATAATAATCAAGATTTTGATTTAAACTTAAATTTAAATTTATTTATCAAAAAAGGCAATAATCAACAAGTTGAAAATCAAGTAAAGAGTGGAGAATCACAAATTAATAATGAATCAACTTTAGAGAATAATAATCCAGATATAGTCTTTGAAAATTTTAATAATAATAATGATGGTAATAATATAATTAGTAATAATATAAATAGTGATGATAATAATAATAGTAGTAATAATATAAATAATGATAATAATAGTGATAATAATAGTGAACCTTCAGAAGAAAAAGAACAAGCAAATCAAATTCATCAAGGACTTGAGGATATTGATCTTAACAGTAATGATAATAATAATAATAATAACACCACCAATATTGATGATAATAATGATAACCAAATCATTGTTGACGAAAATATTGAAAATATCAAAAGTAAAGATACTGAAGAGGAATCAATTTTGTAATGATCATGCCATATATTTTTTTAATAATTAACAAGTTTTATTATTGTATATAAATTAAATCATAATAAATCATTGTTTACAAACTTTAAGAATCATTTAGTTATGAATGATTCGATCAAAACATCATAGATAAAGTTTCTTCTTTTATTCTTTTAATTAAATTGCCAATAGTCTACACCATCAACCAAGTTTAAAGATTTTAAATTATTTTCAAACTCTGAATTGGTACGATCGATTGATACACACAAAATGATTGGTGGCTTGACCTGTGACCAATGAATAATGGGAACATTGTGTCCTGTCAATGAACAATGATGGGTTGTGCCTATCTTTTTTACATCTACATCACAGAATGATACCACCTTGTCCTTGTTTTCTTTTGACAACATGGTAAAGAATTTCTTTCCATCTCTTCCAACACCCCAAATAGAAAATGAACTCCAATTATTTAATACTCTTCTTTCCAAATGTTCTAATCTAACTTTTAATAATACTAATCTAAAAATATATTAAATTAGAAAAAAAATAAAATAAACTAGATTTATCAACTTGTCATATTATATTTACCTATGAATTTGTTTACTTAGATTATCTGGATGATACCTATAAATTAATAAAGGTTTATCAACTTTTGTGATTTTACCTTTGTTGTCTAAATGTTTATGGAAAAATAAAAGGTCTTCTGGTATTGGTTGTTTCTTTTCACCTGGTTCTGGTAGTGGAGGAGATTGTCCACCGCCTGGTTCTTGTATTTGTATCTTGTAGAGTCGATCCAATGTTTCTCGAGTGGGTTCTGCAAATGGTCCATTGAGTTCGTACACCTTTCTATTCATAAACCAAGTTGGTTGAATAAGTGTACACTCTCGATACTGATGCAACAAAAGATCTTCTTCCGATAATCTGTTGCACCAGTCTGTATAACGTGACGATGATCCAGTAGGAATACGCATAAATTGTGAACCAACAATCGTGTGTTGAATACCTTGTTTCTCCAATTCAATGCATCTTTGTAGTTGTAATTCTATTCTTTCACGTAACATGATATCGTCGGCATCCAATATACATAAATAATCTCCATGTGATGATTGAATGGCTCTATTTCTTGAATATCCAACTCCTTTACTATTAATTTTTAATGATTCGTCTACTACTAGTTGTTGTTGTTGATTGAGTAGACCTTGACAATGATTCATATAATAGGTAATATTGTGGTGATATATGATGGGAGGTTTGATTGGTGATGTTACAAGTAGTAATACTTGGTACCGCGCAAATACATCACTCCAACTCTGTATAATATCCACACTCGTGTCAGTACTAAGGTCATCATAGATTGACAATTCGATCGGTCCACGATAAGACTGTTGTACAACAGACAAGAGTGTCTCGTCAATAAACAACGCAGCATTCTTCATGCAAACGCATACACTAACGAATGGTAAATCGAAATCTCTTTCCATCTTTGCTGAATGCTCCAATAACCTCAAAGGGTGAGGTAATGTTACAAGTTGTGTATCTGCTTCTCTTATCTCTTCATCTCCATATGTTACTGTTATATTCTTTGAATTATTATTATCCATGATAAATTGACAAGACGAATGAATAGAGATAAAATAATTGCTCTGTTTTTTTTTTTTAATATTTTTGTTTTTGAGAAATAACTATAATTGTTTATTTAATTATTTTTAATTGAATACACCATAAGTTGGAGTTTCAAATGCACCAGGTGAAAGAGTAGAAATGTCGGTCAAAGGATACTCCATAAATTTAAACTCATTTTTGATAGAGGTGTAACATGCGGTTGAATACGTGGTACAGGGGATGTTGTCACGAGGAGCCTCGAGTTTACATCCAACGGCTCTTGGGTTGCCATGTCCTTTAACTGATCTGAGCCAGCCACCGGTGGTTGTTGTTCCTTGGAGCAACAAAATCCATCTGACACAGTACTGGTGTCCGAAATAGTCTTGTGCTTTGGCTGTTACAAATGCCTCGGTTCCAGTGTATCTTGGTGTCTCTCCATACATGGTTTCAATGGCATTTGTAGTGGCGTCGTCAATGTTATAGGTGACAGAGCTGATGGCAGACGTACCACGGTAGAGTGTCAGTTTGTCAGCTCTTTGTGTTAATCCAAGACAGGTGGCGTAGAAGTCCAAAAAAGGTTGGCCAGTGGTACCGACAGCTGGTGCATTGAGACATAGAGGGGTAGGACCCATAATCATGGAGGGTAGTGTTCCCCAACGTCTCCCGATATACGACATGTACAAATCCTTGGTGTTGGTAGTTACAACACCACCGGTAGCTTGATCATACTTGAAACCGTAGCTTCTTTTCCAATCAACAAAATAGAATTGGTACTTTTTGTTGGTTGGCAGTGTTGGCAGGTTGAATGTGATGGTTGGCACAACCGAGCTTCTGAAAAAGTCGAGATCCATCGAGACATCAAAGTCGAAACGGTAAGGGAGTCGAAGCGAGTTTCTGTAGGTTGGGAGATGGTACGACTTGGCAATACCAGCTTTCCACCACGACAAACCTGTGACATTTTGGAAAGCAGTCTCACTCCATTGATACGAGTCTGCAGCAGCCTTACTTTGAGTAAACGATAGGGTAGTGGGAAAGGAAACGAGAGAGGTATTTTTAAAGATACCCTTGATTTCGATTTTACTCGATTTACCCGACCATTCAACTGTGATATGTGCAGGTTGGTCCATGGCTGGTGCAACCATGTCTTCATTGGGATCATTGACTGTGATAAAGACAGATGCTGGTATTTTACCAGCGAACGATTCCTTGAAAGCGTTTTCTTGGTAGTACTTGAGTTCGGCACTCTCCCACATGGTCTTGATGCTGCTGCCATCCTTGGTCTTCCAGCTTGACGACAGGATGTCACGGATAGGTCGCAGCTTATAGTCGACGGGGATGGGTAGGAAGTCGAGTGATTTGGCCCATGCACCCAACATGTTTCCTTGGCTCGTTGAACCTGGCGAGTAGGATCCTGGCTCACCACCCAACACCAATACACTTGATCTCGTCGATTGAGATTCCATCGATTCCTGCTTTTCACCAGATACACTCGTATCACGAGAATCGGCGTACCCAGCATTAGCAGAAAAGTATGGTGTAGAGACGGCACCGTTAAACGAACGAGATGCGCTTTCTGACCAAGCCTTTGTTGATTCCTTTGCATAGGATGAGCTTTCAATTGATGTAATCTGTTTCAACGATCCACCGAGCACTGCAGACTGGTAGAAATGTGTACCATATCTTCTGACAACCAAATCCATATCAATGGAACTAGTTACACTTGACAAAGCCTTTAAAAAACTTGGATGGAATGTATAGTCTATCATCTCGACCGACGAAGTAGTACACACCAAACTAGTAGTAATGAGCGTCGTTCCAGAACTTGTTAATAAACTCTGAGCCTGTTCAATAGATTTTTCTTTAGAATAGGATGCAGCTGCTTGAGCAGTATAACCTCCCCATCCTCCTCCAATTGAACCATCAATTGAAAATACTAAATAAATAAATCAATCAATCAAACAAATTAGTATTAGTTTATAAATGTTTCTTTCTTTCGTATCGACTTCTACTACATACATGAAGTGGTTGATTTAGTTGATCTAATTGCATTAACACTGGTATGTGAAGTTTGACTTGTATCAAATGTACATTTTGGATGAGCACCTCCAGATAATTCCTAAAATAAATAAACAAATATATTATTAGTAACTATAATCCTATCATTTGAAATCTTAATAACATACATTTGGTAACATATAAATTGATTGACGATAAACATCTTGTAAAAGATTCTTTTCCTTTTTAGTACAATAGTCAAAGTAAAAGACTGGTAGAGCTCCTTCTTCACCTTTGATAATATCAAAACCTGAAGCCATATGTTCAGATCCTGGTAGATGCCATATCTGTTGATTGGAAATCATATTACCAACAGTGTCACCTGCCAATACATACCCAGGTGCAATATGATCATCTGGAACCGATGTTGCATCACATGTCTTTGTAAATTGAGCATGACAATCAACAAAACAAGATTCAAAGTTTACCTCATTACAAATTCCATCTCCACATGTTGGTGTTGATGTCCATCCATTTAAATCTGCTTCACAACTCTCACCTAAATCTTTTACTCCATCTCCACAAACTAAATAATATGTATGTAAGTATATATATATTATACTCTTTCTCTTTCTTTTTTGTTTTTTGTTTTTTTAAATATTTACCTTGTTTTGAATAGAAATAATTAATTGATTTATGAGATTTTAATTTAAATGAACGTGATTTACTAAATGATTTGGCAAGGAGTGTTATCTTGATACTGTGGACTGGATTATCCTCGAGATATCTTTCAAACTTTATCTTGTCATCTTGGTTTGATACAATGTCCTCGGAACCTTGGTATACTTGAGCATTGTCAATTTCAATGATGGAGGATACCGAGCTTGATGAGACGGAGAACTTGTAGGTCTTGGAAGATGGTACTCTAAAGTAGGCAAAGATGGTGGCATATCCGCCTGGATACGAGCCGATAAAGTCGGGGATGGTCAATTCGCCAATCATCTCGACCGATGAGCGACAGGTGGGTGATAGGTGAGTAGACATGAGGAATCCTGGAGCTTGTCCAGTAAACATGTTGGGACAGTCTGCGGAGCAGTAGAGCGGCTCAAACGAAGAACAGACATTGTCTCCACAAAACGACTCAACACAACGCAGTGCAGCTGCAGAGGCTGGCGACCCGTCGTATTGTAGCACACGTTGATTGGCACCATAGTACGTTGGACAGAGGTTACTCTTGGTATCGGACGTCACCAACTCACATCCAGACCCACACATGTATTTGAACAAGAGACCTGTACCTTTTACAGAGACACGACTGCTTTGACAAGAGATGAGTGGTGGTTCATTGACACCAGTGTACCATTTAGCTGGTGACATGCTAGCAATATCAATGGATGATTCCGAGGCGTAGATGTACGGTTTGGAAGTACCCTTGTCAGAACTAAAGATACAACCACTGAATTGGACTTTACTTTGACGTGATGCATGGACAGCGTAGGCGGTCTCTCCGTTACCCCATTCCACCTTTACATTGACCAGAGAGGCGACTGTATTCTCGAGACGGATCGGTGCATACGTGCTCGCACAATTAATGGTAATATCACGCAACACAAACGAAGTAGAGTTGAATACGGTGAACAATGGACTGGATACTGGCCCGCTGGTTGTTCCACATCTGAATTCAACCTTGTTGGAACTGGGAACAGAAGCGGCATTCATAAACTCGACCGATGATCCATCGATCAAAATGTCATTGTTGAACGATCCCAGGTAGGTACCTGCTCGCAACATAAACAGTCTCTTTCCAATTAATAATCTTGTACCTTCAAGAGCCTGTTGAACGGATCCATATGGTAGTGTCTCTGTCCCACATAATTCAATATTCGCATTTGTACATGATGATGAAAATGAATCAATATATGCTATATCTATAATATATTAAAACAAGATAGATAGATAGAAAAGGTTAGTAGTCATTCAAAAGTTTGATAATCAATCTCATCTTTTCTTTTACTTTTATTCGTCCATCTACATACTTGTTGCATTTGTTGTTTGAAGACAAAATACTAATACTAGCAATACTAATAATAGTGGAGTCATCATGTTGTTGATAATAATACTATTATTATTATCTCTCATGTGATAGATGCACTATTAGTTTGTTGTTTACTGAGCAAATAAAACAAACAAAATGATTAATTAACCGCCGAGAGAGAATGAATCATGCTCGGCCGAGTGGCGCACTGTACATGCATGATTACCTGCCAGGTATGGTTGGTGTAACATGTTGATGATGTTATTATTGTTTGGTTTGTGCCATAGTTTTTTTAAATTTTTCCTGTGATATTCACTTTTCACCTGCATCTGCTTGTTTGTTGTAAAGATAGTTGCATTTCAAAGCCTGTTCCGACAACGAGCGAGAGATATCTCACAAGATCACAGGAAAAATTTATAAAAACTATGGCACAAACCAAACGACCAGCCGCAAAAAGGAGTAATCTTTGCAGTGTAATAATACATATCTACTCCAAGGAACAGCCTCAACGACACTCATCTACACCCCATCTATATCATTCAATGAAGATCCCCTTCCCATGTGTTTAAAGGGTAGGTACCTTCCTTACGAAAATCTCGTCCATTATAAACAATGACCCGCGCGATTATAATCGCTCCTTGATGAGGGTAGGCGCAACGAGAGAGAGAGAGATAGACATGCCTGCATCCATTCATCATCTTTATTCCATACATTATCATCATAACAAATAATAGAAATAGAAAGATATAAAGATGAAAGTAAAAGTAATGATGATATATCATCAAACATTACTTTTAATCATCTGCTATTTATTATGTTTGATGGTTGGTAGTAGTAAAGGATCATCATCATTATATGATGTCAATGATATCAATTCCTTTACAACAACCACCACCACATCCATTCAACAAGGATTGGTAACTGTCTATGTTGACAATAGATCAAAGTGTATCAGAGATTGTGGTAACCAAACACAACCATTCGTCTCTATTAGAGATGCTCTTGTATTCCTTCAACTCGATGTTAAAGTCATCAGCAGTGCAAAGATCCTCGTTGAACCTGGTGTCTACGATGGCATCAATAACAAAGAATTAGATATCGCCAATGGTTTGGATTTAGAAATATCGTATGTATAATATTAAATATATTTAAATATAAACAACAATATGAATACAAATACACTTGTAATGAATGAATTAATTAATTAATCTCTTCTCTCTCTCTTTATTCTTATTTGAAGAGTTGTACATGGCCAAAAGGATGTATTGATGACATTGGAGATTCCAAAGCTTGGTGTTTTGAGCAGTATGGTAGTCATCAAGTGTGATAGTATTGGTCGTGCATTTAGAGTATCCGGACCATCGACTAAATTATCTATCAATGGTTTGGCAATTGTTGGTTGTAGTAATGGTGAAGGTGGTGGTATTGTAGTGGAGGATGGTGCTACATTGATTACAATGAGTACTATATTCACACAAACTCAGGCCACAATTGGTGCTGCTTTGAGCCTACGATCTAGTTCTGCCCATTTAACCAATACACTCTTTTTTGCCAATTCCTATCATTTTGGTACCGTCATTTCATCGGTTGGTTCAAGAGTCGTATTCACCAACTCGCATGCACCATGTGATCCAGATGACCCTCTCCCTCGGTATATTATCCGACTCGTCAACGATAATGACCAAGTTGCATCCTTTTATCCAGACGATGATTCAACTATTGGTCATGGTCTGTCAGCTGTCTACAATGAAAATTTCATCGACTCTCCTTGTGCGCTTCCTTTTTGTCGTCCACCCATTCAAACAAATGGACAATGTTCACAAGTTGAAATTGATAGTAAGTAATCAATAATGGTAGATCCACACACACTTGATCTATTTATTAATTTATTTATTAATTTATTATCTTATTTATTTATTTATTAATTTAGGTGCACTGGCCAAGATAAATATTAATACGGTTGATCCACTAACCATATCTAGAACAACGTGTAATAGTAATGGAGTGTGTGATCATCTGACAGAAGATTGTTTTGCATGTCCATCAGATTGCTCTTGTGTCTTTGCAAACACCTATCTCCTCCACAGCCAGTCATCGGCATCTGTAACAAGTAATCAGAGACCAACTAAAATGTTGTCGTTACCAGTTGTCAGTGGAGCCAACCAAGGCCATCTTTTGTTCTACGTTAGACCCGAACATAAAAACAATCATCTATTGATCGAGGTTGAGGCATGTGCCGTTACATTGACAGTCAATGGAAAACAAGAACTTGTCATACTCGAAGGTCCACACAACAACTACCAACATTTACTTCGTATTGCCAACACCACTTCCACCTCTAGATTCCAAGTAGATTTCAAATGTAACACCGTCAACAAAAATAGTTCATTCTCTATCAAGTATAGAGATACTGATAATGATGATTTTAGATTTATTGATGGTTTCTATTCAATCAATTGTAAGTAAACTGTAAAAGACATTAAAATATTCAATTAAATTAACCAATATTATTATTTTCTATTATTAGCATGTAACGATGGAATATTAAATCAACAAGAGGCAATAACAACTTCTAAGTTTTATTGTCCACAAGATATTGGTAGTTATGTTGACTTTTCAGGTGATGGAAATCAAAAGGCACCAAGATGTTCCGACAATCAGTGTAATGAAATCCCCGATGAATGTCCAATTGATTGTTATACTGAATTTGCCAAAAATTGTAGAGAATTGGCATCTCCATCAAATATCGATAATAGGTAAACAAAAACAAAAACAAATAGACTATATATATTATATTTAAATATATATATTAATACTTTGTTATTATTTCTTATTTGTTTTTAGATATAAAAAAGATGAATTTTTAGGAGCATTACTTAATAATCAATATTTGTATGCTTTACCGGGTATTGATGCATTTTCACATGGTATTGATATACTTACTGGCAAGAGTAAGGATACACGTATATTCCATTTTGGGTATTGTGACGACGAACCATTCTCAACCATTCATGATAACTATCGTGGATTGGTGTATACTATCCCATACGGGTTGAGTGGTGTACCAGCACCCAAGTGTTCCTATGAAAGCTCTTCAACCATCTATTCGGCCTCTTTCCAAATGGCCGATGAAATGTCACAGGAAACTAGTTTGGACGCGTCGGTATCTGCATCTGGAGGGTTCTGGGGTATCTCGATTGGGGCTTCAGTTGCCTACTCACAAGATCGATCGGTTCAAATGGCCAGAGAAATGGAACAAACCTCTTCCAAAACATTTATCGTCTCCAAAGCCAAATGCTCAGTGAGCAAGGTTGTTTTGACGGAAAGTGAAACTAAATTCCATTTACTCTTTTTAAAGGATCTTGTCAATGCAGACACATTGCCCAAGATGGTGGTTGTCATTGCTAGGTACGGTACTGCTTATTTAAAGAATGCTGTGATGGGTGGAAAGATCCGTCTCATGACAACCATCTCGAACGAGTTTGCATCGAAAAGTACTGAATCAGAGTTGCAACAAAATGCAGCTTTATCATTGTCTGTACAGGCGTCTAGTCCAATTGGATCAGCTTCAGTTAGCGGGTCAGGTCAATCAAGCGGAGCAACGTCTGCCGCGTCCCAAAGTGAATTCAACCGAGAAAGTACACACTCTCAAATCATGACGGATGGTGGTAGTCCCGGCGCATTCTCACCCGACGAGTTTGGAGCCAACACCTTTTCAGATTGGGCATCAAGTGTTGACTTGAGACCAGTTCCCATCCAATCGGAATGGGGGTACATCTCTGACTTAATCCCAAGTGATTGGAAAGTGGCTGGTAGCACAACTAAAACAATCAAGAATCTTTGGAGAATGGCAGAGTTTACTTCAAACTTTCAAGCTAAAACTTCCAAGCCTGTCGATAGCACCATAGCAACAAGAGTTAGTAATAGGGCATTAACCTATTTATTGGTCACATCAACAGCTTCCGATGCACCACTCAACGATGTTTTCACACTTACATTTGCTCAACCATCTGGCTCGGCCGATACGGTGAGTGTGACAATGACAACTCCCAACAGATTGTTTTGGTTCTCTGCCCCCGATGACACATTCAAGCTTGCTGCAGCTCCCACTGTTGGCCACCATATTATCGATATTCTGACATCTCGTGTCTACACTTTTGACCCACTCGTTGGTACACTCCCAGTCGCTCCCACTCCAGGTCTCATCGAGGTGCGTATCAGTGATCTTTCATTTGTGCCAACTATGACAGGTCAAATCGCCGTCACTGTCTTTGGATCAAGAGGCTCACACAAAATACTCAAATCATTCCCATTCCCAGATGGTTCTACCTTTGCACTGTACAACTTTGTCTTGCAAACAGACGGACAATTGGGAGACTTGGTATCACTCAAGTTGGAATTCCTTCCAGAGTTGAACCAGCCTGCCAACAGACTCATCAACTTTAAATACTACAATGTCGTACAACATTGCTCAGTCAACATTAACAAGGCCGATCGCATTTGCAAGCCCAATGCCAAAATGTTGTACAACAGCGGTTTGACCACTACCGAGTCTCGTTTCCTCCAGTATATCACTGCCACTCGTATGTCTCAACCTTTACATTTAGCATTGTCACCTATCATTCGTACCGGTACTAAAATAGTCACTCCAAGTGGTGTCACTACAATTTAATTTAAATTAAAACTAATATAATTCAAAAAGTATCGACTAAAATAATTAATTAATAATTAATACATTCCAACTAATTTGGATCTACTTCTTATTTATTTATTTACAAAAAACATATTTTGAACATGAATGGTGACGGACAAGTAGAGTACTAGTGGATTACTACCACTATTGGTATGTTTGAATACCGATGAAACGTTTTTGTTGATCTGTAAGAGTATCATTTAAATGTTGTAATGTTTCAGGATCGATAGATTCTTTGATACGGTTGCTACGGAGAAGAGCTTTATCTTTTGAAAAGAATGGTGCAGGTGACACCTTGATAAATTGTGCAATGCGAGGTCTAGTCGAATGATTTGGTAATGATCCATGTGCCATCTTTTGATTCCATAAAATAAGACTACCTGCTCTAGCAGTAGTTCTAACTGGTTGTATTGGACTGGTTGGATGCAACAATATAAATCTATTCTTTACTCCATTATTTCTTTTTAATAATCCATTCCTAATTAATAATAATAAAATTATAATTATTAAATTAATCAAATGTTAAATATACTCCAATTTGATTATTTGTAATTATATTATTACATACTTTTTAGACCATTCTTCAAAATGATTTGGGAAACCTGGAACAACAATAAATCCACCATCATCGGTCAAGTTATCAGCCAAGTTTAGCAAACCTTGAATATGCAATTCATCAAGAGACTTTATACCAATTTCATTATTCTCTAAAATAAAGTCAGATGATTTAAGTTCATATTGTAATGCTGATAATATTCTTTGTCTTGTTGAATCTGTTTTTTCTTCCAAATATGCCCATGGATTACAATCAAGGTGTACTAAATAAAATAAGGTTAATTATTAATCACAACTAGTATTAATATGTTGCATACCATTTCGAAGTGTTTTCCAATCAGGTCTTTCAAATACGTTTGGATGATTAGGATCATTCTCCAATTCCTTGATGTATTGATGATTTGGTGTCATTTTAGGAAACATATTTTCATCTTTGAGAAGTGTCGGTCTGAATAATCCGTATCGGTCATGATTGATATATAGATCTTGTCGTCCCAATAGATTAGCATAGACTTGGTGTATATTTAAAGAGGAACGATTCAAGATTGCCTGTCTTGAAAATACTGGTGGTCCACCTAAAATACCACTTTGAGCCATCGACGTCCACGGCTCCCATGTTTTAGGATCATCTCTATGAATGATTTGAGTGTCCTCTTGTCTTTTATGATATCTCCAATTCTCTTTTTCAATATGATTCCATATATCATCGATTGTCTATAGACATGTATGACAATAGATTATTATTAATAAATGCATTGCAAACTTTCTATAGTATTGTATAAATATCTAACAATCTTCTTTACTTACATTCTGACATTGTTCAACATTTAAACAATCTCTAATGATTACGAATCCAAAACGATTAAAGAACTACAGTAGTTTAATTAATTAGTTAAATAATAGATAGATAGATAGATAGTTAGAGATTGTCAATAACGTTCCATTGCTATGATTCATTCAAGGGTCAATCATTCATACCTGTTTATATTCTTCAACTTGATCTAATGAAAATGATTTGAGATAACCTTCTTGATCCACCTCTACTGTGTAGTCCTCTGGCAAGACATAACTGTCACCCAAGTCTTCATACTCTATGACATTCCTCTCTTCTTGTGGTGGTTTGTTTAGAAACCCTCTAACATATCTTTTAATTCCTTCCATCGATAGATAGATATATATTAATACTAATACTGAATAATGTACAACTGTATAATACAAACATGTTGTCTATAAATACTCCTAATTTCTCAATTATTATTTTATTGCGATTAATTAATGAAGAAGAGAGTGAGTCAAAATTGTATGAATCATCAGATCTACTCACAAGACAAACCTAAATAATTCACATGTAATATTCGAATTAACATATATTAAGATAAGACTAGATATATATATAGGTCTTATGGGTGACTCATTATTTTGGGATAAGCAAGAATGGAATGGATTGATACTCAAACGAATAAATAGATCTAATCTGCCATTACATACTACTACCTTTTATGGTACTTTATTATTATTATCCATCTGGCATGTGTGATATCTCTATCCATCTATTTATCTATCTATTATCTAGCTATCCAACCCCACAAACCTTGACTTGAATAAATAAATAAAGAAGAGAATAAATGTTTGTTGGCTGCAAAGATGCCTTTGGTGAAAAGAAGGAATGGGCTCTCCATGGTGCAAAAATTGATTTTATTTGAATTGGAAACCCTCTGGATTTTTAGATAGATATTACTTTACTTTTAAGAGAGTGCGAGAGCATAGGTGCTGTATAGGCTCAACAACTACGTTACTCACCATCAACAACATCCTCCTCCTCAAAAACGATCACCACCACAATACACAAAACACAAAACACAAAATAATAATAATAATAAACTTCATAGTAGCAGAGACAGAGAGAAAGTTAAGTAACAAGTTATAATAATCGTCGAGTGAATTGGGATAGTTGTCGGTTCAATCTCACTCACACAACAATCCGATCACCCATCTTTGCTTTGCTTTGAATTCATAACAAACACACAACACATTGTGTGTCATACCTTTAAAAACTTAAGTGTAGTCGTAGCAAAGAAGATAGATTAGAACCATCAAAGACATTGCGTGTGTGTGGTGGGCTCATGAAGCAGCATAGAGATAGATAGATAGATAGATTGATTGAAAGAAAGACAGATAGAGAAACAGGCAAATATCATAAATAGAGCAGTAGCAGCAGCAGGAGTGTTAATCACAAACATAACGGCAGAAACCCCCAATCATCAAGCACAGAGACTGAAGTGCTATCCTTCCTCTTCTTGTTGTACTGCTACTACTCTTCACTCATTCCTGTCAGTCAATTCAAAATAACAACAACAACAACAACAATTCACCACCATCTGTAACAATAAACAACAACAATAACAATATAAAGTAAAGTAGTATCTGTATTTTTAATTAAATTACATACTCTCTATAATAATAATTAATTGTATAACTATAAAGTAGTAACAAAAACAACAACAATAATATAATAATAATAATAATATAAACATGTCAGAAGAAAATATTTCATCAACTACTACTAGTAGTAGCAACACAAGTGGTGAACAAAGAGGAATCAAACAAAAAGTTGTAGAATTTCTAAATACATTTATTAAAAAGAGGTATGTTGATAGCGACTATAATAACGGACGACAATAGTAATAGTAATCTTACCTTTGTTAATTATATATGTTTTTGTATTATACTTTACATAGACCATCACCAGATGATTTAAGAGAAAAGAATATTTTGGTGGCACCACCAAGTGTATCACCTAGAATACAACCATCTAGATATGACTTGCAACAGAATATGAGTAAGCCATCGGTCATCAATAGCAGTGCTCCCAATTTAAAAACACATAATCGATCAAATAGTAATTCAAGAGGTGGTAAATCAATGGCCAATGGAGCTGCTGGTGGAGGTGGTGGAGGAGGATTCAAGACTAAATTAATGGATTATTTCGATTATACATTCTCAAAGATGGTTGTTGGAAAGACTGTTGTTCATCGTTTAAAATTCCCTCAATTTGGAATATCACCAGAAGAACTACAAGAAATGTATCCTGATCAACAAAATGGTATTCCTGAAGTATTAACAAAAGGAATGCAATATTTATCTGTTCGTACGTGTATAAATATCCCTATCCCTATCCTCTACCTTTGAATATTAATATTGATTATTTATATTTATTTAGATTTGGAAACTGAAGGATTATTTAGAGTGAATGGAAGTAACAAAGATATTAGTATGCTAAAATTCAGAGTAGAGGATGGTGATTTAAATTTTGATGATGTCATGAACCCTTACAGTATATGTGGTTTAATATCAACCTTTTTCAAAGAGTTACCTGAACCTTTAATACCTTGTGAAAACTATTCCCAAGCAATGGAAGCAGTTAGTATGTTTTAGAATATTTGAATGAAAATTGAGTATTTAAGAGATGAATACTAACTATACTTTTATTTTAAAAGAGGAAACTAAAATAGAGGTGACAGTTGCTAAACTGAGACAGTTGGTATTGTCTATCCCACCATCACACCTTTGTATTTTAAGAAAGTTTATGGAGTTTTTAACATTGATCGAGGGTCATAAAGAGGTGAATAAGATGACATCGGACAATTTAGGTATTATATTCGGTCCGACTTTATTGCGTGATCCAGACTTTGTAGATATTACATCTGGGTTAATGAACCTAAAGTATCAGTCACAATGCATAAAATACATGGTCGAATACTTTAACGACATTTTCAAGAGTAGAGAGGTCACGGCAGCATACCGCAAATCAATGGTTATACGACCACCGGTTGACACGTCGTCAATCGATTATCTCGATCCTGCTTCAGACCAAAAGCCACGTTCCTCTATCAATTCACACGGTGTTCGTCGTCCCGTACCCCCACCTCGTCGCGGTGGCACTATCAGTGTCTTTGACGACCAACCACATAGCCGTCACTCTAAAATATATGCAGTCACTACACTCACCCGTCCTCCCAAACCACCTCCACCACCCAAAAACTATGGCACTGCTCCTGCTCTAACTAGTACCTCTACTACATCTACAACATCTACAACATCCACAATTCCCCCGTTTAAACCAACAGTCAATAGAGCACCTGCTCCAACTATGGTGGGAGGTGTGAATAACAACAATAATAATAATAATAATAATAATAATAATAATAATAATAATACAATGGTACAATCACCATCATCACCCATTCTCAAGAGAATTGTCAAACCTCCACCACCTAAACGTAATCCAGAAACTATCGTTCCACCTACTGTATCAACTAATGTAAATAATAATAATAATAATAATAATATAAAACCAACAACAACAGCTAATGCTGGATTGTTTGATAAACCGCCCAACAAACCACCACCAGTTCCAAATGATTTAAAGTTTAAGACATTGTCACCAGTTGTATCACCAGCACCTGTTAAAAAGGTTGGATTTGCAGTACCCGATAATACTACTACCCCTTCTTCGACGACAACTACCGCGACCACACCAACTATACCAAAAAGAGTACAATTTAATGATCCAAAATCATCAACTACACCACCACCAGCATTACCAAGATCACAATCATTTGGAGCAAGTACTAAACCAATGCCAGCACCAAGATCACTGTCAAATGCTCCACCACCTTCATCAGATACCAATAACAAGGCAAAGGTACTACCACCGCCGACACCAGTTGGAGTAGTAGGTAAAATTACAGTGCCACCTAAATTCCCACCATCTTCACCATCCTCTTCACCAATTAGTACATCACCATTGGTATCTACAATCGATGCCAAGAATTCATTTACAACCCAACGTACCAGCAAGAGTGAATTGGATTTATCGAAAATATCAAATAATAGTAGTGGAAGTGGAGGCAGTAGTGGTAGTATTGGTGGAAGCAGTAATACAGGTGGTAGTGGTAGTGACTTTTTTGGTAAAAAGCTACCATTACCCTCCTCGAGTGGCAGTGGGGATGGACCATCACCAACTTTCAAACCATTATTAAATCAACCACTTAGAATTCAACGTTCTCAATCTCCCGATGTATCAATTAATAATAATAATAATAATAATAACACTCCGACAAATAGTAATAGTAATAGTGGTAGTAGTCTTATCAAACCAACTTTTAAAAAATTGTAACTTTATAATAATAATAATAATAATAATAATCGATCAAAATAATAACAAATAATAATAAGAAATAGGGACAAATAATAATAAATTATAATTATAATGGACCATCCATCCAAAACTTATACATATATATTTAAATTTGATTAAAAATATGTGCATTTGAAGAATTATCGCGAATGAAATCATAACTCACGAAAGTGTACATTTCAGATTTTAATTAGTTAGTTGTTTGAAATATAGTAGGAGTAGTATGATAGATTGGATTGATCAATTGACGAGTTGAATCATTACATTATATTACATACATCTAGATAGATAGATAGATAGAAGAATGAGTAATAGTAAAAAGAATCAACAACAACAACAACAACAAGAACAAGATAAACCGACAACACCATTCACAAGAGAATCATTCAATCAATTCTCATACTTTACAAATGAATACTTTTATCAACCAAACCCCTCCCTCCTCCTCCTCCTCTTCTTCTTCTTCATTAGAATCAAAGAAAAAGGTATATAGTGACCCTTTAAAAGATGATATCACCATTCAAACGACTGTCAGGGTAGACGACGATGACGACAATGACAAATCGTCATCGGAACCCATTTCACAACCATCTCCATTCTCTTTACTATTCAAACCACTTGCATTATTATCTTCAGATGATGGTATTAGCAACAACAATAATAATAACAATAACAACAACAACAACAATCATAGTTATCAATCCATGGATTTGGCAGGTGATGATCATTTCCCTGAACCTACTACAGAGGAGAAGGAAAAGGAAAAGGAAAAGGAAAAGCCAGCGATCACTACAAGTCCTTTATTGAAACCATCAACTTTGACAACTACAAGAAAACTACCTCCAACTCGTAGAACAACTATGACTGTACCTATTCCTTCACCTCAGTCGCCTGCATCTAAAAAGCAACCGACACCTCAATCTGTAAATACATCAACTACAACAACTACGACAAATGAATCTCAAGCAGAGTCTGATACAATGGCATCGACATCAACATCTACATCAACGACGAGTGGTGGTGTACAACCTCCACCTATACAAGTTATTAGCAAACCTATTGCCAATTTAAAGAAAAAGGTACCTGCAAAAATGGCCGCATCAACAATTGTAGCACCTACTATTATTAGTAGTAGTAATAGTAGTAAAACCGATATATTAGATGAAATGTTAGAGAATGATCATTTATCAAAAGCTAGACTACAACAATCACAAACGATTTCAAATGCAAATATCAATAATAATAATAATAATAATACTAACAATACACAACAAACAACAACAATAACGACAACAACACTGCCAGCTAGTAGTACATCATCTGTATCCTCTACAACGCCATCACAATTTAATAACAAGTTTAAACATTTTTATCACTTTATTGAAGATGATGTAGAGAAACAATTAAATGTAAGTAATGAATGAAATTTATATGTTTTGTAATTAATTATTAATAATTAATTAATTAATGTCTTTTTGTATAGGATATATATGGAGAAAGATTAGAAAGAATTAAAACATATCCAAGATATTATAAACAAACACAGGCATATGATATGTCTACATTCCAACCGATTCAAGGTGATCCTGTTCTAACTCACCGTGGAACGGTTTTACAATTGGGTAAATGTATGGTCTTTGATAGAATACCTATCAACACTGAAATCATTAGTACAAACAAGAATTATTACAATAATAATATTAATAATAATAATAATACAAATCAACAATATTGGACTAAAAAGGTAACAAAGAAAGAAAGAAAAAGAAAAAGAGAAAAGAGAATTAAATTATTAATTTGATTTATTTTTATTTTCTAGACAATTCCAACATTATCAAATGATCAAAATATAATGGCATTGGTTGAAAAGAGTAATATAGATGTAGTAATGTCATCATCTACATTTATTAAATTAATTAATAATCATGCACCTTCATTTGCTGAGGAATGGGAGATACCAACTGTGACGAGACCCTACAAGAATGGATTGGGTGAACAGAAAAAGGTTGTGATACTAGACAAACCATTCTTGAAAAAGAAGATGACCAACAGGGAAAAGAATGAAAAGTTTTACAACTTGGCAATTGAATCACTTGGATTGACGCGAGGTGATCTATCAAACTATCCCCCAATCGATTTTGCAGCTTCAACGACACCAAATAATATTTCAAGTGATTACTTGGCATCTGCCAATTTGACCTACAATGTTTGGCGATTTGGAGAGATCAAATTGTTGATTCGATGCAAGATACATTCTTTGGTACCCGATCAATCTGCTCGACTCAAAGTCAGGTATGTGGGTATCAAGACAAAGGTAGAGTATCAATCAGAACGGTCGACAATCGAGGATATATCGCCATCAGAGACGTCCAAGTGGTGGTCGTACACCTATATTCGACCAGACGCACATCTCTTGTTTGCTCGTGTCAATGTTTGGAATCATAGACTATTGTCGATTGAAAAAAAAGACATGACTCACATCCTACATCCAAAGTGTGGATTCAGTCCTTCCAAATCATCAAAGATTACAATCGAACTATTAAGACGATGTGTTGGGTTGCCAGAAGGTAGACATTTACTGCTACATAGACCAACTGAACATTTTGTTTATGTTTATAAAGAAGAAGAGAATTATTCAACCGAGGAAAAGAATGGACAAGAGAAAGAGAAGGGACAAGAAGTGGATGATACTATTTATGATTTACATAAAGAACATGATAAACTACCAGTGTTTAATCCCGACCTACCCAATATCACTCTTATCAAAATGGTACCTGTTACACCTCCATTACAATCAGTAGTTCCACCACCTCCTCAACAACAACAACAACAACCAATTCAAATTTGCGTACCATTTGCAGAGACTGGACAATGCAAGAATCCAAAGGCTTGTACATTCACACATTTGACAATGGCACAAATCAAAGACAAGGGATTAGATCAAATATTCCAACAACAGCAACAACTCTTTTCAGGAGGTAAACGAAAACAAAACAAACAAAAAAACAAACCAAAAAAGAAATCTAAAAAGACTGATAGGAAACAACAACAGAATCAACAACAAATGTCAATGGATAATAATAATAATAATAGTGGTGATGGTGGAGGACATTCAGAATCAGGTGGTGGAAGTGGAGGACATTTTGCAACCGACACTGGAGATGATTTATCATACATTAATTCTATTTTATAAAGAAGAGAAGAAACAAAGAAAGTTATAGGTTCAAAACAAACACAATTATCGATAATGGCAATAGCAACATCCTACAAAATTAAATAGTTGGGTTGTGTGTGTGTGTGTGTGTGTGTAATCGCAACTGATTAGGTCAACTCACGCCATCCATCGAATTTTATTTATGCCATTGAACTAACCCCATCTTCAATGGTGGTTACTCCCTCCAATTCAAAATAAAATGTGTATCACCCCCCTATAATCATCTGAATGAAAGGATTGATTTTAATTAAACTAGTTTGTTCACTCTCACACAAGCACTAACAATCAAACATTGTGTTTGTTGTTATTCAAACAAACCTTTGACATTTTCAATCAAAAGAATAAAGAGATAGATATAGATAGATAATAATTATTTAACAAACTATATCGTTTCATTGTAAATAATAATAATATAACAACAACCCTACCCTCCCCCTTTGTAAATAATCACATTGTAAATAACAAACAAACATATAATATATATAAAATGTCAAGTGTAGAATTTGTACCTTTACCTGCAGGTATGTATTCAAAGATAAAGATAAAGATATAGATAATAGTACATGTTTGTGAAAAGGGTATTATCTTTGCAATGCATTTGTATTTTAACTTTTAACTTTGAACTTTGTAGGAAGAGCTGGATCAATGAGAGTTCCAGTATCACCAAAACATCATGGACATCAACATACATCACCTATAGTGAACTCTGTGATTAGTGGACTAGACCCACATCCAGTACCCAAGATGACTCAGGAAACTAGTTCCAATTCTAATTCCAGTAAACCCATCAACTCTCCACCTTCGGTTAAATATCCTCCACATCCTACCGCGGAGAAACATTCAAACCAAAAACAACATGTTATCAATCAACCAAGATAGATAAACATATCATATCAAATTAAATCAAATCATGTACATAACAAACAAACAAAAAACAAACAAAAATATAAAATACAACCAACCATGGATTGTTTAACAATTGATTCATTTGGTCAGTCAGTATATTTATATATATAAATAAGGATCATATCAATAAGAGTAGATCATTTATTAATAATGATTATTATTTAATAAATTAACTTAATATTATTGATATCCCAAAGTCCCATAAGGGTTGAAATTAAATTATTTCAAAATTAATCTATCTTTGCAAACTTATTCATGAATGAATAGAACTATTAGTATTAATATAATATTATACACATAACAAAAGAAGAAGAAAGAGTTTATAGATACATACAATAACTATAAAGTAGAGAGAGGGAGAGACAGAGACGTTGTCTGTGAGAAATGTCAAACAATGATAATAACAATAATGGGAGGATCGACTTTGAACAATTGGAAGAGAACTTGGGACGTATGATCAAGAAGCAAAAGAGTACACTGACAAAGACATTGAAAGATATCGATTCGATTGTGGGTACTCTTTCAAGCTCAAAGAAACAATTGGAACTATTTGCTGCAACCACTGCTTCTCAATTACAAGATGATGAAAAGGCTTCAGACTGTATGTTAGATATATATGAAACAACCACACGATATATATATATATATTCTTCAACAATTGTTCATTTACTAATTACATTTTGTTTCTAAACATGTAGCAAGTAAAACAGAACAACCTAAATCAACATTTGTACCAATAGTAGTTGGTAAACTTTATCAATCATTATCAGAATCAAAACAATGTCAAAAGGTTCAATCAGAACATAAAGAATTACATTCAAATATATCAAAGACTGGTAAATTGGTTGATAAAGTAAGATATAATAATTATTACATCCCAATTGCAATTGTGATTCTAATTATTATTATTAGAACTTTAGATCAGATATAGAAAAATCAACAAAAGGAATTGAATTTGATCCAAAGACTGTAAATAAGATTATATTGTATCATTTCTATCGAGAAGGAAAGTTTGATGTAGCTGATTTATTCGCCGATGAGATTGGTGTAAAGCAATCGGAATCAGAATATCTAAAGGCTAGGTTTACTGATCATCACGATATAATTAAATCAATGGAAATTAAAAAAGATTTACAACCCGCCATCAAGTAAGTAAAAGAAGAAAAAGAAGAAGAAGAAGAAGAAGAAATAATGATGAAACCTTGTTATTTTAACCTTTCTTTTATTTTCAAGTTGGTGTAAACAAAATAGACAAGAATTACATAATTTAGAATTTAAATTACAAAGATTACAATTTATACATTTATTATCTTGTGGAAAGACAACGGAAGCACTTGGACATGCTAAATCTACATTTTCTGAATTTGCCAATACAAAGATGCGAGATATTCAAACGTTGATGGGTGCTTTTATCTATGCCAATCGGCTCAAAGATTCGCCCTATGCCTATATATTTGCACCACAAGCACTCAAAGATCATTGGTCAGACATTAAAGATGCATTTGCAAGGGAGAGTTATCGAATTATGGGCGTTCCTCAAGAATCTCCACTTGCCATCACAGTCAATGTAGGAGTCAGCTCTTTACCAACTTTTATCAAACTTTCCACCTTTTCCGTCCTTCAAAAGGCCAACGACGATAGTAATTCACTCACTGTAGAGATCAATGTAGATCAGAAATATAAATTTCATTCTATATTTGCTTGTCCAGTGTCAAGAGAACAATGTACAAAGGACAATCCTCCAGTACTTTTGATTTGTGGTCATCTCATCTCTCTCAGTTCAATGAACAAATTGGTCAAAGGTTCTGGTAAACTTAAATGTCCGTATTGTCCAACCGAACAACATTTTAAAGAGGTTTTAACAACTGTATTTTAATGTAAAAAAGAAAAAGACAAACACAACTCTTTATATATTTGTAAATAAACTAAAAGCTAAAAAGTAATAATGTTGGTGAATTTTAGGAGGGTTTTCTTTCTTCTTGATTAATTTATTGTGTTTTCAAGTGGCACATTGATCCTGGTATCATCAGGAGGAGGAGGAGAGTATAGAGTTGTTAAAAGATGGTTTGATTCTTTGCCATTGATTATACTGTACCCATCCAAAACCGAAAAATCTTTCCCTATATCGTTGACTGACTTTTAATTACAGATTTGATGATCATTTATTAAATATATTTAATTGATTAATTAAATTGGTTAGTTGTAGTTTGATTGCCCATCATTCTCAGGCCTGCACATCAAAGAACTGAAAGATCATCTAAAAAAAGATTTTTTTTTTTTTAAAAGTTTTATTTCTTATTTTAATTGAATATAGATAAGTAGATTGTAATTTACACTTTTGGCTTTCTTTTTTTTTTTTTTTGTTTCTTTTTCTTTTACTACAAAAATATTTTTGTAAAGGAAAGGAGGACATCATGGTCATGTCTGGGTTTCCACCGTTTTAGATTATTCAACTTTGATTTAAAGTTTTGTTATTCTTTTTTTCTTTTGTTATTGTTATTCAAGTTGGTTTGTTATTGTTGGATGATGTTGTTGTTGACTATTAATTAATTAATTAAATTTTGTTGTTGAAATTATTTGTTCCATTCTAAATATTTTGGATCACCAAGTTTTCTTGGAGCAACCTTGTGCTTGATCAAGAAAACAATACCTTGAAGGAAACAAACTACACCAACGACAATATAAGCGTAACCCAAGAATGGATTTTTGCCACCGATCCAGGTGGTAGTGGAAAAGACAACGTATTTTTTGCCATCAAATGATCTGACTGGGTAATTTGCTTTAATTTCAAGATCGATGGATCCCTTCTTAACGTCTGTGTTGATGATTCTGTAGAGCTTCTTAAAGTCTGGGAGACCAGCAGTTCTCATCCAAACAATAAAATCTTCATCTTCAAAATCTGGAATAATACGAACACCAACAGTGTCGGGTGGTGGATTCTTGAACTTCTTTTCCTTGTCTGATGACCATGCAATACCTTCCTTTTGTAAAGGTACAACTGCTCCACTTTGTCTTACAGTAAATGAATCTAGAAAAGGAGAAAAAAATAAATATTATATTAGTTTACAAACTCTAGTTATAATATTATATTTAAATATTTTTTTACCATTAAACATAGACTTTGCAATTAAACCACATGGTAAATAAAAGAAATTTGGATCGTGACTATCACCAACCGATTTGTATGGTTCGCAGTCTTGGAGTTGATCGTAGCTGGTGACAACCTCACCACGTAGTTGATTATCATTTCTAGACTTTACATAACGACGGTGATTTTGATAAAAGTTTTCGAGTCTGTAGTACATGTAAACTGGAGCATCCATATCTTTGGGTACTTCAATAGAGATATTACATGTAGTATTGCCAACATCGCAAATATCATCATATCGCTTAGAGTATTCTTGAACTTGGTTCGAAGCATTCAACATGACAGCTCCGATTGGAATAAAAATAATACCAATCACAATAAATGTAATAATAACTGGTGCTGGAGTTAGAATTGGTTCCCATGCTTTTAATCTTTGTTGTTTAAAAGCAGTATCTATAAATAAATATAGGGTATTAGAATAATTGTTAATAATCTATCGATCGAGATCTATCAATCTTGTCTGTCAATCTAATCTATTGTTTATATAACATACTTGCTGGCCTATTTGATTGTGAAACTTCCTTTGAAGACATGATTATTTACTAATCTTTCTTCTATGAGAATATAATATAAAAACTATATAATGTTTGTACAATAACAAAGAATTTTGAGGTAAGTAAAAAGAAAAGAACAAATTATAATTTTTAAATATATATTGTATTGTTATTAGTTATTATCGATTTATGTGTGAAGTCAGTAAAATAGTAGTAGTAGAAGTGATGATGTTGTTAGAGACGAACAAGACAAGTAAGTAGAGCAAATAACAAGTTGTATTCTATCTTTTGTGTTTTTCTTTCTCTCGCTTCCTCCTCCTCTTCTTCTTCTAATGCTTTTAAATGGATAGCTGATTGATAATTAATGGGGTGGATACAAACAGCTTTGCTTGTTTGTTTTGTTGGATGTTGTTGTTGGTTTTTGGATTAGCAAATGATAATTATTATTATTCTTCCTCTGCACAAAACTAACACCCTCCTCCTCCTCCTCCTCTACCACCACACCAAGGGAGGGGTGTGTTGTTGTTTTTTACCTTCTCTCACTCTTTTTTTGTTTGTTAAAGAGATACAAAAAGAACAACAAACATCTGCTTTCTCGCTTTCTTCACTTGAATCTGTCTATCTATCTATCTGTCTATCTCTCCACCCCACTCCCGTTATTTAGATTTAGGTCGTTAAAGATTCAATCAATCGAAACAACAACAAGAACTAACTAGACACATTGTGTAGTTTATACAAATGTATACTCTAGTTGTTGTTGTTGTTGTTCTTTGGTGAACTACCCTCCTCCTCCTCCTCCTCCTACTATTAATTATCTGCTGCTGTTCCTCTTCCCTCCTATTGTTATTTAAACTTCTATTCTGTCTAACCAACCAATGTATTTACTTTGACTATTGAATAATGACAACTATTATTATTATTATTATTACTATTTAATATATTGTTTATACCTTTACAAACAAAAAATAATAAATTAATAGTCTAAAAGTTTTACCCCTTTATTGGTGCAGCTGTGAGCACAGGGTCTGAAAAAAACTCAAAGTTTTATTATTTTATGTAATGAGACGATAAATCTCTTACTGAGGAACATCGGAGGTTTGTTTGTAACTTTAGCTTTTAAAACTAGGACAACTTACCTATGTAACTTTTAAAAGTTTAAGTGCAATGAATGGGTTGGAAGAACAACTATCCTAGTCTTTCGATGGTGTGTATGCTTAAGTTTAACAACACACACATTAATGTATATAAAATAAATATTAAACATTCTCTTATTATATTATCATTATAGATGTACAACAAGACAATGTTATGATAATAGTCGAACCACCTATCTATATACATTCAAAGGAGAATTATTGACTGTTATTGTAAAAGTCGTGATGATCGACATACATTGCAAAGGTATTTGAACTTGCTCCTTGCCAGAATCAAATGTAAGTGTCAATCGTGATAGTTGGGTTGGACTTGAATGAATGAATCTTCGATTAACCAAACCAATCCAACAGGTAGAAATTAATTGAATGTATTGGTGGAGAATATTTAAAGAAGACAACATGTCCAAGTGAGTTGGTTATTTCACTTGGACCAATTGCACAAATCGACTATAGACTATATCCACTAGTGCTGTTTCAACATCATTCACTTAAATCAATCACAATCAATGATAAAGAATCAAATCATCTTTTATCAACTCTATACTCTCCTCCTCCTCTTCCTTTTAATAAAGTTAAAATAGTTTAAATTAATTAATTAATTTAGAATACATATACAAACATATATGATTTATATATATATAATAATAATAATGATTCTTTTTTTTTTTTTATTGTTTCTTTTGTTGAGTTGATAAATCTATTTTGAGTGGTCTCAATTCTCCAACACGTCTCTTTCTCTCTAATCTTCTTTCGATCTTTAACTTTTCCTTGTGTGAAATGACCTTTGTTTCGACCATTGACAATTGTTCGTCGTTGTTGACAACCTCTACTTGGTAACCGGCAAAGTAGTCGTTGATCTCTTGTTCAGTTGGTTCGAATGATGGTGCTTCGTATGGACCAATGTTGAGTTGCATTGGTGAAGTTGGGATTTGAGCGATTTGACCTTGGTGTGGGTTGTGGATGCCATCGTATACCTTGAGACGTTGTCCGAGGTAAGACTTGTTGTTGTTACGTGGGAGCATGCCCATAACGGCATGACGAATGATATATTCTGGGTTGTCGATACGCATGTCCTTGGCCTTGGTCTCTTTGAGACCGCCTGGGTAACCACTGTGCTTACGGTACAACTTTTGATCCCACTTTTTACCTGTAAACTCTATACGATGTGCATTCAATACTACTACAAAGTCTCCACATTGCAATGGCGCAGAGTTATCGAAAATTGGTTTATGTTTGCCTCTCAACAAGCCAGCAATCTTTGATGCCAACTTACCAACATGGTGTCCTGTAGCATCAACTACATGCCATAATGGTGTACTTGTCAATTGATTCTATAGAATATATAAATGTACATTATTGATTAGTTAAGTTCATTTGCATCATATATATTGTATTGTATTATAGTCTACCTTAAAGATTGCTCTTGAACCCATTGTATGTATATTCTCTCTCTATATTGATCTAACTATATAATACTAATATGTATATGTATGATACTGTCACTAGTTACTCTCTATAATAAAGAATGATGTATGTACAAAAAGAGAGATACGATGATCGAACACAAGCAATGACACTAACTGTAATATGATGGCGGTGAATGATCATTAAAGTCATACTCGTCTCGTCGTGTGCAAAAAAGGTTTTTTTTTTTTTTTTTTCTGAACAGAGTGGGACAGATTGAACGTAGGTAAGTAGTTTCTACTTTTGTTGAATCTCTCTCTCCTCTATTAGAATAGCTGCTAGTTGATTGATAGGAAGGAAGGATGTTGTTAAGACATCATCAAAAGATATTAGTATCAGCTTCAACTATTTGTCAGAGACGATTGGTGTTGTTGCCAAAGACGACAACTACAATATGTTCAAATCAACAACAACAATATAGTTATCAATATAATCAACCATCAAATAATAGATACATTTCATCATCATCATATTCTACATCGTCAAAGAATAATAATAAGTTATTTGATACACAAGATGAAGAGACAATTGACAATACATTAAAACTTGACCTATCGAAACAAAAGTCAGAATCATATAAATGCGCACAACCAAGACTTACATCGGAACATCTCTCCACCATCAAAGCCAACACCAACCCCAATCTAATGTACTCTACTCTCCCACTTGTTCCAAACAAATCCCTATCACTCTCTCGATTTGGGTACAATGTTGATGATATTCATTATATTGAATCTGATCATAGAGCATCATTGTAAGTACAAATTATTATCCTTAATTTGAACCATTAACTAATATTATTATTATTTTATCTATTTAAGGATATATGCATTAAATAATGGATGTAATGTTATTCATTCAAATAGAAATGATTGGAGACAACCATTGGATGTATTGGATTCAGTGTTGAGCGATTCAAGTGTATCGGTGACAAGAAGAGATTTGGTGTTTGTACAGAGATCTCAAATCATTGATTCACGAGAATTACTTGTCTCCAAGACATTTGTGGCCGATCAGATAAAGATTTCGTTGGAACGTTTCAAGATTGCAATGGTTGATAGTTTTTTGTTGTCGGTTGATGTTGATGCATTGGTTGGTCAAGGTTTGACGATAGATGAGATAGAATCGAATCTAAAGAGACATTTCGGTGACTTGGAAAAGGAGTGCGGCAAGCGAATCCAATCCTATGGTCTTTCAAGCCCCCAATTGGTCGATGGTAACCGTCTCTCATTGTCTCGTCTATCGATACACGAGTTGCCACACTTTAGAGCCATCGAATACCCATTTAATATTTATGAATATAGTTCTATTTTACCACAATCGACATATAGCGATCAATCATTATATCAATTTGCCAAGTCTGGCAAATTTAATATCAGCAACAACAACAACAACAACAACAACAAAAATGTAAACCAAGATCCATTGGTCATATTCAACTCTAGTCCTTCTTATTTTATGAAAAAGGGCAAGTTGAATAGATTCATAGAAGTAGAGTCACACAAGGACAAGGATCTATTAAAACTACTAAAGGATGCCTTTGACATTGCCATCCATTTAGAGAGAAAGAATCCAGTGTTTAAAGACACTGTCCAAATCGAACAGATAAAGTCCAACCCCAATCTAATTGGGTCGATGCGATGGGCTCACATTTTGGTCGAAGAGAAATCAAGAAACGAAAAACTTTCAAACTATTGGGAATGGGAAAAGGTCGCAAGTAATCGTATCAAACCAACAGTACATGAAGCAATCTTGGCTATTTTTAGTAATCATATTATAAATTCTTGGGGTGGTCAATATAAAAAGGTAAAAAAAAAAAAAAAAGAGACAAATATTTATTTTGAAATTAAATTAATCAATATTATTCATTATATTTATATTTAGGCAATGTTTTCATTATTTGATTTATATACTAAATCATTGGAATTTGAAATCTATGAAAAACAAAATGAAATGAGTAAATTTATGGAACAATATAATCTAGGCAACAATAATAACAATACTCCATTGACCATGTTCCAAAAGGCAAATCTTTTATCTGCAAAGTATAGTGATGTATCTATCGAACATTTTACTACGATCGATCGTGTAAAATCAATCATTTCAAATATCCCTCCATCAAGTTTCACCAATCTTAATCAAATGGATAAATTAAAATTCTTATCACTTTGTAAAGATTTTTCAACCATGATTGATAATTTTAATGAATCCAAAATAGAATAAAAGAAACTTATAAAAATTAATATATTAATTAATTAAATGAAATGAATTCCATTCTTGTAGTAGTTGGGATGGAAAAAAAAAGAGTGAAGCAATCATTTATTATTTTAAAAATAAAGATATATTTTATATCCCTCACTTTCTCTCTTTCTGTATCTCCTATTCAATAAATTAATTTTTCTAACAATTGAGTATGGTTATTTGTACTTAAACTATTATATGTACCCTCCAAATGCCACATCTCGTGGAATGCTGACACCTTTTTTCCAACAACGAAAATGAGTGGGTGACTGGTTCTTCTTGATTCTGAACAATTCCTTTCCTTTTCATTAAATTAATTATCTTCAACTACAACAGGTTTTGGTTTTGTTTGATTTGGTTTTGGATAAGAAGCAAAATTGGTTTCATCTATAAAATTACAATTGGAAATTAATTTATATATTTCATATTTAAATTTTTGTATATATATTATTTACCTTTAACAAATAATTGTAAAGTATAATTATTAAAGGATAAGGCTATTTCTAAATTGTGTTCAGTGAGTGCAATGAATTTGTCGTTTTGGAAAATGGTAATTGAAAGATGGGCTGTAGGGTCTAGACTAAAGTTTTTTTTGATCTTTTCAAGTAAACCATGGTATTCAATATCGGTAGGGCATTTGATATTGACTGAATCACCATAAAAATTGACTCTAAATGTTGCAAAGGTTTGGGTATTCTTGCTAACTTTTCCATTATCATTTTCATTTTTGTTGTCATTATTATTATTATTATTATTACTATTGTTATCATTATTATTTTTATCATTATTATTATTAATATTATTATTTTCGTCATTTGGTGGAGGTACAATTACAAATTGATCATTATAGAAAATAGATTGTTCACATTCATACCAATATTTTAAAACAACCTTGAGTTTGTGTCCAGCAGCAAAATCCCTTCTTTCAAAAAGAAGATGAAAGTGTTTGGATGACACTGGAGAACGAATAAAGCACTGTATATTTGCAAAAGGCTTATCTCCAATGCAGAATCTAAATGAACTTGCTTGTGCAATGGTCTTGGTTTGTTCTAGATCAAACGAATTTTCATCGCGAAAAATAGATAATGAATCCTGTACAGGATTGATTTTGGCTACAATATCCATTGTCAAACAATTTTCCATCACTATATAATGATCTCCATCATTATCTTCTCCAATACTTTCAACAATATCGTCAAGTGTTATCTTATTATTTTGATTATTATTTTTGTTTTGATTATAGAATAAATAGTTTTGATTATTTTGATTATTATTTACATTTGGATTAAAAGTAATAAGAGTTTCACAACTTTTACTAAGTGATGGAGATGAAGATGAAGATGAAGTAGAAATGTGGGCGCCATTTTTGTTGTTTTTTTTGTTGTTATTGACTAAACCAGGAGGTGATTGTGGTGAAAGAGGTGGTGACGAAAACATTGATGGATTTGAATAGGCTGTAGTAGTAGTGGATGCTGTCGATGCCGATAACATTGAGGAATGGGGTGGTGTGACAAAGGAAGGTGTTGAGGGTTGCGATGTCGATAGTCTAGATCGACTGTTTGATTGTTTCAATGATGCAGGTGCCATAACGGGTGGATTGTGTGGTCTTAGTTCTTTGAGATTGATTCCTCCCACTTCGAATCGTGGAATGGGGCAACGTGGTAATGAGAGTAGTTCGGCGCGACTTGGATGAACGAGGAAAGAGCAGGTGGTGCTTTCGAGGGCGTTTTTAGAGTTTTTAGACTCTGTGTATTTTATGTACATGTCGAATGCGCCACTGAGGTAGGTTCGCTCGAGTTTGATAAACGCTGACTTTTTCATTTGGGTGCCGCGCTCAAACTCGCTCTGTTGGATGGTTTTGAAGATCTTGCCAGTCTCTGTCTCGACGATAAACAGTGTCATGAGGTTGGAGCGACCCCACTTGAGACGGTCGGCCTCGAGGTTGACGACAACTAGCTGCGATGTCAGGTCTGTCGTGTCCCAGTACAGTCTCTCGATCGATGGTGGTGGCAGATCCTTGGTTGTGTTGTAACAGATTAGTGTATCACTCTCGACACATGTAATGGGACGCAGAATATGTGTCGATTTGTCATACAACCCAAACACAATGACCAACTCTTTGGACTCGCCCAATCGCTGCACCGAGATGCCCTTGAAGACCACCTCGCCGGTTGGTCGCACATTCTCGACATTGTTGCTGAGTTGGAAGTGTTCGCACACCTTTGACGTGGCCACCACCACAAAGTCGCGGTTGGTAGCCTCCTCACCCAACAAGTTTGTGTGGCTCCCTTTCACCATAAACTGGATCTCTGACATGTTACCACCCTGCACAAACACCTTGGGGTAGCCTCCCACATTACCAAACTCTAGATCCATCTGTGTATGAGCCCCAATCGCAGCATCTGATTTTCCCAACGATGGTTTTCTCTTTTTATACACTTTTTTACCTCTTGATTGTTCATATATCAATGATGATTCATCATTACTATTATTATTATTATTATTATTATTTTGATTATTATTATTAGAGTTTAATAAATATTGTTGTTGTTGTTCAGTTGTAGTAGTAGTGGTGGTGGTTGTTGTTGTTGCCATTGCCATTGTGGTAGTGGTAGTTGCCAAAGGTGGTGATGATGAAGATGTAGGTATTGATGGACCATCTCTAGGACTAATATATGAATCGGAAGAGTTGTTACTATTGTTATTATTATTATTATTATTATTATTATTATTATTATTATTGTGAGAGTTTGATTTCAATTCATTCTTTCTTTTTCGTTCTTCATCCTTTTGCCTTCTCTTTCTAATGTATTGTTGTATCTTTTCATATTCTTTTTGTGAAGGTGATGTTAAGCTTGATGAAACAGGCTCTGATGATTCATCAATTTCTAACGTTGACTGGTGTCCTGGAGGATAGACAATCGCACCAGATGTTAATCCACCTCCTCCTCCCGTAGATGTTGGATACAATGGCTCACGTGCTTTACTTGCCATGGGATGGGTAGTAGTACTAGTAGTAATAATAGTATTGTCAATCTGTGGAGGTGATGATCCGTTGGATTGGGTTGGTAGATCATGATTAATTGTCGGTTCATTGGAATTCCAAACTACAGGAGATGGATAACGCAATGATGATTCAGAATCCAAAGTAATAAATGAAAAGTTTCTTTTCTTTAGAATACTATTATTATTATTATTATTATTACCATTTGATTGATTACCATTATTAAAAGTAGATGAATAAGATGAAGATAAAGATGAAGATGGTGTGGTAGTTTTCATTGGGCTGATAATGTTGCTATAACTAGTAGACATTACGATACCATCATTGTCATCATCACTGTCGTCAAAGGAAGATCTACCAACTCTATTATTACTAGAGAGTAGAGTCGAGGTGGATGAAGATAGAGTCGATGTGCCAATTGGTGACGACAATGAAAAAGATAAAGGAGATGTCATTAGATTGGATGTCATTGCTGAAAAGGATGGAATCGCTGATAACGATGACGTTGATGTAGTTACACCCGGCCTTTTGCCTATCGACTTTATGCTTTGAACAAATCTTTCCTTATTATATTCTGCCATTACTAATGCTATTATTATTATTATTTATATTTATATCCGTATTGTTATATGTATATTATATGTATTATATTGTTGGTTATTGTTCTTGTTGTTGTTTGTTGTTTGTTGGGTTGTTGTTATGCAAGACAAAGATAATATCTATATATATATATTACTTCCCTCTTTAGTGTTGGCTATCTAGATGTGTGATGGATAGATAGATGGATGATGGATAGACAGAAAGAGTAAGAGAGAGATGGTTAGTGATATATATAAATATGTACAAACAATTTGAGTGATAATTACTAGAATATATGTATATTTATATATATATCTTTTTTTTGTTTGTCACGATGATCGTAGTATCGAGTGCTAGCTGCGTGGCTCTGTGTCTCTTGTCTCTTGTTTTTGTGTTAGGTCTTCTCCCCTCCTTACCTGTGCACTAAAACATCTCTTTGTTCATAGAACAAGCAATAAACTTTGTCAATCACCATCCGCCCATTTTAGTGTACCTGTCAATCTCCACAAAACAACAAAAATTGAAAAAAAAGGGTTTCCCAAAAAATCAAAAAGTAACAACCTCCTTCTCAAGAAGATCATTTTTCTCCAATCCGAGGTCAAAGAGCTTGTTAAACCGTTCAACTCAAAAGTTCTATCTTTTTTCTTGGTCGATCTTGTAAAGTTCGTCATCATCACTAATTAGTGTATCGTATTCGAGAAGAGAATGCGCAATATATCTAATCCTAGATAGATAATATATATATAATGTGAGAATATTATACATTCATTGGGTCTCTATCACTTCAAAGTAAAATAGAGTGAAATTTGAAATAACACCTCAGATGGAAGTTCAAGAAAAAAATTAAAAAAAATTAAAAAAAATGAATTTTATAGTGGGCACTGTGAAGATCAACAAACTTTGATTAATGAATTTAATAACACAATTATTATATTTTAAAATTATAATACACATAAATATATACATACACTTTTAAGAATGTTTTTAACTAGGTATGTCTCTCTCTCTTAAAAGACAGACACAATAAGAGATTAAAGGAAGGAAAGAAAGAAAGAAAGGACAGTTTCAACTAATCATCATCTGTCTATTACGACTACTACTATTACTACTACTTTAATTTCAACAATCTAGATCTGAATATGACCGTGGAGTAAATACTTTTTCACCAGAAGGTCGTTTGTTTCAAGTAGAATATGCTTTGGAAGCAATCAAGTTGGGATCGACATCTATAGGTATTCAATGCGAAGAGGGTGTTGTTTTGGTTGTCGAAAAGCGTCTCACCTCTACTCTTTTGGAGCCATCATCCATTCAAAAGGTTGTTGAAATCGATTATCATCTTATTTGCGCCATGTCTGGTTTAACTGCCGACTCTAGAACCATTATAGATCACGCTAGAATTGAAACTCAAGTATGAATAATAATAATAACATTCATTATATTAATTATTATAATAATAATTACTAACAAATGATTATCATTTGTTTAAAAATAGAATCATAGATTCAACTACGATGAACCAATGGGTATTGAATCAACTGTACAGTCAATTTGTGATTTAGCCTTACGTTTTGGTGAAAATAGAAAGGATGGTGAAGAAAGAATGGTACGTTAAATTTAATTAAATTACAACATACAATATATATTATATTACATGTTAACTAATTTATATCTCTATTTCAAATTACTAAATTGGTATCATACCATATGATGATAAAATTGATTGATTGATTGATTGATGTATGTTGTTATTACATATATAGTCTAGACCATTTGGTGTTGCACTTTTAATTGCAGGAGTTGATGAAAGAGGACCACAATTATATCACTCTGATCCATCAGGTACCTTTACTCAATACCATGCAAAGGCTATTGGTGCCGGTTCAGAAGGTGCCCAAACCACCCTCCAAGAGAAATATTCAAAGACACTTTCACTCCAAGAAACCATTCAATTGGCATTGACCACCTTGAAGCAAGTCATGGAAGAGGCTGTCACTACTACCAATGTCGAATTGGCCGTCATTTCAAAGAAAGAGAAAAAGTACAAGATCTACAACAAAGAAGAACTTGAAGCCGTCATTGCAACTCTCGGTCAATAAGTTAAATAACAACAACAACATAACAACAACAAAACAACAAAACAACAAATTTAAACTATAAAGTTGTCCGTCCATAAAATAGATATATTGAATCAATCAATCGACTGAATGACCGACCGACCGACCGACCACCCCACCCTGCCTACTATTTTATATTAATCCCCAACCAAACAAACCTATATCTTGATAAATAAACAACAAAAACAGGACAAAGGTTTTTAGAACACTGTATGATTTATAAACATATATAAATATATCCAACCATTAGATTATGTTTGTTATTGTGTACAAAAGGAGTAGTATGAAAAGAAAAGAAGAAGATTGTTATGTCTCACCCTTTCCTTTTCCTTTATTCTACCATATTCTATTCTCAAAGATGACATCCAATATTGCTTTGAATGCTTCTTTAGATTTATCGGTCAAAGAGATTGATAGTAAAAGAGAGTTGGGAGAACGTTGTGATATATTTTCGATTAATTGACGTGCATAGATTGATACTAGTTGATCTTGATTACCTCCAAGTAATGATTCAATATGATAACATGGTTCATCCGATTCAAATCCTTCAGATTGTTTAATTGCTTTAATCTATAAATAGAGTAAGAGTTTTAGTTTTTGTTTAGTTTATTCGTTTGTTTGTTTGTTTGTTTGTTTGCATTGATATGTATATAGAATATACTTACCCAAGTAGAGAATCTTTGTGTTTGAGCAATTGTTATAAATACAGTTCCAGCAAACACAGACATTGATATATCGGTATGAACATTATTAATCTTGACTGAAAGTTGTTTTGTCTTTACTGGGAATACAGGTTGTCGTGGTTGTTCTTGTTCAACAACATGACTATCAATAATTAATGATGACATGTTTAGTATGTATATATATAAGTAGCGCGGAGATATATTAATTAATGAATGATCAACTTTCATATCTGACTTTTGCAGCTGCAAAAAACAAAATTAGATTAAGTTGATCTATTTATTATTATTATTATTTAGTCTTCTTTATATGATTTAATATTCTATCAATTGTTGTTTGAGGATTATTACTATTGTTATCAAATAACATGGATTTGGATAATTGTTTGGATAGTATTTGTTTTGTAAAAGAGTGAGCTCTGTCTTTGGCATTATTGTTGTTGTTGTTGTTGGTTAGTTTGGGAATTTGATCATGTGACCATAGATTCTCACTCATTGCAATGAGTCTGAACCATACACGATCGTTGAATCCACGTTCTACAACGGTCAAATCCTTTTCTGTACAGTTGGACGATGGTTGGGTCATCTCCCAAGCACACCCTTCAACACCCAAGAGATTTGAAATATTAGTTGGAACAAACCGACTGTAACAATCCTCAAATGACTTACAACTCTGAAACGATGGGTCCATATAGAATCCAAAGCTATAAATAATCTCTTGGTCTCTTAGATACTCTCCAATAGTTTCTCCGCCTTTCCATACTTGATATATTATGTTGTTACTATTGTAAACTGGAGATGTACTTGTACTTGTACTATTGGGATGAAGAATCTTTTGATATTGACCATGTTGTAAAAGGAATAAATCAACGAATGAGTCTTCCCAAAAGATGAGTTGTTTGGAGGGTGGAAGTGTCTTGTTGGCAATATCGAGGAGACGGTCGAGGAAATACGGCATGTATTGGTCGCCGCTGTGTATACCCTTTTGCGCCATTCTCGCAACCAACTCTTTATCTTCGAGCCAGCACTCTACCGACACCTCATCACCACCGAGGTGTATGTATGGGTCGGGAAACAGTCTACCAAGAGTCGACAGTATCTGACCAATCACAGTATATGTCTGTTCATTTGAAATATCTAATGGATAGTTGTGAGTGTAGTCATGGTTAATCGGGTTGGTTTTAGTGGTTGCTTGATGATTTGGACATTTAGCAACAATCTCTGGGTACCCCAACCCCCAAGATCTCGCATGTCCAGGCATATCAATCTCTGGTACAATCCGCACACCATATTCTGTCGCATGCTCGATAATCTCCAAAACATCTCCAATGCTGTAATAGTGTGATCGAGAGGGTGTAGGTATCTCGTTGTGAATGAATCCGAGGTGATTCGAACCCATCCCATGTAGTTTAGGGTATTTAGGTATTTCAATTGGGAATGATTGATCATCTGTAATATGCCAATGCAGTGTATTTAATTTCAACATACTCATTCCTCTAATCAATGATTTAATAAATTCTACATCAAAAAAGTATCTTCCTAAAGACATCAACAAAAACAACATTAGAAATCATTCCCAACCATGGTATGAGTTATATAAATATATATATATATACCAGTATCCAACAATAAACCTCTATATTCAATAGAAGGAGAATCTTTGATAACTAGAGGTAGATAAATGACACAAATGGCATGTTCTTTGTTTGCATAGACCACTTGAACCAATGTCTTGATAGCATTCATCGCTCCAAGATGTGAATACACCATCATTCTAACTTGCTCCTTATCAACATATAATTTATATTGTTCATTCTCTTTTGTTGGTATTGTATCTATAGATTTGATAGAGAGAGAGAGAGAGATTCAATGATTGTTAATAACATGTACATGTATTATCTATTCAGCACCACTTACATTTATTATAGCTATGATGGTGACCATCATTATCGTCATTACTACTACCATTTAACAATACAATAATGAATCTTGATTGTTTAGATTTTGAAGGAAAGAAAGTAGATACAGGTAGATTGGCTACTACTGTATGATAGAATGATCTAACAAGTTGTCGTTTATCGAGAGTCCAAGGTCCAACAAATTCAAAGTCTATGTTGTAAGGTATGTATAGACACTCTAATACATTGCTTGATGACTCTACCGATGTTGGTAGTGGATAGATAACATCTTTTGCTAATCTACAATCAACTACATTAAAAAAGTAAACTGTAGTCGTCAACAAGAAGAAGAAAAAGAGATGAAATAGAAATAAATATAATGAAATAATAATTGAAAATTTCATTTAAAGACAAAGAAAAATAATAATACTTTACAACTTTATTTTTTTTTTTGAACACATCAACAAAGGGGGGGGTTGCGTTCACACAAATTGGTTGATTGATTGGAACACACTTTAAAGATACATCATTTATTTGTTGGAGGTATAATATTAATAATGTTCTTTTGCAACCTCCTGGAAGATGAGTTAAATTAGAAGTTTTGTAAATTTTTAAAAGATAAAAAAAATAAAAATAAATAAAAAAGAAAAAGTTTAATTTTTATTAAAAAGAGTGATAAAAATACATTCTTGTGCGAGTAACAATCAAATGATTAAAATATATTAAATCAAACAGACTGTCTAGGTATTGGAAATACCAATTTTTTATCTTTTTATTTTTATTATTATTTTTATTCAAAAATACGAATTTAACAATGACCATTTTTAGAAATAGTTTTTTTATGAATTTTTCATTTTAATTTTTCATATTTTAATATCGATGTTCATAGTAATCTTAATTCCAATTCATTTAATATATTTTTTTGTAATTTATACACATAAAATAGAAAAGAAATAATAATAATAATAATAATATTAATAGTTTTAATCATGGCATCAATGTTACATCCACACTCTAATAATGTTAGAGTTCCAGGTAAAAGAATAGATGATGCATACAATTTATTTAATGGCGCATTCTTGAATATGCCAATTTCAAAGACTGATATTCCAATTGAACCAGTTGTCATTTTAGATGTTAATCAACCAATTGAAGAAGGTTACAAGGTATATATATATATATTCCCCTATTCAAATATTAATCTATTTAGATACTAACAAACAATGAAATTTTAGATTGTATCAACCAAATTAGCAGCACCAGTATTTGATAAAACTAAAAATCAATTTGTTGGAATAGTTGATATCAAACATTTCCTTGGTTACATTTTATATAAAATGCCTTTCCCTCCAACTGGTGTTGAAGAAAAACATACAATTTCTGGTAACTTTTTTATTGTTGTTGGAAAAAAAAGGAAATAATATTAATAATCTTTTGTTAAATTTAGAACTATTAATGTTCCCATGTTATGTTTTGGATAAAAACTCAACCATTTGTGAATTATTCAAATATTTTAATACTGGAGTACATTCTGCTTTTATTTTAAATGAAAAGAAGCAAATTCAAATGATTAGTCAAATGTCTTTAATTAGATGGATTAGAGAACATGTATGTATTTTATATAATTAAAAAAGAGAGAAAAATATTTTGATTTTAAACCATTTTTCTTTTAATTTTGAATTCAAATTTAGATTAATGAAATTGGAATTGGAGGACAATCAATTGGTCATTTAGTAAAGGATGACCAAATTCATAAATTTAGCAAGGTATTTTCAATTGATGAAAAGGAACCAGTAGTGAATGCCCTTAAAATTATTTACACTGAAAATATTTATGGAATGCCTATTTTAAGAGATGATCGTGTTGTTGGAAACATTTCCGTAGTGGATTTAACTCTGGCCCAAGATAATTTGGACAAATTGACCATTCCATTGTCACTCTTTTTCAAGGATAGACCTGTCTTTACATGTTGGAAGAATTCCACCCTGATCGATGTTTTGGACAAGATGATTGAACATAATGTACACCGTCTCCATGTAGTAGAAGGTGATAATCTTCCCTATGGGATCATCACAATTTCAGACATTGTTCATGTAATGTTGGAACAAAGTGGGTTTAATGCATCCCAACCAACTGACAACAAGATGGATCAAAAGGTTACCCAAAATGAAAAAGAAATTCAAAAAGATTTACACCAACAACAACAAAACAAAAAAGGAAGAGCATCCAACATTGATATGTAATCAATCAACCAACCAACCAACCAACCTATCAACCCTTTAACCAAATCAACTTTCATTACATCAATAAACATTTAATTTAAAAATATTAAAAATAGAATCCACATAATAATTGATTTCATTTATGATTAGAGGGTTGTTACCATTCATTACCAATTGTCACTTATTTTACACTTATTATTTGAAAGTGGATTTAGTAATTGGAATGTTTATAATAATACAAACAAAAATATTATAAATCCTAAAAACGATTATGATGAATCAAATAGAGTTGAATACATTATCCGAAAAGTATTGTTATAACAATAGAATGAATGACAAAGAATATTTAGGAATATTGATTTTTAAAAGAGGACATGTTTTGACGGATATTTCGCACAATAAGGAATGGGAGTATAAAGGAGAGGGATGATAAACAAACCGACTGCATACAGTATACGATAATGTACTATTTAAAAAGGGAAGGGTGAATGGAAGAAAGGATGATGGGAATGGTACTAGTAGATACCAATGAATCGTAAACAGTCGACTGAAGATTGCGTCCAATAATAGCTAAAACCAATATCTCTTTCTGCAATATCAACGATTAAAAATACCCATGGGTGGGTAAGTAGGTAGTATATCTTGTATCGATTTTACATCTTTTTCCAATCACAACAGTGTAACCCAAACCTGTGGTCAATTAATTTACTCATTTCACCCATCAATTTGCAGCGAAATTGATTTGATTTTAACACTTCTGAGTGGGATACACCATAAAGTTCATAGGTGTGTTTTGGCGATTGATTGGGGTAGGTTGGGAGAAAGACTTTCTCTCTCTGGATTCCATTTGCATCATGATGATTCGCGATTGTGTTGTCTACTATAAATTGATTACCTCCCCGCACCCATAGTTATGGGGATATTGTTTGTGGGGGGTGTTTACTGACAGACCAGTTGACTGGTCTAGTAGTGAACATGGAATATGAGGACGAGTTGTTTGACGATGATAATCTATCCAAACCTAACCTCTACAAGGAAAGGGGGTGGCAGAAATTCAGGAACATTTTGGAGAAATTATTTATATCTTCATTCATTCATTCATTCATGATTGAGTGAGTATTGAGTGAGTGAGTGTGAGGACGTACGTTGGTATGATTGAAATTGCGTAATATTAATTAATAATATTATCTGTTTGGCTTGATGCTGACTTGATGTTCATAGCAATGTAGTGTGATGAGATGAGTGGTTGGGTATGATACTTTATCTTGGCATTTAATATCGGAGAGTGGTAAAACTAACTAACCAACTAATTAATTTCTTCTTCCCACCCACGCACACATATGTCTTTGAATCAACGATATCGTTAAGTGTGGATCCCAGACCATTCAACAAAAGCTTTAAATAGACGGACGTGCGGTAAAAATAAAATTTCTAGCTTAAACAATCAATATATTTGTCCCTGCTTCCCATTTATCATTCAATCAAATCGATTTGATTAAACATAAACATTTAACTATCAACCTAAATTAATTTATCTTTCATTCCAGCCAGAGAGATTTAAAACAAAAACCAAAGACAATAATTCCAACCCAAACTAATTTGTAAGTTCCAGAATCACCCCTCCCAAAAATTTCCATCCATCCCCTATAGTTTTTTCAACAAGGATGTTCATCATATCCATAGTTAGTTACACATCCATCCATCACATCACTTGAATTCGCACCTACAATTTTAAATTCGTGATCAACCAAATTCTTGATTGATGGTGATGAAAATGTTTGCTGTGCATTGTAACCATAATATAATTTACTATACTATAGTATAGCTAGCTCACTATACCAAGAATTGGGGAGGGATAAAGATAAGAGAGGGAAAGTAAATCGTGCATTGACATCCAGGTCGAAATATTAAAATTTTAATCAAACACATAATTTCATCCACACAACACACCCCTTCCTACATTACATTCTCTCACACACAACTCATATTGGATAGAGATATACCAGTATTGCAAGAAGAAAGATAAGAATTAATGAAATGGATGGGATGATACCTACCTATCAACCCACCAATCAAGTGTGGGAGGTGATCTATTGTGCACATTGTTATTAGCACCATCTAGAGAGAGAGAGAGAGATATATATTGCTGGTTAACTTTCTGTTCATGTTGTCGTCGTAACATAACAGTCACACTCACATATATATATACATACACCCACCTGTCACACACACACACACACACTTGCATTGCTGCAATGCTTACTCTTCCCAAAATGTTGACGAAGATGCCAACAGCAAACATCTACATCTACTAGTAGCGTGATGTTAAGTAGAAGAAGAAAGGAGAAGAGAAATTGGTGTTTGGTTTGGTTTGGTTGGCTATCACTCATGACGTGAACGATGCCCAGCCAGCACTTAGATATCTGTTAGGGTGGTCGTGGTCATGGGTGGGGAGTGGGGTGGAGTGGGGTGGGTGTAGGGTGTTTGGTTGGTGGGCTTGCTGACTGACAGAGACAGGACTGGCTAGCGGGCTAGCCGGCTGGCGGGGTACGATGTTGGTACCAATAACATTTGTATCACTACTATCTATCTTTATTTTTAAATATATATTATTAAATATTATTAAATACGTTTACCTTATTATTATTATTGTTGTTGTTGTTCTTGGTTTTTGGTGTTTAACAACAACAACTTGTTGAACAACAACAAAAAAGATAATATAACATTTGATTCAATCTCAAGATTAGCATTTCCTTTTATAAAAAGGTTGATATAAAGCTTTGGTTTATATCTTGCTTTCTCCATCATATACACTTTTGTATTTGTTTAAATATATATCATATATCATATCATCATTTCCTGCAACTTCTCATATTTTAACTTTCCATTTTATTCCAACCTTTTTTTTTTTTGTTTAATTAATTAAATCAAATCCAATCCGTTTTACTCATTCATCCCATTTGACTAGTAGCAGTATCTAGCAGTATCAGCATACAGACAGACAGACAGACAGACAGACGTTATAGAAATTACATCCATCGACTATTTTATTCGAAAGACTCCTGTATTACTTTTTAATTTATAAATTCATTCATTTCCAAAGAGAATAATAATAATAATAATAATAATAATAATATAGAATAATTAGAATATTTAAACATTCCAAGAACAAGTTCCATCCACATCCATCTTTATAATTAATTATCAAGCAAGAAAAAAAAACCAACACATCAAAATCTTGTCCAGGAAAAAAAATAGTGTTCCTTGAAGATAAAGTAAGTGTGTTGAACTTTTTATCTCTTTTCCATGTATCCAATTCTAACTTTACTTTTTACACTTTTTTTTAGACAATTATTATTTATTTATTTATTTATTTTTAAAAAAGTGGTAGGTTTATTTTAATTTTTGTGAACATCATCATCATCATCAAGAGATGAGATGAGATGAGATGAGAGACAATAAGGAATATTAATATTTATATTATTTATTATTATTATTTATTATTATAACCTCTTTTTTATATTATTATTATTATTGAAACCACAGATACCCTTCCCTTTATATTATATTATTGTAATTATTATTTATATATCTATCTAGAAGGTCATTTCCCAGAGTTTAAAAAGAACCGACTTTTAAATTAAATTTGGTGGTAGGTACACACAAACAAAAAGAATCTTTTGGATCTGTCGATCCGCATTCATCATCATCATCATCATCATCATCATTAGTATAGTCACAACCATCATTATAATATTAGTATTGTCATCATTGATCAATCAACCCATTCCATTACATTAAACTGTTTTTTCTTTGATAAAAGCACAACAACACACTACTATATTGTCATTCTTGTCATTCTTGTCATGCATGACTCTTGTTGTTCTTGTTGCTTTAAAATTATTTTAAAACAAATCTGAATCCAAATCCATCAATCATATCAATCAACTCGACCACATCATGATGATCATTTAACAATAATTAGTCTTTATTTGATTCATGTTGTGGTGCTCTTTCATCTTCTCTCTTTTCCAAGACACCCACTCACTCTCTTCCATCCACATATCCATTCCCAAATAGTTGGTTTGCTCGATTGACGAAGATAATATAACATAACACCTACTACTCCTACTACTCACTGTCTACTACACACTTGATTCTCATTGATCGTCACAATGTGTGTTTTTAAATCGCAAAAAATATTCCATATCGATCCATCCCCCGGGCAATATTAGCATCATGATAGCTCACCTCTCGCGACGATGATAATAATCATTATTTTTGACACCCACTCACCCATCCGTCCACCCATCTATACACTACACCCACACCACCACAACCACCAAATACTCACTGTCTACTTTATGTATAAACGTTTGTTGTTGTTGCGATACAGATAATAATGCTAATGCATCCAACACCAATCCCACTTGATGTTCCATTTTTGTTTGTACATCCATCCATCCATCTATCCTCGCATCGCATCGCATCGCATTTCTGTTGGTTATCCCTAAACGCACACACGCTTTGTTGTTGGTAGCGACCAAACCAGCACATATGTGTACGACGGTTCTAATTAAAATATCAAATATCATAATGATTACATAAGAGAAGAAGAGGAGGGTTCCTCTTGTTTTTTGAATATTTTTTTTTTGTTGAATGCTTCCTTCTATCCATCCTCGTTCCATTAAACTCGTCGCATCGTTTATATAATATTTATTTAATAATTTTTTTATTTCCAGCATCATCAACATCATCATCCATCCATATCCTCCTCCTTTGTCCGAAAAGCTTTTTCCAGTTTTGATTTAATTATCTGGAATCACGATTTACAGTATCTCTCGAGTAAAAAAAGAAAAGAGACAAGAGACAAGAGACAAGAGTAGAATAGACAAACCGACAACTTTTTGTTCCAATCCAAACAACAAAAATCACACAAAGAGTAATTATTATTATTATTATTATTATTATTACTATTACTATTAGTATTATTAGTTGTTGTTGATTAGTTCAAGATCTTTGGGATTGTGTTTCCCCAAAAATCAAAAAAGGTAATCATTCCACAAAATTCCTGGTTTTTTTTTATTATTTTAATTTAAATTAATTGGAACCCATCGCAACGCGATCAATTCCATTCATTCCATGTTTACTTTATGACCATCGCGATCCATATCCGTGTCTATATCTGCCGACTGTCTGTGTGCAACAGCACTCTCTTTGTACATATTTTCACAACCCACACACAGAAGCACCCATATCTCAAATCAAGTAGATGTTTAAAAGTTTATGAAGTTTCTCCTTTTTTTTAAACAACCGTAAAGGTATGTTTTTTGGTTTAGTGGAATAAGAAATTTAACCACAAACATATGATGATTTGTTTATTTTCCCACCACCCCCACTAAACCACTAAACACCACTCTCACACACTGTTGACCAATCAGTCTTTTTTTTTTAAAATAGAACCCATCCAACATTGATAGAACGCATCCTTTTCAATCTCTCACCCCCCCACCCATATCCTGTACACTTAAAATACATTGAACCTCACCCCCATCAATTCAACAGATAAAACTTATGTGTCATCCATCCATCCATCAATCAAAACAAAATTGACTGTTTGTTTGTTTGTTTGTTTGTATGTTGACGTGTGTTTAGAAAAGATGGAATGCTTCCAAATATCCAATCTTTCCTGTTTTTTGTAAAACTCTCTCTTTCAACCATCCATTAGCACACACAATGCATTTATTAACAAGCTAGCAGAGAGAGAGAGAGAGAGAGAGATGAGTAATTGATAATACCAACAATGCAGCAGATCAGAGTCAACACACTCACATACACACCAACGCCCGGCGTTAGTTTGTGAGTGAGTGACAGACACAGTCAGTCTGTCTGTCTGTTAACATTAATGTTCTCACTCTCTTGCCAAAATTCCAAAAGTTAATATATCTGGGAGAAAAGAGAACAGTGTTTTTTAATTTTAATGTTAAAATGATAGAACACCCCCTCACCAGCGTGCTCAATCTGTCAATCGCCCACACGTGTGTGTTGGGGTGGGTGGGTAGTAGTGATATATTAATTAGGTGATGGTGGTGTTATGCTCTTGTTATTGTATTGTTGTTTTATCAGAATTCAGTGATCGATTGATTGATGAGTTATCCAGCACTCTCTCTACTTGCAAAAGAAAGAAAGAAGAATGAATGCTGAAAAAGTCCTTTAAAAATCATCATCACGAACAGACATTCAATGCTGTCACCACCACCACCACCATAATCATCCTACCTCCTCCTCTGGTAAACATAAAAATGATCAGAGACACTTGCCAGTCAGTCGGACGATTTACCATTTAACATTTAAAACAACCAAGTGTAGAATATCATCTTATTTCTATCTTTTATTATGTTGTTGTTATAAACCTACCAGTCACAACTCTTACTTGCCATATTTTTCCAACGCGCGTTGACAAACACCAAACACCAACAACTAGAAACACAAACAAATCATAAAACATAAAACATATCACTTATCCCTACTTGAATTGGTAGATTACCTCCACATCATCATCAATATCAATATCAATATCAATATCAACTCATTTTTACAAAGGTAAATTTTACTTGGCATATATTTGTTTGTTGTTGTTGTTGTAACTCACTGTACCAGTTATCGTGAGTGAGCAAGAGAGGTGGATAGACAGATGCATCGCGGGTTGTATGGATAGATAGATAGATAGATTATGGATAAATGTTTTTGTGAAGAATGTGTCCAGACTACAAATAATTTATAACACGCACACACACACGGACATATCCAGGCAAATCCAAATGATTGTTATCTGCTGTCGATGCATCTAAGACAAATTAAGTTTAAAACTCTTGAATTATGACCTCTACCCATAGTTGGGAAAACTCATTTATGCTCAGTTTTCCATCACCTCCAACACCACCAACACCACCACCACTATCCATCGATATCGTTCATTCCACCAAAACCAAAACCATCGTTTTTAACAAAACAATCATCCATCTTTAATTTGCTTATGGCAACGTCGTTGAAACAAAAGACAGACTTGTGCTGCCAGCAAAGCTAATAGTAATAGTACTACACGATAAAACAGTACTCATTAAGTTGCAACCACCACCACCAACACTCAACCCACAAAACAACAACACTAACGGATGCTGATGATTTAATTAAAATCAATCCAGCTAGCCATAAGTCTATCAATCAATTGATCCTAATTTTTCCATTCCAATTTAAATATTTGTTTTACATTCTTTTTTTTTTATTCCATTTTATTTTATTTTATCCTTTTTTGTTTTACACAATTTAATATCATATAATATAAATACAAAAATCAACTAATTAAACTTTCCATTTCCATTTAGTTTATTTATTTAAATTATCTTCTATTTTTTTTTTTAATTTATTTATTTTTCTAAAAAAAAAAGATAAATTTATTATTTAATATTTAGAGAGAAGAAATGGCAGCTGTAGATAATTCATATATCGATATACACTTGGAATCAATCCAAGAGGAAAATCATTCTTGTAATAATAATAATAATACAAATAATAATAATAGTAGTAGTTGTAGTTCATTCTCAACTCCACCTCTTCCAACTGCAAGAAGAGTTGTTATTCCCAAGGTACCATGCAAGAGAATTGGTAATTACTTAATAGGAAAAACTATTGGTTCTGGAACTAGTAGTAAAGTTAAAATCGGAACTCATGTTATCACTGGAAAACGTGTGGCCGTCAAAATCACAAAACCAAAGCGTGTCAAGGAGAGAAAGGAGATTGAACGTGAAATATCCATCCTCAAGCTCCTCAAGCACAACCATATCATCCAATTGTTTGAAGCCATCTATGAAGAGGATCGTGGACGTATCTGTCTAGTGTTAGAGTACATATCCGGAGGTGAATTGTTTGACTATATCGTCGCCAGAGGCAGACTAAGTGAAAAGGAAGCAAGAAAATTCTTTCGTCAAATTCTAAGTGGACTTATATATTGTCACGAAAACATGGTCTGTCATAGAGATTTGAAATTAGAAAATATTTTAGTTGATGATGAAGGAAATATTAAAATTAGTGGTATGTAATTAGAATGAATCTAAAATAATAATTTAATATCAATTATTTATTTATTTATTTGTTTAGATTTTGGATATAGTAATATTATTAGACCAGGATGTTTAATGTCAACATTTTGTGGATCACCCGTTTACGCACCTCCAGAAATTTTATTGGAAAAGAAATATAATGGTAATGAAGTTGATATTTGGAGTATTGGTGTCATCCTCTACTCAATGGTCACTGGTCAATTACCTTGGAGCCTTACCGATGGTGTCCAAGTAGAAGGTTTGGATAGATTGTTAAAGGGTGAATTTAAATATCCCTCAAATGTTTTATTAACCAATGGTAAGTAAACTAAACCAACAAATAATTAATGATTAGTCCTGAATACTAATATTTATTTATTTATTTATTTATTTCTACTGCAGAGGTAAAAGAATTAATTAATAGAATGATAGTAGCAAATCCAGCTCAAAGAATTAAATTGTCCGAAATTAAAAATCATAGTTGGGTAAACAAGGGTTATGATATGACTCCCGACGACGAATACAATGCCAAGAACCAAAAGAACAATAGTTATAGTAACCCCCTATCAGAATGTGTTGACGAAAACATGCCCATTCTTATCGATGCCGCTCAGAACCGCTACGTCAAGGTATCGAAAAACAGCTCGTTGTACGCCAGCACACCAAATCTCATGCCAAACCTCCCCTCACCAAGAGGAGCCTCCATCTCTGTAAATAGTGCACCTTGTGGAAGCCCGATGTTGAGCGGCTCCAGCTCGCCAACTCTTACCACTCCACCCCTCTCACCCATCGCCATGAACTCATCCACCTCCAACTCTACCATCAGCAGTCCGTCGTCGACCAGCTCGAAAATCAGTCTTTTCCACGGCCTCTTTAAAAAGAAACAACTCACCCGTCTCTCATCGTCCAACAATGGCGCCGACGCTGACCAACAATGCAACAACTGTCCGTCATGCAACAGCAGCACGTCAGCCACCACCTGTCAGTCGTCGACCAGTGCCAACACCACCCCAGGTGGTCCATCATCACCCAAGGGTTCCTCGGGTTCTTCTGGCGCCAGCTCTCCCACCTTTAACTCTTCCTATAATAATTTAGAATTCAACAATAGTCCATCTTCACCATCATCATCAAGTTCAAGTTCAAGTTCAAGCTCGGCTTCATCTGGTAATGGTGGATGTTGTCATCATCAACAGCAACAACAACAACAACAACAACAACAACACAAACAACAAAGAAGATTCAGTCTTGAAGATATCTTTAAGGCCATCAAAGGAAAGAGTAAGAGTAAAACGGAAAAATTGAGAAAAATCAAGGGTCCTTTTACACATGGCACTACCACCTCGCTCTCTCCAGCCGACATTATCATCCAAATCGAAAACTTGTTGCAGTCACTAGGCATCAAATACCAAACCAATGGATTTGTATTTGAATGCAAAAATGAAGATCAAAATGATATAGTCATTTTAGAAATCGAAATATGTAGAGTATCTGGTATGGATTTGTTTGGTCTAAAATTTAGACGAACATGTGGACAATTGAATAGCTACTCGTCAGTTTGTAAATTAGTTATTGAATCTTTACAACTTTAAACAAATAAAATTAAATTGTTTATATACCAATTGTACAATTGTTTGTTTGTCCATTCCATTTATTTATAAGGATTGTTGTTTTTTTTTTGGACCAAAGAATATTTATCTAACTTGTACAAAAAATAATTAAAATACTTTAAAGAATAATTAAATTATTATTAACTTTTATGATAAAGTTTTTATTTGTTTTGTTTTTATTATACATGTAGAATGAATCTATATAATATGGACCATTGGTTAAGGCGAACGTTGGAAAAAAAAAAGAATTCTTTGATAAAAATGATATTGGTATTACTTTTTTTTTTTTTGTTGTTAAGTTTGTTGTTGTTCAAAAAAAAGGCTATTGTTGATATTGAAAAAATAAAATAAACGAACTGTTTAGGTGTTGTCGTGTCCAAACAATCTATCTTTGGATTATAATAAATAAGGTTGGTTTGGGGTAAGTATGTTGTTGTTGTTGTTGGACTAAAATCAATCATTGAGGCCTTTTTTTTTGTTATTATTATTATTATTATTATTGTTGTTTTTGGTATTTTTTGTTTTGTTGAAAATCTAAATATATATAATCATTCCTACGACTATTGTTGCTGCTAAAGTTGTTTGTTGTGATATAATTAATGTGTTGTGTACTACTACTATGTGTATTATGTGGAGGGGGTTTGTTAACAATATTGTTGGTGGACAAATTTAATATTTATAAACAGGGGGATGATAATAATCGGACGGGATGGATGGATGGATGGATGAAATTGATATTGATATTTGTGGTACTACTGCAGTTTAATATAGAAGGTGGAAATGGGTATTGTTGGGGGGGCGACGAACAAACGAACGAGAGGGATGACACGGACGAACGATTGTTTGCTTAAAAGTGTTCAAGAGCTTGACTGAGAATAGTTTGACGGACAGCCTTGAAGACAAACTTGATGTTTTCAGTATCGACGGCACAAGTGGCATGAGTGTAGATGGTACGAGGGGATGGACCTTGTGCGAGGTATTGGGACTGGATAAACATGGCAGCGTCTTTGTACTTGTTTGGACCAGTGTACTCTTGGAAGCAGGATTGGAGTGGGACTCTCTTGAGCTTGTCCTTGAAGAGATCCTTCTTGTTGAGGAAGAGTACGATGGGTGTCTCTTTAAAGTAGTCGCAGTTGACAATCTCCTTGAACAAGGCCAACGACTCTCTGGTACGGTTGACAGTCTCATCTTCACGGAGTACTTGATCATAGTCGGACATGGCAGCCACGAAAATGACGGCAGTGACGCAGTCAAAGCAATGGATCCACTTACGACGTTGACTTCTCTGACCTCCGACATCGACAATCTTGAGACGAATCTTTTCAAAAGTAAACTCTGACTCTTGGATACCAGTGGTTCTGACACGACATCGAAGAACATCTTGTTCATTTGGAATGAAATCATCTTTCATATATCTATCAATATTTTCAAAGAAACTAAATAATAATAGAAAATAATAACAAATTAGTATAAAATATATAGATAAATGGATAATTCATTATAATGGATTGGTCTTACTAGGAAGCTGAATCATTGAGTTGGAAATGTTTATCTTTTTGTGCATATGTATCTTTGATTCCTTTATCATCCCATAGATGTTTAATATCGTCTGCCAATTGTAACCATGATTCATTACCAATAGTTCTACGTAAAATATTTGTTGCTCTTTGCTATAATATAATAATAAAACAATAATATTAATATCAATCTGGAAGATAATACTTTTCATTTCTTTTTTGTAGTCTTACCTTATTTTCTGGTTTATCTAAATCTACACCCAATTTTGCTGATGCTGTTAACAATGCCTCCATTTGACTTATACAATTTGAATATACAAATGCACGATATTCGAGCAATTCTTCTTTGGTGTAACCACCGTCTTCTTGGATGATCTTCATTTGCTTAAAGATTGTTGACTTTCCAGACTCTCCTGGACCCAACAACAATAGTTTGACAAACTTTCTGAGCTTTCTTCTGTCGGTTTCAATCATACGATCAATCTTTGAAGAGGCTTCAGTCTCTTCTGATCCAAAACATTTGAATTTCATTCTTTACTTTTTTGTTTGTTGAGAATATTAATAATGTATTACTACTACTGTTGCTGCTATATATTCTTCTCCTTGTTGTTTAACTATATATGACTATTTATATGTGAACGAGGGTTAGGGTTTGGTTCAAATTAAAGAACAAAATTGAAAAACAAATGCTTTTTTTTTTTTTTTTTTTTTAAAGTCATTTCATGTCTTTAAGCGGTAACATTTGCGAGAGGTGTCGTGAGGTAGAGATGGAGATACATACCTATTTAAAAATATAAATATATTTCCTTTCGCTTTTTTGTTTTGTTTTTGTTTTATATATAAAAAAAATTATATACGAGTGTTCTTGTTGTTATCTAATAATAATAATAATGTAAACAAAAAAGAAGAAGAAGAAGAAGAAGAATGATTGATGATTAGTTAATTAATTTAATATGTGTGTTAATATATATATAGAGATAAAAAAAAATAAAATGAATGTTGCAAAAGAGAAGAGTGTTGTTGTTGTTGGGACAAGAGAGAGAGGAGGAGTAGTGTGGGTTTGGTGGGGTGGATTGCGATGAGATATATTTATCTTTTTTTTTTTTTTTTTACTTTAACAAACACACTACCTACTAAACTAAACTAAAACTATATACTTTTTGTCTTGTGTGCCTGTGACGACTCGAATAATAATAATAATGCTTATTGTACAGATGTAAATATAAATAACTATACTTCAAGATTTGTACTATATAATACTATTTCTCGTTGTATGTACGATGTGAATGAAGATTGGTATATGACGATGATGATGATGATGAGATGAAGTGAAATATATTTATATATTCTAGATCGCTTCTAACTACTACTATTGGTACAAGTATCTGTTGTTACTAACTACTACTACTATTACTGCTACTGATTTGTTTTGTGTTTTGTTGGTTAAGCTCTATTTGTTTAATTAGAGGCGACGAGGAAAGTGAGAGGAGAAAGGGTAGAGAGAGGAGAACAGAAAAAAAAAACACAGAGAAGATAAAAAAGATAGAGATCCACTTTGATGGTTTAGAATTATTTAAAATTTGCTGCCTTGATCACTCTCTATGCCCCCATCCACGATCGGCAAACTCAGTTTCAAAGACGACCCCCATGATTCCAAAGCTGCAAATGTAAAAAAAACAAGAAAAATGGTATGGTGGGACGAGATCGCCCTCCCCAAACTTTGGCTAAAACAGTGTCTGATGACAACGACAAAGACGAGATTTGTTTTATGTGAAAGTCGAGTTCAGATAGATTTGACAAAACAAGGTTTTTCTGATTGGCCTTTTGGCTGCGAGGAACCGCAAGCGCTATAGAGGGGGAGGGTTGGCAGAACAGAAAAACCGTCGCTCAACCTCTACGTGTAGTGTTGGTATTCGGCCTTAACCGGTTTTGTTCGATAGATATTCTAGGTGTTGATGGGCACCCAATAACAATGACCTCCCCCACCCACTCCTGAAACTAGGGTGCTCCCAGCTTATAGTGATTAATCACCATCAAACACCCAAAATAACTATAGGGATAGTTAGGCTATCTCCCTCTGAGATTGCCCCATTTAAATCTACTCTTCTTCTTTAAATACCATCAGTACTGGAGGTGTGTGTGTGTTGACATCAACGAATTGGTACTTTGAATTTAAAGATAAAGATAGATTGATGGCCAAATACAGTTGATTGGGTGTGACTGTTGTTGTCTTGATAGGGTTTCTAGAACCCAACAGCATTTAATTAATTTAGTGTGTTGGAGGTTGAAAGGGTGATCGATGGTGGATGGGTGTTGTTGGGCTATTGTTTTCGCAATCGCTAAACCGTTGGACAAGACTAAAAAAAACGAGTTGGATCATATCTTTGCAGGAGTGATGATGGTGGGGTGGAAAATTTTCTAACAACACAACAAAAGAAAACTATTATTATTATTATTATTATTATTATTATTTACATACCTTTTTTTGGTTAATACTTTTAATCCTGGGTTGGTTAATTCTTCTTGGTTTGGTTTGATTTGGTTGGGGGTAATGGAAAATAATACAATGTTATAAATATATATATATGATTCTAAATCCTTTTTGGTTTTACAATGATATAAATAAATTAGAATAAATTAGAATAAATAAGATTAATTATTAAATAAATAAATAAATTAGAATAAATAGTGGATGGCGCGGGAATGGTTTGGAGGAGGGGGGTGGTGATGTGGAACAGTACTGTTTAATTTATAAAAGGAAAGTAATAATTTTAATGTAATGGAATTTGATTGATAAAAATAATAATAATAATAAATAAGAGTAGGGACGAAAACTAATTATTTGATTTGATTGATTGATTAGAGAGTGAGGTAGTTGGTTTGTTTGATTAATTGAACAATTGGTTTTGGTAGGTAGGTAGGTAGGAGGGTGTTTTGTTTGTTGCAGCTGCTGTTCAATGTTTTAAAAAAAAAAAATGTTTGTTTCTCTTTCTCTACAGATTTTTTGGTTGTTGTTGTGATGGTTAATATTGTAGTTTGAGTGGGGAGCAACAATATGTGAACAATTGTTGTGTGTGTGTGTGTCTTGTTGATCTCCTCTTTTCCCTGTTTCTTTAATGATCACAATTTAATTTAAATTTGGAAATGGATGCGTTAGGAAATGGTGATTTTGCAAATCGATCCCTCCCTAACCACCCTTCCTCTTCTTCCACCTCTTCCACACAAATCTTTTTGGATGGTGGTAGTTGATTGTTTTTGTTTGAGCAGTACACACACATACAAACACACACGATCCTCTGCTCCTCTCCTCCCACCATTGTCAAGTTAAAATCAAATGTGGTGTTGTTGTTGATTGAAAGTGAGTGAACAAAGAGGTGCATACCATCATCATGTGGATGTTTGTTTGTTTGTTGCCAACGATAATATATCCAGTTGTGTGTCTGTGTGGGTGTGAGGTGATGTTGGTGACAAAACATATAGAATAGATAGTTCAACGCACAACAACATCAACAACAACAACAAGCGAGTATTGATGTTGGATTTGGGATCCAAACAGGCAATTGTGTGGTTGACAGGTTGCCTTCCAGAAGAATAATAATAATAATAATAATAATAATAATAATAATAAATCATTAAACATGACAGTGAGACAAGATTGTGATGTTGTGATGAAAGAGATGTAGAGGAGAACAACAACAGCAACAACTAATAGTTTGCAGATGTTCAAAAAATGATAAACAGGGATCAACTCTTTGGGAATGATGGATGGTGACTGTGTGTGTCTGTGAGTTTAGTTTTAAAACGAGTTCACTGATTTCCGTTCCAATGTCTTTATGTATGATTACATCATTTATATAATGGAAATGGATGGATAGTGGAACACCACCATGCTAGCTAATTCATGCACGCGTGTGTATGCGTGTGGGGCAGATTGGATTGAATTGGAATAGTGGTTTGGTGGTATTGTCATTGTAGATCCAGTTTTAAAATAGACAATATGATGTGAGGAAGGGATGATGAATTGACAACCAACCAAGCAAAGCAGATCATCCATAAAAAAAAAGAAAAAGACGATATGACAGGTTAACCCTCCCTTTTAATGATGATGATGTTTTGATGATATGATATGGGTTGATTGCTACTGGTATAATTGATCTTCATGTATGCTTTAATTTCCTTTTTCAATTTAGCTCTTTCTTCTCCACTTGCCTTTTTCAAATCAATCTTTAAATATTATTATTATTTGTTTGTTTGTTGGTTTGTGATGAAGAGAAAGTAAAGTAAGACGATGATGATGAGGGGTAGCAGACACACATATTAAAAAAAAACAAATGGTTTTAAAAAAGGGGGGTGTGACGGGAGGCACCAAAATCATCGCAACTCGCCGTTCTACTTTAGTTTAGTTTGAAACAAACCACCCAACAACCTCTTTGCGTCTTTTCACATCATCCTTTTGATGGATAAAAGAGAGGATATTTCTAACCATCAATCAAATAACAACACCAACAACAACAATAGTAGTGCCGTGAAAAGAGTATAGAGGATAGAGGAGAGTAGAAGAGATCAACTGATCATTCGATTCATCATTGCAAAGGTAATAACTTTTACTTACTTGAAAATTTGTACAAGTGTCTGGTCTGGGTGAGTTAAACTCTAAAGTTGTTGTTATTATTGTTGGTTGGTTGATTATAAATATACAAATTATGACTGGTCAAGTTGTCAGGTAATGAAATAATTAAACACGAAAGATGATGATGATGATTATTGTTCTAAATCGAAATCATAAAGCTCTTCTCTTCTCTCCTCTCACTTTCTAAAATGCAGTTGTGAATTGATTTGAATTAAATGGTTTTATTTTGTTTGGATGTTGCTCATTCAATCTCCTTGTACACCACTACCTCCTCTTCTCCTCCTCCTCCCTCTCTACGTACGCAAGTATTATTGCCTCTCGTTCATGCAGTTTAATAGTAGCAGCACCAGTCTCTCTTGTTGTTGTTACTTTACAAGAAGGTGATAAAGGGATTCATTCATCTACTGGTCACAGGTCGAATCACAGTTGATGAGCCGATGATCTCCAACGCTTGCTACAACTACAACAAAACAATTGTAGTATACTGCGCTGTGCTGTATCCCTTGTATGGGTATTTGGTAAACAAACAAACATCCACGATAGTGTGTGTTGTGTGTGTAAGAGAGAGATCGAAAAGAAAAGTACTTGTGATGGTGTGGTCGATCACACCCACAATCTTGAAAAGCAACCAAGGTTATATTTAGCACAATTGTGGGTGGTGTGTGTTTAATTTAAAAACAAAAATCGGGGAGTCGATGCGGTACCTAAACCCCAAGCTACACACAATCAATCAAAGAGGCAAAGGTACCCGATATTCTCCAACCAACCGCCACCTGGCCAATGACAGCTATAATCCATGTGACATTTATTTATTCAGTGGCCACCAACAAAACGATCGGCGCGTCTGGCAATACTGAAGACTAACGATTGAAATCAACCTGTATCATTGAGGTTCCTGAAGGAGAGCTGCATAAGAAAAAGGGGGTATTAATACATGATGGCGCAGATCAAAAGAAAAAGGACATGAAATGTATCAACCATGGATCCTTTATAAGAAGGATAATCAATGGGATTCCCATTCATTTGAAGGGGTAGAGTAATATCTAGCCAGAGAGAGTTGATAAAATACAAAAGATAGATAGGTAGGTTGTTCCAATCAAATGAATCAAAACTGTTGTACAATTTTGATCTATTGATAGCATAGATTAAATCTAGGTAACTCATAGTTGGCAAAGAATCTGATCAATTATTATCCAATTCTCTTAAGAGTCGATAAATATATTGTCCACGACAACAGGCCATGTTGTAGCCCCATCAATCAAACAATCAATCAACATTCAATCGGATAAACCAAATCTTTTTTTAACCCACGGTATTCATGGGGATTTATCAGATCATCGATTGAGTTGGAGTTGAATTGGTGATGAATATCCCATTCCCAGATACGACAACTAAATATTTAACTCTCTCTCTTTTGTTGTTTGTTTTGTTTGTTTTGGTTGTTGTTCTTGTTGTAATCGTTTCAACGAAACCATATGTTCAATGTGTCATATTTAACCACAATAATTCTTTTACTTTGTGTATATCTATTTTGTTTGTTTGTATAGTTATTTGGGATCTAAAAACAGAACTCTGCTAGCAAAGCACCGTTTTGAGTTGGCGGTTCTTTTTCAAAAAAAAGAAAAATATGATGATTTTTAGGTTTGAAGGAAAGATCTGATGCATCTATTGTTTCGTCGATAGAACGTCTTTCAAACAACGGAAAGAAAAAGGCAGAATCGGCTGATTTTGATGGGAAACCTCCGTGTTGGATTGTGTGCTTTGTGGATTCATGAATCTGTTTTGGTGTACGTCTATGTACTATGGTACCCGCGTGCTTTTTGTGGGGGTGGAGGCCATGCGATGATGTTCTAGATGTGATATCGCCGAATTTGAGAAAAGAGAGGGGGGTGAGTCCCTCTTGCTTGCCTTTGTGTCTAGCTAGCTAGCTAGTACTATTCTCTTTCTCTGATCTAATCTTAAGATAGTACTTTCTTCTTCTTCTTCTTCTTATCCTCCCTGTGTACTGTACTGATGTATGCATCATAACATAATAATATAACTGACAACAAAACAAAAGAGAGCTAGGTAAGGTACCAGAACAAAACAACAAGAGTTTAATATTATTATTTCAAGCAAATTATAAATTAATTTACGACGACGACGACGATACAGAGACTTATCCTCCTCCCTTCCTCATTCCTCCCTTCCTTCATATCACATTTTTTTAATATTGATATCAAACCTAACCCACTCCCAACCAATTCACATTTCATTGTACAATTATTGATCTGATCAGATAATAATAATAATAATAATAATAATAACAACACAATTCAATTGTATATCTACCCTTTAAAGTCGTCATCCCACTGCTCTGTACATTCATTCATCATTCATCCATTCATTCACACAACACCACCCAAAAATCTAATTTAACCCAAGAGAGATACAACCATTTATTTTACACTTGATATCATCATCATCATCCATCATCATATCCATTCATTCATTTCATCTAATTCAAAAAAAGACAGTTCTTTCAAATAGATAGATAGATAGATAGAGAGTAGAGAGTAGAGTTATAACTTGACTTGACTTTAAGTAAGTAGTCATTCTTGGACATGCATGCATAGATTATCTGCGCACCCTCCTCCACTTTCATTCAAACCAAAAGATATTTGGTCGACCATTTTTAGCAAAAAAAAAATTCAAAAAATTCAAAAAAATCACAACGCGATGAACAAATCATGGTAGCCTGAAAAAGAAACCCTCCTATTCTTTTGTTCGAGGTTGTTTGTTGTAATCATAGTAGTAGAATAGAAAGTAGAACAATTGTACAAGTTAATCTGATAATATACCAAAATAGAACAATCTTATTTGTTTATGTACATAGTAGCTCCATCATTTTCAACCAAAACAACAACCATTCAACTACAACAACAACAACTACAGTAACAAAGTTTTCATTGAATGTGCAATTAGTAACTGCAAAAATCAGAAAAAAAAGTAATATTTTACTCTTCAAAAGCAACAACAAAAAAGAAAAGAGGATTGTCAATTTTGTTAAATTAGACGAATGACAGACACACAAAGATAAAGAGACACAAGCGATAACTACGACTATCACCGATATATATATATATATATATATATATATATATATAATCACGACACATAGATACATACAAACAAATATACGTCTATCAACAACATCATATCAACCTTTTTTCAAGTTCCCTTCAAACACACAAAAAGATTATTTTAAAACTTAAACTTACACTATACATTTAATCATTGTTATTATCTAGAGAAACTAAATCAAATATTTAGGGATCAAATAAATAACAACACAATAACAATAACAATAACAACATACAAGTAACAGGGAATTATTTATTTATTTATTATTATTATTATTATTATTATATTTTTTTGTATTATAAACAACCCAACATCATTAACAACAGCAATAATAACATTACATTACATTGCATAATCTTTTCCCCCCAACAACAACAACAACATCTTTTCAACCAAATAATAATTTTAATAATAATAATTTACTATAGTAAAACTACTTTGAATAATAATAATAATAATGACAGATTCAAAAGTTGAACCAATTGTTGTATTACAATATGAACACTTACCCGAGTATCGAGTGGTGAATCTAAAGAGTAGTACACAGAGCATTCAAGTCGATGGCGATACAGATGAACCATTCCTATCGACTAGATCAGTATCGACCTATCCTTTGTTGCCAGGCGGCGAAAAGGACGGAGACCCCATAGCAGATAAGCTATTTGTGCAAGTGCATAGAAACCGCGCCATCTTGGCGATTGCCGACGGGTGCAATTGGGGCAAGCGTCCCGCCATGGCCGCACGCGACGCCATAGCCGCCTTTGCCAACTACTTTAATACACGACAAGACGACATCCAGACACTACAAGACGCCGGCCACTTTTTGCTGCGTGCCTTTTGCGAGGCTCATAATAAGATTGTCGAGGGCAAGGACCTCTGGGAGGCCGGCACCACGACACTGCTTGGCGGATTGGTGCTCGAGCTCGAGGACGCCGCCGGCCAGACCAAGTGGGGCTTTTTGTGTGCCAGTGTCGGCGACTGCAAGGCATTTTTAGTATCGATGCGTAACCGCGAGGCGACCGACGTCACCAATGGCAATCGTTGCAATCTCAGCGACACTCGTGACCCTGGAGGTCGTCTCGGCCCCTATGTCGGCCAGGGATGGCCCGACCTTCGTAACCTCAAGCTCTATTTTACAACGTGCGAAGAGAATGATATCGCTTTGATCGTGTCGGACGGCGTGCACGACAACCTCGACCCCATCATGCTCGGCAAGGTGCCGACAGAGCTGGGCGTCGATGCCAGCGGGTGGGAGGAGTTACAACAGGACGATTTATTGCGTGCAAAGACTCAGTTTATGAAAAAGTTATTGGAAGAGATTGTATTTAGCTCCACCAGTGCCGGTGGCAAACCCAACCCTTCCGACATTACACAAAAATTAATAGAGCACTGCAGTCAGGTCACACATCGCGCCAGAGATTTTATGGAAAAGTTCCCAAACAAAAAACAACCAAACGATTATCGAGAGTATCCTGGTAAAATGGATCATACTACTTGTGTAACTTTTCAAATTGGTCGTTCAAAATAAATAATATAAATAAAACAAAACAAAACAATTAATAATAACATTACTTTTTTTAAAAAAAAAAAAACAAAAACAAAACAACAATCAATTATTTTATTTGTTTGTTGTTATATACAAGTATGTGTGACTATGTACAAAAAGTTTTGATTTCTTTTTTATTTGTTATTATTTTTGTTTTTTTTCCTATCTATGAAAATAACATTTAAAACATCTAGTTTCATTAAATAATGGTCTACTAATAAATTTGATTTGTCCCAATGCGAAACCGTAATCACCGGATTTGAAAGGAAGTGGATCGGTCAATGAATAGGAACGTTCAATGGTTTTGTTGTTGGATCCAGGAATAAGTTCTTTGATGGCATGTTTTTTGATGTATGGTATGTCTAAATCCAAATCATTGGTAAATAGAGTTGGATCGGTGATGGAGATGATCAATGTTTTGATATTGACCAATGGAGTGATTTGTTCAAAAACTGCTGTCAGTTTGGCGATACATTCTTTTAGGTGACCAGAAAATTCACCTGTCAATTCAATTGTATGAAGAGTCTTGCTCTCTCCAAGCGCTGTATAATTGTTCCATCTAGTGATACACAATACTTCTAGTTTGGTATCTGCGTGCAATAAATACTGTTTAAAGAGTTCGAGTAGTGTGGTTGTCTTTTGTACTTGATGTCCATTTTCTTCGACGAGGTGTTGAATGAACATTTCTAATCGAGTGCTGTTATTGTCGAAACCAAGCACACGAAGATCCTTGAATTTCTTGAGCGAGTCGGTCAAGCCAGACGACTCGGATAGGTTTCTCAACTTGAGCGAGGTGAGGTTGGTGTTGCGCAGGTCGCTGGGTGTACAGTGGACGCCAAAGATTTTGAGTTTCTTGATGCTGATCAGATCGTTGCATGAGTGTGGCGACATGCGGATGGCAGTGAACGAGGTGAGACTGGGCAGGTTGGCCACCTTGGGCATCAGGTAGGTCGAGCCAGGTCCCTTGGCAAGTGTCAGACTGGTGAGATTAGCAAAGACCTGCTTGTAGTCTGGACCGGCAGCGTCGAGCACCTGGCCAAAATCCTTGTCGATGATGCGCAGCTTGACAATATTCTTGATCGACGAGAATGGGTGTTTGAGGTGCTGATACAACTTGCACTTGTTGTCCGTGTAGGCATTGTACACGTGTGCGTAGCAGAGATCGAGCTGTGTAAACAGAGTCGACACGTACTTGTAAAACTCTTTCGAGATGAGCATCAGCGACAACTGGCGACGGAACGCAAAGCGTTCTTCGGCAGGCTCGCTCGGCACCTGCAATCGCCAGCAGTATGTCAATATCTTGATGATCGTGTATGGCGGCAACGAATACTGCACCGTGCCACGGTGGTACCCGTCCATCTCCTTTTTGGCCTGCTCTTCGGCACGCATCTTGACTTGAAACTCGACAAACGCGCCTACAATGTCTGCCTTTTTCGTGCGACCCGTCAGCTTGACGTTGAACGCCTTGCACAGGTTCTTGAGCGTCGCAACAGTCATCTTGGTGAGCTCTGGCACGGTCAGCTCCAAGTATGTTGGGTACTGCTCCCTCAACCTTTTCAAACTATCGTCCAGCTCTTGTTGAGATTGTCTCACAATACCCGGGCGCAGTGCCATACCCGCATGCATAAAGTTGTTCCAAAACACCGTGTTGTGCAAATGATCATCATCAGTATCAGAGTCTGAATATTCATCTGAATCAGAGGAATCATATCCTATACCATCTCCAAAAAAGTATTGTAGAAATTGACCTCCAACAGTACTATCGTCACTATCATCATCACTATCATAAAACATTTTTCTTTCTTCTTCTTGTTTGTTTTACTATACTATTACTATTACTATTACTATTATCTATATTTGTAAATGCATCGGTATCTATCTATCTATAATCTAAAAAACAAAAGATAATGAAACTTTTAGTTCAAACCCCTCTCATAGACATCAATTAATTAAAATGTTTTGCCAAAAAAGGTATGTGAGAGTTTGAAACTTTGGATATTTGGTGTAACAAACTCAAATAATTAAAACAATATAATGTGAAGTAATCCTGTACATCTCTTTTGATTTATTTATTTTTTCTGTGGAGAGTTTTTTTTCTTTCTTAGAGAGAATGGTTTTGGAGGGGAAATTGGTTGAGGAAGAGAGGAGATTTCTGTTTCCGTTGCTTTTGTAGGTGTTGAAACTACAGTTGGTGGCTGAGGATTTACTGGTGATGGAGTATCTATAGTTGGTATTGGGTTTGCAACTACTGTAGTTTCAACAGCAGAAGTGGCAGGAGTTGGTTTGGATTGTTTCTTGGGAGTTGGTTTTGCCTTTTTCTTTTCTTGTTTGACCTCTTTTTCCTCTTCTTCTTTTTCTTCATTCTCTTTTTCCTCTGCCTTTCTTTTAATATCTTTCTTTTGTGTATCGATTTCCATTGGTTTGACATTGTTGTTATTTGTTGTTGTTGTAGAGGTGGTGGAAGTGGTGGAAGTGAACAAGTCGGAAAAAGTTAACTTCGGAGCTTGGCTGGTCAAAGTTACAGGAGTTGAGGGAGAGTTGCGGTCAAAGAAAGTAATCTCGCTCAAATCTATGGCACGAGGAGGAGGAGTAGAGGTAGCAACAGGAGAAGCGGTATTTGAATCTAATTGGAATTGTGGATTTGGTATCTTTGTCAAGAATATCTTGTAGACTAATCCGTTTGCAAGAACAGAGTTGATGGTTGGTTTGATTCCATTGATCTCCCAAATACCGCACTCGGCAGACTTCATGTTATAATCAGATATATTCTTTTTGATGGTGGCAAGACCTTTGTCTTCGGACGCGCAGATGGTCAGTTTGGTGGCATCTCGGAGGTTTTCCATTTGTTCGAGTAGGTCTGTGATTTTGGTGAGCGTGTGGGTGATCTCAATCGACTTGATCCGCTCCATACCCTTGGTGACGGGTTTGGCCGCGGTCGAGAGGAAAAAGTTGAGTGTGAGACTGATATGGGAGATGGACGGGATACTAAATATCTTTGTGCATTCTGGCTGAGGGATATGCGATTGGAAGGCAATACCGAGGCTGGTGAGACTGCGCATCTCGCCCAATCGGTCTCCCAACGTGCCCTTCTCATTCGCGTCGTAGTCGCGCACATGCACACTGTGCATCTTGCGCATACACTGGAATCGGCGGCCGATCGGGATGTTGATCTTGACATTGGCGGGGTCGGGGATCGTGAGGTATCGGACCAGCTCCTTTTGACTGGGTGTCGACCGGATGACCAACACTGACAGCAGCGGCATCGACTGGTCGATATGCGCAAACAACTTGATCGTAAACGCCACGTTGGGTGCGACCAGCTTGGTGACGGCGGGGAAGTTGAGCGACACACGCAGCTGCACCGCCGGCATGAGGAGGGGTGCGTCTGTCTTGTGCAGTGTCAACGACTGCACGGTCTCAAACATGGCCATGTTCCCCTTTCCTCGGGTGAGACTCTGCATGTCACGTTCGTACATATCAAGCTTGGTGATACGACGAACCGGGTTGTACGGACTGTTGAGATGTGCCATCTCGTCGAGCATCGGGTCTCTCGACTCGTACAAATACACACGACGATACGTCGCAAATGAAACAGCCGTGTTGAGATGCTCGCTAACGAACCTAAACATCTCTTTGGACACTATTGCAAGTCCCAGACGCCACCGATGATTCGTCCAAGCCAACTCTGCATCACCCACATACGGACGGTGCCACGCATACCTTAATATCCTTTTAATCACATCCAATGGCAGACTATAGTCACTATACTCTTCTGGAGGACTATCTGCCAAAAATGATTTGCCCGTATATGGTTCCAGTTGTAACAGTCTGTCTCTATGCATATCTTTGGTGACAATCTCGACATAGGTTTTGTTCACTACCGTAGTGCCATTTGGATCCGTCTCCACTACGGGGACAGTTGTTTGGTTGAGTATGTGAAAGTGTTCGATGAGCATTTGGATGAGATCCTCCTTTTGCGCGCCAATAGGGACCACCAACTTGTGTTGTTTTGCCAACTTGACCATGTTTTCATAATCCAATGCCATGCGATACTTTGTTTGACACGATGCCAAATCATACAAGTCGAAATCAAATCGACTAAACGAAGAGAGGAATTCTACCAGTCCCTTTGGAGTTACCTTTCCATCAGGATTGCTAGTTTGTTGTGCACGGTCTGGATCCAAGTAAATGTCATGATTCTTTTGTAAAGAATTGAAAATACCATTCTCTTCATCATCATCATCACTACTACCACTTGAACTTGAATCACAATCCATTACATTGTTTTCATTGTTGTTATTGTCATCATCATCATCATCATCACTACTACTACTAATACCTTGATAATCCACCGATTTAATCTTTGGTAAAAATGATTCCATAGTTATCATATCTTTCTGTCTATCTTCTTATATATAGGTATATCTATATATCTATCTATCTATCTACTATCTACTCTACTCTATCTATCTATCTATTTGTACATGTGCATGTATAATATATATGTGCACCTAGAATGTAATTGAAATGAAATGAAGTTGAACCTCAACTTACTTGACGCAATTTCCAATTTTGGGTATAAAAAAAAAAAAAAAAAAAAGAACTTATATATGTATGTATTATTAATTATAAAATTGGTATTAAGAGATTTATTATTTGTTGTTGTTGATTTTAATATTTTAGTTGGCTTCAGCTTCAGCACCTGCAGCCTTGATCTTGGCGCAAATCTTATCGGCTTCTTCCTTTGATACTTTTTCGGCAATGACTGATGGTAATTTTTCAACCAATCCCTTGGTTTCCATCAAACTGAGAGATGGCTTAATCTCTCTCAATTCCTTAATAATCTTGTATTTGGCTCCTTCTGGAACCTTGACCAAACGAACTTGGAATTCTGATTTTGGTGGAGCGGCGGCGGCAGCTGGGGCAGCGGCAGCGGCTGGTGCACCACCTCCTCCAAGGTTGCTCATATCAATATCTGGAATACCTAATCTGGTCTATAAATTATAATAATTATTTTGAATGATTAGTAAAAAAGAAGAAGAAGAAATATATATATTGTTTTAACAAATGGACATGAATCGTCTTCAAAACGAATCAGTCAATGAGCCAACTTAACACCAATCATCAACCAGGCCAACCACCAATTTTACATCTTTACATGTATCCATCCATCATTCTATTCTATTCAAACATTTCACAAATTAAAACATATTCATTCCCTATTGTGTAAATTATTATTATCTGATCGCAGTTGGTGGGTGGGTTGAGTTGATTGATTGATTCGTTTTTTTGATGCAATGATGATGATCGCCATCATGAGTCCGCCTATCATATTCCATTTGTTGTTTTTTCATCTATCTGATAGAGTCTACATACTTGAAGCAATTGAGTCAATTCAATAACCTCTAATAAACTTAACTTTTCAATCTTTGAAACGACTTCTTCGACTTGAGCAGAGTGTAATTTGCCTGGTGTTGGTGGGAGGACATCAACCTTTACATCTGTAGAAAAGGATCTGTTGTTGATGTAGCTATTTGCACAGTTGTAAACAGCTGGAGTATATGATGGTTTGCTGATGTTGATGCATCTATAATATTATATAATATTGTAACTTTTTGATTAATTTCCGTATTGTAACAAGTCATCATCATTTTTAGTGTAGGTGTGCAGTCGTAGCAGTAGTAGTGATCTGTTAATTCATTCATTCATTCCAACAACGATCATTTCTATCTATATTACTACTCCTACTACTACTACTAATACTACGACTACACAAACCATATGATCGATCGAAATGAAATGCATGATATATACCTTGCAGAGTTGTGTGAAACGAGTCTAAGTGATCTGGCAAACATTTTGTTGATTATTATTATATTATGGAGAAGAGAATACTATCACTGTCACAGTTGCGCTAAAGTTGGTGTGTTCGTTTCTACTTTATACTATAATACTACAATAGATTGTTGATGATGAGGGCTCACTCATTCGACTGTGCACTCTCATTGTGAATGATCATTCGTCAAAAAAAAAAATTATAAAAAAAAAAATCAAAAAATTCAAGAAACGAGCCAGCTTGGTATCTATGTTTATTTACTTCATCACTCTTGTTTAATTGATTCTATAGTTGTAGTTGTAGTTGTATTTGTTATAGGTTCAACTTTTGATATTTCCTCTTCACTATCACTGCAGCTGCTGCTATCTTGTGAAGAAGAATTAGTAGAATCGGAATCAGAGTTAGAGTCAGAGGAAGAGGAAGAATTAGAGTCATCCTCTTCCATTTGAAGATCTTTTTCTCTAATTGTATTGGCCAAATGTCTTATAATTTGAAGTACAACATTTCTTTCTGCAGATATTTCTCTTTCAAACAACTTTGCATAAAGAGAGTTGGAAAATTTCTTTTGATTATTTTGTTGTTGTTGTTGGTTAGTATTATTTTTTCTATTATTATTATTATTACTATTGTTATTATTATTTTTGTTTTTGTTGTTGTTATTGTTGTTATTAACTATAGATTGTTGTTGGTTATTAATTTGTTGTTGTAAAATAGTATTTTTTTGAACTTGGATTTGATCTTTGATTTGTTGTTCTTTTTCCAAATCAATATTTGTAGACTCTTTAAAATGTTCCATTGTTGATGGTTCCTCTTGTATTTCATCTCCATCACCATCTTCTCCAACTTGTCCTTCCCCATGTTCAATTTCCATTCTTGTTGTTGTTGTTGTTGTTTTTAGAGGTTCGGTGGTGGTAGTAGTAGTAGTAGAGGCTATTAAATCTACTCCCTCCACAGGTGCAGAAGTAATTCCATTTCCATTTTTATCTATATTATCGGTATTATTATTATTATTATTATTATTTACATTTGAGTCGGTTGTTTTTGTTGTTGTTGTTGCAATAGTAGTAGTATCAGATCCCATACCATTTCCAGTTACAGTTTCATTTTCCACTTTTACTTTTTTTAATGGTTGTTCCAAGTTATTATTTCCAGTTGGTTTACTACTATTATTATTATTATTATTATTATTATTATTATTATTATTATTATTATTATTATTATTATTATTTTTATTATTTTGGTTATTTCTATTATTATTATTATTGTTCTTATTATTATTATTATTATTATTATTTCTTTTATTTTTATTATTTTGATTATTATTTCTCTGTTTATGTTTTGGATCTTGATGATCAGTCATTTCACCTCTTTGTTTTGCTTCCTCTGCCATTTTCTTTCTCAAGTCAATGTTTTCTTTTGATGGGTATCGTTTTCGTCTCTCTTCGAGATACCGTTCGATATCCTCTGGTGTCTCCTTTATCTTGATTTCTTTGAGTCGTTGATTAAACAATTTGATTCGTCTCATTTCCTCCTTTTCGTTGATTCCGTCTTCATCAATATCAACCTCTTCTTCCTCACTTTCATCCCCTTTTCTTTTTCTTTTTGGTTGGTTCTTGTTATTGTTATTGTTATTATTATTATTATTATTTGTCGTAGTAGTAGTAGTATTCGCGGTGGTAGTAGTAGATTGTTGTCCATTATCATTATTATTATTATTTCTTTGGTTTCCTCCACCTCCACCTCGACCTCCTCTTCCACCTCGTCCTCTTCCTCCTCGTCCGCCTCTCCCACCTCTACCATTGCTATTATTATGTCCATTAACTTGTTGTTGTTGTAAATTAGCAGGTTGTTCTGATGGTGTCACGGCAACAGGAGTAGTAGTAGTAGTAGTCTTCTGTTGTGACACGACGGTGGTCGTCGGAATAGTAGGAGCTACTACCTTTGTCGCAGTAGTAGACGGTTGTTGTTGTTGTTGTCGACTACTCGCATATCCTATAAGGTCAGACAGATCCATCGTTGATTACTATTCTACTATCTATCTGTTTCTAAACCAATTAATTAATTAATTAGTGGTTCGTTCGAGAATATATGCCGACAACGAATGAAAACGACAGATTGCAGCGATTGCAGTTGCACCAACTTCACATTCATTTTTGAATTTGTTTTAAAACATAGATATATAAATCAATCAATATATATATAAATATAAGTAATAAGATGTTCACTAGATCATTATTCAGCAAAGTTGGTAAATTATCAACTACATACTCTAGATCATATGCTTCACAAACTTTAGAAGCATCAAACTTTAAGGATTTCCTCAAGAACAATAAGAATGTTGTTGTAGACTTTTATGCCGAGTAGGTACATTCACTTACAATAGATAGATGGATATACAGTCTATCTACATCGCTCACTATTACAAGAACAGTTCTAACCACAATATATGATATTTTAATCAATCAATCTCATCAAATTAGTTGGTGCGGTCCATGCAGACAAATGGCTCCAAAGTTTGAAGATGTTTCAAATAACGTTGACAACAAACACATTGCCTTTGGTAAACTTGATATCGATTCTGCCAACGATATTGCTGCTGAATATGACGTATGATTGATTGATACAGATAGACAGATAGATAGATTAACCATGAATCATCATGATCATGCTTCAATAGAGAATATATAGGACTAATATTACTTACTATTATGACATACATCAATTCAGATTGCATCCATTCCATTACTCATTCTCTTTGAAAACGGACAAGTCAAGTCCAAGTTGGTTGGTAGTCAAAACGCTATCAATATCCAAAAGTTTATTAACCAAATCCCAAAGAATTAAATATACTATTAATAATAATAATAATAATACATACACACATGTACCGAATAACCAATCATAGGTGAGGTTGATCAACACACTATTTATTTTGATTGCACAAACCTGACGACAGATATATCCAACAACAAATTAAAACCTTGGATCCCCTCCAAACATGGAGATCGTCTGTGATCCTTGACACAGACTACAATACTACTATTTTTCCTTCATTTGAATTCATTTAATTTAAATATATATATCTCAATACATTCATCCAATTATGAGTACAGAAACAATTAAAACCAAAAAATGATTATTTAAATTCATCTTATTTTTTTTGGTTTCAATGATTCGAATCATTATTTATTATACATTTGTGTAATTTAAATTATATGTACATTTTATCTTTTAAAGTAGTATAATGAGTAGTAGTTCACTCTCCTCGGGAGGAGGAGGAGGAAGAGGAAGCAGCGGCAATAGAAACAAAAATAAGGACAACCGAAGAGATCGAGATAGATCATCGTCATCATCTGATGTAATGTTAATATGATTGGGTAAACATGATGAATCATAATATTAACTTCAAGTCTTTGTTTCTTTCTTAAAGGATAATAATAATGCAACTCCACCTCCAAAGTTATTGACCAAGTCAAAGGTTGCAACAACATCATCGTCACCGATAAGTAGTGGGACACCGACTACCACTCCAGGAGTTCAACTGTTATCAAAGAAATCTGTTACTCCTACAACTCCAACATCTTCTTCATCTTTATCAACTCCATCATCTTCAACATCGTCATCAACATCATCATTTAATATTAAAAAAAGAGAGAGTATTGATAATAATGTGAATGGAGTTGCTGGTAGTAGTGGATATCCAACAACACCTGTTACATCTCCTATATCATCTACAAAAGTAGTATCTCCAACAACCAAAGAAGAAACAAGTTCACCTCAATATCCTCACTATCAACATCATCATCATCAAAAAATACAACAACAACATCAACAACAACAACAACAATCACCATTACTACAACCACAAAATGATTATTCACCAAATAATCTACCATTGAAATCTGTGAAATTATTGGATAAATCGTTAAAGATATCAATCAATGATTTATTAAAGGTAGGATCTATAGAGAGAGATATATATATATATACTATTTGTTACTTACACTTTTATATACTTTTTGTGTGATTAGTTGTTAACAAAAGATGATGGATTTATGGTGATTGGAGTTTTGGGTGGACAGTCTACAGGAAAATCAACTATACTTTCATCGTTGGCCAATACTACACCAATCATTAGAACGACCACAACAACAAATGGTAAACAACCATCGTCGGTTGTACAACCATTTGATATTCAAACAGATGATAATTTCTGCCTTGGTAGTCACCAAACCAATGGTATCGATGTATATATAACACCAGAGAGATTGATCTATATAGATACACAGCCGCTTCAGTCGATATCAATAGTGACAGAGATGATTGAAAAGAGTGCATACTGTCCGGCAGGTTACACATCTTATGAGCACTATCACTATCTTCAATGTATAAAGACCATCATATTTCTCTATAGCATTTGTAATGTTGTATTGATTGTTCAGGAAAACAAATCAATCGATATTTTAATTTGTAATTTAATCAAATCTGCTTTAATGCTAAAGAATAAGAGAATGCCTGATATAACAAACTATCAACAACAACAACAACCATTGGATTTATCAGATCTACCTGAATATATGGCAAGAACTTGTATGTACAAAAATATTACAAAAAAAAAAATAGTACTATTAATCTAATTGTTTTTTTTTTTTTTATACTTTATAGTATTTGTATTTAATAAATTAACAGAATTGGATTATGAAATTAAATCATTGGATACAACATTGGCAACTTTATTAAGAAAGATTTCATCAAATCATCCAATTGAAAGTTTGTATTAAAGACTGATGTTTTAAAAATTCAAAAAAAAGATCATTATTAATTAACTCTTTAATTTTAAAATATTCAATAGCAATTGATATTCCAGATCATTTTATTTATTCTCAACACCAACATTTTAATAATAATAATAATAATAATAATAATAATGGATTACTATCACCAACTAATTCAAATTCTTCATCACTATCATTATCAAGTAATTTTGATCCTTCACCTATTAATTTTAATCAACTCCAGCAACAACAAGAAGAAGATGACGAACAACTTTTAAAACAACAACAAAATGATACTCCAATATTATCATCATTCCCAAGTTTTAATGAATCTATAGATACTTTAAAAAAGAGATTATTATCATTAAAATCATCAACAAAATTCCTAAAGTCGATAGGTGAACGTGATTGGGCAGAGAATGCATCTAAACTTTGGGAATATATTCAAGATGATGATATTATAGAATCCTACAACAAATTATTAATCACTAAAAAATTTAGAAATTAATAAACCCAAACCAAATAGTACTATTTATGAATCAATGCTCCTTCTCTTTGTTCTCTTTTTTTTGCCTTGATCAAAAATAACTAACTTTTTATTATTATTATTTATTTATTGTTTATTTACATATATTTTAATTATTATTATTATTATTATTAAGATTAATAATTAATTCCTACTATGATGATGGTGAACTACCATCATCACTTAATAAAAGAGGAGTAGTTTCCTCTACTTTTGCATATTTAAATCCATTACTGTATCTTTCAATACTATTGTATCCATAACTAAAGAAATCTGATAATTTTTGAAAGAATCCTGTGAATGTTTATAAATAGATTAGTGTTAGAATGAATGAATATTTATTATTGGAAACAAGTAAAATTTTATTGTACATACCAACATTTCTATTTTCTCTTAATAATTCGATATCTCTAACCAAGTTGAAAGCCAACCCACCATTTAAATTGAATGGAGAGACAATTAATTTATCATAGGATAGTGCAAGCAGTGCAAACCCGTCGATTAAATTGACAAACATTACTTGGGCATACAAATGTCCTTGCTGATTACCAAGACACCATTGATAAACATCATCTCTTGACCATTCCGCTACATCGAACTCTAAAACATCAGCAATGTTATTGTGATGAGGTTTAATAACAGCTGGTGATGAATGGAAATTTGGTGTTGAAAAGGTTGATGACATCGAGAGAGAGCAATGAATAGAAATAATAATTAATTGAGGGAAAAATTAATAAAATAAAATAAGGGATTGTATAATGTATTCAAAAAATACAGGAATCTAGGTGATTTTTAGGGAGGAATGAATAAGTAATTAAACAAGTAAGTAAGAGTTGATAGAGGAGGTGACCTATTTTGAGGGGAACAAAGCGAATGAGTGGAGGAAAAAAAAAGAAAGAAATAATAATAATTTTGTTGTAAAGACTCCTCTTTACAATTAATTTGATGGATGATGATGCCACTAAAAGAATTCCTGTTGTATTGGAATAAAATTTTGGTAGCGAGCAATAACAATACCCTCCGCTGCTTGTATTGTTGTTGATGATATATTACAGGGGATTAATTCTTCATTTTTTCATCTATCACCAAATCAAAACATAAAAAACACATTAATTGTGTGATATTAACACAACAATCAATGGATGGATGTTTGTATTATATTATGTTCGCGATCCCCACACCACCCCATCTTATGATCAATCAAACAGTAACTTTCTGGAGGGTGGGTTGATGGATGAGGGGGTTGTGAAATTTAGTGGAGGGGGGGGGGGGGGTAGGTAGTACTACGGTTCATATCTGACCTGATTGATCAATCAATCAGTTCATGTTTGATTAATCTACTCATATCTTTCTTTCATTCTTATTTATGAGGTGCCTCGAGATATTAATTTTTAGTTTTAAATAGGTTGCAAAACAATTAATTGTTTGAATTTAATTTAATTTTTATAATTCGGGATGGGGAAAAGATTTCTTTTATTTTTAAAATAGGTTTTCACTCATGTCTAAACAATAATATTATCAACAATCGAACACACAACCAAGTTAGCAAGTTTCTTTCTTTCTTTATTTCCATCATTCCTTCTTTATCTATTTCATTGACCTATATATATCTAAACTATCTCTTTTTCTATTCTATTCAAATATACAGTATAATTATGTGAATTGAATGTTGTAACAAATGACAAGAGACAAAGACAAGAACTACAAGAGAAACAATGCAGAACTGAATGAAACCCTTTCTTTAGAGTCTTTGATTCAAAGCGGTTGGGAGAGTTCGATGCATAAATCCTCAAAGACACACCAATCATGCTCTCCTATTCCACCGTTACCAGTCGGTGTTACGGCCCAAATAAATACCTTGATTGATCAATTCTATATTCCAAATGCTCATTCTCGAAATACAACTCAACAACCTCTAAACCCAACCAATACTTTTATGTTTATCAATCATAAAACCAACATTAACAATCATATCAACATTGACAATCATATCGACAATCATATCAACAATAACATTAACATTAAGGAATTAAATACAAAAAATCATATCGACAATCATATCAACAATACCATTAACATTAACATTAAGAAATTAAATCATAGAAACACTAATAATAATAATAATAATAATAATAATCCTATTGTTGAACAAAATAATAATACCTCTCCTCCAATAATTCCTTCTTCAACATCACCCAAAGGTGAAAAGGATTTGGTTAATACTAGTACTGGTATTATTACCAATACTAGTACTGGTATTTCCAATTCTAGTACTATTACCAATACTAGTACTAGTATTACCAATACTAAGAGTACTATTTCCAATTCCAATTCTACTAGTAATGTAAATAATAATTCTTGCAAGAGTCACATAGATCGTAATAACAATATACTAAGTATAGTTAATTATAACACATCGGAACCAACAGAAGAGATTTATGGTGATGATGACCCCATAAATAATATGCCAATCCATTACTCACAAAGAACATGTAATCATTTGTGTCTAACATGCTACCAAGAAAATGGAAATAATTCATCAAACACAACATCCAAACCATTATTTCGTGTCATCTCAGAGGAAACCTACCAAACAATGTTAAAGAATAACGAAATACTCAAGAAAAGAAATACCAATTGAGTGGGCTACCCTCTACACATCTCTTTTAATACAAGATTCATCAATCACATTTATTTTAAATAATTTATTTTCACACATGTATTATTTACATTTATTGCCTCACAAAAAAAGAATAAATCAAGAGGAATCATTGCTCCATTTTAGATCTAAATATCTATTATTTGCCATTAAACAACATATCATAGTTTAGTTTATTTGTTTATGGAGGTGACGAAGTATCCCTAAAAGTTCCAATGAAAAGCTTTCTATTCTGATTATTGGCTTGATTTTGATCATCAATTTGTTGTTGTTGCTGTAAATTTTGTTGTTGTTGTTGTTGCTGTAAAGTTTGTTGTTGTTGTTGTTTTTGTTGAAATTGCTGGAGATGTTGTTGTTGTTGTTGTTGAAGTTGTTGATGTTGTTGATGTTGATGTTGTTGTTGTTGATGTAAAATTTCAGTTCTTTCCTTTGAATGAATATTATAAAGTTGTTGTTGTTGTGTATGTGATTGAGGAATAAAAGGTGGTGTATTTGGTGAAAGTGTTGATTGTTGAGGTTGTTGTTGTTGTTGTTGTTGTTGGAAAGACATTGATTTACTTGGTGATTGATGCTGCAATGATCTGGTAGAAGGAGGAGAAGTCCTTGAAAAGGCATCATTTCTTGGCCTGTTTTTAATGGTTTTGTTTGGTTGTTGTTGCTGCTGCTGCTGTTGTTGATGTTGTTGTAGACCAGCTGAAATTCCAAAGTTTGTTGGAGGTGATTGTTGTAAAAGTTGGGGTTGGTTTGATTTGGAAGGTGCGGAATAATTAGAGTGTGGATGGGATGTTGAGAAATGATTGTTAAAATTGTTGGTGTTGTTGTTGAAGCTATGGTAATGTTGATTCGAGCTGTTATTGTTGTTATTAGTAAATGTAAGGTTAGATGAGCTAGAGTTTAATTCGTTAAAGGTTCGATTAGAGGTGGGAGGTGACTGTTTAAAGCTGCCACCACCCATGGCACCACTATTACTGTTGTACGACGAGGGAGGCGATTGAAATATTTGTTGTCTGCGGTAGTCCATTGGCGTGACGTACGGGCTGAATCCAATGATCGACGGATCGTCATAGGAGGAGCCGTCATTTGATCCTTGGATCGAAAACGGAGGAATCATGTAGGGACTAGATGGAATCCAATTTCCGGGTGCACTACCGTCGCCAATTTGTAATCCATTAAATCCACTTGCCATGTCATCCATCTTCCAACCACCACCATTATTATTATTGTTGTTGTTGTTGTAATGTTGATGCTGTTGTTGCTGTTGCTGATACCGATTGCCCACAGGACTAGAGTTTTGATTTCCACCACCATTTTGTTGCTTTTGTTGCTGTGAAGTTAGTTGTGGAGTCACCTCGAGTGGGAACAACATTTCCTCGGATGGTGATCGATCGTAAATCAAGTTGTCGCCTCCCAGAGACATGAGCGCGGGGCTGAGCGTGGGGTCTTGCATCATGGCCGCGACAGATGAGGAGGGGGGCTGGCTCGACAGCAGCTGTGGGGTGAGTGGAACGCTGTGCGATGTAAAGTGTTGGTGAGGAGACTGTGGGATAGGAGGTGAGTGGGAAGGTGGTGACTGCCCAATCATTTGGTGTTGTTGCTGCATATGTTGTTGATGATGGTATCTTCCATAGTGATGTGGGTGCTCGAAAATCTGAGGAGCAGAATGTTGCAACAAGGTTGGGGAATTGTGTATCTTTAAATTGTTCATCTGTTGTTGTTGTTGTTGTTGATGTTGCTGTTGCATTTGTTGATATTGTTGTTGCTGGTATTGTTGGTCGCCATAACTATGCGATCTAAATCTATTTGAATTGTTGTAATGCGATGGTGGAACACCATGATCAAGATGTATGCGAGGAATAAAAGTGATGGGTGGTGGGGGATACCCTCCATATGGATCTTGTTGTTGCTGCTGCACATGACCCGACTGTGACCGCTTTCTCTGTGGTGAGTTGAGTGGATAAATGGGAGGTTTGTCATTATCGCCAAGTTGATACGATGATGAAGATGATGAAGCCAATCCACCACCATTGCCATCATTCTCTACCGGCGGAAGTAGATCATTACCAGAACTTCCACTCATTATATGTGGTAACATGTGTTGTTGTTGTTGTTGCTGCTGCTGATAGTTATTATTATTATTATTGTTATTATTATTTTGACCTGTTGGAGCATCACTCTTTGATCTACCACGCTTGCTATTGACCATTGTACTGAGGCCATCACCCCAACTATTTGGAAAGTAGCCTGGTGTCGATGCACCACCTGCACTTCCAGCCCCACCTCCCATCAAATAGTAGGTTGGATTACCACCAAACAGCGAAGGGCTTTGACCCAAAGCCAAAGATGCTGTTGTTGGGTTGGCATTATACGGGTTGGCACCATATAGTCCACGAGGTGAATAGGATTCTGGGAAATTGTATTGATCGTTTGACATTTGTTTGAGCGATCCAATCGGGATACCCATACTAAGCTTCTTGCCAAAGCTACCAGCTGCCTGCTGTGAAGACCCTGCTCCTCCACCGATTCCATGGTATTGAGGTGTAAGATGTATTGGTCTTGGAGGTGTTGAAACAACTCTTTTCTTTGCTGGATCTGGTATAAATGGGCCTGTATATGTCGCACCAGTAATAAATGGATGATCTCTAGCTTGTGCTGCTGTCCATCTTTCATTTGGATTTAAATTTAATAAACCACTAACAAAATCTGTAAAAACTAATCTATTTTGTTTTTCTAAAAATAAAAAAAAAGAATATTAATATTTATATTATTATATTAGATTCTATTTAATTATTTATACCTTTTTCAAGTTCCAAAGGAGATATATTTTTCTTAAAAGTATAATTTTGAATGATATCTGGTAGCGTTTTATAATTAAAATATTTCTTTGATTGTGGTAATGTTTGATTTGTTTCCTAAAATTAAATTTTTGTATTAGAATGTTTATCCGATATTCTTTTCTCTCTCTTTCTCTCTTACTCTTGAATATTCTTCTTCAGTTTTTAAAGTATAGACAGTTTTTCCATTTTCAATCGATCTATTAAAATAGTGAAGTGTATTTTTTCCAGTATCCAATAGTTCCTGTGAAAAAGAACCTTTCATATCAATGATTCTACATATTTGGTTATATTCAGAGGTACCTGGGAACAATGGTAATCCTAAAAAGAGTTCTGCCGATATGCATCCCAACGACCAAATATCTATTGAACCTGTATATCCAACATTTGTCAACACTTCTGGTGATCTATAATGTCTCGATTGTATGTATGTATAAACTGTATTGTTTTCAAAACATGCTGATCCAAAATCAATTAATTTAATATTTGGTGAATTGACACTAAAAAAAATAATAATAAAAAGTATCAATTAATAAGTATTAACGGTTCTACACTTTGTTTAATGTTTTGACATACGATTGAAGTAATATATTTTCTGGTTTTAAATCACAATGAATCATATTGGCTCTTGATAAAACAACAAGTGCATCCAAAATTTGAATAAGAAATACTTTGATGAGATTGGTTGATAATCCTCTAAAGTTATTTTGTTTGATCAATTCGAAAAGATTAACGCTTAACAATTCAAACACTATACATAAATGATCCTGGAATATGAAATCATCCAATAATCTTAATAAATTGGATTTGTCTTCAGGATCATATTGAGTGTTTAACTAAATAAATGAATAAATAAAAAAAGAAGGGATCTCTGTTAATAAACCATTGATCTTCTATGTAGAGTATTTGGATAAATTAAACTCCTTACCAATCTTAACATTTGCACTTCTATACCACCTTGATGGTGATATGCAGGTTTGTTTTTTAATATCTTGACTGCCACCAATTCATTTGTATCTATGTTTTGACACTTTACAACTTGTCCAAATGTTCCTTGTCCAAGTGAATCCAATACTTTAAATCTAAAAGTAGAATAATATTATATATGTTAATGATTATGAGATATATACATATCTATATAATAATATAGAATTATACCTTTGATTATAATTTGAACCAATAATATCTCCAACATAAATGATCAAATCAGAGTTTCCATTATCATGACCAAAATTAGATACTCCTTCGGATGGATGCGTTAATACTCTTCGTGGATTCAATGTCGATATATAACTAAACTTGGGATTACATATTTTATAAAGTTGTAATAGATCTCTTGTGATTTTAATGGTTGCCTAAATGAGAGGAGGAGTTTAGTCGTATGTCAATGATGAGATGTATGTAATATATATATATATGAATGACTTACCCCTTTATGAGGTGTAATATTACTCGATTGCTTTGTTGACTTTTGTTTCGGTTGTTCTTCTAGTTGTTGTAGGTTGTTGTTGTTGTTGTTATTATTATTAGGTTGTTTAGATAGATATGAAAAGGAATAGTCATGCAAGGTAGCTACGTTCTTTCCACCACCAATGCTAATATTCCTAGAATGTGTTCGACGATGTGCTGTAGAGGATGATGATGATGAAGTGGCGGCAGCGGCGGATGATGAAGATGAAGATGAAGTAGGAGTTGTTGTTGATGATGATGAGGAAGCTGCAATGATTGTGGTTGTTGTTGTAGATGCTGATGATAACGGTGGTGAGTCGTTGGATGAAGGGTTCTTTGTTGTAGTCATGATTGTTGTTGTGGTTGTCGTTGTTGTGGTAGGTGTCGTCGCTAGTGGTAACGTATCTATGGATGTCATCCTCTCTTTCTCGCGTGGTTTGATATTTGTTTCTTATTGATCGCTCTCTATTGTTGTTGTTGTGAAAGATTGGGGGGGACCGTTGTTCTCTCTCTCTCTTGTGGAAGAAGATGGGTTGGGGAAGTGACCTGGAGAGAGGTTTGTAAGCACAAAGACAACAACAAACCCTTTGCAAGTCCTCTCTCCTTTTGCTACTACTTGTGTGTACTTGATGATATTAAATCGCCTAACTAGTAGTAATAGTAATAGTAATAGTAATGGTATAAGTATGAATAAGTAGTCCTACACTCTAGTTGTTATCGACTTGTCTTGTCCTGTTCAATCTCTTTGACAACACACCCTAATTTAATTGAATGATTGTACGACTGCAAGAGTAAGTAGTACTATATAGTTCTCTTTTGTGATGATGATGATGATGTCGATGATGATAATGTGACCAAGCCAAGCTGAGCTCTCTCTTTTTGTAGTTTGATATATATCTGAGGGGAATAAAGTAAAGCAAAAGACAAGTACTACTATTTTAAATTGAATTTGTGTGCTTTTTTAATTTTTTGATTTTTTCGTGACAGAGAGATTGTACTTTCTTTGTGTGTTTGTTTGACTGAATGAAGCCGCATGCTTTGCCCCCATCACCAACCATTGTTGTTTCAGTTGCGACGCAATCGAATTCAATCCAATTTCAGGGAGGAGCCCGTCGTGGCAGTAGTCTTCCTTGTGCGAGAGAGATGGGTGGGTGAGGGGTGAGCGACGTTGATTGGGCGCGCGCGTACGCCTCTTGCTCGATCTTTTCGAGAATGCATTCGATTCGATTGGGGAGGAGGAGGAGAATCTCATCTGCTGACGTGCCTGCACACACCTTTTGACCTAAAAATAATTTTACCTCCCCGCTCACAATAAATAATACATACATAGATTTATCTACTTTAATTGTTCCAATGACTATTCAGACATATCAGATCTCTACTCTCTTTAATTCTTTCTCTAGCTGGCTATTAATATAAAAATAAAATAAAATAAAATAAAATGAATTTTCTATTTATTACTGTAAGCTCACAAGTGTCACTTTGAATCATCGCGTGCGTGTATATTTATGTACATATCTTGAAGAGTAAAATATGGTGTAAAGCTAAATCACAATTGTCTTGATCAAGACTTAATATTAAGGTATCTAGATCATTGGAAGTGGGAGAGAGAGAGATACACAAAGCTATATTAACCTCAAATAGTCGAATAGATTACTTGTATCAGTTTGCGACTTAATAGTGCAAAAGGTATATGATTGATGAAGATGAAGAGTGTATTCAAGTGGCAAAGAGAGAGAGAGAGAGAGAGAGATCAATTGCAAAGGAGGATGAAGAAAATACAGAGATAACAAATAATGACAAGATCTATAGATGTACAACAACCCGACTCCTATGGGTTTCACATCAGATTACCACCAATACTAAATAGACAACGATGAGAACTTGAATATTGATACAGTACCAGTAGCTATGATCGATCATACACTTTTTAATTTTTATTCATACAAGCTCCAATTTATAAATATATAATATAAATATTTTATCTTTAAATCAAAAGAAGTTCTGGCAAGATGAATTAAAACTGGTTATCTCAAGTTATTAGTTCAATAAATAAATTAGTAACAACAACAACAACAAAAGAATGCATTAAAATATCTAATTCCATTTCTTTTTTTCTAGCTTCTTCGTCTATGGCTCAGTGAACTTCCCATGATTCAACGGGGAATCAACACGCAAACCGAAACGGTTTTTTGCAAAAAAAATATCAACCCAATCAATTTCTTGTGGCACCCTCTGTTGAGGTCACAAACTCCTAAAATGGAAACAAAAGCTTTTAATTTGCAAGGTATCGCTGTGTCTGCACATGGAACATTCTACGAAAAGATTTTTTAATACTGGAGGTATGCTCGTTTTTGGATAATAATTAATGGTGTACCACTAAGATCTAAATCGCGATACACCAATTTGATATGGCACATGTGTGCTGGGAACTAGATATAGCCCAACATCAAAATATCCCCCAAAGAATTATAACCATTAATTAAAAAAAAATTGGAAACCTATTTAAACGAACGGTACGCAAGCACGAAATAGTAATAAGTAATAGTAATAATATTAAATCAAAGTTATAATAATGGAAGCATTAGTTGAAACCAAAGATTCAACATCAAGTATAGTCAGTAATGACTCAATTCCCCAAGTGGAATTAAAGGACAACAGTACCACCACAGATTTATCCAAAGATATCAACCATCTAGACCGTGATGCAACGCTTAGCATGATTGATTTGGGAACTTTGATTGGTGGTGTTATTGGAATGACCCCTGTTATTGGATCGTTTTTGTCTGCTGGCTTTACTGTAAATATAATTCTATAGAAATACCTCAGCACAGCATTGCAATTGTTTGAAATCTAATATTCAATCTTTATTTATTATTATTATTATTATTTAGGTTATTTGGGATGCATTTTTTTCATCAGGAACAAAATACGTTAGCCAGGAAGATTTCGAAGCTGAAATGGCTGCTCTTTATCAAAGAATCGAGAAACTTATCAATCAACGGTTGGATCAAACTGAAGCTCAGAATGCTCAAGCAAGATTTCTTGATATCCAAAATAGAGGGAACAACTTTAACGATCTTTTGACTATTTTTGTTTCGAGACATCAATCAAAACTAGGCCAACCTACCAAATCGTCAAGAGTACTTCCATCCCACCTATTGCAGCTCGACGATGATGAATTAAAGAGTGACATCAGAGCACAATTTCTCAGCTACAAGGATTCTTTAGAAGGAGCCATCATCAACTTTTCTCAACCTATCTATGCCCATCTACTCGGCAACCTTTTGACAGTGACAGTCTCCTTTTATGCAGTTTTTATGAGGGATTGTATTATCCAAGGACAGGGTTGGGGTTTCACTCCTGAATATATTAATGGGTAATTATTATTATTAAAACCATTTGTTTCTTTTCTAAATCACATTTAAACTAATACTATTATTATTATTATTATTGTTATTCCCTCATATATAGAACATCTGATGGAAAGGTAATAGGTCTTGCACAACAATTGCATCAAAGAATCTATCAATTCAACCTAGATTATGCATATTGTGATTTTAGATACAATGAAATTTTAAAAACTGGCAACTATCCAGTCAATCTCCCAGATGGCTCTTGCATTTTAGCTAGTCGCAACAATGACTTGGATTTGGTTTTACACCCCATGGATTTAAAGAGAATTATATTGGACACCACCATCCCCAAATATCTCTTCAAGCCTCCTGTTGCCCTCTGTCCTGATAGTAACCCTGGTACCCAAGAGTACACAGTTGATCCCTCAGACTCTATCTTTTATCGTGATCCAAACTCTGTCCTTCATGATCATGTTGTATGTACTCACTCTAGAGTTTTAAAAAAGATTAAGCAATAGCATCTATATAGATTTCACACAGATTATTAATATCTTTAATTACTCTCTATGTATGTCAACACACAACAGGATCCTATTGATGGTTATCTGTGCCCTGTTATATTGCCATCGTCCAATGTTACCTTTATGATCGCAGGAAATGGTTATTATTGGCAGAGATTCAAAATCAGAATTCATATGTACAACTCGCACCCAAATACTTATCCCTTCCAATTGAAAGTCGGCGATCATGACTTTGGAATGATTGATAAGAGATACCTTGTTGCAATGGGTGATGTCCAACCAACCTATTACCAACTATTCCAAATGTACAGAGAAAATCGAAAAACCCCAAATCCTACCGATATTTCTTACTCTCAACTTTATGAAATATCAGGTGAATTACCTAATATGGCTGATACTGCCATTGTCACTATCTCTAATGGAGCAGCTAATCAGAGTACTAGTAAGTTGAAAACGGTTTTTATTCATTTTTAAACTTTGATTCTAATTTTTTTTTTTATTACCTATCTCTCCATATAGACTTTATTGGTTCAATCAATATTAGAGTGAACCAATAGGCAATACATTCTCAAATTATAATTAATTAAATATATAACACCACATCCAGCTGGAGGATTTGATTTCCACAAAAAAAAAAGAAACAATTATAAAATAAATAAAAATGATCTGTATTTTTCAAATTGACCATTAATTAAATATCAAATTATATAAAAAAAGTATGTAGTATCACAAGTCATCGACCTCACCACACCGTTGGAATAAAGAGGATCATCAGAGATGATTGTTGTTGTTTGTTTTAAAATAAATAAATAGTAGTATGAGGGAGGAGAGATTAATCATCGTCCCATTTTTATTATTATTATTTGTTTGATATCTCGCTTAATTCGGCGTCTTGGTTGATGTGTTCACTGCTTGCACCTCTAGAGGCCCACCAATATTTGAGACGACCATGACGAATAATCTTGGCTACGAAAAATCCAACAATGACAGACACCAAGGCTGCACCACCGACGGCAATGCAAACAGGTACCAAAACCTTTTTGATCCACTTGCCTTCCTCTGAGATCTCCTCGCCATTGGCATTTGATCCACCATTGTTGTTGCCTCCAGAGGAACCCTTGTCCGAGCCAATATACAACAACACTCCAAAGTTTGTAAAATGTGATGTGTTGCCACAAGTATGATTGGAGTGTTTTCCACAACGTACAACATTGCTTGCTGGCAATGGAATAGTTGCAGTTCCATTATTCATATCATCATCATTGTCTTGTGATCCAACAATTTTCCATTCATTTTGTGTTTCATTAATAAATGATAAATAACTTTGATTTTGCTAAAATAAATAATAAATAAATAAATAAGTTTGTTGTTTATATTTATCTATATAAATTGATTACATACATTTTGGAATGAAGATTTTAATTCAAATTGAATTGATTTTTTAAATAATGAATAATTGCCAAGAGTAATATCGAAAATCAAACTTTTGACAGACTCTCTAAAAGTAGTGTTGGAGGTGATGTTGAATAGAGAACCACCGGATATAGTGTCGAGATAAGAGTCGTCGCTTTGCTTTAAATGTACGTATTCCTGTATCTCGGAATCATAAAAGTTGGCTGGGAACATGATGTAGCCGTAAATAGCCAACTTGTTATCCATCTGTGATATAATAGGTACAATGAAATCTTTGGTTGAATTGATTGGTGATTTAATTTCAACTGTCTTTAAATATGTAGGTAACTAAATCAAAATAAATAAATTAATATTAATACTAATAATCTTTGATTTGTTTTGATTTAACTTACAATTCCACAATTTTGACAACATTCTGTTAAATTTGAAACACAACTACCTGATAAACATTGGTATTTGCCAATTGGACAACCGTTGTATTTGAATGGTTGACAAGTGGCGTTGGTACAGGTTGGACAGGTCGAGGAATCAATGACACAGGAAGAGTCACCACATCTTGTTTTGTTGGCTCCGCAGGGGGGCATGGAAGGACAGGTCGTGATGTTTTGGTGGCACTCACCATTCCAGCAGGTGTAGTTGTAGTTGGGGAGCGGACATGCATTGTTGACTGGACAGTTGTTGGCCGAGTCGACGCATCTGTTTGGCTCGGATGGACACTGGAAGCGCGAGCAGTTGGAAAACTTGACGGCGATGAGTCGGTTGTCGCAGAGAAAGGTGTAGTCGGAGCTGTTGCCAACGACCGTGTCGTCGCAGAGGATGGCCTGGTCGGGACTATAGACGATGGTGTAGAGTGTGTTGTTTTGGCCGGCTGTCTCAATATTGACACGGGTCTCGGTGCTGAGAGAGAGGCCGCCAGATCCAACCGTGACAGTTGACCCGACATCGAGTGTGAGGCGGTCGGGTATGACCTGGTCCTGCAAGTTAAAGACCACGTCGTCAATGACGAGGTCGGTCAGCGGGACGAGGACGGCACCCGCAATGTCGATGGTCGACGACACGAGCTCCAAAACACCCTTGACCAAGCCAAACCCGAGTTTGTCAAGGATCGACAGGTTCGAGTTGGACAACTTTAAAATACCCGAGTCGACGAGCAGCGACTTGGCAACGACTGTCAGCGAGTCGATAGGAAGCAGCTGCTTGACGATCTGCAGCGAGGCGACGCTGGTGACAAGTCCGCCAAGCGACTTTATCTGTGCGTCCAAACGGAGCTGCATGTCAATCGACGCTTTGAGTGCGAGGGTGGCACCCTGTCCGAGGACAAGACGGCCACCTCCCTCAATGAGCGTGACGGTCCCTTGAGGCGAGGTTGTGAAGAGTGAGAGTGCGCCATTGAGCTGGAGCAACGAGCCGCCCAAGAGGCCGACACCCGAGTCGGTGGCAGACGAGTTGCCGAGCAGGGTCAAGTTGGACAATGGACCAGTCACGACAATATCAGAGACCGTTGCGACCAGTCCTGTTATCACGGTCGGCAGGTTGAGATTGAGCAAAGAGTTTTGGGAAAGGGTCGCACCCAAGATGGAGCTCGAACCGCCGTTGAGCGTCGAGTTGGCCAACACCAGACTCTGTATGGTGACACCCAAGTTGGTAATATCGAGCTTAGACGAGCTGCCAACCAAGTTGCCAAGCGACAGATCACGGTTGAGGAGTGCATTCGAGTTGGTCATGTTCAAGAGATTACATGTTCGTGAAAGACCGCCGTTGAGTGTGCTGTCCTTGAGTGTGGCGGTGATTGCGATAACCGTCGATGTGAGTGGAATGTTGACGGTCGATGCCAACGATGTCAGACTGGTAATCGACGCGTTTGTACCAGTGTTAAGAATAGACGAGCCTGCCAAAGACAGTGTCGCAATGGTAGCCTGTGTGCCGAGATTCAACGTCGATGCGGTCAATAGAGACACAGCCGACACAGTGCCAGTTAGGCCAGACATTAGAGACGACTGTGAAATGGTGACTTGGCCAATAACAGTCGATGCGCCATTCACAATATTGACAATCGAGTTTGTCGATAATAAAGTAGTGACCACTGCATTTTGATTGAAAAGTACATTTGATTGAGTGAGGTTGAGTTGGGTAAAGGTGCCTTGTAAACCAGTCGTTATACTCGTGTTGAAAATAGATAGACTGTCAATCAACGGCACATTGACAATGGGCGGTACACAAGAGTCTATCAAAACCACTCCAAAGCTCAACCCAATCACTGAGAGTGAGCTTGCCAACTTGAACACTGCGCTGCCAAGTTTGGCTATTGCTCCAGCCGCAGCACTTGCACTTTTTTTTAAGCTAACCAATGCGTTTGGAGTGACAAACTCCATTTTCGATACGACATTGGATGCTACTGTCAGAGCAGATACCTCCATCGATATATTACTACCCACCCATGTTAGTGTCGATAACGGGTTGGATGAACTATCCAATAGATAGTTGAATTCTATTTGGGGCAAGAGTACAGGTCCAGTCACATTGATCGATGATACTCCACTAACAGATATCTTGCAGCCTGTCAGCACTGAAAGATTGCCATCAACCACCAAAACGCCAGACAACAATTGAATTTGTCCGTTGCACAATAAATTGCCATTGACTTGGACTAGAGCACCAGCGATTTTCAATATACCAGAACTCGAAAGATCCAGCCCCGTGTCAATCACAGTATTGACCAAATAGTTTAGAGTCGATGTTATAGAGCATAAATTGAGAACTATGAGGCACAAACATCCTGGTGGACACACTGCCTCTACAAAAAGTATATTTTCAGATATATATAATAATATTACAAATAATAATAAGTATGCTCTTTTATCCATTATTTTAAATTTTGAAGTATTGTATGTATGAAAGGAGGGGTGTAAGGGGAAAAGTATTTAAATAAAAAAAAAAAAAGGAAAAAGGAAGTTGGGAAAAAAAATATCGGAAATCACAACGATGTGATTAAAAGTGTAATGTAAATCTTAAAAATTAGATTGATGAATAAAGGATGATAGATATATAAATATAAAATATAAATATAATATAGGATAGATATCTAAGTGGTGGGAAAGTTTAGGTGCTAAATTAAATGAATTAGAGAGACGAGTAGTAGGATTTAATGATTGACATCAAATTCAAGTGGTTTGGAAATTGATGATGATGATGAGTGGGTGAAATGGTGTTGTTGTTGTTGTTGTTGTTGTTGTTGTTGTTGTTGTTGTTGTTGTTGTTGTTAAAGAATTTGCCAAACTAGTACAAGTGGATAAAGTTGTCGCGATTATTATGTCTCACTATATTTAAATTAAATTAAATTAAAAAAGTAAAAGTATCCAACCATTTGGTTAGGAGGAACATTGTTTGTTGTAAAGAGAGAGTTAGTTTGATTCATAGTAGTAGCATAATTTGTGTAATTGTAGTAAACCATTACTAAATTTGCCACACCACCCCTACCCCTCACTCTATTGTCATGGTATGGGAGAATGATCATTGATCATTGATGATTGAACTCGCCATCGCCATGCCAAACCAGGGTTTTTGTTTGTTTGTGGGTGGTGTGTATTTTCTCCTTCTCCCCTCAATGTCAAGCACATTGCATTGGCATTTACATTGAATTTAACAACATACCAATATTGCCACATTTAAACAATTGAGTTTAATTAAACTTTGAAACAAGAGGTGATTCACTTTGTTGGTTGGATGGGATCACTAACGTCAATGTTGTTGGTATTTATGATCATCAACACCTCACTTGTGTTTTGTATGAAAAAGTGATGTGGATGGTGAATGTGTGTGTGTGGTGGGGGTTACTGTTTTAAGAATATGTGGTTGATCTAAAATGATTGATTAGTGATAGTTTGGAAAAGTAATGACTTGGTTGTTATTATTATTATTATTAATATTATTTTAATAGTTATGTATTTGTCTGTATCTCTTTATTCTAATTCTGTCTATGTGTGTGCGTGTATGTGTGTGTGTGATCGAATAATTAATTATGATTATTATTTTTATTTTGTTTTGTTTGGTCTATTGTTGTGCACGATGGATAGTTTTGTTGTTGTGATGGTTTATTGCAAACAAACAACATCCAAGGGTTATGTAACGGGGGTGTTCTTTGCCTCTTCTTTGTGTTCGTGTTGTTCAGAAAACAACAACACCCTCCTCACTCTCACAATGTGTGTGTGCCACAATCAAAGAGAAACAGAACGAAAAATCTACACAAGCCGCACGTGTACGAACTCGGCCTTATTTTTTGACATCATCATTCATTTTACGATTCGAATTAATTAATTTTAATCACTATTTTTCAAATATCTTTGCATCATTATTTGAACCTGGATTCGGAATGCGCACTGTTGTTCGTATCGACACGTACCGTCGGCTTTGTTCAATTTTCTGATTGATTGCCCCTTCCTAGCTCAATCATTTAATTTATTTGAATGAGACTGTTTGTCTTTTGATCAACCCAATCAAATCTTTCATTCACACATTATTGTTGCAAGTGGAAGAGATACAGAAGAAGTGGTGGTGCTTCAGTTCATCTAACCATCAACACTCGCGAGCATAAAGGTGTTATCACCAAAAGTTGTTGGATTTTTTTGTTTTTTTTTTTAAATAGATATTTATTTTGATGATCAAAGAATTGTTTTCTCGAATCTAACATATCAAAAACCATAAAAGGAAATGACCAAGAATGGAAGGAAGGTTGCCTTTGTCTTGAACAACCCAATACTTTGGTTGTTGGGGGAAAAACGAAAACGGTTTTATTGTTTATTGATTATTGGATTCCATTTTCTTTAATTTAGCATGCATTGCCTTATTGTGTCGATTGAAGATAATTTTCTTCTTTGTGTATAGTACTGTTCCTACAACGATAGCTACCAAACCAATTCCACCGACTACACATCCAACAATGATCTTCCAAGTGTTACTTGAACTATCACAATGATCACCTGGTTCATTGACAACTAGTAATGGTGTGAAATCGGGATCGAGTATACATGTTTGACATTGTGGTAAAGTAACACCAATCATGGCAACTGACTCTTGATCATTGATTTGGGTTTCATTGATGAGTAGTGTTTGTGAGTAGGTTGGTCGACCATCTGCCAATGCAAAATCAATAAATCTACCGTTGAATTGAACATTGTCTTTGAGTACTCTGAGGTATTGAAGTGTTCCATAATCACCGTATGTAAAAGTGTCAATATCTGTCTTTTGACATTCGTATTCAATCGATTGTTGGATATTGACAGTTGACTTTAACACTACTCTGAGTGTTGCGACGTTTGAAGAAAAGATCCAGTTGGATACTCCAACAGACAATTTTATAGCATTTGGATCGAGTACCAATACTTGACCACCAAATGGAATCGTTCTCGATTGTGTAGAAAAGGATACATTGACTGTGACCAAAGTATCTTCCAACACACTTTCATTAGCAATCACCAACTGATAGCTTGCACTAACAAGTAGTGAATTGTTGGAAGTTATATTCGTCATCCAATTATTGGTCAATAACTCCTTTACAATTTCATTATCCAATCCTATTTCTTGAATGGCAACCAAATCAAATCCAAATTCTACTCCATCTACATCTATTTTTGATGATGGTGATGTTGTATTTGGTGTAAATGTTGAATTATCAGTAACTTTTAAAAAATAAAATAAAAAATAAATAAGTAAATGAATCAAATTTAATTAGATGTTTTAGTAAGTTCTTACATTGAGTTAGACAATTATCAACTGGATTATATTTTGGTTCACATTGACATTTTCCATTTTCATCACAATAACCATGACCAAAACAATTTCTTGTTGACTCTTCACATATTTCTTGTGGTGTCTTTGGATTTCCTCCAGATGTACTTGATGTAGTGGTAGTTGTAGTAGTTGTTGGGGTAGATGTCGTAGATGATGTGGTTGTACCACCAGAAGAAGGATTAATAAAACGAACCAATCTTTTACCATCAAACATGAACCCATTCAAATCCAACTGAACAGATGCAAGACCATATTGTGTAGGTGATGACTCGAGTGTACAATTTACATTGGTTTGTGAAGTCTCACCAGCATTGACAATACAATTCATTGTGTTGTTGATCTTGATGGATATACCAGCTTGTCCAAATGGTCCAAAATCACCCATTAAACTAATTGATCTTTGTGTTGTACTTTGATCATTTACAACACTAGATGTTACAACTGGATATGCTAAATAAAAGAAATAAAAAAAGATATGAATATTAATATATTAAATTTAATTATTTATAAATTTTTTAATTTACATTGCGATACATACATTTTGAACAATTATTATAATAACCACCTTGATTGATATTACATATACAATCTCCATTTGGAGTACAAACACCATTTCCGTGACAAGATTTTGTTAAAATCTGGCATTGAGATTGGAGTGTCAGTAATTGGAATGTATAGGTATTTGAATATCCATCGACAGTGACATTGTAGGTAACCATACCACCAGTCATTTGGGCAGCCAATGTACAATTAATAGATGTTTCAGAAATGTCAACAATATTACAAATTGATTGACTGTTTTGACCAGGCACCACATTTTGAATAGTAACCGATGCTTGTTGAAGACTTGTTCCAAAATTACCAATTAATTTAATGATTGATCCTACACTAACATATTCATCATCATGTGCTACTCTTTCTATCATTGATATTCTAAAAATAAAAAATAAAAAGAAAGGTTAAAGTAAGTCATAAGAGTACTCTTTTTTTTTTTTTTTTTTCATACCTTGTAAATAAATAATTTCATGGTATACTAGATAATAAGAATTGTGAACGGTCATATTTAGAACTCCAAATGAAAGACCAGTAAAAGAGAATGCAGAAGTACCTGTACTATTTTCATATGTGCTAATTGATGGAATAAAGTCGATGATGCCACCAAAGGGGTATTGATCATAGTTGACGAAATCATAGGACATTTTCACAATGGCCTTGTTAAATGGAAGTTGTTTGATTGTGGTTTGTTTAATGACAAACCCAACTTCTACAACGGTAACAGGAAACTGATAAGTAGGATAATCGTTACTTAGACTTAATGTAAGTGCACGTGGGGGACCCGAGATATTATAGTTCATTTGAAATTGTAACTTTTCATTTGGGATTATCCTTGTGATACTGTAATCCGGTGTACTAATTCCATAACCAATATTTTGACCTGTAATAATAGTCTATTTTCAAGTAAGTATAAAATAATTATTAATATGACATAATACTATACTATATATATTTTCTATATGGTAATTCTTACATTTCCAAAAATCAACACCATACCTGTTGTACTTGTAAGTTGTATATCTAAAAAATTGAAAAATGGTTTTGATATTAATAGAGAACAAAGAAAGAAAGAAGTAGAGACCTAGGTGTTAATGTAACTTACCACAAGCAAATTGTTGGGGTGGAGGTTGTTGGTTTGTAAATTTTGTGTAACAAGATAGACAGTCTGGAATTGGTGAAATGGCAGTAAAGGCATAAAGGAACATATAAATATTGCAAACTCTGGAAGTGTTGAGAGGCGTGCTGAATAGTGGATTGTATTGGACATTCAAAACAAAATTAGGACGCATATTTTGTAATAGGAAATCAAAATCTACATCTTCTTGTAAATTGTTATTATCATAATAACTATTTAAATATTATTAGATTTGTTAGTTTTTTTTTCATCCCATACATATATGTGATAGAATAGATAGATAACATACGCTGAATCTAAAGTGTCGGGGTATGGGATATTGGGAATCTTTGTGAAATTGGAATTACTAAAGGTTATTGAAGAGATGGCAGGTGGAAAGGTTGTGAACGGATAAGTAGTTAACATCTTACTCTCAACTGTGAGACCTGAGAGTTGATTCCAATTTGTTACATCTGGTACATTACTATTCCTCCCTTTAATGGTCCTATACAAAAATATATAAAAACCAAGTAGTTAGTGTATTTGCTGCAGGTTATCTTGCTTTAAATATAGATTATTGTTGTTGTTATTGTTGTGATAGTTTACAAGAATTGAATATCAGTTGGGTCTTGAACATGGATTGTATAAGTACTATTTTTACCCAAGAATGATCTATATAAATAAATAAATAAATAAAAGAGGTGTATAAGAATTAGGATCAATCAATCAATCAATCAATCGTCTGTCTGTTCATAATGTGACCATTATGATCGTCTGATACTTACAAAGCTCCACCATTTGTTAGGTTATGATAAAATGTAACAGATGTATTGGTCGTACCCGTAAAGATCCTATTCAACAAAAAGTGTTGGTTTGATTAGTTGATTTGATGATGATGATCCATATCTTTCTTCCCTAGTACTAATAATAAATACATACAAATAGTTGAGACGAGGGAATGATTTTTGAAGCAATGTAAATGTGAGTGGTCCAGATGGTGCCATGGTGATTGTTAACATGGTGACATTTGGTAGATAGAGTGATCCATCAATAGTTAGAGCTGTCAATGCAGTGGAAGAAAGCTTAATAGTCGTTGCCTTGCTATTATTAAAAAGATTTGTAATAGAAGTTACACCATCGCCAACGATTGAAATAGTATCCAACAATGAAAGTGTCGATATATTGGTTGGAATCGTAGTGACAGTTGGTTCGTTTTCAAGACTATGTGATTAAAATAAATATTGATTAAAATGTGTCCCAATACTTGCAATACATATGTGTTTACTCCCTACTCTATCTATATCTATACATACCGTAAAATAGTAAGACTGGCAAAGTTTGCAACATGGTTGATAATAGATTGTGATGGGTCTTCAACGGTAACAGGTTGTGAAAAGCCGATATAAAGTTGGTTCAGCTGTGGAAAGGAGAGAGCACTTATGTATCCTGGTGCTCCAAGTGAATTATAGGTTTTATCAATAACACTGATTTAAAAGATAGATAGACAAATATTAATATATAACTATAGCTTTGTAAAGTACTCCCTCTCTCTCTCTCTCTCTCTCTCTCTCTACATACATTGAAGTAATATGAGCAGGTGATGATGATTCGTTACACTCAAATACAACACTACTACACAACTCTGTATCCATCGGCACGAGTAAACGATACTGTTTGATTATCCATATTGCACTATCATCTGATTACCCATGAAATAAATAAATAAATATGTTAGAATCAAATCATCAATCAAATCATTGTTTTTGTTTTGCATCCAACATACATTCGTTTTGGTCAAAAGTCAGAGCAGATACATAACCTAAACTAACTGATAATATTAAAGATATAATGGATAGTACCAAAAATACTCGTCTATAGTTATCTCTAACAATCATTTTATATATATCTCTCTATTTCTGTATGCAAATGAAATGAACGAGAACCAGAGTTCAGCAGACCTGTTGTTTTAAAACGGCCTACAGAAGAAATGAATGTTTTATAATTAAAAATCAATAAATATCCATCGTTGGGTTTCACTGATCGGGTTCCTCTGCATACGCGGATGGGTTTGTAGAGAGCTACCAACGTTGTTTGCAGTGTTTTTTTTTTCCGTTTCTTTTTGGAAAATGAATCGATACTCTCTCTGGTATTGGTATCCAATTTTATTCAAAAAAGAATTCTAATACATATAATTACTTTTCTAAAATACCAACCTTTCTCTCTTGTCTAATCAGACGACAATACAACCAAGATCATCATCATCACCACATCTTTTCTTCCTAATAAATATATTATTATTTTTCAAGTTAGTATAGCGAATACAAGGTTGTACTTCCTTTTAATTATTAGATTGATATGATATGATATGATATGATAGACAATCGAGATCATAGCAATATTGCATATGTTTACAAGTACAACATTACAAAGTCGAGTGATTTGTTAACCTATACTGTATATCACTCTATTATTTCTTTCTCTTCTCTTTTATCTCCTTTCTTCCTCTCCCTCTTTCTCTCTTGCTTATCTCTCTCCTTCAACAACTTAGTAATAACACATTAGACACTTTAATTATCTCTTTTGATTGTGTGTTGTTCTCAAAAGAAGTGTGAACTCTTTGGTTGGCACATCATCCTCATTGTTTTTTTTTCTATCGGGCGAAAAAATCATCGTATTAACTGAAATTTGAATCATTTTTTGATTTTTTGGTACTGCTCACTCTCTGCGCTCGGTGGGTGCGCAGCTCAGACTGTGCAAAAGCAATACATCTGCTATTGATAAGACCCTTTTACTCTTTCAGGTGTTGATCGAAAATGTCAAGAAACTGTACGTGTCTATATTATTCTATACTATCTACTCTCTGACACATAGGGTGTTGGAGTACAGCATAGGGAAAGAGAAGAAGAAAGAAGAAACAGGATTATAGCTAACCACAATACTCTAAATACTACATATACATTACACATCATCATCATACACTACTCTATCCCCATGATCATTCAAATAAACAGACAGAAGAACAAGCACAACCCCACGTCGTCCTTTCGAAAAGGCCAGAATCGAAAGTGAACTCAAGGTCATTGGTGAATTCGGTTTGAAGAACAAGAATGAAGTCTGGAGAGTCCAACTTGCCCTCGCCAAGATCCGTAAGTCTGCTCGTGAGCTCCTCATTCTCCACGAAAAGGAACCAAAGCGTATCTTCCAAGGTGCTGCTCTTCTCCGTCGTCTCCACAAGATTGGTGTCATGGATGAATCCAAGAACAAGCTCGATTATGTTCTCGGTCTCAAGGTCCAAGATTTCATGGAACGTCGTCTCCAAACCTTAGTCTTCAAGCAAGGTTTGGCCAAGTCCATCCATCACGCTCGTGTCCTCATCAAGGGTAGACACATCCGTGTTGGTAAGCAATTGGTCAACGTCCCATCATACATGGTCCGTGTCGACTCTGAAAAGCACATCGGTATGAACCCACGTTCTCCATTCGCTGGTGGCAAGCCAGGTCGTAACGCCCGTAAGGCCCTCAGAAACAAGTCCTCCAAGCCAGCTGAGGAAGAAGAAAACTAAACCATCTTCTGTTCAATAAATTTTAAATATAGTAAAACAACGACGACGAAACATATCGTATATATATATTTATATATATATATATAGACATCATTCCCATTCATCACCTTCCAATCATTTTGGGTTATCCATCACTATGAACTACGTATAAATTTATCTTTGCACCAATAAGGTCATTGAAAACCTTTTACTTTATCTGTTGAATAATATCCAAATGCCCCAATATTTTGGATGATGGTTGGTAAAACCTAATTATAGGATAGAATACCAAATCTTTTGCTTGATTCATTCAAATCCATTTGTTCTTTCCATTCATTCAATTATAATTATTATCTCTTTACTTTTTAATTATTTAGTTTATCATGGTTCAATGTTTTAAATGTACAAGAGAAGGACATTATGCCGATCAATGTAATGGTTATGACAATCCTCCTACTTCTCGTGGTGTAGTCAACGGCTTGAAATCAATAGAACAAGCACAAAAGTTTAAAGCAGCTGCTTTCGGAACTGCCAACTCTACAAATGGAACTGTTTATTATCCATTTAATAAAAAGTAATAGTATTATACTTGTTTTTCTGGCAAATGAATAATAATAAACTTTTATCTTTCCTATCTTCTAAACGCCAATTAAATTGATGGGTGGTTGGTTGATCAAAATAATCTCAAAAAAAAACAATCAAAGGAATTAATAATATATTTATATAAATGGTTAATTGAGGGGGTTTATTTATTTGGAAGATGGTTTCTTTTTCATTGCAGGTTTTCTACCAGATTGTTTGACTGGTGCACCTGGAGCAGGTGTTTTCTTTACATTTTTGCCCTTTGGATTTTGTTTGTTGGGGAAGATACGGAGTTCACGTTCGTTCATCTTGATGGTCTTGGCCTTGATGGCAGCCTTTGCATATTTCTTCTTTTCAAATAATACATAACCGAAACCCTTTCCTTGACCAGTTTGTCCATCTCTAACTAATCTAACACTTTCAACTCCTCCAAATGCATGATCAAACAATGTAAATATTTCTTCATTTTCAGATTCTACAAAAAATAAATTAAATGTAAATAAATAATAATAATTACATAATCTATTTCCATATATATAATTATTTATACATACCAAATGGAACATTACCAATGAAAACAGTTTCTTCAACTGAACCCTTTTCATGTTTATGTGATGCCAAATCAACGTATAAATGACGTTCTTTGAAGATGATACCGTTGCATTCGGCAACTACCTTTTGTGCACTCTCTTCCTTTTCAAATACAACGTATGCATTGCAAGTCTCACGTTTCTCGTTAAACTTTTTGTTAATGTATGAATCCTTACGATTAGAGTCTTTACTCTCGGTTGAAATAGATCTTAAACGTGCTGATTCTACTTTACCATATTTTGAAAAGAATTGTTTTAATTCCTAAGTATAATTAAATAAATATTAATATTAATATATAAATATATAAATATGGAAATTGATTATTATTTGTTGATGGTTATTATTTGTTTCAAACATACTCTTGGATTGGTATGAAGTTCGACATTTGATAAAAAGATGGTTCTCTTTCCTTCTTCTTCTCTTGCTTTAGTGTCTTGTTCCTTTCTCTTGGTTTTGTCTTCTTCTGTGAGGATTGGTTTGCCGTGTGGACCCAATTCAACTGGTTTTGGGATGACTGGTGCCTTTTCTGGCACTGGAGCTTCTTTGAACTCATTGGATGCAGAGAATGCATTCATTACATCATTGTTGGCTGCTGATAATGTTCCAAATATTGATACTGTTGGTGCGGCAACTACTGCATCTGCAGAGGTAGTAGTAGTGGTAGTAGTTTCATTTGTGGATGGTGTAGTGGTAGTAGTTGATGTAGTAGTTGGTGTAGTAGTATTTGATTTCTTTTCAACAGTCTTTTTAGTAACAGTCTTATTATCTATTTTCTTCTTCTCTTGTTGTGGAGTTGGGACAACGACAGCTGGAGCTGGAGTTGGAGTTGGAGTAGCAACAACAGTCTTTACAACAGCAGCAGGTACCTTTTTCTCTTCAACAACCTTTTTCTCTTTCTTTTCTTCAACAACCTTCTTTTTAGTATCAGCAGCAGTAGCAGCAGCTACTTGTTTCTTTACTGGTGTATCTACGATATTCTTCTTTGCAGCTACTGTAGTTGCAGCGGTGGTTGGTGTCTTTTCAACCTTTTTAGTTGCAACAACAGCAGCAGTGGTAGCTTTAGTTGTTGTAGCAGTAGACTTCTTTGTTGATTCTTTGTTTGCCATTATGTATGTATTTATATATATTCCTCCTTCTTTCTCTCTCTAATCTAATCCTATCAAACAAATAAATAAAATACCAAAATCGAGAATAGACGACTCGTTCGTTTTTCAGTGTACAATTTTGTTTGAAATTAATATGAAACAACAAGCAGTTGGTGAATTTCTCCATTTTTATCTTTCTTCTTCAAATGATTATCCCATCTCTCAAATACTACAGTATTCATATATATATCATATACAGATAGAGTAGAGAGATACATGAGAGAGATTGATTATGTGAACAAACATTGCACGCAACAATTGGATCGGAATTTTAACATATCCCAAGTGTGTTAGAGGGGGGGTAAAGGGATTGTGATAAACAATAATCCCTTTTATTTTGGTTAAAAAAGATCATCAATTGAAAGAACAAGAGAATAACAAATCATTCGCGTACAACAAACAATCATTTATTTGTTATCTTTATTTCTATTATTAAATGTATTCACCCACTCACATAAATAGATATTTTTACTTTTAGAACCCAAAAGGGAGGGAGGTTGCTATGAATATGAAGAGGTTCATTTGCGTAGATTGGGGCATCCCAAGAAATATCAGAGCAAAATTTATCTTTTCGGAGTCAATTCTCGTGAGCCGAAGGCAATTTCAGTGCATCCCTGGGTGATCAGATTGAATTCTTTTTCGGTGATGTTGGGAACCTTGGAACAAAACACTTTTTAAATTATTATCCTTTTTAATTATCCTATCATCCTATCCTCCTATCCCGCTAACCTTAAACTAAACAAACAAACGAGCTCAAGCGGATCATTATCATTTGGCTATCCATCAGAATAGATAGATAAAATTACGACGGAGATTTCACTCTGATCAGCCCTACTTAAATTTTATTCCCTTCCCATCTTTTGGAAATTTCAATCCGCCCAACCGACTGTCTGTCTCTACTCAGTACTACCTTACACCCACTTCAAAACCAGTTTTACTCAAACCACTCATCATCTCGAGTACCCAATCAACACTTTAAATTTACTCATAATCTAAAACTACTAAGTAATAATAATAATAATAATATTTGTAGTACAGCAATAATAAATAATAATATAATATAATATAATATAATTTAAAATTATTTATTTTACAACGATAGAATAGATTAATTAATAATCATGACAGAACAACAAGAAACAACTGTAGTTGCACCTAGCACTACTACTGCAACAACAATTGAATCAATCCCATCATCATCATCATCTAGTAGTGTAGTAGTAGTACCAGTTGACGAAGCAGCTTCATCATCAAATAATACAACTGATAAAGGTAATCATAACAAGGAATGTGTAAATCAAGATGCTAGTTGTGAACATTATGTAAAGAAATATACACCATATTTGGATATAGAATTAAAGTATGTTGTTTCAAAAATATAATAAGATTGATGTAAAATGACTTTTATTAATTTTGATTGGTCGATCCTTTTTAGGAATCAAGTTGAAATTATAGATCAAGATGATTTATTAGATAATGAAGGAAAGTTGAAAAAAGGGGGATGGGCAAGACAACCTTGTTTAAACTATAACCCATCAAGTTTGACTAGTTTTAGAAAAGGATATAGATTAAAGGAATGGAATTATTATGGTTTCGTGACAGACAAGTTTTACTTGGCCGTTGCTGTTGCCAATCTTGGTTACGTCAACAACTACCAAACCTTTTTCATCGAATTTGATAAGCCAAATAATATCATAAAGGATGATGTCATCAACACCTCTTTTGTAACAAAAGGTATGCAATTACCTGCCGATAGTTCTGCACCTGGCGTTCACATTGATTATACATCCAAAAAATTCTCACTTAAATTTGAAGTAACAAATAATGGTAATGGAAATGATATTAAACATAATATAAAAGTAAATATATATCATAATAGATACCATCATGATGAAAAGAATAATTTATTAATTTTAAAATTGTATTTATTTATTATTTGTTTTAGATTAAAAGTAAAAAGATGAAATTAGATGCAGATATTACATTGGATTTAAGTCCAAATAGAGAGAGTATAGTATTGGTAACACCAATTGGAAAAGAAAACTTTTATTATAATCGAAAAGTTAATTTAATTCCAGTGGTAGCTGGTAGTAAACTGCAAGTTGGAGATACAGATTATTTGGCAGAGAGTCCGGATCGTCAATATAATTTCACCTATGGATTAATGGATTGGGGTAGAGGATGTTGGGACTATAGTTCATTTTGGTTGTGGTCATCGGCTTGGGGTGTCACTGCTGATGGTCGTCCAGTAGGTCTCAATTTAGGTGCTGGGTTTGGCAATCTAACCACCCATACTGAAAATTGTGTAAATATTGATGGTCGTATTCATAAACTAGGTCAAGTAGATATAAAATACAACCCAAAAGATACTGCCAAACCATGGTTATTCGAATGTAAACATGGTCGTTTTGGTGGTAATCCAGTTGTTTTTACTCCATTTATTAAAAAGGTTGAATCTAATAATTTCGGTATCATCTCTTCAAGTTTTGATCAAATTATGGGTAATTTTAAAGGTTAGTAGTAGTAACAATAGTAGTAGTAATACTCTCCATTTATAAACTATAACTAACCAAATTTAAATCTATCTATTATTAATATAGGTGATATTATTCTTGATGATGGAGAAGTCATTTCAGTTGACCTATATGGATTTTCTGAAGTTCATTTTGCAAGATGGTAAAAAGTTTATTAAACACCAAAGAATAAATTAAATATATATAAAACATGTACATAAATATAAATTAAAAGAATATATAGAATATACGATAATAATAATAATAATAAAACTCTCTTTGAAAAAAAGTAATTATTTAATCAACCTAAAAAAATTAAAAGGTTCTTTCTATTTATTATTATGGTATATATGAGTATTAGGTATTGTATTGTATTAATATAGGGGATTTCGAGTAGGTTCGGTTTCGGAAAAAAAAGAGATTTGATTTGGTATTGATATTGATAGAGTCTACCTTGCTATTATTGTGTGTGTTTTAAACACTTCCATATTTGTTGGCGCCATCTAATAGTGGAGAAGTTTCAAACTTTCCATGGTTCTTGAGGTAGCTTGGTTCCTTGATTGGGATCATTCTGAGTAAAAGACCAACAACCAAAGAGAAGAAACCGGTCACGACGCAACCAATCCATTCATAGACACCCAATGGCACAGTCGAGGTGACTTCACCACCAAAAGTGACAAAGAGAACTTGAATAACAACCGTAATGAAAAGAATAGTAACATAAATTGGATTGGCAAAAATACCTCTAAATGGATTTAATTCTAAAAAAAGGATGGAATAGAAAAGGAGCTATGGTTAGTTATTGAAGAGATATATTATTTCTATACAACTTACTGTTTCCAAGTACTCTAGCATTAATTTCGTTAAATAATTGCATAAATACAAAAGTATTGAAAATGATGGTATAGTGACGGACAGAGTCTTTGATGATCTTTTCGTGGACAAAGTTGTTGTAAATGTCGGTACCGATGTAGAGAAGGACAAATTGGACGGTGAGCTGGAAGACGGCGTGACCGATGATGTTACGCCACATGGTACGTGTGATGAGAGGCGAGTCTTTACCGGTTGGGGGACGTTCGAGGAGATCAGGTGTGGGTGGTTCAGTGGCAAGAGCCAAGGCAGCCATAGTATCCATAATGAGATTGATCCAGAGGAGTTGGACACCGGTTAATGGAGACTTTCCATTACCATAGATGGTACCGACAAAGGCGACAGTGACAGCGACAATATTGATGGTCAATTGGAATTGAAGGAATTTACAGATACTGTCGTAGATGTTACGACCCCAGAGTACGGCACGTACAATAGAGGCAAAGTTATCGTCGAGGAGAACAACGTCCGATGCAGCAATAGCCACCTCGGTACCAGAGATACCCATGGAGAAACCGACGTTGGCTTGTTTGAGTGCGGGAGAGTCGTTGGTACCGTCACCAGTGACGGCGACAATCTCACCCATATCTTTGAGCTTGTTGACGAGACGCAACTTGTCGAGTGGCGATGAACGGGCGAGTACACGGAGACGTGGGATGACACGTTCCAACTCGGCTTCGGACATTTTGTTGAATGCAAAGCTGTCCATTGAGATGTCGCCCGGTTGGAGGATACCGCACTTTCTGGCGATGTTCTCGGCTGTGACAATGTTGTCTCCGGTGAGCATACGCACGACGATGCCGGCACCTTGGCACTGACGCACGGCACCGCGCACCTCGGGACGCAATGGGTCACGGATACCGAGGATGCCGACGAGGGTGAGACCAAAGTTGGGCTCATCGGCCTCTTCATAGTCGTACTCGGCCTTTTTGTAGTCCTTGTAGGCGAGCCCGATGGTACGGAGCGTGTCGGAGGCAAAGCCAAAGATGGCCTTTTCGTAGACCTCCTTGGCGTCGGCGCCGAGGGGCTGGATGTTGCCGTCGGCGTCGAGGTACGAGTCGCAGGCCTCGAGGATACGCTCAGAGGCACCCTTGACGTAGAGACGCACGTGTTGCTCGTCGAGTGTGACGAGCACACCCATGCGCTTACGGGCGCTCGAGAAGGGGTAGAGCTTCTCGACGTGGAGACGCTTGCGGACCTCGACATAGTCGGCGCCAAACGTCTTGGTGAACTGGAGCAGGGCACCCTCGGTCTTGCTGCCGACCACCTCGGTACGGCCCTTGCTGTTGGTGCCTTCGTAGGCGTTGCTGTTGACGCAAATGCCGTCGGTGAGGATAGTCTGGATGGATGCGGGGACGACATAGCGCAGGTTGTAGTCAACGTCGTCAAATGGCTTGCAAATGTGGCCTGCGACAACCGTCATGACGTTTTGGGTGAGGGTACCGGTCTTGTCCGAGCAGATGGTGGTTGCGCCACCCATAGTCTCGCAACTGGCAAGGTTACGCACCAAGTTGTTCTCTTTGAACATTTTGAGCATGCCATAGGCGAGCGCCATGGTGACGGCGAGTGGCAGACCCTCGGGCACGGCCACGACAACGATGGTGATGGCACCGACGACGATCTGGGTGATATCCGAGACCGAGGCAGCGGTGATGGGCTCGTCGTTGACCTTTTTCGTGATAAAGTATTTGGGCACGGTGATGAGAATCATGAGTGCGGCAACAGCCAGACCAAACTTGCCGATACGTTCGGCCAACACACCCAACTTTTCTTGGAGTGGGGTGTCTTCAATCTCGGTACGCAGCGACATCATGATACGGCCGTTGAGCGAGTTGACGCCGACGGCAGTGACCAACATACGTCCAAAACCCTCTTGCACCATCGAGCCAGAGATCAAGAATGGGTCCATGCCATTCTCGGGCGACCCCTTTTTCACGGGGTCCGACTCACCCGTCAAAGATGACTCGTCGCACACCAACGAATGTCCCTCGATAAAGACACCGTCTCCGCAAATAATGTCACCAGTGTCGACGACCAACACGTCGCCAACCAACACGTCGAAAATAGAGACCAACATTTGTTGGCCACCACGGAACAGCTTGACTTGCTTGTCAGCCGACTTTTTGTTCAACTCTAGGAAACGTCCTTGATTCTTGTAATTGTTGATCGATGTCACCATCGTAACAATGGCAACAGCCACCAAAATAGCTACACCATCGATCCATCCAGTCTTGGGGTCATGCGATGTCCATTTCAAAGCACCCAAAATAATGGAAATAGTAGCTGCAATCACCAAAATAATCAATGTTTCATCTTTTAATGCATCTATAATCATACTCCATAATGAATCTTGTGGTGGATCTGGTAAAATATTTCTTCCATATCTAATGTACAAAAAAAAAAAGAAAAAAGAAAAGAGGAAAAAAAAGAGGGGGGGTGTTAGGGTGGATTTGGAAAAAAAAGAGGGAATCAATCCAATCGACCAATCAATCGAATTTGATCGATATATATAGTGGATGGTATATATATATTATATTACTAACCTTTTAATACGAAGATTTGACTCTTCAGTCATGATCATATGTACTGGTAGACCTTCATCAAGGTTAACATTTAATTTATCGGCCAAACCTTTGACACCACCAAGGTCGGCTAATCTCTTTGGATTCTTTGGAATGGAAACTAAATCCTCCAAATGTCTAGTGTCTAGAGTGAAATCTTCGACTTTGTGAAGACCAATATCCTCTTCATGTGAAGGATATACAGATACTAAAATTGACATTTTTTATCTATCTATCTATCTGTTCCTTTTTTATATTATATAATATATAAATATACGTAAGTTGAATAGGTTGTGTGATGTGGGTGGGGAAGGAGAGAGAGGGAACTAGTAACACTATATAGTTTCTGAGTTTGTCGCTTTTGATACTTTCAAAAAAAAAAAAAAGCAAAAAAACAAACACCCTAATTGTAATTATTAATCAATGAATATCGTTGAATCTGATTGATTGATATGTTTGATGGATATATATGATATATATATAAATATAAATATGAATATATGAATGATAATAATAAATTGACTAGCCTAAGAAATACTTCATCCCAATCTATCTATCTTTATCTTATCTACCTATCTTATCTATATACTGTATATAAAAATGAACCAAACAATGCAATGTGATGGATGATGTATTAATAATAAACAATAATGAATGTAATGTGTGTGTTTTTGGTGTAAACAGGTTTAAATCAACAGTGTGAGACTGGAGACAAGGTCTGGGTTGGCAAAGGGAAGCAAGCGCATTTGCCATTTTACGTCTTTAAAAAAAGTCGAAAACCTCTTCGATCTACACAAATTGGTGTAGGTAGAGATTTTTGTGCATGCGAGAATTCTCAATGGGTATGCGGCCTACTTTTCGATTCGATGGGATCACCTCTGGAGCTTGAGAACGAAAGATAAGTCTCAAGGAGACAAGGAATCGCAAAGGCAACAAAGATATTCTTTTCTTTAAACTTTATCTTATCTTTTCTACTATACCCTACAATATCTATAGTTTCTACAACCGCAGGATTAGTCAAATGACAGGAAAACACAAAACAGCAAATGGTCGGTGAATCAACACAAAGAATGAATGAATGAATGAATGATCATCAACACTAAACACTGATCAGTGTCAACCATTATTTGGGTTACATGTACCCATCAATCTAAGACCTCCCCTCAAATCATAATAATGAGGTGGTGTACTCAACTCAAAGACTCACAACATCCTCCTCCTCACATCCTCATATATCCGACTATCTACCCATCGCAACAACAATGTCAGTACCAACTAACAACCAAACCACCACCATCCATCAATTATATCATTCAGCAGGGTTATTTGGTTGATCATATGGCGGGATTCGGAGCAACCCCAAACCTGGTTATTAATTGTCCATTATAACCTTTTACGACCAATCAACCTTAAACCGGTTGCAACGCAACGACTGTCGTTGTTGTTGTATTTATTAATTAATTAACTGCTCGGCTTGGTTGGAACCACCTGACTCGACTCTTTCTTTCCATAGTCGAATGTGCGTTGGAACATTACTAGATATGGGTCGTACCTGCCCTCTTCTCATTTTGGCGTTTAATCCGGAACATAAGAGTACTTTATAAAAAAAAATCTCCATCCAAAATATCTCACCTTTATTTTTCCACCCATTACATTGTCGTCTCGCTTGCCAGATAACAAATCGGTTAGTGGATGATAATGATCATGGATGTGATGCCGTGGTTATACATAGACCAAGCCAGCCCAATCATTTTCATATTTTAGCCGAGATTAGTCAATGAACTACTTTCCTTGACTTGATTGGTTCGTGTCGCGCACTGGTAAGTAAACAATGCTCAATACCGGATCTGGGTATATGTCAGTTGACACACACACACACTCATTCACACAACATTGACCACTGACCATGACCATAACATCATGTTCATATTATAATAATTAGAGAAAAGATAGATATGCATGGTTGTGATGGTACCCTTTCGGTTTGGCAGAAATCACCCCCGTCACTTCCTTTCCAGATATTCAGATGGTGGTAGCGGTAGCTGTGGTTAGGGGGTACCCCTCCTATTTATGGATGATCATCGGCGGCAGTGTTTGGAAAACAGGAAGTCTGTTGTTGCACGCAGTATTGAGATTATAGTTTATTTTCTCTTCCAACCAACTACCTACCTACCTAAATACCCAAAACTAGAAGAACAAGAACAAAAAACCCAACCACCAATCAGCAGACAATCCAACTATAGAAAGGAGTAGGTAGAGTAGAACATAACATCAACATCAATAATAATAATACCAAACGATTGAAAAATCCAACTTGTGGTTTGTGGGGGTGGTGTTGTTAATTTAGACGGTGCCACATGAAAACAAGCACGCTGTCATATCAGTGTAAACAAGATCAGCAGCTGTCAGCTGTACAGAGCACGAAAAGAGAAGAATTTAAAACAAAGAATATCAGACGAGGATGGGAAAGGTACTAACCAAAAGCACAGGAGAGGAGAGGAGAGGATCCTCCTACTTTGTTGCGCAACTTCTCACTTTCTCTCGTTTTCCTTTCTCTGCCTTTGTTGGTTACTCCACTTCATCGAATTAATTGTCGATCATCAAATCAATACGGTATCAACAACAACAACAACAACAACAACTCGATCATCATCATCATGCACCATCCATTCATCCATTCATCACCCAGACTCGTTCTTGGCGACAAACCACCCACCCTCCACCCTCTTTATGATCCTCAAACAACACCCCGCCCTCAGGTAAAAAGTAGTTTAAAAGAGGCAAAGAAGCTTAGTAGTCGTCAATCGATGATTATAAAAAGGAGGATCCTCATCAGTTTAGAGTTTTAAAGTTACAATCAACCTTTTTTGTATTTATATTATATATATTGTATTGTTGTATTTGTAGATAGTAATAATAATAAAAAATATTATTATTATTATTCAATTCAAACTTATAGTGTATGTATTAAACTACTATTAAAGGACTGACCGACTGACAACTGACCGACAGACTCGAGTCAACTTTCGTTATCGTCCACCCATCACCCATACACCCACAATACACACACACACACACATCTATCGATTCAATAGCCCATCAATCATTTCGATCATCGATGTGATGTTGTTATTTCAACTTTTAAAATATCACAATAACACACACACAGACCACACTCGTCAAGTCAATATGTTCAACACACCCATCCAATATCTATTGATTTTGGTGGTTTCCACATTTGACTAAATTGATCCCACAAAAAACCAATCGAAAGGGGTTTAAGAGAGGAGGTTATTGTCCTATTCCACCTCACCTCTATGTTTAACACCCCCATCTTATCTTACCACACAACAATATTGTTACTATTGATTGATGATCAATCAATCAATCCAATCATCTAATCGTTAAATGGAACTCGGGTATATACATACCCCCCTTGATTTATCAGAATATTATTCATCCCACCCAACCTATTACTATTATTTTCCAAATATTTGGCTCTCCACACGACGGTTATTTATTATTTATCATGACATTGGGTAGTGTTGGTTTCTACTTTGAGTGGAATACTCATTCATTCATCATTATGTTGAGACTAGACAGAATGCAACATAAAAAGACAATATTCTCTTCTCAAAAAAGTAATCGTAATAATAGTAGAGTAGAGTAGAGTAGAAGAAATCAAGATGATTTACGATATCTTTGAAAGAAGCCAACTTTCTCTCTGGTTGGAGGAATGGCATCCAAAGAAGTAATGTATTGTGTGTGTGTGTTGATCATCTCGTTTTAGTGAGAAAACAACAAAACTTACTATTTGATATCATCATCATCACTCACCTCCAAATGGTCAAACGTATTCTCCTGTCGTTCTGTTCTATTCTGTCATTTAAACCCAACCCACCCACCCACCACCTTGTTTTTCACACCATCGATAAGTATTCTTATCAAATCCTATAATGATCATTGTTGGTATTCTTGATTAATCGATTGATTGATTGATTAATTGATTGATTAATTGATTGATTGATTTCAAAGTAGTATTGGTTGATTGATTGACTGACTGACTGGCAGAATGGATGATGGAACAAAACTAGACAGGAGAGGAGAGAGGGGGTGAATCACCCTACGGATGACAGACAGAATCAAACAACTCACTCCTACTCCTTCTCGCTCGCTCAATCACCAATAGGGACGGTTGTGATGATACTTCACAACCCCCACCATCATATCAATCTTTAATATATTATTTAATTTTGTTTAAACATTCATTTTGTAAAATCAAGTTTGGTGCTCAATTTAATCATCTAATCCACAAATTATAAATTCATTATCCTAAGCTCAGCAATGCTTTGTTTAAAATAAGTGTTGGACGACACCCACCCCTTGACTTGACTTTCTGGTTGGTGGTGGATGAGGAAGGGGGTAGGAAAGCTGAGTTGAGCTTAGCTCAGCTCCATCACACGGTTGGCGTTGCTTCCTTCTTTCCTCTCTCTCTCAACCCAAGAAATTAATTAATTGGTGGTGGGTCATGATGATGATGATGTACATAATGCGCATATATACATTTACGGACGGATGGTGATATTTAAATTAATATTGTGTTTGATATTTATCACCCCGTCCCCGACCAACAGCCTGGCTAGTTCCACTTTTAATATAAATAGGCGTCAGTCAGGTTTATTTAGTTTGGATGTCACCAACCAGTCTCATCTTCTTATGTTGTTTTTAAATAAAGAATTAATTCCTTATTTAATTATTTATTGGCATGGAACATTCTCGAGTAGCCATCCCCCTAAATTAAATCTCAACCTACCTTACACAATAATATCCAATCCACCCATCATCAAAAACTAAACAAAACTAAACAAAACAAAATATATATATATATCGCCAAATCAATTTATTTATTTTATTTATTTTATTTATTCACCATCATCACGTTGCTTGTTGTCATTGACATCATCAACACTTTAACACTACAACAACTAGACCGCCGCCAACAAATTGTTGATTATTATTTAAAATATCTTCCATCCCTCCCTCTTTTTTTTTTTTTTTTAAAATAGTGTTTTAAGAGATAGATAGTTTAAAACTATTAATATTTCCAGACAATAACAACAAAATCTGTTTGGTTGTTATATCTAACACTCGAGTATTATAAAATACCACCAATTCCTTAATCCTGCTTTTACTTTTTAGTTAAAAATTACTCACACCCCCCTCCCCGCAATCCACCTATCTTTTATACTTTTGTGGCTGTACAAATAATATTTATATCTTAAAAAACCATTGTGCAATCGTAAAAGATACGACTATATATATATATAATTCAACAACAACAACACCGTTACATGAACCTAAACCAAAACCTTTTTAAATGTGTTTTCCAACAATAATAATAATTTACAAATAATAATAATAATAATATTAATATTTTTTAATTAATTATATCCTATCTAGTTATTCCATCCAATTTTATCGATAAAATATTATAATAACTATTCTTCTTCCTATTCTTCTTCTTTGGAATAATTCACACATCAATTGCCATTTGATAGATCTATCCATTTCCAATCAACACACCTGTAAATAATTTTCTTTTTTTCATCATTCATTGGAAATCAATCTCATCAATATTTGACTCATGGCAATTATTTCAAAGCTGGTTGCTACAGCTTTTTCATTATTTATGCTGCTTGCATTATTATTATTAAATAATTATCAACTTGTAAATGCACAAATTACAGCTACCATTTCCGTTGGAAGTTCAAGTTTATTTCTAGTCTATGATTTTATAGTCGTTGGTAGTGGTTCCTCTGGTTCTATTATTACTGATAGGTAATGTAAATCAAAATAATTTAAATAATTAAAACAACATGATTTAATTTCTAATTAATCTTCTTTTATTTTTGTTTTTTTTTTTTAGATTATCAGAAAAGGGATATTCTGTATTAGTTTTGGAGGCAGGTAAAAAATCGATTGCAGGGTTGGGTGGAGAAGACTATGTTGGTACAAGAGGTACTTTAAACCCAAAGAATAACGAGTATACTGCCAATCGACCAGTCACTGCATTTGACGTGCCACTCTACTGGCAAAAGGCATCCATCACTGGTCCACGTTGGGATATTCAAGGTGCTCAAGTAGCCAAAATGATCGGTGGATGTGGTGTTCACAATGGAATGGTTTTCCAAAGAGGTAAAACTGATGATTATGATGATTGGGGTGTTCCTGGATGGTATGTAAACCAACAAACTCAAATATACAAATAATTAATATTTTTTTTTTTGTTTTAGGAATTGGACAACAATGGAACCATATTTTAAAAAAGTTTATACTATTATGGATAGTCATTTAGTTAGTAGTAATAAACATGGACACCAAGGTAAGATCAAGGTTGGCACTCGACCATTTGATCAAGAGGGAAGAAACTTTTTGTTGAGTTGTAATTCGAGTGGACTGCCATACAACAATGATTTCAATGGAAACGAATTTAGAGATGGATGTGGGTATTGGCAATTCAACATTAATGACAAGGGTGAGAGATCGACACCAGCCCACGAGTATTTGACCAATGCTACCAAACGTCAAAATGTCCAACTATTGACCTCTGTCACCGTGCTGCGTGTCAGATGGAGATATAATATTATTTTGGCCAAGTACGAGGCTAGCGGTGTCGAGTTTATCCTCACCAACAACCCAACGCAAGTCTACTATATCCAATGTGCCAAAGAGGTCATCTTGACGGCCGGTGCACTCAACACACCCAAGATACTCATGAACTCGGGTGTTGGAGATGCCGCTCAACTCGCTCAATACACACAACATATCCCCACACTCATCAAGCATCTGCCAGGTGTCGGACGGAACCTACTCAACCACTTTTTAATCTTTACTATCCATCATTACAACGACACCTCTGACGAACGTCCAACCATGTACGACTTGTTTGGTATCGACCTGCAATACAGTACGATGGGCACGGGTATCTTTGCTACACCCGGGTACTCGGTCGGTGCATGGTTGCGTCCCAACGGCACAGGTGGAGAGGCCGAGAATGTCATGCTCATCCAGCCCGGTGTCATTGGTCAGTCTGTCCCATTCAAGGCCATCTCGATGGCCATCAGCATCTCCAAACCCCAACCCAACAACCACTACCTCACACTCAACACCAACCAGACTGGCTCTCGCATCGACTTTTTCCAGAGACCACCTCTACTCAACTTTACACTTCTCAACAAACAACAAGACATTGATACCCTTGTCAGAGGATTTAAAGAGGCCAGACGTATCCTCTCACATCCACCCATGTCCAACTATGTCGCTCAAGTAGTCCCTCCTGCCAACGTTGTCTCTGATGCCGATATCGAAGACTTTGTTAAAAGTTCGGCTGTTTCTCATGAACACTGGTCTGGCACTGCCAAGATGGGAACCGAGTTTGATCCAATGGCCGTTGTCGACAACAAGCTCCGAGTAATTGGAGTACGAGGATTAAGAGTCTGTGATGCATCAGTCTTTCCAAAACTACCCCACTCTCTTATTCATGCTACTGTCATGACAGTTGCTGAAAAGGCTGCCGACATTATCATCGATGATTATGATCTATTTAATTAATCCAATTAATTAACCCAAATAACTTAACCCAATTAATTAATTAATTCATTCATTATTCCCAACAACATTCTCACCCATACACAAACACACTGGAATTATAATTATCTATTTTAATTCAATCTCGATTAATAAATTGTATTATTTGTTGTTCTTTATAATTTGTATTTTATTATTTATTATTTATTAATTTCAGACGGTCAATATTATTATTATTCACCATAACCATAAAAGGATTGCCATTTCCAAACCAAAATAAATATTATTGTTTTACTTTATTAAATTAAAATTCCCAAATTAAGTGATTACATTAAATTAATTGTGGGGAGGGAGGGAGAGTGGGTATAAGTGGGATCATCAAGGGAGGAGGAGGGAACCCTTGTAGGGTCTATCGAATGAGGGATAGAGGATGAAATGACCACCAAAGACTATTTTGAGGTTTAGTACTCCACATGACGTCAGAATAAGTTGAGTCACATAGAGGTGTGTTGTAAATATTGATGGAAAGTCATCTGTTGTTTTTTCAAAATAGCACGATCAAACCCAATTAAAGTTAAAATGGTGGTGTGGAGGGATTTTCGAGACCTCGAAACTCAAGATTTTTTACGTTTCGAGTTCCCATCAACAAATGTCTCATTTCTTTTCGCAATAAATATATATATATATAGTTATATTTGTTCTATTGTAATCTCAAAAATAATATGAATATATATATAGAGCTATCTCTTCTTGGACAACAAATCTTTTTTTTTTTTGTTTTATTTTTATAATCACACAACCAATATTCCACTACAAACAACGAAATGAAGCTCGTTTTATTCATATTTTTTTTAATACATGTATTATTGTTATTATTATTATTTTCAAATGTAACAAATGCACAGATTGGTATGTTCTAAACTACACTTTTTGTTATGAGATCTCATAACAAACTTTGCAAAAACTAACCTCTCTTTCTTTATTTATTTCTTATTTTCTTTATTTTCTTTATTTTCTTTATTTTCTTTAGGTATACCAACCATATCTATTATATCACCATCACCAGTACCCAAAGAAACAAGTAAGGTAATAATATTTGGACAAAATCTTTTTAGTTCTCCTTTGGGTCCATCTGATCAAGACTATGTCAACATATCATGGCCAGGCTTTGATTATACGATCAGTGGAAACACAAGTATCAATGTTGTAGGCTCTGGTACCGGTTTCGAGGTATGGGTTCCTGCTCGAAACGATACCTTTCAATTTACAGTGTGCGTTGCAAGAACCTGTAGCAAAACATTGAACCTCCTCTCAATGGCACCTTTTGTTTATTCTGCTACACCAGCCATTGCAAACAGAGAACAACTCATAACCATATACGGGTCTAATTTTTGGAATGATACATCTACTTCCTTTGTTCAAATTGGCAATAGTATTGATTGTCCCATCATATCGATCAACAATACAATTGTTGTATGTAAATTCCCTTCATCACCTTTCCAACCAGGTGGTCATTACATCAACGTCCATGCATCTCTATACGAAGCTGTCGAAAACTCTGCCTTTTTGTTTGTTGATCAAGGACTATGCAACTGTTCCTCTAATGGAGTTTGTGGTGAAAGTGGATGTGTATGTAATGATGGTTATTCAGGCCCATCTTGTTCAAATGGTAAATATCAATGACAATCAAACTATTATAAACAATTAAAGTTAATTTGTATTTTTTATTTATTAATTTAGTAATAATTGAATCAAATCATACAAGTGGAAATGATTCATCATCATTGATTACAGGTGGTGATTTATCTGGTAGTATTACAGTGGTTGGTATAAGAGAAATTGATGTGGATGGCAATATTGTAGTATTTCATTTATTTCAAGATTGGCAAAGTATTGTTATCAATGATACCAACCGAAACATGTCTGGTATTGACCATAGTATTACATTCAACAATGCATCGTCAACCGTTATTTACAATACAAAGATAGTAAATGCTGATATTACAAATGTGACAGTATACGTGCAATGGTTTAACAAATCGACCACTATCCAATATAACAATGCAACCGTTCAAATTGGAGACAATACATTAAAGTATTCAATTGGAATGACAAAATACAGCTTTACCAATCATCTAAACACCCTACAACTCGTAATCAAGGCATCGATAGCAGCAGATTTAAATCTACAAAATGTCACCGATTGTGATGGAAATACCAAACCACAGGAAATGATAGAGACTAGTGCTGGAAAGGCTACCGATCTTGGTTCGGTACAATGGATCAAAATTAAAGCCAACAATACATCATTTTATGGTCGATTTATAAAGACTGGTATCATTGACTCCAAATCAACAGTCATTACCAATGTTTTTCTAACAGGTTTCAATGATACAAATAGTCAAGGAACGTTAATACCAACAAATGATTTAAATGATAAATTTGTTGCTTTAAATATTCCAAATTATAAGACTGATATTTTATTGGATCCTGATTTCATGGTAAATAAATCAATAGATAAAAGAGATGGCCAGCAAACAAAAATACTAATTAAATAATTTATAGGTAATTCTTGATTCAAATTCAGATCAAAATGATCAAATAGAATGTTCATCAAATGGAGGATTAACAACGACCAAAATCATAGGTATTGCAATTGGATCAGCAGCAGCATTTATTATTATTGTTCTTGTAGCAGTATACATTTTCAAAATTAAATTTTATCGTGAAGGCAAAATGATGAAGATGGCTAGAATGAACCCAAATAATACAAATGATCCCTAATTACAACTATAATAATAAACCAGATATTGTCAATACAATACAATACAGTACTATTTGTTTCCACATGCAAATTATAATTTTTTAATTTAAATCTTCATGTTTAAGGACCACGAACTTTACTTTTTGAAACTTGTTGCTCAGATTTAAATGTAAAGTGGCGCAGTTAATCTATGTTTCATGGTTGAACTTTTATTCATCACAAGTACAATACAACAAACCCTTAAACATACTTACCTGATGAAATAACAGGTGCAGCAAGTATCACCAATATAAACCAAAGCAAAGCCAACTCATTTCGCTTATCTGGTCTTTGGGCTCCATATATATCATCAAAACAGAGTACCATGCGACAACACTACACTCCTATTTTAGAATCATCGATTAGAACAACAATCTAGTTCAAACACTACTACTACATTCATTAAATAATAGACGATCACTCGATTATAGAAACCAGCACAATCAATAATAATGATCACAATCTCAACACCACAAATAACCATGGTAGTCTTTTAATCTACTAATTAAACTTTATAGTCGTATAGCATCATAGGCAATCGTTGGTTGTTTTCAACAGAGATGGTTTTCCCTTCGAATTGAGGTCTAGTAGGAATGAATCGAGCCCAAGTTCATTGGTCAGACAAACTAGAGTTAAAGATTACCACATCACTTGGGCTAGTCAAATTGGATCCAATTTAATTCTAACCTACAATCAGTTCCTTTGACTAGCCCAAGTGATGGGTCTTTCTACTCTTCTCCAACCTTATATGTAATTCAATATAATAATAATAATATGTTTATTTTTTTAAAGTAGTCGACAAGTCAGATGAACTTGTGATCTTTTTTACTCACTTATATTAAGCTTGCTCTCTTACTTTTCAACATATATCTATATAAAGATGTCAATCTATAAAGGATTAACAAGACTCTTATCAACATCATCATCATCAACACAATCTATAATCATCAACAACAATCGATGTTTATATAATAGTACCAATAGATACTTTTCAACCACAACTACTACAACAACAGTTGACTACAATGCACCATTGAGTGCAACAGAGATACTAAGAAAGAAGTTATTATATCAAAGCAAAGAGAGGGGAATGTTAGAGAATGATCTTTTATTGGGCACATTTGCCACCAAACACCTTCACTCCTTTACAGATGCTCAACTCAAAAAGTACGACATTATCATTCAACAACCAGATCCAGATATCTACAATTGGGTACTCAGTAAAGATATAGTACCAGAGGAATTAGACAACGATGTTATGAAGTTACTACAACATCATTGTCAAAATAATCCTCTTGGTTATTATAATAGTAAATAAATAGATAAGATATATATAGATAGATAAACAAACAACAAACACACATATACTTTACTATAGATAGTTATCGATTTTATTATTATTATTATTATGTACATTGATATTGGTATTGGTTTGGTATATATTGACTACAAGATTATATGATATTCATATGATTGATTACATTTGATTAGTCATCATCAAATGTACCATAACTCTTTGTCCTATTCAAGTTTAAATATTGGATTGATGATATAGTTAGTTAATCAACATTAATCGCACATGTATGGAGATTACATACAACATATAAGATCCATGAACAAATGCTCCAGCAATTGTTAATCCATACAATGCCCAATTTAATCGAGGGTATTTATCTCTACCTATAAACTTGACTGCACCCATGATGGGAACAGCAGCCAATACTTGAAGATACTGGTAATTTAATTTTCTTGCTGGCTTTACCTTTACTGTATCAGTAACACTTGAATACGATCCATTATTATTATTACTACTCATTTCTTATTTGTTGTACAACAAAAGAGAATAAGATTTTTTGCTCCACATGTGTTAGATTGCTTTCGTTTTTTTAAGTGAGTTTAATTTGGGCAAAGGTCACAAACACGACAAGATTTAAAGAGATCTAATGTTCAAAAAGATAAACTATACTCTATATTGTTTTTTTTTTAAGTTAATTTTTAATTTTATTTGTTATATAGTTTATTTTTTAAAAGAGTTTACAATAATTTTTTTTTCATCATCTGATTTACTTCTTTTCAGTGAATTCAGCTTCAGTGGTATTGTTATCCTTGTTTTGAGTTTGGTTGGTGTTGTTTTGTTGGGAAGAGGCTTGAGCAGAGACCTTGGCCTTGTAGGCAACTTCGAAAGTAGAGGTGGTGAGGTCACGGAGCTTCTTGACTTCGGTTTCGATGGCAGATGGGTCTTCGTTGGCCATGACGTCACGGACGGCTTGGACGGCCTTTTTGATTTCTTCACCTTGTTGGGCGTTGAGGTATTCCTTAAAGTCGACGAGATCCTTTTCGACTTGGTAGACAGATGACTCGGCAGAGTTCTTGGCTTCGACGAGGTCACGTCTCTTCTTGTCGGCTTCAGAGTTGGCTTCAGATTCCTTGAGGATACGGGCAATATCTTCCTTGGAGAGACCACCAGAGGCTTGGATACGGATTTGTTGGGCCTTGCCGGTGGCCTTGTCCTTGGCGATGACTTGGAGCATACCGTTGACATCCATGTCAAAGGTAACTTCGATTTGTGGGACACCCTTTGGGAGTGGTGGCAAACCAAAGAGGGTGAACTTGCCGAGGAGCTTGTTGTCGGCAGCCATTTCACGCTCACCTTGGAAGACCTTGATTTCGACTTCTTGTTGACCGTCAGAGGCGGTGGAGAAGACGTCGGTCTTGGAGGCTGGGATCGAGGTGTTCTTCTTGATCAAACGAGTGAATATACCACCCCAGGTCTCGATACCGAGAGAGAGTGGAGTGACATCGACCAAGACGATACCCTTGGTGTCACCCTTGATGACATTACCTTGGATGGCGGCACCGACGGCTACGGCTTCGTCTGGGTTGACACCCTTGAATGGCTCCTTGCCAAAGAGGTTCTTGGCAACTTCGACGACCTTTGGCATACGGGTCATACCTCCGACGAGGATGACTTCGTTGATGTCCTTTGGAGCAAGGTTGGCGTCCTTGAGACAGATCTTGCATGGCTCGATGGTACGGTTGATCAATTCCATGACCAATTGCTCAAACTTGGAACGGGTGAGCTTCATGTTAAAGTGGAGTGGACCGCTTGGACCAGCAGAGATGTATGGGAGGGAGACGTCGGTTTGGAGGGTCGATGAGAGTTCGCACTTGGCCTTTTCGGCGGCTTCTCTGAGACGTTGCATGGCCATTGGGTCGTTCTTGAGATCGACACCCTTTTCCTTTTTGAATTCGGCGGCCATGTAGTCGGTCAAAGTGACATCGAAATCTTCACCACCGAGGAAAGTATCACCGTTGGTGGCACGGACTTCAAAGACACCGCTGACAATTTCGAGGATAGAGATATCAAAAGTACCACCTCCGAGATCGTAGACGGCAACAGTCTTTGGATCGTCAATCTTGAAACCATAGGCCAAGGCGGCGGCGGTTGGTTCGTTGATAATACGACGGACGGTCAAACCGGCAATGGTACCGGCATCTCTGGTGGCTTGACGTTGGGCGTCGTTAAAGTAGGCTGGGACAGTGACGACAGCGTCGACAATCTTTCCTCCGAGATTGGCTTCGGCGGTTTCCTTCATCTTGGTGAGGACGTAGGCTCCGGCTTCAGATGGTGAGATTTGCTTACCCTTGACTTCCATCCAAGCATCTCCGTTTGGTCCCTTGACAATCTTGTATGGAACCATACCCATATCCTTTTGGGTCATTGGATCATCAAAACGACGACCAATTAAACGCTTAGTAGCGAATAAAGTATTTGCAGAGTTGGTTACCATCTAAAAATAGAAAAGGAAAAAGAAAAAGAAATAGAATTAGAATATATTGTTTTTTTTTTTTGTATATTTTAATTTGTACTTACTTGTCTCTTGGCTGGGAGACCAACGATTCTTTGACCATCATCGGTAAAGGCAACGACGGATGGGGTAGTACGACCACCTTCAGCGTTTTCGAGAACACGGGCTTCAGTACCTTGCATAACAGCAACGCAAGAGTTGGTGGTACCTAAATCAATACCGATGACAGAGCCAGTGATCTTTGAGTTTTCTTGGCAATATGAACGAACACCATTGACCTAAATAGAAAATAGTAAAAGAGAAAAAGTAAGTAAGTCAAACTGTTTGAGATGTAATCTTGACTCGAGTATTGTGTGTGAGGTAGATGAAAAAAAAAAAAATTGTCGTATGATTCGTGTCATTGTGAAGAGAGTACTATGAAAATTGTTTCGTATCCAAGACATACATATATATGAGACAATTATATAAATATATATGTGCCTTTAACATGTATATTTTGGTCAAACACAACATTGATTGTACTCTTTCAAAAAGAAGAAGAAGAAGGAAAAAAAAACGAGACAGACGAATGTTGTGAAGTTGCTTGTTGAATCTGCTGTTTTCGAAAAGTTGTTGTTGATAGTTGCAGTTGAGAGTTGTTGTTTATCTACATACCAATGATGGCTTGGTTAACTTGGTTAAAGCTTGTCTGAACATTCTTTAATATATGTGTGAATAAAAGTTGATGAAATACAACAACTAGTTGAAACTATGGTGAGGAAATAAAAAAAAACAAATGTGCTCATCATCAAGCTCGTTTTCGTTTGTTCTTTTTTTTTTTTTTGTTTTTTTTAATTTTTTAATTTTTTTTTTTTAAATGACTATTTGCAAGGACGAAAGCCTCTTTGAGCCCTACTTTTCGAGAGCTCGTCTAACGAAATGCCGATGAAATTTAAATTACGATTGATAAAGTATTAATTACGACGACTGCCAATATACCAGGAGTAATGTCATCCCTAATTTGGGACTTTATTTGATAAATTGGTTGACTAGTCAGTTATAAATAAACTACTTTTCATTGCAGAGTCATAGATTAATCCATTGTAGAAAGTTCTTGAATAATCTTTAGAGAGAGAGAGACTGAAAGAGAATGAAAAAGAAATAAAGAGAACGAAAGAAAACAAAAGAAAAGATAAGATATCAATTTTGGTGTTAGTCACATTGATTGTACTTCTTACACATGTGAGATAAACTGACTATTGGAAGCTGTCTGGATCAATCAAAAAAAAGAAAGGAAAAAGGGGTTTGATTTGGGTGGACCAACTTGGGAGGACTACTCTTTTTATTTGTTTGTTTGGTTTCTTCTTTTCTTCTTTTTGTTTGTTTCTTGTTTGTTTGTTTGTTTTCTTCTTTTTGTTTGTTTGTTTTTCTTTATCTTTTCTTTTTTTTTTTTTTTTTTTTTTTATTATTTATATAAAATGAGCTAGCTAGATTAATCTAAAACACAATGATATCTTTTACAAAAAAACACATACAGAAAAGGGTATATATAAAAAGACCTATAAATTAAAACTGTACTTGGATGAAACATTGAACAACAAAGGATTCCTACTACTACGACTTGACAAACTTGGAAACTTGGGGGATATTGAAAGACCAATAACAAAAAATAAATATATAAATAGATATAGATAATAAACCAAAAAACTAATAATAATTGAAAAAAAGAAAAGAAAAAAAAAAAAGGTTAAGAAGTATCAAATCGGATGAGTGCAAGTGTTTTGATTTCTTCTTTTTTTTAAAATAAATCTTACATATACAATACTACAAGTAGAGAGGTTAGTAAAAAAAGAGAGAGGGAGGGAGAAGGATACTACATTTAAAATATTTTGAGAATCTTTAATTTGAATTATTTTTGATGGCAGAGGTCACTATAGTTTGTTTGTCTGTCTATGTCCAAGTTGGTAATTGACTTGGTTGAAAAATAAATAGTTGTGTTTAGTGATTATTATTATTGTTTTTTTGTTTTTTGAAAAAGGAACAATCCAGCGATACATATTACCCATTGATCGTCGAATCGTTTTATAAAAAAGATACTACCTTGATTAAATTCCACACTCTATCCAGTCACTTTTTTTTTTTTTGTTGTTTACCTTTTTGTTAGATTAAATTTCCAAGTGCAATGATAATTAACAGTTGGTTGAATATTGTTCAAATAATTCGATAAGGATTATTATATTACATGTTATTTATGATTTGTAAATTACATTACCTATGTTTAACGTCCTCCTCATAAATTGATTAATACCCTACTTTTTACTTACAATACATATTGTTTTTGTTTATATTGTTGTAAAAGTTATTTTGTTGTTTGCCTATTTGTTGTTGTTGTTGGTTTGTGAAAAAATTGATTTTTGATTTGTGTAATGATTGGTGATAATTATTATTATTATTATTATTATTAATTATTTGTTTTGTTTGATTATTATTACAATACTTTTTGAGGGATTTTTATCCTAAATTTACATAATGATCATGTCCGATTCACTTGGTACATTGTCATTGAAATTTGGAGAGGGTAAAGGAGACGATGAATATTCAACATTGTTAAAATCTAGATGATTTAAATCTAAAAGTGAGTGTGAATAGGTGTTGTCATGAGAGCTGTTGTTGGTGCAACAGGCAGATGATAATGGTTGCTGATAATTCGACATCTCGATATAATCGGACATTCTAATTACCTGTTGTTGATTATCTTCTTGCTTGGTAGCAGCAGCAGCAGTGTTGGTGGTCTTGAAGTTTGAGAAACCAGCGTCACCGTTACACTTGACAAGGAATGAACCAAAGCTGCAATTTCCGTCAAACTGCATCTGTTGGCCATTGGCTGGATTCGCAGTATGCTGGTCACTCGAGCCATGCATGGCAAGGCCGAGGTTTTCCAGCATATCGGTATTAATCATAGGGAACGATAAAGACGATGAGGTGTCCATCGACGAAGGGACGACCTCAGGGGATGAGGGCAATGACGACATTTGTTGTGACTGGGGCTGGAAGCAGAGTTGCAATTGGGGGGCGGTCTGCTGACTAGAACATGGTGGCGATACTGGCGAGTAGGCTGGTGGGAGACAAGGTGGCGAGGCAGGCACGGAAAGCAACGTATCATTGTGCACAGAGATGAGCTTGTTGAGACCAGATGTCAACACGTTGATTTGATTGACCAACATTACATTTTGTTTGTACAAAAGAGAAATTAATTCTCTATCTTTTTTTTGTTGTCTTTTGACTTTTTTTAATACTCTTGTATCATTGGTCATTGCTGCCAATGTATTTGATAGAGTTGTATTATTATTTATAGAGTTGATATTTGATGGTGTTGATATTAATGTAGTTGGTGTAATTGGTTCTAATTGTTTTCTTTTGTTCTTATTATTATTATTATTATTATTATTATTTGTGATTTCTTGTTGTTGTTGTTCATCTTCAATTATTATTTGTTGACTTTGTTGTTGTTGAAGATCACTAATATTTCTTTTCTTTTTTGGGTCTAACTTGGATACACATTTGATGGGTGGAGAGACGACGGATTGAGAACCAAACTTGATGGTCATTCTAAACGAGATACCTTCTTGCTTGGAGGAGAGGACGTGGATACGAGCTTCGACGGTGATGGATCCTTCCTTGAGGTATACGTTGTGATCAAATGACGAGGTGGTACGGCAAACGATGGCTTGGTCGACATTGTCAGCTTCGACGAGGTCGACTGTAATGTCTTGTGTATCTTGGGTGGCAGAGATGCTCGACTCGTCGCCTGGATTGGACGAGACGACTATGAGGAAGGGTGCGTTCTTTACTACTACATCCTCTCCTGCTACGATACTAGTATCTTGGAGTGAAATGCGATATGACTTGTTGTTAAAGTTATCTCTTATGTTTTTGTTATTATTATCTCTGTTGGTGTTGGATGTTGCTCTTGGTTTTGCCATTTTTGGTAGTTATGTTGTTGCTTATATATCTGATATTATTACTATTATTAGGGTGTTGTGTTTGTTGTAATACTAAAAGTTGTTTTGAAAAGTAGTGAATAGAAATAATATTATTATTATTAAAAAGTAAAACAAAAGCAAACAATACAATACAAAAGTTTTGGTTATCTTGAGAGTGAGCGAGAGAGCGCAATATTAAAAAAAAAAAAAAAAAATAGGCTAGCTGCAATATAAAAATTTTCAACAATGGGAAAAAAAAGAGAATCAAAACACTCTCAGTATCTCACGCTCTCTCTCTTTTTTGAGGGCAAGAATATCTTTGATTCATCCACATCCTTTTCACAAGCCCTGTTGGGGATGATGAATAGATAGATATCCTTCACACAAGGCAAGTTGATTGAAAGGGATGCTATGAGGTGCCTCATATCTAGCTACCTACATCTTTGATTTATTTAAATAGAAATGCTGCAAGATAATAATTCTTTAACACATCAACACCATTTACCAAACTAGATAGAGTTGATTTAAAAGAACTTTTAGCGATAGGTGCTAGATCTTCTGATGGTAATCTTCGGTTCTCTTCTCAAAATGCCTTTTGAATGAAGCTACTAAACAAGAGGGCCGACACCTATGCTATTGCATCTCAACACGTGATGAGATCAATGTGTATATTCATGTCAGAGAATTCTATCGATGGTATAGCAGTCGGTCAATTGTACACCAATTACATACCAACATTTTTTGAAGACAATACAAATACTAGTATCAAAAGTGAAAGAGTTGTTGCTAAAATTCAAGGACGTACCTTTTGGAAAATAATCATCCAAGTTTATACCCAACAATCAGATACCACTGAAACTGATGCTGACTCTGACGCCTCCCAAAAAGATATTAAGAGATTTATAACTTATTAACCACCATGTTACCAAACTAATTAGAGATTCCAACAAAAAGGAGGATCACAAAGCAAAAGCTTTTGTTTCTACATTTTACAAAATGTATTAGTACCTCTACTATCAAAGGATACCTTGAAAGTAAACTACCATTACAATTCCTCAAGAATTTATATCAAACATTAATTGTCCTATCTTGTTTAAATAAATAAAATATAATTAATTTAATTTCCAGATCGGCTTGTACTTGGAGAGACAATAATTTTGTTTTATAGCTATTTTTTTTGAAGTGTTATTAGCTTTTTATAATATGATACAAAAGAGATAGAATAAATGGATGTTATTCCAGAGTTTGAATCATTTATCAAACTAGTTGAACGGTTAGATACTTCTTGCAAGATACAAGACAAAGATGCAAATAAACAATTTGGTGTATACTTGGATGGGTTTTACGGGACTACAATATCTTGGTTGGCTTTGATTTCAGTCTCTTTTAACCTAACAATAAATGTAAGTAGTAGTACAGCACTATCAAGTGTCATTGATGATAAACTTATCATTTTAGTCAATTTCTAGGTTCGAAGTCAAGCCATTCTATTACTCTATGAATCATTGAGAAGGGATGCTACTGTCTATATACCGGTGGCTGATAAGAGTGGGGCATCAGTTCTTAGATTATTTGATCTTTTAATTTGTACAAAGGATAAAGACGATGGCGATGAAGATACTCTTCTTCTTTTTTCAAAAGAGACAATCAAGATGATACATTTAATATTAGATATCATTATGCAGGCTAGTCAATCCATACCAAAAGGTAATCATAATGTACACTACAATATATATACTATGTATCATACTGACTAATATATTTATCATTCTTAAAGTCGAATATGAAGATTTATTAAAGAAATTTAAAGAAATATCAATATCTGACAACCAACCAATTCAAAGATTAAAGACATTGGAATTGATTGAAATATATTGGGATGGTCTTTCAATTCAACAAGATCTATTTCTACCATCACTTTTGGGGTTTGTGACAGACATAGATATTCAGATTCAACGTCGAGCAATCAAGATTATCAATGATATTTGTCAAAGAGGTGAATGTCCAACTGTAACAAGAGAGTCTAAATTCATGGAAGCCATTTGTCAAGTTGGATACAAGGTTGGAGAGAATCATCTAGAGATGGATGATGTAATCATTGACAAAATGAAATCCCAAATAAGATGGATCACATTTGTTGGTGATGAATATAAACATGAATTTCGACATTGGAATGATATCATTCCTTTAATTCATCCAAGTAAATATAAAACTGTATGTATATATGTGTATATATATATATATTAATTAACTCTCACATCACTTACATATCTATCTTTAGTTATCAGATAATATTATACCAATTCTTTTAGATAAAATATTTGAAGGGTTTACTCCAGACTCTTTTATCGATTTTTTTTTTAAAATTGGTATTACTGTTGGATTGAAATATTTCAACAAGTATCTCATCAAGATGGTGTTGCGCTTCAAGTCACCAAAGGCTCCACTTGTACCGGGAAGCCTATTTTTAAAGATATTATCTCATTTCTCAAAAGATGATCATATATCTTTGTATGCACCAGTATTTATGGGGTTACTATTCAAAGAGGCTCCTTATCCACTAGGCAGATGCAACACTAGAATGCCCCTTTCATCATGGTTGACTCGTCTCTTGCCACAATTACCAACACCCTATTTCAAAATGATCACAGATCACCAACTCTTGGCACTCTCTTTAGATTGGCAAGGCACTACAAACAACCTAACAGATATGTTAGAAGAGATGATGGCTAGAGATATGACCGATCATTCCCAATACCTCCTCTATAACCTTGTAAAAAGGCTTATAGAGACATGCACCAACAACTGTCAATACAGCAAGATGCGTTCAATTATCACAGTAATCCAACTCATTTTGGAGAATGCAACAAACCAACTATCACTCCCATTGGATCTCACCATTGACCTATTTAGTAGTTTTGAACTATTAGATCGACACTTGTATGGGCTTTGGGAAAACAACATCAAACTAGTTGAACTAGATGACCATCTTTCCAACTCGAGTTGTCGCACTTTTGCATACCATTTTGTAAACTTGTCTTTTGCACTAGACAACTCTTATGGTACTGCATCTCAAATCATTTCAATCAACAAAAAAGTTATACATTACATTGAACCGTTTCTAACCAAATGTAGATCAGCAATCATCGAGCTGTGGTCGTCACATGATCAATTAATGTTTCACTCTAAATTTTCACAGGATTGTCAACTATTGGTTTTGTCAATGTGTATATTCCTGTCAGAGAATTCTATAGCAGTTGATGGTATCTCTGACGTCGGACAATTATATTCATATTATATCCCAACATTTTTTGGTCTTTACAAGGACAATATTCAAAACTACCCTTCCAAAATATATGGACGTACCTTTTGGAGAATAATCATTCAAGTTTATAACCAATCAACTCTGATCTCTGACCAACGAGACATCAATGAGATTTACAGACTCATCAATCACCATGCTACAGAATTTATAGATTCCAACAACAATGCTGCTGCATCAAAAGTATTTTTACAAAATGTATTAATTGTATCAAATCGCAAAGGTACCATCAAAACAAATAGGTTTGGTCTACCAAAAGTTTACATAACAATCCCTCAAGACTTTTTATCAAATATTAAAATGAATTGTCCTATATTGTTTGAATAAATAAAAGAATTGATATGTTAACATCCAAATTTATTATTTAAATTTAATTTGAATAGTGATAAATAATAAATAAATAATGGATTTGATTTAATTGTTGTTGAACTATTATCTTCTTCCTCTTCTTCTTGTTGTTGTTGAAATTTACGTAGATCATTGACTACAAATTGTAAAAATGATTTTTTATAGTTACTAACTTCTTTGGTTATAATACTATTGTTATTATTTTTGATATTTGTAGTTTTTTTAAATAAATCAGATAATAATGTTCCTACAACTGATCTTGTTGCTATATCTAATTGATGAATTAGATTATTTTCACAAACTTGACGATCTTGTTGTCTTTGTTGGGTATCAACTATTGTATCTGATGGAGCAACAAAAAGTTGTTTGTTCAAAAGGTCTACGATTTCATTCCAAAATGATTCAATCCTATCCAAATTATTATTATTATTATTATTATTGTTGTTTGTGAGAGTATTATTAAATTCCCATTTAATATTTGGATTGTTTGGTGGTTCAAACTCTCTATTCATCTTGTCTATAGTTTCACCTGTCACTTTGATAAGAGGTAGTAATTTCAAATCATCTCTTTTCTCTCTTTCAATATTGTAGACTTTGCAATCATCCACATCTCTATTTATGTATATCACTCCAAATCCACTATTAACTATTTTAAAAGAATAGATAATATTATTAATAAATAAATGTAAAATCATTAACCAACAGCCAACAGTTGGATCACATACAATCTCTGCAAATACGATAATATGGATATCGCATACTCTTGAGATGAAAGTTATCATCAAGTAAGATCAATCTTTTGCTGCGTACTCCATCTGGTGATGGTACACCCAATTGAATAGTATTGGTCGGTTTAAAGAGTGGTAATATAGTTGTACGCATTGTTGGTTCCTCACCCAAATGCTCATTCTTTAGGATGGATTGCACTTGATTGATTATTTCTTGTCTTGTCATCTTCCAATAAGTAGTTGTAGAACCACTAGTATCTTGATCGACACTAGCAATATCTTGGGTTGTCTTTACCTCATTGTAAATCGAATCAAACTCTAAATACCAAATATCAAGTCTACAATACGTTGACTGTGGTGTTGAAGAGAGTTTAGTCAAGTATTCAATCAATGTCTTGCATAGATTAGATTTACCTAAGAGTATGATGATGATGATGATGGTCATTAGTTAAAGATGATATGTTTGATAGAGATTATATAATATGATATCTTACCCGATGCAGGTAACCCACACAATAGAATTACATTTGAATCATGTGATAATCCTATATTCATTCAAATGTATCTGTATCGATTATATGTTATCTGTATGTATGCACCTTTAAATAATGAAATGACACAAAGTGTTTATAGTACAGAACCCTGTCAAAAAAAACAGGTCATGAATGTATTTATTTATTTTTAGAGACGATTATTATTATTGATTATTATTGATTATTATTTTGAAATATAATTATATCTAGATAGATATTTGAACTATATAAAGGTATTGTTATTATTGATTGATTGATTATCTCGGGTTAGTATAGAAATAAATGGATTGTTGAATGGATGGTCGGATTGATGGATAGATGGATAATATTTTACAAATATATTATTCCCTAGATTTAGATAGTCTAGGGATTTAACAAATCGAGAGATGATACACCACCACTAGTATTATTATTATTATTATTATTATTAGATGGTTGAGGTGAAGTGGAATCGGTTAAAGGTCGGTCTGGATTAATGATGATGCCATCCTCGATGGTTTCATGGTAAGACGTGTTGAATTGGTTTGGTTGTATGGGTGTTGTCGCGAGGGTTGATGGTGTGCCAGACGATGACACGGCCGACCCATCCCGGTTGGCAATATGTGGCGACGAAGATATCGATACGGAGCTGAGCGATATTTCTCGGTTGATGAACCCCGACTGCGTATTGGAGAGAGACGGTCCGCCACTAGTCTGCGGCTTGTTGATGGTGCCTGATGGACCATTTCCATTACTGGTATGATGCGAAGATCCCGTGTCGTTGACACGTTTAAACAAAAAGTAGTTTCTAGGTGAATCACCACCCAACGCAGCCATGACAACGATGACTTGTATGAATTCGGCAAGTCCCACAATAAAGGTAGATATGAAACGGTAGTTACTATATGAATCCAAATGGAGTGCAAAGTTGAATACCAGTGACGACCCGGTCGATACAAGCACCAATACGATCAATACCGATGCCAACTTTACAGTCTTTGTAATAGTCGCCTGTAAACGTGGGATCTTTTCAACTTGACCTCTCATCAATTTAATCAAAACAATACCGTTGATGATGACTATGAACCCATACAATACAATGAATCCCAAGTTACCAAGCGAGCTAACTCTATCAATTTTGTCGAGACCAGTCTTGGACAATGACCACATGATGATATACCATGTCAACAGCAATGCCGAAAATGCCCATGCTACATGCCATGCTCTCTTTGAATTCTTTAATATAATTGCATTGGAAACAAAAAATGTATATAATAATTGAGTACCTAAAAAAAAAAAATAAAAAAAAATAAAGATAAGTATTTTTCCAAAACCATCATATATATGTATATTCTTTCTTTATCTTGTATCCTTGCTTACCAGAAACATCCTATAAATAACCATTCATTAAAAATGAACAGCGTCCCAAGTGTTGAGAGATACCAAGAAACTGATCCAACTCCTCTTCTTGGTAAAAAAAATAAATACATAAATTGTTCTATTGCTCGACCTATAATTATAAATATAGCATATTAATATTAATATATAGTTTGGTATATAGTTTGGATTTGACTTACATAATGGAAATAAAGTTATGGAAAGAAAAGTCATGAATCTTGGAGACAGTGGTTTTCTGTGAGTTCGAAGATGTTGGTATTCCAGGACGGTTTGACAAAGATTTAAAAAGAAAATGACAAACATGACACCTATGCGCAGCGACAACATTGTCACTACCAAAGTGTCATAGGTCTCATTTCCCGTATACGGGTTGGTTGTATTTTGATATGGATCTATTTGTGACATTTCCACCATCTGTATTTTTGAAAATATTATTGTTGTTGTTAGAAATTATATAAATTAGTTGTAGTTGTAGTTGTAGTAGTTGTAAAAGATGTAAATGAAATGTTTTTTTTTAAGGATGGGGATGAGATGATATATATGAAGATAATTGAAATTGATTACAAAATTGGTGATGGAGATCACATCGATGTTGTTGTTGGTATATAGGTATATTGATAACGGGAGTGGTGGTGGTATTAGAGTGGTGTTTGTGGGTGGGTGGGCGAGTGGGCGGGTTGGGTCAATTGGAATCAACAACAATTCAATAAGATTATTGTTATTGGTTGTTTGGGTGAAAAATGAAAATACAATATAATTATTATTATCTTGAAAGATAGATTAGGTGATGATAGTTTTAAAACGGTTTGCTGCAAATGGGATCGATTTGAAAAAAAAAAAAACAATTCCAAAGGGCGCGCGGATTCACGTGGTGGTTTAAGAGAACAGGTGGGGGGTGGGGTGAGCTTTGAGGTAGCCTAGGCTGAAGCAACAGCAGCAGACACACACAGATTCTGACAAAGAGAGTGATGGGGCTCCAGATCGACAAACAACAACTAGGAGTCTGAAAAAGATTCTTCTTATTGTTGTTTGCAATAGGTGACAGACGTCAAATTAACGCGCTCGTGTAATGCTACTACTGATTATTTTGAAGATGTACAATAAGTCACTCACTCACTCTCTTGGTTAGCCAACAGCTAGTTTTATAAGTGTTGTTGTTGATCGTGGCCTACTAAATAAAAAATACTGTTAATGTGTGTGTGTTGGTGTTGTGTGAGGTAATAATAAATGAATGTGGTGTGCCAAGGGATGAGGCGAGGGCTTCTAAAAGTAACAAAGTTGAGATTATTGGTAGTTGTGTAGATCTTAAAGGAGGGAGGAAAGCGCCTTGAGAGAGAGAACCAACCAAAGGACACGTTCTAAAAATAATGGTGAGCCGTCGACCCTAGTAATAGGAGGGTATCGGATATCCCTAAGGGTTACGACGAATTGATAAAATTACTATAATACTGGGGTGGGTTGATTGGGTCGCTAATCGAGGAACTGAACAACAAAATAAAAAGGGAGCAGCAGAATGAAAAAAAAACTCTTTGAAAACAATAATATCTTTCTTTTTGTGTATCTCTTCAACAAATGTGTCTCTTTGATTCCTTTGGGTTTTCGGAATATTTTGAAAATATCTCTATCTCTATTTTTTTTTGAACTTTGAATAAACGAATGGAATGAAAGAAATGAAATAAATGAATGAATGTGTATTGTTGTTATCGAGAGAGATAAAGAGAGAGAGAGAAAAAAAAATAGAAAGAAAAGATATTAAATTCTTCTTTAATTTTCCTTAAATTCCAAAATAAAGGTCTCGTCTCTATGTCTGTTCACCCGTGATCAATTAGAATATCAAACAGCAGTTGTTATTTTCAAGATTGATTGGCTGGTATTCCCCTTGATGGTTGGGGGAGGCCAACGAGATACAGATATTTGATTCAATTATGATGATCATGATTTCTTGTCGTTTGATGTTTGTTCAACGGTTTCGTTGGTGGTCACCTCACATGTGTCCAACACGATATGTGAGGTTCGCAATTTCCTTTTCCGGCAAAAAAAGAAATGGAACACAGAATTCTGTAATATTTGCAGGCACAAGCTGGCCTTCGTTGAAGGGGGCATGGATCCATCCATGCCTGTCTCATACTTATTAATATTATTACCATTTTGAGTTTTTCTGACCCATATGTCTATATATGATCACCCACCACGAATACAAGAGCATTGAATGGTGGATGAGCCATTCATTAAAAATGAACAGCGTTGAGAGATAGGTACCATGATACTGCTCCTAACTACTCTTCTTGGTAAATAAATAAATAAATAAATAAATATTATTCTATTTATTATTATTAATATTATGTTATTGATGCGAATCACATCATGATGACTGTCATTAGCTGTCATTGTCAGAGATAAATATATATAAATAATTTACAAATTTGGATGATGGAATACACAGAGCCAAAAAGTATTTTGGGCATGCATTCCTCGTGAAATAAATACTACTACTATTATTATTATTATTACTACTATTATTACTCAATATAAATTGTATATGTTTGTGCAATTTGCGTATTGATTTGGTTGATTGGTTGATTTTTGTTTTGATTCAGATTATTATTATTATTATTATTATTATTATTATTATTATAAAATAATTTGTTGAGTAGAATCTTGATGTGCAGTTGATGGTGTTGAAGCATTGTCTAATGGGGCAGTGTCTGTTAGACCACTACTACTCTCTTCTTCACGGGTCATGAATGTATCAAACTCGACACCAGTTTCGGCACGTGTGGCTTCTTCGACGCTGGTAGAGAGACCCTTGATATGGTAGACGTGGTTGGCAATACGAGGTTGGTCCATGACCGAACCAGCATCTTCGACGACATTTGAACTTCGCATAGAATTGTCGGTCTCTTGGAATGTAAATACCTTCCAGAGTTGTGAATTGCTGAGTGCCGTCATGACAATCACCGCTTGCACAATCTCACAAATACCAACTATCAGGTATGTAATATAACGATAATCAGATGTTCTCGATAAACCCAATGCCATCCATATAATATCTCTAAAAATAATTACTAAAATAAATACCAATAATGTAATTGATAATTTTAATGTCTAAAAAACAAAAAATTAATTAATTAATCACTTTTAAACTATCAATCCTATCAATCTAATCTTTATCTTTTTGTTTCAATATTTACCTTATTAATCGTATTTTCATATTCAATTGAATGATTTTCTTGTTTTTTAAGGAAACGGACTAGAATTAGGCCGTGGACCACGATGATGATACCGAGGATGATGAGGAACGAGAAGAACCCATAGGCGTAGAGACTGGTGGCAGCCGATTGCCTGATGATACCATAGATCAAGATAAAGAGCATCCAGGCTCCAAACACGGCAGCAAAGATCCATGATGTGACCCAAGCTCTCTTTGAATTCTTGAGAATGATCGACGTTGAGATGAAAAAGGTGTAGATCACCTGAACCCAGTAACAACCGATGAATATCCATCCTATGACCAGAAAGTACGTGCTAACAACTGCAAAGATCCATGCTTTTGAACCAACACCTGATCTAGGTATTGCGTACAATAAACATACTTGATCAGCTATTCTAACTGTTAAAAGTGTAATAAAAATAAAAAAAAGAAGAAGAAGAAAGAAAGAAAGAAGAGTAATAAAAAAAAGAAATTAAAAAAAAAAAAAAATAGATGTATGAGTAAAAAAAAATCGATCGGTATTGGGCATTTGTCATATGATGTTCGACGATGAGATATATATATATATAAAAGTTATATTTATAATTATTTGTTGTTTGATGATTGTGTGTTTGTTACATACATAATGGAAATATAATAAGTGTAAGATAGGTAATAAATTTAGGACCATATTTCAAACTAGAGACATATCTTTCAGTGCCAACCACACGCATACGACGTCGTTTTAATCGTTTGCAGAGATATATAAATTGCGGCACTGCAAAGAGAGGAATAAAAGCAAGGAAAATGATTCTTATCCAGACATAACTAAGTACCAACTTGTCATATACATCTGAACTAGTATATGTTGCCATTAAATTGTAGTAGCTGTTATACTACTACTACTAATTAAATAAATATATTAAATATAATAAATTATAGATAGATATATAGATATATATAAGATTGATCTCACTCTATTTGAGATACAACAATAATTAAATAAATAAATAAATAAATATTTCTATAAATAGAATTAGATACAACTATTATTATTATCTATCTAATTATTTGTTATCTTGTTTTTTCTATTAATATAATAATGACGATCTTTCTTGGTTGTTTGTTGTAGTTGCATGGAGAGGGTCTGGGTTTTTTGTTAGTTTGATGTGATGCGATGGATAGATGGTTGTTGAACGTCTTTTGTATTTTTGTTATTGCCTTTTTAAATGAGGAGGGTGGAGGAGAGGAGTGATTCAATATTACTGTTTAGTCGGTCGGTTGGTTGGTGTATGATCGAGAGGGGTTGGCTAATCTTTTTGCTACTAAACACACTTTACACTTGGTTTCCAATCGTAAGATGATGGTAGAGTGGTAGCGGTGTTGCGATGGATAGATTGTCTCGTATGATGCAATGATAAGCATAAAGAAGGGGGGAGGGGGACATGTGAGATGAAAATAGGGACAAACGAGATAAGCTAAACAATGATTGGCTGTTGAATCGCTGAATGGGGTTTGTGCTAATGTTGGTTTCAAACCATTCATCAATGGGGCTGAAAAAAATGACGGTTAAGATATTTATTCAATTTGTGTGTCGTCTCTCTAGTTCACCCAACAAACAAAATTAACTTGTTTGAGTTGTTTTTTCAATCCAATAGTTGGCTTGTTCTTCTTCTTTCGTTTAATTGTTTTATGTTTGTTTTTCAATGATGTCCTTCCATTCTTCATTGAATACAATTGTGTGTGTCGTGTTTGTTTGATGAATTATCGGTTGCGATTGTATGTGTGAGTGTGTGAGTGGATTGTGGTGGTGGGTGGTGGTGGTTGTGTGTATCTTGATTCTAATCGGTAGATTCTTTCTTTTTATTTAGATAAGATATTAATATCTACTATTCATCCATATCTATCTATCTATCTATCTATCTATCTATCTATCTATCTATCTATCTATCTATCTATCTATCTATCTATCTATCTATCTATCTATCTATCTATCTATCTATCTTCTATCTATCTATCTATCTATCTATCTATCTTCTATCTATCTATCTATCTATCTTCTATCTATCTATCTATCTATCTATTTATTCTTTGATTGTCTGTACAGTTGTTCGTTGGGTTGGAACGCACAGCAACAAACCTTCCCTTTTTTTATTGTTGATATCTTGATAATTTCAAGATTTGTTTTGTTCGTTTGGGATGAATATAGATAGATCCTCATCTTCGTTTATCCTGGTATATTATTATTATTAAAAAAAAAAAATGGGTTGGATAAAATACTTTCCAAAAATAGAAAAACCGAGGTAATATATATTTTTGAACTTCCACTTCCACTCTTAAACTAAATTAATAAACTATGTTGGTTGATATGATAGTCTCTCCAACCATATAACTATGACTAGCCTATCCTGTGTGGGAAACTACTTTCCCATTTCTTATTTACTTTATTTTCTCTTGGCATGTTCATAATTAAAACTTAAGGATCCGCGCACTACATCTCCCCATGGTTTTTTGGTTAATTAATTAATTTGTCACGGTTTGTTTTCGAAACCACCCAAACAAAAAAAGCCATTGTTTGCTACTATCTATATTTTTTTTTATCTTCTAGGTCATATTTTTAAATACCAGATCGTTTCGATCCCTTTTGTCTCTCTTAGTATCTTTACCAATCTATCTTCTTTTCGCTTTGGATTATTATTATTATTGAAGCTTTCTCAAAAGTGTCGGTTCGTGAAATTGAGGGTCATTAATATAACCCTGTTACCCACATCATCGTAAAAATATCACGTTGGTTCCTGTGCACTCCGCCCAGTTTTAGTGAAATCGAGATTCCGAAACAGCAGTGCTGCAAATGAATGCTTGCCTCAGACCAGTCCCGCTCCCTCCTACCCCCCACCACACCCACTCTATGTCCATTTGAGACACCCAACCCCATCGTATCTTCAATTTACACAATTCAATTTTACTTTAAATGACAAAAGTGTACACACAGACAGAGAGGTATGAATTAGTGAGGAGATGGAGACGACGATTAGTTAAAGTTTGCAGTAAAAGGAGCAAAGCTCTCTGAGAGGATGTTGATTGCTGACCAACGCGCACCTGTTGCTTCTAATAGAGTGTTAAGATTGAAAGAACGAGAACAGGTAGCAAGTGCATAGAAGGGGGGTATCTCATCTTACCTTTTCTATGTCTGTTTACATTGTTGAAACGATCAAAAAAGAAAAACAGACAACACCTCATTATTAATAATTGTTGTATTATCATTCAATATTATTGTTGTTGTTTTTGCAATCTAAAAAACTATATTTATATTTTAATATATTGTTTTCTTTCTTTCTCGCCATAGATATCTATTATTATCTGTATCTTTATATATATTTATAAAACAAAAACAAAAAGGTAAAAGAAACATAAACAAAGCAGTCCAAAACAACAAACAAACAACAACAACTACAACAACAAACATTACATTGGGTTAAGGTGTCAAAAGACAGACAAGACATGTTATACTCAACTCAACCATGTGTAGTTATAACCTCACTTTTTAATGTGATTGATATTTATAAGTTTCCATTAATATTTGGGATATTAATAATAATAATAATTAATAATATTATTATTGGACAATGAAGGTGTGAATATTTATTAGATCGATTCCAATCTAGATTAATTGATATTTTAAGATTGATCAATAATAATGTGTGTAAATGTTTCGTTTCTTATATTTATTTACTTTTAAACATTTTTGATTTTAAATATCAAATATGGTTAACCCCTTTTTGGTATAATTATTATTATTATTAATTATCGATCACACTATCATTCATCATGCATCGTCATGGTTTCCTTTTCCATTCACACTCATATACACACACACCACATATTGTGTTCACCACATCATCACTTCGTTGTTGTTCAAATTATGGGGGTGGTGGTGGTGGCGGTGGTGGTGGCGGTGGTGGTTGGGAATGGAAACCCCGATCCAACCCATCCCAATCCAATCCAATCCAATTAATTGTCATATGTTTGTGTGTGTTAAGAATCGAATCGAAAATGATTTAGCATTTTTATTATGATTTATGTATACTATTATTATTATTATTATTATTATTTCCAATTATGATAATTTATATAAATCAATCCATTTCCCAAATAAAGGTGGTGCCATGATTCATCATCTGAACTGACTCGAGTCACACCTCCCCAACTCACACTCACACTCAATCAATCCAATCCTTTTGTTTAAATTAAATGCCCAACTCCCAAACCAATACCCAAAACCACCCTACATCTCGATAGATCGATGATACATATCAAATAATGATGTGTTATGTTGGTTGAAGGTTACGATTCAATACCACAGTCATTCATCATGGCACCACACTTTTTGGGAAATGATCATCATTGTGGTGATATCTTGAAGGTTTGTCCCAAAAACAAAGGTAATTGGATGGAGATGGTGAATGGCGGGTTTAGGGTTAAGCTCTCTCTCTTTGTGGGTGGGGGGGAAATAGGAACAAATAATAATAACAATTAATAATAAAAAGTGTAGTGCGCAAGACAGACAGAGAGAGACAGACAAACAACAACAGCAGTAACACCCTACTCCCTTTTAACTACTACATTCAGTGAACCTCTAACTACTCATGATAGATAAAACCAAAAACACACACACATACAACAAAGGTTAGATAAGAAATAATATATATCCCATCCATATATCCATCATCCATCCATCCATACATCCATACAACCATACATACATACATACATATTATATGTCTCTTTTTATAATACTTGTACTTGTTGATAATATTGTACAATACTATTGTAAATTAATAACCTAACCGACCACCGAAATGTGTTGTCCAATATCTACCACCTTCTTTTCTTTTCTCTCCACTTCCACACCACACAAAGAATGCAACTCCCTTTGGGTTCCACCCTGAAAGAAGCAGTATTGGAGCTATACTAGCGTCATTCTTAATCTCCAACCTTTTTTTTCGTGTGACCAGGCAAGCTAACAGGCGGGTGTGATGATGAGAAAACTGGATATACTCTACTTGTGACAACTTATAGCTCAAATTTGAAAGGAGTAGGGAAAAAGAAAAGATGCAAGGGATGGCTTGAAATCCGTTTGGTTGGAACTGCAATTTATTGAACTATAAACACCAACTAAACACCTAATCATATATTTATATATATTTGGAATTAAAAATAGCGAGAAAGAGATAGATACAGAATTTAAAGGATATTATTATTTAAATTATTATTATTAGTAGTTAGTAGTAGTAGCAGTACATACCCTCACTGTAATAATAATAATAATCTTCAAAGAATCTTGTAATTGAACATCCACCCCATCCACACCAATCCATCTTAATTTATATTAATTTCATAAGTCATCATCAGTTAATCAAAGTAAAGAGAGGGGTAGATATTATGATGATTAAAAATGTAGACTTTCCAAAATAAGCAACTATGAAACTAGTTTGAAAAATTAAACACACGCAAACTATCACATCACGCAATTTAATTTAAAACATCATTGTCGATTAGTTTGTTTTCATTCATGTCCACAACAGCAGCAACAGCAGGTAGTGGCTATTTTTATTTCGTTGAATTCATTTCGTCAAATCGATGCAACATACATGTTTCAACAACACTCATATCATGATTGCACTCTGCAGTGGGGTGTCCGGTGACTTGGCCCTATCTTGGCATTGGCATCCCGGTTTATCAAGACTTTTTTAAAATCAAATCAAACTTTTATAATCTCAACTGTCTCGTTTAAATAATTATTTATTATTATTATTATTTAAATTTACTTTTTGTTTTAAAAAAGACGATTATATATAAATACCAAATCAAGTACAATAATTATAATAGTCGTATAATTTCTAAAGAGTAGTAGTATTTATTATATATTAAAATTAATATAAAAAACCGACACTGTTCCAAATACATTCATACATACAACCACAACCAAGTCTCTTTTTTAAAACAAGGATTAGCTTGGCAAAAATCTCTATTTCGTATAACCCCCAAACCCTACCCCACCATCACCATCAACCAATCGCCCATATCCCCACTCAACACCCAACCATCCCCCATCTACACCAAACAAAACAAAAAAATCACAAAAAAATAGAAGAGACAAACAAACAGAACATCATCATCAACAAAAAAAAACGACTACAAAGGTTTATTGTTATTATATATTATATTATAAATATAAATATAAATTTACCCATCAACCGAAAAGCAAGTAAAGCTAGTAGTAGATTACTTTTATTCTCAAAAAGGTTAGTTTAAGTTTGTGTTTAGAGTCTAGACTCTATTCTATCCAAATTGTTTTACACTAAAGAACTGTGGATGCCATCCATCTGAGGTTCGCCTTCTCCTTGTCGATTTTTCGATTTTTGCCAGTGAGGGTAATTTGGGCTGCTTTTGGCAATCGAAATCTGAGGGTTACATTGCTCAGCTGCTGTTTTTTTGTTTTTTTAATTTCACTTTCAACCAATTTCTGCAGTTACTGCTGTTGTTGAGTGGCCCCCTCTATTGTCATGGCACCCCCCTCTCATCGTGTTTGAGCAACGTTGGGCTTGCAATAGTTGGTTCCTGTTTGATAAACAACAACTTCAGTTCATTAATACTAACCAACACATTATGTAATCCTTATACCCACATCACAGACACAACAACAAATTACTCTACTACATATATTATTATAACATTACATTCTAGAGAGACAGATATACTTATCCTAGGAACCAAAGAAACTAAACAACAACAACAACACAGTGTTGTGTATTGGATTAGATTAGATAAAGAAAAAAAAAGGGAGATCAAACGTCGTTTTCAACCAACTAATATCAAAAGGTAAATTAAAAAAAAAAAAAACTAAAACTAAAACACATCTTTTATAACTTTACACCAGCCAGACCCGAGGGTTATATTGTTCAATTGTGATCCTTTTTTCACACCACCCCAACTGTGTTGTGTGTGTCAATCAAAGAATGAAACAATGAGATCCTTCCTTCCTCCTCCTGCACCGCACACCACTGCATGCGACATGATTGATTACTAACTAACGCAATATCACCTCATCCCCCATATATATACATAACATACATAGACATTGAATCTAGTAAAAGAAGAAGTTTAGTTTAGAGTTAGAGAGTTAGGTTAGTACAGTTACAGAATTAGAATCTATTTTTTTGTCGTCGTCTTTGTCGTCGTACCACCCGCGTTTTAGAATGTCGTCACCTTATATCAACAATCAACAGCAACACCACCATGATGCTGGTGCCAACGTTGGAGTTGGGTCGACCACCACCACCACCACCACATCAGCTTCCTCTGCTCCTTCCAACAACAACATTTTGATTAACAATAATAGTAATAATAGTAATAGTAATAATAGTAATAATAATAATAATCTACAAGGACTATCAACATCTGGAAGTTATAAAGCACTACATCAACAACAACAACAATTGTTTTCAACACACCCATCACTCCTACAACAGCCACCCTCATATATGATCGAAACATCCGCCATCCCTTTTCCCAGTCACAAGAGCCTCAATCTACTTAACCTTAGCGGCGGCACTACTACTTCCAACAACAACTCGAGCAACCAATCCAACAACACGACGAATACCAGCGGTTCTGGATTATTCCACCAATTGCAACTTTCCAACTCGACCTTTGGCACAAACAACAATTCAAGTTCCAACATTCCATTTGTGTTGACTTCGTACGGCATCAATTCGAGTTCTTCCCACTCTAATCACCACCACCATCACGCCAACAACAGCGGTGCTTCCAACTCGACCAATAATATGAATGTGCAACAGATGATCAACTCTGCTGCCGGCGGCGGCGGCGGTGGACCATCCTCTTCCTCATCGTCCTCCAACTCGGGTAACAACCCCTCGATATACGAGGATGTCCCCAACACATTGTCCTACTCTTACGACAACATCTTTAATCTCAACAATCTTTTTTCAGAACCATCAAAGTCAATTGGTGAAGGTCTAAACATCCTCACCAACAGTGGTAACAATGCCATACAAAATCTAATTAATCAAAATAACAATCAAAATAATTCATCATCATCCAATTCAATTCCAGAAACTATAGGCAATCAACAAAATAATAATAATGTAAATAATAATAGTAATAATAATAATAATAATAATGGTAACGGTAATCCATTATTAATGATAACACCATCAAGTGATATTTCATCACCATCACCACCCAATTCATCAATTCTCACAAGTCATATATCGTCATCGTCACCCAATCAACCATCACCACTTCCATCGCCATCATCATCGTCATATCAACACCGACCGCAACAACAACAACAACAACAATACTATCAACAACCACAACAACAATCACAACATCCATTGTCACCATCAACTTCATCTAGTAGTCCACTTGATTTTTCCATGCCAACCTATCCATCAACCCAAAGCATTCCACAAAATCCAAACACAGTGGTCAATGTAACCAAAAAATTGAAAAGAGAATTTGATCAAACTCTTCCAAAAGATGAATGGGAACAATATTTCCCAAATGGTAAAATTTATTCTTTATTTAATTCAAAAAATGATTTGTATGTTTAAACAAAAAAGAAAAGAAAGATAAAAGAAAGAAAAATATTAATTATTTTGTTTAATTTTTTGTAGAACTGGAAGTTTTGGATTTAAAGTAAAAAGAATTGATAAGAATATAACTTATTCAGATTTGGATTCTGCATGGATTTTATATAGACAAAATAGATTCCAGATAGAGACAGAGTTGACTGGTAGTTTGGAGAATCATAACTCTGATCCCACCAATCCATTGTTTATCAATAACAGTGGTGCTCCCCTCAAGGTTGAAGCACTGCATTTCACACTGTACGTACTCAAGTTTTCCAACGTCAGCAATGTACAGGTGCTCAATGAGTTGACTGAACGCGTGCCCATCCACCAACTGGGCAACACCTCTGGCAAGAAGGATGGCCGTCTGCCAGTCGAGTCGAGTCCCGTCGTCAAGGGCAAGAGCAGTTGGTCCAAGCTGCAATTCGGATCGGCCACTGCCAACAATGCACGTATCAACCCCGACCAACCCAACCCAAACCAACAGTTTTTCCGTATCGTCGTCGTGTTGAATGCCGTCGTCGAGCAACAGACTCAGCAATCGCAACACCAATTCTCCATCACTCACCAGTACTATCCACTCTCTGCCAAGATCTCCCCACCCATGATTGTGCGTGGTCAAAACCCAGGTCGGTTTCTCAACCACGAAAAGACTTCAAAAAAGGATATCAACTCTTCTCCCGGTAGCAGTAGCTCTGGAGGAGGAGGGAGTAATGGCCAATCGCCAACCTCTTCAACCACCAATTTATTTCAACAACAACAATCAAACAACCAACAACAACAACAACAACAACAATTTGCTCAACCCTTTTCCCATCCAATCAATAATTTAGCATCGGGTGCCAGTGCCAGTGCAAGTGGTACTTCAACTAGTACTACTTCAACCTCGTCTACATCTACATTGAAGTCATCCACTTCATCCATGTCATCGTCATCTTCAAACTCTTCATTGACCAATGAAACTGAACCATTAAATACAACTTGGTTGGGAAACAACAATAATAACAATTCAACTAGTACCACAAATAATGGCAATACATCTACAAATCATATATTAAGTAGTAACCCATATTTTGGTAACAACTCATCATCTACCACTTCAACTTTAACCACTTCAACCACATCTACAGCAGCAACTACTACATCGGTATCTGACAACCAATCTGGAAATATATTTCAGTTTCTCTCCAGTACCCAACATAATCAGTTACAACAACAAGTCCAACAACAACAACAAGGACAACAACAACAACAAACAAGCAACAATTTTGTAACCATAAATCATTCACAAATTCAACAAGCAGGCAATCCATTTTCCAATTTTCCATCAAATATATTACCCCTTCAACAACAACAACAACAAACCGATGTACAAAATAATAATAATAACACTAATACCTCTTCCTCTTCCTCCTCACAATGGTTACGTAACCCATTATCCGATGATATTGTATATACAAATGGAAAGGTTGGTATTAATACCAACTCACCAACTCAAGCACTCACTGTAAATGGTAATATTTTGGTCACTGGTGATCTCTACAAACCATCGGATCGTCGTATAAAGTCCAATATTGTCCGTGACTCTTCAAACCATTGGGACAAGATTGATCGTCTCAAGATTTACAACTATGACCGTAAGAAAATGCCAGGTTACGACAACCTCGCTGCATCTGCCACCTCCTCGGCCACAATGGTCAAGGAGAAGGGGTTTCTGGCACAGGAACTAAGAGAAGTTATCCCAAATGCCGTCTCTGTTGCCGGTGAAGTTCGTCTACAAGATGGATCAACCATTCCAAACCTTTTGGTCGTCAATGATCGTGTACTACTCTTGGAAAATATTGGTGCAACTCAACAAATTGGTAGAACTCTTAGACGTGAACATGATCATATCATTGAAATGGATAAAGAAATTAATAGAGTTAAACTTGGTAAGGAAAAGAAAAAAAATAGAAAATAGATTTAATATTTATTAACTTTTATTCTTTTTATTTATTTAGAGGGAAATAGACAACAACATGTAGTATTAAACAAAATGCAAGATTTGGTAACATTTATGTTATCTGAAGAACAAAGTAAACAACATAATAGTGATCATGGAGATTCATGTGTTTATTGTAGTTTGATGGGTCTTGGACCTGCATGGACCATGTTTGTCTTTGGGTTCTTTGTTCCGCTGTTTTGGTTGTTTGGCTCGTTCTTTTTGTTCTCGCCATCACGTGTCAAGTGGGTGAGTGGATTGGTTAATTTCATCACTCTGGTCATCTTTGTCATTGCCACTGTCCTTTTGGTGTTTTACCAACCCAACATTGCAGCTGCCATTATCATGCCTTCGATCATTGTCTTTGGTATTGTCCTCTGTATCGTCATTGGATTCTTTAGACAACGTACTTGGGAGTCCAAGAAACGTTTCCTTCGCGAACGTATGAAATTGATGCAAAAGGATGGCTACCGTCAATTAAACGATCATATTGACCAATTCCGTAACCAATACTCAAACGGCACTGTCAACTCCAACTCTCACTCCAACTCTCACTCGCCAACCTCCACCGCGAGAAAGAATGCCAAGAAGCAGTCGATCGACATTACACCTATATCCGAGATGCAGATCAATCACGTGGACGACCATGACTCTGTCTCGGGTACCGACACTATGAGTTCATCGACATCGTCTGTTTTCACATCCGAAGTTGACAGCTTCAAGTCCATCTCTCTATCTAATCATCTCAAGCTCCAAGAAATCCCCCTTCAAAAACTTGTCATGGATTATGGTAAGAAAAAGAAACAACAACAACAAAAACAACAACAACAGTTGGTCAATAGCAGCAACAAGTCAATGGGTGCAAAGAGCAAGTCTGCCAGTGAAATTGCCTCGGAAATTATGAATGCCACTGGTCGCAACCCAAATCTTCCTAGATCCCAATCAAGTACCGTTACCACAACCAGTACTACTACAACTACTACTAGTACCTTTCCTCAAGAAGTATAAGGAATAAGGAATAAGGAATAAGAAATAATAATAATAATAATAATAAAACTCACCATATAAAAGAGTTATATAATATAATAATAAAAAAAAAAAAGACTAAAAGATATATTATTTATTTAAATTTGATTCATTTGGACCATAAAGAAAAGCGTTTGGTTTATCTTTTTCTTGAATGTATCCTCTGTACATGCCTTCCGTGTTGAATGGCATTGTGAAGTTACCATCTCTGTCGATGGCAATGAGACCGCCATCACCATCGATTTCAGTGAGTTTGGTGAATATAGTTTCATGAGCAGCCTTTTCCAAAGAATAACCTCCAAATTCCATCATTGCCGATACGGTATATGAAGCAACACTACGAATAAACATCTCGCCTGTTCCAGTAGTAGACACTGCCACAGTCTTGTTGTTTGCATAAACACCGCTTCCAACAATCGGTGAATCTCCAACTCTTCCAACTAATTTATTTGTCATTCCTCCTGTACTTGTTGCAGCTGCTAGATTTCCATTTATATCTCTAGAAACAATCAAATCAAATCAAATTAAATCAAATTAATTAAATAAATACACACACATGTGAGTTTAACAATAATCATCATTATGATACATACAAAGCAACAGCACCAACTGTACCAAATTTCTTTTCGCTCAAGTATCCTTTATCTTCTTCTTTTAATTCCTTTTCTTCTTCTTCTTTTACTTTGATTGGATTAGACGAATGATCTAATACTATTGAATGTTTGTTTTCTTTTTGTACATTGAGTAATTGATTGTAGCGATGCTCTGTGAAAAAGAATGAAGGGTCAACCAATTCAATCTCTGGTGCCTTGTCTCTTATAAAATCTTCAGCACCTTTACCAATCATCATAACATGAGGTGTCTTTTCCATGATGGCACGAGCAGCCAAGACGGGGTTACGTATAATTCCAACACCACCAACAGCACCAGCTTTCAGATCTCTACCATCCATAATCGATGCATCCATTTCATGGGTACCAGCAGATGTAAATACCGATCCCTTTCCAGCATTGTAAAGAGGGTCTTCTTCTAGTAAACGAACAGCTTCAGTTACTGCGTCCAATGCATTACCACCATCTTTAAGCAATACTTGATAGGCAGAGGTCAAGATCCTTTCTAATGAGCTTTGAAATTGATTTGCTTGTTTCTCGGTGATCACCGATTTACTGATCGTACCAGCACCTCCATGAATCAATAGAATTGGTCTTCTTGTAGTAGAATTAGTCGAAGAGGTAGTAGTAGTCTCCATCTCTGATATCGATAAACAAACAAGTAGAAACTAAATTAAAACTATTTTTGAAGAAAGGTAGTAAAGTTATTAAATATCATGATTTGGTTTGATAAAAAGGGGAATAATTTAAATTATCTTATTTTGTTATACTTTTAAAAAACCATTTACAAACTATTAGAAAGGATCAATTTGCTCTATTACCATCATCAATATTTAGAACAAATGAATAATGGTACTAGAAAAATTGATCCTTTCCAAGAAAGCTTGAAGGTTTTTGAAGTTTGCTTTCAGTTGAGACCCTTGATAATAACTTGGATTGAAATCGCTGAGGATGGATGACTAAAAACCATTATATACTAATTATATTAAAACATATTATTGATAACTCTTTAACTCTTATAATTAGCTTCTTTCGATTTTGGTATAGAGGGGTTCTACATTGTAGACAAAAAAAAATAATTAAATAAATTAGTTTGTGGTAGTTGGGTACTTGCCTTACTGTTTGGATTGATGAGATTACATCTGCGGAAATACAAACAAGATTTAGGATCAATTGATCCTAAAAAGATAGTTTGTAGGTTACCAATTGGCACTTCAGTGTACGAGGGCTTTAAGAAATCACACTAACGGAAATGGGTGGAGGAACAACCACTAATCAGATGGAGAAAACAAAAGATTAAATCCCCACTACCTAAGGAAAGATATAAAAAAAATGACAGATGAGGGTATCCACTATCCTATTTAAACATACCTAATAGAGTTAGAAGACAATCCATCAATTCATCCTAGGGGTTGAAGCAAACCTTTTCGTCGATATCTTTAAAATTACATCAAAACTGTGGGCAACAGGCTATATTGTCAGTTCAATATCCACCTTTGCAGGGTTTCAGAGATTAATGTTTTCAAGTGTCAGCTCTGAGATTTGAAAGTAATCCAAGTTTTCTTTGACGTTTCCATCTACTGATAATGTCGTCGAGTCCATTTATCTTTTTTGATTTCTATAAGTTCTGTATTGAAATACTAATCTTTTTTTAATATTGTTTTTTTTTGATTTGAACGAAAATAATAATCTATGAAAGGAGTGTGGTGGCTGATGAATCCATTTCACCCTCAAAAATAATAAAAATAAATTAAATTAATGGTGTGTATTAATGAATCTTTTTCGAAATGTAATACATTTTATTTATTCAATATCGCAATTAAATATTATCATTATTTGATGGATCGCATTTTAGAAATTAAAATGGCAATATTCTTTTCTCCACCTTCAAGTGATTGGATTGATTCGAGGTATGCTTCTTTGGGAATTTGGACAAGTAGTTGGGTTTTCGAGAGAAGTGGGTCAGGTGCAACACCCAGTGCTGATAGTACATTAAATAGATAGGTAATATCATTGGCTAAATGGTGACATCCGTAATCGGTGAGTGATGTAATTTCAACAATCGATTGTAGGTATAGTTTTTCGGTTGCACAAGCTACAATGTGAATCCATTGGTGTGCAATACCAACCATATCATCTTCAATATCACTAGTATCAGATATATCCTTTGTTTCATTTAACATAGTTTGATGTAATTGTTTTATAATGTTTTGATACATCTCATCATTTGTTGGGTATGACTAAAATAAACATAAATAAATGATTAATTAAATAAATAAAACTACTAGTTTTAACCAGAGAGACACATACAATTGCAATTTGATAAGAGAATCTTAATGATATTTCCTCTGAATAAGGATCCAATTGTTGTGGAATAGTTAATAAATGATCGGCAATTTGTGTACTATAGGCTGATTGATTGGATTGATAACTATCTACAATATTTAAATTTTGTTTCCATTCCTAAAAACAAAAATAAAATAAAATATTATTAATAATATGAATACCAAAGAATCTAATTCAATTAATTAATTAATTATTAATATTATTTTACATACATTCATTTTTGGTACTTCTTTGAATTTTAATTTTATAAAAGTAATCATTGTTTCATAAATAAAATGTTGTGATTGTGAACAAAAAGATGATACTTGGTCTTTTGCATCTTGTAATAAATGTTTCTTGTTGTTGCTGCCGTTGTTCATTAAATATTGTGGATCAATAATCATTTGAATGACATTATTAAATCTTGTTGATTTATCATTTTCTTGTGATAACATTATTGTTCTAATTGTTGATTCTCTAAAAAAAAAAAAATTTTAATTTAAAATAAATATTTATACATTTTTTTGTTTGGATACAGTTGTTTAACTTACATTGAAGAATCATCATATTTTGCTAAATAATCTATAATATTTACATTGAATGAATGTTCAAAATTATTTAATTTTGACATTAAACCATTAACCAATTGTAATAATTTCATTGCACCTTGGAAATGTTCCCAATTATGTTGTTGAGGATTCAGTATTTGTTGTTGTTGTTGTTGTTGTAAGAGTTGTGGTTGTGATTGTCTATCAATCAAAACAACATTGGTTGGTGAAACTATATTTGCCATTACCTTTAATTCAACTAAACTATCTTTTAATAATCCAATATATTCTGTTATTATATTCTATAAAAAAAATCATATTAATATAAATAAATATTAATATTAAACTATCAAACTACAATCCAATATATATATATATATATATGGATTACATACATTTAAAGTATGAATAAAACTTTCAATCTCTGATAAATGAGTAAATTGATAGAATCGATCAATTGATTGTTCGAGTAATGGGAATATTTTGTTCATTGATGTTTCAATATTATTAATTGATGAATTAAAGTCATTCTTTTTCTATAATTTTAAAAAAATGATTAATATATGAATAGAAAAAATCTTATAATAATATTATATTATATTATACATACAATTAATTGGAATAAAGATAATTGTGATTTTAAATATTTCATTTCATTGTCTGAGAATTTGTTATGGAAATGTCTAAATGGATCGAGTAGTATTGTTTTGATGAGATGTGTTTTGTCTAGGATAGATGGTAGTGATTGGATAAATGATATCGATGTTTTATACAATTGGATTAAATCTTGATTTTTGTTGGATGAGGTTGTGCTCGTTGATGCTGACTCTATTCTTGATTGAAGTTGAGCATTTATCGATTGAAATAGATGACCAAGTAAATGTTCAATCATCTCTTTTGGTTGGATTGCACTGCCACTAGTACCACCCAACTTTGAAAGCCAATTCAACTCTGATTCAACCATTGCTTTAATCTGATCATAAAATGAACCAAGGAATTGATTAAAACTTGATAATGATGATGAGGAAGAGGAGGAGGATGCAGATGAAAGTAATGGTGATACTGGTTTGGGTGATGATGATAAAGATGTAGAGGAGGAGGAAGGGTTTGGTGATAACCCACCAACTGTAGTATTGGTATTTGGAATAGCTCCTCCTTTATATTGTAACCAAGTAGTTTTTAGAGGTTCAATTCTAGAACTATTGTATACTTGGTGAAAGGTAGATTGTCGTTTGATGATACTAAAGACAGTGTGATATTTGTTGCAACCGTCTACATCACGTGCGTTAAGTGATTGTACCAACAGTGGTTTGATCGATGTCTCTAATCGATCAGTATAGATTGCAAACTGCTTTGACTGTTCTCTAAACTCTGGAATATCGCTCAATAGTTGAAGTGATGTTTTGATCTCGTCTAGTCGCTGTGCAATTGCCAAATACTCGGCTGCTGCAAACAACTGATCGAGTTGTGCCGAGAAGTGGAGCAGCTTCTCTGCCTCGTTGAGCGATCGAATACACGAGTCGATTCGCGTGCGCACCGTGTCCAAACTGGCAATCGTGTCAACTGCCGTATGCAGACTGTTACTGTACATTGAATCGATAGACTGCGTGATTGATTTAATACGAGTCTTTAACTGCAAAGATTCCTTTCTAACCTTATCAATCTCTCTAACCGCCTTTGGAACATATAATAACGATTCTGATGATCTATTCTCCAATGACATATTCAATTCCAATGAATAGATTTGTAACTTTGATAATAATGATGATGCTATATTCTAAATAAATAGAAATGATACTATTAACAACTATATATATAGTCTTATCATTTATATACCATGTACATACCTCTAAATCATTCTCTAATTGCATTGATGTTGGTTGAGGGGTGCTACTGTCTTTGTCTTTGTTGTTGTTGACGCGTAACACATCGTTTATCCATTGCTTGCTATTGAATGAATCTTTTAAGAATATAGTTTGTAGTGCATTCGAACCAGCAGGTGATGATCCATTCCCATTCATTCTATTAGATAGAATAACAATCAACCAGTCCAAGACAAAGTAAAGAGTATATCAATGAACTATGATTCTCAGAGTGCAAGTAGCACTTGAAGAGGTTTGAAAATTACACTCAAATTGGAAAAAAATGACTTTGAAAAAGTGAAGATCCATTGGGAGTAAAAGTATCAGAGTACTCTGTTAGATAACATACATCATCGACACAGATACTATATATCTATAGATAGATAGATAGATCATCATATACATATATATAGAGAATCATGGCAAAGACAAAGAAGAAACAAGATAGTAGTGATGAAGAAATGGACCTAGATGAAGAGTTGTTGGCAGTCACCAACAAAAAGTCATCATCGTCTTCAAAGAGAAAAGATAATGATAGTGATGAAAGTGATAGAGAAAAGTCAAAGAAGAAGAAAAAGACATCATCCTCTTCATCATCTTCATCATCATCTAGAAAGTCATCATCTTCATCTAAAAAGAAAGAGTATGTAGAGAGTCTTAATAAAGTTGGTTTGAACAAGTTTAATATTAATACAATCTACTACTACTTACTCTTTTAGAGAATCAGAAGATGAAGAAGATGAAGAAATATTTAACGATGGATATGACGAAGATATGTACGAGAATGAAGAAGATAGATTAAAGTTGTCAATGATGACACAGTTGGATAGAGAAGAGATCATTGCTACTAGATACGAAAGAAGAAAGCAATTACTTGAAAGATTCGAACAAAGAAAGACTATGAATCAAATGGAGAGTATGCTATACATGTGATATTAATATTCAATGCAACGATCGTTGACTACTAACTTACTTGTCTACTTCTTTTCTGTGTAGAAAAAGACAACAAAGACAAATCATCATCAAGATCGTCGGCGGCGACATCATCATCATCGTCGTCGTCTAGTAGATCAACAAGAGCAGACAAGACAGACCAAGCTTTAAAAGACATGATGAAAAAGAGAGACAAGGCACAACGTTCACGTGACGAGGAAAGGGAAAAGGAACGTGAAAAGGAGCGTGACAGAGAACGTGAGACATCGCGACGAGACTCGGAGAAGAGTCGTGAAAAGGAGCGTGACAAGGAACGTGAACGTGAAAAGGAGCAGAGAGAAAAGGAACGTGAACGCGAACGTGAAAAGGAGATTGAGAGAGAGATTCACAAGCAAATCTCAGCACTCGATATACAGACACTCAACCAAGTGCGTCTGTCGCGTAACATGCTGTTAAAGTGGGTCGACCAACCCTACTTTGAGAAATTGACACCTGGATTTTTGGTGCGTGTTGTGATTGGTCAGCACTTGAACAGTCCGGTCTATCGTATCGGCCAGATCGAGTCGATCCGCGCCGGCACCAAGCTGTACAAGGTCGAGACCAAGGAGACGGACAAGATCCTGGTGTTGACGTACGCCGGTGTCTCCAAGGAGTTCTTTATCGACAATGTCTCCAACAACACCATCACACCGGCCGAACACGAAAAGTGGATCACCGACATGGTGCGTGCACGCCAAAAACTGCCAACACTCGAGAGCATCCAAGTCAAGATTGGCGACATCCAAAAGGCAGCCGACTACATCTACACAGACGACGACATTGAAAAGCGTGCCCAAGAACGTGCCAAGCACGGCAAGATCCCCGTCAACATTGCCTTTGCCAAAGCCAAACTCATCATGGAACGTGATTCGCTCGAACCCGGTTCCGATCAATACACCGAAGTTTCGCTAAAGATTGAAGAATTCAATCGTATCCAAGCCGACATTAAACAACAAAAGCAAGATGAAGATATTATGGTCAAGATCAACAAAAAGAACAAAGACTTTAACTTTCACCAACAACAAAACCAAACTATTACAGATACGGTATCCAATGAATTTGATCCGTTTGCTAGAAGAAAGACACGTGCCAATGCAGTCGTAGCCGGCGTGCTCAACGCTCCCATCAGTCCGCAACCATCTACCGCCGCACCATCCTCGGCCGACAAGCTCAAAGAAGCAGCTGCTGCCGCTGCTGCAGCCAGTCGCAGCACACCCTCCAAACTCAAACAAATGCAAGAGATGACACTCCAAGAAATCCATCAATCCATCGATCTTCACATACACATTCCAGACAATGTCAGCAAAGTACAACCACTCAAAAAGAAGCGTCCATTAAAATTGACTCATCGTGACTTGTTAAATAATAATAATAATAATGATAGATATCAAAAGAATTCAATGTCTGTTGAAGATTATATACGTATGTCTAAAAAATAAAATGGAAATGGTAAAAGTAAAAAGAGTAAATAATAAATAGAGTAAATAGTAAAAATAATAAGTAAAATAATAATAGGTAGTAATATATATATATGTATATATATGTTTATATATTTGTATATATATTTGTATATTTCATAGTTTCACCAAATTAAAGTGAAGTTTGAATATTTAATAATTTGAAAACAGATGAGATTTCCAATTTAAAAGATGATTGAGGAAGTGGATGTTGAAGAGCTTCAGTAGTAGAAGTTAGATCGAGTTGAGCATCATGAGGACGTGGTTCTGTAATGGGTGGGTTATCTAATGGTTTGATAGTGTTGGTATCGACAATAGATGGAATGATCGATGCCATTGCCTTGGCCATATCGTATTTGGTCATTTTCTCATTACCAGTGTAATGATAGATGCCACCTTGTAACTGATTGGTAACATCCCCTAAACCAATCAAATCATATCCTACACGTGCAACATTATCAACCAATGTTGGATATCTAATCTGTGAATTATCAATCTCTACCAACTCTTCCTTTTTCTTGTTAATGATTTGATTTGCAACCATTGTCACTGAACATTCCTTTAAATTTTCAACTTGTCCATAAAGTACTGGTACTCTTAATATTTTCTAGAAACACAAATCAAGTAAGTTAATACATATATATATGGAAAGTAGGTTTGGTATTTCTTTCTTTGTTTCTTTCTTCTATCTACTATAGTATGGTTACATTTAAAGGATTTGATTTAAGTGCAACCACTTCAGATTCTCTCTTTGTTTCACCATAGAATGAAAGTGGGTGAGTCTTTGCATCGGGTGTATAAGGTGGTGATGTACCGTCAAACACATAGTCACTTGAAATCAATAGAATATAAGCTCCAACCTCTTTAGCCAAATCTGAAATATATTCTGTTGTTCTATATAGAATATAGATAGTGAACAAACACAGAGATTTAGGGTTTTAGATTTAGATTCAAAAAAACAAAACTATTAATTTGTTTGTTTGTTCAACATACGAAACATTTAAATTAAAAGTCTTTTCTTTGTTGTTTTCACAGTTGTTTAGATTTCTTTCTGCAGCCGAATGAATGATGACTGTTGGCTTAAAGTCGAGTACGAGTTGTCTGAGTTGTTCCTTGTCGCAGAGATCAACCTTTTTCAAGTTGAATTGATCCTTGTATTGGTCGTAACGTGAGAATGCTAGTCCCAGAACCTGACACTGCTGTTTGTGTGCCATGTCTGCGGCGATTCTCATAAATGCTCTACCCAACAATCCAGATGCTCCAGTTACCAATACTCTCATTCTTTCTTAATAATATATCTTTGTACAAAAGAATTAATTAATTAATTTAATAAATGTTGAAAAGTAATAAATGAACCAAAGCTTTTCCTTTGGACAAAAAAAAAAAACAAAATTATTTAAAATAAAAAATAATATAATTATAATTATTTCAAAGTTTGAAGAATAAGAAGAAGAAAAAGAAGAAGAGATTATCTTGTTAATAATAATAATAATCATTAATAATAATAATAATATATACGCGTACACATAGACAGATATTTCATTCACTCATTCTCAACCATCATCATCATCATACACTGCATCAGTCGAGTAGATACATCTGATCAGATTTCATCATCATCATCATCAAAGCATCACATGTAGATTAAAGCAAGAGACAATAACAACAACAACAACAAACAGAATATATATATATATATAACACATCATGGCTAGTAGATTACCAGACTACTACAAGATACTAGAAATAGATGTCACTGCAGATATAGAGATTGTAAAGAAAGCTTACAAGAAGATGGTATGTGTCAACATTATTGTTGTCTCAACAAGACAGATGAACAAACTACTATTAAACGAAATATGAGATGATTCTTACTCCATTTACTTTTTACCTACCTTTGTTTATTATTATTATTATTGTTGTCGTTTGGTCACTCCACTTTTATACTTTCAAAAATTGTTTGATGTTTGTCTTCATACTTTCTTTCTTTCTTTCTTTCTTTCTTTTTAGGCACTAAAATATCATCCAGACCGAAACAAGGGTAATGAGAAAGACTCTGAAGAACACTTTAAGTTGGTTTCAGAGGCATATGCAGTGTTGTCGGATACGGACAAGCGACGGGACTATGATATAGCATCACGTGAACCACCCCCTCCTCCTCATATGGGCGGTAGTGGAGCGGGCATCAACATTAATGTGACGACCAACAAGTTTCGACGTACTCCGATGGGACACGACGAGATGTTTAACATCTTTAACAACTTTTTCAGACAAAAGGGATTCGCGGGCATGCACCATCACCATCATAGTACTGGTGGCTTCCAGATGAATTCGACGTCACCATTTGGCCCGACTCCACATGGTATGGATCCATTTCAACAGTTTCACAACAATCTACACGACTCGTTTGAAGGAATGTTTCAATTTGGCGGTAGTCCGACTTTTAGATCGCCCAAACCACAACACCCACAACACCAACATCAACATCACCAACATCACGCGCATCAACATCATCATCACCATCAACATCCGTTCCAAGCACCTCCACCCCCACCTCCACCACAACATCCAAACTTTGGATCACCCATCAATATCGACGATTCACCAACCACCGAGGAAGAGGAACAGTCGCCATCATCATCGACGTCATCGTCATCGGTGCGTCAACGAATCCTACATCGATACAATATGGCACTCTCGTTCCAAGAGTCAATATTTGGTTGCGAAAAGTCTGTCAAGTTTCCTGTAAAGACAGAATGCGATAAATGTGCCGGATCGGGCAGTGCATCCAAGCAACGCGACTACACCACCTGTCCCAACTGCACGGGTAATGGTAGAGTGTCCAATTTTCTCATGGCGTTTGTGTGCGACATGTGCGATGGGAAAGGTGTCACCTTGCGCAACCCCTGTAATTTCTGCAAAGGTGATGGTATCATGACTCAAAATTATGAAGATACCATTATCATTCCTGCAGGTATATCTGATAATTCTTGGTATGTCAAAAACAAAAATAGATAATTATTTTGCAACTAACAAATAATAATATTATATTTATTTATTTATTTATTTTTTCTAGTCAAACAACAGTATTAAAAGTAAAAAGAGCAAAATCATTAACATCATTTGATGAACATGAATTGATTATAAAGTTTGAGGTGGAGAGACACCCATTTTTTATTCGAGAAGGAAATAATGTGATTATTGGCGTACCGATCAGTACGACACTGGCACTGTTTGGCGGCAATTTAGAGGTGCCCACGATATATGGCAAAAATGCCGTGGTTGCGGTACCCCCCTACGAAGGACAGTCAAACTATGGTATAACAGCTCCACGATGTGGCTTTAAAGACCCAGATGGCAGGGGTGTTGGAGACATGATTATCAACTTTGTCATTGAAACACCGGCAATGTCAACACTAACAGCACGCGAAAGAGAATTGTATAGAGAGATTGCATTGATTGAAAAAACAAAACAACCCTCAAAACTACAAACTCAATACTATGAACAAATTGGTGTTTGGAATAATAGTTTAAAGAATTTTATAGTTGTTGATTCTCCTCCTCAACAACAAGCTCAACAACAACAACAACAATCGATGCAACAACATCTTCAACAACAACAGCAACATTTACAACAACAACAACAACATCTTCAACAACAACAACAACATGTTCATCAACAACATCTTCACCAACAAAACATTCAACAACAACATCAACAACAACACCAACAACAACACCAACAACATTTTCAACCACAATCACATTTTCAACTTTTCCAACAACAACAGCAACAACAACAACAACAGCCATTTGTAAATTTAGTATCAAGTACGAGAGTATCCTCTCCTACCATTTCATCACCACTAAACGGATTTTCGTCAAATTCAATACATGTAGATAGCTTTACTTTTAATATTGGTCAACCTCAACAATCTTCATCGTCGTCGTCGTCGTCTTCATCTTCATCATCATCAACAACTTCCTCTTCTACCTCATCGTCCACTTCCTCGTCCACTACTTCTTCGTCAACCTTGTCTTCGTCATCGTCCAATAATAAACCAAGTAAAATATAGAGTATAGTATATAGCCAAATCAACTCTTATCTCTATTTACTTTTTATTTATTTATTTATGTACAATTATTTTTCCATTGATTCATTTATTATTATTTACATTTCATTATAACTTGGATTCAATGAATTTTCCATGTCTACCCATTCCTTGAGCAAATCTGGATGATCCACCAACTCCATCTTTTTGGAGACTGGGATACCCAAGTTTAAATTCATTTGATAGTGCATCGTTGAGTGAAAGGTTGTGTTGTTGATAGACTGACAGTCTATCTGACCGCAAACAGTTTTGGGGAAATGATCCAATCAATTTTGCCAACTCTATACATTTGTCAAGTACTTGGTTGGGAGTGTCTACCAATCGATTGACCAGTCCTATATTGAATGCTTCTTCTGCCGTGACAGGTCTACCTGTAAGGATGAGATCCATGGCACGAGAATGACCGACGAGTCGTGGTAGTCGAACTGTGCCGCCGTCGATAAGAGGGACTCCCCAACGACGACAAAATACTCCAAAGATAGCATCGCGACTGGCAACACGTAGATCACTCCACAGTGCAAGTTCTAGTCCTCCAGCCACACAGTATCCTGATATACCAGTAATGACAGGTTTACCGAGCAACATTCTTGTACATCCCATTGGAGCATCTCCATCTGCTTGCAATCGATTCATTTGGCTCTCATCACCAAGAGATATCTTTTTCAAGTCAGCACCTGCACAAAACACCTTGTCTCCACCATACAAGATAGCAACTTTAAATCGGTCATCTCCATCAAACTCTCTAAATGCCATTGACAATCGATCGGCAGTCTCTCGATCAACAGCATTTCGAGCATTCTTTTCTCTATTTAATTTGATCACCACGATTCCATCTTGTAAGTATTTAGTTTTATCAACTATAATTACATTATTATCTTCTTTATCTATCTTATCTGTATTTGTGTTTGTGATCATTGCTTAAAACTAATTCAAAAAAATGATTCCAAAGTAGATTTTAAAATAATCACCCACCCATAACACAATTGTTGGTAAAAGGGATGGAGTGTCACTACTAATTCAATACTAGTCGACAACAGGACAAACAAGTCGGACTTTCGTTTAAATTGAGTTACACCAAAATAATTGTACATTATGTTTTTGCCCGTTGACTATCCGACTATTGGGCAAAGTTCTCGGTGATCAACCAAACTCTTTGAAGTGGCAAATAGAGACAAATCCTGATCCCACGCTAAACCATCAACAATATTTAGCTTTGGAAACTCTTGGTTTTTGAATGGGTGCGGAGTATGTATTCGTATCACCAGAATCAGTAAAAATCTGACAAAAAAAATGATCTGACGATTTCAGCAAATTCGATGAATTGGAATTTAAGGGGCTCATCCCTACACAGAGAAAGATTTTTCTGTTGGAAGAATTCAAATTATTGTTGTTGTTGTGTTGGGTGAAACAAGCCAATAGTGTTGGTTGTGACAAAGAAGACGATTGATATATATTATCTCTCATCCTCACTAGCGCTTAAGAGAGAGAAAAGAATAGATAGATAGATAGATCGTTCGTTGCAAAGTCTTCAGATTTGAATACCAAGATTATCTTCGATTTATAAAAACAAAAAGTAATTACTTGCCTTGTCCCGATCTTGATAATTATCGCGAAGCAAAAAAAATATTTTAAAAAAAGACAGTACAAAAATCAAAGATAAGATTGTACCTACTTTGGTATTATTCCTCTTCCTGTTTCAGAACAACAACAACAACAGAAGACTCTACACCTCACATTGTACAGTGTACATTAGAGCCATCGTATTCAAGGAGAAGGAAGAGAAAGAGATAGATAGAGAGAGAGAGATATAGGTACATACATACAAACAAAACAAACAACAATCTTAGATCTAGATTTAAACAGTTGACATTCAATCAATCAATCAATCAAACACCCACCATTATTCAAAAACACTGGTTTCATAGGCCGAAATACCCACCATTAAACAAACACACACAAACCTTAAACCCATCCCATCCCCATCCACTCGTGTACATTCAAACACACACACACACACCCAACGATAATAACCCATCGCACAACATGATTATTGTGTTTTTGTTGTTGTTTTACTCTTTTTATTGTTATACTCTACGATCGTTTATATATTTATACACATACATGTAGTAGTACTACTGCTACTACTACTTACTTATTGTATTATTAGATATTAATATTAATATTCTTATTTATTTATTTATTTATTTAATTTATTGAATTAGCTAGTTAGGTCGATTGAAAGAAGGAGAGAGGGAGAAGGAGAATACTACTGTAGTTTATATATATATATATAGAGAATGTCATTATCGACAACAGTTGAAACAAGTCATAGTAATATGGGAGATGAAGATTCTGCTAATTTGGTATCGGTGACAGTGTCTGCAACGGCAACTGGAATGCACAACAACACCGCATCATTCTCTGACAGTGACATTGTCACATCCTCTTCAATGTGTAGTAGTACCACCATGATGGCAATCAACACCAAATCATCTAGTAATGCTGTTGGAATGACACCTGACATTGGTACACATTATAGTGATAATGATAATAATGACCATCATCATCATCATCTTCATTTACGAGATCATAATCATCATGGTAATGATAATCATCATAATAATAATGATGATACTAGTAGTAGTAGTAGTAGTAGTAATGAACATGAACATGATGACCATCATCATCATCATCATGATAGTCAACAACAAAATATACATCAACAACAACAAGTAATGGATAATCAAGATTTTAGTAAATTAAGGAATCTAACTATATCTAAAAAATTCTTGGATGAGATTAATAGTAGTAGTAAGGGATCGGAACCAGCAACCAATAAGCCAATTTCACTCAACATGTCTAGAGTATTCGATCATCATCATGACAATGACGACGACGACGAAGCGATTAAAACAATGGTAGAGGAAGAGGAACTTGAAACACCACCACAATCACTAGATGAAATATTACAAGAGTTTAAAGAGATTTACAATTACCTCTATGTTGGTGATCTCAACAAATTGTTTGGATTGCGATCGATACAAATGAACGATAACCAAAGAATAAGATGTTTGGGTTTTGACGATTCAATTGAATTGAGTGTACATGTACAAAGAGTATGTATCCCCCTCCCACATCAACAATAATATTAATAATAATAATATTAATCATTATTATTATTTTCTATTATTATTAATATTAGTATTTCCAATACCAAATCATTGATTTTGAATCAGAAACTGATATTCTTTCAATTACCAAACAATTTGACCATTTCTCACAATTAATTCTTGGTCGAGGAAGAAATACACCTGTAGTTATTCACGAGTATGTTGTTTGGTTGCTTTGTTGTTGGGCGGTCTGGTTTTTTTTGAAAACAAATATGAATATTTATATGCTAACTTCACTTATTTCATTCCCTACCTTATAGTTGTTGTTTTGGTTTGATTTTGTCATCTATTTATTTAATCAAATATGAATTATTTTCCCTTCCACAAGCAAACGAGTATGTATAGATATAGATAGATAGATAGATAGATAGATATTGAGGGAGATATACTTTACCAACATATTTATATTTCTTTTATTTTTTTGTCTCTAGTTTAATTGGATATAATGATTTTTTTGGAACATCACAAAAGCATTCACATTATCAAAAAGTAGATTCTTGTACATTAATTGGTGACGTTACAACATATTATTATAGAAATATGACAAAGAGAAGTCAGCCACATCAAAAGCCTGCACCAGTGGTCGAGCAACTGATGCCACCACCCGTACAAGAGAAAAAGGACAAGGGAGGATTTTTAAAGAAACTATTCAACTCTTCTAAAAAGGATAAAAAGACGGTTGAACAAAAACCACGATCAGCGTCGGTGGCATTACAACCAGACCAAGCCAAACAAATACAAAAACAATATTCAAATCCTACATTGTCACCAGACAACAAACATACTACTACTACTACTTCTACATCGTCTACAACAACCACCACTTCGACCGCTGCATCTTCTGGACAATTACACAACAACAACAACAACAACAACCCATACGAAGACAATGATGATACGACACCCAATTTAGAGTTGGCGAGGGATTCAAGAGACGATTCCAAGTTACCTCCAATTATTGCATCATGCTTTGCCGAGCTTGCCGACGAGCACAAGGATATTATTAAAAAGTGGAGTTTGAAGCAGATAGAGATCGACTATCATTGGGAAATCACACTGTGTCTGCTGCATTTCCAGACCAAGCTACGATTCTACTCGTCGCAACAAAAGTTTGCAGAAGCCAATTCGCGCAAGGACCGTCGACGCAGCGACAAGCGACAGGCGTACCTCGATGGTGGTGCTGGCAAGACACCATTGGTTGGCGGGGGTGTGGGCACGCTGCCACCGGGCGTAGTATCGCGTATCCCACTCACCGACTATGAATTGCCTCGCAATATCGACTCGAAACTCATCAACATTGTACCGACACCATTTAGCAAAAAGAGTTTAGATCATCTTGCCAAAAAGGTCAGCTCGTCAGAGATCAAGAAACTGTTTTCCATCAAGGAACGTGTTGGAAAGGGTGGGTTTGGATCAGTCTACTCGGCGCGTAGCAACGCATCCAAGGAACGTATCGCCATCAAAAAACTACCACACAAAAAGAGTAAAGAACGCAAGATGAACACACGTGAGATCCGCGTACTCGATTATTGTCGTCACCCCAACATCATCTCGTACCACGAGTCGTTCTTGGTGTCGTCGAGTGACGAGTTGTGGGTGTCTATGGAGTTTATGGAGGGTGGTACACTCAGCGAAGCCTCTTCGCAATACCCATTCCAAGAATCCAACATTGCATACGTTGCACGTGAGATACTCGTCGCACTACACTACCTCCACAGCAACGGGTTTGTACATCGTGACCTCAAATCTCAAAATGTCATGATGACTCCATCAGGTGACATCAAACTCATTGATTTTGGTCTGTGTGCCAGTCTCAAGAGTGGACCCAAGATTCGTATGTGTGGATCACCGCTCTGGATGCCACCTGAACAGATCCAACAGACCTATCACTCTTTTACGGCCGATATTTGGAGTATGGGAGTCTGTCTACTCGAGCTAGCCAACCGTGCCCACAAACATCGTAAAGACCCTCTGCGCACCATGTTTATGGTGGCCACTGAAGGTTTCAAACAACCCTTTGAAGATCCCAATCGTTGGAGTGACCTCTTCCACGACTTTATCAATCTATGTCTCCAGTTTGATCCAACAAAGCGTCCATCTGCCCTCCAACTCTTGGCTCATCCATTCATCAGCCAAGCTGATAACAAAAAGAAAATGGCTAAAATTCTATCTTCTGTTTTCTTGCAAAATATTGTTGGCATTTAAGATAATCTTAAAAATAATAATAATAATAATAATAATAATAATAATAATAATAATAATAATATCTTTTAAAAATAAACAATATTTTATACTAACAACAATCACAAAGATTTAATTTCAAAAATGAGAACAATGTATCTTTTTTTTTTTAAACCAACACGTGTCAAGTGATCTAACTTGCAATTGTTGTTCTGTTTTATTTATACATTTTTAACAATTGTTAAATCATAGATATAATGACTATATGATGAATAATCAACAACAACAACAAAAACAAGAATATAAACTACCCAAAATAATATTAAAGTTAATCTTTTCAAATTTACAAGATAATCATTCATGGACATACAGATCATTCTTACCAAGGAATGAGTGGCCTCTGTCACCTGATGTATTGTCGTCGGCATCGGTAGTTGATCAATTGTCATTTATGTTTACTTGTAAGGATTTGTTGCAAAGCCTAAAGCCTCATTTTAAGTTCCCCACACTTTCAAACCACCATAAATCAAAGATGGTAACGACGTCTCTATTTCATCTAAGATCGTTATTACAATCACATATGGATCAATCAATTAAAGATCTTCAAGATATCGATCAACAGAACAAACATAGAGGTTCAAGCTCACTATCTTCACATCAAGAAGATAAACTGGCACGTCATCGAAAAGATAACATTAAAACATTGGTTTACTCTCAATTCAAAAGACCATTTATAAAAAGTGATTTTAGTGATGGTTTAAAAGAACTAAATCTAGGTTATTTTAACCATCCTATTCAACCAGGATCACTTCCACCATCACTTGAAAAGTTAAACTTGGGTTCTGAATTTCAACAAGATATTCTACCTGGAACCATTCCATCTACATGTAAATACTTACATTTTGGTGATAAGTTTAACAAATCAATCGTTGTAAATAGTGATCTATATAATGTAGAAACTATTATACTTGGAGTATCATATAATCAACCACTCCAAGCACACTCTATTGCAAATTGTAAAAAACTAGTTCTTACATCATTCAAGTATACCATTCAATGTGGTGCATTGCCAGAAGGACTATTAGAACTAACACTTAAATGGCATCAAGGTGTAGTTGAGAGTGGAGCACTCCCAAAATCACTCCTTTATTTAAAATTACCTAGTTTTCTACTTGCCACTTGTCCCAACACCATACCCGACACTCTATTACATATTGATGTTACTGGACCTTATTCTCAATTCCCGCTGACTGAAATGGTATATCTAGACTTTAACAGTGTATTTCCAATTAGTCTAATATCACTATCAATACCTGAATTTGAAATGGATGAACATGGACAACAAGTACTGGATTTGGAAAGATTGGTTAATTTAGAGTATTTAAAGTGTAGGTCATCAATATTGATGAATCAAACCAAATTACCAAATACTTTAAAGTGTATTCATATAGTATCGATATTTCCAATACAAAGACCACCTATACTCAAAACTATGTCCAGCAGTAGTAGGGATATACTGGTAACAATGTCATTTGACTTACCATCTGAACACCTTCATACAACCAATATCCATCTACCAATACGGACATTGTTAGAAGATAATGTAACAACGATTATCATCCATTTCAAAGTACATGGATATATGGCAGTTGTATCATTCCAACTACGTGATTTTGGAAGTCACTGTTTGTTGTTGGCAGCCAATCAATGTGGTGGGTTCATCAAAAAGGATAAACAAATCATCACCCATACATTACTAGACACTGATCTATTCAATTATTTAGATAACTTCTTCTTTGATTTCCATCGTTGGCAAGATGATTTCTTCAAAAGACAAAAATATGATAAATACTTTTTTAATAAAAAATATTTTTGATGCAAAGTACTCAAGTTGAAGTGGACTAGTCATTCCAAATGCATGTAAATTAATTAAGTTGTAACATTTATTTATTTATATCATATATATATATGAGCAACGAATCAAATAAGAGTGACGGTAGTGGTGTATCAACTGATGATGATGATGATGATAAGGTTGATATTGTAGAGAAAAAGGAGGAGGAGGAGAAAGAAGAGATAAAGGAGGAAAAAGAGAAAAAGGAGGAGGAGGTTGAAGCGATTATAGAGACTGCTACTACTACACATACGAGTGAAGATACTAAAAAGGAGGAGAAGAAGGAGAAAGAGGAAGAAGACCCATTTAAATATTTATTAGATAGCGATGAAGAAAAGAAACAAGAGAAGGATTGGTATTATGTCAATTCGAGCGATATTGAGCAGGGACCGTATACGTTCAATCAGATGCTCTATTGGTTCAAAACAAAGTATTTAAAGACCAATCAACAAGTGAGACACGAAAATCAACATAAATACTATGCAATCATATCGAATCCATTGTTTAATATACCTGCTAGCAGCGACAATACTACATCAACATCAACAACAACCGATAATACTACTACAATAGTGGATAATAATACTACAACCACTGCAGACTACAACCCTTATACGCAAACAACAACACCATACGACAATTATTATTATTCATCAATGTACAGTACAACACCCGATGCAACATCATCATCATCAACTACCCCTTATTCAAACAACAACAGATATCATCCATATGGAACTCAACAATATTATAGTACACCGCAACAACAACAACAACAACAACAATTTAAAGACTATGAAGTTAGTGGTACATTTAACAAAAGAACAGGTAGATTTGATGGAAGTGGAAGATCAACAGGATCATGGCAATCACAAGAAGAAAGAATCAATGCTCATTATTTTGACCTAGATGATTACAACAAACAAATGAACCAATTAAAGAACCAACAACAACAATACCAACAAAAGAAACAACCAAATAAACGATAGATGGATGTATGGAACATCTAATAACACAACATCCCCCAGGCCACAATGAATGATCATTTCGTTCGTTTAAGTGTGGATATAATTAGATTAACACAACTCTGTACATGTTTGATTTGATTTGATTGTGGTTTCCTTTCCCCTCAAAAAGATGGAACCATCCAACCCAACTTAAACATTGCCGAAAGAAAGTATCTTTATAAGGTCGTCAATCAGTGTTGCAAATTGATATCTTCCAAGATCCCACGAAACAAGGGACACGCACCAAAAAAAAAAAACACAACAGGGAGAGACTTGTCGCACACCACTGGAGGTCTGAAGAGTTTGACACTGAATTCTCTTTTCAACACAAAGTTATAACTTGTTCATCATTCATCTAAATACTCTTTCTATTTATATCTATCTATCTACTATCAAGAGGTAGAGGCAGTAAATAAAAAGGTAAGGTTCAATAAACAAACAGACAGACAGACAGACATCTCGATCAGACAACACTAATAGTGACAATATTAGCAGTGTATGTGTGTGGGTTGGTTTGAAACAAAGACTAAACAAGAGAGTCAATTGTATATGTTGGGAGAGGGTGTTTGAAAAAACAACACACGATAGCTATCATCAAAACAACCCTCTCTCTAAGCTAAACATCGACAGCAGCAGAGAGAAATGAATGAATGAATGAATGAATGAATGTGAATGAAGAGTAGAAGGAATATTCACTCAGAGACAACACCATTCATACATGAAACCTAGTCAACTGTTAGCTAGTTTACTACTCAACTCAAACAACCCAACAACAATATCAACTATAAATATCTATCTCTATACTCTCTCTTTTGGCGGTATTAATAGATAGATAAACACAGACAAACACAAACACAAAGTAGCATTATTTTAAGATTCAAACAACAAAAAAAAAAGATAACAATAACAATAGCAATCATCATTTAACAATATATACAAAGAAATAGAAATAAGGAGGAAATTAGTTACTAATATGAATGAATTTTAAAGTAATAGGATAGTTTATATTTATTTAGTTTACCATCATATATATTCCAAAAGATAATGTTGTCAACATCATCTTGGCACGCTTGATTCAATAATACAATACATATATACACTATTTTTATTTATTTATTTATTTAAATCAACAACAACCTTAATAATAATATACCAACAAAACAAAACAACAAAATGAGTAGTAGAAGGAAACCTTATTGTCTATTTCTACTTTGCTTAATATTCATATTTTATATAAATGGTATGATTAACAATAGAAGTAGAGTAGTTTAGAGTATATAGTATTAACAACATTGATTTGATTTTTGATTTGTTGATTTGATTTGATTAGTACCTACTATTGAATCTAAAGCCAACAAGATAGCAATCAATAATGACATTGTTGAAAACAACAACAAAAATGTAGTAGGCCAAATTGGAAATAATAATAACAACATAGGTATTCGTCGTGGTGGTGACATTGACCCAAAGTCAACCGATAAGATGACTATTGGACCTGTCGATGGAAGAACAACTCAACTACCAACTACAACATCTGGAACTTCTGGACATAATACAACAACTGTCGATGGTACTTCATCGTCGTCACAAACCACCGATGATGCGACAAGTGGTGCTGCAACTAGTGGTGCTGCTGCATCTTCTTCATCAACACAAACAACTGGTGCAACTGGTGCGACTAGTGGAAGCAGCTCGACAAATACTGCTACTTCTGCTACTGCTACAGCTACAGCTACTGCTACTACTGGTGGAAGCAGCTCAACCAATACGGCTACTACTGCTGGTGCAACTAGTGGAGGCTCGACAACAAATACTACTACTACTGCTACTGGTACTGCTACTGGTACTGGCAAATCAACTGGTGGGTCTACCAGTGGTGGAAGCAGCTCAACTGCTACCTCTGCTACAGCTACTGCTTCAACAACAGCAACAACAGCACCATCAACTACAAACTCTACTACATCAACTTCCAATTCGACTGATACCACTACTGGTGGTGCAACTAGTAATTTAACGACTGGTGCAAGTGATGCTGGTACGGGAGGTAGTGGTTCTTCTTCGAGTGGATCAGACTCCAAGACATCTGGTGATTCATCGACTAAATCATCAACCTCGTCGGGATCATCAACAACTAATGATTCGACAACTGGTCCAGCTCCAACAACTACAGCAACTACAACAGCAACTACAACAGCAACAACAACAGCAACTACAGCAACTACTACAGCAACAACAACAGCAACAACAACAGCAACAACAACAGCAACTACAACTGGACCACCACCAACTACAACAACTGACACAAGTGGTTCTTCTGGATCTGGATCATCATCGACGACAGGTCCATCATCGGGTGACACTACATCAGGACATTCATCATCATCACATGATTCATCTGATTCTTCTTCATCTGGATCGGGATCATCAGGATCAGGATCATCATCGTCAGGTGGAGATTGTGATCTTTGTCCAGCTGGTAGTTTTAGTAACAATGCAACAGTCAACAATTGTACACTTAAATGTGACGATGGTCACTGTACCAAGGGATTCCAATGCCCTTTATGTCCAGCCGGTACCTATTCATCAGAGCCAGGTACTTCGCTCTGTAACTTGTGTCCCGATGGAACGATTGCAGCACTCAATGGACAAACAACTTGTGTCGCTTGCGATCCAGGTATGTCCAACAACCAATATCACACTGAATGCATTACTTGTCCAATCGGTTACTATGCCGAGGGAGGTGATGCTTGCACATCTTGCCCCGACGGCACAGTGAGTGATTCAGGATCATCGTTTTGCTACGAATGCAGTCCTGGAACCTACAGTAACCAACCACAGCTCAACTGTAACGCTTGTCCATCAGGCACATACAGCAGCAACAGTGGACAGGGTGCCTGTACAGACTGCGGTCAAGGACATTACAATGGAAAGATAGGTCAAACCAGTTTCTCAAGTTGCATCGTTTGTCCCGATGGCACCTATTGTCCAGAACCATCAAATTCAGTACCACTCGATTGTCCAGAAAACTCTTATTGTCCATCTGGTGCATCACAACCAACTTCTTGTAAAGCTTTTTTCTCTTCTTCTTCAAGTTCAAGTGTAAGCATAGAAAAAAAAATATATGAAATATTATTATTATTATTATTATTAGTTTCCTAACTAACCCTTTTGTTTTCTATCTATCAATTTAGTCATGTACACCAAACAAATATCTTTATATTTTCGTATTTGGAGGAACTGGATTGGTTATCGTTGCAGTTATTATTATTTTCAAGTATAATCAACACAAGAGACATCAAAAGAAACAACAAGAATCTGAAGTTGAAAGATTAATTCCAAAACCAATGGATGGCCCAGAATATGGAGGTTTCTAAAAAAAAAAAACAAATAACAAATCAAAACAAATAATAACAAATAATCATTTTCCTTTTGTAAAATACATTAATAATAATAATATCCAACACCAACAACAACAACAACAACAAAAAATTGTTTAGAATTACTAAAGTTGATTTTAAATGAATCAATACTACACACACACACAACAACCAAAACTATATTTCAAAAACCAAAAAATTAACTAGGATCACTTTGTTTCCGGATAAGAATCAAATAACTAGTTATTTTCGATCGTAACTATTATAATTACACCACACCAAAAATACATCATACCCACCCATCTCTTTTAATTTGATGGATTCCAAATTTGAATAAATAATATATCCATCCAATTCCAATTCCAAATCCAAATCCCAAGCAAAGTTTGGTTACCAATAGTTATATTCTATTATATATTCGTCGTGTTTCGTTCGTTTCTTTCTATATTGTATTTATTTTTCTATTTTTAATTCTAATAATTTATACAAAATACTTTTCAAGTACTTTGCCCAAATTATATTAGCTATACCCAAACCTATACCATATGAAACACCAGAGAAAAATGATACTGCAAACGTATTTTTATATTTAATCCATGCTTTCTTCATATCTTTTGTTCTTGATGCCATGACTCCTCTCTACTCTATTTTTCAATGTTTTGTGAATATATCTAAATGTTTGTTTGTTTGTTTGTTTGTTTATAACTAAAGTTTGAATCAATATATTTATCATTCTAGTCAATATAATCAAATGATTGATTTGGATCATTGAAAGGTCTTGTCTAAAACATACATGAATGAATGTGATCTACAAATTTCAATTGAAAGATCAATATGCTATATACAATGGGGTAGTAGATGAATGATTGTGTATGTTTCTTAGGTTTGTATGTAATAATAATAGTAGAAACAACTTATAATGCGGTTGTAATAAATAATAGATGCATGAAACGCATTTTAATCATCACCGCCCTTTTTTTAATTTTTTTAAATAATAATGGTTTCAAGAATAGCATGTTCACACTTTATTCATATCATTGAGTCTACTCTTGCTTGTTATAGATATCATCATCTTCATCTTAAAAGTTAGCATTGAAGAACCATTTGTAAATAGGTTCGATCAGATATTAGATAAAGATTACAGAGTATAGATATTAGATAGTAGTGACAAGGTGGTAAAGAAGACATTGATTGATTGGTCATAGCAACTCATCTATAATAGTAACAATAACAACAAACTATATATATAAGTCAATCATGTCATACAACTTTATAACAACTGTTCACAAACCAACAGCAGTTACTGAATCAGTAACAGGTCATTTTACATCACCAAATGAAAAGAATTTGATCATCTCGTACGTAACAATATATATTCTGTATCTTTTAATTGGTTATTAATAATGTGTTTGTTTTAAAAAGTAAATGCACAAAGATTGAAATATTTACTTTAGCACCTGAAGGACTTGTTCCTATTTTGGAAACTAATATCTATGGTAGAATTTCAAATATGAAGTTGTTTAGTGTTCATGTATGAATCGATAAATTGGTGTGATATATATATATATATATATAATATTCTAATCTAACCTTTTCTCTTCTTTTTACTTTATCTCTATAGGGAGAAAAACAAGAATTATTATTTATATTGACAGAAAGATTTAAATATTGTGTATTATCGTATGATGCAGAAAAGAAGGAATTGATAACAAGAGCAAGTGGAGAGGCTGATGATAGTATTGGTCGACCTGCCGACTCTGGGCAATTGGCAATCATCGACCCCGATAGCAAAGTATTGGCACTTCATTTGTACGAAGGGTTATTAAAGATCATTCCCATTGAAAAGGGGACACTCAAGACTGCGTACAATGTGAGACTGCAAGAGTTGCAAGTCATAGACATTGTATTCATCGCACCCACCAACAACCAACCAACACTGGCCGTTCTCTCAAAGGACACAAGAGACTCTAAAAATGTAAACACCTATATCCTCTCACTCAAGGACAAAGAGTTGATTGAGAGTGCCAACACCTGGGCACAGTCAAATGTAGAGGACGGTGCATCCAAGTTGATTGCACACCAAAATGGATTGTTGGTGGTTGGCGAGACACTGGTCAGTTTCCTCAAACCTACCAGCTCACCACGCACCATCCCGATAGCAGGTACTCGCATCACTGCAGTTGGACGAGTTGACAAGGACAAGTTTTTGTTTGGCGACCATTTGGGACAACTCTACTTTTTACTCTTATCGCAAAACGAAAAGGAACTTCGATTTGAAAAGCTTGGTGAGACGTGTACGGCAAGTACCATCTCCTATCTCGATAGTGGTGTTGTGTTTATAGGATCGGCACTTGGAGACAGCCAGTTGATTCGTCTGCTCTCGGATCGTGATCCAAACACCAATAGCTATGTGACCGTCCTCGACACCTTTGCAAATCTCGGACCTATTCCCGACTTTTGTTTGGTCGACATTGAAAAGCAAGGACAGAATCAAATTGTAGCGTGTTCGGGTGGATTCAAGGAAGGATCGCTCCGAGTCATTCGTAATGGTATTGGTATTACCGAACAGGCATCGATTGATCTACCAGGCATCAAAGCTATCTGGTCGTTGGCAAGAGGTTCCGACCGTTATCTCATCCTCTCCTTTATCTCTTCGACCAAAGTACTCGAATTCCAAGGTGAAGATATTGAAGAAACTGAAATAGCAGGATTCGATCTACAATCACCAACCCTCTATTGTGGCAATGTCGCAGACAAACAAATACTTCAAATTTCAACCAGCGGTATCTATTTGGTAGATCATGAAACTAATCTAAATTATGATGTTTGGAAACCATCCTCTGGTTCAATTAATCTTGCCTCCCATCAAGGAAATCAAATCTTAATCTCTTTTGGTAAAACTTTAATTTATTTTGAAATTAAAGATCAAAAAATTATTAAACTCAAGTAAGAAATTGAAATAATTAAAACATATAATTTAGATTTGATTATTAACCAATAATATATTATATATAAATATATATTTAACCATATTTTTTTTATTCATTTTCTATTTTTTAGAGAACTAGAAATGGAATTTGAAATTTCATGTTTGGATATATCATCATTTCAAGTAGGAGAGAGATCAAAGATTTGTGTTGTTGGTCTTTGGACAGATATATCGTTGAGAATTTTATCTTTACCAACTTTGGAACAAGTACATAAAGAAAATTTGGGAGGTGAGGTCATTCCAAGATCAGTCTTGATGATTGCGTTTGAAGGTATCAATTATTTATTATGTTCACTTGGTGATGGTCATCTTTTTAACTTTATTGTCGATACTATAAATAATACTCTTCATGAAAGAAAAAAGGTTTCACTTGGTAATCAACCAATTATTTTATCAAAGTATGGAGTAAAAAAGATATCTTTATAATCATTAATCAATTCTAAATTATTTATTATTTTTCTATTTTTTTTTAGATTCCAATTAAAAGGTACAGTAAATGTATTTGCATCATCGGATAGACCAACTGTAATTTATAGTAGTAATAGAAAATTATTATATTCAGTGGTTAATCTAAAGGTTGTGGTTGGGGTATGTTCATTTGACTCTGAAGTTTTCCGTGATTGTATTGCCATTGCAACAGACAAGACACTGTCGATTGGACACATTGACGATATTCAAAGATTGCACATTAAAAAAATAGATCTTGGTGGCGAGTTTGCACGTAGAATTGCACATGTCGAAGCACATCAATGCTATGCTCTCATCACCATCAGACCAGATGAATCTGGTTTGGAAGAGAGCGAAACTGAACAAAATTTCATTAGAATCGTCAATCAACAAACATTTGAAACCATTGTAAAATATCCCCTCAAAGAAAATGAATATGGTTGGACTATTTTAAGTACAAACTTTAAAGAAACTTTGACATCTAATTCATCTTCAACATCATCATCTACTTCAACAACTTCAACAACTTCTACCTCTGGAAGAAGAAGATTACCAACAACAACAACAACAACAACAACGAGCAATGATGAAGAAGAACAAAGTGAATATATTGTTGTGGGAACGACATACCATTGTCACGATCGAAAAGAGTGTGGAAGAATATTGGTTTTCAAGATGATTGATAGTCGATTGATATTGTTGGATGAGACGACTGTACGTGGTAGCATCTTTTGCATGATTGCATTCAATGGTCAGTTGTTGGTTGCCATCAACAAGAGTGTCCACAGATACACCTGGAGTGGCGACTCGAGCTCAGGCAAGCTCACAGGCGAAGAGATATACGGTGGACACACTGCTTCGCTCTATTTGGCGGGAAGAGGTGACTTTGTGTTGGTGGGTGACATGATGAAGTCAATGGCTCTCCTCCAAGCGTCTGGAAAGGATGTAAAGGAGTTGTCGCGAAGTTCACAACCATTCTGGTTGACAGGACTCACGTTTATTGACGATGACACCTATCTCGGATCAGACAACTCGTACAACCTCATCTTGATGAAAAAGAATACGGAAACTGCCAACGAGGTTGACAGCCAACTACTCGACAACATTGGACACATCCATACTGGCGAGTTTATCAATCGTTTCCACCATGGTACTCTTGCCACACTCACCGATGTCGATTCACCCAAACCAAACTCTATCATTTTCGCCACCATCAGTGGTTGCATTGGCGTCATTTCAACCATTTCAAAGCAAGATTACGATTTCTTTTCAAAATTACAAGTTGGTTTAAATAGAGTTATTAGAGGAATTGGTGGTTTTTCTCATGATCGGTATGAAACAAGATCTTATTTATTAATTTATTATATTATTAATTACTGACATTTTATTATTTCTTAATTTTATTTGTAGTTGGAGATCATTCCAAAATGAGCATATTTCAAATATAGAATCACGTAATTTTATCGATGGAGATTTGGTTGAACAATTTTTACATCTTCGTCATGACAAGATGTTAGAAGTAACCAAGGATATGGATATTTCAATCGAAGATACATATAAAAAGATTGAAACAACAATGCAAAGTATTAGATAAAATAATAATAATAATAAAACACACAACATACAATAGAAAAATAGTAGTAAATATACATATATGGATTGTATGTTGCCAAATATTTCGATGATTGGTTGATATAGTCTGGATTGTAATTTAGTAAATATACGACGAAACAAATCGGTTGGTTCAAATTTTATGTCGATTCAATGTCGCAGACGATTGAACAACAATGACGATCATTGTTGTTATTGTTCTTGTTGTGGGAGTCGTGTTTATTGATTCCAGAACAGACTATTGAATTCGATCAACCCCCACATGAATATGAGTAACCACTAGTAAATCAATTTAAATTTACAGTACTTTATAAATATTCTATATTTGGATGATACTTTTATCGGTTTCAATCAATATCAATTATCAATTAATTTAATACGATTGTATATTAATAATATCTTTATTTAGCTTGTTTTTAAAAATATACTACTTTTATTTGGGTTGTTCTTTTTTTAAAACAAAGCGTGAAAACCAAGCCATTTTTCTTTCTTTGATTAAACAAACAAATATAGAGAGAGAGATACGGATACGATTACAAACTTTTCTTTTGCTGCTCTTTTATTGTAAAATGTGGATAGACTGTATTCAATAGCAATAAGAATACCCGTATCAACAATCAACAATCAACAATCAACAATCAACGACCATTGCTAGAATTCTCACTTTTCATTGTCGAGAGAGGAATGTGCATATCATCGGTGGTTGTGGTGGTTGTGTTGATTGATCCTCTTTCCCTTTTCCCCCTCTCCTTACCTACCCTTCACAATCATGTGAAGTGGTTGAAAAATATCATAATACCCCCCTCTCTCCCTCCCTACCAACCACAACCCAACAAACATAAGCAAGCAGAAACCATCATCATATTTGCGATGCGTATCAATTTAACGGGAGGAAGAGGAGGAAGAGGGAGGAGCAGTATATTCATATTCTCTCTCTATCGTGTGTGTTTGGATATAAAAATAGATGGGTTGGGTTCAGTCAAATTCCATCCTATCAGTTGATGTTATGTTGTTGGATGATTGATATCGATTTGATGGTAGTGACATCCACTACGCTACTCTACGTACAACAAACATATCTTACCGTGTGGTTAGGGATTAATGCACTATACACCCTTTAAGGGGGGGGCGGTGCAACTAGATATGAACACCACCCTACCTACCCACCCCCAACAACCAATTTATATTTTAATAGACTGTTGATGAGATGAGAATAATTACCCATCCAACTTGATGATCATCACCCAACATCAACAACCAAGAACAACAACAAAAACATTAAATGGAATTAATTTGAATCAATGTTTGTTTGATTTTTTTAATTTGATAAAAACAGAAACACAACACATTTGTGATCACAAACAACAATCTATTAAATTTACTTTCTTTTCTTTCTTTTAACTGCCACCACAAACTAGTAATTTAATTAACTTACTCCTTACTCCTTACTTTTATTATTTGTTTGTTCCCATTTTTTTAATTTAATTTCCCCAACCATTTATTTATTTATTTATCCCAACAATTTAAATTAATTTTAATTTATAATTTCACTAAACATTGTACAATACTTAAATCATAATAATAATAATTAAAAAATGAGGTTTTTAATCTCACTTGTATTTTCTTTAATATTAATAATTGGTAATTATTTTAAAAAGAAATAATCAAATCTTTTCAATATCCTATTGAATATTTAATATTAATATGTAACTCTTGATTTACTATTTTATTTTATTTTTAATTAGGATTATCTAGATCACAGAATGTTATCAAAGTACCTATTACCATTTTTGATCATCATCCATCATTGAATCCAGATTTCGAATATCCTCAATATGGATCATTAACAAAAGGATTGGTAGAGGATATTTTAGGAAAGGACAGTCTTCCAGTTCTCAAAAAAAATTATCCAGCTAGTGGTTTGATCACGAGCCAACAAACATTCAATCAATGGTTTGTACCAGTCAAAGGAGTCAACTTGGGTGTCATTAGTACATTGGATTTCCAAAAGAGTACAACAGACGGCAGCAAATATTCCATAAACAACGATGCATTCTTTCCAATCGATAATATGGGTTTAGATTCACTCAAAAATGAATCTGGTTATATATATCGTCGTTATGCTGATGAGCAAGGAAACTATCACAATTATCATTTCTGTTTACATATGCAATCAAACTTTTATTATAGAGTAAGAAAATAATATTTATTTTAATATTTATTTATTAATTAATTAAATTTTTAGGGTACAGAATCATTTACATTTAAAGGTGATGATGATGTTTGGTTGTTTATTAATAACAAGTTGGTTGTTGATCTTGGTGGTATTCATACCCAAGCAAACCAAACTATTAATTTTAAAGATTTGGGTCTAGTTTCAACTGAAGTATGTTTAAACAAAAAAAAAAAAAAATTAAAAGAAGTACTTTTAATTTAAATTAACTAATTCTTCTTCCTATTTATTTTTCTAGAATAAACCAGTTAAATTTGATTTCTTTTATTGTGAAAGACATACCTATGCATCAGAGATTGAAATTGAAACTGAATTGGAATTCTTGTGTCTTAGAAAAGATTATTGTGGAATTTGTGGTGGATCTGGTTCAGAGTGTTGTAATCCTAATGTCGATTGTTCAGACAATGATCCATGTACCGTAGATGCTTGTCCATCTGTCAGCACTCCCGATATTACTGAAGCCAACTGGAAAACCAAGTGTGTACACACTCCCATCACTTGCTCTGCTCCAGACAGATGTCACAACTCTGCCTGCTCCAATGGAACCTGTGTCGTATCAGATGTTGTTTGTCCAGAAAAACCATGTTCAAAGAGCTACTGTAACAAAGACTCTGGATGTGGTTACACAGCCACAGAATGCAAGCCAGCCGACAAGTGTACCAACGCTGCCTGTGATCCAAGCACTGGAGCCTGTAAATCTACCCCAATATCATGTAACGACAATAACCCTTGTACCATTGACAGTTGTGACCCGGCTGTTGGATGTTTGTTCAAGGCCAAGTGTCAGAAAGCTGGTGATTGTCAAAAGGATGTTTGTTCACCAACTGGAGAATGTAGTATAGAGACCATTCCAGAAGGGCAATGTGTATGTGACTGTCCTCGTACTGGTTGCGAAGATTTCAAGTGTAATCCAGGTTCAAAGTGTACCAAGACACCAAAGGTTTACAGCGATGGTAATCTCTGTACCAAGGATGAATGTGTTCCACTCTCTACCAATACCTCGGAGCCCAGGTTCACCCCGATCGTATGTGCTGCCAGCACAGATCCATGTTTTGTTTCACAATGTGATCCTGCCAAGGGATGTGTTCCAGTACCCATCAATTGTGACGATGGCAATCCATGCTCGATCGACACTTGTGTCGCTGGTAAGTGTGTCAATACCTTGGACACTTGCTCCGATGGCAATCCATGTACTGAAGACCACTGCAATGCCACTCTTGGTGCCTGTCAACACACACCCATTCCATGCAACAACACTGATATTTGTATGGTTGGTACTTGCAGTTCAGCCAATGGTTCATGTACCTACGCACCCAAAGTATGTCCAGACCCAGCCGGCAAATTCTGCGAGGTCGGTTATTGTGATCCATTGGCTGGCTGCATCTTCATCCCAAGAAAGTGTGTTGCCGACAACCCCGAGTGTCAAAAGTCTGTCTGTAACGAAGACGCCAAAAAGTGTGACGAGACCAGCTTTAGTCCCACGCCTTACAAGTGTCTCTCGACAGCCGCCAAAGCAGGTGTTATTGGTGGTGCAGCCATTGCTGGTATCGTCATTGGTGGTGCCGTCGCACTAGGTCTCGCTGCATTTGGTGGAAAGAAGGGTTACGACTATTGGAAGAACACTCAACAACAAAAGATGACCACTTCCAATGCCAACCCACTCTATGAAAAGAATCCAAACAATGGTGAAAATCCACTCTACACTTCAAATGGATAGAGTTAATTAAAACAACAAGAAAAAAAGATTAGAAAAGAAAAGAAAAGAAAACAACAAAAAAGAAACAAATCCAATCAGATCACTCTTTGTAAAATTAATTTACTTATTATTTATTATCTCTACTACTTTTTAAAAACAACAATCATTCAAACCAATCATTCATATTAATAATTCCAAAATACACATTATAATATTAAAATATATTTATTAAATAAATAAACAAAAAAAAAAAAATTAAAACAATCAAACAAATATATCACCAAGATCAAGATTAACTTGATTTACGCATGGGACACGGACAATTCCAATGACCAAACATGGAATTCAGACTGCAGTATTCCGAAATCAAAGATCTTTTCAAAATTCAAAGAGATATTTTTTAAACACTAAAACCATTGACATCCCTTGCAGCAGTGCCTTTTCATCTTAGTCTCTTATCTCTTCTCTCTCATTTTCTTACTATCTATTTGTATAACTACTCTTTGAATAACAAATTTGTATCATGTCTTTTAAACTTAAGGATGACGGTCTCCCAGGTAGGTAAACAGGAGGTGGTATACACCTATCAAGTTTTAAAGAAGCATAAACAAATCAGAATTAACAATAGTTTCACTTTATTAAAACAGGAGGAAAAGGTAAACCTGGAGGAAGAGGATTTGTTCCACCTCCTCCAAATCCACCTCCAAGAAATGGCGGAGGTCAAACTGGAAACCCTTTCAACTCTTAAAAAGTCTAAAAACAGCAACTTTTGTACCAATAAAAACTAACAATGGAAAATCAAATAATTATAATTATTTGTATCATCCATATTATCTATATGTTTTTTGTTATTCTTTCATAATAGCAAAGACGAATATAGATCACCGTAACACCCAACAGACTTTTGCCCCCCAAAAGCAGACTCATACACTTTTTTTTCCTTCAATCCAGTTGAAGGTGAAATATGTGATCCAATGACAAGTCCATGTGAAGATGGAGCCGTTTGTTGGCCACAACATAGAGATGATGTAGTCCCAACTTGTAAAGGATTTTTTTATGAAAGACTTGGAGAAGAATGGTAAGTACCGAATTAAAGACATGAATACATATTTTTTCTTTCTAACTATTATATTGTTTTCTTTAACAGTCGAATTCGAACAGATTGTTGGGGATTAAAATGTGAACCATTCTCTCGTACTTGTCAACCAGATATTAATTCATTGGATGGATATCAATGTGAATCATTATGTTAAAACAAATTGCAAAATTATAAACATTAATACTAATATTATTGATTGACAGGATTTCCATTGCGCATTCGGATACTTTTGTAACACAACAAATCATCGATGTATACAAAAAGGAAGTGAATGTACTAATAATGTAGATTCTTGTCTTGAAGGTTTAATATGTACCACCACCATCAACATTGATGGCACCAAGTATTGCATTGAACCATTTTCACTATCAGAGGGTAATACATGCGACACAGAATTTGAAAATCTAATAGGTGATAATGGAAATTAAAGATCACCATGCCAAGTAGGTCTATTTTGTAATGGCACAGTTTGCACTAAACCTGTTCAATTGTTCAGTTGTGAGAAACCGTGGTTCTCGACCTAAGAAGTACATGTTCAGCTCCTCCTCCACCAATCGTTGGATTATGTACAGAACCTGATTTCTCTTATTCAAATTTTGGTACATGTCCAAGCAACTCTGCAAACTCAATATCGATTATCCCAAACATCCTCTTTATGATTGTGATAGTTATTTTGGGATCGATATAACTTAACATAGTTGTGTAAAAATATCTAATTATGTTTCTATTCATATCGCGATAAGAGTCACCATAAAATGTAAGGCAGCGTCGATTCGTATATGTATCGTTGCAAAAAAGTGAGAAATTAATAAATCATAAGATATTTATTTTCAAAGCATTTTAGGGATCTTCTATGGTTCAGGTATACACATCCCTTGAAACTCATTTGTATATTCTTCATTTCATTTATCTTTTTTATATAGTAATACTAATTGTAATAATACTTTAACTCAAACACATAAACAATGTCATTCAGATTCGAAGGTCATAGTCACCCAGGTAATTAAGTTGTGTTCAACATTTTGCATTTGTTGCTAACCTTTAGGAACCTTTTATTCTTTTTTTTTTAATCACTATTTAGGAGGATTAGGAAAACCAGGAGGTTTTGCCTATGGAGCAGGAGCTGGAGGTTCACCAAGACCAGCCCCAAAATCAGGAGGAGGCCAAGGCAGCAACCCATTCGGAGGTTAAAATCATCCATCCATCCATCAATAGATATCTATTGACACAATAAATATTCACTGGAACATTTATTTTCTGTCTCCAAGTGTATTCAATCTTTTTATTAACTTATAAAATTAATAATATAGATCACACATCATTAAATAATCTTATCTTCTTGTTCTTTTTCTTTTTTGATTTTTTTTATCCATTCTTTTTATTAAAACTAATATTTAAAATATTATTCTTATTCTTGTTATGATTATTATTATTATTAATATTATTATTTTGATTATTTTTAAGCCATTGATTTTGAACTTGAAGCGTAGGAATCATGTTGTAGAACCGATAGAAATAACTTGTTTGCCGTGCCACGATAGGTGCAGATAGGAAAAATAAGGATAATTAAAAAGAGGAGGAGAAAAAAGATAGAAGTGTGCGAAGAGGTTTTGGCGTGTTCGTGTACAATGACAAAGCTGTCACCGACCGATCCATTGGTTCGGAGATAGGTCACCTCTAAAGAGTATTGGTAGGCAGCGAGTTTGGTGAATCCCCACGATGTTTCACGATGAAGTGACCAGTCTGGTTGATCGAGCCATGGGTCCGAGGTGGCACCACCAGTGCCTGCCAAAATGTGAATGGTTCCCTCTGACGAATCGTATCTTTGCTTCTTTTCGTCGAGGATCTTTCCTTGGTACACTGGATAGGTTCTCTCGTATCCATGGTCGTGGCCTGAAATGACTAGATTGACCTTGTATTTCTTGATCAATGGTTCGACAGCCTCACGGAATCCCAAGTCGCTACCATCGTGTCCCGACGACGAGCTGTACATTGGACTGTGGGCACACACAATCAACCATGGAACACGATGTCTGATACTAGCTGCATGTTCTAGTTGTTGCTTTAACCAATTATATTGTACACTACCTTGATGATAGTCATCATAGGATGATATCATTACAAAATAAATTAAACCATATTCATAACTATAGAATAAATTATTTGCTGTCTCTACTTTGATTTCTACGTTGTTGTCTGATTTGTCTTTGTCTGCGTTGTTAGTGTCAAACACTAATTTGTTGGTTGGTGATTTAATGTAAAGAGGCATTTTGTAACGATTCTTGAATGGTTCCAAAGCACCTTCTTTGACATCCCAATTACCTGGGATGGTCATATATGGGAACTGCGATGAAATGGGTTCGATCAAATTACCAAATCGATCCCATATCTCTTCTGTCACTCCATAGGAGAGATCGCCGGCATGAATGACAGCTGTAATGTCTGGATCCGAAGCAATGTGTTCAAAGACCTCTGGGATATTACCCCAAGTCCCCGAATCGGCAAATGCAGCAACTATAGTTGGTGCCAATGTTGGTAATGGATTAGTCTTGAATGAATACCATGTATTTGACCAACTCGATGGATATTTACTGCCACTGCTAGTCAACATTGACTTTTCACCACCAACTCTATAACAATATGGTTTACCAGATGATAACAATGTCAATTGTACACTGTGAATATAAGCATCCAATCCAAAATAAGTTGTAGTTGTACCAGTAGCCATTTTAAAAGATTTAATTTGATTTGTAGAGTATTGTTGTTGATTGTTATGGTTATTGTTGGTGAGGAGGATATCTGAATTTGCATCAACCGATGTGATTTCTTCTGTAGCTAGTAGTTTACTTCCCATAGGTGATATTGGATGTTTTTGTATATTCTTTAGGTTCTCTTGTACATCATCGCATGAACCTTGGTAATAGTAGACGGTTGGCATAGGCACCTTGGCCTTGGTCAACCATGAAACCACAATGTCTTGAGGATCATCTCCCAATGCCAAATGTATATGATATGGTGTATAAGAAGGTAAACTCTCTCCATTACTTATCAATAAACATATCAATGTTATTATAATCCCTATTGTTGTTTTATGAATATTCATCATCGAGTGTCGTCTAATAATATATAATATATAAATATAACTACTATTTTGAAAATTAAATCATCACTTAAGATCTTTAATTATTACTTTTGATTGTTATTATTATTATTATTGTATTAGTATATAGATAGAGTTAAATAGATATATAGTGTAGTTATAAATAAAATGAAATGAATGAATAATAAAGAATGAATGAAACGAAAATAGGAGGTTGATCTGCGGTTTACTCACTTTGTTGTAAAAAAATAAAAACTGTGAGGGTGACGAGGTTTATTTATTTGGTGGATGAAAAGAAGGGTAAGGTTGAAGTGATGAGGGTGGGTTTGATATGAATAATATTGTAGTTGTGGTTCAATCTACAAAGAATAATAATTTATTTATTTATGATTGTATACAATGATCAAAATAATAAATAATATTAATCATTTACACATTACATACTATAGTATGTATGGATTGATTTAATTTCGGTATTAAACAATAATTTATGATTTATGATTTATTTTAAATAATAGTTAATAGAGTAATATCATTTGATACATCACCAATATATAATTTAGAATCTTTAGTTGATGTCATCCAATTAATTTTAGAGTGATAATTAGTCCATAATTTAACTCTATCTTCATTTTCTAATTTTTGGTTGTTATTATTAATATCCCAGAATTTTAATTTACTATCACTTGCTGTTGATAATAATATATCTTGACTAAATAATGGGAAATGTCTATAGAAATAGTATATAAATAGTATATTATTAGTATATATATTTACTTTTTCTATTTCTATTTCTTTTTCTTTTTCCTTCTTACACTTGAGAAATTGGGGCAGTATGAGCTTCTTCAATTAATAAATGTTGTCTAAAACTTGATATTTCATTGATTACAATATTTCCATTTCCGATACCAGCCGATACCAATCTGCCATCTTGGGTAATATCTATAGAGTTTACCATTGGTGGATTTAATATTTGATTTGATTTTGCTTCTTCTTGGTCATCACTACTACTCTTTTTGGGATTCAATAGTGATGCACTACCAAATGATTGTCTATGTAATACCTTTCCTTTTAAATATTCCCAATGTATAATTGAATAATCCATTGATCCAGTTAATACTAATAAGTTGTTTTAAATAAATTGAATTGTATTAATATCCAAAGATCTTTGGTGGTAGGATAAATATTATTATTATTATTATTATTATTATTATTATTATTATTATTATTATTATTATTATTATTATTATTATTATTATTAATAATATTTACAATCATTTTTTGAATTTGGTCTAAAGACAACAGATGAACAAACATTTGTATGTTTCTTTGCCAATGTATCATATAGTTTCTTTTTGTTTATATCTATAATCTTTGTTTGGCCGCTGTCATCACATGCTGCCAAGTATAGATACTTTGGATCAAATGCCAATTGATTAATCTCTTCATTGTTGAATTGATATTGCGTCGATTTCTCTTTTAATATAATACTCGTGTTTCTTAGATCATACGATGAAATCATAGTTCCATGTGCACAATATATTAAATGATCTTGATCGAATATTACACTATTTACCTTCACAATGAATCTATTAGTATAGATTTTAAAAGTATTGTATATTTATGTATACCTACAGGTTCCCCTTTAAAATCATTTATACATTTGATAGAAGTATTTTTGTTGGTATCCCAAATACGAACTGTACAATCATCACTACCAGATGCCAACAATGGTTGTGATTTATGTAATGCAATCGTCACTACACTATCCTTATGTCCTTTTAATTTTGTCTCTATCAATCTTTGTGATGATGATGATGATGATTGACTAGTACCATCACTACCACTACCATTGTTTGTTGTTGTTGAAGTAGTACTTGTTGTTGTTGATAATTCTTGTTGTTCTGAAGACATTCGTTCAAAAAAAAAGAGTAAATACGAAAGTAGAATCATCATCTCGACTCAGTTCAAACTTCATTTTTATAAATGTATATTTATTAATTAATCATTTATTCTTTAAAGTTGTTTAATGAATAAAGCATTTAGAGCATCATTTGAATATGGTGGAAAGATTAATTGGTTCCCAGGTCACATGATCAAGGCGAGTAAAGAGGTGAGAGAGACGTTAAAGAGGATCGATATAGTGTTGGAGATTAGAGACTCGCGTGCACCCATCTCGTCCGAGAACCCTCTACTCAGTGATATTATCAAAGAAGAGCAACGAGAGAATACAAGTCATGTCATCATCTTTAACAAGGCTGATCTGTCCAACCATAACCTTCAAAAGAAAATACAACAAAAGTTTGAAAACAGAGACAAAGGTGTGTCGGTCGCATTCACTCAAGCTGCCATGTCAAAGGCAGCATCTCATGCGGGACAGTCTGCAGCGGCACTCTCCCAAATATCACATCCTCGTCATCCCTACAACGCAGTTGTCACAGCCATCAAATTTCACAAAGACTGGCTCAATGAAAAGAAAAGACAACAACAAGAAATCCAATTACAAAGATTACAAGAACAAAAAGATGAAAAGGAACGAATAGAACAATTAAATAATAATAATAATATAAATGGATCAACTAATATGATAAATACAACAACTACAACTACAACTTCTACACCTATCCAACCAAAGAAAATCAATACAACTAAAATAGATTCAAGTAAATTAAAAAAGGAATTAAATTTGATGGTGATTGGGTTACCCAATCTTGGTAAATCATCTATTATCAATTCTATTAGAACGGCATCGAGTATGGCAAAGAGTGCCAAAACTGGTGCGTTGCCAGGTGTCACCAAACATATTAGTGGATTCAGAGTGTTGGATGATCCACCCGCATTCCTCGTCGACACTCCGGGTATCATGATTCCCGGCTCAATGAAGGATATCGAACATGCATTGACACTGGCAGCCATTGGAAGTATCTCTGAACGAATCATTGACATCAAGGTGGTGGCAGACTTTTTACTCTTTAAAATGAATCAGCTCGGTCAGACTACCTATGTCAAGGCATTGGACTATCCAGAAGGTCCAACCGACGACATTCACAAACTACTCTCACACATGTGTATGAAACATGGTTTCATCAACAACCACAACACACTCGAAAGTCTAAAGAACTCTTCAAGCAGTCACAACAGCTACGATTACAATCAAGCTTCAAAATTATTTTTACAAATGTATCGTGATGGTAAATTTGGTCATTTCTCTCTTGACAAGATACCTCCATAATAATAATAATAAAGGAATCAAAGATCACATTTAAATTAAATTGTCCGATTTAAAGAAAGATATATATATTAATTAATTCCATTTTTGCCCAACACACCCCCAGGACGACCAACAAACCAATCGACGAAAACGTTCGATTTCTTTTTTTTTGTGTCAATTTACTTTTTTTAATCTAACTATTCAATCGATACAGATAATAGATACAATACAGTACTGTGCACAGATATATACATATACAATGGGAAAGAAAAAGAAGTCATCATCATCATCGACAACACCAACTACTACTACAACTGAAACAAAAACAGATGTAAATAATAATAATAGTGATAGTATTACAAATGGAGCTGTATTTGATCCATTTGCAGGGTTAGAGGAATCACAAATCGATGCACATAAAGAGTTTAAAGAAAAGTTGTCTACTTTGGAATTAGATGATAAAGAAGTATGTAAAAGAGAAAGAGAAAGAGAGAGAGAGAGAGAATATGAAGAGTAATGATGATGATGATCAATGTTGATTAATTAACAATTATGTTTTATTAGAAATTATGGATAGATGATATGTTAATATTTAGATATTTAAGAGCACGTGATTATAATGTAAAAGCTGCATTTGAATTATTTCAAGGTACTTTGAAATGGAGAAAAGAATTTAAACCAGATGAAATCAATCCAGATAAACTTTCATACGAGGCTAGTAGTGGGAAACAATATTGTGGCCCATTTACTACCAAATCTAGACCACTCATTACAATGGCTCCACGCAAGGAGAATACAAAGAATTATGAACGTCAAATACAACTATTGGTATATACTATTGAACGTGCCATTACAAAAATGGATGCATCACAGGGATGTGAACAATTGGCCATTCTAATCGATTTCAATGGCTATTCGATTATGAATGCTCCTCCACTATCGGTTAGCAAACAAACACTAGATATCCTCTCATCACACTATCCAGAGCGACTAGGTGTGGCATTTATAGTAGACCCACCACTAGTTTTTAGTGTCTTTTGGAATATTATATCACCACTGATCAACAAAAATACAGTCAAAAAGATTGTATTTGTCAAAGGTGAAAAAGAGAAAAAGAAAGTACTCTCTCAATACTTTGAATCGGAACAATTAGAAACTGCATTTGGTGGTACTAGCGACTACCAATATGACCACGCTGTACATTGGAAACAAGAAATTGAATTCTATCGCAACAAAAATAACCTCCCACCTCTTTCTGATGAAGAAATCACTAAAATATTGGAATTAAAGGATTAAATATTAATTAATAGTTAATAGTTGATAGGTTTTAAAAGAGTTTATAATAATAAATATTTATTTATTTATTTATTTATTTTGGAATAATATTATATAATGAATAATGATGAATAATTAACACAAATATTAAAGTGTTAATTTTAAAGTAAGGAGGAGGGTGGTATTAATAAATTAAGTAATATTACAATATGGGGTTGAATGAATGGATGGGTTGGTTGGTTATTATTATTATTATTATTATTATTTATATTGAACAACCAGATCCAGAAGGTTGAGATTGTTTTGCAGAAATCTTGTTTGAAAGAGTTGAAATTTTCGAACTGATTGACCCAATATCCAATGACCGATGACTATTCGTCATTTTTAGTGCTGAATGAACCTATGGTTTGAAAATAAAGGAGCAAAAGAGAGATAGAGAGTCAAAGTGTTAGCAAATTTAGTCTTTTCTCTCAAAAGGGATCTTTTACTTACTAGTATGGTTTTGCCAATGATTGACAGAGTTCTTGAATGGGTATTGTGGAAGAGCCACATGTGCGATATGCGTGACGTAGAATACGGAAACCCCCCCCTCCGAGAGAGAGTCGTGCGAGTGTTGATGTGAGCTGTTTTTATCATAGACACCGTTGCAATGGACGAGGAGGATGATGAGGATGGGGGTGATGATGAAAAGGTGTTGTCTGCCCACTCACCCAATCAATCAAAATGTATATGCTTTGATTGCTTTCTCTCTTGAACATCACAATAATGTGTCAACTCTTTTATTTGATAGCATATGGTTTGAAAACTGTTTGACATGATGTGCTGTCATACTGACTCTAAGAATAGTTGTTGTCTAGAGAGATAAAGTATCTAACAATCAATAATAGTGTCGATGTAGTGCACGTGGTCATCTCGTTGATTTCTTTTAACTTTGTTCTTCTACTTTTTCATTCTTTTAAATCATAAGAACTGTGGTGCAAGAAGAAAATCAATCCTTCGAAGAGCTCAATAATTCTTTTTAAAGATTTGAATAAAATTGAATTTAATTTATTTATTCACATGATTGATTGATTGATTGGTTTGTTGGTTTGTTGTTTGATTGATAAATTATGAAAATTAATCATTTAGTTTAAGCAATAACAGTGCAATTAAAGGAATAGAGCATTTGAAGATTGGTTCCACCAATTCCAGTAGCTCCATATAAACGAATGGTGTCACAAGCTGGAACAGATGGTAAATTGCAAACCAATGGTGACCATCCATACAATGCAACACAGTATGGTTCAATGTCAGAAGTCACTCCATTTTTGATTAAATGATTATCAAACCAAATCATTGTCATTGGTGAGTAATGAATAGTGAGTTTCTTTCCATCTTGAATTACATTTGTAACTTTTTTTTCAAAAAGGTTAAAAAATATTAATATATTGATTATCCATATCATCAGTCATTCATTATTGTGATTCAAATTATTTATTTATTTTTAATTTATTAACATACTAGCAGCATTAGCAACGGCAGCTACAAGGAGAATAATGGCAAAGGAGATAATGAGATTTGATGACTTGAACATTTTTTATATAATAATTTGGATTGTTTGATTGTTGAAAATAATGATTTGATTTGATTTGATATAATATATATTGAATTTCTATTCTTTTATACCTTTTCTATTGAACCAATCATCATCGATTTCGAAATGAATAACCTATATCCCAAGGATGGTAGAACACATCTATATGTATGTTTAAATACTTATTTTGCTTAAAAAGGTTAATATCTGGAATCAAACCTCCAATGTTGGATTGTGTGATGTGAATTTTTTAATGATCCCGATTTAAGTTTTACACTACACAGCCACGATACATGACATTTATTTTGATTCTAGTACTGACTATTGTTATTAGTTTGTTAACACTTGTCTATGTTGTGTGATTGGTTGATTCTGACTCTTTGAAAATCTGAAGATATCTATAATATATTATTTTAAATGTTTTTGTTAATTTTATTTAAATAATCAAATAATAGGTAAAGAAATCTAATAACTGCGATATTAGTTAAAGTAAACCAAAGGTTTGAAACTAACCTTTTTTTTTTAGAAAATACTCGTTTCTAATAGTCTTGGAATGAGTTGGTGATGGTGTTGGTTGATGCGGTCGAGTTGATAAATGCAAATGACATTCAATTGAGACAAAGGATTTGATTCAGGAAAAAGTTCTAATCTTGGAAAATAATAATAATAATAATAATAAGGTTCAAAAATTTGCCCAACTTCCTTCTTCTTCTTCTTCTTCTTCTTTCTTCATCTTTTTCTTCAATTTGTATATTTCATTAAACTTGAATAATTCTTTCTTCCTTTTTCCTTCTTCCTCCTTTTTTCATTAAAAGAACTACTTTTTAGCGACATGGAGCCTTCATAGATTCATTTCATTCACATTTGCAATGTTTGGATTTGTAATTGTTTGTTTGGTTTGGGGATGGGATTTGTATTTTTGAAAAGGCATCTTCTTTATGTTTATAAATTTTGAGATTATTTTTGAATTGCTTATACTAAGTTAATACAATAAGGGAGTTGAGTTGTAGTGTGTATGTGTGGATATTTGTTGTTATTATTAATAATTATTATTAATAATTATTATTGTTATTATTATTATTTGGAATTGTTATTATGATTTGATTTGATTTGGTTTGATTTTGTGTGTAAATTATATATATATATGGGAGATTGTAAACTATGGAAATAATGATGGTGATGGAGATATTGTTTTAAGGATAGAATATGTTGTTTGGTTATCTATATCTATCTCTGCTATTGTCTCTATCATAACCTCTATCTCTGCTTCTATCTCTGTCGTAACCTCTGTCTCTATCACCTCCTCTATCACCACCTCTATCTCTGCTTCTGTCACGATCGTAACCTCTGTCTCTATCATAGTCTCTATCTCTGCTTCTATCACGGTCGTATCTGTCGTAACCTCTGTCTCTGCTTCTGTCACGGTCGTATCTGTCGTAACCTCTATCTCCTCCTCTGTCTCCACCTCTGTTGTATCCACCTCTGTCATCATATCTCTTGTATGGACTATAACGTGATGGACTAATGAAAAGTAGATAATAGAATAGAATTGGAATTGGAATATATTTGTAATAAGAAAAGTTGATTAATATACATGCATGATTAAAGAAAGATCATCTTGAAGTAACGACTCTTCGTTCTTTGTCGAAAGTTTGCCTGGCAAGATTCATTGTAATTACACAATGATTGTTTTTGATGATTGTTGGTGTTGGTGTTGATTGTTGTATTTGTTTTTGAAGTACCTTTGATGTTGTCTATTGATAACATACGTTCCAAAGTATCGTCCTGGTGTTGGATCGTGTGGCTTTTGCGAAGCAGAGTAATCGATACGTATGACACGTCCGTCGAGCTCGAGAGAGAGCGATCCCTCCTTGGCCGAAACGGCATCCTCCTTGTTGTCAAAGTAGATAAAGGCGTAGCATCTCGATGATCTCGTCTGACGGTCTCTGATCAAATTTACCTTTTCAAGTTTACCATACTTTGAAAAGACTTGGTCCAAGTCTGATTCTGTGGTTCTTGGATTCAATCCAAATACTCCCAATACTCTACTTGGTGGTGCAGTCTAGATTAGAGTAGATCAGAAGAAAAAGAAGAGAATAGACAGAAGAAGAAGAAGAAGAGATAAAAAGTATGAGTAAATAGTTACATATGATGTTTTGATGATGATGATTATGATGATGATCATTTCAAATTTGTATTGGGGGGTTTAGGTTTTGGTTGTACTTGCACTTACATTTGCGAGTTTGTTTAGTCTTTGAGTTTCTTCGTCGTCTTGGCTGTTGCTTCTATCGTTTCTGTCGTTTCTATCTCTATCGTTTCTATCTCTGTCGAATCTGTCACCAGAGCTATTGGCACCTGAACGTTCGTTGGAGTTTCTACCTCCGTTGGCAATACCGTCATGTGGATATGACTCTGAAGAGGCAGTGGTATTGTTGTTGTTGTTGTTTGATGAGGTTCCTACTGATGGTGAACCTCCATGGGCATCTGATTCATGCATTTTTCCTATCGTCGATGTATCTATAAAAATATATAAATGATGATTAATATATATATAAATAAACAACAACAACAAATATAATATATTGAATGAAAGGTTTTTTTTTGATGAGGAGCTGATGATGAAGTGGTGACCACCCCGAATTTTTTTTTTTTCACAGTGAACTGATGAATTTTGGGTAAATCTAGCATCATTAAACCAATAAAACAAATAATAAAACTAATAATAAAAAATAAAAAGGTGCAAGACAGCGGCAGGTTTATAAATTTATAAAATATATCATCTTCTACAACAAACAAGAGGTTATCTTTTTTAGTTTTTGTTTTTAAAGTTTTTGTATATACATACTACTTATAAAAGGGTTGATTGTATAAATACACATAATTAATAAAGATATATTTATATTATTGTTTAAAGATATATAACTAACTCCTTCTACTATTACTATTCTATTGTGGAAACAATGGATGATGGAAGATGGAAAAAAAATAGCCAAAGGTGAGTCCTCTCATAATCCAGAGGTTGCGGAGTGTGGCGGAGTGATGTTTTTTTTGAAGTTCATTTTCAAGGCCACTCGGTTGACACTCCGCAACCTCCTTTTTGATGGTTGGTGTATGAAGAGGGGTCTCTCTTTTGGGAAATCAGGATGGCGATCATCATTGGAACCAAACAAAGAAAGAAGATATTAATTTATTTGGCTAAAGAGGGTAAGAGAGAACGAACGATGATCCGTTTAAAACAAGTTGGAATTTTATTTAAATCTTTCTCTTTCACTGCCATGTCATTTCATCTGTCCAAATAGAAATAGAAAAAACTAATAAAGAAAGAAAGAAGTATAAGAGTAGGATATTATAAAATCTAACAATATAAATTTATTATTATTTTTTTGAAGGGCTCGGTTTGGTTTGGTTAAAAAGAAAAAAAAGCCTGTCTTGTCTGTTCTGTCTATCTATTTATAATATAGTTTCTTTTTTGGAATTGCCTAATTATTGGGAAAAAGTCTGTATACTTGTTGTTGTTGCCGTTGTTCTACATATTAAATGATTTTGATCTTACTGGTTGAGATGGATGTGAACTGTTGTTACTATTACTACCATTATTACAATTATCATTATTATTATTTACATTGTTATTATTATTATTTACATTACTGTTACTGTTATTGTTATTATTACTACTTGACCAAAACCTAAATGATTTTCTTCTTTGTAAAAACCCTGTTAGACCAGTTTCAGAGGATGATGTTGATTTGTTGATTTTTTGTGGTGGTTGAACATTATTGTTATTGTTGTTGTTGTTGCTGTTTCCTTCATTATTGGTCAAATTAAAAGCAGATACTGATTGATGAAGATGTTGTTTGGAAGAGGATCTAAAGAATTCTCTTGGTTTCATCTTGATCCAAGAGTTGTCAGTGGCTGCTGCGTTTTGACTGGCCTTTTGAGCACGTGACTTTTGTTGCTGCTTTTCCTGGTTCTTTGATCGCTTCTTGCGGTCCTTGCGCTCACGCTTGATCTCCTTGAGGAACTTGCTTCCGAGTGCGAGGAAGGGCTGGTGGTCGTTCATTTGGTCCCAGTTGCACTTTTTGACCATCCAGTCGAGACAGACACTCCACATGGGCTCGATCGAGGTGGAGCGACCCCATCCCTGGTTGGTATGGTCAAATGAGTAGATGGTCTTGATGACCTGGGTCATCTTGAAGACATCGAGCACGTTGTAGAGCAGGATGGCAGCGTATTGCTGGAGATTGGGCAGGTTAAAGAGATAGGCCATCTTGCAGAGCAGGAGCAGGTCGGTGACGTCGAGCTCGCCGGTGGTGGGGGAGGTGGCCGCCGAGGTGGCCGTGCCGGCGGTCGTGGCGGGGTTGGGGTGTGTGGCGGGAATGGGGTAGAGCAGCGGCTGGACGTCGACGTTGGCCGACGGGATGCTGCCGCAGTAGAGGTACTCGAGCAGCGCGATGATTGCCTTGTACGATGCATCGCCCATCTCGATGGTCCACCCAAACACGGGTGGCACGTCGCTGTATGCGGGCGAGCTGGCGATACTCATCTTGCGCATGGGGCTGTTGGTGCCGCCCAGCGACGATGATGGTGTGAACGCCTCGGGATTGCTGCCCCCGCTGCTGGCCAGTGTGTTGGGGTTGTTGGTCGACGTGGCTGGAAGAGGTGCAAGGGTGGGTTGGTTGAACAACGAGATGTACGACTTGCTCAGGATGGGGTGGTTGGACAGATGCAGCTTAAAGTAGGACGACCGACTGGCCAACAACACGCTGTGGGCGTGCACGACGATACCCTCGCCCGACACGATGGTCACATCCGAGTGCAACCGGTTGTTGACCTGCTTGAGCAGGTACTTGGCCGTCTCTAACGTGTACACACGCACCGATGAGCTGTTGGAGAGGATGTCTACGCACAGCCCGCTCAGCGACTCAATGTCGTACTGGTTGGCCAGCTCGAGCAACTCGGCCACCTTGCCATGCTGGGTGGCCACCTCACGTGGCAGCTCGCTCGTGTAGCAAAAGTGTAAGAGTGCCTTGAACACGTCAAATGACACGCCACGTTCGACGGGGATACGTACCAACGTGCTTGGGTTGGTGACACTACCCTGGCGGGATCGCGATCTTGCGCGTCCACCACCAGCACCACCCATCATTTGATTCAAATGGTTGGCGGTACCCGACAACGACGACTCATTGTACGAGTAGTCGTCGTCGTAATAGTCATTGTACGACGACGACGATGCATCATCTTGCGAGCGCGAGTAGCTGCTACCCGACACCAACGCATGACCAGCCTGTCCGCCGCCAAACCCATAGGTTCCATTGGGATTGTGATGGTAGTAGGGGTGGTGTTGAGCAGCTGCCGAATTTGGATGTAACGAGTTACTCATGGCAGTGTAGTAGCTGCTGTTGTTACTTGGGCCGCCTGCACCTCCACCACCACTCATCACCATCATCATTGGCTTATTGTAAGATATCATCTCACGGAAACATTTAAATTGACGTACAATGACAGAATGAGCATAAATCTCGCGACCATCCACTGAAAACACCAAATCGCAATAATCACCATCCAAAGCAAACTTGAGGTCATTGCCAAGTGGGTCAAAGGGAGACTTGGAGCAATCGATTGACGATGCAAAAAACTTGAAATATTGGTTACGTAATCCTGGATCGATCGTATAGATAAACTCTACACAATCAAAGTTTCCAAGTAACGAAGCCAAGCATAGAGGAGTCATTCCCATGTCATCCTTGATTGCCAAACATTTGTTTCCATTTCCAATCATACTTTCCAATATTCTACCATGTCCTCCTATCGCTGCCATATGAATTGGTAATCTACCTTTATTATCCATCTAAAAAAAATAAAATTAAAATAAAAAAAAGAGTTAGAAAAATATAATATAATAAAGTATGGACTATCTTTTATCTTTTCTTTTCTTCCTTTTCTTTCTTACAATATATAATAATAATTCAGATTTAATTTCTTTTTTAAATTTTGATTTATCGTAGAGGGAAGGAGGGAGATTGGCAGAGACGGATGGACTTAGTTTGCCCTTGTAACCCTTTCCATAGTCCAAAATAATGTCGACAAGATTACGCTTTCCCTGTCGACTGGCGATATGCAGGGGAGTGTAGCCCTGAATATCCTGTGAATAAACGTCCGCACCTCTCTGTAAAAGTATCTCACAGCATGTTGCATACGACTCCATGTTGGAGTTGATTGTGAATGCCGATTGGGAATAAGTGGCTGGATTAATCGATACATTTGGTTGTGGACTATGATACACTACCAAATGCAGTGGTGTCGATAAATTACAATCGGCTGCATTTACATTAATCTTGTAATCTAATAATAATTTAATTATTGTGTGATATCTAAAAGTAAAAAGTAAAACAAAGCATTATTAATAATCATTCTATTTCTATTTCTATATATTTATATTTTGTGTTCAATTTAATTTAATTTAAATTACCCTTTAAGTGAAGCAATATGGATTGCACTTCTTTCCATGATTTTGTTGATAATATTAACTTTGGCACCTTTAAAGAGGAGGTAGGAAACGATTTGTTGCTGACCACGCTCAACCGCATAGTGGAGCGGGGTATCGCCTCTGGCATCCCTGCTGTTGAGTAGTGACCCGTAGCATAGCAAGACTTCGACACAGTGTGGGTTGGAACAGGCTGCGTAATGGAGTGGTGTCATACCACTATTGTTGACCGAGTTGACACGGGCACCTCGTCCAATCACATGTTTGATGGCAAATGGGTGTCCGATAATAGACACTCTATGTAGTACACTGTTTCCACTATTGTCTCGCGTATTGATATCATCATTATTGACCAATGTCTTGATCTCTTCTTGCACAAGTACCGCATGTAAAAGTGGTTTCTCGCTCATTGAATGTTGTGGTTTTTGTCTTGACTGTCTTTGTAATCTTGGTCTAATCACTGGTGCCGAAGTACATCTTCGTCTCATTGGTGGTGTTGTATTCATCATTTGATTTGATTTCGATGGTTTGGATGAAATAGGAGGAGGTGAAATGACTAGAACTGGTGGTTGTTGTTCAGCAACAACTACAACCTGTGCAGGGGCAACTGTTACAGGTAGTGGTGATGGTTCAATTACAATTGGAATTGATTGTATTTGGGTGGCGTTGGCAGCTGCACTAGTCGGGGATTGGTCAGCACCAGATAACTCCTTGGGTGACGACGATCCAATCGCCAACACCACTGCTGTTGTCTTGTCACTACTATTGCCCAAGGGTCCACTGATTGAAAATACATCTGGTTTCATCATCTCTTCTAATATTGAAGATGATGAAGGTGGAGATGCGCAATTCGCCGAAGATGATGTGGGCTGTCCACCAGCACCACCATATGTAGTGGTTGTCGTTGTTATGGTCGTTGTCGTGGTTGTTGTCGTGGTCGTTATTATCGATCCATTGGGTGTCGTACATAAAATATCACTACTCGTTTCAATCAATTTGCCAAATGATGGTGGTGATGATACTACCATTGTATTGGTCGGTGATAATGGTGGTTGTTGTTGTTGGGATTGTTGTGTTGGCGAGTTGTTGTTTTGCAACATCAATTGTTTTAAACATAGTGGTTGCAAGTCCAACAGCAATGATGCAGAGACTGGTGTAGTCAAACTACTTGTTAAAAGACTGGCTGTTGTTGGAGTCACTCCTCCACCACATTCCTCTTCTGTCTTGTCTAATTGGGATTCTTCACACTGTGTGACAACAACCAATTCCTCTTCATCGTCTACAAATCTTTTTTCAATCAATATTACATTTTCATCGTCTTGTTTCTTTTCTTCCACCTCTACTACCACTGTTTCTTCTTCCTCTTTTTCTTTTTGTAAAAGTTGGTCATTATTATTGGATTGTTGTTGTGATTGCTGTGGTTCAGGTTGGTGATCCAATAATTCAAATTTTTGGCTATGTATATTACATTCATCAGGTGATTCGTTTGAAGTGATGGGAGAAACTTGACTCATCGACTCGTCGTCTCTATCCACCACTACCTCTGCAAGTGGGTCAATATCATCACTTGAGGTCATATTTTCGGTCGAGTTGTGTTGTTGTTTTTGTTGTTGTTGTGGTGGTTGTTGCAACATTAGATTTCCACTACTTATACTATTACTATTGGTGATTTGGGAAAGTAAAAAAGATGATGCCACCGAGGGAGGTGATATAGATAAAGAATCAGAGTTGGAAGTTGGTGAAAAATTCATCTTCTTTCTTTTCTTCTTTTAATATATATATTATATGTATTGTTATTATAGTTGGTTGGTTTGGTTGTTGTTTTAAATTATTATTATTATTATTTGGTTATTATAACATTGAGACCAATTTGATTGATTATTAATATTAATATTATTATTATTTTTGTTGTTATAGGTGTTTAAATAAATAAATAAATAAATATGTTCCTATAATAATAATAATAAATTGATATGTTAAAATAATAATAATGTTAATAAATATATATATGTGTGTGAATGTGATTTTGATTTTGATTTTAATTTGATTTGGATTGTGAAAATAAAAATAAATGGATTGGATTATGAATGTCGCTTGGATTGGTTTTATAAATAATCTAATTTGGTTGATTAGATTTTGACAATTGTGTTTTGTTATTTAAAATATAAATCTATTCTTATTCTATTCTTTACTTTTAAATAATTATTTAATTGATAATGATAATTGATAATAATCTATTATAATATTTTTTTAAATAATAATAATAATAATTAATTTTATAATATACATATAGTTTAACAAACAAACAAACAAACTAACTAGTCCCTAATCAACTTATTAATATTATGTTATTATTATTATTATTTTTTTATATGGTTTTGATTTGATTTGATTTGATTTGATTGATTGATTGATGATGAAACAAAAACACTACTATTTACTATAAAGGAAATGGATTAAAATAAATGGATTTGATTATATAAAGGATAAACAGTAATTTTAGGTTTGGGTACGTTTTTGCTTGGTTGGTTGGTTGGGTGTCAATTGTTGGAAAGGTAGCGAAGGGAGGAACTAAATTTAACAAATAAGAAATATATTTTTGGATAATGACTTGTTGCTGATGATGATGTTGCTGATGATGGATGGTGAAGAGTGGAGTGATAGAGTACTACTTGTTGCCAACAATGTAAATCAATAACAATAGCAGTGCCACCCCCCACTACCACTAACCGACTGAATGACTGACTGACTGAATCAACAGAAGAAATTCAACAGAGAAATCACACAGAAGAATCATTCCATCCAAACAGGAGAAAGGAAAATGTTGGGTATGTGTTGTTGTTGTTGTTGTTGGAATAATTGGTTAAAAGAGAGGGTGAATAGAGAAAAGTACCAACACTGCCATTCACTCCTGATTTATGTTGACGATGATGATGATGATGAATTAATCATGCTATCGTTATTTTTGTTGTGTTTTTTTTGGTGTGGTAATATTTATATGTATAAATATATATATATATATATATGTGTGTGTGTGTGTGTGTGTGTGTGTACAAGTACTAGTGTTAAAGATTGATGATGATGATGATGATGTTGATGATGTTAATTAAAAGTTACTGATAAGTCTATCATGGAATTAATTAAAATGGGTATCTATCACACCCTATGGTATGGTATATATCCACCTCGATAATAATAATATCACAACACAACTAAACAACACAACACATTTCCGTTCCATCCACCTTTTTTGTCTGAGAGAATGATTCCATCAATAATTAATGAGTTGGTTCCATCTTTTTTTTTTTTCCATCATACACAAGCTGCAGCAGTCAGTGCTAGCTACATTCCATCCGTTGCAACATGTTGTACTATACGTGTCGTATATTATACCTACCAAATTATTATTATTACTATTACTATCACTACTCTTACTACTTGTTGAATGATAATGATTGAAATTAATTTTGTTGTTTCTCCATCGATTGTTATAAATCTATGGAGAGGAGGAGGAAGTAAGAGGAAGGAAAGGTGTTAAATTGATTTGAAGGGAGGAATGAGGCAACGTCTTATTAATATTATGGATGCAGCACCCCCTAAACCAAACCAACATCAGATTTAGTAAAAACATATATAAAAAATTATATATATATATATGTACAACACTACCTACACCCCCACCCATCCAACAACAGACACATATACACACACACACTTGGTGAAAAGTGGTGGTGGGTGCATGGTTTGACTCTCTCAACAGAAGAGGGATTGGATTGATTTTGTTGTCATCTTCGTACTCTGTTTTGTTGTTCAAATCTTCTTCTTGCTTGTTGTTGTGTTCTATAAATACGTCTTGGTATGATCGTGAAGTATCATTCATATTATTACTATAGTTTCCTTCCTCTCTTCTATTTCTATTCCTATTCCTATTCCTCATAGATCTAATCTGTATCTATAACGAGCTTTTTACATATTCTTTGTCATGGACATCAATGAATCTTTGTTTATCTTTGTTTATCTTGTCTGTCCACAAGTCTGACCAATTCAAACCATCAAATAACACTCCTGTTGTTGTTGTTGTTGTTGATTCTAAGTTTACCTTTTTGTTTTTGTTTTGTTATTATATGTTGTTGTTGTAGTGTTACAGAGGTGTCGAATTACTATGAGTATATATATTATATGTATATATACAACTAACGACCTAAACCTTCTTTTTCTTTGCTCGCTGTCTGTCTATTTGCTCATCTTGAATTTAATAAGATAACGAGATAGATAGATTGAAAAAAGAAATAAGATATTGTTGGTGGAGATAATGAATGAAGACGACAAGAATCTTAAGAATGGTTAGGGGGCCCACACGTTGTAAAAGATACAATTAAATTAGAGGACCCTCCTCCAACCATGGCATCACTCAGAGTGTTACAGTTGGGGGTGGTGTCGAGACCGACTAAACAACGATCCAATCTCGTCCCTTGTCAGATCTGGCTCGAGACGACGTCTGAAAAACCGATAACTTTACGATTGGTATCAACTGCAGTTTCCCTTTCTTTGCAGCTGTTTTGTTGAAGTTGACCTTTTTTTGAAAGTATCACCTGACAAGTAGAAAAACAAACTATTCACTATTATTACTTATTTAATTATTATGACATAATGATCGATCGAATGATGATGGGTTGGGATGAAGAGCGACTTTGCCAAAAATTCATAAAATTATTTTCAAACTAAATGGTGGGAGGGATGAACACACCAAACACTCTTCTCCACTGCATTTTTTATTTTATTTTTTTATTTTTAAACACAATCATATGATTAGAGTCTCAAAGAAGTGGAAGCATACAGAAATTAATTCTTACATATAAATAAATTAGATACAAATATAGAATATAGAATGACTACTAAGAGACCAATATTGGAATCAACTATTATAAAATCACCAATTAGATTGTTGGAGAAGTTGTCGTCACCTGGAGAACAAGACACTCCTCGTCCATCCAAATCGACCACCTTTCTCATCATTGGCATGCAAGCATTGCAAAAGGGTGATTTAAAGGCTGCACAAGACAAGATACAAGTGGCTGTTGACGAAGCAGAACGTAACAAAGAGAATGAAGAGCTTGCAGCTTCACTTCTTGGTCTTGGTTATCTATACTCTTTTGAATTGAATGGACAGGCTGTGCAACCAGCCAAGACTCTCGAATGTTATCAGAAATCACTCACCCTCTGGAAGACTATACACCCAGCCAACAGTATGCGATTGATTGGATTGATCAGTGACATGGCACAACTAAATAGTTATCTCAAGAACAAACAAGCTTGTTTACAACTACTCGATGAATGTAAATCAATCTATAAATACAACTCTCAAGACAAGGATTCAAATCAAGATTATAAAGATTTATTAGATGTCATTACAAAGAATAGTTAAACAAAAATGTAATAGTTAATCAACCACACACACACACACAAAGTAAGCAAGCAAGTAATGTAAACAATATAAAAATAATAATAATAATAATAATAATAACATAAATGTATATATGCATCCATGTAAACCACACAACTCAACTTCCTCTTCCTCCTCCTCTCACCAATCCCTTTTTTTTCCAAAATCAAGTCCTGGAATAATTCAAATAATAATAATAATAATAATAAATAATCTAGAGAAACAATAATTGTATAGTACAATAATTAAATACAAATACAATAATATAATAATTATACATTCAATTAATTATACATTAAAAAGGTTCGAAATTTTATTTTATTTGTTCAAGTAAATATTTACAAGGATGTATTATTATTATTATCATCTGACATGGATGAATATAAATATGTATATATATTTAATAGACATTTTGGTTTAATGTCTTCTGGCAAATCTTTTAAGGGCACCTGGTCCAAGTACAATAGCAACTTGCATTTGGGATTGTGCTGGTTGATAATTCAAAGTATAGTTGTTGGAATAATGGTCATTTGAAAAGGAGTTGGAGCCAGATGAGAATTTATTGTTTCCAATTGATTGCAAGGTTTCTATAAATTAATTAAAAAAAAGGTAAACAAAGTATATTAATATTTATTTATTACTTTTATTATTTTTGGTTAAAACATATTTTTTAAAAGAAGTATACTTACTAAAGATTGACATTTTTAGTTTAGTTTGGAGATTTAAATATATATAAATATTTGATTTTAGATTTGATGTTGTTGATGATGTTGATATTGGGATTGATTCAATATTTATAGTTGATGGCCACATGTAATGTTTTTAGAGTTATATTATCACATCAAGACAGATCGATGTTCAATTCTATTGATAAACACTTTGAGTGTGTTGTGGTAGAGTTGTGGTGTAATCCTCAAAACAACAACCACCACCTTGAAATTCCTTCTTTTACAATGGTATGGATGTGGAATGGCAGATAGATAGATACGATGATACTGTTTCTGTTTCTTGTCTTCATCCTTGTATTATTTGAAATAGATATAGATATGGAAATAGAGATAATAAACAAACAACTATTGGTAGAGATACACTAATCAATTCCCTCGATTATCTATTCAATTATCATAAACATCTATTTATTCATTATTTATTTGAATAGTATACATACGGATTTATATGTTTATCGTAATTGACTACTAGATTCATTAATTTACATCAATTATTCAAATAATCATGATTAAATCTATTTCAACTGGAAATTTTAAACTAAATTGGGTTTTCCAACGTTGGGATGTTGCGATGATGGATTTACTTTACATTCCATGGTAAAGAATGATACAAATTAAAAAAAAAGAGGGAAAATAATATAAAACAAATTCAAAATATTTATGATCTATTAAAATTTGTAAAATGGTCTTACTAGTAAACAATGAAAATAATTTTATAGATATCTTTTCCTAAAAAAGGAAATAAAACTTTGAATTTTGAAATTAATTTCTTAAAGTACATAGAATAATATATATTGTAGAAAATTTTTTTGTTACTATTCTTATTGTATATATATACTACTTAGGGAAGAGGATTAATATTTTAAAAACATGTGGATACCTATTATTATACCTTTTGGTACAACTGGAAAGAGTAAAATTGTTGATAACATTATTAGAGTGGTATGTCTATAATTATCATATCATATACGACTGAACAGTCTACTGATTTACTTATATTATTATTATTATTATTATATTAGTGTCCTAATTGTCACAACAGGTCAGTACAACTAGAGAGAAATGATTCTTGGGCACATTTATTTTTTATCCCATTTTGCAAAGTAGGTTAGCTAAAAAACAATATTTATCAAAATTGTTAACAATCAAATCTTATTATTATGTAGGTAAAGAAAGGGTCACCATTTTTACATTGTGCAGCATGTGGTTGTACAGTTCCATATGTAGAGGGATACGAGAATGAAGCATTAAAAGATTTTGGATATTCAAATAATAGTGAAGCTTTTGCTAGTATGCAACAACAACAACAACCTCCTCCTCCTCCACCAGGACCAAACCAACAATATTATAATGGAAATTATAGTAATCCCAATCAATCCTACATGGAGGAAGATGGACACCCTCAACAACAACAACAACAATACAATAATTATAATGATCAATCTACTTTTTATGAATCAAACAACATGCCAACCAATCAAGTTCAATCAGAAACACCAATCCAAAAAAAGAAACATAAATTCTTCCATAGAAATTAATCAATAAATTATTAATATATCCTATACCAAGGTTTTGACTTATTAAAATTTTGTGCCTGAAAAATGACTCAAATTTTTATTGTGGGTTTTCTTGAATGAACATGATGTCATTGATGAGATACATCCTCTTTGTTGATATTAGATAGATAAATAATAGTAGTAGTAGTAGTAGTTAGGAGTGATGGAGGACGCATTATTTAAAGATGGTGATGAAAAGTTACAACAACAATCAGTGTCTACGACAACAGGTGGTGGTGGACATCAAGGACATCAACATCAAGGACATACACACGAACTATCAGGTGAACATAAAGGTCATGAACAGTTACATGCAACGATTAGTTTATGGTTGATCATGCTGTCAGTGGCAGCACAGCTGCTATTGTTGTTGTGGAAACATTACTCTGCTAGAACCTATCTAAGAGCGTCGCTGATTGGCATGTGGCTATTCCCAATTCTATACAGTATCTATTATGGCTATATTAGAATGATCATCATATGGACACTATTCAGTTTGGCAATAGTCTACTTGTATCGTCTCTCTATCGAACAACCACTACAACGAACCACTCCAAAGATTGTATACATGTGGTTCTACTCGATTTATTTAATTTCTTATTTCATTACATTCTTGGGATACATTGGTTTGATGTGTGCAATGTTACAAATCAATATTCCAATCTTATCTAAAGGTTCACTTGAACTATTATTTTATGGTAAAGAAAGACAAAGAGAAATAGATAGAAATAGATAGATAATTGATTAATTAATATTTAATATTTAATATTTTAAAGGTTTATATTTTGGTGTACTTGGTAGAGATTTTGCAGAGATTTGTTCAAATAGAATAGCTTCGATTTTAGGATTGGGGGGCTCGAGATTGCCAATTACAAAGGCATCTAATAATTATTGTGCTGTTTGTTCAGGGTATTTGGATCCCAATGCAACCACTACCAATTCAGCTAGTGCTGGATTGATGAACCCAACCTCTTCCTTTTCCGATCACAATAATGACAAGGATCGATCAGGAAGAATCAGTAGAATAGTAGATAGAACAATGAACATCATTTTTAGTAAAAAGAGTTGTAAATTGGAATGTGGACATATGTTTCATCTTTGGTGTATCAAAGGATGGTATTTAATTGGAAAACATGATCATTGTCCAAATTGTAATGAAAAGGGTAAATATAAATAATTAATCAACTCAAAGACTCAAACATTAATATTAATAATATTTAATTTCTTTTATAGTTGATATTAAAAGTTTAAGTACAAATCCATGGGAAAAGACAGATTTTGCATGGGGTATTTTATTAGATGTTGTTAGATTCTTGATAGCGTGGAATCCATTAGTTATTATGGTTTCAAAAGGAATTATTTATGTTTTCGATAAATAAAACAACAACAAGTAACATACATGGGTGTATGTATGGTGGGATATATTAATATTAATAACAACAAAAAGAGTATTTTACAAATATATATTTATATAATTTAAAATTGAATATTTTTTGGTAGTAAATAATTAAACATTAATGGATGAATTGAAATGAGGTCAGTATCTTTTAAAACTTTGATAAGGATTTGTAGGTTTTTGGTTGGTGATTGTTGGAGGATATAATCGAGTGTTTTGTAATCACCATTTTTGATGACTGCGTCAATGAGATCCAATGTCATGTCTTTGAGCTCTTGTGGACGTTTGACAGAGAGATATCTAATGATTTTAATATTGGCAAGTTTAGATACATTTTTAGTCCACACCAAAAGAGATCTTGTTCCATAAACGGGGTGTTCTACCAGATAGGCAAACAACTCTAACTTACCTGCATCCAATGCAGACAATGTACATTGTCTAAACATTGAAATAGGGTAAGAGTTGCTTGGGGTCTTGTTGGTATTCAACCTTTCAAATTCAGCAATATCTCCACTCATACCAACGCATACCTCTGTAGCAGGGTCTGGCTTGAATCTCAAACCACCATGAGATATTAGTTTGTCTATAACGGTCGATGAAAAGCCGTTGGTGTATGCCCAGTCTAGTATGCGGTCGGGTAGTGGTTGGATAGTCGATATTGCATGGTCGAGTAACTTGTCATTGCCAGTGATAAGAATACCCGATACAATCCCTGGTGTCAAGTAGTGGTTTTCACTCACTTGATAAGTGTCCAATACGAATCGATACATCTCTACCGTCCAGCGATCATTGGGTGCTAGCCACCTAAGCGTCTTGTACGTGCCAAATATGAGTAGCATCATTTCCAGTGTTTGGGGAGACGCCCATTGCTTTGTATGTGACTGTGGTACAAAACTCTTGTGTTTCTCGCTTGACCTTAGTATGGCACGCGCTACGATAGTGTCGGCACGTGAAAAACAAGCCAATAATATGTCACCTGTAATCTTGGTTGGGTCTTCTGCCAAAACATAATCCAAAGCTGCGATTGCTTGATCAACGGTTGCATAAGTAAATATAGCCCATAAAGATTCAGCGACAATCTTGAAAAGTGGGTTGTCCTTGGTGTTGATTGGCTCACCTATTCTAGGTACACTGTGTTGTCCAATTTCAATGGTCGAATGTCTTTCATTGGACAATGCAACATAAAATGGAATTAAATGGATTGATTGATCCAATTCTAAACATTTCCTAATAAATGAAATGATAAATTCTTTTTTTTCATCAAATCCAATTGTTAATTTAAATAATATTAAAATATTATAAATTAAAATGTGATTATTATTATTATCTGTTTTTTCATTATTATCTTTGTTTGTTAATGGATTTAAAATGATTATTCTATCTGATTCGTTGGTGTAATAATAATTTACAAAATGTAAAAGGAATTGATAGACTGATTGAAAGTTGAGAGAGTTGAAAGCTTGTAATAGAATATTAAATGCGATGAGCTTGTTGTATTTGTTTGTGACATATTCTGGATTGTTGAGATGAATGATACTAAAATAGTTGGGTGAGTCGATGACTCTACGAACATCCAATTGACCAAATAGTTTGTTGATAGTGTTAAACATGTGTGGAGCCGCCTCTCTAATCATCTTTGATTTGGAAGTGTACATTGAAATGGTATTGCCAACAACCATAGTCATGTTGGTTGGTTTAATACCCTTGCTTTGTACAAGATACTCTAATACCTCTGGTCTTGCTCCAAGAACTGTATTCTCTATTAGAGATGTATGAACATCTTCAACTGTCAAATATGATCTTTGATTATTTGATAATAACAATTTAGAAGATGAGGATGATGAAGAGGATGAAGAAGATGATGAAGATGATGAAGACCACCATGACGAAGACTTCTTTTGTTGTTGTGGTTGTTGTACAACAAAATCTTCAATATCAATACCATTTACTCTCTTATTATAGTTGTTGTGGAGAGTTATAGGGTCCAATCGGTTAGGTAACTTTTCAATATATGGTTGATGATAGGTTTCATAGACATGTTTTACAACTTCCAAGGTACCACCAGCTTTACATACACCTTGAAGAATGACATCATTGAATGCAGTGAACCATTCAGGTCTAAGAATATACATTTCACTCATTATATAAATAGCCATTTCATTGGCCCCAATCGTTGCGAAAAAGTCTTTTACCGCCTTGACAGTATCAATATCTACAAGGTCAATACTATTACCACTCTTTAATAAATCCAATAGTATTCCATGATGTCCATGTTCACATATATCAGACACACTATGCCAATCTCTAAAAAAAGCAACTATATCGTAAGTTATACGTCATATATTATATATCAAATATGTTTATTACATACTTAAATCTATATCTAGGACGTCTATTTGGAAGGGATGGATTTGCATTTGTTATAATATCAATCTTTCTATCATTCTTTCCAAATGTACTAATCTCTTGAAAGATCCTTCTACCCAAATATGTATTTCGAAATACTTCCATTTAATGTTATCTTTTTCATCAAAAGTAACTTTTAAAGTATTAAAACAAGATACAACACTTTGAACCATCTTTTACATAATTCAAAAAGATTATTAGTCATTTTGGAAAAAAAGTAGAAGTATCTTTTGACAATAACAAAAATATTAAATATTTAACAAACGATTGATTTTATATATCTATATATATGATGTATGATAACGAGGTGAAGTCACTGATTAATAATAATAATACATATAGTAGTAGTAAAGTTTATTAAATTTATGATTTATATTTAAATTTTTATTTTAATTTTTTTTTTCGATGAGCCATTTGGTTATGCAAATCCAATATGATGTTAGTATTAGAACTACTTTACTCGACCTTGACCTCTTTTCACAGAAATCAAAGAGATAGAGAGTAGATAGATATAAATAGTAGATAAGAGAGAGATATATATATATGTGGAAACAGAGTTCAAATCAAAATCAGAAACCTTATAGCAAGATATTTTGGCCTATACGATGTAACAACAAGAAATCAGGTTACTTGATCGGATGGAATACACGTAGCTTTGTTGCTTGTGTAGTTGATATCATATCCGATATAAGTGTATGTAGTAGTAGTAGTACAAGTAGAAGTAAAAGATTTAAAGCAGAGTTGTTGTAGTTATTAATCAATTGATATTTATATTTATATCGCACTCCTACCTACTAGTTGAAAGATTTAGAGACAATTTTACACAAGTTATCATTTGATGTTAGAATGCAGTCATGTCCTGTTGATCCTCCAAGAATATTGGGTGAATGGGTTGCAGGAGATGATGTACCTACACCCGTACCAAACAACCTACACGAATTGGATATTTGGATATCGATGAAACAATCGGACCGAGGTGATCCGATACTCAAAAAGATCTATTGCAATGAATACAAGTTTCAAACATCTTCACAGATTGTATTGTACGATGACTCGTCTCCCTATTATTACACCTCTGTACCTATATCATTCACACATACTCTGTCTGGAAAGGATGCCCCTGCTGGTATTGGTGGTAGTGGTGGTGGTGGACAATCATCAAGCGCTAAATCAAAGACCGCTGCTGCAGGTAACAGCGTTTTCTTTATTCCCACAGCTGCCAACTCTCCATCTGCTGGTTCAACTCCATCTTCAACATCACCCGAATACGCAAGAAAATCAAGAACTCATTCTGATTTGGAATCAACTTTTAAACAGGTACGTGTAGTAAAGTAATGAATAATTACTATACTGATTTGATATATTGATACTTTTGTTTTATTTTCTTATAGATAAATTGTTCAAGTGATATATTACCAATTTTAAATGATACAATCAAGAAACATTATTCTAAAAAATCAAATACTACAAATAGTAATAATAATGGAGTGGGAGGAAATCAACCCAATACAATGATGATGGACAAGGGAGGAAAAGAGGGTAAATCTTTATTCTCAAGTTCATTCTTTTCTCTTAGACTTCGATCAAATACAAAGAATAAGAATAATAATGTTGCAAGTGATAGTGACCCCGAAGACCCTAGTGGAAATATTACAAAGAGTGGATCTATACCAGTCAGTACAAAAGCTACTACTACTACAACAACAACTACTAAACCAAAACAAGAGAAAACAAAATCAACAAGACATATATTCTTTAGTCCACTTTACTTGTTGATTTTATTGGTACAATTATTTGGAAAGTTATTATCTAAAATTTTAAATTTGGAAGCACCATTTTTTAAGGGTAGTAAATTAAAGGATTTAACAACTCTTGGAACACATTTGGATAATAGAATAGAGGAAATTAAATTAATGTCCTTACAATATCATTATTTACAAGAAAAGAAATATTGGTTAAATAATAATAATGATAGATCATTATATATAGAGTATGAAATTAAAAAAAAGAAATATATAATGAATCAACTTTATACTTACTTAATTTATCTATCTCCTTTTAGATTTCATAACAAATGTTGGTTATTATTTAATGATATAATGTTGGGAGTTGGAGCAGGATTTTTATTGAATTTCCTTAGTCCATATGTACTAAGTGGAGTGGCTCGAGTCAATTATTTCCTTACCAATGAATTATTAAAGAATCTTATTTTATGGTTAATGGGTTGGCCTGCAGGTTTTAAATTGAATGAAAATTTGGATAAATTTTTTGGTAGATTAATTCTTTATTATATTGATAAATGGAATTGTATGTATATAGAAAGAAAAAAACAACAAAAGAAAAGAAAAATGTGGTTTATTAAAGTACTTACTTTTTAAATTTTTTTAGTAATTACTACAACATTATCACCACATGGATCAATTATATTACAAATTGTTTGTATGAGTGGTATATTTGGTGTATCATTTTTAATTAGTGTTATTATAGACCTATTTTCAATCTTTACATTACATATTCATGTATTCTACAGTGTATCTGCAAGATTCTATTTATTACAATTGATTTTAGCAAAATCTCTTTGGAATTTATTTAGAGGTAAAAAAAAAGAAAAAAGAAATTTAAAAAGCAATGATCATTCTTATTTATTTATTTTATTTTTGTTGTTTAGGAGTAAAATTTAATCCATTAAGAAAAAGAACAGATAGTTGTGATTTTGATCAATACCAATTATTACTTGGAACGGTATTATTTACATTGATTATATTTTTGGTACCTACAACAGCCATCTATTATTACTTTTTTGCGGTATTCAAAGCAGCATTGGCGATTATTTTGGGATTATTTGGGTTACTCTTGCATCTATTAAAGACATTCCCACTTTGTGGCATTGTCATTTATTTAATCGATCCCAAATACCTACCGTTTGGTGTGACATTCAAGGTGAGCGAGTCGTCAAACAGTACGAGTCAACAACCACAACTCTTGTCACACCCCTCAACTCCACCCATTTCTCCATTCACAGTCTCTACGCCTGGCCTCACTATTCAAAAGCCAACCATGGTGAATGGTAACCAATCACCTCCACTGTCACCTACCCTCTTTAGTACACCTATTCATCATCAACGTAATTTTAGTAGTCCAACCGTTGCAAATGCTCTATTACTACAACAACAACAATTACAACAACAACAACAACAACAACAATCATCGACAGAACCAAATAGTGGATTATTATCACCACTACAATCAACTTTTGCACCAACTGGAACCAATTCAGCTTCGTTGGTTGGGGCCAACAACAAACCGCATCACAATATGGGTCACCGAAGAAACCAGAGTTTACAAACTACTTTACATGGAACAGGAGGAACGATAGGAGGAGGTGGAGGAGTATCATCATCACCAATGGGTATTAGAGTTTCAACACAATTGGAAATAACCTATGTCAGAATCAACATTGAGCCAGTAGGTTTAGGATCACTATTCTCTCACACATCCAAGCTCCTTGCAGACAGTTTCTCATTCTATAATCCAAACAAACTTTGCAAATCTTTTATTTTTGGTACTCCAATTAATAAAAAATAATAAAAATAAAAAGAAAAAAAAGAATAAATAAATAAAATATTATTTGTTTGTTTGTTTAAATAAGGGGGAGGGAGTGGGAGTAGGGGGTGGTTTGATTAGTTTATTATATTATATTATATTATAGTTTCTTTCATTCTTTCTTTTAAAGATTAAACTCTTTTGGAAGAAGAAAAGAGCTTATAGAGAAAAGGTAACTTCTTTCCGAGAAATTTGTGTTTCTTTTCCTTTTGTTTGTTTTGATTGTAATCTTTTTCGGCAAGACTACTAGCACCTTCTCCGTGGTCTTTAATTCTATCGCTGCTGGTTAATCCATTTTCCGATTGGCTTTTAGTTTTTCGCAAAGCAGAGCTTCTTCCGACATAGGCCAAGGCATTGGCCATCATTTGGGCACCCCCAGAGTCTGACGACCAAAATCTTGCATCTCCAGTATCACTACTTGGAGGGAAGAAATTGAGTGCTACAACCTTTCCATTTTGTTTAGAGAGATCGGCAATCAATGGAGCTCCATTTGACCATTCGGCGACCAAATTGGCTTCAGAATTTACAGAACCTGGACAAAAGAATGATGATCTACCACCATCCAATGATTTAATTCCATTCTAAAAAAAATAAATTAAAAAAGGAAAATTAATAATTATATTTTTCTTTTTTCTTTTTTCTTTTTTCTTTCTTTTTACTTACAAGAATTGGATGATTTGGAATAACTACTTTTCCAAGTGTGAGAGGTTTCTTTCCATTTGTATCAGCTTGACGAGCTGGATTGATTGGATGATAGTTTTGATCAAAGAATCTACCCTTGAGGAAACCATTTCTAAGATTATTACAATTGGTAAACACAGTGACGACGACACCTCCACCATTGTCTACATAGTCAGAGAGGACGTCACCCATAGTTTGACCATCTAAAAATGCCGATGAATTGTAACTATAAATTAAAACGCCAGTATATTTTTGCAATTCTTCCAATGTTGGCAATCTCTTTTGTGTATAAAAACTATCTACATTATCAAGTCCACATTCTCTTAACTTTTTACAAATATCATCCATACAACTTGATTGTGCTACTGGTCCACCTAAAACTAAAAATGATGACTAGAATAAAATAAAATAAAAAAGAATGATAGAAATATAATAATACAGAATTTTTATATATTAGTTGATGTGTTTTTTGGTTTGTATGTATGTCATAGGTCAATGTCTTGTGGTATTTATCTTTTTCCTATTTCCTATTTCAATACCAAAGACAAAGACCAATAGAATTTAAATGAGCAATTTGATTTACCTTTCTCATATTATAATATTTTCTCCAACTTGTTTCAAAGGGAGGTCTGATGTATTTGCTTAGACATGGATAACTCTTGTGACAGATTTTCTTGAAAATGTACTCATCTTCACAAAGACGTTTCCAAGTCTTGCAAACAAAAGTACACCAATAGAGATCGGAAACTGAGAGGAATGACAAAAAGGTGATAAGGATTTCCTCTGGCAATTGACTGAGAATATCGGTTCCAATAAATGGTTGATGACTTTTGTTGTTGTCATTGTATCTAAAGTTGAGTGACGTTGGGTTGGTTAATTGTTGCGAGGATGACGACATTGATGATGGTGAAGTAAAGATCATGTTTTGATCGGGAGATGATGACATATTGGAAAAAGGCGACTGGTAAAGTGAATAGGATGATGGCATGCCCATCGATGGTGTATAATCGGTTGAATGATGATTTGGAGTGCTCGATAATGACATTGATGTTTCTTTTCTGTCTTTGCTGCTGCTGGATGGTTGATTTTTGCTACTCGATGATGGCAAACTTGGTAATTGTTTTTTGTGTTTGGGCGTCGTTAGAGAGGGTGATGAGTTGGATGACTTTACACGTCTCACATGCATGATATCTGGTGATTTATATTGAGATCTCTGTTGGTTTAAATTAGAGGATGAAGTTGATGTGGTCGATGTATTGACTGGAGAACCTGGAAATTCTTGTGATAGTTGTGGAAAGTTTCTTGCACTTCCACTTATATATTTTCTATCATTAACGTTTAACATTATATTATTCATATTTTGATTATTATTATTATTATTGTTATTGTTATTTTGATTATTTTGATTATTATTATTATTATTATTTGATGATTCTCTAATAAAATAATTTCCAAAGTTAATAGGATCCATTTTTTTTGTTCTGTTTGTTTGTTGGGTTTGTTTGTTTGTGTCTCTTGTCTAAATTAACTGTATTTTACAGTTAGTTGTGTGATGATGAAGTTATATAAAGTTAGTAAGAATGCAGTTAAAAGAAAGTAAAACAAGGTAGGAGGTAGAGTGGGGAAGGGAAAAAAGAGTGAGGGGTGCGTGGTGTAACAAGATTTAATATGAAAATGTGTGAGTTGTGTCGGCGGTTAGGGGATTAAATATAAAATATAAAATGTAAAGGTTGTTGTTGTTGATGTTGATAAAAATAAATATTTTAATATATAAATATATATTTAAAACTATTTGAAATAAAAAAGTAAAAATTGAGTTATCCAATATTTCATTTCATTCCTTCTTTCATTCATTATTATTATTGCAATTCCATATTCAAAAAAAACAAAACAAACATGTAAAAGTAAAATCTCTAGAGGTGGTGAGGTGAGGATGTTGGTTTCACTATGGAATGTTTAGGTAATATGTACAAGTTGTTGTTGTTGAATAGATTTGTGTATACTTTTTGTTTTTTTTTTAAATCTGTTTCTCTTCTTCTTATTATTCTTCTCTTTCTATCAAATATTAATATGTCATGGAATGATTATTTTGATCATCACATCCATAAATCATATGATAAATATATATTTATACATATATCGCAATATATTAATTATTGTATAGAGGAGAGAGAGTGTGTGTGTCAAAGGGAAATGGACCATTCATATTGAAATTAAAAATAGAGGGAGTTGTGTGGTGGTGTGGGTGGTTGGTGAAGGTAGAGAGAGAGTTGGTTTTTGAAACCTTAAAAATATTTACCTTTTTAGGTTATCAATCCTTTTCCAAAAAGTTGATTGCTCTAAAAAAACTAAAGAAAGAACAAGGCTGCGTGTATATATATATATATGTATATCTATCAAAACTAAAATATGGTAAATTATTAATACTACTATTCTAATGCTACTATTATTGATAAAAGAAAAAGAAAGCTTTCGCAAATTCTTTTATATAAATATATTCTATTAAAATTAATTTGTTGGTTGTTGGGTTTGGCGTGGCTGCTTAAAGTTGAGAGAGTGTAATCGAGTGAGAGAGAGTGAGTGAGAGTTGGAAATAAATGGGCTTGGACAATAAAAAAAAAGATGTTTATAATTATTATTTTAAAATAATAACACAACAACAACAACAATGACAATAAAAGATAAAATGGATTTTGAAACACAACAATAGATAGTTAACAAAGTAGTATGTATGGGCTAGGGTGGTATTTGCAAGTTAATAGTAGTAGTAGGTACTACTACTAGTAACAGTATTCTGTTGTTGTTGTTGGTGTTGGTGTTGGTGTTCATCATCAACAACAACAACAACAACTGGATACTGACTGCATGGTGGGTGAGAGTTGGATGTCTGTCATGTTTTAAAACTAAAAAGTTAGAATGATAGGGCTGGTGATGATGATGATGGTGAGTGAGTAATGGTGGGTGGGTGTTGTGTAGTGTTTTGTTTAGAGTGAATGGATTTAAAGTTAAAAAACCATTTTTAAAATATGTGGATTGGATGAGTGTTTGTGTGTGAGAGTGAGTGTATGTATGTGAGTGGGGGTGGTGTGAACGGGTGAATTGAATGTGAAGGAACGGGTGTATCTGAAGACGTTGAACGAAACAATATTGTGTAATTTCGTCGACGTTCACAAAGATCTGGCTTTAGAGAGTGTCATTATAATTATTTCGATTTCAACACCACCAACAACTGGAAGATATCTTGTTGTCGCACAATCTATCGTCGTTTTATTTGTGTGTGTGTGTTGATAACGAAAACATATTTAAATCTACCCAACTACCACAACAACAACAATAATAAATTTTAAAAGAGTGAGTGAGAGGAAATGGAAATTACTAATGATGATGATAAATTGGAAAAATGGAAAATGACTCAGTGTTTTGGGTGAGGGTTGTGTGTAAATGGTGAAGACGATGATGATGATTATGATGTTGGTGAAAAGGAAATCTGTCAATCTTTATTCCATCCAATTAAAAATTATAAATTTATGGAAAAGAACGATTTGACAGACCTATTTGTTGTAATGAATTACATGAGATTTCAATACATTCTTACTATTGTATAAAATTATAATTTTATACAATGGAGTATGAGATATTGACAAACGATTTAATTAATGATTTTAATTCTTTCGTTTGAATAGCTTTTGTTGGAATTGGTGAATTCCAAGTCGCCATCCAAAAGAATGAATACTATATGGTTATGCCTTAAAATGCCATTGCCAACAATTAATTAAATCTAAATAATCCAAAACTTATTTACCTTTTTTTTGAAAGAAAATTAAAATAATGTTTAAACCAAAACAAAATATTTTATGAGCCTGTTGTGTTGTGTGGTTGAGAAGAAGAAGAAGAAAAAGAAAATGGTAAATTATTTCCTAGTCTAGAATATTGATCATCTATTATTATTGACCGACAACTTGGTTTGTTATTCTACTACTAGAAATTTGAAATGGAATAGATAGATGGATGGATAGTTTGGTTGCTACTAATATACAATGATATAATTATTTTTTATAATTATTATTATTATTATTTGTTTGTTATTATTATAATTGTGATTTTAAAAAGTTGTAATCTATGTAGAGAGGTTCAGTCAAAAATTAATTTTTAAAACCAAAACCCTCATTTGGAAATTCTCTTTTAAAAAAATGTAGTACACGAGTGAAAAAATAAATCCAATTTGGAATTGAAAATGTGAGCATTTATAAATAGAATAGTCCAATAAGGGTGGATCGAGGTATTATGTCATAGGCCAAATTTCTATTTTATACAACAACAAACAAGTTGGTCGGTCTTGAAATTCAATTTCAATTTCGATTTCTATTTTTTTATACACCTACAATTTAAGCTTGATAAAGCAACTCTATGAATAGTCGAATTTTTGTTTAAATAGGTTACTTCTAAATATTAAATTAAATAAATTTTATGGTTGATGAATAAATGAATGAATGAATAAATAAATAAATAATAGAAGAATTATTCTTATTTGTTTGTATCTCTATCTGTCTGTCTAATCTAGTGTCTTTTAATAATTATAATTATTCTTTTTTAATTTAAAAATAAAATGCATGCAAGAAACAAGGTAATTACTACTTAATAATAAATGAATGTTGTGGTTTTCATAATTTCATGCACGCATTAATTAACCCTCAACTCACAAACCAAGTAGTTTATTTTAAACTAGAGCTTGTTCTATCTCTCAATCTAATCCATGGTTCAAGTCGATGTAAAAAACATTACAAAAGTGAGTGATCTACTCCTTGAACGCCAGCTCCCACCTGCTTGAATCTCTTAGTCAAGTGTTATCCAAAAATGGACTGACCGTGTGTTCTAAACTTGGAAAAATTTCAATCTCCAGAGGTTTTCGCATGAAATGAAGAGATGAAACAATAATACAAGTTGTCACTGTTTAAGATTACGTTACCTTTATATCAAACAACCAATCATCCAACAACAACAACAACTACAATAACACAACTCTCAATTTACACACTTTTAAAACTTGCAATTAATTAATTGCGAATTACTAAAGTGTATAATCTCTAATCACACAGGATTGAGCAACATTATTAGGTGTACATCTTATCTTGGTTGTTGAGTTGTGAGAGATATATACATATATAATTCAATAGATGTAACTTTATTCCTTCTTTAGAAGAATATAACAACAACATATGTCGGAGAGTATTAGTAACAACAACAGTAGCAGTAGCAGTATCAACAATATCCCACCTTCGACTGCTGCACTGGTCAAAGATAACACAACAAGTGTAACTGATAGGGAAAGAGAGTATTTGGAAACATTTGCAAGCATTAATTATAGTCGACCATCTATTATCAACCAAATAGCTGTTGCTGAAGGTATCTCTACAACTAGAGCAAAGCATTTGATTGAATCTCAATTCTACTCTAATTTAATGGAATAAATATCGATAATTATCATCAATGGTTAATAATAATAATAATGGATGGATTAGATTAACAATTATTATTATTGTTATTGTTTTATATATATATGTATGATGTTGTTTTTATTTTACATTTAAAAGAAAGAAAAAAGTGGAATATAGTAAGGGAATTCCCCTTACAATAATAATCACATAAAAGGTGGAAATAATAATAATAATATTGGTCAATAGTATTTGAAAAGAAATACAATTCTAATGTGGAGTGTAAATGTATAATATATATAATATGTGTGTATGTGTGTACTTTAGAGAGAGATTCATTTCATCATTGATGATTTAAAACTTTTTCTTGGTTCCATGAGCAGTGAGACCTTCTTCGACACCTTCGATGAGATGGTTAAGCTTGGTAGAGGCCAAGTTGGTCATTTCCTTGAGTTGTTGGACATTTTGATCTTCACCCTTTTCCAACATACCAGAGAGATTCTCGGTAGTTCTTTCCAAATCGTTTTGTAAATACTCAAACAAATTCTTTTCAGCACCATCTTGGAGATAAAATCCAAATACATAAGTATACTTTAAAGTTCTTCTGCACTATAATAATAATAAAGATAAAAAAATAAAGATATATTAGTAAATGATAACTATTTTGGTTTAATCGATTAATTTTTGTTTGACATACTTGAATTAAAACTTCGGTAGAGGTTTCGATAAACTTAACATCGATCCATCTCTTATCCTTTTTGTTTTGGAAAGCCATAATGGTATCCAAAGCTCCCTTTCTTAATTTGGTTTCAAACTTTTTACTTTGTTCATGTGTATTATATCTATGGAAATAGAACAAATATCTAAAATAAAATAAAATAAAACAAATTGGTAAATAAAAGATAATCAAATATATATATATATATGTATGTTTTTTTGTTTTACCTTTCAAGAGCCTTCTTTGTTTCAGATTTGTTGCTATTTTCTTCCTTTTTGTAGGCATTGCAATTGGAATGTCCTTTCCAGTTACCCATACAAATCCAACAAAATTCATGTGTACACTTTTTACAAGACTAAAAAAAATAAATAATTAAATAAATATTAATAATCATGTTGAGACAAATATTTGTCTCTCTCTTTCTTTCTCTTTCTCTTTCTCTATATATATTTACCATATGATTACAACCACCATTCTTTTCAATGGCAGAATGACACTTTGGACAATCTTGAGTATGAGATGAGATCCAATTGGCAGTTTCACTATCATCTTCACACTTTTTCTTCCATTGCTTGACTTGATCACATGAAGCTGGAATGTGAGATTCTTGATTACACTTGAAACAAATTCTAAATCCACAAGTACATTGTGCAATTGATTCTGATTGACTGTCACTAAAATAAATAAACAATATAGAGAATATAGATTAATAATCATGTTTTGAATAAATACTGATTTAAAGTTTGTTTTGTTCTTTCATCTTTACTTACGCTTTCAATGCATTACCACAACCTGCAGTTGGACACCATCTCATATTTGGATTCTTGTCAACAAAAGTCAAGGCCAATCTTTCGAGATACTTGTTGTAATACTGTGGGATAACCTTTTTAATAAAAGAATCTGATACAATGGTACCACACTTGTATGCCAAACATGTCATACTGATAGACTCTCCTTCACTGATTTTACCTTCAACATAGGTTGTCCAACATTGTACACATGCCTAAAAATAATAAATAATTAATTAATTAATGAAAAAGATAGATATATATATATTGTATATTGTATTGTATTTCGAAATCTATGTTTTATACTTACAGCATGATTACATGATAAGAAACAACCATTCTTACGACTAAGATCATCCATACAAACAATACAATCTTCTCCTTTTACACTTGCAAATGCTGTAAATTCTTCCTTTTCAGGTACACCTGCTTGTTTCATAACACGATCAGGGTCTTCATAGTATTGTTCAAGTAACTTGTTAGAGTTCCATCTTTCAAAAATAAACAATATTAATATATAAAGAATTCTTTATCTTGTTTGTATCTATTTCTTCTTATTTCTTTTACATACTGATATTTCAATAACATTAAAGTAGCAGCACATGGTGTTGCATCAGTGATATTGGTAATCTTTTCAATCTCTTTGAGAGCAGTCTTTGCAATTTCAGAGGCTTGAATGACAGTGTTGGTGACATTGGCAACTTCGACAATGGGAGAGTCGAATTCATAGTCATCGACATCTTGATAATACTCTTCATCAGAATCGAATGATTCATTAGAGTCTCTAATACTAGTTCTAATCTTTTTAGTTGGTTGTGATAGTGATGATGTTCCTTGACGACCAAGTGAACTTGTGTTGTTATTATTATTATTATTGTTATCTATAGTAGTAGTTGTTTGTCTTTGTGGTGTTGATGGTTTGAAACCTGCAGCATTTGGTTTATCATTCATTGCATAGATGAATTCAATAGCTGGTTGAACTCCTGCACAATGAGTTTGTTCCAAAGCAAATCTTGAAACCTCTGCATCAAACCCCATATCCACCATCTGCGCTAACAATGTATCCATTCTATCTCTATCTCTCTCACACTTCTCTATCTATAAAGTAAACTATCTATAATATAATATAATATAATATATATCTATATCTATCTATCTATCTATCTCTCTCTATACTCAATTAAATGGTACACAAATCCTTTGGTAGACGCTTTTTGCAAATTAAAAAAGGGGCTAATAAAAATGATTCACCTTGAAGCTGAGCTAAAAAGGTTCCAAGAAACTTTGAAGAAGATGAAACTTTTTTTTTAAAATTATACGGATGGATGGACTGGATGGATTAGTAAATTAATTAATGTACATTCCATGTTTGTTTATTTATTTATTTATTTAGTAATTGTAATAATTGTTGTTTTGATGATAATAATGGTTGAATTAATCTGGGTGCTGGTTGATGAACTAGTGATTCCAACTTGGATAGAGTTGATCGAGTGTGATATATAAATGGGTCAATAATAATTTGATGAGATGATGATGAAGATAATTGATTTATATGAGGTGATAATAAAAAAGATACTATCGTATGATTATCAATTAGTGCTTGGGTTATTTCAGCCAAACCAAAGTCATTGTTATTTTTTGATTGCATATCTAAAAGTTCCTCAAACCAAAATGAATAAATTTGTTGATCCAATCTTAAATAATAACCGAGTAACTCGATGGTTGAATCGAGTGATAACACCAAAATATTACTATTACTACCACTAGGTGAAGAAATATCTACTAATTCAATGACACGTTTTAGGTAATGACTGTGTTGATGAGTATACTTGGCATTACCAAGACATTGTTGGTAGATTATTTTGGTGCAATTGTAAAATAGGGTTTGACTATTTTCAACTAAATGATTATCCAATAATGATTGTAATATTTTAACTGTTATCCAAGGATCAAACCATCTATTAGTTTCCAACATTTTGTACATTTGCTTATTTATATTGTTGGCGAAATAAGATGGATGCATGTATGGTATGAAATCAACTAAAATAAATTGTTCCTTTGTTTGAATATATTTTTCGTGTAGTTTTAAAATGATGGGCATATAGAGTGACATTTGACTTGGTGCGTACGCATGACACAATTGTAAAAACAAGTCAATGACACCTCGATCCAATGATGAAGCATCATCGACAGTTTTAAAATATTGGAACAATTGAAACAAGTATTTGTTAAAATACTTCATTCCAACAATTGCACCAACACCCATAACAAATCTAACTATTTCATTTAATCGATCATAACCATTATCTTTAATCTTGTTTATTACTATTGGTAATAATCTTGATGACATCTAAAAAAAGATAGAAACTAATATTAGTTTTGAGTGTACAAAGAAGAAGTGAATAGTTTTGAGTTGTTGTACATACGATTCTAAATTTGTTTGGATGAATTAATTTTAAAGAAGAGAATAAAGATTGAGGTGACCCTTTACTCAATATAGTTACTGATCTTTCTATGATTATATCGTCTACCAAGAGTACCGGTCTTTGAAATGACGTGGAATCCCAGTACTCTTTAAATACAGTATTCAATACATCAAAGAAATAGTATTCTCTAGAGGCAGTGAGTGCAAACCATCTTAATTGTACATCTGATTTCTCATTGGTTTGTTTCTTGTCTGCAATTTGATCAATCATTTGAATTGCCCTTTGTTGCATATCAATGCTACTAGCATCTGTTATATATCCCAATAGACAAGATTCAACTATAGTTTTATATTTATATAAAGATTGCCAATATCTTTCAAGTAATCTTAATGTCCTTTCTCTCAACAATACCTTGTTAAAATCTTGAGAATGGTCATTTGAGGAGGAGGAAGAGATAGTTTTTAAAGTTGATATCAAAACTTTAATCTTTTCTTCTGTTAGATTATGATGATTTAGCATTGAACCAAAGATAGAGTATACCATCTCTTCTGTCTCTGATTCAAGATTATTGTGCTTAAAAGTATTAAACAACTTGTCGATTGGTAGGTTGATAGTTGATTTCCTTTTTTTACTCTTTAATGTTTCATCAAGTAAATAGATTGATTGGTTTCTAATCTTTGTTTCAAAAAAACAAAAAGAGAGTTGATTAATAAAGATCCTCAATATCTGATATGATCATCTAATACTAATACTACATTTGGTGAATCATATTTCATAGACAATGCAGTCAACCATTCCAATGTCTGATTCCAATGTTGTTCAACATGCTCTTCATTAAACTGTCTTCTTAAGCTTGATTCGCTACCGCCGCTGCTACTTGAATCATCAATTGACAAATTGACAAGTAGTTCAATGAATGAAGTTGATGGTTGTGGTGATAGTTCAGCAGGAGGTTCATTCATTTTTCCTTTCTCCTTTATCTGTCACCATATTTATACATCTTTTTTTCTAGTTCTTGAAAAGTACCACCATCAAAAAAAATAACGTTTAAAAAAAAAAATATTATTATTTTCTTAGAGAATACAATTGTATATATTTATTTATTTATTTTGTTCTGTTACTTTGGACAGAGTAGGCCAATACTCTAATGGTAGAGTGGTTGTTAATATGATTACTAATGCCATATTTTCTTTCAACTTCATTTGAAATTTCGCTACACCAACCTTCTCCAAGTCCGTATGCCATGAGAGGGACATTGACATCGTCCACATGAGTGTTGGCTACTCTTGCAATGATTTGTATTAGGTCGTTTTCAATGTGTGAGATATCCATGATGATGGTTAGATTTGATTTGATTTGATTTGAAAAGTAGCTTTTTAGAGAAGTAAATTTAATTTTAATTTTTGGCAATATATAAATATATAGAATGAAATTGGATTGATTCAATGGTGATCCACTTGTCTATCAATAAAAATAAATATTGGTATATGGATGGCAACCCTCCAACCCTCTAACCAACCAGAAAAGAAAATATATTTTCCAAATTACACAAAGCCACATCTAGTGGTAAGTAACTCTATCAAATTTGATTGTGTGTTTTGTTTCTCCCCGGATCTGTGAGAGTGATGGTATGGTACAATGGTAATTTTAAAATGAAATGACAATGAATGAAAGTTTTTGTTAGAAAGCAGTATAGATAATAATGAACATAATATTATTTATTGACTCATAAAAAAAAGATATCATATTTTAGATGAGACATAAAGAGAATATCCGAAAAATAAAAATTAAATGTTAAAAATAATAATAATAATGAAGAACAGATCTTTGTCTTGTTAAATGCGAAGTGACTTTTTCGACACGGCTCCACTCACCTTAGTTTAGTACTATTTTTTGTTCATTCTTTTTATTATCGACTCCTTTCTAGCTCTCAACAAATAAATAAATAGTATCAAACTATAACAAGAAAAGAAAAGAAAAGAAAAGAAAAGAAAGCAAAGATGAATGAATGAAAGGAATGAAAGGAATGAAAGTAATGAAGAAGAAGAAGAAGGAGAAGGAGAAGAAGAAACACTCAACATGAGAAGAAAGATGAATGAAAGATGAAGAGCACACAATCATATGATAAGATTTCTACTCTTTTGTTACAACAAAATATATTTATCAAAGGCTTTAGTGATGATGATCATCAATAATTAATGATTATTATTAACATTGGAACAAATCGTATTCCCAAACAACAATCAATGGGAAGTATATGTATACTTATTTTCCCATTGGGATATTTATTTTGATTTCTGTAAGTATTAGCATATGTGCAAATTTATGTGCATAGATAGATAGATAAGATATTTATTTTATTTTACACAACTTTATAAAAATTATATCAAGGATGGACAGATCTACTACGGAAAAAGTCGTTGCCCCGTTGCTCTGAGCTTACGCGGTGCAATGAACCAAGATATTTTCACCCAAACAAGACAAAAACAAAAACAAAAATATCCCGACCCACATGGATCTGAGATCACAGATGACGGGTGCATTTCCTAGTGGGGAAATGAGGTGCCGCATTGTGTTGAATGGTGTATGATTTCATGTCGTACTTACCAAGAAGGCTAAAAATATCTTACGACTTGATCTTGTCCAGGCCATTAAAAGAGTCCACACCAAAGCCATTCATTTCATTTCATTTCTCCTCACCTATCTCTCCTTATTATTATTATCTTTTCACTCTCTGTATATATATTTGTATTATTATTTTATCACATCAACATTAAATAATGTCAGAATTAGTTACGTGTACATTTGTTAGAACAGGAAAGGTATTGGAAGTCCAAACATGGTACGACTGTAAGACATGTGGACGTGTTGGAAGTGCTGGTGTATGCGCAAGTTGTGCCGTAACATGTCACGCTGGTCATAACCTTGGACCTGCCAAAAATTCAAAGTATTTATCTCAATTATCATATGATATTCAATTGAATATCATCAAATCAAATCAAATCAAGTTTATTAATAATCAAATTTTTTTTTTTTTAATTTTAGATTCTATTGTGATTGTGGATTTGGTACTTTAAAGTAAAGAATGGTGTTTGTAAATGTTTAACTCCAACTCCTGCTGCCACACCTGCTGCTGCTTCCACACCTGCTGTTGTCGCTACACCCGCTGCTGCTGTTGCCACACCCGCTGCTGCTGTTGTTGTTGCCACACCCGCTCCATCAACCAACGATCCTGTATGTATTAATGATGATCAACAATATTTATTTATTTATTTAACAATATTAATAATATTTCTTTTATTTTTATTTTGTAGGAGATAACTAAAGCAATTGGAACATTTTCAACTGTACTTGGACCATTAAATTCAGGGTTGTCAAGAAAGGATTTATCATCATCAAATAATTGGTTTGGTCAAGCTACCACCAAATTAAATGAATTCAAGACCAAGTATCAAAGTATCGGTTCAGAAGCTGCCATTAAATTTATAAACGAGACCGAGTTGGTGTTGATCCTTGCCCAAGAGACTATTGGTAATTTGACCATTGAAAAGGAGATTGAAGGTGGAATCAAGGAGATGACACCTATGGTCAAGGCTTTGGAGGGAGGTCTCACCAGAAAGGACATTAAATCGGTCCAAAATTGGATGACTCAACTCACTGTCAAGTTTGTACCATTCAACGAACGTTTCTGTCAGCTCAAGAGTGCACAGTCGTTTATCGACCAGGTCAATGCTGTTTGGTTACGTGTCGACGCCGAGTTGGGAGAATTGATTGCCGAACAAGAGATTGAAAAGGCGTACAAGGAGATTGAACCAATGGTCGGTGCTTTGCAAGGTGCCATGACTAGACAAGACGTCAAGTCTGCCATTAACTGGACCAATCAACTTCGTGCTAAATTGGATCAATTCAGAGCCAAGTACTTTGCCTACCAACAATCTGTCCGTCTCATTGAAACGACCACCACCATTTTATTAAATGCCGAGTCTCAGTTCCACGACCTCATCGAAGAGGAAAAGATTGAGATTGCTACCAAAGAACTCGTACCCATGATCAGCGCACTCAAAGGTGCTCTTGAACGCAAGGATATAAAGTCAATCATCAATTGGAACAATGTCCTCCACCCCAAGTTCCAACTATTCACCCAATTGTTTGGTGCCAACCCATTGGCAATCCGTACTATCCAACAAGTCACCGATCTCTTGTCAACCATCAACTCACAACTCGGAGACACTCTCCAAGAACAAACTATCAATGATACCGTCCAATCACTTCAAATTACACTCAATGCTTTATTAGGTGCTTATGAAAGAAAGGATCTATCTTCACTTGCCAATTGGAAGAATCAATTCAATGGTCGTTACCAAGAGTTTAAGAGTCGTTATGGTGATAGTCGTTATGCCATTGTATTTATTCAAAAGGCCGAGACAGCACTCACCCAAATCCAAAATGAACTTGGTTCGTTACTCGTTGAAAAAGAGATTAATGATCGTATTGTTATTGTTAAACCTCAATTACAATCGTTGCGTGGTTCATTTGAACGTAAAGAAATCCCAAGTATCATTGCTAAAAAGAATAGTCTTGTCGTTATCCTCAACCAAGTCAACTCTACCTATCCAGCCAATGAATTGGTTAAATACTCTGTATTTAAGGAATGTCAAGACTTGTTTGTTAGTATCGACCAATCATTGGGTGCAACCATTCAAGAAAAAGAGATTGAAGATCGTGTTGCTACCATGACCATCACCAAAAAGGCTTTACAAGGTGCTATGGAGAGACAAGACCTCAATAGTTGTGCCAACTGGAAACGTGTACTCGATCAACAATACAAACCATTCCTCGACTCGTTCCAATCAAATCCATTGGCATCTCGTTTTATTCAAGAGACCAATGAAATCGTCGCCAAGTTGGACACTCAATTTGGTCGTGACCTTTTAGAATTGACAACTAAAAAGTTGAATGATATTCAATTAAAGTCACCTGACCTAAATACTCTTGCCACTCCAAGTAGTACTTCTTCTCCTGCTACCTCTACCTCTGCTGCTTCTGCTGCTACCACTGGTGAAGTACAATGTAAAAATAAGGACAAGAATAGATTGAAACAAGATTTTTACACTTGTTTAACATGTGTAAGAGATAGTTTTGATAGTAACAAGATTGTATGTCCATCATGTCGTGATGTATGTCATGCAGGACATGTCATGGGTCCATTGATTCGTGCAGTTGGTACATGTGACTGTGAAAAGTTACATGTTGGACCATGTCAATGTTATGATGTCAAACAATACCCACGTCAAGAATACCAACCTTTGGATTGGGTAAAGAATATTGGTATTGCAACTGACGAGGAAATCAAGTTTATCGTAACCTATTATGCTTACTTGATCAAGATTGAAACTCGTTTCAAGGAACTTGGTAATGACGATCGCGAAAAGAAATTGGAATACATTAGTGGTTTGACAGACGGTGTATGGAGTATTGGTAAACAATTGGGTATCGACATTGGTACTAGTACAACACTCAAACCATTTGTTGAAGTTGTAAAAGCAGAGTTTGTAAAGATATATGGTCGTATTTTAAATGAATCATGGAAGGATATCATTAACCTCTACAAAAAGAAGGATACTCGTAACATGGTTCAACCAATCACTGCTGCCAAGGCTAATGGAGATGATGCTGATGTTGTTACTAGAACTGTCTACCTAGACTATTACGAGAGTATTTTACCATGGTTGTTTATTCAAGGTACACCCAAAGGAAGAGAGTTGTTTAATCAATCAAAACAAAACTATCTTGCCAACAATGCTCTTGTCAAGGAACCAATCCAACATGTTGCAGACTACTCTAAAGACTCGGATCAAGACAAACAATTGTCTGAAGAGTTTTGGACCAAGTTTGTCAGTATCACCAAAGACGACACTCCAACCTTTGAGCTGATCCAACCAATTGATCAACTACTCAAAGAGTATGAACCAAAGCTTAAACATGCTAGATCGTTTTTGGAACATAAACTCGCTGCTCAAGACTACCTCGCACTCCTCAAATCATTTGAGAGCAAGAGATGTGCACCTGAAGGATACATCAAGACTTTCTCATGGGGTGACAGTGACCAAGATGTTCTCAGAGCCGTATTCAAAAAGGATTGGACTCGTTTCTTTGGTTTCCTCAAGAAGTTAACTTCGAGTTGCGCCAATGCAAAGGACCCACGTTTCACATTCTTTGCCAACGAGTTTGCCAAGACTTCTACCGAGAGATTAAAGGCCAAGACTATCCCACTTGTCTACAAGTTTGAAAACAAGGGCAAGACTGAAAAGTCTGGTCCCATCATCAACGAGCTCGAAACAAACCTCAAAGGTGACAAGGATATTGAGACCATGACTCCTCAATACAATGATATTCGTAAACGTCGTCAATTGGTTTACAATCAACTTGTCTCTATTGACAAGGAGTTCAACAAGGTCTTGGAAACTCACTCTTTACAGTTCCAACAATCCATCACCAAAGCACATTTACAACAATTAAAGGCAACCGTTCATACTAGTCTTGACCCACTTAAAGAGGTGATACCAAACATTACCAAATTCAAGGGTACCAAAGTTGAACTCCGCGACTTTGACAAGGAACCAACCACTCAAGGTGTATTTGGTGGATGGCATGTAACTTGGGACAAGGAGATTGATGGTGGTTCAGATTACACTCAACTACAAGAGATTTCAAACACCCTCCTCGCTCAACTCACTGCTAAGAACCAAATTCCAAACGATATCTCCAAGACTGGTAAAGATATGCTCAACACCTACCTCATCAAACGTGCAAGTGTACTAAAGGGAACTGGTCCATGGTCAGCATCAGGTACCATCTCTGGTATCCACAACTATGAAACCAACCACTATGCCAGCTCTGATAGTGAGACCATGTTGCAATCACAAATTCCAAAGGAGGCAAGAAACATCAATATGAAAAAGGTACTCTCTCACTATACCACCACCACCGAACACGTCCGTCACACCAACATTAGTATCGATCGTCGTACTGAACATTACACATGGTCAGTCTCCTATGTCATCGATAGAGTTGCTGTCTCTATCGATACCGATTCCATCTCTTGTCTCTATTTCTCTTCTGTCAAGGGTAAATCAAATTCTCTCTCTGGTATTCATCAAAAGTTAAAAGATTTATTACCAAAACAATAAATAAATAAATAGAATAAGATACCATCTGGAGTACAAACACCATTATTGGCACAATGATTAGTTTCACTTTCACATTGTTGTTGAGCTGATTGAATAGTGTATTGTTTGAGAATAGAGTACCCATCGACAGTGATATTAAAAGTAGCAAGACCACTTGAAATTGGTGACACTACCTTGCACGATATTCTAGTTGATGTAAACTCGGTAATTAAACAAACCGAGTAGTTGTATTGACTGTTACTATTTTCAATGGTGACTGATGAGCTGACAAAGTATGTTCCAAAATTACCCTCCAATTGAATAGTCGATCCAGATACAATAATTGTATCAGATATGAAATTATAGATCATTGCCCTCTCCCAGTGACAATGAGATCGGTGAATTCCTCAACGTCAATTCGTCCACTATTGATATCAACTATTTATCACTTATATCATATCGTAGAGTGATAATAAATATTTAAAGAGTGTTCATGTACGATCATTCATTTTTAACAACCTGTTTACTATGCTAGTGGTTGTAGTCGATGAGGTTGACGTTCCATCCCCAGTTGTTGGAGTGGATGTTGTACTGCCGATTTCTCCTGTTGTAGTTGAAGTGGTACTTGTGTTGTTGTTGTGGCTAAATTATTTTGATCTTCGTTTGACGATGATGTTGTCGTGATGCGTTTAAATAGAGCAGAATTGGTTTTTGAAGTAAAGAATATTTTCAGCTATGGAAGTGAAATCAAAATGGCAACCGAAATTGAGAGAACCATTGTCTTTCCCAATGCTGGAACCTATAATATTTTTCAAACAATAATTGTATATGCAAATCGTGCTCCAGCTGGTAAAAACAACAGTTGGATTTATGATTGTGTTTTCAGAGATGTTGTATTCCCAGTCCTTGCAGATCATGTAGAACATGAAACTGTCATTGCTAGTGAAATATATCAAATATTTGGTCAAGGTAAATCAAGATGGATGGAAGAAAATTAAATCAACAAGAGAATTTAATAAAAGTAGAAGATTTAAATTGAAAAGATACCTTTCTACACCAAAATCTTTGATAAACTGAACCAATGTTGAAAGGTGGCAATTGTTTGTATGTCTGAGGTTTGGAAAATGACTCTGTTAACACCTCAGTGATGTTGCAAGTGGGATTGATCAGATGCTCATGCTTGTATGTATCTTAATGTAAAAAATATATCAATCTTTTTCTAGAGTTGATTGAAACAATAGCTTCCAACAAAAAATCCAGATGGTCTGAAGAATAATATTAAATAAATTCCACAATACTCTGGGATCTAATCTATAATAAATAAATAAAATCAGGAATATTAAATATTTATTTTTAAGAAATTAAAGTTTTTAGGTATTACTATACCATATTGATCAAACAAATTATTTGATATGATGGGGTTCAATGAAAATAATTCTTCAAATGATTGATCATATATATGAATTTGATCCAAGATGCTTTCATGTACCAATCGATGAATTTCTTGGGCATCACTTTTATAGTCATCATCAATTTTGGATTGATTCACAATTTCTATTATTATTTTCCAAAATGGTAGTATATATGTTGGTAAGAAATAGGGTATGGTATAGTAATTCTTTAAAAATATTGGTATAAAGGTTGGATACAATTGTCGAATTGATTCGATAGACACTATAGTGTCTACTTTTAATTGATTAATGTCAAACAATTCTGCAAGTATTGAATGGTTTTTTGATAATAATGTCTTTGCAACTATTTCCATTTCCTTGTTCATTGAAATAATAGCTTGTATAATACTAAAATTATCACCAATTGCCATTACCAAGTCTACCATTTTACTCTCCAAACTGTCATATTCATATTCATCATCATCATCTACTTGTTCTTCTTCTTTTCCTATTTGTTTCCATTGTAAATAAAGTTTTTGATCCAATTGTTGACAATAATCGAATAATGTTTTCGTACCATTCATGTCTAGAGTATAACCTTGATATTTCGACACCCCTTGGATGACATGACGGAGCTTGTATCCAAGACAATTGAGTGGAGTTTTCTTACAATCTACTAACAATACTTGGATGTAATAAAGAAAATGATCTTGAGCAGCTTGAAATAAACCCTTGTTTAAAAGAGTTTCCAAAAATTTTTCCATCCCCACTGATGCCGCAAATGGTTTAGATAAAAGGCAAAATTTGTTACTTATCGTACTGAAATGAGACGGATGTATATGGGGGATCAACCAATCAATATATGGAAAATATCCACCGACTCGATTTAAACTGTAATATATTTTCATCAATTTTGAAAAATGTATCGATAGTTGTTTGGGTTTGAACAATTTTAAATCGATAAATACTATTTCTGACATTCCAATATTTGATGCAAGCAATTCATAACATTTTCCAAGCATTTTACCCAAATACACATTAAAATATTTTAATCCAACAATACTACCAATAAACATGAAATATTCCAATAATGAAGATTGATTAAGACTCTCTATTATTTTATCTAATATTATTGGTAATAAAATATTTGAAAACTACAAAATAAAAAGAAATAAATTAATAAATCTAGATTATTTTTAAATTATCTATTTTTTGATTTATATACTTTTTTAAAATTACTTGGGTCCATTGATTTAATAATATGTTTTGAATCTTCCAATTCTCTACCAAATAAGGATCTTTTGCTTGAGAATGATAAAAGATGAGATTCTAAATGTTTGATGATCATTTCATCCACATCTAGACAATTCTTTTTTATAGTGTATCCAGCTTTCCAAAGATTTTGAAAGAAACTTGAATAATTAAACTCTGTAGAGGAGGAGGTAGAGGAGGGGGAGGTGGTGGTGGCATTATAGATTATATTGATTGCTCGGTGTCTCAATTCAACATTATTATCTTTTAAATATCCCTCTAGAAATATAAAAGATGGGCAATGAATTTGTAAACCTGAACATATTCTTTCAATCAATGTCAATGTACTTGATCGAGTAATAGATTGATCTCCCATTGAAATATCTCTCAATGTTTGAATTAATTTATCATTTTCTCCTACAAATAAAAACAAAAGGTAAATATTAACATTAATTCATTTGCTCAGAATAACAACAATCTCTCTCTCTCTCTCTACTTTTAACTTACCTTTTGGTGATGTATATTTAGTTAGAAGAGAGTTTAATATAGATATTATCATATCTTTTACTTGGGAGGGTAATTGATAATCATTGTGATCATTATGAAATTGATTAAAAATATCCAAAGGAGATATATCTATTTGATTATATTCTCCTTTGAAATTTACTCGCAATGATCTTTGATGTAATCCTTTTGAAAACATTAATGAATAATCTAATAAATAAATTGATTCATTTCTAATCTAAACGGTAAATACAAACAAACAGATAAGTATGAAATGAAACATATCATTTAAAGATATATATAATACATACAGTTGGTAATTCAGAATGAACGATAAGATAAAATAACCATGATAATGTTTGATCCCATTGTTGAACAATCAATCGATTATATTCTTGTTGTTCTTTACTCTTTATCTTGTGTATTAGATTAATGATTGTCTTTTCATCTAATTGTTTTCGTTGTTGATTATTTATTTCTCTTTCTTTTGATAACTTTACAATCAATTCAATAAATGATGTTGGTGGTGGTAATGATACCAATTCTTCTTTCATTCTAGATAGATTATATATGTTTCGAAAAAAAAAACAATGATGAAATTATGAATTAGGTCTTTTTTGACAAATCATGGTTTGTTATTATTTACTTTTTTGTTTTTTTTTTTTTTAATTTATTTATCTTCTCTTGTGATTGACTCGTTCTTCTTCAGATTCAGATTCACTTAGGATTTCTTCAAGTGTAGTGGTAGAAGATTTGGATTGATTGTTTCTGTTTTTGTTGTTGTTGATTGTTTTAGTTGATTCTTTGATATTGTTGAGTTTGTTTTCATTTCTTCTTTCATCATATTCATCTTCTTGTTCAGATCCAGATCCATCGTCATCATCATCATCATCATCATCACCACTATAAGAATCACCTTCATCGTCGTCATATTCTCGGTCATCAATAAATCCATCACCATTGTATCCAAATCCACTGTTCTCTTCTTCCTCATCACCATCCTCACCCTCTAAATATTTCGTATCCAAATTAAGTTTTTGTGCAAGTTTGTTAACCTTGGTATCGCGTTGTCCTCTTGCAATTCTAATTTTTTCTGCTTCTGCCTAGAAAAAATAGAAAAAGAAAAGAAATAGAAAGATAATCCTTATTATTAGTCTTGTTATTATTTCTTTTTCTTCTTTTATCTTTTCTTTTTGCTTACTCTTTCTCTTTGAACTTTTTCTTTTTCAGGATCAACAGTTGTAACGATTGATTTAATCTTTGCTGATTTTTGGGTACGACTAGCGATAGATTCACGGAGACGCATATGAGCCTTACTTCTAACTTTGGTGGGACGAATGGCAATCTTTGAATCAACCTTGCCTTCACATTCGATAAAGTTGTCTTGTTTGTTGTACACGTAGAATTGGTCGCCGGCAAGCTCATGCTCTTTCACCTCGAGTGCTTCATTGCCAATGAAAAGATGTGTCGAGCCGTCTGACCACTGGATAAGACGTGTATTACTCTCTTTGGTGGGTCTGCCATGTTGATCCAATGCCCATCTCCATCTAATAACAGATTCTACATTGGATGGTCTACCACGTTCTGCAATCTCTTCATCCTTTTCATATGATTTTGGATGGAATGGAATTGGTTGAATCCCAAGAATATTTAATACTTTTAATTTCATAATCTAAAAAGAAAAATAGAAACATTAGTATATATATTATTATTATTATTATTATTGAAAATATGGTTTGTTTTCATACCTTTGCTTTTGGTAATGGAGTAGAATCGATATGAGTAAGATGAACAGGTGGTCGAATAACTTCTTTCAATTCTTCAACTTCTTGATATTCTCCACCATATCCAGTATCATCATCTACCATTTCATCACCACCATGTCTATCTGATGATGATGATGGTTGTTGTTGTTCAGAGTCACTACCTTTATGCTTTTTCTCTCTTCTCTCTTTCTTTTCCTTCTTTTTCTTTTTCTTGTCTTTTTTATCCTTTTTCTTCTTATCTTTTCTTTTCTTTTCTCTATCACTTCCTCCACTTTGTTCTTCTTCTTCATTATTTTGATCATCTCCACTTGCTTCTTCTTCTTCTTCACTATCATCACGTGTTATCTTTGATGATGATGATGACTTGTTATTATTATCATTGCTACTAGACGACTTTTTTCTTTTCTTCTTTTCATTGTTATCAGCTTCATCTTCATCACCAAATATATTATCGTCGTCATCATCATCTGTAGCATTTGAAGTGTTGTTGATACTACTCGATCTCTTTTTATTTATACTCGATACAATATCATCTTCGTCAGAGTCGATACTAGTATTATTATTATTATTATTCTTGTCTTCTTCAGAGTCACTCATCCTTCTCCTCCTCCTCTTCTTCTCCTATTTATATTTATATATATATATATAATAATATAATAATAATTATATTATGTTGATGATCATGCAACCAACTACAATCAATACAATATCTCTCTTTTTTTTTTTTTTTTTTTTTTTTTTTTTTTGAATAGTTTTTAAAAACTATTTTTATTGTTTTGTTTTGTTTAAACATTCATTACATATGGTCAGATCCACAAAATATTGTATCATCATCCCATGGGTATCCGTATTCTACATCGGGTCTTTGGGCATTACGTTTCATAGGTCTAGGATCTTTGATGACACCTTGTTGTTTGAGAGTGTCCAATGATTTAGCTATTTTCTCTAATTCAAGGATAGACTCTCTGGTGATGATCGTTCCCTTGGCACTGTTTATATAATCCTCCAATTGAGTGGAAAATGCGTAAAAGGTTATTTGTTCTCTAAGATTGAGTACCGATTGTTCCTTCAACTCTTGAATTAAACGTTCATTCTCTTCTACTTTATTTTGGATCAATGCCATTGATATTGCCACCGAAACAAATAATAACATAAAACCAACAGTTGTTGGCTAAAAAAGAAAAGAAACAAAGAGAAACAAGGATTAGAATTATAATTAATAATGAATCACTTTAAATTGTTAATTAATAAAGGTATGATTATTAATTAGTAGTACATACAGACCAAATTCTAGCTTGAACATCTCTAATATGATCATGATGTCTCTTTGTTTGTAATATCACTCTCTCCAATTGTGATAATTTAAGATTAACTTGTTCAATTTTATCAAATGCAATTGCCATTTCTCTACTTTCCCTATGTTATATATATGTATATATATATATATATTCTTTACAAATAATTAATTAAATGATAGAGAATAGAGAGTTTATGATTTGAATGATTGATTGATTGATTGATTCGGAAGTAGTTTTGTACTTTTCATTTTGAAGCAAACCCCCTATTAAATAAAAAATCACCAAGCAAGAGTGACATGACAGTTTAGGTGAGTCACACACACACAACTACAAATTCATTCATTGTTGGTATTGACACAATCATTGCACATCAATGACCAAGTACTTTGGTTTTCCAAATTTAATTCGATCCTCGTCATCAAATTATTTTTGGAAATAATATTATTTTTTTGTTTATTTTAAAAAAAAAGCTATAAGTTGATATTTATTGATTAATTTAATTATTTAATTTTTAATTATAAATTGGATGAGCAAAAGTATTAGCAGCTAATAAGAAATGATCTTCTTGTTGAGCAAATTGATAGGATACAAGGTTGAGATGACGTTCATCTTCTTTGAGACGATCCTTGGTGACTGAAGTTTCAAACAATTCCTCTAGCATTTGGTCAGAGAGTATTGTGATTTTACCTTGTACTTCTCCCCATAGTTCAGATTGCATTGGGATGAGGAAGAAGTTGTAACACTTTAACATGACATTCTTGATGATACGTGATCTAGTATCTCTAAACATTTTGTTGGCCAATTTACTAACAATCTTGTTGGTCTCGTCTGATGTTACAACATTAGCTTTACGTCCTTGTAAAGATGGTGATGATGGTGCCATCATTTTGAATATATTCTCCAATTTAACATCTTCAAATTGTGACAAAGTAGAATGATTTGAAGAAGTTGATGAAAGTGAATTTAGTGATGGAGAAGATGGTAATGATTGTTTGTTACTATTGGTACTATTGTTGTCAGATTGTTGATGATCCCAATAAATTAAACGAGTACTATAAAATTCATCAAAACATTTAGATTTACATTGTTGGGCAACATGATCAATGAATCTAAAATACATCTCTCTAATACTATGAATAAAGTATGGATGGTCATCGGTGTTGATTAGGTTGGTAGAGGAGGATGATGATGAGGATTGGTGATGGTGACCCATATGACCACTGCCTACTTGGGATGACCCGGGAAGGTTGGAGGGAAGAGTACGCAGGGATTGTAGGGTGAGGGGTGAACTTTCAAATTGAGGGGAAGATGTGGCACGACGAATTTGGAGTCGACGTTTGTTTTCAATCATGCGGTCGACTACATCAACAAGACGACGCAGGATATAGACGGCACGGACAAACAACTGGTTGACAAGTGGTTCGAGCAGCTGACAACTCTTTTTTTGTGCAATGTCGCTGGCTGCCCACGCGAGGATAGACACGTTGGTTGGTTTGTTGGAACCGAGTGCAACGGCCACTTCGTCGTCGGCCAACTCGCCAAGCTCGACACGTTCACAGACACTCTTGAATTCGGCGAGGAGACGCTCAAACTGTTGTCCTCCATACACCTTGCTCTCGTGGAATGGCACGTTCCAAGTCTTGGCGTCAAAGTGGATTGGGCGGTGGTTGTGGTCATGCCATTCGCCCGTCTCTTCTTGTTGCTTTTCCTCGGCCAAAGTTTGGCCGTTGAGCGATGGGTTACCCTCAAGCGTGCCGACGATGAGTTTCTCGATCGACTGCAAAAACTCCATCACATAGTTGGACGCGACCACACGCAGGCGGCCGGCGGTCATGGCGTCGAGCTGGCCCTTGAGCTTGGCCAATTGCTCATCCGAAGTCTTACGGAACGCGCGCAGACGCTTAAGCACCTCGGGAATGGCCTCTTGGTAGCGCTTCCACGTGAGCTCAGACACGTAGTGGCGGAACGACGACAGGCCAATATTGCGCTCAAAGCGCTTATCGTACTGCAGCTGCTCGAGCACCTCGACATCCTTTTTCTGGAGCCCGTCGATAATATCCTTGAGCCCGTCCTTGGTAGCGCACGCCAGACGCTGCTCATGGCTGGGTAGCGTAGTAAAGAAAGTTGGTGCATCCAAATTTGGGGCATTCAAAAAGCGGTTAAGGTCGCGGGCATTATTGAACGTTTTGAGATGCTCTGTGAAGCGGTTCAACACAAAGATGGAACGGTCCAACTTGGGATCGAGCTTTTTAGCCAGCTCGACAATATCGACGCTCTCTGATGCAGCTTCGACAAACACGAGTATACGTTGGTCGGGACGTGTAAAAGACAAAATGCCGTCGTCGAGGTCGGCCAACTGGATTTGTGCGCCGCCCGGGGTCTGGTCTGGACGCACTGGGATCGACGGTGTCTCGATCAACTGCATGTTGAGACAGTAGCGATAGTCCAACTGCACCTTGATAGGAATCGAAGACTTTACATTGCGACGTGACAATTCCTTGGGCAACTCGGCCAAATCAATGACCTTGTCCACTTCGAACCCCTTTAAAAATCGGTCACGTTTGATTGTCACCACGGGACGCTCATTTTGTGGGTTATTCACCATATGGATGACGAGTGGTCTAAGATTGGCACCGACATCACCCAATGGAAATCCTACAAATGATTCAATCAATGAACTCTTGCCATGTCCATCCTTGCCAACAAAAACAAATTCTGGCACATCGATCTGAGTATTCAAATCACGTGCCAAAATCATAATCTTATTATATGCCTTATACATTTCTCCAAATTTTTGATTATCAAAATTTAATGGATATGGTATTGATGTTGACAATGTTGTCTTACTAAAAATGGAAATCAAAATCAAAAAAATATTAATAAAATGTAAATAATATTAAATATATTATATAATTACCTTGCTGATTGTCTATCCATTATTATTGTTTTTTGAAATGGATTTGATTTGATTGATTTTTTAAAAACTAATAATAATAATAATATACTTGGTTTAAATAAAACAAGTAATGATTCTAAAATTAATACTTTTTTTTTTTTTTATCTTTTTAAAAAGTATTAATTTTGATTTGATTGATATAATATACAAATAAACAAATGATTGATTGATTGATTGATTGATTAATTACTAAATGAATAGAATAATCAATTCAATATGATTGTTGTTGGTTTATAAAAGAAAAAGAATAAATAAATAAATAAAGTTGATTATAAATATCACACTATTTGTCAATTCGATTTGATTGCAATGCTATGATTATGATGATGATGATTCGTTGCTATATACTATGTGTTTATCGTCTGACTTTTAAGCTCTTATATTATATGTGTGTGGGTGATATCTAATATAAAACATAATAATCATCAAACAAAGTGTCAAAGAAACAGCAACAACAACAAAAGAAACATCAAATAAAGATTCAAATAATTATTGGTTTTTGGCGGGCAATTCAACTATCCACTCATGGTACATGAAACTTTCCTTTGACCATGGCCCCCCCTCCCTATCACATGATCGTCAACTTTGTCGTCAGATAAAAAAACAAAACATTGAATCTAATATTAATATTAAAGAGAGAGAGAGATAGGTAATTTATCAACCTTTAACATAACACAACAAAAGGTAGTTTAAAAAGATGATGATGAATATTTTAAAGAAAGAAAGATCAACAACAAAACAAAACAAAACAACAGAGAGAGATTTTAAAATGAGAATTGAATCAATGAGAGGATTGATGGATTGATGGATTGATGGATGGATGGTGATAGTGTTTGATCAAACCATCACTAACGCGTTTGCAGAACCCAAAAACAGAGGATAGGTTGTTGATTTTGATTTTGTGGAGGTGGTTTGTGAGAAGTAGCGTGGTGTGGTGGTGGTGAGGTAGGAGGTGTTAATTTTTTCTTTCTGGGAGGGATTAGTATGGGTCGATTATTTTGACTCTCAAAGAGTAGGAAGGAGTGGAGTAGTATATCGAAAAAAAAAAAAGAAAGATTATTTTTTTAAAAAAATTAATTTAATTTTAATAAATTAAATAAAATAAATAATAATATTTATTATATTGTAAATTTGATTTTATCCAGTATATTATATTGAATCCTATAATAATTATAAATAATTATAAATAATAATAATAATAATAATCTACTTTGTTTGGTTGAAAAAAAGCTTGCCTAAATTGATCAAGCAATTGCTAAAAAAAAAAAAAAATAAAAAACAAAAACAAACACCCTAACCCCCGCTTTGGTCGTTTACTCTATGTATTTCTTTTTTTTTTTTTTTTGTTGTGTATATCAATATATATAGCTTAAAAAGAGAGAGGAAGTAGTAAAAGAACGAGAAGAGCTATTATATACAACAAGAGAGAGAGAGAATAACAAATAGACAATCAACCATTCTCATCCTTTATCAAAACAATCATCAAAATATAAATATATATATATATTTTATAATTAGAGACATACATACAAAGAAATAGATAGATATCCAAAAAGAAAGAAAGAAAGAAAGAAAGTTTAAAAATACCCAACAAGACACATGGATATAAATAAAGTTGGTTTTAAAAGAACCAACATTGATACGATTGTTGGGTATAATGATTTCAACGGTAGCGGTGGTGGTGGTAGCGGTAGTAGTGGTAGTGGTCTAGTAGGAGGAGGAGGAAGAATGTATATTCCCTATGAAGGTATGATAATGATGATAATAATAATGATGATGAAGACTACTACTGCCCTCTTTTGATAAAAAAAAAAAAGAAACAACTTTAATTAATCATATTCTCTATTCCCCTCATATTTTCTTCTTCTTCTTCTTCTTCTTTCTCTCTTTTAAAAGATAATGATACTAGTAATAGTTGTATTAAAAGAATTAAATTATTGGATTCTACAATTTCTAGTAGAAGAGTACCTTTGCAATCAATATATAACAACAATAGTAGTAGTAGTAGTAATAGTAGTTATAACTTTAATTTTAACTATAGATGGTTAGATTATGATTTATTTGATCAATTATCACCAGAAGTGATAGTACAAATATTTGGTTATTTGGATCCCTTTTCGACACCTCTAATGTATATATGCAAGAGATGGTACAATATCTTGCAACTAAACAATCGATCATTGTGGCGGGATTTGGTTATCACCATCAATGATTCACGTCCCTACGAACTCAAACCACTCTCAAACAGAGTATTATCCTATTTTAATAATGGTTACGGTACAAGTTTACATTCATTTATCTTGTCTACTTCATTAACAAATCATGAATCTTCTCTTGTTCAACCGTCACAACAACAACAACAACCACAATCTCAAACTCAATCATCTACTTTATCATCAATCAATTTTAATAATAATTATAACTTTAGAAATAATAATAATAATTTTTTCAGCAATTTAACTTCTTACAAGAACAACAACAATACTACTACTAATAATAATCAAAATAATCAAAATAATGATATTGAAAGTCAAAGACAATTTTTAATCAATGTAACCAAAAGTATTGGTCATAATCTTTCATTGTGTCCAAACTTGCGCAAGATTGAAATGACTCTACCCATTGATAATGACCAATTCCACGCACTATCAACCAATTGTAAAAATGTAAATGATCTTAGTCTCAACTGTTTTCTAATCAATGACCTTGGAATGGAAAGAGCCCTACAAAATTTTAACTCTCTTGAACAATTATCTTTAAATAGTACTGGTAATTTTAATTATGTAAGATGGAAAAAATAGAAAAATAGAAAAATAGAAAAATAGAAATATTAATATTTATTTATTTATTTATTTTTTAGGAATTTGTAAAACAAACTAAAATTAATCAAACTATAACCCCGACATCTTTGTACAGTATATCAACACTATTAAAATTAAAATCTTTAAGATTTACACTTCCACCACAATTGGGAAATTTCAACAAATCTCTTGTTGAAAGTGGAATTGTACTAGATCAACAACAACAGTTGGCAATTGAAGATTTTGAACAAAATGATTTAGATAAAGCTATGCTTTGTCTTTTAAAGTAAATATAAAAGATAGAAAAAAATAGAAATAGAAATAGAAAAAAGAAACATTAATATTCATACTTTTTTTCTTCTTCTTTTTCTTTTTAGATGTAAATATTTAGAAACATTAGAATTGGTTAGTTGTAATATTACAAAGAATGCACTTGAAAGTTTAATGGAACAATTAAAATGTTTAAAAAGATTGGTTATTTATCGTAATAATTCATTGGTATCATTGACTGTCAAATCAAATACACTTTGTCATCTAAGTTTATCTTGTATTTCAGTCATTCAAAATATTTTTATTGATTCAAATTCAATAGAAGAATTATATGTTGAAGGGTATGATAAAAAAAGAAAATAGAAAAATAGAAAATAGAAAAGAAAATATAAGAATCATATTAATATTTTTATTTTTCTATTTTTTTAGATGTGAAACAATACAAAAGACAATTATAAATTCACCAAGTTTAAAATTATTATCACTTGATGGATTAAGTGGAAGATTATACATAAAGGAATGTTATGGTTTGACAAGTTTAACATTATCAGAGTGTAGTGGGATTTCACAAAGAGGATTAGAGAGATTGTTGGATTCACTTGTCAATCTACAAGATCTTTGTATCTTTTTGCAACAAATCCTACATCTTCGTATTAGTTCTTCTAGTTTGAAACATTTGGACATTGAAGCTTGGAATGGTATCAAATCTTGTATATTGGATTGTCCATCACTTCAAGAACTCAAGGCAAACGAATCCACCTTGGAGACACTCTATTTCAAAGGCAACGAACCATCCAATATTGAATTGGATTTCTGTGATAGTCTTAGAAATATCATTGTCGATGTTTTATCTTGTAACTCTTTTTCTTTTACTCAAGATCATCCTTCAAATCTTTCAACTTCAAATTATTTATTACATCAGCAATCAAAAGAATTGGAAATTGAAGAAATAGATGATGATGATGATGAAGAGGAAGGGGATAGTGATATGGATGATGATGATGATTCAAATATGCAAGTAGAGGAAAGACAACAAGAACAAGAAGAGGAACAAGATGATGATAGATTCATGTCACCAACATCATTATTTATTCAAGTTCATAGATCAATTGAAAATTGTACCATTCTTAGTGGTAATGTAATTGGAAAGATTTCAACAAATAGTATTGCAACTCTATCAATTGAACAAAAGTCTATTCAATCTATTGACCTCTCTTCCATTCACGCCATCCAAAGATTAAAATCTTATCATCAAGCTAAAAGAAATAATAGTGATGGTGGTTGTTCTGGTTCAAAATCACCAATATTATTCCAAATGAACCATCTAATAATAATAATCATTTTAATCCATTTTCAAATTTTCGATAACATATAATTAATTAATTAATAATATATATATATTTTTTAGAGCAATTAATAAAATTTTAATTTATTCCTTTTTTTTTTTGAAAAAAAACCAAAAAAAAAAAAAAAAAAAAAAAATGATGTTTTATGAAAATCAAATTTTTTGTATTATTATACTTACTCTATTCAAATCTATCCTTTTTTTATATTTATATATCAAGTCGTTTTTAACCAAAAGAGAAAGAGAGAGAGAGAGAGAGAGATGTAAAGAGTAGAGAGAGAGAATTGAAAGAGTGATATTGAAAAGATGACAGGAGCAGGACCACCACTATCAACTTCATCATCATCATCATCATCGACAGTTGATATTAATTCTAATCATAGTGATATTTGGGAGAGTAGTACAAAGCCACAATTGTAAGAGAATAATCATAATCATAATCATAATAATCATAGAGAGAGAAGAGTTTGATATTGGACAGTGCACCTTTTTTTTGTTTTGGCTCAAATCAAATGAAATGAATCCTTTATTAAAGTCTAGTCTCGGTCAATGAATTGAATCAATCTTCTCGTTCTCCCAACTATATGGATCAAAGAATGTGTTTGAAACTAATCAACTTCATCATCAAACAAATAGAACCTCTAAATTAATTGAATTAACAAAAAAAGTTGATCAAAACAACAAGACTGAAAGATATGCAACAATAAGAAAGATACTATATGATGAATGTACAAATGTTACAAAGAAACAATTATCAATTACTCAAATTTTATCTTTATTTGCAAATGATTCAATTGTAAGAAGAAACCCAAAGAAAGAAGATAAATACTTTTAAAAATATACTTATACTTTTTATTTTTTATTTATTTTTTTAGAAAATAATGGAATTAAATAATATATTGGCCGATATATTTTGGTGTATTGGTATAGAGATGGAAACATCAACAATGTATGATAAACCAGTATTGATTCAATTGATTAATGAATGTGTAAAGAAATCAATTGTTGAAGCTAAATTGTTAAAAGAAAGATTGGAACCTGAAATGTTGGAAGAATGTGGAATCATTAATCAAGCTGATAAATTTGTAAAAAAAACTATTAGAATTAATACTATTAATACGTAAAGACAAAAAAGAAACAAAAAAAGAAAAAGAAAAGAAAAAAGAATATTATTTATTAATTATCTTTTCTTTTATTTTTATTTATTTATTTTTAGATATACACAAGTAAAATATAATTTATTTAAAGAAGAAACTGAAGGATTTTCAAAGATTATATCAGAATTGAACAAAGGAGATAGATTAAATGAAATGACATTGGATTCAACGATTGATAATATCAAATCATTGATTGGATATTTTAATTTGGATCCTAATCGTGTATTGGATATTGTTTTGGATGCATACGAATTAAATATTCAAAACTCTACCTGTTTTAATAGTATCATCAAATTGTTTAAACCATCTGCCATTCCTCAACTATTGGGTTTTAAATATCAATATTTCCAAAATCAACAAGATACTCCTTCTTCTCTTTATGATTTAACTGCTATTTTATTAAAATCAAAAATCATTACTTTGGAACAAATTTATCCTCATGTAAATAGAAATAGAAAAAAAAAATAGACAAAGAAATTTCTTAATATTAATGATTTATTTTTTAGTTGGGACCAAATGATGAAGATTTAAAATTACAATATCAATCAAAAAAAGAAGAAACTATAGCAAATGCAAAAAAGATTGGTATGATTTCATTGGTAGACAAGGATATTGAAAAGGAAAAGGAAGGTGAAAAAAAAGAAACAATCAAAGATGGTGATAAAAAGGAATTAAAAGATCAATCACAACAACAATCACCGGCTACTACTACTATTGCTCAACCATCATTGGATCATAATAATCAAAAGTTTGGAGTTTTAATTTCATTATTAAATATTGATGAACATGAATATTCAAATCAATTATTATATCATTTATCAAATGTTGATCCTGCTTCAAATTCTATAGTTTGTAAAGCATTATGTAAAAGATTAACAAAAATTATTAATCCAATTTATCAAAAGTAAAAAAAAAACAAAAAGAGAGTTAAAAAATATAAATATTAATTTTTTATTTAATTTTTTTAGAATATCATTTTCAATTTTAAAGAAATCATTAATACCTGGAACAATTGATATTGAAGAATTTATTAAACAATCAGATTTAATTTATAATCTTTTATATTATTTAAATGTTTATCTTTCAACAGATACAATATTATTAAACAAAATTGTTAGAATTTTAAAAGATTTAATTCAATCTGTAAGAAAGGAAAAACAAAAAAAAAGAAAGAATTAATCATCATATACTTATTTATTTTAATTTTTTTTTTTAGGTAAAAATATGAAGAAATATTTAAAAATGAAATTGAAAATATATTATCAAATATAATATTTCCATCATTTTCATTGATTCAATCAAATCCACCGTTGGCATTTGAATTATGGGATATGATCAAATTGATGCCCTATTCTACAAGATATAAATTCTATGGTGAATGGAAATCAACCTATACCAAATATGTTCCAAGTATTGAAATGAAAGCTCAAGTCAATAGTGATACGAAAAAAGTACTTCGTCGTCTTTCAAAGGAAAATGTTAAACAACTTGGTAAAACTATTGGTAGATTTAGTCATAATAATCCCCTAATAGTTTTGGAATCTTTATTATTTTCGGTAGAATCTTATGATAATCTTGTTCAACCTCTTGTTGATTCTATTAAATATTTATCTCCTTTATCTTTTGATATTTTAAGTTGTAAGTAAAAAAAAAAAGAAAAACAAAAAATATAAAAAAAAAAAGATTTATTAATTTTTATTTTTTTATAGATCAATTATTAGAAAGATTTACATTATCAAATAGATCAAAATTAAAACCAGATGGAACAAATATTAGTTCATGGTTTCAAGGATTGTCATCATTTTCTGGATTTTTATATAGAAAATATCCAAATACAGAATTGGAAGGATTACTTCAATACATGGTCAATCAATTGGTAGATAATAATTCATTGGATATGATTATATTAAAGGAATTGATATCAAAGATGGGAGGTGTTGAAGTGATTGAAGAACCACCTGATCATCAAATCGAAGCTCAAGCAGGTGGTGAATTACTAAAAACCGAAAGTAGTACAATGAATGTTAGCAAGATTAAAAAGGCTGTCACCAAATTACGTGATACCCTCTTGAATTCAAAATTGGCTTTTCCTCTAATCATCTTAATTGCAAAACAAAGATTAAATATTGTTTTTAATAATCAACAAAGTGGTAATGTTAGAATGATGTCTGATTTATATGACAAGGTAAAGAAAAAAATAGAAAAAAAAAAAAATAGAAAATCAAAAAATATACTTATTTATTTTTATTTTCCTCTCTTTTTAGTGTCAAGAAACATTATTACAATTTACAGAATTTTTATCAACAAATGTATCAAATAATGATTATAGTGGATTATTTGGAAATTTTTCACAATTGGTAACAACTTTTTATTTGGAACCTGAAACTTCATTCCATATTTATCGTCCAATCATTTCTGCTGCTTTCCATGATACTTCCAACTCTTCTACCTCTACTTCTACCTTATCATTTGAACAATTAATGAATCAATGTAAATTAATTCATCCACCAACAATATGGAATAGCCTAAGTTTAGAATTGTATACATTATTTTGGTCATTATCATTGTATGATATTCATGTACCAAAACAATCGTATGAACAAGAGATTCAAAAGTTGAAACAAGCAAATACAGAAATTGATCATGCCATTCAATCGGAAAAGGATCAAACTGAAAAGAATGCCAAACGTCGAAAGGATCGTGAACGCAACACCCAAACAATTGACAAATTGTACAAGGAAATGGAAGCTCAAATTGCAAATAATCAAAAGGTCATGGAACGGTTCATGTCATTGAATCAAAAATTCTTTTCAGAAGGAAATACCAAATCAACATTGAAATTTATTCAATGTTGTATTTATCCACGTGCCATCTTTACACCAATCGATGCCATCTATTGTAGCAAGTTTGTTCACCTACTCCATACAACCAATACCCCACATTTTACACCATTACTTTATTATTACAATGTAACTGGTTTAATTTCATTTTCAATTACATCGTATACTGAAAATGAATCTGTTAGATTTGGTAGATTCCTAAAAGAATCCATTTCCATTTTAAATCGTTGGCGTTCGAGTGAAAGCATTTTTGACAAGGAATGTAAACCATTTAAAGGATTCATTATTGACACTTCAAGTAATATTGTCAAATATGAAGACTTTTTCACTGCCACTGCCAAATGGCATAGTCAAATCTGTGACTCTTTTATCACTTGTCTACAATCCAGTGATTACACGGTCACCAAAAATGCCTTGTTGGCATTGACCAAATTAATCGATGTGTTCCCTATTCAAGTTCAATCTTATCAATCTTTGGAACAAGCAGTATCTAAAATTCGTTCAGATAGAGAAGAACTTAAAATTTTGGCTACTCGTTATCATTCTTTATTAGAGAAAAACAAATCAAAAATTGTAGAAATTTATTCAAAAAATCAAAGTAAAAAGAAACTTGAAGATAAAAAAGATGATAAAAAAGTTGATGAAAAAAAGGTTGAAGAAAAGAAATCTGAAGAAAAGAAAGAAGAAAAGAAATTAGAGGAAAAGAAATCAGAAGAAAAGAAATCATCATCGACTACAAATTTGAAATCATCAAACAAATCAAATAATGATAAAATGGATATTGATAACAAATCAAAGGAAAGAGAAAGAGAAAGAGAAAGAGAAAGAGAAAGAGAAAGAGAAAAAGAAATTAGAGAAAGAGAATTAAGAGAAAAAGAAATGAAAGAAAAAGAGATTAGAGAACAACAAAGAGAAAGACAAGAAAGAGATAGAGAAAGAGTAGAAAAGGAAAAAGAAAGAGAAAAGGAAAGAGAAAGACAAGAAAGAGAAAAGGAGAGAGAAAGACAAGAAAGAGATAGAGAAAGAGAAAAAGAAAGAGAGCAACAGTTATCAAGAGAAAGAGATAGAGAAAGAGAACAACAATTATCAAGAGAAAGAGATAGAGAAAGAATAACTGAAAAGGAAAGAGAAAGAGAAAAGGATCGTGAAGTGGAAAGAGATCGTGAAAGAGAAATCCAACTTCGAGAAAAGGAAAAGGAAAGAGAAAAACAAGATCGTGAAAAGGAAAGAGAAAAGGAAAGAGAATTACAAATCATAAAGGAACGTGAAGCTGCTAGAGAAGCACGTGATAGAGAAAATAATAGAGAAAATAATAGATCAAGTCAATCTGATAGAAAAGATCTTAGAGAAACTCTTAGAGATAATAGATCAAGAGATAATGATAATAATAGAGATCGTGATAATAATCATAGAGATAATAATAATAATAGAGATAGTAATAGAAATGATCGTGATAAATCACCACCCTATATTGAAGATAGAAAAAGAAGAAAGGATGAAATTCAAAAACCAGATGAAAGAAGAGACGGAAATAATAATAATAATAATAATAGTGGTAATAATAATGGAGGAGATAAAACTCCAAGATCTGGTGGAGAAAAAATGACACAATTGAGAGAAAAACTAAAAGAAAGTCAAAAAGAAAAGGACAAGGAAAAGGAAAAAGAAAAGGATCCTCATCATCCAATTCCAATTCCAACAAATTCTTCTCCAAGTTTGACTGCTAGTTCAAGTACAGCTTCACCAACTTCTACTCCTCCATTGAATAATAATAATAATTCGACACCACCAAAATTGGATCAACAATCTCAAATGGATAATCAAGATGATGGTAAAAAGAAAAGATTAAATCGTAATAGACAACAATCTCCTCCCATTTCATTTTCATCTCCTCCTCTGAACAATAATAATTCTATAGCTTCTCCACCTCCTCCTCTTAGATCTGGTGGTAATAATTATTCAAATCATCCACGTGATCAAAGAGATTTGCCACTACCACCATTACCACAACAACAACAACAAAGAGGTGGAGACAGAGATAACTTTAGAGATTCACGTGATCAAAGAGATAGAGATTTTAGAGAACGTGAACAACAAAGAGAACGTGAACAATATGAACGTGAACAACAAAGAGAAAGAGAAATGCGTCAACAAAAAGATCGTGATGCTCGTGAAAGAACTATTGATAGAAGAAGATAAAATAAAAATAAAAATAAAGATAAATAAATAAATAATTCTATTCTATTTAATACATTTTAATTTCCTTTCCATTTTAATTTAACAACTTCAAATATATAAAAACCAAGACCAGATGCAACACCAACAGCAATTTCATAGGTATATTTTTTGAAAAGGTCAGTCCATGTATAAGATGTAGGTGATGATTTCTTTTTCTTCTTTGTCACTGATCTTCTTTGGGTCATTGTCTTTTTTATATGTGCTTCGTATCTATTCATTTCTTCTTCATCTATTTCATCTTGAGTTGGTGGTGGAGGTACATCTATAAAATCACCATCACGATGACGTAAATGACGACCACCATTTAATCTTATAGGTCTTTGTCTTGTTTGTTGTTCTAGATAAATTTCTTGTAACAATTGTTCATCTCTATCATTTAAATGATTTAAATTATGTCTACTCACTAAAAATGAAAATGAAAAAGAAAGAAAGAAAGAAAGAAAGAGTAAGAAAAAGATTAAAGAGTAAAGGGTAAAGTATTATAAGTACTCTTTTAATAAAATTTAATTAAATGTGTAATTCTTTGTTTGTGACAAAAAGGTCTTCTTCTCTTTTCGTGTTGTTCATTTTCATTTTTTAAAAAATTAATATATAAAATGATTAAAAGAATATTATCTAGATCATATATAAGGCATTATAGTAGTAGTAGTAGTAGTAGTAGTAGTAGTAGTAGTAGTAGTAGTAGTAGTAATAGTAGTAGTAGTACAACTAATAATAATAATAATAATAATAATAATAATAATAATAATAATAATAATAATACGAATACGACAATCCTTTTGAAACCTGAAATGCCAACCAATTGTTGTGGTAATAATTGTGTAAATTGTGTTTGGGATGGTTATTTTAATGATTTGGAGGCATATAATTTATCAACCAACCACCACCAAGATGAAGATGAATCACTTTCAACTTCAAATCAAGATGAAGATCCAATGCAATACTTTATGAAAATGGAACGTCACTTTGCTTTTCAAAAAAAGAAAAATAATAAACAACAAAGAGACCCTCCTCCGTAACAAGAGAAAAAAGATCAAAGATCTTCTTTCATTATTATTTTTTTTCTCTCTTTATACACAATTAACTTCTTCTTTTTCTTCTTCTTTTAGTTATGTTACCAAAAAGAATAGAATCAATAATAATAGAATATAGTTGGAAAATTAGTTTATCAATTCAAAATGAAGATTTAATATTAGATGAAACGATGGTCTATTCAACAGTACCAAATCAAATCAACAAAAAATGGATAAAATCTTTACTTTTAATGTCAATGGTATCAAAGAGATGGTTTGAAGAGATTCAAAGATGGTTTAATTGTTTAGATCCGAGATGGGGGATGAATAGAGTTTTTAATCCTCTTGTAGACAATGTAAATCTTTTTCTCAAACATTTGCAGTCACCCTATTGTCTATACAAACAAATTGGTACTTTACAGATTGAATATCAAGAAGTAGAATATGGTTTTGATTCATATACAATTGAAAAGGTTGCAAGATCAATTAATAAGAAATTATTTAATCAACCTTGTAGTTTATATATTCAATGGTTAGAGAAAATGATAAATCAAATCATTCAAAAAAAAGATAAAGATAAAGATAAATCAACAACAACAACTATTAATAATTTATTAATGATGATTGGAGGCATTTCAAGAATATTATTAATACCAACTTTTAAAAGACCAAAATTTAATCAAATTTATAAAATCTTATTATATATTCAATTTTTTAAATCTTTTCTTCATCATCAACAAATCAATCAATCCTCTTCTACTTTTTCTTTTAAATTAAATAATATAAATATATATTATGATCATTTATTAGATTTAAATGAATTTAAAGAATATCAACAATTTATAAAACAACCAAATATAAAAAATCAAAAAGAAATATTGGAAATGATTGGAAATGATCAATTAATTGGTGAATCTATTGTATCTGGAAATATTATTGGAGAAAATATACCATTTGGTTTAAATATATTTCAAAATGTGGAGTGTCTTTGGATATTTAGATATCTTTATCAAATATCAGATGCGGTGCCAATGCCATCAATTAAATATCTTGGTTTATTTGAAATAATGGCAGCTCATATTGGACATTTGGATCGTGTATTTCCAAATCTGACAAGAATAGACATACTTGCTTTTCATTTTAATTCAATGAATGAATTTTTAAATTATCTAGAAAACAATAATACAATGACAGATTTATCACATACAAGTTTAGAATATCGTATACCAAATTCAATAGAATCAACAAAGATTAACAAATTACTTTTGGAAAAAACAAATATTATAAAATGGAAATTGGATTTTAAATTACAGAATGAATCAATGGTTGCATATGAAGAAAGATTACCAATCAAGGTTGGAGAATTGGCAATTCATGAAAAAATTAAATCACTACATATTTTAAATGGTTTTCCATCAAATATTTTAATGATTTGTAGAAATTTAACAACTATTATTATAGAAGATATTGTTAATCCACATGTACAAGTTTTAAAGATATTACAAAATAATGAAACTATATTTTTAAAAAATATAATAATAGAATCTGCAGCATTGGATTTATCATGGGATGATGAATTTTTCAATCCCTATTATCAAGCCATTCAAAAAAAAAGTCAAACATTATCTATATTTATTTATAAAACCTATAAATTAAATGGTGAAATACCAAGATTAGATCAATTACCAATATTATCAAATAGATTAACAAATCATATATCATCATTTTTAAATCAATCATTTTCAATTGATCTAAGTAATAGATGTCAAAATTTAAAACTATTTAATCATTCAATAGAATATTAAAATAAAAATAAAAATACTTTTAATTTAATATGCAAGCTTTTTCAGCCCGCTTTTTTAGTTAAGCGCGCTTTTAGCTCGAGCTTTTTAACATGTGCTTTCATAGAAAAGGATGAATATGTAAGTAACCCTAACAAAAGTGTAGATTGAACGATATGTTGAAATTAATAAACATGGGGTCCTTTTTTCTATGTCTTCCCTCTAGAAAAAAGGAACTGCTAGAGTAACACAATTAAATATTTAAAATTCATTTGTTTTTCTTTCTCTATTATTTTAGGTAAAGGAAACCAATATTAGTCGAAATTATCTGATGAACAAATGGATGGTATTCTTGTCAAAATGATATTTCAGAGGGATCCAACCAACAAATACAAAGGTGTCAATTATTTTGGACAAATACGTACGTATTGTTTATTATTATTAAAAATAATATTGAACTTTATTTTCTCCTAAATATTGACAATAAATTTGTACAGCATGAAGGAATACATCTCAAAAACAAAAAAAAAGAACTGCCGCTTCTAAAACAATGGGAAAAAGCTATATATATATGACAGCCATATATTAATTTATTTCTTCATTATCTATTCAACTCATCGCCCATCTCCTTTAACTCGTTGTTGGCCATTCTATTCCAATCATTCCTAATTGTTCACCAACCAAACATCACGCAACATTTATCATTTGTTTTATTTGGTGGTTAACTTTGCATATCATTGACCTCTTGTGCTCATTCATATATTTATAATCCTTTGGTCCAAATTAAATACAATTACCCATTCACCAAGCTACTCCCCTCTATTTTATGTTTATTGTATTCTAATACTCTTTTTCTAGGATCTTGATAGTATTTTTATATGTTTTAACCATTTTTTTTAATTTCTATATTTATTTATAATTATCTTTAAAAAGAGATGGATTAGAAAAAGCAGATAAAGAGTATTTATTAAAACAAGAATTGTATAATTTATACAAGATACCTAAAAGAGAATCATTTATTAATATGCCTCAATAAATGAGCTTTTGTTACTTTAAACAGCAAGCAGATTTATTATTTTTACCAGATGATAATGGATTCAAGTATGCATTGGTAGTTGTAGATTTAGCAAGTAGATTGACAGAACCATTTCAAAATAAAACAGCAAAAGAGGTAAGAGATGAATTTATCAAGATTTATAAAAGAGGAGTACTAAAACAACCAAATATTATTCAAATGGATCCAGGTACAGAGTTTAAAGGTGCAACAAAACAATACTTTGAACAAAACGATGTTATAATTAGATATGGAGTGGTTGAAACCATCTTTTCCTCTTCTTTATAAAGTTAATGTTTCAGATATATGGTATACCAAGAATCAAATTCAAGTTGTAGACAAGGATGAACAAAAACCTTGACCAAGTATTGTTGTCAGAGGAAAACCAACATACAAAGTTTTACAAATACATCAAAAAGATAAATCAAGTGGCAAAGTCTATTACCACGTTGAATGGGTTGATTATCCAGATAAAAAAGAACGATTGAAGATGTTCCTGATATGGTTAAAAGGTATGAATCATTGAACAAATAAATATAATAATTATTTTATTTATTTTTTATTCTTTTTAGGATTCTTTATAATATCCATTACAAAAATAAATCAAAAAATAGATGTATATTTTATTTATCACCTAGGATTGATGAATTCGGTGTCAAGAATAGTCATGCAATATCATTCCTAAACGTTTGAATGTATAGTCTGGCATTACTAAACGAGTAGTAATATGTACCTTGCATACCCAACCATTCATCATTAACGATTCTACGTCACACCCATGACATCATGGTCAGGTGACATCGTTCACTCAAGAGATCACAGTCTAGGTGCCCTTTCATTAACACGACGATGGTATGAGACATAATCATTGTCGAGAGCCAATATGGCTACATATGATAAATTCTAATCACACTCTTTTAATTATAGATTACATTTGTGGAGATGGAGTAGATTAGGTTGTTGTCAGTAGTGGAATGACCAACCAGCGTGTCACGAGATAACCTACAATCAGTTACGATTGCCTCCCAAAGGACAATTCAAAGTAACGAATCTGCGCACCCAGTACAATGGTATTTGTCTGGTGTAATGACATCACGAGGTAACTCTGTTACGTGTTCTCGCTGTCCATTTCGTATGCAACATGTTCAATGATTATCCACTTACTTTTAATCTAGATTCAACTCGTGCCATATCAATGTTGTGGCTAGGTAAAGATAATATGAATTTATTATTCCACCCGACAGCGCCAACGCTTCTGAGAGAGATTACGCAATCCGCCACAACGTACAAAACAAATCTCGGAATAGTCAACCAAGGTCAAGAACGGTTCCCAGACCTATACAAAAAAAAAGGGTCCAAAGGTTTTTGTCAAGGTAAACTGGTGCACTACGTACATCACAACGCCATGTAGATGAAACAAGATAAAAATGACATAACAGATAATGTAGTAGATGGTGTAACTTTGTTGGATGCAATAATGATTTAACAAAAATCACAACAACAATAATAATAATCATTATTATCAACAACAAGAAAATGCAATCATCCACACCAACACACAATTAAATCTACCATAATTCTAATTAAAAATAAATCGTAATCGTACGATGTTCATTCAATAATCCAAAGGGGTTAGGGTTAGGGTAAGGGATTATTTAAATTAATATTTATTTATTTATTTATTTATTTATTTATTTATTTATTTAATTATTTTAAATAAAATCAGGACATTGTTTAATAACTGATTGAATTTGTTCTGATAATTGATTAAATTGAGGAAAAATTAGGTCATTTAAATATGTTTTCCATTTTCTTGTCAATTCTCTTTCTTTGTCTCCACCCTTTTGATCCAATTCAGTTATAGCTTTTTGAATATTTGGTAAAATTAAATAATCTCTATTTATATCAAATCGATTATTTAATATGATTAAATTGTATAAATGATCCAAAATTTCATAGTTGATTAAAAATTTTCCATTTTGAATTTCAATCTTTATCAAATTGATTGCTTTTTCCATTTCCATTTCTATAATTTCCTTTTCATTTGAAAATCTAATTAAAAGTAGAGTAGATTCCATCCAACATTTTGATTTACTTGATTTTTCACCCAAAAGATAATCTAAAACATCTTTTGCAAATGGTGGTACCTCTAATGATGATTCCTCTTTTCTTTCATTTGCCATTAATTTTGCCAATTTACAAAGAATTTCAGAAGTTTTTTCAGATGTTGTAAAATCTTGCATTGTTTTTACAACAAATTTTGCATTATATTTTTCTAGTACATTATCAAATGATAATAATTTAGACAAAATACGAAAATACATTGATCTTGTTTCTCTAACATGTTCATTACGTATATTACCAACTGCACTATCTACCAAGTTTGTTTCTTTGATTGCAAGTGACAATTGGTCACGATCACAATTGGATAAAACCACCATATAGGCGTCTTCTACATTTGAAAAATCCTCATGATATCCATCATAATCATCATCTTTTAATCTATAACCTTTGTATTTGACTTCATCCAATTCTGATACTCTATCATCAACAAATCTATCCATCGATTGGAATATTTTCTTTATATTTGTAGCATTCATTGTTGGATTTGCCATTCTTTGAATAATATTTAATACAGTTTGTTTGACTCGGGGTACATCTTGATTTAATAAAATTCCACATAATATTTCTAACCATCTCTCCATATTTTGATTATTATAAAGATTACCAAAGATTTGAATTGCACAAAGACGAATATGAGAAAAACGATCACTTGGTTGATATGATTCTCCAATGAAAATTCGATAGTAAAAATAGCCTCCAATAGTATTGACTATTTTATGATGATATGGAGCAAGATTAAAACGATCAATTAAATTTGAGAGACATTTTAAATATTTGTAAACATTGTCTGGTCCCAAAGAATCTTTATCCAATTCCAAAACTAACAATCTTGTCAGTGTTGGAATAAATGGTTCAATATTTATAATATTGATCAACTCTATTAAATTTAATCCAATACTATTCTTTTTATGAATAATTTGAACCATTGTATGATAAAATTGCTTTGATACTCTTTTTTTTTCAAAATCTGTCAACTTTAAATCTTTTAAAGTTTCAATTGAAAATGTTATCATTTCATTTGATCCATTTGATATTAATAAAATTAATATATTTATAATTTCTAATTTATACTAAAAAATAAATAAAAATTAATATAAAATAATATATTATATTTATATTTTTTTTTTCTTTCTTACCAATTCAAAATTATTTGTAATTTTTTTAAATTGATTAAAATTATCTATAACTTTTTTAAAAAATTTTTACCTTGATTTAAATTTTCAAAAATAATTTTAAATAATTTTAAAATATATAAATTTGATTGTTGTGATTTGATTAATGGATCAAAAAAACGTTTTGTAAAGATTGATTCAATAATATCTATTGCCCATTGTTTCTTTTCTACTTTTTTTTCTCTTTTTTCTTCTTTAAATAATGATTCTAAATTATCTATTATAGAATTGAATTGAATTGAATAATCTATTGATGTTGTACTATTACTAATTAATTTAATGGTTGCAGTTTTTACTATTTGATTTGAATCTATTAATCCTTTTGAAATGATTTGATTATATAATATTTTGTTTTCAATGATTTGTTTACCAAAATTGGTTGGTAATAAATCTTTTAATATTAAATATTTTAATTCTCTTGCTTGATCTGTATAAATTATATTTGTTGTAGTTATAAAATCATTCAATTCTTTCCATTGTTGTTGTAAAGAGGTTGAAATTGAATTGATCAATTGAATGATTAAATCTCGATGTTGAGTTGATTTGATATCAAAATTGGTTGTTGTAGTAATGTATTGAATGATTGATTGTAATAGAGCCAATCGAACGTCTGGTGGTAGTAATGTCCAAACTGATGTTTCATTGGGTATAAAGTATTTACAAATTAAATTGATCGATTCAATTTGAACAGTTGGTAAACTTTTAACTAGTAGATACAATAACCATCTCATTGATTGAATGGTATTATCTGTTCTTTGACTATCTAATTTTAGTTTACTTTCATCAGCAGCGGTAGTAGTAGTAGTATCTTTTGTTGCTTTCTTTCCTTTAGTTTTTCCTTTTGGTTGTAATGAACAAACCAATTCTACAAATTCTATTGTTGGTTCTTCCATTACAAATCTTTGTAAATATTATACATATTAAATGTGAAAAAGAGAAATGATTTCATTCATAGAGTGAGGGATGATCAAAGATGGGGTTGAAAAAAAAAAAAATTTATTTTTTAATTTTACTTTGATTGTTGTTGTTGAATATCAGAAAGAAGGATTGAACAAAGTTCATGGGAAACGATGAAATGGGGGTCATTGTCTATTTCAATGCGATTGACTGGTATAGCACGACCTAGCATTTTCAATTCTTGTTGGTCGTTTGGTGGCAAGATCGAAATGAATTTAGCTGGTATACCTGCCTTTTTGATCAAATCGATCCCTGGAATACCCAACAACTTACAGATTTTGCCACTGTCAAGTACATCTTGAAGTGCTTTCTTTGAAGTGCCATAGTAGACTCCACCTTCATTGACATACTCTACAAAAAAGTACCAACAATCTTTATTGGACAAGTCGATCACTAGACAAGAATCTAAATTAATAAATCAATAATATATAAATAATCTTTAATACTTTTTATTGTATAAAGAATCTTTTTATCAAACTGTTAATAATAATAAAGACAGATAGGTTGGAGGATCTGATTTTTTTTTTATTTATTTTTTTGCATCTCTTTGCCGACGTGTTTTGATTCGGTGAAGTCGTGAGGGTTTGATGAAGTGTCTAGAGTATTATTTATTAAGCTTTAGAGTAAAGTAATGATTTGATATGTAGTAATGATGGATATTTAGATTTGAAATTTTTTTATTTTCGCAACTATACAAAAATCATTACAAAAATAATTGAATAGTATTAGAGTAGGTAGTTGTTGTTTCTAGCGTCTGATTTTTTGAAAAATGAGTGGCACGGTTTTTATGAGGGGGAGGTCGGTGGGTGACTGACCGACAAATGTCTCATAGTAAAATGTGTGAGGGGAGCTAACAAAAAGGTTGCCCTCCATTCATTTTGAATCATTATATTCTATTCATGACAGAGAGAAAGTTTAAAGAGATATTATTGGTGCTATTATCCCACAGAGAACAACCAAGGTATTTTAGTATTCTTCTATCTTTTCCTTTACAAATTATATAACTAGTGAATATTAATCTTTTTTTTTCTCAAAATTGCTAATTAATTGTATTTGTTTATTTACTCTTTTATAGAGACAGAAGTAAAGAAAAGATCACAAGAATGGTTAAAGAACAAAGGTGGATGCTATAGAGCAGCTCATCCACGAGAAAAAGAAAAAGTTAATTAATTGATGATGGATAGTTTAGTTGTATGTATCAACAATCACGATGATATTGGATGTGATCAATTTTTGTCATATACTGATATCCATTTTTGGTACAAGCCATTCTTTTCCATACACGATAGTTCCTAGAGAGAGAGTGAGACTGTATTATAAAGATACATTTATTCGATCATATTCCAAAACTTGAACTCTTTTGTGTCTGAAAATAGTCAACATTCTGTCAGATAGACTTCACTACATCCGATCTAGTTTCATTCTTACTCTGCACTGTGTCCAAGTCTTCAGTGACCTTGAATCAACTCATGCGACCATCCAAGCCTCCCAAAGAGGGAGCAAAAAAATGTATGTATATTTTATTTATCACCTGACTCCGCCTGATATACGATAGAGGATCAATTTCTCATACACACAAGTGATCTATAGTACATCTATATATTATTTATCACCTGACACCACCTGATACTTGAACTTCTTTAATTGTTTGAGTATCAGCTGGTGTCAGGTGATAGACAAGATCAGCTGACAGGGTAAACGAGTCGAAAATGAGGATAGACCAGGGATTTTCGGAAGTTCAACATCAAAAAATTGGGCTTGTAGCTCAGATGGTAGAGCGCTCCGTTTGCATTCATCCCAGACTTGGGTGAGGCATGTGGATCGATACCCCACTGGTCCAAAGCTTTTGATCTATGCATGTTTGCTGCATGGCAATCGTTTCCGGAACCCTCCTATGTGTGTCTGGTCATCAAGGATCTCATTTTGGGTACTTTGTGGTTGCTTCCATCCATGCCATCGGGGTCTTTGTGACTTTTTTTTGTCATGAATGAATCTTTTTGCAAAAAAATCTCTTCAAGCACCATTGGGGTATCGGCCTCCATGCCTCACCGAAGTCTGGGATGAATGCAAACGAACATCACATCTTTAAATTCATTCAACTCTCATTATCAACATCACAAATCATTTCATTTAATAAACGTACTAGTAAATCTAGATCTAGTATCAACTGAAATAGGATATTTTAATTGTAAAAAGTCAACAATCAGTGGCTTCAAGTTGTACAGGATCAGCTTAATGTTTATAAATGTAACTCAAACATTGGTGTTTGGCATGTATTAAGAATGTTTAATCATCAATTCTCTTGGCGAACCAGGACAACAACAACAGGTGATTGATTGACAACAAATGGTTGAATTGATACCAACTATAAGCAGATTGAAAACAACAAGTAGTCTACACAAAGACCCATTCTCTTGGACAATCTTGATCAGTGATCACCTGCAAATCACTTATTTTTTTTGTAAGTATTTTTCACCTCCTTACAATATGTTAGAAGATCTCTCTTATTTTTCATTATCTCTTATTGTACTCGTATGTAGGCCTAACTAATGAATGAAACATGGTGAGGACATCAACCCACCAACGAGAAATGGAAATGTCTGCTCAATGTCAAAAGATCTTCACAACTCACACACATCAACACCAACATCAAGAGGTACAGACACGCTGGTATTGAGAAGCACATCTAGTTCTATCACAAAGATCCAAAGGAACAGAGAAAGGCAAAGGGCTAGCTGGTCGAGGCTGACCACAAGGAGCCAGAAAATCATGTCACAGCAACCCGACGAATCTATTCAGCGCAACCCATCTGGTGGTCTCTTTACTCCAACACCTCAGGCAGCCAATGCGTGCCAAGGGTCTCTACGACTACGTGTCATCCCGAAAATCACGTGACACTGAGCTCAACTTTAAAGGAGGGTGACATTCCCAATACCACCGAACAAGGCGCTTCAGGTTGGTGATCTACAGCAACAACAATCCCTCTCCTCTCTGGTAAGAAAATGGTTGTGTGTTGTAAACAAACTTTTCTTTTTTTTTATGTCTAAATTTGTTTAAAATAATCATAATCTTTCCAAATCAAATCAACCAATCATAATAATCAATCATAATAATACACTAAACCACAAACAAAACAAAACCAACTTCCACCCCTAAATAATAGTGCCTCCAATGATACTTTTCCTTTGGATAGTTTGTCGAATCGAAAGAGTTTCCAGGACCCTTGCCACTCGTGATCTCACCAGTCCAACATTTGACACGGGATTCATCAAGCAGGTGGAGATCTATCATTGAGGGCCACCATGAACAAAGAATCCATTATTTGGTGACTGCTCATAGAGTCAGAGAACTAGGTAGAAGGACCCACTCGCCCAATATGGTGTGATTATAGTTATCCTACTCTTGTCGGAAGGAGTCAAAAATGATGTTGTAGAAAAGTTCCTTTGTCGAATTCAAATCGCTAGACACCAACATTAAGCCCCTCATCATCTCAAAGATTCTACACGAACAACAAAAATTCACGGATCCAACCATCTCATTGATGCTCAAAGTAAATCATTATGAAACTCGTCGACTACAGTCTATGTAATTTTCAGTGATTGCATCAGACATGAAGAGACTCACGACCGATGAACACCAATTGCCTATTACCACAAAATGAATATGATCAAGATAATGACAATGACGATATCCTATCCAAACCCAACAAAGATATTACACTTTTATGAAATCTAATAGAGGAAAATTTGAAGATGGCATTGTCAGTTTGACCAAGAAAAAATATATGTGGTGTTGGTTGGTAATATTCTGCTCCTCGGTCATACCATTTGGTGAATTGGAATTAAACTATTAAGGAGCGATGTCAACTTGTTCAAAACTATTGTTTTGTGTGTAGTGCACAAATATATGTACACCTGGGCGTGTAACTCATGGAATGAATAGATACTAGAAAATAGCTCATTTTTGTACTGTGATTTTAATAAATGAATAGACATGTATTCTAAATAAAAGTAATTAAATTTATTTATATTTTTTCTATTAATACACTAACAGTAAAACCAGCAAAAAAAAACGTTTAGCATGATTACGATTCACTATATCTGTCTTGGTCGAACCTATATCCATTATGATGAAAACAGATGCTAATGATATGTCTTTGGTCAGAGACAATACAATGTACTCGTGGAGCAACTGGTATCAAAAAAATATAAATAAATTTAAATATATTTGTATTTAATGATAATTTTTAAAATAGTTTATACTTGTTTGACTCTCTTGATGGGTAGATAGCTCTTCTTGCATGAATCATCAGTTGGTAGGAGGATAGGCTTTGTCGAAATGTTCCGATAGATTATTATTGTTCCGATGTTTTGTCCAGAATGGTATATTCATAGGTTTTGAGCTATGGGAAGTCATAGTTAGCAAGTGGCCCAAATCCATTATTATTCTGGAGATTAAGAAAGATTAAAGTTAGTTTTAAATAGAAATGATGAAGATAATAAAGATTTAAATGTACAACGGTGAGCCGAGATAGATATTCAACACAAAAACCAAAAGAGAAAAAATGTCGATGGAGGAGACAGATTGCTGGACAATGACGATGGAGGTAATAGTAAAGAGCTAGCTGGAAGTGTATGAGATTAATTGTTGGAATAATTATTAAGATTGTTAGAGGGTTGATGGTGTGAACAAGAAATTGGACAAGAGATAAAGGTGATAACTGTAAACAAATAATAATCGTGGTGTTTAAAAAATGATTACCTTTAATAATAAAAAGAAGGGAATGACTCTTGTAATCAGAGATAAAGGGTATGGCAGGTTGCCAAACGTTTGGGTTCTGGGAGGCTGCGTGAATGGCCTCGTCAAACGCCTCTCTCAGTGACTGAGCGAAAACGTCTGGCGCAAGCGTGTATACGACGGCCATGTCGCGTCTGTATTGCATAGCGTATGTTGCAAAACGTAGATCAGACACTGTTGGATGGCCCGACAGTGCCTCTCGTGGAGCAGCAACGCATACGTGTCCCCATGATGGAGTGATGGCTCGAAATGGTATCCGATACAAACACTGGAGTGATAGGACATGTAAAGGGTGTTGTCATCAATCTGCCGCAGTAGGATCTTGGTCGACGCGTTGTGACAAAGATTGAGAGCCAATTGTTCAATATAGACAGTGTTTGACCGCATACTCGTAATTAAACGCGACCGCTGACTAGAGCAACTTGTCCAACAACCCGATGATTGACGATGATATTGATGGCAACTATCTGTATAGTCGACGGTACAACTCCACCAAGACTAGTACTTGAATGTTAATCGAGAATTGGTCTGAATCACATATATTATTGTTGTTGCTATTATTGTACATTGAGGAGGTTGATCAAAAGAAGTCTACGATTGAATGATAAAGATTGTTTTCTAGGTGGCACGGATTTTGGTGATAGTTATTGTTTGTTGCTGCAGGTTGTGATTGTATCGGTCGGTGACAATATTACAGATGCGGCCTTGCCCAAATTGATTGGGTAGTTGGTATTGTTGAAGGTTGTTGAAGGTATTGCAGATTGGTACAGACATTCACTCCACAAGAAGATGTGTGGAATTGAAAATGAATAAACTGTTCTGACGAAACATGAATTACATTTGGAATGTCATCGATATCATAAAGTTAGACTTAGATCACTTTCTACAATGCTTACATGGTTTCTCCATTCAATGTTGTAAATCAATTGGGTTAACTTGTAATGAATTTGACATGTATTTATTTTTTTATGAACATCAAAAATGGTTCTGAAAAAAAAAAAAAAAAAATGAAATCCGATGGAATTTTTTTTTGTCACGAATCATTTTGGAACCACACAATAAAAAGTCACAAAGACACAGGTCGGGAAGCAACCACAAAGTACTCAAAATGAGATCCTTGATGACCAGATAGGAGGGTTCCGGAAGCGATTGGCATGCAGCAAACATGCATAGATCAAAAGCTTTGGACCAGTGGGGTATCGATCCCCATGCCTCACCGAAGTCTGGGATGAATGCAAACGGAGCGCTCTACCATCTGAGCTACAAGCCCAATTTTTTGATGTTGAACTTCCGAAAATCCCTGGTCTATCCTCATTTTCGACTCGTTTACCCTGTCAGCTGATCTTGTCTATCACCTGACACCAGCTGATACTCAAACAATTAAAGAAGTTCAAGTATCAGGTGGTGTCAGGTGATAAATAATATATAGATATAAATAATACATACATCTGTTTAGAACCTCTTCGTATGATGGCAAGCTTGGATGATCAACCATCTATTCACTCACTGGTATTGGTGGACTTGAAGAGGTGGAGCAATTATCAAATGTAGAGGCCATCATGACAACCAGACATAAGGCAAAACCAAACAAAGAGACCACATGTCTCTCAAGCATAAGGAATATCTACCATGTATTGGACAGAGTGAAACAAAGATTGAGGTTGCCGTGTACATCTTGTCTTGCAAACATTCCAAGTGACAATGCTCTTGGTATAGATATCTATGATCGATATGTGAATGTTACAAGTCAGTATTGACATGAATTTGAAGGCAGACAAAGAAAAAAAGAATAGTTCTGAATTTTAAATGTATAATATAGTGGAATGTTAGACAAGTGCCAAAAATGATAATGGTGTACATCCAATCATCTTTTTACTGATACATACAACTAAACTATCCTATGGTTCTACAATTTTTGAGTTCTTTTTATCTTTTCTTTTCTTTTCTTTTCTGTCATATAAAATTGAATTAATATATTAAATAAATGATACAGGCAATGAATAGTAATAAATAAATAGGTTATGCAACATATTAATTTGTAAAGAGAAAGATCGAAGCTTTTGTTTGTATAAAATTACCTATTACTTTGGTGCACTCTCTTTTAACTTTATCTCTGTCTGGAATAGAATATAATGATTCAAAATGAATGGAGGGCAACCTTTTTGTTAGCTCCCCTCACACATTTTACTATGAGACATTTGTCGGTCAGTCACCCACCCACCTCCCCTCATAAAAACCGTGCCACTCATTTTCAAAAAATCAGACACTAGAAACAACAACTACATACTCTAATACTATTCAAATATTTTTAGATATTTAGATTTGTAATTTTTTTATTTTCACAACTATACAAAAATCATCAAAATTCATCATTACTATAGATATCAAACTATTACTTTTCTCTAAAGCTTAATAAATAATACTCGAACATCAAAAATAAAAATCTCGACCACTCACAAGTTCACCGAATCAAAACACTTCGGCGGCAAAGATCCCAACATGTTCACCTCTTTCAGCCTATTAGAATCGACGAGATCTGAGACGCAAAAAAAATAAATAAAAAAAAATGATCATCCAACTTCTCTATCTCTCTGTTTAGTTTGATAAAAAGATTCTTAATACAATAAAAAGTATTTGGGATTTTTTATATATTATTGATTTATCAATTTAGATTCTGGAGACTAAGAAAGATTAAAGTTAGTTTTATAATATTATAGAAATGATGATTTTGTTGGTAATCTCAATCTTTGTGTTGCCATCTACAACTCCTGCGCCTAGTATGTGTCCTAACACTACCAGTGTTTGTATCGGATACCATTTCCACCGTTCACTCCATCATAGAGGACACATGCTCCGAGAGGCATTTGATGCCGCCATTCACCTTGCGTTTGGCAACCTCCAAAATATATTGTTCCAAGGATATATTAATAAATTAATAAAGGGGTTAAAAATACGCTAGTTGGTTGTACTAAATATTTATATAATTATATTTATATTTATTTATTTATTTATTTTTAAAATACAAGTTGATTGGCTATTTGTTAATAGTTATTGTTGGTGGAAATTGTTCTATGGTTGATTGGTGGAGTATATACAATAGGATTGGGGTTTCTAAATTGATTTGAAAGTCTGGCAAGTCTTGTTTGATTGTATGTGAGAGGTTGTGCTGGTTTAGACACAGCAGAGGATGGTGAAGGACTCTTGTTTATCTTGTTGATAGGATTGTTTGATACAATTTGTTGTGGTTGATGAGATTTGAGTGTAGAGGATGGTGATGATGGAGAAATGGGGCTGAGGACACGAGAGTGGGTTGTAATTATATTCTGCTTTACACTTGGAGGTTGACGTGTGGATGATGGAGAATTTACACACTTGGATGGTTGTGGTTGAATAGGTGCAGACTGCTCCTTGACCAACGATGATGATGATGATGATGGTACATATTCGTAGACACGATTAGGAACTACATATATATTCCTGGGTTGTTGTTTAGGTTGTTGTTGTTGTTGATGAGATTTGAGTGTAGAGGACGATGATGGAGAAATGGGACTGAGGACACGAGAGTGGGTTGTAATTATATTTGGAGGTTGACGGGTGGATGATGGAGAATTTACACACTTGGATGGTTGTGGTTGAATAGGCGCAGATTGTTCCTCGACCAACGATGATGATGATGATGGTACATATTCGTAGATACGATTAGGAACTGCATATATATTCTTGTGTTGCTGTTTAGGTTGTTGTTGTTGTTGTTGTGGTTGATGAGATTTGGGTGTAGAGGAGCCGAGTACACGAGAGTGGGTTGTAATTATATTTGGTTGTGGTTGAATAGGTGCAGACTGCACCTTGACCAATGATGATGATGATGATGATGATGATGATGATGATGATGATGATGATGATGATGATGATGATGATGATGATGATGATCGTAGATATTGGTAGACACGATTAGGAACTGCATATATATTCTTGGGTTGTTGTTGTTGTTGTTGTTGAATCTTTTGCAAAAGATTATCCTTTAGTGGACTTGCAGCAAAACCTTGAACTATTTTGAGCACCTCGGACGGTTCATAAACCCTTTCGCTCGATTGAAAGATTTTTAAGGTAAACTGGTCATCTAGATCTGGCATTTCTTGGTCGACTGAAATAGGTTCGGCTGGTACTGGTTTGACAGGCTTTACAGTCTTGGGCTTGGCGACTACGACGGATTTGGGCTTGGCGACTACGACGGCCTTGGGTTTGACAATCACGATATCATCCTCTTCTTCATCATCGTGATCGTAATGAGATGCCTTCATCACACTTGCACCCACCAAAGCCAAGATATCAGATTTAACCTCTAGATTATCGAGTGGATCACTTTCTTGGCCATCTACCTTGACAATTGGTTCCTTGACCTCTTTCTTTACCCTCTTTTTGGCTGGTACCAAGGCAATGGTGTTGGCAACGGCTTCAGATTTGATATTTGGTTGTTCCAACCAAGCGAGTCTATTCCTTTCTACAAGATTCCAGTCTGGATTGGGTGGCGCCTTGGATGGGTCAAATGTTTCTGAAAGAATACCCTGCTCTTTGCATTGGAAGCAATGAAGGAGGTAGTTGTACTTCAAGAGTGACCAGTTCCCGTTACCGGTATCTTTAGTCTTTGGTGGTTCTGATACTGGTATTGATTGATTGGTAACCATAGCAAACAAACACCACATTGTCCAACAAGTATGGCTTGGTTGAATCCAATCTCTCCAAACTAATGAGATCAAATCTGGGATCTCTTTGTCTGTCACCAGTAGAGGTATAGGTGGCAGAAGCAGTAGAAGTGGCGGCAGCAGCAGCGGCGGTGGCAGCAGCAGCAGCGGATTTAGCAGCAGCAGCGGTGGTAGCAGCAGTAGAGGTGGCAGAGGCAGTAGAGGTGGCGGCTGAAGCAGTGGAGGTGGTGGCAGCAGCAGCAGCAGCAGCGGCAGAGATGGCAGCGGCAGCAGCAGAGGTGGCGGCGGCAGCAGCAGTGGTGGCAACAGCAGCAGCAGAGGTGGCAGCGGCAGCAGCAGTAGAGGTGGAAGCAGCGGCAGCGGCAGAGATGGCAGCAGCAGCAGCAGAGGTGGCAGCGGCAGCAGCAGAGGTGGCAGCAGCAGCGGCGGCAGCACATTGGGATGGCAACTTTAACTTGGCACCAGAATAATAGCAACTTCCCTTGAGAAGGATCCAAAGTGCCATCAACAACCATGGGGTGAGATTGAATTGATCAGAATGTTCTGGGTGGTCAGCCATTCGTTGTTTTTGATGTGTACGGGCATTACGAATCATTGTTGTAAAATGCCTCATCAACTCGTCTTTGTTGACTGTAAGAAGATGTTGTAGTTCATCTGGTTGTAGTTGTTGTAGTTGCTTTGCATACTCGACTGCCTCCCTGTGCAGGTCCATAAAAGTCCATGGATACCACTTGACTGTGGTATTGAATTCTAGACACACGACGCGGACATTACCCTTGCGATATGATTCGTGGTCTCGAATACGGTCCAAGCTGGCTTGGCAATGACTTCTCCATTTGAGAGCAAGAGGAGCACCAGAGAGATCACATCTCGTTCCATTCTTGAGGATGATGCGATCCAAGTAGGCGTAATTGATATTGTAGGAACCCTTCTTGAAAATACCTTTCTTGACCCACCCAGCTGCTCTAAAACGTCCACCTTTGTCCATCACACGAGTAAAGTTTTCAGGTTTCAGTACCCATTTTTGTTATCTTTTCTTTTCTTCGTCACTATAGAAAAGAGAGATAGTAAATAATATAAAACAAAAATGAAAATGAATAGAAAGAGGTTAGAATTTGAAATTGAAAGGATCAATGATCATCACTTTTTGAAAAAAAAAAAAAAAAAAATATATATATATTAATTATTAAATAACATATGATATTTACAGGCACGGAACGCAACGTAACTTGGAGCGGGAAAAGTTGAAATGTTGTGGACCAGAGCGAATACAATCACGGCACTTTATGACTGGGGCACCAATAGTAGTTGAACTGGAGTGTAGCATAATCTTGAAACTGTTACTTTGGTCACTGGCTTGAGGGAACTAGAGAATAGAATAATTATGATTCAAAATGAATGGAAAGGTCCAGTTTTATAGCCTCCTCTCACAATTTTACTATGGCAGGTCTGTCGGTCAGTCACCTGCCGACTTCCCCTACCTCAAAAACCTGTCACCCAAGTTTTGAAAAATCTCACCCTTGAACCCTCCAAGACATTCTATAATACTCGACAACATATTCAAATGATTATATATATATTTAGATTTAGTCATTTTTTATTTTCACAACTATACCAAAATCATTAAAATCCATCATTACCATAGATCAAAAAATATTACTTTACTCTAAAACTATGTACTCTTTATAAAAAAAAATACTTGATATCAAGAACTTGATCACACCATCACTTCACCATCAACCATTCTTAAGTTCACCGAATCAAAAAACAACGTGGGTCACAGGTGCCAGCAAAGATCCCAATAAAAAAGATCATGTTCACCTCTTTCAGCCTATTAGGATGCACTCGATCCAAAAAAAATTAGATAATAAAAATCAAAAACTCCGACCTCTCTTAATAAAAAGATTCTTTATACAATAAGAAAAGTATATTGAGATTTATATTATATTATTTGTCTTTACCTTTTTCCAACTATTTTAGTCCAAACACTCCTACTGCAAATACAAATGAATAGTATGATTCAACTCTTGATCATCTAATTCCTCCAATTTTGATTTTAATTCTTACAAATTGTTATTGAAAGATTGTTTTAATTGTTGGTTACCAATTTGTGATAGATCAAGTGGTAATTGTTGTTATGTCAAATTATTATCTTTCCAAAGAAAGTACTTACATAATAATAATAGCACATCTAACCAACCATCATCGTGTTTTCTGATACATACAACTAAACTATCCTATCCTATCCTATCATCAATTAATCAACCTATTATTTGTATATATCTGTATCTCATCCAACTATGTGCACTGCTCATACTTTTGTATCTCCCTAAAAATATTAAATACATAGCATTCATCATAATAGCTCTTCATTCATTGTGTTTTGGTGAAAACAATTTAAATGTAGAAACTATCGACTTGTCGTACTTGGTCTGATCGGTTATGAGTTGGTCGGTCACGTAAAATTCTATCTCCTATCTATTGGAATAGACAGATACTATCTAAAGGAGTGACCATTGAAACGAGTCAGACATCCATTCCAACCATTGTCTGCATACCAAATCATATTATAATTTACTCTTAATCCTAGTAATCTAATAATCTTTGGTATCAAAAATGATTGAGTAGTATGATATCTGGTCCTTAAACAAAGACATTAAAAATAATAGTAGTAAAAAGTAAAGAGTGATATGCAAATAATACTTTTTAATAATAAATAACCAAAATAAATAATTTATTTAATCTGGAGTAACATCAAATTTTTGATTATTATTTTGAAACAATAGATTTTGATTTGGTAAAACTGGTACATTATTATATTGATTTTGATTATGATTTTGACTGTGATTTTGATTTAAAGTAAGATTAACCGCCTGTTTAACAAAAGTTTTTAAATACGTGACTTGTTGTTTCATTACTTGATTTTCGCTCTGCAATTTCTCGACCTTGGCCGTTGCCACATCATTATTTGATTGTAATGAATTTGCTTTAATCTCTAAATTGTTGATATATTCTTTTTGTCTTTGTCTAAATAGTTGAGCAGCTTCTCTATTTTTTAATAATCTTTTTTTCTTTTTTGATTCTTCTGGTAGATTGTCGTTATTATTATTATTATCACTATCAGTATCTGAAGAATGATCACTAAAATCGTCATCATCATCATCATCATCTTGATAATCTATAGGTTCAAAATCCTTGTCTGCTTTTTTTTTCTTTGCCGCCGCTGCTGTCACCTTTGCCTTTTGTTTAGTCTCTTTTTCTACTACTGTTGCAGGTTGTTTCTTTGACCTTGATCTTGTTGGTTTAACAGGTGCACCATTCTCATCCTTTTTAATCTCTTTTGACAATTCTACATGAATACCAAGTTCTGCAAGTTTATCTTTTTGTTTTTTATATTTTCTTGTTGGTGTTTTTGTTATTGCTTCAGACATCAGAAGAAGTAAAAGTAAAAGTATAGTAAAAGTATAATAATATATGAATGATGATGCGGTACAACGAAAAAAGACTTTTTTTATCAGAATAAACTTTGCGGGTTGGTTATTGTAAAAAACCCAATTAAAAATTTAATTTAAAAAAAAAAATTTTTTTTAAAAGGCTCTCTCATCACCAAAACTGTTGATTAGTAGTGCTGCTTCTTCTATTTTTTTATTAGATTAAAAAACTTGTATATATATATTTATTTTAAAAGAGAGATGACAACAATTAGTCTAACACCAGCAGAAAAGAAAACAATTGAAACCATTCTAACACAAAGAAATGAAGTTGGAAAGATAATATCAAAAGTTACAATATTGTCTCAAGACAAGAAAAAAAAACCAGAGGAAAAGATATTAATACTTGGTACCAATAGAATCTTTTTCTTTAAAGAAAAGGGTAAATTGGAGGAGGATTATCATTTATTGGATTGTATTGAAATCAATAGTCCATTGGAAAATGAAATATCAATCAAATTTAGAAATCAAAATTTGATCAAATTTACAACTATAGATACAGGTGATATTTTAAAAAATCTATATACCTCTATTGTTACTACTTTTCCTGGATTGGTCATTGGAAAAGCTTTAATTTTTACTGTTCTTCCTGAATCTAGATTAATTTCAATTTTTCAAAATGGTAAAAAAAAAGAAACAAAAAAAAGAAATCTTTTTTTCCTTTTTTATTTACCTCTTTTTCCTTAGCATCATTAGATAATCAAACAGGAGGATGTGGATCATTTTCATTAACATATAGATCAATTTGTGATTATATTGGAGCAGTACCACTGTCAAGTATTTTATGGGATGTAGAGAATCTGTTACCATTCAATTCTGTAAAAGAAATCAATGTAAATGAAATTTATGGATTGGGACCATTGGATTTAAAGGCAATCTTGATGTCATTATCTTACAATACCTATTTTCACAGTTTTGTTGCCAACAATTGTAAATTATCATCTGAAGATATCACTCATTTGGCAGATTCTCTCAAAACCAATACCTCTCTTCAAAAACTTTATCTTTCAAATATTCAAACTTCAAAAGAATCAATTATTAGTTTTCTAACTATACTTGCTGAAAACAAAATTATTAAAATTAATACTATTAATTTATCAAATAATATATTAGAGGTAAAAATAATAATAATAATTTAAATTTAAATTTATTTATTAATTTTTTATTTTTTTTCTACTCCTTAGTCAAAAGGAATAATAACATTGGGAGCAGCAATTCAATCATTTTCAACAGGATTAAGTTATTTAAATATTTCAGATACAAATGCAAGTGTAAAAGGACTGGAAGCATTATTTACATCATTATTACCAAGTTCAACTGCTTCAACATTGAATTATTTAAATATTTCAAATAACAAATTGGAACAACTTGGTACTGTTGCTTTATGTAAATTTTTAACAAAATCTACTCAATTGACAACGTTGATAATGTCCAATACATCGCCAGTATTTGGTCAACTTAGAACAACAAGTCCATCCATTGAAATATTGGATTTTTCTGGTAATCGTCCTTCAACATCAAAGGAAGGTATTGTAGAGTTGCTTAGTTTTTTCAAACAAATGCCAAAACTAAAAGAAATCAATCTTGCTCGTATTGGAATCACTGGTGATGATATTAAAATTCTCTTTTCACCTGCTACATCGTTGCCAAAATGTCCTCATGTCGATCTATCAGACAATGACCTTGGTGATGAAGGTATTTTAAAACTTTGTGAAGTCATGTATCCAAATTCTAATCTACGTCATCTTGCCATTGACAATAATTTCAAGAATCGTTCAAAACAACGTTCTCGTGCAATCGAAGCAATTTGTAATTTAATTGAAGATAATAATAATATCGAATCCCTCTCAATTGCAAATACCATAAATGGTAAAGGTTTAAAAACTGATCTAGTCCCTTTAATCCTAACTTTATTAAAAAATCAATCTTTATTAAAATTGGATATTAGGTAAGAAATGTAAAAATAATAATAATTAATATTATAAATTTTATTAATTTATTTTTTTTAATTTTAGTGGAAATTCATCAGGAGATGCAGGAGCATTAGCATTGGTTAAAGTATTATGGAGAAATGAAACATTGAGATCAATCAAGATTGATGGAAATGATTTTACATTTACAGCATACAAGATGATTAAAAATTCAATTAAAAGAAATCCAAAATCAATTACATTACTTTCAATGCCATTGGCAGATATTGGTTCAATGTTGGCATCAGACAAGGCAAATGGATCTGAAAAGATTCATAAAACTTTGGTTGAATTACAAAATAATATTACTAGTAACGGTACTATCGATCAAGCAACCAACTCCTCTTCCTCCTCTTCCTCCTCTACTGCAGTACCAAGGCCATCACCAAGAAAATTACCAGCTATTCCTCAAGCTGCTATTGGTAAACCATCACCTACACCAACATCAGTAGTTGGAGGTCCAACTATTAAACGACCAATTAGAGGTCCACTTTATCCAGGTAGATCAACTACCAATACTTTATCTTCTTCTTCATCTTCATCATCTTCTTCCTCCTCTATTGATATACCATCAATTGTATCAAGATCAGTAGATTTTTTAATTGCAAAAGGATTAAAATGTGTTGGATTATTTAGAACTTGTGCAAGTGCAGTTTTATTAAAGAAATTAAAAGCAAGATTTGAAGCTGGTGAAGATATTGATTTGGTGGCAGAAGGTATTGATCATGATACAGTTGCTGGTGTATTAAAGAGTTATTTTAGAGAATTACCAGTTCCTATATTCCAAGAATCTTTACATCCAAAATTCTTTCAAGCTTCTCAACTCGGTAGTTTGGCTGAAAAGGTAGCTGCCTATCGTGATATTATGGAAAATCACTTACAACCAAAAGAAAGTAAAATGGTTAAAAAACTTTTCCTATTACTCCACAAGGTTTCACTTGAAAAAGAAGAGAATATGATGTCTGCTGAAAATATTGCCATTTGTTGGGCACCAACTCTTTTTAGATCATTTGCTTCAGAACTATTACCAATCAATGCTTTTCTAATGGTTCATTATTTTGAAATTTTCGATCCTGAAAATGCTCCCAAAGTAAATATTCCAACTGTACCCATTTCTTCATCCTCTTCTTCACATAAATCATTAGGATCAAGTGGTGGAATTAAACGTCTCAGTGCAAATGTACCAGGTCAACGTCTTAGTTTGGGTAGTGCTGCTGGTACTCGTACAAGTGGAGGTTTATCATCTGAAAGATCTCTAGATTCCTCAGCAGATACCTCTAGTAATGGTAGTAGTAGTAGTGGTGACAATTCAACACCAAATCAATCACCACCTGGATCACCCATTTTGGATGGTCATGCTACACTTAAAAAACGATTCTCTCGTGTCTCTCGTATCTCTTATTCTCCCGTACTTCCTCGTGCTGCTTGGGGTGAATCATCAAGAACAATCTCTTCTCTTTTCCAAGAAGATGATTTACAATCAATTGATCAAAATTAAAAAATAAAAAAAAGTAAGAGTTTTTTGTAATTTTAAAATAGATTTATTTATTTACGGTTGTCTCAAATCCCGGTTTTAATATCAATTCAGTAGTCCTTAAATTTGATTCACCAAACTTTGCAAGTTGTCAAAAAAATAACTTTGATTTAAAAAAAACATAAAAAACAAAAGATCTCTTGAGAGAGATATTAAAAATTGTCAATATTTATATACTATCTCTTCGGTTTAATTTACAACCATTTATGAATAACACAACAACCAGAAGCAAAAAAACAAAGTCAACAGAATGCCCATCGTCGTCCAATGCAGGAACATACGAGTCCTCAGGTCCATCATCTGCTTTGTCAATGTCAGAACCTCTCTCAGCCGTATCAACAGCGAGCCACGTATCTTCTGAAAGAGCTGCTGTTGGTCAACCCGACGTTTCGCAAAGTTCAACAGAATCAGAAAGAATTATTGGCCGATGTGGAGAAACATGGTATTCAAATCAAACTTACAAAGATCATTGTGATTCTAAAGAATGTATATCATGTACAAAAGTAGAACCTGAATTGATGAAATGTCGTAATTGTCCAGTAACGATGACCAAGACTGATCTCAACAAACATCGAAAAGAATCACCGAATTGTTTCCTACCTGCTGCTAAACCAGCTGATGCAGAGAAAAGTACCACCGTCGTCGTCGATCCACCAGAAGAAATAAAACAGTTATTTGTTTCTCTTGCTGACCTCTTAAACTCGGACGAGGTAGACAAGGAGCAAGCATACAAAATGTTGGTTGATCCCCGTATCAAGATCTCCAGTGTCACAGAAGCATCTGGTCTCATTTCTACATGGTCAATGAAACAACTAGTGGCGCTCATAAAAACTACATGTGGTTTTGAGCAGCTTGAAAAATGTGACAGTGCCTATCGACTGACTTGTGCTGCTATCGATGCCATTTGCCCATTATTAGCAGTAAAGGAAAATGAATTCAATCAGTTGGGTGGCCCCTCTCTCATCGACCGATTGGTTAAATCTATACTCAATCTAGAAGTTCATTTTCGACTTGATAATCTGCTAATAAGACTTGATAAAATCAAGAATTCTAAACAGAAATCACCAAAGGCAGCTCGAAATAACAAAACACCAAAAGAAAACCAGATCAGTCCTAAAGAAGGAGAAAAAATAAGAAATGATAAAAAAGAGTTTATCAAGGACAAAGTAAAAAAGAAAAGAAAAGAGCCAGAGGATTTACTTATTGATGCCTTGAAAAGTATGCACATGGAATCAAAAAGTAAAGGAGCATATTCTGTATGGACAGAAGAGTGCTCTGCAGAAAGATTTCAAATCGACAAGGCCCTGTCGGTCCTTTTGCAAATCGGAGATAAACAAGGTCCTCCGATGTGCATCGGATGCTACTGTCCATTCACAAAAGATTACAAGCCCCTCAACTCACATGTAATCAGCCGGTGGTGGCAAGATGAAATTCAATTTAGAAATGGTCTCGTGGCAGCTAAATACACATCTGTGCATGATAATACATACGACACTATCACTTCCACAGTGAGGCATACCCTTCCAATGCTATGTAAAGAATGTGAGAATAGTTATGGCAACAAAGAAGGAGAGTTGGCAAAAAACAAATCAATTATTAAAGCTCTTCAAGTCATGAAAATATTTGGTCAAGTCTATGTCTCTGATGACACAACAATTGATGGGCAACCAACAAACAATTTTCCTGGTCAAGTCTCTCTTCCCCATATGACCTTGTTTCAGTTCTTAGTCCCAAATTTCATGCGTTTGATGGCACTCGAACTCTGGAAAAAGTGCGGCGACGATCCCTCAAAAGGTAAAGACTATTGGAACATCTTTGACCGAATCAGACTAGAAATGAAAGACTTGCTAAAATCTGGAGACTATAGATCCAACCAACAAAAAGAACTCTTTTTATATGTTATCCCCAATTCAGGAGACCTATTGGTTCGAACCAAAATGGGATTGAGACACGCTGGTTATTGGAGAGAGGAAAGCTTATCACATTGGAAGTTTTATCCATCTAGTACTCAATCCCCTGCCTTTATATGGTATAACCCTGGTCCGCTTGTTTGGATAGCCAGCATCACCAACATACCAGATCTTGGTCCTTTTCGTGTGCTACCCAATCGGGATCAAATAGACATTTCCCTGGAACCCACTGAAAACCCAATTGTCAAACGTATTCTATTCGATGTAGAAATAGAATCATTGCAAATACTCAACAGGGGAATCCGAGACTTGTCTAATAAGCAAGAAAATATCGAGGACTATTGGACTAAAATTAACCTTTACAGGGACCTTAAACAATGCAAAGATATTTTCAATCGTTCATTTCCTCTTGACCACCCATACAAAGAATGTTTATACCTTATGGCCAAAAACTATCAAGAAATAACCAAGGATCCAACAACAACGATTCCCTATCCCCTCCTACTTGACTCTCTACCCGATTTGTTGCCAACAAACATCATGAAACTCTTTTGTAATCTCATTATTAAAAGGTACGAAGGTCATTTAAATGTCGGTATATGGGAGCGTCTCCCAGTCACTGCGGCTAAAATTATCGGAATGGAACTTGAAAGTATGGAAAGATTGGAACAGACGGGCTTTATAATGAGAATACTTGGCAGTTGTGGTTTTCGATCACATATACTACGTCTATTGGATTACTTTATCCCGAAAATTATGTTTATTGTCCTCTCCAATGGTGAGGAATGCTATTCTCTTTCTGATTTCTGTCACAACCCCCAAGAATAAAAAGAAATCAAAATCTTTTTTTATTTTTCTTTTCTAAATGTATTTAAAATAAAATTTAAAATTTTAAATGAACCATATAAATAGGCAAGATTAAGATGATAATTTGTAATTGAACCATGTCTAGTTGAGAGAATAAATTTTTCAATATTATTATCTTTGATTATTTCCATGATTGAATAACTTGCACAATTATCCAAATGTTGATCTCTACGTTTTGATATTAAAGTTTCTGATAAATTCCTTGTATGATATAAACATTTACAATCTTTAAAAAATGATAAAATTGATCCAGTAGACATTTCTTTTTGTTGATTTATGATGATTGGTGAAATATAAATAGTATTTGAATTCCAATGTTTAAATTTTGAAAATTCAAATACACATTTTAAAAATTCCATTGTTTTCATTCTAACGATTTGATATGTATTATTCTCCTTTTCATCATTTAAATAATCCATACGATAAGACCATTCTATAATATCTATAAGAGTTTGATGAATTGGACCAAGTAAACATGGTGCACCAGTATAACCAGTAATAAATATAATTGGTAATACTTTTTTAAATATTTCCAAATTTAAATTTTTTGTTGAAACAAGTAGAGTACGTTTCCAATCTGTTACTTTTGGTCTAAATAAATTAATTATTGTTTCCAATATCTCTGTTGATTGACAATATGATAATATTTTACCAATATTATTTTTTTTGATTCTTTTACAAATTTTAAATTCTAAAAATAATTTCCAAATTGATTGATCTTGATGTGTCAATAATTTTGAAATAATATCAAGACTTTTAATCTTGATTATAATATTTCCAACTATTATTTTCTTTATCATTGTAATGTATAATTGAACAGAGTGGTTTTCATCTTGACCAATAACATAATCGAGAATGAATCGTTTTTTTGGTGAACCTAATCTATTTTGTTCTTGTTGTAATTGTAAAATACTCTCCAACATTTTAATTGAACCAATTTTTAAACAAATATTAAATGCATTTGAATAATTTATAAATCTATTTTCATCCTTGACCATAATAGTAAATTTTTTAATCATTTCAATATTATTATTTAATATGAATGAGCCAATTAATTTAAAAGAAGAAGAAATGTTCTTTTTTGAAACGATTTCTAATATTTCTATTGATTGTAATTTTGGATGAATTGATTTAACTATCCAACTATTATTTTTAAATTTAAATTTATCAATTATAAATTTTAAAATTGATAAATTTAATTCCAAGTTGGATGTTGATTTTGGATTTAAAGCTGAATTTAATGTATAATTATTTGGTTGAAGATTATTATTTTTAATGAATAAATAATTGATCATTTCCATGTTGCTATTCCAAATTGACCAATTTAAATGACCAGATGCAATAATACTATTTCCACGTTTTAATAAAATATAATCAATCACTTTTAGTTTTGAATATTTCATTGATTGAAATATTAAATCTTTCCAATTAATATTACAAATTCTATATTGCCACAATAATTCAATTGTTTGAATGATTTGTTTTTCATCACTCTCCATTTCAATTTCATTATATGGATTGAATGATTTAATTTGATTGATTATTGTTATTCTTATTGTTTCATATTTAAATATTAATTTTATAAATTTATGACTTGATTTTAAAGGTCTAAACATATTGATTGATAGTTGAAGTGATATTATAAATTTTATATATTCTATTAATTTTTTCATATTTAATCTATTTGTTGCTGAAATATCATTATTATTATTATTATTATTATAGATTCTATATTTATAATAATGATTTGATTTTAAAAGATTGTGTAAACTATTGTAATCTTTTTTAAAATAGTTTGTAATTAGGTAGTTTAGAATGGATGGGTCTGATGAAAGTCGAAATGCAGTTTCCCAAAGAAGTTTTAAACCAAATTGATTGACTAGATCTTTGATATCTTCATTTACCATTCTAATATCTAAACCTTTTCCACTATACATTGGGTCTTTTAAAAGATCTGCATATTTTAAAAATAGATCTGCTCTATCATACAATATGAATTGATATAATGACATTTCATCTTCCAATTCTTTACCACTTATTGGATTATATGCATAGTTGTAAAGTTTATCAACTGTTCTATTCTTTTGTTGTTGTTGTTGTTTAAGTAATCTTTTATGATTTTTTATAATACTATAATCAATTCTACATGCTAAATGTATCCATCTAATTGATTGAAATATCTTTTGTCTAATAAAAACATTATTTATAATTGATTTAAATAATTGATACTCCATCATTGTATATCTATCTAAAGAAAGAAAGAAAGAAAGATAGAGAGGTCTGAAAAGAAAGAAATGAACCCATTACTTACCAGGACCTCGGAAGTTTGTGGCTCCGCTACTTTTTTTTTTTTTTTCGCTATTCCGCGAGAAAGATCTTGGGACTCATCAAAAACCGTCGGAGTCATTTAATCACTGTTATTATTAATAGAGTGATGAAAGTATTAAATTAGAGATATAAATACATTATCATCATACATTTATATATTACAGAACGAAAAATGGGATTATTTGGAGGAAGCAGAAAACATGGTGGCATTTTTACATTTAATAAAGATGATGGTTATTTAGAAGCATTGTTGCGTGGTTTTAGAAAGGGTATTCTTTCTCATGTAGATTATACTAATCTTAGACAATGTGAAAATCTTGAAGGTAAGAAGAAACAACAGGAAGAACAAAAAGACAAAGAGAGATTTAGTAAAGTTTGAATTATTAATATCTTTTTTTGTATATATCTTCTATCTTATTTAGATATCAAGTTACATCTATCTCAGACAGATTATGGAGATTTCTTGTCTGGGGAACCAGCACCATTACAAACAGCAACGATAGAGGAAAAGGCAACTGCAAAAATGGTAGAAGAATTTAATCAAATTAGAAATCAAGCAGTTGAACCATTATCTACATTTTTAGATTACATTTGTTATGGTTATATGATTGACAATATCATTCTACTGATTACTGGTACATTACATGAAAGAGATGTATCTGAATTAATATCCAAGTGTCATCCACTTGGTATGTTCAAATCAATGGCCACTCTTTCTTTGGTTCGTAATACTACCGATCTTTACAATACGGTTCTTATCGATACTCCACTTGCCCCCTATATCCAAGGTTGTCTTCATGAAGAAGATCTAGATGTATTAAATATTGAAATCATTAGAAATACTCTAAACAAAGCTTACCTTGAAGATTTCTACGCCTATTGTAATGAATTGGGTGGTCAAACTAGTTTAATTATGAATGATATTTTAAAAGTAAAAAGAAATTAAAATAGAATATTTAAAATATGTACACTATTATTAACTTTTATTTTTATTTTATTTTTATTTTAGTTTGAAGCAGATAGAAGAGCAATTAATATAACAATTCATTCATTAAATTCAAATGAATTGAATAAAGATGATAGAGAAAAATTATTCCCAACGATTGGACAATTGTATCCAGAGGGAACCAGTAAATTGGCAAGATGTGAAGATATATCTCAGGTACGCCAAATCCTAGAGGTCTACTCAACCTTTAGAAACCTACTCAGTGAAGGTGTCGTCAGTGGTGATCTATCACTTGAAACTTCATTCCAAAAACATGAAGTACATCTTAATCGTATGGCTTTTGAAGATCAATATGGTTATGGTGTATTCTATGCCTACTTTAGATTAAGAGAACAAGAAATTAAAAATATTATTTGGATCTCTGAATGTATCCTTCAAAATATGAAATCAAAAATTGATCAATATGTTCCAATCTTTTAAAAGAAGAAACCCTTTTTAAAACAAAAAAAACAATATTAATATTAATAATACAATAAAAGGTATTTATTGTTATTTATAAATAAATCTAGAATAAACACCATCGTTTCCAAAACTGACCAACCGAGATGAAGTTGAGGAGGAGGTCAACAAAACGAATTTTTTTTTTAATTTTTTTTTTTTTTCGATTTTCGTTCCGTCTCCTCTCTCTTTTCTTTTTTTTGTTGTCGATTATTTTTATTTTAGTAGTTCTCTCTCTTTAAATTATTTAGTAGGATTTCTCCACCGTTAAACAGTCAACAATGAAAATTTTCAAGTATGAATAGAAATAATGTTTAGTATAGATTCTTTTTACTTACTTTCTTAATTTGCTTATATTACTTAATATTTTAGAGATATTTTGGGTTATTACAAGGACGAACTTTTCTCTGACGCCTTCCCAATCAAGGAAGTAAGCGACATTGTATACGAAGTCACCACCAAGATCGTCTCTAGAGATCTCAACGTCAAGGTTGATATCGGTGCCAACGACTCTGAAGAAGTTGAAGAAGGAGGTGAAGATACCGGTGTTGCTGATGCTGGTGTTGTCAAGGTCAACAACTTGGTCGACTCTCACCGTCTCCAAGTCACCAACTTTGACAAGAAGGGTTACCTCACCTACCTCAAGGGTTACATGAAGGAAATCGAAGTTTACCTCGCTGAAAACAATCCAGACCGTGTTGCTGCCTTCAAAAAGGGTGCTCAAGAGTATGCCAAGACCATCGTTGGTAACTTTGACAAGTACACTTTCTACCAAGGTGAAAACCTCGACGCCGAAGGTATGGTTGCCCTCTCTTACTTCTCCGAAGAAGATCCAAACGTCCAATACTTTATTTTCTGGAAGGATGGTGTTCGTGGTGAAAAGTATTAAACAAAAACTTATTACCAAGCAATATCATTTTTAAAAATAAAATATAAAATAGTTCTCTTTTGATCCTCTAAAAAAAAATATATACAAACAAATATATTTGTTTTAATTTTGAATCTTTGCTGTTGTGACAACTCAAAACAGAAGTTTTGTCTTTGTTACTTTTTATTCATTCATTCGTTCTTCTTTATCACATATTATATTATTATATCTCTTCATTAATGAAAAGACATTACGAGAAAGAGACAGATATTTATTTATTTTCTCTCTCAACCGATCGATAAGAAAAGAACAAAAAGAGAGAGAGAAAGGGAGAGAGAGCGATCATTAGTAGTAGTTAGTTTAGTATATTCTTTGTTTTATTCTTATTGGTGTAAACACAATGACAGAACTACCACCATTACAACAACAACAACAACAACAATCGCAAGGTATCGGAGGAGGAAAACACAAGAAAAAACATAATGGTTTGATTGATAATGCATCAGTCTTTTTCCCTACATCTGGACCTATCAAACATTATTTTGCATTGTTTATTGGTTATGCTGTTAAATTATTCACATTAGAGGATGGTATCGATTTATATCGTCATGGTTGTTTTGGTAAAGGCAATCTTTCTAGATCGGAACCAGTCTATAACTCTAGGTCTAACAATAGTAATGGAGGAGGAGATCAAAAAAGAGTTACAAAAGGAGGTTTTCATATAAAGAAAAAAGTAAAGATAAATAATCAAAATAATCAAAATAATAATACAAATAATAATAATAATAATGCGACGGCATCAACAGAAAATAATGAAAATATAACATTTGAAGAATATCTACAACTTAGTTTATATGAAGCTTTCTATTTATCATATTCATTTGGATGTTTAACAATATTAAGATATCCAAATGATAATGAAATAGATGAAATAGAAATTGAAGAAAAAGGAGAAGAAAAGGAAGAAAAATTAAATTTACGTAAATATGTTAGAGTATGTAATGTTATAATTGTTTATCTCCCTATGATATTAAATTTTCTCTCTCTCTCTCTCTCTCTTTTCTAGATGACAATAGAAGAATGTTGGATAAAATTTAATCAATATGATAAATCATTTTTATATGGATATATAGTTTATCATCATTTTCGATCGATTGGATGGATAGTAAGATCTGGATTAAAATATGGATGTGATTTTGTGCTATATAAACTTAGTCCTGAACTCATACATGCTCAATATGCAATCATTGCCAAACCAACCAAAGAATTATTATCACTGTTGGAGAGGATGGGATTGGATACTAGGACAATGGAAGGATTATCACCAAAGATTGATGAAACTTGGGAAAGTCTAAGTTGTATGAATAGAGTATCTGAAAATGTTTCAAAAGGAATTATTATTTGTAATGTTTTAACAAAAGATAAAGAAGAAAAAGAATTGGAAATTATTAAATCTTTAGAACAAATAGAAAATGAAATAATAAGAGAAGAGGAGGAAAAATTAAATATTAGATTATCATTATTACTTGTAATGTTGTCAGAAGGACATTTTAAAATTAATATTTGGTCATTTAATCGTTGGTTACCAACTAAAGCTAGAATTAATAATAATATAGAAACAAATAAACCTAAAACCACCACTAGTAGTACTGAGGGATGAAGAATAATATCTCTTCTATTCCACAATAATATCACACACACATACGTCGTGTTAAAGAAATAATATAAAACAACAAACTCTTAAAGTATATATCTTTTGTTTTACATTATTTCTTTAACCTCTAGAAACATTCCTTTTCTGTAATGATGTTGACAATAGTTGTTATAGCGTTTTTGGCAACATGATATTGACACTGCTCGTTCTGTAACTTCTATTGTTCTTGTTGTGCTGCTGATATCTCTGCTTTGCTTTGTTTTCCAAGCTTCATTTCAATACAATGAAATGGTTTCTTTGTTTCTGTTTTTTTCGACTGTCTTCCTTCTTTTTTGTTTTTTTGTTTTAATCTTTATTTTGATCTAAGATTATTAATAAACATAGTCAAGAGACGCAGATGACACAGATCAAAATAATCGAAAAATTGAATTAATTGTCTGGTCCGACAAAACCGACCTCGCCATTTTGGTTTCTGCTGTTACCAAAACAAGAAGGTGCGTGAAAAACCAATATTTTTTTCATATTGTCAATGCGTCATGGAAGCTGATGGAACAGCTTTCAAACCCCCGATGAGGTTAGTTTGTGTGAATTACACTTTCATACTTTTGGTTGGTAATCTTATGATGAATGAATGGTACAGTAACCAATATTTCGTTGTTGTGCACAGAGAGAGACGGAGCAACATTTAGTGCATTGTTCTATGATGATGCCACCCACCCTTGTTGATTAATTAATAACTACTATCGTCGGTGGTGGTCTGATAACTGATGCTGGCAGTGCTTGTCGTTTTGGTGAAAGGCATCTGTGATCGAATATCTTTAAATAGGATATGTTCCAGATCAGCTACACATGATCCAAAACAACCAAAACTTATAAATGCTCAACAAGTTCCAGCAGCCCCTTTCAACAGACATTCATTTCTTTCCATTAATTCATTTTTTTTCACAATTATCTCTTAAAGTCTTGTTTCTTTTAACAACAACAACAACAACAACCACAAATCATCCATCAACCAGAAACTTTAAAAAGGATCAAACCAGTTTTATTTTTATCCTTTCCTCTCTTTTTATTATTTATTTGTTTACCCTATCCCCTATCCCCCAACCAATTTAAATAATACCTTTTACCTTTATCTTTTTTAATTCTATCCAAACACCAGCCGACTGGATGTGCCGTCAGACCACCAGCCAAAACAAACATCAACAAGTAGTAGAAGTAGTAGAAGTCAGTAGGAGTAGTTGGAGTAGTATTTTATTATCCTACTCGTATCATCAACACGTTTATTCTATAGCATAGATAGATAGATAAATAAAAGTATAGTAGACATAATACTTTTTTTTCATTTAAAGAAAATCAAATAATATTTATTTTCTTTTTTTCGAATCAGTATGTATAAATTAAAAAAAAACAAATAAGATATTATAATATTATATTTTTTTTCTTTTATGGTAATATATATATAAATAATAATAACTAATAATAATAAACAAATATTTGTTTATCCATCATCACTATTTTTTTTTTGTTTTTCACTTTTACTATATATATTACACCCCCACTTTCATTTGTTATCTGTGCCATTGTACAGGACAAATCATTAAAAAAGATAGGAATTGTAGTTTCTGTCGCGCGGACAAACAATATCACGACAAAATGATATCTATCTACTAGTAGGTGTGTGTGTGTGTGTGTGCGTGTGTGTTTATAAAATAATATACGACGAGCTCGTAGTCTATCTTTTATCTTTTTCAACATGTTCATTCCTTCCTTCCTTCTATCTATCTATCACCTCTTGCATAGTGACAAGCGGCTATTTTATTACTATCTATATATTATCTATTCTTCAGCGACGTTCGTCAGTCATTGTCGAGGAGTGAGTGAGAAAAATAACAACAACAACAACAAAAACAACAAAATACCTTTTTAGTATTAGTTTAGTTTAGTTTTCTCACGAGTTGTAATAATAGTTTTTTTTTTTTTTTCAGAGACAGATCATCAATTTCCTTTTATATTTTTTTGTTATGGATTTTGACTGAAATCAATATATTTATACATATATATATATATTACCATCAATATTATAATATTTAAATTATTTAGATATATAGAGGAAAAATATTAATTTATTCTCCTTTTTTCTTTTATTTTTTTACTCTAAAGTGGTAAACATGGATTCACAAAATCCCATCTCCAATAATGAAGATGGTAGAACAGAACAAAACATTGAGATGCTAGATCTCAATACAAACAACAACAACAACAATAATCATCAACATCAACATTTAGATACAATTCCAGAAAATGGTCAACCACATCCACCAAGAGTATCACGTACTGGATCATTACAAGAATTACCATTCATTTCAAATGATGTTGCCGATTCAACCAAAACCTTTTCTGGTTTCCCATCTAGCAAGACCACCGAAGGAGACCCATCATCTTCACAAGAAGATCCACGTTCAGTGACTACTGGTGGTAGTTATGATTACCGAAAGTCATGGCGTACTCCTCTTCGTCAACAACTATTCAATGCTCCAACCGCCGAAGATCAAGCTCGTGTCGCCAAGGAAAAACAAGAAAACTTTAGAAAAACTCTTGAAAGAAAGGCCGATTATAAACCAATTGAAAATATCTTATCTGAATTACAAGCTTCCGATAAAGGTTTAACTACTGCTGAAGTTGAAGAAAGGTAAAAAATATAGAAAACAAATAATATAATTATTTATTTATTCAATTATTAATATTCTTTTCTTTTTTCCTTTCTTTTTTAGAAAAAAACAATACGGAGAAAATAAGATACCAGATGTAAAGAGATATCCAATTTTAGAATTTCTTTCATTTATGTGGAATCCATTATCATGGACAATGGAGATTGCAGCTCTTGTATCCATTATTCTTTTGGATTGGGTAGATTTTATTTTAATTTGTGCTCTATTGTTTCTCAATGCATCGATTGGTTACTATGAAGAACATACTGCTGGTAATGCAGTAGAAGCTCTCAAGAACTCTTTAATTAGTCAAGCTCGTGTATTACGTGACGGTGAATGGAAAGCTGTTGCATCGACCGACCTCGTTCCAGGTGATATCACTATGATCAAAATTGGTGCCATCATTCCTGCCGATCTCCGTGTCATCAAATGTGAATCTGTAAAGATTGATCAATCTTCGCTGACTGGTGAATCGCTACCAGTCTCTAAAAAGGAAGGTGATGAAATCTTTTCTGGATCGGCAATGAAGCAAGGTGAAGCTACTTGTATTGTTACTGCTACCGGTGTCAAAACTTTCTTTGGTCGTTCTGCTAGTCTACTCCAAGAGACTGGTAATACTGGTCATCTTCAAATCGTCCTACGTAACATTGGGTTCTTTTGTATCACTTTTATCGTCATTTGGGTATTCATCGAGATTATGGTGCAGTTTGTCGGTCGCAAGGCTTACTGTGTCGGTGTCGGTGAAGGTAACTGTACCACACTCAACAATGCTCTCGTACTCCTCGTCGGAGGTATCCCCATCGCCATGCCAACTGTCCTCTCTGTGACCATGGCCATCGGTGCCACGCAACTCTCTAAAAAGGAAGCTATCGTCTCGCGTCTCACTGCCATTGAAGAACTGGCGGCCATGGACATTCTCTGCTCGGACAAGACGGGTACCCTCACGCTCAACATCCTCACGGTCGACGTTCCCATCTGCTTTGACGGGTCGACGCCTGAAAACGTCATGTTTGACGCGTATCTGGCGTGTTCCGAAGGCGACGACCGCGACGCTATCGATATTGCCACGTCCAAGTACTGCGAGACCACCTACCCCGGCCTCCCCTACAGCGCCTACAAGATTGTCAAGCATTACCCATTCAACCCCGAAGACAAAAAGGCTATGGGTCTCGTCCAATGCCCAGACGGAAAGCAAGTCATGACTGCCAAGGGTGCTCCACAAATCATCCTCAACTCTTCATGCAACAAGGATCGTGTCGGAAAGGAAGTAGAACGTCAAATTGAAGATCTTGCCGACCACGGTTACCGTGCCATTGGTGTTGCTCGTGCCGAAGATTACCCCGACTTTAAGGAATGGAAGTTTACCGGTCTCATCCCACTCTTTGATCCACCACGTCACGATACCGAAGAAACCATCAAGCGTGCCCTCGATATGGGTGTCCGTGTCAAGATGATCACTGGTGACCAGCTCGCCATCGCCAAGGAAACCGCCCGTCGTCTCGGCATGGGTGGTAACTTTTTCACCATCCCCTATCTCAAAAAGAACGACCTCGGTATGAAGGGCAACGAACTCATTGAAATGGCCGACGGTTTTGCTGAAATGTGGCCAGAACACAAGTACAAGGTTGTCAAGTCTCTGCAAAAGCGCAAGCATGTCGTCGGTATGACTGGTGACGGTGTCAACGATGCTCCAGCCCTCAAAAAGGCCAACATTGGTATTGCCGTCGCCGGTGCCACCGATGCTGCTCGTTCCGTCTCTGATATCGTCCTCACCTCTGCCGGTCTCTCTGTCATTATCGACTCGATCATCACCTCTCGTAAGATCTTCCAAAGAATGAGAAACTATGTCATCTATTCTGTTTCTGCCACTGTCCGTATTTGTGTTACCTTTGGTATTCTTACCGTCGCTTGGAACTTCCTCTTCCCAACCATCGCCACTGTCATTATTGCCATCCTCAACGACGGTACCATGTTGACGATTGCCAAGGATCGTGTCATTCCCCGTAACGAACCAGACAGTTGGAACCTCTTTGAAGTCTTTGTCATGGCCATCGCCTATGGTCTCTACCTCGTCGCATCCACCATTGTCTTCTTTTCCATCCTCCATGACGGCACCTGGTTTGAACGTACCTTTGATCTGCGTCACCTCAACGACAATGAATTGCGTGGTCTCATCTATCTCCAAGTGTCCATCTCTGGATTGGCCACCATCTTTGTCTCGCGTTCCCAAGGTTTCTCCTACTTTGAACGTCCAGGTCTCCTCATGTCTATGGCCTTTGTCCTCTCCCAAATCATCGCCACCTTTATCGGTGTCTATGGTCTCCGTGGCTATCCACACAATGGTGAAACCGACCTCCAAGGTTGTGGTTGGGGTTACGCCCTCGTTGCCTGGATTTGGTGTCTACTCTGGTACATTCCTATGGACTTTATCAAGTTTGGTATCACCTATATTCTCCGTGGTCATCTCCCACCTCTCATCAATCTCCCATCAAACATCAAAAAGAGAGAGGAAAAGGAAGCTCGTGCTCGTGAGGTTGCTCGCAAGGAAGAAGATATCCTTAAAGCCAAACAACATGCTGCTGCCGCTCAAAAACAAAAAGAAGAAAAAGAAAGATTAGAAAGTATTCAAGAAGAAGAAGAAACTAAAGTAGTAGAAGTAGATTCTCCATCTGCTATTAATGTTCCATCAATTAAAACTACTCAAGTAAATTAAAAAAAACAAAAAAAATAATAACAAACAAACAAATAACAAACAAACAAATATATTATTATACGTACGAAAATAAATAAATAATAATATTACTAGTAAAATTAAAAAAAAAACATAAAGTTCTTTAGTTCTTTTTCTTTTTTAATTTCCCTCCTCAAAAACAAAAATATTAATTTCAAATAATTTAAAAGTGTCAAACTTTTGAACAGACACCCTTTTAAATTTAGTTGTCATTACTAATTAAACTCTATTTATTTATTTATTTATTTGTTTCTTTTAAATGTTTACACAACAAAGAAAAGATAAAGAAGCTAGAAGATATCTTGAAAGAAGAACAAAGTTGATAGAATGGATTAAAGATACTTTTACACAAAACAATGATCCTCTTCCTCCACAGACTACCGATGATTTGATAGAATTGGTTGCAGATGGAACTATACTTTGTAAACTAATCAATCTATATTATCCAAACTCTATACAAAAAATCATTCAACCAAGAGTAAATAGAATAGAAATAGTAAATACATCATTGATCATCACGTGTGACTTATTCTCTCTTCTTTTTGTATTTTACATAGGGAGTATTCTTTTATAAGAGAATAGAAAATATAAATGAATTTCTATTACAATGTCATACTTTAAAAGTACCAATCATCTTTCAAACACTTGATTTATTTGAAAATAAGAATCCTGCTCGTGTTGTAAATTGTATATATTGTTTAGTTGATGTATGAAAAACAAAAAAAAAAAAAGAATCTATACAGTTGTATTATAGTAACTATAATTAATTTACTTATTAAATTTTGTTCTAATCTAGATTTTAGATAATACTTTGATAAAAAGAAAAATGAAAAGAAGAAAAGAATTTACATTGGAAGAATTGGCAAGAGCACATCAAGAATTAGAGGTTGATGAAGAAGCAAAAGGAAAACCATTATCGGCTTATCTTTCAGATAGTTTACCAGAAGAGATTAGTAGTCAACCAACACTTCAATTTCAATTATCTTCATCCAATACCTACGAGAGTAGTAATTTATCGGTTCTTGACGCTTCACATCAAAGAATGACAGTTGTCAACACTCCTCGAGTATCAATTGGTGTTGGATCTGGTATTTTAAATTTAAATCGGAAATCAATCATCTATGATTTGGCAAATGAACAATTAAAACAATCACAACAAGAAGATCAAAATAATATTAATAGTATTTTAGATTTAAATCATCTTCAAACCAAAAACCAAAAGATGACAACAAATATACCTATACCTACGCCTATAACAACAACAGACTTGGCAACAACAGCATCTATAAAAACAGCGGCCATTTCAACTACTCCAATACGCAAAAATGTAAATTCCTTTAATTCCTCCTCCTCTCTTTTCAACTCCAACTATAATAATAATAATTATACATACAGTAAATATTCTTCCACCAATCAAAATATTAATAATAATATTGATGAAAATTCCAATTCGAGACCAATGACACTTCAAGATATTGAATATCATACCGATTATATACATACCTCATTACAATCCAAAACCAATAATAATAATAATAATAATAATAATTCATTGGTTGGAACCAATTCTTCGACATTTATTTCAGTAATCATATCATTGGCAATATTGATTGTTTTCATAGTATTGGTTTTAATGTGGATGATACTATTTTCCGAGAATCACGACAGGATGAACAATATTTTGGTCATCATAGACAATGCCAATGATCTTACACCAATAAAATGAGTAATGTGTGGGTTCTAAAATTAGAAATACTTATAGTAGTACTACTATGCATTCTTCAAAGTCTGAGAGATTTACATATTAACTATTCGGTTTTGTGTAAAAATCTCCCCTCACCACCTTTTTCCAATCAATTTCAACTTCAAAGATGCAGTGCAATTTATTTGTTTTCACACTCTTTTCTTTTTGGGGGGACAGATCCTTAAGACAACCCCCACGCACAGATCGCGCTCGAGTTAACCGTTACATCCATGAAAAACGTGGTATGATGATTTTAATGGATCAGTGATACCTAGTTAGATCAATCAAAAATGAATGTTGATGATGGATCATTTTGTTTCTGTTTGCATGTTTATAAAAATCAAACCACGGTGACAATATACTCTTGATAAGGAAATTTTCCCCATCAAGAAGAAAAGAGCGGGATCATTTCCGATTTAATCTCGTTGGTTGGGTTTTATGCGAACGGGTTTGCAAGAGTGTGGTTGTGGTGGATTGTTATTGTTGCTTCTAGTTGTTATTGTTGCTCTGTTTTCACAATTTAGAGACAATAAAGAGGTGTTTGATCAGGTGCATGATATTAGGTTTTGGTAATGGGTGTATGATGTTTTATCAAAGATCTTGTTCCAGCTTTCGAAATGATGATATTGTTATGAGGGCTCATCTTTCCAAAAATATCAAACCGTTGCACAATTTAAATTTAAAGAGCGGTTAGTACCAGCAATCATACAGCTCACGATCAAGAGTAGATGAGCGAGTTATTAATACGTAGGAAAGACAAATAGGATAGGTAGGATTTGTTTCATTGTTGTTGGGATGGGTTGTTCCCTGAATTGGTTTAGGTTAGGTTGGTGATGATCCCTATTACAATCAATCCCAAACATTTAAAAAGCCAACTACAGTTTTTGGAATTCACTTTATCCAACAATCAATTCAAATTTAAATCTTTAATCAAAATCTAAATCCTTTTATTCTTCTTTTTAAACAATGTCATCTTTAATTTCCCTCCCCATCTTGTTAGGTCTTTCTATAGACCAAAAGTCCTTAGGATTTGGTTTCAACTTTGATCATCAAAATTCTGGATCTTTTATTAAATCACAAATTTTCGTCAATGATGTTTTGTATGTAAAAAAAAAAAACAAGTTAATAAATTATTATTAATTAATAATTAATTTTTTTAAACTTTTAAAAAGAAAACAATCAGTTTTTAATCAAGAATTTGATTTTACAATTATAAAAGATCAAGAATCTTTAAAAAAAGCTTTGGATATTCTTTCCAATGATGATTTTGTATGTGAACCATATATGGAAAGAGTATTGGGTCAATACGGTCTCCAAGATGAAGTATTTTTAAATCCAAAACAAATGGTAATGGTTTACAGTAGAACTATTGTTTCATCTATTGATGAACTTTGTAATGGTGTTGAACCATCAAACTATTACTATCAACCTCATCTTAATTTCTTTGCTATGGATTCTAATTTTTATATTAAAAAAATTGAAAATGGTTCCAAATGTAATTTTATTATATCAATAGAAAGGTAAAAAAAGAAAAACAAAACATAAAAAAAAAAGATATAATAATAATTTACATATTTTTTATTTTATTTTATTTTTAATTTTTTTTACTAGTGATATAAAAACAATTGAAACATTAAAAAATTTGGAAACTATTAATCAAATGGCACATTTTATGGAAAAAGTAGATACACCAAGTTACAATGTTAAAGTTTCCTCTTTTTCTGAAGGATTTAAACCATACAAATATGCAAGAATGAATTGTGTTTCTGACCTTATTACCTGTTTACAATCATTGGAAGCAGAAAAGGTATCGGTTCCAGTTCGTATTCATCTTGCTCCATTACCAAATGAAATGAAAAGAATGACAAAATCATTTATTCAACCAAATCATTATATTATTGATCAACAATTTATTACAAATTAAATAAAAAAAATATTTTGTTTTTATTAAATTTCTTTGGTAAGTTTGTTTGCACCCAAATTAATTTTAAGAAGCATTTTTGGTTTGGCAGTGGCTGGAGCTGGTTGTGATGGTGGTGAAACTTCTGTTGGTAATGTAGAAGTTGTTACAACTGGTGAGGTTGTCAATGTCAATGTATTCGATGATGTTGATGAATCTTCAGAGATTGAAGTTTGAGAAGGTCTTTTAATGATAATCTTCTTTTTTAGTTCTGGTGTCGTAGTTGAAATGGTTGGTGATGTAGTAGTAGTAATAGGTATAGTGGGTTGTTCAACAATTGTTTCATTCTCTGATGTATTTGATTTAAATTTGATTGGAATTTTAAGTTTGGCAGATTGTTGAGTTGGAATAGGAGTAGGATTTGGTTGAATAGGTTCAATGACTGAGGGTTTTTCTCTTTCTCTTTCTCTTTCTTTTTCTCTTTCTCTTTCATTTCTATGACTATGGTGAGAGTCATTTTTATCCCTATGATCTCTATCACTTCTTTCACTACTTCTATGACTATGATCCCTATCACTTCTTTCACTACTTCTATGACTGTGTTCTCTATTATGATGACTGCTGTGATCTCTTTCATTCTTGTGATGAGAGTCATTTTTATCCCTATGATCTCTTTCTCTCTCTCCTCTATCACTACTTCTATGTTCTCTATGACTATGATCTCTTTCTCTATCTCCTCTATCACTACTTCTATGACTATGTTCTCTGTCTCCTCTATCACTACTTCTATGACTATGATCTCTATCTCTATCTCTATCTCTTTCTCTATCTCTATCTCTATCACTACTTCTATGACTACTACTATGACTACTACTATGACTACTACTATGACTACTACTATGATGATGAGAATCTTTCTTTTCAAAATCATCTTCAGCAAGGAGACCAGCAACCTTGTGAGCACGATGCTCTCGGTGTCCATCGCCATGTCTACTACTACTGCTACTACCACTTGAAGATTTATGTTTACTCTTTCTTCTGCTGTGCTCCAAGTTTTCGATATTGCTGATGAGATTCAAATCATTTTGGAAGTCTTCATCATTTTCAATATCAATGTTGAGTAGTGGTTCCAAATCGTCGGGATTACGAGCCAAATCCTTGACAATATCATGATCAATATTTTCCAAGCCTCTCTCATCAATTCTACCATGACCATGAGAATCACGATGACGTTTCTTGTGTTTCTTAATTTCTCTTTCAAACTCTTGAAATTCAAGATCATTTTTCAAATCTTCTTGATCCAATAGTTTTTGTTGTTCATCTGTCAATTGTTTCTTTTCCTCTAATGGAACAACTATAGAGGTAGCTGGAGTAATAGGACGATTAACCACTGCAAGTGGGAGTGGTGAATGATTGTCTACAATTGGTGATTCAATATCAACAATCTCTGATAGTTTTTGAGGTATATGATTCGTTGGTACTGATGTGGTTTGTATACTATCATCAATCTCTATAATTTGTGCATTTTCTGGTGTCTTTCTCTTTTTTGCCAATGTTGATGTTGTTATTGGATTAGATAAAGATGAAGAAGAAGAAGAAGAAGAAGAAGAAGAAGTATGATGAGATGATGAATGTGGTCTGTGGCTCTAAAATAAATTAAAATTAAAATAAAATAAAATAAAATATTAATGACTTTTTATAAAAATTGATCATCTTTTTTTTTTTTTAAATCTACTTACTCTTGAAGAAGAAGAATGAGATTTTGAGGATGAAGTTGATGAAGATTTATGTTTTGAAGAGGTTGAATTATTATTATTATTATTATTAATTGATTTTAATTTAGCCTTTCTATGAATAATAATTTGAGGAGTACTTGTACCCCAAAGATAACGATATAATTTCATCAAACTATTTCTCAATGTTGTATCATAACATGTTGTCTTTGAATTGATATAATTCCAAACTCTTTCAATCAATGATACATCATCTCTAAATAAATAAACATATTGTCTATCATCCATATTTGGTGGTGGTGATCCAACTAATCCAATTAAAAATTGTCTCATCTAAATAAAAAAAAACAATTAATATTTATATTCTTTTTTTTTTTTCTTTTTTTTTTTATCTTACAAGAGGAGAAGATTCTTTTTCAAAATAATCTAAAATTAAATTCATAGTTTGAGTTTTTGTAGTACCATTATTATTCATATTAATATTAATAATAGTTCCACTTGAAGAAGCTGCATTATTATTTTGACTATTTTGATTTTGATTTCCACTTGCAGCTTGAGGATAAAGATAAGCCAAACGATAATAACATTGAAATGCAGTTTTTCTAATTTCCTCATAATAGGTATAATTAAAGTGATCTTTGAAAAACTTTAGATCAAGTCCTATTTGCTTGGAGGCTTGAAGTTGGCAAATGGATGTGAGGCAAGCCGATGTGATGGTATTGTGGTAGCATGGGTAGAGTTGGTCGAATCTGAGGTATCTCGTGAGCTGTCCATGGATTTCAGAGATATGAGTAGAGTTTGTTGTATGTACATTGGCAAGACTTGACAAGACCGAAGCGACATAGTAATTGTCAGAGTAGGCGTTGAGTGAGTTGTCATTGTCCTTTAGGAGATCGAGTAAAAAGTCGATTCCTTCGATTGGTGTACGTCCCTGCGAGTCTTTGATCATCGAGACGGCCTGAGGAATGATCTTTTTGACAAAGTAGGCGGAAAAGTCTGAAAAGTTGTTCTCGGCCAACAGACGACTATGGGGATCATAAAAGTTTTGCTTGAAATAGTTGATGAGCAAATCCAATCCTTCATAGTTGGTCTCTTTAACAGTGAGCTTGGCAAGTACAATAGCAGCCTCCATACGAACACGATAATAATGTTTGGGATTAGCAAAAAATTTAAATACCGCTCTAAGAGAATTGGTTGTTGGAAAAGTACAAAGACCTCGAAGTGCCTCTGATTGTGCTACAACATCCTTGTCCAACTCTAATTGATAGATCCACATGTATTCTGGTTGTTTAAAAGTAATCTTGTGAATCCATTCCATCTCTGGGTCGATACGAATGTGCAACAGTGGTGATTCACGTTTCTGTGACAAATCAATCTCCATCTCTTCTCCATCATCTGCTCTAATTCTTTTCTTTCTACTCTTTCTTATTCTTGAATAACATGTTAAATCAAATTCTTGCATATCATCATCAAAATTTATAATATGTTCATATGTTCCTTCTAATTCATAAATTCTAATTGTAAGAGAAGACTAATAATAAAATGGTAAATAAAAAATGAATGGTTGTTTTTTTTTTTTCTATATTACTTACAGCAATTTTATCTTCAGATCTAGTAAATACTTGTTTAATTGCAAATTCAATTTGATGTTTTTTCTTATTAAAATAAAATCCACAAACTAAATTTGGACTACCTTTACCATATCTAAAAAATAATAATAAAAAAGAATAAAATTAAATATCTATTTTTCTTTCTTTTAGACTTTTTTTTCTATTTTCTATATTACATACATCCATTTTTCAGAAAATTGTTTTAAATCATTACCAGTAAGAGTTTTAATAAGTTTAATAAATTTCTTTGTTGGAACATTAGTTTCTACAGGTTCATTTGTAGGAGAGACTAGTAGACTATTTAAAACCTTACGAAGACCATCTTCGGTGATTCTTTTTTCAATCATATTAATTACAAGTGGAGCCTTTCGTTGAATGAGATCGGTGGTGGCCTCGGTGGGCATCATGATATGATCGTTGCAGATGGGTGGCTGAGAACCATTATCTACAGTGCCGACAAAATCCTCCTCTTTAGAGATACGATATCGGTGGTCATTGTTTCCAAACATTTTCTTTAAAAATACATTGGATAGATGTGTCGATAGACCATACGATAGCCACATATCGGACCAGTGTCGTGCACCGATATACCAAAAGAACCATTGTCGCGCCAATTGATCTACAATTTGAGTACGTGTCTCAAATGTTTGGTCAATGATGGGAGGAGGATGGAGTAGATGGCTATTAAAGATGGAGAGTGTTGCAAAGCTAGATTTTCCATTGTCGTCGATAAATACCTGCTTGTAGCTACTGTAAGGGAAGCTGGTGCCAAGATACTCTTCGAAAAATCTAAATGCGTGTGAAAAGAAGGCAACCGAGTGATGGAGATCAGATGCGCGGTGAGGCAAACAAAAATGGGTGACTGATCGGATATGGGGATCCGGATAAATCTCAAAGGGACCCACGCAACACCCAATACCCGCCGCGCATGTAGGAACCTCTTGTCGATAGATAAATGTATGTTTCTTTTCGTCGTTGCTCGATACCTTTTCCAACAGAGTTCCAGTCGCTACAACCACCAGTCCAGCCTTGGCTGTCAATTCCAATTCCCATGTGCACTTTTCGTTGATCTGATCGCAACATGGAAACCACATTCTCGCTCCATCCACTTGACTAGTTGTATACATATGTGCTCGACGTAATGGTTGTAATTTTTTATCTGGGTTTATAAATTTCAGCGTACTAGAATTATTTGTACTAATTACATGATAATATATTCTAACTATTAATGGTGAAAATTGTATATGTCTTGAATTATTATTTTGATTATTTTGATTTTGATTATTATTTTGTTGATTTGAAGGTATTATTGATAATTGTTGTTGAGATGACGATTCTGTATTATTATTATTACTATTTTGTTGTTGTTCCTTTAAAGAAAAAAAAAAAAAGAAAGTTTAATATTAATTCTATATAAAACATTACAATAATATTAGGAACATACATTTTGATTACCATTACTATTATTATTTTGATTATTATTTTGTTGATTATTTTGATTTGATTCATAAAAAGTAACAGAAGAAGGAATATCAATTACAAGTTCACCTTCATCAGATGCATGAATAGCAGCCTTTAGATAAGCTTGATAGGTATCCAAATCTTTTACATCTTGATTACCAACAACACACTCTAGATAGTTTGATAGAGTAAATGTTGTTTCTACATTGTTTACCAATACTTTAGTGACAATGTTTTGCCTGCTATTCAATCTAATTCGATCTTGTCTTAATTTTCTTGTTTGTGGTTGTATAATGAGCTCTGTATATCCATCCAGCGTTTGTCGATCTAGATCGATATCCAATACCAACTTTTGATGTGATAGTTTAAACCCTCTCTTTAATTTGTTGTTTGCATCTTTATTTGCTTGTATTTGTTGTTGAGGTTGTGAAGGTTGAGATGAAGAAGAAGAAGAAGAAGGTTGCAAAGAAGAAGAAGAGGTATTTGTTTGTTGTTGACCATGATGACCATTGTTACCATGACCATTATAACTAGTATGTCCGTTTGAACTCATTCTTTAAAGAAGACTATATAGTCAGTAGTCAGTAGTCGTAATTGGTTGGTGCAGTCAGTAACCAACCTCTATCTCTATCTCTACTACTACTATGATGTTACAACAATCTATCCAATCAATAAAGTAAGAGAAGATAAAGATGAAGAAGAAGAAGATAAAGGAAGAAGGATTGTTGTTCGTTGAATATATATATATATATATATTCGGAGATAGTACTGATCAATCTAATATATCTGTATTTATCACTACTTCTACTACTACTTTAATTCTCCCTCTCTTTCTTGCAACTGCTACTTTTAATCACAATTCGTTGATCATCATTATTTTGAATATTTTTTTTTTTATTTTCTATTTGAATTTAGGTGGTGTAAATAATATGTCTTTGAAGGAATGTCACATTCTGCTCAATTAAATTGTTGCTGTCCTACCCCTTTAGTTATACTTGTCAATTCTTTTGGAAAAAGATTTAAAATTTCTCTATTATTTATCAATATTCTATCATTCTATTATTCTTATTCTTTTATATGATTTAATTAATTTTATTCATTTTCTTTTTGAGACCTTGCTTTGCATCTCTTTGAGCGTAGATTTGACCGGTGAATGGTTCTTCAAAGAGGATGGCGATTCTGTAGACAATGTAGACGACAGCTGTCAATACGACACCAGCAACACTCTTTTCAACAAGAGCATGAGCCAAAAACAAAATAGATGCACCATTGTACATTGGGTTGGCCATTGTGTTGAATGGGAATCCAGTGATACGTTCCTTCATCAAAATACCACAATAGTCACCCAAATAGGTACCAGTAATACCTAAACGCCAATAAGTAGATCCAACCAATACACCTCCAATAACATACAACAAGTAGGCACTGTATAATACAACATTGTTATCAAATCCTAAATAGGTTGGTTGATTCTTGATTGATTGTGAAAATCTAAATATATATTGACAATGTTAAATCATCATGTGATCAATCAATATAGATATATATATATTGACTAGTTTATTGTTGTTGTTGATACATACAAGTAGTCTCTTAATAAACTACATGTGAAGATTAGAAAAGCAAGTACATAACAAGCAGCGTACTTTCCACCAGCCAACTTTGTGAGGAAACGAGTCTTGTATTCAAGTCTTGCTACAATATTCCACCATGTTGGTGTACCTGCAATCGCTGCGATAGCGTACCAAAAGTAGTTATCTGATAGATCAATATGACTAGTTAAAATATCCATCTCTCTTATATATATATAAATATATAAATACAAATCTAACTGTGTATGTAATAACTGAATCTCTTTTGTTTTCAAACACTGATGGTGAATAAAAACGATGAATGATTGATTAAAAAAAAACAAATCTTCATTCGTTTCACATTAATATTTTAATATGCATATTGGATTTATCTAAACATACCTTGAAAGGTTTAAAACCATAAAGAGAAAGAACAAGTAAATTCTAAATTAATATGAAACATCCTTTTTGAATACGATGACTGGATTTGGAAATCAAAAAGGGGATGATTCATATTAATTTAAGAATATTACCTGACATTGGAATCTGTTGACAATAGCATTAAACTCCGTAGACCTATATTATCAATTGAAAGCAAACGATTAAAAGGAATTTGAGGTGTATAAATATGATAGAGATGAATGAAATAAGGACTGGAATTCAATGACTGGATTTGTAAGTATTTGTGGTTGAATTGAATGTTTTGTTGATGGAATCTCGAATGTATTGCTGATTACCATGCATTACTTGTACTCACAACATGTTCTTAATGTTGCACTGTACTTGCTGCACATAAATCATAGGTTAAAACTATCTATCATATTATATTATTCTACTAATCTTGTGTATGCACCTTTGATGTTCTTTGTTGACCTTGGTAAAATCCTAACAAAAGATTTAATATAAATATATATTGGTAAATTTACTGTGATAGACATGCCAAGAAAAGAGAGTAAATAAATAAATAAAGTGTGAACATGAATTTAATTTTAAAAAAAGGGAGGGAAAGGTGAATTCTGCTAAACGAGAGAAAAGTTGTACTTTTTAAATTATTATTATTATTTGTGATTGTTATTTACTTATTTATTTATTAGTTATATATAGAGATAGAGATAGATATAGGATGGGAGTTAAAAAACTTAGATCATTAATAGAAGAACAAGCTCCAAAAGCTATTAAAAACACAGAGTTTAAAGCTTTAGAAGGTAGAATCATAGCAGTTGATACATCAAACAATCTCTATCAATTCCTTACTGCCATAGGTACAGAGAATGGTTCATCTTTAATGAATTCAATTGGTGAAACTACAAGGTAAACAAAATCAATATACACATATATAATCTACATTTGATCAATTACTTATTCACTCTATCTATTTTTTTTTCTAGTCATTTACAAGGAACATTTTATCGTACAATTAAATTTATGAGTAATGGTATTAAACCAGTATTTGTATTTGATGGTGCACCACCAACTTTAAAGAGTGGAGAATTGGCTAAACGTTCGGCAAAGAAAAAAGAGGCCAAAGAGAATTTGGACGAGGCCAAAGAGACTGGTACCACCGAAGATGTTGCCAAGTTTTCAAAGAGAACTACATCGGCTACACGTAAACAAAATGAAGAATGTATCAAATTACTCACATTGATGGGTATTCCAGTGGTGAGAGCACCATGTGAAGCAGAGGCACAATGTGCTGAATTGGTCAAAGGTGGAAAGGCTTGGGCATCGGGATCAGAAGATATGGATAGTCTTGCATTTGGTACAAAGATCTTACTTCGTAATCTAACTGCATCCGATCAGAAAAAGAATCCACTTTGGGAGTTTGATCACGAAAAACTACTCTATGGCACTGGTTTTACACACGATCAATTCATCGATCTTTGTATTTTGCTTGGATGTGATTATTGCGAGTCGATTCGTGGTATTGGACCAGTTCGTGCATTCGAGTTGATGCAAAAGCACAAATCAATCGAAGAGGTTGTCAAACACCTCGACCCAACCAAATACCCAGTTCCAGTACCCTTCCCATTTGATGAGGCACGTGAACCTATTCAAGAACCCACGTGTCACCCCTGCCGCTGAAATTGAACTCGAATGGAAGGAACCAGATGAAGAAGGAATCGTAGCATTCTTGGTGACAGAGATGGGATTTGCAGAGGATCGTGTTCGAAGTGGTGTAGAAAAGTTGAAAAAGTATAAAGATAATGGTATTCAAACTAGAATCGATACATTCTTTCAAGTTGTAAAAAGACCAAGAGAAGAAGAAGAAGCTGCTGCTAAACTTAAAAAACAAAAACCTGGTCAATCAAAAGCAAAAGCCAAACCTGGTGCTAAAAAGGCTCCAGCTAAAAAGGCTGCAACAACTAAAAAATAGACAAAAAAGAATATAAATTATATTTGTACATATATCAAAAAATAAATAAAACTATTTTATTTTTATAATTTTCTAGATTGGAAAACCTTTTGATTTTAAATAATCTTTTGTTTTTGAATCTGATATTTTATAGGATGTTTTAGTTTTTAGGAAATAATGGAGTTGTAGAGAATGAGATCTGAGGGCTTGTTGTTTTAATTGTGGTTCCCATTTCATTAGTTCCAATAGTAGATCGTAGTTTCGATCATCGATGACTTGGTCAGTCCAAGTGTGGAAATATTGTATGCCATTGGGACCCAAGTTGAAATATTTTTGTGCCAATTTAAACATGGCAACCGATTTTATCAAATGACAATAGGTATTCCAATCGTGTGGTTGTGGTGGTGAAGCTTGAGGATTATTGGCATAGATGATCTCTATAATATCATAACGATCCGTTTTGACTAGTTTTATCAAAGTATCACTAGTAACTTTTCTTGTAATATTGGTAAATATATATTGAAAAGCTTTAGAATCATATGATTCAATTAGACATGGATCATTGATTGCAAATGTAGACTGATTAATCAGTCTACTATTAAACTCTTTTGGTGGTTTCCCAAATACATTATGACAATCCTCTTCCCATGCATATTTAATAGATTCCAAACACCCAATTCTAACAAGTGCCATTAAATAAGATGAAACCAATTCTAAATCAATCTCTTTACAATCTAACCTTTTCATAAACATTTCAACTAGATCCAATTTGTTTCCAGAATAAATGAATCGAGCGACTCTGGCTTTATCCAATTTAAATCGATTTGGGTAGGTATCCAATAAGTATTTTGGTACTTGACTATCATTTGCTTCACCAAATGATTCCAATGCACGATCAATTATTTCATTTGAATAAATATTCCAATCCAATACAGTTACACAATCCAACATTGACTCTTTACAAATCTTGTAGATTAAACAATCACCAAACGATGCAGTTGGATTAAAATCTAAAAGATATTTAAATACTTTGCCACGACCATTTCCCAATGCTTCCTCTAAAAGTGATTGTGTCACCAATGATTGATTATCCTCTACCAAATATTTAACCACCTCCAAATAACCACGTCTTGTTGCTGATTCTAATCCAATCCTATTACACTTTAATCCTTTCTTTTCATGTAGATACATTAATATTTCCAAATGATTATTGGTTGCTGCAAAATTACAAGCAAATTGAGTACATCCTTCTGTCCTATTTTCATTTAAAAATCTAACCAAATTTAAATGACCATTTGATGATGCTTCATCCATACATTCAAATGAAAATATATTATTATTACAGTTATTATTATTATTACTATTGTTGTTTGGTGGACAAATTTGATGAAGGAATTGAATGACATTTAAATGATTATTGATTGATGCTTTGATGGTTGCATTTTTTGTTACTTTAAATGACTCTTTTGATAATTGGTATGCATACTCGAGGATGTTTACATTACCGTGCTCGGCAGCAACATCCAACTGCCCAGGTGATACAAGCATATTGAATTGTTCACACAATAATTGAACAATCTCTAAACTTCCAGATGTACATGCATTGGTCATTGAAAGATAAAGATAACCAGAAGGGTCTCTACGCAATTCTTGTACAGTTGAATTATCAGGCAAAACCAGAGAGTCACTTTTATCCAATACATGTTGGTATAATGATGGTTGTGATGATGACATTACTCTATTCTTTAATAAATTTAATAATCCAATCATTGTAATATTATTATTATTATTATTATTTTGATTTTGATTTTGATTTTGATTTTGATTTTGATTTTGATTATTATAATAATAATTTGTATTATAATTATATAAACCATTAATAGCCATTGGATTATTATGAATTAATAAATCATTGTATATTAAATATTTGAACATTTGATAGTGACCTTTGGAAGAAGCAGTCAATAATGTTTCAAAGAATGTTTTGAATCCAAGTTGATGAAGTCTCTTTACAATGCCTATATTACCATTCTTTGCAGCACTGTCCATATAATACAATGATCGGTCAGTTCTAAAAGAGGTAACATTCATTTGATAGACCTTGTCAAACAGATCGACATCTGTCAACAATCCACAGATATAGTAGAAACTATCAAAGCAATAGAATAGCTCTCCTCTCTTTATCTTTTCCATCAACAGACCCAAATGTCTATTCTTTGCAATCCAACCAGCATCATTAATCTGTTGATACTTGTATGATGCCAATCCCAAATCTCCACGTCTATTTAATACGTTTACAAATGATAATATACATCTCTTATAAAATATACTATTATATACACTTAGAAATAATCTCTTTTCCATCTCTAAAAAAAGGTAAAAGTAAAATGAACAATCAAGGGAACATGGTCACAAGTTAGAAAATGTATTTGTAAAAAAAAAAAAAAAAAAAGAAGATCTTTTGAGATTATTAATATCTTGGAATAAAATACACTATTTGTGTATAATTATGATTCCATTTGGATTTATTTATTCTTTTTTTTTTGATCATTCTATAAATCCAATAAACTTGTTGGTGGAGGAGGAGGAGGTGTATTAGTTGCCATAGTTGAAGACATTGCTGGGGAAGCATTAATTGGTATCAATGGCGATGAAAATGTTTGTTCAAGTAAAGATGTCGATGTTGTTGATGGATTTGGAGATGTAGAGGTTTTACTGGGAGTTTGAGTTAAATCAATACTATTACGATTACTATTATTATTATTATTATTATTATTGTTATCAATATTAATATTTTGATTATTTTGATTATTAATTGTTGGAGGTAAATTTGAAGGAACTGTAGTAAATTGAGAAACAAAACTTGGAGATGATGAAGCCCATGAAGGAATACGACTAAGTGCTGGTGATGATGACAATGAGGAAGCTTCAGAGTTTCCAGACAACTTTGATCTGAGTAGATTATTTTCAATGACCAATTGTTTATAGTCGTCTAGTAGTTTAGAGATTTGCCCAATTTTAAGATCATCAATATGACAATTGATAAATTCGTACTTTTTGTTATTGACATCGTTAAAGTATCCTTCTTCCATTGTACTAGATTGAAGGTCAAATGAATCATCATCATATGAAAATTGTGGAGTCGAACCTGAAAGATTACTATTGATCGATGAATGTCTAGTATGTTTATGTGTTGGTGCACGACCGACAGGTAAAGGTGCTGATGATATTTGTTGTTGTGGTTGTTGTTGTTGTTGCTGTTGATGTTGTTGTTGATGTTGTTTTGAATTTAATCTCTTTAATAATTCTGGATTTAATTTTAATGGTAATTCTTGTTCGCATTTATCTCTTGATTGGATATACTCTGATTCTGAAATGGTAAGTTGTTTATGATCAACAATATTCTCGATAAAAGTTAATGTTGATACCAAATGTGTAAAATAACATCCAGTCTCTGTTGACATTCGACTTGGATTTCTAAATGTTGATATATATCTAAAAGAAAAAAAGAAAAAGAAAAATAAATAAATATATTATTTCTTTCTATTTTCTATACTTTCTTTTTCTTCTTCTTTTCTTTTTACATACTGAACATTTGAATGTAATAAAGGAGGATTTGATTTTAAAACGACATAAATTAAAATGGGAAGGAAATCATCTGCGCCAGATGGAGTATTATTTAAAGAAGACAAGAGTTTAAAGATAACTTTACAACAATTGTATATACAAACCATCTTGTCTCTTGGTGATTTGTAGGTATTAATTTTTTTCAACTCTTGAACTGCCTTGTCAATATAGTTGGTCGATGCTGGTGGTTGAATGAATTTTTGAATGTCCAAATGCGTTGGTGTAATAAATGCATGTACCAACATATGTTTATATAATTTGATATCCTCTTCTGTCGCTATCAATCCATACTCTGGTACATAATTTCCTTCTGTTGGTTCTAATCTTCCTAATCTTGCTGGCATAAATGATCTAAAAAATTTTTAAAAGTAAATAGATTTTAATTAATATCAATCAAGAGTATTTCCAACAAGATCCTTTTATACCTACACATGAAATACTCTAGTCATGATTAACTTTTCAATACCATCTCTGATTCCTTCAACTTCTGCCTCTGAAGCATTCTCCCACAATGGATTAACAACTATAGCATTTTCCAATTCTCTTGTATAATTGATAATTGAATTACCTTGATCCTCTATTTTACTTGGTCCATTTGTTAAAAAGTAATGTATATAACTAAATAGAGGTTAATCGGTTAATTATCAATTCAAATGAATACTCCTCTTTTTCTTTGTTTTTCTTTTCTTACCCTGATAAACTCTTTCTAATATCAGAAGCCTTTGGATGTTTAATTTTTTGCATGAATCCTTGTTTCTCTCTAGCACTATCTTCGATAGTGACTATACCATTGTTTGATCCTCCTCCTCCACCTCCTCCTATTTTGATAGTTTCACCATTGCTCAAAGTTGTCGTCGTCGTATTACCACCATCACCTGTAAGTTGTTTATGAATTAAACCTCCACTTGAACTCAATGATCTATTGATAGGAGGTTTTTGAACTTGTAGTTGATGAAAAGTTGGTTGACGTGAAAGCTCCTCCTCAAACGAAGCAAGAGATTCATATGAAACAGATGGTACCATTCCTCCTTTTAAAGGTAACTGTTTGTTGTTGTTGTTGGGTGTACCATTTGTTGATGTTGGTTGTGGTGGTGTAGTTGTCATTGTTGTCGCTACATTATTGTTGTTTGGTGTTGTCGGTCCAACAGGAGTAGTTGCTGAAGGAGAAGAGAATCCAAACCAACTCATCTCATATATAATTTATGATTATTCTTTAATTAACTAAGTAATATATGTACAAAAAAAGATAGATAGATAGATAATAATAATATATATCTTTGCTGTATGACGATTATGAAGAGATGATATGTGATAATAATAAATTAAAGGGAGAGAGGTGAAGGGGATGGATGAAGGAAGGTTCAATCAAAAAATAAAAATAAAAAAAAAAAAAAGAAAAAAGAAAATTCGTCTCAAAGAAAGAAATAGTATGATGATCATAGGCATGAGTTGAGTATACTAATGGTAAGAGTTTCTTCTAAAATTTGCTCAATTCTTTCTTTAGAACATTTTTATTATTTTTTATTTTTTAAGTTATATATTTTTAAATATAAAAATCTAAAGATTTTTATGATATGAAATCGACGTTTGATGAGGTCATCCAGCAGCAACAGCTTTTTTTATGCGATCGGTGATGTAAACCACCCACTCTTTGTCATGGGTGTATTCTTATTCACTCGGATGGGTTTGTAATAAAAAGAATAGAGAGATAAATAAATTTGTATGTATAACAACATTCTCTCTGTCTCTTATTTTTTTTGAATAAACTAGTTTGAATTGTTTGGTTCATCGTTGAGTATCCATCCTCTCCCACTTCTTTCATCCTATGAATTTATTGAAATTTAAACTCGAGAGAGGAATACCTTCATTGATTCATTTGATCATCTAATCTCTCTCTCTCTCCTCTTATATGATAAATCGTATAAAAGATGAGGTGGGAGTGTACATTTATTGGATGGATACTCAACGATCACCTTTCAAGGAATCCCAAGACACAGTTTAAGATTTTTTCAAATTTTTTTATTTTTTTCCGTGTCCTCTCCTCACTCTCTCTCTCTTTCTCTCACACAGTTTGTGAAATCTCTGTCTCTATCTAAATTATTAACATATTATTAATAACTATAGTACCACTTCTTATTCTTCTTTTTGTCTTTGCATCTTATCAAAAAGTCATCAACAAGAATACAGTAGCCTCTAATTTCATCGAATTAGCAGTAACAGTAATAGTAATAACATATCACATCTTTAATCGTCACTCGGTCTAGACACACACTCGAGTACCACTACCCACCCAACACAAGAACATTCATTTGAATTTCTTCTTCTTCCTCTTCTTTGATATATAATATAGTTTATAGTTATTATTCCTTTTTCTATACATACACATATAATATAATGGCACCAGAACAGTATGTTGACAATCTAAACGACGAAACGTTATGTTTTTGGTTTAATATTCTAACGAATCATTCCTTCCTTCCTTCTCTCTCTCTCTTTTATAGCGATTTCTTCTTTAAAATATTATTGATTGGTGACAGCGGTGTCGGTAAATCTTGTTTATTATTAAGATTTGCAGTATGTACACAACTACAACAAATAGAATAGATTTTTAGGAATACAAGACAAGATAGAATAGAAACTAATAGTATTTATTTATTTATTTATTTATAGGATGACTCATGGACTGATACTCATATCAGTACTATTGGTGTAGATTTTAAGATCAAGACTTTGAATCTTGATGGTAAGACCATTAAATTACAAATCGTATGTATCAAAATTACAAATAACACAAGTCTCGACAAACACACCTAACACTTTAATCATCATCATTTGATAGTGGGATACTGCAGGTCAAGAAAGATTCAGAACCATTACATCTAGTTACTATAGAGGTGCTCAAGGTATTATTTTGGTTTATGATTGCACCGATCAAGACTCTTTCAACAATGTCAAGCAATGGATGGGTGAAATCGATAGATACGCATGCGAAAATGTAAACAAACTTTTAGTTGGTAACAAAACCGATCTTGTAAATGAAAAAGTTGTCGACACTAATCAAGCAAAGGTAAGTTTGTCTATATAAACGCTGATATCGGTCAAACGATGATTATTTACAGAGTATTTATATAATTTTAGAGTTTTGCCGAAAGTATGGGTATTCCATTCATTGAGACCAGTGCCAAGAATGCTACCAACGTTGAAGAATGTTTTTGCTCAATGGCTAGAGATATTAAGAATAGATTGGCAGATATTCAAGAGACACCAAAGAACGATAGCACAAATGTTACCGTTTCAAACAAAGGTGGCGCAGGAAAGAAGAAAGGAAGGATTTGTCTCATCTAAACAATGGGGAATAACAAACAAGGTCAAGAGTTATCGACAACTCTAAAAAAAAAAAATAACAACAAATAATAATAATTATAATAATAATAATAATATTAATTTTAAATTTTACGTACAAATTAGATTGATTCATCTTAAGAGAATTAATTTAATAATCAACAACAAACCACAACCAATTCCATTCCCATTTCATTGCCACAATAATAATTACCAAAAGTCCATACCCACAACCAAAATAATATCAACATAATAATTAATAATAATAATAACCCAAATATTATGGACCCATGAACAAAGAAAAACACCCTCCCTACGTCAATATTTCTTTCTTTCTCTTTCTATCAAATATTTATTCCTCCTCTCCTTTTTAAAAAAAACAAAAAAAAATTAATAAAAAAAAAAAAGCTTTTAAAAATTATCTTTTGTGATATTTTGTTTGTTTGTATGTTTGTGTTCCTTTTATTGTATTTCTTGTTTTGTATAACAATAATGAAAAAATTAAAAAAGTAAAGAAGAAGAACAGAAGAAGAAATAAGAAAGAAGAAAGGTAGTCTTTTTAACTTGGTTGTTATTTCGATTTATGGTTGTTGTTCTGATGATGTGGCTGGTTGTTCAGATGATGCATTTTGATCTGATCCACCATCTCCTCCACCTCCACCACCTCCACCACCTCCACCACCTCCACCACCTCCACCACCTCCTCCATTTCCACCTTCACTACTTGCTTGTGATGAAGATGGTTCATTTGATGATGAGGGTTGACTTGATGAACCAGATTGACTACCATTACTATCACTACTATTATCTCTTTCAACTGGATGATTTAATACACTGGTAATGGGAATACACATAACTTCAATATCACCAAGACCACCAGCCTTTCCAAAGTTGGAATTTTTCGACTCTGGAACATAGACACCGTAACCACCGATACGAGTACCGTTGATATTGCTCCATACCTTGACTGCACCCTGTCCAACCGTATCGATATCCAACGAACTGGCAAAGAACGTCGAGTAACCTGGGATGACAAAACCAGCGGTCGAAGCTACATTGTCATGTCCGGTACGATCGATTGGGAAGAAAAAGTTGTCGTCGTAAAACTCTCCTCCACCAGGTCCATCGTCACGACCAATGTAACCGGCTGGGAAGGGATGGGCACCAACGGATCCACCACAAGTACCGTTGTTTTCAATGAGCCAAGGGCTGTTGCTGTCCAGACGACAGACACGGAGAATGTCCGATGTTCCAATCTCGAGATCTTGGTCACCTCCACGATCTCTGATCGATACGATAAAGGCATTGTCACCGTCAAACGCAATGTCTGAAATCTCTGGTTGGTTTTCGAAAAAGACATCGGACCACGGAGCATAGTTTCCATCGATACAGAAACCATTGCCAAATAGTTTACAGGCACGTGGGAAATCGAGTGGAACCTGTAGGAATACCTGGTCATTTGCAATGATGTATCCGATGGGTGGAGTACCCGAGGAGGACGTCTCTTGCGAGCATACGCCACCAATGTATAGTTGGTGATGTGAATCAATACCAAGTCCAAATGGACGCCAATCAGCTGAATCGTTTCCACATGGATTAAAGATGGGCGAGAGAGAATAGTTGGATGGCGACGAGACTGATATGGTCAAGAGTTCTTTGGTACTGAGAAGTACTGCATACATGGTATCACCATCAATATCCAAATCACCATAGGAGATCTTAAAAATGTCACTATAACCCTCATCATAGGTTGGAATGGGGACAAGATGTGGATTGGCACCGGCATAGTCTGCACCTTTTTCTGCATTGACATCAAAAAAGAGAGCGGTCGTTGGTAGAATGTCACGACCATTACCAGGCGACGTACGATAAATGGCACCGGTTCCCTTTGGACCAAAACCAGAAAAGTATTTCATAAATGACGATGTAAAGATATCGCCCGAAGCTCTGTGATAACCGACACCATAGACAGACCCAATCTCAGAGTGGTTGGCAAGATGCCAGACATCATTTCCAACGTTGGCAGTGTAGAGATTTGGTTTACTGTTGATGGGGAACGAAATGAGGACGGGGTCGTCTGCATTTGGTCCGTTAAAGTCTTCCTTGGCATAGCATACCAAGGCAGCTCTAGGTGTAGCCTGGCAGAAATGGTCATCGTCATTCAATCCAAAGTTGATTGAAGTGTCGATTGCACCAGGCTGTGGTGATGGACCGGCGGCATTGATAAAAGTGGTCGATGGCGAGAGTGGTGCATTTGAATAGTACCATCCGAGAGGAGCATCAATCACCTTGATAGTGTATGGTGCTTCAGTAACGTTTTTGAATTCATAGGATCCATTGGCATCGGTAACTGTAGTACCTACGACACGACCATCTTCTGTGGATATCAATGCAACCGTGATACCTGCCATGGGAGGATCGACCGAATTATAACCAGTGTCGACCGTCTCCATAATACCATTTCCATTGTAGTCTCTGAAAATGGTTCCGTTGACATCACCATAAAATGTGACCAATATACCAGCATTGATCCATGGGAGGACATAATCACCACGCAAAGATGCTTCGGCGGGCTTCTTGGCGCGCACTCCACCAATGGTGGTTGCCAAACCAAGTGGACCGGCCTTTCCCAGCGAGTTGACCTTGCTTGTAAGTGGCTTGGCTTGACTTGGGTCACGTTTGGTAAACATGGTATCCTCTGGGAACTCAAATTGGACGATATAGGCACCTCTGATGAGATTGTCAAAAAAGTAGTAACCCAAACTGTCGGTATAGGTGGGTTCGACAATTTTTTGATGGTTGTCCGTAACCTGTACCCCGAGGGGGTTGAATAAACTGACCGTGATGCCTGGGATTGGTGGATAGGACGGGCTGTAGACTCCCTTCTTTCCACGGTCGATAAATGCATAACCAGTGATGACAAACACGTCACGAATAGGTGCCTGTGTCTGGATAAATTCGCTTCCACAATCTACGTGTCCATAGAATACATACTCGGACGCTTTGCTAAGCGCCTGATAACATATTTGCATAAAATCCAAAGGTGCCGATGGTCGATAAACCACATAGTTGACATTTGTCGATGCGTTGATCATACATCCCAACCCAATCTGCGTATTGGATACATTATGAACTTCGATTTTAGGACCAGGTGCAAACGTATTTGAAAATGATCCATTTCCAATCTTTTGCCATTTATCAATGGTCAATGTTTCCGATCCATATGTACCATTAAGTGTTACATAATCAAATCCATCAACTGATGCTATAATTAAACATCTATTTTCTGTTTTCCTAAAAAAAAAAAAAAGTATATAAATAGATAGATAAATATCAAAAACTATAGATGTCTAATATTTCTATTTCGTACCCTGTAAAATTAAAATTTACACAAGATTCTTTATCTTCTGGACAATTGTAATGAGCAATTAAACCCATCATTGAATTTCCAGAAAAGAATTTTGAAATGGCTGTGTTGTCTGTTGCAGCTGCTCCAATTGGAATATTTATACCCAAAAGATTTGGTTCTGTCTGTCCATCTGGATATGATATAGTTACTGTTAGATTCTCATCGATTTTATGTACTCCCATTACAGGATTCAATGATAATCTATCTGCAAAATCTCTAGCATAAGTTTCTCCAATCAATCCATTTAGAAATATTATAAATAAATAAATAAATAAAATTTTTAAACTATCTATTCTCCTCATCCTATAGTACAAGGATATTGTATTTATAATAAAAAGGAACCAATGTCAATAATCTAAAGTTAATCCAATGTCGATTAATATTTGAATCTATTTGATCAATTTTACCTTTTCGTTTTAGGATGGAAACTTAATATTCCAACCAATTAGTATTTTTATGTCTCTCTCTTTTTTTTGAAGAATCCTTTAAATAAATAAAAAAAAACTATAGATATTAATACTGATTATTAAACAAGCTATCAGTCAGACAGAGTCAATCACTGATGATTAATATTAATTTTATGATGTTGTATGAGAGAAGGAGGATTAAAATATGTTTCACAATAGCAAGTACTTGATTTCATCATTGCTAACTATGGATTGTTTATATGATCATCATCATCATCATCATCATCCCTCTCTCTTCATTATGATATATGGGTAACCTCTAATTGACAAAACTCTCCAACACAACGAATGAGCCGTAGGTAGAATCAAAACAAATAGAATTGTTATTGTGACACCCAGTACTCTACAATGCAACAATTGTCTATCACGTCGAATGCATATGATTTGAAAAAACAAAATCACTATATACCCCATCTTCATTGGAATGGTGGGTGATCGGTCGTGCTAGTGCTGGTATTTTAACATTATTATTATTATTGTTATATAATCTCAAGTTGGATATCAAAGGTGTGGGCAAACATCATCAAAAATATGGTCATCACCATCATCTTGATTGCAATGATAACTTTCACACAATTGGATAGAGTAGAGTAGATAGAGGTGGTTTGGTGAAGTGCAGTAAAAAATTATTATGATTATTATTACTGTAAAGTTTACACACCAACTACATAGTTTGGTTTAAACATTTAAAATTTTTTTTTACTTTACTTCTTCTTTATATAATTTATTTGTTTAACCAAGATGGTGATCTCTTTTCAACAAATGCATTCATACCTTCCTTTTGATCATGCTACAAAATTGAAAGAAAAAAAAAATGATTAATAAAAAAATACCTCTACTTTTTTCTTTCATTATTATTATTATTTGTTAACATACAGTAGCAAAAGTAGAATGGAAAATTCTTCTTTCAAATTTGATACCTTCTCTCAAGTTTAATTCATATGCTGAATTGACGGTTTCCTTGCACATGGAAACAGTAACTTGTGAATAAGAAGCGATTTTGTCGGCAGTCTTTAGCGCTTCATTGATCAATTCTTCAGCTGGAACGACTCTGCTGACGAGACCAGCACGTTCAGCATCGACGGCATTCAAATTGTTGCCAGTCAAGATTAATTCCATAGCCTTTGATTTTCCAATAGCACGGATGAGACGTTGAGTGCCACCACAACCTGGGATGGTACCCAATTTAATTTCTGGTTGTCCAAAGACAGCCTTGTCACCGGCAATGATGATATCACACATCATGGCCAATTCACAACCACCACCAAGAGCATAACCATTGACAGCTGCAATGATTGGCTTTCTAATGGTTGTAAGATCGTGCCATTGAGCCAACATATCTCCATTGTATGCATCTGCAAATGTCTTTTTCTCCATCTCTTTAATATCAGCTCCAGCTAATCAAATAAATACAGATAAATAAGTAAAAGAGTTTTGATTTAATCTCTTCTTTTTCTTTCATCATTTTACATACCAGCAAAAGCCTTTTCACTACCAGTAATGATGATTGAACCAATATCCTTATCATCTTGGAATTGTTTCATTGCAATGTTGATTTCACCAATCAAACCATCAGAAAGAGCATTCAATGCCTTTGGTCTATTTAAAGTGATAATAGCAACACGACCTCTCTTTTCTGTTAAAATATTTTGATAATTTGATGTGTCTATGTGAAACATAAAAGTCGTTGTTAGTAAGATCTACACCAACTCTAATTAATTACTTTTACTCTCTAACATACTTGAAGTAGTACAGAAAGAAGAATTCTTTGTCATAACCAAAGTACTTTGATTCAAAAGTGATTGCTTTGAAGCAATTGATTTTCCAATATATCTCAACATTTCTAACTCTCTAATGTAATCTAACTCTATATCTATCTTTCTTTTGTTTGAGTTTGAATGGTCAAAAAACGTGATCATCATTAAAAAAAAAAAAAATTTAATTTTAACAATATCGGTCGGAAATTGTCAGAGTATTGTTCTTCTCAAACATTAGCTCTTGTCTACTCTATTTAAATCTTTCTATTTTTTGGGGGTTAAGAATATTGTGGATACTTTATTGGAGTGTTAGTTCTGTAGTTTGAATATACATTTGGATTACTGGAATTGTTATTTGGTTGATTTTGGGGATAGAGATCTTTGGCAGGTGATGCTGGTGGAGATACAGATGGTGATTGGTTATAGAGATGATATACAAGTGGCGATGATGGAGAAAATGGAGCCGAGTTTGATGAAAGCGATGGTGATGATACTCTTGTTACATTTTGATTGCCTCTGGGAGGTGTTTGATTAATTACATTGTTGAGGAGAGAGTTTGAAAAGGAGTTCATAGAGAATCCTCCACTGCTACCCATGATATTACTATTGTTGTTGTTGCTGCTAGTAGCAGCGCCTATTCCATTGATACTGCTGCTACTACTATTTACACTATTGCTGCTGCTGCCGCCACCGATAATGTTGCTGCTGCCGCCGCTGCTGGTGATGCTAACAGCGCCAACGACGCTGCCCTCTTTGGTGCTATAATAGTTTAGCGGATAGAGGGTTTTTTCATAATGTTTGCCATGTCTATAGGTGACATTGCCAGGGTCGACCCACATAGTCGTGTTTTGCTTAAAGAACGATCTAAAGTCGCCGTGGATGTCGGATCGTCGCGCAGCGTCGATCAACAGACGGTCGGTTGTCTCCTCGCACACCACTGCACGGTAGCCCTGTCCGCGATCCGGAGTCTCGGGGTACCAATGTCCTCTGATGCGCTCCCTCAGACCCATAATAAGTTCCTTTCGGAACCGTTTGAGGTTGTCCTTGGGGATGGTCACATTGAGCTTGCCGAGCGAGTCGGCCCACCAACACGCAGCCACCACCAACTCGGGAAGCTCGCCAGAATACGTGGTATTGAGGTAATGCTCAATATCAGAGAGTGGTGGCGATGTCGAAGGGTTGGGTGTACCCCCCGATAGATTCAACGCATTGCCTGATGCGTTGAGAGTTGTTGCTGCTGTTGCTGCTGTACTAGAGTTGTTTAGTCCATTGGTTGCGGTTGGTATCGATACTGGTTTAGATGATGACGAGTTGCTTCCTCCTCCTCCATGACTTGAACTTGAAGATGAACTACCACTGTCACTACCTCCACTTTCTGCATATGGGGTCATTTACTAAGAGTTTGATAATAGAGTTTTTTTTTTTTTCTTTTTTTTTAATTTGTTATTATAGTTGCTATTATTATTATTATTATTATTATACTTCTACTTTTTTTTACTATATAGTGTTTATAAATAGAATAGTGATAATAATAAGCTTTATATGTTAGCAAAAACGAAGATATAATGTATATTGGTTGTCCTGCTGCTGCTGCTGGTTATTCTGCTGGTTGTCAGGTGACAGTTCACTCACTGTCGTCGTAAGTTGTGTTAATATTGTTTTGGTTGTTCTAACCGTTTATTTGAGGGTGACAGTTAAAAAACAAAAAAAAAAATTAAAAATTGGTTTCCCCAATAGTGTAATATGGGCTGCAGCAATTAACAAATAACAAGAATAAGTTATTATTATTATTGAAAGAGTTGTAGTAGTTTTTTTTTTTTTAGTGTGTTGTGTATGTTGGAGAGTAGAAAAGAGAAGATCTTCTCTTGTACTGTCATATTCAAAGTTTGTTTTAAACATATTCACTTGTTTGTTGAATTCTATTATTTACTATTATTTACTATTATTACTTTTGTTAATGTTTATACCTACATATTTAAACTGCTAACTTAAGCTTGAAGTGGGCTCTGAAAACGTTTAAAATATATAATAGGAGAGGATTGATTTCTTTTATGATCAGAAATAATAATAATAATAAATAAATAATAAATATTCGATTTGATTTGATTTGGTTGTTTGATGTATGACTGATATTTATATACAATAATAATAATAATAACTTGTTGTTGATGTCTCTTTATAATTTATAAAATCTGTTAATTTGAGTTTGTTGTAGAGGAGTGCTAAACGATTATTATTACTTCTGCTACTTGTAGATAGATATATATCCACGCACACTTTTCTCTCACAAATAAATAAATAGATTAATAGTGTAAAATAAAGATAAAAAAGATAGATAAAAAATATATTAAATGTTGATGATTAATTTTTCTGACAATTTTAAATAATCAGTTTTTTGAGAATCGAAAAAATAATTTAATAAAATAAAAATAAAAATAATTATTGGGTAGCTTTCAAGGATTATTCGTTCAGATCATCAACCTCACTATGATCATGAGTTCATTCATTCATCCATTTTTATTATTCTTATCCAACAAACAAGTAATCTTATCTTATTTATTCTCTATCTACTTTTTTTTTTATTCATATAAATTATTAATAATAATCTCACATTTAGTGGGGTATTGTCAACTATTCAGATGTATGGTATATCTGCTGCCTGTTCCACTCTCTTCTTCTTCTAGGGTTTCTGATCAAAACAGAAGTGAAGGTGGTTTTTTGTATCTGTGTGTTGTGAACGAGCAATCTAAACAACCCCTGCTACCCCACTGCAGAGTGCTTGCTTTTAATATGATGGATGTCCATCACAGATGGTGATAGAAGGTGCTTCTTCGTACCGTCAATTAACGAATTGTCCAAAATCGTCGAGTTGTTGAGAAAATTTGAAAGACAAACCATGTCTGTCTCACAAATACAACAATGTCTCATTCCCTTCTTTTTCTCATCCAGTCTGTGAACCTTATACAAGTAGGAGGAGGAGTATTGTGTTGTTTCATTCACGTTTTATTCATATTCATCAATTACTAGTAATAACTATAGACAAATAAATCTAGTTTATAGTTAGGAGGAGGTTTTATATATGTATTCATTCTGAGTAACAAACAAAACAGACAAGACAGGACAGACATAACAGACAGGAATTTATACTGACTGAGTAACACAACGCACACACATATATATATATAAATATACATACGTAGGAGGATGGATAGGATAAGGTTATTTTTTCAAACCAAATCTTATAAACCTCTTCAAGAGGTTTCAACGACAAACTCCGATGAGACAAACATCAACCAACAACAAGAGCAAGAACAAGAAGATAATCCATATCTCTCCAAACCAAGATTTAATGATCTTTCACCTGAAGACAATGCAAATATATTTCAAAAGGTATAACCACCACCTGTTTAGATTAGATTAGATTAGATTGATTGATGATTCAATACTTATACTTTAACATCTAACATTCACATTTTTTATAGCTTAGTTTTTCATGGGCTCAACAAACAGTTGATAGAGGCATTGTAAGAGCATTAGAGTTACCAGATATACCAAAATCACCATCATTCCTTCATGTTGAAACATCTTCAAAAAAATTAGATGATTTTGATTGGAGTAAAAAGTAAGTGTCCATGGAAATGAATAATAAGATGGAAATAATTATAATTATATCTTTACTAATAATATTTTTGATTTATTATAGAAACGCAATTATTCGAAAATGTTATCAACAATTTGTTTTTAAAAGCAAAGGATTCATTGCCATTAGATTACTTACAGTTCTTGGTTCATTAATTACACCTTTTATTTTACAACAGTTTGTATAATATTCCAAACCAACCGACCTATTTATTATTACCGAATGAATGTACTAATATGATTTATATATATATATATATTTTTATAGTTTTATTTTATTTATTCAAAACAAATCAGATTATCCAAGTTGGCAAGGATGGTTGCTATGTATTGCATTGTTTGTATCTAGTACACTCAATTCAGTTGGATTGCAACATGGATATTGGTATGGACTTTTACTTACCCTTCAAGTCAGAGGATCATTGACAAAAATTGTGTTTCAAAAGATGTTAAGATTAAACAACACTTCTAAACGTTCCTACACTGGAAAACTTTTAAATCTTGTTAGTGTTGATATAGAAAACTTTTTAGATTATTTTTGTAAATATATAGACAAAGAACAACAATCATTTCATTTCACCAAAGTGTGTGTCTAACCTTATCTATTTATTTATTTTATTTAATTATTTATTTATTTATTTATTTTAGGGAGTAATTGTGTTGATTTAGTTATTCATCCATTACAAGTTACTTTATTATTGGCATTGTTATGTTATTATATTGGATTGGCTGGATTTTTTGGATTCCTAGTGATGGCTCTTATGATTCCACTTAGTACTTTTACAAGTACAAAAGTAACAAAATATTTTTTAGTTTCACTTGATGTATGTAAACAAACAAACAAACAAACAATATAAACAAACTAAATAGATAGATAATGTGCTAAACTAACCTTTTCTTTTCTTTTCTTTAAGTTTTCAGATGAAAGAATTAAATTAATTGGAGAATTTATAAATGGAATTAGATTTTTAAAGTTGTATAATTGGGAACAATCATTTATTGATCGTATTCAAAAGTATAGAGATCATCAAATGGCAGCGCAATGGAGGAAATTTTTCTTTTGGTCGATTGATCAAACCATCATTCAACTCAGTAATGGATTGGTATTGTTTGTAGCATTGTCAATCTATACGATTAGAGGTAACGAGTTGACAGCTGCCATTGCATTTACAGTCATGACTATATTTGTCTTGCTCAGAGAACCAATCAACAAACTGCCAGAAGGGTGTCAACGTCTTCTCAAGGTACTGTCATCGGGCAGACGTTTGGAGAAATTTTTAAATGCACCAGAGACATCGACCAAGTCACTTACCGAACGTTCACTTGGTGGGTTTGAAATTGTAAATGGAGAATTTAGTTGGGATGATAGTTCTAATTTTGATGATTTCGACATCGATGAAAATGGAAATGAAAAGAAACAAGACAAAGAAAAAGATAATCAAGATGACAAGATGGGGTTGGATGATGGAGCCGATTCTTTAATGATGGTTGAAATGCTGCCAATCGCAGAGACACTTGGTATTGAAGATAGAAGACGATCGGTACTCAAGAATATTAATTTCCTTGCACCTCATGGCAAACTGACCATCATTGTTGGAAAGGTCGGCGAAGGCAAGTCATCACTAGTGTCTGCACTGATTGGGGAGATTTCAAAGTTGGGTGGAACAGTGTATGTTCCCGGGTCGATTGGGTATACTCCTCAAGTAGCATGGATGGTGTCTGGTAGTTTGCGAGACAACATTTTATTTGGTAAACCGTATGACAAGGAAAGATATATTAAAGTGATTGAGGCATGCTGTCTCAAACCGGATCTTGTTCAATTGGCAGCCAAAGATTTAACGGAAATTGGTGAAAAGGGTATCAACCTTAGTGGTGGTCAAAAACAAAGAATATCATTGGCTCGTTGTCTCTATAGCAATGCCGATTCATACGTTATGGATGAAACATTGAGTGCTGTCGATTCAGAGGTTGCCAAACATCTCTTTGACCATTGTATCACTGGTATGATGGATGGCAAGACACGTGTACTTGTCACACATCAACTTCAATTCCTTCCTCGTGCAGATCACATTGTCGTCGTCGAACAAGGAGGTCAACTCATTCAAGGAACTTATCGTCAACTAAAAGAACAAATTGATTTTGAATCAATCCTAAAATCAAAATTATCTTCAATCAACAAAAATGATGGAGAAACTAGTGAAAATGAACAAGTAAAAGAAGTAAAGAAAGAAAATGGCGTGGAAAATATTGATCAAGAGAATATTGATGAAGTATTTCAAGATATTATTGATGAAGCAAATGTTTCTTCATCTTCATCAACTCCAGTTATTCATCATCATCATCATCATGTTGAAAAGAAAGAAATTAATATTGATCAATGCATTTACATGGATGAAGATACAACTGATGAAAATAATATATTAAAATCAAAAGCAAAGTATGTATCAAAAAAAAAAACAAATCAAAATCAAATCAAATCATTTATTAATTATATATGTTAATTTTATAATATTTTTAGATTATTTGTACAAGAAGAATCATCAAAAGGAGAAGTAAAAAAGGATATTTACTTGAATTACTTTAAATCTGGAGCAAGTACATGGTTGTATGTATTGATTTTTGTGACTTATTTTTCGAGTCAGGCAATTTGGCAATCATCAGATTATTGGTTGGTCATTTGGTCAAATCATAGTATTCAACCAGAACCAGGATCTCGATTCTATCTACTAGTGTATATGGGATTCTTGATTGGTTTTGCTGCACTCTTGACAGTCCGTCATCTTATCATTACTAGTATGGGTTGGAATGCATCTAAATCACTCCATCACAAGCTTTTGAACAACGTATTTTATAGTAGTTGTGCATTCTTTGACAGTAATCCTGCAGGTCGTATTTTAAATAGATTTTCAAAGGATATTAATGATATCGATGAAACTTTGGTACAAGCCATTTCAGATATTCTTTTTTGTGGTTCCAATGTCATCCTGTCACTTGGTATTATGATTTATGTCAACCCTTGGATCTTACTCCCTTTTATACTATTACTCTTTGTATACAATTATGTTCAAAAGATGTATCGTGCATCTTCAAGAGAACTAAAGAGAATGGAGAGTATTGCTCGTAGTCCAGTTTACTCTCAGTTGACAGAGACGTTCAATGGGTTGCAATCGGTACGTGGGTTTGGTCAACAGGCTAGATTCACCTCGGAAATGTCCAGTCGTATCGATCTTAATCAACGTCTATTTTACCATAGTTTCTCGGTGAATAGATGGTTGGGTGTACGTCTCGAAGCTCTCTCGACTGCCATGGTCCTGCTATCATCTATCTTTTCAATGCTGAGTGCTAGCTCGAACCCGGGTGCAGCTGGTTTGGCCGTGTCGAGTGCCATTGGACTCACGGGTGTGCTCAACTGGACCATCCGTCAGTACACCGAGCTCGAAGTCAAGATGAACAGCGTCGAGCGTGTGCTAGAGTACGTCAACACCAAGCCCGAGGGTGCCCGCGTCGTCGAGAGTAACCGTCCGCCCGCCAACTGGCCGCAATACGGTGTCGTCGATTTCGAGGACGTCGAGGTGCGCTACCGCCCGACCATGGAGCCGTCGCTGCGCGGCATCACCCTGCGTGTTAGCGCGTCCAACAAGGTCGGTATCGTCGGTCGTACGGGCGCGGGCAAGAGCACCATTGGCGTGGCGCTCTTTCGCATGCTCGAATGTTCCAAGGGCGTCATCAAGATTGACGGCATCAACATTGGCGACATTGGCCTGTCGGACCTGCGCTCCAAACTCGGTGTCGTCCCACAAGAGCCGTTTATCTTTTCCGGCACCGTTCGTATGAATCTCGACCCTTACAACCTCTACACTGACCTGCAGTTGTGGGAGTCACTCGAGAAATCACAAATCAAGACGATTGTGCAGGCCATGCCCAATGGACTCGACAGTCTGTTGGACGAGGGTGGCGACGGCTTCTCGGTTGGCCAAAAGCAACTCTTGTGTCTGTCACGTGCACTCTTGCGTGATGCCAAGGTCGTCCTCATGGATGAGGCCAGCTCGTCGCTCGACTACCACACCGATGCCATCATCAAGCAGGTTGTCCACGACAACTTTAAGCATTCCACCGTACTGACCATCGCTCACAGACTCGACACTATCATTGACAGTGACAAGATCCTCGTAGTCGACGCCGGCCGTGTCATTGAATATGACCATCCAACAGTCCTACTCGAAAATCCATCTTCCAAATTCACTCAACTCATTCAAGCTCAATCCCATCTTTTGGATACAAACCACAACAACATTACTCCTGGAGGTCATATTCCAAATGAAATTAAATCAAATTAATAAAAACTAATGCTATATATAATTAGTAATATATATATTACCCCATCATCATTCCTATTCCTTCCTTGGGATAAGGACCTGTCCCTTTAGATTAACAAGATATATTGGTACCACATTAAAATCTTCAAAATGTCAGAGGAGGACGTTGAACCCAACAATTGTAAATATCTTTGGGAGCTCCAATCGTCGGGTTCGAAATGACAAACGAAGTGGGCCACGATTTACACTCAAAATGGTATTCATTAGAGAGAGTATTCTAACTTTAGGGGAGGGTCCCTCCCCTGCCCCTTTGGTTGAGGACATCTCTCCTGCATCCCCGCATTCGATCATTGTGTTGGATGTCAACCTGATCTTTTCACCTTGTATTCTCGTTCAACTCTAAGAGAGAGAGAGAAAAGATAGCGCGTGTTGTGTTGAACATCATCTCAAGGTATTTGGTTCTCATTCATTTTATTTCTCTATTCTATCTACCTATCTATCTTTATCTATATACTATACATTTAATAATAAGAGAGAGAGAGATACGAACCACTAAAGAATAAAGGTAATCAGTTAATTCACATACACCATTCTGCACAGTCAGTGTTCATTATCAAAATTACAATTACTATTAGTATTAGTACTCTATACTATTGTACCATACCACCAATATCTGGGGGGCAATTTCGGTTACTACCCTAACGACAATCTATATGCACACCACCGTTTTCAACCGTCCTCTAGACTTGCTTGGTATGATGAAACCGAAAAAAAAAGGGGGGCCAACATAGGCAGAGAAGCCACATAAAAACGTCGGTCGATACACTTCGATACTAAATCGTCATGACACACTCGAGAATATGAGGCGAGTCCTCAAGTCATCGAACAGCACCCCCTCAATAGTGTGGATGGATAGGACAAACTATCAGTTTGCTTTCACTGGTGGTGTAGGTGGAGATGAAACCAAAGTCGTAGGCACTTGCCTGCCTACCTTTAGATGGTAGTATGGTTTGGTTTGGAGTGAGAATTCATTGACTGTCCCTCTCCCTCTCTCTCACAAACTGATATCTTACCTCCTTCTAAATCTTTCATTTCTTTCTTTCTTTCTTTCTCCTCCTTTCTACATATTACTTTTTTTTTTTAAAAAGAACTCTAACTTTTACTGTTTTAGTACTTACGAAGATTATTACTTTTTTAATTTAATTATATTATTCTCTTATATTAAATATTTAATATCAAAGTTTAAGATTAAATAACAACAACAGTAATTAAGCCTAATCACACTTAGAGATTTGTAATAGATCTAATATCAATCAATTAGTCATAATCAATCATGTAAATATATATAAATATATATAAATATTAATCTATGATAGAGTTATCGTCACCACACACATAGATCGATCAAAAGAGATAGATATCTACTACTGTACATCTTTCTTGTGCTTTGGCGATAGATACCGTTTGTTGTTGAAGAAAAAACATCAAAATTCAAACCAAAGCAGATATCTGAGGTTTCATTAATGACTTTTCAGAGTGTGCAAGTCGATGTCATTTCATTCATTTTATTCTATACCTATACATACATATATCTGTCTTTGTCTATCTATCTATCTATTTATCTAATCTATCTATTTATCTAATCTATCGATCACAATCGATTATAATATTTTGTTTTCATATATCCATATATAAACAACATATCTATCTATATATCTTACTATTTTCAATTATCATAAAACACTATAGTATAGTAGAAACGCAAAGCTTTTACAATAACCCATCAATAGTATAGTATAGTATATGTTTTAGTATGTTTTGTTTGTAGCCAAATCGATTTAGCTACACCAACAACAACAACAACAAAGGAATCACATCATCACCCAACCCAAAAATAGTAGATTTATAGTAGGTTGGTAGGTTTGGGTTGGTTGGATGTCTGTCTATTTACATTATAAACAGAGACTTCATCATAACAAACACAAACATACCACCAAACAGCAGACTGCTGGTCTGCTCTGCTCTGCTGCTGTTTGTTAAAAGGGGGATGGTTTGGTTGTATAGTCGTCGCACATAACCCATCATTCCTCAACGCTTGCGTGTTCGTATCAACCACCATCATCACCTCCCTCCCTCCCTCCCTCCCTCTTCCTTACTAGTAAGTGCAAAGATGGATGTGGTGGTGTAACTCGATTTGCGATCGCACACGTAGAGAGAGGTGAGTGAGTGAACAAAAAGGATGGGATGCTCACTTGTTCACCTTCAGCACACTCACACACGTGATGATGTTTTCATTGGTGTGTGGTGAGGGTTTGCCTTCTACTTTGATGATATGCATGCATGCCAGAAGAGGAGAGAGAGCAAAGAAAGCAGCAGCAGCAACAACAAGCATCGTGGAGCTGACAACTTGTCAACTTCATTCTCTTTCATTCTCTCTATCCCATTCTCTCTCTCTCTTTCTCTTATCATCATCGCCATCATTTGACAAATCAAAGCAATAATAACAATAGTCTTTATTCATACATTTGTTCTTTCTTTCACTTTCAGTATACATCACATCACATCACATCGCATCGCATCGCTATAGCAAACCTTCATCAACTTCATTCATCCATCCCTCCCTTCTAGTCATTATCATCCCCCCTAAAAGTTATTCATCATACACTCTTACTTACTTACTTACTTGTATATTCTTCTTCTTCCTCTGTGTCAACCATTAGAGCCTTCTACATTCAATCAATCAATCAAGTCTTTTTTAAAAGAAGAAGAAATCCATATAGACAAACAAAAAAAAAAGATTATATATAAAGAGTCATTGATCAGATCATGAGTACCAGTCATTTGGCAGATGATTCGATTCGTCTCAACAACAAAAATGAATATGAAATTATAAATAGACAGTTCAATAGCAACAACAGCAGTGTTGTTGGAACACAGTCCAATGCAATGAATCCAGCTGCACTAAACAGCTTTATAAACATTGGTACAACCACGGCAGCGGCCATTACCGCAGGCCTCTATGGCAACAATGGTATCAATATAAATGGGGTCAACTCTTCTTCTACCTCTGCCAATAACAATTCGTCGCCAACTAATATGTATACAATCCAACCACAACAGGCACAACAATCACCATTCCAATCAACTCAACAACAACAACAACAACAACTATTTAATAATCAACAACAACAACAACAGCCTTCCCAAATCTATATAATCCCTCAACAACAACAACAAACTCCTCAACAACAACAATACTCACCCAATAACAATGGTATGAATCATCATCAACAAATGGTTCAAAACCCACAACTCCAACAATTGCAACAATTACTCCAAATACAGCAACAACAACAACAACAGCAGCAACCCCAAATACAACAACAACAACAACAACACCAACAACAACAACAACAACAACTTCAAACATTGGATAGTAAATATTTAGAGCTTGTTAAACAACAAGCTATGGAAATCAATAAGCGAGCAGAAGGCATGCCAGAATATGCCAATATCTATAAACCTGCAACACTTATTGAACAACAATTCCAACAGCAACAACAACAACAAGCATTTATTTTACAACAACAACAACAACATCAACAATTACAACAACAACATATACAACAACAACAACAACAACCTCTGCAACAACATATACAACAACAACAACAGATAACATCTACAACAACCACAACCAATACAATTAATGGCTCTGGAATAGCTTCTAACCATCATTCACCAATATCGAGCAGTGCCAATAGCCCAGTATTAATGTCATCACTTTCACCTACAATGCAACAACAAACACCCCAAACCTTTATGGATCAGCAACAGCAACAACAACAACAACAACAATCATATATGATTCAACAACAAATTTTCAACTCTACACCTACATCTGCCCTAACATCTCCACCATATACATCTGTTTTGGGCGCAACAACATCTCCAACTCAACAACCACTGACACTGCAACAATCGTCTTTGACCGATACCTCTGTCGTGCCTCTAATTTCGTCACAAACCACCATATCTGACCTCAATCTTGTAAATATTCAATCTACTCCACAATCCAGTCTCTCATCAGTTGGTGGCTCTACATTGTCACAGCAGCAGTCGACAATGACATCTACTATTAATATCAATGGTACCCTTGAAGAGGTGCCACAAGTCAAAAGAAAAAGAGGAAGACCACCCAAAAACAAAGATGGTTCGACATTGGCCAGTATGGCTGCTGCCGTTACTGCCGCAGCATCTACAACTACTGCTGTAGACGAGTCAAAGGCAAAGAGAACAACCTATCTCTGCAACAAGTGCAAGCAGCCAAAAAAGGGTCACAACTGCGCCTTTGGCAACGATGGCACCGACTCTGTGCCTGGAGACAATGACAACAACGAGGAAAACAGCAACACAACAGACATGCCAAAGAAAAAGAAAAAGGATAAACATTCCTCTTCATCCTCTTCTCCAAATAGCATCAACACTACCCTATCTTCCTCCTCTACTACCGAACACAGTTTTGATGAATTTAATAACCTTTTACAAAATGATAACCTTTTACAAAATATAACTTGTGATGATATTGGAGGTGGAACTACTAATAATAATAATAATAATACTAATAATAATAATAATAACAGTGGAAATGTATTGGGATTGATTAATCCTGCCATTCAAACAACTTTACAACCATCTTCGACTAATTTGGTATCAAACACAACAACATCAACAACAACAATTGTACAAAATAACCAACAACAACAAACATTTTATGATAATAGTAATAATAATAATTTAATTTCACAACAATTGTATTCAACTAATAATAATAATAATAATAATAATAATAATAATAATAATAATAGCTCTTCACCAATCAATACTCTTGATCAACAACAAACTTTGACTTCAACATTGTTATCAAATATCAATGGTAGTTTAAATTCTACAATGCTATCCTCTCAACTTTTAACCACTAATAGTTTAGCAATCCCAGATGCAACCTCTATCTCCATTCCAGTTATCCCATCTTATCAAGAAGATCAAGACGATGATGATGATGATGATCAAGATGAAGATGAACAAGAATAACCAAAAAAGAAAAAAAGAAAAAGAAAAATAAACAAATTAATATAAATAATTTAATATTTCCACAACAAGAAAAAATTAATTAAATCCATCCATATCCAGTATCGTACTACTATTTTTGATGCGCATAATTATTAAATCTTTTTCATAAAGAAAAAGAATGAATAATAAAATAGATTGAATTTCAATCAATAATTTATTTGGTTTTGTTTCTCTCTAAGTTTTGTTGTTGTTATATTCCATTATGATTATTATTGGATTGATTTCTTCTTTTTAAAAACATTTATATAAAAAATATGTTGTTGTTTGTTGTTGTTGTATTAATATTAGTTGAAGGATGATGGGATGAGGAAGAATGGGTGATTGATACTAGTACTTTTGGTATTTGTTAAATTAAATTATTATTGTTGTTGTTGTTATTGATTATTATTAGTTATATATTATTTGATTTATGTTTTTTAGTTTGTAAATTTAAGAATGATTGGAATCAAAATGATAGCCAAAACCAAAAGAACAACCAAAACAATAATAATTTGTAGCTTCATATTTCTGCACCACATTTGTCTTCTGATGGTGACTGTTTGTTTCTTAAAGAGACGAGCATTGTTGTTCATTGAAGCAGTCTTGTCTTGGAGATTTGATGCCTTGTCGTGATTGTCCAACATCAAACCAATGTTGTTGTGCATAACATCCTTTACCTTGTCTACTTCTTGTAGAATGGCTTGGGTCTTATTTGGTTGATTTGCATTATTATTTCCTCCGTGTGACATGATTGTATATTGATTATTATTGTGTTTAAAGGAAAAGAAGAAAGTTGAATTGAATGTAAAGAAGGTTGTTTTGTTGATAGAGTGAATAAACTTGAAGTTTAAGATCGGATTGTTTTATGTACCTAAATAAATATAATATAATATTAATTAGTATTATTATTCTTCTTATTTTATCCTAATTTAAATATATACAAATATAAAAAAAACAACAACTAATAATAATTAATTAAAAATAGAATGAATGTACTAGAGAGGGGTAAACAATGATTGATTGATTGATTGACTGATTGAATAAACTATCTTTTCTTTTTGTTGTTGTTGTTTCAAATAAATTAAATCACAAATAAAGCAAGAAGCAAGAGTAAGTAGAGTAATAAAGGAAATAAGAGCAATTCGAATGAGAATAGAATTGTTGTCGTTGAGATTTGATTGTTTGTTGTTATTGGGTTGATTTCTCTAGGTTGTGACTGCCAGGATAGTACTACTAGTGTAGTACTACTAGTGTATGTAGTGTATGCGTAGCTAGCTAGCTAGCTCTATCGAATCTTTCTTGTGTTGGTGGAGATGATGAGAATGCGAGGGAAAAAAAAAAGAAGAGGAATGATGGTGGTGGTGTGTAGTAGGGTAATAAAAGAGTAGTATCGCCAGCGTACAAACAAATGTAGTGTGAATAGAATAGGAGGATGCTGAGTTTCAATTGTGATAAATACAATGTAGTTGTTGTTGAGTTAGAAATCGATTGATGGTGCTGTGAGGTGGTGGAATATAGGGAGCAGTTGTGTAATTAAAAAAAAAATAGAAAAATTCAATTTTTTTTACCCCCCATCGCACACCACACACAAAGGGGTATGAGATAGATTGTTTTTCTAGTATGATGCGAAATAGAATTTGGAATTCCGACACAATGACTTTCCAGTTTACAATAAATCATTATCTAAATATCTCTATCTCTATCTCTCTCTCTCTCTCTCTCTTTGTGTGAGTGTTGTCTCTGTCTGAATCCATCTCTCTATCTATCTGATCACTTACAACAAATTACTTAAGTAAATAAATTAAAATAAATAAATAAATAAATAAGATATATATTATTATGTGTTAAGAAGATCGAATAGAATATTTATAGTTCCAAAAAAAAAGTATATCACTCAAAAAAAATTGTTGGGATAAAAATAAGTTTTTTGTCTCAAAAAGGAAGGTGAGTGACAGGAATCCTTGAAATTCCATCCATGAAAAATTGGAAGAGTGTAGAGGTATGTTCAATGAACTTGGAGAATTACTTTATGAGGATATTCAAATTATTATTATTCAGATCTACACATTTGAGAAATAATATTAATAATAGTATTAATATTAATAATAATACTTTATTTTGGGTTTTTTATATATTTTATTAACAAATAATAATAATATCAATTATATAATATATAAACACTGATCGATTCCCCATTGCTGATAATGGATATTTTATTTATTTCTTTTTTTTTTTTTTTTAAGAGACGAATGAGACGAGTCGGTCGAAACTATGTGTCATTTTTTTTTTACACAAATACTTTTTATATTAGTACTCGTCGTTTTTTTTTGTAAATATATATATATATATAGAGAGTTAAGATGGAATTACATCATTCAATACCAGGAGTAGTAACAAAGAGATATATTTCAGAGACAAAGGGAAGAGGAGTATTCACTGAAAAGTCATTCTCGAGTGGAGAGGTTATATTTTCAGAGGCACCTTTGTTCTCGGTGCAACACGTCTACAATAGAACGACCGCATGGACATGTGCTCATTGTTTTAGATTCTTGGGATCGCTCAACAAACAACTCAACCATTACAGACGTGTGTTTAAGCTCGTCGGGGACAAGGCCGGCGACTTTATCGAGACCGATCAGAACCCATACGACTACTCGACTGGCGTAGTGAGCTGTTTTGCCAAGTGCGGTGAAAAGTACTGTTCGGAGCAATGCAGAGAGACGGCATTCAACCGTCACCACCAGTTGTTGTGCGTGGGTGGCGATTCCGATGAATCGAGTCCCCTCTACAAGTTCAAGTTGCATGCCATCGACTCGAACGAACTCTTCTTTTTGGGTGGTCAGATTATCGCATCGCTCGTGTCGCGTGTGATGACTGCCAACGACCCCAATCTCGCATCTGTCATTTGTCAAGAGTTTCTCAAGCAATACTGTCACCGTGCATGGTGGGAGGTGCGTATTGACGACAACTTTACAGAGCAAGAGGCACGTACTTGGTCGGCCGAATCACTCGACCTGCTCAGAAAGTATCTCTACCCCATCCTCACATCGCACCCCCTCACCAACAACCAAACATTCATCGAGACCCTCCTCTCGATGGAATTCTACTCACATATCCTCGGCATGCTCGAGATGAACGACAACTCGATCGGATTCTCTCATCCACTCGAAAAGTTCCGTCGCCATATCGACGATACCAACAAGCCCGTCCCCGAGCAATTCCGTGCACACAGTCAAAACGCAATGAAAAAGGTAGTCGAAGCATTACGTCAATACCACGCTGAAAATGAAGATGATTGCGATGATGAAGAATGTAATCATCAAGATCATGATATGGCCGATGGAAATGGACATGCTCATGGACACGCTCATGGTCACGGTCATGGACACTCAGGAATGGATACTGAAGAAGAGGAAGAAATGAGAGAGATGGAATCTGAACAAAAGATGAATGATATGGAGGATGACGACGACGAAGACTATGATGTATTCCCATCGTTTGATGGATTTGGTATGTTTGGTCTACAAGCAATGATCAATCATTCCTGTGAACCAAACTGTCTTGTTGTGTTTGACAATGGCTCGAATTTCGCACACATCAAAGCATTGCGCGATATCCAAGCAGGCGAAGAGCTTTACCATTCATACATTGACGAAAATACCCCATTCGAAGAAAGAGAGCAAGAGTTGATCACTTATGGTTTCAAATGTATTTGCAGAAAATGTGTTTCAGAGAGACCAATCACGAATAATAATAATACAACACAACAATAAACAACACCCACATATATATATATACTAAACACAAACAAACAAACACACATCTCATGAGGGTTGATGAACATGATGGATGATGGAAACATATAGCTGGTTGCAGTGATGATATCTACCAAAAAAAGACAAAGAAATCAAAATCATCAACTCACTCAATTGTGGTCTATCAATCAACCAAAAACCAACCACCATACACCAAAACAATCCCCACCCACTCACCATTTTTAAGTGTGTTAACAATTGAAACAACACCCTAGGGTTAGGGGTAGGATAGACATTCTCATTGAAAAGTCAAGTGTGGGGGTGTGATGGATAGATGACACAATTGTGAAGGGGGTAGTGATTGTGAGTGAGAGTGTGTAGGAGGAGGAAGAATAGATAACCACTGCTGGCTGGGTGGCTCGCCAAAATTAAAATAGTTATTGAATTATTGTATGACAGAATATGGATGGGTAGAAAAAGGCACTCACATGGTACATACAGTCAGAGATAAAGAAATTTCCGAAAACAATAATAATAATAATTAATTTTAAACAAGTGGTATGTGTACCCTATTAAGTAGTCGTTGGAACATGTTGGTCGGAATTATTACCAACCATATATTGAAATTATATTAATTATAAAATTTAAATTAACATCATCCTCCTCTCTAGTTCCTCTCTTTTATATATTTATTAATAGTTGTAGAATCAAATAAATATTATTGTTATTATTTATATTTATATTTATTAATTAAAAAAATACAACAACAACAACAATGAGATTACATTCATCATTAATAGTATTATTACTATTATTTAGATTAGCATATTCAACTTCTATTCCATTATCAGCATGTGGTGTAAGTAATCAAACCAAACCAAACCAAACAAAAAAACAAAAAAACATATTATCACTTTTCAAAAATACTTACTTTTCCAACTCTATATTTATCCTACATTACTTATATTTATATTTATATAATTTAGTCAGGAGAAGCAGTGCAAAACCCTGCAACATCAGTTGGAACATGTGTTTTACCAGCTCCAACATCGATGGGTGTAGCTAGTGTAAGTGCACCATTCTTTGGTGACTCTAGAGTTTGTGGAGCTTGTTTCAATTTGACTGGATCCAAGGGTAGTACTATAGTGATGCTCTCCAATAAATGTGACAGTGGAGATGTTTGCACACAATCTGATCACGTTCATTTCATTCTCGCTCCAGCCGACTTTGCCAAGATTACCGACGCTGCAAGCACTCAGACAGCCAACAAAATTGGATACCAACAAGTAAGCTGTGATTTTGGAAAAAAGATTAGCTATCAATTGGCAAGCAAGCCAAATGCAGATTATCTTGGTATTAGATTCTCCGACATGGAAGCACCCATCCAATCGGTTAGATTGAATGGCTCACCAACTCCATTCGTCATTGAAAACAATGTTTGGGCATGGCGTAGTAATGGCAATGGAAAGGATAAAGCTCTGTACCCAGCAACCGTCATATTGACACCAGGCGCCAACGGTGGATCGCCCGTCTCTATCAGTGTCTCCCAAACAGCCACTGGATGGGTACTATCAACTGCCCAATTCAAACCAGTCTCTCCAGTTGGCCAAGACGTCTGTGTCACCGGCTCACCCAACCAATACATCTACCAAGACGCCTTGACCGCCGGATGGTCCGACCAAAGTTACTCGTACCAAGAACCAATCAACTATGCCTTCCCAGACCCAGACAATGTTATCCAAGCCAAGCTTACTGCTGGCGGTGCAGTCCAACTCAAATTCGAGGGTGGATTCTCGACCAAGTACATCGATGCTCTCAAATTCTCAATCAAGTCGAGTTCATTAACTTCAGTCAAAGTATTTTTCGGTAGTGAGACTGGTACAGCTGTAGATGTCACCTCTGAATTTGTTACACATACTCTTACCATTGAAGCACTTGGAGCTCAATCCTCTGAAACCTATTTGAGTTTCTTGAGTGCTCAACAAGGCACCTTTGAAATCAACAATATCATGTGGGTATTTGATACATCGATTCCAACCACTCCAGGCAACATTGATGTTATTGGAAAGCCAAAACCAGGTACCACAACATCTGGTGCGACCTCCTCCTCCTCAACAACCTCTAATACTATTCCAACTGGTAGTAGTGAATTCCCAGGCAGCGGAAGTGATGGAGGTCCATCTGGTGAAGGAAAGAATCAAAGTGGAGCAGCATCATCAGTACAATTTTATTTATCAGCTTTACTATCTTTACAATTATTATTATTATTACTTAATTAAATTAAACATCAACAAAATAGTAAATCCAATTTTTGAAACATTACAAACCAAACCAAAATCCCCAAACAACAATTCACGATCTTTATTAATATTAATTAAATAAATTTTAAGTATCCATATCGTTGTGTTTTAATATACTACCCCCCCAAAACAATCAATCAATCAATCAATCCATAAACGTAACATTAAGTAATTTAAATCTATTCAACTATTTTTTAACATTGAACAGGAATGTTCCCGATCTATGTTAACCGATAAAATATACATGTAATACTATTACATTTGTAGATATATCCATTTTAATTCTTTGATTCAATATCAACAACAAATATTAATTTAATTTATTTTTGGATGTGTACATGGGAGGACTGTCATTAAAATTAATTCGTTCGGATATTCGTATTATTATTTGTTTGTGGTTGGAAAGATGACACACACACACACACACACACACACACAAGATAGATAAGATAGATACACTACCACCAAGAGTGAGTGAATATCACTATGTTTAGTTCATCACAACAGCACCTATCACAAAGAGAGTCATAATAGATAAAAGATTGATGGGAAGAGAGTGTGATGATAGATAGTTTGTCATGTTTACAAGTAAACCCGAAAGTGAACAATTAAAGGCAGATAGATATATATCACTAGAGAGCCAGTTGACTAACCAGTCAATCAATCAAGTACTGAATGATGTGCATTGCACCAAATAAAGATGTGACAGGAGGTATGTGAACATTAATAATCTAATCACCTAACTTTTATACATATATACTAACTGATAGTATTATACAAATTAAAGAGGAACAACAAGTGAAAGGAATTACGAGTACTACTCATGATGATGATATTTTTAATTGTTGTACAAACACTATTAACAACAACAACAACAACAACCAACAACATCAATTGTTATTTGGATATTGTAGTAACATTATAATATTATCCATATGATTGATTTAAATATTAAAACAAAAAACAATACTACAAACTATAATAATAATAATATTAATAATAATAACAATAATTATAGTAATAATAATAATAATCGATCAATAATATTTTAATAATATTTATAATCATCAACAAATAATATTTATTTATTTAATTTATTTAATAGTAATAGTAATAATATCATAATAATGTATCATAGTAATAGTAATAATAATTTAATAATAATATTAATATTTTTAATATTAACATGTTGTATACTCACCGACAATAATAATAATCATAGAGTGGATGCTTCACCACCAAGAAAGCTACCGCCAGAGGAAGAAGAGGGTCTTATATTTAGTGATGACTCTGTCCTTGAAAATAGTAATGATCTGTTAACAGAAAAGCCCAAACAACAACAACAACAACACCAACAAACTTCATCATCCAAATCACATCGTCTATCCGAAGCTGAATTACTTTTAAATGGAGTTGGTGATGATTTTGAACAACCTCCTCTTCTTCCTCCTAAACCTACTACCTCTTCGACTACCACCACTACCACTGGAAAGATATTACCACCCAAGACTACTACCACAACGACTGGTCCAAAATCAACTCTTCCTCCTCTTTCAACAACCACTGGAACTGGATCCAAACCATCCTTACCTCCACATACTGGTACTACGACGACAAGTAAACCACGTATTACAACTTCAACTTCAACTTCCACTACGACCACTGGTAAACCTCCAGTCACATCGAAACCATCTTTACCACCACTTTCTACGACTACTGGAACTGGAACAACCAAACCGTCGGTAATACCTCCAACAACTATAAAACCTTCTCTTACTCCACTCACAACATCAAATATAAAACCTCGTGCAACTACTACTACTTCAAGCACAACTGGTAACAAATTACCTCCAATTGATGGGGAAGAAGAAGAACCTCCTCAAGATGAAGATGAATTATTTACTCCTACAAAAAAGCCAACAAGGGTACCAATACGATCAACTACTACTACTACTACAGCTACACCCAAATCTACAACAACTACTACTAAAACTGGTACAACTACATCTAAAATTGGTACGACAACAACATCTAAAATTAGTACACCTACACCAATAACAAAATTAACAGTACCACCAAAAAACGTAGAACCAACCAAGTCATCAACTCTAACAACATTGACAGGTAGAACTATTGGTGGTAGTAGTAGAACCACAGGTAAACATGGATTAGATGAAATACCATCTGGTAATGATGATGAAGAATTGTTATTCCCAAAGGGTGCATCCTCTGCCTCCTCTTCTTTAACTTCAAAAAGTACAAATGGTGGAACTGGTAAAATACCAAAACAAACCAAAGCACCAACTCCAAAACCAACCCTTGTACCAAGAAAGGTTAATGAAATCAATGGTCCTATTCCATTAGGTCCTTGTGGTGTAAGTTAAAACTATAAACTATATACCTATGTACTTTATTTATTAATTATATTTTATTTATCTTTTTTGTTATTCGTTTTAGTCTGGATCATGTATTGCAACAGAACAATTATCAGTTAGAGGAATGTGTCAATTACCAGTACCGACGGCAATGGGAATGGCAGCAATTAGTAAAGGATTCTTTTCAGGTGGACAGAGATGTGGACAATGTTTTAGATTGACTGGACCGCTTGGAAGTGTTGTGGTCATGGTGACAGACATGTGTAACCAAGGTGAGGATTGCGGTCAGACTGATAGAGCTCACTTTATCATTGCCAATGTCGACTATGAAAAGATAGCTCTACGTAACCAAACAAGCGAGATTTATTCGTTGGGTTACCAAGAAGTATCGTGTGAACACGAAGGCAACATCAATGCGACGTTTTTGGGTGGTGGAGAGGGGTCGATGGACTATGCATACTATTTCCGTGTCATGTTTTCAAACTATGCAGTTGGTATTACATCGGTGCAAGTCAGAGGCACCGGTATGAAGGGATACCAAAAGATGAAGTTGGAGAATGGAGGGTGGACGTGGAACAAGGCAGACAATGGCCCAAAGTTTGCATTCCCTGGTAGTTTGTTGGTTGGTGGGTCGGATGGCGAGTACATGGCCTACGAGTTTGACAAGGCCAAGGGTAACCTGGCCTACAACACATTGAAGCAGTTCACTCCGAGCCCGGGTGTCAACGACACCAAGATATGCACGTTGGCACTGGTACCCGAGTACATGTACGACGACCATCTTACCTATGGCTGGGACGTCTACCAAAGCTTCAACTTTACAGAGTTTACAATTGATGATACAAACGACCCGTACAGTGGTATCACTAATATTAGAATAGAACTAGAGGCGTACGGTGGTGTAGTGTTTAGTCGTGAAGGTGGGTTCACTACAAAGTACCTAAAATCTGTATCGTTTGCATGCAAGGTACATAAAGGTAAACCTATCCCATCGTTACGTATCTACTTTGAAAAGTCTGGTATCCCCACATCACTACCCAATCAGTTGTCGTATGAATGGCAAATATTTACAGTCTATGTTGACGGTCTGCAACCCAATGACATTGAATATGCGCTCGCCTTCAAGAGTGCACTTGGTGTACAGACCGTTATCTATCTCGACTATATCAAATGGGAGTTTACAACTGATATTCCAGACTCACCCGAAGTTGAAGCTCATACAGGTAACCCTGCTCAACTATCCACCATGTCACGTCCATTAATTACAACCTCTACAGGCGCCACATCTGGTACCAGTCTAGGATCCTCTTCACTTGGTGGTATCCTCGACTACCTTGATTCCTCCTCAACCACATACGGTCTACTTGGTACTACCAATACTGGTGGATCCCGTAAAAACCTCAATACCACAGATAATAGTAATGATGCATCATCCCATCTCAACTCTATTCCAACAACAACAACAATCAAAATTATTTTATTATCATTATCAATTCTAATTATTATTTAATTTAAATAAATAATACAAACAAACAAACAAACAAACAAATAATTTGTTTTGAAAGGGTATTATTATTTAGTAAAAGTATACTACTATCTTAATCCTTAAAAATACTGTTTAAATGATTTCCCAACTTTTTTTGGAACCAAGATATTTATATTTATGTTTTTTAGATATTCTTTCGCATCTTGTACTTACGTAGCCTGCAAGTGACAGTGTCCTTATCTTATACATGTATATGTTTGTATCACTGTATTTGTACAATTAAATAAATAATCAAATGAATATTACAACAACAACAAAACCACCACTACATTTATTTATCTCGATCTTATTGTTATTGTTTGTTTTCATTTCATCGACAGATGCAACTTGGGATTTACCACAAGATGAAAGTATGCATGATATATCAGATGATCACAGAGACAGACAGTAACAGTTTACTAAATACAATAACAATCTTCATTCTTTATCCTATAGTCAATTCATTATTATGGTTGAGATATAGATTTGGCATCAATTGGAATACTTCCATACCAATAGAAACACAAAACAATGTATTGTTTGAAAATGGTCATTTAACTGCAGTGTAAGAAGTCTTAGGATTGGTTAGTTAGTAATCAATCAATCAATCAATCAATCAATCAATCAATCAATCAATCAATCAATCAATCAATCAATCAATCAATCAATCAATCAATTACAATACTAACTATATTATATTGGATTTAAATAGAATACTTTCTGCATCAGCATCTGTTTATCCTGATCCTGGACTTGTTGGACCACTAATATTTTCACAAATTCAAACGATCAGTATCAAATCTGAACCTTATATCGGTTCTATCAGTGATATTTTCGATAGGATGTCAGTTACACCTACCTTGAATTCATTATAGTATGTACTAGTTATAATCAACTTATTTATTTTTCTTTCTATTTCTAATCCCTTATCTCTCTCTCTCTGTCTCTCTCTTTATAGTGTAACCAGTACAACAGCAACTACTGTTTATGATGGTTTTGCAACCATTTTCCCAAATTTAGAAACGGCGTAAGTCCATTCTTTTAATATATATATATATATATAAAACCTAACCGAAATACCTATTTCTCTATCTATCTATCTATATAATATATATATATACATACATATAGAACATTTTCACTGCCAAATTTAGAATCAATGACAGAATCATTGATTACACATCCAAAATTAAATTATTTGGCTTTAAGTATGACCCGTCTAACAAGTATGCCATACATGACTAAACAATCTAATTTGGTATCATTGTACGTACACCCTACTTGTAAATTATCATATACATTAATTAATATATTAATATTTACGCACATCTCCTCTAATGTTTATTGATTCATTTATTTATTTATTTATTTTTCTAGAAATTTAGGATTTGGAATAAGCGATTCTTTGATGACATTTGCAGAAACATCTTATCCAAAACTCAATACCCTTACAGTTGTCGTTGGTAATTCACCAAAATTCCAATTAAGAGTTCAAAGTACTGCAATCTCATCCTTGTAAGTTCAAATTTTGAATCAAAATCAAAATCAAAATTATCAATCAAATTCTAATATCTATCTATCTATCATATTTAGTTTTTATTCATCGAACGCTTTACTTAATAGAGTTGATATAATGACACCAAACACTAAAAAATTAATCTATTCATGTTTGCCTGGATCAACAACTGAGTTCCTCACAACTTATCTCGAACTATATAGTCGTCTAGAGGTTCTTTACCTATATGATATTCATGGATATGATTCATTCCCCTTTAATCTTCCTTCTCATAAACTTGTAGAATTGTAAATATCAAAAAAAAAAAACATTTTACAACTCTTAAATATTAATCAAAAATTTACATTCTTTACTTTAGAAATATAAAATCATCATCATTTGCAACTATAAATTTGGGTATGGTATCTTCACAGTATATTGGTATTTCAGAAAATGTAAATTTGACAACTATCCAAAACTTCCCTCCACCTGGTGTCTCTTCATTAGCCGTACAAGAAAATCCCATTCTATCGGGAAACATGTCTGACAATTTATGTCAAGTTACAACGTTTACTTTCAGGGGAACACCAGGCGTATACTTTCCAACATGTTACCAATGCTACGCCAACATTCCAGGATCAAATCAAGTAAGTGAGACTATTGCAGCACCCGTTTGCCCTCCATCACCTGCTGTATTTGCCAATAACTCTTATCCATCAATTGATTTTGGTAAGACTGTGACCATTGTTGGAGACTTTCTTGGATGGGCTAGTCCAGCGGCAGACGCCCCAGGTCTCACTGCCATCGTACCAAATAACAAGTTGGTCTATACCATGCCGGCGGGAGGAGGTCAACCAACTACAGTGACATTACAATTGTCAAAGGCCAAATCATACGTTAAACCACTCTATTGGTTTGATGCATCACTTCGAATCAACACCATAGCCATAGCCCAACAACCAACCAATATTCTGTTGCTAGTCAACGTCACAACAGGGTCGATACCAGTATCAGCCTATTATTTCAATCAAAACCAGGTATGTGATGTTGTAACTGTTGTCCAAGGTATAGCGGAATGTCGTATCCAATCATCAAGGTTACCATCACCAATTGGAAATATCGATTTCCTCGTCGAAAATGAATATACCTCTTCAAACAGTAGTGTTGTCTATACTCAATTATGGCCAATTATAAGACAATCCAATTCAATTAATACTTTGGGTGGTACTGTCATATTGTATGGTACATTTGAACCAAATATTCAAAATACAACCATCACTATAAACGATCAATCGTGTACTATTATCAATGCAACAACAAGTGCAGTTGCATGTCTATTGGGCGCCCCTACAACTAGTGGTTTGGCAACAGTTAAAATGAGTCAATACTCTTTTAACTTTACTTCAAGTAGAATACTCTACATTCAACAAACAAGTCAAGACTTGAAATCACTTTGTGAAAAACAAACCTCAAATTGTAATAATCGTGGTACATGTAATGATAATGGAGATTGTCAATGCAATTCTGGTTTTTATGGTACAAGTATGTTTAAATTAAAAAAAGAAAAAAGAAAAAAGAAAAAATAATAATAATATTTTAATTTATTTTATTTTTGTAGGTTGTGAATCAATTATTTATAATGGAACTGTATTTGTTGGTGATCCATCAAATCCAACGATAACATTTGAAGGAGCTAGTAGTGAATTTAAATTTAATTTCTCAATGATTAGTATTCAAGAAATAGATGTTTCATCAAATATCACTGCAGAGTTAATCACCAATAGTTGGATATCAACTGTAATCAATGAAACTAGTACAAGAGGAACTATTATCAATTATATACTCAATACTACTTCTACTGTCGGTGGTACAACTAAAAATGTTACCGCCACGGTTGAATTTACAGAATTATCAAAAGATTATGTATTTGGTGGTATTCAAACTACTATTCCTCCAAATTCAATTAAAGTATGTCGAATGTATTAATAATCATCTATCATTTACTTACCTTTTCACTTTTTTTTATTAGATATCAGTAAATATTACAGGATGGCAATACCAATCATCAATCAATACAATAAGAGTATTATTTGAAACAGATTATGATCCAACGCAACAACAATCGGAATGTGGTGGTGGTGGTAGTGATGATTCATCAGTAATTATCAACAAATTAGATAATATTCAATACCTTAGAGTTATAAAGAGTGGAGTTGTATTTTTGGGTAGATTCTTGGACTATGCAGTTGCAGATGGTCGTTCAGCTTTTTCCATAACAGAGCTTGTCAATACTACCACCTCAACAACAGGACAACAAACAAAAATAGTAGTTGGATTAAATTTCCCACATTGTGAGATGGAGTGTAATTTAGACCCATGGTTTAGTCCATTGATAACAGATACTGACATTTGTGCCGATCAAGATAAAAAGACAACATGGAAAATCATTACTATTGCAGTGGTATGTGGAGTATGTGGAGTTGCATTGGTGTTTGGTATTTTCTTTGCTTTTAGAAAAAAGATAATGGTTTGGTATAAAATTAAAAATTATGGAAAGAATAGTAATTCAATTAAAATGGAAAAATAAACCAAGTAATTTGCTTTTTTGTATTTTATTAAAGTATACTAGATCAAAAAGAGGGATTGCCAAGAGCGATGTGTATTTTTTGATTTCTCGCTCTACCATTTGAGCTAATTCTGAATTCGATAGATGGCATTCAAACTAATCAAAAATTATTATTTAAACAGATAGTATCTGTACGACTGTATGTGTACAAATGATTTTTTTGAGGGGTCTGTCACAGACAACTCCACAAATTTAATTAAAATTAATTCAAATAATTAATGACCCTAAATATATAAGCCCGTCCCAATTTAATCAAATATAGTATATATATAGATTGTTATCTTTTTATGATACTACGAGCTGATTTATTATAAAAACGGTGAGCTCAATTTTAAAAAACCGAAAAAGGAAAAAAAATCGATTCTCTAATCCATCACTGCTCTTGCGAAGTACATGTATGATAGAGATGGGTAATCTAGGGAACCAATTATTATATCTTTAGAACGATCGTAAAACCTACACCAAATTGTCAATCACAAATGAAATAATGACTATGTCCATCTATTGAGACCAACATCTGGGAACCTCAAATATGATTGATACAAAGAGGTAAATATTTAAACTTATCACAACTTTATATTGAGTTGGATGCGTGTGTCAACTAAAGATATTCTAGAACTAAAGTTTCAACTTGTATCTACAATCGAGTAATCTAGATTCAAACTTATAATGATTCACAAGATTAAATGGTAAGTGAAGTCTAAGATTTGGCCTTACTCGAGATTTCAATCCATTCAATACGAATAAATAGCAACGGTTATGTTAACTATATAGATACTAGGTAAATATATAATTAATTTGAGAGGTATAATAATAATAATAATATATAGATATATGAATATATAGATAATAGCTTTGTAAATGATTAATTATAGTAATAAAAAGATGAATTTATAAGAATGAATAATAATTGTAGCATTGAGATATCATTGATTTTAAACAATCTAGATTATCTCTACCAACTGTTTATTACTAGCTTACTGTTTTTATACTGTTGGTCTTTTCTTGTGGGAGTATAGATCAAGAATTACCTGTTATGACCTCTGATATATGTTACAATACTCTCATGTTTGATTTAAACCTTTTAGATGTTGAAAATCTGTTTGATATATAAATCTAGACAAGTCTGCTTCGTGATATTAAATAAAGAAGTGTCAGCAAGCAAGTCGTCTGGGTAGACCACCCACCTATCTTTAATAGATAGAAATCGTTCAACCCTCATAAAATGGGTCGATCAATAAATCGTTCAGTCCAAGGATAGTGAGGGGAAGGGTGACTGACCGATTCTACATAGCACCCCCAAGGCATCAAAAAGCAGAGAGCCTCCAAAAAAAAATTCATTCCCAATGACACCTCCCAAAAAAAAAATAAAAGATCCATGTGCAACCTCAACTAGCAGTAGCACCTCAACAACTTCAACTAGTACAACTTCAACAACAGCAACATCAATAGAAACAACTGTAGAGATTAAAAATTTTAAACTTCTTCAGTTAATAAACAATATCAACGATAAAGCAAGAGGACAAAATTCAAATGTACCAACACCCATCGCAACCATTCGTAACTCATTTCCAACATTAAACAGTCAACAACATCAAGAAAAAAGAAATAATATTTGTACCTATCTATATGAGAATTTCTCACAATTTAATCTAACCTTAGAGTTGGATCTTCAATCACCTTATAAACATCAAATTACAACATTACTTTTTAGTTTTGAAGAAGGAGAAAAAATATTGAAAAAAAATTTTCACCAAGATCACCATCCCCTCCACAATCACCTCATAAAAAACTAGCAGTTCCAAACACAACAACAAACAATCAAAATGTAACATCATTAGATTTTGCATGGGATGAATATCAAAAAGAGGATTACTATTATTATGTATGGGTTGATAAAGATCAGGTTCTCCTCGCTCAAGAACAAAACAATCGGAATGGAAATCGAGTCGGTCGAGTCGATCAAGTTCAACAAAAGATAATAGAAGAAAATAGAAAAAGAGATCGAGTAGTAGAAAGAGCAATAGCATTAGAAAAAGAAAAGAAAAGAAAAGCAGAGGTAGAAGGAGAAGATCAAAGAGAGGAGGAAAGAGAGCGTGAAAGAATTGAAAGAGAAAAAGAAAGAGAAAAGGAAGAGAGTGGAGACATTTACAAGGAGATGGAAGATTCAGCATTCTTTAGTTTCCTTGTTCGCGATCTTTATGCTTCTCTTCAAGGAACACCTCGAACAACCGACTTTTTCGATATGAAAGGATACTTTATAGTCATAAAGGATATCAAAATCTATTTTGTCGATAGAAAAAAGATTGATCCTACCATTCTTTCAATGATCAAAGGGTTGGAAATTGATCTCTACACTTGTAATAATAATAATAATAATAATAATAATAATATGACACCTATTCAATACTCTAAACAACAATTTTTGGAAACTGCACTTTCTCATTCTCGAAACCAAATTTGCAACAACAATCGTCAATTATATCTAAATCTTTATCACCATTTTCAACCAATACTGGAAAATGAAGAAAATCCTCTTTCCTATTCATTGGTGGAAGTATTGTATTCAGTATTGTTTAGCATGTCGTTCCCACACATGATTACAAAAGTGCCACATCAAATCGGTCATGACATTTTGGCTTGTGCCTATATTCTGTAAATTATCAAAAATCCACAATCAGACCTTGAAACATTCAAGAGACACTTGAAATGCGCAGCCATTCCAAACTGGTGTTTTGAAGTGCTTGATTATTACTTTAATCAGCAATTCCTCAACCTCAGAATAACTCCAGTCTCCAATGGCGAGTACAAAATCCCCAACGATCCACCTCCTGGTACCACTCATGCCTTTTTAGTTTCTTATCCAAAGAGATTAAACATTGGCAAGTACTATCTTCCCATCCCTTTGCTCAACAAAAAGATGGACACCTCTTATGTAGTGGCCATTTTCGAGATGGGTAACATTGTAATTGAATCAAGACCTGGATTGTACCTTGCCTTTTTAAAGTACCCCACGAATGAAAAAATGCCTGTAGGAGAATATATCAAAAATATTTTCAAACCATCTACATTTGTAAATGACTTGGTTGATCTAAAAAATTTGAAATATGATTGTGTATGTATAAACAAAAAAGAAAAAAAAAGAAAAAAAAGAGAAAATGTTTTAATTTTATTATTATTATTTTTTTTAGATTAATTTAGATCATTGGCTAACGAGTTTGGAAAAACATGATAATAGAATGATATCACTTCATGGAAATACCATTCCTAAACGAAAGATTATCAATCAAATAGTCAATGGTTCTTACCAACCAAATGGAATGAATGCATCTGGATCTACTTCTACCACTTCTACTTCTACCACCACCAACTCTATCATTGATGAAGACGATGGACCAACATATCGATACGTTTGGTTACTGTCAAGAGAAAGTACAGAGTCACAGGCTAAACGATCAACAGCAATGATCAACCAATTAGCTCTGGTCATAAATGCATTCCTTTTCATCAAAAAAGTTGGGCTACCAGATGATCCAGACGATGTGACATACTTTCCAAGACTGATACTAGAGATTATCAGTAGCTTTCGATTTTCGATCGATGAGCGTTTCCAAATGAACATTTTCATGAAATGTTCTAATCTCAATGATGTTGTTGTGGGTGCATCTCTTGAACGTATTTCTAGAAGAAAGCCAGACTATATTCAATTACGACAACATTTAAAAGTCAAGAAAATGAAAATGGTGATCTTGATGGCTCCAAAGGATTTGGTTGGAGATGGAAACCTATCAATGATGGTCGATTTTGGACAAAATCGAGTTTACTATGCCACAATGAAAGAGGATTGGAAGACTGCCAAATGGGAGCTCGAAATATCAGACCTAGATGAGTTTGAGGCGTTTCAGGTCAAAATCGAAGACACCTTTGACTCTTATCTTCAACTTGTTGCTCAATTGTCAGTCATTGGTAAAAGAACTAGTAAAATGAGATTCAAGAAACCTGAAGTCGACATTTTCAGAGCTGCTTTAGATATTCCTATCAAGAAATCAAATGTTTGCACTCACAAGAACTTCACCCAATGGTATTTCAAACCGAGTATCAAAGTCCAATACAACTCAGTTGAATTACATCTACTCTATTTTTCCAACCATTCAACAAGTAAGAGCAATAGAAGGTGTTCGAGCCAATACCTATATGCCAAGAAATGAAAGAATCAACAATGAATCTGATGAAACGGAATCTGATGATAAAGATGAAGATGAATTTGACAATGGTAAAGATGAATGGGAATCAGATCCAAGCCAAGAGGATTTTGATCATTTTGGATTTGACAAAGAAATTCAAGATTGGGAAAATGGTAACTATTAAATCTATTTATCTATTTTATCTATTAATTTTTTTAACAATCTATTCATTTAAAGAATTAGACGAGTTTCCAGCATGCAAAGAAATTCGAGACTTTGACAACAATGGAGAAAATTTTACATGTATCTCGACAGGTATTGATAGATTGATAAGAGGTCTAACATTTTTCAAACAATTAAATACCACCTCTTCTAAAAAGAAATGTCAAGTAGTCACTCTTCACCCACAATACGATTTCATCAAAAAGGTTCACACGCCTACCTATATATTGGAAACTCTCAATCGTATTCGAGCTTGGTTAGGATACCCCCCAATCACTGATCCAGAACTATTGAAAAGAATCAAAAACTATTCCGATTTTGTCACTTTTTTCATTGGCCGAGAAAGCTCCTTCAAAGCTCGTTTCAATATTATTACTTTTAGCTGGGAGTCTAGTCAGCTTTTGTATCCTGCCATTATCGACCAAGACAGCGAGAAGGACTTTACAATGTCTGTTGCCAGATCGGAATTGTTTGTCGACAATGTGCATCGTCATATTATGCCCTACTCGAGATATTTTTCCAACATTGAATCAATTGTTGGTGCTGGAAGATCGGGCTCCTACGACACTACTAGAAATCTTACAATGTCGGTAAAAGACTGCATCAATTCAGCTTTATCATTTTGTAAAGTGTCTCAAGAGGTCAGAGACCAGTTTTCTGCCGCCATCTCAGAGGCCTCTGCAACATTTCACAATGAATCTTTTGTAGGCAAAGCAATTACCAATGCCACCAAAGAGATTAGAACCTTGAAAATACAGTAAGAAAGATAAAAAAAACAACAATTGGAAAAAGGTAATTTTATTCTAACATACTTTTTTTCTTTTTTTCTTTTTTTCTTTTTTTCTTTTTTTCTTTTCTTTTCTTTTTATTTATTAGAGGAGAGGCTTTTTATCATCAAGCCAAAGATTATGATCCAAAAATCGATTATGAAACTGTCCAGAAGGATCAAAATGACAAGAATAGCAATAATATTCCAACATTTCAACGTCACGAAAGACCCAAATGCATAAAGTGCAAACATCATATGAACCAGCGCTTAAGCCCCTATTGCTCAGAAAAGTGTATCTTGGACCATAATAAAGACCCAGAGGATTATATGCAAAGGTGTTTTGTTTGTAACACTTTGTACTTTCAAGACAACAAAACTGGTGATTTTTGTCTAGAGTGCTACAGTAACCGAGCAAACAATAGAAGAAATATTCAACGTGAAAATGAAAGAGGTAATAGATAAATAATTAAAAATATAATAAATAATTAAATAAATAAATAAATAAATGTAAAAAAATCAAATTTGATAAAAACCACTTTTGTCGTTTTCATTATTCGGTTCATTTCGCTTTTAGTTGTTTCTTTCTTTTATATACAAATATAGATTACAGATGAATACTAAAATTCACCGAATCCAAATTTTAATACCCTTTTGTTTGGAATTGGTACAAGAGATCTCGATCAATTAGTATATACTATAGATAATAAAAAAATAATTAGATTATTTATTTATTTATTTTAATTGGTATTTCAAAAGGAAGTAGTATCTGGTCTGAAAGCCTTTCATTTCGATTATTTTAAATAATACTTGAAAAAAATGTCTTGTGTATAACTTTTTTTGATGTTATAATTAATTTTTTATTATTTCTTTGGTAACAATGGAAGAAGACGAAAATATCTATCTCTATCAGATTTCATGAACCACTCTCAACCAGTGCTCGTTTTCATGTAGCAAATGTTTTCGCAAAGTATATGGATACTTCACTGTCTACCCTTATACACCAGACTGGTCCTTTAATGGAAATTGATCCTAAAAGATTTAAACTTGAAAACCTCCCTCAACCATTATTAAACTTTGATTTCAAAAGTGCCGAGGTATTTCATGCTGTTATATGCTCCTTTTCACATGAAACTAGTAGGTATATACCCAACTATCTATCTATATTTTAAAAATAACTTTTAATGATCTATTTAATTTAGATTTAGGAGGTATGAAACCACCTTTAGAACAAGGCAATAGAATTTTTGAATATCGTTCGACCCGTGTTGGATGGATTTGGGTTACCAAGTATTGATATCATAAATATAATGAATGACCTACATTGTTTTATTGTAAAAATACTACCAAATGTTTTCTTTTTTCCCAGTTCTTTCTTACAAATTATTTTTAATAACAATATTCATATAAAGTATTGAAATCGATTGTTTATGAATATGTAATAACTTTATATGTATATATACTTTTTATAATGTGTCAATTTAAACAAGTTTTATGTAATCTATATCTATTAAGATTGATCGGAAAAGAGATTAATCTACAAAGTAGAATCAATGCAAGAGATGTCATTCGAAACAGACTGATGAATGTACCAATCAAAGAGAGCGATCTTCATCGTAATCGATTGGAAAGAGATGAACAGTTGTATGGCACCAAGACACAGCCATTCGATATCAACGCTCTCCGTCACCCAGATCTATTGATCAAAAGATTTCATCAAGCAAACAATGTAGAATGGATGTTACGTAATGGTTATATTTATCTGCTAAGAGATCGTTTGAGAATGTTTATTAAACGACAAAAAGAAAAAGAAGAAGATGAAGACAGGAATGAAGAGTCAAGAGCATATTATAGATTGGATATGGAAGGGTTATGGTATCGTTATATTACACCGACCAATTTGGATATTTTATCGGATAGAGATATCAAGAGACTTGTTCAATTGGCCATTTACAACCTAGACGATGAAATCAGTCTAGCAACGAGGATGAAAGGTATCACGCGATCTGGTAACGTCAGACTTTTCCAGATTGCATTGGCCAACATCAAACCATCGGCCTATCAATACTTCCTCAGAGATATTCTTCAAGATAGTTGTGAGGTTGGTAGTATCCAGATTCATGAAGAAATATTGAGGTATGACAAGAAACCAGTCACCAAGGCTGAACTATACGCATACCTCTACTATTCTTTATATAATCGTCAAAAGGATATGGTCCGTTATCTATTGGAGAAATATGGACGACCAAACACAGCATACACAAGTTCATCCAGCTTGTACGACTGTCTTTATCATTTGCTAGAGACCAATGACCCAGAAATGTACAATCTATTGGTAATTGAAAAAAGAATTGTTTTTGATACAACAATATCACAGTATCTCGATTACTATGCTTCGACTTTACAAAATATCACCACTGTAACCAAACAACATGTCGAAATGTTACAACTAGTCAAAACTCTTCGTCATGGTCTACCAAGAAATTTGGATTATATCTCTGATACCCTCATACAAATAGTAAAAGAGAATCCTCTTCACTCGATAGCGTTTAATGACGGGCACAAATTCGATCAAATTACTAGGATATTAGAATCATTAGAATTAATAATGATGAATATTGGAATGGAACCAAGTAAATTGCTATGTCAAGCATTTGATAAAGCTTTAAATTCCATCCAAAAAACATTCAAAAGTGTAATCATCACCGAATACATGTACAATCATGTTTGTCCAATGATCAATAATGGTCCAATGTTACTTTTCGATGCTACATGCAAATCTGGTGATTTGTCAAGTGTAAAGTGGATTTATCAAAAACTAGTCGACGATCAAATTCACATTCAATTTAACCAGGTCACTCACAGTGAAGAGGTATTCAAGTTTTTAGAAACAAAGTTTGATTTCACCACTAAATATCTCACTAGAATGTTGGAAGAAGCAATAGAGATTAATGACTTTGGACTCGTCTATCAAGTGTTGTACCACCACATTGACAAACTTCAAATTCTTCCCAAACACATATTTGTCAATGCTCTATGTACATGCAACCTAGAGATTGTCAGTTATCTGTTGGAAACCTATCATCTTCAAGTTGAATGCTTTGTCTTTGACGACAGAGATCTTTTTAAAATATTTGAAAATAGTAGAGTAGTATACTTTTTCGTTAAACATTTTAAAAAACTTGCTTCATGGATGATAGATATGAATGGATTCTTTAGGTTCAAGGTTGAAGACATTGTATCACTCGCAATCTATTACAACCGTATGGATATTGTCCAATACTTTCAACCTCAAACCATTTGTGGTGGACTGGAACAGTACTTGGGGACATCAGAGGAAATGCTCACTTTGGTCTTTGGTCGTCTACCACATCACCAACAATTAAAAGATCGAGCATGGATGGATCTTGGAAGAATTGGCAGTATCAAATTGCTAGAAAGAGTACTATCACAATTTCCTCGCCAAACCATTCAAACTAAATTCTCTGATATCTTTTATGGTGCCTATTCTCATGGAAACGCCAACGTTATCAATTATCTTGAAGAGAAATATAATTTACACTACAATGAGAGGATATACAAGAAAAACATCAAAATTCTATTATCAAACAATCAATTTCATTTATTTAAAACAAATGATTTGGTTCGAACTTATGTTGAATCTTGTCAATTAAAAATCTCTTCTTTTAGTGATCAAGTATTAATAACAATAAAAAAATATTAATATTAATAATAATAATAATAAAATATTAATATTAATTGGATATATTGGAATTTCCGAAAATAAATAATAAAATTAAATATTTATTTACAAATTTGGATACTAGGGAAAGAAAAAAAAAAGTAAATCTGTGTAAAGAGACAGATGACTTTAAAAGAGGAGGGAGGTGGGGAAATAAATATGTTGTTGGTTCAAAGAGGTCTATTATAAATAATGAATCTATACAATAATATTTGAAGATGCGAAAAGTTGATGTTTGGCCGTTGGTTGGTTGGTTGGTTGGTTGGTTGTGTTGTAATATTTAAATTTCTATCTATTTGTTGTTTTTAGGAACAAATAATATTATTAATATTCATAACACCAGTTTTAACATCAGAGCAAGAAAATCTTCTTTTCTTGACACGGGTGTTATCATCTGAGAGATCGGCTACCATCGATGATGGCACTTCTGGTGGATCACTTAGACTTTGAAAACTATTTGGATGGGATGGATGGTTCTCGCTAATGATGGTTGGAGAGGAAGAGTCTTGTTGGTCTTCCAACTCTTCAAATTGAGTGGCAGTCATTGCCAAGGCATCCAATGAAGAAACGGCACAAAGGCTTTCGACACTTGAGGTTCTGGTAGTTGTAGTGGTGGTTGTAGTGGTGACTGGAGTGGCGGTGGTGGTGATGTTACGGATATTGTTTGTACAATCGGTGGTATTTAAAATGCTATTATGAGAGATTGATCGGGTTCTGTGTGTTGTAGTAGAGAATGGAGAGCTTTTTACATTGATTTGTTGAACACCATTAATTTGGTGGTTATTGCTATTATTATTATTAGTATTGTTGTTGTTGTTGTTGATGTTGTTGTTGGTAATGATTAAAGTGGAGTTTGAAGAATTCGATGATTCATCTTCAGAATCACTTTGATCGTCGAATGATATTTGAGGTGAAGAATTTGAAATGGGTGACATTGATGGGATCTCACCATCAACACCATGGAGGGCGGCAAGGGCAGAGGCAGTAGCCGAACTATGATACTTTTTATATTTCTTTCTACCCCCACTTGAAATTGGTGTGGTTGAAGTACTCGAGAAATCTTCAATCTTGGCCGAATTTCCATTTGAAGTAAATACTTTAGTAATACTAGTTGGATAACAAAAAGTATTCTAAAAATAAATAATAAAATTAAATAAATATTAATATTTTTTTTCTTTTTCTTTTTTCTTATTCTTATTTTTTCTTTTTTTTTTTTACTTACACTAATAACTTTAAATTCAACAAGATAACCAATAGCACCAAAGAGAGTAGTGATAAAGGACATATTTTGAATTGGATTTTCAATCCATAATCCAACTACTTTGGAGAACTTTTCTTGCTTTTGACTACCAAATGTAGATTTAAAGAGTGGTAGACTATTGCAAACGTCCCAGAGTTGTTTGCGAGACGAAGAGGAGAGAGCGTCGAGTTGGGGACTCCAATAGTCTAAAAGGGCCAATTGTTGTACTACGGATTGGAACGAGATACCCCAGAGATTGGATGTGGTCAATTGTGGGATGAGATATGGATTGGATGGGACTGTACTCTCGTCGTCTTGAGTCTGTGGCGAAAACTCCTTAAAGAGGTTAAAGTTCTTTTGTTGGGCACTGACAAAGGCCAAGTTTAACATTTGGAGGGCTTGAAAGTGTGGTGTTTGTTCATTGATTAACGTGTTGAGAAAGGGTGTGATCTTGGCAGACGATCTGCTATCGAAAAGTGGGATCTCTGGCAAGGACAAATCGGAAATATCAATACCAAAGGAATCACGAACACTCAAATCAGCAAACTCTCTCCACACGTGTGAACGAGCAGATGGTGAGCACTTGTCAATTTTCTTGCACATTTCTCGGAGATTGCAAATAATAGTATCCAATTTTTGGATGGTTGATAAACTATTGGTAGATGACGAAGAAGAAGAGGTGGTAGGTTGTTGTTGTTGTTGAGAGGAAGTAGAAAATGTAAACTTGTTTCCAAAAACGGCCGACAATGAAGAAGATGAAGATGAAGATGTCATAGAAGATGGAGAAGAGGCGATTGGTGGAGAGGAAATGGCTGGGGATTGAATGTCATCGATCAAAAGTGGGGAATTTGACCTTGAAGACGATGTCGATCTAATTTGTTGAGAGTATCCATGTTGATTATTCGAATTGTTATTATTATTATTGTTATTATTATTATTGGTTGTGAATGGAACTCTGGTATCTTCGTCGGTAGATATCATATCATCCAAAGATCTCTTGTGTGGTTGATTATATGATATGATTTCTATATTATTGAAATTCTTATTCTTTTGTTTTTGGTTATGATTATGGTGGTTTAGATTATTAATTGAATTGGATGTCATTTTGGAAAAAAAAGATAAACTATGAATATTTACAAAAAAAAGGTTGGTAATATTATAATTAATATTATTATTATTATTATTATTATTAGTATTATTATTTACAAAGGTTGGTAATATTATTATTATTATAATTATTATTATTATTATTATTATTTACAAATGGTTGGGTAGTGAGAAAAAAGAAAGAAGAATTTCTATTAATAAAACTGTGTCGATCAATATTGATAATTATTTTTGTGTACAATGAGAATAACAATGAAATTAATTATATACAACATAATATAAATAAATAAAAAAAACTATTTATAAACTATTAACGACGATTATTTGGTTGGTAGTTGGTTGTTGGAAATAATTAAAGGAAGTTGTACAACAATAAATAAATAAATAATAGATAGATACAAATAATGATGATGAACAAAAAAAAAATCAAAAAAAGATGTTGGTAAAACTATTAATTACTTAAAAATCTATCTATTGCGCAAGTGCAAAAGTTGGTGGTTATAAAAGAAGTTGAAATATTATCTGTAGATAAAACTTTAAAAAAATAAATGTGGGAGATTGTGTAACACTGGTAAAACTAAAAAAAAAAAAACTAAGATATTTAATTATTTAAATGTGTGTGTGTATGTGTGTATGTATAAATGAAGTTGTAGTTGTTTAAGTGGATAAAACGTAAAAAATAGCTATGCGATCCTAACCATCAACCTCCCCTTTTTGATGTTGGTTGGTTGGCCTTGTCACCCACCAATCACGGCGATACTTTATCGCGCAAGTAAATAAATTTAATTAAAATTAATTAAAACTTGGGAAGAATCAACGAAGATGTAGTAAGTAGTAAGTAGAGAAGTAAGGACCGTACTGGTACCAACCACCACACAAAAAAAAAGTATGATGTTGTTCTAAATTGGTGGTTGGAACTACTTCCTCTTAAACTCTTATGGTAATTGATTACGAAAGAAGAACAAGATAGATTGTAAAAAAAAAAAAAATCTGATTTTTTTTTTTAAAACTTCATCTTTATCTGTTACGTAAAATCTAGAACATTCTCTGAAAATGCAACCATGCTTTAATTTACCTTTCTCTCTCTTTTGAGTCACACAAACAGGTATTATGTAATAATTTGATGTAATGTTACAATTGATGAATGAGAAAAAATAATAATTAAAACAACAAGTTGATTGATTTGGGGTTGGTTGAATTGGATTGTCGAACACATCAACAAGATAATTTGATAAATATCAAACAAAAGTGTTGTCGTAGTCAGAGAAGATGAGAGATAAGAGTAAGCCAATATATAACCACAAAAAAAAAGGGTATTCCTTCCTTAAATGGGTTTACTCGGTTTGGAGATGACCAAGATGGGTTTTCTCGGGTTTGTTGTTGTGATGGGCTTGCCCACGAGGATTAGTGCCAAACCTGGTGTGTATCAACCCAAAATATAGATAGATAGAAGTAAGGTCGGGGAGTGGGAGAGGAGGTAACAAGCCCAATCTCTTTTTTTAAGAATGGGGAAAAAGTTGATGAAAAGGCATGTTCCCCGATTTCGTAAGGGGAGAGATGAAGTGTTGACTACTTTGCGAGTGTTTGATGATTACCTTGAATTGGGGTGTGCCTGTGAAGAATATAGATATATAAAATTCTTCAATGTGTGTGTGTATGTTTAACTGTGTAACTATAACTATCTGTGAATGAGATGAATTAAAAGTTATCCTGCAGCGAGTGCTCGTGTACTGTACCCAACTAAAAGAATCTGATCTGCTTTAGGCTTTCGCTTGTTCAAATGGACAAAGATTTTTATAGATTTTTTTCGTTAATTTGTCAGACACGAGAAATAGAGGGGACTGGGATCTAGTTAATTAATCAAAACAGCCGACGTCTGATACCATGAACTAGATCTGGTTCAATTCACGCTATCTTTAGCCTTTTTTTGTACAGTCGACAAGATATTTTCAAATAACAAGTGGTGTAAAAAGAAAGTATGAACTACTCGATTCGATAACATTAAGTATCACAATAAAAGATGATGATAACAAATAGGGGACAAAAGAAGAAGAAGAGAAGAAGAACCACAAACACAATCACAGATTCATTCTATCTTTTTAAGAAGAAGAACTGAACCACCAGGTTACTCTTTTCATCCTTTTTCTCTTTACTATCAGAATATTGAATTGAATTGAATTGATATGATAGGACAGAATTCTTTCACGAGAAAACAAACAACAAATAATGACTTTGATTGATGTATAATGACGATTACAATGATATTTACCTTTTGGGTTGTGGAAATTGAATCTGTTTGAATCTGTTTTACAATTGGTGTATGGTTAGTTACTTTTTCTATATAGAATAGAGAGTAGAGAGAAAAAAAATAATAATAATAATATTGCAAAATATATAATTATATAAAAAGATTGATTAAAGTTAGAATCGAAAAGTAAAATAATAATAAAATAATAATAAATAAATTAAAAAAGAAAGAGTGGAGTGAGATGAGATGAATGTAATTGGATTGGTTAAGAATATATCTCTTCTACTCTACTACTTGTTCCATTCCCTATTTTCAAAAGTATAAATTAAAAGAGGAAGATATTTTATGGCATCGTGATTATTTGATTTCTCAACACACACATCCACCTACACCTTTAATCTTGATCACCTCCCTCATCCTATCCTACCTTTGTACACTTTTTATTTCTGTATGAATGAATGGGATAGAATGGAAAGGCAAACATAAAATATACAAGTTTGTGGTCATTGGCAATTGAAAACCCCATTGTCATGAATCCAATGATTGTGTTCAAATATACTCCTCCTCCTCTTCCTTTCAACAATCACCCACACATGCTCGAAATATTAAAATAATAAATTCCACAGGGAGGGGATCGATGTAGGGTGGTTCATATCTTCTTTACGATCATCCCTCCAATCAAAAACAAGCGAAAAAATCTGGATTTTTAGGGGTGGTTCCACAAAAAAAAGTTGATTGGTGGTGCTGATCCTATCATATCAATAATATTGATGAATAAGATAGATAGAATCGGTGTCTTTGGAAACAAAAATATATACACAATAAAGAAGAAAGAATAGGATTTTTTTTTTTAACAAGATAATCTTACTTTTTGTTTTTTTTTTTTTGGTTTTACAAAAGTGGTATTTACAAATATTAATGGTACAATGAATATAATGATTGGCAATGATGATGATGGATTATATATATATAAAAAGATATTATTAATTTTAATTTATGAATTATGAATTATGAAATATGATTCTGGGTTTTAAAATGGTACAATAAGGAAATATTACAAGATTTACAAATGATGAAGATGTGGATAGATTAACAATGTAAAGATATATCTATATTTGTTGTTGTTGTTGTGGAATTAATTAAATAAATAAAAGTAGAATTGAGGAATTTATCAAGTGTGTTTGGAAAACGTTTATACTTATTGGTGGTTTGATCGACACTTGATTGATAAATACTCATCATTAATCAGAGAGTCTGATGGAAAAAAACAAAATACCACTCAATCAAGTGTGATTTACTAAAACAGGCGAAAGGGTTGTAAAAAATCTAACAAATTGATTGACCTTGTAAAATTAGAGCCCCATACCCCCACTAATTGAATCTGCGTATACAATCTCTCCATGCAGGATAGAGAGTTTGGAGAGTGTCGATTGATCAAGTGTGCAGAGCCGTATTCATTCCTTGCATCATGTATTCTTTGATCCGGATTGTAAGGCTGCTTTCTTGTCTGAAGATCACACACACTCTTCATCTCTACCCTCCATATTTAAAGGGGTAGGTGGGAGGGTGGCCCTTTAATATTATAAAGTAGAGCGGAGAGATGAATCTACCACTCACTAGTATAGTGATGAATTAAATCACCTTGTTGTGATGTTCTTCCCACACGGATATTTGTCTAATATCTAAAATCCCAACAACACCCAGCCCAGAAAAGTACCCCTAGATCCGATCTCTCACTCTCCAAACTCTTTTAAAGGTTTACCCCCTCTTAATGTCTTTAAATGAACAGATCAGAATCCTCTCTCTCTCTCTCTCCTCTTAATCTTTTTTAGAACCATTATTCGAATAAAATTTAAATTACCTTTTCCCCCCGGGTAAGGTAGGGTTGGAACATCAACAACAACAACAATGCCCACACATGGGGTGTAGTTGTCAACATTGAGAGTACAATGACCAAATTGATTGAAAACAATCAATATAATTGGTGTTGTTTGAACATCATCACTTGTTCTAAAATTGCAATGAAACAGATTACAAATTAATGCACAATAATAATAATAATAATAAGTGTGGTAGGGGATCATATGCTTGGTTTTAAAATCTCACTATTGGGGAGACCCAATCAATCAAACAATAGAATGATGATTGATTGAATACTATAATAAACAAATTATTTATCTGTCAGAGAGATGAGAGATAATGTAAGACAACTTGGATATTCTTTTTCACAACAAAAAAAAGGATTCAATTTGATTAGATGGTTTATTTCTTTTTCTTGTTTAGGTGTTGATCCTCGAGTTGTTTTAATATCTTCTTTTCCTGTTGTTTGTTTGGAACAGTTTGATTTAATCTGGTAGCTGTTTTCTTTTCGCTCTTTTTCTTTTGTTGTAACTCTTTGTTGAACTGGGACAATTCTTTTGTGCCGACTGGTTGGATGGTCACACCAGCCTCGACACGCAACTTGGGTTCAATCAATTTCTTAAATGCAGAATATGTATTCCAATCTGGACCAATTGGAGTTTCCAATGTATTTTCATATTGTTCCTTGTTGACATAATGACGTGGAATATTATTAATCATATATTTACCAATTCCTCCCTAAATTTAAAATAAATAATAATAAATAATAAATTGTTAGTTTAGTTAAAAATCAAGATCATCTCAATTATCGTGAGATGGTAATCATCCAATCATCCAATTGGAATTGTTGTCATTCTTGTCGTTGTCGTCGCCCCATTCCCATCAGTTTCCAAAAAAAGGATAATATCCTTTTTGAAACGAGATAGAACAATAATAATAATAGACGAACACGAATTCGACAGCCGACCGGATTGGTGTTGTTGGTTGTGATATAGTATAATACAAATGTCACGAGGACATGATGGTTGATTCATACCTTTAGAGCTGCATCGTCAATAATAACCTTATTGTTGGTAATATCTGTTCTCTTTGAAGCCAAATCCTTAACTTGAGCATCACGTTGGATTTTTTGTTTCTAAATTAATAATAAAAGATATTTCGACGTTAGTTAACTATTGAACGAATGTTTGTGCGAGTGGTGGTGGACAGATACAAAGAATCCCAAGTCGGGATTGATTGTCTATGCCATTTATCGAAAAAGAGAGAGGACATGAGAGAGAGAGATATATAATGAAATGGGGTTGATTTTATAAACAGCGATGGATGGTTTGATGTTGATGATCAGATTATCTAAATTTATCAATGAACGCGATGGAAGAGATTTGTTGTTGGGGTATGTTGTAAAAATAGATGTAGTTTATGGGGTGATTGTTGGTTGGTGGCGGAACCACCACAAAAAAACCACGTTATCAACCCAAAATGATTTTGACGATTCGTTTTCCACATGCAAGGACACTGACACACTTTTTTTTTTTTGATCAACTACTCGATCGAATAAAAGTAAGAAAGTGTCACTGACCAAACCGCATTGCATGAACCGAATAAAAACTAACGGTTATTCGTACACACGACAACGACAATAGGAATAGCAGTAAACCCTCGGGGTTTCAATATTATTCGAATAAATGAAAATCTTGATTTTTTCTTTGAACTTGTTGAATGTTGTTTGTGTGTTTGAGTTGTGGCTCATCTATACCAATTCCAAAAATATACTTATCTCTATTCAAACCTTTTCCTTTTATATCTCTTTCTCTCTTTCTCTTCTCTTTGTCTTTTTTTATATCTATTTTTTTTTGTAACATACCTTTCTTTTTTGAATTTCAAATTTACTTTGTTTTACACCATCACCAGCCCAAGAACCCCAACCTGGTAAAGAAGCATCTTGAGTTGGAGCAACTGCATTTTCGATTAATTCATCCTTTTCTTGTTCAAATTCCTCTTGAACACCATCATTTTCAAATGCCTTTTTAAGGAGATCCTTTTGTTTCTTGGAGGTGATAAGAGACATTGATTGATTTTTCTTGCTATTCTTGTTGTTGTTGCTATTCTTTTTTGGTTTTTTTAGAATCTTCTTTAATTTCCAAATCACCAGATTTTTGAGCATCTTCCATAACCTTGTCCATATCAATCATTAATTGATTACTTGCTTTTTTCTTTTCCTTGCTACCAGTTCCAGCTTGACTTCTTTCTGTTCCGTTTATCCATGGATTTGAATCGGCCGATTCCTCTTCCTCTTGTTCATCCTCTACATGTTTACGTTTCTTTTTATCATTTTCGTCAATCTTGATCTTTACATAGTCTGCAACCTTTTTGTTTGTTGAAGCTGTGATATCACTAGACTTTACATTTTCAATGTCAACAGAAGCAGCTTGACCAACTGAAATAGATGTTGAAGTTTTCATCTTGTGACCACTTGAAAAGGCAACCTTGTCAACTAATTGACCAGTAGTATCAGACTTTGTAGTTTGTGATTGTTGTTGTTGTTTGGCAACTGGACGATGAATGGCGATATGACCACTATACTCCTTATCAATTTGTTGTTTCTTCTTTTCTTGTGCTTCCATGGCATCATAGTCGTCGTTGCCATGAATCTTTCTTTGGATTTGTTGGTCGAGGTCACGCTCGACGCTGTTTTGCATAAACTTGAGTGCGTTGATACCCTTGTCCGAGACGATTTCCTTGGCGTTTGGATTCATGCCAAGGAGACCCAACTTTTGTTGGATTCTCTCTTTGATGGGGAGAGTGGTGTCCAAGTCCTCGACATCACGCTCGCTAATGTCTCTGTCAACCGACTTGTACATTTGTTCGTCCTTGTTGTTGGAGGATGGGGTGTCATCGTCATCGCTAGCATCGCTGTCGCTAAACTCTTGACGTACACTCTTCATCTTGTTCTTGAGCTCGAGGTGAGTCTGGTGTTGCTCGTTGATGGCTTGGCGACGCTCGAGGTTGAGACCGCCCTTGAGCACATTCTTCATAAACTTGGACTTGTTGGTGTGACGTTGGTTCATACGCTCGACGATACGAGCTTCTTCGGCAGCCAACTGCTTGTGACGGGCATACTCTGGGTCGAGCTTAGAGAGCTCTTCGTCACGCTTCTCCATCTCCTTGATACGCTGTTTCTTGAGGATCTTGCGGTACGTCTTGCTCTTGATCTTGGACTGACGCTTATTCTTTTGTGCCTCATAGTACATCTTGTTACGCAACGCAATGATCTCGTTGAGACGTTCCTTGTCTTCGTGTAACTCCTTTTTAGTCTTTTTCTTCTTGTCCCCTCCAGAGCCAGCTGCGTTGACAGCCATGTTGTTGGGGAGCCCGTCCTTTTTGAGAGCACTGCCAATGAGTCTGTTGAGGTCGGTTGCTTGGGTAGCAGTTCCCAATACACTGACATCGTTGACAGTCTCGACACGACGCTTGTAGACGACGGTGGCGAGTTCACGTTGGTGTCTGATGAAACGGTCCCATTTGGCCAACGACTTTTCAACATCTTGTGTGGCTATCTTACGCGACAATTTAGCCTGGTCGATATGGTTCAATGGCTTGGACAACGCACCTCCACCACTAGCAACACCTTGTAACTGTGTCTTGAGTTGGTCAAACTCCTCGGGCATCATCTCGAGCAAGTCACCAAGATCCAACTGGTCGTCGTTGGTTGGACGTACACCATGTTGAGACTCCTTGCTAAACATCTCTGTCACATCTGGCAGATTACTAAGTTTCTTTAATTGAGTAGTGTCCAATCCTTCCATCAACTCTAACATCTTTTCATCATCCTCTTCTTTGAATTCTTCATCTTGTTCATCTGGATTATATTCTTCACTTTCATCGTCACTTTCATCCATCATCTCTTCTTCAGCACTAAACATCTCTTCACTGTCATCGTCACTTTCATCCATCTCCTCTTCATCTTCTTCATCTTCTTCATAAAGTGATGTTGTTTGTTTCTTCTTTGGTTGTATCTCTTGTTGTTTTGGTTGTTGTTGTTTCTTTGGTTGTGGTTGTTTCTTTGATGATGATCCACTATCCAACAAATCAGATAAATCAACAAATCCATCTCCATCTTCTTCTTCAAAGTTTAACTAAATAAACAAACAAACAAACAAACAAAGTTAGTTCTTATATAAATATACTATGTATCTATGTTATATTATCTCTTTCTTACTCTTCTATCCTTTCTATTTGAGAATAATGAACCATCTTCATCCATATCATCGTCAGTTGATTCACCCTCGGAACCGTATAATTCATTTTCGCTCAACTCTTCGTCGATAAACTCTGGTTCCTTTCTTGCCAATGATTCAACGTCGGGAGTCTCTTCATCACTGTCGTCTACGTAGCTGTGATATCCAACTGCAGTTTGTAACTCTTCAGCCTTGTCTTTCTTTTCGAGTCTCTCTTTTTTAAAGTCTTTAAAGTTGTCTGGTGCACCTCCTCTTCCACCACGACCACCTCTTGAGAAGCCTCCTCCTCTGCTACCTCCTCTGCTACCTCCTCCACCTCTAGAAGAGAAGCCTCCACGACCACCAGAAGAACCACCTCTTGAAGAGAAGCCTCCACGACCTCCACCTCTTGAGAATCCTCCTCCTCCACGAGATGAACCACCGCCACCTCTTGAGAATCCTCCTCCTCTACTACCTCCTCTACTAATACCTCCACCTCTATTCATTCTTTAATGTTATCGATATATATATATATATATAAAATGTAAATAGAAGTAAGATAGATATGATGAAAAAGGATAAATTAAAAAACGAGATAGATAAATAGCTCATCCCCTCAATCCCGCTGTCATTGTGAGAAAAACCGAGCGAGTCGTTTTTTTTATTTTCAAATATATTTGATCCAGTCTCATCAAACAAGATGGATGTATGTGAAGAAGACAAAGAAAGTTGATAAATAATATCAATTAAGACAGTAGATATCTGTTAACAAAGAGATAGATTCAAGATTAAAAGAAGAAGACAAATATATATATTTAAATAATATGTTTTATGGTATTTATTTTTAAGATTATAAAATTTTTGTAAAGTAATAATAATGATACTGTTAAAAAGAAGGAAAGGAAATTAGTATTAGAAATGGAATGGATAAAGAGTTGTGATTAAAACAACATAATGGAAATAAATAATAATGTCAGCCGGTAACCCATATTTTTGTACACGTTGGGTGTTTCAACATACTCGAATGTCTGTCCGCCTGTTGCAATTGTCATCATCAAAATTATTTATATTCCATTATGTTCAACAGTAGATTGAAACTTACAATAAGCATATAATATTGTAGTACAGGTTTAAAAGATACTATAAAAATAATACTAATATTTGAAAGAAATCAAATGTTAATAAATGATAATTAGATATTTTGTATAAAATATTAATTATTATTATGTATTGTCAGCGTCCGACTGGAACAGTTAAATCACCAAAGGTTTTCTGTTGTCCCTAACTATAGAATATCATCATAATACATAATAATTATTATTTTTTATAAATATGTTGATTTATTTACCTTTTCTATAAATCAATGATTGTAGGACATGAGGTGGTGATATTATCACAGAGCTTGTTTTGATCCTATAGAGTAGAATACTTTAAAAAAAGAAAAAGAGTAAAAGTTAATAATCAAGTAGAGATTGATAAATTATTATTTAACAATAAAGTGATGAATCAGTCGTTAAAGTTATCGGCAGCAGTCGTCCGACATATGCTTGTATAAGATCATCATTTTGAACATTCTTCCTTGTTTGTTTATATTAATTGATATTTACCATTAAAACAGCTGTTGGGATGAACGTGCACCGGAAATAGAAAGCATTCAAATATTGAAGTTTCTATTGGACAAAAGGACCGGAATGAGAGGACTTTGAAAAAAGAGCCAGGAAGACTAAAGAGTAGTCAATCACACTGGACTTTGGGGTTTAAACTTTTAAGGCATATTAACTTTAAAGAGAAAGAAAAAGAGTAGATTTAAATTAGTATATATCGAATATGGTTGTTGAAAAGATTAAAAAAAAGAAGAATTATAATAGTGTTTTGTCATACAATACTTTTAGTTCACATCATGAAATTGACATAAGACAGGGGATAACGACTCCTTTTGGAGTGTTATTAATCATTAAAAACAACTATTATAATTCTTCTTTTTTATATTTTTTAGATTTGATGTATACATACAAGTTAGACTGTTTGTTAGCTGTTAGTTAGACAAAGAAGTGAAGTAAAAACTATGAGACACGGCTTCGTTTTAAGTGTGTCGTACACTAGAAAGAAAAAGCGAAAAAAAATGATAAAAATTAAAAAAATTAAACAAACAAAAAACTAAGCACGATGTCTTTGTAAAAAAATGAATGCTTGTCCTACATGATTATGTAAAACTCTTAGAGTCATATGAAATGTCTCACTCATCACATTCAAAGTTCTTCTTTTTTTAAAAGATGAATAAATAATTGGATTTATTTGTTTGTTTTGGATTCAAGATAGATAGTATATCTATCTCTTTTATCTTTTACCACCAAGGTGTAGGAGGAGAAGAAAAGATACCAGAAAGTGAAGGGTTGGCAGATTCAAATTGAGCAATGTTGGTGTAATAGGCGTCGGCAGAGATGGCAGTGGAGAGACCTGATGTGACAGTGGCGACAGTCTGGGTACTCGAATGCAAGAAGCCATTGTAGCTTAACCAAGATGCCCAGTATGCAGCTGCTTGTGGGACGCTGCATGATGGGAGAGTGGGTGACGAACCAGCAGCGGCAGACAGTTTACCGAGACAGTAGATGTGGTGCACAACACGTTCGAGGGGATACGCAAGGTTAAGTATATATCCATAGGGTGATGTAAAGATATTGTTTTGTGTTCTACCAGAGATCATACCCCATGGAATACGAGCACTTGTGTCTACAGCAATCCAGTTATCCCAAAACACTTTAGAACGACCCGATGACAATGTTGGAAACTGTGCAGATGAAAAGGTACTAGGTGTAATAGTCTCACCGGTAAAGATCATTGGTACAGTCGATGCAATACCGTCGATAGTCTGGAGATTGGTGTTCCAAGCGGTACGAGTGGTTTCTTGGTAGTAGTAGGATGGTGTTAGACCCCACAGCTTCATATTGGGTAGTGTAGTGTTCAAGTAAGAGACAAGTTGTACCTCTCTGGTTTGTTGTTGGCTCGTTTGGACACCTTCGGCATCATCAAAGTTTAAACTGTAGAATCGAATACCGGCCGATTGGATTTGGGTCAATCTAGTGACAATGGCAGAGTAGTCAGTACCTAACCAACCTGGACGTAAACCATAGACGAGTTTGACACCCACCTGGGTAGCAAAGGATTGGGTCTTGGTCCATTGAGCAAGCTCGGCAGCACTCCACAATGCCATAGTATCAACTGGTGGTTGTGCGGCATACCAATATACACCCAAACCATTCGATGCCAACAATTGAATCAATTGATTACGTTGTGTTGCACTGTAACTACCAGATTGTCCATTCACAGCATCACCAGTAGGCCAATAGAATCCCTCTACAACACCAACATATGGATTGATTTGACCGTTAATCAATTCTAACATTTCAATTAAACATATAATTATAAATTAATATAATGATGGTCAAACTTGAATTTTAGTCACTAATCTGCTTGCAAAACATACCCATATTCAATAAACAAATAATTGAAAGTAATAATATAATCTTTAACATTGTGATTACAAATAATTAAATAAATAAATAAATAATATAATAAAGTATACTAAATAATGAGAACATCAAGGGTCTGTTAAATGGCCTCTGGGTTTCTGATAGTTGAGATATTTTGGAATTTCGGGGGGTTTGGGATATCGCCCGGAAGATATCTTTTGATGACTTTTTATTGTTTGAATTGGTAGGTTGGTAGGCAAATTTGCCACCTGGTCTACAAGTTGTGGATGATAATATTACAATAATATAGCATGTTTGTGTTTGGTTGGTTGGGTTTTTAAATAAATAATTGGGTGATACATATCATTAAAAATACCGTCATCAATGATGACGATAGAATGATTGCATGGCTTGGTTCACTTCCTTCACCATCTGATGAAGAGGATGAGGATGATGGATTGGGGGATTAGGTGGTAAACTAAAGATACCGGCTACTGATGGATTGGCTTGTTCAAAGAGTGCAATAGTGTCAAAGAATTGATCATTGTTGATGGCTTGAGCAAGTCCAGTTGTGACCGATACAACTGTCTGGTTATTGTGTAGGAACCCATTATCACTCAACCATTGAGACCAGTATGCAGCCGATTGTGTGACGTTGCAGGATGGCATGGGTTGGTTGTTTGACGATACCTTGGAGATGACACCGAGACAGTAGATATGATGGATGACACGTTCGAGTGGGTATCCAAGGTTCAATATGTATCCATAGGGTGCTGTAAACATATTATTACTGATTCTCTGGTCGATCATACCCCAAGCTAGACGTGTGCTAGTGTCTTCGGCAATCCAGTTGTCCCAAACTACGAGTGGTCTGTTTGATTTGAGATTTGGGAATTTGGCAGGACTGAATGTCGATTCAGTGATCTTTTCACCCGTAAACACAAATGGAATGGTCGAAGAGACTGCATCGATTGTTTCAAGTGACTTGTTCCAGTTGGCACGGGTAGTCTCTTGGTAGTAGTAGGCAGGGGTAAGACCCCACAAACTCGTCGATGGGTACGCCGACGCAAGACTGGCGACCATGTTCTTTTCGAGTGTTTGTTGCTCGGTTGTAGTGACACCTTCGGCATCGTCAAAGTTCAAACTGTAGTATTTAATACCAGCCGACTCGATTTGGGCCAATCTACTCTTGACCACCGTAAAGTTGTTGTCAGTTGGTTCCAACCACCCGGGTCTCATACCATAGACCAGCTTGACACCTGCAGATGTTGCAACTGTCTGAGTCTGCTTCCACTCGGCCAGTTCAGTTGCATTCCACAGTGCCATTGTATCGACTGGTGGTTGTGCGGCAAACCAATACACTCCGACGCCATTCTGACCCAACAACTTGATCAACTCGTCTCTTTGTGCTGCACTATAGCATCCATACTGACCACGAATAGTGTCTCCTGTAGGCCAATAGTATCCCTCTACAACACCACTATATTGATTTAATGTTGCTCCATTTACTACTACAAAAATTAAAAGAAAGGTACTTTATAAGTAAGTGACTGTCCGAAACGAAATATATATTGTTGAACCAAACATACAAGTAGAAAGGGAAAAGAGTGAAATGGTAATGATAACCAATGAAATATTATACTTCATCTTTCAAAGTTAAGTTATCTCTTTCTTTCTTATATTTATGAATATGTTAAGATTAGATTGTATGTAGCAGCAGTGAACGATACCATCGAATGAGGTGAGATACTTTAGAGGATTTGACACGAAAAAATCTTAATCTGACCCATCTTTGGGCAAAGTAGTTATCGACCTTGGTCTCGGCGGTATCCTACTCCATAAGTTAGTACAGATACTATACTCCATAAGTAGATACTTCCTTCAAATATTTAATACTTTAACACTCAATACATTCAAGATGTATATATTATTATTGAATAGCTCTATTTTTATTTTTATTATTATACTTGTGAATCAAGAGCGAGATGAATAGTTATTTGAACTATGTAACTTTAATTCTTTGATTGGTTTTAACTGAAGCAACAACAACAAGATATATTTACTAAGTTTGGTGTATTTATCTGAAGTAAAAGGGTTCAAAGAGGAATAGGGTCGGAAGTTCATTTAAAAATAAATAAATAAAAATTCAAAAAAAACTACTGTCTCCCAACATCTCTCTTTCTTTCTGCTCTACCCTCGTAACAAAGGCAGTAGAATAGTAGCAGCTCATAGTTATCATCATCATCATCAACGTCGTATCATCACATATCATAGTTTCCGAGATATATAGATAGATTCATCATCATCATCATCAACTCCTTCTTCTTCTCAAAAGTCATCATCATACAACCATCAATCACGAGTTAAAAAGTGAGAAGAGACAAGAAATCGGACTACCCACCATCATCATCAACATCATCAATCATAATCATAATAAAGAAATAGTCAAAGAGATAGATAGAAAGAGACAAGAGACCATTATTCTAATCAACACGAGACTACTCAAAGATATATATATATTTATAGAACAGAGACAGATAGAGAAAGAAAGAGAAAATGAATATCTTTTTTAATAAGAAACAAAAGACACCTGCCGATTTGGCAAAGTCTACCAAAGAGTCTCTAGTATCCATCGAGAAATCAGGTCCCAATTCTAAAACCTCTGAAAAGGTATTATCGTCTTACTGTCAGAGTTCTCTCTGATCAAAAAAGAGAGAGACAAACTACAAAAAGAAAAAAGAAAGAAGAAGAAATAACTTTGACGACAAAAAAAGTTATTTATATCCTCTTTCTTCTTCTTCTTTTTCTTCTTTTGCCATGTGTATACATGGATGATGAACATGATTATTTATTCATTCATTCATTCTATTTATATTTAATTATATATATATATATATATATATATATATATTTTTAGGCATTGGAAGAAATATCAAAGAACTTGTTAGAGATGAAAAAGATACTTTATGGTGATGGAGAACATGAACCAAATCAAGAGTTGGGTGGTCAATTGGCTAACGAATTGTGTGCAACCGATGCTTTGCATATGCTTATAAGGGATCTCTCAAAGCTAGAGTTTGAAGCAAAGAAGGATTTTGCACAAATATTTAATAACCTCTTGAGATTAAAGGTTAATTCTCGTTCTATTCTAGTTGAACATATTTCAAAGAATACTGATATTTTGGTTTTACTAGTTAAAGGGTTTGTATATTGATATCAATCCATTCATCATCCATCACCTCTTGGTTACTTATTCAATTTTTTTTATCTACTCTCTTTTAGATATGAACAACAAGATATAGCATTAAATTGTGGAACAATGTTGAGAGAATGTATTAAACATGAGAATCTTGCCAAGGAATTATTACATAGCCAAAACTTTTGGGAGTTTTTTAATTATGTTGAAGTATCCAACTTTGATGTTGCCTCTGACACTTTTGCCACCTTTAAAGAGTTACTCACCAAACACAAGGGTCTCAGTGCAGAGTTTTTAGAGAAAAATTATGATCTTGTATTTGAAAAATACACTACCCTTCTCAATTCTTCAAATTATGTTACAAGAAGACAATCGATCAAGGTATGAAATAGATAGATAGAAATATAGATAGAAAGATGGATGGATGGATCTAAACTAATTACTTTTATTTATTTATTTTTCTAGCTTCTTGGTGAATTATTATTAGACCGTTCCAATTTTAATATTATGACCAAATATATTAGTTCAGCTGCCAATTTAAAGTTGATGATGATATTGTTAAGAGACAAGAGCAAAAGTATACAATACGAGGCTTTCCACGTATTCAAAGTATTTGTTGCCAATCCAAACAAGACCAAACCCATTTTGGAGATTTTAACAAAGAACAAGGACAAACTCATCATATTTTTATCGCAGTTCCACACCGACAAGGAAGAGGACCAATTCAACGATGAAAAGAATTTCTTGTTGAAACAAATCCAAGCCATCCCAACTGATTAAATACTTTTGAAAATATAAATAATTTATTAGTAGTCTCCCTATCCTCTCTCACCACCCCACCCAACAACTAACTTTTTTTTCTTTGCAATTAAATAGTAAATCATCAATCTCCCTCTTCCATCCATTTTTTTTACAGCTATATTAGAACCATTATCAAAATAATAATAATAATAATTAAATAAGTAAATAACAACCAACCAGAAAAAATAACAAATAATAATAATAACAAATAAGAATGGCACAAAAAAACCAAGTTTTAAATTTTGTTTAATAAGGAATACTCTTTATTAATCGTAACCAAAAAATAATATCACATGTAACATCATCCCAACCAACCAACCAACCAAAACAAAGATTAATCACTTACTTGACGAGTAAATAAAAAATTAAAAAATTAAATATATAATCATGATTTGATGATATACCATCATTATTAATAATTATCCACTGTTTTGATCTTGAGGAAAAAAAAAATTAAAAAAAAAGCATCTAAAAAAAACCACAACCTTTTCTTGGAGTGTGTAGTTTCAAAAAACTAAACAAAATCAATCTTTATTAATTAATCTTTGAAGAGATGGACGTCAAGGAAGATAGAGACTCGTCAAGAGATGAGAGAGGAGGAGGAGACAGAAGAGATTTCAACTCTTCATCATCTACTTCTCAACAACAACCACCTCAAGATAGAGACAACAATAACAGAGAAAATAATAGAGACAATAACAGAAGTGGAGGTGATAGAGACAATAATAGAGGTGGTGATAGCAATAATAGAGACAATAATAGAAGTGGAGGTGATAGAGACAATAATAGAGACACCAGAGACAATAATAGAAGTGGAGGTGATAGAGACAATAGAGATAGAAGAGATAAAGATGTAAAGGATGCTCCAAGAACAGGTGACAGAGACAATAGAGATAATAGAGACAACAGAGACAACAGAGATAATAGAGACAATAGAGACAGAGATAGAAGTGATAGAGGAAGTGACAGAGACAGAGGTAGAAGTGATAGAGGAGGAGGAGGTGATAGAGACAGAAGTGATAGAAGTGATAGAAGTGATAGAGGGGGCGATAGAGATAGAGATGATCGTTATAATGAAAATGAAGAACACACATTATTTATTGGTAATCTACCACTTGATATTGGTGTTGCTGAAGTCGTCAATCTATGTTCACCATATTGTGGAAGAAGTTCTGTTGATAAAATAGGTATATATCAAATGAATTCAAAGTTCAATTCAAAAGATAGATATATGTATCTTATAAGATTAGATTATTAATGTTTAAAACTACATCAATTCTTATTATTATTTTTTTAGATGTTAAATCTGGATATGCATTTGTAATCATTAAAAGTAATTATTCAACATGTGATCGATTGATTGCTGGTATTCATAGAACTATCTATAGAAACAAGTCTCTTACTGTACAGTACTCCAAGAGTGAAGGAAGAGGTGGTAGCACCAGAGATAGAGATGGTAGAGGTGACAGAGATAGAGGTGGCAGAGATAGAGACAGAGACAGAGACAGAGGTGGTAGAGATAGAGACAGAGACAGAGATAGAGGAGGTGATAGAGACAGATCTACCGCTTCTACAACCTCGACCAAACAAAATGGTGCCATGAAACCAAGTACATCTCTCTTCCTCGTCAACTTTGGTTCAAAGACTAATCAAAGTTTAATTGAAACTTGGTGTAAACCATTTGGCAGAATTAATAGAGTATGTATAAGATAGATAGATAGATAGATATTAATCATCTGATCTGAAAGACATTGTAACTAATTCTTATATTTCACAAAAGATTGATATGAGAAAGAACTTTTGTTTTGTAGAATTTGATAATATTGAGCAATCAACTAAAGCTATGGAAGCTTTGCATGGAAAAGATGTAGCCGTATGTAAATTTGGAGATAAAGATAGAGAGAGAGAGGGGAGAGAGAGAATTTACTCTTTATAACTAATGTTTTATTTAATTTTCAATTATTTCCATCAATCAATTTTAGTCTGATGGCAATAAATTAACCGTAGAATTTGCCATAAGAAGTGACCGGTATGAAATCACAATACAAAAAAAAATACAACCTTGATTGCAGTGTGTCGTGTCTGTCGTGTCCATTTCGATCGATTCTCGGGACAATAGTATTCCACACTCTCTCTTGTGTTCCCACCTACCTACCTACTCTCACCATCATATTAGTATACCACCTACCTACGGATACTCTCATTACCATATACCATTCCATTACCATCATCACTTTTACCACCAATACTACATACATAGATAGTGATCGATCATCACACACATATGTAGTGCCCGACGATAGGGCTGTCACCACCACCATATCTATTGCCACCACCATATTTGGTATACCCATTCCATTCCATTACTACTATACCAACTAACCCCCGACCACCAAACCTCTTTATATTACGTTAAAAAAACTTTAAATGATCATAATGATTGTAAATATCTTTAAAGATAACACACCTTCACCTTCACCTTCACCTTTTTAATCACCATCACTTTAAAACAACAACAACAGCAAACAAACAAACAATCCATTCTTTTTTCAATCTTTCACCAATCCGTTTAAAAATCATTAACTTTAATTTAATTGGGTTACTAATATTATTATTATTATTATTTTCCTTTTTTTTTTTTTAGTAAAAGAGATAGAAGTAGATCAAGAGATAGACGTAGAAGAAGAGATAGAGATAGAGGTGATAGAAAGAAGGACTCTTCTTCCTCTGACAAGGATGGTGGTGATACCAAAATGGACAAGGAAGATGGCAATGACGATAGAGTAGGTAGAGGAAGAGCAAGATCACCATCTCCATCCTCCAAACCAAAGAGATCCCACTCTGACTCTAGAGAAGGATCTGCATCTCCACCAAACAACTCTAGATCCAATTCACCAAGACGTCGTGGTGGAAACACCAACAGTGACACTGAAGACGAAGATGATGGAGGTCAATCAAGAGACAGAAAGAGATTCAAGGATGACGAAGAAACTATTGAAAATAATAGAGATAATTATCCTGAACGTCAACAATCACCACTTTCAGTCGATTAAATGAATAAGAGAGAGAGAACCCCAAAGCATAACAACAAACCAAAAAAAAAAAAAAGAAACAAAAAAAACAAAAACCAACACAACAAAAATAATTTTAACCTTTCATATATATATAAAACCAATTTAATATTCCCCATATAGTGGTCATTCTTTTACAATTGTAAAACATAACAAAATAATAATATATTTTTTTTTGATAATTATTATTTAATAGTTTATTTATATTAATTCTTTAGGAACATGGGGAAAGTAAAACCATTTGGAATTCATAACCATCCCATCCTTGACCTTGATCTGGTGCTGAAGCACCACTTATAGAGTAGTAATTGTCTATGGTGCCGTTAGCTGCATACCAAATCCCGGTTGGAGAATTATCTACGTAACCTTGGACTGAACCTTTCCAGGTTTGAGAGTCAACAACGACGATATTTAAATATATTTGGCTGGGTGTAGTTGGATTGAAAAATATCCAGTTTCCAGCAGTACTTCCAGGAGTAGCTTCAACCTTGAGTTGTGCACATCCATATTGTTGTGAAAATAATTGCCATTGTCCTCCAAATGCATTACCTAATAATTTCAGGAATAAATAGGTTAGTTTTGGAAAAAGAAAAAAAAGAAAAGAAATGTTGTACAACATACCAGCAGAGGCGAATTGGAATGCCAACATAATGGCGATAAAAAGGGCTACAAATTTCATTCTAAAGAGATAGAGAAAAGTATATAGAGGAAATGAATGAAATGAATAACTGAATAACTAGTCGACGAGAAAATAGATATAATTGAATGAAACAAAGACCAGGAGGGCTTGAACAAAATTATATAAAATGAATAAAAATTTTAATGTTAAAAACTCGACCTTTGAATCAACCAAGGTCAGTGAACTCTTTTGAAACAATCTTAAAGTATCTTGAAGTTGTTGTAACCCATGGGTACCAGTTTTCCCACACGACCGCATAGTCGATGACATCAAATTATCTTAAACACGCTGTTTTTTGTAAATATCATTACGATATTTTCTTAAAACACCTCGAAATAGTAACGAAATGAGCTTTGAAAGATCAGATATCGTAACGACTTTGAAACCGTGGTGTCTGATATTACAAAGATCAGTGTAACTGGGTTTCATGATGATGCAAACAAACCATGGGGCGAATAAAATTTTAAATAATTTTAAGTTACATTTTATATTATTATTCAAGTGTTGTCTCTTTTGTTTAGTTTATTATCGTCTTGTCGTTTTCTTCTCTATCAATCTTTTATTTTATTTATTTGTTTATTCTTCCTTCTATTCATCATCATATATATAAAAATCAATAAATAGAATGTATAAAACTATTGCTCTATTAGTTGTTATAATTGCCTCTTTGGCATTAGCATATTCTGGTAGGTATCTTATCTGCATATGACTTTTTTTGTCCACACACAAAGTTCTGATTTAACCCTAATATATTTTACCTATATTTTATTTTTATAGCACCACTTGAAGGAGAATGGATTTACAATATTGGTAGTACTCCATCATGTAATACTATTACATTTAATATTACATCAAATGGTGATGGTACATTTGCAGGTTCATATACCTATGCTGGAAAGTTGGTACAAGTCATGAGAAGTGTTAATCCAAGTTCTTCCTATTCCAACGTAACATTTGCTGGTCAATGGGCAAGCTATCCAGCAGGTTCCCCAATTTGGGCCAACTTTAATGCCACCATGAACAACGATGTATCATTTACCATGAAGATCAATGCTACCACTTACACTTTACCAAAGCAAAGTTTTGCTGTTCTTAATCGTCCTGCTTGTCAATTACAAGATTATTAAAAATTAAATAAATAAATAATTAAAATATAATATAATATATAAATATAAAGATAAATATCAATCAATCAATAGCTAGAGGACAAGTTTTGGCTGGTCTTAATCATTGCTTGTCAAGTATTTTTACAAGATTAAAAATAAACAAATAAATAAATATTTATATAGATATATTTTTGAATTAATTTTAATACAAGGGTTTTATTATTTGTGAACTATATTAATATGAATGATATGTTGTTTGTTTTGTTTTTGGTTTAGAGTTTAGAGTTTAGCTCTTGGGAAATCCTTTGAAGCAAGGAAACGACCAATGACAAAAGCACCAGCTCTAGCACCTTCAGAGAGGGCAATAGCACCGGAAATCATCATTTCAATGAGTGGATCGACTGAACCCTTTGGAAGAGACTTGAAGGTGGTGATGGACTTGCCGTCGAGGATCTCCCAGTTACGGAGGATGTCACCGGCTTGGGTAAGATCCATGGCAATGTGTACGTTGAAACCAGCGTTTTCCATGTCACGACGGTAGGCGTGGACAGAGGTCAAATGTGGGCAAGAGTGATGAGCACAGATTGGTTCGATGAATTGGATCATATCCTTTTCGGTTGGCTTCTCGCATTGGAACCAGTCGGTACCAGAGAGACGACCTCCTGGCTTGAGCACACGGAAACATTCCTTGACAAAGGCTTGCTTGTCTGGCATGTGACAGGTGGACTCGAAAAAGGTGACAACGTCAAAGGTGTTGTCGGCGTATGGCATCTTCATGGCGTCACCGTGGGTGAAGGCGGCACGGTCAGCGAGACCCAACTTTTTGGCACGGTCACGGCAGATCTCGACTTGCTTCTTGTTGATGTTGAGACCGACGATACGGCAGCCAGTGTATTGGGCGATTTCGAGGGTTGGACCACCGACACCACAACCAACGTCCAAGACGTACGAGTCCTTGGTGATACGGGCAGCATCGGCAACATCGTGTTCGAGACGGACGACGGCTTCCTCGAGGGTTTCAGTGTTGTTTTTGAATGGAGCAAAGTGGAAGTGTTGACCCCAACCCTCTTGGTAGGTGTCAGTGACAGAGTCATAGTAGTCAGAGACCATGGTGTTGTACTTTTCGACACGGATCTCTTCACCACCCATACGGACCTTTTCAAAGTCCTTCTTGTCGAGGACGGCAGTGTCTTCGACTGGGGCAACGACGGTGACCTTACCAGTTTCAACGGTCTTTTTGATCGAGGCGACGTAGGCGTCCCAGGTTTGGGCCATTTCACGTTCACCCATAGCACGGGCAAAACCAACCAACAACTTGGGGATTTCAATGTCAGTCTCGATGTTGGCTTGGACAGAGACGTGGGTCTTGTTGCCTTGAGCGGTGATGACAAACTTGCCATAGCTGCTCATGTTGCCTTGGCCGACGACGTTCTCCCATGAGACTCCGGTGGCACTCTTGATGTACTTGGCAGTGTGGAAGGCCTTCATCTTGATGCTGCCGACGTTACGCTCTTGCATGGTCCACTTGAAGGTGTTGGCTCCGACGGATTCGACCTTGTCGACGAATGGGTAGAGCTTGGCGGTGGTTGGTACATCCAAAATAAATTGAATGACCTTGTCGGCTGGTGCTGCGATTTCAACAGTCTTTGAGGTGTATGAAGTTTGAATTAATACCATTTTTTAATGTATATTATATATATGTTTGGTTGGGGAGGGGGTTGTTGTTGTTGGGAGGAGAGAGTATATGGAGTTGTTGAAAATTGATAATTATAAGAATTAAACCTTTTGGGTAGATGAACCAGACTGTTGTTGTTGATAACTAAAGTTGGTCGAGAAAAGTTTAATTTTAATAGATTATAATCTGCTGGCTGGCTACTGTGATGAAATCAAACACTACTACTAGTACTACTATGTGCGCGAATTGATTCGAACAAACAAAAACCTCTTGTTGAATTTGAGCTCTAAAAAAAAATAATAAAAAAAAAAAGGAAAAGGCTTCTTGACTTTGGGAGGGAGAGGCTAAGAGAGCTCTCGGTGAGCGTCTCGTTCGTGCTCAAAAAAAAATTGATGAAAATATCTTGTCGACTGGGATTTTTTCAAAACAAAAAATTACATACTTTTTTTTACAATGCATTGTAAATACAACATATTTACACACAAACTTTGACAGAGATAAATCATAAACATCTCTACGATGTAGTGTTATTATTACTATTTATTTGATTGTTTGTATCTTTTCGAAGTTTTTTATTGATCATATGATTTTTAATTATTATTATTTATTTTTAGATTTATCTCTCTCATTCGGTAAAAGATGATTGGGGATGAAGATGATGATCGAGTTATTATTTGAAAGATTATGATCGTGATCATGAACCTCATCGGCAAAATGAAGGTGCAAAGTGATTCAAACTCAGTTGATCGTTCACCCTTCACAAACAACCCATTTCTTTTGAAATTCCCAACACACCATTTTTGTCTACTGGAGTAAAAGTAAGAATTTCTTGAGTAGTTCTCCAATTTTCAGTAAGAGAGTATCCTCTAGATAAATTGAGCACCTGTGTTTGATGGCTTTAATTTATTTTCAACTAGCTATAGCTATATAGATTGAAATGGCAACAAAGGTTAACAACATTAGCAACAACAATCCAACTACTTTGGTAGACTCATCAACAAACCATCTCCTTTCCTTCATTGGACAGGATGATTACTCGAGATATACATTTGAATTTGGAATCTCTGAATATTTCCTTCCAAAATATATTAAACATGCCAAACAACAACAACAACAACAAGTTCCAACAACAACACCATCCAATAACAATAACAATAATAATAATAACAAAACAAAGACAAAGAAGAAAAAGAATAATAATAATTTAATACATATTAATTTTGGACAGAAAAATATAGATCTACCTCAATTTACAAATTCAATGATAGAAAAAAATAATAATAATAATAGTGATAGTGATAGTGATAATACCTCTAAATATAAATACGATCCAAATAATAATAACAATAATAATAATATAATCATTAATAATAATAATGAAACTAAAATTGATATTTCCAACTTGATTGATGAATTTGTTCATATTGACAATATTCAACAACAACAAGAAAAGTTGGTAGTTGTTATTGAAGAAGAAAGTGATAGTAAATATCAAGAAAGAAGAAGAATTGAAAGAGAATTGGAAGAATATAAACAAATTACACTTGAACAAGAGGAAGAAGAGAATGAAGAATTTTATCGATGGTTGGATTATGCAGAAGAGTATGAAGCAAAAAAAGTGTATGGTATTAAATTAGAGAGTAAACTTATTGGAAATGGACGGTTACTTAGATCATCTCGTAAGAATAAAAAAGAAAGAATCCACCGTTCTCACCAGTCTGCATGGGATAGTACAAAGGTTGCTATGAAGTTATCAGTCATTGCTTCATACACTCCACTTCAACAACAACAAAACAAACAAGTAGCTTTGACACCCGCCTCTCGTCAATCAACCAACAATAGTAGCCAATCCTACGAGACTGACCTTCGTAGAGCAATGTCTTTGTCCACTGCAGACTATGACCGCGAAATGCGCACTAGAAACAGTAATACTGGATTGTCACAGACACAAATCAACGATATCCTCAACCGAGAGATTACACCAGAAGACTACGAATTACTCTTGATGTTGGATGCAACTGTCAAGCCAAAGACCTGTCCTCTCGATCTCGTCTACAGTCTCCCAACGATTCGATTCACCGCCGACTGTCAATACCCACAATGTGTCGTATGTCTTGGTGAGTTTGAACTCAACGAAACCCTTACCATCCTTCCAAAGTGTAAACATATCTTCCACACCAACTGTATTTCTAATTGGTTAGCAAATGCCTCAAAGAATTGTCCTGTCGATGGTTTGCCATGCCATGAATAAATTTAATAATAATAGACTTTGTTTCATATGATTAGAATATATAATGATAATCATCAGACAAAAGTAAAATAATAATCCTTTTTTTTGTACATATATGTAATATGGTAAATCAACAACGACAACAACAATCATTATAATTAATCATAACTTGTAGATAGACATATCCTGATTAATATATATATATGGTTAGAGGCATTTCAACAAACCAACCACCAATCATCCCAACACACAACTAGAAATATTATTTGTAAATAAACCAACAAATCAAACAAACCTTATTTATTATGATAAACTTTCTCTCTTTCTCTTTCTTTTATGTCTTCTTCTTTCTTCTTTTTTTTTTAAATTAAAATACCAATACTTTTTAATTTTAAAATATATATAATCACCGATCGGTCTGTCGCTCTCCTCAATATTATTAGGAAGTTCGTAATGATTCGACTCGTTCGTTTTGACGTTTTTTATTATTTGTTGCCTTTTTTTCGATTTTTAAAATGGGTGTCCTCAAATTTATTAGAGAGTGAAAGTAGTAGTTTTAGTCGTTTGTTGTTGTTATTACTTTTTGTTTAGTAATTACTATATATCAATCTTCTACTTCTTCTTTATATTTATATATATATTCATCATGGGTATTGATAAAAAGTTTTTAGCAAAGAAGGCTCCATCTACAGCTTCAGCATCTGCTGGTGCTAGAAAGTTGGTTGGTTCAGCTGGTGCTAAACCAGCAGCCAAGGCAACTGCAGTTGTTGCTACCAAGAAGCCTGTCATTGCTGCTTCAAAGAAATCAAATATAGAACAACCAAAGAAAAAGGTTGCCGTCGTACAACAAGAGGAATCAGAATCTGAAGAAGATGACGAAGAATTTGTTTCAGCTGAAGAAGATATTCCATCTGATGAGGAGGATGAAACTACAGAAAAGAATCAGTATGTAGTTAGAGTTTATTTAGATATATCATATACTTATACTTATACTTTTATTTTTCTAGATTATTTGAAGATAGTGATGATGAAAAGTTAAATTCAAATACAAAGGCATTCTCTGATAGTAATAAGGGATGGTTGAAACCATCAAAGCGTGATAAGGATGGAGACGATGAGTCAGAAGAGGAAGAAGAAAAGTTGACAGCTTTTGAAAAAAAGAGTATCAATGCTGCCAAAAAGAGAAAGCAAATCGAAGAAGACAATACCATAGATATTCAAAATCAAATGGCAATTGATAGAGAACAAAGAGACGAAACATCATCGGAACAAGAAGAAGACGAATCTGAAGAGGAATCAGATGAAGATAATGTATTACCAAGTGGAGAAAAGATTGAAGAGGAACAAGTATTGGGAGTCGACTTGCAAGAGGTCTACCAACGTATCAAAGACATTATCAATACTTTGGATAACTTTTCCAAGGAACGTAAGAAGGGAATGTCGCGTGAAGACTACATGACTCGTCTCCGTGACGATCTCGCCACCTACTTTGGATACAATACATTTTTGATTGAAGTCTTTTTAAAGTTGTTCAGAGTGTCTGAATGCTTGGAGTTCTTGGAGGCCAACGAAACCCAACGTCCTCTTACCATCCGTACCAACACTCTCAAGGCCCGTAGAAAAGACTTGGCTGACGCTCTCGGTGGACGTGGTGTCCATCTCGAGCCCATCAAATGGTCGCCCGTCGGTCTCACCATCTACGACACCCAGGTCGCGATTGGTGCCACGCCCGAGTACCTCGCCGGCCACTACATCCAGCAGTCGGCCTCCTCGTTCTTGCCCGTCGTCGCACTCGAGCCACAACCCGGAGAACGTATCCTCGATTTGTGCGCATCGCCGGGTGGCAAGACCACCTATGTCGCCGCGCTCATGAAGAACACCGGCACCCTCGTCGCCAACGACATCAACGAGGAGCGTATGCGTTCGCTCGTCGCCAACATCCACCGTCTCGGCGTTAAAAACACCATCGTCTCGAACCTCGACGGTCGCGAGTACCCCAAGACCATGGGTGGTTTCGATCGTTGTTTGGTCGACGCTCCCTGCGTTGGTTTGGGTGTCATTGCCAAGGACCAACAAATCAAGCTGTCCAAGAGCCAGCGTGACGTTGATCTCTGTGTAAATATGCAAAAAGAGTTGATTCTCCACGCCATCGACTCGGTCGACGCCAAGTCGCCAACCGGCGGTATCATTGTCTACTCGACCTGTTCGCTCACCGTCGAAGAAAACGAAGGTGTCGTCGACTATGCCCTCAGAAATCGTGACGTCATCCTCCTCGACACTGGTGTCGAGTTTGGTGTCCAAGGTTTCACTGCCTACCGTCACCACCGTTTCCATCCATCCGTCGCATTGACCAAGCGTTACTACCCACACACTCACAACATGGATGGTTTCTATGTCGCCAAATTCAAAAAGATCTCAAATGAAATTAAAACTAAAAAGGCTCAAGAACAAGAAAACGACCAAGAAGATGAACAAGACTATGAAGATGACGAAGAGGAGGAAGTAGAAAGCGGATCAGAAGACCAAGAAGGAGAATCAACTTCATCATCCAACGAATTAGAGGAATTAACACCCCAAAAAATAGTAAAGAAACAAAAAAGAGATAATACCCCAAAGATCAACAGTCACGAGGCCAAGATTAAAAAGATACAACAAGAGAAACAACAATCATTACAACAAAAGACTAAAACTTCTGGTAAAAATAAGTATAACAAAAAACCAACTCAACCAAAGAATAATAATAAGAAAAAGGTTGTAACCAAGAAATAAATTAATAAATCAAAATAAATTCATAAACATATAATTATTATTATTATTTTTTTTAAAAAAACAATATTATTTATTTATTTCTTTTTTGATTTGTTTTTTTTAGAGTAAAAGTTTTAATGGATTTTCAATGTAGTCCTTGAACTTTTGTAACCATTCAGCACCGACGGCTCCATCAATGACACGGTGATCACAGCTGAGGGTAACGGTGAGAACGGTTTCAGAGGTGTATTTGTCTTCACCAGCGGCAACGATTCTCTTTTCGGTGGTACCTACGGCGAGGATAGCAGCTTGTGGTGGGTTGATGACGGCAGAGAAGTTCTTGATTCCAAACATACCGAGGTTAGAGATGGTAAAGGTACCAGAGGCAAAGTCTTGTGGTTGCAATTTACCAATCTTGGCCTTTTCAGCGAGTTCCTTGACTTGGTTGGCAACAGAGGCCAAACCCTTCTTGTCAGCGTCTCTGATAAGTGGGGTAAAGAGACCCAAGTCAGTGTTGACAGCAACGTTGATGTCAATGTTGTGGAATCTACGGACGGCATCCTTCATCCAGGTGCTGTTGACGGTTGGACAGTCACGGAGAGCAGCAGCTGCAGCCTTGATGACAAAGTCATTGACAGAGAGCTTGTACTTGTTGTTGGCTTGGTTGTTGAGTTGAGTACGGACGTTGAGGAGTTGGTCAACCTTGCATTCCATGGTGAGGTAGTAGTGTGGGATTTGTTGCTTGGATTCAGTCAAACGTGAAGCAGTGACACGACGGATATTAGTGTGTGGAATATCGGTAAAGAGACCGGCCTCTGGGGCAGCAGCAGCAGCGGCAGCAGCTGGTCTTGGTGCAGCAGCAGTAGCAGCAGCTTCTGAAACAACTTGTTGCTTTTGTTGTGGAACAAATTCGAGGACATCAACCTTGATGACACGTCCATTTGGTCCAGTACCTGTAATATCGGCAATATTGTGACCCTTTTCCTTGGCAGTGAATCTAGCAGCTGGTGATGAGAATATTCTTCCACCAGTTGATGATGATGACGATGATGATGATTGTTGTGGAGCAGCTTGTTGTTGTGGGGCAGCAGTAGTAGATTCAACGGCAGCTGGGGCTTCGGCACCTCCAGCAGCAGCACCATCAACAGTAAAGTCAGCAAACTTTTCAACATCTTCCTTTTTGTTTACCATAACACAAATGGGTGAGTTAATGTCAACGCCAGTGGTACCGGCTGGAACCAAAATCTTGGCCAAATAACCAGACTCGGTGATTTCAAATTCCATGGTAGCCTTGTCAGTCTCGACTTCGGCGATAATGTCACCGGCAGTAATCTTGTCACCAACATTCTTTCTCCATTTGGCTAAACCACCAGTTTCCATTGATGGTGATAAAGCTGGTAAACCAACAACGTTATGTTTTGGATCTAAAATGAAAATAGTTAAAAGTTAATATCCAATATTGTCCTCATAGATATCTTTATCTATATCTCTCTCTTACAGTTTGACTTTGGAGCAGCAGCCTTTGGGGCAGCAGCCTTTGGTGCTTCTTGTGGAGCAGCAGCGGCAGCCTTTGGAGCTTCTTGTGGGGCAGCAGCAGCAGTTTCAGTGTAATCGGCAAACTTGGCAACATCTTCCTTCTTTGAAACAATGATAGCAATCAACTATATAATAACAAACAACAACAACAACAATAATACATTAATATTTATATTGAAGTTTGTAATCTTTGTAATCTTTGTCATTGCACAAACATACATCATTGATGGCAATACCCTTTGAACCATCTGGCTTTAAGATCTTGGCCAAATAACCAGATTCAGTGATTTCAAAATCCATGGTAGCCTTGTCAGTCTCAACTTCAGCGATAATATCACCAACGCTAATCTTGTCACCAACGTTCTTTTTCCATTTTACAAGGTTACCTTCAGCCATTGATGGTGATAAAGCTGGCATACCAACTTGAATATGTTTTGGGTCTATTATATATAAATATAAATATAGTGTAGTGTAGTACAAGGTGTATAGATATTGTTTAATTAGTTCTTTCATTGTCATGTGATGTTGATGATGTTGATGATGTGTCGTTTCGTTTCATCTGTGCCCCATAAATTAGGTATCGCATTGACTATTTGATATTATTTGTCCACACATACATGAAGTAGAATATAATCTTTGTTGACCAGAGAAATAAGTGGTATTTAAAGAGGTGAATGAGGAAAAGGTGTTGATTTGCTTGTATGTAGAGCTGTTGTTGTTGTTGTTATTGATGGCAGTGCTGACATCATTTGAAAAGTAACGAGCAGCAAATGTCAACAATGCTGGGTTATTCTTGAGCAATAATTGATTGGCAGAGATATTTCCCTTGATCAATAGTCTAGATGATTGTCTCAACATGATTGCTATAGTTTCTCTAGAGTGTTTTAATTAACTGCTGCTACTGATGTTGATGATGAAAAGAGAACTAAGTAGTACTTTTTATGAATCGACCCTCACACCAACAATTGAAGTGCTGTCTCACAATAAAAAGTGAAAAAAAATTAAAACTGACCGTTTTTGCTTTGTCATAAATTTTGACTCAAACCAATCCCCCTAAATCCCTTCAGATTCAACTTTATGAAGCAGTATTGCTGCTTTTCAACAAACAACCTTTCTCATTCAACTTTCATTTTAAAAGTAGCTGCAGCATAAACTTTATTTATATCTTTTTGTTTTTTTTTTATTTGTATACTATATTATCTCTCTCTTTTATTTAATTACCAATATTATATATATTTATTATTTATTCCCCCTTATACCAATACTACTACACACCTCTCCTACTCATACCACTACCCCTACTAATAATAATAACAACAATAGAACCGAATAATAATAATAAATCATATGAAGATTTGAAGAAGAAGAAGAATATTTAGTGTATATCTACCTCTTCCTCCTTCATAGTCAACAACGACAAAGATATTGTATACAATCTCTACCAAACTTGCCACATTCGTTGTTCAAACACACACATAGATAGATATAATACATTGTTTTAGAAAATGGAACCAAATATAAATAATATGAATAATGTTGGTAGTCACCAACAAGATGTCTATAATAATAATAATGGAGATGGATCATCTTCTAGTTCAACGTCAACCTCTACAACACCTATCAATAATAGTGGTAGTAAAGCTTCATCGGCAACAACAGAAGAAGATTATATATTGTCTATAGATGTAGGGACGACCAATATTCGAGCCATTATATTTGACAAACAACTCAATATCATAGCAAAGAGCATAGAGAATATACCACTCATTATCGATCAGAATCGTCCAGGGTATATAGAACAAGACCCTATTCTCATGTGGGAGTGCTGCAAATGGGTCATTAAACAAGTCATTTCACAGTCACCCTATGGTGTATCGAATATCAGATGTTTGGGCATTAGCAACCAGCGTAGCACCTTTTTGACGTGGCGCAAGGACACGGGTGCACCAATTCACAACTTTATTACGTGGCAGGATACACGTGCGGGTGGACTGTGCAAGCGTGCCAACGAGAGTATAGCAATCAAGGGAATACACGGTGCCACCAAGTTGGTGCACTTTGTGACGGGCAAGCCGAGGTATCTGGCCGCGTCCAACTTGGATTTTTCAACTGCACATACTAGTGCCCGATTGGCTTGGGTGCTCGAGAATATAGAAGAGGCACGTGTCGCTGCCAAAGAAAAGAATATGTTGTTTGGCACGATTGACACGTGGCTGTTGTGGAACCTGACGGGTGGCAAGGCGCATTGTACAGACTATAGTAACATTAGTACGACCAGTTTGTACGACCCCTACGAGATGAAGTTTAACAGCGTCATCCAATACCTCTTCAACATACCACAGCACATCATGCCCAAGGTATGCGACACTGCCTTCCACTATGGCGACACGCTGCCCGAGCTCTTTGGCCGCGCCATCCCCATCACCGCCATGGCAGGCGACCAGCAGTCAGCCATGTTTGGACAGTGTTGCTTCAAAACAGGCGACACCAAGGTGACCATCGGCACAGGCTGCTTTGTAGATATCAACACGGGTCGTCAGGCACGTGCTTCGCGTACCGGTATGTATCCGCTGATTGGATGGAAGATCAAAGACGACATTGCCTATCTCATGGAGGGAAAGGGTATGGCTGCGGGAACTGCAGTCGACTGGGCGTGCCAGTTTGGTATGTTTGAACATGTAGCTCAGACATCTGGCCTCGCCTCGTCGGTTCCACACTCCCAAGGCGTTGTTTTTGTGCCCGCCTTTACCGGCTTGGCACCGCCACAAAACGATCCGACTGCCCGTGGCCTGCTCATTGGCATGACGCCGTCGACAAAGCGCGAGCACGTCGTTCGAGCACTCCTCGAAGCGCTTGGGTACCGCGCCAAAGAGATCATCGACGGACTCGTGTTGGACAACCACACGACCATCTCCAAGATTGTCGCCGATGGTGGTGTCTGTCAAAACGACTTTGTCATGCAGTTCTCGGCCGATATGGTCGGACGTCCCATCGACCGTGCCGACCAGCACGAAATGACTGCCGCCGGTGCATGCATGCTTGCCGGTCTCGGACACGGTCTCTGGAAGACCAAAGAAGAACTCATCCCACTCCGCAAGACATCCCGTCTCTTTGAAAGCCGCATGAACAAGGACAATAGAAAGAAACTATTCAGACGTTGGCAACGTGCCGTCCAGCGATCAATGCACTGGGCATCCTCCGAGGATGTCCACGGTGACAATGACGATGGATTTGGTCAAGATTCAGACTTGGATACAAGTACATCTCAGCATTCTAGTACCGGTAGTTATAATGGTGTTTTAAATTCAGCTTCCACCTCCTCAATCTCCTCACTTGACAATGAGAATAAAAAATAACAAACAAACAAACTTTAACCTTTTTTTTCTCTAAACAAACAAACAAAAAGAAAGTTTTTTTTTTTTTTTTTTTTTGGTAAAATGAACTACAAACATACAAATAATATTATTCTTCTTTGTATTATATTATATTATACATTGGCACATACCTTCTATTTTTCCCCACCCTACCCACTCACACACACCTCCATTTTGGTTGACTAATCAAAAAGTAGGAAAAGTATTTTTTTTAGTGTTAATTTTCAATTGTTCATTCCTTTATTGTTTCTCTCCCTAGTACTCTCTCTCTGTCTTTTTCTCTCTGTCTCTCTCTCTCTCTATCTATCTATCCTCAATTAGAAGTCATTCTTTCTTTTATTTTTGATATTTTTCTCATTACTTGTTTGTTCCAGCTGGAAATGACATCATTTTTAATTGATAGAGGGATAGCAAAGGCATGTGTAGCAACAGCTAGTCATGATGTAATTAAACAATTCCCTATATTTCACAGAGTACATAGTTACAAAGGCAATCAATATTTATTGGATAGAAATGGTTCCATCAAGTTTAACATCAATCCCATCATCCCACCAATAGGTGGATTAAATAGAAATGTTATTTTCTCTATTATCAATCCACAACAAACCAACAACAACAACAATAATAGTAATAGCAATAGCAACAGGATTGATTCACCCAAACTTGGCCAATATATAGATATCAATAAAAAATTACAACCAAGTGAAGATGTAATTGTGGCTGCACCATCACCAGAAGAGGAAGAAGGATTCAAACAAATACCTCCAGAGAAACCAATTTATAAAGATCCAAGACCTATGGATCCAAGAGAAACACATCCTCATCCAGGAACTCCTCCACCAAACCCCAATCCACCAAACCCATTTCCCATTCCACCAAAGAAACTACCTCCAGATGCAAGACCTGATGAACAATATCCAAACCCAATTCCAATTTAAAATAGTGCTATATTAAAGAATATTTAATAATAAACTATTAAAAAAAACAATTGTAAATAATTTAAAAATATCAAAAAGTATTTATTATTTATAAAACCATGGTAAATCTAAATTTCTTTGGGAAAAAGTATATTATTATTATATTATATAATTTGTTTGTTGTTTGTTGTATGTTTTTTCTATATCGATATTTTGTTTCTTAATTATTATTATTATTCTTCTAAACATTCATTTCTATCTATCTATCTATCTATCTCTATCTATCTATGGATTTTAATTGATTGTATTCTCTTGAGCAGAGAATAAATCTTTAAATAATTGTAATACTCCGTGTGGATTATGTGATGTAATTTCTACCCTGTTTTCTGATACTTCACCTTCTGTTGGTGTATAAATAATTTCAACCTTGTTTTCTTGAACTACAGAAACTGTTTTTGTATTTATAACTGGAATTTCATATGCAATCTAAATTAAACATAGAAAATCATTAATGATTTTGTTATTATTATTATATCTATGATTTATATTTACTTTGTTTGATAATGAATTAATTCTAATAGTTTCTTTAGTTGTAATAGTAACCAATCCACAATCTTTTCCAAGCTAAATATATATATAAAATAAATATTAATTAATATTCTTTTCTCTTTCTTTTAACTTGAATACTTTTTATTTCTTTTTTTTTTTTTATACATACATTAATTGGAATTGTAACTTTACCAGCTTGTTCTAATAAAGCTAGAATCAATTTCTTTCTAGCAGTTTTAATTGCTTTAATCCATCTTTCCATTTGATCTTGAGTTTCAGTGTTGAAAAAGTATTCAATGCCTCTGCTGTCGGCGATACTAAAACACCAATCCAAACCATCCAAACTCTTTTGTTTGACGACTCTGCACGAAGAGACTAGCAAAAAGATGGAGCCGAGTGTTTTTTGAGGGGGATCTTCCTTGTAGTATATGAGACGTGTCGGTGTGAGCGTAAAGTATCGCTTGTCCCACCATTTGTTTGCCTTGGTCTTTCGCATCCAGCCAGAGACGAGAACCTGCTTGTCTGGCTGGTTGATAATCTTTGATGTCGTGACGGTCACGTTTGTGGTCGTAAAAGTTCTCTCTATCGTGTTGGTGATGGCCGTGACCCACTTGACACGGTCCTCTTGAGAGTCAAATAATAATACAAATTCCTTTTCATTGTCGATCAACAGTCCCAGTCCAATGACAGTCTTGATCTCTTGCACTGGGCCAATCGAGTTTCCTCCAGCCTCGGTCACGTCGCGGTCAGAGATGGTCGGCTCGCCATTGGAACCAAAGCAGTCGGCACCACCTGGTCCAGTGCCGACCGTTCCACCACTCCACTCGCCGTCCGAGACGACTGTAATAGACTGGCCGCGAATCTCGGTCAACATCTTGTCTGATATCTCTGATATGTGCGTGACGTCAATGATACCCTTCAAGTTGACAATCTTGTTGTTTCGAGGCATCGCCGTAAAGTAACGGATCTTGTTGCCTTGCAACAGGAACCAACGTCTCTTTGTGTTTCTAAACTGGTGACCCTTTTCACCACGCTTGTTCATCCACCCCTGGATGGGCTCGTCCTTGACCTTGTCGGCCAGACGAATAGCATACGACAATGCATACGCCCAGTTTTCGAGGTCCTTGAGAAAGTCCTCTTGCACCGTGTGGCAGCTGGTCAGTGTGTATTCGACGGCATTGGGTGTGATCAATGAAATGGCGTCTGTCAAGTCGCCAGCCATCACACTCTTCCAATTCTTTTGCGTGTTGGGTGACATTCCAATAGACCAGTGTTGATAGATTGGTGTAATAATACCACCATGTTTTAATTTACATCCTTTTAAATATATTTGTCCTTTTAAACAACTTGTATCATTTACATCTTTCTACAAACAAACAAACAAACAAACAAACAAACAAACAAACAACATTAATACATATATCCATTATCTATCTATCTATCTATTTACATACAGGTAATTTATCATAATAATTTAAAAAGTCTGATTGTAATATAAACCAACGTAGTTTAAGTGTTCCTACACGTTCAACTGAAGGTAGAGAAGATTGATAACCAGAACCTGAACATGACTTTTCCAATACATTCAATTCTGTTTCTTGAAGTTCTCTTGAACCCCATTTCTTTAACCAACCACTTGTAATTATATTATCCATCTCTCACTCTCTTGTTGTTATATATATATTCTCTATAGATGGATGGATTGATTAAAGGAGAACACTGCTGCGCTTTATAGTGTTTCTCTCTCTCTCTCTCTCTCTCTCCTCTCTCTCTCTCTCTCTCTCTCTCTATCTCTAATATGTACGTAGTTGTTGTTGTATACAGATAAACAAACTATTTGTATGTATATGTATGTCTTTGTTAATAGGAGTTCACAAAAAAGTTGGAGGTTTGTTGTTGGTTTTATAAAACCTTAAAAATCTTTGAGACGATTCGACACTGGATTTATTCAGATATTTAAGGCATGGCTGTCGTGGATGGGTTGTGGATCATGAGCATGTCGTCGAAAATGGTTGTAAGTCATAAAATACGGTATCCTAGGAGGTGGATATTCTATTTCTGCCCACGAGCTCACTCTCCCTCTCATTTCCTTCAACTTATCGGTAGAGTTGACCTAGAATTTTTCCAATGACGAATCCATGATGGTCGAATAAATCAATGATAGGGTCTGAATTCATGACGATGGTTGGGATGGTTTAGGTGATGATCATTTTTAACAATACTGCCGAAAGTGTCGGTCATTGATCTTATAAATTATCTAAATTATCTTTATATATCTTTTTAACTTCTCTTTTAAATTCAAAGTAATTTACTGTGTTTTATTATTAATACAATCATTGTTGATTTTAAGTTTAATTATGGCTGGATGAATGAATGATGATGACGACGACGACTATTTTGGTTTGACATGGGGGTTTGGTTGGGTTAATTGGTTAATTGGATTTGGTTGGGTTTGGTTCTATATAAATATATCTATTAATTACATGTGTTCAGATTTTCTTATTATTATTATTATTATTATTATTATTGTTTGTTATTATTATTAATGGTTTGTTTAATAATTGAACTTCTTATTTGGAGAGCTTGATCAACCTGTAGGCACAGACAGTAGAGAAAACAAGCAAGAACGAGGATACAAGTGACGTGTAGAAAGCAGTGTATGGACGGTTGTTCCACAAGTTGTTTTCAAAATAAAAGGCGTCAAGAGTGGCTGGATGATCAAGGTTACATTGAGCGAAACCGGCTGTAGTAAGACCTGCTGGTGTAGCAAAACAATCCTAACAAATTAAAAAATGATGGAAATGATTAGTATATGCGCATATATAATATATGTATATATGTATGTTGTAATATTTTATGCTTACAGTTAATTGAGCAGATTGTAAACCAACGAGGATAAGATATGAGAGAATGTTGCAGGTAAAGGCAAGACCAAGATCGACAATGATCAATGGACTAATGTATTTGACAGTAATGTTGAGTGTTTTAATGACGACCAAGACAAGTGCAACAGTTACAAAGACCCAAGCCAAGATAGCAAATACGACGACAGACTCCATGGTTCTCTTTGTAAGTGGTTGTGCACTATTAAACTTCACCCAGGTCTTTTCACCATCATGTTTAGCTTCTACACCTCCAAGCTTGTATAAAACGGTTGTTTCTGTTTTTTTTTCATAGGTTTCATACCATGGAACTATAAATAAATAGTACAAGTAATATAAATATAAATAATAATAAAAGATGAATTAGTAAAATGAATGACCATCACCATCATCTTTGACTCAGAGTCAGACGACAAAGGTTGTTTTTAGTTTTAGTTTTTATTTTATATTAATATTAAAACTTACCAGCAAAGGAAACAATTAAAAGTGCCCAACAACCCAAAAGGAAGAAGGCGGTAGCACCACCGAATATTTTTGCAGACATTATATTATTGTTATTGAAAATATTATATTACTAAGTGAGTAGCAGTACAATGAAAGGGTAGAGATAGATAGATAGATAGATATAAAGGGTAGGTCTATTGCGTGTGTTTATATAAATATATATAACTTTACTAACTTTTTATGTACAACAAGAAACAAACAACTAACTAATTTAAAAGGATGTCACTCGAGAGAGAAAGGCAGAAGATTTATAATTTACTGTCTTTGTCTATCCTCTCTGTTCACGTGTTGGAAAAGAAAGCATAGCAGAGGAGGAGAGGCATCCTCAGGCTTGAGGCAGATGAGGAGGTTTGATTGTGTGTGCTTGTGGTGTTGTTGTTGGATGTGTTGTGATTCAGGCTGGTTGCCTGATGCTGCTGTTGCTTAACAGTTTGAAAAGTTAAAAATAACACCCATGAATCACAAACTATGGGCATAGTTCATACCGAGAAGATACAATGTCTTAAGTTGATCACGAGCTACATCGAGCATGCAATCTTTGTAGATTGATGTAGCTCGACCCTTGGAGATTGTCGCATTCCAGCCAATAAGTTTTTACATCCACATTAATTTTAAAGATTGTCTTGCCCATACCCCCACTCGGTCATAGTGTAAGCGTTGCCCTTTTATTGAAATCACCAAAGCCTTCTCCCCGTTTCTAATCTACAGACACACGATGCAAAGGAATGGGTTTCACCCCGAATTGATTGATATGGAACCGTTCTGTCAATAGGTTCTGTCATGGCAAGGTAAATGACTTGACCGATCTGATCAACCCCCCACCCAATATCATTTTTCGATAGATCCAATTGCATTGTGAAACACACTCACACAATCAACACACCAAATCATAGAGATAAAGTCATGGTTACCCATACCCAACATGTTTCATGGTATTGAAGTATGGTTGAGTAGTTTTGGGTAGAGTATGGTTTAGATCTAAAGCCACAAGAGAATAACCACACACATAGAGAGAGAGAGAGAAGTAACAGAACAACACACAATTTACTAGTTGATGTCACAGCTGCTGATGAATTCACAGATACCAATCTGCAGACTCTCTCAATTCAAGTTTGCCTTTTTTAAAATGGGTAGCGGTTTGAACAACTCCTGCCAAGGAGTTCGCAAAGAAAAAAAAGCAGATTTTCACCGGATTCCAATCTGGAAAAAAATCTTGGTGCTCTCAGATCTTGTTTCTTTTGCCCACGGTTCTGTTATACACAACCATGATCGAACGTTTTCTTGTATTCGTTAATTTATGTATGATCATCAGATCATTGTCATCTGAAAAATGAGCTAATTGCAGCAATGAGTCTTTTAGGTCCTTCATCCTCATCTCTGGCCAATAGAGTCGCTGACATTCATAAAACTATTTATGTTTGTTGGTTATTTGGAGATTGGGTTGTGGGGGGATTAATACAAGAGTTCTAATACTTAAATCTCATTTATTTTCCAATTCTCTCATTGGCAAATGGAAATCAAAACAAACAGCTCCTCCTTTTCTGAAAAAGAGTTTCGTTATCATCCTGCTTCGACCTGCAAACCAATGAAATCATCCAATGATTGGATGAGAAAATCATAATCTTTTTTAGCTTGTTTAACAAAATTGACTGATTCAATTTATTATATTCAAAGAGATAAAAAAGAAAAGAAAGTTTGTTTGTTGTTTGTTGCTGTATAAATATCGACTGCTTGGAATTATTTGAAGCAATTGATTTCAAAAATTGGTGTTCTTCATTTTTTGTTTGTATTGGTTTGAAATGGTGATGAGAGAGGGATAGTCGAATTTGTTGTTGTTGTTGTTGTTGTTGATTGAGTGGCGATGGTGGTTTTCGTAAATTATATGGCTCCTAGATAATGATTATTATATATTACTAGACTTTAGTTATTATTATTATTATTATTATTATTATTTTAATTTTTTTTTGAAGGGATTTGATTTTTGTTGTTGTTTGTACAATGTATAATGATTTTTTTTTTTTTTTTGTTTAAATTAAATATTTACTATTATTACTATTATATTTGATCTATATATAATTATATTTGGGGTGTTTCGTTGTTGTTTGTTTTTTTAAAAAGCTTCATCAATTAATTTTTGAACACCAAATTTATCTCTTATTAAAGGTCTAACGTCATCTACTCTGATCAATGATTCCAAGAATGTAATTAAACTAATCAATTCCTTATCATTTTCATCTTCGAACCAACTTTCGATTGGAATTCCATTATTAACCTGGAATCCAAATGATTGAGGTGAATTGTCAACAATGACAACCTGTGAGAGGTCTCTTCCAAGTATTGAAAGGTCTTTTAAATAGTTTCCTTCAACATAGACACAAGAATCTCTAAATAAACGATACCTAAAAAGAAAAGAAAGAAAAATGATTGGTAAGCAAATTAATGTCGTGCAACATTTTTGATTTGTTTTTATACTTACTTTACATGATTATTTGGGTCAATCATATTTAATAATTTGTTTGCATAAACTTCTTGTGAGGCAGTAAAGATGATAACCTCAAACAATTCACTTGCCTTTACCAAAAATTCTTCAAAGAATGGTCTCTTTTTAGCGTAGACTTTGTATTCGATTGCGTTAAATGTCACTAAAAAGGTGAGATCTGGATCCTCAATTGGATCGGTGCTACAATGTACCAATGTTTCGTCGAGGTCGAGTACAAGTGATATTTTTGGTGTGTCTAGAGTCTTTGGTGGAAGGATAAACGATCGTTGAGGTGGACAAGGAATGCTACTCAAGTGTTTCATAAACACCCAAGGATTGAAAACTTCCTCTTCCTCTTCTTCTTCCTCATCGACATCATCTTCTGGTACATTTCTTTCAATCGATGTTCGTACATCTTGATCTGGTTGTGATATATTATGTAAAAATGGAACACAAGATGATGTTGTTGTCATTACTAAAAAAAAAAAAAAAAAAAATTATTAATATAATAATTTGATTGGATTGATTGGTTATATATTTACCATTTGGTTGAACTTGAGAATAAATTAAATTATGATTTTGAATTTGAATTTGTTGTTGTTGTTGTTGTTGTTGTTGTTGTTGATTACAATTGTTGTTGTTGTTGTTGTTGTTGTTGGCGACAATATTTACATGGTTATTCATTTGATAACAAGAATTTACAATATTATTATTATTATTGCAATTAATACTAAAATCTACAGATAACTTTAACATTCTTTCATCAACATTATTATTATTATTGTCAATAGGTGAAACTGTGGACATTGAAGATGTTGAAGAATGGGATTTATTCAAACCACATTGAATATCAATAATGGGAGAAGATGATAAAGATGAAGGTGAAGGTACCGATGATGATGATGACGAGGATCCATTCATAAAATGACCAGTATTACCAATATTGTTTGTAAAATCAATATCATTGTTTGATCCTCTTAAATGTTCATCTTCATTTTCAAGAAATGGTAAAATAATTTCATCTAAATTAAATTGATATTAATAATGGAATGTAACATTATCTATCTTTTTTCTTTTCTTTTTTCTTTTTTACCTTTAGTTGTAATGTCACCACAATAAACTTCAAGTTCATTTTGATCGATCTTTGGTTTCATATGTAAAGGAGCATCCAGACATGACAAAAAGATGCTTTGTGATGAAAATGGTGATGTTTGATTGGACGATAGTTTTAAAGGTGATGCCATTTGAATATTATTGGCGGTTTGTTGTTGTTGTTGGTGTTGCTGATCATCGAGATTGTGTAGATTATTCAAGAGCGCGGAAAAGAGTATGGGAGAGTTTGATTCATTTTGTTTATATCTCTTCTTTGGTTGATCCATATTGGGTGAATCTGGTGCCACTGGGAATGGAGGATGCAAAGATGCAGTCAACGATGTCAAAAGGGTTGATGCTGAACATGGCGTAATATTATTACTACAACTATTATTAATATTGTTATTGGTAACAATCATGTTGCTACCACTACCGCCGCTGTTATTGAGATCATCATCATTATCATTATTATTATTATTAATAATCAATTTGGTTGTTGTCCCATTTTCAACTTGATCACCGTTGTGATCATGTTGATGATGATTAATTAAATGCTTATTGTTTGAATTCAAAACGATACCATTATTATTATTATTAACATCATCAATAATTATATTGTTGTTGTTATTGGTATCATTCATATCATTAGTATTAATACCATTATTATTGTTGTTATTCGAATACAATGAAAATGGAATTGAATCGTTTGGAGCGGATGCAGATGCTGACGATGAAGAGGAAGACGTAGTTTTAAAAAAATCAGATACCTCTACTGAAAATGGATGATGATTATTTAATTCCTTTAAATGTGGAATGGAATGGTTAGTGGTCAATTACTATAGTATCTCGATGTAATCTAATATACTTACATGTATTTCTCTTGTTTTAACACCAGATGACATTATTACTTTGGTAATATTATTAATATTATTTTTAAATGACGGAGCAGGGAGAGGGGAGAGGGAGGGATGGAGAGGGATTGGAGTAGCTATTATTTTATAGGTTGGTTTGTTTATCTTGATGATTCAATTCAATTTACAAAACACAATTATAATAATAATAGTAATAATAAATAACAGGTAATAAATAAATAAATGTAAACTATAATAATATTTGAGAATATGGGTTGTTAATATATTATTACTATAGGCAGTATGGTTGTATGACTAAAAGACAAGGAGATTTAAAGCAAAATGCGACAACAACAATGTGGGTGCTCGTAACGAATAAATAGAATTGAACAAACAAATAATTTAAATATTATATTTAAATATCCTCCTCTGTTTTATATCTATTACTCTTCTCTCTCTCGCGTACAAAGTATCTTTTTATAATATCTTGAATTCTATTACTACTACTACTACTACTATGACTACTATGTATTACAATCTGTAGATATATATCAAACAATTAAACTGTAATAATACTACTACTACTACTATTATTATTATTGTGTGTATCCAAATTATTATTATTATTTAATCAGAGAGGGAGATAAATAGATAAATAGATAAATAGATAGAGAGGGAGAGATAGATAAATGCACACAAACGACGTTGATGATGATGATGATAAAAATAAATGAATCAATCAAACTGAAAGATGGTTGATTTTTCCTTGTTGGTTTTTGATTGATCCTTTTAAATTAAATTTGTTGGAACAAGTGGAATTATTATTATTATTATTATTATTATTATTATTTACTTTACTATTCTTAAATTGTTTATTCAATCCTCGACCGACTAGTGATAAAACAACAACAACAATAATAATATCAATGTGATGGAGCTGTTTTGATATTGTTTGTTGTTTTAAATATAGATATATATATTGGTTGTTGTTGATTGTTAATACTAGTAGTAGTATTACCTGCTACTGCTGTTATTGCTTCTCACTCACTCACTCTTGTATTACCATATTGCTGTTATGTTGTTATACGACGCTGATTGAGGAGAGAGAGAGAAAAAAGCGGTTGTTGTTATAAAGGTGGTGTTGGTGGTTGTGGTAGTGTGGAAAGGAAGAACAATATTAACTTCCTTGTTTCTCACGCACTCACATACCTTCTTCTTTGACTGAATGTACTGTACTAACTATCTATCTGTGTTATCGACCTGATTTGATTTGGATGATGATGATGACGACGGACTGTTGAAGGACAGACTATCGATAGATATATATATATATATGGGGAGGGGGGGGTAGTGATTGATTGATTGATTTAATTATACAATAAATACCCTTTGATCAATTGCAATTGAATTATCCTTTTCTGCTACTGCTGCTGATTGATGTTATTTATCTGTTATTCTGCCAACGTGTTGTGTTGGTTAAGTTGGTTGGTTGGTTGGTTGGTTGGTTGGTTGGTTGTAGAGGGAATGTATATAATATATATCAAGCAAGCACAACAAACCAAAAGAACGCTCGAATGGATAAGGTAAGGTAATAGAAAAATATAGAGAGGTAGGAGAGAGGTAGGTATAGTGAGTGTAATAATAATAAAACTAACTGTTGCGTAGAGTAACAATAAGAAGAAGGAGGAAGAAGAAGGATGAGGAGTTGATGGATGGATTGATGGTTTGAATTAAAACAACATCAATCAACTCTCTCTCTCTATATCTTGGTGGTAAAGTGATTGTGAGTGGTGATGATGGTGGTTGGTTTTAATAAACCACCCCCTCCTCCTCCTCCTCCTAAAACACGGTGACAATCAATCAATCAATCAATCCGATCGTTAGTCAACTTGACAGTAGCAGCTGATTGATTGAGTTAATGGAATCGTCAGTATATGTTGATGATCAATCACGTCAAAGAGTAACAAACAAACAAAACATACTTAAGATCGATGATATGATATTATTATTATTTACTTTATATATTTGATTGCTCACCCACACGACGACTACTACTACTACTAAAATATTTGATCGATGAGAAGGCGCTTGGTAAGTGAACACTTTAATTAATCCCAAATTTCCAAAAAAAGAAAAATTTAATTAAAAAAAAAGTTGGAAATCGGCGGGGACAGACAACTGCTCGAAATGAAGCGAGAGACCTCTATCTTTTCACAAACCGAGTTGGAGTTTTGATGGTCAAAGGAAAACTAAAGTAAAGTAAAGTAAAGCAAAGCATAGTTATTTATATTCCTTCATTTAATCCGATATGTTATGTTTAGAGGACACTCTGGACTTGGATGAATGGACGAATAGATTATTGTCGTTTGGAGTTACTTCATCCACATCCAAGTCTTGTTAATTTTATTATAATTTTTGAGTTTTTTTTTTAAATAAAAACGTGTCCATGCATTGAATCGATGGCGCCACTTGAGAGAGGAGGTTCTAAAGTTTGAAAAACAAAAGCAATTTAATTAATTATGAGGTGGTGGGTGCAATGGGGTGGGTGCTAAAGGGCAACTTCTCTTACTGGGTTGGGGGTTGTCGTCGTTCATTAGTTCATTCTTAATAGTTTGTGTATTTAATAATTATCTCTATCTATCTATTTATTTATTTATTTATTTGTTTGTTTAGAGAGAGATGAGATTTACATCATCTTTATTAGCAGCAGTCTACTGCCTTTTGGTGGTAGCTTCTATCATAGAAGGACCTACCTTTACACGTGGTGACACTTTGCCCGAGATTGCGTCGTCCTATTCAACCTATCTGTCATTCAACGATTATTTGACAGGTGTTACCTTTGCCGCCAAGGAGTACTACTCGCAAGCAATCAACGTATCACGTTTCGAGACATCACACGACACCTCTGTCGTTGATTTAAAGAACGAACAATTCTATCAGTGGAACAATAGCAATCCAACTGTTTGTACCAAATACCAAGGTGTACCATACTACCTCAAACCCACTTACACAAGATATCATGACTATGATCAAAACTATACTTTAAAAGGTAAATATAATTATACACATATACATACACACACATACATAAAATATGCTACTAACATTAATATTTGATTTGAATTGATTTTTTTAGGATTCACAACAATTGATAGAGGAATTAATTGTACATGGTATAGTAAAAGTATTGAAGTGAGCATTCCAGGTGATTCTTTTGTTAGTAATGTTACATTCTCCAATGTTAGTGTTGAAGCTGTTGCATCACTCAATCAAAGTTGTGCACTTGTTCTCAATGACACTGCACTCAATATTACTGGTACTTGTAATGTCACCTTTGCTGGTGCCACCGTATGCTCCTTTTTCAATACGACCGATACTGTTGGCTGTGACTTTGGTGTGCTTTCCAATTTGACATCGGTGTACAACTTTTCGGCCAGCGGTGCCGATGCTTATGTGACGGCCAACTCGACAACCGATGCGATTACTATTAGTATCGAGATCGACCTCTATCTCGACGCTCAGTCAACTGCTTTGGTGAGACAGACTGTGAATGGCACATTCAACAACGAGACGGTTGAGATTGATGCTGATTTGGTCGATTGGACACCATCGACCGAGATGCAACCCGCCCTCTTTGCTCTACCCACCAACTGTGTTGATGGCGGTAACTACACTGCCCCCAATTTTACCAGCACCAAGAACATCACTGCCCCCATCACAGCATTGGATATCACCAAGTTGCTCAACAACAACTACCAAGTTGTATTGGAGGAAAAGTTGGACAACAAAACACAAGCTCTCGAATGGCACAAGGACGCCAGTTACGAGAGTTGGGAGACTGACTATAGTGTCGGTGGTGATATTGTCCAAGTATACAATACTGCCAACCAAACTCAATCATTCTCTTTTAACAGTTATACATTGGCTTGTAACAGTAGTAACGGTAATAATACTACTACATCAGCTCCACTCTATCAAACTGATGCACGTCGTAATATTGTTTATCAAATCCTTGCACTTCATTCTGTCACTGGTTGGGTATACGAGACTAGAACAGTTCGTAGAATGGTCGACACTGACACATACACTGCCACCTATACCAACGGCACAACCACCTATTCCGTCAGACTCTACTTGTTTGTTCCAGGATGGAAGTTCCCCGGTCGTGATGGTGTAGACAACAACACGATTGTCCCATTGGCCATCGAATCCAACACCACCGTCAACGGCACCACCTACTCTGACGCTTGGGATCTCTTTTGGTACGCACCAGCTGCTTTCCCCGACTCGTACACCACGGCCGACAAGATTGGATGCTATCCATCGGCTCCATCAGTGTACAGTGCCACCGTGTCAATCAATGTCCAAGAGTACGGTGTTACACTCCAGTTTGACGAGTACTCGATTGCCAGCCAGTCGTATGCTGCCATTGGCAAGTTTGGTCAACCCGCCGACCGCGGTGTCATCGACTATGTCGCCCAAACCTACACCCTCGTCACAGGCAATAGTTCCTGCGCCAAGTATGTCGTCACTCCAGCCATCACCTCATCCTCTAATGTAGGTCCATCCACAGCCTACCTCGTGCGTTCCAACGCTATGGGTGCCACTCAGTTTTTGGGTGTGTCTAGTGTCCGTGGAGTCAACGCCTCTGCATGGACCACTGCAACCAGTGTAACCGTCGCTGGCACCACCTTTACCCAAACCACCACATCCACCTACTATTGGACACGTAACGCAGCTGGTCAAAACGTTCCAGTCCGCGTAGTTGTCGCCGGCAAGGAGACAGACTCTGCCAACGCCACCTATTCACGTAGTTATACCACTACAGTCGATTGGGTCGCCGTCAGCTTTGCTCAACCCAGTCCAAGTGTATTCGATGTGTCCAAGTTGACCTGTGTCACCAACGCCACCCTCCCCCAACCAATCTCCAACAATCTCTTGCCAACTGCTCGTTACCAAGTGCCCTCTGTCGCTGTCAACGCCACCTTGCCAGTCATTCCAACCAACTTTACCATGATCCTCAATGTCGCCGTGTCAGACACCAACAACAATGCCAAGTCACTCAGTGTCAAGTGGACATATGACACCGTACACCTTAGCGAAGGTGTCGAAGTACTCAATCTAGACGGAACTACTGGTGACCGTTACATATTCTGTTACACCAAGTCGATGGGTGGATCGGGATACTACTCCAAGAATGGTATGACCCAAGCATTCACTGTCAACCCACAACTCGTCAACCCACTACGCAACATTGGTGACAGCTCGTTGAGTGCCACCTTTTACCAGACTTCTATGCAGTCCCAATACAAACTACTCAACTACCTCTCGTACAATGGTGTATCTGCCGAGAATTGGTTGTGGACACCCAATACCACCAACCCCAACACCACCTCTTTCTACTGGTATCCAAGTAACTGGGCCGTCTCTTCTTCAGTAGCCGGTACCAGAGTCCCATTGGCACTTGTCAACGTTGACATTTACGCCGTCAATGGTACATCCACCACCACCACCGAAACTTGGGATATCCTCTCGTACCAACCAGGTGTTGCCACCTTTACCTCCTTTGGCGGTGCCTGTAAACCAGTCGTCTTTGACAAGTTTACCGATAATTACATTGCCGTCGGTACTCTTGTTGTCATTGTTCTCATCTGCTCCGTCGTTGCTGTCATTCTCGCGTTTGCCAGTCTTAGATACCTCAAAAAGAGAGGTTATCTCACTCGTTTCGAAGCCAAGTTGTCTCACATCCGTCTCAATGATCAGAACCCGGTCAATCCAAATCAAAAGTTTGATGATGATCAATCATTAATGAGAGAGGAAGAACTTTAAAAAACAAAACACAAATCTAAAAATCTAAATCCACAATTTAACAAATCAACAACAACAATATGTACGAATACAACAAATATTGATTGTATTAATTAACCCCCAATTCCCCCCTCCTCCCCCTTTCATACCCATATACGATCTCCTCCATCCACATTCACATACATACATCCATACTCAATAATAATAATTCAATCACATAATAAATAATATATATTTAGTAAATAAATAAATTCCCATTTAATCCCAAAATATATTCGATCACCCCTCCCAACTAAACCCAAATTCATTCATACATTATATTCAATCAGATAGTACGTTTCACAGATAGTACTGTTTTATGAGTCATTTGGGTTTCCAAAAATAATAAATCAATTGATTTCGATTCATACCACCACTACAAAATAAAAAAACATAGGATGGATAAATCCATATCAGATCCCACCCCCTCCTCTCGTTCCATCAATCAAAAATTATTTATATCCTTCAACCTACAAATCATGATTTGTGAACAAACCACCATTATTTTTTTTGATCATTCATTCATATTGAATTTATTGATCATTAATATCATCACAAGGTATACAATTATTGATTTATTATTATAATATCAGTATTATTGTTATTATTATTATTATTATTCCATCCCCTTCCATCCCATTGTCACTCAATAATTATCAGATAAAAAAAAATAAATAAAAAAATTGGTTTGGAACAAGATGATGAAGATCAAGTCAATTTTTGGACTGGTCTTGTTGCTTTGTTGTTTATTATTTAGTTGTACAACTGTAATAGGCGCCGATGGTCCACCAACTCCTGCCCCTTCTGCATCAACTACTACTGGTGCTGTAGTAACACCTACACCCGCCCCTTCTACACCAAATACAACCAACACAACTAGTACACCTGTAGTAACACCCACACCTGCCCCTTCTACAAATACAACCAACACAACTAGTGCACCTGTTGTAACACCTGCTCCTACTAATTCAAGTTCAAATGCAACTAGTACACCTGTAGTAACACCTACACCTGCCCCTTCTACAAATACAACCAACACAACTAGTACACCTGTAGTAACACCTACACCTACACCTACCAATTCAAGTTCAAATACAACGGTCCCACCCAAACCTACTACAACTCCAATACCATCAAATGATACCAAACCAAAGTATCCAGAGATCCCCAAGATCTATTCAACATTTAGATCAATGTCAATATTGGATGACAAAAAGACCTATGCAGAAAAGGAAATATACAACTATAATCTCAACACGTCTATCATTCACGACAACACCACAAGTATCTGGAACTTTACAACTGGCATGTCATATCACTTTAATGCACGTGATACCACTAATGACAAAAGTTGTACCATTGATAACTACGATGTCGATGAACGTTATTATGACTCTAGTTATTATATATTGACTGCAAATCAAGATAAATTAAAATTTAAAGGTAAATATTAAATCATTACATTAAATAATAGTTTTAATCAACAACCATACTAATACTAATACTTTTTTACTTAATATTTTTTGTAGGAGTAATAAAATTACCAGATAGAAAGATAATTTGTAATGCATTTGAATATAGTGAAGAATTGAGTCTAAACTATTACAATTATACAACTGTAAATGGAACATTTATGAATGTCACTTCTTTACATCGTGATGGTATGATGTCAGAAGACAGTGGAAATATAAATATTGCATCGTTTCGTTGTCAATGGGATGAACGTCGACACTTTCCTCCTGCATGTGCTATCACCTATGTAGACAACAATACAGATTCAGTTTGGATATCGTCTGCGGTGTTTACACCCGATAGATTCCCAACTTATTCTGGACCGGGTTCCTCATTCAACCGAACCATTGTCAAGGATTTCGATGTGGTAAATATCGTACAAACAGTCTATTTCGATAGAGATACCAATGTTCCTGTTAGAATCACTCGTTTCTATGATGATTACGAAGTATTGGAACAGAATGGTATCAACACAACAACCAATGTCGATTATAGGTCTAGTCCGATAACTGTAGATTGGGTGTATTGGGAATCTTATCCAAGTCAATTACCATCTTTTGAATTACCAAGTAACTGTACCAACTCTTCCATTTCCCTTAAATTTGATTGGGGAGTCCTAGAAACTCCCCTTCCATCACCAGTACTCTCATCAACCTTTTCAGCTCTCCTTGAACAGGTCAACACCACCACCAACTCGTCGCGTCCATCCTATATATTTTGGAGATACGATTATTCAAACTCTAGAGAATCATATGAATATAGAAGTACTGATGGTACCGACTATGTAGAGGTATTTTTCAACAATCAAAACACCCTCAATCAAACTGGCAAGTCATTTGCCTATGACACTGGTACTCTTCAATGTCAACAATTACAAAGTTCAAATAATCAATTCCTCTCTACTCCTGATCGTAAAATACTTTATCGTATATTAGCTAAAAATGATATTAAAGTATGTCAAATAACAACAAAATACAAATAATAATAATAATAATATTAATAATATTAATATTTATTTTGATTGTTTTTTTTAGGGATGGAAATTTGATCAAAGAGTATTAAGAAGAACAATTGATTCTGATAGATATTCTACTACATTACTTAATGCAGATGGATCACAATACTTGATATCACTTTATGTATTTGCAAATGGATGGGATTTCCCAATTAGATTTGGTGGTGATAATGCTACGAGTCAAACATCAACACCACTGGCAGTTGAAATCACATTGTTAAAGGACGGAGGATCAACAGTCGTGTCACACTCTGAATGGAATATATTCTTTTATGTGGCAGAGCACGTCCCAAGTATCTATCTCGATCAGAGTACATTGAATTGTTATCCAACTCCTCCATTGTCGTACACCTCTCAGGTATCATTGTCATTCCCTTCAAACGGATCAACTCATTCATTCCTATTTAAAAAACAAGATAATACGACACTGGCAACATTCCTCGAGTCATCCAAACAATACTCTAGCAATAGATACTATGTTTTCAACTCTACAATGTCTCTTTACAACTACTATGTTTTATCATTCAATAATAGTAATTGTCAATTTGTTCAATTAAATCAAAAAAACAATAGTAATAGTAATAGTACAAATAACAACAAGTTGAATAGTATCAATGTTGACGAGAGTTATTGGTTACCTTTTGGTAACAAGTATACTAGGTTGTCTGATCCAAGTAGCAAGGTTCAATATATGGGTACTTCAACATCATGTAGACAATTGAATACAAGAGTATGGAGAACCAAGTCAACTCTATTAAACTCTTCCAATAATAGCACCAATTCAACTATTCAACTATTCAATATAGTTGATTATCATTGGTACAAGAATGATTATAGTAATGATTTGTATCCAGCATGTGTCATCTCACAAACACAAAATATCACAACCATTAATAATCAAACCACCACCAATATCACTACCATTGATTATCAAGTAGATTGGACATTACTATTAGAGAATGCAAACCTAACTTCTCAATTTAACACTAGTCTATGCGTTCCATTAAATTCAACTTCAAGATATTATCCACAACCAACAAATAATTTAATATTTAAATCATTTGTACTACCCCCATCAGGACAATCCACCATCATAACCAACCAGATCAATAGTAATAGTAATAGTACAACCAAAAATAACAGCAGTACCATTATCAATAATAATAATAATCAAACATTGATTGGATTAATTAATAATAATTTAACAAATAGTTTTACAGCAACTATTGAAATTATTAATCAACAATTACAAAGAAAATATATTGTTAAATGGAGATATAGTAAGGATATTCATTCGGAGCAGGTTCAAGTATTCTTCCCATTCAATAATACTGCAGTTACCTATGATTATTGTTATGACTCCAAGGTTGGAGGCAAAGCTCAAGTATTTGTAAACAACACGTTGCTTGCCAACAGTAGCACAAGTTTCAACTATACAACTGACCATATTCTCAATCAAATTGGTGGAGATTCATTATTTGTTAGAATACTATCACATCTAGACATCAACTCTACCACTGTCAACTCCAACAATGTATCATCCTATACAAATTATAATAATAGAGTATTGGAATCATGGTCATTCAATAATAACCAATACTCTATGTTATGGTATCCACTTGGATGGAATATTTTTGATAGTAGTTTATTATTAAATAGAATTCCTTCAACTTTGATAAAATATAATAATAATATTAGTAATAGTATTAATAATAATAATAATAGTAGTAGTAGTAGTAATAATAGTAATAATAATGGTACCAATAATAATAATATTCCAATAGTTGTTTGGAATATAGTATCATTTGATCAAGGTACAAATGAAGATTTGATATGTCCTAGAATAATCAAAAGACCACTTGTACTACCTCCTGTTTCAAAAGAATCAATGTCTGGTGGCATCTTGGCAATGATTATTATATTCACTATTGCTGGTGCATCGTTGTTGGGTGTTGCATCATTCTTTATCATTAGAAAATACTATGGTGGCCAGTACAATGACGACGAACAATCAAGTATCATGCTCAATGAAGTTCAAGTCGGTGAAAAGATGGATGGGGCTTCAGCACTTACACCCAAACAAGATGGAAAGACTTTCTTTACCACCACAAAATCAATGATCCCTACATCCATCATCCCTTCAAGTAAACTCCTAGAGAATGATAATAATCAAGAAGAACGTCTTTTAAACCAAGCAGGTGAAGAGTTAATGATTTAAATCCAAAACAAAATTAAAAAAAAAAAAAACAACAACAAATACATTCTCATAAATATTAAATATAAATAAATAAATAAATATAAACATTTAAATATTAAAAAGATATCTTTTATTGATTTCCAAGATTACTTTAAATTATGTAAAAAAATGTGTTGTTGACGATATTTATTAAAGAAATGAAAGAGGGAGTGAGTTAAACCCTAAAAAGTCTCTCTATTAAGTCTTGAAGTGGAAAAAGAGGGAGGAGGAGGAGGAGGAAACCTTTCTGTTGAGCAAGTCCAGATTTAACCTCGTTTTATCCTTTTTCCCTTCCACCCCTAGATTTTATTTTAATTCTCAGTCATTGCCATATTTAATCATTGTCCCTCTTGTTTTTCTCATTGTGTTGTTGGATACAATGTAATCTTTGCAGGTGTTCCTCAATATATTATTATGTGAAGGTCAAAAAGATTTTTTTTTCTTTTCAAAAAACTAATTATTTTTTTTTCCTACTTGTTTGCCTGGGTTGAAAAAAGGAAATTTCCATATATGGATATTTTGAGTTACTTTAAATTTAAAATGAATCAAAGGGATTGGCAAAACCTTCAATTTCGAATGACTATCGACTAGGAACACGCTATCTAGCGACAAATCAACCAAACCATGAACCACGACCATACAATTTTCAAAAGTTTTACCTCCTCCTCTTTCTTTTTTTTTTTTTTCTTTCTTTCAAAATTGAACTGTCTTAATACCAAAAAAAGGATAAACCCTTAAATTATATTTACGGATAGTTGTTCAATTGAACAACAAACAATAATCGATAAAATCATAGCAATAGTCGTTATTGTCATCCAAATCATTTTATTATTAATTTTACAAATATTTAATAAACATGTTAAAATAGATAAATAGATAGATAACCTTTTTATTGTTTTAATATTATTTTTTCTCAATCATTCATTCACACAACAACAACTACACAAAACACAAACTTTAACAACAATAATAATTTAAACAAAACAAGAAATATTTTCCCTTTTATTTATTTGAAAACAAAAAACCAAACAAAAAGTAAATTAAATCCCTTTTTGAATTCTACTTTTAATAATATTCTTTTTACCCTTTTAAAAAATAATATTAATATTTATAATAATATAAATTATTTAAATATTTTTTTTTACCGTTACATAAATAAGAGCTTGTACAATATTTAATTCATTTTTAATATTTTAGCCCCAACACCCCATTTACCCCAATTGTTATGAACCACCAACAAGAAAATATCCCCAATAATACTATTTCACACACAAACTACAACAACAAAAAAGAGAAACTAAAATCTTTTCTTCTAGACTATTCAAATAATCAACTACCACAACTTTCACCATCATCATCATTTCTTTTAAAGAGTAATAATAACAATATTATTAATTCTTTTTCCTCCTCCTTTGCTGATACTTTGCAATTCCAACAACACCAACTACAAGAACATCAAAATAATCATAATCACAATCATTATCATTCTGAATCTAAAAATTATAATGTCAGTGATATTATCCAACAAGAAGAAAAGAAGAATCAGACACAATCATCATCATCATCTCTTATTGTTGAACATAATAAAATGTCCAATCCTCTATTATCTTTTGATAACTTGAATGTATGTGTACAATTAAATAATATGGATGGTTGAATTGAATTTGAATTTAACAAATAAATATTTCCATTAGTCATTAATATCAGGATCGGTTGCAGGAGCCTTATCTAGAACATCTACTGCAGGATTTGAAAGATTAACAATTATACAACAAGTACAGGGTACTTGTATCAACGCAAAATACAATGGATGTTTTAATGCATTGAAAAACATGGTAAAGAATGAAGGATTCCGGTCACTATTCAAAGGCAATGGAGCCAACATTGTCAAGGTCTCTCCAAACAGTGGAATTAGATTCCTGACATACGACTGCTGCAAAAACATCTTTACTGGAAACGATCCATCAAGAAAACTAGGTCGTATGGAAACTGTGGCATCTGGTGCAATGGCCGGATTAACCTCTACCGTATTCACGTACCCAATCGATCTCATTAGAATCAGACTCTCTCTACAAGGTTCTGGTAATGATTCATTTAGTCTTGCCAACACTAGATACTCTGGCATTAGACATGGACTCCAAACTATACATGCTGAAGAAGGTGTTAGAGGTTTATATAGAGGTTTGGGTACTGCTATCATGGTAAATAGATATAGATAGATATAAACAAATATTTAAACAAATATAAATACTAACCTTATATTTCTTTTTTTTTTTTTTAGAGTGTAGCTCCATGGGTATCATTAAGTTTTCTAAGTTATGAAGGATTTAAATCAATTGTAAAAAACAATGATAATATAAACTCTTTAATATACAACAACAACAATAATGTAAATAATAATGTAAATAATATAAATAATAATAATAATAATGTTAATAATAATAGTAACCAAGAAAAAAGTAAAGGAATGGTTGTGGATTTGTTATGTGGAGCAGCATCAGGTGCCTTCACAATGACGGTGTGTTATCCACTTGATGTACTTCGTCGTAGAATGATGGTACAAGGTATTGGAGGTGATAGAGTGATCTACAAGAATGGTCTCGATGCTCTTCGATCCATCTACAAGACCGAGGGAATCGCTGCATTCTACAAGGGTATCAAACCTGCCTATCTAAAGGTTGTTCCAACCGTTGCTATTTCATTTGCAGCCTATGAACTATGTAAAGAACTATTAGACACACAATATAGAAACACCAACGACGATGATGACTGTTGCCAACAACAACATTAAATTTCGAATATAAGAATCATCGGTCGTCTTCACAATGTAAATAAAAGAAAAAGAACAAGAGAGAGATAAAGAATTAGAACTCTCTCTCTATTTGTAAATTAAAATTGTGGGCGAACTTGAATGAATGAATGATCGATGATAAATATCTATAGATAGAAATTTCTATCTATCTATAGATTCTATTCCCCTATTCTTCTTAAACCAGCTTCTTAATTCTTTTGAGCTGGAGGTGTGCAAACAGACTCCTTGTGAGCGCGAAATTGAATCTTCTTTTTGGAAGTCCAATCGATGCCCAGCAAAGTCGTTCGATGGTAAAACGAAAAAAAAAAAGAATGGGTATAAATTATCCACACCCTGTCTTTTCTTTTGTTATTGGTATTTCGACTATTCAAGTAGTATTATCATTCAACTCGAGTAGAGATAAAGTTGTTAGTTCTCTTCATCCCTTCTTCTTTCTTCTTCTTTTAAATAACTAGAGGTTACTTTTACTGTTAGACGCGATAACGATAAACATAATATTAGAGACATGGCTTACGATACAGAATATCATCCACTCATTGCTGATGTTGCACCAAAAGATAAAGTAAAGTATCAAATTAATTAATCATCATTATTATCATACAGAGAGAGGAGAGAGAGAGAGAGAAACAAAACAATATATCAAGGTGATGTGTAAATTTGTATAGAATACAAGTTTTACTAGTGTGTTAGTTTAAACACTCTATTTCAACTCTTTCTCTCTCTCTCCTCTCTCTCCTCACAATAACTTCATAGCAACCATTGAATAATAATGTGACACATATATATATATTTATATAAATATATATATATTATTAAATAATCTTTGATAAGAATGACAGCAGAAATACTAATTGATATTTCCACTCCACCTTCATTATCATTTCAGTTTGGAGCAGCATGGGCATGTTTTTGCTTATTAGGTGTTGGATTGTTATTCCCATTCAACTGTTATATTGCAGCATCAACGTATTTTAATGATCTCTATCCCAATGTTCCATATACCTTTTTAATGTCGATGGCATACAACTTTTTCTCATGGATTCTGTTGTTTGTCTCGTCCAAGATTATGCCCAAGTTTTCGTTCCGTGTACGTATCAATGCCTTTTTGTTGATGGGTGCCGCTATTCTTTTCCTCATCCCATTCATCTCCAAGATGATCCCCGATCGTACCGCTTCGATGGTCGTCTCTCTCATTCTTACCTTTTTGTCTGGTTCCATTTCATCGCTTCTCTTTGGTACCGTTATGGGTTTGACTGCTCTCTTCCCATTTGAGTACACTGGTGCCGTTATGAGTGGTTGTGGTGTTGCCGGTATCATCGCATCGGTCCTCCGTATCATCACCTACGTCTCGATGCCTGCCAGCGCACTCACAGCATCTTCATACCTCTACTTTTTCTTGGCCGGTGGTCTATTGATCATCTGCTTCCTCGGTTTTATCGTATTGCTCAACTTGCCAATCACTCGTCACTACTTGGCCGTTCAATCAAAGAACAACGAGAATTCAATCAACAACTCGTCGTCTGGTGGTTCCACTCCACAAGTCGACATGAAACAGTTGTTGCGCAAGGTTTGGAGAGAGGCATTTGTCGTCTTTACCGTCTTTTTCACCACTCTCTCCCTTTTCCCCGGTATCACTGGTCTCGTCGAAAACATCAACTCTGGTCTATCAAGCGACTGGTTTGGCATCCTTTTCACTCTCACATTCATGGTCGGTGATTTAATCGGCCGTACCGCTCCCAAGTGGTTCATCATCTTTACGCCAAACAACCTTTGGATGCCAACCGTTGCTCGTCTCGTATTCTTTGTTCTCTTTGCTCTTTGCGTCAAACCATTGGTTTTCAAGAGCATTGCTTTCTACTTTGTATTTATGTTTTTATTCTCTCTTTCAAATGGTTATTTAGGAAGTAAGTTAAATCAAAGGAGGAAACAAACAAAAGTAAACAAATATATTAATATCTTTTTTTTTTTTTTCTAATTTAGCTTTGGCAATGATGTTTGGTCCAACCAAGGCATCTGAACATGAAAAGGAAGTAACTGGTATTATTATGTCTTTCTTCCTTAATTTTGGTATTTGGGTTGCCACTTGGTTCTCACTTTTACTTTTGTTCCTCATTACTGGTAACAAGGATATCTTTGGTTAAGCACGCGCACTATATATAGTGTAATACAACTCTACTACAAACACAAATATAATCTATTATTTTTTTCTTTCTTTTTCTTTTTTTTTGAAACTATTACAACAATATTATATCGCTAATAATAATAATATTTTCCGCAACATCCTCTATATAAGAGCAGTATATAGATACATATACTTTCTCCTACCACCCAAAACAAAATCTATAAATCTCTTGTTAATAAATCGAATCGAATAAATTAACTATCCCTATAATTCAATCAAACAACAATAATATCCAACGATCTTTTTAAATATTTATTATTATTAATTTATGGAAATAATATAATTCTTTTCTAATTTATGGTTGACGACGTTGTAATAATTCAATACATTGTTGAAGTCCAATTCTATGTCGATGTTCATCTCTTACACCTCTTTGGATCATTTCCTCTGCTTCTGGCCATTTGTCTTGTCTCTTGGAAATGAGTTCATAGGCATTCTCCAAGTCATGTTCGTTTGAAAGTTGGGCACTTAGTAGACTTTGTTCGCCCATGAGTCCGCCGAGATAGACTCTTCCTTTGGTGAGATACTGTTTAGCATCTGGTCTTGATGGAGCCCTTTCATCTCTCTTTGCCATAATTTCGGTAATCTCTTGGATGTGTCTTTCATGGTCCATCATGAATGATGTCATCAATGTCTTGGTCTCTACAGATTCAATATCCAATTTGCCAATTAGCACCTTGAATGCCTCGACAGAGTCAAAGTCCAATTCACAAAGACATGACAATGCCTCTCTAAATGATGAACATGATGAAATTACATAGTTTCCTAACATTTTTTAGAATTATAAATAAATAATATAGGCAATATTATTAAAAAATTATTAATATACTTTGTAGTCTCATATTAAATAGTATTTGGAGAAATAAATAAATTATAAATATTCCTATAACTATATTGTTTAACTATTTTAGGTAACTATTATCAAACTTGACATGGTTGTTTCTTCTATTTTGATTACCATAATCATTTTTCAACAATAATTATTCATTCTATCTTGAAGATAGATCTATTAGTTGTTTTTTTCCATGCTATCAAAAATTAATCTTATTCTTCTTTCTCTCTCATACAATTAATCTTTATGAGTAGTCTTGATGTGAGTCATCTAAATTCTAACCACAACCTATACTGTATTAGGATTGTCTTTGGACAAAGAGACTACATAGATCTGGACACTTCGTCAACAGGTCGTTTAAATTAAATGAAATTTGCTCAATTTTCAGACTGAGCTGACGATGCAGGATTGCTATGATTTATTTAAGTTCAATTTAAAATTGAATTGTTAATTATAAAAGTATAACTGTAACAAATATTTGTTCTGACAACTTATAATATAGAAACATGGAACCTAAACATATGACTGAAAAAGAAAAGATGATTGCTGGTATGTAATAAATAGTCAAACTCGAATTAATTTCATCTTCTTTGGTATTAACACACCCCCTCACACAATTAATTATATCTATCTATCTATCTTTCTTTAGGAATGTTATATTTAGCAAATGAAGATACACTTGTAAAAGATCGTATTGATGTAAAGGAGAAATGTTATGATTTTAACATGATTAGACCTTCACAGAGAAAGGAAAGAGAAGACAAGATAAAGACTATTTTCGGAAAGAGTGGAAATAATCCATTTGTAGAGTCACCATTTAACTGTGACTATGGATACAATATCACGGTTGGTGATAACTTTTACTCTAATCATGGTTTGGTTATTTTGGATGTCGCGCCAGTCACTATTGGAAACACGGTTATGATGGGACCAAACTGTAGTATCCTAACAGCCGGTCATCCAATCGATGTCCAACATAGAAATAGTGGTGAAGAGTTTGGAACCAAAATCGATATTGGTTCAAATGTTTGGCTTGGAGGATCTGTCACTATTCTCCCAGGTGTTACCATTGGCGATGGAACTGTCATTGGAGCTGGCTCTGTAGTCACTAAAAGTATCCCAGCCAATTGTATTGCTGTTGGTAATCCATGTAAAGTATTAAGAGAAATCAATGATGCTGATAGAGCAAAATATAGAAAATAAACAAACAAATAATATTAATAATAATAATAATTAATAATTAATATTGGAAGGATTGATTTTGAGCAATTTAATAATTGCTTGGGTTTTGTTTGTTCAACAATTTTATTCTTTTAGGAATGATTGATTGAATAGAGGAGAGATAGATGTTACTACTTGGGATTGATGAGGGAAAAAATTTACAAGGCATGCAATTCAAGGTTTTGGACGTCGAGAACAACCAAACCGAGAACGTCAAGGTGGAGGTTTGGAACAGAAAGGTTAACATTGGATGCAGTTGCATTCATTGATTGTGATGAGAATGAACCACTGCTCATTGATTTCATATTGACTGATGAGGACTTGACTTGACCGAATTGAGTAATTGATTCTAAAATGAAAATTAAAAAAGAAATAAAAGGAGAATGAGATAATTAGAATTTATTGCCAAGGAATATTAAATTAATCATTTGACACATACTTAAGATGGACATTTTAGTTTTTGGTTTGGGGAGGTGTTACAGAAAGTAATAGTACTGTTTAATTGTTTGTTTAGAAGAGAAGAAGAAGAGTGAATTGAATGATTTGAAAGACAGGAAAACAGGATGTTTATATAGTTTCCAGTTTCCACCAAAACGCATTCCTCAGTTTAGTTTCTACTTTCCTGTGACATATCATCATGATTTGGAATGAATCCAATCAAAATACCCACACGTTTTACACAAAGAGGGTGTAAAGATAATAAATCATGTAAATCTTTGAATGAGTAGATGATCGCATGTTAAAAATAGAAATCATCCAATCCACACTTGCAATTCCATTTATCATGATGATGAAGTAAAGTATTGGGGGGTAAGATTTATTCAATACATCATTTTGATTGGAGGGAGGGGGGAAAATCAAATTAAAGATGTATATTACTACTCACCTAAACTAATATAATTTGTAGAAATCTTCCCATTATTCATCCCGTTTAATACAATAGTTAGTTGTGGTTTAAATAAATTAAATATAAATGAGGTCATTATCATAAATGTAACAAAACAAGAAGAAAGGAAGACGATTTATAACCATTTCTAATCTTGATTCATATTTTACATGGAAATCAATCAATCGCATATGTAAATTCATCACCAATCCAATTGTAGGATAGGTTAGGTTAGGTTAGGTTAGGTTTCATCCCTTCTCTGACCTGTACACACATGATATGATAACAAATAAAAAAAGATAGAGAAATAATATTTTAATAATTCAAATATATTTCCATGTTGTAGACTTCTTAGAAGTCTATGTTTTTTTCTTGAGATGGATGTGACAATGAGGGTTTTTAGTTATTGTTGTTACACAGGTAGTCTAGTGTTGTTTTGTAGAAATAATGACAACATATAAAGAAGCAACAATTAATCCAAAGTTTCAATGGGTAGCATTCGACCTAAGAAATCTACGTCAATGTAATGGAACGTACGACGAGTATGATGATGTACCACCATTGCCAAACCCTAAAGTAGTCGACCTCGAAGATGTGCATTCACCGACTGCTTGCTATCTGTTGAATGAAAGTTATCAAACAAGAGATGAGGGAGAGAACCCTGATGGAACTCTGTTTGATCTTGGACCTGCAACAGCAGTGGTAGGTGATCAAACCATTCAATTGAATCCCTTTTACAACGATCAACAAACCTGTGTGACATGGTACACTGGTTCCGATGGAAAGGTGTATCATGCTTTTAGAGCATGGGAGTTTACCTATTGCGCTGCAAGTTTGGCAGAGTTTACAACTAGAATCAAATTAGAAGCTGAACTATGGTTCGCTCTCAACAAATATTCAAGAGAGGAATTGGAAAATGGTAGAGAAGACTTTTCAGCTCAAGAATGGGCATACATTGAATATTATCTTTCAAAAGATCCAACTGATAATCCAAATATTAAATATCATAATGCTATCTAAAAAAAAAGAATATTAAAGAAACAATAAAACAAATAAACTTAATAATAATAATTAATTGTTGTTGTTTTAAAAATCAGGGTTTTATTTTTAGTATATTATAGTTTTGGTAGTAGGTAATGATATATTTTTGGTAGAGATATGATGATGGTAGGGAAAAGATAATGATATATTTGTTGTTGTTTAAAATGTTTTTGTTTTTTTTTTAATCGGTAGTAACAGCCTTGGCAAGATTTCTTGGTTTATCTGGATCGATACCACGCAAGACAGCTACTTCATAGGCAATAAGTTGGAGGGGGATGGCAGCCAGGAGAGAGGTCAATACACCATTGCTTGGGATGACGACAACATCGTCGCCGACATGCTTGGCGAGCGCGGGTTGGTTGGTGATGACGATGGTGTAGGCACCACGGGCTTTGACCTCTTCACCGGCAATACGCATCAATTGTGCGTGGGCATCGTCGAGGATGATGAGAATGATGGGTGTTCCTTGCTCGATGAGAGCGAATGGACCGTGCTTGAGGGCACCACCACTGTAGCCCTCAGCGTGAATATAGGTAATTTCCTTGATTTTGAGTGCGCCTTCGTAGGCGATTGGCTCACTCAGACCCTTGCCCAACACAAACATCGAGTCACGCTTGTACAGCTTCTGGGCAATCTCTTTGCACTTGTCGCGCACACGCAACGCCATACCGAGGTTGGTGGGTAGACGATGGAGCGACTCGATCAAGTGACGACGCTTGCTCTCCTCGAGACCGCGGTGTTGCGCAAACCAGTTGGCAATCAACGACAATACAGTGACCTGCGACGTGAACGCCTTGGTTGACGCGACAGCATGCTCGCGACCGGCGTTGAGGTAGACACCGCAGATGGCGCCACGGGCAATCAGCGAGCCGACCGCATTGACCACCGAAAAGGTGGGGATGTTGCATTCTCCGGCCAACACCATCACACGATGCACGTCTTTGGTCTCACCACTCTGCGATATCATCAAGATGCCCGTTGTGGCACCTCCACGCAGTGGTAGGTTTTCACGCGACATTTCACCGGCGTCAAACACCTGCACCGTGTCGAATGCACCGAGGTAACGTAGAATCTTGGCGCCGAGCTGCGCGGCAAAGTACGACGTACCACAGCCCGTGATCAGCAGGTTCTTGATGGGCAACAAGATCTCCTTGGCCTCTTCCAAGCCACCGAGCTTGACACGCGCATCGTCAAATATACGGCCGCCATAGTTGAGTGCCCTCGAGATGGACATGGGCTGCTCCATGATCTCCTTGATGGTCCAATGTGGATATGGTTCGGGCGACAGCTGGATATTCTCGTGTGGAGCCAACTCGATACGCGATAAATCCAAGCTGTGTCCGTCGGCTCTCAACACGGCAATCTCTCCATTCTCCATGGCGATGAACTCCTTGGTGTGTCTTCCAAATGCACCGGCTTCCGATGCGATAAACATACGATCCTTTCCAATACCAATCAACAATGGACTACCATTCTTTAATGCAATGATCTGGTCTGGCACATCTCTACACACACATGCAACTCCCCATGTACCCTGTAACTTTTTCTGTGTCTCTTTAACAGCTTCAATAATTGGGAATCCTTGATCTAAAAATACTCCAATCTAAAGAAGTAAAAGTAAAAGGTTAGTCAATGTCAACTAATTAACTATTTGATTTCTTTTCTTACCAATTGAGCAATAACTTCGGTATCAGTCTCTGATCTAAATACAACACCTCTCTTTTCAATCTCTTCACGTAATGCACTACTATTTTCAATGACACCATTGTGAACTACTGCCACTCTATTCTTGTCATCATGATGAGGATGAGCATTACGATCAGTCTTTCCACCATGTGTTGCCCATCTAGTATGTGCAATACCAATTATATGTCCTTTATGTAACTAAAAAGAAAGTAAAGATTAATTAATTAATTAATGATTAATATCCCCATGACCATTCAAAATTACTATTTCTACTAACATACATGTGAAACAGTCTTTAGACGAGAGATGGCATCACTGGTTGTATTTAAACTCGCGTATTTTGAAGTAACCAATTCACTATTTGATGAAATGGTTGTGACACCAGCACTATCATAACCTCTATTTTCTAATATAGAAAGACCTTCTATTAAATAGTTAAAGGCTTCTTCCTTTCCAACAAAACCAATAATTCCACATGTATCATTACTTTCTAATGGTGAATCATTCGATTGTTGTTGTATATGATTATTTGTTATTTGTAATCTTCTTAATACTGATTCATCCATTGTATGTATGTTTTGTAAATATTAGATAGATAGATAGAAGTAACTAGAAAGATTGAAATAATTTAATTATATTAATATTACAATAATAATAAATGTATTGAATGTGAATGTGATTTGATGGTTGATTATAATGAATATATATATATTTAACAGATATTATTTGATGATTAAACTAAAGATAATATAAATGAAAGTGTAGAGGAAAATGTAATAATGTAAAAATAGATATTTTTGATGAACTTGTGATAAAGGATGCTGACAAGGCCGATGGTTTGGAAAATTTAATTTAATTTGTTGGGGGGATGACAGACACGAAAAGTAAAAGTAGGGGAGGTACCTTTGGCAAAATAACTAATCGAATCTTGCAGGTTATATTTAATTTGTTGATGACTCAGAGCAGTTGCTGTTGTTGTTGTTTTTGGTCTCTCTTTCTCTTACTTTCTTTCTTTCTTGAATAGATAGGATGAATGAAAACAACTAACTTAATATTATTATTTATATAGTCTAGTGATGTGTAATATATTGATTGCAGTTAATTCCGATGATCAATTGCAATTTCAATAATATCTAATAGTATGGAGTATGAAAGGATTGGAATAAAACGGACAATGACTAATTTGTGATTGCAATGGATAGGAATATACTATATTATCAATCAATTGATTGACTGACTCTTCTTCCTTACCTTTTCTAATATTAATTTACAAATACTGGTAATCGATTAAAAGATGTAAAGTAATTCTCTTGTTGTTGTTGTTGTTGTTGTAGTAGTAGTAGTAAAGAATTCTTGTATCTCTTCTAATTGTACAGTTCAGTAGTGATTGATTGTGATTGTGATATAGTATTATTATTTGTATTGGTTGGATAATAATAATAATTAATGCACTCGAATTTTGTAACTACACCATCACTCACCCCTCACGACCATCACCCCCCCCCCCCCTTTCTGCACTACTACATTAATCAATCAGTCACCCACACGAAAAGTTATTGATTTGTGATGTATATTTTTGTTTCCCATTCCATCCCCTACTTTTGGAAATAAAAATATACATCAAAATACATATATATATATGTAGAGATAAAAGCGAAATAGCAGTATAAATATATATATATATAATATATTATTACCATGATCATCCAATCAAATCATGCATGATATACCTCATATTCCAAGGAGGAAATAAGATTGTTTGTTTGGTGAAGATCAATAAAAATATAAATAAATATATTAATATTTATGTAAGATCACAATCTTATCTCTCTTTCCAAACAATAAAATAAATGATTAAAAGTAAACAATAAATATAATTTCTTGAGTCAAACAAATAATAATAATAACTTGATGATATTTATATTTTTTATGATTTAAATAATTGTTTTTTTGAGAAGTGCTGATTTTTTTTTCATAAGATTAAGTAGTTTGGATATCTTGTTTTACTTTGACAGATAAAGATAACTAACTAACTAACTAACTCTAGCTAGTTATGTCATCTGTAACAGCACCTTCACAGGTATTAGCGTCATCAGCTTTACCTCCTCTATCACCACCACATAATAATAACAGTACTAGTACACCTATCATCAATAGCACTCCTAGTAGTAGCAGTAGTAATAATAATAATGGATATGAATTCAAGGTTATATTTTCAAAGCCAGATGTATCGATTTATCCAGCTGAAGTTGATAGTAAAGGTATAGAGGGTGTTATTACACTGTACTATAGTTATGATACACCTTCATCGATGATGTTGAGTTCATCATCTGCATCATCATTTTCATCTTCTTCTCTGTTGTCACAAAGCATTGGAATGCAACCATGTTCACCTGGTGATAAAAGTTTGATTCTCTCATGGACTCCTAATAAACAATCAACAAACTTTGAAACTAGTAGTAGTTTGGATAATATGTTACCTTCATCTACATCTAATATCAAAGATCCTTCTTCTTCTTCTTCATCTTCATCATCCTCATCTTCTTCTTCTTCATCCTCTAATCCTTTAAAAAGATCGCAACCAATATCAATCAATAAGAATGGTCTTTCAAATAGTAATGATGGTGGTGGTTCGAGTAATCCATACCAACAATTGAAAATCAATGTACGTGAAGTACACTCAATCAAAAAGTATACACCTACTATTGGAACACCCTATGTCATTGTATTGAGCAAGAATGGAACTGCATTCCCACCATTCTTTTTTGAGAATGGAGGTGTTAGAGAGTTCTTAAAATCTCTAGTCTCTGTATCAAATCTTAGAAAGTAAGTAGTTCAAGTTAAAGTTTATTGATCAATAGATAAATACATTCTAAACTCTTTTTATTATTTTGTTTTGTTCTAGATCAAACTATGATACCAATTTGTATATTAATGATGATGGAGTAGTATCTACAATTTATAGTAATAGTCTTAAAAAGAATGAAATACCAATATCGACGAAAAGAATTGAAGGTCATTTACACAGTACAACACTTCATGATCCAAACCATGATACCATTACAGTTACATCTAGTATTAATGCAAGTGGAGCAATGCGTCCAACATCACCATTACCATCACCGTCGGCAACACCAAAAGGTGGATCATTTCTCAATATTGCACACTCACCATCTACCAATCCTGGCCTTTCATTGTCTCCAAAAACACCTCTATCTCTGTCAACAATGATCGAACGTGATGATGCCATATCTCCAACCGCCCAACTATCCACATCTCCATCAAGTGGTATCATTCATCATCATCAATCATCATCAGATAGTCATCATAATCATTCTCATCACAAGGATAGAGATCACAAACAAAAACGTTTAACCAAAGAAATGTCATCAAATAATATTCTCTTGGAAGGGTTTGCAAAGGTTTCCAATTTTGCAAAAAATGCTAGATCAAGTAAGATAATAGAAATGAAATGAAATGAATTAAAATGACTAATTATTATTATTATATTTAGATATATTTGAAGAACCAGCAAAGAAAATTGATAATACATTTAGATCATTAACACAATCCTTGGGATCAAGAAAAACATCACCTCAACATGTATGTATATATATAAATGATTAATTATTTATTTCTCTTTTTATTTATTAACCAATTTATCTACACTTCTCTTTATAGAGTAATAATGAAAGTTTAAATTCATCATTAAATTCATCTACCGATTATTTTACACCATTTAACTTGTCAGCATCTGGGTTTATTGAAGATTTGTCAGTTAATAGAAAGGAATGTAATCCATTGTCGGCCAATGAATGGTATAGCTATTTTGACGAGGAAGGAAGAATTAGTATGTCCAATCAACAGATTCTAAGGAAAAAGATATTTTATGGAGGTATTCAAGAATCGATCAGGCCAGAGGTATGGCCATTCCTATTGGATTGTTATCCATTTGATTCTACTCATTCGGCACGTGAAGCTATTAAATACGAACGAACACGTGAATATATGGCAATCAAGAAACAATGGCAATCCATATCACCAGAACAAGAAAAAAGATTCTCTAAATTCCGTTCTAGAAGACATTTGATTGAAAAGGATGTCATTCGTACCGACAGACTAAACCCACTCTTTTTAGGCGACGACAATCCCAATCTACAAACCATCCAAGATATTCTTCTCACCTATTCATTCTTTAATTTTGATATTGGTTATGTTCAAGGTATGAGCGATCTATTGACCATCATCTTTTCAGTCATTCAAAAGGAAGTAGATACATTTTGGTGTTTTGTTGGATTAATGGATCGTCTTGAAAGTAATTTCCATAAAGATCAAAATGGAATGCATTCTCAATTGGTAACATTATCAAAATTATTAAAATATATGGATCCTGATTTATATAGTCATTTTGGTATGAAATCAAAACAAAAACAAAATCAAAAACAAAACAAAACTAACTAGTTATTATTATTATTATTTTTTTTTTTAGAATTAATTGATGGAACTAATATGTATTGTTTCTTCCAATCAATTTTAATTTGTTTTAAAAGAGAATTTTTGTTTGATGATGTAAAAAGTTTATGGGAGGTATGTAGATAAAGAAATAGATAAATAATAATAATAATAACAAATGAATGATAATTATAATGATATTAACTTGTTGTGTTGTTACTTTTTAGATATTATGGAGTAATTATTTAACTAAAAATTTACCAATATTTATGTGTATGGCAATATTGTTAAAGGATAGATCGACGATTGTGGAGGATAATTTGGCACTTGACCAAATCATTAAATTTGTTCACATGAAGGCCGGAAAGATGGATTTGGATGAAATATTAGTATTTTGCGAATCGGTTGTTACCTATTTCGTTGCAAAGGTGTCTGGGGGATCCACAGAGAATGTTCAATACCTCGACCAATCACTTCGAACTCTATGTGAAAGTATCTACCAATATTAAACAAAAGAAAGATGATAAAAAAAATGGATATATATACATAGAGATAATAATAGTAATAGTAGAGATAATAATAGTAATAAAAATACAAGTGTAAAATATACAAACAAAACAAAACAAAACAAAAACAGTAGAATGTGAAATGGAATCAATCTTAACTCAACAGGGGTGGGGATGTAATATAATATCGCCAACCCAACAACAGCAACAACAACAAGGAGTAGGGACAAGAAAAAGAATGATGATAATTAAGTGTGATTGCATTGTTGCCAGGGATGGAAAGACACGCGCATCATAAAATTATTTCAAACAGGGGTAGGGAGACCTGCAGAAGAATCGATTCACTCAAGAGTGTGGCCTGGTTTAATGAACGTTGAAACTTGCGAAGATTTTTTCAATTTTTTTTATTTTTGTTGCACCTCCCACTTAGTGACCTACAGTTTCCACACACAATTTTTTCGTTTCTCTCCTTCCTTCACTTTTGTATTAATATATCTATCCCCACCCAACTACATATTATTATTTATAATATAAAGAGATAGCTTGTTGTTGTTGTAATAGTTTGTTGCGCAAAGTCATATCTAAAATAGTAATAGTCATAGTTTATCACCACAATATCAATTGTCAAGAATAACTATACATTCAGAAGAGATTTTCAATCCGATTCACATCATACATACATACATATAATATATTAACATAAAAATGGTTCAACAAAACGGTATGCCATCCTTTGCTTCAACTGAAGCCGACACTGATTTTGGTTTCATCAGTTCAGTCTCTGGTCCAGTCGTCATTGCCAACAAGATGTCTGGTGCTGCTATGTACGAATTGGTAAGTTAAAACTCAATATAGTAAAGGATAATATAGTACAGATCATCACATTATCATCATAATCATCAATCAAAGGAATTCAATCAATCAACTTAAAGAGATAGATAGATATAGAGATTCAACAAACAAACAAATAATATGATTTTTTGAAGATACCAAAAAAAAAAAAAAAAAAAAACAATCAACCCAAAAAAAAACGAACGTTACAAAGCAAGATCAATATCAATATCTACAAAGCTAGGGTTCTAGGTTATTGATCAAATTTGATGATTTTGACGATGATGATGTGGAATCTAGAAACATTACATTTTTAAAAATATCTTTACATTTTCTAATTCTTTTTCCATTTTTCTTTTTTTTTTTTTTTTCCATTCCTTTTTCATTAGGTTCGTGTAGGTAAATCAGAACTTGTAGGTGAAATTATTAGATTGGAAGATGATACAGCAACCATTCAAGTATACGAAGAAACTGCTGGTCTTACCATTGGTGATCCAGTACATCGTACTCGTAAGCCATTGACTGTAGAATTGGGTCCAGGTATTATGGATAACATTTTCGACGGTATTCAAAGACCATTGAACGCCATTGCAAAGATTACTGAAGGTATTTACATTCCACGTGGTATCAACACCCCATCACTCGACAGAAAGAAAAAGTGGGCTTACGAACCAGCCAACAACGTCAAGGTTGGTGATCTCGTAACTGGTGGTGACATCTTTGGTAAGGTCGTCGAAAATAACCTCATTGTTCACTGGATCATGGTCCCACCAAAGGAAATGGGTAAGGTCGTCGAAATCACTGCCGCCGGTGAATACACCCTCGATCAAGTCCTCTTGACCATCGAATTCCAAGGTCAAGTCAGAAAATTAACTATGGTTCACAACTGGCCAGTACGTTCTGCTCGTCCATCCATTGAAAAGCTTCCATGTAACTATCCATTGTTGACTGGTCAACGTGTTTTGGATGCTTTGTTCCCGTAAGTCTAAAAGAAAACAAAAACAAACAAACAAATATAATATATATATTAATACTTTTCCATTTCTATTTTTTCTATTATTATAGATGTGTCCAAGGTGGTACTTGTGCTATTCCAGGTGCTTTTGGTTGTGGTAAGACTGTAATTTCACAATCTTTGTCTAAATTCTCCAACTCTGATGCTATTATCTACGTCGGATGTGGTGAACGTGGTAATGAGATGGCTGAAGTATTGATGGAGTTCCCAGAGTTGTTCACCAAGATTGGTGACCGTGAAGAACCAATTATGCAACGTACTTGTTTGGTTGCCAACACCTCCAACATGCCAGTAGCTGCTCGTGAAGCTTCCATCTACACTGGTATTACTCTTGCCGAGTACTTTAGAGATATGGGTTACAACGTTGCTATGATGGCTGACTCTACCTCTCGTTGGGCTGAGGCTCTCAGAGAAATTTCCGGTCGTCTTGCTGAAATGCCTGCCGATTCCGGTTACCCTGCCTACTTGGGTGCTCGTCTCGCCTCTTTCTACGAGCGTGCTGGTCGTGTCTCATGTATCGGTCATCCAACCCGTACCGGTTCCGTCTCTATTGTCGGTGCCGTCTCTCCACCAGGTGGTGATTTTGCCGATCCGGTAACTTCTGCCACTCTTGGTATCGTCCAAGTTTTCTGGGGTCTCGACAAGAAGTTGGCCCAACGTAAGCATTTCCCATCCATCAATTGGCTCATTTCCTTCTCCAAGTACATGACCTCCCTCGACCCACATTATGAACAAATGGACTCTGAATTCGTCCCACTCCGTACCAAGGCCAAGGAAATCTTGCAACTTGAAGAAGATTTGTCTGAAATCGTCCAATTGGTCGGTAAGGACTCGCTCGGTGAATCCGAAAAGATCACCCTCGAAGTTGCCAAGATCCTTCGTGATGATTTCCTCCAACAAAACGGTTTCACCCCATACGATAAGTGCTGTCCATTCTACAAGACCGTCTGGATGCTCCGTAATATGATTACTTTCTACTCATGTGCCCAAAAGGCCGTCGAGTCGTCCACCCCAGACCACAAGGTCACCTGGAACCAAATCCGTCACGAAATGTCCGACACTCTCTCCAAAATCACTGCCATGAAATTCCAAGACCCAACTGATGGTGAAGCCGCCCTCGTTGCCCACTTTACAAGATTAAACGAAGAAATTATTGCCAACTTTGCCAACCGTGATCAATAAAATATAAAATAATAATAATATAAATTAATAATAATAATCATTTCCTTTTAAAAAAAAATAGTAAAATAAAAAACCCCCCTAGTATTATAATATATAAATTGGATCTTTAATTAAAGATAGGATTGTGTGTTATTTAATAACCCAGAATGGAAATTATGTGCATGGAACACCATATCCCTCATCGATCTCTCTTTGAAAAAAATACATGTCGGTCCAAAGTAATCAAAATCTAATTAAAATGAGATTGATTTGAATCATTGATTGATATCAATCTAAATATTAGTTAGGTAGTTTTATTAATATTATTATTGTTGACGTGTCTTTATGCTTCTAGATTTATTGAAAAAACAACAAAAATTAATAAAAATTCAATTCTCTTTTTTTTCTTTCTAGGTAGACCACTCAGCGGTGATCATTGAGTGATTTTTTTTTATTGCGTTGTTCATTTATTTATAAATAATATATATATACAAATACATACAAGAATGTTGATTAAGGTAAAGACTTTGACTGGTAAGGAAATCGAAATTGATATCGACCCAACTGATAAGGTATGTGAAACAAAGAGCAAACAGAAGATATATGTTTAAAGAAGAGGTTATATTAACTTTTCGTCTATCTCTGTCTACCAATATACTATCTAATCAATCTACATAACCATAAATAGATTCAAAGAATCAAGGAAAGAGTTGAAGAGAAGGAAGGTATCCCACCATCCCAACAAAGATTGATTTTCAGTGGAAAGCAAATGTAGGTGTTATAACAATAACAAGAAGAAAGAAAAAGATAGATACATAATGTAGATCGATTCTAACTATAATTCTATTTGTTTTGAATCATTGTTTAATTTATAGGGGTGATGAAAAGACTGCTTCAGAATACAACATTGAAGGTGGTTCAGTTCTCCATTTGGTTTTGGCTCTTAGAGGTGGTCTCTAAATCCTTTTTGAGAATTAAATCTCAAATACTCTTTATATATAACCAACAACAAACAGCAACCATGCAACCTTCACAACCAACAAACCCACCAACACAAACACAATGTTTTATTAGATCCCCTTCCAATTTATTAATTAATTTTGACAATCACTTCAAACCAATTTATAGTTGGTCCAAACTCCAAACCCCAAACAACAATAACAAATAATAATAATTAAAGTATACGATTATTTCTGTAAATCCAACTCTACCTATAGGTCCCGTATCTATACATTCTTTCATTGATGTATGGTTAGTTTCCCTTTCTCTCTTTTTTGTTTCTCTTTTTGATTTATATATTTTTGAATTGAAAATCAACAATGTGATGGTGATTTATTAATCTAAATTGATTCATTTCGTACAACTTTTAAAAGTTACTCTATCTATCTGTTTGTATGTTTATCTCTCTTTTTGTTCTAATTGAAAAAGAATAAAATTACACATTGAAGCATTGCAACACCAAATACAAAGTAGTTTCTCATGGCTGAGCCTTCGTGTTGTTGGTGCATATCGTGATGTGAGTTTGCGCTATTATCAGATACCATTACAACTCTTAAAGTCTTGAGGATAAATACACCCAAACATGCAACCAAATAAATCTTGACGAAAAATGATATGTATCCACCAGTAAGAATGGAAGAGATAATTGTGATTACCATTCTATAATAGAATAGGGAGATTGATTAGACTAATATAAATTCTCAGGTTGTCTGTCTATTATACATACAAAACGTATTTATAACCACTGTAAGCAATCATATCATAGATTGGGATGGAATAAGAGTTTGAAAAGAATGAACCCAATCTAAAGATACCAATTTCAATCAACCAACCAACAATACCCTTGCTAATAGCAGTTCCAAGCTTGTCTGGTGAGAATTCTCTGCCCATACCCAATTGGAATCCATACAAAAGATAGTAAGTGACAAATGCCATCAAAGGTATATAAAGATCTGGTGCATTGATATCATCACGAGGTGGTAAATAAGAGTCTACATCACCAACTCTATAAATTCTTCTTTTCCATGTCTAAATATTAAATATATATATAATATAGTTTTGTTAGAACCAATCTATTAAGAGTCAAATAAGAAACTATATGGTGATACCTTACCTTTTGTGGGAATGGGAATATAATTAATTTGATCTTATTGAATACATATGAAGTGTTTACATTAAAATAACTCTTTAATGATGAGAATGAAAAGTATTTTCCAATCTATAAATAAAAAATATGAAATGATGTGATAAGTAATCGTAGTCTGGATATTTGAAATATTTTGAAGATGAATAAGTCATACATTTGAATCGACGTATTGTTTACCATCATTGAATAAAGATTGACCATATGAGAAACCAACTTGTGCAAGTGGATTACTTGATATACTTGAAATGAGGAATTCGTTGCCCGATCCTCCTCTTTGTTGCATTCCAATTCCTTGTTGTTCTGGTGAGTATTGTTGATTCTATTAATAAAGATCGGATAGAGAGAGAGAGATTAGTTATTGAAATAAAGATCACTGTCATCATTCATCAAACATACTGGGTTATATTGTTGTTGTTGTTGTTGTGGTTGATAGCCTTGGTTATATTGTGGAGGATATCCACCTCCTTGTTGTGGTTGTTGTTGTTGGTGTTGTTGTGGTGCTTGATTTCTATATCCGCTATTGTTGTTGTTACCTCCATTGTTGGAATAGTTATATTGATCTATTTATATGATTCATAGGGATGATCGATATCGATGTTCGCAAGCAAGTAAATGATTAGTAATGTGATACCATTATAGATTGATTGATATCTTTAACAATCGCGGCTATATTCTCTTACCCATTGAAGGATAGTTCTGTGGATCCATTTCTTCTATCTATCTATCTATCTTTAGCTTAATAACAATAAAAGTACACAGATACAAAACAAAGATAAGATACTAAAACTTTTTTTAAATTTTTGAGTGAACTGACCCTTTGAGTCACCAACCAACCAAAATAATTATATATACATATTTTCCAAGTCACCATATTTAAATATTATTGATAATTTACAATTGATTATAATATATTTTATTGATTTATTTACAGAAGATGACCATAGGTGAACACAAAGAGTGTTCTTTACTTTATGAATTAATTATGAATTAATCAAATAATCTCTTTTCAAATGAAGTTGATCTGGCTCGGTGAGGTCTGGAATTAGAGTTGATATTGTTGGTGGTAGTAGTTGTGGTAGGTGGGGATGGTGAAGATGATGATGTCAATGCCGTGGACGATCCATCAAAGCTTAGTGGTGATGGTTGATGATGATGATGTTGTTGCTTATTTCCAGGATTTGGGTTGTATTGATTGATATAGGAAAAGTCATAGTTTTGTAGTCTTGGTGATGTATAGTAAATGGGTGTTGAATTATTTGATGTTGGAGTTGGTGGAGTTGTAATAGGTGTTGTGATAGGTGATGATGTACCACCAATATTTAATTGTGGAGGTTGATTATTATTATTATTATTATTATTATTTGAAGATCCCGATGAGGAAGAAGAAGTTGGAGGAGTATTTAAATTAAAGTTTAGAATATTTTGATAGGATATATTAGTTAGTGACCTTCGTTTTGATCCAGATATATTTGAAATGATCTTATTAAAAAATAAATCCAACTTTATCCAATTATCACTTCCTTTTTCAAAACAATTAATATTGGTTGATGTCTAGAATAAATATAATATATACAATATAAAATAATAATTAGATATATATTAAATATTTTGTTGAGATCTCTTTCATCATTTGATTTGATTTGATTTGATTTGATTACTTACAACAGGAACACTTAAACTACCAAGTTTATCTTTGAAAATATAAGTTTTATCATAGTATAGGTCACATTTGTTGCCTAGGATGAGTAAAGGTATGCTGGGTGCTTTGGTATGGACGTATACTGTGTTTTCAAGTTCGAGTAGTTGAGGATTCTCTGCAGTCTCTTTTAAGCTCCAACTAGTGCCAGACTGCGATAGTTTGTTGAGTACTTCAAATATCCATTTCTTGACATTGACCAATGAATTCTTGTTTGTCAGATCGTATACTACCACCAATCCATTGATAGGTGTATAATAGGTAGGTCTTGTTATTTTATATTTTGCCGATCCTCCAACATCAACAAATTCTATAAAGTAATCTTTAGATCTATAATCATGAACCTAAATACACAGACAGATGATTGTTAACAATACAAGAGTACTATATTATGATATTTATCGAGTAGTTTAACACATACCTTTAAAAATGTATTACAACCTAATGTCCAAGAAGGTGGTCGTTCAGGTACAGTACCATTACAAATCAAATGAATGAGAGATGATTTGCCAACAGTGGTATCACCAACAACTACAACACGCACCTTATCAAATGGATCAGATAGATGGTATCTATGTGATGAATTGGGTGTACTACTACTACCCAATTCTTTAATGGTATTTGAACCATAACCATTGTTCATTGTTGTTGTTGATGGTTGTTGTTGTTGTTGTTGTTTAAACCAATATGATGAAGATAACATATCAATATCGATACTATACATGCACTCTTGGATTACTATTACTATTACTACTATTACTACAAATATTAGACAACTATCCTATATATCGTCTGATGCATTTGTAAAATGAAATGAATTTAATTAAAACCCTCACTTCTTCAACCCTCCCAAAAGTAAGATAGTTTTAATGATGATTAATTAAATAAATATATGATAGGGAATAATGTAATTAATAATATCAACCTTTTGTAGATTTAAATGGTTACTCTGTATTTATTTATTTATTTATTTATTTAAATGATGTAATGTATTAAGTTATAGTTTGTTGGTGGGTAGGGGTTGGGATATTCTTCAAAATGCACCAGATAGTTCTTCGACAGCCTTTTCAGCATTGGCTTTGAATGGTTCAAAGGATTTGTTGATATCTTTAAATTGACCTTGTTCATTAAACATGGATCCTTCAAGTTTGACTGATGGCATTGTTGGCATAACCTTCATTCCCAACATACTCTTTTCAAGAACATGTCTCAACTGAGCTGCACTTGATGTTCCAGCAACAGCATATCCTATAAAATAAATAAATAAAAACATAGTTAATTAAGGGTACCCTTAATGATCCATTGAACAATCTAATATAACCAACTATAATAACTATTTACCATAACTAACAATGACAGCGGGTTTTCCTTTCCATTCTTCAAAAAGGTAATCAATTGCATTCTTTAGTGCTGGTGCATATCCAAAATTGTATCTAAAATTTTAAAAGAACAAGTATTAATATTTTAGAATTGCCATAATAATAATAATAATTGATAGTAATATTATTACATACTCTGATGCAACAAATACGAAACCATCATAAGAATTAATCTTTGCTTGCCATCTTTTACCATGTTCTTTGGTAAATTGTTGTTTCATTGCCATTGGTGCCAACATTTCTATAAATATATAATATAATATTTTTCATCAAGAAAAGGAAAAGGGGATAAGTATGTAGTATGAAAATAAACTCATTGTATTTGTGTAGGTACTACTGACCATCATAGAATGGTAAATTCTCCTCTCTCAAGTCAATAACATCGACTTTAAATTTAGAGGTGATACCAGAGTTCTCTAAGAACCACTTTGCAATCTTATCACCTACTCGATATGTTCTTACAGAACCTATAATTAATCCAATCTTTTTAGACATTGTTGTTGTTAATAATATTTCTTCTAGTCTGTCTTTTTAGAAAAAAAATATATTGATCAAATGATCATCTCATCCAACAACTTCTGGATGGGTAAAGGTGAAGTGCACTTGCTCATTAATTTAATAATATAAATTTTTTAATGGTTGTTTGGTTGGTGGCTTGCTGTGATGGAGAGAGGGGTGGTAGCGGTTTGATTGTCTAGTTGCAGTGGTCAGGTCAGGTGATCATCACCATCATTTTTACACTTCATTGGTTGTCTGTTACATACAAACATACTTTGTGTATCGAATTTTAACAAAGAGTGGGATGGCAATTTTAACAACATAATATTAATTCTAACATGTTATTAAAACTTTCTCAGTTGAACCAGATTTTTCTCATGAGAAATTTGTGTGCTTCTGCAAACACACCTGAGCACAGAGAGAGAGAAAAGACTTTACTTTTATTATTATTATTGTTATTATTACAATTAATTTATTTATAAATAATCGACATGTTTAGTAGGTTCAGAACAAGCACACTTACCATCAATAACAATAAATCAATAATACTATAACACCCAAGGAAGGAAGGAAAGAAAAGAGAGAGGTCGGTCCCCTACACAGACTACCAAGTAGGAAAAGAAATGAATCACGAGGACGAGAACCAACTGTTAAACAGTATTATTCATTCGAGAATACAATTAGAAAGAGGTTTGTTATCAACTTTTGATCGACTGCAGACAGACAAACAAACATTTTGAATGCTCTCTGTCACATGATGAATTAGTAAACTAACTAACTAATTAATTAATTGGTAAACAGGTGAACGAAATGAAATAGATGATATTATAAATGCAGGATTGGTTTCAATCTTTCACTATTTTTTAAATCATTCTAATCAACATATTAGAGTAAATATTAATTAAAACAACAACAACTATATCAACAACAACAATAACAAACAATAGACATAGACAATAGTCACTGTGATCTTGTATATTATTGGTGCCGAGTAGAATAATTATAATAATTATAATGATGATGATGATCCTAAAAAAACAACCTTTTATTATTTTTCTAGAATGAATCGGCATTATGTATATTAAATATATCTTCACATTTTGGATATTCCAATAAACTGGTGGAAGAAGGCGTACTCGAGAGCCTGATCAAGTTATTTCACAAGGAATCATCCGCCATGTTTGGTGCTGGTACAAGTGTATCGGTGCAGGTGGATGCCGACCAGCATCAGATGATGATTGTATTTATCGATTATATTATATCGATTCTGTCAAATGTGGCTGCTGAAGAACCAATATATAGAGATGAGATGGTAGTTATGGGAGTTGCTTCGCGTCACACAGACATCCTTTTACGTGCAGTCGAACGATACCAAGGTACTGTCACACAAGACTTGTTACTCGAGTTGATCCAGGATTGCACAAGTTTTATGGCTGCCCTTTCTATCACATCCAACAACATTGTTGGTGTGTTACCATTAGTACCTTCAATCAAAGCATCACTCTTTTTTAATGATGAGATGGTATTACAGAATGCACTACGTTCATTTATTCTTATTAATGGAAATACACAACTCACCAGTCACGCAACATCATCATCATCCTTATCATCATCATCTAACCCATTCAATCTATCATTTAATCCATCAGATTTTGATATGATTAAACTTATCAACACAACCATCACATCACCTGTAAATATTGTATCTAGATTATTATTCTTAATTGAACAGTTTTATTTCCAACAACAAAATCAACATCATCAACAACATCATCAACAACAACAAACTAGTGTAGATTACTTGACATTAGAATTGTTATTATCTAGTTTATCAACCACTCTTTTCTATTTTAATCGTAACAATAATAATAGCAACACCCAATTCCTAGTCAATACATTAAAGATGGTTTCACAAATCATCATTAATGAACCAAATAATGACATTGTAGATATATCTTGTAAATTACTTTACCAACTTGTCGAAATCACTTTGACTATCAACACCAACATTCACACTGTTATTAATCTTTCAACACTATTAAATTCAGTGTTGTCAAGAGACTATTACAGCCACAACATTGTATATTTGATTGAATTCTTTTTAAACCAAAAACTAATTATCGGACACCAGTTGGACCATGCCATTGGACATCTCATACAATCACTGTCGTACCATCTTGCTATCGACCACCAAGACACTTGTAATTATATCCTGTTGGTCATTGACAGGTTGGTCGAAAACCAAGGACACCTCTTTAAGGATGTCTACACTTGTCGTCCAACCATCCTCAACCAACAATTATCAACCATTCTCCAACAATATATTAATAATAGTCATAACAATAATAATAACAGTAATAATAATAATGAAACAACCACGACCATCTTGAATGGTATTAAAGATCTCTATTCGGCACTTGAAAGAACAAAGAATGCAGATTCTTCATTTTCATTAAATTTTAATTTGTTATCAATTAAATAATTAAATCAAATAAATAGATATTCACGCAATCCGAGAGACTCGGAACCCTAACCCTATCCCTATCCCCCACACCACATGTCTCCAATATGTCCATTCTTTATATTGTAAAATTCCCATCCTAGTCCATCATCTTATTATTATTGTCATTATTGGGTATCAATGTTTGGCTTGGAACAAAACAGTTGGTCTCAAAGTCTTGGTGGGTTGGTTTTCAACAAAATGGTGGTGGGGTGCGATCAATGAGGTGATCATTCAAAAACCGAGGGACATTTAAATGGTTGGGAGATATTTCTCATCTTTTGATTCATAGTAGTAGGAGAAAATGGTGAATGGATGATGATGACAGGCAGGGGGTACTCTATTAATACCAACCAAAGACCGATTAGTAATTGAATTAAACAACACATCAGAGAGAGAGAGAGAGATAGAGATAAAAAAGAAAAAGAGAAAGATGAAATATTTCATCAATATCATTATTTCTAGTCTTTTATTACTTTTACTTTTAGCAACAGAGACATGTCACTTTTTTGTTGATAGCGCGCCAACACCCAATATTAGTGGTATGGTATACAATAAACCATCGACTCAATATGTAGGAGCATTATCACAGTCTTGTAATTGGACAGTTTCATTTGGACTTGTTGACCCGATGGGTCTACCAATGACCAATGTCTTGTTTGGTGCAGTCAATGCACAGTCTTCACAAGATGCATATGGTTCAACATACTATTATGCAATGGTCTATCTTACACCCGATGCAAGTAATAGTACTGCATCTCTAAAGATTTCAGTTTCTGTCACTACTAGTGTTGGTACTACTATCATTAATACAACTGGTTTATTAATGTGTATATTATGTATGTTTAAATCTATCTAAAAGAGAGAGAGAGAGATATATATATATCTTATATATCTATTACTTACCTCTCTATACTTTTGTTTGTTGTAGCTACAACTGATCCAGCAAATGCATTTACTGTATCACCTCCATTCTATGATCCACTTAAAAATAAGATAGTTGTATATGCTACAACTACAACTTTGGCAACACCCGATAATATATGTGTATCGTCAACTTGTAGTCCTTGGAGAGTGATTGCCGATCACTCTGCATCGAGGTTGACAAGAGAAAGAATCTACGAGTTGACATTCATGACATCATCATCCGTCCTTGATAATAATGTATCACTCTTTGGCAAATCAACCATCATTCCACCTATATTTAATTATATTGGTAAGCTTTATTATTTATATTTATTTATTTCAATAACTTAACCTCATTCTTCTTATTCATTTTCTATTGTAGTCTTACCAACTGTTTTATGGGCAACTTTAACAGTTTCATTTAGTGGAATAGTAGGTGGAATGGTAGAGATGTATGTTAAAGTAGAGATGAGTGCTCCATCAGTACTCTATGCCTATCCAACCTCTAAATTCTTCCCATATGAAGGTACAAGAACCAATGGAACCTATCTCTACTACTTTTACACTACCGATGATTCCCCACATCTATGTCCATTTAGATCTGAGGGTACTTCAAATTACCCAAACAAAATGTTAACTTTAACTTTTTCTCGTATGTTTATAATGTATAATAATAATAATAGAGTAATTGTAACAATTATTAATACTAATATATTTGGTTTACACATTTATAGTTGAACCAGTATATTATTTTATTGATAGTGAAATGATTATTGTTAATTCAGTCAAACCACAATCTAGTTTGGTGTCGGTTAAAGCCAATAAGAATGTTTCACCAACTCATTTAACCATGACATATGATACACAGACCTTTAGTAGATATATTTTACACACATTCCCATTCTCTTATGGAGCTGGTCGTTCTGATCTCTATGTTTCCACACTTTCATTGATTGCTCCATCATTCTATCAATATTCTCCAATGTCTGTAGTTATAACTACTGTCAATGCATCTCAATCTGCAGATGCTGTTATACAATCTGCAAGTATGTACATTAATTAATTAATTAATATTAATAATTATAAATAATAATCGATATTAATATTTTTTTTTGTTTTCTGGATTTGTTTCTTAGATCAAGATATAATAATACCACAATTACTAGCAATTAATTATGAAATGTTGGATTATAATACTGGTATTATAAAGATGCATGTATCAGATGTTGGATCGGGTGTGTACAAGATATCAATTGTTGGAAATGATTTGACGATTAATGATTTGTTGAATGGAACGGTTCGGTTGGGATGGTATGCAAAGACAATCACATTTGATCAATTTGATCAAAACGTTGCTATTACCATCGAGGATATGGCAGGTAATGTTAGAATGCATCAGATGGGAACTTTGTTTGTCGACGAGAACAAGGTACTACAGACCATTCCAAACATTTACGAAATCTCACGTGTTGATGCTTTAAACATTATTGATTTTACGTATATGGCTACTCAGGTCGACGTCACCACAAAGACTCAATTGTTTTGGATTGCATTTAATCTAAAGTTTGCTCCATTCCCTTTGGATCGATGGACTCCACAAGTACTCCTCCAAGGGTACGGTATGGCCACACAAAGAAAGATAGTGTATGGAAAGTATGCCGACGCATACTATGTCAGATGGGAGATCCCCGTTGGAACGATTCCAGGTGAAATGTTCCCATTCATGTTGATCAATCGAGATATTACATCTCAACTACTGCAACAACGTACTACTGATGTTGGAATGACTACACCGCTGATTATCAATACTGGATACACCGAGTCGATCGGACCAAAGATATCAATCAATGCAACCACCACTACCACCTACACCATCCCACAGGGTAACGGTGGTATCATCAGTTGGACTGGTCAAATATACGGTCGATTGTTTAAAGAGGGTAGTGTCGTCATCCAATCTTCTATCGATCCACTGCCATACGAAATGACTATCAACCCAGACCCCTCTAACCAATTCATCCTAACTATTCCCATTGCCAGCAACTGTAGAGACCAAAACTTTACGATCACTCGTCTCCAAGTAACAACGATCGTCGATGAAGTATTGGTGTATGATTATTACGGAACGTCAGACTCATTTAACCCACTCAAGAATGCACAGGTCATTACAATCATGTGTACATTGGTCGATGATACTGAGCCACCCGTACTCGACTTTTGGAATGTGACAGAGGTCGTTCCACGATACCGTTACATAGTCAACTTTAGAGTCAAAGAGATTGGTATCTCTGGTATTGCATCTCGACACAATCCAGTTGTCTATGCACTCAATAGTGTCAAGCAACTTCTCGCCTTTGATTCGGTGCGCTCTGGCAGCGATGGGTTCTTGAGCAACTACCAAGCAGTTGTTGAACTACCGTATGGGTATGCCCTCGGAGGTGGGTTTGCACTCTCCATCTATGGTCTTGTTGATAATACCATCAACTTTAATGGGTACTCGACCGATGATCTCATTGCAGAGGGGTACAATGCATTCTTTTCAATGGCCGATGTTTTGGATCCCGTTATATCATCGGTCGGCACCCTTGTACAAGATTCAAAGGGTGTTGGAAGACTGGTTGTAAAGGGTGATGGATTTGGGTCACCATTACAGCTGGCAACGGTCAAGGGTATTATAACGTGTGATGGAGGTGCTGTCATTCCCGTACCTGCTATCGAGACACTCCCCTATCAACTGACACTGTATGTGTCTCGACCACTCACATCGGCACAGTGTACCGTTGCTATCCTCGTCGACGGGTCTCGTATGTCTGGTGCCACCACCTTTAACGTCTCTACCTACACACCCCCACCCGTTGTCACACTGTGTCCTGGTAACTGTAACAGCCGAGGTAACTGTACAACCACCGGGTGTGTCTGCACACCACCCTACATTGGTTCTGATTGTCTCGGTCAATCTGACAACTCTACCAAAACAGTAATCGACCAAAACGTCCCCACAACCAACTTCCAAACCAATCAAACTACCCCTAATAATGGTGGTACTACAAGTACTACTGGATCAACAACTGGAGGAGGAGGTACAACCAACACTACAACATCACTTACAACTACCATTTCATTGGTTGAAATTGTTGAAATGGATTTAGACGACAATACAGTCATATCTTATAGTCAGTTGAATTGGACGTCTTACAATATAACCACCAACAGTACTGAAAAGCAAGTGTATCTCTACAACACCACCATTCAACAAGATAATGGTGCAACCGTCAATGTCACACTTGAATATTTGACAATGGAACAAACCTACAACTTTGCCAACCAAAACTTTACAGTACCCGCTCAATCTGTCAAATATGCAGTCGGTATATCAAACTATAAATTTGCCAGTCAACTCAATCACATGGTATTATTATTCAATACTAGTATTGGCAAGGATGAATGTGCAAGTAAAGAGGCTGGATACCTCGACAGTGACAACAACCTATTATCATGGGTACAATTAATAGTAGGTCAAAATGTTTTATATGCAAGATTCCAACAAAATGCTATGGTCGATGATAGAGTTGTTGCCATTCAAAATGCAATTGTTCAAAAAAATAACAGTGCTAGTACTGGTTCGTCCAATAATACTGCTCTAATTGGTATTAATTTACCAATATTTTCAAGTTATGCTATTATTGATCCTGGTATGTTATAGAAGAAAACAGAAAATATATATATTTTAATTCCAAACACATTAATTATGAATACTTCTTTCATTCATTCTTTTTCATTATAGATTTTTCATTATTGATTACAGATAAAAAATCAAATACTAAATGTATCAATGGAGAGATAGTAGAGACCAATGAAGAGGATAGTAGTAATTGGAAGATTATTGTGATTGCAGTTGTTTGTGGTGTAGTTGGTGCAACCATCATCACAATCTCATCCATTTATATTATTAAAAAGAATAAGTGGAAGATTAGAGAATATTCAATTAAATTAAAGAGAGCTGTCAAATAAATAATAATATTACTGTTATTTTTAGCCAACCATCCAATAAAAAGACTCACTATTCAATTCCCCCTGATTATTATGCATTTTATTTTTTTGATGGTTGTGGTTGGTTGTTCACTCAACTCAACTATGAAGATTATCAGATCATCACCCACTTTTAAAAAGTTAGGTTAGTATGTTAAAAATAGTTGTTGTTGTTTGTTGTTCTTGTTGTTATAATCTAAATATTTGTATTAACAAATAATAATTACAAAATGATGTAAATATAATATATTTATATAATTTAGAAAAATCAATCGTTGAAATGATATATTAACTTTTTCTATTAAATTGTGATTATTTGTTTGTTTGTTTGTTATTACTCTTTCTCTCTAGAGATCAAGTGAAAACTCTTTCATCATGGGCAGATAGAAGAGGAGCAAAAGATGAAGAAAGTATACCAAACAACTTTCTATTGTCGATCATGTATTATTATCAATTCAATCGATCGATTACTGTAGATAGAACAAAGGAGATGAATATGGAGACATCAGTCGAGAGGGAACAAAAGTGTAAAGATTATGCACTACTTGTTGAATGGAAAAAGAATAGAGATACTCAAGAACCAAAACATCCATTCTACAATGCATCAAATTGGGTTCGTCAAGAGACTCTAGATGGTAGTTTGAAAACAAGACATCCATTATACGATATGTTGGTCTACTTGGCCAATCAATATCGTGTAGACTATGAAAAGAATCCATCGGACGACACCATTAAATCACTCTATGGAACCACTTGTTATTGTTTGGGTGTGTTACACAAGTATAGATGGGGTGTTGAAGAAGACAAGAGCAATACATTAAAGTATTTAATGATGGCTGCAGACGTTGGTGAAATACATGCTTGCTACTTGGTTGGCATGGTCTACTACTTTGGAACTGCCGATCCATCACAATCAAAGATTAAAATAGGTGATTATAAACCAACCAACTCTTCAAAGTACTTTAAATACCAAGAGTATGGATACTCGGATGATATTGGATCCGACGCCAAGATCTACCACGTCATTGCTGAACAAAACTTTTTCGTTGCTCGTGACTACTTGTTCAAGGCTGCTCAAGCTGGAATAAAACAATCCAGAAACCTCATTGGAAGAATGCATATTAATGGTGAATCGTTTCCGCAATGCGCGAAAAAAGCTAGAGAGTGGCATTTCAAGGCAGACGAGTATGGTATATTTGGATATTACAAGTTCTACTTTCAAGGTAGATTTGTCAAGCAAAACTATGACCTCATCATTGCAGAGAATCGTCAAGACTCTCACGCCGTCATACTCCTCAAAGCACTATGTCTAGATAGTCTTGGTAAAAAGGAAGAAGCTAAAAGGCAGGTTGCTCACGTCAACTTGGATCTACCTGAAATTCTCGATCTATTTCGTGAGACCTATCTCCCAACCATCCCCTTCAACTCTATTAAATTGGATGGATTTATCAATCAAGGATGGCATGGAGAGTTGCACAAGATTAGAATTGGTGATAACTATTATGCCCTTAAAGTGGCAAAGGCTACAAATGATCCTACCACTGTCACCTCTTTTCAAAAGGAAGCTGAAATCTCAATGCTTCTCACTCATCCAAATGTAGTTCAAGTACACGGTTCAACAATTATGGGTGATAACAAAGTAGGAATCATTATGGAATTTATAGAATCTAGTTTAAAGGTAAAAAATAGAAATATATAAATATATTTATTATAACTACTTAATATTAACATTAACATTCTATATATATGTGTTTAGGATAAATTATTTAATATAGATCATCAAGAATGGCGTAAATTAGTTAAAGATGATTTCATTCAAAAAGAAAAAGAACAATCACTTGTAGATTCCATTTTATTCAAAATTTTAAAACAAATTATTACTGGTATGGAGTATCTTCATTCTCAAGAGATTATACATCGTGACCTCAAATCTGGTAATATTTTAATTGATTCTAATAATCATATTAAAATTTGTGATATGGGTCTATCAATGGTTGAAAATACAACTAAAACTGGTGTACAAGAACAATATGATTGTATGTAATATACATATACATATTATTTGTTTGATGCTAAACAATGTTGTTTTTTTTTTTTACTTTTAGTTGAAAGAAAATTAATAGACAAGTCTACAAAACTTGACCCAGATATATTTAGAAACAAAGAGATTGATGTTATAGCTTTTGGCATAGTGATTTATGATATACTTAAAAGTCTTGAAATAGAAACTGGTTATTTCAGTGAACTTGCAGTTAAATGTCAAACCCCTTATTATTTTAGTAATCATTTTGAAGATCTATTGTCCATGTTTCAAGATGACCAAGAGAAACAACAACAACAACAAGTCAATACAAAACAAATCAAAAATAATAACAACACAATTGAAAGGGAAAAAGCCAAAGAGATGGTAGAAAGAGAAAAGGGACGTAATTATACAAAGGCAGCAATGTCTGCCTATCAACTGGGAATGATGTCATTTAGACAAAACAAGGTATCGGAAGCTTTCCAATACTTTAACAACCACTCTCTCTACTACTTTCCATCGGCCCTTATGGCATCGTATTGTTACTCTAGTGGAAATGGAGTCAATGTCAACCCAGAACAGGCATTCAAATGGTGTGAAAAGGCCTATTTCGAAGGATCAAGTATCGATTTGGATAGTGACGAACACGATGTCTATGATGCCAGCCAATTACAATTTCTCAAGAGTCAACTAGAGAGAGCCACCTTTGTATTGGGACTTTACTATTATAATGGAAAAGGCATTAAAAAGGATGAAAGCAAGGCATTGGAACTGTTTAACAAGGTCAAACATACTGCCGAAGCATCTAGACTCTTATTCAAATACCATTATTCTAAAAACGAAATGGATATTGCCAATCAATACTATGACAGTTTTATCAACTTGTTCAAACCTCATTACAAATCCTATTATCTAAAGTTGATCGACAAACTCCGTGTCCCAATCGATCAATTAACAACTCTTAGTGGTGGACTTTTAAAAGATTATGATGCTCATACTCTTTCACAACTCAACAGAATCAACTATAATGGTTCTCAATATGAATTTCAATTCTTTAAAGTTGAACCAAATAATTTAAATGTTGAGGCAATGATTTATTTTGATATTCAAAAACAAAGGTAAATATAAAAGTATAAATGTATAAATTTAAATATTTTAAATATATGTACTAACCCTTTTTATTTATTTATTTAGTAATACAGGACATTTAGCATTACAAAGATTTTATCAATTTGCATATGATCAAGAATTGGGATATTTAGTTTATTTAAAAGAAATAATGTTATTACCAACTTTGGAACAATTCCTTCAAACTACTACTAGTCCATCACCCAAGATTTGTTTATCAATTCTAAAGTCATTGTCAAATGCCATGCATATTCTTCAAGAGGATGATAATCTTGACAAACTAATGATCATCTTGAATCCAAGCAATATTTATATCAAACAAGTGGAAAAGGATAAGGTCTATGATGTTGTTTTAAAGAATGACTTTATCTTGTCGATTCAACTAAATACTTTACCACAATACAATGATTTTAATGATATTGGTAAATATTAAAAAGGTTGAAAATTAAGACACCAAACCATATTACTAACCAAACATACTTTTCTTTTCACACAGATTCTTTTAGACCTCAAACAGTTGAATCGTATTTCCATATGGTAGATTATGTAAAGAAATGTTGTCCACAACTAGATCATTCTATTGACCAACTGAACGAATCTTTTAACGGTATGTCTCAAGACTTGTCCTTGACATTCTCAATGGTCACACAATATCTTGGAACTTTGATCCAAAGTATGACCCTTGCAACAGAAGCTTAGATGAGATGAGCCCCCTTGTAAATTGTCACAATTCGAAAATGACGACTTTTTGAACGAATTTGGTCATAAATCTACGGTTTTGATCAAATAAACGACGTTCATTTTAATTAATTTAAATAAAATCCTCCTGGTCAGAATCTTCTTTTGTACACGTGCATGCAGTTGTGTTGTGTATCTAATCGCCGAATCTAAAGAAAGAAACCTAAGCAAAGCTTTCATTCACCTGTCTCATCTGAGCGTTTCATCTTTTATTTTTTAGTTGCTTGTACAAATACACTCAGAGATATATTTATAGAATGTCTGTCAAATCAAAGCTCTTTATGGCCGCTTTCAAGAGAAAGTTAAAAAAGATCTTTTGTTGTTCTTAACTTAAACTACAAACAGTGTTTGCCATGAACGAAAGGGTATTTTTTTTTAAACAAAAGAATCACTACCACACACTGCAAACATAAACTAATACTTCTTATCTTTTCTTATTTTTATATAACATATCTCTTTATGTAGATGTACATATATTATATCAATAAAAGTTTAACCCTTTAGATTATTTATTATCTTTAAAAACCATCCCCCTCCTTCTTGTTATATAGTATATATATTTCAAATCTTTACACCTATTTACTTATTTACTATTGATTTATCTTCCAAGTTTATAATATTTCATCATTTGAACCAACATTACAAGACAAGGAGGAACATCACCTTCAATCAACCATTCACCAGCACCACCACCTGAAGACACCAAGAAATGGCGAGACCATGTCCAAGTGAATTGTTGACGAACTGGATAAGAGTCGACTATATAGTTTCGTTCGATTGGTTGGTATAGATATTTGAGGTATGGTTCACGGTCTGTTCCACCAACACCTCCGTACCACGCCAAGAATACTCCGTTCCATCGACCTCGTCCTAGCGTACTGTCCTTGTTGTCTGGCGATAGCGTGCATCCATCCCAAGTGTATTCGATTCGTTGGCCATCCAAGTTTTCGTTGACCAATCGGCCATCACCGCTATAGTGCCACTCTTCGTCTCGATGTTTAAAGAGACCTCCTCTAAACTTGGTGGCTGCTTTGAAGCTCGAAAGGAATTGCTCTTTGATTGATAGATCCATCAATGATTTGAAATTGGAATGGATGACACCATCGATGGACAACATCCACTCTATCATTTCTTCGTTGGGAGAGTCGCTTGTTGTGGTGAATACAAAGCTCTTTACCTTTTTCTGTTTGGATGATGCTGCCGCCATGTGTAGATTCGATGATGAAACATTCCAGTCGTCGACATCCATCATCATCATATTTGCTGATTCGTCTCTGTCGGCACTGGCTCCACCAGATGATGATGGCGATGTTTCATTCTTTGTATAAACAAATGATACTGTAAAACAATTTTGATATCCCTCTTTTGTCAAAGGTGTCAATTGAATACTTGTTAAATCACTTAATGATTTTTTATGTAATAATTCTTCTTCCTATAAAATAAATAACAAAGATTAAATCAGTTATAAATAATAATTGTTGTTGATTAATATTGTTTTACATACTTTATCATTATTATAAATTAATAAATGTGAATGTGTTAATATGACCCATTTGGTTGAAAATTTAGTTCCCAAAGATCTTCCCTTTTTCTTATTTAAATAACCTCTTTTATAAACAATTGACCCAATATGTGGATGAAGTCCTGACCCGTTACCCATTGTAATACTCATTTCTAATGGTATAGTTGGTACTTCTTTTGGAATTATACTAGCTTGTAAAAACTATAAATAAAATAAAATAAAAGAAAAAAGTTATAAATATATTATTATTATTATTATTATTTTGTTTTTCTTTTCTTTTCTTTTTTGACATACTTGGAATATACAATGAATTATAGTAAATAAAATATTTGCACGTTTTTTAGTAAAAGATTTTTTAACTTCCATTTTAAGATAGAGAACCTTTTTGGCAAGGAGAAATGTCTTTCTTTCCATCTCGTCACCCAAATCAAAATCAATTTCCATATCAATCAAATCGAAACCAATATTAAACTGTTTGATAATTTCCAACATGACTGCAATGTCGTGACGAATACGACACTTTTTTTCAAATGATTCTAGTTGCATCAAGTCGTCCAATTGATAGATTGATGTGTTTCCATTGGGGTGTGAGTTTAAGTTCTTTTGATGTTCACTGAGTTTAGCCAAAATATATTCAATGTATTCTATTGATCTCGTCTTGATTTCATCAATGTCAATGTCATCTGGTACAAGCCAGGTTTTATCATCACTTGGTCGCGATACAATGACAATAGGCTCTCCATTCAAACTATTGCTACTACCAGATCCATTAATGTCAAACTTTATATTACCAAGTGTTGTTGTCGAGTTGTTTAATTCATCTAGTAGTTTTTCTTTTTCCTTTAGTGTAAGGTTATTTTTAGATGGGGTTCGTTGTTTTGATGCTGATGCTGATGCTGGTGGTGCTATTCCTCCCTTGATCAACAACTCTTCGCATTCTGATAGTTGTGAAGAGTCAGAGTTTGTAGAGGCTGATAGCGAGATGGATGATGATCGAGAGGTGGATGATGCTGGAGAGACAGCACTTGAAGAAGGTGACTTTACAATTGGTCGAGTATTCACAGTGTTGGATGATGTTGCGGGTGATGTGTTAGTAGTTGAAGGTGGTGGAGGTACATTGGATAATAAATTAGAACTAGATAATCTCTTTCCAAAAGTTCCTCCAATCATTATATTATTATTATTACTATTATTATTATTTCCATTTGTATTTGAAATGGGTGTTGTTGTTGTTGTTGTTGTTGTTGTTGTTTGATTAGTAGTTGAATCTATTTTTGATCCAACTTTAACTGATAAATTATTATTGCTATTATTATTATTATGATTATGATTATTTTGACTTTGATTTAAAAGTGAATGTAAATTTCCAGTGCTAGCATGGTGCAATGGTTGTTGTTGTTGTTGTTGTTGGAATTTGGACAAGTTCTCACTGGATGTATGAGCAGTGGCACTCTTTTTTCTGCCAAGGAAATGTGACATGAAATTGCCATTGTTTTTCTTGGAGGGTGTAGTGGCGGTGGTTGGTATGGCTGGAGAAGCTCCATTCCCATTTCCAACGATATTTTCGTCATTGTTACCACCATTTCCACTTGCAGATACAGTTGTTGTATTGACAACTGGCAAGGAACTACTTTTCATCATTTTGTTGTCTTTTTGTTGTTGTTGGTGTTGTTGTTTCTTTTTATCTTTGTTCTTTTTTGTAAGAGTTACTAATTTTCCAATACTAAATTTCTCTTTTACTTTATCTTTATCTAATCAAAACAAAAATGAAATTAGAAAAAAAAAAGTATATCTTTTGATTAATATAATTATTATATTAATTATATAATATATAGGTAGTAAGAATAAATATAAAAGGGAAAATGTAATATGCATCACCCATCGCTATTCCCAAAAAGAGAAAGAGTATATTACCAACCATCACTATCACCCTCTATCCCCAACCTCCTCCAATGGTAGTAGAGTTACTTAAATTACTTTAAATGTGTGTGCATATATATTCATTCCGATATTATTTTTAAAAGTGATAATAATAATATTTACCTGGATGATTCTGTTTAAAATTGATCGGATTCCAATCTATCTCCAATTGTGACGAAGATTTTTTTGGTGAGTCAAAAGAGAGAGTGGAAAAGTTTGGTAGTGTACTGGCACTTTTGCTCCTACTATTGTTGATGTTGCTGCTGCTGCTCGAATGATGATTATTATCTTGATGCCTTTTCTGTTTTTTAATTATCTTGTTGCTGGCGTTTTCTTCCTCTTGTTGTTGATGATGTTTAATTGACTCTTTTTCTTCCTTTTCTTCAACCTCTAATCTTCTTTTAATTAATAACGATATTAACGAAGAGGATGAGGTGGATTTATTCAATTGTTGTTTTAAATTTAAATTGGATTCAGATGAGGAAGATCTCTAGAGTGAAGGGAAAGGAAGGGAGAGAGGGAGGGAGGCGGAATATGGAAATGAAATAAAATGACGACGAATAAAGAGTTAATAATTTATAACAACAATAGAGTAAAAAAAATATATGTTAAATATTAACTAATTCCTGTTCAGGTGAGGATGAGCATGAGATAGTGCATAACAACAACAACCAACAACAACAACCAACATATAATATATTTAAAAAAAAAAAAAAAAAAAAAAAAGAGAGAAGAAGGAAAAAAAATGTATGATCAACAAAAAAAAGATGGAGAAGAGTGTTGTGTTGTTTATCTCTCTCTCTCTGTGTGTGTATTATTTGTGTGTGTATATGTTGTAGGAAAAAAAAATCCAACACTCCTCCTATTTCATATGGAATAGTACTGAGTGGTCGACATGTCGATGGGTTGGAAGATGGGTGGGTAGGGGTTGTCACTCACTTGGATCGATTGTGGTAAAGTGTCAATCGATCCAAAAAAAAAAAAAAAAAAAGGTCATTCACCATCGCCAATTGATGTTAACATGGATTGTATGGATTGGATGGTCTGGTTGGATGGTTTGGTTGATTGGTTGGTTGTCATGACACGCACGATATTTCGCGCGAAGGTGGTTTGGATGACGATTGTGTTCCTTCTTTCTGATCAATCAATCATCATGGTCAAACCATCATATACTTTTGATCAGCCAGAAGATTTGTTGATCTTGAGACTGTTGTTGTTGTTGTTGTTGGATTGATTGGAATGAATGGATGGAAGAGAGACATGTACATTTACGTGCCGACAGTCATTTTTAATCAATGTCACACTTTTAATGTGGATATGTGACAGTCAAAACATATGCATGATGCTGCACTTACTTTTTCCATTCACACACACGATAAAGGAAATACTACTATATTTATATTATTATTATTATTATTATTACTCTGTACGAATATGTATATTTGTGTATGTTTATATGTGTTATGTATGTATGTATGAAATGATTGAGGATATATTTGTTCTATTATTTACGTTTAAAAAAGAAGAAGAAGAAGAACTACTTGAAATAGAATGAATGCTGCTGCCATTGACATCACTCAGTTGAGTGGAGATACTAGTAGTAGGTGTGTCCTCCATTATTATTATTATTAATATTATTGATAGATAGTTTTCTTGTTCCTTTTCCTTTTAAGTTAATGTTTCACCGAATCCGGATTGCGGTTTGAGTCTCCTCGTCTGTCTTTCCTGTCTGTCTACACTACAGTGTGAGTAGTATGTGTCTGTTGAGATGATGATCAAAGCTAAGCTAAGGTGATTATCCTCCTCATCAATTAACAATCTCTAAATTGCAATCAAACAGTCGTAAGCGTTGAACAACGGCAATGCCTGTGATGAGGGCAAAGCCGCTGAACATCCCTTCAAATGCGTTGCGTTTTTCTTTGATTAATTTAAAAGAAGCGCCAAATCCCAGCAGATTCATATGAAAACGACCTTCCCATTCGTTATCTGATTCGGATGAACCGACGTTTCTTTCTTTAAATGGTTATACGAATAGCTTTGGTTTTTTGTACACCTCTGTTTGTTTGTGCAATGTCAATCAATGCAACCCGTTTCCCATCACCCATCAATTAAGATAATCTCGATTAACATAATCCAAGAGTGACCTTTGGCGATCGCCCACAATGTCAGATATTGGGGTGTGTTTGTTTTGATTGATTGATTGATAGGGAATAAAAAAGGAAACAAATAAAGATAAAGATAAAGTTTGAGTTGTATACACCCAAACCCAACAAATAATAAGATACATTTATAATATCGAATGATGATTACAGGTCATTTCTACCCCCCTGTCACTCGCACAACTTTAAAAATTAATTAAATTAAATTTTAGTTTAGTTTTATTGTGTTAAATAATCATATTCAAAAGACGAAAGATAAGAAGAAGAGAGAAGAAGAGAAAAGATGAATACATTTAATGAAAAGATAGATAGTGTAAAGAAGCAATTACAAGATACACCAATCAATACAGCAAAGATCATTAGCAATGTAGAGAGAATACATCAAGACCAATTCAAAACTTTTAGATCAACACAAGAAACTAATAATACTACTTCTGCTTCTTTAGAGTTTGTATCACAATCTAACAACACCTATATGTGATTACACTTTACTTATAATTTACCTTCAGTTTTTGTAACAATGAAGAATCACAATTGATTGATTGCTTAAAGACATCCCCATCAAAATGTAATGGTTTTGTTGAAGTTTATTCTAGTTGTATTTCACAATTCACTCGAGATTAAGGTGTAGAATGGATAGATTAGATAGAATAACTTGTACAATAAATATTTAAAGGAACTTCACCATCAAAAGGAAGAAGATCTTGCACATGTGGAAACGCAAACAAACACACAAACACAAACCAAATCTTGGAATCAAACAACCTCAAAGAAAGATGAGTGCGTAACTCTGTTGTTGCATTCATCATTCACATGAATACTAATACTATTATTAGTATTCATCATGTAAGTTGGTTGTACAATATGATAAAAAGTCAATCGGTAAATGCTATTGGTTGGTTGGTTGGTTGTGGGTTGGACCACTGACTGAATCGTCGTTATGATCATACATACACATACATACATACATACACATACATACATATATGTTCGCTGGAAATGACAACCCATTCAAAGCAATCGATTTTTGACCAGATACGGGAACATCAAAGACAATATCAACAAATATCCACCACCACCACCACCACCACCACTACCACCATCAAACAGACAGACAATCAATCAATCAACAAAACCAAACCAAAGAGCACCATTTGATATCAACATCAATTAGATAGGAAGCTCATTTCCGCTTTCTCTCTCTTATTACTCGAATTGGAATTCGCCAAACACAACATAATATCTCTAGAGAGATTGATGACTGACATGAATTTTGTGGAGAAGGAGGAAAGAGGAGGGTGTTGTATATTTTTGGACCTCCTAATATGTCTGTCCTCCTCACCCCTATATCGAGAACATACCATTTATTGGTATCTATTGATAATGATAGTGATAGTGTTCGTGGGTAAAACAGGCAAATACATCAAGTAGATGATGTCAATGCTTGCTGAGTGGTGGTAGTGGTGGTAGAGTTGGAAGTTGGACAACCAAATAGAGATTGGTGGTTGTGATCTGTTGATACTCACAAGTTTAACCCCAATTATTTAATTTTAGAACGTACGTGTTTGAATAAAAATCCAAACAGATAATTGAACAGACCAACTCAACCACTTCACCTACCACCATTCATATTAATTAAATGCATGCAACCATCAAACACCTACCACTTGCTTTTCACTCACACTTTTTTTTTTTTTGGATGCGATTTTCCAAACAAGGTAATTTCCTCCCTTCAATCCACCCTTATACGATTGTTCTTTTGGGTTATTGCTGCTGCTGCTGCTGTTGCAACAGTACTGCACTGGATTTATTTCTGCTGCTGTTGTTACCGCTGCTGCTGCTGCTGCTGTTGGTTGATTGGTGATCCTCCTCTTGATTTTATTATCCATCACTATCATCATCATCATCACTATCATCACTATCATCACTATCATCAAACCAATAACTAACAAACAATAACATAATATCCATTTCCATCCATCTGTGATTTGATCGTGATGGGTTTGGAAAGAATATCTACTTGACAACGCACTCTCACATACACCACGCACTCTCATTAAAAAAAAACTCTCAACATCAACTCACAACTCTTTGTTTGGTGGTCTGTTGCCAAATAAATCATCATCATTTTCGTATATCCCCAAATCAAATGATTTGATTGTTTAAATTAATCATAATTTATCACATATATATATTTATATTTGTTTTTCTCTTAATTCCAACAACAAAACTAATTTATTTTTCGCTGGCTGGATATTTTGTTGTCCGCCCGTCAGTCTGTCAGTCCAGTCAATCGTAAAAAAATATTAAATACAAATATCCATTCATTCATTCATCCATATCTATCCACCAATTCCATACTTGCACTTTTATCCCGAGTCTGCTCGGTTCCAGTAGTACACAATAATAATAATAATAATAATAATAATAGTAATAGTAATAATAATTTTATAATATATATATTGAAATTAAATCTCCAAAGAAACAAGAACCATAAGAACAAGAACTATAGAATATTTCTAAATAGGGTAATTATCAGTACTAGTACAAAACAACTTGTATTATTTTAGTCTTTTCCAATCGCGCCCACCTTTTCAAAAAAATCAAAAAAAATCCTACTCTAACCAATCATCATTCGGGACCAAGAGTTGTTTTGTGAACAGACACAACACACAGGTTGGCACTTTGCTTCTGCTCCTGCTGCTGAGATTAATCAAGATGATCAAACGGTAGACACTTTGTTTATTCTTTTCTTTTACTACTCCTACTACTGTGATTGTGTAATCAATCAATGTTTGTTTAGAAGAGTAATCATTTTTCATTGAGCCCAACACACACACCCCTGCTCTCCTCCTCTTACATATTAGCTGAATCAAAAACAAAAAGACACAACACCACACGATCAGATACATCAGCAACAGACACAGTAGAGCATCCACAATCAACATCATCAGTAATACTATAATCATCAGAGTACTTTTTGTTGTTTCATTTCTTTTAAATACCATAGACCAAGACAAGACAAAGCAGTAGTTAGCAGCAAGACAACCAAGAAGATCTTCAATTTCGTTTATTGTGTGTCTGTGTCTATGTCTGTCACCGTTATTTAAATTCATATAGATAGAAGAGATGAATTAAAATCCCTTGTTTAGATTGTTTAATATATTTTTTCATTTAGATTTAAAAGAGAACAACTACACTACAACAACTCTCTGTTCTCCTTATTTATTTATATATATATACTATTTAGTATTTATAATTTGTTTATTATATTGTAATTATTGTACATTCAATTAACGACCATCATATTATTATTATTATTATTCCTATATATTAGATATACATATACATATCATACCTCCTCCTCGATTTCTTTTTTTCTACATCAATCCAAAAATAAATATATACATAAACTACAATGATTGCACAAACTCATGGACAACATGTAGTTGGATCACCAATACATCAACAACAACAACAACAACAACAACAACAACAACAACAACACCAACATCAACAACAACAACAATATTTACATCAACAACAAATGTATCAACAACATTTGAAACAACAACAACAACAACAACAACAACTTCAAATGCACCATCAACAGCAACAACAACATCATCAACAACATCAACACCAACAACACCAACTTCAACAACAATCATCATCATTTGTTGATCAAGCACAAAAGAATGAATTCCAAACAAATCCAAACCAAATCAATATTAATAATAATAATAATCATTTACAACAACAACAACAACAACAACAATCGAATGAAGAGGCAAAACAAAACAAATCAAATGATAACAATAACAACAAGGACAAAGAAATAATAATTCATGAATCAACAAAAATCAAGGAAGAAGTAACAAACAATCAAAATAGTAATAATAATAGTTATAATAATTCCACACCGGGTAGTAATAGTGTAATACCAACTCAACCATATCTAACACCTTCATTATTATCATCAAACTATCCACCATCGGGAGGTAATAATAATGGTGGACCAGAAGAATACAATTGGATTTTGTCATTTTTAGATATAGATAATTCAACTAGTACTCTGGATAATCAACAACAACCACCACCACCACAACCTACACAACCTACACAACCAAATCAGGCAACAACCACCACCACCAACACCAACACCACAGCACCATCCACATCATCATCATCATCATCATCAACATCAAATGGTCAAGAAAATAATCCAACATCAATAACCAGTTCCACTCCATCCTCTCAAACTTCAACCACCTAAAATCCAATCCACCATTGAATAAAATATCATCATCTTTTATAAATTACTAAATAATCTTGCTTTTGTTTGATTCTATTTGGAATGCCTGACAAACAGTCATGGAACCAATGTTTAGGCTAAAAAGCAATGTTGTTTGTTTTCTATTTGTATATGTATTATATTATATTAACGAGTATACTTACTGACTGCTAATTGATTTGATTACTTTTACCTTTTAATGTTTATATTAATAGAGAAAAGAAAAAGAAAAAGAAAAAAAAGAATAAGAAGAAAAAAAGGTTAGGTACACCTTATGTTGAACCTGGTACTATAGTTGAAGGTGTAAATGATGAACACAACTACACTTATGACTATGGAAATGTTGTGGATGTATAAAAGGTTGATACTGAAAAGAATTGGACCGAAGAAACTCTGGGACAATACTTAAAGGACGCTGGTTTTGTAAGAGGTTGAGGCGTTACTGGTACACACAAAGATGATCTCATGCCAATCTATGTTTTGCAAGGAGGCTATATGTAGAGGTTTCAAAATATGAGCCTCCCGATGAAGAAGATGATATGCGTATGCTCAAGGTTACGGGTAATCCTGCTGCCGACTTTACCCGAGCCTATTCTGTGATTGGGTCACCCTTTTCTGAAATGTGGAAATTGGTTCTACCACCGTCGTTTGTGACGATGCAAGCGTTGCTTGTAGTGGCGTCGTACGTGTTGAAGTTCCCTGGCTACGGCCGTGGCACTTTGCCCAATACTGTCAAGCATGTGCTCGTCAAGATGATCCGCGAGGTTCCACGTCTCTTCCCCGACCTCGGTATCAAGATTCGGTACTTTCACAACAAGTACTATGGTCTTGGCGACCAACAACGAACGGTGAAATGGGATCTTGCCAAGATGAGCCAGTATCTACAAGGCAACAGCATCAGACAGTACTCGACCACTCGGTACTCGGATACCCAAGACAGCCACGATTGCTGCATTGCGATATGCAAGGCTATCATGGGTGCCATCATCATGAAGAATAATCAGAGCATCTATACAGAGGAACAGGTCAAGCAGTTGTTGGAACAAGAAGAGACGAGTGTCGAGGCGGCATTGGACCAGATGGGACGTATGGGGTTGCCCCACTGGAGAACGCTGTCTGATTATGTGCTGCATATGCGAATGTATGTGCTCGTTGTAACTCTCATGGCATTCCAGTCTGGCGTAAAGAACTATGTTTCTCCGGTATTGATCGATGGTCTTCAGACAGAGATTCTCGATACTTTGGAGTTTGCCCATTTCCAATTTGACCAAGACATGCAAACTACATTCAACAAATTTTATAGGGAAATATTCCATGATACCAAAAGTCACGAGAAAGCAAAAGTCATGTTTAACATGATGCAAACTCTAAACCTTGACTTTGACAATATCCCAAACATGGAAAAATTAAAACAATTATTCTCCAAATAAATAATATACAAAAAAAGAAATTAAGAAATAAAGGTGGCTATCGACTCACCAAAGAGCAAACAGGAAGATATATAATTAAAAAAAAGACATCAACATATTAATTAAAGATCATAACAACAACAACAACTTTATGAATGTGCAATTTAAGACGAATAAAGAAGACAAGTATTGTAGGTGTTTAGAAAAAAAAAAAAGTACACTACTTTTTTTTTTTTTTTGTTATTTAATATTTATTAATTTAAATATCGGTAAAGGTAACGGTAGCATTGCCGTTTGGTAAAAGGTTCTTCTTCATTTGATACATTCTTTCATCGGCACATTTAATCAACTTGTCGGTTTGAGTTGATTGTGATTTGTTGAACACAACACCTCCAAAGGAAAGAGTTACTATGATTGAGGTGGAGTTGTTGAGTTGGACAGTGTCGCATTGGACACTTGAGAGGTAGCTGGAAATGAATTGGTCAGCTTGTGTGTTTGATTCTACATTGCGCTTGACAATGAGGAATTCATCGCCAGAAAGGCGGACTGGGAGAACTGACTCGTCGGCGAATTGTTGGAAACGATCGGCAACTGATCTGAGGACAACGTCACCATTGTCGTGTCCATGGGTATCGTTGATTTGTTTGAATTTGTTGAGATCGATAAAGTAGATTGAGCATTGTTCAGATGAAGACTTGGCACAAAACTTTTGGATCTTGTTGTTGAGGTGGTATCTATTTTGGAGACCAGTGAGTGCATCGTGGGTCAAGGTATTCTTGAGCTTCTTGAGTTGTTGTTTCTCTTGGCTGTTGTCAATCATGATTCCTTGGAAGACATTGGTCGAAGCATCATACTTTCCAGTAAGACGGTAATAGGAAGAGCAGCTCTTGCTCTTGATTTGAACGTCACTTGGTGAAAATTGATTCATTGATGAGATGATATTGTTTTGGAGGGTGATTGAGTCGATGAGATATGATTGACAGAATTGTTCAAGTGATACTGAACTATTATTGGTTTTAACAATACGATTGTTAAAGTTGATTTCTAAAATACTGATTGATTGATTGGATGAAAGTATTTCCATAAAGCGACTTGATGACTTCTTGTCACGCTTTTGGATGGTATATAAGAAAACAATGATACAAAAGGCAATGTAGAAATAGTTGGTTGGGAATAGTGTGGTTGGGAATCTATCCAAAGATTGTCTTTGGATGAGTTGATTAAAGTTGATAATTTCAATTGCCATTTTTTAATATTGTGTATGGTAGTTGTTGTGAATTTAATTATTAAATTGTTGATTGTTTGATTTGTGATTTAAATAATGAATCGAAAGTTGCTCTATTTATACTAAACGGTTGCACTGTAAAAGGAAAGATGAACAATTTAATATTTAACTCAATTATTGGTGCGAACTGATCATTTTACCTATTTTGAACATCTTCTAGTTTTGGGTAATGATAATACTCCAATGATTACCATTTTAAAGCAACTACTCGCTTTGGTAAATGATAATATTCCAGTGATTACCATTTTTATACTTAGGTTTTATGTTTGATCAAGAAGAGAGCAACCGAACATTGTACTTTGTTTTTGATCATTATCTGTGCGAGAATGAAACAATATCCATATCTGTAGTGATTGATAACAATGATCGAATGAATTGTGTAGTTTGAAATGATCTCTTACATATGCCTGATGATGGTGATCCCTTTACTCAAAAGTTGTCACCAACGACTCGACTTTGATGATCACCATTTGATAACAACCATGATGATCAAAATTTTAAACAATGAATGAACGATTAGTTGTGTTTTAAAACAATACCCACCATTCTTAAAATGGGAATATTAATAGTGATCATTTTTTGTTTTAGCAAAATGGTTTGTGTGGTTCAAAATTAAAAGGTGTTTTAGGATAGAGTTGCTTATTTTGGTACTGTCGAATCACAATAGATCTTTTAACCTATACTTGCTCTGACTTTCAACCATCTTGATGAATCAAATATTCTATTATACCAACCGCTTTTACAAGTTGTTATTATTCCTGCCTTCCTTCATCCTACAATGAGATTATTTTAATTCATCAATATAATTATTTCCATTGCTGAATGACTTTAATATGTATTTAGTAATTCTCTTAGCAATCATTTGACTTTAACAATTAATCTTTAATTTATTTAAGCTTGGTAAAAAACTGGAAGAGAGGGGACGATTCTTGCAAGTCCAAATAATTGATCAGACGCACTCTCTTGCGTTGTTGGTATTGATACTTTACACATCTCTGAATGATAGTCTTGTAAAAATGATTCTCGTTCCACAAAAGTAAATGTTTCTGATCCAAACTGAATCATGTATTGTATAGTGTCATGAAATCCAGTAAGGGGAGGAACTCGATAACTACCTTCAGGAGGTTTGTAAAAACTAATATCAAATTCACCATCCTCATTCCTTTTGACAATTACCATTGTTAGATGGTCTGGTGTTGAACTGAATTTTAAAAATGCAAATGATCTATTATTCTTTTGTTGATTATTATTATTATTATTATTATTATTATTCAATTCCATAAACTTGGGAATATAAACTTCTCTAATGTATGGATCTTGTTCGACAGGATAATGTCCTCTTGGGAAATTTTTAAAAGGACAAATATATCTATATAGAAATGAATAGTAGTAGATTAGGTTAGGTTAAGTTTGATACTCAAACAAATAAATAAATAAATAAATAAATAATACTAATTTAAATATTTACCCTTTTGTATAAAGTAGACTTCTTTTTTTAGACCTTTTGATAAATTGTCTAAGAGGCTTTTCCTCCAGAGCGCACAAGTCTTTAAAACTAACTGGTACTTGTGGACAATGTGGAATGTATGAGTTGAATGTTTCCAAAAATGATTTGAGTGGTGTGAAAACTATTCTACCTTTAGGGTCTCTTGAAGCTATAAAATAGGTGTTTGGTTTCTTTGACTCTAAATCTGTGAGGTTTTGAAAGATAACCTTTGGTTTTCCTTTGCTGGCTCTCTCTTTTCCTTCATGTTGATCGTAGAGAATACCAGCTACGTTGAGTCCAGTTTTTAAAGATACCCTGAAATAGATAAATATCTTTCTTTCTCCAACCGAGCTGACCATGAGTGACACACTTGCTCTGATAGCCTCTTTGATGAGTTGCTCTTGATCTCCTACACACCAAAAATAATCATTCAACCATAAAAATTGTACTCTAGGTTTCTTGAACCAACTCTTTATCATTTTCAATTTCTGTATATCATCTTGGATGAGTGAAAGTTTGATATCTTTAAAAAATCAAATCATTAATGTTAGGAGTTAAGGAATGTAAAGGAGCCATCATCAATGATCATGCATTGCGTAGGTAGGTAGGTAGGTACAACTTACTATTTTTATCTTCTTGTGTAAATGGTCTTAAATGACGAAACCAAGGATTATCTATAAAATCTGTACTTGGTGCTGAACTCTGTGGATGCAGTTGTTTGTATTTTGGATCTATTGCTTGCATTTGTTAGTTATTGGAACTATATATATATATTTAATATTATTATTATTATTATTGTGAAGAAAGGATAATCTTATAATATTGAGTATGTTTATTTAATAACCATAATGATTATTCATCGATTCCCCTTCTCTCTCTCCCTCATCATTCCTGGGAAGGTGTGAGGAGTGGTGGTTGTGTGCGTGTGTGTGTGTTATCTTTTAAACCATCTCTTCTTCTTTTTTTAATTAAACCAATGAAACTAATTTGATAAACCTTGTCTACCAACCTAATCACTCGAACTGACAAGCTGACTCTTCGTTGTATGATTTTAACAAAAAACAATAAAATAAATGAACAGCAACGAAGTGTTGTCCGTCAATCATTTGAGTAATAAATAACATAGTACTCAACAACATATTTACTATATAGATAGTTATAAATATATATATATTACGAAATGGGAAAGATATATGATACATTAATCATTGGTTCAGGGGTCAGTGGATTGTACAGTGCAAAGTTACTAAAAGAGAAGGGATTCAGAGTAGCTGTACTCGAAGCAGACTCTATCGTCGGTGGCAGAACTAGACAAAACACAACATTTACTCAATGGCCTGTAGAGTTGGGTGGTGAAATGATCCATGGTCAAGATACTCTCTACTATGAACTCGCTAAACAAAATGGTTGGGAAATATTTGAAGTAAGTAGAGACACATCTACATCTCTTTCCCCCTCATCACTCTCTATTTTGATTACTAATATTATTTATTCAAATCTTTAGGTATTTGAAGAAGATTTATTTACATCGAAAAGAAAGAGTACCTATTTCTACCTTGGAAGGGAAAGAAAGTTGGTTGGGCCAGATCAAGTTGACAAGGACATGGAAAAGTTGTTTGGTGAATTAACCTCTCTATCAGAGGTACCTAATCCACCAAAGAATGAAAACCTATTACAACATCTTGTTAGTAGAGGTGTCCCCTTTAGAATGCTTGGTTTGGCTGATGCTGTCTATTCAAAGACTTGGGGTACCAACCTTGATAGAATTGGTTTAAAGGTAAAGAGAAAAAGAAAAGAGAATAGAGAAGAGGAAGAGGAGAGGGGAATGAATCAAATTTAAACTAACTAATGATTTGATTGATTGTTATTTAATTTCTTTCTTTTTAGCAAGCAGGAATTGAAGATAAAAAGTATCACAAGATACCAAAGAATTTCAAGTTACAAGGATCATCCAAAGTATTGGTAGAATGGTTATCAAATGGATTGGATATACATACTAATAGTAAGGTGGTCATGATTGATTCATCTAATCAAGATTCATTGACTCGTGTAGAATTGCAAAATGGAGAGACTATTCTTGCTAAAAAGGTTATTGTCACTGTACCACTTGCCATTCTTAAGCGTGGTGATATCAAGTTTGAACCATCTCTACCAAAGGAGAAACAAGAGGCTATTCGTATCATGCAAATGGACGGTGGTATGAAGATTATTGCCAAGTTTAGTCACAAGTTTTGGACACATACAACCAGAGTATCTCCAGGCACCAATGTAGAGTTGGTATTGTGTGGTGACAGCACCGTACCACAAATCTGGATGGATGGTGCACCATGTCGTCATGTTCCCAAGGGAGAGCAACCAGAATACGTATGTGTTGGTTTCATCACTGGCGATCAAGCCATCTCCTTTGCTGCATTGTCAGAGAAACAACAAATCCGTGTCTTCCTCGAACAGTTGGATGCAATGTTTGGTGATGTCACCAACCAATTCACACCAGCCTCCAAATGCTACATTTCACACATTGTATTTGATTGGCAAAAGCAACCATTTGTAAGTGGTGCCTATGCATTCCCATGTACCATTCCAAAAGATTCTTTTATTGATTCTTCTCCAAATATCATTTTATCAAATGTAATTATACAGAATATATAAATATAGAACCAACCATTCATATATTGATTCAATATACCAACTAACTACATTGATTTATTAATTAATTTTAGAGTGTAAATAATAAATTATATTTTGGTGGAGAAGCAACAGCAATTGATTATGAAATGGGTACTATTAATGGTGCACTTCATACTGGTGTAAGAGTTGCCAAGCAAGTTGAATCTGATTTCAAGAATTTATTATCAAAGTTTTAAATAAATAAATAAATATTTAATTACAATTTTATTATTACTATTAATATTATTCTTGAGTTCTTGAAATTGGTAGGTCTACAACGTTATTATTACTAATATCGTTTTCACTTATTTCATATGTTATTTCAATCGATCCACCTCCTGCTACATCTCCACTATTTTTACGACCTGGCTTATTATTTAAAGGTGATGAATTAGTGGTTGTAGTTGTACTTGTACTTGTTGTAGTAGTACTGGTTGTTGCAATATCTGTTGTATTAATATTCATATTCATATTATTATTCGTAGTATTATTAATTTTAGCAATATTATCTTTTGATGGTGGTGGATATAATTTAAGAATAGATTGTGCAATTTGATAAGATACAGCATAAATGGTAATCATTGGATTGACACCAACTGCAGATGGAAGTACTGATCCATCAGCAATAAACAATTTCTTCATATCCCATGATTCTCCATTTTCATTGACCACTGAATTATTTTTATTTGATCCCATTCTACAACTTCCCATTTGATGTGCACTTAATACTGCTTGTTTATTTGGCTAACAAAATAAATAAATAAATAAATGTTTTAGTATTAAAATATTTAATAATTATTAAATTATATTATTTACCTTATATTTTGTTGATTTCAAATTTTTAATATATGATTCAAGATTTTCACTATCTACAATAGTTGTACCTGCAATGGGAACACTAAATTTCTTGGCACCGGCAGCTACCAATGCTCGGATGGCTCCTTCAACACCTGGAAGGAGGTTTTTATAATCTTCGTCGGAAAGATTATAGACAATCTTTGGTGATCGGTGATCCTTGTCCAGTTTGATTTTGCCTGGGTTCTTGTCACGTAGGATGGGAATGATACAAGACCAAGTCTTGACGTTGTAGAGATGCTCTTTGAGCATAGAAGACGAGTCCCAGAGATAGCTGACAATCATAGACACGACACCAAGATGGGCGTTGGGTGTTTCGAGGATGGTACCGTATTTGCCTTGGAACTCTCGCGAGATGACCGACATGGGAACACCCTTCCAAATTTCGACGGCTTCCTTTTCAAAAATACCGACCGCTGGAAGGACTGGGTGAAGATAGAGTGTCTTTCCGATATTTGGATTGGAAAGACCTGATCGCAATAGGAGAGCGGGTGTGTGAATGGCGCCGGCCGAGCTGACGATAATATCGCATTTAATAAACACTCTGTGACGTTCGCCATCGGGGTGTGTGACAATGGCGACGACACCGTGTGCTGTGGGTGAGGTTGGCACTTGTCCACCCTTGGGGACGGTGCTTGTAATCTCCATCGCTTCGCAATGGACGATAATCTTGGCGCCATTGAGACACGCGTCTTCGAGATAGGTAATCATTGAACTCTGCTTGGAACGTGATCTGCATCCCATCGAGCAGTACCCACACTGACTCGTATCACATCCCTTTACGTTACGAGCAATGACGTCGCTGTCATAGTTTAGCTCGTCAAGTGCGCGTTGAAGAATATCGTTTGGTTTGTTGTGTACACTTTCATTCTTGTTGACGTTTAATCGCGCAGACACCTTGTCCAATGCATCGTTGAAACTTATCTTTTCAAATGTGTTGGGACAGTCTTTACGCCAATCGTCGAGTACGTGTTCGGGCGTCTTAATGGAAGCCGCCCAGTTGACCGTCGTCCCACCTCCCACGCAGCTGCCAGCCAACACATTGACACTAATGTCCTCTGACACGAGCGATGCAGCTTGTTCGTACAGCAGCGGATATGCCTCTGCCTCTTTCCAAGTCATAGCATTGGGTGACAGATACGACCCCTTTTCAAGGATAATCACATTGTATCCAGCCTCGGCCAAGATAGCCGCTGTCACACCACCTCCAGCACCGCTGCCAATCACCACCACATCGGTCTTTAGCGACTGCTCGCTGCTTATATTAATAAATGACAATCTCTCCTTTGTCGGGATCTGCTCGGGTGGTGGAGGAAGTGGATAATCCAACAACTCCCAGTTTGGATTAACGCCATTCGAGTTGAGAGACATTAAAAAGAGAGAACATGTCAATGGCGCAACCGCACGGTATGCCTGTCTCCTCAATGGATTGACAGACGTCTTCATCATTGCCAATATCTTTTGTCTCTTTTCAAATGACAGACTTGTAAAACTAGAAAATGTACCAGTTAAAATAAAGCCCGGTCCACTCGAAGACATTAAATACAATAGTTTCTTTAAATCATCTATTTGTGTTCTAGTTTTTGATACAACCAATCTAAGGAATAATGTTGGTATATCTAAATCTGATGCTTTTCTAAAATAAAATAAGAAGAAGAAGAAGTTAGTATAATCAATGTAGGTTGTTTGGATTAAAATGTATGTATGTGGTACCTCGAAAAGTATTCTTTTGCCAACGTCAGTTTTCTTTGGTCATTTGGATCGATTGAATTGATGATTGCTTCGATATCGTCGTCGCTCCCTATAATACTATCACAGATAATAGATAGAGTATTATACTCTTTCATTGTGAATATACCTCCTGATTCCATATGGAGATGTGAAGTTGTTGGATTCTTGGGTAAAGTATTGGTCGTCCTAGCATCATCTAGTTGGTGTTGGCTTGCTAAATCAACTGTATTCATATGATTTATATTATTATCGCCATTACTATATTGTTGTTTCTGTTGTTGTAGTTGTTGTTGTTGTAGTTGTTGTGTAGCAACCTCTGATACAGGAGTATCACTCATTTTAAAGAGTATAATAAAAATACAAACTATAAATAGAAATGTACCAAGTAACAATGTAACTAGTGGTACTATTGGTTGATTCTCAAATGATGTCGATGAGGATGATGTTGATATAGATACTGATAAAGATGATGATAATGAAGAGATAAAGTGGTTGATGGTAGAAATGATAGAACTATTATTATTATTATTATTACTACTGTAAATATCAAACAATAAATTCATATGTGATTGTTATTGTATTGTTATTATATTTGTATTTGTATTGTATTTGTGCTGTATTGTTGTTGTAGTAAAGGTGTCGGAGCAATAAAAGTTAATTAAATTAAAGAAACGGGACCGTTGGTTGGTTGAGTGAACAAGGATCCTTTCTAGAATTTGAAAAAATCTATTTTCTACTTGTCCAAAAATAAATAAATAAATAAAGTTAGCAATATAATAATAAATTATCCTATCTTTTCATAAATAAAAAATAGATAAATGTATTATCCAATATTTTAATGACCGGTCATTAAAATGTAATATTGATAGAGTTTGAAGAAAAAGTATTTAATTTAATAATTCGATTAAAGTGCCAAGCTAATGATTGACAATATATTTTTATAAATATATTTTTATTTATTTAAATTGTCGAATTTATCTATCTTGAGATGAATTCAATTAAATGATTCTAGATTATTCGAAGATTTATAAAGCTTACCCTAAATGCAAACCCCTTCGCCACCACAATATTATAATATAAAAAAAAAATAATAAAATCATCAAACATTGTGATTGTGTGACTTTTGTTTATTTATTTGTTTTTCTTATCTTTGTTTATCTATCTTGTCTATCTATTATCTATTTATTCATTTGTATATATCATATCTATCATCAATCAATATTAATATTGTATCATTAAAAAGAAAGAAAGTAATACTACTTATCAACAAACTACGACAACTACAATCTAGATAATCAAACAAATATCATCGATCACAAGAAAGAAAGAAAGAAAGATACTATTTTGATGAAAGGAGGTTGTTCAACTTTTATTCATTGTCGATAACACATAACCCTATCATCATCTAAAAGATAGAAAAGAGAGAAAGATGGATAAATATACAACTGTCAAACAATTGGGTAGTGGATCTTATGGAGATGTGTTTCTTGTCAAGAATAGTATAGACAATAAGCAATATGTAATGAAAAAGATATTCTTAAAGGACAAGGAAGACTTTGACAACAAGACAAGAGCTCTAGACACTATATCAGAGGTCAAACTACTCTCTAATCTTCGACATCCAAACATTGTCGAATTCTATGAATCTTTTCAATCAGACAACCAACATATATGCATCATCATGGCCTATTGTGAAGGTGGTGATCTATTTTCAACTTTAAAAGCTAGAAACAAAGAGTATCTAGAGGAAAAGGTAAGAAGTCATTAGTTATACTTTTGGTATTATCAATAACCTATCACATATGACTGACAGAGATTTGACTTGCGTCTATTATTATTTATAGCAAATTCTTGATTGGTTTATTCAAATTGCATTGGCACTATTATATATGCATCAACAAAAAGTAATACATCGAGATTTAAAGACACAGAATGTATTTCTAACTAAGAGGAATATAGTAAAGATTGGTGATTTTGGAATTAGTAGAGTTTTGAGTAGTTCGATGGATCTCGCTAAAACAATGATTGGTACTCCTTATTATATGAGTATGCTAATAATACAATGAAATATCATAGTGTTGATCTCTAATCTATTCTCTCTTTCTTTTTTTTAGGTCCAGAGGTATTTGAAAATAAATCATATGATTATAAATCAGATGTTTGGTCATTGGGATGTTGTTTGTATGAAATGATAATGTTAAAACATGCATTTGATGCAAAGGAAATGCCAGCTTTAATATATCAGGTGTTAAAAGGTAACCCCGTACCGATTGTACAACAATACTCTGATAATCTTCGTCACCTAGTGTCGATATTGTTGGAAAAGAATCCTGCACAACGACCTTCGATTGCAGATATATTTCAAATGCCATTTATCAGAACTCATATGGAAAATGCTTTAAAATCATCATTTAAATCAAAGTCTCCTCCAACCTCTTCACCTCCAATATCATCTCCAAGTATGATAGGTAAACAACAAATATCATTTAGAGGTTTAATTAATTCAAAAGAACAACAACAACAACAGGCAAATAGACAACAACAGCAGGCAATAGAATCACCTCAACTACCACAATTACCTCAAATTCAAGATAATAGTGGAGGTAGCGGAAGGCCAAAAAGAAATAGTTTAAAGTTATCATCTTCAAAAATTAATCATCAACATCAACAACACCAACAACATCAACACCAACAACAACAACAACAACTATCACCTCAATTAAATAATAATAATAATAATAATTTGGATTCATCATCAGTTTTATTGGATCAACCTACACCTCCGTCACCAAAAAAGGATGGGTCTTTGCGACGAAGTAGACATGGTCAACAACATTATAATGTTGATCAAAATAGTAACCATCAAGAAGATCATCATATTAGTAATATTCCAAATATTAATATAAATAATAGTAATGGGAAAATACCTTTGGAACAATTCCAACAAATTAGTATAGAAGATAATAGTAATAATAATAATAATAATAATAATAATAATAGTGAATTGGAAGAAGATGATGATTTAATATTATCAATGGATACAGCTACTGGTAATAATATAAATAGATATTGTAAATACATAAATAATAATAGTAATAATAGTAATAATAGTAATAATAGTAATAATAGTAATAATAGTAATAATAGTAATAATAATCAAAATCAACAACAACAAAATAATTATTATAGTAATTATTTTAATAATTATTTAAATAATAGTAGTAATGGTAATTTAAATTTAAATTATATGATACAAAATGGTGGTGGACCGATTGGATCATCATTTAGAGAATGGCATCCAAGACCAAAGACTGCATCCTCTTCATCTGCTCTTGAACAAGAAAGAGAGAGAGACATGCAACCTTCAACCAATCTTTTCAGTCAACTAAAGGGACGTAGAGGTTCACTTGGATATGATCAACCAACTAGTTTTAGTCATGGAAATCTATTAAACATTGAAAAGGAAAGAAAGTTTTTAAAGGATTTAAAATCAAATAATAATAGTAATAGTAGTCCAAGTATTGGTAATAATAATAATAATAATAATAACCCAAATAACAACAATCCAGAAGGGATGAGAATATGGGAAAGAAGATTTATTAAATCGCCTGTTATATCCCAAGAATCACCAGAATTGGATGGGTATAATAATAACAACTATAATAATAATAATAATAATTTAGTGATTGGAGGTGGAAGAACCAATAGAAGTAGTAGTAATGGTGGAGATCCATATCTATATGAACCAACTACACCACCAGTCATATTTGATCTTCCAGCAAGACCAAAAACAAGTAATGGATTTAATAGTGGTAATTCCAATAGTGCACCAGCCTATTCGGGAGGATCATTGTTTAATCTAATGTCATCTTCATCTCAATCTACACCTTCCTCTTTATCAGAGGTAGATATTGATTCGCCTGTAACCAATATTGTACATCATAATCATCATCCCTATAATAATAATCAAAATAATCATAGTAATAATAATTATAGTAATAACTATCAACTACAACCTCCACAACAACAATACCATCATCACCATCAACATCATTTTAATTCATTAAAACTTAGTGTGAGTAGCCCTCAGTTGCCATACTATGAGAAACAAATGGTTAGGGAATTTAAAGAAACTCATTCCAAGCGTATGGAAGATCAACAAGACTCTGATCAAGTTATTCATTGACAACAAATAATAATATTATTATTATTTTCTCTGGATTAATTGAATTAACCCAACAACAATATATACTAATAGCACATTATAAAAATAATTAATAAATTATAACTTTATTTATTATATTATTTCTCCTCAAAAACAAGTATTTGTTCCCCAAAAAAAAACTATTTTCATCTTTTTTCGTGTTTGTAGTGACTTCATCATCAATTTAAAAGATATTCGTGTATAGAAACAAAGTAAAAAATATATAGATAGATAAGATAGAATGTCTAATCCACAAGCACAACTTCAAGTATTACAAGAACAATTAATAAAGGCTCGTGATGAGTTTCAAAAGCAAGAAAAAGGTAGATAGATAGGATTGAACGATGAATAGAAGAATGATTATAATGAAACAAAGAGGCATGCCTCTTTCTAACAAGGATCAATATAATATACATGTAGAGATTCAAAAGATACAACAAGCTAGAGCAACATTATTAACACAACAAAATGAAAATGAAATGGTAAAGAAAGAGTTTGATCTATTAGAAAAGGATGCCAATATATTCAAGTTGATCGGACCTGTATTATTTAAACAATCAAAAGAAGAAGCTGAAACTACTATCAATGCTAGATTAGACCTTATTTCAAAGAATCTGTAAATATACAAACTAGATAGAAATATAATAGATATATTAACAATTGATGATGCATCAATATATATTTAGTAAACAAGTTGAATCAAATTATAAAGATGTAGAAAAGAAAGCATTGGATCAACGTACAAAGATCTTTGAAACACAAGGAAAGATGAGATCTATAATGCAACCTCAACAACCTCAACAACCACAACAACAATAATCAACCACCAATACATAATATATAATCTATTTTTTAAAAGAAAGAAAGAAAGACATTTCATTGGTGATGACTATGATATAATGATTAATTGATATTTGATGGATGGAACATTTGGATTTATAATATAATATAGATAGGTAGATAGATAGATATACTCTTCTCTCTCTTGTTTATTCTAAATCAACTTTAATTGATTTATCAAGGATTGAAAATTGTTCAAAGAATTTCTGAATCAATTGGAAACCATAGGTGATATCGACAACACCGCAAGTCTCTCTGATACTGTGCATACTAAGTTGTGGATTGCCAATGTCGACGGTACGGATACCGTAGGAACCCGAGATGATGGGACCGATGGTGGAACCGCATGGCGAGTCGTTCTTGACGAGGAACTCTTGGACGGGGATACCGTTGCGCTTGGCCAACTCGAGGATGGTGAATGAGGTGGGACCAGTGGTAGCGTAACGGAGATTGGCATTGTACTTGATGACGGGACCCTTGTTGAGTTGTGGGCGATGGAGTGGTTCGTGGTGACCAGAGTAGTTGGGGTGGATGGCGTGGGCCATGTCGGCCGAGACGAGGAACGAACGACGCAACGACAAGTCGACGATCGTGTTGATGTCTTTGCCAGCTGGTACAAAGCAGTGGTTGACACGGGTGATAGTATCGGTGATGAGTGGGGCACAGGCACCTTGAGGCGAGCTCGATCCAACCTCTTCATTGTCAAAGAGGACGACTGACAAGACCGACTCTTCTTGCTTGATGTGTTCGTCAGAGACACGCAACAAACCTTCGATCGAGCAATACGACATGCACAAGTTATCCAAACGTGGCGAAAAGATGTATTCTTGGAGTGCACCACCGATGGCGGCTGGTTGAGTATCACAAATCGACAGGTCAAAGTTTTGAATATCATTGACTGAGCAGTGCAACTCTTTAGCGAGAATATCGAGGAGGATGGGATGATGCTTCTTGTTCTCGTAGTTTTCACCGTCGCCGTTGGTCAACTTGGCGTTGATCTGACTGGCAAGGATGGGTACAATATGGTTTTGTGCGTTGTATTTGAAGCCGTCCGAGTTGACACTACGGTCCAAATGGATGGCCAACGATGGAATACGCAAGATTGGACGCTTGACATGCACCAACTTTGACTCAAAGCTGCCATCGGCACCCTTGATAATGACACGACCGGCCACAGTCAAATCTCTATCAAACCAAGTGTACCAAAGACCACCACCATACGTCTCTACACCAACTTGTAAATAACCAGCACTCTCAACATTTGATACTGGACGTACCTTTAAATTTGGACTATCAGTATGAGCTGCTGCAATATTAAATCCATTTCCTCCATTCTACAAATATAACAAACAAATAAATAAATAAATAAATAAATAAATATTGATTATGTATAATATTATATTATATACATACAAACTTTCCACCAACAATAAATGCAGATACACATGATTGATTTCTGGTAAAGAAGTATTTTCCGTTTGGTTTAATATCCCATTCTTGCTTTTCAGACAATTGAATGAAACCCTTTTGCTTGAGCATCTCTGCTACTTGAGAAGTGGCATGATAAGGAGATGGAGCACTATCGATAAAATTGACAAATTGTCTTGCTTGTGGAATGAATGGATCCATCTTTTCTTGTAGTGCTTTGATAGTTGTTGTTGTTGTAGTTTTAGTACTGCTGTTTGATTTAAATCGAAGATTATTATTATTTAATAATCTATCTTGAAGTAATAATGAACTTGTTGTTTTGTTATTACTTGTGGTGTTGTAGTTGTTGTTGTTGATAACAAATGAGGAAGATATGAATCGGTATGAAGAGATACTGTTGCTTGTACTACTACTACTGCTAATTAATCTATAAACACTATGACGAGAGTGCTTTAACATCAAAAGAAGAAGAATAAGAAGAAGAAGAAATGTGGATTCGAGTTTGAATTGTCAACTTGAAGGAAAACCATCTGATCATGCTACCCCACAATTAAAATTAATTTTTTTTTACTTTCATCTACTTTGGGATGAATGAACTTCCTTCATAATTAGAATTCCTTCATTATTAAATTTACATCACCCTTCGACCTTCGATTATCAAAGGTTGGTAACTCTCTCTTTTATTAGCAACCTTCTTTTGTAACAATCAAATTTCATTGGTCAACCATACCCCAATCTCGCAAACCAAGAGGGTGGTGATCTGAAGAGTGATAGATCAATGAAATTTCACTCTAAATCTGATTATTGGGTTTAATTTTGGTTAGTGCCTTTTCTTATTGTCTATCCCTCTCTCTCTCTCTCTACCACAGTCACTAATACCATAACATTCTTGTGAACATATATTATACTCATAGTATCACTCACTACTTTAACTTTAGCTTTAGTAAGAGATAATAGTTGTATAAGAGATTAAAGATAAATATAATTATTAATAGATACATAATAGATAAATTGAGGGAGAGAGAGTAATAATACTTTTAATTAAAAGTAATTTGCAAGACTACTACTACTAAGGGTTGTTGATTTAGGACCTATCTATCACAACCCAACTCAAAGATGAACATACAAAACTCTGCATTTTGTAGAAGTTGCAAAAAAGCTTTGTTTAGTCACCAAGAATTATTCTTTTATAGAGGTATTGTAATTGTATAATATAAATATAGATATATATATATATATATAATATGTAGATACATTACTCATTTATTTATTTATTTATTAATTTATTAATTTTAGATATAAATGGTGGACTTCATTTAGTGATTGCAAATGAAGATAAAAGAGACAAAGTTTGGTACACTGGAGATAATCCATCAGACAAGAATAGAAACAAGACACCGTACAAGGTACATTGCTTGGGTTGTAAAAAGGCTATTGGTAATCATGTCAATCAGTTTTTGGACCATTTGCCATACGTACTGACACTGGATAGTGAAGAGGTAGCCTTGACACACGAACATCTTGCCATCAAGTTTTCTAAACAAAAGAAATGGAAAGAGGTTCAAGGACGTGTAGGAAACTTAATTCCAGAGTACTCATCAGCCACTCTACCTGGAGCACCAAAGATAAAGTCATCAAACAAACCATACAAACCAACTGAATTGCCAAGGGATGAAGAACACTTTGAGGAAATCTGTCAAACTGTACAACTGGTCTTTAAACCATATGACTATCAATGGGAGTCAACAAGGCAATCAGTACCAAAAAATACTATTGTCGTCTTACCAACAGGTATATATATATATCAAACCTAATCAATTCAAATCAACTAATCTTTTTTTCTCAAAGGTAAAGGAAAGACTAAAATAGCAGTAATGGTAATGAAAATTCTTTATCAACTAAATAACTTGAAACAAGAAGAAAAGGAAACCTATCAAAAAAGAATGATTCTATTTTTGACCAACAAAATTCCATTGGCTGAACAACAGGCCAAAGCCATCAAACAAGATTGTCCAGATTTAAAGATACATCTGAGAACTGGAGAAGGTGAGAGTGGTAACATTATGGAGGATCGTCAATATGATGTTATCGTATGTACAGCAGACATTATTAGAAATTGGATTGGATACAATATGGCATCGATGAAAGATTTCTATCTTGTCATTTATGATGAGTGCCATCATGCAACTGGTGAACATGTATTTGTTAAATTGGCAGAAGAAATTAAAAAGCTTGATAGAGAATTTCAACCAAGGTTTAGTTAAAAAAAAAAAAAAAAAGATATCTTTTTGTATTTTTTAATATTAATTTATATTTATTATTTAGAATATTGGGATTGACAGCATCACCAAGTACAGGTGGTAAAGATACAAGTCAAATAATGAAAAATATTGATGCTTTGGAAAGAAATATTGGATCGACTATTTTTAGACCAAAGTCTTTACCAATGGAGAATCCATTAGAGATGGAAAGTATAGTGTATCAATTTACAAGACAGGAAATTGGTACTCGTAAAGAAATTGATAGTGTTTTGGCAGAAGCTACCAAACGGTTGTGTGACGAGTTAAAATTTACCGATCCAAACCTACGATACAATGATCAAAACTATACATCATTCTATCAGGGGTTAAAGAAATTAGATGACTATCACAGAGACCAAAACCCACCTCGCATGACAAGTGTTCCAAGTGGTTTGCTCTACAAATTATTCAATTTAATTGGTATTTTACAAGTACAAGGTATCCAAGCTGTACTTACTAGTATTGTAGAGGATTTGCAAATGGATGAACTAGATAGTTATTACACTAGTGCCTACATGTATTATATGAAGAAAATACAAAAAGGAGTCTTGGATCAATTTGTTGGAACAAATCCACCACTTTACTCATCAAAGTACAAAGCTCTAAGAGACTACATCAATAACTTTATTGAAAAATCCGTTGCAAATGATACCATTTCAGATGTTCGTGGAATTGTTTTTGTTAAAACTCGTCAAGGTTGTTCCGATTTAATTAAATTGTAATGTATATTATAATAATAATAGATTTAATTATATGTTTATTTTCTATTTTATTTAATTTTTAGACTTAAAAAGGAACCTGTAAATTTACATATTAAATCAAAATTATTTGTTGGACATACTGGTGAAGATGGTATGTCTACTGAAAAACAAAATAGAATCATGGAGAGTTTTAGAAAAGGTGATTGTAAATTCCTTGTTGCTACAAGTGTACTTGAAGAAGGTATTGATGTTCAACAATGTAATATGGTCATTAGTTTTGATCCAGATTTAAATTTAAGAAATATGATTCAAAGAAGGTAAATTAAAAAGAAATCAAAAAAGTTGATCCCCTAACTTTTGGTAGATACTAATGTTTATTATTATTATTATTATTCATTTTTTATTTTAGAGGAAGGGCAAGAAGTAAAGATGGTAAATTTGCATACTTGATTAAAGAAGGTGAAACAGATGAAATTAAATCATTGGAGAAAAACGAAATTCTTATGGCCAAGATTATTTTGGAGTATATGGATGTAAGAAAATCGGAATATGAAAACTCGATCAAACAATACAAGTTTATCGATGGATCTTATTCTCTAGATAGAGCTCACCACTCTTTGGTTTTATCTTTCTATCATTACGATGAAGACCTTTTACAGGAACGATTAAAGAGTTTGGAACCAAAATCAATTGAAGAAGTGTATTCGAAAAAAGAAAAGAGAAGATACTTGAATCAATACTTGTTGGTTGGTATGGAAACCAACACCCAATCATTTGAAGATCTATTCAAATCGGTTGCATTGGCGCCATCAGAGCAAGACCCATCTTCAGATGTTGCATCAAACAACCCTTGCTATTTCTGGGGTGCGGCAGTAAACATTCATGAAAAGCACTCGATCAGTGGATCCGACAAGACAGATAGTTACTTTAGTCGTGCCAATATCAAGGTTGGCAACTTTTCAACGCCAACATGTTTTGTTCCCTCCAAAGAGTACCCATACTCTAGTTTCAAAGTTGATCCTACCCAAAGAAAGGTCACTATCGGAACAAAGGATCCAATGCTCACAATTGGGACTATCTATCATGAAATCTACTTTGAAGATTTGGATGACTTTTTGTTGTACGATGTTATTAAAAAAGTATTTTATATCATCCTCAAAAGACCACCTAAATTCATAGCCAAGACTATAGATGATGCTGACCCGATGAATCTCTTCGAACAATTCTACGTTGATTGGAATGGACCTGCAAGAGTTTCCTACAGATACATGTTGCCAACAGACTATGTGGAAATTGGCGCACTTAAAGATTGTTATGCATATCAAATCGAATTCATAGAAGAGTTGGACATTGAAGACATGTATTATGGTTGGGAAGAGGAACAACCAACTGATACCATTCCATTTGAAAAATTGATTTCTAGAAAGTTAAAATCTACCTTTTTATATTATTGTTCAATTTTGGAAGATGATACACATCAAGATGATGATGGATCACATCATTTATCCGATTTACGAAAACCTCTATCTCAAGATCATTATTATTTATTAAATGTTTTAAAATCGTAAGAGGAAAAAAAAAAGACAATCATCAATATAATATACTATATACTAATTACCTCTCTTTCTCTCTTTTAGGAATAAGGAATTTGGTAAAACATTGATAGATTCAAAGTTTTATGAAAATATGGATTTGGTTAAAGGAAAAGAGAATAGATATGAATATTTGATGAGAGCAATTGATTCAGCTCCATTTGACAATAGATTCTATCAAATTGATAGAATTGGAAAGGTTAATTTGAATTCGCCATTGGATAGTCTACAAGCAACTCGCGAAAACTATGCATTGATCAAAAATGTATATATCACACCTACTCGAACTCTATTCCAAAAACCATCAATGTACCAACTCAATCGTGCTCTTAGAAGATATGGTGCCGATAATTTCCTGCTCGTTCATTTTGTCGAAGAGAATCTTGATGAAAAGGTCGAATATTCCAAGTTTCAAACTAAAAGCATCGAAAACATTCTATTAGAAGGTATAATGATTGAAGGAATTGGAAGATTCCATTATATTGGTAATAGTGCCAGTCAAGCAAGAAGCTCTAGTTGTTGGTTTACAAATAATAGAAATGATATTGACACGATTAGAAATCAATTGGTTGATCTTTCAATCAACACTGGTATTGCCAACCCTAGAAAATACCTACGTTCGCTAGGTCTGGTATTCTCTGGTACAACACCTTCTATCATTATACCCAACAACCAATACAACGAAAACCTAGATGATGTAAGGAATGATGAAGCTATATTTACAGAAGGTATTGGTTTTATTGGAAAGAATTTGGCCAACAAAATCAATGCTGAAAATAGTTTCCCGCTTGGAACATCTTCTTATCAAATCCGTATTGGTGGAAACAAGGGTGTCGTATCAGTACATCACTCTATCGAAAACGGAATCTATCTTCGAAATAGTATGAAAAAGTTCAATACCAACAACAGCGAGATGAACAGAACACTCGAAATCATCTCTATTGCATCTAAAAAGAATTGTACACTCAATCGACAAATCATCAATCTCTTTGGTGGTTTGGGTGTACCCGACAGATTATTCTTAATGTTGGTAATGGAATGTTTAGAGAAATTAGCTCTCATCCTCCAAGATTCATCGATGGCTAGATCAGAATTAAAGAATATAGATTTCTTTAATCAATCTGAACCTACTGAGAAGGAGTTATTATACGATCCCCTCATTCGTCGTATATTACATACTCTTTACAAAAAACAATTAACCAAATATTTGGATTTTTGTTTTATTCCAATCAAAAATGCTAGAACTCTTGTATGTGTAAACTCGAAAATTAATATTCATAATTTAATTTATTAATTTAATTTTTATTTATTATTTATTTTTAGCTTGGAGTAATAGATGAAACTGGAACATTGGAGGAAAACCAAGTATTTGTTAGAATCACAGCAGATAATAATGAAATTATAGTGATTCAAAGTAATGTTGCAGTTGTAAAGAATCCTTGTCTTCATCCAGGTGATGTACAACTTGCAATGGGTGTTGATAATCAACTACTACATCATATGCTAGATGTAGTTGTTTTCTCTCAAAAAGGAACCATTCCACTCTTTTCCAAATGTTCTGGTTCCGATCTCGATGGTGATCGTTATTTTGTCTGTTTTGACACGGATATGGTCAATACTATCGTACAACACAAAGATTTTTGCAATTTGCCATCAAAATCTGATTCTACTGTCAAGGAAATCAACAAAGATACAGTGATTCAACAATTTATCGAGAATACTCAAAAGGGAAGATTAGGACAAATCGCACTCAGCCATCTTGCCATCTCTGACTACAAGTCACCAACCGACGATCTAGCCATTGAACTTGCAATAGAGCATTTCAAAGAAGTTGATTTTGTAAAGACCAATATTCATGGTACCGTCCCCGAACAAGCTCTAGAGCTTACAAATTATGGCAGAAGGTATCCAATGTTTATGAAAGCATCGGTTGGTGCCAACAAAGAATTTTCAGAGTCGACCAAAGTTCTTGGTAAGATCTACAATCAATGTAGTTCTCTTGTTAGTGTAGCTCAATATCTTCCAGACTCTAGAGTCGACGAATCAATCTTGGTCAGCGGATATGAAGACTATGTAGAGGATGCAAGACACCAATTTAAAAACTACAAAAAGGAAATTAGATACCTAAGATCAAAGTATAATATTGAAAAGGAAGAGGATATTATCAGTAGTTATATGGACAATTCGATGAGTGGATCATCATACTCAAAGAATATAGTAGAGGATGCATACAATCAATTCTCAGTCCTAGCAGTACATTATAGAGATCTATTCCTCTTACCATTTAAATCAAAGGAAAGTGGTGGTGGTGTTTCAGATGAAGATATCGTCATCAAATATAGACAAGAAATTGATAAAAAGGTTTCAGCATGGTATTTTGTTTCTTATGGTGATGATAAACTTGAAAAGGTAAATATAATATTAAATAATTATTTAAAATATTGTTACTAATCTCTTTTATTTTTAGGTATTAAGTTTTTATTGGATTGTAAAAAGATATATTAATTTAAATAGTGAAAGATATCAAGTAGATAGAAATCTATTATCAAAAGATATTATTTCAAATGTTTTAAAGAATCAATGTGAACTGTTTTCATCGTTTGCAACAAGATGTCAAATATTGAAAAGTGTGATTAGTGGATTGAAAAAGTATTGTCCAGAATACTTTTCCGAAGCCAATCTATTGCTTTATGGAAGTTCATCATTTTTCCTTCATTCTCCAACTCAATCTGATATCGATATCTATTTGTACACCAATCATGGCAGTGCTCTAACAAATGATGATATATTTAAAAAGGTTGAACTCGTCCTTAGATCAAATGATATCGATGTTGAACACATTGAATACATTGAAAAGACGGCAGTTCCTATTGTCACTTTTACAAGCAATGGTATATCTTGTGACATTTCACTCGATTCTAATGGATTTGATAAAACAAATTATGTTTGTTCTTATATTGACAAGTATCCATTCCTCTATCCATTCCTTTATACTGTGGTGTCGTGGGGTAGAGAAACTGGACTGTTGATACATCAAGTAACCGACATCAAAACAAGAAACCTAAAGACTTGGGCATTGGTTTGGATGGTCATAGAGTATTGCCTCAAAAAAAATATCATTCAAAAGATGGAACCTGTTTTCTACACGAATGACTCCCCCTTTTCAAAATTAGAATGGTGGACCAATATCTTTAGAATAATTAGTAACGACGTAGACAATAGTATTGAACAAGTCATTGGAAAGTATGTATTGGACTTTTTCAAATTCTACACCAAAGAGCTCAGTTTTGGTTATTTCAACGCTACTCAATACAAGTTGGTATGTCCTTTGGATCGTGTTGATTTACCATCTCTGTTACTCGAGCCTGTTTATCCCAACTATCACTTTTTACAAGAAACCTTCCAACTTGCATTCCACTCGCTTTCGTCCAAGGGTGGAAGTATCACAGAGTTTTTCAAACACTGTCACAACAAAAACTCTAAAGTGATTTATCTCGATCGTCTGTTGGTACACCGACTCAGGGGAGGTGATGACATGTCATTCTTTGAAAACAATTTAAAGGTTAAAACTGGTGCAACCAACGTTGACATTCGTCACATCAAAGGCAATAGATACCAGATGAAGATATCTGGTGATCCAGAATCCATTCAAATGGTCATTGAAGAGGTTGCAAATCTCTCCAACAATATATCAACCACTCCATTCTCATCGACCAAAAAGATTGTTACTGGAGGTGGTACTACTCTTTTAATGGAAGGTTCAGAGACCAATGGCAACACGATTATATTTGTCAATAGTACTAGACGTGTGCATGTTCAACATTTGGGAAAACGACCTTCTTTCCCAATGCTCAAAGTTCCAAATCAGAATATTGGTATTTTGGATGACGCTCACATGGAATACACCAACACTATCTACCGACAACTCGAAAGATTCTATTATTTTGGAGAGGCAGCTGTGCATTGGGGTGATACTCAAGCTCACATTCGATTTGGTCAAATCTACTTTATCAATGTCTCTCATAGTGGTTGTGAAAAGACTCTTGCTGAAACAAGATTGGGTATGTCAAAGGGTAGTAAAGAAACGGTCAAATTTGAATTAAGTGGTAATGTAGTCATCAAACAAGACCACATTAAAAAGGTTAAAGAATCTAAAAAGAAGGATCTTTCAGACTCTGATGGTCAACCAAGTGGACCGATTGTAGACACTGCATCAGTTGCCTTTGTCGATAGAGGAAATGAAGACGAGGAAAAGCAATCAAACAAAACCTCTGAGCCAAAGTCATCATTCTTTACATTTGTCTTGGATTCTGTCAGATCGATGGAAGATCTTTTACTCGGTGAGGGATGGACACTCCGTGACAAACCACATAAATCCCCTCTTGTTATCCACATGACACTCAATACTTTGGACCGTCTCAAGAAAAAGACAGAGTACAAGATTAGAGTATCCAAAGATTTTAAAAAGATTGTCATGCAAAACCCAACCCTTACATGGTTTGGATCGGATCTAAAGTCTAGAAACGATGAACACTTTGACCTTCGTTATTCTATACAATCGAGAAAAGCATACCCCAAGATATTTGTTGGTGACGAGGAAAGTTGCAAAGCAGAATGGATTAAAAAACAACCATACATGGATGCACATCTATTGGGCAAACTGTTAATCACACCAAACCGTGTCAACACTCTTACCAAATACGAAGTCCATCCAGAGATTAAAGAGAATATTGTATTGATCCGAGAACACACAAATAATAGAACCTATGTTCCACCGGCCGGACATCCACTTGCCTACTATAACATCTCTGCCACGCTGACAGAAATTCAAGAATTTGATAAGTCTGGCAAGATCCTAACCAAAAAGACTGAATTGGAATTCTCAATGAACCTTCCAAGACAAGTTGACACTGCCCTCTTTGTAACTCCCTATTGGCAACAAGGTATCGATTTCTTAAATCTTTTAAACAAAAAAAAGGATGACATTGATTCTGATTGTCATGATAACAAACGTCAACATTATGAAGTTGGTAATGATCATTGTTTTAAATAAATTAATTTAAATTAAATAATTAGTGTGTGTAAACTATTTTGGTCTTCAAGAGTTTAATTTTAAAATTGATCTAATTTTAGAGTATGACAATGTCTGTCATCAATCAGATCTATTGATCAATCAATAGATGGATGGTATTGGTAAAATCAATCGATTGATGACATCACAACACATCAATCCAAATTTAATTTATACTTGATGAAACATTTGTTATTTGTAGAGATGACATTTTAAAATCACCTTATGGAGTGATCACAAATGGAACCATGGAACAAATTGAAACCAAAAGGTTCCTCAAAATTTCGCCTCTTGAAACTATAAGAGTATGGAAGAAGGGGATTAAATTGAATTGAAGGACCTTTCCGAGGTCAAAATATTTATAAATAAACTCGACTATGTTCGCACCCCTCTCTACCTTACAACAAACACAAAAAGATAGATATTATAATGGGGCAACAACTTAAGATGGCATTGCCACCCCCCACCTCTCTCATTTTTTTTCTATCGTTGTGTGTGAAGAGCCAATTATTGATAAAGGGGTTGTTCGGCGGAAGTGTACACCTTTTTGATTCCGCCCGTTATGCCGTTCCGCGTAAGATCAATCGGCTTGTTTCTTGGGTAGAGCGAATCTACTCAAACAAACAAAGGCAAATATTAACAGCCCAATGCCATGGCTACACAATCCTTTAAGTAGTCGTCACCATTGTAAAACATAAATAAACAATTAAATATATACATCATTGAAACAAATACAATTACATCAACCTAATCCTAATACAATATTATTACAAAAAGGTAAATCTCCTCTCTCATTCTCTCTCTCTCTCTGTATATTACTGCCACAACCATCATCATATCTATCGCACTAGTACTATCATCAATCCATTGTTTGTTGTTATATACAATGCAATGAAATAATAACAATAATAATTATAATCAAATGATCAATCCTTACGCTTACGCTAAATCACCAATATATAAATATATCTAACACACTACTAATCACTGCTATACATATATATTTATATTCGTAATGACACACACAAGTATACTTTTAGTGTGTGTTTATCTGTCTGTCTGTTTGTCTGTGCTCAAACCATTCTCTCTCTGTTCTTCCTTTTTTTTTCATCCACACACTATTTTTGACTATGCTCTTTTCAGTGTGACAATTTCAGATAAAAAAACTAGCTGAAGATTTTTGTCGGCCAATTTTATATAATGTGAGATGTTTTATGTGACATCTATAAAAGGGGTGACGGATCAACCCAATAAACATCAATCATTCTCTCGTTTAACATCAAGACAAACAACCAACAAATAATAACCACACACCTATACAAACACACACACACAATCAATCAACTAACCAACCAACCACAAAAATCTTATTCCCTCTGTCTAATTAATTAAACCAAACCCATCGTACAAGATACCCAAAACAAAAAAAACCCAACAACAAATCATATATAAAGTAATTATTTTTTTTTTTACACAATATACACCAATACCATCCACCCATACATACATACATACATATATACATATATATACATATATTTTAAACATCATCATATACATACATACAAATTAATCAATCGATCATCCACAAAAGCACCATCAAATCAACCATACTGACTTTTTTTTTTTTTCAATAATTTTGTTTCTTTCTTCTCCTCCTGTTTCCTGATCACTAATTAATTCATTTAAATTAGACAATATATATATATTCCCTTTATAGAAATTACCAACAACAATAATAATAATTAATAATTAATAATTAATAATCAATTTAAAATAGAAAAATGAGCAATTCAAACAAATCAAATAATAATAATAACGGAACTAATAGCAGCAATGGAGCTCAACGTAGTAATACATTGAAAATATCGGTATTGGGTGATGGTGGTGGTGGCAAGACCTCTATTACCATCCAATTGTGCTCGAATCACTTTGTAGAGTACTATGATCCAACCATCGAAGATAGTTATCGCAAGCAAGTTGTCATTGACGAAGAAGCCTGTATATTGGATATTTTGGATACTGCAGGACAAGAAGAATTGACAGCCATGCGTGATCAATGGATTCGTAGTTGTGAAGGTTTTATCATTGTCTATTCCATCACCAGTCGTAGTAGTTTTGATCAAGTCACCCTATTCAAAGAGCAAATCAATCGTGTCCTTGACCGCGAATCCGTTCCAATCATGCTTGTAGGTAACAAGTGTGATCTCGAACATCTTCGTGAAGTCAGTACCGAAGAAGGTCGTGATTTGGCCAAGTGTCTTGGTATGTTGTTTATGGAAACATCGGCTCGTACTCGTCTCAACATCGAAGAAGCATTTTATGAATTGGTCAGAGAGATGCGTCGTCGTGAACGTGGTATCAAGGATTCCAAGGACAAGGACAGTAGTGACAAGAAGAGTAAAATCAAGAATATCATCTCTAGCAACGTCCAAAAACTAAACAAGATCAAATCAAAGACCATTCACTCTGTTAAAAATACTTCTTTTTGTAAAACAATGTAAATCAATCATCAAATCCAACAAGTAGTAATCATAATAATAATCAATCAAATAATAATAATAACAACAACAAATTGTAAATAGTAAACCCATCAAGAAACAACCTTTTAAACAAACCGATAAAACAATTTTAATAATTAATAACTTAATAATAATAATTAGTAATAATAGTAAATAATGATAATAATGTAATTGTATATTTAAATAATATTATCTTATATATATAACAAACAACAAACAACAAACAACAAACAAACAACAACTATGTATATTTATGAATAAAAATTCAAACCATCCTTCCAAGCTAGCTGCTGTTTATCGTCACATTAAACGATCAGCAGCTAGAATCTAATTGAAAAGATCTATCTATCTTTTCAAATTTAATAATCAAACCATCATTGTAGCAGTCTTGTATTCTTTATTCTCTTAGTACTCAAATCGATAGATTTATTTCTTTTCTTTAATTTAATAGGGTTGAGAGAGATCAGATAAAAGTATGTTTAAATCACATGATGATCTTCATGAAATGCGCAAACACACAATGAATGATTTCATCACTCAGTGATTGATAATACAATGCATTGTATGCCACCCAACGTATAAAGTTATCTTTCAGAAGTATCTGTATTTGATTATCATCATATCTCTTGTTTTATTTATACATTGCCCCAACTCTTGAAGGAGGATGAGGCAAGCCAAAAATAAAAATGTTATCGAAATGATTTAATTTTTTAACAATGAACAGCACTTGATCCACATGTGTTTATATTCATATCTGTTCTTTGCTTGTTGTTGGCTCAACTACTATAAAATATATTAAACAATGTACAAAAAAAACAGCAGTTGTTTTTATTTGATGTTCTTATAACATAATGACAGAAAGATTAAACATTACGAGAAACAGAACATCAACCACAATACACAACCAAGGATCGACCCAAGCTTGTTGGGCTCATGCTATAGCATCATGCATCAGAGCAGCACAAACCAATAAAATGGACTATGAAGATATTGTACAGCGACTGCTATTAGAAATGGGTTCTACTGAACCACAAAATTCTTTTGGAGTTTTGGAAACTAAGGCCGAGGAATATGGAGTTACCACAGAATACCTCCAATCAGCTGCTGATGTAGGTACTTTAATTCATTAAAACCATTGCTAGTTTTATATTTAGTTATATTTAATTATAATTAATTAATTATTAATAATAGGTACAAAACTCAATTGATGCTTCATATCGAAAAGAAAATGACGGCCCAACTGGCATTCTTCTAAAGATGACCTTGAGAAAGAGCCAGTGGAGTTATATTGGAGGTCAAAGTTTTAAAAAAAGGTCAAAAATCATATGGAGCGATTTATTATCCAATGCAGGCTCTGCTGGTCCTGGCAATCCAGACTTGGGCCATAGTTTGAGTGTTACAGGTTATGCCACCCAAGGGAGTAATTTTTATTTGGTTTGTAAGAGTTCCTGGGGTGGTACAAAAGAATTCTTATTGGATACCTCAACACTTTCCAACAAAGCAAGATACCTAGAGATCAAAAGCATACCCTCTCACAATAAGCTTGCAACAACAGAATTATCCACATTTGATGTGGAAGCTCCATCTCTGCAGCCCCCATTCAGAACAGAGTACTCATCGTCCTTGCCTCCAAAATTAACAGAGGTCTCTTCTGTGGTGCTTGGATTCTCTATTTTGATTCATGTCTGTTGGATTATTTTATCTGGAGAATCTCATGTGCTTTTATCAATTCTCATTGTTGCAGCACTTATTTGCCTGGCGCTCCTCGCAAAAGAGATCAAGATACAATCGAAAGGGATCCAAAGAAGAATGTACGGTTTCTTACTGGATTATTTCGCAATGCTTCTATGTTTAGTATTTTTCATATTCGATCTATACCAAGCAAGAGCTGCAGCCAATCCAAAACCTTCGAATCCTATAGCATATGGGAGAAAGTCAGACTATGCTGTTTGAAATGATTGCAAAACCAATAAACTATTATAATGGATGGAATTAAACAATATCTTTGAAAACAACACTCGAAATCGATCCCAAATGATTAAACATGTAATAATTTATCTTTATTGTAACCTTTCACCCCCATTTTCATTCTATTAATATTTGTTGTTATTTAATATATATAAATAATATTAAACTATATTTATCGTTGTTCTTTGAAACAGATTGTTCCCAATGATTTTCTTTTTTTTTTGTGAAGATCGACCAACAAATATTTTTAGAAAAAGGTATAGTTTAGTCCTTCATTCTATCTCTATATCTCTATATATATATTATACATACAATGTCAACAGAGATATTTAGATTAATATCACCACTTTTGGATGATGTATCAAAGGAGAGATTGAATCAATTGATTGCATCATCATCAGTACATGATAAAGGTCAAGATGAAGAAGAGATAATATCAACAGCAGACGACAAAGATAGTAGCAACAACAACAATGCAGAAGATTTCTATAATACCATCTATGAATTATTGTCTGATGAAAAGGGAACCATCAGAAAATCATATGATGATATTCTATGGGAGTTTGTCAATGAACTCATCAGAGCTCTCGATTCATCATTGCCAAACTCTGCATTATCCTATGTTAATTGGCAACTTGAAATTACTAATAGTAAGATTTGTCAATCAATTTTAAAGGTAAATATAGATATAGATAAATAAATAAATAAAGAGAGATATATACATGTTACTAATTAATCTTCAATTGTTTTGTTATGTAGATATTAAATTGGATATCATTAAATGCAAGTCCAAGAGAATTCTTATTGATCTTACAAGAGATGGAATCATCTTCATTCTTTAATATATCATTTTGTACAAGATTGATATTGATTGGTTTGGTTAAAGAGGCATTAAAGAGAATTGACAAGGAGAAGAGATTCAGTTTCCTCGAATCACTCTTACCAAACATCTTATCAACTTTAAACAATGATGTCATTGTTGAACAACAACAAAAATTACAACATGCAAAAGAAAAAAAGAAAGCAGTAGTAGACGAAGAAGATGATGAAGATGAAGATGATGACAAAGATGAAGACGATGATGATGATGATGAAGAAGAAGAAGAAGACGATAGATCAGTAAAGATCATTGGACAAGGGGAAGAAGAACAACTACAACAGAAAAACACCGAATTTGATACTAGATGGGAATATCCACTAGCTTGTATTATAGATTTTATTTCAACCTTTATTTCTGATCTTAATATTCAAGTATGTAGAAACTAAAATATAATATAATATTATTGAAAATGTTTAATTAATTGTTTCTTTTTATTTATTTAGGTTCCAATTGAAAATAATAATAGTAATGATAAAATGACCGATGTAATTAAACAACAACATTTATTCTTGAATGCTATATTCCAAATTATGGCACAAAGTTCAGTTATGAATACACCACAACCCTTAAACTATAAGGGTGTATCTCTCATCAATGTTATTGGCGAGATGTTGATGGGATTGGGTGTGTCATGGAACTATGTCTTGACAACCGACCCTAGATTACGTGCTAAACAAAGAGACATTGAATTGGAAGATATGTTTCTCGAACAAGGTTTGGAAGATGATGATTTGGTATCTGAAGGTGAAGAGGAAGATGACTCTTCGACGACGGTCATTAAAAAATCACAACCTGCACAAAAGACTAGTGCAGTCGACGAAGATGACGATGAAGATGATGATGACGAAGAAACAACATCATACGAAGTGATTTATGATTTAGATCTACCATACAGTGGTATTGGATATTACTTTTACAGTCTTCTTCTCCGTCCATCAACTGTATCTACAACCTTTTTAACTGGTAGTACTGCTGGCGGTGACACTACTCCACAACAACAACAACCACAACACTCACGTCTCCCATCACCTCTTTCACCCATGAGTATGCTCTTGTCCAACCTTCCCTACCTCACTTCACTTTTACAAGAATCCACCAACTACAAATCTGGATTCAAGGCAATTCAAATCATTTCTTTCCTTCAAAAGCGTATCAAACCATCTTCCATCTCTGTACCATTAGATTATCTTGTGTCGAGTAATGCAAGTAAGGAGTCATCATCATCATCATTTGCAACATGGATGGTAGATGAATCACCAGTGATGGTTGAACCAGCATTTCACTTTTTACAACTAGTTCAATGCACGATTGCATTTATGGTACGTTGTCCAGTTGAAAAGATGCGATCGTTTGCATTCCAAACATTGTCGCAGTTTGTCAATGTGTTGGATGCACCAACTCGATTCAACTTGATGTCGCACTTGATACAAACCTGTGCATTCCCTTCGTTTACAGGGTTACTCGTTCACTTGCTCAAATCACAGATTGATAATGCTTGGGGTGGCAACACGACCAATTCCATCACCAACAATGCCAGTCAAAGCAGTAGCCACATTACCGATGATGACAAGGCATACTTTTTGTCGCCCAAGGTGTTGGACATCCTCTCTATCCCACTCAACCTCTCTACTTGCTCCAACGGTACTGCCATACTCGAACGTATGGATGCACTCATGAATGCACTCAATCTCTACCGTTACCTATTGATCCGTGACCAAAAGGATCAAAAGACAGGTGTATGGGCTAGATCAAAGATCATTGGCATCAGAGACCAAGTACTCGATCCTCTTGTCTCCACCCTCGAGAATCTCAAGACACAATACCGTGACAGTGCCAACGGAGACCAAGAATCCCTCAGAAAAGCTCTCAAACAAATTAGTAAACTCGGTGTCGATAAAATGAGTAATCAGGACATTCAACAAGCTTCTCAAATGGTCATCAATCAAATTGATATGGTCATTGATATTGTTCAAAGAATTAAAGAATTACAAAAAACTTTAGATAAAGATGATAATTAACAAAAAAACAACAACAAAACAAAGAAAAACAAACCAATCAAACAAACCCGAGAGATAGATAGAAAGATGGAAATAATAATCAATAATAATAAATAATAAATAATAAATCAAATACATGTATTTTTAACGAATAATCCAAAGTACTACTGTCCATGGGAACAGGAAAATTTTTGAAAAATAAAGATTTTTTGATGAGCTTGATGTTTGATTGAATTTTGAGGTCGGATACAAACCATCAAAATTTAATTAAAAGTTTTAGTTGTAGTTTAAAGAAAGAAAGAAAAGAGATATTAATATAGATATAGAGGTAGGAGAATGTCAGCACAAATCTACCAAGTACCAGTAGTTTGTAATGGATTAAGAGAACCAGAATCGATTGCACAAATTGTAGATGCATTAGATAAATTAGACAAGGTGTTTAACGATGTCTATACAACCATCAACAGTAGAATACAAAGAGAAAGAGGTAGAATGGAGAGTGTAACGGGTCGTCTAAACAACGTACAATACCGTGTCAATCAAGTGGTTGGTAGTAAGAGTGCAATCACTGTATTCAGCTCTGCCAGATACCCAACTGAAAAGAAATGGCCCGATTACTCTCCATTACATGCTGATAAATCAAAAGCACCATTTAAACCATCACATTATCATTTACATGGCATTCCATTTGTAACTATCAAATATATATATATATATATATACATATGATATTTCTTTTTTAACTTACTTATATAAATTATTTATTACCTTTTACCTTTTTGTAGAAAAGAAATGATGATAATTATTTAGAGGTAAATGATTTGGTATTTATTGAAAAGAGTATTGATTCGGCTGGAAGAGAGATTTTGGCGACTGAAGGATTGGGACATTTGCCAGGACACATTCCAAGTGTCTCTAATCTATTGTTGTTTAATACACAAGAGAACCCGTACAAGAAATACACCAATACATTGGATAATCTACAAGGTGTGCAATCTGATGCTGTGCCACAAGTGCGTACCGACTCTAAAAAGAAAAAGTTGCAAGCTGCTCCAGTCACTGTCGAGAAGGGAGACGTTTTGCCTGCTATGGAAGGTACCAATGTTAATTACAAGACGGTTATTAATCCCGCTGAACTTCCTACATATGATTTCCCAAGTGCACTTCCTCTAAGAGGTGTAGCTGAGAATATTGGTTGGGTAGTTGACAATTTATCAACTATTGCCCCCTCCAATCAAGTTAGTGCAGCTCTCCCTATTTTTGATGGTCAACAACCAAGTGCTGATAATTATACTGAACCAGTTGCAGCAACACAATCTGTTGCAGTACAACAACCACAACAACCAACACAACAGATTGCACAACAATCACAACAACAGAGTAATATGGGAATGGGTATGATGGCACCTCAACAACCTGTTACCACAAACCAACAGCCACCTATTTACACCAATCATACTACCACACCAATACAACCCAATATACCAACATCTATACCAGCCACACTTGTTCATGGTGGTGACGATGATGACGACGATGACAATGACGAGCAAACTTCAAATGGATCACCCATTGGAAATCTTTTAGCCGATATTAGAAAAGGTCACAAAAACAGACTCAAAAAGGTAGAGGTCAAGGGTGGTGGTGACGATGATGAAGATCAAGATGAAGATGACAAACCTCCTCCAAAAAAGGGTGGAGGTGATGTAATGTCTGATCTCTTCTTGGCACTTTCTCGTCGTCGTTCCAGTATTGCTGCAACCAAAAAGAAAGGAAAAAAACAAGTATCTGATAGTGAAGGTTCAGATGATGATAATGAAGATTGGAAGGTCTAAAAAAAAAAAAGAAAGGATAAAGAGATAGAGAGAGAAAGAATATATGTATAGTTTTGTTATTATTTTTGTGTGTATTTATATGTATTTAATATATTTTTTAAAAATAAATCAAATAAAAGAACCAATGATCAATTGATGGAAAAGATAATATATTATTATTATCTCTTTTTATTATTATTATTATTATTATTATTATTATTTTAGATAAGTAATGGTATGGTGGTCGTAGTAATTATATATATTTGTTTGATTACCTGGCTGATTGGAAAGCACCAACAAAATAACCAAGTTGTAATTTTTCAGATGCACCAAATGACAGATTATACTCAATCTCTGCCAACTCTTTAGATATCGATGTAATAGCTCTTTCATCCATATTCCTTGCTTTATGAATCAATACACTAACATCTTTAATAATATCAACTAGTGAAAATCCTTTTTCTTTTTTCATATTTGATAAATCTAAATAAATAATAATAAAAATTAATAATCTTATTCTATCCTATTCTATCCTATGAAATAATAATAATAATAATAATAATAATTATTGTTTTCATAAATACTTTTATAAGCTTCATCAAAATCTTCACCAATACACCATTGTAGAATTTGAACAGTTTCTCTTTTAGATGGTACACCCGCACATCTGTAGATATCGGCATCTGTTATTTGTACACCATCATCACTAGACATGGAAACTGATTGTAAAAGATTTAAACTCTTTCTCATATCACCTTCTGCAAGTAATTCGATCGATGTAATTGCTTCATCTGAAATATTCATTCTAAACATAACATTGGAATGGATGGGCGGGCAGTCAGTATGAGTTTGGAATATATTAATTGGGAGTTTGTCTGTCATAATTATATCATACTTTTCTTGTTCAACGATTTCTTTAATTCTCTTGATTGATTGTGGTTTACCCAATCTACCAAATCTAAATCTAGTACATCTAGATTGAAGAGCAGGAATCAATTTACCAACATAATTACAAATCATACAGAATCTAGTTGTTTTGGTGTAGGTTTCAATGACTCTTCTGAGCGCAGTTTGAGCTGCATTGGTCATTGAATCTGCTTCATCCAATATAATTAATTTAAATTGATTGGTACTGCAAAGTAAAGCAAATAGCAAAGTAGTTAGTTAGGGTTAGATATCATCGAGTATCATTATTATCATAATCATCAATCATACTTGAATATACCCATTGAACCAGCAAATGATTTGATTTGTTCACGAACTACATCGATACCACGATCATCGGATGCATTCAATTCCAATACCATTCTTGAATAGTTATCTCCATATAATTTTCTAGCTACTGCTTGAATGGTCGATGTCTTACCAGTGCCTGGTGGTCCATAGAACAATAAATGAGGTAATGAATTCTTATCGATTAGTTTTGTAACTAAATAATATTTAGATTGCATGTTTGTTAGTTGATACAGTATTTGATGTAGGTGTATTGAGACATAACATATGTAACATCAACATAGTTCATAAACCTCAATCATCATGACATACTCGTATCTATAATATCTTCATGAGAGATTAACTCTTTTAAACTCTTTGGTCTATACTTTTCAACCCATGGTAAACTATCATGTATTCTCTGTTCTTTTGTTTGTTTTCTTAAGTATTCTTCATCCATATCCATATTGTATTGTGTCTATTCTCTTTTTCTATCTATCTTTTAATCAAAACAAATAAATACAAATATATAATACTAAACTAAAAAAAAAGAGAGGGAAGCTAATAATTTTCAAATTGTTGATGTTCATTTCTCAATTTATATGTGTATTATACAATTAATTAAGAATTATAATATTAAAGAAGGATTACGATGATACGATCAATCATTCAATACATTAATAGAATAGATATAGATAGTCACAAGAAAACACTATTACTAGTGTTGATAGTGTACAGATGTATAGATGCATTGCTTGTAAATACATTCTTTGATCCAGACGAGTATTGGCAGAGTCTAGAAGTTGCACATTACTCTGTCTTTGGATACGGTTATCTTACATGGGAATGGAAGGAAATGATTAGAAGTTATCTACATCCAATGATGTTCTCTGCACTCTTTCATCTATTAAAATATCTAAACATTGATTCTACATGGCTTGTTGTATGTTAATGAATGAATGATACAATACATATATATATATATATGTTGTTTTGGATACTCATTCTCTTTCTTTCTCTTCTTTTAGATTATGGCACCAAAGTTATTACAAGGTGTTGCAGCTGCAATTGGTGACTTTTATCTTTACCTTTTATCTAAATCATTGTTTGGAAAGGATACTGCTAAATGGGCTGTAAGTAATCAATCAATCAACCAACATACCATTGTATTAAAAATTTAATTTAATATTTAAATGTATTAAATCTTCTAAACTATATAGTTAACATGTCAATTAATATCATGGTATATGTTTGTTTGTATAGTTAGAACCTATTCAAATTCAATTGAAACTATATTATTTGTTATTTCTTTATATTATTTCCCATTACCTTTGAAACAACAGTATGTTTACATAAACATAACATACACGATATACAAACACATCTTAACCAACTATTATTATTATTACTATTTTAGACCAAGTGAAAAGAATTACAAGATATGGAATAATATTCAAATATCGGTAGTTTTAACTACATTTGCATTTGTTATTCGTCCAACAACTTGTATCATGTGGTTGTATCTTGTTCCATTATACATTGTCAAAAATGTTAGATCAGTCAAATCATTGTTTAAATTTATCATTGTAGACTGCTTTATACCCTTTGCACTGGCATTTGGTATCTCTATTGCCATTGATTACATCTACTATGGCCAAATAACCATCGTTGCATACAACTTTTTATATTTTAACGTTGTAAAGAATATTTCCTCATTTTATGGAACTCATCCATTCCATTGGTTCTTTACTCAAGGGTAAGAAGAGAGAAAGAGAGAGAAACTAAAAGATGAAGGTATTAATTAATTGATTTATTTATTTAATTAATTTTAGATTCCCAACAATAGCATATACGACGCTACCAATATTTATTCTATCATATTATCAATTATACAAAAAGGGTGATACACAAAGACTACATCTTGCCAATGTAGCATGGTTTACCATTTTCTTTTACAGTTTACTTGCACACAAAGAATTTAGATTCATCATGCCAATCTTACCAATTGTTATGATTTACGCTGGTCATTTTATTTCATCTCTACTAAATATAACACAATCAACTAAAAAGGAATCAAAGTCAACTAAAGATGATCATCCATCTACTTCTGCGTCTCAATCAACACCTACAACTAAACCAATTTATATTACATTAATTGGAATATTATTATTATTAAATATTCCAATGATTGTATTCTTTACAACGTTTCATCAACGTAGTCCAATCGATATTATGCATTATATCAATAGTGACATTTCTCCATTGTATCCAGCCAATGGAAATGCCAATGTATCGGTACATCTCCTCATGTCCTGTCATGCCACACCCTTCCAAAGCTATGTCCACAATCCAAGAGTGAATCTAAAGATGTTGGAATGTCCACCACCTATCCATCAACTACACGACGATCACCAGACACAGACACAAACCCAAACACAATCAGTATTATACCAAACTGAAAAGGATATCTTTTATGCAGACCCACGTAAATATCTTACCACGAGATACAATCTTACGCCACCAAAACTATCCAAATTCCAAAAGCCAAACGATCGTCAAACGACTACTACTGACAACAATAACAACAAGGTCATTATAATGGAGATTCCAGATTACTTTATCATCAACGATGACTTGGTTGATCAGTTTTTGAATACAACTGCCATTTCAAAATATTATAAACAGGTATGTACATATATACATATAAATATCTATATATGATGTTACGACGTTGTGATTGATCAAGTGCCGTTAGACTAATCTCTTCTCTATCTCTATCCATTAAGGTTCACCAATTCAAACGATTACTTGATATTACCTCTTCGACGGTTTTCCAAAAATCAACTTAACACAAACAAATAAAAAATCAGAGTGTGCTTTGGTCGCTCTGACCCCAAAAACAAATATTTGTTTTGTTTTTTTTTTTTTTTCAACGTGCTTTATAAACACACTCGTTGACCCAAACTTTTATTAATTAATAATTTTTTTCTACAACTATTAAATTTCGAAAAGAATAACATAGAGAGAGAAAGAAACTAGATATCAATATACACATACATACACATACATATAGCATTATATTTATATAATTACCTCAAAACATTAATATACAGTTAATCATATAGTATATATAATATATAGAAACAAACTGTTGTAATAACAACTAAATAAATCACACCCCCAACAAACAACAAACATATATAAATCAAACAACAATACATACATACATACATACAACCTTTTTTAAATTCATATATATAAATTAAATAATGTTAAAGTTAATGACCAATAATAAGAGAGGACATGATACCATGTCAATGGATACTTCGCCCATCACACCTCCATGTACTCCATTTGATTTCTCTCAACAACAATTACAACAACAACAATTAGAACAACAACATCAACACCAACAACAACAATACCAACAACATCAACAAGAGCAATTTAATCGCTCTATGATATTTTCATCACTAAACAATCAACAACAACAACAACAAAATATCAATAGTAATAATAATGATGCCCATAGAATTAAAAGAGTTAGACAACAAACACAAACATTTGCTCGTAAAGACTATGATTATTTTAACAAGGCAGAGAGTCCAATCAACTCTGTCGTAACCAACCTCTTGTCAAAAGAGATGGAAAAGAAGGAAAAGAAAGATAGCAACGATATGTTTAAATTCAATGGAGGTCAAAATGATCATTTGTTAAAGATGGATAGTAGTTTTGTTCCACAACAACAACAACAACAACAACAAAAGAATAATAGTTTTAGTCTGGGTGGTGAATCATCCTCATCATCATCGTCGTCTGGCGGCGACAAGAAAATATTTTCATTGGAAGAGGTTAGAGTATTGATCAAAAAGGCATTGGAAGAACACGAGGCAAAGCTCAGACAAGAATATGAAACCATTTTACAAGATAAGATGCACGAACAATTCCAATGTTTCACTAGATACAACGAAGATTATCTTTCAAAGCAATTGCGTGAAAGTGATTTTAGTTACATGTCTTAATTTTATTTATTTATTAAATTTATTGGCAAAATCATCACTAAAAATAATCAAAAAAGAAGAACAAGAAATAGCCAATCAATCCATAAATTTAAAGAATATGTCATTCTAGATACCCTCCCCTACTCCCCAATCAACCAATCAAACTAAACCAAACCCTCCCCATCGTAAATAATAATCAAAATATTTTCCAACCAACAACATGTTAATATAGTATATAAATAATAATAATAATCCAATACATAAATCAAATCACCCGATCTCTGTGCAGAATAAATAATAGTAATAATTAAATAATAATAATCATTAAAAATAATAATAATAATCAATATACAACAAACATACCAACCAGATCCAACAAGCCAGCCAGCCAACCAACCATATAACCAATTTTTTTGTAAACCTAAGATCCACTATTCTTAGTTCCCCCCAATATCATAGAATAAACTACCTCCCCCAAATACCATCATCGTGTACACAACATATACACCTAAATCTCACCTCTAAAATATATGATATATATGATATTCAAGATACCTATAATTATTATAGAGTACATACATCAGTTTTTTGAGTTGATTTTTTTTTTATTTTTTTTTTTATTTTTTTGATAGACTTTTGTTCAATGAATGCACATGAAACCAAATGTTTGTCTATTTTAGTTTAGTTTCAACAACAAGTCAGAGACACTGAGAGCAAGCATAGAGATATTTCAACTTCACAATAATCTATAACGATTAAAAGAACAAGAAGAGATGATTGGTGGTGGTAATAGCAGATATTCACCTTCAACGTCTAATTCAGGTGCATTGTATAACAACAATAACAATAATAACAATAACAATGGGAACAATAGTAGTAATAATACCAACAACAATAATGGAGGAATAAATTATAACTACTATATAATGTTATCATTAAACTTTGATTTGGATGATCAAGTGAGCGAGCTTGAATGGATTGTTATAGATGTAGATAAACAATTTGCAATTGAAAAGAGAAATCTATTTGTCTATGATGATAATTCAAATAGTTCACATCATGGTATTCATGATAGAAACTCATTATCAAATACTTTAAATGTTGTAAGTAGTAAAATAATAATAAGATCATATTATGCATCAACTGATCTGCATTGAATCCATTAGATTGATTGACTAATCTCTTCTCTCTCCTATATATATATCAAGTTTAACAACTATGTGTTTTCTACATTTATTATGAATCAAAAATCATTTTGTATTGTATCTGTTAGACCTAATTATATGGTTACTTTGATGTAAGTCGAAAAACAACAAAGAAGAAGAAGAAAAAGAAATAACCGAAACCCTTATTAACAATATTTTTTGATGAATTAGAAATGAAGCATTAATGAAAGGGATTAAACCATTAAGATACTTTTATAATTATATCAATTTATGTGAGGATCTCGGTCTTTACTATGGTATCAATGGATCACTTGAAAGTTTTGGTAAATGTAAGATTATAAATAGTTCAACAACAACAACAACAACAACAACTATCCTTTTTTGATATCTAAATCATTTCATTTTATTATTATTTAATTATTTGTAGCATTGGATATTAATACAACAATGGAACAAGAATTACCATTGGCATCACAGATTGTGTTGAGACTATTAAAACAAGGACATTATTTTACACCGGTCGATAGTTTTTCGACGAGTAATAATGGTGTACCAGTAGCATCAGCAACCGCAGCAGGGATGCAAGGCCAGTATCATATTCCTCCTAATACCTTTTCCATGGGCGATTACTCTCAGATGTTTGGGTCTTCGGCATCGGCCACTACAGCCGCGGCTGGAGGCAATATGATGGGGGGTATGGGAATGGGGGCAATGTTTGGTCCTACCTCTAGCAACGGCAGCAGTGGTAGTAGCGGTACTATGGGCTCGATTCGTTCATTTGGGTTGGGGAATGATTTTGGAGGTGGTTCCACCTCTGGGTTATCAGCAGCCGGGAACAACAACAACTTGGGAATGAGCGGTGGTGTCAACAACAACAACAACATGGGTGTTATGGGTCATATGACCATGGGTGGTATGGGTGGACACAATTTCAACACTTATCAACAACAACAACAACAACATCAACAACATCAACAACAAGTACCAACCTATGGTTATGGAAATATTGGGGTTTACAATAATGGTGGAAATAATAATTATCAATTAGGAGGAGGAAACAATAATAATAATAACAATAACAATCATCTTCATAATAATCAATACAATAATAACAATAATAATAATAATAATAATAATAATCAAATGTCATCACCAACACATCATCCAAATAATATTAATGCATCGGTATTGTTAAGAGGGTTGCCATGGGGAGTTAGCGAAGATGCAGTGCGTGAATTCTTCCAGCCGCTAGACGTTTCTTTCATTGACATCTTTTACAATTCCAATGGCAAGCAAACCGGAGATGCTAGTGTTGAGTTTGCCACCGAGGAGGATGCAAACCTGTCGCTTGATCGTCACAAGCAAATGATGGGAACCAGATACATTGAGGTTATTTCTCGACGCAAGCACCCACCTCCACCACCTCCACCATCCCCTTCACAGTTGCAACTGCAATCATCGTCGGGTCAAAACTCTGGCTCTGCCTCTGGTGGCTCTTCAAATACTACCACTTCTAATGGAAAGGTATTAAAGTTGAGAGGACTACCATTCTCCATCTCTACCATGGACATTAGAAAGTTTTTGAATGGCTATCCCATCAAAAGCAACAACATTCTCATGACGATGAATGATGAAGGTAGATTCAGTGGAGAGGCATATGTAGAGTTCCAAACCTCTGATATTGCTCAAGCTGCCCTTTCAAACCTCCAAAACAAAACAATGATGTCTCGTTACATTGAATTCTTTACTTGTGATAGATTCATTCATTTCCATTCTGATCATCAAAATATAAATAATAATAATCATCAAAATAATAATAATCATCATCACAATTCAAGTTATCATGGTCAACAACAACAACAACATCATCAACAACAATATAATAATCATTCTCAACGTGATAACCATTATAATAATAATAATAATCAAATGAGTCATCATAATAACAATAACAATAATAATAATAATATGATGGGAGGAGGGGATTATTTTAATCAAAACAATAGTAATAATAATAATTACCATCCATATATGGATAATAATAATCACGGAGGTGGAGGATATCACCAAAACAATAACATGGGAGGAAATAATCACAATAGTCACAATAGTCATCATCACGGAGGTCACCATCACAGTGGAGGTAGTAGTAGTGGATCAACCATCAAAAAAACAAAGCCATATGGAAGTAAACCTTATCAAAACAGCAAACAACAACAACCATCAAATGGTGGTGGTGGGGGTGTCGTTGCCAACATTGGAGGAGGTCCACAACACAAGGCCGATACAGTTAAATTGAGAGGTTTGCCATTCACAACCACCGAGAGTGATATATCTACATTCTTTAATGGGTTGGACATTGTGCAGGGAGGAATCAAAATTGTATATCAAAGGGATAGACCAATGGGAATAGCATATGTAACGTTTACAAACTCTGATGACTATCATCAAGCACTCTCTAGAAACAATCAACACTTGGGTCCAAGATACATTGAGGTATTCCCAAGCACCTCTAAAAGTGGTGAAAAAAAGAGAGGAGGTGCAGGAGCAGGAGGAGGTGAACAAACCAGCAGCAGAGACAACCAATCATCAAATGATTCAAACGAAGCAAATGCAATTGCACTTGTCAAATCAATAGGTAACAACACAACATCACCAACAACTACAACAAAAAAAGATGATGAATCAAATGAATCCAACCAACAATAACAACAATCCAGAAGGCTTATTTATTAAATTGAACCATAAAATAAAATTTATATAAATTATTTCAATCAACAACAATTCTATTCTATTTATTATTTTTATTTTGTTGTTGATATAAAGAATCTATAATCTTTGTTGATCCATCTTCATATTTATGTTGAAGTCTCTTCTTTTTTTTACCAGATGATTCTCTTTCAGCTATTTGTTTTTTGTTATTCTTTGCTCTTTCTTTTTGATAATGGCTATACATTTCCTCTATTTTAGCTTTTGATTTTTTTGGATGTGCAGAGGTTATTGCTTGTAATAATTTCTTGTATACTATACCTTCTGGTGATATAAAAGTTCTTTGTTTTATAGTCCAATCATTTCCTAATATTTCTTTTAATAATTCTATAATAGAATAATTATAATATTAATAACAATTATAATTTATAGGCGTGTTTATAAACAACATACCTTCTCTATAAGTATTGACTTGACCATCTTTGTTTTCTGATGTCGGTGGTAAATTGGTCATTGGTACAAGATATTGTACTCTTGGTATTGCTTTTTCTAAAGATGATTTAAATCTTGTATTAAAAAAAAAAAGGTTAGATAGATGAATGATGGAATAGCTATTATTATTAATAATGCTTGAATATTTAATATCTACCCTGATATATTAGTTAAAGATTTAGCAGCTTTAATAAGATCATCAATTTGAATTGGTTGATTACTTTTACCTCCTGGTAGTGATTCAGCCACTTCATTATTGTAGAATAAAGAGTCCAATAATTGTGTCAACATATCGGTTGACATCATTGATAATACTGTCAACATTTGAGGTGTTAATGTTTCTTCTTCTTGTTGTTGTTGCTTTTGTTGTTGGTTCACTCCATTTGATGATTGTTTACAAGCCCAAAGATATCTAATCTCTTCCTCTAAAAGATCAATATATTGATCTGAAAAGTTGTCAGGCAAGACTTTATGTGAATGATAAGATTGACCATATCTTTTATCATAGTAAGGCCATCTAGATGGTAACTTGAATTGTTGATTGAAAATGATAGTTGATTCGCCAATGACCCGGTTTATGTCGTTTTCTTCAAATTTCTCTGGTTGTTCTTGTTCATCTTCTTCGTATGAACCAGTAGTAGCAATGATTGCACCAGACTGATCTCTATTATTATCTTCTTTGTTTGTTTCTTTTGATGATCGAGGTATGTATTTATAGGTATACCTATATTGTTTCAAATTGGTGTCTACAATAGTAGTAGGAGGTTCCATGATTGTTTTTGTTTTCTTTTTTTGTTGTTGTTGAGGACGAGCAATTGATTCATCGTATTCATCAAATGAGTCTATCGATGGTAATCTCTTTTTCTTTGGTGTTGTTGGTTTTTGAGTTGTAGATGTAGTAGAAGTAGTCGATGTAGATGTAGTTGAAGTAGTTGATGTTACATCATTGCCATCATAATCTATCTGTTCTTCGATATGAGATCCTAACTTGTCCCAAAATGACATGTCTATCACATCTAATATAACAATGACGATCGATTTTGCAATATGTGATTGGTTATACAAAGCTTTGTCGTCTGACCATTTGCATAAATTAAATTAATTAAAGTTTTTTAATATTATTACCCTTCCTTTAATTTCAGTTGGTAAGCCTGACTGTTATTAAATTACTTTTCAGAGTACTCTGAGGACTATTCAAAGTATTGGATGAACAATAACAAATTCGCGATTGATAGATTATAACAAAAACGGAACAGATATTATATTTTTCTTATTATTTAATCAATATATATTAGCACTTAATATATATAATTGATGGGAATGATTTTATTTAATATTTTAGATTCGGTCTACAAGGATTTAGTGGATTCTAATTCTGGCAGAGTGGTTGGTGGTTGAGGAACCAGAACCAGAGGATGAACCAGAACCGGAACCAGAGGATGAACCAGATCCAGAACCAGATGAACCGGAACCGGAACCAGAACCAGATGAACCGGTAGAGGTGAAGGAGGATGATGAACCAGAGGCAGATGATCCAGAAGAGTTGTCAGATGAGTCAGAGTTGTCTGATGAGTTAGAGTCAGAGGATGAAGATGAACCACAGAGACCTACTTGGGAGCAGGCAGTGGATGGGTTTTCTTCAGAGATGACATAGTTGATGAGAGTTTCACCATAAGTGTCGACGACGAGTTCGCAGATGCTGGCGAAACCGGTACGCTTGCATTGTTGGTCGAGGTAGGCAATGATTTGGGATTCGGTTTGGTTGTTCTTGACTTCGGCTTCAATGACTTGGACGAGGTCTTGGCAGACGGTGCACATGAGACCAACTTGGATTGGTTCGGCAACTTCGACGACCGATGAGCAGAGGCTGAGTTGAGCGCAGATGGTGGATGGGTTTTCCTTGTTCTCGAGCATTTGCATGATGGCTGGAACGTATTGTTGGACGAGTGATTGACATTCACCAGCGAGACCACCAAAGATCTTGCATTCCTTGGTCAAAAAGGCAATAACTTGGGTTTCAGTGGCGTTACCGGCAACGTAGGTCTCGACCTTTCCGACGATGAATTGGCAGAGGAGACATTCAGCATCACCTTGGATTTCTGGTTCGACGACAGCAGCCTTGACTTCAGAGGAAGTGCAAAGGGTGAGTTGTTGGCAGATAACATCTGGGGTTTCCTTGGCGAGGACACCAGCGACAATGGTTGGGAATTCGGCTTCGATGAGGGAAGAGCACATTTGTTGGTAGGCACCTGGGACGATGAGGCAGACCTTTTCGAGGGCAGCTTCAGCAGTGGCAATGCTTTGGTTGGCAGAGATGTAGCTCTCGGCCATTTGAACGACCATTTGGCAGACGCCACAGTAGCCGTTGCTTTGGGCTTGGGCAGTTTGGCCAAACAAGGCAAAAACTGATAATACGATAACTAATAAAGCGGTGAATGATCTCATTCTATATGTGTTGTATATAAATAAATATATGTGTAGGGATATATATATAATAATATAATCAAATGAATGAAAAGTGAGGCCGAGTTGTAGTAGGTTCGGTTGCCTGACCGACGGAGCAAGGAGGAAGGCTTTTTTTTTTTTTTTAAAAACGAGAGTCTGAACGAAAAGTTTATCGAACTTTTTTGTTTTGTTAAAAATTTCTAGGTCGATCGTTTGGCCTCGCCCCCTTTTGAGGTGGCATCTTCGAGGTGTTGTTGAAACTCTAGATTTTTTCCGATTTTTTTTCAATTTTTTAAAGGATAGGTGGTTTCCAAAACCAACGCGTTAACTTGTAAAGGTGGATCGAAAACTGCTTTGCACAAGAGAGCAAACACATTTCCCGAAGCCAAATAAAACCCCTAATTTACACCCACAGATGATGACTACACTTTATAAAAAACATGTTTGATTGTTCCATTGACTTGTCCAAGATAGATAGAAGATCGTCATCTTTTGACCTGACAAATCGTACTAAGGTCCATTTCCTTGCTTAGTTTTAAAATTTCCACCTACCTTTTTTGTATTTACAATATTTATTTAATTTTATTTTATATATTTATTTTACAAAGATATTAAATTTAAATTAGATATATCAAATATAGCCAATTGTTGATTCAATTGACCAAATTGAATGGCTTGATCGAGTTGTGTTGACAAGAATATCTTTACGCTATCGTAATAATATTTTTTGTTTTCATCATGGTCGTTTAACCATCCACCAACAACATTGTTACCGATTGTTTGAGAATGTCGTACAACCTTTTCCAAACCTTTTCTATCAAAGCTGTCTTGAGTTTCTAGATATGCTACAGATATACCTTTTAGAACCTTTTTAAAGGTAATAATATCTAGAGTAAATCCATTTGGATTGTCACGAGCAATTGATTCGATGACATCTACAATCTTTTCAAGAGGTGGAGCATTAAAGGTATGTTTAAATTCGATAAACACCAAATTATCTTGTAACAATTCAATAGAGAATGATCCAACACCTGATGGCATTTGACATGATATTACATTATCATTGACTATAGATATATTTGTACAAAATGATCCATCTAAATAATCACCAAATACAGAGACACTTAGATCCTCTGGATGTGTACTATTACCAAAATTTGATCCATAAACTTAAATATAAACAAACAAGGTTAATACATAGTCTATATTGTTACAATTGTCTTTTTGGTTTGATTGCATCGTCATCATCATTGATCATACTTGTAATTGTACCACCAGAAGTATCTATAGATGTAACTGAATTGATTATACTACTTTGTAATGTAGAGTTGTAGAATCCTCTTCCCCAATTATCTCTTTTATCTAATATATCTTTTGTTTTATAGTTGTTATTGTTATTGTTATTAGTAGTATTGTTGTTGGGATCATTACGAATACACAAAAGTAATAATATACCGATACTAAAGAATAGCCATTTACAATTATTAATGTCCATCTACTTTTATCTAAATAAATATGTATCTAAGCTTCTTTGATATCGATTGTGACTCGAATAGAACTGTTTGGAAAAAAAAAGGTGTAATATTTATTTAATTTAATTTAATTTTCTTTGTACAAATTATTTGATTTGATTTGATTTGATAGATGGATTGATAGGTTGCACAGCTGATAGATAGATAGATGGATTTCTTATTTTTTATTTGCTCTTCTTGCAAGTTCCAAAGCACCAACAATTCCAGATCGATGTTCAAATGGTGACAATACTATATATTGATCAATGAGTTCTAAATAAATAAATAAAAGTAATAATTATTAATATATATATATCTATCTATTATTGTTATTGTTGTTGATTATTTTTTTTACCTTCAGTCAAATATGGTGATTTAATATAACCATTCAAAATTTTCAATACTTGAGTACCAATGATTGGAAAGAGAACGGAGCGATTCATGACACCACCTCCAAGAACAATGATTTCTGGTGAGGAGATGAGAATTAGATTGGCACAGAGTTGAGCGAGATAGTGTCCAACAATAGACCATACTGGATCATCGTCTGGGATCATTGCAAGTTTATCGGGGGAGACTCCAAGTCTTTTGGCAATGGCACCAGTGCTTACCAAACCCTCGATACAGTTGCCGTGGAATGGACAAGTTCCTGGGAATTGGTCATCGGGGAGGAGACGAGCAAAGGAATGGCCACCCTCTGGATGCACCAAGCCATGTACAGACTTTTCACCAACGACTACACCAATACCAACACCTGTTCCAACGGTAATATAGACACATGATGACACTGGACCACGTTTATGTTGGTTATGGAAACACTCACTAATAGCGGCACCATTACAATCAGTATCGAAATCCTTTGGTACGTCAAACTCATCAAACCATCCAAGAATGTTTGTGTTTTCCCAGTTTGGCTTTGGAGTGGTAGTGATGTATCCATAGGTCTTTGAATTTCTGTCAAGGTCGATCGGCCCAAACGAAGCAACGCCAAGTGAATCAAACTTCTTTTGACGCAGCCATTCAACCACCTTTTCCTTGGTCTCGTCTGGTGCCGTAGTTGGAATATAAGTACTTTCAATGATATTTGATGGTACTCCTTTAGCAATAGCAATAGTAATACCTGTTCCACTATAAATGATAAAATAGAATCATTCATTCAAGAATTAATTTAATTATCGTATTGACAGCAGCAGATCAATCATCTGCTGTAACTGTAACAACAAAAGTAACAACAAAAGTAACAACATACCCAGCCTCAACACCTGCAAGGTAATAGTTTGATTCCATATTTTGTATTGTAATGTCTGTAGACTTTTAAACGATGATTATCTCTTGATTATGCTATTATTTATTCGATATGAGTGAATGAATGAATGAATGAATGAAAGAATGTATGATGTTGGGAAAACACAGAAGACACGTCCCCCCTCTTTTTGAAATTAAAATAAACAAACAACCAATCAGGAAAGCTGCTATTTAATAATATTTGTTTTTTGTTTATATATGTTTTTTTATACACTATCATCATATGATCGTCCGTCTTTATTTATAGAATCATTGTTTTACAATAATAAAAGTAAAAGTTAAAGTACAATAAAGTATATATATATATATTATATATATATTAAAGAGAAAGAAACAGACGTATCGTCGGGGGAGACTGTGTTTACAACACTCTCCACAATAATGATGAGCGATACCTGCAGTAGCGACTTTGTTCCCAATACTGGAGGTGGCAGCGGTTCATCTTCTTCCTCCTCCTCCTCCTCCAACATTGGTGTTTCATCATCATCGTCACATATCAACAACAACAGCAATAATAATGCAACTTTGTAAGTATTGACCAATCATTTAAAAGTATAATAGTAGATATATAAACTAACTTGTTTAACTCTTCTTCCCCTTCTTCTTTTAGTAATTGTACAATAGTCGATCAATTTAAAAAGACAATACTTAGATTAGAAAATGATTTCATTGGTAGTGATAACAATATAAGTGGCATAAGAGACACTAATATTAGTAATTATAACAACTATAATCATATATCTGCTGTTAGTAATAGTGGTAGTGGAGGTAGTGGAAGTAGTGGAAGTGGATCTAATACAAGTGGAACGTCTCCATCGGCAAGTTCCATTCTGAGACACTCTCCACCAATGATTGTTTCACCAAAATTAATACACCAACAACAACAAAACAATCATCCAATTCATCATACCAACCATTTTAGTATATCTGATCCATCATTCTCTCCACCACCATCACCTCATTCTCACTTTATACCAATCTCATCATCATCATCATCTTCCAATTTATCATCATCTCCGTCATCCTCTACAACTCATCATCATCATCATCAACAACATCATCATCCTCATAATAACAATAATAATAATAATAATTCACAACCAATTAAATTATTTATAGGTAATAGTAGGAAATCTATATTTTATATTCTAGTGACAGTTGGTACGGGAACGATAACCAATTGTCATGATTGTACTATAACATTGGGTCCATGTTGTGACTCTATCGAAATTAGTGATTGTTCTTCATTGACAATCATTGGCATTACCAAAGGAATCAAGATTAGATCATCTTCTAACATTACTGTATATATATGTACGAATCAGAAACCAATCATACACTCTGATTGCCATGATATTAAATTTGCGCCATACAATACTCATTACCCTACGCTCGAGCATCAAATAACACAAGCCAAATTAAATGTCAACCTAGCAAGCAATCTATGGTCATCACCTGAAATCGTTAAAACTTTGGAACCTGTTCCTCCTTCTTCTCTTCTTGGTGGTGTAACCTCTTCTCTTGAACTTGGAGTATCACCAACAGATACATTATCAAATATAAAGACTTTAAATTTAAATGGTAAAAACAAAAGACAAATGATTGTAATAGTTAAGAGAATAGAACATTAGTATTAATATTTTCTTCTTCTCTCTCTCTCTAGATCATAATAATAATACAATATTTACACTTGTTGAACCAGAAGATTTCTATCCATTCACAATCCCATTTAATTTAAAAGGAAAGACCAAGTCCAATCCATGTGAATTACCAACGAAATACTCGACTTGCTTAAATATCAAATCCAACACTATTCAATCACTTCACAAACAGATTCAACAATCTACCAACGACCAAAAGATTAGAGTACACTTGTTACATTTGATCGAATCCAAATTCCATCAATGGTTACTGGAAAGCGATAATATCAGACAAATCAATGATTTGATAAATATGGAACATAAAGCATCAAATAGTGGTTTCCTTCAGCAACAACAACAACAACAACAACATCAACAACAACTCCAAACTAATCCAACAACATGTACATCAAATAATTCGAATAAATAAATAAATGATATAATAGTAGTAATAATAATCTAACTTAAAGACAGATAAAACAAACCAAAATATTAATTACTTTAAAGAAAAACAAAACATGAATAGAGTGTATTACTAAACTATATTTATATGATTTGTTTTGTTTTAAAATTAGAGTTATTTTTTTAATAATATGATTTATTTTGAACAAGTCTAATTTAAGCGGTGGCTTCCTTGGCAGCCTTGGAGATACGACGATCTCTGAGGTTACGGTTCTTGGCTCTACGGGCTTCAGCTTGATCGTTGATTTGCTTCTCTCTGAGTCTTTCGGTCTTGGTCTTGATGATGTATTCGATCAAGGTACGCTTGTTCTTGAAGGTGTTACCCTTAGCCTTGAGGTAGAGTTCACGGTAGGTGTGACGATCGATCTTCTTGGCCTCACGGTACTTCTTGAGGAGTCTACGGAGGACACGGATACGACGGACCCAGAGGAGCTTGGATGGCATACGGGCCTCACGGGTACCGCAACGACTACCGAAACCTCTGTGACGACCAATCTTCTTGGCAGCAGCCAATTCTCTGGTTCTGAAACGTGAGTGGACAACGACTGGCTTACGGATGATGAAACCATTCTTGACCAACTTACGGATACCAGCTCCTATAAAAATAGTAATAATAATAATAATGGTAGTAATGGGGAGGGGTGGGTAGATACAATATTAGTCATCTGATCTTCATATAATATAATCATCGATATTGTTAATCATATATTTGATACATACTGGAGTTGGCAGTTGAGACTTCAGAGATTTCATTTGGATCAATCCAAACTCTTCCTTTTCCGCACTTGAGGATGGAAGCAGCTAACCTCTTTTGTAAACGAAGGGAGACCATTTTTTACTAAGTTTATAAGATCTATAAGTTAGTAATTATGTTTAGTTATTAGTGATTGATCATCAACAGTCGACTGTTTCAAGTGTTGTGTGAGAGAGAGTGTGTGAACAAAAAAAAATCAACAAAAAAACGAAAAAAAAGAGGCTATGAAAAAAAATAAAAAATCGAAAGAGATAAAGGTGTGATCATTGCTTTTTTGTTGTTTACATATCTATGTATATCTGATTACACGTGTTGTGCATATGATAAATTCATAAATATGTTTACAAAAAAAAAAAAAAAAGAGAGAGATCATAACTGATAGATCATGTCACTCGTACTCTTTGATCAATCCCTTTTGATTATAATAATGAACTGTATGGCTGCTGTATGTGTGTGTGTGTGTGTGATGTATATAATCTATATTCTACTATAATAATTTATCAAAATAATAATTATTTATCTGTCCTTTGCCTTTTTTAAAGTACTATTACTAATTATAATTATTGTTTACTGACTGTTTGCTAGAGATATAACTGTAGTACTGATTATAATACAAAGAGAAGATGGTTATGATGTTTTTAAAGAAGCCTCTTATACAAATATTTAAAAAAAAATGTTACAAGTTTTATGACCTACCCTAAACACACAGCTAGAGAGGAAAAAAAAACAAGAGACTTTTTTCTTTGTTAGAGTTCGTGTGTGCGACCGAGAGAAGAGAAAAAAAAAATTGTCAAAATAAAAAAAAATCAAAAATTTTACATTCAATTGTAACATGCCAGTGCGTAAATAATTGCACTGTGGCAGAGCCTCCTGATCAACCTCTTTATTTCTTCCATGTCTTGACATTTTTTGAATGAACAACTTTATTTTAATCGATCAACAATGTTATAATTCGTTGATAAATAATATAAAATATTACTTTTTACGTAGTTTATAGATTCTTGGATTTTAAAAGTACCCAGTCGAAATCAACAAATTAGTATTGATATTTTGAATCAATTATTTATCTTTTTTTCATTACATAATGGATCCAAATATATATTAAGAATATGATCCAAACAAAGAATATAAATAAAAAAGTATCTTGGATAAAGCTGGAAGCTGGAAGCTGGAAGTGCTTGGAGAATGGATGGTGTAAAAAAAAATTAAAAATTAAAAAAAAATTTGTTTGCGATCATTGATTTTTCAAACACTATGCCCACTGTGTTGCTGTCTGAGAGATTAGTTCATTCAGAGCAAGCAAAAGAGAGTAGTTTTATAAACATAACAATAGATTTAGATAGTAAAGAATGACCACCGAAGTCAAGTTCACAGACAGCCTCAAGAACTTTAGCAACAACCTCAACAGAGGTGGTTTAGCCAAGGCCTTTGACTGGTACCACGCTAAATACGTCAAGACTGGTTCCTTTGCAGTCGTTATCCACGCTATGGCTGGTATCACCTTATTCTCATACATCATTAGACACGACAGAATTGCTCACCACAAGACTGCTCCAAAGCACTAAATAGCTTTAGTTTTTTTTTGTTAATAGTAATATAATAATCAATCAATAGTTAATAATCAATAATAATATAATGCAAATAATGATGATGATCTCTATCCAACATGATATGATATCATATCGATCGATCGAATTCACAAATGTATGTTTGTAGATATAGATATAGATATAGATATAGATAAACAGGACAGGAAGAACACATCAGATTGCATGGTAGTTGTTGATCATTTCATTTCTCTCTTCTAACACTTTTCATATCCTTCATCATCATCTATTATAACAAACAGGAATATTTGTACAAGCAGTAAAACAACATAACATACAAGATAACACAGATTGAGTTGCAATAAACAACAATCAATTTATTTATCAAAGAGATTATTATTGGATCACCTGAATGATCATTACTCATTTTATTTTATGAGTAGTATATCATAGTTTTGGGATAGAAACGACGATGATGATGATGATGATCATCATCATCATCATGAATACAAAACTATACTTTGGCAAGGAATGATCATTACAACTATATTTGGATTGAATAATTTCAAGTAAATTTATTTACGATATATTAGATAAAAAAAAAGGTAGGTGATGTAGAGGGATAATCCGGATATTTAAGATTTGTTAAACATCCTTTTAATGAAACTGACGAATCCTTTAATCCATCTTACTGCAAAAAATGATTCGTCACTGGTAATACTCAATTGATTGTTTGAGGTTTGTTGTTGTTGCGTAGACGTAGTTCCTGTTGATTTGGTTGTGGTTTGAGTTGTAGTTTTGGTTGTTTCGATCTGTTGTTTTGAATAAAATGATTTCTGTTGTTTGTTAAAGGCTTCCACTTTCTTTTCAAACTCTATCTTTTCCAATTGTAATTCCTTTTGTTTGACTTCAAAGTCTGCCTTGTTGATGGATAATTCCAATAGTTGAGCCTTGACTGTTTTTTGTTCCTTTTCTACTTGGTCCTGAAGAGTGTAAAAGAGTGATTTCTTTTGTTCAAACTCAGCCTGGTCGTTGTGTAGTTTGGATTGTTGCATCTTGATGGCTGAGAGCTCTACCTTTTTGCTATCCTCTGTAACAATAACCAATTGGTGTAGGTCACCATCACCATCAGCAGAACTATCTTTTTTCATTGATACCGTAAATGGTAATTGATCCATCAATGTTTGTAATAAAGTTGGATCTAAATTAAATATTAAATATTAATATTAGTGTTTTTGTTAATACCGGTATGGTAGATAGGTTAGATATGATGATAAATACTTTGATAATGAAGTTTTAATAAATTGTAAGAGTTTTGGATATCAATAGAAATGGAAGGACATTCTTTACATTTAAGGTTTTTATCTGGATGACTATAATTAATAAAGGGAAATATTAATATTACAATACTAATATTAATATTATATTATGATACAAACTATTTTAAAAGAGATTGTTGATAGGCTTTACGAAGTTCTGTAAGAGTAGGAGGACGTTCTGAAAATGGAGGAGAGCTATATACAATGCCAAGTTTTGAAAGGTGGTTATTTACAACGTTGATATCACTTATATGCGATGTAGTAATAAATGAGCTTCCAATGATCATTATGACAATCGCAATAATAGTAGAGACGATTAAAATTTTACCAACATTTCTCTTTTGCATTTTTAAAGGTTGTTTGACAAGTTCAACAGTAGTGGAGGAGGAGGGTGATGATAAAGAAGAAGAAGAAGAAGAAGATGACGATGATTGTTGTTCGTTACTTGTTGTTGATGTTAAAATATTATTATTATTATTAGTCTTTTCATTTTGTTCTTTTACTATTGTTATTTCTTGTTTTGATTTAAAATTAATATTGTCATTATTATTATCGATGTTTGTTGTTGATGATTTGGTGGTGGAAGTGGTTGTTGTAGAGGTGGACAGAGTTTCAAATGTATCATCATTATGATTGTCTAGTTCTAAAGATTGTAGTTTGTGTTGTTGTTGTTGTTTGAATATAAGTGGAGCATTTAAAAGTGGTGTAGCTTCTGCAGATGACTCAAGTGTTGGTCTTGTTGATCTATCTTCCAAGATAAATGAAGAGTCTCGAGAAAGTGTTGGAAGGATGAGGTTTCCATTAGAATGTCCAAGTTCAATTGATTGAGAAGATGATACGAGACCAATGTTGCGTGGAGATAGACGAGGTGATTGAGATCGGATCATGCGATCCCCATCGTCACCAGCATCATCACCAGTATGATCTGACAATGGAGAAAACATTGCAGGTGAAAGATTCATATCATTTTTAAGATCCATAAATCTATCCATAAATGATTGATGACTATCCTCTTCCTCCTCTTTTTGATTGGTAGCAACAACTACAAAGTCTTCATCATTATTGTTGTTATTATTGTTATTGTTATTGTTATTGTTGTTTGTGACAATTGCCAATTTTCTAATTTCATTTTCTTCTTCATCCAAATCGATATCCGATACAGCATCAGCATCATCATCATCACCTTTGCTACTATTACTAGCTGATAAATCTTCGATAGCAAGTTGTTTGTTACGAGGTGATAAAGCCAACTTGTCACGTGAACTTCTAATGACATGATCTGATATGGTGGTAGTCATGGAGGAGGTCGTTGCGTTACCAATAGTCTCTGAAGATTCATTGAGCTTCTTTTTGTTGCAAGTGAGTGTACCAAGGTCCTTGGCAGAGTTGACCAAATTGATAAGATCCTCCTTTTCTTTGATCAAAAAGTCAATATCTTTGCTTTGACTATCCACTTTTGTCAAGAATATTTCAATCTCTGATTCTAGTTCTTTGATGCGGATATTTGCTTTTTCCAACAATTGTTTGAGTTCAACCACTGTAATTTCCTTGTTGATCTTTGGTTTGTTTGTAATCTTTTTGGCTCTGGTACCAAATTGGATGGTAGACAATGTTTCACTTTCATTATTGTTACTTGGAGAACATGCAATAATGAGTGTTGTCTTTGAGTTACCACCCAATGATTCTTGTAATACACGTGTCAACTTTGAATCTCTATAGGGTACGTGTGACTTGTTTGATGTCAATGAATTAATAACTGTACCCAAAGTTGAAAGTGATTTGTTAATTGTTTTGGCTTCTTGCATTCTATCTCCTTCTGCCAATGTTTTTGATGCCTAAAAAAATAAATAGATAAATAAATAAATTAATAAAGTTAAATCAAAATTTTAAACCATTTAATCAAAGGTTTTACTTACTCTTTCAGAACCAGCCAAATCAACAAGGAATAATTTAGACTTTTTAGATGATAAATCTAAAAGATTTTGTTGTGATAATTCAATCATTAAAATTGAATGACTTCTTGAACTTGCCATACTCATATCTTAAATTTAAAAAAGTTAAAAACAAATAATTAGTAAACTATAATGTAATAATAGACTGTTTATATTTATATATAGTTTATACTTACTTGTTGCAGCAACAGCTCTATTGTTATTGGTAATATTTAAAAATTCAAAACCATCCTCTGGTGATTGAATCACTGTTTCAGTAACACCTTCAAGATAAATGCCTTTTTCAGGGTGTTCACGAATTGATAAATTCTTTTTTGATTCTAAATAAAGAGATAAATAAAAGAGAATAAATAATCCATCCAAGTTCAATAGGAATATACATTAACTATATATATATATATTTACCATCATATAAATCATTAATTTTTTCCATATATAATTCAACAGAAGACATTTTGAGAACAAAAGCAAGAGCACTATTCTTTTCTCTCATTCTGTTCATGCCATTGAATATTTCTTCGATGATACGAGGGATGATACCATGTCTACTTTGTGGTTCTTCTTCATCGTCTCTAGTTGGTTCACCATAGATGGTATATGTTTTTCCAGATGCAGTTTGTCCATACGCCAAAATAGTTCCATTGTATCCATCTAAAAAATCAGCTACGATCGGGGTTGCAACATCGTTGAATAGTGATTCCTGTGAATCTTCAAAGTTGAATGTTCGATCAAATGAGTATTGTTGAACAGATCCATCATCTCTCTAAATATAAAAAGAGATAGAGAAAAGTGTTAGTTTAACAGATCAATCTAATCATCTCGATTCATTTTAAAGTTTGAATTTGAATACCAACTCTAACAGCGAATGACTTTGAATCATGAAAGGTGACTATATTATGTTCATTTCTTTTTTGTTCTAGTTCTGTTAATGGACGGAATCTTGCTACTACTCTAATACAATTAGAAGAGTTGGATGGAGATGACGATGTAATGACTGGGGACTGTTGTTGTTGTTGTTGTTGTGACTGCGACAACTGAGATGTTGAAGAGTTCAATGTCGACGAAGATGACAATGAAGACATTGACAATGTCGATGATAATAGTTCATTCATTTATGTTGTGATTAATACTCTACTATCACACCCAATAACAATCTATATTTATCTCTTTTTTTTTATTACTATGATTACAATGAATATGAAAATGAATGATGTTTGTGTATATATATAATATAAATATGATGATGATGACTAATTAAATAAATAAATAATGAATGATTAATCAATGATGTGATGACGATGATTTCTAAAAACTAACTAACTATAAATATTCATCCAACCAGAAAAGGTTTCTTTTATTTGAAGAGGAAGCAAGTAGCTGTGATGTTTTTTAGGCAACTTAACTTACCCTTTTTGTGGTTCATTTTTAAAAAAGGGTAGTGGAAACTTATTATTTTAGTAATCTTTATCTTTTTTGAGTAAAAGAGTGGGGTTTAACTACTCTAGATTAGGGGGGTCACAAGTACAGATTAAAAGTATCATTAATATTATTATTCAAAGATGGATAAGTAGTAATAATAATTATAATTAAATAATAATATTTATTTATTTATTTATTATTTTCTTTGTCTTTTAATAGCAGATGGATCAAAATTATGCAAGTCTGAATCTCTTTTGCTATTTTGTGCGTTGGATGATTTATAGTTGGCAATGAGAGATTCACGGTATTGTTCGAGTGTCTTTTCCAGTTGTGAGAGATCCACATTTTTGGAGAGTAGTTGTCGTTTCTTGTATTCGGCTACTTCCTCTTCGATCTTTGCCATCTCAGTGTCTTGCATGACGACGGGCATTTCTTTTTTCTTTTCTTCCTCTGTAAATTCATTGTAGAGTTTGAGTCGTGCTTCCATCTCTTCGTTGGTGCCCTTTCTAATTAATCCATTTAATTTACATAGTTTTTCTAATTCCTCGGTGCTTTTTGATTGTAATACACTTTTTGGTTTTGGTGGTGGAATTGGATCATTGGAAATTGGAACACCATCAATATCATCATCTTCCATTTCATTATTGTTGGTGGTGGTTGTTGCCGTTGAATCTGCTGTAGCTGCAGTTGGTGGTGGTTGTTGAGTATCCAATGGCTTATTATTATTATTATTATTATTAAATAAAAATGTAAACTTTAATCCTAATACAAAATTCTTTGGGTATAATGATATATGTTCCCAATATGATAATACTTTAATGATTTGATCCTATAAAAATAGAAAAAGAAAGAAAGATTAATAAATGATTTCGTATTAGAACATTTTGATTGACTATAGTGTATCATACCTTAAAACTTAAAGCTGAAACTCTTCCAGTTATATTTTTATAGGTATCACTTAAATTACTGAATAATAAAGGTAATTTGTTTTCAAATCTAAAAAAGAGACAAATAAATATATTCATTAGAATTTCTAAAAATATTTTGATGATTTGATTAATTTAAAAACAACATACAATGAACGATATGAAGAAACATTTTGAACGGAAACTGTACAATTACAAAGGATATCAGAGATTAAATATAGTTTTGGTACTTTTGATTTGGCATTGATGGCTCGCAAACCAGCATCAATGATAATATCGACAACTTCTCCACTATACTCTGCGTTATCGATTGAGAATCCCATCACTTCCATGATTCTTTCTCGTGATGTATTGAGGTACTCTAACATATCCATAAGTTGTTCTCTCTCTGCATATGGCATTTCCTTGATCTTGTGATATCTTGCTTCTCTTTCTTTACCACGTGGATCGTATATTCTTTCTTTGTTGTTGTTATTGTTGTTATCTCTTCTATCCATATGATCTCTATCTCTTTCATGTCCTCTGTCACGATTATGATTATAATCTCTTCCCATGTCTCGGTCTCTGTTGTCGCGATCTCCTCCTCTTCCCATATCACGATCTCCTCTTCCCATATCACGGTCTCCTCTATTATGATCAAAGTCACGGTCACGGTCACGGTCGCCTCCTCGTCCCATATCGCGATCTCTTGCCATATCACGATCTCCTCCTCTTCCCATATCGCGATCTCCTCCTCTTCCCATTTCACGGTCTCTTGGGTGATCCATATCACGATCTCCTCCTCCTCTTGGCATGTCGCCACCTCTTCCTATATCACGATCTCTGGAGCTGTGTTGGTGGTCTGCCATTCCACGGTCTCTGCTGTGATGATGGTCTGCCATTCCACGATCTCCTCCTCCTCCTCCTCCTCTTGGCATGTCACCACCTCTATTTTCCATTTCGCGGTCTCTGCTGTTGTGATGATGGTCGGCCATTCCACGGTCAGGCATACCACGGTCACGATCCCTGCTGTTGTGATGATGGTCAGGCATTTCACGATCTCTGCTGTTGTGATGATGATCGGCCATTCCACGGTCTCTAACCATTTCACGGTCACGATCTCTACTATTGTGATGATGGTCAACAATGTCACGATCCTTGACCATATCACGATCTCTACTATTGTGATGGTCTCTATTAATAGAGATATCCTGGTCTTTGCTATTACGATCCACTTTATCCGCCACATGTACAACTGTACTTGGTTCATTTGGAATGATAATATCGGTAGTGCTGATATCAAGAATGGGGGTGTTGGGGTCAAGTGGAGGAATATAGAGGAATCCATCTTTGACAACTTGAATAGGTTTGGATATATCATTGATGGCAAATGATATGGTTCTCCAAGTATAGTATTGGTATTCATCACTATTTGGATTAAATAAAAATTGATAGATTGGATTATCCTTTTCATTCTCTGTGATTGCCTGTTCAAATGGATATCCTTCAGTTGAAACATAACGTGCCAATTTATCTATTATACTTTTAAGTGGTTCTTCAGGGTTTTTAATTTGTACCTAAATAGAAATAGAAATAGAAATAGAGTAAATATTTACACTAATTTCATTCCATCATCATTCATTGTTTTACATCTTACCTTTAGAATACTATTATCTGGAGTCAATAATGCTTTGGGAATTTGATTTTTTGCCCAACTTATTTTAAGTTCTTTACCCTGTAAGACGGAACCGTCCATTGCTTTTTTGGCTTCGACTGCCGCTGGATTGGTAGAGTATTGAATGATGGCACAACTTGGAAAGTTGTTTTTGTTTTCAATGAGTTTAAGAGATACAATGCTTCCAAATTTAATAAATGATTCTCTAAGATCCTCTTCGAGAACATTCTTTGCAAGTGCACGGATATAGATTGCAGTATAGGATGATGTGTCTTGATCTCTTCCACCATCGTCTTCATATTTTCTCTTTTTATCTTTTTTATCCTTGTAGTAGCCATCTCTATCCTTTTCCTTGTATCCATCTCTATCCTTTTCTTTGAATCCATCTCCTCTTTCTTTAAAGTTGACAACATCTCTTTGATAACTATCACGTTCATGATCTCTATCTTTAAAATTGTCTCGATCATCTTTAATATTCATATCTCTATCCCTATTGTTATTATTATTATGGTTATTAAAGTTGTTGTTGGGATGATGATCTCTATTATTATTATCTCCACGGTGATTATCTCTATTATTGTTATCGCCACCACGATAATTGTCTCTATTATTATTGTCACGATGATTGTCTCTATTATCCCTCATATCTCTATTGTTATCACCACCACGATGATTATCTCTATTGTCACCACGGTGATTATCCCTATTGTCTCTCATATCTCTATTATTGTTATTGTCTCTTTGGTTATGTCGATTGTTGTTATCTCTTCCAGTGTCTCTATTTTCACGATAACTGTCTTCATGGTAATAATCTCCTCCTCCTCCTCCTCCTCCTCGTCTATCATCTCTATTGTTATCACGGTCATCTCTTCGCATATTATTATCTCTTGGACCATCTCTATTGTTATCTCTACCGTTGTCTCGATCCCTATTATTATTATTATTGTCACGATAATTATTATCTCGATCTCTAAAGTTATTATCTCTATCCCTATTGTTATTGTAACCATCTCTATTGTTGTTATTGTAACCACGATCTCTATTATTATTATTGTTGTTATAACGACCGTCTCTATCTCTATTATTACCATAACCATCTCTATCCATATCTCTCTTTTCCTTTTCACGTTCTTCTTGCTTTTGTTTAAACTCTTCTTTTAATTCTAAAAAAAACAAACAAATTAATTAGTTAGATATATAATCTTATTATTATTTAAGGGGCCACAGATACATACCATCAATCAAAAGTTTCTTTGGCTTTTTGATTGAGGAAGAAGGTGTTGAAGGTTGATGTTTGACAGGAGTAGGTGCAGCAGCAGAAGATGACGATGGGTTAGATGATGATGATGAGGGAGCATCACCTGAATCAAAAATAGATGGTCTAACAATTGGACCAGCATTGTTTCTATTGGCTGAAGTTGGGTATCTTGCATTACCTTGTTGTTGGTTTTGCTTTGATCTGTTATTATTATTATTATTATAGTTATGATTCTTGTTGTTATTGTTATTATTTCTATTCATACCACTTCCACTTCCATCGTCATCTCCATTATCAGCTTGTACAAATCCACTCTTTACAAACTTTGATTTGTTGTTACCAGATTTGTTGTTATTGCTACTATTATCAAACTCTGCGACAAACTCTTCAAATGCCTTGGCAGTTTCATTTTGATCACGTTTCTTCTTTTTCTCCAAGTCTTGTCGGTGCCTGTCCATCATGGATACTTTGGTATTACCTCTTTTGATATCATTCAACGTTTGTTCGGATGCGCTCTAATTGAAAGAATTGCCATCAATATGCTGTCATTTTGAAATAGACATATATATATATAATATAATATAATATATGTATATATATATATATAAATAGGCATATAATAGAGAGATATATATATTATGTATATATGTAGATAATAGATAGTAGATAGGTAGCTATGGTGGGAGGGGTAGGTGAGGAGATGACAAGAACACCACCAACCACCACCAACCAATCCCAATCCCAATCTTTGCATATCCAATCCATATGTGTTGAACAAGCATTGGAGAAAGGAGAGCGCAGAAGCAGCTTTGAGCCAATAAAGTATATAGAGAGAGAGTAACTAATTGTTATCATATGATGACGATATACAAACTTTCATGGTTGATGGTGCAATTGAATCTTGGTCCAATCCATATGGCATGGTAATAGGGACGCCATCCAAATCTTCATCGTATTCTTCGTCTACTTGGTTGTTTCGATTGTTGTTGCTGTTGTCGTTGTTGTCCAATGCAGCAGAGGTACTTGTACTTGTACTTGTATAGGTATCCATTTTATCACTAGGACTAGGATTACTTGTAGTCGTGATATTAGACATACCTACTATTTGTATCTATATCTATACCTATATAAATATCAAATGATAAAGAAAGACTAGACTAAGACTATCTATCTCTATTTTTGTTTTTCTTCAAGATCTATTTAAAAGATGATGATGGTGTATATCTATTTTACACTTTTGAAATATGTATGTATAATTAGTTTGAAAACAATAAATAATAAGAATATAAGTATGATACTTTATAAATGAACAAATATTGGTTTGTTATAATCAAAAAATAAAAAACAAAGGTGGCTTCTTTCTTTTTTTACACAATCAATACATCTTCACCCCCTTATTTGGAAACAGTTATATTTATGCCTATACATATAAATACATACAATATATTCACAAACATATATATATATACATGGAGGAGAATGTAGAAAATGAAACCGATTCACAACAACAACAACAACAAGATAAATCACACACTCCGGCTGTAGTGCTGGAGGAGAAGGAGAATAGTAATGAGGATGATGATACACACATTTCAGCTACTCCTAGTACTGATACTGATACTGATACTACTACAATTCAAAAAGTTGTTACACCCTCAACTGTAACTGCAACTGTACATATTCAAGAAGAACAAGAGAAGAATCGCGATGATGGACATCGTTCTGTCGACAACGATGAAGAGGTAGACCAAGATATGGGAGACAAGTCTGATTCAACTATAACTGCGACTTCAACTACAACTACTGTAACCAATCTTGTTAATGGAGAAGAATCAACGTCTCATGAGACGAATGCAAATAGAAACACAATGATATCTGGATTATCAACTTTAATCAATGTATTAAATGGATCAACAGCTGCCCAAGTCTCTGCAGCATTGGATACACCTGTTTCCCCAACACCCGAACAACAATCAAATATTGTAGATGTTGATGCAACTACTACTACTACTACTAGTACTACTAGTACAACATCTACTACTAGTACTAGTAGTACAACCCCTACTACTTCTACTACAAATACAAACGATAATATTATCAATGTTGATAGTATCCCAAATACACCACGTGGTGAAGAAGCGTGGTGAAGAAGAGGAGGAGAAGATGCAGATGAAGAGGGTGCTGGAGGAGTTGGAGGAGAAGAAGAAGAATCAACAACAAGACCAAAGAAAAGAGTAAGAAGTGAAAAAAAAGAAAACAACAACACCAAGAGTAAGACCATCACCTAAACCAGCCAAACCACCAAAATCAACAACACCACCAACAATATCATTAGAGCCACCAAGAATTGTTGGTAAAAATACATCAAACACCATTCTAACACATAGAGGTAGAAAGAGAACATCAGAAGAGGACCCATCAAGTACTGATATGGATCTATCGGCGTTTGCCTCTACCATTCACACTGAAGTGAATCGTCGTAAAAAGTCGGCAGAAGAATTCCAATTGCATCCCGATCGACTCTTGGAATCACTACGAAATGTCATCTTTGGATTCCAACAAACTACCACCTTTACATTCCAATCGTTTAAACAAATGTGGGCTTCCGATCCAGTCCTCTCTGCCTTTTTCGAAGCTCAACCTTATCAACCCGAACTTGTTCACATCCTTTACTATGGTGTCATTGGTTACACTCTTGTCAATCAACCACTCAATAGTAAAGCTGCTATTATTTATTGTCTCTATATTATCTATTCTTTACAAATTATTGAAAAACCTTTATCAATCATTATTACTCAAAGTATGTAAAAAAAAACAAAGAAAAGAAAAGAAAAGAATCACACAATATAATTTATATCTTTATTTACTTTTTCCTTTATTTTCTTTTTCTTTTAGATATTTGGAATTGTTTATTGGATTATTATAATTCATTTAAATATAATCAATTGGATGAACCATACCATGTTTTTAGACAACTTCTTAAACTTTCAGCTTTTGAGTTTTCTGCTACACTCCATCCTATTTCCACGTTGCCAGTGTTCCGTACCAATAGTACTAGGGTGAGTGCACCCATCATTCCACCTGAACTAGTTGGTGTCAATACAGTGGATGGTTTAATCAATGAAAATCATCTAACCACGATGCATACTAGGTACCTTTTATCCAAAAGAAAAGAAAATGTAAGTAATACCAATACCGAGTGTTCAACGAACTTGACTCAATTATTCAATACAAATACATACACCTACACCCACACCAACTACACCTTGTGATTGTACTAATAATTTGATTTCCAACCAATCTAGGGTGAAATTCCTAAATCGCTAAACATTGCCAAACCAGAGTTTGATCAAGATATCAAGAATATATTTGAGGATTACACCATTAGAAAGTATCAAAAAATGTTGCAATCAAAAACACCTGGTCTTCCATAATAATAATAACCCCTCCCAACCAACCCCTAATATTAATACAACCATTCACGAACCAACCCCCCAATACATACTTGCGTTCTCAATTTTTTAAGTCTTTTTAACACACTTGGACTTGTGACGTATCAATTTCCCGATGATCATCATATTTATCGTTGACTGAATCAATAATATTATCATTTATTTGCTTCGACCTATTTTTCTGAGATAATTACCAAAATCTATAAATGGAAAATGTTTGAATTGGACACAGGAAATCACATCATTTCGGTATTTTTTTTTTACTATCAAACTTAACAAACAAATAATATAATAATAACAAACATCAAAAATCATGATAAGAAATAACCCAAAGATTATCAAACTATCAAAAAACTTAACATTTATCCTTAGACATGGAGCTGCTTCTGAGGGATTGGAAATATCACCAGAAGGATGGGTATCTGTTGGTGATTTACTCATTCATTCAAACTTTCATAGTACATGTTTCCGAGACATACAAGATATAGTCAAACTAAATGATAAAGATAGATTTGAAATGGAACAAAGAGGAACTAAATTCTATATCAGAGCAACCAAAGGTCATTCAATGGCATCTGTATGTGTTTCACAAACATCTAATTTAACTATATAGTACGATAAACTAATCAACATCTTTTCTCCTATATCTAGGTAACTAATCCAAGAGATCCAACACCAGTTAATACTGTAGTAGACCCTGCATCTCCTTGATTTCATCAAGAGTCATTATAATATAAAGAGAGAGAGAGAGAGATGATGGTTTACCCCATTGTAGTCACTAGAGACTACAACAACTCTATAGAGTACCCACCAAATCCTCCTATTTTCTTTCTTTTTGGATTGGTGTGCGACACATTACATTATACACAACACAACAGAAAGGAATACCTTTATGTACTATTTTAAAATAATGGATCGAATTGGACTCATCCCACCATATTATATATCTGGAACACACTCTGTTGTTTGTGTAATTAAAATCATATGATTATTATTTTCTACATTTTTTTTTTGAATAAATAACTCATGGGTCTCCCCTCTCTCTATCTTTTATTTAAAGATAAAATATATTTGGTTGGTCATGTATGTGATTATTCAGTAGACTTGAGGAAAAAGGATTATTATTTGTTTGTTTGTTTGTTTGTTTGTTTGAAACGAGCTCATTGCGAAGTGAGGGTCAGAATGTGAGTATACAAATTGATTTTTTTGCAAAAATTAATTAAATTTATTTGTTTTACCCGTTTCTGTGCAAGGTCACGTCTTCATTTTATTCAATTTACCTTTGCTTTGCTTTTTTTTATAATTTAATTTATAAAACAAATAGGATACAAATACAAATACAAACACAAGCTAATAGTACTACACATACATACATATATAGACAGACAATAGAATATAATAATAATATAGATAGATAGAATATAATAATCAAAGAATGGCAACAATTAAAACATCATTTGCAAGAACTAGACAAAGATTAATGACCAAGACAGGTCAGAGTGAAGAGACTGTCGACGTAGAATACCATTACGAAAAGGAAAAGGTGTTTTCTTCGGAGGAGCGTATGGTTCGTCTTCAAAAGAATGCTAAAAAGATGATAGATCTCTACAAAGATTTGAGCAAGGCAATGTCAGAGTTGTCATCGGATGCATGCGACCTCTACGAAGAGTCAGACCCACTCTATCGTCCAGCTAGCAGAATCAAAGAAATGTCATCCGACATGGAAAAGAACAGACAAGTCTATGAAGAAAACATGACAACATCGTTCCAACAACCAATCCTAGCATACATTTCACAATACAAAGAGATTCGAAAGAGAACTGAAGAATGCACTACTCGTCGTATCGATATGGACAGATACAAAAATGATATTGGCAAGTTACGTGAAAAATCGTCTAGCCATGTTCTCAAACAAAAGCTTGCTCCTGTATGTGTAAATTATAAATACGATTATTCAATTCAGAAGAAAAGAGAAAAGGAGAAAAGATATAAAGAAACCTTGTTCAACAGTCAAATTAACAGTCATTTATTCTATTCTTTTATTTATTTAGACTGAAGAAAAATATCAATTCTGTAAGGAAGGTTATGAATCTTTGCATATGGAATTATTAGAAGATTTACCAAGATTATATGAAGATAGAAATGCTTATTTCACTTATTTGTTGGCTGCTGTATGTTAAATAGGAATAGACTTTATCTCTATACAATTAATTAATTCAATTTCTTTTTATTTGTTTTAGTTGGTCAAAGGACAAAATCAATTTTATGAATCAATGGCAAATGAATGGCATAATATGCCACAAATGGTGGCAGGTATCAATGATCAAGCAGGTAAAGATCATCCACAAGTTATTACATCGGTTGGAACATCATCTGCGTCGATAAACATTAGAAACGATCCAGCATTCAAGGCAAATGCATCGATCAAGACTAAACAGACATCAGAGTTTCAAACTACTGCCGGTCCACTGGCAAAGGATCTCAAGAGCAATACACCAAACGACACTTCCAACTTGGGTACTGTCGTACAACCTAATCCAGCCTTCCAACACACTGGCAAACAAGGTAGCGGTGCTCAACTCGCAACTGCTCTCTATGATTTTGCTGGTATGGATTCAACGGAACTTTCATTCAAAGCTGGTGATCGTATCATTATCCATAAAAAGGATGGTGAATGGATGGAAGGTGAATTACATGGTATGAGAGGTTTGGTCCCAGCTAATTATGTTCAACTATAAATAGGTTCAATTTCAAACCTTTACAACTTTTGGCCTAAACCTAAACAACAAACTTTATACCATTATTTTTTTTTAAAATGTAAATCGCGACACTTCTCTCTTCTCCTCCTTTCCAAACAATCAATCAATCAAACCCAAATGTATACAATAAAATCAATAGTAATATTATCTATTCAATCAATCAATCTAATATAATATTTGATTAGTTTAAAGTTTTTTATTCCATGGTAATTTAATATTATATTTTAAAAGAGTTTTAGTGCCAAGCGCATAGGTTGGATCGATTTCTTCCATGTCGAAATAACTCATCAAAGAGAATCCACATAACCCGAAAAAGGTATGGAATACATCTGGTACGTTGCCTGGCTTGTCGGCAATACCACCAGTTTCATTGTCTTGACACTTGAGGATATAGTTTCTTAATTTTTCATTATCGATCCAATGCAAACGGTCAATGACAGACAATGCCGATACGACCCACCATGAATAACACACATCTGATGTCTTTTCAGGTCTACCATTCAAACCACCATTTGGTAATTGTCTTTCACACAACCACCATCCCAATTGATCTCTATCAATTAAATCTAATCTATTTATAATTGCTAATGCTCCAACACATGTAAATGCTAAAAACAAAAGAAGAGTCAATACAATAATACATATAAATCCCTCTCTATTCTCCAACATGTTTTAAATGTGACACATACTTTGACCAGCATGAGATTCAGCACCTGGGATACAACCATAACCAGCATCAAAGTTTTTACATCTATTGATAAAGTCTGCAATCTTTTCTATTCTATTGTTGTCAAGTAAATCCAATTTACCCATCAGTGAGAGACATGATACTGCACAGTATGTAAATCTAGTGTCTACTTCTCCCCATTTATCTCCAAAGAATGATCCATCCTCTTGTTGTAAACTTAATACATCTAGATAGATACAAAATGTGTCAATATATATATATAAATATAGATCAACAAGATATGTAATGTATGATATATATCTCTCTCTCTCTCTCTTACATTTAGCAACCAAATCTTGGTCTAATCTATCAAGGGCATCAAGTTGCATTAATATTTGTACAGCACTAAGAGTTGATAATAAATGTTCATCATGACTAACATTACCAGAGAATCCACCTAAAGAAGAGAAAGAGAGAGAATCAGTAATTATAATCTTGATGAAGTGATCACTTGATTACTATGATTATTCATATTTAAATACCATTTGACTTTTGACAAGATAATACCCAATTAATGATAACATCTCTATCCATCTTATCCAATGCTTTGAGTATGTAGAGTGATGTCAATCCCCAATACATTCCATTCATTCTAAGATGTTCTGTCACCCAATATTCAAAGTCTTCTTCCTTTTTGTTGTCTAGATTGACAACATAGCTGATATGTTTCTCTACCAATACATTCTTTGTATGATCGATTGAATTGTTGTTATTACTATTACTATTGTCACTCATTATTATTATTATACTTGAATAAAAGATAAGATCTCTTCTTCTTATCAATGAATTATATAATATTCTAATCAAAAAAACAAATTAATGAAATTCTCTTCTTTCATTGATTTTCTTCTTTCATAAAAGCATTCAGTCCTGAAGGAGGTTTCTCTCTCTCTCTCTCTCTATGGGTAGAATTATATGTGTTATTTAATTTAAAATAGGTTCTTTCAATCAATCATTCATACCCAGTCTGGACTTCAAAGTATCTTTAGAAAGGATAGACAAAGGTGCGATAACAAAATGATTTTAGGGATGGAAGGAACTTAAAGGAAGGAATACTCCTCATACTATTATTGTTATGATTCTTTCTTTCTACTACAAATAGTAGTATGCATGTTGGTAGGGCGAAAGAAGATATTAAAACGTCGATTCAAACAAGCTCTCGAAGCTTCATTCATAGGAAGGGGCATACCCCAAGATTTTATGTAGTTTTTAAATTTTTGATTGTCCCCTCTCCAATGTGTTTGTGGTTGGGTATTCGTCGGCAGCTGGTGGATTGCCTCTTTTGTTAATATTTGTTTTTTTTCTAGAAAAGTTAGATAGATAGATAGATATTTAGTTGTTGGCAGTACTTTTATATATATATATATAAGTAGTAGTAGTAGTAGTATACAGTGTAACATCATATACCGATATTAGTGTGGTACAGAGTTTGAGACAGACAACAGATCAAAAAAATAATTATTAATACGAGACAACAACAATAACAATAACAACAGTTAACACAAACAAACAGATAGTTTGTATCGAATAAATATAAATACAACAACATACAGACAGACAGTATTATAATATATAAATTGTATAACAAATAGAATTAAAAATGAAAAGAGGAACAAATAGTCCAATCAATGCAACCGAAAGGTCACCTTTGGTCAGCGGAGCAGACCAATCATACAACAATGGAGCTGATCAATCATCAATAGATCAAACTGAACGAAAGTTTACACCAGTATCGGCTGCAATGAACACAATCAAGAGTTTCGCAGGTATGTTTTGATGTTAGTAAATCAATTTAGAACCAATCATTAATATATATATATATTTAACTTTGATCCAATATTATACAGGTGCTGGTAGTTTTGCTTTACCGTATGTAGTAGTAGTTCATAGATCGAGTCTCTGTTTCTACTTGAGGCCTGATATATGATCTATTTTTCAAACAAAACATTATTCTAATACCTATTTTATTTATTTATTTATTTAGATGGGCAATGTCAAATGCTGGAGTATTTATAGGATCTATAGGATTGGTATTAATAGCATTATTGGCCAATTATACAATGACCCTTTTATTAAAATGTAATATTAAATTGTCAGATGAACAACTTGGATCTGATCAACCACCTCCCTCCTACTCTGATTTGGCCAGACGTGCATTTGGTCGTGTCGGAGAGTTGATTGTATGTTTTATCAACTTTTCAGTCACCATGAGTATTTGTATCGCCTATCTTATCTTGATCGGTGCCAATCTTGAAATGTTGACCAATTCACATATCAGTTCATCTGTTGCCATTTGGATTGTATTACCTATTATTGTTGCACTTAGTTGGGTAACTGATATGTATGTAAAGACAGACAGATATATATATATATATATATATATAAATATTTACATTTTACAAAACATGTATTAATCTTTCTCTCTCTCTCTCTCTTTAGGAAATATTTAGGATTTACAAGTATATTTGGAGCAGCTGCATTGATTTTAGCAATGATTACAGTTATTACCTATGGTATTAAAGATTATTCAGTTGAACCACTTTCACATTATAAGGTTGATTATGCAAACATTCCACTTTGGTTTGGTGTTGCTGCATTCTTTTTCTGTAATCATATTGTTGTTGTTCCAATTAGTCATGCTTCTGGAGACTATCGTCGTTATCCAAGTGTGTTGAATGCTTCAATGGTTTTCATCACCATTATCAATATTCTTTTCACTACTTTGGGATACCTCTATTTCAACTTTGCCACTGTCGATGGAGTTGTTGGAGTACCATCAAACATTGTGATGGCACTGCCCAATGGTATATTTGCCAATATTGTACGTGCATGTGTTATTGCAGAGCTCATTTGTTCATTCCCAATCATCGTCGGAGCAGGTCTCAATGTAGTCGACTCTTCACTCGAATTCTTCCACAACCACTTTTCAGCATTCCCAAACAACAACAAAGTATGTGATGATGGATCCACTAAATTCTTTAGTCGCAATTGGAAGTTTTATGTTATTAGAGTTATTATCATTGGTATCTTGGCAGCTATTGGTACTACCATAAAGACATTTGGCAGTTACACATCGCTTATTGGATCGCTGATGTTGGCTATTGCCGGGTTTGTCATACCACCCCTTCTCTACATTCGTTTCTTCCCCGAGCAATCTAAACTATCCACCACTGTTCACATCATCATCACTGTATTTGGTGTTGCTGCAACTATCCTTGGAACTTATCAATCTATTGATGCACTCATTAAAGGAAACTAAACAAAACAACAATCAAAATAATAATAATAATAATAAACTACTTAATATTGTGTAAATCTACAAATATCAATTGAATATTATTTATGATTATTTGGTAATGGAACAATTATATTGTTGCTTTTAAAAAAAACAGATACTGTTGCAAGATTTATCTGTGCAAGAGTTGTCTGGTTGATTCGGTCGTTTTTTTTTTTTCATTTTTTTAATTTATTTTTTTTTTCGTCCAAAAAACGAGTTCTCTGTCTCTCGGTCGACGCTCCTGTGGCGCCTCACCTCCTCCTCGACTAAATAATTATCTTAGTCTTTATAATTCTTTACTCTATCATCTATTCCCTATTCCAATCTTTAATAATTTAATACTATATTTACTATATTTATTATTCATTGATTCTTCTTTATTGTGATTGCAATCATCAATATCGAAAACAAACCAACATTTACAACATATTGTTTAGTAGTCATACAACCCGTCATAGTAGGAGTAGAAAGATAGAAAAACAACAATAATAATAATAATAATAATAGTTTACATTGTAAAGAGAAGATAAAGAAACAAGATAAGAAGATGTCAACCAACAACAACAAGAAAAATAACAATAGTAAAAAGGTAGTCACCTCGACTACCTCTACCTCTACTTCATCATCAGAAGGATATCAAAGAGGTTCAAATGTAGAGTTTCGTAGTTTACATAAAGAGAGACAACAACAATTGAAACGTAAAGAGAGAGAGGTAGAGCAACAAAGTGAAGGTCTCGACATTGACCAAACCGACAAGAGAATTTCAAAGGTCAAGAAGTTGGAAAAGGCAGCACAAATTGTTAGCAGTAGAATCAAAGAAAAGGGTACACGTTCACGTTTCGATGTTGACGATCAAGACAACATTCTCTTGGACGACAAGCAATTACTCAGAACCAAAAAGTCAGACAGATACCAAAACCCAGACACACTAAAGAAGAAACGTGAACTCAAGAAAAAGGAAAAGATGTCAGCTGCCGATCACAACAAGGGCGATTCTGACGACAAGAAAAAGGATGACCTCACAGACGAACAAGATGCTGAAGCCGACAAACTCATTCCTTTCCTTCCAAAAACTGTTAAATCTTTTTCAACTAGGTTATATAGTTCTGTAAGTAGAGAGAAAAGAGAAAGAAAAAGAGAAAGGAAAAGAAAAGAATCAATGGAAAACTAATTTATTTTATTGTTGTTTCTATTTATTTTTTTTAGGACATTTATGCTGGTATGGTATTATTAGGAGCTTTTGAAATGGTAACTGATTCATTTATTGTTGTTTCTTTGCCATTTGGTATCAGAGGTTACGTTAAATTCAATGAAATCAGTGATGAGTTTACAAAGTGGAGTAACAGTGTCATGAAAGACAATATTAAATACAAATCAAATTTCCAAAAGACAGATAGTATCCTAGAGAGAATTAAAACCATGTTTATCAAAGGTCATCTATTAAAGGTTGCTGTTATGGGTATTTCTGATATGAAAAAGAAAGGTTTATTATGTACATTAAGGTAAACGAAGAACAAACAAAAAAAACAAAATAATAAGAAATAATATATTTATTAACTTTGTTTAATTGTAAACTCTTTTTAGACCTGAAGTTATAAATAAGGAATCAAATATTGGTAATTTTACAGAAGGTATGAATATTTATGGATCAGTACAAAGTGTTCAAGACAAGGGTTATATTATTAGTTTTGGATCTGGATTTGAACACAAGGGTTTCCTTAAATTTGAAGATACCAAGTTCTATTGGCCAACTACCACTTCCAATGTCGATGCATCAACAGCCACTGAAACCACGCTTTCAGTTGGTCAACCTTTGGAATGCAACATTTTAACCATCTCTGAGAGTCCCAAGATTGTGTCGGTTTCGGTATCACACTTTTTAGTGTCAAGAGCCACCACCAAGGACAGTACTGCCATCACGGCTCAATCCATCAAGGCCGGTATGCTCGTCGAAGGTACCATCTCGGCCGTATACGATAATGGTTTGCAAGTTCGTTTCCTCGAGTTCTTTGCCGGTGACATTCACCAATTCCACGTTGACAGACCATTGACCGATTTCCAAGAGGGTCGTACTCTCAAGGCTCGTATCATCTCTGTCGATCATGAAAAGAAGCGTATCCATTTATCACTCCTGTCTCATTGTCTTGGTCTCCGTCCATTCCCATTCAACACTCTCAAGATTGGTGATATCTTCCACAAGGATATCATTGTTAAAAAGGTTGATACTCATGAAATCTTATTATCTCTACCAGATGAATTTTCAAAAGTTAAAGGTTTACTTCATGTATGTTTAACAAAAAAATCAAAAACAAAGAAAAAAAAGAATACAAGTTATTAATATATTTATTTTTCCATTTTTTTAGAATACACAAACTGAAAATAATAAAGAATCATTAAAAGGTAAATTTAATGTTGGTAGTGAATTACATGTTCCATGTCGTGTAAAGCATGTCGATTATTTGGACGCCATGGTTACATTGACCACCAAGAAGAAGGAAATTGGCAAGACAATCTATTCATACTATGACTTGCAACCAGGTCAAATCCTCGATGGTACCATCAAGTTTGTTCGTGACGACTCTATCGAAATCAAGATTACAGACAATATTTTTGGTGTCGTTCCAATGCACAACCTCGGTGAGACCATGATCCTCAAGCCACGTGAAAGATTCAATGCTGGCCAATCACTCAGATTCCGTATTCTCAAGGTCGTTCCAGAAAAGAAGCGTCTCGTACTCACCCTCAAGCCATCACTCGTCCACTCGACCCTACCCATCCTCTCGAGCAAGGCTGCTTGCAAGGTTGGTGAAATCGCTCAAGGTTTCATCTCGAGAATCGAAGACGAAAGAATCCACGTCACCTTTTTCGGCGACGTCCACGGTATTGTAGACCGTAGCCAAATGAGCAGAACTCCCATCACCATGATTTCTGAGCACTTCCAAATCGGTCAAGTCGTCACCACCAAGACCCTTCAAGTCAATCCAAAGGGATTGTTTTTAACTCTCATCATCGATAACGCAGACTATCAACAATATTTAAATTCAATTCAAAACAACAAAAATCAACCTGAAGTAAAGGATGAAGAAAATGAAGAGGAAGAAGAAGAAGAGGAAGAATCTGAAGAAGAATCAGAGGAAGAGGAAAAGGTAGAAGTAAAGAAAGAAGAACCAATTAAAAATAACTCTAAAAAGACTACTCCACCACCAACTAAACAACAACAAAATAATAATAATAAGAATACAGCCAAGATTAATACCAAAAGCAACTACAACTAAGCCTACTACTACTACTACTACCGCCAAGAAAACAACAGCCAACACTAAGAATAACAACAAGAATATAAGCGAAATGATGTCCCAAATGAACCCAGATTTAATGTCCAAGATTTTAAATGGAACAAAATAAACAACAAAATAATATTATTATATATAAATATAAATATAAATATGTCTGTTGGATTACAGTTATACTTATTTCCTTTTATTTTATTTGATTTGATTTTTTTTCTTTTAATTTAGTTTTACTCCAATCTTGTAAACTAAATTCACCATGAGCCAATTTAAATGTTTCTTCATCGTATTTGTCATGCCATAAATCGTATAGCCCTTTAACGCATTGAGGTACACCTTGGTATTCGATTTTGTTGGGATTGGTGGTTTGTGGTTCACTCAGGCCTTGGTTAGTGTCACTAAAGTATTCCCATGGTTTGGGTAGTGACTTTAGACCGGCAGTGTAATGAAGTACTTTGATCTTTTCAAAGTCCCAAAGACGTCGATCACCACATTCACAGTGTGGAATCTGAGCACCAAATTCTGGATAATGGAGTGGATGCCATTTAAGAGCGTTGCTCAATACATCTTGGTCATTGGTGACTTTGGTGTGTTGGGCAATCGTTTCAAGAGACTCTAACAATAGTTTATAGGTCTTTAGACTGGGTGTAAGTACCATTAATCCACTATTGATCAATTGAATTCTATTGTCATCATAGACACAACTATTGGCATTGGCATCAATCGTTGAATATATTTCCAATGGATTATCTGTTGTTGCATCAAATAAATCATCAATATTTTTTAATACCAATAAATCTGAATCTAAATAGAAAAAAGTATAAAGATTTTAAAGATTAGATTTAAAGATTTGTTGTTTCTTTTTTTTCTTTTCTTTTTCTTTGTTTTACCTAACCACATTATTTTTTCATAATGAATTTGTTCCCAACTTCTAAACTTTGTAAAGGCAGACATCCAACGTTCAGTTTGTACGCTTACACCCTTTGGAACATCGATTGGATGGACAGTTTCTACAATGGCACCAATCTTTTGGAGACGATGGATAGCACCGGCGTCAAAATCCATTGAAACCATGACAACAAAATCATATATTGATCCAACATCTTCCAATGATTGTTTGAGAACGGCTACACCTTGAGCATACTTTATATTATCGACATAGGTAATATAGGCATACTTTGTAATATTGTGTTGACGTATACTATTCAGCTCTTTGAGAGCATTTTCTCTATCCCTTTTTCTCTTTTGTTCAATTTCATCTTCCAGCTTCATCAATCTTTCATCTTCCTTTTTATCCTTTTCTCTTTCTTGTCTTTCTTTTTCTTCTTGTTGTTTATTTCTTTCTAATGATTGTTGTTGTTGTTGTTGATGTGATGGTTGTTGTAATTGTTGTAGGTTTGTATCCAAATCCTTTTGTTGTACAGTAGCCATATATTGTTCACTCTTGTAGTATCCATAGTTGTAGAAAAAGACACAGCCATAGAATACATGTATAAGTATAAGTATTGTTATTACTATACCCTTTACATTTACACTATTTGATATAATCTTCATCGTCGTTGTAACAATATAAATATATTATATAAATAAATGTAGAGATGATAATATTTTATATTATATCTTCTTTATCTATCTCTTAGTTGATTCTACAAATATTAATATTCCTACTGCTACTACTTTAATAAGTAATCATACAAAGTTTCAATTCTGCTGTATGCTACTACTCCCTCCCTCCTTTTTTCCGCAATAGATATATAATGCTTTGTATGTTGGTTGTTTGGTCAGGTTATTGGCATGAGTGAGTGAGTGTATGTAGGTGGTGAATAATGTGTGGTGGTGTGATGTAAGAAAACAATGATAGCACACTACAATGAAAAATACAAATTTAATTTAAATAGAATTTAATTAATTATTGGTTGATCGATGCATCACATCAGTGCATATATATATATATTATTAATATATGTGTTGGTTCAATTTGGTCATTAATGATCATCAGTCATTCATTCACACTTTTATCTTGGTCGAGATTTAAGATTAAAAAGAATAAACTCTGAATAAAAGACGAATAAAATTTTAGTAAAGATTGGAGTTGGGAGAGACAAACCCCACACACCTACCTCTCATCATCATTATGTCCGTAAATAGAAATTAAATGATTCACGTCGGTATCTTGATAGTTCACAAGCATCATAAATATTTCTACTACAAGTTATCTATCTGTTTCATTTTCAAATTTGAATCAGTTCCCGAGGGAGTGGTGCCATGAATTTTCCTTTTTTGACAATCGGTTAATTTCATTTGCGCAAGTAAAGAGCAAAGAGGGTTAGGGAACTTTCTAAATCATCTACCATTATTAAATACCCTTTGTTCTATTCATTACTAAATAAACAAATAATAATATTAAACATTTACAACAATTTTATAAATATAAATATTTATTAATTATAACATACCTGTACAAAATCAAAACTATAAATATTAATATTCAAAATAATAATTATTTTAAATTTATCCTCATCAAAAGATATTAATTAGATCTTCACACATATATAAATATATACGACGATACATATAGTATCACTGACAACCAACAGCCAACCAAACCAAACAATAGTAGATAATAACACCAAATTAGTGATAATTCCTTCTGTCTGTCTGTCTGTCTCTCTTTCGTTTTTTATCACACCCCCACACTCCTCCTCCTCCTCGCTTCCTCATCATTCTTTGCTTGTATTCCTAGCCATTTATTTCAAATAAATAGACAACAACCTGTACAATTGAATTTAGTAGTTCTGTTCAATTCAAGAAAACAGACGACATTAGGAAATTAAATTTATTGGTACCTTGAAGAATTGTTTTAAATTAACAATTAACAAACTAAAAACACTATTATAATATATATATTGTATGTTATATCATATGATTATGCAGAGTTGTTAAGGGATATACTAATATCTTCTGTTAGAGTTATACTTTTAATCATCGACACAATTAAGAGGTAGCACATTTTTTAAATTTACAGACAGGCAAACTCGATATAGCATTATATATATATAACATAATATATTAAATTTAACATCAAACCGCGAATCATTCTTTTTTAAACATGTCAAATTCACTTTCAATTCTATCATCTACCATTGTTAAACAATCACAAAAGAGTTTAATATCTAAACTCAATAATAATAATATTACATACAGGACTTCTTTTCCTTCTTCTTCTTTTTCTTCTTCCATTCATACTTCATCGACATCATTCCAAATCAAAAATAATAATAATAATTTCACAAATAATATAAGTTATATTAATAATAATAATAATAATAAGAGTATATTTAAACTATTTAATAATAATGGAATTAATAATAATAATAATAATAGATTTTATTCAGTTCATACAACTCCAACAAATACACCAATTGAAAAAAAGACAACTATATTGGATATAAAAAAGAAATTTGAATCAAATATACCTATAACGATGGTAACTGCATACGATTATTGTAGTGCCAAAGAGGTGGATAATGCAGGTATCGATATGTTGTTGGTTGGTGATTCATTGGGAATGGTAGTATTGGGTGAAAAAGGAACATCAAATGTGACAATGGAACAAATGATACATCATTGTAAAGCTGCCATGAAAGGTGTAAAACGAACATTTGTCGTTGGTGATTTACCATTTGGTAGTTTTGAAACGAGTACACGTGATGCTGTTGCCAATGCATTTAGATTGATGAAAGAAGGTGGTGTGGATGCTGTAAAGTTGGAAGGTGGAAAAAAGCATGCTGCAACTATTGCTGCCATAGTCAATGCTGGTATGCCTGTTATTGGACATATTGGATTGACACCACAATCTGTTAGTGCGTTGGGTGGATTCAGGTTGCAAGGAAAGACTTCAGAGCAAGCCATGTCAATTTTAGAGGATGCTCTAGCTTTGCAAGAAGCTGGGTGTTCAGCGATTGTCATTGAAATGGTACCTGAAATCGTTGCAACTCAAATCACCAAACAACTCAGTATTCCAACTATTGGCATTGGTGCTGGAAATGGAACTAGTGGACAGGTACTAGTGTACCACGATATGCTTGGGTTATACTCTGACTTTTTACCAAAGTTTTGTAAACAATATGCAACACTATCGAAAACCATTCAAGACGGTTTGAAAGAGTACAAACGCGAGACTGAACAACGTCAATTCCCAACACAAGCTCATAGTTTTACTATGAAACAAGAAGAATCCCAAATGTTTATCGAAAAATTAAACATCCTCAACAATCACAACCAAGAAGAAAGTTCTACTGCATCAAATAACAAACAAAACATTGATTCATTGTTTTCACATTTTTCCAATCCAAATAATATCAATCAAAGTGTAAAAGAATTGATGGAAAGAGAAAAGGCAATGGAAACATTAACCTTTGTCAAAGACAAGAAATCAAATAATAATAATAACAACAAATCAACACCATTATTGACTTCAATCGAGCAAGCCAAGTTGAATATAGTACCAGATAAAAAGAATAAGAAAAAGATTGCTGTTATTGGAGCTGGAGCAATGGGTAGTTTTTTTAGTGCTAAAATTGCTTCAAAAGAAATTGCTGATGTTTGGATGGTATCTGCTTGGAAGTATGTACATAAAAGGATGATACTGCTATAGACTATTTTGATATTAATATTTTTTCTTTTTTAGAGAACATGTTGAAAAAATTAATAGGGATGGATTAACATTTTATAATTTAAAAGGAGAAAAGGAAAAGATTAAATCGATTAGAGCTACATTGGATGCTAAAGAGATTATAAAGGATGGATATCCAGATATTGTATTTGTGTTGGTCAAGAGTCCAGCAACCAAACAAGCATCTTTGACAGCTTCTACTATAGTTGCAGGTAATCCAAATGCAATCATTTTGACACTTCAAAATGGAGTAGGCAATCGTGAAGAGATTGAACAAACCATCACTGAAAAGGGATACAAAAATAGAGTATGGCAAGGTGTCACTAGCAATGGATGTTATGTAGTCGAACCTGGCATCGTCAGACACACTGGTTCTGGTCCAACCTACCTCGCAGCATCACCATCCATAGTTTCAAAGAGTGACTATGGAATGGAGAATCGTCAAGATTCAAAAGAGGAAAGAGAGGCACTCGAATCATTAAAAGATATTCTCATCAATGTCGGTATTGAAAGTCAAGTATCCAACGATATCGATGCATTGATTTGGGGTAAAGTCGTTGCCAATGCTGCCATTAACCCATTGTCTGCTGTTTTGGGTGTTCAAAATGGATACTTGATCAACAATGAGTATCCAAAGTCATTGATGAAAAAGATTGTTGGCGAAGGCATGGAAGTGTGCAGAGCCAAGGGTATCAAGTTGCCCTATGGAGATGACACTGAGCAAGGATTCAAGTATGTCACTGATATTGCCCAACGTACCTCCTCCAACTACTCTAGTATGCTAGTCGACGTTATCCGTGGCCAACCAACAGAAATTAAATCAATCAATGGTGTGATTGTAAAGGAAGGTGAACGACTCGATGTCAATGTATCATACAACAAAATGATAATGGAAATGGTTCTCAACCGTCATCCATCTCTCTCTTCTTCTTCTTCTTCTAGATCCAAATCTGTTCAACATCTTTAAAATAATTTAATAAATACCATACAATGCATGTACATTTCATTTTCTACAAATTATTAGTCAATCAACGAATAATAATAATATTTGGTGGTTGTGTATTTCTAATTATTATTATTGGACTCTACACTACTAGTAGAAGAAGTATTGCTATTGTATCTTAACATAATAGCAATAAATGCTATAAAGATGGTTATAAATACCAAGCTAAAAAAAAGTGTTTTGTTGTCTGATTCTTGTGTTTGTTGTTGGTTGTTAGTTGTCTTTACAATTTTTGATGATGATGATGAAGAGGATGAAGAAGAGGATGATAAATTAGAGGAGGAAGAGGTAGATTGTTTCTTTTGTTTTTTATATTCTTTAATGATTTCTGGAAATAGAGTTTTAAATGTTTGGTTCTTGTAATTAAATGCCATTGAATTGGTTGCGTATTGTTTTCTAACTCTACTCGACGCTGTAATAGATCCAATACCATTATCCTCTTCGTTCATGAACGATATGATACCTAAACAGATTGATGATACACTCCAACTTGGCTTCCATGATTCTAGAGGAGAGAGAGATTTCATGTGTCAAGTTAATAATAATAACAACAAATACATAATCTCAAACATACCTGGATGAAATGATGACATTGTTGTACAAATACGTGTATTACATTCAAATCGACCAGAAGGTGTAGTCATTAATATAGCTATATAATGAAAGAAGCAAGTTGATTAGAACAGAGTAGACTAGAATAGACTAGAATAGCTAATGGTTATCTTTGTGACAATCAAATCTTACATGGTGGCTTCATTGGATATTCAGGTGGAAAGATGAGTTGACCATGATAAACACCTCCTTCATAGTCTGTCCCTATGCTACCATACAAAACAAAGTTCCACTCCAAGATGTTTGAAGTAAGAGGTTTGGCTACAAACTCTTTTTCATTTGCCTTTTGTAGTCCTAGATACTCTTTATTCAATCGATTGATGCATACACTATACTTCCCCGTTGCCATAATACTAATACTATATTAACAAATTAGAGACTAATTGACTAAGAATGAAAAAGATCTTTGATATTCAAAACTAAATTAAAATAATAATAAGAAACTTCTTCTTTGTCGGTTTTGATTCTTTGCAAAGCTGTCTCACAAATTAAAGAGATTTTTTTTTTAGTTTAATTTATTTATTTATTACTTTTTTGTACATTTAAATATTATACATATATATATATATAACATCATATTGATAATCAATCAATGATGAATAACAATTATAGTGATAGTGATGAAGATCTAAATCAATTACAGATAAAACAATTTACAGAGATTGTAGTTGAAGTAAAACATGTATCAAAACGTATGTAACATAACACATACACAAACATACATGTGTGTAGTAATATCTATCTTTGATCATAACTAAATCAATATTCAAATCAATATCAATTAATTCTTCTTATTAGATTATAAGATTGCTGGTAGAGAAGATACAGTTAAAGCGTTAAATGATATTCATCTATCGACAGACTCTGAACTATTACCAATTAGAAGAGGTGAATTTGTAATGTTGAGAGGTCCTTCTGGAGGAGGTAAAACATCTTTATTGAATCTATTGGGAACCATTGACAGAGTGACTGAAGGTGTCATTGAATTATTCTCAAATCCCATTACCGTGGACAGCAAGGATGAATATTTGGCAAAGCTTCGTCTGGAAAAGATTGGCTTTGTCTTTCAAACATTCAATCTTTTGGCAACCATGTCTGCCTTTGAAAATGTAGAATTACCAATGATTATCCTTGGAAAATTAAATCAAAAAGAAAGAAAGAAAAGAGCTATCGAATTATTAACTTGTAAGTGAGATAGATATAATATATATATTATTGATTGATTGATTGATAGGTTAAACCATAATTAATTAAAATTTTGTATTTGTTTTGTTTTAAGTGGTTGGATTACAAGATAGATTAGATCATTTACCATCAGAATTATCAGGTGGTGAACAACAAAGAGTAACAATAGCAAGAGCATTGGCAAATGAACCAGAGATTTTATTGTTGGTATGTGTATTTTCTAAAAAAAAGAAAGAAAAAATATATATATTAAATTATTAATTCCTTCTTTTATTTCCTTTTAGGACGAACCAACAGGAGATTTGGACTCTGCCAATACAGTAGAAGTGATGGATTTACTCTTGGATCTAAATTTAAAGTTAAAAACCACTTGTATTATGGTTACTCACAATCCAGACATTGAATGTTATGCAGACAGAATTCTATATCTTTCAGATGGTGTTTTTGAAAAGCAAGTTATCAATACCGAACAAACTAAATTGGATTACGACAAATATATTGCCTACTTGAATTCAATACAACATGGTGCTGGTGGTCATTAATTATTTAAATAATTAAATTAAATAAATAGTAATATTACAAATAACAAATGATGATGGTACGTACCAAATTATTCCACGATTTATTATTTAAATTAATAATAATAATAATTAATAATAATAATAATAATCGATTCCTCTTAAGCCGATTCAATCGATTGATTTTTCGAGCTATGAAACGAAGACTAGTGGAGTGAAGTGATCCAAAGGTAATTATTTATATTTTTTACCGTCACTTCACTCCTGAAAAATCATTTTTTGAAACAAAAAAAAACTAAAATTATCTCTTTTTTTATTTGAATAAATATTAAATATTATTTATTTAATTTCTTTGTTGTTTTGATTCTCCTTTATCTTATTCTATAGAATGACTACTTTTAAAGTTATTGTTATTTCCATCATCTCTCTCAAACTTTTTCTAAAATAACAAATGTACAATAAAATGTAAGTTCTATCTCTCTCATCTTCTTCACCATTGTTTTTGTTGTTGTTCTTGTAGTTGTTGTTATATTTGTAGTAAAAAGGAGATGAAAAAGATATGTTCCGACCACACCCACACCCCCTATCTCTCTCTCTCACATACAGATAGACAGGACACACATGGAAACAATAATCCGTGTGGTAAATTGAAACTGCATAATTTTCCATTCAAATTTCCATTACCATTCAGATTGTATGGAAGGTATTGAAATTTATAAATGCATTGCTGCAAACTTGGTTGACATTTCATTCATTCATTCATTCATTCATTTAATATCGAGGTTAAACAAAAACCCTATTTTATCATAATTAAAAGATATCCATCCTATTCTATCCTATCCTATATATATTTATATATATTAACAGTAGTGACTCTGAATATTATATTTCTGCATTGGAATGATTTTAACAGTAGGATTACTAGTCAAAGAGTCAAGAGTTAAAAAAAAAGGATACTAAATTAAATACAACCAATCAATATCAAGTGATAGATCGAAAACATGTCAAAAAATTCACCTTTACTTGGAGGTCATGGTCCTAGTTCATATGTCAATCCATCATCATCAGATCCATCTATTTATTACCAAACTAACAGTAACTATCAAAATAATAGTAATAATATATACAACAACAACAACAATAACAACAATAGTATAGTCAATTCCCAGCCTATACTTGGTAGTAGCGATGATATAGTTATTGAATCCATCCCAAGGTCTCGAAAATTCACTCCTGTTAATTCTTTCTGGAATACTGTAAAAGGTAACAATCGCGATGATATAGTTATAGATCAAGGTCTCGAAAATTCATTCTAAACAAACATTCTCTTTTTTACTTTAAAGGTTTTGCTGGGGCAGGTAGTTTTGCATTACCGTATGTAGGAGTAGTAGTAATCATCAATCGAGTCTCTGTTTCTACTTGAGGCCTGATATATGATCTATTTTTCAAACAAAACATCATTATTCTAATACCTATTTTATTTATTTATTTATTTAGATGGGCAATGTCAAATGCAGGAGTTTTTATAGGATCTATAGGATTAATATTAATAGCATTGTTATCAAATTATACAATGACCATTCTATTAAAATGTAATAGTAAACTAGCTGATGAACAGCTTGGCACAGAACGAGCACCACCGTCATACGCCGATCTTGGTCGGAGAGCTTATGGTAGAGTAGGTGAATTGATTGTATGTTTTGTCAATCTATCAGTTACCATGAGTATCAGTGTGGCATTCCTTATTTTAATTGGTTCCAATTTTGGAATGTTGACTGGTCTAAGTCCATCCTACACCATTTGGATTTGTGTCCCTATAGTTGCATCTTTATCAACTTTAACAAATATGTATGATCCTCCTCCTACTACTACTAAAATAATAAAAGAAGTAGAAGAAAGAAAGAATTATTATTATTTCCCTTTTGATGGTCTATGTTCGAATACTTAATTAATTAATTATTCTTTTATCTCTTCTCTTCTCTTCTCTCTCTATTCTACCCTTTCTTTTCCTTTCTAATCTATTCTATATTCTAATCTATAATTATAGGAAATATTTAGGATTTACAAGTATATTTGGAGCATTGGCATTAATTATGGCAATGGTGACGGTGATTGCATATGGTATAAAAGATTATCCAATACATAGTTTATCAGAATACGAGGTTGATTATAGCAAGATACCTCTATGGTTTGGTGTAGCATCCTATTTCTTTTGTAATCATATCGTTGTCGTCCCGATCAGTCACGATTCAGGCGACTGTCACAAATACCCGCGTATATTGGATGCAGCAATGGTATTCATTACCATCATTAATGTATTATTTGCAGTGTTGGGATATCTCTATTTTAATTTCGCCATTGTCAATGGTGTTGTTGGAGTACCATCAAACATTGTCGAAGCATTACCCGACGGCACATTTGCCAACTTGGTGCGTATGTGTGTTGTATTCGAGTTGGTTTGCTCCTTTCCAATTGTATTTGTAGCAGGAATCAATGTAGTTGATTCGTCAATCGATATCTTTCACCGACACTTTACAGCATTCCCAAACAACGATGTACTACGTGCCAATGGATCTCTAAAGTTCTTTAGTCGTAACTGGAAATATTATATCTTTCGTTTTACACTTGTCTGTGTGTTGGCCGCGATCGCCTCAACCATCAAGACGTTTGGTAGTTACATGTCACTTATTGGATCGTTGATGCTTAGTACAACGGGATTTGTTCTACCACCTCTCATCTATATGCGATTCTTTGAGCAATCGCTTCGTTCCAAAATCCTTCATTATGCAATCGTCCTATTTGGTATTGCAGCTACAGGTCTAGGTACCTACCAATCTATCATGTCTTTAATTCATCCTGTAAAGAGTGATGATTAAACAGAAAAATAAATAAATTCTATTATAGATAGATAGATAGATAGATAACCATCTTCATATATATCGTTTATAATTATTGTTATTGTTTCTATTAAAATGGTTGAAAGTAAGTAACATATCAAAAACTATGTTAGATGACTTGACATACTATTGTTTAAATTAGTTTCTTCTCATGTTTGACTTTGTACCATTGATTCTACGTCTGTGCTTCTTGAGTGTCTTTCTTGATGTCTTGTTCATAACAGTCTCCATTGATGTATCTTGTTCGTTGTTGAAATCGATTGGTTTAGAAGAGGAGAGGAATGATGATGAAGCAGTAACAGCTGATGATCTAAAGGTAGTTGAAGCAACAGAAGCAGATACGTTTCTGATAACTACACTTTGTAAGAACTTGTTGATCATTGACATTGTTGATAGATATATAAATATATAATAAAGATGTAAATCAACTATAGTTGAATGATGATCGCAATGAATGAATGAATGAATCTTACTCAGAAAAAAAATTTTAATAATCAATTTAAAAAAAGACGAACGACGTGCATTTTAGTAGTAGTTACTTACTATACTATCTTTTAAAGTAGATAATATAATACATATATAGATAGATATACGATTATGTTAAATCGACCATTACACAAATTTATAACCAATGGTTTAAATATAGTTAATAGTAGAAATGTAATCACCACAACTACATGCATTCAAAATAATAATAATAACAAATACTATTATTCAACAAAGAATAGTAGTAAGAATAATAATAAGGATAAAGATAGTTCTTCTTCTTCTTCTTCTCCTACAGGAGAATTGGTTGATAAAAGAGCAATTATTACAAATAGATTAAATGCAGACAAGAAAGGAGATGGATTGTCACAAGAGATGGTTGATGAGATCTATCGTCAGAATCAACCAAAGGACAAGAGCCATTTACCTCTCTTTGATATGAGTAGAGTCGCAGTTAATAGATACTTGGAGGAAGCCTATTCAAAGGCTGCTGAAGAATACGAAAAAGGTGAATATCAACAAGCTTTGGAGAGATACTTTTGGATCATCAACAAGGTTCCATATGAATCAGCTGCCTATCTTCAACGTGCTGTTGTCTATGAAACTATTCATTCATATGAAGAAGCAATTCAAGATTGTGACAAGGTTATCTCCATGTCCAACTCTTCTGATCAAATTGCAGAGTATGTAGTATGATAAACCAACCAACCAATTGAAATATTATACTAACTTGTTCATTAATTTGTAGGGCATATATGTTAAAAGGTCATAGTTTAATGGGTAGAACAAAGTTTAGTGAAGCTGCAACTGCATTCAAGGATAGTTTGATGTATGTTGAAAATGAAGAGGTTATGGAGTTGATGAAGAAAGCATTGTCATTGGTTGATCCAGATCAAATCATGGTACCAAGATTCGAAGATGTATGTAATGACAGACAGACAAACAAACAAACAAACAAATACTAATAGTATTGTTCTATTTTTTTTTTTTAGGATTATCAATTTTTTTCATTATTATCACAAGAGATGGATGGAAATGCATTGATAAAGAATTCAAAGTTACATGGACGTGGATTGTTTGCTACAAGAGACTTTGATGCAGAAGAGTTGGTGTTTGAGACGAGATCGTTGTTTTCAATCTCGGACAAGGCCGATACCAAGGAAATGGTTGAACACGATTCTGAACATTGTCACAATTGTCAGATCAACTTTAGAGCAGTTGCATTTGAGCACGAACAGGTGATTGAGAGATCAAGAGAGTATAAGCGATTGGTAGAGACTGTTTCCAACATGACTAGATTGCCTGTTGGTCGTATCGAGCCTGTCGAATGTCCAGATTGCAAACGTGTGCATTACTGCTCGACAGATTGTCAACAAGATAATCACGAATCACACGTACATATTTGCGAGAGGGATATTGTTGTGCGTAAATTAACCGATCAATTAAAGGTAGAGATCTCGGCCATCAGTGACGCTACCGAACGTCTCTGCTACACTTTGATGTACCGTTTGTTTGCTCACCAGTCTCCCAATGGAGACCAAAGCAAAATCATCAGAACCTTGGAATTGGATCATTTGGTCAAGAGATTGGCATACGCACAACCAAGTTCATTCCAAACACAACCACAACCACAAACTCAAACCACCAATGAAAAAGAGACAACTACCAAGTTTTTGGCACCATCAGCTTTGGCAGCTCAACGAGTCCTATCTAAAAAAGATCAAAAGGTTTACAAGATTGTAAAGGATATCTTTAGTTCGAGACATATTACAGAGGAATTGTTTTATCGTATCAAATCGATTATACAACTCAATATGATGTGTTTCTTTACGAGCAGGGTTGAAGTACAATGCACACCATCACCAATGGACGAGTTGGGATACAATTTTGATTTTGTAGATGTGCCCGACAAGTCACTTGCCGGTCTTCCAGTACATATCTCCTTTATGAACCATTCCTGTTCACCAAACGTTGTCATTTCATCGCCAATCATCAACGACAAACAAATCCGTATCATTACCACTCGTCCTATCCGACGAGGTGACGAAATATTAATCAGCTACATTGAAGGTGAAAAACTAACAACCGAACACAGAAGACAATCACTCAATGAATCATTTGGTTTTGTCTGTCAATGTCCAATGTGTAAATCAAATCAAACAATACCATTATTAAGAAAGATTGAATAAACGATGTCGTCCCAATACAATACAATATATATATATATTTAAATCAAATATTTGACATAAGAGTCATCATATGAGAGTCAACTAAATGGATATTTATTTCTATTTGTTGGTTGGGGCAATGATATTTATTCTTGGCCTGGGAATCTTGGTGTTTCTGGTAGGATAGTTCCATCCCATTCATAAGGTTGTAAGTTGTCCAATATGATTACAACAGAGTCATCACATTTTTAGTATAACTGTCCAGATTCTGTATAATGTATATGGTAATTAGGAGAGATAAAGCCGAATTGATCTCTTTAACATGAACCCCCATTTACTCCCAGTGCACTGACATAGTTATTTATATTAATAATTGGTTCTAAATCTATTTACTCATTATTATGTGTTATTATTTATCTACATGGTATCGAGTTGTTATACAAACTATCTGTTTGTTGTCAGTCAATGTTACTGTTGTTGGTGTTCTCGTATCTAATATCGGTATATTATGAGTTGTATAAGTAACAACTATCTATCTAACAAAAGAGGAAATCCCTCTTCTCATGCCGAATAACCAACCACAAACACATTGGAGGGGGGCAACCAGGTTTGATCGCCATTCGAAGAGAGGTTGATGTCGATCATCGATTTTATTATTATCTCTCTCTACCAATCCCCTACCCAAACGAACTTCGACTATTTTCAAACATCATACAAACAACGTCTTCACATTTTCGTTCTAATATTATTATTATTAATATTATTAATATTATTATTATTGTTATGTAAAAGCGAAAGTTGTGAAACTCCAAAAGTATGATACTGACAAGACAAATAGTTTGAGCTTAGGTGACAGCTCACCTCACCATTCGATGAATTTTAACTTTTAAGGGTATCTCTTTATTTTACCCACCGCACATTATGGTGTTGGTGTGAGCCTTGAAGAAGACGGTGGAGGGTTGTTTCGAGCAGGCAGTGGAGGAATTTGGGGATTGTTATTCCCAGTAACTCAGTTTTCATTGATTATATCTTTAGTCTTTTCTTTGTTTGTTATTATATCTTTTTAAATTTCTATACTACCTTTTTTTTTTTATATATACATATATATATTAAGAGATAATCAATCAATCAAGTTAATGATGTATTACGCAGCTACCCCAACAATGACCTTTGTCGCACCCCAAGCCATGCAAGGAATGTGGTATTACAATCTCTACGCTCAATTGCAACAACAACAACTTGCTGAGATGTATGCTTGGTTTATGAGTATGTAAAGAAAGGCAAAGGCACTACTGACCTGTTGTGATCTTTGATATAGATATCTATCTCTATCAACATAATATTAATATCTGTATCCTTTTCTCTCTTCCTCTCCTTTTAGGCATGGATAGAAATAGATCTGGTTCTATTTCACATGTTGAATTACAATATTTGGTTATTGGTGGTACTGCTCTCGGTATCGATACTGCTTCCAAGTTGATCAAGTGTTTCGATAGAAATAGAGTATGTTATTGAGATAGTTTTGATGATGATGATGATTAACGTTAACCTACCAAACAACCAACCAAAATGACTTACACTTCATTCCTTACCTTTATTATCTAGAACGGAACTGTTGACTTTTATGAATACGCAGCACTCCATCAATTCATCAATGTCTTACATAGATGTTTCGTTGCCAATGACAGAGTATGTTTCTTTTATTCATTATTTATTATTATTATTATTATTTATATTCTCTTTGTTATTATTATGATATTAATATTCTATTCTATTCATCATTTACTATTATTTAAATAGAACTACTCTGGAACCATTGATTGTAATGAAATCCATTCAGCTCTTGCCACTGCTGGATTTATGCTTCCATTCCACACTGTCCAATTATTCTTTTTAAAGTACTCACCAGTTGGTATGGGTATCTTGTTTACTCAATTCTTGAATCTCTGTGCCTCTATTGCCCTATGTCGTTCACTCTTTGAATGGAGTGATCCAGCCAGAACTGGTATGGTCCATATCACTTTGCAACAAATGTTGGATATGTTTGCCCTTGCCTAAACCCAACCCAACCCAACCAGGCAAACAAACAAATATAAATAATAATAATAACAATTGATCAACCAGTTTGTTTATTGTAAAGTACGACCCCAACCACAACCCTTTAGCATTATTAAATAATAATTAATAAATGATAGTTTAAGATCTTATTTGTATATATATAATTTAAAAAAAAATAGAAAAAGCACATTCAAAGATAATCTATCATCTTATCACACTCCAAAATGAATATTACCAAGATTTATAAACCTTTCTAGAAAACATTGATCTACAACGGATTGTCCCTGGACCTTTGAAATATCCCAGCAATGACAATGAAAAATAAATAAAAAGAAATCGACTTTTATTGTGCACTGGATTTCCGTGTGTGTTTAAATGAACAAAAGAATGACAGAGCGTGAAGTGTTGTGTGTTTTGACAATTAAACTGTGTTCATTCTAAACAATTCAATCACTCGAGTACTGGTTGTGTTTACATGTATCATATATATACTCTGGTATAATCATATTATTATTATTATTTTAATATTTTATTCATCCTCACATGACAATCAACAAACAGTTCAGTCATTATAAAATATCTTAGCATCGCTCAGCATAGCATCAACCATCTCATCAGCCAGCACAAAGCACATCTAAGATAGATCCTCACAACAACTTTAAATTTACAATTGCAACAACAACTATTTCAACTTTTGTGCGGCACAAAGTAAAGTATCACATCCATCCACCCATAGATAGACTGGCAGTTAGCCCTAATCAACCTAAATATAGTCATCTCTTTCGATCGATAGTTTTTTTCATAGGTGACTAGTTTTTTTTTTTTTTTTTTTCTACTTTCTCGGTTTTACTTTGCACTTGTTTTACAACGGTTGTCCGTCTTCCTGGTTTTGAATCCAAATTTAAAACCTAAGTTTACCGACAAAAAACAAATCACCAACCATTTCTATTTTAAAACAAAGATCGCCATCTTTCAACAAGATCCTCCCCGGGTTGTAGATTGGATTGGTAGTCTACTAGGTTGTTTAGGCTTTAGTATTGCCCTTTCGATCGATAAGAGATACTTTCTCCAGAGTATTCAAGCTTTTTCTTGTTGCTTCTCGATCGATTGTTATCGTCGTCGTCGTCGTTGCAACAAACAATAATTAATAATTTAATAATTTAATAATTTAAATTAATTTCTCGGGACGGGTTGTTGCACAGGTTGCAGGCTGTGGAGCAAACATCAAAACCATGATTCATTCTACAATGTTTGAAGAAAACGAAAGAACTCCACTTATGAACAAGGTAGAAGCATCAGCAGCAGCAGCAGCATCAACAATAGATGGATCAACAACAGAAAAACAAACTCTCGATGAGTCATCCAATAAATCTGAAAGAAATTTCACACCAGTACAGGCCCTAGGCAACACAATTAAAGCCTTTGGTGGGGCTGGAGCCTTTGCATTACCGTATGTAGTAGTAGTCGGAGTATTAATAAATTCAAAAAATATAAATATTAACCATTTGTTTTTTTTTTTTTTTTTAGATGGGCAATGTCACAAGCAGGAATATTTATAGGATCTATAGGATTGGTATTAATAGCATTATTGGCCAATTATACAATGACCATTCTATTAAAATGTAATATTAAATTAGCAGACAAACAAGCTGGGACCAATCAACCACCTCCCTCCTACTCTGATTTAGCAAGGCTTGCTTTTGGACGACCTGGAGAGTTGATTGTATGTTTTATCAACTTTTCAGTCACCATGAGTATTTGTATCGCCTATCTTATCTTGATCGGCTCCAACTTTGAAATGTTGACCAGTAAAGCTCTCAGTTCATCCACTTGTATTTGGATTCTATTTCCAATTGTATTATTACTCACTTTTTTAACTGATATGTATGTAAAGAAAGACAAGATATAAATATAAATAATAATATTAAATAATATAATATAATTTGGATTTATTAATATTTTTTTTTTTTCACTATTAAAGGAAATATTTAGGATTTACAAGTATATTTGGAGCAGGTGCATTGATTTTAGCAATGATTACAGTGATATCATATGGTATTAAAGATTATTCAATTGAACCACTGTCAGAATACAAGGTTGATTATGCAAACATTCCACTTTGGTTTGGTGTTGCTGCATTCTTTTTCTGTAATCATATCGTTGTTATTCCAATTAGTCATGCTTCTGGAGACTGTCGTCGTTACCCACGTGTATTGGATGCTTCAATGCTTTTCATTACCATCTTTAATGTACTTTTTGCCATACTCGGTTACTTGTATTTTAATTTCGCCAACATCAATGGAGTTGTTGGAGTACCTGCCAACATTGTAGAAGCACTTCCAGATGGAATATTTGCCAATATCGTACGTGCATGTGTTATTGCGGAATTGGTGTGCTCCTTTCCTATCCTTGCTGGTGCAGGCCTAAACGTTGTCGAATCATCTAGTACATTCTTTCACCGACATTTCTCTGCATTTCCAGAGAATGCCAATAACAACAAGATAACAGAAACCAATTCCAAAGAAACCAATTCCAAAGAAACTTTTATTGCTGTTGGACAACCACAGTCCAAAACTAAATTCTTGAGTCGCAATTGGAAGTTTTACGTTATTAGAGTTGTCATTGTTGGTATCTTGGCAGCTATTGGTACTACCATCAAGACATTTGGTAGTTACACATCACTCATTGGATCGTTGATGTTGGCCGTTGCCGGGTTTGTCGTACCACCCCTTCTCTACATTCGTTTCTTCCCCGACCAAACCAAACTATCGAAAATCATTCACATTGCCATCACTGTATTTGGTGTTGCTGCAACCATTCTTGGAACTTATCAATCTATTGACGCACTTGTAAAAGGTGATCAATCAGGAGCACATTAAATTAGAAAAAAATATATGTTCCAAATGTAAATAATAAAATAATATTGTAAATTAATTAAAAACTTTTTACCCAGTTTTAGTGCGTGACTCTCGCAAAAAGTGCGGTGTTGGATTCCATGACATTAAATGGCATAGTAATAATCGTTGTCTAGGAACGAGTTGGGAAGATATTTACTACCTTTATTAAGTTTATACATAACAACCAAACAATTTCTATTGGGTATTTGTTTGAAATGGTCCATCAAATCTACTTTATAAAATACACTATCATCCCTAAATGGCAGGCCAATTTCCAACGATCGAAGTGATCGATTGATGGAGAGTGATTTACAAATCGAGACAACTATTTGTTTTAGGTATTCTTCTTGATTTGATAATGTTGGTTTTGGTTCTTTTAAAAAGCAAAGTTTAAGTGTTTCCAAAGTAGTATTATTAGCAATGGATTGGAAGAATCTGTCATCTATATAATCATCTGCTCTTTCAAATTCTAGGTATTTTAAAGTTTGATTGTTGGATAATACATTTGCAAAACAATCCCTTACCATATGAATTGATCTTTTGGCAAGTCGCCTGTTACCACCTAAAAACATTAAATATCCATACTTGATTGTGAGTGATGTGAGTGTTGTGTTGTCTTGTAATCGTTGTGCCATTTCTTCTAGTAATGGTGATACTGAATATTGGTTGTAGATATCAACTGAATCGCACTCTTCTATGTGCAATTTTTTTTCGATTGCCGCCGATATAGCGTTAGAGCCTGGGTCTGGATCATAAGCTTGTTTTGGAAATTGGTCAAACTCGTTGTGCCATTGAAATCGAATGGTGAGTGTTTTGATTGTCTTTGATTGCAACAAGACATTGATATCTCTAATCTTGACAAGTTGGACTTTTAGCTTTAAAATTTCCAATCCATCAAGACCACCACCACTCTTGTTGAACAACTTGAAACCAAGTGGAATGGTTCCTTCACAAGAGGAAGAGACACCAATACTTATATTTTTTAGTTTGAGCGATACCACTGTATTGAATATCGATACGAAAATACTACTTATTTCTTGACCTCCAAAGTTAATAAAGTTATTAACACGAAACTTTAATTCGGGAACCTCCACTCGCCCATTACACAGTAATCTGCCAATGTTATTCGTAATTCCGTCTGGGTCGTATCGACTCGTGCTCAACCTCATCTTTGCTTGAATCTTGATATTATTATGATGATGATTGATTGATTCTACCAAATCAATGATACTCTGTACATAGTCTTGTTCATCTTGTGGTTTGGGTTTATTAAATGTTATAATCTCCATTCGCAATACGACTCTTTCCAACGAGGTCATTGCATTGATGATTGAAAGTATAGTGTCTGTGCTATATTTCATCTTTCTGTCATTACTGTCACATTCAATGGTGAATGTATGTACGTGGGCCAATGAAAGTGGTAAATATTGTGAAAAGAGATGCTCTGTAAAGTAGTAGAATGGCCGACCACGTCTCTTGAATGGCAGATCCTCTGTCGATACACCGTTTGAATATTGAGCAGCCAACACTTTTAACATTTGAAACCATCTCTTGCAAACCAACGCTAGGTGACTTGTACGCTCCTTGTTACCGTACTTGTCTACAACGTGATAGAGGTGATGGGATTTTATCTTTGTATTGAATTTTGATAAGATATAATGTTGTATTACTGATGGTATTTCTTGCATTTCTGTTTTGTGATTTTCTAAAGTATGTTAGGAGAGTTAAAAAAGGTGAGGCAATTCCGTGTACTTTAAAGATTTTTTTTTTTTTTTATATATAAAACCCAATTACCTACAACTCAATTACCAACAACAACCAACAACCAACCACCATCAACAACTACTACCACTACCACCAAACCATCAGCTCCAACAACAACAACAACAACAACAACAAGTACTATTTCTACTTCAAAACTATCTAAATTAATTCAATTAGACAAACCGGCAATGGCTGACAACATATGATAGATATAGCTAGATGTCTCTTGGAAATGACGCCCGTCCTCGTACACCCCACCACTCCCAAACCCAAGAAACTGAGGATGTGTAACGAGGTGCTCTGTCACGCACATTCACTGCAATTATGTAGTGGTTGGCGAGTTTGCCACCTGTATCTCAAACAAACCCATCACAAATATTTTTGTAATTAAATAGAATTGCACAATAGATATAATAAACACTGTGTATTACTATAAAGACCCAGGACCAGCAGTCATGTTTTTGAAAAATGACCAAGAAGGTTACATCTCTATGGTTTTTTCGAATCCGTAGACCCCACTTATTGGCAATTCAATTCCCTTCCCAGAAATTTTGAATCAGAAGTGCCATTATACCAAAAATCACTGATTTGCGATTGGCTTGGCAATTCTTCCATTCTCATATCCTCTTCGTGATCGCCATCCATGCTGTCTCTGGGAAGGGATTTCATTATATTTTAATTATTATTTAATAAATAGTATATTTATTTTAAAAAAGGTTGTGAGGGGTTGTTGTTTTATGAATGGTTGTGTGAATTATATATATATATTTATAAGTGAGTTGAGGAGGGAAAGCGATGACTATACAAAATATGCATTGATGTATTGAACGTAATGACTAATTATGTTCAACTTTAATGATTGGATTGATTGATTTAAAAAAAAGATCAAGTTGGAAGGAATTGGCGAGGGGAAGGTGAAAAATGACTGGATTCTTATTATTCTTATTATTCTTATTAGTTATTCTATTTTCTATTCTATTCTATTATTGTACTATACATTTACTTTTGTTGTGAGGTGATTCAAAAGTAATTTTTGGTCTGCGACTAGAATTACGAAGAGGAGGTGGAGGTGAGTCGCCTCCTGGTAGAGGTCGTTCAAATGATGTTTCAGACGATGACCCGATTGATTTGAGGCCACCATCATCGTGATGTGTTGGAAGATCTTGTTGTTCATAATTTTCAATGATTGAAGAAGTTAAATGTACAGAGTGAGTTTGGTTCATATGGTGGTTTCCACCATAATGACTGCTAATGTGGTTATTATTGTTGCTGCTATAGTGTAAAGGTGTTGGAGTAGATGATTCAGATGAACGATCTTGCATATTGGTAGTAGTACAGTTGTTATTATTATTATTATTGTTGTTGCCGCTATTTATAGTAGGTGGAGGTACAAGTGGAATAGAACTGCCAATAATCATTTGTTGTGGAGGAACATTTTGGTATCCACAACTGCTATTGATGCTAGAATAACTATTATCATTATCCTCGTAACCAAACATTAAATCGTCATCTTCTCCACCACAGTTCCCGTATGCCATCTCTAATGGATCGAATTTAGATTCTGGTAATAATGGTACAAATGGTTCATTACTTTCAATTAATTTAGTACACCATCTAAAAATTAAAAATAATAAAAAAATATATAACATTGTTAATATCAGATATACAATATTTATATATATATCTGTTTGATTTGAATCTAATACATACGGATGCGATTTAATTTGTTCGATAGTAAATCTTTGATTATGATCGATTTGCAAGATACCCTTGATAAGTGAACAAAGATCCTTGTCGATATTTGGTGGAAAATCTATATTACATTTTGAAATATTTTCAAATAACATATACATATTGGTACCATAGAATGGGAATTTGCCTATTGTCATTAAATATCTATAAAAAGAGATAAGTATTAGACTATTTCATTTATATTATTTTTTTTCCTTTTAGACTTACAAAGTTACACCCATTGCCCAGATATCAACTTTAAAAGGAGAAAATGAACGTTGAAAGGAAGTTAATTCTGGAGGTTGGAATGCAGGTGATCCATAACTTCGAGAGAGTACTTCCAAGTCATCGATGAGAGAAGAATCCTCGCTTACACCAAAGTCTGTTAGTTTGAGGATACCGTCATTGGTAAATAATATATTGTCGGGTTTGATGTCGCGGTGTAATATTTTCTGAGAGTGTATATATTCAATGGCAACGATCAATTGGTTGAAAATGCTTTGTGCCTGTGCTTGTGGCAACTTGGCAAGATAAGCACTCTCTAATAGATTCTGTAGTGTACCACCACCAACGTATTCATAGACTATATACAATTTACCCTTTTCTTCAATGGTAAAGTGGTCAATCAACTTTATAACATGCTTGCTATGTAGTTTTTTGGTGATATTAATCTCTTTGAGAACAGATGCTTCTCCTCCTGCAATCTTCTTTAGTCTTGCTCTTTTTAATATTTTAATGGCAACTCTTTTTTGTGTAAATGTATCCATTCCATCTTTTACTTTACCATATGCTCCTATAGAATCATTTAAACAAATATTTTATATAAGTATTATACTAGTAGATCGCCAATGCCAGTTTGCACTTTAGTTTTTTTTTTTTTTTTGTTTTTATGTCGTCTCTATCCCCTCTATCGTCTCTATCGTCTCTCTGTCGTCTCTCTCCCCTCTATCGTCTCTCTTTCGTCTCTTTTGAACATACCTTCACCAAGTACTTCACCTAGGTAATAGTTCTTGACCAACTTTGCACCTTTTCTTTTATATTGAATTTCGTCAACTCCATCTTCCAAGTGTTGCATTATAAAATTAGATCCACCATATTCAATCTCCATTGTCATGCTTGTGTCTTTTTAAGATAGATATGAAGTCGACCGAGTGACTACACTAAACTACAACTATACTATACTGTCTGTAGGTACTACTCTCTTTGCTAACTGAAACTGAAACTGAAACTTGAATGAATGAATACAATGCTTTTCTATTATTCTTTTTTTTAACTTGTTGTTTTGTTGGTATTGTTATTGTTACTCAAACTAAGTTTCCTCTTTCTCTTTTTCTTTTTTGATGATTATTGTTATGTTGTTGATATTATGTTAATGTATATTGTGTGTGTGTGTTTTGTGTAGGAATAGAGATGTAGAAAATGAGATATATATTATAATAACAAAGGGGGTTGTTTGCTGTACTAGTTGTTGTTGTTGTTGTTGTGCGGTGGTGAGTATATATCCACACTCACGTTATCTGTCTGTCTGTCTAATAATAAATAGAGTGATAGTGATGTATGTGTGAAAGAGAGAGAAAAGAAGAAGTAAAAAGAAGACAGAAAACACAAATATTGATATTGGTGTCTGTATGTATGTTTATGGGGAGCGGGGTGTTTTGCAAACTACTCTCTAAACTTTATCACATAAAATGCATTTCTCTGTCAATTTGGTGTTTTTGAAATTTGGTGAAAATATTAAAAAATAAAAAAAAAATGAAATCTCGATAACAGGACCTGGGGGGTGGTTTCAAAACCGAGTGTCAAGCAGCTTCTTCATTGCTCTCAAACCAATTTATCATAAAAACAAATAATTAAACCCCAACAACAACAACAAAAAAAAACAATAAAGTAAAGCAGATGGCAGATAACACAAATACTAACAATACATCTTCACACACCCCATCATCATCCATCGATGCTGATGCTACTGCTACTGCTGCCACTACCCAATTTGTAGATCATTTTGGAGCTGCAGGTGCTCAATACAGATCTTTCAGTAAGTTCATCTATCAATCAATCAATCAAACAACGGTTTTAAAGAACCGTCGCGTCGTCGTGAGTTGTACGAAATAAATGTATCATTAAAATAAATAAAATGTGTTGATGAGGTTAAATAGTAGATAGCAGCAGATATGAATGAATTTGTTTTAAGCACTCTGAATGAATCAATGGGTGAACCATTGTGTTAACACCACTTTCAATCTTTTTTTTTCTTTTCTTTTCTTTTCTATTCTCTTTATTATTTCATCGATATAGGACCATCCTATCCAATTGAATTGTATGATATTATCAAAGAGTACACTAAAGAACAACCAAAGAAACTTGCTTTTGATGTTGCTTGTGGAAATGGTCAAGGTACATACAAAAAAATAATATTAAATTAAAAAAAAAGAATAATAATTATTAATCTTTTTTTCTTTCTTTCTTTCTTTCCATTCTTTTATTTCTTTATTTATTTATTTAGCAACTGTTCAAATTGCAGAATTCTTTGACAAGGTAATTGGATTTGAACCATCAGATGGACAATTTAAAAACTGTATCCAGGCACCCAATGTTGAATACCGTGTTTCACCAGCCGAAGATATTGATTGGAAGGAAAACGAGTCTGTTGATTTAATCACTGTCGCCACCGCTGTTCATTGGTTTAACCTTCCAGTGTTTTACAAGGAATGCCAAAGATTACTAAAGTCAAATGGTTCACTCATTATTTGGACTTATGGTTTCTTTAAAATCTTGGGTAATGAAAATGCAGAGGAAATTAACAAAACTGTATGTATAATTTATAATTAAATTATTTAAACATCTCACTTATAAATTATTAATATATTTAGATGGGAACTAAAACACTTGCAGAATACTGGGCACCAGCCAATAAGATAGTTGCTGAGAAATATGTTAATATCCATCCACCATTTAGTCAAGTTGAAAGAAAGGAAATAACATTCAAGGTCGATGTAACTTTGGATCAAGTTGTTGGTCACTACCAAACCTGGTCAGCCTATAGTAAATACCTCAAAACCAATGAATGTATATTACCAAAAATCAGGGAACAATTACTCCAAGCATTCAATACTTCTGATTCATCTATTCCAGTTGTATTAGAGTACACTGTCTCTATGATTCTTTGTAAAAAGATTTAATTAATCCATCAATCAATATTTACATTCCATTCCACTCTATCCACTGGTTTCCAATTCATTCATACATTTAATGGTATCTTCTTTAAAAGTATCACTTCATATACAAAATAAAAAAATATTTTTTTAAAGTTATTGTTTTAGAGTACACTAATATAACACAATAAATATTTAATTTATTATTATAATAATAATAATATTGGCCAAATGTATTGTTTATTTGATTGCTTTTAGTTTTAATATATGATTGACTATGTCCAATGGTTCTTCTTTTACTCCTTCTTCTTCTTCTTCTTTTCGCAAACCTGTGAATATCTGTGTATGAAAATTGTAAATATCTTGATCAGGTATTTTTGCCAACTTTCTTTGAATACGCTTGAGGCGATCATCAGAAACAAGACACCATTCTGATGGAACCGGGAGCTTTAGTTTATTTGCATCTTTAATATCAAGAACATGGCCAATAGCCTTTCTTATTCTATCTTCAGCATCATTAATTCTCTCTGTACATGAAGGATCCAACATCAAGTTACAAATAATTGAGGGCTCGGTGCAGGGCTCGGTGCCTGGATAAGCCTTTTTTATATCTTTAACCACCTGGTTAGGTCTTGTCTCCTTATCTACAACCTGTGTCATTCCGACCTTAATAAGATGCCATCTACCCACAGAAAAATATGGAAAGCTATGAGTGAGTGATAAAAGTTAGAATTAGAAACCTTAAACTATTATTGAAATTAATATTTACATTATTAAGTAAACGTGGGCAGGTGTTCTCAAATTTAGAAAAATATTGCCTTTGGTTGGCCATCCTTTTGTCCTTACACGGTTGAGAACATCGATAGTTGTTCTTGGATTCTCCCAAAAATATGGGACCAGTTGATCGAGGAGACGAAGATATTCCTTATTTACTTCTTCTTCTTCTTTTGTTTTTGCTGGACCCGTTGTTGTAGATGATGATTTCGTAATGACTCCAGGTGTACTCTTTTTAGTTGGTGTTGTTGGAGCTACCATCGTAGTTGTAGTAGACTCTTTTTCCTTTTCCTTTAACAATGGTGATGACTTTGATGAAGACTTTAAGATAGAGTTGGGTGGTTGTGCCGCTGCGGGTTTAACAGGTGTCTTTGATTTGGCTGTTGTTGGTGCTGTTGGTTTATCCATCGTTGTAGCAGTTGTCGTAGTCGTTGTCGTATTAGTCTTATTTACAATTGGTGTTTCAGTTGTTGTTGTTGTTGATGGACGGGGTTTTGCAGGTCCTGCTGGTTTGGTTTTGTCTGATTTGGAAGAAGACATGATGAGTAATGAAGTTTGTAGTTTGCATGATAAAAATATGGTGGGGTGGAAATTTTTAAAAATTCAAAAAAAATCTTTTAAAACTACGAGGTGATTTCTTTTTATTTTCATCGACTTTTCCAAACAAAAGATAACTAATAGCGACAAGCACTTTCAAGTAGAAAAAAGATGAGCGTCAATGTAAACAACATCATCGAGAACATTACAAATACATCGATTGTTGGCAAAGCAACGGTTGATAATGATACTCCTACACCAGGCTATTTATACCTAGATCTACAAAGTATGATATATCTATCGAGTAGAGATACATTAATATACTTACATGCACCTATACTTTGTATTTAGATGAAACATTAAAGAGTATAGATCAATCACAATACATTCTAAAGAAACTACTATCAAGACTAAAGAAAGATTCACCAAATATTAAACTCAAAGTATTAAAAGCTATTAAACATTTGATACTCAAAGGTCATGTATCATTTAGACAAGATTTGGTTACTTGTTCTGACCAAATTCAACATTGTACAAGTATGTAGATGTTATGAAAGAATGAAAAGAAAGAATGAAAGAACTCATTATATATATTATTTTAAATAGATTTTAGAGGAGCACAAGATCAATTCAAAGGAGATACTCTTTATCAATCAATTAGAAGAGAATCAAATGAAATATTGAATCTATTGTACCAATACAATAACTCAAATTCAAGTTATTCATCACTATCTCAAAACAACACTACTACTGGTGATGATGAACAACAATCAACGTCGATGATTAGAATGGAGAGTAGAAGTGGTGGTAGTGGTAATGGCGGTGGTGCAACTAGTCAAAGAGTACATCATTCACATCATAGTAGTATTGGATTTGGTGGTAATGGAAGCATGACAAATGCACCTGCCCCTCCACCAACTAAAATTGATAAGATTGCAAACATCACAACCAAGATTGCAGCATCTTTTCAAGACCATCATCAACATCATCCTAAAAAGGTGGTCTTGTCTAACTTTGGTTCACCAATGTTGTCTGACATTTCAGTTTCAATCCCATCTGTTCCAGTTCGTGATGGTTCACATTTAATGGTATCAACTCAAGACAATAATAATAATAATAACAATGGAAACAATAATAGTCTGGCACTTACAGGATTACCAACATTTGATAATGGTGATACCGCCGTAGCAACAGCAGAAGATGATTTCGATCAATTATATCAAGAGTATGTAATTAAGATTATATTTATTATTATTATTATTATTATTCGCGTCCTCTTCTTTACTTATTAATAACCATTCTGTACTATTAGTTTTGGAGAATTTAAATTTATTTCAAATACTCTTGGTGATTCACAATCTGTTAGTTTATCGACAACATCGATTGCAAAGTTTCTAAGATACGTTCAACAACCAAATATCAATATGGATTTGATTCTTCAACTTTTATACAATCGATTAAAACACAAACATTGGCAAATGAAATTAAAATCATTGAATTTAATAGAATCTCTTATTGAAAATGTTGCCACTATTGCCATTCCATTCTATCAACAATACAACAACAATATAAAGACACTGGTAGATTCATTACAGATAAAGATTAGAGAAAAATCTAAAAATATATTAAAGTTGTTGGGAATTGAAATACCAAAACCAATCGAACAACAACAACAACCACAACAACAGCAACAACAATCACATAGTGTTACAAATGATAATACAAACCAAAATAATACGACTAATAATAATAACAAGCTTGTTGACGATTCATATAGAGATATATTCAATTTAGGGAATGAAGAAAATAATAATAATAATAATAATAATAATAATAATAATAATAATAATAATAATAATAATAATAACAGTAATAGTAAAAACAAACCAAATGGTAATATGTTTGGAGGATTATCAGTAAATACAAAGAGTAATAATAATAACAATAATAATAACGATATTTTAATGGATTTGAGTAATAATAGCAACAAGAATAATAATAGCAATCAAAGTAGAGATTTAATTGATGATTTATTTAATATTTCACCTGTAAATACCAGTCCAACCATTACTTCAAGCAATAAAAATAGTAATAATAATAATAACAGTAATAGTAAAAACAATTATAATAATAGTAATACAATGGAATTTGATCCAATTTTTGGTAAATCATCATCGAGGCAAACAACGACATCAACATCTAATGGTAATCTATTGGATTATGATCTTTTAACAGCAAACACTGCTGGAATGACATCCACCGAGGCATTATATGGTTTAGAATCCCTACAACTTTCCCCTTTACTCCAATCTTCATCATCATCATCATCATTACCGACCACTGCCACTACAGCTACAGCCGCCACACAAGCGACCAAACAAAGTGTAGGAGCAGGGACATCTATATCACCCACCACCAACAACACAAAAGTACATCAACAACCAAAACCTACACCATTGGATCCATTTGGGAATCTAAAACATTTCATTCCCAACACCACCTCTTCATCTACCACCACCTCTAATAAATAGAAAGATATCCATCTTGTGTGGATGTGCCGCTTTGCATCCAATCGATTCTAAAAAAAGATTTTTTTTAAGATTTATTTTTCGGACCCAATTAAAATCTAAAATTGCATTGTCTCATTAAATTAAATTGGGAGAACCCTCACCTTACCCCCTCTGACCCATCTCAACTTTTAAACAATACAAGAAATAGACAGAAAGGAGAGATGTAAACGAGTTCAAATAATAATAATAATAATAACCAATAATCATTAATAGTTATTTATATGTACAGTATTTTAATATATTAAGAGAGTATTTATTTTTAAAAAAAAGAGAGAGAAAGAGAAAAAGAATATAATATGGAGGATGATTTATGTATATCTTCATCCTCATCCTCCGCTTCTTCATCGTCTACTTCATTATCATCTTCTAGTAATACTATAGTTGTTGGAAAAGGGGAAGGAGGAGATGAAGATTTAAATAAACAACAACAATTACATACGCAACTATTATTAGTTCAACAACAACAACAATTACAACATAAAGTAGAACCAAAGACATCAACATTGGTAAAAGTATCGACGACGATAGTAAATGGTAATGGTGGTACTACTACGACAACATTATTGTTGGATGAATTGCTACACCCACACACTACTGGAATTCAAGATGTAAATAGAGACTGGGATCAACACGATGACAATATCTATGTAAATAGCGATATAAAGAGAATAAACGAAATGATAAGTCATAGTGGAGGTGTCATTGAACCAATGAGAACTCAGCTGTCCACTCCCTACTGTTTCAGTGTTTATATTAGAAACAAAAAACAACTCAGTACATTCATTCTATTGTTAGACTATGAAAGACGTGAATTAATATTTAGTAGAAAGGGTAAAAAGTTAAAGGCAATCCCTTTTGTTGTTTTAATAACACCAATACCAAGTTCAATAGAACCAACTCATATCACAATTAGAACAAAAGATCCAAATTCGTATGTTTGTAAACTTACAAATATTTCCAACTAAAGGATGACTATCTATAATATTAATACCTTAATTTTATTTATTTAGAGGAGGATTTCATTTATATATGGATTCAAAAACAGAAAGACAACAATTATTAGAATATCTAGGTGATATTGTAAAGAATCCAATTGAATCTCCATCACCTGTATGTTGAACACCCTTTGGTCAAACCAAACCAAAACCCTAACACCTACTTACCCCATTCTATTTAGGTTAGTATAGAGTTAATTTTATATCAAGGACATGTATACAAAAAAGGAAAGATAAAATTTGCACGAAGATGGTTGGAAATCCATCCACTTTTCATTACTCTTAGAAAGAAAAAAGAGAGTATGTTCCCTGTCAATGGTATGTTGTTACAGTTCAATCCTTTATTTATTATTATAATATTCATTGTTAACCCCCTTTATTATCCTTGTAGTCATACCAATTAGAGATTTGTCACTAAAAACACATGAAACCTACACCCTCTTTCTCCGAACCAAGTCTACTGTTAGCCGAGAATACTCTCTTCGTGCCTCTTCAATGTCACAGAGAGACTTTATTTACGATCAATTAGTTTCTATTGGAATGTAGGTAGAGATTTGATAGTAGTAGTAGTAGTTATGTTAAACCATCACCAAAATGTGCACACCCCTCCCACTCACACACATTGAAAGATTAGATTGATGAGTGGAGTGGAACAAAGTGGAAACTTTTTCATTCCATTGATTGATCAAGAAAGATATGTGTGGTGATATATGTGTGGGGGTGAAATGGGGTGGGTTCAACCCAACCACGCCCCATCCCATTCATACAATGAGGATGAAAGATGATGATGATGATGCATGGCATGATGATGATGATGATGTTACACCTCTACATTTCTACCCACCAAAATTTCAAGTTTTACTAACTACTCTCCTTCTCTCTCTCTCTCTCTCTGTCCCGTCCCTTCTATCTTGTAGTGGCACTATTGGAAAGAATATCGATAACGTTTTGCAGAGGAAATTGTCTTTGAGATTAACCCCGAGTGTAAGTGTGATTATACACTTTATACCTTTTTTTATTCTTTCTTTCTTTTCTCATCCTATCACATCGCGCACGAGCTAATATCATTTACTTTAATCATCATCATAATCTCTCATCTCATCTTGATTGTAATGAATTCATTCATACAACATACTATTAGGTAAATCCAAATTTAGACTATGATCCAATGGATTTCAACACTCTCCATAAATTATTCAAAACACCAGGGATCGACCTTAAATCATTACATAGGGACAATTTCCAAGACGGTAGCGAGGAATTTTTAAATAATAATAATAATAATAATAGTAATGGGAGTAGTAGCCACCAACGTTATAGCACCGCCAGGCTTGGTTTGGAATCAAATCAAAAAAAGGTGGTAGAGGTTATTGAAGAGACGTATCAAGGTAATAATAATAATAATAATAATAATAATAATAATAATAATAATAATAATAATAATAATAATAATAATAATAATAATAATAATAATAATAATAATAATAATAATAATAATAATAATAATAATAATAATAATAATAATAATAATAATAATAATAATAATCAACAAAACTCCTCCATTGCAACATCCTCTTCCTCCTCATCCGCTTCTTCTTCATTTACGACACCTCATGTAAGTGCTTATAGACCAAGTAGAAGATCAGTTAAAGAATTGATAGAGCAATACAATAAGAATAATTCAACACAATATCCAACTCTAACAACCACCCCAACAAAAGATAGAGATAGTAGAAAAACTTTTAGAAAGGCTGTAAAACTAAGTAATAATAATAATCAACAAAGCTTGGATAATAATAGTATTGAAATGATAATTGAAAGATTAAAAGGTTGTAAAGGTTTGGGACAAGATGGAAAATTATTATTGGATCAACAAAAAGATAATAATAATATAGATAATATAGTCCAAAAAGATGGTAGTTTTAATTTAGATTCCAACAAAAATGATCCATCTTTAAATCAAGAGTCTGATCAAATTTATATAGAGTTGATTAAAACACTTGATGGTTTAAATCAATCTTGTGATGAGATTTTAAAATGGATATTGGAAAACAGGCATTTAATTTCCAACAAACTACAAAATAGTAATTTATTATCAGTAACAGATCAACTTTTATTAGCTGTTAAAGATTTTAGTAATAATATAGATAGTAATAATAATAATAATAGTAATATAGAAAATGTAAATAGTGTAAATAATAATAATAATAATAATAATAATAATAATAATAATAATAATAATAATAATAATTTAATAACTCAAGTATTTAAAGATGTAGAAATAGAATATTGTTCACCTCGTCAAGACAATAATAGTATAATAATAGATAAAAATAATAATAATTCAATATCAAATGTATCATCATTAAGTAAAAGTTCAACTGGAGATAGTTTATATTCTCAACAATCATTTAGTTCATCTTCAAGTGGAAGTAGTAGTGGTGAAGTTGATCCAATCATTATTGCCAACAATGATGATGATGATCATCGTGGTACTCAAACCTACTTGTTTTTAACCAAAGATGGATATCAAAAAGAGTATAAAAGATTACATTTGGATTCATCTGAAGAGGATGATGACGATGACGATGATGATGACGATGAAGATGGACAAGGAGGGTATCATGCAAGAATGGCAGAAACTCTAGAATCTCCACAAATATTATTATTCAATCTGTCTCCAGTTCCAATCCAAAAACCATTAAATCAATGTGGTGATTATTCATTACTTCATCATTGTACTAGAACAAAATCAGATGATTTAATGGATAAAACATTTAGACGTTATTCAAGAGATGTTACACCAAATACTTTTTGGAAATAATAAATTAAATAAATATATAATATAATATAATATATATTGTTTGTTTAACTTATTAATATATCTAAATGTTTATTTTTTTTCTATTTTTTGTTTTGTTAAGCCCATTTATGAAAAGTATCCAAAGATGAAACTATATTTTTGTCCAAGAATTCAATGGTCGATGGTGATAGGAATTTTGGTTTTGTAACAAATGCCCAAGATCTATTTAGGATGCGTTTGAGTTCTTCGTCGTGAGGTAATTCATCAGAGATGGCTCTCATGCGGACAAGGAGCTCGTGTGGGTAACGTTCACGTTTTGGAACACACTTGAAAATATCAGAGCAGGCTTGGTTGTCACCGACAAGCACCTCATTGATGAGTTCTTGCATCATGTGAATATCGAGGTTGGATCCAATGCTAAAGAATGCATAGTTTTCTTGATAGTATTGTTTGGCGAGATAGGCCATGTTGTTGCCAGTGTAAAAGAGGATCATAGAGTGGTGTAGATAACGTTCGTCGATTGGATGGACGAGGTGCTTTGAGATGAATTGGGTCATGGACATCGAGTCAAAGGTTTCAGATGGGTCGTTTGATTTGATTTTCTTGTATAGTTTGAGTGCAATCATATAGGTGTTCATGTCCTTGATGGATATGCTCTTGAGGTAGATGAGTGCTTCTTGGCAGCGATCAGTATTGACCATGTTGTTGAGATGACAGTTTTTAATGTGCGAGTGGATGGGTGATGGACTGCGCAAGTAGCTGACTTCGAGATCGAGCAAAAGTTGTTCTGGATAGAGGTCGAGTGTGATGAGCTCCATGCACACACTGGCAGTGGCCCAGTCAAATATGTAGATCTGGTGTTGAATCATCTTGGACATCATAGTGATGACGAGATCCATTTGGTGGCACCTAGACAACCCGACGATAATATCGTTGAGTATCATGGGGTTGGATGCATAGAGCAGTGGGCTCTCATTACGCAAGTATGCAACACCAATGTTGAGGTTACGCTTTAGCAACATCGAGTAAAACGACGATGTAAAGATCATTGATCTAGCTTCCTTTGGCATGGCGTCCAAAAAGTCGAGGAAACCTCTTTGGTGTAGTTGGAAGAGGAGTAGCGATGACTGGTGGAGTAGTGTGCCTGATGGAAGCTTGCCCTGTGCAAACATACCACGGAGCACCTGCAAAACACCATCAGTATTACTAATGTTGATAAAGTTGGACAACATGCTATCCTCTTGCGTGAAGGGCTGGATTGGAGTCATCATGGTCTCACCAGGCTCGTGGAACTCGAGGTTGTGAGTCATGTTGGTGAGGAAGTTCTTATTAAAGTCGCGCAACACAATGTCGTCGAGACGCTTGCTAAAGAGACGGTCAAAGCGCGAGTTGTTCCAAAACTTGCCGAGCTCCGATCCCTCTTGGCCGAGTGCCTGGTGGTAATGGAGGAAAAAGTAGATTGAAAAGTGGTCGGGCGTCAGGCCATAGTCGAGACGGCGGGCGAACCACTTGAGCGCCATCTCGTAACGGTCCATCTGCAGGTAAAAGACAATGATGAGGTTGATGATCTTGTTGAGCACCAACACATCTCTAAACGTGGCGCCAATCGAGTGCTCGAGCGAGTTGAGCAGGTCCTGGTTCATACCCAACTGGTTGTAGATGACGAGTGCGGCAATCGTCTCGGGTCCGCGCGACCGCGATGCGTTGAGTTCCATGACAAAATGGTCGACTGCGCCACCACCCGATATCTCATTGTTCATGTCCCTGTAATGTGCCTCTTCGAGGTCCTTTTGGTACTCGAGTGCCATCGACGTCACATTCTTGAGGTACAAGTTATTGGACCATGTCTTGAGGTACGGTCCCATCATCTCGGATATAAACTGTGAGCACAGGTTACTAGTGCCATAGGTTGGAATGACGGTCATCTTTTGATCGAGGTATTCCAGTGCCAAAAGAGGACGTTTGTTTCGCACGTGGTACATTAGAATGCAGTGGAAAGACGACACGCTTCTGAAACGGTCAAACAAGTTCTCTGCCAACTCTAAATGGCCTCTTATCAAATGTGCCTGCACCAAATTGCATGCCAATCCCTCTGTCCAATCGAGTTCTGATCGTCTCGACATCATAAAATCCTCCAAGTATTGTAAATACACCCGGATACTTTCTTCGGGAATACCATCAAATCTACTTCTAACCAATTTAGATAAATCCTTTTCAAGTGTTCCTCTATCAATTACATGTCTAACGTATAATCCAATTTGACTAAAAACATACACAAATACAAACTTGTTAATATATATTTATGTATACCAAATGTATCATTTCTTTTTGCTTCATCTTTCTTACTTTTCAACATCATCACCTTTTAAAAGATCAGCAATTGGATGTGATTTAAGGTGTATAATTGTTTCAAAGCTACTGAAATCCAATAAATAGTGTATGTTGTTATCTATCTGTCTAGAGTGACGACCTTCTGTTGATTCTCTATGAACACGTTGTGATTTCTTTCTTTCAATACGTTGTTTTTCTTTCCATTCGGGTACCATCTTTTTTGGTTTACTTTGATTATTATTATTATTGCTATTATTATTATTGTTATTGTTATTATATTTGAATGATGATGGTGGTGGTTTTATTGTATTGTTTGAGTCTATTGAATATGATCTAATTGATGTAGATGTTGATGTAGATGTAGTCGATGTAGTCGATGATTTGATCAAATTACTTTGATTGATCAATGATCTCATCAATGATTGACCACCACTACTTTTAAATAGATTATACATTGTTGTTTAATAATCGTAATAATAATAATAATAACAATGACGACTAACCTATTACTATTACTATTACAACTTATACAACTATGAAATCTAAATGTTGTTAAATTAACAATTTCAGTGCAGAAACGATGAAAAAGACGAAAGAAGATGATCGTGTTGTAAATTTTTTTTTAAAATTATAATTATAATGGTGGAAAATAATATGTTTATTTGTTTGGTTTGGTTTAGTTTGGTTTATTTAATAATGTTAATGTTAATGTTAATGTATTGTATCTTTGTCTTTTTTTTTCTTTTTCTCTGAGAGTATTAATTTATATGATTTATGTTAGTGTGTTTTGTTTTGGCTGGCCACTGAGATAGAAAGAAAGCAGAGTGAATGGCATGGATGGATGGATGGATGGATGGATGGAAATTAAATGGCAATGGTAATGGTAATTGGATTGACTAGTCATCATCATCGTCGTCATCTCCAACTTCAACATCGTCATCTTCTTCTACCTCTGCATTTAACAACTTATCAACTTCTTGATCATCTTGGTCATCATCCTCTTCATCTTCACCCATTTCAACATCTTCATCTTCCTCTTCTTGATCTTTTTCTTTTTTTTCGTCTTCTTCTTTTTCCTCTTCCTCTTCTTCTTCATCATCTTCATCCTCGCTACTTGAAGAATCCTCTTCTTTAGAAACATTATTCTTTGTTGTTGGAGATGTCGATTTCTTTTTTGGTTGTTCAATTTCCACTTCTTCTTCTTCTTCATCTTCATCTTCATCCTCGCTACTTGAATCTTCTTCTTTTTTAGACACTTTCTTTGTTGAAGTAGGTGATTTCTTTTCAATGGATTTCTTTTCCACCTTTTTTTCTTCTTCTTCTTCTTCTTCTTCTTCCTCTTCACTACTACTGTCAGTTTCAACTGGTTTCTTTTGTTTCTTTTTATTCTTTTTTTGGTGTATTATTTTTTGTTGGAATTACTCTTTTAATTCTGACTAGTTTTTCCTCTTCCTCTTCCTCTTCTTCCTCTTCTTCCTCTTCCTCTGGTAATTTTTCTATTTCCTTTGCAATATCTTTTAATCTTTGATCAACCTTTTTCAATCGTTTGTCAACTCCACTAAACAACTTGTCACCAACCAAATATTCGGCAAATAGTTTAAATATCAAGGTGGCTTCTTGAGATACAACACATGGACCAAGATAATTGTAAGAGTTGTTGGCCAATAGTTCAAAGTCGTTGAATACATCCTGTGGAAGATTGGCATATCGATTACCAACCAACTTGTTCTTGATGACATTGATGCTGATTGGATGATCGATCAATTTATAGTAGACCATGAAATCATTGTCGTTTGCAAAGTCACCTCGTGGTGGAAGAGTCTTAAACATATACACCAAAATAGTATTGTCCGGTCTGAGATATTTCTCCAATTTAGCGATTGCCTCCAAGATTGATTTTTGTTTTGGTGATAGTTTACTTATCAATGTGGGTGTTAGCAACAAGTCATAATCCAAGTCATCTCCCAAAGCATCCAATGATTCCATTAGTTTACCAACACTGTTTTTGTTGATAAGTTCTGAAACACTCTTTCCAGTTGTTATTTTAACTGTTGGTTCAACTTGTTTCTTTTTTGATACTTCTTTTTCTTCCTCTGATGATGATGATTCTCCAACAACGACTTGTTTTTCAACAACTTGTTTCTTTTCTTTTGGTGTTGGTTTCTTTTTAGAAGAAGTAGAAGTTTGTTGTTCTGTTGAAGTGATTTTGATGACTGGTTCAAGATCACTTTCATTGTCTTTATCTTTTTTGTTGGATTTGCTAGTTGTTGACTTTTTCGATGGAGTATCTTTTGCTTTGGTAATTTCGGTTAAAAGATTGGTAACCTTTTTTTGTTCACGTTTCGATGATGTAGGTTCAAGACGACGTCCAACAACCAATGATCCCTTGCGAGTTGGTGTGGTTGGTTCATTACTGGTTTGTTTTGTAGTTGTTGTAGTTGAGGTCTTTTTGGTTTGTTGTTGTTTGTTGTCCTTCTTCTTTTTGTTGTTTTCCTCTTCCTCTTTTTCTTGCTCTGTAATTGATACCTCTGACATATCCACTTGAATCTTTTCAACTGGACATTTCTTGTTCTTGTCAACCTGCTTTTTGGGTTTAGTGGCAACAGCACCAGCAGCAGGTGCAGTAGTATTGACTGATTTGGACAAACTAGTTTGTGCATTTCTCATTTTGTGATCCGAAGAGGAGGATGATTCATCCTCACTACTACTACTACTCTCTTCATCACTGCTCTCCTTTGAAACAGCAACTAGAATCGATGAAGGATTCTTTGGTGCAGTTGCATCTGTAAACGGACTTCTAGTCTTTACCTTGAATACTCTTCGTATGGGTTGAGCTGGTTTCTCAATTAATTCTTCCAACTTTTCTTTTACCTTGTCTGATGCCGATGATGATGATGACGACATACCATTTTGTGCACCAATCTTGTTGTTATTTGATTTAAGATTTTGGACTACTACCATGTTGTTGGAGTTGGAGTTGGAGTTGACCATGTTGGCATTGGAGTAAACCTGTTGGTTTAAGATTGGATAGAATTGTTTGAGGATTGGTTGATCATAGTAAGAGTCGGGTAGTGTAGTTCCAATGGGTATGGTTTCATTAAAACATATCTTGAATGATCTGAATCCAACAGTGATGATGTCTTGGTCTTTGAGTACTTCAATCTTGAATATTGGGATAGCATTGATTCTAATCGAATCCAACGATCTGATCGGTACCAATGGATGGAGCATAAACAACTTGCAATCTTCATGATAAATGATTTCACAGTGTTTGTCATAGACATCAACTCGATTAATAACAACATGACAAGCTGTTTGATCCCTACAAATATACCAAAGTTTGTTTGTTTGTTAGTTTGTTTGTTTATACACATTGTTACTATCATACATGTCTTGTCTATTATACATACTTTCCAATTAAAAAGGTCTTAGAGTCCATAGGACGGGATTGAGAGATTGACATATCCTTGTGCAACAACTTCATCGTTGCGTATCTACCCTCAGTACGTTTCTTTTTCGGTGCAGTTGTTGCAACTGCAACTGCTGCAGAGTTGGAGGAGGTGGTGGTGGTTGTGATACCATTTGTCGATGATGATACAACAGCTGCTGCTGCTGCTGCTGTTGCTGGTGTAGTGGAAGAAGGTGCCACAACTACCACCACTTCATCAGTTATTGTCGTAGTTGACATATCTACATCTGGAGATGCAGTTACTGTCGTACTACTACTACTACTTTCTGTAGCTACTGTCATTCTTGTTGATTGTATCTATCTCTATCTGATCTATTGTTAACTTGTAGAGTGAGAGAGAGAGAGAGAGAGAGTGGGTTGATGTATTTCTAATAGTACAATACAATACAATATGATATGATTGTAGATTAGATTGTTAGATTGGTTTGATTGATATCTGTTTGAGTTGGTTCGATCCTCTACTTTCACAAGTTCATTTATTGATGATTTGGCGCCAAATCTTTGTGCTGTTGAATTTTCAAGAAGTTTGAATTTTCGATCTTTGAAAACAACAAGAACTTGTAGTTAGTTCTCTGTATGTAATGTATTCGTTCATTTAGATCTGACTATATAAAATATGTAGTAGTAGTATGATATATATAGGTCAAGCTACTGGCTAGTGGGACTTGGGATGAGACTATGGGGGTGGTGTGGTGGGTTGAAGAAAATTGAGCGAAATGCGTAAAATCGGGACCCTATTAAATTAATTCATCGATTGGACGAGACATTATTGTTATTATTATTATATTTATTATTATTATTCTATCCTTTTTTGTATATTACAAAGAGTTAGTTTGAATTAATAAACAAGATATATATAGTATTAGATTATGAGCTATGCCCCAGTTCAAGATGACAGGACTAGAAAGGTAGTGTATATATATATATGTATGCATATGATATCATCATATTAAATTTGTATTAACTCTCTCTCTTTCTCGCAACTATAGTTCTTTCATAGTATCTTTAATCAACATGATATGAGAATAGCTGATATTGTGAGAGAGTACGGTGCAAGCAGCAGCAGTAACAATAACAATTACACAAACAATTACACAAACAATTACACAAACAGTTACACCAACAACAATAATAACCAACAAGCATCACATTACCAACAACAACAACAAAGTAACCATCATCAGCAACATGCACAACAATATCAACAGCAGCAACAACAACAACAACATCAACAACATCAACAACACAATGAACTACAAGAATTTGGAGGAGTAGATGGCGATGAAGATGATGATGATGGTAGTAGCGTAAGCTCAAGTAGTGGAAGTGATGAAGAAGAAGAGGAAATTGAACAACAACAAAAACTACAAAAACTACAATATAAACCTACATTTGGTTCAAATATGTTGGTATGTAATAATTATAATTTAATTATAATTGAAGAGAATATATTACTAACAATTTTAATCTCTCTCTCCTCGTTTTAGGCAAAATTTGGATATAAAGAAGGACAAGGTTTGGGTAAAGATAATGATGGTATTGTGAATCCAATTGAAGCAATACAAAGAGTAGGAAAGGGAGGTATTGGTGCTGCACAACCAACATTGGGTGAGATACCCAAACCAGATTACACGGCAGATGAAATACATGGTTTAGAAACAAAAATATTCCCAGCTGATCAACAAGTTGTTTGGATACGTGCAGTCAATGGTGATCAATGGGAAATAGAAAAACAAAGAATACTCGATGTTCAATCAGTCGATGACCTCGACTACCAATTACAAGTATCTGATGCATTTGTCATCCCTGAACGTGGCAATCAAATATGTCCTCCAGAATTGATTGCTAGATTGGAAGAACAGAAAAATGTATTGGACACTGTCGACAGAAATATATTTATTAGAGCTCGTTCAAGAGCCAATCCATATGAAGATATCAAAGGTGCTATTTTCCAAAATAGAGCTGCTCTTAAAATGGCAAATTTAGATCAACTTGCTCAAGTTTCAATGGTACCTAAAATTAAAATCATTTGTTTTTTTTTGTTTTGTTTATTAACTATCATTTCTTTTATTTTTTGTTTGTAGCCAGGAAAAAAGATATACTTTGCAGATGTTTGTGCAGGTCCTGGAGGGTTTACAGAATATTTGTTGTATAGAAAGGTAAAGGAAGGTGGAGCAAGAGGATTTGGGTTTACATTGGAAGGTGATTGCGATTGGAAATTGGACAACTTTACAGATGATAGTCACATTAAATTCACAGCCAATCCAGCGAGTCCCGGACGTGTGTTTCGAGAACATTCGAGAAACTATGTCAATCCAGCTGACACCAATTGGAACTTTATGATTGATTATGGTGCCGACAATGATGGCGATGTTTTAAAGAGTAAAAATATTAAGCATTTTTCAAATCTAGTCTTGAAACGTACAGATGGAAAACGATTGGATCTCTTTATGGCAGATGGTGGTGTGAGTACCGATGGCAATGAAAACAACCAGGAATTCCTTCTTCAACATCTCATTCTTTGTCAATTCCTCATGATGTTTGAAACACTTGGTGAAGGAGGTAACTTTGTTTGCAAGATTTTCGATACATTCAATCCATTTACAATTGGTCTAATGTATTTAGTCTATCTACAATTTGATTCATTTTCAATTATTAAACCTTATACAAGTAGACCTTTAAATTCTGAAAGGTAAAAAGAAATAGAAAATAGAAAATAGAAAATAGAAATAGAAATAGAAAATAGAAATAGAAAATCAATCATACTTACTTTTTATTTATTTTAGATATGTTGTTGCCAAAAAAAAGATGGCAAGAAATCAAAACATTATTGATTATTTACATGTGGTAAACGAAAAATTAAACAAAGGAGAAAATGTAACAAAGATTGTCGATTATGCTGATGATCAATTTAAACAATATGTTTATAAAACAACTAAAGAGTATGTCGAATCATTTGAAAAAAATTAGAAATAGATTTATTCAAAAATATTAATTAATATTATTTTTCTCTAGTTTATGCGAAATCCAAATTGAAGCTTTTAACCATTTATTCTTATGCTTTGGAGACAATACTTTACAAATAGGTGATCATGTAAAAATTAAAGAAGATTGTCTAAAGATATGGAATATCCCAAATGAATCTAGAAATGATAGAAGAAGAAATAATAATTTTAATCGTAATAATAATCATAATAATAGACATAATAATGGTAATAATAACAATGGTAATGGTAGACCATCTTATCATCCATATCCATCACACCAAAATCAAACCAATCGACAAGGTGCTTATAGCCACTTTAATAATAATAGAGATAATAATAATAGAGATATGGGAGAAAAAAATTATGAAAGATTCAATGTGGAAGCTTTGGCAAACGATAGTGAATCATATTCTCATAGTGGAAGTGGAGGAAGAGCACAAACTCTCAAACCATCATCTGCTTTGGGTAAAAGAACCCATCAACAATCTACTACAACCGATCCACAGCTCGACACATCGTCACCTCAGTTTGCAGCTGCAGTTGCAGCTAGAGTTGTAAAAATCCCTAAATAATTATTTATTTATTTCCAAAGATCTATCAAAAATGTGATAATAGAGATTTTTATTTGTACAAACAATTAATCATAAAGATTAAATGATCCATTTGGAAAAAATCAAACGTTGAATAAAAATAAAAAAAAGAAAACATCTTTGTTCTTTTTTTTAATTTTTGGCTATTTTACATTTGTTATGTCTTTGATCATAACAACAAGCAAAAGATGCTTTATGATTTGGTAAATAGATTATTTTGTTATGTCCTTTATGACAATAATCTGCACATGGTTTACAAATCCCTAAAAAAAGAAATATTATTTGGTTAATTATTTTTTTTCTTTTTTCTTTTTTCTTTTTTCTTTTCTTTTCTTACAATTATAAGCACAATCATTACATCTATAATAATCCATTGTATCACCTGGTTTGTAAGAGGTTGAAAAACATTCCTTTGGAATATCTCCTTGAACTGAAATACCTCCGGGTTGAACTATAATTTTTGATCCCTGTGGTAGGTTGCACATTGACAGTGGTTTGCTTTCATCGTCCAATGATATATAATTTGCACCCATTGCCATGGGAGTTTGGGCAACAAATTTACAATTATCATTAAATTTGATAAATGTATAGTCTCCTCCTCTTTGATTCAACTTTTCCACTAGAATCTGTTTGACATCATAAATTGTTGCAGAAGGCTTGAGTGAAATATGTTCTATAGTAATATCTTTGTCTGGAATGATTATTGAAGTTTGAATATTTACAAAGTTTGGTGTAACTGCCACCGATTTTAAATGACTAAAATAAATAAATAAATAAATATATTAATATTAATATTATTTTGTTTAACTACCAAACTTTAGTTTCATACTCTTCAAATGATTTTAATAAAAGATCTATAGTTTGTTGATTACTCTTTTCCAATTTCTCCAAGGAATAACGATATTCCTCTTTTGTTTGTTGTAATATCAAATCATCGCCTTTGTGTTTTAATAATATAGCATTTTTCTCTTGCTCCAATCTATCCCTACCCTCCTTGCATTTTAATTCCAATTGATTATAAAATTCATCATATGCCATTAAAGAAGTTTTAATATATTTCTAAAAGAAATAAAAAGTATAAGTAAAATGTCAACTGTGAATGTTATCTGTAGCATACATACACTAAATAGATCTTGAATAGGTGACAATTTTTGTTCATGGTTGTTGGGACGATTGTTATTATGTTGTTGGTTCTGACTGTTTGCAATCAAATTGTTAAAATAGTTTTTGGAAGCATCTTCCTTTTCCTTGTCAATGATTGAAATGATCTTATCCAATTGATGATTTCTAACGATTGATTCTTTTGTAGTTGGAGCATTACAACAAGGACACTTTTTGTTACGATTTACACATTCAAATATACATTTACTACAAAAGTTGTGTCCACATTGAGTCATTGATGCTTCTTTTATATTACAAAAACCTAAATACAAAGAGTCAATATTGATTAGTAATGATGAGGTAGGGTAAGGAATATAATAGTCATCGTACAAATAGGACATGATATCTCTTCCATCAATGGTTTGAGAGGGATAGTAAGGTTAATCTCTGGGTCATCTTCTATTTGAATCATGATAGTTGTTTGTTTTATTTAGTTGTGGTTGTATATACAGATTCCTTTTTAAAATCTTTATTTATAGATAAGTTGTGAATAGTTAATATATACAAATATATTAATGATAATGAAAAGTTGTCAAGCGACCATCACTCTCAGTAAAGACCAAGATAAAATTGTATTAATTTCCAAAGTAATGCATCGAAATAGTTTCAGCGAAACCGAAGTTCTCAAATTTAAAAAACTCACCTTTCTCCACCTCACACACTCAATGAAGATACCTCATTTAGTTGTTGTTCAACTTAGATTGTACAAATATATATCTTATCGTCTCGACTATTAGAGTTTGATGATGAATAATAATAATAACAACAATCTAGCAGCAGCAAATGCAGCAGCGGCGGCGGCGGCAGCAGCAGCAGCAGCAGCGATGGACGCTGAAGCTACGGGAGGAACATACTTTTGTAGCAAATGCGGGCAACTTAAAAAGGGACATACCTGTCCTGTAGTAGCACCTAGATCGATGGCTACAGAGACATCGTTGCCTCTGATGATGGCAGCATCGACACCTGTCATGTCTACACGTAGACAATACACACAACAACTACAGCAACTACAACAACAACAGCAACAAGTCGCATCTATCCAACAACTGGCACCAGCTCAACTACAACAATACCAACAACAACTAATGATGCAACTCGCAAATCTACACTCACAACAGCTACAGTTACAAGGACAACCTCAACAGTTGCAACAGATACAAGCACAAATCATGCAAGTTCAACACATGCAACAACTATTTGCACAACAACAACAGGCTCAAGCAGTTGCCCAACAACAACAAATCATACAACAACAGCATCTACAACAACAACAAGCTCAACAAGCTGTCGCTGCTGCAGCCGCACTTCAACAACAGCAACAACAACAGTTACATCAACAACCCTCATCTACACAAATCACCAATACACCACACCAACAAACTACTATAGTACCTCCACAATTACAACTACAAGGTACTCCAGGTGCAATGCCATTGGTGTTTATGGGTGCATCATCTGAAGAAAAAAGAGCAAGAGAAAAGAATGCCTCTGATTTTAATATGTGGTTCTTGTTGGAAAGACAAGAAAGATATCCTTATTATGTATGTAACAAAATATAAATAGTTTGATTTATATTTAAACTAACTTTTGTTGTTTTCAATTTAGTTTGATCTTCATACAAAAACAATTCAAGTAATTGGTAGTTGGTATGTTGATGTATCGGATGCATGGGATGGATATTCATTGGTTGAAAAGAGACAAATGCTAAACAATACACAAAAGTTGGCAAATCAACGTCACTCTTTTCTACAGAAACAACATGATATTGCCAGTCACGAAGAGGAGAAGCAAAAGAGAGAGCAAACAAGAATAAAGGACGAAAAGAAGATGGAGATTGCCAAACAGATGCGTCAGAAACAAATAGATGAAATCAAAGAGAAAATAACAAAGCCAAAGACCAATGTGACAGCCTTTTTCCACTACCTCAATGACAATAGAGAAACGGAAAAGAGAGCACAACCAGAACTATCTTTGGCAGACATTTCAAAAGTGTTGGGTCAGAAATGGAGAGTGTTGACAGACGACGAAAAGAAGCCATACCACACCAAGGCTGCAGATGATCGTGTCCGTTTTGATGCCGACATTATAGAATACAAAAAGCAAATCCAAGACGCAATTGATATGCTCGCTCCTATCGATCTCAATACTATAGAACTACCAGAAGAACCTGCTCCCGTTCAACCACAACCACCTCCACAACAACAACAACCTCAACCAACCGTCATCAATCCACCACAACCAGGTGCTGAAAAACGTTGTGAAACATGTGGAAGCTCCGATAACAAAGATCAAACTTTTTCTTGTATCGGTTGTCATCGTGTATATCATGGAAAATGTCTTCAATTAAATCAATTAGCTATTGATACTATTAAAAGAAATGGTAATTGGAAATGTATTGTAAGTAAAAAAAGGAAATAGATAATAGAAAAAGAAAAAAGAAAAAAAGTATATTTATTTATTTTATTTTATTTATTTTTTTAGGATTGTAAACTTTGTGAAGTATGTAATGAAGGAGTACATGAAGATAAAATGATGTTTTGTGATGTTTGTGATAAAGGATATCATACATTTTGTTGTTCACCAAAATTGGATGCTCCACCTACTGGTGGTTGGAAATGCAGTCAATGTGTACATTGTATTCATTGTGGATCTAGATCGGCAGGTCCATCTTCGAGCTCAAAGTGGAATGCCAACTATACAGTGTGCGAAGTTTGCACACCAAAGGTGCAAGACAAGAAATACTGTACAGTCTGTAGAAAGATCATCAAGAGCAGTGGTGAAAAGAAACCAATCGTACAATGTGTCTATTGTGATCGTTGGACACACGCTGGTTGCGATTCAATCACTGAAGAATTTTTAGAAAAGATGAAAGAGAATCCAAACTATCACCAATACAAGTGTCCCACCTGCAAGACTGGTAACTATGCCCAGAGCATCTCCAAAACCGTCCAAGGAAGAAATCTCATGAAACCAATTGTAGAAACATCAGAATCATCAGACGATGAAGAAGATGAAGAGGAAGTAGTTCAACCAACATCAGTCTCTAAACGTCGTTCAAACAACAATAACCAAGAAGAAAAACCATCATCTAGAAGACCAACCAAAAGAAAGAAACGTACTGAAGAAGATGATCCTGAAGAAGAAGTTTCTGATGTTAATGTTGATGAATAAATTAAAATATAAATAAATACAAACAAAATAAGAAATGGTAATATATAGATATTCCAAAAAAAAAAAAACGGTGTCTATATCAACACCTGGTTAGAGTTGGAAAAAAATAAAAGGACTGAAATTATTGTTTATGAATCAAAAAGTGAAGTATATAAAACACATCGTATTTTAAAAAGAGTTGGGTATAAAAGAATCTTGTCTTGCTAAGCTTTGGATTCTATTATTGTTTTATTATTTTTTTGTTATTATTTATTTGTATATACATTATTTAATTTATTCGTTACCACTGGTAGATAAAGTTTTGGCTTCAGATAATTTAGCAATGGAAAGTCTATAGTTCTTTTCCAAAGATTCAGCACTACAATAATTAAGAGAAAAGATAGATACATAGTTAGTTAGGATGTAAAAAAAATAGTAATAATTATAATTATTAATCTTTCTTACTTTTCAGCAGTAATTCCGAGGTCACGTAAATAACCATCTTGAATACCATAGACAAAACCAACAACATCAACCTTTTGACCACGTTTCCAAGCGTTTTGCATAATGGTAGAGTTACCAATGTTCATGACTTGTTCGACAACATTTAATTCGCACAAGAGGTCAACTAATCTCTTGCGAGAGAGGTTGGTGAGCATCGATTGATGCTTGTAGATGGTATCTCTAATGTGGAGGAGCCAGTTGTTGATAAGACCCAACTCTGGATTGTCATAGGCGGCCATGACACCACCACAGCCATAATGACCACAGACAATGATGTGCTCGACCTTGAGGACATCGACGGCGTATTGGAGGACGGACAAACAGTTCAAATCAGTATGAACGACCAAGTTGGCGACGTTACGGTGAACAAACAATTCACCTGGCTCCAATCCAGTCAATCTTTCGGCTGGCACACGACTGTCAGCACATCCAATCCACAAGTACTTTGGTGATTGAGCCAATGACAATCTTTCAAAGAATGTTGGATCTTCATTTTTAATTCTTTCACACCATTGGTGATTGTTATCAATTAACTTTTCAACATCTTTATTCATTTTTCTTGGGGAAATTGAATTTGAAGAAGAAGCAGATGTAGCAATGGTAAGATTGTTGGGATTCATTTTTTTTAAAAAAAGAGAGAATATTAAAGATTAATAATTATTATTATAAACAAAAATATATTATATTATATTTGTGTGAAGTTGGTTGTTTAGACAAAAAAAAAGAAAAAGAAAATAAATTATTATTATTATTTATATTATATACAAAAATTTTATATACAACTAATGAGAAGGATTATATATATATATATATAGTGAATGAGGAGGGGATTATTTGTTTTGTTTTTTTTTTTTAGATAGATTGAGTGAATGAGATTATGACGATTGTTGGTTATGATATTTGATATTATTCTGTTTTTTTTTTTATCTATTGTTTGTTTGTTTGTTGGTAAGACCAAGTGTGACACAATGAGTGGATTGGTTGATGATATGCTAGTTGTTAAGATGAACTACTACTTTAATGAATTAAATTTAAAAGTAATATATGGTGTATTTGTCGTTCTTTCTTTTTATCTGTTTATCTCTATTTATCTGTTTATCTATCTATCTATGTTCTTGTTATTATCGTTGTTGTTGTATGTACAAGAGCAAATAATGGATCAATCATCACAAAAGAACAAGGAGGGATACTATCTAATCACTGGTAAAAACAATTGTTGTTTGTTTGTTGTTTGTTGTTTTGATCACGATGATGTATGTTTGCTCACCTTATCGGGGTATTGAAGAATGATAAAACTAATTCTTCGACTTTCGTTTATAGACACTACAGAATCAACAACCGTCCTTGAACAATTAATTTATGATTAAAAAAAAAAAAATCAGCACCCGACCTGGTGTGTTTAAAAAATCGATTTTTTGTGAGTGAAATGGGGTCGGTCACGGCCCTAAACGGTGGTAGTGTTGATGGGGTCGACCGAGCGCTTCAGGAGTGATGATGGGGTTTACCTGGGATTGATCCAAACACCATTCAGTGCCGAGAATATCAAATAATCAAAAATGTTTAAAGTAAGTAAATGAAACGAGTTGTTTAAACAATCGGAATAAGAGGGATTAATCAATCAATCGTTCCCAAAGCCAAAGATATTGAATATTAATTTATATTATTTATATTATTTATAATATTATTATATTTGACATTCTTTAAAGAACATTTATTTATTTAAATACTAAATAATCGTGAATTCTGGGATGTACAAGCGGGGGTAGGTAGATAGATACCTGCTAAGAAAAGCAGGGTTGAAGAGGATGTGGGAGGATGTGGGAGGATTGGGGAGGATGGATAGATCATCATTATCTAGATTGAGATGGTGAATAACGTTTTGGAGCAGATGAAGGAATCCTTTTGGAGTGTTGTGGTTGGTTCCATGAACGTTTCGATTTATCGGATTGGTCGATGGTCGACGAAAAGGGTTGAGTCTTTTTTCTTTTTGGTGGCGTTTCTGATGTTGTTGTTGTAGTGGTAGTAGTGGTAACGGACTCGGTTTCCTTTTCTTCGTCTATATTATTATTATTATTGTTGTTGCTGTTGCTTACTTCTTCATCTTCATCTTCTTCTTCTCCTATATCACTGGATGTAGTTGAAGAGGATGGAAGAGATGTGGAGGTGGTAGTAGTTGTGGATGTAGTGGATGGTGGTTGTGGTGGTTGTGGTGGTTGTGGTGGCGGTGTCTCTGTATCTCTCTTTCTCTTGTCTGTAGTGGCGACGGCGGGAGGTTCATCTGAACTTGAATGGTTGTCATTCATGGTATCGTCACTAGTTGAGAGGTTGGCACTTGAAATGGCGGCAGTATGGAGTGCAAGAAGAGAGGATGGTGATGCAGTGCCTGGTGGTGTGTTGGCGGCTGGTGGCGTTGTGGTTGTGGTTGTGGTTGGATTGGTAAGAATTGGTGATTCGACAGTTATACAATTCTTATTAAATGCAATTACAAACTCTCCAAAATCTTCATAGGGATCTGGAATAATATCAACAACTCCCCAATACCCTAAAATAATAATTAAATAAACCATAATTAATATTCCAATCAAAAAATGAATAAATAAATCATTCTACTTACGAATATCAGCTGATTCTATTTGTTGGAAAAGTTGAGTTTGTTGAAGTAATATATACATTAAATCCATTCTTGAAATTTGTGTTTCTAATTTGAAAATAATTGGTTAATTGGTTAGTTTTTGATTTGATTTTGATTTGATTTGATTGGATATATTTACTAGAATAAAATTTATGGTGTTTGTTTACAATGGTCTCTAAAAGATCCAACTGGAATAATTTGATTCCATTATGAACAACAAAGTTGGCAGATGGTGGATGATTTTTTGTTTTCTTGGTAAGAGTAAATAGACATGTTGCTGTAATATAAACCCTAAAATTAAAATAGATAGATAAGATAGATTGGTTAATAACTATTTACTTTATAATTTATATATTAGAGGAGGTACTTACAATTCAGTATTTTTCAAACTTGATTCAAATGGAATACCTTCACTACAAAGTATACAGTTATTGACGATACCACAAGGTTTGAATTTACCCCTTGGTTTTGATGGTCTTACAGTTGTTGGAGTAGACACTCTTTTAAGTGGGTTAGAGAACCTAGCAATAACAGGTTCAATTGATTTATCCGATGAATCATATAAATCACCAAGTCCAAGACTTTCATTTAATTTCCATGCAATCGATACTAAATAAATAAATAAATAAATTAATATCTTAATATTTATAATTTCACAATTTTACTCAACATACCACCTTCCTCTTTTGGTCTTCTAACAAATACTTCTACTTGACGATTAATCAATGATACCAATGCCTTTTTTATTCTTTGGTCATCTAATAAAGAATAACAAAAATAATTAATAAATGTTAAATATTATGATTATTATTGATTTCCACCATGTGTAATTAAAACATACATTGTTTTTTTGGACTAAACATTGACCAATGATATTCAATGATTGGATCAAGTTCCTTTCTTGAAACATATACATTCTTATTGTTAATTTGTAATACATAGAATACAACTAATAATATTTCAAATCTATAAATAAATAAATAAATAAATAGATAGACAAAGATTTGGGGGTGAGTGTATGAACAATTGGATATATTTTGAATAGTCAAAACAATAATTGATACTTACGTTCTCAATTCAACATCTTTTGTCAATTTTTCACGAAGAATGGGTGGTAAACCTTTATGACAAAGTGCACAACTAATCAATCGACAACTTGTAACTCTTTCATAGGAACTTGAATTTTTTGTCGATGACGAAGTGTCTTCATCTTCCTCTTCTGATGTAGTGCAAATTTCATCTTCATCTTCTAGACTGACGGAATTACGGTTGTAGCCGTATTGACGTGGTGATGACGATTGGGGTGATGACGATATAAGTGGAGATGATGGTGGTTGTGGTATGGCTATTGGAGGCATACGTGTTGGAATTGATATTGATTGTGATGAACCTTGTTGTTGTTGATATGGACGTTGGTTGGGTTTGTAATGTGGTACTGCTCCAGAATGAAATGGTGGAGTTGAACTGATATTGGTTGTGGTAGTATTAGTGGTATTGGAATTCATTCCTTGTAGAGTTGATGGGGATGATGATGGTGAATGATGATGGTGATGGAAATGTTGAGTTGTTGGACTTGTTGATGAGGATGATGATTTTTGAGAGGAAGAAGAAGAGGATGAAGAAGGTTGTTGAACTTGAACCATAAGAGGTGGTTTATGAGATGATGATGAAGATGATGAAGAATATAAAGCAAGAGAAGGCATACTATTTAAAGATGCGTATTGTTGAGCAATTGCTTGATGATAGTTCATTTGTTGTTGTTGCAATTGTTGTTGTTGTTGAAGTTGTTGTTGTTGTTGTTGGTATTGCGCGTGTTGGTGTTGGTGTTGTTGCAAGATTTGTTGTTGGTGTTGATTATGTTGTTGGTGTTGTTGACTGTGTTGTTGGTGTTGTTGGCTATGATGTTGATGCGTTGGTTGTTGAGGTGGTGGTAGTGGTTGAGGTTGAGGATGTGTTTGCGGTTGCGACATTGATAATGGTGGAGTGGTGGATATTTGGGAAGAACTAGAAGGTTTATAGATACGAATAGGACCACCTCTATAGATACTATCAGGTTTGGCCGTATTGGCCTCTAGATCCAATTCCAATTGATCCAAAATATGAACTCTATTGGTCTCACTTTCCTCAGCCTCTTTGGGAGAAAACAAAGTTTCATTATGTCTAGTATCATTGTACGACGCTATTCTACCCATGATCGTTGATGAGCTTAGTAAAGCACCAGGTATCGATGGGTCACTATTATTATTATTATGATCCATGATATTTTTGACATAAAATTGGTGTATTGTTCCAGTATACCTATTTTTACATTCTGTCAGTGTACATTCTTTGGATCTTATAAATTCCTTAACCTAAACAAAAAACAATAAATAGAAATAAATCATTTTTGTTAATACACAAATTTGTGATTGATTGGATTGATTGAAATTAGATCGATATATTATACTACTACATACTTCACCAGATTCATCAAATCTAACATTATCAGCAGTAAAATTAATAGTTTTTTTTGGCTTTAATTTTCGGTGGATGACAGACATGGCCGATGTTATTAGTTTTTCATCGAGAGATTTCAAGAACAACGACCAAACATATTTTGTAAAGTTGTCTAGAAAGATGATGATAAAGATGTTGTCTCTTGGATCTCTTCCCAATACTTCTTCAACTCCAAATATAATTCTTTCATGTCTATCCTTTTCCTTTTCTTCTTCATGATTATTATTATTCTTTGTAGAATTGTTGTTGTTGTTATTACTATTCCTTATTCCACTCATATTACTATTACTACTATTACTATTATTATTGATGTTCATGATTCTTTTATGTTGCATATATATATATATAATAATATAAATATATATTTATATAAGTGTTGAAATTTGAAATTTGATCAATTTAGATCTTGAATGTCCTTGATGCAAGAAGAAAGAGAAGTTAAAAAATAAACAAAAAAAAAAGAGTTGAAGTTGAGGTTTTGAATATGTATGTATGCAGTGATAGTATTAATTGTAGAGGATAGGGTGCGTGTGTGTATGTGTATGTATGTTTGTGAGTTGTGAAAAAAGTATCATTCAGAGATGAACTTGAAACTATGAAGTAAGGGGGTATCTCTCTATTCACTCTCACCACACACTGCTGATACTACTGTTTGAGCGATGCGACGATGATAACTGACAAAAACACTAATAACAATAATAATAATAACAGAGAGGCACTGATGTGCTTTGTCAGCTGTCAATTGTTGGGTTGTCTCTCTGTCTGTTTTTTTGATTTGCGCAAACAAACAGTTTTTAATAGGCTAATTGCGAAGAGAAGGAGGAGAAGGAGCGCGGGTACGGGCAGACGAAACCAAAAAATCTGTAAGGTTTGCCCAAAATAACAATATGAGCCACCGATCCGTGGATAGATGATGCACGTCAGATGGAATTGGCAATTGTTGGTAGCCCTTTTTTGAAAGATGCCACCTATGGAAAGAAAGGCAGGGAGGACTCTCTGAGACCGGGCCTATATTAAACATCATTGGATGTTCCAAACAACACTAGTGCAGATGTCAGCAGGTCTTATCTGGTTTGATTTCTTGAAAACTATGTTGGTGAGCGGCCGTTACCTAAAGATCGCAGTTGTTGTAAAAGAGTGACGATAGATGCCAGCTCCGAGTTAACTGCTCTTGTTGTTGTTAACAGCGCTGCCCCATCTGCTGCTCTGTTCAAAGTGCTGAATCGACAAAGTAACAACAAAGCATCCACCCAACCCAGCCTGCCATAAAGACAAAATTAAATTTTAATCAAATGCACTGAGGTGGTCAAATTAACAGCAATGCAAACCAACTTTGCTTCACTTTTACTCCCTCCTTTCTCCTCACCTCCCCCAAACTACCAACCAATTAGTTTAGTAGCAACACGTGCTAGTGATCAGACACTGTTCTTTAAGCAGAGAGAGACAGACAAGACAAGAAAGAGTGGGTCAATAGAGAAAGAGAGAGTATCTTCAACCACCACCTACTTTATTCTAAAAAGATCCAATCATCATATATATATAGCTAGCGCGATGACTAACGAGGAGGAACAAGTATCTAGAATAGAAGGTGAAACTAGCGTCGTTAACCATGCTAGCGTTACAGTGGTATCTGGTTACAATAATAGTAACAACGATATATATCTTTTGAAACCAATTCAAAGTATGATTGATGTTCAATAATATATAAGATGGGATGAGATCGAATAAAGATAAAGAAGAAGATATGAATACAAAGAAAGATATCTTTCTTTTCTTTTGTTACTTCCTTCCTTTCTTTCTTGAATGATCAAGATCAATTGTACTGACTATGACCATCAATTCTCAATTTCAACTTCAATCATCTATAGGACCTCCAGAATGTATAACGGGAGAAGTCAACCTACTTGAAAAGTTTAACATGTTAAAGATACTAAGAGACTTTAACTCTAAACATCTATCATCAACTTATAAATCTTATGTTAGAAATCTACCTGGTGATAATTATATTAGAAGAGAAAAGAGTCATTCTTCTTCCTCTTCACATCAGTCTAACAATATTGCTGCAAATCAACAACATCCAACACCTCCAACACCCAACTCAATTACTTCACCTCCACAACAACAACAACAACAACAACCAGATGGATCTATATCATCACCTAGTACACAATCTATAAATGGATTAAGCAAGTTGGTCGAACAAGAAAACTATTATGACGATCAACAAGAACTCATTTTACTTTCACTTGGAGAGAGCCAATTAAAGTCGGCATTTACTCTTCAGGATGGTGGATACATTCGACCTGATAAAGACAAAAAGAAACATAGACATGATAAAAAGAAAAAGAAAAGAAAACATCGTGATGATCCACAAAATGGTTCTGGGTCTGGAGGAATGTTTCCAGTTTCATTATCAACAAATATGAATGCAGATGGAAATATGGAACATAAAAAGAAAAAGAAAAGAAGAGATAGAGATGATAATATTACTGTTGAACATTAATAATAATAATAATAGAATACTTTAAAAAATATAGAAACTAATAAATAATAAATCAAATTTGTAAATAATTATTAAATTAAAAAAAGTATAGGATTGGGATTGATTTTTGTTTTAGATTTATACAATTATTATTTTATTTATTTTACTTATTTATTTATTTATTAAATGATCCACCAAATTTATATAACCAACTCTTTAATGAATCTGCAATAGGTGATGTATTATTTTGTTGTTGTTGTTGTTGTGCTGATAAATTATTACTACTATTATTATTATTATTAAATGTATTATTATTATTATTTGTTGGTGATACTGAAGTTATAATTGGTGATGAATAGGTTGGTGAATAACTACCAATTGGAGATGATGGATTATTATTAACTTTGGCAAATGGATTGAACATTTGCAAGTAGGATTGACCAGATTTGAATACATCCTCTGTATTCAATTTAAAAGTTCCGTCTCGCAATGATAACGCAGTCGAATAAATAGTATGAAATTCAATATTTTGTGGATATGATTGTAATAGTTTTAAACTATCTGCAAATGATGATTCCAATATTTGATTTCTTACACATCTAAATAAATAAATAAAGAAAATTAAATTAGAAATTATATAATTATGATTTCTTTCTATATAATAATTTTAATACAAACATTAACATTGCACAACAAAAATAATACAAGAATTCAAATCTATTTGGATCAGAGAATAATGAATCCCATAATCTTAATACATCTGGTAACTCAAATTCTTGTGATAAAAGTAAAGTAATCCATCTAAAACTATAAAATTGTGGATGTATTTGTTTTGTTTCCTAAAAATAAATAAAAAAATAATAAATAAATAAGTATTCATTATCATATATTATATTTATATCTATTTGACATTTACCAAATCATTCCATAATTGTCTATCCTTTTTTCTTAATAAAAAGTTTAGTTTTTTGATACTACTAATGACACCAACATCTGATTTATCGAGTGTCTTGCAAAAATTGTCTCTAATTTCGCTCATTATATTGGTAAAACAAAAGAAAGAGTCGGCTTCGGCACCCTCCTTGCAATCGGCGTCTGGATCGGTTGCAAATATATAATAGATGGGTCCCAATATCTCATTCATGCCTTGAACATATTTAATTCCTGGATTCAACTTTGCATAGATGAATAATATACGTCTGAGTGCTTCATAGTGGATGGTCTTTCCCTCTTCTTGTTGATGATTGAAAAAGTGTAACGATGGGAATGTTCTTCTTACATCTTTTTCAATATCAACTAAAATATTTTGATCTTGGAAATATTCATTCCATTTACTATCAACTGATACACTTAGTGGCTAAATTAAATGTAAATATTAGTATTGATAAAATAATAATTATTAATTATTATTGATTGATTGATTGATAATTACATGATCATCACGATGAATTTTCTTTTCTTCTTGTTCTTTCCATGGATTAATCATTAATTCCATAACCCAATCTTGATATATCTTTCTACTTCTTTCTACATCTGATTTCCATGATCCCTTTTCGCTTGGTAAATATCCCAATATGATCTAAAGATACATAACAATCTATATTAGTTATCTCATATGATTAATTTAATATTTATACTATACCTTCCAATAAATTGATCTTAATCCTTGAGATTCGGGAATACCTTGATCGGCAAGATGTTGAATGACCGATAAATCAATGGTTGATGGTTTGAGTGCTTCCTTGTAATAATGAAGTCTCTCTTGATAGGTTATATTACTTTGTAATGATGGTGATTGATCACCACCTCCTCCCAATACATTAATAGTTGGTATATTTGTTGTTGTATTATTGGTATTGGTAGAAGTGGTAGTACTGGTAGTTGATTCGGTGATTACTACTTCTACTTCTTGTTGTTTTGTTGGTTCTTGAGTAGTTTCAATTACTTCTGATGATTGATTTGTTGTAGTAGCTTCATCGGTGGTGGTGATGATAACTGCTGTTGCAGTAGTTGTAATCAAAGTTTCTTGACTGTTGTTGTCAACATCATCGGATAGAGTAATATTCTGTAATGCCTCTTCGTTGTTGTTGTTGTTGGACAATGATACAGCTTGCAAGTCACTATTGTCATCTTCTTGATCTACCTCATTGCCACTACTACTACTTATATTAATCTGATCGCTGCTACTGCTTGTAGTGTCATTGTTGATGGTGACGAAATCCTCATCTTCAATTCCTTCTTCTTGTTGTTGTCGTAGTTCTGATGCTGCTTCTAATAGCGTATGATTAGGTTCGCTCATTCTCTCTAACTAACTTTTTTTTATTTGTGATTGATTGATAATGATGATCGAGAATGTAGAAACTGAACTGAAATGGAAAAGGAATAAAAAAGAATAAAAACAGAGCTGTTTAATTGAGTTGTCTTGTTGTCTGTTTAGAAAACAAAAAAAAAATCTCCCTCAAACAACGCATACGTATACACTCACCCGCTAACAACAAGGTAGGGTTGTTTGATACTATTATTATAAAGATGAATCATTCTTTCTATTTCGTCGCATCAGAATCAATCCATTCATCCATCTCATCACATTATTATTAAAATACAATGATTGATTGATTGATTGATACATATAATAAATCTACAGATTATTATTATTATTAGTTTAGTTAAATTATTATCTCTTTTTAAATAAAAAAGGAGATGTAAAAGATGAATGACTATGTCGTAGTATTGACTGTCGATGACAGATATAAAATATTATATTATTTATATTATTATTATTTTATTACTGGTTTATTCGAATTTGAGAATAATAGGTAGAAAAATGGTTTTGCAGATTTTACTATGATGACCAGACTTTTAATTGTTTCATTTATTTATTTCTCATCTGCTCTTTCTGTCTGTCTCTTCTGGTCATGATTAGTGAATACCAATCGTCAGTGATCACTGAAGAGATAATTGAAAAGTTTCAAAAGGCACACTTGGAGGATGTCGAGCGTATCCTGGTGGACAGCGTCACCAACCTAAAGAGGTTTGTCAACTTGCCTATCGACAAGATCAAGGCTGTGCATGAAGAGTTGGCAAGAACCTATGCATTCTCACCTGTTTGTGCATTGGATATGTATCAAGATAAATTACAACAGTCTCAACAACTTTGTAACAACAACAACAATGTACTTGAAACCAAGTCTATATTGGATAGACTGTTAGAGGATGGTGGATTGGTTCGTGGAGAGATAATAGAGATTGTTGGAGACACTGGTTCTGGAAAGACACAAATAGCAATGCATACAACACTATCTATTGTTGAACCTGTAGATGGAAGAGCCTATGGTGATAGTGGTAGTGGTGGTGATGATGATGATGGTGATGTGTCAGTAGGTGATCTTCATCCTACTACTACTACTACTACTGCTACTAAAATCACACCAATAAACACGGCTATCTATATTGATGCATCTAATGCATTCTCGGTAGATAGAATAGTAGAGATGCACAATCATAGATTAATCAACAAGGGTATTGGAACTGACCCATTGCAAACTGTCAATCACATGCTCGACAAGATCAAGACATTTAGTTGTTTTGAACCAATGCAATTGTTTCAAACGTTGGAACATGTAATGACATCACTTCAGTCGACTGATGCACCTGAAGAGTTTTTTGGCTTCTTGGAGAATGGTAATGCACAAGGCAACAATAACAATCGATTCGATCCAGGTGCATTCTATCGTAACCTCAAGCTAATTGTTATTGATTCGATAGGTACCATATTCTCTGGTACTCTTGGTATCAAACAAATACATGGACACTATATAATGATAATGGTATCTAGATTACTCAAAATCATTGCCTATGAACATAATATCGCTGTTTTAATCATAAATAATACAGTATCACAAGATAATTATCAATTTAATAATAATAATGACAAATTTACTCCTGTAACATCAAATCAACAAGATGAAGATGATGAAGGAAATACTACCAATAATAATAATAATAATAATAATAATAATAATAATAATAATATTAGTACTGGATTATTGGATAGTCAAAAACCTGCATTGGGAGAATCATGGGCATCCATTCCAAATCATCAACTAATGATCTCTTATCAAGTCGATTCAGATGATACTGAAACACGATCCATATTCATATCTAGGTCCACTAGATACCAACTTTTAAAACAATCTGATTTCCAGATTGAACCACATGGCATTGTTTAAACAATCCCAGTGTCATTGTAAATAAATGTACAAATATATTATATTATATGCTTGATCATAACATCTAACGATCTCTCTATCACATGTTTTTTTTGGTTAATATACTTTTTGATTTATTGGTTGGTGTGTAGGAGGTGAATTTAATTAATCTTGGCTACTCTATCTTGTTATGTTATTGTTGTTGGTTCCACTTGTATTGTCTTTGTTGTTGTTGTTGTAGTTATTGGTTGTTTGTTTGGTTTGTTTAAAATAAGTCTAAAACGGTAAAATATTACAGGTTGGTATATATTTATGAATGGTGATGAATTGATTGGATTGATTGGTTGATTGGAATGGCCATAGTCGATTATGCATAAACGCATGATTCGGTTCATTCATGAATGGATGATGGTATACAAAGTGGTGTGGATAAATAGAGAGAACGTTGATGTTGTTTGTTGTTGTTTTAAAATGTCGATTATTATTGTTGGTTATATTATTATTATTGATTCAAGTTGATTTACTTTCTCCACCATGTGAGAAGAGCTTGTTCTCTTTGAATCTTCTTTTGGAGTTGGAGGATACCATAAACAAAAGCCTCGGCAGTTGGTGGACAACCTGGGATATAAACATCAACTGGAATAATACGATCACAACCTCTGACAACAGAGTAACTGTAATGATAATAACCACCACCATTGGCACATGAACCCATAGAAATTACATATCTAATCAATTAAACAACAAACAACTTGGTTAGTTATCGTTTACTTATGCTCTATCTTTTCTATCTAAACTATATCTATCTTGTCTATCTATCTTCTATTTGTATTCTCTCTCTCTCTCTCTCTTCTTATCTATTCTCTAATTACCTTGGATTTGGCATTTGATCGTAAACCTTACGAAGAGCAGGAGCCATCTTGTTGGTGAGAGTACCAGCAACGATGATACAATCAGATTGACGTGGTGAAGCACGAGGAATGACACCAAATCTATCCATATCGTATCTAGCAGCGTAACCGTGCATCATTTCTACTGCACAACATGCAAGACCAAAGGTCATTGGCCAGAATGAACCTGTACGAGCCCAATTGACCAAACCATCGAGCTTGCTAATAACAATCTCTGGTACTGAACTTGGTGGTGCTGCCTTGAATGAAGATGCCAAAAGCTTTGAAAGATGTTGTCCTGCTTGTGATGCCATTTGTACTATCTATCTATATCTATCTCTATGTGATACGATTAAATTGACGATGAATATAAGAAGTTAAATTAATCTTTCATTGACCCACTCGATTGCTGCTCAGTCTGAGGTGTGAGAAAGGACAAGGAGAAGCAAAAAAAAAAAAAGATAAAAAATTCAAAAAATTACACCCTCGAAAATGATCATCATCCAGTCGGTCCACTCATAATATTAATATATATATATATATGTATTTACTATTAATTATGGATCACTAAAACAACCAACCAACCAACCAAACCAACCAATTACAATTTAACTATACAACTTTATTTTCTATGATTGGATATGATATTATTATTATCCTCTTTTCTTTAATTTATCGTGAGTAGATGACCGAGTTTTTCTTTTTATTACTGCTGCTTCATCTATATATATATATATATATATATATATATATAGAGAGAGAGAGAGGGAGAGGTTAAAGAAATAAATAAATAAATAAATGGAATTAATAAATAAATAAATAGATAATAAATTAATATGATTATTATTAATATTAATATTTTTATATTTACCTCCAATATCTTTATAATTATCAGATAGATTTTTATCATTTATGGAATCTTGATAGGTGGAAGATGACTGTGAAAATATTCTATCGGCCTCTCTCCATCTTAATTTTTTGAGGGCACCCGATCCAGAAACATATCCATCCCAACCTCTAATGACATTGCCAATATGATGTGTTTCCTCTAGATATCTTCCTTCCAATGCATATATTTGTTTCTCGAGTGATGATATCTTGTTCTCTATATTCTTTTTCTCTTCTAGTAATGATTCTATTTCGTGTATCACTTCTGTTTTCTCTCTTATTTGTGTTTCTGTAAGTCCAGGTGCTCCTCCTCCTGTATTTGTCGTTGATGTAGTTGATGTCGTAGTCGTCGATGTTGTTGATGTTTGATTTGATTCTTCATCTTCTTCTTCCTCGTTTTCAACATCTTCACTCTCTTCATTCATATCTTCATCTTCATCCATTTTCTATATATATTTTTTTGTTTGTATGTGTCTCGAGAAATGATAATGAGATTACAATAGACACAATATAGTAAGTAGTACTATTAGAGTAATGTATTGTTATTTACTCTATAGAGTATATATTGATCCGTTAAAGATTGGGTGAGTGTTGCTTCCCTCTCTTTTTAAAACAAGAAATGAAAGATCACTTTTTTTTTAAATTTTTCAAAAAAGTAATCTTTGATCCAGTATTATCTTTTAATAAATATATATATATATATATATCTGTGTGTATATGTATATTTTCCAACTTTAATAAAATAAATGAAAACTATAAAATATTTTTTTAGAGGGAAAAAAAAAATATACTTTTTAAAAATAGTATATTGTTGGGGTATTATGCTTTATTATTCAACAATTGGTTAATTGACATTGAAAGAGGTGATAATGGCAAAGAAATCGATTTTGGTTTAAAATTGCTATTTGGGGTAGTTGGAAAGATATTGTTATTGTTGTTGATGGTTTGTTGTTGTGGTTGTTGTAATTGTGGTCTGCATTCCTCTAATACATCACATAATAGAGAAAGGTTTGATACGGAATTGTTATTATTATTATTAGTATTGTTATTGTTATTGTTATTGTTATTATTATTATTATTATTATTATTATTATTATTATTTTGGATAAAATCTCTTGGAGAGGAGTTGATTGCTAAAAGTTTACTATTGGATTCATTCAAACTGTCTGGAACAAGACGAAAAGATGATTGAGATTGGAAAGGTGACATTGATGGAGTGGAAGTTGGTGTAGATGGTGATGATGAATTGGGTGGAGTATAAGGTGGAAGTGGTAAAATGGAACCAGATCCCGATAAACTATTGTTGTTGATGTATTGTTGTGGTTGTTGTTGTTGGTGTTGAATATTAGTATTTCTTGGTGAAGTTGGGAAATGTAAAGATGGTGATGATGGTGGTGAAGAATAATTTGGATTTAAACTGAGTGTTGGAATATCTCTTTGTTGTTGATTCAAAGAAATATTATGATGTGTTGTTTTGGTTCTCTTGGTTTGTGACGACACATTATTTTGATTATTATTATTATTATTGTTATTGGATTGAATTTGTGAAATATGTAATGGAGATGATGATGGGGAAGTTGTAGCACTTGAAATGTCATTATGGTTAATATTAATATGGTTGCTACTTGAACCGAGTTGATCATGTTGTGATTGTTGTTGTTGTTGTTGTTGATAGTGATGATGTTGATAACCCTTCAAACCAAAAATATTTTGAAGAGAGTTTATAATTTGTTGATGATATTGCAATGGATTGATATCATTTGATGCAGGGGATGTTTGTAAGACGGCAACGATTTGATTGATTTGTTGCTGTTTGATGTCATTGTCGTGTTGGAGTTTCTCAATGACCGACATGTAGTGACCGGGGACTAGTGATTCCTTTTCCAAAACGTCGATACGGAACTTGGTGTCCTTGAGCTCTTGTTCGAGGATCTTGACGCGCAATGCTTGACTGTCAATGGTGGTCTCTAACGTGTCAATCTCTGATACTTGGCGAATGGATTCCATTTTTTTACGTTTGCGGTACTCGGCGTTTTGTTGTCTAATCTTTTCACGATTTTCTGGCTTGGATCGATACTTTTGCATGTAGACACGACATGCCTCTCGGTGTTCCTCTGAACTAATCATGGTATTGGCAAGAGATGGATCCATCATTTTTTAATTATTAATTATTGTTGTTGTTTATATATTTAATTAATTGGGATAATATTATTATTATATGTTTTGTCGTAAAGAAAGGGATTTAAAATATTTGATAATGTTGGAAATGGAATATATAATAATCGGCAAAGATGACGATGATGCAATGATTATTATAATGGGTGGTTGAGTATAAAGTGGTTGGTTGGTGGTGGTTGTGGTTGGTTTGATTGGTTGGCACTTGGACAATGAACAAGGCAGGAAAAAGGAATTGATAGAAATGTAAAAATCTACAACGACCACGACAACGACGACGAAGATATAAGATAGATAGATATAGATATAGATATATATGTATATGTGTAAAAGAGAATTATTTTCTTTTACTTTTTACTTGTTGCAAAGATGAATTTTTCTTTTTGAAATGATGATCTGCGCCTGCCTACTACTACTACGACTGTCAAGTTTGTGCAAACTAAGAAAGCTTCTAATTTGGTAAGTGTGTGTGTTGGTGTGGTTGTTGTTGTCAATATGAGACAGATATTCTAATAATGGTATAAAATAAAAAAAATAGACAATATGTTTGTTGCTCTACGATTATTATTATTATATTATAGTTTGAGTTGTAAAAGTTTTTAGAGATAGATAATATATATATATATTTATATGTGTGTGTGATTTATAGAGTTATAGATATATGATGATAAATCGATATATTTATTTTAAAGAGAGTGCAAAGTCAACTATTGAATATGATTGTCTGTTTGTTTGTTGTTTTATGTGTATGTATATATGTATGAGTTTTTTGTTCAACTAGTTGTCACAACATAATAATCAAAAGAGAGAGAACAACAATAATTCTAAGGAGTGCACCCTCATACAAAAAAAAAACTAACCAAAGGGATACATTTCTAATCGAGATTTGCAATCGCGATTGACGCGCCCTTTGGGTATCGTGATCGAGAAGTCGAGATATTTTGTCTTTTTTTCTGTTGATGGCTTCTTGGTCACTGTGATCCGTTTACGACTCTTATCGTAAAACGCTGATTTGCTGTCTAAACTACAGCCTTCTCGTTCACTCTATTCTCAACCCAGGTGCTCTTTGACCAACCATCGACCCTTGGAACCCATTTGCATAAACCTGTCATAAAACTCCAAGGAGAAATCATGATTTCAGTGACCTCCTCACCCCTCCCTCACTGCTTATCATGTCCCTCTCCTATGCTGCTTAGGGGTTATAAATATCACAAGGAGGTCGGTTCAAAACCAACTCACACGCAAAATACACTCTGGAAGGGAAATTGTCTGACACACGGATCTATATTGGATCGTAAACTAACAGCCCACAATAACAAATTGCTAGTGTTTTATTCCTATTTTAGAAGTGCAATTATCAATCAACCTCATCGTTGTTTCATTTTTTGATTCATCATTAATTAATTATCGCTCATTGCATCGTCATCGACGTCGTCTTTTGACGGTGTTGTAACAATGTGTGATTGATAAAATCAAACAAACAAAACTACTATTGTTGCCATCATCAATCACCATCAAACTCTCTATCTCCTACTGCCTGCCTGCCTACCTACTACTATTAAACTGTTTGTTGAGATTATTATGATAAATAGTAATCGTAATAAGCTTCAATAGAAGATCGATCCGATCTAGATATATCGATATTAATTAATTATCACCGATTGCAAATCATTTTCTAAACTGATCAGTACTTTGTTTTCAGGAAGGAAATTTCAAGGAAGCAATAAATGTGAGCTTTTACATTATTCATTATTTGTTTAAAGTTGTAATTTATTTCCTTGATTAAATAGTTTTGTTTTAGTCAGCCTTTCCATATTTCTTTTTTGAAGAAGACTTTTCAGCAACCAATTGATCCTCAACCCATTGATCGATTTGAGCCCAATTTTCTAGCATCCAATTGATTCTTGCTTCCTTTGTCTTGGGGACATCTTCATATTTGTATTGGAGGAGTTTGATCTTTACGTCACGATTGCAAAGCTTGCCCTCCATCATTTGAGCAAAGTTGGACGATGCTTCAAGTCCAATATGTGAACAAAAGACGACATCACCACATGGATTAGACTCGAGAAGAGCCAATGCACCACCAAGTCTGGGGAGAAGTGTGTGCTTGAGTTTGGAGGCGAGTTCATACTTGGAGTCTCCCTTTTTCTTGAGACTCTCCAGTACCTTTTCTCGCTTTGACTTTGTGAATCTAGTACCCTCTGGCCAGATGCATGTCACCTCATTTCCTCCCTTTTTAAAGTCACGTACCAAATTACGAATAGCTTCCATCTCTACATCCATTCCTTCGGCACCTGCATCTCTAAACAAGAAAAAGTTTGGTGTACGTGATCCTGAAATATCCAATCCTGGATCCCACAATAATTCTTGTTTTACAATATATCTCATTGCAAATCCACAATTTGATAATAATCCTCTAAACAAATAAATAAATAGAAACTAATTAGTTGGTCTATCTTAATTTGTTTTGTTTTGTTTTGTTTGTTTGTTGATATTTACTGAGGAACAAGGGTATCAGCAAAACTTGCATGACGAAGGAACATAATCTTTGGATTGACACCCAAAGTTTGAGCGATTCTATCTCTTGTTGATTCGTTAGAGACATAGTCGGAAAAGGATGGGTCGGTCTTTCTCGATCCGCACACTTCAATGTGTGGTTTGAGACCGAGTATACGGGTACTCCATCCAAAGAGCATGGTACCACCCCACCAACGTTGGTACCAGTAGTTCCAACGGTTCCAACGCTTCTTGTCCTTGTCGCCACTGACAATCAACGACAACAAGTAGATGATATAGATAACAAAGCACGATGACATGGCAATGAATTGAATGAAAAGGTAGGTCTCGAAAAACGAGAGTACACGTACATAGTTGAGTCCCTTGCGACGGTGGTATAATGCCATATCAGCAATCAACGCTGCAACAGCCAACACTGGAAAGAGTGCAGTAAGGATGATAAAGATGATCGATATCATTGTGATGGCAATAGTACGACGCCACCACTTTTCAGCCCATAGTTTGAATGGACTAGTATGAACACTAGAGTATTTACCATAGTCATGTAAATATCTCTTTTTAATTCTTCCAACTGATGACTCGACCGTAGATGAAGAGGAAGAGGATGAAGTAGAAGAAGATGTAGAAGATGACATCTTATTAATTAATTAATTAATAAAACACACAAACACACAAACAATCGATGATCTGATTGAGTGATTGATCTGTCTGCTGTGTTGTTGAAACTAACTAATTAATAGGTATTATATTATCTTTGCAAAAACTAACTATAATATATTAAAACATGTGAACTTGAGCAAGTCATCCATGAATATCACATCGTAAAAAAAAAAAAAAAAAAAGAGGGAGACAATTCAAACAAAAAAACACATTGTATTATTTCCCGTGCATCCCGAGTGTAAAATCACGTCATTGACAACGCAATGTATATCCGAATCCGATCTATCTATCAATCTTATAAATATCAAATAAATGAAATATCTGTACGTAGTGTGTAGAAAAATAATATGTTCTTTGGGGCCAACACGATCATAGAAAACAAAAATTGAAACAAACTACTAACTATTGAGTTACTAACAAATATCAATGTACTAATTAATTATTATTTTTCTTCATGCATCGTCAAAACTAGAAAATATCTTTTTTCTAGAGATCAAGTTTTGAATCGAAGGGTGCAAAGGAATTAGGAAAACTCCAAAGATATTTATCAATGCATTCAGAACACCCAAATTTCCTTCCAATGGAACGTAGAAATGGTTGATTTCCACTCATCAAACCTCGTTTATGATAATTTTGAAAGGGTGAGGAGATTTTTGTTTATGTACATTCCTCGCATGGTTTGTGATTTGGGATGAGCTGTCTTACCAAAACCTTTGTTGTTGGTACCCAACCAATTGATCAAGCTCTAGACACCCTTTGAGGTGATGCATTAAAACATATTTTAGTCGCTGAGAGAGGAGAGAGATGGGTTACGAATCAGCTGAGACATCCCACCAAAGAGCAGAGGTTCTAAAAACTTTTTGGTTTTTGTCGTCTCACCAATTTGTGTCCTTGGGTATAAGAAAAGGGGGCTCATGCGCATGTCATCCTTTGAAAAATACCAATTTTTCGTCAATGCCGAGAGATATGACATCATTGCGATTGATTCAGAGTAGAGAGTAAAGAGACAGAGCCCTTATTTAAGAAAATATCTCGAAAGTATGAAGAGGGGTGTGTTTGATGATGCAACAGGAGGAGAGGTGTATCAACCATCAACAAACAAAATAAACTATCTTGGAGATACTTTTTTTTTTTATTCTCTTCATCAAAAGTCTATCTATCCATTTTATTAATAATTGCCTTTGCTGAGCTGTACCGCTGCTGACCCCAAAGCTAGCTCATCATTTCGATAAATATCTATTTATTTATCCATTGCTTTTGACGTCACACTAGATACAAACAGAGAGACACCAACAAATATTTTAATTTTATCATTAAAAAAACAAAAAGATCAAGACCGCCTCTCCCGAAGTTATCTTGGCATCAATCAAGATTATTACTAGAGTGCAAAAAACAAAAAAAAAGGTAAAATCTATAAATTATCTATAAAATCCTTAAACCCACTCATCACCATCAAAACAACAACTTTCTCCCTTCTTAGTTCACAAATCCAAAACCAACTACTACACCTTTGGTTTTTCGTAATTGTTTGTTTATCACACAAACAAACAAACGTCAATGTACATGATCATCTGTGTGTGTGTGTGTGTGTGTGGCTAAAGATAACTCATACTCACTGTTCTCATTAATTTACTATTTACTCTAAATTGGGAGAAGTCTCCCACAATTTATTAATGTGTTGTGGGTGTGTGCTGGGGCTGAATACTGTTTTATGCCCACTGACCATCATAGTGGCTGTTTTGTGAAATTGTGTTATTTTAAAGGGGGGAGATTTAAACAAATAATATTATAGATGGGTGGGGGTGGCAGTGTGCTTGCTTGAACATCAAAATAAGTATTTTGATTGGATTGGATTACAACAATGTGTGTCTTTGGTTTGTTGTTGTGTGTCCTGGATGCAAGTTAGCATCTATCAAATCAATCATATCCTCACCAGCTGTTTCAAGTAGATTTATTTGTTTGTTCATTAATTATCTATTCTATCTCAAAAAAGTATCTTTTTATAAATTCTCAACACCGATACCACCAACGTTGTCAACCTAAATATCACACGTCCCTCTTCTTCTTCGTAGTCACATTGTATTATTAAAAGGTCGAAATCCTCTCCTCCTCACCCCAACAAAAGCAAAGGGCCATGACCCACTTTACTCTCAAAACTTGAACAAGATTTTTAGAAAATATTTTTTGCCTTGTCCAACCTTTCAAAATAGTCTCAAACAGCATCATCTCGTTGATGGATATTATGGATAATATCTAAAAAACTTTCCGTCTTTTACCAACTTACTCCCGTCGACCTTTTTGTAATTAATTAATTACAAAAAGCGATACGGTACCGTTGTCTGTCGATCGCCTATGCCATCAGATACCCATTCACATGATGTGGCAGACGAAACAACCGAAACTCTAAATTAATTAATCAACACTCTATTACCCAACCTACTCATTACTGTCGGTTAGAGTTTGTTAGTTATCTTTTTCTCTTCACATTGTTATTATAATCTTGCATGGATGGGATGGGATGAGATGGTCGGAGAGACGTTGTTGTTGTTTGTTGATGAGGACTCGTATCAAATTCAATTGAATTGAACGGGGTTCTAAAGACCAACCCCTCGCGCACACCGTCAATTTCAGGTACCTTTCATCCCAACAACCAACACAACCACAACACAACGCCACACCCGTGCCTCCCTTTTCTTTGGCTTGATGGCTTCTGCAATCTTACAATTTTTATTCTCAAAAAAAAATAACGCACGTTTTTTTTTTTTTTTTTTTTTTTTACACACACAACTTGCATCACGCTTTTGAATCAACAAATATCTTCTCACTTATATATCCCGTGTACTCATCACACAACAATCAAATATTTATTTATTATTATTTTTTTTAAAAAGAGTAGAGTATCATACCGTCATCATCTTTCTACTATAGTAAGACTATACTAGTAGGGTTTCACTTTGTCCTTGTCCTTTTCTTTTTTGTCAAAAAAGGACACAAAAATACCCCTACAAAAAGAAAAGATATTTTTTTTTTTTTGTGATATCATTTTACAAAAAGTACCTAAAAATATACTTTTTACTTTGTAAGATCACTTTTTGTCTCCAATTACATCATCCATCATAGTAATAATATTATTATTACTTGTATATATTAAGAGATAGATATATATATTTATATATTTATATTGTTGTGAATTGATTGGCGGACAATCAATACCATAAACAACCAATAGTAATAATCTAGTAAGGAAGGCATAACACCCGCTTCAACTCTATATATCCAATATCGCATCATCTCTCTATCTCGCTCACTCTTTTTGTAGGAGGAGGGTGATAATAATAATCAATCTATAATCACAACAAAAAGGAGAGTGGATCCTGTCCTGCCACAAAGAAAGCTCAGGATTCCAGCAGCATCAGTACCATGTTGGAAAAAAACAAATGTGGTGTGTGTTCCCAAGCAGAGCAGCAGCAGCTGGAGGGGGGAAGAGCGTCACCCACCCACCCACCACCATACCGATGATTGATCAGAGTCACCATGATTTGTTGTTGTTTGGGTTTTAAGAAGGAAAGGAGTAGTGTAGTGAACGCAACAACACATAACATACCAATTTTAAAAAATATCATCATCGATCAGGCAAGCAAGCAAGCACCTGTACTGTATAGTATTGTAGAAGGAAGAGGAATCATATTTTACATTATTTCATTTTTGATCTATAAATCTTCAAATAATAATAATAATAGATAGATGTGTTAAATTTTAATTAAGAATATTCATTTATTCTAAATCTCATTCCGATCCTCTTCTACCCACACACAACCAACAACCAAAACAACAACAACAACAACAACCCTCCTTTTTTTTATTTGTTGATCAGTTCATCAAAAGAGAAGGATATTTTCGATTATATCTATCTGTATAGTATAGTATAGTATAGTATCTCTATAGTAGTAGTAGTACATTTACATTCACAATCATTGCATTACATTCAATCGATCAACCAACCGTCGTATTATGGTTCGAGGACCTTAGATATTTGTTGTTTTTAAAGATTTATTTTCTATCAATCTTTCGTATGATAGATTGATAAGATAGATAGATATATAGATATATATATAGATAGGTACATAGATTCATTACATTTCAACAATATCATCAGTATATTCGAGTAAGAGTTGTATGAATAGTCATACAGCGAGCGTGCATCAACAACAACAACAACAACAACAACAGCAACAAGTACAATATTGAGTGATTAGTTATACATACATACGAATGATAGATTCATATCTATATAGACATTCACTCAGTACTATTGTTTGTTTACATCATATTTTATAGTGTACAATCTATGTTTAAAAACATTATTCTTTGTTGTATGTGTGTGTGTTGTGTATCTGTTTTTTTGTTTGTCTGTGGTGTGGGTGTGTGCGTTTTGACACGAATCACAATATCTGTTGTTGACAATGGCAACAACAACAACAACATTGCAAACAAAGTACACAAACATATATATATATATATATATTATAGTGATAGGAAAATGGATCGAAATATTAGCAACAACTATATAGTTTGGTCGGACAAAACAACAACAACAACAACAACAATGATGTATTTATTTATATAGCTGCTGTTTCCGAATTCCCATCCACGCACCACCCCTCTCCCACTCCTCCCACTTCTCCCCCACTGTTTATACTTATATGCATCTGAAACTTAAAATGTCGGTCAATGAATGATGTGGATGCCGCTCTCTCGGCGGTACAACAACGTGCCATGGAACCATAGCATTCCATTGTTATCGTACACTCGCGAACCCCACATTTGACTGACTCTGACTCTTTGTTGCCACCCTTTGTGTTTATAATATAATGCATTGCGATTACATCCAATTATGAATTGACTTCTGACCTCTCCTCTCTTTTTTTCTTTTCTTTTCTCTCTTTTTTTTATTTTAGGTTATCTCAATAACAACAACATACAACCTCAATATTCACACACCTTGTTTATTCATTCCTTGTCGTATCTGTTAGGCCAATTCTCACCACTTTTCATTCTCTTCCACCACCACCACTCACTCCATTGGATCCAATAGAAATACACCATAGATTCTCATTCCTTGTTTGTTCTTTTTCAATTAAACAAATCTACCCAACAACAACAACATACAATTCATAATCGCAAAGCAAACACAACAACAACAAGTAGCAATTTAAACAAAAACACTACAACGACAACCATTCTATTAACTGTCGCAAACAACAACAACAACAACAATATTTTCCATCCAGAATATTGAACTACTCCACCAAATATTTACACTCAACCCATCATCTATAAAAAAGATATATATATATATAATATTCTTATCCGACTGACCGACCGACAAACAAAAAAAAAAAACAATGAGTTACAATCAAATGGTACCCCAACAATTACAGGGAATCAACCCAAAGACTCGTAAGCCATATACCATCACAAAACAACGTGAAAACTGGACCGAAGAAGAACATCAAAAGTTTTTAGAAGCTTTAACATTGTAAGTGAAATCTGATCTGGAAAAAATCAAATCATTTCCAGTTTTCATCCGGATAAATATTAACCACATTTTTTAATTTTTTTAGATTTGATAGAGATTGGAAAAAGATCGAAGGATTTGTTGGAACAAAGACAGTGATTCAAATCCGTAGTCATGCCCAAAAATATTTTATAAAAGTACAAAAGAATAATACTGGCGAACGCATCCCACCTCCACGTCCCAAGAGAAAGTCGGTGCAGCCATATCCCCAAAAGGCAAAGTCTGACATGTCTGGAATGGGCGGCATGCTCCCCGACAACCTCACAGGCAACCCCTTTATCAGTCCAAGCAACTTTACATCGTGGATGGCATACCGTGGGTTAATGCCACCCATGGATCTAAATGGAGGCGGCGGAGGTGGCGGCGCCAGCGCATCGCCCACCCCTCCCTCCAACATGGACGTGAACCGTCATCACCTCGAACAGCTCCAACAAGCCCAACAATACATACAGTCTGCCTTGTCGGTTGCCACGACCGGCGGCCGCGCACAGGCGCCCGGATCGGCCTCGCTAGCCCCCAACTACCCCAAAATATATAGTTTTTTGTCGACGCTGTTTGACTCGAGCCACTCGTCGTACCCCGACTCGCTCAATGAGATGTCGCAGACTGACCGCGAGACCATGCAGCTGCTCATGCACAACCTCGCCATCAACCTTGCCAACCAGCAGTATCGCGACCAACACCAATCCCTCATAGACCAATGCCGCTCGCTCAAGCGCGAAGACGACGACGACAACCTCGCATCACCCCGCCAAGGAGGTGCCACTACCGACTTTGACACCTCGAATCTCGACTCTTCCTATGGATCATCTACACATCACCAATCCCTGTACATGGCAAACATGCTCAACAACCATCACCACCAAACACAACAACAACAACAGCAACAACAACAACACCAACAACACCACTCCAACAACCCGTTGAGCAACCTCAACTCGCTCAGCGCACTCACCAGCCTCAACAATCTCAGCGCGCTATCGCAGCTAAACAACCTCAACTCGCTGGCCATGGGTGCAGCGGGTCAACCCACCAATTCTTCTGCCAACACAAACGCCGCCGGCGCCAACAATACAAACTCTGCACTACAACCAAATTCCTTAAATCAAATGGGCAATTTAATGAATCTCAACTCTTTACAACAATCAAAACCATTTATTTTAAATCCTCCTCAAACTTCTTTTTAAAAAAGTAATTAAAAGAAATGAAAAGAATATCCATATTCATACATCGCACACATACACATTATATATATAACTACCAATGGTAATATCTTGCCGACAAAACAAATCAATCACACAAACACACTCATCCTATAATCACCCATTCTAACTTATAATAATAATAATAATAATAATAGTAGTCAACAATAATAATAATAATAATAATAATTTAAATAATAGTCATTTTTTTTCTCAACTGTTTTCAATGCTGACATCAATAACAAATCGATCAATTGTTGAATGAACTTATCATAAATAATAATAATCATCATTCCAATTGTTTCTTTTGTTTTTTTCCCATCAATCCACAACACCATCATCAAATTTGAATATTAATTCCTCTTGTAACATTTTTAATCCAATCCAAAACCTACCTACCTACCTTCCTCCTCTTCTTTTTTTTTTTCTTTTTTATTTTTATTTTAATTCATGATGCCAACTAACAATAACAACAATCAATATTAATACCCTAAACATAAAATAACCAAAGAAATAAATACATCATCTATTAAAAACTAAAAACAAATTTCCCCTTTTAGGGGAAATATAATCATTTCCTATTTATTTATTTATTTAGACAAACCTTCATAATAATAAACCAAATTATCTTTCACTATGTGATTAATTGTTAGTTCCAATGTTTGCCATTCATCCAAAAAAAAATCGTACTGCTTGTTCAGCACTGATGCACCCTTTGAATGGGAAAAAAAAAAAATTAAAAAAAATGACAAAAAAAAGAAGTGCTCAGCGTAGAGTGCCCAAAAACGAGTCTTGTCATTATTTAGGTGTCTCTTAAATATATATTATATATTATTATATAGCTTAGACTTAGATATTCCTTTCTATCTATCTATCTATCAATCTCTTACAAAACCTATTAGTAGTAGTTAAGAGAAAAAAAAAGCAACTTAAACATATATATATAATAATGGTAGCTTTTTCAAAGGTAGTCACATACGTATCATCTGTATTATTTGCAGGATACCTTATCAATAGAGTCTATGATTCATACAGCGAGTATGTTGCAGAAGAGGGATACAAGGTAGAGGATATCTTTGGTGGAGGATCACAAAGAGACTCGCAATCAAGTTCATCACGTAAACGTGGTGGAGCTCAATCTCGTGGTGGTTCTAGCGCTGGAGGTCGTGGTTCACAACAACAACAACAACGTGGTGGTAGCAAGCAACAACAACAACAAGACCCAGCAATGCTCAAGTATCAAGGTCTTCGTCGTCTCTTTGAAGAGACTGTTCAAGATGAAGAGTATGCAAAGGCTCTCGTCATCTCTGAGGAAATGTACGAACTTGTTCAATCCTCTCCACTCCTCGCTAGTCAAGATGGTAATGCTCTATACACTATCCTCAGACTTGCAAGTGTCACCAAGAATCATAAGAAATTAGCTCAATATGCTCCAAGGTATGTAAACAAACAAACAAAATGAATCAATGTCAATGATTCAGTAATATTAATTAACTCGCATCATTCAGAGCAATTGAACTTATGGGTCCAAATCCATATGGAGAAAAGTTAATGGAAATTGTTGATATGGTCGATCTCATTGTCAAGGACAAGTTGGAGGAAAAGAAATACGACGAAGCTATCGCAACCATCAAGATGTATCTCAAGAAATACAACACTTACAGACCAGAGAATGTTGCAACCTTATATGGACTCTTGGCCGCCGTCTATCGTCAAATGGACAGCCAACAAGAATACGAAGATGCCATCCAATACTCTGTCGAGATGGCCAGAAAATCAAATGACCAAAATACTTTGGCTTCTGCTCTTGTAGACATTTTGGAATTCCAAGTTAACAAGGGTAAACTTCAACTTGATGACGTAGAAGAAGAGGAAGTGCGCATTTTGATATTAACTATCTATCTATTTTCAAATCTAGGCGAATATGAAAAGGTTGACAAGACTATTGAGGAATTATTACCATTATTCCCAACCAACGAACAAAAGCTCACCATCTTTAGAGTAATGTGTCCTATTTTACTCGCTGGAAAGTATTTGTCAAAGTATGTCGAAGTACAAAGAGAGATTGTCGAAATCTTTTCAAACAAATTACAAACCAAGTTTGCAGATTTTGTCGATGATGACAAGGTTAAATTGGTCAACCATTTGTTACGTGAAAATATTTGTTTGGCATCTGCTTTGGTACTTGTAGGAAATGAAGATGAAGCTATGGAAATGTATAACAAGGTTAAACAGTATGTATTATAATACAAAGGGAAACAACAACAACAAAAAGAAAAGGTTCTAACAATCAATAATAATATTTAATTTTTATTTTCTGTAGTAATGAAACCCTTGTTTATACATTATCAACATTCTCTAAATACTACAAGACCAAGGAAGCTTCAATTGACTTGAACGATCAAGACCAATTTGTCTTCTCTGTCAAGATTGAAGTCCCAGAATACCCTCAAGAAGCATTGACCGACGATTTGGTCGCCATCTGCAAATTTGAAAACCCACAATTCGTCCAACCAAATGGTTCGACCATCGTTGTTGATGAAGTCAAGTCACAATTGATTGAAGATAACCAAGAAATCAAACAAGAACAAGAACAACAAGAACAAGAACATAAGACTGAAGAAAAGGTTGAAGAAGAAAACAAGGCTGAAGAAGAGAACAAGGTTGCATCAAACTTAGTTGTTGATGAAGTCAAGTCACAATTGGTTGAAGATAACCAAGAAATCAAACAAGAACAAGAAGAAAAGAAGGATTCTGAAGAACAACAAGAAGAAAACAAGACTGAAGAAAAGGTTGTAGAAGAAGAAAAGGTTGAAGAGGAAAAGAAGGAGGAACAACAACCACAAGAAGAAGAAGAAAATAAGACTGAAGGAGAAGAAAAGGTTGTTGCAGAGGCTCAACCTGAAGAAGAAACCAAGATCTTGACTGAAACTATCGATGTTGAAAAGAAGGCTGAAAAGGTTGTCACTTTTGAAGCTGTTGTCGGAAAGATCGTCGAACCAACCAAGGCTTTCCTCGCCACCATCTATATCTACAAGGGAGATGACAGAGAAAATGTCCTTTCAAAGCACATCCAAGTTATTTCACCACGTATTCCATCAAAGGGATTACCAGACAAGGAACAACAAAAGGCTTACTATTAAAAATATTAAAGATATCAATAATAATAAATTAAATTAATCCCATCCTTTTAGTAATAATAATAATAATAATAATATTTGTTAAGTGTTCCAGAGTTTAAACTCTTGTTATTCTTTTATTATTTAATACTGTGCATTAAAATGATTTTAGAAAATACATCATCTAGATCAAGGTAATGACTAAATCGATTTCCTCTCTTTGGATTATTGGCTTTACGATGATTTTCAGAGATGCAAATAGCAGAGATAAAAGGTAGGTAATCTCTAATCATTTCCTTGTAGCTGATGAGATTACATTTTTCCACAATAATACTGTCAATATACTCTTGGAATAGTGATCTTTCCCATGGCTTTATATCATCAGATTCAACCAAATCAACTACACCTTGTTGTTGTTGTTTACAATTGCTATTATTCACAGCAACAGCAACAGTGTCAGAGGTAGAGTTGGTATGAAGAGTTAATGATACAACTGGAATAAATGATTGGATTGACAATGTTAATGTGTCAATTACTGTTGCCCATTGACTATTGGATCTACGATTAGTATGAGTTGTTTCTGGTGATTGAATGCAAGTTGGTGAATTTTCATCAACCTCAAATAGTTCACTATCAAATTCCCCATTTGAATGTTGCTAATTAAATAAAAAAAGAAATTAATATATATATATTGGGTCGAGTAGTATTCTTTTTCTTCCTAATTTACATACATCAAATGGTAAGAAACAAGTTTGAGGGTAATTTTTAAATGATAGGGTATCAGATAATGACATGTCATCGGAAATCTTCCACAGGTTTTCCAATCCATTGGTTTCTTGATCTGATTGCTCTTGTTGATCTTGTCTATTTGATAATATATTTAAATAGTTGTTATAGTATATATTAATATCCATATCCAATAGTGATGATTGTAATCTTGTTTGATCATCAATGATGTTAAAGTTGAATTGTTGTTTGGTTGTTGGTTCATTATTATTCTCATCTGGTAGATGGTTGGTGATGAGATTCTGTTTGGAGATGAGATTATAAAATCCATCATGTTGGTCGATGAGTTGATGGAGATGGAAAAGATTAATGTCCGATGTTTGTAGCTTGGAGCTACTAGTGATTAAAAAAAAGTCGAGGTGGTTGATACAGGCTCTAATATCACAATCATATCTTTCAACCATCGATAGTAGATTCGTAAAGTGGTATGGTGTGAGGTAGTATTGAACAACCTTTTCTTGAATCATTATAAAATACAATAAAAGGATGACAAATAATTTGTTTGGTTTTGAAAGATAAATAATATCCAATTCGTTTGATAATATAAGTCTTGATATTGATGGTGTTAATTCTAAATAGAAAATAAAAAGGTAAATAACTAATTTTTAGATATTGTTTGTATCTTTCTTTCTTTTTTTTTTTTTTACTTACCGTTACAAGTTAATACAATGGGGATTTTTGAAGCAGTAATAAGGTTAGATAGAGATGTTAAGAATCCCTTATCTTCTTCGTACAAAATATCAACTTCTTCAAATAAAATAATAGATGCTCCATTACTACCACAAGGTTGAGCTGGTGGTGATGGTAGAGATGATGATGATTTTTTTCTGGTTGATGTTTTAGTTGTTACAGTGTTGGCTAGTATGGTTGGTGGTGAATTTGTATTTAAATTACTATATAATCCAAGACTTTTGGATTGGGTGGCCTCTCCAAACATTTCCATAATGTATTTTCCATTTCTTTTTGTCGAAGGATTAGCCTCGATGATTTTATAATCATACTGAGCACCAATCGAATAAACCATGCTACTCTTTCCACATCCATAAGGTCCAAATATAATAATACCAGGTTGTAGATTCTCATCACCTTTTTTCTTTTTCTTTTTAGTTGTCGTTGTAGTGGTCGCACTTCTTTGATTGTCTTTATCACTCCACGACGAAACCCATTGATTAAATGATTCGATGCCAGTTCGATTCAAACATTCTTCGTTTTCAATCAACTCTAGAATTCCCATCAAACGATTGGAATAGTATCTCTCGGCCATCGACACATTCTTTGGGTTTGGTATTGGTGTCAACGATGATTTGAATAGTTCAAATGAATTTAATATCCATGCAACTGTAACCTTGTCTTTGTTTCTAATTGGAGATTTAAATTGTGTATCTATCAAACCTTTTAAAGTTTCAATTATTATTTTAATTTCCATCTCTTCTTTTAATTGACATGCAGTAGTAGTAGTAGTAGTAGTACTATGTTGACTATTATTAATATTATTATTTAAATGATTATTATCTTGACTAAGTTGACTATTATTTGTTGATGATGAGAAAACTCTATTATAAGTTTCTGTGAATCCTGGAACTAGTGAATCATCCTCTAATACACTAGAACCAACATTGATACTTGTTTTTAGTTGATTATCAAACATGAATATCGATTGTGATGGTTGATTGTTGTTGGTCCAACCAACATGTGATAGTGCATAATCGATTGGGAAATCAGGTAGATCAAACACCTTTCCAGCATACAAACTGTCACATGATTGATCGACATCGATTGATTTCTTGTCATCCAACGAGGTTGTAGCAGGAGCTTGTTTCTTGACGGCAGCAAAGAATGGATGTATTGGTTTACCAGCATTGACAGTTTGGTGATCAACCGACGATTTGATGACATCCTTTCTAAACTGTTCTTGTATTCTTTCCGTGTGCACTTGATCTTTTTCCTCTTTGGTCATAAACATATTGGGAATGACACCAGTTGTCTTTAACTTGTCTTCCAGTACCTTTTGATTCTCTTTCTTTTTCTCGGCAACTTCATTCTTTTTAGTTGTTGTTTGAAAGAATGGATGGATTGGTTTAGATGATGATGATGAAGGTGGTGGTGAAGATGCTTTAGAAGAAGTTGTTGGAGTAGTTGTGTTATTATTATTATTATTAATATCGCCCAATACACCTGAAACATCGGTAGTATCAGGAGAGGTAGTTGCCAATATTGCACCAAGGATACCACTGCTAGCAGCTCTTCTTGGTCTCGCAGGGGACATTGTAAATGTTATTTTTTGTTGTTTAAGATCCTTTACAACCGTTGTGGTTGCTTCTGCTTCCGTCGTTGTTGTGGTTGGTTCCTTTATCTTTGATTTCTTGATTGATTTTGATGTCTTTTCTTCTTCTTCTTCATTGTCATCATCCTCTACTTGTTCTTCTTCTTTTTGTCTCGTGACTGATTCTTCAGTTGTGTCATCAGCTGTTGGCTTACTCTTGCCATCTTTCTTCTTTCTTTTGTTGTCTCTCATTCTATACTGTATAGATTGAGTGGTCGATATCGCGACAGACAGAGAGAGGGATAGATAACACTTCAAAACTTTGAAGAGGAGTAGAGTCACTATATTAAAAAGAAACAATGAGCAAACATACTTTTGGCGCCAACTTTTAGAGTTTGTGGAAATCTCATCTCTCAAGCCAGCTCACGAATAAAATCAGATGCTCGCCTATTCTTATACACTCATTATTCATTTTTTGTTGTCGTTGTATGAGTACTCATCCTTATTATCAATCCTTATTAGAAAAGTCTTTTCTTTTTGTGTTACTACTACACCATCAAAACATAATCAGAAACTACAGAAGAATATTAATATCAAGTGCTCATACTTTTCAATAACATCAACACAGAATACACATACAGAGCAAGCAACCTCGATCTTGGTTCAAATAGATATGTTTTTTTTCATCAGTAAGGCTCTACACCCACGCCCAAAGCATCAAAGCCCATCATTGGACGATCCCATCAAAGACCTACATTTGAATAATCTACACAAGTGTAATATTTGATATTTCAACAATAGGTCTTTGATGGGATCAGTCGTTGTCATTCTCCCCTTTATTCGACGTCAAATCGACGGACGGTTATAACCAGTTTGTAAACTACCAGCAATTGTTTATCAGAAACAAACATTGCCCAAAACAAAATTAATCATCACTAATTGCCATTTATTTCATTGATAATAGTATCTTTCTCTCAGACTACATTCGGTACCCCGATATTAAACTATATTCCGTCATCCCTTTTATCAAATCACGTCAATCAAACGGGATATTGTATTAATGGGCGACCAACCATTGTGTCAATTGTAAACCAACATGTTGGGCTCTTTCCCGCCGCAAAGTTATCCTCTCAATTTGATGACACCGGAACATTTAAATAGAGTGAGGATCCGAGTAACCTATTCATTATTATAATTATAATTTAAAATGAAGTTTATTAATTCTCTTTATATATTTGTAGTAGTATGTGGTGCTGCTATCATGTCATTGTCTCTTGTGTCTGGTCATGGATTCATGATTGAACCAAAGTCACGTCAATTTGTTTGTAATTCCAATCCAAGTAACTCTATTTGGTGGCCTGAAAATGGAGATGGTATTGTAGATGCTGGTTGCAAAGCTGCCTTTAAATATGTCAAGGCTCGTGGTGGAAATGCTCAATATCAATTCACTCAAGCTAATGAGTATTCAGGTATGAATGATATAACAACTGGTTAATATTTCTATATTTATAATTTATTAAATTTCCTTTTTCAAGTCAATATTCCACAATATGCTAATGGGTATAGTGCACTAACAGCAGCTGTTCCACAATACCTTTGCTCTGCCAATGCTGATGGAACAGGTAATTTTGGGGACAAAACAGGTATGTCTGCTGGTGTACCATCACTTGTTGGAGGTGCTTGGACTGTTGGTACTACCTACCAGGTCGCTTCGACATCTGTCACATCAAAGACTGTCAACTTTACATTTTGTGCAACTGCAACACACTCTCCATCATTCTGGGAGATTTACATTACCAATCCAGGTGTCAATGTCGATACAACCAACTTGACATGGAACCATGTGTCATTGGTCCAATCATTTGGCAATATCGTCCCAGTTACTGGTTCATGGACTGGATGTCCAGCAACCAAAGCCTACATCTTTACAGTCACTCTACCAACCAGATTTGCCAAATCAACTATCATTTCTCGTTGGCAACGTGATGATCCAGTTGGTGAATGTTTTATCAATTGTTGTGATATTTTATTTACTGTTTAAAACTAAAAACAAAAAATAATAAATAATATTTATATATATATAATCCTCAAACAAAGTTTAAATGTTTATTTAATAATTTTAAAGTGCTGCAACAATTGAATTAACCAAACCCAATACTGGGCTTAATAATCTATGTAGGAACATGGTTTGATTTATCGATTGATCCATTCCATTATTCATATTGGATGAAGAAATATATTGTTGTGAATTATTTGATTGATGGGCAGTGGCAATTGCAGCAGTATCATGAATAGATAATTTTAAAAGTGATTCTATACATAAACCAATTTAAATATTTATATTAATTAGATTTTTTAATAGGTTTGGTTTGTTCGTTTTATTTTTCAACATACTGTATAGCATTTCTTTAATTTTTTAAATTTAATTGGTTGATTTTTATAATTATCAAGATAGTCGATTGATTGATTGATGATTTTAGATGAAAATAAAAAAAGAATGATGATCAAACCATCAATTTATAGTTTTTATAATTATTGATTCATCATCACCATCATCTGAATAAATTGGAGATAGTGACAAATTCCTACCTTTTCAATCGGGGTTCGTATTTAAATAAAATAAAGATTGAAATTATCCATCCAATCGGAAATGGGTGGGTGATGTCATAGAAAACAAATGTGTCTATGTTATGAGTACCCCAATACCAAAATAGATTACACATTTTTTTCAATATTTTAGAGAACCATTTATTCTATTTTTGGTTGGTGCATGGAATTATACTTTTCTATACCGATAATTCATTTTAATTAAAAATATCGGGTAAATATTTATATCTAGTTCTAACTATATATGCATATCTGAAACTCATGGAGATGAAAAAAACATACCTTAAATAATACAAATGAAATGATGTATTAATTCTCATTAGACATTAATGTTTTTTTATTCATTTATAAAAATAACATAAACTTGATGATGATGAATTCAATTTATCTGTTCTAGCTATAAAAATACTCTGATCTATTGAGCAATGATGTGGAGTTTTTAATTTTGGAGCTAGAGGGACTCTGTTTTGTCTACTAGATTATAAACCAAGTATACCAAACCAAGAATCCACCCAAAAGGTGATGACGAATTTTTGATTTATTTATTCAATCTAGCTCTTTTCAATAGTCATGAGCATCATTGTGTTAATTCCATAAGGTTCTCTATAATATATCCAATAGAAAAAAAAAGAAATGTAAATTAATTGGATCATTTTGAAAAATAAGATCTAAATCTTGAATAACATATCGTAGAAAATGGATTGATTTATTAACAAAATAGAGATAGATTGTTGGATCGTTATTAATTGAGAAATTCAAGGTTTTATTTATAGTTTTTAAAATATATTAATATATGAATTCAAGGATCCTAGTTAAAAGTTTGAAAAGTACAACCATGTATGGTAATGGGGCAGATGGATAGAATAGATAAATAGATAGATTTTAAGGGGTAAAGTTTTAGATATGTGGGCGATCATCATCGAATCGCACACACCAAATGTGTGTTTTTAATTTAGATACTTTGGAAGCAGTTGAATTTGTAGGTTTAAAAAATGTGGATGGGTCTACAACTCTTTAATGATGAAATATTGGTGTGGTGCAATTTATTAATTGATGTTACAATTTATTTATTTTGTTATAATACTATTTTCAATAATACTTTTGGTTTGTATTATTGGTAAAAATAAATAGGAGGGAGGGAAGGTATGATCTAATAGTTTATAAAAGACCCAATACACCCAAACCTAATAATCCTCCTTGTGAACCCAAAAGACCAGCAACCTTCATTTCTGATAATTCAGCCGAGTTTGGATTTGTGGATTGAATATTGGCCTTTTCAATTGTCTTGGCATCATGGTGGACACTTAATTTCATAAGGTTCTCTATTTTATTTCAAAAATAAAAAGAAAAAGAAAAAGAAAAGAAAAAGAAATTGGAATATATCATTAGAAATTGATCTAGAAATAAGAAATTAAATCTTGATTATTTACTGAAGAGCATTTTTTAAGATAGTTGTTTTTTTTAAAAAAAAAGGAAAGATAAATTGTTTGTTTAATTAACTGAATAGAGATGAAAAGTAGATTGTTATTTGAATTGAAATTGAGAAAACAGGGCCTTATTTATAGTTTTTTCCATACCTATTAAACTCTGCATAATCATCGGTATAGACAGTAGGTAGATAGGTTAATTTATCAATTCAAGGATTTCGGTTAAAAGTTTGTAAATTACAACTATTCATGCATGGTTGATGACAATGAAATTGACAGGACTGACGGATAGATCAATCGATAGATATATTAATGGGGCAAAGTTAACGAAACAAGTGGGCGATTAGGATCCATTTTTATCATTCGAACCACAAAAATAAAAAGACATAGGAAAGAATGTGTAAATAAAAATAGATACTATTACAGTATAACGAAACGAATAAAGTAATTCGAAATGTGGATATTGTAGGTTCAATACAAAAATTATTGACTGTCTTTTTGATTCCAAGTATATTTTATCATGTGTTTAGTTTTCACCCATCTGCATACAACACACACACACAAATCATATACAACATGTGTAGTTGGTTTTATTTATCAATCTATTTATAGAATAATAAATATCTCCTATGGTATTTGACATCTTTCTTGGCTACACTGTAGTGATTAATAAGAATAATATTAATTTTGTTGGTTCAGTCAATTGAAAACCAAGAACTTCTTCAAATTTATTGTTTCCTCCAAAATGAGATATCGACACCCATGATTCGGTTATGAATATCTAGCTAGAATTCAAGAATATCTTTATTTTAGTATTTTAATGTCTTGTATACTTTTGAATTTATAGGTTATCTTATATTTTTCCAACAATGAAAAATAGATTCAATAATTTTCTTGAATGATCAAAATAATCTTTATTTATCAATATTCACAAATGGATCACACAACAACTATAAATACACTGGTAGAGTGATTGAAAAGAATTGTCACTTGGTTTAATAGCCTTGTGACCAAACACCTTCTCTCAGAGTTTATGCTCTGATTATGTGTAGTATCTGTTCTAGAAAGCTTAATCTCTTTCTGCCTCCACACGTTGCGATGGCTTTAATGATTAATCTAATTTATTTACGGAGCACTCAAGACTATTCTATCAATGCCAACTATGTTGTTCAATTGTAAATAGTCTTCTATCGACCATGAATCGCACTATTATCATGGTAATACAATGGTAGACTCCACACGCCCCCTTAATTTAATTTAAATGAAATATAATATTTAAGATAGCCTAGGCTGTGATACCAATCCTTCCTTTAAAAGAAATATATAATATATTATTTGAGTTTGAGACATATCTATTTGGTTGTACAACCCCCTCTTTGTATTCCTTTATATTTGTATTAATATTTATATTTATTCCTATTTTGTTTGCTAAATTAAATTAATTTATTTATTTAAATTAAATTGGACAACACTAAAACTAAAAGGTGAAATCAGTGAGATGTTCATTTGAAACGAATGAAAGAGACAGAGATAGATAGATAGATAGAATGAATAAGTCACCTATCAATACAAATATACAGTCGGGTAGTGGTACTACTACGACGACGACGACGATTACTACTGCACCAACAGCAACACCTAAAAAGTCAACATCATCATTATCATTCTCATCGACATCTGTCAATAATACAGCTCAACAACAACAACAACCAATCTACCCTCCAACATCAAATATAACTCAATTTGCACCATTTGATCAATATCTATTGGCTCTTACCAGTCAAGATCATAGAACTAGGGTAGAAGCAATACTCTACCTGCAATCATATCATCTACCACTAAACAATCAAGAGAATGGATTCGATCTAGTGTACACTGTCAAGAAACAACTATCATCTGAACAAGACAAGAATATCAGAGTTCAATTGGTTGGTCTACTTAAATCACTTGCTTTGGATCCTTTTGTTGAATCAACATCTATCATTCATTACTTGTTATCAACTGTTGTATGTAGTTATAAAGATGAATGAACGGTAATATTAGTATATGTATTTAATTAACCCAATCAATCATTCATTCATTCATTCTATAGATCAAGAATGTACATACTTCTAAAAAAGTAATATGTGCATCACTTATTGCAATTCGATCGGTTGTCCAATCAAAGAATCTAAAGTTATCATTATTGATTTCATCGTCTATACAACCACTATTAAATCATCCAAATCCACTCATTAGAAAGTATGTTGCAACAACAACAGTAACATACACATAAATATTTATAGTTACTAAACAATCAATTATATTATAACCTTTAGGGAATGTATTTTAATATTTGGTCATTTGGTAAAGACATCTGAAGAGTTGGATGAAATACAAATGATTCTTGTAAACTTTTTAAGAGATCCTGATTTTAGAGTAAGAGAGGCTTCTCTTAGATCACTGTCATTATTATTTTATAGATGTCATAATCTATCAATTAACAAGTATGGAATGAATCATCAATTGATCAAATGAGTGGATATTAATATATTTATTATTTTTTCTAGGATTTATCAACAAGCAACATTATTATTAGTAGATTCATTTGAACAAGTTAGATTAGAATGTATAAAGTTATTATGGATATTTAGTAATGTATTTCCAAATCATATATTGGGAACTATCAATGATAGGAAAAAGAGTGATAAGATTAGATTGGTTGATGATGTATTTAAAAAGATATGTAATGCTGTAAATGATCCTTCTGTTGTAGTTAGAAATTGTGTAAGAAATTTAACTTTAATTTCTTGAAATGATTATTAATCGACTTTTCATTCTCTAGGCATGTAAATTATTAGGATGTATTTATGATGTATCATTACATTATTTAATTCAAACACTTAGTAAAGAAATATTATTCGATCATGATAACAAGGGAAGAAAGAAATTTCAAATTGGGCACAGTCGATATAGTAATGCAGGTAAAAATCAAAAGCAACAACAACAACAAGTTTTATCACCTCTGCAACAACAATTACAACAACAGCAACACCAACAACAACAGCAACAACAGTATACCACTATTCAAGTGCCAGAAGGAGATATTGACTTTATGGCATCTACCGACTCATCGCTAAGTCTTGTCGATGCTGGTGCAACAGGTGCATTTATTCAAGGTTTGGAAGATGAATTTTATGAAGTTAGATCATCTGCAATTGATAGCATGTGCGAACTCAGTCTAAGAAATAATGAATTTGCACAAAAGAATATAGATTTCTTGGTCGATATCTTTACAGATGAAATTGAATCGGTTCGAATCAATTCGATCAATAGTTTAAGAAAAATTGGTAAAACTATCACTATTAAAGAGGATCAGTTACATATTATTTTGGCGTCATTGGATAATTCAAGTCAAGCTGAAAGACAAGCCATTCATCGATTATTGACAACTATACACTTGACCAATTTTTCATGTTTACATGCCACCGTACAAGCACTTTTGGTGAACCTTCAAAAATACCCCAGAGATATGTACTCTATCTTTGAATGTCTCTATAAAGTTGCAACCAAAAATCAATTTACTGAATTTATTGCAGAGGATCTATTACGTATTGATTCTAAATTTGCTTCGGTTGAACCAAATATGGATGATATTTTTTGTATGTTTAACAGAAAATAATGATGGTGATGATTCATTTAACTAATAATCCAAATTTAATTTAGATGTTGCAATTATGATTGTCATTTTAAATAGTGCAAAGAATAATAATACGATTTTATCATTATTACCACCATATTGGGTACAACATCATCTTTATTTTAAAGATAAATATCCTGCCTATTTCCAACAAAATATAATTACCACAGATACAAATAATAATGTCAATAATTATAGTTTAAATTCAACTTGTAAGTTAAACAGAACAAGACAAGACAAGAATATTCTTTAATTGTTAATATATTAATTTAATTGTTTTTTTTTTTGTAATTTGTAGATGAAATGAAATTAAAATCACAAGAAGATTTAACATTATTTTTAAAGAATACATTATCAATGTTGTATGGTAGTAACAATGGAAATGACGATTCATTATATAGTTTATTAAAGGTTGGAAAATTTGATCAACTTTCAATCTTGATGGAAGAAATTCAAAGAAATCTTTTACGTATTTCAAACATTAATAGAATCCTAAAACCAACATCTGATTTTTATTTAATGTTTATAAAGGTTTTAAAAATCATTATTCATGTATGTATAATTAAAACTAAACAAATCAAATCATTCTTTGTACAAGTTATCTAATAATCAATTTTTTTTTTTACAATATAGATTAAAAAAGAATTATTCTCTTCAAGTAATAGTCAACAACATATTATTGCAGAGAAATTGATAAAGACATCATTTAAAATGCAAGGACTTTTTATTGGATTGGACAACAAAATACAATCTATATTGTATGAAATAAGATTGTATGGTACTATAGTCTTGACCATTTCAAAGATGTTGAACCTCAATGATCCATCACCATTTGCATCTCCACCATACCCAAGTAATATTTTTACCAATTTACAATCATCAATTAATATTTATAAAACGTATGTAATAAGAAGAAGAAAAGAGGTAAAAAAAATGGAATGATATAGATTATAACCTTTTATATATTATTTTTTTTTTTAGTTTCTTTAAAGATAATTTAATGACAATACCAGAAAAGAATCAAGAGATTATGGATACTATTGGTAATTATATAATTGAACAACAACAATCCAATATAAATCAAAGACCATTTAAAATGCAAAGAACTGGTATCAATACAAGACAACTTTTATTGGATAAATTAATTATATTCTTGAAAGAATATCAACTGCCACAGTTAATGATACAAAATCAAATCAAGAAAAAGGTTGTAAATACCTTGATGCCACCATTTGAAAAACCAATAGAATCATTTGATAATCTACCAATTAAATTGGTCATTAATGCAAATATTGAAAATATTTCAAATGTTGAATATCTTTATTTACAAGTATGGAGGAAAAAGAAAAAGAAAAAAGAAATATTATAATATAGTTATTAATATATTTATTTAAATCTTAGGTAAATTATTTAGGTAAATCACAATTATATACAATTGGATCACAATATTTTGTACCAATTAAACCTCTTTCATATTCTATTTGTTTACCAATTTATGTATCACTACCAAAGAGTCAAAAACAAAACAAAGAAATGGTTCAATTGACTGTAAATATTATCGAAATCGTTCCAATTGATCCATATTCAACCAAAATATTATCATTTGAACATATCAATGAACATTTTAAATTGGTAAACCTAAGAGGTAATCGTATCTCTTTTAATATAATAAATTAATAAATACATAGTACTATTATTATTATTAATTATTATTATTAATTATTTGACGTAAATATTATATAAATTTATTATTTTTAGAGGGGGAATTGAAATGTATGTTTTAGGGATTAATATGGTTTGAATTTTCTGCTTGCTGACATTTTAGCAATCTTTAATTTATCTTGTTCAAAACTTCTTTCTTAGATCGTCTAATTCCTTCTTCTTTTGTTGTCTCTGTTGGAACATGTAAAAGTTTTTAGATTTCTTCTTTTCCTCTTTGTCTTTGAGTTCATCAAGTGATGGACCACTGTAAGATGACTTTTTGCCAGTCACCAAAACAAATCCATCCTCGTCCTTGACACCCTTGTTGGCTCTGGCCTCTCTGTTTTTCAATAATCTATCCTTATCAAACTCCATCATATAAGTATCCAATTGATTTTGTAATGCATCAAAATCAACTACTGTTTGTTCAAAATATAAATTTTGTAAATCTAAAAATGGAAATATAAAAGGTTGTATTAATAAAACTGGATAATAAAGATTTGAATTGATTTGATTTACCTTTTTCAGCATTTAAAACTTTTTGAGTTGATAATTTAATCTTTAAAAGATCCTTTAATAGAGAGGCAAGCGAATCTGAATCTTTGAGAACAACGTGAGCAGCCTTTGGAATTGGTTCGGCGGCAGTCTCACTGGAGAAGAGAACTTGTTCAATGTCTGGAGTTTGGAAAAATAGTTGGATGGATTCGATATCTTTACATTGGGTTGGTAGGTTGAGCACAAACATGGTGCGTCCAACTGGATACTTTTTGTTGGTTTCCTTTCTATAATAAATGTATTGTTTGTATTGTGAATCGTGTATTTGAACTGGTAAGATATTGAATCCACTTATTGAAGCATTTTGTAAATTGACTGCTGCTGTAGTAGTACTATCACTAGTACCAACAACACCATTAGATTTCAAATGACCAACTTTAGACTTTTGTTGTTCTTTTTCTTCTTCTTTTTCTTTTGGTTTTGGTTGTTCTGCAGCTGGTTGTTTTGATTTGGGAAGCCTCGCATATTTAGCATTTCCATTAGTCGATGCTACTGGTTTTTCTGTTTCTTCTTGTACGTCTTTCATTTCAATATCTTTTTCTTCTTGTTCTTGTACGACTACCACGACTGGTTTAGCTTCTTCTTTCTTTGATTTTTTGTTGTTGGTAGTTGTTGTAGTAGTAGAGGTAGAGGTAGTTGGTTGTTGTTCCTTTGGTGTTACGACGACTGATTGCTTCTTTTTCTTCTTGTCTTCAACTGGTTGTTTAACTTGTTCTTCTTCCACCTCTTGTTGTTGAACAACAGCTTTAGTTGGAGTCATGATGACCTCTTCTTGTTGCTCTTCAATCTTTGTTGCAGTAGGTTTGTTGTGTGTCTTTTGCGATGGTACAATATCTGTTACGACTGTCTTGAGCTTATGGAATAATTGAGTATGGTTGTTCTCTAATGAAAAGACAACCTTTTTCTTTTGTGAGGGTGAAGAAGAGGCAGCGGCGGCAGCAGCGGCAGCGGCAGCAGAAGCTTGTTCTTTTTTCGACGATGAGGAGGTTGATGTCAGTGTGGTTGTCTTTTTGACTCTGAGGATTGGCTTGATGTCGCTAATCGATGCAGCAATCTCGAGGGGTGAAGGAGAGTCTGATTTTACATGGTCTTCATCTCTGCTCGATGTCACCTCTGATATCTTTTTAATGATCTTCTTCTTGAGTGCTTTAGTCGGGATCAATTGCTTTTTACTACTGCTATTATTCTTTTGAACCATTCTCATAACTTCTTCTTTACTACTCTTTCTTTTATATATCTATAAATATATATATACAAATAATAATAATAATAATAAAAATAGTGTATTTCTTTTTTGATTTGATACAAATAAGAAAACAGCGATTGATACAACAAACGTACTTTCGTTCGTTTCTTTTGTGAGCTGGGGGATGCACTTGGGCAACTGTCCAAAAAAAATTTTTGAAAATTTTGAACCCCCAACTTAAATTACATTTTTGAAAGAATTAATTAACAAAGTACTTATTAATCTCTCTTTGAGCCAATCATTCATTCCAGAATAACAATTATTATTATTATTATTATTTATTATTTATATATGAATAATAGAAATACTAATCATAACAAGAATAGTACTAATAATCATGTCCAACACCTGACAAATAATAACAATAACAACAAGAATCATAATCAACAACAACAACATATGATTAAAATGAACTCTAATATAAATAATATATTTGTATCATTACCAGATATATTGATACTACATATCATTGATCATATGGAGACTATAGATAGAATATGCTTTGTATTGGTATGCAAGAGATGGTGGGATAGAATAACCAAGATTATGAGATTTGTTATCCCACCTCATGTGTTGACATCAAAGGAGCGATACTCTGTTGCATCTTCATCTTCCTTTTCATCGACTTCCACCTCTTCTGTCACCATTCCATCTTCTTCCATCAAACCACTCTCCAATCAACTACTCACATTTGTATATTTAAATTCCTTTAAAGAAGTGTTGGAAAGGTCGACTACCAACAGTTTTATTCTGGAAGAGATAACAGATGACATTCCGAGGGACACTGGTATAACGCATTTGTATCTCTCCAAATCGTTGAATAAACCAATACCACCCATGAAAATACCTCCAAGTGTCCAGTACATTGATTTGGGACATCTCTTTGATCAACCATTGTCGGTGGGTGTACTGCCACCGAATCTAGTGACACTCAAGGTTAGTTACAATTTTGCACATCGATTGGAGCCGGGTGATCTACCGGCATCTCTGCAACGTTTGGAGCTTGGCGGACTCTACAACCATCCTTTGGAGCTTGGATTGCTTCCAAAGGGGTTGAAAAAGGTGATCCTAAGTGATTGCTATAATCACCCTATCGAAGAGCCAGGTATCATCCCCGAGGGTGTAGTCTATTGTTTCTTGGGATTCAAATTCAACAAACATATCCCCGCCGGTGTTTTACCCAACTCTGTACAGTCGCTAAAGCTGCCCTTCCAAATGGAGAGCGAGTTGGTGCCAGGCAGCGTTCCTCCCAATTGCACGTTGCTATCGATTGGAAGAATGTACGATTCGCCAATAGACGAGGGAATCATACCAGACACTGTCACCAATCTCAGAATAGCACCTCAAACCCTAGTCATTGGCGAAACAATTACTTTGCCACCACGACTAACTCATCTTAGATGTTCGTTTGTGTCGCAGCCCATTACACCCTCTCTCATCCCGCCAACAGTCACTCATTTGGTCATTGATGAAATTTCGACTGCTCTTCCAGTCGGTGGTATCCCCAACTCTGTGGAATATTTGACCATCAACTCTGAATTCCCGAGTCTGGAAAGTGGTTCGTTGCCGCAGAATCTAAGACAACTCATTCTCGAGTCGTACAACCACCCAATCGAGGAAGAAGTACTGCCAAACTCTTTGCAAACACTCGAACTTCACCAATACAACTACCCACTGCCACAACTACCGCAGTCATTGACTAAACTTCATCTATCGAATCGTGTCTATTCGTCCGAACTCAATCTTCCACCATCCATCAAACATTTTACCATTAGATCCGAAATTATCAAGCTGTCAAGCATCCAACTCCCAGTCAATCTTGAACAATTGGGTGTATTTTACGACTTTAATTCCTCACTACCAATATCAAAAATTCTAAATACCCACATCAACAAACTAACAGTCATTATAAAGAATAGATTTGGCTTTGGACAATTGACCTACGATATCAGACAATTGAATCAATCCCATATCCTATTTGTTGAAGATTCAAAAATGCTCATTGCTGGAATGATCCCAACTAAAAATGATATTGATGTTTTGGGTTCTTTTATAGGTCCAAAAACTTACGATATATCAAATAACTATTCTCTAAGAGAGTCTTAAATAAACAGAGAAAAAGGAATAAATATAAATATCAATTTAAATATTTATATATTTTTTGTAAATAACAAAAAAGAAGGATTGGTATCACAGCCTAGGCTATCTTAAATATTATATTTCATTTAAATTAAATTAAGGGGGGTGTGGAGTCTACCATTGTATTACCATGATAATAGTGCGATTCATGGTCGATAGAAGACTATTTACAATTGAACAACATAGTTGGCATTGATAGAATAGTCTTGAATGCTCCGTAAATAAATTAGATTAATCATTAAAGCCATCGCAACGTGTGGAGGCAGAAAGAGATTAAGCTTTCTAGAACAGATACTACACATAATCAGAGCATAAACTCTGAGAGAAGGTGTTTGGTCACAAGGCTATTAAACCAAGTGACAATTCTTTTCAATCACTCTACCAGTGTATTTATAGTTGTTGTGTGATCTACTTTAGAATATTGATAAATAAAGATTATTTTGAGTATTCAAGAAAATTATTGAATCTATTTTTCATTGTTGGAAAAATATAAGATAACCAAAAATTCAAAAGCATACAAGACATTAAAATATTATTTAAGTTTGAATATAATATTAAATAATAATATTATTGTTATTATTATTATTATTATTATTATTAATATTATTATTATTTGATATTTTATTATTCTTTTTAAAAAAAATCAATTAAAATCTTCTTCTTTTTTAAAGTTTTTAGAAACAAACATGAGACCATAATTCTATTGGTTCAGCTGGAGGGTCTTGAGGAATGACATGATCGATTGGGAACATGGGAGTCATTTCAACCATGTATATAATTTTAAAAGATTTTAATTGTCGGCTTCCTGGATTCCTGTTGTACCAATTCCATTCTCTACAAAGATAACGACCATAGTGAATACGTTTGTCCTTGTTGTAGTAGGATTCGAGGTTCATTAGATACTTTCTCCATCTTTGGGTTGGGAACATTTGTGAAACCAACTCTGGCTTGTCATAGGTGACGTTTTGGCCAGGTCTAAACACATCCACTTCAGTTCCATCGACCAAAATACCTGGGTACACCAACCAACCATCATCCTTGCTTGGGTATGGACTAAACATTGACCAATATTGATCAATCTTGAATAATGGAGCAATCCATCTAACATTTTCAGAAACTGAATAATCATAAACACCTGCACAATTCCAATTGAAAATGAAAATAATTGCCAAGAAACATAAAAGTTCTTTCCAATATCTAAAAAATAAGAAAGAAAAGAGAAGAGAAAAAGAGTTAATAACTATTATTATTTTGTTTTTGTTTGTTTTTTTGTTTTGACTTACTTTCTTGAAACTGAAACTGGTTTAGTTGGATATAATTTAGTAAAGATATTCCAACTTTTACCTGAAACAAAGAGTGGACGATTGGTAATCCATAGATATAATCTAGCAAAGGCACCAAGACGAACAAAGAATGTAAAGATTTGAAGGAGTGGAGAGAGCGAGATGAGTTGGACAAATGCTTGGTATCCATAGACACGTTCCAAAGTAAGACCGTTTTCAACGCAGATCCAACTATTGTTTACCTTCATTTCATTGTATATCTTATCTTCCATCATGGATAGAGGGGTGTCTAGAACGGGGTTGTTGTTAAAGTCCTCAACGCGTTGGTGTGGACGTTGCGATGGGAGGAGTGGGGTTGATTGGACCAAGAACATGGTCTTGAAGATGGAAAGCACCTTTTTGAGGTTCTCACCATTCTCGGCATGACTATTGTCATAGTAGATGATGGTAGAGGTACGAGCTGGTGTGTAGACCATAGAAGAGATCTTGTCCCAGAACCAAGATGGCAAGAATACAAGAACGGCCATACCTGGAATATACATGAAAAAGCCGAGTTCGAGACACATGCCAAAACCAATGTGAAGACACCAGAATCCCAATACACCAAATGTACGAAGTGGACCATGTAGACGACGAATGGGGATAAAGAACAACAAATAGCCATAGAGTTCAAAGTAGTACGAGAAGCAGGTCAAGAACTGGCCCAATGCAATGTACTCACGCAGGATCAATCCCGTGCGAGTGACAAATTGGTCGAGGTTGAGAGCATACCAAACCGATGAGTATTCGGAACGCCACTCTGCACCAGTCTTGAGGAGTGCAGTGAATATATACATAAAACAGAATTGCAACATGACACCCATCGAACCAAACGAAAGGTAGTAGCTACCAGTCGTATCGGTGACTGGGAATGTGGTGGATGCGTTGGATTGGGGAACTGGTGAATATCCTATCGACTTGTGGTTGATATTGGATCGTTTGTTGATTTGTTCCACATTTAAAATAGAGTCAATTGAAAACTTGGCTTCAGTTGGTAAAAACATCATCCAAAATACCATCAATCTGAAAAAGTCATCTCCTACAATGAAAGAAAGAAAAAAAAGAAATAAAGAAAATATTAATAAATAATTATATATATTTATAATTTATATTTATATTCTTACCTCCATTTAATACTAATGGATTTCTAACATGAAGTGAAGACATTAAAATGTAACAGATGAAATTGGAGAGACGGGACTTGTAACCGATCATCAAACAGAGACCGGCGACAAAGTTTATGAAAAAGAGGACACGGGCAAAATGGATGGACGAGTTGATGAAATAAAAGGACCACATGTATGGATTGGCATCAATGACCGTGTTGGTTGGCACTGCTCCATAGTCTGTGTAATGGTCGTATAAATAGAGTGATCTGACGTAGAGATCGAGTACGATCAACAAACTGATACCCACTCTAAAAGCGGCTACACTTCGAAGATCGACACCCAAAACTTGGACAAATAAATCGGCTGCTGCCCAATTCATCTTGCCACCACCTCCGCTGCTGGTGCCATTGACACTACCTAGCGTTGGTGATCCCGTCACATTACCAGCACTTGCATTTTCAAGATCGATAAATGATGCTGTCTCCCCTAAATCTTCCTTTGAAGGTTTTCTTTTAAAAAATGACATAGAGATCTAGATATATATATATTTAAAGGTGTGTATATTATGTATAAAAGAATATATAAAATATATAGTATAGTACTAATAATGAATCATAAATGGAAAATACTTTCAATGATGAACTTATAAATATATATAATTAGATATGATGATGATGATACAACACTTGTGGTTTTTAAGATATGAGTAGTGATAATCTTTCTCTATCTATTATGTGTTTGTGTGTGAATGGTATGTGTGTGTAAAAATAGACTAGACTAGCGGGAGTACTATCTATTTTATCTGTCTAATATGAGTGATACAAAGAAGAAGTAGTAATGGTGGTATAAAATGGGTAACAGTACACTCCTCTCTTTGATCGTTAAGCTTTAAATTAAACGACAATAAGGATGCAATTTTACAAAAAAGTTGAAGGAATTTGCTGTTTTAAAAACAAATAATATCTAGAGATGGAACCGATTCTTTTGTTTGTGTGTTGTGTGAGGAAGTTGAAAGTTTTTTGTTTTTCGAAAAATCGTCCAACGACTCTACGTTCACACATTTTTTTTTACGTCAGATTTTACATTCCAAATTCGGTTATCGAATTCGTAGATTGAACGAATGGGTTACATTTCCATCTTTGTAGGCGGATCCTATACATCACAGGATGTGGAATCCACAAATGACGACTTATGCGTGCACGCGTTGATACATGTTTGTTTGCATTTGTCAATGGGATATTTTAGTGGTCAGTTTTCGGGGGTGACCAGGTCAAATATATATAATTTTTGTTAAAAGTTACGTAGATCCAACAAGATGTAATTAGAAAGATAATGGTGATGTTGAATTATTAAAATACATGAATAATAATTTCCCACTTGCTATATGTTGTTTCATAACCTCCGAGCTTGGACTAGTCAGTGATTTTATTCATCATCTTCTTCAAAAGATTCTTCATCCCTTAGATCATAGTCATCGGGGATTTGAAGTTGGTTGAATTCCATACCAGGACTGAGCATGCTACCACTGATTAGTTGGATAAGTTGGATTTTGTTGATTGAATCCATGTGAATGTCTGACAGTACTGTCAATTGCTCCATTGAGAGAAAACGTAGTCCAAGACCTAAAATCTCTGAAATTCCTAATCCCAAAGCTTCTGCCTTTTCATTCTTTTTGTAAAGCGATTTGTTAAATCGACTAAAGTTTCTTTCAATGTCATCCAACCTTGTCAATGTTTCCTTTAAAATCTTGTTTTGTTCCAAATAAAGAGTTGCCAACGTTTCATATTTCTTTTTATAATCTATTTCTTCTTCTTTTACTTCTTTTTGTTCTTGTTCTTGTTGTTGTTGTTGTTGTTGTTGTGGAGTCATTATTTTTGGTTGATTGATAGAAATACTATTTTCATTATCCAACTTGATATTATTATTATCTTTAGTATTATTTTCTTTTTCCATTTCCTTTTCAATTGCTTTTTCCATTTCTTGGTTTGGTGAATTATTTATATTTACATCCAATGATAAGGAAGGTGGGGAGGTTTTGTTGTTGTTGGAGGGTTGATTAATTTTAATTGGTGGAGATGGATTGATAGGAGGAGATGGAGATGGTTTTGATTTTGATGTTATTGGTTGTTTTGGTTTTGGTTTTGATTTACTTGTCTTTTTTGTATTTTTACTATTATTATTATTAACGCTACCAAGAAGAAGAGATTTTAAATTATTTTCATTTTCCAATTCCTTTTGTTTGGTAATAGTTTCAAAAATTTGGATCACCTTTTGATAGGATCTTGCAGTTTCTCTTACTGTAGATACAAGGTTGGGTTTGGAGAATAGTTTGACTTTAAAATCCTTTGCTAGGAGTGGTTGAATATATACAAGTGTGTCTAGTTCTTTACAATACTCTTCCATTTTTTTACGTTGTGGATCGTAGGAAGAGATGAGATTAGAGTCACGTTTTAACAATCCCATTGTTCGTGTTGCCAGTTCCAATGGTGTTTGGTTCATTTTGTTACCAAGATTAATGGTTGCACCCAACTTTGTCAAAAGTTGAACGGTACTATAGAACCCCAACCTCGATGCAATATGTAGAGCAGTCTCACCATCCTTGTTTTTATGATCCAACATTTCTTGAAGTTTCTTTGTACCATGTGTCTTTTCAATAGTCTCTCCCAACAATTGAATCGTTTCAAATTGATTGTGAAATGCAGCACATACAATCACATTGAATCCATGATTATTTACTGCCAATAAACTCTCTCCATGTTTTACCAATTTCTCTATCAATTCATTCTCTCCATTCATTGATGCGAATAATATTGCTAAATAAACAAACAAAGAATAATTAATGATTAATGTTCTTTTTCTATTCTCTCTTTAGTTTATATTTACCAGTATCACCATTACTATTTTTATGATTTAAAGAAGCACCTCTTTTAATAAAGAAATCAAATGCTTCAAGGTTTCCGTATAGTGCGGTTGTCATGATATAACTATTATCTTGTGTGAGTGAAGAATCCATTCCTTTTGATACCAACAACTCTAATAGATCTTGAGCTCCAAATGGAATGGCAAACGAAAAGGGGATACCATTGCCAAAGTTCTTGTTTACGGTCTTTTGATTTGAAAAGAGTCTAACATTCTCTTCTATCAATGGTCTCCATACCGATGGGTTCCCCGAAAAGAAACATAAACACATAATAAACTCTAGAAATTGATTCACCTCTTCTTCTTCGTATGATTCAGTATCTTTACATCTTGCCACCAAATCTCTACCAATACTTAAAAAGTCTATTTTCAGTGTTTGTTTTGGTATTGTTATAGAAGTAGATGTAGTAGTAGAAGAAGAAGAAGAAGTTGAAGTTTCATTTGTTATTTGTTGTTGTTCATCACCGTTGTTTGAAGTAGTCGTTGAGTCTTGTGGTTTACTGTAAAAGACCAAAGTACTATTAGGTTTTTTCTTTTCGCTGATGATGAGAGCTTTAATATATGTATTGAATTCCTTATAAGTTTCAAATAGAAACTTATTAAAAGAATCCATCTATATCTCTCTCTCTCTCTTTTTTTGTATCTTGGATCAATCTCTTTAAAGACTGCTCTGACAAATACCACAAAAGGGTCTTCGATTTTTAAAAATTTATTAAATTAATATTATATATATATATATTAATAGTTTTTGTAATCATCATATAAACAAACAACAAATGATGAATGAGAGAGTTGAAGTTCATACTCGTAGTTTATATTTTATTTTATTATTTTTTTTTAAACTTGTTTTGTACTTTGGTAAAAATTAATTTTTAAAAATAAAAAAATTAAAATAAATAAGAATAGGATCTGTATTTCAATATTCGCATTGGCAAATATATGGAACTGCGTGTTAGTGAATTACTCTTCCCGCCACCCATATGTACCAAAACATACTTTTAAAAAAATAAAAAATCAATTTAATTAATGAACTTGCTCCTCCCCCACACTCATCTAATCTCGCAGTATTGTATTGACTGTTAACAAAGACGACAACCCAACAACCTCCACCTCCTCCTCCTCCTCTTGATAATATAAAGTATAGCATAGCATAGCATAGCAGCAGAGTATATTTAACATGTTAAAGAATCAACTAGGTGCGAAACCAAAACAATCACTGTTATCGACTATATCTTCACTCTCGGACGAAGAGCTGCGACTTAAATTAGAAAATCAACACAAGCTATATAAATCGATAGGTGCCAATCTACCTGACAAGGGAGAAAAGATTCTAACAAATATTACTGCAATACAAAAGATATTAGATTCTAGAAATAACACCAACATTAATAATAAATCAACAACAACCGATACTATTACCACCATTGTAAATAATAATACTACTAATCAAAAAGAAGAAGAAGAAGAAAAAGATATCATTCAAGAAGAAGAAGAAGAAATAACAATAGATTTTGCCAAATTAACGATACAAGATCGTAACAGTAAAATGAAAGAACAAAAAGAACAGAAAAATCATAAGCTTAGCAAGGAGAATGCTCAAGATGGTCAAAACAACCAACAACAACATCACAGAAGTACAAAATTATTATCGATTGATGAATCTAGAAGATTATATGAAATAAACAAGAATAAACATTTGGTAGGTAGTAGTAGTAGTATACAAACTGGAACCAGACATATTTTCTGGATTTTTTTTATTCCATTCCTAACCTTCTTTTCTCTATTTTAGAATGAAAATGTAGATATGGTTGTAAATTCACCAGAGGTGGAAAGAATGATAAAGGAAACCTATCGAGTAGAGGAATCAGAAGGAGTTGAACCATGGAGTGATGATAGTTCCTCTGAAGACTGCGACGTTGACAATGAATATAGAACCAAACACGATATTTACGATGAATCCTATGCCTACAAGTTACACGACGAGTTTGGTGAATTTGTTGATGATGAAGAATCATCAGTTCCCCAAAATAAATATAATTAGTTCACACATATATAAATATAACGATTAATCTAATCTATTTAATTTAAATTACACATTGATAAAGTTTATTGTTATCTATTTCTTTCCATTGTGATGAGGAATTGTATAGTATAGGATCACACAACATATCTAATAATATTGTATTTATATATATTTATGCAAGTAGTGAGAAACTAAAAGGGTGAAGTTGATTCATCTCACCTTTGTCTCCACATGACTTGACTTTATTCGCATTGGGTATATGTATGTATGTATGTATGTATGATTCCAAACAACAATAGGGATTGGTATGTGTATATTTTAAGTATAGTATAGTTGGGGGGGGGGGGGGGGGGGTAAGTATTAATTCCAAATAAAATATTAGTTGAATATGGGGATGTACAAAAGAGAATGAGGTGGTGCAGTGACCTATCGTTTAAACGTTGTTATGGGTGGTTGTAGTGGTGGTAGTGGTAGTTGATTTGGTAGATTTGATTGATCCATCTCCTGAAATGAGTGGACGTGGGCATCCAACGGCACCGATGAAATGGACTACTGTAAGAATGATTCCAACTGCAATAGTCACAATACCAGCAAACAAGAAGAATCCATGGTTACCAAGAATCAATAAACCAAGACTATATAGTAATAGAGAAAAGAGTGTAGGTAAGTATGTATCCAGATTATCGATCGAAAATATATAACAACATACATGCAAAAGAATAGACCCTTTCCAGCCCAAAATGTGTAGAAACCAAATAGATAAACCATCTTTGCTGGGAATACAAATTCCAATATAACAATGAATACACCAAATAAAAGGAAAATACAGGCAATGACGAAACCTTTAATATCGTACCATGCTCTCTGTTTAATAGGAAATTAAAAAATAAAAGAATTAAGTAAGTGGATATCCAAATAATAATAAGTGATCTAGATGGAATGTACATACATCAACGAAAACATAAATACCACAACCAATGATCAAAAGACCAACTAGGATACATAAGATTGATAAGACAAGTCCAACTTTGCTACGATCGTTCATTTTTAATATATTATTATTATTATTTATAAATTTTGGATAATAATTATTCTTGAATAAATTTAATTTAATATTTCTAAAAGAGAGAAAGAGAAAGAAGGAGATGGAAAGGGAAATTAAAAATGAATGTCAATAAAATTATAATAATTAATACTAATCAATATATGATGATTTGATTGATGTTCCACACACACTAAATTATTGCTATTATGATTATTATTATTGCTGAGTGTTCAAGTATGAAATGGTTGTTGTAATACAACAATCAGATAATAATACTGTGTGTGCTATCTATTTAAGTAAAATACAAAAAATATTTCTAATATTTCTTCCATCCACAAAGAGTGTCGTCTGAATTAAGATTGGTGTGTTCACTCTTATTTTTTGTGTTGGTGTGTAACTTTTAGATTCTATGTGTGTGTGTGGTCATCTCTCCTCGTTTCGTTTTGTTCTTACCCTTTGTTTTGTTTTTCTCTCTCTTCAAGGTGACTTGTAAAAAAAATCGACTAGTATAACTATTATAACTATTATAAGCTTATATAATGTAAAATGTATTTAATGTGTTGGATATGATATGGTATGTCTTGTGTAGCTATAGACAATTATTTAATGATAAAATGTTGTGTGTACTTGTTGAATAAGTAAGTAAGTAAGTAATTTAAACTCAACAACCTTGCTTGCGATGCAACCCTAAATTAGCTATCATGATACTTTTCTCTTCAAAGGCTTTTAAAAATAAATATAAATAAAAATAAACTAATTTCAAATAAATGGCTTTCTTTGAGGAAGGATTGGTGGTCGGTTCACAACGACGTGGGTGTGTTGTTGTCCGCAAGTCTAAAGCTGGTGCTTTTTGCAAAAAACCGATAATCTACATTTGCAGGCGACCTCACCAGAGAATGTGCATGTTTTGTCATAATGGGAGTATTATCCGCATTTAAGATAAATACACAAACAAACAGACATTCTACTCGACTCTAATTCATTGGTGTAGTTTGCACTCCTCCTCCTTTTTGACCAATGTTGATGATATGATATGATATGATATGATATGGTGACATTGTATACAATTCAATTCAATGAACTCATACTTCATTCATTCTTACTGACAGGTATTATGGATAGGTTGATGATGTTGATGATGATATAGTAACTGTTTATTTTTGCGGAATATATATATATGGTTAGTGGATGTTTGTTGTTGTGTTGGGGTTGTGGGGATATCTTAAGAAGATTTATGGAAACTCTCTAAATCTGAAACATCGTCAACACTACCCATAAACACTGGAACACGTTGATGGATGTTTCCGGGTACTAGATCTAGACAGGCTTGTTGTCCATTGGTCGATTTACCGCCAGCTTGTTCCATGAGCAATGAGAGTGGTGCAACTTCATAGAGGTATCTGAGCTTTCCTTGTGGTGACTTGGAGTCGGCAGGGTACATAAAGATACCACCGTACAAGAGGGTACGGTGAACATCACTGACCATACTACCAATGTATCGTGAAGAGTATGGAGTCTTGCCGTTCTTACCGCTCTTGATAGAGTTGACATAGTCGGCAGTTGCCTTGTCCCAATAGACTGAATTACCCTCGTTGATCGAATAGATGGCTCCACGTGGCTTGATCTTGATGTCTGGATGAGTCAATACAAACTCTCCAACCGTATAATCCAATGTGAACCCAAATACTCCACATCCAGTCGTCAAAACCAACATTGTAGCCGATCCATATAAAGCATATCCAGCTGCAATCATTTCTCTTCCTTTTCTTAATACATCTTTGTCAGAGTACTTCATATAGAAATAAATAAAAAAAAGTAGTAAAGTAAAGTTAGAACATGTTTTGATCATACCCTTTGGTTGTTTGATTGTTTTCTTGTTTTAACATACATTATTATCTTTTGAAACCTTTGGCCAGATAGCAAAGATTGAACCAACAGATACATTACAATCAATGTTGGAGCTACCGTCGAGGGGATCAAAGGTGACTACAAAGTTGCCAGCGTCGTGTTCAGCGACAGGGATGATACTTTGTTCCTCTTCAGAGACCATACAAAACACTTCTTTAGTTCCCTTGAGAGCATACTTGAAGGCATCGTTGGCAATGATATCCAGCTTTTTGACATCCTCTGAATGAACGTTGGTGACACCTGCTAGACCAAACAACTGTTCGAAACCGGCACGTTTGATGGCGTTGGTTGTAATCTTGCATGCCAACGCTATACCAGACATCAAATTGGCAAACTCTATTCTATTGGGTGTGTTCTTATGATGATCAGATAACAACCATCTGTTTAATGTCATTAGATTAGTGTCACACATTTTCCCTCTTTAAGTATGTCTATTTGAGTTAAAAGTAAAAGTAGTAAATATCTTTAAAGATAATTAATGTATATATATGTAGAGTATAAAGTAGAATAGAGAATAGAAGAGAAGATAGTATCGTAATACAAGCAAGTTTAATTTAGCTAACAGTGTGAATTGATTGACTAAAAAATGATTATTGGGGGCTGATGGATGAATGAATATTATTATTAGTGTTTGTTGTGTGATGTGTGTGTGTGTAAATGGGAATAGGTTCACTCACACATATTTGTAGAGAATGTCGCTCATTTCTTCCCGAAAGAATATATTCATTCAATTTGGAAGGAAATTTCATCTTTGATCTTCCCGAACCAACAATCGATTCTCGAAAAAGAAATTTGGACACAACAAATAAATAGACTATTGTATCAGTATTAACATTTGATAGTTAAATAAATAAAGTTTTTTTTTTACAACTACTATCTAAGAATGATGAAAATATTACTCTTACACGTAAGAGTGTCTCTATTGTTCATTGGTGGTAGAGAGTATTAAATTTTTAATACAAAAACTTTTTTTTTTTTTTTTCGATGCAAAGTCAATCACACCCCTTTTGCTGACTTGATGGTCGTCTGTCATGACGGTGTGAGGTCAATCATTGCACACAACTTCACATTATTGAATAAGAACATTATTTATATTTATATATTTATATATTTATATTTTTATTTATAAAACATTACTTTTCAAAATTAGTACACTTTACATCTCATTCATCATCTTCATCACTCACTCACTCACTCATCATTCATATTGATAAGAAGATGTATTGGGAGATATTTTATATATATTGGCAACTACTACCAATACTAAAGAGAGTACTTTCATTAGTATTCTTTTATGAAGATGATCATCGAATATATTATCACAACAACTTTAATAATAGTAATAGTAATAGTAATAGAAATAGAAATAGATTAAATAATAATAAAAAGAATAATGTTGTATTAGAAAAGGAGGAAGAAGAAGAGGAAGAGGAGAGTGAAGATGAACAAGTATCGTCATCAGATAATTCTTCATCGTCACCGTCAACATCAGATAATAATTCCTCATCGTCACCTTTAACATCAGATAATAATTCAGTATCTGACTCACCACCATTAGTGTCGTCGTCGTCACATACCAGTACTTTAGATGGTAGTGGTATTAGTGATGACAAGACACAACTTGCATCATCATCATCATCATCATCATCATTGACAGAGGTTATTAATACCATCTCTTCATCAGATGCAACGACTACTCCAACTCAACAATCAACAAAAAAAGATAATGATACCAATGATAACATATCATCATCATCAATAGCATTGACATCATCAACATCAACAGCATCTCATCCTTTATCTGGGTCACAATCAGTAAACACTAAAAAGGATAGACGATCATTGGCCAACTCTAGTGGATCAAATGTATCAACAACGAATAATAATACCAATCCAGGATACATCACAAAGAAGACAAATAATAATAATAATAATAATAAGCAACAACAAGTCAATAATAGTAGTAGTTCTTCTTCTTCTTCTACTACTACTAGTAATACAACTACTAGCAACCCAAACAAATTAATAATCTCTTCAGAATTATCAAGGTTATTGGCAAATGATCAAAAGAATCAACAACAACAAGAGATTAAAAAGGAGCAACTAGTTCCAGTTGTAAAGGTTGAAAAGGTAGATGAAGATGAACAAGAGGAACAAGAACAAGATGGTAGTGGATATTATGCACCAAGAAAGTCAAAAACAAACAACAACAACAACAATGGTGATAAACCAAGATCACCATATGAAGTATATTCATCTCAATCTATTACACCAACCATTCTATCAAATAGAGATTGGTTATATGATTCAACACCAAATGGTACTAGTAATAACAATAATAGTATTAGTAGTAGTACTAGTTCATCATGTTTTCGAACCTATGATAATATCATTAACAACAACAACAACAACAACAAAAATGATTCAACTACAACAACAACTACTACCACTACTACATTATCATCATCAAATGTTAGTGTAGGTCAAAATCTTTATGATAATCAAAATACATCTCCTTTTACTCCTACTACAACAACTCAAGATCAAATAATTAAACCAATAATATCCTCACAACAAAAACAACCATCATCAATATTAACAACAGATGAATCAAATTTAGAAGGAATATTAGAATTAAAAAATGGAAAGGTTGGATGTTCAATATCATGGAATGATACATTCCAGCGATTGTTATTGTTGCCAGAGGATGATCAAGAGAAAAAGTTTGTAAAATATAAACACTTGTCATCGCTCAGCAAAGACTTTCTACATTCTGCCATCACGTATGGAAAGATTATCATTGAAGAACGTTTCATTGAAGAGAGATACAAGACCATAAAAGGAGTGCCAGAGTTGGGAGGTCAGGCCGGTGGCCAAAAATACCTCTATAATGGCATTTTATTCAAGTTTGCATCGGATTGGATGGATATTTATGGTAGCGACGAGTACTCTATGAAGGCAGGAGGACACGAACTAAAGAGTATCATGAGATACTATGGTTGTGAAGGTATCCATGTGCCATTGATGGCTTTACTCGATTATCGTGGTTTTAGATTGGTTGCCATGTCCATCTTGCCCATTTCACCCAAAGCAACGATTGTCTATGGCTCTAGTGATGGTGGAAAGAACGTGCATGCTACACGTCCTGAAATCAACGAGAGAATGAGACTAGCTGCTAAAAAGCTCAATATCAAAGGTCATTTATGTGGCAAGGGCGAAAAGAAGGAGGTACTGTACGGACCAACCGACATTGAAGGTCATATTGGCAAAGATGGGTTGTTTTACGTATTGGACTTTGCACGTGTGTTTCCTCCTACAGCCGACAAGCGTGTTGAAGAGTCTTTTCTCTACCGACTCTTTAGACCAGAGTTTATCCAGACCTATCACATCCCTCTGTCGAGTGACGCCTACTCGCCATTTGGAAAGGTCGATCCAAACGCCATGCAATACAACAACTCTGAGGTCAAAGAGGCGACCGAGTATCTCTACAATGTGTGTATCCCCAAGGTTGCCTCTTGGATGGATGCACACTCCAACACCATCAATTGGCTGTCGCAGTTGACGGAAATCATCCATCGTGAAGGAATCAATGTCCGATACCTTGGAATCATCAGACACCATGTACAAGATCCGAGGTTAAAGCAAGTGCTGCTCACAGAGATAGTTGCCCGTGTCTTTAAAAACATAATACGTGCAGAGTTGCGTGAAAAAATGAAGGAAATGCGATCCATCGAGGCAGACTCTTACATCCAAGTTGTCATGGATTTTTTCAACATTATATTGGGTGCTCCAGTTCAAAAACATGATCGTCTATGGTATCATTCAATTAAAAATGAAATTTTATTAAGATTTGATAATTCTTTATCAAATGAAGGTAAAATAGAATAATATATATATATATATAATACAATGTATGAATTGCTATATTAACTTTTAATTTTAATTTTTTTATTTATATTTTTAGAAAAAGATTCAAATTTTGATTTAAAAAGTCAAGTTGATATTTATAATATATTTGTAAGATTATTAAGTATGACTGGAATTAAATTGGCAGATGAATCAATGAAGGAAATGAAAAATGATTCACAATCTTTCCGTGTTGTACTGTCTGATATTGCGGCAATGGATGTTAAAGTTAAACATATGAATATCATTTCATTGGCAGAGGGTAATGCACTCTCACTTCAATGTATGATGTGGGATGGACGTGGCAGCGAGCGTCTCTTTAAGCTGGCTACCAACAAGTTTGAAGAGGCTATTAGATCGACACCCGACAATAAGGATATCCTCAATGGATATGCAAATGTATTAAAACAATTGGCATTGACCGTTGGAAAGAGTGATAGTATGGTCTATTTGGAACGTAGTTATTCAAATTATCTACTTGCCAATAATTACATGTCACTTTTAACTCTTGGTGACCTTTTATATAATCTTTATGTTTACAATGGTGAAAGATATAATTGTAGTGGTCAAAATATTGTAAATAATAATAGTAATAGTAATAGTAACAATAATAATAATAATAATCAACAAAACAACAAATCAAATAATGCAAAAAATAATCAAAATAATCAAAATAATCAAAATAATGGATTTAATTTTTCAAAACGTAAAAGTCAAGATGATATATCAAGTATAGATTATTTATGGTTAAATAGAGATTTGGTTTCTTTGTTGGCAGAGAAATGTTATAGTGCAGTGGCATTTTGGGGTGTAGAGAATAGAAGTAATCTATTAAACTCGAGTGTAGAGATATTGTCGAGACGATCATCTTCAATGCCACAGATCAGTAACGAAACACGGTCAATTGCCTATCTCCGTCTGGCCAGTCTTTTAATGAGCAAGGCTGTTGGATCATACGATCGTACCATGTTTAGCAAAGCTGGTAAATACTTTAGAGAAGCATTCCGTATCATTCTCAAGGATAGCTCATTGTGGACCAAGTTCCCAGTACCCGAATCAATCATCCAACGCAGTCAGGAGCAAATCGCACTCTGGGCTCAACTATTTATCGACTCGTCGTCGTTTATCGATCCCAACTACCAAATGTGCCAAAACTCTGATCTGGTTGGCTGTGACGACAAGGATTCCAGTATGCTCGTCTTTCCCACACTCCTCCAGGCACCCATCATCCACACACACCTATTTAACCGCGAGATGCTGACCGCAGACTTTTTACTCTACCTCTGCAAGGTCTATTCGAACCAGATCACCTATCTATCGTTGCGAAAGATTCCCATCCAGGTCGGTCTCGTTGCACCCATCCTCTCGAGCATTGTTCGTAACTTGGGAGAGAGTCTGATAAAGTTGGATCTCTATTCAATGTCTTGGATTGAAGACTCTGACATTGTAGCATTGGCATCGTTTATGGGCAACCTCAGATCGATCAATATTGGTGAAACGGGTGCACAAGGACGATCCATCATTGCACTCTTAAACAACTGCAAAAAGTTGACACGTCTCAATGCTAAAAAGTGTAGAATATTAGATCGTGAATTTATTGCTCAACCAAGTAACAATAATAATAATAACAATAATAATAATATCAATGTACTCCATGGTGATTATGCTTTGGAATGTTTGGATTTATCATCTACGGATTTAGGAAAGTCACTAGCTACACTGTGCTCACATACGTTGAATCTACGTCATATCAATTTGTCAGGATGTCCTAATCTATCGACCCCAGAGGTGATTAAATTGACATGTTGCTGTAAATCACTAGAAAAGTTGAATCTGTCAAATTGCAGTCAAATCGGTGATGAAGCAGTTCAGAGTGTGTTTGATAGATTAGATCGCTTACAATGGTTGACACTGAGCCAATGTCGTATCTCTTTTATCCCCTTTATTCAAACTGATAACCGTTCATCGTCGACAACAACAACAACAAACAAGAAAACACAACTATTGCAACACTTTGACATTACAGGATGCAAGTTGAGAAACTCAACCTACAATATCCACTCGTTTATCAATTTAAAGCAACTAAGAGCATCTAGCTCCAACTTACCATTGGAAGAGGTGTTTGAGGTGCTTCAGCATTGTCGACAATTGGATGAGTTGATTTACAATTGTAGCACTAATATCAGTGGGTCTGGTAGCACTGTCGATGGAATGAAAAAGTCATCTTCATTGCCATCGTTTAACAACTATGTTACCAATCACCCCTCATCATCACCTACCTCCTCCTCCTCGTCGACAGTACAACGCTTCCAGATGGCTGCTAGCAGACTTCCAACAGAGTTGAAATTAAAACGACTCGAGCTCCAAGCTAGCAGCAACATTACATCTAGTGTCTTGGAAGAGATTTTAATGCGATCAAACCACTTGGAAACACTCAACATTTCACAGATGGATTTGGATATAGGATGCTTTGTGACGATTGGAAAGTTTTGCAAGTCACTCACCTCGGTAGATTTAGCATCTTGCAAGTCCGTCTCTGATAGTTGGGTCGAGATGATGATCAGTTCATGTCGTAGAATCTCTCGTCTCAACCTATCTTCTTGCCATTTGATCACCGATGTCTCGATCAATGCCATTGCCAACAATCTACACTATCTCACTCATCTGTCAGTCAAGAAGTGTCCTTTGATCAGTGAGTTGGGTATACTGGCCAGTCGATGCATCTTCCTCAGCACGCTTGACTTGTCAATGAGTGAGAATATATCCGATGCATCTGTCCTCCGCATATTACAGCTTACCAACCTCAAGCATCTCAACATACACGGATGCAAACGTGTTACAGATGAATCAATCAGATTACTTTGTGGAGAGGGTAGCAGTACCAGTATTGGCGGCAGCAGCAGTAGCAATGGTAACCCTGTTATTGGAGGTATTGCTCTAAAGTCTCTAGTCATTGGTCACAACAAGATGAGTGATCCAGCGATTGAAATGTTAAAGTACACGAGAACCAATGTACATTTGACAAACCATACTCCAGGCTCTATCAATGCACTTCCCAACAGCCTGTCGTCGTCTGCTCCACCCATGTCACCTTCACAGTCAAGTTTGTCCATCTCTTCATCATCTTCGTTGAGCACGAGTAGTTCGTTGCTGAGCAGTACTGGCAACAGCATTGGACAGAGTGGTGGAATGTCAACCTCTTCAACGAGCACTCCAGTCATTACACCAGCCACTCAAAAAAGTTTGTTGGCCGATCTCAAGAGCATCAAGACACATCCAATCCCACTTGTCTCTGCCGAGCCTGTTGACTCTTCAGACTTACTCACTTGGCACGCCAATATCGCTGCACCTGTCGGGTCACCCTTTGAAGGAGGTATCTTTCATTTGGAGTTAAAGTTCCCCAACAACTATCCAGCCAGTCCTCCAAGTGGCGTGTTGTTGACACCCTTCCCACACCCACATGTTCACGACCGCGGTCGTATATGTCTCGATATTCTCTCTGATTTCCAAAGTTACTTTCAAGGACACAGTGATTCGAAAACCGACAAGTCATCGGGTTGGTCGAGTGCATACAGTGTATCAACCATTCTTATTCAAATTCAAACCTTCCTCATTACATTGGACGACGATGAAACTGAACCAAACAGTCTCCCCATTCAGGAATACTTGATGAAGATTCCAGAAGCAATTGCTGGAAGTCGTACATTTAATTGTTCATCTTGTCAACATCGTTCTGATTGTCCATGGCCACCTCTTCCAGAAGACACAACAACTCAACAATCCAACAATAATAATAACAATTTGAACAAAAACACTGAAAAATCTTTAATAACTTTACAAGATGCAAAGAATAATATCAATAATAATAATAATAATAATAATAATAATAACAACAGCATCAATGATAATGATGAAAAAGAATTTTTAAACAATATTGAATCAGAGTTGGTTTGTTATCATAATAGATCTTCTTATAAAGAAGATATACTTGGTATTGGAATTAATATAATATCAAAACCGTATGTATCAACAAAACACATTAATTACTTTTAAACTATAGTTTCTAACTTTTTATTATTATTTAATTTAAATTAGAAATTCAATCAAGATTGATGCAATCAGTACATCACTAGATTTATTATCATTGGAAGCCTATAATCAAGGTGTAAGAAGTTCAATCATGAAAGAACCTTTTAATTATTGGTTACCATTATGTATGTCAAACAAACAACAAGATTTATTGTTTATTCATTGTTATTAATAGATTTTCTCGTTTAAAGATATTAATAAGCAACATGGTGAAAGAGCATGGAAACTATTAGAATCATCATTAAAAGATATATTCCATGTAAAACAATTTAAACCAGAGTTGGCAAAAGTATTCCTTTGTAAGGCAATGAATACAATGTGTGTCAATATTATGAATGAAACTTTACATGGTATGTATCATTTAATAATATATATATATTTATATATTCTTTCATTATCCTCTAATCAATTTTTTATACCTCTTTTTATATTTTTAGCATCTATTAAAATGTTGGAAGGATATTGTTTATTCCATCAATTATTCCTTGCATTTATTAAGAGATATCCAGATTTGTTGGTTGAAATCAACAAGGAGATTTATGATTTTATTCATTTGCCAAATATGAGACACAAGAGAGAGACTCCAGCCTTGGGAGAGTTCTTACCTCTTTTGACAGTATCTGATTATAAGTGGTCAGAGGTGGCTTATAGCTATTTGGAAGAAAACTTTGACCGAAATGTAATGTGGATCATCAAAAAGAATCCAGAGTTTGGTAACATGGATCCAGCAATCGATAGAGATCGTCCAAAGATTGCAATGGAAGCATCAATTGTTTCGATCAGACTGTTGTTATTCCACGTCTACTTTTTGCAACATATTGCCCGTCCAGAGGGAGGCAGTCTCGACTCTATCGCAACACAGTATAACCGTTACTTTGGCAAGCCTATGAAAGCAACCCGTGACAACCTCCAAATGGCTGTCAAGGACATCATGCGTGTCAAGAGTTGGGACGAGTTCTTTACTCGTGTAGGAGTGACACCCCCATCTGAACCAGACTTGATTGAATGGCTAAAGAGATCAATTCAAAACTCGATTGCTAAAAGCTACCACAAACCATCAAACAGTGGTAAAAAGGCCGGTGGTGGAAAGAGACAGTTATACGACACACCAACAAGAAAGAAATCATCGTTTGACGACAAGACGTCACCGATCAGACACTTGTCTCAAGAAGAAGACTTTTATAATCTTCAATTCCTATCACCACCGAACAACGATGACAACAACGGTATTGGCATGCTGCCACCTCCTTCACCTAGATCGATAAACATGTTGGAAATGCCATCCCATCCACTATCTTATCGCGATAGTTTGGTATTTGGTTCACAATACCAATTCTATCAACAACAACAACTTCAACAACAATTACAACAACAACAACAAGGACAATTACAACCAACTAACCAACAACAACTACAACAACAACAACAACAAGGACAAAGATCAAGATCTGGATCAGGTGCCAATAATAATAATAATAATAACCATTCTGTACCGTCTCCACCAGACTTGGTGTATGATTACTCACACCAATCACAACCAACAGCAGCAGGGTACTATGCCTATCCATATAATCCACCCATGCCATTTAATTTGAGTTATGATAATAGTCAAGGTGACGGATACACATTTGTATTCCAATCCCCATCTGCATCTTCTGCCTCACCATTACTTTCGCCTCCATCACCATACCAACAACCGATCCAATCAGGTAGATCAACTTCACCTCCTCTTCTTAGAGGTTACAGTCAATACCAAAAAAAGAAACCATCAAATTCCCATCAAAAATATCAATCTCAAAATAATAATAATAACAAACATCATCATCATAATAATAATAATAATAATAACAATAATAATTATAATAACCACCATAATAACAACAACAACTATGGCCATAACAATAATAATAATAACTATAGATCAGATGGAATTTGTAAATTCTTTGTAAATGGTAATTGCCTCAAAGGAGACAAATGTAACCTATTACATCCAACCAGTCATTAAATTAATTAATTTGTCAAACCAAAAGAATGAATAAATGATCCAACCATATTTAAATGACCAAAGCTGAATATATAGTTGATTGTGTGTTGTAAATTACATTATTATTTATTTTCCTTTCTTCTTCTTATTGTCCACCACCTTTTTAATTTCCTTTTCTTCTTTTGGTTTAACGATTGGTGTATTTAACATCAACATTGATTCTGGTTTGAAATCTTCTGGTCTATTTGGGTAGTTTGTATTAATATATTCGCAAATCTTTAATAATAATTGTGTTTCTAAAGGAATATTCAAAGAATGATTAGTATCATGTATGATGATGAATGTTTGTTGAAGTTAGGGATGTTTCATACTATTGGATATTGAAGCTACCAAAGGTACCTGTGTTTCAAAATTAATGATTTGTAATCTAATTCTACCTCTTTGATAGAAATCTGCTGGGTATCCTTTTGATGTCTATAGATAGAATGAATAATTGATAAGTAAATGGTGTTTGACTTTTTGGTCAACGATGATCATAATCATATGATTCAAAAGAAAGAAAAGCTATTTACTTCTATAATTGGATGAAGACCTAGCATAGCAATAGCCTTTGCTATCTCTTCTAACATTGGGTTCTTTACACCCTTATCCTTTGGTACTTTTCTACCTTGATCTCTTTTGAGACTAGAGTTCATATATTGTGGGTAGACGACTGTGAATTTCTTATAGTTTGGTATAGTCGATGTGTTGACCATCTTTGGTTGTTGTACTTGTGTAACTTGTGGTTGTGCTGTACTCATTCTTTTACTTTGTATATTAATATATATTTATATATATATAGAGTGAGTGTGAACTAAAGTAACTTTAATCAAACAAGCTTGTTTGATCAGATCACAAACACCCAAAATATAAAATTTCAAAAACTAAATTAATGATACCTAACATCAGTAAATAATATATTTGTGTATGGGTAGGGGTGAATCAGTACTTAGGTTCATTTTCATTATTATCATCTCACATACATACAGATAGATAGATAAAGATACACAAATACTAAACAAAAAATTAACGATGAGTAACAATCAACAGTATCATTATTCTAGTAATTCCAATTCTTATTATTCAAATTATCATAAGAATAAGAATACTACTACTAATAATAATAATAATAACAATAACAATAATAAGAATAATAAGAATTATAGTAATACTTTGTGGAACAATGGTATGTAAAAGAAAGATGAGAACCAATGAATGAATAAACATATTTATTTATAACTAATTTAATTTCAGGAAGGAAATTTGATAATAATGCCACTTTTATTGATTTGGATGGAAGTGAGGATGAAGAGGTTGTTGTAAAAGGACCAACATCAAAGCCTATTGATCAACCAAACAAACAAACCTTCTATCACTACCCAACTCCCAATCCTCCTCCATTTATACCTCTTCCTCTTCCAAAACCAACTATACTTACTCCTCTTCAACTTCCAAAACCAAATTTATCGACTCCATTTATTAGTAATAATAATAGATTTAATGATTATGATTATAAATATGAAGAGGATGAAATTGAATTTTCTCAAGATGAAGAAACCTCGTCATCGTCATCGTCATCGTCGTCATCTTCTTCATCATATGATTCTGGAGATGAAGGTGAATCCCAAGAGGGGGAGGAGGAGGAGAAGGAGGAAGAAATGGATGAAGAGAGTTATTCATCATCTGATTATGATGAATACAGTATGGCTATTATACCTCACCCTACTAAACCATTCATTGATGAAGAACCACCAGCTACAATGGAAAGAAAAGAAATCTTTAGACTCGAGGGACCAAAGAAACGAGTCCGAATCAATTTTACATTTGAATATGTAACGATATTGATATGTTCAATTCTATTCTTTATGTTGTGTTTTTATTTTATATTTCCAAATTTATCATTTTCAGTTTCCAACTTTTAAAAATAATAATAATAATAATAATAATAATAATAATAATAATAATAATAATAATAATGAATCCAACATTGCAAATCTTGTAAAAAATAATAATAATAGTTTTTCCAGCAATCCAATTAGAATTTGTTTTGAATAAAGCAACCAATCTTGCTACTAGTTTTCTTTTTAAAATGATATTATTCTTTTAATAATACTGTGTTTTGTTCTATCATTGTTGATTTATTTTCCCTTTATTATATTACATAACATATTGTACAATGATTGTGCAGCTGGAGCCATATATATTTTTAAATCCTTGATGATAGAGTCTGCCTTTGTCAAGACATTATGAGCAGATGCTGCAGTAGCAGCTGTAGCCGATGGAGAACGTGCCAAAAAAATGTGTCAATTTAACAAACCATGATCGACTCATTTTAATTCCAAATCCCAATGCAACGGCCACAAAAAATGGTCCAAGTAAATAACTTTTAGTCTCTAATAGTGCATCCAATATATATCCATTTAATCCCTTTTTCATTATTACTCTAGTAGTATTATTGTTACTCTGATTACCACTACCATCTACATGATTATTGTAGTAATAGTCACCATTGAATTGTTGTTGATGTTGTTGTTGTTGATGATCTTGATAACCATATTGTTGTTGGTAGTTGTTATTATTATTGTTGGATTGATTATAATCATCATAAATATAACTACTGTTATTATTGTTATTAGTATTGTTGAATAGTTGATCTTGAAATATTTGTTTAATCTCTTGTTCAAAATAGTCAAATAATTGGAAGAGACAATCCAAAACAGACTCCATATTTGTACCATCCAATAAATCGTTTGCATTAAATAAGTAATCTTCTGAAACATATAATCTAAATAAGGATCAAGTTAGTAACCATTGATGGTGATGATGATAATGATGTCAAATTGTTGCAACACCTGCTTACATACCTGCATTTCTTTAAGAACAAATGAATGTTCTCATTTCTTTTAAACTTTGGTAATGGTTCATTATCACTGAAATGTATATAGTCGGCAGGTTGATGGAAAGAGTTCATCAACTTGCACAAAATTCTGCCATCTCCCAATGCAGGACACAAGTTCTCATAGGGTATGTTGATATGTAGTATATGTTCTATGATCTGCTTGGCTGTTGTATTTTTTCTTTGATATTCATCTTCTTGTTGATCTACTACAGTATTTCTATTCATTTAAAACAAACTACTACTACTATCTTGGGATCCTATTTATGTTATGTTGCTTGAGAATATGTGAAATGTGATAAGATGATCAGTGATAATCGATTATCTCTTTTGCTCTTTTTAAAAACGAATAAAAGAAAATAATTATGAAATATTTTTGAAAAGATATTAATTGCATCTTTGGAAAATGAACCTCCCTTTTTTAATATATATTAATATATCTATCTGATATATATTTAACAAATATTCATTTATTATTATCTACTACTACTACCTTTAGTTGTATTTAGTTGGATGATGAGTAGCAATATAATTAATTTCTTTGTGTTTTTCTTTTGAAACTACTCTTTCAATTAATTCTCCGGTCGCTCTGTATACTCTCATTCTTCCAGTGTCTTCATCGTATTTCTCTACAAATGTGTTTCGAAGTTTATCATATGATTCATTTGATATTGGTCCCATTACTCTTTTTGGTGGAGTATTTGTTTCCAATTCTTGTTGTTGTTGTTGTTTTTGTTGTTGTCTCTCCATTGCCATTTGTCTTTCCAGTTGTTTCTTTTTTTCCAGTTCTTCCAACTCTTGTTGTTCCTTTAATTTCTTTTTTTCCTTCTTTTCTTTTTTTCTTTGTTTCTTTTCCTTTTTCTCTTTTCTCTTTTTCTTTTTCCTTTTTCTTCTTCTTTCTTCTGATGATGATGATGATGAATCTGATGACGAGTCATATGAGGAGGATGACGACGATGATATTGATCTTGATCTTGATCTTGATCTTGACTTTGATCTAGACTTTCTTTTCTTTACTCTATTCTCCTTGTCATCGTCTCTTTCTCTCTTATCTACATTATTACTTGTGCTTTTGTCTCTGCTCCTACTCCTTGATCTTTGTCGGTAACGATCACGATCACTTCGATCTCTACTTTTTGATCTTGCTCTTGATCTATCTCTTGATCTCTTTCTGTCATGATGACGACTATATCTATCTTTGCTCTTTGATCTTGACCTTGATCTTGATCTTGATCGGTCTCTTCTATAGAGACTATCTCTCTTTCTTTGACGGTCTTCTTTTTCTAATCTATCATTTCTATTATTATAACGGCCATGGTCTGTACTTGATGACCTTGACCTTGATCTATCTCTTGTAGTTCTCCTTTCCATCAATGATAATATCCAGCACACCAACAGGCGACGTGAACAACAAACAAAGATACTATTAAAATAAATTTAATTTTTTAAAACCCTGTAGTTTATCAACTCTCAAAGATTTTATCGTGGCTGATAGATTTATTGTAAGCGAGAAGAGATATTTATTGATAGGAGATATTTAAACCACGGCGACCTTTGGAGCAGCCTTGAAAGAATGCAGTGGTTGATACTTCTCTCTTTCAACCAGCTAGCTCGCTCATTCACTCAACTCATTCTTGTATAATCAAAGTTATATATTTATTCAATTCATAGTTATAATTGTACAATTAGACAAGATGAAGTTGTTATCAACCCTATTCTTTTTCATTGTTGTTTCTGCTAGTATCATAAACTGTCAACCAACATTAAATGAACCACCTCCACAAGTATGTTGTTGTATATTTGCTTCTTCTCAACTATAGTTATAATACTAACTCTTTTTCTTTTCTCTTTTCTCTTTTCTCTTTTCTCTTTTCTCTTTTCTCTTTAGTATGTAATTCAAGGAACATTTTCAATTCCATATGCAAATGTTACTATACCAGTAACACTAGTTTATGATTCAATTAATAATCGTCAATATTATGATTATTATGATGGATTGGATATTCAATTGAATCTTTGGAACTCGAATTTGAGTTATACAATCACTCCACAGGTATACCATCTTGGATGTTCGGTCAATGAGTATGCTGGTCAACTCACTCCTATTCTTCCAGTCAATGCAAGTGATTGGGTATTCAACGGAACTGCCAATATCAATGGACAACAAGCCAACACCTTTATGCTCAAGACTGTCATGTATGGAAAGCCAAACTACTATTACATGAGTGTAGATGTCAACGATGGTACTCCTCTCCAATACTATATCGATGGAGAGAACCTTATCCTCGGTCCAAGCCATCCAGATGTTTACATTTTAAACATTACCTTCTTTTCATCTGATATTTCAGACTATGAATACGTGTTTACTCCACCTTCATTTGTTATTTGTGAAATGTCACAAGATTCTTGGTCAGGTGAAGAAATCAAAGAAAATGAAAAGAAAAATAAGGATTGTACATTTGATCCACACCATATTGTCAATCATGCCAAGGAAAAGGAATCAAACTATCAAGTATCGTTTGAAGAATTTAAGAAAACACACAACAAACAATATAACCATCAACACCAACACAACCATAGATTCAATCTATACAAGAATAGATTACACAATATTATTCGACATAATCACAAATCTGACAAGACCTTTAAGATGGGAATGAATCATTTTGGTGACAAGACGGTTGACGAATTGATGGGAATGACAGGTCAAAGAAATGGAATGCAACTTGACTCTGAACTCTATGAAAAGGCTGAAATCCATGTACCAAAAGTTGATCTAAAAGATTTACCTGCATCTGTAGATTGGAGACAGTCTGGTTGTGTTTCACCAATCAAGGATCAATCGATATGTGGATCATGTTGGGCGTTTGGTTCGATTGCAGCTTTGGAAAGTCAAAATTGTGTTGTCAATGGTCAATTGGTAGAACTCTCTGAACAACAATTGGTAGATTGTAGTTACCAACAAGGATCAGAAGGATGTGATGGTGGATCTGCCTATGGAGCATACGAGTATGTTATGGTAAATGGAGGTATCTCGACTGAACAAGTCTATCCATACACATCAGAGAATGGGTATTGTCTTGTCAATCATAGATCGTCTGGTGTACAGATTCAAGGATACATTAGAATTCAAAATGGTTCAGAAGCCGACCTTCAAGAGGTTATTGCAACGATTGGACCTGTTACAGGAGCCATTGACACTCATCTTGGTATTGATCCAGACTTTTATTTCTATCAATCTGGTGTATACTCTTCACCCATATGTACATCCTGGAGCTACGACCATCAAATTCACATCATTGGTTATGGCACCTACCAAGGAACAGATTATTGGCTAATTAGAAACTCCTGGTCTACTCATTGGGGTATGTCCGGATTTGCGATGATGCTCAGAAACTCCGATAATTCATGTGCCATTGCTACCGATGCTGTTTATCCAGTTGTTATTAAACAATAAAAAAAAAAGTAATTATTAAAATGGATTCATTAATCCCTTTACCAAAAATAATTAATAACCCCCTCACTCTTCTTCTTCTTTACACACAATTTTTAAAATTGTGGTGGATATACCCAGAGTTGAGTTTAAGTGATCCAAAGTGTTAGGGGAGGAGGAGGAGGAGATGATAAGATGAGGGGGGTAGGGTATGAGTGGAATATCTAAATTCTTTTACTCTTTTGGGGGTGAGATATGGTATGCTATGAGATAAAAAATTTTTGAATAAATGAATTTATTCCTTGTTCCAAAATTGGAAATTTAGAAAAAAAGAAACACCCTCTTTTTATCAATGTACTTACAAAAAAGGAAAAGCAAGGTGGAGTTCACCTTATTTTTTAAATTAATTAATATATTTTTTTTCTATCTCTCTCTCTCTCTTTACTTGACATCAAAAAGAAACAACAACAATTGTTCACATTCATTTAAAAATCCTAATCCTCCTAGAACTATCTAAAAGTTAAAATATTAATAGTTATATAACTATCCACACACACTCTCTCTTTTATTCTCCTTTAAATTAAAAAATGTCCTTCTTTGAAAAGCACTGGAACCAAAATCACAATGGAAATACTCGTATCTTCCATGAAGATTTTACAGGTAATTATATAGATAAATAGATATCTCTATTGATCCTTAAAACCCTGTATTGATTAATTTAAAATCTTCTTTCTCTCTCTCTTTCTTTTGTATTTTTATAAATGAAATAGGTGATTTCTCTGACTCACCAAGTTTACAAAGCGCACAATTCAAGATGGAACCAAGAATTCCTTCATTGACTTTGGATAAGGAAAAGGTAACTACTATTTAAAAATATCTATCTATAAACTTTTATATAATTGTTTACCTATATTAATATTCTCCATCCATCCTTCTTTCTTTAAAAAAAAAAAGAATAAGCTCTAAATCAATTAATAATATAATTTTGTTCTTTCTTTTTTCAAACCTCTGTAAATAACAACAACCTATATAATTATATAAAAAAAAAAAGAAAAAAGCCTTATTAAAAGCTGACAAGAGTGAATCACATGATCATACAACTCACGATCCATCAAGAATCTTTAACCGTTAATTTGAAAAATAAATAACATTTTGTAAATAAATCATCCAAAAATTATCAAACAAACATAATTGAGTTATTGTTTTAAAAGTTTTAAAAAAACTTACAACTTGTAAATTCTAATATAAATATATTTAATATTATTTTAGAATGTTCATAAACAATTGGTTTCCAATTTAGTGGTGCAAAGAAATGGAATACATATGAATCGATCAAAAAATTACATACCAGACTCTAATATTCTGGAGAATCACCAAAGTGGCCAACAACACGCTGCTCGTAACAAAATTGTGTTCTTTGATAAGCCTCCAGCCCGAAAACGTGATATAATCAATCTAGAAGATGACCGATAATTTGAAAAATAAATAACATCCATGGAAATTGGGATTTTATGGTTGTTTCTTTAATGATTGTTTATTTATTTATTTGTTTTTTATCAACTATTTGAATTATTACCATTTTGTTCCTCTTGTACTTGTTCTTGTTCTTGTTCTCTTTGTTTTAAAAGCTTAATATAATTTATAACTTGTAATTTCTAATATATTTAATATTATTATTTTAGAATGTTAATAATAATAAACAATGGGAACATATGAATTAATTATTGATGTACATACCTGACCCCAATATTCTGGAGATTCGCCCATGCCAACAACACGCTGCTCGTAACAAAATTGTATTCTTCGACATGCCTCCAGTCCGGAAACGTGATACAACCTGCCCAGGAGGCAAGATGCAATGAGCCCTGATCTACCACGTCCTGCCCAACAATGCATATATATACGGTTATTAGAGTCCTGTTCCAACTTGCTCAATAGCAAATCAATAAAATCTGCCAACTCTGTAATGCTTTCGGCTGCGCCTCCGTCTTCCATAGGAAAATTTATAAACTCTATATTTCCTATTCCTTTTTGCTTTGCCATCTCCAATACATCTTGTTGGTATGCTCTAAATGCCTTTAACTCACTCTCTAATTGTAAACATACAAATATGTTTATCCCTATATATAGAAAAATAAAGTTAGAGTTTGTTTGAAAATGTTCTTGTATGTTTTGTGTATTATTATTATTATTTACCAGAGTCTAATAAGGAACTTAATATTTTAGAGTGGATGTTATCATCTGCATTGCCTGGATATTCACCAGTTAGAACACGTCCTTTGAGGATCCAGTTTGAGGTGTCATTTGGTCCACGCATATCATCGTCATCTACCTTTTCCTTTGTACATGAACCCTCACAACATATACCGTCTCTTCCTTCTATATGCCATCTTGGTGGTAGAATATAATTCTGAAGAATCATTTTGTTTTTGTTCTATGAGTAATAAGTGTTGAATATAATAATATTGCTGCTGCTGTTGTTGTTATTTGTTGGAGATAAGAATACTAGAGAGTGTAAGCCAAAACTTGACATGTAGATACTGTTTGAAGAAAAGGAGGAGGTGGAAGAGGTAAAAGTTGCAGTTGTCATTAACCCAAGAGTCTCTTGTTGTTTTGCTACTTTATTATTTACTACTTGTTACTTGACAAGTATTAATATCAATCACACGCACACGAACACACAAAGACAATAGTCTGTTTCCTTTTAAATGAATATATATAAATATAGATATATGATAATGTCAAGTTCAAAGACATCCACCAATATTATGTGTTTGAAAAAAATGAACAAAATTTAAAAAAATGAAAATTGAGCAAAGGATCGCTTGATGACACCAAGATCTTATTTCAGCAATGCCCAACATCAATGATAGATATTTGAAAACTGAATTCAGTTGCCTTATCACTCGGTTTTATCATAATGAGGTATGAAAGTGACTACATGTACATCAAAAAGAGATAATTTTATCTCTGTCATTGTTAGTGTTCTTTTACATGATCCCAATCTGATGAAAGTATCCTATCATTTGATATCAAACCAACGACACGGTTCGTCCGATACACATTTTGTCTTAAAATCATAACATCTTTTTCACATGTAAACAATGCTACTAAGATAATTTCAAAGTAATAATCATCATATGATGATGATTCAATTCTCAGATAGTTGTTATTATTTCTTTTATATTAAATTAAAATGAGTGAATGTATCTTAACCGGTAGTGATCTGACCAAACCAGGAATGGTCAAAACGGTATGAGTATAAGATGATCTCGACAAAGCACTTACGGGTCGACTCAGATAGGTTCGTCCGATACACATATAGTTTTGTCTTAAAATCATAACATTTTTTTCAAATGTAAACATTGCTACTAAGATAATTTACAAGCAAATTCTTATCATGGGATGAGGAAGACGAGTAATCAGGTGACTGACCTGAAAAACCCTTGGAAAAACCGAAAGACGTCAAAAAGCTAGCGATAATCAGATGACCATTAAAATAAGAACTAGAGATAAAAAGAGAAACGTATAAATACCTCAAAATAAGTTAGTCTATATTGTTCTATTGATAAAGGTGAGAGGTCAAAAATAGGAGAGTTGAACATGTCAGGTGAACATTTTTTTTTCTTCTTCTGTCTCTTTACTAATCATTCCTTCTTGATACTAAATAGTTCTATAAACTTTGCTTTATAAATATCCCTCCCTATATATATATATGATGTAATATAATGCTTTATTGTTTTGGTGAAGTTGAATTGGTATTTCTTTGATGACCATTTTATTCCAAAAAAGGAATTTTAATGATGATAATAAAATCGACAATATTTCAAACTTTGGTTTCCCAATCATCACCATCAATATACAAACTCTAAATATTTATGTTGTTTGTGAAAAGAGAACATGTCGAGAAATATAGATGTAGGATTAATATTTAGGTTCATTATTCTGATCATTCTTTGTACTATTACCAATTGTATATTTCTAAAGAAATTATCACTCAATTCATCTGTCGATTATCATATTAAATTGCAACAAAAGAAACAACATCAACAACAACAACAACGACAACAAGAGATGACAACTACTATATCACCATCAGTATCAAAAGAGTATTGGCCAAATGTATATGAAAGAGATCAACATGGTGTAGATAGATTGGCAACGTGGAGTGTATGTACATTACACATGCTTGGTATTGATCATACTATTGGTATGGTTCAAATTGAGTTAAATAAAGAGACTGGTCGTCTATTATTATCTCCTGCAACACAGCAACAACAAGAACAACAATATGCACATAACCACAACAACAACAATAAGAATTCTAGATTTATTGTACCTATTGCTCATCCCGACACTTGTCCCTTTAAAGCAATGATAACTTCACAATCACATCAACAATTCCTTAAAGAATCACCTCCTCTTAATCCAATCAAAGTAATTATACTCTATACTTTAATCTCTCTAAGTTTAACCTTTCTTTATACTTAGTATTTCCTTTTCCTTTTTCTTTTTTCTTTTAGGTAGGAGTATCAATTTTAATTCAAGATAAATATGATAGAGTATTTTTAACAAAGAGAGCAAGTACAATGAGAATATTTCCTTCATTTTGGGTATTACCTGGTGGACATATGGAAAAGGGAGAGACGTTTGAAGAGACTGGCATGAGAGAATTGTTGGAAGAGACTGGAATCGATTTAGTGTCGACTAGAAATGTAAATCTAACAGTGTTTGGTGCCTATGAAAGTACCTATCCACTCTATTTAAATGAAGGACGTCTTCCAACGGATCATCACACAGTCATCTATGCGCATATAAAGATTGATCAAGATATTGATAATAGTCAGATTAAATTGGAACCAAATGAAGTTGAAATTGGAGCGTGGGTACCTCTATCATTATTGGCCGAAATGTTTGATAATAGAGGTAAAGGTTATGAATTTAAAGATTCTCCTCATAATTATAAACATTTATTAAATCGACAAGCTAAAGGTCCATCAAGTGAAGCTAATGATGGTGATTCAAGTGAAGATTTGGAAATTCATTATTCAACAAAGAATACAAACGATAATCATCAACAACAAAAAGTTGGAAATCTTAGACAATCATTTTTAACTGGTGGAGAATTAATACCAGAAGGTACAGTTTTCATTTTAAAACAATATTTAAATCTTCAACAACAAAAACAAAAAGAATTGGAAAAATAAATAAAAGTAATAGTATTAGTAGTAGTATGGTTAGGGTATTATGAAAATGATATAATAATAATAATAATAATAATTTATTAATTTTAAAATGGGATAATAGGTAGTTGGTGTTCTTATATATTAAATAAGAAAAGGAAAAATAATAATAGTGATAATAATAATTTAAAATGTTATTTAAAGTTTTGATGCCTTAGATTCTTTTATGTTCTGGACGATGTTCATATTCATAGTCGACATGAACAAAAGCACGTTCAACTTCATCTAAAGATTCCAATTTGATTTGAAGTGATTCACCGATATCGTGACTCTTTTGGAGTGGCATGTCTGGTGGGAGGACAATATCAACTTCGACGAAAAAGTTGTTACCAACGTGGAAGGCACGACAAGTGTCGACTTTGAGGACCTCTGGTGAATGTGACATGGCGATATAGGTAAGACGTTGGAGGAACTCGGGTGGGGCAGACTTGCCGACGAGCAATTGGATTTGCTCGTAGGCTTGTGAGGTCCAGGAACGGAGAATGATAAAGGCTACGATGAGGGCACCACATGGATCGAGATACCAAAACTTGGTACCTAGCATGGCCATAGTGATACCAAAACTATTGACAGTGATATCGTTACGATGGTCAAGTGCAAGTGTTTGGGCAGACGAACTCTTTGTCAAGACACGACAATAGAGATACATCAATACCTTGCAGGCAATGGCAACGACGACAAAAACAATCGACATGATAGAGAGTGAAACTTCTTCGTTTGGATCGTGTCTAGCCAATTTGGTGACACCTCCCCAAATGAGGTTGACCGAGACGGTCGACATGAGCGATGCAAAAATAATGATACCAATTGGTTCCATACGAGACTTGCCCGTTGGATATTCGAAATAGTTTCTTTTCTTTCTGGCACGTTCCGTCATAAAGAGAATAAAGCCAGACAAGAGATCCATAAATGCGTCGATCGATGTGGCAAAGAGTGCCATCGAGCCAGTGATGATGGCTGCGGTGATTTGCATGGCAAAGAGTACAATGTTGACCAACAAACTGCCAACGACAGCAATCTTGACACGTGGGTCTTCCTCTTCCTCTTCATCACCGGTCGTTTCCTTGAGTGGTGTGAGGAACTGGTCAATCAACTCGTTTTGACTCTCGTAGAATTTACGTTGACGCTTGTTTTTGATGGTTTTGATTTCGTCGTCGTTCTTCTTGGTCGATGCAAAGATATTTCTCAAATCTTCGGTTTGTTTGGTGTGTCGACGGTAGATGAGTTCACTTGACATTGGTCCATTGCTACTGTCGTTGTCGTCGTTGATATCTATGTTGTGTGAGTGTCCCATCTTGTTGCCTAAAAGCAAGTTATCACTCTCTCCCTCTTCTTCATTGACAATAGCATTGTCTGAAGAATTTAGAATTGAATGACTATTGATGGTTGTTGAAGTTGAAGTTTCATCTTCATCTTGAAACTTTTTATATTGAAATGACATCTTTATATCTCTTTTCTTCTCGTAGTTGTATAATAATAATAATATATCAAAGAGAGTTTGTCAAAACTACTTTTGGGGGTATATATATATATAAATATAATTTACAATGAATGATCTTATATCTCTCTTTAAAAACAAACAAACAAACAAGTATACTAATATTTACAATGAATGAATAAAAAAAAAAAAGTAAAGAATGAATGAACTAATTGGACAAAGTACCTGTTTGTTTGGTTGGATCATTTTAGTGTTGGATGTTTTTCGGGTTTTAAAATCAGACACAAAATCAAAATTAAATTAATTACTTTTTTTGTCAGAAATTCCGACCTGGGTATTAGCTATTACATCTATCAAGTAGTACTAGATTTATAAAAGTGAAGATTAATTTGATTTGTTTGGAATCATAATTATTTATTTATGATTCTTTAGATATGATGATTAAAAAATTTTTTTGGTAAAAGGATTCTTTACTTCCTTTTTAAGACATTCGAATTGGGTTTGCCCCAAATTAGATACATTTGGATGAATTCAAGGAAAATATAAAGGGTTAAATAGTTTCCAATTTCATAAATAGTTTTCCATTTTATTCATTCAAAAAAAAACGGTTTAAAGTGTATGGATAATGGTATTTTAACGAATAGAATATTGGTATGTTTGGGTTTCACTTTGAGAATTAAGACGGGAATTTTTAAAACGATCGTACTCTTTTTTGGAGGTATTGAAGAAGAACTCACATTCTAAATTTATGGACTGTTCACTTGAAAAGGGGGAATTATCTTGTAGTCCAGATATTGAAATAGATTTGGCTATATTCAGTTGGCCCATTTGAGAAAGTATTTCTAAAATTTTAAACCTTTGATTAGATTTTTATTCTCTTTTTAAAATACATTTATTTTTTTAATACTTACTCATGATTGACATTTTTTAGAGTTGATAGTTTTAATTCTCGGTATTGGACAGATCCCAAACCCAAACAAAACACACAAGTAACAATTAATACGAAATCATAATTTGGTTCAATTGAGTCAATTACAAGATACGAATCTTAACATTTGTACAAGATGCCTTAATTGTAGGAAAACATCTAAAGGCAAAATATGGAATTGGTATTGAATTTGATTTTGAAACCAAGTATCAACTTCCACAGTTATCATTGGAACAAAAGATGGTTGCACTCAATATTCAATTTTGTCAATTAATCTATAAAAGAAAGATATTCTTTTATTTATTCATAAAGAGTTTATGGTCTATTATAAACCCCACTAATATGATAGTGGTGAGTTTTAGTGATGACACAATAAAGATGATGAGAAATCTTGTTTGTCGATTGAACACTTGAAAAGGAGTAACTATCTGGTCCAGAAATTGAAATGGATTTGGTTTGGGGTTGGCCCATTTGGGAAAGAATTTCTAAAGAAAATCACAACCTATTAGATTATTATTTTTTGGTACTTTGATTTTATTATAATACATACTCATGATTGACATTTTTAGAGAAATTTTTTTTTTTTTGTTGAAAGATAAAAAAAGTATTATTAAAATTGATTGAACCTGAACAAAGTGAAAGGTATTAGAAATAATTTTTTCATATCCATTTAAATATCCATTCACTTTCCAAATCCAGTGATTTATCATTTATTATAATATTTTATTCAATTCTAAAAATGAGATATAATTTCATTAAATTCCAATTATTTGTCCTACTTGATCTACAATAATCTATTTTTGTGTGATTCAAAATAAAAATAAAAAAAAAAAGGGTGACCAAAAAAGTCAATCAAAATTATATCTATATATATATATTAAATTATTATTTTTATTTTGATGATGGGGGGGGGGGGGTGTTTGAAGATCAAGAAAACTAAAATTTACTCTATCTCTTTTTGGTTATTTTTTAAATTTTCTTGAAACCAAAATGACAATTATTGAAAAATACACCTCCAGTTGCGACAGCACTAAATTCAGCATAGACAACTTGATTGCTGGGGTTGAGGATACCGTCACTGTCTCTTAGATCTGATCCTGGACCGTTGACAACATTGACTGGCGACAATTTGACTGCACCAATAGTAGAGTAGGATTCGGATGGGATGGCGCAGACATAGTCGTCGCTAGGTTCGACTCTAAAGACGAATGAACCATCGGCTGATGACTTGGTTACGGCTGTTGGGACATCTTGACCCTTTCGCAAGAGGTAGACACTGATACCGGAGAAACCTGGCTCGACGGCATCTTGGAGACCGTTAAAGTTGGCATCTGACCAGATACGACCAACATGGTATTGAGCAAGCGATTTCTCATAGATGGCAGCGATATCACCGAGACCATTCTCCTTGCCAAACGATGATCTGCTGCTGACACCACCTGGAGTGACATAGAGTGAGTAACCTTTGACAACTCTACCTGTGGTAGTGTTGAACCATTTGATGGAACCTTGGAACTCATCGTCATAGTCGAAACCTGTGGCGGCGATGAGACCGGGTCCAGCCTTGATGGCAGCAAAGGCAGCAGTGTAGTCGTGGAGATCCTTCTTTTTAACGTCAAAGAACTGGCCGCCGCCTGGACCATAGTAGAGCCCGGTCATGGACAATTGCTTGGGACTGGATCCGAGCATGCCACCACACATGGCGTTGTTTTCGAGATAGTACTTGCCGTTGGAGGCAAGACAGGCGACCAACATATCGGGAGCACTGACAGTGCTGGCGCCAGTGTCACCAGAACGGTCTTTGAAACCCATGACAATATGACCGGCATCGTCAAAGATGATGCTGGTGAGCATGGGTTGGGAGACGTCTTCTGGTCCCCATTTGGTCCAGAGCGAGCCAACACAGTTGCCAAAGTTGTCAATGTAACGACATCCACGGGCATAGTTCATGGTGAATGTCATGACGGTGGTCCAGACGCCGCCAGCAGGGGTGACGTCGTAACGCAAGATGTAGGTGGCGAGACGCGAGCCGTGTTCACCCGTGCATACACCACCCGTGTAGAGCGATCCTTGGTTGATGGCAACTGGGAAGATTCTAAAGTCACCCTTGCAGTTTTCGGGGTCTGGAATGTTGACGACGATGATATTCTCCCTTTTGGCAGAGACACGTAGTGGGATACGGATGACTTGGTTGCGACGGAGATTGGTAATGTAGATGTAGTCTTCGTAGACGATCATTTGACCATAGGACATTTTGCCAACCATGCTTCCGGCGATTTGGTTTTCACGCAGGTCAAACGAGTGAGCGTAGGTGCCTGTAAAGTCTGCACCAAACAAGTCCTTGGAGTTGAGATCGATGAATGGGAAGACAAGACCGTACTTGTCGACCTTGTAGATACCTCCTGGACCGAGTGGACCGGTATCCGAATGAGCCTTTTGGTAGGAGGCCAAAAAGATGAGTTGATCCTCGGGGTCGTAGGCAACACCATGCACGCAACCAACTTGGTTGTGAGTGGCCAGCTTGGAGATAAACGACTTTCCGGTAGAGTCGTAGGCATGTCCAGAGGCCTTGCTGTCAAATTTAACAGCGGCTGCTTCATACTTGAACGAACCCTTGAGTGCGCCACGGACAAAACAACTGGTGGCAAATGCCTTGGGTGCATTGTACCCTCCGTCGATGTTGGTTCGGTCGTTATAGACACCACCAACTGTCAGTGAGCTGATTGATCCTCCAACGATAAAGTTGGTTGCAGGCGAGCCTGTAGACACGTATCCGGATGGCAAAATGATTTGAATGACATTGGACTGATTGGCAAACAAGGTAGAGAATGACCAAGCTCCATCAAATGCAGTGATTCTAGTGGCGAGGATAGAGCTGTCGTATGGTGATAAGAGTTGGACGATGGCACCCTTGATACCAGCTTCACTGGCACCCTTTTGACCATCGAGATTTTCATCAGAGAATACTTGTCCCGAAAGCGACTGGTCTCCAGTTGGGGTCAACCCAAAAGTAACTGGGGTGGTTCTAAGTGAGAATACATAATCATCGTCGTTGGTCAATCTAGTGTTGGCACCTGGAATGGAGACGGTAAATGGTGCTGGATCAAAGCAGTCCTCGGCATTATATTCAATGTCCAAAAGATAGGTTCCAAAGGGAACATTATCAAATCCACCGGCTCCAACAAGATTGGTTGCATCTTTGTATGGCGCGTTGGTACGAGCATTGATAACAGGCTTACCATTCAAATCCAACAAGTAAAAGTTTACTCCAACTCTTGCATACTCTCCATCATCTCTTACTCCATTTCCATTGGTATCTTTGAATAAATGGACATCGATGGCTGAACATGTTGTACAAGTCGATCTTGGTCTCTTGGTACTAGGTGGTGGGGTGGGAGGTTGAGTTGGTGGTTGAGTTGGTGGTTGGGTGGGAGGTTGAGTTGGAGGTTGAGTTGGAGGTTGAGTTGGTGGTTGAGTTGGTGGTTGAGTTGGTGGTTGAGTTGGAGGTTGAGTAGGAGGTTGGGTTGGAGGTTGAGTTGGTGGTTGAGTTGGAGGTTGAGTTGGAGGTTGAGTTGGTGGTGGTGGATTTACATAGAGTGTAAGTGTCAATGTTCCATCGACAGATTGTGCACCATCGACTGGGATCAATGGGATCATGAGTGCAATGGGTTCAATCAACAGCTGTGCCTTTACACCGTCGGCGGGGGTTGCATAACGGATACAATTGGGCTTGTTGGCAGGACATGCCAAAGTCATGGCATACTGTTCAATGTGGTAGCCTGGGGGATTGGTAATCTTGAGGATATACTGAGTGGCATCCATCAAATCATCAAAGATGAAACGTCCGTTGGCTGGTGTGACGACATTGGGGACTCTCTCTCCTCCACGTCCAAACAATCCTCCACTTGGATCCAATTTAATAATGACACCGGCAACGGTAGGTTCACCCTCATCAAACAGAGTATTACGGTTCAAATCATTGAATGCAGTACCAAGCATACCATATGAATTACTCGATGGTTCCTCTGCCAATACCCGTCTATATGCAGATATTGACACTAAAATGATACCAATAAGATATATTATTTTATATGGTACCATATTATTTTGTCTAAATAAATAAATAAAAGTAAAAGAGTTAATAAAAAAAAACCTATAACTTTTTCAAAATAACAAATTGATCTTAAGCATACCTATATTTATATATTAATTAATTTTAGATTGTTGTGTTTCTCTCTCTGGAATAAAACTAAATAATAATAATAATAATAATAATAATAATAATAATAATAAATGTTCCTGTTTTTTGTGTACTTTTATCCTATCCTATCCTATCCTATCCTATAATCAATCAATATATCTTTCTAAATTAAAATAATAAATTATTAGTCTGGTAGTCAAAAAAACAAACTACTTTATGTATATGTACTTCTTCTTCTTCTTCTACTACTAAAAGATAATTATAATAAATTATTATTATTTTTGTTATTATTATTATTTGGTATGGGTTGGATGATATAGAGCCATAGTTGAGCAGTGAGTTTCATCAAATTATTAAACCAACACATCCATCCATCTATCCATCTATCCATCTTCTTCACTCTATAGTCAGCTGAATGTGCTGGCTACCTGTCACTTGGCGTCAACGACGGTGATGCTCATGAGAGATCGTCATTGCTACACATTCTGTTGTGTTTGTTGATATTGTCAATATAGCTATAGCTTCCTTCTTCTCTTCTTGTTCATATGCAATTACGAGTTGATTTGATACGGGATGCATTGTTGTTGTTGGGGGGGTGTGAGTTTCAACAAAATCCAATATCGTCAACAATGATGAGAGTACAGCGTGATTCCACCCCCCTTTACTGAATATTGATTTGTTTTGAATTGTATACCCCAATATTTTGTTTGGTGGTAGTCTAGTTAACCTGATGTTTCAGATGCAATATATCATTCTTCATATGAACCGAAAAGAGTGAGAGAGGTGTTGATTGTTGATGTTGATGTTGATGTTTATGATGTTGCACATTGCTATGATACATATATCACAAGAGGAAGATGAAGAGTGTTAACAATATATGTTAGTTGTGTGCAATGACAATTTTAATTTTTTAAAACATGGTGTACGAAGATATATTGAAAAAAAAATATGATATATGATTTATTTAATCACAGGATTGTTGTTGATCTGGTTTGGGTTTGGGAGGAGAGGAGATAGGTAGGGGGATTATTAATATATATAGAGTTTAATCCCCTTTGTTTCGTTCGTATTAACTATTTAATAAATTTCACTAATTTGAGGTAAAGATTCAATCAATGATTGTAGATCTTGACCAAAACTATTGTTACGAATCATTAGAGCTTTGAGTGAGTTGTTGTCGCAGAGAGCATCGTTGATGGCACGACCACCATCATCTTCGATTCGGTTACCGCTGAGTCCTAGACTTTGAAGGGTAGTGTTTCGACGGAGGGCATCTCCAATAGACTTTGCTCCAACTGGTCCAATCAAATTAGAGTCGAGTTGGAGATTGATGAGTTTGGTGTTCATCATGAGACTCTCGCCAATAGCCTTTCCTCCACGTTCACCAATATGATTGTTGGTGAGTGATATCGATTTGAGTGTACTATTGTTTGCAATGACTTCGGACAACACAATGGCTCCCTCATCACCCACTCGGTTGCAATCCAAACAAATCCATCTCAACTTTGACAAACTAGCTTGTCCCGATGCAATATGATGTATATTTGGTGATGATGATGTTAAAAAGGTTGATTTCTTATTTCTTAAAAAATAATGAATTATAATTGGTACTTGTTTGTGATGAATTATTATTATTATTAAATGGATTATTATTATTAGTATGATGATTTCCATTTCCATTTCCATTTGATGGATGTGGGGGAGGAGGAGAATCTTGAAGTAAAGATTGATTACTATCTTGTCGATCCAAGTTAAATTGGTTGGAAGGTAAATGGTTGAATTGAAGGTTGGAGTTTTTAAGTGATTGTGAAATGGATTTACAAGTCTCGACACCGATACGGTTGGCGGCGAGGTTGAGACGAACGAGACCGGCGTTGGTGGCCAGACAGTCGCCGATGAGCTTGCCACCGGCGTCGCCGAGCAGGTTGTAGCTGAGGTCGAGGTCGGCGAGCGTCTTGTTGAGGGGTAGGGAAAAGGCGAGTGATTTGGCACCTTTGAGCCCGATTTGGTTGCCGCTGAGGTCGAGAAGGGTGAGACTTGTGTTGGTCTTGAGCGCGTCACCAATGACCTTGACAGTGTGCTCGCCAAACTGGTTGCGTTTGAGCAGTAGCGTCGTGACTGCTTGGTTCTTGGCAATGGCCGCACCGATGGCACAACCGGCGTCATTCTCGAGACAGTTGAAGCTGAGGTCGAGATGTTTGAGTGAACGGTTGCTGTGCAACGCTCCGGCAATTGCCATGGCACCGTCGTCGCCAATGAGCGTGTGTGCGAGGTTGAGCGACTCGATCATGATGTCTGGTGTCGCAAGACCCTGTCCAATGGCCATACCTGCATCCGGACCAATGTCATTTGATGCCAACACGAGCGTGCGTAGTGAGCGGTCGTGTGGAATCAATCGTTGTCCAATACTCACTCCTCCACGCTCTCCAATGCGGTTGCTGCTGATATCCAACTCTGACAGCGTGTCAATACCGACAATCGCATCGATCAGTGCGTCCATCGAGTCGTCTGTAATCTGGTTGGTTGCCAAATTGAGTGTTTTGATCTTGCATCCAGCACACTCTAGCATGCGTGCCAACAACCGCACCGACTCGTCGCCGAGCTGGTTGAAACTGGCGTTGAGATGGAGCAAACCCGAGTTACCAGACAATGCCGAAAACAACGCCACGCCATCCTCGTCGTTGAGGTGCGAATGCATCACTGTGATTGACGAAATGTGTGGATTGACCCTCAATGGTGCACCCACAAACTGGCTGCCATGCAGATTCATGTTGCATGAAATATCGAGATGTGAAAAGGTAGAATGCGTATTCTCGAGAAGACGTGCAATGCTACTGGCATCAACCTGTCTGCTAAACTGCATCTTGAGTGATTGCAGTTTGGGCAAACGTACAAATTGGTCAATGAGGCCATCAATAGTGAAATATTTGCACTTGGATAAATCCAAGTGTCCTATACTCTCTCCCTCTTGTTCAAACAATCTAGTCAATATATTATCATTTAATAATGTATTGTATTTATGTAAACAAAATTGGAATAATATTGGATCGTCTAAATATAGAAAAATAGAAAAAGTTTATTAATAAACATGTGGAAAAAGTTATAAATAAACCATCCTATCTATTTATAAACTATATAAATAGAAATCTAAAAATATACATACAATTTATAATTGATATTGATTTGTTAAAATCTATTTCCTTTCTATAATCTTTGTTTCGTAGTCTTTTAAGATAGGTTTCCCGTTTTCTTTCAACTTTGTTTTTCGCATGTTGGCATAATTCTAATATTTCTTGGATGATTGATTCATCGTCGGTTGCCATTATTTTTTCTTCTCCAGTTGTATTATCTATACTTTTATTATTATTATTCTCGTTGTTATTGTTATATATCTTATTATTATTATTTACATCCATTATTATTATATATTATTTATTATATTATTATTATTATTTAATAAAAAAAAAGAAAAAAGAGAAAAGATCCTAATAAAATAGTAATGATTAATTATTTTTATACGACTATTCAAATATTTTAAATTATATATAAAATATATATAGTGAATTGAATTTCTTTGTTGTTTTGGTTGTTTGTTGCTCTTAAAGAAGAAGAAAGGAGTAATTCGTTGTTTAGATTTGAAAAATAAAAGATGATAAAGTGCTTGCTTTGTTTGTTGTTGTTATTGTTACTGCGCTGCTGCACGTCGTCGTTGGATAATTATTTGTTTGAGATTAATGAATGTCTATATATATCTATGTTGAACCCAACCACGGTTAGACAATAAACAAACAAACACACTGACAGCTCTAACGAGTGACTATTTTTATAATATAGTAGTTGATGATGATGGTAAAAACTATTCTTCTTGATTCACGAATGAATGAGTGAATGAATGAATGAATGACTACTACTCTTTGTTTCACTAAATTATTATTATTGACTATAACTAACTATTTATATATTATTAAAAGTATTATATATATATATATCTATAAATTGTATATTTATAACTTCTTATTATTACTTGATGAATATGATGATGAGTGTACTTGATAGCTGTTTTTCATCTCTCTATCTTGTTGTTATAATAATGTTGATAATGATAGGTATAATAATAATAATAATAATAAAATAGCTATTGATAGAATGTGATGATGATCAATCTCTTTTCTTGTGTTCTATTTTTTCTTATTATAATTATTGCAAAAAAAAGCTTTTGGGTCGAGACTTTGAGACCACAAACACAAATTCTTTGCAAAGAGAGAGAGAAGGATGAATAAGAATAGATGTTCTCTTCAGTTTTTTTTCTTTCAAGTGATTCACTCTTCGAGCCTTGTAACTAGAAATAATAAATAAATAAATAGCAAACAAAAGGGTGAATCTGCTGCTTCTATTTCCCCATCACACCAGCAAGAAGAAGCGAATGCAGTTAGTGGTTGGGGGGTTGGTGAATGCTGGGGAGATCACCTGATCAGAACACTGCGGTGCGAGTAGGGTGGGTGGTGAGATATATAGGGGGGTACCACTGACAATGGTGGCAAGAGGGGGTAAACAGATATTTGGTTGGACAACGCAGCATGATTCATCCTTTTGTCACTCCGTTCACATGACGCAAAACGCACCATGTGTTTTGGACGATCGTCCACAAAAGGTACACCTGATGAAAAAACGTTGAAAAGATCGATCAGCTGGTCTTAAATAATAATAATGTAGCTGGTCTTAAATACATTATTATTAAACTATTATTTTATTTTAATATTAGTTTATATTTAATGCTTTTGAAAGAGCATGTAAACAAAATGAATAGGTTAGAGGAGTAGAGGACCAAAACAAAAAAGTGTCTGGGTAGGTACCAGCCCAAGAGGTTGGTGTAGTTGTGTTGTCCCATGTCTGATGGTAGACCATTTCTTGATAAATGTCCTTATCAACAACACCAGAGACACCTTGGATTGTAGATAGTGGTCTATTGTGAATATGTGGATTACACTGGGTACCATTTAAATATTGACATGTATTGACTGGATAGGAATAGAAATTACTCGAACTACCTTTATGCGATCCAGAGAAAAAGGCATTAAATGTATACTCCTTGTCAATTAGTACACGATCACTAATATATTCAACTGCACTCTTTACCAATGATTTAACAGTCGATGGTGTATTTGGTCTCCAATGATAAGTAAGTTGAGGAGAAGTAGAAGTAGATCTAGTTGTAGTCCAAGTATCAATCAAAGTTAATACGGCAATACTAGTAGTCATAAATCTATCATCTCCATTATGTAATGGGTTACCACTAGCACCGGTATCTTGACTACCCAAGAATCCATCCCAAAAGTAGTACATCTTTTTTTCTACTATTTCCAATTTAACATGATGGTAGAGACGGTCTGTTACATCTTGTTGAAGAGCATCGAGTAGAATATCGTGAGCATACTCTAATGCCGATGGGTATAATGGATGTTCAAACTCTTCCAGCAGACTAACTATACGAGATGCAAACCACCCATAATCATAGATTGATGGGTAATACACCAAAGCTATATCAGCTCTATTAAATGCACGACCAGACTTTATCGACCATGAAACAATATCAGCAATGCTCGTGCAAATATTTGCAATATCTTGAGTGAAAAATGGTGGACAACTATTATTATTATTCTCTACGATATATTGTCTTGTTGCAGAAGCAATACCAAACAATGCATTTAGAGCTACACTAAGATCAATATTATTCATATTAAAACTAATGTGAAAGTATGGAGATGTTTTTCTTTGATCGGCCAATGTCATCATCCAAGTGGTTGGCAAGATAAATGATTGTTGTTTGTCCGTATCATTGGCCGTGGTGAGAGACTGTAAAAACTCGTGCATCATATAGTATGTTCTTGGATCAATTGTATTGGTATCTGGTGATTTTGAGAATGGTACATATGAATAATGGACATAGGAAGCAATGACATTTGAAATGTTTGGATTGGCCGATTGCCAAGTTTGATGTACTTTTGGATGAGAGTGTTGAACCGTTGACAATAAATACCCAAGTGCAATATTGACACTAGTATCATCGGTATCTGCTGGTATAGCCATATCAGATCCACCTTGACTAGGTGTTTCAGTAATGATTGTTACATCATCACTAAATGGGATACTCGGGACTGTCATTTTAGCAACCGTTTCAAAAACCTTTTCAAGTGACCCATTTGTTGCCATTGTCAATTGACCAAGATTCACTGGAAGAGAGAAATAAGTCTTTGTATTTGGTTCATATATTTGTGGCCAAAAAGTGTAAACTCCACTACCATTTAATCTATTTTGATCTCTGAAATAAAGTATTGCCTCTGTTCCAGATTCAAGTACATCATTTGATATTTTAATACTACCTAATTTCTCAGACTATAAATGGAATGAATTAAAGGTAAATTAATACCTTTAATTTAATTATCTCTCTTTAACTTAAATAGACATACTTGAATTAAATTAAATAATATAAAATTAGTTACAAACATATTTGGATCTGATATTTTAATACTTCTTCTTGCTTGTGTTTTGTTTGGATTTCCACAAATGTTATGATGAATGTCACTGAACAACAATAAAAAAAGTGAGTATAGTTATATAGTAGATCTCATTTGTTTTTGAATGTTCAAACATACCTTGGGAATAAACCTTTTAATTCTTGCCATGTTAATTTATCTTTAGTTAAATTAAAACTAGTTGATTCTCTAATAAATAAAGAATGGTTAGTTTATAGTTTCAATTGAAATCATTGATATATTTATATTTATAAATCTTACTTGATTTGAGAATCTTCAATCAATTGATATAATTTTGAAATTGTATTTTGAATTTTTCCAATTTTACAAGGTTCATCAGTATTTGCCAATACCAATGTCAAATATGACGATTGAATAATAATGAATACACAGACTACTAATATAGTAGTAGTAGTATATGAAACTATTCTTTTCATTTTAAAAAAAATGATAACAACAATATATTAGTAAAGTGATTACCAAAATAGGTTTATATTTATACTTTTTCAATAGTTATTTAAACATACCTCAAACAACCAAACTGACAAACGAGGGGGGGTACTTGAAGAATCTAGATCTATACCTATAAATAAATAAAAAAATGACAAATAATATTTGTATTTGTATTAGTACACACACACACACACATAATGGATGTGAGTGAATAAATATCTGATAATCTATTTTTTAATCCAAATAATAATAAATAACAAATAATAAATAATAATTATTAATTAATTTGTGAAAGTGAAGTTTGTTTGAATTATTCTTTGTGTTTATATATATATATGATGATGATGATGTTTCACATTCACACTTTTTACTTTCTATCATTTGAATCTGTTGGTTTGGAATTGAGGATTGGGGAAGAGGATGAAGGTGGTGATGAGGTGGTAGAGGTGGATGAGGATGATGAGGATGAGGTGACAGCAGCCATGGTATACCATAGACCACCAATAATGACAATGATGGAACCAAGTAATTTGGGTGTGGTAATACATTGAACCTTTCTGATTGGGTCCAAAGGATCACAGAGAAAGATGGCAGATGTTCCAAAGACTACAATTGATTGAATGGCATAGAGAACACCAACAGTCACTGTTCCATAGGTTGACAATAATGTGAATACACTACTTGATCTAAATACACTTCCAAGTGACAGGATTGCAAAAAGCACAAATATGTAGAAACCAGATGACTGTGACTCTAGGATGGGTTCGATTACCCATTCCTTGCGATTATAAAAAGTGGCAGTTCCTATATACGTCAATACACACATCACCGAATAATACCCATATCTCGATGCAAATTGAAACGGTGATACTTCATACTCTTTAATGACATACTCTGAAAAGATATTACTAGCTGAAAATACAAATGCCGCAAATAGTACAAATAATACACCAACAAATGATCCTATAAATAAAATAAAATAATAAGTATAAATGATATATATCTATCTATCTTTACTAATCTATTTAATCTACACATACTAAGATTGGAATATTGATCAGTTGGAGTATCGATGGTGGTGGTTGATGGATGAGATGGTTTATAAACGCATATACATAATCCCACTACAATGGTGAGGATTGATAACCATTTACCAGTTGATAAATGTTTCTTTAGTACAAATTTGGATAATAATGCTCCAAATATAATCTTTGATGAAAAAATAACTTGAAATAACTAAAATTGATCCGATGATTATAGATAAATCATATGATGATAGGATTGATTAATAAAAGATTATATAATATTGGTTATAGTTGTTTGTTGATAGTTAGACATACACCGCTGCCAATTGCAATTTGACCAATTGTTGTGCAAAGACTTGCAATGCAATCAAAGACTGCCAATGCAAAGTATCTAGAACGAGGTACTGATGATGCAGGTTTCCACTTTCTATGATTGTGTGATGTAGTTGGTTCACCGCTTAAATTACTTGGTATGAATCTTAACATTAAATATCCCACAAATATACAAAGGTTTGTAAACATTGTCTTTGGGTCTAGAGAGATATATATAAATTAGTTTCTACTTATCTATCTATCTGTGTCTATTCTATCTAAGTGTATCATACCAAAATGAACATTATCATAGATCAATTGCACAGTCAATGTATTGCAGATACCAGATGCAAGAAATAGACCGCAAACTGACAATGCATGGACGATCACACTATTCTGTTTCATTCTTCACCTCCCATTAGACACAACACCAACAACTATGATTTAAAAATGATACAAGTAGTACTACTTTGAGAGTTGATTGATTATGTATATCTATCTATCTATATTTACATATAAATAAAAGATTATATTGATGATTTTTTGTGAGTGAAACAGAGAAATTAAAATACAAATTTGTCGACTTACTTTATTTCTATCTTTGTTTGTTCATTCATTGTTTATTTATTTATTTATTTAATTAATTTATCGGTATAAGAGAATAAGAAAGAAGAGGAAGATATTCACAAATTCATAAAAAGGATCTAGATAACTTACTTGTAATATTATATATAATAATGGCATCTTCAGCGACTGGTATGTTAAATATTATTTTTAAGAGAAAGAGAGAGAGAAGAGATAGTAGTAGGACTATTAAACTAACTATTATATCTTTGTTTAACTTATTTATATTTACCTTTAGATCATTGGAAAAAGAGAGAAGAATGGAAGAAACAAAAGGAATTGGAGGAAGCACGTAAAGAGGGTACAGCACCTGCAGAGGTAGATGAAGATGGTAAAGAGATTAATCCACACATTCCACAATATATGATGCAGGCACCTTGGTATGTGTCGACCAACAAACCATCACTCAAACATCAACGTGCATTCAACAAAAAGACAGACTATGACAAGGGATGGTATGAACGAGGTGCACAGGCAGCACCGGCATCGACAAAATACAGAAAGGGAGCGTGCACCAACTGCGGTGCAATGACACATAAAGCAAAGGATTGCTGTGAACGACCGAGAAAGGTTGGTGCCAAGTTTTCAAACGATGACATCAAGGCCGACGAGGTTGTTCAAACATTGGACTTGGACTATGATGGTAAACGTGACCCATACAATGGATATGACCCAGACTCTTTTAAGGAAGTGGTCGATCTATATGAACGTGCCGATGCAGCAAGAAAAAAAAAGAAATTGGAAGAGATTATGAAACAGTATGGTATGAAAGAATCAGAGGCTGCAGCCAAACAAGAAGAACTGCTCAAAGATGAAGAAGACAAGAGTTTTGATGTGGATGGTATGGATCTGCATCAACGTCTTGATCCAAAGTCAAGAACTACTATTAGAAACTTGCGTATTCGTGAGGATACTGCCAAGTACTTGTACAATCTCGATCTAGACTCTGCGTTTTACGAACCAAAGAGTAGATCGATGCGTGACAATCCTCTACCAAATGCTGGTGACATTCCGTTTGCTGGAGACAACTTTACAAGGGCGTCGGGTGACACCAAGAACTTTGGACAGATGCAAATGTTTAGTTGGGAGGCGTACGACAAGGGACAAGACGTCGACTTGAACGCCGCTCCGTCACAAGCCGCTCTCTTGCATCTCGAGTTTCTCCAAAAGAAGGAGGCACTCAAGAACAAGGCCAAAGAAACACTCGTCAACAAGTATGGCGAGCAGACAGAGAAAGCAGACGAGGATGCAGCCGCTGCAGACCGTATTGCCCAAACCGAGGTCTACACAGAGTACTCTGCGTCGGGTAAACTCATCAAAGGCGAGGAGAAACTTGTCAAGAGCAAGTATGAAGAGGATGTATATAGTAACAATCATAAATCAGTTTGGGGATCGTATTGGGAGAGTGGTCAATGGGGTTATCAGTGTTGTAAACAAACTATCAAACAATCTTATTGTACAGGTGAAGCTGGTCGTAAATTAAAAGATCAATCAAGATTACAATTACAACAACAACAAACTACAAAAGATCAATCAAAGATTGAAACAACAGAAAATGATAAACAACAAGATGAAAATAATAATAATAATAATAATCAACAACAAAAATCATTATTGGAACAAAAAGAATCAATGACAGAAAAAGAGAAAAGATCAATTGAAAAGGAAAAGAGAAAAAAAGAAAAACAAGAAGAAAAAGATAGAAAGAAACGTTTCAAAAAGGCTCTCAAGGAACAAGATGATCATGCCAAATCAAATGTTGAAACAGATGAGAGAAAACGTGGTTACAATTCATTTGCAACAGCCGATGATTACAATGTCACTGAAGAGGATTTAGAAGCTTATAATCTTAAGCGAGTTCGTGGTGATGATCCAATGGCAAATTATAAAGAATAAATAAACCTTTTAAATTATTATCACAAATTATTATATAAATATATTTACAATTTTTTTAATTAACCTTTTGTTTGTTTTTTAAATTTCTGTAATCTTTTGTTGTTGTTGTTGATCACCTTTTGGAACAAAGATATTTGCCAATTTAGTTCCAAATTCTATAATACCTTTAACACCTTCTAAATTGGCCAATACACATACAACTACTCCATATTTTGGAACGACTACAATGATTGATGATCCTCCTACTGCTGCCCCAGTATGATAGATTATTTTGTTGTCCAATGTATCTGTTACTCGACGAGTAGAAGTATTGTCAATTGGATTGATATCACCTACAATCTGTCTATTTTTAATTTGATGGTTGGGTTTAACAGACCATCCAATTGCATAGTCTGTTGGTTTACCGTTATTTGTTTGTTGTGTGTGAAAGATAATATCGAGTGTGCTACGTTTTAAAAGTTGTCCACTTATAATGTAGGTACCGAATCGACATATATCTTGAGATGTAGAGAGGATACCACCACCTGCATACTTGTATGAATTGTTGGCCAACTCTGCATTGACCAATTGAGGGTTGACAGAGACACCAGTGGAAGAGTATCGGTTGTTTGTGTTTTTGCCACCGGTCAGTGCGTATTGACGTGACCTGTTTGAAATGATCGTGTTGTGTTGGTCGGCGTACGTGTCGTACATTCCACATCGTTGAAAGACACGGTTCTTCATAAAACTGATAAAGTCAGTCTTGGCAGCACGCTCTATGATCGTGCCGATCAGTGTGTATCCAAATGTACTATAATTGTACGTTTGTCCAGGTGCACTCTTGTCGGCATCAATCCACGGATCAGACACAAAGATGGCGAGTGGAGGTGGCAGCTTGTCCGGGTTATCCCGTACCGCGTCCGACACGTATTGTTGTACACTGAATATCTCGGTTGTCGCACCGCGACGGTAGTGACGAATACCGCCAATATGCGACGCGACCTGTCGCACAGTAGGTGCGGTCTCTGGATACGCAGGATTGATTGGAAACTCGGGCACGTACGTCTGCACCGTCGCGTCGACGTCCAACTTGCCGTCTTCGATCAGCAACCCGACAGCTGCCGACGTCAACGCCTTGGAGATGCTAGCAATCCTCATCTTGGTGTCTGGTGTCACGGGAATAGCATTCTCGACATCAGCATATCCAAACCCAGCCTTAAAGACCGTATCTCCCCGCACCATGGCACACACACTTACACCTGGGATCAATTGTTGTGACATCCAAGAGACCACCTCTCTCGATGCTATATCCCTCTGTTCCTCTGCATTGAGTGTTGTCGATGCACCGGGTACATAACTATCTTGTTTCCAAAGAGGTGTTTGTTCTCTTTCCTCCTCCTCTGACGATGAAGGGTTCATCAAATCAGGTTGAGACTTTACTTCACAAAGTAATACATTATTTGCTTTGGTATTTCTAATGTTGAATAATATGTTTCCCAATATTCCCATCTTTTCTTTCTTTTGATTTGTTTCATTATTATTATTATTATTATTACTATTATTATTAATCTGATTGATGGAACCAACACTACTACTACTATTATATTGATAGATACAACCTGTAGCTATAGCAGACCCAAGTAATATCTTTCTAGTCTTTTTGCTAAATAGCAAGTTCTTTAATCCACTCATTATCTATTTATCTCTATTTATCTCTATTTATCTATGTATGAGTGTAGGATAGAGTAGAGTAAAACATATTCAATATTGTGAAGAAGAATTAAATAATTAAAAGTCAGATGAATGAACTTAAGGTGACGACACTATTAGTGGGTGTGAAGGAATATACAGGTAAAGTTTAAAGTTCCTTTTGGTTTTCAAAAAAATCAAGAAAAGGTGTGATTGGGGGAAAAGAGTCGATTCCTCAATCATTGACACACCCATCATTCACTTCATTTCATCAAACTAATCATCATCATTCAGAGGAGAGAGATAGAGATATCGAGTAGAGAGTAGAAGAGATGTTGAGCGGATCCTCACAATCAGTCAGTCGAAAGAGAATTGTGTTATGGAGTCCTCACCAAACCAATCAATTTGTAGTTGGTGCTTCTGATATGAGACTCTATGAATTTAGAAACAATAATAATAATAATATAAATAGTAATAGTAATACTTTATTGAATAATGTTAGTGGTAATAGTATCAATAACAAGTTGTTTAATAGCGCAAATAGTTTAAAGAATGGTGGAGGTGGTGGTAGTGGTGGTGGAGGAGGTATAGGATCAAACTTGAATACAAGTAGTAACAATAATAATAGTTATTATAGTCACCAACAAATACAAAATAATACTGCAAATAATAATATAGCATTTGATATTCAGTATCCTCCTGATGGTATGTATAATACAATACAATCATTGATTGATCAGACTGATATGAGTACTTATATTTGTTTGTTTGTTTCTATCAATCTATATATAGATTGGATACCAGAAGATAGAAAATCAATAGAATTAAAGAGTGTAAATGTAGATGTTCAATATCTAAAGTGTATGACATGGTCACCAGACGTTTCCGATGTCAATCTATTGGCATGTGGTTTGGTGAATGGTAGAACTGTTTTGACTAGTTTCTCATCGGTCAATAGAATCGTAAAAGAGTTTGTTCCAAAACATACAAGACCATGTAACAGTATTGCATGGAACCCATTCAACCGTTCACATATTGCTGTTGGTTTGGATAAAGTTCGTGGTGATAATTCAACTTTGGTATGGGATATTAATTATCTTAGTAAACCAAAACAATCCTCAACGTCATCATCATCATTTTTCCAACAACAACAACAACAATTAAATAATTATTCATCTCAAATTGATGCTCCTCATTCAATGTAAGTTCAAAACAAAAAGAAAAAGAAAAAAAAAGAATGAGTGTATATTAATATTTGTATTTGTATTTGTTTGTTTGTTTGTTTAGACAACAAGTTTCAGAGAATGGATTTAGTACAGCACCATTAGAACCACCAGAGACTATTAATCAACCGGTGTCAGAGTTTACATTGTCAGAGGCGACTTTGGCATTGGCTTGGATTCCAAACAACCCATTCTGTTTGATCATTGGTACGAGCAGCAAATGGCTACGTATCTATGATACTAGAGATACAAACACTTCACATTCTGTTGCTGCACATGCCAAGTCGGTTTGTGGTGTTGCAATAGATCCGTTTGATAACAATCGCATTGCCACTATGAGCGAGGACAATGTCGTCAAGATTTGGGATATGCGTCGATTTGACGACCCAGTATTTTCCATCAACACCAACTACAAATCTGTTTCACAAATGGAATGGTGTCCCACCCGATCGGGTATTCTCGCAACCAGTGGTCGTGAAAAGAATACCATCAAACTTTGGGACATTAAATCTTCTAGTTATCTTCCATCAATCATTCCAGATTATACAAAATCTCCACGTACTGATCGTAAATCAAATATTAATGATCAATCTTCTCATTCAACTTCAAAACCTTCAAAGAGTAAGAGACACACATTTAGTAGTAGTAGAAAGAACAACCTTTTCATATATATTTAGTTATTAACAATTATTTTATTTTTTTAGTTCATATATCATCAGAAGTAATTTCATCATTCTCTTGGCATCCAACAAATGAATGTAGAATGTTGACAGTTTCATATACAGGTATTGTAGAGGTGATTAGTTTGAATGAAAGTATACCAGTATCATGGTCACCACAAGGATCATTATGTTTTTCATTTGGTAAACATTGTATTGAAGGTCCAAACAAGGGTACCTCTTTGGAACCACCCACCAGTGTTTTGGAGCGACTCAACAATGATGGAAGATATCGTAAAGATATCTCTCAATTGATGAGAGAACGAGCTATTCTAGGTTACTCGGCCATTGTAGAAGATAATGTAAATCTATCGCAATCATTTGCAGAAAAGGATATCAACTTTTTATGGAGTTGGATTCAAAAAATACCAAATAATCTTCAATTATTTAGAAAAAAACCAACAAAACCTGAAGATGTATCAAAAGAACATGATTATGTTGGTATTCAACATATTTTAAATGAAATTCAATCTTGTAAGAAAGAAAATAGAAAAAAAAAAGAAAATAGAGAAAAGAAAAGAATCAAAAGTATTTATTTATTTATTTATTTATTTTTATTAATTTATTTTTTGTAGATTTAGTATCAAATTCAATTGAAACACAAAATGGATTCCAAATTTATAAATCTGGACAAAGATCACTTTGTATGTTGATTTGTGGATGGGGATTTACACCAAATCAACCTTTGGAGTTTTTATTGGCTCGATTGGAAAAGGGTGGTGAATTTGAAAGAGCTACAGCATTGGCAGTATTCCATCTCGATATTAAACGTGCCATTTCTATTCTATACAATGGATGTTTAATGTTGAATTCACAGCAACAACAAGTATCTAGTAATTTATTAAAATCACAACAACAACCACCATTCAACAATGCCATCTATCTTCAACAACAACAGTTTTTCAATTCACTCAAGGAGAGAGAAAACCAACTCAGAGTATTGTCGATTGCGCTGGCTGGATTTGGTGATGGTGGATCGGGTGTCAGTCAGATTTGGAGGGATACTTGCAAGATGACCGCACGTAGTTTTAGTAATGCCTATCTCAGACTGTGTCTAGAGTTCCTCTCGACCAACATGTCAAGTGTCGAGTCTGTTAGAGAGTTGATTGCAACGTTGAACGAGTCGGGTGTGTCACTCGTAGACAAGATTCCATTGGCGTGTCGTTACTTTGAGCAGTCTGACTTGTTGGCATTTGTCGATCGCCAGACCAACGCCTGTGTCGAGCAGGGTGACCTGATGGGCATCGTGTTGACGGGTCTCACACCAAAGGGTATCGACTTGTTACAACACTATGTCGATCGAACAAGCGATATCCAGACGGCAGCACTTGCCACCAGTCTCTTGGTACCCAAGATCTTCCGTGACAAGCGTGCCAAGAACTGGCTGCAGATCTACAGCGACCTGTTGGACAATTGGCAATGCTGGCACCAACGTGCAGACCTCGACATCCAGCTCACTAGCGAGACACCCCCCTCGCAGATATTTGCACGTTGCGGGTACTGCCAAAACTCATTCTCTTTCGAGTCGGTCACGAGTGGCTCGATGGTCGGCAGAAACGCCAAAATCAACGCGCGTGCCAAGGTACCGTGCTGTCCGCACTGCAAGCAACAGTTGCCGCGTTGTTGTCTTTGCATGATCCAGATGAACTGCATGGTGCCAAGCATGGACTTTAAACAATCCAACAAACAACAAGAATGGACAGAGGGTGCAGAATCTTTTGACGAGTGGTTTACCTGGTGCCAAACCTGTCGCCACGGTGGTCATGCCACCCATCTTTCAGATTGGTTCAAAGATCATATCGAGTGTCCGGTCACTGATTGCAATTGTAAATGTTCTTCAATTTAAATAATAATTTATCAAAAAATATAAGAATGAATAAATCCAACAATTATCATTTATTTAAATCGGTCTTGCATCCTACAATGGATTCCCACTCGAAGAACATTTCATATTATAAAACTTTGGAACCTGGTGGGCCAGTACTATTTATTTTTTTAACTTTAATAATCGGACAGTCTCTGTCATCACTCGGAGCTTCTCTTCCATCTCTCGTAACTTCTCATCCTTCTCATAGTTAATTCCGATTGTGGTGTGCTCGTGAATTAGAATGTCCAAAAATGCCAGGATAACACCAGTTTTTCCGATTTGAGGTTCAGCATCTAAAACAATGATATGTTTGAGAAGAGAATCATACTGTTTATCATTTGCCTGAGGGTGTTTGGGCCCAGGTTTATTTGAAGCTTTCATGAGTAGATGGGTTGTTGTGAAACCCAACTCTTCAAAAGTTAAATCTGGGCGATCTCCCAAAGAAAGAAAAACTGTTGCTGGATTACCAATGTCCTTGTGTCCAGCACATCTTCCAACATCCTGAATAAAGGTCGCCTCTGAGGTATGAATCTTTGAATAGGGTCCTTTGTATCGAGCACGAAGATCGAATGTTTTGCAGGTATCTGGTATTCTCTCTCCAATTCCAACCATTTTGTTTAGAATAATCAGACATGGAAGTCCCTTTAGATCCCCAACACATTTTACCATTCGACCTTTTTTGTTGAGATAATTTCTAGCTTTGTCGGATAGTTGTTCCATGATATCGGGGGACGATTCGTAAAGGGCAATGACTTCGAATGGAACCCATTTTTTGTAGTCTTCATTCTCCCTGATGGAATTGTTGAGTTGCTTGATGATTTCATTATTGGATAGTCTAACGACAGCGATGGGTGAATCGTCAGTTTGAGGATAGTCGACGCCGAAATTTGTTTGGCAATCACAGAGTAAAGAGAAGAGAATCTCTCGCGTCTTGCCCATAGGAGTCCTCTTGTTGGCATACTTGAAATAGGGTTCCAGGACTTGGATGTACTCGTTTTTTATCACTTCGCTTCTTTCTATGGATTTTCCGAGGATGGCTTTGGAGGAGTGGTACTTTAGGTTCTCCACTGCAACATAGGATGGGCATTTGAAGGGTTCTTCTTTTTTAAGTTCTTTCCAATCGACATGACGTTTTTCCAATTCGGTTGTCAAAGTGATAACTTCGATGGTTGCAGAAACCAACAATACCATTACCTTTTGGTCTTTCCACTCTTCCTTGGTCTTTTTTATGAGTTTTATAAGAAGGTTGCTCTTTTTCCCATCCTTACTCGCTCCCCAATGTGCCTCGTCGATGACCAACAAATGAAAAGCATCCGTCTGATTAAACCAAATATCGGTCTTTTTACTGTCTTCAATATCGATGTTATTGAGCACTCTTGAGGAATGATCTAAATATTGCTTCTTCTTATGTGTCCAATCGTAGTACTTAAAGAATGATTTTACATCCTTTGTCGTTTGTTTTTTGAGACTGACAAACGAAGGCCCTATGAAAAGGAAATTAATCTTTGGAAATATATCATTAGCACCAATGATATTATTCTCGATTGCCACTGATTGAATTTTTTTGGCAATGTTGTATTGTGTATTGTAGATGGCGAGGCCTTGAGAATCCACGAAAATGCCACTGTTGTTTAAATAGGGATATGTTGTTGATGTTGTTGATGTTGTTGATGTTGCTGTTGTTGCTGTCGATTTTGTTATTGGTGGGGGGTCCATGTCTAACTTGGGGGTGCACTGATGAACAAATGATATATGGATCACAAAAAAAAAAGATATGCTGGTGGTTCAAAAAAAAATAACAACAAAAAAATTAAAAAAAAATTGGGCAACCAACATATCTATTTGCTTTGACTATTCTTCTACGGAGAAGTATCGGAAATGATCAAACACCGTCTTTAGCATCTGTTCAACTATACAAAGAGTGTTAAAAGGGTAGATTGAAAAGCTTGACAAGATGGAGGAAGCTTGGGAAGAAAAAATTAGCCACCTCAAAAAGATTCATTTAAATTTACATAGAAGAGATGATAATAATGAAAGTGACAGGAGGTTGAACCATATATCATTGCACAGGCGACGCTAAATGAATTTCTCTCAAGGAACGAGAACCATTTATTAGGTTCATTGAGGAACAGACTCTCGTATGTGAATGGCAATGTACTGGTATATGAACTTGTCATCACCCGAGCTCATGGAGTACTTTCAGACTGGTTTACAGAATGGAAATCAACTAGTCCCCTCCACACACATTTCCAAGGGATTTCTACTGTCGATCTCACTGTCTCACCAAAAGCTATTGTACATCAACCAGATAGATCATATGTTCCAAGAGGCAGAGCCAATCCAGTTCAACCTCCATTGTTAGCAGCTGATCAAGACAATGCACCATTTCCTACTATGGTTGTAGAGATTGGTGTTACTCAGTCTCTCCAGTCACTCCATGATAAAGCCATAGATTATCTTTGTGCAACCACTGATATTCAAATTGTTTTATGTATTTCACTTTGGCCAAGAAGAAGAAGAGGAATTATAAATACCAATCTCTTTCAAATGGTTGCACTCCTTTATAATAGAGTGTATTCTGTCAATCACCCTCAAACCGTTATTTCCTTTGGGACAGCTCCTCTTCATCCTTTATCTATTGAATCTATTCAAAGATGGGGATCACCAAACCAAGTCCAAGGACATATCAAAGTAGACACAGTACCAGTACAAACAAATGATATCTACACCATTAAAATCCCATCAGAATCTTTATTCAATGGAGTACCAGGTGGAGTACCAACAGGAGTTCCAGCAAACATTCCATTAAATCTTTTAGACCTGAGAGACCAATTGACCGATATTCAATTTTAAAAACCATGATCAAAAATAAATAAATAAATAAATAAATTTCTCATTTTGTATAGTATCCTTTATTTATTTATTTATTTTACTACTGTATTATCTTTTGTCAAGTTCATAATAATAATAGGTTCATAAAATATGAAGATCTATTCTGGCCAGACACGATAAAAATAAATTATATAATTATTTTCAATTTTTTTGTTTGTGAACCAACTTTCTTCAAAAGCTCATCTTCTGACAGTTATAGTTATAAGATAGAAACATATATATCTTTTTTACATATATATTTTCGTATCATAATCATTATCCCCATCACATTGTTGTATTATATTATTGTATTAGAGATATAGAAGGATGCCTATTCAAAGAGTAATTGAAATCCCAAAGAGAAAAAAGGAGGATAACAACCAATCCACAAAAAAGAATACAGCTGCTGATGCTGCTGCTGCAGAGAAGGGTTCAAATACATCGATATTAACAAAGGAAGAAGAGCAATTGTTGGCATCATTAACACAAGAGCAACGTGTCAAACAATCCGATGAATATAAAACTAAAGCCAACAAGTATTTTGGAGGTAAATAGAAAGATAGGAAAACATTATGCTTTTCAAACAAAGAGATATCTTACTTACTGCTTTATACATTATAATTTTAGAACAAAAACATGATTTAGCAATTGATGAATATACCAAAGCTATTGCATTTAATCCAACTGCCATCTTATACTCGAATAGATCGTTTAGTTATTTCAAGAAAGAGTTTTTCGTTTTAGCATTGGAAGATGCTCTCAAGGCAACTCAACTAGACCCAATGTATGTCAAGGGTTACTATCGTCTTGGACAAGCCAACATGGCACTTGGCAACTATGACGATGCCAAAGCAAACTTTGCAACTGTCGTCAAAAAGTTCCCCACCGATGCTGAAGGCAAACAAAAATTAAAAATGGTTACTACTCTCATTAAAAAGAAGGCTTTTGAAGAAGCTATTCAATGTTCAAATGAAAGTCCATATTTATCTTTGGATATTGATTCAATGGGTATGTAAAAGACAAAAAAAAAAGGTTGAAAGAAAGAAAAATAATAATATTTACATTTATTTATTTATTTAGCTGTTGAAAGTAGTTATCAAGGACCACATTTTGAAGGTGAAGAAATAACTTTAGAATTTATTAAAGAAATGATTGGATATATGAAATCACAAAAATTATTACATAAAAAGTATGTAACAAATCTAAATGAATCAAAACAAATTAGTTTGTTTATTAATAATATACTTATTTATTAATTTATTTCTTTTTGTTTAGATATGTTATGAAGATTTTAAAGAAATCTTATGAATTATTCACAAAATTACCAACATTGGTTGACATTGACAAGGAAACATCAAAGAAAATTACAATTTGTGGTGATACTCATGGACAATTCTATGATTTGCTTCATATTTTCGAATTGAATGGATTCCCATCAGAAGACAAGCCATACTTGTTCAATGGTGATTTTGTCGATCGTGGTTCATGGAGTTTTGAAGTTATTATCACATTGCTTTCATTCAAGCTTCTCTATCCAAATCACATGCATCTTACTCGTGGTAACCACGAATCCATTGAAATGAATCGTTTCTATGGTTTCACTGGTGAAGTATTGCACAAGTACAGTGAAAAGGTACACGATCTCTTTACTGATCTATTTGTCTGGTTCCCACTCGCATTTGTTCTCGACAATGATTATTTGGTGGTTCATGGAGGTTTGTTTGGAAAGGATGGTGTCACTTTGGATGACATTAGAAAACTTAATCGTGCTCAACCAGATAGTACTGAAAATGAATTGGTACAATGTTTATTATGGAGTGATCCACAAACAAATAATGGTATTGCTGTATGTACAAAACTAATATATATAGAGAAAACAAACAATTAATTAATATTTTAATTTAGCCATCATCAAGAGGAGTTGGTGTTTATTTCGGACCAGATGTTACTAGAAAATTCTTGAAACAAAATAATCTTTGCGGTGTCATTAGAAGCCATGAAGTCAAGGCTGATGGTTACCAAGTCGATGATGAGGGATCGGTCATTACCATTTTCTCTGCTCCAAATTATTGCGATCAATCAGGTAATCTTGGTGCATTCATCAATTTTACCGATAGCACTGTCAAGTTTACCACCTTTTCAGAGGTTGATCATCCAAACCTTCCACCAATGTTTTATCAAAAGAACTAAGAAGAAAAAGATAGAATCCCTCCCCATAAACAAATTTTAAACACCCTCCTTGCTCATCCTTGCTTGTAACAGATCTGTTTCATATATAGATAGATTAGATAGTGATTATTTTAAAATAATTAATTATTAGTAAAATAATAAATTAAATAGATACGCGTTTAATATATTATGTGCCTAATGATAATTATTTATTTATTTATTGAAAATCCTTTGCAATCAATTGGAATGGAGTATTATTCTTTTTAGATTCAATATATTTTTTAGAGTAGATTAGATAAATCTTTTCAATTTCTTGAATCATTAAAGTAATATCACGTTGTGAACATCCAATAATTGATTCAAATATTTGACAAAGTACCTAAATAAAATATATTAATATTGGTGATTCAATTTGTAAAATACTGTTTGTTTACTTACAGAATTATAATTTGATTTAAAATTCTTTCCAAATGATTTATATTCAAATTGATTGTTATTATCAACCTTTACATTTGAATTTAATACAATATTATTAAAATAATCACTAAATATTTTCTTTTCAAATTGTTTATCTTGATTTGTTGGACTAGTAGTAGTTGAATTTGAATTGTTATTGTTTGTATCTTGTTGTTGTTGTTGTATACCATTTTTATAAATTTGATATTTATCACTAATAAATGTTTGTAAATAGGATTTATCTCTTTGATGAGTATCATTGATTGGTTTTTTTCGCAAATCTTCATGTGAAAAGTTCCACAACGATCCATTTTGAAGGTAATTATTCGATTGTACCATATCAATGACACTATATAACCATTTTTCAAATTTGAATGGTTCTTCTTCCTCTTGTGTTGTTTTTTCTTTTTTCTTGTTAGAATCCTTTATGTCTTGTACTTGATCTGTTAAAAATACTCTTATACCATAATCCTCTTCCTTTTTATCTTCATCACTATCATCCTCTTCGCTTTCACTATCACTACTACTGTCATCACTACTACTACTATCATCCAAATCCATTGAATCTTTTTTCTTATTACTGCTAGTTGAAATTGATTTTTGTAAAAAGTCTGGATAACTTGATTCCTCCAAATTTGTTTCCAAATTGTATTTAATGTTTATACAAAAGAGAATGAGTGAAGATGCCAATACATCGGAATTATACGACATAAAGAGTGATAGATAATTATCCAATATCTTTTTTTTTCTATTGATTGGTTTCTTTGCCAATTCAAAAGGTATTTTTACAATTGTATAAATGTGAATGGCCAATACCAATATTGATTCTAGAAAATAATAATAATAGAAATGTATTAGTTTTGTATAAGAGATTTATTCCATCCGTCATCGCGACAACATACTGGGTAGACCAAGTTGTGAACATATTCTAGTTAATATTAATGCCATATTCATTTCAGGCTCAAAATTTAAATATTCAGATAGATTTTTACAAGTTGAATAAAGTAATTTATAATTATAGTTATTCTAAAAGAGTAAATAAAGTATTGGTTAGGACGCATCCAAAAAAAAAAAAGAAGAAGAGACTGGATTGTTGGGTTATACATACAAAATTAGTCCATTTTGGTTGATGATTTGATAGTTTGATAGGGATTTGACCAGTATGAACCAATCTTAGTAAATCACAAATCATAATGGGTTCTTTTATCCATGTCAATGATAGAAAACATATACCAAGTGTTAGCAATGGTGATGGTCTAGATTTCATTCTTCTAACTTCTTTTATATTATTTACACCGTCCTCGTCTTCGTCTTCGTCACTATCACTATCGCTATCACCTTGTTTTTCCTTTTCCTTTTCCTTTTCTTTGTCTTTGTCTGTAGCACCAACAGACGACGACGACGACGATGATGCTGCTGATGGTTTTGATTTAAGTTGTTTCGCATTCTCGCCAGCCTTGAGTGACAAAAGATAAGAATGCCATAATTCACCAACTACTTGATACAACTGTTTGTTGAATTGCATTTGTTTGATGAGTGAAGTTGCTTGTAGTTGTAAGAGTGTTTGTAGTATATGATATCTATTGTCTTTTTGTATAGTTTTGAATGGTTGTGTATCTGTATCACCAGGCTTTTTAACTCTTGTCGTTCTTACTGCTGCTCCTCCAATTTCAGCTTCTACTTCTTGTGAAATGAATGACTAGAGAATATACGTATAAGTATAAGTATAATATATCTTTATATTTCAATGTTGTTGTAGTAGTAAGTAGTACCTCTAATCGCATATGACAATTATTACAATTCAAGAAACCAACATCATCCTTTGAGAATGTGATAGAACCACAATGTCTACATATTGGCTTCTTGCTCTTTACTGGTGTATGTGAATCCATAGTTTGTTGTGTTCGATCTACATTTAGTTAACTTGTATATAAAATATATGTATCTCGTCAAATATAGTGAATATGTTTATCTGTGCAAAAGATGCATCCGACCGAAAGTTTTCGCGCCTTTGCACATGTACTCACCAATGAAAATAAAAATACTCAGTTCTTGTTTCCCGGAATTGTCAAGTCCATTAATAGTATAACTCCACACATACAATATATATATATACAAGAGAATAACTATTATTCTTTATCTTTTATCTATCTACATATATACACTCCACACATATATTTAATTTCCACAGCAATTATACATTTAAAAATTGTATGTTATGTGATGAAGTTCTGACTTGTAGACTTGTACTTACTTTCTTACTGTACAAATATTGCAGAGTGTAGATATAGATATAGATATAGATATATAGAGTATAAGAATGAGTGACTATCGTAGTCATGAAATATTCATAACACATGGAGATGATATAATGGATGAGGCTTCAAGTGATGATGAAGCTGGTGGCGATATGATGGAACAAGATAAACCTCCAAAACCACCTACCGCACCAAAGACAAAACAATTAGCAAAGGTTAAACCAGAACCAATAGAGACTGAAGCAGCACCACCAAAATATGACTTGAATGATGTGTTGATGGACGATGACTCGAGTGACAGTGGAAGCAGCGAGTTGGACTTTACATCGTCATCGTCGGAAGAGGAAGAAAATAGTGGTGACGACTACGTACCAGATCGTGGTGAATTATCAAGTGACGATGAAGAATTCCAAATGCATTATACAGAAGAGAGTACATTGAATCATGTATTCATGCCATCGTCATTGCCAACTTCATGGAGCGAACAAGATAGACATGGTGAAAAGCAAGCTGTTTCTTGGTTAGCCGATTATCTGTCTGATCAAGATGACCTTGCATTCGAGTCTCCATTACCATTGGACAAGGTTATTTCAAGATATATTAGAGATATTGAAGCACCACCAGCTCCAGAAGTGCTCGTAACTCGTTTGCAAGCACATAATGCCAACACTCCTATGGCTGTCTACATCAAACATTCAAATTGTATCATCGTGTTTAGAAGTATCGGTGAAGAGGAAATAGAGATTGACACGATCCAAATCATGCCAGTCAACGATTTTAATTGCATGTCTATGAAGATGCGATTACTCGTTCCTCATTCTACCACAAAGGTGGCGGCTGCAAAGACATACGAGAGAACGTTTATCGACTATCTCGTTGCACTTCGTGATACTGCTGCTCCGATGGCCATGTCTCTCCCCGAGATCAACGGAAAGCGCGAGGAAAGGGGTATCATGTCTCCTTGTCTTGTCACTGATTGGTTGTTACCATCTTTGTGTGGTACGGCAGTAGACCCTAAAGACTATGCACTTTGGAAGAGTGTGCGTACCGAAATGATCGTAGACACCAAGGTTGATAGTGCTCCATGGAGACGTTCACCTATTTATCAAGGTGCAAAGAGTTTGATGCATCTCTTGATCAACATCTATTCGCCATATCATCCAGAAGAGACTTACAAGTGTCTAATGATTGGGTACAAGGGTTTCCTCATCGAGAAGAGCAAGCCATATATCGTACTTCGAGAGGTCATCAAAAAGTTTACATTGCAATGTGAAAAGTTAATCAAAAAGTATCAAAGAATCGATTATGATGTTGTCATGGGATCGGTCAAGAATGCGTCTGATATTGTAGAGGAGGCATCAAAGGCGTTGGACAAACAATGGCAAGGTTTCTTGACCTACGAAAATGGAACTGGAAATATCGAACTTCAAGTCAGAGGAACATGTGTCAAACTTTCAGAAGAAGCCAGTACACAGTTCAACTTGCGTGAAGCCAAGGAAAAGATAAAGAGACAGGCTGAATTTAGATCAGCACAAAACACACATCACGTACAAATCAGTCCTGCATCGATGGGTATCAAGGAACCAATCATCTTGCCCGGAAACCTCATTTCAAACGATGTCAATGCCATTGCCAAAAAATTACACAGTATCTTGACCGACAACAAAGACTCTATCGAAATCGTATTGCTTGCTCAGATTGAAGAGATTCTTCCTCACATTTGGAATCAACGAAAACGTGTCACAGACTCACAATCCATTCTCGATCTATTCAAGTCGTACGTTGAAATTGCCCAAGAATTCTATAAAACCAATCCCATGTTGTTTAGTCGTATGATTCTCACCAGTTATGCGTTTGTAGCAGTGTTGGATCACACTGCAGCCAACTTTAGCAACGATCCACAGAAAACAGCATTGTATAACAGCAAAGCTGCCTATGTCAATCTTAGAATTCTCGGCAATCTCTTGCTTTGTTATGGATGGCAATACGATTTGGCAGAGTCAATCGAAGACTACTTTAAAGATCGAAATTGTCATCAAGCCACTTTGGAAAACTCTATTTTCGGAATCAAAGATAACAGTTTGGCACATCAATGGGGTTTGAAATACCTAAACAACATTAGAAAAGAACTGGTTGCCGAAGGTGATAGAAATATGAAGGCAATGAAAGAAACATACAGAGCAACAAGAAGAAAATTGGATGCAGATTTAAAGGAAGCAAAGTCTGCCTATGCCAGAGCACGTGACCAACGATCAACAAGAGCCGCCCAAAAAGAGATTGATGCGGCCAACAAATTCAAGCTCAAAGTCTATGAATTCCCTCTGCCAAAGCTCGAGGTGGAGCAACATGTTGTCATTTTTGAAAACAACATTCCACCTGCCATTTCACATGCTCGTGATGCCTATGGTCTGTTGGCATCCATATGCGGAACCAAAGGATCGTTTTCAATGCAAGACTTTTGGTGTGATGACCATACCAAACGTCTCATTTCATTGACGAGTGACACTAAAGCTCTATCGAAACAAAAAACACTTGTAAATATTACCGTTATCGATAACACTGAAGACTCGTTTGCCATCCAATCAAGACGTCATGTATCGGGTATCGGTTACACTCTCAAACACACTCTGTCTCCCTTGGAGAAATGGGCCATCGTCATTAAAAAAATGACCCTTCAAATCCCACCAGCCATTCCAGAACACAGCTTGCAATGGATTGTCGAGCAACACGAAGGTGCCAGCGAGAATGAAATTCTTGCCAAGCAACTATGTACACCTGCATCCATGTCGCAATTGGATTATCTCAAGTTTGGATTTTTGCGTTGTGGTGGATCTTTGCAACTACTCAACATACTTAGATTCTTTGAAGAGAATAGTAATCTTAATAATATCCCAACTTATGTATTGATGCATCAAATACTTTATCAGTGTGGTCCAGCACTCGACGAAAAGATCGTTGAAGAAGACGCACCCATTCTCACTAGACCTTGGAAGAACGTGTTGAATGACGACCAGTACATCTTGATTCTGTGTCAAAACATTCAAAGACTACTCGAAGAGAGTGAAAAGAATTGGGAGTCTCACTATCAACTCACCTTTTTCATTCAGTTGATTACAACCATCTCAAATATTGCCGATCTCGCAGACAATCAAATGCTCTTGGACACGTTGGCCATGTGTCGTGGTGTTGCTCAAAAGTGGACCGAAAAACTCGAAGGTTTGCGTAGCAAGGCCCTTTTAGAGAAAAACAATGAAGAGTCTCAATACTATCAAAGCAAATTGGTGCATGCCAGCATTTGCACAGTCTTGACATTTGACTGTCTTCCCGAAATCGATGATATCAAAGGATTAGAATATCTCAAAGCCATCTCAACCATTAAAAGACACACCTTTAATGAAGCATTGACCATCACTACCGTCGACCCTGAACTTTTCAGTCATCTAATGGTCAAAGTCAATTGTATTTCATATCAAATGGCAATGCAATTAAATGTTCATTTAGAAACTCAAGATGCAGTTTTAACAAACTTTGTTTCTCGTCAAATGGGTAATCATAGAAGAGAACAAACCGTACTTCAAAATCAAAATCAAAATAATAATAATAATAATAACAATAATAATAATAATAATGAAGATCATTATGCACATCAAGATCAATATACCTATACTAGATGGAAAAAGATTAATGAAAGTGGAGTACTTTGGACAAGTAGTAGAAGTGATGGTGTTTCAGTACAAGTTGGTATTTTCGATGGCTCCTTTTTCATTAATGGTGTATCATTGTTTAGACTTCCACCAGATGTTGAAAATAATACACTTTTCCGTAACACATTTGGTGGTTGTATTTTAGATGTTGAAGTTATTGGTGATAGAAGATGGTAAATATTTAAAAACAAAAACACACAAAAATTTTAATATATTAATATTAATTTTTTTTTATATTTATTTTAGGAAAACAAGTAGAAATTATAATGGTAGATATTATGAATTTGCGTTAATAGATGTTGAAGATGCACAACCAGATGTTATTATTCTTGAAAAGAATGAAACAAGTGGAAATGATACATGGTATTTATTGGATCCAAAGTACTTGAAGGATAATGATGTCCCACCTTCAATGGCCAGAGAATACTCTCATTGGGTAAATCCTCACTCTTGGGCTATTCAGTTCCGTCCCATCAGTTTTACAAAGTTTGCCAAATTCTTTGCCAGTGAACCAAAGTACTCTGGAAACATTCACAATGGTGAAATATTAAACGACAAGAAACAAGCACTCGTCAACTATAACAATTTTAATCTTCAGGTTAAAAAGTCGATTGAAAAGGTTTTCAATATGGCAAGTCCTGAACACATTCACATTTTCCTTGCCGGTGAAAACACCTATCTCATTCACCTTTACCAATATGGTCTCGATTTCCTCACCTCGGTAGATCGAACGAATTCTGCCAAACCAATTGGAACCATCACATCACTCCAATACTATGGATATCAGATTGCCAATCAACAATTCCTTGGTACTTTAATTGGTCTTAAAACTATTCTAGTTTTGGAACCAAGTATTGCTGGTATTTCTGATAAAAAGGTTATTCTTCCTCATGCTTCATTTAGAGCTGCTCATAAAGGTAAAAAAAAAGAAAAGAAAAGAAAAGAAAATATAAATATTATTTATTCTAATTTCTTTTTTTTTTTCTATTTTTTTTAGAACCAACTAGTACAAGATATAAAACAAAGTTTCATCATACAACAGCAGATACTTCAAATCTTCAACATCCAGCCTACTTTATTTACAATGTAGATGAAGAATTGGGTTTGTTAAAGGCAACCAATACCGAAGCAAACCTTCAGTTGGCTTTTGCTCATGTCATGACTAGTCAATGTTTCCCTGATCCATTTACTGGTATTAGTGGTGTTGAATCTGCTATTGAAAAGTTACAGAGATTCCAAATCAATGTTCCACTTTCCGATCAATCAATGTCGATTCTCCAAAACATTGGACATATCTCACCTATTCGTAATCCATTCCCACCATCACAAAAAAAGAAAGACCGTGCTCCCATATTCCAAACCGTCGAGTACACTTACCCCAAGTTACCAGCCACCTATGACTTTTTGGTTATTTATGCACTCGATCTGATTGCAAAGTCCAACGGTCTGTCATTCCTTCATCCACATCATCAACAACAACAAAAAGAAAAGGAAGAGAAGGAAAAGGACGAAAAAGACAGAAAACAATTGCCCAAGGTCGCCATGTTGAATGAAATTGCATGCATTCGAAACCAACACATGATTCCAATTCAATCTGTGCCAATTAGTTCTAGTACACTCAGCAAATACAAGAAAAAGGAATACTTGGCTGGACATTCCCCAACCGATGTAGTAGGATACATTGCACGTACTGCCTACCTCTTTGAAACACCACAAGTCGGTATGCCAATTATCAACTTTGACCCAGTCGAATTTATCAAGCAATCGGTTATTTGCAAGGGTATGCGTGGTCCAGTCTATTACAACAGTTTCGCAGACTTGTTTAATCTTGCGTTCCCACTCGTCAAGGATGAGAGACAAATCGTTTCAGAGTATTGGATTTCATTGTACACCTATCTTTTCAAGGTGGGAAGAGGAGACTCTGAAAAATTCAAATATGTTTTGACCTATCTCCAACTGTACTGGGGTTACCAGAAACAAACGTTTGACCATCTCGTATTCCTCTGTCGTACGGCTACTCCCATTCCCGACCCTGAACTGTACATCAAGTTGACAACCTACCCCAACCCAGCAGAGACATTCTCAGAGGGACCAATCAAATCGGCCATTGAGAAATTCTATCTCCAAGACAATGATATGTCGAGCTATGGTGTTGTCAGAGGTATATTAAAACAAGCTCTCATTGCCAACGTATGGGAAAAGACAGCAGGTGAGATTATTGCACCCAAGTACATTTGGAATATCAAGCCTGGATCACCACACACTCAACACGTCGATGTTGATTCCCTCAATGTAGCATTGACCAGAATCTTCCAGACATGGATTGATAATCGTAAACTTCAACAGTTTGGTGAAAAGGTGTACCATATTATTAGAGAAGCAGACTATAACACGATCGATGTGCCAAAGAGCAGACTTGTGCTGATTCAAGCAAACATTGCACAAGACATGGAAGAGGATGAGTTTTATATGGGCATCCACGCACAAGGACAGCAAGCTATCGAGTCACCAATCGACCAAAGATGGTTAGACTTGTGGGAGAATGGTTATGACGTTGAATTTGAACAGGCACTCAACAATTTGAACCAACAACAAGTACCTACCAACCAAATGATTAGAACACCTGCTTTGGACTCGTTTTTGGAGGTTGCCAACATTGACACTACAATGAAGAGCATTTTCTATCAAGATTTGAAAGAGAGCAAAATTTCACTCGTTCAACACATCAAAGATACCAACGATACACGTGGTGTATTGGCAGGTGATGACAAGATCAAAGCCGAGCTCACCAACCTACTCGAACAAATCAACGAATGTTCAGCTGACATTTGGAAGATTGTATCTACCTATTATCATGCATCAAATGATGATCTCCAGAAAATGTATCAAATTGTAGGTCTTAAAAAGAAACCAGTTTGGATTACAGCCTATGCCGATTTTGACAAACAACAACTCTACAAGAACCAAGAAAATTACAACGAGAATACACTTCCAGAAAAGGTGTATCAATTGATTGGTGCTCACATCCTACTTCGTACCTACTCTCAAAAGGTCAAGAGATGTATGACCAAAAAGAATGGAGACTTGCAGTCTGAACTTAAACATACTAGATTCACTCGTAAATGGGTACCATCTCAATACCCATCTTGGATTCTTTTTGAATTGGAACAGAATCTATGGATTCGTGACGATCAGGCTGAAATTGCAATGATGCTGCTTAGTAGTGAAAAGAATGTCTGTACGCAGATGCAAATGGGTGAAGGTAAAACATCGGTTATTCTACCCATTATGTGTTTGGCCATGTCCAACTCTGCCAAGGGAGTACCTAGAATCTCTGTTTTACTCTCACTGTTCAAGACCACTATCCAGGATCTTCAAAAACGTCTTGCCTCTGCCATCATCAACCATCCCATCTTTGTATTCCCATTCAAGCGTGATATGGGCAGCGTACTCAAGAATGAAGAGATTGAAAAGGTCAAACAAAATCTCGAGAGTTGCAAGAGAGAACGTGGTATCATTTTATGTCACCCTGAACACTTTTTGTCATTCATGTTGTACTGGAAACTTCACTTTGAAAAGCTTGGCTCGATGCGTCATATTCTAGAATGGTACAATGACAATGTATTTGATATTATGGATGAATGTGATGAATTGCTTTCATTTAAATACCAATTACTCTATCCATGTGGTACAAAGTCTAGCTTGGATGGTGGATCTGGTAGATGGTCTCTTATCCAAGAGGTACTATTAGAGTTGAAAAAACTCCCTCATCAAGGTTTAAATGACCACGTTGTTGAATGGATAGACAGAGGATCGGCAAGATTCCCAATGATCACTGTTTATGACCCTAAAGAAGGTTTGGTTCTCTGCAAGAAACTCTTGGATACCATGTTAAGTAATCTTCCATTCCACTCTACCACCGAGCAAAGTCAATGTATTCAAAAGTTTTGTTGGAAGGATATTGACACTTCGCTACAAGATCACCAAGAAAACTATAAAAAGATCCAATCGTTTAGCAAGAATCAAGATATTATCAATAGATTGTTGGTTTATAGAGGTTTGTTTAGTTATGATATCCTCTTGCACTCTTTGCAAAAGATTTGGTCCAAGGATTATGGCACACGTGACTTGGAACGCAAGACTGGCAACCATTCAACACTGATGGCTGTTCCATACCGTGCCAAAGACACACCATCTGAACGTGCAGAGTATGGACACCCAGAGTTTTCAATTCTCCTCACTCACTATACCTACTATAGTCAAGGTTTGAACTTGAAACAATGTAAAGAGGCGTTGGACCGATTGTTAAACAGATACAAACACACAGCTGCTGACATTTACAAGTCATGGGTCGAATTTGATGGAACCATCAGTGCAGAGTACTTGGACATTAAGTGTGTCTTGTTGTCTGACAGTTCGTTGGTCAAAGAACTTCACACACTCTTTAAATACAACATGAAGACAATCAACTTTTGGTTAAACGAATTTGTATTCCCACAAGAACTCAAGACCTACTCTGACAAGTTGTCTGCCAATCCATGGCATATAGTATCGGAAAAGAAACTTAGATCATCTGGTTTCTCTGGTACCAATGATACTAGATGGCTCTATCCCATCTACATCTCTCAACAGGATCTTGGAAAGTTGAAATACACCAACATCCAAGTCATCCATTATATTCTCGGTCAACAAGCTGCCTACAATGAAGTACATGTACTCAAGCGATCCGACGACATTATCCAAAGATTGGTAGATATGAAAGTCAACAAGAATGTATTCCCCAATGTGTTTATTGATGCTGGTGCACTCATGGTAGATCGTACCAATCTCAAAGTTGCCAAGACATGGTTGGAAATGACACCAAGAGAACGTGTTGATGGTGTTGTCTTTTTCCATGAAGATAAGCTTACAACACTTGATCGTGAAGGCAAACTCCATCTCTATGACCAGAGTACTTTTACCGATCGTATGGATCGTGTGTTGGTGTATTTGGACGACTACCATACACGTGGTGTCGACATTAAACTGCCAGTTGGTTCTCATGCCATCGTCACGGTCGGTGTCAACATGACCAAAGAAAAGCTCCTTCAAGCATGTATGAGAATGAGAAAACTGGGTAATGGTCACACCATTTCCATGATGATTAGAGAGCAGATGGATGTAGGACACAGTGTAAACGAGATTATCCATTGGACCATTTCAAACTCGATCAACCATATTATCTCTGGTTTCCCACTTTGGTCATTCCAAGGTATGGAGTTTTCTCGAAGCAATGTTGGTTTGGGACTTGCCGATACCAACTCCAAGGTCTTTCAAAAGATCTCATCGTTCCCTTCTCGGGTCACACTCGACATTATGTATGCAGGTCACTTTACCGAGCGAAAGATTGTCGATGTCGTACAGGAACATAGCAAGATTGTAAAGGCGATTTTCAAAGTCAATACAAAGGGACTTGACGAAGAACTCCAACAAGATCTACTCGACAAGCAAAAAGAGATCTTGTTTAACATTAACAAACACACCAATACGCTCATCCCCGATGCAACCGTATCTTCAGTGTCATTGGAAATGGAAGAGGAACGTGAATTTGAAATAGAACAGGAAAACGAAGAAGAACGTCAGCTTCCCGGCAATGCCAACCCTGTCGCTCTCAATGCCATCGATCGCAGTTTGTTGGATCTCGTTATTGGACGAAAGACCATCAAAGACAAGATTGAATGTATCAAGCCAATTGCCAAGATCTTTTCACAAACCTCTCTCGACGGTCTCATCCAACAAGGTTTGTTTAGCACCAAGCTACACGTAACCTCTGCCTTTTTAAATTCCGTGTCTGATGATATCAAGCGTGACGACTATTTCAAGCAACTCAACTATTGTCTGTGTATTTGGAATGCAGATGGTAACCCAGACATCATCCTCGTATCAATGCATGAAGCATCCCAACTTCTTCCTTTTATCACAAAGCATTTAAAGAATCCAACCATCCTCAAGGGTTCTTTGCATCAAACCCTCAGTCACTGGAATGCCAACCAAGAAGAATACTTTTTGAAACAGTATACGCCCGTCCCCGCCCACGTCACTCCAGACCACCTCCAATCTACATTCCTTCAAAACCTTTTGCTCCATTTGAATGTACTCAATGGAAGCAAATACTTTGACAATCGTCTCGAAGAATTACATGAATTCCTCGGAATCTATATATCAAAGGACAGAGACGTAATGTGCCAACTCATCGACAAGGGCTTTGTTGACAGTTTGGGATATGTCGTTAAACTCCCCGCCAAGAAACCTGCCGACCTCGAGGATGACGCCGTCTGGGAGAAACTCAAATCTACCAAAACCTCTTGCAAATTTAAATCAAATCCTTTACTCTTTATTCGTAGAAACTTTGAATTAAATAGAATTCATTCACTAAACTTTAGTGATTTCCAAAATCTTTTAATTAATAAATAAATCAAATCAAATAATAATAATATTATATTGAACAAACATCTCAAATAATATATTATATATTTCTTTTAAATTAAATTAAGGGGGTGTGGAGTCTACCATTGTATTACCATGATAATAGTGCGATTCATGGTCGATAGAAGACTATTTACAATTGAACAACATAGTTGTCATTGATATAATAGTCTTGAATGCTCCGTAAATAAATTAGATTAATCATTAAAGCCATCGCAACGTGTGGAGGCAGAAAGAGATTAAGCTTTCTAGAACAGATACTACACATAATCAGAGCATAAACTCTGAGAGAAGGTGTTTGGCCACAAGGCTATTAAACCAAGTGACAATTCTTTTCGATCACTCTACCAGTGTATTTATAGTTGTTGGGTGATCTATTTGTGAATATTGAATAATAAAGATTATTTTGAGTATTCAAGAAAATTATTGAATCTATTTTTCATTGTTGCAAAAAAAAGTATATTTTACTAGTGTAAATAATACAAAACTATATTTCTTTCAAGATGAAAGTTACTATTCGAAAATGGCAGACCGTATCTTCGTGGCATTGGGATGTTAGTGAAGAATGTTGTGGTATATGTCGTATGCAATTCGACGCTTGTTGTGTTGACTGCAAAATGCCAGGTGACGATTGTCCTCCAGGTATGTTTTAAATGATCATCAACCGATCACTTTATTGGTCAATCACACTAAACCCCGATTATCTTTACTGTATATAGTTTGGGGTGCTTGTAAACACGCCTTTCATATGCATTGTATCTTAAAATGGTTAAATTCTAATCAACAACAATGCCCAATGTGTCGATCTAATTGGGAATTTGTTACTACCGATTAGTTGATCATTTGATATGATAAAGACATTATTATCATCATCATCAATCATAGACCACTGCATTATCTCTCTACCTTGGTTATATATATATAACATCTGACTATTTGATGGTCATACAATTTTTGAAAGGTCTATCATTTAACAACATATGCTGGTTCACTGTTGTGATCGACCAACACAAAGCATTGATACACAACACTGTACAACACATTCGTTCAATAAGATAATAATAAACATGTAACGGATACATATTAATTCAAAGAAGTTTCTTGTTGAAGAGCTACAAATATGTCTTTATTTACTTTTCAAACCATTGGGTCCTTAATTATCTGTTATCTAAATTTTGTTGTTGCAAATTGTTGTAAATTTAAATTGGCTACGTTCATATTATTATTGAGGTTTAAATTATTACTCATTCCATTTAAATTGGTATTCATCGTATTCAAATTATTCAAGTTTGCAGTGTTTACGAGATTATTATTATTGGTGCTTAAATTATTCTGGAATTGATTGGCGTTGTTTAGAGCAAAGAATTGATTGTTGATAACATTATTTTGTTGACCGAGGGCATTTAAGTTTGAGGTTATTGGTTGTTGTTGTTGTTGGTTTAAAGTTGGTTGTGGGTTTTGTCTTTGTTGTTGTTGTTGTTGTTGTTGTTGTTGTTGTTGTTGTTGTTGTATTTGTGAAAATTGATTGATTTGTGCTTGAGTGAGATTAGATACAAATTGTTGTTGTTGTTGCGGTGTTAGGTTTTGTTGTTGTTTGACCAAGGCTTGGATATTTACATTCGAACCTACTAATTGTTGAGGTTGTTGTGCTAAATTTGGTTGTGTTTGTTGTTGAGGTATAAAAGTGTTGCCGTTATTGTTTGGTTGTAAAGGTCGTTGTTGATTTAAATTATTTTGTTGTTGTTGTTGTTGAACTGGTAAATTGGTTCCTTGCTGTACATTGGTTGGTGTTTGAATTTTTGGTTGGTTTATATTTACATTTTGTGCGTTGATTGGTGCAAATATATTAGATGTTGAATTTTGTTTGATAAGGTTTTGTTGTTGTTGTGTTATATTTAAATTATTATTATTTGGTATTATATTTGCATTTACATTATTATTATTTACTATGCCATTTGAATTTTGTCTTTGAACAAGATTTGATGGATTAGTTTGATTTTGGGCAGCTAAAGGTGAATTGGTATTGCTCATCTGTTGTTGTTGTTGTTGTTGATCATTTCGTTTGAGGTTAAACTCAATATTGTTGAGCAATCCACAAAGCTTTTTATCCTTGACAATCAATCCAAGTGTACGTCCTGGAAGCTCAATGAGAGCGACTGATCGTGGATCGCTTTCCAGCTGATTCGAGAGTCCACTAAATTCATTGAATCCATTGATAATATTGAAAAACATGACTGTACCACCATTTTTGAGATTATTAATGATACTCTCGTCACTAAACAAACCAGTGATAAAGAGTGTATCGGGGAGGGGCAGCTGAAGTGTACCAATGGCTGAGGCACTGCCAGTGGCAATGATAGAGGTGTGTGTTGGGTCCCTTATTCCGATCGATCCATTCCATATTTGACTCAGGTGAACGATTGGACGAACAGGTGGTGCTACTGCAGACACTGGTGTTGGCAGGTTTTGTGCAGGTGATGGAACGCCGTTGGCCATATTTCCATTCATACCACTATTTGGTGATTTTACTGCTGGCTTGCTAGGAAGTGGTGGCTGGGAGGGAGTCTTGTTGACCATTGTCTGAGGACTGTTTATTGAAACGTACGGAGACGATGGCTGAGGTTGATGAGGAGAATGGTGATTCTGCATCGGAGAATGCTCTACCATCATTGGTTGATGAGGACTGTTGGATGGCAAGTTAACAATTGGATTTTGTGGCGAAGGAAACGTTGATTGAGGAATGGGAGTTTGTGCCAAATCTATTGGTTGTGTAGTGGTGATGGTTGGTATCTCTACTACTGGCTGTTGAATCATATTGACATTGTTGTTGTAATTTTGTGGTGAAGTTATTTGCATTGTTGTTGGTGGCGATTGAATCATGGTCGGTGTAGGTTGATTGGATGGCAGTGGTTGTTGTATGGTTGGTGGTGATTGTATTGGTATGGTGGTGGTGTTGGTGATGGGTTGATGAATAGTTTGTTGTAGATTTGATCCCTGCTGCTGCCCGATCATTCCAATAGACGGTTGTGTAGTAGTAATTGGAGTATTGACTGTGCCATTATTGTACTTGATATTTGGTGAACCCAAAGATGGAGAATTGATATTATTGTTGTTGTTGTTATTGGTAGTGGCAATACTTGGGCTATTAACTCCATTTGTGATTATGGTTGTGGTATTGGTTGGTGTTGATATTAGTGAAGTTGGTTGTTGAGGGATTAATGGTGTAGTTGATGATGTTTGATGGTTTGGTGGTATAAATGGTGATTGTTGTATATTTGTTGCATTGGTAGTAGCAATAGTATTGGTGTTGTTGGTGTTGCCGTTTGTTATCGTTGATGTTATCGGTCTATTAGTAGTAGTATTTATGATCATATTGTTGTTGGTGTTTTCAAAAATATTAGGAACACCTCGAAGTCTGACAAAGTATCCATGATCAATGGTAGCATTAAATTCTGTAATATCACTATATTTTGTTTTCTCACAAAACTCTTCCAAAAATGTATTTGACTTTGGACAAATAAATGATAATAATATTTTTTTCTAAAGAAAAATGTAATGTAAATAATGAGGATATTGATCTGTTTAATAAATATTATTTTTTTCTACATACTTGAATACATTCATTTATATGATCAAAACAATCACCTAAATTACAAAGCTTACAAGGAGACATTCTTGGAATGCTATTTGAAATTAATATAAAACATTTTTCATCTGCCGTTTGTCTCTGTGCAATCTTTAGAGCAGAACATAAACCTTCGACCACTGCATTACCCGATGCATATCCACCACCAAGAAATCTAGTTTGAGTCATACATTGTAGTATACTTTGTAAATCATTTGTCAATGACGACGAATGAACAATATAATCGGAATAGGGTGGATAATCTCTAAAAAATATTAATCCATATTCTGTATTTGATTTATACTAAAAAAAAAATAATAAATTAATACACACACACATACGAATCCATTTTTATATTTCATTCATACCTCTGGAGAATTTGATAGAGATTGAACCAATGGTTCCAAATAATGAGATTTTATAGTTGCAAAATAGGGAGACATTAGAGCGGTAGTGTCCATGATAAAAATGATTTGTCTTGATTTTCGAAATCCATCCTTGGACGATGCAAAATCAGAGAGTGCGGCATCGTCAGTTACCATTGCAGCATTATTATTAGAGTTTCCATTCATTGGGTGATCAAAACTACCCTGTTGCTGCTGTTGCAATAGGCCGCTAGTAGTTGATTCGGAAAGTGGATTTAAAGAAGAAAATGAGCCATTTAACATTGCCCAATTCATATCCAATGTTGATGATGTATTATTTGCGTACATTTTCATATCAATGTTCATATTGTTGTCGACGACCCCAGTCGCAGTAGTCATCATCGTCGTTGTCGCGACACTAGTGCCATTGCCGCTTATAGAATTATTATTATCCATAGAGTAAAATGAAGGGTTTGTTGATGTTGCTGTTGTTGTTGAGGAAGGTGGTGGTGGTTGTGCTAAAGTATTGAAAACTGAACTTGACATTGTAGTTGTAGTAATAGTAGTAGTAGTAGGAAGTAGTAGTAAAAAGAGTGATACACTAGTACTTTACAGCTACCCTATAGGGACTTCCTCTTATTGTGTTTTTTTTTAATCTAAGAATGCAAAGAAGAAGAAAAGTCAGTAATCTCTTCCTCTGCTTTCTACAACTTGTGTTTTACTGTGAAACACAATACAACAAACAAACAAACAAACAATAATAATAATAATAAAAGAGATTATTATTATTATTATTATTATCACAACAAACACAACAGCAGATGATGATGATGATGGATGATAAAGAAAAGGAAAGAAAAATTAAACAAGATAGGATTAGAAACCAACCCAATAGCAAAAACAAACAACAAACAATAACAACACAACTATAATAATAAAAAAAATAAATTAAAATGTGGTAGTGGTGGTGTTCGGTGGGGGGCAAAGAAAGAATGTGGGGGGTTTTTGTTATATCTATCATACACACAACACCTTGAACTATTAATATTTTGATGGTGGTTAACAATCGGAGCAGCGCACTAACATCATCAAAAATGAATATTGACAGGAGGAGGAGGAGGAGGAGGAGGGGATAAATCAGTTGAGATGTTGACAATATCGTTGATGATGATGAAGATATATGAGAGTACGACTGATTTGTTTTGATTGATTGATTGATTGATGTATCTATATGTGTGTGTTTGAGAGAATGTCTGTTGTTGCAACAATGCGAACCTAGGAGTGGTAATGGATGGTAAATCAATCAATCAATCAACCATAACGCTATCATATGGGATGGACAACCAAGATTTTTTCATAAAGTAGTTACTTTTGAGAAATATCTTTCACTTATGTCCTCTTGTATCTTTTTTTTAAAAAATGTGGATAATTATCAAATCTTCATCAAGATTGTGTGATCATGTCCTAACCAAAATCTATAAATAATAGTAGTAGTAACTCTTTGTATCGATGCAAGAAGAGGTGATGGTGACGTAGCTTCTCTATAGAAACATACTTACAATATAAATCTCTAAAAGTATATTCTCTTTCTTTCAAGTAGGTGTTTGTTTGTTATGAGGAGGAGGAAGAGGAGGTTGAAAAGCTTGTTTGGATGATTAAAGTTTCAATAACATTCTATCTTTGTGTCTATGTATCAAATGCAGTTCTATGTAATCTATATAATACTAATAATAAATAATGTTGTTGTTCAATGTATCTAGTTAGATATATATCTATATCTATCTAACTAAAAAGTAAATATAAAAAGAGTAGGATGGGCAGTAAAACTAAATTAATGTGTGGAGGTGGCTCATTGCTGGTGCTAAAAAACTCACTGGGCAAATTATCAACACTTGACGTTGGGACAACATCGCAAAACGAATCATGCTCTTTGTCAAAGGCATGGTTCGTTGCCAATCTTTTTAAATAGAACACCTTTAAAACATGTAACAAATCGGTGGTAGAAGTGGTCATAGCTACGGCACGGCAATATCAATTGTATAATTATCAATACTCGAGTAGTAGTAGTAAAACAAAAAATCCCTCTACAAACATCTATGGCACAGTTGAATTAAAAGAAAGAGAGAGAGAGAGAGAGAGAGAAAGAGAGAGAGAGTGAACATTGGAGACCAATGTTTAGACACTCCATTTTCTACTTTTTTAGAAATATTGATTGTTGTTGGGCTCAAGATGGGATAAGGTTAAAATTTTAATTTAGTGGCCACGTTGGTTGGGGGTTGTCAACTTTGCATTGTAGTTAGTTTTTGTTGCACGTCACTCAGAATAGAAGAGAGTAAAGAGAACTGTATTATAGTTGTAAATATATAAATATATATATATAGATAGATAGATAGACATAGAATGAGTCATTTAATAGATTCCTACAAGTTGATATCAAATAAATTAAAGAAAAAGTAATTACTAGTATTAAATGTGATTGGAGGTTGATTGATTGATTGATTGATTGATTGATTGATTGATTGATTGATTGATTGATTGATTAGATTGATCAATGATTAAACTTATATTAACACCTATATTGATTATAAAAAAGAAAGTTCCCATTAAGGAAACCAAACTATGGAGAAGCAGTAGAACAATATACACAAATTATGAATTCATTCAAGAGAGAGGGCAACAATATGTATGCAGCATTTTGTTGTCTTGCTATTGCACGATGTGAACAAGCAATCAAGAATTCATCATCGGCAGAAGCATCTTGTTATATAGACTCTGGTTATCTACTTTGGGTAGATGAAACCATCTCTCAAGATAATAATATAATCACTTTTGAAGAAAATGTAACTGAAGCGATCAATTGTTATTTAATGGCTATAAAAGTATGAAATAGATATATATAGGGATAGGAAATAGAGAGTAGAATATAGATCTAACCCTATTATCTACTTACTTCTTTTAGATATATCAAAATTATAAAAGATTTACAATCATGGGAACATTGTATTATGAGATGGCAATGATACTAAAGAAATTGAACAAGTTTGAGGAATCATCGGAATACTTTCAAAAGGCATCAGAGATTATGAGAACAGAGAGTCCAATAGCTGCCATCAATGCACTACGAGAAGCAACAGGTGGAAAGATTCAAGAGTGTGATTACAAGGGTGCTTGTGATTTTTTAGATATGATGATTACCATTGCAACGGAATCAATGCCAGATAAACCATCTTCATCATCATCATCATCATCCAATCTAAATACAATGGCACCAATATCATCACTTAATATTAGTTTATCTTTGTATCCATATGCTCTTATCGAATCAAGAGTTACACTCATTCTTTTGTACATACTTCAAGACAATTTCCTTAAATCACAATCTCATCTTGGCAAACTTGTAAATGATATTAATGATCAACATGATGGTCAAGCATCTGATCTAACAGAAGAATCTGTTGCTTTATTAAATAATTTATTGGTAATCTATCAATCTAAACCTAAACACAATATCTATATTCCTGAAATATATTATATATAATTATTCTAATCCATTATTTATTTGTCTATTTATTTTTTAGATGGCATGTGAAAGAAAAGAAGTTGGTGGATTACAAGCAATTCAAAGAGAATTATGGAGTTCATTAAATGATGTTCAAAATGATATATTACAAAGAATAGCATGTTCAAACAAAATATTACTTTAACAATTTTATATAAATATACATATATATAAAAACAATACAACTTAATTTGTTTGTTATAATAATAATAATAATTATGTATGACCTTTTTCTTTTCTTCTTTTCTTCTTTGTTTTGGTTTGATCTAATAGACTATTTAGTATTTTTTATTTAATTTATTTGCTTGCCTTGAATTCCTTGACTAAAGATTCAGTGGTAATTGATTTTGGTCTTTCAATTGGCAAGGTGAGGATTCTATCCCAAACAAGAGAGGACAAAACACCGATAGCTCTAGAGACACCAAAGAGAACAGTGTAGTAGTTGTGTTCCTTGAGACCATAGTATTGGAGGAGGACACCAGAGTGGGCGTCAACGTTGGGCCATGGATTCTTGGTCTTGCCTTGCTTGGTGAGGACTGGTGGGACAACGTCGTAGATTTGGCTGACCAACTTGAAGAGTGGGTCGTTTGGAAGATGCTTCAAGGCAAATTCACGTTGACAGGTGTAACGTGGATCAGTCTTTCTGAGGACGGCATGACCGAAACCTGGAACGACACGTCCAGCATTGAGACCTTCCCAGACGAGATCGGCCAATTGGTCGTTGGTGATTTCCTTGTTGCCAATCTTTTGTTGCAAGTCCAAGGTCCATGAAAGGACTTCTTGGTTGGCCAAACCGTGGAGTGGACCGGCGAGACCGCACATACCGGCGGCGTATGAGTAGTATGGGTCAGAGAGGGCAGAACCGACGAGATGGGTGGCATGGGCAGAGACGTTGCCTCCTTCGTGATCGGTGTGGATGGTGAGGTAGAGACGCATCAATTCATCAAACTCGTGAGAGTTGAAACCGAGCATTCTGTTAAAGTTGGCGGCCCAATCGAGGTTGGCGTCGACGGCTGGTACCTTGCCATCTTTGTAGACGGTACGGTAGATGAGAGCAGCAATCTCGGGCAACTTGGCGACAATGTCGAGGGTATCTTCGAGGGTGGATTCCCAGTATTGGGTCTTCTTGACACCTTCTTGGTAGGCGGCGGCAAACTTGGAGTTGGTTTGGAGGGCGAGGACGGCAGCGGACAATTGTGACATTGGGTGCATCTCCTTTGGGAAGTTCTTGATCATGCTGACGACAAAGTCTGGGAGACCGGCTCTCTTGACCAAATCCTTGGACAATTGTTGGACTTGAGCTTCCGATGGAATCTCACCAGTCAACAACAACCACAAAATACCTTCTGGCAATGGTTCTTGTCCTCCCTTGGCCTTTGGAAGCTTGTCTTGACATTCTGGAATGGTAAATCCACGGAATCTAATACCCTAAAAAAAAATAACAAACACAAAAAGGTTAGAAACTTTACAAAAAAAAGAATATTCTTGTCTTGGTATTTACTTCTTCTGGGTCCAACAAAGAGGTTTCAGTGATCAAAGACTTGACGGATCTCATACCACCATAGGCTTGTGAGACGGTGCAAGTACCAATGATCTTGTCACCATGTTCAGCCTTTAATTGCTTGACTTCTTCAATCTTGGCTGGAATGATTTGGGCTAATCTTTCCTTCAAGGTTGGTTCAGCAGTAGTAAAGTATCTAACAAAAGACTATAAAAAAAAGGAAATATTTGATTAGAAAGGACATTCAAGATGCAATGAATGGAACCAGATGTGGATTGGGTTTGGTTGAGTTGGTTGAATTGAATTGACTTGATGATCATGAGTTTGATTGATGACTGTGATCGCATCTTTTTCCATTGTTAATATGCAATCTATTCGCTTTTGCATAAGAGGAGGAGAAGAAGAAGAAGAAGAAGAAGAAGAAGAAGAAGAAGGAGACATGTTGTCATCACCATCATCATCATCATCATCATCAGTGCACCAAATACCATCAACAATCCAAACCAATCCAATACATCTGATCCAATTGTTGTTGTATTATAATACTACTACATACTCTGTTAAGAGCAACACGGTTAATTTGTGAGAACATGTCTATATATATTTATGATCCTGTTGTTTATATTAAAGTAATTAGAATATAGATAAGAAAGAGTTGAAATGAATGTTAGTCAAAGGAACAAAACAACAATTTCAGCAGTGGGGGGAGGGGGGATGAGTGGACAAATAGTATATGTATGTAAGTAGTAGGTAGGAGATAAACAAGATATGAATGGTTATATTATATAACTAGTTCGAGTAGTATATTGCAAAAATGGAGATGTGGGTGGTGGTGCACTTCATTCGAATGAACAGCCTTCTCTTTTTTTTTTTTTTTTTTTTTAGTCACCGAATTCACAGGTGTATCATGATATCGGTGACCATCTATCCAACCACAACCAATTCTTTGTAGTACACATTTTTTTTAAACAACTAAACTTTGATTTTATAATTATAAAGTGGTTGTTATATTATATATCATTAATCTATCTTTTTCTTTCTTTCTTTCTTTGTCTTTCTCTTTTATAAAATCCAGAGAGAAATTGTATTGTTGTTGGGTTTTTGTTGTTGAAGGTATGTTATGTTTTGTTATACATAGTAACACAAGAAGTAAAAGCAATATATAGAGGAGAGAAAGAGATGATGATATTACAAAAAAGTAATAACTATTTAGTTATAAAGAGAGGAGACACTAACTGTTTCAAAAAAAACAAACTTTGTTGTATTGAAGAGGTGAGTTCATCAGTTTTGTTGCTGTCAGAAGGAAGGGATCTGTCAAAAAAGGGATTTCTTTTTAATTTTTTATTATTTTTTTTCGATGTAGAGAGCAAGAGTGATGACAGAAGACACTCCAAAACAAGCATCGATGGCCCCAGGAATTCCCAATGACGAACGAATGAAGGTAGTTTTTTTTTTTTTTTTCCCGTCACTTGCTTTAAATTGCTTCGGTTCACATCACCCTTTCCCTTGTATTGCTAATTCAAGAGATTTTTTGATAGATCTAAAACAAAAACACTTCAATACAAATTGATCAGTTGTAGTAGTTTAGAAGTTTAGTAGTAATTAATTAACGGTTACATACCTACATACATACATATATAGAAAGAAGAATGTTTAGATCTACTTTAAGACTTTTCTCTGCTACCTCTTCCTCGTCTGGTGTTGGATCAAGTATTGCCAATACTGTCGGATTAGGTAGATTGAATCATGTAGCTATTGCTGTACCAAACATGAAAGAAGCTACTTCTATGTATAGAGATATCATGGGTGCTAAAGTCAGTGAACCTGAAGTTTGTATCATCATATACACAAACCTTGATCTTATTGTTACTCTTATTTATTCATTCGATATATAATATTGATATATATTTAGGATCAAAAGGAACATGGCGTAACCACTGTGTTTGTTTCATTGGACAATACAAAGATCGAATTATTACATCCATTGGGCGAAAACAGTCCAATTGCCAACTTTTTAAAGAAGAACCCAGCCGGTGGTGTTCATCACGTTTGTATCGAAGTCGATGACATCAATTCTGCTGTCAAGACTTTATTGGATAAACAAGTTAGAATCATTGATCCAAATCCAAAGATTGGTGCTCATGGTAAACCAGTCGTATTCCTTCATCCAAAATCTTGTAATGGTGTATTGGTTGAACTTGAACAAAAATAAATCAATCAAAACAAAACAAAACAAACAAATATTGTACAATCAAGACAAGACAACAAACAAATAATTTAATTATGGTTATGGTTATGGTTAATATGGCTATAGTTATTTTAATGGACATCCATTTACATTTACATTTAATTTTAATGTAAAATGATGGATGAATTTATTTCTGTATTTTTATCTTGTTGGTTAATTTCATTTGGTAAGTCTGTTGAACAGGTATCATGTTCATCTTGTTGAATGATCATTGATTGAGTTTCAATCATTTCAATACGACCTTTGTTTTTTTTTTCGTTGATTTTGTTTTGTTGGATCATGTTTTCATCCTCTTCTTTGACCTTGTCATGTTCGATCAGTTGGTCAATGTCCTCTTGGAAGAGACCGGCTGTCGAGTTGGGATCGTCGAGTGATTGGGAGAGGGGAACTTTCATGTCCATGTACTTGAGCAAACCCAGCAGTCCGATGGCAGCAAGACTGACAAAGGTCATAAAGGCGAGTGGGATGGTATAGGTCCCTGTGCGATGCTTGATGGCATCGATGATGGGCGGGAAGAGTACAATGTTAAAGTTGTACGATGTCGTGATGAACCCATAGGCAGTTCCGACAATATTGATATCGACCAACAGAGGTACACACGAAAACAGGGTAGTGTTGAGGATAGAGAATCCAAGTCCACAAAGAACGACCCATGGCAATGGAAACACAGTGGTTGCATTGAGTAGCAGTGTTCCAAGTGCCATCAAGAAGCACCCGAGCATCATCAAACGGATCTTGTAACCTCTGACACGTTGAATCATGAATCCAGTGATGATTGGACATATACCATTGGTAACGGCCTCTGCTGCCATGACCAAGCCAGCTTTTTTCTCACCGTATCCAAATTTGACAACCAAGACATCGGTACCAATGATTGTCAAACCAAACATAGCATAGTAGGCGACAAAGCAGATAAGACATAGCAAATGGAATCGTCTGGGTAAATGTTTGGCCATTTCCTTTACCTCTTTCAATTTGATCAATAGTTCACGTAGTTTGCTTTCTTGTTTGATTGGTACTGGTGGTTCAATACCAATATCCTCCAAATCATCACTCTCTGATTTCTCTGGTGTATGAAGGTCAGAATCAATTTCATGTTCTTCTGATACAAATGAATCATTACTACGTAATTGATCTAATTGCATTCTTGAATTACATCTACTTAGTGCTAAGAGTAGAAAAAAAAAAAAAGAAATAAATTAATATTTTTTTTTGGAAATAATAATAATATTTGTTTTTTTTTTAATTACATACCATCATCATCCCATTTTAACTTTTGTCTGTTTTTAAGTAAGAATAGGTTGAGACCATAGTTTACCATAAAAACAATAGCGGCTAGCCAAAGGGCCACTGAAAAACCCCATGAGGCATTGACAGATGGAAGGACAGCCAAAGCTGTCAAATTGCCCCAGTAAAACCAACTAGAAAGGAATCCCATACATAATGGTACATCTTTTGATGAATACCATAATGGCTAAAGAGAAAAATGGAATAAAAAAGGAACAAATTAGTAAATATTCTTAATATTTTGTAGGGGAATAATAATAATAATATTAGACTTACAATCATAGTAGTGGTTGTTGCCAAAACAGTTTCACCACCCATACCCAATAGGAATCTAGACATCATCATGATATTAAAGTGAGGTTGAGCGACGGCATTCAAGATGGAAGAAAATACGGCAACACCGCCAAATAACATACTGACCAATCCTGGTCCATAGATATCAATCAGAATACCACCTACGATGACCATGAATAAATTGGGTAATGAATAAAATGAAAACAAAAATCCAAATGTTTCTTCTGAAATTTGTAATTTAGAAACTAATCAAAAAAAAGAAGAAGAAGAGAGGGAAAGAAATAAACAAGTCAATAAAATTATTTAAATTTGATTTCCATGTTTTTTTTAATTTACTTACAATAAGTTGATGATAAAGCAACTGGAGTTGAATAGGATAATTGTAATCCAAATCCTAATTGAGCAATTAGAAACATAACAAAACATTTTTTAAGTGTATTTTTTGTTATCTTCATTTTATGTAAGGATTTAGTTTTGGAATATTAAAAAATATTATTAAAAGGGAAAGGTGTATAAGGGAAGTACTCTTTTGGGGGGGTTTTTCAATACCAAGAGTGTATGTGACCCTTAAAAATAAAATTGTAAAAAATCTTTGGTTGTGATCCGATGATGAAGGTCCTTTTTTCGATTTCTTTATAAGGGAACCAATGGTGGTGATGATGTTTATATGTGTGTGTGAGTGAGTGGGTGTTTGAAGGGGGTGCCTCTGTCGGCAATACTATATTTGATTATTATTAAGTTCTTCTATAACTTCTCGGTCTATATAGTTCTTAATAATGATCAAGATGATGAGGGCAATGAATGTGATGATTGAGACAATAACGTTGTTGTAGAGGCTGATTGTCGTATGCACCCATTAAATTGGTCTTTTGTTAAAAGTGGGGGATTGTAGTAGGATAACTTGATAATAAGTGTTGTGGTGTTGGTTATTATTATTATTATGGACTATTAAATGTACGAGTACGAAGAAATAGTCATATAGTATCTTTTGGGTTGCTGTGTAGTTTTAATAAACAGTAGTATTATTATTTGTAAGTATTATGTGCTGTGTATGTGAACTTGTAATATATTATATATTATTTGTTTGTTTGTTGCAGTTATACTTGAACGTAAATTAAAATGACTCAATGCTGTTGTCTGTCTGACCTCTTGCCCAAGGCCAGGCGCCTCGCAACACATCTTCATCAGAGGTCAGCTGAAACTCATCATGGCGTGCCAAAGTTGGGTTTTTACAAAAAGTTTACGCAACCAGCTCGTCATGACCCAGGTACTTCACCACAGTCTAGCCCCCACTGCGAGGGGGTATTGGGGGGGTAGTTATAAAGCCTTAAGATCAATCTTTGAGAAAAGATGTTTGAAGATTGAAGTTTTGTTTGTAGACTCGCGAGTGGTATTCAAGTTGAATTGAATTGTATGCCTGGAATCTTCTTCTTGATCAGATGATGAACAGATTTCTCTCTCTTTCTTTTTTTGAATTAAATATATAAAGTTATTTATTATTATTATTCATCGCATATGTGCAATTACTATTATTATTATTATATTACTACTGGGGTTGATGATGATTTAGTTCTTCAAGTGAGCCAAGGTCTTGCTCTTGGTCTTCATGTATGGGTATACGACATCTTGGTGGTCGTGGTGTTCGTTGATCAAACAGTTCAAACCATATCCAGTAACAAAGATACCAGCAATGTTGATAAACTTGGCAGTGATATCACCAGTGATTGGGTTAATAAAGTCTAATAATAATAAGATAATCGTAACGATTAGTATATAGGGTTGACATTGAAATGATATATCATTCATCATTCTGACAGAAAGCAATATTGATATTGATCATCTAAATAATCGTTTCCATCCAATTCAACTATGATTTGTTGTCAAGATGTGTGTTTGTATCCAACCAAAATTTATATATCGATGCATATGAATCGTCTTTAGATGATCAATATATTGCATAATTATAGCTGCTTGATATGTCGATAGATAGTGATAGATGATGGTGTCATATTGAATCAAATATATATTGCTTACCGAGTGCTCTTGAAGCGAGTGAAGTACGGGCGACTGGTGTAATCTTGACTAAGTGTGAGAGATTCATCTACGTAGAGATAAAGAATAATGTTAGTATACTTATAGTATTCGTTTTCCAATGATAAGGTAGAGTGTAATGACAGCATGATATATTGATGCACACAGTCACAGTCACAGTCAGACGATCAAACACATATAGTGCAAATATATATAGTTGTTGATTCGTTCCTTCAACATCTGTAGTAAGTGATGTCTGCTTCTGCTGCTGCTGCTGCTGCTGCTTGTACCAATATCATTCATGTCTTCTCCTTGTTCCTCTTCTTCTCAATGCTAGTTTAATATAGATATATACTTTCGGTGTGTGTAATAATAATACAGTATTAATAATGAATGCACACAAAAAAGAAAGAAGAAAAAAAGATCACAACAAAAGAAAAATGACAAAAAAATTGGTTTTATTTTGTTTTTCCAACTCATCGCAATGAAGAGAGATCCAAGAGATAATACTGTGAATAGAATATTCTTGAACCGACCGATAGAAATAGATAGATAAGGGAGAAGATAGATAAAAATACTATCTATTTACTCCGAGAGGAGGGGGTTAAAGGAGATACGATAAAATATTAAATTTAATTTGAACGTTTCTACAAAAGTATCGACGACCCAAACAACAACAAACAATCCTTATAAAGACAGGTCTTGGTTTTTATTCCAAAAGGGAACTATGCCAAATTAAAACTAAAATTCAATTATTTTTATTAATATTTTATTTATTTAAAAAGGGGCTCTTGTTTCTTTCTAGACCTCATGAATGTCCATCCCCAAGCTATAGTTATTACTTTTAAAAAATATAGTATATTATTATCATTTAGAATAGATACAAGGTATGTATGATGATTTATCTGTCTAACTATTTGTTTTTAATGAACATGCACGTTTTGAAATTTCATTAAACAATATTTATTAATTATTTAATTTGCATATCTTTGTCGGTCATTTTCATTCATTGATTTATATCAGTATACATACAAATACAGATTAAAACTACGATAATAGTAATAATAATAATAATAACAGATAACAATCAATCAATCAAACAATTTATAGCATAGATGGCATCACCACTTGTAACCAAAACAAGCATGATTTCAAGTCCTTTACTATCTACCATGAGAGAAGACTATCGATTAGGTACACTCGAAGAGGACAGTGTATCTCAGAACCCATACAAACAATTTGATAAATGGTTTCAAGATGAACTTTCATGGAAAACTGTTAAAGAACCAAATGCAATGCATTTAGCTACTTGTACAAAGGATGGTAAACCATCAGGAAGAATTGTATGTTTTATATCAACAGAGATCTCTCTCTCTCTCTCTCTGTCAATTACTTACACTATTCATCTATTTAGGTATTATTAAAATACTTTGATCAAAATGGATTCGTTTTCTTTACAAATTATAATAGTCGAAAGAGTCACGAGATGATTGAGAATCCATACGCATCGATTACATTCTTTTGGAATCAAAGACAGATTAGAATTGAAGGAACCGTTGAAAAGGTGACAAGAGAAGAGAGCGAAAACTATTTCAAGACACGACCCAAGGCAAGTCAACTTGGCGCGTGGGTATCAAAGTATCAGAGCGCAGAGGTTTCACGAGAGGAATTGGTCGAATCACAACGTAGACTAGAAAAACAATACGAATCTACAGAAGTTCCAACACCAGAGTTTTGGGGTGGTTGGAGAATTAAACCAACATGTTTTGAATTCTGGCAAGGAAAAGGTGGAAGAATTCATGATCGTATTAAATACAAAACAATTACAAACAACACTATCAATGGTAATTCAAACAATATCATTTCCACTTCTGCGACAGTTGAAATTACAGAAGATTTAGATAAATTGAAAATCATTTCAAAGGCAAACGAACATCATCAACAAGAAGAAAAAGAAAATGGAAAAGATCAACAAGTAAAAAAAGATAGTGATGACAATGATGAATATGGAAAATGGTCAATTAAAAGATTATATCCATAATCACAATGATTGATATATCTTTTTTTAAAAATAATATTAATAAATTGTATTACAAAACAATAAATCATAATCATGGTTTGATAGAATTTATTTACATTTTTATTTAGAATTATCTCAATTTCAAACTCTCTCTTGTGTGTATAGTATTATTATTATTGTATACTCGAGTTAAGTAAGAGATATTTCTTGGGGAATGACATTGATTTCATCAACCTGTTCATTGTCTCCTTGTTCTAGTCCAATGACACCATGAGCATCGATAAAAAAGTACATGCTTTGATTTGGTAGATTGGAAGAGAGAATGACTGACATTTTTCTAACTGGAGTTGAACTGTTTGGTGCTGGAAGATGGAGTGGTGTCTTTGATAACATGATTCTAGTATTTACAAAATTGGTCCATGATAGACCAAGTGCTGGAACCATTGCTTTGTTTTGATTAAAAAGATTGTTATTGCTAGTACCGCCAGTACTTTGCAATAAGAATGGAGAATATTGTTGGTTAGAGTGTTGATATGAAGGTACACTAACCTTCCTTCTTCTTTTAATTGGTCTAATTGTCACTATAGATGTTGATGTAGTAGTAGGTACAGTAATAATAGTATTACCTATATTATTATTATTATTATTATTATTGGTTGTTGATTGTTTGTCATCTTGCCCATCCAAATTATGATTGTTACTATTATTATAATTATAATTATTAAAAGTTGGTTCAAAATAATCAGTTACTTGATTAATGACCAAAATAGTGATACCATATTGTTCAGAGATGATACGAAGTTGATTGGATAGTTCCCAAAGTTTGTTTGTCTTTTCTAGAATGTTTTCGTTTCCAAATTCGGAACGAATCAGTGCTGCAATTGAATCGATAATCAATAGTTTGGTGACATGATTCTTGATGAGTTCGTGGAAATTCTTGGTCAACATGTCGAGTAGATTGTTAATGTCGTTGGCACGACGTGTCATGACCATGTCGGGTGGAACGTCGATTGGCGGCAACCCATTCTCTTGTCGTGCCTGGTTGATGACGGCCAAACGGTTCTGTGAGATTTTGAGGAACCGATTCATAGGAAACGGTGTCTCTGTGCCAATGTAGATTGCTCCACCATTCAATCCACCCAATTCATAGGGCAATTGCACGTGAAAACATAGTTGCATGCATAGTTGAGTCTTTCCAGAACCTGCTTCGCCCGATATCTCTGTAATGCCATTGGGTGTGAACCCGCCACCTAGAAACTGATCCATCTGTCGTGATCCAGATCGCAAACGAAGAGTGGATGCCGGCTGTACAGCCAACTGCTTGGCAGTCATCAGAGATATTGCTCGAGGTAGTGTCTGACCCTCGACATAGGTGTCGGTGGCGTACAAACGATAGAGCAGTGCATTTGAAATGAATGCTAGCAACAGATTGACATCTTGAAACGACAGTTGTGTCATTCTCTGTATCTCTGTCTTGGGCAGTAGCACAAGTGCCTCACACGTGTTGACATAGGGTCTCATCAACGTGATATCCAACAGTGATTTGTAGAGAAATGGTGGTGCATCCAACATATGTTGGTCATCGTGGTTCTGTAGATCTATAAACTGCTTTAAAGAGAATGTTGGTGATGTCAATGCACTCTTTTGCATCAATATACTTTCAATACAAAATTGTACATTTGGATCTTCATCTGCCCCATTATTATTTGTACTAGTAGTAGTATTGCTGCGGGAGTTGATACCACCTCCACCACCAACTACACCACCGCTACTGTGTCTCTGCCCAAAGGCTGTGGGGATAGTAGTTGAAGACGTCGTTGTGTTGTAGTATATCTAGACTCTTTTATCAAAAAGTCTGCCCTCTCTCCTTCCTTCTTTCTTTCTATTCTGTATTTGTTGTACCACCCAAACAAGACTCTAGAGGACTAAATTAAATTAATCGGGTTGTGGGTGTGTTTCAAAAAAGGCAAATTATTAGAAATTAAAAACAAACAAATCAGAACTTGTTGCTTGCGCAAGAAGGTTTTTTTTTGTATACTCTAATCTTATCTCTTCTTATTTTCTCAGTATAGTATGAATGAATGAATGAATGAATGAATGAATGAATGAATGAATGAATGGACTTTAGTAAAGTGAGGGGGAGGTCTGTAATATATCATGTGATGATGCAGTTGGTTGATAAATAAATAATTCGACATATTCAGGTATACCCATGTATGTCTAACCCTTATGGGTAGCGTCAATGTGAATGGATTGGACAATCATCTCTATTGGGCACCCAAACAAGAGGGGTATGAGAGGAAGTAGGATAGTGATGGTTTGCGTGCAATATTGCACATGTCTATCTATAGTATCGATATTCCACTCTACTCATTATGCGCTACGTGCTTATTCGTCTTCCAGTCCTTTCACCTCCCCACAATCTTCGATTTTTTTTGTTTTTTTTTTTGGGTTGATCAGCCAAAATTCACATGATAATAAAGTATTTTGTGTTTCTAGCCGTTATTATTATTATTGTCTTTTGGTGTACATTAAAAATATAAAGAAAAGAACAAGACAATATATAAAGAAGACGCAAAAAGACAGACATATACATACAGACCGACGATAGTTAGAGGAGGAGAACAAAATGTTTAGCAAAAAGAGTCAAACATTCAAGCCCAAAAAGAATATTCAAGAGGGTTCGAAGCAATATCAACTCAAACAATATGCAGAGGCCACCCTTGGTAGTGGTAATCTAAGACTTGCAGTCTCACTACCTGCAGGTGAAGATTTAAATGAATGGTTAGCTGTCAATAGTATGTAGAAGATGAGATAAATAAGAGAGTATCACATCTCTCTCTCTCTCTCTCTCAAAAAAAACTGTTTACTTACTCTCACTCACTCTTCTATCTATCTATCTATATCACTTTAGCTGTCGACTTTTTCAATCAAATCAATATGTTGTATGGAACCATTACAGAGTTTTGTACGACAAGCGAATGTCCTGTCATGTCAGCAGGACCGAAATATGAATATCATTGGGCTGACGGCACCACTGTCAAGAAGGCTATCAAAGTGTCGGCACCAGAGTATGTTGACTATTTGATGACATGGGTGCAGTCGCAATTGGACGATGAAAGCATCTTCCCATCAAAGATTGGCGTCCTCTTCCCAAAAAATTTCCAAAGCATCGTAAAGACTATCTTTAAGAGATTGTTCCGTGTCTATGCTCACATCTATCACTCACATTTCCAAAAAATAGTTAATCTTGGTGAAGAGGCTCATCTCAACACCTCTCTCAAACACTTTATCTTTTTCATTCAAGAGTTTAATTTGGTAGATAAAAAGGAACTTGGTCCATTATCTGAATTGATAGAAACTTTAATCAAAAATTAATTTAATTATAATATAATAATAATAATAATAATAGTCAGGAAATAATAATAATAATAATAATAATAATAATAATAATAATAATAATAATAATAAGATTTGTAGAATAATATTATATATTTTGAAATAATAATAATAGAAAAAATAGAAAAAAGAAAAACAAAAAGAAAAACAAAACAATATTATTGTAAAACTAATCATAATCCAACAAATAATAACGAATAATAACGAATAATAATCAAAAAGAGAGATATGGAAAGTAAATCATATATCTATCCAATCAAATTAACTTTCCAATAATAATAATAATAATAATGACAAAAAAGAAAAAAAAAGAAAAGATTCTCCAAAATAATATTGAAAAGATAGAGAGTGGAGAATGAATCAAGCCTAGCCTGGATAGACAACAACGTGTAAAATTAATTAAATTAAAAAATCCTATAATAATTTTAAAAAATAATCATCGATCGATTAATTGGTTGAACGAGTATTGTATTGATCAATAATATTATTGTTATTGATACAATTACTCTTTTTAATTGTTTATTCAATTTTTGTATGTAGAGTAGGTAGGTAGAGTATACTTGATGAAAGGATATTTGGATTTGGATTTGGATTGGATTGGGAAAAAAAAAAATGGAGAATTAATTAGTTTCTAATTTAATTCTTTTTTTGGTTGATGAAATGAGTGGAGAATTTGAATCCCTTGGTACTACTTGTTCATCTTCAAGTGTAATTGCTTTTTGTGCACTGTTGGATACTGCCAGTCTTCTTAGGACATTGATCGAGGTTGGAGATTGTGTATTTTGTGGTGGTGACGCTGCTGTATTGGGTGTTGTAGTGGTAGTTGTTGATGCAGATGTTGGAGTATTACTCCCTAAAAATAATGTTGCATTATTGTTATTATTGATATTATTATTATTATTTGGTAATGTTGTCATTTGATTTGGATTAGTCGATAAAACTAATGGAGTTGAAGGTACGCTAAACGTAAATGGAGTTTGTGAAGGTGAAGTATTAGAGTGAATATATACATTATTATTATTATTATTATTGTTATTGGGATTATTATTATTGGTATTGTTATTTACAGAAAGAAGATTATTATTGTTATTATTATTAATATTATTAGTATTTAGAAATTCATTATTATTATTATTATTATTGTTATTTGCCTGTACATTTAATAAAGGAAGAGAAGTTATATTATTATTGTTATTATTATTATTGTTATTATTATTATTATTAATATTATTAATATTATTAATATTATTATTTTGATTGTTATTATTTAAATCTATGATTTGATTAATTGGAGGTGGAGGGGGATGATTATGTTGATGAATTAAAAGTTGTGGGTGATTATGTTGATGATGAACAATGGGAGGAGGTGGAACTTGGTTGGTTGGAATGGCAGTGGCATTGAGATTTGGAGTTAGGAAAAAAACGGGTGGCAGTGGAGGATTGGTCGGTGTCAGAATGGCAGGTGACGATAGTGGCGATGGAGATGTCAGGTCATTGACCGACATAAAAGGAGGAACAGTTTGTTGTTGTTGAATTCTCATCGGACGAATCGTAGGAGAATACGTCGGTGTAAGATCCATTTCCCCAATTTAATATTTAATAGACCTAGGAAGGAGTTGTTCTTTTTTTAAAATAAATAATCTCTATATAGAAACAACAATAATAATACAATGAATTGAACCATTCATTCAGTCAGTCATTAGAATACCATATTCATTTTAACATTCTAACATGAACTTCATCATGTACATACATTTTACATGAATTAAAAGTCATTATATATTTATATATATATACATATATATCTCCAATGACGATGGTTGATTTGATGATGAGTTGTCTGTATGTCTGTCTGTCTGTCTGTCTATCTATCCTATTTAACGATCTATCAAATCCCAATGATTGATCAATCAATCGATTTAAATATCTTCGAGTTACTTTTTTTAATATATATAGTCTTAATACTACTATGTTGTTGGGCTAGCGTGTATTTATCGTATAAAGTAAGTACTGATAGTTCTAAAAAAGATAATAGTATATACAAGTACTGTGGTTCAAAATTTAATTAAAAAAAAAATCAAAAATATTACTACTGCTATCCTACTTGTGGTTGGTTGTTAGTTGATAGTATTAGTTTGTAAACAATTTAAATTCAAAACATCAGATTTTAAATAATTATATTGTTATTTATTTATTTATGAGGAATAGATATTTTCCATTCATGCAGAAGAATGTCAAAAAAATAAATTGTGTCAATCAAAATTGATTGGATTGGTGCATCATCATCTGGTATACTACCACCCCTCCATCAATCAAAAAGTATGACCAACAAACAACAAACAAAGTTGAATGGGGGGAGAGGCTAGATGGATGATAGGAGATTAATTAAAAGTGAATTCCATTCTTTCAGATCGAGTAACAACTCAGAGTGAGGAGCTACAATCCAAAGCTTTCATCAATCAATCAATCACACCGAACCCATTCTTTTTTGATCGAGTTATCCTTTGGCTAATCTTTCAACTCTCTTGCTGCTGTGTGTGTGTCAAAAAAATACTCTCTATTGAAAATATTTTGATGACGGCGATTGTTGGGGTTGTACCCTTCATTCACACTTATTCGATCATTTTGTATTGAATGAATTTTGATTTAATTTATTTAAAAAACCTCAGAGCACTGAAGCTCAGTTTCTTTTTTTATTTTCTTTTTAATTATCTTTTTTTTTCAAACCAATTTTATTTATATACTTTGTATAAAGGTAAGAAGAACCAAGTACTATTTAAACAATATGACGATGATGATGATTGAGACTATCACGTAGTCGTGTAGTAGTAGGTCATTGTCATTCTCAGATGTTTATATTATTGTATATTATATTATACACAATCATTTATAGATTATGATGATTTGATTGTTAGAGGAATATTCATACAATCAGAGAGAGAGAGAGAGAGAGAGAGAGATGTGGTATGGTAGCAGGTAGAATCTTTTAGACAATCAAGGAGGATTATATATACATAGATAGATCATCACTATATACATTTTGATGGAACAACAACAATCTTTATCAAATGATTGCATAATTCTGTTTTGTTGTTGTTGTTGTTGTTGTTGTTGTTGTTGTTGTTGTTGTTGTTGACAGTATTACCATGTCTATCCCTTTTTAAAGGTTACAATTACCAAGGGGATGGACATGAAAATCATATTCAATTATTATTATTATTATTATTATTATTATTCCCTATTTGAGGAAGATAGGATTGGGATCCAATCTTATCTTGGATGTGGAGGAGGAGGAGAAAGTGGTGGTGTGCCTATAGTATTACTGCTGCTTCGCTGATTCTGCTGCTACAACACAATTAAAGGTAGCAATAATAATATTATTGGGAACATTTTTATATTACACGTCATACTCTCCTAACCACCACCCTTTCACCATCACCACCAACCTCTCACATTATCAAAGGAATTTTTTTTTTTCACCCCCACTCTCACAACATTGATAATCCAAGTTGGAGTGTGATTCAATCCAATCCAATCACATCCCAAATATTTTTTTTTTTTTTTTTTTGTCATTGATAAAAAACTATCTATCATCATCTATCTCAACATTCCTCCCATCGTCACCGACGTTTATCACCTATATTATTGATGATGATGATGAATGGTTGGTGGATGAGATTGCAGCTGGCTGCATGGATGGGTTGACACTGCCGGCGTCGCTTTGCCTGTGATGATGAATATCGATTTCATTAGATTGGTTGATAGGATAAACAAAAAATTTTGTTTGGTGTAGCGTAGGAGGGGGGGTGTCTACCGCTAGAACAATATTAAATTAATTCACTTATATATGATATTCCAATTTGGACGGGTTGGTTCACACATTATTATGTTTTTAAAGATCCATCTGTTCCATCTCTCTCACACCAAATGTACACGAGAAAGAACAATAAATAATAACAAAAACAAAAACCAACAATAATTAAAGAGAACAACACCAACAGAAATTGTTGTTGTTTTGAAGAGCATTAATTACAACTCGTTTATAAACCTCACAATCAGTTGCACTTTATTTATTTAATTTTATTTATTTCATTTATTCTTTTATTCATTCATTCATTCATTCGTTCTATCGCCGCTACTTACCTACCTACCAACCAACCAACCAACCAACCATACATATTTATCACAACAACAACAATAGGATCATTATTAAATATCTTTAATTGTTTGTTCCGTTAAACATCATTAACTAACTCTTTTTTTTTTTCTTAATTTATTTATTTCATTATTAAAACAAACAGCATCATCCATTCCTCTTCTTTTTCTTCTTCTTCTTATTCAACCACCCAAACAACAAGTGTCAATAATAATCAAAGGTCGGAATTTATTAGTTTAATTTTCCCAAAAAGTACACTTTCTTCTTCTTCCTCTTCTATAATTTTTGTATTTATTGTATATATCATATATCACAAATTAATTTCCTATCCAACCAAATATTTTTAATCAATCAACCCTATTCCCTTTTTTTTTTTTTTTAATTTTTTTAACATATATATATATAATGGAAGAATGTTCAGCAATGTTGACAACAAATGGAGGTGATCCAGATGTTGAAAGTTCACCACAACCAAAACCAGTTGATTCATCTGTCAGTTTTGTTTACAGTTGGATGTTTTCTTTTATTGCATCAGTAAGTAGAGAGTTTTTTAAATCCTGGAAAACAATATTTTCTTTTCTTTTATTTTTATTTACCAAATCCAATCTAATTAGGTATTTAATAGTATATCTATAAATGAACAAACTGAACAAAGTCCAAAGTTTGAGTTTATCGAAGACAAGGAAAATACTTTTATCAAAAATATTTCAACTATCCACAATAACCAAAATAATAATAGTCAAGATAATATAGTTTATAAACAACCAAGAAAAACCAACTTTTTCTCACCAGCAACCAAGAGAAAGAATGATGAAAACAATAACTTGGACAATAATGGTCAACAATCCACTCTAGCGACAAATCCAATGGATTTTTTTTCAATTTACAATCAAAGTTTAGTTTTACCAGCATGTAAAAAGACATTGATCCTCGATCTCGATGAAACACTTGTTCATTCAACCCTTACGCCAGTCAACCACCATCACCTCACTGTCAATGTTACAGTCGAGGACGTTGCTTGCACATTTTATGTTATTAAGCGACCACATGTCGATTATTTTCTCGAAAGAGTCGCCGAATGGTATGACATTGTTGTCTTTACAGCCAGCATGAAGGAATATGCTGATCCATTACTAGATAAACTCGATACAAACAGATTAATAAAACATAGATTATTTAGAGAGGTATGTATAAACAAACAAATCAATCAATCATGCGATCGGATCCAAACAACAAATATATTTACCACATATTTATTATCTATCTACTATTTATAGTCATGCTTGGAAAAAGAAGGAAATTTTGTAAAAGATCTTTCATTAATTCACCAAGATTTAGCAACAACAATTATTGTAGATAATTCGCCACACGCATATTCAAACAATGTCGAAAATGCGTTACCAATAGATAATTTTATGGGTGATAACCCCCTCGATGAATCTCTCCTCACTTTATTACCATTTTTAGAAGTTCTTCGATATGTCAACGATGTTAGATCAATTCTTGGTCTTAGATTAGCAAATCACCAAAAACAATGATGATAAAGTAAAGAGGTCAACCCTTTAAAAACAAATCATTACAACAAAACCAAAAATATAGAGTCCCAAAAATTATAAAGAAAACAAAATAAAACCTTCTAAATATTTATATCCTTTAAAAAAGATATATGATATAAAAGTGGTGGGGAGGAGCCGACTCATCAAGCCAAATACATTAATTTATTTGTTTTTGGATTAAGAGTCAATATAGGGTAAAATAGTTTTGGGTTGGACCGGGTCCAATAAAGACCAATCTCTAATTCCTTTGATAAAACTGATGACATGGAGGGTGATATTTTTTCATTTGGTAACATTTCAGTTCCAAGATTAACTATTTGTACATATAGTTGAGGCAGGAGATATGACTTGACTCGGTTAAAGAATTGGTCGATAGGAGTATTTTTTGAGAATTTGTATGGCACCAAAAGACATCGCATAAACTTTGGTGGTTCACTTTGGAATGGATTCCTCAAAAACACTGAAACAGTATCTTCTTCATTGAGCAACATCTTTTCCAAAAGACTATCCAACCACTGTTCTCCTCTAAAACTAGGAGCTACTTGAAATTGGCAAAACCATAATCTCCATTCCAACCTTGGTAAATGTCCAATAATAAACCTTGGTTTTCTATCAAGATCACCCGGTTTCCATTTAAATTCATATTGCCTCCATTCTTTTCCATCGATTGATCCTTCAAAAATAATTTCTTTTCTAGTTGTTGTCATTGTTCCAAATAATCCATAATAGTTCATTAATCCAAATTTAGATACAACACTATATATTTTAATTAATAAATTATTATAATTCATTCTGTTTCTTGATAACTAAAAAAAAGAGGAAAATGAATTAGAAATAAAATAATAACAATATTAATATAGATTTTGATTTATATTTACTTGAGATAGTGGAATATAGGACAAGGAAAGATAAAATAGTAAAATGCCAAGCGCGATTGAATCCCATGCAAGTTCCCAAATCAAACCTGAACTTTTGGCAGTTGAATTGATATAAATTTTATCATTTAAATATTCTTTAATTGAATTTGGTACACAATCATCTTGTAAAAGTGATAATGAGATTTGAATTGCTAGTAAATTAAATATTCCATAATTTCCACTAACTAGAATCATTATTTGTAATAAAACTAATGCTCCAACATCTAAAATTTATAAATAAATATTATATTAATATTATCTTTTTTGATGCGTTTCTGTGTTTTTTTACATACTAAAATAAGCAACATAATGATTATAACTTTCAAATAATAATAGCGGTGAACCAATTTCGATGATAAAATGTAGGTAACAAGATAATTTGTTGATAAAATTTGGAAGAGAGTTGAAAAGGTAACTTGTCCACATTGGCATTGGTTGAGACCAATAATGATATGAAAGTGCTGTTCCATTTCTCCAATTAGGGTCATGACTAGTCAACTTGCACAATCCACTTGCAGTAAATAATCTGACAGTCAACCAAAAATATAATGCCCACATTGTTATTTGATAGAATCTAGGCGTATATATTGGAAAAAAGGGGATAATTCTAAATGGAGGTGTCAATAATGACAATACATAAACCTCACAAAGTAAATTATCAAATTGTAATTGAAAAAATTCTCTTCCAACATTCTATATAGAAAATAAACATAATTAGTAGCTAAAAAGATAATGTATATATATATATACATATATTACTACATACTTTGAATGATAAAAATATAATGTACAATAATAAAATATTTAGGGTTGGTAAAATATCCATAAAATAAAATATAGATAGAATCATTCCAATTGAACATAAACTATTTAAATGCCAATCTTGAAGTGAATCTGGAGAAAAGAAGTAAAATAGTGATGGCTTTGACCAAAAACCTTTCTTTTTAATCTCTGATTGTTCTTTGATAAAAGAGTATATGGGGAGAATACCATTTCTACCGAGTAGTGTGATGACTTGAACCTTGAGAGAATAAAATGATATAAATGAAATCACTGCAAATGATCTCTGTAGTATCCATTGTGTATAGTCATTGACAAGTAAATACTCTTTGTAGTCAAAGTATGGATAAATGAATGCATATTGTATTGTACATTTCAATGCAAATGCATAGGCAATCCAAATTAATAATTTAACATGGTCAATAGATTTGATATAATCTATAGATTGACGATAATAATTTGATAGATTATTTGATTGGTGATGATCGATCTCTTTTTCAAATGTTTTTGTTGTTGATGTTGTTGATGATGTTGTTGTATATTCTTTCTTTGTTGTTGAAGAAGATATTGGTTCTTCTTCTTTATCCACCATCATATATCTCTATCTCTCTATTCTTTTATCGAAAATGGAATGTTAAATTTGGTATTATTATTATTATTATTGTTGTTAAAGGTATTATTACCCTTAAGTTTTGACATAGAAGGAAGTAGTGGAGTGGATGAAGAATTAAGTTGGTCAAAGTAATAGTCTATTGAAGCACAGCTTTCTGATATCATAAACATATATACTTCTTTTGTTAACTATGAACCATTTTTTTGATATAAAAAGGTGTGTGGTAAAGAGTGGAAAAGAAAACGAACTTTTACTTTTGGAAAAGGAAAAGCCAAAATTGAATGAAAAGAGAGATGTCCAAAACTAGGAATTTCACTAAAAAGGTAATAAATATTTACAAAAAATGGAGGAGGAGGTTTTAAATTTATTTAATTTTTTTTATATTATATTTTACAGAAACCTTTTTTTTTTTAATTAATTTAATTTTTCAAAAAGATATTAATTAATTAATACAATATTCTATTATATTAATAATGTTTGTTCGTTTTGTAGCGACATATATGTGTTTGTAGTTATGTTTTTGGTGTGGTTGTGAGATCTTTACAATTGCTTTAAATGGTCAATGAGATTACCGAGACCTGTAATGTAGCCTTGATCTAATTCATTGGATTTGTCGACATGTGCAAAATCAATCATCTTTAGACTAACGCCAATTGTGTCACTGACCATAAAGACATTGTGGTGTTTGCGCATCTCGGCATTGACAGGTCCAAATACAAACAATAAAGATGAACTATAGAAATTGTAGGCAGTGTTGCTCTTGAACCATTGCAACAATTCATCGAGGAGATTAAGAAACTCTGTGACCACCTTTTTCTTGGTGTCTTGCTCCAAATGACCGTCCAACGTAAAGTAGGGACGGATACCAGCTTCCAACATATTCTCCTTTTTCAACTTCTTTCCCCAGTCCTTGTCCATCTTTTTGGCCAAACCAGTTGTTGGATTATGGATTTTAGCGCCACAGAACCGGAAACCCAACGATGATGTAGTGGTCTTTGCTGATTTTGCTTGTTCTAATCTTATCTTCTCTTCAGTTGCATTACTACCATACGTTCTAGTTCCCATCTTTATATCTGCTACATTTACAAATGATTTATCGTATGGGAATGTAAGATCTTCAATACCAATGTATCCTAAAGGTAAAAACAAAAGTAAAAATTAAAAAGAAACAAACATGTCTTTGTTAATAAATGTTTCATTATATATATATGTATCATCATCTTATTCTTCATCTCTCTTCTTTGAGAATGAATATCACACATACTAACTGAATGAACATCACGTTCACCTTTAAAGGCAGATACGAATTTAGTTAGTGATGGTTTGATGGTACCAACAATATCACGATAGAATTCTAATTCTCTTTCACCTCTTGCACCTGGAACAGGCTTATAAACATAACCTAAAGGATCGATCAAGAATCTAGGTAAATTCTCTGATCCTGGTGTTTCTTCTGTATGTCCTGCAATTTGTGATTCTAATGGTTTAAGTTCACTCTATATATACAATATATTTACATTAGTTGTTTGTTGTTGATTCATACATGATGTTAACATCATAAATAAAGAATCAAAACTCTAAAAGAGAAAGAGTAACCATACATACCATTTATTATTATTATTATTTTTGAATTTGTGAAATGAGATTTTTTTTTTTTAATCAATGGATGTTCACAACAACAATCTATTTTCGAACCACTGGCTCGCCCCATTACTAATTCAATTAAAATAGATTAATTAATTAATTTAAATTGTTTTTTATTTATTTATATTTCATTAAAAATTGATTTACTATTATTATTATATTATTAGTTTACTTTAACAATTCTCGTGATGATCAATAATTATTATTATGTTGTTGTTGTTGTTTTGGTTTATATAAATTTTGTTTGTTTTTTAATTATTATTATGATATTTTAAATATTTTTCATATTCTACCAATATTAAATAGTAGTTGGAAAAAAAAGGTGTAGTGATTTGATTTTGATTTTAATTTTGATTTGTCCTCTTTCTTTTTTTTTTTTTTGTTTTGCTTATTATTATTACACTATTATTTGATTTACATTTTCAATGATAAGTTGAACTACATGATTTACATATTGAGCATCGGCAACAACATTCATAACATTATTATCTTTATCTTTGAGAAGGTTTGGCGCAAACACAATGGAAAGATTGACAGCATTCATTTTGTTGACTCCAGCATTGGCATACACCTTTTCCAAGAATCGGAAAAGATGTCTGAAAAGAGCTCTATTGGGTGCTGGTAATAAAGATACCAACAACTTTACACTATCTATTTTTTGTTGTTTTGGTACATCTCCCTCTAAATTAAATTAAATAAATAAATATTAATATTACATTCATTTCCATTTCCATTTCCATTTCCATTTCCATTTCTTTGTTTTTTTTTTTTTTTTAAAACATACTTGAAATTTCAATAAAACTAGAATAAGTTTCAAATGGGAATAATGGTTCAGGTAATTCACGCAAGTATAATTTAAGTAGACCTGCAACGGTGTGAACATCTTCACAGTCGTTGAGATCGACCTCCTCGCCAGCGTCGAAACAATTTTTGAGTGATTTGATTTGAGAGTTGGCACCGCTTAGACGAAAGATACCTTCGACGAGGAGGGCACGCTTCTCGAGGTAGGCCAATCCCTTTTCAAAGAGCTGTGGAATCTCGCCGGGGTTGTCGGGACGACTGACGACGTCCTCGAGTGGTGCACCAAATATAGGCTGAGCCTTTCGGCCTGCAGGCTTGTGCATCATGATATGTTGCGGGAGATTGAGTTGCTCCTTGGAAAAGAACTTAAAGAGCTCGCTCAAATCGTCAATGTAAACGAGTTTACGCCAAAACTTGGAGCTGAGGAATGGCTTGAATAGACGTAACGTGAACTTGATCCAAGTGGTTGGATGCACAATGTAGAGACCCTTGAGATTCTTTTTGTACTTTCTGTTGAAAATGGTGTATACTTTTTTGAGCCATGCAAACGATGGCTTGTTCTCGTTGTTCATGTTGGTGTGTGCGTACACGAGTACATAGTCGCCTTCTACGACCGGGTCCATGATCGTGATGGTGTACAACAGTACACGCTCCATATCCACTTGTTTGGCGGGCAGATGCGAGGCCACGATGACAATGACCGTGCGACCCAAGTTGTCTTTGCCGGCTTGGTAGATAAAGTTGAGTGCTGCAATCTCGGAAAACGTGCTTTGACGCGCCTTGTCCAGATACTCGTTGTACTCGAGCTCGGCCTTGCTCTTGGTTGCGTGGCCGGGCTGGCCAGACGTCTGCTTGGCCGGCGACGACTTTAGCAGCGACGCAAACGAGCTCGTCATGTTGGCAAATGTGCCGCCGTTGGTACCCGAGGTCGTCGTCGAAGTCGTTGTTGGCTGCTGCTGTGGAGCATCCTTTTTCCAGTTGGGAATGGATGCCGGGTCGATCGTGTGATATTGTTGCTTGGGACGCTGGACCGTTGCCAAATCCAGCGACGAAATGCTCTGTGTGCCGTGTTGATCGTCGTCGTTCAACAGGTTCTCGTGCGATCCAATGACGATCGCCTTTCTAAAGGTGCCGCGACGGCTGGTCGGCTCGAGGTTCTCCTCCTCGCCCGTCTGCTCGTTGGTGACCGTTCCGTTGACCTGTGTCTGCGATCCAATCACAAATCTTCCGGATCCACGTCCAGCAGTATTACCCTGACTCTTTGTCTTTGACATGACCGATGAGAATGATATATTTGATCGTGGGACATAATCATCGTCATCGTCATCATCATCACCACCATTGTTGTCTTCTTTCTTGGTTGTAGTTGGAGTTGGAGGGAGTGGTTTACTGTTACTAAACAAATCAACCTTTTTAAATTGATCTTCATCTCCTGTTGAAACGTCTACAAGTGGTTGGGATAGGTCGACTGCTCCTCCACCACCTCGTCCACCAATAAACAATCCACGCTGACCTCCAACATTCATATTGTTTCCTCTTAGCGATCCCATAGGCTTGCCCATAAACACTGGTCCTGTGAGAGTCTTGGCACGTGTAGTACGTGGTCTAGAGACTGGCTCGTCATCGATCAAGTCAGCAACGCTCACAACCTCTGTAGAGATGTGTGAACTGGTGGTTGGTGACGATCCACTACCAGCAGTCTGTAATCTACTTCCTCCAAATGATATCCTTTTTGGTGGTAATGGAGGAGGTGTAACGGTATTTGTATTTGTTGTTGTTGTTGTTGGTACTGTATTTGTGTTGTTGGTCGACGACGACGAAGATGACGACGTGTTCAAGTCATCAACATCTACCAAAGTGTCGACATTAAACTGTGCAGGTAACTTCACCGATGCTCTTTTAAAAGCATTTGGTTTAGGTGGTTCGCTCATATTATATATATCTCTCTCTCTCTCTGTACTTCTTGCTTTCTACTATACTATATATATATGTGTGAATATGGAACTAGACTATGATACAACAACAATAAAGTAGATGTGAAATAAATAAATAAATAAATAAATAAAAAGAGTGTGAATTTGAGAAAGATAGATAGATTGATTCACAAAGACAACAAACCTCAAAAGACATTCAAAGGTGTTTGAAAAAAAAAAAAGATTTTTTTTTCTCATAAAAGGTTTGTTTCAGGAAGATAAGGATGACAAACTTGGATATATATCGATGATCGTCTCTGACGTTAAATCGGTAAAGTAGTATTATTATTTATTGTCGTCCTAAAGTTCTCAAATATGTTTGTCATAAATAAGATATATACATCTTATCCTATCTATCTATCTTGTTTGTAGTTCATTTATCTCTTTTCATGGATATTCAACAAGCATCACAATGAACTCAAGAGTTGGGTGGGAGAGGATTTGAGTTTTTTTTCTTTTTTTTTTTTTTTTTTTATGATCATTGAAGTGACTATGAAGGGTGGATGCCTTTGATGATCAGTAAGAGAGAGAGAAAGAGGAGATAACGACTACTATCATTTCATCCTATCTTTTCATCATCGTTCCACATACCTATATACATTATATAAGAAATGAATACACCAGTTTTTGTATTAAGTAGGTTCAACTATATAGATAGATAACAACAAGAAGATCATTCATCAATATCGATATCAATATCATCAATATCTTTCGTTTGAAACGAAAGTTAATAGTTATGAATGATTGAATGAAAGAAGATAATAGGATTAAAGAGATTGTTTTCAGATATATATATACTAACTATATTGTTACCAAACTTCTTAATCTATCCAACTCTATCTATCTATTTTAGATACAAATGCAAAGAGAGAAAATCATAAAGAAGCTCAAAAGGGCATTTTTATGGCAGTGAAAGCAGTAGCAAGTATAATCAAGACATGTATGGGCCCAAAGGCAATGTTAAAGATGATTTTGGATCCAATGGGAACGACGGTTGTTACCAACGACGGTAATGCCATTCTCAGAGAGATGGACGTGACACATCCCGCTGCAAAGAGTATTATTGAATTGTCGAGAGCACAAGACGAGAATGTTGGCGACGGCACAACATCGGTCGTTATATTGAGTGCAGAGGTGTTGTCGGCTGCCGAACCCTTGATCGAGAAGCTTATACACCCAACACAGATCATCAAGGCCTACAAGATGGCTTTGGACGACGCACTCCAATTTATGGATCAATACAGCGTGCAAGTCGACACCAAGAACAGACAAGAGCTGCTCAAGGTGATCCAATCGGCGATTGGCACCAAGTTTATCGCCCGTTGGAGCAATTTGATGTGCGGTTTGGCTTTGGACGCCGTGCAAACAGTGCACATCCGCGAGGATGACCGTGAGGAGATTGATATCAAGCGTTATGTGCGTATCGAGAAGATTCCCGGTGGCGATATTGCCGACTGTCGTGTGCTCAAGGGTGTCTTGTTGAACAAGGACGTCACACACGCCAAGATGCGTCGTATGATCAAGAACCCCCGTATCATCCTTTTGGACTGTGCCCTCGAATACAAAAAGGGTGAGTCGGACACCATGGTCGACATCACCAACGAAGACGACTTTGCCCGTCTCCTCCAGATCGAGGAAGAGTACGTCGAGCGTATCTGCAACGACATTATCAAGTTGAAGCCAGACCTCGTCTTTACCGAAAAGGGTGTGTCGGATCTCGCCCAACACCACTTTGTCAAGAAGGGCATCACCTGTCTTCGTCGTCTCAAAAAGTCAGAGAACAACCGTATCGCCCGTATCTCGGGTGCCACGATTGTCTCGCGTACCGACGAGCTCCAAGAAGCCGACGTCGGTACCGAGTGCGGTCTCTTTGAGATCCGTAAGATTGGTGACGAATACTTTACCTTTTTGGAGGAATGCAAGAATCCAAAGGCTTGCACTGTCATTCTCCGTGGTGCTTCCAAGGATCTCTTGCACGAAGTCGATCGTAACCTCCAAGACGCCATGAGCGTTGCCCGTAACATCCTCCTCGATCCACGTCTTGTCCCAGGTGGTGGTGCCATTGAAATGGCCATCTCCCAAGCTCTCTCTAACCGTTCCAAGTCGATCGAGGGTATCCACCAATTCCCATACAAGGCCGTTGCCAACGCCCTCGAGGTCATCCCACGTGTACTCAGCAACAACTGTGGTGCCAACACTATCAAGTTGCTCACTGAACTCCGTGCCAAACATGCCACCAACCCCACCGCCAACTACACTTGGGGTGTCGACGGTGACAAGGGTGTCATGGTTGACATGACTCAACTCGGTATCTGGGATACTCACTCTGTCAAAGTCCAAACTTTAAAGACTGCCATTGAATCTGCTTGCACTATGCTTCGTGTTGATCACATTGCATCCGCTGTTTTCCAAACAAGGTGGAGGTCATGGTCACTAAAAGAATTAAATAAAAAAAAAATAGATCCTATAAATAAACAAAAAAAAAAAAAGAGAAAAAAAAACAAACAAAACAAAACAAAAAATTATTACTCTAAATCACATCTATGAATGTCTTTTTGATTTCTTTTATATATTTATATTTTATTTATATTCTTAAGTTCTATCATTATATATTATACATTTTTATAGGGGGTTATCTGATATATTTGTTATGAGTTCCCTTTGCGATACAAACACCAGAGGTATTTGATATGGTGGTTTCAGTAAAGACTAGTTTTTTACCAATTTTATATACATTGGAAACAATTGTAATTGGTTGGCCCAATGGTGCAGCAGTTGCATAGTTTATAGAAAGATCTATACTAAAACTTTGTTTGGTATCATTGGTAAATAAAACAACTGCATTTGAACTTACAACATCTAAATTGAAAATAAAAGTAGTGTTAAAGAATTGATTGATTGTTTGTTTTCTATTATGTTAAAACATACCACAAAGAGATGCAATGATTCCACCATGAAGAGTATTTAGCAAGTTACAAAATTCCTTTGGAACTACCATTACATAGGTTAATTGATTCTTTTTAAAGTCGATTGTTTCTAGGGACAATTGATCACAAATGGTTCTTTCATAGCACACATTGGATTCCATTGATTCCATAAATTTGACAAGTGATGATTCGTATCTTTCCATGTCTCCGTCATTTTGGAGAATGATATTGGCTTCCATTGATGGCATTTTTTAAAAAGGATGAGAAGGAGGTTTTTTTTTGGAAAAACAAAAAAAGTGTATCGAGTTGGTTATTGTTGTTGGGTTTAATAAATTAATTATTTGGTTGAACTTGTCGAATAAAAAAAATAATGGCTGGTATTTAAATGTTTTGGATGGGTTTCCAATCATCGTATTTTCCCTTGACGACCATCCCTTCAAGGGTTGAAATCGGATTTGATCTTGTTTTAATTGAAGAAAGTAGAATCTGACTAAAAAAATTAAAATTGTTGGGATATTTAAGTAATAATTAACTGGTCAATGGTCCAATAGGTGGAAAGTGATTTACACTTTCTGATAGACAATCCAATAGTCCATAAATAAAAAGGAATAATAAAAGAGAGTGGTTCGGCAATCGTCAATCTACAGCTGTTTAAAATTGTCCGAACCAATGTATTGTCGAAAGTCGGCAACAACAAAGGTGTGTTTTATGTGCAAGAGATAAAAAAAACAAGTATTATTCAATGTGAATTCGAGTAGTCGATTCCAAGAGGAGTATATTTAACAATTATATCAGACCCTCTCTTGTTTTTCATCTACTAGTTAAAGAGAATAGAGAGAAAAGAGAAAGAGTGAGTTACTATTGACAATATTGGTCAGACTGACTAGAGATCTTGTTTTAGTTCAAATAGTTGAATTTTAAAAAAAGATTCAAAAAGAAGAAGAAGATTAAAATAAACGGTGTAGAGAGAGAGAGAAAGGTAGAAGATGAAGTGCTACTTGTCTGTATCTAGAATAAGAATAATAATAATCCTATGTACGGTATTGAAAATGGATTGACAATAATATAATCCCAATTCCAATTCTTCGCCGGCAAGTACAAACTATAATAAACAATGAAGATGTGTATGACCACCCATCCGTAGAGTAGAATAAAATCTAAAGAAGAATAAGAAGAAGAGATGAAGCATCTACCATTCACATTGCCAAGTTTGACCTGTTCTTCACCTAGTTGTACAAAATATAATGTATTCAGTCTTCTTTTTATCTTAATCTTATTCCTCCTCTCTTCACTTTGATCTTATCCACTATAATAATAGTTATTATAATGTCAATGTTTTTTTCTTTCACATTTGTAGTATTTCCTCTCTTCTCTGCTCTCCTCTCCCTGAGAAGAATCATGTAATATTACTATTTATCGTTGAGAGAGTAACTATTAATTAAAAAGAACATTGATGAAAATAAAGTACTGACAGTGAGCAAGAGAACATGAGGAGTTGGTTTTTTTTTTTATTTTTTTGAACTTTTTTTCATCATCCAATTGAGCTTCCCTCTCTCACTTTGTGTCATGTTTGTGTTTCTACTGTATGTTTAAATCTTATTCTTACTTATTCATTCTACATGTATATATTTATCGAGGACTAGTCGATTCATCTGCTACCCATTATAACAACTACTGACATCACACTCACAACAACCGAGAGAGTAGCAGCATATCACACTGACATCACATCACATCAACCAAACCATCACCACATTACACAGTTTGTAGTAAGCTAGCTTATAGTATTATTGCATTTTTTACTTTAATAGACAACTACGACGAATCATACATACATACATACATACATAGATAAGATAGATAGATAGATAGATATATACATACATCACACACACATGATCGAATCTTGTTTCTTCTATACACCACCATATAAATAGAATAGCATAGCATAGCACAGAACATATTATATTATATTATATATTTGTATATATAAATATACCATTTAATCAATATGAGTAACGAAGAGAGTAAGAGAGTCGGACGTAAGGGTATTGCGCGAAAGGCGCTGCCCAAGCAGATGCTCTTGACAGAGAAATCTCCTACCATCTCATCGACAGATGTGGCTGCTGACCCTTTTGGCGCCTACCTGTTTACCAGCGCACCTCCTCCTCCGACGCCGGGCGGCACAGCTACTGCGCCCAAGGCAGCAACTCCGAGCATCACATCCTCATCATCATCCTCGACAACTACTACTTCGTCTCCGCAACCATCGTCTTCATCGTCGGCAACAGTAGCCGTCCAGAATGACAGCAATCACACAGAGAGTAATAGTAGTAGTAGTAGCAATACTACTAGTACTAGTAATAGTAGGACAGCAACAGTATCAAACAATAATAATAATAATAATATCATTTCCACCACCACCACAACAAAGTCATCAGCCATATCAAACACTCTTTCACCAAGAGGAGCACCTATCAATACGATCCCACAATCGCCCTCCTCGTCTTCTATTTCCTCTGCTTCATCGAGCTCGATGTTGTCGTCTCGCTCCTCTCCACTAGCGTCTCCACCCATGCTTTTGTCGTCGCCTAATGCCGCCGGCGGTGCAGGCAGTCATCATCACACCTCTCATCCACCTCCTCACCACTCTCAGTTACCAAAACTATTGCTCGACTCTGAGATACTATCGAAACCGAGCAACAGCACCACCTCCACTAGTTTATCATCGACGACATCGACCATCCCAATCACCCCAAAAGAAGAACCAACGACCACTACAACGACAACTACTAGCAATAGCAGTACCACAACCACTACAACCACAACCAAAACAGAAAAGAGTCATCATCATCATCATCACCATCGCAAAGGTGATGATCGTAAAGGTGGTAGTGATGACCACCACAACAACAATAGTAGTAGCAGCAGCAGCAGTAATAGTCATCGTTCAAAAGGTGGTGATGATCACCATCATCATAAAGAAGAACCCACACCAACACCAACTCCAGGCAAGGTAAGAAACAACAGTAATAATTCAACTTTTCATACACTTGTACGATATCCTAACATTTCTTTTCTTTCTTTTATTATTACTATCTTTTTATTTATTTAGAGAAAAACAGGAAAGAATTCAAGAAAACATGCAGCAAAAACAACTACAGTTGAAGTTGAGGAAGAAGAAGATACATCTACCATTAGATGTATATGTACGAATAACATTGATCAAGGTTTGATGATTCAATGTGAAAAGTGTGACGTTTGGCAACATGCTATCTGTTTTGGCATCCAAAAGGAAAACTCTGTGCCCAAACACTACTATTGCGAACTGTGTGTGCCACGTCTGATCAATTGTTCGTGCGGTAAAAAGGATTCAGTGGGTAAGATTGCCGAGTGTGTCATGTGCAAGACTTGGCAACACCATACCTGCTTTAATTCCAAGTTGTCAGAGCCCCACATTTGCACGAGTTGTGAAAAACTAGATAAACTTGAAAATAATTTGGACTTGGAACTCGCCTCTAACAGTAGCAACAAGGACTCTCCGAAAACCACTACCAGTTCACCCACTCTTTTGTCGCCCGTTGCCTCGGCTGTTGTTCATCAACAACACCATCATCACCAGGACTCTAAAAAGCATGATAAAAAGGAAAAGAAACAAACAAAGGCTACTGCTGCTGCCGCTGCATCTGCCATAGCCACACCTACGCCTAAAAAAGAAGAAAAAGAAGAGCAAGACCAACCAATGGCAGAGGACGATGAAAAAGAAGAGGAATCTCCATCACTGACCAATGCATCCACTGCAACACCAACCACCAAGCCAAAGAAAAGAAAGTCGACTTCGTATGGTTCGAGAAGAAAGAAACCCGCCAAGAAAACAACAACAACAACCAAGGACAAGGAGGAGAAATCAACAACTGCCGTCGGAGACGAAGATGCCAATGAAAGCGATCACAGTGGCAACAATACACCAATGCTAGTCGATTCAGACACCAACTCACCCATTCCAAAGCTATTGGATATCGAAGCAATCAAAGAGACCTTTGTCTTTATCGAAGATGTCCGTCCAATCCAAGCAATCAAGGATACTCTTGGTCGTATAGAGTATCCCAAAGAATCTGTAGAATTTTTAAATTCTTTTGAATTATTTTCTTATATTGAATCATTAGTTATTAGAGAAATGATTTCTGTAAGTAAAAGAAAAAAGAAAAAAGATAAATGATGGTTCGAAATGATTAATTTCTTTTTCTCTCTCTTTTTTTTTCTTTTTTTTTTAGGATGATTATTGTAAAAGAAAATTAAGAATAGAAAAAAAACAATATCAACAACCACATCAAGAACAATGTATACATAAATTAAATATCGATGATAACTTGTTGTTTCAAAAGTATAGTTGGGTATACGTAGATACATTGGATGAATCACAAAGAAACAATATTAAAAAGGCAATGTCAAGCCTGTTGGATCTGTCAGAGGACACGATCACTGGCTACATGATAGAATACGCACACGAGATTATAAAACAAACAAACCAAAACGAAAAGGACCAACAACAAGAACCATTATTTAATCATTACAATTGGAAACAAATCACTGACAACCAAATCATTGGCAACAACATTGCTAATAGAATCGGAAAACTAAAGGAAAAGGAACAGCTACAGTATTGTAATGGTAATTTCTCCTTGTTGCAAAACAAATACAAAGATTTCAAGCAACAACATCATCAAAAACAAGAATCACCAAATACCTCCTCCTCGACAACTACCTCTACCACCACAACTACAACCTCTACCACCACAACAACAACCTCTACCACTACTGCTGCCGTTGCTGGTTCACCATCATCTTTAATTTATTTAACACCATCACTCAAAACAATCCAATCCGACCGTGTTAGATCACCGACCAAAGAGATTGTTATACCTAAACTTTTGACCGCCACCGAAGTAGATCGTGGCGTATTGTTGGAAGAGTTTGTCGGTTTGATATCATGTCCACAAACCGAAAAGGCAGACATTCGATCATCCTGGTCTGACGGATCATCGTTTTTGTTTTCACCAGTCGATCCCTATGTCCTCTACCTTGGTGGAAATGGCCTGACAACCACCGAGTGGCAAACTGGATGGAGAGGATGTGATTCTCTTGTCTGTATCGACACTCGTCAACAAGGTAGTAGCTCCCGGTTTGTCCATCGTTCATGTACACCAAATAGTAGGATCGTATGTCTGTTTGGTGATTATAACAAGGTTGATGGAGATATCAACAATAGCAACAACAACAACAACAACAACAAGCAAGAAGTCAAATTACATGCAATGATCCAAACCAGAGTTTGTTTACCAAAAGACACCGAGGTTACCATTGCCTATGACTACCCGTATCGCGCACTAAAGACACCCGTACAGTGTCCATGTGGAACGTCAACTTGCTCCGTACAGATTTGGTTCAATGAAAGAGCTTCACTAGCCATAAAGATGTTGGAGTATTTGGGCGTGCCAGTTGACTCTGCCACTGCCAAGCGAGAGCGCGAAAGAAAGGAACAAAAGGAAAGAGAATGGATGAATCAATCGTGCGGTTCAATCATGTCGGGAATCAACAAGCGACGCTCTCAACAGTCGCAACAACTCATCAAAAAAACAAAAAATCGACGATGACATTGTCAGTAACAGCAGCACAACTTCCACCTCGCCTTCGAATAGTCCAAACAGTGAATCGAAATTGGCCGGTAAAAAAGCATGGTTACAAGGATTTAAGCAACAAACGACCCCTACCAAATCCGAAGCATCGCCTGTCGGTGGCAGTGGCGGTAAAATCTTTGATACAACTCCCATTAAAATGGATATTATCAAGGAGGAAAAAGAAAGTACATCGACCACTACTACAACCACTACCACCACCACTTCATCGACTCCATCCAAACCACTACAACATCAACATCATCATCATCAACAACATGAAGAAGAAGAAGGTTCGATTCCATCATTAGATTATCACCGTGAATCGCATCATCAACCTTCACGTCCTCCACTTAGAAGAAACAATATCGGTGGAGAACGTAATAGTTTAGAGAGAGGAGGAGGAGGAGAGTATAATAACCGTGGTGGTGATGGAAGAGACTATCGTGATAGAAGAAATAATAGCGATCCAAACATGGTCGATAGAGACTATGCACGCGAAAATGGTCAACCACCACCACCACTATCAAGATCCATGAGTGGTTACACCCCTTCATCACCTGTTCAGTCACCACTATTGCGTGGAGGATTGGCCAATTCAATGGGAGGGGCAGGTACCTACACTGCAAGAGAAGCTCAAGACTCTTATCGTTTGAATAGAGACAGTCGCGAAAGAGAACCAGAACGCGATCGCGATGGCCGAGGTGAATGGGACAACCGACGCGAACACCCACCTGTCGGAGGCAAGCCAGACTACCGCGACAACCGTGACTTTAGAGATAGAAGCTGGGGAGGTGCTCCATACCCCGATAGAGACGGCGGAGGTGGAGGTGGCTATGGAGACACTCCAAACCGAAGAGGGTATCCACACAGAGGCAATTTCAATCGCGACCGTAGTCCACCACACGGTGATTGGGAAGCACCCTCTGGCCAGAGCTCCACACCAACCTCATCCAATGCACCACCACCACCAGTCCCCACCACACCCAATACTCCTTACCGAGGTGAAAAGCCATGGCAACGAGGAGGAGGTGGCGGCGGGTACAGAGGCGAACATCCCTACGAACGACCACCCTATCGTGGAGGATATGAAAATCGTGGTGGCGGTGGAGACCGAGGCTGGGAAAGACGCGGCGGCTACCAACAACAACAACAACCACAACAACCACAACATCCAAGAAACGGATTTTCACCACCATTACACTCACAACCATTCAACAACGACGAAAAAGAAGGCAACAAATCACCACCATACGAAACACCTACAAAATCCAATTTTTATAACCGAGGAGGAGGAGGAGGAGGAAGAGGAGGACATCATCCATCACATCCAGCTTCACCACCAAATAACGATACTAATTTTAACCAAGATAACCAAGACGATTATAACAGAAGACAACAGAATAATAATTATATAAAAAGAAGATAAACCCCCAAAAAACACACAATTATAATAAACTTGTAAAATTTTTATTATTTATAAACCAAATATTAGAAAAGAATCCACCATTTTATTTATTTCAATTATTTGCTGTTTGATGTTTTTGGATAATAGTTGTAATTAAACTTGTTTTCTTTGGTATTTGATTCAATAGTTGGATGTATTCAATGTTGTGAGGAGAGGATGATGTAAATGATACAAGTGATAATTGACCAATCTTATCAATGGCGTCGTCATCATTGATATTTAATTGTACAAAATGGTTGATTAATTGTTTAAATTCGTTTACTGTAATAGAGGCTGATTTCTTTTGAATGGTTTCCAATATATTTGAATGTAATCTTGCTACCAATAAATGTTTTGATGATTTATCGCTAAGATTACTTTTATCGTTGTTTAGATGTATGGTTTCTAAAATTGATAATTTAGCCAATTGACTTGTACTATCTCTAATGAGGGCAATGCCACTGGATGGTATCCAATATTCTATCAAAATGACCAATAATTTGTTTACAACCAATGAAGAATCGATACCGTCCACTTGAATCATCTCGTCTGCTGGAATTGGATGAATTAAATAATAAACCATGATATCCAATAGTAAGAGTGACAATGGATAACAATGTCTTGGTAACTCTTCAAATACAATTGAATCATTTAAATATAAATGATCGACCAATATGAAATTAGATAACCAATATTTTAATTTTCTAGCATTTGGAGACCATTGTAACTTTTCTTTTTTTAAATCAACCATTTTATCCAATTCTTGAACCGATGTTGTTAAAGGGTTGAAATCATTTAAAAATAATATTTGATATAATGATGATATTTCTACCTTTTCATCCGTACGTTGATCTTCCGAAATCAATATATTTGGTTTATCTTGCTTCTATAAATTAATAAATTTGATTAATAAAACCATTGATAAGAAGAAAATGGTAGGGGATTGAATTTACTTTAAAAGAATTTATCCAATTTGAAGTGATAAATAATATATTGTCAAGTTGTAAACTTAGTGAAAGTGATAATAATGATCCTAAAAATCCAATTCCATTCTATAAAGATAAGTTTGAATAAGTAAGTTATTTGAATTTAGATATCCAAACATTTGTAGCATACATTAATAATAAAAGGATTATCTTCAAACATTAAAAATGAGAAAAAGAATTGGAACAATCTTGATGAATAAGGTGTCTCTGGTACATTTAATAAAGATGATAATGATGTTATAATTGATAATCTTTCAGGTGATTCTTGATCTCTACTAATTAAACTATAAACCAATTTAATAAATTCTAAAAAGTTGTAAGAGGGAGAGTAAGTTTTCTCTTTAAACTTGTAATGTATTTATGTTGTCCTTATTCTTCTTCTTCTTCTTCTTACTCCATATTTTACTATCTTTTGATAGTATATTAAATATATCATTTGTATTTGTAGAGTTTGAATCCAAGACAACTCCAAAAATGATCATCAAAAGATCGATTGATTCCTCAACCGATGAATGTTTCTCGAGTAATGAAACGATTTGATCGAATATATCGTCGTTGAGTATATCTTGACTTTCTCCATTACCATCATTACTACCAATAGTTAATCCTGATTTCGATATCTTTTCAATGATATGTGCTTTGAGATCATCTTTCTTTTTAGAGCCATTAGTATTATTATTATTATTATTGTTATCATCTCCATCAAGATATGACTCTAGTAATCTAACCAATGCTGAACCACTAACATTTGAAGAATGTTCTACTTCTTCATGTTCTCCTTCTTCTAAATCGCTCATCTTCTTATTTGCATGTACAACAAATATTAATCTATACAAGACAATCAAAACTTTGGTGTGTTTAATTTAGTTCAAAAGATGAAGTTCATTCAACATTTTTGTAACATAAATACTATGTGTGTTGTGGGTGATGTGAAAAATTAACTATTGTTCCAAACATTGTAGAAAAAATATACTACTCAACATCAATGATAGAATATTATTATTTCTACTATTACTATTTCCATCTATTATCTGTTCATAAATATTTCATTCTATTGATTTATTAATTCAAGTATTATTATTTTAAAACTATATTAGAGAGATTAGAAAAAAAAATGATGATGGAACCAGTGGCAGTACTACCAAATCCAGGAATTGGAATTCCAGCAATCGATAAATTAGAAACAGGTGAATTGGATTTAAATATGCCACAAGAAGAACAACAAGATAAAAAGAATGAATCTTCCTCATCATCACCAACAAGTACAGATATTTCAAACGATGAACCATCCTCATCATCATCATCAAATGTTTCATCCACCTCTAAAAAATCAACCAACAAAAAAGAGCGTAAAACAAAAAAGGAGAATGTTGTAAAAGAAAAAAAAGAAAAAGTAAAACCAGAAAAAGTTGTAAAAGAAAAGAAAGTAAAACCAGAAAAGGTTGTTAAAGAAAAGAAAGAAAAGGTTGTAAAAGAAAAGAGTAAAGGAAAGGAAAAGGAAAAAGCAAAGGGTAAAGGAAAGGAAAAGGATGTTCCAGTTGAAGAGAAAGAGGAAATACCACATGAAGAAGATGGTGAACCAAATGTAGAAGAGGAACAAGAAGATACAAGAGGCAATCCAAAAGAAAAGAATAAAAAGAAAAAACAATCAAAAGAACCAGAAGAAAAACCAATGACTCCAGAAGAACAATCAAAAGACCTATGTGACCAGGCAAATATTCTTCTCTGGAAAAAAAACTATGCCCAAGCTTTGGAATTTTTTACACAAGCTCAACATTTAAATCCATCAAGTTATGAAATTCCATTATCAAAAGCTGGTATGTTTGTTAGCTACTTGTAAATATTATATTGTTTGTATTTATACTTATATTTTTTGTTTTATTTTGTTTTTTTTATAGCTGCATTAAATAGTTCTGGTAGATATGAAGATGCAATCGCTGAATGTCAAAAATCATTAGATTTGGCACAGGAAATGAAAGGAATGGTGAACCAAAAGGGATATCTTCCAGACAACCAAGATGAAGTAAAAGAGGAGATCATACTTCGTATTGAACAAATGATGTCACGTTCATGTGCTAGAATGGCAACATCTTTTATGGGAAATGGTGATTACAAACAAGCTCGTCAATACATTGTCCAGGCAATTGAAACATTCAACAGTGCAGAGTTTGAAGAGATGCTAAAGATGGTCAATGAACTCATCGGACTCTCTTCAACCGAAGTAACAGCACTCTACAAAAGTGCCAAGGATATGTATCGTGCCCAAGACTACCAAGAAGCCATTAGACTGTACACTGAAGTATTGCAAATCGATCCAAACAACAACATTATCCTCGCCAATCGTGCCATGTGTTACAACAAGTTGAAACAGTATCCAATGGCCATCAAAGACTGTGACCTATCCATTAAAATCCAAAACAAGGACAAGGAACACCACTACCTACCATACTATGCCAAAGCCAATGCTCTATACGCCTCGAAACAATATGCAGAAGCTCTTGCTCTCTACCAAGAAGCTACCAAATATTGTCAACAAGAAGGACTAATGGCTAAAAAGATTGAAAAATGTTTATCTTTACTTGTATGTTTTTAAAATTAAAATGTATTAAACTAACTCTAATATTAACACTATCTATCCATCCAATCAATTTAAATAGGATACATCCACACAACAAAAACAACAACCAAAGAAACAAGTTGCCAACAAGAAGGTACCACCACCAACAAAAAAGGTAGCTCCAAAAAAGAATAGATCATCTATTCGTCCAAGTGCAACACCATCATCTACACTTCAAGAAAGAGGACAATCACCAAAACCAGAGATTGGAGAAGAAAGTCCAAATTTGAAAGTATCAAATACTTTGAGTAACACTCTTAGTATGAATGATGATATCGATTTTGATGTTGATGACTCTTCTTATCTACCATCCACAAGTACAACTACCACTACTACCAACACCAATTTCAATGGTATGCAAGATGAAGAGGAAGTAGATAAAGATGATGAAGTTGAAGAGGAAGAAGAACTTGAACTCAATGTACAAGGAGAGGAATATGAAGAACTAAGAATCAGTCATAACAATATCGTCCAAGATGATCAAGATGAAGAAGAGTTGGAATCGGAACCAGAAGAGGAAGAAGAATATATCGTTGATAAGTTGGAGGAAGATACCGTTGATGATCGTATTGAAGAACTTCCAGTACCTTCAATGTAATCTAATTCCTCAATATTGCCTACTATTATCACCACATTATCATTATAGTTGTACTCTAAACAAATATATTTATAAATAAAATATATCTATCCATATCATATATATTTCTATGCTGTTCGTTTTGACCGTGCAAAAATTTCAATGGGTCATTTCATGATTTTCACTTTTTTTTATGTTTATTTTTTTTTGCACCCGACGAACCGAATGAGGTGATGACCTATATCTCAACAACCAATACAACTTTTTTTGTGTCGTTTTTAACAGGATCATATAAATAATCTAGTCAATCATGGGTCGTATGCATAGCAATGGAAAGGGTATCAGTGCCTCTGCCTTACCTTACAGCCGTAAGCCACAATCATGGGTTAAGACTTCTCCATCTGAAGTCTGCGAACACGTTTGCAGATTAGCCAAGAGAGGTAAGAAAGAAAGAAAGAAAGAGTTAATACATCACAACTCGAGATAGTTACATATACTTTGTTTATTTATAGGTTACACTCCATCCCAAATCGGTGTCATGTTGCGTGATGCCCACGGTATTGCTCAAGTCAAGAACATCACCGGTTCCAAGATTCTCCGTATCCTCAAGGTCAACGGTCTTGCCCCAAAGATCCCAGAAGATCTCTTCCACATGATCAAGAAGGCTGTCACCATCAACAAGCATTTGCTCCGTGCCAAGAAGGACAAGGATGGTAAGTTCCATCTCCGTCTCGTTGAATCCCGTATTCATCGTTTGACTCGTCCATACAAGAAGAGAGGAGTCCTCCCACCAAACTGGAAGTACGAATCTGCCACCGCCTCTACCCTCATTGCCTAAAGCGTTTGGTAATCATCGAAGCCGTGCATCAGTGTCGCCTAGTAGTCGTCTGTCTACTACCAAAAATAAAAATAGAAGGTTACGGGGTGATATTAAAACAAAAAAAACACAATAACAGCATCTATCCTATGGACGCTCGTTTAAAGGTTTTATTTTTTTAATTCACTTGTTAAAACTGTACCTTGCTATTGGATCGGTCAGTAGACAAATCTAAACATCCATCATTGGTTATGTTTGGTTGGTTTGTTTGTCTACGACCCACGACCGATCCAAGAGATTTATAATTGATGAATCAATTGTAATTGGCCACATGTAATGTTTCTAAAATACCCACCGATGAAAAGGTGTTACTATCCACGTAGTTGCTTTGCACCGTGTGAGTAAATTGGTTTATTAAACATTCTTGTCGGTAAACAAACAATTACATTGATATCATATTTTAAATCTCAACTCTATCTATGGGTACACCCATTTGGGTATCCCTTTTTGAAAGGTACATTTATATATCCTCACTCCATTTCCATCCATACATACATTTATTTATATTTTAATGGTTTACATATCATATATCTTATATTTAAATGTGGCGGTTGATTATTTAGTGTTGGAGTATCTTTTCAAATAGAGTTTAAATAGCAAGGAATAGGATTTTAACAAGTGTAAGTATTGTTGATATTGTTTTTGTATTTGTATTTGTTTTGGGTTGTTTCTTTTTTCTTTTAGCTTTCTTGGATGAGTAATTTACCTTTTAAATAAATCATTACTATTATTACAATAATATTTTATCTTCTTATCTTATTATTTTCTTCATTTTATGTGTTTATATAATGATATCCATTATGGATAGGAACATATTTATACAGTTTAAAAAAAGGGTAATTTTATTATTCATACTTTTCTTACAATGTGTCGATGAAAGAAAAGAGGGTAGTTGGGGAAATATTTGATTGATACATTAAAATATGGATGGATGGGAGTTAGGGTTTATGTCTTATTGGTTATTTGTGTTGTTTAAAGGGGTTGGTGATGTATTCTCTCTTTTAAAAGAGGTACATCGTTGTTATAAAATATGTCAATGTGTTGATGATGTTGTATATCTATTTATCTATATCTATCTAGAGGTTATTTATTGGTCATCAGATTCTTGACCAAGATCGGTGGCCTTGATGAAATCATCCAATTCCTTGGCATCGAAAAGGTGGTATACCAACTTTCCATCTTTACGAGTGATATAAGAGAATTCTAATTTTTCAGAGTTGATATTTGAACGATCCATAGTCTTGGTGAGTACCTTTAATGCCAACTCTAAAGCTTCTTTTAATTGCATATCTGGTTTATAACTTGATCTCAATACTGATTGTGCAACCTAAATTAAATAAATTAATAAATATTAATAAATTAATATAAATATATATAAAATTAACAAAACAACCAACTAACAAGTCATTATTATTAATTAGTTTCTTCTTGTTTACTACTCACTTGACTATTTTCACCACCGATAGAGGTAGCCTTCCAACCAGCAAAATTACCAGATGGATCGGATTGGTAGAGTTGGAAACCAAATTGAGAGTCCCAACCGGCATAGAGGAATGAGACACCAAATGGACGAAGACCACCATATTGAGTGTAACCTTGTTTGGTGTCACATATTTGAGATACGAGTTGTTCGACTGGCATTGGTTCTTGATAGGTGTAGAAATAACGCTGTGATGACAATCTAGCGTGATTGATAAGTATATTTGCGTCGGATGTGATACCTGCAACAGCACAGACTACGTGATCGTCAATCTTGAACATCTTTTCAGCTTGTGTCTTTGAAGAGTCGAGCAACTTGGCAATAGTCTTTTTCTCTGCTGCCAATACAATACCATCTGAAGCTAAAATACCAACAGTTGCACCAGCATGACGAATAGCTGCCATAGCATACTCTACTTGATAAATTCTACCTTCTGGTGAGAAAATAGTTGTTCTTTGATCGTATCTTCTTGCCTAAATTAATAGATAGTAGGTAGGTAGGTAGGAGCAGTGGTTGATTGATTAGTGAGTACAAATGATCATTTGTGTTTGTTGTGTTTGATATTAATATCAAACACATAGTATAGCAGAGCAGTATGTTGTTGATATCCGATTAATCACATACCATCTTTTATTTCTATATATCTTTCTTTCTTTCTTTAATTCTTATTATGTACAACAAATAATATTAAAAAAATTTAATTAATCAATTTGCTGAAGATCATCACAACCCACCCTTTTTGAAATGAACAAAAAAAATAGAAAAAAAAAGTTGTTGAAGTTCACACAAATCCCTGCGCTTTGTATTCTTTCTGTCTAGTAAAGAAAGTTAATAATAAAAGGTAGTTTCAAAGTTTGTATCAATCAATTTTAATATACATTTGAAATTGATCACTATTTTTTGAAGAAAATTACCTCACCTCAAAGATAACAGGATAAGAGAACCGATCATTTTAAAAACCGTTTTATTGTTATAATATAACAATTCATATTATTATATTGTAAAATCATTTTGCAAGAGAATGTCTACAAGTTAGCAAAATAGAACCTATTAATTAGTCTCTACATAATCAAATAGGTTCAAACTCTGACAAAAGTATTATATTGGGTACCAAGCAGTCACTATTATTGATACCATCCCAAATTCCTTGTTATCGGACTGGGTCGTTTCAAATTTATGAATGTTGTGTTTTAAATGTACGGACATCATTTAAAAATCTGAAACGACCCAGTCTTTGGTTCTCTCTATATATCTGACTAAATAAACTGTCCACTCAAAATATCCTTAAAAAATGAGACAACTACTTGTTTCACTTTCATTCAATATCAATACTCGATGCATCTCTACAGTCAGTCAGTCGGCTACATTATTATTAGCCAATCAAAGAAGAATTTCTTCGGATAATTGTAACCTGATCAATAATGTATTGCAAGGTTATCATAAGTAAGTCTTACCAGACAATAAAGTTGTTGTTTTTGTTGTTTTTGTTGTTTTTGGATCACTGATCACTGATTCTTCGGAAGAGACGTTCTATACGCTTGTGACCATAGTTTTTATTTTTCAAGAATCAGATGAGGGGGTGGGCTGACGTCAGACTCATAGGCGATGCATCCATCCCAACCATACCATGAGCTCGCGAGGGATTTTGTTTTTTCAAAAAACAAAATATAAAATTGCAAATATCTTCTTGTTGATTGTTGTCACAACAAGACCTCCCTGCTGATCTAAGAGCTTTTCTACTCCTACTGTCCAACTATAGTTATCTCAAGAGGTTAGGATTCAGTGATCGTACGACAACAACAACGACAACTACAACGACCCCCAGCACACCATCAGTAGTATAAGAACAAAGAGTGAGAGGAAAATAGGAATAATCAGAATTAAGAAGAACCGGTTTTCTTATTCTTATACCAACACACCCATCACCCCCAACCAACAGTCATTGTTGAAATCATTCATTGATTAATCTTCTATATAGTAGTTATACAACACTATATTTATATTTATATTTAAATTTAAGAATTAATTAATCGAGCGACGAATAGAATAGATAGTATAATCATCAACATAAAAGAGATCAACATATATATAATAGAATCACTTTTATAAATATAGAATAATATAAATAATATATACATACTATATATTTATATATTATACATTTTAAAAGATGGCTGTAAGTATACTTGTAGTAATAGATCATTTGATCGTCGGACAGGGGGTGGTTGGGTACTCCTCAGTACTTGACTTGATGATCAACTAACTAATAGATATGTATGTTTAACTCACACACACACTCTCTCTCTACATTTCATTTACTTTATAGTTATTATATAGAATCTCAGGATCATTCGCATTCATGTCGTTTATAGGAGCGTTGTTTGTTATTGTAACGTTTCTTACGATCAAGGCATTGCGAAAGCATCCACTGACGATGGTGTTTTTCTTGTCAGTGTGTGACTTTATATTTAGCCTCAAGTTCTTGGTGACGTCGGTGTTGCCAGACTCTGAGTCGTTCCAAACCGGCTTCCCATGCTACTTGCAAGCCGGTATACAGCAGTTCTTTGGGTTGGCGTCGATCAGTTGGAGTGGTATGATCTCGTTGGACTTGATCATTACGGCACATCGTCCGTTTGGACAGACGTCCTACTACTCCAAGTTCTACCACATGTGGGTTTGGGGACTGTCTTTTGTGACCAGTGTGCTCATGTACGCATTCGGTCGTATCGGACCATCGGGTGACGGTACGTGTTGGGTCGAGCGTCAAAAAGATCCCATTCGTCTACTCTTTTTCGTTCCACTCTTGATCTACTTTTCATTGTCGATCGGGTCGCTCATCACAGCTGCCATCTACTCGGGTGCCACCAGCACTCTGTCTCTGCAGGATCGTCGTGGCATGTTACTACGTATGTGCAGCTACACACTCGTTTTCATTCTCTGTTGGATCGGGCCACTCGCCCATCGTATCGCGCAATGGTCCGGCGAGCAGGACAACCAAAACAGCCCCAACGCCTTTATGTACTGGGACGCCATCTCTGTGTCGATCCAGGGTTTCATGAATGCAATGGTTTGGCTCACCAATCCATCGTTCTTTAAGGGTTTCACCGCCAACATTCGTCGTTACCTTCCATGCAAGGGTTTGAGAAACGAAGAAAACATCCCTCTTCTTCGTTCACTCGGTGATGACTCTCAAGATCCAACTCAATTGGCTGTTTCACTTCGTAACTATGTTTTAATGTGTTGTCTAAAAGGAATTTATTTATCTGTAATATTAAATTAGAAAATCAAATCAAATCAAAATCAACTCAATCACTAACAATATTATATTATATTATATTTAGGTTGAAGAAAACAAACATATTGAAAGTTTTAGTAAATTGGGAGAGATTCCAAAAGAAGAGAAATTGTATACTGAAAAGGATTTATTCAAAGATGAATTGAATCTTCAAATATCAACCATTAAACGTCACCAAGTTAAAGATTATGATCCTAAAATTTATAGTGCAATTAGATATCTTTCAGGTATTACTCCTGATGATTATTTGGTATGAAAAACAAAACAAAACAAAACAAACAAACAAACAAACAAACAATATTCTAATTTCCCATTATTATTTTTTTTTGTCTTTATAGAAATCATTTGATGCAACAACCTTTTTCGATACATTATCAAATCAAAAATTCTCTGAAGGTAAAAGTGGTAGTTTTATGTGTTTTACACCAGACAATAGATATTTGATTAAAACAATTACTCAACAAGAATCATTATTATTAAGAAAGAAAATGTCAAAGTTTTATCAAGTATGTTTAAAGAAGGAATATATACACCGACCAATCAATCAGTTTGGGATCTAATATATTTTATTTATTTATTGTATTTTTTAGTACTTTTCTGAAAATAGAAATTCATTTTTACTTAGATTCTATGGATCTTATAAAGTTACAATGCCAAATGATCATACGGTCTATCTTGCCATCATGTCCAATGTATTTAGTAGTTCAAAGCAAAAGATTAGACGACGTTATGATCTCAAGGGTTCAAACATCAACCGTGGTGGTCGTCCAGACTATGATCCAAATACTTTGGGTTTAGATTTGGACTTTATCAACACCGAACTATATCTTCGTGTACCAAACCAATTAAAAAATACTTTCTTGGAGCAATTGGGTAGAGATAGTTCAGTATGTCACAATATAAAATATAAATCAATCAATCCATGTACTAATATTATTTTTCTCTATTTATAGTTTTTAAAATCATTAAATATTATGGATTACAGTTTATTGATTGGTATAGTACCCAATCCAAACCCACCAGGTAATCAATCAATTGGACTTGATGATTTATCAGGTTCTACGTCAACGACCGACACTACCATCAACACCACCTCACTTACAACAACAACAACAACAACTATAATAGAATCTGATTTTACAAAAGGATTTATATCAAGCGACGGAAACTTTATCTATTATATTGGTATCATAGATATTCTTCAACTTTATGACTTTTCCAAAAAGATGGAAAGATTTGTAAAGGTCTATGTCGTTCATAAAGACAAGAGTGGTATTTCAGCTGTACCTCCCGATTTCTATGTGGAAAGATTTATGAAAAGAATGTATCAAATCATTTCTCCTTCCCAAGATGTTTAGGCTAAATAATAATAATAATAATAATAACTACAACAATTATACAATTATACCATACAATATTCACCAAACAACAAACCAACCAAACCAAAAATAGTAATATCGATCGATTTTCTCAAACAACCTCTTCTTTTTTTTTCTTTTTTCTTATATATATATATACACAAACAATATCATACTTATATAAATAATATAAATATTGGATCTTGAACCATAGATTAGACTGACTGTATTCCCACCCACTGACCTATTATTATAAATATTATTGTTGTTACATATTTATTATTTGTTGGAGTCGTTGTTGTTGTTGTTTATACAAATATTACACATTAATGTTTTGTTTCTTGTTCAATCCATCCATCCATTTAATATATAATATATTGATATATATATTCCAATCAACCATATTCGTAGATTGAAAAAGAAGAAGGAATGAATGACAAAGTCCAAATGATGATAATGCATCACCATTCTAATGATTGAGACAGTTTCAATTGTCTCAAGCCCATGCAGGAGTATCTTTATCTTTTTTATCAACAGATAATGGTGATGATTGTTTAAAGGTTGTATATGATTTCTTCAAGTCACTCATAAGAGTAGTAGATCCACTTGTTAGATTTGCTTTGTGTGTTGATGGTTCAACATGTAATACATTCTTTTTTTTATCTATTGTTGATTGATTCCATGCTATTGATTGATTGATTGATACATAGATATAGTATTAGTGATATGTACGTACACACGATGATACAGTATTCTATTCTATACCTACATTCTTGAAGATATTTGTTAATTTCGATGATATTTGATGATTTCATTGTATACATTGTCAAAAATAGGAATGTATTAAATGATAAATGATCATCCACACTCAAGACATGTTTCAACTTAAATTAAATTATAAAAAAAAAAAAATGAAATGAAATGGAGACTCCAAAACTAAAACAAACGAAAGACGAGTTGGCTTATATAAAGAGGTAAATAGATAGATCTAGAATAAAAAGGAAATGTTTCAAGTATCAAATAGATTGGTTTTATCAACGATAAAGAAGAGTGGTTCCACTTCACTCTTTACAAAGTTATCGAATAATTATAGCACTTCCACTTCTACTATTTCAGGACGATCGTCCTTGTCGTCGTCGTGTGGTCATGACGGGGTTATTCAATTAAATAACAACAACAAGAATAACTACTGTAACCTATATTCAACATCCTCTTCCATTAATAGATCATCGTCATTAATGTTTAATAATAGTAACAATAACCATAATAATCAATGTAGATGTTTTAATTGTAAATCTTTATCTTCTTCTTCATCCTCATCCACTTGTTCATTCTTACCATCATCATCAAGAAGTTATAGTAGTAGTAATACAGATGATAAAGATGTAATTAACCATTTAAACTTAAGAAATGTAGTTGTTGTTGAACAAAGAAGATCAACAAAGAAATTGGAACAATTTGATCAATTGTTAACTGATCAACAACTATTACCATCTGATGCAAAGATTGTAAAATTAACTAAAAAGTATTGTATAGATATAAATATGTATATATATATATATATATATCTCTCTCTCTTTCTTTGATATTAATAATATTTAATGATTTGTTTGATTTCTAGTTCTAAAGTAGGAAAAAAGGAATATTATAAGATTACATTTCCAACAAGACTAGAAGCAATTGAATTTTATAATAGATTATGTTTGGAAAAGAAACGATTGGGAGATGAATCGATAGAGTTTCTATTCAAGATACCACATACTCAATTGGATCCAATGTATGAAATAAAGAGTGAAGAGATGCTTGCACTTGATGTGGGAGAGGTTACCAATACCGAGGTGATTGACAGTGAGGAGCAAGCTGTCGAAGCAGTCTCTAAACTATTGGATGGTAAGATGCCATGGGACGTAAAGGTATCGGATGCCGTCGTATTGGGTATGGACTGCGAATGGCCAGCACTTAGAAAGTTTTTGACAAAGGAAGACCCAAAGATCAGTTTGATTCAATTGTCAAACGGAGAATACACTGCATTGTTTAGAATTTGCAAGTTTGAAGAGATACCAGACGCACTCGTTCAACTGTTGACCAGTCGATCAATACTAAAGGTCGGTCACGGTTTGAGCAAGGATGCAAACAGACTAAACAAGGAGCAAAAGATATGTATGGATGGTGTCGACGATCTCGCATATCATCCAGTTACCTATAGATGCAACCCCGACTCGATCAACGATATGGTTGCCATGTTTTTAAACACCAATATCACAAGAAGAGCATCGGTCATTCGATCCAATTGGGGCACATCTCAAGACCTCACCCACGAACAAATCTTATCGGCAGCTCAACGCAGTCACTTTTCAAGACAACTCTATTTCAAATTACAAACTGTATCTTTTGATATTGACCTTTCTCAATAATAAATCAAAGTAAATAGATAGATAGGTAGAACAAAACAATATATATCTCCGATAAACAATGCTTAAAACTCACACAAAACATCAATTAATCAATCAAAAAAAGTTAGCAAACCAAATCAAATCAAATTAAAACCTTCACACTGACTGTAAAGGGGGGGAGGATATCGTCCCGTATCTCTTTAACATCTTGAAGATGGTAGACAGTCTGGTCTGGTCTGATGCCAATCGACATGCGATAACGATCGTCTAGATTGTTGTGATTGTTGTAGTATGATGAGTGAGGAGATGATGTTGCTTGAATGGGGCATTATCCATATAAAGTAAGTGGTAGAGCATGTTTTGAGGATGGATGGATGGATTGATGATGCTTATTGATGTATCATGTTGGTATTCACAATTCAATTCACCAACCACCGATTAAACAGCACAACACTACTCTAATCTCTAGTTAAAAACAAGTGGCACCCCACACACATTGTGTGCTTTATTTTTAGGTATGGCGGGCTAATCACCTTTTGGCAGCCACACACACACACAAACACAATTCCACACCTCACCTGTTTGATCAAACCCCCTTCCTTTGCATTTTTGGTTGGAATGCAGAGTGCACTCTACCTGATGACAATCATTTTAAATATAATCCCCACATTTATTATTATATTATTATTATATTATCAATCACACATCTAATTACCAACAAGTAAAGTAGTACTTACTTATTTGATCACACAGATAAACAACAAAAACAAATCATTTTGTTGTGTGTTGTTGTTTTTGTTAAAATATTTATATTTATTATTATTCACCTAACCCCTCACTCGCATACATATATACCATTAATCAATTCATTCATTCATTACCATCAATAATAACAACAACCAACCAACCAACCAACCAAATATAATATCGATATATCCCATTTATTTTTGATCTTCCTTTTCCTTTTATTTTCAAAATACCAAACCACTAGTTTCAGTAGTATTAGTAGTAGTGAGTAGAGTAGAGTAGAGTAAAGTAAAGTAAATCAAACCACTCTTCATTTTGTATATCATTCATTCATTATTAAAAAAAAAAACAAAACCCCAAGGTGAAGTTAAAAGTATGTATCCATCCACCCTTTTCCATCATCATCATCCTTTTCTTCCAATATATTGTTATCCATCATTCTTACTTTTTCCATCCATTTTATCTTTGGAAAATTATTTTCCGTCCCAACTTATTATTATTATTATTATTATTATTATTATTATTATTATTATTATTATTATTATTATTATTATAGGACAGTTCATTTAGAGATTGAAAACTTATCAATCTTGTTTTTTCAACAATAGAATAGACATTGGAATCATTTGATGGGATTTTAGATAGTATATTCATTCATTATCATCGACTCTTCTTCCTAAACGACACCCACGAACCTCGTCTGATTCGTGTGACGAGTTGTATACCCAGTAAAAATCTCGCCAACTCTTGGACTCCAGAAATAGAATTTCATTTAAAAGTATCGGCCGCTGCATGCATGCATTCTTGTTTACCTGTTTCTTCGTTACTCGTATACCCACCAACTTTTATAACTTTTAAATAACCCTTTACCATTCTCCTGATCATTTTCTATATATATTCAAAATCATTTTTAAAAAACCAACAAGATATACCTTTTTTTTTTTTTTTGTAAACATCGCCCATTATCTATCATCATCATCATCATTGTAAATCAATCAATCAATCAATTACACATCCCAAATTTAGTTTTAAATTTTAATTTAATTTGATTTTAATTTTTTTTGTTGTTTTTTTTTTTTGAAGTCCTTTTTTTTAAAAGATGGCTCAAAACAACAACACTTCACATTTTGTAGAAGAATATCTAGATGAAGAGAGTCGTAATTTAGATAACAATAACAACAACAGTAACGACGATGCATCTGGTGGTCATGAACAGTATATGTTGGATGACAGCCAAAGCTCGGGTAGTGGAGGCTACCAGAACCACGACCACATGGTCAACATGACTCACATAAATAACATGGTTGTCGCTACACCTCGGAGCGATACTGCTGCTGGAAAGACTGGAGCTGGAGCTGGTGCAGGTGGAGGTACTCCACCAATCTACTTGTCCAATTCATCATCACCTTCTAATCTATCATCGACACCTAGCAGTCCTGTAATGGGTGCACTCTCATTCCGCGATGGAGATGATTCTCCTCAAGACCAATCGGATGGTGAAGATGATCATGGTGGAAGAGGTGGAGGTGGCGGAGGTGGATCCTCAAAGAAACCACCCAAAACACCAAGAGAAATTAAAAAGGAAAAAGAAAAGAGAAAACAAAAACGAAAGATTGATGCTGAAAAGGCAGTACCCTTTCTACAACTCTTTAGATTCTCTGATGCGTATGACAAGACACTTATGATTTTTGGAACGATAGCTGGTATTGCCAATGGTGCTGCCATGCCAATGGTGTCACTCGTCTTTGGCGATGTTATCGATGTTTTCAATCCAGCCAAGTTTAATGCCGATCCCAACTATTCGATAGAGTCTGAAGTTCGTGATGTCGCACTTTGGTTCCTCTATCTCGGTATCATTGTCTTTGTACTCTCCTATCTAGAAACTTCACTTTGGACCATCGCAGGTGAAAGACAAACCAACAAGGCTCGTGTAGAATATTTAAATTCAATTCTTCGTCAAGAAATTGGTTGGTTTGATACCAATAAAGCTCATGAATTGGCTTCTAGAATTAATTCGTATGTATTATAAAAAACAAACAAATCAAATATACATATATTATATTTAAACTAACCATTTATTTCCATTTATGTTTTAGTGATACAATATTATTTCAAGAAGCAATTGGAGAAAAAGTTGGACATTTTCTACACAACTTGTCAACATTTGTTGCAGGTTTTGCAATTGGATTTACCAAAGGTTGGCAATTAACATTGGTCATTGCATCGGTATCACCACTCTTGGCAATTGGTGGTGGTATCATGGCCAAAATGATGACTGAAATGACTCGTAAGGGTCAACAAGCTTATGCCGTTGCCGGTGGTATTGCAGAAGAATCGATTGGTTCAATAAGGTAAACATATAAACAATATAAATATATTATATTATTTATACTTTATCTAATTTCTATTTTATTTTTATTTTTTCTATTTTTTAGAACTGTTGCAACCTTTTCAGCAGAAGATAAATTTGCAGAAAAGTATTCACATAATTTAAAGGATGCTTTAAAGATTGGTTACAAGAAATCGATTTACAATGGATTTGGACTTGGGTTTGGTCAGTTTGTGATTCTTGGTACTTATGCCTTGTCGTTTTGGTATGGATCTACTTTGGTGTCCAAGCGTACGACCAATGATTTGACAGGTGAGCCATGGTCGGGTGGAGATGTCGTAGCCGTGTTTTTCGGTGTTATTATCGGTGCCACAGCCATCGGACAGGCGTCACCATGTTTGACTAGTTTTGCCAACGGTCGTGGAGCAGCCTGGAAGATCTTCCAAGTCATTGATCGTGTTTCCAAGGCCAATCCATTCTCTACACGTGGTAAACGTCCCGAGAATCTGACGGGAGAGATTGAATTTAGAAATGTTGTCTTTAATTACCCATCACGTCCAGATGTCAAGATATTCAACAACTTTAACTTGGTGATTAAACCAGGTGAGACGATTGGCTTGGTGGGAGACAGTGGTGGTGGTAAATCAACCATTATCTCTTTGCTCGAACGTTTCTATGATCCCGTGCAAGGCAACATCTTTTTGGACGGTGAGGATATCAAGCGATTCAATGTACGTGCGTTGCGTCAAAAGATTGGGTTGGTGTCGCAGGAACCGGTGCTATTCGCGACGACTATTGCCGAGAATATTAGATATGGTCGTGAAGACGCCACGCAAGAGGAGATTGAGGAGGCGTGCAAGCTGGCCAACGCACACTCGTTCATCTCGACGCTGCCGCTGGCCTACAACACGTTGGTCGGTGAAAAGGGTGTGCAAATGTCGGGTGGCCAAAAACAGCGTATCGCAATTGCCCGTGCCATCATCAAGAACCCCAACATCCTCTTGCTCGACGAGGCCACGTCCGCGCTCGACAGTGAGAGCGAGCGCGCCGTCCAAGGCGCTATCGACATGCTCATGAAGGGTCGCACCACCATTTTAATCGCTCACAGACTGTCGACCATCCGAAACGTCGACCAAATCGTCTTTGTCAAGAATGGAGCGGTCGTGGAACGCGGCACGCACGACGACCTCATGGCCCTGGGCGGCTACTACTTTCGTCTCGTCGAGAAGCAGCAGCAAAAGGAGTTGCAGATGGTCGAGACGCGGTCCCGTCGCAGCAGCACCTTTTCCGACGTCAACCCGATGCTCGACAGCTTCCGTCCGTCGTCCAAGCGTAACCTGCGCGGGTCGGGCGTGCGTCGTGCCGACCACCAACGCAAAAAGAAGCGCGTCAAGAAGCAGGCCGACGTACCCATGTCGCGTGTCCTCAAATACAGCAAGCCCGAAGCCTGGCTCTTTTTCTTTGGCTTTGTGGCTGCGCTCGGCACCGGTTCGATCTACCCAGCCTTCTCGATCGTCTTTACCGAGATGCTAACCATCTTCCAGAACCCTGACCCCATGTACATCACCAAGGAAGCCAACTTTATCGCCATCATCTTTGTCGTGTTGGCCGTCGTCAGCGGCGTGTCCAACTTTTTCCAAACCTTCCTCTTTTCAGTGATTGGCGAAAAGTTGACGTACCGTCTGCGTTCCGACTCGTTCAAGACCATCCTGCGTCAGCCAGTTGGCTGGTTTGACCATTCCGAAAACAGCACGGGCAAGTTGACCACCCACCTCGCCAGTGACGCGACACTTGTGCAGGGTATGACCAGTCAGCGTATGGGTATCATGCTGCAAAACATCATCACAATGGTTGGCGGGCTCATCATTGCCATGGTCGCCGGCTGGAAGCTGACTCTTGTCATCATAGCCTGTTTCCCTCTAGTCGTCGCGACTGGCAAGATCCAAATGCAATTCTTGCAAGGGTTCTCGTCCGAGGGTATGGACGGTTACGGGGCCGCAGGCCAGGTGGCTTCTGAAGCGATCACCGGAATTCGTACAGTAGCCAGTTTCACAACCGAGAACCAGGTCCTCGCACTCTACAAGAAGCAGCTCAAACTGCCCATCAGCGCGGGCATGAAAAAGGCGCACATCTCTGGACTTGCCTTTGGCTTTTCTCAATTCATCTTGTTTGCAGTCTACTGTCTCTCGTTCTGGTATGGTGGCAAGCTGGTTGGTCAGCGCGAGTGGACTGCCTCGGACGAAAAGTTTGCAGCCAACTGCAACGCACAGACCATCCCCGCCATTTGGAATGACGCCAGCACCTGCCGTCATGCCTACGACACGATCGATGGTTTCTCGGCACTGATGCGTGTGTTTTTTGCCATTGTCTTGTCTGCGATTGGTGTTGGTCAGGCCAGCTCGTTTGCACCTGACATGGCCAAGGCCAAGGTCGCCACCAACAACATCTTCCGTCTCATCGACACGGCCACGCCCATTGACCCAACCTCCACAGACGGCGAGGTCATCTCCATCCCCACCGGTGACATTGATATCAAGGGTATCCACTTTGCCTACCCGTCGCGTCCCAACCAGATGATCTTCCGCGGTCTCCACATGCAAATCCCCGCCGGCCAAACCATGGCCTTTGTCGGCGACAGCGGTGGTGGTAAATCAACGATCATCTCGTTGCTCCAACGTTTCTACAACCCCACCCAAGGTGACATTTACATTGATGGTCACAACATCAAGCTGCTCAACGTGCGTCACCTTCGCTCGCTCTTTGGTATGGTCGGCCAAGAACCCATCCTGTTTGGCGGTACCATCGGCCAAAACATCTCCTACGGCAAAGACGGTGCCACGCAGCAGGAAATCATCGATGCCGCCAAGGTTGCCAATGCCCACGACTTTATCATCAACCTGCCCAACGGCTACGACACCCAGTGCGGTGAAAAGTACACCCAACTGTCTGGTGGCCAAAAGCAGCGTATCGCCATTGCCCGTGCCGTCATCCGTAACCCTCGTATCCTCTTGCTCGACGAGGCCACCTCGGCACTCGACAATGAGTCGGAAAAGCTCGTGTCACAGGCCCTCGAAGCCATCACCAAGGGCAGAACCACCCTCGTCATTGCCCACAAACTCTCCACCATCCAGAATGCAGATACCATTGCCTTTGTAAAAGGAGGTCAAATCATCGAACGTGGTAGTCACGAAGAATTACTTGAACAAGAAGGTCCTTATTATCAATTAATCCAAAGACAAAAGTTATAAACAACACAAACACAATTTTTTACACTCAAACAAATAAAATTTAACTTATTATCTATATATATATATATAATTATATAAACAAGATCTATGACTTTCTCTCAAATCTTTCTCTGTGATCACTCGACTCTATCCATGTCACTCCATGTCAGGTGCGATGTCCAATCAATCACTCTCACTCACGTCTCTCACTCTATCCATCTCAAGTCCATGTACTCAATCTCTCCATGTCCATGCCTATCCAGTCTCTCACCCTATCGTCGATGTCTACTCTCTCACTCTCACTCTGTCTATGTCACTCGCTCACTCACTCACTCTATACATGTCCATCTCACTCTCACTCTCACTCTGTCTATATCACTCACTCAACTCTATCCATGTCCATCTCACTCTCTCACTCACTATATCCATCTCAAGCCACACTCTATTCTCGATGTCACTCAATCCTACTCTCATCGATCTATCCAATATCACTCGACTCTATCCATCCATCCACTCACTCTCACTCTCTCCATGTCTCATTACCACTCTATCCATGTCAGTTTCTACTCTATATCCCAGTGTCTACTCCCACTCCCACTCCCACTCCCACTCCCACTCCCACTCTCACTCTCACTCTCACTCTCACTCTCACTCAATCCATGTCTGCTCACTCCTTACTGTCCGAAGCCATCAATCCATCAACGGAACACATCTCTGACAAACATGCGGTATAAATACTAGCACACGAACCAAAATTTGCTGAAAATCGCCAAACTAGCTAAGTGGTATTATAATTTTTTTACCCAACCATAGGTTATCAGTTTCGATACCTGCGCATACCACATTATTCTTGTCTAAACCATGCCACTCTCCATCTACTGTCTCACTCCTCTCTACTCCATGTCACTCAACCCCTACTAAATCCATGTCGAATCTCAACTCGCTTCCATCCAATCCACTCTCTCACTCTCTCACTCTCTCACTCTCTCACTCTCTCACTCTCTCACTCTCTCACTCTCTCACTCTCACTCTCTAACTTTCCATGTCCATTCTCCACTCACTCTAACTCTATCTCTGTCACTATCCATCCAGTCTCACCCTGTCAATATATATCTGGTCTCTCACTCTCTAAACACTCTCCAGCCCTCAAAATATAAATCTGGCCGTAGAGTCCAACAATCCCTATAATCTGGTCCCACTCTTTCTCATGTAACTATCTTTGTCACTATCCATCCAATCTCTCTCTCTCTCTCTCTCTCTCTTTCTATCACTCTCACACACTCTCCCTCTATCCATGCCACTCACTCCCTTACTGTCCATGTCCAGTCTCTCACTCTTTCTGTGTCACTCCATGTCCATGCCTCTCTCACTCTGTCAGGCTCCTCGTCTCCCCATGTCCATCCTGTCTCTCACTCTCTCCATGTCACCCATGTCTATCCCACTAGCACTCTCACTCACTCCATCCCAAATCTGTCCGTGGAGGCTTACAATCCATAACTCTGTCTCTCGCCCACTCTCATCTCTCATCTCTAACTCTCACCCGAATCCATATCAACTCACTCTCTCCAGGTCCATATCTATCCGTCCCCTCCCCGATCATCGATGTCTACTCCCTCACTGTGTCTATGTCACTCACTCACTCTCACACTATCCATGTCCATCCACTCTCTCTCTCACTCCATCTATCTCTACTACACTACAAATGGGGACGTTTATGGATACCGAGCTATGATAATCATAGCACAAACGAGTGAGAGATCGGCAGATCGTCAGATCAACAAAAATTCAACCCATAGTAACGGTGGGTACCTTTCAGCACTCTATAACTGCCGTCGGGGACGTGCAGCGTTACTAAGGTGTTTGCACCCACCCTTCCTCTCCGAGGAAGGGGGGTGCGATCATATTATATGTTTATTTATTGAATAGTTTATTAATAATGATTATAACCAAAGAGAAGAGAGCAACACAAGGCACAATATTAAATAAATAAAATAAAATAAAATATCTTGATGAACTAAGATCTGAGTGAGATCCCAGACAGCAGCAACAGGTCTCAGTAGCGATCATCGACCCCTTTTGACGTGTACTACTCTCACTCAATCCAAGTCTACTCACTCCTTACTGTCCGAAGCCATCAATCCATCAACGGAACACATCTCTGACAAACTTTTTTTTTTTAAGCATCTCATTTCGTGGCATCCACCTGTAGCACTACTCTTTCGATTGCGAAGTTTTATTGATTGAAGTCTTTGTTTGACCAGCAATGGGAACTGAGTTTCCAAAGAAGAAACAAGTCCAATCTGTTTTTTGGGGTGCCAAATGTCTGTTCTATTTCCATCCAAGCAAAAATGGCAAGTCTTGGTGGGAGCTATTAGTTCTATTTGTTCATCAATACGACGGGAAGCTTCTTTACCTGTTGAATCGAGGGGGGCTGAACGGTTCTGTGAGTTACGATCCATAGTTCTTTTGTCAGGTTAGTGACCAGATCGTGACTGTTGGAGGGAGTGCCCAGTGTCACCATCCATATGTATGTGTGTGTCGAGTAATGGTTGGTGGTTGTGTCTACACCATGATTATCTATCTTATATCGTTCTGTTGTTCGTATTGTTATGTTGTTGATTGATGTTTTGATGGGATGTTGATGATGTTCATTTCCAATTGTAATAGTAATGTGAATACTGTTTTCAAACTGTATTGACTTGTTGTAATGATAATTAAATTCCACCTAAATTATTATTCCTATTGTTTCGATACTGTTTTACTATTGTATTGTGTTGATTAGAGAAGGAGATGGAGGAAGGAGCGAGATATTTTTTTTTGTTATTTTTTTTATTTTTTGTTTTTTTTCTTGTTGGTGATCTTTGTTATAGGCAGTGCTTGTGCTCGCTCGCGCCCCTTATTTATAATAATGATAATGATATAAATAATTGGACAAGGGGGCACACTAGGGCAATTAGTTGTGGCTTTTAGTGAGTGTGAAAAGAAATAGTAATGTTGATAAAAGATAGTTGAAGATAGTTGATGATTGAGTGAAGTTCTATAGTACTCTATACGTAATTCTCTGTTTCTATCTCTTTCTCTCTATTACAGAAAAATTCCAAACTCATCTCTGACAAACATGCGGTATAAATACTAGCACACGAACAAAAATTTCCTGAAAATCGCCGAACTAGCTAAGTGGTATTATAATTTTTTTACCCAACCATAGGTTATCAGGTTCGATTCCTGCGCATACCACATTATTTCTTGTCTAAACCCTGTCTCTAGTCACTGCATCACTCTCGCTCCACCTACTCCATCTCACTCTCTCGTTCCGTGTCGACATCCACTCTCGCTCATCCCTATCCATGCCACTCGCTCTCTCCACTCACATATCACAATCAATCCATCTGTTCACTCCTTTCTCTCTCCCTATAGCCTCTGAGGTGACAGATATCATGCAATAGAGAGTGTGCCCAAGAGTATCCATCTTCTATAGAGTGTCATGATGATATCCTCTATATAGAAGAGCATATACTCAATATCACCATGAGAAGAGGTAGAGCGGAGAGAGAGTGGTTGGTTCATCCAATGGTGTCCTATCGATAGGAATGTGAGCGAGACGCATCACAGGTCGTGTACAATACTGTAGACCAGTGTTTCTAATTGCTGCTGCACCACCAACAAGTATAGTTGTGAAAGAGTGTAGGTGAGACCTAGATGATGAGATCTTATAATAAAACACAAACAATTTTTACACATAAATAAATATTATTTAAATATAATAAAATCTAATTAACTTTAACCTATTACCTATCTATCTATATATATATATATGTATAACACAGATATTTATTATATAATTATGGTGGGTAGATTATAAATAAAAATGTTAACCACCAAAATTAATAATCTAACCGATACAAAAACACGATTGACTAAAATCAACACCCATCCATCTATCTAAATTGTTGACTCTTTCTGTCTAAATGGAAAAACAAATTTACAAACATTACTAATTTCAATCAAACAACATGTACATCACTTATTGATGATGATGATGATAAAGGTGGATAATAATAGTGATTTATTGATTCATCATTTTACTTTAACTTTAGATAGTTTATAATAATAAGAATATTTATTATTGGAAATGATTGCTATTTTACTAGTAAAGATACCATTCGATTTCTTTAATAATCAAAGATATGATATTATAGGTAGATATGGAGTGAAATTGCAAACTAATTTATTATTAAGAATTGTAAGGATAAATATAAATTAAAACATTGATTTGAATCATTAATTGGTCTGTCTTTTTTTCTTGTATATTTATTAATCTAGGCAGTAGTTTGTTTAATCATAGCATTATTTTGGAGAATTATCCCATGGTATCTCTTTTTATCATTCTCACTTGATATTCTAGTATCAATCTTTGGAATATTCTCAAGTTATTTTAGATCTTCAATATCTTTATTAATTGTAGGTTAAAAAAAAAAAAGTACTCTTAAAATATTAATATTTATTTATTTATTTATTTATTTTGTTTTGTTTTGTTTTGATTAGTTTTTTATTGCAAGTTTAATAATATTTCTATTTAATTTTATACCAATTGTATTAATTAATGCAATGGTTTGGAATAGTGCAGACAATGTTTCATTGATCGATATTATTCATTCAACCCTTCATTTGTTATGGTTTGCATTAGAGGTTCTATGTTTACACATGGCAAAGAAACAAAAACGGTACATTAAAATACATAAATCTCAGTTGGCCATTGCACAAGACCGTACTTCACAATTTGAAGGTGACAAACAAAAGTGTATACCATCTTTTACAATCTCTATTGATCCTCCATCTAGTAATCATTATTTACCTAGTATTAGTAGTAGTAGTAATAATAATAGTAATGCCAACATACACAATGCAACCAACTCTTATATAGACCCATTTACAACAATGATGGAAAAGGGGTATATCGATCCTACAATGGATGAATATTATTATCATATTCCCAACAACAATAAGAGATCATCATCATCATCATCATCTTACAACAATAAGAGTGAATCAATTGGAGTGATGATGAATTGTCGTAATACCATTAGTATCAATAACTATGTCAATTCTATTTCAATCATTCCATCGTCCAACATTATAGTAGTCAATCATGTACACAAGGATGTTGATGATGATGATGACCTTGGAGATAACCATCAACATATGACATTCCAAGCTAAAAGTATGTCCTCCTCCTCCTCCGCATCGATGTCTTGTGGTTCATCGTCATCATCATCATTGTCATCTTGTGTGATGATGGAGATCGTCTAGTGAGAAGAGAGAGTCGGTCGCTCTCACCAAAAACATCAATAAATTAATTTTTGTTCTTTTTTTTTTTTTTTTCCAATTTTTTTTTTGTGAGAGACAGAGTCGGTCTACGATGACCATTTTTATTCGCTTCCTCAACTTTTACCTACCCTTCCTCAAAATAGTCATCAGCACAGCTTTGCTAACAGATATCGTTTGGAACACTTATTTCTTCTATTATATATATCAATTATTCATTATATAAAACAGACAGACATACAGTAAAGAAATAAAGAAAGAAAGAAAGAGACTAAAGAGACAACAAACAACAACAACCTCATAGTTTCGTTTTCTTTTTCTCCTTTATACACAAGTAACAACAAAAGGCCCACTCATCTTAACCTTCTCGTTACTTCTATCTCCTCGAAGTGTTTCAAGATTCAAGAGTCAGCTGATTAGGACTATTCGTCGTCTTCGTTTTATATATATCTTCATCTTCTATTCATTTCATTCATACCCACCACACATCATATAAACTCTTTAATTTTTTTGAAATTTTAATTTTTTTTTTTTAGATAACAACCTGTACACTCATCTTTTCAAGTAGTAAGTTAAGTGTTCATACTATTATCTATCTCAACAACAACAATCAATATCCGTTCAAAAAGTATTCAATTTGTAATTCAATACTTTCTTTTTTTTCTTCAAAACTTTAAAGTTTCGTTCGTTTTTTTTTTTTTTTTTTTTCACATCATATATTCAACATGTATTCAGCATTGTGGAAAAAGAATGGAGAGCAGATCCGTCCCTCTTTTATATCGGTCAATGCGCATGTCGTAGATTTGGCAGCGCAGATCGTGTTTACCAAGACCTATAGCAACGTTGGCAACAACTTTAAAGACAATCTCCAGCAAGAGGCAACATTCAAGGCACATCTCAACACGTCGATTGGTGTGCTGACAGGCTTTGAAATCAAGCTCGACGGCAAGATCACGTCGGCCGAGGTCGTCAACCAAGCCGAAGCCATGAAGCAGTTTGAGAGCAATCAGAGCAACACCAATATCGTCAAGGAGGCCGACTTCAACGATCCATTCATCCAAGAGGACTTTTTCCTCTGTAAACTTAATAATCTTGCGCAATACAACGAGCTCGAGATCATCATCACCTACGTCACCGAGATGACCATGCAGGGCGACTACCTCTACCTCGTCTTCCCAACTTCATTGTCGACCGTCCGTTCAACTCAACAACAACAACAGCTTGAGACTCCTCCATCCCTCCCAAATAGCCACAACAATAGCAATGGTACCTCCTCGACCGGCGAGTCACAACGCCAGGGTCTGTTGATCAAGCTCGATCTCGAGATGCCATCGTCTATACAAGAGGTCAAGTCACCCTCACATCCAGAGGGTATCGAGGCACAATGGAACGAGAGCACCGGCACTGTCATCTACAAGGACACCCGTCCAGTCGACGTTGTCAACCAATCGGATCTCGTCGTCTTGGTCAAGCTCGAAAACCCACACGAGCCAACCGGTTTTGCCGAACGTAACAAGGATGGCAGTCGTGCCGTCATGGTCGTCTTTTATCCAAAATTAGAGCCAGTCAAGAAGCAACAAGAGATGGAATTGATCTTCCTCGTCGATTGTTCCGAATCCATGGAGGGTTACAATATTACACACGCCAAGAAAGGTCTTTTACTCTTCTCTCACTCTCTTCCCAAGGGCACCTACTTTAATATCATTTCATTTGGAAGCACCCATCAAAAGCTCTTCCCTCAATCCCTCCCCTACTGCGAAGAAAACCTTGCTCAAGCAAACACCTTTATCAAGGGTCTCAAGGCCGACTCTGGCAATGACACTAACCTCCTTGCCCCTCTCAAGGATATCTACGCTACTTCTGCCACCCGTCCTCGTAAAATCTTCCTTCTTACCGATGGTGGTGTCAACAACACTGGTCAAATCGCTGAATTGGTTAGACAAAATGCTGACAATACTTCAGTTTTCCCAATTGGTATGGGTGAATTTGTTTCAAAACAATTGGTATGTAATATATAAAGATAGAAATGAAAAAGATGAATCTGAAATATTAATTATTGTTTTATATTTTGTTTTGTTTAGGTCGACGCAATTGCAAGTGCAGGTTGTGGTGTCGCAGAATTGGCAATTGAAAATGAAACCATTGAAAATAAGGTTATGAGACAATTGAAACGTGCTCTTCAACCAGCTTACACCAACATTAGAATGGACTGGGGTTCCATTTCGAGTAATAAGCAATCACCACGTGATTTGAGAACGTTGTTTGATGGCGATCGATTGACGGTCTTTAGCATTTTAGAACCAAACGAAAGAGTTCCAGACAATGGTACCGTCAAGCTTAACGCCAACGGTCCAAACGGTCCAGTCTCGTTCCAAGTCAATATCAAGGGTAACGAAATCAAGCGTGGTAACCTCGTACATTGTTTGGCTGCATACACCCTCATTTTGGATCTCGAACAACAAGCACAAGAATGCAATGACGTCGACGAAGCCGAACGTCTCAAGAAACGTATCATCGACCTCGGTGTCAAATACAGTTTGGGTACCAATTACACTTCTTTTATCTCCCTTGAAGATCCAACCATGCCACCAAGTCCAAGAGTTATTCAACCAAACAACAACAAACCAACAGTTACACCAACACCAGTTTCATCAAATAATTCATTTGTTCAAAACAATCCAGCTTTTAGCGGACTCCTTAACGCTTTGAATTCCTCATCTGGATCGATCCACCATTATCCAGAGCACTCTAGTGCTATGATTTCTCTCCGTGGTTCAGCCAGTGGTATCCCAACTAATCTCAACTCGAGTTCATCCTCGCTCAAGACCAATGTCTCTCCATCGCGTCCAACTACCACCACCACCAACACCACCGCACCAGCCGTGTCGACCCCACTCAAGTCACTCTCACCAGCCTCTCCTCCATTCACTCCAACCCAATCCACCATGTCATCGGCAGCTGCTCCATTTACTCCAGGAGCTTTTGCAAAGTCACAATTAAAGTTTAGTGCCCCAGAATTTGTTCCAAAGGGTATTGCTCCAAGCACCCCAAGTGCCCTCAAGCCATCTGCTCTAGTTTTCACTCCAACCAAGACCTCAACCACCCCAGCTGTTGTCACCCCAACCAAGGCTGAAGAGCCAAAAAAGGTTGAAGACCCAGTAAAGGTTGAAGTTGTTACCCCAACCAAGGCCGTCGAGGAACCAAAGAAGGAAGAGTCACCAAAGAAGGTCGAAGAACCAAAGGTTGAAGTTGCCGCCGCCACCGCTACTCCAGTCAAGGTTGAAGAGTCACCAAAAAAGGTTGAAGAACCAGTTGCCAAGGTCGAAGTTGCTGCTCCAGTAAAGGTTGAGGTTACTGCTCCAGTTGCCGCTGCTGTTCCAGCCAAGGTTGAAGTTGCTGCTCCAGTCAAGGTTGAGGTTACTGCTCCAGTTGCCAAGCCTGCTCCAGTCGTTGTTGCTGCTGCTGCTGCTGCTCCAGTTGTTGCTGCCGCCGCCGCCAACTCCACCTCTCCACCAGCCAAGAGACAATACAGCCACGACTATTTGATGAGTCTCAAAGATTTGCCAAGCAACACTGTCATTCCAGAGAAATTAAAGCAACATGCCAACATTTTGATGAGAGCAGGTTCATCAGGTATCTTTAACAAGGAAAAAGATCGTCGTGGAAACCGTCATCACGACAAGAAGAACTCTGAACCACTCCCACCACCAAAGAAGATCATCACCAAGGACACTCAAGGAGAGTTTGGAGAGACCTACAAAAAGTTCAAGTTTAACCTCAATCTCATCACTATGGATACTTATGCCACCATCATTAAGAATTTCGAAGGTATCGTCATCCCCAACGAAGAAGTCCTCGGTAATATTGCCAAGATTCTCTTTGAAAAGGCCATCATTGATCAAAAGTACAGTGCCGTCTTTGCCATCCTTACCCATTACCTCGATAGCAAATACCCCAAGTTTGAAAACAACAAGACTTTGAAGCGTGACATTATTACCAACTGTCAAAAGGAATTCGAATTACATTTAACCGATACTTATGATAGATCCAAGTTTGATACTCTCTCAAAGGAAGATCGTGATGAAGAAGAATTTATCATCAAAAGAAGATTCCTTGGAAGTAAGTAAAAAGTATATCAAAAGTTCTTGAACAAACGTTTATTAACAATATTATTTTTTATTTATTTTAAAAGATATTAAATTTATTGGTGAATTATATAAACATTCAGTATTGGCAGAATCTATTGTATTAAATTATTGTGTTGCCAAGTTATTGGAAAAGGCCAATACTCATGTGGAAGACACCATTGAAGGTATGGCCAAACTCATTTCCAACATTGGTAAGAAGCTCGATGCCGATCCAAGCAAGCCAGGTTTGGCTGGTGTTTTCTCTCAAGTTCGTCAATTGTCAGAGAATGAAAAGTTGACATCTAGAGCCCGTTATCTCTTGTTGGATCTTTTGGATCTCCGTGCAGGTCGTTGGGAACCAAAGAACAACACCATTTCCAAGGTCAACAAGGAAGAAAACGACAAGGAAGAGAGATTCGTATCCAAGCATGGTTCCGGTCGTCGTGACGATCGTGACAAGGGTGACAGAAGAGACCGTAACGACCGTAACGATCGTGGTGACAGAAGAGACCGTGACCGTCACGACCGTAATGATCGTAATGATCGTAACAACCGTGACGACCGTAACGATCGTAACGACAGAGGTATTTTCGGAAAGAGCAAGGATGGTTGGGAAACCGTTGGCAAGAGCTCGCCAAAGGGCAAGCAAACACCAAAGAAGGGAGACCTCTCCAACTCGAGAGACAACATCTCCAACAGCAAGACCCCACCACGTCCAGCTGCCCCAGCAACACTCAAAAAGAGTGGAGACGAGAGAAGAAATGTCTTTGCTGCTCTCGACGACGACGACTATGACATGCCATCTTCTCCAAAGAAGCCAACTCCAAAGGATACCGGCAAGCAACAAGAATCAAAGGATACCAAGGGCAAGCCAGCCGATGCATCTGCTGCTGCTCAACCAGTATCTGCAACCAAATTAGAGGCTGATGTTTCAATGACCCTTGACGAATTTTTGGAACTTGGTGATCCAGAAGAAGCTTTGGAATGTATTAAAGAACTTAATTATCCAACTTTATATAGTAAAGTAAGTAATAGATATAAATACTATATATATCATAAATGTATCCCATTATATTAATAATTATTTTATTTGTTAGATTATTTGTATTATTGTAAACAAATCATTTGAAAAGAATAATACCGAGAAACAATCAATTGTTGAATTATTTAACCAAATCATCACTTCTCAAATATATCCAGCAGAGGCCTTTAAGGAAGGTTTCAAGGAAGTTTTGGCTACAATTGAAGATACTGAAATTGATTTACCATTTGCTTCAAAGGTAAGAAAAACAAAAAAAAAAAGAATAATAAGAATAATAATCTACCTTTTTATAATACTAACTTTTTTATTTATTTAGTTTTTGGCAGAATTGATTGGTTTCTGTATTGAAGCCGATATTTTGACATTAAATTATGTTGAAGAAAATTATTTGCATCTTGTAGACAGTGGAAAGGCAGAGGAAATGTTAAAGGATACTCTCATCTCTATCGTCAAGCACAGTGACAGCGACAGATTGGTTGACATTTACGAAAAGACAGCTGATCTCGACATTTTGAAGTTGTTCCGTCCAAAGAACAGAACCACTCAATACTTGCAAGAGTTCTTCCAAGAACACTTCCCATACTTGTCATCTGACCGTGTCGCCGTCAGTCAGTCCGAACCATCACTCATTGAGCATCTCCTCGTCCTCCAAAAGGCCGAAGGTAACTTTGAATTGACCAACAAATTGGCTGGTGTCCTCAACATCCCACTCTCTGACATTGAAAAGGCTGAAAACTCTGACTCGCTGGCACGTACCCACCCCAATATCTGGGCTACCGTTCTTGCCTACTCTTTCATGTCAACCAACTTTACTGAAGAACAAGATGATCTAGAGTTGATCAATCAAAAGATTCAAAGCTGGTTGAATGCCGAACTCGAACTCCCAGACGCTCCAAAACTTTCATTGGATGATCTCGTTAAAAAAGCAAAGAGATTCATCAGTGAATATTAAAATAAATTATTTATAAATTATATATACAACAACATTGATGGCAAAGAATAATAATAATAATTATTATATTTATTTGATTTGATTAAAAGAATAAAATAGTTGATGATAGAATAAAAAATATATGGCCAAGGATATAAATTACAATTAATATCTTCAAATACAGATGAAACCATGGCATTTGTTGGATTCAAACTACCCTCTGCAAGATTGATTCGTTCAAATGCAGGTCACATTACATATGGTATCGATTCGTTGGATGAAATGATTGAATTCCTAAACTATTTAATGTCATTACGAAATAATATATCAGTTCCTACTCTTAATATTATCAATGACAACAATAATAATAACAATGACAATAATAACAATAACGACATCCAATCCAATCACAGTGGACATTGTATTACTGATTGGGAAATTCAATTTAGTACTTTGGATGATGTCATGTTCCAATTTATGAAATAAATGTGTATAACAAAAGATTTATATTTAAAACTAATAATCCAAGATGCTTGGATTTCAAAATTAGTATCAACTTGCGGTAAAACGTGATACTATGTATGAGTGAATCAGTCACGTTTCAATGTATCAATCCACCTCCTTAGGAGATTTATATATATAAGAATAGAGGCATTTATGAATTATTTATTATCACTTGAAAAAAAAAATTGGACTTGGATAACTGACACGAATAAAACTGTCATTCAATTTCAAATTAATACATTCAAAATATTAAGACTATTACCAAAGGGGGAGATAGAAAGAGAGAGAGACAGGAGGAGGAGGAGTGCAAGATAGAGAACACAGAGTGATAAGGAGGATATAAAAGATGTGGAAGCTATTTAATCCCTCGAGGTCACTAAAGGTATTCTCTGCAAAAGCTTTGAATAATACTTCGGCTGTTGCTTCATCATCGTCATCATCAACTACACAACCAGACAATAAGAAACAACAACAATCGAATAAAGTAGTTGATTTAATAACACAAAAGAAGAAGTCACAGAATGATCATGGCTCATCACCAACGATGACGAATCGAAAGTATTCGACATCGGCTGCCACTGCTTCAGTGATACAACCATCATCAATCTTTCTACTACAAGCAATCAACCAAAACAACAACAATCACAACAAGGATGAATCAAGTTCAACTTTTGATCAAACCTATACAAACACATCTGGCTTTTCAAATCAATCGTCGTCAGCTGGCGGTCAGACCTATCAACAAAGACCTATCAGTCGATTCAAGAGTGAATTTATATCATCTCAAGTGATTGGACAAGGTGGGTTTGGTATTGTATACAAGGCTAAACATTTGATCGATGAAATAGAGTATGCTGTCAAGAAGTGTCGAATCACCAATGAAAGTAAATCAAAGGAACTTTCTGAATGCCGTACCATGGCCAAGTTAAATCACCCAAACATTATTCGTTACTTTGCAACATGGATAGAATCAATCACCAAACAACAACAAGAAGAACAAGAACAAGAGAACCAAGCAGTCGATAGTAGAGAAGGAGGATTCTACTCAAATACAAACTCTCTATCATCGTATCATAATAGTCAAGGTACATGTACCAGTAGTAGTTTAATTGGATATTATGGTAATAATCAATCAGATATTGATTATACTGGAACTACAAGTTTAACATCTTTTGGTTATTTGCATAATAATAATTATAATAATAGGAATCATTTATCATCATCTTCATCTTCTTCATCATCTTCATCTTCATCATCTTTTTCTTCATTATCATCATCATCAACATCATCAGAAACTTTAAAATATTTATATATTCAAATGGAATTGTGTAAATTTGGAACATTACGTAATTGGATGGGAGAGGTGCCATCGATGGACATTCCCATGTGTCGTGATATTATCAAACAACTATTATCTGGTATTGATTATATCAACAAAAAAGGTTATGTTCATCGAGACATTACACCTGATAATATTTTCATGTCACAAGATTCTGATGGAGAAGGTTGGACTGTAAAGATTGGTGATTTTGGCCTATCAACAACTATTGATTGTATTTCCAATCATCAACAACAACAACAATCAATACATCCATTGCAACAACAGCAACAAACAATAACAAAAATGACGGCGATCAAGAACAAGCCTGTTGGAACCATACTTTATTCTAGTCCAGAACAAGAACAAGGAGGTTATTATGACCAAACAACAGATGTATACAGTGTGGCTGCCATTTATTATGAAATGTTGTCACAGTGGAAGACAACTAGCGAGAGAATACACTCTCTTTCTGCATTGAAAAAGACATTGTCCATATCCTCAACCTTTAAGTTACTTTACCCATCAGAATCAAAGTTTATTCAAACTTTGGTCCAACCCTTTAAACTCAGACCATCTGCATCTTCCATCATTAATAATTTTGATGATTTCTTCAAAGTAGATGGTACTTTACCATTAGATTATAGATTTCAACCACAATAGTAGTAATAATATAATAAAATAAAATGATTGATTATTTTAGGGAAACTATTTACACATTTATTTAAAAACTTTTTTGTTTTTGATTCTAATCACTATCACTATCTGAAGCTTCTTCTGCTTCAGATCCAGATGAATAGGTATCAGAATCTTCTTCATAATCTTTATCGTCGTCGATAAAATTGGCATCATCTTCATTGTCCATTTTTTTGGTTTGACTTGAAGGTGAGACATCAACTTGTTCGTAATCGGTTGATGACTCTGGTTTTTTCTTTTCTTTGACTGTTGGTGGCTTGTCATTGGCAAACATGAATGAAACAATATCACGTGATGCCTCTTGAAGGTTCTTGTCCTTGAGTTTGGACATGTCGTAATAGTGGTCGTACGATGCCAACTCGCCAATGGACATGGAATCACGCTTGTGTTTGGGGATACGGGTGGTTGGAGCACCGCACTTGCACGTGCCAAGCATGTCGTGTGTGTCGCAGATAGTATCCTCTCGAAGATTGAAAATATCCTTGAGATCCTTTGTCTCAAAGGCCGGTGCATTGTCAGAGTCACCCTCGACAACACTTGTTGAGAGCGCCATTTTTGTAATTTGACGTTGGAAAATCTTCTCTTCGATGGTGCCAGTTGACAATGTTCGATAGATTGACACCACCTTTTTCTGACCTTCTCTCCAAACACGAGCCATAGCTTGTAAATCGTTTGCTGGATTCCAATCTGGATCATATAATACTAAATGATTGGCTCCAATTAAATTTAAACCAACTCCACCAGCTTTTGAACTCAATAAAAATACAACTAAAATTAAAATGAAATGGAATGGATTAGGGTCGGAATGGATGATTGATTCTTTTTTTTTTTTTTTTACATACATTCATTTCTTGATGGATCATTAAATAAATCTACCATTTTTTGTCTATTATCAACAGATGTTGAACCATCAAGTTGAAAGAATTCATAACCTCTTGTTCTCATCATACCTGCCAAAACAGTCAAGGTTTGGGTATAGTTGCTAATAATGACCACACGATCTTTTGATGTCTTTCTAATACCAGCCAACAACTTGTCTACAAATTGTAGTTTTCCCGAGTATTGCGGTTGGAATACCTTTGGGTTCCACTCCTTTGGGAAAAGTTTGAGAACAGAGTCATTGACTTGAGTTGGATCTTCCTTGTCGGGAAGATAAATGAGTTCGGGACAATTGGTCAACTTTTTCAAGGTTGTAATCAATGGCAAGGCACCTGAAAAGTTTCCAAATTGTTGATTCTTGATAGTGTCTACCAAATGTTTGTAAATCTTGTGTTGAAGTGGTGACAATTTAATAAAAACTGTATATTCAATCTTTTTAGGTAAATATTGAACATTTACAGCTGCTGTTCTTCTTAAAATAAATTGTTGTGTTAATCTTGTTAGCTAAAAAAAAATAATAAATTAAAATTAAAATTAATTAATAAATCATTTAAAAATATATATTTTTTTGTTTTTAATATATTTACCTCAGCAGATCTTTCTCTACCTAATCTTTTATCTTCATCAGATGCATCAGGATTACGACTTGCAAGAATAGGAGCGTCATATACATTTTGAAAAGTAGACATATTTTTCAAAACACCTGGGTTGACAAAGTTGACCATAGCAAAGAATTCATTGAGATCGTTTTGAATGGGAGTACCAGACAAAATGACACGTCTTGGTGTAGGAATCATTGAGACGGCCTTTGTTGTTTTGATTTCTGGGTTCTTGAGTCTGTGACCTTCATCACAAATGACGAGACCGATACTAGAAATCTTGATAATCTCCTCGCAATAGATACGAAGTTGATCGTATGAAATAACCAATACATCCTTGGTACCAAGTTCCAACTCGGCCAATCTTGCACGACCATACTTGGTTGAACCACCAATTGCAACGGGTTTGATTCCTTCACCCAACCATTTCTTTAATTCCTTGCACCAATTACCTACAAGAGAAGAAGGAGCGACAATGACTGCACGTTCGGCAGTTGGTAAACCATTTGGACCTTGTTTGAGTAGTGTCCAGAGAATTGCAATAGCTTGAATCGATTTACCAAGACCCATATCATCGGCAAGAATACATCCATTTCCTTTGTATCCTCCTCTAAACCCGAGTAAACAGTCAAACATAAACTGAACACCCTGTCTCTGATGAGGACGCAGTTTGGCAGACAGAATGGGATCGACAACGACCGGAATGTTATTCTCTGAAAGCATGTCACGTGGTTGGTAGAGAACGAGTGCATTGGGGGAATGAGGATTGTGCAGTGGCTTGACGAGACGTTTAGCACGCTCTGCACCGCCAGCCAACGGCACCGACCAACCTCCAGCCTTGGGTCTCCATGTGCCAGGCAGTCTATATGTTTCTTTTTTTTCTCGTGCTTCATCTCTTTTCCTCTGAATGATGAGATCGGGTTTGAGAAAGATCGATCCATTCTTGTAATCCTCTTCGTCGACCGATGTGAGAATCTTGACCCACTTGTTACCAATAGCCAATGAAAACTCTTCTTGAAAGAATACCTCTTTCTTTTTGATCAACACCTTTTGTGTCTTGCCAGTGCTACCGTCGTCTCCGTCGTCGGTCGGGCTCATACGAGTGAGTGCAGCGTGACCAATCTGTTTTCCCTCCATTGAAATGACAGTGACGTCGTTGTAGGTCACCTCGAGGATACCCATGCCTCCGTCCTCTGACGTCTTTATGTTTCGGTAGGTCATGAGATAGTAGATTGGCTTAGAGTCTGATCGCAACACGATGTTTCTTCCTTTTTTGTTCTCTTCCTCGATTTGCAATTCTTGATGTTTCTTTTCCTCTTCGTCGTCTTTTTTCTTTTGTGGAGTGAATAGATCTAGATGGTTGATCATTGCGATTGGTGCTTGTACCTTTTTTCTTCCCGGTCCTTTCTTGGCACTAGCTGCAGCCAAAGGTGAGTTGTTTGCATAGACTTGATCGGCTGTTAGAAATGCTCCTCCATCATCATCGTCCAACTTTGACTTTTGTCTCTTTTCGAATAGTGCTGATGGTGCATTACTTCTTTTCATCCTCCACTAACTCTACTACTAATTGAGATAGATACACAAATAAATATAATATAAAATATGGATGACTAAAATGCACCATACAAAATTAGTCTCAGCTCAAAAAAAAAAAATTCTAGGAATCACTGATTGTTTACCGAGACAACAAACATGTTATTTTTAATAATTTTATTATTTTTATATATTGTATTATGCCTGATGATATTCTTCTTTTTTTTTCGAGAAGAATTGGCAAACCTGATACCAATACTTAATATTAATATTTTTTATTCTAAATTATTTTAAGCATGAATCGATAATTTTATCTTGTTATTATTTAATAATAAAAGTTTAAACTTAAAATATAGAGAGTTGATTGATCATGATATATTTATTTATATTTTTTTTTTTATCAAAGACCCTAGATATATATATTTGTACGTTTTATTTGAAGTTCATTGGATTTTCCAACCTCCCCAATTTTGAAGAAGGATTTTTAGTTTCGGTTGGGCTCTCGTGTTGCGTCAGACCCACTTTTTTTTTTTTTAATAATCGACGTCGATTCCACCTCCATTGAATCTAAAATTAATTGTTTAGTTCAACGCGCGCCAACTATACTATAGTATAATACACACCCAACCCTTTATGTATCATTATTTATAATCGTAATAATAGAGTTTTTTATCATATATATATACCACTCATTCATCCATCACCATTCTTTCTATCTGTTGGTGCGAAACCGACTGAAACACAAGATAAATATTTAAATATTGCACACTAGTTTATTAATTTATTTAGTTACTATAGTTTGACGTAGCAAACATCATATATATATATATCTCATTCACAATTATATATTCTATTTGTTAAGCATAATAGATAGATAGATATATAATAATAATAATAAAGAATGAAGAGTAATTATAGATATAATCGATATAATAGAAGTAGTAATAGTTCTACTTCAAATAACAACAACAGTTATCTATCCTCTTCTTCTTCTTCGTCTTCTTCATACTATCGTCAACAACAACAACAACAATCCTTTTTCACTCAAGGTAGATCTAAATTATGGAATAATGACTTGTTGAATAGTTTTGGTAATACGATATACAATAACCCTTTGGTTGTAAAGGTGCAACCTTATGTGTCGAGGTTGTCGCAGTGGACTAGTCGAGTTGGACGTGGACGGTTGGCAATGTTGTTGCAAACACTAGTGTTGCTAATGCTGCTTGTCAACACGTTGGACAAGTTCCAAATGACAGACGATGCAGATACTACACTCACCAAGATACGAAATAATCTCTGCGGACCAATGATCGACCAAGACTCGCGTCAACCCATCTTTGGCGACGACCTTATCGCACCGTCCACCTCGCGTCAAGCCCTGTGTCAAGGTGCAAGCAGTCACACACAGTTTAAAAAGTATGTTTGGATCTTTGTCGATTCGTTGGCACACGACCAGGCAACCGACCTCGTGTCGGCATTCCGCGCACACTCTGCGCAGGCCGACTACCCGGGTGGCACCAACACGTACCGCATCCTCAACGAGGGATTCAAGTTCTCGACGGCCATCTACACGTCGTTCTTTACGGGCAAGATCCCCACCAACTATGCAGGCAAACCGATCCGTGGCGACAACATCTTTGCGCAGTTCCGCACCAGCGGCATCAAGTCGCGTTACATCGGGCCCGACTTTCCCACGTTGGGTCTGTTGGGCGACAGCGAAGAGCGCGAACGCTACTTTGACGAGTACACGATCATTCCCGACGAGACGGCGATCCTCTCGACGCTGTTTGGTGAGAATAACAACAACGAGCCGGCTACACCCGACAGCGTGTCGGCGGTGATGGACGAGTTGACGGGTGACGGAGAGACGTCGGTGATGCTCACGTCCAACCTGCTCGACGACAAGATTCACCGTCGCGGCAAGTACGACCCACCCACACTCAAACTGCTCGAGTTCCTCAACCGAAACATCCCGCTGCTCCACCAGTGGGTCGACGCACACCCCGACTATGTGCTCATCGTCAACAGCGACCACGGAGGCAGCAAGACAGGCGGCGTCCATGAAGGTGAGCTGCACGGTAAAAAGGACGAGGGTAACGAAGGGTTCATGATGATCCACAGTGCTTCGAGCAACTTTAGACGTATGATGAAGAGTGATGAAGAGCCACCTTGGTTGGACACGGTCGATATTGCACCCACACTCAGTCGATATTTCAAAGAGGTCAATATCCCAGTCGAGTCACTTGGCAAAGTACCAGTGCCACAATCAACACTCCTCAAAGCAAGTAGTATCCAGTTCCTCAAGACCGTCTATTCCGATCTATTGTCCAACGCCATCCAAATCCATCATCTTGCCACCCTCAAAGGATTCGATTTCAACGCCAACAAATATTCACGAGCCATCGAGTTGGGAACCACTGTCGAAGATGAAAAAGTACTATTAGACAAGATTCAACAACTCAACGACTTTATCGTCTCTATCAAGGGTCCTATGATTGATTTCAAGAAATATCCTGCAACTTATTTATTTTTTATTGGTATTTTAATAATTCTAATTCAAGTATGTGTCAATCAATAATAGAAATAGAATATATAATGTATTTATATTAATATAATTTAATTTATTTAATTTTTAGGTTATTAATCTTTTATATGAACCAAATTTACTTGAAGATTTAAATAATTATGTTATTCCAACAGTATTATTATTCTTCTTTTTGTATATTGATTTCTTATTTTTGAAATTTGATTATCACAAACATTTCACTCAGATATTTTCACTCTATCTTGCCATTACAACCATCACACTTTTATATATTATTGCTTGTGTGGTTAGAGATGTAACTTTGGATATGAGTAACAGCGACAATAATAATAACAACAGTAATAATAATAATATTAAAGATAGTACCATTACAATTGGAAATAATAATAATAATAATAATAATAACAATACTAATAATAATAATACTAATAATTTAAACAATAATAATAATGTAGTTGATTTAAATCAAATTAAACAACAAGAAATGGATCAACTACAACAACAACAAAACTCAACGCAACAAGAAAACCAAAAACAAATGAATTATGTTAATCCACATGATATTGTTTCTGGATTTAGTGAAATTGATATGGGATCCAATCAACTTCAACAAACACAACAACAACAACAACTACAATCTAATAATAATAGTTTCTTTGGTAATAGTAATAATGAAATGTTTATGACAACATCACAACATTATACAAATAATGAATTGATAGAATGGTTAATGACAACATTGGGATATGTATGTTATGGAACCACTGCATACTATGTATCAGCACTTATTATGGAGTATTTACCAATGGCCTATGAAAAATTCCAAGTGTTTGGACCATTACTAAACCTTGCATTGGGATCGTATTTGATCGTGACACTTTTCAAACGTCGTCAACAACAATCAGTCACCTCTCCCCTCACCGTTTTGACACTCAACAGTGCCGGATACATTGCAGTACTCGTCCTCACTTTCCTCTACGAGTTTAGTGGGTTTGTCAAGTTGATGCAACTCGGGTTCATCATTCTATTCTTTTCGTTTGGTTATCTCTTTATCACCAATCGTTTGGAAGACAGTTATATTGTGACGGCGTTGCTCCTATACACTGTGTCTACCGATGACCAACGTTTCTATCTTCTCGCCATCTACTTGCCATCGTTTTACTTTTTGACCAATATCTATAGTGGCTCCAACGTCCGATTCCTCAACCCACAGTATGGAGTCAACAAAACCATTGCAAGACTATTATTCTTCCTCCTCATCATCTTGGCCTTTGGTTGCTACATTACAATGGGCGGGGAATTTAATATGAATGTCGATGTGCGTGCAGGCAATGTAGGTCTTGTCAACATGGAAGACTATCCCACCTTTTCTGGATTCCTCATGTTGTACCACAAGCTAGGTTATTTCTTTGTGTTGGTTACCTTCCTCTTGCGATTCGCAAAGACCACTGAATCATGCTCTGAGCATTGGTCTGGCGACGTCGAAGGCCAAGGTCACTTTTCTCTAAAGTATTGGATGTTTAGATATTTGGCACAGAAAGCAGTCATTATGATGTGGATCTTTAATCTCAACTTTTGGTTGTACAAGGACTATCTAGATTGTTTTATCGTCACTATTATCATTTCAATCGTAGTCGTTGGTTATGGTGCTAGTTTATTATTGGATGATATTTGTCGTATTGCCCAACCAACTATAACTCAATTATTAATTAAATTAAGAAAATCAAGTTCTTAAGAAACAAAAAAAAATAATAAAAAAGAAGAAGTATAATTGAGATATATCAATCAAATTATCCTTTTCTTTTAAAACTCTATTATAAACAAACATAAAAAGTCAAAAAAGATTATACTATTATTATTATTCTTGTCTTGGAATAAAAATGGTAAGAGTTTGGAAATTTTTATTTCAAAAAAGGTAAGGTGTTGAATATTACATGTTGGATTATTAGTTCCAAGAGGGAGAGTTATAAATAAATAAATAGATAAATATGTGGGTTGGTATAAATAAATTAAATGAATCGAAAAAATGTGAGGAACAATTTTAGATTTTGTTGTTGTTGTTAAAAAAGTATTGTTAAACTTTTTTGATTTTCGGGTGTGTTTGTTGGATCGGATTAAAATTATTTGGTTGTTACTCGACTAATTAATTTTAATCATTTGGGTTATATAATGGATTTTCTCCAGTACCTGGTTTGGTTTCATAGAGTGGATTGCTGGTAGCAGCAGAGATCTTGTTCTCTCTGTGTTCCTTCCAGTAATCGTAACCCTTCTTGCCACCGAAGACGGCAACACCAAGGGCGACGGCACCGGCTACGACAACACCAGCAATGACACCGACAGAGACGACGGCGGCAGTCTTACAGGCGAATGGGTATGGGTCACGATCGTGGTACTCGCATTCAGCAGTTTCATTGTTGCAGACACCAACTTGACAGTTTGGACGACCTGGAGTACACTGTCTTTCGATCTTGAGACATCCGAGACGGTCGTCACAGTAACCTTCGAGACAGAAATCTGGAGAGGTACAGTTCTTGGCGGCGATTTGACACCCGAGCTTGGCATCACATACACCAACTTGACAGGCACCTTCTCCGTCTGGACAAGTGACATTGTTGAGTTGGAATCCTTCTTGAGCATCACAAGTGTAGTAGCTGCAAGCGTCTGGGTTCTCTGGGAGAGGCTTGGCGGGGTATGAACAGGTGCCGTTGGTGAGACAGACGTTGTTGGTGCAGGCATTGGAGAACTCGATGCTTTGACAGGCATTGTCGACGGCCTTGCAAGCATAGGCGTTGTCAGCTGGGTTGCAACTAGTGCATCCAGAGCAGCTGATGAATGGATGGGTGATGGCACCAGAGACTGGGTCACAGAGATCTTGAGTGCAGGCATTTCCATCGATGATGGCTGGGTTTGGCTTGAAGGTCCACTTGCCAGTGTTGGCATCACACTTGTCATAGACTTGACATGGGGCTGGGGTACCGGTACAAGCATCACAGTTGGCGATGGTGTTGACAACGCAGTCACCAACAGCAGAGTCACAAGTGTAGTACTTGCATGGGTTGACAACTCCGTTTTCAATGACGGTCGATCCACACTTGGCCTTTGAGGTACATCCTCCAGCGACGTTGGTGTCACAGAAATATGTCTTGCACTTGTCAGTTCCAAAGTTGGAGCAGTCCTTGTCGGCACGGTTACAGGTAGAGTTGTTGGACCCACAGGTAGCTACACGACAAATGTTTTCTGGTTGACAGGTGGACTTGTATTGACATCCTTGGGCTGGGTCACAGGTTTGGGTGGTACAAGCAAGGGCTGGACAAGTTGTGGGGGTAGCAACTGGATTTCCAGTGTTCTTGTCACAGGTATAGGTAGCACACTTGGTGTTCTTGGAGGAATAGTCGACATCAGTGTAGATACAGTAGGATGGGAGTTGGGAAATATCAGAGATTGGGGTGTTCCATGGTGGACATTTTCCAACCTTGCATTTGGTAGCATCTGGTCCAGAGGCATACTTGGTACAGAGATTTGGATTACAACATTCACCATTACCATTACAAACTCCACAAAAATCTAATATTAGAGAAAAAAAAAAAAAGAAAGAGTTAAAAAATTTTGAAAAATTGTACACTTGAAGATAATTACCCTTTTGAGAACAATCAAGTGGGAAATTGATTTGGAAACGCATGTGAGAACCGGTGGTATGACGCTCACAATAGAAAAAGTCAAATGGATAGATGGTACCGTTCTTGAGACCGAGATTATTGACAGTTTTGGTGTCAAAGGTGATTGAACCATCTTGGTAGGTGTGGAGACCTCCGAGATCGAGTGCAAGTTGGTTGTTGATAAAGACATAGACATCATCATCACCTCTAAAGTTGAATTGCATGACTGGGTCAGTAACCTCATACTTGAAATAGGTGTTCATCTTGAGACAGAAATGGTAGTTGTGGTAGGTCTTGCCATCATAGTAGAGCTTGTATCCAGACTCGGCATCAAAACCCAATCTCTTGGAAGAAGTTCCGTCAATTGGGAAGAAATAATCGTTAAAGTATTCAAAATAGTCACCAGTCTTGGACAAGTTGATGGTGGTGTTGAGGAAACGGGTGGAGGCAGCAGGGGTGAAATCAGAGGCAAAGAAATATTGGAATTTGTTTGGCTCATAGATTCTACCTTTGACATTGATGGCATTATTAACATCGAGTGAAACCAACTCGGGTACTTTGGTGACTGGATTAAGGGTTTTTTTGACAAGACCCTGGGTGAGGGATCCATCAGCTGGTTCAAAATTTGAATCCTTTGATGGATGATGATCGAAAATTGCTACTGTCATTGGCACTAATAATAATAATATGAGTTAAAATAATATGTTAGAAAATATTAAATAATATTATTAATAAAAAAATAAATATTATACATACTTGAATTTTGAGCATATGAAAATATGGCAAAAATGCCAATACACAAAAGTAGTGCTCCTACAAAGTGTCTAAACATTTTTGATTGTAGTTGTAATAGTAATAGTAGTATTGATAATGGTACAAATTAAATAAATAAATATTTTTAAATTAAAAAAAGGTGAAGAGAGAAAAAAAATAAAAAAAGAAGGATAGTAAGATACAAGGTAGGGTTTTTTTTATCCTTTTCTTTTTTTAAATTTATCTCTATGTTTTATATATATTTATGATTGTGAGGAGGTATTAAAACAATAATAATAATAATTTCTATTCATCACGAGACAGGAGGGAGGTTACGACTTTCTTTCTTGGTCGAAAATCATCGGTGGAATGCGTTGGACAGAATTAAAAAAAAAAAAAAAAACAAAAAACTGTTTGCATTGCTCGATCCACGGATAAAAAAGGGTGGGTCGACGATGTTGTCCCGTCTTCCTCAGTTTGTCACGTTTAACGTAAAAGGCTGATGGTGTCCCCATTTTTTCATCAGAATATGGCATATGTTTCGGTCGTCCCGGTACCTGTTTTGCTGAAAACTTAATTTCATTTTCAAACACAGTTCTCGTTCAAGGCTAGATCAAAAAACCAACCACGAGATAATTAAGTGAAAAACAACACACTTTGTCCATCCAGTGAAACGCAACATCATCGCCCAAATAAGAATTAACCCTTTAACGACCTCTCTATACCCCCTCATCACCATCATCGTACCCTTCTCTCTCTCTGTCAATCTATGGCCGCTACCCACACTTGTCTCTCAACTCAACCCTTCAAAACCCTTTGTCTACTCGTTTCTCAACTTTACAACATTGTTAAAAAAACAGATCAGATGCTCTTAGAGATTCTCTCCTTTCCTTAACTTAAAATAAACATCCATAAATACATCATTCATACACAGCACAACAAACAAATTGGCTTGGCTATTACTCTAACCCCAACCCAACCGCCGACTGCAGAAAGACAACATTAATCATACTAGTGTTATAATATTCTTTTCACTTATCGGTGCAAAGACAGCTTGATTGATTGATCAATTATAATATTACCCGCTCTTTTCATTGTTACCACCACCAATATTCTTAACTTAGAGTAGAAGAACCCCCATCTCGTCACAGTTACATGTTCAATCCCACGGTCGTCGATTTATCATCGGACAAACCACCACCACCTTTTAAAAAAAAGTAGTCGCTAATAGTTTCTGTGCAACGTGGTTATGAAATTGCATCGATGATAGATCAAGATTAGGTTTTAGAACCATTCACCAATACCAAACCCCCATTTATTTTGATGATCGATCATCATTCAATTTGTATGAAAAAAGATTTTGATGGTCGTGTTATGGTTGGGTTAGTGTTGGAAATGGTTGTAAAGATAAAAAGACATTCACAAGTACGGAATGTATAAAGAGAGCGAACTTTGGATCGATGGGATAATAATTCAATTAAAGAACATGAATGGGTTAAGGGTTCTTTGTTGGTTTGATTGCAATAATAGAATCGATTCAATCAATCAAATCGAGTTCAAGTTTGTGTAATTCCTGTCTTTTCAATCGAGTGATTCATCAAACTGATATACTTAAAAGTACCAACATTATATAATATTTTTAAAAAAAAAAAGTAAATTTAGAAACATAAAATCGTCAAGTTACCTTGAACCTCTCTCTCTCTTTGCCAAATATTTCAAGAAGAAGAATAATATTAATTAAGGAGCAAAACTAAAAAAATAATAAAAAAAATTGATAAATGGTTGGTTGAATCTGGAAAGATATCCATTGAGGTTTGTTTAGATTTTGAATTTTCAGTTGGTTGTGAATATTCATTTACATATAATATGATTCCCGCTACTATAGTTAACAAACTATAATATTAATAATACATTCAACTCAACTACAACTTAAAAATACTACAACACTAAAGATGACACTTTAAAACAATAGAGAGAAAGAGTATAAACATATAATATAAATATTTAAATATAAATATCGAAAAGGATAGGAAATGAGTCCTTTAATGTGTGTCGTATTAGTTTTGGCATTTATTTTCTTTATTCTAACCAATGTTTTTAAGACCATTTTATTTGGTTGCCAACTGTATAAATCATCGAGAACTACTCCTAGTTCAGCACACCATCATATCTATTTTAATTAATTAAATCATTAAATATTATTTATCAACAACAACAACAACAACAACAACAATAACAACAACAACATTCGATTTTTCTATAACTTTATATATTAAGAGACGCCATTGCAACAAATAGTATTTAAAAAAAAATTAATTAAAAAAATCAATTTAAAAGGAAATAACCTTTTTGTAGGACTTTCATTCAAATTATTTCATTTACTGCAAGCCTTCTCTTTTATTCTCTTCAACTATATACCTTTGAGAAATTCTCAAATACACAAACATAAACAAACAAACAAACAAACAAACAAACAAACAAACAAACAAACAAATAAGAATAATAATGGAATTTAAAGAAAATATATTAAAGATATTAAATCAACAACCTAGTAACCAAGATGTTAAATCAATTCGTGATGAATTTGATCTTACTGTCTATACATTGCATCTATTGACATGTATGTTGGGTTACAAATGTATCGGTATAACAGAGAAATCAAAGAGTAACAGTAGCAACAACAACAACAACAACGAAGAAGATACTATGAAACTACCAAATGGTTGGAACTCTAGCAATGATAGTTACTGTCTCTTTTATCAAAGCAACTCTGACCCATCCGTCACCTTTATCATAAAGTCGCTTCGTATGGGTGATACATTGATCCTCAATGGAATGCCAGAGGTACAAAAGAATAGAATTGTTTCTTTGGATATAGAGTATGTCATAGGTTCACTTAAATATAATATATAAATAACTAACTTACTCTTCTTATTCTTCTTCTTTTTGTCTTGTTTATAAAGTTTGAATCAATTGGTAGCTCACAAAGACTTCAAATTATTATCAGACTTTAAGAATGCCTTTAAGAATTTGGATCAATTATTGACAATCTATCAAACCAGTATCATTAGAAACGTCGTTCCACAAAAGATATCACCTCTACAAGAAAGTGAACATACCATTGAAAAAGACAAGTATGTTCAAATTATATTACAGACTATTTATAGTTATTAACTCAACCCAACCATTATTGTAGAAAAACATTTAAACATGAAGATAATAGTGAACCAAAGAAACAATTCAATCCTGATCCTTTGATGGTAGGTGGAGGAGGTAGAGGAGGAGGATATGGTTATGGAGGTGGCCATGGATTTGGATCAGGTGACTCTGACCTGTATGCAGACTTTATGCCACATATTCCCAATACAGTTGGTCCTGCTGGTTTCAACCCAGGACTACGTGGTGGTAGCAACATTGATAGAAACCATCCTGGATTTGGTAGAGTTCATTTCCCAAATGGCAGCGATGACTATCATAACAGTGGATTGCCATCATCTGAATTCATTCCTCGCGGTGCTGTTCCACCAGGTGCTAGATTCGATCCATTCGGTCCTCCAACTGGACAACCCAATAATAGAAAACCATCACAAAATAATAGATATGGTGATGAGTTTGCTCCTCCAAAATTTGATAATGTATGAATTTATATATACTCCCATCTCTTTTAAAAATAATTATACAAACTCATCAATTATTATTATCTTTTACTTTTAGGATTTTTATTCTTAAACAAACAATAACAACCACAATAACAATCGATAAAGGAATATATACATTTATATATTTTAACCTTTGATTGAATAAAAAAATATCATTTTTTTTTGTACATAGAAATTTTAATAACCAATTAATTAATTGGTTTGGTTGCTTGACTATATATTTATTATTTTATCTGTCCACCAACATGGATCTTGTTTTTCGAGTCTAATAATTGAAGATGCAGAGTTTCTCTTGATATTATCGTATTTACATTTAAAAGGTGTTTGCCATTTCATTTTGGTGTTGTATTCTATGATTGTATTGGGTTTGTCATTGTTCATTACATCTTTGCACTGAACATCCATTTGATCCTGTCCTTGGTCAAATATAACTATCCAGAGATATTGTAATGATTGTTTAATCGTATGTTTTGAATATGAAAGAGGTGATTGTTCAATTGTTATTTCAATCCATGGAATACCATTTGATAAATCTATCATACTTTTATCTTGATCTATTCGTTGTTGTTGTTGTTGTTGTTGATGATGTTGATGAGAGTGAGAAGAGTTGTGGTTATGACCACCATGATGATGATGAGTATTATCATCTTCCAAAACCTTTGTAATGATTGTAAGTATTTTAGTTTTCTTGTTAAATTTTGCAATATGATTCTCTTCATCTATGACTGCTGGGAATTTGATAACAAGATTATATTTTTGGTTTGGTTCCGATAGTTTTAATTGTTGATCCTCAATCTCTACATAGAGTGAAGATATATCTTTTAATCGATCCAATTTAATTTCCAAATGAATAGATGTCGGCAAGACTATAGGATTATCAATCACCGATCCATCATTACCCAACTTTGTAAGTGAATATACCGGTGTAATCGTTCCATCCTCATTGATTATTTCCTTTTCCTCTGGTTCCTTTAAATTGACCAAAGGTTCTTCCAATTTTGAAACTGTCATTGATTTGATAAATACTCTTTTGATAATTTATATGCTTAAACAAAAATAAATAAATAATTAAATTAAATAAATTAATAATTAAATAAATAAATAAATATCAATACCCCCTATCTTTAAGTTAACTATACATACCAGCAATATTTAAAGATTCACTATATTGTTGTAAAATAGCTTTACAAGCTGTTTGAATGAGTAAACGATTCAATGCCTTGTCTCGCGTTGATTGATTAAATGTTTCTGTCGAGAATACGATATGATAGACATTGTATGTTTTCTTTTGTGATGGTGACTTTTCTAGAGGAAATAAAACATGAGGAATGATCCATCCCTCTCCAGGAGCAGTCGATGCAGGTTCTATAGAATAATAATGAGATATCATTACATGAACTAATTTTCTTTGATTACTATGAGTCTTGAAACAAAATCCACTTTCAACATTTACAACTTGATTGATTAGTTGTTGTTCTTTTTCTTCTTCTTGTTTGGATTCAGTAATATGAGGAGTTGATGTTGTTGTAGTTGTAGTCGTAGTCGTAGTCGTAGTTTCTATAGATGAAAGAGTACTATCATCAGCTGATGATTTGATAGATCTATCATTATCATCATCATCATCACCACCATCATTAACATCATCATCAATCTTGTTCTTTACAGTTGAATCATCTTGACCAAGATTGATTTTAGGTTGATTGACCAAGTCATAGTATTCAATCAATGACCCTAATATCTTTGGATCTCTTAATGCATTCGATAACTCTTTGTAATACTAAAAATAATAATAATAGACAATTATTAATAATGCGTGTCCTTTGCTGTTAGCTATAGTAGCAGTAGTAGTTGTTGTTGTTGATAGTAGATTACCTTTTTGTCAATGAAATGATCATCATTATCATCATTATCACCTTGTTTATGATTATTCATTCATCACGCTAACTATTCGGCCTACGTACTGTGAATTTTGATAAAGTACACTATTTTTTAGACAACAAAATAGAAATTAATTTATTCTCAAAACGGTCAGGGGATCAGATTTCCCAACACGAGGATTGACCCGATGGAGACTACAAGATATTTTGCTCCAAAAAATGATCATGTCTTTGTGTTTCGTTGTTGATCAGGAGGCTGCATCGTTTCGGCAATTGAAGAGCCTCTTCATCGAATCAAGATATTTACAAAAAACAAGCATTGTTTCGTTTTTTCGGGGGTTTGTGGGGAAGCCCCCCCACGTTTGCACCTTCAGATCTAACTGGGGTTGGTTCCAGACCCTGCCTTGTATGGCCACATCCACCTAGAAAAGTTTGGAAGCAATCGTTCATGGTTGGTTGGAGGAAATTCTTCAGGATTAAAAAATTGAAAGGACAACCATTCACAAAGGGTAGACTAGAACAAAAGAGCAAAGGGTTGTTTGTTTGAAAATTTCGGCACATACACGAAATAAAAAGAAAGAGAGATATAAAAATAGATATACACATAGATACAATTTCCATTCAACTTTCACTCTACCTCACTTAAAAACAATCAAAGAGAGAATAGATATAGATATAGATATAGATATAGATATAAATATAGATATACAGCCATTCTCATCATTTTCTCTAGTTGATCCATTAATAATATGGTTTCCAAAACAAATAATAATAATGTTTTAATTTTAATGATATCTATTTTGTTCTTTTTGACCATATCTGGGTTTGGTGTTAATGGACAAACGGCAGTTCCAAATTTCGTCTTTACCAACCCAGTCAATCAACACACCTACACCTATGTCAACACTACAGCAATCACATGGGCAACTGCAAATGCCGCAGCTATTGCAGCTGGAGGGTACCTGGCTACCATCACATCACAAGATGAAGGTGAATTTATTGTCAAGAATGTATTACGTATGTATCTACTTTTTACTCCTCTTACACAACACACAGACAAACAACATACACTTATAATGATCATTCCATTACCTTTTCCCAAGCCCGTTGATATTATCGTATAACCCAACCAACCAACCAAACCAAACGACATCTTACATCCTTCAACTCAACCCGATATTTCCAGTTGCACCAACAACGTTCATCATTTTTTAAAATATTTTTGATTTCATTTTTTCCACCTTCAATTTCCTTTTTTGTCATTTTCAACCATCACGTTCTATGTTCTATTCTTTTTCAGAGATATATCTCTCTAGATACTTACAATCTTCTTCATCTTCCTCCTCCTCCTCAATTATGTCTTACAGAATCAAGTGTATTATATGTATGGATAGGACATCATAGTAATGCATCGGTTGATAGATCTATATTCAGATTTGAAGCAGGTCCTGAGAAGGGATTGATATCATATGAAAGAAAGACGAATCTATGTAGTTTTTGGTGTAGTTGGACACCATACCAACCAGACAATTCACCACTAGAGGCGTTTGTTTCATTCTATGCTAGTCAGATGTGGAATGATTATACGGCTACTGCATTACTGACAGGATACATTCTTGAAAAGGGTGGTACGACCGACCCATTTACAAGCTCGATTGGCACTGAAGGCGGGAACCTCATCATCTACAATATCATTGGTATCAACACTACAACTGCAACCGTCAAGTTCACTGCCAATTCTCTTGGTCGACCAGACCCACCAATCTACATGGTGTCTCGTACCACTGCAAATCAATTAACTGTCTCTCTTCAAACTGGTCTAATTGGTTATTACGATGTTATTATCAGTGATACTATAGTAACTAAAATAATTAAAAAGAATCCTGTTCAACGTATGTAAAGAGATAAAATTATAAGAAGAAGAAGAAGTAGATTCACATTCATTCAGAGTACTTTACTTACATTTTATTTAATTTAAATTTGTAGCACCACATATTTCATCGATTGTACCAGGATATAAAGTTGGTGATTTAATTACAGTGAATGGATTAAACTTTGGAAATAATATTAGTTTGATTGATTATTTCTACTTTTCTTCATGGTATGTTCCATGTACACCTGTTTCCTACAGAGTGACACATCGATCGTTTATATGTAGTTTGACACAACAGATTTATGCCGATCCTATAGTTGGCAACACAGCTGTTAACCTTGGTATCATGAGTATATCAGTTGGTGGTATTTCAAGATTAAATATTACTAGAGTTCCCATTTGTATGTACACTATTGGATATATCAATCTTTAAGATATACTAATTATAATAATGTTTGTTTTATTTTAGACAATAGTTTAACAAATAGTTTAATAATGTATAGTGGTAATCCAAGAGGAGTATTTACAAACTATTTTTCATATGAAACAATGGCATCGGTAGTATTGACTCCTCAAAGTCCAAACGAACACAATTTAATGAGAAATCTAAATCCTGTCAATTGTGTCTATGATTCTAATCATGTTGTTGCTGGATATAATTTTAAAGCAGGTCCAAATATAGGTGCCTATTTCATTAATAGTACTGCAAAAACATATAGTAATGCATTGGTTGTTGGCTGTCTAGGTGTTGATGCTGATGTTTATACTCAAGGTAAGAAAGAAAAAGAAAAAGAAAAAGAAAAAAAGAAAAAATATAAATATTTATTTATTTAATACTTTATTTTTATTAGTTGTAACAAATGGAATAGCATTTAATACTGTATCAAAAAAATTCTCAAATGGAACTATTCCAGCATATTGGTACTATCAATTTTCGTTTGCACCAACTGTTACTTTTACAACGAATGGAACGTTGACACTTGGTACACCTGGTGGATGGATTATTTTGCTTGTGAGGGGTATGCGATTGACTAGTGGAGTGTATACGGTGAAGCGTGGAGCTGTGCAGATATCGGCTACCGTCATACCATTTACAAACAATGGATCGATTGGGTTGACGGTGCCACCGAGCACAGGTGCAGCACAGCCATTGTCAGTGACGGTCAATGGTATTGCTAGCACGGGTATCAACTCGTACACGTTGGCAATCTCCAAACCGATCATGACATCTTATACAGGAGTACAGTCGTATGGTGGTATCATGACTATCACGGGTGCCAATTTCGGTACGACAACTTCACTGCCACTGCTCAAAGTATTTATAGGCGGTACGCAGTACACACCTACTCTTATCACTGCACATACCAAGTTTTGGATCAATATTACCAAGGGGTCGGGTATGCTACCCTCCAACATTACACTGGATGGCCAGACGGTCGCTTTCAACTTTACATACATGACGCCGGTGATTAGCCCGACGTTTGTCCAGGCGAGCAAGGTCATCTCGCTCACATTGACAAGTTGTGGGCCTGATGTCGCGCTGACAACGCTTACATATGAGAATGCTGTCATTCCGACATTCACATACCCCTCACAAAAAGTTCTGTCCTTTACACTGCCCGACACTGCGTCGTCTGCCAACGTGATGGTCAAGTACGGTACACTGTCGTCGGCCAATGTGCTTTTGACGCTGCAACCGATTATTGTGTCGTTAAATCAACTGCCCTACACGGGTGGTGTCTTGTCGATATCTGGGTTCTTTATGGGCGGCACCACGAGCGTGTCGGTCGGTCCGTACACCTTTGCGACGCCAGCATTCGTCACTGTGAGCACTCGTCTCATCACAGTCACAACCACATCGGCGAACCGCGGAGTCAATCTCGAGGTCAAGGTGTTCAATGCCAAGAACTCCAACTCACTCTTTTATAGTTTTGGTCCCAAGATCACGTCGGTTACCCATGATGGACAGCCATCATTGACCATTGCAGGTGATAACTTTAATATTGCTGGTACTCCAGGCACGACCATTAAAGTTGGCACTATATCCTTCTCGCCAACCGTGTCAACGTCGTCGGCCACACTGATGATTGCGCCCATCCCTACGACACTTCAAAATGGTAAGCTGACTGTCACCTCGAGTGGTGTCGTCACTACACCAGACATTGATTTCTATTTGACACCGTATGTCTATTCGGTCGGCTCGGTCGGTACTGCCGGTGGCCAAATCACCATCCTCGGAAAATACCTCAATCTCTTGCGAAACAATGGAACTGCTACAACGCTGTCAGTGACTGTTGGAGCGACACCCTGCACGGCACCCAAGAATGGAGTCGACAACCAACAACTGATCTGCACAATGCCGGCTGGATCAGGGTCTGGTATGGCTGTTGTGGTTGTGGTCGATGGTATTACAAGTACAGGTAGCGCCGTCTTTGCGTACGGTCTACCATCCATCACTAGCTTTACACAAAATACCGCCAAGATTACCATTAATGGATTAAACTTTGGTAGTGTAGTGTCGGATATCACCGTGACATTGGTGACAGAGACACTGACCGGGTGTGTGCTGACTCTGGCCAATGCAAGGGTCGAGTGTAATCTAACACCCACCTCTCAGAGTGGAGGTGTCACTATCAAGGTCAAGACACAGTTGTCGGGTGCCTATGTGGTCAGCTTGAAACCTACTCTTACCACCGTGACGGCACAGTCGTCGCTCGGTGGTGTCATCTCGATCCAGGGCAGCAACCTCGGTATAAGCGACGTGGTTGGCACGAATGTGACCATCACTGTGGGCGGTACCCAGTGCCAAGACGCAACTTCGACATCGGCAGGCATTGCCACATGCAACGTGTCGGCTCTCCAAGCATCCTTATCAACCATCCCACAGATCATAGTCTATATAAACGGATTCCAAAGCTACAATCAAATCGCCTACAAGTACACAGCACCAGTTTTTACGGTCGCGCAGGATGGCAATACAGTCGTGGTAAGTGGAGTGAGTTTGGGATTGGTCAGTCCGCAAGTTGTGCTTGTTGGGTTGAAACTAACATGCACCTATATTACCCTGCACAGTAAAGTGCGATGCACGCTCCCAACCGATGCAAAGAATGGTGATTTGTACTTTGCAGTCAATGGATTCAACGTGTCTAGTCCGACAATACTAACACCTGTCCTCAAGTCAATCAGTGGTACTCCCACACAGGGTGGGTACGCCACCATCAATGGATACTATTTTGGCAGTGTTGTAGATGGTGCTGTCACGACTGCCACCGTGGGCAGCATGGATTGCACGGATGTAGAGCCTGTGCAGACGGTACTAGTCAACGGCATACGTTGTGTGGTCGCGTCGGCACTACCACCCAACTCGGGTATCAATGTGACGGTCGCCGACTTGATCAGCACGAATCCCGAAAATGTAATGTTTAACTACCTCGCACCGGTGATACATTCGATTACAATGCTGCCAACCGACAATATATTAACAGTGGCCGGTGACAATTTCGGTCTGCTGTCTATCGGCGATGATATAGAGTTGACGGCCACTGAAACAGTGCGTCAGTGCATGCAAGAGGACGGTATCGAGTCGCCTGTCTACTGCACGATCGATCCGCTGACTCAACTCAACGGCGATGTTTTATTGACACGTAACTTTATGTCGTCGGTGCCATTTACACTGGCACTCGTACCAGCCGTGCAGTCGGCGACTGCTGTGCCCTACTTGGGTGGCCAAATTACGCTCAAGGGAGGGTACCTCAACACCAAGCGTTACGACGGCAGTGACACTGACCTCACTCTATCTGCCACGTTTGGCGGTACCGGCGAGCCAACCCTAGCCAGCAACTGCATCCAACTAGTCAATGAGACGAGTATAGAGTGCTCACTCCAAGGTGGTGCGCATGGTAAATCCAACCTACTCCAAATCAGCATCGATGGCAAGACATCAATTCCCATCAAGTTCCAAGGTGTGCCACCTATTGTCAAAGAAGCAACAAGTGTGTTGTATCGAAAGGGTGGTAATGTCACCATCAAAGGTTACAACTTTGTTGAACCTCTCTCTGTCAACATTGGTCTAGAAACTTGTTTCAATATCACATATATCGACTCTACTCAAATCACTTGCAAGTTTTCTGGACAGGCACGTAGAACTGATCCAGGTATCGGTCTATTTACCGAAGTAATTAGCGACGGGCTTGTAGGTGGTGCCAACGTCTTTTTCTACAGCGATGATATACCGTGTGGAGGATCTCCACCGTGCTCGGGTCATGGTGTGTGTTTGTCGGGTGGCAGTTGCCAGTGTAATAGTGGTTATGTCGGGCTCATATGCGACCAGTCTTCGACGTCGACCAACAATGGAGGTAGACCGACCGGCGATCAAAGCAATGCCGACTTTTCAGGCTTTTCCGTCTTCTTTACGCATATTCGAGAGTTGGATATCAACGACGTCCCCATTGTCACGTATCCCGTGTCAGATATCGTATGGAAGGTCGTCTCCAACACCACCAACCAGATGATATCGGTTGGCAAACTCGAGTACGAACCCAACTTTAACATCAGTGTCACGACTACCATCTTCCCCGACGAGACAGTCATTACCTTTGCCGGTGAGGAACTGGTCATGGCCAAGAACTCACTCAAGTACCAACTCGATCTTGCACACTGGTTCTTTAGAACGAGTGTGAGCAGACTTCAACTCTTGTACGAACTCAACACACCACCAGGTGACAATTGCGATGAAAACGCCGACTCTAATGGAAACCAGTTTGGTGGTGACGAGTCGGATCTGAGATGGGTACAAATCACCGTCAACGAACAAACCCTAATCACCAAATTCTCTCAACGATACATTATCGACAATGATGTCATTCTGAGTAATACAGCACTACTACAACCCAACGATGAAATCTTTAGTGATCCCTATTATGTTGCCAAACTCAATGCAACCAATTCAACATCTCTCTTGGTTGTTGGAATGTATGTTCCCAATTTTCAACGTAGTGCTATTATAGATCCAAACTTTTCAGTTTTAGTTGTAAGTCATCCAAAAGTAATAATATTAAATAATTTGCGATATTAATATATTATTGTCTTTCCAATTTATATTTCTAGTCTGAAGCAAAGAAATGTAAAACTTCAACGGTTATTACTTGGTGGGCTGCATTGATTACCGTTGTTGGTGCAGCGATTGGATCAGTTTTGTTTTCATTTACAGTGGTTCAGGTACAAAAGAGAAGATTTAAAAGAGAGGATATATCAATGGAAACTATCACAGCCGAAGGATATAACCAAGAGAAAAAGAATATTGTCCAAGATGCTGTTTTAGGATAGATCGATAGATCGATAGATAGATATATAGATATATTGCATCAAAACATTAAAACCTTTTTGGTCAAAAATACTCTACTACTGTCTGTGGTTTAAACAACAACAAACAAACAAAAAATAAATATTGTAAATCTTGTTGGGTGGTTCTATACCTACACAAAAATTTAAAATGCGGTTGACATTTATTTAGATTTGCAAATAGGTCTGCATATGCGCAGGGGCCGAGTATCTCGAAAAAAGATGTCTCCCCAAGTTTTTTTTCCTTTTTGGAACAGGTATCCCTCAAAGTACAACACTTACGTAACCGAAAACAGTTGGTTGGTGTTATGTGAAATGCTAAAATTGGATCTTAATTTATTCCTAAAAGGGGAATGATCAAAAATCATTTTTCCTTTTTCATTCGGTTGGCTAGCCCATCTCTCTTTGGATGAGACACGCTTTGAATGGGATTAATAATAATAATAATAATAGTCAGCCCACGATTTGATGGGAAAGCCTCTCCCCTCCTCCTCTCGCTATTCTCTTCTCTCAATCCCAACCAACACATCACCAATTGAATTTATTTAATCCAATCTTGAAAAACATACATTATACATTCCTCCAACATTTTCTTCTTTTTGGAAAATATTTTATTGAGTAAAGAAAGAAAGAAAAGAAAGGAGTGACTACATTGACTATATTATAATATTATATTATATAATACCACTTCTTTCTTTTTTTTTGACATTGTAGTAGTAATAGTATTAGTAGTAACCCCCAAAGTAAGCTTCTTCTTTTTCTTCTTCTTCTTTCATCCAACACCCAATCTTCCTATTATAAGTTATAAGAGAGAGAGAGATAAAAATAACATACAACCACGCGACTCTACTGTAGAGATTTTTTCTTTCGAACACACAAAACAACTACTACCTACACCACTCACAACACAAAACACAAAACACACAAACTCCTACTAGTAACAACAACAAAAGAACAGCAACTATTGGTGGGAAAGGAGGATAGGACAGGAGACTGCTACTTGAATTGACTTGCTTGACTGCTTGTTGTTGTTGTTGTTGTTGTATTAATAACATTAATCATCCCAATCCTTGCTAAAAGACCAATAATTCTAAAGACCATTTTTTATTTATTTACTTTATATTTAAAAATAGAGTAGCTAATTACCCCCACAGTATTACAAATTTCCACCACCACAACTTCAACAACTTGACAACTTTGTACTTCACATGGGTTTTACTTTCTCTTCTTCTTATTCCTCTTCCTCTTCTTCTTCTTCTTGTTCTTGTTCTACTCGTACTCTATTTTGGAATCAGAATTGATTAAAGAGAAACAACAACAAATAGATAGATAGACAGACAGATAGATAGAACCACAGCTGACCTGTGATTGTTGTATCAACCAACCAAACCAAACCAAACCAAACCAAAACAAAACAAAACAAAGCAAAGCATATCTTATCTTTTATATATAATACTACTAGTATATCGGCACGCGACCAATGCACCAACACCTACAAGGAAACTATCGAAACAATAACGGAGGCGGCGGCGGCACCAACAGGAGCAGGTCAATGGACCTATCTCACATTAACCTAGAGACCAACAACCGAATTCAATATAGCCTAAAGAACGCAGGGCTCAGTGTCAATTTGTTACCATCGTTTCAACAACTACAACAACAACAACAACAACAACAACAACTACTACCTATACAAGGTAGTGTTTGTAATAGTATAGGTACAAATATGGTGAATGGTAGCAATGGTAATATCACCAATAATAATAATAATAATAATAATAGTACAATGACATCAACATCGACAACTTCAACTTTAACTTCTACCAACACATCCTCTTCATCGACACAAACAGGAATTGCAAGTTGTTTGAATAATTCTACTACTCCTCTACTTTCACCTTCACAAATAGTGTCGTCTTCACTGCCTCCACTTCATCCACCCAATACATTACCAATCATTCCTTCTTCTTCTTCTTCTTCCTCATCTTATCCACCCCCACCAACTTCGATAACGTCTTCGACGTCGGTATCATCGTCGTCATTAGCAACGACGTCTCCTTCACCACCCGAACTACGTCGAAGAGAGCGAATCAAGTCGTTTAGTTGGACGGTTGGCGAGTCAGGCACTAATGCGAGAGTGTCTGAATTGTCAATGACATCGTCCAAGAGCAAGTCGCTCAAGAACGAGTTTACAATACTGTACGACATTTTAAAGACGCCAGAGATCAACACGAGTCACCACATCCACAAGGCGTTGCCGACGACCACCAATTTACACGTGCCCAAATACAAGACACTCCTCATTCAACATCCGACCTCACCCAACCGACAACTACTCACCAACCTTCTCATGAGACGTGGCCACAATGTCACCACGCTCCCAATCGACATCAACATGATCAAACAAGTACATACTCAAGACCCATTCACGCTCTTTATCTATAACCAATCACCGCATATCGACCAACCTGTACATATCGATGCACTTTCATCTTTTCCCTTAACCTCTTTACCCTCTTCCAACAACAACAACTCCAACTCTAACACCTCCAACTCACCCAACTCCCCATCCTCTTATCACCATCAGTATCACCATCATCATATCCAACATGTTCAACAACAACACCACCAACAACAAATCGAATATATACCAAACAATGACTCTATAGAATTTTGTAAATCTCTTCGTTGTGTAGTTGGAAATCATTGTGTCATTATAGTGATTGCAGAGAGTAATAATCCTCTCGAGTATGCATCACTCATTGATGTTTGCAACGATTATATCCCACAACCACTTTCACCTGTTTTGCTAGACGTACGGTTGACGTGCGCCGAGCGAATGATTTCAGACCAGCGATCGCTACTAAAGAGCGAGGAACTGACGGAAAGCGCAAAGCGAATGGTTTCTTGCGTCGAATTTATGCAAGATGGCATTGAAATATGGGATCCCAATGGACACATTAAATATTTGAATCATTCGGTGGCTGCCACATCTGGATACTCGCGATGGGAGTTGCTTGGCAAGGAGTTTTCTTTTCTTATCGACAACCAAGAACTCATTCCTCAGATGTGGGCCACCATCACTGGTGGAAAGAATTGGAATGGTTTTATACGCACCAAATGCCATGTCACCAACCAAGTGATCTATTTTGAAACAAACATCTCCCCTGTATATGACTCTTTTGAAAAACTAATCTATTACAACTGTATAAAGCGTGATGTCACGCAAAAGCGAATCGACGAGGAATCTCGTACCATTGAACAAGAAAAGACACTCGAAAAGTCTCGTCTGCGTCTCAGTATGATGTCACATGACATTAGAACTCCAATGAGTGGTATCATTGGTATGACTGACCTATTATCAGAGACTGATTTACATCCTCAACAACGTCATTATCTTGATATCATTAAAGTATCTTCAAATTCTTTATTAACAATTATAAATGATCTTTTAGATATTTCAAAGGTAAAACAAATTCAACAACAACAAAAAAGAATCATAACACAAATTTAATAACCTTTTATTATTTTTCTTTTAGATTGAAGCAGGTAAATTTGAAGTTGATAATATTGAATTTGACTTTAGAGATGCAGTTGAAGAAGTTTGTGAATTAATGGGAGAAAGAGCTCAAGCCAAAGGATTGGATTTAATTTGTTCTGTTCATCCATTGGTTCCACAAAAATTAATTGGTGATGCTAGTAGATTAAAACAAATTTTAACAAACTTGGTAAATATATCAAAAAAAAAAGAAAAAGAATAGACTTTATAGAGTGTACATTTCTCTTATTCCTTTTATTCTTTTTTTATAGTTGGGAAATTCTGTAAAATTTACAGATATTGGAGATATTATTATTGCTTGTACATTACAACATATTGATCAAGATGATGTAGATATAAGAATCGAAGTAAAAGACACTGGAATTGGAATAAAAAAGGAAGCACTTCCTTTGTTATTCAAGGCGTTTACATCGGCATGGCAAGCAGAGGGAGGCAATATCACTCGACAGTACGCAGGCAGCGGCTTGGGACTTGCTATTTGCAAGGAACTGGCCCAACTCGCTTTTAACGGTGAGATTGGTGTCGAGAGCCAGTATGGAGTTGGCAGCACCTTTTGGACGCATCTTCATTTCAAACCAGTTCAATCGACTATTCAATCGACGATTGCTCGCATTCAAGATATTAATATTAATTCGTCGTCACCGTCCAAGATTCTTGGACTCGCCAATGGATGCTCGTCATCTTCGTCTACGATTTTAGAAGCTCAACCAACATTATTGGCTACACCACCTGCTGCTGCAGCGGGACCTGTTGAACCGGTACTCGAGTACACCTCACCAACCATGTTTCCCTTGTCACCGTTACCCCCCTCGTCACTTACCATTGCACAGCAGATTGATATGGAGAATCTCACCGTCAGCTCTTTCAACAACCCACCCAACTTTGGAGGTATCAGAGTACTTTTGATTGAAAAGAAACAGAGTCAGAGGAATATACTCAGACAACAATTTGAAGCGTGGAATATCCAACTAGAGACAACAACCGACGATGTCAGTGCGATGCAAATGTGGAATCAAAAGATTAAAGAAGACAATCCCTACTCTGTCATTATCATGGACTCGTTGACCATTGGCGAAGGTTCTCTCACTCTCTCACAAAACATCACCAAAAAGTCACATGGAAAAGCAAATCCAGTCCGTTTCCTCCTTCTCCTTCCTCTTAAAATGCGCAGTGCCGTGCTTGAATCAGAAGCAAGAAAGTGTGGTATCGGTGAAATTGTTACCAAACCATTAAGAATGTCAAAATTATTAGATAGTTTAGTTACTATTTTAGGTGTATGTAGAAAATTAAAAAAAAGAAAAAAGATAGAGAAACCATTAGTTACTAATATATTAAATATTTTCTTTTCTTTTTTAGTTTAAAAAGAATAAACCAACAGTAAGAATTAAACCAGAATCATTACTTGAATCTCCACATGATTTAATGGAAATTCGAGTTTTGGTTGTAGATGATAATGGAGTAAATCGTCAAGTTGCACTTAGAATGATGCAGTCGGCTGGATGCAATGCTGATCTGGCCAGTAGTGGAATGGAAGCATTGGATAAAATGGAAACAACCCACTATGACATTATATTTTTGGATATCATGATGCCTCAAATGGATGGATTCCAAGTGACCAAAGAGATTAGAGAACGAGAAGTACAAAAGGGAGTCACGAGAATGATTCCTATCGTCGCAATGACAGCAAATGCTTTCAAAGAGGACGAAGCTCAATGTTTAAAGTGTGGTATGAACGATTACATTCCAAAACCAATGAAAATAAGTCAAGTTAGACTCATGATCAACAAATGGAAACATTACATCTTTAATCAAAATCTCTCCAATCAACAATAAATAATAATTATTCATTCTTTGATTGATTGATTGATTGATACATCAAAAAAACAAAGAATTATCTGATGACCATCTTTTACCAACGGGTATCCATTATCCGTCTGTCCGCAATGGTGTGGAATCCAAACTTAGGATCAACGATGTGGATGTTGTTGGAAACAAGTGGTTATATTTATTATCTTTCTATAACATAAAAAAAAAAAAGTCAACAGATAAGTGAATCATGTTTTATGAAAAAGTCAATCCTTTCAGATAATCTCTAATTCGAGTGACGAGTATTGTGTGTGTGATTGAAGTCACTCACCCCGAGACAACTACAACTATGAGATTTTTTGTTCTTGAAACCACACCACAATAATCCGCAACAACCACGAGTTTGAGGCACCCACCCATCTATTTTTAAAGGGGTGCCTTTTTTTTGAAACCAATCGTTCTTGGGAGTATTTGCTTTGATGTAAGAAGGGATGAACACAAAAGTCAACCTGTCGTACTCATACATGCATCAATGGCTGATCATTCATTCATTAGACACACTCACAAAACCAGGTTTCAAAAAGATACACACATATAAACACGCGCGCATCATCATTCATTGTATCATTAAAATTTTAACCCAATCAACACACAGATAGATCGTGTCAAGTTAGAATCACAATATATATAGTAGAGGGGAGGGTTTGTAACATATTTTTAAATTCCTCTTTTGGTTTAATACTAGACAGGAGACTGCTTGCTATTAATTAAACATTAAAAACAAAGAGTTCAAGATAAGAAGAGACTTGACTTTCCCTTTTAATCATTGTTTAACACATCATCAAAAACATGAAAGGTATTTATTTATAAACATAGAAACATATAAACATGTTTATTTTTAGAACGAATCTTCGATCAATTGATCTAACTTTTTTTTTTTTTTTTTTTTTCATATTTTTTTTTACTTTTATTGATTATCATAGTCAAACAATATTACGACTACTTGTTTGTAGTCACCATTCTACTTTTTCTTATTTTGGTAACAGGTACTGTTAAAGGTGAATTATCAAATGCAAAGTTGGTATCTTCAAATTATACATTAAAGACGGTTGATATAGTGGGAGGAAAGGTAGAGTTGGTAACTGGAGAGTTGGTTTTTGATAGAGAACTCTTTAGATTGCAATCGACTGTATGTGCAAATGATACGAATTGTGTATTACCTGTATGTCCTCCATGTGACTATACAACAGATAATCCTAATGGCTGTGGTGTTGTAGATCCATCGTGTCCACCTACATCAACGTGTCCACTTGCCAGTCAGCTATGCGACCTATCGTTGCCGATGAATCAGTACGAGATCATTTCACAATTCGATACACCTCTTTTACGTACTACACCTGGTACTGTTTGGATGGAGTCTATTAGTCGTTACAGATTCTATATTGGTTCAACTTGCAAAGCATATAAATTTCATCTCGATATTGTACAAGGTGACCTCTTTTCGGCCACCTTTTATATCAATCCTGCCAACGGTTCAATACGTCATCATTTCTCAAATACACAACGTGATATCACTGTTACAATGTGTCCAACAGATACAAGATTGATTGATACCGAGATTGACATGGGTAACTATGGTACTCAATTTTTAGAAATTATCAATACTAGTCCTGATGATGCCAAATATATAATTCAAATTGATACTTTTGGTATGTTAAATTCAAATCATCATTACATTCACTATATCTGATATTAACCCTTCTTCCATCTCTCTCTCTCTTTCAGATATGAATCCAGTTAGTATTCCACCACCAACATGTAGTCAGATTATAAGTGGTATTCAATGTTTAAATAATGGAATGACTATACCAGATAATGGTACACCTCTAACTGTACCAAGAACCTATTCATTTACAATTGATAAATGTGAAAATATTACTGTTCAACATCAATATGCTACATCTGGATATCCAGATATTTATGTTAAAATAGAAGATGCATCAGTATCAAATCAAAAATTTGATTATAAAAGTCCAGGTCAAAGTATGTCAAATCAAATTAAAATCAAATCGAATGATTTTATTTTAAATGATACTAACTAACATTGTCTTTTATTTTTTAGCACATGAACAAATTGTATTTCAATTATGTCCAAATACAGGAAATAATCTTAAAACCATATTCATTGCATTATATCCAACAATTGTTGGACAAAAATCAAATGTTTTTGTTAGTACCGGTGGAATAATGCAAAGTGTACCACTGACACAGGTAACATCAATTCAATCTGGAACTTGGATGCTTGCAGGTACATCTACCATTATTTTAAATCAAACTAGATCTTTACATTGTCATTCATTTGGTTTTGATTGTTATGATTTGATACCATCAACACCACGTCTATTTTCAAATCCTCTTTATCCTGTTCCAGATATTTATTTAAATCAATCTTTATCTGAATTTCAACATTTAGAGTAAGCATTCAATCAAATCAATCACTATAGTTGACGTAATATATTAATTAATTAAACTTTTAATTTTATTTATTTGTTTTTAGATTAAATGAAGAAACAAATCCAATGATTAAAAATACATATCAATTTGGTATTATTATTAGTTCTAGATATTATCAATACAGTATATCAAATAATAGTTGGATTAAAGAATTTATAAAGGATGGAAATAATGTGATGGTTCAATTGTTGGATAATTTGGTTGATGATCAAGGTAATGTAGTGAGTGGCAACTATTCACTGGGTGATAGTAAGACGCCACTATGTAACCACACTGCATTCAAGGAAATCGATTCCGAGCAAGAGGGATTGATAGAGGCAATTGAAGATTCAGTCAATGAACATGCTGTACAACGTGTTCGATACCAATTCGATCTGTTGATGATGCGTGATTCTTATTTCCTTTGCGAGTCGTTGGCACAGCAGATGATACATGTTGAGCAAACTAAAAAGTTTGGTAATTCAACTGCCTGTTTGGACCCAGGAAATCGGTTAGATCCTTGTTGCACCTTTAGTGCACTGTACAACCATTCGTGTGGTCCCACCGAGGGTCAATGGGATCGTACCGAGTTTAAGGAGGTGTTGGGGGACATGGTGTCTGAGAGCTGCGTGTCACCTTCTTGTGTGACATCGCTGCTGCGAAACTATGCTCAAACCTATTTGGGACGTCAGTCGAGTGCATGCGCCGTCGAGCAAAAGGAGGTGTATGACGCGACTGACCCCATGTACAACCTCTTTAGATTCTGCCACCAAAATACAACTTTGGGTGTCCGATGCAAACAAAATGCAGATTGTTCGGTCTTGGGTAGCAGTGCTCGATGCAACCCGAGGGATGGCCAGTGTATGGCACCGTACAGAGACATTGAGTTGGCGTTTGTCACGTGTCTAGTCAACATTGTCCCGCCATCAACACTGGTTGATTTCTTGGCCAAATATAATATCTCTCAAGACGATAATAGCACGATGATTAGCTTTACACATGCCAAGTTTTCAACAAACAAGGATTGTGTCACACCATACACCATCGACAAGAACACACGTCAATCGTATCGATACGTCACACCTGATGGCACCGTGCCGAGATACTGCTACCGCGGAATCAACTCGTTTGATCGTTCCGACGTGCTCCAATCATACGACACGTGTTACCAAGGTGACGAACGGTTCATGTGGACGGCAAGCGACCTGGCCATCAACAACTGCACAGACTTTTACAAGTGTGATTGGATGGGTTCGCAAGGAACACTCGACGCATTCTATGGAAATGTAGGTGATCTTGGTGCAGCGTGCAATTCACCGGCCAAACCCACAAGTTTTTGCGGTGAGTGTGATACCGATCCCACTAGGAACTGTTACGTTGACAATACACTAGACGCAACCACTTGTCCAACCAAGTTTGCATGTTATCACCCTACCCCTGGCAATCCATTGGACCCAGAGAAACCAGTCACTTTTACACAACCAAACAGCAACTTTGAAACAGCTGATTCGGCCGACCAATGTCGGTTGGAACATGGAAGCTGCAATGTGCCGTGCGGTCTAAAATGCAGTGCAAGACAGTCGTGTGTTATACCACTAGCACCCCAAGAAACTGTTTGTCTACCGACCCTATACGGGGGTGTGTTGGACGCACAAGTCACCGTTCCAACAGGCGAGATTTATTGTTCATACTATAGTACCAACGGATCGCTCTCACAAGCTCAGTGCCAGTTTACCGGCTCTTTTACAGACTGCAATGCATTCAACTCGCTTGGTCAACAACAACTCGTACAGCAATGCGGGGTGTGCGGAGCCAATGGAAACTTTAAGGCATGTGCTTGCAAGTTGGAAGTTGAACCATGTAAAACAATGGATCAATGCAAGAGTGCTGGCGGTGCTTGCACAGACATGTTTTACTTTGTCAATGAGATTGCGGGATATCCACCAGGCCAACCTAAATGCCTCTTTGGTCAACCTAAAGTAGTCGATGCTAGTCATATTGCCACGCTACCTCAATGTGCATATGGAAAAGAGCAGGAATCACCCATTGGATGTTTCTCTGTCAACACTACATTTATCGGTAACTCGGCTGCCTGTACAGCTGCCGGTGGAACACTTTGGCAAGCTGCAACCAACCAACTCCAATGTAGAAACAGATACCCCGATCGTTGTCTGTCTGTCGATCGTTCGGAAACCTTTATCCCACCACTATCACGTCGATACATGGACAAACCACAAGACGACTGTAACAATGGTAAGATTCTTGGTGATAATTGGCGTCCAACCTTTGCATGGGTTCCTGCACAATGGACCAATGGTACTGCCGTACCTCTCAGTTGGCGTACCACCCAAGGTATGGTTCCCATCGCTCAATTAAACTACTCGTTCTCATATCAATCCATGTTTGAAGCATTCCAAGGAGCTTCTACCCGTCGATTGGCACTCACCTTTAAATCAGAGATGCTCTGTCGTTCAAGTCTTAGCAAGAGTACACTCATCCCCTTTTCTTGCTCTTGTGGTGTAGATAATGATGAAAACGATGCAGACACTTGTTTCAATATTCAAAATGATCCTATTGACACTATCATCAAACCCTGTACATTGGACGCTGCCACCTTTCCTCTTGGTGACGATGAAGGATCAAAAGGAAACATCACCTTTTCCTTGGGTGCCGTTCGTGGTTATATTTGTGTTTCTGTTGGTATTGGTCAAATTTTTAGTGATTCTTTAAAAGCTAAACAAGTAAATATAAAAGTAACAAACATCTTTGAACGATACAAATATTAATTTAATTTTATTTAATATTTTTAGGTTGTAGCATTATCAAGTGATTTTGTACCAAGTTTAGCACCACCAGATTATAGTGTATTTAATGATAATGGAGGTGTTGTTGGTAAAGCATTGGCAGATGGTTTAATTTTAAGAATATTTGACAAGGGTATCAATAATTTCGATCTATGTATTATACAATCGATATCATCATCTTCAGAATTCCCCAAACAAGATTTTGCCATTTTGGTTGACGAACAAAAAGGTATTGTTCATCCTTTGGAATGTGAAACAACTCAAGGTGGAGGTGCAACCTGTTGCAACATCAAATCCAATACTCTACCAGAACCAGTAGGAACCAACAAAATATTATTAATTCAAAGAACCAATGATTGGAAAAAGAAGAATTATCAATCCATTTCATCGTCAAATCAAGCAGTCGTTTATACTTTGGGTGCTTTATTCCTTGTACCATTTATAATTGGTTCAATTGAAGTCGTTTACTTTATCTATGCTCATTTCTTTAAAAAACTTGAAGTCAAAGTCGTTCATATATTATTTGTATTTTTAACTATATTTTCTTTTAGTATGTAAATCAAAGAAAAAAGAAAAAAAAAAGAAAGAAAAAGAAATAGAATTTAATTTATTAATTTATTAATTATTTTACTTTATTTATTTTAGTTAGAGGAATTTATTTTATTATTTTGGGATCAGGAGTATTAAAGGATAATGCAAATGTAGCAGATTATATTTTAGTAGTTTTACCAACCTTTTTATATTTTACAGCCTTTACAATTGTCATCATTATATGGTACATTCTATCAAGAGATTCAATGCAACGTGTTGACAATATCTACAAACGTATCAATCGATTGATCATTGGTGTCAATATTTTGTTATATCTTTTGTTTATTGGCATTGTATTGGTATTCAACTTTTACATTGGTGATCCACCTCCAACATGTAATGGTAGAGTTTCGGCTGGCTATGAAAACAGTACACCTCAACGAGTAGTATCCATCTTGTACGCCTCCATACAAGCCATACTTAGTGGAGCACTTGGTCTTTCATTTATTTATTATGGTAGAAAAGTAATTCAAAAATTATCTCATTTTAAACAAAATTTGGTCAATGCTAATAATCAAATGAAAAAGGTTTGTAATAATCATATATAATATAATGTTTCCATTTCCTTAATTTATTCTCTAACTTATTTATTTATTTATATATTTATTTATTTCTAGACTGTATCAATGGCAATTATATGTTCGGTTGGATTCTTATTACATTGTATATTTATTATTATATTGGTTACTGTTAAACCCAAGAACGTAGTATTTTCATTTATTGGTTTGGTCGTAACAGAGATTGTCCCAGGTAAATATTATTATTACACAACAAAACAATACTAGCATTACTTTCTTTGTATTAATTAATTTCCTCTCTTTATTTACAACAATACATAATAATAGTAATGACCTTACTTTTCAACTATACACAAGTTCCATTTGGGTTATCACAAGTGTTCCTCAAAGACAAATCAATTAAAGACAATGGAAATGAGCCTGGTGGCGTTGAACTACAATCCAATACTAGTACCTCTTCCTCATATAGCTCATCGGTTTCATCATCGACACGATCAAAAACCATGACTGTTCGTACTCTTACTCAAAGTCAAGCCTCACTTAATTCATCTGCTGTTAGAGGTTAAACCAACGGTTACCAACCAACCAACCCCTCTCAATCAAATCAAATAAACAACAATACAACTAATTTATTACCATTTAAAAATATATTCAATTTATTTTCTAAAAGTATCTATCTCTATTGATATACATACGTATCCGTATTGACTTGTTTTAATAAAACAGGAGCAATGACAAATAAAGAGATTGCTGTCTCTTGTCACCATCACTTTATTTGTCATTGCTCCCGTCTTTATAGGCACCTTGTTCTTGTTACCCTTACGATCCTGGTGACCTGTTGACGAGGTCCACCACTTGCAAAGTTAGCAGTCTTTGCGAGATTGATCAAGTTCCTCTTGGCGGAGGTAACTAGCATACGCTGACTTCACGTCTTTGATCATTCTCTGCATTAACAGTTCAGCTTGAACATCAGAGGTGACGCCGTTGTCGGGGTGAATGTCACGACATTGATTGACAGACTCGATTGACGACCAGATGGGTGGGAGAGAGAGCGCGAATGAGTAATGTATTTCATGACGTTGTTGGTGCTTGACAATCGATATTCAAGAGCCTTGAATTTGCCATAGTAGCGACCCGGCCCGAGTTCAGAGTGATAAAAAGTGATGAGACACTGCAGTGAAGGTTGGATATCATACCTTCCTAGTTATTTGGTTACTTGGATGGATAGTACTCTGGGAATCTTCTATCTATGATCGCTAATCGATATGGCATAAACTACAGATTCTACAATTAATCTAATAAAACAACTATTTACATAATTTGTTAATGTATCAAATAAATGGGAAGCGATAGGGTTTAGTTTTGTTGAATAAATCGCTCTGTATGATCAAAAGAGATCTGTTGAATTGGTTTTATTGATGACTAGTTGAGAAATGGGTAATGATGTTAAATACAAATTGACATTCTGTCAAAATGGTTGGACTAGTGCTTTTCTATCTTGTTGAAGAAGTATTGAAACTAGTTTCCAGTTTACCTTTTCAAGTTCTATAAACACTAAACTAAATAGATTCTCCCTACTGAATAGAGAAAGGGGCAAGAGAAACACTACTGTTATTATATATTAATAATAATCATAATATTATTATTCTTAATTTGAGGTGAATATTAATGTGAATAATAATAATAATGTGATTAAAAATAATTTGGGATAATAAATCATCGATTATTAGGTGAACAAAGTGTTAGATTCTTTTTTGATCACACCCACTGTACTAGTAGTGTACTGATGTATAACAACTTTATTAATGCTGTAAAAACAATGTTCATTAATGTTGAACAAGAGACAACAGAGGTGGCCTGTCAACTACCATTACTCATACATAAACATATCATTGACATCTACTTGGAGAATGATTGTGGTCTATCTGATAAAGTCAAGCGTATGCAGATTTACACAGTCTCAAAGTACTGGTGCAGATATATAGCAACGTTTGCAACCACACTTTATGTACACTACACCGATATCAGTGTACTGCAAGACTATATGAACCATTTCTCGACAGGTAGTAGTCGTAATACAATGATTGATCCAAATCGCATTACAAGGATCAAATTCATTGGTAAACTAAATAGACATGAACGATATAGACCTTCGAACCCTCTTTTTGGTGATAAAGATTCACAACAAATCATCAACTTTCTCAACTACTTTCCAAACACCAAATCATTGTACATATTCAATGGCAGCAACATCTCTACCACCTTTACTCAACATATGCTCCAAATCCTTTCTTCCTCTACCACCACCGCCGCCACCACCACCACCACCACCACCACCACCACTGATCAACATGGAAACAATCGACTCCTACTCAAACTAGAGATGATAGAATACATTGACGAACACTTTAGAGGTGACCAATTTGGATTCTTGGAGGATCTACCAGAAAACAATGAAAAGTTAACCTTTTTAAAAAGTGTACAGAATATTCCATCAATAACATCATTATCCTATCTAAACTATAAACATCCTGTAAAATCAAATCTAGACTTTGTACAATATATGATTAATAATCAATCATCAAAATTAGGTAAATATTAAATATTTAAACAAAATAATAATATTTAAATAGTATTAATTTATTTGTTTATTTGTTTATTTGTTTGTTTGTTTGTTTATTTGTTTATTTAGAATCATTTAAAATGTTTGGTAGATTTAGTTATTATGGAAAGTTTGATACTAGTACATTATTGGTTAAATCTTTGGCTGATAGTATGGTGAATCTGAGACATTTGGATTTGGGATTAGTACATATATTGGAACCAAAGATATTTGTAGTTGATTTTCTTGGCTCACTGCCAATTACCCTAGAGTCGTTGCTATTTGGTCCACTTAAAGTGGCCGATGAAGAAGAGAATGAAGAGGTTCAGATATTGTTGGCTCAATACTTGTCAAAAACCAAACTAAAGAGATTCTCTACTCGATTCGATCTTTCAGAGTTGGTATTTCAACAATTATCACTTAACCATAATCTAGAGGATCTAGAGTTTGTCTATCCACAATGTCTGTTGCGATTGGACCCAGACCCTCAACATAGGTATCCAGACTTTTCAAAAACAAATTTAAAACGTCTATCAATTCGATATCCAATAGGATCGGTCAGTCTCAACATAGTCGCCATATTCCTCTACTTTAAGAATGTGACCAGTATCAAGTATTTGGCGATTCCACAAGACACACAATTCTCTCAAACTTGGTTTGATTTTTCCAATTTGTTTGAGAGTGTAACACACCTTAAAACTATTCGACCAATCTATAATACTAGTGGACACGACATGCTTGAATTCACCAAAAGTCTACCATCACTTGCACCAAACATCAAATTCCTCAAATTACATTATTTGGACACCCGCACCTTTCAATCTACACTTGTAACATTATTCAATCCCACCACCACATCACCAAGCTTGTCAGCTCAAAAACAACTGGTCCACCTAGAAATCCAACTATCTCCAACGCAACTAATTGAAATCAAACCTTTATTTAAAATAGTCTACCAAACACCAAAAACTATTAAAAATAATAATCAAATCTTTTATTCTTGTTTTAAATAAATAAATAAATAAATATTATTTGTAAGATCTTTCGAAACACCTCAAAAAAAAAAGGGGCGCATCCCTTGGCCCCAAAGTGTGTCGTCGACGGTCTACTGTTGGCCGAAGTGCTCTCTTTCTTGGGGTGAGGGTGTTGAGATCATCAAAGAGGTGCTGTTCAGAAAGATCTTATGACCCGGACTCTGAGTACTGAGAGGCGCTCGTTCAACATCTGGGATGACTATTGCGTCTGGTTGCAAAAAAAAAAAAAAAGTCGAGGAGAATCTCGTGGTGTGGCCCCATGCAGCCACATTTTTCGGTTATGACACCAAACTAGGCAGCTGATCTGTAGATCTTTGTTTTGGCCAGATCGATATTAATTAATTGACCGCCTCCCACAGCTAATAAATTATTAATCTGACCGACCCTGCAATGGACAAAAGCTGTTGGTTCCTCTCCCTCACAGGAGAACAAAAGGAGGAGTTTTACACATAACAAAACTTCTTCTTCTTCTTCTTTTTACCTCTCTCGTTTTAAAAAGACATTTCATTCTAATAATAATAATAATTAATAATAATAACATTAATAACAACATTAATTAATAATAATATAGATAATAATATCGAGTAATCGAGAAATATAATACAACTCAATTATTCGCAATTGTAAATAGATAGATAGATAGATTAGATTAGATAAGATAGATTAGATAGATAGAAAGAGAGTGAAAGTAGAGTTTGCACATTTTTGTCCATCATAGCGTACTCAACAAACACACTCATACACACATACACACACAAAAAAGAATCTATAGATTAGAACAGAAGAAGTAGCAGAATAAAAACTTCTTGCAACTTCCCAATCTCACCACCAACACCACCAAACAAACAAACAAACAAACTCAAACTCAACGACATTCATTCCCATCATCATCACACGACCTGTGTGTTTTATTTATTTATTTTATTTATTACTAGTAACACAAGATTCCCTTAAAATAATAATAATAATAATAATAAGCTTAGCTATAATTATAAAAACCGAATATATTTATATATACCCTTTTTATTTTTTTTTAAACCGAGATTTAATAATTACCTAGATCTCTCTGAAAAAAAAAACAAAAACAAAAAACATATTACCATCTATATCTTTTCTCTATTTTTTATAATATAATATTCTATATTTAATAATCCCATACATGTATATTGTATAATATAATAATAATAATAATAATAATATATATTAATTAACACAACACAACACTACTGCTGGATAATTAATTAGTATATATTACTACTTTAAAGAGTACACAAAAGTCACAACAACAAACCCAAAAATATAGATATATATATATGAAAGATATGATGATGAATGGAATAACTATAGGTGTGCCACCGCCACCTTCTCATCCGCCAAACACCACAACTATGATTAGTTTGGCATCCTCTTCATCTTCTTCATCCTCTTCGTCGTCATCATCATCATCATCATCAACTCCATCAACATCACCAACCTTTTCATCTGTTTCATCTTCTGCATCAACACCCGAGATTGATTTGCAGAGTGCTGCTTCATCTGCTGCGACAACACCATCTTCACCACCATTTCACCGTACTAAAATGGTATTATCCACATTGGATCCACTTCAAGAGTTGAATCTCTCCATTATAGAACTCTCGTTGGACGAGACCAATGAACTAAAGTTTCGTGACGAGGTAATGCCCGTGTGGAGCCTCTTTCATTCACTCACCACTTGTAACGACAAGAGTGCCATATTTAAACATATCATCGAGAGTCTTGCATCGATATTTGGTAACGACAAGACCTACACCATTCACCAACTCGACGAGGAGCGATCAATGAAACCATTGATTGTGCACCACGGCGGCGAGTCTTGGCATTCCACCAAACAACAACAGCACGAACTATCCTATCATTCAAACTCTGCGTGCTTTGAAACATTGTACAGTCATCCAAAAATAATGGAAATCATGGAACCCAAGAAATTGCTTCCAATCATCTATTCACACAGTTGCCAGTGTCTCCGTATACCGCTCGTCTCCAATCACAACAATGTCATTGGAGAAATTCAAATCTCCAATCTACCAGACAACAATATTTATTTTTCACAATTAATGCATTCAAGTTATTTTTTTAGGTAAACTATATAAATATTAGAGTTGGAGTTAGAGTTATGTATATTAATAATTTTCTTTTTATTTTTCTTTTAGATATTTAATTAAAAAAACAATAGCAGAAGTACAAAGATTAAAATATGAAGGTTTAATTGACCATTTTGTAGAATTTAGTTGTGATGATATATCAAACAACGAATTGTTTCATTCGTTGGCAAAATATTTGGGCTATTATTTAAATGTAAAATTTTCACTTGTCTGTATGATATCACCTCAGGCAGACACTGGCGTCACCATCTCTTATTGTATCGATGGAAAAATCCAAAACAATGTAGTTTATAAATTATCAGATACTCCATGCTCGATCATTAGCCAGGGTCGTCCAGTATGTATCAACGACAGTCTTCAAGAACGTTTTCCACGTGACATTTGGCTTCAAGTCAATGACATTCGTAGTTATATCGGTATCCCACTCCTAGACACCAACGGTGACAATATTGGCCATTTGGTGGCATGTGATACAAAACCAATCAATCCAACTTTAATGGATAATTCTATTATTGTTGCTATTGCAAATAAGGCTTGTCATGAATTAGAAAGAAGAAAATGTAAGTTATAAAAAAAAATATAAAAGAAAAGTAAATATTTATTTATTCTTTTTTTGTTTTAGGCGCAGAAGATGGAGTAGTAACAAAAGAAATTTTAAATAGATTTACTTCAACATGTATATTTTTAACGGATCATAGAGGAGTTGTAAATAGAGTGTTTGGAGAACAATTGTTTGAATGTCATGCACAGATATTGACGGGTGCATCAATTGATTCAATTCTTTTGAATGCCAGCGAAGACCGATTGTCAAACATATTCCCATCGTCCGAGGTCAAAAAGGAAGTTACTTGCAAGCGAAGGAATGGGACTCTCTTTACGGCCGAGGTATATTGTAAAAACATTCACATGAAGAAAATCAACTTTTCAGGCAAACTATTTTTCGTCAGAGACATCACCGAGGAGAAAAACACCCAAAAGGTGTTGTTAGAGGCAAGAGACCGTGCTCTCGAGGCAGCCAACATGCGTTCACAATTCATGGCAACCATTAGCCACGAAATCCGTACTCCAATGAACGGACTAATCGGTTTGGTCGAACTCTTATTATCGAGTGAACTCCAACCAGCTCAAAAACAAATCGTCGAATCACTCTACAAATCATCCGAACATCTCTATTCCATCACAAGTGATATTTTAGATTTCACAAAAATGCAAGCTTCAAAATTCAATCTTGAAATTATTAATTTTGATTTTAAAGGGTATGAAAAGACAGAGAAAAGAAACAAACAAATATATCTTTACACATAGTTATTAATTAATTATTATTTATTTTTATTTAGATGTGTTGAAGGAGTATTAAATACATTACAATTATCATTAAAGAAACCAATTGAAATCATTTCAAAGATTGATTCTAGTATACCAACCATTGTCAAAGGTGATCCAAACAGACTTAGACAAATAATATATAATATTTGTTTCAATTCTATAAAGTATACAGATCAAGGATTCATCAAAGTCAATGTATCACTACTATCATCACCATCGGCATCTAAAAAGGTTATTGAATTTATTGTAGAGGACTCTGGCATTGGTATCGAGCCAAGTCAACAAGGCACTCTTTTCCAACCATTTGTACAATTGGACAATAGTAGTCGTAGTCATTCTGGGACTGGTCTTGGTCTATCAATCGTCAAAAAGATAGTTGAAATGATGAATGGCGACATTCGTCTTGTAGAATCAAAACCTGGAGTTGGAAGTAAATTCAGTTTTACCATAGTCGTTGAAAATGGTGAAGAAAGAAGTAGAAAGAAATCATTTGATATTGATAATAGTAATAGTAATAGTAATAATAATAATAATAATAATAATAGTAATGGTTGTAACAGTAGTAGTGGTAGTAACTCTTCCACCTCTACTACATCCAATACTCAACATAAGCGTTCAAAATCTTCAATTGATTTAATTGAAGAAGAAAAAGAATTTATCATTACCAATAATAATAATTTTAATAATCAAAATAATAATCAAAATAATAATCAAAACAATAATAATAATAATAATAATAATAATCCAAATAACCATATAAATATTGTAGATGGATCTCAACATTTTGAAAAAAGACAAAAGTTTATAAATGGTGATATCAGTATCAATCAACAACAAAACCATTCAACCACCACCACCACCTCTACAGTAAATAATTTAAATAATATTTCTACTACTACTACGACTATTCCTCCATTTCAACCACAACAAAAATCAAGTTATAGATTATTGGTAGCAGAAGATAATGAAGTCAACCAAAAAGTATTATTATTACAATTGAGTAAACTTGGATACCGAGATGTCGATTTGGCACACGATGGATTGGAAGCAATTGAAATGTTTAAACAAAAGAAATACGATCTTGTATTCTTAGATTTAAATATGCCAAATTGCGATGGATCAACAGCCAGCCTACGCATTCGTTCATTTGAAGAGTTGGCAGGCCTTACCAAAACCAAGATCATTGCCTTGACGGCGATGGCCCTTTCCGGGTACCAAGAGTTTTCTCATAGCTGTGGAATGGATGATTTCCTCAGAAAACCCCTCCGAATCAATGATTTGTCAAATCTTTTAAATCAGTACATCCCTTTATTGGGTGCAACCGATAAAAAGCTTGAAAATAAATCAAAATAAAATTATTTATTTATTACTTTTTTTTTTTTATATCAACCCTTTATCTATCGTATAGATATTATTATTATTTATTGAATGTTAAGACCAAATACTTTGATTTGTAATAAATTAATATTATCAAACTTTTGTTAACTTTCCTCCTCCAAAAAAAAAAACTTAAAATAAAAAAAAAAAAACGAGACGAACGAAAGTTGAATTAAGGTCAGAGATACGACTATCTATTTCTTTCTTTTATTAGATTACTTTTCTCTTTCTTTTTAGTTTATTAACAATGGTAGAAAAGAGAAAATCATCAAATCAAACTAATAATGTATCCTCTACTTCTTTTAAAAAGAAGAAAGAAGAGATTGAGGTTGGTATCATTACACAAAGAGAGCACAAATAGATAGATATACTAATATATTTATGTTTACCTATTACTATTACTATTACTATTACTTTTTAGGATACAATCTTATCAATGGGAGATGATGATGATTATTTAGATGATGGAGAAGATAATGGTTCAGAAGATGAATCGGGATCTGAAAACTTTGAAGATTACGTAGATGATGGTGATGAAGAGTTGGATGACAGTGAGGCTGTTGTAGGAACACCATTATCACAAAAGATGGCAGATATTGAAGACGAAGATGAAGAGAGAGAGAATGTTAACCTTCGTGTTAAAAAGGGTGTCGATAGTTTAGAAAAGACTGCTGCACCAACCACCGAAGAAATGCAAGAGTACAATGAAACTGCTCAACTCTTCAACTCTAATCTTTTCCGTTTACAAGTCATTGAATTCTTTAAAGAGATCAAGATCAACTATACCAAAACTACTTCACTCGAATCTGCTCTCTTTCAATTAAAATCAATCTTTGATTCAATTCAACCACATCAAGTATGTTAAATATTGCAAGCGTTAGTTACTAAATATTAGTATTCAAATGACTTTGACTTATTCATTTCTCTTTCTCTTTTTAGGTAAAATCAAATCAATGTTCAAATCAAGTAAAGATATTTGGAGATCAAACGATTACAGTTACAAAACCATCATCTGTCGATTTGGTTGGTAGTTATATGTTGAAATCAACGATCAAGAGTAACCCAAATGTCGATGTATCTGTTGAAATTCCAAGTTCGATTGTTGGAGAGGAAGATATCTATGAATACAAATATTTCACCAAACGTAACATCTATCTTTGGGCATTGGCCAAAGAAGTGGCCAAGAATGAACGATTCTCAGACATTGAATTCCAAAATTGGAATGGCGATTCAAACAAGCAAATGTTTATCATTCGTCCAAAGGCTGACCCAAAGACTGGTGCCATTACCAGATTCCAAATCAGAGTTTTCATTTCACTTGACAAGAATTTTGTTCCACTCTCCAAATTAAGTCCAATCTCTTTTAATCTTTCAAAAACATCGGTCGAAGATCAAAAAAAGAAAAAGAATTTACAACAATCAACCACTCAAGATACCCTATTCACATTAAACGATCAAGATTTATTACAAGATCAAATTGATCCTTTAGATTTAAAGTTTGGTAATCCAAATAATTCTAAAAATTTATTAAAGTTTAGTATGTACAAGAAACAATCAAACAAACAAACAAAAAAAGATCTATCATCATTTATCTAATATTACGATTTAATTTTGTTTTTTTTTTAGACCAAATTAAAAGATCATCATATTATAATAATTCAATTTTAGAAGATATGATGTATTTTGAACATATGGAATTATTACATGATAGAATCAAAAATGCACCAGTATTGATTGATGCCATTCAATTGATCAAATCATGGTTGATTGTTAAAAAGGTGTCGACTATAAACTCTTTCCAATTGTCAATGTTGGTTGCCTATCTCTATGACCAAGGAAAGGTCAACAAGAACATGTCATCCTATCAAATATTCAGAATGGTGTTGGTTTCGATTGTCGAGAAATTCGTTTCTGTCAACCGTGACGCAAAGCCATGTGGCCCGATGTTTTTCAAGGCCAGTGGATCACAAGCACCAGTATTTGGATTGCACTATAGCTCTTTCCGTAGACTCTATCCAATGGCTCTTATCGATGCCAGTGGTTATTTAAATATCACATCTCGTGTCACCAGTTGGGCTTTGGAAGAGCTTGCACAAGAGGCCAGAAAATCTTTGGTCTTGTTGGACAGTGGCGACGGATTTGACGAAATCTTTTTGCAACAGGGTTCACCATCGCTCCGTTACGACTATCTCTTGAGTATCCCACTCAAGGGGTGTCAGTTGGAGATGCCATCCAAGGACTACTACAGTCAAGAGTTGTACTGCAGCCATTACATCTACCGTCTTTTATGCGCTACTCTTACCAACCGTATCCGCTCCATCACCGTCGTTCAAGACCAACTTGAGGGATGGGCTGTCGATCAGCCACGTCCAGATGCCTTTGCCAACCGTACCATCCACTGCGGTATCGAGCTCGACATTAACCAATGGCAACGTCTCATTGACAAGGGCCCATCGGGCGACCATGTTGACTCGGATGCCTTCCAAGCCAAGTGGGGCAAGCTCTCACAGTTGCGTCGTTTCAAGGACGGCACTATTGTGCACGCCGTAGTCTGGAACCCCCCAGGAGGCCGTCGTCACATGATCATCGAGATGATTGCCAAGTACATCCTCTCGACACGTCTCTCTATCCAAAGTGACTCGGTCTCTGCCAACATCTCCATGTTTGACCGTATCCTCCAAGCTCCCACCATGACCTTTGACGCACAAGCCTTGATCGTTGCCAAGGAAACCATCATCACCGCCGTCGACCAACTCGACCTGCCACTCAAGATCAATGGGTACTATCCCATCGGACCAGCACTCCGTTACACCTCTGTCGAAGTTGTCAACGACCCACAATACATCAACAATCAACCCATTGAAATATTGTTGCAATTTGAAAACAATCCAAACTGGTCATCGGACATTAAAACGATCGAGCTTCTCAAGACTGCTTTCATGCTAAAGATTGCCCGCGAGTTGGAGCAATACCAACCACGTCTCTCTACACAACAATACGTCGACGTTCAATACCAAGGATTCCTTTTCCGTCTCATTCCATACTACCCAAGAGAATTGGACTTTTTGGGATCCGAGCACCAAGACGTTCGTCAAGCAATCCTCCTCCACCAAAACGGTCTCCAACACCACAGTTTTATCCAAACTCTTGCCAACCAACAACCAGCCTTCTCCACAGCCACCCGTCTTGCCCAACGTTGGTGCTACTCGAACCTCTTTAGTGACGATATTTCAATAGAGACGATCGAGCTCTTGATGGCCAGCATCTTCAAGTCCACCTCTACCCCTCCACCAACCACTCCCATCCTTGGTTTTATCAAGTTCCTTCGTTTAATCTCCACCTATGAATGGAGCGAGCGTCCACTCATTGTCGACTACCAACAAGATATCTCGCTTTCCGACACACAATCCATCCAAGAAATATTTGACAATCAGAAAAAGGCAAACAACCTTCCACTCTTTTTCATCGCCACTCACAAGGATCGTGCCAGTATTTGGTTCAAGTCTCTCAATTCACGCGACACTCATGTCAGAGATCGTTTAATCAAATGCGCCAAACAATCGTTTGCTAGTTTAAATCAATTGAATCTCACAGATCAATTGGATATGAACGCAATTTTTAATACTCCCCAATTGGATTTCGATCTAAAGATCATGTTGAATGCAAACTTTATCACAAATTTCAATGGTTCAATTAATAATTTATTGATTGAAAAGAAGGAAAATGAAAAGGAAAATGAAAAGACAAAGGAACAAGAAAATAGTCAAACAACTGTCAATGGAAATGAAAAGACTGCTGTTGTCAAAACATTATTATCCAAATATTCAAATTTCAATAGTAAATCAAAATCAACAAACGCTGCCACCACGAAAAAAGAAATCATTGTAGGACATAATTTAATCAAATTGTTTGTCGATAGATTAAGATCCGATCCATCATTATCATGCCACTGCCAATTTTATTACGACAAGATTGGTGGTGATGCCATCCATGTAGTATTTAATCCAAAGAGTTGGACTCCATTGGCCTTTAGACCACTCAGATCGGTCATGGCTCTCCCAATTGACGCAACCAACTCTAGCAATCTTGTCATTCCAAATCTTTATGAAATCATTGCTCATATTACTGATTTGGGTGGTAAGCTCATCAACCAAGTAAAATTAAATCCTTCTAGTACCATTTTAAAATCATTTGATTTTAAATAAATAAAACAACAAAATAAATTAAATAAATAGATATAAATATTTAAAATATATATATAATACATAATACCCTATGGATCATTTATTGTAGGATTGGGTTGAGGTTTTTTTGCTTCCTTTGGAGGTGGAGGAGGAGGAATCTTTGCTAGATAATAATCTATGTATTCTAATTGTTCAGGTGTAAATTTTTTCTTATTCTCTTGAATTCTCTTTCTTGAACTTGCCATGGACCACAATGCTGATTCAATTGACACTCTTGTTGTAAATTCTGCCAAACTTGAGGCACAATACGTAAACGTCCACGAACTCGCTGCAAAGTATACCTTTCCATTTGATCCAACATACCATGAAACACAAGATTGTTGATCATCGTAAAAAGGTTTCATCTGAATGGTTTGACCGTCGAAATAGGCCGTCGCTGGTCCAACGTCAAAGGTTCCTTGAGGGTTTTCACCCTCTGCTCTTTGATTGTAACTCTCATCCAATACATAGCAAGATGTAGGTGAGGCAACCTCTAAGAGATCTACGACTTGTGGATTTGTTAAAGGAGGTACATCGTCAAACACACCATAAGTGTTACTACATTGACGAAGAAAAGAGAGGCCTACTCCAACCCATTTAAAGTTAGGATTAATTGTTGCATTGTTGTAATGTGACATTCTAAATGACAATGAAATAAAAAAATCTACAACAAAACAATCTTCTCATAAATATATTTCAAACAATTCGGAAAAAAAAAAGAATAAATAATAATAAAAAGAATTTGGCAAATATTATCAGGAAGTCTATTAGGGTTTATAAAGTTTTTAAGTCGTATTTGTATGTATATAAACTATGAAATTTAAAAGATGAAGATAAATTTTAAATTAAATTAGATATTAATATATTCCATTATAATTATTTTTTCTTCTTATTCTTTTTCTTATTATTATTATTATTATTAATTTTAATATTAGTACTATTACCAGTATTATTACTACTATTATTATTGGTACTATTAACGGTAAAGATATTATTATCATTAGAGGTATTATTAGTACTATTACTAGTATTATTATTACTACTGTTATTATTGGTACTATTAACGGTATTGATATTATTATCATTAGAGGTATTATTATTATCATTAGAAGTATTATTAGTACTATCACCAGTATTGAAATTATTATCAATTCCAAGATTTCGAAGGATTTGATTTAACATGGCCTCCTGATTTGCTAATTGCTTTTGCATTGTGTTTATGGTGTTGTGGAGGGAGCTTTGAGTCTTTGGGAAGATTCTTGACTCTAGTCTAGTATAGTTCTGATACAGGTAGTCGTTTGGTCTGTAAACATTGCCATCCAAAATTAACTGTAATCTTTTGAGAAATGGGTCATTAAAGTTATTCTTCTGAGATTGCAAGGATAACACAAATTCACTTGACAACCAAATGTGAGCATGCGCATGGCACTCCTCCAGCCATGGATTACCCCGAACTCCTGTCTCCCACTGTCCATAATTGATGACTATTCGGTTGGTGGCTGGTGGGCTGTCACTACGCAATTTAAGTGATTTGTCTAGTTTTAGCTCCTCGAGTTTTGTGCAAATCTGATTTGCATTTCTCCAAAACTCTGGATCTTTGACCATCTCAACATTATTATGGGGGATAGGGTTGTTTTCTTTTGAGGGATTGGGCATCATCATAATCTCCCTTGCCTTCTCGCTCCATCGGGATAGCACAGAAAAATTGGGAACGAAATCACGAAGCACTTTTTCTTTGCGATTAAGAATTGCTCCTGAATATACTTTAACACCACAATGATGCATATTTTGGGTTTTAGTGTCTCGAACTTCTCTTAAGCACACCCATTCCTGGTGATAGTAGGTTTTAAGGTGAACTATAATTCTTTGTTTTTCAGCAGGTGGGAGACCAGGGAACTTGGGATCTCTTTTTTTGTTTTTGAAATAGCAACCCCCTTCATTTCCTTCGAAATCACAAGCTTTCTTTTCACAACGTGGAGGATCCTGTCTATCTTCAGGGGCAACTTTGTTGTATTCTTCTCGAGCAAGGTTGATGTAATTCTGTGCATTCGCCAGAGCTTTGACTTGGTCTTGTTGGTAGGAAATTTCGAACCATGCATCTGGATCTAAGCAAAGTCGTAGGTCCCACATTCCATCTTCTTGGAGGACCAGTTCAATTCTATAAGATGATCTGAACTTGGGGTCCATAGTATTTAACATATCCACGATTTCTTTACATCCTGTGGATACATGGAAAGCTTCTTTCTTGTCAAGGAACGAGTACTGTCTGTTAGCATTTGGACGTAGGAAGGGAATTTCGGGAGGCTTGATACTTGACGACTCATTAGACACTTGATTGGATGTTGTGGTGGTAGTCGATGTTGTGGAGGTTGTCGAGGTTGAGTTACCCAAAGTATGAGAATCTGTCAAAGATGAGGTATGTTGGTTTGAAGTTGTGGAGGGATCGCGAGGAGATGAGGAGCTGGTGTTTTTGGTAGAGTGTTGATATGGAGGACTTTGGTTGGGAGTAGTATGTGCTGATTGTGATGAGGGTTTCTCTGGTTCTATGATGTCGTCATCAGATTCTGGCTGCAAAGAACCGAATCGACCTTGTTTATTCATTATAATTAATTCTTTGTTTAAAGGTGTAACAATTTCTCTATTAATGAATAAACAAGTTGAATTTTAAATCAGAAAGATATTTTTTTGATCAAAAAAATTTTATTGCAGCCCTCATAAAAATTAACAAAAATATGATTTTTAATTTAATACTTGACTCGAGAGACTTGAGAGTATTTGCCCTCTGCTCTTTGATTAAAGTGGGGATCAATTGTTGCATGGTTGAAAACATTCTAATGCCAGTTATTGTTTGATAATTTTATTTCTTCTTGTTGATCTTTCAGAATCATCACCAACCCAATTAATCTCGCCTCTGTAACCACCACTTTGGGTTGATAACCTTGAGATCATTAATTCCAAGTTATCAACCATATCCATACAAACATCTTTCTTTTCACCTAAAACCTTCATGGTGATAATGGCTGCCTCTAACGTCGATATTCTATCAACTTGAGGTTGTTTTCTAAGTATATTATACATTGATCTCATTTTATCATTTCCAAAATGTATTTGTACCTAAAAATAACGATAAACTAAGTATGTATCGTAGGTTTGATCTAAACATGTTGTTGAACTTCAAAATAATACATACTCTTGCAACATCATTTGGAATTAATTTTGCTATTTTCTTTGCTTGATGCCATGTTCCATCTAATATTATAGCTGTCAGTTGAGGTAATTCTCCATTATTTTCACAGCTTTGATTTAAATTTAATTTTTCAAGTAGTTGTTTTATATTTAAAGTTGTTCCATCGTTATTATCGTTATTATCATTATTATTATCTATATCATCTTCTTGTTTTTGTTGTTTTATGGTTTCAGGATTGATTGGTTGTATAATTTCCTTTTCTTTTTGATTATTATTTATTCCATTAACTCTATCAATATAATCATAAATATCGATTGAATTTTCACTTGGAAATAGGATAAATATTTTAGAGTGATCGGTTGTATTTAATATATGTTGTAGGATCTCTTCATCCTCTTTTTGATGAACGACCAATAGTTTGGAATAGTCATTTTGATTGACAGTGTCTGATAACCAATCCAACGTGTTGTTGTCAGGTGATGCCAATTGATCTTCGAGTTTCAAGTCTGGGTGTTTGTTGATCCAATTTTCCTTGTTTGCAGACAATGCCATTATTTTACCAGTGTTGCTTGCACGACCCCATTCATTGTGATGGAATAGTGTAATGTATCGATGTTTGAATTGAACTGGTTTGATGAGTACACATAAACAAAACTTGGTCGTCATCCAACAATTACGACATTTATTGTTTTCAAGTACATTGCGTTGTAATCTCTCTTCTTTACTTTTAAAATAACTTAGGTATTCATCTCTTGATTTAATTGGTCTTTCCTTTTTATTCTCTATATTATTATTATTCTTTTTTTTCGTCGTACTAGTTGTATTTGTATTATTATTAATTGTACTAGTGTTACTACCGTTACTGTTTATTACAGTAGTAGTAGTAGTAGTAGTAGAGTCTTCTCGAGGAACTTCTTCTTTAATATTTTCGGTTACACTCATACTATGATATTCTATGATATTATTATTATTATTATTATTATTTCTCTTTGTTGTCGTTGTCGTCGTTGTTGTTGTACAATTCCTGCTACTAGTTATAGTTGTAGTAATCGATTTGAATAAATTACAATGATGATGATAATGTTTCAAGTTATTTCTAACTATCAACATTCAATGTTATTGAATAATATAAATCTATAGAGTCTGCGAATAAATAACGAATGAATCGATTTATAAATTCAAACCAATTCAGTGTCAGGTGATATTTTTTGAATCATTTGATCTTCATTTACTAGTTAGTTGTTTAAGAATTGAATTAGATTAGATAAAATGGAGATACAAACAACAAACTATGACAAGACTGATTATATGGAGACAGTCAATGGTAACAAAGTCAGTAGGAAATCGATTCTATGTGGTATCATGAACATTAGATTGCATGGAAAGACAATCATCAAACCAGGTGTAATTGTAAGAGGTGATCTTGCAAATGTAAATATAGGTAGATTATCATCGGTTGGTGAAAATACTGTTATCAGACCTTCATATAAGAAATTCAAAGGGTAACTATCGATAGCACATTCTCATACCTTGCTTGTAGTTGCTCTATAATCAAACACTAACTGATTACATCACACATATGTCTAGATCGATAGCATACTTTCCACTTACGATTGGAGATCATGTAATTATAAAAGAAAATACAGTCATTAGTGCTGCTTCAATTGGTTCATATGTTTATATAGGAAAGAATTGTGTAATTGTATGAAATTATTATTATTTCATCTCTCTCTCTCTCTCTTTCTCTCAATCTAACTCTTCATTCTTCCTTTTACTCTATCTAGTCAAAAAGATGTATATTAAAAGATTGTTGTATGATAGCAGATAATACGATTGTACCACCTGATACAGTTGTACCACCTTATACTTGTTATTCAGGATTTCCAGGTACATACAAAGAGGAATTGGTAGATAGTTTTGAACATTACATGAAGGATTTAACAACCACTACATATGAACACTTTCTACCAAATCCCGTCATTGGAGGTACTCCAAGTAGTTTGGTTACGACTCCAACATCTTCATCCACTTTTATTCCTACTTCATCTCCTGCTGTCACAAAATAACGAAAGAAGGAAAGAAAGAAAGAAAGAAAGAAAGAAATACGATTAATTAAATAATTATTTATTACTATACAAAATGATGATAATGGATTTATTACTATTATTATTATTATTCCAATCAACTCTACTATTACTAGTTTGCTATTCTAAAAAGTAAATGAAAATTGATTTGTTGTTGATTGTTGATCAACAAATATATGTGATAATTCTTTTTCATCATTCTTTTCAATTGAATGTTTAATCTTTTCTTTTTTCTCTAATAGTTTTGGAGTATGTGCCTTTTTGGTGTCTTTAACTGCACGGTAAACGCTGATGATTGGTTTAACGAAATCAGCTGTAAAAGCTTCTCTATCTTCACTTTTGTTGTTGGATTTTGTTTTGGAACTAGATCCACTAGCTTGGATTCTCATCTTGACATATTTGTTCTTTTCTTGAAGTGCCTTTTGAAATTGGATATTGTGTGTACCAACCATTCGGATGATACCTTCGATACGAGAGATTGGGAATTGTTTGTTTTGGATGATTCGGAGGGCTCGTTCCTTTTGCTCGGTGGTCAACTCTCTTGCTGAAAATGTAATGTCCATCGATCGAAGAGTTGGATGTTGCGAGTTACCAACACTCTCGATGATGTACACGACACCATCCGCACCAAACGTGTTGTATTCACCGCCGACGACAACGGTCGCTCCAGAGTGGCCAATATCGATGCCTTGGAGCGTTTTGTTGGCTGCCAACATGTCACCAATGTAGGTGGCCGATTTGGGGGTCAGACGATTGCTGCTCATGTCGAGGTCGATGATGGTCGACTGGCGATTGAACGCCTCGCATATGATACGACACCCTTCATCCAACAGGTTGCAGTTGGAGAGACTGAGGAACAAGAGACGGGCGTGACTAGTCTCACTGGTGAGGATATTGTCGGCAATATACTGTGCACCCTGTGCGCCAAAATGGTTGCTGTCGAGCATCAGTGTCGTCAGACAGTTGAGAGGGTTGGATCGAATGGCAGCTGTGACCGTGTTGATAGCAGACGCCTGTAGATCATTACTGATTAGATCTAAAATCTGGATACTGTTATTGGTTGACATGAGACGACCAATATGTGCAGCACCACCCTCGTTGATATGATTACGCTTGATCCACAACGCGTTGATATTGTTCTTTTCAAGGATAGCATCGACCAAATGCTTAGTACCCTCTTCGGCAATATTGTTGCATCCCAAGTAGATGGTCTTGATTGATTGGTTCTCCTTGATGATATGTCCAACCTCTTTAGCACCTTCGACGCCCAACGAGTCATCTCCCATCAACAAATGCATGATAGTTGTGTTCTTGGCCAAATGTTGACGCACCAATCGTGCACCCTCCACACCAACACCCTGTTTGCAGAGGTCGAGTCGTGCATCCTTTGTAACAGTTCCTCTCTTGAACTGTTGGTCTCTATTCAAAGGCAGCTCATTCTTGTCCAAGTACTCGACCAACTCTGATAGATCTTCCACCGCACCTTGCACAGGCAACGACTTTGTAGTACAAACCTTTCCTACAATCTGAACATTATCTGATGTCAAGTTATTCAAAAATGGTACATCTGTAGAGATTCCACTATAATTCATTCTCTCTCTATCTCTCTATCTGTGTTTGAAACAAATGATTCAAACTCTCATGAATCTCGAGACTATAATTTCAGCTTCAAATTGCGACTATTCAGAAAAAAAAAAGAATGTTCATCAACTTTATTGATTTATTATTACTATAGTTGCAACCAAACAGACAGATAGACAAACAAACAAACAAACAGATAGATAGAAGATAATCACCGTTCAATATAATCATTAAGATCTTTGACGATAAAAAAAAGGTAAATGATGTGATTCATACTTTTCAATCAACATGTACTGACACGATCATCGAGTCATCGAATCATTAAACAGGGGGTCGTTGTGCAGATTTGAAAGTTAACTTGTGTAAGTAGTAATATCAGGTTCCCAGTGTGAAATGAATGAAAGGTTGATTGTCCACATGTGGTGAAGGTTGGAGATACATACCATGAAAATTATGTGGTTGTTTTGACGAATTAGGTATGATATCATTGTGATGATCAAGTATGTTGTTGTTGTTGGTCAGTATACACATGTGTATCTATAATCTGACAAATTAAACATGTGTTGTTGTGCCAAAAACAACCAAATTATCCATGACTAGGCCAATGATCATTGCTGAGCTCAATGACATTCAATCAAAAATGTCTAAAAACTCAATCAAAATCAAAAGGTGTGTGACGCCAGATGCAGATGATTGGGGCTAAGGTAACCTCTCTTACCACACTTGTGTAAATTGCCAAAAGTATCACATGTTACTGCTCGACTGTTAAATTTCATCAATAATATTATTTCTAAACCTTGACCAAATGGAAACATATAAATAGTCTGGTTCCATCATTCATTCAAATCACCAGCAATAAGCTAAAGCAACAACTACAACAACCAACAACAAATAATATTTAAAAATGTCATTAGCCACATCAATCAAAGGTATTTCATTGGGATCACTCCAATCCACCGCCTCAACTGAATGGGCTCCAGGCTTTACCTCTCACTTTGCCCGTCTCAACTATGAACGTCATCCCTCGATGAACGGATCTGTCACTGGTGGTTCAAGTGCCTGGTGTGCCAAGACCAACGATGCTGCTCAATGGATTTCTGCCTCATCAGAGAACCTCAAGACCTTTACCGGTATCCAAATCCAAGGTCGTGCCGATACTGACTGCAACCAATTCGTCACCTCTTACACTTTGGAGTACTCTGTCGATGGTATCAAATTTGTCCCTTTCAACAATGGTCAAGTCTTTACTGCCAACACTGACAGAAACACCATCGTCTCCAACATTTTTGCCACCCCAGTTGTTGCTCGTACCCTTATTCTCAAGCCAAAGACCTGGAATGAACACATTTCATTGCGTTGGGAAGTCTTTTACCAACCAATCAAACAATCATTGGTCAACTCTGGTACCTTGGCTGCCACCAATCTCAGTCTCCTCACCAGCAACTCTCCACCACGTGACAGAACCGAAACCGTCCAAGTCGTCTTCAAGAACCCATACCCAACCGGTGTCATCCCACAAGTTGTTGCTCAAATCAAGAGATTCGATATCAACCAATCTTTCAATGCTCGTTACAAGGTTGATGTTTCAAATGTCACCAACACTGGTTTCGCTTTGACCTTTATGACTTGGTTCGATACCATCCTCTACAGTGCTGAAGCCACCTATGTTGCTCATGCTGAAGTTTAAAAAAAAAAATATTCATCATCATCATCATACACCACTCTATAATGTAACTTATGTTGTATTATCTATCTATTCTTCCATATTAATAATAATAATAATAATTTAAATTAGAAAAGAATCAAAAATAATAATAATATATGGATCAATTAAAATTAATAAATAAGATAAAAGAAAATTTTATTTTAATCTTTGTTTTCTAGTCTTTCTTTTCTTTTCTTTCTTTTAATATTCATATGATACTTCATTGTTCTGTTTAGTTTATTGTGACGTCAGCCTACAAATGACGACCTTGGGATTTCCTTTGAAAATGAATGATACCAAAGATTTTCAAAATATCTTTCCTTTTCTTGAACCAGAGAAAAAAAGAAATTAAAAAACAAATAAACAAAAAAAATCACACTACACACATAACATTACACTTTCAAATCATTATTATTTGATTCTATTCATATACCTTTTAAATAATAATAATAATAAATAAGTAGATAGATATATACACAAGATGGAAAATAAATTACCAACAAAACAAGAAATCATTGATAAGGTTGATAGCTTACAAAATGAGGCAATTGAAAAGTTAAAGCAATTGGTATCATTTGATAGTTTGTTGGGTAATGAAAACGAAGCTCAGATTTATATGCACGAAGTATACAACTCGTTGGGACTCAAGGTAGATCGTTTCAAAGTCAATTTAGAGGACATCAAGGATTTGAAAGGTTTCTCACCCGTCGACTGGAAGTATGATGGCAAGGAGAATGTAATTGGTATCTATGAACCTGACCCTTCACTTGCCAACACTGTCCCAAATGGAAAGGGAAAGAGTTTGATTCTCAACGGACACATTGATGTTGTGCCAACTGGTCGTGATGCCTTGTGGACCAAAGACCCATTCTCGCCATACGTCAAGGACGGACGTTTGTACGGACGTGGATCTGGTGATATGAAAGCTGGTGTCATGGCATCGGTTATTGCACTCAAAGCATTAAGAGAGTTGGGTTATGCCCCAGCTTCAAAGGTGATCCTTCAGTCTGTCGTCGAAGAGGAGTGTACTGGAAACGGTACGCTTGCTTGTCTTGCCAGAGGATACACTGCCGACGCTGCTGTCATTCCCGAACCATTCCCCTTTATTGTCACTGCCGAAGTTGGTATTGTATGGTGTCGTGTCCTCGTTCGTGGACGTCCCGCTCACGTTCTTGAGATGGGTACCGGTGTCAATGCTATCGACGGTGCCATGTACATTGTCAACGAACTACGTCAACTTGAAGAAAAGTGGAACAAGGTCAAACATCCTGCCTTTGAACAATTCTCAGCACACCCCCTCAACTTTAATCTTGGTCAAATCACAGGTGGCGAGTGGACCAGTTCTGTCCCATGTGAATGCACCTTTGAACTCCGTGCTGGTTTCTACCCCGGTGCAGACTTGGCAGACATCCGTAAACAACTATCCGACTGTATCGCAGAAGCTGCCAAACAAAAGGGTATCGGTCACGAAGTCTCTTGGAATGGTTTCCAAGCTGAAGGTTGTGTAATGGATAAAAATTCAGAATTATTATCAACTCTTGGTAATGTTCATAAACAAGTTTTAAATGTAAGAAAATAGAAAAAGAAAATAGAAATAGAAATAGAAATAGAAATAGAAATAGAATTATAATTATAATATTTGCTAATAATCATTTTTTATTATTATTACTTTAATAGAGAGAAGCCAAATATGATCCAATTCTTTGTGCTACTGATTGTAGATTTTTCCAATTGTATTACAATATCCCAACCACTTGTTTTGGACCAGAATCAGATTCTATCCACGGTATCGATGAAAGTGTCAGTTTAGAGTCTTACAGAGATGTCATTAGAATATTAGCCTGTTTCATTGCTGAATGGTGTGGCTTACAACCATGTTTCAAGTAAACCAAAGCCAAACAAGAATGTTGTAAAGAAAAATAAAGAATAAAAAATAATATTCTTTTTAAAACCGTAACCAGACAGACAGACAGACTATAGATAGTAGAATTACTGCTACTACTACTACTACTACTACTACTACTACTACTACTACTACTACTACTACTACTACTACTACTACTACTACTACTACTACTACTACTACTACTACTACTACTACTACTACTACTACTAGTCATCAAATTAGACTGATTTCAATTGACCATCTTGATCAATTTGAAGATTATCTAAATTACCAATAGTAGCCAATAGTTTGAGAACAAATTCGTTAAACTCTGGTATTTGTTGACAATATGATTCCAACAATTGAACACGCTCCAAATCAGAGCCTTTACTGTCAATCTCTAATATTAGTTGTCGTAATTCACGATGATCAATTGCTTGTTGAATGTGTTTAGAGATATCAATCATCTTGAATTGTTCATCTGTCACCATCTTAAAGAATGATAAACCACTCGCTGGCATATTCAAAGGGACTATTGATCTATCGACTGTTGGTACTGTATTTTGTTGTGTTGGCGCAACTGTCAATTGCTCATGATCTACCTCTTTTTTATGTTGTTCATTGCATTCCTTTGAACAACTATGAGAGAGAAAAGAAAGAAGAAAAGAAAAGAAAAGAAAGAGAGGTTAACAAATGAATCAATGAATGAACGAACGAATCGTTTTGAACAGTTGAAAACATACTATTTGATAGTTCTACATTTAGGACAATTATATTTCCCTTCCTTTAGGTTACATATCGAACAATTAATGATTGTTGTTTTTCTCATAACTCTGTTGTATCCTATGTAAATTTGAAAATAAATTGATAAATACAAATGGTTTTGAATTAACGAAAGTATCGTCTGTTTCAGATCTGACCCGAAAGAGAGATAAAAAAATAATAATATTAATTAAAATAACAACTTAACTGTACTGATCCGATCAGATAGATAGCTACTACTGTAGGGAGGTTGTTTATTGGATATTTATATATTGTTTAAAAGTAAAAGGGTGTGAAAAGAGATTATAATACAAGGTAAGCTTAGGAGATAGTGTTGTTGTGGTTAGGCGTAGCATACTCAATGCCAACCGCCTTGATTATAGCCACCTCCATAATAACTACCTCCACCACCACCACCTCCATTATAACTATTATAATAGTTGCCTCCTCCACTTTGGTAACCTCCAGAGTTAAACTGAGGTGACTGGTATCTTGGTCTGTAGCAATGAGCCATTCCAACACCATTGTTTACAATGACACCATGATAGGTTGGGTTTTTACCCGATGGATCATCTGTTAATTGTCCAAAGCGTGGTACACCACCTACTAGTTGTTCTCCCGTGTAGGAGCTATAAACTGGTCCATCAAAGTTGGTGATCTTTACCGATGGTTCTCCAGGTCCTCCTAACGAAAAAACATTTACTTTTTTTGACATTCTCTATGTATATCTATATGTCTATTTATCTATTATCTATTTGTTGGTTGTATTCGTCTCGATAAGCAATGAGAGAGAAGAGCCCTTTTGCTTTTATCAAATCAAGAATTGTGAGAAAAACTAAACTGATCAGGTCCGTTTTTCGATTGTAGAGAAATCTCCGAAAGATCAATAGACACCTCCGAATCTATCAATCCAACTATGTACGCCCAACTGATCATATGCACATATGAAACTACTAATAATAATGAACAAAAATTATCATTGTATCTGTCTATACTTTATAACTGTTCTCACAAAAAAGGATTATTACGTAAATGGTTTAAATTGCTCTGGTGGTTAGAGAACTTTGAAAATTTAAAAAAAATCGATTGATGTGTTTCCCTCCTTTTTTCACATTTAGTTGTTACGATTGAGGAGAATGATATTTTGTTTAACCTAGACCATCATACAACAGTAATAGTTAGAGACAAGACAGCTGTCATCACCATCACACACGATTATTTTACGAGTATAAAGATATCCACCACCACACAAATTACAATTATCGATATCATTGACAGTACAGATCAAGGAGGGAGGAAGAAAGGACAGCACAGATAATGATTCCTCCAATTAGCGTAGATCTCATGTTATCAAACATGAAGATGTTACTTGACGTTCGTCAATTTACATCTGCTGAATTATTGGTAGGTACTAGACGAGACGAGACGACTCTTTATATTTTTTTGGTTGAACTCTATCAGATTACTTACTTTTGTTGTTGTTTGTCTGTTATAAATAGGGTAATTTTATAGTATCATTACCATTATTATCAACAAATAATATAACATTGGCATTTTCAAATCAAAATAATCAATTGGTTCAATGGATCTACCAAGCATTAATTATGTTTGCCGATTCCATCTATGGACAATCACAATACCTTCGTGCACTCAAATATTACAAGAATGCACTAGATATTGTTATCAAGGCAATCAACCAGAGTGCAAGCCAAGCCTCTTCATTACATCAACAACAACCAGCAGCAGTTGGAAATAATCTTTTTGGAACCAATTCTCATTTCCCAAAATCATTGATGGATATTAAGCAATTAAAATCGATTGAATATGATCTACGTTACAAAATTGCATTATGTTTTATTAATACAAAGAAAATTAATCTTGCAATCTCCTATGTAAGTACTTTTATCACCGGTTGGTTTTGGAATTAATAATTAATATTTATCTAATTTATATATGTCTAGTTGGAATCAATACCAAATACAAGTAGATCACTTGATATTAATTTAACAATGGCAAGATTATACAAAGATATGAGTGGTGTTGGAAAAGAAAGAACAAAGTAATTATTATTATACATTTTTTGAATCATGAAAGAGAGAGAACAAATAATAATAATTAATTTTAAATTGAATTTTAGAGATGCGATATTATGTTTTAAAGAAGTTTTAAGAATTTGTCCATTATGTATAGAGGCAACTATTGCAATCAAAGAATTGGGAGAAGATCCAGAACTATTTTTAACACAAGTTTTACACAAGCAACCCATTTCAAATGCAAATATCGATTCATCTTGGATTCCTGCTTTGGCACTATCTCAATTTGAATTAAAAAGAAATCAACCTCAAAGTATGATTACTCTTTCTCATCTTCATTTATGTTTTAATCTATCTTTTAGAAGCCAACTAACCTGTCCCTTTTTCTTTCTCTCAAAAAGAATCATTATTTATATTAAAGAAATTAGAACCAAAATTCAATTGTAATCTTTATTTATTAGAAAAGTTAGCATTATCATATCTCTATCATGATGAGCCATCCATTATCAATACCATCAATACGTTTCATAAAATCAGACAATATGATAGTTATTATACAAATTCAATGGATATTTATTGTTCCTTATTAAAACGTAGACAATTACAATTTGAATTAAACAAGTATGTTATGACCCAAACAACAATCAAACCGTTATCAATCCAGTTAGTTGTATTAATACATATTTATTTATTTTATCTTTTTTAGAGTATGTCATGATTTATTAAATACAAATTCAGGAGCACCAGAAAGTTGGACATCGGTAGCATTATATTACTTTTTAAAAGAAAATAATGAAAAGGCAATGGAATGTGTTGATAGAGCTATTAGTCTTAGGGAAACACATCCCTTTTCACATTCTCTAAAAGGAGAGATTTACTTGTCGTTGGAGGATCCAAAATCAGCGCTGCCTTGGTTGGATCGTGCTTTCCAACTTTCCAAAAATATATTGACCGCAAGAGAATTGGTTAGATGTCATCTCTTCCTCAATCAAATCAACGAAGCCCTCATGGTTGCCCAAGCTATTCACCGAATGAGTCCAGAATACTCAAAATCAATGTCATTGGTGGGTATGGTTTTGGCCAATCAACCAGAGGAAAGACCAAGGGCCAGAAAAATTCTCTCAGAGGCTCTCGTATTGTCTCCACATTGCATTGATACAGTTCTTACACTTAGTAAATTAAATATGGTTGAAGGAAAATTACAAGAAGCTTTAGATTTGTATGTAGATGATAAAGTAGATAATTGATTAAGGTAATTAACAATCATTTCTCTATTTAGAATACAAAAACAATTAGAATATCAAGAAACAGATTTAATGCATACGGAAATGGCAAATATTTATGTTACTAAAGAAAATTATGAAGATGCAATGAGACATTACAATAGTGCGTTGGAGATCAATCACCAGTACGAACCTGCCATTAGAGGTTTACATCGATTAGAATTGATAATGAAAGGAATCGATCCTGATCAAGAAGAAGAGGAACTAGAAGATGATGAAGAAATTGATGAAGATGAATTAGATGAAGACGACATGGAAGAAGAGGATATTATCGAAGATATGGATGGTGATTTTGAAGAATAAAAAAATGGATAAAATTAATTTTATTATCCATAGAGAAATATAGTTAGTTTATAGATTAATATCAAGTTAATTATTTTACTTTTGTCTTTTAATGTTATTTTCCAATCAAATTTATTTAATTATTTTTTGTGTTAGATGATTTAAATATTTGTAGATGGAGGTAAATTTAAAGGAGTTGTCAAAGAAGAGGAAGAGGTGATATGGTTGCCAATTGCAGGTGAAGATGTTGGTGATGTTTGAGTCGAGGCAGGAGCAGAAATGGATGACGAAGAGGACAAACCAGAAGAGTGTGCAATGGTACCATTGCTGCTTGAGAGTGATGGAGTACTCGATGCACTACCTCCATTGGTGCTACCACCACTGGTTGGAACACCACCACCTGAATGGTGGTGAGGTTTTCTATGCTTAATTCCCTTCTTTTGTGATGGTAAAATCATAGAGGAGCCAGCAGCAACAGCGCTATTGCTACCATTTAAACCGGCAAGTGAAACAATAGATCCATTCGAAACAGATTGCTTAATAGAGCCCGTGACAGGCGACGACAATGATAATGGTGTAGATGATGTTGAATTGGGTTGTAAAGTCGATGACGATGTTGTATTGTTGTTGGATGAGGTTGAATTTGATTGTTGTTGTTCCTTTGGATGAATGATAGAAGAAGTAAGAGATAGTGCAGAATTGGATACTGCAGGATGAAGGAAATTAAATAGTGGGAAGGATATACGATTTGGATTGACGACCTTTGAATTCAAAGTCTTGACGATAAAGTTTTGAATAAATTGACCAATTTTTCCTGGTTCCTTTAATACTGTTTCGTGACCCATCTTGGTTACCATACGTAAAGTCAAAGATGGTGATTCTTTCAAATACAATGAACATAATGGATTGGTATGATTTGGTAAATATAAAACAAACTAGAAATAATAGATAAAATGGTTAGAGTCAAAAGTATCATTTCGTCATTGTCTTTGTTTTCCTTACATTTCCAGAGAATTGTTTAATCGATATTTTAGTCTTTACAGGAAGACAAGCTGTATGTTTTTGTGGCCAATTGAGCCATAACTCTGTGGAAGCAGTGATAGAGGCATCACCCGAGTAGATTAAATCGAATTCAATAACATTGACCGATGCATTTACTGGTGATACAAGTCTAATAGTACCAATCTCTGGTGTTGTAGTACCAATGTTTATATCAGAGAATGATAATTTACCCTATAAAATGACAAAAGAATGATTAACTATATGACATTATATTTACTTTTGAGACTTTTTGGTCACCATTTTCTTACAATATAATCTGGTTTTGATTCATCTTCTGCAATGCTATTTAAAAGTTCATGAATATGTCTAGAGTATTGTTGTGAATGATTAATCTCTGACAATACTCTCTTTGTGATGAAATTGATCCATTTGCAAGTCTCAATAGATGTTGGTGGAGTGTTGCTGATGGAATAGTCGATTGGCTCGTTTGTCGAAGAGGTAAAGTAGAATGACTTTTTGTGTGTACGTTGTTGCTTGTTGTTATGTTGTTGTTGTTGGTGTTGAAGCTGTTGCTGTTGTTGTTTCAAGCTCTTATCTTTTGGTAGTGATCTAGGATCAATCTTTTTAGACAACAATCTAAAGAACACATAGAGCAATACGGTAGTTGTGAAAATGATACCAAGTAAAAATCCAATTATAATGTTATACATGATTGAACTAGTAAGTAGTAAGGATCCTACTTGTGTATACCTTATCTGTATATGTATATTTATATAGTATAAAAGTATCTGTGTTTGTGTTCTCTGAAACTGATGCAAAGGATGGTCGTGTAGTTTGAACGACTATTAAATTTTTCAAAATTTTTTTTGTTATCTCAAAGGTGATGTAATAGCACCATCATCCCATTGTTTGTTCAACAAACAGCAAATAATTACTACGCGTACACGACACCTTTCTGATCGATCGGATCTCGACTTGTTGCATTGTAGATAACGATCAAACACATATCAAAGAAAGCCATTCAAGTTCGACAGTCACTGTGTTTGTATATATAAATAGACATCAAGGAACCAAGATAGGATGTTTGGATACTTGATTCAAGGTAGACCTGTTACACCTACAGTACAACAACTATCACCTCAAAAATATTTCTTTCAAATTGAAGATGCTTCATCTGTACATAATTTCGCTGTCTTTTTAACTGAATTGTAAGTACTACTACAATCATGCGCATGTCCTGTGAACTTGGATTATTTATGTATTTATTGATTAATAATGTTTTGTTTAGAAACTTTCCAGATGGATATGGAGCAGCTATTTATTTGGCATATGCACCATTTCAAGAATGGAAGTATTTAGGACACATTAATAAAAATAAACCGAGTGCATTCTTTAGAATCGTCCAAGAAGGTGACCAAACCATGATGTTTGATCAATCAAAACAAACTGCACAGGTTGGTATATCCATCGAAACAGAGGCTGAAATCATGTCCAAGGTAAAGACAAATACTGGTAATGAAAACATGGTATTCAAACCTGCAGATTTCAAACAATTTGCCTTTAAAATGTGTCACAATTTTGTAAATTATATTCAATCGTTTGCTGGAACTACTGGCGTACCTCCTAATCTAATCCCTGCCAATTCAGTTGATAAATGGTATCAAAATTTCCAAAGAAAATTACAAAATGATATTTTATTTTGGAAAGAATCCTAGGATAAGGAAAAATTACAATTAATAATAATAAAATATACACACCAAACCTAATCCAAATACTTTATTTATATAATACATTTTATGAAAAAATGATAAATTAAATCTTCTTCTTCTTCTTCTTTTAAATTAAAGTATTTGGATCATTTGAACAAATGAATCTATGAATTTTAGATGATAAATGTGGACCAAGATTCTTTTGAGTCTTGGTAGTGTTGGCATTGGTTGATTCAATCTTTAGATTGGAAAGCATAGTCTCTCGATCATTTTCATCTTTTAATTTTTCATAGGCACGATACAGTGAAATAAAGGTTGGATATTTGGCAACGATACATCTTGCTATATTACTAGAAATACCATGAACCATTGACAATTGATACAACCAAATTTCAGCTGGTTGTTTTCCTTTTTTCTTGATCGCCTCTGCACAAAACCCTTCAAACAATTCATTCGTAGCTTCTTTGTATGGTAAAAATGCCAATGTCTCTGTCAACTTTGTCAATAATGATGCAAATTCTAATCTATTTGATGGTTGATAAATCATCATTTTATATTCAATCTTGATGAAAACAAAAAAAGAAATGGATTAATATTATTAAATGTTTCATCTTGACTTCTTCTTTTTTGACATACTCTTAGTTTAATTAATAATCTTTCAATTTCTTGTTTTGTAACATGAGTACCAACAGTTTGCCTATTACCATTTTTCATATTTGATTCAATGGCTTGTGATTTTTTTCTTAGGAATGGATCCAATCCTTCAATGAATAATATAAATCGTTTATCTCTATTGCTATTTGTTAATTCTGCTATTTTCTCTACCAATTGACTCTTTTCAACATATTCATAGAAAATATCAGCTGGATATTTTAATATTATATAATCCTCTGGTTTATTTGTTCCCTATAAATATAAAGATAATTATTAGTATATATTCTTTATCATTATCATCTAAATGATCATCGTTGTGGTTATATTATTATATTTACATTATCTAATTGTCTTTTCCAAATGATTGAAAATTGTATTCTTAAAGTTTCTTGACAAACCTTTATTTCTTGTGGAATATAGGTTAAAAGGTCTTGTGTTTCTGACAGACAATGTAGATTTTCGTCAAATACCAAACTCATTTCCTTTAATGCATCCTTTTTAGTTTTCTTTTTTGGTGCTTTTACTTTTTTGGTAGCATCCAATGTTGGTGATCGTTTTCTTCCTTTTGTTTTAATAGATGAATCGTTGTTGTTATCCATATCAATGTTATCTATATCATCATCTAGGTCTCCAAATTCATTACTCTTTTTCCTCTTTGATGCAGCTGCTTTCTTTTGTGTCTTCTTGTCAACCTTTTCTTTTGCCCTCTCCATTTGTTCCTTTTTTTTCTATCCTTGGCTGATTCAAATTCATTTGCAACTAGTTGATCGAGATCATCATCATCATCATCATCGTCTGGTTCATCTTGTATATCTTCATTCTCCCACAAAGATGTTGTCGTCTTTGATGATGATGATGATGATGATGATGTTTTTGATGATGATGAAGATGTACCATTATAATTGTTTGTTCTATTTGTTGTCGATTTTGAATGATCATTCCATCCAGTTAAACAAATTTGATCATCATCTATACTTTCATTGAAATAAAACTCTTCATCAGATGTTGGTATTGGTTTCTTTGATTTCTTTGTTCTAGTTGAAGATGAAGTTGAAGTTGTTGAAGTTGTTGAAGTTGTACTAGTACTAGTAGTAGTATGTTGTGGTGGTGATGATTGAGGATCCCTTATATCATATGTATTCTCCTCTACTTCCTTTCTTTTCCTATCACTATTGCTACCTCGACTACTACTAGTACTTGTATATTGTTGTTGATGTTTTCTTTCTCTTTCTTTCTTTGCTATTTCAGCCAAGGAGAGATGGAAGTCATCTACATCAATCGAATCGTTTCTATCCATCAAAAGAGAAGGAAAGGAGGAGGTATTTGATGTTGTGTTATTTATAAATCAAAACAAACAAAATAGACAATTTCAAGACTTTATGTTTTTTTGTGCAATACTCATGTTGAGCATTAAGATTAAATTATTGGAAAAAATCGATCATTATTATTATTTATTATTATTTATTATTATTATTAATTAATCTATAAAGAAATAATATGTCGATAGGTGTCTCTGATATAGGAAGCATTTCGAATGATTGAATCTAAACTATCGATATCAACCAAATCACTCTTTTGGAGTGTTTGTACCAATTCCATAAACTCCATGTTTAACAAATCACTGCTCCAATCGGATAAAAGTGCCGCACAGAGACTAATGTGTAGCAGCGAGAATCCTTCATTATTCTTATCGCACATGTATCTGTCCCAAAGCTTAACTCCAGTCTCAAATGAAACATCGCGTACCAAAAAACAAACCATCCATCTAAATGAAAAATGGCTAAAATCAATTTGTTGTTTCATAAAATGATTATATAATTCCTCTATAGAAAATTAAAAAGTAAAAGGTTTTTTTTTGTTAATACACATAATAAAATATATATATATATAGATTTTAGAGTATCTATATTTACCATTTGATTCTTGAACCAATTTTGATAATTTTTTCATCATTCCTTCAGCTGGTAGACCACAACCAGTGTTTGTGGCATAGGGTTTGACTGAATTTAATAAACTTGAAAGACACCAGTAAATGTCTGCTTCAACCTTTGATAGGATGTCAAACTTTTGATTTTGAATCATCTCTTTGACAGCGACACCATCTCCAATCGACTTTGTCAATGAAGCAATGTCTTCCTCTTCTGGGTACAAATTGGGATAGGTTATCTTTGAAGGAGATGATTCCATTTGTGATATGGCATGACCCAAAAACACAATTAAAAATGGACAAAGTAAATCATTTAATCCTTGGAAATAAGATAAATCTGTATTCTCTGATGACCAAATTGCCAATATTCTTTCACTCATCTTAAAATTTAAAAAAGAGAAATAAATATTAATATATAAATATAAATTATTATCTATATTATTTCTTTACATACTTGTTCAATTTCTTTTAATTCAAATAATTCATAAAATCCATCAGGTCTAGTTCTAATGACATCGATATGAATTTGTTGTAAAAGATCTTTGAATTTTGATTTCTCGTTTTGACCCAATGCAGTTTGACTCCAAAGATCGGCAACGTTATTTAATAATTTGTTGGTTCCTCTTTCAAAATCATTTTCATCAACATGGAAATTTTTGAATTGGTCACCAAAATACTTTTTAACCAAGTCTCTATACCTACAAAAGATAAATATAATTGGTTAGATATTGTTATGTGGAATGTTGATAGTCTAGACTTACTGTAATCTTTTATTCAAAAGGACAGAGGCTCTAATATCTGAACGAGCAGGTAAATAACCAGCCATTAACATCCAAGAAGTAGCACGACAATGATCAGGAAAACCATAGTGAGTTCCAAGTAATTTAACGATATCTACATTGACATTTGGTTGATCAAGATGCCATTGAATATGTTGTGAAATTTTAATACGATCACCATTTTCATTCAAGTATTGTGTTAAATCTCTATACTTTTCTTGTTGTTGTTGGTATTGTTGAGAACTGTTATTATTACTATTATTTTGTGAATCACCTCTTGGAGATGGAATTGAAATTGATAATAATTGTAAAATATTATTAAACTTTCCTTTGTTTCCTTTACTTTGTTGTTGTTGTTGTTGTAATTGTTGTTGTTGATGTAAAGGTTGTTGATTAAAAGGTGTTGGTGGTAATGATTTATACTTTTGTAATGTTATATCTTTGTATGTCGTAGTTGTAGTTGGTACTCTATTATTACCATTTGATTGAATAGATGGATAGGAAATAAAATCCTCATTACTGCCACCACTATCACCTCCATGATGATTATTTTCAAAATCAAGTGAAGGGTAACTCGGAGATGATATACTTGACAATTCATCAGCCGATAGTTTTGGATATGGGCTAATGTCAACAAGTGGTAGGGAAAACTTTGATCTTTCAGTTCGACTTTGTTGTTGTGAAAGTTGATTTAAAACAGAGGATCTATAGGAAATATGTAGTAATGAAGGTGATGATATTCTTTGTTGTTGTTGTGGTAGTGGTGGAGGAGTCGATGGTAATGGTTTGGATGGCGTAGAATTTACAGTATCCTTTTCAACCACTTCAAATGTTAATCCTTCAATGGTTTCTTCATGATGATTTACAATTGGATTAACTATATTATTATTATTATTATCTATATTATCTATATTATTATTATTATTTACATTATTACAATCGTTATTATAATTTTGATTATTGTCTATTTCTGCATCATAATTGCTATTATTATTATGGAAATAGGAAGGTTCCAATGGTGAAGATGAAAAGGTTGAAGATGCAGTAGTAGTAGGCAATGAAGAAGACAATGGAACTTCATTAGAGTTGTTTGATTCTTGTTGTTGTTGTTGTGGTTGTGATGGTTGTTGTTGTCTCAAATGATTTAAAAATGGAAGAGATGAAAATGAAGTAGATGGTGATGATGGATTAGAAGAAGATGGGGAATTATTGTTGCTATTGCTGTTTTTGAGATTATTGATGATGGAATCCACTTGTTGAGGAATTGGTATGTTCTTGACTGATGTGATCACCTTTAACAACTTGTTTTTGAGAAGTGTCTTGCTTCCATCCTTTGGTGATGACGATCCACTTGTACTTGCGTGTCCATGTAAATCCGTTGATGATGAATGATTAGGAATAAAAGTTGAATAGAGTCCAGAATAGGGTGATGAAGGGGATCCATGTTGATGATGATGATGACTGGTGCTAGTTGAATTCATGGCAGAAGTTGAGAGATATCTTTTATGAGTACGATCGGTACGTGGAGGCACGGGTGGAGGAGGCAATGGCTTTTCCAATTGCTCTGCTGCAGTCGCTGCAAACGACGATGGAGACGGCTGGATATCGACCTTGGTTTGTTGTAATGGAGATACGTAGTAAGGTGTCGTCTCACTGCTACTTTGACAAAGATCGTTGTGTAGTAGTGATGGTAAGGATCGTGAAAGTTGATTATGTGATGGTTGTTGTTGTTGTTGTTGTGATGGTACAGTATTAATTGTAATGTTACTAGTTATTTGGATGTTTAATGGATTACTACTTATTCCTCCTTTTTGATCATCGTCTGTAAAATCCTTGTAATATATATTTGGTGAATAATTATTCAAATGGTGTCGATGTTGTTGTTGATGATTGCTACCAACATTGCTTTTGGTATTGTTGTTGTCGTTGTCATCATCGTCACTACTACTGTTACTGCTACCACCATTATAATCGTCACCATTATTATGATTATTATTATAATCCTTGTTCTTGTTGTTGTTGTTGTATAAATCATCATCTTCATCCAAACTACTCCATAACTCTGTGTCATAGAGTGATGATTTGATATGTTGTTGTTGTGGCTGGTTATTATTATTAATCAAGTTGGTGCTGTCCATCTTCATCTTGATTTTTTATTCCTTGGAAGGGAAAGAGTTTTATATTTGTTTGTATATATGGATGTATGAATGATATAAACTTAATAATAATAATAATACATGTAGACAGATAGATAACTGATTGGATTGATATATATAGATAACTGATAAACAACCTTTTTAAAAGAAGAAAAAGAAAGAGGTCCTCTGTTATATTATAACAATCATGTATATTCTCTATAAATTCTAATAATAATAATATTTGATATGTCCTCCTTTATAAATTATACGTGTGTTTGGTTGGTGGTGGTGTTGTTACTAATTACTATGTATGTAAGTATATATGTATATAGATAAATGTATTACAAGTCCAACAATCTTTTAATATTGAGAAAGAAGGAATGATAAACAAGTTGTCAAAAGAGGAAAGAGGAGGAAGGAATGGAATGGAAAGAGATAAATATATATATAAATATAATAAAATATATTATGTTGTTATTATTATTTGTTATACGACGATGGGGGAGGTGAAAAGAAAAGATCTATCAATAATATGTTTATCTGGTGTTGTGTTGTGTTGTGTGTTGGTGTGTTGTTGTTGTTGTTTGTGTTGTTGTTGTATGAGCTGGCCAGGGGTTGGGTTGTGGGGGGGGGAAAAAACGATACAACGAAACAAATCGATTGAAAGATGGACCGATTCAATAAAACAAAGACAATGGATGATAAAAAGGATAGATATATCTCTTTATCTCTCTTTCTCTGTATCTTATAAAAAAAATGTATAATAATAGTGCACACAAGGAAAGTATTATAGTTGGTGCAAACAAAATGACGACTTTTCAAACAAACCTGCAAGGATACTTATTAATAATTGCAACGGAAAATCAAACATCTGATGTGAAATCAAATTGGTATCCTCGTTTTTTGAGACAAACATAACATATAAATATTATTGGGGTGGGGTGTATACTACTCTAAACAGCACTCTCTTTTAATCAATCAGGTTTTGTTTATCTTTTATCTTGAGGATGTAGGGTCTAATAATACTTAATACCAAGTCGGTTAGGTTTGGTGCTGCAAAGAAATCCAACAATTTTACAACTCAACCAAACTATTTAACTAAAAAAGGTGATAATTGTAGAATATGTATCAAGTAATATACATCAACAATAAAACTTATAACTTTAACTTTAGTTGCTTGGCCCTTGATACTTGTCTGACCAGCCCTCTCGCCATTGATTCCTCTTACAAAAAATTTTGTATTATTTTTTTTTTTTCTTTTCATTTTTTTTTTTCGAAGCCTTATTTGATGCAGATCATTATGTGTGTATTTGTTTAGTTTTGGTTTATTTCTCTATTAAAGATCAAAATGTTTTCTCGTTTCGTTGTTAGATCTACTCGTTTTGTTAAGACTGCTCAATCTGTAAGAATCATCATATTATAGTAGTAGAACAATAATCATCTAGTAGAGAGTAAACAAGAGAGAAAAGAGAGAACGAAAAAGAGATCTATGTGGTTGGTCTATTTGGATCACCCTATATATTATCAATAACAAGAGTAGTAGTAATACAAGAAGTAGTAGTAGTAGTAGCAGCAGTAGCAGCAGCAAGCACCAACGTGCACGTATACAAACACACGACCACAAAGAACAAAAAGAGGATAAAGTAATATAGAAAATTCACCATCGACAGATATGGTGAATTCTGTCATAGTGTTGGATTTTTTTTCATATGATCCTTCAAGATAAGATGATCATCTAAAGATATTCAACCCAAGAAGTATAAACTACCTCCTAGTACTGCTGCTGCTACTACTACTACTTCTAAACAACAAACAACAATAGTAAACAACAAACAACAATAGCAACCAACAAACAAACAACAAACAAAAACAGTCAAATACTTTTTCTCTTGGATCACTCTACAGATGAAGAATCATTATTATATTATATAGATATAGTTGTTGTGAAAGATTATAGAGTATTAATCATTTATATTATTATTATTTATATTATATTATTGTAGAATGGCAGTCAAGTAGCCGTTGCTTCTTATTCAACTGGTGCCAAGAAGACCACTCCACCACCACCACAACAAAATAAGACTGCTGCTGCTGCTGCTGCTCCAGCTGCCGCTGCTCCAAAGGTCACTGAGGAATTTGATTCCCAATTAGAGTCATTGGACTGGGATGCTGATCTCACTGCCGAGGAAATCAAGTCCTTCCACGAAGAAAGACAAGGTGCCAAGAAGAATTACAAGCAAGCAATGGAACAATTATTCCAAAACGCTGACAAGACATCAACCATCAGCTCACCAAAATTCGAAGTCAAGCCAGCTCTCATCATCACCACCCCAGCCGGTAAGATTGCCCATGCTCTCTTTAGCACTGCCTCACAAGCCCGTAGTCTTGGTATCGTCCAAAAGGATGTTGAACTTTTGCTCACCTCCTTTAGCACCATCCCATCATTCAAGAGCATCATCGAAAGTGACGTCGATGCCTCTGAGAAGCAAACCCTCCTCGATCTCTTTAGTTCTGCCATCAAGGTCACCCCAATCTCAGAGTTCTTCCTCTACTACATGACCAATGAAAAGTTGTTCAACCTCATCGTCCCAGCCCTCAAGGACTTTATTCGTTTATACAACTCTTTATCATCTGAAATGATCATTAGATTGACTGTTGCTCATGTATGTACAAAAACAAATAAGAAATATCAACAACAATTCCAACAACAACAACAATAATATTTATATTGATTTGATATTTTTTTATTTTTTAGAACTACAATGAAAAGGAAAAGCAAACTCTTCAACAACAAGTTGCTGCCTATTTCTCACCAGATTCAACTCTCAAGTTTATTTATACTGTTGATGAATCGATCAAGGGTGGTTACAAGATTGAATCGCCATTCCTTAATCACGATGCCAGTTTGTTTGCTGCCACTGATAAGGCTCAAAAGGAAGAAAGAGTTGTCATGTCTGGTTTCTTTAACGAATTAAAGGGTGCTGTCACCTCTGATAAGGCTGTCTGGGAATCAAAGGAGTTCCAAGAAAAATACTTATCATTTGACGCAAAGGCCTACGAAGAATCCATTGAAAAGAATTAAATTGGTCTAGTTGTCTAATATATACATAGCCGATTTATTATGATTCATTCAACCCTTGTTCTATAAAATACAATACAATTAACAAATACCTTTAAAACAAAAAAAAAAAAAAGAAACATTACTAGTATAATCATCTAATAATCATATGTTTTTTTGCCTTTTTTTATTATTCTTTTTATTTTATTTATTTTTTTTTAATTAAAAAAAAGAAAAGAGGAGGGAGATTTACAAATATATATATTATACAGGAAATCATATAAATTATATTAATATTTAACAATAAGTGTAGGGTTGGATCCAGAATTTTTTGATTAATACTATGTTTCATTAGTGTTGTTGTTAGTGGCTGTGGTGATAGAAGTAGTAGTTGAACTAGTTGGGTTGGATATGTCATGATTGTCAATGTTGATATATTCTTGGCTACTATTTGATTCAAAATTATTATTAATTATGTTGCGAATAACATCAGTACGTATATACACTCTTTCGTCACTGTCATCTTCTTCATCTTCATCATCATCTTCTTCTTCTTCTTCTTTGTTGTCTTCTTCTAATTCTTCTTGGTCATCATTATATTCTTGATCATTTCCGTTGTCGTCTTCGTCGTCGTCGTCATCGTCGTCATCATCATCTTCAAACTCTTTGATTTCTTGTATACCAACAATTGCAATTTGTGGTTCATTGATCACAGAGTTTTCCATTGCCTCGTTGATAAAGGTAATTTCTTTTTCTTCCTCTGATTCTTCTTCCAAATCAGAGTCGTCTTCTTCTTCTTCTTCTTCTTGGTCGTCTTCTTGGCCTTCATCCTCTATTTCTATTTCTTCGTCATTGATTTGAGCATAGTCTACCAAGTTGTCATTAGTTTGTTGGATGATACCTTCAATCTCTTCTTCTTCTTCTTCTTCTTCATCGTCTGATTCGTCTTCTTGGTCGTCTTCTTGATCCAAGTCTAGATCATCTTGTGGTTGATCTTTGATACCATTTTTAATTCCATTTTGTTGAGTGGAATTATTTGTAAACTCTGGAATGGGATCCATTTCATCGTACCCTTTTTCGTTTTCAGTGTTTTCGTGAGACTGATCGACTAGAAGAATTCGGGGGTCATCTCGTAAATTACCACTACCACCATTGATACTATTGCTTCCAAGACATTGCTTAAAGTGAGACAACCATTTGTCATTGAAAGTGTCTTCAACATCTGTTTGCTTTGTATCGCTCTCGGTGCTGGTAGCTATTCCTCTTGTCAAGTCGACATCATTTTCGGATCTATTTTCGCGTCTGTCCGACTTTTTGGTTCCTCCTTTACCAGAGATATGACTATTTCCAAATATGTATCGATTAAAGTTAAACGATGCATTGAGATTGATTTCTTCGCTTTCAGAGTCAGTCCCAGAGGAATTGACGATCATTGACAATGAAGAGTTGACGTCATCCTCTAAATCTTCTTCAGGAATTTCGTCATATTCGTCCTCTTCGTCATCATCGAGATCATGATTATAAATAGAGTAGAGAGGTGGGGAGAGGGAGTTTCTACGTTGATTATGGTGATGATGATGATGGTGGTGGTGAAGAAATGTTGGTTTTCTGTGAAGCTCTTCCTCATCATCCAATTCATTCCCTTCCTCCTCGTCCTCATCATCTCCAAAATAATCTTCATCACCCGTTAATTGGTCTTGGCTACTACTATTACTATTACTACTACTACTACTATGACTACTACTACTACTGCTATGACTACTTGTGCTATGAGAACTAGAACTAGTACTTTCAACATCGCTTATATCATCATTTGGTATTGTCATACTTTGTGAGATTGGATCGTATTGGCGATTCCTTGAAAAATTATCATCGTTATTATTATTATTATTATTATTATTATTATTATTATTATTATTATTATTATTATCATTATTATTATTATCATTATTATTATTACTATTATTATTATTATTACTTGTATTGTCAATATTATTACCACTACTATCAAGAGGTGAAGTAGAGGTGAGTGATTCTCTATCTTTACTCTTTTTCAAAAGATTATTTTGATTTTCCAATATTTTAATATAGCTCTTTAAATCATGGCAAAGTGAATAAAAACTTGGTGATTTAAATCCAAATTCCAACAATAAAACATCATTTTCAGGTGCTATATATCCTTCTTTGATCTATAAAAAATAAATATTAGTAAAAAGTTTTGTAAAAAAAAAAAAAGGGATGAATATACTTACAAGTGAATCTTTGGTTATGAAATTGGGAATATAAATGGATTTTCCAATGTGCAAAGGTAATTTTGGTTCATATACCTTGTTTATATTAGAATTTTGATTTATAAGAGTAAATCTAAAAGGAAAAAAAAAATGAAGAGGAGAATTAGAATTAGAATTAGATCACAATCAAACAATATATATTAACTATCTATCTTATTTACTTGTAAAAATATTTTCCATCAGAAATTGATTCTAATAATTTTAAATTGATAAAGAGATTATCATCTTCCATTCCACATCTAATTTCCCAAACGATTCCATGGAATGATATTTTGTTGACATATTGTTCTCCAGACAAAAAGTTTGAGAGTTTCATCAATCTGTATTCATAGGGTGGCGATGTTTCAGAGACCACCTCTGTGCTAACGGGTCTATAGATTTCGAGAATCGAGTGTTTATGAATATCTTGTAAAGAACGTGTGAGTGATGCACTGGTAGATATGAATTGTGAAGGTGATTTCTTGTAGTGAATGTATAGTTGATCATAAAGACCATCCAAATGAAGCATCTCTGAATTTAGTTTCTGTTGAGCTTTTGAAATGATTCCAAAACGGTGATCGACATCTTTATTCAATCGATCCTTCATATCTAAAAACTCTGCTTCTATATCTGCTTCTACCTAAAAAATAAGATTTAAAAAAATTTATATTAGCCTCTACCAAATATCAATTAAAGATCAATCAATCGATCTATTTATACATACTTCTTTTTTGTTGTGTAATAATTGATTTGCATCAGACTCTAAGAAAATATTTAAATCATTCAACTCTTCTAATCTTTTTCTATTATAATAGAGAATAATGATCATTGGTTAGATACAACCTAAACTTTTAAAAGTTCTCTCTCTCTCTTTTTCTATTTCTCTTTTTTCTTTACATACTTTAAAGCTTCTTCCTCAATCTTTAATATTTCCAAATGTTTGTTATAGATCAAAGATATCTTTTCAATGCTGTGTCCATTGTGTTGAAAGAGTGCACAATCCGAACATATAGATTCTGCACATCGATTACAATAATAAATCATATCATAATTATGTATACTACAAAGATCGGGTTGGATGTACTCTTGTGATTTGCTCAACTCATTCAAAATGTTTGAAACGATTAGATTTGAACCAAGATTCTCTGTATTTAGAGTTGATCTACAAGCTGGGCATGTAGGGTTTGTTTCGATCCATTTCTAATAGAATATGTAAATGAGGTAGGAAGGTAGGAAAGATTATTATTAGTATAACAACAACAGCAACAATTCAAAGGAATGTAGATATTATGTATTACATACCTGTATGCAATCGAAACAGTAGAGTGCGTTGCACTTGGGACAGAACCTTGGGTTCTTTGGACTATTTAAACAGATTGAACATTTGATAATATCATGGATTGAATCTAATGTTGATCCTTTTGAAGTCATAAACGTTCTGTTTAAAGAGGAGGGAGGGGGGAGGAGGAGGAGGAGAAGAGGAGGAGTGAGTGAAATGAGATAGATAGATAGAGAGAGAGTGATGTCTCAATAATAATGTGTTGATAATAATGATGTTGGGGATACTGCTTATTGATTGATATTTATGATTATGATTACTTCTTCTTTTCTACTTCTTCTTCTTCTTCTTCTATTCAACTACTACTATTAAGGTCCTTCTGCTGCTACTCTAGCTATGTGTTTTGGAACTAATGCTAAGACAGTTTGGGGGAGGTACATGAAAAATGGGACTTCAAAAAATAATTATTTTATTTTATTTTTTTGTAAAAAATTAGGAATCAAGTATATTGAAGAATGTATAACAAATATTTCCTCTTAATAATAGGGTATTCTAAGTGATGTGTTATTTATTTATTATTTATTTATTTATTTATTTTGTTGTTAGTTTTTGTGATGGATCAACATGTTGATTATCTTTATCTTTCAAGAGAAGTTGTTTCAAATGGATCTTGAGTAGATGTCTGGCTTCAAAATTATCAGTGTACAGTTGATTTTTAGAGTATTTAACATCTTTGATGAGTTTAGCAAGTGATTCTATTGATCCTGTTCCTCCCTCTTCTCCATTGAATTGCCAGAGAACCAACTTTACAAACTCACAATTTGCAATTTCTAATAATGTTTTCAGTGTTTCTCGGCCACATATCTCCTTTCTGACATTGATTAGAAATGTTGCTATTTCTAAATGTCTCTCGTAACATACAGTCCGAATGGCACTACTTGTGCATCCTTCACTTCGATTAAAGTGTAAAAACTATTAATATGTGTGTGTTGGAAATGGAAATAGATCAATTAATATTATAGGAAACCGATAATTATGCTCTGTTGTTTAACCCAGTTTGATATACATGATACATACTTTTACAATTTCAATGTGGCCCCCACGAGCTGCTTTATCCATAGCATTGGTAGTTGCACCTTCACTACGATGTTCATGAAGATACTTTACCACTTCAAAGTGGCCCTTTTCAGCTGCCCAATCCATAGCATTGGTAGTTGCACCTTCACTGCGATGTTCGTGAAGGAACTTTACAATTTCAATGTGACCATTTCTAGCTGCCAAATCCATAGCATAGGTTGTTGCACCTTCACTACGATGCTCATGAAGTAGCTTTACAATTTCAATGTGGCCCTTTTCAGCTGCTTTATCCATAATATCCGGTGTCCAAATATCACTCTTGTCTGAGAAGCGGTCATAAAGATAATAGAAAACATCCAATTTACCTCCTTCCAATGCATCACTCAAAGTTGATATTCGGATTGGAAACGGGTGTGTTGGCATGACAGTGTCGAAAATATATGATACCATTTCAAAGTTTCCACGCCTTACAGGATAATCCACAATAGATAGTGAGCAACCTTCACTACGATGCTCTTGAAGGAACTTTACGATATCCAAGCGGCCATATGAAGCTGCTCTGTTCATTGTATCCCTTGTTGCGCCTTCAGTCCTGTTGAAATGAAGAAACTTGACAATATCAATTGAAGATGCATAAACCATAGCATCGGTAGTTGCACCTTCACTACGATGCTCATGGAGATACTTTATAATTTCAATGTGGCCCTTTTCAGCTGCCAAATCCATAGCCTTAGTTGTTGCACCTTCACTACGATGCTCATCAAGGTACTTTACAATTTCAATGTGGCCTTTTTCAGCTGCTTTATCCATAGCCTTGTTTGTGCATCCTTCACTACGATGTTCATGAAGGAACTTTACAATTTCAAAGTGGCCCTTTTCAGCTGCCCAATCCATAGCCTCCTTTGATGCACCCTCAGTACGACGCTCATGAAGGAACTTTACAGTCTCAAAGTATCCACGACGACATGCATTATCCATTGCATTTTTGGTGCATCCTTCTGTGCGATGTTCATGTAAGAACTTGAATTGAATGAATGTTAACAATAAAGAGGAATTAATATAGATGGATGGGTTATTATTGATAAATATACTATACAGCTGTACATACCTTAACCATCTCTAAATGCCCAAGATCAGCTGCCCAATCCATAGCAATTGTTTCACAACCTTCAGTTCTATTAAAATGAAGAAACTAAATATTTGGTTTTTTAATTAATTAATTTCCATGTTAATATTGAAATGTATGTATGTATGTATGTATGTAGGGTTATATCCTAAATTCCAACTCACTTTTACAACCTCTAAATGGTTAGCTTTTGCTGCACAATTCTACAATGATGAAAATAAAGAATTAGTTTGTTATTTAATTATTTCTTTTTTTTTTATCAACTACTCATTCTTACCATCGCACAGGGTTTGCATCCTTCAATTCTATTCTCATGTAAATACTTTACAACGTCAATGAATCCTGCCATTGCAGCTATTTCGATTGGTGTGTACCCATGAATTGACCAACCACCTGGGCAAGTCATTCGCCCACCTTTGATCAAAGGATGAATCAACTTGACTGAGGAGAGATAACCTTTGTTGCATGCTATGCCCATTGCCCAAGCTAAAAATGCATTCTTTTCTTGGTCACTGCTGCTGGATCGTCGGTCCTTATTGTTCTTTCTTTTGAGAGGATAAGAATTCTTGACTATAAATGCCAATATCTCTTTATCACTAAAATCTTTAAAGTATTTCTCCAAGTATATCGAATCAAGAAAGTTTTCAGGAGACCATTCCAATAAATGTTCAAGTGTATCCAAAGTTGCATTTGGATGTAGACTGTAAAGAGTGATGACTCTTTTTCTTCTTTTGGCTACTATTTGAGTGCAGTCTATTGGTAGATAATGACGAATATAGTTCCATGGCATTGCAAAGATTGATATCATTCCCAGAAGTGGTAACTTGATGATATCTCTTCCTTTTAGTGATCGTTGTTCTATAGGTTGTCTACTATAGTCGTCTCTGATACGACTACTACGACTATCTGTATACAATTGTTTTGATATATCACTGATATGATTGAATATCGATTGTCTAATGTATTGAGCTTTGAATATAGAGTGAAATGTGGTGGTTGTTGTTGTAGTCATTATCGTTGAATACTATATTTAGTTGATCAAAGATGAAGAGTTGAGTTGAACAGATAATCAACAACTTCAATATTGAAGTGCCTTCACCAAAACACAATTCATTTTTTTGATTGGTCCACCCTATTCACTCTTGGCGCCAAAAAAAAAAAGGAATGGCATTTTGTTGGTTTATGTTATCAGTCAGAATAAACAAACACCTGATCACATTATAAATGTACACCTTTAGGTTATAACTAGTGGTATATTTAAATATCCATTCTGGTGTTTATTAAAAATAATATTATCACAAGTTGGTGGTGTGGATTGGGTTAATAATGGTTTGATGTTATATTCTTGGGTCTGAAATTAGTGATGAGATAAAGGTAATTTGATTGGGTTTGTGATTGTTTGAGATTGGTTGGTGATGATGGTGATGGATGTGGTTGGTCATTTGATTTTAAACTCCAAATTCTTTCGTCGACAAAAGAAAAAGTTGTTTGATGGCCCATACGTATGAGACCATGAAATTGAAATAGTTGTCCAATCTATTATTATTATTATTATTATTATTATTATTATTATTATTATTATTATTATTATTATTTTTAAAGAGAAGAGGAAGAAGATATAGACTCTGACATGAATTCGTCCCCGTGGCTTGTCTTGTCTTCATCTTGACTACTCATTATATCTTGACTTGAATCGTCGTCGTCGCTCCCTTGTATTTCTTCTTCCTCTTCTTCTTGGCCATCAACATGTTTTTTCTTCTTTCTGCTCTTTTTTTGTGTTGATTGTACAATGGAAATGGGTTGTGACGACACTAATGGAACAGACGAGGGAAGGATTTGTCTGGGAAGATGTTGGATGGTTGGTGTTTGGTACAATGGAGGTTGGGCACTGATAGTATGTGTGGCGCTGACCCCATACAATGGGTCTATGAAAACAACAGATGATGCATTTTTGTTTTGACCATTACCATGATTTAAATTTATATTATTATTATTATTACTATTATTATTACTATTATTACTACTACTACTATTAATATCTATATTAGTATTATCTATACTATCATTGCTATTATTGGTACTATTGCTGGTGTGGTTTTGGTTGATATACAAAATGGAATGGGAAGAATTGTGATGAATCTCTCCACTCAGGTTGAGGAATGTCTCGTCACCACCTCCAGGCGTCGAGTTGGATTCCTTGACAACATTGTCATGGTCGAGTGAATCATAGGTGGATCCACCCGACAAGGACAATGGCTCGAATGGCATTGGAGGTGGAATACCCATGACACTGTGGTTATGGTGGTGGTGGTTGGGGATGGTGGGACTGGGTGGCACACCACCATGGCTACTACCTAATGACGGTGACATAAAGGGAGCTCCTGGGATGGAGCCGGCCATGGGAGTATTGAGTGTAGTGGTGGGAGCCGATGTTGTTGTTGTTGTTGTCGCGAGTATTGGTGGGATGGGAACGTTGGTGTTGACGGCATCAGGAAGCATCATCATTCTAAAGAGCGAAAAGTTGACGAGCTTCTTGGTAAATGATGACTGGCTGACTGGCAGGTCGTACTCGGGCATCGAGTAGTTGGTCGACGAGTCGTTGGAGAGTTCAGCCAGCGACAAGGCAATCTCTTGTTTGAGAGTGGTGTTTGCACCAAGTGACATGATGATGGACTGCAAGTGCTTAATGTCTGTCTCTATAGTCGATTCGTTGACTTCGATAGGCACAAGAGTGTCTTTGAGTTGGCGTGTGAAATCAGGCTGGTACATGACGCTGGTGCTGGTGCCGCCTTGGAGCGATCCGCTGGAAATTGATTGCGAGTGGCTGATGGACGCGCCGCCAAACTCACCCGACGAGTGCAGGTCAAAGCTGCCAAGCGAAGCAGTCACGAGCGAGGTGGTGCTGCGGTTGAGGTACGGCGATCCCGGCGAGCCGATGCTGCTGCTCGACAAGCTCAACCCGCCCAATGTAGGGGTCAACATTGAGTGCGAGGGAGAGCGACCGGTGGGTGTCCCGAGTACTTGTGGGAACAACTGTGGACTGTTGCTGGGTGACCCTCTGGCACCCACGTTGACCTGCAGTTGCTTGCGCTTGCTCTTGGTCTGCTTGCCACGGGGAGTAGTCGTGGGTGTCATCTCATCCGACGATGACGATGACGACGACAATGACTCTTCCTTGACGCAGGGGAGCATGCCAGAGTCGGACTTGTCGGCACTCGACGGGCTCGAGTTTCCATCACCCGTGTTTTGCTTTTTCAAAACCGGGAAGCTGTTTGACTTTTTGTTGAGTCCGATGGCGACGTTGGGCGATGGCGACGACGGACGTCCGAGATCAGAGTCGGTCGAATGTGACAAGACGTTTGCTTCAGACAATGAGCTCTTGAGCGACTGTTTTCTTCGCGACGATCTTGGGGTTGCAGGCTTCTTGCCCGTTAACCCAGGCGATGGTGGCAGACCGAGTGGGTTGGCAGGCGACGCGCTGACCATATCCAGTGACGATGAGAGTGATGGCGAGCCAATGCTGGCACCCATATTGCTCGAAGTCCCCACAAGAGAGGGTGACGATGCGTTGAGGGGGATCTGATGGAGATCACCCATTGAATTAGACAGCGATGCAACCACATTGGGAGGCAACAAACTGGTGGATCGCGAAAGATCAAACGATGATGAATTGGGTGACGACGATGACGAGTGTACTTGATTGGAAAGTAGAGGATGGGTAAATTGGTTATTATTTACAAATTGAGGTGATGGCGATGATGATAATGATGTTGTTGATGATGATGATAGGTTGTTTGAATAGTTTTGTACAGCATGTGTGATGTATCTTTTGACTTCAGGATCAATATGTGGTAATGAAGATGAGTGTTTAGTTTGGTTTGTTGTATACAGGTTGGTGGTGGTAGACATTGAGTCAGATCCAGATGTTGTAGTGTTTCCCGTGAGCATTTGGGCCGGTGGGGAATTGGGAGGTGAATAGTATTGTTGTGTTGGAGATTGATTGATTGATATTATGTTGTTAGTGGATGAATTATATCCACTTCCATTTCCATAAATTGAGGAATAGTTATTATTGTTATTGTTACGTAGTATTGTTGTTGTTTTATCATCCAATTCAATTCCATTTGTATTATTGTTGTTAGTACTGTTATTATTATTGTTATCATTGTTATTTTGGAAACCACTCATATTTAAATAGTCATTTGATTTGTTTGAATCCATTGAATATTGCTACAAAAGAAAGAATAAAAAGGGTAGGTAGGTTAATATTAGGGTTTTTATAAACATTTGACATATCCTTTGGAAAAAAGAGGTGATACTAGGTACTTACATATTGATCATTTGATGATACTTGTTGTTGTTGTTGTTGTTGTTGTTGTTGCATTTGTTGTAATTGTTGCATTTGTTGTTGTTGTTGTAACAGATGTTGGGTGTAGATGTATTGAAGATTACTCATTACATTTTGATTGTTGTAAGTAGTTTGATTTGTTGTATACATATTGGTTTGTTGTTGTTGTTGTTGTTGTAGTTGTTGTTTGTGTTGTTGATATAGATTAAAGGTAGCAGCAGCAGTATGGTTATTATTACTACTATTACTATTACTATTATTATTATAATCCATTGAACTATTTCCATTTAAATGGTTGATACTGACACTATTATTATTATTATTATTTAAAGTGTCTTGACTATTATTACTATAATTATTGTTATTGTTGTTGTTGGTGTTGTTATTGTACGAGTTTGGCTGATTAAATGATTGGGATTGCCATTGTTGTTGTTGTTGTTGTTGTTGTTGTTGTTGTTGTTGTTGTTGTTGTTGTTGTTGTTGTTGTTGTTGTTGGAACTGTCCATATTGTTGTTGTTGTTGTTGTTGTTGTTGCTGTTGTTGCTGATATTGTAACATGAGTGTCTCTTGGTGATCCATTGGCGATGTAAATGTGCTAGTGGATATTGTCGTTGGAGTAATGGTAGCAGATGATGATGATGACGTAGAATGATCATTCAGCATTGACATTGATGGATCATCCTCATATCCGCTTGCACCATTGCCAGCATAGCTTTGAAACTTGATCGGATTTAAGAATGACCCTTCAACATTATTAGAGTCCATATCCATTATATATATATATGATGTGTGGATTGTTGTAGTCTTTACACTTTATCTCTTTTTTGGTCTGATGATAGATGATGATGATTAGTTGTTGTTGTTGTACAAGTAAAGATAAAGATATATAAAGTAGATGGTGATAAGATCTTAGAAGAACAAATGTAATATGTTGGTCGTGGGTGCGTGAACTATCGTTGTTTTAAGGGGCGGTGATGCAAAGAACAGTTTGATGTGTGTGTGTGAGTGTCAGTGAATCGAATTAATAAATAAAATGTATAATGTGGTATGTGTTGTGTTGATTGATCTATCTAAAAAATAATAATATTACAAAAAAAAAAAGAAGTAAAAGTAGAAAGTAGGTAAGTAAGTATGGTGGTTTAGTTTTAGTTTAGTTATTATTGTTAATTCAAATTCTATTCTAATATTGTTGAATAAAAATTTAAAAAATTAAAAATAATTTAGAGAGTGTGTGGCAACCTCTCTTGTCTGTCTGCTGAGTCCTTTGGTTTTGTGTGTGTGTTGTGGTAGTGTGTGGTGGTTGAATGGGAAACGAGGAGTAGGAAGACAGTGTTGGTTGGTTGGTTTATTGAATCCGAGACGAAAATTGTTGATGTTAGATAGATCGTTACGGTCAAATGATGTGATATTGATTTGATTGATGGCGAATGAATATTACTATTATTCCCTATCTGATTGCGATCTGACTGATTATTAAAGGGAGGGATGTCCCCTCCTTCCTCCTGCCCGGTTCACTGAACTAACTATTAATCATCACAATAAATAATTTATTATTACTTGGACAACGAGATCATCATCATCATGCAAGTCCTCCTGGAGATTGTTTGGTATTATTAATTGTGCGTGTGAGTGGGTGATTCAATAAAGTGGGGGATGTATTTGTTTGTTGGGGGCATGAAAGAGTAGTGTGTGTTGTGGGTGGGGTTCTGAACCGTGACCGACCGGAACTCCTCCTTCCCTCCTGTTTTCCAAACCAACCAACTTGGTTGGTCAAACATGCTAAATTAGAAACGTGAATGAATAACGATGTACGAGGTGTGTATGTGTATTCTTACTTTCTTCAATCTCTCTCTCTCTCTCTCTCTCTTCTTCAATAAATACACAACAGCGTTGTTGTTGTTGTTGGTTGGGGGTTATAATATTAAACAATAGAACAGGTAAGTAGGTTGGTAAGGTAGGTGAGGGCTTAATATATTTGAAAATAATAATATTATTATTTAGGGTTAGTTATGTCTGTCTATCACCTGACCTGATGCCCAACAGTTTTTCCTACCTCTTGTATTTGCTGGTTTGTTTGTTTGTTTGTCGATGCTATACCGTAGGTAGGTGGGAGAACCACCACCAATTTTATTGTCTGATGGTTTGTTGCATCAAGAAACGTTGTTTTTGTTGTTGGCGGCCCTCTAATCGATTACCTGCAGGCCAAGTAATTGTGGTGGAGGAGAAGGGAGGAGACCCAAGCGGTTCGTTTCTCCGCCAATTCAATTGACCATGTCAAGTTGGACACCCCCCCGTCCCAAGAGGGTACCCTCTTTTTCGATTTGCAAAAGCGAACCCGCAACTGACACTTTTTTTTTTTTTTTTTTTTCTTGAATCACGTGTCACAGCGAATTTAATGAATCCCTCCCGCCATCCTTGTCATGACAGAGAGAAAGCGCAAATGATTAGCCAACCACGATTACCCCACAACCCGAGATCAGAAGGTAAAGAGTTGGGAAACAATTTTTGATAGACCGCAAAAAGCTGCTAAAAAACGGGCTTCTAAGACCCCCTCACATTCACAAAGTGTAGGTGCCTTTGAAGCCTTCCTCTCTCTGAAGAAATTTGTGTTCGGTTGGTTGGCAACACAATCAAATTGAATGAACATCGTCTGTCGAGATTATGTGATCTTAGGTTAGTTGAGTTATTCCTTTTACAGACTACTGTTACCAACCCCCTCGTCTCTTATATCTATCCGTAATCCAATCATTTTGGTTGATGGTTTGAAATGTAACCGTTTCCACAGTGGTCTCTCCATCCATCCGTTCCACTCTCACTATGATGATAACTATCGTCTCAGACTTTTGACCAATTAGGTACGAGCCCCAGCTGCAAAGAACGATAAAACTAGAGATTTATCACTTCCATTTCAATACATAAAGGAATCAAGACTAGACTACTGTTTTGGAAAAAAAAGGGAGGGTTATTTAAATAAGTTTATTGATGGTTGTTGTTGGTTGGGTTTCAAACATTGATTTAAAACAATAATTATCATCATCTTTGGTCAGCCATAGTCTCTAGGTTTAAAAGTTATGAACATGACTATTATAACGTGGTTGTTGTAAATAACTATTTAAATGAATTGGTGATGGTAGTTGATGGTGATGATGATGATGAATACTAGTGTCGGAACTGGATGAAATTGTATTGTTATTGTTGTTTGATGAAAGTTGGAGTTGTTGTTGTTGTTGTTGGTAATGTTGTGAGTGATGAGAATCAATCGATGCTTGAATCGATGAAATATTATTAGTATTACTACTACTAGTGTTATTATTATTATTGTTAGATGAAGATGAAGAAGTGGAAATAGTTGTGTTATTATTATTATTATTATTATTATTATTATTATTATTATTATTATTATTATTATTATTATTATTATTATTATTATTATTATTATTATTATTATTATTTTGATTGTTATAATTATCTGGATGATTATGAATTAAACAAAAATGTTTTTGATTGACAGAGTTTGATTTAAGGTAGAGTATTTGTTCGGGGAGCATATGAGCAGAGTGATCGGCGATCTTTCTAACGACAGCCAATGACTTGTCATCGGCATAGACCGAGATGACGATTCTGCTTTGACAACCACACTTTTTAGACACTGACTTTTTGCGACCAGACAACTCTACCTGTTCCTTGATGGTGTAGTCGTACTCGCGCTTGGCCTTTGGTTGGCCACCTCTGCTGCAGACATATTTCTGTGTCCACAATAGTTCTCTTTTGGTCTTGCGGATTCCGGAACGTGGACGCTCATACTCGGCCTTGAGGTTGAGTGTCTTTCTGTCGGCGTGTGCTCCAATCACCTTGCCTCCACTCTTGATATAAGAGACACCACTGATCTTGGCCTCGGTCTCTAACCACTCGTCAAAGTACTCGAGTGGCACTGTGTACTCTTCCGACTCGACATAGGGTGTTGGCTGGCCGTTGACAATGACTGGTTGCTTGGACTCGCTCTTGGAACGAGACACACAACTACATGAAACAGTCGATGGTTGTTCAGAGGCAGCAGCAGAAGAAGAGGTTGGGAGGGACGGGCTGGAATGGTGGAGATTTATAGGGGTGGGGGCAGACGACGACGATGAGAGCGACGAGAGGTTTTGCAAAGAGGCAGTTAAAAGGTTGGAAATGGATTGGTATGGCTCGGGCGACGATGGCTCACTACTGTTGTTGTTGCTGCTCTGGGGACTGGCACTTCTTGCTCCAACAGGTGACGACGAAGACAACGACGACAATGAAGACATTTGTACAGGTGATCCGTGACTACTAGACTTGTTACTATTACCATTGGTCATGTTATTGTTGTTATTGTCATGACTACGATAATGATTGGCAAGATCGGTAATGTAATTGGCTAGACTTTCAACAGAGTTGATGACAGATGCTGATGTCGATGTTGATGATGATGATGGAGTCTCTGGTGGTGAGATAGACTCTGAGGTCTTTTGCTTCTTTGGAATGTAATTGGTTTGTTGGTAGTGGTCTTGTTGGTAATAACTTGGCGACTCGATGGAACCAGAGAATGACTTTAAGCTGCTAACAGTCTTTCTTCTCATCTCTCTTTCAAAGTCGGCATGGGTAATCAATGCGACATTATTGTTGTTGTTGTTGTTATTGGTCGAATTGGTATGATGAGAAAAGTTGAGTGGAGTGGTCAAGACAAACGAAGAACTTGGTGACAAAAGGGGCGATGTGTTGGGGGTGGTGCACATTGATGACGATGATACTGTCAATGGGGTTGGATGATGCGATGAGTATCCACCATGTTGCTGGCTTGGATGGTCAGCGGCAGCAGACAAAGATGACGAATAAGAGTAGCTTCCAGGTTGGTTGTGGAGATGCAATGGTTGTGGTTGATAAGAGTTGTAGTGGTTGTTGTTGGCGTTAAATGTATGATAGGATGAAGAGTTAGAGTTGTGATGGTGGTGGTGATGATGGTTGGCATTGTTTGGACCGATCAAATCTGGGATTGCTGGGAGGAGAATGGTGTTATGATCTCTACTTGTTTCTCCAATAATCTATGGAAATTAAAAAAATAAAATAAAATAAGAATTAATTAGTTTCCATGTTTTTTAATGTCAACATGACCACACGTGGACTTACCTTTTGAACGAAATGATGATGGTGGGTTTGTTGTTGGTTGTCATCATGATGATGATGATGGTTGTTGGCATAAGAAGAATTTGAAGATGTTGAATGGTAGATTTTACCAATGTTGTTGATCTTTTCCTCTTTTTGTTGTTGTTGCTGTTGTTGGTGATGGTATTGTTGAATGGAAGTATGTTCAAGTTGTTGTTGTTGTGGTTGATGATGGTGTTGGTGTTGGTGTTGGTCGTGATGAATGATTGTTGGATGTTGTTGTTGTTGTTGTTGTTGTTGATATGATTGATGGTGATGTTGTTGAATAGAAAGTTTTCCTCCATAAATTAATGGAATAGAGGTTGGATTTGCGTCAATTGGACCCATGTTTTTTGTTTTAAAGGAATATTATTTAATTCGAAACGGAAAGGGTTTGTTGTTTGATTGATTGAGATTGATTGTTGTTGATGATGATGATGAAATAGATGAATAAATTAAATAGAAAGAAAGAGATAGAGCTAATATCAAAAATATATTAACTCTTTGAAAGCAAGGTTTAATACACACAAAGATAATATTGTGTGTTGAAGGCAAGTATACAGCTACTTTTTAGATAGCAGCTGGTGTTATGATGACGGTGATGATAATATATCTAATTGCAAAGATATATTATTTTTAATAAATATATAGATTGATTATAATAGAAATTGAATTTTTAAAAATATGATGGATAGGATGAAACAACGACAATGATGGTTGATAATAGATAATAGATAATAGATAATATATATAATATATACACAGCAAAGAAAGTAAATCTACTATGGATGTATGTATGTGTAATCTATATTATATTATTATTATACTATTATATTATTATTGTACCAAACAAATGGTTAGCAAATCGACAATCAAAAAAAAAAAGCAAGATTGTTTGTTGATTGATGGATCGATTGATTGATTGATTGGTTTGGTGGACACAAAAAAAAAAAAAAAAAAGTGATTGATGTGGTGATTTTGATCAAAGTGTTGTTGTTGTTGATGAGTGTGGCGATGGGGTTGATTAACAAGACACACACACTAAAGAAAGAAAGAGAAGAGTCTAGTCTCTTATAGAATAGATAATATTAATGTATATATATATAAATATAGAAATAAATATATATTGAATGATTGTGTTTTGTTTGCTGCTTGCTGTATTGCTGCCAACTTGGATGACGTGTGGTGTGAGATGAGATTAAATAAATAATAGATGTATGTGGTGTGGGTGTGGTGGGATTGGGGAGGGAACCTTTAGCGGGGGATGGCTACAGAAAAAGATAAAGAAGAAGAAGAAAGAAGAAAGAAGTTTTTTAATTTATTAGATATTAATAATAAAAAAACAACTTAAACTTATCTCTCTAAAAACTACTAACTACGAAGATGATGATTTGTGGTGGGGTGATTGTGGAAGGGAGAAGATAGCAAGGAAGCAGCAAAAGGAGAAAGTGATTAAGTGCGGAACTGGCTGTCAGTAAAGTGATGATGAGAGAGTCGTGCAAAGAAGATAGTGCGAACATCGAAAGCTCATCAACTCATTAAAAAATTGAAAATAATGCTTTGCAAGCTGCTGGCTGAAAAAAGCTTGAAAAGGATTGTAAAAGTCAACTTGAAGGCCTAGTTATATGAAAGATCCCTCGTTTTTACAACCCAATCAGCGGGGGTGTCTGTTTCTTTTTTGTTGGTCGTCGTGTCTTGATTTGGTAATTGAGCAAGCCTCGCCCCCATCAACACTCAAAACGAGTGAACGAGAAATTACATTTTGACTACACAATTATCTGCTTTTTTCACATCATTTATCAGCTGCCTCTTCATGGTTTCAAAAAGGATGTTATTGTTGTTGTTGTTGGTATTAACATAGATCGAGAAGAGGAAGTACCAACACAAGGGGGGTCCATACTCTATTCTTTAAGTTTAAAGATAAAGAGAGAAGTGGTGGATAAACAGTTGAACTGTTGGAGAAAGAGAGAGGGATAAAAGAGGAATACAACGAAAGTTCAAAGCACCACAAATGGACCTATTGTCAAAGGTCACAAAAAAACACTTCTCTACCTTGGTAAAAAGATCGATATACAACAAAGCCAAGCCAAAAAGTAGAAAAGAGACAAAGAGAATACTCTGCATACCTTGGTGGATATTATTTAATTTTTTTTTGTTTTTTTATTTGGTTTGCTGGTTTGTAATAATACACTAGAAAATCGAGTATTTTTGATAAATATATATATTTACGATGGTGGATGACATGGTTGGTTATGAAAATGAAATTGATTATATGTTAATCAATTTTTGAAACTCTGTTTTGTGAATGGTTATTAATATTATTATTGTTATATGGTATATCTGTTGTTATTATATTATGTTATATGGATGCTGACCAAAAGATACAAACTAGTGGGAATAGATATATATAGTTTGTTTAGTTTGCAAGGGGGGTTTGATGAGGTCAGATAAGAGTGAGATGTTGTTGGAAAAGAAAAAATGAAAAAAAGAAATAAGGTTCCGGAAATGATTATTATTATTAGTTATTAGTTATTCTAATTATTATTATTATATGTTATATATGAGGGTTGTTGTTGTTTGGTGAGATGAGGGCGGATGATTATTACAATGTTGAAAAAATAAAAGGATTTTCTCCTTCCTCTTTCCAACCTCCTTTTTAAACCAATTGATTGTTGTTGTTGTTGTTGTTGTCCCAAAGAAAAAAAAAATATTTACACCTGAATCTACATTGCATTGTGTCTCCTACTACTACGACTACTGTTCAACTTTGAAGTCTTGATCTTGTTATCTAGTTGGAACAGCAGTTTGTTTTGGAGGGGATAGAATCATTGAGGTGTATTTTGGTTTGATGCTGGTCGAGGAGGAATTGGAGGTGGAGGTGGCAGATGAAGACGAAGAGGAGGAAGGCTGTTGAATAATCTCTGGCTCGGATGGGTCAGTCTCTCGTTGCTTAATCTCGGCAGCCCAGAGGAGGCTGGCCATGTCATCCTGGGGAAATCGAATGGCTGGTTGCTCGGGAACGTGGGAGTCTCGCGAGAATGGAAATGAATGGCCCCGGGACTGGAGCGACATGAGGGGTGCGGATGAGGGGAGACGGCCACGACGGGGTGGCATGGTGGGGGAGGCTTCCGGCGACGAGCTGCTATTCTCAGAGGCACTGCTCATCATGGCGTGGCGCTCCATGTTCATGGCGGCGGCACTCGAGTAGTTGTGACGGATCTGTGGGTTCTTTCTGGTCTTGACAACGATGGGGAATGGCTGCGAGACGGATAGGATGGACGAGTTGGTGAACGAGGCGTTGGCGGGACGCGAGAGAGCGATAAAGGTGAGACTCCACTCCTTGCCCCATGTACCCTTGGTCATCTTGAGACCTTGGAAGGCAGCAATGCCCTGTGCGTTAAATGCCTCGGAAAAGTTCTCAACCGAGTCGATTTGGAGCTTGCCCTTGTGGTCGGTGACCACGCCAATCGCGATAATGTTGGCGCAGCTGAGCTGCGAGCCGGCGATAGACGACGCGGTCTTGAGGTCGAGCTTGACCTTGAATGGGGTGTCGAGACGACGGTTCTTCCAGACGACGGTGCTGGTTGGCTGCTGGCTGATTTGGATGCAGGTTGGACGCGAGGGGTTGGGGTTCTTTTGGACATACTCGAGCATCTTTTCGCGGATGATCATGAGTTGCTTGGGTGATGGCGAGAGGCTGGCGTTGGCACCACCAGTGGCCGAGTTATTCTTGTTGGGAGCACCCATCTTGGATTGGTGTGGTACGCTGCCTCCGGACATTTCCAGAGTCTTTCTTCCCTTTTGTGCGGCAAAGTCGGCTTCGTCAATTTGCAGTTCAGAGTCGCTGCCTCCATATTCGTCGGCGGCGCCACCGTTGGGCGAGTTGCTTTCAAGGCTAGAGTTTTCTTCATCATATTCGGGGCCGTCAGAGTTTTCTTCGTCAGACTTGTCGCCGACCGATGACGAGTTTATATCTTCATTGCAGAGCAGTCTGGAAACCTTCATTCTCTTGTTTCTAAAATCATATTCATCGTCGGGACTGGACAATCTCTTCTTTTCAAATTCTTCCTTTTCAATTAAATCTGATATTGATGATGTTGAATAACTTAATCTTGATGTTGTTGTCGTTCCTTTTCTATCTTCATCTGGACTATAAAAAAATTAAAGAAAAAAAAAATAAATTGAAATGAAATGAAAAAAAATAATAGATTAGAAAAACAAATTCAAAAAATTAAATAAATAGAAAGTATTATTTGTTTGTTTGTTTTGTTTTGTTTTACTTACATTAAACCAACTATGCTTTTAAATATATTAATTTTATCGGAACTCTTTGATATAGTTTCAAACCAGGATGTGATGATATCCATGCCTCTGTCTAGACCTCCAGGAATATTATTTTTGAGTATAACCTTTTCGAGGATTGGTTGGAGCTTGCTCCAGTTATCAGCCAAACTATGGACATGATATGGAGCACTGGTGCTAGTCGTAGAGGTGGAGGTGTTTTTGTTGGTGTTGTTGTTGGTATTCATTGTAGTATCACACATTTAAATGAGGGGGTGAGTAATAAATATTTGCGTTTGTTCGAACTAATGCTACAGAAAAATTACTAGTAAAAGGAAAAGGAGGGATGAACAGACATATGGTTAGGGACAAGATATGGATGGGATCATTTTTTTTATGGATCAATTTATAAGGATAGTTACATGGTAGAATAATAAGGTGAAAAATACTAGTTCAATATGGAACTAAGAGTAATGGTGTATTGGTACAAAAATAAACTATTTGGAAATAATTAAATAATCTATTTTTTTCAAAACAAACCCAAAGAGAGATAAGAAATAGAAGAGGAAAGAAAGAGAATATATTAATATTTTTGTTGTAAAGTTTTTAAAAAAAAGAAAAAGAACAAGACATATTTTAAAAAATAATAATAATTATTATTATTATAGTTATTTTAAAAAGAAATTACGAAAAAGATAGAAACAATAGATAGATATGTTGTATTATTCAAGTCTTACTTTTTTGATTTAAACGAGAGAAAAGATGGCGAAACAACACATGTGTTTGGGGAAAAAAATGTTAATATGTGTGATGTTAAAACAAAATGGTGTTCTCTAAAATATGGGAAATGATCCTTGGATAACTAGTCTATAGATGTGAAAAACAAACAACAAACAAACAAATGAAAATAAAATAAAAAAATCAATTTCAACGGTCAACTCGCCATCTTTGTGAGGTGCTCAATAGTATGTTCAAATTGGACTGAGATGCATTCTACAGTAACAACACCTTGCCTGCAGGCAGTTGGTATTGCGAACAACCAGTGTGCCAACGGCTGCCTGTTTGCCTGCAAGATGTGAAAATGATTTTGGGGGGGTGGTGAAATTATTGAATTTTTTGGATGGGGGTGTATCGATATCGAATGCATCTCGTTTGGCAATGGAAATGGATTTGTTTTTTTGGATGTTTTTTTTTTTTTGTTTTCTTGAATTAATTTTTCAATAATCGGTGCCATGCATTCATACCCCTCCTCTCTCTTCACCCATAGATATCTAGTACTGCTCCAAGAATGACAAAAACCAACAACACCAAAAAACAAATATCTCGGCCCCAACACGAGGGCCGGGCGGGTGTCGTCTGCCAATGCTGCTATTTCTGCTGTTGTCGACAATCGCATAAATGTAAAAGTGCAAAGGTTGCGTGGTGCTGGTGAAGATTTCGATTGATTTGGTTGGTAAAGTCCAACCGATTCTGTGCAGTGTGTGATCCAACCAACAAACGTAGACAAGTCCTTTGCAGTTCCCTTTTGTCCTTTTAAGTGTAATGGAATAAGCCCCCCTTTTCAATGATACCTCTAGTATTATTTTTTAAGATCTATCCTTGATGTTACAAAAATATTGAACTGGACACCAGTAACGGTCACCTGTTGATGAACTTTACTACTCTTACTCTGAAAAGGATCTGTCTTTCGCAACTCCAAATAAATAAATATAAAGATTGATGGATGGATGGATATTTTGAAACAATATTAAAAAGTTGTACAACTGACAAAAAAACAAAAAAAAAAACAAAGATATTTTGGTGGTGATGAACTGACAGTTGACTGCTTTGATGATGTGCTGCTATGTTGTAGTTAAAATGGATATGATGATGATGGTGTGTTGGGTGCTTACTTGATACAATACCTGTTGTTGCTTGTTCAGAAAATATCTTTTGGTTGATACTTTTTCTCTCTGTTTGTCTGTCTGTCTCTCTCTTTACAAATGTACAATGTTTATATCTGTTAATTTTTTAATTAAAAAAAAAGAAAACTTTTAATATTTTTTTTTCCAACATTAATATATTTATAAAGAGGTGAGGATAGGATAGGATAGGGATGGATAATCGTCAGGGAAATAATAATTATTATTATTTAATAAATTATAGATAGATTTTAAATAAATAAATAAATAAATAAATAAATATTAAAAATGTAATATTAACAACAATAATAACAATCTCTTTTTTGTTGTTGTTGAATTTGAAATTGAATAGAGGAGGGGAGGGAGGGAAGGATGATAGAATACAATGTGTGACTGATTATTGATATTTATGTTGTTCACAAATTAGTATACAATTATTATTATTATTATTATTAATAGTTGTTGCTGTTGTTGTTGATTAATCAACACCATCCATAAGATCAATTAAAACGATGATGTTGAAAATATCACAAAAGCATGAATTATGGTTTGCTGATTTTATTTGCATTCAACTTGTGAAGTTGATGCTGATGCTGCTGCTGTACAGCCAACAACAACAATGCTGGGTGGGTGGGTGTGATGTGATGGATAAGTCAGCGTGTCCGTTACCGCTACTAACAACTCTCATCTCCGTATTTTAACACCAATTATCATGAACAACGTTGTCACACCTTTTTTTTTTCCCGACCCACCCACCCTACACATCGGACTGACTATATTGCAATACCACCCCCCCACCCCCCCTCCCCACCACCGACTAAACAAAACAAAAACAACAAAAACAATAATAATAATAATCATTGAGATTGGATTGATTTCTTGTTTTTAAATCTCTATTTTTTTATTCAGACTGCAAGTGGGTAGATAGCACCTGACTAGCATAAAACAAGATTAAAACAACAAGTGTGGATTGGTGGGTTTTCCCTTCACCCTAACCCATATTTTAATCCCGTCATCATCATCATCATCATATTGAATACTAGGTAGAAGGTGATCTATCACCAATCTATCTTGAGTTCATTAGAATTCTGACGATTGACATCACCATCATCACTACACAAACAAACGAATTTGATCATATTATTGTGTTGTATGTATTGTGTAGACTGAGAAAAGAATGGTAAAATTCTTTTGTTTGTAGATTGATCACATGTATTCCACTTTGTTGTTTACACTCCAATCCAATCTATCTATCGATTAATCCGTTTGTCCGTCCTCGTCTAGAAATAAAATCCTTTAAACAAATTGGTTGACGACCAGACCATATTTGGCCAGTCACATCATTTTTTTGTCTGTTGATTATTTGATAGATTGCACCTCCTCTTCTTCCTCCTCCGATTTACGTTTTTTTGACAGGAAATAGTACAAATGTTTTTTTGTACGTTTTGAGTTGTGTGTTTTTTTGTTTTAGATTGATTGATAAGAATGATGTTTTGATTTTACCAAATGTGTACAATGGCATAAAAAGTAGGTGTGATGTTGGTTGGTTTGATTTGATTGATTGATTGATTGATTTGTCTTATACCTTTTTTTTTTTGTTTTTTGTTTTTTTTCGTTTTGTTTTAGTATAAGATCTTTGCTACTCTTTGTTTATGTAGTCAAGATGTCTTGTACTAATGTTATGATTGATGTTTTTGATTCTTTTTTTGCAGCTGTAAATGTTGATGATTTATTTGATGTATATTTGATGTCTTGAAGATATTTCATTATAATGATGATTAGTTGATAGAGAAAACGATTGAAACGAGTAGTATTATAATATTAATATTAGTGGAATGAATGGGATTATTATTATTTAAAGTTAATGGGATTTTTATAGTTATTTATTTCGATCTTATTATTCCCTTTTTATTGTTATGTGTTATTTTGCAATTGAGATTGTATTATATGAGTTGTGTGAACGTTTTTTGCTTTGCTTTGATGTGATTGTGAAGAGAGAGTAGAGAAAAAAAACAAAAGGTGAAGACGAGTAATAAATCGATAAATCAGTTCACAAAAAAAAAAAAAAACAAAAATATCACCCTACTCGGCTGAGATTGATCGTTCACTCCATGTCGATAAGCCTTGCTCTCTCGACCATGCTGCAAACAACAACCCTCTCTTCTCGATTCTATCGTTGTGCTGCATGGGAAATTTCGGTGCACTTGGCACAAAGTGGGTGTGAGTGAACAAAGATGGTGTCAGTTGTCACTAAATTTTAGACCGCCCTGGGATTTTAAGACTATCATCATAGATAGTCTATTGCAATGATGATGGTGGATGGTGTGTATATATATATGGGGGACACAATATAATATTATATTTATTTTTCTTACCTAAATAATTTTTAAAACAGAGAAGTTAAATTTGATGGGTGAGGTGAGGGTTTGATTGGGTTGAGTTTGATAAATTTTAAAATATCAAGGAATTAATTAATTGTACAATGTGATATTGGTGATGTTGTGTTTTGGGTGTTGGTGATATATGACTATAATAATATATTAAATTAATATAGACTTTTTGAACAAGAATATTATTTTTTCTAAAGTACAAAAAAAATAATAATTTAAAATGAGAAAAGAATGGAAAGGAGAATATTTGTTTTCTGGCAACAGTTGATATTTATATAAAAATAGTAAAATACTACAACTGGAAAATCATGATTACAAATAATCATCTCAAGCAGCTTGTGATACTGACTACTACTCGTCTATGCTACTTACCCCCTCTCCCTCTTCTTTGTCCCTGCACCCTCCTGATACATTGCTATGCTAAACAAGGATTCCGAGGAGGAAGTACCAATGGATGGATGGTGGATGATATCACCTATTTTAATTTAATCAACACATCATCATCATCATCAAATAATAATTGATCAACTAATAGAGTTGGTAGGGGGGGAACATGTAAGAGGAGGACGGTGTTGTTCTTGATTTCCCATGTTGTTTCAAATCCATTAATTCATTCATTTATCATATCTCTCAATTCATATTAACCAAAAAAGTTGGGAGCAATAATTTAAAGAGAGAGAGAGAGAATCGGGGGGATAATTGATGAAGAGGTGAAATTACAGATTGGATGTAATGTGTAAAGAGTCAAGACAGATTGAGTGAATAATCATCATTATTCAAACATGTGATTAATCCAAGTGATCTGCCATCAATCAATATAAATCTCTGCCTTTTTTTCATATGGTGTGTTCACTTTTTCCAGAAGCAGTTTGTCGTGTTCAAATGAATGCATTTATTTTATCGTTGCCGACATATTGCTCTTTCCTTGTTTAGTTGTGTTTAAAACAAAGGGGGGTGTATATATCAATCAGACTGATAGTGGGCGTGTTGAATAGGGTGTGAGGGAGGGTTGGGTTAAAAAATGGGGCAACCGATTCAACAGGTTAAAAGACACGATATTATTTTTTTTAAAGTCAAGGAGTATACATCATGTGAGCTCACATCCTTTCTGGAAATTGAATGACTACTACATTTCCATTTCATCATCATCGTTGTCGTTAATCAAATATATAATTGATTTGATTTGTGGAAATAATCAAAACAAAGTGATCGATTTTAAAATCAAAATCAATATATTATTATTTATCCATTGGATTGGTGTGTGTGAGTAGTGATAATTTAAAACGATATACTCTCTCTCTCACACTCTCTTTGTATATCCACACTACCGTTGTCTGTATGAATTACCTTGTATGTATAAATACAATTTACCATTTTGCTTCATCCTTGTTGTTATTAATTGAATCCGTCTTTGGGATTGGATAGGAGATATCATTGAATATTTTAATGATAATCATTCATCATAATTTGCATATGAATATTAATATTTATATGTTTGAATGAACATGATGAATATTATCCATTTCACCACTCCTCAATTCAAGGTATTTATATCTCTAATATTTGATCAACATCACAACACAACGTACCTACCCCATCATCTTCTGCCTACCCCGATTAATTTATCTCAATTTTAATTCCACTTGCTTTTTTGTAAATCACATACATACATATATAATTTATATTTTATTGATAGTGATGGTGATGGCATTTGATTGGTTGATGACAGTTTTTTTAACCAATCAACATCAATTGTTATAGCCAATATTACAATGCAAACCATCATCATCATCACTATCGAGATGATAACAAATTATTTGATTATTATTATTATTAATATTTTATATTTAGTTATATATTTTTAAGAATTATTTTATTATGATGACAAACCAATTTAGATGGTGAATTGAAGGTTGAAACCAAAGTTGTGCTTTCCTTCAAAGGAGAGATCCTTACCGTTGATGTCAAAACCGACGGTAGCCTTGGTGTATTCGTTGACTGGGAGGGTGTAACCAATACCGATACGACCAGAGTCATTGACCTTGGTCTTGATGAAGCTCTTAGAGTCGATAAAGTATTGAGAACCAACGGTGAAGGCTGGGTTCTTGTCTGGGGATTGGAGGTCGACGGTGAGGTCGGCAGCAAAGGCAAGACGTGGGGAGACCTTGTCAAAGGCGGTGATGTTGAGCTTTTGGAACTTGTTCTTTGGAGAGACACCAACAATGATACCGTCCTTCTTGAAGACGAGTGAGAGTTCAGCGTCGTCAATCTTGTTGGTCTTGGCATCAAAGATGGTTTGGAGACCGAGAGAGATCTTACCAAGACCAACGGTGGCGGTACCGGTAATCTTCTTGTTGGATTTCAAAATGGTGGTGAGAGCAAAGTTGTCCTTCTTGTATTGGAAGTCGGCTTGGACAATCTTGTTGGAGTCACCGGTAAAGACGGCCTTCAAACCTGGGGCGAGAGCGTCAAAGGTGACTTCTCCCTTGAGGAACTTGTTAGAGTCACCAGTAAGGGATACCTTACCGTTCTTGAGGTTACCTGGGAGGGTGGTCTTTGGGTTGATCGAGAATTGGATGTTACCATTTTCCTTTTGAACAACGGTACCAACAACAGACTAAAAGAGGAATAGAGAGAAGAAAGAAGAGAGAGAGAGAAAAAAAAATTAATTTTCGTTCTTTATTACTATTTTATCTTTGCTGCTTGCTACTACTTACGGTGTTTGGAATACCCTTGATGGTATCAGTAATTTCGATTTGCTTGGTGGTTGGGAATTCCTTCTTGAGGAGATCTGAACATTAATCAATGAAGTGGTAAGTAATTTTTTTTTTCTATTATCGTACACGAACACACGTGAACTTCATAGTACTAATCTCGTTGCACACACAACCAATAAAGATATCAACAAGCTATCTATAATGTTGTGATTATATCATCATGTGATGAATGTATTCCTTTTCTAATCATTTTGATGAATGAGACAACAATGAATGAATCATTTTTTTTATCTATCTCTCTACATAGAGATGATGTTCATTCATATCTTCTATATCTATATTCTATTCTATTCTAACTCTCTCTCTCTTTCTCTGTGTTACCTACCAGATGGGGTTTTAACCAAATCAGCGTAGACACCTGGGTTTGACATTCTTATGTGTATAATATATATTAAAGGTAATATGATAAAATATTGAAAAGCTCAAGAAGATCACACTTGCACACATGACTTCAAAAAAAAAAATCACCAAAAAATAAATAAATGTGCAAAAAAAAAAGCAGAAGATTTTTTGGTCACACATATTTTACGTAATATTTATTCTCATTTCACCTCATCATTTCGTTTTCCATGAGGGGTATGAGTATTCTCATCCAGGAATACTAATTTAAATTAGTCTATCTATTATCTATTTATCTATTTATTTTATATATTTATATTCCAATCAATATTTATTAGAGTTTACTTTCCACTTCCTTTTTTAAGTGGCTTGTCGTCATTGCGGGAACGGACGGGACCTTTTTTTTTTCAATGATCCCATTTAATGTGGATGGTAGATTTCCACAGAAAAGGAATGATATCTCATGGATTGTTTATTATTTTGGCTACCTTCTTAATCTTAATAAAAAGGCGTTTTTTGATCGATCACTATCATCACTATAGTATTTGTCGTAGAAACCAGATATGTGTTCCTCAATTTTAAATCCAAACTTTTGGTAGAGTAAAAGTGCCGATTGATTGCTAGTTGACACGTGTAGAGTAATGTCCTTTCCAATCATTGTTTGTGTTAGATGGTATAGCATAAATGATGCAATACCAGTTCCTTGCCACTCTGGATGTACAGAGAGAAACATAATATAACCATCTGGATTCATAATTCCACATCCAATCACCATTGATTTATAAAGTGCACATACTGTAAAATCTGGGTATTCTAATACATCATTTACTATATATATAAATAGGTAAAGTAAGATTATAATTAGTCAGTACTAGTTTATAGTTTTTAGAAGAGAAACATACATTCAATTCCTTTCCAAAAATTTTCACAAAGAAATGTTTGAGTTCTATCTACTAAATCTGGAGTCAAGTATTTATAGTCGATTGGAAATACATCGTGGTCAAGTGGATCTCGACTGTCTGTATTCATATCATTGACCGCAAAGAATTGATGCAACTCTCGAATGACTTGTAGTTTAGGAGGTGCTGTTTCAAAGTCACGTCTAATAAAGGCACGTAACTCTCTGGTTGTGTGTGGACTGACGTATGGTTGAATAGTCTTGAAGCTTCTCTTTTTCGATAACAACTTTTCTGATAATAGTTTAAATGGTTTGAAGCAAATTGGTGATTGGATTGTATTGGTAATTATAGATGAATCTAATTGTTGTCCATTTCCATTACCAGCAGCAGCAGCAGCAGCAGCAGCAACAGTAGCATTACTCCAATGATAATGTTTAAATAGTGAACTTTGAGAAGAAGAAGGGGTAACAACAGAGGTAGCAGTTGTTTCGGTCGTTGAATTGGCCATTATCTGATTTGTGACTGTATTGTGAAGTTGTGGTTGTGGTGGTGGTGGTGGCGATAGAGAAGCGATTGGTTTAGTTTGAGATAAATTTGTATTTGTATTTGTATTGTTGGTGATGTTTGAGTTATTTACATTTGAGTTGATATCAGGAGTTGTTGTTGTTGTCGTATTGGTTGAAGAAGTGGTAGGAGTTGATGTTGATGTTGGCATGGTCGTTTGTATCGGTTGTCTATTCATTGTTGTATTTACATTATTATTGCTATTTGTTGTCGTAGTAGGTGTAGTCTGCAAGGGTAATTGATTATTTTGTTGTTGTAACTGTAGTTGTTGTTGTTGATGTAGTTGTTGTTGATTTAATAAATATTGTTGATAATTATGTTGTTGTTGTTGTTGTTGCTTTATTTGAGCAGGTGTCAAAGGGGTATAATGTAAAGGAGGATGAATCAAAGACTCCATTTTACTTTGATCGGTAGGATTGAGAAATGATTGTAAGTGTTTTTGAGGCAGAGCAGGTATATCATCTCTCTCATAGTATATAGTCAATCGTTGATCCTTTCTCTTGATTTGTGATAGACTGTGTTGAACGGCATGATCAACATCGAATGTCGTCAATCCAGAGGTTCTCTTGAGTCCTCGCAATAGAAACTTTCTCTTGATACGTCTGATATCGGCCGATAATCTGTGTTGAGGTACCTTTAGGAATGCACTTGCTATATAATCCTCTTCAGCAATCGTCAATGGTCCAGCCACCTTTTTCTTCTTTACCACCTTTTTCTAGAAAAGAAACATCAATATGATTAACATTTATAGATCATGTGACAGCATCAATAAGTTGTACATACATCTTCATCACCATGGTGATGATGACTAGATCTATTTCTCTTTAGTTCTTTTTGTTCATTTGTAGATGTTGTTGAAGTTGTCGATGTGGTAGTACTACTAGTAGATGATGATGGTGTAGTTGTATTGGTAGAAGGAGCAGAGTTCTGCTTTGATGACATATTAAAGACTATGTATAATGAATATATATGTATGTGATCTATATCTACTACAAAGGAATCACATTGACTTGAATATTAATTACTATATCTATCTATTATGCTTATTATATCTCACTTTTTAATAAATTAGAAAAAAACAAAAATGAATATTTTAATAATAAAGGGTAAAAGTTTATTTTAGATCTTATATACTTCTACATCTTGTTTGTAAGGGGGAGGTTTGGGGAATGTAGTTTTGGTCGGTAGCTAACTTTTCACAAAGAAAGCTACTATACGTATAGTTGGTTATTATTATTATTATTATAAGTCTGTAAAAATACTAGTGCTCTTTAGAGTGTAGTTTTTGTTGGGAAAAAAAAAGAGATCCAATCCAACCCATAGTACGTGATGGATGGAGCTTGCGCATGGTATACCATTGCTGTCGTTGGGGAGAGGAGGGGGGGTTTGTTGTTGTTGTTGTTGTTGTTGTTGGCTAGCTGGCTGGCGACGACGACTGTGGATGTTTTATGTACAACATAATTCATTCAATATCTCTTTCAAGGTATTGAGAATTCATTGCCATCATTTCTGTTATTATTGTTGGTTACCATTTGTTTGATGTTGTGTTGGGGGTTGAGTTTAAAGTTTGACCTCGACCAATTACTTGAAGAGAGTCTGATTATATATGTTTTCGGTGGTTTAAAAAGTTGGTTGGAAGGTTGAAAGTTGTTTGACATAAACAACAAAGGTTGTGTGTTTAGTTTTGTTTTATAATTGATCAACGATTGATAAATTATACTAGGTGAATTGGAACATCAACATCAAAGGAAGATGAGAATGATGAAGTGGTACGTTGTTTCTTTGGTGGTTGGAGGAAGGGATTAACGCTATCTTCGAATTGGGGCTGTTGGGCGGCAAAAGTTTGGATGGCGCGTGATGTGATATAATTAAATTCGCATTCACTGTCTGTACAGCTATCCTCTTCTTCGTCTTCGGTGTAGTAGTCACTGTCATCATAGAAATCTTCGTCAACTTCTACTTCAATATCAGTGTCAATCTCGACAACTTGGCAGTCGCATTCCTCTTCTTCTTCCGAGTCGGTGGCAGTGCAATAGTTGTTGAGATCATTGACGAGATCGTAAGATCTCTTCAAATGACAGTTACCATTGCTATTGTTGTTGGTGTTGACTGGAGAGTTTTGTTGGGAAAGTATGTTTGGAGTGGTAGTGGCCGATGAAGAGATTTTAGTTGGTTCTTGTTGTTGTTGTGAAATAGTTGTTGGTTTGATCAATTCTTGTTGTTGTTGTGGTTTTGGTTGTTCAGTTGGTTTAATGGTAATGGTTGGTGGTGTAGTGGTGGTGATGGTTGGCAAGTTGTTTGAAATGGATGGCTTTATGGTGGTAGTGGTGGTGGAGGCGGCGGAGGAGGCGGTCGTAGTTGGTAATTGTTTAGTGGTATTTGAAAAAGCATCGGCTTGTGCTGGTTGGGTTTGTTTAACTGGGGTAATAACTTGTTGTTGTTGTTGTTGTTGGACTTGTGGAGCAGTTTGAGCTGGTTGAGCTTGTTGTTGAGCTTGTTGTTGAACTCTCTTTTGAATTGCCTCTAAAACATGAATTGGTTGGTAATTTGGCATCTTTTCGGCCTCAAAAGGTAATGGCTCGTTTGTGAAAAATGGCGATTGGAGAGCTTGGGCAGCAGTTAATCTCTTCTTTGGATTTAAAGTCAACAAACCTTCCAAAAGTTCAAGGAAATCCTCAGAGAAACTATAAGAAAAAAATAAAAATAAAAGAGAGATAAATGGTAAGTTGATATGTATACATATATATGTCTTTGTAATTGTTGTTTGATTCTCCTTACTTTTTAAAAACAGATCTTAATCTACTTGGGAAATGTGGCATATTTGAAATCGATTTATAGAATGGGAGTGATGAGACTCCATCCCAGTTTGATTCGGCAGGGGTACCACATAGTTTGCAAATGGCTTCAATCTGTTGTTGTTCATTGTTTCCTGGCAAAAAAGTTACGTGAAGTTACCAATTCAATTAATACACATCTGTAGATAAGAGAGAGAGAAAGAGTTGAGGTTAATGACATGACTATTGATTGTATAGAGTGCTTCCAAATGAGATTGTATAGAGAGGGGATTTAAATGGCAATTGAATGCCTTTTTGCGTAGCTTTTTTTTTTTAAAAGAGGGAAAAGAACAATGGATGATCCATTGGGGGTGATTGGAGTTTGAATCCAATAACGTGCGCAATTACAATTCGTTAGAATTGACCCCTCAATCGATACAGATCTTCTGTTGTGTGTGTGCCAATACAACAACAACAACAATGACAACACTGAGGTGACCCCAATTGTCTAGGTGTAGGAAGCTAGCTTGCCTGCGTGCGTGCCATATTTTTTTTTTGTTTCATGTTACTGTTGCTCTGTGAATCACGACCAAGCTGACCATAACGGTAATTACCACCGAGGAGTCTAGTGCAATGCGAGGCTGACGTACTTGTTGCAAGTCCACTCACTGGGACACGTACTCTTGTGGCACAAGAGAAACAAAAAAAAAACCCTCCATCCTGAAACCTTTGAAAGTGCTGCCTTTTGTAGCTGCAATTGATGCTTTGAACCATTTTGAATTGATTACATCAGCTGATCTTCAACAATTGTATCTCTAAAAATAGAAAGAAAGAAAAGAGAAAAGAGAGAAAAAGGGTAGAGCAAGAAGAGTATAGCTTGGAAAGAGTAAGTAGTAGAGATTCGCATGTTTAACTTACCCAATGGACCACATATCAATTTCTGGACCGTAGGTGGTAGCACCCAGCAATAACTCTGGGGCTCTGTACCATAGAGTCACTACCTTGTTTGAAAATACCGATCTCTTGGTATAAGAGGTGGCAGTACCAAGATCACCAATAAATAAATGTCCCTTATTATTAATTAAAATATTGGCAGCTATAAATAAAAAAAAATATGTTGTTAGAGAGATAAATAAATTTTTTTTTGTTTGTTTTTTTCATACCTTTAATATCACGATGCATTACTCCATTCATATGAATTTCTTGTATTCCTTGGAGCAATTGTTTAAAATAACATTTGACTTGAGGTATGGAAAACCGATGTTCAGATAGTAAACCAGACAAATCATGTTCAAAGTATGGGAAAACAATATTGTACTCGTTGGTAGAAATGACTACATCAAGAACTGGAGTAATGTGTGGAATGTGTTTGAGTTGCATCAAAAGGTGGCATTCTTCTTTGGAGGCACGTTCAGATTCACTTCCATTTTTGAAATTTTTCAAGGCAACCATCTCATTTGTATCACGTTTGATGGCTTTATAAACAGATCTAAAAATAATTTAAAAAAAAAAAAAAAAAACGAAACAATCAAAACGAAAAATATTAATATTAATAAATCAAGTAAATGGAAATAATGATGGTAGACGAATATTGGGAAGGGCAAAAAAACGAGGAGGAGAGTAAAGTAGAAAACCAAACCAAACCATGATCCATTTTTGTAATTACGAAAATAAAAAAAAAAAGGAAAAAAAGGAAATGGGATTCGTAAAAAAAAAAAGAAAGAGAAGAACTCGACCATCACATGATGGGTAGGACGAGAAAGAGAGACAGACAGAGTTTTGTGTTGTACGCAAAAAAAAAAAAAGGAAAAACTTCCAAGATTAAACGTTCATCGGAAAATTGAGGTAAACTCTCGACTGTGTGTGTAGATAATATAGATGACTATGACTATGATGATTGCTATGACTACTACTACTACTACTACTACTACCTATTGATGCTGCTTGCTGCTGTGTGCATGTGATATAAGATATTTGATATTTGATATTTGATATGACTTACCCTGATATACCCTCACCGATCTTTGCGATGATATGATAGGACTGGTTGATGGCTCTGCTGAGGAAGAGGTCACGACCGTGAACAGCAGAGACGGCTGCCGCAGCACTACTAGAGGAGATAGTAGCTGCTGCTGCGGCCGAGGAACTGCTGGACGTGCCTTGGAGGACGGCGGAGCTATTAGCAGTTGTATGGTGGTGGGCGGAAGCGTTGCTGGTGCTGCTACTGTTACCAGAGCTGGGGGTGCTGTTGTTGTTTGAGCTTGATGGCATGGTGGGCTGGCTGAGATCTACTGCTGTGTGCTGATAATAGTGACTATTATGCTTGCTTGTTGTTATATACTAAGGTTGTTGGTGTATAGGGGGGAGGGGTGTAGTTATTATCTAACTAGTTGTGTAGTAGTAGGTGGGTGGCTGAGCTCTCTGAAACAAATGCAGCAACGTTTCTTACTCTCTCTATGTGTGGACGATAAAAGAAAAAGTGATTAAAAAAAGACAAGAACGAAAAGCTTTATAACTCGACAGACAGCAGAGCTGCTCACTCAACCCAAAATTGATTTAATTTTTATTCAAGCAGAGCAAGAGAACTCTATCGTCGTCACCTCTTGAGATTGGATTTTTCGTCTGTTGGCCCCCATCAATAACCAAAGACAAAAGAAGAAGACCTGAGAAGTTCGAGTCAGCGCAGAGTAGCCAACCAACAAACCCAACGTTTTGGCAACCAATTAACAATAATAATCAACGAAATTTTCGATAATACTCGATTATACTCATAATAATATTATCCCCCATTAATCGTCATCACTCTACGTAGCTATCATGTTTGGATGATTTTCATTGTAGCAGAAATTAATAATAATAATTATTTCTTTCATTATCTATCAACCCAACCTTTCCCTTTTTAAAAATGTGACAGAGTGTCTGTATGTGTGTGTCCTCCTATGAGGAGGAGGAGGAGGAGATGGTTGGTGTGTTTGATACGAGCTCGTTGTAGTATTACTGATAAATGTCGGTTTTCTGGAAAGCCATCCACACCTCATACAATGAACCACATGTCACATGACCTATTTATTTGTTTGATTTTGGTGGATATGAATGAGATAATGTACTTGTACTTGTATAATCTTTTAAGATATTGATCGAATCAAATTCCCGGGTTCGTACAAAGTGTAACGAAACACGTATAATGAGTTAGAGACAGACAGACAAAAATATCTTTTTTGGTTGGCAGTTTTTTCATAATTATTTTTTTTTTGGTCTGTTGGGAACTTTGGTCAAGATATGCACCAACCACAGCCTGATTCTATTATTATTATCATCACCTAGTTTATCACATTGTCCCCCATTAAAATCATCTTTATAAGATTACACAGTAGTAGCAGCAAACAAGAACACATTAGTATTTAGTATTTATTGGATTTTAGGTGAGTAAACCAAACTCGTCACCCATCAAATATACTCCTCCAAAACTCTCCATCGATGTTAAATGATAGAGTGATAAATAGATAGATAAAGATAATCCCCCAAATAGAAAGATAGATAACAGGTACAATATAGTAGTAGTTGGTTTACGATGTAAAAGAGTAGTGTAGTGATGATAATGATGAGCTCATCAACCACACCACCATCATCATACGTCACTACTCGTTTTTCTCTATACTGTTGTTTGTTTGGTGCCAACCAAAAAGAAGAAGAGATATACAAAGATAAGACAGATTGATAGATTGATAGATAGATTGATGTTTGTAATGATAAACGTCTGTCTACATCTCGCTCTCTCTCTCCAATCACATTATTAGTAGTATTGACATAAGGAATGGTCTCTTCGTTTGATGAATCAAACGAACCAATACAACTCACACACACCATCAACTCACTCACTCTCACTCACTCACTCCTACCTTACCTTCACTCACACACGTTTTTTGTTTGGTTGGTGTGAGAGTATCTCGTTTCATCTATTATATCTTTTTGTGTAGGCAGGCAGGCAGGCAGGCAGGTGGGTGGGTGTGCTCTACCCTCTTGCATACTACCCTACCCTACACTCTTGTTAGGTTGGTTGTTGACTCGGGAGGTCAGCTGTGGTACTAAGTAGTAGTAGTACTACTATTAGTAGTTAGTATTATTAGTAATATCCTCCTGTATTATAACAACACAACACAAACAAACAATCAGCTTATGTATCGTTGTTGACGGGGTGGGGGTGTTGTTAGTGTTGTGTCAAGTGGATAATCATTCTCTCTCTCTCTCTCTCTCTCTCTCTCTCTCTCTCTCTCTCTCTCTCTCTCTCTCTCTCTCTCTCTCTCTCTCTCTCTCTCTCTCTCTCTCTCTTATCATCATCATTCATCCATCGAATAATAGAAGAAAGAAACAAAGAAAGAAAGAAAGAAAGAAAGACTAGTTGAACAACCAACCAACCATCACCAAAAGGAGGTACCTCTAGAGCCATCACTTCCTCACCATCATACACAACTAGGTAATTTTCTTTATAAATCTACTTGATTGATTCGAATTGAATTGATCAACCAAGAGAGGGGGGAGGATGAATAATTGATTGATTGATGATGTTTTTGTTAATAGAGTAGAAAGTATAGGATGGATTACAATCAACCAACCAACCAACCAACCAATTGCAATACAGGTGTAGTGTTACTACTACTCTTCTACTTGCTACACACACACATACACACACATAATCAATTCTACTTTCTCTCTTCTCTCCTCCTCTTCTCTTGGTTTACCATTATTTGGTTAATATTACTCTTCTGTTTTATTGTTGTATTGTTTTGGTTCTGTTCTGTTCTGTTGTGTTTGTGTTTGTGTTTGTTTGTTGTTGCGTGTGAGAAAGAGAGATAAAGAGAACAAAGTGTGACGGACAGATCACACAACACACGAATAATAATAATAATAATAATATTATTATTATTATATTATATTAGTAGTAGTAGCATTAATAATAATAATAATAGTATTAGTAGTAGTAGAACACTCAACCAAACCCAAACCAAACCCAAACCAAACAAACAATAATAGAGACATAATAATAATAATAGAATAATGAAAGTCTTATTTATAGACTTTTTCTCTCTTGCACTTAAAAACTAACTTGCTGATTGATCAATCATTTATTTTCCTTTTTATATATATTTACAGATAGATAGATAGAAAGATAGATAGATAGATAGATATATACAGTTTATCAAGAATCACACACAATAATATACATACATACATAACATACATCTATCTATTTACATGTGTATCTAAGACTCTACTCTCTACTTTATTTATTTTTCACAATAATTGAATTGTATTATTAACGCGAACCATCATCACCAACACCAAACTCAATACCCAAACAAACAAATCAATCAATCAACCAACCAACCAACCAAACCCATTACCCAACATCATACATTGGGTCTCCAACATACATATTGTATTAATTAGTAGTCAACAACAACAAGGATCACAATCATTATTATCATCACTACTATATATATAATCCGATCACTACCTAGAGTAGTTTATATATCATTTGATTGCAAGAAATGTCAGAGTATGTATTATTATTATTATGTAACGAACGATCAACAATACTCATCATGATGACTAATACTTTTATTGTTGACACTCTAGATCAATTTTGGAAGTTGCACCTATTCAAATTACAGTAGGCCCTTCTACTACTAGAGAGGAGCATCATGTAATATATAAACAAGTGGACGCAGCAGAGCAATTACAACAACAACAGGCAATCGATGATTCAAAGAGAGTTTCAAATACATATGTTTCACCTCCATCTTCACCTTCACAAGAATCTATTCGATCATTAAAAACAAAGGATTGTAATGTTATTATAAAAGGTATGTTGTTGACAGAATGATGATCATCAAAGAATAACGTACGACAAGACACTTATTATTATTTGGATTTTGATGTATAGTTTTTGAGGCAAGAGCTTTACCAGAAGCCAGAACAAGAAAAAAGGATCCAAAGAATAACAAGAGTTTCAAGAGAGCACAAAGCTTATTGTCAGAGATTTCATCACCTAATCTTATGACTTTTTCCGATACAACCGATCCATTTTGTCTCGTTCAAATCGATAAACAAAGACAAAGAACTAGAACCATCCCCAAAAAATTAAATCCCTTTTGGTGTGAAGAATTTACAATGTAATTAAGCTTACAAACTCTATCTAGATGGATTGTACAAGTTAATGCTAACCCATATTCCAATTTACATAATTTATAGGGAAGTAGTTGATGTTAATACAGATAAAATATTTGTTACAGTTATCGATGAGAAAAAATATACAAATGATGATCATATTGGAAAGTTGATGATTCCACTCAATACTTTAAAGGATCAAAAGGAACGTGAAATGTGGTTCCCTCTTCAATCACCATTGTCAACCAAAAAAGTACCACAAGTTCAAATATTATTTACATTTAAACCAATCTCTCTTACTGATCCAAATACTCCTGGTTTACTTTGTTGGAAAAGTATGAAATAAGAAAAGAAAAGAAAAGAAAAGAAAACCTTTGTACTAACCCTTTTTTATTTTATTTTATTTTAGTGATGTGTGGAAGAAATTTAGGAGGATCATCAAATGTAGTTGGACAAGATAATAATACACCATTTGTAAATTGGAGTGTAAGATCGAAAAAGGGTGAAACCATTATCGAAGAAGAAAATATTAGTTGGTATACGGCAGTTGTCAAGGGTGTTGAGCGAGAGCTAACAGAATCGATTGACTGTGTCCAATTTACATTGTGGAAATATGAAGCCAAGCAATCATTGCTCGAGACTGCACCATTGTCTGCTCGCAGTCGCTCCACTTCTGGTGTTATCACCGATAGTTCACAACAACAACTCACAAAATCACCAGAATTAAAATCACGTTCACACTCATCGGCTGCCAACAATCCACCAGAGCGTCTTCTCACCTCTGCACTTTCACAGAGCAGCATCCAAACCACGTCGGGGTCGTCTAGCATGAGCAGCGGCACCGCCCCCATTCTTTCCCAATCGACATCACAACCCACCCTCTCCACCAACACGGCCGCCGCCGCACCAAACCATCACCATCTGATCCCACTCCCCAAAAATGTATCATCGTCGTCGCTGTCGTCCAACGCCTCGTCTGACTCGACCAACACCATCACCAGCGAGCAATCACTGCTCTCATCGAGCACAATCGCCTTGTCTAGTGGCACATCGTCACAGCATCAGAGTAGTGCCGGCAAGGACGGCTACGAACCCACTACGATCGGCTCGGGCACCGTCATGGCATCACACATGGACTCTGAAAAGGTGTCTGATATTTGGGTGTGTTTGTATCCCAAGCAGTCGGAGCGATTTGGAGACGTACGTCTCAAGCTAAAGTACACCGAAGAGGTTGTACTTCCATTAGAGTCGTACCAACCTCTGCTCAGCCACTTGCAACAAGAGGATATGAGTGCAGTGCACATCCTCGGCAACATCACCAAGCAGCGTGAGGCAGTTGCCAACAATTTGATCCGTGTGTTTGAAAAGACGGGTCATTGTCTCAGTCTGCTCAAGAGTCTTACCGAGCACGAGATTGACACGACCGACAACCCCGACATTATCTTCCGTGGCAATTCACTCGCCACCAAGAGCGTCGACCTGTACATGAAGCTCATCGGGCTGCCCTACCTTGCCAACACGATCGGTCCCCTCATCAAAAAGATATACGTTTCGAAAAAGTCATGCGAGATTGACCCCACCAAGTTGGAAAAGGGCGAAGACGCCAAAAAGAATGCCAAGAATCTGCTGTCGTGGGTCAAAAAGATGGTGTCGGCCATCCTCGCCTCGGCCGACCAATGTCCGGGTCCGTTGCGCGAGATCTTCCTCGCCATCCAGACCAAGGTCAAGCAGCGCTACGCCGTCGACCACATCACCCAATACACAGCTGTCAGTGGTTTTATTTTCCTTCGTTTCTTTTGTCCGTCGATTCTGGCACCCAAGCTTTTTGACTTGATGCCAGACCATCCGGGCATAAAGACCACACGTTCACTGATCCTCATTGCCAAGACACTACAGAACCTTGCCAACTTGGTCGAGTTGGGTGTCGACTACAAAGAAGACTTTATGCGCGACATGAACAGATATGTCATGGACAATATGGATGGCATGAAAACATTTATCAATTCCCTTGCGACAGTACCTGCCACCTGTCCGCCAGGTCAACTCTTAAATCCAATCAACCTCGAAAAGGAATTGGCTTGCTTGTATAGACATTTAATTAAACAAAAAGATGAAATGTTGTCCGATGTTAGAGAAAGAAATAATCCAACCGAAATTCAATCAATGTTGGTTTTGGATACAATTCTCGAAAAATTAGAAAAACAAGTTCAATATGCTTCAACTTTGTAATATTAATAATAATAATAGTAATAGTAATCTAATCTCAGAATCAATAATCATAATAATCATAATAATAATAACAAATGACTTTTAAATTAAGTTAATAATAATAATAGTCATAATTTTTACAACAGTACTGCACACTTTTAAAACAATGAAACACAACAATAACCTCCTTATTTAAGTATTTATACATACACCTCTTATATATACCATCCTCCTCTTTATCCCATTCTCAAATAATGACCATCATTAGTAGTACCTCCCAATCCAACCTTTATACATCATCATCCATTTTGTATTATCAAAAAAGTAGCATAGATAGATAGATTTAATAATAGTAGCAATAACAATATTAGTAATAATAATAATGTTTTGTTTGATTCGATAATTATAACAATAAACATTATCATGATTTTTTTCTGTAATTTTGACTTTAAAATTATTTTTCCAAAAGAATTAAATATATTTATACAAATACTATAATATCCATTTTGAACCTCTTTACTTTTGGAAAAAAATAAAAGGATTTTTATCTCTTTTCCCATAAGAGTTTTTTTTTTGTTAAAAACTGTGCTCTTTTATCTCTTGACCATAAAATATATCGATTTTTGCTGATTTGATCCGTAATGGGTTACGGCGGTGGCTTCAAACCACTGGGGCTCTCGCGGGCCAGGAGCTCGATTCTCCCTGATTAGCGTTTATAAAAGATTATTGTTTTTTTTTAGAAAAGGTATTGTTTGTACATTTGGTAATTTACATAATTTATTTAGAGAGATCAGTTTTTTTTTATTGGTGTACTTTTGATTGGAGTACCTCTGGTTGGGTTTATTCTGGTTGGAGTACCATTAGTTGGTGTACTTTTAATTGGTGGTGTACTTTTGATTGGAATACCTTTATTTGGCGTACCTTTAACTGGTGAACCTCTGGTAGGGTTTATTCTTGTTGGAGTACCATTAGTTGGTGGTGATGTATCCTTTTTAGGTGGTGATGATACCGTTTGTTTCTTTAAAGTATGTATTAAAGAATCTGGTATTTGTTGTTGGGTAGATTTTCTTTTATGACTGTTCCCATTACCATTAGCATTTCCATTACCATTGGCATGACCATTGGTAGAATCTTGATGGTTGGTGGATCCTGCTGGCATTATGAAACCCAAGTTATTGAATATATAGTTTCTAAATTGAACAGCTTGGGAGGGGTGGACTTGGGATCGCAAATTTTGGAATTGCATTTTAAGGATTTCCATTTTGACAATTCCATCATTTTCCACTTCTTCCTCTTCTGTTTCGTAATCATCTTCATCTTGATCCTCTTGGTCTTGCTCATTGTCTTGATCCGATTCCTCTTCTTCTTCTTCTTCTTCTGTTTCCTCTGATTCTGATTCTGATTCTTCCGATTCTTCATCTTCATCTTGATCTTTGTCTTGAACTGATTTCTTTTCTTTTTTGATTTGATGTGAATATTTGAAGTCAATCTTTTTGTTGAAATGGTCGATTTCAGTCTTGTGGTATGGCATATCGATTGCTTTGATCCAAGCTCTCGTGTTGTAACACATGATTAGAAAATCGAAACGTATTTTAATCTTTCCCAGAGCAACTACCCTTTTGCCAACAATCTCAAACAAATTGGAAGCAACTCTTTTTTGCAACAATCCTTGGATAATCTTGGTGTTCTTGGGTGAAGCAATGAATGCACGATTATTTACAACTTGTTTCATAGCCGTTTTGATGCCTTGATTTGTGTTTTTGTCCTCGAGAACATTATCGGTCTCTTTAAACATGTCCTTGACTTCGTTATAGGTTGGAGCAAATAACTTTGAGAGTATCACAGGCTTACCATCCTCGGATGGACATTTTAGGTCCTTACTTTTGATAGTTTCTTGAATGTCCTCCCATTGTTGTTTGGTTATTGATGGTTGTTGTTGTTGTTTACTTTGTTTTTTTAGAGATGACATTGTATAACAAGAACAAATATATACAAATAAGTTTTGAAATAAATAAATAAATATAAATAAATAAAATAAATAATAGATAGATAGATAGATAGACAACAAGAAGTACAACTTGAATGAATGAAAGTGCAGCTAGAAAAGGCAAATTGTTTGTGGCATCAAAGATCATCAAATCTCTGCCGTGACAAAAATATTTTTTTAATAAATGGTGTTGAACTTCACACCACAGGTTCCACAATATCATAATGATAATATCCCCAAAAGGAGAAGGAGTTCAAAGAGTGATTATTAAACACCCATATTGATTAATAAATATTATTAACCAACCAATTTATGGAGATCATCACTCAGTCTACTTTGGATTCAATGACTTGTATATAATTATTTATATCCCTAGTATCCTCGAAATAAAGATTCTACTTCTATCCAAAAGAGAATCTAAATTGATCAAAAAATTTTTAAACCCTTTATATGATGTAATTATTATTGATAGTCGAGATGACCTTTTGAAAATATTTATTTCCACTTCGCATAATTGAGCAAAAAGAAAAAATGGATTTTGAGTAAATTAAATTACCCCACCCACCACTTCTGAATTTGTTTAATTTAAAAGAATAGTTTTATTAATACTCTCATTCATTCTTTGTTTGTGTCTAATATATATTTATCCAACCACCCACAAATTATTTATTTTATTGAATGTAATGAAAGAATCAGATAATAACACAAACAGTAGTAGTAGTCGAGATACTAATAATAATAATCATGACGATAGGGTGATTCATTCGTCCGGAAATAATACTCCATCCCATACTACTACTTCTCCTACTACTACTCATTCAACTATGACAAAAGAGAATAAATTTAATAATTCTAGTCCAAGTAATAGAAATAATAATAAATCAAGCCAACATTCTAGAGATTTTAATAAATCTCCACCTTCTATTTCATCAGAGAATATAACAAACAACAATAAACTTATCACAAATGAATTTAGTTCAACTTCAAAAGAAAGAGTATCACATGAAGAAATAGATCTAAAAGAAAATAATAATAATACACTCTTACATCCATTAAAAGAAAAGAGTTCCAGGAAGAAAGGTGAATGTACAATAGAGGAAATGGATTTGGATCAAGAAGAAACATTCTTGTCGGTTGACCATGGTCCATCACCGACATACAACAAGGATGGATACACAAAGATATTATCAAGAGAATGTAGTCCATCGATAAAACCATCTTTAAAAAACAATTCATCACCAAGTTCTTATCAAACCGTTCATAGCAAGAACATAAATAATATCGACGATGAAGATGATGACATTGGAAACAACAATAACAAAAAAAAGAAGAATATTGAAAATTCATTATTATTACAATCATACGATGAAGAAAATCAAATAACTATCGATGACATTATTGAAGTGGACAAGAGAGATACACTTTCGGCATTTAAATTATTTGCTCTTACCGTTTCATTTTTAGGTGTACAATTTGGTTGTAAGTAGAATAAGGAAATGATTATTATCATTACTATTATTTACCAATCTTTTATTATTTATAGGGGCATTACAAATTGCATTTAGTACACCATTATTTCTTGAACTTGGAGTACCAAGTTTTTGGGTTTCATTTATTTGGATGGCTGGACCAATTTCAGGTTTAATAGTTCAACCAATTGTAGGAGTAGTTAGTGATGTGTAAGTATATATAAAATATTCCTATTCCTATTCTAATCATCATTTTTTTTTAGTTCCGAATCAAAACATGGAAGAAGAAGACCATTTATATTTTTTGGAACAATATTTATAGCAGTTGGATTATTATTAGTTTCCAATGCTCAATCAATTGGATCAATTTTTGGATCAGATTCAAAAGATGCTTCCATTTTTATTGCTGTATGTAAAGATTAATAGAGATCAATTGAAAAACTTTTGTTAACACATTTTATTTAGATAATAGGATTTTGGATATTAGATTTATCTAATAATGTAGTTCAAGCTCCTTGTAGAGCTTTATTAGTTGATGTAGCACCAACATCTCAGCAGGGATTAGGAAGTTCATTATTTTCAATCATGTTGGGTATTGGTAATTTATTGGGTTATTTTATGGGTTCATTAAATCTAGTCAAAGCTTTACCATTTATGAAAACAGATATCAGAGCATTATTTAGTTTGTATCAAGTAAAGAACATCACCATTTTAAATACCTTACTAATTTGGTTTTTTATATTTTTTTTTATAGCAATATCAATAATAACATTATTATTATGTATTTCAATGACATTGATAAGTGTAAAAGAAAAAAGATATAGTAAACCAATCAATGATTTAACACCCAAAGTAAATCCATTCCAAGCCATTTTAAATGGTATTAGAGATATGCCCATGTTTTTGAAACGAGTATGCATTGTGCAATTCTTTTCTTGGATTGGATGGTTCTGTTTTGTATTATACGTTACGACATGGGTCGGAGTCAATGTCTACCAAGGAGATCCAAATGCACCAGAAGGGTCACCAGGCAGGGACCTATTTCAACAAGGTGTTAGAAGAGGTTCATTGGGACTAATGATGAGCTCTGGTGTTTCGATTGTCACTTCACTACTCATTCCCACTCTTATTCGACTCGTTGGCATAAAGTATGTCTACTTTGCCGGAAATGCGATACAAACACTTTTATTTGCACTCTTTTTCATCTGTAAAAGCAAATTGTGGGCATTGCTTCTTATTGGAGCGACTGGCATCCCATGGTCCGTTGTCATGGTACTCCCCTTTACCATTGTTGGTCTTGGTATCTCGAGCAGCGAAAGCGGGTTGCACATGGGCACCCTCAATGTATTTGTAGTGATTCCACAACTGCTCGTTTCACTTGGTATCAGTTTTGTCATTTCCTTGTTTGGTGGCGACCTTTCCTATTCGCTCCTTACAGGTTCCATCGCATCTCTGCTTGCAACTTTTGCAACCATCGCCATTATTGTTCCAAATACAATGAGTCAAATCGATATTGACAATATTCAATAAAATAAAATAAAAATAAAAAAAAGAAAATGTACACATACTTTTGATTATACATATACATATATACATAATATATATATATATTTCTATATAGATAGATTGTCTATTTCTTTGCTATACAAACCACATTCTGTAGCTTACGTTTGTTTTTTTTTTTATTTGATGTGGCGGCTTCTTCTTCTTCTTCTACTTCTCGACTGATCTTTTACAAAATGAATTGATTGATTTGTTCTTATTCTTGTTGAGGTGGGAATACACCTGGTGGGAAACCACGGCCCATACCGGGAGGTGGACCTGGTGGGAAACCACGACCCATTCCAGGTGGGAATACGCCGGGTGGGAAACCAGCACCTGGAGGTGGTGGGAAGACACCGGGTGGGAACCCACGGCCCATGCCGGGAGGTGGACCTGGTGGGAACCCACGACCCATACCGGGTGGACCTGGGGCAAAGCCAGCACCTGGAGGTGGAGCACCTCTTCCAAATGGACCTGGTGGTGCGACACCACCGATACCACGAACAGGTCCAGTGAGACCGGCGGTGGCAGCAGCATTCATGCCCATACCTCTACCGATAGCACGACCAATACCAGGACCACCTGGAATCTGTGGTGGTGCCTTGGCCTTGATCTCTTCGGGTGGTGGTGATTCAGCAGACAGCGAGATAACAGTCTCTCCTCTGATGACAAGCATACCCAAAGTTCTCTTTTCCTCACGATCTTCCTTGCCCTTTTGTTTGATTCTTCTAAACTCTTCTGCATCGCATACCACAATGTTCATGTGTTTATCAAATGCCAAGAAACGACCAACAATAATACGACCATCATTGATTGTAATCTTCATTCTATAATTGATATATTGAAGCATTTTACTGCTTTTTGGAGCGCTCTAAAAATCAAAAAGAGTATGTATTTGTTAGTAACTAGTGTGACAAAGAAAGAAAGAAAGAATCATTGTTTATCATATGATTGTTTGTTTGATTGATGTTTAAACTTCTTACCATTTTCGATTGATTATTTGTTTATATGATATATATATAATATACAACTTGTTGACTTCTACTACTACTTCTAACTAACTATATTTGTGTTTGTGTTTGTTTGTTTAGAGTTTGGGATGATCAATAGATTAATAGAAATCTTCCCGTTTATAAATTTTGGTTCCGCGTTGACGGTCTAGAATATAATATAGATCGATAGAGAGAGATAGAAAGTAAAGAGTTGTAGTAATATATATAAATAACTTTATATATAATGTATAAAATAATAATGAATGAAGCTCAATTTGATCGACTTTTGAAGATGATTATTTTCATTGTTGGTTTTCGAATTTTCGACAAAAGAGGGATAACAAGTTTTAGTTGTACTATTTATTCATTGCTTTAAAGAGATATATAAATATATATTATTTGGAATGATAGATTGTAATTGGAATAATAGTTTAGACAATTCAATAAGATGGATTATATTTCTTTGATTGTCTTTAGGTATTGACACTACTATCTTTACCTGAGAGTATACGATCGAGATTGAAAGCGGCAGAGATTAAAGAAAGATGTGTAAATGCTTGAGGAAAGTTACCAAGTGCCTCTCCACCGACACCTATCTCTTCACTAAAGAGTCCGAGATGGTTGGCATAACCGAGCATTTCATCAAAGACTAGTCTGGCACGTACGAGGAATTCGGGGTGATGCTTTCCTGCACGGGTCAGTGCTTCAATCAACCAAAACGAACAGATGTTAAAGGTGCCCTCGGTACCAGCCAACCCATCACCCTCGCCTTCGTGTGTGTTGTAGCGGAATACAAGCGAGTTGGAGACGAGACCTCCTTTGTTGGTGGGCTCGAGGATTCGTTGGAGTGTCGATATGTGTCTTGGATCGGATGGAGCCATGAAAAAGACAAGTGCCATGATGAGTGTGGAGGCATCGAGTGTACCAGAACCATAGGACTGTGTAAAGGCTCCCAATTTGGGGTCATACCCTTTAGTTTGGATCTCCTCATAGATGGCGTCACGAACCTTCATCCAACGGTCTCGTGGTGCAGGGAATGAACGACGGTCGGCAAGACGGAGACCGCGATCAACAGCTACCCAGCACATGATCTTGGAGTAGACAAAGTGTTGCTGACCACTACGTACCTCCCATATACCCTCATCTTTTTCGTTCCAGTGATCGCACACCCAATCAATAAGCTTGCGGATATGCATCCAAAAGTCATAGGAAACAAGCGATCCGTACTTGTTGGATAGGTAGATACTGTCCATCAACTCGCCGAATATGTCGAGTTGCTTTTGATTGACTGCGTCGTTTCCAACACGCACTGGTGCACTGGCTCGGTATCCCTCGAGATGCTCGAGGACACTCTCGGGGATCTTGTCGTCGCCGTGGATCGAGTACATGATCTTTAGCGGCATTTCATCCTTTTTGGGGTTAGTGTCTGCTTCGATACATCTATTCTCGAGCCATGTCATAAAGCCTTTGGCCTCCTCGGTGAAGCCGATACGAATCAGACCATAGACTGTAAACGCTGCGTCACGGATCCAAGTGTACCGATAGTCCCAATTACGTACACCTCCAAGATCCTCGGGCAACGAACAGGTTGGCGACGCCACAATGGCACCCGTTGGCGAAAAGGTCAACAGCTTCAATACCAGAGCACTACGCTCCACCATCTCACGCCATCTTCCTTTATAGGTGCATTTCTCTAGCCATTTTTGCCAATAGTTGACGGTCGATTGGAACAATACATCCTCACGCGAACAACTACCCTTGACATCCTTGAATTTAAAGAGATCTGGGTATTCCTCTGGATCCTTGAGAATAAACGTACACGAATCTCCCTCGCCCAGTGTAAATGCCGAAGTGATCTCTCCATTTGGTCCTTCCTCCATCTTTACACAACTAATAATCTCCAAAACAACTCCATCCTCTGAATGTAATTGAAATCCATTATTACATTTCTTGACAGTATGTTTTGATCTAGCAAAATTAAATTGTGGATTACAAACCATACCAAAATCAACACTACCTCTAATCACTTTAACTCTTCTTACCTAAAATTATAAAAAATAGAAAAAGAAAAGAAAAATTTAGTTTAAATTCTTTGTTTACAGTAGTATGTATACACATACAAGCCATTTTAAACCTTTTCCATTAATAATTGGCATATAATCAACAATGGAACAAACAGCTTCTTTGGTCAAGAATTTGGTGTTTAAAACATTGGTATCTGGCCAATACGATTGTTTGGTTTTATAAGATGTTCCTTTTGGTACAATCGTCCAAGAACCTCCTTTCTGTAACAATTAATAATGTATTAATATTTTAATAATCAGGTATTTAATTAATTACTATACTTGTACTACATACTTTGGAATCTAATAAAGAACAAAAAATAGAAGGACTATCAAAATGAGGATAACACATGAAATTAATGGTACCATTGGTAGAGATCAGAGCACTTGTTAACATGTTGCCTATGATCCCATTGTTTTCTATTGGTGGATAATCTTTAGAATCCATAATAATAATTTAATTTAATACAATTTCACAAAAAAAAAAGTAAATAGAAATTAAATGAATAAATAAATATTAATGACCAGAAGAAACGAATTCATGAACAGTAGTGATGGTGAACAACAAAGTGATAATTCAACCCACCAATCAAATCGTTCAGCACAACCAATACTAATTTAAAATTTGTAAACACATCAAAATGTGGTAAAATCTAATCATCATTGTTACTACCGACCAACTATCAGAGTAGTGAATTTATTTGTTCCTTTCGAGCATGCGACAACCCAACTACATTTCAGATACTTCTCATTGGCAGAGACACCAAAGAAATGAATCAATGTATTTAAAGAATAGGATTGCCTTTTTCTTGAAGAAAATAAATAAAAAATGGTAACCCTATTCTTTAAATACACTAACTTCATTTTGGTCCTTACCCCAAACTTGAGAAGTTAGAACCAATGGTTGAATGATTAAATGTATAGACTGAATACTATATTGGCAAAGAGAGGAAAGAATCAAATTAATGGCATACTTGTGAGGTAGAGGGAATCAGGGCAATGATATAATTAATACTTTACATTAGGGACAGGTTTTCGTTAATTTTCTCTTCCCTGTGCGAATAATACCAAATGAATAGGTCGGCGACCAATCGTTGGCTGTAGGACAACCAAAACTTTTTTTGTATTTTTGGACATTAAAATGGATCTTGATGATTGAGATTTATCTCGTGATTGCATTATTATGTTGCTTGGGATTAAGTCAAGATTATTATCGTGTGTTATAACTGCTCTGCTGATAGATTTAAGCTTGACAGATGGTAATCAGCAGTGGAGCTTAAACATGATCACCATCATCATTGATTGATGACTTATTCATACTATAATTTTGTAAACCTTTCAATCTCTCTCTTCACTACACCCTCTCTTATCTATTCATTGTTGTTTATGTTAAACAGTAGTAGTAGTAATATTTAAAGATATATAAATAATAACAATGAATAGATCAACTTCTACAACAACACTTGCATCATCAAATATGATCAATTTACAACATAGAATCTTGGAGGAAACTTGGGGAGGAGGAAGTAGATTCACTCTTTCAAAGTATAGTTGTGGAAGATGGAGGTTGGATTTGGCATTGGTGTGCAAGGATTGGTTTGAATACATTAGAGACCAATTTGTAATTCAACATGTAACATTGATTCAATCAGAGCCATCGGCAACATCACAGCTACGTTTTCACAAGCAATACAGTTTGTTGAAAGAACCAACCATCTCAAAGATATCGATACACACCTCTACACTAATCATTACACTCCAATCACAAAACAATAAAGTAAAGAAATACTTTTACTATAATGGTGATTATTATTCAGATGATGAAGACTCCAACAACAACAATCTCAACTCTTCTACCAACGGTACAACAAAAAATAATAATAATAATAATAGTTTAACAAAGAGTAATAATAGTATCAATAATAATTCTACAAATTATATTGTATTTGAATTATTGAAATTATGGAATCATTTAAAGTTGAAAAAGAGAGATAATGACTTGCTTATTCAGTACCCGTGTCGTGTGGATGGTCCGTATGTCAATGACTTTCTCAAAAAGTATCCTAGTCAACACATCAAGTTTTCGTTTATGGGCCAGCAACCTCTGTTCAAGTGTGACTGCCATGCAAGTGAATTCAAGATTACTCAGCCACTCGACACGATAGTCAAGCTGCGTGTGGTGCACACGTCTGACGGATGCTTCAAGGAGAGTCATGTCTATGACCAGGATGGAGTCATTCAAGAGCTGACTATTGACGACGAATGTGATCCAGTCATTGTATTGGAGCGATTTGCTAATTTGTATACTTTGGATTTGGTTCCTTTTGGAGACAGGTTCCCAGAGTATTGGACACGAGACTTTTTGTCAACATGTGTTGCACAACCAGGTAGAATATCATTACACAAGGATGCAATAGCACTTGAAGAGTCGGCACTTGAATCAATGGACCTCCAACACTTAATACTCCAACAACACTCTTCAAATCGTGCAACGACTCTTGAATTGGAGCCAATCATATCGATGGGTCTAGAAGAGATTACTATACGATATGACGGTGACCCGTTCTATGACGAAGTTTTATTTGATACTATCAAGCAGTCTCCCAGTATCACTAGACTATCAATTAAAATCAATCAACCACTCCACTCTAAACAACATTCATCCTACATCAAATCGATCTTTCAAAACATTGGATCATCGTTGACACATCTCTCACATTTAGAGATATCGTTTAGTACAAATTGTGATCTCACTCTACTCGACCAATTCAACCATACCATACATTCCTCCATCTCTGCTCACCCATCAATTGAATCATTTTTAATTCAACATTCTTTTAAACATTATGTTGGTGGCAGTCAACAAAATAACCACCACGATGATCATGATGATTATTATAATCATATTAACAACAAACAAGTAGAACAACAACAACAAGAATCTACTACATCCCTTCTTTCAAACTATCATACTTGGAATCAATGGAGACAAAAGGTTGATACCTACGGATACAAATATCACATCAATAATTTATTTGGTATTAAAAAAATATACAATTAAATTAAACAAATTTTTGTACTATTACTTTACATTACATATTGTTGTACTATAGAAAACAAACACATTATCAACCAATCAATTTGAATCAAGAACAATAAACTATTAAAATAATGATTTTGGTTCTTCAGGCTTTTTTTAAAAGTAAATTTTTGAGAACTACACCCTAAACTTGTTTTGTTAAGTTTTGGTCTCTTAACAATCATCTTTAAATAAGAAGTTGTGTTGACTACTTTTATTTATTATTAGTATTATTTGTTTATAAATTATTTATTATTTATTATTTTTTGAAAAAATGAAAGTAAAAGTTGGATCGATACCATTAATTCATTCCAATAGATACAGATATGAAAAGATTAAAGATAGTTTGGTTTTAAATGAAAATGTACGACCAGACGAACCACTTCAATTTGTAGTAAACCAAGATGCTCTAAAGATTTTACAATCAATCGACAAACCATTAGCTGTCATTAGTATTAATGGTATGTCAAGAACTGGTAAATCATTGGTTGCTGGTCGGTTCTTTGGTCGACAATCTCAAGTATTTCCTGTATCGAATCAAAGCGAAGCATGTACACACGGTATATGGATGTCGACTGAAGTGATTGACCGTGGCAGTCATGCAGTGTTGTTACTTGACGCAGAGGGAATGAACCATGTTTCATCATCACACAACTCTGACAATGCAATCTTTCTCCTCTCAATGTTGCTCAGTTCTACATTCATCTACAACTCTAAGAATCTAACCACTGCTTCAGATATCGATCAAATCTCTGTCGTTTGCAAACTCAATCAATCATTCAAAATCAAGGTCAACGAGACTATCAATAGTCCCTCTGAAATGACAGATCATCTACCCAACTTTTGTTGGCTCATCAGAGACTTTTATTTGAATCCAACAGTCGATGGAAGATCTGTTACTCTTGGTCAATACATTATCAACAATGTACTGACTTTTACCGATAAATTTGAACCGACTCCAGAAGAAAAGAAGAAAAATGATCTTAGTCGAATGATCCTTCGTACATTCAAGTCATTCAAACCATACTCTCTTCCACACATTGATCATAATGGTTTCGATCAAGAGTTGGACATGTTTATCACTGAAATGTTAAATACCTCTAAACCAAAGAATGGTTTTAAAGATGGAACAACCATTAATGGTCCTAGTATGTTAATCAAATCAAACAAATATTTTTTAAAATCAATCTTACATTTGTACAATCTTTATTAATCCTATCTTTATCTTTCTCTTCTTTCTTTATCCATTTTATCTATAGTTTTATCTCAAATGGTTGTTGAATATACAAAGGCAATTAATCAACCAGGTGTTGTACCATCGATTGAATCAACTTGGAATAATATAGTTTCAACACAAAAAATTGAAGCTTGTCGTGTATCAACCCAAGCATATCTAGATGGAATGACCAATGCCACCAACACTGACATACCAATCGAATACGATCAACTATTCAAACTCCATGAAACCTTTTTATCAAAATCATTACAATTATTTGTTTCAAAGATTGATAATATGATTACTGATGAAATTGAAATTAATTCTTTAATTTCAAATTTTAAGGTAAATATTAATATATATAGAAATATTAATATATATATATATATATATATATATATATTTAATTTAATATTATTATTTATTTATTAATATTTCTTCTCTTTTTTCTTTTTCTCTCTTATTCTAGAATGAAATTAGTTTAAATAAAGAAATGAATGGAGAAATTGAAATTGATGGTGGATTACTTTATCAATTCATTCAAAAGAATATGGAAAAGTCTAAAAAGTATAATCAATCCATCATTGGTCCAATGTCAATCGATTTGACAAACAACTATTTTAAAAGAGCAGATGAAATTGAATTCAAGGATTTAATGGATAGATTCCAAAGAATCGAAACAATCTATAAAGAAAAGTCAAAAGGACCTGCTAGAAATCAAGTATGGAAGCTATTTTTACAAGACTTTTACAATCAAGAGCAACAATTCAAGACGATGAAGAATTATAATCAAGAATTAAAGGAAGTGAAGAAAAACATTCAAGAGAGACAAGTAAAACAAAAAGAGATGGATGACAGAACCATTGAATTGCAAGAAAACATCAAAAACAAGCAAGAAGAGAGCCAAAAAATCCTAAAGGCTACTGCTAAAGCTCAGGCTGCTGCTTTGGCAAAAATGAGCGACCAAATCAAACAACAAGCAATTGAAGGTCATCAGAAATTAAAACAACTAGAAGAGTCTAGAAACAGACATGATGCTGAAATGGTTAGACAACATCAAGAAGCACTTGGAAGAGCAATGTCTGAAATTAACTCTCTACAATCAATGGTATCTGCAAAAATTCAAAATGAAGCCATTCAACAACAACAACAGCAACAACACTACAATCCCAATCCTCATCCTAGTTTTGGTAACGGATTGGGTGGAGGACAATGTGGTGGAGGTCAATTAGGTGGATATCAAGGTGGATTTGGTGGAGATCAAGGTGGATATCAGGGTGGATCCGGCGGTGGCCTTGGTGGAGATCAAGGTGGATATCAGGGTGGATTTGGTGGAGGCCTTGGAGGTCAAGGTGGATATCAGGGTGGGGGATATGGAACTACTATGACTACTAATAGTTGTTTCTCTGGCCAAGGCAATACTATTGGTGGTCAAATGACCTTTGACAAGGGAGAAACACTTTCTGCATGTGTCTCACCCAATGCCCTTGACCTTAACTTTCAAGTACCAGGTAAATTCAGTTTTCAATTAAACAACAAAAAATAAATTAGAATTTAAATCCTTTAATTATCATTTTTATAAAATTGAAATAGAGATAAATTGATATCTTTTTATTTAAAAGATTAATTTCTCTTCAATTGGGGATTCCAAGTAATCCAATTCTGGACCTACTGGGACGATACCGAGTGGATTGATTTGTCTATGACTCTCATAGTAGTGATGCTTGATGTGGAACATGTCGACAGTTGACTTGATGTCAGAGTGTTGGTAGATACGTCTAAGATACTTGGAGATGTGTGGGTAGTCTTTGATCATTCTCTTGTTGGTCTTAAAGTGAACATAGTAGACTGGATCGAAACGAATCAAAGTGGTAAATAATCTAATATCGGCCTCTGTAAAGGTACTACCAACCAAGAATGCTTGTTTGCTCAATATTTCCTCTACCTTGTCCAAATGAATAAATAGGTTTTCAACTAAATAAGAATAATAATATAATAGGATTAGTTTGGGAATTATTATTTGTTGTTGTTTTGTTTTTATACTTACAAGCCTTATCATAACCTTCTTGACCGGAAGCAAAACCACATTTATAAACTCCATTGTTAATGTTATCATAGATCCAACTGTTGACTTCATCGATGGCTTGAGCATGTTGGTCTGGGTAAAAGGTGAGACCTGGACGCGAGGAGAACTCGTCAAATTCCTTGTTAAACATTCTAATGATTTCACTTGACTCGTTGTTGACGATTTGGTTTGTCTTTTTGTCCCACAATACTGGAACGGTGATACGACCAGAGAACTCTGGATCAGACTTGATATAGTATTCCTTGAGGAACTTGAAACCATTGACATCAGGTGTACTACCATGACGATCAGAGAAATGCCATCCTCCATTACCGAGGAAATAGTCTACAATCTCCAAATCGATGGTGCTTTCTAATCCCTTTAACTTCCTAACAATATAAGTTCGGTGTGCCCATGGACATGCTAAACTGATGATAAGCAAGTATCTACCTTGTTCAGGTGGGAATTCTCCTCCCTTTGTAATACAATGTTTAAAACTTGATTGTGGTCTATAAATATAGATAGATAGATAGATAGTAGGTATAGGTACGTTAGTTTTTGATATCTCAATGTTATCGTTTGTCTGTCTATTGTTATAAATTATATTACCTTCTAGTTTGAATATGATTTGTTGGGATATCAATGAATGTTGTTGCTGTTGACATTTTTATATTTATATTTGTATTTGTATTTATTTGTCTATCTCTATATATGTAAAATAATTTGTTTGAATGAACTACCTACTCAAATTGTGTTTATTTAAATCATCTTGCAAACCAAGCTGAAATAAGCAACACCACGGTTTCGGGAGGTCGCGAAAAAATTCGAATTGTTCCGGAAGAGAAGATCGTATAACACTCACTTCTCGACGACTTCTGTGTGTCTTGTTTATTTAGAAAATCTTTTCTTTTCTAGTAGATTATATATTCCAGAGCAGCTCAACTCTTGATTCTTGTTCTGTCATCCATTTTAATAAAAATATAATAATAATTAATAATTATCGTCTTTTACTCGCTGAGCTCTTTGAATTCAATACACTTCAAGGGTAAAAAAGGAGATACATATAATATTAATAGCTCCAAGACCCATTTCAATGAATTTTGCCTTTTTTTAAAATTTAACCGTTGTAAAATAATAATAGTAATGGCACTGCCCAACACTACAATGGAGTCGACTGATCACTTTCTACATTCTCCATTGTAACATCACAGAGAATTTAGATAAATAAATAAATATTTATTGTCATTGTAATATTAATATTAAAAGAAAACAACAAACTAGTTGTAAATATAGAGTAAGTAAAGAATTTAAATCACAATCAACCCAATGGTTAGTGTGAAATCACACACTAGAAAAAACTACCATGGTGGTAAGAGAGAGGAGTGGGTGAATCTGATTGATTGGTGTACATCTCAGACAATGATGATGAGATGATGGTTGGCGCTCAATAATAACGTTATTCAAAATGAACAATAACAACAACAACAAATTAATCATTTAAATATATATTATTCATCAACTTTATTACAAATAGCCACACATTCGTCATCATCATCATTATCATCAATCGGTCGTTTAAAAGAATATAAATTATAAAAGTTAATTAACATTTTATTTTTTAATCAATCATGACATCTACTACTAGTAGTATAACTTCACCAACTAGAACAGGAATGCAAAAATTTGGATTACAAACTGAAAAAGGAAAGGTATTACATGTTTGGAGAAATGCCGATAGATATCAAGAAGAAGGTGTCCGTATTGTAGTACACCCAACAAAGTTTAAAACTTATGATCAAGTATGTTATACAAATATATATCAATTTTTTTGATCTGATCAGATGTACTTATTAACATTTGTTGTATTCTTTTTTAGCTCAAAACAGAATTAAATGCTAAAATTAAATTGGTAACTGGATCGGTTCAAAAGTTGTATGGTATGGATAAAAAGTTGGTAAAGGGTTTGGATGATTTGGTAGATGGTGAGAATTACATTGTATGTGCTGCTGAAAAATTGGATGAATCGATTGTTGCCAAGGGCCTCGTTGGCTTGTTTGGAGGAGGAGCAAGCAAGGGAGGTGAACAAGCATCTACATCCTCTGCACCAAGTGGTCATGAAGAGACTTCTACCTCGTCGACTGCACCTCCAGCAGCTGCCTCACCCAAAAAGGCACCTGTCTCCTCTGTCACTTCACCTCCATCTGGTCCAAAGCGTTTCGAATCCTTTGAGAAATCAAAGGTTATCTGGGCGTTTAGAAACACCGATGACAATCACAAGGGCGAGCGTATCACTGTCCATCCTTCAAAATACAAAACCTATGATCAATTAAAAGAGGAACTCTCCAAACAAGTTCGTCTAGTCAATGGTGCCGTGAGAAAGGTTTACAATAGACAAGGTGTTCTTGTAAAAGGTTTGGAGGATATAGAAGATGGTGGTAATTATCTATGCTGTGCTGGAGAGGCTCTTGATCTAACTAAGCATTACAAGTTCCATGAGTAAAAAAAAAAAAAGAGAAAAGAAATACTTACTACACACATTGTAATGTAATTGACGGAATTGTAATTTAAAAAAGTAAAACAGATATATATATATACCCAACCAATTAATAATAATAATATTAAATAGATAAATAAATAAATAAATTGTAGATAGATTTGCGCAAACCTAGATCCAGAGATATATATAGTTGTAAAGTTGTAGTTGTTCCAGATGTTGATGGTTGTTGTTATATGTAAATTGTGATATTTTTACAATTTATTATTTGTTTAAAATAATAAATGATGATGTTGATGTACTAGTATATATATAAAAAAAAGATATCTTTATCCAATATTATGATTGGTTTAATCATAACCAACTGGAGCCAAATCAGAAAGAACTTCTTCTAAAACCACTTTAATCTCTGATGATGATTCGTCAGAGAGAGCACATTTTACAAAGGTGCATTTAACCTTCATTTGAACCATTTCCAAAGCACCTCTAATGACACCACAGAGAATGTTTGAATAGTATAACTTGTGTTTGAGATGTTCTGGTAATTCTACAAAATCGATAAGAGGGTTATCTTCAATGATGAGATGGAACTCTTTCTTGTCTTGATCCCATTCGCTTATTTGTGCAGTGACACCAAGAAACATTTTAAATCCAATTTTAGAGATTACTTCTGCAGTCTCTACAAAATCATTACATCTTCCAATTCCACTCTTTGCAAGAAACTCTTCAATCAATCTAACTCCAATATTATATCCCCTAAAATGAATATGAATCAATCAATCAATACAAATGCATACTCTTTCAATAACCAAACATTGAATGTTTGTTTGTCATCCGTCATCTGTCATCTGTCATCTGTCATCTTGATTGTTGTTGTACAATACATTTGTTCTAATTTAATATTAACTTGTTCAATATCTTCATAATCCTTGATTAGTTGAGTAACCAATGCCCCATATGTCAATGTAAACAGCTCTGCATTCTAGATAGTGATAGAATATATGAAACAAATGAAGTCATATGTTAGAAAGAGAGAGAGATAGTACTATCGATGATGATAAATGATCTCGACAGTCTATGACACACTACCACTGGTGTCATATCATAAGATCATATTAATATTTGCATAAGAAGTACTCACAATCTTGTCAACTTTAGAGAATACAGTCTCTCCAATCTTTTCGTATTTCTTGCTCATTTTATTATTAATAATAATAACAATCTATGAATAATGATGAGTGAAGTGGTGTGATTTGGTTGTTATTATTAAATTGATCAATTCATCGCAAGTTTGCTCTCTAATAAACTTGCATAATAATGAGGGGTAGGTTGTCAAAAATCAAATTCTTGCAAAACTATTTTTTCAAACGAAAACTGAGTCCTCCACATTATCACATGATGATTGTCTTGTCTTTTGCGCCAGTATTAACGTTGTATTCAAATAATTTATAGATAGTAAAGTCCCTCCTTTTTCTTTCTTTCTTTCTTTCCTTCCTTCCTTCTTTCAATTACTCAAAAGGCATCTCACCACACACATACACACGACCCTTCCTTCTGCAGGATTAATTGATACATATTTGGTAAAAGAAGATTCCCAATAGGACCTCTTCTGTTTGTACGATTATATAGAAAAGACGACTCACCAAACGGTTACTGCAAAAGTCATCAATCACATCACTGCCACCTCACCCAATCTGCAATCAGTAATATTAATTAATAATAAGAAGAGGAAGAAGAAGAAAACATCTGTTGTAGGCGCGCAGCTTTGAAAGATAGTAGTAATAATTATCAATACATTCAACCTAGATAGAGTTGGTAGCAATCAATCAAACAAACAAACAAACAAACTATTAGTACGCGATTTAAACCATACTCTATAGGTAAATATCACTCATGTATATACCTATACCTTCCTTCACATACCCTATCCAATCCCCCAAAACGGAATGATGAGAATCTTTGTTAGTTGGACAATGATTGATCATTGTCGCAACCGATCCACTTATTAGCAAATACACACACACTAGCAACAACAACAGCATTGTCAACAACCCTCGTCGCAAATCACAACACAAAACAGTCACACACCACACCCATTATCTTCATACTAAGAGTACTTGCAAAGTGCTTAAAATATCACAATCCAATTCAAACGAACCAATAGAGTGTGAGAGATGTGTTGCTATCTATACCTACCTTTTTTTTAAAATATTTGATTGATTTGTTTGTTATATCGGCGGTTGATTATACAATGATGGTCGCTCATATTCCCCTCCCTCCAAATCCATCTCTCTCTTTTTTTGTCGACGTTGTTCATTGCATTTCATATATATATTTAAATAATTTATCCTAACTCTAATCATTTACTATAGGATACATATATATAATACGCAGTAATAATATATTATTATACAATTTAAATTTGTGTCGGGAGATTATGTCCACCACAACAACAAATGAAACCATAAGCAATGGTAATGCTGCTAATGGTACCAATAATAATAATAATAATAATAATGCAAGATCAACATTAAAGGCAGGAGCAGCTAATTTTACGCAAAGCTGTTTGGCATTCCTTCAACGTAGTTTGACCATACGAAAATGGATAGAGACTGTGTTGGGCGAGACAATCGATGAAAAAGAGACATTGTTTGAGGCGATACGCGACGGTGTCTTGCTGTGTCGAGTGATGATGACTGTTCGTGCAGACTCTATTCCCAAGATACACACTGGAACCAAACTCAACTTTAAGATTAGAGAGAACCTACTCTTCTTTTTACAGGCACTCGAAGATGTCGGTGTTTCGCGGTACTATATCTTCCAAGTGACCGATCTCATCGACCGCAAGAACGATATCAAGGTGCTCGAGTCACTCGAAGTGTTTGGTGACCTTGTCGGCGAGATTGACAAGAGCAAGGCCATCCAACAACTACCAGAAGACCACGCAATCCCATTTAGCGATGCTGAATTGACCGAAGCCGAAAAGGTACTCAAGAAACTAAACATCTCACAGTTGAAACGTCAACCATGTACCAAGGCACTCCAACCATCTTTAAACAACAACAACAACGGTCTTTCAAATAGTACCAACAACGCCAACAAACATCGTTCACTAACTACCTCTGCCTCTGCCACCAACAAATTCATTACACCATCTTCACAACCAAGACCAAGACCTTCTTTATCTCCTGCTCAAATTAGTATGAAATCAATAATTTATTAATTATTATTTTGTTCAATCATTTAAATTAACCTTTCCTTTTACTTTCTATTTTTAGTTCAAAAAGCAAAACCATTTGAAAAGAGATGGATTAGAATTCAAGCATTGGTAAGAGGACTTTTACAACGTAAACAATTCCATCGTCGTGTTAGAAATGCAGCCTATCGACACAATATTGTAAAAGAAATACTTTCAACCGAAGAAATCTATGTAAAGAATTTGGCACATCTTTCAAAAAACTACTTTGAACCAATCCAAGAAAACGCAGCAAAATTAAATATCAAACACGAGCATCTTAAACAAATGTTTTCAAACATTGAAGTCATCAAAAACTACAACAACAAGTTCCTTGAAGACCTTAAACCAATCATTGAAAACTGGTCTCATTTCCAAAAAATTGGTCACATTTTTAGTCAATTTGTAAGAACAAAAAAGAAAAAGAAAAAGAAACAAAGAAATACAGATAACTAACTTTAATTAATTTATTTCAATAGATTCTATTATTAAAAGTTTATACTCAATACGTTAAAGAATATACACAATCTTATGAAATACTCAACAACAATAGAAAGAATAATTCGAAATTTGAATCATTTATCGCTGAAAAGGAAGCAATCGATGGAAAATCAATCAATGATTATTTGATTTTACCTGTACAAAGAATTCCAAGATATACTTTATTATTGGCTGTATGTATCAAGATAAAGAGAGAGAAAATGAAATATATATTTATTTATTTAATGATTTATGATTTATTTAGGATTTGGTTAAAAATACATGGAAAGATCACAAAGATTATAATGATTTGACAGAATCTTTAAAGACAATGCAAGAGGTTGCAACCTATGTCAATGAAAAAAAACGTGAAGCTGAAAACATTCAAAAGGTGACTGAAATCCAAAACAACTTTGTTGGCAAGTTTGAGAATTTGGCAGAACCACATCGTCGTTTTGTGTATGAAGGTAATCTCCATGTTATCAGTCCCAATGGAAAGGAGTCACCTCGAATCATATACCTCTTTAACGATGTCCTTGTAGGTACCAAACCAACTACTAGTGGTCTCGTCAAAAGAAAGGACCATCTTAAAGTAAAAGAATCGATTCGTATGAATCTTGTAACAATACGTACCAAACAAACTATTCAACAACAGCAACAACAACAACAACAACAACAAACTAAACCAACCGATTCACCATTATCTAATAGTCAAGATAAATCTACCACTCCTACTACCACAACCACGACCACTCCAACAACTACTACTTCTACACCAACTAATAACTTTGTAACAGCCAAACCAACAGTTTCAACAAGCGCCAAACCTCCTGCTTCAGGTGCAACACCACCATATAACAAGCCAGCACCACCAAAACCACCTCCACGTTCAGCTAGCAATACGGGTGTAGTCATTCCAGGTGGCAGTCAACCTCCATCTCCATCGGGAGCAAGCAATTTTAAACCAGCCAATCACAACTCTTCTGCACAAACTCAACAATACTTGAGACAATCGGCGCCACCATCTACCACCAGTTCTTCGCATCCACCATTGACCTCATCGGATCCAGGTCAAAGAAATCGTACATCTACCAACTCTCCAGCTGGTATTGCTCCATTACCAAAACCACGTACCATCACTACTTCCAACAATACACCACCTCTATCGTCAACTACGCCAACAAACAACAACAATACTAACAACTCTCAACAACAAACTGTAACACCACCACCACCACAATCAACGAGCGACTCAACACCTTCAACATCAACATCATCAACATCAACCAATGATATGATCATTGAACTATGTGATTCATTTGGCACATGTATTTTAAAGATTCTATGTAATAGTGTCAAGGAAAAGGATTGTTGGGTTAATGAATTCAAAAAGGTAAAGGAGGATTTGGAAAATAGAAAGATTGTAAATGAAGAAGCAATGAAAAGATCACAAGAGCGTGCAGGTATTGCAAAGGCTGCTCTTAGTCAACAATATGCCACCCTTCGAATCAAGGGTCGTCTCTATGGACAGTCAGACATCAAGTCGGCACTAGAAGATGGTAGTGATTCTCCTGCTGGATCGTCATCGCCTTCTACTGGATCTTCTTCACCAAATGGTGTTGGTGCTGCCACTACAGGTGACCGTGACTTTTCCATTCTCAGAAGACAAACCATGCGTCGTTCACAGGTGGGTGCTGGAGCCGATAGTCCTCTCTCACAATCACCATCTTCCACTCCGACCTCGATTGGCTCTGTATCACCCAAAAACAGCAAAGAGGATCTAACTGACAACAGTGGCGATGACAACTCGACCAAATCAAAGTCTCGTTGGTTTGCATCACTTCGTAGCAAAAAGAAGAAACCATCCTCTTCTACTCTTATCCAGGATGCCTTTTCACAACCTTTAGATCCATTGTCATTATCAACAAATGGCAATGGTAACAACAAATCGGCAGATGATCATGAAGAACATCACAATAATACCACTGTAATTGTAAAAGAGGATGAAAATAATAATATTAATACTAATAACCAGCCAACCACCACTACTGTTGTTGTAAAAGAAAAATAATAATAATCCCCAGCCATATATATACAATAAAATTAATTTAAAAAATTAAAATAACTTTTTATTATTATTTAGGATTATTATTTGTTGTTGTTTTGAGATATTATATTTTACAAAAAATATATACATGATTTATAATTAATTATTATTTTTACTACTTGGATGATGGAATGAAAGATTCCATCATTTGATACTGATTTGAATTGATTTTAAATATTATTACTATTTTAATAATTTGAATTTGGAAAATTTACAAGGTTTGTTGGTTTGTGTTTGGAGGAGAATATTATTACTTATTTAAATTAAAGATTATTATCTAACAATCATAACTGAGCAATGTGACATTTGTAAAACTTGGGATGATACACTTCCCAATAATAATCTTTTGATACTACCCATTCCTCTTGATCCCATTACAACACAATCAACTTGGAATTTATCAGCAACTGATGTAATCGATTCAGATATATCTTCAGATCCTACTAATAAATATTTTGTTTCCTAATGAAAAGAATGAATCATATTAATATTATTATTTGTAAATACAATTTCTCTTGTCATTCATTTCATACTTGAGTTGGAATTGGTTGTTCTTTAAAATAATGTAATTCTTTTACAGCCATATCTCTCTTTTTGTTTGAATTTTTAATTTGTTGGATAGTGTCTTCGGTGGTATCAACGAGGTCAGGAACACCTGATATCATTTCAATGACCATTTTAGAGAGCGTATATTTACTTGGCGAACATTGTGAATTGTCTATTGGTAGTGGTGGGAATACTGATAAAAATATCAAAGTGTCCTCTTCACCTGTCATAGAGATAGCCTTTGAAGCGGCTAGTCGACTTGAATGCGATCCGTCTACACAAACCAAATATTTCATTTTCTTCTTCTAATATATTTTAATAAATTGGTTGGTGAATGTTAACTTTAACTTATGATTTCTTATTCTTGATATTTGATTTATAAACTGGTATGTGTCTGTCTATTAATATTAATATAGTGTACTATTAAGTCGTGACTATAAATGTCTGTCTGTATGTGGATAGCTATGAAAACACTATTTCTTTGGCTATGCCTAATTAATTGAAAAAAAACAATAAAAATAATAATTATTCAAACTTTGAAAATCGAAGTTTTGACAAATTTGAAAGGATTGGAGAACAACAATTAAAATCAGCAGTACCAGCAGCTTTTATTAAAAATTTAAGAAGGTAAGCAATCCATGATAAATAATAATATTATTATTTATATTGGTTGTCGATGTTTGATGGTAGTTGGTGGTATTATCTGTATCAACTAACCTCCTACCTTGGATAAGATGATCATCTCCATAAAAACAATAAATGAATGTAATGTGGTTGGGGGGGGTTGATGAAGAATGAAACCACCACACTGTTTCTCTCAATGGCGAGCGGATATTGCAATGCGCAGCTGTCATACCCTTCTTGATGGTATCCTCCTCATTTGAAAATGAGAGCGTACGTGCTTTGAGATAAAAAGCGGATAGAAGAATGCATGAATGGGTTCACAACCCCTACAAAAAATTGGTTGTTCATCCATCCTTTCTTCATAGGTCTGAATAGTAAAACCTGTTTATATTCTAAATAAATATATAGAGTGAAAAGATCATCCATTCGTTTCATTTCTCCTTGAGGATAGGATGATTAGGGTCTATTAATTTTTATAAATTATTTTTTAAAGTATTGATTTTAGAATAATAGATTATTATAATGAAAACGAATTTTATAAATACAGTGTGTCGTACAACTAAAATATGAATTCTTCTATTTAGGACAACTCTAAAGGTAGGCAGGTATATTTCAAATATATCAACTATTAATAATAATTTAAAATCATTTCTTAATTATTGATTTACATGACAAGAAACAATGAAAGACTGAAACTATGGTAGTAGTGGCCCATTAGTATTAGTAATAAGAGTAGTATTCCAGTAACGCTCTCCAACTTTCATCAAAATTAACTCAACAATACAAGAATTTAATAGTGAATACATTTATATGGTCATCAAGACTATCTAATAGTAGAGTAAATTATGCCCTTTCCTCACCACAACCAATTCCCCAGGCATTGGGATATGGATACTTCTCTCCTCAAAACCCTTTTATTGGTAACAATATTACCATGACCTTTGAAAGTCGTACAGCTGCCGAAAACATTGTAGTTCTTTTCAATCGTAATGAACACATTCCAAGTAAGTAAACACAAGTGAAAAATATTTGTTTCTATATATTTATATATATTGATGTTTAAATTCTTTTTTTTGATATTTAAAGTATATAATATTAGATTTCAAGGAGCTATTTGTAGCATTGAAATCCAATTATGTAACCATCAAGATCTACAATTCAGATCTTTTATTTCTACAACTTCAACAACTTCAACGACGAGTCCAACAACTTGAACAACAAATCCAATGAATGATAATATCAGATTTTCATTTGAAAAAACAATGGTAGTGATATGTCATAATATCTCTAACTATATATATTACCAATTAATTAAAACTGATAGAATTGGTAACTGACCAAAATAATTATTAGATTTCCACAACTCGTCCAATCCATTAAACGAAATAATATACCCTCTCTTTCTTTTGGGTGTTACAACTATTTATCCGATCTGATTTCAGATTGGATTTATTTCATTCATTATTGTTGTTGTTGTTGTGAAGAAACAGTTGCAGCAGTGATAATCATACGAACATGAGGAATTTCACACTCATAAAAGATTGGTATAGATTGATCAGTTTCGAAACCAAGCTTTTGGTAAAACTTTTCAACGTATTGTTGTGCATTGATAATATATAATGGGTAGTTTTTGTCTTTGGTTTCTTTGTAAACTTGTTTGATTGTACGCTTGACTAGTTCTCCTCCATGACTATAAAAAACAGGTAAGCAAAGTTGGAAATACCATTCACTCAATATAAATCTACATACTTTTTTCCTCTATGATTTTGTGGTACAGCGAATCTCTCTAGTTTAAGAACATGTGTATCCAATTTACCTTCATAATCTGGATAATATATTTGTCTAGATCTGGCACATCCAACAGCTTCTCCATTGACTCTTAATAAATAGTGAGTTGCCTTTTCATCATATTCATCCCATTCTTCATCTAGAATCAAATAATAATAATTATATATTTGTTATTATCATTCACGCATTATGTGTTAGTTCCATACATACCTTCAGGACACTTTTGCTCAACAACAAAAACATCGTATCTAATCTTTTTAATTTCTTTACTTGAATGAGAGAGAGAGAAAGAAGGTAGTGGTATAAATATATTTTGAAGTTGGATAGAATTGAATATTGAAATTGAATTGAATTGACTACTACCTTGATCAAGTAGCTTGTTGTACAGGTGTTGATTCATTCATTCATTCAATCAATCAATCAATCAATCAATCAATCAATCAATCAATCAATCAATCAATCATTTAATACGTTACAATTCTTCACTTCCAAATGAGGTAGCAATAAGCTCTACAGAGTTGGTAATAGTTGCTGTAAAGTCAGGGTTGGTAATGGTAAAGTCAGACATGTCTTCTTCTTCTTCTTAATCTAGTAATAATTGTACGAAATAGGTAATAGAGAGATTGAGAGATTGATTATTGATGATGATGATGCAGTGTGCGGTGGTGTGAATAGGGGGTGAGTGGTAGTTGATCTTTGACTATGAAGATTGTTGTGTGACTGGTCAAAGTAACGTCTCTGACAGACACAGAAGAGATGACGACAAAAAATAAAAATCGTGACTTTTTCAAGGTGGGCTTCAGATGATGGCCCAATCGTATGGTCCATAGGGGTTCATTAGGCCACCTGCAATGAATCGAAATATTAAATTGAGTTTTTACTTTAATATTCCTATTTAGGAAATTCATATAAAATAATGATTATCAAAAATCAACAACAACAACATCGTAGTAATTTGAATTGAATTACTACCTATTTGAAATTAATATTAATAAATATTAAAATATTGAAAAAGAACTAGAAGAAGAATAAGAAGAACAACTTTCGTTTTTTAGGTTTCATTTCATCATCTTCCATCATCATCAACAACAAAAACACAAATCGCAATCTCAAAATATTTATTTATTTATTTAATTAATTAATTATTTGTAAATACCACAACAAACATATCTTCGATTTTAATTAAATTAATTCTCAGACCAACCATCAAAAATATTTAATTAATTAATAATTAATAGATTACATTTTTGTCATCAATATCATTCATCTGTACATAAATATTTAATTAAAGGAGAAAAGAAATTAACAATACAAAACTCACTGGAATTATAATCTGTATAAAACACTCGAGTCACATAGTAAAAATAATAATTCCTATTTTCTTAAATGTAAGTTTAACACCAACCATTGCTACCCACATTTTAATCAATAAGATATCATCACCAACACCAACACCACCACAACACAACAAATAATTCTCTCAAGATAGTTAAATTTCCAAAGGATAGGGTGGATAAGACAGAGATAGATGGGTAGTGAGTGAGTGATTCATGATATTGTTGTACCATGATAGTATTATCCATCTTTATCCACTATCACACAAAATGGAATTGATTAGTCGATTCATCACATTCCATTCCATTTCACTCTTTTTATTGATTCACGATCATTCAAGTGGTCTGGTAAATCATTTTTCACTCCTTTTTTCTGTCGACTTCTTTCGATCACATGATCATTTTATTGTTGTCATTGTCATTCACACACACACAAACACACAATAATGTTCTAGAGTTCTATCATCATCATCATCATCATAATCATATATGATGGATTGTCCATCATCCCATGTCATCAAAACTTTAAACGACACCCTCAATCTCTTTGATTATCTTGTCCACCACACTACCTACCATACACCTATTACATGGCATCGATGCAATCCGATGGATGGGTGGATGGATGAATGGACAGAGCAGAGAAATGCAAAATCAGTCGACTCTCTCCAACCCCACTCACTACACTATAGTGATATGCAATAGTGTGGGGGGTGGTTGCTTTCAACAGATATTTTAAATGATCTGTTGTTGTTGCAAAGATTATATAGCCGGTCAATGTTTTCATTGGAGGATATCATCTTAAAGTAATAGTTTGTTGTGGTTGTGGTTGTGGTGTGGAGTGGTAGAGTTGGTGACGACAATATTCATGTGCAACACTGAATCCGGAATCAATAATGTCCCCGCTACTAGTACCTACCTACCTACCTACCTACCTACACCTTCCCTCACAACCAACACAATGAAACAGGAGAGAGAGAGAGAGAGGACAAGTTAGAGTTTACATCATCACAATAAATTAATATTTATACATCCATCCTTTGCATGGTGATTAATCATCCACCCCCCACATCAACACATCCTCTTCTTCCTCCTCCTCCTCCTCCACAACACAACTATATGAAGCTTCATTTCTAAGTTCTTCATTTCCATTATTATCATATTTATTTTTCAACAAAACTAAATTTATTTATTCTCATTTATTCATTTTCCTTTTTCAGAATATACAATCACAATCAGTCAATCACAATCAATCAATCAATCAAATAATCACAATCACAATCGAAAAAAAAAGGAATATTATTTATTAATTAATTAATTAATTTTTTCACTGTCTCCCCTCCGCATTACAGTACCTCCTACCTCCTACCCCTCCTCCTCCCTCAGTCAGCTGCATTAAAATATTATTACTAGTAAATCAAAAAGTTTGTATTTATCCCAATACTATCAACAAAATACAATAATCGATTAATTATTATTATTATTATTATTGTTCCAATTTACTAACAACCGTCCATCATCACAATCAAAAAAATTTGTAACCCAAAGGTTTGATATTTTATTCTCCTAAAGAACCATCATCATATTTTTGTTCACCAGCATCCATCAAACAAACAATCAATCAAGTAACCAGCCAACCAATCAAACCGTACGACGATCACCATCAAAGTAAAAGGGCAATCAAGCACAGACCATCATCAATATCATCCCCTACCATCAATCAAAAATCAAGTTCAGCGTGATCAGAAAACTCGGAAACAAATAGTCAGAAATAATCAGCAATTGTTCGCAACCCCCCTAGTATCCATCAAAATTCATTTATTATTCCAACCACCCCTTTCTTTCAGTCGTCAACCACCACCCGCTTTTTCCATCCCCCCAATCCATCCATCCATATATATTCACCCTCACCCACCGTCCCACTTGCGTGCAGTGATTAAACACGCGCGTGTCCAATCATCATCACATATCGATATTCAATTTTAATCATCAATCTGCATCACCGAAAACCATAATCAGCAGTCCCAAAAACCTACTTATCCATCATCATCATCACCATCAACAATCAGTGCACCAACAACCATCATCATCATCATCAGAAAATCAGTAAATAATTATGATAGATGAAAATACATTGTCGTCCCCTGCCGATAGCAGTAATTATGACAATTGCTCATCAACAGCATCAACTGCATCGTCTCCCTGTTCTTCCATGTCTTGCTCGGAAACTGGAGTTGTTGATCAACCCCCCATCATTACCATTGCAAACACAAACAACAACAGTGGTGGTAATAGTGTTAGTGGTAGTAGTAGTAGCAGTAGACGCTATGGTGATTCCAATCAGATATCTGAATCATCTCATATTACAACAAAAATCAGCAATATCAGTCACACCCCCCGTCCATCGTCCCCCCCAACCGAGACACCAGTATATTTCGATATGACCAATAAAAACAATTGTGTCGACAATCCATCTACAACTTCCAACACCACCCACCACAACCACTCTAACCACCACTCCAACAACAGCAGTAATTCTTCCTCTCCCTCTTCTTCTTCTTCTCCATGCTCCCCCTCATCTACCACCAATCTTATTCCCACGATTAGTAATTCTTCCTCGACGACTACTTCTACAACCAGTAATAATATTAATAATAATAATAATAACAATATCACCACCACTACTACCATCAACAACAACAACAACAACAAATACCCAACATCAAATCATAATCATAATCATAAAAATATCGTCCAACAACAACAACAACAACAAAATAATTCCAGTATCAAATCTAATAGTTTAATGAAATTACCTTTAGATTTGACTTTTGATCCAGCAGAAATTGACTACAAAATAGCCAGCAACATCAAAGGTTACACTAATACTCAACAACAACAACAACAACAACAACAACAACCACATCAACCATCTAATAATTCCATTTTCGATCATCAACATCATCAACATCCATTCCAATCCCCAGATATTCACAATAGAGGCAAAAATAATAATAATAATAATAATAATAATCTCCCAGGCATCGACTCGTTAGATATTCCATCCAACACCAATATTCATCCAAATATTAATCGTCCGAAATCCCCATTGTTGTTTCAAAATTATCATCATCATTCACAATCAAAGTTACCATCTCTGATTCATCCATCCACTTCTTCAAATAATAATATTAATAATAATAATAATAATTCCATCATCGACTTGGTTCAAAAACAACAACCACAACAACAACAACAACAACAACATCAACAACCATTTAATCATCAACAACAACAAAGATTTTATATCGAATCTCAAAAAGTGGCACCAACAGATAGAGTTTGTGAATTTTGTGGTTGTACAACCACACCAACTTGGCGTAGAGGACCAAGTGGTAAAGGATCACTTTGCAATGCATGTGGTATTAAATGGAGATTAAAGGGTAAGGACTCGACCGGAGCCAGTATTCCAAAAAAGCCAAAGGTCCCATCCCAACCAAAAGTTCCATCTGGTTCATCTATGGCATCAATGAAAGTTCCACAACAGTCTGTTGGCAATAACAATAATAATAACAATAACAATAATAATAATAATGCAACAATGACTCATATTCATCCAATGAACAAAAAACCACTCACTCATAATTTATTCCAACATCAACCAATGATGATGAATCATAATAATAACCAATCGATATCCTCCTCCTCCTCCAACTCATCTTCTTCACAATTACCCAAGCCATTAATGTCTTCAATGTCTTCACAACATATCCCACAACATATCCCACAACACCAACACCAACAACAAATGTCTGGTAATCAACTCCCATTACCATTCCGACCACCAACTCCAACCTCTTCACAACAACAACAATCATCGTCATCATCATCACTTTCAATGCACAATGCATTGGCACTTATCGGCGCTAGCAAGTCCAGTCTTGGCCATCCAATGTCCAATCCACAGCCATTCCACTCGATGCCTTTTCAGAATGACCTCTCCACCACTGTTCCACTTGGTAACAACCAACAACAACAAGATGATATCTACAAGAAAAAGAGAAAGAATATCCTTCAACACTCGAGTAGTTCCGATTCATTGATTGATGAAAAGGGATATTTCTGCAAATACTGTAACAAGCATTGGCCACTCTCATCCTTTAAAAATAGTCAACAATTTGGTGCTCATTGCAGTAATTGTTCAAGAAAACCAAAATCTGAAAGTATGTTGTTGAAAATAACACAAACAAACAAACAAAATATTATTATTTATTAAATATTTACTAACATATTATTTATGTTTTCTTTCAATTAGTGGAATCATTTTTAACAGGATTAAAAAAGAAATTTAAAAAGAGAAATGATCAAGGTATCTATGGTGATGATGATGGAGCAGTCCCAAGTCTTTGGGATGGTAGTTATATGGGTAACGCCAATACCTCCAACTCTACTCACAGACAAAAGGCTCCAACTTCAAACAACCCTCTATTAAACAGATTAATTAATATTGTTGAAAATCAATTAATTGAACCAAATGAATTAACTATTATTAAAGATGAAGTAGAGGTATGTAATATAAATATTATAATATAAATAATATAATAAGGATTATTTATTAATTTAATTATTTCTTTTATTTTTTAGACAATGAAAATAGATTTATTATCAAGAAAGAAAAGAAGAGTTGATCAATTGAATGGAGCAAGAGTATCTGTGAACCAAGAACTAAAAGAGATGAAAAACAATATCGATGGAAGTTTGAGAAAACAAGAACAAAAGAAAAATGATTTTATCGATGAATTAAAGTATGAGATTGACCAAAGAATCAGAGAACGTGAAGCCCTCTTCTATGGTGACACTCTGGCTCATACCGTTCCCATTCCACAGTCTCCCAATCTTATGAGAGAACCTCTTAGTCCCGAGTTGATCAATTCCCCACTCATCTCATTCTCAAGAGAACCATCGCACACTAAAATCGTCGCTACCATGACCCCTAAAGATGAATCTTCCAAAGTTCAACCTTTCCGACTTGATGTTACTTCAACTTAAACAAAAAAATTAAAAAACAAACAAAAATAATAATAATAATAACCCTTCACCTTTAAAAATTAAATAAATATAAATATAAATTATTAATATAACTCCATACATAATATATATACTATATACTAGTACACATGTTCCAGGTTTAGAAAATCTTATCATGTTTGTCTCCCGCGTCTTTTTTTTTTTTTTTTGGTTGAACAAAAAAAAGTGCTAAGTTCGAATTTCCCTCCAACTTTCAATAATTATCTCAAGTAGACTTGTGTTTGTGTGTTTGTGTGTATATATATTTATATATCTATCTATCAATCAAGACTATATATATAGTAGTATGGATGATATATTCGAATTTGGAGAAGATTTAAATGGAGTCAGAGAAGACGAGTTTGACGATGATCATATACCGAGTTCACCGGTTGGCAGTACGGGAGAGGCAGATGTAGAGGATGATACAGACTATCTGTTCTTGGATGACGATCAACAGGCATCGTCAGAAGGTGAAGGTGATGATTTGATGGATGAAGGATTGGCAGAGGAAGATGAAAAGGATGCAGAAGCAAATACACAAGACGATGCCTACGAAGCTGAAGGTCTCGATGAACAAGCCTACAAACCAATGGCTGCAGAGGAAAGAAGAAAGGTAGACACATTGCTCAAGAAGCGTGATCGTAAAGAACAACGATTCAACAATCAAACACAAAGCAATCGTTTCCGTACTCCAATGGCATTGATCGATGACGACGAAGACGATGACGATGAACAAGACGATGAAGCACGTCGTGAAAAGGCTCGTGCTAGACGTCTCAAAAAACGTAAAGCAAACATTAAACGTGAAGCTGAAGATATGGATGAAGTTGATGATTTAAATAATATCAATCCTGATATTAAAAAGGAAATGTCTGATGATAGTGATGATGTATGTGTACAAACAAAAAAGACAAAAAATGAATAAGAAATATTTATATTTATATGATTAATTAATTATTGTTATATTAAATGTTTAGGATGAAGAGATTATAAATTTAATGGATCAAAAAGGATCATTAAGAGAATACTTGGCAATGGATGCAACAAGAAGAGCAGTTGCTAAACTATTCCAAACGTTTTTGTTGACTTTTGCCAGTGCCAAGGGTAAACAGATCTATGTTGAACGTATTCAAACAATGTGTGCCAAGAATGAACAGAGTCTATTGGTCAATTTCACGCATCTCGGCAAACTACCATTCTTTACATGGGTGACGGATGCACCGACGGAAATGTTGGAAATATTCGATGAGACTGCCCTCAAGGTTGTTTTTACAATGTTTCCATCCTATAGAAATATTCACAAGGCTATTCATGTGCGTCTGACACACTGTCCCTTTGTAGATACACTACGTCACATTCGTCAATCGGATCTCAATTGTTTGGTCAAAGTTAGTGGTGTTGTCACACGTCGTAGTAGTGTCTATCCTCAACTCAAATTTATTAAATTTGATTGTATCAAGTGTAACCACGTACTTGGACCATACTATCAAGATGGAAACACAGAGATTAAAATCGGTCTCTGTCCACAGTGTCAATCCAAAGGTCCATTTGTCATCAACAATGACCAAACCATCTATCGCGACTATCAAAAAATCACTCTTCAAGAAAGTCCTGGTACTGTTCCTCCAGGTCGTCTTCCACGTACCAAAGATGTTATCTTATTAGTTGATTTAATTGATACTGTTCGTCCTGGTGAAGAAATTGTTTGTCTCAATCCAAAATCAAATAATTTAAAATAATTATTTATTTACTCTATTTCTTTTTATTTGTAGGAAGTAACAGGTATATATAAACATAATTTTGATGCAAAATTAAATCATCAACATGGATTTCCAGTATTTGCAACGATTATTGAAGCAAACTATTTAAACAAAAGAGAAGATTTATTGGCAGCATTTGTCATGACTGAAGACGATGAAAAGGAGATTAGAAAACTATCCAAAGACGAAAACATTGTACAGAAAATAGTTCAATCGGTGGCACCATCCATCTTTGGACACGAAGACATTAAAATTGCACTCGCACTCGCACTCTTTGGAGGTATGGCTAAAAATATCAACAACAAACATCGTATCAGAGGTGATATCAACGTGTTGCTTCTCGGTGACCCGGGTACTGCCAAGAGTCAGTTCCTCAAGTATGTCGAAAAGACTGCCCATCGTGCCGTCTATACCACCGGTCAAGGTGCCTCTGCCGTAGGTCTTACTGCCGCCGTCCGTATGGACTCACTCACCAAAGAATGGACACTTGAAGGTGGTGCGTTGGTACTCGCCGATCGTGGTGTATGTATGATTGACGAGTTTGACAAGATGAATGACAAGGATCGTACTTCGATTCACGAAGCCATGGAACAACAAAGTATCTCCATTTCAAAGGCCGGTATTGTAACTACCCTCACTGCTAGATGTTCAGTCATCGCAGCAGCTAATCCAAAAAAAGGTCGTTATGATCCAGGTCTAAATTTAATTCAAAATGTTGATCTTACTGAACCTATTTTATCTCGTTTTGGTAAGAGAGAGAAATGAAATACATAAACAAAAAAATCAAATCATATAATATATTAATCAATCCTTTTTCTATCCTATTTTTTTTTAGATATTATTTGTGTTGTTAAAGATACTGTTGATTCAATTCATGACAGTAAATTGGCAAACTTTGTAGTACATAGTCATATCAGATCACATCCATCCAATGTAAATAATGTACAACATAACTACCAAACCAATGCGACTGAACAATCGCCAATACCACAGGATCTACTCCGCAAGTATATTCTCTATGCCAAGCAACGTGTCAAACCACGTATCAATGATATCGATAGAGCCAAGATATCACAACTCTACGCCGAGATGAGAAGAGAGTCAAAGAGTGGTGGTTATGCCATGACTATTCGTCATGTCGAATCGATGGTTAGAATGGCAGAAGCACATGCCAAGATGCATCTACGTGACTATGTCCGTGACGAAGATGTAAATATGGCCATCAGAGTCATGTTGGACAGTTTTATTGGCTCTCAAAAAATGTCTAGTACCAAAACACTACGTAACAACTTTTCCAAATATATTACATATCGTCGTGATACCAACGAACTCTTATCTTACTCTCTCCGTTCAATTGCTCGTACCATCTCGGATTTCCAAGTCATCCGAAAAGGTGCTGTTCCAAATGTTATAGAAATTTTTCAAGATGAATTTGAAGCAAAGGTAAATAGATATATAGATATCAGAGTTTATCCATTCATCATCATATTTACAATACTTTTTATTTATTCAATTTATTTAGGGAAGAGAAATGGGTATCAATGATTTTGATCAATTCTACAAATCAAAGGAATTTTTAACTGATTTCCGTCTTGAAAAGTCTACCATTTATTATGATAGAACTCTTAAAAGTATTGATACTAACAATAACAATAATAATAACACTAATCCAAATAATACCAATAATCCAAATAATAATAATAATAATCGTTCCAAAAAAAGTAACTAATTTTAGGAAATAAATATAGGCACACTACACTCTTTCATTCATTATTGATTATTACAAAACTTAAACTTTCACCATTCTTTGTTATGTTTGACTTAATGCAAACCACCTTAATAATTATTAAGAATAAACAAAAAGGATTGATCTTATTGAAATTCTAAAGAAAACAAAAATATAACGTCTGTTGACTCTATCTATCTATCTTTTCTTTTAATGAATTGATTGTGAGTGAGTGTTACTAAAAAAAGAGGGGCAGCACAAACTATGAGAGGTGGGGGGCACAAGACACTTGATGAAATAAAAACCCTGACCCGAGTAATTTTATATTAAAATGTTTTTATTATGGTAATTTGCCAATTTAGAAATAAAAGAATGATAAAAAGAGAGAGAGGAGAGGGCCCTACCCCATCTAATACTCATCATTGCATTAACATATTTTACACAAAATATATAAAAAAGAGTACTCTTTCTATCTCTATCTATCTTTATCTTTCTACTCTCTCATTAATTAATTAATTTAATTTAGATTCATTATAATATAGGTAAGCACAAAAACAAAACAAACAAAAAGAAGAAAAAGAAGAAGAAGAAGCAGTTAGTTACATTTTCATTCTTTTCATCTATGTTTATTAATTTGTTGTGACAAGAGTAAAAGAAAGAAGAAGTTAGATCTATAATTATACTGACATTTTGTTCACATGACCAAAGTGTAGATTTTTAGAATAGAATATTATTTTTGGTTTTTTTTTTAATTAATTTTCAAATAATTTTGTGAAAATTACCTCGACGTTATCGAGTTCGGCTAGCTGTAGGACTCGTATCCCTTTGTTTGTACATTGTTAACACTTTTGGTTCTTACATTACTTTTCACATCCTATCCATCCCTTTAAAGGTAAGAGTATATTATCTATCTGTCTATCTTTCCTATCTGTCTGTATGTCCTATCTCTTCTTTTCTTTTTATAATATATTCAGTCAAAATCAATAATACAAATAGTACACCAAAACAACAAAATAGTAGTAGAAGTAGTAACATCAACCAATTAGTCGATATATATTATAATTAATTAATTAATTAGTTAGTCCCTAAAACTAAAGGGGATTATTGTCACAAAAAAGTGAGAAACCCGGGGTCACTGAAGGGTGTGAACAATTGTCTCATTGATTGGATTAATTAATTCCAATCACCAGTAAAAGCACCAGCAACAGTAGCAAGAAGGAGAGGAGAGGGGGTTAGGGTTATAAAATATAATATAATATATATATTGTCGATATACATATATCGATCTCTATATACATATATATCTAAACAATATAGACTACTGACAGTTTGTTTGGTCGACAACACACACACACATACACAATTCAATTAATGTGATATGATGAACATTCCAACACACGATACCACACACCACCAACCTTACCCATCCATCACTCACTCACTACCAACACCATTTCACACAATTTGTTTCATCAGCACTATAAAAAACCCATCATTTTCAAACCAGCCAGACCCAACAATACTGTTATTGTTGCTGCTGACACACACAATTAACTATTATATGAAACTAACCTATGATGACGATAATGAAGAGAATTGATTGATGATGGTGATGAGCACAGCCATGCATGGCGGCAACTACTACTACGGTGGTTGTTGAACAAAAAGTGACCAGAGAGAGAGAGAGAAGAAAAGAAAAAAAAAGGAGGATAGTCGTAGAAATAGTGCTTCACAAGCTTTTATAATAATTACCCTTTTTAGTTCTTACACCGCAACGTTTTATTGAATCAAAGGGGAACTTTTTTGAATTTCAGCATTGCTCCTAGCTCATCAGAGTGTTGTTTGTTTAAATATATATATATATTCATCATATCTCTCTATTTATTTATTTATTTATTTATTTATTCGGAAACACATTGCCAAAAAAACTCTTTTATCCATCCTTCATCCATCAATCCATATATTGATTTATTTATTTATTTAGTCTATTAACATCCCTCTTTGTATCCATCAATTAATAATAATAATAATAATAATAGTAGTAGGAGTTACTAATTTGAAAACACACCGACAAATATTAATTTAAATATAACGACGCGATTAAAAAAAAACAAGTAAAAAAAGGAGAACATAGAATAATAATATTTTTAAACAAAAGAATCATCATCATCAATATTAAAAGAACTACAACAATAACTATAATAACTATTTATGAATCAACAAAACAGGAATAATAACAATAACAATAACAAAAGCAATAGCAAAAGCAATAGCAATCAACTTTATCAATCAACTTTAAGTAGCAAACGAACACAACAACAAATACTATAATATACAACCCAAGGAATATATTATAATAGAGGATAAGATATTCATCTTCTTATTCTTCTTTGGCCAATTTTAAAAACACGGCACATATAATCAAAAATACCTTTTCACGCTTCATTATGGGGAATTGTTGTTCATACAAGAGAGGGAATGGTGATATAGAAAGCGCTGAAGATGCACAGAAAATATTGGAGGAGCTGACCAACTCGGCCCTGTCCCACCATCACCACCACCATCATCACCACCACCACCATCACCATCACCACGGAGCCGCCAAGCGCCTCTCTTCCAACATGTCCAACGAAATGAAGCCACTACACCATCACCACAGCAGCGTCGTAGGCAACATTGAAACGAGTAACAAGAGACACTCGATCAAGAGCAAGATCACCATTGCCGAAGAAGACGAATACAACCGTATTGGAGGAACCACCACCACCAACAACAGCACCACCGCAACCAATATTAGCAGTCTGTCGTTGAATAGTGCCGATACCACAACTACGGGCAGTAGTTCATCATCTTTAAATTACAAACCACAACAACAACCAACAACAGCACCACCACTTCAACTCGAAGTCATCGATAGCTCTGAACAACAACATTTTTATCCAAAGACAACCGGATTTTCACATACTCATCAAAGACAACTTTCAACTGGTATGAAATCTAAATAATTAATAATATTTATTGAATCCATTATTAATATATTATTATTTTTCCAAACAATGTAGAAAAAGTAGGAGGAAGTTTCGGACCACAATTTAAAACTCCAATTACATCAATACCACAACACATGCGCATGGAGGGTTTCCAAAGAGCCAAACACAACTCTACCTCTTCTCTTTATATCAAGAGTACCCTTTCAACTCCCGACAATGACGAAATTTTAAGATGTATGTCATGTGCTCTCCTTTATCATATCGAACGTGGAACACATAATCCTACACAAAAAACTTTTGATATATTTAGTGAAGAAAAATACCCAATTACCGTATGTATAAACATAAAGTTTAAATGTTCAAATAGTAGAACAAGATAGAATTAATATATATTATTATTTTTCTAGAAAGGAAAAGTTGAAATCAAGACAATTCCATCTGTAGATATTATTTATAAGTTTGTACGAGATATTTTCAAGGCCGAAAGAGTATGTATACAATATGACAAACAAATATCTATTTTTTTTTAAGTTTCTCTTTATTAATTTAATTGTTTTTTTAGTTGGATTCAGAATGCGCCATCATGTGTTTAGCCTATGTAGAAAGAATAATAGCATTGTCTGGAATCACCATTAATCCATCGGCTTGGAGAAGAATCGTTTTATCGGCATTGATTCTTGCCTCTAAAGTTTGGGAAGATCAATCGGTATGGAATGTAGATTTTCTCCCTGTCTTTGATAATCTGACAGCCACAGATTTAAATAATTTAGAAAGACAATTTTTATCTTTAATTCAATACAATGTTAGTCTAACTGCTTCTGTGTATGTATAAATAATAATAACAAAACAAATCTAAAACAATTTATAACATTTATTAACTTTATATTTTTCTTTTTTATTTTCTAATTTTTTAGATATGCTAAATATTATTTTGAACTACGAACATTTTCCAAATTGGATTCAAATCATTTCCCATTGAGACCATTGGATAAAATTGGTGCCAAAAGATTAGAAGATCATTCACAGGCATCGGAAAGTAGAGTTAAAACATTCAAGAGAAGCGCCAGTGTCGATCAAATCAATCCACCAGAGTTACACACTAGGGCCGTATTGAATTAAATCGATCAATGATAACAAACAACAAACAACAACAACAAAAATAGGATTCTCACAGTACACACCCCACATGTTATATATATATAATTTAAAACAAAAGAAAAGAAAAAAAAAAATAATAGTAACCTACTTGCTATAATTGTTGTACTGGATAGTAGTAGGAGAAAGCGCGGCGGGTGATTCTTTTTGGGCACACAGAAACAGGTAGTTCAAATATTGTAATAAAGTATTTTAATTATAATTCATAGATTATTGAATTAAACAAACAATCAAATTAAATATCAATCCATCAGATATTTAATTGTATTCTATTTTCCTCTTTATTTTTAAAAATAACCAAGAATGGGCACTAGTATTATCCATTTTTATTTATGATTCATTAGTTTGGTGATTCACCATCCATCCCCAAGGAAAGATTGTAAAAATTAATTAATTATTTTTATTTTTTTGACCCTTTTTTGCAACTAGTTTATTGTGTATTAGTATTAGTTTTCCCTTTTCATCTTTTTATATACATATATATACAACTACAGTGTTAGACAACGATGGTACATAAAGATCGTACATCAGAGTTTAACTCTTTTGCAGAGACGATAAGAAGGAAACAAGAACAAAGTGGACAATCACTTAAAAAGCATACACCATTTACACAACTTTCACAATTCTCTGTTACAGCTGCTCACATTAGTAAAGGAGTCTATGAAACATCTGAAAAGTTACATAAATTAACAAAATGTAAAGAATAAGAAGTGTAAAATATATATATATATATATAAATATATATGTATACCTTATATGATATTGAAACAAATATCATATTGGGTTGTGTGATCTTCATCTTCATCATCAATGTATTAACCCTATATCACTCTAAACTTATATAGTGGCAAAAAAGAATTCAATCTTTAATGATCCTTCAGCAGATATTGAACAATTGACATTTATCATTAAACAGGATATTCAAAACTTAAATAGAGAGATTACACAATTATCACAGATTTCAAAGGGTTCAAAACAAAATAAGCAAACAGGAGAACACTCTGAAACGATTGTTGGCTTTTTAAATCTTAAATTGGCAAATACTACTAAAGAGTTTAAAGATATATTGGAAGTTAGAACTGAAGTATGGAATATGATATGAAATGAAATGAATGGAAATGATGATAATGATGATGATTTTGTTTATTGACCTATAAACTTTGATTGTATTATAATTATAGAATTTAAAGACACAACAAGAAAGAAAACAAAAATTCACTTATACATATGGAACCAATAACAATGGTGGCGAAACTACCGGATTACTACAAGACACAGGTTCGTCGGGTTCATTAACATCACATGACACAAATCCAAAAACAAACGAAGTATTACGTCATCGTAATACTCATTCTAAATATGATGGTTGGAGATTATTTTGTTTCATATCTATATATATATATTTATCAACATCTATTCTATTCTATCTATTTCTATCACAATCAATCAGTCACACAATCAATCAATCAATATCATTTTTAATTATTATTATTATTGTTTTGTTGTTGTTGTTGTTGTTGTTGAATGGAATATTCTAAATTGAATCACCCTTTTTCCTCCACTTCACTTTATTCAACTTTACTATTATCACAATGAGAGATAGATTAAATTTACTGACCATCATATTTATTTATATTTTATAGATAACAATAATGCATTAGATAAATACAATAATCAACAACAACAAGATGAAAGTAATTCAGAATATTCCATAACAATGCCATCAATGTCAGTCCAACAATATGATCATTCACAATCTAGATTGCGGACAGCAGAAACGATATCATCTACCATCAATCAATTAGAAACCATTTTCCATCAATTAGCCAATTTAGTACAACAACAAGGTGAAGTTATCGAAAGAATCGATACCAACATTGACGACTCTTTAATGCATATCGACAGAGGTCACAGCTCTCTCATTAAAACACTTCAAGACCTTTCTTCCAACAGAGGACTTATTTTCAGAATATTTTTGGTTCTCATCGTTTTCATTGTCGTTTTTGTTGTATTCTTTGTATAACAGAATAAATACAATTAAAAATAACAATATTAATAATAATAATAATAAACAAATATTTGTATTTTACCTTTTTATAAATCAAAAAGATTAATAGTATCCATCCATCCGTTGGAATTTTAACCTATTCGAAAATTGTTGAAATTCAAAAAAATCGGTTCGACTCTCAAAGTTTTATTGTTTTCTTTTTATTAATGAGATAGATTACTAATTATTTATATATATACAAAGAGAGAGTGATAAAGATGTCTCTTTCATCTTTACTACCACAACCAAAACAAAACTATAAACAAGAGGAAGATCATCCTTTGTTTCAAAAGACAACAATTAATAATAACAATAATAATAATAATAATGTTAGTAACAAAAAGAGTAATATAGTTGTACCACCATACGGTAATAGAAGAGGATATCAACCAAAGAATATACAAGACTTTGGAGATGGAGGAGCATTCCCAGAGATACATATGGCACAGTACCCGTTGAATATGGGTCGCAAGAAAGCTACGACCAACGCGGGTGGCAACTTGTTGGCAGATGCAAAGAAATTGACGAGTAGAGATATAGTAACGGCAAAGGTCGATGAACAAGGGTTGATAAAGTACGACAGTGTACTCGGTATTGACAAGAGCAAGATCGTGTACTCGCAATACAAAGATTTGATACCGACACAGTTTAGTCAGACCGAGTTGGAGAGACCGACCGACGAAGACACTGAAGAGATCACCAACAAGACTAAAGAGGCACTTGAAAAGATCGTCAATCGCAAGATTGCTGTCGCGCAACCCAAAGGCTACGTGGAGAAGCAGGGTGCCATCAGCTATGTAAAATACACGCCCAGCTACCAAGCAGGCGCCACCGACGGTGAGAATCAATCGCGTGTTGTGCGTATGGTCGAGAAGGCACAGGATCCACTCGAGCCACCAAAGTTCAAGATCAGAAAAGAGGCTCATCGTCCACGCTCTCCTCCACCACCAGTCATGCACTCGCCCGAGAGAAAGCTGTCAAAGGCAGAGTTGGACGAGTGGACCATCCCTCCATGCGTCTCGAATTGGGTCAACAATGGAGGTTTCACAATCGCATTGGACAAGCGTCTCATGGCCGATGGACGTCATCTGCAACGACCAGAAATCAACGATAAATTTGCACATCTCTCACAGGCACTCTACATTGCAGAGAATCAGTCGAGAGAAGAAGTAACAGCTCGTGCCGAATTGGAAAAGAAGTTGGCTCAAAAGGACAAGGAAAGAAAACAAGATATGCTCAGAAAATTGGCTGAAGATGTTCGTAATGAACGTTCCTCTTATGGTGGTGGTGGTGGTAGCAGTGCGTCTCGTCATTCTCAACAAGATGATCAAAGCGATGATGAATTGGAAAAGATTCAAATTAAAAGAGAAATTGAAGAAGAAGAAGAAGAAGATAGACGTCCTGTTGATCGTGATGATAGAAGAGATGATAGAGGAGGAAGAGACTATCGTGATGGTGGTGGTAGAGCAGACAATCATCATAACAGAGAAGAGAACAGACATCATGATAGAGACCATCGTAGTGATGATCGTAGAAGAGATGATAGAGACCATCGTGACATTAGAAGAGATGACCATCGTAGTGATGATCGTAGAAGAGATGATAGAGACCACGATAGAAGAGACGATCATAGAGGAGGAAGAGATTACAACAATAGAGACAACAGAGACAATAGAGACAATAGAGACAACTACATTAGAAGAGATGACCGCGATCATAGAGATAGAAGAGATGATACTCGTGGTGATAGAGATAGAAGAGATGACAGAGACCATCGTGGTGGTGACCGTAGAAGAGATGAAGAAGAACAACAAGATAGACATAGAACCAATAATAGTCGAAGACAAAAGGAAGAAAGTGATGATGAAGGATCTGGAGATGAAAGTAAATTGACTGAAAAGGAAAAGAGAGATAGAGATAGAATTAGACTTGAAAAAAAGAGAGAAAGAGAAAGAGAATATCGTTTGGAAGCATCTGGAAAGAAATCCAAGATGACAAGAGACCAAGACAGAGATATCTCTGAAAAAATTGCACTTGGACAAATTACTGGTGTTCGTACCGAAGATTCACTCTTTGATCAACGTCTCTTTAATCAATCAGAGGGAATGTCGAGTGGATTCAATGGTGGTGATGATGAATCCTACAATGTATATGACAAACCTCTCTTTACCGATCGTGTTGCCAATTCAATCTATCGACCTCGTGGTGGTGCATCAATCGATGACGACGCTGAAGCATCGATAGAAGATACACTAAAGACTGCAAGATTCAAGCCACACAAAGAATTTAGTGGTACCGATGCTTCCAAGGTCAGAAGTGGCCCAGTCATGTTTGAAGTTGAAAAGAAGAAACAAAAAGAAGATGATCCATTTGGTATGGATGAATTCCTTTCACAAGCTAAAAAGGGTAAAAATAAACTAATTATAATAATAATCATTTTTTTGTTTAATACATATACATATAAATATCCATTAATCATTATTAAGAAATTATTATTTTATTTAATTTTTATGATCAAAATCATTCGTCATTCGTTCGTTTCAGGTTTCAAAAAAAAAATGGTGTCTTTAGCATAGTTTATTTGATACTACTTCTGTCGTCATGTAGTGTAATGCAAAGAAAGGAGGACAAGAGAGTTTGAAGAGTAAAGAAATGAAAACATCATCAACATGGTTAGCATCATTACCCAATAAGTTTTATGCTGTTGCACCAATGGCAGATGTAACAGATTATTCATTTAGACAACTCATTGCTTTGAAATCAAAAGGTCATCTTTACAAGAACAGTAGTAATAGTACTACTCCTCCTCAATCAACACATATAAGTTGGACAGAGTTTGTTAATGTCAATGGGATGAATTATTATCCTGAAAGATTCATTAAACAAGATTTAGCATTTCATGAAATTCAAAGGTATGAAGAATTGTAATCATTATTATAATTGATCGATACATTGTATATTAACTATGTGTGTATTATTTAGACCTATTGTAGCTCAATTATTTGGATGTGACCCTGAAGCATTTAAAAAGGCGGCCTCATTGGTAAAGGATTTGGGTTTTGATGCAGTTGATATTAATATGGGATGTCCTGTAAGAAAGGTATTGAAACAATCTGCTGGATCTGCATTGATTGTTCAACCAGACCTAGCAAGAGATATTATCATTGCAACAAGAGAAGGTGTAGATAATAGCATACCAGTATTTGTAAAGACTAGAATTGGATTTGAAGAGAATGAAATGGATCGTTGGATACCTCAATTGGTCGATGCACAACCAGACGCTATTTCATTGCACTTGAGAACGAAAAAGGAGTTGTCAGACTGTCCAGCACATTGGGAATTGGTAGATAAATTCATATCAACTGTAGAAGATAGAGTTGGTGGTAGTGCATCAACCCTTAGGAGACCACTACTAATAGCCAATGGAGATATCGATTCAAGACATGAAGCAAAGGAGAAATTGGAATCCTACAAAAGATTGAATGGTGTGATGGTTGGAAGAGGGTTGTACGGCAACCCATGGTTCTTTTGTGAAGATGATAAATACAACTTTGGAAGAGACCAACCTATACCATCTATCAACTCTCAAGAGGCAGTAGACACCATCTATGAAGTATTCAAGACGCTGATTGAGTTTTCAATCATCCTGGAACAGAGACAGAAAAAGGTAGGTCCTTCATTATCGGCACACATCCGGAGGTTATTGTCTCCCGTGAGCCGGCTCGGTATTGCAAATATCGCAGTTCTCAGGTCAACCATTATCGAGTGTCAAAACGTAGACGATATTATCGCTCATGTCAACCTATTTTTGCACAATATCACGTTGAACAGCGATATTGTCAGACAGTCTGCTATCGATGTTAAAAAATCAAACAACCCAACAATTATTGATCATAGTGTTGGGCAACCTTCTAACAACAACAACAATACTACTTCTTCTAGCTTGTCGGTACAATTAAAAGATATTTTGTATGACAAGGAAAATATCAAACAAGGAATTGATGAACAAATTGTCAATATTCTCAATCATATGAGAGAGGAGAAGAAGGTTCTTTGAGGACAGACAGAGGACAAAGAATGATCTGTTCAAAAATACTCAATAACCAACTTTCACAATCATGATGACACTTGTATGGTACGATGTTCAATTAAAATAAATTGTAAATTATCATTAAAATGATATCATTTAATATTATAATAGTGATGTGAACAACAAACATAAATGACTTTTTAAAAAGTATGAGGAGATCTCCTCCTCTACCTTATTCTTCTTTGTCCGCATATAATAATAATATCTGCCTTTATTGTGTGTGTGTGAATATGACAAGGTTTGTCTGTCTGTTCGTTTTTAAAAGAATCTTGTTTTCTTTGCAACAACATGTTTGATTATTATCACACGTTAATGGTTAGGAGAAAAATCCAAACAGGTCAACAGCCAGATTTTTTGTGGGATGGCACCCACAAAAGTAGAAAAAATATCGTCGAGGGCTTGAAATGAGGTCGCTCTCCCTCAATCAATCAAGCAATCACACACCAATAAAAACATTTATAGGGTGTCAACAACAACAACCACATCACAGAAACAACAACCACAAATCAACAACATTGTGTGATAGCTATAGATGTTGTAGAATTAACAAATAATAATAATAATAATAATAATCAAAAATAGAATAATAATTTAATTATAGTAGCACACATAGATAGAGGGATTATCAAAAGTAGAAAGAGGAGGAAGAGGAAGAATAAGAAAAGTAGATTTGATATAAATAGAGCATAGATAAATTTAAGAACAATAAAGCATCAACAATAACAATAGGGAATAATAGAACAACAACAACAAGACAACAACAACATAATGATAAACAGTAGCAATAGCACTATCCAACAACAACAGCAGCAGCAGCAGCAAGGAGGAGCAGTGGGAAGAGGAATGGTACTCACAAATGATACCTTTCTCATGCGAATAAATGAATTAGAGGTAGGTGTCTCTTATTATCATATCATATCACAATATATAGGGAATGAGAGTGTCGGTAGTAGTAAAAGAAGTAGTCAACTCTCTCTCTCTCTCTCTGTCTCACTCAACTGCAGACACTTGTTATTAATAACTACACAGCAAATATGCTAATAACAAAACACCCACACTCAAAAACGCAAACCAACAACAATGCATCGCACAGAGATAGACAGAAATTTCATCTTTTACACTTTTTTTTTTGACAACTACAACTATCACACTGTACACACACAATTGTGAAAGCATGTGAGCTAATAATAATAATTATAGTTATAACTAGTATACTAGTATACTAGTGGGTGGGATCATCCATCATTTTAAATTTAATCCCGATCCATTATCTCTTATTAAATTGATATTCAACTATTTATTATGGACGCACAAATTGATGAATCAACCGACCGACTACTAAAGACAAAGAGGGAAGGGTAGGGTTGAGAATTGATTGATTAATTCGACAGAGAGACATGTGATGGATTGAAATTACTCCCTCACTCAAGAATAATAATATCTATTGATAATTTTCATATTATTATTATTGTGTACTACTACTATTTTTACAACTCTTATTCCACCTTTTACACCATCATCATCACCACCACCACCAGTCTCCCAAAAGCAGTCAAGAGCTCCTCGTTTATCAATCCTTGTCCTTTTTCCTTTTCTTTCTTTTTTTTTTTTTAATCGATATATTATTTACACATCTATAATTTGAATCAATCGATTAAATTGTCGTTATTCCTTTCTCCTCCTTATCCCTTTACTACATTTTCACATACCCTTTACCAAATCATTAAAAAACCTCTTTCCTTTTATATTTTGTTTAGGAACAAAACCAAAAATTGGTCAATAGAGTTGACGAACTGGAAGCAATCAATCAAAGCCTTAAAGTACAACTGGAATATTTCCAAACTAAACTATTGGAATCTAGCTTTGAGGATAACAAAGACCTCTCTTCATGTCTATCAGACATTTATAACAGTTTGTCAATTACCGATATTCAACCAACAACTGCAGAGTCAAACAACAATAATACTGTTGCCAACAAACACATTAGAAGCAAGACGGAAAAGGCATTACCAACTCCACCACCTAGACTTAACCATATTGGTAGCAACGGCCATCCAACAACAACAAATAATAATAATAATAATAGTAATAATAGTGTGATTAGTCCAAGAAGACCAACTTTGCTAACACGTAGCAATTCAGAGACATCTTTTGAATCAAAGATGGGAAATAATCATAATGGTATGTCAGATGACTTGTCTAGTAGTGGGAGTAGCAGCGCAACGACGCCACCCAATGGAAAGAATGGAAATTGGTCGGCTGGAGCAGTCACACCAAAACAAAGATCAGACTCGATCGTTGTCGGTATCAATCCAAACAAGGATCCATTCCAAAGACTAAATAATTCAAGCTCTAGTGGCAGCAGCCTTCCAAGCAGTCCAAATAGAATCCTAAATGGAAGTCCACAAAATTCACGCGAGAACCTAATGAGCCATTCATCGTCCTCTACACCCTCTAACCAATCGCCACCCTATTCTCCCGCCTCGCTGGCTTCATCCACCAACTCGGTTGGTGCTTATCCATACAATAGCGTTCCTGCCGGCAGCTCTGGCAGTGTAAATTCATCACCTCAATTGCTCTCCACCTCACCGTCGGTTGAGCCAATCTCCCTCTCTTCGTCCATCACATCTGCCGACGCCATCAAGCGTCGTCCAGTACCCATTCCATCCATTCCCAACCGTCGTCCACCAAGCCAAACCTCACCCACCACGCCATCGGCACCAATGGCACCATTGCCCTTGGTCAGAACAGCATCGGCCGCACCAAAACCAATCTCTACCAGCCCAAGCAGCTCATACGGCACACCCCCACCCATCGTCCCAAGAACCAGCATTTCAGCATCAACCGATTCCCTGTCCTCATCGGCCGAGGACCTTCAAACAAACGCCATCCTCGAAGAGCCAGAGGAAAACCCAGACGATCCAAACCTAGTTCTCGTTAAAAATGAAAACGGCAACTACTTGGTGCGTGGTGGCACCCTAGAAAAGTTGGTGTTGCGTCTTTCCTATGACAAGTCGCACGACACTGACTTTGCCGCTGCCTTTTTGTTGACCTATCGTTCATTTACCACCCCGGCCGATCTCATGGAGATGTTGATCAAGAGTTACAACTCGATTGGAGGTAGCTCAATAGCCGATGAAAAGAAGAGAAAGATTACTCGTCTCCGTGTTGCCAACGTCGTCAAGATGTGGTTGGGAGAGCATTTCCACGATTTCGAGGAGGATAGTGTCCTTGTCCTCAAGTTGGACCAATTCATCAACAATCAAATTATCCCCGAGATGGATGGCATTGGCAAGAACCTCAAGAAACTTTTATACCACGAAAAGGTTACACCCGTACCAACCTTTTCCTCTGCACCACCACCTAGCCTCGCACCAAAGGCAAAGGATCCTTCGTTTATAGACCTCGATCCAATGGAGGTTGCCCGTCAAATGACCCTCATCGAATCGGATCTCTACAGAAAGATTGATCCAAAGGAATGTCTCAACCAAGGATGGAACAAGACAGACAAGGAAGAACGCTCTCCCAACATTATGGCCTTTATTCGTCGATTCAACGCCGTATCTATTTGGGTGGCCACTGAAGTTGTCAGAGCCGAAAAGATCAAAGAACGTGTCAGCATTGTCAAACGTTTTATCCTCGTTGCCCAAAAATGCAGAGAAATTGGCAACTTTAATGGTTGCATGGAAATCCTTTCCGGACTCCAACAAACATCAGTATATAGACTCAGCAAGACATGGGAAAAGTTAGAATCCAAGCCATTGATCAAGAATGTCTATGATGAATTACTAGACGTAATGGTTAAGTCAAAGAATCATAAAGAATATCGTGCTGCCCTTCATTCTTGTCATCCACCTTGTATTCCATATTTGGTAAGAAGAAAACAAAAAAGAAAAAGAAAACAATAATAATAATAGATACTAATTATATAAATATTTTTTAGGGAGTATATTTAACAGATTTAACATTTATAGAGGATGGTATGAAGAATACATTAAATGGTAGAGACGAATTGATCAACTTTGAAAAGCGTAGAAAGATCTCGGTCGTCATTCGTGAGATTAAACAATACCAACAATCTCCATACAACTTTTCGGTCGAAGAGGTTACCTGCCGATACCTTAAAACCCTTCCAAGCTTTACTGAAAAGGCGTTATACAAAGCAAGTTTAAGTTGCGAAGCAAAGGAATCAAGAAATGGATCAACTGACGGCTCCACCTCTGGTGGCAGCGGTGGTGCAGGACCATCTTTAAAAAAGGAATTATCTCAATCCATTTTAAAGTTTAAAGATTATTTAAATAACAATTAACAAATAACTCATCACAACCATTAATAATAATAATAATATTAATAACAACAAACAATCGTAAATAATAACAAATAATAACAAACTAATCGTAAATAATAGGAATAATAATAAGAATAAGAAATAAGAATCAATGTCACTAATAATAATAATAATTAACTAACCAACACAACAACCAATATTGTATATTTACCTTTTTTTCAATTTAAACAATCCAAATCCCCTCCTATCCTCCTCCTTTTTTTTCACATCTCAACTAACTTACTTATTTAAAACAATACACTAATGTTTCAAACATAAGAGTATTGTACTTCACTAAAACAACAAAAGTTTAATAAATTTATACTTATCGATAATAATTTATGTGCATAAGCAATATTATTTATTTAAAAGATGGTTAATGACAATACCAGCCGACACTGATGCATTTAAACTCTCTAGTTTGGGGTTTGCCTTGTTTGAGACTGGGATCTTTACAGTTTCATCACATTCCTGAATAATATTATCCGATACACCAAAACCTTCATTGCCAATAACAAGAATAGTAGGTTGGGTGAGTTTTACACTATTTAATGGTTTGCTGTCTTCGCCTAAGCTAGTTCCCATGATTTTCCAACCATTTTCCTTTGAACCTTTGAGGAAGCCATACATGGACATGGTTTTGTAGATTGGTGTGTCTTCAAGTGCACCAGCACTAGCTTTAGAGGCCACCGGTGTGAGCGGGGAGGAATGCTTGTCGGTGGTAACAACACCGCTGACACCAAAGAAATGACAGGTTCTGATAATGGCACCAGTGTTTTGTGGATCCCAAATCTCGTCTAGTGCAACAACCAATGGTGGTGACTTTAGTTTATCCATTGCTTCCTTTGTAATGACTTGTAGTTTATCAATTGATTCAGCAGTCAATGGTGAACAGTCCATTACCATTCCATTATGTACATTCCATTTTGAAAAGGTATCCAATAATTGTTTTTTAACTGGGTATACAGGTACTCCCAATTCTTTACATTTTTTAATTATTTCTTTTACTGCTTTTCTATTAAATAATAAATAATATAAAATATAATTAGTTTTTAATCCTTCTTATTTGTGTTGATTTAAAATCTTTGTGGCAACATACACATTTTTCTTATCATTGTATCTTTCAACTTCATTTTCTTCTTCTTCTTGTTCATTTTCTCCATCAAAGACTACTTCACCTTTTCTTTTAGGATCTGGTTGAGTATCTAATGATTTGAGAGTACCAAACTTTAATCTTGAATAGGTAGAGTCCAAAAGATAGAGAGCATTAAATGAACGATTATTGGCAAATATTGAAATCCAAATTGGATTCAAACCAAACAATGCTTCACCTTGAATTTGATATTTTTCCTTTTGTTGTTGATTGATTCGGTCCATTTCTTTTAGATAATCATTCTTTTCACCATCAAAAGAACGATCGTTGTTGTACTTTTTGAAAGAAGATGAACGATCTCCTCTACCAAAACTCCTATTACCACCATCATCAATTGATCTATCTCTTCCATATCTCTTATTACTACCACCATCATTAAATGGTCTCTTTTCAAATGATGATCTATTTTCAAATGATGATGATCTCTTTTCTTCATGTTGATAATCAAGAGAAGGTTTTGTAAATCTTTGCTTGTGTTCTCCATTATTATTATCACCACCATCTTTTATAATAGTAGTACTACTACTACTATTATTATTGTCTCGATTGTTGTTAGGAGTGAAACTTCTTCCTCTTCTTTGACCACCATTTTCTATAGATTCAGAAGACGAGTTTCGATTGTTTCTTCTATTGTAATCATCTCCAGATCTCTTGAATCCAATCGTTGAATATGAGCATACTTGTAGAGTTATACTACAACTATAACTATTTACCCTTAAAAGAGTTGTCTTTTGAACTATTGATTTAAACATAATTAATAGTTTAAAAGTTTTAATAAGATTCAAAACGAAAAAAAGAAAACTGATCGATTGACTTTTACACAAATAATATATGAAAATTAATTAAATTCTATTCTTTTATATAAAAAAAGGGATGGAGATGATCATAGCGGTAAACAGGAGTTAATAGTTTTAATATATAACCTAAATTTATTTATTTTATTTTATTTTATTTACTTTTCTTTTATTCTTCTTTTCTTGAATCTTTTTCTTTTTCTTTTCATCTTGTTTAACCTTTTGTTTTTCTTCTTGTTCGGTAAGGATTCTGTTTCCAGTGAAAAAGGTGTGAGCTTGGACGATTTCAATTTCACGCTTGAGGTAACCCATGGCGGCACGATTGAAGCCAATGTAGTCACGTTGACGTTGGAGACGATCCTTGATGAGCTCGTTCAACTCCTTGAGGACCAATGCCATGTCCTCGCTGATTGAAAGATGGTTTTGATGAGTTTGTACAAGATAAAAGACGCAACGAGAGATGAGTTCGACATTGTAGGCTCGACGAAGCCATTTGATACAATATTGGAAAAAGACTTTGAGGTCGGTGAAGGGGAGGACCATCAACGACTCTTCCAAGTCACCAGCACGCACCTTGCGTACCTTTTCCCAGAGGTAGTCTTCGATATCCTTGCCAAACAAAAAGATGTTGGCTTCGAATGGAGCAATCGACGATGGAGGTTGACCATCCTCGATCTGCTTTTGTACGTCTCTTTCGTGATCCAAGATACGTTGACGTTCGTTTTCGACGAGGATCATTGCCTCGATAATCTCTTCTCCGGCAATGACCGAGTCGATGGTTTGCTTGGACGCCTTGCCATGCTCGTCTTTTTCAGCCAACATTTCTTGGGTACGCACACGAGAGTTGTCTTCGAGTGTCAATTCCCAGTCCTTTTCCAACTCGATTTGCTTGTCTGACTCGGGGAAGAGTGGTTCTTGCGATTGGTTAAAGACACGGATGGAACGGTCGTGACTGCCCGTCATGAAAAAGGTGCCGGTCGAGCCGATGGCCAACGCCCAGACCTCGCTGTGGTGGGCGGCGATCGACTGGATCTGCTCGAATTTGTCGCAGTCCCAGATCTTGATCTTGGCGTCCTTGGAGACTGTGATGGCGTGATGTGTCTTGGGGATGAATCCGACCTGCATGATCGAGTCGTCGTGTGCAAACATGGACTTGTGGCAATCACCATAGTCGAGACCCCAGATACGGATGTTCTTGTCGGCCGAACCCGTCACGACAAGTGTACTGTCGTCCGAGATGTCGAGTGTCATGACAGGCAACTTGTGTCCGTACAGCGACAGATGGAACTTGAGTGTGTCGGCGTAGAACAGCTTGACGGTGTTATCGAGCAATGCAACAGCCAAGAAACGACCGTCCTTGCTAAACTTGACCGAAAGAACGTCAGTCTCCATCGCCAGTGTTTGTGTATGGGTAAGTGTCAGCTTCTTGCTCGACACCATGGTGTCTTGGTCAGTCTGCTCGGCAATTTCAAACTCCCAAAACTTGATGGCCTTGTCACCTGAAACCGAGACCAACCCGCTTTGATCGGGCATCAACGCAATGCTCCAGACTTCGGCTTCGTGAGCCTTGATCGATTGCAAGTGCTCGGCCGACGACAACTCAAACACCTCGAGTGTGCCAGACTTGGTACCGACGATAACATGCAAGTTTCCCGGCACAAACAAAGTGCACAGGCCATAGTCGCAGTCAAACGATCTGATGCACTTCATCGTCTTTACATTCCAAATCTTGAGAGAGTCGCTCGACGTCGATGCCAACAAGGCGTCGTTGGTACTCATAACCAACGATCTCACGTCACTACGATGACCCTGTTGATCCAACGTTGCTATCGCAGTACATCCCTCCTCTTTAATCTCATACTCTACCATTGAATTACCCATCAACGTAACAATCAACTTGTTCCAATGACTATTTACACCAAATGAAAATCCTCTAATCTTTGATGGTGTCTTTACAGTCTCTGTATGATTATATTCATCTTTTACATTTAATTCTAGAACCAAATAAATATTAATATACATCTCTCTTTTTTTTTGTCTCTATTTTCTTTTCTTTTTGTTTGTTTCTTACGTTTCTTTTGTCTATGTTGTTCTTCTAATATTTTTCTTGGAGTAATTGAAAATATATCCATAAAACGAGCGGTTGATTGACAGATCAATACACGATTGGTGGAATCAAATCTAACACTTGAATAGGATTCACCTTTGCATGCGATCGATCCATAATACTTTGCAAAATCTTCTCCATTTTGATGAACGATTTCTTCGTCCTCTTCTCCTCCATCCTTTTGTAGATCCAAGTTGGCACCTTTGTTGATTGGAACGTTGACAGAATAGTTGAATGAATTCAATAGTTGGATACCATCTCTATCCTTTTCGTCTTGTGCAGCGAGTTGGGTGTGAATTCTCCACACTCTAATCATACTGTCCGATGTACAACTAACCATACGTGTTTCATTGGCGTTAATGTCGAGTGACCAAATTGGATTACGATGGCCGACAATAGTCTGTACACAATGTTGAGTCTCTGTCTCCCAAATCTTGATGAGACCATCCTTTGAACAACTAATCATATGATTGGAACGTTCGAGTAGACGTACCTGTGTAACAACGTCACGATGACCACGTAAACGATATAAACCAGCTTCTGTAATAACATCCCATATAATAATCTCTGTATCTCTACTACCCGATACCAAATTTGAACCCAATTTGTTAAAATGTAAACAAGTAACTGCTGCACGATGACCATTCAACACAGAAATCAAACTATAATCTTGTAAATTCCATAATCTAATTGCTCCATCTGTATATCTACACAAAATAATAAGAATAATAAGAATGTATATAATTAGAATAATGTGTATGTGTATGTGTATGTGTTGTTATTGTTATTGTCTCTCTACATACCCAGCAGCTAATATATTTCCATCGGTAGTTTGAGCAACAGATGATACCTCTGATTTAATGTCATCTTCAAATAACCATCTCTGTACAACACCCTGTCTTATATTCCATATAGCTATACGTTCACCACAACCAGTGATTGCATATTTGCCCGATGTATCCAACAATGATTGTGTAGTCGAGATGGTACCAAACAAATCTTGTTGTACATATTTTAAATATGATTTAACCATTCTCTCTCTTATTTATTTATATAAAAACAAAGAAAAAGGATATGGTTGATATATATAAAGGATAAAAGAAGATTGTTGTTTATAAAGTACTTGATACTCTCAAATGGGGTGGTCTATGAAAAAAACGAAAGAGACGAGGAACGCGAAAATGTTTTTTTTTTTTTGAATTATTTTTATTTCTTTTTTGGGACTGTTAACACAATAAATATGTAATAATAATAACTTAAGTAATAACATTTTACATTAATAAATATTTATAGAATAATAGAATTAATTATCTATAAAGATAAATATCTTGATCTATTTGTATTGTGTTTTTGATTTTTTTTTAAATGGGTAAATTGGATTGTCAAAGTTCCCACCCTCATTGCCATTTTCATTTTAATTTGGTAAAGTGTGTTGTGATTGAATCATTCATTATCTATCTGTCTTGCTAATCATTCTTTTATTCTTTTCAATGATGAGGTCATCAAAGATGTCTGTAGTTTGACTCTACTTACAATTGGGAAATTGCTCAGCTACAGTTGATCGATCGCGCAACAAAGATATTTTCAAAATTTCTTTCTATAGTTGACCTCGAAGAATGGGGAGAGCGATTCAATAGCTTTTTAGAGACAGACAGACATAGACACACAGAAGATATACTTCTTATTTTATACTATTTAATCAACCAAGCATCTTTTAGTAGTGTTGTTCATAAAGTATTATAGAGTAGATACCACCTGCCGATTCGTCAACAACAATCCTCCTACTACTTCTCTATTTTTTGCTTTTTCAGTACAAATATCTCTTGTCACTCAATTTGCTTTACGATTCGAATCATCATTCTTTTGTTTACTCTTTTTTCTAAATTTACTCAACACCTCTATATATATTTATAAGATATATAATCAAAAAAGATGATGAAATCAATGATTATATTAATTATAACAACATTGTTATTAACAATTGTTAATGCACAATGCCCAGGCAATCCAACTGGTATTCCAGTATACACAGAGTCTGCAATCTATTTGAATGCAACCACTAATGGCAAGCTCTATGTGACTGGACCAGCAGACAACCAAGTCAACATTCTCCAAGTGTACGGCACTGCCTACGAGCGTGGTTATGCTCACGGTGTCTTGTTGCGTGGCGAGGCCCAAGAGATCTATGCTGTCTTTTTCGAGTTTGTCACCGACATGGTCAACGAGCTCGTCGAAAAGTACGCCAAGTTCATCCCATTGTGGTTGGTCGATTTGATTGAGCGTGCTGGCATTGGCGCTGCTCTCGACATTACAGCCGACCTCACCAAAAAGTACACACCCCAACACTTTTTCGACGAGATGCGTGGACTTGCCGACGGCTCTGGTCTGCCCTACCAAACCGTTCTCCGTCTCCACATGTTCCCCGAGTTGATCAAGGCCGCCTGCTCGATGGTCGGAGCCTGGGGTGACGCATCGATCGACGGTAACCTCTACCAACTACGTGCTTTGGACTTTAAGCCAGAGACACCACTCCGTCTGCATCCAGTGGTCATCGTGTCGCATCCAACCGACGGTGGAGACACTTTTGCCACCTTGTCGTGGGCTGGTTTCCTCGGTGCCTTGACTGGATACTCTCAACGTATGGGTATCTGTGAAAAGTACTGGTTTGCCTACAACGGCACTTCCTCGCGTGAGGGATACCCATGGCACTTCCTCTTGCGTGACATCCTCCAATTTGACAACAACCCAGACGAGGCTCTCACCCGTATCATCAACGCCGAACGTACCTGCTCCATCTATGTCGGTCTCGGTACCAACGCCACCAACGATTTCCGTGCCGTCGAGTACTCTCACCAAGTTGTCCGTGTCTTTGACGACCAAACCCCATTCCCAGCCTTTGCTCCACCATCGGCCGCACATCCACTCATCAAGGACGTCGTCTACATTGACAAGCACGTTCAACCTTCCAACGACCCATGTATCGGCAGCGTACTCCAAAAGAATCACGGTCAAATCAACGTGCAAACCTACATTGATCTCACCGCCCAAGAGCAAACTGGTGATCTCCACATTGCCATCTACGACTTTGCCGCCAACCAAATGTTTGTTTCCGTAGCCACCCAACAAGGTCCATACCCACCACCTGCCAATTTTACTCTTGTCCCAGCCTATGCAAGACAATTCCTTCAAATTGATTTAGAATATTTCTTTAATGAATCAATTTAAACAGAGGAAATCTTTTTTTTAAAACAAAATGAAATAAATCAAAATTAGGTATAAATTAAAAAATTAGTTTGTTTTCTTTTATTTTATTATTTGTTTATTGTATTGGTTCTTTTTTCTTTAAAGTTAATTGATTAATGTCAAATGAAGTACCATCTGGATGAAGTTCATAGGATGTGGCACCAACATGACCATTTGCATTACATTCACGTGCCAATAGATACCCATTGTCTGCTAAACCTTCGACACGTACAGTGATGTTTTGGCTTTCGAGTTTGACGATTTGACCACTATGCATCCATGCACGTAGGTAGTCTTGTTGCATTGGTTTGAATCCATTTTGGGTAAATGTAAGATAGAGTGATTCAAATTCCTTCATAAAACGGGCCAATACCAACTCTCTCGTAAACAAACCAGTTTGAGAAGCTTGTGCATCGAGACAAGTAGATGGTTCACTATTGGTAACATTGATACCAATACCAATGACAACATCAAAAGATCCACCAAAGTAGTTACTTTGACACAAGATACCACCAATCTTTTTACCACCACAATATACATCGTTGGGCCATTTAAGACGAACAGGCTCTTTCATCTTGGGACATATACTATCGACAGCTTTAACTAGTGCCAATCCAGATACATATTGTAGGAATGGTAGTTTACTACCATCACTCTCTCGACACTTGAATGAAAACACCAAACATCCTTGTGGCGATGTCCACATGTTTTGGCCTCTTCCAACAGCACTGTTTTGAAGATCAGCAACCATCACCAAACCAGGTGTAGTGTATGTAAAATATTTTAGCATAAGCTTTTGAGTTGATGAAAGGTGTTGTCCATAGATTAAACATTTACCATAAAGTATAGTTGATAGATTCTTGAAATAATCTTTAACATGGAATGCAGTTGGTATAGATGATTGAGTATTTGCATCTTCTTCACTTGCAATATATAATGAGAATTGGTCTTGTACAACTCCACCACCACTGTTGACAACAGCTTCCTGAGGTTTCAAAGTTGTTGTAGTCTCCATGATGGTTGATACCGGTTGTCCTGGGTATTGAGGTGTTGCAAACATTCTTTTAACATCATCACATCTAATTGGTGGATCAGCGTATAAATATGCATGTTCATTATTACTACTAGTCATCTTTTCCTTGTTTATAAATATTATTCTTTTAATCTTTTCTTTTGTAGTACTACAATATTTTGATGATTGTGATGATAAAGGAGGTACAATTGATATTAAAAATGTGACTAAAGGACGGTACGAGTTATAAGTTAGTCCTACACCTTTAAATAATAACATGTACGTATCTTCTTCTTCTTTTAACAATACAACGAACTTTAGTGGGATGTCCCAAGAATGATGACCTTTCCGAATTCGGCAATTTAATTTAATTTAAATTTAAAATTTCATCAGATTACAATCTCTACGTACGTCTTTGAAACCATTAGTATCATTTGTCTTGTTTTATAGTTTGTATTATTATTTATTTGTTTTATTTGTTTTTAGGCATATTTAGAATGTAACCATAAACTATCATGAACTTGATTTCTATTGTTACCAACAAATTCAAAGTAGAGATCGGTCATATTGGCATAGAGACGAGTGTAACCGTATTGAGCAGAGGCACGGAAGATAGAGTAGGGTGGTTGGTCTTCGTGACCGGATCCATCTTTAATGTCGGAACCATCCCAGGTGGTTTGGTAAGTGTTACCGGCCATACCAATGACAATGTGGACGGGCGCATCATTGTCGGTTGGGGCACAGGTGAGGTTGTACATACCGCACATACGTTCGTAGGTGTGGACGTGGCCAGTGAGACAGAGGTTGACGTCATACTGGAGTAAAAGAGGTTCGTAGGTTTCTTGGAGGTTTTTGTACATGCCAACCTCTGATCCCTCCCATGAACTACCGTAAATGGGACGATGGCCGGTAAAGATGACCCATGGGGTGAGGGTACGGTTGACAGACTCGAGATCCTGAACGATCCAGTTGTACTGGTCCGATCCGACGAGGAAGTCATGTTCAGCCGACATGATGACGAAATGGACGGTACCGTAGTTGTAGCTGTACCAGAGGTTACGTTGGGGGGTACCCTCGGCACCTTGCATGTGGTAACGCACGCTGTAGGGCACACCGCACTCGCCACCGCTGTCGCTGCCATAGTTGGACCATGAAGGTGCGAATGGCTGGCCGACATAGTCGTACTCGTGATTACCGATGGTTACTTGCCACGATGACATGCTAGCAACCTCTTCAATCATGTCGTGGTAATAGTCCCATACAAAGGCCTTGCCACGTGCATACGAGATATCACCGATATGGTGAATATTCCAAGGTGGTGGAATATTGCTGTCTTCAGAGATCTCCTTACCAATCTTTTTAAAGAACGATGATTGTGCGGGTGGAGTAGTGACAGTGGTGTATATATTGGCAACAGTCTTGATCGATGGTGGTTGTGTCTCCAGATTACCAATAAACTGTGTCTGCAAACCCAAATCACCAAACGCTACGATAAAGGCTTCTGTGCCAAGTTCTGGTGCTGACATAAAGTTGTAAGTGTTTGCCGACATTCCACTACCCTTGCTACCAAACTGGTAGAAATACTGTGAAGCGGGGTTCAAGCCGGCCATGACGATATCGTGGATATAGCCGGGGTCACGGAAATAGTCAGTGTCGTTGGCAGGTGCTGCACACATTTGTGTGATCGAGTAGGTGACTGTTGTGCCATAGGCAACGTGGTCGAGGTTCGATGGGTCGGTACCATAGTATGCGACGGGTGTATCATTAGTGCCCGACACAAACATCAGACGCATCTCACTAGTAATGTTGGTCAATGACAAGTATGCCTTGCTTGGTTCATTCAAATTCTCAAATGTCACTTGATTGCTAGTTGCAACGGTAGTGAAATTAAGACCTTTAATCTTCATTGACCCAGTTGAATTTCCAGGTGTCCATACTCTAAATACATATTCTGAACGAACATTTACCAATGGTACACTTACACTTCCATATCCTTGTTTCCATGCTACACATCGAAACAAAAAAAAAAACAAAAAGGAGAAAGGAGAAAGGGTTAGCATATAGCATATTCTTTCTCTTTATGTTGTTGTTATTGTTACTTACAAGTAGCATTTGACATCATAAGGAAACCAATTGGAGTAAGTGGATTAGACTCTGGTGGATAGTAGATAGCAATGATATCATACGGTGTTGGTGATGTCATACCAGTCCACTTTAATTCTACAAAATCACCTGTTGTTGAAAGTACAGCTAAATATAGGTTAGAGATAGAAAGAAGATAATTAGCCATCTTGTTTATTTGTTTGCGGGTATGTATGTATATATGTACATACTTGGAGATGCAGTAATTACAGCTTCGGAGTTTGGTGTTTGTGCTTGAGATACACCGACAATGACGATGGCTACAACAAGCAACAATTGTAATAGTACACTCTTCATCTTATATGTGTCTATCTATCTATACACTACTATATCTAGAGGTTGTACAAATAAATAATAATAGGACTAAGGAGGAAGGAATAAATAAATAAAAGACTTTAGGGCTAACTGTCAAAACTACTGACAGGGGCTGCGAAACGATGAAAAAGATTCAAGTGGAGGGATATTTGGTCTTCAAACCCGAAAACGCACTGGGCAATTTCGCGCTCAAGATTCCATCGGTCCCCAGTAATACCGTCGTCGTTAAACGAACAAAATTAATTCGTTTGGGAAATCACTCAACCTTGTAACTTGAGTTTGAGCCGAGATCTAAAAGATGATGATGGTGATGATATTATTTAAAGAATAGATATATACTACTACTACTTCTACTACTATGACGAATAAAATGTAAAATACTGATGTGTGAATGAAATATTTTAATATTAATATTTTAATATTGAGAAATGAACAGCACAGAGAGATGAAGTTGTCGGGTGTTGTTGTCAAGATTTATTTGCTTTGTTTTAGAGAAGAGATATACACTAGATAGATACGCGATCAATGTCACAAGAACTTAAAATTATACTAGGATCAAGCTCAATATGGAGAAAGAAGGTGTTGAGTGATATGGGATACACCTTTACAACAATGTCACCTGATATCGATGAGAAGGCAATTAGACACGCCGATGCAAAGACATTGACTCTTCTCATCTCTAGAGCAAAGGCTGATGCTTTGGTTGACAAGGTCACCGAACCATCTCTACTCATTTGCTCGGATCAAGTCATCGTACACAATGGTGTGATTCGCGAGAAACCAGTCACTGCAGACGAGTGCAGAGAGTATTTGCGTAGCTACGAACACAGTCCTGCTGTGTGTGTCGTGTCAGTCGTTGTTGTCAACACACTCACTGGCAAGCGTGTTGAAGGCACCGATATAGCCACTCAACACTTTAACAAGATTCCTGAACACGCCATCGAAGCACTCATTGCTCAAGGCGATGTTATGCACTGTGCAGGTGGGTTCACTGTCGAACATATGGAAGAATACACCAACCGTCTAGAAGGCGAGATTGAATGTGTAACTGGGTTACCAAAGACTTTAACTGTTAAACTTTTAGAGGAAGCAAAGAGAGTTTAAAACTTTAAATCAAACACCACAAACAAACAAACACGATAACGATAATGATGATATCAACCAAACAACAAACACAAACACCAACACCAACCAACCAACCAACAAAACAAAACAAAACAAAACAATAGCAATCAAATTAATTTAACCAATCAAATCCAAATCAATTACCCAAAAATATATTATTATTATTATTATTATTATTATTATTGTTTAAATCTACCTTACTCACCACGACAATTCATGGTGGTGTAGAGCAAGAAGAAGTTTAGACCATCATTTCCTCTTTCTCTCTTTTCTGTGGATCAGATCAAAACAACCCTCATCCAGCAACTTTGTACCTTGTGAATGATTCGAAATAGGCTGACTCTCCACATCCACAACCAACAACAACAGCGTTGCAATAAAATGATCGATACCAATCCAAACCAAACCACGCTACCCACCACCCCCATCACCTCACACCTTCCTCTTCCTCATCTGTCTCTCTTTAAAAATCATAATCATTTTAAAATTATTTATCCTTGGCATTCTACCAATGAGCGAAATTCAAACTGTTCAATGATTTGATGCCATCCCATCCTTAGATGTTTACGTAATTGAAATAATCTGTGTATGTTGAAACAAAGAAGAAAAAGAGAGAGAGAAATAGAGAGATGGAAAGGGGCAGGTGGGTTATACCATTTGGCCAGCTGTTATTTTCCCATAATCCCCATTGCTTTTAGTTTGGAGGGTCGATGATGATGATTCTCAACCCAATGCAATATTACCATATTTGGTGATCATGTCTATTTGGCAATATCCCATTTTAACAAGAAAGGAAACTAAACCAAAATAAGAAATTGAACTCTTTTATCCTTTTTAAAAGAAAAACACATCGCACTGACATCAACATCAACAACAACCCACACTCACACAGACACAACGATACATACTTGTGTGTGTGAGTGATCACTAAATTGTTAGTCAAGGATCTATAAAATGGATGACGCTACTTTTTAAACCTCTTACCTCTACGGCAATGGGGCCGTCTCGAACCTTTTAGGACTTATGTACACCCTAACCCACAAATCTCCAACATACTTGGAGGAGAGTGGGGAGATTTTTGTCAAAAAAGTCAATGAATGCCCCTTACCTTACCTTACCTTGCACACCCCTTTAAAACCATATTTCTCGCACGTACACTCATTCATCCTATCATTCGACTTTTGGTCAACAGATTCTAGCTTTAGTGTAATCGATATGATCAGATCTCACAAAACTAATCTACAAGTTGTCACCATCCCCAACCAACCTATCCAACAACACTTTCTTTAAGATTGTTGTTGTTGTTTTCAGTGTCCAACCAATCAAACACACAACATCTATTCAACCACAACTACAGTAAACTAGTATTTAACAGAAATACAAGAAAGATCTCCCCCTCTTCTTATTCTCCTCCTCCCCTCCTCCCTCCTCCCTCCTCCCTCCCTCCCCTCTTCTCATTCTTTCAATCCGTCTTTGACCAAACCCATCCATCCTTATCTACCAAACCAACTATGAATGTTCAGAAATAACTACTACATACACTACCTACTACTACTTTATATACAATATATCCATTAAATCAATAATCTGTAGTTTCTAGAGAGAGAAAGAAAGAGATCAGAATACAGACAGACAGACAGATAGATAGATTCATTCGTTTACTTATTCAAAAAGGTGAATATCAAGCAAGCAAGCAATCGATTGATCAATCAATCAATTACATTATATTAGCATTTGTCTGCGAATAGATTGAACAACAACAGTACATCACCATCACTCGACAAGATTGGTTTCCTTTCTTGGCACTAGTTTGTTTAGTTTCAATCAATTTACTACCATATATCTGATCAGATTTCATCGATCAACTCGGTTTAGTTATTATATATATATATCTCTCTCTCTGACCAATCAATCGGATGGATCGTTGTTTGTTTCATCATTATCGATATTTATCAATACATTATTATTATTACCACACACAACCACAAATGAAAATGAATATGAAAAAAGAGATAATGCACAACCATCTTAACACACACACACACGCACATACACATTCATATCAAAGATGGATGGGTGGATGGTAGATGGATATTGTTTTGATACTAACCACTACCACCATCAAGATGATGAAGAACAAAAGAAGAAGAAGAAGAAGAAGAAGAAGAAGAATTTAATTTCCCTGCACTTGTTTTATTTGTTAAAATCTCCCATTGTTGTTACTACCATTACTACCATACTACTACTGCTTACTACTATTCTTGCGAACTACCATCCAACAAAAACACACAACACATCCCTAATCTTTTTTGATTTGTCAGAAAGTGTTTTTGGGAGATCATCATCATCGTCGTCAGCACCCAGCAACCAGTGACTCCACACACAACCAAGCAACATTATATATATAAACAACATCAAAACCACAAGAATAGAACGCCACCAACAAAATATCATCATCATTTTAAAAAAATAATTTCCCGTTTTTTTGGTTGTTTGGTTATAAATAGATAAACCGACCAATTAAGGGAGTATCCCAAAAGAAGAGAGAGCGAAAGAATTGACAATCAATTTCTAGATAACTCGAGTGATCAATCTAAAAAAAGTAAAATGTATATAAAAGTAACAACAACAACTAATAACCAATAATGAATAATGATTGAAACCAATCAATCCCCATCGACACACAAAACAACATAATATTATTATTATTATTAGGGTGGTGTGTATGTAAATAGAAAAGGCAAGCCTCGGTGTAAAGGGGTTCCGAGCCACCAATCTTTTTTGCCCATTTCATCATCATGACCAATCAAAATCAGTTTGGGACACTCAATCAATCAATCAAATTGATACAGAATCTCTTGTTTTCTTTTCTTCTTGCACAGGTGGTATTGTTTCAGCTGCTTGCAACGATCATCCATCTTGCGATTTTACCTTTTATCGTCGCTTGCTTTTTTTAAACAGCTCCTCTTTTTTGTTCTGTTCTCAACACCCAATACGCGCATTTCGCTAGCCAACCATTTATTCAGCGATCTTCGAGTTGAGCCCAAACCAATCCACTTTTTTTTTTGGGATGTACAACAACAACAAAGGCTCATCCTACATATCATTTTGATTGTTCAAAACTGTTTTACGAGGGGTCATGATTGGGCAAACAACTTACCGTGGTGTGGATTCCCGCTATCTTTGCTGATGACATTCAAAATAAAGAATCCTTGCCCTACCCCATGCATCTCATTGTTGTGCCACCGCGCCCCCCAATAAATATTGTGAAAAATTGAATCTTGTTTGTTCAAACGAACAGGTTTACAAAGAACATCCCCTCATGCGATAGTTATCGGGTTATATGATTGGACAGCACTATTGTTTCTTGTTTCTTGTTCCTCACTCCTTTGCAGGAGGCATGCCGTCATCATCATCTATGTTGCATTCTATTGATTGGTACCACCAGTCGAGTAATAACTAACTTGAAACTTTTTCTTTTTTATAGAATCATCATTATATTTAACTCCGAGTATCCCCTCCTCTCTTCCTCCCTTCTCTTCCTCCCTCCTCTTTCTCCTCTCTGTAGTTTGTGTGTGTGTGTGTGCGCGTGTGTGGATGTTACAGGTGGCTAGTGATAGTTAGCAAAAACTTGGGAATCTACAACCCTCTGCCTGACCATCCATAAGTCCGACCGTCTAAACCACAGAGATTTTTTTTTCGATATCCGGATCCACCCTTGATCTCCCCATGACCGCACCGGTTACAAGACAACAAACCCAATATACCTAAACTACTACTACTACTGCAGTGCAACACTACCATTACAAATACAGAACAATACATATACGCACAAACGAACCATTGTGTGTGTTTGTTGTGTGTGTGTTAAGACGACATCATAATCAAAAGCCCTTGGTTGGTTAACGACAACAACAACAAGATAATATAATATAATGGGAAATGTTCAGTCTTCATCAACAGATGGCCAATCCCTAACACCATCAGGTGATGACAATCAGAATCAAAATCAAAATCATAACCAGAATAATAATAATAATAATAATAATAATCAAAGAGATAACTCCAGATATAATTCAGACATTAATAATAATAATAATAATATAGATCATAATAATAATAATAATAATAATAATAATAATAATAATAATAATAATAATAATACTACGAGTACAACATCAACTACTAGTACAAAATCCAAAACATCGCCATCACCGCCAAATCCAGATAGTTCCGACAAGCCAACATTATCAACATTGTCACATGAAAAGTTGAAAAGACTTTTTTTGGAGACAGAGGCAACAGACAGCAGTAAAACAAACGACGGGTCAATCGTTTTTTTTCACAAGGTCGCCAATCAATCCATGTCACCGGACAAACAAAGCAACCACAAGTTGTTTTCCTCGAGTAGTACTTCAAGCACGAGCCTAAGTTTTCAATTTTCCAATGAATTTAAAAGGAAATCCAACTCTTCCAGCCACAATGACCTTGAATCGCTCATGTACCAGTCTGGGAGATCGCCGTCCATGCCGAGTAGCTTTCAAATGTCACCAGGATCGTCGTCGTCGTCGTCTGCCCTCAAAAACAAGACACTTGCAGAGTACTATATGGAAAACGATTCTTTCTCTGACGATGAGTTTGATAGTGACGGGGAATTCATTGACGACGATGAAGACGATGACGACGATGACGATTATGAAGGACCGGTCGATTCATACAAGTACAACCAGGCCAACAACAACCATCACCACCATGGCAGTAGTCTCAAAGATTTGCTATCCGACCAAGACGATGATGACCTAGACTCTAACAACATTAATAATATCAAGAAACAAAGAGCCGATGACAACAACGGTCATAAAGGCATCCACCATCTACAATATCATCATCCACATCCTTCTTCTCCTCTTCCTCCTCCTGGATCACCCTCCTCACATTACCTATCATATGATATACCACATTCACCTCAACAACAACACCATAATCACACTCATCATCCTCACCACCAAAACAAACAACATCATCACCTCAACCATCACTTCTTTGGGATGGAACTTGACAATAATGTCACCTCTAATCATATATCCCGATCACCTTCTTCACCACTCGAGACATTTGGTCAACCACAACAGCATCATATTCAAAACCACCATATTTCAAAACCCACGCCTATTCAACCAAAATTCGATCCATCATCTTCCAACAATCATTCACCATTTAGTTCTCCAAGTCACCGATCCTCTCCCATCACTACATTAATCGCGACCTCTTCTTCTAACTCTTCAAAACCACCGCAACAACAACAACAATCACTCAAACAATCCACTTCACCAATCCCAACCACCACCACATCACCTACCATTAGTCGGATTTCGACGACTAATTCGGCACCATCTCCCTCATCTTTTCCACTATTTATTCGACCAAACCAAAATCCAAATGGTAAAGGACCTTCCATTTCATCTATTATTTCAAATAATAATAATAATAATAATAATAGCAATAATAATAACAACCCTTCATCCTCTTCCACCTCCTCAACAACTATACCTCAACCTCAACCATTACAATTATCTTTAAATATTACAAATTACCAATATCCAAATAATAATAGTAATAATAATAATAATAATTTAAATACACAGAATAATAATAATAATAATAACAATAATAATAACACCTCAAATAATAACTCCTCTAATAATAATAATAATAATAATAACAACTCTAGTCCAAGACAACCTTCTCAACCAACAATTTCAACAACAACAACATCAACGACAACAACTAATTCAAATGGTAAAAGATTAAACACTCCATTGATTATTGCTGCCGATGGATACCAATGGAGAAAATATGGACAAAAAAATGTCAAAGGTACACAATTTCCAAGATCATATTACAAGTGTACTGTCCCTGGATGTACTGTTAAAAAACAAGTTGAAAAGTTATCTGAAACCGATGAAACAAAGAATAGAGTCGTTTACAAGGGTACGCATAATCATGATTCACCGCAAACCACCCGAGTCAATGCAACAGATCAAACTTCATTCAGAAATAGTGTCTTGTCATATGAATCTTACAAAACCACCACCACTACAATCCTCACCTATCCAAATGAAAATGTAGATCAACCACCACAACAACAAGAAGAACAGCAACAACAACAAGAGGAAGAACCAATGCACCAAAAGCAAGAAAATGTTGATCATGATGTATATGACCATGATCAACATCAAAATGTACATAAAGAAGAAGCCAGAGACGCAAATCTATCCTCCATTATAAACAATGATAGCCAACCATCATCTCCACAACAACAACAACAACATCACCATCATTATCACCATCAACAAGAGCACCAAGAACACCACCACCAAGAACAACAACACCACCAGGAGCAACACCAAGAACAACAACAACACCATCACCATCATCAGGATATTGTTGTGAATGATAATGAATCTATTCCCGACCAAGAAGAACAACAATCTACCCATCATGATGATCATTCAACTTCCTTGGTTGCAGTCACAGATCAAGAAAATACAACCAGTTATCCAATTCCAACCACTTCTACAAATATTGTTTTATATAATAATAATAACAACAATAATAACTCCTCAGCTAATAATAATAGTAATAATAATAATAACAACTCCTCAGCTAATAATAATAATAATAATAGTAATTCAGTTCAAATTCAAATACCAAAATTAGTTATTGAAACCAATCAAACTTCAATTGATCACTTGGACGATGGGTTTAATTGGAGAAAATATGGACAAAAAGCAGTAAAAGGTACACATTTCCCAAAAAGTTATTTTAAATGTGCAGAACCAGGATGCTCTGTAAAGAAACAAGTTTTGCAGCAAAGTGAAAATAGTTTTCTTAGTACCTACAATGGAAATCATAACCATGACCCTCCATCTACTGAAAATGATTCTGTTCGAAAGAGAAAGCGTCAACAACAGCATCAATAAATAGTAAACTGTATACAAAATGTTTGGAAAGACAAAAAAAAAAAAGAATAAAGTTGATTGATTACCAAACAAACAAATTTATTGGTTTTTTTCTAATCTCTAATTCTAAAACGGATTGTTGGAATTTCGATATCATTGGCTTCCAAATCTAGTGTTTCACATGATACATCAACATTGACATAGTCGGAATCTATTGGAAAAGGTTTACCGTACAATGTAGTCAATTTCATTGGTAATCTTTCAAGTTTTCTCTTTTCTGGTATGAACTGAGCATAAAGCAAAGTGATATTAAAAGATACCATTAATACATTGACACGATATTTCTTGTAGATAAAATCCAGTAGTTGTTGTAGAGTCATTAAAGGTTGATTGATTTCAATGAATGACCAACAAGATACTGTTTTGCTTGCATCATAAAAAGTTTGAACGGGTAAATCATAACTTATAATATCATTGTGTGCAAAGTTATAGAACCTAAAAAAAAAAGGTGATAATTGATTAGTATGATAACATTTACAGACTATTGATATTATTACTTACCTATTCTTTAATAATAGACATGATGGAGTTTTAATTGATTCCAAGAATGAAATGGCCGTCAATGAACCACAAATGACATTGGTTCCTATGAGGGATTGAGGTGCATCACAAACTCTTTTTTCATACTGATAGGTGTTGTTGTCATATTGCTCGTTTGGATCAAGATTCAACAATTCAAGTTTTAAATCTTTGATAATGTTGGCCAATCGGAGGGCATGACCATTTCTCGGGTTGATAGAGAGTTTGATAAACTTTATGGCGTTTTTTACCAACTCGAATGGTAGAGGTTCATTAGCAGGGGCAGTAACAAGGTCGTATGAAACACCACCGTCGGTATCAGACTGATTACCTTGTTGTTGTTGTTGTTGTTGTTGGAGGTAGAGTCTAATAGATTCAAACGATCTGTCTGGCCCTATTTCATCACTATGATTGACATTAAAAATATGAGCCCTCATATGTGATGCGTGAAAGACAAACTCTACATGTTGTTTGTTGTCTGGATTAAACTCGATTGGTGTGGGATACCTAAGGGGACACGACCAAAAATATGATACTCGGTGAGTGTTGACTTGATCTTTTGGAAAGCTATCCAAAGTTGATCTGATTTCATTATAGAATTTGTATTTAAACTTTTGTACTGCCCAATTTACGCATTGACGGAATGTTTTTTGATAAATAACAACCATTGTTCTATAATTTGGTAAATTATTCTAAATATAAATATGATTACAAAATGTCAATATCGAGTCTATGATTTTCTTTCTTTCTTTTTTTTGTCTCTTACTTTTTCTTTTAGGCAAGTGTTATAATTTACAATATCATCATGAAACAGTGATCTATAGATTGATGAACAATGGTGAGCAATACAAGAGACGGATAATGAATGATAGTTGTGACAGGAATGGTTTGCCCTTCTACATGTTGCCAATTCATAGGCACTATAGTGGGGAACGGTAACGAGATTGTGAGAACCAGAAGTAGAGGATCCACAATCGATAAACACAGTGTCACAATGTTTTTCGAGGGAACTACTAAATTCTTGTAGTCTTTCTGTCGATGTTGTCACAAGATAGTCTATTCCTTCAAACAACTTTTTGGGAATATATGGTTGTTTGGGTTTGGCAATGACATTTTGGTTGTGCCAAAAGATATTGGCCATGTCTGGAGACAACCTAGTACGAAAGATGTCAGATATGGTGGCAGCAAGTGGTGATCCGATATTTACATGGTCTTGTTCCTTGCCAAGTAGATAGTATTTTGTGATGTTTGATTTTTGGACACGACCCTTGTCAATTATGTGAATACTACCTTCGGGTCCTTGTCCAACACCCAAGAGCAGAAGATTTTTTAAAGTCTCGGATGCATTACCATGTATTCCCAAGATGGCTACTGCCAAAGATCTTAAATATTGGAATCCACTCCATCCAACCAATGAAACTAAATCTGAAAATCCTCTTAAACTAGCTATTTCTTCAATTGGAGGTGGTGAGGATAAAACTAACTGGTTATTTGATATGTTGTAGGGTTGTAATAGTGAGGACTGATCAACATAAAGAAACTGGTTGATTGGAATGAACAGTCCTGTGGTAGCTTTGATAATCTCTTGAGATGCCAATCCTCCAATCAAAGATTCTATTGGAACTAATCTATATGTATTTACAAATGACAGCTTTCTAACAGTGTCTAATAGATTTGTTTTTAAAATATCCAAATACTTTTCATCACTACTCGTCGTCTGTGATGAGAGAATCGATGGATATCTTTCAATAAAAGATAAACAAATGGTAACCATATCATTTGAATCTTGTAAATCCCATTGTCCAGGGTATCGACCATACATCTTGGTGTATTCCTCCAACACTCTAAATGATAAATGAGTTATCAACCCATCTCCACTATAATCAACCATATTTAAAAGTTTTAAATTTTCATTATTATTGCCTGATTCAATTTCCTTATCAATTTGATAAAGTGATTTCTAAAATTAAATTAAAAATAAAAAACAATCATTTAGTATTCAATTATTTGAAGTATCCACTTATTGTTTAATATTTAATATTTACACTAGTAATAGAAGTACCAGGATTATAGATTCTAAAAAAACCAAAATTTAATGGATCATATTGACCGGCAGTGATATCAATATTGAGAGTTATGAATTCATTCTTGCAATGGTCAACCTGAAATACTTGGTCGTGGAGAAACTCTAGGCCTTTCATATTATAAAACTTGAGATAGGTTCCTTTATCAACGGTGGCATCTCTTTCGACGAGATAGTTGTAAAACTCAAACTGTGCTTTTGGAGGATCGATTTCGAGTTGAGTGACCGATGCAATGTGAAATGTACAAGGGTCAAGTGCATTGTCCTTGTAGACTAGATAAGGTTTCTCAACACTACCAAAATCACTAAACACTCTACCATAGACACCCTTTGAATCGGCAACAATACACGGTATCCCAAGAGAATGATATTTTGTATCAATCCTCTTTTGTATGTCAATTGTTTGATTAATAATAACCACACAACTATAATTATCTTGATCGTCCAATAATTGATCAATACTCTCCAATTTAATAGGGTTGGCATTTATATTTCTGTTGATTGAATTTAAATGATACAAAATATCTTTTTCATTCTTTGCTCCAAACTTTAAAGAGTGAAAAGATGATGATTAATAACTATATATATATATCAACAGGCAAACATTATAATGTACATACAATATTATTATCGTAAATAGTAGTAGTAGTAGTAGTATTTGTGAGTTGTGAAAGAGATGGTGATATTTGTTTGATGACAATTGAACCAACACCTTGTAGTTGTATGTTTTTTAATATCTCTATAGTCAGTGCATCTTGAATGCTTGCTATCATTAGTATTTGAGATGATGCAACCTTTTCAAAACCATCTATACCAATCAAAAACTTTAATTGTTTAAAGTACAAATCATCATCAATATCATCATTATCGTTGTCAATCAAACAACTATTACAATGATGATATTGATTTTGATTATTATTATTATTATTATTATTATTGTTATTACTATACATTATTATTTATTATTACAATATTATTTGATTTATATAAAGATTACATGTCAATGATAGAGTATACTCTTTTATTTATACTCTAGCAAATCTTGTTCTTGAATCTTTCAACATTATGTTGTGACACGACCTGAGTCAACAATTATTATCACTTTTTTAAATGAATATTTATTTTCTTTGGGGGTTTTGAAAATTTTTGGTTGGGAGTACCGCCTCAGAATCTATTTATTTGTAAAACTTATTTCTCTCTATGGTCTTCTTTATTTTTAATTATTCTTTTACCAATCGATAGATCTTTTCATTATCTATCAAATGGTTGACAAAAAAATTTGCGAGAGGTTCACCCTTCTAAAAAGTACTTTCCGTAAAGTCGCCATTAGCCATGGGCTAAGATGAGGTCTAGAAAGCATTGTTTGGAAAAACAAATGATATAAACAGAAAGAGTACAAAAAGTTGTATCTATTGGTGATATTGGATCGTCGTTTCAAAGATTATTCAAATAAAAAAAATGCTATTCTTCAAAGCCTATCTCATATAGTAAACATGCAACCATATAAAACTACGTGCTACATGGATCGGATCACGATTAATCAAATAAAAAGACAAGCGCCAACGCAAGAGGTGTAGGCGCCTTGAATCTTCAACATTATATGCACTGGTGTCGGCAGTGTTCAATGCATGCCACATCCAGCAACGCTAGACAAGATGGTTAGTATATTTGGAATGGTCAATCTCAAAACAATTGTGAATGCTCAAGAGTAATGGTAGCTTAATCTATATCGATATCATGGTTATTTATTTGGTACATACTAGTATTATTGTAATTGGCTCTTTTAAAACCCATCAAGGCTAGTGGTCATGGACAATTTCGCATTCGGTCTATCAAAACCATCCATTCTAAAAGATAATAAATAATAATTAGTAAACAGTATTTATGACAGTAATTTTACAAGATACATATCTTTACAGTTTTTAAAAATGGACCAACTCGTCTCTAATCAATTGATTCTATATTTAAAGTACCAATATATACAGACTTGTTATAGATTTAAAATAAAAAACCCATCATCAAGAAAGAAAACACATACAATCTTTATGAAAGAAGAAATTGACGACCAATCAACTTTGCCCTCACGCGGTAAACAAATGGCCTTGTTTGGAAACTTATGAATATACCTACCGAAACAAACCCGCACACTCCAAGCACGCCAAATGATCGATCAATTCCCCCAACACTCAAACTATACTTGTTTGGTTCCCCAACTTTGAGAATCCCATTTAAATATCTACAACATATCATCTAACAACTGTGTGTATGAAAAAATCTTTCTCTTTTCATTGCGGTTGTGGAAGAGGAGGATGAAAGAGATGTAGGCCTGGAGGAGATGAAGAGGAGGGAGGAAGGGGCCGAGTTATCATACAAATTTAAAACTATAATGGGTTGACATAGTTTTAAAATTAGTTGTGAATCATCACAGAGTGATTGTTGGTCTACGTCATGTCCTCTAAAGGCGTCATTCCCATTGTTGATTGACTGATTGATGATTGTTTAAAATATCTTGATGAATCTAATCGATCGATGGTTATTGTTGTTGGTGTCATGATGATGATGAATGAAAATTCTCCCTCCAAAATTAATTAATTCTCTTCATGACATGATAGTGCTGTGCTGTACTGTGTTCTCATATTTACTACTTGTATTGTACTGCGCGAGACCCATCCTAAAGTTAAATTCATTCATTCATTCGAGACAGACATCATCCATCAAATGACGATGATGATTGAGATTTAATTTAACTTGTTACCCTATACTACTTGTGTTGATGATCAATATTCACATCATCATCATCAACATCATCATCATCATGACTTTTATATCTCTAAGTATTGTATTGTAATTGTATTGTTCTTATTCTTATGACTCTGTGATGATCATGATGTTTGTTGGCGTTTGTGAATGCTCCATTTGCAAATTTGAACCCAAAATCTCTTAGTTGCTTACTAGTATGAAAAGGTGACACTGATGATAATATTCTTTTGAAGAAAGGAATTAGTATACATCAACAACTACTACTAGTTAATATCGTATATGCAACTTACTGTGTCGCTTTATAATAATTCTTTTTTCCATCTTTTGCTTCCTTGTGCATCTTTCTAATGATGTTGATACAACTAAAATCTCTTGGTGACATAAAAACTGTACCATCTTTGTTGATCTTTTCTCCTTTGGGGTCGAGAGTTGTCTTGATACCTCTTCCATGTTTAGACATGCTCAAACTTCTTAGAACCTCTGCTTGTAGTACTTCGTCGCCATTTGTATGTCTTCTCAACAGGAATGACGTTTTATTTCTAATGCGTTGCACTTGTCTTAATGGGAATGTTGGTTTAACACGGTCGCCAATTAATCGTTGGTAGACTGTTGGAGGTGTTGTTGTTGTTGTTGTTGTTGGAGGTGTTGTTGTTGTTGTTGTTGTTGCTGCTGCTGCTGCTGGTGATGCAGAGATTGTTGTTATTGGTACTAATGCTACTGATACTGATGCTGCTGCTGATGCAGTGATAGTTTACTCATGATTAATATGCTTAAAATAAAGATAAAAATATATCTATAATATTGATAATTCATTAAATAAAGATATTATCAATTTAATTAAATAATTAATTGTTTGTTTATTGATTCTACACTTTTTTTTTTTTTTTTTTTTTAAATTTTTTTTTCTCATGAGATAGTGCGATCTTTATGCGTGCCGTAGGTGACTGACCTGATACATTGCGAGGTTTGAACATTTGTTTCAAAACAACAACAGCAAATAGCCCCTCTCTCTCATTAATAAATGGATCCTATCAAAAAGAAGAAACAACAATAGAATCATACCCTGATTTGGTATCATACCCCCCCCTCTCCCTCCTCCTCTTCTCTTACATTTTAGATCTTGGTTCATATAATGAGCCTAATCCGCACCCCCATCCCCCTCCTTATCCGCCTCACTCATATAGTGAATCAACACGCCCATAATCTGACGGGTTACATCAAAGAATGATCGTGCTGTGGCTCACCTAGGCATCATATCCAACCATGACTACCACCCCCTATCCTCCTCCTTATCCCCCTCACTCATATATTAAATCATAAATGATCGTGCTGCTGTGGCTCACCTAGGCATCATGAATGCCCCCATTAAACGGTGGTGATGACACAGTTCGGGTATTAAGAAACCACCATACGATTATGATATCATTGGGACAACCCCATCTGTATATGTATCACCCCTCACTTTTTGTTGATAATCAACAAAGACAAGAAAACATTTGTTTAAAATAAAATATTATTCATCAAGCTCCAATGTTCTCTATTTAAAGTGTTCTTTTTTCTCATCACATCATTATTCATTTTATCTATCTTTTCTTCAATTCATTATCTTTCTGCTATATTGTATTACCTTTATATATTTTTTATATAGGAAGCTTCTAATTGAGGTTCACTATCGCACAGTGGTCATCATGAATGGCCCACTTCCATCCGCAACAGAGACAAGAACAACTCAATACCCTCTCGATCGTCTCATGGGTAAGAAGTGGAATAACGAACAAAACTTGTTTGTGACACATCTCGGCCAATATGCAAGATACTATCACTCTGTTAAGAGGTTAGTAGGCCAATTTTTTTTAATATTTGTATACGACTTTAATAACAGTAAGATATCATCAACCTTTTTTTTTTTTTGAACATGAATCATTCAGATAAGTTCATGAACTAATTGATCGATTTCATGTATTTTACCATTTTTAGTGTTTAGTTTGTCCCGACAAGAACTCGAAAAAGTAATACCAAAGTATTACGACATGAGTGTTCTTTCAAAGAACAAAATAAATGAATTATATGAAAAAATGGAAAATCGGTTGACTTTGCCGATTCGATGGGATTCTCTAATTGTGGAGGCCATCATCTCAAAGGTGATGGACATAGACACACGCAAAAGCAGTAATAGTCCAAGAGATTATGTATGTATAACAGTCTGTGACAGTTATGATGTGTAATAATAAATTAATTTTTATTTTATTCTTTGTTTACTCTTTACAGAATTCTGCACAAGATGTCCAAGCAAAAGAGAAAATCGTCAACAAAATGCTATCGAGAACATTTGCCAAACTCAAGGTAGACGAGATGGTTGCAAAATATCAAATCCTCCGATATGCACTCCTTGACCCAGATCTGAATCCAATTGGCTGTTGCCACTCTTATAAAACCGCCTTTGCCAACTCCATTTGCAATAGTTACTCGGCCGAGGTGGCCGAGACCTGCAAAAGGATGGTGGAGAGTGCTTTAGACCGTCAAGATGACCGAAACATATTCCACCACGAGTCCAAGTTGGTGTCGGATCTTCTGGAGGATATACTTGCCAAAATAGATGATGGTGATATCGGTGAAGGGTACCAAGCTCTCAAACTAATATTTTCATCTCAACCATTAAAAGGTATGTCATTGATATTAACACCATCACAGGTTTTTTTTAAATATCTTCTTGCGTCGGTTCATGTAACTCGATCTCTCATTTTGTTTATCTTTTTCTCATACACGTCAAAAGGGGCAGAAAAATTTAGAGAATGTATATTCAACTATTAAATAACATCGCACACTCAACACAACATTATCAATAGATAGAATACAGCGAGTATTGTTTATAGTTACACTTTTAGTGTAAGAACCCACACATCACTATCATTACTCCTCTTTTACACCATTTCTTTTTGATTATCTTTTGTT